CCCTAACCCCCAAAGATCGGGACCGAGACCATCATCCTGGTCGGGATGATGGAGATTGATCCAGACCGTAGATACAGAAGGGAATTAGGGTTACTCCCGAGATTTAGGGGAGGGGAAGGGAGAGAGAGAGAGAGCGAGAGAGAGCGAGAGAGAGAGGATCTGGAGGAGATTGCTACGCACAACAGACGGCGGGAGCACACACGGGCGGCCAATCAGGGGCACACGACGACCATTAGGCCCCCGATGCAAAGGCTATTAGGGTATAAGAGATACTTGTCTTGGATGATGCGGGAACTGTCTGCAATCTGATTCTGAAGTTCCTCTACCGGGTATAAATCTACAAGCTGTACCTTGTCAGTACGCAAAAACCAGTGATGAAGGGATCATAACTGACCAGATTAGGAAATACATTCCATGTAACAGTCTTTTTCTTGCTCTGATCAGAGGCTGTTTTGGTGGCGTCGAAGAATTGAGTCAATTTGGTGCGGCCTTTGCTGACGACGTCTGGGTTGGTATCTATTTCGCCTTGCATCTAATAAGAGATAAATTCTTTTGACCATTTGTCTTTATTTGCCTCGGAAAGATCTGACAAGTTGCCTGGGGGGTTGTGTCTTGGAAGAGTGGAAGCCATGTTATCCTTTTTAACTTGGTTGAATTTGTATGTTCATTGGGGAAGATTCGTCTGCTTTTATAGAGACTCTGGTACTTTGTCAATGGCATGTTGGAGTCACCATACGTTGTCTGCCTAGAATTCGCCCTTTCCCCTTCGGCCAGATGGATCCGCAATCGAATTAGGCGGTCCAAGAGCAGGGATGTGTTGGCTGAGAGAAAAAGCCGATAAACGGTTCCATCATACCTGAGCTGAATCCCCTCACCCATTAAACCTGATAAATACAACAAAGAAGCATAAGAAATGTCAATTATAAATCAGGCCTCAATTCACAGCTTTTTATTGGTGGATGTTCAGTGGCTGCAGGTCGATTATAGTTCGCCTGGCATGAGCTGAATCAATGGTAAGAGACCGTGAACACGAGACAGGACTGGCGTAGCTGAAATTAGCCCGTGTGCGACCTTAAGTGCGGGGAATGCATAATACGGGCGTCTGCATTGCGCCGATCGGGGCAAGCGAGGAACAGCGTGATGTGACGAGCTGAAGAACCATGCATAAAGACACTCCTGGCCAACCATTTATTCTTACTTAGGCATGGTGCAGGTTCTTTACGGGATGATCACTCCGATCTGTCTGAAAAAGAGAGATGTATGCTCGCCTCACTTTGTAAACCGTGCTATTATTTTCAGCTAACCTGCCAATCATAATAATAGCGATACTCATACACAATTTTTAGACAGTGATGATATAAAGGTGTCTATTAACCGGTAGTGACTATATTCAACACATTCCTACCTTGTATCACCTGTGAATAAAGAAAATGATAACTCCAGAAATTTGGCAACGCAAGTTCACCAGAGCAGCTGGTCCAGACACCGATAATTTACTATCAGCTAGTCAGCAGCACCAGCTCAAAGACAGATTCGGCCAGTTTCTCCAGCAGGACTCACACTGGACGCTCAACACGTTGGACCAAATACTTTCTTATTACTACAGTAAACTCTCTCTACCAAACGAATGATTCATGCTGACACCTGTAGAACAATCCAAAACAGCATGGACTCTGACGATGTACGCGATCGCAGACGGCACTCATGTCAGCCGTGCGGACCTGCCTGATGAAGGGAAGAACTGGTTTAACCCCCACTGTCGACTACTGGGCGTCGTCGACTTTGAGATTGAGCAGAGCCATGATATTATTTTCATTATTGGCTCAGACGAAGTGTCCAACCCGAATCGTTTCCTACAAGTTGTCAGCTGGGATGGCGAGGAATTTCACTATTACGCAGTATGTATGTATATCCTGACAGAAGACGGCGTTAACGGTCATAGATAGAAGACATCAATGGCGACTCGGACAAAAGGAAATGGACCTACCAAGCCAGATCCTCTGATGCCTTTACGGACGGGTCATCCTACGACACCTCCTATCTCGGTCCCTTCAACGGCCACGTCAACGGGGTATGCATCATGAAAGAAATCCACAAGTCAGTCTGGAAGTCCGAAGACTAAAAACATTAACTAACGTTAGAAAGGCCATGGTATCACTGGAAAACCGATAATCACGACCTGTCCAAATGTCTCAGCCAGCAGCAGATAGACCGTCTGGGCAGCATCCCATACCTTTCCGACTCGACCGCTCCCTATGATTTCTTTAGCAAAGTAAAGAGCGCTGAAACTCTAGAGAAGAGAGTTATAACACCGCTTATTCAGAAATGGTTTGCCCTGCGCCACAAAAAAGACTTCACAATGGACAATGGGGGGGCACAGGACTCAGTCAGTCAATCTGAACCGGTGGATGGCCCACTTGCTACTCACGACTACCATCAACATAGCGAGTGGAGAGCGGGTCCAGGCCTTCTATGCAGCGGATCAGGATACATCAACAGCCAATCTGCCTTGGAGAGCCCCAACGCATCTGTTTATGAACTTTGACCTTTTGACTGACCCTAAGTTCAACGACATCAATGTATGTTGCTGCCACACTTACTCATCAGATACTGACAGATGTTCCAGGAACCCTTGACAAATTTCTCTGCGGAATTTTCGCCTAAGGACTACAATGACGCTATTAAATCCCTGGGAATCAGTCTTTTGCAGGAATGGGATTCAGAGATGCCTCCGCACCCAAAGGTGCACGTGGTGCAGCTGCCGAAGGGTACGCTCGGAGGCGGAAAACAGACTGACTCATACAACATCACCAACTTTCTCAAGGTTAAGGAGAACTCCGAGGGCGACATGATTCATTTCGTTGTTCTGCAAGGTTCTCTCGAAGATAAATGGGGCATACTGAATCTGCCCTGCAGTCTGGTCGGTAACACGCTGATGAAGTGCATTCTGCTCCTTGATTTCTACAACCCAGTTTACAGCTGGCGTCGGGGTGTGCTGATGCAGTACCTTCCTAGCACTACAAGTCTCGACGGGGATAAATATGATATGGAGACTGCATGGATTGCGAACATCCGCAAATCCTCACACGCATCGGAGGCTGGCTCCCCAGAATGCGAATTCCTCGATCTTTACCAACACCCTCCCTCGTGCTCGGCAATTAAAACGCGGTTCAGAGATTACCTGGGTAAGGTGAACGTTAGGTTGAAGACCGGAGAAGGAGTGACCGATTTCATGAAACTGGCTGAGTCTCGTCGTCGGATATACCGTCCTTTGCCACTGGATGAGTTTGGAATGACGTTGCCTTATGCCCTGTGTCTGCTGGAAGACTCGAAGCTGATTGAAATGAAAGAAGATGCAAGTGTTACCGAGATACCAGAACGTGGGCTCAAATTCTTGAATGGCTGGACAGGGACGTTGCATGGGTATGATCCTCACTTGCTACCGCCAGACGGTTGCTATGCTCAGGCCAGAGGTGCAAAGTGTCCTCGTCGGTAGTTTCGCAGTGTATTTAGTTAAACTCAATTGACATGGGGGCATTATACTCAACATGCAAGGTGTATATATGCATTGCTCATTGTAAATATGCTTTTTGGTAATATTGTATATCAATATATTAAATAATAGGATACTATCTTCTCCAACTGATCTATAATCGTATGAATGGCTTAGTGGAGTGTGGAGTCTAGTACCTTGTTCCATCCCGCAAGGCATACTACCGTCACTATAACCTATCTCTGATCATGCTACTTGGTTAACACTTCAATCTACCATGCCAAGATATGCTTGTAATAACTCCCTCGCCAACCTCTGGCCCATATTCGCCAGCCTTATTATAAAAGAACTACCTGATTTGGGTCGCACCAGTTGACCAGGCAAGATAATAATATTCAATAGGATTCCACAATAAGGTTCCGGTTAAACAAAGACTAAAACTTACTCTTTCTATCTGAAAGAACAGCCCCTTTTATAAAAAGGTTCGCTAGATATTTAGCCCCGGCTCAGATTTCAGCCCGAATCCAACCAATAAGATATAAAAGAGTCCCGGAACCCCGCTTCCCCAGCCTTAAATAATACATCTTTAGCTCAAAAAATCCCGATATATCCTCAAAGGCACATCCGACGTTAATTCGATAACATTTCACCATCGAACCTCATTATTCCTTAACACTTATAGTTCGGAAAGCTCCTTCCTATCACAAGACGGTACTAGACAACAAGGTCGAATAAACAATAACAATACCTTTTCCCGAGTCTGACCAAAACAACCCTACACCTAATAATATCCAATATCCATCCTTTAAGATTACATTTCTCTTAACCCTACAAACCTGCCAATCCAGCTAGCCCGACAACAAAAGTATACAATTAACCTATACACCTACTATCGTAGAGATAGATAAAGGATTCCAACTATACATTTAGACTATCCAGTTAACCAGGATATTCTCATAATATAGCTCTAAGAAATTTTTTAGCGATCTGGCAGATTGAGTAGGCGATTTAGCCTTTGTAACACGATCGGTCAAGGAAGTGCGAGAACACCGAATTTACACACGATCTTTGCGATCTTCGGATTCTTTTAGGATAGAACCGCTTTGCTGGCCTCGGCCATGCAAGATTCATCAAATTCAGGGGTTTCAGGCATATTGATTAGTTAAATTGACTAAAGTAGACGATTTCTTAAAAAAGCGACAGAGATTGCGGGCGCAACCATCAGCGACCAGGGGTGGATACGCTGGAACGGATACACACCTATATTACTCAGAAAGGGTAAATCACCCAAGGTTCAACTTGAGGTCAATGCTCGTACTAGTACGGAGTACAGAGCCCCGTTAGAGAATTCAATCTAGTCAACCCACCCTACCGTGATACCTTCCTGACATAATTCACAGGAATGATATAGGTGGTCCTGCGGTACCAGGTGACTTGTCCGGGAGCGTGGTTGCTGCACTGTCACTTTGAGATGCATCTTGATAATGGCATGGCAATGGCCATTCTGGACGGAGTAGACAAATGGCCAGAAGGACCGGATGAGTATGCCCTCGGCTCTCATGGATTCCGTGTGGAAGAAAAGAGTGAGCTGCAGAAAACTTCCGTCCAGCAGGCCATTGACTGGCTACTCAGCCAAGTGTCTGCGTGGTTGTTGGGGGCTGCAATGGTAACATCCTGTATAGCGGTTTGGGCTCTTGCCCGACTCAGAAGATGGAGAAAGGAGAGACAAGCGATCAACTATAGTCTGTTAGCATCCGGGCCTATAATCAGCCAAGATGATAAGGAGGGTCTGTTGTCATTTATCAGCTATTCTTAGTCTAGGGTTGCATATCCATTGTCATACTGGTATATAGTTGCTATCTTCTTTATATCAATACATTTTCATATACTAGGTCATGAATGTTTCTGGATTCTGAGCACATGACAAATGTTGAAGACTAACCTACTATTATAAATTCATTGTATCTTCGTCAGATCTGAACGTGTCTTGTATATCCACCATCGTCGTCTAATTGATTCACTGCGATTGTTGACAAAGCTCATCAATCTCCCGCCGATGATGTGTGTATTTCCGGTTGAGACGTCTATCAAGCACACCGCCAGTTTTGTTCAGCACATCCAAATAAATAGTCACACCTTTACTGTTCCTCTCGTTAGCATGACCCAACATCTACGTTCATAGTGCCTTGGAAATCTGTGTCCCTGGGCTAACTGATCCAGAAATGTATCATCTAAGGCAGCCCCTTCCAACATCCAAGGAACTAAAGCAGACCAAATACCCCTCTCCGCCTTTCCACCGTTACCCAATACAGCCATCCACAACTCTGTTCTTTATTGCCAAAGCACATCAATTACAGAGCTTCCTCTGGACGCTTATTTCCTCCAACGACCAATTCACATGCCGAGCCTTCGTCCGTTCACGAGCAACTATTGCACGAGTAACAACCATGGTTGTCTTGTTGATTGATAGCTGCGGTGAGAACCGTCTCGTAGGTCTATCTTCTTTTCAGGCTTCTTCAGGTCTATAACAGTATCTGGGCGTGGGCTTCGTTTTCAGAAAATTCGGTTGAACGGGAATAAAGGGTAAACTGCTCTTTCTGCCAGCCCTTAATTCGAGAGCCACCGTCTTCGCACCTCGTGCCGAATTTCGATCTCATGCCCCGCTCCCTCGGACCGATAATCGGCAAAGAACCTCGGTCCACTCTCCCCCCCCGCCCCCGGGTGGGGTATCACACTCAACTGAGGAGCGAGAATTAAGGTGAGACCTAGACTGAGGTGTACATGAATTCTATTTCTTCTTTTCTGTTATTTATTACTTATTTATTTATTTATTTAATTTTTTCCTTTTTCTTTGCCGAAGAATACCGAAATATTGGTGAGCAACCTTAGCAAGCTTTACATGAACGGCGGAAACCATTAGGAACGTCGGCCTTAGAACCACTGTATAAATACCACCACTGTATAAGTACCACCGCATTACGCCAGGCCCATCAATACTGGCGTCGCTCGTTTAGAACTACCTGGCGTTGCACAAGACAAGTTAAAGACCACACACACAAGATGACTACTCCCATTGTGCCGCCACTGGACTTTTCGTCTTTCTACAACGTCATCAATGGCGAGCTTACCACCACGGCCACGACTCGTCATGGTATCAACCCCGCCACAGAAGGCCCGAATCCTGAGGTGCCGGCTTCGACGCCAACCGATGTCGAGGCTGCTGTTAGTGCAGCGAAATCTGTCTTCCCTCAGTGGGCCGCGACACCGTGGGACGAAAGGCGCGCCGCAATCAAAAAATATGCAGAGGCCTTGGAGAGGGAACAAGAAGGATTTGCAAGGCTTCTGGTGCATGAGCAGGGTAAACCGGTGAGTGTTACTCTCAGAAATCGAAGTGCATCTTACTCATGTGTTGGAAGCTCCAATTTGCTCGCAAGGAGATCATTGACTCTGTCCGCTGGTTACGTGAAATTGCTGATTTGAACCTGGTCGAAGAGGTAATTCGTGAGGATGAAGAGTCGCAGACCATTGTGCGATATACGCCCATAGGGGTGACAGTCGGTATTGTGCCTTGGAACTACCCTGTTGTTCTGGCATGCGGCAAGATTGCTCCAGCCTTGATCACTGGAAATCCGATTATCATTAAGCCCTCTCCTTTCACGCCTTACTGTGCCCTGAAACTTGCGGAACTCGCCCAGCCGTACTTCCCACCTGGTGTATTCCAGGCATTGAGTGGTGATGACAATCTGGGGCCATGGCTCACAGCACACCCGGAGGTCGGTAAGATAAGTTTCACAGGATCAACGGAAACCGGGAAGAAAGTGATGGATAGTGCTAGTCGTAGGCTGGCAAGGGTGACTTTGGAATTGTAAGTGGCGTTAGCGAATCTCAACATCACCAACTGTGACAAAGTTCATTTCTCATATACATTGCCGTTCTAGAGGTGGAAATGATGCGGCAATCATCTGTCCTGATGTTGATATTGAAACCGCAGCCCCAACAGTCGCGACGCTGGCATTTTTGAACTCGGGTCAGGTAAGTCGTTAGTTTTTTTCTGCGTGACCTGCCTTCGATACGCAACATCATGTTCTCCTCAATGTAGACTGACTCGTGATTCAAGATCTGTATTGCGGTGAAACGCGTTTATGTTCATGAGTCCATCTACAACCAGTTCCGCGATAAGGTTATCGAATACATACGGACATTCAAGGTCAACACGGATGACGATGCTTTCATGGGCCCTCTACAGAACAAAATGCAGTTTGAGCGGGTTAATGACCTCGTACATGATATTGGCAGCCAGGGGTATCTCGCAGCTACAGGGGAATCCGAGATGCCGAAGACGGGCTATTTCATCAAACCCACGATTGTCGATAACCCCCCCTGAGAAATCGCGAATCGTCCAGGAGGAGCCTTTTGGTGAGTTCGGTTGGACTTGAGCCAGAAGCTTGGCTCTCTTCTAGACAGTGGAAATTAATTACAATAATAGGCCCCGTGGTTCCTTTACTCTCCTGGTCGAGCGAAGATGAAGTTATCCGCAGAGTCAATGACACCAAAATGGGACTCGGTGCCTCTGTGTGGTCTCGTGATATTGATAGGGCAGCCGAATTAGCAAGACGGATTGAAGCGGGGAGTGTTTGGATCAACAAACATGTTGCCATCGACCCTCATGTCCCATTTGCTGGACACAAGGGCAGCGGGATAGGATGTGAGTGGGGGATTGAGGGATTGAAAACCTTCTGCAATGTGCAGGCATTGTTCCTCCAGAAGAGTAAGGCTTAATATTATAAAATTTTGCTGGAATATCTCATAGTTCCACGTTTTCAATTGATTTCTTCTTCCCCGCCAATTTACTTTGTTATCTAGATAACGGATGATTCACCCGCGGTGCAAACGTCTATCTAGTTCGATTGTAGGCCTACTAGGGAGGTATATGATTTGGGACCTATGTATCTTCCACAAGCTCCCTGTTTTATGGATCCTCGGTAGATTATTTTTCCAAAATTTTGTACACCTCCTCTGATGGCTGGGTGGGTGTGTAACCATACACCTTGAGCTGCTTAGCTAGTGTCACTGGTAGCCTACGTTAGAAGCGGGGGACTTCCAACAGCGCTTGCATGCAAGATACTAGAACTAGAGGGAGAAAGCAAGAAGGAGAGGTAGAGGAACTACGACGACAACCTATCTACTCCTTTGCGAAACTCCGTCCCATCTCTCGCCAGCCTCATAGTTCGGACGGCTTCCTCCTGTCACAAGGCGGTCGCAAACAGCAGAGTCGATAAGCGGTGACAGCTAGCTTCCTTTCCTCCTGGTCCCAATTGATCGATTCGCATTGCATGTAATTAATATACAAGCTTAACTAAGCGGTTTAACCTGTCGTCTAGTGTTAAGGATGACTAGGCTGTTTTTTGGCCTATATACGCCGAATTGTATCTCTCGTCATCCCAGCTTTTCCGCAGTTTCCTTGAACACGTATTCATCGAAGTTATATACCAGGCGGCGGCGACGTTGTGAAGAACAGTCCCTAGTAAGTCTTACAGGTGCTGAAGAAGGCCTACGTCCTCCGCTTAAATTCGCCTTGGTTTTTTAGTCTTTTGCTTTATAGGACCTAGACTAAAATCTTTTAGTAGCTGGCCCGATGGCGAGAGTATACGGTTAGCCTATACGCCTACCGTCTTAGGAAAAGGTGGAAGATTCCAACTATGCATTTGGACTATCCAGTCTATCAGGGCTTTCTCCTGATGTGGCTCTAGGATAATTTTCCCAGCATTTGGTAGGTGTAGTCGGCGATTTAGCCTTTTTGATGCGATCGGCCAAGGTACTGTGAAAGACACCGAATTCACGCGCAGTCTTTGCGATCTTCAGTTTCTTTTCGGATAAAACCGCTTTGCTGGTCTCAGGCATGCGAGATACATCAAATCCAGGGGTTTTAGGCATGATGGTTCCTTACGCGACAAAAGCGAACGAATGTTGTATTGTCTGGCTAGATCCACATACGTTTGACGAAACTTATTTTTTTGTACTTCGAAGCCATCTATAATACATTACTCTCAGAATTTAGTATAAAAAATAGAATTGTTGGTGCGCAGCAGGAAATCTACGATGCAGTCTGCGGCTACCTCCAGGCAACAAGCGACCACTCGCGTCAATTATTCTCGACGAACTCGTTAAGGCACAGCTACGGTTGCTCGAGAGGGCTGCAAAATCAGGGCGCAAGTTCGGTTACTGAAGGACAGTCGGGATATCCTGGAAGGCTAATGGGAATACTCCTCGCTGCCTTTGCGAGACATGGTCGGCCGGTCGAGAGAGCTCTCAACTGGTAACGAGAAGGAGGGATATTTCTCCCTCTGGTATATGCACAATTGCATGCTGGGATGAGGCCAAGCACTAACAGGTCAGAAAAGTGGCGGAGGCCAGGATCGGGGTGGGAGCCCGGGTTCTTCGTGACGAACTTTACCCAACCAAAGTCGATAGTGTGAACAAGATCGCGGTTCTGGACGAGAAGGTTGAGATTCGAGCTGAAGCCACAACGGTGTTCGGCTAGGAAAATTTACGATCGCTCCACCTTGCGCCGTTTCAGATAAGGCTACGATCTATATTTGAGGTGCTAGAGGCATACTTCAGCTTGCTTAGCGGAAACAAAAGACTTGCTCAGTGTTGTCGAGCAGACAGTGACGACACCATCAGCTAGATGTTCTTTGCTGGATGTTTTTTGCTGGACTAGCTACCAGGCCCAGCGTCAAAATCAGGACACATACCACTTACAGATAACGGCGCAGGGGCAAAGGTTCTGTTATCCGCCTATAAGCACGATGTGATCAACTCTGGCCTACTTCACCGACTGGTCAATCCCTGGTCCTTCATGAGCGACATGCAGGTGGAGCAAGCCATAATGTAGTTGGTCTTATTCGAGGTATTATCTTTGAGGCAACTTTCCGAACAAATACCACTGTGACTTAGGAAGAACTGTGAAACAGGGTATGTATAAATTTGAAGCTATTCACACCATTTGGTTCATTCATTGGGGTTGTCTTGACGTAAAAACCTCACCAATCCCCTATGCTGCTTTTGCTGCTGGGGCACAGACAAATATTCATCTCTCCATCGGAGAAAATACAAGGTTCAACTCAGCGATGGATATTGTGAAGAAATCCTTGGAGTTGTCCAGCAGCCTCTTCCCATCTTCTCCTGGTGCAAATTGGACGCTGAACTTGGATACCAAGAGAGCCACAACCATACGCAACTCCATCAGTGCTAACTGTTTGCCCACACATGAAAATGGCCCTAGAAGAGGTGGTTGTGAGCCAATGAATAAGATGCAGCACAAGCGGGAGATTACCTGTGGAGAAGGGAGCAAATGCTTTTTTGTTTTTCACCAGTTCTGGTTTAGAGTACCAGCGTTCCGGGATGAACTCAGCAGCATTCTCGTAGCAGCTCTCGACTGAGAGATGTTAGTTTCGTGCAAGTAGCATTAGCCAATTTGAGAGCTACTTACGGCGTCCCATCGTATAGAAAGGTGCCACAACCGTCGTATTGCCAGGAATAAAAGTGTCCCTGATTGTAAGACCCTCCGGAGGGGTCAATCTGGGTAAGCCTGAAGGAACGGCGGGATAAAGACGCAAAGCTTCATTGATGACCCCGTTCAGGTGATCCGCGTTTTGAAGAGCCTTGAACGAAAATGATCCATCTTCCTCGACGATCGCCGCCAGCTCGTCTCTCAGCTTATGCTGATGTGCGGCGTTTTGAGCCAGTAGATAAAAGGTGTATGTTAGTGTCGACGCAGTGGTGTCACTACATCGTGAGACATGTCAGGTCTTTGGCCCTTCGCTATAACAGTACAGTTCTTCTTACCTTCCAGCTACAATAATCAGCCGAGAGTCACTGTGTAGAAGAGCCTGCTCTTCACCCGCTTGTTTGATTCCGCTTTGCGCACGTTTCTCGCTCGACTCAATAAGCCAAGACATGACGTCTGGAACGTCTCGGTGTATCTAGAAAGATATTCGCATTAGTTTGCGCTTCACATTATGAAGCGGGGTGAAATAATGACCTTTTTCCTTTTCTCGACCTGCTCCGTGCACCAATTGACGAACATTTTGAAGCCACCACCAAGTCCGGGAATGCTCGTCAAGACGCAGAAAGCCCAGGGTACAGGGCCAAGCACACCAAGCGGTCTCATGCCTTCGCGAAGGAGATCAAATGCGAAGTGTGGCTTGCCGGTCTGTATCATCTCAAAGGATTTACCGAATGCGATGTCGGCCATGACATCAAAGCTGTAAAAGTGAAACCATTCTGTGGCATTTATGACTTGATCTGAACGACTTTTAATCTGTCGCTCCAAATCTTTGCTATACTGAAAAACTCGATCCTCATAATCTCGAAGGGCTGCATATTCATATCAGTCATGTTTACACCCGGACGGAAATCCAGATATCAGACCTTTAGCTCCAAAACCGCGATCCCAAATGCGGCGTCTTACATCGTGGGCTTTCTTGTCACGAAGAGTATGCAGAGAAATAACGGGGTAGTTGGCATCGTACCACGGGGCTTTGGTGCACTTCGAGCCAGGGCCAAGAAGGACCTGAATGGCATCGGGATCAGAGATCGATATTTCACTGGGCCCTAGGCACATAATATAAGCACTGGTTTCTCCACAGGCTCCTGCATTGCCATGCGATACGTAGGAGCTGCTTACCTGTGCGAACGTAATCCCCGTATTGCGTGTGCAATTCGTCCAGCACTCGGAAGTTATCCGATCTCGGCGCCAACTTGAAGACATGCCATAGCTTCGATACCTTTGCCATGAAAGGTCCTGGAAATTTCCTCAGGCGGTGAAAGAATACCCTGTACAGGAGGATACTCGAATATAGCCCAGTAAAATAAGAGACAATCACTTCTCCAGTAGATATTCCCGCCTGGGTTGGGTCCATATTCCCAAATTTGAATAAAACAACCCAGACCAGAACTGGGGAGAGCAAGGCAATTCGCAGTAGCCATGGAGCTGATAGGTGATGCTCTCCATGTGAAAAGTAAACCCAATGGGTGAGCGCCCCCGCCGCTGCTGCGTAGCCAAACAGCTGAGTTGTTGTCAGAGACAGGGGACAACCATTGTGGTAAGAGAGGTGAAAAGATGCAATGGGTCTTTTTTTTGCAAGCTGACTGATACAGCAGAGTCTGTGTTGGAAAAGAAAGATATTCTCCAGTCTGATTCCCTCAACTGGCATTAATAAGAGCTTCAGGCCCATCCATTTCCACATCGGACGGCTTTTTTCGGGGTTCATTCATCAGTGGACCGGCTATTCTCCAACATTGTATTCGAGCACCATGGAACCACAGGATCAAGACTCATGAGGCACTGATTAGCAAATCCCAACTTAGAGTTACACTAATAATGAGGCAATTTCGCCGACCATCATCCCTGAATAGCCAATAAGAAGTGATGATTAGGTCCAACCAGAACTGTTTGAGATGTGGTAGTCCGCATTGTTTTGATTTATTAATTCCTAGTTTACAACAGCCAATTAAATGTCGGTGATTCGCGAATATCCCAGGATTTTCGGATGCGGTGTCTCAGCCATTGTAGGTAACCGAGGAGTTTCGGATGTACCTCCAAAAAGCGGGCAGATAACACCCCGTGGGGTAAAACGACCCCGCTTATTTTGGACCGAGAATCCGGGAAAAGACGCGGGGCTCAAAAGGCGGGGCTCCGTAATCCGTACTAACTAGTACGAGCACTGATCTCAAAAAGAACCTACGATAATCTAGCCTTCCAGCGCACCCACCGCTTTTGCTTATGGGTGCGCCCGCAATCCCGTGACTTTCTCAAGAAATCGTCTAATTTAGTCCTTTCAATCAACGATAAGCTGTTCCAATTTGGCTCCCGAGCTGGTACCACTGAGATAGTGTCCCTGGCTGCTCATTTACATTGAATGGCATCAGATCCCAACAAATCAAAAGACAAGCCGGCGCTAACCGATGTAATTCCACGGCTTAGGCTCAGTGATCGTGCTCAGTCCCATCCCATGCTTAGTGAGGAACTAAGTTAATTACAAAATGGTTACCTAAATGACCTATCATTCCTCTGCTTTCGTGGTCGACTGAGGAAGAGGTTATTCGTCACGTGAACAGCCCTTAGGGCTAGGTGGCTCAATTAGTCTTCTAACCAAGAGAATGCTGCCAGACTGGACTGGGCTCAAATGATCAACGCGGGCAGCATTCAGGTCAATGACCATCTTACGATCATTCGGACAAGCCATTTGCTGGTCACAAAAATAGTGGGATCGCATGTGAGTGGGGAATCGAAGGTTTCAAAACGGTTCAGTAATACGCGCGCCCTATTTTTGAAGAAGCAAGAGGGTCAGACTGAAGATTCTTGATAACTTCCGAATGGTCAATCCACATGGTAGATTCCTCGAAGTTATTTGGAATCTTTATTATTCCGCGAGATCCGTATGCAAGGGACTTCCTTATTCGAGGCTCTGTCGAAGCAAAGGAGAGCTGTTAGCCAATGAAACACAAGTTTTGAAGAAATGATTACTTCATTCCACCATTGGGGGGACTATACCTATATTCAGAAGTTGACCTCGGTACCCACTTACATAATCTTCCCCGCACTGCACTAGTTAGTTAACTAACCTAGAGCCGAGGGCCTGCTTTGCCAAGGAACCTGAGGTTGATTGTGTAGCGGGGCGAGGAAGTCCAGATTGGTTGACTCCTTTACTTCCTCATGACAGATATGATGTTGATTCAGAAACACAAGCATCAGACCAGGGCATCCGATGGCCTGCGACCGAACTGGTCAAAGCGTCGAGCCCGACTCGCTTGCTTGGGATGTCGGAATCGCAAAGTGAGGTGCAACGTCGAATTCTGTGGACATCCCTGCACCAACTGCTATCTTGATAATATTCCATGTATCACTCGTGCTAAGAGAAGCGCGTCCTCCATATCGACAAGTAAACCCTCGGTCGCGAACGTTCAAAGTCGGAATAGCCATCCCTTTATTGACCAGTACTCCGAAGAAAACTTGCACGAAGTTGGGGCTTACATGGAGGTTGAGAATTTGCGTGAGGAAGGAGAGGATCAAGAGGGGGTGAGGGAAGAGCAGGAAGCAAGTGCAGAGTTGTTTGATAATCTGGAAGCCATGCAGCCGGATCCTCGGGGGTCGAGACGGTGGTCGCAATGCTCGCGTGAGTTATTCTCCCGTCACCACACCCGCTCTTGCCCAATAGCTCGGACTAATCACCGGACCTCAAACAGAAGCACCCCAGAGTCTGAAGAATGCCTTATTGCCATTTTCATATTACCCATATATACGAGCCCCTGGAATCCAACGGCTTCAACCAGTCGAGATGGCTTTCTTGGAGTCTCAAAAGAGCACTCATATTCCAGCGCAACCATTGCTCGATGAACTGCTCAAACACTACTTTCTATACGTTCATCCATTATTGCCACTTATCGATGAAGCGGAGTTTTGGTCTATTCTCGAGCAAAGGAGCAGCAGGAATTCATCGATCTCTATTCTTGTCTTTCAAGCGATGTTATTCGTCGCATGCGGTGTGAGTTTGCTCCCACCGGCCCCAATAATATCTTTTTGCTTCTTTTGGGGTTTGATAAAGAAAGTACTAATTGAAATGTAGTACATTCCGTTAGGCACGGCGAAAGAATGGGGAGCTACTTCAATCCTTGAAATGCGCACTTCGTTTTACAAGCGAGCCAAGGTGAGTCAAGATTGTTACTCGAGGGCAATTTGAATGAGGTTTAGTCTCTATGAACTGACCATTGCTAGACCTTGTATAATTTTGGCGTGGAAAATGATCCCCTGTGCCGGTCTCAGGCTTTGGCATTGCTTTCATACGAAAGCTCGTCGTCTGATCCTTCGGGTAACTCCACTTGGCTAGCTCTGGCCATTCAGTATGCGCGTATGGTGAATGCAAATGCCTACGACCACATGCCAAAGAATGGGAGTTACAAAGTATCGGACCTGAAAAGGCTTTGGTGGTGTTTAATTCTTCGCGACAGGATAATCGCTCTAGGCATGCGCCGACCTCTACAGATCTTACCAGGTCACTTCTGTGTGAACTCAGCAAGCCACCTAGAGGTGGAAGATCTGCGAGACGAAATAAATGCATCCAAAGTATACGAACCACAAGCCAAGCGAGCCCTAGCTGCTTTACTTTCTAGCCAATGCAGACTAGCCGCCGTACTGACTCCCCTTATCATGATATTACATCCCTCAGACAGTGATGGCTCCGGTGGTGACCTCATGTCTGTGCTAGCTAGAGCCGATGATGTCAAAGTTCGCCTAAAATATTGGTATTCTCAACATCTTCTCATTTCCCCTGCAGAGGAGACAGAAGTCCACCAGTCGATTACGCTTTTTAAACGACTGAACAAGCTATATTATGAGTATGTACACTTACTGCTCCATCATCAAAACCGAAAATCTAATCAATTTTGTTCATAGGTCTGCTCGGCTCGCTTTGGATCACCATCTCGCCTTCTGTCTATACCAGGGCCGACGATTGCAGAGCTCATCTGACCTGATGGAAGCTGTGACATCCATCCATGCTATTTTCAAACGCTTTACAATCGATGGAACTGCGAGTCATCTACCCATCAGTGTCGTAGCATTCGGAATCATTCCTCAAATGTTGATGAATTTCGATTTGCGACTTTTTAATAGTGACACTCGTCGCAAAGGCCCAAAGCATTTGTCGAAAATTTACCAGGAGCTCAATACACTACACCGCCTCAGATACGATATATCCCACATCCTCAATTGGATGAATGAGATAATCCTAGTATTCGAGGACTCCCTTTCATCGTGTGGCCCACAACATGCGAAGGCTCTCGCTACCGAAAAGCAGTCGAAAAGTTACAGCCTCGTTTTGATGATGAATCGCTATCCAGAGCAGTATTTTCGGCTCCTCGATACCATGAACTCTGCTGTCTCTACAGGCGAATTCAGAAATCCTACTTTCAGAATGATAGCAGCGCTTCCTATGCGCCCGCCGCACAGCTTCGAAGCCCCAGACAGCTAGACGACATTCGGGACTCAGAGTCATGCATTGTAGCGAATTCACTCGAGCGTGATATGGCCACTCCGGAGGCTCCAGAACCCGATATGGACTCCCCGAATGATTGTTCGGGTGCTTTATTCTCGTGTTTGGATGTTACAGAACCCCTAAATTCGGATACATTTGGAACTGAGCTATCGACCACAGACACGCCAAACGTATCGCCGAATATATTCGACAATGTTATGAATCACTCGCAGTCTTCCAGCCCCGAGCTTCAGCTGACTTCATTCTTGGCGATGGGGCTATCAGAAGAATATCTTCACGAAAACGAGCATGTTAACGAGGACAATCGAGGCTCTTTGGAGGCCCTTTGGTCTAACTTAGGTCTCTTTGGGGAGTAGTCTCCGTTGAGCACAGATAATAGATCGTCTTGTATTCTGTTGTTTAATATTTAATTTCATGTAAATCATCCCATGAGTGTGGTTCCAGAGACTGACGTCTCTGGTGAACTTATCCAGAAAAAAGGATTGGATGCAATATACAGCCCAAAGCTGATCTACGAGCATATCACCAATCTTGGGCGGCCGCTGCACTTGCTGGCACCCTTGATTTGGCACTCCCCATTCACATAGTAGTATGGGCTATGCCAGTAGCGGGAACAACTAACTTAAACATAAAAATTTCAGAAACTCCGGCTTAATACGTGCCTACCGCATTTCATGAAACCAGGGTCCGTTCTATCGATGTCGCAAGCTTGTTTTCACCATAATCAAGAGGAAACACTCTTTTAAGCCTCCAAATTGCAATTCAAACATGAAAACTACCGTCATATAGCCAGGGGTATCAATTTTTGCCTGCTGCCCGGCGTACCTTTTCGATGCCTTGAACTTGCCACACAGGCAGGTAACTAACTTACTGGGCTAACTAATTGATTAGAATTGACTAGCACCGAATTCGTAAACAAAATGTGGGGCCTAATTTAACACCTAACACCAATAACTATCATCCATGCCCTTCGCTACGCTGCGACCCACCCATTCGCTTCTGCTTATGCGCCACGTTTTCATTACCGCCGCATGTTCATTACCGATTTTCGAATTCAATCCCGAATCAGCTGCGTGCTAGTAGCATTCGACCAAACTTCACAACGAATAGGCCAACTTCGTACTAAAAATCCGAACTAGTCGTTTGCGGTACGTTTACCGGGACAACAAAGAACTAGATCAGCCATAGGTCAGGGGCGCATGGCCCCTATTTCAACTTTTCACGGTCACGTCGCCCCTGCAGCCAGCGTCGGGCCTAAGTCTATCTGGGACGTGTTGTGCGCTCCGAGGTGGCCATGACCCAGGGCCCGCTAGTTCGGCATTCACAGGTTAATCCTCCGGACAGTTACGTTACACTCGCGCTTTCACCAATAATTCCTTTTTTACTTCGACTTCTCCGGCGTTTCTCTTTGTCCATTTACCTCAATCCAGAATAATACTTTCCCCTCAACCTTCGAAGTTTCTTTTCCCTCTTGAAGCACAGCAAGGATGAGGCGGATTTTACCCGTCGTAGCTTGCTGCCTGCTCCACCCCCAAATGGCTCCTGCAAAGGCAGATTCGGCCTACAATGCATCCCTTCCTTTCCGACCCAGCAATGTCACAGGATTGAGTGATATCTACCTTTGGGTTGGATCGTACGTCCATCCTACTGGCATCTTTCCCTGTCACTAATCTCCTCGAACAGATATTACAACGCGACCACGAAGATAGAATTCACGCCAGAGATCGGACACTCAACCAACCAATCCGCATGCGCAAATCTTAGAGGTCAATCATTCACTGCGGAATTCGAGTCTTTCCTCGCTATTACAGAAAGAGGTCCTTACAACTTAGGCTCAAATCCAGTAAATACCCTCTTGACACTCTGGAACTCGGATGCAAATATCTCCTCGCTCTCGAACTCTTCCGACTTTCCATGGGAATCACCCTCCCTTCGGTGGTATATCGAGTCTTCTCCGTAAGTAAAATTCCGCTCGACAGGCGAATGAAATAGTGATCTCAAACTAATTCCCTCTAGCTGGGTAGACTTTGCGAGCAATAGCTCAACTGAAAGCGACGCTACGACTGGTTACTTCGTCAAAGATATCTTTAACTTGACCCTGCGGCCTAGAAACAAGGAGCCTCCATACAACGTGGAAGGAACCATTAAAGATGCAGATTTGATGATAAATAGCTTTGACATGGACCTCAAAGCCTGCGATACCTCCACCGAAAGTGGCCAAAATCGCATGACCCTTGTTGATCGCGACTATACTAACAATGCTGGTTGGAACTGGACATACCCAGTAGTCAACATCCAATTCGATAGCGAAACAGCAAACTTCACTTTGGTTGGATATGCCGCTGGTTTCCCGTATCTGATTGATAGATACGACTCCTCAAACCCACTGGGTCCAAATAAGGATGAGGTGCAGGGAACGATCAAAGTTTCCTTCAATGGGGTCATCGATCCGTACCACTCCGACACTCTAGTCAACACCAGCACAATGCCTACATGGCTGAGAACTGTAGGCTTTGGAAACAATTCTATTAATATCGGCTACAACAGTGGCTCTATGAGCTTGCCCCGCCCAGTGCGCTGGGAGGCTGCCGCAATTTGCTCCTTCGTTTCCTTGGCTGTGATTTATTCCTAATTTCTCTACAAGTATTGTGTATAGTGAAGTCTGATCTCTCTATAACGAATAAAGATTACTCTTGTTCTGATATAGCTTTAACTAGGAATCGGGCATGATGGAAATTCCCAAGCTTCTGTACGACGCAGTTAGACTGACTATCTTTACCAATTTCGCATCTCGTAGAGCTTTACCAGGCCAAGAGGGGTTGTTAGGCAGACCCATCACCAGAAGATACAGTTAAATAGTCAGTACGGTGTGAGTAGGTTTCCGAATGACCTTTTCTTATCTGAGTGTTGGAAGACTGATCACTTCCTTTCCTTCCAGTTCACACACTCCGCCTTTTTCCAGTGCACTCGAGTTTCACGGTATTGGCTCTGATCCAAATAAATCCCATACTCCTACAACAGTCAACCGTTGGTCGACTCTGCCACTTACCACCGCCCTAAAGCGGTAGCATCGTCCGAACTATCGCAGTCTGAACTTGGACGAGAAGGGATGAAGGAGTGGTCGGAGTTGAGTATTAGATCTGTCGCCGTAGCTTCTCCCTCTTCCTCTTCTCTCCTCCCCTCCTTAGCCTTAGTATTCCAAACTGAAACGTCATTGTTGCTATCTCCCAGCAGTGATTAGGTTTCTCATTGACAACGAGGAACTGTTTTGTTACCTGATGGCCTACCTTGTCCCTTATATCATCGTGGCTACGGGTAACTATGATGTAGCCAGATCTAACGCGGAGAGCACATTCGGTCAGGTCAGGAGAGCTAATTGCTCACGGGCCCTGCAAAAGGACCAGGATGGCCTATCAACCAAGTTTGTATTGAGGTCTATCAATCACATTGTGCAAGCTGCCCTTAGCTCCAACTCGGACATCCCTGTTCGTGAGAGCTAACCGGCCAGCGCTACTTATACCTACGTCGCCGCAACCGCTACCATGTCCACTCCGACTCCAACGGGTAACTCAACATTGTATCGAATTGCCTTATCCTGAGTCAGCATTGATGGGACATATTGGATCATATACGACTGGCGTCCTCAAAACCGGCGTCGACTTTTATGTCGTTGACAGCGAGCATTACGCCAACACATGGTACTAGTGATATCCGTATCCGAGCTTCACCCCCTACTAGGACGAGTTCGCCGTCCAGGAAATTCCTTTGATATTGACCACAATTTGACCAGGATGGTATTTATAAATACGCCTGTAGATCCGAGCCCGCGTAAGCCCTGGAGGCCTTGGACAACGATACGATTGCGGAGCACACTTGAGATACATATAGATCTCCCATACAGGTAAGTCTCAGGGAAGAGGAGTAATTAGTTCAACTCAGCGACGTTCGAACACAGTTAGAGATATGGCTGGAAACCTTGGAACAATGGCTAGTTTATCACCAGTCTTGACCGCCCACTTACCGCTTTTGAACTGGATCTGCGCGTGGCTTGCTGTATGAGATCTATTCGTCTCTAGTTGTACCCCTTTGGCGAAGCCTCCATCCTTATTTCAATGGATTTTTCACAACTTCCGGATATTATCAGTGTGCTTGTCAGGCCAAATAACCCCCCACGAGATGATCTCGAAGAAATGGACTACACACGATGTGCAGCTCTCCACAACTACCTGTTCCAATATGCCTGGCTCGCTGAAGGCCGCCCACTGGAAACTCTAGATGCCAACAGCAGCTTTTTCACGGGCTCCGGTGACGTAGATGAAGCTGGGGCTTGCCGCCCAAGGCTTCATCCGTCATTGGCGGCATTCCTTGACACTACTATCATGCCCCCTTTTCCTTTTGATAATCCTCACGAATATATCCCGTTCTCAGTTTTTACATGGGGTATCGATGAGCCATCAAGGCTTTTTGAGGAAGATACAGCTGATCTGCAGAATCAGCCCGTTGACAGCCTGGTACGCTTGTATGCTGTCGAAGGGGGCTTATCGGCTGGGGACAGTGATAGCAGTATTATCTACCACCGAGGCATCCACCGAGCTGCGAGTTTCATGTATCTTTCATGTATCTTGATGAATATGACATTGGATTTCCAGTGGGGGGTAGTAAAAACGTTTAGAACCCCCTAGAGAGACTACTCACCAACTGGGTTGACCTTATTCATATTGGAAAAGTTGTAGCTTCGCCTCATGAAGAGCCAGCCCTGTTCGGCTGCGAGAAGGTTGGGCCCTGGGAGTGGCGGCCTTACAGCGACGCCCAGGTAACTACATGTGTCACTGAGTGGGATCGGTTGTGTCAGGCCATTACGGCGCGCATCTCGCCGCTGTCAAACCCACCACTGACCGGGACTGATACGGATAACTTAGAGCCGCTGGTTGCATCAAGCGTCCTGGACGCTGCTTGGGTGCCCGACCCTTCCTTTGCGCGTTCGTTTCTGACGCAGGCAAGACGGCCTCAGTTCCGCTACATTGCTCCAGGCCTTCTTCTTCCTCCAGTTGACGCGGCTGGATTTGTAGCCGCACGGCCGTTTAGCGTCTTGCCCCGCTCCGAGTACACCGCACCACCAGTATGTCTTTTCCCGGCTGATACAGGAGACCAGCCTCCTATCTAGCTTACGAGAACAACCTCTCCATTTTTACAGTCGGACTTCTATTCAAGGTCCACAGAAACGTGCACCCCATCTCGCATCTCTGCAGGCCTGTACACTGAGGCAGTAGAGAGAAACGGCCTTGACGTGGCGGAGGAGGGATTTCGGCTGTTGCTTCCGTTCACCTTAATGATGATTAGGACAAGAGCGTGGGCGCACGAAAAAGCGATGGGTCCCTTGTTGATAGGGGTCGCTGTTCAGAGCTCTTTCAGCATAGGTATAAGCCTTTTGGTGGTGATTACTACCGCCCCCAGCGCCTGGAGCGTTTGTTGGAGTGTTGGCGTAAGCTGGTTGAAAGAGGCGTGTGGCATGTTGGGGCGGATGGAGTAGAAGGTACTATTGATACTTTCAAAGATGCCGAGTCTGACCGTTGGGAGGATTATTATATTCCACCCACGTGGTATATTTTCCAGTGCCACTCTGCCTTCCATCTGGACAGTTTTTTGAGTTTCATTCTGTGGAAATGGAGTACCAGGACCGACGAGGGGGATTCAGTTCCGTGGTAAATTAACCATCGAGATAGCCATTCCAATAGTGAGTTATTTATAACTTGAGTTTCTGTCTTTTCTTCTTCCATCTTCTCCATACGTCCCAAAACCCATCCAAGAACCTGTCATACTATCAAATAATATAGTTCTAACCCCATAACTTCCAAAGTTTCGTTTATCATTGATGTGTTCGATGCTGTCGAAGACCGTACACATACGGCTCCGGTGCCACCACAGTTCCTGATGCTGTCTGCACGTTAATCGTCTTGGCAGAGAGCGTGGGTCGAGACTCGCAGCCCATTGCAACACCGTGGTGACAGTGACAGCCATGGCAGTCACCACATTTGGCTTGGAACCTTTGAGCTCCTCTCTTGTTCACGAACCATCCTCTCTGTCACCTATGTATATGTCCACAACTTGGAGAGTACGCACTTGGATCTCTGGGTGGGCTGTGGTGATCTCTGTGGCCATCTTGGCCAGCTTATCGGCATTCCGGGCGGCTAGAATGAGCCACGCAGGTTGGTCTTGGCGATAGATTGAACAAAGAACATATCCAAGGAGTCTAGGGAAACACCAGTGGTCAAAATGACCTTGTCTTTAATCAGTGCGGCGTAGTCAGACACGAGTTCATCGGTAGTGGTCTGAGTAGTGTAAGGGCCGGGATTACCGGATGCGAGCCTCGAGAAGGAGGTTCGGATTTACAGCGTGCAGTGATATCTATCTTCAATATCTTGAGAATCAAAATAGTATTGCCGCTGGCTTGTGAGCCTGGACAGCAAGGGGCAATTTCGGCATTACCTGTCAACAGGTCGATGTAATATACACTGTGAGTGAGCCAGAGGCCGAAAAAGCATAGCGATTACTCATGGAACGCTTCCGGCGCATGATAGAACCGAGCTCTCCTGTCTCAGTTATAGCAGTCATGTTCAAGGAAAAATTCCGTCGGACGTTGGCCGCGAAGAAGTCAGATGGAATATTGCCATCATTCTAACACGACAGTCGCGAGGATCATCGAAGAGTTGAGAGACTTGCAGGAAGTTCTGAAGTAAGAATATATCTATGCCGGCGGGCCTTAACATTGAGTAAAGTCATGTTACATGTGTCACCAGGTGACTTAATTGACAAGGTCTCGAGGACTGCACGCTTCAGTGTTTTCAGGCTTCTCTCTAGTCCTTATAACAACATATGGCTTGAAGCAATGTCTTCTCATCCTGTGTTGGCTCTAACAATCCAAACAAATCACCCGCCACGCAACTAATTTGGCGACGACCAGTGAATGCTTTTGTTTGCAACTTACTAGTATAATATTTTTGCGATAGAATGCTCTTCCTTCTAACTAAGATAATCTTGGTGTGGACTTTAATAAGTAGGTCCAAAAGTTCTTTAAGCTGTTCGCGGAATCACTAGTCCTATAAAAGTAGTTTACTCCGCCGTTACTCCGCATCTTCATCAGTAAGATTCATCCAATCAACATTATAAAGACCGTCAAGGCCACAATTAAACGAGATACAACATATTCTGGCCCAAATTTTAAATTGGCCCTTGCATTTGAATTATCTCCCATTTCGCGGACGAGTTCACCAGATCTTCAGCCAACATATCCTTGAGACGAAACGAATAAGAACCTGTGAGCGATTTCAACACTCAACAAGCTATCTCTATGTCTGGGACATTTGATACCGAGGATGGTCAGCCGACTGTTAGCCACCCCACGCAGCAGTCCCCGGAAAAAGCCGTGGACAGGATCTTGCCAAATGAATCAAGCACCAGCGAAGAAAAGTTGCCTCGCGTCGCAGATAAGATCCCAGTCTCCGTCTGGCTTGTGATCTTGGTAAGTACTCTGGAGCGTTTTGCCTTCTTTGGGATTCGTGAGCCATTTCGTAAGTTCCAAGTAGTACTTTCGGATCAATACTCCCCAGCCGCTGACATGACGACAGAGAATTATCTCCAAAATCAACGCAATGATCATCTGCGACCAGGGGCACTTGGATTAGGCGAAAGCAAGGCTAGCAATCTCTCTTAGACGTTCTCGTTCTTGTTATACAGTATGCCGCTATTCGCGAGCGTCATTATCGATTGCTTTCTTGGACGCTATCGAGGAATCTTGCTTTTCCTGTGGTAAGATATCTTACCATAAAATATTATTTTACCCTGCCTTAACTCCAACATTACAGCATTTATGTGAGCGGGGCATTCATCTTGGTCATGACATCTCTGCCACCATCGTTGGATGCAGGAGCTGGCCTTCCAGGGTTTTTAACTGGCATCATCCTTATGGGGATAGGTCTTGGGGGTGTCAAGTCCGGTATATCACCGCTCATGGGTTCGTTCTCTCCCCGCCCCGGAGCTAATTTGGAGCATCCGAGTGCAAGTCCGGTGCCGCTTACATGGAATCATTTATGCAGCCGATCAGTATACCAACTGGGAAGACAAAGTTGTCGTCAAGCCGAATGGCGAAAAAGTGATCATTGATCGGGATCTCAGTATGGATAGGATCTACCATGCATATTATTGGTGAGTTTTGCATTACCCAGGCCCTGAACACCGAGCTAGAATGTATCCCTACGGAGTTGAACTGACATCGTCTTATAAGGGCCGTTAATATCGGGGCGCTCTCCGCATTAGCCACCACCTTTATGGAAAAAGACATTGGGTTTTGGGCGGCCTACCTGCTTCCGTTTTGCGCATTGTGCACTTCCTTACTGACTCTGGCCCTGTGCCGGAATAAAATCGGTCTGTTGGAGCGTGGTACTAGTATCTGAGACGAAAGCTAATGGTGTATTAGTTAAGCTCCCGCCAGGCGGCAATATTTTACCAAAGGCGTTCCGGATCATGTTGTGCGCAGCAAAAAATGGTTTCAATATGGATGCCGCACGACCGCACAATCGCCCACACTCAGTTGACTGGGACGATAAGTTTGTGACAGATCTCAAACGTGGTCTTGTCGCTTGTCGCATCTTTGCATTTTATCCCATTCTTTGGGTGGCTCATCTACAGATCAACAACAATCTTGTCTCTCAGGCAGCTCAGATGAACACCGATGGCCTTCCAAATGATATCTTCCCAACATTAAACCCAATTGCGGTGCTAATCCTTCTGCCTATTGTCACTAACCTGCTGTATCCCTTATTGAGAAAGATGAGGGTCGAATTTCCACCGGTAAATCGAATGGCGATCGGATTTCTCATCGAGGCAATTGCGATTGCGTACTGTGCAGGGATCCAGCAGCTCATTTATACAAAGCCGCCCTGCTACTCCCACGTGCTAGAATGTCCTGCTTCCAATCATGGAATATTACCCAATCAGATCAGCGTATGGGCTCAAACACCGACCTACGTATTAGACGGTCTGGCGGAGATATTTTTTGACGTTGTTAGCCAAGAATACGGGTATAACAAAGCACCGGACAATGTCAGGAGGCCTAAAAGGTTCAACATGGAATCCCCGCTAACATCCTTTTTCCCAATACAGATGAAATCAATCGTTCAAGCTGTCCTGTCTGCCATGTCCGGGGTTGGTGCTGTTTTGGGATTTGCCCTCTACCCTGTTGCACACAATCCGAATCTTGTTTGGATGTACACAGCTCTCGCGGCCGCTATTTTCCTTGCATCGTTGGCGTTCTGGTTATGTTTCTGCAAGTACAATGCAGAAGATGCTGACATGAATAGGAGAGACTAGAGGGGAGAAAGTGCTTGGCTCGGGAAAGTACACATCTAACAGATGACGGGAACGCGATAAATAAACTGAGAGAACAGGACGACCAGGTTTGGAGGGAATAGGATGTTAACTATCAATGCCATGTGGAGCGCTGGAAGCACGTAGATGGATTTACTATCAATAAGTACCTACCACTGCCAGTGGTATTCGCGGTACTGGCCTGGAAGACATATATTGTGAATAAATTCTATTAAAGAAACAGAAATTCTAAGTCGTACTGATCCAGTAAAATTATGGCTTTTTTTCATTGCAATCTCTCGAGGTCTGACATTGTCTGCCATCATTCTGTCAAATCACTGCACCATCGTAGATACCAGTTCCCTGAGAGAGCAAAGGCCAAAGAGCCGACTATCCGAGCCCTCAGGAGTTGGCTGGTGCCGTTGCTATTAGTCTCGGTAAATAATGACCTCGTATTCACAGTTATTTCCCTGCTGCTCAAGTCAAGCCCTACTTGTGATATGCATTAACTCTAATTCTAAGTTATATACCTTCTATGGCATCTGTGATTTGAAGCTAGCAGCGGAGATATCGGTCACAATATGATTATGTACGAATGCCTTTCCATATTTCGTGAATTGAAGCTTTTACAGAGGCATCAACCAAATCAGATCGACACCCAACGTGAGTCAATACCTCGTGCAACCAAGTATACATGTGTGGTAGCTGTAAGACGTGATTATTAGTCTTAGAGATAATAATATCTGATCGGACAACTCACTTGATATTCCACTTCCTCAGGGTGATAAGATGAACATTTCAGTTGCTGGAGCTCTAAGCTACACACCTGACCCGCAGCTTTAATAATTCCATGATGCAAGCCCGCCACTTCCACAGGGTCCATGCAGGTCGAAGCGCTCTGTAGCACCATCACCAATTGACCAAGAGTACTTGAACCCCTTGACTGTTGCAACGTAGCTGCCCGAAGCGGGGGTCTCAGACGTGACAGAAAGTACTCGAGGACGAAGGATTCAGCGGAAAGAAAGCCCGCCGAAAGTATTGCCTGCACGCACTGTTCTAGTCGGCTAGTCGTATTTCCGTCCTGAATTGGGTCTCGAGGCAGGTCTGTGTTACGCCCGCTTCTCATCGACTGGGCTGAGTAGTTCTCCTGGGTTGGGTCCGTATTGCTCGGGAGCAGTTGGACGTAATCTTGTGTTTCAAGGGCATCATTAAAGGGATCTTCTGCCCAAGGTACATCGGGATTGCCGTACGGCAATGGCAAGGAGCTCGCGTCGAGAGCTGGCAAACCCGAGTCGCTGGTTGCCGATACCGAGATACCGTCTCGTGCATAAGTATTGGATGTGAGAGATTCCCAGTCGATCAAGCGAGTGAGTTGAGGAAGTTGATCATGCCTCGCAGGCCGTGGCATGGTGAGACGACTGTGGCTGAGGTTCTCGGCGCAACTGTGGCGTCCTCCTAGGTAGCGATCAAACGATACATGCAAACAGGATGTCGCAAGTGTAGGACGGTCTTCCCCTCTCGTATAGGTTGAATGCCTCTCATGGAGAAGGGGATTCAGCGACTGATTCTTCGATCAACCACCCCGATTGCGAGCTGGAGGGCTTATAATTGCGGCCTTTGTTTTTTGTTCGTTCTCTTGATTGTTTTTTTTTTTGGAGGGTTGTCACGTCATACGGCGTCATAACGTCAGGCCAGCCACCAAGCAAGCGCGCAATTTCCAAGGCAAAATGATCCCCGCCATGGTGTGATTCCACGGAGTTCGTCCAGGTATGTACGACGCGGAATATCCATGCATAATCGTACCTTGCGATCGGAGGGTCTCCACAATACCCCGTACTCGGCTTGATCGAGCAGAGTGTCAACTACCACGCCTGTACTTTTGACGTCATCCAACACATTTGGAAAAAGCAACAACCGGCCGGCATTGCAGCAACAGATGTTACCGAGAGAGCAGGGATGTTGGCGGGCACAGGCATCAGAGCAGGGGCCGGAATATGAGCATTTTGTTTCGCATTTTCGCATACATGGCTGTACTTGAATCATACCCATCTAATTATTGGAGCCGGACCTGCGAAAGGAGCAAAGCGACATGACGAGCCTCAGCCGAAGGAATGGCAGAATGGCCTCATGCGAAAACTGCCGGCGAAGGAAAAATCGCTGCGACCATAATCGGCCAGTGTGCACTTCCTGCCAGCGTCGCGGGCTTGCCTCGAGCTGCTTCTACCATCCAGCCCCGATGACACGCCCACGCACCACATCCACCAGGGGAGAAATGCAAGCTACGTTGATGGACTTCAACACGTCTCCGACCTATCAGTATGCACCCAGCCAGCGTCGGCTTCCTTGGCCGTCGATCGCCTCTGATGCGCATCATCCGGGTTTCCGTTTGCCGGGACTCGATGCCAGCGCGGGGGAGATTCATGCCGAGCATGTGGCCGTGGTGAAGGAGATGCTTGCACGCCTTAGACGTCTTGATCTGATTGAAAAGCTGCTCAACGAGTATTACACCCACAGCCCTGCGGCTCTTGTTCCTGGTCCACTTGTGTTGCCCGCTGTCGTCGCACTTCGGACCCACATGAACGATGTCTCAGCATCTGCGGTCGCAACCGATGACCCAACCCTGCCGGTTGCTGAACGAATCATTCAGTCGACATTGGCGGACATTCACATCGACGTGGACCTAGCACCGTCGAAATTCTGTGAATCCTACGCTGGGAAAAGTCTTCGTCTCGAAGCCATTGGCCTCCTCTTCGCTCTCGCAGGCCGCTCGTGTCTATTGAGTCCCGGCAGGGACGATTGGCGGGATGAATTCGTGAATACAATGTTTCGCTGTAGCACATGCTGCCTTCAGCTTGCGCGGGAAATCGCGCCGCAAGTCAATGATCCTATGGTGTGGTTGTCATACGAAAATCTCTTATTGACAATGTCTATTCAAGGAGATGCTAGTACGTTGCTCTCGAACACCCAAGTACCCCTGAGAAAGTTTGCCTTTGGGCCAACTGATGACAGAACATTGATGCCTCTCACATGTTAGGTCCTAATGTATGGCGTCGCCTCGGCGACCTGTCGACCGACGTGTATGCCCTCGGCGTCCACCGTGAGTCGACCCACGCAGGGAAAGTGCCGTTCTATATTTCAGAGTGTCGGCGGAAAATGTTTGCATCCGCCTACCAGGTGGACAAGCTCATCTGCACATTTTTCGATAGACCCCCAAGGATTCTTCGGCGTTATGCTGATTGTAAAATGCCACTGGATCTCACTGATGACGAAATTCTTGTCGCGGCGGATGAAGTTGAGCGAGTAGGTCTTTTACTGGATTCTGAAGGTTGGAGTGCTACAGCGCGCTTTACCAGCTCCACCTGGGCACGTCTGCGCTATATCCTTGGCGTTTTCAGAGAGGAGGTTTTGGAGTTCCCCTTCCGCCCCCTTACGACTGAAAACAAGGCGAAGCTGATGCAAGTATCTAAAGACCAATGATCAGTCAAAGGCTAACCATTTGACAGGAATCTTTCAGAAAGATGCCAGCAGGCATGGAGAGGTTTACCCGACCACCTCAAATATACACACCAATGCTGGACATCGGGAATTGGAGCTACAGTATGTCTCATGATGACAATTGTACATCTCTCACATCTCCAAAATGAGTTTCAGATACATCGTCTTCTCGAGAAGAGTGAGGCAAGTTCCGCTTCCACATTGCTACAAGTCTCGGCGGACATCATTGAAGTCATTGTACAATTGGGTAAATCGCGCGACAAAGCAATCCTTCTACGGCACGACTTTCCTTACGTCGTGAGTAATGAATCTGCCTCCCTACTTCAATTTCTGTCTAAAGTCTCTACAGGTAGTGAACTACGGCCTCCCTAGCGCTGCCACGTTAGTGGCGGCTCTGCAGACCATTACAAAAAGCCAGCGGCCTGCGCCGCTGCAAAACCTCAGTCGCTCAGCGCTCATACGCAGCTTGGTGGTCTTTACTTCTTACCTCGAGAGCATTGGCGACACGGGTGAGGCAATTCATTCGACATGTGTGCAAGCTGCGCAGGTGATCTCTCGCACCCTGGATAATATGCTCGACGAGCCACCCTCCACATCTAATACAACACCCGTCGTGGCTGGAACGTCTATGTTTACTGATCTTCAAAGCGCGCTTTTCTCACCCTCGGAGTTCCTGCAATCTGGGCTTGACACTAGTTTCCCAAACTTTGACTTGCTCAATAGCAATGCATTAGACGGTGTTGATCTGTCTGGATGGCTAAATGATATTACATGGACAAACAAATTCTCTGGATAGAGGTAATTAGGGAGAAACGTACACATGAAAATCATAGCATTGTCCGTGCGATAAGAAATCACGAATGAACCTCATGGTACAGAGTTTTGGTCAATATGAGGAGCTCGGAAGATTTCTTTTCTTTTCATCTTCCCATAGTTTCCTATTCCCTTTTTCCTTCCCCGTCCTTAACGTTAGGATGTGAATGCTGCAAGAGGAACTGTACTGTTCATGCAGCTTTGCCAGTTCAACTCATTCGAGTATCATCTCTGTCTTGGCCAGCTTTCCAAAGGAGCGCTGCCTTATATATATGCAGGGAATTCACTATCAATCTCACTTATTATCACCCAACGCTACACGCTTCTAAACTATATTTGAAGTCCAGTACGACACTACGGAGCTTACTCGCATCATACTCTGAATCGGAATGGGAATGGACTGTGCTGCTACTACCTAATCCGAGCTCCGCGCAACTCCGTTACTACTCCGCCCGACAACGCCATCCAGTTACCCCCTGTACTTTCCCAGGCCCTCTCCAACTTTTCTTTGGCCTACCACCATCCAGTAACATACCCTCTAACAATTCGTGAACTTATTTCATGGAACTATGAGTACAGAAAAAGGTGAACCAGAAACCTATGGAAAAGGAAGGTCCTTTTGCCAAGTCTGATGACCCTTCAAAAGCGAGGGAAATTACCCAAGGACTCAGGCCCTGAATTTCAAACAAAGTCGAATGCTCCATCCGAGCTTCAGGACAGGGTCTGACTTCGGGGAATTCAGATCCGTCCGGGAAGCATTATCCATTCCGGGGTTGGTAGCCAAACAAACATGTCGAGCGGATGTGATCGAATGGTTCATGATCAGTTACTATGATCAGTTACTAGGGCTTTGAGGGTTCGTGGTTATTTACTGTCCAAATCTTCTACAGATTTGATCGAATATCGAGAGCGTCGCGGCGAGATTCCACCGAAAATTATCTGCAGACCTCAGGTCGCATCTCTGTCACCGCTCACTCGATTCTTCCCCCTGTCACCGCCCTGATGCTGGAAAAAGGACCGTCCGAACTTCGAGGTGGGCATAGATGGGATGGAGGTTCGCGTAGGAGTAGACAGGCCGCTACAGTAGCTCCTCCCTCTTTCCCTTCTCCTTTCCCCCTCTAGTTCTAGTATCTCGAATACGAGCGCCGTTGCTGGTTCTTCCTGTCCCCAACGTAGGCCACCATTGACAATCTCTTTCAATGGGATCCGATCTCGACAACCAGTGCACCATGTTCAATCATAATGAATCAAGGCGCCTCTTCGAACAAAAAATTGCCTTTTATCGTATGGATCGAGGTGGGAAGCTTGGACAAGAGAACGGATTCCTGCATGATATGAAAAGTGGCCAGGATATAGTTTTGGCTGGATATGAGAGAATTACATTCTCAGGTAATTCTGGTGGGTTGGCCTTGTTATCGTTGTTAGAGATATGATTCATCCTCGAGTAGAGCTAGGGGAGCTTGAACCACAAGTAGTAATTCTTGGTCACAAGCGTCTGATTTGAAAAACAACCAGTAATATTTGGCTCGAATACAATATCCTTCTTAAATAACTATTACTGGGTTAGCAGAGCTGGCGATTAAGACATACTCAGCATCAGGGTTCCCCGCTTAAAATCCTCGGGCCTCTCTCTTTCATGCTAAATCCCGAACATAGAAGTCGAAGGGGCGTAGGGTATTTAACAGAAGATGTGCTGTAGATAATTTATCAGCCTACAATGAATCTTGTACAAATCTCTTGATATATTTAAACAATGTAGTATCTCGTCACATTATGTGAAGTAGATCTGCTGGAGGTCTCGCATCTTGTAATCAGACCTAGCAGGAAACCTCCTTACTCCCCGGTGGGATATACCTATCGTCGATTCTAGCGGTCATCATTTTTCTAATGTATCAACATACCGCCTTTATACACATCGGAATCCTGTGCGATGTTGGCCAAATTCAACATTTGTCTGCGGCTTCGATCGTGTTCTGTAATTTTGTTGACGCTGGTTACCTGGATTATTTATTCGATGCAGTGAAGATGGTATGATTGGGAAGAACAACACATAGAGGAGCACTTTCCATTGCAACGTTGATTCAGTGGCGTTTCACCATCGAACCTCATTGTTCCTTGACATTCCCTTTTGTAGCACAAGCCGCCTTAGATAAATCCTACTCCTGGGCTTGCCTTCGCCTCCCGCAGTCATTGTAAGATTTAGTCTTATGAGAACTGCAGCATGGTTTTTTTGTCTTGAATTATTGTCAATGCTCTATCAAGACTACTTGACGAAGCCAAGCAGTCTGTCTAGCACATACGACCATAGGGTGTGGAGAACAGGGCTTCCCGTCCGCTCAGCCGTACTTAAGCCACACGCCGGTCAGTTAGTACTATGGTGGGTGACCACATGGGAATCCTGACTGTCGTATGTAAAGTTTTTTGTCTGACAGCGCCCACCGATATCTTTCGAGGAATTTCCCGTGGCTGATTAGAAAGCGAGTAATAAAGGTCCTTGGCGCATCGTACTGTTTCCTCTATCTTTGTGGGATGTTTGACTTGCAAGATTTTTATGTCGGATATGTGTGTGAAGATGTGGAGAGTGGACGTAGAAAAGGTTCGTGGTTTTCGTAATTGCTTCAGGTGTAGGAAGGTCTTGTCATTCTGTAGCAAGACCTGACTCAAACAGCAGCTTTGTCTAGCAAGGTAGCAAGGCTTTTTGGGCTAGATAGTCTCCAATAATTAACCTCTGTTCGATCGTTTGATCAAGCAATCAAATGGAGATAGGGGTGAGGCCAAAATAGCACAAGCAAACTTGATCTATCTATAGTCAATATCCAATAAAGGTGAGGAAAGATCGATTTCCCGTCTAGTTATCCCAATGAGATCATGGTCTACGTCACCCTCGAATCACAACAGTCATGATTAATTGACTGTATTTACTCGTTTAGATTCTCTTTGACGAAGCTAAGGGTGGTTTGAGGCCGGTCTAGATCAGAAAGAGACACACATTATTTAGAGCAATTCTTCGGGGATCCATATGAGCTTTATGCGATTCTTGAGCCTACGAATCTCCTGCTTCTCTCCGTTTACTTATTGCCATTAGTTATCGTATCAATGAAATCATTTGGGCAAACTTTATGACACACATCGACAATGGCCACGTATCTTTCTTTCATTATTGAAGTAGTATGCTAGTATCTCCAACCGCTGCGCTTGCCAGAAAAAGGGAAGGAAACTGGATAATGTTTGTATATTCTGATCATAACGCATTCAAAGACAATTCCTTGGGCTATGAAATAATCATCCGAAGAGAAATTCGGAGATTCTCTGCAGACCTTGAAGGTCTCCCTCGGCTGTATTGGATAATTCTTTATCCACCCAGCCCCTGGTGTAGCCTCCACCAAAGTCAATAAGATACGCGTCGTATTGCGCATCTATCAGGACATTATCAGGCTTGGCATCTCCCCAGACAGCACCACAACTATGGAGACCCTCTATAGACTGGGTGATCTGGCTAAGCCATTTCTGCGACATTGAGACATATTGGGGGTCCTTTCCAATACAAAGTAAGGTCTTACCCTCGCGGGACTCAATGTATGAGAGAAGGAGGCCAACAATACGGCCCGAAGAAGGAATACGAACGATTCCAAGTAGTCGGCTTGTGTTGAGAGGCTTGGAGGTCAATCTTGATTGTATTTTCGAGTATGTTTCAAGCTCTCTGCATGTGCTGTTCACATCCCCCGCGCCTACTGACTTCAAGAAAGCAACCTGATCCTCTTAGCCCTGAATATAGACTTTCCGAGGAATAGCTGGTAAGGTATCGTAATCCTCTGATACTGGAACATCGATCTGGTCAGGGCGATAGATTGGGAATGTAGAATAATCTACTTGCTCAGGGAGAAGGGCGCCAAGAAATCGCTCATCTCCCACATTGTCTAGGAAAATAGGCAATAGCTTTCCTTGCTGGACTTCTAATGAGTAATAGAAAACCTCTGGAAATAAACAATCATGGAGAGTATATCTCCGACATTTATTTAAAGGTGGAATCCGTCGAAAGATTGGGTAGAAACATTCTAACACCCATTCAGCGAGCTCTTCAAGAGGATCTTCCCAGTCGAATTCCTCATCTGGGCTAGGGAGATAGTCGGGCTCTAGATGCTCAAGATGCTGAAGGTAGTCTGCCAGGAGTGTCGGAGATTTCTCGAAGTTGGAGGCTTTCAGTTCAATTTGAAAATGTTTGTTGGAGACGAAAACATTTAGCTGGGAGTCTTCGTCATTGACACTGGACCGAAAAGGTCCCAAGGTGTAGCTAGGCTTATCCATGGCCAGAAGATGACTGAAAACGCAGGTTGGAATTAGGATAGGAGGGCTCTTAAAGTAATTTAAGTTGTCAGACCGTGCAAACAAAATAAACATATTCCACCGAGGAGAAAAGTGGTTCTCTAAAGTACACTAAATCATTTGTGATATCTGCACAAGGCTGATAGGACGGAGGTTCGCGAAGGAGTAGGTAGATCGTCGCCGTGGCTCCTCCCCCCCCCTCTTCTTTTCCCTCTCTAGTCTTAGTATTTCGAATCAGAACGCCGTTGCCAATCCTCCCACTTCCAACGTAGGCCACTATTGACAATATGGCTATATTCTCGTGGATCTCTTCCAAATAAAAAATACCGAAGTTGCTGAATCGGTCTCACCTTCGCCCAGGGGCAATTGAGGATCCACCCGCGTAACAGTGCCGTCCTCATCCACACGCCCGCCGCCCCGTTTTTGTGGTGCAGCGGTTTTCGGACCTTTGTTAAAATCTCAGTTCCTTCCAGACCCTACTCACCCTCATCCCTCGTCATGGGCAACAAGAAACACGAAAAGCCAAAACCCTTGGCCGGGGATTTCCTCGATAAACTACCTACCGAGAAGAGGCTGGCAAGCGATTTTTACAGTGCAGCCGACTGCGAAGATGCAATCCACGGCCGGCGTATCCCTAAAAATTTCGGCAGGCGTGTGCTACAATTATGCGTTATTCGTGGTATCCGACATTACTATGGTTTCGCGCAGGACATGGAACGTTTGATGCCAGAACTCACTCCCGTGCTCGATGCCAAAAGTTCTCACGAGGTGGTACTGGAATTCATCCGTGCTCTGAATGCCCGACATATTATGAGTGGGGTAATCCCAGCCCTCTCCAGCCCTGAAGAGACTCCTTACTGCATTTGGCATCCAGATGTTCCAAGCAAAGACACTTTACGCGCTCTGGTAAAAAAATACCCCCAAATGATCTATAATGCCGCCCGTGCCTGTGCAATTGGCGGGTATCTTGACTTGTACAAGGAGCTTGACCCTCTTCCCGAGGTGCATGTTGCAGAGGAAGCAGGCTATGCTGCCGCCGGGGGGGGCCCGGGACAGCCAAGGAAGCCAGGGGATCTATGAATATATCCTCTCTCAACCAGTCAAATTCTCAATCATGAACGACTACACACGAAGGATCGATATCCGTGGTCATCGAATTGCACCACTCAACGGCGACACCGCAGTCTACTCGAGTCTTGAAGCAAGATGGGCATATCATCACCACAAGCCATGGAATGGAAAGTTTCATCACTTTAATATAACAGAGGACTTTTGCATCGATGACCATGATCATGAAGCTCCTCAGAAAACACCTGATGATTATTTCCCACTTTTATACAGCCCGCTCCCGGCAGACCTTCCCCTTATCGACAAAGATAAACTTTTCTATGTTGCTGCATACACAGGGGACATTGATCGCTATGTGCGCTTGAAAAGACCACAAACCCTTCCGCACGAGCGATCTATCGTGATTCATGGCATTTATCATAATGTATTCTTCGCCAAATGGTGGAGTACTCAAGTCGCAGAACCCCCGAAATCTGGGGCAGAGATTTCGATCAGGCGCGCAATTAACGCACGACGCATAATGTCCAATGACTTGTCCTGGATGGCAGCAGATACGCCGGAAAATTTGCTACCTGAAAACATATGGTATCCCTCTTTTGCTCGACCATCCACCTACGAGAGCCTGGCCCATCTTCAGCCAAAAATGTTCACGAGGTGTCTCCGGGCTTGTATTGCAGCAGGATATGATCACACATGGGATCAGTTGTTGTTGGAACCTCCCGAGGGTGTGCAGAGTTTCAAAAGCTCTGGCCATCCCAGCGACCGGGACAGTTTGAAATTGTGGCGAATCTCCAGGATTGTCGATGCAAACATTTGGGAAGAAGCGAACTCAGTACCACAGAAAAAGTTTCTGCAGGAGATTTGTGCTGCCGTACCAGACATACTCAATGACCCACCATATGGCACAGATGGCGATTGGGCATCAAGCTACACCGCAAGTGACCTACATCGTTCAAGCTCACCTGATATATTTATTCATGATCCAGTTCAACCAACTTCGGGAATTGGTCCATATGATGGGTTGGAGGGCGACATTGGAGACATTGGACTCGCTGTATTTGTAAGGGACAATCTCGAGATAGAAGCCTGGGAACGAGAGCAGGAGAAAAGAGGGTCGTCCGAATCTTTCTTGCTTCTGCAGGAGATAAGGGACGTATTAGCAACAATAAGATCTTCATAGGAGGGCCTTTACATTCTGAGAAATATGAGTACGCTCCCTAGAGGTATATTTCATAGTAGTCACGGGTATACATTCGATATTCTCGACGAGGTCAGCCGCCCCGTTTTATCGGGCAGTATCCATTATTCATCGGGAAATGTGCTTGCTCAATGGCCTGAATATTTGGTTTGTGACCATTCTCAGTGTTTTCTTCACCTTCAGCTGGAGTATCGACCATCTGAAACCAATTTTTGAAATGAATAGTCTCCTGATTCGGATGCGCTTCGAGTATGCTACGTAGTTTTTCAGCTCCAGGCTTGGGATTATCCAGTTCCCCTTTTGGGTTTTGCTATGGTACTTACTTTCGTTCCGCATTCTGTAAATCAACAGTGATAAAGGGGGCTCTCCCTCCAGGAAAACTGCCGGTTGCTGGGAATCTGCTTTCTGGGACTAGGCCTGTCGTAATCATTGTATTGCGATCTCTAGGAACTTCTGTCTCTGGATCAAATTTCGCCCGCAATCGATCGCCGACATCCCGGACCCTCTGGGAGATACGTCCTTGCCACACTCTCCGTCGAGCTCTTTCCGCGCCGAACCGCAATGAACTCAAGTCTGCGTCATCTTTGTTCTGCCCTATAAATCTTCAATGAAGTTTGAGCCATGTGTTTTGTTTCAAAATGCATTTAAGCCTTTGGGAGGAGGGGCAGACATACTCGCCGATGCATTTGAAAAGTTGCGGAATGTCGTTTTTGGATGTCCCTTGATAAACACGGCCGCAGTCATATGCGCCTCTCAGGTTGCGGCGGTAGAGCGCATCAGCCAACTCATCAATATTCGCTCCAGTGATATTGTGGACGGTGCATCGATCATGGCGATGATGTTGTGAAACTCAGTCACCAACATGAAAAAGGTTGAAGATATCGGAGGAAAAGCTCATAATGCTGAAGTTACCGAAGCTATCCTGTGGTTTGTTACTGCGTTTCTCCTCCTTATTCCTGGCTTGGGGGAAATAGCTGAGGAAGCAGATGTGGTGGCGGTTGCCACGACCCTGAGGCTTCTTGGTGATGCTGAGGATGTGGGTTTAACTACCTACGACATCGTGACCACGAAAGACCGTGGGCCGGGGGTGATATTTGAAGGCATCTTAGGTGGGCTTGGTGCCCTCGATATGCTGAAAGCTCCAGAGCTTTTCGGAAAGGCAGCGTCGGCAAGAAGAGCAATGTCAGATTCTGATATCGCGACGTTAGGAGATGAAGTTTCTGGTGGATTAGCGCAGGTGAAGCTTGTCAAACAAGACTGCTTTTAACGCGAAGGAACGACTCATTCTAGCACCCCATGTCAGATCGCAGCCGAAAATTTCGTGTATAATGACTGCTGGCAATTTATCGAAAGGCACTTCCGGGCTAAAGCTGGCAAAGCGATATGCCAGCCCCATGTCAGTAGTTTGCCAGACGACGAACAATGTGGCTGGCGTGTGATACCACAAATTAGCCGCCAATAGGTTGTGGATTTGCAGTTGAAATGAAGATTGGAAGATTGCTTGGAAAAATTTCACCCTTGATCTTCAGAGTTCTTCTGGCTTTCAGGGATTCTTTGTGTTTTGCGTTCTGTATTACCCCACCCCCTTAACTTTGATTCATCCCCCCCATTCGAGTGCGGATATAGGAACACACTCACGCCAATTTCTTTCTGGGGGGAATAAAAGAGCGAAATATCATGTTTGTGGACTTATATGTATGGAGAGGTTCACTCGTTATTTCATATTCCTCGTATGGTATTGGATTCAATCATCTTACTCCAGTGCCTAGTTATAAGCAGGCTCACAGTCAGCTTGGCCAGCCCAATCTCAACTTTTTCTATCCGCCCAACTAGTCTGTTGGTCGAAGATCTCTCTCCTTTCCTTTCATGCGCTTGAGGCCCAGTTTCCGGAGGTCGGCAAAAAAATTAGAGGCAGCCTCAAACGTTTCGTGATGGGTCCAGCCGTCCCTTTTCACAAGCCCATCAATACTATCAAAAAAGTCTTGGACTTCGTTCCAGCCCTCTGCGTCTACCATATGGCTTCTCAGTTCTTCCTCGGTGAAATGATACGGGCAATCGCCTCGGGTGGTTAGCTCTTGCCAATGTCTATTATACTGTCAGCTCTCGCCAAATCCTGAATATCTACAAAGTCATACCTTTCAATTTGGATCAAAGACTCCCGGAAGGAAACAATTTCATCGTCCCAAGTATTTCCGGCCAGCTCGACCGCAAGGCACCTTGTCTTTCCATGGTCTAAATGAAATGCTTTGGCAAGCAAAGAGTTCTGTTTCTCTGTTTCCATCAAATAAAGCTGGAAAAGTGTCGATTTGAAAATCTGTCGCTTAATTTGGACTTGCTGCTCAGTATCAAGATCGTCAAAATTATCTGGACGATTGAGTAGAATACCGCCTTGATAATCAACAAGCGGAGATGGTTGTGCTTGAAGAAACAGCGGCCCAGTCCACGAGCTTTGCCAATCAATAACGGCTGTGATACGATGGTTTTCAACGAAAATATTCGAGGAGTGGAGGTCACTATGCCATAGCGTGGAGCGATTTAGGGCAGGATCAATATCGATAAGGCAGGGCACAATGCTCAAATATTTCTCCAGCAGCTTCAGATGTGCCTGCGGATTATTTTGTGCGAGAGAGACCATCATAATGTCATCAGGGGTCTTCGAAATAGCGTACTTTTTTATCCGCTCGACTTCGCGCCAGCCAACATTCGATGCATACTCTGTAGGACTTGACCCTATGATACAATTAGATGACATTGCTTTGAATAGGGTCAGAAAGGACTTACAAGGACCTCGCGATATGTTCATGGTAGAGCGTTCCTTTTTCCAGAAATCCCTTTGAACAGTGGGGCCAATGGTGAATTTCTTAGAGACCTGCTCTTTTATATCATTGGAGACCACACTCGTGATCTGAGCTGGTACCGCGCCATCTATCGCGTCACTTGCGAAGTAGATGCTGCCGTAGCTAATAACGAAAGGGTGAGCGTGTAGACGCACCAATAAAGGCCATTGAAAACATACTGTGAAAAAGATACTGATAGCATCTTCGTTTCGATGGCAACAACCTCTCTCATGATAGCAAGTTTTGCTTCTGGATCCAAGTCATCCCATTGAGTCGCTAACTGTATCCCAGTGGCTTCTTCCATGAAGATATATTCTGATCCGACGGGGTTATTGGAGGTAGCACTCCACCCGATAATTCGAGGGACGGGTATCTGCAAGATGTCTCGGGCCTCATACGCATATGAGCATTTTGGTGTTTCAAATTGGTAGAAACAGACTCACAAATTCCATAGTCGCAACTTCCGAGGCAGTCGCGTAGAAGGCAGGACCAGCATTGAGATTAGGGATACGTGCGAGGACTGATTTCCCATCATTCATTTTGAGGCGGAATACCTTATTGAAGCCCCCTTCTGCTAGCTTCGAGATCGACTCGCAGCTCCCGGAACCTACAGCGTGCGCTGTCAATGTTTGAAGCTGGGAAACGTCGAAAGCCTTATACCTGTCTCGAAGCTGCTGTTCTTCGTCCCAAAGCCATCGCCCGCTGGTATAGTGGAAGAACCGCTCCATGCTAGTATTATCTAATGTCATTCTGCCCTGGTCGGTCATTATCGTGCGTGCAGTGAAGGTCGTCTGCTGGAAATTGCGACTGGGTGCTCTGGTGAATTGTGACTGGAATGACGGCCGAGGAATTACGGGTCTCCTTGGCTGGAGTATAGGGACCACATGGGGCTTGAAGGAGTGCATGAAGTCAAGCGTCTCGAGAATTCTGGCCTTGACAGAGATGCCGATCTTGAAAGGTTCACGGACATGGCACACGAGGGTCTAGAGGGCGCTATTTTGATGGTCGATGCCATGGCAGTCTGGGGATTTGGGCGAGTCTGCTTCTAGCATGCTAGGGAGCGATTGGAAGATGGAGCGTTACATGGCCTGTGGTTAACGAGGCGAATCTGATCAACCACGTGGCGACAAGAGACAATCTACTTGCAGCCTTGAAAATCAGGCGTCGGCTGGGCTCCTACCAACGCTGCTTTGATATTCCTGCCGAGCACGAATCCCTTTCGATTTGCCACGCGTGGTTCTCGACACCGTGCGCATGCATGTTTATCTAGGGCATCCTACTCTGTACAATGAATGGGTCTCGCTAAGGTGGAAGGCAATCTTGCGGGGTCAGCAGCGAGATGCCCTAATAGGAATAGTGTGAATAAGAATAATGCCCAGGACTACCGCCTACTCTCATATCCTGCTAGTTTCTTTTCAGGTTTGCCTATAGATGGCACCATAGTAGTCCAGGATCTTGCTTCAATGAAAAGAGAACAGCATCGGCTGGCCACGGCTATTAGGGTCTCTTACAAGGGGGCCCATTCCTGGCATATGCGAACTCTGTGAGCCGACAGAGTCCCCAAAGGAAGCAAAGTTGCGGCACGCGATAACGCCATCCGAGCTAAGGCTGGCCCATCCATTTAACCTTGTCTTAACTGTGCGAGTACCCACATATGCTTGCAGCCCGATGTAACTCTCGGTGGACGCAGTCCCTTCGCTGCGGTCCACCGGTGGCTATCATTGGTTACGTCTCTGAGTGCGCGATTGCGCCATCGATGCTCTTTTGTAATACTGATGCGGACTGTTAGCGATGAAATTCGAAGGAAATAGCCTAGGAAGGCACGAAGTCTCTTAAGATGACTTGATCCCAGTCATCCTCCACCTGGTTCTTCTTCTGTGTTGCGAAGAAAAAGGTCCTTTCGTTACGCCACTGCCATCAAGAAGGCATTTGGGGTCCCGCCACCCCCTGGCATCTTAAGTATCTCTGCGACACGACCTTTCCTAGCAGTCCTTCCCGATGACTTTCACCGGCTTGTTCAAAAGACGCAATCAGGACTCTCAGGAGTCTGTCATCACAGAGACAAACATGGGCGGTCAATCAGTAGTTACTGCTACTGACGATATTATGGACTCCAAGGAAGGCACTGTCGCGACTGAAACGCAAGCGATTGAATTAGAAAGCGAACAAAACCCAGAAATCGCAGCCCTACCCATCCAAGTCCGCCAGACAGTTAGCCTTGAAGACGATCCAACACTACCGACCATTACATTTCGGTACTTTGTGCTTTCTATCCTTTTTGTCGCCCCCGGTGCCTTCTTGTCGCAAATGAGTTACTTTCGTACCACTCAGGCCCCATATTCTGTGTTCTTCGTCCAGATAGCCTGTCACTATGTGGGTCATTTTCTTGCTAACTGGCTGCCCTCGTGGAATGTCGGTCTTCCGGGAACGAAGTGGATGTTCAATTTGAACCCGGGTCCCTGGAGCATTAAGGAGCACGTCCTGGTGACTATCACGGCCGCATCTGGTGCTACGTATAACCTGGGATATGCCCCGATTGTGCTGTCTGAGCTTTGGTACAAGGAACCAGTCAATCCAGCGGTAGCCATCTTCTTCATGTGGGCTATTGTATGGATTGGGTATGCTTTCGCTGCAATTGCCAGAGAGCTTCTGCTTCCCGATCCACAGTATCTATGGCCACAGGCGCTGATGCAGACCCAGCTTTTTGAGACATTCCGTAAAACAGACAACTCATCTCCGTTGGCCCGCCGCCAGATGAAAGTATTCTTTTTTGCCCTCCTCGGAATGACCCTCTGGCAGTTCCTCCCGGAGTATGTGTTTCCATTCCTGTCATCTCTCGCCTTTCTCTGCTGGGTCGCCCCGCATAATGCAGTCGCGAACTTCATCGGATCTGGCCTTGGCGGTATGGGTTTTCTGAACCTTTCCTTGGATTGGTCTAATATCAACTGGAATGGATCGTCGATCTTGCTCACGCCATTCTGGACCCAAGTCATCTTATTCGCGGCATTCGTGTTCAACAGCTGGGTTCTCGTCCCCGCTGCGAAATGGGGAAATCTCGGCTCTTTCAAGTATGGCCTAATGTCTAATGATCTTTTTCTTGCGAACGGGACCACATATCCAACGCTAGATGTTATGACGCCAGACTACCATCTGAACCAAACTGCCTATGAGGAATATGGCCCCATGTACATGGGACTGCAGAACGTGTGGGGAACATTCTTTGCCTATGCCTCCCTCCCAGCTGCCGTCACGTGGATTTTAACATTTGGCTTCTTCCAAATCAAAGACAACTTTACCCGGGCTGTCAAGTCTCGTAAGTCCAAGAGTGACTCGAACAGGACGGGCGGAATCCATTACCAATACTCTGATCGCCTAAATGTTCTCCAAAGAAGCTACAAGGAAATACCGTTCTGGTGGTATGGCCTCTTGTTCCTTGTGGCCTTTGTCATCCTGATCACTTCCATTGCGTGTGGATATCTATGGATCCCAATCTGGACGCTGTTCGTTGGCCTGGCCAGTGCGGCTGTCTTTGTTCTTCCTTTTGGCTGGCTCTACGCTATTTCGAACTATCAACTTGAGTCTGGGTCGTTCAACGAGCTGGTCTATGGGTATCTGGTGCACACCAAAGCCGGTAGTGGCCATCAACATCCATGCGGACCCTCCACATATGGTGCTATTGCGGGTGATGCCTGGTATCGGGCTCAGTACATGCTTCAAGACCAAAAGATTGGCCACTATATGCACATTCCTCCACGGGCGGTTTTTTTCTCCCAGATCTGGGGCTCCCTGATTGGCGTTCCTATTAACTATGGAGTAATTCGCTGGATCATGGATACAAAAGGCGACTACATCTCCGGGGCTAAGACTGATCCCCTTAACCAGTGGACTGGACAGAAGCTTCATAATTCGAATACCCTTGGTGTACAATATGCTATAATTGGGCCGAAGAAGCTTTTTTCGGAACCTGAATTACGGCCTTTGCCATGGGCCTTCCTCGTTGGTGCAGGCGTTCCTCCCATTCTCTATGTGATCCATCGCTTTTTCCCGAAGCTGCGGGTAGATCTCTGGAACTTCAGTATCTTCTGTACCGGACTTTCGATGTTCTATGGAAATGTCAGTACTGGTCTGACCTCTGCCATCATTGGTGGATACGTTTCCATGTACTGGGCTTACCGGCGGCACTTCGAGGTGTGGAAGCGATACAACTACTTGGTGGCTGCCGCATTTGATGCTGGGTTCAACTTGAATATGCTCCTCATTTTTATATTCTTTGGAGCCGCAAAGGAGATCTCAATGCCCCATTGGTGGGGGAACAATGCGGACTCCGTGGAGCGGTGCTTTGCTCTGAATTCTTCATAAAGTGGAGCTCTATAGCCTCTTGCTAATAGGTGCCTATGCATAGCATTATATAAATCAATCATCAATGAAGTCATCATGATAATACATATCGTGACATACTAGTAGTTTCCTTAGCGGACTAGATTCTGGCTGTAAAGAACACAAAACCACCCCATAATTGGAAACACTAAATTTTGCCCGTACATACATATACCAGTAAGCATCACCTTGGCCGCCCGGGCGCCGGGTCGAGGCTCCCAGCATTTGGCAGAACATGCTGGCTCTGCCGCTGCCGCTGCTGGTTGCGCCGAAGAGCTTCTTTCATGCGTAGGTTTTCGATTTTCTGCGGCCTTACACCGTGACCGAAGCCTTCAGTTGGAGGGGGTCTGAGCTATTCTCCAGTATTGTATCAGCCGGAGGCATTTCGCTGTCGCGTTCGCTGTCGCGTTCGCTCCCGTTTAACTTGTCTGGCGTTAGACTTAAATATGAAGGTTCAAATAGATCATTCTAAACCATCTGTAATACTGATTCAACGACATGATGACAGGCTGTACAGTAAAGTAGCCAAATACATTCCTACTGATGCAGTGTAGAAACCGTGCGAGCAGACACCACCCTGGAGGTTTCTAAATGCTTACAAGTGAATTTGGAGACAAAAATAGATACGAAAAGAACAACCAAGCGACTCCCAATCAATCCATGTCCATCGCCAGGGTGATTTTCGAATTCCATTTATCCGAATCCCTTTCGGCCTTTTCATCCCTCCACAGAATGTCCACTCTCTGCCAAGAACTTTTCATATCGAGCCTTGCACTTGTACCTCCATGATTTGCCCCACAATAGAATGGGCAATCCCATAAGGACTGATAGAACAACCAGAATACCGAAGCACGTAAATGCCCAGCCATAATTGGTCGCGTCGATAAATGGCTGCACTGAGTACGATATGGCGAAATTTATCAACGATGAGCAGATGGCAAGTACAACCACAAGCTCCCCGGAAACCTGCAACGGACTCGTCAGCGTGTCTTGAAAAGATGGTTGTACATGAATCGGGGCCTTACGCCGTCAAAGCATTCCATGGCATATGCGGTCGCCATACTTGTGATGGATACTTGCTGTGCAATTAAGCAACATAGCGCAACAGCTATAGCTATCCAGTGATCTCCGTTCGTAGCAGCCCAGCCATAGGTGAAATAGCCTACGGCACCGAAGATGAAAGGGAAGATACAAGCCCAGACACGCATCTCGGGCTCTTTATACCCCTTGTTCCGCCGCGCAAGGACGATCACAACCCAGTCGGACAGGGCGCCAATGCCCATACTACCGCTGGTCAGCACGTCTTCAGTTTTGCTTCGTTCGTTTTGGATCCCTTACCCAATAAAGTTCCCCACTAGAGCTGCAAGGAAAATAAGCCCTGTCGTCCCAGCACTCCAATTATATGGGGCATCGGTCATGATTTCCGATATCGTATTAAACGATACGATGCCTGCCGTACAGCCAAAGGCGAACTGGATACCAGCAATTACAATATTTGGAAAGGCAAAAAGATAGAATGGACGGCGAAAGTACTGGAACCAGGTTGTTTCATCGTCAGCAAAATAATGGATCAGCGAAATCTTCTGCCTATAGCTTCGAATTGGAATATCTTCACCAATACGATGGCTTCCAATTGTCGATAGTGCGGAGTCTTCGCCGTTGGATTTCGATTCCGCCTTTTCCGTTGGGGTATCATTATCTTGATGTCGATGATCCTCTGAACTTTTTGGCTGCACTGTGTGTGATCCCATGAGGTATGTGAAGCGGTAGCGAGGAAACATGGTATCATCGAAAGTAAATATAAAGAGCAATATCAGTACACCCTAGTATTGAGGTTAGATCTTTAATGAAGCGAGCTCTGCAGTCTATGTCAATCTTACGCATGCAATAGCAACAATGGGTGAGCTCCAGCGCCATCCAATTCCATCCGAAATAAACCCCCCCCAAAATCAATCCGAGAATGGATCCAAGTTGCTGGAAGAAGATATAGATTGCAACCATACGGCCACGTTCATGTGTGAAAAACATATCAAAGATCTAGATTATTCTGTTATTGCCGGTCCCCAGGTAGCGAAGGGGCTTTCTTACTGTAAGCTGAATCACTGCTTGATAGGCTGCTGTACCAATGCCTTGGATTGCCAGCATGATGTAGTATTGACCTGTCCCAGTATAGAAGCCACCCCAGACGCTTCCACCGAGGAGGATCAGCAAGCTCAAGATATAGACGACCTTTCGTCCGATTTTCATCGCGGTAGGGATCCAAATGATGTTGAAAAATCCTAGAAGGAGATAGTTAAGAGCCGATCCGCCGTTCATATTGCCCAAACTGACGCCGGTGTCTTCGGAGATTAACGTCCAACTGGCACCCCAGTTGTTTTCCCCCAAAGGAAAAGACACAGGCGTAGAAAGATATGAGCAAGAGAGACCACAGCTTTTTGATTCGAGGCCAATTCTGGTATAATAGATTAGCTTCGTTGCAAATCATCATGACGGATGAATCCATACCAGAGGATCTGCCGGCGAACTAGAAGGCTGTGGAATAAGGACAATCTCCTGTGGTCCTGCATCGGTCGCATTTGACAGTGCTTGAGAAGCTAGAAGCCTCATGAGTATGTCTTTGATTCCAAGTACGGCTTTCACCTTTAACGTACCGTCTACCAAGTACACTGTCCCTGGGACGTCGGTCATGTAGTCATTAGGGTGGACCATGATGTCGTCTTACGCTGATATGAAAAGGCTAATCTACGGGCAAGGCACGCACTAAATACTCACTCTCGTGGGTGCGCTATGGACTCTTCTGCCCTTATCTTGCAATTCGTGAGGATCGAGGACTTGATACCAACCAGTACACAAAGGATGAGGGGTAAGAATGAACGATTGGTCGATATGAGAAAGTTGAATGGTATCTACTTCGACTGTGGGTCTGATTGGATGGAGGGTCGCCCACGGAGCGGCGCTGCGGGGAAGCGAACCTCGACTTGGAGGTTTGGAAGGTCCACGCGATGACCACGACTCGTCTGGCATCTTCAGATCGTCAGGTCGCATCGGACTTTACTCCGGCCATGGCCCTTGAAATACAGGATTTCTCTTTTCTTGGCCCCAAACTCCCATTAAACTTCTGCTGATCAAGGCTCTACAATTACGAATGCAATGGCGCGGCCCCTCGACACTACGTCTTCGATTCTAATCGTGGGAGGAGGGACCTGGGGATGTTCGACGGCCCTCCATCTCGCCCGTCGGGGCTATCAAAACATCAAAGTCTTAGATCCATACCCGTGCCATCTCCAATTGCCGCAGGAAACGATGTCAATAAAATCATGGAGCATAGGGAGCTGAAAGGTAAGAGAGAACATCATATCAGTTGAGACCTACAGATACTCATAGAAACCAGGCACAAAGCAAGATCCCAAAAGTATTGCTTTTGCAACTTTCACGCGAGCTGCCTTGAAAGGATGGAAGACAGACCCCGTGTTCCAACCGTACTTCCATGAGACCGGCGTGATTGTCTCTGGCCACACCCCGGCTCTCATCCAGCACATTCGGGAAGAAGAGATTGATTCCTCTGATGCTGAGTTTACTGCCTTGAAAACCGCCGACGACTTCCGCAAAACTATGCCTCCGGGGGTCCTGACGGGAGAATTTCCAGGATGGAAGGGCTGGTTCGGTCGGACTGGAGCTGGCTGGATTCATGCACGGAAGGCAATGATCTCTGCATACACAGAGGCACAGCGTCTCGGAGTAAATTTCATTACCGGGACGCCTGTTGGCCAAGTCGTTAGTTTAGTGTACGATCACGGCGACGTGACCGGAGCTCAGACCGCAGATGGGGTGGTTCACCAGGCACAGCATACGATCCTCGCTGCTGGGGCGGGGAGCGACCGTCTGTTGGACTTTGAGAAGCAGCTTCGCCCTACTGCTTGGACACTGAGTCACATCCGCATGACCCCCGAAGAAGCAGCGCTCTATAAAAACCTTCCGGTGCTCTTCAATATCGCAAAAGGGTTCTTCATGGAGCCCGATGAGGATAAGCATGAGCTGAAGATCTGTGACGAGCATCCTGGATACTGCAATCTGGTGACGGACCCGAACTCGAACGGAGAGACTCGAAGCATTCCATTTGCTCGTCACCAGATTCCTCTCGAGGCTGAAGCTCGAGTCAGGGAATTCCTTCGAGATACGATGCCACATCTGGCCGATCGGCCTCTTGTTTTCGCTCGGATCTGCTGGGACGCAGATACACCCGACCGAGCCTTCTTAATCGACAGACACCCCGAACACCCTTCTTTGCTAGTGGCGGTTGGAGGTTCCGGGAATGGGGCAATGCAAATGCCGTCCATTGGAGCGTTCATCTGCGACGCGCTTGAAGGAGCTTTACCAAAGGAATTGAAGGACGTGGTGCGATGGCGACCGGAAACAGCGGCGCAGAGGGACTGGAGCTCGACTCAAGGCCGGTTCGGGGGGCCAGACGTGGTCATGAACTTCCAGGATGTCAAGGAAGATGAGTGGACTCGGATTGACACCCCTGGTGATTCATGAATGGATCAATCTAAGATTGCGATTTGGTGGTAGGAGTAAAGGTTGCCAGTAGCAAAGGTTCGCTGTGAACAGGCAATCTCGATAGATATATAACATGCATGCAGCTGAACTCTGCCAGTATACTATTATTGTCAGAAATCACGCCGACTATTCCAGCACTTCTTTTGGACTGTAAAAGACCACTCAGCCTGAGATACCCGATTCGGCCTTGAACACTATCAATACCTTGTCAGCAATGACTAGTTATAGTTACTTCCAAGGCTGCCCGGTCCTCATTAAGTAATCCAATACGCATTGGCGGGCATCCGCGCCCGCTCGCGATGTCTCTCGAACAACTTCGGCGCGACCACCAAAATGAACCGTCCAAAGCCGCGTGGGTTAGGCCGAGGCTCGCGTCCTTCCTATCCATCTGTCCCCCCATCGAGATCCGTGAACCCTGGCACGGGCGTCAATATCGTGCTCAAAGCAGACCAACCCACCGGGCGCACTGTTTCAGGTACAGTCAGCGAGGTGCTTACGCGCGGTGATCACCCACGCGGCGTCAAAGTGCGCCTCGTCGACGGGCGTGTCGGCAGGGTCCAGAGTCTACGGAACGGCGACCAAGCAGACTCGCCGGGGATCGACGAAGGCGAAGGAGGATTACAAATACGAAGAGAGGGAGGCAATCCCGGTAGACGGGCTCATATTGCTGCACGCGACATGCGTCTCGATGGCCCGCAAGAGCCTTCACCGGAACCATTTGGCCTCGACGCGTATATACGACCAGCCAAAGGAAAGAAGCGAGGTGGGAAATCACAGGCACAACAGACTGCGGGGGAAAGCAACGATGGTAGAGCGGATGTCGCTCCAACACCGGCAGCAACCGCGTCATGCCCTGTCTGCGGCACATTTGAAGGCGATGAAGCTGCGGTGGCGCACCATGTGGCAACCCATTTCGAGGATTGACAGGCGGAAGTCTAGAGATGTCGCGCTCGAGATCTACCGAAGAAGGCGCCGAGAGGCTTTCCCCGCGTACCGGAGATTGCGATAATGCCAGGAGACGCGCAAGGACGATGAGAATAGATGCCTCGCAGTCTGAACGATATCTCAAGATGTCGTGGATTGGACCGAGTTGATCCCCATTCCAACATGCAGGTCTACACATAGTAGAACGCCAGCCTTTGCAACGGCCTTCATTACCACGAGGGCGGAAGAAGCATTATAGTCAACGAAGCAAGAGACCGGAGCACCTTCACAAGCACGAGAACGATCCACCAGAGCTCAACACCCCCGTTGAAGCGCTAGCGGCTAAGGAACCTTGCCTAAACCCTGAATCGACCCTCACTGCCCTGTCAAGCATTCTTTGTCCACCGTCTCCGCAGACATCTTGTCATCCATCGATAGACTTCGAGCGTGCGTGCAGCGGTTACCCTAGCTTTTCTGGGCCATGGCAGTTCAAAATAACAAACCTTAGTTGTATTCCAGGAATGATTTCCTTCCTCAGCATAGATCGTCTTGACTGGTGGAACCAGCCCTTGCGTGGACACGGCCATCCGAAACGTGCTTGGCACGCGTATACTGAGATGCTGCAAGGATTCTACCTCTTGAGAATGGCGTTATCAAAACATTAATCTCCTCTTTCGATGGTTCCAGATAAATCTCTACCCTCGACGAGGCCCCTGAAGAGCGTCATGTCAAACTCCCTGCTCGCGTTCGCGATAGCCGACCCGTTCGCTTGTCCAAGGATGGAATCGATCGACAGGAACCGATCTTGCTTTGAGCTTGGAAATTTCCCCCTCTGCGACTTCTCTCACGAGTGGTAGTTCAGCAGTCTGCAATGCTGGCAATGCCGTACTTTCCACTTGTCGCACTGGCAAGTGCCATTGGTGCATTGGCATCATCGCTTCCGGCATCACAGCTACTGCCCACAGCCACCATTGACTCGGGGCGATTGTTGGCACGACAACGTCACTCCCCTCATCGACAGTCATTGTAGAAAAGTACCTCGGGGTTCCATTTGCCGACCAGCCTGTCCGATTCACCCCCGCGAGACCCGCAAAGTCCTGGTCAATCCCCCGCGATGCGACAGAATGGGGCCCGACGTGTATCCAGACAATTGACAAAGCCTCTGAAGAATTTTACGACATGATTCATCTGCCCAAGCCCGCGGGCCCTGAAAGTGAAGACTGTTTGAATCTCAACATTTTCACCCCAAAGTCCGGCTCAGGCTCTAAGCCGGTCATGTTTTGGATCTATGGTGGAAACTTTGCGAACGGGGCTACGTCATTCCCTCTTTATGATGGGGCCAGCTTTGCTGCTGAACAAGACGTCGTTGTTGTCACAGCCAATTACCGTACGAACGTGTTTGGATTTCCAGGGGACGTCCCGAGAGAAGAATCAAATCTAGGGTATGCGTGATCCTGTTCCGTTGACGCGATGGGAATCAAAACTAATACGAACCACATCTAGTCTGCTAGACCAGCGCTTGGCATTGGACTGGGTCCAGCGGAATATCGCACATCTTGGAGGTGATCCCTCGAAGGTCACTCTCTTCGGCGAGAGCACTGGAGCGGAATGCATTGATGCATTGCTTACGGTTTCCCCCGACCCATTGCCCTTCCGCGCGGCGATTATGGAATCGGGCCAAGGCTCGATCAAATACCTCCCGGGCGAGGATTCGTCAACTTACTCCAAGTCATGGCAAACCCTCCTACGCCTTACCGAATGCACCTCCGATCCCTTACCGTGCCTGCGAAAGGTCCCCGCGGCTGAAATCAAGACCGCAATTCAAAACAATAGCTTAGCTTTCGGTCCTGTCGCAGACGGAAATGTCGCGTGGGCCACGGCTCCTCGTCTCAACCGCCTCAATTCCAAAACGGCCAATTCATCTTATGCCAGGGTCCCACTTCTCATTGGGAGTAATGCCGATGAAGCGAAACCTTTCGCCATTGGTCTCAATGATACCGATCAATTTCTCTGGAAAGTGGGGTTTGGCCTGACCGCGAACCGTTTTACGGACGCGTATCCCGTAGGCGCTCCGGACATCCATAACCAGAATGATCAGATCGCCGCGATTGCAACAGACCTGGTCTACCACTGCACCACGGCCACTATCGCAAATGATAGCTCTTTTGTCGATATCCCAACGTGGCGGTATTTCTTCAACGCCACTTTTCCCAACACGGAGATCTTCAAGGGAAGCGGCGCTTACCACAGTGCGGAAATCCCCCTTGTTTTCGGAACTTACGAGGGATCCACCGCTACGGTCTTTGAAGAACAGGTCAGTAGGGCGATGCAAAAGTCGTGGGCCGGCTTTGCGAAAAATCCAAGCGCGGGCCCTGGTTGGGACCAGGTGCCAACCATCGGGGTGTTTGGCGATGATGTGAGGGTTGGCATGAATGATGAAGGGAAGAAGCCTCTGAAAACGGCCGATTCGAGTAATATCGATAGCAGATGCGGGTTGTACGAGGGCATCTATAACCAGTACATATATTCGACCTATTAATCGTAATACACAAGAAGCCCAGTGCTTTCCCCTCCTGGCGGGCTAATCATTTTGAATTTGAACTTCACCATGCCCACAAACGTATCTTACGGGCGGATAGAACAGCATGCCCCAACCCTGGTCTTCATGCCGTTCAGCCGTGCTCAAGCGGCTGATAATTCATGGAGTCGATATTCCTCTGGTTTCAGGATCTGAGTTCTGGGGCAAAGGTATTGCTCGAGAGGCCGGTCAGGCCAGTATGGCGCGAAGAGATTTATTCCCGAGACAAAAAATAGCCATGTACAAAGCGCCAGAGTTCTACAGAGCTGGGATTTACTCAAAGTGACACACATTATTGGACAGAGCCTAGTGAGGTCGAATGGGTCCTCGCCGTCCTCGCCGTCCTCAGATCGAGTGCCACATCGTACCTCCACTATGGTCTTGCCATGTTGGCAGAACGGGATCGTCTGACTCCCGGGAATGAAGCCATGTGATTGTAGCGTCGCGGATGCATAGCCAATCCACTCAATCTCTTCCAAAGACAAGCTCTTGACATGGTTCTGGTCCATTGCTCGTGGAATCAGTACTGCTGAGATCAGGGGGGCCCTTTCCGCACTAGCATGGCAGGGTCACTTCGGGGTATCACCTATTGATGTGGGTTCGAGTGCTAATTAAATCCTGGACAGAAACCTGGGAGGTTCGGTGATTTTGCCTAGGAGGACTAGGAGAAGTTGTACATGCAAATCCGTCACGCGACTACTTAGTAACATTACTGAACTTCTTTTCACCGAGATATATACATTTTCGAGGACATTTCATGCAGGGAGAAGCCATCTGGTTGTGGATATGCTTCAGTGAACCCGTCAAATGATTTACAGTGTAGTGAAGGACCCCTTTTGCTGAAGGCTCTTGATTCGACCGAGCAGGAACTCCAATTGGCGGTAGGCGGCACCTGGGACGTACTGGGGGATTTCTGAGAGAACGTTAGTTATACATTGTCGAACAATAATAGGCTTGGGCGCGTGCTCACCGTGTCCAGAGCCGTAGACAGTGCTGAATGTCAACCCTCGCTCGGTGTGTGCTGTGCCCAAAATGCCAGCACCGGCGTCCGCTGTGTAGGGAGCCTGGGCTTCTCCATTGGCGTCTGCATCCAATGCGGCCGTGTATGGCACGAAAAGATGCTCAACCGGTGGTTTCTGGAATCCCTGTGCTCCGCCCCACGTCATGTTCTGGATGGTCGCCAAACTACCGTTCATGAAGAGCAGATAATCGTACCACCCGTGTCCGATGATCACATTCCGCGTACGGTCGATCACACTGGGAAGAGGGCCGAGGGCACTGGGGACGGACCCATCTCCCTCGGGGAAGACTCCATTGGTGCACGCTGCATAGTTGGTGGGAGGCACGTGGAGGGCTTTTTGGACCGCAGACTGATTGAAGTAGTCGTTTGGACCGCCTGCCAGGGAGGGGAATCCCATCTCGTCCCATAAGAAGGGACAGAAGTCAGTGAGATGATAGATGTTGAAGCATGGGTTGATGTAGGTGGCGGCCTTGACGATTTGGTCCCACACGTCACAGCCATCCTGGTTAGGATCCGGCGCAGTGGGGAAATCCTTGGGGGTGGAAACTTCAACGCAGCGTCCAAGAACTTGGTGTACCCGCACTGGTCGGCTTTCTTGTTGATCTCCGCCGTGAAGGTGTCATTCAACGAAAAGACGCGAGAAAAGTAGTTCAGGGCTGCCACGGCCGGAGCTAGATCCAAAGCTGTCAGTATCCGTCCAGGCAGGGGTGGACAGCTCGTTACCAACCGTATATCATTACACTGTCTTCGTTGATCGAAGGGTCGTTGATTTGAATCCCTTTCAGATTGTAGTGGGTGGTCTCGTTTCGATCTAACATCCCCGATGCGATATACGGGATGTATTGTCCCGCGTAGCTTTCTCCGGTGATGTAGACCTTGTAGCCCTGCATCCCAAATGTTTTGATGAAGTTCTTCCAGAAATCGTTGAACTGGTTAGCTACATCGATCTCGTTCTGCACGGTGGCAGGCCCTGGGGATAATCCCGTCCCCGCGGGCTGGTCAATGTACACGACATTGGTCAGGTTGGTCCATGAGTACGGATTCCGCACGGGCTCGTATGTGCCTGATTGCCACAGGAACGGGCCGTTTTCCTGGAGCAGACCATCCAATGAACTGCAGCCGGGGCCGCCGTTCAGCCAGATCGTAATCTATGGGAATGGTGAGTTGTTCGCTCCCACCGACCATCAGAAGAGAGAGTCATACCTCCTTATCCGCCGCCGGGTTCGTCGAGGGGAAGAACCAGAAGAAAAGACTGGAATTCCCATGCGGCGTATTGGGCAGAAGTCCCGCGTAGCTCTCGCCAATGTCGAAGGGAACTTGCGGGAAATGGGCTTCCATCGACGCGGAATTCTTCAACTTTGTTAGCCGCGCGAATGCCATTTCCAGGCCAAAGCACATACTCCTTGTCAGGTTGGTCAAATATTGCGGCTCTGTGGGAGCAACGGGAGCGCTCCTCTTGAAGACGTTTTTGGAGGGCTGGATGGCTGCGGCCTTTCGATGGGGGCTCTGCAGCGCAGCCACAGAAGCCACCAGCGGCAGCAACACGTGAATGAAATGCATGCTTGTATTGTCCGAGGAGACTCGAACTTTCCGAGGATCGAGTTAAATGTCGGGACTGAAGATCCAAGCTCCCCGGAGCTCCTCCTATTTATTCTGGAGCTGGCCGGATGTCCGGGGAGTGGAGAACCGAGCAGCGGCGAATAAAGTTGAAACGGGAAGTCTCATTTATTGTTTCCCCTAGCAATTGAGACATCGCTCCTCCGTCCTGCAGATCAGACGCTCTGCCCCGACGGAGCAGGCTGGAGCAGACCGGCCGTCCATCATAGCGCATCATGGGGTGTCCTCACGATTGGCTGCGATAAAGCGGGTCCCCGGATCGCTGCAACGTCGCGACGGGCAACTAGGAAGGTGGTTTTCTTACCCAGACGCTGGAAGCTGGTGCCCTCCGCGGCTAGTTATGTCCTGATCTGATATTGTATTTCCGTCTGGATGGTGCACATGCGATCGAAATGACGCTCCTGCAGCCCCTTGCACCGCCGAGGCTCTCCCGAGATTACCTCGATGCATTTGCTGATCTCTTACCCGAATGATGTTATCGCCACGATCCCAGAACTCTTGCTCTGCAAGGCAGCATCATTCTTTGCTCGCTACGAGTCGATCCATCAGAACCCATACCGTCTATTGAGACTTTCAAGCTTTGCTTAGAAACCGAATTAGATAATAAAAGGCTATCCAGACCCAAGCTGGCCTCGGAAGCCACTACGTAATATTTGTGACATGTCTAGTTTGGGATTGCAGACTGAATTGGTGGGAATTCTGGGAATTTAGCAGCCGGGTCTCGTGCATCAGCGGGATTTAAAGATCAAATCTAACGATATTAGTCAAATGTTCCTGATAGTTAGTTAGTTAACGAATTAACTAAAACCTTGGAAGAGGTGGGATTCTTGCTGGCCGTAGATGCCTTGTACGTAAGGAACCGAAGTCTTATCTAAGGCCTTCGAAATCCCGGCCAGGAGAAGTGGGCCCCTTGGGCCAAGGCAACTAAGCCTGAGACTAAAAGTAACTAACACGAAAGTTACTGCAATTAACTAGCTAAGACTTGCGACTCGAGACTAAACCGGCTAAACTCGGTGCGCGAGATCGACGGGCCAGTTCAAGTTCCGGGCGGCAATTAGGGCCCTTACGGTCGAGACACACCGTAACAAAAGGGTGCAGCAGGCTCGTAAAGCCTGATGAGGGGCTCAGTCCGTTGTCCATATACTCAAGGTCATAAAACGCTTTCCTATTGCCAAAGGAGGTTGTTCTCCAACCAGGAACCTGGATCAAGAGGGGGTGCGTGAATCCTAGCCCTTGTGGGTCTGAGGGGGTTGGGGACTCAGGAGGATCCATGCAATCCATACTCCGTATAAGCACAGAATCGTGGAGTGAAGAATTCCGACCTCGACTTTTGTGTTCATCATGCGCCCGGTAGTAAGCTCCTTAACACATGTACTTGCTCCGCCCTGAACACTAGCTACATGCACTTGGGGCTTACCACTTACTTACTCTGGAGTGCCCTTTTTCGGGACGCCACCACTATTTGCCCGATGGCGACCATTACCCTGCGATCGCGTATTCTTATTCGTAATCTGCACAACGACCCGCTCTCGACTCTCCCCAAGATTCTATAACCGGGCGCATGTTCATGGACTTGGCCAAGCTTCCTGTTCATCCTTGACGGCGCCAAGCATGATCAGCCTCCATAACTTTAACAGGATCGGGGCTGACATTCTCCACAACTCAAGGGGGCGTCAGGAAGATCGGCATCACCGTATTATGGGTTCTCTGGACGCCTCGTTCTTTCTCCAGAGTGGTCGAGGTGGGGAAAGAGGGTCGGTCGCAGCTTATCTGACAGGGCAGAGATAACTATCGCCATCAGCCACTCGGTTTCCACTAAAACATCCTGCACAGACTGGTCCCTGCCAGAATGGATTGCTTTGCTCGCCAATCACGCCATTGTTGGCCCCGATAACAACCAGAATGGACGAAAAGTCAGATCAAGACGCGTAGGACGCCCCCTCCCTCCGACTGGGTTTTAAATAGCTTCTAGAAAGATCAAATCGAATGTTCCCATTTTCTTTTTATCCTATCGCTTGAGGAGGCCGGTCTCTCAGCACCATGACGAGCGACATCACGAAAGAAGAGGCCACCAGCCCACCGGAAAAAGGAGGTTTCGACAATTCAGCCTCGGTCGTAGGGAGCGACGAACAACATGCCCAGGCCGGAGAACTGGGCTTCGAAGAGGCCACCCGGGGTGGGATGGGCCGGCATCTGGGCATCACGTCCACTATCTTCCTAATGTAAACGCTCTCTGGATTCTTTCGCCTCAAGAGGATGCTTTTGGTTAACAAGCACAGCGTCGGTCGGATTATTGGGGTGGGTATCTTTTCCACTCCCTCCTCCGTGACGGAGAGCGTGGGCAGCGTGGGGGCGGCAATGCTCTTGTGGCTTCTGGGCTTCCTTCTCGCTGCATCGGGTCTTGCCGTCTGGCTTGAGCTGGGGAGTATGCTCCCTCGTAGCGGAGGAGAGAAGGTCTTCTTGGAGGCCGTCTACACCAAGCCCAAGTTATTGGCCACGGTTGTCTTCGCGGTTCAGGCAGTGGCCTTGGGTTTCACTGGTATGTTCTGCGCGACGCTCACAGTCGTCGTCTCGAGCAATAAACCTCGTCCAGGAAGCTAACAGAAAGTGCGAAGCATCTGGCTGCGTTGTGTTCGCGTCCTATGTGGTCGTCGCCGCGGGTCATAAGGCAACGGAATGGGAGGAGCGAGGGATCGCCATCTCGGTCCTGGTATTTATCACCCTTCTCCATACTTTCTTCCCCAAGTGGGGTGTTCGCGGGATGGATGTCCTCGGTGTTTACAAGATTATCCTTTTATTGTTCATCGTCGTCACCGGCTGGGTTGTCCTCAGCGGGCGGATATCGAGCATTCCTGATCCGGAGGCCAACTTTCGCAATGCATTTGCCGGGTCAGCGACATCCAGTAACCTCTATGCTATTGGGCTATTCAAAGTCTTGAATTCGTTCAGCGGGTAAGTGGTGCGCCAGCTGGCCTAAAGGGGAACCTTGCGCTCACAGCCCACAAACAGCTGGTCAAATGCCGCCTATGTTGCCAACGAGATCCGCAACCCGATACGAACCGTGAAGATCGCCGCTCCGATCGGTCTTGGGATTTGCGGTGTCTTGTATATGCTCGCCAATGTCGCGTACTATTCGGCGGGCACGAAGGAGGAGATTGCTCACAGTGGCACAACCGTGGCGTCCTTCTTCATGGGCAAGGTGTTCGGTCCTGCAGCCGAGAAGGCATTGAGGTAAGAAGCATCCCCTTCGAACAAAGTTGCCACCGGATCATCATACTCATGCAGAGAACAGTGCTCTAGTCGCGGTGTCCGCGTTCGGGAACGTGTTGACGATCACCTTCGCACAGTCTCGAGTGAATCAAGAACTTGCCAAAGAAGGCGTTATTCCGTTCCCCAAGTTTTGGGCTTCAAGCTGGCCGTTTGGGTCTCCGTCTGCCGGACTCCTGCTGCATTTCATCCCGTCCTTTATCGTGATCATCGCCATTCCTTTTGGTGATGCCTATGACTTCATCATCGACCTGGAGGGTTATCCCTCCAGTGTCATCTATTTCTTTGTCGTTGCGGGGCTATTCTATCTCCGGTGGTCTGCCCCAAACATCCATCGGCCATTCAAGGTATGGTGGCCTGTGGCAGCTTTCTTCATGTTGGGCCAGGCTTTCCAGCTTGTAGCCCCGTTTATTCGACCTCCAGGTGGAAAGGGCGATACGTCCTTGCCGTACTGGCTCTCTTCCGTTGTCGGAATTGTCATTCTGGTTGCCGCTGTGGTGTACTGGGCTGTATGGCAGTTGGTTCTGCCGGCCATCGGGGGTTATCGGCTGGTCCCAGAGCACGAAGTCCTCGCGGATGGTACCACGGTCGTCACCTACAAAAAGACAAAATAGAAAGCCGAAGTCGTGAACAGAACTTTAGAATAATACGAGTCCTTCAGCGCATTATGGAATCATCAGAGCAGTAGCAATTCGCTGTTTTTCTTTCGTAGAGTTCCTCGTGCCCTCACGACTACCATCTGGTCTACGATAACAGCGAAGTCCTCAGGTGCCTTGTCTATCTGAAAGGGAAGCACATTATATGAGACAGAATGCCTTCCACCCTTATCTTGGCCTACCAATCTTACAAGCGGAGCCGTCACTGCCAACGTCATGAGATCCATGACGCGAGGTTGATTTTCTAAGCGCGCTCATAGGCTAGCTCATTGCAACCATGTGGCTTGACCGGGAGACAAATCAGAATCCAGGACAGGTCATACCAGAGTAGCCAATTTTAAGCCAAGTCGTGGTTGGCAAAGCCAGCTGTGCCTACTATGGTCTACAGTGTCCTATCCCTAAAGGGAGGGTTAGCTTATTCGTGAAGGGGGAACCACCTAGACACCATATGCAGAATAGTACTAAGTAGCAGCTACCGCAAGTGGAATGTTTGAGTAAACGCAGACGAAGTAAGGAGGCCAGTGAAAACAGAGCTATTGATCTTTCTTTCTTTTTTCTTTTTGAAATCTACGAGGACGAACTCGTCTATTTTCCAGCTCACCCTGTTACTCTCGAGCCTCTTCTTCGACTCGACAATTGACAATGCAACCGTAAATTCCATCATCCAATGTCAACTTCCAGCCTTTGTACTGCAATCCAATACTCGGAAATGCATCAGGATCACTCAAAGTGACCAAAAGCGCAACTTGAAGACGTTGGGTACCTTTTATACCTTTTACGGCCTCCAAGGGCTTTCCGCTCGGCTGCCAGTCAAAAGGATGGGCTCGTTATCGGAATCAACGAGGAGGACATCTTCATGCCTGACTCCGAATTTGTCGACTAGGTAGATCCCAGGCTCCGAAGTGAAGGTCATGCCAGTTTTAAGCCAAGCTCCGGTATTCCCCTTGTTTAAATAAGGACTTTCATGAGCTATGAATGGTCGGTCAGTTTCACCGAGAAGGCAGAATCTCATCAGACATGACTAGCACATAAGGGGCTAACCATGACAGAAATCCACTCACCTTTGATTCCAATTCCGTGCCCGACACGATGTGTAAATGCTTCTCCATAGCCAGCTTGGGAGATTACATCTCGGGCAGCTATGTCTACCATGGCGGCAGTCGAGTTCTCCCTCATTTGGTGTATAGACATTGTTTGTGCCTCAAATACAATGTCCCATACCTAGCATCAATTAGATGATTGCCGGTGTCGTGAGTGTATTGACTTACTCTCAACTTCTCTGCGATATGCGATGGAGTCCCTTGGTCCTGCGCCGGCTCTGGAAAAAATGGCGGGAAAAAGGTCCGGCAGATATCGGAAGAATAGCCATATAAATGGGCCCTGTTCTCACGTTAGGAACTCAAGCAAATTTTACTGGGGCTTAAAGGTTGATACCCCACGTCTATCAACACAAACGTCTCGGCTTCCAAAACCTTCGACCCGTTCGTTCCACCGTGTGGATTGGATGCATTTTCGTCTGTTCCGCATCAGAAAGGTTGGCAAAAATAATCTGGAGACTGGTTTCCTACCGAACAGAACAATATCAAAGAACGGGTCCAAACCAGCCGCTCTCAGGGCATCATCCAAAGCATTCGCAATTTGAGTCTCCGTCAGTCCCGGGTATAAGCCTGGATAGTATATCGTCCATTAGCAGGAGGGACTCGAAGCACACAACAGAGCAAGATCTTAACATTTTCGCATCTGACGCACTGCTTCCACGGTGCCTGTGTTGACTGCTCGCAGAATTGCGACTTCTTTGGAAGTCTTGATTTGTCGCACTTCTTCCACACGGCCTTTGAGACCTGTTATTTCGAACCCTGCATTCCCCAGGCCTCTTTGGATGAAGTCACGCATTTCCTCATCCACCATCAGCCGGGGACGTCGATCCAGTTGGTGAAAGACATCTGATGTCTGAAGGGTCTCGTATGGGTTCCAGTGCTCTTCCCAAGGAACAATTTGGATCTCATCGACAAAGGGCATTCCAAGAAGCCGAGCTCGCTCGGCCTCGAAGAGAAGGGCAGAGGAATGAGGTATTTGCCTTGACTCGCTCTTCAATCGCGTCGTAAACTGGAACCACGACCATCAAGAAGGGCCGTTCCTCTGGCTGTTCTTTGATGTGAGTTCCTCCTCCGTGGTGAGTATCATCGGGATTGGACCGTTCCACTTACCTCCCATACCTCCCATTCAGGCTGGCTCACGTTGGCGTAGTACTTGAAGGTATACCCCGGCTCCACAACAAACGCGTCCACATCCTCTGCAACAAGCGCCTGGGCCAGTCTATCGCGCCTATTCTCGAATTCCGGGACATCGATCGGTGCAACGTCTTTTAGGAAAGGCAGCCCAGTCTCCAGGAGGTTACGTTTCGCACATGCTCCAAATTCAGCCAGAGGATCACGAATAGCATCTTCTTCGGGGAGAAGACGCAATCCCCGGTCATTGAAAAGGGAGGAGAATAGCGAAGAACGATATCCTGTAGCGACCAAGCCGCATCCCATCAGAGTAACAATAAGAAGCCGCGTCCATGGGGATTTCCGGCTCTTTGTGGGTTCAAGACGGGGAGGCCCTCCGTCCCTTCCTGTTGGGAGTGTAATTTGAGCATCCCGATAAGCTTAGGAGGGGAAAAGAGAGTCTCCGAGAACACAGAGTTTGGAAGCGAGGCAGTCTAAGCGACGAAGCTTATCAGCCTCGTTCTGACCTTCCTTCACTGCGCTTCCGCATTTCCAACCGCGCCTTAGCGTCAAACTTACGCTGCAAGCTAATTTGGCGTCGGCAAGGATTTTGACCCCGCATTAGCAGCCGACTGGGTGAAGCCATTGCCAGCGACAATCTCTGTCGAATCATGTTGTCCTGGGATTGTGCGCCCGTGCATGTCCAGGCCGCCCAATGGACTTGTATAAAAGGGCTGCACGGGCGCGATCAAGCGAAGACCATGTTGAGCCTTAAGCTTCAGCAGCAATGAATGAATCCATCTCGCCCAAGTCGCACGACCGCCAGGGGTCCGATTTTCCGCCTCAGGAAAGACAGGAGACACCGGAGGAGCAGAAGAAGGCGGGGACGATCATAGAGTCTGACGAGGTTGCCAGAGGAGAACAAGATGGGATCGCAAGGGGCTACTCGCGCCTGTCCATGGTCATGATGGTCGTCTTCAGCGGTCTTGCAATTGGATCAGATGGATTCAACGCTTCGATCATTGGGAATATCGAGCTCCTCATGCAAGTCATCTACCCCGATACTTTGACCACCGCGGTGGCCTCCCGCCTGTCAAACGCGTTTATGGTCGGCATGATTATTGGTATGCTTGGGTTTGGCTATATTTCCGATAAACTCGGTCGCAAGACCGGGGCGGTGCTGACGACCACCATTCTGGTGCTGGGCATTGCCTTGAGTGCCGGTGCCAGTGGGGTCAACGAAGATGGGATGTTCTGGATGCTGATTGTCGCCCGCGGAATTGCTGGCGTTGGCGCTGGAGGGTGAGTGCCGTCCTGTGTCTCTTTATCGGGGAGCTCTTGAGCTAAATTATAACCAGCGAATATCCTGTTGCAGGCGCAGGTGCAGCCGAAGCAACAGACGAAGTGCCCGGGACGCGCAAGAGACGAGGATTCATCTTCGCTATGATTGGAGACCTGTCGGCTTCCCTAGGGTTTGCTTTCGGTGCCCTTGTACCGTTGCTTCTGCTGCTGTGCTTTCATCAACAGGTTCGCCACTACGAAGCAGTCTGGCGAGTATCGCTCGCCATGGGAGCCATCGCTCCCCTTTCCATCTTTTGGTTCCGTTACCGAATGGTGGTGAGTACGGCATATCAGAAAAGCTCGATGAGGAAGCAGCGCATCCCCTGATTTGCTTGTCCTCAAGAAATACTGGCGTCCATTGCTTGGCTCTTGTGGCTCGTGGTTCATGTAAGTTCATGCTGTGGGGATTGTTGACAGGCATTCTGGTTGCTGACGATCTAAAGCTATAACTATATCTCGTACCCATTCGGCCTCTTTTCCTCGACCATTGTCGGGCGGGTAAATCCTTCCTCGTCTCTTGCTCTTACCATGGCTTGGGGTACATTAATCAATTGTTTCTATATCCCAGGGGCCTTCATCGGGGGTTTCTTGTCTGACAAAATAGGTCGCCGCCGCACGATGGCACTGGGCTTCCTGCTACAAGCGATCCTTGGATTTGTCCTAGGGGGAGCACTTGGCCCCATTCAAACGAATCTTCCGCTCTTCATCGTCCTCTATGGAATTTTTCTGACTTTGGGAGAAGTTGGGCCGGGGTCTACCATCGTATTGACGGCGAGTGAGAATTTCCCCACCGCAGTTCGTGGACACGCGGTTGGCTTTGCGGCCGCATGGAGCAAGGCCGGGGCTGCCATTGGGACACAGGTCTTCAAACCAATCTTGGCCAGCTGGGGTGATGATGAGAGCCGTGGCACGCAAGCAGTGTTCTTGATTGGGTCGGGCTTCGCCGTGTTAGGGGCCCTCCTAGCATGGTTTGTGCTTCAGGATAGCAGCAAGGTGCTTGACCACGGGGACCAGGAGTGGAAAGATTATTTGGAATCTCATGGCTACACCAACATCGAATGGGGTATCGACAACCCCTCCCTGGAGCCCCAGGAAAAGAAAGTATAAAGGGCCTTCGAGTCAATATTGGAATCTTTACATTATATATAACAAGGTCAAAAGCTAGAGAATCTCATTCTAGATTGAATCGTATTTATGAACTTACGATCCGCAATTTGAAGGACCCCCATTCCTAAGTGAAATGTATGAAGACAGAATTGGAGAAATCCATGTCGTATTGTATTACAATGAAGCTAAGTATTTAGATGGTATGATAAATAAAAGGTAAGCGAGTGACATAGTCCATGGAATAGGCACCCCAGGTGGACTGGAAAACCCCTTTGTCTTGAGCCATGCACTGTTTGTATGCTTGACACCATAGCAGATGCAGGGTCCTGGGCGCTTAGAGAAGCGAGCCGAATGAAACACAAGGGATGGCGACGCCAACGAGGTTTCCATTCTGGGAATCTGTGAGCTTAAGGATTCGTATTGGAAAGGAGGAACAAAGACACCTACCGCTTCGGAGCTGGTGTCCTGGCAGCAAGCAACGTTTTGCTTGCACTTTTGCGATAGAGCCTCAGTGATGGCTCCACTGCCACCGAGGATGGCAGCAGGGACATCGATGGGGACATCGCTGCACTCGCCAAACAGACCGAAGTCACCTATTTCATTCCGTTTTAGCTTCCTTCATATAGTACTCCGAATTCAGACTTACCTCCAGCTCCAGCGTTGGGGACAAGCCCAGAAAGGATTCCCTTGGCCTGTTGAAAACGTCAGAAAGAACAGAGAAGTAGGGAAAGAAACTGTTGCATACGATGCTAGTGGAATCGCCCGATTTGTTGGAACGGTTGCAGCACTTGACCTGGAGGTTCTGGCCACACTTGTTTTGGGTCTGGCCGAGGAGCTGACCGAGCTGCTTCTGGCTGTCGTCCTTGGCCCCTCCTGGCAGGGCGGCCGCAGTGGCCGCGAAGAAGATAGTGGCAGCGAAGAATTTCATTGTGGATAGTTGGGAAAGGTTGCAAATGGCTAATGCTGTGAGAAAGGGGATTTCCGTCTTTTGGCCTTGAGAGTGAAGCTTGCGATGCTAGATCGATGCAGTGGAAATGTTGAGGCTTTTATACCCTCGATTGTGCCTCGGTCACCTATCAAGGTCACCTATCAAGCCGGGGCAGACGCTTCTGGGCCCTCCCAGCTCTGCACGAACTCGGTCGTCTTTTTTTCTTTTTCTTTGCTCTTCTTCTCAAATCCAAGTTTGTATAGAAGGTGTGGTTCTACATACGGTCGCAATCATCAATAGCTTGGTTGATCTTCGTGTTTGTGGATGCGGTAGATAATTGCTTCTTCCTGCCTGCATATTATTGCCAAAGGTTCTGTTTGACACGAATTCTCCTGCCGATCACCCCGAGTTTTGGCGCTGGGGAAGCTTTGGTTACACAATGGCGCCCAGGGTGTTCATGCTCTGTGGATATTGGGATCGTCGACCCCGTCCTTTCAAAATGGGGATTTTGGATCAATCAACTCAGCTCCAATGCAGGAGAATGCACGAGGCTGCCGCCACGAGGCCCTGCACACGCTGGCGCTGGCGACGCTTGCCATTTCGGGGATGCTAGTTCACGGGCATGTTACACGATCCAAGTCTTTTTTTTTCATCTTGATCGCATACAAGGCAAAAGAAATCACTAAATACGCATGAAAGATGCACCTCGTCACATATCGGGGGTGATTCAGCTACAGGTTTGTGAATATACAAATCGCCCCAGCCACGTATATGGCGATCAAGATGGGTGGTAGGACAGCTCACAGTGCATTGGGAAGGAATCGTCGGGCTTCTGCGCAAGTCCAGCTACTCTGCCATGGCACCTGCAGAGCATATAGAACGCGCCAAAATGGACATTCAGTTCTCTTTCTAAGGACAGTGAATGATAAGGATTCATTTTCCAGTTGGTGATATTTGCGTCTTTCAACTCCAAGTTTGTTCGAATGGGGTTGCCAGGGGCTCCCCTCATGGTGCCTCAAGGAATGGGAAGGGGAGAGACCATAGTCCTTGATAGACCTGGGTTTTAGTGCATGTCACTCCTATCTTTGCCCTTTCCAGTCCCTCATCCTAGGCCTCTGCTGATTCTAGTGCACGGTGCTTTTTGTTTCGTCCAGATCAACACACCCAAGGCCATTCGCGACAGTAAGCGCAAGAAAATCAAAATAATGGAAGAAGCCTGGTCTAGGTCTCTTAGAAAGGGCTCTTCGTCTACGCATGATGTGGAAGACGAGCCCGAGCTCAATCAGAGTGACTATTCATCACTTGAATAATTTGAATTGCACCCCAAGGGGCCCCTTGATCATTCCTTATGCTGCCATCGTCATGGAGTCAATATCGTATACCGCATTGATTGTGGAGCAATCATTTCCAAGAGGCCAGGAGCTTCGACCAAGACGAAGTGGGTCACCACACAAAGAACAGGACTCCGATAGAACGCAACTCATGGCATCTACGGACTTCAGTAAGGAATTTGCTAACGTCCGGGGAAGACTGACGATTTGTTCGGCTCAACTCCGACTTGTCCCTTGCATCCTCGATCGAACCTGAAATCCTCCACCAATCCTATGTCGCGCCGCTGGTGGAACTGTTGATCTACGCACGCCTGGCAAAAATTCCCCGTGAGACCCAGCCCGAACAAATAAGCAACACAAAGCATTGATCCGGTTATTGGCCCTGCCTTGACTGTCCTGGATGTCACAAGGCACATCCATGCGATGACTGCACAGTGACAAAGCCGCAGGCAACATGCCAAGATGCATCTCTCTGGAATAGATTAACTTGAGCAGGGCCTTTACACATGATACTCAGGCATCATCGGGCATAAATATTTCCTAAATAGTACTACAGGGGCAATAGCTGAAGGGGGTTGTGTTGTCACCCTAACAATAATAATTCTTTCTCCAAGTTTCTACCGAGTCCATTGAAATGAAATACAGAGCGGACATAGTAATACAAAATTTCCACATAATATGATAGGTAACAATTCTAGGAGCTCCCACACACAGTCATGCAAATAATAGATAGCTGATAATGAGTTAAACTCCGGGTAAGCGTAAGGCGCTGTACTCAAAGCAAGTAGCTCTAGCAGACTCAACTCATTGTATAACTCTCGAACATCTCAGCCCCAGATATCTTTATCATTTCGACGGGCCTTATGAACACAATACCTTCATATAGGTACTGAAGTTGCTCTAAGTCAAGTACAGCGGCACTTAGTTTACTTCCGCTACCATCATACAGAATTTTAACCATCTTTACATCTACACAATGAGATTGGGGTCTACTCGATGGCAATCTTGCATTCTAGGATACTTGGCTATAGACTTCGCTTTTGGTATCATCGAATAAAGTCTCCCAAACCCCATCTTGCCAAACATCCTTCTTCTTTCCAAGGGCTACTATTCCCCCAAACAGAAAAATAGATAAGCAGCAAATTTTTCAACCTATATAGAGCTTCGGGAATAAACAAGCCTCTCTGGTTTAGGTAGCTTCGCATCTCTCATAAGTCAGCTGTTCATTGAGATAACTGTCTTGTATTAGTTCAAGCCTCTACAATCATAGAGGCATATATTCCCACCTTTGAGATCCTTCTTCTGCTCAGCACTTCGCAACAGCTGGGCGTCCACGCCACATAACTTCGAATATTGCCTTATAGACTGTATAATCAAGGCAGTTGACGATTTCAACGCCATCGATTGTAATCCCACAAAAGAATAGAGTGAGAAGTTGGAACTTCTGCATACCACTTCCAGATCCACTCTGCATTGATGAGATTTGCCACAGATCCCAGCTAGAAGATGTACTATATAAGGCGCGCCTGGGCATATCTGCACTTCATGTAGGGATATAGTAGTCTTTTAACCCAGCTAATGGAACATTAGCCCAGGGATGCTCCTTCACAAGGTTGCCGAATGCTTGCGCTTGCGTGAAGGGCGGGTGAGGCGAGGCGGAGATCGAGCGAGTACTTCATTAACGGTTTCCATCTTGGGAGTTATTTGAAAAAGAGATGGCTGTGGCGGCTGAGAAATGATCAATGTGATTCGCCAGGAAGGTTGTGGTAGGATGAAGTACAGCTAGTGAATGGTATTCCACAGACCCCCCGGCAGAACATGGTCTGTACAGTGTTGCGGAGGACTGACGGTATTAGAATAAGGGGCAAAAGTCCATGTGCATACCGCTTCACCTACCCCGGCAAATACTTACGTATATTCCTGGTTACATATCCTACACCACCAATCCCGATTGGATCGTACTAAAATTCAATATACTGAATAATCAGTTTTGTATACAGAGTCCCCTTTCTGAATATTTCGTATAATAGCCCTGGTTCGCCTACAATCTATCCGTCCTTCTTCCCATACTTATATTAACATATCAATCTTCGTCAGGTCTAACGCATCCCATACAACATGAATACACTCTTTGAAATAGGCCCGATCCTCTTTAGATCTTCCCATCTACATAAGGAAAATTTTAACACTTCAGTATATTCCAGACGGGTTTAATAGCGTTAAGATCAGGCGAGTGTTACAGGCCAATCTTCAACGTACATCCCATGCTCTTGAACTAAACTTGTATATCTTTCGCTATATGGAGCTTTGTGTTATCTTGCTAGAATATCATTCCAGGCCGATAGCGATCGAGGCACGGGGGGAGCTGTCAAAGGAAAAATAAGAGTGTAGAGGTGGTTGTTAGGGTGATGGCAATGGGGCCGAGTGCACACAGACTTTTTCGCGGGTGTATTAGTTACTAGGTCATTAACTAACTACCTATTCAGGCCGCTTTAAGTAGTTTTGTGGGGGAACCCGCATCTCCCCACTTTAGAACCATAGTAGCCCGGAAACACCATGGCATATTTACTCCAGAGCCAAGTGGGGTCGAAGCAGAGTTGCGGGGACATCTCCAGGGCTGCAGGATTCTCCGGGGCCCTCTCCGGATCCTGTGCAATGGATTCAGCCTAAATTAAGGGCGGGGCTAGCTTTTCGTCTTCAGGTTTCGGGGTAGGCATGTTCGTCATAAATTCCTCTCTGGCTCCTCCAAGCCTACTACCGCCAATGCAGATCTCTTGTGAATCAGAAATCCATCATGCGATTTCTTTGGTTCGCACTCGGCACCTTGGCTGCCAGTGCGACTGCGAGTTCAGGGAACTCAACCACAAATAAAGGCTTGCGCATTCAGCATGGGTTTGAGACGATCTTGGTTCAGCCTTTCGGATATGACGGAATCCGAGTTCGTGCTTGGCCTTTTCGACCCCCGTCGGGTCGAGAGATTTCTTTTATTTATGATCCTCCCCTTGAAGGCCCGGAAGATGGCCAGGCCCATGGCATGAGCTTTGATACGGCATCCATTGGGAACAAGTCAGAAGAGCTGCGGAATGGCAATATCGTGGTTAGAACCTCTGGCTGGGAGGTAGTACTGGGGGCTATCGCCTCGCTTTTTACCGGGTTGAGGATAACGGCACCGAAACCTTGCTCACGAATGAATATGCACCTCTCAAGTCGATCAATCCTCGGTATTATTCCTGGAGTGGTCCTGGGAGCGAGTTCGAAGCTGAGTTCTCATTCTCGACCACCCCTGACGAGCAAGTCTACGTGAGCTCCCCTCCCTGCTTTTTTTAGTGTTTGTTCTTCTCTTGTCTCCTCGCCTCTCTTTCAAGAACTAATCCTCCGATTCGGTGCACAAGGGTACCGGCACACAACAAGACCATTTGATCAACAAGAAAGGATCGGTCATTGACTTAGTAAACTTCAATTCGCACATCCCAGCGCCCGTATTCATGAGCAATAAAGGATACAGTTTCATCTGTAGGTCATGGTCACTTATTACATGGCAATGGGACTAATTCAGCCCTCGAACAGGGAACATGGCGTCAACCGGTCGAATGGAGTTCGGTCCTCTACGCAATAGGTTCACGTCAGATGCTGCGACAGTAGTCGACTATGTGATTGTGGCATCCAAACCAGGGGATTATGACACTATTCAGCAACGACTTTCTGCCTTGACGGGCCGTGCCCCTGTTCCTCCCGACTGGTCATTGGGTTATATCCAATCCAAACTCCGGTACGAGAATCAAACGGAGGTCGTGAGCCTGGCGAAGGAATTCCAGTCACGTAATATTCCGGTATCGCTCATCGGTATGGCCTGTGCCTTGCACTACATGGGGCAGAGCGTTGCTAATTCTCTACCCAATAGTGATTGATTACATGTCATGGGCCCACGAAGGGGACTGGGCGCTGGATCCCGCGCTCTGGCCTGATGTGGCAAGCATGGCTCAACAAGTGAAGAATCTCACCAATGCTGAGATGATGGCCTCGCTATGGCCCGACGTCGGCGATGATAGTGTCAACTACCTCGACATGATGGCTCAAGGCTTTCTTTCTGCTACTCGGTCTGGTCCTGGCACTACTGATTCATGGAATGGATCATATGTGCGGAATTACGATGCCACCAACCCAGAAGCCCGGCGATTCCTATGGAACACCCTCAAGAAGAACTACTACGATAAAGGGATCAAAAATTTCTGGATCGACCAAGCTGATGGCGGTGCTCTTGGCGAGGCATATGAAAATAATGGGCAAAGTACCTACGTGGAGTCCATTCCATTCCCTCTTCCGGATGCATTGTATGCAGCTGGAACGCAAAAGAGTGTCGGAAAGCTGTATCCCTGGGCCCATCAGCAGGCTATCGAGGAAGGCTTCCGAAACACCACGGGCACCAAAACGGGCGCCCCGTGCGACCACATCTCTCTCAGTCGCTCTGGATACATTGGGTCGCAGCGCTGGTGCTCGATGATCTGGAGCGGAGATACGACTTCTGTATGGGAAACGCTTAGTGAACAGATCGCCAGTGGGCTCTCTGCTGCAGCCACGGGCTGGGGTTGGTGGACCCTGGACGCCGGGGGGTTCCAAGTCGACCCCACGGTTTGGTGGAGCGGCAATATCGACACTGCCGAGTATCGAGAACTCTATCTCCGCTGGTTCCAATGGGCGACATTCTTGCCTTTCATGCGCACACACGGCTCCCGGGCATGTAATTTCCAAGATGCCTATACGTGTGCGAATGAGCCCTGGTCCTACGGAGCTGAGAATACCCCGACTCTCGTGTCCTACATCCATTTGCGATACCAACTCGCCAAGTACCTCCAGGCTATCTTCCAGCAATTCCACCAGACCGGTCGCATGATCATGCGCCCTCTCTATATGGACTTTGGGACATCCGACCCGCGTGTGTCTGAATGGACTCGGCGCAATATCAATGCCACCACGCAGCAGTACATGTTCGGGCCACGGCTTCTTGTGGCGCCCGTGACTCTTCCAAATGTCACGGAGTGGTCTGTTTATCTTCCTCAGCCGAGGGGCGAGAGTTCTCGGCCATGGACGCACTGGTGGACCAACCAGACTTTCGAAGGAGGGCAATATGTCAATATCTCGGCCCCTGTTGACCAGATCCCCCTTTTCCATTTGGGCTCTCGAGCTGATATTTTCGATGGGAAAGTCTTCTCTTAAGGCAGTTTGAGAACAACCGGTGTTCGTTGATTGATAATTTCATTTAGTCTTGGATTTTCCTCGGCTGGAGGCAGCACCGAGACACCAAAATCAATCGAAGGGCAACACTTATTTTCCTCTACCATATTATTATCAGTTCGTATCTGTCTTGTTTGATGAATATAAGAAAGAAGAGTGTTCGTTCGATAGCTGCTCCAGATATGTATAGACCCTCAGTGCTGTAGATCGTCCGGGGTATTCATGATCCAAGGGCTAATTCCAGGTCTGGGATTTCCGATGCGTAAAAAATGGGGTTCCGAGCACGGTTTCCTCGATCGCCGATGACTGCAAGCCAACTAACAGATTGACCAGAAGAGGCTTTAAGGGAGGGGGGAACGCTTGTCATTGTGACAGTAGGGCGCCTAGTAAGCTTCTCGATATCTTGTGATCCCTTTCGTAGACCAGACCCAGGCGGTCATACTTTTTGCACCAACCGCCCCTCACGGCTGGCCTCTCTGGAAATTAGGGTGATTTGGAGCCAAAGAGCTTAAATCGGACCTTTGTTGTGGTTCGCAGGTCGTCGATCCATTGGCCGCCGTTGTAGCACGGGAGGGCGAGCGGCCACCTGAATGGCCATTGCGGCGGGTGTCCATCGCTCAATCCTTCCCACCCCCTCATGCCTTCTGACTTCTTCAGACTTCAGGTAGAACCTCGCAAGGGACTCATCACGGACACGTGCGTCCAGCTCCTGCTGAAAGATTTCCCTTTCCTGGTCCCCATTAAAGGCGCACCTCGCCTCCTTTAGAGCCCACCATGTTCTTCCTATCTGTACACCATGGAGACCGCCCCTCTGCTGTCGAGCCATCCCCATGCTCCTAAGCAGGATCGCGATCAGTTCCCCAGTATCTTGGCAGGCAAGAAGATCCTGTTGGCTACCGAGTCATGGGGCCCCGTAAACGGCGTCAGCCGTACGACGCGCAGTCTCGTCGAATACCTGCGAGCAAATGGCGCTGAACTCATCTTGGTCGCTCCGCATTTCAAGGGAGATATAGCGCAGCCTATGACGGATTGGGAGCGTCGTCTGCCTGGATGCGCTCTTCCCTATAACCCGGACCTGACGGTTGTCTATCCCTTTCATATCAAGGATATCTACCGGAAGTCCTTTCAACCGGACTTGATCTACTTGGCTAGTCCCGCTTCGCTTGGGTTCCAGATGTTGCTCCAAATTCGCCAGCTACGGTCTCCGCCGCCAGTGCTGCTGAACTTCCAGACCGATCTATCGGCTTACTCTGAGATCATGCTCCCGTCGCCGCTGGATCAATTCGGGGTCTGGCTGCTGGCTACCGTCCAGGGCTTTCTTTTCCGCTCTATCGCAATTCATACCATCTTCTACCCCTGCGCGGCGATTCGTAACTACCTCGAACGAGCCGGGGCTCCAGCCGATCGACTCTTCTCTCTCGGGCGCGGCGTGGATACCGCGTTGTTCACCCCTACAAAGCGAGACGATGCTTTCCGGCGGGCAATTGCTCCCAACGGGGAAATCATCTTGATCTGCGTGTGTCGAATCGCGCCGGAGAAAGGGTTCGAGTTCCTGGCCCAAGTCGCTGTGCGTTTGGCTGCGGACAAGCTTCCCTTCAAGCTGCTAGTCGTGGGAGGCAACCGGAACCCCGTGGTCGAGAATCGCGTGAAGCGGCTGTTTGACTCCGTTTCTCATCACGTTGTATTTACCGGGTTCCTCACCGGAGATGCTCTGGCTCGGGCCTATGCCTTGGCGGATCTATTCCTTCATTGCTCGATCACCGAGACCTTCGGGTTGGTGGTCCTCGAAGCCATGGCCAGCGGGCTGCCCGTGATCGCGCGCGATCAGGGTGGTCCGTCTGATATCATTCGACATGGCCAGACAGGCTACCTCGTTCCTCCCAAGGATATTGAGCAGTTTCTTGCCTTGACCCGCCGTGTTGCGAAAGACACGGTACAACGCAAAGCGCTCGCGGCGGCCGCCCGCGAGTATGCCGATGATACGACGTGGGAGAAGATTAACCGCCGTGCGGCATGGCAAATGGCGTCCGCGCTGTCCCATACAGACCAAGAATCCCATGGCCCCCGCCTGCAGGCTCGGCCTGGATTCTTTGCTTCGGCCTCGGAGAGGATACGATTGTGGCTGGCTATGGGAATCGTGTATCTGATGTGGCTCATTGCAGTGGTCCCTTTGATCGTGCACGGGCATCGCTTCGTTCCTCGTATGCTGCAGAGTTTACGGAATCAATTTCAGCAGCCTCGAACGCTGCCTAACTGATACCCCCTTTCTTGCTTGCTTTTCTTTTCTTTTCTTCTTTTTGTCTATTTCTGGCAATCAGTTTCCTCTCCTTCCGTGTGTGCACAGGTCGGTTGATCCAATTACGAAGAGTTGATATCCCACATTTTATCTATCCAATGTTTCGGTTCTTTTTCCCCCTTTTCATCCTAAGTCTCGTTTTCACAATTGTGATACATAGAGGACTGTTGCAGTTAGCCAATATATCTAGTAGTACTACACCAAGAATAAAATTCAAAACAAGATCTGAAAGCCCCATATTTCCGACATCGAACAGTGTCAACGTTCAACCCTGAGACGCATTGCCATTCCCGCAGGCAGCTCGTATTATAGACGCACTGGCGCAGTGCCAAGAGGCACCAAAACGTGGCCCTCAGCCACTAGCGACTTAAGACTCGATCGACCACCTGCATAATCTGATCAGATTCGTAGGGTCACGGTGGCAGTCTCCACCAGTCGCTTCACCAAAACCCCCCTAGTGGCCACAAGATCAACACATTCGGAAAAGTCATCAGACGCATCAAGCTGTCCTCGTCGGCGATCTTCCTGGAGCGATCGTTATACAAAAGCTCCCCTTCTCGTACACATCCCGTACACACGCAGGGGCTGGACTACAGCCAGCAGTCGGTCAATCCTCCTCGCGAGATAATGACCAGCACTACCGCCGGGCTGCATGCGAGCATAGTCGGGTTGATGATCTGGCGCGTGCCACCGGTCAGCGGACGATGCGAACTGATAATGTGGCCTTCTCGCAGCAAGACGTCCAGCCAATTGATAGGATTCAGCTCGAACAGATCATATGCCAGCCGGCAGCCGTGAAAGATCCGTGCCGCCAATCCGGCCAGCCCCGACGCATCCTCACCGCCGGGCCATGCAGAGGCATGCCCGGCCCTCGATGTTAGAATTTCCCCCTCGCGCACGCGGTTGTACACGCGATGGAGCTTGCGGTTTATTGTTCGGGTTTAATGCCACCGCGAACTCGGCCACGGCCTCTGGAGAATAAGGGCGGGGGACGTTGGCCACAACCCCAGGCTTTCGGCCGAAGCACGATCGATGTGATTTGAAGCCTGCGCCGCGCAGGAGCACGGCGCGAACGCCCTTGGGCAGGGCTTGGAGCTGGCACGTCCAGGGTATCGTTCACAAAACACGCAGACCGCATTGCACCCTTGCGCCAGCGGAACGGTCTCTTCCGATAAGGCAAAGGCATGGTACTGGATGTCGCAGAGATCCGTAAATCGCCGGTCAAGCACCTCGTCCAGATACTTCGCGATCATACGATTTGGCACTGAACCCGACTTCAATGCTTACATCGTTTGTTTTTTTCGACTTTGAACGATGTCGAGGTATAGTTACGTACCAGCTAGCATTACACTGAAGACATGAGGGGTAACAGATTTCTATTGGTGGATGCCCATAGTCATGATGCCATCACGGGTATTGGCTATAGTATAACCGCAGGGGGGAATGAACAACCTTACCAGCACGGGCAAGAACTATTTTGCTTCAATACTTATTGTTGACCGCAAACAGCATATCTCCTATAGATCTCGCGATCGAGATCCAGGGGGGGGCGGAACATTCCGAATGCGGAATATTGAGGAGAAACGGGATGCTGACAAAACCCCATACGCCAGTGGAGATGAGGCTCGTGCTCACGGCTTTGGAGGGGGATGTACAAGTACAAGCAGCGCTGATGCATTCATTACATAGACCGTTGCAAGCGGTGAGGCAAAGGACGGGAATGGCGCGCAGCATATCAGGTCTGCTGAAGTTTGGCGACCGGTTTAGGTTTACGGGGATGCATCTCCAAATCCCGCGGTATGGAAAGTCTAAATCTAAACCGGGGAGACCAAGTCGCCTGGGAGAGAGATCGGCTACGACATACGACATACCACCCTCGGTTGTCTATTTGATTACATGTAACTCCATAATACTCCATACGCTGTGTCTATTTCGATTCTCAGAGTGAAGCCCCGTGCCTAGAACGCCGGAACCGAGGCGAACGCCTCGAGGAAGGAGCTTCTGGATGATTACTTCTTTGAGAAAGTCGTCGCTGCTGATTGGTGGATCCGCAGTTTGCGCTGGCCCGTCTCCGCGGGGCCCCAAGGGAGTCACGCGACCCCTGATTGGCCTCAGCGACTGCCTTCCACCAATCACAGCCTTCTGATAAGCCAGAAACGCCACTCGCAGTGTGATTGGGTGGGTATGGGGGGGCCCGGCGTCACTAGTGAACCTTGGAATTGAGACATCGGCCGGAGCTGCTTTTTTGGAGTTGGAGAGCCTCGTGTGCACAGTTGCTGGGTCGAGGACTGTAGCAGAACTCGTGGTTGACCAACCCCGTACGCAGTCGGCATCATGTACGTCAGTTCCCTGGCGTAAGTTGATGGCAGTCGCCTCCATCAAGTCATGCTCGGGATCTGACCGTGAAGAACGCTGATCGGCAAAAGAAGCGGTCAAACCCCGCTGCATGCACGAATAGACACTAATAGACACTACCCCAAACGAAAAGGATCGGGGTTCTGCGGAGCAAAGGTGTTGCACTAGCGAGGCTGTCGGGTGTCGTCCGTTCTATACTGAGATCCCGCTGGCCCGATGCTCGGCGGATAATCATGCAGCGAGGATTGGCTCTTTTCCGCAAGTTTACGTGACCAAGAGCCCATGTACTGGTACTTCCATCGTTTGGCGTCTATACTCCGTTTGCCCTTTAAATGAGTCCGTCCCGCTGGGGGGAAACTTCTGGGCAATCGCCTATTCTCTATCCTCCTTCCGATCTTATTTGCCCTGTAGATTTACGCTGCATAACCCCATCTGGGCAGGAAACCGAAATTCCAGAAAGAATCCAAACAAAAATAAGAAGGGAAAAAAAAAAAAAAAAAAAACGCCAAGTTTGCCTCCCGATCAGCGCCCCCTTTCAAGTCCGGCTCGCCGGGTCTCTAGCCTCAACGCTCCTTCAGATCTCCACTTGCTCGGCCATTCACCGTGTATCTTTTACTACCGACCTTTTTTGCCCCTCGAAATATCTCATGGCTGTTAGCCACTTCCTTTAAACATCTCTCTCTCCCTGTGCCTGTTTCCCCAACTTTTCCTCTCCCCGACCATCTTCCGACCTCCGACCTCCGACCTCATGGCTACTCACGTCGTCACTGCGCCTGCGGGCAACCAGATCTCCGTCTATGGTCACCCGTCTCCTACCAACTCCACCACCACCACTCCTTCCAACAATTCTCCTACTTCCCCCCGCCTGAACACCGCCGCGTTGCATCAACTACCACTGCAGTCGCGCCAGCTGCGTCCTCCCAAGGGCCCGCTCTATGTCCCAGCCGCCCTGCGCCCAACTGAGCGCCCTCAGAAGTCCTCCCCCATCACCCCCTCCGCGCAGTGTCCACGGTTCCCTGGACAGTCTGAACGAGGACACGGAACCCATTAGCCGCCGATCCACCATGGAAAGCAAGAGCAGCGGCGTCAGCAAGGTCGCAGAGCATGAGTGGATGAAAACCGAGCAGCTGGGGGAAGTCACCGGCCAACCCACCCGTGATCACTGGAAAGTGAGTATCTCCCCGTCCTTCACCCTCTCTTGAAATCCTCTCGGGGGATGCCCACTTTATAAGTCTGCGAGGGTCAAGATGGCGTACAGACCGCTCGGAATGTCGTGTTCAATCACGCCATTCGGTGAATATGGCGCATACGCATCTTCCCTTACAGGCCGAGGACTGGGGACTTTAAAGGGAAAACAAAAATACAATAATAGCCTCGACACGATTGCTAACTTTTTTTTTCCCCCAGGCGGATGCTGCGTCTCCAAACTGTGACTCGCCTACTTGCCGCTCATCTTTCGGAATCTTCCTTCGCCGTCACCACTGCCGCCATTGTGGCCACGTCTTCTGCTCTTCCCACACTCCTCATGTCGTTCCCCTTGACCAAGATGCGCGTTTCCATCCCGAGGGCGTTCCTTCACGCGCTTGCGACCTCTGCTGGAGTGCCTTCCAGCGATGGGAGGAAACCCGCACAGATCGCCTGAACAAGATCCAGAGCAACATGAACTCCAAGGGCGAGGATGAGACCCAGGCCGAAGACCTGGAAGGTAGCCAGGACTCAAATCGCGCTACGCTTCAGCCTACCCTTGACCAGCCTACCGAAGTCGCTGCTAGTGTGCCCCGCGACTGGAACTGGAGTACCTTCTAATTGCGTCCCGTTCTCTGGCACTATGCTCAGCGGGCCTGGGGTAGGGCCTCTTAATTCTCTTTTCTGACGCGTTTCGCCTTTGGTTTGCATGTTATTGATTTCACGATCATCGCTATGGAGTTCCTTCGGATTACGGTTTATGGATTATGGGTCCTGGATCATGTTCTGTTTGCCTGTGCTTTTTCTTTTACATGGTTAGAGGTCTTTTGCTTTTGCGTGCGGCTCCGATACGTCGACCGCCTTCTGCTTTTCTGATACCCCGTCATTCGTCTCGAGGGATGACCTCTTTCTCATTATCGCGATTTTTCTTCCCTACCCTCATAGCACTGGTGGTCGATTTGCAGGCTTGAGGAATATGACAGGGTCTCTATGACAGGGTCTCTATCTACACTGCTAGATCTCCCCATCAGTCCAGGTTCTGATTCAAGTCCCCTTTCTTCTGCACATAGATCTTATAGAATTTACTTACCTTGATGCTCGTTTCCATTGTCTAGCTCTGCTCCCTAGTACTAGTAGTTAGGCCCGCTGCACTTCCATCCCGGGAGTTTCACCAATCACAACTTCGACCCCTTGCTAGGATCCAAGGCAGTATCTACTGTTGACCACCAGGGGTAGTTGGGCGAACTATCTTGCCTAGGATCCGTCTGGAACTCCGGCTGGCGTTTCTCAAGAAACGAGTTGACCCCTTCTTTATAGTCCCTTTCTGGTGTCAATGATCTTTTGTCCCAGGTCAATCCAAGGTCCCAAGAGAATGCGCTTACCGCTGTCCAATCATATGATGGAAGACTCGTGATTCGAGCAAATGCGCCGCCTCTGGGGACGCCGGCCCTTCCCACATCAATGCTCGACTCATGGACGATGCCAGCGGGCTCACGTTCGTCGCCATCTCATGCGCGAGGTCAAGGGCGCGCGGCAGGACCTGAGCGGCATCCGAGATGGTCTCCATGAAGAGGCCACCAAAATACTGGGGAGTGGAGGGTACGTGCCGCCAGTGGAGATCAAATACATGGCTCGCGAGAATCCGATCAGACGAGGCAGAAAGTACGAGGCACACGACTCGATCGTCAAGCCGCGTCGGGTGAAAACAAATCCATACTTGCCCTTTGCGTGACAAATTCTAGATCCTGTCAACCCCGGTTCGTCCGTTCGCTGTTGTGCCACTTTGTGCCTTTCCCGGAGGAGGACAAGCAAACCTGGCTTCCTCACTTACCGAATAGCAGCTGGCAGGGTCATGGTCATGCCCACGCCCACGGCCGACCCTTGAAGTGCCGCTATCGTGGGCTTGTGGCATCGGTGCATAGCAAGAGCAACACGGCCGCCTCTAATCAATCGTCAGTCACCGACCTTTCTCTTCAACATGAATTGTTGCATGGAAGTATTCACATGTCCCGAAAGTCCACGGCCGGTCCTTTGCCATCTCCAAAGCCGATGGTCAGATCTGACCCCGCGCAGAACAGCCTCCCGGTTCCTGTCAACACCACTACCCGTACACGAGGGTCGAGGTGGAACATCTGATAGGCCTGGGCGAGGCTGTCGGCCATTTGTGGGGTGAATGCATTGTTTCTTTCGGGTCGGTGCAGCGTGAGGACCACCACTGGCGTAGCCACGGGGGCTCCAGGAGGGTCGTGGTATATCTTGACATGAGTGAGATTGAGGGTCTCGTAAGATGTAGGAATGTCGGTTGATGCCATTTATGCTAAGAGGTAGTCGGATACAGAGACTCGGCATCAGCTATGGCCCGGTGCCGTATTTATGTATCAGGTAGTATGCCCTCCACGCGGGCATTCAAATGACTGATCCAGTGCTTGGATACCTCGGTTACCGATGGCCCGGGGGAATGCCCCATGTGTGAACCTTCCAGGCCTCCAAGTCCGGGGCTGGAGGGTTCTGCAGATCATGCCCATATCGACAGCTTGAAATTATGGACTGGATTTGAAAAATTGCCGGGGCTGCGCATCTGTCCCAAATCCAAATTGATACTGTGGAAAAGGTTTCTCGACATTGAGTGTAGTAGTATCCCGAATATATATAGGAACAGCTAACACTAGCACCGGGAAAGATACTTCTGAGGTCACGTTCGCAAATCGATCACGATGGATTTGGATTTTCGGACGATATGATAGCTCTCCAAGCAGTACACATCTGGGCGTCACAATTGGAAAATGAATTCACCCATTCAGACGGAACCGTGGGGGTTTCAAGCTGCAGATGTACGCAGCTAATGCGGGCGATATGATTGGTGGCCAATGATCTACAGAACGACCATGATTTATTCTCGCTTCAACACTTTCTCGATTCATTTCAAGTTGCAGGCTATACACCAGCACTAGGAGATGAAATGCAACTACTCAACCTGGAATCTAGGGTAACATCTTTCAACTTCGCCACGATGCCATGCAAGTAAATAGCTTGCTGTGTACTCGCAGCACTCCCCGCTACCAATCACGTGATCAGAATCAGGTGACCCACCTCACCTCATCCGACGCAGATGAAGACATCGATCTGTCTGTGTCGTCGCTCTGAATTACACCGCAACAATGGCCGGCCCTAGCAAATGTGAGTGCAAGATTTGAGTGTCCCTGTGCTGACGATCTGATGCTAACCAATTGACTCCAGCTCTGGTCCTTGACCCGGCTCTCCAGAAATACTACGGTACGTGATCCTTGCACCCCGTCCTCTGCCCATTCCCGTGAACCGAGTCCAATATGCAGCTGCATGGTCTCAATAAAGTGCACCGAGTGTGGCTTACAAAAGGGTCCATCGCGACACTGCAACCGCAAGATCTGGATCGGCTTCCCCGCCCATTGACAAGCAGACAAGCAGCCACTGACTACGTTTCTCGACAGAACTCAATGCCAACCGTTACAAGTACTTCCGCTGGACTCCTCGCCATGCCTGGCTGTCATTTGTCTACATGGGCCTGATTCCAGGTGTCCTCACATACTTGACCTTGAAGACCGAGGTATGCGCGTGACTTCTCATACCCCGAAGAGGGGGGGGGGACCGAAAGATATGACACTAACCCTCCAATGCAGGGCAAGTATGAGCTTCGGGGCAAGCGGAGAGGTGATACCATCGCAGAGTGGTAAATCATGAGCGCGCGATGAATCGTCTTCGCGTGGACTGCGAGGAACCAAGTGATGGCGATATTCCGCGCCTGGCCTAGTGTTTTCCCACTGGGTGCCGAGGGTGCCGTGGGAGGTCCCTTCACAAGATCGACCTCCTTTTCTTTTCAAGTTTCCGACCATGAGCTCACCGTGGCTGAGCTATGTACCGTACAGCAAACATATACCGCATTGATTTCTTCTGTTCCTTGTTCGCTTCGCCCAAGATGGCCAGACTCTGGAGAGACCCTACTCTAGTTAAAGTATTGAAATTGCCATGACCCTCCCCTAGCATGTAAGCAGCTTCAAGGGACCGGGCTCAAGCTGTACTCTGGTACTGCAAAGAAATGACTCCATTCAGAATTCGGTTTGAAATAAGCATGTGTCTTGCTCCCAACTCCCCCTTCACTGTAGGAACCCAGCTCGTCAGCTCGTCAACAAATCAGTTAAAAAAAAACTATTTGAGGTATCCGTCCACTCGACTAATCGTACAATTCTGTAATTCTCGTAATCCCTTTGATGACGGCTGTGGATACCAAGAAGATCAACCATTTTCTTGCCTAGTATTCCAAAGTGATCTAGTACGGCGCCCATCCCCGACGACCACCCCTCGCCCCGGTCCGTCAGGGAGCCGTTCGCCTCGTTTCCAGTCCCCAGGCGGCAGTCTTGGAGGTCCATCACGGTCACCACCGCGAGGACCACCGCCACGGCCAGGCCGTCCAAACCCATTATCCCGGAATGCACGCATCCCACCCCCACCAGGGCCTGACCCCGAACCACCACGAGGTGGAGGAGCAATCGACCCGTCCTCCAGAGGAGGCACGATCGCACACTCCACGTAGTCGCCGACAATAAAGCGGGCGTCCTGTAAAGCTTTGTCGGCATCCGAGCCCTGGAAACGCAGCGGACCGGGGCGAGAGACTGATTCTCCCGCCGCATCTGCTTCTTCCTCATTGCGATAAGGGCTCTCTCGTGGCGCGACTATCACACTCCCAAGCTCCCTACTGACGTACCGACCGCGCGCGTCGGGGCCCATCATCGCGGCGCTTTTGGCATCGGGGTATATCAAGCGGAAGCAGAGGCGCGTTCCCACAGGTGGATCGGGCAGCAAATGAGGAAGTGTGCTTGTAAGAAGCTGTGAAAGTTCTCGGAGGGTACAAGATTGCCATGTGTAGATCTCGAGGTGAGGTGGGAGTGTCGCGGCAGCTGGCGGAGGGGAATGGGCGCGAATCGCATTTGGTCCACTCATTGGGCCGCCCCGGTAGCGGGACGGGGGCGGGATACTGTAGTCAGATAGGTGGTGGAAGCTGTTGGTGCGATAGAAGAGCTTGAGGTGGAAGGGCGTGACTTCCTGGCGGTTGATGGTCTTGGGTCCATCGCGAGCTGCCATGATGGGCGCCTTTTTGTACGTCGCGTGAAGCACAAGGAAGTTGAAGGAGGCGCGACAAACACTGGCTGCTTTAAATGTAAGCTGGAAAGTAACGATTGCGAAAGGAGATCTTGCGCCAGGTACCAGGAGTGGGTGGGGGGGAAGAAGAGGACGCGAGGAGTCGTGAAAAAAGACAAGGTCCCGATGCGGTCGAAGCTCCGCGAAACGGTTGGAGCCCGAGCTGTTGCGACAAACAGCTTTCCACCTTTTTCTCTCCCCCCGACAGACTCTGCGCCCTCCTCAACTCACAAGTCTGGATTTGCTAAAATCCTCATACCCGAACGGAAAGCACATTCCTCTCAAGCTACGAACTGGGCGAGTCACGAAATTATTATCGCCAAGGCAGTGATCCTGCTCTGCCCCCCGCCACCATGGATTTCGCTGCTCTCATGTCCAGGGAGATATCCAAAGCCAAAGGGCAGGATCCATCTACAAATTCCGACGTTCAGAAGGACGACAAGCCCGCGCCTACCAAGAAGTACATGCGGCGAGGAGAGCAGGAAGCTGCGCGGGTCGCCGCCTACAAAGAAGAACAAGCACGATTAGAGAAAGAGCGCGAAGAGCGGCTAGCCAAGAAACGCAAGGCGGAGGAGGAGGAAGCCGAGCGACGCCGGGAGAGGGAAGAGAAGAAACAGAGACTGGCAGAGGAATCGAAGAAGAGAAGACAGGCCATTGAAGAAGCGGCCGAACGTGAACGCAGACGCCGACTCGGCCTACCGGAATTGCCAGCGAAGAAAGACACCGACGACACCGACAATGGAGCTACAGAGGACGACATCGCAGAAGAGGAATTGATAGAGAAACTCCGGGAGATGGGCGAGCCCTCCAAGCTTTTTGGAGAGAATCATCGGGCGAGACTTGCTCGATATCGACGTCTGGCCCAACGCTCTGCCATGGCGCAAAAATTGACGGATGGGCCGATTCCCACCACCTTAGAGCCCGTGCCGGGTGGACAAATGATCATCCCGGCCAAAATCCCCAAGGAAGCGGACGATCGTCTGTTCCTCTTCCGACAACTCGCCTCCTATTTCAATATGGTTCTCTCCGAGTGGGAACTTGCACTGTCAAAACGAGACGTCGCCGTGCGGGAAAGTTTCCAAGGCAGGCAAGCATATAACGCTATGGTGCAATCACGAGAGAATATGAAGCCTCTCTTCCGGCGATTCGAGAAAGCCGACCTGGAAGACAGCTTACTCGAACCCATTGTCGAGATTGTGCATAAGGCGCAACAGCGGAAATACGTTGACGCCAACGACGCTTATCTGCGAGTGAGCATCGGCAAAGCGTAAGTGAATGTTCAGCCCATCTTGTTCGGCCCACATATCTCCGTTGCTAACTGAAAACTTCTAGGGCATGGCCCATCGGTGTGACCATGGTAGGTATCCACGAGCGCTCTGCCCGTGAAAAGCTGCATGCCGGCGACCAACAAGCGCATATTCTGAGCGACGAAGCCACTCGAAAGTATCTCCAAAGCATCAAGCGCTGCCTGAGCTTTGCTCAGGTGCGTTGGCCACCGGAGGATCAGTTGCAGATTATGGGTTAAAAGCACGGTTGAGATGACAAGATGTTTCCCATTATTATTGGGCGCATTACGTGCCCTCTTTATGCGAGCTGAGTCCTTTCCACGAAGTATCTAGCTCATTACAAATCGGCCATAACCAAATGTCTATGCGTCATAGCGATCTCCATATCTCATATACCCTTGAATGAATTTTTGCCCGACCCTCCCAGCTCTAATCGAACAGGGAGGACGCGTAATTGAAGAGATCAAGCGTCGCTTTGGCATTGATGGCCTTGATAGCGGCCTCATAATACGGGATTGTCTGCCCATTGTAGTCGCAGCTGTAACCCTTCACGCCAATCGTCACTGTACCCAGAGTGCCCGAGCCGGTCAAAGCCTCGTCGATCAGCTTCTCGGTATCCAAGCTGCCCCAGAAGACGGTGCTGCTGACATCCTGTTCAAGCATCACGTTGGGGAGATCGACGTAGCCAAGCGGCGTGTCATCATCTCCTATTGTCAGGTTAAATGCAATATGTCCCTAGGTCACCGTGATGTTAGCTGGATCCATTTGGCCCCCCACCCCGGAAGAGCAGCATATTACCAGTTCGACTGTAAATGGGGTCGGGTTTTGAATGGTAATGGTGGCGTTGACATTGTACCCATTGACCTTTTCTTTCAGTAGATCGATGCCGGTGACATTGAAAGCCCCAGGGGAGTTCAAAAATTCTACAATGCAGTAAGCTTAAGACATAGATGGGCTCGAAGTAGACCTCGAAATCCTTACCAGTGACATTGTAACCTGGAATTGACAGACACATTAGCCCGGGTCCTACCAGTCCATTAGGGCCGCAGGAGGTCTCTTACCGTTCATTTTAATGGTCTTGTCGATGTTCAGGTGGGCCGTTGGCAAAGCTCCATACTTCAAGTCCGGAGTCCCTCTCACCAAGACCGAGAGGCTCTGGTTCGTCGCCGCCGCGATCGCCAGCTGCGACATACAGTCGACACACAACAGTTCGAGATCTTGGTCGATATCCAGCTCGACGCTGCCCGAGAACTCGATCTCGGGGACAGAAAACACCGCGAACTCTTGGTTTGTGCTCGGTTCCCGGAGAGACGCATTGAACGGCTCTAGATGGCCGCTCCCCGTGAATCCTCCTCCCGTTGCGATTTTGCTTTTCTGACTGAGATGGATGGCATTGGGTCGCGGGTTGGTGATGGCTAACCCTGTCTCGTTGTACTGGAATTTGTTGATGTACGCGTTCGCGAAATGAGGAACGCCTACATAGACTCTGGTTTCTCGTGGATGGGGATTGGTTATGCCTCACAAAATACAAAATCGGAGAAACTCACAGCGGCAGGACGGTCACCAGAACAACGACGATAATCACTATCCCATGCACCCACCACCATTTCTTCATATGAGCCGTGAAGCGCTGCCACAGCGTTGGCTTGACCACATCATCTAGGTCCGACCCTGAGCTCAGCGCGGTGTCAATGGCAGATTTGGACATGATGGACGTGCAAAGAGACGCTAAAGTCGAGGGGAAAGCCTAGTTATTTTACAATGATGACAATCTACCCCACGGGGGAGGGCCAGAGTGGATCTCAGGGGGCTCTTTCACATGAGGCCGTCGGCCAGTTCTTACTTGAGTTCGGCACGATATATTGGGGGGGGAGTAAGCTGGGGGTAAAATACCCATGTCTCGCACGGCGATCATAGTGAAACCATCCAATTCGGTGTTCGGGCAACGTATTCGCGAAGTCTTGATCCACCGAATACGCGATCAGCGCGACGATGCCCCCCCAATGGGGAGAGCACCGAGGCTGCGGAGACCCTGGACCCGATCTATCCAGGCGCTCACGCCCAGAGATTCAATCTAAACTGCCGCGAAAGCAATCTACGACGATGGACAGCCTGATCCACTTGTTGACTCGGCTAGATTTGTCGGATCGCTCTGCGTCTCCAAGCGACCAGGCGGGGCCGAATTGCTCGTAGGCTTTGCTCAGCGAAGAGCAACAGGGAAGTCACTATGATCGATTTGCCACAGTCCCCCCTAAATAGGGCAGTGCGCTTGCTCATGTTGCATTCTTTGCGAAGGACTTGCTCTTTCTGAAACTCGCTAACCGACTCCGAAGGACCAAGTGCACCTCCGAAGAGCTGGAAGCCCTAAAGCCCACCGAGCAGGCGACTTTTGAATACACAAGATACCTGTCGTAGCCCTGGCAGTGCTCGGGCTCAGCTTCAAAATGGGCCCGGAGTAAACTTTAAGGCCTGTGAATACTGCGTAGGCTGCCAGATGGGACCAACTACTAGGATTGGAGGAATAAACGTTTGAATGTCAGTTTGCGTGCAACGGACAGCCTGAGGTGGAGCGGACAAAGATCCACATACGCGAAAGGGAATCTTCCGAGGCTCGTTAACCTTTCGGTCTCAAGCGTGTGACTTGCAGTGCCATGTTGGCCCTGGCCACTCTCTGTTTATTGTTCCCTTTGTACTGGGTCTATAAGCCCCCCCGACGTGCTTATTCGCTTCTTTCAACGTCGTTGGCCTGACGTGCTGTTTCGGCACCCGGTGGCCCAGAAAGTGGTCGCGTTGACCATCGACGACGCGCCCTCGACTCAAACAGCGGAGATCCTCGATATTCTCAACCTTCACCATGCCACCGCCACGTTCTTTGTAATTGGTAGTCAAGTGCCGGGATCCGAGCAGATATTGGCCGACCTGGTGACGGCTGGGAATGAACTGGCCAATCATGCAATGCACGATGAACCATCTCGCGCGCTTCCCGACGCGACCTTAAGAGAGCAGATGCTGGCTGTGCAAGGCGTCATCCATGAAGCGTACAGGAGGGCCGGAAAGCCCGAGGGTCCTCGGGGCTGGTACTTTCGTCCCGGCTCGGGCTTTTTCAGCACTCGCATGCGGCGCTTGGTGGGGACGCTGGGCTATCAGCTCGTGCTGGGGGACGTTTACCCCCACGATCCGCAAGTACCATACCCTAGCTTGAATGCACGGCACATATTGAGCATGGTCAAGCCGGGGAGCATCATCGTCTGCCATGATCGCAGAGAGTGGACTGTGCCTATGCTACGCATGGTTCTGCCCGAGTTAGGACGTCGGGGCTACAAGGTAGTCACGGTCTCAAAGTTATTACAAGAGCCACTCCTGCCCGCATCATAGATTCTGGGCAGTGCGGCTTCAGGTTCGGATACTATACTAGTACATCCTCGTTTCTCACGAGATCTATATGTGATGATTTATCGTATGAGATCCCTCCACATGTTTCGAACGGCTGCCCACCAGCCAAAAGAAGACCCCTTGGTCGATGCTTTGCTGAGAGTTTCCTCCCGCGTAAGTTCTGAGGTACCATTAGGTAAACCTGGTGGCCATCGATGCCGTTCATCACGGTCAATGATGGAGAGTGGGGATGGGATGTCCCAGCACTTCCGCAGGTACTGGGAGATTGGTGTTGGCTAGTCGAACCATGGATGATATGCCTGGCTGCATCGACACAGCCTCCATAGGCAAATCGCACCAGCGAATCTCCAGTCAGACTGCCAATAATGTGCACACCCGGTGCGATTTCCAGGTTTTCATACGCCTTCGCGCGGAGCGTCTGCGCTGAGATCGGAGCGTTTACCGCGCCCGCCTGCCCGAGGACTTCCGCACTGAGTTCGGTATCTAAGTAGCTCAAAGAACCTCGCCGACCGGCCGCATAGACAAGACCAGCGACGGTACGTGAGAATTCTGAGCCATCAGCGCGGCGGAACGTGACGATGGCAGACTCGTTCTTGACGTCCACGGCTGTCACTTCGACATTGGCTACACCTTCATATAATTGACTCCAATCCCGACTCTCCCAAAAACCGGTGGATGTCACTCGACGGGTTTTTGGTCGGTTGCCCTCCGTTTCGGCCGCATCCAACGCGGCCCTTTTCATCAATCGGTACACCCCCGCATATTCGGGATAAGCTTGCTGGTGGCATCCTCGCAAGGGAGATGGTCGATCCTCTGGCGACCATCTGAACACGTGAAGAATCTTTTGGTCTGGAGATGCGGATAGGATCGCATCTGCAGCGGAGAAGCCAGAACCTATGACCAGTAAGGGCACTGCGGGGGTCGACGAGGTTTGCAGCAAAGGACGAAGAACGGGCCCGGGCGGAAGGGCCTTTGAGAAGATTCCACTCGCGAGCACCAATCGCTTGCAATGGAGATCGTGTGACTTGATATAAAAGCCAGTGGCCGTGCGCGTGATGCCGCTCAACTCCTCCCCGCACCTAAAAACATCATCGATCTGGGCCGCTGCCGGATATGATTGGAAGTAATCCGTGATCTCGCGCCTTGTCGGGCGGGTGTACGGTGGTAACTCCTGGCCCGTCAGTTTCTGATAGTGCTCCGCGAACGAGTACCCGGGCAGGGAGAGCATGGCTGCATAGCTCAACGTTTGGATATCCCAGCTGGCGCCGAGCGTATCTTCCGTCCATTGTCCCCCGGGAATCGCGGACTTTCCGAACACCAGGTGGGGAACAGCCTTCTCCGGCATATGGCGCCATTCCACGTTGGAGTCGTCGCTCGAGACATCGATATCCAGGCTGGGTCGCACTAGGGTATCTAGGAGCACGTTGATGGGTAACGCCTGCGTGGAGTAGGACAAGCGCGACGCCGCGAAGTGCGCCGTCAGGGCATCCACATCGGCTTGCAGGATATTCGGAGTGGACTGTAGTTTGGCATCCAGTAACGGATCTGGATGTGGGGGATCTGAAGTGTAATATGGAATATGGCCATGCAGAATGTAGGACAGGATCATGGCCGACGGCCCATTGCCTGCAATATTTCTTTTTAGCATCCCGGCTCGCACCAGATCCCAGCGATGCAGCTGCTTACCGACTACCACTGCGTCCGTCTCCATTAAGCGTCTCAAAGGACTTGCTTCATACGGGGCATTCTGGGGGAAAGGTTGCGATCACTCCGCGGAGGGCGGAATGCACGGGAAAACACTTCGATTGATTATAAACCCTATAATCCCAGAGACGCCGGTGGGGAGGGGGCAAAGTGGGGAAATCCAGACGGACATGAAATCACAGTTACCGGCTGATTTGGGGTTGATGACTGAGACTCGATCGTCTCGCCCGGCCGTTTTATGGGGAACGAAATCCGGATGCATGTACCCGCTGCCCCGCTCGAGGGGAGAAGGGGGGGTTTTACTGGGAGATCGGAGATATCGTATACCAATTGGCCTCTGATCTGGATGCTACCAGCCCTCTCAAAGGTCACCACTTGGACTTCTCCTCTGCATCAGATACAGCCCTAAACCCTACTTTCCTAATCCGGGGGGGGAAGCAGCTCCAGATCTCCAGCCTTTCCCCAAAGGATCTCCAGTCCCCGTATGCGTCGACGAGATTCGACTGAGATTCCGCTCATCTGATCGCGCTCCCTGCGATGTATCATCTGGCGAAGTCGCTATATCTGTATGCGACCAGTAAAGAAGGTACAGGCGCCCCCGTCGTCCCCAAACATTGGGGGCTCCCCGCTTACCTTGTAAACAGAATACTCGGTCCTTCTATCAGGCCTGGACAATGCCGGCAAGACCACCCTCCTGAGCCAAATCAAGGCTCTGTATCAGCCTCGCGCCGACGGTGCCCCCGCGCCCAACCCCGGAAAGACCGTCCCGACCGTCGGCCAGAACGTCGCAACCATCTCTTTACCCGATATGAACCTCAAGATATGGGATGTTGGGGGTCAAATATCTATGCGCGGCCTCTGGCAAAGCTACTACAGCAGCTGCCACGCCATTATCTTTGTGGTGGACAGTACCGACGTCGGTCAAGACCCCGATATCACGCGACTGCCATCTGCGCCCGGCCGACGCCCCAGCTCCATTGCTGGCCCCGCGCGAAACTCTACCAACGGGAGCGAGCTGTTCACAGAACAAACGGTGGGGATCAATGCCGGGATGAGTGACTTTGGGCGCTTGGACGAATGTCGGCAGGTGCTGGAGTCCGTCCTGCAGAACGCAGACGTTGCCGGGGTTCCTATCCTGGTTCTAGCCAACAAACAGGATCGGGAGGACTGTGTGGAAGTGGTTCGGATCAAGGAGGGCTTTGTCCGGAAAGTCTTCGAGGGTGAGACCGGAAGCGGGGTGAGAGACAGTCGTGTGCTGCCGGTCAGCGCGCTTCTCGGATCGGGGGTTCAGGCGGCGGTCGAGTGGGTGCAAAGTCGAGTCAAGTGGAATAAGGAAAGTCGACCCCCGGTGATGCGGTGATTTTTGGTCGGAATTTTGGAAGGATTCCCCTTCGCACATACCGATGATTTGCATTCTGGCGTTTTGTGAATGGTCACACTTTTTGTCATTAATATACCAATCGAATTTCTAATGTGAGTATCATGATGTATAGCTAGTTCTATATCTTCGAAATCTAAAGAGGGCCGGATGATTATATATCACTATATCAATATATAAGATTGCACGTCTACCTAGGCCCCGGTACTATTGTGGTTCGTACCTGAGTACTTCTCCCTTTTACCCGCAGAGAGAACCCAGGGTTCGGTACCTCAGGGGTTTCTCAGCAGCTACGGTCTTGCCGAATTCCAATTCATGCACCAGTGATTTCAAATGAAGGGGGAAAAAAAGAAGAAAAACTTGAAGTCGGTGGAGTTCATAGGCCGGTGCAGCACCCGCCAATGGGCGCCTAAAGCGGCCGAGAGGCTGTAGACCCACCCTGATGATACCCAGATAACCTTGTCGCAATGAAGTCAGAGCGTTTGCTCAACTTCCAGTTGAACATGGCAGCAATGGATTCTGACGCATGAGCATTCCACTCCGGGCCCAGTCCACCTTCTAGCAGCTCTGGACAGCTTGTCTTTGGGTCCGCTAGGATTCGGGTTCTGGCTCTTCCCCACATACTTGATGTCACTTCCTCTCCAGTGGCTCGATCAATCTTGGTCCTGCACAGGAAGCCTCTACGTCAAACGAGAGCAGATCGATGCATCCAGCTCCGAGCTCAGACATGTTTTCTGACTAGTGGGGTGTTGACAGCTTAGTCACCAACCAAACGAAGCAGCTGTTAGTTAACTGGTCCAATTAACGAACTATGAAGTCAGTCGTGCTCTCTTTGACGTCACTACCTGGAGTAGTATCCTCGTGAGCAAGTATAAAGAGGCGGCTAAATAACAACGTGTATGAGTCCTCACTGTCTACCATCGTACCTCTCGTGCACGATACAATTCCATCTTCACAATGAGCACCTTGAACAACGTTGATTCTGTTGCCAACGCCAAGCAGGGCTCCTTCAAGCCCTCCATTGCCCCCGACGCTCCTCAGACCACTAAGGGTGTAAGCGTGACCATCAACTCCGCAGGAGCAAGGCAGATACTGATGTACCATTCCAGCACAAGCCCGGTGTGAAGGTCAACGAAGCCGACCAGCGCCCCGAATTCCATATGGAGACACACCCTCCGGGGACCGCCCCCGCCAGCAACTCCTACACACCCAATGCCGACGAAACTGGTAGTCAAGCCAACAACCCCAACGTCCTCGGTAGCCAAGACAAAGAGGCTACCTACACTTCTGCTGGAGACACTTTGATGGGCGCGACTTCCCAAGATGTGCACACCGGCCTCGGCAAGCCTCTGCAGGGCCAAACAAATGTCGAGTTAGCCCACGATGGAGCCCACGGCCGAAAGAAGCAGACATCGGGTCTCGAGGGCGTGGGTGCTTCTTCGGGCGGTCGAGGCATCGAACGCCAGTTCCCCGACCAGCGTGCCTTGGAGAAGGAAGAAGGAGCTGCTGCCGGTACTCGCGGCAACAAGGCCGACCGTGCTGCCGAGAATATGAACCCAGAGCCCGCCGAGACCATGGATCGGGAGTGGAAGTACGAGCCTACCACCAAGCGTAACTAATTTTCTTTTTTTTGTTCGATGTATGAATACTGTGCTTCGGGCGTCTGCATGACACGGGATCTGAGCACTTATGGTTGAGCACGAAATCGTCTAGCGCATTACGAGACCAATGAACAATCTGGTTTTCTGGAGACAAGGGTATCATATGCACATTAAGAAGTAGGGCAGGCGAAAAGCATTGCGGAGGTGTAATCGCTCCGCCGTCGAGAGATTACGCGTGGACGCTGGAGATATATGGAACTATGATCCCAGACTGTGGTTCCTGGTTTGGCTCCGGTCGGTGCTGACTCGAGACTTGCCGGCAGGCTGCTTCTTGGGCCAACTCCGCGCAATATCGATATTCGCCCGAGGAAACCACATCTCCAGAAACACATAAATCAAGAAGTCAATGACCACACAGAGACAAAAGAGCTTGCCTGCCCATACACCGCATCCGTAGTACCGTTTCAATCGGTCGATTAGTGCGAAACTGCGGACACGGTCCCCACTTGCCTCCCAGCCCTGGCCGGGGTAGTAGCCATAGAATTCTTCAGGGCTTATATCGCCCGTGACGCCTTGGTAGACACGTTCTGTGCGCTCCGCCACATCTTGCCAAGAGTACATCATTTTGACCTGGTCGTGGAATCGGTCCGTTCGCACCTTATTCGAGCGCAAGGCTGCGATGGCTTTGCCCGTGGCAAAGACTAGATCATCTTCTTCTGGCTTCGCGAAAGTGGTCATATGCTGCGGCAGCACTTCGGGGATTCCCCCTACTCGAGTACACACCACGTACAACCCGCAACTGGCCGCTTCCACAATAACTGTCCCGAATGCCTCCGTGAGACTGGGATGGAGGTAGATGTGACCGCGTACCATGACATCTCGGACCTCTTCGTGTCTGATAGATCCAAGCATCTCCACTTTGTCTTGAAGCACATTTCTTTCGAGCATTTGTTCCAGGTCAATTGCCTTCGGCCCGGAGCCTGCGATGATAAAGCGAATATTCGGGTTTGCGGCCAAAATTCGGGGGATGGCGGCGATCAAAAGATCCGTTCCTTTATTATAGAAAAGACGAGAAATGACAACAATGGTAATGGTATCGTTTGGCCCAATGGGTGTGGGCGCGGGCCGAGGGTCTGGCGATCCCGTTATTGACTGGGACCCCCGGGGATTGTACGATAAAGGGCGAAAGTTTTCTGCAACCACGGCATTCGGAATGACCGACACCATCAATGGATCCAGCGATGCTCGGAGGACGGTGTTCTCCTTGCTGCAAGAAAAGAAAAACACGGTCAGCATTCCCTCTAGGATAAAGCAACCACTCGCCAGCGTACCAAGTGTGGCTGACACAAATTGCGTGATCCACATCACTCAAAGTGAACTTGAGGAGTTTGTTAGTCAAAATGGAGCCTGCATCGGCGAATCCGAAGAGCGAGTGATCGGTGAAGACGGTTCGGAGACCCATAGTCCTAGCATGGAGGATGGCTTCTGCACAGAAGCTACTCAGACTAACATGACCATGGACAATTTCGATCTGTTCGCGAATAATGATGTTTCGGAACATCGGAAAGAATGAGAAGACGGTTGGGAATGTTGTTTCGCGATAGATGACGAAAAATGGAACATGGTAGACTTTGAGGCCGTTGGTGAGATACCGTACCCCCGTTCGCCCTTTGTATGCATGAGTGATGATGATGACTTTATGTCCACGGTCGATCAATTTCTGACGATCGGTGTTAGAGACTCATCCGCTCAAGGGTCAGCGAAATGTTGCAATATGCTTGCATACCGAGGACACTTGGTAGATGTGGCTTTCGACTCCCCCTATGATGAATTAGACCGAGACCAAAGGTTGACAGGCATGTGGAGAGACATACCCGGCTGAGGGAAGAAGAAGTCGCTAACCATACTAAGCGCATGGCGGGAAAAGCCCCAGATTAGCCTACGAACGATACAAAAGATCTCAATCGGACTCACGCAATGTTATACGGCATGGTTGCGGTAGCTTTGAGGTGATGGATTCCAATAGAATAAGGCAGCCCGGGTCTTCAACACTCTCTCCATTCCGTAGACATCATCCGCTGGCCTTGAGGCTGCAGTGGCGTCCTATTCTATTCCTTACTCCCCGGCTTTGCTTTTCAATTCTAGAGTCGAAAGTCGATGGATTCGACGCGCTCCGCGATCGATGATGGGCGGACGAACGGGCGGAAAGACTAGAATAGTTTAGTCCCAAACTTTCATGCCGGCAGTAAAAAAACATGGATCCCGCAATAATTTGATCATCCAGTTCACGGCAAGGAAGGTGAACAGCCCACGATCACAGTTGGATCGACAGTAGCTGGGTTTCCCCCCCAACAAAGATGACGAGCCCTTCAGAGCCAAAGTCCCATAAACGAAAACGGGAGATCGAGGCATCCGTCCTCGTTACACCGATTGACGCCAAGGAACACAAAAAACGCGATGCTGCACTCTCCGCAAGAACAGACGACAGCAGCACCGGAAAGCAAAAGAAAGTGAAAGGCACGACTCGGAGAGAGGATTCGCCAGTGTTGTCTTCAGATGAAATGACGGTTCTGCCTAAACACAGCAAGGAAAACTCCGCAAGCAAGTCGAAAGAGAAGAAGCGCAAGAGCTCTAGCAAACGAAGCGCATCGCACAACGATATGGAGTCTATGCAACCAATATCACCGCAGTCTGATGCAGAAGATTCTTCAGATGGTATCAATCAAGTTGATGACAAACCTAAGACCAAGCATGCAAGAATATTGTCCAAATTCGAGCGCACCAAAAGTGCCGCAAGCAAGAAGCTCAAGACCCAAAAAGTCGATCTCGAGCCCCCCCGCTGAAGGTACAGCTGAGCCTGTGATTGCAAAGGGCCTGGAGCCATTACCACAACCGGAGAATCCACCCGAGGTGGAAGAAACTCCTACGTATTCATCCCTCCCCGCCTGGTTAGCCAATCCCATCCGCACCTCGGCGAAGGAGCGTGCTCCATTTTCAGAGTTAGGTATCAAACCGGAATTATTGCATACACTTGAGCAAAATGGCTACAAAGAGGCATTTGCGGTTCAGTCGGCGGTAATTCCCCTTCTTCTAGAAGGTGGCAAAGCCCATCCCGGAGACTTGTGCATATCTGCTGCTACTGGATCGGGAAAAACGCTTTCCTATGTGCTTCCTCTCGTTACATCTCTCAAGCCAAGACCTGCTTCTCGCCTGAGAGGTATGATTGTTGTACCGACGCGAGAGTTAGTGAAACAAGCGCGTGAAGCTTGCGAACTCTGTGCGTCCGGGTCTCGGCTTCATGTCGGGAGCGCGGTCGGGAACGTCGCCATCAAAGAGGAACAGAAACTTCTCATGCGTGTCGACCAGATTTACAATCCCGCAACTGTTGCACAGCGTCAGCAACGAGGACTGCAGGGGAATGACTGGATGGATTTCAGCCTCGAAGATTGCGTGACCGAGGCGGTTGACTCCACCGGGTTTCTTCCTGGCTATGTCCAGCGGCAGGAGCCTAATGTAGATATTCTCATCTGCACTCCCGGTCGACTGGTAGACCACCTTCGCTATACTAAAGGCTTTACACTCAAACATCTAGAATGGCTTGTCATTGACGAGGCTGATCGTCTATTGAATGAAAGTTTCCAGGAGTGGATCGACGTGGTCATGGGATCTCTGGATGCAAGGCAAGCACCTGAAGCCTTTGGACCTGGCGGAAAGTTGCTCTCCACTCTTGGCCTTGCAGTAGAGACGAGGCCCCCAAGGAAGGTGATCCTGAGTGCCACAATGACTCGAGACATTTCGAAGCTCAATTCATTACGCTTGTCGAACCCGAAGATGGTCATCATCGGTGCTGATCAAGCAGCGGACTCTGAAGATGCTATTCACGCGGATGCCCACTTTGCCCTGCCTCCTACGTTACATGAGCATATCGTTGCCGTGGGTGATGAATCTCAGAAGCCTCTTTACTTGCTGCGCCTGCTTCTATCTCACATCCACATCGATGTCGATAGCAAAATTGGGTCTACTGCAACCTGGTCAGAGTCGGATGCGGATTCAGACAGTACCAGCTCTGATGAAACCAGCTCAGACGAATCATCTGACGATGAGACATCTTCTTCTGGGTCGGATTCGGGTTCGGATTCGGATAGCACTTCAGACTCAGATTCGTCTAGCGATGAATCTTCTAACTCATCAAGCGGTTCCGATTCTGAAGCCTCATCAAAATCCGAGAGTGTCGAGCCTCGGGGCAAAGCGCCCCGTACCACTGTATTGATTTTCGCCAAGTCTTCTGAATCCGCATCGCGACTTTTCCGCCTAATATCACTTCTCCATCGTCCCCTCGCCAATCAAATGGGCACGATTATCAAATCGAACAAGTCTTCCGCATCTCGCAAGACCTTGACTGCGTTCCGCCAAGGACGGATCTCCGTGATTGTGGCAACCGATCGTGCCTCTCGTGGTTTAGATTTGCCATCCCTAACGCACGTTGTGAACTACGATGTCCCAACCAGTGTCACGACTTATGTACATCGTGTTGGGCGAACCGCCCGTGCCAACCGTGAAGGCTCGGCTTGGACTCTCGTTGCCCATCGCGAAGGACGATGGTTCGCAAACGAGATCATGGCCAACACCGAAGGTCGGATCACACGCAGTGCGGGCGCCAACCGAGTTCAAGTGAAGCTTGATTCCCTGAAGGCGCTTCAATCGACGTATGCCGATGCTTTGGATAAATTGGAGCGGGAAGTGAAGGTTGGCAAGACGCCTAAGCCGCGATCATCCTCATCCTAGGCAATAATGCAGCCTGAGCTGTATAGGACTACTATATTTCTTTAAGGATTGCTTCCAATAGTTTATGCATAGCGCCTCTCACCATTTGGTTGAATGTGAAATGAGAAGAAGTTGTCCACCAACGGACATGGTGTCTCCTAGTAGTGTGATACGTGTCCCGTAAACAGTCTACTAATCAGTCTCCTTCCGTATGATGAAGTCTTACTCTAATACTAGTATTTTAACGACTCGGGGCTCATCATGCGGAGCACGATCTATCGTAGAATGGTAGTTTTCTTTTCCAACCATGTTTTGCACTTGAATAAGTGATGTCCACTACTCCGACACGCAAAATTCTTTTTTTTTTTTGAGAAAAAGAGGTGGCGGAGGCCTTCTTGTGTAGTGTCCCAAACAATCCCATTACGTCACGAAGAGATTCCTATATCGGTGCGACTGTATCCATTCGTCTTCGGAGCTGGGATAAGCTCCAGGATCCAACAATCACGTCCAGCCCAGCCCGAGCCACAGTCGTCTGTCGTACATATCAGAGCATAGGCGATGAAAAGGAGAGCTAGACCAGCCATATTGAGCTTGGCCCGGTCCACAAGACGCTGCTACGGACTAAGGCCGCCTTATAAGATATCTAACATGCCGAAGATAATGCGAGATACCCTGCGATACTTCGGATAATCATAAAGTTGGCAATCGATCAGCGTGCAGCAATGTCCCAGCAACTCTAGCACTTCCTGATTTAGCCACCTAATCCCACCAATCACTTGACAATGCTTAGGTGAATCCCTGTCAGAAGTTGAATTCCCGGAGAAAAAGAACGAAGCAAAGACCACTGTGGGCAATTAGCTTCTCCTCCCAAAGATGACCCGACGGAAACATGCCGCCAGCCCCGCACGCCGATCAATCGAGTTTCTGGACTTCGCAGACCAAATGGCGACCTAATCAAGACTAAATTGCCGATACAAATACCCGACTGGATCTAGTGCGCGAAGATTAAAAGCCATGATAATGGCTCCTGTCAAGCCAGGGCAAGTTGGGTCCCAGAGGTCGACACCAGACCCTCAACGTGATGGGGAAAGTATCGAATGTAGTATGGCCTCTGCTGGCCTTTGGCACTGCCACTCATGCTGTTTTCTTCAAGCCCCAGAATGAATTCAAAGCTATCTCTAGCATCAACCCTTCTTTTCCGGTGGACTTGAGCCCTTGGTTCAACAATTGCGCTTTTGGGCTGAAGCCCAATGATTCAAGCTTTGATGGTCAAGGAAGTAAGTAACCACCAAGCCCGAAAGCCTTCGAAGGATTTTGGATTCGAAGCTGAAGATTCACAGATTCATACCCCGCGGAGGAAATTCCTCCCGAGACTTTCTCATATGGCGGAGTCCACTATCGATTTTCGCCGTACAATGCAACAGGCTTTGACAATGTGCTCACGCAGGGGCAGAGAATCAATGTAGCGCGGGGGAAATATTTCAGTTTCCAGATGCTTGCTGCATCGGAGTCCGGAATGGCGTCTGGTACTGTCCTGGCCACATACGCAGATGGCAGCACCACAGCCGCCCAACTACTCACTCCGGCGTGGACGAATTGGCCCTATCCTGCTGGGGGCGATCTCATATTCACCTCATACTTGACAGAGAACAGCACGAACTACAACCGCACTAATATATTTCAGACTACCAACTGGCTGGACTCGTCAAAAGACCTTGTCGCACTGACGTTCCCCAATAGTACAGAGGGCGCCTCGGCTTCTCCGGGAGGTGCGAGCGTTGAGACCAAACTCCATATCTTTGCGTTGTCAATGCTTCCAGTATCGTCCCGAGTCAACAAGTCGGTCTACCTACAAACGCAGTACGCTCGATCCACTCAGAAATGGATGGAAGGAACAAACAAGACCCAGATAGTCGAAGTGCTGGTGAATAATGTGGGCTCACTGTTTGCTTTGCGGAACAATTCTGTGCGGGTGTTGGTTGAATCCCCTGGGCTTGAGACAGTCCATGAAGGTGTGATCAAGCGACTTTCACCGGGTGACCAAGCTATCGTCGAAATAGGCGTCCGAAATCGTAACGGAGTGCCAGACGGGACTTCGGGGCCCGCTACCATTGCGATCAAGGGCCATAACGTGACCGCTGCGAGATATACATTCCAGGCTACGTATGGAATCGGTCGCTACGAAGCTACGTACGAGTCAGTGTACAGCCACGAGTCTCCTAACTGGTATAATAACGCTAAATATGGTACGTACTCTGTTCGCCCTATTCCTGAGTCGTCAAGCTCAAGTTCACCCCGGTCCGTCTGTTAACGATATGCTTTCTAGGGATTTTTATCCACTGGGGAGTATACTCTGTTCCCGGATGGGGAAACGTGGGCTCGAAGGAGAATTACGCTGAATGGTAAGAATCGGCTTTTGAGACCCTATTCCAGTCAGGCGCTCACTGCTGATTCTCCAGGTACTGGTGGCGGCTGGGCTTGGGGCCAAACGATCCCACTGATGTCTATGGCTATCATTTGAAGAAATACGGACCCAACCTCGTGTATGATGATTTTATCCAGAACTTCACGGCCGATGCTTGGGATCCCAAGGAGTGGGTGGACCTGTTTGCAGATGCCGGCGCCAATTATTTTGTCCAAACGAGCAAACATCACGAAGGCTTTGCTCTATTTGATCTTCCCCAGAATATCACGACGAGAACATCTGTGGCGATGAGTCCACATCGCAATATAATTCAGGTAGGTAAACAGGTCTCCTTTCCACTATCTTCACCTGAAGGACGGAACTCACCAAGCTATGTCTACCAGGAGCTGTTTGATGCCGCGAAGAAGTACCAGCCTGGGCTCCATCGAGCTGTGTACTACTCTCTTCCCGAGTGGTTCAATCCTGACTATCACAAATACGGATTTGGCCAATGGCCTGGAGGTAAGTTCTGAGACTGTGCAATGAGCAGGCATGCTAGAATTGCCTAACCCAGACCTCGCGAAGGAAACGCCACGAATCCGTTTACCAACCAGACTCTATCATACACCGGCTGGGTTCCTCTGAATGACTATATCACAGACAAGATGGTTCCCGAGATGAACGCGCTAGCTGATCTTGGGACTGAGATCCTGTGGTGTGATATTGGCGGACCTAACAGAACCATTGAGTTTGCCTCGGCTTGGTTCAATCGAGCTGCAGAAGAGAATCGCCAGGTCGTGATGAATGCCCGCTGTGGACTTCCAGGTAAGTAGACCTTCTTAGCGGAGGCCAAAAAAAAATCGCCACTAAACCATACCGTAAAGGAGACTTCGATACACCGGAATATGCCCGATACCCGGCTGTCCAAGCTCGAAAATGGGAAACCAATCTGGGAATGGACCCGTTTAGCTATGGATTCAACCGGGCGACACCGCTAGCGAGCTACATGAATGCGAGCTCAATTGTCACTTCGCTCATCGATATCGTTAGTAAAAATGGGAATTTCCTGCTGGACGTGGGACCTACAGCCAATGGAACCATCTTGGACGTCGAACAGAGGCATCTCCGCCAAGCCGGCCGATGGATCAAAAGCCATGCGGAGGCCATCTACAACACCACCTACTGGTTTGTGACACCCGCGGAAGGCGACAGCATCAGGTTTACAGTCTCTCCAGAGGCCTTCTATGTCCATACCCTTACGAGACCCAACCGTACTTTGGCTCTTTCAAGCCCAATTCCTTGGGTGCCAGGGGACAATGTCAGGGTCGTGGGAGGAAAAATGCACGGGGCAGTAGTCCCAAGCAGAAGGACCAATAATGGGACCTTGATCTTGTCAGTCAGCGAGGACATCGCTTCCGCCGATCAGTATGCTTGGGTATTCAAGGTTTCCTATTAGCTCTCGGTATGAATCCTGATCACGCAAAGAAGCAACCAACCGGACCATGGTAGTGAAAAGCTCAAAGCCCTTGTTAATCTTCCCCTGCGCCTAGTAGTGGATATAGCTTCGAAAGACTCAGCCGAAAAACTCAGCCCAAAAGGGAGCGATGATGATTCGGCAAATGACGCTTCCAAGCATAACTATGGGGGCAAGAACTAGTATGGAATTCAACTACGGAGCTGATGATTAGCCTCTGGGGAATTTAGCCTAAATAACTCCAAGGAAGCTCTCATGGTCGTTGAGGCTTGAGTTTCCCAGCGGCTTTGTCATTCTCCGGCGATTGACCAGGAGCACTAGCTCTGCATTAGCTGGCCCCAATGATCTATGGCATGTCCGTACCTTGGTAGTCGTGGAGCCCCCATACAAATTCAAGTTGTCTTGCAGTCCGTTCGCCTGGATCCCCACAAACCTGATTTATTGCCTGACGTGCACATTCAGGCTAAATTGACCGTTCTGCAGGCACGTACGATCCCCTCGAACCCCGCAGGCACTTGGTCTTGCCGAAGCTCGAGGATCGGCGGCGAAAGATGCCTGATTGGGGAAAATATGGGGAACTTGCATATACCCCGTGGAGGATTCATCCGAAGTGTTCCCGGGGCTTCCTAGGGGTATAAAATGTGCGGGGATAGAGCAAGAATCTAAAGGAGCACACGAATCGAACGTAAAAGCGGTCTTTCCTCATATATGGCTCGCTCGGTGTTTCTCGTGGCTCTGGCCTCCCTGGCGCCAGCCCTGGCCCAGTACAATACTACGTACAAGGATTATTCGACAGATCCTAACCCAGATCTGGATGAGCAGACCATTGCTGTGTTTGGAGGGCTGAGCTTTCCCGACTGTACCAGTGGTCCACTCAGTCAAAACTTGGTGTGTAATTCATCAGCAACACCCCAGGACCGAGCGGCAGCCTTGGTATCTCTGTTCACGCTCGAGGAGCTGGTAAACAGCACCGGCAATGACATTCCGGCCATTCCACGCCTCGGATTGCCGGTATACCAGGTCTGGAATGAAGCGCTGCATGGGTTAGATCGCGCCAATACCTCTGATGCTGGGGCCTATAGCTGGGCGACCTCCTTCCCATCGCCTATTCTTTCCATGTCAGCTTTGAATCGCACTCTGATCAACCAAATCGGTCAAATCATCTCCACCCAAGCCAGGGCGTTCAACAATGCGGGGAAATATGGCCTGGATGTATGGGCCCCCAATATCAATGCGTTCCGGCATCCCGTCTGGGGCCGCGGGCAAGAGACTCCTGGCGAGGACGCCTATTGCCTGTGCTCGACCTATGCCTATGAGTACATCACGGGCATACAGGAGGAGTCGACCCGGACCAGCTGAAGATTATCGCTACCGCGAAGCATTTTGCCGGCTACGATATCGAGAATTGGGGCAACCATTCGCGTCTTGGCAATGACTTGAGCATCACTCAACAAGACCTTGCGGAATATTTCACGCCTCAGTTTGTCGCAGCCGTTCGGGACGCCAAGGTACACAGCGTGATGGCATCCTACAATGCTGTCAATGGAGTTCCCAGCTCTGCCAATCCCTTCTTGCTCCAGACTCTTCTTCGCGATGCCTGGGAGTTTGGTGGGTTCGTCACTTCAGATTGTGATTCAGTGTACAATGTGTTCAATCCTCATGGATATGCGAACAATATTTCAGCCGCCTCCGCAGTCTCGATGCTTGCAGGGAACGATATGAACTGCGGAACTTCGTATCAGTATAATCTCAACCAGTCCGTCCAGCAAGGTCTGATTTCTCGAAGTGGAGTCGAACGCGGAGTCACGCGATTTTATGAGAACCTTGTACGCTTGGGGTACTTTGAGGGAAACACCAGCTTATACCGAGACCTTGACTGGTCTTCTGTGACGAAAACCGACGCCTGGAATATTTCATATGAGGCTGCAGTAGAGGGCATTGTTCTGTTGAAGAATGATGGGACTTTGCCGCTTTCCAAGAGCATTGGCAGCGTTGCACTGTGCGTATAGAGCATTCCGATGAATATGGACAGAAAACTGACAGTGCCTCATACAGTATCGGACCATGGGCCAATGCAACCACACAGCTTCAGGGCAATTAGTGAGCACCCCCCCCCCTTCTTCCTTGCAGAAATGCAGGAATGCAGTTCCGGGACACTTGAAAAGGATGAAGAAGAGCTAACGTTATCATTTCAAGCTTTGGTCCCCCGCCGTACTTGATCAGTCCCCTCGCAGCGCTGCAGGCGTCCCACTTGAGTGTAAATTATGCATTCGGGACCAACATTTCGTCGGATGATGCCAGTGGATTCGCCGCTGCAGTTTCTGCTGCTCGGGACTCAGATGCTATTATCTTTGCCGGTGGTATAGACAACACCATTGAGGCTGAGGGTCTTGACAGAGAGAGTATCAGTTGGCCAGGAAACCAACTTGACCTCATTCAGCAGCTGAGTAGTCTTGGCAAGCCTCTCATTGTATTGCAGATGGGAGGTGGACAGGTCGATTCTTCATCCCTCCAAGCCAATGCCAACGTGAACTCTATCATTTGGGGTGGGTACCCTGGTCAGTCTGGTGGGCAGGCTCTGTTAGATATTATCACCGGAGCGCGTGCGCCTGCTGGTCGATTGACAACGACTCAGTACCCGGCCGAATATGCGCAGCAGTTCCCCGCCATCGACATGAGCCTTCGACCAAACGGTACTAATCCTGGTCAAACCTACATGTGGTACACGGGGACTCCAGTGTACGAATTCGGCCACGGCTTGTTCTATACAACGTTCAATGCCTCTCTTCCAGAGTCTCACGCCGCAAGCTGCTCCTATGATATTGCGAAGTTGCTTCCAGATGCCGAAGACAGGACGGCACAGCAAGCCCCCTTCTTGAACTTCACAGCGGAGATTACCAATACTGGAAATGTACTCTCGGACTACACTGCCATGCTCTTTGCCAACACAACAGCTGGACCGCGACCTCTGCCCAACAAATGGTTGGTGGGCTTTGACCGTCTCGGCTCGTTGCAGCCACACGATAGCCAGACCCTCGTGATTCCAGTCTCATTAGATAATGTCGCCCGGACGGATTCTTCAGGAAACAAAATTGTGTATCCCGGCAAATATGAGCTGGCGCTGAACACTGACCGATCGGTTGTGGTCTCGTTCACATTGACAGGCTGCGAAACGGTTCTGACGAAGTGGCCGCAGGAACAGTGATAGGCAGTAATAAGTTGGAGGCTGGCATTCCGGACCTGTACTAGTAGCCAGCAGATAACAATACTCTTGTCATCTTCCCCTCCGCACCAGATTGGGCTTGTATAGTTGTGCGCGCGTGACTTAATCAACCAGCCGTAGGTCATCATAATGCCCCAGTAATCCCAATCCAAAGAGCCATGTTACGAGTAACGAACTTGCCGAGTATGAAAAATATTGCACAGAAGTGAATCACGCGAAAACGCTCTGGACAATGTCTGGGCCCGACCGTCTTCCCGGCGCAAAGGGTCGGATGTGGAGACCGTCATCGGTAGATGATTTTAAGGTCAAATCGTTCCCCGCAATCCCGTCATCTCCGGCGTCGCCTCCCCCCAAATCCCCATTTCCCCGACTGTCTGGATCTTCCTTCTGGAGAGGCTCAGAGATGGACGCAAGTCCGGGCTTCAAGGGCCTGTCGAGCTCTGGCCCTCGTGCGACGCGAGGTCCGCTTGCTGGAGGTCGGCAAATCACCCGGAACCGGGCGAGTTACAGCTGTCATGCCTGTCGCCGCCGCAAAGTGAAATGCGACAAGGTAAGAATCCCTGAGCTGAGCATGTTGCCGCAGCGCGCGAGGAGCTTGGCTAATGCAGCGATCCACTAGGTCCACCCTATCTGCGGAAATTGTGCCAAAACCGGAGCCGACTGCGTCTACGACACTTCGTCGCAAAAGCAGAAAGACACGCGCGATACCGCTTCACGAAACCAGGGAACAAAACGACGGCGAGGTACGCCAAGAAGCTGGGAGGACGATGTGCGTGACCTACAGTCTACATACGGCCCTGCCAGACACACAGAAGGGTCGGCGCAAAGTCCCGACAAATCCGATCCCCGCGCCATCGAAGCCCGATTGAACAATCTGATGTCCGTGATCGAAAGGATCGGCGGAACAACCCAAGCATACGAACTGGCAGAGAAGCATGCAAAGTCTCCTAGCGCTACCGTGGAATCGGCTCTCCTGGACGAGTTGCGGCAAAGTAACGCTCGCAGTGCAAAGAATGCTTCTCCGCGGCCCTCCAGTCCAGCACGTGCTGCTATGGAATCAAGCGGGGACGAGTTCCCAATACCGTCCGGCCAGGCGACCGACCTGGTTGATCCAATTGGGAGCTTGAACTTAGGGCACTTAAGCCTAGAAGACGGCGGCAGGTCAAGGTGAGCTAAGAAGAAGAAGAAAAAAAGAAGTGGGATGTGGACTTTCCTCGATCTCAAGACGTTAACCCAGGACCAGATACGTTGGCACAACTTACTGGGCTTACATCTCACATGAGGTATTCGATACTTATTTCCTCGCTCGTCTGGACTACAATTGACACAGGCCACAGATCAACGATCTGAATCAATTATTAAGAGACCAAACGCGTTCGCATGACCACCAGGCTTCTGAGAGTACCTCTGAAGATCTATCTGATCCTATGAACGGGCGGGGGGCACGTAGAAGCTCGATAGGTAGCTCTCCGATGTCAGGCACAGGAAGGTCTCGAGTAGGGTCCTTTCCACAGTCCGTTATCTTCCCTTCTGCTGGCGAATCTCCGTATGGAGCGGACAAATCGGTTGAACCGGAGATGCTTGAGCATGTGCCAACCAGAAGGCAAAGTCATATCCTCTATAAGGGGTTCATGTCCGGGGTTCACGCCATCAGCCCAGTCGTCCACCCTCCGACGGTCTTGAAGCTCTATAATGCCTTTTGGGACTGGTATGATTATAGTAGTTACTCCGGTGAGCCATGTCCAAATGTATCCTTTATCCCCCTTCTTTACGCTATCTGGTATGGTGGTTCCGTAACCATCTCCCTCCGAACCATCCAAACCGAATTCCCCTCCGCGTCTCGCTTTTCGCTGTCCTCGATGTACAACGAGGAGGTGACGCACTGGCTTACAAAGATCTCTTTCCCGCGAAGTCCTTCTTTGCATGGACTCGCTGCCTATCTCATTGTTCAAACTATCTTATCCAAGGAAGAAGAACCTCTCACTAGCAGTTTGTTTGTCAGTATGGCAATGAGAGTAGCTCAAACTATGGGACTTCACCGTGACCCCGCAAAATTTGGAATCGAGCCCTGCGAAGCGGAGACCCGACGCAGAATGTGGTGGCACATCCTGCACATGGACGGCGTCGTCGCCATGTCCAGTGGTCTCCCGCCGATGCTGAGTGACGAGAACTACTGGGATGTACGCGAGACAAGCGAGATTAAAGATACCCTCATCGGTACCTCATTAGCCGAAACATACGAAGAACTTGTCGCTACCAACCAACGCGTACCAGACAATCCAGATGACCCGTCCCTCTGCGGCGGTTCTTCTATGGTGAATGTGTACTATCTGACTGCTAGGGGAAAATATGCCATGGCTCGTAAGTACACAGGTTCTAAATCTCCAGGAGACTTCTTCTAATATCTCATCCAGGTGCCGTCCGCCGCATTCTCAGAATTCAACTAGGCACCCAGCCTGTCACCCGGATGGATATGGAAGATCTCAGGTCAATCCTTCTCGACCTCCAGCTCAAGCTAAACTCAATGGTGCACCGAATTCCCGAGGGAATGCCAGAAAGAACCTCGGGTGCAGCAAGCAGGGCCATGTCTATGTCTAGATCACCGCCCATCGGCACGGAAACCGCAGAGGAGGTGAATGGAGAAGGCTTAAATGGCTGCGCGGAGCAGTATCATTCCCCGGTTCTGGTATCTTTCCACAAGTGGGCGAAAATTATATTGGGACTTTATATCGACAAGGTACTCCCATTGGCAGCGATGCGTTTCCTCTCATTGGACTGACAAGATGACTAGGCTTTCTGCGTCGCATATCAACCATTCTTGAAAAATGCGCGAAGTCGAATATGGCCTGCAGCGAGGCAAAGGTGAGCCTTCTATTGAATACGGAAAGACCGCTTCATTGAACTAAAATTCCAGTGCCATTCGTCATTGTCATGGATTCATGGAGAAATTCATCCAGCTGGCAACAGATGCAGACTTTCAACCCTTCCATTGGAGCTGGCCAGGGTAAGTTGTTCTTTCCTAAGCCTTGATAGATCTGAGTGCTGACAATCTATCGAGAAATCATCAACCGATGCACGCCACAATGTATTCCTCACTTGGTATTTGCTAGCTATTTTGAACCATTCCACTAACGTCACTCAGGATCATGCTAATTGATCTATATGAGCGACCTTACAGCCCCGAAGCGCCAAGGTCTCGCGCCTTTATTGATCGTATTCTCGCTATTTCGGGCCCGGATGGGGGCGTGGTCGGCGGCGAGGACGGCATTTCCCTCCAGCGGCCATTGAAAGATGGCGGTCGTGAAGCTTGGGACATGATCCGGCGTCTCCGTCAAAAGGCGTGGCAAAAGGCGGGATTGAACCCGGAGGTCCTTTGGACGGAACAAGATCAAGTACTGGCCGGCATTACTTCACACAGCGACGAGCTTCGTCATCCTCGTGGGTCAGGTCATTCCGGCCCGTCTTCGTCTGGCTCACCAACCTCTGCGATGTCCCCGGTCAACCCGCAAGTCCAGATCCGCAGTTGACCGACTTCAATCGCCTGTTTTACAATATGACTCGTAATCATCTTCTGTCCGGGTCCTCTACTTCAGGAGGCATGAAGCCCAGCCCCTTACGATATTCATATCAACCGCCAGTGGAAACTGCCAATTCGCTCCCAATGCCGCCTCGCAGCCACACCCATGCAGCAAGTACAATCCCTGCGGCCACACTATCTCCAGCAGCGACAGCAACTTCTCCCGACGTGGTATCACCTTCAGGGACATCCGCTTCTCATTCTATGCCCGCAGACCGCTCACAGCCTCTGGCTGCCGCGGGCTCGCAACCCCTCCAACCAGTCGGGCCTGGTGTGGCCCAACCCTCCCAACCTACACCATTCATGGACTCTCTTTCTCCTCATCCCAACCCCACGAGCGTTCCGACCCCGCCATCTATGGTGGACCCAAACTTGAACTTCGATTGGGATCAATGGGACGCTGTCTTTGGCCAGCATCTGCCCGTCGCGGATGAGTTGATGGAACTGGATCCTCCTATCGGGCTGGAGTTCGCTAACTTTGGGGGTCCTCTGACTGATACCCAGGAGAGCCAAGTCGATCCCCATGGCATGTCAACTCCCGGTACCCCGGATGGATGGATCCGGTACAGTACATGATCTCGATACCCCCCTTTTTCTTTTTTTTCTTTTTTTCATGATTTCTTGCTTCCTTAACGTTCAATTCTCTAGGATCAAGGCGTACTGGCCGGAGATTACGAATGAATAGCGGATCGTCATTATTGACATGAGGCATTGAGGGAAGGTATATATATGTAATATATTAATCGGGAACTTCCTACAAAGAAGACCTTACAAACAGATGTGGAATCTCATCTGAGGCAAGATCGATAATGAGAAAGTATAACAGTTTATCGATTCGTGAGGCGTAACTCTTGACGATCAGATAGATCGATCAATTCTCATACGAAGATGCGAGGTTTGAACAAAGCCAGAACAGACAAAAGGCCTGGCGGGAGAAACCCACAGCCATCCCCGCGTCATTTTCTCGCCGTGGATGCAGAGAGGTCGCGTTTCTTCATAATTTTCTTCATGTCAAGTGCAATTTTTCAGTCGCCCTGCGGGGGTATCGAGCATCTTAAACCTTGATCTCCTTGAGACCGTGCTTCCAAAGGGTAGCGTAGGGGGTGACGCCGTCCTCACGGAAGTCAATCAGGACGTGCATAGCATCACCATCCATGGACTGGCCCATCATCACATCGTAGTTGTCGTAGTTACCGGTGATCTTCTTGACGGCACCGGCAGCACCTGACTTGAACTCGGCGATGGTCTCCTCGCTGGCACCGCTGTCCTGGAGAGCCTTCAGGAGCTTCTTGACGTAGGCTGAGGGAAAAAAATGGAATGTTAGTGGTGTGTTCATAGTGACCACAAATCTTGAATCGGAAAGAAGTTGGTTGAGTACATACTCTTCAGGTGAGCCTTGAAAGCCTCCTTGGAAGGCTTCAGACCCTCCTCGGTCTTGAGCCAGACAAGACGGAACTGGTCCTCAATGTCGTGGACCATGGTAGCCTCGCCCTCATCACCACCACCAGCATCATCACCGTCCTCAGCGGAGGGGTTCGCACCCTCAAGCTGGAAGTCGGAGTCGGCCTTCTTGAGGTACTTGCGGCAGTCGGTCTCCCAAAGGATGGGGCAGTCCTTGGAGGGAACGATCTTGAAGGTGTCCGAGAGAAGCTCGTCTCCGGAGATGATATCCTGGGGTCGTTATCAGTAAATGGTCGGGGGACATTCAGGTGTTTCATGACAATTGAGTCAATGAGGGGAGATGCGCGAATTGGGATACATACAGAGTAGATAATCATGGTGATGGAAATGGAGGGGTGTGTCTTGAACGAGGAAAAGAGGGGGCGAAGAAGGGACAACAAAAACAGAAAGGAGGGGAAGCGAAGTTTTTTTTTTTCTAGTGGCGGACGAAACCACAAATTGGTGGGGGAGTTTGTCTTGTTTGCCCCAAATCACGGGACGCGGCCTAAAATCCATCGACGCGACTTTTGGCGCCTTCGAGATCTGGCGGTTAATCTCCGGCTGGTGCCATTACTAAGTTGTCCGTTCCACACTCGAGGGATTGAAGAGCCCTGCTACTCCGTTCTTGCCATTATATTGTCGGCTTGTTGACTCCTTACCTCGACGAACCGCTCAAACGCTAAGATGTTCCTGGATATGGGGCGAGTACAAAGGCTCCACCACCCCCCCCAAATGATCATCGTATACTTCCAAGCGGACCGCACGCAATCCGGGAGCGCATGTCAACTTTAAATATGCGATTTGACTGGGTAATCATGGACTAAGTGATTAGTGCTCCGCTATACGGTTCTTCAGTTGCTCCCAACCGGATTAGGGGGGATGAGTACTATGTACTGCGTACTGCGTACGCGTACAAGGCTGGACTCATGCTGTGAGATTTGTCAGATATGCTCTGACAAAGCGTCGCGTGCATTGCCCAGGTGACCCTGTAATCTCCTGCTTTTTCGTGTAATTTTGACTGCATGATAGCCTGGCATGCTTGATCCAATACCCAATACACTACGGGTCTGATGTGTAGGTGGTGAGACACTCTCTCTTTTAGCCACTTCCGAGTTGTAAACCAGCAATTCAGCCCTCTCTCTTCCCTTCTCTTCCTTTGTAACATCCCATCTTCTTTGGACCGTAAAGTCCCCACAGGAAAGAAGCCGCCCATCGAGTGTTGCAATACCGCCCGTGACCGTACGGAGCAAAGATCAGCCAATCAGCAGGCTCAAAACGGCTGCTCCGCCGACACCCGCCAGATCGAAAGGCCGCATCCGACCTGGCGCCACTCCCTGGCGCCACTCGAATCACCGTTTCTCCTGATCTTTTTTATCTTTCCCCTCCCCTGGTCGAATTTCTCTTTCATTTTTAATCGGGTTTGCCTCTTCGTGTTCCAGACCCTTATCGCTCCTTCTCAATCTTTTCTCGTCTCGGGGTAGTGGTTGTATTGCCCTTTTTTTCTTTTATCTACCGACCACTCCCTCTTCTCCTTTCGCTCTAACCTCTCACGCTTCACTTTACCTTTTTTGTATCAACCTCCCCGTTGTTGCACTAGGTCTTGATTTCCTTCTCCTCTCTTCTCCATCATGGCATTCAACGCGTCGGTCACCTCCGACCTGCCGCCTCTTCCGACATACACCCTGTCTGTCCGCCCACCACTTGTCTCGCCCATTCCTGACAACATTCTATCCTTAATCTTGCCCATTATTGCCTACTGGGGCCTGTCCATGGTTTACCACTTCCTCGACGTCAACAACTATTTCGAGCAATACCGTCTTCATACTCCGGCTGAGCTGGCCAAACGGAATCGTGTGACCCGATGGGAGGTGGTTCGCGATGTCGTTCTGCAGCAGGTTGTCCAAACCTTGGCTGGAATGGTCTTGGGTTACTTCGATCCCGTTGAAACTGTTGGCAAAGAGGAGTATGATGTTGCAGTGTGGGCACAGCGGCTGCGTACTGCACAGAGAGCTATCCCACCCGCGCTCGCTCTGGTGGGCTTGGACGCTGCAGGGTTGGCCAAGTCTGCATCCCAGAACGGGCATAATATACTAGCCGGCGCCTTGGCCGGAGGCTCCTACCCCAGTATAGTGCAGTCATTGATTCTCGAGAGTGGAGACACCATCACTGCGCCAGCCTTTGCCAGCTGGGAACTGACCGTGGCGAGCTTCATCTACTGGTACCTGATCCCTGCTTTCCAGTTCGGACTCGCCATCTCTATAGTCGATACCTGGCAATATTTCTGGCACCGTGCTATGCACCTGAACCGGTGGCTCTACGGTAGGTGCCTCGTTCTTGTGTCTACCATCCGCATATACTTACGTTCCCCAAAGTAACCTTCCACTCTCGCCACCACCGTCTGTACGTCCCCTACGCCTTCGGTGCGCTGTACAATCATCCCGTCGAAGGGTTTCTTCTGGATACAGCTGGTACCGGTGTTGGATTTTTGTTGTCGGGCATGACCAACCGACAAGCCATGTGGTTTTTCACCATCTCCACTATCAAGACTGTTGACGATCACTGTGGCTACGCGTTTCCTTGGGACCCCCTTCAGCATTTCACCTCGAACAACGCGGCGTACCACGACATTCATCACCAGAGCTGGGGCATCAAAACCAATTTCTCGCAGCCCTTCTTCATCTTCTGGGATCGTCTCCTCGATACTCAGTGGCAGGGCGAAACTAAGCTTCGCTACGAACGAGGCCGGGAGTCTGCCCAAAAGCAAGTGGATATGGATGTCTCTCAAAACGAGGAACCGGAGCATGAGACCGTAGTTTCTGTGGAAGGGCCGGCCACACGAACTCGATTACGCCGGAAGACCGTGGACAGCCTGAAAGGCCCCAGCCATGGTGTTCCGGGCAGTGTCTTGCATAATTGAGCATGATGAGTTGATATGTCAACGGGTTTCGTCTCTCGTGGGTTCGAAGGTGCTGGTCATCTCCTCGCGCCAATGGGATCGACTTTTCTCATACTTTATGTCAAGGGGCCATGATCCCCATGCGTGAGTTGTCTTCCAGTGTATTATTAGCAGAATGCTTGGACCGGTTCTTTGTACATTGTTATTTTTACGACTTTCTGTGACTTACCGTCGGTATTGTCAATAATGTTTATTGCTTCGGCGCCAACTTTGAATTGACAAGAGCATTTAGCAATTTGTGCCTGTTGTTCCTTACTCTCTTAATGACCCTCATGGTGCTTATTGAGACACGAGACTATGAGTTGATCAATCCACCACAAAGGAGCGGGCCTTGCATCCTTCAACGGTGACATAATCCCCCACGCTTACTATCTTGAATGGCAAGTACATAAAAGGGCAATTTCCTCTTATTTAGGTCTCGGTGTCCTGAGAAGCAGTCCTTATTCCACAGCACTGCCAGTATGACCTCGTAAGTGGGCAATCCTGATGGCAAGCATTCAAGTAGTAGAAGAGAAGCACTAACCTACCACAAGTAGGCAGGATGTCATGGGCTATGGGCTAGCATAATTGAAATGGATCATGTCATATCGCGAGCCACAGGGTGCTATCGCGAGAGATCCTGGCGCTGCATACGCGCTTTGGTTGGCTCGTCTCGTATCTACAGATCCACTCAACAGTAAGAGCCCATTCCCCCGCAGCCAATAAAGCCCCGGTCGCTAAAGTATAAGAAGCCCGAAACAGTCTCCATTCAGACCCCAACGACTAATTCATCTGAGTTCATCTGAGTTTGGATCTCGCCTTCTCCACATACCTGCTACAGACGGGGCAACGTCAACATGCCTACAAAAGGTATGTCAAGGAAGAACTCCTGCCCCCGCACTTCCAAAGTTGAAATGTGAAATGCTAAGGCACGGAGTTCCGCCAGAGAGACCTAGCCCGCGCAGTGCACTTCTGCATCGCGATTCTCATTTTATTCCAAAGAAAGCCGTCGGAGGACAAGGATGTTACATCTTTTTAGAGGACGGAACGAAATTCCTGGACTCTACAGGGGGAGCTGCCGTCTCATGTCTCGGGCATGGCAATAAACAGGTTCAAGCTGCGATTCAGAAGCAAGCAGACCAAATATCCTATTGCCATACGGCTTTCTTCGGCACAGATGTATCTGAGGAGCTCGCGCAGTTCCTCGTGGACTCTACCGGAGGAAAGCTGTCCAAAGTATTCATTGTCAGTTCTGGTGAGTCATCTGCACCCGGGCAGCTTGACCTATAACCATCGTATCTAGTACTATCAGAATCTAAGATCGGCAACGTTTAGGCTCCGAGGCTGTGGAAGCCGCTCTGAAATTGGCTCGGCAATATTTCCTGGAGCTCCCAGCCCCTCAGCCTCAACGTACTCGTTTCATCTCCCGTTTACCGTCCTACCATGGTACAACGCTGGGTGCTTTGGGGGTGGGTGGCCACGTCCTTCGGAGAGAGCCATTTGAGCCATTGCTCCCAGTGACCACATCCCACGTATCGCCCTGCTTTGCGTATAGAGGGAAATCAGACGGGGAGTCCGATGCTGACTACGTGAGCCGACTGGCAGTCGAACTGGATGAAGAGTTCCAGCGTGTGGGCCCAGAAAATGTCTGCGCATTCATTGCTGAACCCGTCGTCGGTGCCGTGAGTGTCTACATGATTGGCCATGGACACATTAGCTAAAATATGGAATCCTAGGCACTTGGCTGCGTTCCAGCCGTTCCAGGCTATTTCCCCGCTATGAAAGCAGTTTGTGAGAAATATGGAGCGCTCTTCATCCTTGACGAGATCATGAGCGGCATGGGTCGTTGCGGCACTCTCCACGCTTGGGAGCAAGAAAACGTCGTGCCTGATATTCAAACGATTGGTAAAGGGCTTGGCGGGGGTTATGCTCCTGTTTCCGGCATTCTGATCAACGATTCAATCGTGCAGGTCCTGGATAAGGGCACGGGGGTTTTTCGACACGGACAGACCTACCAAGGCCACCCAATCTCATGCGCCGCGGCACTAGCTGTTCAAAAGATCGTCCACGAGCAGGGACTGTTGGCCAATGTTCGTGCAATGGGGGCCTATCTCGAAAGTCACTTGCGTGAACGGCTCGGAGACCATCCGCATGTCGGAGATATTCGCGGCAAAGGGCTATTCTGGGGGGTATGATGACACCGGTCCATATCTTATTACTCCTACTAATTTGGGTCTACAGCTCGAGCTAGTAAAGGATAAAAGGTCCAAAGAGCCTTTCGAGACAAAAGACCGACTTGCATTTCTCATCCAGGAGAAGGGCCTGCAACATGGCGTCTCTCTATATAGCTCGCCCGGTACGGTAGATGGCATCCGCGGTGACCATGTGATCATAGCACCTCCGTTCATTGTGTCAAAAGAAGAGATTGATATCATAGTTGATACGACTGCCGTCGTTCTCGAAGAAGTGCTGGCTGGACTTGCATCCTCATGAGAATGTTTCTTTACAGGTTTACTGAGCATAGCTGAGTATAAGTAACTGCACCACTACTATTGGTATATGCAACAATCTATCTAAATGCAACAAGATTTTAGAAAACTAGGGCAACTTTCAAGTTCAGGACTATAATTTATCATCCCTATAGAAAGACTCATTATTGTACATTAGAAAAGTAGACGGCGATCAAGATTGCATCTCGATAGCAGTAGCTGCTGCGTCGTACTCAGTCGACTGTTTCATGGAACCGTTGGGGACGCCAACCTCCTTTGGCATAGAGTTGGCTGCCCAGAGACTAGCCACCGTCTCCACAGCCCGTTCAACAACCACGCGAACTCGATCGCGCAGCACAGTATTGGTGCATTCGACGTCCAATTTCTCCAACCACACTCGCGCCACATGCTTGTCAACGCGGATTTCGAGCCCAGGAACTGGTATTCCCAGCGCGTGGAGGCGTTCCAGCTCAGCCGATTCAATATCTGCGATGCGTTGCTCCTTGACCTTCTCCGACTGGTCACCATTGGCGATCTCTTCTGCCAGCTCCGTCGGGATACGGGGTTTCTCAATAGGGGCAATTTCGGAGCCAAACTGAGATTCCAGCATCATGAGCAGCCGTGCTAGTCGGTCCTCGGATCCAACATATGAATGAGGGTTGTAGGCGAAATCATCGTCATGATGGTGGTGGTGGTGGTGCTTATTTTTGGCCGATTCTATAGGGTAGAAAATGGTGGTCAGCGTGATTGCAAATGGAAAAGAAAAAGAAAAAGAAAAGAAAAAGAAAAAAAAAAAGGGAGTGGAAAGGGCTGCATACGTTTCACAGAAGCTGGACTGCTCTCGACGGTCAAAAGCACAGCCATGACAGCATCCGCTACACCATCGTTCATCATGTTCCCCTCCCATTCGAGCTCCACCTCGCGGGTACGCGCATGGTATCGTAGAACAACACATCCCATGATCAAGAAAGCCTGTGTCTCTGCCATGGGGATCTCTTTCATCTGCGATCTCTTCTTGAGCACCTGAACCTGCATCGCCGTTGAGATTTTCACCCTTTTCTTTCTTGACGGCTCCAATTTCCTCAATGGCGCCGAATGTACCTTCGAGGGCCCACCGGATCAAATCCATGCTGGCTGAACTAAGTGTGATGTGTTGTTTGCAAGTGATGGTTGTTGTGGTTAGTCCAGCATATTCACGTAAGTCATCGGGGGCCATTAAGGACAAATCAAATCCGTTCTGGACGAGCACGCCAGCCATGAGTTGGCCATCGTCTTGCTCCATGGGAGGAGCAATCTCGGCTAATTTACCGACGACCTTCGCAATCTTATCCTTCCTGAACGGAATACGGACTTCATCGCAATTGGCTGGCGTGTAGACCTTCACCTTCACCGTCTTGTCGACGTTGAGACTCAAGAGTTTTGATTTCAGCCGCATCATTTGGTGCTTCTCGCCGTGGACAAGGATCTATGTCAAATAGTTAGTGATTTGTGAGATGTATCTCTCTTGGGGTGTCAAGCTCACCACTACAGGAGCAGCCACCTCCTCGATAAAGTTACGGTTCTCAACTCCGTCAACATGAGCAGCAAAGCTGATCTCATCCACTGTACAGCGACGTGGAATCATAACCTTTTGCTCTTCATCATTTCCACCTGGCACACGACCACGACCCTGCACAGTCGATACTTTGGACATCACAGCAGGAATCTGGTCAGGCTCATTGAGGAGCTGCTTGGCCATGGTCCCTTCAACGCTATAGCCAGTCATGACGACTCCATTACGCTCGCTGGGCGCCCAGCGTTCGAGCAGCTCTCGACTGGTTCCAGTTTGCAGCATACCGGGAGACGCAATCATCACACAGCCTCCAACATCATCAAAACGTTCTAAGCTCCGCAGACTTCGTACAAAGCGAAAATCCCACGGTCCCGCAGTGACACTTTTATCTCCACTTGCTTCGGCTTCGGCCATACGTTGTCGGAAAAGACGTTTGATGTTATCATTCATAGCACCGATATAGGTTTGATAGACCACCATACACCGTCGGGCCATGTTACCAATGTAGTAAATCGGGACTTTCTGTAACTCCGGATGCCGCTCCCAGTATTCCTCGAGGATGAGAAGAAGCTCTTGAGCTCTTCCAAGGCGAACACGGGCATAAGAACACGCCCTCCCCTGTTCAGAATTCCAGTGATAGACTTCATGAGCGCTGCCTCTCGCTCTAGACGCGGCGGGTTTGAGGATATGCCAAATGTCGATTCCGTGATCAGAACGTCAATTTTGATTCCCCTCGGAACCTCAGCTGGGATTAAGTGCCGATCTTCTTCCCTAGAATAATCACCCGTGAACAAGATGTTCAATCCAGCGATTGAGACTAGAAACATAGCTGCACCAAGAACATGACCGGCAGGGAAAGGAGTGATACGAATGCTATTGATGGTGTGAGTAGTGTTGAAATCGATGGTTTCAATCAATGGAAGAGTCGAGAGATGATCGCGTTCGGTGTAAAGCGTCGTGCGCTGGTCTGAGGATGACGATGTATTGCTGACTCGGACATTGTCTTGGATCAGCCATTTGTAGATGGCTTTCGTCGCATGGGTCATGAAAACGCGGCCTTTGAAGTTTGTTTTGCTGAGAACATAGGGTAGAGCGGAGGAGTGGTCAACGTGGAAACTGTACCATTCATCTCTGTTAGCATCTGTAGAATGCTTTGAATAACGTTCAACGACACCGCGATAGCATATGGCATTGAAGATATGAATCTCACAGTCCGTATAGTCAACCCATAGAAGCATCACAGACATTCCGATCTGCCTTGCCCCCAAGAAGCACTGACGGAAAGCACTTACTGGCTAATTAAGAGAATATCCACCGTGCTCAAATCGAATTCATCGAAGAAAGGAAGAGCCGAGAACCCTTCTTTAGCTGGATGCATACCTGCATCAAGCTGCAAGCAGACAAACAAAAAGGTATTAGCAATGTGTTAAGGCCATATCTCCTCTGTTTTTATTCCTACCATGACTGTTTTTCCTTTGTATTGGATGATATGGCATGAGCGGCCGACCTCATTGCCTCCACCCAGGCAGTAGAATGCCAGTTCATCAGAGGGATCGACTGGCTCGTCATCCATAGCTGCCCCCATAGCGGAGGCCTTTCGCTTGGCCGCCATCGCGTCAGATGATAGAAGCGCCTCTTTTCGCGTTGAGAGGGTGTATTGCGATCCGACGCAGAGCTGTGACTTTCAGGGCGGTTGCGCCCGCGTCAACAGGGGTTGGGGAACCGAGATCTCAAGGCAGTCCCGCTTCTCATCCCCAGATGCGAGGCAAGACCGATTGAAGTAAATGGGAAGTAGCCTTGGTTGCTATCAGTGGAATGGTGAAACCCATATCGGCGCGCAGGATATGTGTCACGTGATAGGTCACGTGACCTATCACCGCGGAGAGTTCCAGTCTCAGGTTCATTCGCGCAAAAGCTCCTTTACGCATCCTTCGGTTCACCATCGTCATCAACGCTCTCCCTCCGTCTACTGCTTGGCTCTTCATCGATACCAGTCGCCGTGTTCATGCTGTCCCAGAAGGTTTGAGATGGTCACGGTGGCACTCGGTGTTGCGTGCAAGCCGCTTGATCAAGCACGCGTAGACGTGACTTTGTCCCGCCAGGCCCCGATACCATAGCCCATGCCATCAGTTGTCGCTCTCGATTAATATTGAAACTTGCTTCACCATGGCGCAAACTCATCAACCTCAGCAGCAACAGCAACCGCCCTCTCAATTTTCCCAGCCCTTTTCTCCCACCGTCTCCTCTCCCCTCTCCTCACTCATCGTCGCCTGTGAACGGAGGCCCCGCTCCTCCAGCAGCGAAACGACCGCGCCTTTCACCACTCCCTCAGGGGCAGTCGCACCCACCATATGACTCACCCAGCTTTGGTGCGATGCAGCTACCGTCCACGCAACCGATGAATGGAACAGCGCCAAACAGCATGCCTTCCACCCCCGTTGCGGCACCTCCCCCAGCTCCTCCTGGCACTATGGGCCCCCCCCTCACGTCCGGCGGATAAGACAACTGATGCAGCGGAGCTGACCGACGTTCTGGCTTCCTCTGGTATCGATGTACGTGAAGAAGAAGCATTCCTCACACGGAGCTTCTCAGGGTCCAATGCGCAGGCGCAACCGGCCTCTCGGGGCAGATACCCCAGCAACCACCTCCCATCAGCACATCATTCATGTCCCAGGCGTCCACCACGGGAACACTCTCAGCATCTAGCAGTTTCGGCGACTTGCCTATCAAACCGGGCGTTCCGCATGATTCATTTTCGTCGGATCCCACAGCATCCCCTTTCAAAGAGAATGGCCAGCCCACTCGTGAAGATACCGAAGCGGCGCGACGGGCGCAATATCATCTTCAGGAGCCCTTCCTTTTGACCAAAATGCTCGAACAGCGCATTCAAAAACGTGGGTTCGAGCTTGGAGTCCGCATTCCCTCAGAGGGCCTCTTCCACCCGGTCCCAGGTAGGCCGCAGCCTATTGAGGTCACTGGCCCAGACGGCTCCTCTGTGATTCGCACAGGCCAGACGATCATCAATCAAGAAGGAGCTCCTATGGTGGATATCTTGAATTTAGTTTCTTTGTCTTGTGAAGAACGGTTGAGAGGCGTTATCGACTACTCCTCGGTTCTTTCCCGCAGCCGCCGGGCGCATTCACATGGTGTGGTTCCAACTGAGTGGAAAGATGTCGCTCAGTCGGCAGTGTCAGGACCTGGGAATGGTACCAATTCTTTAAAGCGTATGTTGTTATTGCGAATTCCGATGGTGTCGCCGATGTGGCTAACATACTCTACAGGTTCCCATAATGATTCAGGTGGCGCTTTTCCAAAGCCAGTTGCAGAACGATACAGAGGTCTTGTTAGTAAAGAAGCTCAATATGAGAACAAGCGAGCATCTAAACGCACTAAGCGCAGTGCGGATGCTACCTTCAATGAAGCTACGGGCAATCGGGCCGACTCGCTTGATCCAGCTGGCTCTGCTCCTTCAACTCCCATCCCTGAAAAGGCAGGGCTTGACAAGAAATCTGTCAGTAAGAAGGAAGCAAGGAAGATGGTAGATACAAAAGCCAGCGAGGTCCAGCAGCACCAGCAGTCGGTTGAAACGGCACGAATGGCTACCAACAGCATGCTGTCTGGAGGAAGATTTGGCGCTAAAAAGACCTATTCCTGGTTAAAATCCGGAGGATCATCTAGTGGATTTTCATCCCCGTCTCGGCCCAACCCATCTACCCCCACCGCTGCGCCTGAGAAGTCCACTCTCTCTGGAGAAACATCCTCTGGTCCGATGAAACGTCGGATCGGATCATGGCGCGAAGACCAAGAGAAGGGCGCGGGAATCCAGGTTCGAGACCTCCTCTACATGCTCGAGGCAGATGGCCGAGGCATCAAACATGTGCAGCGGGGCTACTCCAAGGACCCCAAAGAGGACCGCGGTCCTTGAATGTGCGACCTCTTGTAATCTTAGTTTTTCTTTTCTTCCCTTTTACGTCTTACTTCTTCTCGACTCTTCATCCATCCCTGTGCTCATGTGTGGGAGGGATGATTTGTCCATTGTATCCCCCGTGCTCCTGGAGGGGTTGCATCGTCTGCATGAGATTGGTTCGCGGCGTTTCTGGGTCCTTATTACCGGGGGTTTACTGGGATTCTTTTCTTTTCCAAATTATCTCCGTCAAAAAATAATTTTGACGATGCATCTCTGTGCGAAGGTAGCTGACCAGTACAAACGTGGCTCGATTGGAAGTGGTCTAATGTGAATGAAGTAATTAAATACTAGAACTGCGCTCTAAATTCTTGGGATGGCTTGTGAGAAAGGCATTCCATGTCCACTGGGAATAGCCGATCTTGAGTATGTCCCTGGACTCGCTTTTCCATGCCTGTTCTGTCCGAATCTCTGGCATCAGTCATTGTGTAACAATCGCTGTTCACTAACCAACTGAGCCGTACCTGCTAGCTCTCGTGGGGAACCCACAATCCCATTTAAAGAGCCGACTAGATAATTCCCCGCGTCGGGGACGACATCCTGATCGTTTGCCTAAAACTTGACCGGCTCGACGACGGCTGTCACCATGACAAGCTTCCAAAGTAGTGCCGTAGCGACATCCCTTACAAATACCGGGAATTCCTAGGCCCTTTTCTCTACCAGATTTCTAGAACGACCGTCAATAACGGCTCCAGCAGCTTTACTCGCCATTGCACAAGCGGTCATCAAGCCCTGCATACATTGTATTGGGAATATCAGGCGGACACAAACACAACTGCACCCTCAAGTACAAAGTCAATCTAGAAATGTGGTAATAGGAACCTCGTAGTTTGAAAAATTCTTCTATTAGTACTCGCATAAAATTGTGGGTGCTTTGGAACAGGATCATCCTGTGAGACCTTATCGTACGGTATACTCCCATAGGCGGGGCAGCTTGACGCCAACTTTTTGTGGGGCCGGTTGGTTCTAGTAGAAATCGGACAATCGCCGTCGGCGTCTTCCGGGCCCGAGGTTATACTGGGAAACCCTAGAGTCAACTACTCATCCCCTATCTATTCTTCACCTCACATCTTAGGATTGGACAACGTGGGAACTTTCCTATCTTCATCCTCCACGAGTCATCGTCTTGCGTCATGTCTTCCAAAAAGGTCTTTGTTTTGGATCCCTATCATAAGGATGCCATTGCACTACTTCAATCAACACCCGGAATACAAGTCGTCCTTCCTGATAACCCTCATAAATCCGAGTGGCATGACCAGGCCGATGGCATTATTCTTCGTTCGGAGACTCGTCTGACTAAAGCTGATTTCCAAGCTGCCTCGCGTCTACAAGTCGTGGTCAAACAAGGCGTGGGCGTTGACAATATCGACTTAGAAGCTGCGAAAGCCGCGAGTGTGGCTGTCTATAACACACCAGGTCTGAACTCTGAGTCTGTAGCAGAGCTTTCCCTGGCCCTCGTCTTATCTTTGACTCGTCGTGTGACCGAGATTGATCGACGAATCCGCCAGGGCCAGCGTGTGATTCGCAGCCAAACACTTGGTTTGAGCCTTTTCCAGAAGACCGTTGGAGTCGTGGGCATGGGGAATATCGGTACCGTTGCAGCAAAGAAGTGGATTGGTGCTTGCGAATCATCCATTATCTGCTATGACCCGTACGCACTAAAGGATGCCTGGCAAGGCATCCCCCATCGCCGAGTTCACGCCCTGGAAGAACTGCTCCGCGAATCGGATGTTGTTACTTTACATGTCCCTCTATTGCCAACCACGAGGCATATGATTGGCGAGCGTGAAATTGGCTTGTTGAAAGAAAGTGCAATCCTGGTGAATACTGCCCGTGGAGGGCTTGTAGATGAAAATGCGCTCCTGTTCGCACTTCAGAAGAAACGGATCTGGGGCGCCGTCTTAGACGCAACAGAATCGGAACCTCCAACGACGGACACGTATGGGGAATTCTTGAAGTTGGACAATGTCATTCTGACTCCTCATGTCGGTTCTTCCACGAGGGAGAACCAGAGTAATAGCGGTAAAACCGTTGTAAGGAGTTTACTGGCCGCCCTTGCTGGGGAAAAAGACGTCCCAGGAAAGCTTGTTTGAGGTTTGTAGACCGCGTCTCTCATTATACTAGTAAATACCAATGATAACCAAAGATCCCAATCCTGGAAAGCTTACCCCAACTGGCTGTCATGAGAAATTGGACCAGACTTTGAAGTTCTAAAGGTTCATGGGCTTCTACTGTGTAGCAGCAGCACTGAATTTATTTGAACGATGGTGTTTACACAGCGATGTCAAAGAATTCATACCGATCTCAGGGAAAGAGTCCAGACGTGAAGAGCCACCTAGCTCCACCTGAAATAGTCCATGTTCCTCGTGGAAGACAGCTAGGAAGATAAGCCATACTAAGGCGATGATTGGCAGTCTCGAATACCCCCGCTCCCTGCTCCATGACGTGTTCCTTGGAGGTATCTTCATCCCTTGATGAGGGCCTCCTTGCAGGGATGTGACCTGACGGAGGATATTCTGGCGTATCTTATCTCAATACTGGGTTTTGTGAGGATGTTCACCGCTTGGTCGCCGGCTTCAGAGCTATTTTTCGCAGCTACATTGGATTTCACTACAATCAATGCCTGTGGAATGCCTACGGACAGATACATCCCATAGTGAATTAAGGGCTAGCCATGTCATTGCTTAAAGTTATGAATAACCTTCTTAATTATTGGTGAGGGGATGTATTTTGCTGTCGGTTCAATAGCTCAGTTAGATGAAATAGCGATGCTACTCAAATATCGTATTTTGCGGCTCCAGGGTCGTCGGTCGATCCCCAGGCTTATTCTGGCAGTCTCCGTGCTACTGGAACAGCGCACCTAGGGGGCTGGGTTGGCAATAAATAGCTCAAATATACTTTCTCGGTTCTCCTTCATTATGTTGCCTTCTGAATTCTACCGCACGCTGATGCTACGGTGCCCAATGGACTCCCTACTAGAAATTGCTTATGGCTGTCTTAGGATTGCACCGTCTTCAAAATATATGAATTATAAGAAAATTGACCCGCTACCAGTGAATGGCATTGATTTGTCAACTTGAAGATCTTGAAAATGCGAATATCCAATTTCACAGTTCTCAAGCTACATCTACAGTCGGCATCTGGGGATGTCCTCACCAAAGACCTGAAATTGCCAGAATCGTAGTGTGAACGAAGGATACCCGGAGAGCGATCACTGCACAGGTAATAATTATTTTTTTTCCCACTTGTACTTAGAACATTGCAGCTGTCACTGGGCATTTGTTAGAAAGCTGAGTCAGTCATCAGGTGACCCCTCCGTAGCGGTCCGCAAGTGCTGAGAATAGGAGACGTTGGGGGAGACTCGGGGCGGGTTTTCAATGGGGTTTTCAATGGCAATTGTTGTGTGCTTATTTTTCGTGATCTTCTGTGCCGTGTAGATAAAGACCTTGTCACAACATCCTTAGTGTTACTCGGATCTTCTACCTGAAGGTGTGGCGAGTAGATATTATAAGGTGGCGCGGTGTGGGTATCACTAGAGTCGGCTAAATGGGGAAGTATAGGGCCAGGACACCCCAGTCGAGAGTGCTCTTTATCCCCACAATCTTGAAGGGTGAAGGTGGGAACTTGAAACGAGAATGTTCTATACATCCGTCAATACCGTCAGTACTAAGATATAGAGTAGTGTAGACAGGCTTATGCAGCCCTGAAGGATGATCTTACAGCCTTTCTATGCAGGGCAAATCCCAAGGTTCCATACGCTTAGACCCACGGAGGAATCACGACCACGTTAAAACACCCCCCCATACAAAACTGTCTCGAGGAGGCGGAATCAAACCGAACAAGGCGTCAATCCCCTGAGCAGTCTTCCTGAAGAGTTAGATATATCGAAGGCATAGAGTCACTGGCCCGAGAAGTGCCGCCTCGAGCGCCAGATCGTCGCGTCATTCAAACTGAACAAACCCGCCTTGATCGGCAAACATTTGACTTCTTCTCACGCCTCGTCCAGTGACAGGCCCCAAACTCCCTCAATCCTCCTCAAATCTCGGGCGTCTTTCCAAATCTCCCTCTGCCCTGCAAATGTGACTGTCTTCTCCCCTCAATGTGTCGCAACCACTACCCCCCTTCTTCGTGATCCCCTTGTCTTTGAAGACCGAGGTATGCATCACGCCTAATCCCATCGCTTTTCTCCGACCGCCTCGTCATCGTCACGTCTCGAAGCAAAAGCCCCTTCCACCCACCCCAAGAATATTCTCTTTCCCGCTTCTTCTCCGCTTGGCCGCTGCCTCTCTCTGCTTTGGCTGGCTGTGATCAACGTAAACCCACAACTCCTGCCTCCCCTTGCCAATCCGTTGCAGCCCGACTTCTCCACGCTTAGAAACCTCGTTCGTGTGACGGACGGCACTCCTCCGCAGTATGTCGACACCGTCCACGGCCACCGCGACCCATCCCTCTCACCAGCGCTACGGTTACCCTCACTCCTCTTATCAAACGACCTCGACGTACCCAGCTCCTGCCACGACCACCGCAGGGGCTCGTCTCGCCAATTCTTACACTTACTCCGTCCCCTCACCTACAACCTCCACCACCCTACCTTACAGCCAGTCGTCCCGCGTCGCGCCGACCACATCTACGCCATCAGGCATGGTCTCTCATCAGAGTGGCTCAAGTGCGGCTCCTTCACAAAATGGCCGGAAAAAACAGCCCGACTGGGGCGAATTCTACAAAAATGGGATTCCTAAGGAGGTCATCGTGATCGATGATAGTCCAGCTCCAGAGTCATCAAACGCCGCCCCTGTGCCTCCGCCTCATGCTACGACCGCGGGCCAGCCTCCCGTGACCCAGCCGGCTAACAAGAAGCGACGTACTGGAATCGAGACCGCCTATGATTTAGGCTACTACGACCGACCGTCCTTCTCTATCAACCCGCAGCGCTACGGAGAAAACTCTTCGCACTCTCTGTCCACCGATCGAACCACATCGCTGCACACCACTGCACCGACGTCGCTCGGTTCTCAAGGTAGTGCGGGTGTTAGCAATACGGCGGTATATGAAGATCCCTCTGTCGGTCAAAAGCGGAAACGAACCACTCGGAAATCCGCTCGCGATGAGCAGAAGCGCCGCGATTTGGAGACTGGGGGCGATGCCTTCCTCAGCTACGTCCCACCGCCACATCCCATAATCAAGGCCAAGGATGTCCCTGTGCCAGTGATACGTGACGTGAGCTTTCCCTCTTCTTATCATTGCCTTTCTCCATGAACCCACCTCTTCCCCCTCCAATAATGGACAACCATCTAACACACCATCTCACAGATGGCTGGCCCTCGCCATGAGAAATTCGACGACGACGACGGTCATTACTTGGTGACCCCGGACACCCCTCTGACAGACCGATGTAAGCAAACCCGCTGTCATCGATCTCGATCGTGACAATCACTGATCCATTCCATTTTTTTCTAGACTCTATCATCAAACTCTTGGGCCAGGGTACATTCGGCAAAGTAGTGGAAGCTTATGACAAACAACGAAAGTCCCGCTGCGCCGTGAAAATCATCCGCTCCATCCCCAAGTACAGAGATGCGTCTCGCATCGAGCTCCGAGTCTTATCGACTCTGGCCTCAAACGATAAGAGCAATCGGAACAAGTGCATTCATCTTCGAGACTGCTTTGATTTTCGAAACCACATTTGCATTGTCACCGATCTGCTGGGTCAAAGTGTGTTCGATTTCTTGAAAGGGAACGGGTTTGTTCCCTTTCCGAGCAGTCAGATCCAGCACTTTGCGCGCCAGCTTTTTACAAGCGTTGCCTGTAAGCTCGCCTCTTGCGATCCCGCTCTCTTCTGACTGGATTTCCACTAACAATTGCCAGTCCTCCACGACCTCAACCTTATCCACACCGACCTTAAGCCCGAGAACATTCTCCTTGTGAGCAATGCATACCAGACCTTCACCTACAACCGAACCATTCCGTCTTCGTCACATGCCAACCCCCGAAACGCTCGTCAGCGGCGGGTCCTCCTCGACAGCGAAATTCGACTGATTGATTTTGGCTCGGCCACCTTCGATGACGAATATCACTCATCGGTGGTTTCAACGAGACACTATCGAGCCCCAGAGATCATTCTGAATTTAGGATGGAGTTTCCCTTGTGATATCTGGAGTATTGGATGTATTCTGGTTGAGTTCTTCACTGGTGATGCGCTATTCCAGACCCACGATAACCTAGAACATCTGGCGATGATGGAAGCGGTAATTGGACACAAACTTGACCAAAGGATTGTCAAGCAAGTTACGCAAGGCCGTACTGGCAACCACAACTCGGCGTCAAAGTATGTACCCCACGACGAGCAAGCCTTGTTTGCGTATCGGATTCTGACATGAATTTTCCAGGTACTTTGTGCGGAACAAGCTTGATTACCCCAACAACGAAACCACCCGGGCATCTCGGAAGTACGTTCGTGCCATGAAAGAGATCAACGTATGTTCACCTCCCGAATGCCTCCACTCTTCTGCGTGGCCACTTGCTTACTTTATGTCTTTTGCAGGAGTTTATTCCAACCAACTCAAACTTCAATCGTCAATTTCTTGACCTTCTACGACAAATATTCGTTTACGACCCGAAACAACGCATCACGGCCAAAGAAGCCTTGAAGCACCCCTGGTTCAAGGAGAGCCTGATTGACGACGGCACTGAAGCATACCGTATTGGCATGGGCTTGCATCGCCAGGGTCGCTAGTCTTACATCGCCTCTGAGCTCTCTCCATGCTTCATGGCTTTCACAGCAGCATTCTGCAATTTCTAATCGGTATCCCAGGAGGTATCCGTATCGATAATCGGTTCTCAAGGTCATATACCTCGAGGTATTTCTAATGAATGGGCAAGGACGTGCGGGGTTCACTGGGCGAAATGACGATTACGATGTTCCTGTTCTTCTCTTATTTTATCCTTATATTTCCCTGCGATGGCTTGTGTCTTGTGGGATTCTGGGACTCCTTGCAACTCTACAGAGCAGGAAATCTCGCCACGCATTTTTTCTTTTTTTAAATTCTTTCCTCTCCCCCCCTAACCTGCCCGGGGGGGGGGCTTAGCATTTGCACGAACCTTTGCAATCGCGATTTCTCATTGTCCTATTTATCTACCTGCCATTCGTTCCAGTGCGGGCTATATGTTTACAGGCTCTTACGATCTCGTGTTCTTTTATTACTATCGGTTTTTTTTTTTCGCCTGAATATCCATGGTGTGGGGTTTGGAGGTTTGATTCTTAGGCTGCTTTTCTTATACCATTTCTGTTTTCCCAGGAGTTCGTATGGAGCGCAGTGTACATAGGCATTGATCCAGTCGAATTTGACTTGATCGATCCTTTGATTTTATGACACGTAGTATTTTAGCAGCATCAGTGGAAAGGCAACTTTATTGGCTGTCATTCGGTATTCGTCAAGGAAAGTTATCGTATGGCTCAACCGAAGTCCAGCGGGTCCATTTCAGGGCATAGACTCGAGAATGGCCATGTGTTGCGCGGGCGGACGTGGGAGTTTTCTGAAGATACCGAAATAACAAACTTGGAGCCTTAATTAAGGGATTCGTAGAATTAAGCCTTCACTTGAAACTCGAGATCGCCATCGTTGGAATATTATAAAGCCCTAAATAGCCTTAACTCCGTTCTACCACCCGGGCTCTCCGGGAATTGCAACGCTAAATCGGAGATTTCCTCACTACTATGAGGTGTGAAAGCTCTTCAAAGATTCCTCAATTTATTAACATAGATACACTTGATGAATCATATTTAAGATTTCACAATACATAGAATCACTATCCATCTAACCATGTAGTTAGATTATCCAGTATTATCAAATATCGATGTAAAGGACAAGGAACTGAGAACCCTAATACGGAGCCATATACTATAGATTATAGATCACGTAGGCCAAGTTCAATGTATGCACATGTGCTTGCTCATGCTCATCTACATGATCTAAATGCGAGAGAAAGTGACACGAGATCCAAACGCATGGTCCAAGTTACATCCCACGGTTGAATTCCACCAGTCCACTTTGGCCACCACGCCCATGGAACTCCTCTTCCAGGCTGCTGGCACTGATGGCCTGGCGCTGGGGGGAAAGCCGCAAGCGCAAGAGGCAGGGCAAAGAGCGAGGTTGTGAGAATCAACCCCAAGTTCACGGGGAGAACCATACGGGGGTTGGCCCGAAGCCACTTCGTCTTTTCTAACCGAACGAGGATCAAGGGTGGAATAACCATGATCGGCGTGGCATTGAGCACACGACTGACGGCAGTCTCACCAACCGCCAAGGTAGCGGCCTTTTTACTCTTGCCAGGCTCTCGGGAGGCCCGTCGCGCTTGGCGCGCTCTTCCTCGGACAGAACGGGGTAGACGTCGATGCCGCGGCGGATCTCCTCGCCACGCATGAGGAAGACATTGAGGGCACTTGCACTGGCGACAGCGGCGAATGGGACAAGACGAGAAAGGACCAGGCGGGTGTTGGGGGAGATGCCCTTCAGACGAGGCACGAGAGCGTTGAGACCAAGAGCTGTGGAGCAAGAAGCTGTGACAGCCATCAAGTAGGACTTGGCGATCTGGGAGGTGGACAATGGGGTCGATTTATTGGAATTGGCATTGTTGATAGCGACGTTCACAGACTGGTTGCCAATTTGCCAGAGAAGAGTGCCCGTAGTCTAACGGATCACTAATTAGCCCCAACTCCGCATCTGACATGTGCCGTTGACCCTTATCTGTGTTGCGCATGTGGGAACATACCTGGAGACCCGGGGTCAGCATGCCCGCAGTAACAACCAAGTTTGTGAGGACATAGCATGACATGCGGAAGGGGAGGAAGACAGTCTCGCCCGTATCTTATAGCGCAACAACGTCAGCAGGGCGTCTCAATTGGCGCGACAATCGTAATTCGATCAAGATATTGGTCCGTACCTGGATGGAGCGTCGAATCGACCACTTTCTTTGCCTTCCATAGCTCTGGGGTCATAGAGGGTATCTTGTTCTGTTTGTACAAGGTGATAAGGTCCTTAGCCTGCTGCAATTTGGCGGACGAGGTCAGAATCATCCTAGGTTCAGGTTAGCTATGCCTTCAATTGGTGGTTCGACAGGGTTTACCGAGGGTCGGAGATGTCTGCAGCGTGGCGAACGCGGCCCCAGTAAGTTCCCAAGTCATACTGAGACACCGGCAGGTCCCGGTTACCGGGGAGCGAGGCGGACATGAAGGACGTGGAGAGCGACGACTCCAATTTTTTTTTTGCGGAGAGCGTCGTTCTTCAATGATAGTCAGGGCGGTGAGTGCGATAAAGTGCGACCAATCAGAAGCCGAGGCACCCAGGAACAATCGCCGAGATCGGGTGGGCCCCCCGATCTATGGAGACTTGCAGCTTCTGGAGAAATATGATCATCGGTCCTAGCATGTCGTCGACTTCTAGTTCGATGTGGACGGGGATGCGACTGGGCTTTGATCCGCCTCGAAATGGATGGACATTGTCTTTCCAAGGGCGTTTACGAGGCAAAAGCCTGGGGAATCATCGAGCGGAACAGATCTGAGGGGCACGGAACATGGGGACTCTGGATTATATGACTTGGGATTTTCTATTGTAGGCGGGCTATATGTATGAAAGAAGAAAAGTGTGGACAATAGTACACAGGTATCATCATGGAAGAGGGCAAGAAAAGCGCATAAAGAGACAGACCGACGGGAGACATCCCGAGTTAATGCAAGGAAGGGATGCGGGAGGGATTCGACACGGAGGGAAAAGAAAATGGGTCATCAGTTAACATCAGCCATGTGCAAAGATAGCTCATGTTCTATCGAAAACGAAAGGACTTATGCGCAAGTGGTGATGGAGGACCCCCGGGCGCATAGCCCGACCGGGGCCGATTTTGGCGTGACGGCGTGTGGTCGCAAAACATACACACGTAGAATGACGGAAGGTTCGCACGCTCCAGCCCTACACATTTCGTGTGGAGCCAATGGGTACACGATTCACTGCAGGGTGGGTTGGCATGCGAACGGCAAATAGAAACAGAGCCCTGCCAGAGGGAGAAAGATCTGGACTTACCATTGGATCATCAGATGACCACCGTTGTCCATAGAATTACAGATACAACGGGTTCCAGTACTCGGATTGCTGAAGTTATTGTGGCGCTCGCTATGTGGAGTAGCCAGATCAGGGTCGGTCACAGTCGTGGGGGAGGTATTTGAATGATGCGACGGGATATCGAAGTCACTGTGCATCCTAGGGGGAGAAGATCGAAGGTGAGCGAAGGTGGCCGATCGCGACAGTCCCCCGCCATAAGCGCCGGTGGAGGCCCAGTTTCCTTGGCTTCGTCGGCCCTTGATAACCTGAAGAAGAGCATGCTGTGCGTCCCCGCTGTCATCATCATCCCCCGGCAACGACTGAGAGGCCACACTGCCCCTTGTGTAAGATGCGTCCGAGGGAAGGAAAGATGAATGCCGCTTAGGTGTTCGTTTCACAGCTTCAGGGGATCCGCGATATGTAGACCGGTTACCAACCCCCCGCGATGAGCCTGCCCAAGGAGACACACGCCCCGAGTGAGAAGAGCTGACGGAGGTATACGACCCTTTTGAAGGGGGCCTCGACCCCGAGTCGCTGCCAGAGAAAGGCGGACGATCATCAAACAAGGCAAAAGAAGACCGAGACCGCGGAAGAACCGGATATTCTGAGTACTCCGCAGGATCTGCTTCGCTTTCTGTCGCGGATCCATCGAGATCCATGCCCGTGAGAGGATCAGTCAAGCCCGTGTGGCCCTCCTCCAGTGGCTGCATTTCAGCCTTTGCTCGGCCATCTCGCCCAATGCGAAGAATCACCGATTGGGTTCGCCTGGGAAGGTTGGTGGCGATCGAATGAGCTCGCCCTAGTGGAGTTGGCCGCATCGTCTTCGCCGGCGATGCTCGACCCTTGGAGGGACTTTTGCGAATACCACTGGTAGATGCCATCCCTCCACTGGACTGGCTGAGGGGACGATTCGAGTGACTGGTACTTGCGGTATAAGTAACGCTACGAGTAAGGCCCGGTCTTAACCCTCGCGGGGTGAGGTCCTCTTCGTCCTCTTCCGATAAACTAGAAAAGGAGCCGGGGCCTTGAGCCCGTCGAAGCTCCTCCCGTTTAGAGCTCCTCCGTCTGGTGATGATACGGTTGTCGTATTCCACGGAGGGACGTTCTTTCCGGGGATAGCTGAGAGCCACCAAAGCGACGTGCTGGGGAGCTCAGAAATAGGGCTGGGTCTTCTGCTTTGGCCACTGAGACCCGCGGAGAAGTAGAAAAGGGGGCCGGGAATAAAGCTGCATCAGTAGGCAACGCTGGGGTCAGTCCGAACCCATTGCTGAATTCGGGCAGGTCCATGGAACCATCGATCGTAGGGAGTTGCGGGAACTGGGCGTTGAGGGAGGCATCAGGGGCCGGCTTGGGTGGGTGGAAGGCATGTGTACTGGGGAGAGGAGGATCATTGTGGGCTTGATCTGGCTCTTGGTCCCAGAAGAGCCGTTGCTGGGGAAAGATAGGAGATCCGGTTGGATCCAAAGAGGCCAGTTGGAACAGATCCGGGGAGGACTGGAGATTGGCGAACATCCTCGGCGAAGCACCCAAAAGCCGACTCGGAGTCTCCAAGTGCTCCGCTCTCGCCACACTGCTGGGCGGCTCAAAGTCTGGGATCTTGCGTCTTGATGCACTGGTCGGCGGCGGCGTCTGCATGGAGGCAGCCGACTTGGCTGAGCCCACCCGTTCGAGCGCCCTCATCATTGCACCCCGACGGCTTCGTAGGCCGAATGCGCCTCACCGTATCCGTCTGCTCATACGATCTGCCATGGCTAGTCGGCTCCAGCCGCGCGTCCAAGGAATCTTTCCTGAGCGGATTCGACGGTGTTCCGAGACCGAACTTTTGCGGAGAACGAAGGAACTCGGGGCTGGAGGCATACGGGTCGGCGGTATCCCAGGTGACTCGGGGGTCGAAGAAGCTCGACTCCAATTTCGGGGTGGTAAAGGAGTCCAAGGCAGAGGTAGTGGGGGTCCTCGTCGGGGTTTGAGGCTCATTGGGATAGTTGAAGCTGAACATGGCCGGGTGGATTAGCATGTTGGACGCATCAGGGTAGCGTCTGACAGAACAAGTCCACCGGGAGAACACAGGAGAACCGTAATAGCAAAATGCTAGACCCCGCACGAGCAAAGGGAGGGAAGGGGAGCATACCTGTGGACAGGGTGATCCCAACTCATGTCAGCAAAGTTCAGGGCCCGGCAACCATTGACGGTCCAGCTGCCAGGCAACCTTAAGTGGAAGACAAAGAATGCTCGACAGGGGAGAGAGCCAGCAGATTCAAAACTGGCGCAGTTGGGACTTTGGAGAAGAAGCCACGACCCTTGATTCTCTCCCTTTTAGATCATCGCCAGGCCAAGCCCGGGGAGGAACGAATGGTCTGATTTGAGCACTACTTTCCGTAGTTTTTGTAATAAAGTGGTGAAAGATTACTTCCGTCTCAGATGAGCCTAACGTAGATCCTCTCGCTTTCGAGTTTGCGGCCTGATCCCCTAAGAATGCGAGCTCTGGAGATCCAAAAAAGCTGGGAGGGGGAGAAGTGTTTTTCTTTTGCTCTGTTAGTCCTTTTTGCCGTGGGGACTTTTGGAATTAAGCCGTACGGAATAGGAATTAATTAAATAATTGTTTCCTGGTTTTTTTTTTTTTCTTCTACGCAGTAAATTTTCTAAACCGAGCCTCCACCGATCCACCCCAGGCTCCCGATACGGGAAATCGGCCTGCACCGTTAATCCCCAATGCGACTCTGGAGATAGACGTGGGCGGTTAGAGTCTACTTGGGGGATTTGAAGGCCAGCTTGCCCTGGTGAGGATTGTTGTAACTATTGGGATCCACAGTCGGTACTAGTGCCATCCTGGTCAGCTCCTCCCGTGGAGAGTCGGTCTTTTGTAGAATTGTGGAATTGTAGAACTGTAGAACTGTAGAATTGCCACTTGAACTACTCGCCATAACACCCTTACGGAGCATAATCGCTGGAGAATGCCTATCGCATGCAACGTCAATTATCCTCCCGAGGTCCGACCGGCAACTGCACAAGGAGGGGTTTGAGAAGGAAGGGGAAGGGGAAGCATCAAGGAGTCCCCGGAGCAAAGCCTCTCCTTGGGCAATGGCTGCCGATCTAGAGCCCTGCTTGGGGTTCCAAGCTCTGGAAGAGCCACTTGGAACCAATGACTGCGCTTTGTCCATTCGACCCAATCCTCAGGCGTGATCCAGTAGTTGGGACTAAGCCCCGGTTAGTGTCGAGAGCGGGCCAATCTCACGGATGACGACATGCGTCTATCCCCAAAGTTGAAGAGCCTCCATGGCCTTGAAAGTGTAGAGACCGCTCGATGCCACGAGAAACACAGTCCTTCTACAGAGTACCAGTCCATGTCTTGGATCTGCTGACAGGGAGAGAGATTCTGACGCTGGAAGATGGGGGAAATTAAGGCCAACCAATGAGACCTTCATCGGGCCTTTTGATTCGGTCTTCCCCGGCCAGTCAGCTTGTACCGCAGCACGCTATCTAGTAGGAGTACGACATAAGAGCTTATTCTCTGGGACTAGAGGCCTGTCCTGCGAGGGACACCACAAAGAATACTAACTGGATCCAGATACTCGCTTTCCAGCTGCTCTACCCAAGTGGGGTACCCCCGGAGACCTTCCAGCCAGCCCTGAAGGGGCCAAAGAAACACGTACCACAAAGGAACTGCCCATCTGAGCAAGCCGGCTTATTCCTTGCTAATTCCCCTGATCCGCCTTAACGTCCATGCTATTCGAGGACCACAATGCAGCTAATTCACGGCCCCTGACATACGAGCCTACCTGGGCGAAACAGGATCTGGACTTCCACTTCCCCTGCACTAGTGGCCTGTCGCTTCGTCCGCCCTTACTGCATCCGCAAGGCCGCGAATCCACTGTATCAACCGGATAGCCTATGATAGGCCAATTCCATCTTTGAAAACCGGCTGTGCCCCTCCACCCATCGGCGTACTCCAGATCCAACCCAGATCGATGATCCCAATTTCACATTTCCTGTTCGCAGATCGCGCCCGCCTAGCCTCCCTACAAGATGGTCTTGATTCGGTAAAGTTATGGGGCAGCAGGCAATTGACCACGTGTGATTCTAGCAAATTGCGATTCAAGGCTCGTCGGATTTTTCCTTTTCCTTCTTTTCTTTTAGAGATTGATATCTCGACCCGCTTACTGTAGCAAGAATTGTATCGGCCTGCGTGCCCCACCAGAGTTATCAAGTCCCAGGATGGCTCATTTGGAGCTGTGTTCTGGGCTCGTGGGATCTCCGATAACGTGAAGTTACAATCCATGCGACAATGGATATCTCTGACAGACGAAACGAACGCTTTCCAGTTGCGTTGGATTCGTCGCCTGTTCGCCGAAAGAAGGCTTATACGTTAAAGATCTTGCGGTGCAGCTTGGAGTCCGAGTCGTGCCTCGGCCTACCTTGGCACCCCGCTCTATCTGCCATGGTTTGTGGGCTCGTCGTCCCAATTCCATCTGGCTATCATGAAGCCCAAGACGTAAGACGGCCTAGAAAACAAAGCTCAGAGTACGGAGAACTCAAGCCTTGACGATTTCTGCCTCATATAATGGTACTAGCACGTAGTAGCAGACCGTTAAGCCTGCGACCTCACCTGAGTGCCTTAACATTCTAGAGATTGAGGCAGAATCTGGGGTAGGTGATTGCTCTGTGAACTTCAAATGATTCAAATCAAAAAAAGGAACAAAAATTGATTGAGTTTCTCGCTTTGTTTATCCCAGTGCTGTCTCAACCCTCTCCATTATTCTCCTATCAATCTCTCCATCATCCGATCCATTTTCTCTTCACTGTTCTCTCTCACATCTCCATCTTGCATCCTCTTTTTACCTCCTCTTTCGATTCAAGATGGCATCCCAAAAACCTCGCACTCGGAAGCAAGCGAGAAGGCGAGCAGCCAGGAGCACTCGACGCCGCAAACCAAAGCGAAAGAGCCTTCCCAAAACACATGATCCTCTGGAACAGGCTTGTATCTTCTATCACTTACCAATTCCATCACGCTAATTGTTGGACAGAACGTATTCCCCTCACATAAACTCCCAGACGGATATGTCTTCGTTCCAAAGGGAGATGTGTACATCACGCGTCACTGCAGACGCAAGACCAAAGAGTCGAACCAAGTGATATATTCCGTCTGGGTAAGTCCCCAATATTCCTTTTTCCTGAGGTCATTCACACTAACAGCGCAATAGGACCGAGAGGGCGCCCAAAGGATCGGCCTTCGGGTCCCCGCAGCCGTCCACTCTGAAGTGACCAGACTTGCAGGCTTGACGGCCAGGAAGCGCGCCCGCGCGGTCGAGGCTCGAGACGCCAGGTTCATCTCCCAGAGCCGGAAACTTCTCCAGACACACTTCCCGCTAATGCCCAACGATACAGTGAATGTGATTCTTGGCCATGCATTCCTGAAAGGATCCGGCCGAGTCGGACGAACCAGCACTTGCAGTGACAGGCACAAGGTCCATCTTGCAGTCGAAGCTCACATACGGCACCGACTCACCGCATACGATGCTCTGCTGGCATCTGGGACCCCCCCGCTGGCCTGCCCGTAGACTAGTGTTGCCGTTTGTGAATTCAATCAAGAAAGCCTGGGCAGGAACCAGCGAGGGCCCGACTGAGGCGCTACCGCTGCGCCCAGTCCCCGCGGTCGATACATGATTATCTGGACGACCGCACCGTAAATGGGCTGTGTTGAACATTTGTAAGAGTACTTGTAATCTAGGACAGGATTCCAGCAGGCTGGCCATAAATTCATGTTACCTGAGCTATGAAAATGACATCTTCTACGTCTTTGCTTTGCTTTCGTCTCCCCTCTCCCCCCCTCCCCCCGGGCTGCCTTTTTCTTTTTCTTATATTTCCATGTCCTTTTATCCTTACCCTCACTTCAAGAATTGCTTGCAACAACGTATCAGCCATTCTATGCCAGGTCCCTATCGGCCGTCAACTGCCGATTCAGACAGTCTAAGTAGAAGAACGACGGCCTTGATCGACGCGCTCGACTTTGAAATTGGAAGAAATCCAAGGCAGCCCGCGAAACCAGGGGAACTCCAGGTCCAACATGTCATGAATTTTGAGGAGACGGTTGTTGACCACGAAGTAGGCGTTGCGGCTGTCGATGTCGCTGGACTTGAGAGTCACTCGGAAACAAATGTTCCCTAGTGGGCGGTTATCGTTGATAGTGCTGGAGTCTGATGAGATAGACAGAACCTTCAGGATTATATCCCTCGCCTTCCGCAGCACCTCGACGTCAGTCATGTACGGAGTGTAACCTACCAAGTCGAACTCAAGGATGTGGAGGCAGTAAGGTTGACTCGTCTGAGCATTGCGGCACCGCGAATGATAACCACGGACGAGGATAGAGTCGTCGATTTCCTGATCAATATCCATTCTATCAACGACATCGCTCTGGCTCTCCGCAGCAGCTCCTCCAGGCCCGAATAGAGATTGCTCCAGTCCACCAGCCCCACGACGACGAGTCGGCTCGGTAGCGCGTCGAGCAGGCAATGGACCCTGGGTTGGTTCCGATGACGGAGAACCGCCGGAGGGGGGCCCATGGTAAACCATTGAGGAAAGAGTCGTTCTAGATAGCAACTTCAGCACGTCAGGATGATTGTTTATCTTTCTCAGGTTCTTGAATTCCCATTCAGGGTCTGAGTGCAAGTGCACATAAACAAGAGCTCGGTGACAGGCAAGTGAAAGCATAAAACGCAGGATGGAGAAGTCAGAGAGCGGGGAGGCTATGTGTCAGTAGCATACCAGTTGTTGACTCGATGGATTGGAAATTGATTGACGTTGGATCAAGCGATCTAGGCAGACTGGGGATGCTGGTTATGAGTTTGCACGAAGGTATAGTCAGGAGACATGAAATTTACCTGGAAGAAGGTAGTTCTACTTGGCTAGCGCGCGTAACAGAGACTGGGAGGAAGAAGAAGAAGAAGAAGAAGGAAGAGAAGGAGAAGGAGAAGGAGAAGAAGAAAAGAAAACGTCAGCCGTATGTTTTTACAAGTCTAGGGACACTGCGCAAAAAGCGGTCCCAAGTGGGAAATTGCTCCCAATTCTGCTCGTACGGATCTCAGTGTTTACAGTGCGACTTTTTCTATGAAAAGCAACTGCACTTTCAATGTGGTGGGGCAGCGTTTTTACAAAGTGCTCGCTCAGCAAGTCTATACAAGCTTGCAGGTGATGCCGCCCGCAAATCGCGCAGATCGCGCAGATCGTACTTAGCGCGCTTACACGATCACAGTGTCAGCTTCCATGGAACCCAATCCACGATGTTCCACCCTAATGCTTGGGGAAGTTAGAGCAATGTGGAGGCACTTCCTCCTCGTCGTAGGGTCGAGGTATCGCGCAAGACAGCTGTTCATCGCAGTCTTGATCTTTATCCTAATGTGTACGCTGTCATCCCTGAAGACAGGCCCCTCCACGGACAACGGACCCCGGTACCTACACCGTTCGCCTTTCCGTGAGCGTCCAAATCTAGACTACGAGCATCGTTTGTCTCGTGCTCTTCATGACATCGAGCATCGCGAACAGAGCTCCCACAAGAGCGAGGAGACCCCGGGCACCATTTGGCAGATTTTTCTGGGGCAAGAGCCTACGCGCGAGCTTCGGGGTGAAGACTCGCTCACCTTTGAAGAACGCAATTCCGATTGGGAATACAAGGTGAGGAATGATTTTGGGGATCTGGAGATGGTCATTTCTCGTGACGTCTCTACAGGCCCACATGACAGCTTGGCGTGCATGCTGACCCTTACTCCTTCATACCAGCTGATAACATCCGCATGGGCGGATGAGTTTATTACTTCCACTTTGTCCTCAATCCCTGGACTGGCAGACCTGTACTACTCCTATCCTCACCATGTGCTGCGTGCCGATCTGCTGCGATACCTCATCCTCTGGTACTATGGAGGCTATTATGCAGACATGGATGTTTTCCCTAAGCGCACCATCAGAAAATGCCCATCGTTGCGAAACTCAGTCTTCAATATCAACCCACCAGACGTTTCTCTTGTCATAGGGATTGAAATAGATGAGCCCTTCGCTTCGCCCCAGAAGATGCGCGAGTGGCATTGGGTGCGAAGATATGGCTTCATCCAGTACAATATCTATGCGCCCCATCGATTCAGCCCGATCCTCCGCGAGATTATTGTGCGCGTACTTTCTCATACCCAGAGCCACATTGACAAGAGCAGCATTTTCAGAGGACCGCGATACGATGAGAAATCTACCCTGGAAATTACGGGCCCTGGCGTGTTTACTGATACTGTCCTGGATGTCTTGTCAGATACTCTTCCAGCTACCCATCGTCTTGTTTTAGCATCTGTGAATGCCGACCGTGGACTAGGAGACCTAATCCCACCGGGATCTAGAGAGCCTGTCCCCCGAGTGACATGGGCTCCATTTCATCAGCTTCTCAACCCATTATGTGTGGATGCGTCCGAGGCCAAACCTGGATCGCACTTGGGTGGCTTGTGCGTCTTGCCCGTCAGCGCCTGGGGTAACGGTCAGAGGCACAGTGGTTCGGAGGGTTTCGGTAGTCAACGCGCTTGCATAAACCATCGTTTTGGTGGAACTTGGAAGCCATGGAAGCAAAGCTGGAAAAAGTACCTGCTCGGATGAAAAGGGGATTGTTGTTCTCCAAAGACTGTTCTGCGCGTTAATTTCAGGTATTTGATTCTTATGGCATCTATCGGTAGACCATGCAACTAGCATTCATGGATGAGTTAACTCCGACAAATATATTCTATGACATGAAAGTAAAGTAACATCCGAGTTCGACACCCGCGCAACTCAAAGTCAACACTATCAATCTTGCCCAATGGGGAAGGTAGGGCTAACCCGCATTGGCGCTATTCCAAATTTGTGACCCAAAAGATTCCAGCTTCGCTCTCGCATCCTGTCAACCCAGCTACAATGGAGCGACCAGAAGTGCTAGAGTCTCCGCGAAAGCGACAGAAGACAGAAGATGTCCCTGCGACTGAGATTGCAGCTGTCGCGCCCGCAACAGACGCGGACGAAGATGCTCAGGCTGCGAAAGAGCGAGAGGTCGGGATCACCGAGCTAGTGACTGCGAATCTTGAGGGATTTTCAGGAATATTGAAGAAAAGGCAAGCAAGGGCCCTGGTAAAAACAATGACCTTTTACTAACTTTCTTGGGTGAAGGTATACCGACTTCTTGGTCAACGAGATCACTCCCTCTGGCGAGGTTCTGCACCTCCGCAACCTCGAAGCGCCACATTCTCAAAAGACAGAAGCTCCCCCAAATGAATCCCAGCATGAGGGGGCCCAAGGTGAGGATAAAAAGGAGGCTACCAAGGATGGAGAAGTGGCGCCCGTTGAAATATCGGGAGAAGACAATGCTTTACTAGAGGAATTGTTTGGTGCTGATAATGCGCCGGCCATTGTCGAGCTCCACAAACGTGCCATGTCCACACCCAAAGCCAAGCCGAGTGAGCTCGGGAAGGTTTCGAATGTAGTGAAGGACCGCGATCAACGTATCAAGATTCATCAGTCTATCCGTCGAATCTTCAAGTCCCAGCTCGAATCGACCGCAGACGGCGATGGCAATCTGTCGATTACCGCAGCATCCAACCGTTTCAAGCGCAACCCTCAAGGGGGCCGTGGAGGTGGCGGCCGTGGCGGTGGTGGTCGCATTGATTGGAATGAGCTGGGCGGACAGTATCTACACTTCACGATTTACAAAGAGAACAAGGACACGATGGAGGTCACCTCATTCCTTGCGCGACAATTGAAAATGCAACCGAAAAGCTTCCAATTCGCTGGAACTAAAGATCGTCGGGGTGTCACCACGCAGCGGGCATGCGTTTTCCGAGTTCACGCCGACCGACTTGCAAAGTTAAATCCAACTCTCCGCAACGCTGCATTAGGAGATTTTGAGTACCGTAAGGAAGGCCTTGAGCTCGGCGATCTCTACGGGAACGAGTTTGTGATTACTCTCCGCGACTGCAAGTTTCCTGGTATGGATTTGCAGGACCCCCAAGGGACGCTTGCGAAAGCATCCGAGTTGGTTGGGTCTTCTCTGAAGAACCTCCACGAGCGTGGGTACTTCAACTACTTTGGCCTGCAGCGATTTGGAACATTCTCCACTCGAACCGATACCATTGGCGTCCAGATGTTGCAGGGCGATTTTGAAGGGGCATGTAATTCCATTTTAGACTTCAACCCGGACACTCTTGCCGCTGCTCAAGAAGGAGAGAACTCGACAGCCCTGATTGGCTCCGACGATAAGTCCAGAGCCGAAGCGATCAACATCTTCCGTACAACAGGCCGAGTCAACGAGGCGCTGGAGAAACTTCCTCGGAAGTTTTCCGCTGAAACCTCTATCATCCGTCATTTGGGCCGCGCTAAGCACGATTTCTTCGGCGCCTTGCAGTCCATCCCTCGGAACTTGCGGTTGATGTACGTCCATGCATATCAATCTCTCGTTTTCAACTATGCTGCGAGCGAGCGTTGGCGGTTGTACGGAGACAAAGTGGTCGAGGGCGATTTGGTCATTGTCCAGGAACACCGCGACAAAGAAGTCCGCAAACAGGAAGATGTCAAGCCAGTGGGTCCAGATACAGTTGACGAGGATGGTGAAATCGTGGTGGTACCTGAAGGTAGCAACAGCGCTACGGCGGCAGAAGATATGATCACGCGAGCCCGCGCATTGACGGCCGAGGAAGTTGCCAGCGGCCAGTATACCATCTTTGATGTTGTCCTCCCCATGGTTGGATTTGATGTCATCTATCCTCCGAACAAGATGACCGACTTTTTCCGCGACTTCATGGCCAGCGAGAAGGGTGGCGGCTTGGATCCGTTTAACATGCGACGAAAGCAGAAGGATATCAGTTTGACGGGCGGATATCGCAAAGTTTTCAGCCGAATGGGACCGGATTATTCTTTTGAGGTGAAGCTGTATTCCGAGGAGGACCAGCAATTTGTGCAGACCGATCTCGCAAAACTGAAGCAAGACAGCACTGCATCCAGTGTGCCTGACTCTTTCACTGGCGATAAACTGGCCGTTATACTCAAGTTTCAGCTGGGATCTAGTCAGTATGCTACTATGGCATTGCGAGAGCTTCTCAAGGGAAAGGTCAAAGAGTACAAGGCCGAGTTCAGTGCAGCCAGGTAGTCCAGTCATCTAGCCAGCATCGATCGAAGCGTTGAATTGAAAACCCTGTATATAACTAGCATACTAGTATCCAAGAAAATAGGCAACCAACGACTGCTCGCATGAGTACCAATTGTGTAGATTGAGATATCGGAGTGACCTTGAAATCTATCATCAGAATAAAGCCTGCCCAGGTGGCTCACTTTTCGTATATACAGTAGTGCTCTCTTTCCGCAGTCCGAGTCTCGTCTCTCATATAGAATATTAGAACCAAAGTAGAAAGTCACAGAGGGTTATGAAGCAACCCTTCAAGCGTTAGGCCTGTGGTCATGCAAAGTCTTGTGCAAAACAACCATTAATAATGACAACAGTAATAGAAAAAGACTGCAACAAGTAATATCCGGGGGGAATCAGTCCCAACACCACCAACGCCGATGCTGAAATGCAAATACAAACGGCCTGACTGTCATATTCATAAGTAAAATCGTTCCCGACCGCGACTCTCACCGGCGAGAGTTGCCCGGTGGATAGCCACGGAATCCATCATCATCATTATAAGCAGATATCGGAGACACGGCACCATCATCGGGGTTCTCATGTCCAAGTCCAGGCGAAACCAACGAGGCCGAATCCTCCGCGCTTTCCCCGCTGGGCTCTAAGCCTGAAAAAGATGCAGACCTGCTAATGGTGCCCATATCTTGCGCGCCCCTGCTGATTCGATGGTCCCTCGAGGAAGCAAATCCGAAGCCCAGCTGGACACCCCGGTCCCCGTGAGGAGAGAGGTCCTCGCTTAATGCGCCAAAGGTACTTTCGTTGTCGCCTCCGTCCGATATGTCTAACATCGGAAACCGAGGGGTGTTCCTTGCTGCGGGCTCAGGTGGAGGGTCCATGAGGTCGGAGGTGGAGAAATCGGGGATTTCGCGGGTGGGTTCATACGCAGGGGATGCGGTTCGGGGACCATGGCGCCGGCGACGTACGAAGAAGTACACGAATGCTACTAGGATGAGAGTGCCTATTATTGAGATTGGGAGTGCGATTGCCAGCTTCGTTCTTGTGGAGTCTCCGCTCGAGTGCCGAGTGGAAGTCGTAGTAGGGCTATTGGTTGCAGACGGAGAGGTTGTTGTCGCTGTTGTGCTACTAGCTGGAGATGACGTTGAGGAAACGGAGAATAATGAAGTCGAAGTGGACGTTGAGGCTGAAGTCGAAGTTGCTATCGATGTCGATGATTCCGATGTCAACAGATCTGACGAGATTCCGGAGATGAGTGTGCTCAATATGCTTCCAGAATTGGAGTCCGATGAGGCGTCCGCTGTTTGTGTCGGTGTGATCGTCACCGGTATATCATAAACGCCAGAGGAGTCGGTTTCCCAGGTCACGGTCGCTTGCATATTGGCTTGCGTTTCCTCATGTATCTGGCCATCGAAACCAGCGTGATTAGGATCGGCGTTTCTTGCAGCTGACCCTAACCCGGACATGACAGCAGTATAACTGACAGAGACTCCTGGGAGTCTACTGTCTTATGATATCCCAACAAATACAAAACAAAGAGCCCAACGAACGCAAAGGAACACGCAGGACCATGAGCGACAAACGCAGCCTCTAAGCCCCAATGTCTTAAGGAAGATGGTCTCGGGAAATTTCTTGTCCCCACCCCCTCTTTTTTGCTCGCCGTGGCGCCTAAGGAGTAAGAGCGGAACCGTTCCTATAAGAACAGGCTATTCTTTGCCGGGCCACCCATGAAATAGGGATCTGGTGGTCTCTGTCGGATGGGGCCCAAGAGTGGGGATTATGGTATGTAGCACTGCCCGCTACGTAGTACGGACGTATATTGAATAAGTCTTAAGCCAGCGAAAGGCCTTAGTATTCTGCAGATGGTTGTCGAAGTGTACCTCGCCGCCGGGGCAGGTTTCCACAAGAATTTTCTCCTATTGACCTGAGAAGGCACATCGGTATCAAAGAGAATGCTGAAGTTGACTGCGGTGATCGGGTCCTCCAATGTTCTATAATTAAGTTGTAGGGCGGTTTTACCGCCACAGGCAGCCTTCTGATTGGGCGAGGACGAGGCTATCACCGGGGCCGCGCAGGATCCGCATAGACGCTAACCGCATTGGCATTTAGGGCCACAACCGCTGGCAAGGCTTCCTTGGCAAAAGCGAACACCACGTCGCCTGATCCGCTCTCCTAGAGCGAATCCGGCGATAGAGGATGAAACGAGGTTCTCCATTTGTTGCCATTGCGGTGAGAGGTGCCGAGTCACAGCCACCACGGCCACGTACGGTCGTGGGCATAGATGAGGGAAGCTTCGTGATCCAAGGGTGTCAAATTCCAGGCTGAACGATTTTGTAGTTCGATTCTACATGATCACTGCAAGATGAACCCGCAGGACTTGACACGCCCATCGAAAAAAGTTGTGAGCGTACTTCGAACACTGCACTAGTGGTACTAGAAGTCAATAATAATACTCAAGGGCTGCCTGTCCCAGTTCAGGACGAATTGTTGGCGACTGATAATCCGCAAATGCCGAACCGACACAGAGGACCAGGCTTGAAGCCGTTGGAATGCAGAGATAAATGGTCTAACGAACACTGCTAGATCCACAGAGCGTGGCCACAGGGCTAGGCACCTTAGGTACCAATTCGAGGCACCCTTTGGCCTAAGCGGAGGTTTCAGCAACCAGTACGGAGTAGTAGTAGCGCTATCAAGCTATAGTTGTTCTAAAAACGAGAATAGAAAAAGAAAAAGAAGAAAAGAACCCATCTTGCTGCTACCAGTAATGTTTTCAGGTTCCGCGCTTGATCTCTGGGAACTGAACTTCCAAGGTGAACTGCTCTTACATTAAGACTCCATACAATTGATCCGGGCTCATCCGCCTAGGCACCCATGTAGAGATCACAACAAAGTACGAGCGGAGTTACTCCAGAGACTGTACACCCTAAAATTTGGCAGGTCCTTGACACTTCACCGAATCCTGAAAGATGTGAAGTTGTAACTTGGCTCTGCCAAATTAACTACGTTAATACTCTAGCCCTTATATTGATCTTGGCACCACGTGACATAACGTCAAGGCGGGGTCCCCAACGTCTAGCGGCGACTCCGCACAGCGACAACCCAGAACTTGTCATAGATCACCATGAGTAATAGTAGTTTCAGTTGGAAAGGGGGCTGGCACCCCAAGGGCAAGGACGGCTCCTCAAAAGAGAGCTGGCGTGGGGACTTCAAAGGCATCAATCAAGTGGTGAGTCTCCCTTCTCTCAATGCGCATCCTTAAACTAACGTATGTGCGTAGGCTGGCTGGATGGGCAAGGGCAGAGACCCCTCAGACGCTGAATCAGCTAAAGAGCACGTCTCCCGGCCGATCTCCTCCTTGAAGGATCCAACCTCCTTTGGGCCCCCTCCAAGACATATCAACTACCATGGCCCGGCTGCACTTCCCAACCAAACTACCCCGGATACACGAGGCCTGGGAGCTCCGTTGTCGCAAGAGCAGATCCGGCAGGAGCAGATCCGGCAGCAGGAAGAAGCATTGGCGGAAGAGGAAGAGAGCGAGAAGCCCAAGCCACCCCCAGTGCCGTACCGAGTCAACACCACGGGTTTGTCTACGGATCACCTTCCGCCACCACCGGCTCGGCGAGTTGATTCACCCAACTCGTCATCCTCTGGCCTACCATCGAGCGCGAAGCCGAAGCCGAAGCCTCCTCAACTCCCTCCACGCCTTCCCTCCCGCACTGCTCCCCCGCCATCGCAAATCCCTTCTCCACCTCCTGCTTACTCCTCGGACCCACCATCACCATCCAAGGGATATCTCAACCAGGAAGCCACGGCGCGACTCGCCAATGCCGGCGTTTCAGTCCCTGCGCTAGGTATCGGAGATAACTCAGAATCATCTCCTGCAGCCAGCCGCAATCCTCCAGTAAATGAGCTTCAATCTCGGTTCTCACAGCTGCACACCAATTCCGATTCCCCATCTGCGGTTTCCGCAACTCCAGCATCTCCTCCGCCAGTCCGGGCTCCATATTCTGGGACCGCAGAGCTAGCCCCATTGCCTGGGTTCCGTGATCGCCATGCAGACAAAATTGACATGGGAAAGCAGAAACTAGGAGCATTGACTTCGCGGCTCAATACCTTTGTAGAGGATCAGAAATTTTCTGCAAATGCAAACAAGCGAATACCCCGGCCGCCCGGTCCCAATTCCCCAGCTTCCCCGGCGAGAGCATCTCCCTCGAATACATCGATTGAGACGCAGGCCCAGCGCAAGAAGCCTCCGCCCCCGCCGCCCAAGAAGGCTGAAATTCGCGCGATGCCTGCAGCCAACGGTTCTGCTTCCCCAGAGTCAGCCTCAACACCACCTCCGATTCCTTTCGGCACCAAACCCCGCTGAGCAGTCGCTGGCATTTCAGAGTGAACTATGTGTATTTGTATGAAGTTTCTATGGCCTGGTGCCTACGTATCAGATAGAGCGGACTGCCGGAGATGAAAATAAAATGAAAATGAAAATAAATAAACGACCAAGAAACCAAGAAGAAGGAACCGGGGTGTTGTTGATGTAAGTTTCCAGATGTACTATGCGCAACTACATACGACGTTATGACATTCTGATGCTTCATGACGTACGTATCATGTCAACACCATCCCTTGGTTATCCGTGGAACAGGTCCCTCTGTCATCAAAGTTCGTCGAAGACCGAGCTCTGCAAGACTTGCATATCATGTCTGATCTATTCCGTGTAGAGAGATGCACCTCGGCTGCATGTGAAAGTTCAATTGGTCGGCGATTTTATACCTGATCTGAAAGCCGTTGGGGCATGTAGCATATGGCAGCATCTTCAAGGTCATTGGTTCCAACATGGGAGTTTTCCAGCTTCTACTATACTGTAGCTAATTTACGTTGTAAAATCCATGGCTCGGGTTTGGTTGATGAGTCAGCCCCTGGACCCTGGAGTCCGCTTTTCTTGCTTTTCTTGTACGGGGAAGGGACATCCATGGGGAAAGAGCAAGTCTTGAACGCTGAGATGATTTTCCCGCTGCCAACATTGGTTGAAGGTGCCGTCTTAATTTGTACACGGAGGTGACAGCCGCCAAAGCTTTTAGCGCGTCGCGTGCCTGGCGCGTGCCTGTTCTCGTGCCTAGCCCCTTAATAGAAGCAGTGCCGTGTACTCCGTACATATAGGTCTGCAAAGGGATTTATGATAGGTGAATGCGGAGTACAGACAACAAAAAAAGAGCTCGAAGATTTCGTCATTAGCCAAAATAGGCAACATTGGCCAAAAGTACGCAGTAGGATTTTGCCCCAATGAGTCCTCGGCCTCGGCTCTCCCAACTTAAGTGTCCCAACAAAAACCAGGAGGAGGGTTCCACCCGCCCGATAAGGCATATTTTTTTAAAAAGTGGAGCTCCCTTCTGGATAGCTGCAATTCTTTCCCTCCCCATCTCTGGCCTTGTGTCTCTGGGTGAAGGTTTCTTGCACATCATGTATGATTTCAATGTGCCCTCCCAGTTTGGGCCGGCCACTGTTCGCATCGGCCTGCCTCCTGTATCGCTGCTCAGCTTCCCTCCGGCAGAGCTGCCCGTCACCGTTCCAGCACCGCATGTGTCGGAGTTCAGCTGGAAGCAGCCCTTCAACATTCCCCATGATCTCTTCCACAAGGTCCTAGATGTCCGCGTCCCAGTCACCATCGCCAGCGTCTATGCCGTCACCGTGGTCCTGGTCAATCGCATCAACAAGAGCCGCGGCTACAAACCCTATGCCTTCAGCCACTCGCGCCTGTTCAAGCTGCTTGTGGTTCTGCACAATGTCTTCCTGGCCGTCTACTCGGCGTGGACCTTTATTGGCATGTTCCAGGCCTTCAGCAACTCGCTGCCCGATCGCGATGAACCCAACGGCTTGGTCGGAGTAGTGGACGCGCTCTGCAAGATCAACGGCCCGCGCGGCTACGGCAACGCGGCGACCTACAGCTCTCTCACCGACCAGTGGTCAATTCCCAACCCTGCCTACCAGCTGGCCAACGGAGTGCCTGACCCGACGGACGCTGGCCGACTCTGGAACCAGGGTCTGGCATACTTCGGCTGGATCTTCTACCTCTCCAAGTTCTACGAGGTGATTGACACCGCGATCATCCTGGCCAAGGGAAGAAGAGCTCTACTCTGCAGACCTATCACCATGCCGGTGCCATGATGTGCATGTGGGCTGGTATCCGTTATATGGCAGCTCCCATCTGGATTTTCGCCCTGGTCAACTCGGGAATTCACGCGATGATGGTATGGATTTTCCCCCCGTCACCTTGGACGAGTGTCTCGAGTACTCACTTCTTATCTCCCGATTCTAGTATACCTACTACACCTTCACTGCGTTGCACATTCGCGTGCCTAACGCCATCAAGCGAAGCTTGACCTCGATGCAGATCACCCAGTTCATCTTCGGAACCAACATGGCCGCTGCCTACTTATTCGTCGAGTATACCGTGCCCTATCCCGTCGGCAGTCCTGCCCTTCGTCACTTGTCCCATGCCATTCCCGCCGCAAACCCCGCGTCCGCCCCCTCTGCCGATGCTGGTGTAGTGCCATGGTTGAAGAAGCTGGCCTTCCGTGCTGCTGGCGCAGATGGAATTGCCGGAAACGTTGGCGGTGCCGTGCCCAGTCCGCCGACCGGGTACACCCAGGAAATGGTGCCATGCGTGGACACTACCGGCCAAGCCTTCGCCATTTGGCTGAACGTCTCGTACCTGCTGCCCCTGACCTATCTGTTCGTGCGCTTCTTTGTCCGCTCCTACCTGAAACGCAAGGACCCTGGTGTCAAGCAGTCCACTCACATGGAAGCCGCGGAGAAGGCCGGTATGGATGCTCTGAAGGGAGTGAGCCGTGAGATCCAGCGTGCGGCTATTCAGACCGAGGCTAGCGAGGTCAGCACCGATGATGAGGTCATTCGCGCTTACGTCAAGAAGGTCGCCGAGAAGCAGAACACCCAGGATTCCCCTATGCGCACTCGCTCATCTGCTGCCAGCAAGGCTAAGGCGGCTTCCGGCCCTCCGTCGGAGTCTGAGGAGGGCTTCTCCAAGGTTCCTGCGAGGAAAGGAGCCAAGAAGCAGACCGTTGAGGAGCGTGATGCCCCCTCGGCTGTCCCCGAGGCCAAGGGACAGAATCCGTTCGGGGTCCTGGATAGAGGCGCGTGACAACGTGGAGATGAGGCAATATGAATAATTTCGCGGCATACTTCTGGAGTTCTTGGCGTTTCATCCGGCACAACAGTCATTCGTTTGCGCGGGGGATCGCGGGGGACGCGATGATTCTGATCAAATTCACGCCAGGTCTGCAACGCATGCAGACCCTGCGAAACCCCTCGATCGCGCCGATCCCCTCATGGAATCGGCCCATTCTCGTGATGGACGAGGTGTGGATGGCCAGATCGCATGGAGATGGCTTGGAAAATCGGCATTTCTAGCGCCAGCGTGGATCGTGCCGAGGATTAACGAATACTTGCTCGACATAATGCAGAGGCGGACTTGGTGGTTCATGGGGTGGAAGGGGTCTTCTGGGAGGAATGGCTTTCGCAGTCCTGTCCAGTGATCCTTGGCATGACCCAATGTATATTATCAATAGCGACAATCCTCAACCTAGCGAAAACAATGAGTAGCAATTAGCTTTACCAATGGAAGATACACGAAGTCTTTGGAACCTAGATTACTTAGTCTGGAGAGTGCTACCGAAGGGAAATTTCAAATTCGGGTCGAAGATATGACGAAAATCCTCGAGACCGCAGCCTCGACCTCCCACCTGTCAGACGCCACCAAGCCCGCGTGGGTATCGCAGCTGTCCGTCCGGAGCATAGCCCGTAACTACGAGAGTCCGGTGTACATTAATAATAGAATATGGCCCATCCCTGGATTACCAAGCCCTGTCGCAATTCAAATCGAACGGGGTCCAGCCAATCACGGACGCAAGTCATTGTCTCAACGGTCTTAATGCAAGTCGTTTTCCGTCTGGGCTCTCTTGCTCCAGGGCTGACGGAGGTAAGCCACCTATGTCCTGGTGGAGACGGATGAATCATCCCGCCGAGCCATGGCACCAAGGCCTGCGCGCTCCCAAACAGGAATGGTCTGTCGCCTGAGGCCAGGAAACGAAGCTCGCAGAAAAGAGTTCCAAGGTTGTCACTCATCTGATTATTAACCGCTTTTCCAAGGGTTGCTTTTTGACGACCAATCACGTCCGACCGGGTCCCCCATGGGGCACTTGGTCCACCAATCACAGTCCTGGATCTTCTCTGGGCGGGGCCGGTGTCAATTGAAAGATCTTCGGATGATTTATAACATCAGACTATCAAATCTCCGCCTGATTGGCCTATGCCCCACTGTAATCATCGAGATCGATTTGCAGTAGTCAATAGTCATCACGGTGTTTGATCCTAAAGCCCTGCAGCGGAGTTTAGAATTCCTCCCTGTCAAGACTGTCAAGTACGCGCACCCAGAGCTATATAATACACTCCTCACACCTTCCATGATGTAAAGCATATTCCCATATACAAATCGAGTATAATCAAGTCATCCTCGGTGAAATCTTGGGGGCAGCCTTTCGGGAGAAGACTTAATCCGAACACACTTAATTGTCAATGGACGCTGTTATTCGAGAAGCCCCGATAGGGCAGATCATTCGATATTTGACCAACAACAAATATCTGCAATATCCCGAGGAAAAGCCCGGATTCCAGCTACCGGAAACATGGGTTCAGATGCTGCACAGCCTCGACGGCGCGAAGAATGGCTCTGAAAAGCCCGCAGACCGCGAACACCAATCCTTCGACCGCAGTGAATCAAGTAGCAACCGGGACACAGAGATCAGCCGCACCCCGACATTAAATGCGGAAGATCGACTCGAGGCTAATGCGATCGAGCTCGAAAAGGTCCAGTCGATCCCCGTCGCCCCGCGGAAGACCAGAGACGGCACAATCCTGGTGGATTGGTACTACACAGATGATGTCGAGAATCCTCATAACTGGGGAAACGTCAAGAGAGCGCTTATCACGAGCATTATCTGTCTGTACACGTTCGTTGTATACATGACATCCTCGATCTACACAAGCTCGGAACAAGATATCATGGAAATCTTCCACGTCGGCGAGGTGGTCGTTTCTTTAGGACTTGCCCTCTACGTGCTCGCCTACGGATTGGGCCCATTGTTTTTTTCTCCTCTAGGTTGGTCCCCCCGCGAGAACGGATGATAATCCCGGAGCAAGTTGACTGACCGACTGCGTTCATTAGGCGAAATCCCTGTCATCGGCCGGAACCCCGTCTACATTGTCACAATGTTCCTCTTTGTGATTATTTCGATCCCCACGGCCCTTGTCAACAACTTCCCTGGCTTGCTGGTGCTTCGTTTCCTGCAAGGCTTCTTTGGTTCTCCTTGTCTCGCCTCGGGAGGCGCGTCGATCGGTGATATGTATAGCTTGAACGCTCTGCCATACGCCATGATGGCCTGGGTATCCGCCGCCTACTGTGGCCCAGCCCTGGCCCCGCTCCTCAGTGGATTTGCTGTTCCCGTCGAGAACTGGCATTGGTCGTTGTATGAGTCGGTCTGGGCATCGGCCCCCGTGTTCATCGTGATGTTGCTTTTCCTACCCGAGACTAGCACGCCGACGATTCTGCTTCGCCGGGCACATCGTCTGCGGAAGATCTACAACACAGATCGGTTCATGTCGCAGTCCGAGATCGACCAGCGCAATTTGAAAGTTTCCGAGGTGGCCATCGACGCCCTGCTCAAGCCAATGGAGATCACCATCAAGGATCCAGCCGTGCTGTTCGTCCAGGTTTACACCGCTATCATCTACGGCATCTACTATTCCTTCTTCGAGGTTTTCCCGTTGGTCTACCCCGTCGACTATGGAATGAGCCTCGGACAGGTGGGCCTCGTCTTCCTGTGCATCTTGGTGGCCTGCATCTTGGGTATTCTGTCCTACATGTCCTACCTATACTTCTACCAAGGGCCGCGGATTGCCAAGTTTGGATTCCCTGTCCACGAAGACCGACTTATCCCAGCACTTCCCGCGGCCGTTGGCCCCACGGTGGGCCTGTTCCTCTTCGCGTGGACAGCCAATGCGTCCATCCACTGGATTGTGCCCACCATCGGCATCACCATCTACGGCGGGACTGTGTTCGTTGTGATGCAGTGTCTCTTCGTCTACATCCCCCTGAGTTACCCCAAGTACGCGGCGAGTTTGTTTGCGGCCAATGACTTCTTCCGGAGTGCACTGGCTTGCGGAAGCATCCTGTTCGCGCACCCTCTGTTCGGAAATTTGGGGGTTGCGCGCGGAACTAGCGTTCTGGGTGGCCTGAGTGTTATCGGTATCGTGGGCATATGGCTGCTTTACATCTATGGTGCTCGTCTGCGCTCTCTGAGTAAGTTCGCTGAGTCGGAGGAGCCTACTTTTGAGCAATGAGCGTTGAGTATGCACGATACGGAGATCCACGATACAAAGCGGAACCTGTTGTTCTTATTTCTTCTTTTTTTTTTTACATAGATGTTGGCGTGGCGGCGGTGTCCGATGCATTGATGGCGATATGATGAGAACTTACCATGACCTTTTACGATCGTATTAATACAGCATAATAAATTATTGGATTATTTCGCAAGTTATCAGTTCCCACCTGTTCCCATATTAGTAGTACCCAGTGACTTCCGCATCGCAAAATGGCTTCTGTTCAGACACCCTGGAGTTGACCGATGTAACTTCCCTCGATCGTCCTAGCCAGCTGACTTCATTTGAGATAACATCAGGTTTCAAAAATCGAGCAAGATCGCCCCTATCATAGCACCGCTGCTCAGGCAAAGACAGTGCCTACAGGAGAAGTAACGCGGAGGCAACAAAATAGCGCGGGGTGTGATTGGCGGGCGACTCCCGCCAAAACAAATTTTCTCGCAGTCGCAGTCGCAATCGCCGCTTTTCCCCTTCTCATCCCCTCGTCCATTCTCGATTCTCACCGGCGATAATTCACCATGGGTAACGTACGGCTTCCCCGCCCATGCTCGTCTTGTCGCATCCACCACTAACCCTCCCCACAGGGAGCCAAGGCCAACCAGAAGCGTGAGCGCAACGCAGTAAGTCCTATTGAGCAACAGGCGCAATCCTCCAGCGCTGGACTCTGAACAGCCCCCTAAATACATTCTCTCCACCCTCACAGAAGCAAACGAAGACCGGACCAACCTCGCAGATCAAATCGGTAAGTCTCTGGAGCCTCGCGCTTAGGCATGCGGTTGCTCACGATCATGTCCTTGTCTAGAACCAGAAAGCCATGAGCATCATGTGCCAGGTCTGCCGCCAAACCTTCCTCCAGACCACTAAGGCTCCTGCGTACGTGACCTCTCTGATCGCTCGTGCTCCCACCGGGGCCCAACGACTACTAACGGCGGAATTGTGGCGGCAAATAGTCTCACCGAGCACGCCTCCAACAAGCATAATAAAGGCCTGGGCGACTGCTTCCCTGGCGTGACTGCCTAAGATGTCCGACTTGCCGCATGGGGAAATGTCAGCGTTTACGGTGTTATGGGATGGGAAATACTTCATGGTGTTTTTACGAGGAGTGAGAAGGCGAAAGAAGACCAGCCAACGTCACAAGTCAGCTTACAGAGAATGGGGCGTAGGTAACTACGCAGGTGTAGGAGAACGTAGGAGATCGAGCGCTCTATTCAATGTAGACACTGCCTTCGCGCCGCCCTTCACCGTTCCTTCCCTCCAAATTTCTCTAAGCTGTAGTTTACTGAAGTCCAAGTTAGGGCACGGGCCATCTGGGCCTGATATCTACGACGACTAGAAGTATAGAACTAACCGTGGTAGTCCCCGGGGGAACCAAACGCCAATTGGGTCATTTACCAGTAGGTACTAGAGAGCTGCAATGACAACCCAATGATTTTATTGATCTTAGAACAGTCCAAATGCTTGTATAGCAGGCCCGACTGCAACATAAACAAAGTAGAACATGTACTGGCCTAGCCGAGGCAATCCTAAAAAGTATATCTACTAGTGGTAGACAATTCTCCCATATGGGTCAAAATGAGTGACCAGATATAAATAACTACTAAATCGTTCGGTGGAAGGGTAATCGCCAAGTGGTCTAGAAAAAGGCACCGAGGCCAGCCTGTGCACAGCCTGGCTAGGACGGGGGAAATACCAGACCACGTCGGAATGGCAATCCATCACTTTTGTAGTGTTCGATCCACCGATCCAGAGTCACGAGAGCCATGCCGTGGTAGGAGCTTCGATCGCCGGGAACGGCGACAGAAATGCAAAAGGTGTGCCAATTCATCAGGGGGCGCGCATCAAGAGTATATTGGCATGCTTGGATTTTGCTTCTGATCGCGTGGAGTAACTCCAAATCATCCAGGCCAGCGTCTCGCGGCTGGAGCCTGATATTCACAAACTTCGGACCAGGCTGCTCGGATGGCATTCCGTAGGTGTATTCCTGAAATATATGGGTTAGTTCACAACAATCCGGAGCGTTGGCCTAAATGAATGCTCTCACAGCCAAGTGGTGGAGCGTAGATGAGCATATAAATACCCAATGTTAGGGATTTTGAGATTCTTTTGATTCGTCGTGCCTTTCAAGGATCGAAGCATCGGAAAGAACAACTAAAAGGGCCTCGAGTCAAAGACGAAAGACCCAACAACCCCGATCTCAAAGGGGATACCTATTCTTAGAGTTTTATTGTTCGGAATGACAAGAGCGTACTTGGCGTACGGTAAGCCCTACATCGCCATAATTAGTGGCGCTTTCATGCCCCCTACGGCTACCGGTGTTACAAAGAGACCATCTTAGCGAGTAACTACGAGCCATTCCGTCTGATAGAGGATTTCATAGAGCTGCATTATTGAGATAACCTCCACTAGAGCACACTTATCGAACGAGTCCGGGCGAGGGCAAACGACAGAATACCAAGATATATGAGAGATGTCGAGGTTTGATGTCATTCACACAAATCAAATAAGGATAAATGAAAAGAAATGAGGCCCAGACATGACCGAGTAATGATGTGCTAGAAGACAACAAGGCGAAATGAAAAAGAAAAAAAAAAAGTAAAGAAAAAAAAAAATTAACTGCCCAAAAGTGCCCACGCTCCCAATACTCGATGACAATGGTTTCAATGCATGCGGAAATGACAGAATATGAGAAGAAAAATTGATCAGAAACTGGAATTTGCGCCCATGGGTGTAAGCAGGGGAAATTCATTAAATCAACGCCAGGGGCAAGAGACCCCGAAAGATAGGCTCAGGCATGGGCAAGTGGGGGATATCCTCAGGATCCTTTTTTTTTTTCGAGACGAGCCGCACCGTTTTGGTTTAGCATGGGGCATCTGACAATGACCACATGAGAGGGAGATAGGAGATCAGAGCGAGTCCGCGAGGGTAAAATGGCCGAACCGACAATGTGAAAAAAAAAAGAAACAAGCCCATGGTTCATGATCCAGAGAGTGAAAATTGGACGTTCGCGCTTCGATACACGAGAATAAAAGTCAAACACCCCCAGGTCGCCGAAGTTTATGCAGATCTATGGACAAACATGCAAAGCTTTAACTCGACCCGAGAAAGCCACGCAAAGCAATCCCGACCAAAATCAAATGAAGTGCGTGTAAATCTTGGAGTTTTCGTGAACCTCCATTTCCTATATCCGAGTCAGTGTCATGACATCACCATAACCTAACCCTCGAAAGAACTTACCATCTTAAAGTTGTTGATTTCCTCACGGATCTGCTGAGCCAGCAGGGGGGTGAGACGATTGCAAGTCGCAATCTCCCCGCGACGATCATACTCGCCACTGGGCCATGTCTCGTGGAATTGGATACGAGGACTAAACACAATATTTCGTCCGCCTACCGTCTGAGGGGTGATTGGAGCACTCTTAGCATCCGTTGAGGTGTAGCGCCCACCGGTTGAAAGGAAGTAATCTTCGCCGGCAATTGTTACCTGTTCAGTGGGACGAGGACTCTGTCGGGATGTCTCATCCGGGGTGGCTGGAGCACTCGAATGCGGGGAATCATTGCCACCGATTAGAGCGACGGGAACAGATCCGTCGGAATTGGTTTTCTTCAGGATGCCACGTCGCATATGGGACAAGACCTCCGCTCGCTCATGGTCCCCTCCTACGATGCTCTTACGCGATCGAGAAGGATCCGCGGTGACTCTTTCGGCCTCACGGATAGAAGCGGACCGTCGCACGTCGGCTCCAAGTTCCACCTTGGGGAACACAGTACCTCCACGAGGCATATCCTGTGGGTCGGGGTTGACAGCAACACTTTCCCGGTCTGCTTCGACATTAACGACGGATATCTGTGGTGCGGCCGTATCCGTGGCTTGAGCTTCTGCTTCATTAATGCTGGCAATTGACTTCGGGCGGAACATGCCGACCAAAGACCGAGTGCCCTTCTTCATGCCCTTGCCCATTTTTCGAAGCATCATGGAAGCGGAGGATGCGGTGGAGGAAATCGAGAGGGCATCTGTAGATCCAGTAAAGAAGTTGCCCTGGTGGCTATAGATACTCTCTCCCAATCCGCTTGCTTCTTGTTGTTCCGCAATGGCGGCCTGCTCATCGCCGAGTTCCTCACGCAGCGCCTCCTTGCGAGCCTTTTCCGCTGCAATTGCTTCTCGTTTGCTCTGCGAAGTAGCTTTAAGGAGCTCTGATGCACTTCCAAAGGAGAAGGCACGACGCAAACGTGATTTACCGGGGCGCTTGCCAGCATCGTTCTTGAGTTCAGCCAAACGTTTCGCTGCCGGAGAATCAGGTGTGGGGGATGCGAGCGTTTTCGTATCGGCTTCGGTCGATGGAGATTCGGGGGAGGTCGCGGGCTGCGACAACGGCGAAGGCTTGGCCGCTCGCTTTTCTTCGGGCTTGCTTGCAGGGGTAGGATCAGGTGACGGACCTCGAGCCTAATTGAAAGGTCAGCCAACATTCAGTCTTGGTTCACACCTTCTCATGAAGGAAAATGACGGATAAATATGTAGATGTTGGATGAGTCTACTCACCGATGATGCAGACGAATGTGTTGAGTGGATACTCCCTGAACTTTCACGACGCGAATTGGCAGACCGAGGACGAGGTGACGAGTCGAAAGAGATAAAGTCATACGAGCCAGTCTGCGGGGGGGCTTGTGGGGGGCATTTGAAGCTGAAGGTCCGGGTAAGACCCTGGATCCATGTTGCCCATGCTTCGTCGGCGGTATCGCTTAGCTGTGTCCGGAGGTTGCCTTTCGAGGTGAGAAGAATCATCTACACTCGAGACGCGCGTGTGGCCATTCGGTCGTAAAACAGGCCGTGTCAGAGAGGCTGGAGTCTGATCATCGACATTCGTAGGAGTTGAGGGGGCAGGAGATTGTGAGCGGGCGCCGTCCCGCTGATTTGAGCGGCGATAGCGATTGGGAGATGGTTTGGCCGGACTGGCCGAGGAAGATGCGGTCATGACAGGAGGAAGATTGGCAGTGGAAAGGGGACGGAGGGGGTGATCGGGTCGTGATTGACGGGATGGAATTGCACTATCATCCTTTGAGACGTGGGAGCGGAAAGACGAATTCGATGAAGACGAGTTTGATACAGAGCCAGCTGCAGCATGGGCGCCTCGAGGAATCGACCCGGGATGGGGGCCTGATGTTCCCTGAGGAGCAGAGAAAGTACGGTGCTCCGGGCGGAGATGTGGGGATGGGGACCACGACTGGCGATGTTGATGATTTGGCGTGTGGGTCACGTTAGGTGGAAATGCGTATGGAGCCACAACCTGGTGACCGGATCGATAACTCCCCGAGTTGCCAGCATTAAAAGAAGTCCACGACATATTCTGATATCGAGGACCGGAGTTGTGGGAGGAGGCGAAAGTGCCCGATGAGGAAGAAGGACGCGTCTGGAGCACAGGAACCGTGCCACTCTGTTGCGGGATGGTTTGAACCAACGCAGCCATATTGTTTCTCTCGGCCAGGGCTGCAGGAGCACAATCACGAGTCTCCGTGTCGGGGAGGGTCTCGATAAGGTGACTCGTGGGGTCGTGAATTATTCCAGGACGGATGAAACGGGGGAGGGGGAAGTATTTGCTGGTGGCCTGTCGAAGAACACAGGTGCTGTCAAGACGAACCGTTAGTGGGAACAAAGCTTGACGATGATTTCAGGACGGCCATAGAAGGAAACGAGCGAACGAGGGTCATTCAGGAATGGACAAGTGATCCGAGTTGATTGCGGTCCCCTTTTTGAGGGGAGGATTGTTTCACGATGTTTAGGGGAAGCGGGAAGAGCAACGCGTCCAGGGGGCAACGGAGATCGTACCTGTTCTTGAGTTCTTAAAATGAAGACATGAAAACTTATAGTGGTACAGCGATTAAGGCAAAAGAGAAAGAAAAAGGGGACGCTGGATGCCAATAACGGGAATGCAGGAACTCGAAACCAGGCGAGCTCGAAAAGAAGGGGGGAGGGGGTGGCAGTCGACAATATACAAGAAAGGAAGAACGGGAACAAAAAGAAACCAGGAGAAGTAACTTAACGAGTTACCTATTACCTGGGGTGTTGGGGGAAAGGGGGATGAGAAGAGAAGAGAAGATGGAGAGAGTGAGAGAGGGAAGGGGAAGGGGGGAACGCGGCAGATCGGACTGGGGAGATTTTGGCAGTTGGCTTGAGTTGACGCGGTTTAAGGTGGAATCAGGCGGAAGTCGCTACGTTCTGGTTGGAGCTCTCGTTCTTCTGATTCTACAGATTCTGGTCTAGTCTTCGCCATTTCCTGTCATGTCCATTCCCATGAACTCCTTTCCCTCCCCCTCCCTATGCAAACCGATCCATTGAAAGGGGCACATCCAATGACCGTGCGGGTCCCCCCTAAATCCCCCTAAACCAGTAGACCCAAAACAGCCAAAACAGCAACAGCCAGCCCTCTCCGGGGACCCTTAGCCTTTCGCTCCCCAAAGTACTTGCATCAGCTCGGGCCAAAGGATTCTTGACTTCTGATGGAATCGCGGCAAAGAAACAAAAGGGCAAAAAAAAAAAGAAAAAAAAAGGAAAAATCAAAAAACTCGTCAAAAGTGCAACGCTAACCCTCGACTCTCCCGGGCACAATTCCGGCGAAACACAGCGCTCCGTGCGCCTCTGCACGTGCGATCTATCCTGACACATTAAATGGTTTGTATCCTTTTTCAAGCTTATAGCAACATAGGACGACTATCAGTAGCTGAGGTGAACCGGGAATTCCAAGGTTTGTGATCTGGGGCTCTCGAGGGGAATTTCCAGCCGGTTCCATGGATAAACGATAAAACAACCCCTCCATGCTCCATAAGGTCCCGTTACAGACTGCAACCTTGCTGGCTCCCGGTGAGGTGGACCCGGGATAAGAACACAGCAGCTTCAGCCCGGACTACCCCAGAACCCCTGCGATCCCCTGCGATCCCCTGTGATATCTAGATCTCTAGGCCTTGGCTATGAGGCTGAAGGCTGTACTCCCGGTACATCTCTGATCGTCTGTTGACCCTTCATCGAATCAGATCTGCTCTAGCGCCATCTGGGCTGATTTCGGGAAAGCGCAGGATATTTCTTACCCCCCTGTTCAAGTTAGAGTGGTCTCGGATGTACCAGGACGTAGATGGTGTCGGGGACTTCTCTGCGGTGGCTGGTTCCTGGTCCCTTGTGGGCTCCGGAAGCGGCGGCTCGAGCACTTATCTCGTATAGAAGCGAGGTTGATTTACCCGGTATCATGAAATCTTGTCACTATCATTGATAAAGTACAAAGCTCGGAATTCTTCAGTATGCCTTATCACCACCAACCACGACTCCACTGCGATCTGCAATTTTCTCCTCCCGCGCGGATCGACACTTCCCATAACAGAACCGGTCCAAGCGCAGAGTACATCTTCAACACGGGAAGGAATCACTGCCAACCTTCGGGCTTTGTTTTTTTTTTTCTTTTACAATGGCGCCGTTGACAAATCCCGTCTATCTGCTCCACCTGGGCAGTCTCTAGGAGCTTGAGATGGTTTACTTCAGGAACTTGGCAAACGGTTAACCTGGCGGCGCCACATGGGGCATGATGGCAGCCCCCCAGGAATGTCAAACTGGAGCCTAATCCTGCAAAAGCGATGCCGAGTTGACGCAATGAGGGGTTTCAAAGAACTTCGCGATCGTGCCGCATTGGTCTACTCCAATAGGCTTCGAGTCAACAGGCAAAAACGTTCATGGCTAGCGCAAAAGGTTTCCGGTTCACGGCCACTTTTGTCAGGCTGCGTCTCCACCAGGTCCCAAGCAGGTTTGATCCGGCCGAATGCCGGAAACTGCTCTATCTCCGAGGCAAAACACTACAAGTACAGTCTTGCGGGCCAATAGAGCACTTGATGCCTTTTATCCGGGGAAGCTGTGGGCCAATCATGGCAATTGTCTCGTGCGCTACGGCGAGTTGCTCCACCAAAAGTCAATTCAGAACGGCTTCGCCCATGGATTGCCCTATGCATATTGCAAAGTGCATAGTAGCTACACAAGAAACATACTGATCCGGCTGCTAGCGCTCGAAGGTTTGCTCCCCGAGCGCTAGTCGAACACGCCCTCTGTACGGTGGAGAGCTTGTTTCCATCCAACGGCTCGTGATTAGTCTGAGCTTCCATCTATTTGAAATTAGAAACAGAGATGTCCACACTGTCATATGATTATCCACTTGTTCCACAAACCAGCTCCCATACCATCCTTCCAAGCTTGGCCCCACCTCAACTTCCTTGAGCAGATGGTCCCACCGGACTCGGAGCTTCTGGAGGATTCTTCAAGTAACAACAGTAGTGATGGCAACTATTCTCCGGTCCCACAATGAGGTACCAGGATTCCAGTTCCTGCAAGGATACATCTTTGTGAGGTTTTCCTGCATGATCCGTGACTCCTCCATCTGCGCCGGTTAGGGTAACCAGATGCCAGTAGAGAAATGATTCGAGGACCAATGCTGTTGCACGGACCCTGCGAGTAGGTATTGTATAATTGGCGACCGGGAATCACTCCTTGCAAGACATGGTACACATAGCTCGGAGGGATGGATTCGAGATCCTGAGCGAAAAATGTACTTTCAAACGGTTCATAATGGTACAGGTATTACGGCAGGAAGGTTTCTGATAAAAGCTTGGAAGTGGATTGGCTATTGGTCGGTTTGAGGAAACCACGATCATGCTTTCTTGACTTGAAAGCCGGTTATACACAACTTTGAACGTCCAGACCCTTGGGCGCACTGCATGCATAACACTGCCTAGGTGGATCGGTCTGTCACATGGTGCCTGGTCTGCCTGCAGTAATCAACATCTCACCGCAGCCCAAGGCTTCTAAAGCAGACTCAATACCGCCCCATTGCAAACCTCAGGTTTAGGCACATAAAGTGATGGCGCCACTTGGGATCCTCTTCCTTATACGAAGGTTGTGATCAAGGCCACGAGTGACAGGCCTAAACTCATGCTGCACAAATGCTAGTAGATATTCTGCTGATCAGAAATTGTCATCCTCGTTATCTTCAGAACCCCCATCCTTCCAATTTTCGCCCTCGCCGTCTTGGTCAAGACCCTCGAAGGCCATGAATTTCTCATTTTTAGCTTCGGTCTCATCCTCGACAAGGAGGCCATCTTGGACCTCACAGTGGGCAAGCTGGCACTCGCGACCGACACGGGCATTGCGACCGATGATGCACCCAGTAAGCGTGGAGCGAGGACCGATGACAGCTCCATCCATGACCACGCACCTAGTGAGACGAGCGCCGGAGGAGATATGAGCATTGGCCCCGATGACGGTCTCCTTGATCACAGCGAACTGCTCGACCGTAACATTCCTGGGGGATGAGTGTTAGCCCGATGGAAGCTATGCAGATTCAAGAGACGTACTGGTCAAGTAAGCAATCGCTTGCTGTAACAGTGCACCGTTGGGCCACACCGTCGGGGTTAGCGACCTTCTGATTGTGCGCGAATGGTGAATGTTGGCGACCGACGTCTTCAATGGACTCGAGCTTAGCTAGTCGGAGAGATGTAGATAATAGCACAGCAGAGCTATCGACCCGTCGAACATATGGTGCGGCACTCTTTTGCACATAGGCGAGTATTGGCGGAACTTCGGTAGACTGGCTGTTCGTACCGGGCCCGGCCTTGGTTGTGCTCATGTCTTGAAGATCAATCTCATCCTCGAGAGATTCACCATCTAAGCTTGCGCTCTCGTCCAGTTTGCTACTGTCCAGCTTGCTGCTCTCCTGGTGCAGAATCTTATCTATTCCGAGCTTTTCTCCTAAGCCTTTTTGCCATCCTGCCTTGGCCCAATAGCCAACCAGATCCTCACTAATCGAATCGAATCGTTCTTCCTTCGCTAACAAGTCTTTGACCCAGTAAGGGAAGACGTATAGGTGTGCGTCGCGGAAAGTCGTGAGAAGTTTTACTCGCGCATTAGCCTCCATCAGTGAGTGGCGCACGAGGAAGCTGCCCTTATCTGCCTCAATCTGTTCCCTAATAGTGCTCATAGGAGCCGACATTACAAGCTTGGAAAGGCCATATCGAAGCGCCAACGGGCCATCCACTTGGTGCGATACCGCCGGTGCCTCGTCTTGCTCGAGAGGAGCCGTGGCTACGAAGTCGTAGCTTCACCCTGGGTTTGATAGAAGACGCAAACACCGCCCCGGCCACCTGCATCACCATTGGTAGTAGAGGAGCCGCGGGCATTACGCACTTCCCGGATTGTGCTTCGAGATACCATCCATGCCTCTAGTAAAGATTCGCCGGGGATTTCGCAGACCAGGTCACAAGGTAGGAGGAGGAAGTCGGTCTTAATTTGGGACTGCACTTCCGGCTGGCGCAGCAATTCGGCCGTTCCCATTTCTGAGTTACCCGCGGCGATGACGGTTGGGGTGGGAAGCGCTGTGAGGTATGGATTTTGCTGCAGAGCAGCCCGAATAGAAGCGAGGGCGGATGGAGGGGTAATGAGAGTGACATCTGTGGGCTTACATTAGTATACATAAAACAATAGATCAATTCTCTCCATACCATGAATCCCAGATCGCCTGAGCCAGTCTAGCATGTAGAAGATCATCGGCCGATTTGCGACAGGCAAAAGGCATTTGGGAATATTGCCGGAGCTCGTAAAGGTGTTGAGAGAAACACCGGGTCCACAGAGGACAATGGCCTGAAAGCCCGTCGACGGCGGTACGGGCGGCATGATAGCAAAGGTGGAAAACGAAGATCCGAAGCCTTTCTTTCGATCGCGGGGTTTGAATATAGAATGACTCCCACTTTTTTGAGCCTTTCGTCACGTGTCGATAGTGGGTCGATCACCGCGTAAATAAGTCATTTAGTTACCGCGGCACCCCAGCCACTCGATTTGTCCGAGGACAACAAGGGCTCCTCCCCCATCTTTCCGCTTTTTCTCTCTCCCCACTTCCTTTCTGCAAAAGCGTGAAATGTGATTTGGGCCTGCGCGATTGATTCTAATGCGCGTTCTCTAGATCTCATTTCACAATGTCTTACCCCCAGGATCGTCGCCGTCGTGGTGGAGCCGGCACGGGCTTCAGCTCCTCCGGTCAGCGAACTGCTCTGGGCTATTACATCCCCTTGGCGGTCACCGTCGGTATCGCAGTTGTGAGTGTGGCCGCATGGATCTGGAGCGAACGACACGAAGGTGACGATGACGACGAACGCCCCCATGACGGCGGAAACTACTATCCTCCGCCCGATACTTCCAGCGCTGGGTACCCCCCTCCAGCCTACGGCGCATCAGACTTTGCGCGAGCCCCCGACGCTGAGGGGATTCCAGGCGATACTACATACGATCCTAGCTTCATGGCCCGCATGCAGGGCGCGTTGCGCCGCACTCCGAGTCCCCAGCAGCTTTTCGACGGCGCGAGCCGAAGGGTTGTCGCAGGTGTCACTGCTGCCGGTCAGTTTGTCGGCGGTGCGCTCACATCAATTCGAGAAGAAAACCGCGGCGACTTTGAAGACCACTCGAGATGGTCTGAAGAGGCTCAATCCAGGGCACGTGAGAGAAGTCAGCAAGACTCTGTCCCCTCAATGAGTGGTGCGCTGCCAAGTCGTGGCCCTGGTCCGCAGTCATATGACAAGAAGAAGAAGACGGTGGCAATCGTTGTCTCTTCACTTATATCCTCCGACTCCGACGAATACATCACAGAGCATGCCGTGAGTTACTTGGCCCTAATATGTTTTTCTGGTCTGTATACTGATGACTTTTAGTCCATCCTGTCTCACCTCCCAGAACATGTAGACCTGGAAACATGTCGGATCTTCGTCTTGATTTACACGCCTGGTCTTAAACACGCTATTGGTCAGAGCAGCATGTCTCGCCCAGCACAGTCAATTGCTTCATCCTACTCCAATATCGCACCCGAGGACGCAACTTCTTCCGGTGAATTGGTGGGTGGTGACCTGACCCAGGCAGAGCCTCGCCCAGACGACGAATTCGAAGGCACCAGCCGCTTCTTCAAAACCCTCTACACCCAGGCGCAAGCTCTGGTTGAGAAGGAGAGCATGATCATGCCCTTCAATTCTGCCGGCGGCTATGTCCACCTTGTGCGTCACCTGTCACCGGACCTGGTCTATGTTCAGGAATCTTTGACTGGAAACGAGGGAGATGCTGTTCAGCACATCGCAGGCTGGGTTCGCCAGGTGATTGTCGTCGTCGGGGACGAGGGTGGCCGTGGTGGACTCATTGACAGTGACGACGAATCAGCTCTTGCCGACAAGGGCGAGAAATGGTGGCAAAAAGAAGGCACAACAGGCATCGGTAAACGTATCGACGTTGTTGATGTCCTTCGCGTCGGTGATGATTGGCGCCGCCGAGTCAGCGGTCATGATTAGTCGACTATTTGGCACGCTTGTTTCACGATGTTAATGTTGATATTTGATAATTTCTTGCCTGTCCATACCTGTACTGCCTGTCTTTTCCCCCTCCCCGGTTCCGTGTTACGACTTCTATCTTCGATTCCCCTATTTCCTTCATGGCTCGTCAATTTTTCCTGTGCAGGTTTAATATATCCCCAACATGTAGAGCATATCTGCTTGAACTAGCCTGGGTGGCACCGAACCCTAGCTTGAGGATATTCACAGCGCAACTCTCGCTCTCTACTTCTATAGAGCAAATTGTTTAATGAAATCATAAATGCACCGTCTCTCACCACCTCTAGCTGCTTGTTAGGCTGTACTCTAGACCAAAAATAGATCTTGGTTCTATACATCCCATTTGATTATTCGTAGATATTACAAGTAGTACAGGCGTGATTTTTCGGATATGTCTATATCCAATAGGTAACACTCGTTCTCATAGCCTAGAAAACTTCCATACTAAGAGGCAGAGCGCAAGCATACTACTAAACCCCTTGATCTCCGACCGAAACACACTGGGGCGTCATTGACTGGTTATTTGTCACACATTCCTGCTTTTGTATAAGCCCCGAAACGCTCGCGACTTGCGGCTATGCAAGACAGGCCACTTCATCTCTGCCATATTCCACGTGATTCACCCCTTTAGTGCTATGTTACTCACATTTGACGAGCACTACTGATATATCGCAGGGGCGTGCTTTTCGGAATATGCGTTGTCGATTGTCCAGCGAGAGCTTGCTCATATTGCAAGCTCAGGAGCTGAGGTTCAACGTCAACTCCATTATTTTGACGAATCCCAGTCGATTGATGAATATGAGAGTCTTCTGAAAAAAGTGAACATGGTACTACCGATTTTGTCTCATGACCCACGCGTGACAGGCGCTTCAGACCCTGTTATGTGGCATACCGACTTACATCTGGGAGATATATTTGTAACACCAAATGAGCCTAGTTTTATTGAAGGGATTATCGATTGGCAATCGTCTCAGATCTGTCCTTTATTCATACAAGCTCGATTCCCCGAGTTTCTTACGCCACCCAAGGACTACACTTTTGGCCCCGACTTACCCAGCTTACCGGACGGTTTCGACGACCTTGGTTCCGAGAAAAAGGAACAGGCTATCAACGAGAGGGAGTTGGCTTCGAGGTCAAAATATTACGAGATGTCCAACCTTGCACATAACCTGCGCGTTTACAATGCTATGAAACTTGACTCCAGGTTGTGGGAGCCCTTCACTTACTGTCAGCTATTCTCCCAGGGTAGCTTGGTTCCCCTGCGCCATTGCTTGATTCGTTTATCCCAGGACTGGTCTTTACTGGGGCTCCCAGGAAGCTGCCCATTTCTGATATCAGAAATTGAACTTCAAAAGCACAATGAACAAAAATCACAATATGAGGACAGGCTTTATCTGAGTGATCTCGTGAAGAACCAGCTTTTCACCGATGATGCTGGCTGGGTTCCAAATGACCGATGGGAAGCGACAGAAAGGGCAAACGGGGAACTATACAATATGTATATCGAAACAATGAGCGAAGAGCTCACGCCTCAAGCAGCCGCGAAGGACTGGCCATTTCCACCATTACAGGCCTGATCTAGGTTCAAAGATTTTTCTTCGCTTGTTCAATTAATTCCGACATGACACGCCTGCCTTCTTCTGGTCTTTCTTTGTCTATAGCTTTCCGATTGATTTGTGCCGTTGCAAGATTTCCATGGGGGTTGTTCTTTAGCCAGTCTTTGAGGCCCTCGCTCTGTGCCTGACTATTGACTATTGACTTGAAGGTACACATTATAGTAATCTGGCTTGTCTTTGATTTCTTCGCCCACGTCAATACGACACTGATATTCTGCACCGTTCTTAGGATTTCGTGATGGTAGAAGTCGACTACCAGGGGTTGCTTCTTTGAAAAGCTTTGCCACTTGTTTCGGGTCATTGATAATCCTGTCGCCAAATTTTTTGAGAGCTCCGGACATTTTTGCAAAGGTATTCAAATATCTAAGTGCAAGATAATAGGTTAGCAGAATATCTTGGGTCAAGTTCTCCAGCGTGTATGTCGCAATCACTCTTCCCAGCAATTTAAGAAGAAAGCCTGGGAGATTTGCTCAGCCTTAAATACCACCGAAGTGGAAAGAACTATTGATAATACATACTGCCTAAGCGCCGCCCAGGGTCGCGAAGTCCCCAGTTTGTCAGTCTTGTTTCAGAGCGTAAGCTGGTTGGCCTTAACATGAGGACGACGTAATCATCTGGCTGAAGTGAGTCAGCGTTCACCGGTCAGCCTTGCCTCACTCAAAGACCTTGCCCAACACCTGCTGAGCAGTATTAATACCTCAATCCAATCAATTCATGGCTTTAGCCGCGGTACGAGGGGCGGGTACGCCAGCATGAAACTCCTCGCGTGGTTCTGGCTTGTTTGAGGGTCTAGGGTTAATGATATGCGGTATGTAACCGCCAGTCCCTTTTACCGCCGCGCGAAAATGCAGGGGGGCAAAGATATTGCAACATAGAGATATAGGACGAATGGAAAAGTGGAAAACGAACGGCGAGGAAGGACTATTGAGTTGGTAGGAGCATTGAGGGGAAGAGGTCGCGCTCCCCGCCTTCCCTAAACATGTCGTATCTTGTCCAGTGCCTTCCCTTCTTTGCCTTCTTTTGGGGCAAAATGAACTGGTGTTAAACGACTCGGAGTCCTTGAATTGCTGGACTCAATTCGCAGCAACTTTAGGAACACTTTATCTCACCTGCTAGCTTTCCGCTCCCAAATACGTAGCGGCGACAGGTGTATACAATGAGAAACACATGTGTTGAAAATTCCTCATCTCGGAATGCAGCAGTATCTCCTTCGCCAGACAGGGTATCCCTAGGATGCAGACGTAATTAATATAGGAATCGGATCCCCGTTACCCCCACGTATTCGGCGAACTAAATCAGCATTATCTGTAACCGCTGTATTGTGCCTTCTCAGGGTTCTCATACGAGGCATCATGTTTCGCTTTCTGAGCCTGACAGTAGTTAGCAGCGTGACTTTGAGGTGCGATTGGCTGCCAAAGACCCTTTATTGGTACTGTACTGGTCACGCCGAAACGTAAGTCATGCGCCGGTGCATGGCAGAATTCCAAAGCCTCCCACTATCGAGTCACCGTGCACTGTTCATTATTTTTCGGGGTGGAGAAAAGAGATTGGAAGTCAAAAAACACGGGCACAGTGAAAAATGAGGCTGAAAAAGAGGCCAATCAAAAATTAGGTTGGAAGATAAACAGAACTGTGGGGTAAAGCGCTCATTTGGGTATGGACTGAGCATCGACTGGGTGCTCAATAGATGCCTCTAATGAGTATCTGAGTAATCAGTGATGGCTCACCTGGGCAGTGAGTCTGAGTCCCGGACTGAAATTTACTTAGTGAGCCTGACTCTGAGCGCCCTCATAAAAGCGGCGGAGACTCAAAAAGGAAAGCCCCACCTAGCATAGGAAAAATGTTACGTATAGTGGCCTAGTTATGTAGAATATATAACTGCCTCAGGCCACGATATACTAGACCCGATGCAGACGGCCTGTCACGTGAATAGCCTCGCGCCGGGTCCTTGGCATCATACACCACCTCACGACGACGTTGGCTGCGCTACCCCGGACTCCCTTTCCACCCCCCAACAGTCTTGTTGGATGGCCGGCTTCGCTCTCTTCCGCTAGCCGCCTCCGACCTTTTTTTTCTTCGACCATCTCGTCTCTTTGCCTTCACGTTGGTGACCGACCGACCCGATCTCCATATGTCTCGCGCATCGGATCATCCCATTCTTTTTCGGTCATCAGCTTTTATCCAGCATCCTTGAATCGGCTTCCCGATAACTGACATCCATACAATCCTCACATTACATATCGTCGCGTCGCCAGCGCGGACAACATGGCAACGGCTATCTCTAAACCATCTTCCCACGCGGCGAAAATGAAGCGGCCGCCCCCGCCTTTATCCCAACCTGGGGTTAACGGGGTCAAACCTCCCCAAGCTTCCTCGTCCCCACCCCACGCGAACAAACATCTTCCTGGAAGCACTCCCGCTAGCTCGAGTCCTCACTTGGTCAATGGTGTTCTAAGCGCAGTGAACGCACCAAAGGGTCCCCTGAATCGAACTCGCAATCAGTCGCAAAGGCCCGGCGATCATTCCGCGCGTCCCAATCGCCCGGTGACCCGAACTTCTTTGACAGGAAACGATAGCCGGTCCTCTAAAAAGGGCTCGGAGCCATATGGTGAGTTAATCTCTGACTTCATTGTCCTACAATGCCTTCCTAGATATGTCCAAGCTAACCAGTTGCCCGCTCTACTTGTCACAGTGAAAACCACCGCGTACATCTTGAAGAAGTACGCGAAGAGTCCACCATCCCTCATCTTACATCTACATCCTACCCACTTCCGGTTCGATCAGCAAGATGGTAGCTTTCCGTACAATTCGGAAATGAAGCTTATCATTGAGCACCTACGCGCTGGAACTATTCCACATGAACTGATTGAGGAGCTTCTGCGTGGCAACGTTCCATTTTACGAAGGTAAATGAGTGTGGAATCTATCTGAACTATCACAACCACAAAATAATAAACTAACACATATCCCCAGGCTGCCTCATAGTTCGTGTCATCGATCATAAGTCCGTATCAGCGCAGACTAGAAAGACGACCGCATCTTCGTCGACGGAGAGCAACACTCCCTTTTCAGTACATAACTACAACGAGCATATCGTACCCTCCGCGTTTGTCCCATATCCGAAACAGAACCAGCTCACCGATATCCACAATCCCAAGTCCAATGACCCGCAAGTTGCCGCCCAAGAACAAGGTGACAAACCGGCCAACGCTGAGAGCTCGGATAACCAGACCCAAGAAAATGGCGCGGAGCAGAAATCTTTGGCTCCTAAACCTCGAGTTTTCACCACCGTCCTCCACCCCACTGCACGAGTATTACAGGCAGAATTGACTCTACTTGTCACAACACCCGATCCCAAAGCCGCCGCTTCCATACAATCGACCCTCGCTCAGTCATCGGTTGTACCTCAATCACCAGCGCCCGGTGCTGCTCAGACAGATACTGGGCATAGAGCAAAAAGACAAAAGACGTTAGTTGATCCTAAGGACCTTCCCGAGTGTGAGTCCTTGATTGTCCGTGCCCTATCGGGTCCTCTATACTTAGAGCCCACGGAATCTTTTGCGGCCACTCAAGATCTCCTGAAGTTCATGACACACCCGCTGCACAATAACCCACCGCCATCTCCTAAACGCCGCAAGAGAACTGTCGCAGAGCTTGCTGCCGACGAAGCTCTTGCAGCCGCCGAGCAGCGGTTCATGCTTCTCATGGACGAGCGCCTGGAGCCAACAGCATCTGGTGTTTCTGGTGGTGCTAAGGCCGCAGCGGTGGATGATGCAGTAGGCGTGGCTCCATTTGAGCCACGTTTCTCTCGCTTCAAAACCTTGGAGGCGATCCGAATGCAGCACGAAGAGAAAGCTAAACGGGAGCACGAAGTGAAGATGAAGCAGGAGCTCGCCAAGAGACAGCAGCAGGAACAAGAGCGAGAGCGACGTCGCGCCATTGAGCAGCGTCAGGCCGAGGAGCATGCTAAAGATGAAGCCCGACGACAGCAAATTGCCGCGCAGCAGGCTCAAGCCCAAATTGCCGCTCAACAGAATCGTCACGTTATGGCTCAAACCAATGGCGTCAGCCAAGGCCAACAGTCGTCTCCTATCGTGCGCAACCATACACCGCATGCTACCTCTTCACCTGTGGTGGGATCCAACATGGGGCCGCAAACAGTGCCTATGAGTATCAGTGCCTCCCAGCAGTCGGGCAGTCCCCCTCGCCCTCCGTCTTCTTTGCAACATGCGCATCCGAATATGATGAGTCACCCGATGGCACCTTCGCGCAGCCAACAAGGGCCTAGTCGGAACGGGACTCCTCAGATGACACAGGGAACACCGGCCATGTCCCACGCGACCCCTATCATGCGCAACGTGACACCCACTCAAAGGATGGGCCATGGTAGTCCGAACCATTCTACGATGGCTCAGACCCCCATGATGAACCCAGCCATTGCAAATACTCCACAGATGAACAACGGCATGGGCCTCACTCCACAACAGCAAATGATAATCCAGCAGCGACAGCAGCAGATCTTGGCCGCCCAGCAGCAGCAGCAGCAGCAGCAGCAGCAACAACAACAGCAGCAACAACAGCAGGGTCACATGAGTCAAAATCAATTCACCCCACAGCAGCTTGCGCAGATGCAAGCTAGTGCTCATGCTCAGCAAAATATTCAGTCACACCAACAGCAGCAGCTTCTGCAAGCTCAACAGCAAAACCACCCGAATATGCAGAAGATGCCCCAGCATACCCAGCAAGCATACCAAGCACAGCTCATGCGGGCTCAATTTGCTCAAATGCAAATGGTGAAGCAACAAAATGGAATGCCGCAGGGTCAGCCGAACCAAGGTAGCCCGCAGCAACAGCAGATGACCCCACAGCAGCAACAGCAGATGATGATGGCAGCTCAGGCGAACGGTGGCCAAATGGCAAACATGCGAGATAATGTGCAACAACAGATGGCCCAGCGGTACAATCGTCTCTATCAGCAACGCCTGCTTCACTTGCGACATGAGATGTCTCAGCGTTATATGAATCAGTACGGTCCACCCACTCAGTACCCACCCCAGATTGCTCAACAGTATGGTGCTGGCTTGGAGAAACTTGCAAAGACATGGGTGCACGATCTGATGCGACGTGATCGAGACAACACAAACCCCCCGCGGACCTCTCAGCAGGCGAATGCCATGCATGCTCAGCAGATGCAGCAGAACATGATGCACAACGGCATGGGCAACGGATAGTTCGATCATGACTGCAGCTTACCCGGCCTTTTGATGTTGCCTGGGTCATGGCGAGATTTCCATTCAATCTCTAGCGCTTAAAAAAAAAAAAACCAACGATTTATGCACCCTGCGTGGGCAAGGTCCACGTAGGGCTCCGATTTTCACGAAGTACTTTACTCTTTTCTTCCTCGATCTTGAGCTCGATTACTTGCGATTTTGATTTTCATTCTACGCTCGGATTGTACAGGAACCAGACATTGCGGATATCTTGGAGCTGGCGTTCTCACATCTTATCCTTATTTGATTTCTTTTTTTCTATTTTTCTATTTTTCTATTTCCCCCCCCTCTTTTCTTTCTTTCTTTCTTTCTTTTTCTTTCGTTTTTCTCCATATGAGTTACCCATGTTTCTGAAGCTTACGTCTTTTCAGCTAGTTCTGCGTTGTACTATGTGGGAGGGGTTTCTTTATTGGTGGGGCTACGGATTCGATTTGATACCATTTTTGTACAGGAGTTTTATCATGGTTTCAGAGAATGGTCCCTGGCAGGGACTGGAAATACTGCAGTTTGCCAAAAAATTCATTTTATTCAATTGAAATTCTTAGGTTTCCGGTAGTCTTGTCCAAGCAGGAGGGTACGTTACGTGAGGACTGGAGTACAGTTTCGAAGCTCTAGCGATGGCTGTATGCAATTCTCAAACGCGCATCACATTTTGAGTGACTGTTCGGATGCCGTGAGATGGGGCCCACAGAAGAACAGGTGTTTCACCCGGGGAGTCGAGAAGAGGTTTCACCAGCTTCGACTAAGAGTCGAGTGGACCAGCTACGGGCCATTTGGACTAGCATCTACTAACAGACTCCAAACTCTAGACTGAAGCTTCCTGTAATAAAAGACTTGGCCCTGGCGAGCGGCGCAACTCATCGTGCGGGAGACACTTCGAAACCTCGGTCGACTTTCACTCAGACTGTTGAGCTTGATATATTTTGATTGGTGCATCACGGGACATGTCACGCCAATTAGATGTCATCATAGTGAAAGGACCTACGACGTAAAATGTTACTACGGGAGAGTACATCTCTCTGCCCCAGAGGATCTGCCTGCATAACGACCGATCAGGGGGTGTCGAGGAGGCGACGTTCTAGGGAACGCAGAAGCGGATTTATATGTGGGGGGAAAAAAATTCGAGGCAAACAGGGCAAATGCACCAAACATTACAACTACCGCCCGTTGCCTGATTTGGTTTAGTACTCTATAGACGATCCGGGAGATTCGAATTAATCTAAATCTTGCGAAATTCGAACACGTTGCGCAGATGCTATGAGTATGCGCTGGTGAGCTAACAGTCGAAGGGACTCTCCTGGTCCAAATAGGACGGACTGCATATCTTCACCGCTGGATCGTGGAGCAGAACCCGGGTGAACATGACATCTCGGGGTTGTGCTAGTTAACTACCTCGGTGTGCCCTTTCAGCTACTTCTACAGCTACTTCTTCAGCTACTCCATCAGCTACTTCTTCAGCTACCCTCCTTTGGCTATTTTCAGGGTGTACTAAATCCGGTTATCCAAAGAAATTATATAAGGGTGGACCTTGGAGCCCGCGCAACTGGACCCCGAGGAACGTGCTATGCAACGTACTTCTCCTGCACGGCTCCAAAAGCAGGGTGCGACGTTGTCAACGCAGACCGACTCAACCAGCGGCCCTTGAGTATCACATTCCAATGCATAACGCCCAATGCACCCATCAACTCAACGCGTGGCGGCGTAGCTCGCAGCACGATGACAGTGGCATCGCTGCAGGAGCCTAGGATCTTCCCCAAGCACGGTATCTCAAATATTTCAGACACAGGACTTACCCGCTTCCCCAACGCGAACGATGGATCTTCCCTGCAGTCTTTGCAGACCATGTCGGTCTCCCAAGTCCGACTTGCTGGACGCACAGACATGCCAGCGCGACCAACCTAGGAACCTTTCGGGGGGGCACTTTCAACTGGCTGTGGCCTTTTGCCGAGGAATGTTGGGATGGGGGGGGAAGGGACCCGAACCCGAAGTGCGAGTCTTGCATATTCCATCTTGCATGCTGAGCGTGCGAACTCCGGTGGCTTCGGAAAAAGAAAGTGAAAAACAAGAAGAAGAAGAAGAAGAAGAAGAAGAAGAAGAAGAAGAAACTATTTTTCAGACGAAGAGCCGGAGCACACTAGGCTTCAAGATGACCATGATGTGAAGAGGTTCAAATGCCCCCCAAGTGCAGACCGGCTATGAGGGGTTTCTTCAAACTATATATATGACTGATGAATAGGACGCGTCGCTTACTGAGCCAACCAGCCACGCCGGAAAAGAAAACTTCCAGTGCAGCGCAAGTTCCGTTGCAGGCATCCTGCGGCAAAATACTGCCGGTGACCTTGGACATTCGTTGATCGTAGGCCAACTTGTGGAAACATTCGGGACGAAAAAGTACCTCGTCCTGTGCGCGTACTACGGCATAGGAACCATTCAAGATCCAGGACCAGGCCGTTGTAATCATACGGTATCTATTCTCGAGCCGCCAATTTCGAATGTAACGTTTGTATATTGTGGATCACTAGTCGATTATTTGAAATAGCCTTGTGACCAGCAAATAGAAAGGCCTGACAGGACATTCCAAAGCTCGTACTTTTTTTTTTGTTCCAAAGAATATGTGATTTTCCTCCGCCACTCTATCCGACCAGTTCGAGGTCTTCTTTCCGGACCACAGAACTCGGCTCATGCATGGGTAATCAGGAGAAAAAAAAGCCCGCAAGGAACAAAGTACTGGATGATTTCCGTCATCGCATTCCTCGATCAACAGCCGAGAGCCTTTCGTCAGGCGTGCTCTCGCAGGCGAAAATCCCTTTTGAGCATCGGAAGAACTCAAGCCGAGCCCCAAAGATTTGGGAATGGGAGAATGTAGCCGATCCCATAGGGTGGCAAAGAGGGGACTCAGACACGCGCGGCTCTTGCACCCGAGCGTTCGTTCTTAAGTACTTGGCGATGCAAGTAGCCTCTTTCAGTAGCACAGGACCTGGGAATCGTTTGCCGGCTCCCCCCCTGGTTTTTTTTTCTTTTTTTTTTTCTTTCTTTTTTTCTTTTTTTCTTTCGCCCGAGCCGATTTCCATATAATCAGTTCATGCGGACCGTATCCGAGACAGAGAAAAGAAGGCCCACTGGGCGTCTAACCTACTACATATCACGTCCCGGAGGGAAGTTGACATTAGCCGGGACTAAAGAGTAAAAATAGAAGAAAAAGAAAAGAAAAGAAACGAGACTGTCAAAAACTCGGATCAACTAAGGCTGAAACAGGAGACTACGAATAGGAGAAAAGCCCGTTGGAACTGGAATGTGGGGGGAGAGCACAGACAAATGGCGGTCATAGCAGAGCGAGCCTGTCAGAGCGAGCTGGGCCAGGGACAAATGGAGGTCGATCTGGAAAAGGCTCCCAATAGTAATCTGCTCCACAGCGAATGGGAACCGATAGATCGGATGGAGAGCTCTAGGAACCAGCCGCTGGGCGAGAGTTCGATTGGGGCGGCCGTTGTGATGTGTAACATCGAACCTTTCGCGGCATCCACGAACCGTGGAACTGGGCTGAAGAAGATTCAATGGTCCAGGAAGCGGGAACCGCCTATCGGGGGAGAATGGGCGACTTACTGCGAGGTCGGGTGCTGGTAAAGGGAGTCGCAGCACTCGAGGTCCTCTTCCTTTCCCTTGTAGTCGAGGATACGCTGGATAAGGTGGAACCTACACGCAAACACTAAACGCGGGAAAGTGGAGACCAAGTGGAGAGAAAGTGGGGATCGCGAACAAAGAATGATATCTCAGTTTTGTGAGGGTTTTTGATTAGGCCACAGAAGGATATTGGTGGTACATGGACAGAAGGAAAAACAAAAAAGACGTTGCTGATTGTACAGGGAGCCGATTTCCACCCCGATTAACTCGTCCAAGAGGTAATATGCAAACGCCGCAAACCAGTCCCACACCAAGCCCGTCCACAAATTATGCAAGAATAAGAGAATAAATAAAGAAGATAATCACAAAACGAGTCTCCGATTCTCCGGGAGACATGTACAACGCCGCGACGGCCGCGAGGCCGAGAAGTGCCGGTTTCAGAGCGCATCCTTCAAGGGGGGTATCAAAATTCCGGGCCTGGATGCTTTGTCTTTGATGTGGGTTTAGGTGGTTTTTTTTTTATGTATTATAGAGACGGTATCTTTTTTGGTTCTTGGGAGCCGGTCGTGTTCGGTGGAAATAGCTTTTGCGAGGGCCTCGAGCGCGCAGTCTATTCATCCCAGCCGTCGACGCTCAGATCCCCACAATCGATGTCGTCCAGTCGGGAGTTGGGGATGGGCCGTCCGTCGGCAGTCAATTGCCCCCGGAAGTCTGGATCATAATCGGGGCTCGTCTCGTCCAGTGTGGCCACATAGCGGTTGCGTCCGCCCCGCTTGCTGTGGGTCTTGGTATAATGGGCGTTGAGGTTGTCACTTCGAGAGAAGGCACGGTGGCAGCCGGGAACCCAGCAGACGTGCGGCTTCTCCTTCGAGTGGCTCTTCATGTGACGCTTGAGGTGTTCTTGGCGCTTAAACCGGCCTTTGCAGCCGGGTTCCTTGCACTTGAACTGGACTTGCTTGATGATGGAAGGCAGGTTCTCGAGGCTGAGATTGGAGCGAGTCAATTGCTTCTTGGATGCTTTGCGAGACACGGATCGGTGCCCGCGGAGGATGGTGTCCCGGTAAGGCGAGGTGGAGAAATCCTCGTGGTAATCATTGTGCCCGGACAGACGGCTCTGGGGGGGTTTCACTCCCCGAAGGAGTCCCCAGGGAGATGGAACGAACGGGAGTGGAGGGCGTGTTGGTCTTGAAAGATTGGAGGTGGGTCGGGAAGTCAGAGTAGGAAGAGGGAGGAGTCACAGGTGGGTTGAATGCCTGGGCTGGATTCATTGTCTGTGCAGTCATGGGCTCGGTCGGAGGCATCCAATGGACCATGTTCGACATGGAGACGGAATTTGACAGGCGATCGTTCTGGTTGAACATGGGACGCGACAAGCATGGGTTGGAGGCCGACTCCGGGAGATACGAGGCCTGTTGTGGACGGTAGTAGTTCCGTCCCATGGTGTTGTAGTGCGGCATCGACGCTTGATAAGGAAAGGTCGGCTGCTCGTAGGTCTTGGGGATGCTATCCGGAATCCAGAACTGCTCAACGTTCTCATCGTATCCGGGGAGGTACTCTGGCATCGGCATCTGATCGGGACGATCCATGGGGCCGCAAGGCATGCCCATGGCTTCGGGAGCCAGGTCGGACATCCTGAACGCGTTGCGGAGCGGCGTTGCAGAGGTCCGTCGTTCCATTGGCAAGCTGTGGTACTGGCCAGCTTCGTGCCAGCTGGGGGATGCCATGGAATTTTGGCTGTAAAGGCTGGTCGGGGTGGGCGTCGGTGATTCCAAAGGAGAGAAACTCGAAGTCATCGAGGGGCAGTCACTAGGGCCTAAAGAGTGGCAGTCGACTTCGACGGTCAGACGATCAGAGATCTGTTGGCCTTGAGGTCTCATATCTTCGGCCTCGGTCTTGAAGGAGACAGGGTCGACAATGCTTTCACCTACAGGGTGAGAATGTTTTAGCCGACTGGAAGCAGAACAAGGGCCCGACAGCACACAAAACAAAAGAAGGACGGTACAAAAGAAACGAAAGAACGACAGGACCCAAGATAATCACCGAAGGAATGTCGGGTGAGAATGAAGAGAAGCAAGTGGAAGGGACGGGGACAAACGACCAGAAATAAACAAATCGGCCCGGCATAGAACCGTGGGTGGGGAATTGAACTTACAGCTATACGCCATGATTCGGATTCGATCCAAACCGCGTCGCGTGCCTGGGAAACCCCTAAGCAAGGCCAAGAATGCAGACTATAGCCTTCGTTACCGCGGCAGAGGGCGCGTCTATCTGGATTCGGGCGAGATCGACTCGACAGAACCACGTCGCGACTCAGATGGCGAGCTGGGATCCGGCAGGAGAGCAGGCCCAGGGCTGGAAGAGTATCTGGGGCAACACGGGGGAACAGTCCAACAATTGCTGGGTGGAGTAGGCCGTAGTGAGACCTGGGCACCTTGATTGCAGACGATCCAATGGCTGTGGTGGGAGGGGTTGGGAGGGGAGGCGTCGGGTCTCAGATTCAATAGACAGGGGTGGAGGGGATGAACTTGGAGGGGAGGAGGGGGAGGTTATAAGGGTTGAAATAGGCAAGGAGAGGAGGAAACGCGATGTCTTGGGTTGATAGTTGGGGAACAACTAATGGTAAGTATGCTTCAATAGGTCTCATTTAAGAAGCTTGTCCTTCTGCTTCGTACGGGAATCACTTGGCTTGGGGGTTCCTTCTTTTTTTTTCTTTTTTTTTTCCCCTTTTGATTTCCTTCATTTCCTGATTCCGCATTGTTTTATTTTATTTATTTCTTTTTACAAAAGAACCAAGCATGAATAAATTCTAAATCCGCAATCTGCAGCAAATGAAAAAAAGCAAAATCGAAAAACAGGAAAAAATAGAAACCCGCGTAGCCTAAGCCAAGATTGGGGCGTGGATCGGCAATTGATGTGCCTCATCCCTAACATTTCCTAGCCTAATCTGGGATTTTTGCAGGGATTTTCCTGTGGCTGCAGATCAGGGATCTGGAATGTCACGGCTGTACCTGGTGCGTTCCGGGCAATGTGATGGAAGTCTAAATGACCAAATGGGCGCCATTGACATGCAGCTGCTCCACTGCGTGGACCCTCCCCAGACGTTCGATGGCTCTCTGGGTTAGTCATGTAGCTGATCCGATCCTTGGAAGGTTTGATGCGTTCGAGGTTTATAGTTCGGATCGACGCCCCACCGATCTTCCCTGTCTGGCTTGCTGGCTAAACCCGCTGAGACAGGGGAAATGATTCATTTGCTTGGAGGCGAGAACGGGGGAAGAATCTACATAGCGACCTGGCTTGGGTAAATGGCTATATCGATTTGTGGGTGGCGGTCTGATCTTCAGCGCGACACGTCAAACGTCGCTGCGGGTCTGTGCGAGGGCCAACGGGACCGACATCGCCCAAACGGACCCCGTGGCTGAACAACCGTCGCATTACGGATTCCAGTTCTCCATTCTTCCATTCCGCGTCTATAGATCCCGGCCAGTCATTTCACATCCATGACGTTCACTAATCGCTGGCCGAAGTGCCTGCCCTCGACTACCGACTTGCCCCATCTTTTCGCCTCGTCATTCTGCATCAGTGGAATGTGCAGCTGCAGGAAACTCGAGATACGCACGGGTTGCAAGCTTTAGTAGCTATCCCATCTCTAGTTTGCGCGAAAAAGGCTTCAGGCCCAGTTGTGGCCTGGTGAGTCAGACTGGGGCCTTCCAGATAAAGTCGCGTGCAGGGGCTTCAGGCCCATTGGGTCGAGCTATTTAGACCTGCATTGGATTTCAGGGGAAACTTCTGATCCATCACCGGTCAAGACGCCCCAAAGGACTAGAGCCTCAGGAACCATGATTAGAAACACATACCCTCTGGATCGGAGCATGTAGCGGATGGAACTTGAGCGTGCTGATTCGTGGCTCTTTCGCCGTGTCTTCGTAGTTTTCATGCATTCCAACCGTCTGCCTACGGAGGAGAATTGCGCCGCTGATCCGGTGGCGAGGACCTCTATGAAGACATGCAGGCGCAGGTGCTTTTGACGGCTGATCAAACCACTCGTTCCCCTACTCCCCCAGAATTTGCCGCCGCTCACACCCATGAAACAGACTTCGATCTGTCCACCACATTGCTGATTTTGCAATCCCGTGGGTCCCGGGTGAAACAAACACATCCCCACGGTGTTTAATTTCTCAAACTTTGAAACCACTAGCCCACTTGCTAGATCCAGAGCCGCTACTAGGCCTGTTCTGATCTCTCCATAGGTCATCGGCGCTTTGGGATTACGGCCGAATGGCTTATCCTCCGCTACGATCCGCTACGATCTTCCCCAAAATGAGCTACTATCATTCCCTAATGCGGAACCCATCCAGGTACCCGGGAAAAGCTGCATTGATATTCGTTTTGCCAATAGTCTGATTCTGGGCTCTTGCACCCCCTCCCCATCTGAGCCTCTTGCGTATTATCTCGGTCTAGAGCTGTAACGGTTGTCGATCTATGGCTTCCTTGAAGATCCCATTCCCAGGCCCCAGGCAGTTCCACTGATATGTACAGGTTTGATTTCACCTAAGACAGTGAATCTACGCTGGGAAGCTGAGTGCGAGTTAGCCACAATTGCTCGATGCTACATGCAAGTCTTGTGGCTGAAAATGGTTCCCCACCGACGGGGTAGCCGACATTATTCCCCATAAGACTATTCTAGGACCTAATGCACCCCCGAATGACTCCAATTCTTTAAACCCCGAATCCCCTTTCGAGCAAAATCTTGGATCAAACGACTCCCGTGTACTGACTATTCATTACATAGGAGAGACGCAACCTCAAAGCTGTTTGGTAGAGCTAATGGATTGTGATCTGTCTTTCCAGATAACAGCCTCAACATAAAGCCCATGGTTCGTAAGCTGTCTTACCCACAGATAAGAGCCGAGTTTGAGTTGAGAGCCATGGAGACTACCACCGCAAGGGTCGAGCACAAACCCCAGACTGTCTCGATTGCCCCTGTCCGCGCCTCTCAAGGGATGACTTGCCTTGATCGACACCCGCCCATCCTCTTCCAGATGCCCAGGCTCGCTCGAGCTCATCATCACGGGCCTCCAACGGCACCAATCCGTGTCTACCAAGATCCGATTTACTAACTTTGATGATCCGATCGCGGAGAATGTCCGTGAAATGTGGCCATCGTTCAGCGAGAGAGTCCTCCGAATCATGCAAACCCAGTTTACGCTTGCCCAGCCAGCCAATTGGTTGATGACCACTGTGGCGTAGTCCAGGCACTGGCACTTCACATTCCTTCCAATATCTGTGCTCAAGACCCCAGCGCCGCAGACTTTTTGCTCAGTCGCAGCACCCACTAGTCTCTTGTCATGGCTTTTTGGTTCTGGTATATTGTGCACAAACCCAGTAGCACAGACGCCATGCCCTTCAACATGGCCAGAAATATTCGGTCCTAGCAAGAGCCGTGCCCTAAGCTTCGATAGCTGATCGGGTTCGTTTTTCCTTTTTTTTTTCTCCTTTTCTTTACCAACACATTTATATCGCTCTCGTAGTGGAGGCATTGCCCGGCGCCTTTATTTCTAGCAGGATGGGTTGTTGGGGGTCAATTTTAGAGCTTTCCCAGATCCCTGTCCAGAAGCATTGTGGAAACCTCCGGGCATGCAGCCCAGATAATAATAGTACTATTGGGAAGAAGACTTGCGTGAATGCATGCCTGTAGGTACCAGGAAATCGGAGATCAGAAACGCACACCAGACGGGCGATCATTTTGTGGGGAAGCCCAGAATCTGGTTCATGCAGATACCCAATAGATTACTTTCAGCATGCCATTCGATATTGCAGCCTGTCGATATTCCACATTCTCCGGGAAGCAATGAGTAAAGCCCGCCTGCGCGAGGCTAAACTCGATCATCTACTGATGCTCTTGGGACATCATGGTCCATTGAATGCCACTTGTAGCTCTAATACTTTCTTGGGTTTGCCACTTTCTAGGCCTTGATTTCACTCATGTAAGCGCATACTTTATCGCGTTACGGCGAAATTTAGTGCTTGGCTGCCCATACGCGCTGTGGAAGTCCATCCAACCTGGGGGCGAGCAGTGATGATCACCCAATGAAGGAAGCCTCAATCTTAGAGGATTAATAAAGCAATTTTAATTGAAAGGTCCCCCAAATCAGTAGTGAAGAATTCCGGTCTCTGCTGCCATGTGCTAGGTGCATTTCCCGTAGTAACCAAGCTGTGAGAAACTCGATCCCCCGGGATGGAATACCGACCACTAGAAGACTGGCAGGTACTAGAAGCGCTGCACAGTACCCCAATAGTATCTTTCTGTACCATTGAATGTTCCTGAGCCCCCAACTCCCCCCCGGGTCTTCGATAGCCCCTTGTTCAGGAATCTGACCCCTTGCATATTTCGTTCTACTTGGTCTCCACCGGTTTTAAAAAGTCGGGTACGTGGCTTTTCAGACCTGATAAGGCTCTCAGGGAAAGCGAGATTCTAGTTCATCAGCTCTAGTTCATCAGTTCTATGGTTTACCCGACAGGTTGGACCCTAGATGTTGCCCCATTCACGTTGACATGCATTTGCACTGCATCGATCGCCTTGCATGCCCGCTCCGGCTCCTAGGTAACATCTCCAATAGTAAATCATGATTTCTCCTCAGGCCATCTCGGAACGTACATGCTCCTCTCTTATGATAATACACGCCTCTCGAATAACGTCGCGTGGGCTTATTATCTCCCTTTCGCAGTCGTGGAGCTCGAATCCAAATACCCATGTCAATAGCAACCGGCGCAACCCGTCCTCGTAAGGTTCCACGTTGGGGATACTCAAGGACAAAAGAATTGCATAGAAGCCCGAGCCTCCAACCTTATTTGCGTAATCCCAAGTCATAGCGCTGGTTAAGTTCATGCGCATGCCAGTCAACTCAATAGCGCAGCTCTGGAAGCGACTATGCATATCGCCCAATAGCAGAGATCCCAGCAGACTGAAACAGTCCCGTAAGCAAGATCCGCCTCGCCGCTACTGTCTAATTGCCGGCCTGAATCGACCGTGCAGCACATATGTCGGGCAGCCAGACAATGGGGTGGGGAGAGGGGAGAAGGGAGAGGGAAGAACTGACTCCCTGCGCAACACGTACCCCGGCAAAAACATGAATTGTCTTAGACAGTTGATTGAACAGCGATGCTCCCATCAGCGTGACAAAAACACGGTGACATCATCTCATCGTGCCCTTGCTCCAGCGCGGTCCCCACGGCCCTCTTTAGTCCACCGGCGTCGCGCTAGACGACACGGTGTCATAACATAAGGTCGTATTCTTGGGATTGGGCGGATAAGAACGGGTCGTATCCAATATATTGCCCACCGATGCAGTGGGGTAGGAATGTGAGAAGGGGGATTTCCTGTTGTCTGGGCTGCAATGTAATCCTTGAACGCGAATCACTCGGCCTGGAAGCCTTGGGGTCTGGAATTCGCGTGACTTGAGAGAATAAAGCTGTCTGAGCACGAGATCAGAGCCTTTGGGGAAAAAAGCGCATCAGCTGATACCCGGTAGGTGTTGGAAGCGCGCAAAGGTTCCCCCCAGTATGTCTGCCTATATCTGCCTGAGGATTACTTGTAGCGGGCTCCTAACCTCTCTGTGTACTCACGGTTTACCACTGATCCTAGTAGAAGTAAAGATGAAGACATGTCGAAATGCCTGCAGGATTGAAAGATTCCCAATGTTAGAGTAACCGGATTTTTTGCTTGATCGAATTTGCGGGGCACTGTAACTTTGACCCATTGGAAAGAAGCCATGGAACGCCCTATAAAAACAGCATAGAGCACCGCTTCCGAAGCACAATTCTCATCGGACCTCACAGTAAGCTGACCAGGCGTGCTTAGATGCAACTGTGTATCCCCCAAATTGCTAGAGGCCTTGAAGCACTGCAGCTATTCAACTTAGGGGGCATTAGTCCGAAGGTGGTCTTTCTTCCATTATTTTTGGCGATCAAAACTTGGATATCTACTAGTATCCGGCAACAGAGTTCTCGTGCACCGGCTCCTAGTCTTTGCTTCAGATGCAGAATTCCCCAACTAAGCTCAAGTTGTTAACATTGCCTGTTAATCTTGGAAATACAAAACAATGACACTTGCAAAGATTAATGCTTAGTACCACCGAATCTAGCCTTCCGGATATATACCATCGTGCAGCACGATGTCCGCAGAAGCGGATCTATAAACGCTCCTCGTGGCACACTTTCGAAGACTCCCAGCATAAGTCCAGATCAAAATGTGAAAACCAACAAGACTCGCACGCATAGCAATTTGGCTCGCAAATTTTAAAATGCATTTGGAAAGTCGGTCTCGAATCACCTCTTTATCATGGTATCTTCCATGAATACCAGTATCCGAAACCAACTCGGAAGCGCCCAATATCACGAAGCTAAACCGATCGCACAGGCAGCCTCTTCTAGGAACCCAGACAAAAGAGCTATCCTAGTTTATTCCAAGAGCGAACCACTTCAGCAGTGAGACCTTGTGCACCGCGTAGCCTAATAGAAATAGCATCCACCGCTGTTTCATCTCGTGGTCCAACCGTCGACGCTACTCAGATCTTCTATAACGGCCTGTGACAAGGGTCCAACGACAAGTGAGCCGGTCGATTTCCAATTCTTCCTGTCTGCAAAGGGTAGAGCGGACTCAAAGCATGGACATCCATCGATGCAAGCCAATTCTTTTTTTTTTTTGCGGACCTGTCCACGAGGCTACGTATGCAGATTTCCCTGCATAGCGCATTCGGTGGGCTTCCGATATCAAACCTGCTAAAATCCAAGGAGTTGGTATTCCCAATATCCAAGAGGAGATAATTTACGCAAATGATGAGAGCTGGATGCTTGGGCTGAGCGGCGTCGCCGGATCGATTCCTCGCCGCATCACCATAGCTTCCTGCGAGTTTTACATTTAGGGGAGAAAGAAGAGAAAAAGAACTATGAAATCAAGAAGTGGTTAGTGCCACGGGGAAATGCGTCAAGAAGGAGCACCCCTGCATGAAAATCGGGAAAAGAACCATGGTTATGGTCCAGTTGCATTACAAAGGCGTGGCGCTTGTGCTGATATATATAGTTCAAGTATATCCGGAGGTAGATTTGCTCGGAACTTTGGTTCGTGATCATAGAATGCCTACTACCTCACCGTTCAGAAATTGACAACCTACGAGACTGTCCTGGAGGTTGTGTCAAGGGAGGGTTTAATGGTTGTACAAAGGAAATCGGTCCTCCCTTTCCCATGACTACGCACCTGCCTCTCTCCAGACAGCACAGGATGGTCTCCTACCTGGCTTGGGTGATCAGCTTGGGTGATCGAGACCACGGGGTGGCAGCAATTCTCCGGATCGGCAGGATCAGACGTCAAGCCATCGACCGGGCAGTTTGCGGGACGGTTTCGAATCGGACTGGGCGATTCCTCAAGATGCAAAGAGACGATCACCCGCGGCTTCTCGCAGCGGGCTCACGTTCAGAAAACACGGAAGAGCGCAGATTCGGTGCTCGACTCGGCGTTCGGCGTTCGGACCTGTGAAATAAACACGACAGGTCATTTTTTCCTATTTTGCTGCTTTTGCGTATCCGGACTTATCACAGATTTCGCGTGGGAGTGACAGGGATTACTTCCCAGGCCGTCTATGCTGCATCACGTCATTATGACAAGCAATACAAGCATCTTTGACTTCGACAAAGAAGCCACCGAGGACAAAGCGACGCCAGTTCATCGCTCGGATTCACAACAAATCAGATCCTCTCAAGACCAGCCTCGATCGATGCTGATTGGTCCACGCGAAATTGGATCGCATTCTCCGCTATCTACCCGGACCAGGACGATAAGCCGGAGTCGGAGTAGAGTACGGAGTAAAATAGGCCCCCCCAGGTTGTGTTGAGGCTCCCTTGGACAGGCAACCTTTTTATAACCAGATGTCGCTCCCCCAGAACGGCGTTCAGCACCCTCCGCCATGCTGCCTCGTCCGCCCCATGGCGAAGATAGTGAAGCGCAGCCTCTATTAATCGACCGGGCAATCAACACCCGCGCGCGCCCCGGCCGCAAACCCAAGTGGGAGCGCACTTTAGTCGTGATCATCGGTGGAGTCGTGACCTCCGCGTCCCAATTTGGGACCTATCTTGCTATCCCCGCGCAGACGGCCATCTTCGAGCAGATCGTCTGCAGGAAGTACCTGCAGCTCCAGGACCCGTGGAATAACCCTGACCCGGCAGGAAATGTGGATTTCTGCAAGTCAGAAGAAGTTCAGAGTGAATTGGCTCTGATTTTAGGGTACAAGAATGGACTGGACATGATTCCATGTAAGCTCGATGGTGAAAGCAAAACGGGGAAGTTTCCTTGACGACTAATCCCGGGCCGGTCAGCTATCCTCCTCTCCCTTCCCTATGGAATCCTGGCAGATCACTGGGGACGAAGACCTGTCGTCCTTCTCTCCGTCCTGGGTGTTCTCTTAGGCGAGATATGGCTTCGCTTTGTGGGTAAGTCAAGTCACGTCGAGACTGTGGCTGAACGGGCGCTAATGAATTTAGCCATGTGGTCGAACGTGCTGCCCCTTCGTTTAGTCTGTAAGTCTAGACCATGACGATCTCTTTAGTTCCCTGATGATGACTGATTGCTCACGTCAACTATAGGGCTGGCACCGGTTTGGCAAATTATCGGCGGGGGGGGATCAAGTCACTACAGCGATATCATTAGTTCTGGTCGCGGATGTTTGCACCGAAGAGAATCTGTCAGTCTAAAATCGGTTGTGAGAAGGGTTGAGAATCTGACATCCCACCAGGTCAACGACTCTGTTCCGCCTTTCTGCATGTTCCCGCATTGCAGAGATGCTGGCTACCACAGCCAGCGCCTACCTGATGACTCTCACCCCATGGCTATCCTACATGCTGGCGCTTGCAATAATGCTTGTCGGCTGTCTTCCTTCCTTGCTGCTGCCCGAGACATTGAAAAGCGACCAGGCGGAGGATCCCATGAGCTCTGAGCTGCTTAGCGAGGAACCTGTAGGACCCAGGGAGCCACCTAAATCGTCGATCTTACTATCTTTATGGCATAAAGTGCGCGGAATCAAGGAAGCGACCCAGCTCATCTGGGACGACAGAAACATTGCTTTGATCATTCTGGCTGTTTCTGCCAGTAGCTTTTCGACAAATTCGGAACTGATGAACATTCTCCTACAATTCGCATCGAAAAAGTTCAAGTGGAGTATCTCTCGCGTACGCGCTATGTCCGATTTCAAACTGCCCTTCATACTAATTGGGTCCCAGGCGAGTCTACTGATATCCATCCGCGGAATTTTCTGCACCGTCAACTTCCTGCTATTAATGCCGACGTGGAACTACCTGGCCGCCAGATTCCTCGACTTGCACGGGAAATACCGCGACTACGTGACAAGCCAGGGAAGTGGAGTGCTCCTTGTCGTCGGCTTCACCCTCATGGCCTTGGCGCCCAAGCCAGAGGTTTTAATCCTAGGAATCATCGTCATGTCTCTGGGCACAGCGTTGATAATGGCCAGTCGCAGCTTGGCTACCGAGTTCATTGCCTCAAATCACGTTGGCACGTTATTTGCAGTAATTGCTATCCTGTGTTCGATTGCTAACCTGATCGCGAGCCCACTGATGGCCTACCTCTTCAAACTCGGCATGCACATGGGGGAGGCGTGGATGGGCCTTCCATTATTACTCGGTACTTTGCTCACATCGATCGCCACGATCGCCGTCTGGCAAGTCCGCCTGGATGGCAGCTCGCCTCCTAAACCGGTTCAGGAAGACGAAGATACAGACACTCGAGCACCGCTGGTGCCCTCAGAGCTTCCGAATGAATAGATGCAATTTTAGAATACGATTTCCTGATCCCCCCCCCGTTCCATATTGATGTTGGAAAGTTACCTGTTACTTGGTGCTGCCTTCTCCCGACCGTTTTTTAGCTGTGGCGTATAGATGTCGTGCATCAAGAAGTGAAGAAGGTTTACATCGGCTCGAGCAAAATGATCTTTTTTCTGGCTCGTGTCAACTCTTGAGTCCCATTCGATCGGATGTACTATGCCATTGTAAAAACAGGGAAATTAGGGTCACATGAAACATGCTCCAATACGAGACGATGAGGCCCGTGGGCTTCTCGAAGGCCTGCTCCAACGGTCTTTTGCCCGATGGGGCGAGTCGTGAAGGATTGGGCTCAAAGGCCGCTGCAGCGCCCCTGTCGATCCACTCTGCGACACTTACGTGAAGCGGGTGACCCGGGCGCTGATTCGCCCGGGGGGCAAGTGATCGACAGCGGGACTCATCTCGAGGGGGAGTCAATCAACGCCGGAGATCCGAGTCGCGGATAGTCGATGCAACGTTCAACCAAACGTTTTGGGGGACGCCCGACGGCTAGTTGGAGACACATCCGGGCGCTGTGGGAGCTCGCAATGTTGATTGGCGCACGCATCACGACCCCTCGAATCTTGCTCTCCACTGGCTGCACCGCTTGGTAGGGAAGACTTGGTCCCTGTGGGCACTGCGAGATCCGATCTGCTGTGTGAGTCGCGAATCAGACGACTCTTATCGACGCATGTGCCGCTTATCAAGTGATCGACAGGTCCTGGAATTCTAGCATTTCGAGGTTACGGGGAAGACCGCTTGTACTTAAAGATAATCCCAATCCCGTTCCCTCTCTTTCTGTCCCAGATTGCGAGATTTAGAGATCCAATCCTTTGTTCACTTTCAATTCCGAGATGTTCTTCACTCGCTCTCTCGCCATTGCGGCCGCCGTCGGCGCTGCCTCGGCTCAGTTGAAGACTTGCTCCAACAGCAACAACACCTTGAGCTGTCACAGCAGCTCCAAGTCCCCTACCTGCTGCTTCAGCTACCCCGGTGGTGCTCTGCTGCAGACCCAATTCTGGGACACCGACCCTGCAACCGGCCCCTCTGACTCGTGGACCATCCACGGTCTGTGGTAAGTGTTGGGGAACTCCAAAGCCGACAAATGGCGATTCGCAAGTTACGAGACCTCGGATCAACTAACAAGAACTTCATGGTGTAGGCCCGACAACTGCGATGGCACCTACCAGGCTAACTGTGACTCCTCCCGTGCCTACACCAACATCACCGCCATCCTGAAGGAGCAGGGCAGAACCCAACTGCTGTCCTACATGGACAAGTACTGGGTCGACATTAACGGCGACAACGAACAGTTCTGGGAGCACGAGTGGAGCAAGCACGGCACCTGCGTCAACACCATCGACCCCAGCTGCTACACCAACTACCAGCCCCAGGAGGAAGTGGGCGACTACTTCCAGAAGGTCGTGGATCTGTTCAAGACCCTTGACAGCTACACGGCGCTGTCCTCGGCTGGAATCACCCCCGATGACTCCAAGACCTACGACCTCAGCGACATCGAGGATGCTCTGGCCAAGATCCACGGGGGCCAGAAGCCCTACGTTGGCTGCGAGAGCGGTGCGTTGAACCAGCTCTACTACTTCTACAACATTGGTGGCAACGCTATCACCGGCCAGTACAAGGCTGCTGCCCCTCGTAAGTCGCCCTGCCCTTCTGCTTTTGCTCCTGTCTCTTCTGCCATACTAATGCAACGACTACAGTGGAGAAGTCCAACTGCCCCAGCAGCGGTATCAAATACACTCCCAAGAGTGGCAACTAAGCAGCGGGCGAAATTGGTGGCTTCATAAAGACTACTTGGGATTGCTGAACAATCCTTCGTGTTGCTCTTGCTGTAAATAGATCTGATGAAGTACATGTGGTTTCGGGTATCAAGAAAATGAAAATGTATCCCATGGAGAGAATATTCTTCCAGACATAGAAGACACGTTCCAGAGTCTTGTGAAACAGATAGAGAATAGCTCCGGGATGAGAGGGGTAAACATTCCCTAACAAGCCTGGGATTGCAGAGCGGTCAGAGGGCTTCAGCCTTGTCTGATAGAATGGGAATGTGGATATTCTGTACAGGCAGTGGCAGCCAATGCGTGCGATCCGTGGACGGTTTCCGGGCGGAACATGGACACTGTTGGAGAAACTTCAAGTAGGGATTGACACTCCAGAGGATCCGGGATCGACTGGTGGCTTTCTTGAATCAGCGAGGATCCACCCGAAGCCCCCAGCGCTGCCAACCAGAAACTCTCAGGCGGCTTGGGGCACAAGGACCCATTGGGATACGACCCTAAATGGAGGATCGGCAGTTGTGAGCAGCAGGACTATCTGCGGCTGATACGGAGGAGTCCAAGCGAAAACGCACTCATTAGTGTCCCCTGGATAGAAAGATAAGAGGAGAAAGATGCCAAAGATAAGGCCTCACATGCCCTTGAGGCGAGCTTGGCGAGCCTCCTCGTCTCGCTTCGCCTCCATACGACCCAAGAAGTCCATACGATTAATATATCCCTCTTTAGCCTTGCTGTGTACCCGCAGCTCGTCCTTGATTCCAGCCTGGTCCACATATTGGGCCCAGTCGAGTCGAGACTTCTCCACCGTGTTGATCTTGGGGCCAGTTGCCTTGTCCCCGCCCGCTTCCACCGACTGCTTCTCCCAGTTCTTCTTGATCAAGCCGGTCGGGTTAGGGTCGAAGCGAGAGATCTTGCGTAAGGGACGACGCAGGTTTGGCGCAACATTCGCGGCTGCATCTTCCACCTCGGCGTATTCGACGTTCTCACCACTAGACAAAAACGCTTTAGCCTCCGCGGAGTCCTTTGGTACAACCTTCTCCTCCGTGATCATCTCGCCGGCAAACTTGTAGGTACGCTTGATCTTGATCATTTGTGGGGTGTGGATATGGCGCGGATTATTTTCCGGCTCTGGAGCTCTCTGGTCCTGCGTGTTCGAGTCGGCTGTGTGATCAACCTCTGGGGTCGGTTCGTTGTCGTGTTTGATCTGGCTTGGCCGCAAGCCCAGCTCGTTTCCAGGGGTGTTCATCTGCGCCCACAGTTCGTCAACGTCCACAGTCGCGCCATCGATTCGAGCCAACGGTCTGCGCTCCCGCTCCTCCTGTCTGTTCGCGAGACAGATCAGAATCAGTATCCGTCTATAGTAGCCGCGGCTTAAGGGCAGTTTTCAGAAAGAATCTTACATTTTCTCCCTCATTGCACGTGTCCGTACAAAACCGCCTGTGCCCCCTTCATCATCATCCGACAAGTCAAGGTCGTCGTCGCGCGCATTTTTGCCCCTGGCGTTTCTCTTTCGTCGCTTTTCCCGCTTCTCTTGAGCCTTCTTGATTGTGACTTCATCTCCAGAATCAAGGTCTTCAGCGGGTGCATCTGACTTCTTATCGGTCTTGCGCTTCTTCTTCGCGGGTTCGGCGTCCGAGTCGGAGGACAGGTCAGAGTCGTCCTGGACAGCCTCCAATTGGAAATCTTCGTCTTCAGCCGAATCGTAGGGCTCGTCCTCCAGCTCTGCAGCTGCGATAACGGGATCTACCGACATTGTCGCTCGCAGTGGTGAAATCGTCGCGGGTGGAAGAGCGGAAAAGTCAAGGCGCGATCTGAGCCGCGGGCGACGGGTGCCGATAAGGGTATTATGTAAAGCAGCTTCCACCCCGGGCCGGGGCCCGCCAGATCGCGCGACTGGCTCTGATTCTCACGCAATTAGTATGATTAGCTGCCATTTTTCTTTTCTCATTGGCCACTACGCTCTCCCGTTGTCAATGTATCCTGTTGCCAATGTCCTATGATTCGGGAAATTTCCAGGACTAAGATTGTACCCACACTTGGCCGCTATTTATCATGTTACATTATATCAGTAGATGACGTCCTGCGAATAGCATCTACTCCGGCTACTAACTTGGACCACCAGGACATACAATTTAAAGGTTATCACAGCTCCTTATAGTACTAGTGAGCTCCAAATGCTAATTGTTAACTATCAGGATCTCGGAAGTGTCGAGTATGTATTGATTATTGGGAAAGTCCTACAGGGTTTGTATCTGGGGAAGTCATTTAACTGCATCTGAGGACTAAGTTCACGGTGAACTAGGAGAGCTTACTAACCGTTCGCGCAGGAGTACTATTGTTAGGACAACCCAGCCATTCTAATTTGCTACGAGGGCTGAGGTTCCAACCATGGGTCGCCCAGTGGGTGTAGCATTCTACAATGGATACACTATTATTTGATCGGAGAATAACGGAAGACACCTTCTCCTACATAAGGCACGCACAAGTTTAAGACCGATATATTCAAAGCAGAGCAGCCAACTACTTTCACGTTTCGTTCAAGGTCCAGCTTACACGTTAATACATAGTATCAGACCCTCATATCAGGAGCATACAGAAATTTCCAAGTTGTTTCTTGCCCCTTTCTTTCATATCGCATATCACAAAGTGGGGTGGCAGCCTCTTACGCACGATATGCTTGTTTTGTTGCAATCTCCAGTTTCTCCAGCTGGAGCTGCTCCTCACGGCGACGCCCCACGCTCTTCTGGAACCAAGCCCCAGCAAGAGCTCCAAAGCCCATGCAGATTTCCAATGCAAGGAGCACGTATAGCAGAGCGAAGCCAGCGCGACTGTCATGGCAGTCACGCGAAAAATGACTGGGAGCAGTAGTGTCTCCGTCATAAGAGCTCCATTTGCAAGTCCAGCTTTGCAGGGTTTCGTTTCTCGTGTAGCCGGTGGGATACGTGGATGAAGGAAGGTAGATGCTGAAGAGGATGCCAACGAGAGCAGTAATAAATCCCGCGATGGCTGAGGCCGACGAATACCCGTTCAAGAGCTGAATTCGAGAATACGGCTGTGGGAGAGTTGCAACGTTAGCCTTGTATCAGACCGGAAGACTCTCTAACCGAGGACTTACAGAAGGCAGAACGGCAACGACGAAATATATCAAATTCAATGCCGCGATTACACACCCACAGGCAATAGCAGCAATACTTGGGCGGATATCGAGATTTGGAGGCCACAGGTCAAGCCCCACGCTGGCCCATTTGACCGTGCTCTTATAATGATTGTAAGGAATCGCTTCACAGGCAATGACGGCGATCGAGCCCGCAAGCAGTGCAAAAGAGAGACCCAAGCGGGCCACATGTAGAACTCGATTGCGTTTGAGGAAGTCAGCCTCTACCATGTCTGAAGAATAGGCATTGGAGCCTGCAGTCGATGATGAACCGGAGCTCATTGTGCCAAATGGTGTTCACGAAAGGATTTGGGTGGTTGTAACGAAGGAGTCAGACTCAGAACCCCTGCCAGCAAGGATGGTCCGATATGGGTATAAAGAAGGAATAGAAGGCAATCCCCTTAGGACTATAGAATGAAAGACAAGGGTTATCCTTGGGAAAGAACGGCGTCGGGGCTTGATTATCAGTAGGGGCCTCCAATCTCCGAAACAAATGCAGGGGAAAGGAGACCGAATAAGTAGGACAAGCAAGCCCGGAGGTTAGCACCTTGACGCAAGCCATTCTTTAGCGAGCCTATACTATCACAATGGTTAATCTCTGGGACAGCGCTAACGTAGCCAGACAAGGAGAACGCTTCGATACCACAGCTGCGAGAGAGTGGGGTTATGTCATCATCCAAAGACATGATTGGCGACTCGAGGGTAAGATTAGCTCCCAGGCCCATGAGCATAAATGCTACAGCTCGACGTGTCTGGTGGAAACCACTCTGGGGCATATGGCCCAGCGCTAACCTGCAGACTTGGCAGGAGAAGGAGGATAGTGCGTCAGTCTAAATTTAGACAACAACGTCCAATCCCAACCGAACTATCACTCTATGGAATTTGTGGCTCCCATTTGACCTTCTCCATGCGCCTGGAGACGTGATAGCCTGAGCGAGGCAGCACGCAAGGTGATTGGCAGTTTTTAAGCGCCCAAAGTGTGACGGGCTGAACATATCCATATCCAAGATTGCTTAGGCCATGATCTTCCTGCATCAGGTCCCAAGGTCCTCATTTGTGAAAAGCATAGATAATGTTTACTAATTTTCATGTAGATAAAGTAAATCAAGTCTCCGTTGCGAGTTCAAATTGCTCCTTGACCCAGACACGGTTGCGGGGAGACCCCACACCGCCGGCAGAATGATTTGCGCGTGGCGGGGAAACTCGATTTTCTCTATTCTAGATTTTCGTTTCCGGTCTATACCATTGAGATCTACGTAATGCCTCTGTCGAAGATCCAAGGTGCTAGGCTCACTGCCTCGGCTGATTTCCATGGTATGTACCGTTTGGCCCAAGGAAAAGACGCCAGTTCTAACAAGTTGCTTCAGTCCACCTGCGCGATGGCCCAATGATGGAGCTAGTGACTCCTACAATTCGCCAGGGAGGTGTGAATACAGTATTCGTAATGGTATGAATTGCGAATATAACCCATGTTCGGGGCCCTGGCAGGTATCTGACATATAATCACAGCCCAACTTGGTACCGCCCATCACCACAGTCGACCATGCCTTGGACTACCAGAAGCGCCTGCAAGCCATTGAGCCAAATGTCCACTACCTCATGTCCCTTTACCTGCACGAGAGCATTACACCCGACACCATCATTGACGCCAAGAAGCGCGGCCTCGCTGGTGTCAAGAGCTACCCCGCGGGCGTGACCACCAACTCCAGCTCAGGTGTTGTGGATTACTCCCAGTTCTACCCTGTCTTCGCGGAGATGGAACGACAGGACATGGTTCTGAATTTGCACGGCGAAGCCCCGTCTCAGGGCGATGTCACTGTCTTGTCGGCGGAGGAGCGGTTCTTGCCCAAGTTGTTTGAGCTTCACTCCAAATTTCCCAAGCTTCGAATCATTCTTGAGCACTGCACTACTGCTGCAGCCGTCGAGGCTGTCAAGAAATGCGGCCCTACCGTAGCGGGTACGATCACTGCTCACCATCTCTCCATCATCATTGACTCGTGGGCTGGAGACCCATTCTGTTTCTGTAAGCCCGTGGCGAAGACCCCAGCCGATCGGGACGCTCTTCTCCGCGCAGCGGCATCGGGCAATCCCAAGTTCTTTTTCGGTTCCGATAGTGCCCCTCACCCAGCAGCCTCCAAGCGTGGTGGTGAGAAGATTGCAGCCGGCGTGTTTACACAACCATACACCACCCAAGTCGTCCTTGATTCCTTCGAGCAGGCCTGTGAAAATGGAGTTCTCAATGAAGAGGATATCACCCCAGAGATTGTTGAAGGTTTCATGAGCAAATTCGGTCGCGCATTTTATGGTCTTCCTCAGGAGGAGAAAGAATTCATCACAGTCGAGAAGAAGGGTGAGAAGATTCAAGACATCCTCAAATCAGACCAGACCGACGTGGTTCCTTTCCGGAAGACACAGGAAACTTGGACCGTATCTTGGTCCTCATAGATAGAAATTTCATCAATGGCCAAAAATATAACGAAATCTCTTAGAAGGGCTGCGTCTTCTTTTTTCTTTTTTTCTTTTTTTTAAGTAGATTTCTTCTGCTGCGTAAGCATATTGGCAACGTTCTCAAGGGCCTGAGCCTCGGAGATGTCAATTCGGCGACCAGCAATGACAGATTCAGGATTGCGATCCTCGCCTATAGCCAGCTGCCCAGCTCTCTCAAGGTGCAAGCGAATACGACTCTCGATGTATTCTTTTCGCTCATCTCTCTTGGACTTGACCTCGGGTTTGCTTACTGGCATAGACAATGATGCCAGTTTCGGCCGCAAGCTTTCCAGTGTCGCCTGCAATGCAGGAAGCTGAGAGAGAATGAAATTGGTACTTGTCGTGAGAGGGGTATGCTGGATATTGGAGCCAGCATCTACTCCCACGCGAAGCTGTTTTGCCGCAGGACTCGAGGTCAGGAAAGTGAGATCCACCGGTGGTTTTTCTTCCTGTACTGTGCCCTCTTTCTTGGCCGTCTCCATAGTAGAAACGATGTTCTTTAGCTGACAAATGACGGCTGCATTGCGATCCGCTTCCTCTTTTAACAACCGGTTGAGTTTCCTGGTTTCAAGAAGCTTTTTCCGTTGCGCATGAATACTCTCTGGAGTGGGATGATCGGGCGATGGGGTGGTTGTCAGGCCCTGATATGAAATTGTTAATTCAAGTACAAGGCACGCCCTTAAGAATCCCTTACTTCATAATGCTTCAATCGCACCCACGGATGCAGGTCCTCCGGCACCGTGAGGATGTTTCGTAGCACATAAATTTCAAATTTGTCGAACGCTTTGTCCACGTTAGCCTCAAGAAGGGTTTCAAGCTGGTGCAATCCGTTCTCCAGCTCTAATTTCGCTTCCGGGTAAACAATGTTGCCATCTTCATCTGTATCGGGGATAGTAGAGCCATTGGTGGCCTGCGAAAATCCTAGACGTTCCGGAGGAGTAGCGAGCAAGCCGGTCTCCAAGCTCGAAATAGCCTGGTAGATCAAGTTGTTGATAGAATTGATGATATCGTCAATCAAAGACTGCGGGGGGCAACAGTGAGTGGATGGTTTGCAAGGGAGGAAGACCCTGCAACTCAATGATGCAAGGGTTAGCACGACATACTAATGGTGTGTAGCTGAAGTGCTCTGTGAGCAGGGACGTCGTTGCATCGTTCATGGTGGGAGTTGGATCCTTCCAGCTGAGACGCGTCGAGATCAAGTGAAGAGCAACGCGACGGAACCCAACTTGAGCCGCGAGCTGCGGGCCCCACACCGCCCAAGACCGCGTTCTATACCAGCAACCATCGGGCGTACAAGGGTCCTTTGTGTGAAAACGGATCAACTATATACTTAGTTTAATTCAGGTGGTCAACGTCCAGATTCCTCCACAACGGTGGTTGAGCCATGGTCATAGACTTAGTATCTTGAATACCAGCGCCGCTACCGGTCGGCTCCAATATTGATTGGCTCCCATCGCAACTAGACGACTTTGGTTACTAAGGAAGATAGTTATAGGCGAGATTGTCTAAGAAGAGGTATATTTGATACAAAGCTTAAATCTAGCCTTTACTCAAAGAAAGGAGAAGAGGGTGCTGTAGTCGAGTCTGTAAGTACTGTGAAAGGCCAAGGAGTACTACTCGACCGGGTAACGGGCACTGCACCAAAGAATGCGGGTGTTATACTGAGTTTCGTGGCTTTGAACTCAACGTATATCAGCTGCAATTGTGCCAGCCTGATTTCAACCTTGAAAATAGTCCTGGAGAAACCGATAGCTACAGCACCTCTCTTTTCAGCGGCTATATTCTCGGTCTTCACAACCACTGCTAATAATTTTTAGGGAGAGGAAGGGATCTTTATGGCTTTAGCTCCTCCTATATGATCTTAGCTGAAAGCACGAAAAAGAATTTGTATGTATCGCTAGGCACTTGGTATCACAAAAACATATCACTTGAACACCGAAACAACAGCCTCCAACGCCGTAGCCACCCATGTGTCATAGCATGCTCCAAACCGATTCTTCTGCTTTAAAAGTCCATCACCAGCTGGGGGGTAAGCAGTTCGAGGTCCTCCGCCTAGGGTTAGAGTCAGTTGAAGGCATTCCACCAGCATCGGCAAAGGCCAGACAAAACGTTACCTCCAGAAAACCATCAGCACGACGATCGCCTTTTTTCTCATTTGTCCGGCTCTCTAGGGCTGCTCGTGCAATTGCCTCTCTAACGAACGTATCCACATATTTGGCCACGACGGCGTCGGCGTCCTTGGCAATGCGTGTTTTATCGTTCTTGAAATGGTGGTGCAGCAGTTTGGTGATAAGCTGCGGGGGGGATCACAGGCTTGTCCGATTCGATGTCCCGATCTGGCTTCTTCGACGTGATCTCTGCCAGGATATAATCCGGCTCTTCGGAGAGCGGGCGTTCGCGTATGGTATTGAACGTCTCCTCGACTTCAGATTCGGAGTCGGAGTCAAATTCGGACGGAGTGGCGAGCCTCCCCTTCGAGGCATTCGGCCTTTTGCTAGAAGATGCCAAGGTATCATTACTTGGCTTTGTGGCCTTCGAACTAGATGCAACCGCTGCCGATGAGGGTGCTCGAGAGGCGGCTGGTTTGCTGGCATTAGTACTTTTGCCTTTGTCGGTCGACGGACCGGCCTTCGCGGTATTTGAATCGCTGGCAGTGCGGCTGGGAGGCTTGAATGGAAGCTGGCGGCGCTTTGCAGGAGGCTCTCCAGCCATGATGCAATGTGGTATTGAACAGAGAGGTTCAAGTGCTCAGATAAGGATGCGGAGAAATTCCAGAACGCGACGCGTTGGTGGGGACCCGGGACTCGCAAGGCCCGCCACTTTTCCAAGGTTGGACGGGAGCAGATGATCTTCGAGGTAAGCACTAGTAAGGTCTCGGTTTCCTCATAGGAACGTAGCTGCTTAACGTTTTCAAGGCGTCCAATTGCTTTGTTTCTTAAATTTAGCTCCCTGTCCCCTGTTTGGGACCTTCCACAATCTATCCCGGTACTTCTGTTGAATTACTCGCTATGTCGTCCTTACTTCCGTCCACATCTCGTGGTTATTTACCCTATTTCCTTCTATATGTACGTACTATCTTCATGTGGCCACAATACCGATCATTTGGCTCATTGAATATCAGACGGGTGTAGCAGCAATTGCTCACAGCGTGGTTTCCTATGTGAAGCCAGAGCCTTCACTAAAAGGGTTCTCAGGCAGAGAAGCACCCCCCGCCGCAGACACTTGCAGCTCATTTTTATGGAGTCAAGAACTTTTATACCGCGGCAATTCGACTCTTCGCTGCCTACAATTTGGCCAACAGACAGCTCTATGACCTAGCATCGACCACCTTCCTTGGGGTTTTGTTCCTGTACGGGAGCGAATTGCTGATTTGGCAGACTGCAAGACTACGAGAAACCTGGATCCCACTGGTGACATCTTCTACTGGACTTCTGTGGATGCTCACTCAAAGAAGTTGGTATTCGTAGCGACTGATCCTAGACGAACATGCCTTCAGGATAGATCCACCGTTCACTGCTTTCGGTCTCTTGCCTTCAAGCTTTGCTCTCTTCCCCCCACCCTTCCTCAAGTTCCTCGTCCGACTTCTCAATTTGTTCATCCGGAGCCACGACAGTCATAGAGATGCCCACTTCCTGTATCAGAGCCTTTGTACGCTTCCAAGGGACCCTAAAGAGACCAGAATTAAAACGACAAGCATACAGACTTGGGACAGAAGCTGGGTCTCGAAGCTCCACCTGTAGAGCATTCATTTGTGCCTTCAGGTCGTAAAGAGCTGCTGCTGTCTTGTTCATAATCATTGTAGGAGAATCAACCTTCTTTCCATAACCACGAGAGGTGAAAAGGCATATGATCCAGTAACCCTTCTTTCTCGGGCTAGTATGATCCTCCGCCTGTGGGCGGATGATCAGGGCCGACCCATCGGGGTATGGAACAGAAACAACAGAACCATCCTCGGATCTCAGATCGGGGATCATGTGATTTGCTTTGTTGATTTTGAATTTTGAGCAGTGGTTGCGGTAGGCTTTGTAGGCTGCAGGGTACTGTAATCTATTAGCACATCTTTGCAACAGGGGAAAGAATATACATACCTTGAGCTTGAACGCCCTTGCAATCCCAGCACCCCAAGAACCTTCAGAGTTGCAGGCGTCTGACATATACCCATCGTTAGATTGGCTTGTAAAATGTTTTGGGGGTTCTCACGAATCAGTCCGGATCCAGCAGGAGCATCAAAAAGACTCCCTGCTCTGTCAACCACGAGCGGTAGGGAAGAGTCGGCGCTTTCTTCTTGCATCTTATCAGACTCTATGTGCTCTTCTGGTTTCGTTTCAGCGCAATGTTCAGATCGTAAAATGTAGTTTTGAACGTTTGAAGAGAACTGTGCTTTGAAGGCGATGGAATAGAGTGAGAAGGAAGATTCCTGGGAGAACCAAAAATAATTCAGGTCGTAGGGAAATAGTATTGGTTCGCCAAGACGAGTCTATTTGTGTGATTGCCGGATAGCATTTCAAGGTACCAGTAATACGAGTACTAAGTATCCCGAATTCTGCCGCTGGTAAGTTTAACAGAGACTTGGATGAACCTTCATTAAACATATTGCTGGTCCTTGGCTTGCAGTGCTGCTGCCGCTGCTATCGGGCAGCCTGTGGGCATAATCATCTGTGTCTTGGGAAGATATCGGAGTAAAGGTTTGAGACCCAGCTCATGCACAGGCCCCGGATTGCGGGGTATGGAAAGTCTGGCTTTGGATGGCCTGCTTAAACCAGTGTATAAATCGACCGGGATTTAATCAAAAGCGCCTCTTCGGTTACATTCCGGCCAGGGAACCGTCCCTCGTGACTGCAATCGAAGCAGCAAGTGCTAAAATGCAAATACACAGAATTGGAAAGACCAATAATTTCCAAGTCGCTCTGGACTTGGCCCTTGTCAGCCCGCTAAGCCTACAGAACTGCCACGTCAATATGCGTTCGATGGCGTCCTAATTCACCAATCATCGATAGTTGCACTGCACTATATGGACACTGACATATTGTAGGCTGTGCCCAGGGTCAGCCGTGCTAGCTGGGCGGCGGACGGGGGTCTAGATTTTCGCCCTTGATTGAAAAGGTACTAAAGCGCACTGGGGGAACGCGGGTGCGGTTCATCAGTGGGGACATAGCAAGCTGAAATTGGGCGCTCGCGAAAAGTCTTACCAGGAAGATGCGTGCCAAAACGACAATGTCATACTGAAGTACGCAGAATGGTACTTCCCAGGCTTTAAGCCTCCCCCGCCTTTATCCATCCGCGAGGCCGTATTCCCAAGACCCGAATGCCCTGCCCAGCTAGATCTCGGCATAATCTTGCTATGATACCTCGATTTGTGCTGCCTGTATGGAATTTGTGGAAATGGCGGCACGCAAGAAGTTCCTCAATGCAAGTGAATTTCACAAAGGTACGTTCTTTGCGTGGAAAACGGTCTCGAAAAACCCTACAGAGCTGACAAATAGTACTGGAAGGTCTCGTAGAGCTGAGACAAGAGAATGGGGATTAATCCCTGGCTGGCCGCATTTGCACCTATTCGACTGATGACCGCCGGTGGTTTTCTCGCTGTATCTTATCTCAAGAACCGAGACAGTACCGGTGATATTGACTTCTTGCTTGATCCAGAATACGCAAGTGATACAGAGATCAAAAATGCCTTGCACGAGACCGCCACATCTGTCGCAAATGAGCTCCAATACAATGAAGAGTGGCTGAACGAGGCCATGGCCATTTTTGTTTCTGCACATAGTCGACGGGTCTTGTTCCAACGTGCTGAAGCTCAAGGAATTGCGCTTTTCAAGGGCCAGTACCTCGAGATCCTCGCCGCGCCAATTGAATGGGCCCTGGAACGAAAACTAAGACGCATCTACGCCGCCGATAGGGAGAGAAAAATAGCATCCGATCTCGATGATGCAGTAGCCTTGCTGGAGCGCATGAAGGAGCGCAACGGGGGGCCACTTGAGCTGGAAACAGTACGTCAAATGAACATGAACGGCTTCGACATCACACCGGACTATGGGACGATGCAACAGGTGGCTAGGGCCTACCGCGATAAGTTTGGGGAGAACATCTTCCAACAATGAATATTTGAAGACTAAGATCACCTGCTGACAAGATACGGATGCTGAGTTAATTTATTCCTGATATGTTTGATTCCTACCTTGGCAGGTTGATGGATATTAGATAGTATAGAGCCAGCCTGTGTTTGTGATAATGTTGCGTCTGGCAAAGACAGCGTTTTTACCTCTTTCTTCAAGGACAAGATTCCCGTCTGCATCCAAATGATCAGCTGGCACTGATAGTTTTAGCAACTCTTTATTCATTGGTGGCACTGTCTTTGTCCACGCCGGCAGCTCTTCGGGGTCGAAGGGCGGTAAAGGATCGATATCCTGTTCACGATACACGTGGTCCCCATTCCTCCGTAATCCAAGTCTCAGCCGCCAATTGATTGCTTCGACTAGTTCCTCGACAATCGAAGCAATCATGGCATATCTAAGTGGATCAGGGTCTCTGGGGTCCGGTATATCCTGCAATCGCCATTCCGGTTGAGAGAAAACAAAGTACTCGGTTTCCCAGCCCAATAAAGGATACTGATCTGCCATAAACAGTTCATAGAGCCGGTAGATTGATCGTAGCGGAGTATCGCGCATTCGAAAGATTCGTATCGCCCGAAGATTGTGTAGGTCCGAGAAATGGGACTGGATGAGGCCGGTCTGGTCCTTTTTGTCGTTGATCAACGCACGGAGAGAGAATGGGCCAGGAATTGGGAGCTTCCATGTCGGAAAGGGGATGAACATTCCCAAGAGGGTAAGCAGTGGGTATTCGTGCTGGTGTCTGAGCCGGATCAGACTACGTCGTAGTTGAAGGGGAGACTGCAGGTTATAAAGCCACCACTTGAAGCGTATCCAAAGAGACGGCTTTCGCTGCAGAGGGTGCTGGGGCATTGCGCCCCCAAGATGAAGCCCAGGGTCGCGAGGATCTCTATCCCCAAAGCCACAGAACAGGGAAGAGAGCTCTCGAGAAGCAAAAGTCGCGGACTTAGTCATGGGGTGGGGAGCGGGTAGGGAGGGAACCCGGGAAGTTGGAGGAAAAAAAAAGATACGACCTCCGCAGTTGAACAAACAGTGAAATGACCTGAGCCTCTTCCTCCTTCTCTATCCCCTTGGAACGACACCGCAGCCACGTTGGCTTCTCTTTACGCCCGCGGTACTTTGGTTACCGCAAGGTCTACATTCACCCTGAATTCAACATTGCGTCTACCACGAATTCCCCAGCGATTAGTGTCGGGCCCCTCCACTGGCAAACGCGCCTTCCCTGCCCGACAGGCTAGACTAGGTGACTCACGTCCTGGCAAGGAAAGCCTCAGTTACGTCCGACGGGCGATTCGTGATAAAATATCACGCGCAGCATCGATTGGCACCATACCATCTGGCTGTGCCCTGCTGCCAGCCCGCTACGGTGACGGACCTCAAAAATACGTCATTTGCGATCGCTCGCGTCTCGTTTCCAAGTCCCAAGCTATCCCACAACGAACACAGCCAATGAAGGTCGATTGTCAGGTCGTCACAACGCCGACCGCCGATACCCCCGGCACGGTAGTGATGCTCAACTGTCCCGACAAGCGGTACTTGTTTGGTCAAGCGTCAGAAGGAACTCAGCGGGCATGTGTAGAACGTGGGGTGAAAGTGATGCACTTGAGCGATGTCTTTCTGACGGGTCGTGTTGGGTGGGCTAATAACGGTGGGCTGATAGGCCTCATTCTAACAGTGGCAGATGCAGTAGCCGCCAACAATCAGGCCTTGAAGGAAACCCGTGAAAAAGCCCTCCAAAAAATAGCCAACCTTCCAGCCCAAACGCGGGAAAAAGTTCAGCGTTCATACCCACCCATACAGAACAGCACCATCCAACTCCACGGAGGCCCGAATCTATCTCATTCGATAGCCACAGCCCGGCGCTTCGTGTTCAGAAGAGGTGTGCCCATAGAAGTGAAAGAATACGATTCGGAAAGCGGTTTACAGCAAGCAAAGGCCGAAATAGCGGACCCCTTTGAAACCCCCTCTTACTGCGATGCGAATATCAAGGTTTGGGCTCTACCGATCAAACCCAATTCATCCTCCACCTACAATGTTGCCTCACGGGCTTCAAGCCCGCGCAAGCGGAGTCTGGATGAATTCCGGGAGGCTGAGCACCCTACATCAGCTGTCAGCCAGCGTGATGCGGACCAGTTACTACGCCAATCAGTTGTCAGCGACATGTTCAACTCAAACTGGAAGATGGATGCACTCGTGGAAACTCCTTTGGCAGATGTCAAAATGCCAGCTGCCATGTTCGTGCGCAATCCGGAGACCAAGGACATGCAACCCTACAATGGCCCCAAGCCGGGTGATGGCGACCCCTTACCTGACATCAAAGTATTTGTTCGAAGGCCCTGGCCAGGTGCAACCGTGGATAGCTTACCAGCAACTTCACCCTCAACGGAGTCGCTCTGCTATATCGTACGCAATCATGATGTTCGCGGAAAATTTGATCACATCAAAGCCAAAGAACTAAATGTCCCTTTTGGCCCGGCTTGTGGTGCTTTAACGGCAGGACAGAGTGTTCAATCCACTGATGGAAAGACAATTACCCCCGATATGGTGTTAGGCCCTACTCGGAAGGGCAATGGCATCGCTATCATGGACGTTCCATCGGTTGATTATATTGAATCCCTGATAAACCGTCCTGAGTGGAAATCGCCTGCGGTCACGACCGGGTTAAAAGCCTTTGTCTGGATACTAGGTCCGGGTGTAGGTGATCACCCAAAGCTAAGGGAGTTCGTCGCTAGCATGTCACACTGCAAGCACACTGTCTCTAGCACAGACTATTGTCCGAATTATCTGGCCCTTGGTGGTGCTGCTGAGTCCGCTACTAGACTTGCTCAGCTAAAGAGCGACAGTTACTCGATTCCCGTTCATGACAACTCGACTCTTCCCCAGACCCGAGCCCTTTCTAGCCGCTCTCAGCCACTCAGCATGGTCGATTTTCCCTTCGAGCCTTTGAAGCCTGGCTATGTCTTTGATCTGGAACCCCAGTATAAGTTCAGCACAGACAGTGGTATGCCATACTTTGATGCTACTAAGTGCAAATTTACTATTCCGAAGTCTGTGGCGAAGCGAATGTCGGTCATCGACAAACGCGTAGCCAAACCACGTTTTCAACAGGAGCTGGAAAACGTCCGTAAAGACCTTCCTGGAGCCGAAGCTGAGATCATTGCATTGGGCACTGGGTCATCGATCCCATCTAAATACCGTAACGTCTCTGCTACCCTTATCCATGCTCCTGGAGTCGGGTACTACATGCTGGACTGTGGAGAAAATACCCTGGGCCAAATGGAACGAGTTTTTGAACCCGAGAAACTGCGTGAAGTGCTCCGAAACCTTCGAATGATTTGGATCAGCCATTTGCACGCTGATCACCATTTGGGCACTGTCTCCCTGATCAAGGCCTGGTATCAGGTGAATTTTGGGTTGGACGCCAAGCAGGAAGCTGGTCCTAAGACTGACCTGTCTAAAATCCTGCAAGAGAAACGCCTCGCCGTTGTTTCTGATGAAATGATGATTGCATGGCTGGAGGAGCACTCTCAGGTGGAAGATTACGGCTTTAGCAAGCTACTCCCTCTTTGTGCCTACCCTAAACCCTCTGGGCCGTCCATTGCCACCACTTTCGGCTATCGGCACTATCAAAATGGCGGCCCTCCCTTTGGTCCTGACTCAGCCTCAAAGACGATACTTGACTTTAAGGATGAATCTTCTCCTCTGACGCCCTTGCTGAAGGCTTCCACCGGGCTAAGCGATCTGCTTACCACTACCGTCAAGCATTGCCGTGGCGCCCTTGCCGTCTCTTTAGTCTTCCCTGACGGGTTCAAGGTCTCGTATTCTGGAGACTGTAGACCGTCTGATAAATTCGCTTCAATTGGCCAGGGGTCTACCGTGCTTATTCACGAAGCCACCTTCTTGGATGACATGGTTGGCTCAGCCCTGGCCAAGCGCCATTCAACTTCCGCTGAAGCAATTGAAGTTGGCCGCCGTATGGGAGCTCGATCGATTTTACTGACTCATTTCAGTCAACGCTATCAGAAGGTCGCTCAAGTAAACCATGAAGAAGGCTCCGAAGGGTATGATCAAATGTCTTCTGATCGGAAGGTTAAAGAAGCAGTAGCCGTGGCGGAAGACAACCTCTCCAAAGATGCGGATATTCCATTCGATGATCCTGAAGATGGACCAGTCGAATCCCAGGCTTCAGGTGCTGCACTGCTAGATGATACTCGGTTCCCTAGCGCGAGCCGGCCCTCGCTTCCTCGCAGCGAGACCTATGTGCCTGGAGTGAACATGCCAGTGATGACAGCTATGGATTACTTGCGCATCAAGGTCGGCGATCTCAGCTATTGCACAGGCATACGCCCCTGCTCTGGAGAAACTAGTCGCCGTCATAGAGCGTGAATCTATCCAAAAGGCCGAGCAGGCCAAAGCAAAGATCCAAAGGGAGGAAGAGGCTCGGAAAGCAGAGAAGGCAAAGAAGCATACCAAGAAGCCGAAGAACAAGAACAAAGCTGCGGCGGCAGCAGGAGTAGTAGTTGCCGCTACTGTTGCAATCGAGGAGGCCAGCCCAGAACAGCCTGAACAGCCTCCGGTCTCCGCATTTGATGCCAGCGAGAGTGAAGATGGATGGGAAACGAGTGACTACGAGGCATAGAGATCATCCACAACAGGATTGTATATATCAGAACCGTAATATAGAGCATTATCACACCTCTCAGATCCATTTGGCAAATCCATTCCATCTCTTTGACTATCCAGCCTCGCTTAGAAGATAAGGTGCGCCTGTACCTCTAGATGCTTTATAGCTTCTGAGCCTAGGGTAGAATGATAGCAACCGCATCACCAAGCAGAATATTTCAAGGTGACCCGCCATATGCATTGCTAGGGCAATCGTAGCCCAGATGCGCCCCCACGGAGTGTATACTTCCAAGGTAGTCCACCCCCCACTTTTCTGTACACCGCCCCACTCGGCCAACTTGAAGCTCCGGCAACCTTTGCATCATCCAATCTCTCAACGATGACGACTCTCATCCCACGAGAGCCTTACTCCCAGGAGGAGCTGAACCAGCTCTATCCAAAGGGCCTCAAGCTACAATTGGTCCAAGTGGTAAGTCTGACCGCCATTTGCAAGCCAGTAAAGCTAATTTGAGCCAGTTCCTTCGCCATGGTGAGAACCTCGGCTGCATGGCGCATCGTATAATAAACTCGACATGTCTCTAACTGGCCACAGGCGAGCGAACTCCCGTCAACGCGCGGTTTCAAAATGTAAGGCCACCTCTGCTATCGTATCTGCCATTGGTTGCTGACCTCCCGTTGAAGACAGGCTTACACCCATGTAATTCTTCCTTTGCACCCGTTGATCTCGGCCAATCAACTAATGCCGTACAGATTGGCCCTATTGTGCTGCCGCAAAGCACATGGTACAAATCGCAGCCAGCAAGCAGGATCTAACTGAATGGAACGGGTTTCAATGGCGACGCAGAGTCGAGGCTTTTGGCAGGAACGATGAATCCATAGCCGCCAAGGGCCCGGCCGGCGAGGTTGAAGGGATTTGGTATGCTGGCAACCCCACATTTTATAAAACAAGTTGCCTGACCTTTTGATAGCGGGCATGGCGAACTCACTGACAAAGGTCGCGAAACCACTTACGCCCTCGGCCAGCGGCTGCGCCATCTATACGTCGATCAGCTGGGCTTCATGCCGAAGATCAAAGAGAATGCCGATGACATGTACCTGCGAGCGACACCGATCCCGCGCGCCTTGGAGTCAATGCAGCAAGCCTTCTGGGGCATGTATCCGGCCAGTGCCCGTACCCAAGACTTCCCACCCCCGGTGATCGTTGGGCGCTCATCAGCTGCGGAAACATTATTCCCCAACGAAGCCAATTGCCGACGATTCAGGCAGCTAGCCCGCCTCTTTGCCGACCGTGCTGCGGTTCGATGTAAGGGTAACGATCTGTGATTTTCTAGGATTAACTAACTGGCTGCAGGGAACGATTCCGAGCAGATGGATTATCTTAACAAGCTCTGGTCAAAATACATGCCTGCAAACTCCCCCAAGGTTGCTGTAGATGGACACCCTCGTTTATCTGGCATCATGGATACTATCAATGCCACCGATGCCCACGGCCCAGCCACCAAGCTTCCATCGGAGTTCTATGACAAGAAAGGTCGCGCTGTGATTGACCGCATTGCGGTCGAAGAGTGGTTTGCTGGCTACAATGAAAGCCACGAGTATCGTAAACTGGGCATAGGCTCTCTTATGGGAGACGTGGTGGACCGGATGGTCAGCACCGCTCTGGGTAGCGGCTGGCGCAGTGAAGCCGCGGCTCCCGAGGCAGGAAACAAGGACAGCGGCAAGGCCATTAAGTTTGCTTTGAGTGGTTGTCACGATACTACTCTTGCCGCTATTCTCTCCAGCCTGGGTAGCTTCGAGAACGAGTCATGGCCTCCGTTCACTTCTTCGGTTGCCATCGAACTTTTCTCGCAGGCGCCTATCCCGAGCTCCGATGCAGGTGATACGCTCGAGGAGTTCTCTAATCCGAAGGTCGCCACCAAGAAGCGGGGCGTCTTCGCATCCCTCTTTGGCGGAGATAAAGCGCCATCCAAACGGCTCCCTGACTCGGAGATAGAACGTGCCCCGATCTCCTCTCTGCCCGAGGAGGCCCGAAAATCTCTGCGCAAGCACTACGTGCGCATCCGCTACAATGACCGCCCTGTTCTCATCCCTGGCTGTGCCGCGACGCCAGGGAACCACCTACCGGGGACAAGACTTTCTGTACGCTTGATGCCTTCAAGACTATCGTCGATAAGTTCACTCCGGAGCACTGGGCCGCTGAATGCATGGAAAACCTGGATGAGGGTCTCTTTGGCCCAGGGGACCAAGAGCGCGTGCCGGCCGGGAACTAGAATCTAGAATGGCCAATCTGCGCTTGCTTTGATCTGTCTCTTCTACCTCGACTTTCTCTCCACCTCTGCACAAAATGGGAATGGAAAGAATTGTAATTATGCCGAAGCCACGAGTAAAGAGTATTCTTGAGAGATATTATTGCTTTTTATTTGCCCTCTCCGTTTCCTTCTGTAACGCCTGCATCCTCTCCGCTGTGATCTTCATCATGAATGATCGGGGCAGCACGTCCAGAGAAAGCCCTTGAATCCAATGCGGGAAATACGCGAACGCCATCACACGCCCACAGCCAACGCGGTTCAAGCCCGCAGATGCGAGAACTCGAGGGGTTGGACGAAACAGGCCCGGTGGCACAGGGTGTCCTGGGGTATTGACTTCAGCAACGGTCAGCCCGATGACATCCACATTGCGTTTCTCTGCCTTGCACTCGGCTTCCAGAGCCCGAGTGAAAGTGTTGATGAACCCCTTTGTAGATGAATAGACACTGATATAAGGCATTCCGTACGCAGAGATGGATGAGACGTTCAATATCACACCCCGCTCTCCGGCCACCAAAAGTGGTAGGAGCTCGCGTGTAATCTGCAAGGTGGCGGACGCATTCCTCTCGATCGTCTGTCTGGCGCTATCGAAGCTGAGCCCATCCAGGCATGTATACGGGGAGGTCTCGCCGCCAACATTGTTCACCAGGACAGTTAAATCGCCGCCATGGGCAGTCAAAATGGCCTGCACGTCTTGCGCTAGCCCATTCATGCCCGCTGCCAGTTCGCAGACATCTAGGACCACAATCCCGATCTTGCGAGACGGGAAGTCCGCTTGCAGCTCGCCTCGTCTCTTCTCGAGCTTTGTGCGACTGCGTCCGTGCAGAATGACGTTGAAGCCTCGTGAACATAATTCTTCACAGAATCCGAACCCAATTCCGTCCGTTGCACCGGTTACCAGAGCCCAATTCTTGCCTGAGCAATTGTGAGTTTTGATGAGGGTGGATGGCAGGAGATAGATAGCTGCAGAACTGATAAATTTGTACGCAATGTACGCGGTCGAAGCCAGGCCGACATAAGCCAAGGGGGTTGTCCAGCTTCCGAGGTCCATTGCAATGTCGCTGATCTTCTGTGTCGCGAGCGGCTTCAGAAATGCTACAGCGAGGGATTTGGCGAGGCCCGATTGAGCATTTGTGGATGATATCACCCGATCGATCGATCGGGCTTGGAAATGGCCGATCGCAAAGCAATACGGTAAAATAAGATACACAGTCTAAACCCAGACAGCTTTCCAAAGACGCTCGCCGGGGCCGGTCTCCCTTTTTATTTCCCCCATTGACGAGGATCGACTCTGGTCGCACGCGCCTTGACGCCCCATGGGCACCGGCGACGGGGGCTTTCAGCAGCTCTTCGTTCCCTTTTCCAAGGTTGTATGCAGAATGTTTAGGCCATGAAATCCACTTTCTTTTGGAGGGATTGCAAATTGAATCACTACGCTAAATTATTTACCGAAAACAGCGCCTCCAGCATCATTGTCTGCAGTTTTTTTTTGGTGTAGGCGAGCCTTGTTACTATTGATGGATTTGATTAAGACATTCCTTATATCCTTGGATGTACCTTCTGTATGGCGCTGCAGCCAAAAGGTACATCGTGGCACGGCGCGATAGGGCCGGCTGTCAAGCCGAGTACAGATGGGTTTACTCTTCGCCAGACTGACCCTGTTCAAGAAGTGCGAAGGTCATTTTGATATAATAGGCTTTTTCATCTTCATAAAATTCTGCTGTAGGAGAGGAGACATCTGGAGTATAGTACCCAGGAATAGGTGATTGTATTGCTACCGGTAGATGCGCGTGGGCAGAAAATGGATAATCCGTTCCTCCGGTGCAACTTTGTAGATCTAACGGTCATGACCAACAATATCGGATCGAAAGAACCTTGGAAACCTCGCCAGCACCTTGGAAAATGCGGCCTTCGGGAACCACGAGCCGATTCGAAGCGCGACTGCACTCGGGCGAGAACCCCAACTGCTATGAACTACGTCACCGGCCGCGGCGCCATCCGGACGTTCCAGACACGAACTGGAAGTTGGAGATCTCCAACTCGAACCTTGTTTAAGCATATAAATATGTCCTCTTCGACCTCAGATTCCCCTCCTCTAGCATCTCCTTGACTCTTGCAACCGCAGCCAAAATGTCTGATCCCAACAACCCCAATATCAAGATCCGATCCACGCCCCAGTGGTCTCTGTATCGCCGCGAATTGTTCTGGAACACGAACAATGGGCAATACCCGCTCTTCAACACCGACCCCGCTGAAGTCGAGAAACTTGCCAAGCAGAAGCTTTCCCAGACCGGATGGTACTACTCGGCATGTAATGCAGGAATGTCGTTGACCCACCTGGCCAACCGCCAGGCCTTCTATCGCCACCGGATCATTCCGCGAACTCTCGTCGACACCAACCTGCGGGACACGGTGGCAGAGATCTTTGGTCACCGCGTTTCTGCTCCGATTGGCTTTGCCCCCATTGGAATCAACCGCATTTACCACCCAACGGGCGAATTGTCCGTTGCCAAGGTTGCTCAGGAACTGAACTTGCCCTACTGTCTGTCCTCGGCCGGGAGCTATAGTATCGAGGATGTCGGCAAGGCCAATGGCAACGGGCCTCGGTTCTTCCAGCTGTACCAGAGCCACGACGATGAGCAAGCGCTATCCATGATGCAGCGAGCATGGGATTCAGGCTTTGATGCCTGTATGCTCACCACCGACACCTGGTCGCTGGCTTGGCGTCACAATGACGTCTTCACCGGCAATTATGCATTCTACCATGACCACGGAGCTGGCGATATTGCTCTGAATGATCCGGTCTTCCTGAAGAGACTCAAGGAAGCCAATATTGATCCTAAGAAGAACCCGAAGGAAGCCGGGGCCAAGTGGATTGATGAGAATATCTGGCACGGCCGGGCCCTAACTTGGGAGAAGGTAGAATGGACGAAGCAGCAATGGAAGCGGATTAGCGGGGGAAGGCCCTTCTGCTTGAAAGGGATTCAAGATGTTGCAGCAGCCAAGAAATGCGTTGAAATGTCAGTCAGACGAATTTTTCCCCTCCCGGCAAAAAGACTAACTTTCTGTAGGGGCATTGATGGCATCGTAGTTACCAATCACGCTGGCCGACAGGTTGATGGTGCGATAGCCAGCCTTGATGCATTAGAGAAGATCGTGGACGCTGTCGGTGATAAAATCTACGTGAGTGAAATCCTCCCATTATTCAAGGAAGCCTGTTATCAACTAACTCACGTAAATTAGGTGATGTTCGACTCGGGCGTACGAAGTGCCGCCGACATCTTCAAAGCATTGGCACTGGGTGCTAAATTTGTATTCATCGGTCGCTTATGGGTTTGGGCTCTGAGCATTGCCGGCGAGCATGGTGTTCGCCATATGATGAAGAGTCTGTTGGCGGAATTCGACATCCTGATGGAAGAGGCAGGATTCCAGTCGATTGATCAAATCGACCGCTCGGCTATTGACAGCCTTCCTAACTCTTCCAATTTGGCCTCGGAGCAAGTGCAGATATAACTAGCTAGTTCTTTGTCACGCAATTCATCTTCTTAGTTACCGCCGGAGGTCTATATAGCCTCCCGTGGGGGGAATACACAAGATAGCTGAGACTTCCTATTTTCTTTCAGTCGTAGAAAAGGCCCAATGAAGACAACAGTTCTATACTGTGTAGCTCAATACGCCGACAATTCATCTGTGTCCAATAGTATCCCACCAATACAGCATTAGAAAATTTTCACTTTGGTTTGGGGACCGTGCAAGATGGTGGCTCCGGATCAAGTACCTTGGGGTCGACGGCTCCAGCCAAACAAAATACTTCAATTACCAGCGCTATGGGGTATCTAGACAATTTGGGAACAACCATAGCCCCACAGGCGTCTCTATGGGCCTTGGGGATGCTGTACAGACATGCGTATTGTACAGAAAATGCTCCCATGATATGCTTTCCGGTGAGGAACTTGGAGGCGAAATGTCGCGGGAGATAAATCGTGTCGCCCGCAAGGTATTTGAGTCGTTTTCTTGATTCTTTTTCGTATACTCCTGCTTTCCCCAGAGACATCTCCTGAGCTTTCCTTAGAAATCCTTGGACAAAATGGTGATCGACTCAGGCGGCGACTCACTAGCCTACAATGTCACTGATTCAAAGGAGACCCCTAAAGGCTCGGCAGCTTCCAGTGACTCTGCTCTCCGGGTTCTTGGTGAGATCTTTCGCATAGACGCACCCAGTTCTTCTACTGACCTTATTGCAAGGGGAGCGGCAAAACTACGCTCTTGGAGCACATCCTCAAGTCGCAGGACCATGGCTTGCGGATCGCCGTCATCGTCAATGATATGAGCTCGTCAGTCCTTTCCCACATACTATCTGTTATTCAATATGGGCTAATTTAGATCAATTTAGACTGAACATCGATGCCGCCCTGATCCGGAATCACAAAGTCTCCCAAACTCAAGAAAAATTGATCCAGCTACAGAACGGCTGCATCTGCTGTACCCTCCGTGGAGACCTCTTGGCTGAGCTTGCCCGCTTGACCAAGCTCAACGAGGTCGAATACGTGATTATTGAGAGCACGGGTATCAGCGAACCTATGCAGGTTGCTGAGACCTTCACAGCGGAATTCAGCTCTGCCATGCTGGAGGCCGAGGACCAGATCAGTGCGGAGAACGATGAAGATGCTAAAAAGATCCTGAGTGAGATGTAAGGCTCTTTGAAGTTGCACCCTTTTCCCCTGCCGAGCTAACTTTGGGTCAGTGTCGAGCTTGGAGGGCTGCATACCATGGCTCGTCTCGACACCACAGTGACTGTGATCGACGCCTTCAATCTTCTGTCCAACTTCGACACCGCTGAATTCCTCTCGGATCGCTATGGACGGGAAGAAATCGTCCCCGAGGACGAGAGAACTATCTCCGACCTCATGGTCGATCAGATCGAGTTTGCCGACGTCCTGGTCATCAATAAAATCGAAACCGTCGACCAAGCTACGCGTGACAAGATTATGCAACTTGTCAAGCTTCTCAACCCTGACGCCAAGGTCCTGATGTCCAGCTACTCCCAAATTGACGTCCGCGAGATTATCGCCACTGGCAAGTTCGACTTCGTGCGCGCTGCCTCCGGGGCAGGCTGGCTTCGGAGCTTGCACGAAATGACGATCCAGTCCACGGGCAATGGCAACAGAATGGCGCCTAAGCCTGAAACTCTGGAGTATGGTATCAACAACTTTGTATATACAGCACGACGACCCTTCCACCCTCGTCGTATATTGCCCTTCTCCATGACAAGTTTATTCTTCTGCAGAACAATGAACTAGAAGGGCAAGAGGATGGCAACGAGGAAGAGTCAGAAGAGGAGGTAGGAAATGATGAGGCTGATGATGATGATGATGATGAAATGGACACCGACTCGGTGGAAGACTTTGACCAGCCCGACCCAAATGACATCCTTAGAAACAAGCGAGAGAGTCCAGCTTTCGGCCCTGTCCTACGATCAAAGGGCTTCTTTTGGCTCCCCACTCGCCCCTTCCAATTCGGCGAATGGTCTCAAGCAGGCGGTATCTTGACCATTGGATGTGGAGGTCCCTGGTTTGCGGAGGTTCCAGATGACGTCTGGCCAGAGGACCCAGATGTCCGCAAGTCGATTCAAAATGACTTCCAGGAGCCCTGGGGTGACCGACGCCAGGAGATTGTCTTCATTGGAGAGGGAATTGACCCCGAGAAGGTTTCCGCGGCCCTGGATGAATGTCTGCTGGATGACTATGATATGAAGAAATGGGAAAAGGTCATGAAGAACAAGAAGCTCAGTCGCGAAGCCAAGACAAAGAAATTAGCTGCTCTCTTTGAGGATGGCTGGGAGGAATGGCCCCCGTTTGAGATTGAGGACGAAGAGGAACGGGTGGGCAAGCACCGCATTAGCGAGCACCTGGGCCACAATCACGATCACAAGGGCCGTAAGCACCTGGTATCAGCAACCGCGTAAAAGTGTTTCAGTTAGTCAATTCAAAAGCTCAAGTTTGTTCTAATCCGGTTCTGGTGTGTGGAGTGTGAAGTTTAAGCATCCTGTAAAGGTCGAGCAGTCAGTACACGGCGGAAATTTCCCCCCAGGGAGATTCAAAAGGTCCAAAGTCCCAAGTAGAAACCCGCGGCTACAAAGTGGGTCTTATCGCGTTATCGTCAAGCAACCCCGACTCCGCTTCTTTCCCACTTGCCTTGATTCTCTCCTGCCCCTCCGCTGCTTGGTCGAGTCGCTTTCCTGCTCTGATAAGCTTGTGTTGTTTCTCGATCCCCACAATCGAGGGGCGGATTGCCGCGACGCCGCTGCCCAATCCCTGTGCGACTCCCCCTTGGCTTTAGGTATCACCGGATGGTCGCATGCAGTGGATCCTGAATTGGAGCTCTTTCTTTTCCTTGACTATACTGTGGTTCTTGTGCTCCTTCCAGTATGCTTATACTTTCTTGTTTTGTGTCTGCAGGTATGAGCTAACCAGTGCCTCCTCAGTAATCCCCTTGCTTCTCGGGATCACGGCTCCTGGAACTGATGGAGGTAAGAGAGTCAATTGCACCGCGAGTCTATACCAATCGACCTGATTTGCACCCCCCCCCACCTCTACTTCCCCCTGCCCGATGGCGAATATAAACTGCCCAAGCCTTGACTGGGGGATCCTGCATGCTGCACTGTGGGTGAGACAGACGCTCAATTCGGCCCGCACCTCATGGACACTCGGAGATAAGGGGTCTTCCTTGGCCTCATTCAATGTATGATTGAGCTGCATTACAAACCGAGAGCAGTGCAGGCCCCGAGATTGACTGTATTGATAAGAGTTATGGCATATGCGTCTCGCACCGAGGTGTCGACTTTCTCGGGGAGTATGACTCGTGAAGCGCGAGCCCTGGGTTAGCAACAAACGGCTTTTACACACAGCGACATGTGATGCGATACGTTTGATCCAGTGCTCTTCATCGCCACCCAGCTCCTCTTTCCTATCTCCTTCTTTATGGACCCTCATGATGTCCTTTGCGTCTCTCCACGAATCGTTTTCTGCAGACCCTGATAGTCGGAGACGTCTATCACGCCCCTGTTCTCCACCTCCCTATTCTGCCCATAAGTCAAGTGCTCAGCTAAGCCTTGAATTTCTTTTACAGGGAACGAACTATGCTGCCGGATCGGCACAGGCCAGGTCAGCACTAGTACCCAACACCCAAGCCCGGGATGCGAAGCCACGTCTGCTTTTGATGGGCCTCCGGCGGTATGTACCACTTCTACAAACGGTTGCCAACGATCCAAATGTTCATTGGGACAATAGGAGCGGCAAATCTTCAATTGCGAGTGTAGTATTCCACAAGATGCCCGCAAATGAGACCCTTTTCTTGGAATCTACCACCCGCATCCAAAAAGACTCGATCCAGTCGGTTCCGCCCAAACTCTCTCAATAGCGCGTATTACTGCTAACATCGCAGGTAGCTCCTTCATGGATTTTCAAGTCTGGGATTTCCCAGGTCAACTCGAATACCTTGAGCCCTCCTTTGACCTCGAAGACATTTTCGGCAGCCTCGGTGCCCTGGTATGGGTGATTGATGCACAAGACGACTATATCGACTCGGTGGCACGACTGAACCGTACCATCTTGACCGTGCAGCAATATTACCCCGGGATCAATATCGAAGTATTCATTCATAAGGTCGATGGGCTCTCCGATGAGTACCGAACCGACACATTCCAGGATATTGTGCAAAGGATCTCCGATGAACTTAGCGACGCCGGCTATGAAAATGCCCCGGTACATTACTACCTCACCTCTATCTATGACTATTCCGTCTTCGAGGCATTCAGCAAAGTCATCCAGAAGCTGATTCCGAATCTATCAACACTTGAAAACTTGATCAACACGCTGGGCAACAACTGTGGCTTTGAGAAGACGTATCTCTTCGATGTCCTAAGCAAAATCTACATCGCCTCCGATACACGGCCTGTCGATATGGCCTGTTATGAAATGTGCTCAGATTACATTGATGTCATTGTCGATATCTCAGAGCTCTACTCGTGGGACCATGCCGAGCGTCGTCCCAAGGGCGAACAAATCCAGGAAGCAGAGAGCCATGTGGTCTTGCACGATGAGACGATGATACATTTGATGGAGATGAACAAGTATGCGATGGCCCTTGGAATCATTTTGAAGTAGCTTTGCTAATGGGTGTACCAGATACCTCTGCCTTGTTTCCGTCATCCGCAACCCAGAAGCGAAGGAAAAACGTGGTTTGATTGATATGAATTGCCGCACATTCCAGGAGGCCCTGAATGATGTGTTTTCGCGCAGCTGGGAGCACGATGACCAAGCCAGTGCTTAGTTTAGCGAGCTAGCATTATGTCTTCTCGAGCTACGAAAAAAAGGGTTTGCAGAAATAGCAAATTTTGGGCCCGATTTGTGAAATCAAAAATGTTCCAGAATCCCTCCGGGCTCCCTGATACCTAGAAAATAGCACAGCGATAACCCTCTGTAGCTCAGAGACCCTTATAGAGTACTGCTTCCAAAGTTTATACGATGTTGCCCATCATGTTGCACGTCGTTGGCCGGTATTCCCCCGACTTTTGCACGTCGACTTGGAAGATCTTACGACCACGCCGTACATAGCCGCTCGCCTTCCCCACTCTTCCGCTCCTGCAAAAAACCTCCCCAGATCAAGCATTCCCATGTCGGAGCTTCGCCAACGACCCAATGCGATAGGTTCTGGCTCTAGCCAGAGCCAAGAAACCCCCGCGCGAGGCCAGAAGGTCCACGCTGATGAAAACCGGGGCATCAGCGTCTTGGACATCATCCGCGTGCTCGTAACCCTCGTCCTCGCAATCCTGGGTCTCTCATACTACACCACCAATGGAGAATCCTTTTTGTGGGGATACCGCCCTTGGTTCACACGATTGCCGGTCGTGATGAATTACCTGGTAAGCAAATATCTCGCAGCCATGGAGATGGACAATTCACTCAACAGCTCTCTCCCCCTCTCGCAGACCGGACCTGTCAACCTCACACCGGCCCAACTATCCCTCTACAACGGCAGCGACAAGAACCTCCCAATCTACCTCGCCGTCAACGGCTCCATCTTCGACGTCTCCGCCAATCCCAGGATGTACGGTCCCGGCGGGGCCTACGGGTTCTTCTCAGGGCGCGACGCCACTCGCGCCTTCGTAACAGGCTGTTTCAAAGAAGACCTAACGCCAGACCTGGTCGGCGTGGAGCAAATGTTCCTGCCAATCGAGGACGTCGAGGGCGAGAACTTGTCGAGCGCGCAGAAGAAGGTGCGCCGAGAGAGGGAGATGAGGCTCGCGCGGGCGCAGGTGGACGGTGCGGTTGCGCGCTGGGAGAATTTCTTCCGCAATCATGGGAAATATTTCCAGGTTGGGCGGATTGTGGACTATGAATCGTATAAGAAGGACGATCCTCAAGTTGGGAAGCGAGTGCTCTGTGAGAGCGCGGAGAAGCAGCGGCCAAAGAGGAGTGAGACGGGGCATTTGTAGGGTCTCTGAAACTACCAGTACTGGGTGGGCGTGATAAGATGCACGAATATTCATGTATAGTTAAAATATAGTTATGGAGGATGTTCAGATATATAGAACCGCGACACTTTGGCCCACTTGACACCTTCCATGACCGCATGATAGGGTGAACTGACGCCCTGCCAATATGACTACTATAAAGTTTCTTAACTAGACTTCCTGACTAGTAGGAGGGTCGAGGTTTTGGGAGTTTTGTAACTTTTTGATTTGATTCGTTCTACCTGAACTCAAGATCCAGGAGAGTGAATGCTGCCACTACCAAGATCTCAGGCGTCGAAATCACAAAGCATCACGCCCAGCCGAAGCTTCCCATGTGAAATGATATCATTCGTAGCATAAGGAAAAAAAGAGAACCGCGAGATAAAGTCGAAATCGGGTACGTTTACTCGGCGGTGACGGCACGGGCTGGGATCGCATATGTTAGTATATCTCGGGTTCGCAGGTTTCCAAAGTCGGATGGGGTGAAACGCACTGTAGATGTTGAGGGTGTTGTGGCCAACAACCTTCTTGATCACACCACGCTCCTCGAGGTCGTTCAGGACAGCACGGGCAAGGCTGCCGTTGATCTTGTGACGGTCGACGAGGGTGGAGACAGTGATCAGGCGGTAGGACTGGACATCCTTGTTGAGCTTCTCAGCAACGGTCTTCTCGAGGACGACTTCGTGCTTGGCCTTGTCCTTGACTATAAACAAAAGCACAGTTAGTAAATCCGTTCTGATAATTGTTCTCGAATCTCGCTCTTGCACGGGTGGAGGGGTCGTTTCAACGATTCCGGTTGTCGTCGCTCTATCGGGAAACCGACAAAGTTTGGAAAGTCGTTGTCACGGGGAGTATGGGAACGGATGTTTGTGCTCGTGAGGGTGATAGCGTACCCTTGCCCTTGGACCACTTCTTCTTCTGCTTCTTGCCACCGGTCGATGCTGCGGGCGCCATTTTGATTGTTGGGTGGATGGTTCAAGAGAGACGGAGCGCAGACGGGGTCAAGTGCGAAAATGGCCGTGGGGCCTGACTCAGCAGCAAGCCCTAAGCCCTGAGAGTCCAAGTTGGGGCGACATTGCGGGCTCGGTTAGTCCGCGGCCAATGATTGGCTAGGGGGGCTTGGCGGAGATCTACGCAGCACATCACCGAGAAAAAAAAAGTATAGAAGTATAGATGAATGGTAGCTAATTCATAGTTCTCGTATATGTCTGTGACTATTATTTTTGCAAGCAGCTCTCCTGCCTCTGGTCGCTCTTCGTATCTTCAATCGCCATTACCGGCTCAAGCTACCGGCGTGGCTGCCGTAGCCCCTGTTCGTCATCGAGTTAAGTACCTCGAAATGGCACAGCCCGTCATCGTCAGTAGAAAGATATCCGACAACAAACTCTTCTGTCGATCCGAACCAAAATTCAGATTTCTGATTTGATCCTGACAGCCATTTCACTTCATACTTTCCATTATCATTCTTCTTTGTAGGAACTCGCACGATGATAGGTTGCGTATGGGGTGACCAACATCGCACAGCAGGTAGGGTGTTGGAAATCGTATTGATGAGCAATTGATGTGCAGAGCGATGCCACGCAATTTGCCGGACAGGTTGTTCGTGGACCAAGGCAGATTCGAGTCGAGGTGTGGTACCCATTGCCCAGATCCAAACTACATTAGAGCGCATACTGTCCACGGTCGCCAGATAGGTCCCGCCAGGACTGAAGGTCATCGAAGAAACACCTCGTAGGGGCCCCGATGATTCCGGGCTCATATTAAAGGCTGACGAGCTCGATGTTTCGGCATAATCAGCATCTCCCATCGCACTCGTGAATCGCTCACGCCAGATACTAGGGGAGCTTGTATCTGCCGAGAAGCTATGTGTAAGGGTCGTTGAACAAGAGAACTAGTCACATTAGTAGCAAGAATTGAAAGGCTCTGCATGTTTCATACCGTTCTAGTTCGCAACAAGTCAATAGTCCCATTGACTTTTCCGACCGCGAGCACCTCAGACTCTCCTGTGGGATTCGGCAAACTCCATTCAATCTGTTTTACCCCAAGATCGTATGCAGCATCTTCAGCAGATCGTCCGGTATAAGTTCGGAATAGTTGGCCGTCCGCCGTGAAGATAAGTACCTTGGTGCCGCTACTCGCGGTGTCCCAAACGGCAATCCATCTTCCGTCAGGACTCCATTTGAGCCCCTGGGCATCGATCGTCGAAAGCACTGCCCGATTGACAAGATCATATGACTTGGGCTCATGGATCGTCAAGACATCAGTGGCCTCCGGCTTCAGCAGAATAGCTAATTGTTTGGTTCTTGGACGATATCCGAAACCAAGGTGATGGGCTGACTTGGGTGACTTGATGACAGAGATTCGTCCAGTCTCTAATGAATGGATGGAAACTTTTGTGTTCCATGCATGGAAAACAAGCACTTCGTGCTCGTCACTCCCAAACTCGACGCTCAATGATCCAGGTTCGATATTTTCAATCTCGGCAAACAGCTGTAGCGGGTCTAGCTGCCAAACTGAGATGCGTGCTTCATTGGCACTAAGCAGGTAACGCCCAGAATTTGAAGACCGTTTAGGGCAAAATTTGAGAACTCTGACCCCTGTCTCCTTCACCCTGGCTGTCTGAGTTTCTTTGTGTTCCGAGGTAGGCTCTGAATAGACGATCAAGTCTTTGCCATTGATATGGGCAGCATAGAGCCCATCATCGGCTACAGAAAGCGACAGAGCCCCTGATCATCATCAGCACCATGAAACCTCGTCAGAGTTAGAAAATGTTTACCTCCCCCCCCAGTCGACAACTCCATCGTGTCTTGGTGGTAGTTCGTAGAGAGCTTTAATTTGATCGTGGGCTCGATTTTCAGATCCAAGGAATTCTTGAATTACCCGGTATTCATCTTGTCCCGACCATTACCCGAATGCAGACTCGATTTAGCCTTGTTGCTCTGGTCGAATTCTGGTCGCGTCTTTCGTTTGTAGATGCGGCGCGTCCGATAAGAGGAGAATCGTAGTCCCGCCCCGTGATAAGCGCAACGCCGGAAAAAAAAGATTCGCTCCCCGCGCGGAGACGAACACTCAGTCTTTGCATATCTTTGCATTTCGCCAAAATAGGGTTCTTGACACGGTCAGCTCCCCTCTCGGGGTTTTCCCTTTCTAAATATTGCCGATTCCGTGCCAGAATGTCCACCACTGCTTCCCCGCAAAATGGCGCCTCCAATGGCCCAGAGCACACTCCTGTGCCAACTCCGAAGAAGAAACTCCAAGGACGGCAATTTTATGAAAGCATTGGAAGTCCGAAATATGTTGTTGCGCCAATGGTAGATCGGTCCGAGTTTGTGAGTTCCTCTGTGTGCTCCTAACTGACACTGGGATTAACTTTAATTATTAAGGCGTGGCGTATGCTCACTCGGTCCTTCATGTCCCCTGACGAAAAGAAACAAATACTCGCATATTCGCCCATGTATCACGCACGTCTCTTTGGGGAACAGGCGAAGATGCGCAGCCAGTTCTTCCAACCCACTCGCGGCTCCGCTGCTGGAGAGGGGAATCGTGATGAGAAGCGGAAAGACGAATTATATTTAGACGGCAACCCGCTCTTCGACCGACCTCTATTCGTCCAATTCTGTGCGAACGACCCGAACGAGTTCCTCGAGGCTGCGCGCCATGTGGCACCATATTGCGATGCGGTAGATCTCAACCTTGGCTGTCCGCAGGCATTGCTCGGAAGGGTCATTACGGGGCGTTCCTACAGGAGGATTGGGATCTTATCTACAGGCTGATCAACAAACTGCACACTGAACTCTCAGTTCCTGTCACGGCGAAGTTCCGGATCCAAGAGACTAAGGAGAAGACTTTGGAATATGCCAAGATGATTCTTTCGGCGGGCGCAAATATCATTACAGTACATGGACGTCGCCGGGAACAGAAGGGCCACGAAACGGGACTAGCCGACTGGAGCTACATTCGCTACCTGCGGGATAACCTTCCGCCTGACACTGTGATTTTTGCCAATGGCAACATCCTCAATTACGACGACCTCGAGCGCTGCCTCAAAGAAACCGGTGCCGATGCCGTGATGAGCGCCGAGGGCAACCTGTCCGACCCGACTATCTTCAGCAAGCCTCCAGCTGTCGGCAGTGGCGGCCGAGAGTACTGGTGGGGCCGTGATGGCAAAGGCGGCTACCGCATCGATGCCGTTCTGCGACGATACTATGACATTATCTATAGACATGTCCTTGAACAGCCAATTCCGGAGCGAAAGCCGCTTTTCATCCCCTCTGATCCTGTGGATGAGGCGACCGAGGCACATGAATCGGAAGAGGAGGAAGGACCACCCCAGAAGAAGCAGAAGAAGGACAAACACCGGCGGTCAAATTCACCCAGTCTCAGGTGTCATGCAAGGCCATCTTTTCCAGGTCTTGCGGCCAATGGTCGCGACTCACACTGACGTGCGAGATGCCCTTGCCCGGTCCAAGGGCGGTGATATGCCTGCTTTCGAGCATGTATTAACCCTTGTGGAACGGGCAATCAAATCGGGACTGCTAGAGTACGAGGCAAATCCCGAGAAGTTCGAGAGGTCACCGGATGTCACTTTGACAGGCTCCAAAGCCACTATCGCAGAGTATGGCCGGCCGTGGTGGGTTTGCCAGCCGCATATCCGGCCCTTGCCCGAAGAGGCTCTTGTGAACGGGGCTCTGACTGCCAAAGGCTCAGTGACCACCGCTAAGGGTCGGAAGGATGATGAACCACCTGCGGGCTCCAAATCCGCAGCTTCTGAGAAACCCTCTACTCCGGCCAATGGCGGTTCTGAAACCTCGGCCACTCTCACTCCTGATAATTTAGTGAGCGGTTAAACTGGGACCTTGGTTCCATACAGAGGTGAGGGTATCATGAATAGAGGTGACGAAACTTGCATAGCGATTACATTACTCCATATAATTCCCGCGCTAGACGCAATGCAACTGCTAGTCTATGCGTTCTACATTATCATGCAGACGAGGCTCACAGAGGTATATCAACTCCATTCTCGCTCGATACTACGTCAAGGGCGGAGGATATATAGCACAATCATTCACAGGATAGGTATCATTTCTAATGGCTACCAACAATGGTAGTCCCAGAATCAGGAGAGAAACGCCAGCTCCTTGAATGCCGAGTTACCACTATGAAAGATCTTGTCAATGCGCCTGCGGCGATCCCAGACCACGTCACCATTGGTAGTCTTGATGTACAACACGCGATGCTGTGGAATGAACTCTTCATGGGTTGACTCTCTCTTCCACGCATTGAATTCCACAACTAGTTCACCCTCGAACCGGTCAAGAATCACGATAACATAGTCGCTGGGATCACACGCTGGATCCCATCGAATACGGTTGATGACATCTGCCATTGGTCAATTAGAAATTGGAATTGATTGAGTTTGAAGTTGCCGAATCCTTCCATACCCCCAGCGGGCCGTAATTTATTTTCACCAGAAGCTGGCGAAGACCAGTCTTCCTCTGCATAGCTCGCGTCGTTCTGTTCGGCCGGAGGTGTCGCTGATCGCGACCGTGACTGCCGATTCTCCGGAGTCTCTTTTACCTCCTTGGGGGTGAATTTAGGGCTGAGGGGGGATATCTGAAGCCATGGTAGTAGCTCACTTGGCGGAATGTCTTGAAATCTTGTTGGTAATAGAGGTCATTGGGGCTGGTTGTCAGTATTGCTTTATAGTTCATTGTTGGTTCATTTCGAACAAATTTCTGTCCGGGCGCTCGAATCACTAGGCTGGATGTCGATTGTCACAGCAGCTCGCATTGCACCAATCCAGGACAAATGTGGGGAAACCAGTGGTGTTGGCTGGAGATGACTCTGGTAGACTGATCGTGAGTCATGCGTGGCCGTGGTGTTTTGTTCCCTAGTGACTCATGGGGGGCAGCGACTGCACAGCCACTGTATTTCGGTCCCATTAAAGGAACAGGAGTTTATTCTACAGACGTAGAGCATGAGCCACTCAAGGAGAATGAATTTTGGAAAGGGGTTGGGGGCCACTAAAAAGAAAGAAAGAAAGAAAAAAAAAGAAGGGAATCATCGACACCTCGCGGATTTGAACCGCGGCCCGCGAACGGAATAGATTTCTAGTCTATCGCCTTAGACCAGACTCGGCCAAAGTGCCATGGGTGATCCCACTCGACCATATGGCCAATTGATAGCATTACTCGCTATTTAGTGTTATATGTACCTGCGCTTACCCTTCAATCCACCACTACATAGACGCTCCTTCTGATGCGACCTCATTTCTTCAATTTGTATGTCTAACTTCGGGGCAGGCCCTGAAACTTGACATAGGCTCTATATATATCTGCGTTTTTGAGCATATAGCTAGTAAGAAGAACCAATTCAAGGGATTGGTCCCAATTGCCCACAGCCTCCTGATATATCTGACTATCCCCAGAGTTACTCAAGCGAGTACACTGCCTTTCAGCAGTCCACTTAATCCTAGACGAGGGCGAAAGAACACAGAAAACCCTGTCTGGGCTGGAACCTGAGACTGCAAGCAAGGAAAGAGATACGACCAAGCAGCACCAGAAGATTCAAGTTGGGGGAAAGAGCAGAGTTGGCGCGTAGAGTCGAGACGGGGTCGCGCCTTCCACTTTGATCCTACGAGACTGCCCATTTGGGTATTTACAAGGATGTTTTGATTCTTCCCATTCAAGTGCTGTCAAAGCGACTCCGCCTTCTAATGGACCCTTCAAAGCAGAAGCGACCGCCTCTCCCCCGTTTGTCTACCAGCCTTTCAACAGAGCGGCTGTCTTCCACTTCTCTCCCACTGCACCGGAAGCGAGCCTCAGAAGCCAACGCGCATCCAAGATTCGAGCGGCCCGTGGCCGTGCCATCTCATCACTGTCGAGGTGAGAACCTGATACCTGCAGTGGCAGCTCCCTATTCCCCAGAGACGAAGCCTTTCTGGGCCGCAGACGAGATGGAATCAGTCGCTGGGTCCAGGGCGTCCAGGAACAAAACGAAATACTACGAGGATGCATTCAACACACGCGGGATTTACAACAGTGCCCAGGATCGCGTCGCTCAAGATTCGATTGTCATTGCCGAGCTGAAAACCAATTACAAGGTCTGTTTGCATGATTTCCCTCAATATGCTTGTTCCGCTAACACCAAAACGCAGCCAAAAGACGAGGAGCAGAAGCTTGCGGCCGACCTGCTTTTTCACTTAGCTCAAATCTACGAACGCCCCGAGTCGTCGATCATGGTAACCCTGCAACAAGACTGTGGTATCTTCTTTGGGAATACCAATGAGCCGTCGTATCTGCTGAAGATCTATACCCTTCCCTCGTTCATTGCCCCAGTCACCAACATCCGCCACACTGCTCTGATCCAGACTGCCATGTTGGACTTGTTGCACATACCAGCCAATCAAGGCGTCGTCATCTTCATCCCAGTCCCAGAAGATAACTTGGCAACAAATGGCTCCACCGCGCGGAGCGAGATCTCCCGGCTGGAGAGGAATGAACGTAGCCACTCCCCCGGTATCTTCAAATCCCTCTCTCGGAGCATGTCCCGCCGTCTGAAGTCGAGCAGCGGATACAGTGCGCCAACCTCGCAGCCCTCAGCAGTCGCATCACCCCAGTCTGCCCGAACAGAAACCATGCCCCTACCTCATATTGTGGGGGAGACCGGTGAGTCCAGCAAAGCGGAAAAGTCGAGCAAAAGAAAGGACAAAAATCAGTCCCTCCAGAAGCGAGACTCCGTTACAAGCTTTATGCGTCGCCAAGTGGGTGAGCTAATGGATAGCAAAATCAAGGAAAGGGAGGGGGCCAAAAAGAAGAAGGAAAAGGAAGAGGCACCACAACCGGAGAAGACCACTGGAAGGAAGGATCCGAAGAAGGATACAAAGAAGGATGCGAAGAAGGATGCGAAGAAGGATGCGAAGAAGAACGCGGAGACGAAACCTGGCAACCAAGGAACTGCCTAGGAATGATTTGCTTTTCGAATTATCGTCAACTGGAGCTTGACCTGTCTGATGGTTGCTCGAGAAACTGGCTGCGCTCGTGGAAAGCTTGAAGTATTAGTTATCACCCCTTATTAGTCGACCGCAAAAAACATGATATTGATACCCGACTCATTTCGTGTCCTCTCAGACTCCTAGGTTATTTCGAATCCCATGACTTATCTGCAAGCTCCCTAGAAGAAGTACAGTTGTTGTTAACACATGACATCCGATCTTTAGAATTCTACTGCGTAGGTACGCCAGGAGATTGCAACTGACCATAGAAAGAGCTGAATTTACGTCATTCTCAGCTGTTAAACAGCAGATTCCATATTACTCAATCAAATTCCTTGTCAGGCACTTGGCTGAAGCTCTTCCGTACATTGCTTCATCACACGTTTTCCGTCCGACTATCCCTTGATTGCTGCTGGGCCAATACCTTCTTTTCGAAACTTTTCGTGATTTTCTTGTAGGCAAGGGATACGGAGGCCAAGTATTACTGGCCCTACAGTAACGAGCAGAGAAGTAACCCTGTCGACGAGAGCCGAACCCGCCTCTTATAACTATACCAACTCAAGATCGGGGCGGTGTTGCAAAAAGCCCACCAGTGAAGCAAACCTTTGCGGGCGCGGATCATAGAGCAAGTCGTTCAAATCAATCAATTTGTTAAAATTTCCTTTCCCCCAACCTTTTGAACAGGTTCGTATTGTATAACTACGAATCGAGGCTCCTGCTGTTGGATTAAGGCAGCTCAGGCCGTATCTCGATCTAGCGTGCCAAACCATTGGCGCCAGCCACGGGCCACGTGTTGGAAATACGAGCATCCCTAAAAACGTCTTGAACCGACCTATCCTCCAAGGTTTCGGCCATTGAGACCATTTCCTGGGGTGCACCTGCAGCAGATTTTCACCGGGTTAAAATGCTACGCAGTTTTAAGTCCCCAGAGAGTGCTAATATCGAAATCAATTTTGAGCATATTGTTTGTTCTTCACGACGCCAAATAATCACCACCGGGTTTCCACCTATAAAAGTCCCTTTAACCCAAAATACAGTCAAAATCGAAAACTGCGCCGGTTGACTCCGTCAGAAGATGCGCAGATAGCGCTGGTGGCCATTTCAAAGAACCGGAAACGCTTAAGCAGGAGATATACAAAGAAGATAGAAGGCATAGAAGAGATTGGACGCTAATGGGGGAATCACTGGAGATGGGAGGTAAGGGCTGACACCCGCTCGAATGCAGCTTCCATACTGGAGCAAAGCATGTTCAAACGAGCCTGAGAGTTGGTAGTGTCCACCACGAGCTCGTAGTGAGCGTCGGGCTTTTCAGAACCAACACCATCGAACGCACGTTCAGCACCAGCAACAGTGGGAGGAGCAGGAGAATCAACGAAAAGAGCGAAGGCGGGGTCTGACTCGTCAATCTCGACGTCTGGGTTCAGGACACCAACATCGGTCTTCTGGGTCGACTCCTCGTTCTCTAGGTGTCCAATGACAGGCGCCATGTCCTTGGCAGGCTCAGGAGCACCGATGGGTGACGAAGACTTCCCCGAGAGGGCCTCGACGTCGAGGGCTGGTCCTTCGGGGACATCCAGAACGGCGAAGACAGAGGGGTTGCCAAAGTTCATATCAATTCCAGAGTTCCAGCCACTGTTGTTGATCATCGAAGCATCCATACCCTGGCTGGGGGCCATCATCATGTTGGCCTGTGGGGTTTGCTGCAGTTGGAACTCGGGGCCACGAGGAGCAGCGTCTTGCTTAGGCACGTTGACTTGCTGAGGCTGCTGCTGGGGCTGCTGGGGCTGCTGGGGCTGCTGATGAGCCTGAACCTGAGCGGGAATGCTGTCGGGCATCTCGTTCAAGAAGTTGGCAAAGTGAGGGGATCCCAGAAGCATGCGAGCGAGGTCGTTCAAACGAGCGTTCTCCTCGTACAAAGAGCGGTTTTCCATACGAAGGTCATGAGCTTCGTTGGTGCGAGCCGCGACCTCACTTTCGAGCTGACCAATGTATTCTATGCGAGGTTAGTATAACGTTCGGGCCGGAAGGTGCCAAGGTGGTGGTGATCTTACCCTTGCGACGGGAGCGGAATGCACGGGCGGAGACCTTGTTGCGGAGTTGGCGGCGCTCTTTGCTGCTCAGCTTCTTTCCTTCCTCGCTGGCAAGGAGACGTTCATCCTCGTCCATCTCGGCTTCGTCCTTCTTGGACTTGGACAGGTGAGGTAGGTCTGACGACGGATCAGGGGAGGCCTCGCCGGCCGCAACGGCTCTTTGGCGCATCTGCTGGAGCAATTGAGAGATCCGCTCCTCGACGACTGGGTCGGGGTTGCGGGTACCGCGGTTGGGGGTAGCAGCAGGGACGTCCCCTGGGCGACGCTGCTGTTGCTGCATCTGATGACGGATCATCTCATTTTGCTTTTGTTGTTGGGCGGCCTTGGCCATCGCAGCCTGCTGCTGATGCATACCGGGGTACATGCGACCCACTTGTGTCGATGGACCAACCTGAGCCAGCTCATGGCCTCCGAGTGCATTGGGGTCAATGTATTGATTCTTAACGGCAGTTGCCGAGTAGAAGTAGGGGTTGGAGCTCATGCTGTCGGACTCGACGTCCATCTCAGAAGGGTTGCGAGCTGGGACGGTGTTGAAGTCGAAGGGGGTCTCGTCCCGCTTGATGTGCTGAGCAGCATACATGTCGCCGCCCATCGGGTAACCTTGGCTGCCGTTGAAGTTCATCGGGGTCACTTGGCTATAGGCCATGGAGAGGGCCCGGCGGCAAGCCAGTCTGTTGGCGGTGCTCTTCATAGTGGTGACTTGGGGCTTGGAAAGCGATTGGGGATTGACCACTTGAAGCAAAGCTGGCACTTCGGTCGCTGGTGAACTCGGTGTTCGCGACCGAGGGCTGACTGGCGAGAGCAACCTTAGGACGGGCGACATCGGCGGAGGTGTAGGCCAGCTGGTCGAGATTGATAAAGGTGTCGAGGTCTTGGTCGTACGCCGTCGTCGGCATGGGGGAAGCGAGAGTAGCCATGGTGAGAGTCAAGGGTTTCCCCTAGGATGATGATAAGGGGTTTGGGAACGATCAGGAGTGGAAAAGGGAGATTAGAAGGTAACGAGAGAAATCTGAGAACGAGAGTCTAGGAACGGGGGATCCGCAGAAGAAGAACGGTTGGCTCGCGTCGAGATGATTGACAGGGGAGAAAAGAAGGAAGATCAGGATTGCGTGGCTCCAGGCTATTATTACCACTGGAAATCCCAGCTGCCTCCAGCGCTCCCGACTTGGCGCCCGGTGACTAAGCAGGCACTTTGGCCCTGGGGCCCCGGGGTTACGAATTTGTGATTGGTTGCTGAGGATGCACAGGCCCGCTTGTCTACTGTGTACAGGCGAGTCCGTTTCGAACCCTGCGTACAACCATACAACCATGGGTGCGCTCTGCCATTAACGATCTTCAATCTGCTCTCCAGCATTCTATGAGGACATCACGCTCGAACGGCACTATTCACCTCTCCCAGCATTGGAACGCCCGTCGTTATGCCTGACGCCGCTCGAAACAGGTAGGTGGGGGCCCAGGGAAGAACCCCCGGAATCCCCTCTGATAGGTCGCGAGGCCAAAACCCAGGCGTGTTAGGTGTGTTGTGGCTCCACGGCCTCTGTTTCAAAAGGGAACGGGACTCCGCTTGACCGGATGACGGTAGTGGCTTAGCCCGGTTTTTACCCAGCATTCTTCACGTCGAAACAGGCCACGGAAAATGCTCTAATATCCCAAATATGCTATATAGTGTGACAATCACCTGTGCAGGACCCTAGGGGGAGCAGCAACTGCTTTCCCAGTATTGTGTTGAGGGTGCGAACCCGGATTCCAACCGGGAGCATGCAAAATTGCAGAATTGCAGAACTAGTTCACTCGGTCTTAACCATCGCAATTGCGCAGGGGAGAAAACTTCCATAGTATGAGCGCTTTTTTGGCGTCTCAATATTGCGGCGGACAAGGAACGCTCTAATCTCTAGCCGGCCCACCATGGGGCAACTATCTGGGTCGAGAAGCCGAGGGACTCCGCAACTCCGCAACCCGGTGCGGTGCTTGATCCTTGGGAACCCTGGACGATAATCCTTAGAGACACTGAAGACAAGGAGAGACTCTGCACAGCGCATGCAAAATGAATCATTCAAAACGCGTGGCCTCGCCTCAATGCCCACCAGTGCTAGAGCAGTTAAGGTAGTTTAACGCTTTTCAGGGCAGAAGTGGGAGGGAAGTGGGAGGGAAGTGGGAGGGAAATCTAAGTTTAGTCTCGAACCCAACGGACCAGATTTCCCTTTGCAGCAGCGATTGTCTAAGGCTGTCTGTCGTCACTACGCAGCTAAGCCTATCTGTTTGCGCTTCAACTGCCAACGGTATGCTGGTTTTCTCTTTTCTTTGCTACCTAAAAAGGACGTATAGCCTTCTCACCGTCGCGGGTCCTACTTTTGAGTCGCTTGAGCGGCCTAGTATGTCGACGGATGTTAAGGTATTAAACTACTCTTGGCGTCGCCGGTTCTGCGGCACAACTTTGCCGGATTCAAAGCGGCTGCGAGATGCTGGGTGGAACCTGAGGGCTCCGGATCCACTTCCCATCCTGCCGTGGCCGAGGCTGCGATCTCACATCTTGTCTGATCTTTGCGTCCTGGGCTTAACCCTGGTCTATGTACTAGAAAACATGGTACCGTGAACTATACTCGTATTTCGATCTGAAAGCAGTCATTATTGGTGTGCGCCTAGTTCTAGCTCTCGGGAGCATTGACCTGACTAACATTGCAAGATCTTGTGGTAAAAAAAGGTAGATACCTAGATAACTGCCGACGACTGCAATCAGCTCTGCCCTTGTTCGTCGTGGTCATGAATAGAACAGTCGCGGCCGATAGTGTTGAGCTTTCGCCACTGGCGAGGAAACAAGCCGCCGGCCCTGGGAATCAAAGGCTTCGGCGATAACGTTCTCAGGGTGCCTACTCGTCCGAAAGCTAGTCTCAAACCCAGACCGTGCCGACGAACCGAGAAAGTGTCTGCCTGTATTTAACTTTTCAAAGAACTTCCAAGTCCGAGTCTCCGTATCCCCATTCCAACTGACAGACAATGACGTGCCATTCGCCTCTTTGAAAGCCATCAAAGCGGGCTCCTCGTATGGAAGAGCATGCCATTCAAATTTGAAGGCTCGATAGTTTTCTGTCCCAAGCCCAAGCTTCCCAGAGTCCAACCCCGAATAGAAAATAGTAGTACCGTCAGGCTTGTGCTCCAAAAGGGCGCCATTATACCCCCAATTGATAAATGCATTGCCATTGGAAAGGAGCTGAAGGTTGCCCTGAGACCGGACCGACAGATCCCCAGGCGCCCGGAAAATGGCGATCAATTTGGCCTGCTTCGTCGCAGTATCTAATTCGACAACTTTCCCCGCGCTATATTTGCGGGCTTTCAGGTCGGGACCACCGGCAGGGTTTTCATGGGCAGAATTGTCAAAGAATGATATGATTTCCTTCGAGCCCTTCGATTCGTAGTTGAGATATTTCCGGTGCATCCGCGTATCATGCTGCCAGCAAAAATCAACATCGTCTCCAAGGGCGAAGTCTGAATCCTTGCCCCCCAGGCGCCAAATAATATCTCCCGTTGCTCCATCCACTTTGAATATGGTGCACATACTCCGAGCGGATATCAGGTAGGTGTCCGTATTTGGATCCACATCAAAGGCGTTCATGTAGAAGTAATGCCAAACCTGGGACGAATTCGTGCCCAGTCCAGCATTTCCGCTTTGGAGGGTGAGGTTTGTTCCAATGGGATCCACATGGTCTAGGGAGCTCCATTCCCACAAGACTCGGTTGGACGAGATGTTGACCTTCTGGATCTTATTATCCAGTATCCACTGCTGGCTCGCGGATGTGGCACCGTATGGAGTAAGATCTCGGATCTCGGGATCGAAGACAGTAAACACGGCAGAATCGTCGTCGTAAAACAAGAATTCATGCTGATCCGCCAGCTTATGTCCTCCGCCTCGGATCTGCTTGATTAAGCGATACTGATTGTCGAAGATTGCGGTATGCCCATGCCCATGGCCCATTGGTGAATTATGAGAGCCTTCAAATATACTCAGAACTTGCTCCCTCTATAGGAGTGGACTAATGTTGTGCGAAAGCTTTCTATACAAAATTCGTCATGGAATGAATCAATTAAACGTAGTACCGGTATAGAGGCTGACTCTTCTCTCTATCTCGAAAATCTAATACTCGAAATCTGACGAGTCAAGAATGTCGACTTTGTGTGTGACGGAAGGACTACCCATCCTGGTGTTTTCAATTGGAATCTGGTGGGTGCCAATCGCTTCCTGGTGAAAGCCGACCGTACGCTGGTGTCAATATTTGCTTTCTGGTGATATAATGTCATTTTAAGTTGCAGAGAACCTTTCATGGAGCCCTGCCTTGAAGCAGAAACGCCTACACTATGGATATTGACTTGGGAAAGATTCACATTCTTACGCGTAGTCCTCACCCGATTATCCCTAGTGCCTGCTTCAAAACCATAGAGACCTCACAACTCTATGATAGTCTTCATCGCCTATATCTGTATCTCGAACGTGATGACTCCCTCTAGCAATCGGGCTTCCCGATCTCGCGGCCGCCGATGGAGGCGAGCGCCATCTTTTTGCAAAGCTTGGGCATAAGCTCTAAACAAGCGATTTCGTTGAGCGAATTGATGTGGCAGAACTAAAGATCAATTGGACCTGTCAATCTGTCCGTGTCGGCGGTTCGAAGGATGTTTGCGGGTCAAGAGCTGGAAATAACCTGGTCTCGACTACAATTTCCCAGGGCATGAAGAAAGCAACATTTCTCCTTTCAGTTTTTTGTTTCCCCATTGGTGTACCACGAAGTGGCAGCCGCCGGTTACAAACTGCTAGTGAGGCAGAAAGGGCAATATGGGGCTACTAAGGGTGGATTGAAAACAGCCAGGTTCCAGCTCCACGGACCCCAAACATTTCAGCGGTTCGGTCGATTAAGAAAATGTCCGAGAATACTGGGGTCTATCGGTGCCACGTGCTAGAAAGGAGTCTCAGGTGATACCTGGAAATTAATACTGACAAGGTCATGCTTCTGCTTAACATTCTCATTCAGGATGATGCTTCGAGGGCCAAGGTGGTCATTCCTCACGACACACACATCAACGATCGCATCATATCACGCCATTCAAGTCGCCGCGATGCACATCATTAATCAGCTGCCTATCGCAACGTTTATGGATGGCGCCATATGAAAGGTTTAAAAAGTCATTGCTTGCTGTATACTTGTGATGACTGCCTGTCCTGTTATTTACTATGAGAATGACCGGTTGCTGTTCTAGTAGTCAACAGCTTCATACAAGGATCGTCTATGTATCATATACATGACATTCTCTAAAATGATGGAATACCAATCCCACATACTAGAATATACTCAGGACATTCCCAGGGCTTTGGAATAAACATATGGTATATGTTCGCTTCCGATAAATCGGCTGAGCTTATCCTATCAGGCAACACGACAAAAGATGGCGTTAGCTGGACAACAGATTACGTTCAAGACGGCGAAGCGGGGAAATGGGATATTTAAGTTGAAGTAAACTCGTAGAATAACAGGGCATAACAAAGTCCAGTCAATCAAAATGGCCCCCTCTATTGCTGAAATCCCCACAGCCAACGTAGTTGTGCCTGTCAAAGATACCCCAGCAGCAGCGGAGAACAAGCCCAAAATACGACGGGTTATTGAGGAAGAAGGCGGCACGACAACTGCCAGTGTATGAATCTTCAAAACGAGTCTTTCAAGCTTGAGAGATCGCTAATATTGGCAACTTTTTAGTATCCGCACTATCTTCCTACCTGGAACCATGGCGAGAAGTACGAGCCGCTTCAGCCCTTCGATCACTACGACCACGGGAAAGACGCCGACCCATCATTCAAGGACCTTTTGACCGAAGGCTCCAGAATCCAGAAGCTCACCCCATCCACCGGCTCTGAAGTAACAGGTGTGCAATTGAGCAAGTTGAGCGATGCTGGCAAGGATCAGCTCGCCTTGCTCGTGGCACAACGCAAGGTTGTTGCGTTCAGGGACCAGGACTTCGCCGACTTGCCAATCGAGAACGCTCTGAAGTTCGGAGGATACTTTGGCCGCCACCATATCCATCCCACGTCCGGGTCACCGGAAGGCTTCCCGGAAATCCATCTTGTCCACCGTGAGTAGTGTGATCCTCCAAGGTCGAACGGAAGACTAATTGCGCGAAAGGCAACAACAACGCCTGGGAGTTCGATGAGTACCTCGCTGCAAAGAATAGTAGTGTTTCCTGGCACTCGGACGTCACATACGAGAAGCAGCCACCAGGCACCACCTTCCTATATGCCCTCGATACACCAGAGGTTGGAGGCGATACTGCCTTCGTGAACCAAGTCGAGGCATATAATAGGCTTTCGCCCGCGCTCAAAGAACGTCTGCATGGCCTGAAAGCTGTGCACTCGGGAGTTGAACAAGCAGAGAACAGCGCAAGCCGCGGAGGAGTCGTCCGTCGTGAGCCTGTACAGAGCATCCACCCTCTCGTCCGGACGCACCCCGTGACTGGCGAGAAGGCCCTTTTCGTCAACAACGGTTGTAAGTATATCATATCCCAAATTCTCGTTCCCTCAATTAATAGTATCCAGTCACTCGCCGTATTGTGGGATTGAAGACAGAAGAAAGCGACGCCCTTCTTGGCTTCTTGCTCGCCCATATCAGCCGCGGAATTGATTATCAGGCTCGCGTGCGCTGGGCTCCAAAGACAGTCGTAGTCTGGGACAACCGGGTCACAGCTCACAGTGCGATTGTTGACTGGACAACAGGCGAGCGCCGGCACTTGGCTCGCATCACCCCCCAGGCTGAAGCACCGTTTGAAACCCCATATGTCCCTGAGAAGGAACCACAGGCTTGAAGGTAGTGAAGTAATACGCAGAAAGAAATAATTGGCCCAAATAAGATATAAAAATGAGGAATAGTGCTAGTAGGATCACTCACTGGCAGTGCGGAGTAAACCGAATGGTATGCCGTCTTGCGATTAGACAATAAAAAGTGAAACCAAGTATTTGTTCACATTAGAGAAATGTATGGCGCAGAAGACAACAGAATGGTATCTTTGAAAACAAATAAAAAGCCCTATATGAGAACCCTGAATGCTTGATGCGAAATCTTAGTTTAGAGTCGACTTGAATCCATGATAAGCTTGCTCGATGTCAAAAGACAGCTCTCTTGCCTGCTCCTCACTCAGTTCCTCGGTAGCTCTCATTTGGTTTAGCGTGATCAGCCATTGAATGATCTTGCCTCTGTTCTCAAAATCGCTATCGGTCACCTTGTTCACTGATTGAATAACTTCTGATAAGAGCGGATGCAGGGCGTCCTTGGAAACCATGTTCAGTTTCAATGCATCGAGGAACGTGATGAAGTTTTCTGTCGCAAGGAGAATCAAGCTACCAGCTGCCCCCCCCAGAGGCACCTGCTCCAGTTGTGTTGCTCGTTGCAGGTGTGCCATGCGAAGCTTGTTCGACCGTGGCTGGGAGACCGATTCGGAGCCGCTCAGTCGCTCGAGGGCACTCCAACTGGTGCATGATTGGTAAGTAGACCGTTCATCTGCCAATAGAAGCGGGAGACTTACACCCCAGGTTCGCTTGAATGTCTCCAGATCCACAAATTCGCGCGACACAGTATCATCGCCCAAGCTAGATTTGTACTGCTTTAGAAGTCGGGTGCATGTCTCCGTGTATTCGGCCTCTGTGACCACATCCTTAATGTATGCCTTCTCAAGACCGTCAAGTGTAATAATTATGCTGTATATTTCGGCAAGGGATTCGTATAGCTCGCGTTCACCTGAGCTCGATATTAATTTCACCTCCTGTAGTGGTTTAGCAGATGCACCCCGCGTCGGATCGGACGAGATCGACATACTTCATCGAGATTTATGGTGGCCGACCGCGCAGGATTTGGAGTAAAGCTATATGGGGTTGGTGCATAAGCTAGTGGCCGTTGAGCATACATCTCGAAATACAATTCAGCTCGTGAATGGGCCAAGGGCCATGGTGGTGGTCCGAGGATATACAAGGCGGAGCAACCAGCGCTTATCGTTATCGCGGACTGATAGGCGGTGTGTGTTCTGCCCGGTCCAACCCAATTTTTTTTTTCGAGCTTTTCCTCCGACGAAGTCCACTATTGACTGCAAGTTGATTGCAGAAATACCGCCAAGATGGTCAAAAAATCGACCAAGAAGTTCGAGAAGAAGCACCTCAAGGACATCCTTGAGCGGCGCAAGGAGAATGCTAAAGTCAAGCAACGCCACCACATGAACGACAAGCGCAAAGAAAAAAATGCCATCCGCCGTCAAGCCGAAGATGATACAGCCGATCCTGACCCCAACAGGGCCAAGAAGGAGAATGCCTTCGCGGAGATGAATGTTGACGACTTTTTCGCTGGAGGTTTCGAGATCCCTGAACAGACCAATGGCAAGAAGAAGGCCAACAAGAAAGACGTGACCCCCAAGACTGGCAAGCGCAAGCGCACCGCAGGCCAGGCCGAGGATGATGAAGAAGTCTCTGCCGAAGAGGCCAGCGACGATGGATCTGATGCAAGTGATAACGACGAGGCGAGTGTCGATGGGTTTGATGAGCACAAAAACCAGCTGGAGGCATTAAAGGACAAAGACCCAGAGTTCTACAAGTATCTGAAGGAAAACGATGCGGAGCTTCTCGACTTCGGTAACCAGGGTGATCTGGCCGAGGTTGACAGTTTGAGCGAGGGTGAAGCTCCGGAAGAGGATGAGGGCCCAGCAAAGAAGAAAAAGAAGAAGGCGAAGCAGCAGGAAGAAGAGGCCGAGGACGAAGCTGCCGACAATACATTGACAATCCCTATGGTGCAGAAGTGGCAGAAATTGATGGAGGAGCAGAACTCAATCCGTGCGATGCGCCAGACGGTTCTTGCGTTCCGTGCGGCCGCTGCAGTCAACGACACCTCAGCCCCGGAGCAGAAGTACACGATCTCCGATCCGAATGTTTACCACCAAGTCTTGGTCACTGCTCTTAATGTCGTGCCGAAGGTTTTGGGACACCACTTGCCCGTCAAGGAGACCGCAGGCGGCAAGATCAAAGTCTCTCTTGACTCCAAGAAGTTCAAGACTCTTACGCCATTGATCAAGTCGTATACATCTTCTGTGCACCAACTGTTGATCAACCTGTCAGATGCCTCGACTCTCAAGTTGACCATCTCAGCCATGGAGCCCATGCTTCCTTACCTTCTTCAGTTTCGCAAGGTGTTGAAGACCCTGATCAAGACTGTGGTCAGTATCTGGGCTGATGTTTCCACCGCCGATGCGACCCGAATCACCGCATTCCTTCTACTCCGTCGCCTTATGGTTTTGGGTGACGCTGGAATTAAGGAGACTGTGCTGAAGGCTACATACGAGGGAGTCGTCAAGGGAAGCCGCAACACAACGATCCACACTCTTGCAGGCGTGAACTTGATGAAGAACTCCGCCGCCGAGATTTGGGGTATCGACCAGAACGTTTCATACACTACCGGTTTCTCTTTCATCCGGCAATTGGCCATGCACTTGCGTAGCAGCATCACCAACACGTCGAAGGAGTCATACAAGACCATATACAACTGGCAATATGTGCACTCCCTCGACTTCTGGTCCCGTGTTCTCTCGCAGCACTGCGACGGTCTCGTCGAGGCTCAACTTGGCAGGCAATCTGCCCTGCGCCCTCTCATCTACCCAGTGGTCCAGATCACCCTTGGTGCTATGCGTCTGATCCCCACCGCCCAGTACTTCCCTCTCCGATTCCAGATGACCCGTGCTTTGCTGCGTATCTCTCGCGCCACGGGCACCTATATTCCCCTAGCTTCATCACTACTGGAGGTGCTAAACTCGGCCGAGATGCGCAAGGCGCCTAAATCCAGCACATTGAAGCCTCTCGACTTCAACACCGCTATCCGCGCTCCCAAGTCCTATCTTCGCACCCGCACCTACCAGGACGGCGCCGGCGAGCAAGTTGCCGAGCTGTTGTCCGAGTTTTTCGTGCTATGGTGCAAGAACATCGCTTTCCCGGAGCTTTCAGTCCCCGTCGTTGTGTCCTTGAAGCGCTGGCTGAAGCAGGTCTCTGCTCGAAATGGCGGCAACAAGAACGGCAAGGTCAACCAGATGCTCCTTTTGCTAGTGCAGAAGGTTGAGGCTAATGCCCGCTGGATTGAGGAGCGTCGTCTGAATGTTACCTATACCCCTCGTAATCGGACTGAAGTTGAAGCTTTCCTCAAGGATGTGGATTGGGAGAGCACTCCTCTAGGTGCTTTCGTCAAGACCCAGCGCAAGTTGCGGGAAGAGCGAGCCGCTGTGCTCGAAGAGGGACGTCGCGAGGAAGAGAAGCGACGTGCCGAGCAAAAGAAAGAAGATGAAAATGAGATGATGGATGATTTCGGCAGCGATGACGGTAGCGACGAGGATGAGGCAGAGCTTGAGAGTGAGGATGAGATCGAGGAGGAGGACGAAGAGGAGGACGAGGACGAGATGGAGCTTGAGGAAGAATAGAATCCCTCATGTTTGGATCCCAGTGTATATCCTTTGCCATTACGTTTACTATAACTTACTATCAGATGTACGCATCAAAAGCACAAGGCGTTTTCATTTCCTCATTAGGTCATCTCTATTATTCTATCCCACCGCTGTTCTGTATCGTTCCTACGTCTAGTTCTAGAAAGCAAATGTATATGCAAAAAGGAAGGCACGGTTAGCCACCCTACACAGTGCCAATCGGCACAGGACGAGGCATGCTTCTCTCTCGGCGAAGTGCAGCGTCTTCCTCCTCCGCCCAAGCCAACGACTCACTGGGGAGCATAATTGCCTTGTCGATGGCAACGGGGAGCCCTCTGTGACGGCCGCGAAGAGTGACAGCAGCCAGGATCAACTTGCTAATGGTATGCCAGGCACCACAAAACGAGTAGTTTGCGCCAGGATAGCCGACACTAACGCCGACACATCCGTACGCGGATACAACCTCGAAAATGATATTGAAGGTAGAGAATGCCACGGGCTGATCGGTGTAATGGTCCGCCTCGGCGATCGCAATGAATAGCACTGCCAGAGCGATCCACCAGAGATCATGGCTCAATTGAGATCGAATCTGCTGGTGGACAAAGTAGCCGCGAGACGTCTCAGATCCACCAGGCCGCCCGAGGTGCTGGCGTATGATATCGACCAGTAGATTGGTGCGGCTTGTGTTTGCCGGAGAATCGGGGGACTCGTCGCAGGAATATATTCCAAGTGACCGTTCTTCGTAGATATTGGTGTTGCGTATAGTGACCAGCACAGGAAATGCAGAGACATACATCATGAGAACGTAGAGAACAAGCAAACCTTGGCGGAGATCGGCGATTGTCACGACATAGAAGCCACCAGACCGAACGGCCGTGGCCTGAAATAACCCGTCGAGAACCCGGTACTCGGTTGGGAGAGTTTCAATTTCTTTATTGCCGATTGAAAGAATTTCGAAGCCGATCCAGTCGATTCCGTTCAGAATGATAATTGTCCCCAGCAGATACCAGGTGTGACGAGCTGGAAAGAGATTTGTGTAAACTCTGCGGGGGTGATCTAGAATGAAATCAAGGGTGACTCGCCATGAGTACCAAGCGGGTGTATTCGGTAGAAGCATCCTCATAGTCCGTATAATGAACCTCAAGAAGCAAGGGTAGAGTGTATTGCCAGCCAAAATGAGAAACGACATGGTCAGGAGCGGGTATGCGTTCAGCTGCAAAGCAGTCATGTTGGCGTCTAATAGCGCCATACCGCTATTCACAAACGCCGATACAGCAAAGAAAGACCCCGTCCAGAAAGGCGAAAGTCCATTGGCGCGAGCGACTTCGGGGTGATTGATTGCTAGCCAGGTTCCCAGGCCTATAATACCTAGCGAAAGGAATAGGAAGAGGTAGAGAGAAACGACCACTGTCAAGAAGCAAACGGCTTTGTATTCGACTCCGCCTAGCTTTGCGCGCTCGGTAGATGTCAAGCCATGGAACTGAGAATTACGGGAGATGATTCCCTTGGAAGAAAAGTACTTCTGGGTACCTTGTAGGATCCCTTTCAGTCCAGACTTAGGAAGATCTTCTGTGTATAGAGGCATTTGCACTGCATCACGAGGGTCATTGTGCAAATCTGGGCGGGCGCCGACTCCCACCATGGGAAAGACGCGATGATGGTGATGATGGTGATAGGCTTGCTCCGCGACAGTGACCTGGTCATCATCTACCCAATTTGGATCTCGAGATGCGATCGGTGTCCCCTGCACGGTTACACTCGCCGCCTTCTGACGTAAATCAGTGGTCGGAGCATGATGATTGTGGCCTGACGTTTCGGCATTGGATGGCCCCTCCTGCGGAAGGGTGTTCAGCTCCAGCGCAGACGCTCTCCGAGAAGCTTCACGTTCTAGCGAAAGAATGTTCAGCTTCGATTCAAAAGCACGTTTACGGATGATGAGCACCGCGATTGACACAAAGATTGGAGAACCCAGAATAAGGAGCAGGAATAAGGTAGCCTGCTGGAAGGTGTTGAGACTTGACAAGTCAACCTGTTGGCCTGAGTTAGCAGTGGGATACATAGAAGCGACGGAAAAGAACCTCATACCGTGTTTAAGCCTGCGCCTGTCATTGCGCTCACACATAGGAACAAGGAGTCGATGTACGCTACACTCTTCCATGGCGTTGATGCTAAATAAAAAATGATGCTCGTGATAAGGCCTGTTACAAGGAAGTAGGCATAATGCAAGCTTAGGAAATTCGCTGGCGGCAAGATGGCGATCAGAAGGTGCTTCATCGAAGCGCGCGATACGCGCACTGGAGGTTGGTCAGAGACTCAGAGTCGAGGTCGGAGGACTTTAGACAAGGAAGACATACTCGTCTCGGATAGAACACTGGCAGATCAGGCACATGAAGAAAGACTGAAGAAAAATCTCCCAGCGAACCACTACGCCTTCATGCGGGGCGGTATTTGGGGGATTAGTCGGTGAAGCCAAAGGCTGTTTGCACGTTTTGCTTATTGACACTCTTGGCTATTACGTGGGACTGCAAGAAGCAGCCCTGGCAGACGACGGACCACGACAGGTTTCTTGCGCTCTTTGAAATGCAGGAACCTCCCCTAGGAACATTCAGGAAGAGGTCGAAACTTGACCGTTGATCTTAAAATTTCGAGTATCAACATCGGCCCCACTTGGATAAGATTTCCCGGCTAAGTAATGCCTGGTGCTTTGGCATCTGCCAAAATAGCAACCATGTAGTTTGTCAAGAGATGAAAATTATAATGGTGTTAGTAATATAGTTTCCATGCGGTCTACCAGTCTACATTTTGGCATGCAAATTTCGTACAAACCTAAGGTTGGGTATCCTTGATGCTACCTAATGTATGCACGAGGCTCTCACGATAGGGCTGGATTAGTACGGGCCGGGCGGAGAGAGGTACTGAAACTAGTATAGATCAGTCTAGAAATAAAGTTCAAGACCAAAATGAAGCACTGAAATTCATCCAGCTAGGCTGAAAGCATCTTTTGCACTCTTTTGACTAGACTTTGTTCGAACTGATCTACCCCGTTTGCCTGTTCGTTCAATTTGCCGGCTTTGACAACGTACACTGACCGGCGTCGACTCTTGCTCGGCTCCGTCTCCTCTTCCTCTAATCCTTCGAATTCTTCGTCCAGTTTGTGTTCCATATCTCGCTTGCCCTCCACAACTGATCGGACCAGGAACCGGTCGTGTGAAACCACAAGAAGAGCACCTTCGAAAGACGAAAGGGCAGTGGCCAATGCGGTCACCGTGTGGTAGTCTAGATGGGTTGTGATCTCATCAAGGATGAGGAGTTGTGGCGCATTCCAGACAATCCGAGCTAGAGCCAGTCGAACCAACTGTCCACCGGACAACTTTGCAACAGGTACATCGGAAACAGTACGACCGGCCAGACCCATGGAGGATAGCAAGGCTCTCACCTCGCCCTCGCCCAGTGAACTCCCCGTCTCGGCCATTAAGAGCCCTAGCGCAGTAAGTCCAGCCTGACTTCGACCGAGATCTTGTAGTTCCTCCACTGAGTGTTGGCTATAATAACCTGTCTTAAGTCGAGAATGAGTCGTGACTTTTCCCTTAGGAGAGGAAAGGTTGCCAGTGAGAACACCAATCAATGTAGACTTTCCGGATCCATTGAGCCCCATTATACCGACACGATCACCCATATGGACAGTCAAGTTGACGTTGTCAAGGATGATGCGTTCAGTCTTCTTGTATTGGAAAGTGATCCCTTCGAGAGAAACCAAAGGCCCCGGAAAGCGTAGCTCAGTTGGATCCGGAAGACGCATGGTCGCGCCTCTCTCTTCCACGGGGACCTCAATTTCCGGTCGAGAAGTGAAATGGTATCCGGGCATGTCACGGCTGAGTTTGAAGCGACTGCCATTAGCACCGACCTGCAGACCTACGCGATCTTCGACCCTTTTCTGGCGCGACTTTGCCTGACGTAGTTTGTTTTCATCGCCGGTTCTCTTACCGACTTTCATATTTTCACGAATGCTTGCTTCCATGTGAACTTTTTGTCGTTCTTGCGCTTCCTTCATACGACTCAGGTATAATCTTTGCTCCTCAAAGTCTTGCTCGTATGCGGCTAGGTTACCGCGGAAGTAGTTCAGTTTCTGGTCCCGCAGTATCACGATCTCTTCACACACAGCGTTAATAAAGTCGCGATCATGCGATACGAGAAGAACCGTGGTTTCGGAAGACTCTCGGAGAAGCTTTAGGTAGGTTTCTAGCCATACCACTCCAAGCAGGTCAAGAAAGTTGGTAGGCTCATCCAAGATCATAACATCAGGGACCTGGACTAGAACGCTTGCGAGCATACATCGCATTCGCCATCCACCAGACAATGTAGAGACTTTTTTACCTAAAGAGTCTTCTTTGAATCCGAGCCCTGCAAGGACTCGACGGGCCTCTTTCTCCACGTCTGCGAGTTTCATCTAATACAGGTCAGCTGGAAAGCAACACGCTCTGTGGTAGAAATGTTCATACATCTTCCAGACGGGACTGTAGGTTATGGAGCTCTTCCACAGCCTCCTGGGTATCTGCCTGAATTGTCTCCGCATCAACAGCCTCTAGGTCCTGTTCGAGCCTTTTCAGATGTTAGCATGGGGCGCCCAAGGAATCAATTGGGACCTACAATCTTTGCATAGACTCCAAATTCAGTTCAGCAGCCTTCAGATCTTTTCTGGCTACTAGGCCCCTTGCACCGCTTTTCAGGTTGGCGTTCTTATCTGCCAGGAACAGCCTTTTCTGCGCTTGCTCATGTTTGACCTTTCGAATGGCCCGAACTGGACCGAGAGGATCATTATCCTCGAAGGCTTTTGAAAGGACTGCAGGAAAGTCAATGACCCGTTTTATTCTACAACACAGAGAGGCCTCACAATTTGCAGTCTTCACCATCTCGTTTCTCGTTGTATCACTACTGAGAACCGCATCGAGGACGGTTTTTTCCAAGCTCAGGCCATAGGAACCCTCGGAATCATCCTGCGTCTGTTGTAAGATGGCGACCCGGGTTGCATGCGGAATCCCAGGGATAAGCTTCTCAGCCATTGCTCTCAGCAGCGCTGCAAGACCGACTGTTAGATACGTCTCGCAGAGATGGATAGATGAGCGCCTTACTAGATTTGCCTGTGCCATTACGCCCTAATAGTCCATAATGGATACCTCCCTTCAGCCGGAGGTGTCCATCAGTAATGAGCTCCTGGCCGCTGAGCATGACCTTTGATTTGCCCTTCCCCTTGGGCTTAGAAGCATCGTCTGGATCTAATGGTTTTGATGTGACGGTGATGCTCAGGCCTTCTACATCGATCTTGGCAAATGTGAGTATTACGATCCAGCCAGAGTGAGTCCCTTGTCCGGTACGAACCTCTGATGAAGGAGCATCGTCTAGAAGATGGAAGCGAGTCTGCTTGCATGTTGCAAGAATCGTAGGAGCCGAGGTCATGGTCGTTTCCTGTCCGCCGTAGAAGCGTTACACCTCGGTCTTTAAAGGACAGACATGAGGTGGTCCAGGCGTGTGCCTATGAGGAATATCGCTGCTGCGACCGTGAGATGGCACTCGTAGCTCATCGCCACTGGGTCTGCCATCCCTGCCGGTACCAAGATTTGAGATTAACGTTGATTATTCATGATTTGATTTTCCAGATCTACTCATCATCACAGGGGTTGGGGTCCCGATTGGGGTTAACTTACTGCGTGAGGGGGTCGACGATGCAGCCCAAGCGGCCCACAGTGGAGAAATCTGCAGGTGACAATCCATGTATCAATCATGACTCACTTCGATATTGATGAACCACACTCCCAAGACACCAACAAGTGGGTCTTGAGGATAATACAAGCCTAACCTAGAAAGGACAGGGAAAGGGTCACAATCTTGTATTGAAAAGGTGGTTCTTAGAACTCAGGTAAAGAGAAGCGGAAGCCTCCCGCAGTGGGTAGGCAATCCGGAATGACTAATCGTGGGCACATGATCCCGAAGGGGGTCCGTAACCCAATACCACACTAATCCCAAATGGGCTAAAAATCAAGAAAACTGAACTTGGTCACAACAATATCCACTAGAACTGAACCATACATGTGGAAAAAAAAAAAGATTTACGAAACTATATGGATTTTTTGTGGGGTATCGAACTTCAGGTAAGCCGTCAATCGTCCAGGCCATCCCAGCTGCCCTCGCTCTTATTGCCATCTTCCGCAGCCGCCGCCTTTCTCCTGCGACTTCCCTCAATAGCACCCCTCTTCCGGTTCTCCATGCGGCGCTCAAAGCCACTCTTGGTGCTAATACGAGCTGCTCGCTTGTTCCTACCATCGTCTTGGTCCTTGCCAACGTGCTTTGATGACTGGCGAGCCTTGACACCGTGTTTCTTGAGTTCCTTCTTGGAGTTCTTGGAAAGGTCGGGCAGCGAATCGAGGAGCCATTTCTGAATAGACTTGTCGCCTTTGCCCCCGCGAAGCTTCTCGCTAGCATCGATCACATTAGCGATGCTCTTGACATACGGAATATCCTCTTTTGTGTAGTATGTCACGGCGATGCCGCCCTCGCGACCAGCGCGACCGGTTCTGCCTACGCGATGAACATAGACAGCGGCGGAATTGGGGATATCGTAATTGACAACACCGTTGATGCCGCGGAAATCAACGCCTCGAGCGAGGAGATCAGTTGTTACCAGGATCCAGATCTCGCCCTTGCGGAATTCACGCATGATATCGGACCGTTGGTTGTCAGAGAGGTCGGAGTGGAGCACGGCGATCCGGGATGAGCCTCCGGCTTCAGCAGGAATGTCGTATTTCAGTTCGGAATGCAAGGCAATCGCTCGGGGTATGGTTTGGGTGAAGATGAGGAATGGAGGTCGTAGGCGAATGTCCGATGCGGAAGCAGCGGCTGGATGAAGTAACTGGCGAAGACCAAGAAGTTTTCCTTGCTCCGTAGCTGCGTAAACAAGTCGATGGTCGATGTTGGGAATAGCCGAGTCCTTGAGGCCGACGACCAAGCGTAACAGCGGGTGTGGATTCGGCATGTTCCCGCTTAATGCCTGGCGCTCTTTGACGGTGTCACGAGTGATATCCTCGACATTGGATCCCATGGTAGCGGACCATAGGCTAACCCGTAAGTCAGGATGCACACATGAGCGCCAGATATCGAGTGTTTGCTCCCGGAAAAGGGGGTCGAGAAGAACATCTGCTTCATCCAGCACCAAGCTTCGTACTAATGGCAATTGCGCCATGCTCGTCGTCTGATTTTCTGACAATGAATTCACCAGCATGAGGGGTGTGGTCACCAAAATATCGCTTTTGGTGACTGGTGCGTGGTTCTGACCCTTTTTCAGGCCTTCATGCTCAGCTTCTTCATCCGATTCCGCAGAATCCTCGTCATTCTCATCAAGCATGTTGGCATCGCTGTCGCCCTGGCGGTCGACAACCTTCATTCCTTTTCTCATCAATGTGATTTTAACGCCGGTTCCTGCAACAAGCTTCCGTCCTTCATTAACTATTTGGCTAGCAAGCTCTTTCGTGGGTGCCACGACGACCGATAGGATACCTTTCTCCTCCGGCTGAGTGTGATGGTGGCGAACAATTTTGTTGATGACAGGAATCATGAAAGACAGAGTTTTGCCGCTCCCTGTAGGCGCGACTGCTAGTAGATCCGGTTCTGACGAGGGAATAGAAGAGTCGCCGAGTAAGAGAGGAAGACTGCCAAGCTGAATCTCCGTGGGCAGCGTGAATCCTTGTTCCGCAACATTCTCTGCTAGTCGTCGCGAGATATTGTATCGACTGCGAAGTTCCTTGAAGGAAACTAAAGGCTGTGGATATATGCGACGGGCACGCTTCAGTTCCTTCTTGCTGAGAACAGGCGCTTGTTCTTTTTTTCGACTTCTTCTTCTTCTTCGATTCCTTGACTGGGATTGTAGGTTGAATATCGTCCATGTCACGAAGATCAGTTATCTTGATCTTGTGTGAATTAAGGATAGTGCGCCGTTGCACTTCGTCCATAGCATCTTCGTCATTAGCCTCGTCGACGTCGGAGTCCTTGTCTTCATCGTCCTCGTTGGAGCGGGCCGTCGGAGCTGGAGCGGAGCGCTTGTTAGATTGGAAAAAGTCCAGGTCTGCAGTAACCTCCCCATTATCTTGCTCGGTGCTATCAACCGCTCGCTTTCTTTTTTTGCCTGGCGCAGACTCGAGCTTGTCGGCATCTGCAGACCGGAATAGCTGTGCATGCGCTGCCTTTCCCGTTGATGGGAGCCGAGATGCAGGCTGGGAGCTCGAGGCCGCTGGCTTCAGTTTTGAGGACCGCGTCAGCAGTTTAAATGCGTCCATGCTGGTGTTGGCGTTGAACAACCTGAAGTTTTGATAATTTGAATCGCGAAGGGAAAAAAGTTCGCCCCACCGCAAATCTTTCCACCAATCAACACTGGCACTGCCAAGAAGCCTGGCATGTCACATGAGGAGCCAAGTTGATAGAGTGCGAAGAGCTCCAGCGACGAACGCAAAGGAGACGATATCGAGGGGACTCAGGGCACAGCAGTGGTAATACACTAGCACTACTAGTGCGAGGAATGGAAGTGAAAATTCCATTGAGAGTTGGATGGCTATCGAAGAGGGAAGTCGCGTTTGAGGGAACAACATTTTAGAGGACGCTGTGGATAGGATCTACGTGTATTCGCCTCCATGTTCGACGAAGGAAACGGTCGCGGATGGTGTTTTGAATGAGACTATTGGTTGTGAATAAAATGATTCTATCTCAGACAACAGTTTATCCCATCGTCTATCATACAGAGTACAGCGCAAATCAAGAAACAAAGGAAATATGATGGTGTTATAAGGACGACTAATTTTCAATTGCTCAGTGGTGAGAGACCTCGCCGCGGTAGCCGACCAGATTGAAACGGCCAATGATCTCACCAACGGTGAAGAATCCAATTACTTCCGCGGCAGTGACACCGACAAAAGCAATCTCCTTGGCGTTGGCGTTGCGGACACGAGCGAGGAAGTTCTGGGGCGACGGGAGGCTGATGTTCTTGAGAGTGGCGGGGTTGCTGGCAGCGTTGATAAGAGGCTGGAAGTATGACTGGAAGGTGGCCAAGTTGCTGGAGCATGATCATGTTAGCATGGAGATAACTGGGGCTGAGAGGGGCAGCAAGGGCGAACGTACGGAGGAGTCATCTTTTGGCCACGGAAGACAAGCTTGCCGAGCTCAAGGCCAACACGGGAGTAGTAGATGGCTGGGGGGATCATGGCTATCGAAGCATAATACGTTAGCAGTGCAGTCAGACGAGAGGTGGTTCGGACGTTTAAATCAAGGTAAGAAACAAGGCCGGCCAAGGAACAGGGTCCGGGGAGTGGCAAGGTGCCTCCATGATAACTATGAGGATCCAGCTACTGCCCAATTGACCTTCTTGGCTGTATCCACCCCAGCAGTACTAAGTCATAGCAAAGGAGTGTCTTACCGTCGATGAACGAAACGACCTTGCCGACGGGGCCGCCGATCTTGCGCAGGGCAGAGGCAGCATTGTTGAGGGCAGGGCCAGCAGCAGCAGTGGCCTTGGATAGACCCTGCTGGGCCTTGGAAGCGGCCTGGGAAGCAGTCTGGCTAGCCTTCTCCGAGCTGGAGGAAGCGTGTCTGACGGCGGTTCTCCGGGTCAGGAACTGCGATTGGCGCAGGACGGCACGGGTGGCAGCGGGCATCTTGGAGAAGGTTGGGAGGAAGGGAAGGAGCGGAAATCAAGGTCCAAGCAATTATCACCCGGTGCAGTCGCAGAGAAGGACAAGAGGACCAATGGCGGTTTCGTATGGCGCAACAACGGGGTAGACTTTGCTCGGAAACTTCAGGGCCGACTTTGCGGAACACCGGAAGTCACGTGAAGATTCGGTGCCTGAATTTTCATAACAAACCCTCGGGGCCATGAAGCCCAAAGTGACGCAATGGATAGAAATGGTGAAACACTTGGAGTGATAGGTTTGGCCCAAGTACGGAAATCTGAGGATAATTTGGAGGCATAGCAGGTGTGAATGGCCCGCAATACTTTTTCAATGTGGCACCTGCGTCCTTCGGCGGGACTACCAAGTCAGCTCTGGGTATCGAACCTCTCAGCTTCCAGAGGGATCCTTTCTTCAAGAACGTAAAGTTCAGCGGGATAGTCTCCAATTAGCCAAAAACGACTCCAGCCGATCGACTTCGATCTTTCACACTTTCGCACTCATTTAGATGTATCGGACATGGCAAAAAAGTCTATACAAGCATTCTATTTATCGACTTGAGATGTTCAGCTTGAGATCTCTATATACGCTGAAGAACTCTTTCGTCTCCCTCTTTTTGCCTTTGATTAGGACACCACGCAGAAGCTGACTGTTATATGAAGAATATTTCCCTGAGCCTCCCCCGTCATCCTCTGGCAAACCAATGGCATATACTTCGTTTCCAAGTTGTCTCTCCTTGTTGATGAGCGTTACAGTCGCGAGGGCCTGCGCAACTGGAAAACTTCCTTCCTCCAGTATTGTCCGCTGATATAGTGCCCGAAGCCAGTTCTCCACCCATCTCCCGATAGAGATATCTTGGCATCGAAGCACGCAAGCCATAAGTAGACTCGATATTCCGATTGAATAGACATTCTTTGAAATGCATTCCTGCGTATCAAGGCCAGCCACTAAACGGACTAATATTGTCATCCAGTGACGGATAATTTCCTCCGTTCCTGGATGAGGCTCGAGGCAATGCATGATTCGAGCGGCAATATAGTAGGCGTAGTTCATTGCGGCCCAATGAGAACCAAACACTAACACACTGTGATGGCCATCTCCAGCTATCTCGAAGCTGGTTGGAGATTCACTTGGGAGGTCTCCTGGTGAGAGCTTTGCTTCCCAGTCATCGAGCCTCTTAGATTCAATGTCCAAGGAAAGTAGCAGGCTATCGATCGATACATCTAGCTCTTTATGACGGCTTTCCCATATCTGGAGAAGACCTATTGTGTTGAGACGATACAACTCACACAAGATCGATGTCATTAGGGCCCTTTTGGCATCAATGGAGCGGAGGATGTCCACAATATCTTCAGACAACCTCAACGACGGTTGGTTGCGTTGTAAGTAAAATGAGGTGAAATTTTGTCTTCGCCACCAGTTCTGATACTTCGAGAGTAAGTAGGCCCCATATAGACGGTGACCGATGTCCGTTGAGAGAACCACGCAGTTAATCTGGAAGAATGTTTCAATACCGTCTGCATGGCAGGCAAATCCAGTGAAGGTCCCCATCGAAGCTTCAATGTAGCAGAAGATCACCAGGACCGCAAGAGTATAAATTGGGCTTTGTTGGTTGAGGTTGCTGATGATTCTGGCAACCTGACTCACAGCAGAGGTATAATATGACTGGCCAGCAGTTTGGTGATGCCCATGGGGTCTAAACGAATTTGGCGCGGAGAGGGATGAGCCATTCTCAGGCCAAAGTCGACTCATATTGCACGCCGATAACGCCAGGATAGCATGTTTCAAAGGGAGGCAGTTATCATTGATGAATGTCATCTCCTGAAAGAAATGATCCAAGGCGCCCGAACATGAGGAATCCCAGTGAGTTAAGTAGAATGTCTCATTCTCAGAGCGGTTCAAAGATCTCACAATGTCGAAATTTGTCAGGGAAGGTGTTGGCGAGGAGGTGGAACTTGAAGGCGACGAAGATTGGGATAAAGCGCCCACCGGTGGTATGCTCTTAAGGCTCGCATGCTCATTTGCGATCGACTCTTCGCGTTTATCATGCCTTTTGCGAGGTGCAGGCCACTGTCTCTTATTTGGGGACTCGGACTTTATTCGAAGCTCTTTCCAGACCACCTTTCGTGGTTTGGCCGAATTGAGAGCGACCGCCATGGTCTCGCTTGATAGAGAGACATTGCGAAAGTGGTAGCCTGCCTCCCATGCTTCGCATGTCTTATTCCTGCGTACGCATGCTCCACACGCAGGCTTTCCTTCATCACACTATCAGATGTTAGCCTCATCTCGTGGCCGGATGGGTAGCTCGCTATACTTACCTTGACGTGGCGCTTTCTACATTCCTTGCAGCCCGAGCGGGTACGGGTGATATTGGTCTGTTTCTGCCTGGGTGGAGGCGGCTCATACATGGCCATTCCCAATTGTATTGGTAAATACTAGAAATACACCTGGGGTTCCCTTTTTTTGATCAGACCCGAAAATATGAGCGCCGACAACAGAATTGTAGCCAGCGCTTGTATGCTGGCTTCCAAGATTCCTCAGGCTGTCAATGAGATCCTCGTGCCTTGTGCCTTGAGCATAGAGATATAGAATCTGTCTGGTTCGATGTCTGCTTGAAATTCATTTCAAGCGTCTTGCACATCCGCAAAGTAATATATGAACGACCTCGATACCAGTTGCGGATCGTGGAAGAGATGGCGACTTTTACCCTTTTCGGTGCACGAGAGCGAAGGTGTGGGTCCAGGAAAAGAGAATGATTGGGTGAAATGACTCTCCCCGCTCCTGAGGCGCGTTCCACGTGCATACCAGTATAACTGTTCATAATTCTCCAGTCTATTTAACCATATTGCCTCCCGACAATATAGATAGCAAACCTCGAGCTATTTCTTGGAAACTTAACATCAACCTTTTTATTTGCTTACTTTTTGCTCTCACTACAATGGCTGTCAAAGCCGTCGTATTCGACCTCCTGACGGCTCTACTGGACAGCTGGACCCTTTGGAATGCAGCAGCAAACAACGACCCGGAGCACGGCCGAAGATGGCGAGCCCGCTATCTGGAGTTGACTTTTGGCTGTGGCGCTTACAAGCCGTATGAGGAGCTGGTTCGAATTTCCGCCGCGGACGTAGGTCTACCTGAAGAAGCGCCGGCGGCACTGATTGCCGACTGGGACCAGTTACAGCCTTGGCCCGAGGTGAAGGCTGTTCTCAGCGAGCTCAGAGACAAGGGCTATAAGCTTGGAGTAGTTTCCAACTGCTCGATCGGACTTGGACGTCGGGCTCTTGCTCGATGCGAAACGGATTTTGATGCTTTTGTTACTGCCGAAGAAGTCGGGTTCTATAAACCACACCCGAATACCTACGGAGCTATCTTGGCTGCTCTGGGGGTGAGCGCTGAGGAAGCATTGTTTGTGGCTGGAAGTAATGGCGATGTGGTGGGAGCTGCAAAATCTGGGATGCAGGTTGTTTGGCACAATCGAATCGGGTTGCGCGCCTTACCAGGTTCTTCACCATTGGTTGAAGCCAAGTCCTTGGATCGTGCCTTAAGCCATTTTTTATAAATGGGATTCGGCATCAATCCAAGGATACGAGGTAGAGAGAATCACGTGTAATGTATACTATCCGAAGCGGATCTTTTGATGGAACGTAAGCGCATGTTGAGAACTGGCTTTGCTTGATTCGACTTGGTGTTGATACGTCTTCAAACGCAGAGATCCTACTTAATATCCCCCCGCTCCCCAGAACTGGCCTAGTCTATTAAAATCCCGTCGTTTACGAGAAGTTTTCTAAAGGGGTCAGCGCTAGTCCATAAGAGGTAAGCATACAGGAATTGATGTCGCTGATTGGACGGATATCCTGCGGCTGATGGTGGGCCTGAATTATTTACCGAAGAACTCAAGATCGAGTCTGACCTCGTTCGATGCCCGATGAAGTTCACGAGGGGAAGATACCAAGATCAGATCCCTTGAGGATGGAGCGCACTCGGTGGCTGGATGGCCTTCGTGGCCTCGCAGCAGGTATGTACGCAGTCACACTCTTGGATGTCTGGACCGTTTCGTCGCGCGCTCCATGCTAATTGAAACCCTTTCCAGGGATTGTTGCTTTTGACCACCTGTTCATGGATAATATCTGGTTCCCTTTTGTTTCCTTCTGGACCAATCCACCGGAGGCAAACCGCAGCTTGGTTCAATTACCTCCCATTCGGATCTTGTTCTCAGCCCATGCGATGGTAACCCTGTTCATGGTGATCTCCGGCTATGCCATTTCTGTCAACCTAATCAAAGACCCCAAGAGCCCAAACTTGTTGGCTCGAATCTCATCCGCCATTGTGCGGCGGGGGTTTCGCATCTATCTTCCTATGCTAGTGACAGCAGGCATTGCACAGCTATTCTATTTTCTTAATGTTTATCATTGGGAATTCGATGAAGCTCTCGTGGCCGAACTGCCCCGCCCCCTATCGGCACCATGGGCTCATGTCAAGTATTTGCTCAACTATATGGCCCAAAACATCAATATTGTTGCTTTCGAGCCGCCCGGGGGCCTGAATGGTCAACTATGGACTATGCCTCTTGAATTCAGAGGATCAAATGTGGTCTATCTTCTCATTACTGGGCTTTCCACGTGGCGCATGAAGTTGAAGCTGTATGTGCTTCCCGTGATTGGTGGATTTTTCATTTGGTATGGCAACTGGGATACTTTTGGTTTCATCTGGGGCCTCTGGCTGGCGCAAAGAGCGGTGTCTGCCACTGCCAATTCCGGCGAGCAATCTAATGCTGAACTGGAAATGGCAGAGTTTGACGGTAGCCATAATTCGACCGTTGCCTTCCCTGGTACATTAGGGCATTTCGGACCAGGTCGCCGATTTGGGAGAATTCGAATGAAAAACAAGAAGCTCATTTTGTCCCGCCTGGCAAAAGCGTTGACGTTCGTGCTGGGATACTACCTGCTTTGTCTGGGAAGCGATGGCATCTTACCTCCTGGGTACCAATTTCTCTCTGCCTTGCATCCATCTCGCTGGAAGGACAAATGGCATATCTATCACTGGTGTTGGAAGTCCATCGGATCCGCCATGCTTGTATATGCGATCGGCGAGTTCCCAACCTTACAAAGGCCTCTTACGACGCGGCCAGTCCAGTATCTGGGTAAAATATCCTTCGCCCTGTATCTGCTTCATGAGACGATCTATCAACTATGGAGGAACCCATTCCGCAACTTCGTATATCTCATACTGAGCGGAAGTCAGTATGAAAACAGTGGACAGGCTTCAGGAGCCGATCCATTTGCGTTTTACCTCACTTGGTACATCACGGGTGCTGTCCTGGGAGTAGTCACTATAGTTGCGGCGCATTACTATACGATTCATGTAGATAATAGGTGCGTGGCCCTTGCGAAGAGGGTGGATCGATGGCTTAGTTTTCGATAGATCTACGATAATCGATTCTCATTTTCGGTCTATTCTTTGCTTCTCCTCGAGCTTCCATTAACAATTTGCATCATTTTCAAAAGCCCAAAAGTAGTCAGCAATCATCGTGCGGGGCAGGACCCCCCCGCGCCTCGGGATGATACTCTAAGATCACACCATATGATCGCAGGGGTGTCTCTGTACAGCGACAGTATTGCCTAAAACTTGATCTCGCATTGCGGCCTGAGCCCCATCAACCCCGCGAGTATCTTGTTCCTCGATAGTGCTATACACAACCTGAGAGGGTAGTAGTTCGTCTCTCTTGGCGTGTAATGAGATTGAGCTCACTGGATGTCTAATGTTTGACTATCATGTTGATGTTTGACCGGGGTACGCAAACAAGGAAAAAGAGATCGCATAGCTCAGCTTAGCGGGGTTGTCCATGTCCAAGTTGAAGCATTGGTTGGTTGCCTGGATGGAAAAATTCTTATAGACCACCGACGGTCTCACTTGTCTCCCCTTAACATTCTACACACACACCATCTCCTCCAATTCCCGAACCGTTTTATCTGGCTCATCAGCTGGTCGAGTTTTCAATATGCAGTGGACGCTGTTCCTGATGACCCTCGTGGGTGCTGTGTTCTCCACAGTATACGCGAAGGGCCCTGAACAGTGTCCTGGTTATGAGGCTATCAATGTGAACGAGCAAGATGGCTCACTAGAGGTGGACCTCCGCTTATTGGGGGACTCCTGTGATCTATTCAGCTCTGACTTGCCGAACCTGAAGTTACTCGTGGAGCACCAAACAGGCAAGCAAGGAAACTTTCTCTCTTAATATACAAACTTTAACTGGATAGCTTCAGAGAATCGCCTTCATGTCCTCATATTCGACCCAGATGAGGCAGTCTACCAGGTCCCTGAATCTGTCCTTCCTCGTCCGTCCACAATGGAACATCGCGACCGGAAAATTCAGTTCACTTACGAACGCAGCCCTTTCAGCTTCAAGGTGAAGCGGGGTGAAGAGGTACTTTTCGATACCTCGGGAAACAAGTTGATTTTCGAGACACAATACCTGAACTTGCGTACTTGGATCCCTGAGAACCCAAACATTTACGGGTTGGGTGAACACAGTGATTCGCTGCGCTTACCCCGCGTCAATTACACACGAACCCTGTGGAATCGCGATGCTTATGGGATTCCACCCAAGAGCAACCTATACGGTTCCCATCCTGTATATGTTGACCATCGCGGGTCTGTCGGTACTCATGGCGTATTCTTCTTGAATTCAAATGGCATGGACATCAAAATCGATGAATCTGACGATGGCCGCCAGTATATCGAGTACAACACACAGGGTGGAGTCATAGACTTGTATTTCCTGGCAGGTCCGACTCCCAAAGAAGTCGGCAAACAATACGCAGAAGTTGTTGGCTTCCCTGCCATGCAGAGCTATTGGGCCTTTGGGGTAAGTTTTGCTTTTGATTTATGCAAGTTTTCGCGTCAAGATCAAGGATTAAATCGACTAATTATATGAAGCTCCACAACTGCCGATACGGATACCGAGATGTCTTTGAAGTGGCTGAAGTGGTTTACAATTACAGCCAGGCCCGGATTCCACTGGAGACCATGTGGACTGACATTGATTACATGGATGCCCGCAAGACCTTCACATTAGACCCTAAGCGGTTTCCTCCTAGTCGCATGCGCGAGCTTGTCAAATACCTTCAGGCCCATGATCAGCACTACATTCTTATGGTCGACCCTGCGATCAGCTACAGCGGTATGTCCATGTTACTTTTTCATGTATCGGTTGAGGGTTACTTTCAATCTCTCAACTACAACAAAGACTCTTCTCAACATCTCTAACCCCTGCTCTTGCAGATAACCACGCGTACAACCAGGGGAGCAATGATAGTATATTCCTAACCGATGTCTCCGGAGCTTTCTACAAAGGTATCTCATGTTTTCCTCAACATCCATAGATGAACATTGATGAATTATCATAATTCAGGCGCGGTCTGGCCCGGTGTGACGGTATGGCCTGACTGGTTTAACTCCAAGACCCAGGGGTATTGGAACGAACTATTTTACCAATTCTTCAACCCCGAGGGTGGCGTTGATATCGACGGATTATGGATAGACATGAACGAAGCTTCTAACTTCTGTCCTGACCCTTGCGAAGACGCTTATAGCTACGCAGAGGAAGCCGACCTGCCACCTGCGCCGCCACCTGTTCGCTCTCCGCCGCGCCCTCTGCCAGGTTTTCCTGCAGACTTCCAACCACAAGGGTCAAATACGTCCACACGATCTCTGATACGGCGTCGTGACTCCGGCAAGGGATGCAAGACTGGGATAGCCGGAAGGGACCTTCTTAACCCGCAGTATCAGATCGCCAACGCCGCAGGCTCTCTCAGCAATAAGACAATCCGAACGGACATTGTTCACGCTGGGAAGGGCTATGCGGAGTACGATGTTCATAATATCTACGGTACCATGATGAGCAGTGCTTCTCGCAAGGCTATGCTCCATCGTCGTCCTGGACTGCGGCCTCTTGTGATTACGCGAAGCACCTTTGCAGGTGCCGGTGCCCATGTTGGCCACTGGTGAGTTCAACCATCCACACTCCTTGGTCATTTTACCTGGGGTATGTGTTTGCTGACCTTCGCAGGCTTGGGGATAACCTGAGCGAGTGGGAGATGTATCGCATTTCAATTGCACAGATGCTCGCCTTCGCCTCAATCTTCCAAATCCCAATGGTAGGATCCGACGTCTGTGGTTACGGCGGCAACACAACTGAGGAGCTATGCGCTCGCTGGGCGACTCTGGGCGCATTCTACCCTTTCTACCGCAACCACAACGCGCTAGGCAGCATCCCGCAGGAATTCTACCGCTGGCCCACCGTGGCCGCTGCAGCCCGCAAAAGCATCGACACGCGGTATCGCCTCCTCGACTACCTGTATACTGCATTCTGGCGGCAGACGCAGACAGGCGAGCCTTTCCTGCAGCCACTGTTCTACGTCTACCCGCACGACGCGAACACGTTCGACAACCAGCTCCAGTTCTTCTACGGCGACGCACTGCTGATTTCGCCCGTGCATGACAAGGGTCAGACGTCGGTCACAGCGTACTTCCCCGACGACATCTTCTATGACTTCTACACGCACAAGCCGTTGCGTGGGCATAGCGCTAACATCACGCTGGCTGACATCCACCTTACCGACATCCCTGTGCATATACGTGGTGGATACGTGATTCCGCTACGGATCGAAGGCAAAGGGAGCACCGGACCCGCACAGACCACGGCAGAGCTACGGCGGCGCAACTTTGAGTTGCTGGTTGCGCCGGGACTGGATGGCAGCGCGACGGGCGAGTTGTACCTCGACGACGGAGAGTCGATTGTGCCGAATACGACGTCCCTCGTGACCTTCCAATACAAGAATGGCACATTGCATATTGGCGGCAAGTTTGGCTACAAGGCGGGCGTGTTGGTCGAGTCAATCACCTTGTTGGGTCAATCCCAGGGTCGCCGCAGTAACGCAGACCGCCAAAGCGTCAAGCCCACGCAACTTGAGCTAACGGGACCGGCCGAGATCGAGCTCTGACAGAGGACTCATTTTTGCATCGAATTAGTTCATTTTCCCTATCCTGATTTCCACAAGCCGTGTGTTTCCTTATGATCTACTCAGCTATTTCGCTTTGCTTTGTCTTACTTCCGGACATGTGAAATTTCGGAGGTTTTCCCCATCTCTTTGCGACCGGCTAAAATTAGAGCGCCCACCTCTTTTCAGGCGGGATCAGCATTCACTAGCTTCTGCACGAGCGCTTTACGGGGGCCTATGCGTATTCGAACAAGGAAAAGAAAGCAATGAGAAAACAAAAGGATTGCGGTTAAATCTATCCAAGACATGTAACCACACAGAGTAACTTCCCTCGGGCGGGTAGAAAGTGAAACCGGGCTGCCGTTGCCTCTCCTATCAGGAGAATTGGGCATCCCACGGGGCCAAGCATTTGTGTTCCTGCATTGAATCCCACTAATTGAGCACGGACGGGTTGATTGGGCTGGGCGGGGAAATTGATTGGACTCATGAGACGCGAGGGGGCTGGTGTTATTACTTTATTGATTTCATTACTCGTCATCTGTGCAAATTAAATCGTACGGAGTACTCCATACTCTCGTGATAGGAGCGAAGAACCGGGAGTATCGGCTCCCAGCCTTCTCGAGGGGTGGCCGGGGCCCCCTGCAAAGCATGACTAGTCGTCTGATAGACGCTAGTTTCGTATAAAAGGCCCGGGGGGGGGGGGGGCGCAGTGGACGGTGGCATTATCGTCCGCACCTAAGCCCTAAGTGACTAGCACCACCACTAGGGGCACGGGCCGGAGGTTCAGACCTGACAAAGGTAAGCGACCGGACGGCTTCCAAGGTCCGTTACCCCCCCTCATGTGATATGGGATTAACTTCCCTTAATCTATATATGGAGTACGGTGGGCTAGGAAAGCTCCCTAAGGTAGGGGAGGGCGTAAGCCCATGAGATAATATGAATAACAGATTAATTTCGAGCCCCTGAATTGGATCTCTCATGACGTGGTCGACAAGAGCACAACAGGTACAACCGGTACAAGTGATGCCTCATACTGCGAGGCGTGTAGACACAGGTACACAAGGATCACAATGATAGATAAGGACCAGGCTCTCATTCGCCGGAAGGGTTTCAGGCTGTCTGGAATCGGACGAATTGAGGTAGAAAGGGTGGGGCGGTTGCTTGTTCGCGATCACGAAGCGGTGGATTTCGCTTGTGAACGAAAAAGGTTCTGCCTGTGGGGCCAGCGCATGTTCACGCTTCGAGTCATCCTGACCGTACGGTACCGATACGCGTCCCGTACACTCCGCCCGCTTGCACTTCCCACCTCGCAACTCCCCCTCATACGCCCTCCATACCCCTCCATACATCTCCGTCAGCGGAAGGCCAAGGTCAGGCCAACGCAAGCCTGTGACATGATCGGCCGATCATCCCGGACGATCCTTTTCTCTCCTGGCAGTTTCTATCTCCTGAGTGGGTATATCTGACGTTTGAGATTTGCGCGCCCCAAGGAGATGCTGTTGGAACTTTCTGGCCAAGGGCTCAAGGAGTCCCTGGACGAATGTGTACGCAGTATGCAGTAGGGTCCGTATTTACTCCAAACGTGGCTCCCAATGTCTCAGTTCCCCAGCAGCTCATGGCTCCACTCCATTGATGGCTCCACTCCGCCCTCTACTGCGTACATCCCCTGTGGCGTTTGCGTAGTCAAGTGGAGGCAGATGGTCCCAGTTGCCTCACAGGAAGCCAATCAGAAAGCTGCTCGGCTGAGGAAGCCCCAATGAAAGGACTCCACCCCTGGCCAATCTCAGCCTCCTCCTTTTCTGATCAATCCCGATTAGGCCTAACTCCCCCGGAAACTTAATGGAATTCCCTACTGTCTTCGTTGCAGTGCCATCTTTGCCATTTATGGGTTTAAAATAGATAAAAAAGATACGGGTCCCCATGGTGAACGTTCCCGGGGTTCCTTCTGTGCTGTGATCCACTCGTTGTTTATAGTGTACAGTCCTGCCTGACTTTTCTGAACTTTTTCCAAACACTTTCGTTTACCCTCTCATCCCACCTTCTTCTCCCTCCCCATCGTTTGGTCGTTTGGTCGTTTGGTTTCTCTTCAGTATAATGCATGCCTCTCTGAAGCTCCTTGCCGCAGCTCTGGCTGTTGGCCAGGTCTCTGCGCAGACATACACCAACTGCAACCCTCTCGACAAGACGTGCCCTGCGGACCCCGGCTCCACCGAGTCGACTCTGGACTTCGACTTCACTCAATCCATCGATCCTAGTCAGTGGGAGACCACCGCAGGAACGGTCACCACCGGCTCTAATGGTGCCGTTTTCACCATCGCCAAGCGGGGTGACGCGCCAACCATCCAGTCCAAGTTCAACATCTTCTATGGCGACATTGAGATTGTCATGAAGAGTGCTCCCGGCACTGGTATCGTCAGCAGTCTCGTGTTCGAGTCGGATGACTTGGATGAGATTGATTGGGTAAGAAACACCCATCACGCCTTCTACTCACCTTTTCCGGATCGTGTATCTGATCTTTTGTACAGGAAGCTCTGGGCGGTAACACCGGTGCCATTGAGACCAACTACTTCGGCAAGGGCGATACCTCTACTTACGACCGTGCCACCTACCCTGCGGTCACCACTCCTCAGGAGGTCTTCCATACCTACAAGGTTTCCTGGCAGAAGGATGCCACTACCTGGTCCATTGACGGCAACGTGGTCCGTACGCTGAACTATGCCGATGCTCAGGGCGGATCTCGCTACCCCCAGACCCCTATGACCATTCGCATTGGTATCTGGGCTGGTGGTGATCCCTCTAACGGCCAGGGTACTATTGAGTGGGCTGGCGGCGAGACCGACTACTCTCAGGCTCCCTTCAGCATGTACGTCAAGTCTGTGAAGATCAACAACGCCAATCCCGCCGAGTCCTACACCTACACGGACAACTCCGGCTCCTCCGACAGCATCAAGCTGAACGGCGCTGCACCAGGTTCGTCGGACCCTCCTTCCACAACTTCACCCTCCGCCACCTCCACCTTCACCTCCAGCATTGAATCCACTTCAAGCACCACTACCTCCTCCACTGTCCACACTACCCTGGCAACTACCACCCTGGCACCTACCACCACTCTGACACCCACAACCCTCGCAACCATCACCACATCTTCTTCTGACTCCATCACCACTGGAGGTTCTTCCACCATCGACTCTTCCAGCTCTTCCAGTTCCAGCCCTACCACCAGCCCTGCTGCCAGCTCTGCCTCTAGCTCGGCTTCCAGCTCGGCTTCCTGGTCTGCCTCTGGCCCGGCTTCCAGCTCCGACTCTGGGGCTGGTCCTACTGGCTCCGGCTCCGGCTCCGGTGCCAGCTCCACCAGCTCTGGGTCTGGGTCTGGGCCTGCCTCTGCCTCTGCCTCTGGATCCGCCTCGGCCTCTGGCTCGGCTGCAGCTCCTTCCGGCACTTTCAACGCTGCGACCAGCAACGTTGTTGGCTACTTCACCCCTCTTTCTGTCTTGGCTCTCGTTGGTGCTTTCATCCAGCTGTAAAACAGTGCATTGCGTTTCTTTTTTGACGTATTTAATAATGTCTCACGGATGAAAGCGACCTGGGCTGGAACCGGATTGGATTTTGGGAATGATGAATGCCTCGTTTTTACTCCTTTTGCTTGTATCTTTTGCTAAGTCTATATGTTTTTTGTTTTCTAGGGCAGAGAGGTTGAACCTCATTATCCCCCACTGTACTTATGCAGAATACCTCCTGTTTCGGGGGAAAAAATTAATCATGATTTGGGATAATCCCAAAACTCATTCCTTGAATATCTTCGATTTCTTAATAAGTTTCGTACGACGTAAACCCATGGCTACATGAATTATTCCCTTCAAAGCCACCTCGCTCCATAAATTCGGGGAGATGATTGCCCAGCAGAAAATCCCATCAGCCGGCTGCCGTGTAACGAACTGCGCATTAGGTGCGAGCCAAGACTCACGGAACTCGAGAAGAACAGAGGCGAAACCCGCCGGCCAACCCGGTAGTTCCAAATTCACGTGGGAGTGCAATTGAGTTTCAACCTTGGGAAGGATTCTGTGTTCCCAGTTCAAAGAATCCATGGATCCAAGTTTAGGGCAAGTTCGTTCCGTTGCCGAGGCCTGCGCTGCTCTGAAGTCTACCGGTTTTATATTTCATGAAAAGGAAAATTCTTGTGGCAGCGTTGAAGCCGCTGCCACAAGAAGTCTATAGGGGAGTTATCTCGACTATTAGGGTACGTGTATGTGGACGCATTCCTATCATGTCGCGAAGATGCTGTCTTGAGCCCCATTTTTCCTGGGGCTATGATTGGTTTGTGCTTTACTGGGTGAACCGCTTCTGTAGCAGTCGTGGGACGTAAAAGATGGAAGTAGATGGATATTATGAAGTCTAGGTGCCGAAGGACTCCTTGTATGTGTTGTTAGGGCCGCTTCGACTAAAGGTCTACAAGTGGTGCCAGTGTAAAATTATCGTGAAAAGTGGAGAAAGAGGGCAATAGATCTATGGGAATAAGTACGAGTAGGACTCAGTTACTTGTAGAGCATGTGACCTGGCCTGTGGAGAAGGCGGTCATCAGCAGTACCAGTACCTATTCCATTGTTACTAAATTTAGCGACATGTACCAAAAAAATGGATTCAATATCCTCATACGAGATAGGCGCCTTCTACCCAGCTTTGAACGGAAATCAAGAAACAGCACCTTGATTTCCTTGGTTTACTGGCTCGACTTCTAAAATAACTTTGATTTCCTCGTGACTAGAGTTCCTTGAACTCATGAAAATAATCTTTCACGCTACTGATACCGGATAGCCAGGGAACCATATGGAAAATGAATATCGTTGATATGTTGCGAAAACAGCACAGCAAATATCGCCAAAACAACGCGTTTCCTTGATCTTGAAGCAAGCACCCTTTCTTTAGCACCTTTTCCTTTGTAAAACAAATCCTAAAGCAAATCCCAACTGTGAAGAAGAAGCCAACCATGCCAGGTAGAAACCCTTCTCTTTACCCACATAAATCAAAGGCTCGTTTCCATACGCTCTGGTCGTCGAGACGGAAACCCCACTCCGCAGGGTTCTTCGACAGCTTCCGCTGCTCTTGTGGCGACAGCTTGAAATACCAGTCTTCAATCAAAATCAACAATTCCCGAGTTTCTTCCAATAACATCCACGCTTCCACCGAGATAGTTTTGCACCAAGGCCTAGCCGCATGCATCAGAGCTTCAGCTGGAGGACCCCAATTAAATCCCTGGGTCACATACGCGCAGTATCTTTGAATGAGGCCTCGGTTGCCACGCCCGTATAATCTGCCACTATGGAGTTCGGATGCCGAAAGAATGTGCAGATTGCTGCGCATTTCGTCTTCGTCTCTCCATCGAGGGAAGGTCCAAGACCACCTGCCATGTCTCTCGATCTGCCAATCTACAAGCCGGTCATAATAGGCTTTTGTGGCTGTGGGTCTTGCGATGTCTTGGAATGAACCCTTGGTGCTGACAGCACAGGTCTCGTCTCCACTTCCCTCGGTCTCTGTGGCGGAGGCTTCGCTGTATGAATAATCTGCGCAATATGTGGAGACATCGTCGCTTCTTTCGGTAGACTCGTCGTCCGTGTACAGGATGCTTCCTGGCTCCGTGCAAGAGTCGCTTTCCATGGAAGCATCGTCGGCGTTAGCGGAGGCATCTTCCTTCGTGGAAGCATTATCGTCAATTGAGATAACCTCGTGGTTATCTGTAGGCTCTCCTTCGCTGCCCCCGAGGTCCTCTTGCTCTGTGGAAGAATCAAGCTCACCCTCTTCGTCCGTAGAAGTTTCATCGCTGCAGAAATCAGTGGGTATATCTCCATCCATTGAAGTCGCCATCTCATCCTTGAGATCTGTAACACTCTTTGATATCTGCGATAGGAGCTGCTCATCAGTCCCTGTGAGCCTTTCTCTCATGCTCTTTTGGAGCTCCGCGATCTGGAACTCTCAGCTTAGCGACCCTCTCAGATGGCGATCGTTGTGACCGCAGTAGGTATCGAGACGGTTGCTCTAGAAGCCCCTGTTGCTCTGGGGGCTCTGGTGGCTGCAGCAGCTCCGGTGGCTCTGGCGACTCTGGAACTTGAAAGCGAGGCATAATGAATGGGGACTGAAGCTCCCCTTTGCTGACCGAAGGATTCCAAAGCTGGAAATTTGATCACAGGGACTCTGGTTCTGGCGAAATCTTGCGGAGAATGTGAAAAGAGGAGCTCCTTATATGGCCTAACACAAGGTTACGCAGTCTTTCCCACGGAATCTCCCGGTCAATATTCCACGGATATTTCCATAAAAATTTTGTTTGCATTTGCTTTATGAATTTCAGGATTCCTTCAGTCAAGTGTCTACATGGAGATTTGCTCCAAAATAACATATAGTTACTACAAACAATTTGGTCACCAGTCATTAGAAAACTCCGGGGCTTTCTCATCTATATTTACTAAAGACATCATCTTGTAAGCAGAGTAGCATTGTTGAAAGAAAATCAATTAACTCCACATATTCAATCATGCGTAATAGGATGCCGTTCATAGCTTATCGTAGTCACATTAAAATCCCCAAATTCCCATACAAGAGACTCACCTGACACCACTGGCCAAATTCGATGAGAAGCGCCAAAGTTCTGCTTTCTGTCCAGCATAAGCAGATCGTGGCGTCCCGTTTACCTGAGTCATGTGCTATGCTTCACCACACAGACGCTGAACGCGAACCATGCGCATCTCTCAATTGTCTAGACAAACGCAACACAGAGTCCGCAATAGGCCGGTGATTTGTTGCTGCAATCCTCAGCAACGCAAGTGTTGTGACCGGCCGTGAATTCCCGGGCCCCCGGATTGGAGGATCGGAAGCAGCAGAGCGCGCCCCAGAAGCAGAAGAGTCCTCTGTCGATTTCGACCACAGACCAGATCCCAAACTGGCATAGTTGGACAAAGAGCTCAACACGGCATTAATACCAGCGGATCCAGCCTGGATGCCACCAGCAGGAGTGGAACCTATCATGGAGCCCCGGCGCTCCTCCCGAGCGACGATCCCATCCACCGCCTCGAGATGGTCATCCAGAGTGCTGAAGCGGGCATTCAGGGAGTCAGCCTTGGAGCGGATTTGAGAGCGGAGCCGGTCGAGATACTCTGCGCGCCGGCGAATCTGGGCAGCAACCCTTGTATCTCGTGCGATGGATGGGGGTGAGCCACTCTGCTCGTAAGTAGGGGGCGATGCCATGAGACTCTCTACGGCAGATCGAAGATCTGCGCGTAATGAGTCAAATTCCCAGGATGCGGTGATCAGGGCTTGGTTGCCTCCCTGAAATTCGAGATCCAATGCGTGGCGAGCTTCTGGGAAAGTAGACCGAAGTTGGTCCTGGAGCTCGGCTAGCATGGTTTCACTCTCTCTGAGCAGGTGAGATAAAGGGACAAGGGTCTGGATAGCATGTTCAAATATTGATTCGAGACCTTGTTGAGATGTGATAATAGTGTCTTCGGGTGAGATTATCTGGTTGGAGGGATATAGGAGGTTATGCGAGAGAGGGCGTGTGGGCAGCTGTACGCAGCTATCAGGGTATAGATATTTGATAGCAGGGATGTGACATGCATCTTGAAATTGGTAGACGACTTCTGGTAAAGCTATCAGGTGAAGGATTATGGCGATTAAAAGCCCATTAATGGTTGTCCGAACGAGCTTGTCATTCACGCGATAAAGAGATGTTACCCTTTGGGCTAGCCTTCTGGGCCTCTTTTTCTGATGAGGGTTGACCTCAAAAGTTTCCTTCCCACCACCGGTCTGCCTGCCTTTTTGCGAGGTCTCCTCGGGTGCTGGTGGCTTGCGGCGTTTCCTCACAGATCGAGAAGCTTGGGCCTGCTGGATGGCTGGGGCGACCCAGGATGCCTCTGAGATAGAGACTTCACCTATAGACGGCATCACTAGCTCAGGCCCAGCCATAGTCCATGAGGAGGCCGACAAGGATTGTGTAGACTGGTGGACTGGCTTATCGCGTTTTGTTTGCGCGGGGTTTGGCCGAGGGCTTGGGGAAGCTGGTTCTGACGAAGGTCTTTCTCCATCCAGCACATCGGCTGTCGCATTCTGATTTGGAGGAGTTTGAGGGCTGTCATTCTTGATTGATGCAGTCGATGCCAGGACCCACGATTCACTTAGCACGGCGCGATCCGGGGTACGAGGAGGCTCCGCTGACATGGCGTCGTGAACATATCCGTGTGGAGTATAAACAAGGTTCGTTGGTCGTCTAACAGCGGTTATGGGTACGTGACTCTTAGATATCAGGGTCAATACCAGAATCCGGTATGTGAGCTCGAAGCGTGGGGTAAATTAGCAACAATACGCGTGCTGTTGCAAAGCGGTGGGGAAAACTAAGGGAGTCCAAGTTCGCGATCGGCACAAAAATAATCGAAACAACCAACCATGCGCCCAGTCACCCGACTACGACCGCGAGTTCTCGTGCAACTGATCACACACCAGCGCCGACTTCTCCTAAGGCCCCAATGGTTTTCGACCTCCATAAATCGCCGCTGCTCATGCGCTGATGCCGCCAATGGCAAACCCGAACCTGCCATACCTCCGACCGACCACCGAGCTCTGGGAACCGCTCAGGAGCTCTTCACCTCGTCCATCTACAGCCCTGGGTCTCCTCTTTTCCTCCCAAAATGGCACACATGTTATAAACAAACTCACCAACTTCCTCCGCACCCAGTACTTGCAGTATGGCTTCCGCGAAGTTTTGACACCAACGATCTACAAAAAGTCACTATGGGAGATCTCAGGCCACTGGCAAAACTATAAAGATGACATGTACGAGGTGACTGGCCGTGGTGCGACCGGTGAATCTGGTGGTGAGATCGGTGAAGAGGAATCCTATGGCCTGAAGCCAATGAATTGTCCCGGCCATTGCCTACTTTTCAAGTCTCAGAATCACTCCTACCGCGAATTGCCGGTGCGCTACGCCGACTTCAGCCCCCTCCATCGGAATGAGGTATCTGGGTCATTGACCGGCCTGACCCGTGTACGGCGATTCCACCAGGACGATGGCCACATCTTCTGCCGGCCACAGCAGATCAAGGGCGAGATTGCGTCGGCTCTGGGTTTTGTGGAAATGGCGATGAACACGTTCGGGCTGGGCCCATACAGATTAGTATTGTCCACTCGCCCAGAATCCGATTATATTGGTACGTTGGACATGTGGGATAATGCGGAAAGTCAGCTACGCGAAGCGCTTGATAGCACCGGCCAGGAATGGACGTTGAACGAGGGCGACGGTGCCTTTTATGGACCCAAGATCGATATCCAGCAACGGGATAGCGCCGGAAAATACCATCAACTATCGACTATCCAGCTAGATATGAACTTACCCCAGCGGTTTGGCTTGGAGTATCAAGTTGCCGAAGGAGAAGAAGATTACAATCCTGAGACTCCGGGGGTCGCAACGCCGATCCTAATCCACCGGGCAATCTTTGGTTCTCTCGAGCGATTTCTGGCTTTGCTCATTGAGCAGCATGGCGGGCATTGGCCTTTCTGGTTGTCGCCCCGGCAAGCTATAATCTTGACAGTCAACCAGGATGAGGCTGTCTTACGGCATGCTGAAGAGGCAGCGGCGAAGTTCTCTGGATTCCGACTACTTGCGAATGATGGTACTAGCAAGCCACCACGGCCGTTATCGTCAGTCGACCCAACATTTTTAGTGGATCTTGACACTAGTGCTCAAACCCTGGGTAAAAAGATCCAGCGCGCCAAGCAGATGAAGTACAACTTGATCTTTATCCTGGGCCCCCGCGACGTCGCTGATGGCGGCATCAGTGTTGATATCACGGGCCAGCTACAGAGCAAGACTGATATTGGAGGACAGGAACTCCAGAAACTGGTCCAATCCCAGTTAGGGGAGAGTGCCCTGAAGAACCCCAAGGCCGTTAAGCTTAAGCTCGAGGAGGTGCATCCATTATTGGTCGAGTTCGAGAAAAACTTCCTCTAGTCTAGTCGAAGATGGTCGCATCTGTATAATATGTTTCTATACTCCATGTACACTAATTCAAACTACCATTGCACACATGAATCCAGACCTGCGGCCCTCAGAGCGAAGCGTCAGGCCCCCCTCCGCGGCTTAGTATAGGGGATCAGATCCTTTCAGGCGACCAATCCGTCAAGGGATGTTATCGTCGAGACGATAAAATTCCAGCTCTGGATCTCTTCTTGGAGCCTTTGGGCAATCCGGAGATCCTACATCCTCCGCCCTTGGTGCTTGTGAGAATATCGGCCACCGGAAAGATCGAACAACAGAGTGTAATCGCGAAAGAGGACAGGGTATGTCGGCGATAGTGCCATATCAGGGTATTACAACAGCTGGAAAGGACACCGTGCACAGGGAAGGAAAACCATAAGAGACACTAAGGAATACTCGGATTCGAGCTTACTCGAATTATACTGTTCCGGCCGAATATATTTTGCGAGAAAAGCATTGACTCAAATTGTTCAAGGTCCCATTGGCTCCCCCTGGTACATGGAAAGCTCAACCGCGGAGGTCCGAAATGATAGACAAGCCCGAATATGCAGATATCATGAATGACTTCCAATCAAATGGAGCCATGAAATCAAAAGTCAGAAGTATGTTCGGCTAGCTACGGGGTGGGCCTGGCAGAAGCTGGGGGGGGGTCTCCGAGGTCGGGGGCTTTCTGCTGGAATGATGGCATAATGCGATTCAGGGAGATGGGAAACGATGCGAGTAGTTTTGGTTAATCTGCAGAGTTTTGGTTATAATTGCAGGAAAAAGGATCAAAAAGAAGGATCTACGCCAGTTGACCAGACCAGGCATACCAATGAAATGCATCACGGTGTTTAGTTGGGCTCACGAAAGGGCGCGCCGCACGTGACGTAGAGGGGGCCCGCTTTTCGGCGCCGAAAAAAAAGACGAAGGGCGTCATTCAAGTCGATTGACTCACATATTCCATTCGCTTCATTGGGTTCTCCTTTTCACCTTTAAAAAGGGAGCAGAGTCACTTGTATCATCAATTCTCTCTCCGTGACTGGACAGAGCCTGGACTTCATCTTTGTTCTATCGTTTATCACCTACTTCCCCCCCCCACAATACCCCGCTAATTGCCCACCATGCCGATGTATGTCACGAGATGCTGCTTCCCCCATTGAGCGCGTACCTGCTTGTTGGCGCACGAAAGAGCTAGCAATTGACAGAACAATAGGCTCAAAGATCCCTCAAAGAAATATAAGCCGTTCAAGCCTTTGAACCTTCCCAACCGCACATGGCCGGACAAGACCATCGACAAGGCCCCTCGCTGGTTGGCCACGGACCTGCGTGATGGCAACCAATCTCTCCCAGACCCAATGGTAAGTAATTGACAATAACGAATTGATTCTCGGCGCCGTTCCCGTGCTTGGATAGCTAAGTTTCTTTGATCGTGTAGGATGGCGAGCAAAAATACCGCTTCTTCAAAAAGCTGGTCGAGATCGGCTACAAGGAAATCGAAGTCTCATTTCCCTCCGCCTCACAAACGGATTTTGATTTCACCCGCCGTCTTGTGGAAGAGCCCGGACTCACTCCAGATGATGTGTGGCTCCAGGTCCTTTCGCCTTGCCGTGAGGATCTCATTCGCCGCACCGTCGACTCGCTGAAGGGTGCTAAGAAGGCCATCCTGCACATCTACCTCGCAACCAGCCCATGCTTCCGTCGCATCGTTTTCAACATGGACCGCCAGAAGTCTCTCGAGATGGCCGTAAAGTGCACCAAGTATGCTCGTTCCATCACTAAGGACGACCCCTCGTGCGCTGGTACAGAATGGCAGTTTGAGTTCTCGCCCGAGACTTTCTCCGACACTGAGCCAGATTTTGCTGTTGAAGTCTGTGAGGCTGTAAAGGCTGCATGGGAACCAACTCCCGAGAACCCCATCATCTTCAACTTACCCGCTACAGTCGAAATGTCCACCCCCAATGTCTATGCCGACCAAATTGAATACTTCTGCACTCACATGACTGAACGCGCCAAGTTTGTTGTCTCTCTTCACCCCCACAACGACCGGGGTTGCGCTATTGCGGCCGCCGAGCTGGCTCAGATGGCCGGCGCCCAGCGTGTCGAGGGTACCCTCTTCGGAAATGGCGAGCGTACCGGCAATGTCGACTTGGTTACTCTCGCCCTCAACCTTTATACCCAAGGTGTTTCACCTAATGTTGACTTCTCGGATATCAACTCTGTCATCAAGGTGGTTGAAGAGAGCAATAAGATTCCTGTCAACGAGAGGTGGCCCTATGGCGGCTGTAAGTGTCTTCATTACATACTATTTACTTTTCCATCACTAACGCCAAACTAGCCCTCGTCTCGGTAGCCTACAGTGGCTCTCACCAAGATGCCATCAAGAAGGGCTTCAAGATCCGGGAGGACGCGAAGGCGACTGACGATGATGAGTGGGTCATGCCATATCTGCCCCTTGACCCACAAGATATTGGCCGCAACTACGAGGCCGTCATCCGTGTCAACTCCCAAAGCGGCAAGGGCGGTGCTGCCTGGGTCATCCTGCGCAGCCTGGAGCTGGATCTCCCCCGTGCTCTGCAGATTGAATTCAGTAAGATTGTCCAGAAGGAAACCGAGGCTCTCAGCCGCGAGCTGCGCGCCTCCGAAATCGTCAATCTCTTCGAAACCGCATACCACCTCAAGTCAAACCCTCGTTTCAACCTGATCGATTACAACATCACCACCGACCGTTCGCAGTCACCTGCCCCCCCCGAGCCTGGCAAGGCTCTCAACACCAAGAACTTGAAACGTCGGTTTACCGGTATCATTGAGATCGACAGCCTTCAGCACGCTATCACCGGTGTTGGTCCTGGTGCCCTTTCTGCTCTGGCAGCAGCGCTCTGCACCCTCGGAATTGACCTCGATGTCATTGACTACAAGGAGCATTCTATCGGTCTTGGTCGTGATGTGAAGGCCGCAACCTACATTCTCTGCTCGGCCGCTGGTAGCGACCAGCAGGTATGGGGCGTGGGTATCCATCAGGACGTTGTTCAAGGCAGTTTGATTGCACTTCTCAGCGCCGCCAGCTCAGTAAGTCTTTTCCTCAGGATGCACATCTCGTTCTTTTCTAACATGGTTATAGTTCCTTACATCGAAGGCGGGCTCGCCTGCTCCGTTCCGTCCAATTCGCTCGAACTCTCTCACCAATGAGGATATTCAAGCGCTCGAGCAGCTTTCTGGCTCTAACGAGGGTCTTGCGGTCAGCTCTGGCTACGTCCCTCAAGTCAACCTTGAGCAGTTAACTAAACAGGCCGAGGCCCAGTAAGCAATAAAAGTGTTTTTTTTTTCTGTTTTGTTCTTTCTAGGCTATATATTGTCAGGTCTGCAAATAATGCATTCCATAAATTTTATACAAATGAAAATTGAACATCTTATGTCCTCCGAAGCTTAAAGGTGGAAGGTACATCTGATATTTGCCGCTGAAACATTTCTCATATGCGGTATTCAAACGTAGGGTATCATTATCATAAGCTATGTACAGCGGGGCATGTAATGACCTTTCCATCTGAACGCTAGTATTGCATATATCATCAGTCAGCCCCGAAGCGCGTTTATGCCCAAAAGTCAAACCACTTCTTCTCTGTCCCTCCTCCATACACATCGAACTTCTGAGGCCCCTCGGCGTCGATTGTGTAGTATGTTTCACATGAAGAGAATGACACCTTGGGCTGTTTCTCATAGAACTCATCGAATCCTGGATCCAGAGCATCGGCAAGGTTCTTGACATACCCCTTAGGGTGAAGTTGACCCCATGGGTCACGGCATTGATCACCAGAGCAACGCTTTAGGACTAGCATCAGAGCGTCCAAGCGATTGATGATCTGTGGCAATTCCCGGTTTGCAACCTTGTAGTTTGCATGCTGGTTGGGGTTGGCAGCTAAGTTGACGGTCTGATGAGGATCATCCTACAACATGTGAGCTTGTATTTCGGACTCAATCATGGAGAACAATATACCTTGAGGTTATAGAACTCTTTCTCGTTTGTGCACCAGACAGAGTAGTAGATACTGTAGTCATCGGCAATCAAACGAATGCCCTTGTACGTGTTGTTTTCGTAGCTGTTTCCAGGGCCCGTCCTGAGTTTGTTGTAGCCGTAGATGCCCTCTGGAACAGCCTGACCCATGGTCGTTAGCAAAAGCCTCTTCTCCTTTGAACTCGAAAAAGCTTACCAGTCCCCAGTACTCAATAGCAACGTGCTCGGATTTGTTACTCGAGGTAGTAGCCGCCGTCAGTTCCGGAAGAATCTGTCCGTCCAGGCCACTCGTTGTGCTATTAGCGATAGACAAGAAAGTTGGAGCTAGATCGGTATGGCTTGTAATCACATCCAATGTCTTGTTCTGAGGCACCCCGGGGCCACGGATAATCAAAGGCACGTTGATGTCGGTTTCTACAATCCATTAGCAGTTGTCACAAGCTCCTTTTTTCAGATCGAGACCCACCAAAGCCACAATTCTTTCCTGGCTGCAGACGGTGCTGGCCAAGATGGTAGCCGTTGTCTGTGGAAAAGATGACATACGTGTTGTCCAGCTCTCCCGCTTTCTCGAGCTTATCAACCAACTCCCCGATCAGATCATCCACAGCCTGCAAAGCACGTAGACGGCAGCGGTAGAAGTAGTCAATATAGTCAACCTCGGTCTTATTCAATTCGGGTACGTTCTCATGCCAGCTAACGGCTCCCTTGACCAAGGTGTTGAAGCTGTTATCTCTAGGCGCCTGCGCTTCTGGGAACAGCTTCGCGTGGCGTGGCGCAGACTCCGGTTCACCGAACCAAGTAGCTCCAGTTGATGGGTCGAAAGACCCGTTGGCATGCGGGGCATTTGGCGCAACCTTTTTGTTTCATATTAGCAGCTAGGGTCACTCCTAGAAGGATGATTGGTACTAACAGTTAACATCCAAGGTCGGTCTCCTTTCAGAGCATCATCAAGGAAGCCGGCAGCCTTGGAAGCAATCACGTCGGTGGAGTAATTGCCTGCATAGCTCTCGGGCGCACCGTTGTTGCGAGTGAACACTGATTCGTAGTACCGGTATGTGTATGGGTCGAGCATGATCTCCGAGCCATTGAAGCCACGCACAGGGGGATCGTTATAGTTATCTTCCGTGATGGAGTTCCATAGTTTTCCAACGTAGTAGGTGTCGTAGCCGGCGTCCTGCATCCATAGGGGCAGGTAATTATCGTTCCACCCTGCTTGGACGAACTTAGGCCATCCGCCATAGGGGGGGATTAACATCCGTCACGTTGGTATTATGCGGCATGCGACCCGTCCAGATATTGGCCCTGCTGGGGCAGCAGAGGGCGACACTACAGTAGTGCTTGGGATAGGTTGCACCTTTTTGGACCAGTTGAGACTGTTTTTTCTTAGTAAATGTAAATACCATCAGATCTGGCAACAATCCTGCCCTGCTTTACCTGTAGATTAGGCATATCTTCAATGCCTCCAACGTATTTGCCCTGGTCATCAGTTAAGATGAAAAGGATATTAGGCCGCTTGGCATTAGCCACGGCAAGACTTGCCAGCCACATGCTATATTTCAAGAGCTTCATCTTGGCGATATCGTTAAAATTGAAGTGGAAAGTCTCGTTGGGGATATCGCGGACCAGACGGTCTCTCTATATACTTCGAGAGCTATAGCTCTAGGGAAAAGCCGACAGCCGACATTTCCACACTGCCGAGCAAGAGGCGAGCACAGCGACCTTCTTGCCTCATTTCTCCACAGCATTGCAAAAGTGAAGATCGAATGAGATGATGCAGCGGATCTTGCTGTTCGTAGTATAGGGTAATGCGCGCTGGGAGTCCGCTGATCTTTGTGCGCGGAAAAGAAAAAGACCCAAGCGGATGATCACAGGCTGCTATAAACACAAAGTCCTCAGAGCTACCCACTGTGGAGGAAGCGACAGACAGCATAAAACTTCGTATTCTCTTGCCCAGCAAGTTCCGCCGATGGCGAGCTTCCGTTGCGGATGATGCGAAGCGTGAGTGATAGTGGAGCCAAATCACGCCTTTTTCCTCGGTGGAGACGGAGCTTAACCACACGGCCGACAATTGATGGCCTCGGGGTGCATAAACAGAGGTTTATCAATATTGACGTCGATCGCACTGAATTACTGCTGGACAAGCCAGGCTCGCTAGGTCATCGTGCAGCAATGCCATCTCGAGGCCGAAAACTTCCGGCTGTCCTTGGTGACATGCAGATCGTGAGTTGAACCACCCAAACCCGGCAGTCGCTTATACTGTGGTGCAAGTCATACTGCGTTGGATATAGAGCATGCGGCTCTGAGCTCCTAACACGACATTGTTGACTCCCTTCGTGGGAGGGAGATGACCCCATAACCCCTTACTGGGAAGATGCCAAGGACAGCGGGGACCACTTTACTCCTAGTAGAAATAAACAAGCCGGTTTTCCACCACGCGACGTAATCGCGCTGTACCAGTAGTAGCGTTACTCTAAAGTCTATAGACCGATCTGATCCCACGTATCAATGAATTTTGGTCAAAGGCTAGATATGCAAAATAGAATAGAACACAGAGTTGCTGAGGGGTACTAATTCATAAAACAATCAAGACGCTAGACGTGGGTCAAAACAGGTGGAAGTCAGGGGGATGACAGGAGATATCGTTTGGCCCGATGAGCGACAGCACGGCGAGTAAAAAATAAGAATGATCTTCTATGCACTCTAGGTCTTCACAAGGTCTCGGCGAGTACATTGGAATATGTTTTCTGGTTCATATACAGGGTGCCCCAATATGTGGATGACCAGGATCGATCATCCTTGCAGCGGTCTTTTAGATTGCGTGGGGGTGGTGGGAAGTGTCGTGAGTATCGGCATCGTCTAAAGCGGACTGGTACATGATGGCTGTCCGTTGCCAGTCATCGATAATGCCGCTCTCCTGCGTACCAGGGCGATAGTCGTCATGAGAAGGGCTTGTGACTGCAAAGCCTGTACCATGCTGCTCTCCATGGTCGGGATGAGACGCCGATGCTGCAGATGCTGGCTGTTGCTGAGCTGACATGCCCAGGGGAGTATTGTCGAGTGGCGTGCTTGTCATTTCGAAACTAAATCGGAAATCTCGGCTTTGAGCCGATGTGGGCTCTTCGTGACCTGGCTCGTGGTAGTCATGGTCATCATCCTCGGTCACAAAAGTGGCCGATTGTGGCTCTTGGATGTACGGTACGGCAGAAAGCGGCTCAGGGACTGGAGTCTTGGAGACTGTGCGGTCAGTGCCGGTATCAAGCTCAGGGAGCTTTTTCCTCGGCGGGACCTGTGACAAGGGTGTCTTCTGGAGATCGACAGGGGCAGGGGACGAGCCTTCAGGCTGAGGTGTCACCGTGTCCTCGAGGGTAACGGCTCCAGGTGTGAGTCCGGGAGAGAGGCCAGGGGAAGATGGGACAGGTGGGACATCACCATCGTGCATTGTAGATAGACGGGTGCTGTTGCCCATGATGCTTCCAGGTTTAGAGCTTCGGCTGGCACGACGTTGCTGCGCCAGCTGCATGTCTCCAAATGGACTGTTGCCTAGGTCGCGGATGCTGAATTGAGCCAGTGTTCGCAGTTTACGCGACACCCAAGAGCCTAGAACCTTTCCACGCTGTTTCTCACTGAGACGGGAGCGTGGGAAATCACCATGGGACACAAAAGCAACTATATCAGCAACCACCTGGTGCTCATTCAGGATGACATCCACAATGACGGGCACCAGGGAGGCCAGGAACGACTTTCTAGTGACTTCAACGACGCAGACGATTAAACCCCCCCGCTTGGAAGATGGCACTATAATGAGTCAATATAGGAGCATGTCAGGCATTTGGGGGGTGGGTGGTTATCTTACCATCCTCCAGGAACTATGTTCCGATGACACTTTTCAACAGAGTTCTCGATATCCATAGGGAAGTGGTTGAGGCCATTGACTTCAAAGGTCTCGCCAATACCCCCAAGAACAAAGAGAACCTGCATCTCAACGGGTTGTCCGCCATGGCCAATAGGTCGCGTTACTGTGTGAAGAAAACCCAAGTCTCCCGTCCGGACGTAAGGAACAGTCGGATCTCCGTCGACCACTCTGCCATTCATTCTCTCGGCATCGAATTCTTGCTTCGACCTATAAAACCCCTGGGCACAAGCATCTGATTGAACCCAGATCTCACCATACTCACCAACCTGTGAGAGCGTGCAGGTCTCGGGGTTAACAATTGCAATCTGAGTGTTGACGGGAACCATTCCAGAATCTTGGAGAACTAGAGCAGTGGGGTCTGTATCTGGGTCGACGGGATAGATGAGGCCACGACGAAGGCTTCGAATATCCAGAGCCAACTCAATTGGCTCAATGCACATGTAAGACCTCGTCGCGATCATTGGGTTGAGAACATGGGAGTAAGACACATTAATCGCAGTGCGGTCCAGAGCAGCAGAAGCGAAGTGCAGGCGCGTCTTTTGGTCTGTGGGGGACTATGTCAGCTAGTGTTGAAAAATGGCCATAACGGATGACTCACAGATATCATTTCTGGGACGCCCATCCGCTGAGATCATCAAGTTCTTGAGTTCTTGGAGCTGGAATCCCTTGGCCGCCATGGTGGACATGGCATGGTCTAACATTTGGGCAGTGGCGTATGTGTCCTTGATCTTATACCGTGATAATGTCACGAACAAAGTCATTGGGTTTGCAGCAAAGTCGACGGGCGAAACAAGGTACGTGGGTGCACCTGAGAAGGTTAGCATGAATTTGGCGTAAGGAAGTCTGATGGGAGCTTACCAACATAGATACCCAGTAAGCAGGTGTGGAGAAAGCCAAGTCCCAACGTACTGCGCACACTGCCAAGGACTGGTCGAGAGCTTGTCATTTGACAAGTCTCCTTCTGCACCTTACACATTCCAAGAATGGTGTCGTGGCCAATCTGAACAGAGATTCGTCGTTGATCAGGAGTCCAGTAAGTCCAGACCAAAGCTGGTGCATTTCCTTGGAGCCAGGTGTCTTTGACGGTGTAACCAAGTTCGCGGCAGCTGTGGGACTGCTTCGATGGCTTGGTTGTGTTGTAGATAGCTGGAACTCCAATACGGAGAACTTGAGCAGATTGCTTGATATGCTGCGAGACAAGCTTCTGCTTCAGGACATGGTCAACATCGGTGTTGACAATGATAGCCTTCACATTGAAGTCCTTGATTAGGTGGAGGAAGGCGGGGGCATCCTCAGCCATACGATTCTGGTCAATAGGGGCCATAGGAATGACCACAACACCCAAGCAGAAGCATGCGTGAATAGCATAAACGTATTCTTCTGAATGGGTGTACATCAAGATCAGATGATCACCAGGTCGCACTTTGACCTTGTTCTTCAGATAAGTTGCTACCGCTGAGACCTTGAGGTCGAACTTCTTCCAGGTAATTCCCTTGCCCTCTTTGCCGCGACCGTCTATCGAGCAATACGCCAGTTCTTCGGCTTGTCGTGAAACTCGCCATTGGAGAATTTCTGAAATCGATTTGTAATTGCTCAGAGGTGTAGAGGTTCGATCGTCCATGACCACATCGCGATAGTCAACGCCGGAGTATTGTTTCTCTTGATAGGCGAGAAGATCTTGTCTGGAGGCAAGTGCAAGTGGCGACCAAATGCCACCCTCAGGGTCAACACCAACCGGGAGGTTCAGGACAGAACGTTCGACGCCAAACTTAACATGGACGGCCTGTAGCGTACCAGCTTCAAACTCCTTTCGACACAACATGTTACCGATCTCGAGACGACCACTCTTCGTCACACGGGGGAGTGTGTTCGGGGCGGTAAGCAGCACACAGTACACGCGAAGATGGTGTTCCTGGTAAAGTACCTCCATGCATCGCTCTGCGAGGGAGTCAAGGAGAACAGAATCGAGTTGACGCGGAGGGCCGCCATTTGCAGTGGGCGCGGTTGATGCAGCATAGGATTCCAGAACGATGACAGGCAAATGTTCATCGTTGACAAACACGTCGAACGCAGTGCAGTCGTGAATCTTTGGTACCTTCTTCAACAAGCTCACAACTAGGTGTTGCACGAAGAAATATCGGTGCTCAGCAATCTCTTGGCCATGCTCGACCCATTCAACCTTTTGTCGAAGTCTGTCCTCATACAGGCCCAAGACGAATATTTTGCCCTCGATGATGCATCCTAGTAAGCCGGTACGCAGAAATTCCGGTTCGACAAGTACGGGTGTCGGGTTCAGGATCTTCAAACTTATAAGGTCTGGCGTGGAAGATAGCCTCTGTATGTTTCGGCAGCGCCCAGAATCCACCAGAGAGAGAGGGAGAATCCACCCAAATCTCGCCAATGACATTAGGTGTACATAGAAGATTCGTCTCAGGATCGACGACGGCAAGAGTTGCGTCCGGAAGAGGATAGCCGAAGGCACCCACACGGACGGCATGGGGCATACTGCTAGCATATTTCCTAGCGTCTTCGCCCATGGCCAATACAACAACCTCATTGCTCTTCAATGCCTCTTTGTCGAGAAGGACTTCACTCAGGTCGTGCTTTGCGCTTTGCTTGGGTGCTGATTTCCGGGAGCCACCGCCGAGAAGACTGCTACCAAAGCCAGTGTTCGCTTCTGACTTTTCTTTCTCGTCATCAGAAGAATCATCATCCTTCTTGTTACGTGGATCCATCTCGTGAGTCAAAGAGCATCCCATTCGCTCCTCACCACCGAGCCAATCGCGCATACTGATGACCATGCCCCCATGTTCGGGCAAGCAAAGCATCGGTGCAACAATTTCTCGGGCTCGAGGGTTCCTCATAGGTCGCAGCCATCTATCAGCAAGGATTTCATGGAATTCAGGGTCGGAGGTCAAGGTGTCGATTAAACATATTTTTACGCTGCTGAAATTTGGCTCGGCATTCTTCTTGAAATGCCGCGTGGCCATGGGGTCTTGCTGATAGTTATAGGCGGAGATCTTCAATCCAGAGTAGTCTGCAGCCATGACCGTTGCCCGGTACTTCGTGATAAGATGAGCATATAGACCAGGCGTCTCGACGGCGCGATCTTCATGCCAGACAGTTGTGTGGCCACCGTAAACTGTTAACAGGACACCCAAGATCATACCAATTCCCTGCCTAGGATCGAGATAACTGACAATCGTCTCGCCCTTCGTCGAGTATCTGCTGTCGCAAGGGATCGTAGAAATGATGGCACTGATACAAGCCATCTGGTGCATAATTGTGCGGTGGCTCATTACAACACCTCGTATATCACCTGTCGGTGCGCGGGCGAATTCAATGTAAGCCAGATCCGGAACGACGAGTGGAGGAGTATCATCTTTCTTCTTTGGGTGAAAGCTCCCAAACTCATTAGTCTTCCACCACTCAACACCTCGAGGCCAGCTAAGTTTCTGGGCTGTTATGTCGCGTTGGAATCCCTTCAGATTGTTTTCCGTCGTCAAGGCCAGGTGGGCTTGTGTAGAAGTGAGGACCAGGTTCAGAGTCTGGTAATCATCCAAGCTGTTAATGGGAACCGCCACCACGCCTGCAATGAAGCAGCCGAAAAGTGCGACAGCGAATTCAATGATTTCAGTATCACGGTAGATGAGGGCCACTCTATCGCCACGGTACAAATTGCTCTTGTCACGGATTACCTGCGCAACCTTCTCGGCGCGACTAGCTAACTTATCCCATGTGATAGAGGCAAGCTCTTTGCCCTTCTGATCCAAAACCCAGTATGCGGGCTGCTTCGCATGGACTCGCGCACGATGGCGCAGGACAGCAGGAAGGTTATCGAAATTTGACATCGAGATGTTCTTATCATGCGGGTCGTTCACCGAAAAAGGAATATCACGAGGTTCAAGAGGCAATAGGTGCTCAATAGCTGGTCCGTGGGACAGTTCTGAGGAGGGTATAAGAGGAGGCACCATGTTTACGGTAGGCGAGAAAGCCTCTCCTGACTGGGAGTAACGATGGTATCCACCCCCATAGCTATCACGGTAATCCTCGTGTTGGCCGGCAAAGTCAGAGAAGAATCCCTGTTGCGAGTCAAGCATGGTCGATTGTCGCGTGACTCCGGCAGAATTCGGGTCATATGCACCCATGCTATCATCTGGGTACTCAGGTTGGTACTCCTGCTGGTAATCGTGTTGGTACTCTTGCTGATACTCTGGCTGAACATCAGGGTTGAAAGCGTAGTTCTGGCTCAGCAAAGTCGCTGTCCTCGAGCCATCTGGACCCTGCGATCCCGGGGGCATAGGTCTTGGAAGAAAAAGCGAATCATACGAAGAGCCGGACGGCATCCGATCATGCACCTGCCCTGCTCCTAGATTGTCCCTGTCATAGCCATCACCAGGAGCCGGAGACGATTTGTGTGGATGCATGCTCTCATCATGGTTGTACATAAGCCCTCCGCCTTCCCTGCTGGAGTACCTACTGGGAGGGTTTGGAGACCTGACGCTGGGGTGTGATGAGTCTGCTGTCGGTGGTCGGACACTCAGGATAGCTGGAGGAGCTGCGCGCAAGCCTGCCGGTGGCTCATCGTTATTCGCGGAGGGGTTGACCACCTCGAGTGGTTTATTAGGGCCGAAGTATTGCGACAGTAGGAGGGTGCGTCGCTTTTGGTACCTTGAATAGGATTAGCTTTGTACATTTCCTATATCCCATATGAACGATTTAAGTGGGTGGTAATATGCATTGTGTTATACTCGTCTCAGGCGAGCAGTTCGATGCGGGATTCTCGGTGGTATGTGGGCATGCTTACCCTTTCTGGGTGATATCGCCCTCCTGTTTAACACATCGAGAATCAGCGCCGGGGCCAGGGCAGGTCGTATAGAGGGTATGCATACCTCGAATTCCCGGTCCAGATCCCGCAATGCGGCCTGAATTTCCGGCGAATCTTCCGCCATTCTTAGAGAGAAAGAACCTCAATCCGAGGAAGTGGATCAACAACGCGGGGGAAGTCTAACAAGAGTCAATCACGAACATCGCAAGTATCTGCTCGAGTTGCTTTGGCGGAATTGACGAGAATTGACGAATAAATGAAGCAATGCGATGATACACCTGGGAGTTGATCGGGCTAGGAATGATAATAGGAACAAGGCGCCCTGAGTTACAATGTTGGGCTCTGCGTCGGCAACTAGAACATTCAGTCACTTCCAGGGCGGTCAGACTAACAACCGAGAACTGAGACATTCGCTACTTGGTCTTGTGCGCAAAGTCCAATGCAAGCAATTTGTATACTGGGTTGGCGCTACTCCTTGGATAAGAATACTTCCATGGGGATGAGCAAGCGCTTTGAGCTTTTACTACTTGGTGAACCGGAACATTTGTCGAAGTTTTTTTTCTCAGGGCCCATATGGCTAGACTGGACTAAGGCAATGGAAAACCATACCATAGATCTATTTGAAGAGATCACAGCTAATTAAACCCTTTTGGAAGAATGTGGGTGGGGGAGGTGTAATTGTGATGTACAGGGGGTAAAAAGACTGCAAGACCCTAAGTAGATCTTCCAACACTATACTTCTATAATAAGTGGGAACATCCCATCAGCAGATATCCGAAGCACCACAAATTGTCACCTGAGGCATGAAATTTATCCCGAGGCACGTGACCTAGGTGGATTCTGCCCTAACCATGTGACCTTGCGAGGGCTCCACAGAGGGCTTAGCGAGCCACGCACTTTCCCTTCACCTCCAGGACGTCTTGAAGAACCATCATCCCAACGCCAACCCTCCAGCACAGCCAAAATGTCCGACAACGGGGACGTCGAGGTCGCCTCCTTCCAGGCTCTTCCCAAGGATGTCCTGGCTAACCAGGGCTCCGTCCTGCTTTTCAACAAGTGGAGCTACGAAGAGTAATTCTCGCCATTCTCAATATATCCAATTCAAGATCGCTAACAGCTTTCCAGTGTCGAGGTCCGCGACATCTCTCTGACGTGAGTGCCACCCGTTATTCCGATGCGTTAGTATGTTATTTGGTTGTGCGATGTCGAAAATGGGGTCAAATTGGTTGGAGGATTCGTCCGCAAATTTTCGAAAATCGCTGGGGGAAAGGATATCCGCAATTCGACTTGAGACAACATGACAACAACACGCACAACCGATAACGGCGTAGGAGGGGGTTTTTTATTGGAAGGAGGAATCAGAAGGCTAACTTTCTCATTTAGCGACTACGTTCAGATCCGCTCCCCGGTCTACATTTCCCACACTGCCGGTCGCTATGCCGCCAAGCGTTTCCGCAAGGCTCAGTGCCCCATCATCGAGCGTCTCACCAACTCGCTCATGATGAACGGCCGCAACAGCGGAAAGAAGCTCATGGCTGTCCGCATTGTCGCTCACGCTTTCGAGATCGTATGTATACCCGTGTCCCAAGGCCCAGCCCCATCCAGCACAGTTTTTAGCTGAGACTTGACAGATTCACGTCATGACCGACCAGAACCCTCTCCAGGTCGCCGTTGATGCCATTGTCAACTGCGGTCCTCGTGAGGACTCCACCCGTATCGGTTCCCAGGGTACCGTCCGTCGCCAGGCTGTCGATGTTTCTCCCCTCCGCCGCATCAACCAGTCCATTGCCCTGCTCACCATTGGTGCTCGCGAGGCCTCTTTCCGCAACATCAAGTCCATCTCTGAGGTACTTTTCACCCCAAAACAACCCCCTTCTCCACAGACCCTATATTCTAACACGTATTCTAGTGCCTTGCTGAGGAGCTGATCAACGCTGCCAAGGGTAGCTCCAACTCCTACGCCATCAAGAAGAAGGATGAGCTCGAGCGTGTTGCCAAGTCCAACCGGTAAAGGGTGTTTTTGGAATGTTCTCCGTGTGGTCCTGTGTTTACGGAATCTGGAGTGGACGGGAGGTTATACCGGGATTCAGATGATTTGCATGCATCTGCGTGGCTGTACATTAAATTGAAACAGCACAGGAGGGAGCAGACTCAAAAAAAGGAACGCGATGGGATGACTTTTCTCCAAGTAGTCGGATGCGATCATGAAGTCCTCTGGTCATTAATGGCCAATTTTCAATACGAAAAAAATTTTATTCCCACGTCAGCCGCAAGAGACATGTATATTCTCAAACGCCTAGTAATTTGTAGTTCCAAATCGACCAACTTTTTGATATAAGGCTATGCCCTTTACGCAGTAATTTAGTTTGCAGCGTGTCTGGTTCCTAATTGGGGGGCGCGCTTATCGATAGGGAAGGGGGAAAAAAAAAGTTCGGCGGACTTACAATCTCCAGCCTCCTCCACCACCACCCTTTCCCTACCACTTTTCTCCCTCAAAAATGGTCAAGAGAAAGCTTGGAGCCTTGGAAAAGGTTGAGGCCGACTTGTGAGCACCCCCTCTTCGGCATCTGGACTTTGCGACCGAAGCATAGTCCATCGGCTCCAACGCATTTGCCGTCTGTATACTGACTTTCACCAGGCCCAATTTGCAGCATAAAATCCGCCGGGATCCTAAGTCAGCACTCCTACCTCCTCGACGGCTTACTCGTATCAGGCATAGGCTTTGCTAACGAACGTCTGTTATTGCTCAGATCCTACATTGAAGACTTTCGCGCCCAGCATTATCAGTATGAATCGCATCGAGAAATTTTCATGGCAGCGCCCACTTCTGCCACTGACACCGGTATCATTTCGCTTCGCGACCTGATTGACTTTATGTCTCATGTTGCCGATTGCTATCCTGATATCCTGAAGGATTTCCCCCAGCAGTTGATTGATATGTTAATCCAGCACCACCTGGTGCTGGAACCTGAATTACGAGAGAAGCTGGTTGGGAGCCTGGTGCTCCTCCGCAAAAAGGAAATTATTGACTCTTCAACGTTTGTCTTCCTCGCTGGCCAAAAAAACACCCCTTCAGTAATTCTAATCCGGACGATTCCAGGCTCTTACACACTCTCTTCCCAATCCTTATCTCCACTCCAAGCAAAACTCTGCGCGCTTTATTGTTCCAAAAAATATTGTCTGATATACGCTCGTCTAACGCAAAGTCTACGAATCACAAATTGAATCGAACTATGCAAACCGTGCTTTTCAATCTTGTCACGTCGGACCGCACATCTTCCAAGCCTCTGTGGGCAATTAAGATCACTCGAGAACTATGGAAACGCCAAATCTGGACCGATGCAAAGGCCGTTGAAGTCATGAAGGAGGCCAGTTTATCGGAAAAAGAGAAGGTCATTGTGGGTGGTGTCCGCTTCTTCCTGGGTGGAGATAAGGAGCGTGAAGAGGCAGAGGATGAGAGCAGTGACGAAGAGGCTGTTGATATCGGTAGAGTCAAGCATCAACTTGGTATTAACAAGAAGACCAAGAAGAAGTCTCGACTGGCTGAAAAGGCCATGGCAGCACACAAGAAGAAAGAGCGTAAGAAGCACCAGCCGCATGCGCTCAACTTCTCTGCGTTGCATCTGCTGCACGATCCACAAGGATTCGCGGAGAACTTATTTTCCAAGCATCTGCAAAATTCCAGGTCAAAGCTCAATCTAGAGCAGAAACTCCTGGTTCTGCAGTTGGTGTCACGGTTGGTCGGTCTGCATAAGTTGCATATCATGTCGCTCTATTCGTACTTCCAAAAGTTCTTGACGCCTCGTCAGCCATCAGTCACTTCGTTCTTGGCTTCTTTGGCACAAGCCACTCACGACTTGGTTCCTCCAGACGTTCTCGAGCCTCTGATTCAAAAGATCGCGAACGAGTTCGTTTCGGAAGCCTCTGCCGGACAAGTGGCAACAGCAGGTCTGAACGCTATTCGAGAGGTCTGTGCAAGACAGCCTTTGGCCATGAATGAAACCTTGTTGCAAGATCTAGTCATGTACAAGAAGAGCAAAGATAAGGGTGTCATGATGGCTTCAAAGGGTCTTCTGAGTCTTTACCGTGATGTCGGAGCGTCCATGCTCAAGAAACGTGACCGTGGCAAGGAGGCTGCCATGAGCCTCCGCGCCGGTGATAAGGAGAAAAGACGATTTGGTGAACAAGAAGTGGGAGGTATCGAGGGATTGGAACTTTTGGAGAAATGGAAGGAAGAAGAGCGCCGGAAGAGACGAGAGGAGAAGGGCCTGCCATCCGACGCAGAGGATGATGAAGACGAAGACGAGAACAACTGGGATGCCTGGAACGTCGAAGACGACGAAGACAGTGACGATTCTGGCGACTGGATTAACGTTCAAAGTGACGCTGAAATTGATATCAGCGACTCGGAGGACGAAGGCAAGAACCGGCCTGCTAAGAAGGCTAAGTCAGACGAGGAGGAGGCCAAGGCAAAGAGTGCCACCCCTTCAGAGCCGTCGGCGGAGACCGCCTTTTCCAAACTTGCGACTACCCGTATCCTCACTCCTGCTGATTTGGCAAAGCTCGCCGAGCTCCGAGCTCAGGCATCCGTCGATGCTGCCGTCTCTGGCAAGTCTCGCCGTGCTGGGCAGCCCGCTTCTGCCCGCCACAATGATGACCCCTTGACGGCAGAGGAAATCGAAGGTCTGGCAGCCCTATCTGCTGGTAAGGCCACTCGTGAGGAGAGAATTGCTCATGCTCGCGAGGGTAAGCTTGATCGGTCTGAGCACAAGAGCAAGGAGGCAAAGCGCCGCGAGCGCAAGCAAGAGCAGGGCAAAAGTACTACCAACAAGGAGAAGGCTCGTCGGAAGAACTTCTTGATGACCTTGGGGAAAGCAAAAAGCAAGAATAAGCGAAGTCTGGTGGAAACTCGGGCTGTGCTGAAAGCCCATCACGATCGTTCGAAGCGGGGTGGCAAGAGAGGAAACATTGGTAATTAGTTGAGATACTAAGACCATTTTCCAATGTAGGTACTAGTGGTACCTGGGTATATACACCCTCAGAACGTCGACATGATGCTTTTGAGTCTATAAAAAAAAATAAGGCGTTCCATCTTTCAATGGTCTTCCAACTTGCCAGTCATCTTAGTTTGTCCCTAATTGATCAGTTCCGCGAGCATCTACTTCCGAGTTCTCCAAATGCTTCAAGTCCAATCTATCGAGGACCTTACCTAGGTCTTTCCTAACAGCATCTTCGAGCTGCCAAAGTGTTCGCAACTATACGTCTTCCAAGGGCTTGTGATCGAGTTCAGTTTTATCAAAGTGAATATCGGTATTAACATGGTAGTAGTGGTAGTACCATCGGCCATGGGAGTACTCACAGGCTCCGGTTTAGTCGGAAATCGTGGCTGGAAATGAAGCAGCGGCTGTGCATGATGTTAAGAGTATGTATAACGGGTTCTAATCTGAAACATTCAATACTATCGCAAAAGTATATAAGACATCAAGATACTGCCTTTTTTTTCTTCTTTGTTTTTTGGGCAAATTTCTACATTTTTACAGTTTATTACACATCTCAATTACGATGACCTGATGTTCAGGGGCGAGAAACGCGATTTCAAAGAGCACTTCTGAGGGCTTGGGATCCCTCAATCTTACGTTCACAAATAGGAGGTGGGGTCATGTGACTCCATATCGTGCACATGAGAGCTGAGGGCGCTAGTACCATAAAGGCTAAATTTGGGCCCGCAGTTGGAACTTCAGAAAAAAAAGCGCGCCCGCGTCGCGCGTCCCAGCCACCTTCGTACTGCCCTGTGTTACCGTTGCTCTCCAATCTCCACTCTCCCCTCCTCCCACGTTGCTGGCCCTTGACTTTTTGCATTCCCTAGACTCGAACGGCCGTTCACTTTATATCCACACATTCCACGATGCCAGTCTTTAACAGCACTCTTGCTAAGCGCCGACGCTTCCAGCCTCCCATCACCACCTATTTCACCTCGGCAGCAGAATCCGATGCATCCGGTACACACGAGCACTACTCTGCAACGACCTTCTCACCCACCCCTGTCGTCCCAGCTAAGGTGCAGGCCTCGCTTTTGTCGGTCGGCATGCGTGTCCGCAAGTCGGTTGCTGACGGCTACAAGACGCAATTAGCGATGGAAATGGAGAAAGCGAAGTCCACCCCCATGGTCCTAGAGCGACGATGGCGACGCTTTTTCTCTCCCGCCAAGCAGTCAGGAATCCAATGCTTCAGCTCCGCTGCCCCGTCTCAATGGCCAGAAGAGACAATTCGATCTTGATAATGATGTTTTTGCCGACGATGAGATCTTAGCAGATGCTGATGACGACTCCTGGCGAGAGAAGCCGCTCGAACGCACTATTCTGACCCCCAGCTTAGGCCAGCAAAGACGCCGGGTATCTACTGTACCCCAGAAGCATGTCCTGGCTTCAACCAATTTGATATTGGATGATTTTGAAGAGGCCTCGTTCCTTCGTCGCCGAGAAGAAGTCGACAGCGACTACAAAATGGACTGCGCTTAGTTGCGAGGTCATTTGGCTTTGGTTCTTTTTTGTCACTGGTTGGCAGGTGATCGCTTGATCGATCCAACATGCATCATGCACCTCTGTGGCATGTCTCTTTGGGAAGACATGTGTGAATTGGCCACGGTGTTTGCTTTTGTTTCTGTTCTTTGTTCACTTTCGAGGAGTACTTGTACATAGTTTTGGCCTCTTTTTTCTTTGTACTATACCCCCTTTGTGTTATATGTATGTTTACTGGTTGTACGATTACTCTGCCGTGATGAATTCATTATCTGGTGTCTTCTTCTACTCGACTCTGGATGGCCCACAAGAGTGCAGACCCTTAGAAGACTTAATGTGCTCAGCAATGGTCACCCCTAAATCAATGTGTGCTGGATAATGTGTGCTGGAGTCTAGTGTATATAGGAGATCTTGTAGTACCTGTAGCCTCAAACGGGTTAGACTGCGGCTTCGATCAAATAATCAGAAAATCCGAACTATCGGCCCCGCTCCTCGTTTAGCTTCTAATCACAGAGGCTCGCACCGGCGAACGGGGAGAATGCTTTGTCTCTTGCGAGCACATTGGCCGAAAGGTCTCGATGGCCCATGGAATGATAACGGAACAACAATTCTCGTTCGGATTCGGTAGATTCAAGATGGCCGGGGTCGAGATTAAAAGACAATAGCCGACTCCCTTGCAGGTGGTACTATGCACGTTGTGGGAGTTTGGCTTCCGTGTACCGACATTTCAAATCCTTTGCTCAAAAATGTCATATAAGCGATCCGTTCTTATAACTGGCTGCTCAGATGGTGGACTGGGGGCTGCGTTGGCACTTGAATTCCACAAAGCTGGCTTCCATGTATACGCTACTTCGCGGAATCCCGACAAGATGAAAGGACTTGCCGCCAAGGGGATCGATATTCTGGCCCTCGACGTCCTTTCAGAGGAATCAATCTCCATTGTTGTCAAGAAGCTTCCTAGCTTGGACATTCTGGTCAACAACGCCGGTCAAGGCTACACAATGCCGATCGCCGATCTGGACGTGACCGATGCGAAAAGGATATTCGATTTGAACGTTTGGTCTTATATCTCGGTAGCCCAGGCATTTCTTCCACTGATCAGGAAGTCATCTCATGGCATGATTGTCAACCAAACTTCCGTCACATCGGCCGTGACAGTGCCTTTCCAAGGGGTGTACAACGCCTCTAAGGCAGCTATCGCTATGTTTTCTGATACATTGCGACTAGAGATGGAGTCATTGGGGATTCAAGTCGTGGATCTGCGAACCGGCAACGTGCTCTCTAATATTGGCTCCAATTCCCAGGCACAGCAGCGGGGGTTACCCCATGGTTCCCTCTATGAGCCGGCAAGGGAGGTAATGAACAAGGTGCTCCGGGGAGAGGGCTTTGCAGCTGTCGGATGGCCTGCTGAGCGATGGGCGAGCGAAGTAGTTCGCGAATTACAAAAGAATCATCCTCCCAAGGTTATCTGGAAAGGTGCAAATGCATGGCTAGTCCGGATTGGCACGATTCTGCCGGCGGGGACTCTGGACGGGACAGCAAGGAAAATGTCAAAGCTCGATCTTGTGAGCGAAATCTTGAAAGCCGAAGCAAGCCTGGCCACAGGCGTCTCTGAGCTTTGAAAGAAAGGAATGAACGGGGTATGTAATTCATTAACTAGTCTATTTGATCTATGGATGCCTTTATTACCGAAAATTGAAATAGAATAGAAAATTCGTGTGAAAGTAGCTCAAGCCGAGCTAGGAGAAGGCTCCTTCCCTTGGACCTTGACTTCCTTCGCCGCAGCCTGGCCGAACATCATCTCCATAAGGGCATCCGACTCTGCTGCGTAGTGGCACTTCTTCCGGATAGTCGCACCGTAGCGATAGAAGAGGAATGGCATAGGGACACATGCCAGGGCCAAGAAAGCCGGAATCGACGAAGCCCAATGGATCCCCAGATTATTGTACATCGGTGTGGTGAACAACGGGAATGCAGCACCGAACATGGAGCGCAATGCGGCATTCGCGGCCAACACCGAGGCAGCATAAATAGTGTAGGCGTCAATGAGGTAATTTAGCACCGGCAGGAAGACCATGACCATGCCAAATCCGAATGGGACACCGGCCGCGATAGAGGCCATCCAGTGAATAGATGGGTAATTGGTCCAGGCAAACCAGAACAGACCAACAGGCAGAGCGATAGCTCCCCAGAATGAATCGGGAAGACGTGCTTCTGGCGGAATGCGCCCTGTGGTAGATAGGACCTTCTTCTTGTATCTGAAATACATCGGAAATGTGCAACCGGCTGCGATGAGAATTCCAATCAGAACTCCGACGAAGGACAGCCCCGTGATGCCCTCTGACCAGCCGCGACCTTTTTCGTAGACGATAGGGAAAGCGGCGAACATAAGATATAGCCTGGGCAGCATGTTAGTTTTCCAATCCAGACAGAGCGGATGAACGGCGAATGCTTACACTCCATAGATGATAGACAGATAGATCGACAGGAGCAGAACAATAGGCTCGCGGAAAAGAAGAAGCCATGGCCGAGAGAGAGCAACCTTCAAGACTGCTGCAGGCGATTTCTTGCCTTGCTCAATCTCTAGCTTACTTCGGTAGACTTGACCTGTATGGGCTGAGAGACGCGCAGCTCGTTTCCGCAACAACACCGGAGCGCACGTTTCGGGCAAGGTAAAGAAAGTGAGGATTGCCAAAGCCCCAGCAAATATCGCCACCACACCTTCAACCCAGCGCCACCCAGCGTTCTCAGATATGAACCCGCCGATGATGGGACCGAGGGTTGGGCCCAAGAAAGGCGCAATACAATATAGTCCACTGGCCAGTCCTCGGCTGATCATGGGAAAGATATCAGTAATGACACCCCCTGATACCGCAAAGGGCGCTGACCCCAGCGTCGCGGCAAAAAAGCGAAGAATGATCAATGTCCAAATGTTCTGGGACCCGGCAGCCCCAGCAGTAAAGATCGCGAGCCCCAAGGCGCTAGCAATGAGGGTGTAGCGTCGGCCGTATAGTTCACTCAATGGGCCCCAGAACAAAGGACCGACCGCAAAACCGACAACGAATAGCGAGATACCCAGGATGGCAACTTCCTCGCTCACCCGGAACCTGAGGATAATTTCATTGATACTTCCTGAGTAGGCAGAGGACACCAAGGCCACGGCCAGGGTCAGAACACCGGACAAAATAGTGATCAACCACTTCTTCAGCTCAGAATAGTTCATGGGGTCTCGCTCATCGGCTTCCATCCAAGTGACCTGGTAGGGCTTATCTTCGGTACCAGACCCCTCATAGTGATGGTCGATCACAGCTTGGGATATACAGCCTTGATCGAACACCACGCGCCATGCGGGCACCTTGGATCCACCTTCTTCAGGGGAGATTCCCATGGCTAATAAATTAAGTTGATATGATGAAAAGGAGTGAGCTCCGTAAGATAGGACTGAAAAAGGCTTTTATATTAAAATAGTCCCTCTGGACTGATACCAAAACAGCCGAGGCACAAAAAAAAAATGGGGCTATCTGAACAGATATCGGATGAATCAACCATACGATCGATCTCCTGTGGTCCAATCACAAATTCCTGTCGCCGTCTTGACGGCGACACGTCCCTTTTCGGAAGTCCTCCGTGGGCCCCAATCGGCCCGTTGATAGTCGGGACGGCGTCAACTGTCCGACCGATGTGGTCCGATGGAACGGGGTTCGGGTCCGCAGTAGTCATGCACATGAGGATTTGTGAAATATTCTCGGGCTTCGAGTATAGCAGCCCGGTCAGATAATCTCTGGAAACAGCTCTATAAACAATTTGAATGGGCTCCCGGTAGCGCCGGCAGATTGCATTGGAATGAGAAACGCCTCGGGAGACCGGGATGGCGACAGATGCTCTGGAGCAAACTCCGTTTTGGGCTCGGGGTGGGCCCACTCAACCCACTGGAAGGCCACATCTATGATTTATTTTTTATTTATGCAGTTGGGCAGGTGTGATTATGTGCTGCGTAATCAGCAAAATCCCCCAAAGCGCTCGTGTCGGGCCCCAGGAGTCGAGCTACCTTGCTTACTATGGCATGGCACGCTGGATCGTGGAAATGCTGGCCAGTGTGCAGATCTATTACTGATCACAGAATATGCCAGTGTTCTATAGTAAATAGGAGGGGCACAAAAGACAGTGTGACTATCATTGAGGCGCCGAGGCCATATCTGGGCTAGTCCTCACCGCGGCTGAAGATCAACGTAGATCGCAGCAATACTAGTGTTTCCTGGCCTGAAAGGATAAATGGTCTCTCCCGATTCCGCCTTTTCCTCGTAAGTTAATGTATGGAATCTGGCCACAACATTCCCCTTGAAAGGAGGCGGTGGGTTGGACCAGACTTTCTCTACTGCCGCAGAAATGGTCTCGATCTGGATTCCCCGGAAGCCCTGTGCGGCTGCCCGTCTCATCATCTCCTCAGCGGCCTGCCGCATCAGTCCCCGTCCTTCGTGAGATTTAAGGGTACTGGTCGAGTTGCGCTTCAAGACCTGCCCAGGAGCAGTTGCCTTCCATGACGAAGGATCGCGTTTATCTAGATCCCCGAGAATATGATAAACAGCGCCAAACAATGGTAATGTCTCCACGAGAGGAGCGATTTTCGTCATATCCAGCGCATGGTATCCGTCATAGGCCATCGCGATCGATACCAACGGGAAATCCATCTGCTCTAGCAACTCTTGCTCAGTTGCATTCTCGTCATTGAAGTCCCAGTACAATTTCCCACCCGTGGCCGCAGATTCGGGTCGCCTGAACTGATAGTCTTTACAAAAGACTCCCAGAGAGTAACCCGAGTTTATCTGGTGCTGTATCAGATAGTGCCCAGCTTGGAACGATCCATATAAACGACGAGGTTTGTTCTCCGGGTAAACTACCGGCCAGAGCGGGGAATGAAACATGTTGGTGTAGAAACAGATAGCGCGTGCCCATTCCTCATGCTCTGGCCCAAGCGAGCGAATTTCGTACTGTGGAGGAAGGGGCATGTTGTTCCAAAATAGAGAGCTTGGAGAGCGGTCCGTCGCAATGCCAGGTAAAAGGAAAGGTGGACGCCGTTAGAGGTGGGGGGGGGGGGGTATGAGACGCCGTCAGAAGAGGGGCATGGACGCCTTAAGTCGGAGTATAGTAGTTATAACTCCTCCGTAGTATAAGCCGCCCGCTGCCAGCCCTGAAGGGGGAACTGTGTCACGCTATCTGAAGTTCCCGTAAGCGGATGTCATGTTATTTACTTCCGGAGTTTACTTTCGGAGCCCAGGACCGCGTTCCCCCCAAATAGAAGACCTTCCAAGGCTGGGACTTCCCCTTCGTGAAATTGTCCACACTACCCATTTATTTGGATGGGGCGGTAACCTTAAAACATGCTCAGAACGTGGGCCCATGGGTTTAGCTTACTACGGGGCCCCGGGAGCTTTGTGACAGGGGTGCAGTAAAGCCACAGCTTTCCTCATGTACGTTATTGTCGCGTATGGAAAAGAGCAGCGGATTTTGATTCGCTTTTGAGGCATCGAGAATATTCGATTCGCGACTCCGGCAGGAAAGATCTTCGGGCGATCAGACTTAAAGGGTCCACCACTGAGTTCTTACATAACAGCACAAACAGTGCAAACACCCCATGCATCCAAGTCTGATAATCGGACTATCTGGCCTTAGTATGCGGAGCTTGACAAGGTGTCCACAATCACGTCTCCGTGGTGTGTCATTTTCGACCTCATTATAATATTCCCCAACCCCCCTGACTTACCTTCGAACTCCTATCGCTTGACGGATTCATAACTAAATCCATACCAAACCCGTCTGGCGCAGGCCAGTGTTCCACCGACATACCTACTAGGATTGGTGGAACGCCACACCATTGAAATACTGTATACTGCTGCCATACGATATAGTGAGTTATACATTCTAGTCAAGGGAAACTTCTTGAACCGAACTCTGGCTAACGTCATTGCGGGCAGCAGAAGCCAGCAAACCACCATGGCTACCCTGGGCCGTGGGCGGTTACTTGCCCCGCCGTTCATCTCCCTCGTGCTCCTCCCATTCCTCGTCTTCCTACTGAGTTTCTCCGGGTCGGCATCAGCTGCTGGCTCAGCCGTTGTTGGTGTCGACGTCGGTACCGAATACTTCAAAGCAACCCTTGTGAAGCCCGGCATCCCTCTCGAGATTATTTTGAGCAAAGACTCCAAGCGCAAAGAATCCGCGGCAATCGCGTTCAAGCCAACAAGAGACAACGCCCCGTTTCCCGAACGATTTTATGGCGGCAATGCGCTGGCTCTGGCCGCCCGATACCCGGATGATGTCTACATCAACCTGAAGTCGCTACTGGGTGTGCCTTTCAACGATGGAAACGAAGAAGCCGTCAAAGAATACTGGAGCCGATATCCCGCATTGAAGCTCGAGAGTGCCCCTGGCGGGCGTGGCTCGGTTGCGTTTCGCAGCAATCGTCTCGGAGAGGCAGAGAGGAAGGATGCATTCTTGGTTGAAGAGATTCTGGCCATGCAATTGAAGGAGGTCAAATCAAATGCGGACGCGCTGGCTGGGCCAGGCTCGGATATCCGCGATGTCGTGATCACCTATCCGGCTTTCTACACAGCCGAGGAAAAGAGAAGCCTGGAGTTAGCAGTAGAGCTGGCAGGTCTGCAGCTTGATGCGCTTATCAGTGACGGGTTGGCAGTCGGTCTAAATTACGCTACCAGCCGAACCTTCCCAAGTGTGTCCGATGGCCAGAAACCAGAGTACCACGTCGTTTTCGACATGGGCGCGGGCTCTACGACCGCCAGTGTTCTACGCTTCCAGAGCCGCCAAGTGAAGGACATTGGTCGCTTCAACAAGACGGTTCAAGAGGTCCATGTTCTTGGAGCTGGCTGGGATAGGTCGCTGGGAGGTGATTCTCTGAATGATATCATTGTTGATGATATGATCTCCAAGCTTGTGGAGGATAAGAAGCTCAAGGACAAGGTCACCCCTGAACAGGTCAAGGCGCACGGCAAGACTATGGCAAGGCTCTGGAAAGACGCTGAGAAAGTCCGTCAAGTTCTGAGCGCCAATACCGAGACTTCTACAAGCTTTGAGGGACTCTACGATGAAGAAGTCAACTTCAAGTACAAGATCAGCCGCTCTACCTTTGAGAAACTGGCCGCGGGGCACGCTGAGCGAATTGGGGCTCCTCTGAAGGACGCAATTGCGGCGGCTGGCCTTTCCCTTGATGCCGTTGACTCAATCGTTCTTCATGGGGGAGCCATTCGTACCCCTTTCGTGCAGAAAGAGTTGGAAAGAGTCCTTGGATCTAACAAGAAGATTCGCACTAATGTCAACGCTGATGAGTCGGCTGCGTTTGGTGCTGCTTTCAAGGGCGCCTCGCTCAGCCCTAGCTTCCGTGTTAAGGATATTCGGGCACATGATGCAGCCTCCTATCCTATCACTCTCAAGTGGAACTCGGATGGAAAGGAGCGAAGCCAGAAATTGTTCACTGCTACTTCCCAGGTCGGCCCTGAGAAGCAGGTTACTGTGAAGAACCTTGACGATTTCGAACTCAGCTTCCACCAACTGGTTGGACAAAATGGGAATGGACACCCTCTCCTTAGTGTTCGGACGCAGAACCTTACCGCATCCGTCGCTAAGCTGAAGGACACATTCGGCTGCACCGCAGCTAACATCACAACCAAGTTTGCGATCCGTCTTAGCCCGGTAGATGGTCTCCCTGAAGTCACCAGCGGAAATGTGAGCTGTGAAGTTGAGTCAGGGAAGAAGGGAAGTGTCGTGGAGGATGTCAAGGGCTTCTTTGGACTTGGTAACAAGAAGGGAGAGCAACAGCCTCTCGGCGAGGATGGTGAGCCAACAGAGTCAATTACTCTCGAGCCTGAAGCAGAATCCGCCACAGCACCCTCGGCTCACGAGTCAGCAACCACTACCGCGGCCAAGGACAGCTCGAAATCTGCATCGCAAACAAAGCTGGAGATTATTCCGATTAGCTTCAAGTCAACGCCGCTTGGGACCCAGGCCCCATCTACTGCTGAGTTAGCTCGAATCCGTACGCGTCTCGCTGCATTCGACTCATCCGACCGTGACCGTGTCCTCCGAGAAGAGGCGCTCAACGAACTCGAGTCTTTCATCTACCGCAGTCGCGATCTTGTTGACAGCGAAGACTTCACCAAGGCAATCAAGAGCGAGGACCTGGCTCTTCTTCGAGAGAAGGTCTCCAAGGCCAGCGATTGGCTGTACGAGGACAGCGACAATGCCAAGACAGCGGACTTCAAGGCGAAGCTCAAGGATCTTAAGGTCATTGTCGACCCCGCCCTGAAGCGGATCAAGGAGGCATCCTCCCGCCCTGCCCGTGTGAAGATGCTCCAGGATCTCCTGAAGACAGCCGAGTCCATGCAGCAGTATGCCGAGCTGCAGATTACCACTGACGAGGAGGCCTATTCATCCGCCCTGTCCGCTTCTAGTACCGCGACGGAAGGCGCGGAGACCGCACCTACCGCGTCTGCCGATCCTCTCGAAGATCTCGATGACGATGCTTACTCCAATCCAGCATCCTCACAAACGAAATCTGCGGCTGCGGCGAAGCCAACTGGTCCCAAGTACACCACTTTCACTCCCACGGATCTCCACACCTTGAAGCAAGCCTACGAAGTCACCAAGCCTTGGCTTGAAACCCAACTCGAGCTTCAAGAGAAGCTCACCGACTCGGATGACCCCGCTCTTACCATTGTGGAAATTGACTCCCGCATGCGTGAGCTTGAGCGCATCTTGAGCCGAATGCAGGAGCGCCTGATCGCTGCTGCAAAGAAGACCAGCCGGAATTCCGAGAAGGCAGAAAAGGCAGAGAAGACCAAGAGCAAAAAGGATAAAAAAGAAAAGGCGGCAGAGAAGGAGAAGCCTGTCGAGAACGACCGCAAGGACGAACTTTGAGATATTTTAAATCTTTATCCCTACCACGCATTCGGGCTACTTGATCATTTTCCGTGACAGGTATCAGCCCTTTGGAGTATTGTTTAACTTATACAAGTTTGTTTCATATCCACTGAGGTGTCTCATCCGCTATGTTATTCGACCACATAGAAAAGAATTACAATGGAGTTCAAAGACCTCTCCGGTCCTATTGGCCTACTGAACACAGGACGTGTTCCGTGCACTCCTGCTGCCACCCTCGGGTACCGCGTGAGTATAGTGCGTTGAAATTTACTACTACCAGTAGCAGTCTGCGAGATATTTACGATCTCCAAGTTGTCGTGTGAACCAAGGTTTGTTCTCCCTTGGGCACCGTCACTGCATGTGACCTTCTTACGAGCCTTTCAGTACATTAAGGTCGCATCCAATAAACTCACCAGCGCTAGCTCCGTGGATTTCGGGCGGTTACTTGGTTAGCTTGGTAGATTGAAGAAAATCGCAAAGATCACAACACCCCCAAGGATCCATCTCGGGTCAAAGCAAAGTTTCGATCGAATGATCTCCTTGAGCCTTGGGACAAGGAATACGTCATGCGAGCTCTTGACCAGATGAAGGAGAAAACTCAACAGGATACGGGGTAATCTCGACGCGTAGTGCTGTTTCGTAGAGTTTTTTTTTTTTCGAGTGATGTTGACACAACGCAGAGCCTGTGTCGCATAGTTTGGGTGTAGATTGCTTCGAGCTGCTAGAGCGGAGCGTCCTACATCGAAGGGTATACAAAAGCGATGTCGCGTACGTAGTTTTTCAGGACTAGCAAGTCCGGCTCGGAGTAATTTGCTACTGAACAGGCAGGAGGAAGACCAGCATTGCAAGTGGGCCATGCATTCTCCCGCGGCCTTTCTTCGGCGATACCAGCACCGGAACTGTGTATGAGCAATTCACCGTCGAGAAATCGGGTGGATTGGACTTTAGCGCCGAGTTTATCGCTCCGCTAGCCACGGGCACAGGGATACTCCGTAAGCAAATCGAAAATGTTCGCGTGGGGCCCCACTCTAAGGGATGCCTTTTGGCTCGGAGTGGACTCCTGTTGCCCCGCGGGACATGGCGAAATTGGAAGGGCTCGGGAGATATCAGCGTCAACACTTTCAATTCCTCCAGCTCGAATAACATCCGCCAGCTCCTATTACCCTAGCCAACCGACTTTCGTACCGGCAGAGGAGAGCTGCGCGATGGCAGCAATGTCAGTGTAGAATTTTATCTGGTCGGAGCGGTGCAGACAACTCCATGTGCCAGCGGTCTGACCGAACAAGCGTTGAACCTTGTCATATATCAGTTTGAGTCCCTAGGGTTGAGTCGGGGCCCTCCAAGGGTCTCAACTCACAGACGCAGCCACGCTGTAGTTATCAGCTCAAGAACCTAGAAGTGGTGCCATGAATCAGACATGACGAGGGAGGTTTCGACCAGGACATTCTCCGAGCCGCACACAAGTGGAGGCAAATTTGAATGTGAACCCCGGAAGCTTGGAATTACACATCAACCTTATTCACTCCGGGGCCAGAAGATAGGACGACGCCCGAGAAGGGGTCCGCGGAGCTCGCAACCCCATTGGGTTGGCTCCGTGCTTATCATCTACTTCTCGCCAAGGAACCCGCTTATCTACAGCCCTGAGATTCATTGACATCCGTTTTCTCATGGCCCTTGCGCTCGATAAGATGGCGATTTTAAATAAGCTGAAATGTCCCCGAGGGCAAAAGTAGATCAGGCAAGATGGAGGCCCCTCTAGACATCAAACAGAATGTCCCTACAACGGTCTCCAGCGTCGATATCGACCCTCGAGCAGAGAAGTCGCTTGTTTGGAAGTTCGACCTTCGGGTACTGCCCGTGTTGGCCATCATGTACCTATTCAACTCGCTCGACAAGTCCAACTTAGGAAACGCGAAGACTGCGGGCCTCGAGAGTACGTTCTATCGACCAAACGATTCTTCATTCATCATTGATATTGATATCTCTTTCTATAGCTACCCTACATCTCCACGGCGATCAATACAACCTGCTTCTGAGCATCTTCTTCATTCCCTATGTCCTGACCGCGCCTTTCCTCGGCCTACTAGGGAAAAAGTTTGGTGAGGATACTCGAATCCATCAACTCGGATCGCGCTGACCTTCTCAGGCCCACACAGAGTCCTTCCGTGCATGATGACGACCTTCGGCCTGTGCACGATCCTCGTCGTCGCAGTCTACAACTTCAGCGGACTCTTCGCCATAAGATGGTTTCTTGGAATGGCAGAGAGTGCATTCTTCCCCTTGGTCATCTACTACCTCACAACGTATGTGCTTTCCGGGAATGACCATAGTGGCATACCGCTGACAAAGTAATAAGCTTCTATCGCCGTGGTGAACTCGCACGCCGCTTGGCAATCTTCTACGCCGCACAGAGCATCGCGTCGGCTTTCTCTGGACTGCTTGCCTTCGGAGTCTTCCGCATCCACAGTGGACCATTGGCTCCTTGGAGGTATCTGTTCTTGATCGAAGGCGGAGGAACAGTCATCTGTGCTCTCTTTGCCTTATGGTATCTACCCCGATCCGCAGCCGACGCGAAATTCTTAACCCCGGAGGAGAAGGAGATGGCCTACTTGCGGCTACAAATCGACAGTTCCTCTATTGTCGACCAAAAGCTGAACATTCGCGACGCCTTCCGCGTATTCAAGCACTGGACCAGCTGGGCCGTTCTGGCTATCCAGGTCTGCCTCGGAGTCCCTCTCCAAGGCGTCCAACTCTTTTTGCCGGTGATTGTTCAGAGCCTGGGATACAGCACCGTCAAAACAAACCTGTACACCGTGGCTCCCAATGTCTGTGGTGCTGCAGTGCTGCTCATTCTGGCTTTTGCCAGCGACTGGACCAAATGGCGATTCCCATTCATCGCGCTCGGGTTCCTGTTCACTTTCATCGGATTCGTGATCTACGCCGCTATTGATGTGAAGAAAGACGTGAGCGTTGCGTACTTCGCGTCCTTCCTCATGGTGTGGGGCACTTCGGCCCCGTCTGTTCTTTTGGACGCCTGGTACAACAATAACACGGCGAACGAAGGTCGCCGCGTTGTGTTGACCAGTATCGCTGTCCCGATCGCGAACTTGATGGGGGTGGTTGCCTCCAACATCTTCCGCCCTCAGGATGCACCCAAGTACTTCCCGGCGCTGATTACGACGGCCGCTTTTGGTGGGACTGGGATCATTCTCACTCTGTGCCTTGGGCTTTGGATGATTTGGGATAACAAAAGGAGAGACAGAGGGCAGGGCGTATGTGTTCGGGCAAGGGAAATTCCCACAGAGTACCTGGAAGACGGTCCGGCGAGCGAATGTTTCAGATGGTTTTATTAGAGCGCCTTGAATCTTTAGGGTTCATGGGTAATTTACGGTTAATGAGTAATGTCTTCGGTTAAATATCAATTCATAAATTGTTTCATTAAAAATCCAGAACATCACTAGAGACTAATATATGCAGGGCGAGATTAGATTTAAGGAGTGTAAGCCGCACAAGCCATCGACCCCACGGCCCCTTCTGTAAGACAGACTGAGGCTTGGATACCAACGGCTATCAAACGTAAGGAATGACAGTACTTTCAGGTTTGCCACCATCGTTTCTCTTTTCTTTTCTTTTCTTTGCTTTGCTTTGTATCATGTTTCGGTCAGTTCAAAAGTCATCAGCCATCCCTATCACAATGAATGAAATTACCGTTGACTTCTGAGGTTCACTATACACCCTTGAGATCTAGACCAGCGCTGCAGCAATAACAACGCCGGGCAGGAGAGCGGCAAGAGAGTTCTTGAACTGGGATGTGGCACCATTGTAATGGGATGTGGGAATCGGGGCCGGGGCAGTCGAAGGACTGGAAGAGACTTCTGGGGAGGGCAAAACCTCAGGGGTGGTAGATGCAGTCCCTGAAGAGGCAGGAATCGGCACTGAGGAAGGGTAAGGCACTGAAGACGTGACAACAATGCCAGTAGTCCAGGTAGCCTCTCCGGTTGGAGGAGGTACCTCTGGGGTTGTACTAGGGACCACTGTTGGCTGAGGGCATCCTTCACTACAAGTGATGACCGAAGTAATAATCAGAGTGCTTGTTGATGTGACTGGTTGGCTGATGACAGACGATCCGCTAGTAATGGTACTCCATGTCACTGCGAATTCGTTAGCTTCCTCTATAATGGAGACTTGGTTTCTAGATCATACCAGGACAAGTGGTTGTCAGATAAGTAGTTGTGATAGTCGTGATAGATGTGGAGCCGGGTAGAAGTGGTGTGCTCGTAGAGCTCTCCCAAGATGTGGACGTGACTGAAGCTGGCTGTGTGCTGGTAGAGCTTTCCCAAGATGTGGAGGTTGTGGAAGGTGGTGGTGTACTTGTAGAGCTCTCCCAAGGCGTGGAAGTTGTGGAAGTTGTCGAAGGTGAAGGCGTGCTCGTAGAGCTCTCACAGGGTGTAGAGGTTGTTGAAGGTGGTGGTGTACTTGTAGAGCTCTCCCAAGGTGTGGAAGTTGTGGAAGGTGGTGATGGTGGTGTGCTTGTAGAACTTTCACAGGGTGTAGAGGTTGTTGAAGGTGGCGGTGGTGGTGGTGTACTTGTGGAGCTCTCACAAGGCGTGGAAGTTGTGGAAGGTGGTGATGGTGGTGTGCTTGTAGAACTCTCCCAAGGCGTGGAAGTTGTGGAAGGTGGTGATGGTGGTGTGCTTGTAGAACTCTCACAGGGTGTGGAGGTTGTTGAAGGTGGTGGTGTACTTGTAGAGCTCTCCCAAGGCGTGGAAGTTGTGGAAGCTGGGGGTGGTGGTGTGCTTGTAGAACTCTCATAAGGTGTTGAAGTCGTCGAAGGTGGTGGTGTGCTCGTAGAACTCTCACAGGGTGTTGAAGTCGTCGAAGGTGGTGGTGTGCTCGTAGAACTCTCACAGGGTGTGGAAGTTGTTGAAGGCGGCGGTGGTGGTGGTGTACTTGTAGAGCTCTCCCAAGGCGTGGAAGTTGTGGAAGCTGGGGGTGGTGGTGTGCTTGTAGAACTCTCACAGGGTGTGGAGGTTGTGGAAGCTGGCGGCGTACTTGTAGAACTTTCACAAGGTGTGGAAGTTGTCGAAGGTGGCGGTGTGCTCGTAGAGCTTTCACAGGGTGTGGAGGTTGTGGAAGGCGGCGGTGTGCTTGTAGAACTCTCACAGGGTGTGGAGGTTGTGGAAGGCGGCGATGTACTCGTAGAACTCTCACAGGGTGTGGAAGTCGTCGAAGGTGGTGGTGTGCTTGTAGAGCTCTCATAAGGTGTTGAAGTCGTCGAAGGTGGTGGTGTGCTCGTAGAACTCTCACAGGGTGTTGAAGTCGTCGAAGGTGGTGGTGTGCTCGTAGAACTCTCACAGGGTGTGGAAGTTGTTGAAGGCGGCGGTGGTGGTGGTGTACTTGTGGAGCTCTCACAAGGCGTGGAAGTTGTGGAAGGTGGTGATGGTGGTGTGCTTGTGGAGCTCTCACAAGGCGTGGAGGTCGTCGAAGGTGGCGGTGTGCTTGTAGAGCTCTCACAGGGTGTGGAAGTTGTCGAAGGTGGCGGTGTGCTTGTAGAGCTCTCACAGGGTGTGGAAGTTGTCGAAGGTGGCGGTGTGCTCGTAGAACTTTCACAAGGTGTGGAGGTCGTTGAAGGTGGTGGTGTGCTTGTAGAGCTTTCACAAGGCGTTGAAGTTGGCGAAGGCACTGTGCTAGTTGCACCAGTGCCCGGATGGCCCCTTGCAAGAAGAGCATGGTCATCACGCCGAGCCACTGGGAGTATTGGTGAGTCCTCCCAACTCTCTGCAGCATTGGCGGAGACGATTGCCGCCATATAGATCAGATAAACTAGAATGACACGCATCTTGCCGGAAAGGGAAAGTAGGGTATCCCGAGGTAGAGTATGTTGGCAAAAAGCCGGGGAACCTTTGTGAAACGAGAGACAGAAGAGATCCTAACGAGTTGGATCCTAGCAGGAATGAAGAGAGAATAGCCTCAGGAGATGAGGGATTTATACGTCCAAGTTTCGAGGAAACAGGGCTTCGTCCGAAGGAACTGTATTTCACCTCATTCAACAACGGTCATCATCTTTATTTGGCTACTCGGCAGCTCTTGATACAGGGCTGATACGCAGACTGTACGAATACCAAATATGTATCCAGCTTTGAGGATTCATCGGCCTTCACATTACAACTAGAACCAGTATTTCGGAGGTATTGCTGTAAGGCCATCCAATTCCCAGATATAGACTTGACGTAGGTTCCAAGTAGGGATTGATATGCCAATTCGAGTGGAGCAGTGAATAGATAAGAGGGATCCAATCGTAGGATCGCACGTCTCTGGTCTAAACTTGGTTGTGCATAGAACAGATCGGATTTTTCCATAACGAGGTCAAAGCTCGTAAAAGCCGTTAGTCCGGCAGAATCAGTCCGAGCTGTATATGGGGTGTTCAGTGAGACATGGCGCTGTGCTCCATGACATTGCGGGTTGAGGGTGTATTTTCTTTGAACCACACTAAGACTTCTTTCCGAATACCTGTCGAGTAATATCTTTGCCCGCGAATTATCGTAATACTTTCGATCGGATGGCTCCTGGTCGAATACCCTTAGTTACCATCCCAGACAGGGTGGAAGGAGGCTGCTATTGGAGTGAGGCCTCATATCAGTTCCACGCCGGAAAATGGAATTGGGTAGTTTTCCAAGGATCAATTCAGTTCCCACGGGTCAGTGTAGGTTACATCTGGTCATTTGCTGTTGCTTCGTTCAACGTTTTGTGGGGAAACCTCACGAATAAGAACGCCCGAAGCACGATACTAGGACTATTCTAGCACTAACCCCCCTTCCCGGAATGCAGCCGGTGGTCGTGCTTTCTGGAACCCTTGGAAATTGAGTTCTTTGTACCAAAGGATTATTTGTAGCCTAGTATCCATCTGTGGTGAGGTCCTAGACGCGCGGGGTAATTCTGTTAAATACCCTCTTCTTTAAGCCGCGTGTTGCCTCTTAGAGTCGACCCACGACTACGACAGATACCCGCGAGTCAGTTCGATTGAGATTCCAGCACCTTGAAATGACTCAGGTAGGTAGCGTTACATAGCACCATGGGCATTCGAGATCATGGCTCTGGATCAAGTGTTTGCAGGAGGTCGTCGTTGGTGGGGGGCCTGGCCCTAGTGGCATGGGGCCCTTTCGGATAAAATCCCACCATTAGTGAGATAGTATCAGAGACTGAGACTGTGCACAATGGGACTATGATGTCACCAAGCATTACACTAGGATATCTTTTAGGGCCTGTTTGGAAGAAGATGTGGCTGAAACCCCCTGTCATGTCTTAGAATTAGCCCCAGGGCTAATGGTTCCATGGTAACAACCTCGACAACATGGGCACCAAACCAGTATGCCTCTAAAAAATGCCGAGACGCCATCCGAATAGCCTGCACTAGCGGATAGTTTGCCCCAAAGTCAGAGTTCAGAAAGGAGATCTAGGAATGTGAAAGATTCAAGTTGTAGACTTCAGCTTGCACCGGCCGGGGATCTACCAATTAATGACCAGATGCATGCTTTGATGCCCATTGGGAGTAGGAAAGATATCGCCCAGCCCGGGGTCTCGTGAGGGGTTGCGCTGGACGTTCAAAGGGACCACCTTAGGATTTACTTTATGAGACACGCGAGACTCCAAGCGCAATGTCTTGAACTCTCTTGCAGCGATAACGTGGACCAATCCGGGGCTGTCAGTGTTCATTTGGCCGAAATATCGCATGATTCGAAGGATTTGTTTATGCTCTACAAGTCATTTTGAGAAAGAGAGACCACGGTCGCCCCCTCGAGAGAATCTATTAATTCACACCTGTACCAGCGACTAGCACTTGTTAGGTGCGGTCGCGTCACGTCGTCCAGATAGAAGGTATTGCCAGAAACCAAGTTTCGGTCGCGAGCCTATATTGCCGGAGAAGTAATCTCAAGGAAGCGTCTCCTAATCATCGTCTTCAGATCCACTATCCCATCCGGTCTCATAAGACTCACGGATCTCGCCAAGGCCATTCACCATTGCCTCCCGTTCGTCCACTGGCAAGAATCGTGCTGTAGCGGTCACAATAGCCTTGATCCTTTCTGCGGTTCGAGTCGAAGCGCTCAAGGTGGAAAACACACCGAGACCTTTACCAGATGCGCAAGCTGGGTAAAGGTCATGTGGAAAACTATCCAAAATGGGCAAGCGAAGCGGAGTATAGTAGCTGAAGCGTTTCAATGTCAGTGGCCACTTGTTATACTTTTAGTACTTCCGAAATTAGACTCACCACTGAAGCATCGCCTCGGAGTTATAGAGATGGAGCTTCCGAACGCGCCCAAGGTCACTTTCGATCGGTTCGGTGGACTTTGGGGGATCCGCGCCGCGAGTCACCTGCACTTGGTTAAAAACGTGAGGTTCTTTGCTGCCCTCCCCGCCGTAGGTAAAGTCGATATCAAATTCTGTTTCAGCCTTGTCTAGCTTATTATCTGACGATTCGCCATTATGGTTTTCCCTATTGGGATTGATGGTAGATTGCAGTTCGAAAATACTATGTGATCCATCACCTCCAGCGAGGGAAGATTCGAAGTCATGGTAGGGTCGTAACCGTGATGGTAAAGTGACTGTTTCGAGGGCAGAGCTGATTAATGCAGTTTTTTGCCACTCTGAGCTTCGGTCCACGTTGATATATTCCGGAAGTTTTGGGGGAACATCCAGGATTGGGACATAAATTGTCGACTGGGGAGCAATGCAGTAAAGTGACTTGGCTTTGTTCGTGTCCTTTTTCACCTGGCGATGCTAAAAATTTTGTCAGCCTACCTCACATTCCTTCCAAGCTATCTATGGAAGAGCCTCACCCTCTGAACCCTCGTTCCGTCCTCGATTGCCCAGACCCAGATGCTCTTCTTTCCATACTCGTCACGGAGCCGGTCGATATACCGAGCGGAAAAGCCACCCCAGGCATCATCGGCTCCAGTGAAAATCTGGAGCGCCCGTAGCTGGTCACATTCTTCGGCGAAAGGCCTCACGTCCCGGTCTAAAAGATCATGTTCTTTGTCGATGTCATTGAACAGCTCTTCACCCACATTCCAATCCTCGAATGGCATGGTTTGGGAATTCAGCTCATATTCGTTGAGTTGTACGGCAGATCGAGGGTGATAGAAGACCCTGTTGTAATCGGACCAATAACGTACAGTTTCCGATGTCAATCGCGGCGCTGGAGTACCTTGGTCTAGGCTTTTCTGATAGTCACTGGGCATGATCGGTGCTTGTTTTTGAACGATTGCTTGACCGTCCCTTATTCTGTTAGCTAAGAGCAATGGCTTATGATGGAAAGATTAAATACCAAAGGCCTTGCCCGGATGCTGCTTCGTCGGTCAACTCGTAAAGCGCATTGTACTTGCGCAAAGTACCAAATCCGCCCTTTAAATCATAAATCACCGTGCGCGGAGTATAGGTTTCTGATCCGTCAGCCCCTATGCCCGGACGAAAATGCACGTCATGATCAATCGGCGACTCCTCGCTATCGTTGTATGTAAAATAGGATTCCTACTCGCTTGTTATTCAGCGAATCAATGGCTATTATGCCTTCTTGAGTGCACACCTGTAAATTCCAGAAATGGGTGGCCAGATAGTTGGCCCGTTGGCCCAGCTGTAAAGTGACGATTTCATGCATTGCTACGAAAGCCGTGTCGATCCTGGAGCTCCTGGTTCTAGAACGTGTTGGAACAGGTCAATCTAAGATTTCCTCAGCAATGCGGGATGAGACCGATAAGCAGTAAATGGCGGCAGAAAAAAAAACACGATAAGCCCAGGGGCGGTGAAGGCCGCTCGTGCCTGCCCGAAACGAACGAGCAGGACAGAAAGGGGAAAGCGCGGCCCGTCACCACGACAACGCCTCGTGATACGACCCGCACGCCCACTGTTTATTGCTCTTTGGACACCGTGCGTCACTCCTGGGCTCCATTTGTGGGTGACGAGGATTTTCTTTGATCTTAACGTCTCTCCGACTTCCACGCCTCCAGACATCACCCTGGAAACACGCCCTCATGACAGCTTGACCCTACCACTGTCACCACTACTTGACACTATTCGCGATGGAGTCTCCAACGCGTCCCTCTCTCAGCCCTCATCTTAGTCCCTCAAAAGTCCTTCATCCGGTATCTCCGGAACGCATGAATCAAGGCATCCCAGCGTCGCCATCGCTCCCGTCAGATCTCTTGTCTCTTCATCATAAGACCGCGAAGGGGGTCTCCGAAGTGCAAGCAAAAGTCGCCTTTCTAAACAGTCTATCTCGAGGCGGCAGTCCGGCCGCCCCCGCCCAATCCGCTGCAAACAATGCTGCTCTACAAAGGGCAATCCTCGGTCGCGAGGAGGCGGAGTCTGCTCTTTCGTCAGTTCAAGAAGAGCTTTCGGAGGCACAATCACGCGAACGTCGGATCAGCGAACGACTTGAGTCCCTGTTAGAAGAATTACATGGTACCAAAGAGCGCCAGGCCCATGAACGATCAATTTTCGAGAAAGAGATTAGAAAGGCTCGTAAGGAAGCATTCCGAGCGGGATCGACGCTTGTGAAATTACAAGAAGAGCTAAAGCATGCCAAGTCGGAAACCAAGGCTTTGAAGGACGAGGTCGCCGCCGAGCGCGATTCCAAGGATAGGGCCAAGCAGGAAGCCTTCGAGCGTGCGTATACCTTGGCTGGTCTAACCGAGGAATTGGAAGTCCTCAAGGGAAAACTAAAGTCGATGGAGGCCGCAAACCACTCGAGCAATTTGGAAGTCCAAGCACACGAAATTCGAAAAGAAGACTTTGGCAGGATTTCCCTTGCAGAGGGCGATCTTGCATTTTTGATGACTCCCCGACGCCCGAAGCGAGCTGCTGAAGATTCCACCCCCTCACACGTTCAAGATGATGATGTTGCGCATGAAGCGACGCCTCCCAAGCGACAACGCCTGTCTGAAGTCACAGTTGTGGCTGAGGAGACTGATGCGAGAACTGCCACGACGTCGGGCCTAGATAGCGAGCTCATCGAAGAGTTGAAAGATCAACTGCATAGTGAGCGTCGACGCAGAGAGGAAGCGGAAGAAATGATCCACTTTCTCAACATCGAGTGCCAATTTGAACGCTGCTCTTGCCGAATTGCCGAGAGCCAAGGGCGTCGTTATATTTATGATGCTGATTATTACCACAAATTCCAAGAGCCACAAATTGAGGCGCAAGCGGCGGCAGAGGCAGAGGCGGCCCGACGGGATCATGCAGCAGCACGGGTAGATCTGCATTCTAGCCATACCCCAGATGCGGCACCCCCTCTACCCACACGAAAACAACCTGCCGAACCAAATGTAAAGCCTGAACCAACAGAGCCACCTGAGCAGATGCCAATGCCACAAGAGCCTCTGGTTACATTCTCGCCGGAGACTGGAACCTTCAAAACTTTTCCGTCCCCTCTCCGTGATAATGTCGCCCCTCGCCGAACTGACTCCTTTGCGTCCCTGGAGAGATCCCCAGCACCCTCACAAGGTGATTGGAGAAGCTCTGCCGCCTCATCCCGCTATATCGAGTCTTTTACCCCCTCTGCAGAACCTGAATCATCTCGGGTAATCCACTCTTTCCAGCAAGAACATCCTGTGGAAGAACAAGTATATGCCTCCGCACCTGAAGAAGTACGAGCCACGCGTTACCAAATGTTCCGACATGAAGACCAACTCACTCGAGCTACTACTAAGCGGGTGCCTCTTCGTGACAATGGCGATTCACAAGGATCCTCGATTATCCACGATACACCCATCAACCGAGAGGAAGCTCTAGCACAGATCAGAGCTCGACGAGGGCGCGCACGCAGCAAGCAGCGCTCGGTCAGTGCCAACGAAGCCACTAGTCGAGTGACTGGGTCGAATGGCAGCACCGCCACAACCCCAGGCCGAGGTCCCCGCCGTATTCCCAATCTTCAATCCAGCGCCAAAAGCGAGAATGACTTGGGTGAACGACGTGACTTGAGTGCGCCGGTCCGAATGTTCCGCCGCTAAAATTGGATCCAGATACAGATGACTTGAGATGCGTACATGAACGTCGTGCTTTCGTTTTATTTCAGCCGGTTCACATTGTTTTCTGCTCTATAATACCCCGGCGCCGGTGCATCTAATTTGCGTGTTTGATCGTTTTGCTTCTCCACCTTTCTTTTATTTTGGCTTTATCCATGATATCTAGCTACTTCCTTCTTTGCATAGCGGTGCAAACTATCATTCTGTTCGTGTCCATAATTCGTCGACCTAGCGTCTTTCGAGACCCTTTTCCCTTGCATTTTCACGGTCATTTTGCAGTTCTCCAACTTTCGGCTCTCTGCCCAACTTTCCACCACTCTCCTTATCATCTGATCTGTCTCTGGAGCTGCTAGGGGCATACTCTGCCTGTTTGAGAAATTGATTTCGCTGAATCTCATGACTGTTATCTTTAAGTACTTGTTATATTGACGACTAGTAGTAAGCCTCGCCTCTTCCGAAAGCGCCTACGAAGATATCCACGGATAGGGAAAAACAGGGAAAAACCTCAAGAATCCAACTTGCTATGAATGTCAATTGGAATAGCCCAGTAGCGCCGCATACATCGCCGGTTGTATAGTATGAATCCGCGTCACATGATACAACAAAATTTGAATATACAAAAACAGATATACAGCACATTACGCCGTAAACCAGACCGGAAGTATATATGCTCCAATACAGAAAGAAAAGCAAGGTATGCCTGAGCACGCTGGTTGAACCGCCGAAACATGCTTTACAGGATGGAAAGACCGCAGCACCGGATTCTAGCACTGTCAACATACGCTGCTCGTCCCCACCAGAGGGCAACGAGGTCCACAGCGAAGACACGGTCTGCTGCACTCCACACATCCAGACCCATCTCTGCCATGTCAGCGACAGTGATAGTGATCGGTTCTTCCGTTTCTGGTTCACCCTTGCCCCAGTCCGACGTGCGGAGGTTTGAAGTGTTAGTGCTGGCCCTTTGGCGGAGAAGGAGACTATTGCCGTCGTCATCGTGGAAGGGTTGTCGTGAGTTGACGAGGGAAAGTCCGCGTCCTCATCTTCGGGTTCATTAAGAGTAGGGGAATCGGTATGAGCACCGGCGAATTCGTCGCCCGGCGTGCTGTCATTATCATGGCGTGCAATGGCTCCGGCCAGAGTGAAGAAAATCTGCGTTGTGAGGCGGCGGAAGTAAGCGACCATGGCGACCTCCGGGGGCTCCTGGCCCTGGTTTTCGGATTGAATAGGGCGGCGAGAGTTTGAGTTAGGGCCGGGATAAGCAAGACTCTCCACGCTTGCCAGAAGTCGTGCGTCTTGTTCAATCTGCTGTTCCTCTTCTTCTTCTGAAAGACCATCACGGTTTTCGCCGGCTGATGCCCACCAGATAAATGATGTATATGCGAGTCTAGCCCAAGAGATTGGCTCAACGATTGATTTGGACGAGTACATGGATTCTTCGTCGGCGTCATCGCTAAGTTCTGACGTGGCAGATCGATCTTGCGCGAATTGCCGTAATCCTTTTCGCAGCATCGCATATCGACGGGCATCCCGTTGGGTGGCTTTGAGGTGTACTGTTTGGTTTTGATTGTGCTTCGTACTTGAGTGGTCCACTAGGCTGATCGTAGGATAGACCCGCTCCGAAGCTTGTTGAGAGTAAGAAGGTGGGAGAGTAACGAGGGTATCGAATAGCTCGGGCTTCATGGTCAAAACGCTGTCAGTTGAACACGCAATCCAGCTAGGGTCACTTTCGGAATCAAGCGTTTCCCGTGATGGATCAAAGGACGAAAGATAAGGGATATCATGGATGCCGATGTTGAACAGTGGACGAGGCCTTAGAGGTAGGGTACAGTCGGTAGGAAGTGTCTGAAGGAGAGAGTTTGGGAGAGATGCCAGTAATGATAGGTCATACACTGATAGTGAATTAGCAAGAAAAGCATGTCAAGTCATTCCTGTGTCTGGGCCGTACCGTATTTGCAAGGCATATGCACAGGGGCCTCGGTCATGAAGAGAATCCGTTTGCGCAAAAGCGCTGCTCTGTACAGAGGGAATATCAACGGACCAAAGCAGTCCAGGAAGTCGGGAAGAGAAGACGCAGGGTGGGAGGGAGTCAGAGCCGGCCTGAATGATTCCAGCACCATTGCATCGCTGAAAGCGCGAGTGCGTTTGTCCGGTCTATCGCTTTGTTGGGAACGAAGGGTCACGGGAGATTCGACGGGGGAATCTGCGGAGATATTCTCTGTTTCGCTGATTTTATGAGCGTCCCAATAGTCCGATAACGGCTGAAGGTCAGACATGTTCGCCGCATATTTCCTGTGTTGTATTTCCCAAATCAGTAGACGTTTCCAATGAAGAGGACAAGGGAACGAACTGGGTCAACTCCTTGAGTCTGGGCGCATGTCTCCAGCTCTTCCCTAGTCTGCCTGAGCTTAGGGGGACAAGGACGCCAATAGCGAACATCTGCGCATTCCGTTCTGCCTCGGCGGCGGGATGATTGAGGAAAGCGCTGATACCGGCATAATGTCCATGGACGAAATAACTAGGGTAATCAAAGAAGAATCAGACGCAACGCAGAGAAGCGATTCTCACTTTATGGCGACTTACACTAGGTCCTCCGTCACATTGTGGAGTCCTGAGGGGAGGGACTTGTACTCGACGACCCCTTCAACATCCACTAGAATCCGTCAGCGCCACCTAATTAACTCAGCGACACCATCTTCGTATAAGCTTTCCATACCTCCCGGGGCAGTTTTCTTCCATGAAACCACATATCTAGAGTTCGAGAGCTATCAGCGACCAACCCCGCCTCGATCGGAGCTTCGACAGGGAGGGGAGCAGGCTTACCCGGTGCGAATGTCGAAGCTGATCACGAAGAGCGCCGCAATGCTCGGGGGCGCTTCCATTGCGAGCTGCGTCCTTCAATGGCTGGTCGTCTGCATGCGCATCAGATGCTTTAGTCGGGAAAGAAGGTCGACCTCGGAAACTCCATTCAAGCAGTCGGGGAATCACGGTAGCTTGAGACAACGAGGAACTTGGGGATCGCACTAGTGACTGATAGGTGGGTCTTGCGGCCTGGGGCGTGAACGCTTGACCTCTTTCGGATAGTCCCGTCTGGAACCAGTTGGTGCGCCGCCCAAGTCGTATGGACTAGCTGGGAGGTGACGAATACTTTCGCCTTTTTTGGAACATTCTATTCGCCTGAAATTCTGCTGATACACCATGGCTCATTCTTCTTGTCCTGGCCTGTACATCTCCAACTCGGCAGAACCCACGTGATCTATGGACTCATGGAGCGGTCATAGTATGGCTTTGGTACTCGTATACAATCTTTTAGTTAGTGTTACTTTTGAGACCCTTCTATACTACCCACGTGGGCTGGCTTCGGTCATCAATTGCTGACGGCTTTAAAAATGCTCCCTGTGTGTCTCCAATTGAAACCAGCGACTTCGTCGTCTTTTTCAGATTGCCCTTCGGCCTAAAATTGTCCAGTATATGTAACTTATCCATCTGCTGTGGCTTAATCTCCGGAGCCTTATCCAGCTTACTGGCCCTGCCGGGCGATATTGACGAGATTCATAAGGGCCGTTCTTGATATTCCAATTAATGTGCTCCAGGTAGGATATATATGTCCACATACCGACACAATAAGACTATCTGATCAAAATTCAACGAGCCAAAGACGCTGGTAGCGTATGCCAGCTAGAAACCAGAGACTCGAAGTGACTAAATACGTCTACAAGTTCGAGGACGTCCATGCGCAGCGATCTGGTGTACCAGCGAAGTCAATTGTTTGTTTGCTTTTTCACTTACGTAACGCATGACTTTCCGGCCGGCCTGCAAGCTCTCCGCGAAGTGCAAAGAACTCGACCTGACTCGACCTGGCTATGGTTGAAAAATCACTGAGAGATCGCCTAAAGATAATATCGTTGAAAGTTTCCGGTAACTGAGACGTCCAATGGCGGAAGGTTCCCCCTCCCACCCTTATTATCCTCCCGGGGCTGACATTGTCGGCTACACGCCCAACCAAGCCTCTGTTTTAGACCTCCTGGTTTCATTCGGAGGCGGCTGCACGATATTGTTGGTATTGACATTGGCTGTCACAACTTATGCCCGGCCGGCGCTTCGCCCGAGCGAAAAAATTGCCATTCTCTGGTTTGTGCTGTGTATGACCCCGGACCCGCCAATGCTGCCCAAGATAAAGAAGGTACCATGGGCTGACACAGTCCGCAGCTGGATCTTTGCACTGTTTCTTTGAGGGCTATTTCATGACCCATTATGATCGCATGGCCTCCGCCCAAGATCTGTTTGGGCAGCTATGGAAAGAATACGCCCTGTCCGACTCTCGATACATGACCTCGGATACGTTGGTGCTTTGCATGGAAAGCATGACAGTAGTGAGTTTGTTTGGATGGCTTGTCATAGAGAGAATACCAGATTCGCTGACCAGCTCCAGCTCCTGTGGGGACCGCTTTGCTTTGTTGTTGCAGGGCTCACCGCCAATCGGCACAGCCTGAAGCATCCTTTCCAGCTAATTGTTTGCATGAGCCATCTCTACGGCGATACGCTGTATTACGCCACCAGCCTCTTCGATCATTATGCGAACCAGCGGCCCTATAGTCGCCCTGAACCTTATTATTTCTGGGTGTATTATTTTCTGATGAACTTCATCTGGATAGTGGTTCCGTTCTGTATGTTTCATCAACCCAATTGTTCCAAGGAAAATGGCTGATTCTGGGCAGACTATCTGACCGACAGCATTCGTACGATCTCGACCGCCATTCGGGCCCAGCAGGAGTCAGGCGCGAGTCGTAAAACACAATAGTTAAGGGGGTTGCTCCGTCATAGCCGCCCGCGGAGGGGGGTGCAAGTGGGGAATCTTGGGAGCTGACGCTGACCAGTTTGAGCTGCTGAGGTCCCCTTTAGGCTGTATCATGCCTGAGTAGGTAAACGAGGCGTCTTCTAGTCAGAATCCAGATGCGTAGATATGACCTTCGACCGTGGGAGGAAATTAGGTAATATGCTCATAATGAAGCATAATATGCACCTCCTGACCTAGAGCTATGGTTAACTAGCTGCAGAGTACTAATAATATCAGGTGGATAGTTATACTTTACTTCGGTGTAAGCCAAAAACAAGAATTCGACACCCAAGTGGGTTTGCGACCGATCGACATTGGCTGCCTCAACTGGTCATCACAGAAGGCCGCGCAACACTTTAAACTACCCCTCGCCACATTCACGTTCAAGTAGCTCTTGTGAGTTCTGTGCGAGGATCCTTCGCATTTCTCCGCACTAAGGAGCTTTTCCCCCCCTACCTCGGGTGAAAGTTGGCGATGCCAAGGCGAGGCTCAGAAGTCCAGCCGATCTGGTCACAGGGATCGTTTTGCATCAGCCGATAATCCTTGCATCGCCAGGCACTAGCCACACAGTCAGAGGCGCGCTGATTCCTGCTTTGGGCTGATCTGTGTCGATCAGCGCGTGGTTTCCCGGGCAGCGGGTTTTAGTGAGGGATCCGGGCTTATCGGGCCCAGCTCAACCCTCATCTGTCTAATCGTTCTGTTTACATCCTTCGACACCGATGCTGCTCGGCGAAAATAGGCCGTTGTGTCCCTCGTGGTGAGTATATCTTTGTCCCGGGCGCTTCCTACCCAATGTTCCAGTTTTCTACCAACAAAGAATACTCCTGATTTGCTTCGCCATGTTAATGTGTTGTTGCTCTCCAGACCTCGATGCCGTCCCCGACAACGCCAAATCGCCCCTCCAACCATGGAGGGACCCTGAAGACATCCCCGGCCAAACCGCTGGATATCGGTGTGCCGTTAGGCATTCATGATACGAACACAGTTCGCGCGCGGGTGCGCAAATGGCAACAACAGGGTGGAGGTGTGATCACGATCGATGATGGCGCGTATGGCGACGATGACGAAGAAAACAAAAAGCAACCGGTTTCGGAGGCCAAGAAGGAGAAGACGGAAAAGGACAAGCTGAACAAGGAGAAGGGAGACAAGGACGGCAAGAAACCGCCCATGCAGGTGAGGAAACGCAGTCACAGCACACCACGGAAACGAGTGGTCAGCGATGAACACTGGCGGAGAAACCGATCTTCAACGCAGTCGACAACGCGCAACCTACCGGTCCCCAAGCGCATCAACCAATACACCTCGAACGAAACTCCCGGGGCGCCGCAGGCCAAGAAGGATAACCGGAAAGAGCTCGACCGAAGTAAAGTCTCCCCCGGACGTGTATCAAACCGAGAGAATGACACAGGTCGCGCGGCTCGCAAACAAGCCGAATCTAATGCGGATAGCGACTGGGAGACCGACCGAGAACGCCCCAAGTCGGCGGTGCTATCGGACGTATCGTCGAAGCATAAGCGACGATCGCCGCCGCCCGAAGATATTGATTGGACCCGGAGCGAGGCTGACTTTTCAGAATTATCGCGAAGACGTGCGCGTGGTCATCCAGCCCCACCGAAAGGTGGAATTTTCGCTCACATGCTGGATGAGTCAAGGAAGATGTTCACTTTACCCAAGCCTGAGCCGCGAAAACCCCAACCGACTCCCATAACGAATGGTGGCGGCAAAATCGAAGCTTGGCTGTCTGAGACTGCAGACCCATTCGTGGAAGACGGGAATAGAAGTGATATGCCGGGGCCTCTCGACATCAAATCCGCAAGAGAACGACGCACAAGGAAACTTGCAGACTCTGAGATTTCCAGTACCATCACTTCCGAAGCACCAACGGAGAGTGACTCTCGGCCAAAGAGTTCCTATGGTCGACAATCAAAGGAAAGGGAACGTCCCGTATCGGCGGGCAAGGCTCGCAAGTCCCAGGATGGCGATGCAAGCTCGGATGGACAGCGATCGCATCTCGAGAGAACTCCCAAATCCATCCCAATTAGAAGGGAAATACGACCTGCTCGCGATTTTTCATTTGAGCATAGTGTCACAACTTCTGATTCTGAATTACAATTGGGCTCGGAGGGCTCGGAAGTATCTGCAAACAATGCGCCTGTCCCACTCGGCCCCAAGCGTCCGTTCCCTAGCACTGGGAACCATCGGCTCTCGACCATTGCCTCTGCTGAAACTTTGAGCACTCTTCCTGAAGGTTCCTCCCTTTCCGCCCCAGCGGCGATCTCGAACACCCCGCGAAGGGACAAGGCTACCGAGGAATCAGAGGCCGCAGAAGCTCAAGACAAATTCGACCCTAATTCACTGCCTGTTGTGTCCTCGCAGCTCAAGCGCCGCCTTACCAACCACAATGATCTGATGTCTGTGCTCTCAGTACCTGTCTCCAGAGCTAGAAGCAATCGCTCCAGAGGAAGTATCCGTACATATAAGAGCCGTCTCGCCAGTGCTACCATTCCGGACCTTCTATCCGAACTGTCATCCGACGAGGCAAAATATATGCGGGAACTGAAGACCCTGGTTGGAGGTGTCATTCCGGTGCTGCTGACGTGTGTGTTATCGCGTTCCGACTCGGCCATCGCTGCGGGTTTATTCAGGCCGTCCCTGGACCCCAAAGATGATATGAATTTCTCGAAGCCGATTGTCAACATGGGTGTCGCTATCGAGCGTTTGAAGACCTTGCATAAACGCATCCCGCAGCAAGACCCAGAGGCTCTTCTCACATGGGCGCAGGGCGCCCAAAGAGTCTACCGAGAATACTTGAAAGCCTGGAGACTTGGCTTTAAGGACGTCATTGTCAACCTTGCGCCGTTGGAGGAGGGCGAGGAGAATGCTAATGCGGACACGAAAAGTTTGGACGAAGGCATGGATAGAGACTCAAACGGCGACGTCATTGACAGCGAGGGCGGAAAGGTGGACGTTGCTTATCTGCTGAAGCGGCCATTAGTACGACTAAAGTACCTTGCAAAGAGCTTCAGGGGAATCAATGCCCTCCAGCCGTCTCCCAAAGCCGAGGAGATCGCCAGTGCCTACCAGGTCCTTGTGCTCGAGGCTCGCAAACGGGTTCGAGATGAAAGAGCAAGACTCGAGGATGATTCGGCTGCTTGCATCGATCCAACTCGTGCGAGAGATCCAATGACTCTGGCCGCCCTCCGCGACATAAAGGTTGACCCTACACGCCGTGTCCGAGCACGGGACTTCTTCAACCTTTCTTTCTACCATTCGAGTGGACAGCTGATAGATTGCCGGGCTGAGCTACTCTACCGAGACAATACCCCAAGCAAAGGACCCGGCGGGGACCTATTGATTTGCGAGATCGACCACTCTGACCGGTGGTTGCTGTTCCCTCCCATGGATGTTCGATGCGTCTCTGCACGACAAGGCGATCTGAAGGGGGAAATTGTGATTATGCTTCGCAGCGCACCAGAGGAGGAGAAATACTGGCAAGAGCTCATGTCTCTCCGTATTGACGATCTCGACATCGGCCTGGAGTGGGTTCAGCTGCTTGGGTCTGATCCCATTCCCCCAGCAATTTGTCGAAGCCAGAGCTTCATCAGCCGTGCCAAGCAACACCGAGCTCGTAAATCTGGACCGGAATCCCCACCTAGAGCCAATCCAAGTGATGTTGATATTCCGATCGGCGAGAAGCGCCGTTCGCTCACGAAAGAGCACTACTCGGAGCTGAGCACCGTCAGCTCCTCCGCCACTGAAAACAGAAGCTCTCTCCTTTCTTCAGCCACTCGGGAAACAGATTACACAACCGGTGGCTCTGAGCTTTCGGCCAGACAAGCTCACCCCGGATTGCCTGATCTGCCTTCTACCTGGACGACGCCTGAGAAAGCTACGACTGGGTTAAAGAGATCCAAGGCTAAAAGGCTCTCACGCTACGAAGAGAGCCCAAGCTCCGAGCCCGTATCGCCCCAGACTGTGGTTTCAGAGAAGCTATCTCAACCTCAGCCTGGATCTCCTACGAAGAGTGGTAGATTCTATGGAGAAAAGAGCGATCAGCCTCAAGGCGCTAGCTCTCCACAGCAGAAACCCCTTCGAAAGAACCCTCAGACACCGCGTGCTCAAACTTCGCCCGAGCCAGACTCCCCTCGCGTGTCATCAGTTCCCTCAGCACAGCTTCCCTTGATCCCAAAGATCCGAAGCACCAGCAGTCAAACCCATTTATCATCGCCCAACAGTGCTGAACCTGAAGAAGAGGACTATCCGCCTTTGGAATCTCTCCCTGAGCCAGAGCTTCCGGACTCTCCGACAAGGTCCAGTAGAAGACAAAAGTCCGCCCACAAGACCAAGGCCGAAGATGCGCCTCCGCCTCCACCCCCGCATCGCTCACCGAGCTCATCAAATGGAAAACTATCCAACAGCCCTGTGCTGAGCGCATCTAGTGGTCCCCTTAAGCGACGTGGCTCATCTCCCTTGAAGCATGAGTATGAGCCATCTACCGCCTCTGACTCTTACTCCGATTCCGATTCCGACGCATCAACTGTCAGACACTACAACTATTCTTCCTCTGAATACACGGATGATTCTGGATCGGACTACTCTTCCTCGTCTGAAACCGAAGATGAATATGAAGTTGAACTCCCCAAACCAAAGGCTCCGGCAACCGCTACATCCGAGACCAGTTCTCTGTCACCTTCTAACTCGGCCTCTCAAAGTGGTTATCGGACTGTTCCGCTGCAACCTACCAAGTCTTCCAAGGCATTTGCTTCAATTTTTGCCTGGTCTGACAAAGGTGCCTGGGAAAGTCTCCTACCTGATGAATGCAGCCTCATTGTGAGCCCTGGTCTGATTGAGGCATTCAAGATCGGACCCGACTCAGATGGGTCTTCGAATGACCGCAGCTCTCGCTCCGCGAAGCCAATGATCTCCATGGAACTTACGCCTCTCGTGCCCATTCGCAGAGGCACTGCCATCGATATCAGTATTCGCTCTCCCCAACAAAGCGGTCTAAGGTCACCGCAAGCAATATTATGTTCCGCTCCCGCAACCCCGATGACTGTGATGCACTCTACAGCCTCATCAACCAAGCTCGTATTAACAACCCAACGTACATCGCCTTGCAAAATGCTCGCGGTCCATTCAGCGAACCCTCTCCCTCTTTTGAGTCCGGTACCGAAGGCGGCAAAACCTGGTTTGGTTTCCCTCGACGCCGGCGAAGCTACCGTGCCTCCGGCTCCCCACGTTCACTCGCCGAAGGCTCAGAAAGCAGTGTCGGAACCATGAGTAGTGCCTTTTCAGCCCTCAAGCGCTTCGGTGCAGGCAGCAAGATGTTCAACATTGCTCGCTCAACAGTGACATCTCGCACCGGAGATAGAGACGGAGACACTCAACCCTCCTCATCCTCCGGAATCGGCCGCATTGCCGCCGCTATCAAGGGCGCTGATGGCATTGGTCTCTCCAATGCGAAGATCCGAATTTACCTCCGCGAGTCCGCTTCCAAGTGGCGCGACATGGGCGCCGCCCGATTGACAATCATGCCGGCCGCACCCAAGAATCCATCTCGCCCGGGCACCGCAGTGAGTGGCCGGAGTGAGAACAGCGCGAACCAGGGGGAGGGCAGCTCGTCCGAGCCCAGCTCTGGCGCAGCATCTCCACGCCGGGGCATTGATACTGAGAAGCGCATCATTATCCGCGGCAAGACTCGCGGCGAAACGCTCTTAGATGTGTGTCTCCCCGAAAGCTCATTCGAGCGGGTCGCGCGCACTGGAATTGCTGTCTCCGTGCACGAAGAGAATGACGGCGGTGTTGCGCAGAAGGGTGGTGTGGGTACCAGCTCACAGCGTATCTACATGTTGCAAATGAAGAGTGAAGCTGAAGCGGCCTATACTTTCGGTCTTGTTGGAAAATTGAGGTATTAGGCTTGGGAGAAAAGTGGATATCTGCATATGAAGTTGGGTGCATGGTGGGTTGGGAGGTTTCCACGATTGGGTCGCGTGATATTTTTGAATTTTTTATGATCGTTGTTAGATCTCTACTGTCGTCTCTCGACACATGCTTTATTTCTTTTGTATATCTAGAACCCTTTTTGTGGCCCCTTTGAGCGTCCTGGCTTATGGCCATGTCTTGTCTATTTAAATTCCCTTTCTCTGCATAAGTTAGTCAACTATAGGAAGAAGATGCTCGACATCAATGAACACAATTGTCTAATACCTCGTGCAATTATTATCTATAGTAAGAGTAAATACCGAGAATGTGACAATGTTTCTCATTTTTTGAGTCCATGCCCATCATTTCCTTATTCTTCCACTTCCGCGCCGTTACTCTTCTTGAAAATGTACCCAATCCGGTTGCATTCATCCTTAAGCAACGAGACAAGCACATCGTCATCGACAGCAGCAGCCAGATCCTCATCATCCTCCGCCTCTGCAGATAGGAGAGAGGGATCAATGTGCGAGTACAGTGCCAGGGACTGATGCATCTTATCCTTCTGTTTACGGCGCGTCCGCGAGTTCTCACGAATATCCCGCTCCTGCTTTTCCATATCGACCTCTGACGCTTTCATGAGCTTCGGGAGATTCGGCTCGTCCTCGTCTTCAGACGCAGTCTCACTTCGCTCCGATGGCTCCTCGTCGCTCCCGCCGTCGTCTCTTGCAGTGGGCGTGGTAGTACCAGACGAAGCGGATGGCATCAGGCCCTTGCCTCCACACTCACAGCCAAGCAACTCGTGAGTCTGGCAGCGGCTCTCCTCATCGAGCCGGAAGAGATCGCGCAGCTCGGCGGTTGAAAACTGGGCCACATTATCCTTGTGCTCCATGACACTATCGGCCAATCCAAGCTTGGTTACTTGGCGCTGCCAGATTTTTTCTTCCAGACTGCCTTTCAGAATGATCCGGTAGATACGGCAATGGTGCTTTTGACCGTCGCGGTGGATACGGGCCATGGCTTGGATATCAGTTGCGGGATTCCAGTCTACATCGAAGAGAACGAGACGGCTGGCGCCTATTAGGTTCAGGCCTGTTCCGCCTGCCTTCGCGGAGAGGAGGAAGGCGAAGCACGAGTCTGCAGGGAGCCGATTGAAGTCGTCCACTAGGGGCTGGCGCTTTTGAGTGGGTGTGCTCCCGTCCAGTCGAAGGAAAGGGAAGCCGAGGGATGTGAGGAGTGTGGCAAGAAGGTTGAGGGTGGACGTGTAGTTTGATACGAGGACAATTTTCTCTCCCGTGTTGTTTCGCATATTGTCTAGTATTTGGTCGAGAACGCGGATCTTGGCGCTTGCAGAGGCTGACAGATGGCGGAGGAGATTCTGCGGGAGGGATTCGATCAATGCAGACATGGTCTCGTTCGGCGAGTCATCATTGTTTTTGGCAGTGAGCAGCGATGGGCTGTTGCAGAGCTTTTTGAGGATCGTGATGAGCTGTAGTGCACTTTCGGCATTGCCCATGGCAGTCTGGAAGATGGGAGACGCTAGGACGCCCTGGTAGATGTTGGCCTGGGCGCGGGTCGGGTTGCAGAATAGCACATATTCGGTCTTCGGTGGGAGATATTTGGCCAATATGTCGGCCGTTCTGCGAAGGATAAACTTGGATGTAAGTTCTCTGAGTTCCTCGTTCCTTGACTCTCCTTTCTCGATGTCTTTCCTGGTGGCCTCAGGCTGCCTGCTCCGAACAATCGGCGTCTCGAATTCCCTGATAAAAGCTTTGAATGTGCCCAAGATACCAGGGTTGATTAAGTCAACACCAGCGAAGAACTCTCGGAGGTCGTTCTGGATCGGGGTTCCGGACAAAATGACTCGTTTGGTCGCATTAAGTGACTGAATAGCCTGGCCGCTCTTGTTCTGGAGGGTCTTCAGACGATGACCTTCATCGGCGATAATGATATCGACACCCACGCCCTTGGCCAAGCCTTCCTGGACTGTTCTCAGCTTTTCGTAGCCCACGATCATGATGTTGTAGGCTCTGCCTTTGGTGAAATCTGTGAGACGTTTTCTTTTATCATCGAAAATAAACACTCCTATGCGCTCGTTCCCCAGCCACTTGCGGAATTCCTTCTTCCAGTTGTTGATAAGTGTTACTGGGCAGACAATCAATGCCTTCTTGACGACCGGCGGATCTCCATATATAGGATTCTGCTTCATCAAGGTCCACAGCAAGGTGATTGTCTGCAATGTCTTTCCCAGCCCCATGTCGTCTGCTAGGATTGCCCCTTCCCCGTTGAAATCGCGCATTCCCATGACACATTCATACAGAAACTTGACCCCTTCCCGCTGATGCGGTCGCAGGCTTTTGGTTAGCAACGGGTCGACCACCACATCGACAATCTGCTTTCCAGCAGGCACTGAAGCAGGCCGCGGCATTACCAAAGCGCCTGGCGCATTTGGGTCATGACGCGGAACCACCACGCCTGGATGAGATGTTGGCACGACCGTACTATTGAGCAATGGAGCTTTGTAGGCCCCAAATCCCGAGCTCGCTTTCGCGCTATTTTCCAGGCTTGATGCATTGCGCTTCAAGGAGTTGGAGTGACCGGACATCTTTGTTGTCGAGCCACCTCCTTCGCTTCTCTTGAGCGAGGACAGGGGCTTCTTTCTTGACTGCATTTGTGGACTAGAGGTGGACTTCGTAGCCGCGACCACTTTCCGGCCCGCCAGGTATTCTTTGCGCGGGATTTCTGAGTCGACTTCAACCTCTTTGCCGCTCACGTACAGCATTTTCCCGGGCTCCAGCTCCGATTCGTACATTGCTCGGCCCATATCTTTGCCTGTCAAATCTCGCAAAAACACAAAGCCCGCTCGGGCCGTGAGGATACCATCCCCGTCCCATGTTTTGTTCTTTTTGGCGCTCGGCTTTCTCCTAAAACAACCAGGGTGCCTGTTAGTTGTGAGCAACGGAGACGTGGGGATAGCATTACCAGAGAGCATTGAAGAACCGCTCATCCCCAACGAGACTTATCGGCTCTGCCGCTGAGGCTGCATTGGGAGCCGAATCCTTTCCCACGTTTCGGACTTGGAGAAGTGGCTTTCGACCGCGCGGCGAGCGTGCTTCTTCTGAAGCCGCGGTATTATCTAAGCGGGGCTTCTTAGCGGGAGGATCTTCAACAGTCGATGATTCCTGTTTCCTAATCAAAGGGGGCTTAAAGGGCTTGAAGACCATGACGCCTGTGGGAGATCTCGGTAGATCGCGTGCGACGCGCGATTCGAGACGCGGCAACACGCGGTCACGTGATCGACCTCTCGATCTCGCGGTCGCAACACGGATCATACTACGGCCTCAGAACAACAGTATACTACAACACAAAAATCCAAACCACTCGTGGGGACGAGTAAAAACACTGTGGAGTCCTACGGGTACAGACTCCGCGGCATTGGGAGTATCCTCGGCTGTCGACTCCATAGAGCCAATCATTCTCTCCTCACCCTGCTCGGCAGACTTGCACTTCCTCTCCCCCCCCCCCCCGGCTCGTTCCCCTCGAATTCAGTCCAAGCTCGGTCCTGCGGGTAAGAATCACACCCGTCGATGCCGAAGTAACGATTGGTCGATCTTTTTTATCGAAGGAGAAATGAAGATGGAAGATCCTACCTATCTGCTGGGTATCCTGCCAGCGCTTTGTCTGCCAATGTCTACCAACATCTGGGGTTCTGCCACGCCATGTGCTTTTCTCCAGAACCCCGGAAACAAGACCCCAATCGTTCTCTCCATGCAAAACTTTCAGCGTGTCCGGGGTGTCCCTTCAATTGACGTCAGAGGCAAAAAAAAAAGATCCTCGGCTGTGGGCCTGACCAGGACGGAAGTGGATCCGGTGGACCTGGAAAACCTGCGTCCCAAGGCGGTTGTGACGTTGAGGGGAATGTCGCTAGGCCAATATCTATCCCTACCATGAAGTGCCTCCGTTCGCATCGGATCAAAAGAGGCTACAATGTCGGGGTGACCACCGCATCGGCCATTTTCGGAACTAAATTCCTTCGAGAGAGTAATTGCATGGGGGGCCTCGGCCGGGTTGCATAATCGGTTGGATCCGACTCAAATTTTGAGCCAACGAGGATTGGCTCGCCATTACGGGGTGGCGGTCGGTTAGCTCCCTCTGTAGATCCTCTGTCGACCGACTGTAGACCGAGAGGGGCCCCAGACAGCCGACTGGCCCCAGACAGTCTTTGCCCTAAACCCCCAGCTCTCGCGCCGAGGGGCTTCCGTCGGTGGCTTGCTTCACCGGGGGAAATTGTCAAGAACAATACAAAGTAGAACCATTTAAGACAAGACCGAAGCTTCTCCCTTGGAACTCACACTACCTTGGGCCAGTCAGCGCCAATCACGATAAGCGCCACGTCGGAGAGTAGACTACACACGCCCAGAACTGATATCGCGAAGGGTTCCACCGAGGCTCCACCGATCGACCGAGTTTGTAGAAACCGGTTTGACGACAATGACGATTGCGGACGAGGAAAAAATTCTTACGCAGCGTATACCTCATTCACATAAAAGACATGGCCCGCTAGACCGTTGACGTTGCTTTCCAGTTCACCTTATCAGGCTAGCCAATCAACCCTGATAATGTCGGAGCCCAAACCAGCCGAGGCGTGTTGCAGCCTTCAAATGATGGCCAACAATCTCCCAGTGATAGCTCCTCCCCCGAGTCGAAGTCGGAGGGGATCATCCCCCCTACTCGGCCCCCTTTGCGACCAGGCGCCTCAGGGAGCCGCCACTGGTCTGAAGGGCTCATCAGGAAAAGGGACAGCGTGCCTCGCGACGACGGCAAGCGCGAGTTGACCGAGGATGAGGCATATGATAAGCTTGGATATTGTTGGCCGCGGTGGAAGAAATGGACCTACCTGGCCGCTGTCGCGTTCGTGCAAGTCTCGATGAACTTCAACACCTCCGTGTTCCCCAATGCGGTTCAGCCTCTGTCGGAGGCCTTTAAGATTGGCCAGCAGGAGGCCCGTACGGGCCAGATGATATATTTGGTCTTGTACTCCATTGGTTGTGAGCTCTGGGCTCCATGGAGTGAGGAATTCGGTCGCTGGCCCATCCTCAATCTGTCAATGTTCCTGATCAACATTTGGCAGATTCCTTGCATGGTCGCCCCGAACTGGGGCACCATTGTTGTCGCCCGTGGACTGGTAAGTGCATTAATCCCTATATGATGTTTCCACCCAATCAAAGAAAAACATGAACTCATATTTTACAGGGCGGTCTCTCCACGGCTGGTGGTAGCGTTACACTTGGGTTGATCGCCGATATATACGAACCCGACACGCAACAATTCCCCCTCGCCTTCATCGTGCTGTCTTCGTGTATCGGAACCAGTATTGGTGGTGTCATTGGCGGTCCAATTGAGCGCTTCTGCAAATGGCAGTGGTTCTTCTACATCCAGTTCATCTTCGGCTTCGTTACCCAGGTTATCATTTTCTTCATGCCCGAGAGTCGCTCCACCATCCTTCTCGACAGGGAGGCGAAGCGTCGTCGCAAGACCGGCGAAGACCCCAACGTCTACGGACCCAACGAGCTCAAGAAGCCCGAGTTTCCTTCAAGGAAGCCGGCAAGATCTGGGCTCGGCCCTTCCATATGTTGCTGACAGAGCCCATCGTATTCTGTCTGTCTCTTCTGTCGGGGTTCTCCGATGCACTCATCTTTATCTTCCTGGAGAGTTTTACCCTCGTCTACCAGCAGGGCTGGGATTTCGGTATTCTTGCATGCGCATGGGCCGTCATCCCCATCAATCTGGCATACGTCCTGACCTACTTCTCCTACTTCCCATGGTTCTGGCGAGATGAACACCAGATCAAGAAGTACGGCGAAGACTTTTTCGTTCCCGAGAGACGTCTTAAATGGCTTCTCTTCCTGGCCCCATTTGAGCCAATCGGCTTGATGGGCTTCGCGTGGACATCGTTCGGAAAATCCCGTGGCATCCCGTGGATCGCATCCATGATTTTCTCCTGCATGGTTGGAATCGCCAACTACGCCATCTACCTGTCGTCCGTGGACTACATGATTGCGGCATATGGTGTCTACTCCGCCTCCGCATGCGGTGGGAACGCGTTCGCGCGTGATCTGCTGGCCGGTGTCTCCGCCATGTATGCCACGCCGATGTATACCAACATCGGTGACAAGTGGCATGTCGAATATGCCTCCACGGTCCTGTCTTGTCTGTCTTGTCTGGTCGTGGCGCCTATCTATGTCTTCTACTGGAAGGGGCCGGAGATCCGCAAGAGGAGTAAGTTCGCTGAATCTCTCGCCGCGGACCGTAAGGAACATGGTGGTCGTCGGGTCAGCAAGGCTGCGCCGGAGGAGTTGCCATGATCGCCTCCTTGTTAAGGTGGATGACGTCGACTTGCCCAGGCAACCTTTTGGGTATTGGGGATTCTTTTTGAGATGATGACGTCCTATATACCCTGTTTTCATTATTGGCCATGTAGAGTCTCATTCTGTTTGCATTTAGAGCCAAATAGATCATAGTGACGGCGTTTATGTTATATGACTGTAAATAGACTTACGCAGCATACGCGTTGTACGTGTCGACAAGACCCTGAAATCTTTGGAAATTTATTCATCTTCTGTTTCTATATCAAGACACTCCGCTAAAGGATATGAATAGGTAACTTGGAAAAAGACAACGCTGGGAGGGAAAAGGGTTTCCCTCCCGATTATTAGAATGTTATACAGGCACGTCACAGAAAGCTCACGTAAACTTTGAAGAAAAAGGACCTCGGGATATGCGTGTGGCAGTCATCGCAGATCATCAAGATGGGTATAGGTATATAACACGAGAAAGTTGCTGAAAGACAAATCAGACGCGTCTTTTAAGCCAACATATCCATTCCCCCGGGTGTAAGTTACTAAAGAGGTTCCCCTAGCGGTTCTCCGCAAGGTCCTTGTCGGACAAGGGGATGTTCTTGGGTCCCTCGTACGAGCCCTGGCGGATGAACCACCAGATAGCAACGAAGATGGTGAGACCACCAGTCATCAAACTGGCGTAATTCATGCTCGCGGCGTCGGTAGGCAGGGCGAAGGGGAAACAGAAGATGACGACGAAGGCAAGGATGTAGATGCACGCAAGAATGTTAAGAACGTAACCAATCTTGTGGTTCATGAAGAAAAAGCCGGGAACGAAAGATGAACGGCGAGTGAGGATGTGGGGAAGATGGCCATGAAGTAGGAAAGACTCGACAGCTGAACGAAGCATCCAACGAAAGCACTGAAGGCAGTGGTGGACCCCATATAGATACAGGCAAGGATAGTGACGACACAACCGCAGACAAGAGTGGCGTTGAATGGGTTCTGGAATTTGGTGTTGATGTGTCCAAGCCAGTTGGGGAAAGGAGTCGCCCGGTCACGAGAGATGGTCCACAAGGTCCGACCAGCAGTGATGTAGCAGCCAGTGGCAGTGATCAGGGTGGGAATGAAAGCTACCACCAAGAGACCAAGACCACCTGCGTCGGAACCAGTTGCCTGGGCGTAGATTGCTGGAAGAGGGAAGTTGACGAATCGAAGCAGACTGAGCTGGGTGGGATCCCGGATGGCGTAGAAAATAGCGATCATGTAAAGAATGCCGGTGACGAAACCAACACTCATTTGAGCCAGAATAGCCTTAGGGACGTTTCGGCTTGGCTGGGGGATTTCCTCAGCCAGGTGGGAGGAACAATCCGGGGTACCCACACTGTAGGCGCCGTTAAGCATCCCGAGAACAAACACGAAACCCTGTGAGGAGTAGCCGGTTTTATTAGTCCATGTCCCCCACACCTCCTTGTCAGAGAGGTAGGGCTGTCCATTAACGTATGGCATGACAGCACACACGACAATCGTGACGAAGACACCGGCAAGGATGAAGAACATGCCGAGGTTGCCGATGAAGGGAAGAAAGCGGTTCATGAACAGAACGGTACAGCAGGCAGTCCAGGTGCAGAGGATAAAGCTGAGGAAGACATTCCAGGTCGAGGGAATGAAATCAGGATGTGTCAGGGAGTACATCGACACAGTCTGCTGGCCCATGATCAAGGACATGGAGGCAGCACCAAGGATCCAGGCCAAACAGTTCCACCAACCGGCAAAGAAACCGCAGACGCGGCCGTATTTGCCGGCCGTGATCGATGCCCAGTGATATACACCACTAGCTGAGGGCATACCAGAGGCCAATTCAGCGAGGGACGCAGCAACCATCCAGTAGCAGACGGAGACAGCAATACTGCAACGGGTTAGCTTGCGTCGAGGGTCTCCTAGGGAGGGCAGGGCGGGTTTACAATTCATAAATACATCCTGCCAGACCACCGTTATACAAGGCAGTGGCCACACTTCCACCCTGGGCGATCCAGGTGTTACCGGTAGTCACCGCAATCGCGCAGATGCTGAGAAGACTGAAGTTCCGCTCGACTTCTTGGCGGTGACCCGATGCGTTGATGAGTTCGCCCTGGTGCTTCTTTTCGGCCACAGGCTCCGCCTGAACCTTTTCGGTGGTGTGGCTTGACATGATGGGCGCGTATAATCTCCTTCCAAGGGAGTTCAAAATAAAGACTCCAACTGGCGAGCCGGACGACGCTTGTCCCTTAGAATGCAATCCGAGCCCGGGCGTTTGACGGGTATTCGGAAGGCGAGGGAAGTAAGGGTTGAAATATGTCGCCTCCTTCAACCAAGACCGCGGGAGTCGAAGGGGAATGTATAGGGCTGGAGAAGAGAGAACCTGATGAAAAGGAGCAAAGGCAACGGCTATATTATTCTTCAACAGGGTGGGACCAGACTGCGGCCCCTCCGACGGCAAAAAAGTTAGCAGGCCCAGCGAGTACTCCATACTGAACCATGTATCCCTGCCCTACTCCACCTTCCTGAACCGCTCTTAATCAGCCAGTCTTCATCTTTTCGCCCAATCAACTATGCGGAGGCGAGAATCGAGGTGGCCAATCCATGGAGAAGTGGGCCCCGTCAAGCCGCTGATTGGGTGTGGAAAAAAGATAACACTCCCGTTGGCGCAGGTTATGCAGCACCGCGCTTTTCCTAGAAAGGGAGCTTCAACAGAAGGAGTCTTCTTCCGTTGTGCGAAGTCGTGTGTCCGGTGAAACGCTCGGTGCGTGTGCACATGCCTCGCACTAAAGTAGGATTTGGAATAGCCTCCCCTATCAGATCGCACTCGGCCTCATGAGGCTACTGTTTGAAGCTAAGTCGCACTATCTTTGCTGATACCTATATCCACAGTGGAAACCCTTGGGGCTCTACTCAAGCACATCGACGTTTCACATGTATTGGGGTGCAAAGATGCGAACTTGTGTAGATCGAAGGGGAGGATCATCACAGATTGGCGCCATCCAGATCGACCTTAGGACACGGGACAGTGACGAATCCTCGTAAACTAGCCATCTTGTACGACTCTTGATCTTCAAGTTCTGCCCCAAGTTGCTCCAAATCCAAACTACAGTAATAAGCGTCCCTCCCCCCTCCATAATGCCCTTGTCAAGGTAACCTAGGGGACTTACTTCATGTGGAAATTTCGGGTGAGACATGGCGCCCGGGCTAGCACTAGCACATGGTCTAAACATTGTTCCAGAAGCCACCTTCCAGACGTACCTCTTTTAAAGTTTTCATTGAATGCAACCTTCGCACCGGGATTCCCGGAGCAACCCCTTGGGCCATGCACGGAAGGGGATTTGGAATGTTCTCTGAGTACATGTGGGGAGTCCATTTACTAGTAGTTGGGCAAGGCCCACCAATTGAATCCCAGGTCTCCATAGCACAACTGGACGGTAGCGTTGCGCATGGAATACCAGACACGGGATCTGAGGGGATCCGAGCTTGTTCCTGGGGCAAAAGAAGGCTGTACAGCACGGAGAATTCGGACCGGGGGAGATCTCGGTGGCGGCCAAGATCTAGACACGATCCACGTAGGACCCTAGACGGAGTACCATAACGGATATTAGGACGAAGTAGTTATCGGAGTCTTCGTAGTGGGGTCGCCGACTGAATACGTTGCCCTTTTCCAGTCCAAGTGTGCAATTGACTTGGCAGAACCCAAGGGTATTGAGAATACCGATCAGCGCCAACGACATGACTCGGTACTTCAATTCCCGGACAAGAAGAAGCACATCTTGCCACATTAAGCGACTCAGTACCGAGCGTCGATTCCGAGGGAATTTGCATGGAAGCTTCCCGCATGGAGTAGCGATCGCCCGCCTTTCCAGGGTTCGGGGGGGCTCTGCCATGCCCAAAATGCCTCAACTGGAGAGGCACGCAAAGCAACCCACTCGCCATTTGCCGGAACAAGTTAGCGAAAAAGTTTAACAGATAACCTTGAGGGCCCCTCTAGGTCGCTTTGAGTAAGGTAAACGGACAATGCCCGCACCTTTCCCGCGCTTGTCGTCAGATTTATTCCCGCCTCCACCGGGCGGGTCTCGCTTCCCACAGGGGTTGCCCATGCAGACGATGCTGTTGAATCAGGAACCAGCACCGAGCCTGTGCCTAACTCACATAGGAAGGCTGGATTTGCCCGCATGCTCACAGCGCTGAACGGTGGAACCACACAGTGCAATAACATGTGGTGATTGCTGGAGCATGGTGAGGGTGGATTCTGTACCACTGTTCTATCCCAAGCCAATCACCCTACAAAGTTTCCCTCTTGGCTTGAATCCGTACACGCTACGTAGTCCGCTAATGGAGCGGTTTGATTGGCAGGTCAGAAGTTTTCTATTTCGCTACATCCCGAAAGCTACGCCCTGGTCGACGGCTGTCTCCTAAAGCAGCAGGTCGATGTAAAACGGCCAGCTATTACGGGCTGGGATTGGTGGAGGGGCATTGCCAGGCACAACCCAGAAAAAGGGAAATCCTTCCAATTCCTGCGATCGAGTTCCAGGGTCCCTCTTCCATCTCAGCCCATGGGTCGGATCATCCTGCTATCGATTTTCTCCCCACTCGATCCTGTGGTTGACTGTCTCCGGAGGCCTGTCACCGGGAGATCCATCCTGATAAGCGTTTTCGCCCTCTTCGACTTAACGCACCTCCTGCATATCTCACGGGGACTCGACTTTGAGCCTATCATATCCAGCGGGCCCCGGTTCCATTCCCTCAGCTTCTAGGCGCTGACCTGTTGGTAAATGAAGGCGCCACAAACTCTATAATCCCTGCCTTGCAGTTCGGAGTTAGAATAGTATAAGGATGTGGGTGCTGCGCTTCGGACGTACCTCTCTTGATCGTCTATTGACCGTGACTTTGACAGGCCCGCCAACATGTCTGGCCTGGGAGGCAATTTTGGCGTTCATTTCCAGCGGGAAACATGGGCTCTGTATGCTGTCGGCGTTTTTGGCGCTGTCCTACGATAGTGAGTATTCTTTGAATGACCGGCGCGGGGCCTCGACTGACTTGTACGCTCTGAACAGTGTCGCTCGTATTCGCCGATTGGGTTTCGCAAACCTCCAAGTCGATGATTACCTCATGCTGAACGCCGTTGTCTGGTATACGATATTGTGTGTGGCACTAAATGAAGTCGCCACAGGCGGAGGGTCGAATTTGATGACGCCGGAGGATATCGCGGCATTGAAGGGACCGCATGGAGCTGCCATCCATGCCGAGAGAGAAAAAGGAAGTAAATGGGTTTTTGTCTCAGAACATGCCTTTATTCTTTGCGTCTGGAGCTTGAAGGCTTGCATGTTGGTCATCTACGCTCGTATCACGTATGTGCCTCTTGACCTGCCCCCTTCGGCGGAAACGTCTTACTGATTGCTTGCATAGGGAGGGAACCCGCCAACAACGATGGATCAAGCTTATCGCCGTCTACGTCGGTCTCGGCTTCATTGCCACCGAGCTCGCTCTGTTCCTGATCTGCCGGCCTCTACACAATTACTGGGCAGTTCCAACCCCCAACTGTAAGGTTCCCTTCTCCCTCATTCTTGTATCCGGGAATGCTAATGGTCTCCAGACCAATGCTCGTCATATCAATACTATGAAATCGTCCAAGGCTGCTTATCCATCTCCGCGGATGTGTTCATGCTTATCGTTGCCATCCCGATGTTGGTCCAAGTCCGCGTTCCGCTGAAGCAGAAGATGATTCTCCTGCTCCTTTTCGGAATGGGTATCTTCGTCATTGTCGCCGCCATCCTGAATAAGATCTACTGTCTTGTACCGTCGCTCATCTCCTATGTCTACATGAACTGGTATTTCCGCGAAGCCACCGTTGCGATCCTTGTGACCAATCTCCCACTGGTCTGGTCGCTTCTCCGAGACGTTTTCCCAGCCCTCAAGAGCTGGACTGGGGGATCGAAGCGGGGCACCGACCGGTACAAGTCTGGGCCCTGGACAAGCAAGAATTCTCGACCCTACGGCCCGTCCAGTCAAGTGCGCTCGGCGGATTTCCACATGCAGGACTTCCATTCCGCCAGCGTAACCCCGACCGGTAAACATCGGCCAGAGGTCTCCGATGTTAGCATTCCCAGCGACGAGCGCTCAATCAGCGATGATGGTTCGGCCCGGGCTTTGCGTATTCGCCAGGATATTACTGTCGAGATCAAACACGACTCTCGGCCGCCAGATTACGAGGCTAGCACATCAGAGGTCACGCGAGGCCGCGAGGCAGTTTAGACCACATTCAAAAAAAAAAAAAGGAAAAAGAAAAGAAAAAAAAAAAGCCAACGTTGCAATGACTATTGTGGAGCCCGTGCGGGCCTGATACCCTTGTTAATATTTCATGGACATGATTTCCAACAGTCTTATCTGGTGACGCTTTTTTGGGGTTTTGGTTTTCCTTCGATAGACATAATCACCTTTAGACTTGGACCTAGCGTTTAGCCTTATGGGGCTTTCCACAAGGTAACAACCTTGGGAAGATAGACTCAAAAATGGGACAAAAATGAGACAAAAATAAGAAAGAATGAGACCATCACTCTACGAAGCACTGCGTACAGCATTGTGCATCGAGAAATGCCGAGTAGGCAGAATGAACTAGATCCCACAGGCAAAAAACACAATCCCAGTCAATTCAATCCAGAGCCAGAGAAGCCGTGGCCCCCCCCCCTGATCTCCCGTCTTCTTACGTCTGCTCATCGTTAATGCGCCTTTCGGACTATTTCCGTCAAAAACCAACGTAAATGGTGGTGCATTTCCCCTGGTCCTACGCCCATCGTGAGGGGCAGAGGTGAGATATTCCAGCGAAAGGGCCCTATTGCATGCCGAGGTTCCCCACTAAGAGTAATGATGGGCCGGTCAGCACGTGCGAAGATTAAGTTCTCCTAGAGAATGTTGGCAATGGCGATGTGGTCCTTTCTCCAACAACGTGGCAGGACAAATGAGGAGATCTGCTCGAAGCCAGGAGCATCTTTCGCCAAGCCGTGCCGGCGCAACAGGCGGTTCAGCCTGTTAAGCACTCAACGCAAATCTCGTGGGCTCCACCTGCCTCCGAGCAAGCCCGCGCCCCACGCATTGAGCAAGGGGCCCACGATCCACGGTTCGCAACCTTGCATCAACGCTTTCTCCCACGGAACTGTCGGTGGGTACAGATTTGCGTGGGAATACGGAATTGGGGTGTCCACTCTTAATCTAGCTCAGACCTTGTAGGATCGACTTGTGCGGAGAACCGTGGAGGGTCATGGCAAAGAATAATCAATTATGGGGGCTGGCCGGTTAGGATAGCCCGAGCGCTCGTTTTGATTCGGACCATAACCAACAACCGCGCGCGCTCTTAAAACATTGCGCTAGGCAAAGGATAAAGGACAGGTCGAATTCGGTTAGATACCGATCTATCACCGCTTTATGACGGGAAAAAACATTGCGGGATTCGACACGCAGTTATGGCCAGAACGGCGATGGCGTCCAACCTGGCGGGAATACTTCGGCCTTTGATATTGCTGAGTTGGCCGGGCCCGGCGGGCTTTTCTAGGTTATCTAATTAGTTAATTAGTTGAGAAATTGTATTTATGTAATGAGACACAAGTCCCCATTTGAAAAGTTAATCATTTAATCTATCTAAAGCCCGCGAATATTAAACTAATTTAAAGAAAGCCATGACGATGGAGCGAACCTAAACCAAGGTTGCTATTTTTGTCGGCAGTTGTTCTACTTCGTATAGTAACTAGGGCAACTACTAGCAGAGCTAGAGCTCGAGTCTTGGAATACAAGGAATGAACCCCCCGTTCAGCCAATCACATAATTTAGCGCTAGTTTGCCCACTGCCCCTGAAATCCCTGTGGCTCTTCATCAACCTTTACAGGTCCTCGGGCGCCACTCGAGCCTAAGGTTCCCGGTTCGGAGCGAATACGATCTCGTTCCTGGAAACTTCGAACTCCTGCCCGCTAGTGCACTTAGAGCTGGACGTGATTTGAGATTAAGCCCAATGTATTCTAGTTTGAAACATGGTCTTACTTTCAGGCTGGAAGAGATTTAGTGAGCGATTCGTGGGCGAAAGTCTAGCCATCTGGGAACCCGGACGTGCAACACGGATTGGGATCATCGAGTGATGATCGTATGCGGTCACCGCCATTACTCCTAGTAAAGTCGTATAACTACCCTATCCTCTGCTGGGACCACGTGACATCCCTTCCCCGCTGTGAACCCTGGGACATTTTCGGACTATCGAATCGTGATCGTCAATTGCGGGATTTGAGCCACCCTCCTCCAACCCATATAGGGATTATCGTGAGTGTCACAGTTGGTCAACCCCAATTCATTCCAAAGCCCTGATCAGCTACTTCGAGTTGGAGGCAAGGCGCAGCCCACAGCAGTTCGGCCCCCGCACCTGGTTGACCGGGTAAGTAAAAGCCTTAAGGCGGGACCCTCTTTTCAAGAGGGCAGGGTTGGCGGCTTTTGGTATGAACACCCCGTTGCTCGGATGAAAGGAAGCATTGGATATACAGAGTCGAGCTGGCACTAATAGCTTTAGGCTTGAGTGGGTGTCGCTGCCATTAGTTGGAGTGCGAAGCGAGGACGATCATTCCTGCCCACTGGAGCATAATTGTCGTTCTCTAGACCCACGATCTGAGGAAGATATCCTTTTGCCCCGAAGGATTTTCCCGTAAGTTCGGTATTGGGGGCTGGGGCGATTGAAGTCCAGTGACGCAATAATGTCAGTCGGTCTCGAGTCTGATTCCAACAAAGGCTTCAATGCCTTCGTTACTGGGGCTGCCACGGCTGTTGGGAGTGAAATTATCCGGGAATTCTTGGGTAGGTGTTCGCTCATATTGCAGTGTTGCGTTGCTGGTTGTGACTCGGGTATGCGTTAGGATATCTACGGCTATTGCCAACGTATCTTTTTTCTTCTTCTTTGATTTTGTAGTCTGAGTTGTATTTTGAGCCAAAAGAAAAAGGAAAAAAATATGCCTGACCCATAACTTTGCAGACAACGGATGTCGAGTCACGGCGTTTGACGACCGGCCGCTACAACTTTCGGGCATTGACGCAGAGCGATTCTCCCGCCTACACATCGTGGATGGTAACGCTTGTGATGAAGAGGCCATAAAAGCTGGTCTTGCCGCTGCTGAAGATCGGTTTGGTCCTGTGAAGTCACTGATCGTTGTTCCAGCCTGTGAAGGAAAAGCGCAGATATACCCCATTTGGGATTTACCTTCAGATGAATGGGAGAAGAGCTACCGATCAAACGCTCGTGGTGCCTTCCTTGCGATCAAGCATTACCTGCGATACCTACAATCGAACCGGCTGGAGAAATATTCCCCGTTGTCCCTATCTGATCCTGCCATTGTTGTTGTCGAAACAGAACCTGGAGTCGGAGTGACAGCCGGACAAGCTGGAATACACCGTGGTCTTCTGGCGAAAGTGCAACAAGATTTATTGCGTCTAAATGGACAAGGGCGCATCAATGTTGTGACATCGGGATCTATGGGCGAGACTCCAGCAGATTTCGCACGCACTGTACTCCTTCTGGCCTCGAGCCACACGTCGGGGCATGTTTCGGGGCAATACGTCCAGCCTGCTAGCAATAGCAAGAGTCTTGTGCCGATTCAGGAGCCAGAAACAACTCAAATCACGCGGTCGGCAGGGTCCGTTCCTCGACCACTGGCAAGTCCGAAACGCAACAAGATCCGCGTCGCTGTGTCCATCGATCTAGATGCTGTATCTGGTTGGCTTGGAACAAGTACGTGCCCGGGTTTGATTGAATGCCCTGCAAGAGCTAACCCGAGTTTATGCAGACTCTCATCCCGACAACAACTTGGCCGACTACTCCTCCGGTTTCTTTGCAGCACGCGTCGGTGTGCCGCGACTGCTTCGCATGTTGAAGAAACTCGACATCGCCAATCGATGCACTTGGTTTATTCCAGGCCACTCGGCTGAGAGTTTCCCAGCCGAGGTCCAGCAGGTCGTCGCTTCCGGGGCCGAGGTCGGTCTTCACGGCTATGCACATGAAGGTGCTTACCAGCTCACTCCACAGCAAGAACGCGACGTGTTGGAGAAATGCTTTTCGATCATGGAGAAGCTAGTAGGAAAACCCCCACGCGGGTACCGTGCGCCATTATATCAGCTCCGGGAAACGACGCTGGATTTGCTCGAGGAGTTTGGATTCGAGTACGGTATGTGATGAGATCCCTACATTGCAAGACTACCGACATTAGCTGACTCCTGGCTTCTGGATAGATGCTTCTCTCACTGACCATGACTGCCAGCCCTTCTGGGCTCCAAAGCGCCCACCCCTTGAGGCGATTGACTTCTCCAAGCCCGCGGCTTCCTGGATGCATCCAATCAAGGAGACATGTTCACCCCCTGATAGAAGGCCTCTTGTCTGCGTTCCCTGTAACTACTATATGGAGGATATGACACCGATGCAATTCCTACCACATTGTGAAAACTCTCAAGGTTACGTCGATGTCCGAGTGATCGAGAACATGTGGCGCGATCGATTCCTCTGGATCCGAGACAACGAAGAAGAGCCTGTCTTCCCTGTACTCATGCATCCTGACACGAGCGGAATGGCGCATATCATTGGCATGCTGGAGAGGTTTTTGCGATGGGTGAAAGAATTCGAACGGGAGGGGGAGGTAGAATTCTCGCAGACAGCAGAGATTGCGCGATGGTTTCGGGAAAAGCAGTTAGACAAGCCGTCAGGAGTATAGAGTCAGCCGCAAAATGAATGAACCTTCGGAGTAGAGAGGGCGGAGGTCAAAAGAAAGAAACCAGGTCAAAAGGAACCAGGTCAAAACCAGAGACCCTCAGTAGGCGCCATCTCTAGGGCATCAGATGGTCTTGCCGGACTGGGGACTACTTGTACAACTTGCCGGCTCGCTCGGTGTATTGGCTACTTTTCTTGGCCAAAATAACTGGCCAGCGACTACTCCCTCCAAAGCTGAGATGACGTGTCTCTTTGGCCACTGCAGGACTCGGATACGCAAGCAGGCTGCATGTGCTTGCGAACATACCTTGGTAGGGAGTTCAAGCTTCGCATAACAAGAACACAGCCATGGTGCTCATCTTGTCCCGGCTGGGAATGGAAGCCACACGAATCACACCCTATGCCATCGAAGGCCTGTGCTGAGTGTTCCGTGCTGGTGGTGCGTATCAGACGCTCATAGGTTGCTGCTTGATGTGACTGTAACAGACTAATCAGATTTCAATCTAGCTCTACTGCTGGCGGACGAGGTATTATTCGCTAGTCCGCACTAACAGACAAACGAGGGTTATTTCGGGAAAGAGGTGGCAGTGAACTTAGGCCCTTCTTAGGGTTCTGCCGAGAGCCTCTGAGACGACTTGACCTGGAGTCGCGAGAAGATACTTCAAAGCAAAAGGGAACGAGGAATGGAACGAGGAATGGAAAGAGCACTTTTGAGTTCTGATAGAACATCCTTTCGAGGAGAAAAATACCGCTCAAGGCGCATGGTTTATCTGCAATAAGCGGGGTTGGAGTATGTCCTAACCCCGAGCGTGCATAATCCCTGTTCCTTCATATGGATTAACTATTGACTGTCCTCGTAAGAAATTTTTTTCCCGTTTTGGTCTGTCAAAGCTCCCTTCCTTTTATCCAAACCTTCTCCTTGCCTCATCACTGACTGTCTTTAACCATCCTCAACCATCCCCAAAGGCTCTTCATGTCTTTTGTATGTTTCCCATGTGCCAGTACATGGCATTCTTCCTTTTCGTGTGTTTCGCTTGGCTGGTAATTTCCTTCTGCTCATCAATTTGTCGCTCTGCTGATAGCAACCTGCAGGACTCATGAACATGGATAGGAGAGACGGTCGCAGTCGATGCAAACTTGTCACAAACTTGAAATCGCTGCTGTCGTCACGAATGCCAGGGGAGGTCGTCGTTACCAAAAGAAGCTGGATAACATTAGCCTTGTCTGGGGTCTCCACATTCAGTGTATAAATCCCACCGATCCACTTGTAATAGTGGGAGGCTCGAAACTCCGGCCATGTGGCTGCTGGGGTTCTCGATTCCCAATTTTCCCCGTGCCTGTCGCTCCACATACACCATTCGAGAACGCGGACCTTCTGCTCGTCTTTCTGGTCGCCGTCGTTGCAGGCCAGCTGGGCCGCGTTTCGCAAAAGCTTCTCTTCTGAAACGCTTCGAGCCACCTTGGTTGAACGGAGGATCCGGCCAACGTCGGTAAAGAGATACCGGTAATAGTGAACTGGGAGTTTCTGAGTAAGCGACCGCGGAGGACCCGTGACTTGAAGCTCTGGATTTTGGGACACACCTTCTCTGGGCACTGCCATGGCGAACGACATTTGCTGGACTGAAACAGTGACTTTTTTTTTTCCTTTCGGCACTGGATTGGGGGACGCACAGAAAAAAATTTACGCGAAACAGCTCAACAATTGCCTGGGCGACAAAGAGAGGCCTTTTGTCCAGCTGACGAAAGTATAACTTGAAAACAGACCAATCACTACCGCCGCTTCTCCTCTCAGACGGGTCGACAGATCCATCGGTTGGCGAGACTCCAAGCTAACTGTTGCTATACCTATTCCATCGTTACTTCATCGGATCTCTGGACCTACAGTGAGATGAGCGGGGCTGGCTTGAATTGACCTACGACGCTGAAAGTCCGAAGGCCGGTGAAAGAGTCATCTCAATTGTTCGCCGACCCTTAAGCTCAACCCCAAAGAGACTTTTGGGCTCCCCATAGCTGACAGTCTCTACCCCACGGCTCTGGAGTAGATGGCGCCCGGCTGCGATTGGCTAAGTCGCTTTCGATTTTGTTGGGAAGGAGCCAACCACGGAGCTAGTGTGAATTTGCGGGATTGACAGGTTCGATTTTGCATTTAGGCCCTGCATGACTTACTCTCCCCCTCTCAGGCTTTCTTGGAAAAGTACGATCCGGATTTGATCAAGTCCCAATATCGCAGTATGCCCATTGTACCGCGTCTTTGGTACGTAACTTGGGTTTACAATTTCCGATGGCAAGACCACGGCGGTGGGTCGGACCCATTTGAAAATGATCTGCAAGAGTCATCAGAGAACTGGGGCGGTTTGTCCGATCGATTCGTCCCAATCAAATTTAATTCCGGATCATTTATCTCCGTATATGACCCCGGTCTAAGGCCATTAAAGCTGCATACAGGCGAGTGTGCGTGACTAATATGCTAGTCCTAACTAACTAACTAGCCTGGAGACAGCGATATCTGCACCGCCACTGGCAGTGGCAGGTGTCGACAGCCACAGGGCCAACGTACGATTAACATTATAATTGAAGCAAAAATACGCCGATCATAATACCCGCCAATGCACACCAGCTAGTACTCATTCTGTTATAGAGAAATGGCTTAAATCACATGAATACCAGACCAAAAAAGCAAAAACATGAATTAACGAAACATGAGAGGCAGAGTGGAACACTGGAAAACGGCAAATTCAATCTTGTCTTTCCAGGTTGCTCAGTTGGGACCTTTTACACCTCAACCCGAGGGCCCAACGGTGGCCATAGTTCCGAAGGCATATCACCCGGAGGCATCTTGAATGAATCGATTAGTTCGTGTATCCGATCATATGTATCTTTCCTGCCCTTGATCAAGCCGTTCTTAGAAATCGCCAAAGCTAATCGAAGTAGTCGACTCACTTCGGCGCGATCATGGAGCCACCCCCAGAACTCCTTCAGAGTATTGACATCGCACTCCGCCATTGCTTTGCCATCAAGGAAGCCTCCCGTTTTGGGCTGCTCAAGCCATTCGAGATTCCTCTAAGACGTCCGTCTAGACTCGGATCGAATTTCGCACCACGTAACGGCTTGTCGTACGTCTCGGGAAATAGCGCCTCAAGCCAGGCAATAGTACTGAAAATGATTTTCAGCTTATAGAGATGAGCTTCCTTTTTGTTCTGGGGTTCATCGATCAAGTCATCAGAATAGGCCGGCCCCGGTACTTGCGAGGGGTTTTCGCTTTCTCCAAAGAGCATTCGGTCCAAGATATAAATACTGATAGGCAAGTTATCCATATCGTATTCCCTTTCCAGCTCCAAATACGTATCGCGCATCGAATCAACATCAAGATATCGAGACAATGTTTCATACAAAGACTTCCGGGAATATGTATTATGGACCTTCAAGAAACTTGCCAGAACATCAGCTGACCCTGGTATCTTTTGCGAAAGCCAGGGGTCTCTTGCGACCAAGCGAGTGAGCGCGTGGCTGACATCTTGGAAACTGTTGCCTCCCCGCAATTGACGATCCTCTTCCAAGTCTCTGTCTTCGGCTTGGAATGTCTCCAAGTCCTCGTTGGGACCAGATGTGTCCGTGGATCTAGCATGGAATCTAGGCGTCCATGGTGGCTCACTGATAACCTCAACCTTCATGAGGCCTTTCCAAGGCTTGCATCCTCCATAACGATTTTGCGGAGCTCTGAATGCGATGAAATACGCATCGAATGCCCGTTGGGAAGCATGAGAGCCCAAGTCTCCAATATCATCGTATGTATAGCTCTGAGTGAATCTGACAACTGAGAACTCATGCCGAATGATACTGGCAAGTCTTCCTCGGTCTGAAGGCCGACAGACGTACAAGTGAAGGCTTTTGCGGTCGGTTATTATTTCGCGAGCAATCTGCATAGGATCTTCTTCAGAGGCAACGATTCCTGGAAGCTCCCTGTAAAGACCATCGCCATTCTGGCTTGCCTGAATGCTGAACTTTATCCCATATTTTTCAAGAATGCTCTGAAGACTGTTTTCGAATTCCTGACAGCTCCAACGATAGCTGCTAAATAGAGCAGCAAAGTCAATCCTAGCACCGTCTGCCATGGTGGGAAAATAGGGTATTTAGATCAATAAAACACTGATCTGCAATGAATGATAAATAAAGAATGAGATGAGCGTATCAGTATGCTGAGTACTTGTGACTTTGAAGTATAGTTTGAGAGACCCCTCGGTTTGAACTTGTTGCCAGTCTGTTGAAGATCAGTCCGAGTATTTATAGACTTCTCTCAGAGGACCACAGGAACACGCGACAAACCGTAGGTACATAGATACAAGAAGAGACCGCTGCGATTCCATGTATCATAATTCGCGAGGAAAAGGCGGTATACAAGGGAATGATCGTCCATCCTATGCCCAGACCGTTGGCGCTCATAATGACCGGGGTTCTCGTTTCGTACCCTGAGATGGAGGGAGGCCATTCGCTGTGATATTCTGATGCGCACAGCACACGAGGCAACTGTACATGCATGTCAGCCTCATGGTGGAGAAGATGCCCATCAATTCAGGATTCTAGGGCTTCAAGTTTATTATGATTGTAGTGTGTTGTGTGACTGGGGCGGAATTTCATTTGTCCACGCAAGTAAGCCCCTGGTTGGAATGACTGCAAGTAGGCGCTAATAGGACACAAGTGTGGTGAACACCAACCCGGGTGAAGTCTACAGACATAGGATACTAGTACAATGACCTTGTATGCACCGGGTTGGGCTGATGTCCTAGATTTTGCAATCTGGCTAAAGTTCGACGATTGATATTCGTGGTAAAATACGGTAGGCCGATCTGATTCTGTGGAAATACTTGTGAACAAACTTGATTTTGGCGTCAGGAGGGTTCGCCCTGATGTGGCTGTCCTATCAAGATGACTTGAGATCACGGCCCCGATATGCAAAATGAGCCTCCCAGCTGTCTTCGGTGGCTAGAGACTTCAGACCATGAGACAGTAGATCTGTATGAAATACAAAGATAGAGACCTGAGGACGGTACATCTAATGGGTATATGAAAAGCGGGGAAAGACGAACTGTCGCCGCCGGCCGTTCGTAGGACTGGTATGCATAAGGTCAACCCGCTGGGTGGAGAAAACCAGAATACTGCCGACGATTGGGAAATAATGCCCGGGCAATTAATTCACGATAAGAGAGGGAATAATTGAACAATCAAAGAGTCAGAATCAATCCAGCCCCGGGGGGGGACCTTCGCGCCCAATCACTTGAGGCTCTTCTGGCCCTGCTCTGTACTTTACAACGCTTTATTGGGCCATTAGATTTGCCAACATGGCGCCCCATGTATGCTTGACATCATTGGAGGTATTTGTCAAAGTGGACGGGCCCGTCAGCCCGGCGATGCAGTTTCCGATGTACCGTCCTATCCGACATGATTCAGCCCCAGGCTCAGGGACTTCCTGTCCAGCCACTGCATGATGTATGAGCCTGGTAAAAGGTGAGGCCAATCTTGATAGAGGCATTTTGGGGCCCAACATCCTGATACACTCCAGGAGATGCAAGCGCACTGACTTGATTTTAGGCCGAAGCCAACGACAATCAGGTTGCAAGCGCCATCTGCAGAGATTGCGCGAGGGTTTCAGGTGAAGCAGTTAGAGAAGCCACGAAACAAGGGAAACTAAATAGACCACCTTAGAAGGAGAGAGGAAAACCAGGAAGGTCGATAAGTTGAAGTATATGATGATTAGACACGTGATGCTCTCTTCGCGGCGTGCAAAGGGCGAAGCCGCACAACGGTTATCAGAAGAGCCAGTGAAAAGTTAGGTCGCCCGGAACATATGGGGAGCCAAGGACTACTAGGAAACTCGCAGAATTGAGCCCCCCTATCACATGGACCGGACGTGTTCGTCTTGTCACATCTTGGAATGCTTCGAGCCGTGTGACGAGAGAAAAAAAAAAGAAACAAGATTACAGCCATTCATATCCCTTGTTGACTTTCACTAATTTGTAAGGGATATTGGAACGGGAAAGAGAGGTGGTGATAGGCTCATGTCCAATGCAATACTGCGCATCTGGGTTCTCCCCATGCCGAAGAGGGTCTAATCAGCGCCATATTTGGCTTGTCTAGTTAGGTAACGAGGAGACCCCATTCGTTCATGAGGGAGAATGCCTGTAATTTCCCGCCCCATGTATCCCGAGGCAGCCCAAAACATAAACAGGGCCCATATTGAGACAGGGCCTCAGACATGCCTTTTTGAGGCCTTGGTGCGAGCCTTTAAGCCACGTTCAGACTTAGCCACGTTCAGACTTAGCCACTTACTAGGACCAAGTTTCTAGATAACAAGAGGACGGTGAATCGAAGCCGTTGGAACCGCGATGAATACACGTACTCGGTACCCGGCAGGGTTACAACCAGTCCGCACCACTGGCTAGGGTTTCATGCATGAGGTGGGTACCCGGCAAGGGGGATCTCGTCATGGTGCTAGGAAATATTCAACTTTCCTTTTGAATACATAGTACAATGGCCGCGTATTTTTTTTTCCAGAGTCTTTTCCAAGTCATCTTCTCTAAGTCGCTCATCCTAGCAATGTCCAATAGTGCAGTACGTCTATGCTATTTATTTACTTCCAATATCGGATACGCAGCGCACCGTGACTTCAGGTTCCGTTTACTATTTTGCTCCCCGCTGGATGAGGAATCTATCTAAATTCGCTAGTGAGAGTCGGTGCTGGTGACAATCCGTGGACACACGAACATACCTACGTATGATTGCACTTGATGCAAGCTACTGATAGGTAGCATAATACGTGCTATATCGGCTTAACCTATCGGAACACTTGGCTTTTTTGAGGTCTCGAGCATCCTTAAAGCTACGTGTTGAATTTGGACATGAGTTTGAACAGCTGATGGCATCTGGTCGAACTCGAACGAGCAACCCACTGACGAGCCACCGTAGTGATATGCCCATCCAATTGAAGTCCACCCGTAAGCTGGTGGACTCTGATGTACTAGTTAGTTACTAGCTCCCGCCGATAGACTAGCAAGCATGGAAGAATCTCTTCGTGGAGCCCTTGTACGTAGACGGATCATATGCGGAGGCGAATGGGGGCAACCAGACCAACTTGAACTATTTGTTCCGACTACTAGTAGCGTATGGAACCTAGAGCCCTGATATAATGGGATTGAATCAATAACGAAGATAAGACTTCCACCATACGAACTACCAGAACCATGTGTAGGGGGATGGGTGATCTTAACCGGGCCTTCCGCTACCCGTAGAATCGTACTGTGACTTAGCGGTACATCTGCGTTCTGCGGCCCCATGCTACCCAAAGTGATTGGTGACTGCTGAAACGTGATACAATTTATCATCCACTTAGAGACCGACCCACTACACCCTAGTGTACGCAGCCTGCTTCATGCATGTAATTAAATCGTCCGTGTTCGAGTACGCTCAGTCGCATCTGATCGGTTCCGAGTTTGATCGGTAAGCCCTGACTCAAGGTGTGGAACTCCTTGAAAACGTGGGCCCTTGCATGTGATCTTGCCCTAAGCAAAGATGGATCTTCTGTGTCCTGGGCACTCCTTTTTGATTTCTCACTTCTTCTCAGTCCTACCTTCGTGATGAAAGTCTTCGGCTAAGCCGTCGATATCCTATTCTCTAGACGAACCATTCCTCCGACAACCGTGCCTGATTGTCGTCTTATCTGGAGCCAACAACCAATCTCAGAATTCACGACAGCAGGCCCCGGCTCTAGGCTTCCGATTATGTACACCCAATCTTTACCGTGGGCGACCATATGCCGGGGGCCGGAACTTGGACAGCTGCTCTCTGTAAAAAGGGTCAAGTGACTTGGAACAGCCTAGAAGCAGTAAGTATCCGAACTCTTGATGGGAAACTACTACTCACTGCCGGCAGATTCACTTACTTTCAAACCCCCGAAGGGGGCTGTCTTTGAAGAGGTTCCACTGACGCTTGAGGTTGATGAAATCGATCCTCCACCCGCCGCCATTGTGGACCGTGCCAAGATATATCCAGAATTCAAAGAGAATGGGCGAATCTTCCGCAATCCAGTCCTCTATGCCCAATTTTGCCTGCTCCTGAAGATATGCTATGAAGTCCATGAATAAGTTGATGAATTCTGACTCAGATTTTGTCAACCCCGAAAAGCGACGGCCTATAAACACTCGGGAATAGAAGAGACATTCGTGGAGAACTCGCTCTAATCAACGAAGAATGTCAGGAGACAGTTCAAAAATTCAAGTCGGAGGGGTTCCTGGTTGTACCTGGGCACCGACAAGGATTATTAGACTTACCATGGACCACCGGCTCTTCCGGTTCTTCCGGCTGAGCCGTGACGCTACCCTCGCTTGGCATATCTTCTATCAGACTCGCATGGGGGAACAACCACCCGAAAACGAGCCAACACCAGAAGAATCCAAGCAACCTCAGATGGGAGAACGTTGCAACTGCTTGAAAAGGGGAGGGGGGAAGGGACAAAGCTCCCAAGCACAGGGGTGGGGCCTCTTTCCATGAGTCGGGTTTGCTTTCAAGGAAATAATCGACTCTCACGTAACTAACGGATCCCTCTCTGATAAGCAAAAGTCCTGCGGTCGCGGTTCTTGGGCAAGCTAGATCCATTGCTCATTCGCTCCTCCCGATCTCTGAAATGAATCAACTGCGTTCTTTCGAACCAACAAGCTTTGCACAGGTCGCTTTCGTCGCTCCCCTACGCTGAAACGATTCAGGGTATTCTTGGTTTACATGTTCGGATGCGCGGTCGCTATTGCTCGTTCATTATGACCGGTCGCCTAGCTGAACCGCTGCTTGGGTACTCGGTACTTTGTAATGCTGCTGAACCGGATGTGGAGACCCCGTGACAGCCTCGTTGACAGATTTTTTCTATCCATCTTTCTTCAGGGACCGACGAACCGGAGAATTATCTCTACTAGTTCAATCCTCCACCCGAGTCCACGACAAGCTTGGCATTTGGTCCTACCAGGTTCAAATGGTCCATACGTTCATTTCTTTTTTTCCTTGTTTCTTTTTTTTATAGAAAGAACCCTCTCCCTTGTGGCGTGGTATTTCCTCTCTATGTGATAGGTCGATTTTCAGCGTCCCAAATGTTGGGATGTGGCGTCGAGCTAGTGAGGATCGGCGGACCGATCGAGATCGTGAATCGCGAATCTCTCTACAAAGCAAAAGGCATCCAACACCATCCCTACGCCAAAGGAGCCGTCTCAAAACGAGGGAGGAATTTAATTCATTTGGGATATGTTGGGGAAAGAAAAATTCCAAATTCATTCTGAGTAAAGAAGCGAATCCAACTTGAATATCCCCCATATCTCTGCGTCGGCCCATCTCGATGGCTAGTGCAGCCTTACTCCCCGAATTCAGGGAGTTTCCTCTCCGGGGAAAGGCCACAATAGTCGCAAACTGAAGGCTATCTGTTTCAGAGACTGGGACCAAAGAGTCTCGTCCGCTGTAATGGTCTCATATTGAGACAATTCAAAGGCCAATAGCACCTGTCGTATTATTTTGGGGCCTGTGAACCATGTCCAGAGGTCCTCAATGACTTTGCGATGGCTTTCCTCTATTTGCAAGTTTTCCAGTTGGATACTGTTATCGAACTCGTCTTGGGAAAGTAATTTTGCCCCGACGCAAAGAGGCCGCATGTTCACGGGCGCAGCAAGGTCCAAAGGCCAATGATAGAATAGATGGTACATGCACGCCAAAGTAGCCTGCATTCTCCGGATTTTGTTTGGGAGTGTTTCGTTCCAAGAATGCGATTGATTTTGCTGACGCTCTTTTCGTACAAGAAACCAATTATCTATTAGATAGATGACAATGCTGAAATCCCTGGAGTAAGTTCTTGCTGCTTTTTCTGCCTTTTTGTCCGCCTCAGGCTGATACATAAGATCGCAAAGCAGCTTATCGAGGTAGTAGGGACTGTTCTGATTAAGCAAAGTCAAAAACCTTAGGAGGAGCCAACTTGGCCCTACTTCCAGCGAGGGCCACCTGTTTCCGGTGCGGAGTCTCTGATGCTCTTGGAGCCATTCGCAGAGAAACTTGTTAACATCATCAGGCGTCGTGAAAGGGTCCTCTCTGTAGCTTCGCACTCGGATATCGATCCAACTCAGCAGACCGTCGGGTTTCCCCAATCGAGCTATACTTTCTTGTTTAAGTGTTGCTCGGCAGAATACTGCACGGTACCAGTCATTTTTGGAAGAAATCTCGTCTTCCGTTTGGCACTGTGGTGGTGGCACTTGTATGATGCTTTCAAAAGATTTTTTAACTTGAAAGAACGTGTGGATTCTCTCGATATCGTAGTCTTCGAGTTCGACCTTTCTCGGAAGAGATATATTGACGATTATCAGATTCTGAACATAGCGCAGCGGATGACGCGGAGTCGTAGCATCGGTTTCATGGCTTGAAGCTTGAAGAATAGAATGAAGCTGGTCGGGCTCCATAGTCCCATGCCATATCGTATGGGAGATGTCTCGGTCTTGGAGCTCTTGGGTGCAAAGTTCTTCCGCATTCAGAGCAATTTTGGCATAAAGATGGCGGTTTTCTTTATATCGGTCCACAGTTTCTTGAGACTTGAATGTAGCAGGACGTCTGATAGGCACCACCCTCATACGATCCGGAAGTGCCATTTTTCTGGACTTTGCGAGTCGTTTTGTGTGGAGATGGTTTTTCAACTTTCTCGTGTTTTGAATGATCTTCACAAGATCCTAGGAATGATAATATACGCTCCTTGGATGATGAAGGGGTCTGGGAATGAAGACAGTATTTATAATTTGTCTATGAGCCTCGAGGGCAAGTATATCAGGAGCCATATCAGGACGTACTCTTACCTGTCTTCCAATGAGAGGAGAAGACAAGGGCAATGAAAAGTCGGTATGGCCTTTCCAACATCCTGGATGGGAGAAAAAAGCGGTAACCAACATCTCAAATGCCCCGGATCATTCAGTTAGTCTGGTATATCGTAGGGACTGGCGTCATGCAGAAATAGGGTGTGAGGCTATTCGCTGGGGTTGCCCTATTTGACAGGCAGCACAGGCCAGTTCATGCAAGTCAGACACAGGATGAAGAGCCGTTCGCGGTGAGAAAGTACCGATCTATTGATTCAGATGCCCCTCCTCTGCATGACTCGCCGAGTGAGCATCTATACCCAACCTCCCAAACGCGCATCCTGAAAAAGTTCTCATTGGTCCACGCAACGCAGCGCCAATCTTCAACGAATGATATTTATTGTACCAAGTCAATGTTACTAGTGCCCAACAACCCGGGTGAAGAACGAACAATGATATTGTATCTCCCTTTCGACCCTAAGCAGAGACTAGATGCCCTTGTAGTTCGACAGCCAATCCAATGAATAGTGCAGATTCTTTTGATGTAACAGTCCCCCCCAAAAAAAGGAAAGAAAAGAAGAAATTAGGAATCCTGAGAAGTTGGGATGTGGCAAATTAGTCCATTGAAGACAGCCTCGAACCTATCACTACAAACCCTAATCATGAGACCTCATCCGACATTTCCCAAAAACAAGAATCCTACTATTAGTATTGTGACTGTTGTCCAACCGCTAGCGTGATTTCTTGCAACTCGAACAGAAATAACTAGATATACTTGGAAAGCCTCCTAGGTGGAGAGGAGGCTCAGTAACTTGAACTGGTACAGACGAGTACATGGTGCGGGGAAATCCAGTAGTCTCTAGCCAGTCGCCATGCTAGCGTAGAGAGAGTAAAATGTTCAACCTTGCAGCAAGATCTAACCAGGTCTCTTGCAGTATGCATCAGAAACCTGAAGATCGGCGCATCTGCTTGGCTAGTATTGTTTGTCTTCTCTGCAAGGCTCCAAGAAAGTGCATTCCCATGACTCTCTTTCCTTCTTTCCCCCACCTGCGGCATTTCCAAGGGCTTCCGAGTTGCTTGGGCACGGTGACCACAACTTGCAATATGCTAGTACTAGACACTGGCCGGGGTCTCGGTTATTTCCTGGCTGGCGGCGCTTTGAATGGTAGTAGTTTTGTTCGTTTGTTTGGCCATAGATGAATTCGCCAGTATTCCAGTCTGGAACATTTCTATGTAGTTGTGCAAATTATATCCTTACACGTCAGCCTCAGCATGAAAGACGTTCCATAGAATGAGTCTCTAGATGCATTGTCATGATACCAAGATCTTGAGGTGAAATCGGGCCGATACCCAATTCTTCATATAAGAGAGTCCGTAGAAACCATTGCTTGATGGATTTTCAACGATCTTCTTCGTAGTCGATTGCGCTTGGCTGGAATTTTCCCTGTAAACTCAGCAGAGATTGGGAGGGCTTCAGCCGGGCTCATACTCTTCGCATAGCCATTCTTGGACGTAACTAGTTGTCACTCGAGGAAACGGTACTGCAGTACCCAATAATTCCATACTTCCTCTGACCGTACTCGGTACTTCAAGCCATTCCATTGGATGATTAGCCTGCAGGGCATAAGATTTTCTTTTTATGAAGCTTTGACATCATATTTGTCAAGCGGGTAATCCCGTCCAGCCGTAGAGCAGGTATCTATCTAACCCCCTGTCCGACTAGGAAATAGCCCCATGATACGACCAATCCCGTCTTCAATGCCTGCGCGCTTACAGAACAGGTTTCTTGAGTCGACTCACTAAATCCCAGGAGATGCAAGCGCACTGACTTGATTTAGGCCGAAGCCAACGACGATCAGGTTGCCAGAGCCATGCGACAAGCGTCATTAATTCCAAATGTTTCCCACAGCAAACCGATTCGTAGGAGCCACGTGGTTCGTCCGAGGCTCTCTGATATGTAGGTGTGACGGGTGTGAACCATGTGGTGGCTTCTCAGGCTTCAGCCAGCGAACTTACTTGAAACTTACGGTGAGCCAGGATTTTCCTAGCGAAATTGTCTGGCTATGCCTTAATCTTGATCCAAGCCCAAATGTAACGTTGGAATCCGACAACTGAGAGAGCCCCAAGTGAATTACCATGAGGCACCCCGGTCAAAGATGCCCAGCATCATATTCTTTGGTCGACCACGCCCACTTGAATCGAAGGAGATTGTTGTTTTCATTCTTATAACGTCATGGAGCAACTGCGGGTCAATCGTTTCCCAGTTCTGATAGAGCTGTGAGTTACAACGCTTTTGAGATGGGATGAAAGTCTTGACATAGACTGTGCTCTTGGAAGCAAGCTTGTGAATGCCAAGTCACAATGTATGACTAGAGCTATATGTACAGGTAAGGAGCCTTTGGAGTGCAAAAATCCATGGATGGAGCCCTGAATCATGCGGCAGATCAGGGCTTTCGAAGGTTGCTGAGCAGAAAACATATTGCTTCCCGATTCACAAGGCGTCTATCCTTACTAATAAAAGATGAGTCAGCAGGCGTCCGAGTCCCGAGGTCAATTGCTGCACGTAAAGGCAGCAGCTTTCCCCGCGTTGATGATCAGATGCTGGTTCCTGCGCAGGAGCCGCGATTGGTAAGAGCCTTCTTGTCTCCTACCTAGTCTTCGCGATGAACCTTTTGGAGGAAACAGTGCATGCTGCTTTGACCCCGGAAGCCATTACAAACGAGCCGCGGATGCCGCTGAGGACAGCATGGACCCTCACCAGACTACAAGGATTACAAGCCCCAAGACTCGGTGTCTGCAGGGCATATGTGCGAACGATACCATGCTCTGCTAAGATTAGAATCCTATAGCCGACGTTTTGCCTCGGAGCGCACTTCTCCAGAATCTGGGCCTATAAGAGAATGTCATCTATGATTCATGACGTCAGGCGTGACCGAAGATGTTACAATGAAGCCGGGATCAGACCTCGACTATCCGGGAAAACTCGTGAGAACTCGGCAAAGCACAAGGAACGAAGAAAACAGCACGCGAGGTGCGAAAAAAAAAAACGGTGGCGTAAAGGGGCAAAGAAACTTGAATTGGCAAAGGAATGAATTCGCCCCTCGATGGGGTAGAGAGCCTCGGCGCAAAGAGGGGATGTCAGAATCCATCGAGTAAAGTCGCGGAGATGAGAGCGGGTCTGAAGGAGATTCCCCACGCGTGGGTACCAGTGGACACAAGGTGGGCTTTGTAGCTGGAGCATTCGAGCCGGGCGAGTCGAGACCCGGAGATCGAACCCCTCCAGCTGCCCACAAGCAGAGGCCCCATTGGCCATGGTAGAGTCACGAAACAGTAGAGTTTTTGCTCGAGTGACTCCGGGTCGTACACTCGCGAAAAAATAGAAGCGGAAGAGGGTTGGCCGCAGCGGGGCTGCTTTACTCCAGAAGGGGGAGACTGAGAATCTACCAGCTTCTGATCGACGGGGTTGCCCCCCCTTCGCAGACGCAGCTAAGCAGTAGTTAGCTGCCGCCCATGGGCTAGGCTTTATTGCCTCTAGGCCCCTCCGGGATGGAAGATGGCAGAGAACGGGCCCGTGAAACTTTGGGAGTATCAATCCATGAGGGATTAAATGGTCCATGCCGCAAGAATGATGCCGAAGAGTCGGATATCGAGGAAGATCATGGCTTTTCAATGGCAGCTACACCGGTTCAACCCCATCTTGAGCTCTGACCCAGCTCTGATCTGTTGAAATCCTGGAATGCCTAATCTTGGAAAGTCCACCTTGGAAGTGGACACACGCCGAGCCGTACTCCGTTCGCAAATGTAGAATCCATGGGTGGCCAAACAGAAACGATCATTCGACAGTAATCGCTCGGGACAGCCGCCCTGGAGGGGACTTTTTTTGTTTTCTTTTTTCCCCCTCTCTCATTCGCCTACTCCTCTCGTATATCCCCATTTTTTCCCTCTCCTCGAAACCAAATCAGAGAGCAGGTTGCTTCCCCTCCAGCACAGTCATCTTATAAAAGGTGCTTAGTTACCTACCCGGTTGCGCCATCGAGTCCGCTTGTGAAATCATTTTCAACCTCTCGCGTTAATAGCCCACGGGGAGGCTGTCTGTTCTTCAGGCGATCTCGGCGGTCCCTTTCCTCTTCTCCCTGATATTCCGGCATTCAAGCTTTTGATTGTTCTGTGGCTCAGCTGCTCCACGAGTTTATTTCGCATTTCCATCTATTTGGTCTCTACTGGGTCCCTTGCCGAACCAAGAGACCTTATTCTGTATTCTCGTGATCGTCATTCACGTGGGATATCATGTCTACCAAGCCGATCTACGTAGCGACGCACCCCCGCGCCTGCTCTACCGCTTTTGAACGAGTATGTCAGACCCCCAGCGTTCTGTACGAGGAAACTTGGATCTGAAAGGGTTTCTACTTGAATATTATGTGATATTGACCAAAACCTCTATAGGTATTTATGACCCAGCGTGCCACGATTCAATGTGTGCATGAACCCTTCGGTGACGCCTGGTACTACGGTCCAGAGCGATTGGCTTCTCGCTTCATGGATGACCCTCAGGGTCGCATAGATAGTGGGTTTAGCAAGTCAACTTACCGTACTGTGCTGGACAGACTAGAGCATGAAGGCTCCGAGGTATGTATCTCTCATACAGCCTTTCTCTCACAAAACCTTCCAACACTCTTTTCCATCTTTGTATGAAAAGAAAAGCCATTCTCCTCGTAAGAATACGCCCAAGCCAGGGCGTGCAAGCTCTGATCATGTACGAGCATAGCTCGAGAAGTCGGGAGTTACCCCCTGAATGACGTTCAAAATCATGACGTTCAAAATCTCTTGGTCCCTCACTCAGAACCCATAGTTACCGAGCGGAAAACTTACCATCAACCCAGGGCAAGCGAGTCTTCATCAAAGATATCGACTCATACCTTCTCCCGCAGGAAGGGAAGCCAGCAAGCATTGCCCCGTCGCTGCGACGTCTGAAGCGCGGCGTCGGCACCGAGTCCACCAGCCATTCCCCGGCCAATGGCGTGAATGGTGTCAACGGCACCCACGCCAACGGCCACTCCACCTCGCCAAACGGAGCCGCTCCAAATGGCACCAACGGCGAGGTGAACGGCACCCCGAGCGATGAGACCGCAATCCGCGAGAATCGCGACCGGGTGCCCACCAACCCACCCCTCCCATTCTGCACGCCCGCAGAACCAGGTAACCCGACGGTGATGCCGCGGGAGATCCAGGCCCAGTTCCACTGGGCCTTCCTTATCCGGGACCCGCATTATAGTATCCCGTCGTACTACCGGTGCACGATCCCTCCACTGGACACGGTGACAGGGTTCTATAACTTTGACCCGCTGGAGGCCGGGTACAATGAGCTGCGTAGGCACTTCGATTACCTCCGCCAGGAGGGGTTAGTCGGTCCCCGTGTCTGTACGCGGCCGGATCTCTCGCCTGCGCCGGGGTCCAAGGAGGATCAGGCGACGATCAACGAGGTGTGCGTGGTCGATGCTGACGACATGCTTGATTCGCCGGCGGCGACGATCGAGCAGTTCTGTCGTAGTGTTGGGCTGCCGTATTCCCCTGCCATGCTGGAGTGGGATACCGAGGAGGACTATGCGTTCGCATGTGAGAACTTTGAGAAGTGGCGTGGCTTCCACAACGATGCTATCGAGTCCAAGGGGCTGGTGGCAAGAACTCATGTAAGCTTTAGAGTCTTTCCTGCTCCGCCAGGGGAGGAGATTGGGTCGGGAGCTTGAAGGAGTTGTTCTGCTAACATCAGATTCTTAGCAACGTGAACCCAAGTCCGAGGAGCAGTTCGACATCGAATGGCGTGAGAAGTATGGGCCCAAGGGCGCTGCTTTGATCCGCCAAACTGTCGACGCCTGCATGGCCGACTACTTGCACCTCAAGCAGTTTGCCATTCGAGTTTAGAACCCGGGGCAGTGATAATAAGGGCCATCTTATCTTCCAGGAAGTGCCATTGGCAGCCCAAATATAGTGGGAGGATTGGGGGAGAATGTGGGAGGAAGGGAGGAGAAAACAAGGAAAGGGGCATTTTCCGGGGGAAACGGGTGCAAAGCGGCATTTTTAATTCTGCAGACTTGTTTCCAAGGTTTTACCAGGATCCCTGCACTTGTCCCGACGTACGAGTTCTGGGGGTCGGCATGGGTGATCATCGATGAGTATGATTTAGTCTCGATGGCGCCATCTCCACCCGTCTCGCGTGCTTCCTTGCACCACCATGGGGTCGGCCACTTCATGGGGATTGGTTCGTGCTGATGATCTTGCTTCACCGACTTTATTGTTTCTTGCTGCTTTGTGCCTTTTTCTCTAAAGTATTCTGTGGCCTTCTTGCTCGAGCCTGCTACGCATGTCCCATCGTTGCATTTTGTTGTATGTGGAGGGATATCCCCGCTAGCTGAATGTTTATAGTCGAATACGATGTACTTCCCCTTGCATTTTGTTCTTTCATGATGGCAATTCATAAACTTAGTGAAAGTCCTGCCGGCAAGTATGGAGTACAGGAACCTAAATCTAGCAATTCACAATTAGATGGTTGCTCTATGTTGAACCCCGGAACCTCTTCCAGCATACAAGGATTGCACGACTGCGGCTTTCCACTATAGTCGACCTTGTACACAATCTGTAAATTCAACCCTGATAGAACAGTACTCTAAATATTTGGAGATCTGATTTTCGGCCTGATTCCGTCCGGAAATATACAGCGCACCAGCAACCGGGGGCAAGATGTCTACCGGGGAGGAGGATTACGGAGAAAGTCAAACTATTCAAGTTGCAACCCCACGCTTGGACGCAGTGTGCGGTCATCTTGGTACGATAATCCAACGTAAAGAACATTTGGTGAATACCTGCCGTAACTTGAACAATAGACTCGAGAAAGCCACACCACGCTCAGAAAGCAATTGGTTAAATAGTGCACTGTTCTTCCTCGCTAATTCCTCGGTGTTCCTAAGGACCAGCCTCGCTGATGAGTGCAGATAGTTGAAACAGTCCAGACATTCATTTAGATTGAAGCGGTAACATTCGTACAGTTCACATTGATGGTTGTCCAGCGACTATCCAATATAATTCAAATCTAGCGCCAATAACTCGTCACTCCAAAGCACATATAAGCTACAAGTTCGGAACAATGAAATCTCAATGCCAAGACACAATTGAAAGAGACTTCAGATCAACAAAGAGATACTACGTCAGAATACATAGCAGCAAAGCCACTAGACCGCACTGTACCCACCCCTCGTCCCGCCGCCTTGAACTGTGTTCACGACACGACGGAACCAGTCCTGGAAGATATATGGAACATCGCGGAGGGTATCGCCGTGGGGGAGCAGGTCCCAGCCCCGGGCGCCATAGCGGTTGTAGTTGAGCCACGAGCCGAAAATCAGGTAGGCGGCGACACCGAGAAAAACACTGGATCCGAGTGTATTAGCGACAGAAAGCCCGATTTGCTTGAACCGTGGACCACTCACATAATAATCAACCAAGTGAAAAAACCCCACGAGTTGGAACTGCTTTCTTTGCCGCTCTGGAAGTTGTCGCAGGCGACGCGAGTACGCCAGTCCAGCTTCAGAATATACGTGTCATCGTCATCCGGTGCGAAGCTCTTGAATGTCAGACTCGGGTCTGTCGAGGACTCGTCACCCTCGGCCCTCCGACGCTTTTCCCCATTGTTCTTGACGGTGGTGATACCCTCCAATCCAGACCGATCCGGGTCACATTTGAAATCGATGACGGCGGCTGCGGCTTTCTCCTTCGCCTCCACGCTGCTGCGGTATTTGCCGCCAGCTATCTTCAGGCGCAGACCCTGCAGGTCCTCATTGACCTCTTTCAGCAGCTTGAGCTCGGGCTCCTTGGCACCTTCGCCCGATTCCACTCCGGCAACCGAATAACCCCATCGCTCATCGCCGTTTCCGTCCTGCGGGTGTTTATCTACGAAGCCGCAGACTGGTCGAAAGAAGAGAAATTAGCATCGAGTATTACCAGACCAGCCCGACTCAGAGATACGCACTGTTTTTAGAGGGGTCGCATTTCCCTTCCGGACGACTAGCAAATTTCCCTAACGGAGCGCAGATATCGATCAAATATGTGGTGTTGGTGACATAGCCGCTGGTCTCGTTCCCGTTGCTAACGTGGGAGATCTCGTGGACGCCTCCCAGCGGCAGGAAGTCGTAAGTGTTGCTGTTCACCTTGATCTTGCCACAGTCAAAGGTGCCCGCTGATGCTAAGGTGGGCAGGAGGGCGGAAAGGAGGAAGGTGGTCTGGCTGGATTGTATTCGCATGGCGGCGATGTTTGTGACGTCTTCTGCGGAGGGAAGGGCGCAAGCTGGAGGGATTCTCTTGGTAGGGGAGCTCGAAAGCCCGTGGAAAAAGAGAAGAATCGAGGATCTACGATAAAGGATTAAATGAGTGACTGGGTTGTGGTGGGAGAAACCGTTTGACGGTCGTGTGTGTTCGGGTCGCAAGATGACGGTGGGAGTGGTTGCGGAGATCTGTTTCTCCGTAGGCGGCTTGAACTGCGATCTCCCCAAGGCATCTCCCCAAGGCAGCACAAAACACGCAACCTTGATGACACTAGGCAAATGAAACCTTTTGAGATCGTCCTTATGGCGGTGCTGTAGTTTTCTTTGCTCAAGAGATTTTGTGTCTTCGATCAAAAGGGAAATCAATTTGACTATATAGGCTTCCAGCCCTGGAGTCAGAGTAACCGTTTACAAACATAGTCAATAAACGTTGACTACCTCATGCCTCATCTCTTGTCTTCTTGGATTCTACTTGGAAGGGCGCACGGAGGACCTGGTCTGGAAGTCTTCCAGCCATCTGGTCTTTTACTCGGGACTCCATTTCCCAGATGCCGGGAGCAGCAGAGCCAATGACGTACATCTCCGGACTAGGTCAGCACTGTCAAAATACTGGTATGCAAATCGAACTGCGCTGGCTCAATGACAGGAATGACCCGATAGAAGACAGACCCGAATTGGGTGTTCGTCTCAAGCTTCGAATTAAGTTCAAGTTAATGCTACATATCGCTTACATATAAATGGGGTGGGCATGGACGTGGACGTATACAAAAATAGCATGACGGATTTTTCGTGAGCCGTCGTGGTTTTATGTTTCAGATGAGACTGGCGATATCCATTCGCGACGGAGCAAGAGGCGACCGCCCGTCCGTGGTATCGGAGGCGGTCGATTCAGGATGAAGCATAGACGGCTCGAGCGGTGGTAGCGGAGCATGGTCACGACGTTCTTGGTCGCGCCGCTGTTTCTCGATGAGTTCTTGGATGGTGCTCTGGATCCAGTCGCAGATCTTATCAGGAGAATCCGTGGACTCTGAGAAGCCCTGCCCTGACGAATTCTGAGACATCGATTCAAGCTGCGAGCCCGTCTCGCTTCCTTGCCAGACCCAGCTGCCGTCGCTGGTTCCCTGCATATCACCAGACACGTAGGCCATCATTTCTTCGTCTTGATCAAGGAGATCCAGGTCGCGTTGGTGGAAGCGGTCGAGGAGCGCACGGAGGAAGAATGCGAGATAGCGACTACATGCCAAGTTGATTGATCGGCCACTACCGACCGCAGCAGAAGCTTGGGCGCATACCAGCGCCGCGGCGAACTCTTGGCGGAAGAGAAAAAAAGCGCACAGCGCCAGATGTGTGTACAGAGAAGCGTTCCAGCGCATGATGCGAATAACGTGCGCCAGTCGCCAGGGCCGCGGTTGGCGAATCTTGACGCCGGTGAAGTAGCGGCAATTCGAGATGTGCTAACAGAGTCTTCCGGGTACATGCAGCGGGATATTACCCTGGCGGTGTCGAGGGCGATTGTTACGCAATAGTCGATCGCATTCGATCGATCGACATGTTGACAGTAAGGAGAGATGTTGTGACGGTGGAGGAGTAGGCGTGCGTTTTGTAGATAGATGATGGGCGCCAGGGAGCGGGGGTCGAGTTCCTCGTCGGACTGAGGGTGGAGATAGAGAGGGAAGGTTCCTAGGCAGGTGTTGAAGTGTCTTTCAAAGGTCTCGAGGGTTGCGCGGCTGAGAGTGGTGAAACGCAGGGTTCGAGTTAACTGGCCCAGAGAGCGAACAACGTGGATCGTGGCAAGTAGTGGCGTGGTCTGCTGGCCACTGGGTATGATGCCATCCTCCGTGATATACTGGTCTTCCACGGGGCAGGGAAGATCCACTTCGCAGTCTTGGTCATCGATCAAGACCGGTTTCCCCATTTCGAGAGCAAGTATTCTAGAGGGAAAAGACGATCAGTACAAGGGGAGACAAAGTTATCGGCTAGGAGAACACATACCGATCCCAGGCATAGAGACACCACCAGAGGCGTTTCCGCATTTCAGCCTCCACCGCAGACCAAGGCCCCGAGTCAACATGCAGACCGATCTCTTGGGCCACACGGACCGCGGTTCCAATCCAGACCCAGCTAGCAGATTTTGAGTTAATCTCGTAGAGAAACAGGCTGACCAACAATGAGGCTCGAGCCCGATCCAAGTTGAAAGTATCTTGCCAGATATCAATGACCGAACATGAAATGCGCAAGAACTCTTTGCCCTTTTCCTCCCGATTCGGTTCAAACGTATGAATCGCGCCACAGGCAAAGACTCCAAACAGAACCCCCGCCCACTCCTTTGACATGCCAACCAAGGTGCCCGACCGGTAAACCTGCTCATATTCCGCCGTGAACGTCGGCCAGTGAATAATGGGGAGGACAGAATGAATGCAATTGAAATATTGAGCCATGAGATGGTCTGCCGTATCTTTCGGCGGCAGCGCCGGACTATCACTTTCGACGACAGCAGGCGGGCCCGTTTGCTGATATGGCGCTGGTAGTTGGAGAATGTGACGGCCATGCTCCCGCAGGTTTTTGCGCACACTCGAGAGATCCTGGGTGAGGGGTGCTTTAGGCCTTCGCGATGGCTTGTACTCGATCCCAGGGAGCTTAATCTGGGGTTGATTGCCGCTCCCGTCGTCCAGTTCCATCATGGGCTCGGGGCGCATCGCACCTGACCGGGCCTGTTGCAACTCGCGCTTCAAACTGTGAACCTGTCGCTCCATGTCCTGTACCTGTTTAATAGACGACATGCGCCGATTGGTTTCCTTGGTGAACTGGCACCGGACTCTGCGATTGTTGCATTCGGTGCAGCTACTCGATTCCGACGCATCGCATTTCACTTTGCGCTCCCGGCACGCATCGCAGCTGGGGTCTTTTCTGCGTTGTCTGTATGCTCTCTTTTGCAGCTGAGTCTGCGTGGGCTGGCCGTGGCCGACCGGACTGGTTTGGTATATGCCCGGATTTCCGTATGGCGGCGCATCTGGAAGCCCACTATCAGCCGGCGATCCCGAAGCCGATTCATAGAATCGCGAAAAGGGAGACGTCGACGGACCGCCAGCTGGAGTAATAGGCTGCTGCGGCGGGCCTTGATGTACAGGCTGGCCCGGAGGCTGCGGCATGGGCTGTAATGGATGAGACATGCGCATCCCACTGTCCGGTCTACTAGGCGGGGCCGACAGCAAAGCTCCGGGGGCTGGAGGAAAGGCACCCGAAGTCACAGACTGTACCCGGGGCAGTTCATAGCCTCCATTTGGGTTTGAAGCCCCGGCGCGATAGGGCAGGGGATTCATCTCGACCGAAGAGTATGGGATCTAGAATCCAAGGCGCCCCCCCAAGTACCCACCGAACGATAGGAGGGAGAGGGAGAGCCTCAGATGGGATAATCTGAGAGATATGTGCGAAAATCGCCACCGGAGCCAGGAACGATGATACCTGCTGAATCCAGCTAGATGAAGCAGGCAACAAGCCGCGACGAAAAGATCCTAGCGGATAAGAACGTGCGGGACAAAATAGGCGCTATCGCCACGAGGAAAATTCCAGACCCTTTCCACCGCTTGGAATCCCAAACAGTAAACCAGGAGGAATGATTTTCATTCGAAGCAAAATGGCCGACTCCATGCGGCCATACTGATGGCAAGACAAAAAAAAAAAGATAGAATATAGAGGACCACGGGGGGGGAGGAGCCGAAGTACCGGGATGGCGGGATGGTTACAGAAAAAAAAAAAGAACCCTCCCCATAAAATCACGAAATCAGAAGGGCAATTGTAGGGAGGGGAGGTAGTAGTAGAAAACAAGGGTCAGAAGGGGAAGAAGCAAGCCACGTCGTGTAGACGTATGTCAAATCGGGGGAATGGCGTGGAGTAGAGAATGCCGAGGTTGGGGCAGATTGCGGCGAATGAGAGACGAATGAAGATCGAAGAATCTTGTGACGGGAGACGATCCAAATTGCTAGATTGGAAGATAATTGGTCGTGTGTTCCTGGCCTCTCGCAAATGCCGGACGGGAGAGAGGGAGGGAAACCAGAGGAGGCAAAAGAGAAATGCCCCAGGGCTGAAAATAGACGAAACCAAGCTCTGGTCCTGCAGAATGGTAAGGTCCGCGGAAACGATGAATAAGAGCAAGGAAATCCAAAGAGAGGGACCCGGGGGATCAGGAAAAGCAGTGCTAATCAGTACACAGTCGAGAACTTTGCCCCCCCCAAAAGGGTAGTATTCAGTGGTTAAAAAAGAAAAAAAAAAATAATAATCATAAATTTTAATAAATTAGTAAATTCTAATTTAGCACTTTCGGACTAAGGGACGTGCTATTCGGGAACAAAGAGAAAAGGAAAGAAAAAAAAAAAAAAACCCCCAAAGAAAGGGGAAAGGGAGCAGAGAAGCGCGAGCCGAAGGAACCAGATCGACAATGGCCAAGGAGCAATCCAACATGGAACTCACGAGGGTTGGGGCCACCGTTTACGAAGGATCGTATTGTCAAATCGTGGAGAGGCCGGGATTGGATTTTAGAATTTAGGTATCTTCAGCCGAAATGACGCTTTGCGCGGGCCATAATCCGAGTTCAGCCCCGACAGTTTGGGTCGGTGGAATTCTGACGAGTATAATTCTGACCATTGAGCTTGAAGATGGCAGCAATTGCCCTGTATTTCCTGCGCTAAAGGATTAAGAATATTACTTGATTGACAGTGAATAAGCACTGCTAAATTTACAAAACATCTTCTAAGCAGGGCTCCCTCCTCAATGATCCCTGAGATTTCTTACACCCGGGGATGACCGGTGATCCCTTTCAGCTGCAGGAAACAACTTTTCCCTCCCGTCTCCCCCTTCTCCCCCCCCTGTCTTCTGGGAGCTAATACCCCCAACTACAGGTATCCCGAGATCGGCGATGGGCCTTGTCGATGGATACCTGAAGCAGCGGTTACTGCAGTCGGGCTTCTGAGATGGGCCAGTGACAGCGGCTGGAGAGAAGTGGCCAATGTCCACTTGGGGCCCACTGTCGGGAATCTGGTATTTAGTAAACCTTGTAGAAGGACATCAGGGGAGAGGGGGTTTGGGATGACTCGGAATTTGGGCGAACGCGTAGTACAGCGATCCAAGTGCTTCTTAATGCACCCTACATTCGACTTGGCGGGAGAAACGGTCCACTTGGTTTGATGAGAGCACATTCATCCATCGCAAATCCAGGAGGTGCGCGTGCGCGACGATCGCCGGCGGAACATTATGCAGGGTAATGAGACAGCCGTTGACGTTGGTCTTTCCAGGGTTTTCCGGGGTTAGTTCAAATCCAAATTCACCCCCAGGGTGCAGGCAGAAATCGCCAGGTCCCATACGAGCTTGCATCTGGGGCAAGTAGGATCTCAGGGCACAGATGCTAACAGTAACTTTGGCCCGGGAGGGGAATACGGAGATCATACTAGCCAGGGTTTATGGGATGGGCAGAGTTAAGTTAAACCCCCTGAGGGTCTAAAAGTGGGACACAAGTTAGAATGACCCCCTCTTGTGCCTGCGCATCGACCTTGAGCATCACCATTTGGGTCCCCCAAGGAGGCATTGGTGGGAATTATCCCGCCACGAAGACTGAAGATCTCGGCGGGCGCCGTGCCGTGTGTACAGTTGCGATAAATTGCTGCGCCCCGTTTCATCGTTCTGCACGCCCACCGAAACAGGCATGGGGATGTCCACCCTACCGGGATTATGAAAAAAAAAAGAAGAAAAAGAAAAAGAAAGAGGAATAAAAAACGAGCCCTGATGATCGACTCGGAAGCCACGCACTGGACCACATGGAAGCCCAGCCCGGATAATGGGCCGGACGTGGGACCCGGTGACGGTGCACAGCCTCGACCAAAAGCAATTATCACCGCCGAAAAAAAAAAAACGAAAAGGGAAAAGAAAAGAGAAAAAAAAGCCAAAAGCCAATCTTTGCTGGATTCGTTCAAGCGATGGCTATGGCCGAGCACTCTCCTTCGCCAATCAGTATCAGGAGAGCAAATCACCTAGCTCTTAGCCCGAAAGTAAAAGCTGCTGCTGTGACCCTGAAGAATTGTTACTGACGAATGCTTGACCAGCTACGGAGTTCTTCCTTAAACTTTCTTTCCCCCGTTGATCCTCCGAATATAAGCGAACGTTAAGATGGTTTCAGGCCCCAGCCTTATATTACCCGCTCCCCATAAAGGGGGGAGACCCGACTGGGTGGCAAAAGGGGGCCGTAACGGCCCTGAACCTCAGCTTCAGCTCGAACGGCTTCGTTGGCCTTACCTGTACATCCAGACCGGCTTCGGGGGGGGCAAGAACCCCCTGATCCGAGCCGGATTGGCTGGAAGAACCCTAGGGAACTGCCTCGCGGAGAATAAGTCCCGAGCCGGTCGACTGGGCTCCTGAATCTCATAAGCTTGTATGATTCTATATGGTCACAAGGCTTGCCGCGAGGCAGGCGCCCGTGCTGCGGGATGCAGCAAACACGGGCGCTATGAGGGGGCCCAGCGCCGCCCTCCCCCTCCCCCCCCCCGGTAGGGCTCGAGCTCCGGTGCGATCCTTGCCCTCGGGGGCTAATCTGCTACTTCTCCGCTCTACTGTGTATTTCGCTCACGTTCACCCCAATGTCAACCTAGCGTGCGAGTGGCCAATATCCCAAGTACTCGATACGACCTCCCCACACCTTTGGGGCTCCACGGTAAGGTGAATGCCGACTGCTTCGATTCCGAAATGAAGATAAGGGACGAAGGGGAGGGGCGGCTGCCTCTGTAGTTGGATGGCTCCTTGAGCCGTCCCAAGCCCTAGGATTGCCCTTATTTGACCCCTCCCGAGCTAAGAACCGCACTACTGTCGCCACGGCTCGCCAATTTTTAAATCCTTCAGACCAATGATCTCGGGCGATTGATTAGTAGAAGCGAGTATGGCCAGGTGGAGTAGGCTGCGAGCGTACTTTAGACCGGTAATATGCCATAATGTACCACAAGAACGCTGGATCGGGGGCGGCTGAGAATTCGGTTCGTGCCGCGGTCGCTCCGATGAAAGTCTTCCTGCAGGAGGACGGCGCACGGGCTTGTCCAATATTTTGTTTTTTGATGTTCTCGCTTTCCTGTTTAGGACCCGTTGCCCGCTTGGCAAACATCAAACCCGTTGCTTTTCTTGATACGCATTCAGCCGTATTATGTAGTACTGGCTTGCGCTGAATGACAGGCCTGACTCGTGTGACGCACACTAGACGGAAATATGTTCCGTCTCAATATGGGCGCGGTCATGAGGAGCGCAACTGAATGTGAATATTTCCCTCACCCCCAACCGTGTCCTGCATTCGTGCTTGCATCCTCCCCGTACGGGCTCCACCCAGTACATTTTCAATCTAATTCATCCTGCCCTGACAACGCTCCCCTACCGGTCTCCACCAATTGCATTGGCCTTGGCTGACTGAAATGTGATCGGGCTGCTACGATCGTCGCTGTGCTTCCCGGTTCCATCGCGGAACCCCATCTTCAGATGCGTAGGAAACTCAATCGGCAGTGAAGCTCAAGCACCTCCCGAAGTCACTTGACGGTCCTTCGCTTAGTCCTGGTTTTGACATCGCCAATTCGAGTCTATCTGGGAAGACCCACCGCGGCACACGATCCGAACAAGATGAAACACCATCGGACTACAGCCGAGTCCTTCCGATTTGGCCTCGCCGATTGAAACGCCCTGTATCTGAGACCGGAGTACGGAGCAGGCCGCATACTAAATCGCGGGATGTCCGTTTATTTCATTGCTTGGCTCTGAAGGATGACGTACCAAGCTCGCCTATATGGACTAACACTGCACCCAGGACGCACCACAACGCTTGGTAATATCGCTAACGATTCCGTGCGCCATATAGCGTTACCACAAAAATCGAGCGAAGGTAACGTAGCCTTTCGACTAGCGTCATCCCGTGGAGAAAAAACGAAAGAGCTCTTGATCGCCATGGGTCTACCTAGACCGGAGAACCCTGTTCCAGCCCCAGTCGACACACCGGGGCAGCGGAACGAAAAGGACCACATAAAGTAGCATTCATTCCCCGATAAATCCCCGAGCCTTGGCAAGAAGAAAGGATCTTCTAGTATTGCCTAACTGCATACGCACGCCGGAACATAGCATTGACCCCGGTGAGATAGTATGTACCCTTGGCAAGGGTCTCGATATTGTCCACCGGCGTGTAGTTCGTCTGCTGGTTTGCGCCTTCACGCACCCGACACATCGATGCCATCTTAGCTCCTAGTCCGTGCATGTCGCGCCTACGCACGATTACTAAAAACGAGGTTCTCAGGCCGCGTACCTCGTAGAACTGCACAGAAACGCTCTTTCGGCTATCTAATCGATTGTGTAGATCGAGCCTCTCGGGCAAGCACACCAACATCGCCCACGACGTGCAGATAGAAGACCATACCTGTGAGCCCCCGATGCTGAATGCCCCAATCCCGGGACCGAGAAGATCACTGCTCGGTATCTTGCTGGCGAAAACTCCGTGAATAATCTCTCTAGAGCTTCGTAGTCGAAGGACGCCTCGTAGGGTTCTCTGCGAATTATCGAAAAGTTGTTCCTGGGACTGAATAGTGGGTTTTCGGGTACGGCTAGGAAGTCATTGTCATGGAGCCGACCATATGCCTTCGCTATTAGTTTGCAATGTGGCACATGGAAGACAAAGAAGTCAAATTCGTCCACCGGAAGCTTGGTAGAAAGAGGACCATCTTCGTCACCCTCGCTGGTTCTTCGATTGCGTATCTTAGCCTGGGTATCGTTGGTAGCACCCAACGCCTGGAGGTAACACCGGGATGAATAATGACCGTCAACAACGGGGTGCTCGCGCTTCAAGTCCGGCTTATAGAAGTCATAGGTATGGGCTATACAAGATGCTTGTAGAGGCTCCCCGACAAGGGGTGTATGAGGTCCAATTAACATGGCTACACGCCCGGCACTCAGCAATACGTCCGTCCCGCTGTAAGAGGAGACTGCTGAGTACGAGCGAATGGACATCTGGGACGACACCCATTGATAGTTAGCCTGACATTTCAGGTCTGGCGATGCATGTAAGTTTCATATATTGAGTCTCGGTGGCCTTTACTCACCTTTCGGTCATCACAAAAGCTTATAGCCGTTTGGCCAAGTCCGATTGTGGAATTTCCGGTGTAAGCATGAAGGAATTCCTCCAACTCGGCCTGGGAGCCATACTAGTAAATCATTAGTGGTTGTTGTGAAGGCTCATCAGCGGAAACATACTCCGCTTGGGAAGTATATTCGATAGCCTTGATGCCAACGTTTCGGGGAGCCATGGTTTCAGAGTCTAGAGTGATTGCCGGTGATTGAGATTGAGCCTATTGTGGAACGCCTTGAGGTTCCAAAGGGCATCCAAGTTGCTATCTTTTCAGTCTCTATTTATATAGCAAGATCGTGGGTCGAAGTTTGCTAAGCAGACAATTTAGCCCGAACTTAGGGAACAATCTATCAGTGGCCGTTGTGCAAGACGCCATACAGAAAAGTGAGATTCCGCTCAGCCGAGAGATACCTATCAGCACTACTACAGCCTAGGAAACCAATTTGAGATCTGTCATGAACTCTGCACCATCGACAGGGTCCTGGTATGCACAATACTCGTCGATAAAAGCCACGCCGGCGGACAGTGCATTTGGAAATAAATCCTCACAAAATTCAGCTAATAGATCGAAATATATGCGTTGTTCTGGTGCTGGGATAGCTCTGCCTAGGTATGTTCAGCAAGAGACAGAATGAACATGACGGCAAACAAGCTATCGTGGGAATGGGCGATCACCAAAACGTGCTGGGATATCCACAAATCCTTCCAAGCCCCCAGATATTACGGAATGTATGCGCAACTTTCCTTTGGACCTTGATGATAACATCGGACTGCGATTTGGCATCGCTTTTGGCTCAATTCGATTTGATGCTATTGCTCCATCCTTACAACTAGTAGTAATTATTGCTTTCTTCCGGAAGTATATCTCTCTGCGATGACATCGACTATCTTCTTGAGTCCTTCCATTTCCTCCTCCACTGTGAGGCCAAGCCCGTTGGGGTCGATACTACATCCGACATAGACAGGTTTGTCAATACGGCGGGCAATGATTTTAGCCACACGGGTTGTGTACTCAATACTGGATGGAACGGTGTAGAGTGTTGTGGAAATGGTAGATTTTGAGTGTGTTCGCTGGGAAACAGTCAGCAATCCGATAAACAGGAATGTGGGTGATTTGCATATGTGAGCAAAACCAGTTGACTCGGAGTCCAGACGACAAGGTCCCAGAATACTCTCACTTCTCCGTGTAAAATACCTGAGGTTCTTAGCCACATTTCTCCAATTGAAATCGAGGCTTAATATCCAATTCCGGTCATGTTATGACTCCGAGTCTGAAAGGGAAGGGGAGGAACATCTCTAAGACGCTGGTACACGGAGTCATATAATATGGGAAAAGAGAATCTTACATCGGGCATCGCATAGACGAAGCTGCCCAGAGGCTTGAAGGACCCTGCCGAGTCTCCAGGAGTTGAGGTTGTGATGAAGACCGTCGCGCAGCGCTCCAAGGCCGTCAAATGAATATGTGCTGTGGTATGAAGTGCTTTTGGAAGTGCAAACGAAATCTCTTGGGGCTTGAAACCGGGAGGAACAAGCTCTGTCTGCGGGATGGCCGCATTCGATGCCGCATCCATGCTTGATATTCCCAAAGCTGGGGATGTTGAATAACGATTCGCTCAGATCGCTGGGGTTCGAAGCCAGAGATGGTGGTGGAAGACTAGGTGAACATCAAACCCCCCGGCGGCGGCAAAACAGACGCGGCTCCACCAATCTCACTCCCGCTTTTGCTTCCCGCCGCACACACATTCCCCACGGGATCGACGGTTCTGCTGGCAGCAACAAACTTGTACATTAAGGTACCTGGAGGTTTGCGCTGGATCTCTGTCTCCTTCAGGCCCTCGCGATGATGGGCTCTCAGACCATCCTCGCCCGGGGACGAGGAGCGCAGCTGGGCTGGAGACTATGACCCTTTTGCAGACCCGGAGGAACGACGAGTGCTCTTCGCGGCCTTCGACTCGTTTAGGTGAGTTGGAATGTTTCATGTATTTTTTTTTCTTTGTGGTGGTATGAAAACCTGGGGATGGATAGTTTACTGATAAACTTTCTACAGACAATATCGGCGAACGGCTCATATGAATACTACTCATCGCCGCCGTCAAGCTTTCTATGCTCTCCCTTCAGCTCACTGGCAGATGCTAGCTGAGCCGCCGTTCTCGATCTTGGATCAGTTCAGCAAAGTGGATGATGCGATTGACAATAACGCGGAAATTGCAGACATGATCGTTGCCGTTGGCCTCGAATCCTTCGGTCTGAGTGCGGAGCCAGACCAAGATGATCCGATGCAAAACTGGCATGGAAAGGCAAACACATCTGATGTCAACAAGGCACATTCCACGATCCGACAGTTCTACCGTGACTGGAGCGCCGAAGGTCGTGCCGAGCGGGAAGTATGCTACGATCCTGTGCTCCAAGATCTTCGAAATGAATTCCAGTCTCGGCGGGATGCCGGAGAAGAGATTCGCGTGTTAGTTCCTGGCGCCGGACTTGGCCGGCTAGTTTTTGATATCTGTATGGCCGGATATTCCGCCGAGGGCAATGAAATCTCGTACCACCAGCTGTTAGCCAGCAGTTGGGTCCTCAATCGCACCAGCGGGCCAGAGGCGCACGCCCTGTACCCCTTCGCGCTACACTTTTCTAACCTGAAGTCTCGAGAGCAGCAGTTGAAGCGCGTCCTGATCCCCGATGTCCACCCCGGAACGGCCATGCAGGAGGCGGCAGCCTCCGAAGGACGCCAGCCCATGGGGTCGATGTCGATGTCAGCGGCTGACTTTGTGGTGCTGTACAGCCAAGCTGATCAACATGAGGCGTTTCACGCGGTTGCAACGGTCTTCTTTATTGACACGGCGCCTAATCTCATCAGGTATATCGAGGCCATCCGAAACAGCCTTAAGCCCGACGGACTCTGGATCAATGTGGGACCATTACTGTGGCATTTTGAGGACGGGCACCCGCGCAAGGACAACTCGGACGACAGTGCCACAGGGATCGGAGAGCCGGGAAACGTGGAGTTGACGGAGGAGGAAGTCCTGCTATTGATTGAACGCATGGGCTTCCACGTCGAATCGCGACCCGGCGATCGGCAGACATGCGGCTACATTCAGGACCCAGAGAGCATGCTCCAGAACTCGTACCACCCGTCGCATTGGGTAGCGCGAAAGGTGGTCCCCTTAGGCTCAACCGTAGCCGCCTAGGATGCACTCGGATGTACATGGGCGTATATGGGATCCTCTACTATACCCTTAAGGTGCCAGTTAAACTATAACAGATTTCATATACCATAGCCCATGGGATAGCTGCAAAAAGTCCCTCGACTGTTTTCAAGGCCCCCCCGGATCTCCCGTAGCGTTGGGTAGTGTGGTGGCCATTGTCCCTTTTAGTCTTTCTGCACGGCCTCATATTGGGGGCCAAATGGGTAACAAAGGAACGCGCTAAACTGGCTGGACCAGCATCCACCTGTTTTGGTGGGCCAGGACACAAAGGCGAAGCAGGCAGAGGATAATAATAGACCAAGACGAAGGGCTCAACTAGGCTACGGCCATGATTGCACCTAGGGGGGGGGAGGGGAAAGTTCATCAACGGAGGACTTGAATTGGGGCTTGAATGAGGGGCTTTGCAGCTCTCCCTTAGTCACCGCAGCCACGAGGATGCCGCTTCCAACCCCAGTAACAAAGTCAGCATGCCCAGGTACTCAGCTGCCCATAATGAACAGTATGCAATATCAAGTCACACAGCACCGGTACCAAGTATTGTATCGAATGTAACAGAAGTATCGTATAGAGTACAGGTATATTGGCGCCTCCCGGTATACAAGTACTGCGGGTACTGCCAATACTGCTATTACTGCTGGTACTACTCTAAATTGCTGGCTTTCTATAGAAAACCCGGTTTCACTCTAACCAATTGATATACAATGTATATATCAGAGGCCCTCGAGTCCAAAAGCCTTCACTCGTGGAGTTGCTTCTTTGCTCTTCAGCCTCAGAGCTGATCCCTTCCACCCCCCTTGATGATCCTCCCTTTCAAATTCCCTAAATTCCCCCTCCAAATCCCATGAACTCTCGTCCCCTCGGGCTGACAAGATATCGCTCCACACGTTTCTGACTCGTATTCAGCCTTGTTCCTTTTCACACTAAGCCCCCCCTCCCCACTCCCCTTCCCTTTTCCCATTTCTTTCTTCTTCCTAGCCCTTCGTTTTGCGGTCGCCGCATATGGACCTCATGAACGCCAGATTCAAGTTTGGATTCAAGAGAACTGGCAAAGACAACAAGACCTCTTCGTCTCCCACTCCCAGCCACCCCAACCCTGTCGCTACTCCTTCCAACGGCACGTCTCCTACCTCACCCCCGTCAAACCGTAGCTCCTCCACCACCAGCCTCCCCGCTCCTTTGAACACACAACCCGCCCGCCCGCCAAGTTACGCTGTCAACAATCGCCCAACAAGCCCCTTGGCTCCGGGTCAGCTTGTGCAACAGCCCGCCTCTCTCAATCCTCAAGGTCTTCCATACGCCCAACCAGGCGCCCCGCAACAAATGAACGGCCCCCCCCGGATACGGGATGCACGGCCAACCCATGGGCCACGGCATCCCCTCAAATATGCCGCAGTACGGCCGCAACCCCGTCGCCGAGATCCACGGCGGTGATCGCGCCAACAAGGCCCAACTTATCGTCGGTATCGATTTCGGTACCACCTTCTCCGGCGTTGCCTTCGCTTTCGCAACCAACAGCGAAGCTCGCGAGGACATCATCACCGAGTGGCCGGGTGCTGGTACCCATACTAAGCAGAAGGTAAGTACATAAGAAAAGTGCGGGCAAGACCCCCCCCATCCCCAGAGCGGGGCAAACCGTCATTCGTGCGTGTCTAACAATTCATCTTCCAATCGACCAGATCCCTACTGTTCTGTATTACGACCAGTATCAGAAAGTGGTGGGATGGGGTCCCGATATCGCTGAGGCGCTGGCGCCCACGGGCTACCCCAAGCCGGGTGTGCAAAAGGTTGAGTGGTTCAAGCTTCAACTGATGCTTTCCGGAAACACCTATATCGACCCCATCAACCTGCCCCCACTTCCCCCGGGAAGTCGGAAATCGATGTCGCCGCCGACTACCTGTTCAAGCTTCGCCAGGCGATGCGCGCGCAGCTCCAGAAGACCCTGGGTGAGGTGTTTACCCGTGAAGAGCGCAACATCCGCTACTACCTGACCGTGCCAGCCATCTGGAATGATGCTGGTAAGGCAGCCACCCGTGCTGCTGCGATCCAGGCTGGCTTCTTACGGGATGAGAACGACAATCGTCTGACTCTGGTCTCGGAGCCAGAGGCTGCAGCTATCTTCTGCGCCAAGTCGGGCTTGCTTAACTTGAAGATTGGAGATGCTATTCTGATTGTGGATTGTGGCGGTGGTACGGTGGATTTGATTGCATACGAGGTCGAGGAACAATCGCCATTTAGTGTGATGGAATGTACTGCCGGATCTGGTGACTCGTGTGGTTCGACCGCGTTGAACCGCAACTTCTCTAATATTCTGCGGGCCAAGATCCGTAAGATGAAATTGCCCGATGGATCTCGGGTTGCAGGCAAGGTGTATGCCAAGTGTATTATGGACTTTGAGAACCGTATCAAGGCTGATTTCCGCAACAACGGTCAAAAATGGGCTGTGGATGTCGGCATTGAGGCCGATTTCCCCGATGCCGGAATTGAGGAGGGTTATATGACTTTCACCAACGAGGAAATCCTCCAGTGCTTCGAGCCTGTGGTGAACCGCATCCTTGAGCTGGTCCGAAACCAAATTATAGCTATCCAAGCTCAAAACCGTTTGCTTCAGGTAAGTCCGAGTCGTTACGTTGGGCCAATTCCCCGGCTTCATGCCTATCTAACTTGTCGTAGAATGTGTTGGTTGTTGGTGGGTTCGGTGCTTCCGAGTACCTCTTCCAGCAGATCAAGCTCCACGTGCCACCACAATACCAGACGAAGGTTGTTCGCCCTATGGACTCGGTGGCCGCCATTGTCAAGGGTGCGGTGACAGCTGGTATTACCGAGCGAGTGGTTACTCATCGTGTCGCTCGTCGTCACTACCTGATGGCTACTCTGCAGCCATTCAAGGAGGGATACCACCCTGAACAGTACCGAGTGCCTAGTTTGGATGGCCGAGACCGATGCAAATACACTCGCCAGATCTTTGTTCAGAAGGGTGAGCGTGTCAAGATCGGAGAGCCTGTCAAGGTTAGCTTCTTCCGTCAAGTTGCGCCCGGCGCTACCTTGATGTATGAGGATGTGCTCTATGCCTGTGACGAAGACGTCTGCCCCGAGTATACCAAGGACCCCCGTAAGTCATTGAAGATTATTCATTGATCTATCTGAAAACTGCTCCCCCAAACCATTCTGACCATCTTCCACAGGTATCAAGGAAGTTGTCACTCTCACCTCGGATCTATCCCGCAAGAACCTCGAGACCGATTTTGAGCGCATGGACACACCGCAGGGGATCTTCTACCGTGTTTACTTCGACATCTACCTCACCCTGGACGGCAGTGAGTTCAGCGCCGAGCTGGTCTGCCAAAACGAAATCATGGGACGCTGCCGTGCCAAGTTCCGGTAATCCCCCCCCAAAAAGGCCATATATGCTGAACAAGGCATTCCCTCAGGAACTTGAAAAAGATCACCCTGGAAAACCATTTCCCAGCCAAACAGGGCAGCGAGAAAAATGATCCTATAGTACACTACGGAAGCCGTATTTTTACAATTGTATCCGTGAACGTAGAAACGGAATCAACGGAGGCAGGACGTTCTGGCTTTGTTATTTCATTTCACTTTTCTTTTTCGGGATGACCAAAGCCTTCCTTTGACCGATTCGGACAGCACTGCACATCGGAGAATGGGCGTTTTTGATGATTCATGTCGAATCCTTTCCCTTCCCTACATACCCGCCACATGCTTTTTGATAGGTTATCTCTTGAGCGATTGCCTAATGTCCATTGCTTTCTTCTTCCTCTGGCCCTGTTAGATACCTCTTTTTATTTGACTTGAATGATATTGATGAGACGTGGCTCAATGTATAATTCGTGTAGACCGGTGTTGATAGATTAAAGTTACAGGCACAACTTGCCTCGGAATCCTGAGTTATCTGCTCGGATGGAGATATCTTTGCCATGACGGGTATTCGAGTTTTGGACTATTTTCTTTCTTTTTCTTTTTTTTAATTCGCAGGATACATCAATGCTCTTCGTAAATGTGGAAACACTCAAGTCTCCAGATTGATACTGCGACCAAATCGTGCATACAGCGCCACCTTGAGTTGTTGCAGCTCGTCGCGTAGCTCGCCGAGCGTATCCTCGAGCTTCGAAACATCAGCATCGATTTGCTCGGTCGATGAAGCGAGCATGGACTGGGCATCGGCGAGGGGGAGCTGGAAGAACGAGTCGCCAATCTTGTAACTGGAATGGGGGGGGTTCAGTATACAGTCTCCCAGAAAGACGGAGATCGCTAGGATATAAAATCACAGGAGAGATGGACTTACGGCACCAGATCATCCTCGTCGGCGAGCTCAAGTTCCATAGAGACTTCCTCCAGGTCCTCCTTATCCTTCTGTAGTCACCGATCTCTGTCAGCATACGTCCTAGCCATTTGCCTCATGGGCCAGGTTATAAGCGCGAGGGTATTCTTGCGAGATGCTGTCTCACAGCCGGACCACGCATGAAACCCCCATCGACGGCCCGTAAACGCACCTGTTTGCTCTTCAATTGCTCCTCCACCAGAGTTTCGCGCTGATGCAGACGGCTGAAGCGATTGATCTTCTCCTGGTCCTCGCGACGGACCTCGTTCTCGTTGCCTCCCGCGGAGCTCTCGTCCTCTGTTGATAACTATCGTGTGTGTCAGTGCTGTTTCGAATGTTCGCGGGGTCGCGGGATAGTATGTGGTCGCGGGCGCGGGGCACTGTTCACGCGGTTCTCTTCGTGCAGCAAGACCCAAGGTTGGGGAACTGACCATTCGTGGTTGTAGCATTGTGTTGGATGTGTCTGTGAGACCGAGGATTGATCACCGAGGAAGGGTCTCTGGGGGACTCGGGCAGCTCGTGGCTTGAAGTGGATTTGAAAGTTGGTGGTCTGTGCGCCCCGTCATACGTGCGGCTGTGGTCGAGGGACTTTTGTGGCTTGATTTTCAAGTTGAAGTACAGATAGGACTAAGTGGGACGTACAATTGGATTGGCCTATGGGGAATTTGGCTATAGTAATCTAAATATTGTTTGTCCAAGATCAACTGGGGCCCTGAGGTCATTGGCACCATACCATGCAAAAGTTCAAGTTCCAAACGGTGCGCGCGAGGATTGGATCCGAGAGCATAAAGCACTGGTTGGAGAACTTTAATATTGGATGTAAATGTGCATGGTCGATGCTTTTTTGGGGGGAAACCGGGGTTATTCCGATCGGATTGGTGTTGGTGAACTACCGCCAGAGTCGTACAATTCGTTATCCACTTCTATCGAGGTTCGTCCCTGTTCGATTTCCCGCCAACCACAGCGGTATACCAGTACCACCCTAATTAGGTCAACACCACCCGAATCAACATCACTGAAGCTGCTCCAATTATTGCGGCTTATTATAGGATAGCCCGCAGTCCTATGTTTAATCCACGCCCACGGAAATAACAATCTACCCTCCAAACCGGCGCGAGGTGCTGCAAGGTGTATTAAGCAGCACACAAGGGCTCCGAACGTCTGGAATGTGGACGCCTGGGGGTGACATCATGTAGATCCAACAAGACAGCGCAGAGGCTCCTCAAACTAAATAGCTTGCATCCCTCCTACAAGCTATTTTGAGACACGCGGGTCTTTAGGCTCGGCATCTTGGACCTGATCCGCGGCGACGCGTAACCACCGACAACATGCGTCAGGGCTGCGGGCGGCCGCCTGGTGATTGGCGCGATTGGGCTCTCCTCGCTGCTGGCATCGGGCTCTGGTCAATCTCAATCCCTGCATGGACTGAAAAAAAATATGGGTGGGCATCAGTTGGTAAATCCAAGCTAAGCCAATAAGTGCTCAGGTAGGGAGGAATGAGCAATGAGCTCACTGGACCCGTTTCGCATCTAACTCCACCATGCTACTTGGGCCCCGTTGCCACCCTGCTTCTTGTCGTTGCGACTCCGACAGATAAATAGATAAACACTTTTATCGCCATGCGAACATTCCACGAAAAGGTCCCTTGGTAATTTAGTGAACTTGCTCAGGCCCAGAGATCAACTCATCAGCTCACTAAATTTACGAAAAAAAAAAATACTATCGAAGGATTGGTAACTCCTCCATCGCCCAGCTGGTACTTGTTTCCGATCAAATGCATGCCTCGAGCTATTAACTAATCGACGTTGACTTGTCTATTTCTGCGGGGGGGCTTACTCTTTTGACTTTCTCCCTCGCGCTTTCTGTTTCTGTATCTCTTTGCACCTGCCTGGTTTCTCCAGCAAACGAAAATCATGCGATACCCAGAGCAATACCCCGGTCAAGCGGATGACTATAGTCGCTTCAGCACAGGGACCACGCAAATGCCTCCGTTCAACTCGAACAATTACGCCCCTGCGACGTACAACGTCCCACAAGCTCCTCCCAACCCGCCCAAATACTCCGAGGTGATCGGAGTAGAAGAGGAGGTGTACCGGCCATGGTATGACCCACGAGGATGGTCCCTCCGCAAGAAACTGATCGTCGCGGGCTGCATCGTGGTTGTGATTATCGTCGTGATAGTCGGTGGGTACGAAGGGTGGAAAGTCAATCGATACCCCAACTATTCCAAGATCGATTATAAACTGGTAGACACCTATGCCGGGTCGGGCTTCTTCGACAATTTCCAGTATTTCTCGGCAGCAGACCCTACTGGCGGCTTCGTTCAGTATGTTTCTTCTCAATCCCTTCGGGTAGCCCCCTTCTAGCTAACCAGATGCAAAGTTACTTGGATGCCCAAGCGGCGCAGGGGAGCAATCTCACCTACGCATCGGATACTTCCGCCATAATCAAGGTCGATACCAACCCAGGCAATCAGACCACCGGGCGCAACTCGGTTCGAATCACTTCCAACAAGCAGTATAATGATGGGCTGTTCATCTTCGATATTGTGCACACGCCTTACGGCTGTGGGACTTGGCCAGCCTTGTGGCTGACCGATCCCAGCAATTGGCCCGAGAATGGTGAAATTGATGTCTTGGAGTCGAACAACAAAGGGACACATGGAAATTCAATGACGCTGCATACAAGCAAAGGATGCAAGATGGATGTTAAGCGCAAGGAGACGGGAAGCGTTCATTACACAGATTGTCTTAATACTGCGAATGACAATGCCGGCTGTGGTGTGGCAGGGAAGCCAGCGACCTACGGAGAAGAATTCAACAACAATGGCGGTGGAGTAAGAAAAACATTCTTCCACAGATAGTTGCTGGTATTGCAGCTTTTGCTAACAGTGGACCCCAGGTCTATGCAATGGAGCTCCGAGAAGCCGGGATTCGGGTCTGGATGTGGGCTCGCAGCGATATCCCATCCGATGTCTCAGGGTCGAGCAGCCCCGACCCTTCGAGCTGGGGTGAAGCCCTAGCCGACTTCCCCAGCACGGAATGTGACATCCGTTCCCATTTCAAAAACCAGAGTATCGTTGCAAATATCGATATCTGCGGCGAAATGGCGGGGGCGCCCTCGTACTATACCACGCAGAACGAATGCCCGGGCCTCTGCACCCAGTTTGCGGCAGAGAACGGGGGAAACTTCACGGATGCCTACTGGGAGTTTAACAGTTTCAAGGTGTATCAAGCAGCTTAGTGTTTCATCTTCTTTTGATACCCCCCTTGTGAATGATAATGATTGAATGCGTGCTTAGTTGAATCCGAAGGGCATTCCATTGACCCGGACTCCCAGATAACTCGGCAAAACATGTAAGCTGTTGAGACCAGCATTGCATAGGATATCGATCAAACTTTGGGCATTTTCCAACGCCCTTCATGACTCGGACCAATGTAGAAAAAGGATGGATGCATAAAGAGGACTACCCCCACTCTTGTCGGCGATACCCCGACTTCGCCGACAGAAGGACCAGAAGGACCATTACATTTTACAACGTAATTTAAACACGATTCACCAATCCTCACAAGGTCCCACCATGAACATCCCGAATCTGCCCCCGTTCCAATCCCATGGCGCAATCCAGCCTATCACCTGCGTGGAAATGCACACAGCAGGCGAACCAACCCGCATAATATGGACCGGCTTCCCAAACCTAACAGGCACCCTCCTCGAACAACGCGAGCAAGCCAAAGCAAAGCATGACGACTTCCGCCGCCTGCTCATGCTCGAGCCCCGAGGGCACTACGACATGTACGGCGCCATCCTCTGTCCAGAAACGGAACTCGTCGACGCCGGCCAAGCCGATATAGGCGTGCTGTTCATGCACAACGACGGCTTCTCGACCATGTGCGGCCACGCGACGATTGCTTTGGGCCGGTTCCTGGTCGACGCCGACGAGGCGGTCTTCCCTCGACGCCAACAGCTCGAACGTGACCGCCGCACGGGGACCACGAGCGTCAAGCTCCATGCGCCGTGTGGAGTAGTCGAGATCACCGTTCCCACCCTGGCGTCTGGGCAATCGGATCCCGCGCGGCCGGTCTCTTTTGTCTCGGTGCCGTCGTTCGCGACCGCGCTGTCGCTGACGGTCGAGCTACCCGAGACCCACCGCTGGCCTGAACTGCAGGGGCGGACGTCTGTGACCGCGGACTTTGCGTACGGAGGGGCGTACTACTGCCTCGTCGGGGCCGCGGAGCTGGGATTCCCGCACGGTCTCGCCGCATTCGATCTCCCGAGCATGGACCGTGCGACCAGGCTGCTGAAAGATGCGGTGATCTCGAATCCCGATCTGGAATATGTGTACGCCGATGTTGAGACCGGCGAGCCGGGCTTTCTGTACAGTATCATGATCACGGATAAGAGCATGGGACTGGTCAAAGCGGCCGAGAATACGGCAACCTGCCGCGCGCAACAAGGTGTTGCCAGCGAAGAAACAGGGCTATGCTTCTTTGCGAATCAGCAGATTGATCGATCGCCTACGGGTGGCTGTGTGGCAGCGCGGGTGGCTCTCGCCCATGCCAAGGGGGACCTTGGTTTCGCGGAGAAACGGATGTATAATTCTCTGGTCACACGGGGATACAAGGGTGTACCGGGGTTTGTGGGGTCTGCGGTTGATCAGGCGGGAAAGAAGCAGTCGATTCGAGTGAAGGTCGAGGGTTATGCGTATTACACGGGGTATCATGCATTTGTGCTTGAAAAGGAGGACGGCATTGGGCTCGATGGGTTCTCGCTCAAGGATCTCAAGTTACAATGATTCGCCATTCGGTCAGGTTACAGCCTTACAAAAAGAGATACGAAAACGATTCGCAATACGCTATTATGCGTTCATGGTAGAGACGTTATGGCTTTTTGAAAGATGTGTGATTTGTAACGGGGACAAAGTAGCGCGAACAAAAGAAAACCGAGCCTGTTTTGCGAAGGAAAATGGAGATGAAATATTGTACATCAGATTTGAGGGATGGACAAGGTCTTTATAGTAAAATAATTCTCAGCGGGGGTTAATCTCTATCATCCTCTTTCAGCCATAACAGACGAGTTCTCTATTTGGCAAGCTCAACACCGGCGGTGGCACCGAGAGCCTTCTTGATGTCACCGTAGATGGCGAACTGACCGGCAGTGATACCACCGACCATGAACAGACGGGCACCGATACCGCTGTAAGAGCCACGGATACCGAGCTCCTTGGCGATCTTGAGCAGACGGGTGGTGGTGCCCTCACCGGGGAGACCTGGGGTCTTGTTGATCTTAGAGAGCATGGTGTCGGCGGGCTGGGAGATGATAGCGGCGGCGAGACCAGCAATCAGACCGGAGCCAAGGTTAATAGCAGTAGCGGTGCTGCCGGAGACGGAGTTCTTGTCGACGGTGGCGTAGATGGCCTCGGAGACCTTCTCGAAGACGACGAACTTGGCCATGGTGTAGGGGACCCTAGATGCCGCATTGTCTTAGTATAAACCACGTTTCGCAAAATTCTTCTCTTTTCGGAGCAAACTCACTGCTTGAACAGGATGGGTCCGAATCCAGAGTAGAAAGCACCGATACCCTCCTGGCTGGCGATCTTGGTGAAACCGCTGACCAGGCCGGAGGCGAAGGTGGGCTGGGAAACGAGACGGATACGGGTAGCCTCGAGAGGGCAGAGACCGATGTCAGCGACGAACTCGGCAGCGGCCGAGGAGGCGAGGTAGACAGCGGTGCGGTTGTCGGTGGCGGTCTCAAGGCCAACCAGGTTGATGGACTGCTGCTTGAAGAACTCGTATCCACCGAACTTCAGGGCGCCCTGAAGGAAGTAACCGGCAGCGGCAGGGCCGAAACCGGTCAGCAGGGCGCCAGCACCCTCATTCTATGTGGAGTTAGAGACCAACGCTGCCCATTTCCTTTGGTCCGGGGAGGCCTCTCGGCTTCCCCGGCGGTTTATAGAAGACTTACCTGGATAACCTGACGGAAACCACCGATCATTCCACGGTTGTAGGTGACAGGGTCGAGCTGGATACGAGTCTTAACGACATCGAGAGGAGTGGCAGCACCGTGGGTGACCTGAGAGATATCAGTATATGGCTAATGTGGAGGCAACGTTCGGTCGGCGTGATGAGCGTGGATTTGGCGGCAGAGCAGTGAGCCTCGAGGAGCAGCAGTCGCTCCGTCCGGTTCGAAAAGGACTCGAATTTGGTATGATAGGCCTTTCGAATCGGGAGTCCGAGGCAACACGATATGCATAACATGCATACACCTCGAAGCATCTCACTCCGACGCCACCGGCTCCAACAGCACGCGATGGGTACTCACAGCACAGCAGACAGCACCTGTGATTTTCGCAATCAGTTCAATGTCCAACTTCTCTGTGGAAATGATCGCGAGGCGCGACCGCATGGCGCTTATGGGATAGACGTACCAGCGAAGGCGAATCGGGAGTAGAGGTCAATGCCCTCAGGCTTCTTCTCGGTGACCTTCTCGGTGATCGCAGCCATTGTGATAAGAGTGGGGAGGTGGAAGTTCGTAGAGACCCGAATAGGACGGAAAAAAAAAAGAAGAGAAGAATCTCGCCTGAAGCTCTGGGAGGAAGAAAGGAGATTTCAAGGGATGGACCCGCAGACTTTTCGTGCCCGGACCGTGCTTCGGCAGGAGACGGGCGAGCCCGGCACCGCCTTAAGTCCGGCACCCATTAGAACTGAGCATCCCCCGACCATAGTGCACTGATGCATAAAGGCATTAAAATCCTCTTGTACAGAATAGTCCGTGAGAATCGAGTCTACAGATATACTGGGGATACTTATATACGCCATGACGGATGAAACATCGGGACCGGGATCCAAAACAAACTGCTCGTAACCGCCTGAGAACCTTGGGATCCATGCGATCCCGCACATATTCTACTGCGTACACTCTTTGTGCCTGTAACGTCAGAGTGGACACCTGGCCGTAACGGGCTCTGCGACCGCCCTGTTTTGATGCGAACCTAGCCCCACCGGTTCTCCACCAATAACCATTCGTCATTCGCCAGCGTCCCGCTTTCGATGCCATGATTGGCCAACTAACCGCACAGCATCCGGATGTCCGGCCACATCTACGCAGTATAGCCGTGGTATTCTACGGTACTAGATGCCCGTTAAGGTGAAGGCTATATGAATATATATATCTTGAAACACATACAGTCGAGCAATGGGAATTTCGCTGACTGCCTGCAACAGTCCGTGGATAGCCAGAAGTTGGAAACCGACTTTTCGATCACTTCATCGCTTGGCGACTTGATAACCGGGAATCGAACAATAACCTCGATACATTGAATGGCTATATGTTATGAACGAAAGAATCACGTGATTGACACTACTATTTGATCGCGACACGAGTCATTTTTTGGAGGACGTTCATTAGTGGATACTAGTCGATCTTTGAGAACCTAAAACCAGGACACCGGTTGCCGCACGGTGAGCAGATCTTTCGTGTCCTTAGCAGTGCGCTGTACAACTTCTTCCATTCCGCTCTCCGCACCAAGGCTAACTCATATACGGGCACCCTGGCATAACTATCCCCGTAACATACGACGACCAGTAGGACCATCCCGCGGGGCGCAGGTGGCTTTTGAATTTACGGGGATGAACATATGTAGTATCCCTCGAAAGTCAAAATATGAATGTCTCCACCTGAGCATAGTGACTAACCCGAGCTCAAGTCTAGCATTAATCTATATGCTGAATAGATCTCCCATTTAAACCCTGGCTTCGTTTTCAGTCCAATGCGCTGGTCCACTAGATAAGCTGCAAGCTTCAGAACCAGCCAGATCATTGGTCGCGTAAGATTTTCATGCGTCCTGAAAATATTTTCTCCCAGCAGCCAGGGGGCCTAAGATAAAAACCCCGTGATGAGGGTAGCACTTCCTCTCAGCTGCGCCCCGTAATTTTCCCACGCTAGAACACAAAGGGTAAAGTCTATCTCTAGTTCTTACTTTTGTTCAGCTCTTTGGCCGGGATCGCATCCTGGTTGATAGTATTTTGCAAGACTGGTTAGGCTGTGCATGCACAAGGCGGCTCTCTTTCTTTGACTGAAACCTCAGCCACGGAAAAAGAAAGGGGATGTGCTTGGTGTTGGCCAGAAGATTAGTATATAGGAAGAATCCTGGCGACCCCGCCTGCGTGCGATCGGAAGTCAATTCAAAGTTAGGTCCAGTTGAGGATTGTATTCGTCCACGTCCCAAGGCCTCTTCTGGATGCATTTGAAAGTGTTGCCTCCTGGCTTGGCTCGGCTGCTACTATGGGTCTCGGTGGTAAAAACCACCCCTGCTGTCTCCACGGGTATCCCAAGGCCGGCTGGGGCAAGTCCTGATATAAGTTGGGATGAGGCTATAAGTTCATTGGAAAGTGCTCTTGGCGGCGAATTCGAGCGAGGGGGTAGCATACATTCGACGGACAGACAATACTTCGAGAAAAGTTGGTCCGACGCTGTGCTCTTCCAGTATAAAGAAAGGTTAGTGATTTCGACTTCCGGATACTTCCTGGTTGCTAACCTTGATGTGTTTGCACTTTTAGTTCAAACCAAAGCAGTAGCGCTGAGAGCACGGTAACCTCTTTGGATCTCGATACCAGTATAGCGATAGTCTGCTCAATGTGCTATGTCAGTGGCTCGGCTTTTGATTTGTTACTTCTCAAGGGCGGCTTCGACGTAAACCAGACTATTGATAACATCAAAAGTGACACCATGAATGTGACATCAATAGCCTACAATGGGTTCAAGAATTACACAGAACCTTTTCGAGACCTGCTGGACCACGACTTGCTACCTAAGTTTTCGCCTTTCCCAACACTCGACCTGGACTTGAACCTGCAAAATGTTTCCAGTCTCGAAGGCACCAAGGCGGCCTTTAGATTTGACAATCTTGAGCTTTATCTTGATCTTGACATCGTGCTGCCAGCAGGTGCTACTTACACACTGACCATGTTTGAATCTGAGGAGACTTTTTTTCAAGTGTCTGACCCTTTCGCAAGCCGACTTTTTGACATCGGCACTCTTTACAGCATCGAACTAATTCTCATTGCGGACGCTGAAGTGGAACTTAAAAGCGGAATCCATACGAAGTTCGATGAAGGGCTCATATTTGTCTTGGATGCTTTTGATGGTGAAGTTTCAAATGTCACCATGTAAGCGTCTCAGCCCCACAATTCCTAACATTTGTTTCTAACGCTAACGTTCTGTAGCCCTGGAGGTCAATACGAATTGCTTCCCATTACCATCGAGGGAAAGGGTTCTATTCAAGCATTGCTAAATGTGAAGGCAACCCTTGCTGTAGGGACTTCCAATCTTGATATCGACGGCCTGGGGTTTCTTGCCGGGGTAGAAGCTGATGTAGTTGCCAACGTGGCCGACTTCCTGCTCAATGTCAATGAAAGTTCAAGAATCGAAGACGGAGACTGCGAGGTGCCTACCGTCGCTGAGTATACCATTGCGCTGGGAGCAGCAGTAGGAGCGGCGGTTGCGTTGCAGACTTATGTTTGGGGGCCAACTCCTGACACCACTACCCCAGTCTTTTACACAACTTTACCTAGCATCTGTGCAGCAACGAAACCGACATCCGCACTCTCATCCACAATCACTCCTAACGCAGCTCTTGATGCGCGAGCGGATTGGACTACCAGTACCTTGGTTATGACGGAACAATACACAATCGTGAATTGTCTTTCGGCGGGCTAGTCAATTGCCCTGATAGCCTTCAAACCACGACTTCCTACGAACACTCTACAGCAAAATTAGTGGTTGCCCCGTCCGGGTCATCCGCGACATGGCCAGAGAGTACGTATACCTCGGTCACCAGCGCTATACCTTTTGGCAAGGATGTGCGCAAGTTGGGCGCAACTTCGGGAGTGCCTACCTCTTATGATCCATCAGCCCCAACGAAAACAAGCACTGGGGTGGCTGACAGCGGGACAAAGGGGACAAATGATAAGCTCATCATTAGGCTGAGTGTTGGGCTTGGTGTTCCTGTCCTTGCAGCTCTAGTTGGAGGAATCGGGTAGGAAACCATCCACTGGCTCTGTAACAACAAGGTACCGATCACTTATCCTAGCTGGTTCATTTACAAGCGCAATAAACATTCCCGTGTTCAGCCAACTCAACCCGCGCCATCAACGGGCGAAGCTTTGCCACTGACCGCTTCGACGTCTTCCATAAGCAAATCAGCTAAAGGGCTTCATACGACCGCAGTGATGGAACAATAATCAGGATTACCTGCGCCTTTGAGCTGAGCGACTTGAAGGTTCTTGGGGGGCCTGTATGTACTATACCTCTCAGCATGGTCTTTACTGTATCTTCGGACAACCGGAAAGAATCTCCCTGAACTTTGATGGATGATATTGACCCTACATCGCAGAAGCACATTAATGAGAAAACCCCCGACAGCAGTACCTCCTAGTGCACCGTACATTGGTAGTTACCGAAATGGCAGAACACTCAATGGGGGAGTGGTAAGAATATTACATTCAGCATTTAGAGCCGCAAGCGCTCTATGCTAATAGTAGCGCATGGAGCGAACTAATCTTCGGCTATATGAGGAAGGTTGGTACTAGTATGGTTTTCCAGGAAAATCCTATGGTTTTGGGAGTAAAAAGCCCCCGTGAAACTCAGGCGCCACATAATCCGTGAGAAATAAACGTTACCCTCAACTCGAGATCGGTGGGTTCTGTCAGCTTGTATAATGTGATGGGCATCTTAGAATCAGCAGGTTTCAATCTTGTTGTAGTTAGTCCCCTCTAAGGAGTCTTTTGATGAAAATAGAATTAGTGAAGATCACCGTGTGCGCATGATCACTACTAGCCGCCATAGATAGGGAACACGCTAGCATGTGAAACTCCGGCCTCGCCACATGCACGAAATCATGCAGATCCTAGCGCCGTTATCTGTCAAATGATTTTTCTCTCTCTCGCTTGGCTCCTCGTTGACGGGGTCTAAAAGTACGAAGACTGACTTCAGAAGAGCATAGCTTCTACTCCTATACTCCTTTGCAATGGAGTACTCACGTCTACCTCTTCTCCCGATCCTCGCTTCCATTCGCCGTCGATTGCCGCGCCTCTATTCTTCTCACAACAACGATCATTTGAGCGGGGCGATATCTCAAAGGCTATCGTCTTCATCCGAGCCTTATTTGCCATATATGGGAAAGTTCGAACCGACGGAGAGCCAGCGGCCCTCAACAGCGAGCGACGACCTTGGCTCACTTGATTCGACATCAGGATCGGACACCCCGCGGACGGACGAGGAGGGGTCACTGGCGAAGTATGAGCAGGAGTCCGGCTTGCGATGGAACCGTGTGGTTCCTGGTAAGGTTCAGCCTCGAGAGCTCTTCAGGTCTCAATACTAAACACTCTCTTCTCCCCAGCATTTAACCTCTTGCGCAACGCAGGCTATGAGGCTCAACAGCCCCAAGGTGATAGCCGCCTAGCACGGTCGTTGTATATCAGCGCCCTCATGTACCTTCTGGATGCATTGCCGACCGATCTCACACCCGAGGAAACAAGAATGCTGGAGCATCGTCTTCCCCAGCCTATCAAGTCATCCCTTGCTACGTATCCCCAGACACAGCTCGCGCAGCTGGATGCCAGTCCGACTAGACTCCGAACCGCCACCCGGGACCGATCGTATCTTCACAAACTCCTCGCTTCCATTATTGTTCAATTGTTCATTCTCATCCGGGTTGTCTTGCCATATGCGAAGCTGTTACTGTATCGAATGTACGAGTACGAGCGGTCGCATCGCATCACCGAGCGTGCTGTCGCGATGACCCTGGATGCGGCTGATGGGCTAGGCAAAAGAGGCATTGATATTAGTTCTGCTGTATGTAAATTGCACGAGGGACGAATCGGCGTGCTTTTGGGCGGTATAGCGGGTTGGTGGATTGAAGGAATTGCGGGCGGCATTTACGATGGAGTCGGTGAAGGCATGGTGCATTTGGGGTTGCTGAGAACGGACCTCGAGCTCGATAGGATGGCGATTAGGTAGATTCGGGATTATATAGATTACGATTAACGAATTGCATTGGGTTTCAAATAGCAGACCTTCCAAGGATGGGAAAGCGCGGGATACGCATCGATACATGTGACTTGATTGTGGAGCTCTTCTCTAGCTGCTGTGTTGGTACCAACCGCTTGCGTTTGATCTGTATCTCTTGCTATGTCGACCACCAGGCTGCCTTGTATCCCGTCGGTTCGGAGGCAGCAGCTGCACCTGGAATTGTTCGTTCGTACCGTGGCCTAGGCGAGCATTAACTAACCCTCGTTTAGCGCAAGCTTGCGACATGCCGCGCCGCAAGGTGTCTATGTGAGCCTGGCCTCAGGAGACCCAACCCTTTGGACTGGCGTTCTCTTTGTTCGGTCTGGTTAGTCCAGAGATTATCGATGCGCTGTATCTCTTCTTTAGTCTCTGACAAATCTAGGTCCCTACGCCGGCGCGATCCTCCGTTTCCAGATCCGATTCCCCGACATTTACCCTGACCTGCCACCTCTCGTGACTTTCGTTACCGACGTATTTCACCCATTAATCGTCCCTCTTACCACATACACCTTCAGCACCAGCTCGGCAAGCGACAATCCGGTCAGTGCGACCGATGAAGAACGGCTACCACCAGGCGGGTTCAGCCTACGCCATGGGTTCCCCCATTGGTTTGGCAGATCCAAAAGAAACGGCCAGGCTTCGGGGAAGTCGTCTCGCAATGTAAGCGGAGCCAGTGCGCCTGCGGTATCAAGCGATGCTTCTTTACAGGAGACATCAGCGCAAGGTGGAGACATGTCTTCCCCAACTCCAGGGGACGGAAATGCGGAGGGTGCGGAGAACAGCCGCGTCGCACAAGTGCCTACGGCAGACCAGTTCGCAGAGCCTCGCACGCAGGTTCCTGTTGCAGAGCTACTGCATTACATTCGATCAACGTTCGACTCTGAAGATGTTTTAGATTCGCTCCCTGTCGAGGCTGCAGGAAACCCTGGTGCATGGCATGCATGGAAGGCGCATCGAAGGGGCGGGGACGGCCCTGGCGGGTTGAAACGGGGTAGTCCGCAGGCTCGGCTCCCTGGAGATTGGCATTGGGATGGCATCTGGGCTCGCCGGGTCCAAACAGAGATTGAAGCTAGTCAGTCCGACCCAATGCTATTTGGAAATGCCGCTCGTGGGGGAGTCGATGAAATGGTAGGTTGTGGATAGGCCCCTGATTGATGACTTGCGACTGATGATGTTGTAGATCCGATTTTCCCGACTCGACGATGAAGCCTTGAGTTCCGTCAAGGAGAAGATGGCTCTGGTGGGAAATGTACATGAAGGATGATGGTGTGCTCTTGCCTCAATATACCCAAACCCGTTTGTTTCTGTGCTCCATAGCTCCTTCCATCCGTGCAGCAGGCGCATGTGAGCATCTCGCCGCGGCGCCCAATTTTCTTCCAATGGACAGTTCATGTACAAAATGACGAACACCATATCCCGGGATTTTAAGACTTCTGCATTGATTATTGCATTATTGCTGATTCCGATTGTTATCCTCATTTGTGCTGTTGCGCTCCTCCTTGCCTGTTTTGACCGTTTGGCGTGCCCGGTCCAGCTGCCACACTGGTTTCCCTCGTGGGCTAAATGCCACACTCGACGGTATAGGAAGAAGAGGTTACCATCCGATCTCGAAAATTCAGCTCCCAATCGAGAGACCGAGTCTTCAGAGGTGCCTCTTGGCTACGGCACCCCGGTTGTTAGTCGCGAACAAGTATAGAGAACGCCATCATGGACGACCCGCCGGGGCCATTGACTGCTAGAAAGTATAGAGTATCACCGCGCCAAAGCTCATCGTCATCATCATGCCTCTCCTTTCCTCAGATCCCTCGGCGCTCATCGTCGCTCTCCGCGAGCGAGAGCAATGACTCGAGTGGTCCAGTAACATCTACCCGAACGCCTTCTTTGAGCGACAGCTTGTATCAAATCGAAATCCCCAAGATCCGCCAGTCACACATGCCCGACTACCGAACCGAGAGCCGGAAACTCCATTTGAATGATGATCCGTTTACCGACAAGGTGATTGGCTCTGACCCTGGACTTCGCTTTTCTATTCTTAACATTTCTTTGTCTTACTGACCGGCATCTCTAGGATCCTACATCTCCAGCACACACACGAAAAAATTGCCTGCGGGGCAGGAATCAGATGGCGCCTCAACTTGTTGTCCGTTGGAGCTCTGGCTCTTGGAATTTGCCAGAATCTCCTTTGTGCGCTAGGTCGATTGAGTATTCTGTTGAACCAGGTGTTCCGGGATCTTTCCCGATACCACCAGTCCAGCCCTTAAACACCTTGTGTCCCATGGATCCACCAATCGTTTTCACAAATGTCACCGTGTCTACGAAAAGACTTCAAATTGGCATACTCCCTGAATCATTATGGACGACTATCCAAGTTAATACTGATATCAACACAACACCGTTCCCAGCATCCTCCAGCCATGCACCGCTGGATATAATTATTCTCCTTGATACAATGTGAGCTCAGCTTGAATAAAGAAAACCAGAAACCCTATTTCTGACTGGCCCAGGGTCTGTCCATCTGTAAATTCCTTGACCCAAGTCACTCTGGGGTCGTCAGTTCTAGCTTCCCACCTGGTCTACAATCACGACAGGATTGCAGTGGCGTTCACAGATCACAAAGAAAAGTCTGGATTTAAACTACTGCTCCCACTGGGCCATCACTCTACCGAAGCTACTCGATCTGCATTAAGCAAACTTTCTCAGCGTCAACTTTTCAGTGAAAGGAAAGAAGCCCTTGAGCTTAGTGCTGTCATTCCGAGTCTCTGCGAGATATTCTACGACGCTTCGCGGGATGCTTTCTGTCACTTATTTTTCGTCTCTGCTACTCCTCCTGCCCGTCTCTCTATTCCATGGACGGACCAGGGGATCGGGTTTCATACAGTCACTCCGTGTCCGAACTTGTCCTTGGATGGTATAACATCTCAACAAGGGTGGCATATCTCGTATAGTCTCGGAGCCTCTGATACTGGCCTGAAAGAGACTCGTTTCATCCGCAAAGTTTCTAAAGTTCTCCGTCAGCTGCGAACGGGGATACGCCCTGGTTCTATCGCAAACCTAAGCTTGTCTGTGACACCTAGTGAGGGGTGCAAGATTTTATCTGGCAATGACCATTTCAAACTCAGCTGTCTTCGCCCTGGGGAAACATGGTCCGTTCCGATCCAGGTCCGCGTTCCAGCGGTCGAGCCGCACCGCCCAGGGGCGTTCCCTGTGGCCCCTGGACAACATCCCTTGATGGAAGAGATGTTCACTCAAATCAATTTTTTGCTACAGGAGTACTCCTCTGTGGACCTCCCTCAGCAAGTTCTAGTTGCCCATGTACAGTATCAGCATTCCTTGCTCATGGAGCCCAACACGGTGCATGTGGAAACTGAACTCAGTGTTCTTCGCCGAGGATACAACTGAGGCTTCGATCGAACTGGGCTTTCCATATGAGTTTCCTATATTCTTACTACTTGTTGTTCTGTCCAATTCGGTCATGCCTTTTGAGTCTTACAGCCTCTTTTAGAAATGTATTCACATGAGTTTGAGCTGTATACATATCATTGAATCAAGCATCCTGGGTGGTTTATCATCCGAACTTGGATGTCCTATTAGAGAGAAAAAATATTGGAAAAAAAAAAAGGCCAACGCTGGAATAGCAGCATGCGACTGAATTAAACGGATTTTCTCAATATCTGCCAGGGCCCAAAGGTTCAAATACGAGAATAAGTATTGCCGCTCTGCCTCCAAGTCTCCTTAATCAAGTCTGCACATTTCTCGCCAATACCATACGCCGGCATCTGGGTATGGCCCCCCATGCAGAATCGGCATGACACTGCAGTCTGCAACACGCAGACCGACAACCCCTCTTACTCGTAATTTTTCATCCAGAACAGCCCGCGGATTATCGCCCCGACCCATGGCACAAGTACCGGCAGCATGGTAACAGGTCGTAGCATGTTCTTTGATGTATGGCACCCACTCCTCCCTCGTCTTATAATTATGGTGATCCAAGTTAGGAGGCCAAGATCCTTTCACAATGTCTTTGGTGCCAGCACCCTCCATGACGATTTCATTTCCGAACCGGCACGCTTCGCTCAGAACCAGCACATCCATCGGATCGGCCAGGAAATTGCAATCCACGATAGGGTTCTCCAGAGGGTCCGCCGAATTCAGGGTAACGGAGCCGCGAGATTTGGGGGCGAACAGCTCCGCGATCATGGAGAACGCGTATTGGTGGTTGATGGGGAACTGGTCGTACTGCTTGGGTCCACCGTAGCATTCTGTGCTGAAGAACTCAACATTCGGCTGCTTGGGAGTCAGGCCCATGGGATCGCGGCCGGGGAGGCGAGGAGCGTTCTTCCAGAGTGGTTCGTCCTTTAGGCGTTCGTCCAGCCGAGCATATGCGAATGAGCCAAAGGGGAAGGTGGACAAAAATCCGGTCTTCTTTTCTTTCCAGAGCGTGTAGGTTGTTTCGAAGTTATTGTCGTGGTAGACGTGATGGTCTGTGGTCAGGCCCTTCTCGGTTTCGTAGAACATGAACACAATCTATGAACGGGAAATATGAGAAGAGGGTCGAGCTATGGGGGAGAGGATCCCGACGTACCAGATGATCCATCAGATTGCTCCCCACGCCAGGTGAATCAACCCTGCATGCAATCTGATGTTTATCAAGCTCTGCTTTGGGCCCAATGCCAGAGCGCAGGAGAATGGCGGGGCTACAGTAGGCCCCTGCAGAGATAATGATCTCATTCCGGGCATAGAAAGTCTTCGATGATCCATCGGCTGCCTTGGTGACAACGCCCGTAGCCCGCAGTGTATCGCCCTTTTGGGTTAGGACAACCCTATCAACGGTGAAATGTGTTGCGATCGTGATGTTCCGACGCTCATTTTTTGCGCTCACGAAATCGGCACCTGTTGTCCGGATACCCTTGTAAACTGTACGAGGAGCATGGCCGCAGCCGTGGGGCACATCGCCTGTGCTGAACATATCATGGTTCAACGGAAGGCCTTTTGATTCGAAGGAATCAAGCAACTTCTCGGCGATAGGAGCAAGGTCATGGGGCTCGATATGGAGGGGCCCATCGTAGCCATGTGCTTCGGGAACGACGTTGAACCAGGGCTTCGTATGGAAGGTCTCGGCCTAAGGTACTTTTGTTAAACTCATATTCGGGCATTTCGGATGTGCATGACTAGGAATCACGACTTTTCTCATGTATTTGAAGAACTCCTCTCCACTCCATCCGTCTAGGCCCCAGTCGTCATAATCTTGCTTGGCACCACGAAGACACAGAGTGCCATTGCAGCCACTGCAACCACCCAGGAACCTGCCACGGCTCAGTTTGACTTGGCGGTTATCCACCCCCGGCATTGGGGGGGGTGATAATATTCCAGTCTGTTTCAGCATCAAAGTTGTTCGACCAGCCACCCGTCATTTGGACATTTTCCAAGTCCTTGCTATGCTGTCCAGCTTCAATCAGCAGAATCCTGATCTCGGGATTCTCTGCTAGACGGCCGGCGACCACACATCCTGATGTACCGCCTCTAATAAACGAGTTCAATGGATTGGTGATACGAAGTCAAGGGGGAACGGCTTCCTTACCCGCAGATGATGTAGTCATAAGTATCGTTATGTCGAGACGCCATAGTGCACTTCAGTCGTTAGGGTGTCACTTAAGGAAGCCAAACCTTAGTCCTGGAGACCGCAAGAATGTTGCGGGGGCCCTCGAAGCCTTAAATGTCACGCTACCAGTCTGACTACTGCGGATTATACATTCAAGCGCTCCAGGCTTAGCGCTATAGAGGCCCATGGGGTTGTGAGTCTCAAAGGGGCGGCTCCAGATTCCGCACCAGGTCCCATTTGAAGGACCTCGCTAAATCTTACGCGGAGCTGGATGCCTCTGCCATTGGCCCAACATCCCGTATTCCCCGGATATGTGAAGGTGATGCAGCGGAATCCACCGCACGATGCCGCTCTGAGAGCCGGGGCCAAGCTTCCCCGCACTGGCATCCACAGTGTCCAACTCTAGTTGCAGCTCACGGTCAAACCGGTCACAGCGAGGGTGGGGGGGGGGGTCCAATTTGGGATAGGATCTCATGCGGCGCAATTTTGTTTGCAATTACAGACATACGTGGATGTTGGGCTAATAAACTTGTAGGTTGCTAGTGTTAGCGCATATCGTACACTCCTCGTGGAGGCATCGAGGCTGACCTGTCGATCAAAGAGTGCGGAATCTGGCCTCGCATCGTCCACCGCAGCATGCGTGGATTGATGCATTCGTACGAAAACAATTTGAAGTCACACCAGGCTACCCTTGCGATGCAAAATTAACTAATTTAGGTGCCAGATCTACACTGCGTCCCTCCTCCCACACTGGATCGCCATCATCGTCAAATTCCGCCCACTGGAAGAACGAGCAGCCTGGTTTGCCGGGATCGTATCCTGCGTAGCACATCCACATGTACCGCCCTCGCGTCTCCTGTTTGTTTTTTGCACACCGCAGGATTGCAGATTTTCCACAGCGACATCGCGGGGTGTACCGCGGGTGCATGGTGTCACGATACCACCGGTAGGTGATATTGATCCGTCGATTTCCGGCTATTGGATGCGGCGAGATGGTTTGTGCTGGAGCGATCGAATGCTTCCATTCCTCCTGCATTTCTGCGTGCATCACCAAGAGTGAGTTGTGGGGCAAATGGATAGAGATCTGCCCCTGGGCATCTCCCCGAGCCGCTTTGATGGGACTCTGGGGTGTCTGGGCCGGAGACCCCGCATTTTCCCCGGCCTCCTCGTCGCGAGCCACAACGCGGCGAATACGGAATTCGCGTTCCACACCCAAGCTTAGACTTCCAATCACCGGGTGGGGGCCCAGGTAGGTCAGATCATCCGAATGGTATCCCACGCTCTCGCCGGGCCCGTCGTAGCAGTTCACGAATGCCGCATTTGGGCGCCACTCCTTCGCCGACTGGTGTTTGAGTTTCTTTCCATCCGGGTAAACCTCACGGATGCGCTTCTGGATTTCTTCATTCACCGCCCGCTGCACTTTCCGCGACACGGAGCGGAGCTCTCGAGGAGCTTGGCGGATCTTCGCTCGGTAGGTCCCTCCGTAGGTGTAGTCCGAGATTTGTTGCTGTTGTTCCTCGGGGGTTGAAACGTACACGCATGCCGAGTGAGGACTTTTCACAGTTCGGCTGAAGAGTTGGAACTCGTGCCTGGTAAAATGCTGCGATTCTTGAAGGAGCTCTTCTAGCAGTACGTTGGCCTCGTCTGCCGGAAGGAAGTTGTGGATAATGGTACAGGGAGTATGGCTTGCAATATCTTGCGGGTCGAACAGGTGCAAGGTCTTCCCTTTTTGCGTAGCCAAAGACTTCTTTCCCGCGGTTTCTGAGAAAGGTTTGAGAGACCCATCTTCTGCTTTGGTCATAACATGGTTGGTCAACGAAGACTGCACGCCTAGGAAGGAGGGCGGGGCCGCACGCTTTCGAGGGGTACCGGCTGTGGAATCCGGGCGTGACTGCAATAAAGAAGCAGCCTCCTCGACTGAGCCCTCACATGCGACAAGAACGTCAAGCAGATCGTCGGGCAAGCATTCCGGGTGGAGCGACACCAGCATTGCCAGCTTGACATCGGTCGACTCTTCGCTGTCCGCGCCCCGATCTTGAGGCACCTCGGACGCTGACACCTTCACCCGTTTCCTCGACACGAAAGCGTCCATCGTAGTCTGCTGGTTCACATCGCTTCCACCGCCGGAAGGGTGAAGAACTGCAAGTGCTAGATATCAGGCTTATCACATGATTCGAACCATCAAGCAGAGCTCAATTATTGTCATGGAATTTTCCCGATGCAGACTAGCGGGGCACCAAACCTCTGATCAGCCAATCAGATCGCCAGAGCCTCCGTACTGTAGACCCTTGTCAGCATTAACTAGTGGGCCCCGGGGGGGGCAGGGCTAGGGAGATCAAGTATTGGTAAAATGTGAACGACGCCACATCTGGACTAACGTAGTATCGCCCAAGTGACCAGTATGCATTAAAGACATGCTTGTCATTGTGACGAGATTCGTCTGCCACGTGGAAAATGGCGGTGTCCGATACCAGTGTAGGAACAGCCTATAAATTTTACCATCTGGCATCACCATGTGAATTGGCTAAAAACAAGTATAATTCTGATAGTCCCCGTCCTGGGTGTATATCCGCGTGCTAACAAGGTTGCATGTCGCAACAGCCGCCTGGGCAGTTTCATACTATTTCTGGACGGATCTGGGTATCACAGCTGGGTATCATCGACTTCGGTCTCATCGATCCTCTGAAGCGGAAGGCTATTCTGAACAGGAGCTGACTTCTCATCCCCTTTCTCTATTGATCTCATTCTAATATTCCAATTGCAATAATAGGAGTATACCGCTGAAGATCTTCCTCGCCTGTGTCGGCGGCGGTTCTGTTCAGGGTTCTATTCGATGTTGGAGCAGCAAGCACCGAGCCCACCACAGATGGACACGGTGGAAGACCCATACAGCGTGCGAAAGGGTGTCTGGTATTCGCATTTATGTGGATGCTACTGAAGCAGGATCCGAAGGGCCGCGGTCGCACCGATATTTTCGACTTGGACGACGATCCGATCCTGATGTGGCAACACAAGAATTACGGGCTTGTAATCCTCTGCTTTGAGACTCTGTTCTCTATGGTCGTTGCTGGACTGAGCTGGGGCGACTGGAAAGGAGGTCTTATATACGTATATATGCGGGTATCTTGAGATTCTTGTTCGTTCAGTAATCAACCTTCTGTGTTAATTCTCTGGCTCATTGGCTTGGAGATCAGGTCAGTCTTGTTGTCCCCGATTTCCAAGGCTATTGACTAGCCAAGTTGGCCCCTCGATGGTCGGCATTCGCCTCGCGACCATGTCCTGACCGCCCTGGTGATGCTCGGTGAAGGATACCATAACTTTCACCATGAGGTGAGTATCCATAGTACGATTCAAGACCTACCTGACTAAATGACAACAGTTTCGCCCAGACTACCGCAACGCGGTTTAATGGTGCCAGTAGGATCCTACGAAATGGTTCATTTGAATATGGAAGAAGGTCGGTCTGGCGTACAATCCGAAGCACTTTCGTGCGAACAAGATCGGAAAAGGGTCGAGTTCAGCAGCTCAAAAGAAAGTGGATCAGAAGCGTACTCAGCTGGACTGGGGTATTGCCATTGAACAACTTCCGGTGATGTCCTGGGATGGTTTTCTCGCTGAGTCTCACGCCGGAAAGGCCCTTGTCACCATCGCCGGTGTGGTTCATGACTTGTCCGGTTTCATGGGTGAGCGTCCTGGAAGGAAAACATTGATCAGTTCTGCGACCGGGAAGGACGTCGCCGCTCTTTTCAATGGCGACGTGTATGATCATTCGAATGCGGCATACAACTTGCTTTCGAGCATGCGGGACGGGATTATTCGGGGAGGTGGAGAGGTAGGGATCTGGCAAGAAAAGGATGCGGAGAAACTGAAAACCACCGAATAAGTAATCATGAGATTTCTATAGGGGGGGGGATTTGGGCGGGACGTTATGGTGCTTTCACCTCTATCCATTGTATAAAGGAGTTTTAGTTTTTCTTCTGCTTGTGCTAGACATCCAAAGAATATAGTACTCTTGTTGTCAATGGAGGTCGAAGGACTAAATGCGGGAGAGTAGCAAATATTGACGTATCGGATTTAGATACACGAAAGCCGGAGGACGAAGAAGAAACGGGAAAAGATCCCATCACGACAATATCCCGCTTTCCCCTTCCCCAGCCACTTCACACGACAATACGGTCACAAAAGATCAGACGAGACAGTTTTAGCGGAAGTGGACCGAAGACAACTGGAAAGATTTCACCTCTATTGACGGTGCTATATACTTGTATATTCCAGTGGCTAACATGTCTGGAAGATGGTATAACTAAAGGACAAACGCTCTAGTGTAACTATATGAGGACTGATTGAACACTATGTTCTCCCTAGGACCAGTTCCAGTTCGCGGTGTAGACTGGAGATGAACGGGTGCCAGATTGGTTGGTAGTTGAGTTAGCGCGATTCCTCAGTACCGAAAAGGTCAATTGACCTTGGCAGGGAGTTGAATCCGTGGCTTTCAGGAGACCACATGGAGATCTAGCCACTCCAGAGTCATATAGTGATCTTCGTTTTGCTTCACAGCGCACCGGTAGACGGCATGTCATATTTATGGCTATTTTCACATTCTTTCTAGCTGCATCGAGAACGTTCTCATACTCTCATTTTAATAGGGTACAGAAACTCTCATCGGCTCAACATTCCATTTAGCTTATAGCCGTCAGCAACGAATATCTTCGGAGCCCGAGGGCGTGGAGACATATCACTCCGATATCGCGGAACTCCGGTGTCGCGGGGGCTGTGAATCATCGCTCGTGAACCAATAGGCATCCCCCACTCAACCCCGCTTCAGCCCACAACTTCCTCGGAACAGTTTAGCGTTGTCATTGCAAGGGCGTGTCCCACCGGGCCCCAAGCGCAAACTGCGTCCCTAGCAGATCGACACGCGACTTCATCTGCCTGTCGCGCGGATTCATCAGAGCTTCCCAGAAAGTGACGTCCTTCTCTTCTGAAATGGGTAGATTGTGGACTCACTCGATCCCCCCGATACCGCGCTCCATCTTTTGCGCCAATCGAAGGGCTCTTCGGCATAGCTGACCCTTGATATTTCTCTATGACTGATAATGTTTATCTGTATGGCACGAGCCTCTAAGCCGTTTTGAGAGAACTCCTTGGACCCCCAAAGCACCGACTCCACCCAGCCAGAAGGCAGGATTGATTATTCAACCTTTACCCCAGACCAGGGATTACCCTTTCTCAGACCGACCCTTCTCCCCCGTCGCTATCCTCACACCCTATCAATCATCTTCTTCAACCTAAATTGCCCGGTAGACCAGGACTGGCACTTGCCTCGATATCTGAGGTTATTGACACGTCGACCTCATACACTATGGAATATTTCGACTTCGAGGGGGCTTCGTCGACCCATGAATCGAATCATCCAAGTGATGATGTAGCGTCGATTGATCGCCAGTTCGATGATCCTGAAGAGAGGGAAGCCGAGTTTGACTCACTCCTCGAGGACCAGCCTCTAGACTTCCCCAATGAGCCGCTGGTCCCGGAGACGGCCGAACAAGACCCAAAGGCCGTGGTTCCCGATCAGGATACCGGAGTATTCCCATGTTCCGAGCCCAAGAGCCCTGCGACTTCTGCCGGCAAATGGGGTTCGATTGCGTTGTTGCCAAACGGGGAATCATGTACCAGAACGGCTGTACTTGCTGCATCTCCCTATGGCGTGAATGCAGTTTTTACCACGCCGCACCTCAGGGCAAGTTCCTCAACACATTGCACACGGTATCTGAGAACGCCTATATCCCCACAGGCAGCCTGACTGGGAAACGAGCCCTCAAGTCTGTCTCGTATGGGGCGTTTGGCGACGAATCAGACTCTCGGGGAAGAGTTCCAGGTTCTCACGCAAGGCCATCAACATTTTGAAGGCCTGGGTCCGTGACCATAGCGAAAGCCCTTACCCCAATGAGGACCAAAAAGAAGAATTGAAGCAGAAGACGGGCCTGAATAAAACGCAAATCTCTAACTGGCTCGCCAACGCTCGTCGCCGCGGCAAGGTTCGCCCTGCGAGTGGCACGAATTCCCCCCATCCCGGGAGCCGACCCTGTTAATGTACCCGGGCGCAACTCGATGGATATTTCTCTCATGACCCCCCCTTGAACGTTGGAAGCACTCTCCTCCTGAAAACGAACCTGCCACGATGAACGATATTACCCGGGCCCTGAAGAACCCACCGTTCGATCCCTCACGTCAACGCCCAGTGCAGATGAGTCACGTGAGGCCGAGACTGGGGGACAATGACTCAAGCCACGCAAGCTCAGACAATAAAAGATATACTGCCTCGGCCAGCAGTTTTGATACTAGTCATTCATCCCTGTCTGATCTCTCCTTTGCCTCTGCCTTCTCTCATCGATCCTCGTCGGGGTCCTTTGGCTCAATGGATCGAAAAGAGCGCCGCCGGCGCCGTAAAGTATCGGCTCCAGTTAATACTTTCAATCAACAAAAGGCTCGAGCATCTCGTCCTTTCCAATGCACATTTTGTACAGACTCTTTTGCCTCAAAATACGACTGGCAACGTCATGAGAAATCAATGCATCTGATCTTAGACATGTGGACCTGTTCTCCTCACGGGGGCGTCACGGAAGAAAGTGGTACGCTACGATGCGTCTTTTGCTTCATTCCTAATCCAGATAAAGACCATTTGGAAACGCACAACTACATCAGTTGTCAAGAAAAGTCAATCCAAGAGAGAACATTTTACCGGAAAGATCATCTCAACCAGCACCTTCGGCTGATGCATGATGCCAAGTTCCAGCCCTGCATGGAGATATGGCAAAGCAGTATCACGGAAATGAAGTCCCGCTGTGGTTTCTGTGGCGCCCTTTTACACACATGGAAAGACCGTGTGGATCACCTCGCTGTCCATTTCAAGAACGGCGCCAACATGTCGCAGTGGCAGGGGGATTGGGGCTTCGAGCCCTACATTCTCGAACGCGTCGAAAACGCAATCCCGCCGTACTTGATTGATTACGAGTGGCGATCACTCAATCCATGGACTACTGTTCAGTCCCAGGGGGATGGGACGACCTCAAGGTTACCAGTCCCCAGTGATGCCAATTGCTACCAACGCCTGACGCAAGAGCTCGCTGTATACATTCGCAACCAAACAGCCCAAGGGATTGTTCCAACAGACCAGATGCTGCAGGCAGAAGCCCGTCGTGTGATCTATGCGGGCGACGATGATCCCTGGAATCAAACCTGCGCCGATAATCCTGTTTGGTTAAACATCCTCAAGCGCCAGAATGGGCTGCCGTCATCAGCTGAACTTGACAATATGCAGTTCACCGATTTGGCCTTACAACCCCCGTATGCGGGCCACACCGGGCTGCAAAGCCCCCCCTCAGGAGCCCAATATGTTTGCACGACCCGGCATGCCCGGCCCCAGCCGCAGTTCCGCGGCTCCCAGCCCTGGCATACAGAGTCCCATGTATCCAGCCACGGGCTTTTCGTCTGCTGGCCCCAGCCGGGCAGACAGCCTATCTGGAAGTTACGCTGGTAGCTCGGGGATGGTCTCTGCGAGCATCCCGGCATTTATCTCTGATTGGGGCAGTAGTCTGACGGGCGACGCTTCGGCCTCTTCTGCGCCGGTGCCTGGGGCGGTAGACCCACTAGTTCAAATGGGCTTCGATCCAGAATTCCTGCAGCGCCTCAATGATAGCTACAGTGATTTGACGCCACCCGAGATGGAAGGGCTTGTTATTGACCAGCCAGAGACATATGGGGGCAAAGGGAAGGAGAGGTGGGTGGATCCGCCGTCACAGTCGCAGCCTGTGTTGGGGCTGCCTACACCTGACGCTATCCCCATTTTTCATTCCAAGGAGACCGGGCCTCCTGTGTCAGATGATACGCCGCCGGGCATGCCTGCATTTCGCGATAACACGAGTAATTTCTGATCTTCTGTAGAGAGGTTGCTCTTTGGTCAGCTTCGCCGGGGGACCTCGGGAGTCGGGAGTAAAAGTCTAATTTACACTTTGTATGGAGATGACTAGTATGGAAATAATTTGGTAAGCAGATAGTCGGCGGCGCTCAGAAACAAATTGATCGTATAACTCTTGAGACCCCATCTAGGATTTTTCTATCCCCTCTGTATGACTCTAACCTCGTGGTGCGTAGTCCGATTCGCAATCAATCTCAGACCGCGCGGCCCTTGTCTACCCTAAGAAACACCCTTGGGGGGGGGGAACTGTCGTCGATGCTACACGAACCCCTGTTATTCATGCATAATACCTACATCAAAGCCTGTTCTTTCGATAATTCAATGCATCGATGACGAGAATCTGGACCTCCAAAATTGAAATTTGCTCGATCTAAATCCCGATGCTGATCAAACCGGAGGGGTCTCTTTGTTAAGGTCCAGGGAGCCGGTTAAGATTCTGTCTCGAACCCACTGCCTCCGAGACGGCAATTCGTTCCCAAGGGCGCATCTAGCTCAGGAACTCTCGATGAGATGGCCATCTAGAACTCGCCTGGCGTCAACCAACCCTGTCAAGCCGAGGTTCCGCTCGGTATCTTGATCCGCCCAGCGAATCAGCAAGCCAGTTCTCGCCGTGGCTGAGCGCCTTTGATTAAGGCTACCATGATCATATTTGGCGCCACCCCACCCCGCTGTACACATTGGTTCTCGTGATTGTCTTAGGCCTCAGATCTCCTCCTTTCGTGGTTCAGTGCCACGCGCGAGACGCAGGCGTGAGGGCAGGGCACAGCGGCGTGCTATTGGCTGTTTCCCAGAATTGAATCCCTGCCTCTGCTGGAGGCACTACCTGTAGAAGAGTTTCCCGGAGAACTGTCTTTCGACCCTTCCCCCTGTCATGGCCAGGTGCCGTCCATTGATTATGGATATATCGTGTTGCTGAGTTCAGGCTCGATAGTTCTTTTTCTAATCGAGACTCGAGCTAACCCTAACTTTTCTCTCATGCATCAAAGCAATAGTATCATCTGCTAAGTAATGGTAATCTTAGAGACCATGGCGACTGATTCCTTCAGGCTGTTTTGTGGGCTCGAGAATTCATTTATAAAGAGAGGGCTTGCCATAAACCCATAGGTGAACACAGGACCGAACCAGTGTATGTTTATCATCGCATCGTAAAGTATTCTTTCTGTTGATTTTTGAGGCATGGGTTTCTCAATTGCCAAAGTTCTGCTACTCAGCTTGTGCCTTGCCAATTGGGTGGCGAGTGCGACAGTTCATTTCCCTCTTGTCTTAACTTGGGCCAAGAGGAACGTTGCTGGGTTCACCAGAGATATCATTCTTATGAACGGCCTTTACCCAGGCCCCCCGTTAGAGTTGAATCAGGGTGACAATGTCGTCTTCGATGTCACCAACGAATGTCCGTTCAACGTCACAGTGCATTTCCATGGTAGGTGGCTTGTCGGGGCATTTGCAGAGCTTTTCTAAAACTGAATAGGAATCGAGCAGCTCGGAACTCCATGGTCTGATGGAGTGCCTGGCATGAGCCAAGTTCCCATTCGAGAAGGACACTCATTCCGTTATAGATGGACCGCTCATCAGTACGGATCCTACTTCTACCATGCTCATCATCGCGGACAATTGGAAGATGGCTTGTATGGTCCGATATACATTAAGCCGGCTGCTTCGCAAGAGAAGCCCTTCCGCTTAATCGCAAACAGCACCAACCAGCTCGAAGCAATGCAAGCAGCCGAGGCCGTTACCAAGCCAGTCATTGTCACAGATTGGCGTCTTCTCAATTCTGAGCAGGTTTGGGCGGGAGAAGAAGCCTCCGGACTCGACGCTTACTGCGCGAATGCCTTGTTGATCAACGGAAAAGGGTCGGTTTCCTGCTTGCCTCAGAGTCTTCTGAACAATTTGACTGCAAGCTCCCCCTTCCTCCAGCAGGTGTTGGGAAATGAAACTCTTACTAGCATAGGGTAAGTCCGAGTGACTGACATCCATTGGAACGTTAAGAATTCTTAGCTAGGATATGCTAAACTATTCTAGGTGCATTCCACCAGACATCGTCTCAGGCCAAGGCGACTTCCCACACAATTTCAGCGCTGTCCCTCCATCTCTTTTCGATGATTGCGTCCCGTCCAATAGCCCACACGAACTCTTTATTGTTGACCCCGCGAAACAGTACATAAGCTGGGATCTGATCAGTGCCGCGGGGGTGCTACACTGTGAATTCTCCATCGACGAACACGACATGTGGGTGTATGCTATCGATGGTCAATACATCGAGCCTGTCCGAGTCAACGCCATCAGCATCCCAAATGCCAACCGGTACTCAGTCCTGGTCCCCCTCAACAAACCCCGAGGAGACTATACGATCCGCATGGTCAGTGGCAGCCCACAGCAGATTCTCAACACAACCGCCACGTTGCGGTACACGGGGCCACCGCAGCTCAACAGAACCTCCCACCCCTGGATCACTCTCACAGGGGCGAATGCCACAGCGGACACGATCATCTTGAATGACTTTACAACCAAGCCGTTCCCGCCCGTGCAGCCCGCAGCAACCGTCGACGATACCTACCATTTGACGATCGGGCGCTACAACGCCTCGTACCGGTGGACACTGGGAAATGCCAGCTTCGACCTCGCGCTGGAAGAATCCCGGCCTTTGCTGTTCGACCAGCATGCGATCCCGAGCGACTTGATCATTCGGACCAAGAACGGGACCTGGGTAGACTTCATCATGCAGGTGAACAGTGCTCCCCAGCCGGCGCATCCTATCCACAAGCACTCGAACAAGCATTTTCTCATCGGGCAGGGAACAGGGATCTTCAATTACTCGACAGTTGCGGAGGCAATACAGGAGATCCCGGAGTCGTTTAACCTGGTGAACCCTCCTCTGCGAGATACCTCGGCTACCCTAGATGCTGGGCCTGAGCCGGTCTGGATGGTGACTCGGTATCAAGTGGTGAACCCTGGGGCATTCCTGATGCACTGTCATATTCAGGTTCATCAAAGTGGAGGAATGGCGCTAGCGCTGCTGGATGGCGTCGATGAATGGCCGACGGTTCCGCCTGCGTATTTGCTCGACTCTGGATTTTGAGATGGTGATAATCTCCGCATTGCAAAGACCCCGGTGTTCCAACTTGAAATTCGGTAAATAGTATGGCTAGCCGTTCTATCTATCCAGCTGAGATGCTTCGTGGACTCTTACATAGGCTATTAGGTACTTGGGGGAAGAACTATATAGCGAGTCTTGACTATGTGAAGGCTAAATGTGAGAAATTGGAGCTCATGATCGAAAACACAAAGAAAGTAATTTCTGACTAGCTGGCTAAAAACACTGGCTAAACTCGCGCATGATGAATCGTGATTTCTGAACGCTGTACCTCATATCGTTCCGGTCATAAATGCAAGGTGAAACAAATTTCTTGTGATATCTCGTTCTCATTCTCATTCAAGTTCCAGGGGTTGTTGGAAGACAGGCTCGGTCTGGGCATCGTCGATCTCATTGACATACAGCGTATCATCCAAGCCATCGACCGCGTGCTCCTTAGAAAGTCCCGACTCTGTCTCAGACTCAGCAATAGATTCGGGATTCAGCTCCGAGAGATCCTCCGGTATTGGGCTTTCTTCGTCGTGCTGCACTGCTGTTTTGGGTTCGGTTTCTTCAACAGGCTTAGCCTCAAACTCAGGAGTGAGTTGGAGCGGAGAAGGGAGCTCTGCTTCAAATGCTGGTATATCCTCAAGCACCGTAGGTTTAAGGTGCGACTCTTCCAAGAATTCTGCGGGCATTCCGGACTTCATTTCTTCAGCAGCTTCTTCAATTTCAACCTCAGAGGTGGGCTGCAGCTCAGTCGCGGACTCCGTCTCGGGTTCTGAATCACTCTCTATATCTTCGGGAACCAAACGTTCATGACGTGTTCCTTGTAAGGGCTCAGATTTGGCCTCAGAACCAGGCGCGACATGTGTCTCGGTGGCGAGGGGAGATTCATCGTTGAATTGCGCGGGTTCTGGCGGTATATGCTGCTCTGTTGATTTGACATCGATGTCTGCCTTGGTGGATCTATGGGTGAGTAAATGCGGGAGCCCATCCTCATGGTCTATCTGTTCTACAGCCTCGTCGTCATCTTCGGTAGGTTGCGAGACGGACGGACCAGACTCATCGATCGTTGTCTCCTGTGCAATGTGTTCGGTCTCCTGAGATGTGATTTCTTGTAGCACATCCGCAGTAAGAACACTTGGAGACGAATGGGCCGAGGCTCGAACCGACACAATCGGTGTAAAAACCTCTACAATTGGAGCAACTGGCAACCCCTTCGCCTCATTAGGAAATGGATTCATGGCTGGCTGCAGAGCTGCGGGCCCAGCTCTGAAGGATAAGAAGGCAACGAGAACACTCATAGCCACGAGCGCAATGTTGCGCTTATCAGACGCCAGGACCCGAACATAGTTGAATAAAAGAGTAGAAAGAGCAATTTCGTGCTTCTTCGCCGGCTTGTACTCTTGCGTGTTCGGAGGCACAGGCCCGGCCTCGACTGGGGGTGCAGGCAATGGAGGCACACAGTCCAATCTTATAGACCCAGCTTCACTGAAAGCCTTAGACTGACCTACGGTCGAGCTTGGCCGCCTGTCAAACCCCAGTTTAGCAGCATCATTCGGTGCCATCAATGCCTGACTCTCCGACGACCTCTCCTCCGCAATCCGCTTCTCAAGCGCCCTTCGTATATCAGACGGCAACCATAGGCCGACCTCCACATCGACTTTCTCCATTTCTCGCCACGCGGCTGCCCAAGCCCCGGCGCGCATGAGACCATTGGCCGCGTAGACCCTAATTTCCCACTTGCGATTCTTATCGCCATGCCCAACCACCCGGCCCCCACAGTCCGGGCACTCTTCCCCTGTTCACCATCCGTATCACTCTCCCCCCTATCGGAGATCTCCCCCCTCAGACCCCGTGCCACTGTCCTCATGCCCAAGGAAATGCCCCTGACTAACCCGCGCACGCTGTAGCTCCAGGCTCTCCAGCAGACGCTCCTCGAGCAGATCGTACAGATCTTCCGGATGCGAGATCAACACTCCCCGGTCTCTCACCACCCCCGAGCCAACCTTCTCCTGCAACCGCCGCCACCGCTTCCAGAACGGTGCCGGCAACGCTTCCTCGACCAGCGCCTGGTTCCTCGGCTCCGCCGCGCCGACGACCGGCATCGACGGCGGCAGCAGATTACAGTGCAGCAGCACGAGCGGAAACTCCCTCTTCGGCTTTGGCTTCTCGGATGCCGACTTCGGCGAGTAGTATGGCGACCGCCGTGAAGGGTTGCCCGGCGACCTCATACCCGTGCGCCGCCGCGGCGGGGTGAGATAGTCGTCGTCGTCCGCCTCGTCCTCCGTGTGCATCTGCATGGCGCGGACGGAGCTCGGTTTCCGGAAACCGGCCTCGCGTGGCCGAATAGTACGCATGGAGCGAGGCTGGTCGGCGAAGCCGCCGAAGCGCTCCTCGTCGTCTTCGATGGTGTAGCCGGCGATTTTCTCATGCAAGAGCATTGCATTGGACTGCTTGGTGGGATGGACGAGGACGGAGGCGGGCATCGAAGAGAGTGAGGAGCGGCTTGATGCGCGCGATTTCAGGTGATCGGGGTCATTGTCCATGTCCTGGCTGAACTGGTCGGTTGAGGCCCGGCTTGAGCCTGATGAATTGTACTCGTAGTCTCTGGACATTCCGTCGTCAGTCCCCGATCTGCTATCGCTGTCTGGCATGTGGGATGTCTCGAGGAAGCGAGATGCTCTTTGCTGCGAGGGGTACGGGGTTGTGGGCTGATGATTTGGTCTGGGGGATAAGAATTTCCCGAGTGCGGAAAACTGGCATCGCTCAGTCTCGCCATAAGGAGAATTCAATTCAACGTTCATAAAGGGGGATTAACAACTCAGGGCTATTTGATCAGGTCGGTGTACTTTGTGACGTGTTGTTATCATCCTGGGACGGGTTGGTCGCCCGGGCAACGGATCTATACAGCCGTTGACGCCCAAGTATTTTAGGTTTCGCTCCACTGGGATCAGCATGGGAGGGGGGTCCACTGATACCCGCTGATAACTACTCGTGATATGACATGGCGTTTGAGCAGTTGTTCATTGGAAAGGAAATCCGTTATGACTACATAGCTGGTTTTGATCTCTGGTTTCAGTTTCGAGCCAATCTATAAACCGTAGCACCTCTTCCCCATCGCTAAACACCATTTATAGCGCCGCAACACAGTACGCCGAACTGATGGCATGACAAGGGCTCCGCCAAACAAATTGCAAATGACCTAGAAAATACATGTACAAGAATATGAGACATTAAGGGGCTGGCCGGGGGTTTGTGTCCTCGGGTGTCATAAGGGAAAAGTTTTGGTTTTCGCCAAAGAAGTTGAGGACATCCTGAGGCAGATATTCGAGCCAGGGTATGATCTCTCCATGTGAGAAGGGGAAGGATTCTTGATGGTGGAGACTGTTCATGTCCACATCGTGGCTTTCAATCATCATGCCTCCAGAGAGATCGGGTCTGCTATTCATCTGAGCACCGATATGCTGATCTGAGGGTGGGCCAGAAGAGACAGGGTATGCATAGGCTGCATTGTGTCCCTCGATCTGACTGGGAGGAAGGGTTTGATTGAAGCTAGATTGCCCTGGTACTGGGGGGGCCAGTGGCAGGATATGGAGCAGTCATACCCATGTAATAGGGAGAGTCGGTACCCAGTGGACGGGGCGATACTGGAGTGAACTTCGCGTCGGCAGCAGCGAGTGTCGACGCCTGATTCTCACCTAGGGTACCAGTTGAGTGGACGCTGGAGGGGAAAGAGGAGCTGGCTGCCTGTCCTGAGTTTGCTTGAACTGGTAGCGCAGGAAAACTGTGGCTATATTGCGAAGAGTATGTCGGCTTGCTGGTCTCCGGCTCTGGCTCTGTCGTCGGCATTTGATAAAGAAGACTCAGGTTAGGTTGAGAGGAATCGGTGGCACCAGTGAGAGCCCAGCCGATAGCTGAATAGGGCAAGTTAGCCTAGTGGTGCATTGAGATTGGAAGTGAAAATAGTTTACCTTGACTCGGGTCAAACTTTGGCGACTCGCCATCCGAAGGGTCAGTAAGACCAGAGGCCCGCCCGGTGCTTGAAACCTCTGCTGCTTTACTTGGCCAAGCGGAGGGCCCGAATGGTGTGCTCTCAGCGCTCTGTCCATAGTCCTCTGCGGCATATAGGAGGGGGTCCACAATTCCCTTCGCCTTTTGATCTAAGACCGTTAAGATATACCCGGTGCCTTCCCAGTACGCATCAAGGGCCTTTAAAGCCTTGTAGCAGCGCTGGTAGTTTTCTCGCGCAGCAGAAGCCAGAAGAATATGCTTGGCAGTGGCCTTTCGCTCCGTTCCGTTAGTCGGCTCTATTGTTGGCAATACAAAGCCACTGGACTGATGAGCCAACAATGCCTGTGGTGCTGGCGGGGTCGTTGATTGCGACGAGGGTAGTGAATAGTAGGCGCTTTCCATCAAAAACGCACAGGCAGCAATGTACATCGGCTGGCTGGTGAAAGGATTGCCGATGAAGCTTTTTCCATCCACCAGTTCGGAGAAGGATAGGATATCGGCAATTGTCTTTGCAGACGACATCGAGAGCTCACGGCTGTTCGGATATAGGTGTTGAATTGTACCGCCAAAGGAATTCAACAGAGTCGGTTGATGAAGGAGAACGATAAGGGTGTGGAACCACTATATCATGTTAGTCGCTTGACCACCTTCGAGGTGACGTGGGAATACATACGAAATGAAGAAGAATGAAATTCGTTCCCTCCTTGGCTTTGACATAAGCCTGGAAATTCGCAGCATTGAAATGAAGTCTTGGTGACAGCCTTTGGTAAATTCCTGAAACACAATTTGGGTCAATTGTGGTCAAACAAGAAAACCGGACACGTAGTCGTCACTTACCGGTCAAGTCACTTTCCATGCCCGCTAGTCTCTTCAATGTATCCGACGTGACATGCTTGACAGCTTGAATGCTGTTGATCAAATCTGTCACACGGCCATACAGATGAATGACACGAATCAGAGGAGGGAATGGTGCAGGCCATCCGTTCGCAAGCTGGGACTCGGACTGAAGAGGAAAACACAGCTCTATATCTTCATCCCGAAGAGTCACTGGTCTTCCGGTGCCAGAAGAAATCACTCGATCGAGAAAAAAAATACTCCAGAATGTGTCAACTCGCTCGCGTTCCCTGGCGCGTTCGGTATCAAGAGTCGGCGAATTCGGTTGTTGCGGCTGTTGCGTATGATACGTATCGAAATCATCGTACTGGTCTTCTCGCAGCTTGCCAGCCTGGCCGGACATCACCTCATTGGGCGTTACACCTTTGCTGCCATAATTATATTTTAATCCTTGGTGCTTCTGCAAACCCAGATCCTGCGCCATTCGAATGGAGATCCCCAGGTACATCCAAAGACCGCTGTCGTGGTTGGATCCGAATTGATCATAAGCTAGGAGCAAGCATGCTTGGACCGCGGTCAGAGTCGGACACGACAATGAGTCTATGAGAGCGCTCATTGCTCGGTGCGTAAAAGGAAGGCTTCGATCTGACATTTTCGTCTCGGCAGGCGCCTGAGAAGAGTCTATCGGAGGCGCTTGAGGCGACGCGAGTAGCGGATGAGGAGAAAAGCGGGCTGCTAGCGAGCAAACAGCGTCGACTAGCATGGTGTCGGCCTTCTTGTCTTTGAGATCTTGCAGGAATCGTTCTCGCTGGAGGAAAGGAAAGTTGCAACCAAGGTGGGTGAAAAACAGGTCCACAAGATGGGAGACCAGTTCCGGAACGGGGAGGGAGTCATCGCGGTCATAAAACGGGATATTGTTGTATCGGTCATCACGGTGGTTGAGTATTGTTGGGAGAGAACTGTCCACCCCCTCAGCTATTTTGGGACTCCGAGACGGGGACTGTGACTCTAGATTGAAATTTGACGTCAACATGAGTCTATTGAAAAGATCATGCGGATCACGGGTGGCCGTAGACGAACCTGAGGACAAAGACGTGTTACTCTTGCGGGATCCCCGTATTTGCACAACCTATGAGCACATTAGAGGGTGTGCATAGAACATTTGCGGAGATATCAGACCATTTGCTTGAAGCCGGGTACAATGGCTGTCGGTCCGAAATATCTAAAATATGGGACGTGGGTACGATTGACGGAGCTCACGGAAGTCCGGCCTGCATATTTCGATCCAATTAATACATCGAGTCGCGCCCACTTGGACGAGGAGCATAGTCCCCCATGACTTACTGCTTTCTGGAGTATCTCCCGCTCCCACAGAGTCGGATTCCTTAGTGCGCGCCGAGGTATCTCGCGACGAAATATCTTTCGCATCGGAGGTTCTCTCGGTTGGCGACTTTGCCGTTGCATTCGCGGCCGGTACATTCGGGGTCGGTGCATGCGAAGGTTCCGGAGAGCAGCTTTCCACTGCTCTTGAGTATCGTGGGTGGCTGGAATCGTGGGGACCTTCGAGCTGCGGGAGCGGCGGTCTTCGCGACGAGGAGTCGGATTGGGATCGCATGTGCGCGGTCGAATCGGCGTATCCGAGGCAAACGTGCTTATAATCTGAACATGTTCGGCAAACTAAAGCAAATAGCGATCAGCTCACAGAACCCCTCGGTAAACGGACCTGCGCTTGGTCGTACCTGGTTGTTCGCCCGAACACCGAATCTTGCGCCGGCGGCATGTCAAACAGCTAAACGCGACCGGTTCAGTCAGTCTTTCTGTCCAATCTCCTCAATCTGTCCAGGGGATCAATCACATACGCGGCGTTGACTCGACGGCGCTTGGTCTGCGGCTGGCCATCAGTAGCGACAAAGCGAATCTGGCGTGGCCCGGAAGTATTGCCGCTACTTTTCTTCTTGGGAGAAGGGGCACTCATGGCGAGCGCAGGGATAAATCGTGGGCAGGACCCATTGGGCTCTGTTGTGGTGTGGCCAAGGAGAAGAGACCGAGTCGTGCAGTGCTTGGATCTATGACACGGGATTCCAGCGGCGGGGCAAGGTCGTTAAGGAAGATTCAGAGCGCGCCTCATGAGAGAGTTGGGAGTACCGAAGGAGGGGAGCACAAGGGGGGGGGGACGGCCTTAGAGCCCAATCGGAAGGGGTAACTCTGGTATTGGAATGAGAGACGAAGGAGGGGAAATAGAAAAGTTGGAGGAGGGGAGGGAAAACGATAAGCTGCTACTGTTCGCCTCCACAAAGCTCATATCATACATACATCGCCAGCGGGCTCGGAAATTTTTTCTGTAAGAATTATTTTTTTTTTCCCACAAGAACATTCTATGGAGTCTCGCTAGTGTTGACCGCCCTCTACCTGACAGATTCTACCCGTTTTTCCCCCCGAGACAGCGTCCTTCGGTTCCACTCAAGTCAGGGACAGCATGACATTTCACGATCTGATGGTCATGGGATCTTTGCCCAGGTGGGTCCCCCCACGGTCCATCAGATCCTCGTTCCTGGTACGGGGTACTTTCGGCCCATTTCATACTAGGATGAATTGCTGAGTCCCTACAGTGCAGGAGCCGAGCGCTAATGCTATTCTAGAAAGACCCTGCGAAGATGAGACCTGATGTATCTACGAGGTACTTTGGGAGGAAAGATTTGCCAGCAAAGCCGGGGGTGTCCAGAACTCAAACGGGGCTCCCGTTGCGTTTTGCTCCAATGGAGCTTGTTTGGGCTTTGCGGTGTCCGCTTTCCCCACTCACACTCTCCGACCAATCCCGCCAGCTGCCAATTTCCAGAGCTTCTATAGGGTGTTGCTGCACCTCGCGGCGGATGCAGTGGATGCAGTGGATTACATGGAGGGGTAATTATGACTGTTGCTTGACATGATAACCGCAAACTCTCAAGGGGGGACGCATACGCTGCGTAATTCGGCGATTTTCCCGTGGGATCAAATTTCCTTTCTCAGTAGGGGTCAAGCCGCAAGCTCCTATGTTTATAACGTAGATGCGATATGGTGTCATAGTGATGCCCTTTCCCTTATTAAGCTTATCCCACCAATGACCGGCATCGGAGAAAGGTTTTCTCGAGATGTTCCACAAAGACATTCTAGAAGGTGAATGTGAACTGGATGTATATAGATCGTGATTATATATCGAGGATGACGTATTCTAAATTTCTCCTTCCAAGGTTTCAAATTTCTCATTCCAAAAGGTTCGTGCCGCGGGATCGCGAACAGCTGTCGGGCCGAGAACTCGGCACTTACTGCCACGCACTGTACAGACGCCGGTCCGTGAAATTCGGCGCAACTTCCGGATGTGCGTGGGTATAAGGCCCACCTGCCCCTCCAACCCCCCGCATCCATCCCAGCTATTACGATAAGGCTATTCATTTCTCCCATGCATGCAGTGAGCGTCCTTCGCCCAGCCCGTACCTTTGTGTCCTTTTCCACGTATGTGTCTACACCGTCATAGTGGCAAGAGCGGGGAATAATACGCACAGCGCCCCGATCTTCTGCGGAGCTGGCCAGCTAACCCTCGAGTCCTAGTGCAAATCGACCATCTCTCCACTGTTACACCCGCACGCCCATTCGTACCATCACCCAGTCATTGAAGATGTATAAGCGACATCCCGATTTGAGAAGGTCCAGGCCTCCCGGCCAGACTTTCGTGCCAACGCCGAGGTCAACACCACCAAGACCCCCAACCCTGCCTGGAAGCAGGGTGATGGCGGGAACGACGGCGGAGAGAGCTTGAAGAAGGACCATATTGAAATCAATCCCTACGCCGAGGGCCGTCCCGCGGCACTGAACTACAAGCTTCTCATTTCCAGCATCGTTCCTCGTCCCATTGCACTTGTCAGCACTGTCTCGGCCGACGGGAAAAGCTTCAACCTGGCACCCTTTAGCTATTCGCAGGTCGTGTGCCACGATCCACCGACCTTTATCGTCGGATTTGCCGGTCCCTTGGAGCAGGCCAAGGACACCCTGAAGAACTTGAACGAGACTAAAGAATGTGTCATCAATATCATATCAGAGCACTTTGTCGAGGCTGCTAACTCCACCTCGGTCAATGCTCCGTACGGCCAATCAGAGTGGAAGTATTCTGGCCTGCACCAGGCACCGACATCTATTGTCAAGCCTCCGCGCGTGAAGGAATCGGTTTTCTCCGTCGAGGCCAAGCTGCAAGATATCAAAGAATTCGAGAGCCGCACCACCGGGCAGAAGACTGGCGCTATGGTCATCGTCGAGGGCGTGCGCTTCTGGGCACGTGAAGATGCCATCAACGAAGAACAATCCATTATCGATGTGAATGTGCTGAAGCCGGTTAGCCGACTGGGTGGCATTACCTACGGTCGCGTTACAGAGATTTTCGAGCTCCAGCGTCCTGAGTGGTGATCGGTATCTTCTGTATCTAAGTGATTTATTCTAGAGTTAGAGGGACAGTTTTTCACTAGATCCGCATCACCAGAATACGCTAGATGGGTTGGATCAAATTCTAAGGTGTGCCCCTTTAGGGCAAGATGAACGGGTGATCAATCGCGAAGATGTATTATAGGCATTTCTATGCAAATACGCTGCCTTATGAACATGAAGCAGATATTACTTAGGGCCCTAAAGCGTTTAAGTTATGTTCAGAAACGATATTCTTCCCAAATCCTCGGAGTTGGGCTCTTAATGCTTTTAGTGAGACTCTGATCGAGCCTTTTCTTTCGCCAGTCGCTTTTGTCGCAATTTTATCCCATGCGACATCAAATACCAGAATGTAGGCGACACTACAACCGCTATCAGCGCCAATGTGGTGTACGCCCATCCCCAACCCATAGCGTTTTTCATCGGAGTGATCGCAGCCGACGAGGCAGCACCTAGCTCACAGCGGAAAAAATTATTTGCCGCCGTGGCAGCAGCAGATCGGCCTGGCCACAGATCAACCATGAGCGCACTCAGGACTTGCGCCGTAGCGTTCAAAGACCACCCACAGAGGAAAAGCAGGATCACGGGGGCTGCCAGGTTGACCTTGATGCCCAGAACCCAGCCGTATGCAATGACAGTAGACACACTCAGATAGTACATGGGCAACCCAATCTCCAGTCTGGCTCGTTCGATGTTGAAATTGGAAAGATCTTGTCGCACGTTCCTGATGACTGGGAGTCCCGCCCGTTTGGCGTGTCTGCGGTAGTTCCAATCCAGAAGGCGACCCGTTGTAAATGCAGAAGCGACGCCTCCAGCCCCAATGGGGACATACATCAGGCCTGTTTGAATATTGTTGAAATGATACACCTCGTGGAATGAACTGGTTGCACCGGTCATGACAGCATAGAAGCAGGCAAACATCAACGCGGTCGTCAACAGAATAATGGATGTTTCAATATCGAGGATCACCTTCAGAGTCGGCAGCGGCGAAGGGAATCGTAATCGGTAATTCTTTCTAACCTCCGCAACCTTTTCCGGGTCAGGCGTGAGACCTTTATGGCTTCTTCGCCTTTGTCGAATCAGGTCAGTAACGGAGGTGTTCAGAACAGGCGGTGGTACTGAACCATCGCCTACAACCTTTCGACAAGTCTCGGGCAGGAAAAGAAGCAGCGCTAGGAAGAAGATGCCGCCAAAAATAAGAAGAAACCAAAAGAGCCAATGCCAATTGAGATACTGGCTGAGCAGGCCGCCAATTATTGGGGAAAGCGAAGGGCCCAGCATTGAGCCAAGCGAGGCAAATGCAATATAGCTACCTCGATCGGCCGATGTGACCAGGTCACCCACCAGCCCATTGGCCAATGCGACAGTGCCGCTGCTTCCGGCACTTTGGAGACATCTCAAGACAGCCAGAGCAGCATAAGAGTTCTGAAGACCTAGCCCAAGGTTCGCTGCAAGGTAAACTGTAAAGCAGATCATGTATGCGGGTCGTCGTCCAGCACCATCTGAGAAACCGGCAATGAACATAGGGGCTATTCCTTGTAATATCTGATGAAATAATCAGCCAATTATCCACGAGACGATGGGCGGAGTGCATACTAGATATGTTGTAACCGTGATATCGATTTTCGAAGTAGAAACGCTCAATGCTGTGGCAATCGTATCTAACGCCGGGAAATAGATGCTGGACGAGAGAGGCGAGAAGAAGGCGGCAAGAGAGCCAACCGTCACCATCGCTCTCCTCTGATTCACAGTAAAAACTGAGAATTCCACATGCTTAGGGGTTCCACTTCGAGGCACTGTCGGTTGTTCTTCATCTTTCGCATGCGAGCCTGGGGTGGGGTCGCTCGTTTCCTTCTCCCCGGCCGGCGTATCTGGTGCTGATTGTTGAGTCGGATTCATGATATTCCTGGGGCTGGTTCACGAGCCAAAGACTAGCAAACGGGGCTCCAGAGCTTTTGTACTCGGCGAGTTCATGAGCTGATTGACTACACGTATTTATGAATTTTTTGAATGGCAGGGAAAATCCTTTAGCGGCCATACAGGATGCCGCGACCGGCCCGGAACCGGGATATGTCCTCAACCGCTGTCACCACTCATTCAAGCACTTTGCCCACTAGTCGAGAGCTTCAAATAACTTAATTACTGTGAACGATATTGCGGTAATTCATTTCACGTCTTTCGACTTTGGGGCTATATCTTGTGGTCTGCCCTCACAGACTGTGCATGTAGCCTGGCGGATCATCGAACCCGGTGCCGGCGATGTAATTCCCGGGCGTGCTCACCATTAAGACAGGACGAGAAAAAGCTCGAAAGCGTAAAAAATCACCATGCGAGAAATAAGATTCCCCTATATTCAAGTACATATTGTGTACCTATCTTCTAAGGATTAGTTGGAGCCTCTGAGACCGTCTGGAGTTGCTAGTATTGTAAGCACGATCTGTCGGAGACAGCATGATTCCTATCCGTGGGGTAGTACTTATAGAACATTCTCGAGATAAGACTGGATCCCCATGCGGTCGGATAAATCTGTCTTCAGGCCATAGTGTAGAACACATACATCCGCATATCGAACAGTAAGCATATATCAAAAGAAACCCTCTCGGTGAGCGATTGATTGGATATGATTCATAAGAAATTAGGCTTGCTTACAAACCTAAATCTGACGAACACTAGAGCGCTGAGAGGAGGTTTCCGACACCTTTAAAGCCTGCAGTGCTCCATTTCTTTTTGCCAGAAAGCTGCAATGTCTCACAACATTCTCATCACAGGCGCATCGGGATATCTGGGCGGCACCCTCCTGGCCCGCTGGGGTGGTGCGGGGCTTCCGGCCTACCAGAAGCTGTTTGCCTTGGTTCGCACGCCCGAACAAGGTGAGGCAGTGAAGCAATATGGCGCTGAGCCCCTGGCTTTTAGCCTCAAGAATGAGGCGGAGATTAAGTCTGGCATCGTCGATAACGAGATTAGTGTCATCTTTTTTCTGATCGATGCATTGACGTCAAAAGCTCAGCTGCCAATGATCAGAGCTTTGGCAGAGGTCAAGAAACAAACGGGGAAAGACGTCCATTTTCTGCATACTTCTGGTGCGAAGATATTTAGCAGCCATGCTGGGCTTCCGCACGATCGACCCCTGCACGATGATGACCCGCAGCTATACGATTTCCAGAAGTCAGCAAAGCCTGCGTTTCCTCCCATGCAAATGGTGAGTATTCAACTGATCTACCTAACTTACCATTGTAAGTTCTAACATGGAATAGGCGGTTGCAACAAATAATGCTGTAATTGAAACAGCGGAGGCCCATGGAGTGCGGAGCTACATTTTTGTGCCTTGTATTGTGTACGGCCGAGGCGAAGGATTCGGCAACCCTATCTCCATCCAGACTGTGGCCATCGTCAACGCAGCCAGAAAACTTGAACAGGTGTATAGACCAGACCAGGAGATATATGTAAGCGATTCCCCGTCCTTGTGCTGGGGCCGAGGTTTGCTCACCAGAACAGTCATGGCCGGTGTGTCATGTTATTGACAACACAAGACTCTACCTCGAGATCATGCGAAACATTCTATCTGGCAAAAATATTGCACACGGAAAGAACGGTTATTACTTGGCTTCCAGTGGGCCCATCGTGTGGGATGATCTTTATCGCGCAATGGCCAAAGGGCTTGCTAAGCGTGGGGTCGTGAAAAGCGATTCCGTTGAGGTAGCTGATGATGCCGCTCTGCAAGCAATGGGCGAGGCTTTAGGGTGCCCCAAGGAAGCGGTATCGGTACATCTGGGAGGTAGCTGCACACTGACCCCAAATAATGCGTGTAAGATTGGATGGGCCCCAGAATTTGCTGCTCAGCATGCTCTTGAGGTGGCGGATGATGAGGTAGATTTGATCTTGAAATCCTCTAAGTAAATGGGGAAGAAATTGCGGGTTGTACGATTTTATACACCAATGTACCAGTCTCTAAGTATGACTATAGCAACGTAATGAGTGGGTGTAGCTTCCTCCATAACCGAAAGCCTAAAAAAGGGGAGGTTGTACTTTGAACCAAATCCACCCTCCCCCCGTCCAGTGTTATTTTGCCCAATTGGAGACATGTTCGGTTTGGTTGCGACGGCTTTGGGCAAAGTTATCAAAGTGATAGCCCTAACCAGGGCGCAAGTTGTAGGAGAGTCACAGAAAATGGGCCTGTCCAAAGAGGCAGCTGAGTGGTTCTGTGATGCACTGAAGGGGCCCAGGGGTGATGTGCGAACAACTCCGGAATACCAGAAGAACATTGGAAATTTCCAGAAGTGGACCGGTAAAACTGCTATCAGGTTAGAGCAATGGCTGGAAGAAAACAAGGGAAGATTCGCCTCCTAGCTATATAAATCCTGTCATGGAGGGCTACCTCCGAATCGATGATCGCGATCTTTGGGCGCCAGTAAGAGAGCTAGCTATAAGATCTCCCCTCTGTTCACCAAATAAATTATTAAGACCTAGATTTCCTCGAAGGAGAATGTTCAGAAAATGTCATTCATTATAACTTTCAATGACTAACGTATTCATTGCACATTTTCCCCTTCATCGTCGTGGAAGATCACCGTGCCCCAATTTGGACGATTGAAGCGCTTGCCGCCAAGTACGTTGACCAAGCTATCAATCTCCGCTATTTCTTGATCATCCATGTGGAAAGTTTGGTGTAGGTTCGCCGCAATTCGAGCTGGCTTGGTACTCTTCGGGATGACGCTCCACCCTTTGCGAATTCCCCAGCTCAATAACACGTTACCAGAGCTGCAGCCTCTCTTCTCTGCAATTTTATTCACCACGGGATTCTCGTGGAGCGTGCTCCCACTACCGCCAAGGGGTCCAAAAGCGGTTTGATGGATTCCCTTAGAAGAGCAGAGGGCATTCAGCTTTGTCTGGGGCAGCAGAGGTTGGATTTCGGTCTGATTGACAGCAGGAACCACCGTACAGCTCTTGAGCAGCTTCGCTAAATTCACTGTCGAGAAATTCGCAACACCAATCGCGCGAACTTTCCCTGTCTCTAGCAGCTTCTCCATCTCACGCCAGGTATCGGTAAAATCCCACTCCGGGTCATGAATCGTCCGATCCTCTTTCCCATATGTGTCTGGTCTGGACCCAGGAAGAGTCACAGGCCAGTGCATCAAGTAAAGGTCAACATAGTCTAGTCGTAAGTCATCGAGGGACTTTTGAAGCGCGGACATGATACGACGGTGGTCGGACGACCAGCTTGAATGAAATTGTACGTCAGTAAATGTAGCGATTCAAAAGGCTGATGTGCATACAGTTTTGTTGTCACGAAATATTCATTTCGAGGCACGTCTATGGTTTTGAAGACTTCGCCAATTTCGGCCTCGTTTCCATCTGAAATTCTGGTCAGCCGGGTTTGTCAACCATTAAATCCTTGGTACACGCACAAAGCGGTGCGCAGTCCTGGTTTGACGATCAGCTTGACAATTTGGAAGATTGAAGCAAGGGAAACTTACAAAATGTCTGTATCCCGCTTCAAATGCTGCTTGGACAGCGGCCCCGGCTTCTCCAGGCCCTGCTTTCCATGTTCCAAACCCAATGGCCGGAATCTGAGCCCCGGTGTTTAGCGTGAACTTCTTGTTTTGAATTTTCTGAGACATCTCGTCCGCCAAATGCCCCCTAAAAGATCGACGATTCAATTTACTTTTATAATGACGATGGAATTCGACTGCTATTATCTGCCGCATGATGGGGGAATTAGAACTCGGAGAGAATCCCGCCGATGGAGTCTCTCCCCTCATCGACGAACGCCGGAGCTACTCCGATCTACAATGCCTGCCCGGAAATTTGCTTCATTTTAAGGCTGAGAGCATACAAACCACCTCGAATAAAGAGATATCATTCTAAAGCCTCTTGGGAGGAAAAAATGTGAGGCTCCATCGGGACGTTGTTGGAAGATATTCCGTCCACAAAGAAGAGCCCACCGGACTAGCCGCATCCTCTACGGTCGCCAATAGCACTTGAAGTAGACATGGGCTGTAGCTCACGATAGTATACCTAACTTAGAGATTGCTAGTGGAATGGGAGCAATTACTACTAGTATAGACCGTCGGAACTGGCGCTGACATTCGATGATTTAATTCAATACACGAGTGTGATCAGGCAGTCTCGAGATGCTCCACGTCAGCTCTCTTAGCATCATCATCCTGTTTCCCCGTCACAATATTATCCAAGACATCGGATCGAACTTTCTCTTCTTCTGTTGGGTAGGCATGTCGCCACATTGTCCAAAGTGGCCGCTCGAACAGATTATCCATACTTTCAATAGATCGTCCCTTCATTTCGGGAAGGCAGAAGTATATGAAGATCACGCCGAGATACGTGAGCATTGCGTACAAGAGAAAGACGCCCCACCCCATTTCAGTGATCATGTTGGGGGTGGCACGAGTAATGCCGTAATCAACGATCCAGTTAATGAAGAAGCAAAATGCCATACAGAAGGACCGCTATGTAGATGTTAGACTTGTTTAAAGAAAGAGATACCAGTAGAGTTGCACTCACGATTCTCGTAGGAATATTTCTGCCGCGACAACATAGCAGGCTACTGAATGGCCAAACGACCACCCGAAGGCGTAGATATAGATTGCGACAATCCCTACTATACCCCCAGCAGGTGTTCCGCCCACGGTAGTTGCGCTCGTGTCTGCAAATCGCAAATAAAGGGCGAGGTATAGCATGCACGTCGCTTGCATTGTGGCACCGACCAAGAGAGGAACGCGCCGACCGATGCGGTCAACCAGGTACCCGACGTAGAATATAGTGGTCACAGTCTTCACGACACCATAGATACCAGTGTCGAGTAAGGTAGTTGAACCACCAGAAACTCCGATTAAATCGAAGATTTCGGGGGCATAATACTGTAATATCGTCAATATATCGTGCGGCACAAAACGAACGTGGGCGAACAAACGTTGATAGAATCCGTTCCAGTGAATTTGTGGAAGAGGAACAGCATCACTGCCAGGAAGAAGCGCTGGAAGTTGTTTCTCGAGGTGAAGATATCTTTCATCACCACCCAGTAGCTATGGCCAGCGAAGCATTCTTGTTCGTGCCTCACTTGGGCCTCGATCTCGCTAAACTCGGTCTGAATATACTCATGGTCCGCGGGCAACTTCCTCAATTTGCAAATGTTTTTCAGCCCTTGCTCAGACCGGCCATGGTTGATCAGCCAGCGAGGTGTTTCAGGCACGAATGGGATCATCAAGCACATCAGTGCACCAGGAATGATCTGGATCCCCATCGCCGTGCGCCACTGCGTGTCATCGTGTTCCACTCCCGGCCAGTCCCACTTTGAAACGCCATAATTGACCCAAAATGCCAACATGAGCGATGTAACAATCATTAAATTGTAGGTGGCCGTCATTGACCCACGAACCGACTTGGGGGGAGTTCTCGGCCAGGAACTGAGGAGTAAGCATTGAGGATGCACCCACGCCCATACCAGCCACAAAGCGACCACCCAGAAGGACGTCGTAATCGGCGACCATCTGCATCGCTGCTCCTATAACGAAAACAAAGCCCCAACCGAAGACAGACCACTTGCGGCCGAGGTAATCAGATGTTGGAGCTGCAAGCAAGGCACCGGCCGAGCCACCGGCAGCGAGCATCGACGCAATAGTACCCTGTATTCTGGTATGTTAGAGTACAATTGGACACGAAGCAAATACAAGCATGGTCGTACCTTACGATCATCCAGATCATTTTGAGACATCTTGTTCAGACCAAAGGCATTCTGAAAAGAAGGAAGGGTAAGAATACCACCGATATTTCCTGTATCGAACCCATAGAATGATCCACCCCATGCAACAGATACAAGAAGGAAAAGAAGCCTGAGATTAAATATGGCCTTTGGATCGGTCTTTGCTTCATTGCTGATCCAAATGCTGGTTCCTCCTGCCATTGGGATGGACTTTGCGAAATATATCAAAAGTGTTTCTTGCTGAATATAGGCTGCGTGGAGGATGGATACTGCACCTCAACGGAAAGCGAATCCACGAACCTAGTACCAAGGGGCCGCTGTAGACATCACGCAGAAATAAAGCTTTCAGCGCTTTGACAATTCTCCCCAACCCCCGTGGGGAAGTGGAGAAGTGGAGCTCCGGCTTGATCTGGGGTCGGTCTGTATGCCGGTCGATATCCATTGTTGGCCAGGGCTCGGGGACCAAACCGATATCTGCGAGCTCACCGATGTGGAGCTTGAGGACATCGTGGGAACACGTCCGATAAGATAAGAGCTAACATGCCACTTCAACTCGTTGCCATTTTGATTTCAGCAGTCAGTCCCCCGGTTCCAATCAGTCCCCGTCCAAGTCACTATGGCTGAAGCAATGACTCTCGAGGCCCCCCGGTTTCAACCCTCATCTTCAGCACCTTCCACGCAAGGGCCCATCGTATGCCGAAGCCTACATTCCCGCCCTCACCACACAATGCCATGCTTCCAATCTTCTCCTTCTGCCAAATGGAGATTTGCTATGTGCCTGGTTTGGAGGAAGCATTGAAGGGCGGCCAGACATCTGCATATACATGTCGCGGCTCGAGAAAGGGCAGAATATCTGGAGCCCAGCGGTGAAAATGACGCACGACCACACACGAAGCGAGCAAAACCCAGTCCTCTTTCGCGTCCCTTCGTCAGGAGAAATCCGATTGCTCTATACATCCCAGGACGCAGGAAACCAAGATTCGGCCATTGTGAAGCAACAAATATCTCAAGATAATGGGTCAACCTGGTCTGAGCCTAGCGTGCTTTTTAGCGAACCGGGCACCTTCATTCGCCAACCGGTCGTTGTGCTCCAGGACGGAGCCTGGGTGGTCCCTACCTTCAAATGCAGAGCAGAGCCAGGTACAAGATGGCTTGGAAACGATGACATATCGTGCATTCGAATCTCCCGGGATGAGGGGCAAAATTGGAGCGAAAAAGAGATTCCGGACAGCTATGGTTGCGTGCACATGAATATCCAGCAGTTGAAGAATGGAACATACCTCGGCTTGTACCGAAGCCGATGGGCTGACAATATATATTCATCGACATCACCTGACGGTATCAACTGGAGTGTACCCGTGCCTACAGTTCTGCCAAATCCCAACTCCGGAGTTTGTTTTGGCGTTTTACCCTCAGGGAGAGTGGTGCTTGTGTACAATCATTCCTCGAAGAAGGACGCTCTTGGACGTCGCGATGGCCTCTACGATGATATCAGCGACGGCAAAGATACTCGCGCCAATCAAGCAAGTAAACACGGAAAAGACGCGTTTTGGGGTGCCCCGCGGGCACCTCTCAACGTGGCTTGGAGTGACGATAATGGGGCCAATTGGGCATGGAAGACGCTGGAAGACGGAGACGGTTACTGTTTGACTAATAATAGTGAGAAGAAGCTCAATCGAGAGTTATCTTACCCAAGTATTCTCGTCCAGGACGATGGTACGATCCATATCGCCTACACTTTCTGGAGGCAGCGGATCAAGTACGTCAGGTTAGGAGAAGATTTCTTCCAGTGATACCAAGCGAATGAATGCGAGCATAGATTTCCAAATGACTATCAGATATATGATCGAAGAAGCCCTATACAGATTGACTCCAGATTATTCACATGATTCCAACGGAAAGAACCTAGTACAACCAAGCGGAATTCTTGACCAACTTGATTGACGCCCGCGACTGGCAATGGGCAGCCTCGTTAAGCCTGCCGGGAATCTGCCCTGTAGAGGCCAGGATCAGCATCCTGCTAAGCCTGTGCGATTTCAGTTGATAACGAGAGGGCCATATAGTTGGAATAAATTGAACAATAATCTAAACTCTTTGCAGTGTTCGTGTCTAATGGTCTTCATTCCTGACCAGCTCAACGGCTAAGAAGCATCAGGCAAGCCGTTTTCCACCTCAACCAAGTGCTGCATAACCTTCTCCCCCCCACGCAGCCTTGTCAGCACCAATGGGGGCATATGGCTTTCGGGGCCAAAAGGTCTTTGGGTTCATTAATCCAGCATGAGGACCCGCGAAATGGAAGGCCGTGTATTTGGTGAGTGCAATGCCCTCCTTGCACGCCTTCTCCGCTTGGGCGACCAGACCCTGTAATTTCTTCGCCTCCTCGAGCCTGCCCCCGTTCCATAATGAGTACAGCTTAGCGACACTCTTGGGGAAGATGTTTGCGATGCCCGTCACACAGCCACCTCCGCCACCTGCAAGACAGGGGATCAACCAGTCCGATGAGCCCGCATAGACGGCGAACTGCTTGTGGGTGTATTCCTCGGAGAGTCGAGTCACTTTTCCAGCATTGCCGCAGGTCAATTTCACTCCAACAATATTGGGATGTTGCGCGAGTTCGGACATGGTATCGGAATTCAAGTCGATGCCGTTGCAGACAGCGGGGAACTAGTAAAACCAGCGAAGAATTAATCGTCTGCGGCCGTAACGAGGCGAAGGAGATAGCTCACACTGTAGATAATGACCGGAAGTGCCGTTGCGTCAGCCACTTCGCGATAGAAGCTCAAGATCACCTCCTTTGTGACTGCCTTGGCCCAGTAGTTGGGCGGCAGCAGCAAGCCGAAATCTGCGCCCGCGCCCAGAGCATCTTCGGCCAGGCGAATGGACTCATTGGTCGATTGTCCACTAATCCCTGCGACTATTGGAACTTGTGGGCGGCCAGCATCTGCAGTCGCCTTCTTTGCGACCTTGATCAGTTCTCTCCGTTCCTCTGGAGCTAAAAGGGCTGCTTCTGCATTCGTTCCTGCTAGGACGAGACCATCTACGCCTCCACGGACCAAGTGCTGGAAGAACTTGTAGGAAGCATCGTAGTCAATTTCCTGCCGCGGGGTAGCCTTGTACAGGGAGATGACCGGGACATAAACGCCTGGAGGAACAGGCTTGGATTTAGCAGCGAGCGTGGATGTCATGGTATGTGTTCTCCGTTCTTCGCAGAGAACCGCTAAACTCTCTCTATATGGCTGTTAACCAGAGGCCAATCGCCTTATAGACCAAGCCATCACTCGGTGCGTCAACCATGGATTCCAGTCATCTCGGCGTCTCTCCGACATTTCCGCGCCGGAGTCTTTTCCACTGATGCGGGGGTTGCCAGCAACCCCAATGAGCCCTCGTGGATAATGTGGGGGAGCTTCCGGGGAAGAGACGATCCATACCGGTTCAGTGCATCGTGCATCAGGTGGTCCCGCTTGGGCGGATGAGCTCCTAGCGAATGGGGTTCAGGGGATTCTTCCTCCAGTGTGGCACATAGTTCTTCCCCTCTTCGACGGCTTTGATAAAAGCCCCTCGGGATACTCCCCGTGCTTGCTTCTCTTTCACACCGTTTAGTCCTACACCATGACCAAAAGGAAACGGACATCGGCCGAGAATACATCGGATGCCTTGCCGGACTCGGGCGATCTACATGGGAAGGACCTAAGCGTGATGGATGTCCTGCCGGGGATCACCCGCAAAATCACAGCCTGTGGAGCCTGTAGGAAGCAAAAGGTGGGTGATGCATAGTGCTGCTGGGGCCAAGACTGATTAGCCGCCAGATCAAATGTGACATGTCCGAGGGCCCACCTTGTACTCGATGCCGGCGTCGAGGACTATCGTGTGTTTTGAACAAGAGCCTTCAGTCATTGGTGGAAGAAGTGAAGTATGTTTCTGTAGTGCGCGGCTCAGATTGGGCCCCAACGGCGAATGCTGACGCTTGAGCATCTCCAGGAATACAGATATCCTGCAACGCGACATCCGAAATGTCCACGAAGCTTTAATCAATATCTGCCAACATCTTAGCTTGCCTCAACCAAAGCCGTTGGAATCGACCATTGCAGAGCCGCGGGTTCAAAGCAAAGCTGATGTGAATGAAGAGCTAGAACGAGACACGGAAGATCTTGACGGCTGCGAGATCTCGCCGCCCGATACCCCGTCTGCAGTGCAAGCTCCAATCGATACGTATCTGGACATTGCGAAACTCGGTAGCCCTGGATCTTCCGAGCACACGCCCGGTAGCACCACCCGACCACGGGCCCACCACCCGCCCCAGGATTTAGTGGCCAAAGGGATTATCGATTTGAATGTAAGAGAATCTCTCGTCGAGCGGTACTTTACAAAACTGGATCCCTACCTGTATGGAATCTGCAGCGGGTACCAGAGCTTGCAGCAACTACGGACCACATCACCTTTGTTATTTGCGGCCATTTGTACAGTTTCAGCACTACAGGACCCACATGGTCAGTCGGTGTACGAAGCGTGCAATCGAGAATTTCGTCGACTTATGTCCCGATCGGTGTTTGAAAAGCATGATCTAGAATATGTACGAGCCTTGTGCATCAGCTCCTTCTGGCTTTCTGATGCGTCAAGAATCCTATCTAGTGATGCCGTCCGGCGCGCAGCTGATATGAGGTTACACCGTAGCTTCAATCATCTATCAAGCTCGGTGGACCCCAAGCTACTAGCCAGCCCGGGTGGCCAACCCCCTGGGCCAACTGAAGTATCGGCCATGAAGGACAAAGTACGACTGTGGTACCTAATATTCATCTCCGACCAACATCTCTCTATTCTCCACAATTGGGATCCTCTATTGCGGAGCGACAAAGAGATTGCTCTGAACTGGGAAAGCTTCTTAACTAGAGACGACACAACGGACTCCGACGTTCGGCTTATCTCGCAGGTCGCGCTCTTGGTGATCATGAGCCAAGTGCGCGATTTGCTTGGATCAGACCAAGAAACCCGCGTACCCCAATCGCTTGCAAACCAAATCATTCACTATTCACGTCAGCTTGACCGGTGGTTCAACCGGTTCTCCGCCATATTCAAGCCCGACCCTTACATCGGCGACTTTCCCAAACGGGGTCTACAGTTGCACTACCACTTCGGAAAATTGTACCTGGGACACCAGGTGTTTAAGGGACTCAACGGAGAAGCCATCCCGCCGCATTTCATCACGGCAGCAGGCATGGCCCACGAAGCTGCGGTGGCAATTTTCGAGATGATCCTGCACGAGGAGCAACTTCGCCACAGCCTGGTCGGCATGCCGCACTACTTCCACATCATGATTGCCTTTGCCGGGCATTTCCTGCTGGAAGCGACGAAGAACTACCACGCGCAGCTCTCGATTTCGCCCGCGCAGGACTGCGAGCTTATCCGGAAGGTCCTGGAGCTTTTCCAGGATACGCCGAGCATCCACCAGCATCCGATTTGTCGAATGACGCCTGGGCTGACCCGGAAGCTCCACGAATGTGTGGGTTCGCTGCAACGAGAGGGCGGGCACCTAGTTCCCTCACTACCGGGGTCGACCCACCCCATGGACTACCAGACGCCACATCTTCAGGGCCAAATCCATCCAGCCCCTGGACCCTTTTCATTTCCAGGGGAGACACTGGTGACTCCTGTGGATGACTTTTTGCTAGCTGATTTCGGAGAGTTTACGTTTCCGGGCATGATGTCAAACGGGATGACTTAGATTCGCTAGTTCGTAACGCAAATCAAATTCTCCGCGCCGTCGTTCCATGCTGCATGGATGGGGTTCTCGTAATTGGGAAAAAGGGAGGCTAGCATCGTTCGAATAGAACTAAAGGGCTTCGGAATCTGTACGTCCGGCCTGCCCTATAAAAGGCGCGGAGAGAGTGCCGATGACCTGGGCGGGGGCCGAAAAGGACGTATAAAAGCAACCCCCAAAAAGAGAAGACTAAAAGAGAAAGCAAAGAAAATCAAATTCCAACACTAAATTCTGTACCACGTACAGAGTAGCCAAAGCTTCACGAGGTCGTAATCCTTCGACGCCGCTAATGGATCCATCATCACAACCGATAGCAAGCACCGGCAGCCATGCCCCAGAACCGGACAAGCCGCGCATGCAGTACCAGCGACTAGGAAATAGCGGGCTGAAAGTTTCTCGTATCATTCTCGGCTGCATGAGCTATGGCAACCCCAACTGGGAGGGCTCGCCGTGGGTGCTCGACGAAGCGCAATCTCTACCGCTGATCAAGAAAGCCTACGACATGGGGATCAACACGTTTGACACCGCGAACACCTACTCCAACGGTCGGTCGGAGGCCATCATCGGCAACGCATTGACCGCATACTCCATCCCCGCAGCCGAGTGGTGATCATGACCAAGATCTACTACCCGGTGCTGGAAGACGACCCTGACGCGCGCCCGCAGCCGGCGACCAACGACGGGCCGCTGGTCAACCAGATGGGCCTCAGCCGCAAGCACATCTTCGATGCGGTGGAGGGGTCACTGCGGCGGCTGCAGTCTGACTATATCGACGTGCTCCAGCTCCACCGGTTCGACTCCGAGACGCCAGGCGAGGAGATCATGCGAGCTTTGCATGACCTGGTGCAAGTGGGGAAGGTGCGCTATTTGGGGGCGTCGAGCATGCACTGCTGGGAGTTCGCGAGGCTGCAATACACGGCCAAGATGCACGGGTGGACGCCGTTCGTGAGCATGCAGGGTCTGTACAATCTACTATGCCGGGAAGAAGAGGGAGATGAATCCCTTTTGCCAGGCGGAGGGCGTTGGGCTGGTGCCCTGGAGTCCGTTGGCCCGGGGGTTACTGGCTCGACCGTGGCAGGAGAAGTCGACCCGCGCGGACCAGGATCTGAAAACTAAAAGATGGTTTGTTGGCGATGCCAATGAATGCATCGTGCGGCGCGTCGAGGAGATAGCGCGGAGGAAAGGGTGTGGGATGGGGTCGGTTGCGATATGCTGGTTACTGCAGAAGGGAGCATGTCCGGTCGTTGGCCTGAACAGTGTGCACAGGATTGAGGCTGCAGTGGAGGCCCTACAAGTCACGCTGACACCCACCGAGGTTGCTCTCCTCGAGGAAGCGTACCGTCCACTGGGGGTCCAGGCCATCTGAAGCCATTGAATATGCCCTAGAGGGAAGGATCGAGACGGACTAGTCCGCTTAGGATCTTTGGCAGTTGGCTCGCGTTGCCACGTTTTGCATCCTTTCCCGTCTGCTCGGGAATAAAAATAAATTGAGTCGTTGGAAGCGGCCCCCTTCGACAGTAAGCAGCAATCATGAAGGTCGATCAATGGGGCCGGTTTCAGCTTCGGTCGTGAGGGAACCGCCATACGAAGTCCTTAGTATCGGTTGACCACGAGGATCTCTTAAATGTAACTCCACCTATTTAAAACCTATCAGTTCCTACACTGGACTTTGAAAGAGACACAACTCCAATTCCACCACAGAAATTCCCTGACGGCGTTTCCAATTCCAATTGCAAGCAAAAGACTCCGGAAAACCAATACCAACTGGGTCAAACAATCCGACCGATCCGCAATCGCCATGATGCCAGGCCCCGGATTCAGTCTCCACCAGAAGATCTACATCAACTCGAAAGATGTCGACAAGTTCTTCAAATACTTCAAGCCCACCCATGATGCCATCATCAAGGAGCCCGAGTGCCGGTTTCTCGAGGTATACCAAGACCCGAAAGAACCGGGGACTATCAGCTGGGTGGAAAACTGGTATTTGGCCCCAATTGCGCCCCCGACCTCTACAGGCACGTGCTGATTCTCGATTCGAACAGGTCGGCCACAGTCGAATGGTTTGTAGAAGTAAGCGGATCTGTGCGGAATTGAACAGACAACACAAATGGGCGCATCTCGAGGCGCAGAGGCTAACTTCGACTCACAGGACCAAATGACCAAGGACTACTACAAAGACTACCTGGCAGCAACAGAGCCAATGTTCATCAAGCCTCGAGAATTCAAGATTTTCAACCGAGTGGGCGCGCCATATTACACAGTGAAGGATCATTAGCGGGAAAATATTGGTGTTGGGTCTTTTTTTTTTCTTTGGCTGGCATTTACGGGCAACACGGAGTAGGATACCTCTGTTCAACATGTGCGATTATTTGATACCTATTATAATAAGCGGGGGTTTTGTCTTTTTCTTTCCCTTTGGGCCACCAATACTACACTACGTGCCAAATCTAAAAATTTTCTGCGACGACTTCATGTAGAAGACCTAATGCAAGAGTCCTAAGATGGTCTCCCATTATAACGACCAACTCTACTGCTGAGGTTCTATTTTGCCAGGCTTATTGCGCAGGAAACCAATTACGCGCTATCCCATCCTTGATGGGTTCCATCCATTAAATTGCACTAGCCTAGCTAAGCTATCTGCAAAGCCTCCTACGTCGATACGTGCAAGGCCCTCCCAGATCGGTTAAGTACAAAGCAGCTGCACGGAGCTGAGAGCGACGGGCCAAACCGACAGCAACGGGGTATCCGGTGGCGAACTGTGAGATGCAGGTTCTGCAAAAAAGAACATTAAGGGAAAGGAACCCACCTTATGCTCTAGGAGCTGCGGTGAGGTTCTCCGTGAACATGTTCGTGCGGTGGTAAGTATCGGAAAGGGGGGGGGGGAGAAAAAAAATTTAAAATGCTTTGGAGATGTTTGTGCCGCGGCATGTTCAGTTGACGACGCGTTCAAAAAGCCGAAAGAGATAGTCGGGGTGCTGGATGGAGGGCGGGGGGTTTTTGGTATGTGAGGTCTGCCATTGGCGTGTTGTATCAAGCCACCGGACAAATTGCATGGGCCCGTTTCGGCAACCTACGCAGGGGCTACAGAGCCGGACAAAGTATTCGGGGTGATTTGCCGTTTTGCTGGACCTTGAGTACCCTAACAGATCAGATAAAGAGCATTAGTCATTCCTCGTACTGGATAATAGTAGGGAGCTTTTCGACTCATCGGGCCGAACTGAGAGACGACTTCCAGGGGTCCTGTCATGAGGCATATTCAAGACCGATGCCTCTTCGGCGTACTTACGTCCAGATCGTTCAGGCGCCTCTTTTGTGCTGTTCCGGCGGCATCGGCTCCCTTGGTGGACTTCTTCTTTGGTCGCACTGGCCGGGTTTCACCTTCTTTGAAAACATCGTCCGGGAGATCGAAGCTGAGAGCTCATTAGAATATGATACGCTTGCGTACATGGTAAGAAAACGTACTTCCGGACATGTTGGACACCAACGTCGAGAACTCCAGGTTGGAAATTGCTCCATGACATGCATGTGGATTTGAAGAGGGCGGCATCGTGAGAGATATCCAGAGAGCGATCGGCACCTACACAGTTAGCGACATTAGAGCAGCACGTGGGATATCGGCGTACCTGGCTCGAGAGGCTTCAGCTGCATGCCAATGTAGTATGTGGTCGTGTAAACGGTGTGGCTATCTCCTTCCACCGGTTTCTCGGTTGGCTCAGGTGCTGTCGCGTTTTCAGCGCCAGCCTCAGCGGCCACTTGGTGAGCTGTGTCGTTAGTTTCATCTGTCGTCTCTGTACTAGTTCCCTTCGCTTGGTACTTGACGGAGCCATTCTTGACAGCTTCCATTTCTTCATCATTCTTGACTGTGTGGATTCGAGAGAACCCCTTGGGGAAGGGGTGCGCCACAGCAATGATAGGCTTCCGATCAAGGGCCATTACAAGGTGGCGGATTTTCGATTCAACAAAACCGGACCACGCAGACTCAATTTCCTTCGCCTTGCTGCAAACAGTGATACTGAGGTAGTATTTGTAAGAACTGGTGAAGAAAGTATGGCCTGCAAAAAGGTCCTTCCACGTCTGTTGCCCCGTGAAAATCCTGTCCACAATGTCTCCAGCCCTGAGAAGTTCTCGAAGAATCACAGTCTTCGTCGAGTGCGAAACGTTGTGGGTTGCACACATCGAAGGATAAGCGGGGGTGATGATGGGCATGAGGTGGCCGAAATCGGCGTGGTAGATCTGTAGAGTTACCCGTTAGCCTTCGTTCCATTTGAGCTGCGGTCTGCCAGGTTTACCTTTGGGTTCCAAACTTTCATCTGCAGGGGTCCTTCCTCAATCAACTTGAGCATCACAGGCTGAGGCCACGCCCATTTGTTCATGATGCGAAAGAACTTGCCTACGATGACAGAACCAGTAGCCTGAGGATAGAGCTGGCAAACCCGGGCGACCAACATGGCCCACGCCACACCCCCGGGAAAACCGACGATATTCGAGTAAATTGCCCTGCCTAGAAGCTACGGTTAGGTTCGACAAGGAAGAGGAAGGGGGCTATTTCCTGAAGGGGACCCACGCTGCGCCCAGAGCTTGATAGCCCGCAGGGCAAGGCGGAATGTCTTTGGCTGAGGAACCAGTTCAAGAATCATATCGGTAACACGCGTGCCGTTAAGCGATCGCACTTCCCGCTCATCTAACCCGCGCAGGTAATCATTGTTCTTCAGATCAATATTTAAAGGCACCGACGGGATCATGAGTCGAGCGTAAATAAGATCAATGCTGATACCTGCCATCTCTAGCTTGATAATCGGCACGAAGGCATCGGGGACCGATGTCATTTCTTCGATGGTACCTGGCGGGGAGAACTGCTCGAGGATGGCTGGGAAGTCGGCGAAGAAATCGTCGAGGGTAACGTGTTTTGGTCCTACGACAAGGGTATCGATATCGGAGCCTATTGTTTAACGTCAGTCAGGATGAGTTGTCGAGTCTCATGCATACTTGTTGGAAAGCTTACCAGGCCCATACACGCCGAGGCGATAACTTCCATATGCAAAGACCTTTCCGCCGGACGCCTCGACAGCAGCCGGCGACAGGCCCTTCTTGCGACTCACAACCTTGATGAACTCAGTTGCGACGCGCTGGATTAACTGCAGCATAGCTTGTCTTGGAATTTATATTAGTATTTACCAGCGCATGCGACAGGATTATGATCGACCAACCGGCGTTCTGTCTCGGCAGGCGGCTCGAAGTTGTTCTGCGCTTTCAGCTCCGCGATGAGCTCATCGTTGGCAGCCAACTCAGCTGGAGTTGGCAAGGCTGTTGATATAGGAGGCGTGACACCCCACTGGCGTGCAGGGGGCGTGGCCATGGTTGTAATGGAAGTGATGCAATCTCTAGATAGGGATTGATAACGAGACTCCGAAAGATCGCGCTGGAGAACGCAGATAACTAGAAGGACATGAAACAAGAAGAAAGCTGAAGAGCGCAGGACCTCATGGAAATGAGGGGCGCAAAGGGTTGGCTAAGGTGCAGCAGTTTTTTTCAAGGGAGAAGATGCGAGTTGCAAGGTGATCTTCCGGTCCTAATAATTACAAGGCGGGCCTTTCTTTCATCGGCGCTTGCCTGAGGACACACAGTCACATGACCCCGTAGACCCGTCTAGACGCGCCGCTACGAACATTGCCGAGCCTCCAGGAATTTTGATGAAGCATTAGTAAATTCCTAAACTCTCTTTCTGTATATTGGCCGGATATAAATCAATTCGTCAAATGCTTGTTTCATCGAATGCCAGTTTCGTCGGATGTCTGGATCTAAAATACCTCTTGAGCTCCCCTCGCAGCTACTGGTCAGGCCGCTATTTCAACAAGGACCTCGAGACTATAATATCCCCGCGTTCATTTGATGGATCTCGTAAGGCCAAAAATACCACATGTAGCCCAATATTATAGATGCGACAAATCTAAAAGTTCATGAAACCTGCGTTTGATATATAGTAAATCCTCGATTGTCTGTTGACCGTGCAATTTTCCAAGTTTGACTATTAATACGAGCGGGTAAAACCCCCTACAATGCCTCTTTGATCTTTTCTGCTAATCCAGACACCTGACCGGCCGTGTGTTCAGCAAAGAAATCTGCAAGCTGCTGGTCAAGCCATTTGACATCTTCCTTGCTGTCCCCAGGGCCTCCAGCCCAGTCTAAAAAGCAAATGTTAGCGGAAATGAGCGGGACTCGGTGCAAAAGCAAACGGCTACTCACGTCCCCAAATAGACGGTATAACATCCAACTTCCCTACACCAGGCTGCATGCACTTGACCTCATATTCGGAATCTTCTGGTCTGAGTACCAATTTCCATTAGCACTTGGGACCGTATTCCTTTGCTCGGTTGAACTCACGGAAAATAGAGGTCTGTCTTTCCAGGCAAGACCAAGGTCTTTGCTTTGATCGATCCCATCGCTTTCTCAAAGTCTCCATTATAAGGTTCCTGTGTTGACACATCGCCATTCTCCCAGGTATCCAGCATAACCAACAGATTTGCGGGATCTAGGGGCCTTTGTTAGTCAAAAGCAATCCCCGGAGAAATGGATACTCTCTACCTTTCGAGCAGGCCCACTTTTCCCAGAACCCCTGCATAAAGTCTTCCAGTCCTTTGTATCCAAGGGCAGTCTCATAAAGCTTGTGCCGGTAGAAGGCCTGACTGAAACCCCTAAGAACATAGTAAGCTCCATCGGAAAGGCAACCCATCTCAGACTTACCATCCTGCATACACCCTTCCCATGGCCTTGAGACCAGTTTCTTTTTGACTAGCAGTCCAAGTTTTAGAGTCCGTGCAGTCCAGCTTGATGCCGAGTTGCCCGACGCCTGCAGATGGGGATTCCTTCACCGCAATGAGAGAGCTCTTGACTCCTTCGAGGAAGACTTGGTTGTGCAATGAGGTCTTTGCTGAACCACAGAAGGGGATCGCGACATCCACGAAATCTGGATATTGGGTAATCCACTGGAATGTCTGGGCAGCGCCCATGGACCATCCAAGGACAGCGTATAGATGTGTTATGCCCAAGTGCTTTGTGACAAGTTCATACTGTGCCCGGACATTGTCGTAGAATGAGCATTTGGGAAAGGGGCCTGGCGCAAGCGTATTGGAGGGCGAGGATGATTCTCCATTGCCGAAGAGGGCGGTTATGATGATGAAGTATCTGTTCGGGTTGAGGGTTTTGTCCTCTCCGATCAGCCAGAAATTGTCAGAGATCGCTGCAGAGCATCGGAGAGAAACACGTCAGCCATATCAAGAGCGGCGTAATCAGATCCAATACAGACGCTTCCCACTTACCTCCTGAAAACCAGGAGGGGTAGACGATCGCGGGTAATTTGGGGTCCCCAAATGTCTTGTAGGCGATATGCGCGTCGGCTATCTTCTCGCCCGACTGCAGATCCCAATCTCCAAGCTTGTACGTGTCGAAATCCGACCGCGACATTTTCTTCGAGGTGTCCGAGTATGGCGAGCAGAAATAGTCTGAAAGCTCCGGAGGGTTGCATCACTATCAATGGGCAGGTCTTGGCTGTTTATATACTGCGATAAGGACCCCGCTCCGCGTGGACTACCTGGATTGGGTGCTCCGTGAGGGGTCCCGTTCTCTGCCACAGTTCCAATAACCACGCGTGGCCACACCTGTTGCTAATGAGATTTACAAAGTTTTGAAGCTGTAGCTAATTCAGATGGGACAAGCATGGTCCTTATTTCACATACACAACCTCAAGTACTGCAAGTGATCTGAAACTGGAGATACCATCCTCAGGGGATTCTTATCTTAAAGGGTTGCTGGTATTCTTCCTGCTCCTGCAGTGATCAAGCAAGCTGCGAGATGGGCACTTTCGACCACCAAAAGGCTGTCTGCTCCGTTGCCCACTCATCCTTGACGAATTTCGCTGCATCCGAGTTCGCAGCAGTGCCACCAATGAGTTCTTCGTTCCCTTCTCCGAAGATTAAGATGCGGGGATCATCGGGCGAGTAAGGCTCCCATTTGGGCCTGCTCCCATAACGGCCAGTAATGGCGTTAGGGTCGCCTTTGGTGATGAAGCTTGTCATATATGCATGAAGCGTGCCGGAAAGTTCTTTCTGAGTATCCGATATCCCCGTGATCTCACTGTTGTAGGTCTCATAGTACATGTTGTCACCGTGGTTTGCCCTTCCGATAACGGTTCTCGGGAATGCCCAGTTATAGAGATAGACAGGGACACCCTGTGTGGAGGCAAAGTCGGCAGTTTGGCGGACTGGCGCGACATACGCGTAATGGCCATACGCTGCTTCAATGCGTTTGTATTGCGGCCCAAGCCCATATCCATCTCTAGTCTCGACATAAGGGGATGAGGGGGCGGTGCTCGGGTCGGGGTACAGCTCGTCAATCTTATCGAGATCCGAGGGTGATAATTCAGGCAGGAGTTCTTTCCAGAAAGCTCGGAATTGAGTACCGGTAGACATTGCCTTGTCAACATACATAGTGCCCTCGTTGCTGTTGAATCCTGTCATGATAGGCACCTTGTTCCAGTTCTGCGACTTCCAGGCATCAAGTGGCTTCCGGGCTATGATATCCCCATCAATGACAGGTTGAAAGGCCCAACGAAGGGACGGGTTGTATTTGTCAAATACTTTCGTCTGGGCATCCGTTACGACTGAACTTGGGAGCGATCGAAGAAACGGGAATATCTCTACTTCCGGGAGGTCGTGGGGAACTCCGGTCTCTTTTAAAAAGTCTCGGAACTGCGCCTCGTGGATCTTTGCGTCATATGGTCGCACTGCACGAGATGTTGACGAGCCGGACTCCAGAATCGCGCGATGGAACAGACCAGGGGTTCGCTGGTTAATGTTCAGGATATGATGGCCAATCTGCATCGTAGTTAGCTTCGTACGTCAAGGGCTAACTATCTCTGATTTCTTATGCGAGGCTCACTGAATGTGCACCAGCAGACAAACCAAACAGCGTGACATTGTCGACATCCCCGCCAAATGCACCTATGTTCTCTTGCACCCATTCGAAAAGCTGAATCTGATCTCGCAGACCAAGATTGAGTAGACCTTCGGTCTTTGAAAGGGTAGATGGCAAGAACCCCAAAGCCCCGACTCGATACCCGAAGCTCACACCAATGAAGGGTTCTTCGGACCAAGCAACCATGGAGGCCGTGTTATGTGTCGCCGCAGCGCCTCGGTTGAATGCTCCTCCATGCACATAGATCGCGACGGGGAGTTTTCCAGATGCTTTGGTACCAGCAGGTCGAAAGACATTGGCAGTCAGGCAGTCTTCGCTTTGCTCGAGCTTTGGGCCGCCTGCCAGCAATGCTTTCCCTGGAGCAGCAGGCCCGAATTTAGAGGCGTCGATTGTTTTCGTCGAATTTGGAATCTTGGCAGGTGGTCGGAATCGCCGATCCCCGGTGGGTGGCAGAGCATACGGAACTCCTAGGAATCCCTCGACAGGCTGCGGGGATGATTCTTCCAATCGAATCCCAACCACATGCCCCTGAGGGATGGTTACCGATGGAGGTGCCGATGCCATGCTGGTTTCTTATCGCCGATCGCCTATCTAGAAGAAGAATGACCGGAGTATCGAATGAGGGTGCTCTCGCATTGAAGAATGGCTTCACTCTTATCTACGGGGTTCAGATCTAGCTCCGAAAGAGGGGGAAATGCAAAATAGTTTATCTTGTGGATTTGGCGCTTCTCGGACAGTTGCCGAACATCCTAGTATTTACTCCGCTTTTTGGCAGTCTGCGTTTCGGAAATTGGGGTAAGGAGAGATAACCCAAGATAATCCAAGATAAAGAGATAAGTACACATATCATTATTTCTTCCTCAAAAGATTTAGAGCCAGGCATCTCCGCGCTGCGCTGCTCCTTCAAAACCTTAAGCCATGGGTGACGTGAAGAAGTCCATTCCTGACGTGGAAGAGAAAGATCTCCAAGTCGGAACCATCACTGAATTTGATGAAGGCGAGGTCTTTCTCCACACGCATGCCATCACCCATGAAAATATTCAGCGGCTACTAGACGATGAGCCCCGTAACAAGGCCTTGATCCGCAAAGTGGATCTGATTCTCTTACCATTGCTTGCCGGCACCTATACTCTGCAGTATATCGACAAGTCCGCGTTGGCGTACTCTGCGGTATTCGATCTGCTATCCTCGACCCACATGACGAGCAACCAGTATAGCTGGCTTGCGAGCATTTTTTATTTCGCGTACCTTGTGGCGGAGTATCCTTGGAATATTCTCGCGCAAAAGACAAGAATCGGTCTGGTTGTGTCCGGCAATGTGATCGCATGGGGCTCAATGCTCATGATCACTGCGGCTTGCAGCTCATTCGCTGGAATGGCCGTTTGTCGTTTCCTGCTTGGGGTATTCGAAGCACCAATAACGCCATGCTTCATGATGATTGTTTCCATGTGGTACACTCGCTCCAGCAGCCGTTTCGAGCCGGCGTCTTTTACAGCTGTAACGGGCTTGGTGCTATGCTCGGTGGCATTTTAACATTTGGCATCGGCCAGATCAAGACCATCGCTGTCTGGAGAGCCATCTACCTCATCCTCGGCGGGATAACAGTCCTCTGGGGCCTGCTTATGCTTGTCTTCCTTCCGAACGATGTTATTTCGGCAAAGCGCTTCAGCGTGGAAGAGAAAAGCCTTCTCATTGGGCGTAATCGCCTGGGTCGGACGGGAGTGATCAATCACCAGATCAAATGGTATCAAATTCGAGAGGCGCTTGTTGATCCTCAAGTATGGATCTTATTCTGGTTCACGCTTCTGAACGAGACCATCAACGGGGGCGTCGCCAATTTCGGCAAACTCATCATCAAGGGCTTAACCCACGATCCGCTGACCACAGTTGCCTTGGGGATACCGATGGGTGCTTTCCAAATATTCTTTATCCTATCGGGCACATTCATCGCTTCTCGTTTCCGGAATTGCCGTACGATCGTCATGCTCGTCTATCTATTCCCAACGATCATCGGAGCTTCCTTGCTTTGGAAGCTTTCGCACGAAACCCATAAAGTGGGTGTTCTGTTCGGCTATTACATTATTGGTGCTTATGTATGCTCTTTGGTTCTGGCTCTCCAAATGCCTGCTAGCAACCTAGGAGGATACACTAAGCGCAGCACTAGTGTCGCCCTCGTCTTCTTGGCTTACTGTGCGGGGAACATCATTGGGCCACATGCCTTTTTGGCGCGGGAGGCTCCTTTATATCAGACAGGCTGCAAACTGATTCTAGCTTGCTCATCAGCGCAAGCAGTTCTAGCCGTCCTGCTGCGTGTGCTGTTGACTTATCGCAACAAGAAACGAGATAGTGCCAGCGAAGGCAATCTCGAGGCGGTCGCTGCGAACGACGACTTGGCAGACATGACTGACTTTGAGGTAAGCCACCTTTATCCGCTGGTATTCATGGAGAAATGCTAACTGGCGGGAGAATCCACATTTCCGTTATGTGCTCTGATCTTAGTACATGCTGCGAGACACCGGCATCGGATTGAAACTATGTGTGGCTCATATTACAATGGAATATTGTCATTCGTCCTTAATATTGTAGGAAGAACTCATACTTCGTATTAGCTTGCTGATTGGACGCTTCCAACGGCTCTTACTCGTAAGTTTGCTATCAATCATCATCAACTACCTGCTCAGAGACTCCCTTCCATACCATAATATCGCAAGAGGCTCAGTATGCACTCCTGCCCGCCTACAAGATATATACGTAACCTCAAATCTGGCTCACTTATATACCCAAGCCAAAGCTCCAATTCTCTATCAGGTCAATATGTGCTCCGTGTCCTGTGTTACTTGGTCGTCCACTCCAACAACTTAGCAACGGAAGCGCTATCCCAAACCGCCTCCAGAATCGGCTGCCGTAGCAGATTACTCAAAGCCTGGCATCGAACAAGGTGCAGGCATCCAACGCATGTGAAACAACTTCCAGAGAAGACCCGGTGGATGGCCGAAGCAGAGCGGAACAAAGCTTCTTTGACAGAAAACCACATTCTGATTCTCATCCCGTTTCAGGTAAAGATCAGAAAGCAGTTTCGGATGGTTTGGGCCAAGAAGGTTCGACCCTGTCGCTGGTAATATCATGCATGGTCCGTGATTCTACTGAGGACTATGGGGGCTTTTCGCCTGCTTTTGATTTGGCCGATATGCCTGAATTGCAGTACACTGGTGGCGATTTTCGCAGCTTTTTAAAGTGCATTTTTCGAATCGTAAAAGTGGCTTGATCCAGACCCGTTTCTGTCAACCGTGAAATCTAGGAATGGTTCGCCATAGTTATCATCCATGCGACCGGCGGAGTGGCTTTCAGGCACAAAGTTTACTATACATCACATTTGACTCACCATGGTTCTAAGCAAGGCGCCAAGTGTGGTCTTTTTTTTGCATGTTTGGACATAGCTGGTGACTCTTGAGCAGTACACATAACCACAACTCACTTGCAAAGTATTGCAGCCCAAAAACAACGTCAGAGCGGACTTGCTCGGCTTTTCTCTTCGCTACGCTTGCGTCGACTTGGTGCATATTTCTTAATGCTGATCAGCCTGTCCACCGGAGCTTAGTTGTGTGTGCAGAGCTCGTCATTTCAAGCGAATGCCAAATATCAACTGTACCGTCATGACCGTCAGTCGCTGGGCTCGCGAGGCATTTGGTTTAGCCAGCAAATCAGTTGGTCTGGAACGAACTTGAAAGAGAAAAAACTTCGCCTGTTCGGATGTCAGAAAGGGGCAGATGTGCCGTATCCTCTAAATGAGGTAGACAGCGTATAATTTTAGAACAAGAAGTGCAGAACAAGTATCGTGGGTCCTAAGATCGCTCGAACTTAAAAAGCGGCTACAAAAGTCCGGGGCGCTGTATCCGAGTCACACCTTTAATTGGCTCGTTCGTATAAGTTGTAAGTGGGGTCGATTTGTCGATCATCCAAGTGGGCGTGGAGCCTGCACATTCCAAGGGGGCACTGCTATGCCTTAATCTGGGCGTCGATTGGCTCGTTCGTGCAGATGGGGCACCAAGCCGGCAAATGAGAAGGCACAGACCTCAAATCGCCGCTGCTCAGCCTGGGAGTTTTATTAAACAGCTCAAGACGAACGCTGCAGGTCGTGAATGATCGCCGATCTTGGTTTGAATCAGTCTTTACTTGTTATTTCATCGAAAGGGGGAAGGGCGTGGCTTGAAGCTCTTTCCGAACTTGAACCGGCCGGGGCATTGGAATGAGATGTTGATTGGTACGTTCGTACCAGCGGGGGTGTCCAAAATCAATTGGTTGATGACAGATGTGGACAGGAGAGCGATGGGATTGTAGTTGCCTCCGACGGGACTGAATGGTCTTCGGGGCCCCGGGGGTGGCTCACTTCAAGTTGACATGATATGCAATGGGAGCCTTGCGGTTATAAATACTAGTATTTCCCTCAGGCTGATGTCGCGAAAGTATCGCCTCAAAGAACCCCCGTGCGGTTTCTATCAAACACTACAGCAGAGTAGGCCAGTAAAATCTCCAGTCATGACGAGGAATCGATTCTTGACTGGCTTCATGTTTTCCATGATACTAGGATGCCAAGCTGAGAGTTCCAGATTTCTTGATGACCGTGGAGTGGCCTATGGATTCGACCATGTAAGTCTTAGTTTCCCAGGACGAAAAGGACTTCAAGTCTCTGACCACTCATTTAGATTCAACCATCCGCCAGCCTCAAGTGGACACCATGTTTCGATGCCTTCACATGCGCCAAACTGGAAGTGCCTTTGGATTATTCGAACAGAGATCTGGGCAAGGCGTCAATAGCCTTCATAAAATTAGCGGGCAAGAATGCAACTGTCGACTCTCCAAGCATTGTGCTCATCCCTGGTATGTCTACGCAAGAAAAGGCTGAATTGTCTTAGGCTCGTGCCAACACTTTATTAGGTGGCCCGGGAGGCTCTGGCGTCGACCTCCTTCTCTCATTCCAGACCCTCGCCGGGCCGATGATTGGGGAAGAATACAATTTTGTCTCCTTTGACCCTCGCGGCGTGAACAACAGTGATTTGGTCCTTGACTGCTTCTCAGGTGACTCGGAGGCCAGATCGGCCTTCAATCGAGTGCACAATACCGGTGTCACCAACGTCTCATCAACATCAGTCGAAGAACAGTATTATTCGAGCTCTATCTATGGAGAGTGGTGCAACAATGCTGTGAAGACCAAGTCACCGCATGGATATTATGTGACTACCCCCGCGGTTGCCCATGATCTGCTCACATTTATAGAAGCGGAGGCTGAGCTGATCGGTCGTCCGCCGTCCGACGCCAAGTTATGGAGTTACGGTGTCAGTTTCGGTACTGTCACTGGCGTAACTTTTGCCTCCATGTTCCCTGACCGAGTGGAGAGAATGGTTCTCGATGGTGTCCTTAACGCGGAACAGTACTATCAAAATGTCGTCACAGATAATGTCGATCAGCTAGACTTGGCCATAGAAAAGTTCTCGAGCTTCTGCCACTCCGCAGGCTCTAAAGATTGCTCTTTCTGGGGACCCACAACAGCAAATATCACAGCCAGATTGAACGGCATCATAGATTGGTTTCGGGACCACCCGGTCCCAATAAGCGGAGTCCAAAGTCGAGACCTACCAACGATGGTCACCTACTCAGACTTGAAGGCTCTTTTTCTCAACTCTCTTTACACTCCACTTTCCGGCTTCCCTACCATGGCCGATACCTTACGCCAAATTGAGCTTGGCAACGTGTCTACACTTGCGGGTGCGTTTGAAGGATTAGTCTCCGTCACATCCGATGCACGCTTTGCTATCGAATGCACCGATTCGTATCGAACAAACCGTCTCTCTACCATTGAAGAATTCCAGAATTACGCTGAATATACCACATCCAAGAGCAAATATATCGGCGACCTCGCTCCCGTCTTCTTGAACAATATCTTGTGTAGGTCATTCCGACCTCAATTGCCTGACAGTATGGTATTCCAAGGTAAGCAAGCTTATTTGTTCTTATCTCTCCTTTCATCTCATCTATTTTCTCTGAATTCTATGTTGGGAAAATCAAAGATCCCACAGAAATTAAGCTCTTACTGACATTCTTCTATCCAGGCCCGAAGGGGGGAATAAACAAGCCTACATCTTTCCCGATACTGTTCGCAAGCAATACTGTCGATCCTATAACTCCCTTGATATCGTATGTTTCATTCTGATGGCCCATTTTGAGTACTTACTGACCTTTCGTTTTCGCCTTGCTAGGGCTCGCAAGGCGTCTTCCCGTTTTCCAGGATCAAAACTTCTACTACAAGAAGCCATCGGTGTAAGTTACTATCCAAAGTCAATCACAACCCATCCCAAACAAGAGACTGGACTAACTTATGGGGATGTCTCTTGATTCAGCATACAGTAATTGACCAAGGGGGGTCAGACTGCTACTTCGGACATATTCAGACATACTTCCAAGGCATACTTCCACCTTCCAATATTACATGCCCCGGCAATATGTACCGTTCAAGGATGACCCTTCTTTATGAAAGTCAGCAAGTTAGGCTTGCAGTCAAGGTGGACTACGGTCCATGCACATTACAATTTCCACTGGAAGTTTTTGTTTCCAGCATCTGGTTTCTACATACTATTATGCACATGGAATTTTAAGGCGTTCTTCAAGTTGGTGTAATGTTCTTTTTTCCATGATAGAATAATTCAAGCTCGACTATTGATTTCACTGGGTGGCGGGTATACCGGGGCATTCCAGCCGTCATTTACAAGGGCTTTGTGGTTCAGTCTGATGCAGCACATGTGGATTTCCTCGATGGTGGAACCATATCATCGCAAAGGCCCAATTGGGGCAAACTCCAGAGTTCATTTGCTGACTTTCGCAACATTACTTGCCATACATTCAAGGCACCAGTAAACTATGGGGTATATGTATTTACAAAACAAGAACCGCTATAAGTCACGCCAGTTCCCCTCCCCGATATAGACCTGCCCTCTGCGGTGATATTCCGCCAAATATTTACCCTGACGGAGACCATCAAATACCTCGACTAGAGCCGAAACCGCAATCATAGTCGAGCCCCTATAGTGCGCAAAAGTATCTTCGGCGCCAGGCGCACTTGTGACGAAAGGCTGCTCCCGAAAACGACCGTCCGGGAAATTGTCCTCAACCACCTTTACCCAAACCTGGGCCGGGTCCGGGGTTCTGCCCTTGATCTTGTGTTTGCCCAGTGCCTTGGCTGACTTTGCGAGGACCTCTTCGTCAACCATCAAGCATGACCGCATCCGACCTGGCAGGTCGGTGGTCGGGAGTGCAAGCGAGCATCTTAAAGTCGCGGAAGGCGTTCCGGACACTGTCAACATCCATTCCATCATACACATCTTTGGCATCGAACACCTTTACCATGTATGACACCTCTAGGCGGTGCAACAAGTCGTCTGAGCCGCTCAAGTTACGGTGTATGGACGTTCTCACGGCATCATTCAGGCAACGAATGAGGGAATGCAGCAGAGGTTTCGACTTGGTGGGATATGATGTTACGTATACAACAGGCCCCCAGGCTGCATGGTAAGGATAATGTCAGCATACGTCACAAGCCTCAAATTTATTTGCAACACAATGAAACTCACTCAAGACCAGAAAATCCCGTCGTGGGCCTGGAGGCATTGATCGGATCCCGCGAGAAGAGCCAAGTTTATAAACTTCTTCCCTTAGGAATGCGTTTGCGGGCGATTTGTAAAGGTCGGAGCCCGGCATTCTTAAACGTGGAGTAATTTGGGTATAAACAGAGCACATTCAGAATCAGCCTTGCTTTTATGCGGAGGCGACAGAAAATAACACTATAGTATTGTCATGTCAATCTGAGCCGGACTAAAGAATTTAGTTCCGGGCATTCGCACACGACCTAAAATTGTGGTTCAGGGTCAACAGTCCTCGGAAATCGTCGATTATAGTGAAATAGAGCCCAGATTAAGAATTCAATGGTCAAAAAAATCGAAGAGTAAATATTCTGCCTAATTCGATGATATCATCCATATGGTAGCCTGCGGTCAGTGCTTGAGCCTGACGTGAACCCATCCTTGTCTACCTGCAGGTTGGTTTTTGCTTTGACAATTCTAACCGCCTCGGTAGGCGGTTTCTCCACCTTCATGCATAAAACACATTCTAGTGGCCACGAACCTCGATACGGGCCTGAAACTTTTAGTTATAATGATGTCAAGGCGGGGCCAATCAAAGAAAAGATTGGAGGAATTCAACCCGATGGCACAAGTCTATCATTTGGCAGATCACCAATCCCATTTGATAATGGCGTTCTCGCCACCAATATGTAAAAATCAATCAATCTCTATAGAACGGGGTTTATAATCATCTGTCTATATCAGATAGGCAGTGTTAAGGAAACTTCTCTAGCTAGCTCTGATACGTCATAGGCCTTCTAATAGCAGGATATTTGATCCAGATTACACCTGAAATATGAGGACCTGTGAAATCGACGCCGAAGGGGCGGCTCTTAAACGCCAGAACGACTGCCTTGCCACCCGTAATCCTGGAGGGCGAGCAGGCTCCTCACCCGCCGTCCGTAGGCAGCAATACTACTGTCTATACTGGGTAATAGAAGAGGCTACGCAAGTGATCTCAATTCCTGAATTTCGCCTGTAGACGGAGGGTCGGTATTTCTTGCTGCAGTATCGCGGAGATCTGAGTCTCAATATCTAGACCAAACCTTGATAATAAACACCATGACTTCTACGAACAATCATGCAGCTACTCTATATATAGTTCCCAGCTTCATATTTCGCCAAATATCCCGAAGAACCTTTAAATATAAGGCTGGAACTGAAGCTTGAATGGACGATCCCTCAGTGACTGAACCTCACCATGCCAACCCTCCAGATAATACCGGAGAGCATCAAGAAGAGAAATCTAATCTGGGGAATGAATCCCGGCACAAAGGCGCTCCTAACATAAGGAGGTAAACTTTAATTTCATTCTCCAGCATGAGCGCCACGTGTGCAGACTATGATTTTCCTCAAAATGGCACCTATAACCGTAATCTTTCGCTGTCACCTCCATTCACTTTGTAGAAGTCCACCTCTCTCCCGGGTGGCTGGTCTATAAAGTAGCCATTGAATCAAGAACCCACCTCAAGACTCGTGACTCGTGTGGTCCACGCTCGGCAGTTTCGTACACCCTCCAGCCACACCTTTCGAGGACCTTCGAACTTCCCATGTTACCCTCGAGTGTAACGGCGCGTATCAGGCCGAGGTTGGGGCCATTGGGTGTTGAAACGGCCGAATCATAGTAAGACCTGATTATATGCTGCCAAGCTATTTGGAACCCCATCACAGCTTCGGTAGCGTAGCCTTTCCCCCATGTTTCTGGAAAAAACATGTATCCAAAGTTAGGAAGGGGTGACACGGGTAAAGAATCTAGTGCTGTCAGCCCACACACGCCGATAATCTGGTCTTCGGCGAATCCCGGCTGGGAAGCGTCTTCTGGAGGATTTCCACGCAGGATGACGACGAAGTTAAAGTTGTGTCGTGGAGAGCTATCACCCTCGTAAATGAACATGCTCATCCAGGCTTGTGTTTCGCCATCGCGGTCTACTCGACCTTGACTTGTCCATTGCATCACTTCTGGGATGGCGCGCAGCCTGGATAGTACCTGCAGGTCATCCTGTCTAAAGGGTCTCAAAGTAAGCCGCGATGTCCTGATTTCTTGTGTCAGCGATAGCTGGGAGAGGATTTCTTGCAGAGGAGACTGCATGAAGGCTGGCTGAGCGCTGGGTAGAAATTTGGTTGTTGCAGAGAAGAAGGCTGCGGTGCCGCCCGGGGAAAGCAACCTCGGTCCATCCGCCTCCCCGCAATCCCACTTCTTATCTTGTGAAGCGTGCGTCACGCCACGAACTCGCGTCTTCATATCTCAACCCATTCAGTCTAGCCTCACATTTGACTACCTTCCTCTCAGTCGCTCCCCACTCTCTAACTGTTTACCGGGCTCGCCCCGATCGGTTGCCCACCATGCTACACTATCGCACGGAGGGGTTCAACGGGTGCGCGGTCAAGTACTCTCCGTTCTTTGACAATCGACTCGCAGTTGCGAGCGCGTCCAATTTCGGCCTTGTCGGCAATGGGCGCCTCTATGTCCTTGAGCTCACTCCCAATGGAATTGTGCCCGTGAAATGGTTAGTGGAGTTTTGGGAATGCTCGAGTCCGCATTCCACTCCTCCGACGAACCGCCTCGTTAATACGGATTCCCTTCCAGGTTCACGACACAGGACTCCCTTTACGATCTAGCATGGTCCGAGATCCATGAAAATCAGGTCCTCACAGCCTCCGGTGACGGCAGCATCAAGCTTTTTGACTGCACAGCAAACGACTTCCCAGTCCAGGCATGGAAGGAGCATGGGCGCGAGGTGTTCAGTGTCAATTGGAACATGGTGCAAAAAGACCGTTTCTGCTCAAGCAGTTGGGACGGAACAGTGCGCATTTGGTCACCACATCGTGCCCAGTCCTTCCTAACCCTCCCCACTCACAGCTGCACCTACTCTGCCGCATTCAATCCCCATAACCCCGACCTCGTCTCCTGCGTGACCTCAGACTCTTACGTGCGTGTTTTCGACCTGCGCACTCCAGCCTCTGCTTCAAACCACCTCGTTGTCCAAATCCCTATCCATGCTGCTCCAGCCGCTCCACCCATCCCGGGCCAGCCGGGCATCCCGCCAGCCGCAACTCCCCCTGCCGAGGCTCTAACACATGACTGGAACAAATACCGGTCCACTGTCCTTGCGACTGGGGGCGTTGACCGCGCCATTCGAACATTCGACATTCGTGCCCCGCAACAAGGGCCCTTAGCGACAATGCTAGGCCATGAATACGCAGTCCGGAAACTGTCATGGTCGCCACATCTATCCAATGTATTGCTCAGCGCAAGCTATGATATGACCTGTCGCGTGTGGGGGGGACCGATCTGACGCCAGCGCAGTCGGTGATATGGATGCCATGCGTGCCGGTCCGGCAGGGCCAGTGGTCGGAATGGAGCTTGGCCGCATGGGGAGACATACGGAATTTGTGACTGGTGTGGATTGGTGCTTATTCGGGAACGAGGGATGGTGCGCAAGCGTTGGCTGGGATGAAAATTTGTATGTGTGGGACGTGAGGGCTGCAATGAATTAAAAAGGATGATACCAGATAGCCTGGGGCAAGTTGCATGTCAATAAGGTCAGATTCAGCTCTTTGAGTAGCGTATACCCAATGCCTAACATGATCAAACTACAATTTCCAGCATAAGGCTATCTACGCAGCATATTCTCCATGAAGAAGACATTTCCAGCTTCTCTCGTATCAATCCTAATAGCAACAGTAGTACGCTCCTGTTGAGCCACTTGAGGTAGTCTCGTCAGCTACTTGCAAGATTTTTTTTTTATTCATAGCCCCGTGGACAAGGTTCCAGTGCTGTTATCCAGACTGAGGCCAAGGCCCCACAAGTCAAGTTCCTCAAGATGGTATTCTAGTATTCTTGGAAGTTTTCCTTGGCTTTATTAGACGGACGCTTTGTTCGGAATGATCGAAACATGGTTCATTGTGAGCTAATTCGAGGTACAAAAGTTGACCCAAAGCCAGCCTTTTGTTCTTTGCCATTTGAGGCTCGGATTGAATTGTATGTATCTACTTTTATTTCTTTCAGAATGAAAAGAGGTGCATGAATTATATCACCTAGCAGCGGATTAAGTTCTCCATGAAAGAGACCCAAATATATTCGGTTTCACCATTGTGGACCCTGGTGGGCCTCTACCACGATCCTCGAGGCTCTTCTTCCATATTTATTAAACATATATTTGCTGCCCAGCTTCAGTTTTCCTGCTTTAGACTTACCATAGCTTCTACTTTGGATCCTAGGATCTCCAATCTCTGAAACAAAAATTCCACCGTACGGATCTGCCAGTCGCGCTCAATTCCACACTTCGATTACTCGCCATGGAGGACTATGCGAAGGTCGCGAATATGGAACGGGACTTTAACAAAGTCTATATCAAGGAGGATGACCCTATGCAAGATGATATACGCATAGGCATCAACCGCATGTTCAAACTATTACACCCTATCTACGATGAGTGTATGAAAAAGCCGGAATGGAATGAAGACGAGGAGTCCTTCAAGCGGTTGCAAATCGGCTTCAAGGATATAGCGGCAGATGCGTGGGATTTTGCACCTAGCCCGCCTGAAGATGCACCTGCAAAAATCAGGGAAGATTCTCAGCGTGATAAACCGTTTGATACGACCTGGATTGAGGCTGTAGCAGAGGCCTTGAAGCGGGGCAACCTTACGCCCACGAATATTGACAGATCGAGCATGCTAATTGGGCATGCCATTCAAAGCTTGAAGCTTATGATGACGGCGGAAGATGCCCACACACGATTGGAGGGAGCGCGAGAGGGACTAGTGCGAGTTTTGGAGGCTCAAAGCTTCCAACCCCTTCTAAAAAGAATAAAGGAGCCCTTGTTTCCAATTCCTGATGGGATACCGACTAATGCCGAATTGATCGAAAGACGCGACACAGCAGTAACCACGATATTTGCGAACCTTCAGCTGCTCCGCAAGATATTGCACGCCCACGGGGCTACCATCGCGAAGCGTTGGCACCAGGAAAAGGCCAAGCGGCGCACTGCCCTTCTCAAAATGGCGTGGGAGGAGATCCCCGTTGCTCATGGAGAGGCCTTCCATGCACTCGTCGCAAATAATCCGCAGAGTGCAAGTCAGGAAGCATACAAGTGGCCTAATCTCAACCTTGAGGACCTTATCAGTAGCAACCACCTGCTCCTTATGCTGGCGGCTCGAGCAGAAAATGACCCTCGTGATTTCGTCCACGCCGACCATAAGAGCTGGGATGCAGCGCGTATGCTCGGTCAAGTCCGGGCACCGCACAGAACAGATTTATACCTCACCTTCGACGAAGTGAATGTGGACGACTGGATAGGCACATATGGCAAGGTTACATCCGTATTCTCGACGCCCGGGGCCCCGATAGCCCTTATTACCAAGTTGCCCATCGAAGGAATTGTCACCTTAGAGATCCAAGCTCAGATCTACGTATTTCTAACCCAAGCGTGTCTAGCGATCCATAAACTGAAAGCGAACAAACTGAGTTCCCTAGAGGCACCTGCGGAGCCCACAGACGGTCGACTAGTCCTCATTCCCAAAGATCTCCTTGAGCCTCCATCGAAGTCTCGGCCTGGGTCCGAGTCCGAGTCCCTGGTTGATTTCATGACGAAATCATGTAATCAGCTCACATACGGCTTTGGTCCTCCTGACATGGACAACCTCAGATTCCTGTTAGATGCGCAAATCATGGCGGCGCAGCAACGCCAGAGAGCCATGCGGAGAAACCCTGTTACTTTCGCTGCAATCATAAAGCTGAGCCTGGATGAGCTGAACAGGGTCAGTGCCCTTATCTATCAAGCCCGGGGATATCCTAAACAGTGGATTGCAGATCATTTGGAAACGAGTCTTCAGCCTCAAAATATCATCGAAGCGATACATACGGATACACAGGCACTTGTTATGCTTGGTCCTATGCGAGATAAATTAAGACGTATTCACCAGCATCTCGATGATCCCAATACCGAAACCGGGACATATAGTGATATACCAACAACGGTTCTTGCGGACGCGGCGTCGTTGGTAATCACGCTCAAAAATTTTCTGTTCGGCCAAATCAAGCTGATAACTGAAAGTATCATCGCATCAAAAGATCTCGGCTTGAAAGATAAACTCGAAGCCGTGAATATTGAAATAGACGGGGGTTCCTACAGGCATCTCCGTATGAAGCGCCATGTGAAGTATACGCCGCTACTGCATCTCCTTCTATCTCTGAACGAGATTACGGATTCGAAACATCATAGAAGGTGGATTACGAAGCATATTATAGGTAACTTGGGCATCGGCGAGGCGGTACTAGAGTTGCACCGGCTTTTACAGGATACACCAAGCATATTGGCCTCCAATCGGTTTGCTAGTGAAAAGCTCTCGGACATCGTGACTTGCGCTCAGCTATGTGCTCACATAGAGTATATCTTCCCTGGAAGGCTATGGGCAATAAGTGAGTTTTGGGAGACTAATAAGGCACGGCTTTACGCCGACATGGAATCCACGATAAGATGCCTCTTTGAATACAGAAGCGCATTACTGAAGGATGGGGACAACTTTTTGCCCTTGGCTAGAAGGGTCATCGAGCAGTCGGACTACGGCGCATATGACCCAGCGAACGAAATGCTCGTTGAAAAAACGTCGAAGCGCAGAGCTTCATCTCAAAGCATTCTGGGACCATGTGAGAGAGTTGTGCAAGAACACCACGCCCAGTCTGATTTCTCAGTCTCCTGCAACAATGGACACCGAGGGGAGACTCCCTCGACTGGTACAGGAGCTTCATCACTTTGAGCCTGAGCTTCCAAGCATCCCAGAGTGGGCACCTCCAAAAGAGCCCACAAAGCAAAGTGTGAAGAGGCAGGGGGCGCAGGAGAAAGCGCGAAAGAGAACTGCGGGAGCGGCTGCTGCCAAGGGCAAAGAGCCAGGTACTGATACACCAATGTCCGACGCCCCTGAGTTCGGCCGCTCTCTGGTGACCGGAAAACGTTCTCGCGACGAGGTGGAAGAGGGACGTCCCACGAAAAGGGCCCGAGTGGAACAGCGGGTGAAAGAGAAGACCCGCGGGGAAGCAGATCCATCCAAGGACACAAAGCGCAGGACGCGGGCTGGCAGGCTTGACGAGGCCCCCGAGGAAGAAGAAGAGACGGTTCCTCCAGCGGTGGAAATTCCAGTATCCCGAAAGAGTTTACAGGTGATAGAGGCGTTGTTCCCCGAAAAGAATGTGTTGGCCGCACACGGAAGGACTAAGGTAACTTGGACCGACTACCGTCGCGCATTACACGACATTGGCTTCGTACATGATCGTAACGACAGCGGTCTGAACCATTTTACGGCGCCTGACAGATGGAAGCATTTAGGAAACATCACCTTCCACAGTATGCATAATGACCGGAAGGTTGAAGATAATCAACTGCGGGACTGGGCCGATGAGCTGGCCAAATATCCAATCGAAGAGGAGCTCATGCAAGGGTTGTATACGACAAATAGATGAAGTCGCCGTCTTGCAGCATATTGGCGTTCGGAATATTGAAGTCCTCTCTTCCGCCATCTTAACAACATCTATTCGGTTTATGTCGTCTATGTCGGTCTGATAATTTCTTTCTTTTTTCATTGTCAGGTTTGATTATTAGTAGCGTTGCTAGAATAGTCAAGGATAATTGGTTACTCTTGGGATCCTCCAAATGACCTGGTATATAATTACCAGCCGACTTTTCGGCTTGCCTAGCCGAAGAGTCGGCTGTACTCCGTACCTTCGCTCGTAATGAAGCTGATTAATCTGGGCCCCGAATTTGGGATGTAGGGTTCTATTGGTAAAACTGGCTATGTCTTATAACAGCCCATTATTATTGTAGCTATAACGGCTGTCTGGAGCGTTCAGCACATATCCAACTGAAAGGCGTGATCAATGTTGGTATGCGGGAGCTGCCCGAGTGCACCAAGACCCACACGAATGCATTGCGAATCGTCTCGAATCAGATGAATGCAAAGGACCAGTCTGCCAATCAAATACGGCTCGTAGAGTGCCACCTGTGTCACTTGCTAGACCTCGGACTATATACGTACTTGCTGGGGCAAATGCAACCCCGCACATAACGAAGGGCGATAAAGGCGATAACACGCGAGTCCCACATGCAATTGCGTGCTTCTCTGCTTCACGGCCTGGCACTTGAAAGCTTCCTTTTCGTGTCTATAAATTCAAGCATTCCTCTGGACTTGGGACGAAGTAAATTCCATTTGGGAAACAACCGCTGGCATGGCCCCTTCTGCACTTCCATTACGTCCTGCTGAGGGCAATGGACCAAATACGGATGCAAAGACATACCCTTCACCACCGAAGTACAGTGGTTCATTGGATCGTTTCGAGTTTGAAGATGCAACGCCGGTCATAGGCCGCGAATACCCTTCAGTCAATATTGTGGATGATATCTTGAGAGCCCCCAGATTCAGACGAGCTGTTACGAGACCTTGCTATTACTAGTGAGTACACGTACCTTGGCCCATCTTGCCTTCTGTAGATGAAAAGAGACAATCGTTACAGAAGCTAACACATAGCCAGTCTCCCGGCGCAACGTCGTCTTCTTCCGCGCACAGAATAATTTGACAGATGAGCTCCAGAAAGAGTTGGTGCATCGACTTGGCCAACTTGCGGGCAAGCCAGCCGATTCAACCCTACATATCCACCCGGTGCTCAATAACACCAACGAGTTCGGCGTGAATGATGCCCAGGTCAGCACTATCAGCTCACTCGCTCGGAAGAAGATGTTCCGCCATGAGAACCAGCCAAACAAGCGTCGATATGACTCCGCGCAGTGGCATTCCGATATCCAATTTGAGCCCGCGCCTGCAGACTATACCTCCCTTCGACTGACTCAATTGCCCAGCTGCGGAGGCGACACTTTGTGGGCTTCTGGTTACGAGATCTACGATCGCTTCTCAAAGCCCTATCAGAAGTTCCTAGACGGCCTGACTGCGACTTATGTTGGTGCAGGCTTCATCAAAGCCGCAAAGGCTGACCCTGAAAATGTTTTCATGTATACTGATCCTCGGGGTAACCCACTCAATGTTGGCAAGGAGTTGACTGCTGTGCACCCTGTTGTTCGGACGAACCCTGCTACCGGTTGGAAGAGTTTGATGGCTATTGGGCCATTCCCCCAATACGTCAATGAGCTCTACCGCGATGAGTCGGACGAGCTGTTGAAGAAGCTCTACAATACAATTCTTCAAAACCATGATTTGACGGTTCGTTTCAAGTGGAGGAACGAGCATGACATTGGTGAGTCCTGACCCACAAGTCGGAAAGAAACGCGCCTTTTTTTAACGCTTTTCTTTAGCAATCTGGGACAATCGCTGTACTTTCCACACGGCCACGTTCGACTATGAGGGGCTTGGAGAACGGTACGGCCACCGGGCAGTTGGTATTGGAGAGCAGCCATACCTGGACCCTAACAGTACGACTAGGACTGAGGCGCTGGCATCCCAGGGAGTTTAGTTGAAATGTCTAGGTGGAAATCAAAGTGACTATCCCTGTTTGAGCTCAATTTCTTCTAATTTCCCAGCCTCCCGTATTACAAGTGGTACTGGTACGAATTATGAGTAGGAGGTTCCAAAGTTTCTACGGGAAGGATTAGTCATTTACAATCCTTCAAATAATGTTGAACTATGTTGGTTCTGGTATCAATATTTGAATCATGGTTTGTCAGTAGCAGCTTTTGCCATTTGCGGTGTGAAGCCCAGGGATTGGGGCCAAAATTCCCCATCTTGTCTCAGAAGAATGGGTATCTAGGTTATATTCTTGCATTCAAATGCTCTCTTCCAAATGTTCATCGACTTTTCGCCCAGTTTCACCTCTGTATAAGGCAAACTTGACTCCGCTAAAATTTCAATCAACATGACTTTTAAGAAAGGTGTTGAGCCTAAAAGGAGATGTTCCCGAAGGTATGTTTTCGAGACTCAAGACATATACAGAGCCTGAGAATCGGATGCATTATTTTCCAAGTCTCTTCTCGGTCTTCTGGCGCTCCTGGTCTCGGACCTGAGCAACCTCTTCCTTGGTGGCGTTGACTGCGACATGAACCTGGTTGAAAGGGTTCTCTTCACTCTTGTCAAACTCCTTTCGGCAGAGGTCAATACGCTGTTGCCGACGAAGACCGGGGTTCTCCTGCTCGATCTCAGGCAGGCGACGGGCTTCAAATGCAGCATAAGCAGCTTTGAAACGTCGCTCGGGGTGTCGGTCGATCTTCGATGTATCCTTGGCCGTGAGAGAAAGGGCATCCAGTGCGTTGTCGATACCAGAGGCACTCAGAGTCGATCCCTTCTTCGATGGCACATCATCGAGTTGAGAAAGATCCAAGCCTCGAGTCTTCTTCTGTGCGGTCTTGGCTCCCGCGCCTTTGCCCTTCGATGGCTGAGAGGCTTCCTCTTCGGCGAGCTGGGCATCTCGTTCGGCCTTCTTGCGAGCAGCTTCGGCTTTCTTAGCCTCGGCGTCTTCCCTGCATAAAAGAAGAAAACATCAGCCTTGTTGGTCTCGTGTATACAAGCATTCTCGACATACTTCTTGGAATTGCCCTTGGCACCCTTTGACCATTCCTTGTCCTCTTCCGCGGCCCTCTTGGCATCCTCAGCAGCCTTCTTTGAAGCGGCCGCGTCGGCTTTCTGTTTTTGGGTCAGCATACCTATATACATCATGGCGGGGGCGGGGTTGCGGTGGCACTAACGCGAGCATTACCGGCGGCCTTCTTGGAGTTCTCTCCAGCAGCTTTCTTTCCTCCCATTGTGACTATGGAGAGCTCTTGATCGTGTGTCTGACAAAATGGAGAACTGATGCTAGCACAGAGAAAAGTTTGGCGGACAGCTCATTTATGATCTGATCCACCTGGCGACTATGCGGATTCCGAGGCAGGCGGTGTATATTCTGCCGTTTTGGCGCCGACGTCACAAAGTGGCTAAGCTAAAGTGAAGTAGAAAAAGCTAGCGGTATACAATCGGTTTATACATATTCTGACGAATACATAAATACCTGCGTAATTTTCATATTTTTGAGCCCTGGAGAATATTACAAATTATGTATATCCTAGGTCGACGAAATTTATTCGCCCCTAGGGCATTTGCTCACGTATTGTGTATACATTGCCCCAGTTTCTGCCCACTTCCTAAGGCGACAACGCGGGTTTGTAATCGCCCGCAATCGCGAATGCGATGTCCATTTGCAGCTGTCGCCTTGCTATCGCAGCTCAATGGTCTACGGTGACCTAACAGGTCTCGGCGATTCATCTCAGCAGGCCATTTTCCAGCCGTGTTGTGCCACTGTACATGCGGCTGGTTGGTATCACGGCTCCTAAAAGTTAACTTGACCTCCTTTTACGGCGTGCACGAAGTCTGGACAAGTTGCCACCATGAAAATGCTCCTTCGCTTCCTGCAGGCCTTCGGGCTCCTGCTACTCGCCAGTATGGCCACCGCTGAGCACACATCCAACTGGGCAGTACTAGTGTCTACCTCCCGCTTTTGGTTCAATTACCGCCATCTCGCCAACGTCCTATCTCTGTACCGAACCGTGAAGCGACTTGGAATCCCCGACTCCCAGATCATCCTTATGCTCCCAGACGACATGGCCTGTAACCCGCGCAATGCCTTTCCCGGAACTGTTTACAGTAATGCGGACCGCGCGGTGGACCTTTACGGTGACAATATCGAGGTTGATTACAGGGGCTACGAAGTGACTGTGGAGAACTTTATCCGGCTCTTGACCGACCGACTTGACGAGGATGTGCCCCGCAGCAAACGCTTGGGCTCGGATGCAGGCAGCAATGTCCTGGTATACATGACCGGCCATGGCGGAGATCAGTTCTTAAAGTTCCAAGACGCAGAAGAAATCGGAGCATGGGACTTGGCCGATGCATTCGGCCAGATGTGGGAGAAAAAGCGATATCATGAACTGCTGTTCATGATTGATACCTGCCAGGCCAATACTATGTACACGCATTTCTATTCGCCGAATATTATCGCGACGGGATCGAGTGAACTGGACCAATCATCCTACTCGCACCACGCCGACAACGACGTTGGAGTGGCCGTCATCGATCGCTGGACCTACTACGTGCTTGAATTCCTAGAGACACAAGTCACCAGTGCGACTTCGAAGTTGAATCTGGGCGATCTGTTCGACTCTTACGATGAGTCCAAGATCCACTCTCAGCCTGGAGTTCGGTGGGACCTGTTCCCGGGTGGCGAGCAAGAGGGCCGTCTCCGGACTGTCGTTGATTTCTTCGGCAATGTGCAGAATGTTGAAGTGGAAGATGCAAACGCAACAGACCCCGGGTCTCTCAAAGAAGATCTCGCTGAAATCGCCCGCTTAGTAGAGAAATGGCAGAAACGAGATGCCGAGTACTCTGCCATTCTGAACTCGTCTCAGATCAATAAGGATCAGCATTCTGTGCACCTTGCTGCCAGAAAAACTGTTGGTCCAACACGGATGGTTGATGGGGGGAGTTGGAGCAAGCGGCTGGTTGGTGTGTCTGTCATTGGCCTGTGCTCGGCGGTCTGGGTCGCTGGCTTGTATTTAGGTCGTTCTGTGAAGGCGTGACCTCAGCATAGCTTTTGCCCCTTTATTAATTATATAGCACAAGACCGGCGCGTGGCGTTCTAGCGTGGACCCTATGATTCATTTGATCTCTTAAATCTTTAATGGCATTTCGTTGGGAGTTTCAAGAACCCCACCATCTCGGATATACTCTTGGTTTAAGGCAACTTGGTGTAGAGACAGCCTAGAGGAGCTTTCTGTGGTTCCTAAGCGATCTCGATATTGGGAAAGCTTTAAACACGTCCCCGTGCAGAGGCGGACGTCTCCAAGCTTGGTCTGTGTATGGATTAGTCTTGAGGCTTGTAGCTTTCCTTCTTGATGGTAGCTAGCCTGAGCTATCCTCTACCAGGTTCACATTGCACGATGTTCGTAATCTACGTGGGCGCATGTACTAAACAACAGGCCTGTGTTCATGAGGGTCACAATATAAAATCTCCCAGAATGTCGAGTGCATCAGCAAAGAGCCTCTACCGGCGGATCTGGTCCAGAAGACTGATAACCTTTGGGACCGAGTTCAATGATAATTTGCGAAGTTCAGGCCGCAAAGCGCCGCGGTCGTCCAGGGATACACTAGTGACGGTGGTTCAGGAAAGGGATGCAGGGTGCAAGATTGAACCGATTTCAAGATGTTCGAGCAGTCTAGATAGAGGTGTTCATAAAGTGGCCCTTCATGATCAACCATCATACTCCTGCTTGGGGTTTAGTCGAAATGGCGCCGTATAGTCTGCGGTGCCATTCCTGATGTGCGGTGGATATAGTTCCCGGTACGGAGTATCCAAGGTATTATCCCCTGCAGTGGGCAGTGTGGGTCATGCAAGCAACCACCAACAGCGAGGAGGCCTATAAGCAGGAAATGATCCTATTTGAATAGCAAGTGGCGTTGGACCATACCTGTACATCTTGAGTGTCTCAAATCTCAGATGCACGCCCAGAGTATTGCCTGTCGCATGCTATGTGTAATATAGCATTTCGGAGCATCATTGCGTCAATAATTTGGTTCATCGTGGGCAAGAATGGAATGGAGATCAAATAAGAGCCCATTGAAGAATAAATTAAGTATCACGCAGGGGGAGGACCCATCGAGCGAATTGTCGAAGCAACGGGTGGAATGGCACTTTTAGTCCGCCGTAGCCAACCTGGCACGTGCACGAGACGCGTCGCGATCTGGAGACCCGCGCTTTCCTGACGGTCCAGTCACTCTGACCACACTAATTACCCACCGGGGACTTGGACGTCGTTTGCTTGCTGTTCCTGGCTATTCTTACGATTTCTTAATGCTGGCAACCGTCTCTCGTTCTCCCCCTTAGCTGGCCATGTATTTACCGCGCCAGCTCATTTCTCACCTATACCTACAACTCCTTCGAGCTCACCACCCTCTCTCTCCGCCAGTCCTGATTCTTGTCGCTCTTGAACCTGACGCGCTATGTGCTTGTCGAATCCTAACGGCCCTCTTTAAACGCGATTATATCCCCCATAAGATTCAACCAGTTGCCGGATATGGCGATCTGGCGCGTGCCGGGCAGGAGCTGGTCCAGCCCATGCAGACCACCAATGGTGGGAGCGGAGGAGTAGTCGTGTGCCTCGGAGTAGGAGGCCTTGTCGATCTTCAAGACATCTTGTCATTGAGTAATCCGGAAGATGAAGCGGAGGACATGGGGGGGTGTGGAGGTTTGGGTGTTCGACGCGCGCAGGCCGTGGAACCTGGGTAATGTGTTCGGAGGACAACCGTTGGGCTCTGCAATGGCCGAGATCGACTCTAATGCACGAAGGCGCGGGCGAGGCGTGGATAAAGGCTGTATTACCACATCTTACAGGTCAAAACACGGAGGTATCATCGTGTTCGACGATGGAGACATTGAAGAAGACCTTGCTGCGCAGCGGGAGGCATACCATGCTCTTCTTAAAATGCCTGAAGTCGATGATGACGACGAGAGTGACGACGATATGGAAGACAATGATGATACGCAACCTGGCTCCAGAAAACGTAAATCATGGTCAGGACGCGAGGACGATGAAGAGTCAGAGGACGAGGATGGGCCTCCGCGACAACGAAAACGAAGCAATTCGGTATGTCGCGGTAAACTACAAGATATTCTTGGAGGTGCTAACGCGTCTGACAGGGCTCATCGTTTGTGTCATCACCGAGCAGGCGGCGGAGGGAGGGTGTCAACTCATCGAACTCCTCACGCTCCAATACGCCAGCTACGGACTCTCCCTCTCCAGAAGAACCACGACAGCCATCGGCACGGTCACTTAAGAAACGCCTGATAAAAATGAAAAAGAAACACGAAGCTATTCTGCAGGCCTACTACGCGGCGGGCACTTCATACGCCGAGCCAATCTCTTCTCTAGTCTATTCATTAGCGTCAGAGCTCGGACGTGAGGACAATGACCTTCTTTGGCTTGCCATTTGTGGTGTCTCGAGCTTGGAGCTCAGCGGTCGATCAATGACCGGTGTCGGTATCTCGAATACCTCGGAATCGGGAGGATCAGCAGGATGGGGTGGACAGCGCGGAGAAAGCATTCGCCAGATTCTGCGAGATGAAGTACATCGTCTCAATCCACCTGACCCATTAGAGCGAGACCGTGACGCCCGCGGTGAAATCAACGGCATCATTCCCACTACCGCGCGGTCTCCAACTGACACATCCATCCGTCTCTCGCCGGAGCCTCGCTTCCTGCTCGTCCGGCATTGGTCGCTTTATGAGAGTATGCTTCACAGTCCTTATCTGGCCCCGAGACTCCACGTCTGGACCGAAAATGGTCGGAAAAGATTGCATAAATTACTGGCAAAGATGGGCATCAGTCTGACCCAGTGCCATCAGTTCTATACCCACATGGACATGGAATTGAAACGCGTGCTTCGAGGGCGACTGCTCAAGTACGCACCCATGTATGGCTTGGATGGACTGGTCCCTCCGGAGCCATCTGGGCACTCGACTGACCGCGAAGGCTGGGGTTTTGTCCGGTGTTGGGGTTGGAAAGCGTGCCTTTCAGCGACGGATGTGGGTGTAATCCTGGGGGCGATTTTGGAAGTTGGTCCGCATGAGCCGTCGGCGGCGTGGGATGCGAAGCGAGCGCCACGCCCACGAGTCGCAAGTAGCGATGCCGAAGGCAGTGGCGCTCCTGGGGAATCTGACTTAGCGAGCCTTTTTCCTCGGTTCTGGACTGCATATGATGCGCTCTCGCTCTCATCCGAGTCTCCGACTCTTCTGCTGGAGGCTTTGCCCTTGGCCCAGCATCTCCATCGCGCTATCCTTCGGACGGGTACTTCACTACTTTCCAAGCATCAAATTCGGCATCTTCGTGCCTTCCGCATTGCGGTTGTCAAAGAGGGGCCTGATGTTTCACTTTTCACTAACCCTGGAGCCCTAACAAAGCTCGCTTTGTGGATTGCAGAAGCAATCCGAGTCCAAGAACGAGAGAAGGGCGGCTCGATCAAGATCGGACGAAAACGAGCCGCCGGGACACCCTTGGTCTTAGCCGGGCTTGACGAAGACCGCGATCTCTACGTTGTTGTCGGTACAGGTGGTGGCGGTGGTGTTATTGACTTTGCTGCCATGTCTAAACGCCAAGAAGAACGCCGCACGAAAAAGGCCATCAAGGAAAAGAAACAGAAGGAGCGAGAAGAGCGCCGAGCTCAACGTGCTGCTGAGCGTGCAGAACGAGAAGATGAAGACGCCGAGGAGGAATCTGAAGAAGAATCCGAGTCCTCTTCTGAGTCCGAATCTGAAGATGAGGCCGATCCCCAAAACAAAAACCATCTGCTGCGCAACCGATTCGGCATCGCTTTCCAGGAGGTGGTCCAGGAGACCAATGCCCGCGTTCGCATCGATAGCTTCGAGCACTGTGTGGTTGAAGTACAAAAGGACGACCTCGGCGGGTTCCTGGAAGCGCTGAGTTTCCGCAGCGTGGTGGGTTAGGCCTTTGGCCGAACCACTCATTTACGTTATCACGAATCGACATCTTGCACTGATTTCACGTTTTATAACATGGGCGGGAGCTTTGGTTGGGATGGCGAGTAGCGCAACTGGACGCCGGTGGAAGGCTCATACGATCAACGACCCTGCATGCATTTTTTCAATCGTTGCAAGCATTCATATCCGCCTTTCCATGGTCGACTTGCATCTTGCATCAAAGGTCTCTATTGGACTATGGCGTTTGGCGGTGTTTTGAGTTTGGCCATATAGTGTTTGATAGCCTTGGATCTTGACTCAATCTATATCTACAATTCCTCGATACAGTAACGACCGTATTTGCATTCCATCTTTGGAAACAGAGAGATACTATTTCATACCCTAATCACATGTTACGCTAAACCTTATATGGGTATTTGCGTATTTAAAATTCTGTTCTGGGTTTGCATGGTAACATATATATAAGTAGTTATAAAACTGTATAGTCATGTACTATTACATATCCAAAAATAACCCATGTTCAAAAATAACCACCCCACCCACACTGGGGTCCTTCGTTCACACTCCTCCCAACCTCGCAACTACAATCACCTAAACCACTCACAAAATGGCCAGAAACATCGATTCCTGGCAGCGTAAGATGATTATTCATATGATATACAGCAAAAACAGACTCACTACACCGCAAATGGCAAAGGTAGCGCAGTGTAGTGAGCGCTCTATCACTAACATACGCAAGAACTTGCGATTATTCGGTAGTGCCAGATCTCCCCGAGTCTCAGTCGGTCGACAACCAAGTATCGCCCCTATCATGCTCGACGCCCTCTGTGACCACCTCGCCGAAAAACCTGGCCTATACGTCGAAGAGATGGCTATCTTCCTATGGGATGAGTTCAACATATTACCATCGTCATCTAGCATCAAACGTGCTCTGACGCAGGCTGGCTGGACAAAAAAAAGGCACAACAGAAAGCCAAAGAACAGAACCCTCAACTACGGGACTTCTACCAGCATAAGCTATCCGAGTTTCGGTCATATCATCTTGTGTTTGTCGATGAATCCGGATGTGATAAAAGGATTGGATATAGGCGAACTGGCTGGTCTCCGCTCGGCGTGACACCGGTCCAAGTGTCGAAATTTCATCGCGGCCAACGCTTCCAGATACTGCCTGCATATGCTCAAGACGGCATCATTCTGTCCCGTATTTTCAAAGGCTCAACGGATACCACATTCTTCGAATCGTTTATCGAGCAGCTTCTGCAGCATTGTGGGAGGTGGCCGGAGCCGAAATCCGTGCTTGTTATGGATAACGCGTCTTTCCATCATTCAGACCGGATCAAGACCTTATGTGCTGACGCAGAAGTCAAATTACTGTACCTCCCGCCGTATTCGCCCGATTTCAACCCCATCGAGGAATTCTTCGCCGAGCTGAAGGCCTCTATCAAGAAAGCTTGGTCAGTGTACGAAGAGAATCCTGGCCAGGGGTTTCATGCCTTCCTTCGGCGGTGTGTATACGAAGTTGGTGCAAAACAGGACAGTGCCGAAGGCCATTTCCGACATGCAGGTATAATAATAGAGAATATATGATTGGCTGTCGTACTTAGAGTATCATCGCTATGCAAGGCTCGTTTCACGTTCGAGCGTTGTTTTCAGTTCGGTTTTTTCGTGGTTGTGGCTGTTAAATCAGTAATACTTTGTATTTGGTGGAAGACCCTGTCTCTTGTCATCGTTCTGATGTTTTTTTGTTAGTTACTGTAACGATGCTTAAGTAAAGGAATCTACACAAACCAGAAGCTTTCCAAAACTCTCGACAAGTTCGGTTTCATAATCGCAATATGCCTTCTCGCAAGGGCCCATGCTGCTGAAAGTTGTCGCAACATCAAAATCAACCCATACAATCCTTGTACCAGATACAACAAGCATATTCTTCGGGTAAATATCATGGTGGTGGACAAATGCGTCATGGATCTGTTTTATGCCCTCAACTGCATAGCGAAAGAGGTCTTCGGAATAATTTTCGCAATTGAGCCTTTCAGCACACGGCAAGTATTCGAGCAGGATCGCCCTAGGTTGGTATTTATCGTCGGCGAATTGCTGAAGCGGAGGGTGGAAAGCAGACGGATCAACTCGATCGATGTGGCCGTAAAAAGCGGGAACAAAGCCTCGGTCGCACACGCCGAATTCACGGAGATTGTGGTAGGCGTTCAACTCGCAGCGAAAACGATTCAAATCTCGGCCCTTTTTTGTGTATCCTGGGTCACCGTTGTCATGGAACTAGCAGGTCAGCGTCATCCTCGGTCGCAATGCTTGTACTTACAAGCTTCATGACACATGGCTTTCCACGTAGCCGGATTTCATAAACTGTTGAAGCTTTTGAGCGACTGAGCTCACGTTTGATGTCAATATCTGAGAGTTTCAGCTCTGAAGAGTAAGCAATTTGCGAAGGCATGGTCGCTCCTTGAGCTACATTGAGCGTGACGTGACTGAGGGGATGTTGGAGAACCAACGAAGTAGCGAGGGGGAAAGCTCCAGGGGTTATGTAAGTCAATTATGTAACTAACCTACCTAAAGTCAACCCGTGGACCTTGGAAGTTAACGCAACAACCCATGTGATCTGGTGGATCTGATTGACCCCGCATTATCGAGCCTCAACCATGGTTCCCTGCTCCCAACCTTACTACAGCGGTGAACCTATTGAAGCAGCTAAGGATGGCAACACAAACACTTCTGCAGTACCTCTCTGTTGCCCTCCCAACGATACCGACCCAGGGGACGACTCCGGGTCCAAACACGACAAATCCTCAATACGATGCGGATGACATAACCCAAGTGGTTCCATGGCCGGAGTTCAGTTATTCCTCCGTCATTCAACGCTACGGGCAAGTCCTGAATACGAAGCGAATTCGGCCTGACCCCTTTATGTCTCCGCCTGCTCCGCTTAAAGACGAGCCAACTTTTCATCTTCGTTTCGCTGATCTAGTTATGACTCGAGTTCGACGCGCCCTCCGAGCTGGTTTCGAACAACTCTCTCCGGACCTGGGAATTCTGCAGCTTTCTGAAATCACAATTGATGGAGGGGGATCGGCTAGGATAATCGATCAGTTCAGACCAGATACTGCATTCATCGTAGTCGGAGCAAATCTCTCCACAGGCGTTAATAGAGCACCTGGGGACTTAAAGGTCTCTTGGAAGTGGAGATCTTCGATGCAGTTTTCGCAAGACTTAGCAGACCGACGAGAGTACAAGCAGGTGTTAGCCCAAGTGAACTTTTATATGGACCAGCATAATGCCCGGCACGGCTTTATCCTCTCAGACGTTGAGCTAATTGCCGTTAAACGTCTTGATGGGAATGGTCGTTTAGCCGTGGCTACTCCAGTCCAATGGAGAAGCGGGGGGGTTGGACAACTTTCGGTGTTACTAGGATTATGGTATCTTGGAATGCTAGCTGCAGAAAATAATCACTGGGCTCTGAATTAGGGGTTTATGACGTTCTGGAATGCACATGGGAGGACCCATTTGACGATGGGAACAAACATGGCCGAATCGGACTCCTCGCACGGTATCTTTCAATCAATTTGAGAAACAAATCAAGTCTGCCAAGGTGTGATATTCATTCCGAAAACTCCTGGTACTGCATTCTTTCCTGTAGCACGAACAACACAGATACTGGAATCAAGTAACAGGAACACACTCAATCATCTTATAAGCCAATAGTCGCAATTCAAAATACTACTGATCAAAAATGAATTAAACTCCTCGACGCCTCCTAACATAGTGTGGAGCCAATCAGACATCAGTTGGCGTAACAAAATACATAGCTGTCAAACTTATTCGGTGTCATCAAGGATTTCTCCAGTGGCCCGGTCAAGTCGCATGCTTGATTTCATCAAAGTGGCCCATTCATTTATATCACGTAGGAAACGACGTGCTGTTCCAATTTGAATTCCTCGTTGAACGAAGAAACCAGCGTTTGGATCTTCAAGGATCAGCTCAAGGTCGAGGTGGTTTTCCAACGTCACCTGGCAGATCTTCCGGAAATCTGCTTTGTATTCCTCGTCGGTGGCGCGCGATTCTAGCCACTTACAGTAGTCCCTTACGGCCGCTTCCCGAGGCCCAGGAATTACGAGAGGCTCGTCAGGTGTATGTCTCGGTAGGGTCGAAGTCATCATTGACGCACCCCCGGTTTGTGCTGGAAGAACATTGATAATGGCTGGATATGGTGGTCCAGTCGATGTGATATCAGCCTTTTTCGACTTTCTTCCGATCTGACTTTCCAGAACCAGGTCTCGACGGATATCGCTGGGGACATCATCATGACAATCAAGGCTCCCACCGCCATCAACATGATCAATGAGTCTTTCTAGGTGTGGGGCTCTCAGTTTATAATGTTTCTTGTCTGTCGGGTCTTCCCAGCACCAATCAGACTTAAGCGGGCATGAACGAACATTACACCGCATGCGGTCATATACAACACTCCACGTTGCAGTTCGCCCAGTTCTCTCTTCCTCAGCAGCAATGTGAGCCTCTCGCTCAGCCAACATTCTGCTTGTTGCAGACACACGGCCTCTCTTGTCGAATCTCCTTGATGCTGACCCAGCATGATCGTCATCTTTGCTCCTATAATTAAACGCAATGGCTATAGTGAGCTTCTTGCCGATACGAAGCAAATTGCTCCATTTACGCAGCTGCTTGTCCACTGGTTTCCAGTCAATGCTAGTGGAATTGAAGAATTTTTCGACGTTTCTCTGGGACCGGTCGTTCACTTTCATCGTAACGGCCGTGCCCTCAGATCAAACTCTCTGGTGACCTTTCTTTTTCATTTGCAGCATGTCTTCAACAGCTGTTTTCAAGTTCTCCTCCCAATACTCGCTAGGAGCTACAACCAAATCATCTTCGGTCACTCGACCTACCGCCTTTCGGTTGAGTATAAGCTTCCATTCGATTGTGTAGCAAACGTATCTCGGAGGGTTCTCATCGTATTCGCCACCTTCTTCCCATTCGGCAAATGGTAGAAAGTTGAGTTGATCCGACTGTGGCTGATCCGTGGCACGATACGGGGCAGGGCTAGGGGAGTACAAGGTTGCGGGTGTGCTACTGAAGTTACCAGGAGTGGGAGCATACTGCCAACTTTCTTCCCATGGGTCGACTATCCGCGGTTGATCGTCATCGTCACTGAAAATGCTATGGGTCATCGCGGATATCTTAGGGAGGGGTAAGCCTAGAGCTGTAAGGGGTTAGCCAGGAATGCATGATGCCCAATAAAGACCCGAAGCCGCCACATGGTGATAAGCGATGGTAATCACGAAACAAATCTTACTGTCAAGCCTTGTCTATCAACTTGACGCAAGACAGACACCCAGTGCAGCGCCAGACCCTCGGCAGTGAAGCAGCTGAGGGATGGAGGAGGGAAGTGGACAGATTGTCAACAGTTGGCTAGTTTGCTTGGTTTGCATCGAGCCCCCTGGTCTCCTGGTTCGAGCATTGTATTCGTACAGGGAGGTACAATCCTAGGTATTATTACGAGGTACATACAAAACACGTAATTTACTCAAAATCCATATACAGATTAGCGTAACATGTGACTAGGGTTTGAAAGAGTATCTCTATGTTTCCAAACATGGAATGCAAATACGGTCGTTACTGTACAAATCCGCGGAGTCCGCGGTAGACCATTCCGGCATCGCGTAACAGGCCTTTTGTAAACGAGCATGTTAATCGACTACATTTTTCCCATCAGGACCCGACTCCGATCTGAGAATGGCAGATGCCAGAACTCACTTTGCATCGGCATTCCCTCCGGTGCCATTAGACTTCCCACCGACTGCTTCTCCGCACCCCCACTTTACCCCACTGAGCTCTCCGGCTCCACGTCTGCATTTGCTCTTAAGAAGCGAAGGAATGGGCGCTGGTCGCAAATGACCCTACTATTGCAATTGGATCGAGCCCGGCATAGTCTATAACACCATGCCGCAGCCACAGCAATACCCAATCCTCGAGCGCGACAGCACTCTCGCGCAGCTTCCTGCGGAATACCCCACTGATACTCAGGACCAAATCTCCGAGCTCCTCGCAACATCCTCGATCAACCGGCTAGTAGTACTGGATGATGATCCCACTGGCACGCAGACCTGCCATGATATCTCCGTGTTGACAGTGTGGGACATCCCTACACTAGTGACCGAATTCCAGACCAATACTCCGGGCTTCTTCATCCTCACGAATTCGCGCGCATTACCCCCCCACAGAAGCCGAGAAGCTGATCCGCACAATCTGCGAGAAAGTAGCCGAAGCAGCCAAGTCAACTGGAAACGAAATCGACATTGTGCTTCGCGGGGACTCCACATTGCGCGGCCATTTCCCCCTGGAACCGGACGTTGCGCAGTCCGTCCTCGGCGCGGCAGACGGGCTCGTCCTAGCTCCGTTTTTCTTCCAAGGAGGAAGATTCACGATCGATGATGTGCATTATGTTGCGGAGGGGACCAGCTGGTTCCGGCAGGGGAGACGCAGTTTGCGAAGGACGCTACCTTTGGTTTCACGAGCTCCAATCTGCGCGACTATGTCCTCGAGAAGGCGCCTGGGCGGTTCACTGCGGACCAATTACGCTCGGTGACTATTGATGAGATTCGCCGTGGTGGACCTCAGGCTGTCAGTGAGAAGCTGCTGGCTACTCCCTCTGGGGGTGTGGTTATCGTGAATGCGGCGGCGGAGTCGGATATGCATGTCTTCGTGGCGGGGCTGTTATTGGGTAAGTCGATCTTCTACGAGGAATTGCAGACCAAAGCTGATTCCTTCTAGCGGAGTCCAAGGGGAAGCACTTCCTTTACCGCACTGCTGCGGCGTTTGTCTCGACAAGACTGGGGATTCGCTCTATTCCCCCGATTTCCGCAGCACAGCTTCAGCTCCCTTCGCCTCGTCAAACAGGTGGTCTTATCATGGCCGGTTCCTATGTGCCTAAGACAACCGCTCAACTCAAATACCTGACCGACCACCGCGGGGGCACTGGGAAATTGGCGATTATCGAAATGAAGGTCGCAGAGCTAGTCCAGTCGCCCGAAACAGCATCTCAAACCGTAGCAGGCGTGGTCAAGGAAGTCGAAGCGCATCTACAAGCAGGCCAAGATACGCTTGTGATGACGAGCAGGAAGCTTATTACGGGAGCTGATGAGCTTTCTTCTTTGAAGATAGGATCGGTTGTTGCAGAGGCGCTCGTTGGTGTCTTGCAGCGCATTGAGGTGAGACCGCGATATATCATAGCAAAGGTATGTTGCCCAATCCGCAGTGACTGATACGAGACCATAATGGTCCACTCCCATGATCGGGGTCGAGATTGGAGGTGGTGACTGATAATCATCTGAATAGGGCGGCATCACGTCTTCCGATGCAGCAACGAAAGGCTTGAATGTCAAGCGCGCTACCATTGTTGGACAAGCGGCTCCTGGTGTACCTCTCTGGCGATGCGACGAGCTGACCTCTCGCCACCGCGGTGTCCCTTTCGTTGTTTTCCCAGGCAACGTTGGGGGAGAGGCAACACTCTGCGAACTGGTCGAAGGATGGTACTAGACTAGATTCGGATGGACGTGCTCCAGCTGTATAGTATTCGAGTTGAACATCCTTAAGATACAATTTTGCTACTATTAAAAATGTAGTCCACGTTCCAAGTCAATCATATTCGCAAATTGGATCTTCCGCCTTGATATGCTCTATTCCGAATACCTTAGAAGCCAGGAATCGCGCATCACCCATCGCGCTCTGACATAGAAGCCCCGGCATGGCAATTCATCTCTCGTCCCTCTAGCTCCCATTTTCTCACTCCCACCAGAAACTCACGCTCACCCCTCCCCGCAACCCACGTACATAGTGCCACCACCCGACAGGGATGTAGAGAGACTCCCCTTCATGTAGGACCGTCTCCACATACGGCGCCTGCAGAAACCCTGGCCACAGCTCTTCCCACTGATCCGCTTCTGCAGGTGAAAGTTCAATGGCGGCCACATCAACCTTGGAGGTATTGGACATATCGATGAGCTTCTCGCTGGGATTTGCGTCCGGCGGTCCGCCTTTTTCGCTAGATGTTACCACTTCTTTGCCGCGAGGGTGGATCTGCGATGCAGGCGTACGCGGCGAGTACAGCCGTATGTACTTTGTGCCGACCACCTGCACGAGCACATTGTGGTAAGGGTCATGATGAAGCGGTGAGATGGTCCACAGGGGACCCATCCAGGTGTTGATTATTGGATTGCTGGGGATCCCCACGGGCGACTCTGCGTCCAGTTCATTGTCTTCGGCGTTCGGGGAGCTCGCCCCGGCAGGAAGATCGGGGTCAGCTGGTCCCTTCTGAGACTCTTTGCGTGCGTCCCGTTCGCGCTGTTTACTTTCGTAGACCGGTGTGCCAGGCTCAGGGCCTGGTGGGTCAATGAAGCAGTAGTCCGGGATCCCAATGTCTTTGCGCAGGGCCGGGATTTGGGAAAGCAGGTCGTGCTGGGCCAAGTAACCCGTTTCGTGGACTTCCGGGTTGTTGGCCTTCTTTTGTGGGCTCTTGATGCCAAGATCACCATTCCAGATGTAGGTGTCGGCGAATTCCCGAAACTCCATGATCTTCTGACCCCATCCTTCGTCTGTGTAGGATCTGCCGACTTCCACAGGCACAAGCCTGCGGCCCCCGAATGTACGGCCCCACCAATAATCGCGCGACTTCCATGGTCGGGTCGACATGGCAGGCCAATGGTCCACTGCGTCGGTGATCACGAGCGGAGTGCGGACTTCCTCGATGTGATCCTGGATCTCTTCGAAGGAAGGGGCTGACAGGCGTGTAACCGGATGCTCCAGATGTGGTTCTGGCAGAGTCGTGGGGGGAACATGGGCGATGCGAGCTTCCTGCGCTTCAGTGGACGGCCTGTGGACTCCTCTCCCTCGGAATTGCCTTCTGTAGCTTCCTGTAACGCCCCAAGCAGGGACTCAATGACCGCCTCCCGCCGCGGAGCACCGGTCATGATCAACGCTCTATCCAGGGTATGCACAACCTCGTCCAGCCAAGCTGCTTGTGGATCAATACCGGTTTCCATCTCCACATCCTGCAGTTCTTGAATCAGCTCGGAGGCGTTGATTTCATGCCCATGAGCAAGGTCACCCTGCTGGCTAAGCCCGCAGCGAGATATAATGATAAGGCATGCTTTCAGGATCGACGCGTCGGTATAGAGGCGCCTCCAGCAGGTCTGGACATCTTTGAAAGGAAAGACGCGTAGTTTCGCGTCGGCAAGCTCAAGGGCCCCATTGACGTCATTCAAAAGAGGATTTGTGAGCTGGTCGCTGCATTGGTGGATAGGGTCATCGAGGGTTGGGTTGGAGATGGCGGACAATGCGCGGGTAACCGCATTGGAAACACTCATGACTGTGCGGGGTTGATGAAGCAACCCATCTGAGTTTATGATGGCGGAAATTGTGAGCTTGAGGTCCGGCTGCGGGGGTGGAACCAATTTTGGATGTTCTGTTTGGCAGAGCGATGATCAGTTCACCGCACACCTCAGTGATCGTCTTGAGCAAACGGGCACTCCCGGAAATTGAGGCAAGATTATCCGGTCACAATTTTACTTGTTTTCTCAGATACTGGGGTTGATTCTATTTGCTTCAAAGTCGGACTTTTGAAACTTTGGAGACGTCCCCACATTGAAGGTGTTTCCGGTCTATATATCTCGATGGTGGGGACGATGAACTACGGCGGTGTCCACCAACCATGTTTTTCTTTTCTTTTTTTTTTGTGGAAAATGATTCAGCGGAGTTTACCATTATGAGCACCACCCAGGTATGATTTACTAGGAGTTGCTATATCATGACGCCACTAGATGCTGGTCAGTATCTCGACAATTCCAAGTTCAAGTGAAGTTGGCCTGCTTGAACTAGAGACATCTTAGTGTTTGGCTTCAAGTTGGACTTGGAGGTACGGACATTAGTATGCAAGCTCAACAAACTACCCCTCTACCGAAATTAACACGGTCACTATTTGAGGGCCTAATTCTGAAAATATAGACAATACCCACAATTGTGTAGTACTATTGGCGGTGGCACAAAAAGCTTTCGAGCGTATACCGGATTTATGAACATATTCAACATCAAGGTATGCATCTGCTACTAGTACTGGCAAAAGCCTCTTCAAGACCTTGTAAAATATCAAAGATAGGTTTCAGAATGCAGAAAATCATCTGGAGTCGATACCAGGGATTGACTACTATGTTGAACCGAGAGAGATTCCATAGCTGCCTGGAATAGCGGTTCTCCATGTCGAACCTGGAGTTGCACCACCTGGGCAAGACTCGGAGAGCCCAACCTTACGAATGCCTACAAGTACTACCTAGGTAAGTAGCAGTCGCTCCGAAAGAGACCTGTAATCCAAGGACCAATCCCCCCGAAACCCCCAAATCCATGAGCCAATACTTACGGCCATTGTCATACCCGTCATACCCATCATCTTCTATCTTGGCCCCCAGCATGGAACAAGTGGCCATACCCTGGTCGGGCCAACACAGATCAACAGGCCCACTTGGCCGCTTCTATTCAAGAATCTTGTGCAGCCACCCATGGACGGCTGATTTGGAAATCACACCAAGATTGCATAGCCCTACGACCACAAAGGCCCTGTCCCTGCCCGTGGCTGCATGGTGCCGATGTGATTGTCAAATCATCCCTGCAAAGAGCCTCGGCTAGCCAATGAGCCGTGCCAGTCCTCCATTCGAGTTTCTTTGTCCTGCCTTGATTCCATGGCAAACCGGCTAAACGGGCACTAGCGCCGCCGGCTTTGGAATGCACACCACAGCGATCAGTCCTCGACTCCCAACTTCCAAGCTCTTTTTGTAAACACACCCCCGGTTCCACGTCGAGTTCACCATGCAGGAACACCGGCCTCCATCAGTTGCCATCTTTTCTAGGTTCAACGTCCCGGGCGTTGTGGATGGAAACCCAAACAGTCGTGGTAGATCAAAAATTGCGCTCCGCATCCGACGACACCCAATTGGAGCATCGGGGGTACTTTTGTTCGCTTTCTTTTCGAAATCAGCTGCCGCTCATAGCTCGTGCAAGCTCACCGACAGCCAATGGCAGTTTAAAGAGTCCCCCTTGGTCCCTAGGCCGTCCATTCAGTCGCTTACTAGCAAGGGTGAAGGCGGACTAGTCTTCTGTCAAGCCATGGTTCCAGTGGCCAAGGTAGTGAGCTGACATGGACCCTTTTTCCCCTTTCTCTCTTTTCTTTTTCTTTTTCTTTCCTTTTTGCACTTTGCCCGAAATCAAGGCTTGGATGTCGGGTTGATAGCGAAAAGCCGATCGGCTAGGAGCTCACTTGCTATTTTAGGAAGAGCTGAGAGCAATACCGGGATCATGATCTTCGTATAACTTAGGATCGCGATGTATCTATCCGCTCTCTGCTCGTGGGCCAACTTTTCAGTCCGAGTCGGTGAGGAATAAGCGCAAGTATGGCATGATCAGTGACGCCGAATGCCCCCAGGGTTCAGCCGCAGAGGTGATGGATATGAAACTCTTCATGCGAAGATCAGCCTTCGCCCTCGAGGGCTGCGTCTGGCCATTCGGGACTGCCGGTGAGTGGTTCATAATCCCAATAAAGCTACCGGCGCTATCACGATTCCAGACCCGTGAAGCTAAGGGCAAATATCACTCACATATCTGTCAAGCTGCGGACCCCAATGGAACGAGGGGAGCCGTATATTACGGCGGGCAAAAGTACCACTTGTCAGGAATGCGGCATTCGGGGTCAGATTGTACTTCTGTCAGGTAGATCCTGCATAGATCGAGTAGCATCCCGAGGGATGTATTATCCAGCATGTATAATATCTACAGCCGTGAAAGATTGACAATGTATCGAGCTGTCAGAGACCGGTATTTTCAAAGTTGATGTCGGAGATGCCCTCCCCATGGAGTGCCGAGCGAGTCCATAAGTACTGGGGCGGTATGCAACCCGAGTTACTAGGAAGTATCTTTGGCACTTACTCGTGTTTGACGAGTCATGAAGCTAATACGGAATACTCGTAGCGTCCTTCCAAAGCTGTCAGCATTGGCGGCGAGTGTATAGCACTAGTAACTCAAAATGGAACATAGCAGGGAGGGCATGAAGACTCGGAGGTATGGATGGCAGTGGGATCCGGATCATGTACTGCGTAGAAGTGACTTACTGTGGACATCTGGTGTAGTAATGAAATGACGCATCGAGAAATGCTGAGCAGCAGTGAGCTGCAAAAAAACCCGAGGCTATCTTACACGGCTGGATAGAAAGTTCTAGACGAAGTGTTCTGGCTAGGTCATGACAGCGTCAGCCTGCGCACCATCGGGCATTGAAGAAATCCCGTAAAAGGAGCCAATCGACTGGTCAAGCACCTAGGGGATGATTTAGCGAGCCTAAATCCTGAGTTCAGGTCCAGAAGACTCCTGTCAGAAAAAGAAAGCGCCCCGCACCGCCGGGACGGGATACAGAAAGGTCCAAAGTACCGCTAGTGGACAAAGTACATGTCAATTCCGAAACCAAAGTACATACAAAATCAGGGTGCGAAATCAGGATGGCGAAGGATCCACCGTTACCCCTGAATCCAGGCGGATTTTTTGGCCTCAAGGGATGGAACTTTCAAAGGTCCAACGGAACCCACCGAGTGGCGAACACCAAAAGAGGTAAAGCGCTCACATGACTGACGGGCGATTCAATAGTGGGAAAATCATCGACAGGAATCACATCCGCGACCAGTGAGAGGCAAGAGTTTGTTACCCGTCACCGCGGCACCGGAACATGCATTCCGATGGGGCTGCTGGAACTGTGGTGACTTAAGGGTGGAGCAGAGGGCATCGACCCCGTTGGACAAATCCCCTAAAATAATCAATACCGGATTGTGTGGGGGTACCGTTCCATGGAACAACTGGTTTCCCCCTGAACTTTGAGAGCTGAAAATCCACGGCTCGCCCTAAAGGCCTAGCCCTATTGCGCCTGCTGATTGGCCCGCGGATCCGTCCTTCTGGTCCCCCGGATTTAGCTTGAGTCGCCGCGGCGCTAGCAGTCTTTGTAAACAAAATCAGGTCCCAGCACTGCGTACTCCGTACTCCGTACAGAGTACAGAGTACGAACATCCCATTATTGAGGGTGGTACGGGGAACAGGGGTACGAAAATATTGTCTTTGACCCGGAATTCAGAGCATATGAAATTGGGGTATCACAGAGTCTGTTCCAACCACATTTTCCTGGGTCGGCGCGTATTCCTGTACACAAGGTGAACAAAGGTGAGATCATGAGGCCAACGAGAGTAGTGGGACGAAGAGTATTTCCGAAGTATGAGAGAGCACTTGCCAGCTTAGAACGTCGGATTATCTATTGTTCCCACAGCAAGGCGGTAGACAAAGCACCGTACACCATTTTCCCGCAATCTAAAGTCCAGGCCGGCAGTTCAACGCGTGGCTTGTCGGCACTCCCATTCTTGGAAGACCTGTTAATATAATTTCGCTGATCCACTAGCATCTCCCCGGAGCAGTGCTGGCTCCTCCCGCGGGGGAAGATCGAGACCAGCCCACACCCAATGTGGCAAAGGAAGCAAGGCAATTGCTCAACCTTTGCGATCTGGATCTCTGCAAGATCAAAGTCTAAATCAAAGAGGGTCGAGCGGAATCCTTGGATCCTCGTACCCGGCGCAAGGAATCTTCAGATCTTTGCATAACCGCACAGCTACACCTGCAGGACAGGCGTTCCGATAGACTTGCGATCGATCGGGAGCGGAAAGTTACGTCCATCCCAAACATTGGAAGTTTGATCATGTCGCGTCGATCCTTTGGTTGCAGGTAGAGCGGTGGTAGTTGCCTCCTGTCCATTCTCGATTGCGAGAAGGTGCGAGCGAGCGAGCGAGAGAACGGCCCTGTTTTGCTGCTACACGAATAACGCGTCAATGGACGACAGGCGCGCTTCCGATCTGCAGGGAACTAGGTAGTGGGCTCATGCATTCGCGTAACCTTGGAGTTAAATTTTTTTCCCTCCCCATTGACCCCTCCGATCTTATCAGGAAAAAATGTGATCGCCTCCTTTCCCACACCGCTGGCAAATCTGATAGATCACATGGGGGCCTAGAGGACGTCAGACACAACCCAGGTAGAGGCTCGAGCTATACATTCCAGTAGTATTACGCGACAAACTCCCTGTGGAGAGAGACGGGAGGGAGGTAGGGTGGTACAGCCGTAGAGGTGACTTGTGATATGCTCGGATTTGTTTTCCTACCCCATTGATCGGCTGCACTTGCTGGCCTCATACAATTCAGCCACAGCCAGTTGACAGACTTCGCATCACATCATTATCAGAAAAAAAAAAATCCCCCGAACACGGTGGCATGGCGTCTGCGGCGGGCGTCGATCATACCGACGTGTTGGGTTGAACTAAGGCCCACTATGTTAATTCGCGGGCAGGAATGAGGATAAGCGACTCCTCCATGACTCCATCAGCTCGTAAATGACGATTTGCATCGGCCCCGGTCCTGGTCTTCTCGAGGTGACGGGTTTCGGAGAGCAGGCGTACCCCTGCTAGACTCTCACAGATGTCGCTCAAATTGCAGAAGAACCAAGGTGAGGGCAATATGAGGTAATGGAATGAAGGGCCTGGGGTATGATCTTGGCTGAAGAATGTCAAGAACCGAGAGTTTACCCTTCCCGCGATCTCAGCCAGCTACCTGACTCCGAATCGACCATCGCGTTGAGTTTGGGGAGAAGCCTTTTACAGCTTTTGCAGCTTCGAAGATTTCTCAAGGGAAAGCGGGCCGAGTATCCAACGCACCGTCGCTCTTCTATCAAAGAATGCCATTACTCGCCCCCCCCCTGTCTGTAAATCCTTTGTCGCCCACCTTTTTCGCAGTGGCCCGTCATGTCGTACTCACCGTCTTTTGTGACTCTTTGGGCAACAATGAGACGTTGAGGTTCAAATATCGATATGGACTACAGACGTAACATCGGTTGGGTTCGCAATGATCGCCTGAGATGTGTAAGGACAGCCCCTCCGGCTACCGGCGGTGCAGACATAAACGAGTGGGGAAGGCGAGGATGCGAAAGGGCGAGACGGGGGCTACAGGGTGAAGCAGTAGGTTTCGTACAGATTCCCAAGGCAAAAGACACTATTGGGATGTTCTATTTGCAGGCATAATGTACAGAGTAAACAAAGCCTCTGCAGCCAAGCACTTCACCGCCGTCAACCTGTTCTACCCGGACCTTGAGCCTTACCCCGCTAGTCTGCGCCGCCGCTTCACTCTTCATTCCTTACTGGCGGTAGCCTCAACGAAGCAGACCAGGGTCTGCCGCTCCTTCCCCACCACCTCGACATGGATCACCTTGCATACGCGGGACAAAGCAGCCTGGACATGACAATAGCGCAGTTGGGCTCCGTCTAGCCGTTCAAGGCCCCTTCATTCTCAAGATCAGATCCGCTTGGTCGCTTTTGTAGCTTCGTCGCTTGGTCGCTTGGGCTCATCTTCCCGGATTCTTTCCTTCCGAACAGTCCGAATGGATATGACCATGTACACGATCGCTGACGCGTGACCTGAAAAGATTGCTACCTACGGGACTGGTCGTCACCGCTTCACTTGAAAGAAGTCCCCGAGCTGTCATGATGTGCCCATCCCTGCTTCTCTCTCCCCTTCTCTTCCCCAATGTCCTCCCCAGTCCGGGTTAGCCGCCGGCCCCTCATCACCTGACGCATGTGCTGTCCGATGCCCTGGAATACCCATCTCTATGCAAGAAATGTACCAAAGGGTTCCAGTACCATGCACTCCGCCTGACAGGCCGCCCTCTGATTCTTGATGATTGGTCCGTTGGTTCTGATGACACTACTCATCAACGACCGCCAACTGTAGAAATTGCCATTTTGTTTGCTATAGACTTTTGGACCTCTGGTTGCAAGCTGTCCGACTCGGGGCTGATTCTCAACCATCTGCATCATGATCATACGGTGGATCCTGGGTCCATTTTCCGAGTTCCTATGATTCGCAAACTCGCCTCCCAAGCGGCTTACGATCCACCGTGTTTGGCTGGAGCAGAAGATGACGTCGATCATGAGCCCCCCTGAGACCCATTCATTTCTTTGTCGCGGATCTCTCACCGGCTTTTCTCAAGGGCCCCCACCCGGCTCGCGTGGCCATGGCGACAGGAGAGAACTGCATGTCCGCTTTCTGTCGTACATCGGAAGACCGCATCGGTATCGATCCAATGCCCACCGTAAGGCAGCATGGTATGGAGTTACAATCATGGGAAGTTCCACTCTTCGCAGAGTTTCCCAGCCCCTTGGGTCGCCGCCGTATTGGGTTCGGCACTTTACCGACTTTTGGATCGACCTAACAGGACATTTCGCATAGCTGTGTAAAAGGTCTAATGGCACCAGAAGTAGGGCAGCACGGCAAAAGGTGAGGCGGACCTTCGAAGAATCTGAATCCCGCCGTACTTGTCCTAGCATGCTGAAGGCTGGCTTGAAACCAGATCTCGGCCGGTTTCCTACTCTGGTGTCGGCATCACCGGGAAAGATGGAGCTTGGGGCGATTACTATGAGACGATCGGCGACCAATGCGGGCCCGTAGGCGATAGGAGAACCGGACTGTCGGTGAAATTAGATGTCAAGGCCAGCTGATGGGAAGTTTTCGAGAAGGACACTAAGGTTCCAAGGAACAAATCACTTGTACCGGTACCATTGTATTATTACGCCTTTGACAGGACGATCATTCGCAATGGATCGCGACCCACCAGAGGCAAAAGGTCCCCTTATTATCCACCGGAACGGTTACTCTCAAAAATTAGATAGGAGGCCTGTACTTCTTTTTGGTGCTGCTCTTGCCTATTTTCTCCCTTGGGGCCAATGTCTTACATACTTTCTCACTATTCCGTATCGCTCTAGCTTAGTTCTCCGGACCAGCAAAAGAACTGGGGGCTCGAAATCCTGTACGCTAACCGGTCCCGGGGATTTGGGTGCGCATGGAGCGTAGCCTGCCCTATGACAAGGCTCCATACTACACATGACACGGGGTGACAGACAGTGACAGACAGGCCGGTAAACGGCGTGTGTTCTTAGTTCCTGGCTTTCCATGTCTATTCCTTCCCAGCGCTGCTGCCGGCAAAGCCCCATTGGATGCCTCCCCCAATACACCGCATCTTCGGTTTTCTCTCCCCGCCTTAGCACTGCCTCATTTGGGGTACAGTTTCTTCAATGATGTGTACAGGCTTCAACGGCTCTGGGTCTGCTGTAGGCGAATCAATACGAAACACGCCGAGGCCATTGTTTTCAATTGATTGTTATTGGTGCCAGGACCAACAAAGCGAAAAACAAAGAGACGGGCCCACTAGAAGGCTGATCATCTCCCTCAGTAATTTTCTAGAACCTCGATCCGTGTTGGGATGGACTACTATCCCCGACTCCGACTCGGGGGAAGATCCCTTGCACCCGAAACATCTGAAGTTCAGCTGGTGCTGTTCACGTGGTTTGCTGGGAAGAGAAGAAAATAACTTTTTTTTTTCTTTTTCCGTTTTTGTCGTTTTGACTACTATCCACTTTTCTCCTGATTCGTAGGTGGATCATGAAGAAGAGAATCAGAGGACTCGGATGACGATATAGAGCGACTAGTATTAAGCTTGAAAATGACCGAGCTATCAAAATACTGACCTCCGATCCCCATTTGCGTCAGAAGCTTGGGAATTCCCACTTCCCACTTTCCCCCCTCTTGCCAGTCTCCGAAATCTGTGTCTTGTTGGTGCTTTCAAACTTCAACCGGCTCTCGGGGAGGCGCAGCGGAAGTGGGACGTGAGATCTATCATCTCACTAAGTGACACTAACCAGACTTCCGGGACTCCAGAAAAAATAAAAGCAAAGGAACAAAAAACCCCGAAATCCCGTACGCCGATTCTCTCCCCTTACGCCATTTGGGAATCTTTTATTAGCGTTATTCCCCGGCGTCACGGCAATACAGAGCTAAACGGGATACGGAAAGAATCGACCATTAATAAGGGACTTGGGATCTTCGGATCTGGGGAATACCGGAAGAAGAGGATCTATCGAATCAGCGGGGTCTGAGGAGAACTCCAAAGGTACTTTGTCGCTAGACTTTGATCAGATCGAAGTGATCTGGTGGAAGGAGAACCCTAACATTTCTCCCCGGAAGTGCCCTTATTGGCCACTCGAAGAACGATGACGCTGATGTACTCTCCCGCGCTCTTCATTTTCTCTTTCTACCCTTCCCCTTCTGCCCCTTGATCTCCGACTCTCTTTTTGACCCCCCTGCCTACCCCTCTTAAGGTTTTTTTTTCTGGTCCTTTTGTAATTTTTGGGTTTGGCGTTAGTTTCAATTCGGAAATTCTAATATTTCTTGCCCTTTCCGTTATCCCTGCTTTTTTTTGCCCCCCCCCCCCCTCTTGAAAGGACTGATCACACTTGCAAATCCTGAAGTCTGGTGGTCCCGGTCCCCTGGCGAATTACACAAGCTCGTCCAAGTGGGATCCTACTAATCTACAAAACAAAATAAAATTAAAATAAAATTAGAATAAAATAAAATTTCCCCGAAATTTAAAACCTAGAATTCAAATTACCACCAAAAAGACCTGGAACCTCCCAAAACAGAAACCCCCCCTCGAAAATCTCAAATCTTAAAATTCCCCAATTATTATTAAAAAAATTTTTTTACAAAAAAAAAAGAAGAATATCCAGAGAATCATCGATAGACCCACCAGTTTTTTGGGCCATTTTGACTTTTTCTCATTTTCTTTTTTCTTTTCTTTTTTTTTAAAAAAAAAATTTCTTTATTCCCCATGGAACATGTTTGCTCTGCATCCTGCGGCTTCTGTACAGCCGAAACCGAAATTCCCAACGCTGAACGGTTGACGTTTTAGTAGTCTTTGGCGCCTGATCACATCTCTATAGATGGAGCTATCCACTGTCGATACCCGTGGATGTAATATAATAGTTTCCCCTTTCCCCTCCTTTACATGGAATGACTCCCTTCCTGCCCATCACAATTACTTCTACTCTTCCCCTTCCACTCTTCTCCAGATTCTTCATAGATCCCTTCTCCATTCTTCAATCGCCCTTTCTACCTCGGCCACTGGTCACTAGCTCTCTGATCCTCTTATTTCATGATCTATTCCCTGTTGGATAGCATCCAATCCTCTCCGCTAGCCACCGTGTCGAGTCTCCCTTGCAGGTGTCTCATAGCTCTGTGGTTCCCCGGAAATCTCTTTTTGATCCCATAGAGTTTCCCAACCGCAGGGGGAGCTTATGCTGAAGCCCTAACACAAAATCTACGCTCCTTGCTCTATCAGCCTTGACGCCAATTGGATTCCTGGGTTTTTGTCTTGAGTAATTAAACCGGGGTAATCTAAGGAGGAGGTTCACGTCCACTGTCCCGGGTCAGCCTGGTTTCCATCAATTACTGGAGATCCTCTCCGCCCATTCTTCTGTCTTCTGGTGGATCAACCATTCGCGCCTTCTAAGAGGGAAAACCCTCCGTCTTCACGAACGTCTGGATTCCGGCTATTTCATCGTCACAATGTTTCAACGACCAGCCTGTTTACAAAGCCGGCGCCAGCACAATGGCTCGGCTGAGGATTGGTCGACATTTCCAGTCCGGCAATTGTTCGTGTTAGGTAAGTTGGTACTTTTGTTGCCGGCAGAACTATGCGGCTACTGTTGCATGGATTGCTCGCGGATTTGCGTTTTTTCTTTTTCCTGTCTCTTTTCCACTCGCTTTCTGTCCAGGATAGAAAAAAATTGCTCCCAATTCTATCCTCAATTATGCGAATCTCGCTAACCATGCCCTTTCAGCTCTTGTCCGGATCTGTGAGCCCATTGCTTTCATGTCGATTTTCCCATATGTGTACCGCATGGTGGAGTCCTTCCATGTGACAGATAATGACCGAAAGATTGCGCTTTACGCCGGCATGATCACCTCGTCTTTCACCTTTGCGGAATTCTCAGCCGGCATGTTTTGGGGCCGCATGAGTGACCGGATTGGTCGCAAGCCTGTGTTGATCATGGGATTAATTGGGACCGCCCTGAGCATGGTGGCCTTTGGATTTGCTCCCAATCTGGCGACAGCCATGGTCGCGCGGGCGCTGGGTGGCCTACTAAATGGCAACATCGGAGTTCTCCAGACCACGGTTGCCGAGATTGTGACAGTCAAGGAGCACCAACCCCGGGCATATTCCATCATGCCCTTCGTGTGGTGCCTGGGATCGATCATTGGCCCGGCTATGGGCGGTGCTTTGGCCCAACCTTGCGACAACTACCCAGGCCTGTTCCAGCGTAACACGCTGCTGGACCGCTTCCCGTTCCTGCTGCCCAACCTGGTGTGCATCCTGGTGCTGATCTGTGGCATTGTGGTCGGAGCCCTCTTTTTGGAGGAGACTCATCCAGAGAAGAAGCATCGCCGTGACCCGGGTCGTGAGTTGGGCCACTGGATTATCAGCCACTGCTGGCGCTCGCGTGTGCAACTTCCCGACAACCCCGCGCCTCGCAATGAGAAGTGCTACGCTTATGATGACCACGACATCTCGCCCCAGGAGTACGAAAGTGTCGAATCGTCGCCCTGCTTGCCCCCCGTGAGCGACGTTGGATCCCCAAATGGCGACTTGGAAGGACAGAAGAGCTCCCCGCCCAAAGCGTTCACTCGCCAAGTCATCGTCACCATTGTTGCTTATGGAATTCTCGCCTAGTGAGTTGGCAATGCCACGCATTCTCTATCCCCAGAGTGGGATCTATCAATTTCTTGTGCTGACCTTACCCTTTTCTCTCTCTCGCAGTCACAGTGTTTCATTCGATCAACTGATGCCAGTTTTTCTGAGCACTCCCAAATCCGACGACCAAGCAGTCCTGCCACTCAAGTTCACGGGCGGCTTGGGGCTGCCTACCAAGACTATCGGCTTTATGCTGGCCGTTCAGGGCGTCTACTCGATGATCGCTCAGCTCTGGTTATTCCCGTTTGTTGTGAAGCATTTTGGCACCTTGCGCACCTTCCGCTTTGTGCTGCTCGCCTGGCCACCGCTCTATCTCGCCGTGCCATACCTGATCCTTCTCCCCGCAAAGCTGCAGATGCCCGCTGTCTATGTCGCACTGATCAGCAAGATCACATTCCATGTCATTGCATTCCCCGCTACCGCCATTCTCCTCGCAAATTCCGCTCCCTCCTCGAAGGTCCTTGGATGCATTAACGGTGCTGCTGCATCCACCGCGAGCCTGAGCCGTGCATTTGGCCCCACCGTGACAGGTTTGCTGCACTCCAAGGGGCTTGAGAGCGGTTACTCTGTGCTGGCCTGGTGGGCATGCGGCCTTGTTTGCGTAATCGGTGCCATTGAGAGCTTCTGGATGGAGGAGCCAGCCGAGCCCGAGCGATTCAAAACCGAGCAGGCCGGGGTCAGCGAGGCTGAACTGAAGCGTGAGATACTTTCCGGGTCTTCCATCGACGAGGAAGAACAGCGCCTTCTCTCTCTCCGATCCAGTCTCGACCAGGACTACGATGCCTACCACCTGGATTCGAATCTTGTCAAGGACTCACTTCGCCCGGATAACGAATCCTCTCCCACTCACCTTTGAAACTCGGGAGTCTTCTCTCGTATACCACTTCTTTTCTTTTCTTTTCTTTTTTCTTTTTTCGATTCTCAAGTGTTCTTCTGAAGGATTATGCATTCCCTTCGCGGTCATTTTTTGAACTTCAGCCACGATACCTTAGCTTGTCCATGATTTCTCTTCTGCCTTTCCCCCCCTTCTTTTATTTCTTTTCTTTCCTTCCACTTTCGGTCATTGGGGTCTGGCATCGGCGCATTTAACATAGATTGGATGCATTGCACAAGAAAACAAAAACCGCATATTATTTGGGGGCTGGAGGATTTCTGCCATCTTTTTCTTGTTTTCATTTTTGTTGGCGGAGCATTAACAGGGTTGGTTACACTATGATGATACTCATGCATCTGGGAGGTCTTTTGTCTGCTTTTTTCGCGATTTGTGCTATCCCCTTTTATTCATCTTCGTTTCGAAGATCTACAGATCTTCAGTTAGACAGACTCATGGACTTGATTCCAATGAAGAGCCGTCATCTTGATCTATGTGACTCCACCCTGTAACGTTAGAAGCCCCGGTCTAAATAAATTAAGCCTGCAGGCCAAGAGCACCAACTCCACAGCCCATCTGACCACCCCTCTGACCACCGCGAGTAGTGGGGAGAGAGACCCTTGGAGCACCTTCGAGTTGCCGCCAATGCAGGTGGATCAGCCTAGGGGCACTACTGATCGTACCTACAGTTGTTGCATATATAGACCTGACGTGTGCCCGCGTGTTTTATCATCCTGCTCCTCCCCCGGACTCGTTGAATCCCCCCCCACACTGCTACCAATGACAGGCCTCTTTCAGCGGAAACCTCCACTCGAGTCTACATACAGATGTGACTTGCAGGGCCGATCGAGCCTTTCCCTATTTCGATATGACCTTCCCGCTTGTTGGGGCTTGAGCGTGGATCAAATGGATAACCTGGGGTACGTCTTCTCCATTTCCGAGGGCAACTCTTGTGCTCAGAAGCGTAACCTAATTTCTCTACCCGAACGTTGGTACTCCACACTCTTATCAGGTGTCAAAGTGCGACTCTCCTCGATTCCGCAGTGACACGTTGATCTCAGTTCCCTTCCAAGCTTGTTTCGACTGCAATTTCCGCGGCTGCCGCGACGACCTTCTCATTATCTACTCCAGACCTTGGGGCGTTGCCCACTTTCGGAAGATCCTCTTTTTCCGTAGCGCATTTCGCGAGAGCGCTCTTGGTCAAAGCCTTCAGCTAGAACGGCCTCTCTCTCTCTCTTTTCCCCCCTCCTCTGCCAACAGCTTCCAACGAATCCGATCTTATCATGAATGCTGCCCCCGCTCCGGGAACTAAACCGCTATTCCCGACCGCTATCTCCGCCGACACCCAAGAGATGACCGTATGTCAACGGCCCTTCCTGCCTCAAAATGCCTAACCTGCCCTCGCCCTCGGCCGCCTCGAAAAAGAGACCTCATCCTTCCGGCACCCCTCCAGCCGAACCCGACCCCGCCAATTCCAACCCCTCGCGTGATACCCAGAACCCCTCCGCCCTCCCGTCCACCCCCCCTAACTTAACCGCGACTCTCGCCTCCTCGGCCGCCTCATCCTCCTTTCGTAATGTATCAGCCTGTAATCGCTGCCGCCTCCGGAAGAACCGCTGCGACCAGCGCCTCCCGCGATGCCAGTCGTGCGAAAAAGCCGGCGTGCGCTGCGTCGGCTACGACCCCATCACCAAGCGCGAGATCCCACGCAGCTACGTTTATTTCTTAGAGACCCGGGTGGCGTATCTCGAAAAGCAACTAGCCGAGCACAATATCGCGTTCAAACGGGCCGTAGCCTTTGACGAGGAGGATGCCGTGAAGACCGAGGCAGGCAGCGAGGCCGGCAATGGCCAAACCGAAAACCAAGAGAAATCGCAATGGCAGACATCCAAACTGAAAGACGAGCCCGAACAGCGCGGAGAAGGCGAGACTGCGGTCCCTGCCGACAGCGACGATCCAAGGAGCGAGGAAAACTGGCGTTTGCATAACTTGGTGTCGAATATCGGTATGGTCTCTGTGCAGGAACATCGGATCCTCGGTATCTGGGATCGACGTCGGGGATTTCCTTTGCTCGGGTCGTTTTCGCCGCTGTACGGAGCTCGCTGCCGGGGAATTTGCCTGAGCGTGCGCCGATTCGCACCAGCGAGCGGTTGCCGCAGACCGCGGCGCCGGGGCCTGGTGCGAGCACGATGCGTGATTCGTTCTTTGGGCTGCAGACGAAGCCGATGATGAAACGTGCGTCGTTCCCGGATAGGGAGCTGGCGGATCGATTGGTTGAGCTCTACTTCGAGCATGCGAATCCACAGATGCCCATTCTGCACCGGGGCGAGTTCATGGAGCTCCTGGATAAATCGTATACGCTGGATGAGAAGAATCGGTCTCCGCGAGCTCTCTACATACTGAATATCGTATTTGCTATTGGCGCGGGAATTATCTTCGATGATAAGCCGCCGAGCTCGGATGATGAAGGTGTTGCTGGCCGTGAGGGATCCTCTTCTACAAGCAAGAGACCAAGGCTATCAAGCCATCAGTTCCAACCAGAGGAATACCATGCATCCGCAATCGTCCATCTGGAGTCTTTCCTAGGCTCTTCGTCAAGTGAAGGCTTCGGTGGACTGGAAGAGCTCCAGGCTGTTCTTCTCTTGGCGAGCTTTGCGCTGTTAAGACCAGTTGCCCCGGGTCTGTGGTATATTGTTGGTGTGGCGATGCGCCTGGCCGTTGATTTGGGTCTTCACTACGAAGACGGCGTCGGCTTCGAGTCTTCAAAAGACGGGAACCAAATACAGCCCCGCATTGATGCGCATGAGCGCGGACGCCGCGAATGGGTGCGTGACCTTCGCCGCCGACTTTGGTGGTGTGTGTATAGTTTCGATCGACTGGTGGCGACCTGTGTGGGACGGCCATTTGGCATCAATGACCAGGCGATCAGCACAGAGTTCCCATCGATGGCGGACGACAAGTACATCACTAAATCCGGTTTGCTGACGCCCCCTGACGGCGCTCCTTCCTACAAGCATGTTGGCTTCCACTATTTTAAACTCCGCCTCTTACAGTCGGAAATCCACGACGTGCTGCAGTACCAGCAAACGCGAGCCGTGCGAAGCCGAGCACCAAATAGCGCGGTCATCCTTCCCCATGCCGAGCTCACCTCCCCCTTCCTCCAGGGATTCGATTCTTTCCGATCCTGGCGTCATGATGTACATCGTCGCTTGGTGGAGTGGAAAGAGACTGCCCCAACGCGCGCCGATACAGGTGTGCGGTTTTCCATTGAGCTGTTGGAATTGAATTATTGGCAAGCTATTATTCTCCTTTACCAGCAGAGCTTGACGGTGCCTGCTGAGTTAGCCGGGGAACTGACTCCTGCTGATGATGTGTCCAGCCCTTCATTTTCCAACTTTGATGAAGGTGACGACGAAGACCAGGTCTATCTCAATGTTGCGGAGGCTGGTCAGAAGGTGATTCGAATCTATCGACAGCTTCATCGGGTGCGGCTTGTGAACTACACGTATCTCGCTACCCACCATACCTTTATGGCTGGTATGTTCCCCTGGCTCGTTTCTTATTGCGTGAAATCTAATGCATTATCAGGCATCTCTTTCTTATATGCCATCTGGCACTCGCCGCTTGTTCGCAGTCGCTTGGTAGGCAAACATGTTGCAGATATTCTCAGCCCAGTGCTAACGGACGCTTTATAGACCCTTGATGAGGTAGATTTTACGGTTCTCGCGGCAACATCGGTATTGGGCGATTTGATGCACAAGTGCCCTCCAGCTGAGGCCTGCCGCGATGCGTTCGAGCGAATGTCTAAGGCCACCGTCCAGATGTGCTTATCAACAACCGGGTTCGGATCACAGGTTGACATGACCCGTGGGGCCACTAGATCCCATGTACCAGGGTCTCTTCATCCTGGTCGTCGCCAGCAGGCTGATCAGCGGCAACGGCCCGGATATGCTCAAGGACGGCGCATTACACAAAGCCGGCCCTCGCGACCGGTTCCTAAGTTTGACATGAATTTAGCGGATCTCTTCAGCGATAATCCTTTGGCTGAACGTCCACATCCTGATAGCAGACAGGGCACGCATCCGTACGCTGTCCGGCCGGACCAAGCGGATCCCATAGCCCCTGGATTCGCACCGGAAGACCCTACTCGGCCATATGGCCAGCGTACTCCGTCTATGGAGTACTTCTCAAATACGAGAACCCTGGATCGCCCCAACAACAATCCGTTCCTCAATTCTACTATGCAACCTCGCCACAGCAGAGTGGCGGCTCTCCAGGCTCTTCTGCAAACAGGCCGCGCCCTGTGGTGCCAACTGACCCCGAAGGTCAGCACGGACTTTCTCTCGACTTCTTAGACTTCACATCCGGCGACCAGGAGAATCGAACCATGAACGCAGATCTAAATGCAGACTATAACATGGCGTCGATGCCAAACCTTGGTCAAAACGTGGGCATTGATTTGGGATTCGGCATGGCTATGGATTTCCAGCATGATTGGAGTGAAAATCCAAATTATGATCTCTTAGAAGGATATTTCTTTGGCGGGTCTGGACCTGGCGCATCTGGCGGCGATGCTTGAGTATCTGCTTCTTGATTATTTTCTCTCAGCGCACTACCTTTGACTTAGCTGGCTTGATATTTCCGCTGCTTCTTCCCTTTCCTTGCAGGTACATTTGATCCTTGTCTCTGCACTTACCCCCCCCCCCCTTGTTACCCTCTTGTCCGGATTTGCTTTTTTACACCAGCGCGGGTTTACATTTTCAAGCTGCAGGCTAGGTCTTATTTCCGTGGACAATTTTCATCGTATCTGCTGCTTCTTTTTCCGATTGCTTTTGAGCCGGGATACCATTTATATTCGATATCTATACACTCCAATTGACTATCTCAAAACTTGCATATCCAGCTTTCAATCCAATTAACAGCATCCATGGATGATGTGAATACTGTACACCCCTTTTCCCCTCCAGGCCAAACAAGGCAGGAAAGAAAAGAATAACCTGAAAAGGAGCAAGGCGTATTTCCTACCTACCTACCGTCCGATTCATAACTTACCCCTTCAACCCTAAAGCCCACCTCTGTGCGATTCTCTGCGATGTTCAAACGTCTAAAATCCTTCGACGAAAATGCAATAGGGCCATGTGCATTCTATTCTATCTACCCTGGCACCAGTAAGAAGCGCTATCGATCAGTCCAGGTGCAATACGCAAGATTTCATAGGCGCTCATGGCGGCTTTGACTTCCTGCGACTCATTCGACGGGTCTTCCATCTGCAAGAAAGACTCGGGACTGTACCCATCGGTGAATTAGCCTCTTGTTCATAAAATTTCGCATTTTCTCGCACCTAGTTCCCATAGTCCTGTGAGCTTATTGTAAACTCAACCCTTAGCCCAGCTACAACGAATTACTTGAGCTCTTCTCCTATGGCGTGTACAACCTGAGAATAGCCCTCAATAGGGCTAAGTATACTTTGTAGCCCGGATCCGTGTACAGTAGAAGAGCGCACGCAGTTGGTTTCACAAGGAATGATACTGAAGCTGATTCCTCTCATCAGGTGTATTTCTTGGCTCTTTTGCTGTTAGGTGCATACTGACATCGATCTAATGCCGGACATCCCCAATTTCCCCAATCTTCGCCCCCTACCAATACGGGGCAGGGAGTGCCTTGGGCACCAAACCCAAACAAACATGCCCGCTTTTTTTTCCCTCCTCCCCACCGCGACCCAACCTCGAACGCCCTGCGTGCCTGGCTTCTGGACCCCTTCGATCTGGCGCTTGGACCCAACTACAACTGCCTAACTCCAGCATCAGGTGCCCACGAACCTATCCGCCCCTCTATCCTCCCAGCTCCATCGTTCCCCCTTGCCCTGAGATCGACGGACTATGTCCTTTCGTCGCATGTCCCAAACAAACATCTCCGTCTGTCTTAGCGAAATCCACAGCTGATCAGATCAGCCCTGCCGCGGTCCCCTGCAGGCAACCGACAGCCGCCGATACGTACTCCTCGAACAGTCCCCAAGACAAACCTCCGATCCCCAGCCCACCAAAAAGAACGCGTAGAGAGTGATACTGCGATCTAGGATTCCTGATCTCCAGACAGACGAACGTGGGACGTATGTTGCTGGCAAAATTTAAGAACAGATCATGCATATCGCTCTCGCCTTGACTATCGATTATGTTCTTTGAAATTACTTGGACTCTTCAGCTCGTCACTACAATCGGATCAACATGGTGAAAGCGGACGTACGGAGGGATTACTATGCCGAGCTGGGGCTCGGCCCCAGCGCGGAGGCTGATGACATCAAAAAGCAGTTCAGAAGATTAGGTACCTGACGAGTCTCTGACGCGTATACGCGCAAAGGAAAACCCGCTAACCATGGGTTACGCCGATAGCACTCAAATGCCACCCCGACAGAAACCCTGGCAAGGAACAAGAGTTCAACGCCAAATTCCAAGCTATCCAAGCTGCCCACGAGATCCTCAGTGACCCCCAACAACGTCTGAAATACGATACAGATCGACTACGTGCAGGGTACGGCAAGGTTTACGGCCCTCCAAAGTCAGCTCCCCAGCGCAAACCGCCTCCTCCAACAGCTGCGCCAAAGCCACAGAAGCCGAAAGCACCACCATATAGCTCCGCGTGGACTCCGAACGGGGCCTCGACAGGAGCACAACGATATTCAGCTCATGCACGCGCGGGCCCCCAGCAATGGAAGACGCAAGACGAGGCGCAAACAAGAGCAGACGCGTTTAAAGGATTCTCGGGCATGAGGGGATCTAACCCTTCTTCCAAATGGCAGTCCTTTGATCCGCAAACTGGGCGTGCAACACCCACCCCCGGTACTACACCGCGGCAACAGAACGCGCCCTTTGGTAATCCTCGACCAAAATCCGCCTACGAATATTTCAGGGAGAATGTGAGGGCACAGAACCCGCCAAGTCCCAATTCCCCCAGGCGGAGACAGGGATTTGCCCCCCGGGACCCCTGGTGGAGATGAACCACCGGCTGCCAATACGTCAGCCTACACCAGTACTCGAAGTGACCGCCCAAGTAGTATGTATTTTGAATCTGCGCCGCCGCCCACTGCAAAGAAGCCCACTGCCCCCGAGCCGGGCAGGTATGGCGATGATTTTGAACGGGCAAGCAGCCGATACGCTGCAACGGGAGGCGAGAAAACTTTCTTCTCGAGTGCAGGTCTTGGACGATCATCGACTATGCGTACGCCTTCGGGGTCCTACCGTGCATCGAATTCAAAGACTACCCCGCCTAGCCCTGTCTACGCCGAATCTGGTAGGCACCGTAGCGCAAGCCCAAAGGTCAGGAGGAGACCAGATATCTCGCCTGCCTCATCTACAAGTTCAAGCGAGCCCGACACCGATGATGAGATACTCCGTTCGAATTCCAGTCAACCTAAACCCAAGGCAGTCCCTAAGAGTCGACTCCGGCCTCATCAAAAGTTTTCCGACTTCTATAGAGGTGACGACTCTAGCTCTGGAACCGGTAAGAGCTCTTGTACCCATTCAGAACGACAAAGCTTTGGTCTAGCGCCAACTCTGCCGCAAATGAATTTTCGCACGCGTCCGGTCCTCCGCGGATTCGAAGACTTAGTCTCTGATACTGACGACGATTATGAATATCAAGGACACAATTCGGACAGTGCTGCCTTTACTCGAGGCTCCAATCGCCCGCAACAACCGGACCAGCATCAAGGCTTCTCCACTCGGTAAGACCAATCCAGATGAGCCCAAGCAATTATCCCTGCGCTAACGTGCCCAATCGGAAAAGTACTACTCATAACAGAAATGACGAGGAAAGACAAACATTCGAACGACGCAGCTCTAGCGACTTGAACGGTCTGCACAAAAAGTTCTCCGCCGAGGACTGGAGAGAGCACTTCGAAAAGTTTGATTTCATGGGAGCCGCCGCTAAAGAAAAGGAAGCACTGCGACGGTCGAGGCAGAACCGTGCATCAGCACAACCTCACAATGGGTCGGCTGAATCAATGGGATCAGGTGGCTCTTCCGGGTCCAATCGTGCCGGCTCCAGCTCTTCCAGCACGCCTCAGCAACCACCTACCCAGTTTGCTCAAGCGAAATTCTCCGCAGATCAGTGGTCTGAACAACTACGCTCTATGTCATGGAACATTCCTGATACTGACCAGAATCGCCAACCAACGAATCCCCCGCCGTCTCGCAGCCCAAAGAGACCCACGAGGCCAGCTAGCAAGCTACGAAGCACACCCCAGCAACCAAGCGTAACGGCAGAGGTCGACGAGGAACATCACACGGTTGATGGACATGGTCAGAGCCAAAGCCCTCACGCACCGCCCAACGAACCCAATCAGCACTCGATGCAGAAGCGATGGATATTGACGAAGACATCCCTTTCATGTCTGGCCCAGTGGCGTCTGGTCCCGTGCCAGGAAGGGGCGATAGCTCCGCAAATTATCCAGACTTGAACGCTCATGCCGCTGCGGACAAGGACCCCCAGCCGCCAAGCCCAAAACCGCAGCCGTCAACTCAATCCAACTCCAAGCCGAAGCCAGAGGGTTACCCCCCCCACTTTTGACTTTGACAATATCCGCAAAACGGCACCGTTCACCAACACGAACAATGGAGGCATCGACGACTTGGCCGATATGCAAACCCACCTGCCCTTCGAGTCCCGCGCTCGACGGAACACCACGAGCCAGATCCGCCCACGCAAGCTCGACGTACCAAATCCACCCAAGCGCCCCAAGGCACCATCTCCCGTCCTCTCGCAGCCAGGCTCCAATATCTTTGTCTTGCCACGTGACAAGTGGCAATACTACGTGTCGGCAATGAGCGCGTACATGCACGAATGGAACAAATTCAATCAGCGAATGCTACTCCATTTCAACACCAGACAAGAGGCAAACGAGACGGGACTTTCACCGGGCTGGATCAGTGCTGTCGGGGACTCCACCCGTTTACATATCAACGGGGAAGACGACACAGATACCGACAGGAGCGGTGTCCAAGACGCAGACCCGGGCGAGAGCGACGAGCTTGTCCCCAATGTCCCCAAGGGGGGCTTCAGCGCCTATCTGCGCGGTATCGAAGAGGATAACCAGGTACGCAAGCACTGGGAGGTGGCGTGCGAAGGGCACCGCGATTGCATCATGGATCTGGGGCGCCTGCGTGAATGGATTCGGAATGGCGGGAAGGTGGTATAATCTGTTTAATTTAAGCGAGCGATGAGTCTTTGTGGTGGCTAGGTGATGTCGGCATTCGGGGGGATCGCTACAGGATTACGAGGGGCATGGCTTTTGATCAGCATTTGGCAAGGAGTTTGTGGAATACCCTGGATATGATTGCACCTCATAGATAATGATTCGGGCTTTTTTTATACATGTTTAAGATGTGCTCTACCGTACTGGGGCTTATGGGCCCCCTGCGTATTTTCATATTGTGGGCAACGGTCTCAGGGTACGGTAGCCGAACAGTTGTGACCCTGGTAAGCTTGATATCTTTCGCAATAGCGTGACCTCGGAAACCGATCAGAAGGAACTACTTCACAATACTTGGAAGTGATCGACGCACTCTCTACGCCCATGTTATCAAGTACGCTCTGTTCGCCATTCCGGCTTTCCCTGTGAACTCGTAACAAGGGCGAGCGAGCCGAGATCAAGAGCAGATTGCTGTATACATTCCCATGGTGACTAGTCCATAAGCCTCGAGCCAGTGTACCTAGGTCCTGTAAGTGTTGCTTATTTACGTATAGCTGATTAGGAGAGATAGATATTCTATAGAACTTACTTCAAATTGCTCAGGTCCAATTCTCCATCCAGAAGACCTGGGAAGCTAGATCTCTTTTCTATTTCTCAGGCATGGCAGAGCCGCTTTGGCCCATCGATGCAAGAACGGCTACCTCACACGCCCGGGGATAGGCGAGGCGTTCTCGGGTGAATCCGGACTACATATATCTGTCGAGAGTGTCTAAACGGAGAGCTGCTAGAATAGCCACATCAAGATTATATTGTCCGTGGCAGCATTCGGGCCCCGGTGTAGAACCTGAGTCACGAGGCACTAAGGCAGCGAACCCTGGCAAATTGTGGACGACCCAGTCTGAGTCATTGAGCAGAAAGAATCCATGGATGGAACTTATAATTAGATGGGCAAATTGTTCCCAGCATCCTGTATCGCACTTAAATTTGCACCCTTTGTGCTTGCTCTGGCCAACCCAAAACTTCCTGCGGTCGATTCCACCGGACTAACCCGCGCCCGCCAAAAGCATCTGCCCCGCCATCCGAAGTCGGCCATTCTCTTCCCTCAAACTCCCCCCACTAAGCACTCTCAATTGCAAATTCTCCACCTGCAATTGCTCCGTTTTATACACAACAGCAACAATGGTGACCATAGTTCTCGGCAGTCAATGGGGAGATGAAGGTGCGCTGTTTCCACCCCGCGTATCTGGGGGTTTCAATCCCGCAGTCCCGTTCTGGGGCAAAAAAGAAAAATGGATATGCGGCAACTCAGAGAGACCCAGCGCTAATTCGAATATGTTCATAGGAAAGGGGAAGATTACCGACATGCTGTCGCAGAAGGCGACGCTCTGCGCTCGTGCAGCTGGTGGCCACAGTACGTGTGACATGCATTGATCTTTGATCTAGAGGGCCCGGACAGATGGAATATGGGACTCCGGGGTGTTTTACACAGAATTCCGGTTTGGACCAGATTCAAGCGCTTGTTTTCTCAAGCGATGTGCCCAAGCCCCCGCGGATCGATCCTCTGTCTTCTCATTGCCTGGCCAGCTTCCATCGCAGCATACTGACTCATGATTTTCTTTTTCTAGACGCCGGACACACCATCGTCCACGACAACGTAACCTACGACTTCCACATCCTGCCTTCAGGCCTCGTCTCGCCCTCATGTATCAACCTTATCGGCGCCGGTACCGTCTTCCACGTCCCCAGCTTTTTTAAGGAGCTCGCACATCTCGAAACCAAGGGCCTCAGCACCGCCGGCCAGCGCGTTTTTGTATCTGACCGTGCGCACGTCTGCTTCGACCTGCACTCCGTGGTCGATGGTCTTGAGGAGGCTGGCCTGGGTGGCCGCAAGGTCGGCACCACCGGGAAGGGCATCGGACCCTGCTACAGCGACAAGGCCGCACGCCGCGGTGTGCGTGTGGGTGAAATCCTGGACGAGGAAACCTTCGAGCGCAAGCTGCGTACTCTGGACCGAGGATACCGTGCTCGTTTTGGCGAGCTTGACTACAGCGTCGAAGATGAGATTGCCCGATTCAAGGTACGTCTGAACGGAACGTGCTCAAAAGGGCACATCCTCCACGGAGCGACATCACCCTATACCTTGAAGCGAACAAGCCGCATTATGTTCTAACAATCGATGCTCCAGGAATACCGCGTCAAGCTCAAGCCCTTCATCGTCGACCAACTCGAGTTCCTGCAGAAGCACCAAAACTCCCCCAACACCCTCGTAGAAGGCGCCAACGCCCTCATGCTCGACCTCGATCACGGCACCTACCCCTTTGTGACCTCTTCTTCGACTGGCCTCGGCGGCGCCGTGCAAGCGCTCGCCTTGAACCCCACAAGCATCAAGTCCGTGATCGGTGTCATCAAAGCCTATACCACCCGCGTCGGCTCCGGGCCCTTCCCCAGCGAACAGCTCAACGCCGACGGCGAGAAATTACAAGCCGTGGGCCGCGAATTCGGCGTCACAACCGGCCGCAAGCGTCGGTGCGGCTGGCTGGATCTCGTGCTCGCGCGCTACTCGAACGCGATCAACCACTACACGGCGCTGAACCTGACGAAGCTCGATGTGCTGGATGACTTTGATGAGATCAAGGTTGGCGTGGCTTACGTGCTGCCGGACGGAAAGCGCACGACGGGCTCGTTCCCCGCTGATCCGACCATCCTGGACAAGCTGACCGTGGAGTATGTCACGCTGCCAGGCTGGAAGAGCAACACTATGGGTATTACCCGCTACGAGGATCTGCCCCCTAATGCTCGTGCATACATCGAGTTCATCGAGAAGGAAATCGGTGGTGTTCCTGTGAAATGGATTGGCACGGGCCCCGCGCGTGAGCACATGATTGCCCGCAAGTGAAAGATAAAAGAAGAGAGAGAAAAGTTGAAGTGTTGAGATGAGGGCTGCGATTTCGGTCTTAGCTCTCTCTTGTCGCTTTGCTTTGTTGTAAGTATGTCTGCTCTTTTTTTTTTATGGCAGATTTTTCCTTGTCTTTACGGTTTGTTTATTTTTCTTCCGGTTGCAATACATGGGTATCATATACGGCTTACATCTTGGATGAGTTGTTACATATTCTCCTCAAAAATAGGATTAGTTATAGAGATCAACCAGCATCTGTCCTTGGATCATGAGCGGTTTTCCGGTGAAGAGGTGGATGTGCCTTGATGCCATTGGGATGTAAAGTTCAACTGTTTCCACGGAGTTTCTAATCTGCAGAACCCTTATCGAACGAGGCTACAGAGCATCGAGAATATGATGATGAGATATTTATTGGACGAATTGGTACAAGGTATTATAGAGTTTTCCAAGGAGGTATCTATCCAAAATAGCAATAGTATAAGACATGAGGAGAGAAGACGTATGCCTGAAGATGAGGAAAGAACAAGATATGGTACATCGATAGAAATACAGGCATAGGAACAAGGAACGCCTCCCAATGCAATCAGTAGCTCGACCAGATCTCAAGAACAATGGTGCGAGACATGCGGTTTCTAAAGTCATTCAGTGGATGCAGCGATGCTCAGATTGTGCCCACCAGCCCCGGCTCCGACGATCAAAAGTCCCAGTCGTCGACGCGACGACGGCCCGGAGGGGAGGTGCGAGTGGTAGATTCCATGAAACGGCGGCGAGGAGGTCCGTCGGAACGCTCGCGTCCAGAGAAGTTGGAAGGTCTGAAGCCGAAAGAAGATCCATCGTGATCGTCCCTAGATCTGCGATCGGATCTTCTGAAAGATCGATCTCCAAATTTGTCGCCGCCGAACCGATCGCCACCAGATCGGCCACCACCGAACTTGTCCTCTCGACGCGGGCGCTCGACATGGCCGATATTGACACCGGGAACACGGGTGAGACCGGCAGAAGTAGCGGTCTTGTGGCTAATGGTGGGAGGGGTCTCCATACCCCATCCGTGAATAGCTTGGTTGTTGAGAACCTTGATGCCAATCTTTTTGCTGTAGAAGTTGCTGAGGGAGGCTCCAAGCTGGGCCCGGTAAGCGTCTTCCTTGACGTTCTGTGGGACGAGCTCCATGGCCGCTTTCAAAGAGCTAACGGCTTCGGGCACTGGGCCATCGCCTGCATTCGTCATGTCGAAGGTCGCAGCAGGAATAGCTCCGGTGTTCTCGTTCAAGGGAAGATCATACAGCTTTTCTTCAAACGCATCCATCTCACCTCGGTGAATCAACAGCCAGCCTTCACCAGATTTATTGGCGCGTGCGGTTCGACCCAGTCGGTGGATGTAAGTCTCGCGGTCACGGGGAATTCCCAATTGGATGACGTGGGTGACATCTGGAAAGTCCATACCACGAGCCGTGACATCAGAGGAGAAGAGAATGGCCTCTTCCGCCTTGCGGAAGCTGTCAGAAGACCATGTGCGTTGCGCCTGACTGAGACGAGAGTGGATATCGAACATGCGAAGGCGACCCAAAGGACGCTGGGGAGGCTCCCCGTTGAAGTTCTGGCGGGGGAGGGCTCTGAAGGCTTGGTAGGCAAGCTGAACATCCAAGGTCGCATTCAAGTAGAGGATGGCCTTGAATGGCCGCAGGTTCGAGTCGGCGGCCTGGCGCGCCTGGTATTGCCGAGCGAGGTCAAAAACAGCAGGGAGAGCGTTCTCGTAGCCGCGCAGGTAGACCAGGTTCTGTGGGACAGTCATATGCGTGGGGACCTCGTCATCGCGGACGGTCTTGACATATTGGTAGTCGGGCTTCATTGTGCGCTCCACCATGTTGATGACCTCCTTGGGGATGGTGGCCGAGAACATAAGGCTCTGGCGATCAACCTTGGAGGGATCAGGGAGCAAAGACTCGATTTCACTGATTTCATCAGCAAATCCTTGGTCCAACAGACGATCGGCCTCGTCAAAGATCAACGTGTTCAAGTTAGGGGCCGTCACGCCGCTGTAGGGATCAGAAAGGATGTCCTTAAGACGGCTGGGGGTACCAATCAGAAGATGGCAACCCTCTCGCTGGATCCTTCGCAATCCTTCACGCTTCGCGGTACCACCAACTGCAGTCTGCACCCTGAGGCCTGTTCCATAGACTACCTTTTCAGCTTCCTTGGCGATCTGCTCCGCAAGCTCCCGCGTAGGAGAAATGATCAGGGCACGGATATCAGCAGACGAGGAGCGGAGTTTCCGATCGCGGAGCCGATTAGAGTTGGAGATATCTTCTTGGATTTTTGGGTCGTTGAGAATATTCTGAACGGTTGGGAGCAGGAAAGCGAGCGTCTTGCCAGTGCCTGTTTTCGCATGGGCCAAGCTGGAGGGCGATTTGTTAGAAACTCTTCATCCTTGATTATGAGCATAACAGATGTACTTACACATCTTCGCCTTTGAGCATGATGTTCAAAGTCTGTGACTGGACCGGGGTCATAGTCGAGAGACCCATGCGTTCAGTGATGTTACGCACGACATTGGGGCTGATGAGCTCCCGCTCTGCCAGTTGGTGAAATTCGGTAATGTATTCAGAAGCTGCCACAGGGATGTCTTGGGCGACAGCCTCCGCCGCTTGGCTCAGTGCCGGAAAGGAGGTCTGGAAAGATCGGCTCGGGAAAGTTGATCGTGCAAGAGGAGATTGGAACTTGGACAACTGGGGAGTCCATCTTGTACCAGTAGACAAGGCACGCGGTGCAGATACCTGCAGTGCCCGCGAAAGGCCGAAACGACGAGCAACACCGAACATGATTGGAAAGATAAAAATAATGCTCGATGGTCAGAGGCGACTTTTTTTTGCGGAAAAACCAGACCAAAAAAACGCAACACGTGTCACGTGAACCTTATCGATAAAGGGGACGCGTATCACCGGGCCTCAGGCCGCCAATCAGAGATCACCTGATTGTACTGCAATAGATGTGCAGGGCTATGTGCATAAAAAAAGCGCAGGTTATTATTGATGATCCTGCGAACTAGGATTCGAACAGACGCCTTATGGCTTCAATAATGATCTTGTACCTCATTGAAGCTTCAGGAAAGGAAAAAAAAACCTGGTAGCTTCTCTTTGATTGAGCGTGTCATCCTTAATGCTAATCTTCTCTGTATTTTTTCATTCGACCATATGTCCCGAAGGACGAAGGGCTGCAGAATCTATTTATTATAGCCTCACCTCTGTTTAGGTCACGGGGCTGGACAGGCTCGCCAGTGGCAGTAAGGTCTGTTGTAAAAGGGGGCCATGGGCCCTGGGGTCTATAGCATGGCTTGCCTCAGGCGGATGAGAGCTTTCTTTCTCTAGTTCCTTCATCCTCATGAACTTAGTTTCTCTACATCAAGTCATCCACTAGTGCTGGTATTAGTACTTCGGCAGTATTTATCAATGAAGGAATTGTTAGTGGTTCTTGCCGCAGCGAGTTTCGTCTGTCCGCACTTGGTGTTCTGTGGTCAGCAATCGGCATTTGTCCCCTCTATCTGATACGTTTAAATTATCCTTCAGATATTGGCGCTCTGTCCTTGACAATAATAGCGTGAGTCTCTCGAAACATGACAGCATCTAAATCTTCGAGTTGGGATCAAGCATGGAGGATGCAGTCAACCTGGGCACTGTAAGAGTATCTAATGCAAACTACCTAGCTCGTAATCACCGAGTCCCAATGAAGATATGATTGCGCCAGCATTTCTCAAAACAAATAGTGGCCCTAAGATACAGTATAACCTCCGTTAATAATAAGATCGGCCCCTGTTATGTAGCTCGAGGAAGAAGAAGTCAAATACAGATGAGCTCCCTTGAGCTCCCAGGGCAAATATGCCCAGTTACTGGGACCTTGTCTTTCTAGATTTCTTTGGTTTCTACAGGACAGAGCGAGAAACCCTCAGTGGCGATGTACCTGGGAGAGGCATCCTTGCCTGGGCAAATTGAACTTATTCTACGGCCAGCTACTCGCCTATTCGAACGGCGAATAATATAGTGGTAGACAGAAGCATCCACCATGGCATCATTAGTCCATGGAATACAGAAATTATAATAGGGATTTGATAAGCGTAGTCTACAATGCCAAACAACACATACTAGTGAAGTTTAAATGCCATTCAGAGATCGCATATGGCGTACACTGAACACCGTACTTCTCCACCTCTATTGCCTCTTTTTTGGACTGTACCAAATAGCGACGTCTGTCGACTTCTGTGAGAGTTCGTGCCACGAGACCGGTCATTGCGCCTGCTGTGAGTAATATCGACAGTCTTTTTCCTCCAATGAGAACCTCTAGTATGTTGTCTGTCCCTGTAAAGGGCGATGTTGTCATGATAAAAGTTGCCCTTTACGGTGGATTAGCTCGTCATTTTTGTAATGTTGTCGTTTCGAATTAGGGTAAATCATCATCAGATGAACACTGCACTGCTAGAAGTGTAATGGAAGTAATGGCATGAATTTGTGGTCGTTAAGTAGGGGGAAACCGCCGTGGTCCACAATGGTGGCTGGCGGATTGGCGGTGCCCGTTCTGCGGAGGCGGGATTGCCCAAATAGGGAGTACGCCTTAGCCTTGTCCTACACTTACAAGTATCTAATGGTATGACATGACTGACCATGTTTCTCTGAGCATTGAGAGGTGTCAAGGAATCTGTCAAATCGTAGCCTCGAAGGAAAGAGTACTGTCGTGCTAATATGCGCGACGCTGACGACGCTAACAAAGTGCTTATTCGGGTTTGAATTTCGACGGCGAACTCGCTATTCAACTTTATCTCAAGAAGCACAGGAATGGGTTGGCCGAGGGAGCATACGTAACGGCCCACTAGGAAGTTTCCCCTACTAGTACACGATGTACAAGACGTTTCCAGCGCAGGGACCCCCTGTTTCATTGGTGCTCACAGCGGAGACTGCAGGGCCGACCGGTGGCGCCGTCGAATAACAGCAAAATGTAGCCCTACAGTTGGTGCCGTTGGCAATGCGACCAGGATAGTAAGCCATAATCAAAGAGATCAAGCTAACAGGGCAGTTGGCTGCCAAATATACGTTCCCAAGGTCCAATACATGCTGGTATCTATCTCCCCTATCCATATGTTGTTTTTTAGATGCATGACCGGGGCCCCAAGATCCACCCCGGGTCCGGGCCCTGACCCCATTTTGCGGCGCTTCTATAAAAAGGTAAGATCTGCCCCAATTTTTCCAACTCGCTGCCCAACTTCACACAGTATCGCATTCTACCATGGCTTCTACCACAGTTGTGATCATCGGTGGCTCCGTCGCGGGCTTGACTGCCGCCCATCCGTTGCTTGCTGTGGCTGGCGTAAAAGTGGTGCTGATCAACCCGTCCCCTACCTTCTTCTGGAACATCGCCGCGCCGCGCATCGTTACTAAACCAGCCGCCTTCGAGTCCCAGCAGTATCTCCTCCCAATCAAGGATGCTTTCGCTCAGTACCCGGCTGAGTCGTTCGAGTTCATTCTTGGCACTGCCACTGCTATCAATGCCGAGTCAAAGACGGTCTCGCTCACCCTGAGCGACAGCGACGATACCAAAACGATCCCATTCGATTACCTCCTCATCGCATCGGGCGCCAGCACCCCCGCGACTACCGGCCAGATCACCGGTCTGGCGATTCCATTCAAGCCAACGAACTACAACAACTTGGAAGAGGCCATTCAGACAGCTCAGGATCACATCGCAAAAGCCCAGAACATCGTGATCGGAGGCGCTGGACCTGTCGGCGTGGAGTTGGCCGGCGAGCTGGCTGAGGCAGCAGCAGCAGACGGCCGGAGTGTTTCGATCACCCTTGTGACTGCAACCGACCGCGTCTTGCCGATGCTCAAAGAGTCTGCTAGCCAGGCCGCCGAGAAACAGTTGCAGGCTAAGCGGGTCTCTATCATCACTGCTTCCCGCGTCACGGACGCCAAGGCCAATGGCGAGGGCGATTCGAAGCCGTGGGCCATCAAACTGAGCTCTGGTCATGAACTCACCGCAGATATGTATATCCCTACCACCGGTTGTGAGCCCAACAGCCAGTTCGTTCCTCCTGCTTTCCTGGATGAGGATGGATGGGTTAAAGTTGACAAAGAGATGCGGGTGCTGTCGCCGGAGAACTCGACCCCTCTGTCAATCTATGCGGCCGGGGATATCACCACCAACTCCATGCGTCTCAGTTTTAAGGCTGTTGAGCAAGCACGTGCTGCCGCGGCCAACATCAAGTCGGATATTGAAGGCAAGACCGACCGAAAGTCCTATGACCAGGGGAGAGCATGCTGATGGTAGTGCCCATTGGCGAGTCCGGAGGCACGGGGCAGATTTTCGGGTTTGTCATGTTCAATTTTATGGTAAGGATGATCAAGGCGAAAGACTTTTTCGTTTCCAAGGCCCCCGGTATCCTAGCTGGAAAGGCTTAAAGGTGCCAACCTGGGTCACTGGAGTTGTTGTCTAATGTTATTTTATGAGCGTTCTTCATGATTCCCACTATCGATACCTCAAATCAGCACTTCGGAAGATTTCGTTGCCGTCTAGAATACTCGCCCTCGCAGGCAATTGGATTGGCTCCTTGTATGCATCAGCGCCCGATCGGATCTGTTGTCGAACGGGATTTTATTGTCTGCTCATATCATGCTAGTTCACGTTTATCCAAAATATTGGCACCATGATTCATCCTGTCGTATTCTGCAGCAGAACCCGGCAGAGAACACTCCACATTAATTCTATCCGCTGGACTGATGATAATATGGATACGCACTTCCATACCAAGCGTCCCGCTGCAATTCCTGAATCGGTAGTGTCCTCCGTGCTGAGAAATCAACGGCTGTTGGGCGGGAGGGGATTTGCTTTGAGAACGGTTTCCCACCCAGAACAGGGCATATCCGACGGACTGATGTACCCAATGTGTGTGCAGTTCCGGTTCCTCCGACTCCGGGTCCCACAGTAGCTCCACGAAAAAAGTCGCCGAGTTTTTGAGGACGTGAAGGAATGAGGTGATGGCTTATCTTCTGACTACATATGCTAGACAACGAGAAGTGGTTGAGTTGATCGGGGCCGAACTGCGCTATGCCTCCTTGTAAGCACTTAATCTCTTTGATGACTTCATTGGTCAAGGTATAAGTGTTCCAGCTTCAACAGCTCCACTACCCGCTCTGAGTGGCGGCACGTCACATCGGATGACGCCTTGATTTATAATTCTGATTCAATGGACATATTTGTGGACATCTTTGGAAACTTCGATGGGTAGATGCCCCGCTTGCCTCTTCGCCTTGTAGCGATATAAGAAGCTGTGCTACCTCGCCTCCACGTTGACTTCACCTTCGCACCCCGTCCAATCGAAAGGCCCCTCTAAACACATCCTACACATTACCGCCGTCATGGTGAACAAAGCGCTCGTCTTTAAGAAGGTTCCTCAGGGCTACCCCGTCGCGGGACAGGATCTTGTCATTGAAGAGATCAGCTACGACAGCTCTGTTGCCACTCCTAAGAACGGCGTGGTCCTCGAGTCTCTTTACGCCAGTTTTGACCCGTACATGCGCGGCCGCATGCGCAACCCAGAAATCAAATCCTACGCTCCACCCTTCACTCTCAACAAGCCCGTCGTGAACGACGTGATCGGCAAGGTCCTCAAGTCCGACAATGCCGGTTTCAAGGAGGGTGACCTTGTGATTGGCCAACTGCCATTGCAACAATTCGTTGCTCTGGACGACAAGGCTGTTGCTGGAATTAAAAAGCTCGAGAACCCACTAGGCCTGGAGGACATCCGTGTCTTCCTGGGCCCATTGGTATGCCCGGGCTTACCGCCTACTCTTCTCTGTACGAGATCGGCAAGCCCAAGAAGGGCGAGACTATCTTTGTCTCTGCCGCCAGTGGTGCTGTGGGCCAGATTGTCGGCCAACTGGCCAAGCACGAGGGACTCCGCGTCATTGGGTCTGTAGGATCGGACGAGAAGCTTGACTTCATCCTTAAGGACTTGGGCTTCGATGCTGGCTTCAACTACAAGAAGGAGAAGCCTGCCGATGCTCTGAAGCGCCTCGCCCCCGAGGGCATCGACATCTACTACGAGAACGTGGGTGGTGAGCACATGGAGGCAGCACTGGATTCCTTGAGGCAATGGGGACGTGTTGTTCTTTGCGGTCTGATCTCCGAGTACAACTCCGCACCATACCCCATCACCAACATTTCCAACGTCCTGACCAAGCGATTGACCGTTCGCGGCTTCATTGTGTTTGATCCGGACATGGGCCCTCTGCATGTGAAGGCTCACCAGGAGAACGTCGCTAAGTGGATCAAGGATGGCTCATTCAAGGTCCGGCTTCACCAAACTGATGGCATTGATAATGCTGCAGATGGTCTGATCGGCATCTTCACTGGCAAGAACTTCGGCAAGGCTGTGCTGAAGTTCTAGGATGAGGAATGGATTGAAAAATGGATAATACCTTAAGGACGATAAAAGCTAGCCTACGATAGTTAGCCTACTCAAAAATGATCAACAGCGATGAATGAAACGTCAAGATGACAAGATGACACTGTACTGCGATCCCTCTATTGTAGCCTCGGTTATGGCGGATTCAAATGCCGATACAGTAAGATGCCGCTTCGCGGATAACATGAGCTCAAGTATCGACTTGGTCTGTCGAGGAGATCGGTGTCGTCGCCGTAGGACTGTAGCACCAGAGCCAGCACTCCAGTGCCCTGATTTAGTCCCCCACGAGCCCATCCAAGCAGCGCGACGCACATGTTGAACGAGCCCGGCAAAAGTGTTCTTGCATCGGGAACTCGGGCAAACCCGGCAGCCAATCAGCGTGCGCGTTATGTCATCCACGAATCAGACACCCGAGGTCACCACCTTCATCCTGTAGAGTTGACAACCCTCGCCGCCCTCCTCACCTCTCCCCGTCACAATGGCTTCGATCATGCGCCCGTCGCTGCTGCGACAGACCCCTGCGTCCACCCGGTCGCTTCTCCTGCGCCAGAATGTCGGCGTGTCGCAGGCCGTCAACTTCCACGCCTCCGCCCGCAAGCAGATCCTGCCCCCGTTGCCGCGTAAGTTGAGACCCTTGTTGGACCGGTTGCTGGCCATGGTGGTCTCGCGACTGGAGATCTATGGCGTTTGAGCATATTTTCTGACTATTCCATGCTTTCCAGAATCTATTGAGGGAACCAGTACGTCCAATCCGCTTCTTTTGGTCTCCGCTTCCATCCTGTTCTTCCAAATCGACTTGGAGATATAAGCCCACGACGTTTGTTACTTGCAAGCGTGGGTATGATGCAGCCGTTATTGGATATTAACACAAGACCACAGTGAACGACCCCGCTCCCCTCCCTAAGCCAAGCCCCGTCCACGGCAGCTACCACTGGACTTTCGAGAGGTTCGTCGCATCGAGCAGCGCAGCGCGCTATACTGCTTGTCACACTTGCTCTGATACTGACTTGTATTCCGCAGAGCCGTCTGTGTTGGCCTGGTTCCTCTCAGCATTGCACCCTTCGCTGCCGGCTCCCTTAACCCTGTCATGGACGCCGTTCTCTGCAGTCTTCTCGTCGTTCACTCCCACATTGGTTTTGAGTAAGACACCCCCCGGCGGAAGCAATGACCTATGACATGTAATGGTTTCCATACTCACACACCACTAGTGCCTCCATCACCGATTACTTCCGCCCCCAGCGTGTCCCCAAGACTCACGCCCTTCTCAAGTGGCTGCTTCGTGGCTTCACTCTGACCACTGCGGTCGGTCTCTACGAGTTTGAGACAAATGATGTCGGTATCACGGAGGCCCTGCGCCGCATCTGGACGGCATAGACGATTCGATTGGAAAAAGGGGTTTGGGTTCTTTTATTCTGTTTCCAGGTGTTTCGCCTATGTATAGTCCTTGCACAATTTCATTTGTCTCGCCCGATGACCTGTGCTCAATTTCAATATACAAGTGTTTCCTTCGAGTCTCTACTTTCTACATATCCAAGGTTCCAATCCGAGACCATAGGCCAGAAATTTGATAAGCAGTCAAATGATCTATGTTTTTGGGGTATAATCTGCCATCTATGCAGAGGCGAACATTCGCTATACAAGCTCATAGTCAGGAAACACCCCCGCCCCGGAGGCCGCAGACTCGATGCGTTTTAAGTCCGAATCTATTGGGAACCCACCAACTCCAACTTGAACGAGCAGCCAAAGTAGCCTTGCCCTTCCCCGCTCCTCCCATCACATATCATCCTCACCCTCCGACCCCACCATATCATCCGGCAAAGACCCTTCGTCATCCGCCTTCGCCAAAACCTTTTCAATCAGTTTCAAGGTAGCTTTAAGCGGCATCCCGATCACATTATCATAACTTCCATCAATCTTCTCCACCAGAATCGACCCTAATCCCTGCAACCCGTACCCTCCCGCCTTGTCCGCGCCCTCGCGCGTCCGCACATACGCCGTAATCAATTCATCGCTCACCTCGGGATCAAACCGCACATCGGTCTCCTCAACCACCGTCTCGATCGCATACCCAGGCACCCTCGCCGAGGCCAACGGCGCCATCGCCACCAGCGCCGTGAACACCTTGTGGGTCCCCGCGTCCCGCAGCCCGCGCAGCATAGCCAGGTGGTGCGCCTCGGAGCGGGGTTTCTCGAGGATCGCGCCGGCCTGCAAGTCGACGACGATGGTGTCTGCGGCGAGGATGAGGGCTGGCTCGCCCCGTTCCTCGTTATCGGCTTCCTGGGCGTAGACGGCCTGCGCTTTCTTGGTGGCGGTTGCGAGGACGTACTCGAATGGGCCGAGCGACTTGGGGAGGTCTTCCTCTGCGTTGGAGGGGATGATTTCGAGGTTGGGGAGACCCAGATAGGACATAATTTGGCGGCGGCGAGGGGATTGGGAGGCTAGGATCACGCGCTTGGTGCGCAGGTCGTTCAGGTATGGGAGTGATAGTGGTGGTGGGCGGGGAAGGAGCCCGCGCATGGGTTTGCCTGTGGTTGAGTCGTAGGCCGGTGGGGGGTCGATTGGGTCCTCGTTTCCGAGGAGGTGTGTTTTGGAATCTGACATCTTCGGAGAATCGGGTGTTTAGGGAAATTGGGAAAGGGAGGTTTGTTACTGAGATCTTTTTGGAAGATGCATGGCGATAAAATGTCGGTTTCCCCACTGAGTCGGACTCCCGATTGGGTAAGCGAACGATGGCAAGCACTGGAGCGTGGTGGAAAAATTGGTGTTGCAAGAATTATGTTATTTCCAGCATAGAAATCCCGCTTTCAGGGCATTTTTGCTGATGAAAACTCTTCGGTGTCGGACTTCCACGGTTGCGCCATGGTCTAGAAGGACCCGTGCAGGGACTCGGATATATCAAGATATAGGGAGGTGCCGCGGTTAGTACTACTCTCATCCATGCTACCTGCTACCTGCTACCTAAGGGACACTATACACCAGTTCCAGACTTGAGTCTTAGTTGATATCAGGCTACCTCCTTGGAAGTTCAAAAGTAGCACAGCAACTTGAACTGGGAGTTATTCAAATGTGGTATCAGAATCCACCCAATGTAATGCTACGTGCTTCTTAGGGGATAGTTACATACGGTTCGAGATCACCCAGGCCGTAAGGTCACCTGTCTGACAGTTTTTGAGACTTCGCAAGATCAGTGCGCCTAAGACTCGTTCAACGAGAGTGACTAAAGCCCCGGAACAAAGATGCCATCACAAGCATTCGTCCAATATGGAAGTTGAAATAGAAAAATTTGACATTGAGTATGATTCCCATTCCTGCGCCTAGCTAGTTGATGATTCGCATTTTCTCTTGGGCCTCCCAAAAACTACTGGACGCGCCTTCTCTTGCCAGTAGACTTACTGCCGGATTCAGAGTCCTCCGGTCTGATCGAGGGAGTACCATCGTCATACCACTCGCTGATTTCCCACTCGAATGAGGTTGTGTTGTCTTTACTCACCCCCTTCCCTCGTTTCGATTTCATTACTCGGCCCAGACGACTGCCCCTCCACCATCTCCTCGAACCAGGGAATGCCATTCAATGTTCCACTTCTGATGTTCCGCGAGAGCGCCGGTGCCTCTTCGCGTGAAGGAACAATGATAGATGAGGAACCGAGCGATGGTGTGAGACTAGAGCTGTCAGTGGCGACAGGTGTATCGTCCTCGTCGGAGTCCCCCCGGGAGCAGGTTGAGATCCTCTAAAGCCCGCTGGTGATCACCCAGCAAACTTCCCACCGATATGGATAGGAATTCTGCTTCTTCTCGAGGCTCTTCGGTCCAGAATGTGAGCGGCGTGCCGCAGAATCCACAGAAGATACGGCGTGTCTCCGGGGCATGAGGAGGCGCGAATGCACGGCGGATTGATGAGTGGGTTTCATCCGGGAAGAAGGATGTTGTATATGATTCGTACCAATCCAATGGCACTCGTAGCCAAGCGGTTAAAGGTGTGCCATAAAGCCGACCTGCGCAAAATATGTTAGCCGGTACCGACGACACAGGAAAGAGGGATGGCTACGAACGGTTGTCCCGACTGCTATCGAAGTATACGTGTGCATGCTCTGTCACATCATCTGGAATTGAGACCCTGTAGTGATTGCGACCGCAGGAACAGGTCCCATACAATGCCTCGTGGGACATGGTTTATACGATCGTATGATTGTACCAGCGCGGTTAGGTTGAGCCGAAAGGTTAGGATGGGCGAGCCTGAGGCGCAAGGGTGAGGATTGGAAGAGCCCACTTTTGATTCCACAGAGAGAAGTCCACAATACACAGATGAGGAGGGAAAAAAAAAAGATAAAAAAGACCAAGAAGCCCTGCCAGGGTATGTGCAAGGCAGAGTGGGCCCTTTCTATGACGTTTGAAGGACGCCAAGGCCTTCAAGGGTTGAGTTCCCAATTGGGTTTAACGTGCTTCTCCGCATTTCTCCTTATCGCTATCGCTTTCCGTTCTTTCCTCCCCGGATATTCCACCAGAGTCTTCCATTGGCACATAAGAAAATCTCCAGCTCTACCCCGCACAAGAAAGAATTCCTCGGTTGGACCCGCGAACCCGAGATTGTGCGCCCTTGCTCTATTCCACATCGCAACAATGAAGGCCGACGACGACCACGACCGATCGTCTTCAACCCCGACCGGTGCATCTAAAATAACTGTCCAAGACAAGGACAAGCCTCGGCTGACTGATCAGGAGAAGAAGAACAATCATATAGCTTCTGAACAGAAACGCCGAGCCGCCATTCGCGAGGGTTTCGACCGTCTGACGGAACTGGTTCCAGGCCTTGAAGGCCAGGGCCGCAGCGAGAGTATTGTCCTACAGAAAACCGTCGAGTTCATGCAGGCGAAGCTGCAGGAGCGCCACAATCTCATCGCTGAACTCGAAACCAAAGGCGGGCATGTGGACGATTCTTTCCGGCCGACCTAGTCTTACCCAATTCTTTCCATTTCATCGACTTGCGAAACTGAGGCATTGATGTTCCTCAATGACGTTACATGCACGATCTGATGTTGCCGGTGTGGCATCGACTTGGCGTCCTTAACTGGTGCCGAGGTCAGAAATGCGCCCCCTTCGCGGCACAACAATGAACCACGCAACCGAAACGACTTCTTCCTTTCAATCCACAGCCTTGACAGCCTCTGGGCCTTTCGTTGCCGCAATCTTCTAATCAGTTTCCTCGCGCTATATTCCCGCATCTTGGAACACCTGTGCCCTCGCCATGGACCATTACTGGCCAGTCTCGCGTCAAGGCCCGGGCTTTCAAGGCGTTAGGGGCCACAAGCTATAGGCGGGAATTTACATGGGTAATTCATGTTTTTTTTTTTTCTTGTCTCCGGAATCCTCGTTTCATATGTATATCGTAACAGCATTTATCTTCAAGTTTGAGCTTCACACGCAACTGTACGAGACTATGAGTTGAGCTGCGAAGCATCAAAATGACACTTACCAGTATGGATAGTCGATTGAGCTGAAGCATGGAGCCTCACTGACGGCTGCCATTCACTGTATCCAAGTTCCTCCACATATAATGAAAATTTCAGGTTGGAGGGCTTAGCCTTGTTTCTGGTAGTGAATACTAGTCCCATGTGAACGCGTGCTTCTTCGAGTTTCAGAGCAGCTGCTTCCGGAAGATGCTTATGTTTCGCCATTCACTTCGAAGTTGGACACTATGATCCAGTCTAGTGAATGTACCCGTGTAACGTACTCAGGGTATATAGTCGTGGACTCGGGCCTTCAAGATGTCGTGAATGCAACGTCGTGAATTTCCAGTCGCCTCGATCTTGCAAGTGCTTCCAGCGTCTAGTCTTTCTTGACTCGAATTGGTTCCCGTTTCGTCTCGACTCGACATTTTCGTCTTGACCTGGTAACAGTTTTGACGTTTTTCGCTCAAGAAGTTGAGACAAATTTGGCTTTGATATCTCTGAGTATGCCTGACGGAGATGAGCTTGATTGAAGTGTGCTAACTTTGAAAAGAAATGGAGACAACCAACAAATGTGAGGGCAAACCTGCGGTGCATGAAGCATACAACATGCCGGATATGTCGCAGGAACAAGCCAAAGGAAAGAAACCTTACAAACTGCATAGGCTGGCCTATGGAATCAAACACCGTGTAAGTGTTCGGTAATATGAAGTATTGAAATCTCTATTCAACACTGCATGGAATGGACCTTCTGCAAGTGTGTATTGTGAAGATGCTAACTGGGCTATCCTAAAGATGATGTCAGCGGTCAAGAAGCTCAAACACAAAGGGAAGCTATTCAGCATGCAGGTATGTCCTTGTGCCTTTATGCGGCAGCTGAACATTTCATACTAAAAGAGAGACAGGACATGAAGGAGAGGACTCCAAAAGGCTCCAGTCCATTTGTGGACTCGGGAATCTGGCGCCCAAAGTGGCTTAAAAGGAAACCGAAATCCTCGCTGCCGATGCCTATGCAAGGCAATAGTGAGAGATATGGAGAGACACAGCAGAGGCGAAGTGATCTCATGGCAAGCAACCTTGAGCTTCCATGGCTCTTAGACCCCCTTCCTTTTCCCTCCACCTCAGTGCCATGCCTCAACTCAGATCCCGATAGTGCTGCGGCCGATATTTGTCATCGGCTCCCGAGTATTGAGCTGCCGGCGGGAGTTGAAATACGTGGAGGCTGTGTTGTTGTCGACTCCTTATCTCGACTGCCCACTGGATCTGGCTCCAAGGAAACCGAGCTTTCGGGAAAGTCGCAAGATGACGACTATGGCACCTGGCCTCGTAAGCTTCTTCCGCGACACTGGCGGGGCTGCTGCGGTGGAGGGAGTCCCACCGGGAGTGATCTCGGTGGCCTGTCATCACACGGCTCAAATCCCGCGTGCGGCATGGAGGGATGTCGAGGGCGATACAGGTTCCCGTTCGACCTTTATTCGCCTCGCTTGGCACGAGAAACGTCTCTACCAAGTCCGCGCTTCGGTGAAACTGCATCCGACCCAGGATTGCAGACTCCTGAAGAATTTCTCCTGGAGGCCTGAGACAGAAGCACCCCAGGATGATCCTCAAAGTAAGAGGGCCGGGGATAACTATGTGTACAACTATTTTTTGAAATGATATTAGCGTCCACACTGTCGTATTCGTATGGAAAGGGACTCTCAGAAAGTATCCAAAGGTCGACGGGAATACCTTTCGACTACAACGTAGAGCAACACAGAATGAAATGTCAACTTGGACAAGATTTCAAGAGTATTCCCCAAAGCTAGCACACTATATGGCTATTGGATAGCTAAGTATCGTCTTTCTGTGATCTGTGGACGCGTGGTTGATAAGCGGGGTTCGAATATTTCTGCAGTTAGCTAGAGTAGTGAATGTAAATTGCGGACCGCGAGCGGCGAACTTGCCTATATATTCCCCCATTGCCCCCTCTCCAAGTCCTTTTCCCTTCTACTCTCAAGCTGTTCACAGCTGGATTGCTACATTTACAAGTTCGAACTTGCTTTCCATCTGCTCATCATCGCTCTCTCTTACGAGAGAGCCCAACACCTTTCCAAACTGCACTGCTTCAAAAGCTGGTCGATCTAGATGCCAACTACCAATTTGCGCGCCATCAGCATAACTACGTTGAAGAGCACCATAGAGGCTCTTGATCGATTTGCGTGCTGCCATCGTCCTCGTGGCTCACCACAATCGCACGCTTACTTCGAATCTACCTTGAGCACTGAAGAGCCATGTCCACCACTACCAGCTCTTCTACTCTATTGCCATCTCGACCCGCAATAGCCGATTCGGCCATTTAGACTTCCGGTCTTGTGTCTGGGGTTCCCTCCTCCCCCCCAGCCCCAGATACTTCCTCGCACAGAGTCCGCGTCGTCAACCTTGAAGGTTGACGCACCGGGGAGCGACGCGGACTCTGTGCGAGGCCCCCACCGCTCCGCCGCCGCAGCATTTTGCGTGGGCTCATCAGGCCATTATCTTTAGGGAGGACCCCCGGAAACCTCCCTGCCCATGCAAAAGCTGCAGAAACGGCGCCGTCCATCTGCTCCCGGGCTGGCAGTGACAATACAAGCTGACCGGCAGTGACATTAGAAGGCCCGTCACTGCCGATGCCACTGCCAGCCCAGCACCACCGGATGGACGGGCATCTGCAACCTCGGGTGGACTCTGGATCCCGGATCCCCTACAGAGTCCACCGACACCACCTCGACCACGCCCGCGTCGACCACCCCCTCCGCATGTCTCTAGGAGGGGGCATATAAGGGCTTCTGGATCAGCCGGAAGCCCTCGCCTCCAAGTGCCAGGATTGCCTTCATGCTGGCACCTGGAGGCAACCAACAAGCTCCTCAGCGCGGCTGAGCAACGCGCTCCAGCAGGGCTAGCCACGGGTCCTGCTGGGGGTGGCTCGTTCATGGACATCTATACGAGCTACCCTGAGTTAAGCAACGTGGCAATCACAGCGGGCGTGGTCTTCACCTCCCTCCCCAGCAAATGCGTGCCCGGGGGAGGGAGAGTGAGAAGACACTGACAGAATGAGCCCCGGCCGTTAATCATGACAAACCAGAGCAAAAGCCGGACACCAAGCCCCCGCAAAAGGTCCTAACAAGGGCATCTGGTGTCCGGCCCAGGCGCTGCTCTGGCCGTGATGTTGGCCGGGGCCGAGGTGGTGTGCGGGTGTGGGTGGTGGGCACGGGGGGGAGGTTAGTGTTGGGCATCCAAGCCAGTAGCTGCCGTTCATGTTTCTCGTTCTATCTGTTTTCTACCATATCTGCACATGCAAACTCCCGTGAAGCTCATTGAGTGTCAACAAGTTGTGACGACCTTGAAGGGGTGTACTTTGAAGCCTAGAGATAGATTGCGGTGGAACCAGGGAAAACTACTATCCACACACTCTTGCGTTTCCAATGATTCCTCTTTTTCTCTTCCCGCTCTAGATCAGTTGTCTCGAGCAGCAGGTGTAGCAGACTCTTCCTGATAAGTTGTGGATATAGCGGTGAGCCTTACATGACGTGCCCAGTGGCAGCGGAGATATTTGAACCCCTTCCCCTAGCTATAAAGGCAGCGACTCGTCAGCGAAGGCTCATTCGGGATCTTACTCTCCATATTAGATCATTTTTGTCATCTAGGATTGAGTTCACGGGCTCCTTTACTACTAGTAGTCTAGTACAACCTCCTTTGATATGGCTGCAAAGTTGCTATCGTAATATTAATTATAACATTATGTTCACATCCCAAGGCCGCTAATAAACTATATTTCACAAATACCGAGCCTATCTATTTGGTTATATACGCTTAACGCCCGCGAAAGCAAAATTAGGTATCAAATATTGACAAAAAGAAAAGGGAAATGCATCACCCATAGCCAATGCATCAGCTAACACCATACTGTAGCACCATCTCAAGCCTGGTATCCTGATTGCTGATAGTATTGCTGAGGCTGCTGAGCCAAAGGAGCCTCGATCCCAGACTTCTCCTGGCGTTCTACACGAACTGCGAGAGTGAACCCCACACCCAGAAGAATAGCAACGACGACAATCTCCTCAAGAACATTCATGCACAGCAAAGCAGTAGGGTCGGGGCTGAGAAGAGAGAAAGTACTGTTGTGGAGGAAGATGATGAGGCAGGCGTAGATAACACGGATCAGAATGAATGGCAATGCCGCAGCAACAGCAACCAAGATGCGTTTCTCGCCGCTCTCGAGGCCTCTGCAACGGCTGGTGACGAGAAGGAGCAAGCCAAGCAAAGCGGCCCATGAGACAACGTACAAGATCATGCCGATCTTGGTCTCGCTGGCAGGGTTTTGCATTCCCTGAACTGTCATGTTGGAGGTGATGCCGACGATTGCGAGGACCATGGCTGCGACGGTCAAGAGGCGGAAAGCAGTGAATGTGGGTAAAGGGAGAGCTTGACCGGTCATGCGCTTGATTGATTGGTCACTAGAGCGTTGTTAGTATGGAATCATTGGGAATCAGATCGCAAGAATCGCTCACGCTCGAGAAAGAAGACCGCTGCAGGCGAGCATTAAAGGAGAAAGACCAATGGAGGAACAGATGGCTGCAGCTGTGAAAAGATTGGTGTTGGAAGGGTCGTTGATAGTTGCAAGGTCACAGCTTGCGCCGATTATTCGAGCCAAAGCGAAGATAACAAGGAATAGAAAACCACTATTTTTGCGTAATCCATGACGGTAGACAAGGAAAGCCGCAGTACACAGAGCAGGCACGTAGACGACCTCTTGGAGGATTGAAATGCCGTGGCGGTAAGTGACACCCATTGTAATGGAGGTTGGTGTAGCGATATATGCCAAGGGGTATGGATATGCAACAGCTTTTGAGTGACAGAAAGCAAATCTGGGGAGCCTTTGGAACTTGAAGATGAAGCTTGAAGTATTGAAGCCTTGAACAGCTCAAGTTTGCTTTTGCTTTTTGTAGATGCAGACCAGAAAGGCAGGAGTTCATGGGACTTTATATTCTATCTACGAGCATCATGCATACCCTTTCTTGGGCTATGGCTTCTAGGGGCTGTGTCTACCTTCGCAGATTCATCCATCTTGGGAAAAGCGCCAACAACGCGCCTGGTGCCTGCATGTAAGCAAAGAATAGCCCGGGCTTTGGCCTGAGCCCTAAGGGCGGAGCAGCCCCTGATAAGCTTTTCATCAAGTCGCTGTCCGTTTGGGGCGCATTTAACGACGCTAAACTGATTGCAGCCAGCATCGCGAGCGGTAGCAGCCAATCAGGCCGCTCGTATGGTCGGGGCCCAGGAGGTGGGCCCTCGCGCTGGTTTCCACATCAGGCAGAGCACTTAGTGACGGAAATGAGATTAAAGACTTTAATATTCCAAGTCTTATGGATTATGAGGCTGATGAGCTTGAAGCTTAGTATGGAAAATTGGAATAATCGTCTTGGTGTGGCTAAGCAATGTGCGGGGGCTAGCCAGCGGGGCGTCGATGATGCTTCCACAGAACACCCCGCGGAGAATTCGCGAGCCTTAGGCCCGGGGTCGTGTGTATCCGGGCGGCGATGCAAGCTTTAGCTGAACTTGTAGACTTGATAGGTCATACTCTGCTTTTGGTACTACTTCTAAGGGGTGGTCAAAGACTAATTCGCAAGAAAAGCAATTGCTTTCAAGTCCTCCGGTACTACTATATATCTCATTCAACTTCAGATGCACCAGTTGATCTCTCTATCAATATTCCTCAAGTCCAGACATCTAGACGCTACTAGTGCTGCTAGTGCTACCTAGATAGCCTTCCAACTGTACCAACTCGGAATGGATCCTAACTCCCATGTCGTAGATCATCGTCCACTTGTAGAGCATTGTCTGCTAGCATTGCCTCAGGCTCCACATACAGGGTTGACCGTATAGTTTTGCTGCTCCGATTCTGGACCGAAGACGGCGTGGCGATGCCAGGCCCGGATTTTCCAATGGATAGACCTCTTATTCGGTATCGCGTCTTGGTAGGATCTAGGCACCAAAGTTCACCAACTTGAATATAAAGATCCCTTACAACTAGAGCGTCTTTTTGACAGTGGTGGTCGCAATGGTTTCCTGAAATAGTTAGCGTTGTTTCCATCCCCGCTGGTGATTAGCCAAAATCCAGTGTGGGTATGAGGCAGCGCTGCGCTAAACCAAACTGAGTCTCGTGGCGGTGCTGCCTCATCTTCCAGAACCCCCAACGTTTATTATCTTCCTGTCAGCCTGCGTGGATTCGAGACTCATTCAAGCAATACATTGATATTTTCTGCTCTTGACCATGGTATACTGTGGTAAACCTAGCAAGGGTGCGGTCAGTGTCGGTCTCGCAAGATTCGATGCGACCAGGTCCGCCCGGCCTGTTCGCAATGCATCAGGGCCAAGCGGGAATGCCCCGGCTACAGGGATCAGCTGGCTCTTATGTTCCGCGATGAGAGTAGTTCAGTGATGAAGAAAGCCAAAGCAGACGCCAAGGCGTCAAGCTCGGCAAGCTCGTCTGTCGCTTCTCGCCCAAAACGGTCACCAACGCGATCTCCTCGCACTGCTTCCCCAGATTGGGGTTCTGCGTCCGAGGGGGCTTTCTCTGTGGGTTCAAAGGAGTCCTTTGATTTCAGTGCGGCCCCACAACCCACTAATACCGTTACTCAACCCTCCAATCAATCCATACAGCGCCAGTGGCAGATGCCAATGGAAGTGCAGCCGGGGGAACCCACCACGCAGGAGGCCGTCTGCTTCTTCTTGCGGTCCAATACCATTCCTGGAACTTTATGGATGTCGGAATTCATGACATCATTCCTGTTATCGCCTAGCTCCTCCCCAGGCCAGCAAGCTATGCAATCGGGCTTGACAGCGGTCGCATCTGCGATGTTCAGTCGTGTTAAGAAAATCAACAGCCTCAATCATGTTGCGCGGAAGGAATATGCCATGGCGCTCTCAGCCTTAAATAAAGCATTGGTTGATGTAAAAGAAGCGAAGGCCAATCAAACCCTTGGGGCCGTCGTACTTCTTGCTATTTATGAAGTCAGTCCATGCCCCGATGTTTCCGAGCCCCCCCCTCGCGGGAAAACTAACGCCACTTGGTATGCAGATTGTCACCTCAAGGTCAAGAGAAGATATAGCTCTCTGGACTAATCATATAAGTGGCGCAACTGCCCTTCTCGATTTACGTGGCCCTGAGCAACTTCAAAGCGAAGCTGGCCTTCGCCTGTTTTTGCACTTGCGATATCAGGTTGTGAGTTTTTCCTCATCCAACCATCCTTGCCTCTCTCTGTTGTAACTGACCTTTTATTGCAGATTGTTAGCTGCTTTCAGCGTGACCAAAGAGTGCCAGACTCGTTATTAGATAGGACAAGATTCATCATGGATCTCCGGCCCGCCGAAGCCCATGGCCATCGGCTGATTGTAACGATTGGAAAGCTCTCAAATTTGCGGGCCGACATCTTCGCTGGGAAATTCAGCGATCCACAGCAAATAATAACAGCCGCTTCGGCCATCGAGGCCGAATTGATTGCTTGGCTGGCATCCCTGCCACCGGAGTTCAGTTATCAGACAGAAGAGAAGTCGCCCTATGATTTCGACTTCCAGTACCGCTGTCGAGGCCTTACCCCTCTTGACAAGCAGTACCATGTGTACCCCAGCCTGTGGGTATGTAACTCGTGGAATCAATATCGTAGCGCCCGTATCCTCGTCAGCGAGATCATTCTCTCTCACATGCGGCAAGTGTCTGATGCCTCCTCCATGCGATCCCTCTCGGAAGAATTCCGACTGCATTGCAAAACCTTACGAGCGACGATCCACCGCCTCGCTGTCGATACCTGCCGCAGTGTTCCTTTCTACTTTGGGGCCCACCAGGTTGACAGCAATGCGGGTGTAGCCGTCCCGCCCCCAGAAAGCTACATTGGCGGCCTCATGCTGCTATGGCCCTTGTTCTTGAGTGGGATAGCTGAGAGCCCGAATTCACCGGTCCGGCGATGGGTGGTGCAATGCTTGAGCATGATTGGGAATAGCATGGGTCTAGATCAAGCTCTTGCGCTAGCTGATCTTGTGAATTCGGACCCGGGTATCCTTCGCTCAACCATTGACGCGGAGGCTGAAGGGACTCGTATTACCGATGAGCCTTCCTCGGCCATGTCGACGTCAAAGCACCCGTTAGCCTTGCGTGCCTCAGAACCCGAGCCAGGCATTGTGACAGGCATTGTGGAGGATCTATGATTTTTATCTTGTGCTATGTTTGAGACCACGGGCCCACCCTCCTGTACATCTTCATGCTGTGCTTTTTCTGTATATCCATTAGCGGAGGGGAGTTATCACGGGTCCTGGAAAGTTTGGCATAAATCACGACTATATGAAAGCCCTGGCGCCTGCCTATCCCAATGAATCGTGATTTTTGTACTTGAAGTCGGCTATGTACTTCCTTTAGATGAACTCAATAAGCCTTACCCATCATTTGTGGGATCTTGCATTCTGGAATGTGTCATTAGGTGGTTGTGAGAAAAAAGATGATTGGCCGCCTACCCGCCACCCCTCAATAGGCAGACTCAGCCTTACTCCGCCCGGGCCTTACCAGGGAATCGGATGTCGCAGGGTTGCGTGCAGCCGCATACATTAGCATGTGGACAACACATGTCTGGTACCTATCATATGGTAGATTGATGATATTGTTGCATTTGTGCGTCAAAACCTTCTTATAGTAGGTCCTGTCAAATGCCTGAGGCTGGGAAATTTGGTGTGCTGTCGGTCAGCCTTAGGCACACGAGCCCTGGTAGAGTTTGAGGCACCGTGAGCGCGTGCACTCCACAGTCTTTAGATGACTCTTACGAGGAGGGCATGATGTTCCAGAGGACTTACACAAATACAGATTGGATAGTATCCACTCAGCCTCACAATTCAGCCTGGACTCATAAACCAAAGTTATAAAAGAAAGCAAGAGCTTCATCTGTTTCAGTACTCCGTTGTACATAGCCAACATCGGTATCATTTTTTGGTACCACGACATCAGGCCCAGAAACCACCCACATTGCATCGTCTTTGCATCATTGCTGAAACTTTCTTGTTAACCCGAAAGCTATATACTCCGAATTCAGCCCAATATGCCCCTCCATGAAAAGCCCATCCCCCCACCCTTGTGGTCATCATTTCCATCACACGGCATTGGCAGCCCAGTCGTCCAAATAACCACAACACCAACCCCCACCTTCACAATGAAGAGCCATAACTCCCACTCGAAGCGGATAAGCAGACTATTTTCCCTCTGCCGCCCCTCCAAGCGCTCAATCTGGGATCCTCCAGCCTACGAGGAATCCCAAGAAGCACATAAATCCATACACCCTCAAGCGGACCCCCGCGAGCTGCCCCCAGACTCCGGAGACGCCGACTGCCGCTACGCATTCTTAAAGGACTTCGACACAGTCTTCCTCGTTGACGACAGCAGCAGCATGACCGCGCGCGACCGCAACAGCTGCAAAACCCGCTGGCAAGAAGCAGAGGAAGCTATCGCCGCGATCGCACCCATCTGCACGCAATACGACCAAGACGGCATTGACATATCCTTCCTGAACCACCAGGGCAGCTCGTACAGCAACATCACAACAGCCCACGACGTGGCCGAGATCTTTCACAGGGTCCGGCCGCGCGGGTCGACACCCGTTGGCCGGCGACTACTGGAGATCCTGACGCCGTACCTGCGGCGGGTGGAGCAGATGCAGGCGTCACGGCGAGAGGACGGGACGCTGGCTAATGCGGCGCTCTATGTGAAGCCGATCAATGTTATTACAATTACGGATGGCGAGTTCACGGATGATGCAGAAAGTATCATTGTGGATGTTGCGAGGAAGCTGGATAAGATTCATGCGCTGCCGTGGCAGGTGGGGATCCAATTTTTCCAGATTGGGGATGATCAGGGGGTGCAGAGGTATCTGCAGGAGCTGGATGATGACCTGGGGAAGTGGTGTCGGGACGAGAGGTTGCGAGATATTGTTGATACGCTGCCGTGGAAGGGGAAAAAGGGGACCTCATTGGATGCGGATGGAATTTTGAAGTGTGTGCTTGGGGCCGTCAATAAGAAGCTGGATCGGCGGACCGCGCATGAATGTTGATGCCTTGGGAGGTTCCTTTTTCTTTCCCCTTCTGAATTTCATGATATTTTGTTCTTCCTGTGTGTTATTATTCAATTTTGGGCTATGAGTGGGAAAATCCTAGAGCTGCGATAAGCATCTTGGTATGGGCCTCGGTTAGGATTTGACTAGGATACAATTGACGATCACGACAGCTCTAAAATTCGAGTCGGGCAGTGCTGCGCCATCTAATCAGTAAATTGTGGAGACCGGACGTGAGGAGGTCCAGCAGTCGGACTGATAAACAAAGGCTTCAAATTATTATCTTCGCAGTAAGCGCCCAAGTTCGGGAGGCGCCAAAGGTGGAGAACAACCGGTCGTGGCTTCAGGGGTTGAAATGTCAATATACTTGCAGTGATGTTGTTTCACCAGAGGCATTTTCTAAGGCATTGTCTGGACCCAAATATGACATAGAGCCTGGGAGTTTTCAAAAGGAGGCAAACGTCAGTTATCAGGTTGCTTGCAGCCATTTGCATGCAATTTGCCACTGGGCAGCCACCAGCTAATCAACTCGATCATCGCACTTGCCAAGTGGTCCGTGTGCCGCGTACCTTGCAGCGAGTGGAGCGCCACGAACCATGGGCAAATTCCCAGCCACGACAATCATGGCGCACCCCTGGCCCGTGTCGGCCTTCCTTCGAACGTATGGAGTATATGCCCTGTCTCTTTTCCTTTATATATATAGTGAGAGCCGTAGGGGGATAGACATAGATGCAGCAGAACTGCGAATGAGTGTAGCACGCGCTAGTACTATTGAAGTTTGTTGATCTTTGCTACCGTAATGCTTCCGCGATCGGCGCACAGCTAACTAACTACGCTCGCCATGTTTCCCCCGCAGCGCCGATCTAGCGTCACCGCAAAAAAAAAAAGGCCCGCTTTGACACTCGATTTGCTCTTTCTCTTCACCAGCCTGCTCGCGACGTTATAACGAACCTATAATCTACCGTCCTGTACTTCTCTACCATCCTCTACCATTACTCGTCAGTTAGGATAAACATCCAACTTCCACCTATCCAAGCCACCCTCCAGTCCCGCCAATCCCACCGAAGCGCCAACGCTTGTCCTGCAGGTACATGAGGCCGGCGCTTCGCCATCACACGCCCTCATTGGCCCCATCTGTCGCCCTGCAGTCTGCCGGGGGAAATTGCGGACTTCAACACTAGCTGCCTAATTTCGAACGTCTCCAGCTCCTCGCGGTTCTTGAAGCACCCGCGTCGTGTATCAGGTTCCTTCAGGCGTGTGATCGCCCGAATCCAGCCCCACTGAAACCGTCCTCGAACGAGCGCCATTAATAGACTGTTGCTATCTGAAACTGGGTGGCCCTCGGAGAGGCGCGCTCTGTAATTATAGCAACATTTGTTTATCGACTGGGCTGGACCGCTGTCGTTGACACCTTTATATCCCAGCACCATAATCCTCCTAGGAATTGTTTTCGAACTTCATTCATTCATTCCTTTCTTTTCTTTGGCATTGCATTGCATTTTGTACACTATTCAGCTGTTGACCGTCTCTCTTTACGTCTTGCATACTGTCGCTTTCAAGCCCTTTCCTTCGAGCATTTTCTTGTTCCACACTTGTTGCATTTTGCCAGCCACAACGCTCTCGTTATCAGCGAATTTCTTTTTTTGCATTCCTACGATTCAAAACTACCCTCATGACCTTTTTACTGTGAGTATACCCGGCTTGAGAACCCCCGGGGCTTTGTTTGACGATAATCTGACGATGTATAGGACCACCAACCCCGATATTCGATCGGTCAAGCTCTTGGGATCATGGGACAACTTCAGCAAACCCTATTCGATGGAGAGGGACAGGCGCGTCGGCCCCGGATACTGGAGAGGATGCTTTCAATTCACAGATATTATGGCGGACGGATCCCATGACCACGCACAGTGGCGCGCCGATGGATTGAAGATGGGCTGCACTTACTGGTATTACTATATTCTCAACGAGAACATAGAATTCTATAACGAAAACGAGAAATTCACCACCAAGTGTCCCCTGCTCCCAGGTCGGCCATTGAACATCCTCAATGTGCCCATGGTCCTACCGAAAAACCGCATTCACGGCCGATCAAGTAGTGACGGTTCACAAAGCGAAGAATACCGCACTTTACACCCCGAGGACAAGTTCATGAACCCCAGAAGGCCCCCAAAGCCTGAGCTGGCTCATATCCAAACCACCAATCTCAACCCTCGTCAGCCCTCGCCCGGAAACCTTGCGCCTTCTCCTGTCGGTGTTCATCGGAGTATTTCCCAGCCGAACAGCGCAAGGAGCCAAAGTTCAAAGGATGGTCGCTCAGTTTCTCCACCAAGGGCTCGAGGCCTTAAATCTGCGTTCAGTCAACGGCGCGCAGGGCCGTCCCCCCCGAGCAAGAGCATTCAGCGAGGCGCAGAATCAAGAGAACCAGCGCCAGCAGTTGATCCAGCACCAACAGATGATTCAGCAGCAGCAGCAGCAGCAGCAGCAGCAGCAGGCAGAGAATACCGTGGCAGAACGCCGTAATGTCCCCGGCATTTTGGTTCACGCCAGCTCGGTGAAGATCCCAATGAACTCCGTCGATCAACCTGCCGGGACAACCATCCAGGCCCGTCGTGCACTCAAGGGAAATGCCGGCAATGCGGCACCGGCACTGCATCTTCTCTCTGTGGACACACACTCTCGTCATCGTCGGCCCAGTACTTCTCAAAATGAGGCTCAGGGTCCTGCCCCGGTCGTGAAGGCCAAGGCCTCCAATGACATGATCGTGGCCAATGGCCAGAGCTCCTCTGGCTCAGGGGACATGCCCACTCCAACCGGTCCCGATATTCAGCACAAGCGACTGCCCTCACTTCCTAACTCGCCATCCTCTGTCATGGACGAAGCCGTGCGGGCAATCGACGAGAGAGACAAGGCCGCCGATGCACTGATCATGCGGAGCCACTTCTCCAGCATGACTATCGATGAATCGATCAATTCGCGCATTGAGCAGAGTCGGTTCTCAGAGTGGAGCACCGATACTGGGGAAACCGAAGACGAAACTCCTGCGTCAATCTTTTCGGCGTCGACCTTCCACCACGAGCCCCAGGAGTCATCTGCTCCAGAAGACTGGACCACTCCAGATCTCTCGTGCAACGACGCAGCAACTAATACCGACCCTAATACTCCCCATCTCACTGCAAACTCTAAGCCATGTTCTCCCAACTCTGCCACGGCCGACATGCCTCCATGGAATGGCACTTTGCCTGAATTCGCTGTCTCTCTCTCCTCCCCGTCCCTCTCTACATCTGGCCTTGGAATTGATCAGATGGACGAGGTGGAGAGCAACCCCAAGCGCCATGCAGCATTATTCGATGCTATCGAATCTATGCAAGCACTCTCATTAGCTCAGAGTCCTAGTGCTTCTCCCATTTTTGTGTCTGAGAGTGACCGCTCTAAGTTTGACAGTCATTCACGCCAGAGTGACGCTTCCGCCGTGATTCGCGGCAAGGCGACGATGCAGGAGCTAATGGACGAGTTGGCTTACCTCAAGAACATGATGCAAAGCAACATGGAGGGCGAGCCTTTTTAATCTAACGGCATATGTGGCATATCCGATGCTGGTCATCTGCGTACAGTGCCTGTACTATCATTACTATAGAAATATTTTATACTTAGCGCTTGTCGAATAAGTCATACTGGAAATACATGGAATATCAATTGCACATAAAAACTTCCATACGTCGTTCAAAGGCTGTGAAAAAGAGAAAGTTCATGAGAGGAATGCCCCAACTCCGCCCGTCACGAACCGCCCACAAAACATCCAACGCGCCAAGACCCGTTCCGCGTTATCAACAACCATCCAGAGCCAAACACAACCAGGCCCCCAATCTTGGCCTGGATCAGGATGTGAGCTAAGCGGTCAGCATAGAACCCTCGATCGATCCAATCCTGAGCATGGAGGAAGGGCCTCACCTCACACCCGTTGGGGAGAAATCCCTACCAGCAAAATGTAAACTCGGGACGCTGGCGTACTGCCCGACGATGGACCTGATAGCCCTCGCGACCGAAGACGAGGAGCTGCACGTCTTCCGACTGAATGGGCAGAAGGTCTTCGGCGGTTCCTTCGGCGGCGATCCGTATCTGGGCGAGGACGAAGAGGACGGGGAAGTGCGGGCGGTGGCATGGAAGGGAAATGGTAAGTAACGTCTTGCCTACCTCGAGTATGCGAGCTATCAAATACATCTACAAAGTCCCTTCGAATCGTTGCAGTGTCTAACCCGGATGAGCAGGTCGTCTCCTCGCTGTTGCGTGCGGTGATGGCTCGCTCCGCATCATCAGCGCATACACGGGGAAAACCGTGCATCACTACCCTATCCACCGCGACCAGAGCGAGGACGCCGACGAAGAGCAGACCGCTCCGAAGGTGACGTGTCTTGGATGGGGGCTCAATTTTACAGACAGCAAAGCTATGTACAAGCATCTTGTCGATTCGACGGGGCAGGTTTCTCTCGAGGACCTGCTGGCTGCAAGCCTGCAGCCGTCCAAAGCAGCGGCGATGCTCAAGGCCGATTTACCCCGGGAACTCGCGTTACTCGACATCGAAAGCTCGCTTCCAAAACTGAGCACGTTGCCTGCGACGGGCGCAGAGGATGATTTGTTCAGCTCGCGTGCCTCGATCGATGCTATCTTTCACTCCTCGGCGAAAGACACGAGTGACTCTGTCGATGTGCTGTTCGTGGGCTTCGATGACGGTAGCGTTCATCTCCGGATCTTCGACTGTTTTGAGATCGGCTCGTTCTCCATCCGCGATGATACGGCCGGTGCGCGGTCGCGCTTCATCCTGCCCATGCATCGCATCCCTTTAGTTCAACCCATGCGATGCTCGCATCATCTGGCACGAGGCCCGAGTCTCCTGATGCGCCTATCGATCTCGTGACTCTTGATTTGCGATTCATCACCAAGTCCGGACGGTATCTGTCCTTGTTAGCGTCGAAGACAACCCAGCTTCAGAATCTGTTGAGGTACATTGGGTCTGTACAGCGCCAAATTGAGCTTGAGTGGAAGAATGCACAGGAATTACCGGCTCGCTTCTTGCGCGGGATCAGTGAGGACTTGCAGGAGAAATGCCAGTGTGACTTCGTCACCGCTGTCTATCACTTCGTTGTTACTGGACATTGCTTCGAGCCGATGAAAGAGTTTTTGGTAGATATAGTGGGAGATAGAGTAGGTTCGCAGAACGAGGATTCATTTGGGTCCATGCTAATCATCATTATAGGGACACAAGAGATGGGATAAGGCTGTCTGTGGGGGCTACGAGAATATTCGACGGCTAACCCATGAGTGCCTTCTCCCAGCGTTAGAGCGAAGTCAGGTCCTTCTCGGTCGCTTAGTGGGATTATCCAAGTTCTCGAAGCTCGGCGGCATCCTTGGCCTTGATACCCCCAAATTGAATGCCATCATAGAAACGCTAGATTGCTTACACATTCTGGCCCATAACATTCTCATCCACACGAACGAAGAGCTACGCCAATTCATGGCATTTTCGCGCTGGCTACATCATGAAATTATGATTCTGAACAGCGAACCGTTTTCGCAAACATCAGAAGAGCTCCTCGAAAAAAGAGACATCTTTGATGTTCCTTTGACCGTAAAGTACATCACCGGCGCACTCCGCAAGAGCGTGTTACGCAGTTACATCCGGCAGCTCCCTATGCTGGGGGTTCCTCAAATGCCCACTCCAGCTACGGACAAGTGGGTTCCTGATGGCCACGATCGTTCTTTTTACGATACATTCAAATCCCTCTTAGAACAACAGCGACATGTTCTGGATGAAGGCGGCGACGTGACGACCATAGACGCGCCCAAATTGAACGACCTGACGAAGCGACTAGGACTCCAGTTTGACAAGGTGTTTGCAGAAATTGCCCTTACCCAGAGAAGGGGCATTTTGCATCACTCCCCTCTGACTCTTCATGCGGATTGTGAACGCAACATCATTGATCTTAACATATGCTACGACTCGGAGGTGTGTTCCCACGTCACCCGGAGGCCCGAATGAATGGAAAAGCTAACCAGCCACGTAGGGTGGGGAGGAAGGACATCCATGCTCCATTTACATCGCCAGTCGGTCAAAGACATCCAAGTCTTTAAGTACGTCACTCTTCCCATTCAATTCCCAGATCCTTAGCAGCGCTAAAATGCTCCAGTCTACGTGTATCGCACTGTACTCGATACTATCAACGGCGTAAGCTCCACGCGCAGCACATCCATGGCCGCGTTGGACCTCCAAGAGGGCGAAGTACGCCAGTTACAGTTCTTCGATCACGGTCTCATGGTCCTGTGGGCTGCCCCAAAGAGTCCTGCTCGTCTTCTGGACATACCATTTCAGCCCATTTTAGCACCAAAACAGCCCAATGTAGCTCCGGCACCGGCTGTGCTCGATTTTACTACTATCGACTCCCCCCGCCCTTCTTCGCAGCCTAGCATTCAGCCTACATGCCTAAGCGCGGAAGCTCTGAGCAAACATGGCATGGTTAGGCATGAATTTGCAGTGTCAGGATCCAAGTCGAGGCCTGTACGGCTTAACTTCTATGGTCGGAAAGGGAGGAAGGCCGTATGTGTTCTTTATGGTGACGCGATGCGATACGAAGTATTGGATTTGGATGCTGCGACCTCCAGCGAGGATGACGAAGACGAGGCAGAGGGTTGACTGGGCGCATTTGAAGATCTGGCGTTATGAATGCATGAAGGGACAGATTGTCGCTTGGTGTTTATCTAGTTTCGAAGCGACCACGATTGAATTTACTACGGTATGTCTGGGAGGTTTTGTCCTGCAGAGCCTCCAGACTGCCTCAAGTCTCCGGAGATGGGCTTGCCCTTACTGAGGACCCGCAGCCCAGACGGCAACTGAGTCAGATAGAAGGCTCTTCGTTTGATTGGGGCTCCTCCACTGTGGCGTAAGTCCGCTTAATTTTGCAACGCTGGGGCTTTCTGCATGGTACTTTAGACCCATGGAAAATTTCAAATAAATCCCTGGAGCTAGGCTTCGATCTATTGTTCTGTAAATCTCGAGGTTATGAATCTAAGTGCATATGTTTCGTGCGCTAATGGAGGGCTATGCCGGATCGGTCGCCGGGGCCACAATGCGGTGGGTGCCTCTTCAAGTAGAAAAACCAAAACAAAGTAGAGGGGCAGTCGACCCTTACTGAGGAGATTTTCTCTCTTGTGCCATAGCCGAATGTAGAAAGGCGAAAATTGCCATTCCAATTGCGTATGAGGACCCGTCGTATTGAGCACAAAGAACGACCTATAGAAAAAAAATAAAAGATCACCAAAAAGAAAACCCCCTTCAGAAGCAGTTCAAAACAAGAAAAAAACCCAGACAATGACGGCCGCCTCAGGCATAAGATCACGTGATGGTCTGCCCCACCGGTGCGTCCGCCAATCACGGGGAACGAGCTTCTTGTCGAACCCCCCTCTAGCCTCTCCCCGGCGTCGAGTTTCTACTGCTTTGTCGTCCTTCTCTATCTACCCTCACTCTCTGTGTCTCTTCGACCGTTCCTTTCTTCCCGGGCGTGTGCTGAAGGCATCCTGTCCTCTTTGTGTTTCCTTGCGGAGATACTTGGTGCATGTCTCGTCATATCCACAAAAAACACTCCGTCACTTCATACCCGCCAATTCTAGGGATTTAACCCCCCCCACATCCTCCTTCGTGAGACTTGTGCCTACAACTTTGTCGTTCAGTGCAGGGTCTCGGGAGCACTTCTCTTGTTTTTCGATTTTTCTTTTCTCTCCCTCCAAACCCCTTCCCCACACATCTTTTGAGTCACCATGGATCCTCAGCAGGTGTTGCAGAGCACCTTGTCGCCAGGTACGTACTGGGTCTCTCCAAATCTCGACCCGAGCCATGAAAGGCCCCGCGATCGCCACGCGTCCAAGAACTTGCCAGCTGACACGCCCTTGTCTGGATGCGGCCGAGCGTTCCAACGCGGAGCAGCAGCTCGCCCATGCCGCGGAGGCTGATTTCGTATGTGATATCCCCTATGGGAACCCCTTCCTGCCTGCTCCCATGCTCTTAATGCTGCAAGAACAGGGTTCGTCAAAAAAGACTCTGCTGACAACTTTGTGATCTTTTCTACCAGGCTGCCTACCTCACCACCCTAGGTCAAGCCCTCGCCAGCGAGGCCAACCCTCCTCATATTCGTGTTGCTGCCGGTATTGCCTTAAAGAACGCCTTCACTTTCCGAGACCAAGCGAAATTACACGAGGTACAGCAGCGATGGGCCACACAGATTGCTCCTGAGATCAAGGCACAGGTCAAGGAGCTTGCGCTGAAGACCCTTCACTCTGATACCCGTGTTGGAAACGCTGCGGCCAGTTTGATCGTTTCCATCGCTGCGATTGAGCTGCCCCGCGGCGAATGGCCTGATTTGATGAACATCCTCGTTCAAAACGTCACCAGCGGTTCTGATTCCCTCAAACAGTCCTCTCTCACCACTATTGGTTTCATCTGCGAGTCGCAAGATTCCGATCTTCGCATGAGCCTGAATCAACACTCTAATGCTATCCTTACCGCCGTTGTCCAGGGTGCTCGCCGCGAAGAGCCAAATCCGGAGGTTCGATACGCGGCCATCAATGCCCTCAGCGATGCCGTGGATTTCGTGCGCTCAAACATGGAAAACGAGGGCGAGCGAAACTACATCATGCAAGTTGTTTGTGAGGCTACCCAGGGTGATGACAGCCGCATTCAAGCCGGTGCTTTTGGCTGCCTGAACCGTATCATGGGCGCTTACTACGACAAGATGCGCTTCTACATGGAGAAGGCTCTCTTTGGCCTGAGCATCATGGGAATGAAGAGCGAAGAAGAGGAGGTTGCCAAGTTAGCGATCGAATTCTGGTGCACTGTCTGTGAAGAGGAGATTGCCATCCAGGATGATAACCAGGAGGTGGGTCTATTAAACAGGACCAGTCAGTCTCAAAATCCTGGGGATCTATTGCTAACTGTCGATGTTCTAGGCCGAAGAAGCTGGTATCGAGGGCCGTCCGTACTTTGGATTCGCTCGCGTAGCCACCCGTGAGGTTGTCCCCGTTCTCCTACAGGTCATGTGTCGCCAGGACGAGGATGCGGACGATAACGAATACAATGTGTCGCGTGCCGCATACCAGGCTTTGCAGCTGTATGCTCAGTGTGTGACCAATGAAGTCATCCCTCCTGTTCTGGCTTTCGTTGAGGAGAACATTCGCAGTGAGGATTGGCACCGCCGAGATGCTGCCGTTGCTGCATTCGGTGGAATCATGGACGGACCCGATCCCATTACGCTGGAACCCCTGATTAAGCAGGCTCTGAACGTCCTCCTTGACATGATGCAGGATCAATCTGTGCAGGTCCGCGACTCCACTGCCTATGCTCTGGGCCGTGTTTGTGAATCCTGCCCTGAGGTCCTGGACCCTGACACGCACCTGCAGCAACTCATTTCTAGCCTCTTCGGTGGACTCGCTAGCAGCCCCAAGATTGCCAGCTCGTGTTGCTGGGCCTTGATGAACGTGGCCGAGCGTTTTGCCGGAGATGGCGGCTCCCAGACCAACCCTCTGTCCAGACACTTTGAAGATAGTGTCAAGTCCTTGCTGCAGGTCACCGAGCGACCTGATGCTGATAGCCAGCTGCGTACTGCTGGATATGAAGTTCTCAACAGCTTTGTGACTAACTCTGCCATTGACAGTCTGCCCATGGTCGCTCATTTATCTGATGTAATCATCACTCGCCTTGAACAGACTATCCCCATGCAGAGCCAGGTCGTGAGTCCTGAGGACAAGATGACTCTGGAGGATATGCAAACCAGCTTGATTAGTGTTATCCTTGTAAGTTTACGCAGTTTCAAAATTTTCACCTGCTTGGTAGCTAACTGTCTTTAAAACAGGCTATTATTCAGCGATTCGAGGCCGACATCAAGCCCACCTCTGACCGCATCATGACTATTCTGCTGAGTGTTCTGGCAAACGTCCCTCGCGGATCGAATGTGCCTGATGTTGTCTTCGCTGCCGTTGGCTCCATGGCGAATGCCCTGGAGGAGGACTTCATCAAGTACATGGACTCGTTCGCTCCTATCCTCTACAAGGCACTTGAGAACAAAGAGGCCACTGGCCTTTGCTCCATGGCGATCGGACTTGTTAGCGATCTTGCCCGTGCCTTGAATGAGAAGGTCCAGCCTTACTGCGACGTGTTCATGAACCATTTGCTTAGCATCCTGGGAACATCAACCAACCAGCTGAAGCCAGCTATCCTGGAGACCTTCGGCGACATTGCTCAGGCTATTGGTGTTCAGTTCAGTACCTATCTTCCGGTTGTTGGTCAGGTCCTGCAGCAAGCCTCCTCTGTCACCGGGACCAGTGACCTTCCTTACGACATGGTTGAATACATTCTTTCTTTGCGTGAAGGTATCATGGATGCCTGGGGTGGTATCCTTCTCTCCTACAAGGGAAAACCTGAGAGTAAGCATCCGGTCCATTGCCCAATTTGCCTCATTAATATACTAACTATATCATCTTTAGTCACCCAGCTCCAGCCATACATCGAATCTATTTTTCACCTGCTTCATATCATCTCTCAAGACTCCACCCGAAGCGAGGGTCTTATGCGCTCTGCCATGGGTGTCATCGGGTATGTGACAGAATCCAAATTTCTAATTTACGAAACCCCTACTGATCACTGAGCAGTGACCTTGCCGATGCCTACCCCAACGGTGAACTCGCGGCTTACTTCCGCAACGATTGGGTTACCTCTCTGGTTCGTGAGACACGTACTTCCCGGCAGTACTCTCCTCGCACCATCGAAACTGCTCGCTGGACCCGCGAACAGGTTAAGCGCCAAATCAACATGAGTACCGCTATGGCTTAGTATGCTCTTTGGCGCTTTTGACTGGTTTCCGCGTGCAGTTAGCAGCTGAAATGGTCCCCTGCCTTGGAAGCGTAGCTGACCGAATCTGTTGAACTCCGGTCCAACGGCGCTGGCATGTAGGCTGCACGGCCCAGCCTAGCGTACCAGGGGAACAGTCGTTAGCGGACCTACAGTCTCGCGAATGGTGGAGCAAGTATTGACTTCCCATTTCGGCTCTGCTGCTCACATTCTTCTCTTATTCCCCTTTCCCTGCTTCTCCCAATTTCCCGTCCCCTTCCCTGTTCTGGCCTATCTCCTTGTACCGCAGCCCCTGATGACACCAACGAAGCCCCATTCTACCTGTTCCCCATAGCACCTTGTTCTGGATTTCGTGATATTCCCCTTTTCTTTCCAACTTCATGTCTACCCTACTTGTTTCCCCTTAATTTAGACAAGACCCCTTCCACCACCGCATTGCATGCTCAAGCATCGCCCCTTCATGTAGCCCAAGACCTCATGTATCCTTCCCACATCATGTAAACCCAATCATGTACCCTTCCCGAACCATGCCTCCCTCTCCAAAGAGTCCCATGAAAAAAAAGTCATTTCTCTCCCGTTCTTCTCCCGTATGCTCCGGCCCTTCTCCCATGCCGCCCATTGCCTTGGTGCCCTCCCATTACGTTTATAGACCTGCGGAATTCTTGCAATATATTGTATTCGCTCGAGGTATATCTTGATATCAAGGCTGCAGATACATGTATAACTATTTGCGTCGAGATATCGTGCAATTTGGATACCTGAGGCATGCATGTCGTAGAATCCACTATCCATAATCACGTGATCCCAGATAAGGGTACCAGCCTCCCCAACCCTATGCTGACCCACACTTCGCACTAAGCCAGCGAACATCCAAACTTTGTACCCGCGGCCGCAAATTTTCCATCTCCAACCCGCTACCGACGCCAGTCTTTCGAGGTATGTACGCCCTCAACGCCCTTGTTTCTCACCAGCCTTCCAGCTAGTCTGGATGAGCAATCATCTTGTTTTCGCCCTGATACCGCAATGGCTTTGTGTGTTATAACATGGACGCAGAATTCTCCAGGTTCCAGGGGCGTGGGCAAGATGATACGCATCATCCATCCGGCATGGGCTGAAGAACTCCTTTTTTTCAAAAGGAAGGGGCACTCTTTATGCTCTTAGACTAGTTGAGGCTGACTTGACCGGCCATTGAACTTCTCCTGCATGGGAGAGTTCTGTGCCGTATCCCTGCAGATACCTCTTATCCCAAGAACCGATTTGAGAATCTCGATTCCTCCCAACCGCCAAAATGGTCAAGACTTCCGTCCTCAACGATGCCCTCAACGCCATCAACAACGCTGAGAAGGCTGGCAAGCGCCAGGTCCTGATCCGTCCTTCCTCCAAGGTCATCGTCAAGTTCCTGTCTGTCATGCAGAAGCACGGTACGTCGAGATCCCCCATTCTTTTCGCCAGCTGTTGGGAACATGTTCGGTCTCCGCTTCGCTTTTGTAGACGAAGGTTCGGATTGATAACTAGGTGGATTGTCTCAAACTCCTACGACGTTTGCCTTTTAAGTATCCGATATATTGACGCGGAGATCTTACATGTTTTCAAAGCGCTGTTATGGCTCTTTCAGTATTTGGCGACTTTTAAATCTCTGCAACATTGCTGACTTATCTTTTCCCTCCAGGCTACATTGGCGAGTTCGAGGAGGTCGATGACCACCGTTCCGGCAAGATCGTCATCCAGCTGAACGGCCGTCTCAACAAGACTGGTGTCATCAACCCCCGTTACCCCGTCCAGCTCCGTGACCTTGAGAAGTGGGCCACCCAGCTCCTTCCCTCTCGTCAGTTCGGCTTCGTCGTCCTGACCACCTCCGCCGGTATCATGGACCACGAGGAGGCCCGCCGCAAGCACGTCGCTGGCAAGCTCCTCGGTTTCTTCTACTAGACGGAGTCGTTCCTCAAGACGAATTGAAAACAAAAAGTTATTGCTTTGACTGGCTTCGCATGGCAATTGGGCTGGGCCCTGGATTGTACTCTAACGAGTAGTGGATATACCCCGGGCTATGATAGCTTGCAGACTACTTGGTTCTTCTTCCAATGCCAGGTGATTCTGGTCAACATTTTAATCGTTTGTCTATTGTAAAATACTCCGTAGGATAACCCAGAATGATTGTCATCAGGTATACCTGCATCTGTAACCAACCGAGGCACAGGGTTCACCGCCTCATTTCTGCCCGATATTCCCCGCAAAGTAGTTATTAGTTTGATCGGAGGCCTTTGGATCTGTAACCACTTCCACTATGCCTCTCGATACGATCTACCTTACTCGTCATGGAGTATGTAATTGAATACTTGAAATTCACCTTAAGCTCAGCACCAATTAGCTAACTCCCTTGAGCACCGACTAAATTGGACCATCGACCTCCGCACCGGCACCTACATATCGCAGTTTCCAACACCGACAGGAAATCCAGTAGACCCAGCTTTGACCGCGCATGGAGTGCGCCAGTCTTGGGAACTGGGTAGACACATAAATTCTCCTCAATTCCACCCCAAGCCCTTTCGAGTCTACTCGAGTCCGTTCTACCGATGTCTCCAGACAATCCAGCCTTCTGTTGCTGAACTCAAGGCCAGGCATAGCAATGCAACGGTAATCGGCCCTGTATCCGCGATAACAGGGTATGGGCAGATAGAGCCATCAGCGGACTTTGACGTCCGGATCGAGAATGGAATCGGGTAAGTGTAGTCTTTGCAGATCGAACACCGTTGCGCATACTGGAGCATATGAGCCAACCAGCCAGACTTCAGACTGATAATGTGTGGATAGTGAATGGTTTGGCCCAACAACATTCTTCGAGCACCCAGCCCATCCCACCCCCGAAACCGTGCGCCAGCATTTCCCAGACCTAATACCCCCCCAACGCCTCCGAGAAATACAAACCCCTCCTCTACCCCTCCCGTCGCGGCGAAACAATCCTCGAGCTGCACAACCGTGTTGCGACAACACTGGAAGGCATCATCGCGGACGTGGACGCCGAAATCGCCGAGGTGGAAGCCTCGATGCCACCGGAGCAGCGCACCAGCAAGTCTCTGCTGATCTGCGCGCATGCAGCGCCATTGATTGCCATGGGCCGTGTGCTGACGGGGCGCATACCGGAGGATACCTCCGAAGAAGACTTCTGTGTGTTCACAGCAGGTTTGAATACGTTCCAGCGGCGGGGGTTTGGAGGAAGGAGGAGAGACGTTATTAAAGCGAAAGATCGGGGGCAGATTGCGGAGAGGAGACTGGCTGAGGGGACTGTGCTTGTGCGTGCTAAAGAAGTGCCAGATTGGATGGGTGGCCGTGGGGTTGGAGGTGGTTGGGATTGTGTTGTTAATGGGGACTGTAGCTTTTTGAGTGGTGGAGCAGAGAGAGGATGGTGAGTGCTTGGTTCTCGTTTTTCTATCTCTTTTTTCGACGATATGCTCACTCCACGGATGTTATATGCTAACTGATTGGCAGGCATTTCAATGGCGAGGAGGGATTCGATGCCAGTATGGGCCCCCCCAACGGACTCTGCTGCACCTCCTGGTGAGCCCAAGCTTTGACGTGTCAAGGATATGCATATTTTCTGTACATGTTTCCGATATCGGGGGTTGTTTTCCTTTCTGTCTGATGTCTTTCTGCGACCATTTGCGCCTGATACTAGACCCATCCGTGTGAACCCATTTTATCCCAGGAATCAGTCACTTAGAATTGCATTCGGAATATACCCACAGTCAATAGGACCGATTAGAACTCAAGGAATACATATATCTGACCATATTGAACTATTGCTGTGAACAGACTTCCAGATCCACACGTTTCCTGGTGCTCCGAGGCTAACCGCCATGTGGGGCATCGATGACTCTTCGAGATCAAAGACGAGCAGAAGAAAGATTTGATCCTGATATGCCAGTTCAAAATTAGTACTAGCCGAATTGCATACTAGTCCTAGAATTCAAAAACCACTCGATCCTCGCAGTTCGTCTCATTCTACCAAGGTACACAATCAACCGACTGGGCTCTAAGTGGTAAGACGGTTCGACCTTACTCACCTCCAAAACTCAACTTCCAAGCACGCGAATTACACACGAGAACCAGAGCCATAATCGCTATTTCAATAATGGCAACTGCCACGCAGACTCTCTCCAGTACGGCACTTGAGCTTCCAAATCTTGCCCCAAACGCCTTGGGTGAACGCCAGCGCAATGTCCCCGCCGCCAGAGAGCCGGAGCCGGAGCTTGACGAGGTCATGCAGCAATCCCTGATAGCAGACTCCCAGGTCCCCGACGGAGGGTACGGATGGGTTCTGATCTCCGCTTGCGCGGTGGTGACCTGGTGGTTCATTGGGACTTCGTACACCTGGGGTGTGATGCAGGCGGCTCTCGTCGAGAAGAAAGGGTACTCATCGTCGACGCTGGCATTTGTGGGATCGCTATGCCCTTCTTGTATTTCCCTACTGGCAGTGCCAATTGCGACCATCATTCGCAAGATCGGAGCACAGGTCACTGCGCTGCTGGGCATTTCTCTGCTTGGTCTAGGATGCGTACTTAGTGGCTTTGCGACTGATAGCATAGCAGGGCTGTTCATCACCTGGGGAGTCGTGGGAGGTCTGGGAACAAGCTTATGCTTCATGGTATGTAGATTTTAGATTTCCTGAACGGGCCATGCCTGGGTCGACTAAGCGGTTTATAGGTTGTCTCTGTTACTCCAGCACAATATTTCAAGGCAAAGCGTGGAATAGCCAATGGTATTGTCTACGCCAGTGGTGGACTTGGAGGTGCTGTCATCAGCTTCATTTTGAATGCACTGCTTGAAAATGTCGGCCTCGCCTGGACATTTCGTATCCTGGGATTCATGATCATCACCACCGGTCTGCCAGCCGCCTACTTGATTAAAGAGCGAGCACCAATTCACCGAACCAAGATGGTAGAATGGTATGAGCCCAACATAGCCTACCACCCAATTGATCGAGAATTTTACTAAACATCAACCAGGAGTCTGTTCCGTGATGTCCGCTTCGTCTTCCTTTTTGCTACAGGCGCCATCGGTACATTCCCACTCTTCGTCCCGGCTTTCTTCCTTCCGTTATACACCAACTCCCTGGGGCTGCCCTCAAGTGCCGGTGCAGGACTTGTGGCAGCATTCAATTTCTCTTCCGCAATCGGCCGTCTCTCCTGTGGATTCGCATGCGACAGACTCGGGTCGCTCAACACTCTGTTCTTATCTCTCCTGCTCAGCACGGTAAGCATTTTCGTGCTGTGGCCTCTCTCACTCTCCATCGGCCCTCTTATCGTATTCGTGATCATCAATGGTGCCGCCAATGGTGGTTTCTTTTCAACAATGCCAACTGTTGTTGGGAATGCTTTCGGGTCTGCCCGTGTGTCGGTAGCCATGGGGATGGTTGTTAGCGGCTGGCTTGGAGGATATCTCATGGTAAGTGGCTCCCTTGCAGTGATCGCCAATATGGACAGATCAGGGTCCATGACTAAATTCTTTCTCAGGGCGCGCCTATTGCTGGTTATATTCTGAATGCCTCTGGAGGACAATCGGGGGCGCTGGCGCTTACCGGCCTGCTATCTTCTACGCCGGCTCCATGGCATTTACGGCGACTGTGTTGGCCGGAGTGGTGCGGATGAAGGTTGATCGGCGACTCAAAAAGACGGTCTGAAAGACCACGCGTTGAAATCGACACTAGATATAGAGTATAGAGACAATTCTAGGTTTCAAACTTTCAGAGTACCGCTATGTCACAGATAAAGGCTGTCATGATCTCCTACTTGTTCTCTTCTCTGCTTTAGCCTGCTGGCCTGATGAACTCCCCTCGATTTGGAAAAGAAGAACACTCCTTGTCCGATTCCTATCAGTAATTTTCCTTATACCTCCGTAGACTTCACGGAAGGTAGTGGGGTACTAGTTAAAGGCGAAAATAGGACGAGTCAGTCCTTGAGGATGGCTTCCCGTCCTTATATTCAGAGCCGGCGTTCATTCTATGACGTCGAGAGATTAGAGAATTCTTAGTAAAGGAATACTAGAAATATGACCATATGGACAGTAGGCTGATTGATAATTGGATCCATGTAAAGCTACCTCACTAATAATGAAGTACAGCAGATGATGGATAATGACAGCAAATTTGCTTCGCTGTCTCATGCTAATATGCTAGGGGTATCGTGATATAGAGTAATAGAATAGTTGGATAGTCGTTCAAGCAGAGGCAGCCTGACCTTGCTCAGGAATTTCATTGGAGGCCTGCTGATCCGGTGCGCTGTTTTCCTCTCGCTCTTGTTCAGCTTCGCGTTGGTGCTCTTGTTCAGCTTCGCGTTGGTGCTCTTGTTCAGCTTCGCGTTGGCGCTCTTGTTCAGCTTCGCGTTGGCGCTCTTCTATCCGCTGACGCTCAGCTTCTGCAGCATTGCGTGCCTCGACCTGGCGTTCGCCGACGCCTGGAATCAAACTGGTGAGGAGGAGTATCAAAGCACGGCCCAGTGCAAATGACTCAAGCTGGAATCTGCGGAAATGGGGAATAGCGCCATGGGGTTGGTTGTTTGCTGGTTGTTGATCTGGGCCACCCACATGCGTAAGGCGCTCAAGATAACGGTGAAAAGGGGCAATGAGCAGGCTGTGAACAGCTTGGTATAGTTCTGTTTCACCCAGGACAATGACCAGCAGAGATCCGATTACCAGAAGATAGCGGGTCCATGTACCGGGATCACTGAACAGATAGACGAAGAAGAAAAGCCGGATACACTGGAATAAGTTTCGGAAGATGATTGCACCTCCAGCACGAAGTGGATCAATTTGGCGTTGGTTAGCAGCATTTGGCTGGAGAGGTCGAGCATTGGGTGTGATATTCACATCATTGACGGCAGCATTAGGAGTGTTGAATCTATTGGAAGAATCTTCAGGCACCGATATTGTTGCACCAGGGTTGGTATGAAGGATGGAATCCGGCCTGATCAGGATACCTTGGAACTCATGGCCGTATACGATGTAAACGTCTCCTGGATGTGATGGTAATTGTGGCGCTGTAGGAGTAGATTCTGCTGGGCAAAGCTGCGCAACTCGATCTCGGATAGCTCGCACTTCTGCCGCCAAGTTCAAGAAGTTTTCGTGAGAGGGAAGCCGAATAGACTGCGAGGTATTTGAACTGAAAGTTGGGGACGCGGGATTTGAAGGTGCGGGATTTGAAGGCGCGGCAGACTGTGCTTGTGTAACTGTTGGCGGAGCTGTGGTAGATGGTAGAGGACTAGCCTGCCGAGGACCACTACTATTTGAATCGCTCGCTGGGGCTTCTGGAAGCATGAGGTGCATCGTCAATTGGCGTCCCTGCAGCCAACCCCGGTCAGATCAAGTTAGGAATATCGGGTCAAACCCACTATGAGCAGGAGCCGATTTTATGAACTTACATCTATTGGCGAAAGTACCTCTCTCAGAGTAGCTTTCTTATTAGAGAGGTATTTCCCGCGAGCAATCAGTTTCTGTATCGTCGGCGACGGGCGATTGGGAAGGGTTTCGGTGATGCGCCATTGTAGCTCCTCAACTGTAGACGAGAGTGGTAGATCATGGAATTTGAAGCTATTGGGAGCACGTATGGACGGACACAGGAGTATGACCGTGATCACTTGCTGATCTTCATCCATGGTCGTTGCGGTCACATCAACTCAAACCTTTGGCTTGATAACACGGCCGCGTAGTCCAATCCCGTTACCTCGGCTGACATTCACAAGTGTAGGCAACAGCTGGTACGGCTTCAAAGATTTCCTCTAAATCCGGAGAGCCAGTACCATAAAGAGAATTGAAGAGAGAACGACCACTAACAATGAACCAACGTCCACGGTTCTCAAATGACCTCGAGTCGGAGGCCACGTCCACGCGCGGGGGCGGTGAGGGGTGCAGATCGGCCATCCACACCACGTGACTGTACTCGAAACACCAGATTTGCTTCTGTATTGTTGCACCTAGGAAGTCGATTCTATACTTACAAACTACATATTAAAGGAGAGATTCAGACCTTGAATGTACATGAAATCTGCGACGGGGAGTCTTACCTCGACTTCGACAGAGCCTTGATCATCGGACAGGGATATCTACACCTCCGGCGCTAACCGTCTTTGGAATACCCACTTGACCAAGAGACGGAAGTCGTTGGCGCAGAATCATGATTTTCTCCGTCAAAAAATGAACCTCGGGGCAGATGATCTCATGAAGAGCGACTGGCCCATGGACTAAGCCCCAAATCATCATCATGGCTAAACGCCTTTTCAATCACTCCGCTATCGTTCGCCTTATACCTACCCCGACCAGGGGCGCCGCGCCGATGGAGGTTCTCTCATTTCGAGCCACCGCTCATAACAAGCCCGACGTCCGACACTTTTCCAAATCCCGGAAACACTATAAAGACAACAGACACGAACCCCCAAACAGAGGTGGATTCGGATCTCGACTCCGCTTCGCGCTACGAAATACTAAAGTCGAGTGGTACCCGATCCCCGTGGGACTTGGCATTGGTTTGCTAGGAATCCTTCATTTCTACAAATCGCAGCGGACAGAACGGGATCGCGCTCTTCAAGACACTGCAGCCGAAGACTGGGAAAATGGTGGTCGTCCACCCAGACGACCACGAGTGGTGCCTTCTGGGGGCTGGCAAGTACAGATCATGTCGACTCTACCCCTGAAGGCCATGTCACGACTATGGGGTCGCTTCAATGAGATCGAGCTACCTTACTACCTCCGTGTTCCTGGATTCAAGCTATACGCTTGGGTTTTCGGTGTTAACTTGGACGAAGTTGCCGAACCAGACCTGCACACATATCCCAATCTTGCAGCATTCTTCTACCGGAAGCTAAAACCTGGGGTGCGCCCACTCGATCCAGACCCACGTGCACTCTTGTCGCCTGCCGATGGCCGCGTTTTACAATTTGGAATGATCGAGAGGGGAGAGGTGGAACAAGTGAAGGGCATGACTTATAGTCTTGACGCTTTGCTGGGATCGGCCACCCCTTCGCATGCAGACCATAGCAACCGATTGGCTGACTCCGAAGCCGAAGAGGTCCAAAAGGATGTTGATAACATGAAGTCAGATGAAGAGTTCGCTCGCGTAAATGGCATCACCTACACTGTTCCCTCGCTGTTGTCGGGTGATCCTGGAGCGGCACCGCAGCGACGGGCCTCGATTGATGCATCAACAACCTCCAACACGTCATCCGAAAAGAAGGTACACCAGGAGCTGGCTCTGGGCGAAGGAACGTCCTGGTATGTGCCCAAGACGGCAGCTAATCACGCGCTCTTCTACGTGGTGATCTACTTGGCACCGGGCGACTACCACCGTTTCCACTCGCCCACCGCCTGGGTCGTAGAGAGTCGGCGTCACTTTGCAGGTGAGCTGTTCTCCGTGTCTCCGTATCTGCAGCGTACTCTCCCTGGCCTGTTTACCTTGAATGAGCGAGTTGCACTTCTTGGCCGCTGGCGCTGGGGCTTCTTCAGTTACACACCTGTCGGCGCAACCAATGTGGGCTCAATCAAAATCAATTTCGATTCGGAGCTGCGCACAAACAGCCTCCTCACTGATACTGCAGCGGACATGGCGGCGGCTTTGGCAGCCCAGCGGGGCGAGAAAGATCCCGGGTTTGTGGAGGCGACTTACCGGCACGCAAGTCCTACATTGGGGGGGCATCCGCTCCAACGTGGCGAGGAGATGGGTGGATTCCAGCTTGGCAGTACTGTAGTTTTGGTATTTGAAGCACCACTTGGAAGCCGCAAATCGTTCGACGCTGGCTGGACCGATGCTGACAACGACCGCGAGGATGGGTGGAAGTGGAGCGTGGAGAAGGGCCAGAGAGTCAAAATGGGCGAGAAGCTAGGGTACGTGGCAGAGCAGACATAGTGCCTCCTCCTTCATATGGCCTCCGACCAATGTTTCTCTCCAATTCCTCAAAACCATCGCACCGTCCCCGCACATACCATGTCTTGTCTGCAGTCTGCTTGAGGCCACCATGAAAACCCTACTGAGTCAACGTATGGCAACTCTAAGGGTGTAAAATTATGATGTATTGCCCTTGAATTTCAACAATATATAATAATCCAACGGAGTTATCTTTTCTTTAATCATCTTGTATCGATAGATCTCGACCATGCTCCATCGAGGAGAACCTTATCGGGTGTCGCGCACGACCCAGGGAACGTGACCCCGACGTGATCAGCATGCGGGAACGATCCACAATGATTTGCTGCGTCGATAACGGTGGCGCATGTAACTTCGCCCCGACCCGCTCGGCCTTCGAGGCGCTAAGCAATGGTGAGAAAGTGGAAGCCGTGGGACGTCAGTGAAAAGGCTCGATGCGGGTGGGTCGGGAAAATTCCCCAAGGGGCCTTGTGTGACCCCATTGGAATTGCCGGATTATAAACCTCACCTGCACCGCCTCACACGGTCGAAAGTACAAAGGGACACGGCGACGTGGATCTGACATGTGCCAAGGTTCGCTGTCTAGCTTCCAAGGTGACGCGTTATCTTTATCTTTCCTTCGTCATTAATCTCCGGACCCCCCCAAAGTCCTGGATGGTCCTTCCTTCCCACACCTTTCGATGGCAATCCTTTCAGCTGCCCGGTCTTTCCAACAGAATGTCTTCGCCCAGGATACGATGGCTTTCGGCCTAACCGCCGCCGATGCCGCCATACAAGCCAAACACCCGTCATTCTCTCGCCTCCTTCTCCTCGTCTTCGAAGCGGTGCTGGAGGTTATCTGCGTCTGTCTCCCGGGATACATTGCTGCCCGTTCGGGCATGTTCGATGCCAAAGCTCAGAGATTTGTCGCTGATCTGAACGTGACTCTCTTCACACCCTGCCTGAGTATGTTAATAATTTCCTTCGGTCGTTCGTATCGGCTACCCCTCACCCATTCCCTGGTAGAGCATCAACTAACGGTCTTTCTGTCTAGTTTTCATCAAGCTTGGTTCTCAATTAACAGCAGAGAAGCTATCCGACCTCGCTATTATCCCCGTCATCTTTGTCGTACAAACAGCAGTCTCGTACTCCTGCTCATGGGCAGTCACGCGATGCTGTGGTTTCAAAAAGCGCCAGTCCAACTTTGTGACGGCGATGGCGGTATGGTTCGATATTCTTCCCCGTAATGATTCCTTGCTGATCTCGACTTATCCATCTAGGTTTTCGGAAACTCAAATTCCCTCCCTATATCTCTAGTGATATCTCTCTCCGCTACGATCGAAGGCCTTCACTGGGACCGTATTCCGGGCGATAATGATGACGAGGTTGCCGCCCGAGGTATTCTGTATCTTCTGATCTTCCAGCAGCTCGGCCAATTGGTGCGCTGGAGCTGGGGGTACAACGTGTTGCTCGCACCGAAGGATCGATATGAGGACAGCAGCGAGGAAGGCGACAGTCAATCTGCAGTCGAAGAAGGCCATGCACCGTACACAGATAATCCGATTGAACCGGGGGTAGATGAGCCCCTAATTAGCACTCGCAGCTTTAACGAAATACAAGCATCCGACGGCAGTCCCAACGGCTCTGCCTTTGTGTCCGGGGACCAGACACCGGTATCCACGCGCCAGTATGCCTACTCGGCGAAAGTCGGCTCTTCGATTTCTCCAGATGATGATCAAGAGTCTGAGGACCACAATTCGACAATCGGGCCTCTACCAGACGCTCCCTTCCTACCTCGTACAACCACAGGTGACATGCTATCATTCCCAGACGTCGAAACTATCAACCGGCAGCCACATGAGCAGAAGACGATCATTCAGCAGTGGAGAGCATCTCTCCGTCAGGCTTTCCGCAATATCAAACGTTCTTTCCGCAAAAGGTCATCTGCACTCTTTGCTCGCCTACCTACAAAATCCCAGAAATTTCTCTCAAGCACCGGCTCTGGTCTTGGCCGCTTCTCACGCGGGGTTTGGGATTTCATGAATGCACCACTTTGGGCGATGCTCGTGTCAATCATCATCGCCTCCGTTCCAGCCTTGCAACATCTCTTTTTTTGACGAAGGTACATTCGTTCGGAACTCCGTCACACGAGCAGTCGAGCAAAACGCCCAAGTGGCAGTGCCCCTCATCCTCGTCGTTTTGGGGGCCAACCTCGCTCGCAATACACTCCCAGAAGAAACGGAGGCTGAAATGGCACACCCGCGGGCAGAGCGAAAGCTCATCATCGCATCTCTACTCTCGCGCATGCTCCTGCCAACGCTGGTGATGGCGCCCTTTTTGGCGCTTATGGCCAAGTTTGTCCCGATCAGCATTCTGGACGATCCAATCTTTATCATCGTCTGCTTTCTACTCACCGGCGCACCGTCAGCACTACAGCTAGCGCAGATCTGCCAGATCAACGATGTGTACGTGGGTGCAATGTCAAAGATCTTGTTCCAGAGCTATGTCGTCTGGATCCTTCCTTCGACGTTGGCACTCGTGGTGTGTGCATTGGAGGTTTTGGAGTGGGCTTCTGCCTAGGCTTTCCCTCGTCTTGCTTCCTAAGTTTCATTGCGACATTCTTGTTTGTTCATCATAATTTGGCGGTGGCATTACTGGATTCTTGCCTGACGTAGCGTTTCTCTCTTTTGACGAAGGTCTCAGGTCCGGTGTTTTTGGTACGGCTCTTTCCGACTACCCTCATTACTGTCTATTATTCCGTATTGTGTATTCTTATGGCTTGACCCAAATCTTCGGTAGAATGTATAATGAAGTGCGGCAAAGCGTAATCAGTTACCGCATAACAGAACCGAATGAATACTTGGGTTGGTCTGTGGCCCTGGCATCTGTCACTTTCATCACAAGAGGGGAAGCTTGGGATCTACGAGCCAGGACAGGAACCATCAATAGCAGACAGCAAAGAAGGCTCATGTGCAACAGCCCCAGACAGGTCACCCTGTACATCAAACAGCATCGCCATGCCCGTCGCAAAATGCCATAGGATGTGACAATGGAGCAGCCAAACCCCAGGGTTATCAGCGCGGAACCTAAGCACTGCATACCCGCGACTCGGGACTTGAACAGTATCCCTCAGAGCGGCCTGTGTTAGATTGTACGGCTGGTAAGTATCCGGATCCACTCCCTCGGCGGGCTCCAGGCCCGGTGGGAAAGCGTCTTCAAAGGGATTGTAGGAGCCCCAGCCGAATTGGGGGTCTTGGACGGTCAGGACATAAAAGTGATGCCCGTGCTTTGGCCGTTAGGTTGAATAGAATGCCCTGGAGGGTGGGGTGCCGGTGCTTACCAGATGAAATGGATGGGGACCTTCATCGAGGTTATTCACGATCAAGTCTCACCCATGCTGGGTCGGGGCCCGTGGATATGGAAAGCTGGTTCCTATCCCATTGGGAACGGGGAAGACCTATCAGTGGTACTGGGGGTGATTGTTGGGATTTCCAGACGGTCTGGTTGAAGAAGCCCTGGGGGATGTTGTGGTTCATCGACTTTTTCTGAATCTTCGTATACACGACATGTCTTTGGTCTGCTGTTTCGGGCAGTTTTTTCAGAATGGATGCCACAGAAGGTATGTTTCCTAGGTCGATTTCGCGCTGGATCATGGGGATTGCTATGGGGGAGTCTTCAGTATTTCGAGACGGTGCGTAGATGGGAAAGATTTGGTCTGGTGTAAGTGCTGGGTTCTCATATTTGAAACAGCTAGAAAGGGAATTAGGATTCGCCCTTTTTTGCATCGAGTATAGAAGGAACCCATACCTTCGGTCCAGTTTGACCATCATGGAAGAGCGGTTCCTAGGATTGTCGGGCGAACGAAGGATCATATCCATGCGTTGCCCGGCATGCAGTATCCCTATGGAGTTTCCAGTAGTGGCGGAAGAGTGTTCGACGACATCCACGCTGTCTACTTGAACAATCTCAGGCTCCAGCTGAGCGTCAAACAGCATGCTGAATCCAGCCAGAGCTCTACGCATGTGTTAGTGGACATAATCACCTGCGAGAAGGTATGCGTACCCAGTATTGACCACGCGGATCCGATAACTTCTACCCGGGTCTAGATCCAGAAAAGAAGTATCTAGTTGCTGTTCTACACAGTCGAGCGGACGGGCAGGAACAGCCATCGAGCAGTCGAAATGCCCGATGCCATTAATGAGAAGTGAGTCCGGTACGGGCTATTGAAGGGTCAGAGTAGTAGAACGTGGCAGAAGATCGCTGTTCTTTACCTCGTTCCCAAAATTTCCTGGATTCTCATACCAAGCTAGAACCTGTTTCGCAGGTCTATGGTACCAATCGCCGACGAGAAGCAGAATCTCCTCATCATAGTGAAGACGCACGGCATCTCCACGATTTCCCGACAGCATGCCTCGTACAGTAGACCGAGAAACGGGCGTATGGACCACCAGGCCTCCATAGAGACCATCGGCACGCAAAAGACCCGAATGGGCATGGTACCAGAAGGTACCGCTCTGATCCGACGGGATCGTGACATTATAGATAAATTTGCCGCCAGGTGGGATGGGACACTGTGACACCCCAGCAGCTCCATCCATCGCATCTAAAGAATTTGATCAATTCTGGTGCTTGCTGACTGCCAATCCGACGTCACTTACTGGCCACATGTAGGCCGTGCCAATGGAGGGCAATTGAGTCTTCCCGCAAAGCATTTGTTACAGTGATAATCAAGGTGTCACCCGAACGAGCCTCGATCGTGGGACCGGGGAATAGATCTGCATTGGATAGGTCAGCCAAGGCAAATCAAATGATATTGAAATGCTGAATTTAGTTGTTATTTCAATTCTCATCGCCGAGAATTATACTAGGAGACCCACAGTGTCGTAGCGAGGTAGCAAAACATACCGTTGATCAGATAGACCTGCTTCAGAACTCCGTCAGGTCTGCGACCCTCCGATGTGACCCGCCAATCCAAATGCTGCGTTTGGGCCAGGCGAAACACATGATTCTCGGGGCGAAGGCCGATGTGCGGGCGGGTTTTAACTGTCGCCTCGAGTACATGGGCAGATCTCAATGGTGCAATCCACGCCCCGAAAGGGGTATCTAGGATATAAGCAATCCCCAACAGTAGACACACAGCGAACAGACCTGTTCGCCACGATCTTCGTCGACGCGGTGCGAGAGGAAGCTGTGGTGCCTGTGGTTCCTGTATGCGGGGAGTCCGCCGAAGTCGACTGTTTTGCCTGTCCATGATAGGCCCGATGGATGTCAGGAACCGGGTGTCTTTAAGGGCTCACATGGAGCTCGCGTTTCTCTACCGATCGCCCAAATCCAACCTGACAAAGTCTATGGAAGAGAACCTTGGAATACCAGAGGGACCCAGAGATGGAAAGTGCAGATGAAAGCTCGCAAGTCCACGTGCACGCAACAGTGGAAATCCAGAGGCCTTCTTTCTACGATCCGCAGGAACCGAGTGCAAGTGGACCTGCGGGAGGCCCGCGATACCACAAGGTCCGGAACTTGAGAGCGTCACGCTTTAACTAGGATGCGTTAGTCTCAGAATCCAGGTAGGATCCGATCGGGCCTTGTCTGTAGCCGATTCACGTGGGCCTTCCTGAGGTTACAGATTGGCGATCGTCAAGAATGCTTGATCCACCCCCCCCTGAGGAATCGCGCGGGGGCCCTGTTGGTCAAGCTTGCTAACCAGCTGCACCAACAAGACTGTCGGGTTGATGCGCTTGTCCGGTCGAATCCTCCGCTCAGTTTAGATCTCCAATTCCCGCTGTCTGCTGGCTTGGGACTTCGTGCCTTCCCATTATTTGTATAAAGACCCCGCGTCTCGCCATCGCTGCTCTTCCCCCCTTCACCACCCCTTATCATTATCTCCAATCGTTTTGTTAAGTTATGTCTTATTTCTTGGGAGCGGCCCTGGCTTTGATGCTCGGGAGCTCGCCGGCCTCCGCCAGCTCCCTGAGTGATATCGAGCATGTGGTGATTTTCATGCAGGAGAATCGCGCCTGGGATCATGTAGGTCTTTGAGATCCGGGCATCCTTGCAGGATAATAAACTCATATATCGCTAGTACTTTGGGTCGATGGCCGGTGTTCGTGGCTTCAACGACCCGAACGTGCAGATCAACAGCGATGGCCTCTCGGTCTATCACCAGTAAGACTTTCGGCGATCCTACGGAGCCCCACTTCATATTCTGACTTACTCTAGGATCGTGGACCCGGATATGTCCACCGATGCTCAGACTCTTCTTCCTTGGTATCTTGGATATGAAGGGGGAGACTCCGTCAATGCTATCCAGTGCATGGCTGCCGGTAGCAACGGCTATACTGAGAACCAAGCCGCTCTCAACGGCGATCTGAATAACCACTGGGCCCGCAACAACACCCCTTGGAGCTGGGGCTATTTGAAACGCTCCGACATTCCCATTCACTTTGCCATTGCGGAGGCGTGGACTTCCGGTGACATGTACCAGGTAGGACGCTCGATCCACAACCGGGAAACACACGGGGACTCATGATCATGTAGGAAAGTCAAATCACCGCTACTAACCCAAACCGTGTGACCTTAGTTAGCGGGTCCATCAACGTCCCAGGTGGGCCTCAGAATCCTAGCCAAGGCGGACCCTATATCGACAATAATGAAGTCCCCGGTAGGTTATTTTTTGCGCAAAAGGGGGAGAGATATGCCGATTAACAAGCTACTAGGATGCGAATCCGATGGCCAAAGCTGTTACCCGCTGAAGTGGAAGACTGTCTATGAATTCTACGAGGATGCGGGCGTTACTTGGCAGGTGTATCAGGACACCAACAACTTCGATGACAATCCTCTGGCATGGTTTCAACAGTTCCAGAAGGCTGGCAAGGGCTCACCTTTGGCCGATAAGGGAATGGCCTTCAACGGGCTTGAGTCTTTCTACGCTGCCGCTGCAAATGGTACCCTGCCCGAAGTCAGCTTCATCGTTGGCCCTGCTGAGCTTTCGGAGCACCCCTCCTACCAGCCCAAAGACGGTGCCTGGTTGCAGAAGAAGGTCGTCGATGCAGTCACTCAAAGTCCAAAGTACTCTTCCACTCTGCTTATGATTAGCTATGACGGTAAGCATATGAGTTTCTGGGCGCCTGTCTGATTCGGAAAAACTAACGCTTGGAAGAAACTGGTGGCTTTGGAGATCACGTCACTCCCTTCCACTCTCCCAGAGACACCCCTGGTGAGTGGATGGAAGATCCCCTTGGCATCTTCGGCGACATCTACTCTGGCCCGGGCTTCCGCGTCCCCTTCTACATTGTTTCTCCTTGGACCCGCGGCGGCCGTGTGTTTACCGAGCGCGCGGACCATAACTCGCAAATCCTGTTCGTGGAGCAATGGCTCCAGGCCCGTGGCTATAAGAACATTCAGACCGATCAAATGGTACCATGGCGCCGCGCCCACATGTCTAATCTGATCAATGCCTTGGACCTTGACCATGTACGTTTCCCCGTCCCTAGTTCATGCCGGGCAAAAGTACTGACACGCTGCAGCCCAACCTGGATATTCCGATAATCCCCGAAGCGGAGACCCCTGTTACCAACGACAACGGGGACTATGTCGGCTCTGCTCAGTGTCAGGCCAAGTACCCCACCCAACGGCCCACTGTCCCCTACGGACAGCAGGATAACTCCACCAACACCCTCTTCTTCGAGGATGGCTTCAAGGAGGTGGTTGGCTACCTCACCGAAGGCCGCTACCTGACCTTTGAGAAGAACTCCAAAGCTTTGGCTGCGTCCCGGTCAGACAGTGTTTCGGCTACCGATGCCACTCCCAAACACGATACCAAGTCTCAGCGCTGGGTGATCCATTACACCGAGGACGAAGAAAGCGAAATCTTCACCATCTCAAGTGCCTTCGACAACCGCTGGATCGGGGCCAAGGGCGCTCTGAGGGATGACGCCAGCGACGCCGCTCAGATCCGTACTTCATTCCTTGGTAACGGAAGCGGGTACACTCTGCAGTTTGTTGACGGAGGCGCCTACCTCGACATCAGCAGTGGTGGATTCGAGCTAGTTAGCAGCGACCAAGTCCCTAACCCGGGCTTTAAGGTCTTTAGTGTATCCTATCACGACTAATCTCTTTCTTTCCTGCGTTCCCTTCATGACTCGGACTTTGTGGGACCTACAATAGAACCACTATGACATACAACCTCAATCGCCCCGATTACTAGAGTAAATAGCTTGCATAGTTCAGACAACTTGGAATTGGAAAAAAAATCAAACCGCCATTTTATTGCTTTCGTAACTACATATGCGGATGTCTAGGATCATATATATGCAGGACTCCTAATCACCCAAGACATGCGCTAGTCATACCACCACTCCACATCTAGGCACGGATGGTGAAAGGCCCCGCAGCGTGGAATAAAGAAGGCATCTAATGGCAAGTCGTGAGCGAAAGAACTCAGTACACCAAATCGAGGGGGTAGGAAAAGGACGTACCTGGGGAGCGGTGGGCAGTTCAGTGCCGACTCTCAGATACCAGACATCGCCATCCTTAACCTTGGGGATGTGGGCAGGGATCTTGACATCAATGGCACCAGAGGAGCCGTCAACACCAGTAGCGATCTTGATCGACTGGTCGAAGTCGATGACGTCGCGGTTGCGAACGGGGTTGTTATACAGGAAGATGCTATATTTGTCGGCAGGGTACTTGGCCAGAGGGTCGGCGCAGTGGCTCGTGGGTTCGCGGTTAAAGCGCAGGTGCACAGTCTGGCCGGGAGTCAGAGTGGCGGAGTCGGGGATACCCTGGTAGACGTTCAAGCAGGAGTAGTCGCGCTTGCCCCATGCTTTGCTATTGTTAGCCGAGGACAAAGAGGATCGGGTCGGGGGGTTGTCAAGGCTGTTTGGGGTGTCTGTATAGTTCGGATGGACGAGGGAGTGGGGGGGGCTACTTACGCTGCCATTTGTCAAAGGCAGTCGCACTGGCGGCGAGGCAGGAGGTGAGGATAGCAGCGGAGATCTTCATGATGAGAGGGAATATAGAATGAGTTGAAAAACAAGAGCTTTGTGTTTGGACACGGAGGCAATTTATAGGCAGGGCCCGGATGGACCCCCCCAGCCATTGCGTCGGTGGAGAGACCTTCTTTTGCAGAACTCCGAGACGATGTCTCAGTTACTCTCCACATCTTCGATTTGATGATTTTCTTGGCAATAGAGTTGGACGTGGCGGTGGGGGATCGGCAGGGTCAGGTTTTCTAGCCGATTCGTTTCTATTTGGCCAAAACTCCCCTCCTGATCGGGCAGGCCGGTTGGTCCGATTGCGAACTGCCTCGTATTGCAGAAGAAGCTTTGTGTCTGAGTCTACCAGTTGATCGCATCGGTGCTCCTGGTGAGACCCCAAGCCTCGACGGGATGAGTGGAGTCTGGAGTCCGGCTGAATCCAAAAGGATCTACAACGGGCCAGACGCTACGATCCATCGGAGAAATTACTCAATGCACAAGGGGCGGCCTTCCGTGCTTGGGGAGTCTATTCTTAGCGACGAGAAAGAAACCCAAGACTTCTCCAACCGAGCACTCTCAGAGTGCAGGACCTCGTGACTGTCCCAGAAAGAGTTAGTCTTCAGCAGGAGGCAGAAACACGGAATCCCCTAACTTTGGGCGTCCCTGCTGGGGTATAAAGCATGATACATGCCAACAAGCCTCAGGCTCGATTTCAGTAGGTGGACAGTGAATGAAGAAAGGATTGATAGTTGACACAAAGAGGAAACTCAACGCCTATGAATCAAATTCACTGCTTTGTTCCTCACCTCATGCTCTTCGTACTAAATTTAGCTGTAAAGAACCTTGATAGATGAGAGAGAATAGATTCATAGAAGAAAGCGACCATCTCTCTCCCACTGGCAACGACTCTCCAGAACCTCACATTTCCCCGAATGTCGAAAATCTACGTGATCATCTTCCATTCTGCGGGATACGGAGACACTTGTCCGTGGGGAATCTACCTTGACTGTCCCCAGGCCATCCCCGTGCTCTATCAGATCTTTAAAGGCCCTGTCACGGGCAAATATGGCCTGAGGACGCCTTTCGCGCCAGTTTTGCGCCTGGCGGATATCAAAATATCCGTCCCTGTTGGTACACTGTCGCCCGCCAAAGGCCCCCAGCAGTTCACAGCTTTCATCCAGACCCAACCCATCCGAAATGGCCAGCAATGGAACGACCAATCATGGGTCCTGGACTGCTTAGAAGCCCTCAACCAAAGCCAATTTGTTTCCTGTTCCCCGTTGCCCTGCGGGTACTACTCGCCCATAAGGAGGTCATTTTCACCAATGGCTTTCGGCCAAGCGAAGGGCCGTGGTACGAGAAATGGGTGAGGAAAAGAGCAAAGCCGATCAAGTCGAAATGCTTCAAAGTCGAACGCACCCGAACCCAGGCGAAAATGACTGGGCTGATCTTCCGCGTCCAACTTCTCTACATCGTGTTGTCGGTTCTGTCAGCCATCAGCATTGCTGGCATCTTTACTGGTTCCTTCGAAATCGGCGGTGGGTCCCAAGTCCGCAGCAGCTGGACCGATCGAATGACAGTCGCAGTCGCCGGCGTCTGCTTCCGCCCCTTGACATGCCCCCTCTGATCATGAACGTGGCCCTGGGGGATGTTGGTCTGATGTGATGAACTGCTGGACCACGATGTCCTCGTCTGTTAAGCGGTCGGGCCGTATCGGCAGTTCCAAATCGCGCAATGGGTGCCTCACCTGCAAGTCAGTCCTCTTTTTCTTTTTCTTTTTCTTTTGGCTTGCGTGATGCTGATGTAAGATCTAGAGTTCGCCGTGTCCGTTGTGGAGAAGAAAAGCCATCCTGTTTGAAATGCACCAGTACCGGCAGACAGTGTACGTACCATGGAGTTGGGAGGGCCAGACAGGTCCCCACCCCGCAGAATCAGATCGCGTGGTCCTCAAATCAAGGATCGCGCGAAAGACGCGCCTTTGAATATTATTTCCACCAAGCCGGACCGTCCCTGTCAGGTGTTCTGGATCTTTCTTTTTGGAAGGGCTCAGTTTTACAGATTTGTCGCCTAGAGCCAGCGATCTGGGATGCCATAATCGCCCTCAGCTCGCTCTATGAGCGGCCCCCTATTTATGAAGCGTCGCCTGTACAGCTGCTGAATGATGCCGCGTCGGTCCAGCTCCCCCATCACCGTGAAGCCCTAGAATGGTACACCCGCTCCATGTCTGCGTTGCAGCGTCGGATCGATAATGGCGGCGCAGACCTGACCATCTCCTTAATCAGTTGCATCCTCTTTATTGCAATCGAGCTTCTTCAAGGAAATCGACAAGCTGCTTTAGCCCTCACGAGGGAGGGCGCCAAGATGATGACAAGCGTGACAACGGGGAATCCCTCGGGGCATGGCAGTATCACCGCTCATGGGTTTTTGCTCTCGGTGATCAAACCGATCTTTCGCCGGCTGAGCGCATGGGTCTACATCAAACAAGGCGGCAGAGCTGAGAACTGGGGCGTTGTACAAGCAATTCAGAACGAAAAGATTTCAACGCTCGTGGACGCCCGCAACGTGCTGTGTAGCATATCCGCCGAGATGAAAAGCTTCAATCTGGAGACAAAGCGGTACTGGTGTCGGCCGCCCCAGGATCGGTTACAAGAAGCACCAAGTCTGAATAGCCAAACAGGCGGAGATCCAAACCAGCTTGACCTCCTGGTATTCATCATTCCTGCTACTGTCGAGCGCATCAGGAACATCTGGTGATGATGGATTCCGAGCATACCTGCTCATGACCTACCTGGGGGTTTTCATCGAGATCCAAACATTGCTCGATCCAGACCAGGCGTCGTATGACGCATACGAAGCGGAATTCGCACAGATCATCAAACATGCCCCGATGGCGATCGAATCAACCCGAGATGCCGACGGGAAACAGCCGCCGTTCACGTTTGAAATGGGAGTCTTTTTTTCCGCTTTTCATAACGGCACTCAATTGCCGGATCCCTCATTTGCGCCGCCAAGCTTTACGTTTCTTGTGGGATGCTCCGCCTGCCCAGGGACTCTTTCTGTGCGGACCAGCAGCTAATATTGTTGCCATGGTTGTGGCGCTTGAAGAAGACCCAACGAGTATTGCCGATGATTCGGCAGTTAGAAAGATGCTTGCCAGCCCTGGGCGTGTTCCCCCATCAGAGAACCGGATCTGGGAATTCGGCGTTTTCACTGAACAGTCCATGAATGGGTCCGTCGAACTTCGATTACAAGTCACCCTACGAGATTACGAGTGCGAGGACGGGGAGGTTCGATTCAAACAGAAGATTCTACCTTTCCCGGGAATGCATTCTAGTCAACAGCGAAATTGTATTTGAGCATGCTAGTACTAGCGATATTTCTTAATTTAGCGGATCGCATATCTAGGTTAATGAATAATGAATCGAAGTCTCGACTTTATTAATTCTAAAAGGGTGAGAAGAAGAGTCTACCCGAAGATGTCTTGGCCTATGACCTGGATTTTTTAGGCTTGGGCAAGTGACAATCGTATTTCAAGGTCAAGTCCCAATTTTCAAATCAAATCCTGTTTGGTTCTGAATATAGATATCGGGCTTGAAGCACTGATTTTGCTGGTTCTGTTGTCCCAGAAATGATGTTCCGTTCGGGCTACCGCCCCGTTGACTGTCTTGCACCCGGAAGGTTTGTTTTCGACCTTTTGGAACTTGAAGGCCTATAGTGCCTTTGCTTGCGCGGCCTCGATTTTTTCCAAATAATGCTCTGCCAATATTAGTGCAGTTTTCAAACTTGGGGCATATACGACATACTTGCTGCTAGCCACCTCGTGCCCAAATGGCATAATAAAGCCTTCAGCGCTGGAATGGGAGATCGTGACTTGGCATTCTGTGATATCACAGGGACGCCAAGATAAAGCATCGCTGCCTTGTATAGGGAGTAAGATATGAATACCGAGAAAGCAGGCACACTGATTGGTAGAAACGAGCCCTTTCCTAGCGATATCTCCTGGATCAGAGATGTGAGAATGTTCAGAGACGTAGATACACATGCTTCATTGGCGCGATATACCGCGTCAATTCCTCGTTCCAGGAGATCAAGCATTGCACTATTCAAAGTCAGCTCTCATTCAAGTTGCCGGTCGGACCGTTCGATACTTGCCTTCTACAGATAGCTAAAGCGGGATCTGATAGAGGGTGAATAATCTTTTCATTATTTTGAAAGGTTGCTAAAAATGAGGTGATGTGAATGCCAATCTGGACTCCCTCTGCGCCACCCTCAAGGGAATTCTTCCCCGTTGCATGAAGATGCGTAATTGACTCATCCAATAGTTGAGATGCATGGGCTAATCGGGTGAATGGATCTAGTGATATGCTCCTGAGGCCTTCGGTGACCTAGATTGATGCTGGACATTAGCCGATAGAAAGAGTTTTGCTGAGCTGCTGCCAGCTTACTGTTTTATCGCTCACGAGATGCATATGTCTTGGGGCAACATTGGGGGCCTGTTCGCTTTCAAGCGTGGCGTATCTATAGTATTACGCTCGTTAGCTCGAAAATGCGCCCATGTAAAGATCGACTCGAGGGAACTTGGAAGTTCTGACCTGTTGGCAATGATGACACCGCGCCATGTTGACCATGCCTCTTCTGCCGACTGCGGGCCTCCAAAGCGCTTGGGATGGCCATCTTTCACTTCGGAAATCCCTAGTGCGGCTGCCGCATGCACAGTGGCCGCGGATGATATGTATGCAGCTGGATATATGCCATGGCCTATCTCAAATATGGTGAGTAGGAGACGCGCCTGGATTAAGTGGAGCGAGTTTTCCCCCAGTCCCTCCAAAAGCCCTATGAAGGCTTTTAAAGAAAAGTACAGTGAGTTTGCCGATGAGATTATTGAACCATTCATAGGCTCTGAGGTGACAAGAGCCATAGAGAGAATCAAAAGGCCCAAGTCAGATGGCGCAGAATGATTCCATACTCGCACATCCTTCAAGAGAGCGAAGTATTTCTCTTCCGAGATGATCGGAAACCATGTATGGACTGTTCTGAAATACTGAGCCGCTGCACTCTCTAGCTGCAGTCCGTCTCCTACAAGTCTGGAGACTTGTGTCTCAATAGTATGACTCAGATTGAATAGCGTAAGATCGGCCCAATTTGGCACCGACAAGAGGCGAGGTTTATCAGCCGGCCCAGGGTAGTAGCACTCCTTGTTCAAACTGGATCCATCAGCGTAGGCAGGTGGAGAAAGCAGAGCAGGACATACCGTTGACACAGACCACAAATGGGAGGCAGTTTATCGCACCTCCGTTTCTGTGTCCGGCAGCGCTGACAACTCTGGGTCGCGCAAGCGTCCATCTTCGTAGGTTGCAAGGCTCTGCGGATCATGGTGCGGGTGCTAACCAGTTTATACTGGGAGCGGCCTCCGTTGGGGGCCAACCATGTGCTTATAAGGCGACTCGGAGGAATTGAAGCCCGTTCAATACGTACCACAGCAGTCCATATTGCGTTTAGCGTCCGCATCCGCATCCGCACCCACTTGTATACGGGACGGAGGGTGCGTACCTTCCGCTAAAAAAAGCAGGGGTCTTTTCTGAGCGGAAGATATGATTTGTGAGGAAGCCTGGGAGCTTTAGTAGTATAAATAATGACAAAATACCTGGCCCTTTCAAGGGAATAAATCAGACAATCCTCAAAGTTCCAGCTAAACTTCCCTTCAAGTTGAATTCTTCAAGTCTTCATTGAACTATGGCTACCATTCATAATGTTGTCATTGCCGGAGTATGCGCACAACCCCATTTACAACTTTAACAAAGTAGATGACGCTAAAGCACACAATTGCTAGGCCACCGGAAACGTGGGTGCTCCCATACTCAAGGCACTCCTGGACAGCAAGCGCTTCAACATCACTATTTTAACTCGCAACACGTCCGACACTCAGCTCCCGGACTCGGTCACCGTCATCCGTGTGGATTACTCCTCCGTGGCCGACCTCACAGCTGCACTGACTGGCCGGGATGCCATTGTCTCGGCTCTAACTAGCCACGATATGAACGCACAAGCCTCTCTTCTTGATGCTGCTGTCGCAGCAGGTGTGAAGCGATTCATCCCTTCTGAATTTTCTGGCAATTGGGAAAATCCAAAAGCGATCACGTTGCCCGTTTACAAAACGCTTCATGACTTCCACAAGCTCATTCAGCAGAAGGCTCGCGAGAACCCGACCATGACCTACACCGCCGTCCGCAATGGTCCGTTCTTTGACTGGGCCCTCGCCCATGGGTTCTTTTTGAACTTGAAGGGAGACACAAGCCGGATATTCGATGGTGGCAACCAGCCCTTCACAGGCACGACCTTGGCTTCTGTTGGTCAGGCCGTTGTTGGGATCTTGACTCACCCGGAAGAAACAAAGAACCGTGCCGTTTTCATCAAGGATGTTGAGACCTCCCAGAATAGATTGTTGGATATTGCCAAGAAAATTGCGCCAGGGCGCGAATGGAACACCGAGGACGTGAACACTGCTGACGTGGCAGCTTATTCGCGCGAGCAATTTGCTTCTGGAAACATCGATCAGCACGCCGCACTGGGGTTCTTTGCTCGGGCCATCTTTGGAGAAGGATACGGAGGAGCGCTAGATGGACGGGACAACGAATTACTTGGGGTCAAAGTCACGACTGATGCAGGGGTAGAAGCGATTCTGAAGGAAGTTCTCTCTGGTAGCTCCTAGAGTGATGATCTCTATGTCGTGAGTTCTATAGGGTTACTCGTCATAAGGCCGTCAATACACTCATAGCCAATTTGTGGGATTCAACACCTCCTTCCCCGGATGGTTCGTTTTAGGGTTTGCTACCTTGCTATAGCCCACGCCCGGCAAGAGAGGATTTAGACCTGGTGACTATTGGTAGCAAATGGGGAAACGCAATTGCGAACACGTAATCAATTCTCTACTATCTATCATTGCATATCATCAAAGATCGATCTCACAGATGGACAAATGAAAAGCGACGAAGCACGAGGCACATGCAGTACCACGCTTACATACAGTAATTTACCCCACCTGCATTGCACCCCTCATGCCCTCCCAACTTCTTTCTTCAACCTCGCACCAGCGAGAATTGCATAAAAGACATCAAGGCTTTCTCAAAAATCTGCGTCCTTAGCGCATCCTAGCAATCTTGCTAGGCACAGTATAACTGGCCCCGGATCCACCTGATTCCGGGGTTGGCCGCGCTGGATTGGCCCGCTTTCCACGCTCTAATAGGCTCACCAAGAGATCAAACTTCCCATGGCACCAACAAGCAAAGAGAGGAACGCATATCAGGCCTATCTAGACTTCCCTCATGCGGCACGAAGGTCACATATGCTCGTCTCCGCAGCCGGCAAGAATTTAGAGACCGACTGCGCCATAGCCGATATATCCGCTTTACGCGAGCCCTTACGCGACAAATCTGGCACTCTGGGTGCGCCTGTGTGCATATTCAACATGCCGCTGGTCCATGCCTCGGGAAATACATTCGTATTGGTATGATGTGTTTTTTTTTTTTTGCTTTTTAGAAATGCTTATCTCGCCTACGCAAAAATCGGAACACTTGCGACGCCCTATTCTGGAACAGCTCTCGGGAAAATATGGAGCCTTTCAGTGCCCGAAAACGAGCTCTCGTATGATCTGTTGGTAACTGAGGCGTATTGATTTGCGGCATGCGGATGCCACATTCGCCAGGCAATCATCACATGAGACGATAAGCGCATTTGGGGCGTTTTTTTTATTTTCTTGCCACATTTGCCTTAATCCTGCTGCTGGGTATTGCAATCGCAATTGATAATCCACACAGGCATGCGCCTTCTTTGTTCCCGTGTTGCAGAATTCCATACCGACAGAAATTGGGTGGCTGACTGGCTTTGGTCGACTCGTGTGCCTATCTGCTAAAAACGGCTTCGCTTGTCGACCCGCGGGGTCCCAGACTTACTTCCCCCCCACCTCCAACCTTCACGTCAACCTGGTTGGTCTTCCCAACACCCTTATCAAGAGGGTCCCAAGCTTTGAATCCTTCCACGCGCCCCTGAAAGTGGTCTCGTGACCGTCCAACCGTCGCAGACCGATTTCCTATCCCGCGGGCCATATCAAGAGGCGACCCCGCCCCCCCTCTGCGCAGGTATGCCGTCGCATGAGGATCGTCAAAACGCTGATCCAGGTAAGCATTTCCGAACTCTAATCCCGGCTAGGTACCAGTGTTCCTCTGCTACATCTCCCTAAACACAAATCCCTGTGCCTCTTTATCCTAGCTTGTCCCTTGCTCCGCAAAGTCGCTTCCTTATCGTCCTGCAAACGCGACATCGGAGGTGGCTGTGACGTCCACATTTCCCTCAGAACACTTTATCTTACGTTCCATTTTGGCCAATGGATTTCGATCATTCCTGACCGCAATTATCATTAGACTCCCCACCTATCACGCGAACGAGTTTGGATTCTGCTGCCGCGCGAAAGCCCTTGAGTTCAAGTGCGTCCAGTCCTGCACCTGCACCAGACGCCCCGCCCATAAAACAGTACCGAGCCCCTATCGCGAAGGTGACGGCGCGCCCTCCAAGTTTCCCCAACCAAATGTCTTCTTCAACCGTCGTCACTCAGTCCTCCGGTTCAAGCATCAAGCTGGATGCCTCCTCCGCCATTGAGGACGATAACATGGCCAAGAGCGATAAGCCAGACGACGATGCTCAGCCGAACCTGCTCCAGCAAGTCTACGACTGGCTAGAACACGAGAAATCAAGGCGCAAGGTTAGCAAGGCACGACGAGCCGAGGCAACTGCTAGTCAAGCTTCTGAGGATGAAGATCGACCAGTCGAAGGGACCTCATCTTCTGGAAGTTCTTTCTCACTTGACAAGTTGGAAAAGATCCTCCTGCAATATGGTGGTCCGCAGAACCAGAAAGCACACTCCCTCTATTTCAACCCACTAAGCGCCTAAACCGTCGCCGTCCCAAGGGTCTTCGGCGTGGTTCAGCCTCTGAGTCTGACTACACAGATGTTGAGGCCCCGGTTCCTGGCGTTGAATCCTTCCTCGACAATTCGAAAACCCTAGCCTATCCCTCGAGTAGTGCTGCAGATGATGATATCGCCGCTGCTGACTCCAATCCCAAACGCGCCAAAGATCGGGAGGCCTGGTTAATCTTTAAGACTGATATTCTGCGTCTGACGCATACGCTTCAATTAAGAGGCTGGCGTAAATTGTCTATGGATGCGGCCCAGGATATGGAGGTCATCCGACTGAGCGGCGCCTTGACAAACGCTGTCTACGTAGTGAAACCGCCAAAGACTACCCCTGCGTCTAAAACCGAGAACGGCCATGCCCCTTTGAAATCGACCAAGCCCCCGCCGTAAGTGATTGCATGGATTACTTCTTCGTTTTGCCAAAGAAGTAACTAACAGGAACTCTATAGGAAGCTCTTGCTTCGCGTCTATGGACCCCAAGTAGACCATCTGATCGACCGCGAGAAGGAATTGCAGATTCTTCGCCGCCTGGGCCGCCGGAATATCGGTCCTCGAGTCCTTGGAACTTTCAAGAACGGCCGATTTGAAGAATTTTTCGAAGCCCGCACCCTGACCCCCAAGGACCTGCGGATACCCGAAACCGCCAAGCAAATCGCCAAGCGCATGCGAGAACTTCACGATGGGATGGAGCTCCTGGAGGAAGAGCGCGAGGGCGGTCCGGTTGTCTTCAGCAATTGGGACAAATGGGTAGACCGCTGCTCGCAGGTGGGTGCGTGGTTGGACAAAGAGGTCACCATTCCAGTGAGCGACGCCAAAGCCGCCGCAGACCCGTGGCGCAGACGAGGGTACGTCTGCGGTACGCCATGGAATCAATTCCGTAAAACCGTGGAACGGTACAGGGAATGGATCATTGCCAACTACGGTGGGATGGATGAAATCAAGCGCCAGCTTGTTTTCGCCCATAACGACGTATGTATCCAAATCATTGCGCATGCCTGATAAGTTTTCGGGAGTGCTAACGCTTGAGCAGACTCAATACGGTAACCTCCTACGCCTGGAGCCAGCCTCAGAGTCGCCGCTTCTTCTCCCAGCGAACGAACACAAGCAGCTTGTGGTTATCGATTTTGAATACTCATCAGCAAACACGGCTGGACTGGAGTTTGCGAACCATTTTGTAAGCTCATTTCATAGTTACTCACCGTGTCTCGATGAAATGCAATGCTAACAACGTCAACAGACCGAATGGTGCTACAATTACCATGACGAGGAAAAGTCCTGGGCATGCAACACTCGCCTCTACCCCACCCCAGAAGAGCAACGACGCTTCATCAAGACCTACGTGAACCACCGCCCCGCTTTAGGCGGCGGTGTCAATTCCCCGCTTGCCACGCCCTCATTGAGAGCTGGCGGAGGGAGCAGCGTTACTCCATTCACTCTGGACGACTGCTCATCTACTTGGCAGCAGGCGGAGAAGGCCGCAGAGGAGGAGGTCGACGCGGAGGTTCGCAATCTCCTGGGCCAAACCCGGATGTGGCGTGCTATGAACTCGGCTCTTTGGATTGCTTGGGCATTGTGCAATTCAAATATCCCGGCATGGAAGAGGAAATCGCTGCCGCCAATGGGGACTCTGTACAGAACCAGCAGAACGGAGATGGGGGCCACAAAGTCCCACCTGTGGACGTAGACGTCGACGAAGAGGACGGATTCGACTACCTGGCCTATGCCCAGGACCGAGCCATGTTCTTCTGGTCGGACATTCTTGCGCTTGGGCTCATTGACCCTGAAGAGCTACCGAAGCCCATGGTGGAACACCTTCGCACGCGGATGATTGAATACTGAGATTCGACACCTACAAGTGAAGAGGGCCTTTTGGTTTTTTTTGGTTTTTTTTTTTCATGCCGCTCGTCAATGCCTTTACGACTGGGACGCCGTGTACATACCCCCATTTCGGTTGTTGTAGATCGCTAGTTTGAATATCCTGAAATTCCATTTACTGACGTAAGTCTTTTGCATATCGTTATCGTTTCCATACCTAGTATCTGTGAATGGGTATCTTCGACAGGATTTGTAGAAGGCAAACCTATAAGGCCCGGCGCACTGCCAAGATCAAGAGAGGGTGAGAGAAAGAGAGAGAGTGAGTGAAACGCTAACCAGGAAGATCCAACCACACCCAACTAGCATCTTATCTGCGCATCTCCAATTTCTTCCTGGTCTCCTTCTTCGCCGCCTCCACCCACTCCTCATATGCCTTCCCAGATGGATCCTGCCCATCCTTCATCCTCACCACCCCCTTCATCATCTCACCAATAAACCCCACGAAATTCCACCTCCGCAGCGTATTTTCCCACTGCCACGCAGCCCTCTTCCTCTCCTCTCGCTCCAACGTCTCCGTATCCCCAATCTCCCTCGCGTGGACCCTCGGATCCCTCACAACCGCCATCAGATTGAACGCCGTCTCCCCAGCCGGATACCTCGCAATGCGCTTCTGCAAAACCTCAATAACCTTCTCCGGGAACGCCGCACTATCGCACGGCCCGTGGCTGATCGGATGCGGCTGCAACCCGTCAAGCTCGTACAGCGTGCCGTTCACGGGCGTATAGGCAATGAAATGGTAGACATCCGCCGCATTCTCCTCGTCCGGCGGCCGGGCCGTCTCGTCCGCGAACGGGCTCGCCTTTGCGAACGCGTTGTGCGCGGAGCGAATCGCCTCCGAGTTGGAGAGGGCCTCGCCGCGCAGCTCGGGTGGGAAACCGGTCGTGAAGTCCTTGAAGGAGCGCAGTTCGGGCCCCAGCTCGATGGGCGTGGGCGCCGGGTCGTGGTTCAGGATCACGGAGAGGATGGCCTGTGTGCCGCAGGCGTTCTGGATCGTTTGCGCCGCGAAGAAGAGCCCGTTTTCGGTCGCGTTCGGGTCGTAGGTGCCGTCTAGTGGTGCTTCGGCGCCGGCGCCGGTTGCTTCACGCGTCCATTTGAAGAGGAAGATTACGCCGTAGACGGGGCTGGAAGGAGGGCGGGGGGAACCTTTTGTGAGTCTAGGGTTGTAATTGGGGGGGGGGGAGCTTTGGGGATGTTTTGGGTTTGTACCTTAAGGATCGAATGGTGTCTGCGTCTAGAGAAATGAGTTCTTCGAATTGGACGTCTTTCACGCCGAGGGTCTCGATCAGAGAGGTGAAGACACCCTTTAGTTTCGAGTTAGCGGTGGTGCTGTTTTCGGGTGGGGAGGTTTTGTTATGTGTTTTACCTCGTCTGACTCGATCGTGCTCCAGCCACCTGCATCGGCCATTTTCAGGTGGTATTGAGGTCGGAGTAATGGACAGTTTGAGAAGATGGTGATCGAGTTTGGTGGTGAGAGATATGAAGCTATGACATAATATTTGTGTCCCTTGGCACTAACCCCAATACGGAAAAAAAAGTATGCAAATGGCCGTTTTTTAGGGCTGATATCTACCAAGGGTGCAAATTATAACAATATTGGCTCTTTTATCAGCTTGACGAGTTGTCTTCGTGTCAATCAAATATCGTCAGTCTCTCGCCCCAAGCCCTAGGTAATACCAGAGGAATGTAAGGGATCCTGATGGTCTAGCCTGATATTTGCACGCGACATCCATTGTCGAGACGAGAAGATCTACGAGCTCTGGATCCGAGGAGTGGCTTCCGGAGAGACCTTCATATCCCATAGCTTGCAAGACACAACTGGTTACTAGCTTCGCGGGAGCCATTTGCATTAGCACAAGAGCTAAAAGTGGATATAATACGAACGACCGCCTTAGGCTTTTGCCGAATACGAGGACGGGCCGTCCAACGGGATTTGTAGTTTATTCTGATCCCGCTTTGCCCCCGCGCTCTTCTGCTCTCCTGGCCTCGTGGCGTGGAGGCCTAGATTTGGAGAAAGGGACCCCACCATAGATTGGTCGATTCAGGTACCCGGGGAATTGAGTCGCTAGAGAAAGCGTTTCGAGGCAAGCTTTCTTATAACATCCTTAGCCAAGAGTATAGTACAAAAAAAAAGGTATATGAATTGTACTCCCAAGACCAAGAATTACAGAGTGTCGAATTAAATTGTTTGGAGACAGATACGAGCGTTCATCCCATAGTGTAGAACAATAGCGCCAGAGAAAAAGAAATCCGTGATCGTAACTCCATCGTTGATAGCGTCAACAGGAGGGGTATTTCGCGCGCCAAATCCAGATTCCTAAACATAATTCAATCACAAAAATATTACAGCGCCTTAAACCAAACCCAGGGCTAATTATGACCAGCAAGCCTCAGGGGGAACCATGCCTGGTATATCGAAGTGATGTGCTTGAGAATAGACCTCCATACCAAGGCCGAGAGACCCACCCGTGCGGGGAATATCAGCACAGACGGCCTCGTTCGGATGAGGATGAGTATATGTAGATGGTTGTGGGAGAGAAACCAAGTGCCTGGGGTCTGATAAACCAAGTTGCTGGTCATGTGGTTCGAGGAGTTGGGGCGACGGCGGATAGAGGTTATGCTGAGGAGCAGCGGTGACATAACCCTCAGCGAGTTGGAATGGCGAACCAGCCACTGTGACAGCGGGAGGTGATTGGAGCGGGGGAGTATAGGCTGCATAAGACGGAGAGGCGGACGCGGGTGACGAGGAAGAGGCCGGGGGGTATTCGGGGAGACCATGAAATGGGCTTGGCGGGGCAGGAGAGTAATGTTCAACCGAGGAGCGAGGGGACCAAGGCAGACGGCTGCGATATCGAGCAACAATGTGCTGGGGCAAGTCCATCAGGCTCAAGCCTAAGCGCAGATCTGCGTTGAATGGATCTGCCGCACTGTGGGCGGCGAGAATCCGGGACATTTCCTCGATCGGGGCGACAGATAAAGCGGCCAAGTAGGCGCCGCCGGTCTCGGGGATGAAACGGTCCAGGATGATGGCTGCACCGAAGAATTGTGAAAGGATTGGCAAGGCCATGAGGTCGCAGTCGGGGCCATGCAGCATGGCAGTGGGGAGCCAGAAAAGCCAGCGTCGCAGAACTTGAACCCGCTCGAAGTTCTGTTCGGCCGGGTGAGTGGTGAACTCGTCATGGAATTTTCGGAGGTATTCGATCAACTCGCCCAGTTTCTGCGAGTGCTCTGAGATGTGTGACACCCGCCTTTGCATGACTTGGATGGCACGGATGGTTTGGTCTAGTTGGTGCACATCATCCTCCAGGGAGAGCGGGAAGTCGGGGCCGGAGGCGCTCAATGCACGCTGGGCTTCCACAAGTTGGGTCAGCTCTGACTCTTGTTTCCAGAACGGATGCATGGATTCGATGATAGAGGAGATTCCCTGTTGCAATGATACCCAGCTTTGCCTAGAAAGTGAAGTCAGCATCTTGATACGTCGATGGTCTTGGGGCGGGGGCCGTAGTCTTACCGCTCAGTTGCTTGCCATGACAGAAGAACAGAGGCCGCTAGGACAGCCTCACAGTTATCCTTGGAGAACGAAGTGATGGCTGTTTGAAGGCCTTGGAATGCGGTGACTTTGTGATGATAAGCTACTTGCTTGTTCTCTTGGTCTCCGGTGAGGAAGGCTAAATGGAATGATGATAATGCCAGAATGGAACTCATGACGAAGTCGTTCGATAATGCGATGGCAAGGAAGCTAGGTTTTCGAACATTAACGACGACCATCGACAGGTAGATGGGATGAAAAAAAAAAGAAAAAGAAAAAAAAGAAAAAAGAAAAGAAAAAAGAAAAAACTTACTTGGGCATCTTATGTGCCCACACGGTACAGCTGCTGAGTCCGCGCCGATGTAGGTCGATGGAGACGCCGACGATATGATGGACCAAGCGCAAATCGGCCCGCGGAAGCTTCGTCCACCCTGACAGAGGGCATTGCATCAGCTCCGGGAAAGGAGGTATTCCCGTGCGATGCCAATTGTCGATCTCCATCTCGATTTCGGGCGTCATCAGCAGATCGGGCCCACGGCCGACGGTTGGCGAAGTGGTCTGCACAGTGGTATCCTGATAATCGCAGCGGCAATTGTGCTTGGTACAGTTGCGACTGCATCCCAACTGGTTAGCTGATTGCGTAACAGAGGAAGGAGAGATAGCTAGGCGTACCATTGAGGGAACGTCTCGTCGCATCGGATATGGCGCCTCTTGCACGTCTTGCAGCCATTGCGGGATTTGGTGTGGCTCTTGCGGGGAGGCCCGCCGCCTGGACCAGCCATCCTGCCCGGCTTTCTTACTCGCGGTGTGCCACTCTTCGGAGGGGTTGGCATAGAAGCGTGGAGGGGTAATCGCGACCCCGGCTGGTTCAGCACCGATAGGAAGGGAATTTCAGGTCAAAACTCGCAGTTGAGCCAAGTCGAACGACCAGGAGAGGGTTCAACTCGAAGGACAACGGCGGTCGTTCCCACACGTGGGCAATACGAGGCCTTGCGGTACCGGCAGTTGCACTCAGGGCCCTGGGTCCTATACGTTGCGGAGGACTCACATATAGATCTAGACTGCAGAGAAGAGGGCGGGCGAGACTATTTAGAGGATGAAAGAGTCGACCATTGGAAATGAGGACCGATGAGCCTGGATCGCCGTTGATAGGAATGACAACGGTTCGGACAAGTCAGCTGCAAAATGGGAAATAAATAATAGCTGAAGGTAATAAAATTGGGATTATTATGATTGTTTTAAAATGATGCCGGAAAAAAAAAAAGACAAAAGAGAAAAGAAAAAGAGAAAAAGAACTCTTTCCGGAATAGGACCCCCAAGCTACAGATGCGAAAATCCCAATAATTGCAGAGGCGTATAATTAGAAAGCGCAGGGTCATTTCTCCCAGTGAGGGTGGTGCATTTGAGCCTCCCTCGTCCAGGATAACCCCGTTCAGCTCCCAGCCAATGCAGACGGGTGGACCGCATACCTCGGGTCACGAAGAGTCTAAATTATGGGCGCTAGACAGCTTCCTGGTTTGGTTTAGTCGGATCCAGAGATCTCTTCGACTGGCTTTCCCGCGCGGCATTGGGAGGTCTCTATTTTGGTGCTGGAAGCGTCGGATCAAGATCTGCTAGATCGTTTTGGTTCGGGAACTTGGCGTGGGGAGGCATTCAGCCAAGCGGAGGCACAGCACGCAATCGTCCAATGGATTCACCGGGGAGGGCAATTTGGCGCTGATTCTGGCTCTCATTTGGTCCTGGAAGTGGGCTTTTGCCCACTCTTTTTGCTTTGCATCCAAACCAGCGAATGAAGGCGCGAGGGCATGTCATCGCGTTATTCCCGATCGCTCTTCCTGAGACCTGAAGGGAGAAGAGGGATCGGCTGTACTTTTTTTTTTTTCACTTTTCCCTTTGCTTTTTTCTCTTCCGAGGATTCATCTTGCTTTATTCGCTACCAGCTAAATCCCTGTTCGTAGGCCAAAGAGGGAGCCGCGCCACGATCGCCCGCGATCGCAAGGACCCTTGGTGGATCATAAACGTCAGGGAGTCTCTCCCCATGGCCCAGACTAGCCCCGTGGGTCAAAGGCTTGACAGGCGGAGAAGCCCCCCCGTTTCGACCCGCCAGGACCCGCCAGACGCGGGACGAGGGACAAACTCGGTAATGACAACCGAACGTGCATATTTAGTGCCCATCCGGGGCGCTATCCTTCGATGGTTCATGGGCGTAGTACAAGTACGGCTTTGGGTCTACCAGGGATTCCCTTTCCTTTGGACCCAAGCGGCTGGAAAAGAACCAGGTTTGAATGGTTCTCATCTGGACTGGAATTCCGGAATACTGGAATCCTGGAATACTGGAATACTGACTAGATTGGTGGGGAGGAATAATTGCCTGTGCGGTCCATAGGGGTAGGGGGGGGGGCCGCGGCTGCTGGGCTGAAAAGGGGAAATGAACAGGGTATCCAGACAGGGGTAAGGGTAGTTCGACTGGCAAGGTTGCTGCAGGGTTCCCCTATCCTGAGGATCTGAGTATAGGAAGCGACTGGGGAACGAACGCTTTCAGCCACGGTGGGACAGGGAAACGATAGCCTCGATTGCCATCCAAGAGCAACCCGAAGGAATGGGTCGCCATGAAGAATGTCTACCTCTCTGCAAGGTTATGTCACCGTCGCACATCGTGATGACCGCCAGTTTCAGCCCTTTCTTTGAACCCTGACAACCACGTTTTTCCTGGGGTCTGCCCCTGCCACTCGGTAGCGTATCCCTTAGTCGGTATGGCCTCGTGCAGATATGCATGCAGCATGCAGCATGCAGGACGGTTCAGCTGGGAAACGAGAGCCTCTGAATCGTCAGATAGCTTTCTCTCCCCTGTACGGAGTAGAGTAAGCCACCAAGACAGGTCGCAATCTACCCAGGTAATAGGACACCCCTGTCACTACACGTGGCTCCACGATCGCCTAGTTTCCAAGGTGCCTATCACTCGCATCGTCACGCCTTTCCGGCAGTACCTAAGCCACGCCAATCTTCCCAGGCCCTCGGGGCTCCTAGTCTCTTGGGGCGGAAGCTGCTCCCACTTCCGGGCGGATGAGGATCGGAGGATCTCGTCGGGAACCATGGCCATCGACTAGGCCGGATTTGCTCGGTCTCCTCCACATGGCGTACCAAGTGGGTAAGCCCAGCGGTGGATCTCCTCTCAGCAACCAATCTGGCCGCCGCATGTCTCGCGACATAAAGCCTGAAAAGGTTTAGAAGGCCCAGCATTGGGGGCCGACCTGACAAGTTCACGCTTGTTTTGCCTTTGATTGACGTGATTTCCCACAGCACCACAGTCGATGAAAACGAGACGGGGATTTCCGTTCGGCTCTTGATCGACCTTACGACTCTTTATCCTCCTGGACTTGAAGACATGAAGATGACATGTGGGATTACCCAGGCATGGCCAGTCGACCGTGACGCTACCCCAGACCCAAGAAACAATCAGTTCTGCTGTTCCAAATCGTCGGGCCTTCCAAGAAAAGACGTGACCGCACCCGAGCACGGACCAGCTCACTAACCTAGTTCAGAACGCCCGTATGAGGCCATTCTAGACGCGTGGGGCATATTAGACGTCGATCATGGCGAGACAATCAAGATCTGGAAAGCGGATTCCTATCCTCTTCTGTGGAGTACCAGCCCATTGGTTTAAGTTGGGCCTGGAGGGGCGAGAGTTGCTGGCTGTCGATCTATATTTCACCCGCGGGTTTCAGATTCCCACTAGACTGAAACCAGCTTAGAAGATGCAGCGTCCAAACGCCAAAAGGTCACCTGGAACCAGCTCCTTCCGGTGGAGACCAGGGATTCGGATTCAACCTCCGCGGCACGAGAAGAAGCAAAAAGAAACCTGACTATTACGCGTCCAGACTCGTCCAGTGGAGACCTGGACAAGTGGAAACCGTTGGGGGGGTGCCAGACGTGGGAACTAGGGAACCCAGCCATGCGCAACCCGCCAACACCTGTCCTTAGGGTCCTTAGCGTCAACCTTCTTCGACTCAAAGTTCCGAAGCTTATAGATCTTGGTCGTGTCCATAGTTTGCCCAGCACAGCCCAACCCCCAAGAGGCTTTAAGCCGCTGCCAGCGCCATTGCCGTCCCGTGCAGGAAACCATACCCTAGGTAATGAGGCTGCCGAGCAAATAAGAAACAAGGCCGCACAATGTAAGGTACAGGTGAGCCTAGGGGAGATCTAATAATTCCCTAAATTCCCCGTCATCATGAAAACAAGATGATGCAGAGACAGCGCGCCCCCCCCCCGCTAGCCAGGAAGGCGCCCGATCTACCATCTCCACTTATCGATGTCATGAGGAGGCGACCAAGAGCCAACTTAGTCTACGAACTTTTCTTGCGTAATCTTCCACGGTCAACCCATGGACCTCTTACCCAGGTATCTGATCTAGTGCGCCCTAAACGCAAATCGTAGACTCAACAGACAACACCGCTCTTCCTTCGTGCTGAAACTGTGCTATGCGCATCAGGTCGCACGGTCCCTGTCAAAGATAATAGCGCGCGCCACGACAGATAGATCGCATCGCTCGCTCAGCCGATCAAGCCTCCTGTGCAACAATGGGCTTCCAAAGGGCATCCACCAACATCCAGCTCAAGAACAGACACATTCTGACGGCCTATTGCCGCCCGAGCGGAGAATCGACCGAAATGGATCTAGATCAAACCCTAGGCTGTAGAAAAAAGGTAAGCCAAGCAATCCCCCCCCTCAAGAGCCCCCAAGGCAACTCGAAGAATTCCCCCAAGAGGCAAAGCGCACCAAAGGAGAGAGCCTTGCGCTAGTAATTCGCTTCCATCAAATATCACCTATAGACGGAAAAAAAAAAGACGAAAAGGACCCCACTCGAGGATCTACCCTTGCCCAAGCCTACATATGTGAGAACTGCTGATGACTGGCCCGGGAGATAGGCAAATTTGCATGGAGCGCCGAGCACTGATCTCCAAGAGCGCCGCCAACGTCGATCTGCAAATGGAGGGGCCCGCATAGAGCAACCCATTCTCTCCGCGGAGCTAGCAAGCGGCGACGGTGGACACAACATCGCGAAGGTGGAATCTGGCAGCTTGTATCAAGAACGAGGATGGAAATCTAGCCTACATGCAGTGTCTAGCCTACGTGCAGTTTTTTCCAGGAACTTCGAATTGAAATACTACGCCCTGATACCAGTATGGAGACGGGAAGAGCAGTTGGAAAAATTCACAGCGGGGACGTGGCTCTCACCGGAATATACAACCTTGCTGCGCCCTATTCGCCATATGGTTCTGACGAAACCACCTATAGATGGGCTCGAATTGCCTGATTCGGCATGTAGCCATTTTGACCCTCCCCCCCCCCAATCAATTTTCCTCCGATAACCTGGGCTGGCCGTACGCTCGTTTGTCTAGAGGCCATGCATCTCTGAAACCGTGACACTGCAGCTGGGGCTGAAAGTCAGCACTACGACTTCTCTCAACTGGAAGATCCTTTTTGCAATCAGAGTTTTACGAGCTGTAACCCCTGATCACCATTAGGCATTGCGGAAGGGGGGGGGAGTAACCCTACCCTCCATGTGCTGGGGTATATCTGACGATCTCGTGTCAGGCCACGCAGGCTCTTCACAGTATAGCGGATACAAGCGGATTTCCTCCCGGTCTCTGCCAAGGAGTCCGCGGTGCCCAGGTGTTTACGGCGGAATCTCCCGATGGCACTTGGCAGTGAGATCCCTAAAACTGAGTCAGAGAGTGTGGGCTAGAGGGTATTCGAGGCAGACTTCGTGAAAAGTAGCAGAAAGAGGAAAGGCTCGTGGCCTTTAGTGGCGGGCCAATTGAGAAAGGGAACCCCCCCTAAGGTTGGGCTCCCGGGCGTCAAACAAGCCAGCCGATGCACATCTGGTCATGCGTCGAGACAGGGCTGGGCGTTTTCTACCCGCCTTGCCAAGTGCGGGCATTCTACAAAAGCGGGATAGAAAGCGCCTCATACCGCCTTATGAGGTGGCACTGCCGGGGACGTGGAGGCATGCATCGAGACGTGCGCTAACTATAACGGGAACAGGAAATCCGGGCTTCGGAGCCTTAGAACATAGAGAGTATGTGCAGGTTCACATAGGACTACCTAATAAGTGAATAGGAAATCTATCTAATCTATCTATCAAGGGGGGAAATAAAGCGGGGTCAGGAAGCAGGCCAGCGCCCACTTGAACCTGGGTCTGATATCAACAGTGCAAAGAAGAATGGTAAAAGGCGGGGGAGAGAGTGTCACATGATATCAAGAAGCCCTGCCCATCATCATCACGTCTTAAGATCCAGAAACACGTTGCTGGTTCCTGCTTTGACCTCTGATCCTCCTCTTCTTTCCCTCTCTTGCGTGCAAAAGTATAATGCAATGTGGAACGCTATCGGAGCAGAAACTAGGACGGGGGAAGAAAAAGAGAAATGAGAGATAAGAGAAAAACGCCCATTGAAAACCCCAGATATTGCATTGATATTGACCTCATTAATCCTTTTTTTTTCTCGTTACATCCCCTAGGTTCATTCCTCCTTTTGCATGCAAAGGTCATTGTGGATGAGAGCAAGTCTGGAGAGGGGAAAGAGGAAAACGCTGAAGACAGAAACAGTATGACAGAAAGTGGTCCAACGGCAGGGAGCCAAGCTTGGCTTGCACAGCCAAGGCTCCTCTACTGGGACGAGCAGGGAAGGTCTAGGGCCTCCATCCCAAATCCAAGTCCTTAAGATGAAAGGCTAAAAGGCTGTCGCTGCGTAGAACTGAAGACCTCCGGCATCCGACATTTAGACTTGCCAGACGGTTCGTAGCTTGGTAGCCACGTGAGAGGGCAACTGAGAGAGGAAAGAATCGAAGTTGGGTATCATGGTTTTGTAGCCTTGCAAGACTTGTTGACATGAAAGCTGGATATCCCGGTATTCATCCTGTTGGAGAGACCGGCTAGGGAACGAGGCGATGACTTCAAAAAATTCGCCAAGGCTCGACTCCATCGCTTGGGGATTCTTCATGACCACTTGGTTGAAGCCAAGGAAGCCAGATGCCTTCTCACGGCCAAACTCAATCTTCTTCATGGATTTCAAGAATGGACCGGCGTAAGAACTCAGGAGAGGCGCCATCTGGTCGGGCAGCAGAGACCCAAACGGCCGAGGGCGATGGCAGCGTTTTCGTTGACAGAGTCAATGATTTCCTCGTTGCTCATGATGACCAGAAGCCCTTGGTAGAGTTTCTCGATATGAGGAGCCAACGGAGCTTTCTCATTCACTGCAATCTCTCCACATGACCAGCAGGCATTGTTAAGTACGCTGAACCCAGTGTGTCGATCGTCATCACGGATCGAATCCAGATCAAGTTGCTTGATCAGCGCGGGTAGAATAGACGGGATATGGGGCTCCAGGTAAGGGAAGATGCTAATGGCACAGTCACCCAGGAGAGCATATGAGGACTGGCGCACTTCGTAGTTCTGGTCTTGCATACAGTAGACAAGGAGGTCGAAGAAGGAGGGTTGTGACTGGGCCACAAGCTCGCCACTCTTCTGAGGGTCGATGGCTTGGATGATCGCACTAAGGAGGTCGATACTGGTCACCAAGAAGTCCTTATCAGGTTCTTCCAATGTAGGGTTTTGTAAGGCCGCGATGGAGTCTTGAATATTCTGGTAAATAATCTTGATGCATCGCTGGAAAATTGGAGGCGCAAATGGCGCGAAGGCGTCACCATAAGCAGCAGAGATGTAGCCTAGACATTCCAGCAACGGGAAAATCTCTCGTGATTGGTCGGTAACCTGGTTGTATCGGTTCACGAGCGCAGGCATCAGAATGTCAACCAAATGAGGCTTGGCTAATTCGTTCATCACACACTCGGCAAGGGTCTGCACACAATCGTAGAGGATGTACATGTTCCTGTCCTTGTATTTCCCGAAGCATTGAACAAATTGGCGAAGAATAGGCTCACAGTAGGGGATCAGGTTGTCATCAGATTTCTCCTCCAAGCTTGCGAATGCAGATGCAGCAGCTTCTTGGACTTTCTTGTTGTTGTCAAGCATGCGGTGCAGAATACCTTCCATCATCGGTTCAAAAAACTGCTGTTTCTGCACAGGGTCCTGAAGATGTGACGCCCACTCGGAATAGCGTCCAAGACACCAGCAAGTAATCTGTCGCACAACGGGCTGCGCATCGTTCAAGAGAGAAATTAGGTATGGAACCAGCTCAGGCAAGTGAGGCTTAACAGCGTCCATGCAGCCATCCGCGACAGCTCCAAGAGTGAGGACAGCTGCCTCACGGTTAGGCCACTGTTCATGTCGCAGGGTCTCTTTAAGGTATGGCAGGATGATGCCAAAAATGAGATCATGGTATATGCTGGAGAAGACATCCAACGCAGCAGCAGAACACTTTCGCAGTGTCCAGTCGCCCTCAGGGTCGTCTCCAAACTCCGAGTCCTCAATTTCGCCTTCACTCAGATCGTCTTCATCTTCCTCGCCATTAGATTGCTGTTGCTGGGCGCCACCATTCGCTTGCTCGCCCTGTTTCGAAGTATCAAGCCGGGCAGCCTTGGATTTGGCGAATTGGGGCTTCAGATCCTCTGCGCGGTCCTCGGTGTCTGCATCATCCTCCTCGGCCATCAAGCGAATGACGTCGTCCTCCTCGTAGATCATGTTCTGGAGCAAAACGGGGATGACCTTGGGCATGTAAGGCGCCAAGGGCTGCTGTAGTCGCTGCTGCTCGCCAGCCACAATCCAGAATTCGGCGGCATCCAGCGCAAGCTCCGGGTCCTCTTGATTACCCTGCTGCATGAGGATGTAGTTCACAATCCCCTCCAGGTGAGGAACCAGCTTCTCTGGGGAGAATTCGACTAGCTGCGAGAATGACTGGCATACCATCTTTCGGACCTCGGTATCAGTATCGCCAGCCAGGTTGAAGAGTTGTGACAAGAACAGATCCAGCTGATTCATCAAAGCCGTAGGCTGGTGAGGGAGGAAGACATGAATGGCGTTCAATGCGAGAGAGCGCACACGAGAGCTCTGACTAGATGTAAATTCGAGGAGCTTGGGAATGATCACATCGAGCGGGCGCTGGCCCTGGTAATCGCGGTCCAAAACTTTCCGGTTGTCCTCGCATACCTTGAGAAGGGCTGCCATTGCGGACTCTTGGGTGTTCTTTGTTACGTTACCAGGAGAGTTACCCGCAAGGGAGAGCAACTGCTGAAGCACTTCCGGCCAACCAAGTAAACCGCCTCGCTGCACCAACTCGGTGATAATGCTGCCGGCGCCTCGCTGCACCTGACGGTCTTCATCCTGAAGGGCAACCAACGCGGCGGATCTGATATAAGCCAAGCTCTGCGGGGAGATTGTGTTATAGGCGACATAGAGTTTTGTTTTCATGTTCATAGCCGCGGCAAAGCGCACTGTAGCGTAGGTGACCTGATCAATTTCCAGACCGGGAGGGGGTTGGGGCGTCGAGAACAAATAAGTGATGTAGTTGACATAGTCGGGAGAAGAAGTTGCCTGCGAAAGCATCTATTCCAAGATCAGGGATCAGAATACATGGTCATATGTAGATTTTTGCGGTTCGTCGTCCTGGACGGGGGTAGGAGGGGGAGGAATTGCAGGAGCAGGGGAAAAAAAAGAACATACTTCTTCAGCCTGTTTCTGGACCGCTTGGTCCCTGCCATTCAGAGAATCTCTGAGGCAGTAAGCCAGCTGCCTCAATGGCTCATCCTGAGGTTGCCAATCCATGTTGTAGCAGTGTCGAGGCAAAATCGCGACCGTAAGAGTAAAAAAGCGAGTGGCACAGTGAGCCCCGCCAAGAATGTGGGAGTGGGTCCCCTTCCTCTCTTTTAGTTGATCAGCGATCGGCAGGTTCGCGAGTATTAGCACCGTTGAATAAGGGGTAAATGTGTAGAAACTGATTGAGGGGACACGCTTGTGGGTATAAAATACACCGAAGCTGTCAAATTTGCCCTCGAGCCACAGAGAAAAGATGTTGCCAGGCCTAAAGTGAGATTGGGGGACGAGGGTGTTGGCAAAAAAGTTCACCGCCTCCTCGGTAGTGCGGGCGGCTTGAAGTAATGAAGCCTCGGATCTTCCCTAACGAACGATCTGATCGAGGAGTTTTTCATGGCCTTTCATTTCAGTATTAAAATGATGTGGATGATAGCAGCCAATCTGAGTGATTAGAATCTTTGAACAGTCCAATATGCCTTCGAAGATTTTAGGCTCAAACCAATTTATCCTACCCGTAGTTAAATGATCTTTAGATGACATTTGGCCAGTCGCTTTTATGGAGGTACATATATATAAGAACGCACCCAGCTTGGGATAGTACGTCTATACCTTGGTGCCTTTATTGAAACCGCAGAGAAGAGACCGAAAACCTCACCTACATACATGCAAGTCAAGTCAACCTTCGACGCCCACAGCGAGTTGTTTCATAAAAAGAACTTACGCCCAGACCATCTTTTTGATATCGTAGACTAAATGCTCCAGAATACCGGTGCGCTTCTTCGCATCAGCCAAGGAGATAATGTCAGCGTGTTCGACCACAGATGCCTCAGTATTCTGACCATCACCAGCCAGCATCGCTCGCTCAATATCAGAACAGATCGATCGAACACGATCCAATTCACGCACACCGCCAGGGACAGATCCAAGACGGGGACTTGTTCGGGGATTATCCAGGGGAAGGGATTTGAACGCGCCGAACCGCAATGTCGCTCGCTTGCGGCCACGCAACCAGGAGATGAGGTCCCACTCGCCATTCTGAGAAGCAGGCTCTAGTGCCGCGGGAGAAATGTCTGTTTTCAGGGTACGGGTATTCACGCGCAAGGCATTGTCATCGCCGTCTCGGTAGACAATAACAAGCCCCACGTTCCGGCTTTCATCGGATTGACTGTCGGTCAAAATCGAGGTGACATAGGTACCATACTGGATGTGGACTATAGATCGAAGATCAATGCGTTCGAAGGATCGAACCTTGTCTGTCTCCCAGTCAAATCGGCAGTTGTATACAGCGGCATCTGTGAGCAGTAGGACCGACTCCTCGAACGGAAGGGTTCGTAAAGTATTAGGTTGGCGGGGAGTCAACATAGTCCATCCGCCCAGAAACTCCTCAGAGGGACTACTAATCACGATTTTGCAACTGGTATCAATGGCATTCTGTCGGATCTTCTGCACAGAAATTCCGGGGTCGGTGGTCTGGAGTGCCATGGAAAACTCATCGAAGACGGCCTCCGAAACATTGCCCAGCAGATAGTCGATGCAAGCCTGTGAAAAATAGTCGTTGACGATATTGTTGTAGTACCGTGTCAGGGTAAGTCCGAGGTCATTGAGCGCACCGCGGTAGTCCCGCTTTCTCGTCCGGGTGTAATCGCCCTTCAGCGCTCCAGTGGAGGAGTACTGCTTTGAGATGGCATCTCCGTTGTCCGCCCAGAGGATATTGAACCATTGTGTCGAGGAGTCACCACCGAAGTCAAGGTTTATGCCCTCTTCCCGGAGCTGATGCTCAAGAGCCCATTGGCCAAAGGCACACTGTGCCACGCCGGTGCGGTCGAGGCAGTCCATACAGTTCGTTCTGACAATACCAGTCTGTTTACGAATGATAGTGGCATCTTTGACACTCGTATATCCAAAATCATTCAGAGTGTCCTTCAGGCGGTCCACCAGACGAGACACGTTCTCGAATTTCATGCCACGGCATTCGCCATGGAAATCAAACCATTCCAAATTCAGTGGCACGCCATCTATACCACCATTCTTATTTAAAAATTCGGTGTAGCGCTGATACTGCTCGCCAACCTTCAGTTCGCCTCCATGTTTGTCGATCAGCGAGACGGCCTGGATTTTCCCATATCGCCGGCTCATTTCTCTGAAGTGTCGACCAAAAGCGAGCTGGTTCATCTCAGCCGACTGATGCATGTTGGGGATCGGCTTGAAAGCATATGGTGACTGCGAAAAATACAGAGGAATGGAGCCTCGGACCTGCAGATAGGAGTAGACATTGTGGGAGGGATCCCAGTCAGGAACGGAGAGGATCTGCTCCGTTTCGACCGTATTGGCAGTGTTGCCCTCGTCGTCAACGCCACGGCGCATGTAACGCACACCCGGGCGATTAACAGATCGTCGAGAGACCAAGGTCAACAGAAAGTTATGTTTTGGGGCTTGTGTCGTGACGTTGTTGGCATCTTGGCTTTCTCCGATTATTTGCGCAACGGGCTGCTCCTCAGAACCGGGAGATAATTCCTGTTTAGGAGCTGCAACTGTAAATTCTTTCTGTCCAACGAACCCCTGTAACAATGGCAATGCAAAAGAATGAAAGCCACTATCAATGAAGGGAGATACGAGATGATGGTTCCAAAAGTACTAAATAAGGCATTAGCTTCTTCATAATCATCATGCCTTGGATTCCCAAAAGCCTTGCGAATTCGGAACACCAACCTGAAGATCCACAGCCTTGTGCATAGGCAGTTGCCCTTTGGATAGCTCCTGCGCATGAAAAGACCGGGTAAGATCATAATCGTACGCGAAAAAGAAATTATGTGACGAAAACAGCAACTTGGTATACCGCAGCAACTTCGGCAATAGATCCATAGCCTGAGATTGCTCCCCCTTACCCTGCTCTTCAAGCTCACTCTTCACAGCCTCCTTCCCCACAGCCTCGGCCACATCTCCAGCCGGGGGATCCTCCCTCGACAGAGCCGGGCTCTCGTCAAACGGCGAGTCGGGCGGATTCTGCGAAAGCGCTCCAGGACGCGGCAGCCCCAGATTCTTCCTGGACAGCCAATTCGCCGCAAACCGGCCAAACCGTACTCGCTTCTCGATCACATCCTCCGCAATGCTACTTACGCTGGTATTGCGGGCATGGCGCGCGTCGCGGTCCCGCTCCGGCGACGCCGGCACGCTGCCAATCTCCGTCTCCGCAGCGTCGGTCACGTTGTCCGGGTTCTCCTCATCTGGCTCCGAGACCGCGTCTGAATCGCTCTGCGAGACCTCGTTGCGGGCCTGGGTAATGGCGCGCAGGGCGTCTGCCTGGGAGGAGACTGGGATGACGGCGACATTGGCGACGGCGTAGACGGGGCGGCCCTGGATCTGAGCAACCTGCTCACGCTGTGTGATGGAGATGAGGAAGGAGTACGAGGCGACAGATAAGAGGCCTGTATTAGATCTGTCAGAATGGTCCACATGCAGATGAAGGGGTGGTGGTGGCTGCCGCGCTTGGTAGGTTCGACATAGCACTACGTACCGACCAGGCCCCAGGACTCTAATGCATTGTGGGTTTCTAAGGACTGAAAGGTTGAGGTGGGTACAGCGGAGATCTTCTTCGATTTGTAGTCGATCTGGATTGAAGAGGCCTCGTTGTTGCTGCCGTTGTAGCGGGTGCCGTTTGCGCCGTGCGCGTGCAGAATGAGGCCGTCGGCCGCGGCGACGATAACGAGTTTCCGCAACAGACCCGGCATTACGCGGACATTAGGGATAAGGAGGGAGAGAGGACTGCTAGAGCGAGAAGGCTCTCTCCTGCCAGTGAGGGGAGGGGAGGTTCGGGCGCGAAAAGCTGCTGCAACAGCTGACTACATCATCGGGAAGCCAGACAGCCCCACGTGGGACGTCATGATCGATTGCGAATTGCAATTTTCATACGACGATCTGCTATGTACATGATGCCTCGCCTTGCCAGATCTCACTGATAAATGTAGGAAAGGGGGGAATTGAGCAAATGAACAACCAAAAAGGAAAACAAAGCAGTTCAAAAGAAAAAAAGAAAGAAAGAAAGAAAGAAATCAACCATTTAGAGAACCCCAGAGTCATATCCAATCGTTTCATACGGGCATGTCCAGTGCCTGCTACGAGATTGTCCGAGTATCAATCTCCACTCGGGCATTTTGGAGGAAACAATAAAAATACAGGGTGCTCGATGAGAGCGCAATGCAAGAGAGGCCAGGGGCGGCTGGAACTCGGGATAAGGGAGAGCGACATTATCGCCGCAGTAACTTCGTAATGGGAGGGTGATATATCGTCAGAGCCGATGTCACTCAGAGGCTCAGATCTCAGATCTGCGAGTTCCTCTTGGTATGGAGAGCTGTACGCTCACGGTTCGCCTCGGTGTAGGTTGGCCCGGGGCCCCCGTCGCTATCTTCGGCCAGATCCTCCAGGCCGATACCTGAGTTGTTCTCAAGGTCATATGAGTGGATCAGCCCTTCGCGATCGCCACTTCCGTTTAGGAAAGCAATACTCGACGAGCTGCGGCGAGACTGCATTGATCGGCGAGTTTGGAAGCTCGAGATGGCGTCGGTTGGGACTCCGTCCTCGAGTTTGCCATTGCTGGCGTCCTTCCCATCTGGGTCATGTCGCGACAAGTTAAGGAGGTAAACGCCGGTGAAAATGATAAGGAACCCGCAGAGCAAGGAAATCGTGTTCACGGCGTCTGTGGTGTTAAATCCCTGGAAAAGGATGAATGAAGCGCAAAGTGTAGCGGTCGTAAATGTCACGTAATAGAGAGGGTTCACACTGTTTCAAATAGCAATGATTAGAGCCCATGGACGATACATCGGGCCTGAAAGTTCCCCACTCACATAGAGGTTGAGAATGAGTTCAACGCTTTATTGATATAGTTCATCTGAGTCAAGATGCAGAATGCGGTAACGATGGCGAAAACGTAGGTAGAGGCGTGGACAAATTGGTTGTTACCACCAAGTGTCAGTTTCACTGCAATACCGAATGCCTTGACGGACATGACAGAGATCGAGCCGACCGTGGAGCAAATCGAGATAAAAATGAGGGGGTTCTTCTTTCCGTGCACGGGGGCGACTCGGTAAATCATAATAGTAGAGAAAATGGCGACCACTAGGCAGTATAGCAGGAAGCCTTCATTGCAATTAGTGAACAAGGTGCGAAACCCGGGGAAGCGAGCGTACCTGGCTTGACAGCATATGCAAGGATCTCGTCGATGCGCTCGACCGGCTTGTCTGGAGGGGCATGGAGAACAATGACGACTGAGCCGAGCAGACACATAGCGCACCCCAGCTTGCCCAGCGTTCCTAACCGCTCGTGTAAGAAATAAGATCCAAGGACCGCACTGGACTTGTCAGTAATTACCCGTCTCTCGCCGGACTATGACGCATACCCGATTAGAACGCTCAGTGCACCGAGGGGAGTGACTAGAATAGCGGGCGCAAAGGCATACGCGGCGAAGTTGGCCACTTCACCGAGGGCGACTGTTGTGATGATTGTTAGCCCTCCCGCTGCGTGTCCTGACAGGGCGTCTCCGTACGTGTGATGGTTCCTCCCCACCAGATAGGACTCTTCAAATATGAGAATCCTTCGCCTTCAAAGCCGTGTCTCTCCGAGGCATGCATTAAACCCTGTATCGAACCGATTAGCCCTCCCCGTCCAAGGTATGAGTGATCCCATTGCCGTCGCTCAGTCAATCCGCCCTCCACAGCTTCTTCTCGTAGCTGTAGCTCTCGTGGTCCGGTGTTTTTGCGATCGATCGTACCTTCTTTGTGATAACGAAACTCGTGCCTAGTCCTGGAGTCAGTGAACGGTTTGCAAGTCTACAGGAGCGAGCGCCATACCGATGGCCATTGTGGAAAGGATGGCCAATATGAGGCCGATGTATCTGTTTCGCGGAGCGCCAACTGATTAGCGCATGTTCCCATGTAGCGACGCATAGCGCTGAATAGACGCAGGGCACGAGCATACTTGTCTGGAAGCATGATGAGTGGGAGGAGCCGGGTGCCCCTACGGTCGATAGGCCTCCAGTGCCAACAATGAATTCGGGAGGGGGGGGGGAATAGAAAAGAGCGACTTGGTTAAGCACGTAACAAATGAGGGAGAAACAACGAGCCCGCCCGAGATTTCTGATGCAGGATGATGAGTAAGGAGAGGCGTCAAAGAAGAAGAGTCTGGGCTGATGGTGCCTGCGTGCGGTGGGGTTCCCGTTTCGAGGACCGATCGGGGACGCGTAAGTTCGTATGAGGAAAACGGCGGGTGACCGGACGGTTGTTGATGTTTGGCCCCCTACTGCGGCTGGGCTCTAGTAGATCTGGCTATTACGATCCAAATCCAAGGCGATTAGAGTCAATTGACCTGCAGGAAGATTCTTAGGGGTTCTTGGCTCGGGGGGGACGAAGTACTGCACAATTTCAGGAATCTCTTGAACCTTGGGATTGTGCCGTGGTGATCGTCGTTTCACATCGATCTGACCCCAGCCGCTTTCGGTGCCAAAGTTCCAGGGCTTGCTGAGCCACCAAGGCTCCTGGGATCCACCTGCTACGCTGTCCTTTTCTTGTCTTCTGGCCTGATTTTACAAGCCAAATTTACACTTTGTTCGGAGTACCTGTTGGGAAGTGTCCAATCAGCCACATGTTCTAAAGATAAGCTCTGGCCAACGCTTGCGGGCCCCCGGGTATACAGCTGCCTAGCTATGTTCCGACCGAAAGCGTATCTTCGGAAACCTCAATTGCTGAGGAAGATTGCTGTGTGTCACCACTCGGCTAGAACTCCACACTCTTCACAAGTCGCTTCTAAGTGGGGTGTGGCATAGAATCCCCGGGTTCGCCGTCTGGAGCCGATTTGCAGTCTGGCCCCTTGGCTGCATTCCCCAGCACTCCTGGACGTACTAGGAGAGCTTCCATACATGCTGGTCAACAAGAAGGAGACACCAGAAGAGACAAGAAGAGACATTCGCTTTGTGTCCCACATGCGTGTGTCTACAAATTAAGAAGGTTCAGTACAAATTTCCCCAAGAACTCGATAACAATGCCATTCATGGGACTTGGCTTTGTTCCCGGCGTCTCCGTCTTTTATACCTTTCAAGGGTACCATTCTCGCCCTTGGAGCTAGGGGGGACCATGCATGCTTTGAATCTGTGCGCTCGTTGCGACTTGCCTTTCAAGGGAACTACAAAAAGATTGAAAGATGAAAATACCTTAATCGTATATCACCCGTCATTCGTCACAGTATTTCCGAGTCAGAGTGCTCTATATATTGTCATGCAGTTCCTTCTTCCAAATGAGTTTGCTGGTGAGAGAGCTCAAGCTGTAGACGGAGGACTTGGAGGTCGCTACCGGCTCTGGTTGCCAAGTCATGTTCACCCCATGGGATCTCTCCCCAATTCACTATTCTGTTCTTCGAACAGCCACCTGGAGAATGGTTCATCTAATACACAGGCATTGCCCTCAAATTCGTTGGCGCTCCCTTGGCGCCGCAGCTCGCTGTTGTGGACCCAAGCGGGGCATTTTGAAGAATCAAGAGTCCCCGCCGCTCTGTAAGCCTCATCCAGACTCACTACCTAGTACTCGTAGAAGTACTGATACATCTTCAAACTCCACCGGTGCCTGTCCGTCAACGGCCTCTCATCGCAGTCTATCCAGTTGCAGTATCTGTAGGTTGCCTCTTGAGATTTGGTTGACAATTTTTGATAATATCCTCATGGACAACCCTCGTCTGACCCATATCGTTATCTGCACTTTCGTCCAACTATCGAAAGTCTGTCTGACCATGGAGGAGTGGGTGAACTTCTACTTTCAACTGCGAATGACCCGCAAGTATTTATTCCGAACAATGGTTGAGACCAAGTACCACGAGCTCCCCCTGGGACGCTTCGCTTGGCCGGGAGTACCAGGATCTTGGTACAATATTAGTCCCCTGGACGAGGAACCTGACGTGATTACGCAGATTATACAGGCAGACTGCCCTCCCTGCTTTGAATGGATCCGCAAGTGGGCCCCCCCGTGTTGCCGCCACTGGGTTCAACGAGCATAATTGGAGCTTTATATCTCTTGCCGTGCATTCGAAATCAATTCTGATTCTGCGCCACTTTTTCAGGCAGGATCCAGAATGCATCGAGCTCTTAATTCAAAGAGCGAATCCGGGATTCGGTGCCTATGCCCCGATGGGATACCTTGCCTTAACACTCGACGTGCGTTTCGTGGAGCAGGTCTTCGAAATGCTGAAGCCCCATCTCCATGAGCTCAAGGTGAAATTGAAAAGCCGAGAGCACATAGTTTTCCCACCCATTATTAAATATTCCTTTTGCAAATTCGTGACCTCAGCAATAGCGGAGCAGTTCAAAGAGTTGGGCGTTTTGATCTATGATTTCGGTGAATGTCCTTCACAAGGCAATCCATACCATGCGGCAGCCTCAAATAATGCTGCATTTCTCGATTATCTTTGGCGCAACCTGGACATTCCTCCATATGCGCCGAATAGGCATGGTGACAGCCCTCTCACCATTGCTCAACGAGGCCATAATGCCGAAGCAATCAGATGGTTCCGACTCAAGCGTCTTCTTCAAGTGGCCACTCTGAGGCAGATAAAGCCTGCTCCGCGTATTTATATCGCAATCTGATGCTGAGCTCTGCATTACTTGCTTTTAGCGAGTTGGTTAGGATTTCAATTTCATTCCTGTCGATGGCAGTTCTTCAGCTGCAATTCTCATAATGGTCAACTGAGTCCTTAGCAATTAAACAATAGCCGTACATTAAACCATATACCTCATTATATGGCCATTTTATTCCAATAACCCGTAAGGACTTGGTAACATGGAGTGCCTCCCTGTATGCTCCGCAAACCGTACCCCAGTCTGTCAACCCCACACTTTTCCACCAAGAAGGTGCAAGCTGTTTCCATAGCCGGACACGAACCGCGGCTCATTTTCTTCATCTCTTTCAAAGAAAATAGACCCCGGGAAGTCCGAGCCTGAGCCCTGTTAACTTTGTAGCAAGCATTGCACGATGACATCCCATCCAGCTGCCACTCGTAAACTATGGGAACCGGTCAGTCCCCAGGCCACTCAGATTTGGAAATCCAAGGAAATTCTCGAAAAAGCCAAAGGTATAAAACTTCCCGACTATAATGTGGTATACGAATGGTCCGTCGCAAACAGAATAGAATTCTGGGAATTCTGCTGGAACTACTCCCCCATAATCCATGAGGGTAATTACCAGAGTCTCACCGATCCACATGCTCGCATCGACAGCATTCCAGACTGGTTCCCGGGGGTTTGTCTCAACTATGCAGAAAACATCTTCTTTACAGCGGGACATCCAGGTCACGCGCCTTCAACTGTAACAACCATTGCCCTCACTGAAGTCCGCGAAGGCGATGCTGAGTCGAATGTCAATCTCATCTGGCGGGGACTGCGACAAAAAGCCGGTCGACTATCCCAACCCCGGAAGTCTGGAGTTTTATTATCACTTTGCAGAGATTGAGAAGCTGGCTCATCCCCAAGCGAGGCTATAGACCGAGGGGCGTTTTGGCATCGTCCAATTACAATTCAGTCCACTACTTGGGCCAGGCGAAAGGCGTCTCACGTAAGAGTCTTACCTGTAATATCTTTGGAAATACACTGGTAGTCCGAGTTCGTGCTTGCAGCACACTCCAAGTTGCTTTACTGGGTTGCCTCTCATCTTAGATTATCCTAAGCTGTAGCAGTGCCATGTAAGCGCTTACTACCAAGATGGCAATTTTACCTTTGACAAATTTGGAACTGGAAATTTCTGGAGTCATGGATCGAGCCTTTTCTTTGGAGCTCTTGAGTCCTAGTAGTTGTCCCGCACGTTTATGATCTGCTGCCAGTGAGCCGCCGCTCCTCGAAGGTCCGAGCTGGCTTGTGGGGGTAAATTTCAAGTTTCCGCTGCCAGTAACAAAGCCCGCATCAGAGCTTGAGGAGCGGGTTCTCCAGGCCTCAAGTTGGAGTCTAACTTCAAATTCGGACATCTCGAGGCCCGAACTCCGCAATTGGGGCGCTTTTGCAGACCAAAGCCCGTCCCAGCATAACCAAATAAATAACGCCCGCCTCCCTGCGTAGTCTGCCCTATCAAACCAGAAATATCCAGTGGTCCGACTTCGTTGGACTTCCTATTACAAGTACAGCAGAGCGCCCCGTGTTGACCCCGCGGGACCCACGATTTAGTCAGGAATTTCCTGGGGTACCCCGGAACGCCCGCGTCTTCCAACATTATAACCCCGAAGATCAAACTCCGCGAGTCAACCCCCACAGTATATCGAACCTGGCTCATATGGTAGCCCCGCCACCTTTGCTCTTAGCCCATTTTTACATATACCGCCAAAATGCATCAAACCACTGAAGTATATCATCCGATTGACCCACCAGTGCACCTAGACATCCTGTCATCCAAGCCTCTGGACCCTTCACACCCTCAACCCACGCTCGTTTACTTCCATGGCGGCGGACTCACCGCAGGCTCGCGGCACGTACAAGCCCAGGCTCTGCTACCACAACTACTGCTCGCGGAAGGCTGGGCGATAGTGTGCCCCGACTACCGTCTTCTTCCGGAGTCAGGCATTCCCGAAATCCTACAAGACCTGCACGAACTCGAGAAATGGCTGCTGCAATGCAAGGCCGGCATCGATGTAAGCCGGCTCGTCATGGCAGGATCCAGTGCGGGGGCCTTTGTTTCCCTGCTCGCCCTCACGTCCTGGCAAAGCGTTAAGCCGCGGGCGTTTTATTCGCAGTACGGCATGGTCGATACGGCCGGGGAGTGGTATCGTCGGCGGAAGGATGATACGACTGTCTTCGGGAATATCCCGGCCAGCGCGCTGGTCGAGGACATGTTTACCCAGTACTTCCAGCCCGGACGGCTGCAGATTACTGCTGATGCCTTGGCTGTGTTGGTGCCAGATAGTCGGGGGGGGCTTGTTCTTGTGGATGTTGAAAGAAGGTATGGTGAACGTGACATTTTGCTCTTTGGGCGCACGTCTTCGTACATGCCGATTAATGTGTTCGCCAGGTCGGTTGGGGCCATTTATCAGCAAGTCTATGAAAGCTGCCACAGGTGTTGAAGGCCCTCTGGATCTAATTGGGGCATCTTTTCCTCCAACGATTATTATACACGGCACTGGTGATTCAATCGTACCCTTGAGTGACTCTCGAGCGTTGCAAGCCACGCTCCAGCGGGTAAATGTGCAAGTGCGCCTAATTGAGGCCGAGGGGGCCGAGCATGGATTGGCTCCGCAAGAGAATTATCGGGATGCCTTAACGGAGGCTGCGTGTTTTCTCAAAGAGCACGCTGCCATTTGAGCTGGGGATCTGGGGGATGACTGTTTAGATGGCAGAAGAGACATACAAACGTGGTTGATAAATGGAAACTGACGACTGACAATAGACCAAACGGGTCATTATGAGTACGGCTACCAGACTTAAATATACGAGACTACATATATTCGTTGAAAGTCGTAAACAGAACTTGTTGTATTTCAAATTCCCCGCAGCTGATAAATTTTGTAGGGTCATGATCGCTGATACGCCACGTAAAGATAGACTGGCTGCTCAAACTAACGCCTATCGACGCCTTGCCCGGAATTATGCTCGAAATGGTATCACGGAATGGCGCGGCAAAAAAAAAAGAGGAAGCAAAAACACATGTGTAAAGATCTCCGGGAGGCTTGCATGGTCGTTTGCTACAACCTGGGCTGACCCTAATTCGTTCTCGAGGACAGCGGACAGGCAGGTAGGCGTGCTGTCCGGAGGCGGAGGATGGAAACGGAGAGGGGTTGGTGTTACATACCTAGAAATTCAATCTTTCCTTTTGTAGAGGTCTCTGGAGCCATCATCGCTGCTGGGATGGGGAGAAATTAGTAGTTCCGGGCGTTTCTGGTCCATATGTAAGACTTTCGGCACCAGAACACGGGGAGAGTGAAGCAAAGGATGTGTGTTGAAGGATGACGGAGCGACAGGAGCAACGAGTATGAGTCTTACTCAGACCGGCGGCGTTTCATTTCGGGCGTGGTAAAATCCTCGATATCCCACTCGTCTTCCTCTTCGCGGGATCGTTTGATAGAGTGGGTGTCGAGTGTATGGGAGTCATTAGTAGAGGAGGGGTCAATTTCACCCAGCTCGAAGTCCTCCGCCTCGTCAAAAGCGTCGTTGAAGGTATCGTTGTTGTCTTGGTGCGATTCAGCGATACCGTCCCCAAGAGCACCGTCGGCAAAGTCCTCTTCGGGGAAGGTTTCACCTTCGCCTCCGACCTGGTCATTGTGATCGCCCTTGTCGGCCTTGGAAGGAGTCTTCATCAAATCCTCCTCGACACCAAGAAGATAATCCTCGGGCTCTGGAGTTTGTCTGCCAAGGACCTGGGGATTCTCAACAGGAATATCGTTCGCAGTAGCCTCTAATTCTTCGGGCAAATCGTTGGCGTCGGCGACGTCCTGACCATCGTCATGGGTAGAAGCCAAGCCGTCATCCTTGCCTTGCTCGGAGGCACGTGTATCTTGGACCTCATGAGAATCTTCACCCTCGTCACCCGGCTGATGGTCTTGGTACTCGCCTTCCTCCACTTCCTCAGGAGCATCTTCTGTGTAGTACGTTTCGGTTTCGACCTCTTGAACGTCGGCCTCTTGGTAGTCTTCATCCGGAGCATGATATTCTCCGTCATTGTCGGGCTCGTGGTCAAATTCTTCCTCATGTTGTTCATCCTGTCCAACTGAGGTAGGTGCAATGGTAGTTGTGGACTCCGTTTTTGGCTCCTCGGATTGGTCGCGTTCTTTACCCTGGGTTTCCTGTGTGGCATCTCCATCTTCCTGGACACCTCCGTAGGACTCATCTTGATCATGTGGTGAACCAACATGTTCTTCAACATCCGCTTCAGCGCCTCGTGCTACGTTTTCACCCTGGGCATGGGCATCAAGGGCTTCGTTGGACTGGTCCTGGCTGACATCCTCATGAGAACTGCCTTCCAGATGCTCACCTTCAGCTTCTTGATCCGCTCCATCATAGCCGTCCAAGCCCCATGGCTGGATTGTCGAGAGACCCTGGCCCTTGTTCGCAGCGGATTCCAAGCTGTTAATCTCAGATTGAAGGTCAGGTTTGGTTGAAAGGCTCAGGTACAGAGCGTCTGGTTCTCCTATGTTATCATTACGACAAAGTCTAAGATAAATGCTCAGGATTCGATGCAGCGTTGTCTTGGACGTGTGAATAGAGTCCTGGGGAAAGGTTAGAATAATACAATTTCGAAAATATGTCAGATGTACTTGCCTCTGTGAGTCGGATACCCAGGGAATCGATATCAATGACTAGAACTTCGTCTTCATTGACATTATCAAGAAGAATACCACGTAAAGCACCAAAAAGTTTATCCAAGGTGTCATATGCCAAGTCTTCATCGTGCAGAAAGAACGTCTCCACGGAATCACCCTCGTGTGGCGGGAAGAGGGAAATCTCGTTTTCTTGATAGAGGACTTTGACAGGATGCAGGGTTTCTTCATCGTTGCCGAGCGCAGAGCCATCTTGTGCCTCGGACGCTGTAGGGCCCTCGTTCCTGTCAACATAGGTTTCATCCGCTGTACCCCCTGCTTCGTATGAAGCTGCAGATGCAGCCGCATAAGGGGCATCAGTATTCTCTTCCTTTTGGGCAGTATCAGTTTCCCGCTCTTCTGAGGTTGGGACAGTTTCTTTGGTTACTTCATCGAAATTCTCGCCAATATCTTTCTTCTCATTATCAGCGCTAGCGGGGTCATCGGCATTGTCGTCATAATGTCTTGGAGGACGATCAGAGCCAACTGCCTCAGCTCTATCAGGCTCCGAGGGGGCATGTTCAGTAGGCTTTGTTACTTCATCCTTGATTTCCACGGGAGCGGGGCCGGAAGGAATTTCTTGGATATTTTCTGTTTCGATAGGCGCCTCGACCGTTTCGGAGGGGACTTGCTCAGGTTGGACTTGCTCGTTCTGGACGGGCTCCACGTTTTCGACGTTAATGGTAGGAATGGGGACGGAGCGGCTGCTGGGACAGCATCCTCTAGCATTTCAGCTTCCTGGGTGACTTCTTCAAGCTGGAGATCAACGTCTTGGTCATTATCAGGGACATTATCGGCATCGATCATCGAGCCTTCAGAAGAGGCTTCGTCGACCATATCGGCATCATCGGTTGGGTCATCCGGGAAGAGTGACGGGTGGGCTGTGCTGAACAGATCCTCAGCACCTAACATGTCACTGTCCATATTGGAAGCTTGGTCTCGATCATCCATAAGATCGATATCGATATCGAAGTCATCGCCTTGCCCCTGGTAGGGAGACGCCATTTCGAGATCCTCACCCGCAGGGACATCCATGGCGGGGAATGCTAAGGAAGAAGTTGTCATGGCACGAAACACAGACGCGTCGTATAGCAAAGGCTACCAGCGAAATAAATGGGCGTCTACCAGGTTGTAACCATGAGACAAGTGAAATGAAAGTGCTCAGAACCTAGAAGATAAGCTTGCTCTGTGTCAAAGAGCCCACCGATGTGACCTTTGGCAAATGACGGTAGGTGAAAGTAGAAGGAGAAGGAAGAGAAAAAGTCGAGGCCGCGACGGGCTAAGCGAAGGGGGGGGATTTGCCGGTGCACGGACCACCCGAAGAGAACAGAGTAGCTGCCCGCTAACTCGCAACTCCATCACCAAACAGGGGCTCCCCGCGAAATCAACGGTTTCTTTCCACTCTCTTCCCTTGTTTCTGTGAAGGCTACTCATCAGCACATCGGACGCCATGGTATGTGGCGCCATTACCACTTCACAGTTTGCGGTTCCCTCCTTTGTGCACATGAACTGACTAGCCCACGTAACATGACAGGTCGTTCTCGCAGCGTCGATATGTACCCGTGGAGGGAAGGCCGTCCTCTCCCGTCAATTTCGCGATATTTCCCGCTCCAGAATTGAGGCGCTCCTGGCATCTTTCCCCAAGCTTGCGGACTCTGGCACCCAGCACACTACTGTTGAGCAGGACAATGTGCGCTTTGTGTACCAGCCATTGGATGAGCTGTACATTGTCCTGATCACCAACCGCCAGTCGAACATTCTTCAGGACATTGATAGTCTGCATCTGTTTGCTCAGGTGACAGCCAGCATCTGCAAGAGCTTGGACGAGAGGGAGATCCTCCGCAATGCTTTTGAGCTGTTGAGCGCATTCGATGAGTTGGTCACACTGGGATACCGGGAGAATCTGTCCTTGTCACAAATTAAGACATTCCTGGAGATGGAGAGTCATGAAGAGAGGATTCAAGAGATTATTGAACGGGTATGTCAAACTCACTGCCACTGGGGTGTGCCTCCTACTAAATCGTGTCCTCGTTAGAACAAAGAGCTTGAGGCGAGTGAAGAGCGTAAACGCAAGGCCAAGCAACTTGAGATGCAGCGCAAGGAAGCTGCTCGCTCAGGTAATCGAGGCATTCCCCCTCGCGCACCGTCCTATCCCGCCTACACACCTCCTGCGCGTCCATCAGCGCCGGACTCTTATGACTCTTATGAGGCAGAGAAGAAAAAGACGTTTGCCAAGTATGTCGCAGTGCTGTCAGAGCCATAGATTTATAACTAATGCTGTTTTATTTTAGGCCTCTCCCCACTCGCGGCAAGGGTATGCAGCTCGGAAAGAAGTCCAAGGCCACTGATATCTACGAAAAGGTCCGTGGAGAGCTAGGCCCTCAAGAGGAAGACACCCCTCTTGTTACCCCACAGGTTTCCACGCCTGTCCAAGAACCTGTCTCAGCCCGCCAGTCTCTAAATGCGGATCGTGAGCCCATCCATGTCACTATTGCTGAGACCATTTCTGCGACTCTTACCCGCGAAGGCGCCTTGAAGTCATTTGAAGTCAAGGGAGACCTTCAGCTCCGTATTACCGATCCAGCTTTCACCAAATTACGCCTCGATCTGCAAGCCATTCCAACGCATGGTGCCCAGTTCCGAACCCACCCCAATGTCGATAAGGCTCTCTTCACCAACACCTCCGCGATCCAGCTCAAGGACACAACCAAGCGATTCCCCGCGAACAATGCCATTGGGGTTTTGCGGTGGCGTGTGGCTAGCTCGGCTGACAATGCCGATATTTTACCCATTACCTTCACGGTCTGGGTGAACAAGGGATCGGACTCAACCACTGTGACCGTCGAGTACGAGCTCACGGGCTCTGACAGTCTGCGTGATGTTGTTGTCACTATTCCATATGGCGCAACTGAGCCTGCTGTTTCCAGCTTCGATGCCGTTTATGAGGTCTCTGGAGACAGCATTGACTGGAACATCGGCGCTGTTGATGAGTCAAACGCTTCCGGTAGCTTCGAGTTTGAATCTACCGATGGCGACGAGAACGAGTTCTTCCCTATGAGCGTTCGTTTCACCAAGACCCAGCCATTCGTCGAGGTCGATGTTACTCGAGCTTCCCTTCTAGAAATGGAGGGCGAAGAAACCGGATTCTCCAAGGATATCCGTAGTGTTGCAGAGAACTTCCTCATCGAGTGATTTCCGGTTTAGAATGTATAGAGTCGGATACTAATGACGTTTGGATTGTGATTTTCTGGCGTTGCTTCTTATCTAAGATCGTGTTTCAAGCCCTTTTTGATTCAACCCTACAAAGGGCGCCTTTTCCTGCCAACGTGCCCAAAAATTAAAACACCCAAATTGACACATTTCACCGGAAGGCTTTTCTAATGTCCTTCTTCCTTCTCTCTGGCTTCAAGCTTTCGTTTCCATGTTACCCTTTCCGCTAGGCTATCCATTGTCTATTCAATCTCGGTCTGCCGTAATACCCTGCTCGATCATGGCAGCGTAATCCACGACGTCAGAATTATTTGGAAGTCGGATAACGTAGGAGCGTCGAAGGTCGTGGGTCCCTCGCGGGACTTCTCAATCAGGCTATACTCTGTCGGGACTTGAGGGACCAAGCTCTCACGTACCTTGCCTCAATCCATGGGAGTCACCCTTGGCGACCGAATCAGATAAACTCAAAGCGTCGCTAAACCAGGGGCATTTCTAAACTGCAGTGCCACCGCCGCCCAACGTCAGATTGACTCTGCGGCCTGAGTCTAGACCATTGCAGCCGATTCCGATCTCGGTTAACACAAGAGCGGTTGCCCCAATGGGCCAAAGAGATCCCCCCCAGCAGTTTCCAATATCACTGAGGAGCGGTCTCTGCAACCTCGATTTGGGACGGATTTTGACTCGGTTTTTGCGAGATTTCGATCGTTTCATACGTGAAATGGGCAGTTCTACTCAAAACCATGTGGACAATTCGCTTCAAGTTCATCTCTTGGGTCGGAGTCCATAGCCCATCGGTTTCAACAGCCGGCAGTCAACAGCCGATTGATGGCAACAGGGCTCGAGCAAAGATTGGATACATCCTGGGGGCTCTAGTCCACGGTTTGGCCAATATCATCGGTCTCGCCGCTCGTGGCCCAATGTAACTGCTCCGTTGGCTTTCTAGTGATGGCGGAAAAGGCTGCGACAACCGTAAAACGAGCTCAAATTTGCCTCAGCTGACACTTCATGTGTCTCATGAGGCAAATTCAGTCTTGCTGAGGTTGTTTGTATACTATTCGGGTGGCCAATTCGCGGGTCATCGACAAGCATAGGCTGTCGGTGTCTGATGAAAGTTGGACTGGTGAAGACTAAGTTTAGGCCTCGTGGTGCCCAGACCCATCAGTCGCTTCTCCCACACGAAGGGTACCATGTTTCCCTGTACCGTTCCATTCAGCGGGTACATAATGACATACAGGGCCCTCCTTCTGCCTTGATCTTCCTGCCAGCTTGCTAACGACTCAATGCAATTCAACGTCGAAGGTAGGACATGGTTAAAGACCTGATATGTCATGCGAGTATAAGTGACTGAGACCTCCCAACTTTCCAGTCTTCAGCAAACTACTCCCATCCCGCGGATTCCATGATGAGCAGCATCCAATTTCCCTCGTGGAATGAGCAGCAAAGTATCTTCAAGCTATCTAGCGTCGACGCTGAAACATGCAGCCAATTCTCCAGCATGGTAAATTTGCATGTTCATTGCTGTCGTGAGCCGCATGTTCTGACACTCTTCAGGAAGCCCCTGGATCGTCTCTACACAGGTCCGACTCGGACCTTGGCTCCAAGAAGATGGCCATTCCACGACTTGCGGAAGGTGCGGAGTCTGCATTCACCTCGCCAGGCAGGTTCCATCGTCGACATGTCCGGCGGGCTTGTGAGTCGTGCAGGCAGAGAAAAACAAAATGCACGGGCGATAAATCTGGATGCCGCAATTGCAGAGAAGCGGGCATAATCTGCTGTTATACTGACGGTAAGAGAGAGAAGTCGAAGAGGTGAGCATGACTAGCATTGTAATAAATCGGGAAGCGCGGCTCATCTTCCATAGACAACTTGCTAGCCTCTCATCGAAAGTACAGGCATATGAGGATGTCATCAAGAAGCTCAGCAGTCGATTCGGTATTTCGGATGAACAGCTTGTGAATATAGCTCTGACTGCTGTAAGAACTCGAGGGTAACTTCCCTTTCCGCGATTTGACTGACCGAATACAAGAATTTGGCCCCTGGCCTGACACTAGACGGAGACGCTGGGTCTACTTCTGGAGAGCAAAGAACCACCTGCGAAACGGGGTCTGACTTCCCTTCTCCATCCTCGTCCGTCGTGCGTTTGGACCTGATCGAGCATACAGATGAGGATTTCAACAGGGATGAGACGTCTCGGGCAACCGGGTTCATCGGAAAAGCTTCTGAGATCAATTGGCTACAAAAACTCAGCAAAGAGGTCAATAGCGAATGTGAGGCCTGGTCTGCCGGTATGTCAAACTCGGGGGACGACAATGGACTTCCTTCGCCCACTTTGACTCCTCGACCGGAGAATCCCAGTGATGCTCTCATGGCGTCCACCAACTACTACCTGGATGATCTGGAGATTTCAAGCGCCAATAAAGTTGACGCATACGAGGTCCCCTCTAAGGAGGTTGCGACAAAACTACTAAATGCATACCTGGCTTCTGTACATCCTTCTTTCCCAATTATTGGGATCTCAACATTTGTCTCTCAGTTTCAAGTCTTCTTCAGCCAGCCTTCCTTGAAGCCGGGAAATCGATGGCTGGCTATTCTGAATCTTATATTCGCTATTGCGGCAAAATATGCACAGTTGACGGATGCAGACTGGAAAGAAGATGACGATGGCCACTGTCTCTACTTTTCGAGGGCCAAATCTCTCAGCCTAGAGGATCAGTTGCTACATCATCCTGACTTGCAGCAATTGCAGGTCGAAGGACTAGCATGTTTCTATATGGTTTCATCTGGACATATCAACCGGTTCGTTTTTTATCCGCTCCAGCCTGGAAAAAATTAGCTTATACTAACGATGCTGTGTCAGAGCATGGAAGTTATCAGGCAGTGCCGTCCGCGGAGCACTCGCCCTTGGCCTACATCTTCGCAATGTGGGGTCCTGCACTTCCGATACTTCAAAAGAAATACGATATCGAGTGTGGTGGTCTTTGTACTCGGTTGAGCATCTGCTATCTGTCATAACAGGCCGTCCCTCCTGCATTATTGATAACTCTTGCACAACTCCTCTGCCCGTTCCATTCGATGAGAGCGACTTCCAGAAAGAAGAAGTGGCCCATCTGATCAGCACGCCGGGTCGGGTCATGCTCAGTCCACTCGAAGGAGTTCCGTTGCACAATAGCGCTGCAAGCCTGGAGACGAGAGCAGACTCGGGCACGAACGACAATGACAGTGCGGAAAGCGACACGAAGATCAGCAAAGTGGAATACCTGAAGAGTCTACCACCATGCATGTCGCTCTACTTCCTACAAATGACTTCGCTCACCACCATCGCGAAGAGAATGACGGTCAAGCTTTACAGTCCAGAGGCCCTCCAGTCACCCTGGGCCAGCACTCAGTTCACAATACAGAGCCTCATGCTTGAGATCGACTCTTGGTTCATGAATCTCCCTTCGCCCTACGACTTCACCTCCACTCAGACTTCACAATGCCCTCTTGGACAGCGAATGGGATTGGCTTTCCTGTTCTATAGTACCAAGATCGGAATCGCTCGCCCCTGTCTATGTCGCCTGGATGCATTGCCCGCCGAGGAAGACAATACCCATGAATTCTGCAGCAAGACAGCCGCCGAATGTGTCGAGTCGGCATGCCACATGCTCACCCTATTCCCAGATACACCAGACGCAGCACTGCTTCACCGAATCTCTCCATGGTGGGCTACGCTCCATTACCTCATGCAAGCTGCAACAGTGCTGCTGCTAGAACTGGCTTATCGAGCCCAGCACGTCCCTGAAAAGGCGATCATGGTATCAAAAGCAGCCAAAAAGTCCCTCGATTGGCTCTCAACACTTTCAAAAACAAACATGGCCTCCGAGCGGGCCTGGAAGCTCTGCAGCGGGTATCTACGCCGTCTTGCGCCTCACGTTGGCATTGACGTCGACGACTTCTCTAGCAATGATAACGACGAATCTTCGACTGCCTCTCTCTTCGATAGCCCGGACATCACGGACACAGATACAAGCGATCCGCTCGACGACATTACTTTTGATCCAACCGCAACTCTGCCTTTGGCTTCGGGCGTGGATTCCATTTCTGCGGAGATGGACTCCATCGCTTGCTCGCCTATGGATCAATCGGGAACACCCCAGGCAATGCCACATTTGTGCAATATGGAGCCAGATATTCTGGATCAATTCATCAAGCCCGAAAGGTCTTTGTCTGGGCGAAGCTCCTTCGATGACCTGTTTCCATATGACCCCGCTACTGGTCAGATCACTGGCTCGTTCTTCCCCACGGGGTCTAACATGGATTTCGATCTGAATTACCCGTGGGGAGATCCTATTTGCTGAACGTATATTCACGCGAAGAGGAAACCAACCAAACAGCAGATGAGAAAAGTGACAAGGTTATGAAATTGTTTAAAGGATGGGGTGAGAACACCGGGATAGATGGAAATTTGGACACAAAAGTACTCAAAATTGTCATGTCTTCAAGCTGATGCTTTTTCTGGTTTATGCTTCCAAATTAAAAGAAATAAGCCTATAGATTGAGAACTTGAGACTTCCAAGAAATCCACGTTTGACAAATATTCTATTAAGCTAATGGTGGATGCGATGGCTAGATGTTTATCTACGTATGATGTGTACTGTACATTTTCCGCATTTCGACACACCCAAACGCCTGAGTCGATTGCGCCGGATGTTCCAGTAGCCAAGGCTGGGTACTTTACCTCCAAGAGCCAATTTTCCACTCATCACGCTTCCCAGTTGCGCTTCCTAGCAGTGAACAGAAGAGCAGCATCTTCCGACGGCAATGGTACTCGAGGTTGTTGATGAGGAAACTCGACCTTGACTATTTTTTCAAATCGAATCTCGACCTTGTGCTGCCTTCTACGTTTCTTCCATCGCTGGTCATTAGGCTGTTGGCTCCACGTATGAAGATCGATGCCTAAAAGAGCACCCGGATCCAGCAGGTACTTCTCGATGCATGGAAGAATTGGAAGCAAACGGCGCCGAACACCACAGCTTCCATGATTCATGTCGATTTGGTAGTCCGGAAACTGCTTCAGAGAGGTAATGAGGGCGAGGATGTCTGACGGCAACGCAGCCAGTGCTCGGTCCTGGTCAACGTCATCGGCCTCGTTTTCGCTATCGTCCAGGTCGAAGTCCGGGTCTAGGAGGTTGGAGCCAAGGAAGATTGTCTTGGCCCTCATTGCGAAGAAACGGGTCATCTGGCCCAGCTGGAATAAATCGCATTGACTAGCATTATCCAGGCCGGCACGGCATTGGAAACTGCGGTTTGGGGTTGATGTTGAGAAAGCCAGACCGAGTGAAGGCCGGACTGGTGCTGGTTTCGGTTCCTCGGTATCTTCCAATGCGCCATAAACACGAAGGAAATGGGCTTGTAGATCTGTGATGGTATTCAAAACAAATTGCCGCCTTGAATAAAGCTCCTCTGTAAACTCCCTCAAGATTAGTACACTGGTTCACGTTTCCGAGTTTGGATGTGAAGAATCACCTTCAATGCCATTGGGCAGGTATTGCCATTGGAGATACTCACTGCTTGGAACCTCCACTCCATGAACCCAGAGCCTCGACCCACCAAGGAGAAGACTGTGCATCATGGTTCGTGCAATTGAATATTCTTTCAGGAAGATTGAAATCATGATGATCTGGCGTACCCGATCCTCCTTCAACCTCAGCAAAGCAGTGTCGAAGCGTCTGAAAGCGCGCGTATTATCCTTGCGCCCAAACAGATACTCGTTCTTCAACAGATCATAGGCCACGGAGGGCGAGTTGAACGCATCGGCGATATGAATAAATTTCGCCACAGCCGAAGGCGTTTCATTCTTCAGCCCATTTTTGAAGGTTTCGACTTCTCTATCTGTCATGGAATCAAGACATAAAGCCTGCAGAAAAAGTCCCAATGCTTCACTACCACAGAGCTGTATGACTCGAGATGCTGGGATCTGAATCTTCGGGAGACCAATCTCGCCGGATGCTCGAGTATTCAACTGGGAATCAAGATCATCATTTAGCCCCTGCCTGTGTTGAGAAAGGTACCTGCCCTCAGCAAACTTCTCCGGATGTAATAATGCGCTGAAGTAAGGGCTCTTCGTAGCGAGGCTCTCACTCGCCACCTGCCAGCACATAGGCTCTGCAGCTGAAGACTCATCGATATACTCGAGAATCAGATCGCCACCGGGTGCAACGACGTGCAGAGACTTCTGCCCTTCTGATGCATCTAGAGACCTCTTAAGAACAGACTGCAGCGACGGCAAGCCATTTGCCACCCTGGCCGAGCCCTCCGTCTGCGTTGCAGGCGTATTTGACCAGGGTGGGGGCTTTGAGGCCATTGCTCTGTTGCGCGGGTTCCCTGGGTTCTAGCTAGCGAGCCGGGGTCGGCCTTGCAGTGCCTCTTTCCGTGTCAGGTATAGCATCTGACATGTGCAGTAATTGTATTCCAGGGATCGGATATGGTGGTATAAGACTTCAAAGTCGTCTGCAGGATGCCCACTGTTTCTTGAGATGGGTATCCTGTTCGGGTATAGCGTGACTCGGCTGCACGTGGTTTTTGTGGCCTCGAAGATTAGGCCGAAAACCAAGTCCCACAAATACTCTGAACGACCATCAAGATCTACTAATTGAATCATACAGTTGCTGCTATTTTGTGGACATGCAAATTTGCCATCCCATGTACAACGTGTGAGCTGGGGAAAAAAAAGGCCGTTGATGGGGAATTGAGTCGACCAATATCCATGAATGGTCCGCGAAAAAATACTATATTCCTCCATATGCATATCAAAGATCCTAGTGATAAGAGACCCCATTTGACATCTGAAGGGACATATATTTGATACCGAACGCCAAAATCTGGACCGAAAATAAATGATGACATAAATAGGGGTGGTGGGTTCAGATGGGTCTCATAATGGACATGACAAGGTATATCGCAGGGCGTATCATTATTCAAAATAGGAGATCACGTAAAGAAGCATGATCATGGAATCAAGTTGACTGGGATGTGGAAAATGCTCGGGCCGGGCAATTTGGATGCGTCATTTGGGGCCGCTTGCTTCTTGCGGTTCTCCTCACGCACTGCCATTACACGTTCCATCACCGTAAACAGTTTTTTAACAGATGCGGGGCGAGCATCGTCAGGTGGGTCTTCCTTAGGAGCTTGGTTGACCTCCATATCGTAGGCGTAAGCGATTTCATAAGGAACGAAGGAGAACAATGCGATTGGGCGCTCCAATTCGAGAAAATGGGGGGTGGTGGAAAACACTTCTTGGCCCTCTTTATGTTGTGCATCATCCACATCATCGCCTATAATGAGCTCTCTCAAGTTACGTGGCCGGTCTTGCGCGAAATAGGGTTCGGCACTCAGAAAACCAATGACAAAATCTGGGTTGGCGCAAGCCGCGGCTATTGACGCTTTCCGATACTCGGACGTGAAGGCAGATTCCTTGTCACAGGGGAGGCAGATCGCTATGCCACGGGACAGAAGCGGTGCTGGGGCAATTCCCTCGTCAGGTTGCACATGGGGCTGCATTGTGATTGTCTCGGTGGTCACCGAGATGGTGGATGACTTTCGCAAAGCACTACCCATATTCTCTTGGCTGAACTCAGACCAGCCGGTAGACACCTGGGGCGATAGCTGGAGCTCTTCCTCCTCCTCATGTGAAGATTCGCTGAGGTCTGCGGAGATTTCTGTTTGGATGGTCTTGACCGTGGTCGCGACGGCTTCGCGGGCAGCCCTGCGGAGGGTAGGGATCAGCAAATCCTTCTCTTGGTGATCCACCGGGACTCCAGGTGCCCAAGCGGAAGCGAGTCCGGCCCACTGCGCATTTCTAATGGCCCCGTTTGTATAATTCCTCTTGATGATATCGGCGAGGGTGGCGAGGGAATCATGGTGGGCTGCCAATCGGCCCATGAGGTTCAGTGTCGAGTTCAGGACGCGGCTAGCTTCCCATAAAATAAACCCGTGTTTTTTGGCGTAAAAGGTTAATTCATCTGTGGTCTCCTGTGTCCAGTCATCGATAATTTCTGCCTGAACAGCTAATACTGCGATGTAGGGCCCCAAGTCTGCAGCCAGCTGTACCAGCGCGGCCGAAGTGGTAATCAAGTGAGAGGCCATCACGCAGGTCGGCACGCCGAAGGGAAGCGACTTTTTGGTTTCGGGCAATTTCTGGATATAATCCAGAATCGGATTCTTGGAGGCACCATCTAACGGCATTGTGAAGGGGTGGGAGGAGGGCGCGTCCAGAAGAGTAGGTTGGGGGAAAGGAAAGGAGGGAAGGCAGCGAGGCGTGGTTTTTAATTAAGCATGCAAAGCAAGAAAGCGATGGGGAGAGCTAGGATTCCGCAGCGGGGCTACGTTTCTCCACCCTAAGGAAATCGAGATGCAACGGAGATAAAAAAAAGGGTGAGCATCGTTGCTCCAACCAAGTAGAGCTTGGTCAATTATTTCAAATACGGACTCAATCGGTCTTTTTTCTTTTTTCTTCTTTTCCCTTTAGACCCATTTTCTCGCTTTTTCCTTTTGCTTTTCCGATTTTATGCTTTCGTGATTTATTCCGGAGTCGTCACGATTGGTCTGCAGGAAAAGGGCGTGCACTAGCGAGGCGACAGTGGGGACTGCACAATGGGCTGAAGGGGGGGGGGCGCCTTGTGTTCCCTAACCCTCCCCCCATTCGAATACAAAGCAGAAGCCTTTGCGCACTGTCCGTCGATCAAGCGACTGACAAAAGTTGCAAATGCGATGGAAGAGTCCCACCACATCGCTTTACCGCGCGGGTCGTCCCGCCCATCGCAAAATAAAAAGAAAGAAAGAAAACAAAAGAACCGGCAAAAGTCCCGTGTGATGGGCATTGCAGGATTTAGTGTCGGGCGCCGGCTCGCCCCTTTCCAATAGTTCCTTATCCTTTGTTCTCTGTTCTTTGTTCTTGATTCTGTTATTGCTCCATTGTTCGGTGCGAATAGGGTTAATCCAAATACTGCAAAGGTCCAGTCCTCGAGCCGTATACCAATGGGGTAGGATCATCTGGTTTCAGAAGTGATACGTCCCTCCATTCCCTCCGTCTACAAAATATCGCCGACCTCGCCTACGTCTCATTCAAGGAGCTCGATATTCCCTGCCTCCCTCAAAAAATCCATTGCAAAAAATCCATTGCAGCTACTGGGTGCCACTCGATTCCCCTTTGGGCCCTCCTCCGGTGATACAGGACGGTTGGACCGGAGCTGAGTGGTTGGGGCCAATGGTCGATATTCATTAGCCTCAGGTGTCAGAAGGAAGTACTACCCCCAGCAAGTTTCCTGTGGGCTGGTTAAGGTTTGGCCGGTCGGCACCTTCTTTCCAGTGACCTTTCGTGGAAAAGAGGGCTTTTTCCACCACAGGTTGCTCCGATACCGGTAGATCCTTTCTTTCTTTCCTTCTTTTGCCCCTGAGATGTTAACTGGCTTTGGGCCACCTTTCCGCGAGGCTTAGGGGTGGAGCACGGAGTATGGGGGTAATTGAGAGGCCCCCCGCAAAAGACCCCATATTAGTACTCTGCATCTTTAACCAAAAGAAGTAAAGACACGGATTCCAACCGAGGTTACAATACTCTGAACGAGTGGCCCCTTGGGGCCTATAGAATTTGTCGATTTTCTCGCGCAAGTCCGTGCCAAGTGATCGCACGATTTTTGCGAGCCTTGGAGATTGGACCACCCCGGGTCTAGCCCGTGATACCCCCGGGCCTATCAGCAACGGATGAGTAACCTGTTACCAACCGTCCACTGGAGCTGCGTAGCTACTAGTACAGCTTATACAGTAGGCATTCGCATAAGTCATATGCGGCAAAGTGCATAACAGGCATAATGCTAGTGTCAAGATCAGACAGTATGGGTGAAGATTAGCTCTAATCGGAGGTCGTGCCCGGATGATGGCTCAATTGTCTACGCATGAGGTATGCCCTGAGTAATTTCAAAGATGGCCTGATCAACAAGGGCCGGAACCCGATTAGCCCCCTGACCCTCCAATACTGCAATGTGGTTCCAGGTTGCTGTGATGAAAATTCTGCCGCCGGAGGCGGTAAACGAGTGGCCTGACGCGCCCCTGAAAGATTATTTGTCCGTCGCCTTCCGAAATTTAAAGAACTCAACTCGACTTCACCTTTAAACCCTAAGTTGCGTGCATTTTACCTCGATTCTTGACTCGACTCTTTCGTCGCCTTTCCGATATGCCCGGACGGGTCCTTCCCACCTTCACGGCCGCCGAGGTCGAGGCTCACAATGACGCCAAATCTTGCTACATCACCATTGGAAACAAAGTCTACGATGTCACCGAATTCGTGGAAGACCACCCGGGTGGTGGTGATTTGATTCTTGAATTTGCCGGCAAGGATGTCGAGGAAGTCATGAAGGACGAGATCTCTCATGAGCACAGCGAAGCTGCCTATGAGATCCTATTGGACTACCATATTGGCTTCCTCTCTGCAGACGGCACGGCATCCTCCAAGGCTACCGTCTCAGGGGTCGATGCCAGCGCAAGTAGCGAACATCCTGTCTACAAAACTACAGGAATGTCGCGTGCGGAGGATTTGTCGGTCGATACAGACTATACTCAGGATTTCAAGACCCACAAGTTTTTGGATCTTAACAAACCCCTCCTCATGCAACTTTGGAATGGCAACTTCACCAAGGAGTTCTACCTGGAGCAAATCCATCGCCCCCGTCACTATAAAGGAGGTAAATCTGCGCCACTGTTCGGTAACTTCTTGGAGCCATTGAGTTTGACCGCTTGGTGGGTGGTGCCCCTGATCTGGCTCCCACCGGTCACGTATGGAACATTCATCGGCACCACCGGTATAAGCGATCCTGCTGCTGCTGCTTCATATTGGGTACTCGGCCTGTTCCTGTGGTCCTTGATTGAATACCTCATGCACCGCTTCTTGTTCCATGTTGATAAGTATGTTTTCCTGCACTCTCGACACATAACAGCCTTCAATCATAGCTGACGCATCTATAGGTGGCTTCCGGACAACAGGGTTGGTCTGACTCTTCACTTTCTCCTCCATGGTATCCACCACTACCTTCCCATGGACCGTTATCGACTTGTGATGCCACCAACGCTATTCCTGGTTCTAGCTGGTCCCTTTTGGAAACTGGCTCATACCGTCTTCTTCTACGACTGGTTCGTGGCTTTGCAAGTTTTCTGTGGTGGCATGTTTGGCTACATCTGCTATGACTTGACCCATTATTTCCTCCACCACCGCAAGTAAGTTTTCTTGCCTAAAGTAGTTTAGCTCTGGCCAAATTACTAACTCTCTGTAGCTTGCCACTGTACTACAAGGAGCTTAAGAAGTACCACCTCCAGCACCACTATGCGGATTACGAGAATGGCTTTGGTGTTACCAGCCGGTTCTGGGATCGCGTTTTTGGCACTGAGCTGGAAGACCCCGCTCCTAAGGTTGTCAAGATCCAGTGAGTATCTGTGCTTTAGGGCAGTGACATCTCACCAATTCCGAATGTTCATGATTTTACGCTGAGAGTCACACTTGGGTCATCCTGGAGCGAAAAGCTTTTACCTCCTTTTAATATCGCAAATCCGGAGTTTGGGGTCTTTTGTCACAGGGTACATGCGCATCCTCTTGCAGCCAATGTTAAAGAATGCCCAAAGGAGTGTTTGCTGAATCACTTTGCCGTCACTATCGCTTATTACTGTACATAATAATAATGAAACACAAGTATATTACCGTCACATCAACTGGTCAATTATGAGCGTAACCCTAAAAGTTCAAACATGAACTCAATGGGATCAAGTGATCTCTGACTCAATTGGCTTCCTAAATCCAGTGGTAATTTTCGCCTGATCATCCCCCGATAAACTCACCGCCGAAGGCCTTTGGAAAAACCCGATAATCACGTGCATTTACCCTTCACCGCCCTGCGTGAATACTGACTCTATGTCGATAGTCTGTCTTGTCCATCGTTTATCCTCCTCCTCGGCGAATCACAAACTATCGCAGAAGGAATTGCTCATTGACCTCCATCGTTCCTCTAGCACCTTGATAGTTATTCCAGCCGATTTAACTTATTGTTTCTTGATACCTCAGCCTCTACAGTCGAAAATCGCGCGACAGACTCTGACAGGATGTCCGGCCTCGACGTGGAGGCTCTTCTTGAGTCCACCGCCACGCCCGCTGCGGTCCCCGCCGCCTCGCCCCAGCAGGATTCTGGCGATGGCCACTCTAATGTTTCGTATGATCGTCGCGACCGCGACCGTGACCCTTCCCGCGACAGACGCCGTCGCCGCCCTGTCGACGCTGATGATCACGATGATATAAGAAGTCCCCACAGCGGTAGCGCTAACGGAAGCCATAGAAGTCGCACTCCTGACAATGACCGCCGCTACTCCCGTCGTGACCGTTACGGTGACCGTCGCTCTAATGGTGACTATTACCGCGGTGGAGGCCGTCACCGCTCGCGTTCGCCCCGCAATGACCGTCGCTACCGCCCCCGTGTGGAGCGTGATCATAGCCGTGATCATAGCCGTGACCGTGGCCATGACCGTGGCCATGACCGTGGCCGTCGCGACCGTCGCCGCACCCCCACCAATTCCCCTGAACCTAATGACGATGAGCGGGACAAGCGTACCGTTTTTGTGCAGCAGCTGACTGTTCGCCTTCGCACCCGAGACTTGATCGAGTTCTTCACCCAGGCCGGGCCCGTCAAGGAGGCTCAAATCGTCAAGGATCGTGTCAGCGGCCGTTCCAAGGGGTAGGTGGCGCCTCTCTTCTTATATCATTGTGTCACTCCGGCTAACATGTTGATGACAAGGGTTGGATATGTCGAGTTCAGGGACGAAGAATCTGTTGCCCGTGCCCTCGAGCTTACCGGACAGAAACTGACAGGTCAACCCATCATTGTGTCATTGACTGAGGCAGAGAAGAATCGCCAAGCCCGTAACCGGGAGGGTCGCTCTGGTGGTCAGACGACTGCTTCTTTCCACAGACTCTACGTCGGTAACGTTCACTTTAGCATTACTGAGAAAGATCTCTACAGCGTGTTCGTCCCCTTTGGCGAGCTTGAATACGTTCAGTTGCAGACAGACGAGGATGGACGCAGCAAGGGCTATGGTTTTATCCAGTATGTGTCCTATCCTCTTTCTAATCGAAGGTGTTCATACTGACGGACATTTATCTTTAGGTTCGTTAATCCTTCAGATGCTCGCACTGCTTTGGAAGGAATGAACAACTTTGAGCTCGCTGGCCGCACAATCCGTGTGGGTCTTGGAAACGATAAGTCTTCCACCCCAGATGGCAATGCCAATCGCTCTTCATCTTCAGCCAACCAACAGGGATCCTCCTTCTCTGGCCAGGGTGGTCGTGGCATCCAGGCCGGTGGTTCCAACAACTTTGCCCGTGCTGGCGGCAATGAGCAAGGCGCCGGGGCCAGTGCCCTGGACGATGCTGATGTGGCTGGTGTGAACTTCAACAACTATAGCAGGGACTCATTGATGCGCGCGCTCGCCCGGACCGGTGAAGCCAGTCCCGCTTCTCACGAACAGCAGATTATCCCACGCCCTGGAACTGAGGCCCGTCCCCTGCCTACCCCCGCAACCCCGGCCAGTCGCTGCATTAAGATCAGCAACGCGTTTGATGCCTCCGAGTAAGTACTTGTGCTGGGTCACGATTTTTATCGTTCAAAGGCTAATGCCTGCATACAGGGTCGAAAGCGACGAATGGATCAAGGAACTTGAGAACGAAGTCCGTGCCGAGTGTGAGCAATCGTACGGCCGCGTAATTCACATTTCGCTGGATCCACACTCCGACGGCGATATCTACCTCAAGTTCGAGCGCGTTGCTGGCGGAGAGAAAGCCTTGCAGGGTCTCAATGGTCGTTTCTTCGGAGGCAGGACGATAACTGCGGAACCCGTTGTCGACGCTGTCTACCGCAGTCTCTTCAACCGCAATCGAGCTATCTGACTTGGCGGCGACTTACAATTTATTCTGCCACTTACAAGTTGTCTTGCGACCTACAAGTTACTCTGCGGCCTACAAGTTATTCTGCGACCCATAAGTTATTCTGCGTCCTACAAGTTGTCTTGCGACCAACAAGCTATTCTGCGACCTACAGGTTATTCTGCGTCCTACAAGTTTTCTTGCGACCTACAGGTTATTCTGCGACTTTTAAGTTGTCTTGCGGCCTACCAAGTTATTCTGCGACCTACAGGTTATTCTGCGACCTACAAGTTGTCTTACGGCCTGAAAGTTATCTTGCGACTTACGAGTTATTCTGCGACACACAACTTACTTTGCGACTTACCTTAGCGGTTTCTTTTCCTTTTCTCTCTCTCTCTCTGCACCCCCCTATCCCCCTCTAACATGGCATCAGTCACTCGCAGATGTCACCACGCCTTTCCCGAAGTCGCGCGGCTTTGATAGCCACTTATCTTGACCTTAAAAATTTGATCGGTTGCGCCGTCAATCCTCCCCTAACTGGGGGCATGTTTCTTCGTCGTAGCGTAGCCTGAGCCCTCTGTCACAACCTTTCAGTGGTTGGAGCCTTCCTGAATAGGTAGTAGATATCTGGTGGAATGAACTTTCGATATCCTCGGTCAATACAGATTCGTTCTGGAATAGCTTGCAGCTGTCCGAGGCTTGACTGAATGGTGGCGTTGCCGGCATTACCCAGGCCTCCTCCCAGTTAGCTGCCAGAGCGGAACTGCAGCCGGAGTCCTTGCCGTTCTCCAATCTAATCTGCCGACGCTCGGGCCAGAAAACTGTTCGGACACCCCACGCTGTTCCAAGATAACTCCTTTCTTCCGTAATTGTCACGATCAATGGGCCATTCATGATCTCCATTTCAGCGAGGCGAGTAACAGGCCGGGCCGCGACCTCGGCCAGCCGTTACGGTACGTCCAGACGCCCGAACGTTACCCTCCCAGCTTATGGCCTCCGCTAACAATGAAACACGTAGGAGCCTTGATCTGCCCTCGCAGGTCGCGTCGGTTCAGCTCCGGAGTTCCAGAGGCGACTCTGTCCGCAAAGAAGCGACCTCAGTTCCACGACTACTTTGTTACCCATTTGCCTTCATCTTCGCTTCACCCGGACTCTCAGGGCCTAGCCAATCCGTTCCATAAGCTTCCTCGCGCCGAATCAGTTCCACACACGGGCGAAACGCCCCATCCTCCCACCTCGTATGGCGCATTGGTTGACAGGGAGACTACGGTGGTCCGAATCCCGCTACGTAGCGCTAAGCATCACTTCGGGGCGGCCACAGCCCGCGGTACGCGGCCGTCAAATGAAGACACCTTTCAAGCCGGCGTAATCGATATTCCCGCCTTTGCAAAGCGACCACCTGCATCGTTGAAAATCAACCGGAATCTTCCAGCTCACGAATCACGGGCCGCAAACACTGCGAGTGGAGATCCTCAGACATTCTATTTCGGCATTTTCGATGGCCACGGGGGTGATGAATGTAGCACCTACTTGAAAGACAACCTGCATGAGTATATTCAACATACGGCCGCCGATTTCGAGCTCCAATCAAGCATCCAGCCGGGTCCCGTACGTGGGAAAGCGGGCGATGGCGTGGGGCCGTTGCCGGTGCTGCAGCAGGCCAATCGGCGTAAGATTGGCGATCTTGAAAAGAGCCTTGTGCAGAGCTGGAGACGTATGGTCGGAGGATATTTCAGGCGCTTTGAGCCCAGGCACTTCGCATACTATGGAAACAATGGTGAGGATTCAGCGTCTCCCGATCAAGTATCCATTGAGGAAGTGATGGAATACGCTTTCCTCCGTGCAGACCTGGAGTTTGTCAAGGCCCAGGCGTCCAAGCGCGACGATGACCTGACGCAAGCTGAGAAGCCCTTGAACGAAGATGAAATCCTCCACAGCCCTAGCTTCACCCGAACACCGAAGATTGGTGGTCACTCGCGATTCAAGGGTGGGAGTACGGGCAGCGTCGCCTTGATATCCACGCCCACGCCTACTCCCTTCTGGCATCCAGCTGGTCCGTCGAGTCTCCTTGTATCTCATGTTGGAGACACCCGAATATTGCTCTGTTCTACTGCAACTGGTGAAGCCATTCCTGTTACGTCAAACCATCACCCCTCGTCGCCCATCGAGGCAGGGCGACTACGCCGCTATGCGGCCACTTTTGTGACTGATTCTTTCGGCGAGGAGCGCATGAGTGGACTAGCGAACACTCGTGCCTTCGGGGATGTCCAGTCCAAGCGAATGGGTGTCTCCGCAGAACCAGAACTCCGCCGGGTCGAGATGGGTCCGGCCGAGTTCTCTTTCCTAGTCCTATTGTCAGATGGTATCAGCGGTACGCTTTTAGACCAAGAGGTTGTCGACATTGTTAAAGAAGCCCGTACACCTGAGCAGGGTGCCCGCGACGTCGTTGGCTTTGCTACCGAGGTTTCCAAGGAGGGAGACAACGCTACTTGTCTTGTCGTCCGACTTGGTGGGTGGGAACGCCGACAAGAAGGTGGCGTGGGAAGCCTGGGAACGAAAGAGTCTCGCGAGTGGCGACGACAAGATGCCACTGATCCGCGCCGGTCACGGAGGTGAGGACCCTATTCTCTCACGATTTCACCATTTGTAAATACTTTGAATGCTCGGCAGGGCGTGCTGCACATAATTTCCCCAGCTTTATTTAGTCTATCTCTCTGCAAATCCTCCAACTGCCGAGCGAACCCTCTTATGTTACGGGGAGTTTATTGCTTGCAGAAATATCTCATTTTGTCTTTACTTCCCCTATGACTGCTCTTATTGTCGTATTCCAAGGCCATCTTTCTCCACATGTCGCTGCCAGTGGTGACTTCGGGGGACGATAACCAAAGACGAAAAGGGTCTAGTTTTTGTATCATAAACCCTCAACAATTTCGGAATCTGCATCGTACCAGTTAGAACGTCATTTTGCGGTACGAGGGTTTCTCGTATAAGATAACCTTATTCAAAATAGGGGCAAGGAAGCTGAGGACCCTAGTGTCAAAGGGGGGCCGGAAGCTATGCGAGGCATAGATACAATCGGGAACATTGCTATGTACCTACGACGTGAGCACGGGGGTATCACCAGGATAAATCCACTGAGCCTGCATTTCCCATTCCATCCGCAGCAGCCAATCTCTCAATGTCCCCGGGCAAACACGTATCGGGTCACATGGAGTGATTTCAACCCCTCCCAAGCCAGCAGAAAACACGCGTCCGGGCGGCCAATAGCAAGCTTAGATAAGCGTACATTTCTTTTGGGATTATCGGGCCCCCTTAAGATCGCCGTATTCTTATCACCCTCCAATCCCTAGCACTTCTCTTCCCCGTAAGACTTTCCCATTTCACAATGAGCGCAAGAACCAGGAGGCAGAAGGCAGCCCTTGCCGAGAACAGCGAGGAAAGCGAGGGCAGCAATGGCGCCGCAGCCACCCCGTCCAAGCCATCAAAGAAAAGAGGACAATCCGCGACACCCGAAGAGCCGCGAGAAAACATCTTCTTGTTCGCCCCGAACTTGATTGGTATGTACAGCTGATATGGCTTCTGTGAACTCGTGTCCCGTGATCTCAGGCTTGACTGGGGTATGCATCTCGCTAACAAAGCTCTGACAGGCTACTTCCGAGTCGTCCTAGCCATCGCGTCGCTCTACTATATGCCCCTCCACCCTCGCACATGCTCGATCCTGTATAGCATCTCATGTCTGCTAGATGCACTTGATGGATATGCTGCACGCTACTTCAACCAGTCGACCACTTTCGGCGCGGTGCTGGACATGGTGACTGACCGTTGTACCACCTCGTGCTTGATCGTTTTCTTGAGCTCCGCCTGGCCCCGGTGGGCTATTGTCTTCCAGGGTCTGATCTGCTTGGACTTGGCCAGTCACTATATGCATATGTACGCGACTTTGAGCCGCGGGGGATCGAACGAGAGCCACAAGAATGTCAAGGCGACTCAGAGCTGGTTGCTTTACCAATACTACCACAGCAAGGTATGTCTATGCCACCTCATTTTGGTTTTTTACCTTTTCTTTTTGGCTCTTTATTTTTTTTCTTTTTTTTTTTTGATACTAATACTGGCGTGGCTTAGGCGGTTCTATTCGTTTGCTGTGCTCTGAACGAGCTCTTCTTCATCGGTCTCTACCTGTTGTCCTTCTCCTCGCCGATCCTGTCGCCCTCCCTCCTGCAGCCAATCCCTGACGCTAAGCCTTCCTCCATCCAGCCTGGAAACCCTGCTCACCCTGCCCCATCGAGCCTCTTTGCCAGCCCTTGGAGCGCCGGGGCTCTTGAGATGGCTCGCGCCAACAAGATCGACAGCTTTTGGCCTTGGGCTATTACCGGCGTCTCGGCCCCAGTCATGTTCTTCAAGCAGGTGGTCAACGTTGTCCAGCTTGTCAATGCCAGCAAGATGCTGGCTGAGGGGGATCTGGAGACCCGACGTATCAACCGCAACAAGAAGAAATAAGCTCGTCCAATCAAACACTGGGGTGATTTTCTTGATTGATCCCAATTAGAAATGTCCTTTCATCATCACTCTTCCCACTTTCTCTGGTCATGCATGTCTTTGGAGCTTCGGTCTGTGATTTCAAGAGAGTTGCATCTGACAGCGCTAGGAGCTGTCGGGTCTGGTTCTAGCGGAAAGATTGGTCTGGCGGTTTGAATTCTTCTTGTGGGCGTCTTCCTCGGCTTAGTCCTTGTACAGTTCATACCGCTCTGTGTTGTTTACATTCGTCTTTGCCTTCTGCCCCTTATTCTTTTGTACCCCTTCATTTTTTTTTTCTCATTGCCTTGGCTCCTTCTACCCCTCATGTTCTCATCCTTAATGCAGCTTATATACGTCATTTAATGCATGCCCATTTGCGTATGGACTTTTGTGTCTCCGAGTAGCGGCTAGTCCCAAGCCGAGCGGCCCGGCTGTAGCCGCAGCAGATCTACCAAAAGCTTGTGCTGCTAAAGCTTCAAATAATCACGGGCAGCTTCAGCATATCCAAGTTGTCTATATACACGATCAATTGGATATTAATTATCCAGAGACCATTAGATCTGAGCCGAAGTTACGTTCAATCAAATTCGTCAATATATGCATCGTTTTCGTGAACCCCAGGCCGACTAAGCTGCAGAATATCGGAAAGACCCATGGCGCGTCGCCGATCTCGGAGCTGGTGGGGGTCTCCAGTCGCCCGCATCCCACCTTTTTAAAACCGCCGACAACCCTTGAACCAATCGAGTACTCTTCAATTGCAAACCCCTGCTACTCAATTCAGAATGCCTGCTTATAACATCGTTGTCTTCGCCGGTGACCACTGCGGCCCTGAGGTACGTTCCTATCTGCTTGCAAACGGCTCTTCTCTAGCCACAGAAACAACAAGCTAACCCGCAAATCAGGTCATTGCCGAAGCTGTCAAGGTAGAACCATCTATGGATTTGAGCTGAAAATCTTGAGATCTGACCGCTCTTTCCCAGACGCTCCGCGTTATCGAGAAGCATCGCGATGTTTCCTTCAACCTGCAGGACCACCTCCTCGGCGGCGTTCGTATACCTCCAACCGACTAAGTTAGCACAATAGCTAACCAAGAACTAGGCTTCCATTGACGCCACCGGCTCTCCCCTGACTGACGAGGCCCTGACTGCTGCAAAGAATGCCGATGCCGTCCTCCTGGGAGCTATCGGCGGACCTGTACGCTCTATAACCCAGACCCCAACCCTTCCACAAAAGGCCCAACCCAACTAATACAACTCCCAACCCCAGAAATGGGGAACCGGCGCCGTCCGCCCCGAACAAGGCCTCCTCAAGCTGCGCAAAGAAATGGGTGCCTTTGGCAATCTGCGTCCCTGCAACTTCGCCGCTCCCTCGCTCGTCGAACACTCCCCTCTGAAGGCTGACGTCTGCCGCGGCGTCGACTTCAACATCATCCGTGAGTTGACCGGCGGAATCTACTTTGGCGAGCGCAAGGAAGATGACGGCTCTGGCTTCGCGCTGGACACGGAGCCATACTCCCGCGCCGAGATCGAGCGCATCACCCGGCTGGGCGCCAACCTTGCGCTCCAGCACAACCCGCCTCTCCCCGTGTGGAGTCTGGACAAGGCCAACGTGCTTGCGACCAGTCGTCTGTGGCGCAAGGTGGTCACCGAGGTCATGGCGAATGAGTTCCCGCAGGTGCAGATTAACCACCAGCTGATTGACTCTGCGGCAATGATTATGGTGAAGAACCCTCGTCAGCTGAATGGTATCGTCATTACTAGCAATCTGTTCGGTGATATCATTAGCGACGAGGCGAGTGTGATTCCTGGCTCGCTGGGCCTGCTGCCTAGTGCTAGTGTGACTGGCGTGCCAGATGGTAAGAGCAAGGTGAACGGTATCTATGAGCCTATTCACGGTAAGTCTTGTCTTAGGGGCGTTGATCCTTTTTTCGTTTCTCCGTGCAACATACTGATGAATGTAGGATCTGCTCCTGATATCGCTGGCAAGGGCATTGTCAACCCTGTCGCCGCTATCCTTTCTGTGGCCCTGATGTTCCAGTACTCTTTCAACTTGTTAGACGAGGCCAAGCTCATCGAGAAGGCCGTCAGCAACGTTATCGAGGCTGGTATCCGCACCGGTGACATTTCCGGCACTGCTACCACTGCGGAAGTTGGTGATGCCGTTGCCGCTGAGCTGGAGAAGCTGCTCAAGTAAAATATATCTGCTTCGCATGAGATATGACAAGTGTTCTAGTTGAAAATTCAAATACCCTTCGGCAGTTATAGAATGAACGCCAACACAATTTTCATCTTCTTCGCGGCGGTAAAGCTCGAGGCACATCGTCTAGAATCATACCAGAAGGTCGCTGATAATAGCAGGCAACTTGATGTATCACTTAGTCTAGTGCTTCGTGAATCAGGGAAGGTATAGTGCATGAAACGATTTATCGCCTAGTCATGATGAATCTTTCCAATTATGACATTCCATGAAGAAACTCGACCTGGGTATCTTAACGCCAGTACAAAACGCCGAAGCAACAGGAGAGGGAAAACGCCGCTAACATGCCGGAATATATGATTCATCTCACCGAATAATAGGCTCGCCCATCCACTCCGGCTCTTCCAACCCACTCGGGGAAACAGGCCTCACTGCTTGTAAGTCCAACCTCGCCACATCTAAATCCACACTGCCTACCCGATCATGATGGGAATTTGGCCGCAAAGACTGGCGATGGCTATGTCTCCGGAGACGGTCACGTCCATCAGCAGAAGCGGACGGGGCAGTCATAGTAGCCCGGGACCCGTCAGAAGCAAAAACCTGGAATCCACGGACATGCGTGTCCTTTCCATTCTGATGATTCTCCATCACACGCATCTGAATCACCATAGCCTTGAGAACGTTACCGTAGTAAGGCTCCTGCCTCAGTCTCTCCTCCAGCTCGGAGTCCCCATCGTCACTATCTTCGCCCTCGGCGTGGCTCGATCTGCGACGTGGACGGGTCTTGTCTTCGTGTACCCAGCCTCCATTCCGGCCGCCAACGCCCTCGAGCGGGATGTCTTCCCAGCCGCGTGGCGCTTCGCCTTCCCAGGTTGCGAACTCGACAAGGTCGTTGCCGCCCATCCCGGCGAGGAAGATCATCTTTGTAGGCGTGTAGCTTTCGTCCATATTGAAATCTAGATATACCCGGATGCGCACGACAGCGACAAGTTTGAAGAAATGTAGGGTGAGGATATGTGGCTGCGGGCCGTCGGATTGCCAGTACTGCATTGGTGAGGGGTTGCGCAGGGCTGCGACACCGCAGCCAGGCTTGGAGGTTGAGACGGTCCATGAAGCCAGAGATGAGATTTCACGCAGGTTTGAAGGGAGAGGCGATTCCGATCGCTCTGGTCATAATCAGTCGAATGTGTCTAAGTGCCTGGGGCAGGATCAGTAGACGCACCTCGGTCCATGTCTTCGTCGTCCTCCTCGAGCTGGTCATCCATCATCTCGTCCAACTCCGCTGGGTCGACATCTTCGGTATCCTCGAGCTCCTCAGATCCTGGGTGCTCGTCTGAGTCCAATTCATCCTCATACTCGTCCTGGTTGACATCCTGGGCGTGGGGATCAAAGTCCTCGTCCGCGTCATCAAACACGTCCTCGTCCTCACCCTCGTCCTCACCATATTCTTGGGGCGGTGGAGCTTGAGGGTCATGTCGAGTACCACGGCCAAAGATACCGAAAGGGTTTATTATTCCTGCTGGAGGGGCCATCGCAGGCAATGCGTCCGGGGTTATCTCATGAGGCCCTGTTGATGGAGGAGCGGCGCGTGTTGGGTTGGAAGGGGTGCGGCGCGACGGCGGAGTCTGGAACTGTGCACGAAGATTTCCGGCACGTGCCTCATCCAGCTGGCCACTCGGATTGGGCTGGCGGCGCAGGTTTGGCATTGCGATGAACGGCGCGGGGTTGAATAGAGATTGTTGTGACTTGAGAAGCTTAATTCCTCTTTCGGATTAGCGTGGCTTGTCGTCGCGAGGCACTCTCCCGTCGCTGTGATATATTTGAGTGGGTACACATGTGGGTTCTAGTCTATATCGTGCGTTTGATACAGGAGTGAGTAGTCGCCAGCTGATAGGCTCTCTACAGGTGTTTGAAGGAGGTCTTGAGCCTTGGCAGGCTAACCATGATCTTGTCAATACTGCGCCGAAGGGGCGCGTCTATCGATTTACCAATCCAAACGCCAAGTACTAGGAGCCTCCAGTGGTGCTGCTTGAAGATCGTGTGGTCTTCAATTCAAAGAGCTGACACTTTTGAAACTGAAGCTCATTACTGTAGCAAATTCAACTAGACCTCTGCATAGCCCTCGAACTGGGCTTCGGCCCATTAGTGGACGGGATTCATTGAAATCGTATTATGAATTGTAAAAGCCACAGTTGTTTCGAAGCACAGGGTGCCTGCTGTAAAATATAAAATTCCGTATATATCCAAGGCCCTTATCCACTCCGCACCTTACGCGAGTTGGGCTTTCGGGGTCCAGAGCCTGTGAGATCGCCTTTGGCGCCATTGATCTTGCCACTGATCTTACCATTGAGCTTGCTCTTGAACCGTCGGACCATCTCTTCCACTTCATGGTCCTCCAATTCCTCCATCACGTCGTCCTGGATATCACTATCTCCGATGCTGGTTCCGCAGGCCCAGTCCACAATACCGGAAGGCCCATAGTTGCCATCGCCGCCTGAGAGGAGATGTTCATCTGTGCGACGAGCGATCCCACCAAGCAGGAAGCTGGTCGGCAGGGTGGTATATCCAGAGTAGGCAAAGGTCTCTTCAAGGGAGCACAAAGACAGATATACGAGATAGGTGAGCATGTGGAATCGGAATAAAAGAGCTGGCGCATAGGTAGGGATGAATCGGCCGACCAAATATGCGACTGGATGGTCGTAGTGAGCCGTGAGAGCATACGGGGCTTTAAGACTGTGGTACCAGGTTCCGTGCCACTTTGCGAGGATCGAATCTGAGTGTAGGATGAAACGGTGCGCGACATAGGTGAGTATCTGCGGGGAAGAATATCGCGTTAGCAGCAAATTCATGGTTTGAAAAAGCGCAACCAACCAACGGAAACCTACCTCCCGTACTATATAGCCTCTGGCTAGATCAACTATGACATCCCACGGCATGGGAATCCTCATAGATACGCTGATCGCATAGCGCGCCCCAAATATGCGCATGATCAACCACTCGGTGAAAAGCTGGAGAAGGATACCAAGGAGTAGGTTCACTAGCGACCACGCTACGACCTTGATATCCTTCACGCGCACATTGCCCGATCTCTTACCACACGGCAAGCCGGATTCACCTTGCGCCTTGAAGGATACTGAGATAGATGGCACGAGTGTGTCGATCAAGAAAAATAGAAAAGAGGGTATCACGAAGAATACCAGCCTTGCGATGACTGTTCCGGCAAGGATGACTCGTAACGGGGGTGAGAGAGCACCAGAGTCGACCAGGTCATGTAGAAAAACACAAAATTGAGGCTGGTCGCGTATGAGGCGAAGAATGATGGCGCGAGGGCCACCGTAAGCAGTGGAATCGCGAACAGTGAGGACATAGTGTCAGTAGCAGTTAAATCGGCGTCTTTTGGAAATGTGCGCGAAGGGAAAAATCGCGGATGGGATTGAAGCCCAAGCAGGGCAGAAGATTCCTCAGAGACTGCCCTAGATTAACCAGCCAATTGCCGTGATATCATGGCTGATTTCTTCCTAAACCAGAAGAATGGACGCCACGGCTCATGCGACTTGGAGGTGCCCTGGAACATGCTGGGGGGGCTACGTCACCGCCCGCTGTCAAGATCACCGGCCCACGTGATATCAAGCCCTCTGTGGAGTTCCGATCTAATAGTCTCTTCTGTTCAGGGCTAAAGGTCGATGGTATTAATAAATACTATGGGTACAGGCAACTAACCATCCAGGCATAACGGCTTTCTATTGCTCTTGTCATGTTCGAAACGTATGCTGTCGGAATTCCTGAACATCCTACTATGCCGCTAAGGGCTTCGGAAACCCAGCTGGTATCTATTTCACGCGGTCATTTCCACAGGAGAAAGAGCTCTCTTCATGGGGATTTGAGGCAGTCCTTCCTAGGTCTCACTAGAATATCAGCGGTAGATTTTGAATCTACGTTCAATATTCTCAAGTTCGCAGTTTATTTCATTTGATCTACTACTAGTATCCAGCACAGAAAGTTGAAAGAAGGGATCTTTCACTCTCTTATAGAGACACTGGTGGCTATTCTCAGAGTGATGGTCTGGGGCCTTTCGAGAGATTATAATACATTGTGAAGTTAATATATAGTTCGAAGCTACAAGCAATTTGCATTATGTGGCTAGCTACTTTAGTTGTTTTATGGTTTGAATGGCTGGCCCTTTGATCCTCAATGCGGTGCAGCGTAATGGCGATGCACCTAGGTGCATGAAATCACGGGACATCAAAGTAGTTTCGAGATACTTTGAGCCCTTCCGCCAAAGTCTTTCCATTTTTCGCGTAGACATACTTCAACGCCACGTCGAATCATGAGCTCTCCGAAGCCCACCATGGATATCCCGTCTCCACCCCCGTGTATCGACACATACCAGTTCGATTTGCGCGTTCAGCAAAAAATTGAGAAGCTTGAGAAGCTTGAGGCGATTCTTCCCTTCGAAGAAAGTCTGCTCTTTGGGGGCGAAATGTCCAAGAAGGAACCCGAGCCTCTTGTCGTATACATCAACCGCCGCCCCTACACCTGCTCTGCCACTGAAGCGGACAGCAGTGCTCACGAGATGGACAACGAAGAGCTTCGTGCTGAGATTACAACTGTCATCTACAAGCACCGGAAAGCCTATGGATACAAGGAGCTGGAGGACTATCACGTTTTCACCTTCTGTTACGACTCCCACCGTCCTATTTCGGTCTACGGCGAGCTGATGAGTTACATTGACCATATTGTCAAGAAGTCCCAGCTCTACGAATCTGGCCTTGCTATTGTGCTTGCAAACTGGGATTCTTTGACCTCCCACAAGGAGTCATACGTTAAACTTTTTGAGCCCTATGCCGGGGAAAATGACAAACACAAGATTGTCCTGCACGTCTGCTCGAACGACCCAAACCGCTTTTACACCGTGGATGCTCTCGAAGCTTGCCGAGTCCTCAGTCCCATTTTCCCTGATACCTTCGAAGATGCTTCGGATAATGTGCAGGTTTTCATCGAGTGTCTGCGCGTCTGGTTCATGCAAGGACTCATGCGGGACTACCCCAACATTGAAGACGTACGTGCCCAAACCGAAGTTGCTACATTTCCTAGTAAAGAGAACAAATATGCTGACTATCTTCTCATAGCTCATTGACGAACATAAGCGTCTCGGCTTCAATGTCGACTACAAGCAAAGCCCTGGTCATTCTGAGGAGGAAGAGTTTATTGCTTCGCGTCTCGCGGTCCCTGCTCGCTGGCCTAATACTTGATCATTGATCAAAGTAGAGCACTTCAGTTGTGAAGATGTATTGAGGTACTCTGGAGGCTCGCACGTCATGGGCAAACGGTCTCCATAACGGCATTAACACACCCAATGATCCGCCGAACTTTTCTGATTTTGTTGATGTCACTGATTTATCCCGGTCTTCCTAATTTTCATGATTTTTCCTGAGACCTTAGATTTTATGGCAAAAAACGATCCCCGGAAAGGGGGAAACGATGACGATAGTTCTCTTTGTATGTCGACTTGAGCCCAATTGATCTATCACAATCAAATTTACTACTGCGTCGAATTTCGGTCCATTGTAGACTCTCTTATACTTTTCGCCAAGTGACTATCAGAGCTACTCTGAGTTAAGGACGCGAAGGTCGGAAGGCTCATGGCCTTGCTGGCCGGTCAAACAACCCGTCATGGAGGGCCACTTTAATGATACATTATGTAATATCCAGTATTGTTAAATACATCCCACATGAGGCTGCCAAATTCAGGGGCACCTGTAACCTTTGTCTCTAGCAGCGGCGGCACGCGGCACGGTTCTTATTCCGCCGTGGAAACGCCATTTATTTAGTTTTTCTTTTCTTTTTTTTTTTGACAAACAAACAAGTCCCGGTATCCTAAAGACCTGATTACTGTAGATAACGCTATAGATATCTCTAATGTGGGGAGGCCGCAGGCAAGGATTGAAACGCACGCGGGGGGCTTCTGCAAGGTGACTAACTTCGAGCCATGGTCTCGAGGAGTTGGAGACCGTCAGTCAGCGCTTCAAAAATTATCTTTTAAGCGACCTACTTTTTTCGTGACGGAAAATGACTCCAGAAGGAATCATGACGCTACGGCTTCATCCGAATACGATTTGCATCACGTGATGATACCGTGGCGATACAGATCTACCCCGCGTGCTCCTCGATCTGGAAACTCTGCTTTGAGATCTGAGACCCTCTTTAAAACACCCAAAGTAATTCATAACTACCATCATGGGATTATTACATCATGATCTTGCGCCGTTCCCCGAGCCCATCGCTCTTTTCGATCAATTTGTTTCGCAGCAGCCCCAAATTATAGTCCTTAAAGAAAAGGTCCTTTCTGTCACTGGGGACAGCTTTGACATCAAGTTCGAGAATCAACAGCCTTTCCTGAAAGTTCACGGGGCCTTAATATCCATCTCTGGCCGCAAGAAGGTCGAGGATGCTTCCGGCACGCACCTGTTCGACATTGTTAAGAAGCATTTCCATCTCCATACCACTTACGCCATTGAGGACATTCACGGCAAGGAGATCTGTGAAATAAAGAATAGTCTTAAGTGTAAGTTCCAAAATTTCCCTGGTATTTGTCAAATATTAGACACTAGAGACGATAACGTAGAGTCCATACACTAACCATTATCATAGTGGTGGGCTCCAAGGCCACCGCCACATTCACCGACAACAAAGACAGGACACACAACTTCACAATGAAAGGAGGATGGTTCGATCATACGGCAGACATTGTCGACGACAAGACCGGGCACTCGGTAGCTCGCGTTGACCGTAAACTGCTTAGCCGTCGTGATATTATCTTCGGTCAGCAGACTTACGCGGTCGTCGTGGCTCCTGGGGTGGACGCAGCCTTGATGGCCGCCTTGTGTATCTGTTTTGACGAAAAGAACAACGAACCGAGTGACTAGACCACGAGAGAACAAATAGTGGAGTCTACGCTCAGGACTTGAAGTCCGTTTTGCGTATTCAATCTCTACTAGTGAACAAACGTGCAAGTTGAATCAACACCTCCCAGTGACAGTTAAACTCATGGGTATATTTATGTAGAAGAGTCATCAGCGATGCTAATACTCGTACCAGTGGTGGCTTGAAATTGAAATTTCGTAATGCGATCAGACTTAGAGTGAACTAGGTTAGGACTCCTGGGGTTGTGGTCCAGCCACATCAGATCAGCCCTGGAGGCGGATTCTACTAGATTCTTGAGCCTAGGGTTGAAATAATCAATGCGGTTTCGTAGAAGGGAGAAGTTCTGGAAGGTCGGCTGCATGGCCGGTAAATTAGTGCATTTCACCCATTGTATTCATTGTTCAGCTCGGAAGTGACCCAAATTGAGGTCTGGTTCCCATCGGTAGGGTTCTCATTCCCGCCACTGGCGGATAAGGTGTCTAGGCGCTATAATTCACACGCGGTAGTCATTTTCAAAGTTAGGCAAGATGCCAGCCAGGACTTCAGGGACTGGCTCCTTAGGGAAATCAAGATTCTGAAGTCCCTGTCCTGTGCAAAGGAACAAAAGACTCGTTGTCGTGGGTCCATCTATAACCGACCCGAGCGAAAAGAGCAAGGGTTTCCAGTACTGCCAAATGAGTTATCACGAGAACTTGACAGCCCTGGCGGAGTATCAAGCAAGCATCCAACAAAAGAGGTAAATCTAACTGGACAGCACGGATCAAACTGAATGTAAATCACTGACCCCTCGATGCAGGATAACATACGGCTACGTCATTCCTTATGAAGAGGACTTGACCCTCTTCGACTTCCAGGTTGACTCGGCGGAGGGGCCTACCTTGGGATTTAGTTGAATGATAGTGGAAAGCAATATCGGGATATAATACCCGTCGAAGGATATTGGAAACATAGTTTATTTGAGAATTCCATGCTATTCAGGTATAAATTCCAGTTGCCGTTGCATAAAGTCCGTTACTAGGTTAACCATCTGCCATTTCATCCATGCTGCTGAGTTATCTCATTCCAAAGTTTGGATATTTGGTCCCCAAGATATCGTGTCCAATCTAGTTTTCCTTCACCAAAAATAACCCATCGATGTCATGGCACGGGAGAGAACCTATCTCTGCAGATCGTACCCTATCTATCTTCTGGGGGTTTCATATGCCTGCGAGGGCCATTCTGTGGGTGGATAAGGGAGACGAGGCTGTGATGATGCTGAGGCATAAGGGTCGCTGGAGGGAGGAAGATAAGTGCTGGGGATAGCATTCTGCATGTGTTGGTATGGTGGTAAAGCCCCAGCCTGTTGAGCCTCTGGGTACACCATTCCTCCAACAACGCCCCCGAACCTGCCTTCAATACTCCCAGCTTGCATATGGCCAGCATCCCTCGCATGCCGCTGTGCTTCTTCTGTGTATTGGTCCATCCGAGCCGAGTAAACTGGGTTGGAAGTCTGACCCAACGATACCGAACGTGAAGTTGATTGCGACGGCCATTCGTTTGCTTGGGAAGTTCGGGTTCGACTCGAGGTTTGGAAGGCTGATCGTGCCCGAGGGATATATGCAGGCCCCGTCTTATCGTCTGGGTACCACCCGCTGGGATACACTGTATTTGACTCTTCGATACCTGGTAGTTCAGTCTGTCCCTTGTACATTGCCAATTCTTGTTTCAGCCGCCTGTTTTCATCTTGCAAAGCAGCGCTGTGTTGACAGAGCTGCTCATTCTGCATATGCATCCCAGAAAGCTGTTCACGTAGCTCAATAACTTCTTGCTCCAGTTGCTCGAGTCGTTGTCGTGCTTTCAAGCGGTTCAGCCGTTGTGCTTCTCGGTCGTTCGCACGTTTTCGCTCGAGTTGATCGGCTGAAAGGGAGGCGACAGTTCTCGAGCTTGAGCGATTGTCTCGCTTCTTAGATTGTTCCTCCTCATTTCTGTCCATGGCTCCTCGTTGTTGGATGATCCTTGCAGTGCTGATGGGTTGGGAACCATACTAGAGATTCCGATCGTTGGCCCGGCCTTTCCACCCCCAGACAGGGCCCGTGACCACCTGGTGTGGACAGAACCAAAGAGGAGGTAAACTCAGCATGAACAGGAGATGACTAGGCTATCTCCTGCCTTTTCGGTTTCATCGCCCTTTTTGGCCTCGCGATCGGGGTGGCTGCCAACCCCTGTATCTCCGGGGCCGTGAGGGAGCAGGGATAACACACGAGAAAGGTGGAACTGGTACCCCCCTCCCTGGTAATTGGGTGACAATATGACCGGGTTTTGCAGTTGCTCAATAGCCAGAAGAATTCTGAAGACTTTATTTCAAGATGCCAGGGAACAGACCGCCATTTAAACTAAATCTACCTTTGGCAGCGGCCAACAACAGCCAACACGATTGAAACTTTCCCAGATCATGGCTTCTTATCGAAAACTGGGCCCAACGACTAGAAGCCGGCGCAGGCACACTTCCCTGCGAAACGACCACGAGCACCAATGGGGGAACAGGAGCCGCACGAACCCTGTGGAGCATCTAGGGCCATGCGAGCTGTGCCGGCCCCAAGATCATCTGCGCATTTGGTCTCCCTGAGTGCTTTTGCCTGAAAAGGGCGGATGCTTGACAATCAAAGCCACCGAGTTTGGCACAGGTCGGCCAGGCGCAATGCGTAATGGTCCAGTGATCGACCGAGAACCCACTGTGCCATGTTGGTTTGATGGTCTACAGTACCGTTGAATGTGTTGGTATTTTGGCGCTATTCCATAAACATAACCACTGTTGGTTCGTATCTTTTAACCTTACCGACCCCTCTCCATTTTTTCCTCTTCAACTCGTTTCTGCAGAACTTCTGTTGGGGCCTCGAGATCCTATCGAAGACCGAGGTATGGGTTGTGCCTTGGCGGCAAGTATGTATAGAACAACGTATATCCCTGCTATTTGGTGGCCTGGAACCGAGTTGTTCTCTCTGTTGGATGCTTGGAGAGCTCGACTATCTTCTGTTGTCAACCAACTGGCAGCAAGAACAGCCTTTGAGAGCCTGCAGGCATATACTTATGACCTTGATATGCAACATGAAGAAGGGTAGTGTGACAGCAACCAACGGGCGCAAGGCCTTCCGAAGGCTCCAGGTCATTTGAAAGTGATTATTGATTACACTTTTTTCCTTTTTCTTTTTTCCCTTTTTTTCTCTTTCCGCGATAATTCCGACCATGATCCACAGGGAACCAACACTACTAGATCACGAGATTTGACTGGCCAAATAACCTTGCAGGGGGGGGAGGATCGCTTTGCTTTTTTATAGGCCCATCGCCCTGCGCTAATAAGCGCCCACTCGGAATGATTTCCACATGCGCCACCAGGATATGGTGAAAGAAAGAGGCCCACGGAAAATTCTCAACAAAAACTTTTCAAGCTTAAGAGGATTGTGGACATGGAGGCAGCCCTGTGACGTAAGATTGCATTTAACCGTTCACAGACACCTAGGAGGGACTGCGGCCCATCAGATCGAATGTCAAGACTGCTGAGCCCCTCCGTTTCCCACCTCATCTGCGTGAAGCGATCTGGGCTAATCTCGCGAATAGACGCTTACGGGAAATGCTCATTCTCCTGTCCCAGGCTGCAGCTTGTAAGACGGCCATGAGAATACGTAGAGTTGCGGAAGGCATGCCATTACAGACGTGTTCCATGATGATGCCCAAAATCCGTTGGCTAGTGGGCCATTCGCGTAAAATAACATCAGTCTCGTAGCAACCCTTCGACAACATTCGTGATCAGTGGATAATTAACGTGCCATGTGGTTTGCTGTCAGGTGATTGACTGCCACGTTGTTTTCCCGCGCAAACCACAAAGTCCCTCGACTTCCGCCCTGAAACGGCTCCGCAACTTTAGCTCCTCGAGCTTGGACCTCTACCCAATGGAAACCAGATACCTCAATTGATTTATTGAAAGGCTCTATATCATGGATCCGAACTACAAGGCCCGGAAAGAGGCCTTTGTGTCCAACCTCTCAGGGAGCAACATCCAAGACATCAACACGGTCTCCCTCGTGGCCTCGGCAAGTCAACGTCTCGAGCTGTCACATTTCAATAGCTAACAGAAATCTGGCCTAGAGTTCTGTTCTCCTGTGGTCTGCACTCCAGTCGCGGCTGTCATTCTTCACACCCTATAGCCCTGCCGCCCTCATAGTCGATTTCCTGCTCAATGTACTGGGCATTCTGTTCGCGACCACGGCCTACTCGTCCATGCCGCTCCTCCTGAACATACTCCTAATATCCCCGGCGGCCCTCCTGTTTCTCACAAAGAATGGCCCGCGTCCGGCTCAAAAAGCCAAACCACCCCGAAAACAATCCAAGAATGATGGATCGCAGAACAAAGATGAGCCCCTACCGATTCACCCATTCTTGACGACATATCGCGCGGCGATGATGGTGGTGACCTGTGTGGCTATCCTTGCGGTGGACTTTAAAGTGTTCCCACGACGATTCGCCAAGGTTGAAAACTGGGGCACTTCCTTGATGGATCTCGGAGTTGGATCATTCGTCTTCTCGGCTGGTGTTGTGTCAGCACGCGCTGTGCTGAAAAACCGCGCATCTGGCGCAGCAAAGGCTGGCTTTGCTCAGCGACTGGCAGGATCTGTACGGCATTCCATTCCGTTACTTGTGCTAGGACTCATCCGTCTGTGGAGTGTGAAAGGGCTTGACTACGCCGAACATGTGTCAGAGTACGGCGTGCACTGGAACTTTTTCTTCACATTGGGCCTATTGCCGCCATTCGTGGAGCTATTTGACACTCTGACCATTTTTGTTCCGTCTTACGAAATTCTGTCCCTTGGCATCATGGTCATTTATCAGGTGGTTCTGGAATCGACTGAGCTCAAGTCCTATATTCTCGTCTCTCCCCGTGGGACAGACCTTCTATCCAAGAACCGCGAAGGAATCTTCTCTTTCCTTGGCTACTTGGCGATCTTCCTAGCAGGACGTGGGGTTGGCACTCACATTATTCCTCGGGGGACCTCGCCGACAAAATCGCCCCAGCAGGCGCGCAAGTCCGTTCTTACGACATTGGTGCTGCAGGTTGCCCTCTGGTCTGCCTTGTTCTACTTCAATTCCACCTACGCAATGGGCTACGGAGCCAACATTATGGTCTCGCGACGCCTTGCAAATATGCCTTACGTCCTGTGGGTTTCTGCATTCAATAGCGCACAGCTACTCCTATTCTGCCTGATTGAGACTGTTTTCTTTCCCGCCGTTCACCGCGCTGCTAACCAGGAAAACGAGGCTGAGCGGACATCCCTGGCGACGAGTCATATTCTGCGAGCATTCAACCACGGAGGTTTAGCGCTTTTCCTCGTTGCAAACCTGCTTACTGGCGCAGTCAACTTGACTGTGCCTACTTTGGATGTCAACGCTCCACAGGCTATGGCGATTTTGATTGCCTACGCTGCTATTCTCACTGGCCTTGCACTTGCGATGGAGAAATACAACATTAAGCTGCGTCTATAAATGTATAACAGAAAGATATGATCATGTATTACCATCTCCAGATTCCCGTCTATAATGTTAAGTGAAGACTTCTCTAAGCTTCATACCTTATTCTGGAATACCGTTTGACTTTTACTAAGATCCGGTCGCCGTATACTGCCTTGCTTTTCTCCCTGGTGCCAAAAGAAAATGCTTTGTGTCGTCATAGTTCGCCGCGTGTGGATTCATCCAATTGACTGACCACCAACAAAAGCCAGCCGTTTCGGCCATACAAGGTTTATAGAAAGCCTCACAGTAAGCCTAGTCAGCCTAGGAAGCTAAAGCAGGTTTGTATTTGCGTTGACTGCGCCATGATTTCAGCGGCTATCCATTGGCTGAGGGCTCGAGAAAAGTAGCGCCACACAACAACAGCGATCTTAGCATGCAATCGATGTATGATCCGGAGTTCAGCGGAAATAGGAAAAGAGTGTGGGTAAGTCCTCTAGGCAGTTCTACAAACCTGAATGTTGGAAACAGACCTTGGAAAGCGTTCAAAGCATTCAAAGCAAAAATGCCTAACTTGAAAGGCGCACGGCGCTCCGACTGCCAGTGTGCTGGGGGTGTCTCCGTGTCATTTACCGAGATCTGAGGATAGAATGAAGCTCGTATCCTTTACTGCCTGCGAGGAACTCGTCGGACTTTGATACTCAGGTACTGACGTTCGCCCAGTGTCGCGAATCGCATTCGTGCACAAGCATCTTATCGCAGCTTATCATCACCTGACAATCTACGTGTGGGCCTCGGCATGTGATACTAAGCATCTCGAGCTTCTCCGCAGACTACAACGCACGGTTTCCAACCTGAAGTGCTTGACGAAATGAGTTCTGATGGACGATCATTCCTTAACTACCCTCAGCCTATTGAGGGACCGGCTGTTCCTTATAAGAATGAGGACCAGTCGATCCCAGTCTTCCGAGGGATTCCTCTGGTGATCGGAGCCACATTGTGAGTTTGCGGCCTGCTTGGACCTTTCCTTGTGCTACAGGACGAAATAAGCTATATCGAACTGAATTAACTTTGGGACCGTGGAGCTTAGGATCCAGAATGTTGGCTTTATACAGAGCCACTTCTGGCGCAATGCCGGCTTCAACGTTATCCGTCAGATCCGCCATCTGCAGGACTACGCTGGCCGAGTCGACCCTAGTGTAATTCCCATTGAGGCTGCCCCCTCGGAAGTTCCAGTCGCTACTGTGGCGAGAAGGAACGGAAGCAAGGGATATTATACTTCGGCCGATTACCATGCTCTCTACGAATCGGGCGAACTGACACCGACCGTGGTGGTGGAGACATTGCTACCTCTGATCCGCCGCGACCTTGAGAAACCCGGAAAGCATTCGACCGCATTTCTTGAGTCTCGAGTCGATATAATCCGTGCCGCTGCCGAGGCGTCTACAAAGAGATATAAGGAAGGAAAGCCACTGGGCCCTCTCGACGGCGTCCCGGTTGCGGTTAAGGATGAAGTCAACATCACTGGGTATAAGCAGACCCTAGGATCCAAGCTGGATTTTACTGTGAAGGCACACGAAACATCGTGGTGTGTCAAGCAGTGGGAGGATGCCGGTGCAATTATCATTGGAAAAACCACCATGCATGAACTGGGCTTAGGTGCGCAGACTCCAAATTCTATTGCTTCTCAGCTAACCCCCAGCATCCAGACACAAACAACAATAATCCAAACTATGGTACACCAAAGAACCCCCATAACAGTGCTTTCTACTGTGGCGGCTCTTCGGGAGGATCCGGCTATGCAGTAGGATCCGGTCTCGTGCCCATCGCCCTCGGCGCAGATGGCGGTGGCTCAATCCGCATTCCGTCCTCATTCTGCGGCATCTGGGGTCTCAAGACAACACACGGCCGAGTATCCCGTTCTCCAACGCAGAACCTTGCGCCATCAGTCGGCGTTGTGGGGCCCATGGCCTCGAGCATCGACGATCTCGCCATCTCATACCGCATTATGGCCGCCCCAGCCCCGGCCTCTCAAGACCCAATCTCCGCTCAATTCCCCGTTCCAGTCCCCGCTCCTTCAGACCGAAAAAGGGCCAAGACAATCGGCATCGTCAGTGAATGGATCGATCGAGCCGAGCCAGCCGTCCGAGAAGTCTTCGACAGGGCACTGAAATACTACCGCGAAAACGGCTACTCAGTCATCGACATCAAGATCCCCTATCTACCGGAGGGACAGCGCGCACACGTGCTGACCATCATGTCAGATATTGCGTCGGGCATCAACCCGAACCAGATCAGTAAGCTCACGGCGCCAAACAAGGTGCTCGTGTCGATGGGAATGTACCAGATCACCGCGCAGGATTTCCTCTCCGCGCAGCGACTGCGCAATCTGCTCATGACGCATCTTGCGTACCTCTTCAAGACCCACCCAGGCCTCATGGTCTTCAGCCCCACAACCCCCATCCCCGGGTGGCACATTGACGGCGGTGACGCAGACCTTGCGCGGGGGCTGTCGGATGGCACGACCTCTGTCCGGAACATGGAATATGTCTGGCTGGCGAACTTCACAGGATGTCCTTCGATCAACTGCCCGGCCGGATTTGATAAGAGGACCGGCGCCCCGATCGGCATTATGGCGATGAGCGAATGGGGCACGGAAGAAGACTTGCTTGACTTTGCGCGGGATGGCGAGGGTATCCTGGATCTTCCAGATAACCAGGCGCCTTCGGCCGAGGCGGATGCGTCTTCTAAGGGTTTGCGCATTCCATCAGGTAGCGCAGCATCCTGGGAAGACGTCATTGCGCTTGCGAAGGAAAAGCAGGCATCGGCCTAGAAAGTCTGAATTCTGATGATTTCTCGGGGAGCGATCCTCCCTTGATGCAATGTCACCTACTGAGCTGGACTGTTTACTGGATTACGAAGAGTTAGCGTGAAATTTCTGTCATTGGAAGAATGTACCTAATGTTCATCGCGTGAAGTGCTTGAGAAATACAGATTCGAAGTTCATGACGCTCATAATGAAAAGACGCCTGGTAAGAGCCGGCCCGCCCATTAAAAGCACGTCTATCGTTTCCAAAAGAAAAAAAAATAGAATAGAATAAAAAAGAATCGGAAAATAAGCATGAAAATATCCAGCCGTGAAAATCTCTATTCAGAGTACCATTAATAAGGGAAGCAAGCTTCCTAAACCCAGATTGCAGCTTCCGGATCGGGCAGCAAAAACCGACAGCCTAGGTTCGCCTCTCGCCCATGCTCACGTAGCTCTTCGATAATCTTCACGCCAGGAGGAGGCCCATCTGTCAGTGTCTCTTTGATATGGATAATGTAAACAGCCAACCCGGCCAACGGCAAAGGATCAACATCGGCCCAGCGGTTCGGATCGGGCGCCTCGTAGTCCGCGAAGATGCCCAAGGTACTGTATTCGTCAGCGCCATCGAAGCCGTAATCAATGGACGCAGGGTGCGACCTCGGGTCTCGAGATGCGAGGGATCGGATGCCAGATACGCTTTGGTTCCGTTTGTAGGTACGTGGGCTCATGGCCGGCGAGTCTGTTCCACCACGGCTCCCCCCGGAAAGTCGTTTGCGCTTGCGTTCGGTTGAACTCGCTATATCCGAAGGGGCAGCCTCCCGATGGTCCATTACTTTGTCGGCGAGAACACTCAACTCTGCGGTGAGGTGGCGTGGACACATATGCCCGTAAAGAAAGTCGTCATCGACACTGTCATCATATGAACATTCGATGAAGATCGCGCGAAGCTTGCCGGCTGCGATCTTTGGGGCGGCAGTTTCCCAGACACGTCTATTACGAGGCTCGAAAGCGACAGAGTCCGGTTCAACATCACCAAATATAATGATCTCATTGCCGCTGTCATGGTCTCGGAGGAAGAATGCAGAGCTTTCCACCGTTGCTGATACCGGCTCCCCGGGATGAAGATGAGGCGAGTTAGCTGGTGAATAGAACCTGAGATACATTAGCAATACAAAATTTGGATGAGGATTCTTTCACTGTGAGAGAAAGAGAGAGCTTGACTTACGCTGCTTCGCTCCTGTCAACAGATCTCGCGCGTGAGAGGGCTGACCTTGCTTCCGCCTGGTGGAACACTGTGCTGGCGGCACGTCGATGTGTAGCAGTTTCGGGGTGGTATCGTTGTTTGCACTGACCGTGGCTGACACTCAGGCACTTGGTGACTATGCCTTGGCAGGCTCGCACATAACCTCGACCATCTCCAATACCCAGTCGAGGGTTGCCGCCTTCAGTGAGGCGATTGTAGGTAAGAAGACCAGCACCACCATCTTCGTCGGAGAGATTAGGCCAGATTACATCATTGAAAACGTGGTTCTTAATTGCAGAGAGTACAGAGGGGAGGGCAGCAATGGGTTTCGGTCCATGGCCTGCTTCGATGATGGGAGTATTAATGGCCAAGCCCGATATATGGTCCAGATGAGGGTGAGTGATTAGTAGAGCGCCGATAATTTCACGGAAGAAATGCGCGGCATTTGCTTCTGGGGTTTTGTCTGGTGTCCTTAATCCCTTGAAGGGGCCATTGTTAAGGACTCCCGGAGAAGTTGTTCTGTCATCCAGCGAGGCTGGGAGCGACTTTTTCAATAGCCGGATGATGCCGGCAAGCATGGTACCGGCATCAACGGCGACCACTGATCCCGGGCTCCAGTCGGTCGCCGTCGATCTCACAAGGATGCCGGTGACTCTGTCCTCGCATGGTCCACCAGTTGGTCCCTGAGTACCTATCAGCCTTGCTCTCTTGCTCCAAGGGAGCCGTAGGAAGATCGTATGCTAAGACCCGAGACCACCTCCACTACCGTACAGGAAAAGTGAAACAGACACCTGATGAACACAAAACATGAAGATTTTAAGGCAAATATACAATGGAATGGGCTAAAGAATCATGACTCGGCAATCTCTCAACGTGGAATTGACTTACCAGGACAATAATATGAAAAGATGCCTTCGCTTCCATATTTTCTTCGACAGGGGTCTCTGTCGCCATCTTCTTTGGCTGACGAGGCATGATACCTCAGATGGCGGGCAGCAAGATTCCACGTAAAGGAGCTATATGCCTTGGTTATAGAAGCCAGACACAAAGGAGGCTTGAGTAGTCTTGACACAAATCACACGGACGTGGGATGGCTAAGAGACCCACAGGATATCACGCCGCGGCTATCGAAGCCAGCGTGTTCTAAACGAGAGGCTCAGGATGAAGGCTTTGATACAGGCTAGCACAAGATGCTTTGTGTGTAAGCCAGCACCAGCAGCGCGCGTATACAGGCGGACAAGCGCGCCGGCGCAAAGAAAGCCAGCCCCGAATCAGGGACTGCCAAAGACTTCAGCAGTCTCCGGTGCCCGTGCCACAGGTGTAGAAACGTCCAGTACAGGTCCAAGAAGTCGCAGAAAAGCCAGGGCCCGTTAATGTCAAGCTCCGTGACTCGCGAACAGAGTGGGAACCTTCCCCAGTCCGTGTAACCACGAAGGGGCCAGTCTGTGGCCCAGGCGCTACTGCAAGTAGGCGAACACCGATTGGCGGAACGACGGAACTCCCTTCGCAACCCAGGAGGCAAGACCGCTAGATGCAAAGGGCTGATCTAGGAGCTGCCACTAGCAAGGCAGGGCCTGACTGGTATTCAAATCCGCTCAAGACTCAATCCTGCACGGTGCATGGAGGGGGCATGAGGTGATGCGATGCGCGCGGCTTGTGGGGGTCCCCGGTCAGATCAGGATTTGCGATTTTGAAGCTACAGGAGGCCGGAGGTGAGCAAGTTGGACCTAGTCAAAAAGGCTTCCTGTTATTGTGAGCTCTTGAACATCAATTGAGGGCCATTTCTCAAGGTTCTCAGCTTACTTGGAGTTCAGGGGAAGAAAGAGACAGGGCTGCGGAGAGATCGGGCTTTCAAGCGGAGATGTCAAGTTGGGGGCGGGTCTTGGGGAAGGTTAATCGGCAGCCGCGACACGTAACTTGAGGCTCTCTATTCCTACCGCCTGCGAAAAGCTTCTAGTATCTGCTTTGATATTTTTCCTGGGAGTAGTTTTTTCGGTCGCACTATTGGTGATCCAGCTACTGATTCAGAGCTTGGGAGTGTGTAGCTCATTGCTAGTGGAGCTGATAAAGTCTTTGATCGTCACCGGTGGTCTCCACAGATGCTGGGCCGAGGAGCAATATATTCAAGCCCCGTATAGGGCGGAACGAGGTTAGTTTCATCATCTACACGCAAAAGTTCTTCCTTGAGCCATTGCTATGCTTGAGCTACTCTTCGTACAGAGTAGTGGATTTTAGCACCAAAATTTTGGGAAACATCATCGCGTGTTAGGGAGGATCACCGGTTGCCGGAATCGTTGTATACATCTAGTGGCCACGAAGACATTTGATGATTGACAACTATGGCAGTCACTATTAATCCAGAACAAAAAGGAATTCAGATTGTACCCTTTGCTCCATCCTCACTCCATTTTAATATTGGAGCCATCTTGCTGACCCGCTCCCATAGGTCACCTTGCTCGGCCTCTTTTCTGAACCATTCCTCGGCACTCTTGATCCTGTTAGGGTGTATTTCATCCAGCAATTCATAGTCTCTCCGCATGACTCCCTTATTGCCTTTGCTCGCTCTCCACAAGTTCCAGAATCCTATGAAATTTGTCTCGAAGCTCAGTGTGGCAGGATCCGCTGGGTCGGCGTTATAAGAAGAGGGTTGTTTAGTTGAAAAGCCAAACCCGAACCGCAGTTTCGACATCAGTCCCATATGAGGATTTTTCAATACACTCATGAATGACTCGTGCCCGCTGAATGCTTTGAAATATTCTCCAAATGGAACATCCACGTATCGCGCAGGTCTTCCTGTCACCTTCTCGAAGGCAGTGGCCATTTCGGAATACGAGATATGGGCAATAGCCACTTCCAGATCCATGCCATTTGCTCGACCGGGGTTGTCAAATAACCAACGTACATAAACACCACAGTCTGAGAGCGCCACGTGAGCAACTTCTCCATCTCCTGTGGAATTCGTTAACAGCTATTTCAAAAACAGGGAACCATCTCGTGCCACCTACCAAGAGGGAGCGACCACGTAAGTACTCCGTCGATGAGTCTTGGGGTCATGATTGTGAGCGGAGAGAGCGCCATATCTATGTAAGGTCTATTCAACAAGATACAACATTAGCAGAAAGGCTCATGTTGAGAGAAGAAAAGGAGGGTTGATTACCCAGTCGTGAAGAGGGCAGCCCCCATGTGGGGGGTCGCATGTTGTAATATCCATTCTGCACAAAACCACGTCTGGTCAATAAAGCTGTGGGAATAGAGCATTGGATTTTACGTACCTCCGACTCGTCCTTTGCCATCATAGTGCCCGCATCGGTATTTTGGATCCCAATCCGCCTTCTTCAAACCATAGTCAAGATTACCCCAGACGTAAAACTTCACGCCCACGGATAATGCTATCTCGTATGCCCGTATGCCCCAAAACAATTCAGACTTTTCTCCGCAGTTGAAGCCGTCTATATTCACGAACTGCTCAACACTGCCTTAGCGTCAAAAGTCATAAAGAAATCTGGCATAAATGTTCGATGCTATCGCAAAGGGTAAGACGTGAGTACTCACAGCACCATCGCAACCTGTAAATCCACTAGTCAGGTCATCCTCACTAGCAAATGTTCCTTGGAGTAGCTCAACGCCCGGCAATTCCGCTAACTCTTTTGCCCGACGACTATTTGGATTGCGAGTCAAGATGCGGACATCGTAGCGTCGATCTTTGACGAGCTCTAGATAACAGCCATGGAAATCAGTGATATTCCAACAATAAATGATTCGGGTGTATATATATACCTCGAACAATGGGTAACCCTTGCGCGCCCGTTCCTCCAATCATGAAAATCTTGGAAACCTGGAATGAAGACATGTTTGAAGTCTCAGCTCACGTTCTTCCGCATTGGTTCAGTACGATAAAGATATATACGTTGATGCGCCATTTATAACTTCGGTGTGTTTTCATACTAAGACTCCCCGGTTAAGACTGTTGAGTAATCTTTGACCATGACTAGTTAGTGAAATAGCGAGTAAAATGTATTGCGGAGAACTTGTTGCTCCGAGCACCCTGAGACTGTTGAATAATCCAAACCTTAGTTGACTAGCGTAGCTACCACATCTGTTTGATTGAATGAGAATTATTCATTGACTAACTGTGATCAAATGGAACTGTTGAATAATCGAAACCATAGCTGGCTGTGAAGGGCTATTGCCGGGATGGCAAAGAAAATGGACAATGCTTCGAACTGTTGTTGGAGAGAAGCTGTCAAGGCTGGTTCTCCGTCTTGGAAAGCCCCACCAGGCTCCGAGTCAGTGAATTTATGTTACATCTCCGAGTTCCAAGCGATAGTATGCTTACTGTTGAGTTTTATGCAGTTATACAGGTAGAGAATCCATTGCTTCTCACGCAATTGATCTACTAGTTGCTTTGGAGCCCTGGGGATCCGAGTATACTGCTGGCACACACTTGTGGAAGAACCACTGGATTTCTGGTCGTTCGGGTAGTTGGCTATTGATGAATGCCTAGGCAGCAGAACCTCTTTTGAGGTGCTAGATGACAGGATGTACAGACCTGCTGCTGACAACATGAGAAAAAAGCAAACGAGAGAAGAGAGGATGGTAGCTCCCCGTACATAACTTCGTGCGGAGCCCATGAATATGTCCATGCTCCGATGATATAACAAGAACCTTTCCCCCAAGCCAAAATTGGAAAAAAACGAAAGGCAAAAGGAAAAAAAAAAATATCTTCCAGAGATAAGAAAAAGGATATCGCGTGACCCTTGCCTTCTGTTGATAAAACGCCTTCCGTGAAACTCGCTAAATATAACACCAAACAGATTGAGAGAGGGATTTCCCATGTTTCCAACCCCAGTAACTTAACCGTAATGATTATTTTGGATGAAAAAAGAAAAAGAAAAGCAAAAGCAAAAGCAAATAGAGAATGTGGGAGATGCTAGCTGGTTCGGCTTTCAAGAGTCGTCATGCCACTCTCGATTCAATGCATCTTGGTAGCTAGGCAAATTCAGAGCCTGGGATTCTGCTTCGTCGTCGTTGGTCGGTGAGAGGGGCTCTCTTGAAGCTGGGAATTCTAGAGAAGCATCACTACCCCTGCGACTGCTGCCTGGACTTGAGTACTTGGGCGGAAGCACCCCATGTTCGTCAGGGATTCCCGGTGGCGGCGCAGCGGTACCTGATATACCCCCATCGGCTGCGAAGCGACTAGAGCCCTCCCCTGCATCTTCGTGGGAGGGGATGTGGGCCAGCTGAGCAAGGGATATGTCAGTCGGAGAACGAATCGGGCCTGGGCTAACTGCCGGGGGGAACCCCACACTCGAGCTTCGTGCCGTATGGCTTTGATAAACCCGCTGAGAGATTTGGGCCGCACTTTCGCGTCCGGATTCAAGCAGGATGCTGCCTTGCTCGCTTCCATAAGGCGGCGGTGGAGCCAGGCTGCCTGTCATTGGGGCCAACCCCCACTTCTTGACATTGCCTTCAATGAAAACAAACCCCATTTGGCCAAAGTTGACATGAACGGTGCATGGGCCATTAGCTCCGATGGTGGGGAAGAGGTTTTGAGAGCGGTAGTTATGTACCACATCTTCGAGCTTCTTTCCATTACGTGTGAAGAAAATTGTACCGGATCGGGGGCGGTAGCCAACCCCAACCACATCGCCTTGGAGGAGGGGAGGTCCATAAGGAGTTGGTGTAAATGGTTGGTTGTGGCGGCGGTGACCTGTGGACTGGTAAGCGACAGAGGTTTTGTGGAAGCCTGGAGACAAATTAGCAAAGTTGTGCGGAGTAGTCAACTAGAGGAGCAGATATTACCCGGCATCCGGAAAAGAGGGTAAGGCTTGGTAGTCAGGCCAATCCCAATGGTCGTAGAATCAGGTTTGTCGTAGATCTTAGCCTCCCAATAGTAGACCTCGTTTTGTTTAGGAAGAGGCAGATTGGTCTGGACACTGCACTCAGCATCAAAGAACTCAATCTCGGTGCGCCCTTCCACGAAGCAATTCGCAATCTCGAGCTCTGGTTGGAATTCCCATGCTGAGACGCCCTTCTCCTGGATGGCGAGGAACTGTGACAGAGAGATATCCGTTTGCATCGATTCTGGGGGGTTTCCTTGTACAAAAGCTGTTCATGAGAAGTAAGCGATCCGGAACATTGGATTCAATTCGTCGGAATTGGCGGCTCACCTTTTGCTCGCAAATATTCCGACCGGCTCAATTCATCCATGGTCTCCAAAGCCGCCTCTTCCTCCCGTGCGAAAGCCTGTTCATCATCGAACTCACCCGGTCGACCAATGCGATCGAGCATAATCCGGCCACGATTGGTATATTTGAAGAAAAAAAAGATTGCCAAGATCGTCAAAGCGACCGCAGCAGAGCCGAAGGCAGAGAACAGCCCGATCAGGACGCCTTTCGTTGTCGATCCGGTTGACCCGGAGGAGTCGCCACCAGCTTTAAGGACGCGGCCACGCGCATAATCGCTCGAGATACTGGAGAGAACATTTTGCAAGTGGATTTCAATTTGATTCTGCGACGGGGATGACGGGGTTTGCTGGGGGAATCGATGGCTTGAGTGAGACCGAGCGGTGACGTCGTTGGGCTGGCGAGCACTCTTCGGAGTGTCGAGGGCAGGTCAGCGAGCGCACCGGGGTCCGATGGCTCAAGACCCTGCATGGTTCATCAAACTAAGCGACTGATGCACAGAAACTGAGGCAGAAAAGAAACACACAAGCGTCAAGCGTCGGTGTTTTGGGGTGGGAAATGGAGAGAGAGAAAGCGATTAAGGGAAGTGGGCGCAGGGCGGATCTCGGGGTTTATCTAAGACGTTTCCGGCCAACCTTGGAACAAATGAACTATGACCCCCCAAGGACCAGCCTGTCGCAGGTTTTTCTGCTGCAGGCACTAAAGTTATTTATGTGATCACGTACCCCAGGAGGAGCGCTTCCAGTTTCCCCCAGTTCCAAGGGAGTTTCTTTTCCCTTTGCCCCTCTGCCCGGGTTTCGCCTTCTTAGTACCTGTCATCTGCAAATGGCGGTATCGGTTGCACAGGCGGGCCCATCCCTACTACAGACAAGTCTCCTTCTCTCCTTCCCCTCTCTGGTAAAGGCTCCTTGATCTCTCTGGATACTCTCCGCACAGACACATCATGTGGGTTACTGCTGGGGCTCGCGCCCTTGAGTCTCAACTCCCTCAGCCCGACGTCACCGTCAACTCGGTGGACTCTCTATGGATCAACCTCGCGCTTCCAGCTCACTCCTGCGATAAGTATCCAGGTAAGTACACTCTCCCCAGGGTTTCCCAATGACTCTGCAAGGCTCCGGTATGCCGTGCGCGGATTCCCTGAGCGCCCTTGGATTCTTTGCCACCTTCCGAGGGTGATTCGTGCCGAGCTGACCCGGATTCCTTGTAGCCAAACAACATGCGCGTAATGTCGCTCGAAAGCTCGGTGCTACTCATGGGTTGATATTCATTGCTGGCCAGCCCACAGCAAACTGGCGCGATTCCGACCAGGAGAAACCTTTTCGCCAGCGCCGATACTTTTACTATCTGAGCGGCGTGAATGAGCCGGACTGCTCGCTGACTTACGATGTCGCGCTGGATCAGCTGACGCTGTACATCCCCGATTTCGATCTCCATCGCGCCATCTGGATGGGTCCCACCCTTTCTCGGGAGGATGCACAAAACCAGTATGATGTTGATCGTGTGCTTTATCACTCCTCGCTTTTGCCCAATCTAGAGGCCTGGTTAGGGGACGAGTCAAGAATAGTGTGTTGTACCTGGTACATGCATCTGAGATTCCCGCTGGCTTACCTACCGAACTTCCTCTGGACAGTGCCCAGCTGTTGCCCGCTATTAATGCTGCCCGAGCGATTAAGGATGACTACGAAATCCGCATGATTCGGCATGCAAATGAAATTTCTGGCCTCGCACATCGTAAGGTCTTAGAAGGGATCCGCAAAATGGCCAATGAGTCTGAAATTGAAGGGCTCTTCCTCAATGTCTGCACCTCCAACGGCGCGAGAAACCAAGCTTACCAAATAATTGCTGCCTCTGGGCCCAACGCCGCAGTTCTACATTACAGTCGGAACGATGATTCTCTCCTAGGGAAACCTTTGGTCTGTTTAGATGCTGGTGCTGAATGGCATTGCTATGCTAGCGATGTGACTCGTACGTTCCCACCTTCGGGCTATTGGCCCAGCAACGAAGCAGTAGATATTTACGAGATCGTCGAGCGCATGCAAGAAGAATGCATCAAAAGGATCCGACGTGGTACTCGCTTCCGCGCTGTCCACGAACTTGCTAATGACATTGCCATCGAGGGTCTCATGAGCCTCGGTGTTCTGAGAGGCGGCTCCCACCACGAGATCAATCGTTCGGGGGCGTCCAAGGTCTTCTTTCCACATGGACTAGGCCATCACGTCGGTCTGGAGGTACACGATGTCTCCGGGTCGCCCATTATGGCCTACGACGCTGGACGTGTTCCTCTTCCTAATAGCGAAGCTTTAACCGCCAGGAGAAGCTTTGTACCTCTACCTGAATCCGACTCTCTTCTTGAAGAAGGTATGGTCGTCACTGTGGAGCCAGGTCTCTACTTCTCACCACTTGCTCTGGCCAATGCTCGCAAACAACCCTACGCCAAGTACATCGATTTCGAGGCCGCTGAAAGATATGTCCCGATCGGTGGAGTACGTATCGAAGACGACATTCTTGTCACTGCTAATGGGAATGAGAACCTGACTACCGCACCCAAAGGAGACGAGGCCCTTGCCATTATTCGTGGTCACGCCTGAAGAGGTTTCCACATGCACCCCTCTTCCTCCCAACATTGTACATACAAATCCGTGCCAGGTACCAAGACTTCCGCCTATCTCAATTTTATCTTTCACCCCCGGTATTTTGCTTAACCTTCACATAATATCTGATCTTTTGAAGCACTGGACTCTAAAGATGAATTGGTACACTTGAAGCCGCTCCACAGTCCAGCTGGTGGGCACTAGTCCCTGATGGCCCGGGGTATTGCTAACCCCCCCTCGGGTTCCCATTTTAGGCGCCCAAAGCAACTCGAAACGGCCCCCAAATGATATAAATAGCTTTAATTTTTTTTACACCGGCAGGTGCCGAGGGTAGTCACCTCTATTCTAAGAATGGAAAAGCTTAGCGAATACCTCAGTGGCCTCATGAACCCAGCCTCAGAAAATAAGAATATCACTAACGGAAGATGGGGGATTCCGCTGGGTGACGCGCCTTCGACTGAGCCGCTGCAACCAACAACTTTCCAAAGACTCCTCAGTCACCAGTCGAACTTCCATGATTCCCTTCAAGATTTTGGAGAAAGAAAAGAAAAAAGCAGCAGAGTTGTTCAAAAAAAATCCAAAGTGACCCATGAACCTGAAAGATGTAGTCACCAGGACTAGCCGCCCACTACCGGTTTGCATTCTACTCCGTTAGCTAATTCCCTAAACAAAGTACTTTTACGCGATGTTAAGATACCTGAAACCACTCCCTAGCGGGATAATGGAACGACCTTCACAGGGGTGGAGGGAAAGAAGAAATGCTTAACCCACTGAGTCTCTACAAGTTCAGGTGGCGCAGGTGCTAAGGCTTCTCAAATTAGGCACTCCGCCGCGCAGGACGCCTCGATGATGCTTGGGAAAAGATTCATAGTATTGGCCAGCCTGTCCATGTCTAAGACAAGGACCATGTTGACCGCTATGAGCAGAGCGCCTGATCGCACAACTTTAGTTCAATAGACCAGGTGGATCTTTCCCAATATTTGAACCTCAAGTATAAATAAAGGTATCTGCCCCGGTTTATCCTGACAGAATCATCAGCAAGACCGCGATCAAATCACCAGTGTTTCACCTAAATACCCTTCAAAAATCTCGAAAATGAAGACTGCCGAGTTCATCCCCCTTCTCTTGGTTGCTGGCAGCGCTGTGGCCGCACCGAGCAGCAAGGTATCTGAGGCTGTCACCATCAGTGGGCTCTCCGCCGATCAAACCAACACAACTGGATGGATTGAATTTATCCTCGATGATCCCAACTATCAGGATGTGACGGGCGCGAACATTCAGTGGTAGGTACTAGCATTTAAATCCACTATTGTGATCCAAGGCAGTGCCTAATTCTTCGCAGGAGCATCCCTGGGCAACCTCTTGCTGACTCGCGCACTGAGGATGGCAATTACTATGTGGAGTTCCCAGGAGGCGTGAATGATATCGGCGTCTTCGACCTGGTGATCACACGAGTCAAGGGCCCAGAGCAGATTTCCTATACCCTGAACGATAACAAGAATGGCGGCGCCCCGGGGAGCAAATGGGAATGCATCACTTCGGTTGGATCTGTGACTACTGAGAAGTGCTACTACCACGGCAACATTACTGTGGTCCCTTCTACCAGTTTTTAAGGGTAATCTTGTCTACAACATGATATTTTGAACTTTAAAATACTCCTAGTATGAAAAAATAGACTCTTGTTTGGCAAACTTGATATATGTAGTAGGAGGCTAGTGTATATGAAATCGTTGGTCTTTCTCTTCGTCCCTTCTGGCTTCAAATTGTTCCAGCTTGTCAGCTTAATTACCCCGTAGCTCCTAGGCGACTCATGTAAAACGCGAGAGTAGTCTAGCTCAGCAAAACATATCCAGCTAGCTGTATTGCATCTGAGTGCGATTGAATCGGTTCGGTCGTTGCTTGCCGTCAATATCCTGGTATTACTGTGAGCTCCTGAGGCTCCTGCAGTTATTTTCAATCGAGAGGACGACTCGCGTTGCGGGCGTAATCAAGATCTCGACGATAACCAGCGCAGTCAACGCGACTCGAATTACGACGTCCATTTCGCTTGACCATGGAGACATCGACTGTTGAAGATTGTAGGTCAACATCATTCACTCTATTCATCCAAGGCCCATCTACGGTGTAACTTAGTGCTGTAATACGAAATTCCGATCTCGGATCCTCATCCAGCTAAAACAATCGTTTGTGAGCGTGTGGGATGGAAAATTCTGCAAAAGGGCATAATGGGGTCGCATTGCATGAGTACCTGCAGACTGCCAAATAGGACATGGCTTCCTTGACCTATCAGTTTTGAAGGGCTGAGAATAGCGCTTCCTTCCGCCAGGGAGGATTAGCGCCCCGCTGGGAGTAACCCCTTACTTACTTACTTTCTTCTTTCTTCAGAGTTCCATGATCTTCGTCTGTCAGAACCTGTTGTTAGATCTTCCCATTCCTGTTTTGCAGTTTCTTGAGACAGGATTTCCATTCCTCATCAGGTTCAGGGCAGGACTGGCGCCATTGATAGGTCAGAGGGAGCATTAATGCAGATTAGAGTGAGATCGATCAGCACTTTCGCTCCGCTCTGGTTTTGCTGTGTTTGAAAACGCGTAATAGCTTTAATAGTTCGTCTGTCTAGTAGATATCGAAGAATGCTCTGGGTAATTAAGCAAGAAAGCTCGCCATCCGGATTTCCAGATCAAGAGAGTTTATCCGAACCGCCTTTGAAAACGATGGAATCGAAAACTTTACTTGCTTCAGGCTCAAATGTTAGCCCCATCGAATTGTACCTGTAGCTTCAGCCGACCTTCAAGTCTCGGAAGCTTGTACATAGTAGACGTTAGTATTTCGATTGGATGTCAGCCTATGCTAGCCGTGGACTAGTTACTATCTTACCTAACCAATACATATAGTTAGTTAGTTAAACTAGTTAACTAATAGTGTACTAGTAATGGCTGCTAATAACGTGCATGGATATATGGCCGGGAAGCCGGAAGCTCTTACGACACAATACCACTCAAAATCTTGGGTTTCATGGACCTGAGATTACCACGAGTTGGTATATTTACCAGTATCCCTGTAGCATACTCGAGACTGTCATTCGAAAGCCTTTGCATCTATGGATTTGACAAGGGCCCCGCAATATGAAACAGCTTGCAGATCGATTGGCATTTGTTTCGCAAGGTCGTCGGCCCATCAATAGTTTGCTGCCCCAATGCTCTTGTAGACACCGAAGTACTAGTCTAATTGAAACATATCTGGAATAAGAAAGCAGGTATTGCAAACGTGGCTAGGGCATGAGGCATTTTAACCTTGGAGTAGATTCTGCAGAGGTCAGTGGATAGTCCTCGTACAAGATCACCAAGTTCCTACACAGCAAACGCAGAACCTGACGCTCATTGGCGAGTACTTCATGTCGCCAGTCCAGGCCCTAGCCCTGATTCTAACTATGTGATCTAGCCCATTCCCGCGGGTGGAGGGGCAGAGTTGTACAACCTCGGGACTACGCCCTATGTAAGGCAAAGAGGCAAATATTCTGTGGAGAGATTTATGACGTATGGGTGGAACGCGAGTCTGTAGTGCCGAGCCGACAGGGACTTGAACCTGGACTTCGATGGACCCTGGACCAACAGGCTACGTGCCTACGTTCTAAGAACCGCACGATGCAGATGGTGCGTAAGCTGATTTTGATCTTGGCTCCTGTCCCACTCGTTGGTTGTTGCCCGGGTGCATTCAATGAAAATTGGTTCCGAAGGCCGCGATTGCCTGGATGCAATTTCTGCGAGACAGAAGGTGTATCAGGGGTCTTTGATCGACGACCAATTTGCCGGGACAAGGCAATTTCCCTCTAATTTGGCGGCCCTCGCCGTGGGCCTTGGGAGAATTCTAGACTGCTGAGGACCGAGCCGCACTGGGCAATGTGGGGTTTGTGCGTACGAAGTTGGAAGGGGCAATTCCTCCTGAGAGGTGTTAGTAAGGGGCAGACCAAACAGGAGTCGCTTTTCCGACTGGTTATGGACAAGGTGTCAAGCCTCGCGAGGGTTCTGCAAGGAGGGAAGATGAAAAGTCCGCAGACTCTTGGCCCAACGGGTCAACGGGTCCACGTGTACCAGGCCTGAGGCCGCAAGTTCTCGTGGTTTACGGGATGCCACGTAAAGAATGTTCTAAGGCAGGCCCCAAAAGGGGGGTCGCAATAGTCTAATTTGGAATTGAAAGACTGCAAGGATTGTGCGTAGAAAGAGATTTCATCTTGATCCGGAGGCTGACGACTTCTCCGTGGCCCCATCAAAGGCAACCGACCTAAACCCGGTTTAGCCCCATTGAGGGCCCTGTCAACCCTGCCGGATCTCCCTCCTTTGATCGGACCGCACGGCAGCGGGTCTTTGTCTCGATTTCGTCATGTTTCATTCCTGGAACCAAAGCAGGCATCCGGTTGACTTTTGGCGATGGTCTCATTTAGTACCTCATAGAGAAAACTGATCTCGGTTACCAATAGCAGAAGAGCGAAATGAATCAGAAATCAGATCATGCGAGACCGGGATGACGCATCGGATCACGCCTTGTGAGAAACGCTAACAAAAAAAGGGCTGGCGCCATTTTAGTTAGGAGCGAGGTGATCTGCCGGGGAACCTTGGGAAAAGTGGGTGTAAATGTGGGTCCGGCATGTTTTTTTCCTTTGCTTTTTCTGGTAAGACTCTGGCGTGACTCACATAGTACGTGCTTTTTGAGCTTTAGGTTATAAAATGATCCCACCCCTGCAGCAGATCCTTCTCCGATGCCTCATCTCATCTCCTTCTGAAGGGGTGATGGTCATTCCTCTCTAAAAGAAAAAAAATACCGTTCAAGGTTGTTGATTCCTGCGCTTGATATCCTGGCCAGAGAGGTTTAATCCCCCTTCAGCTGAATCCCGAGAAATGGGCCAGAGGCATAACCGACGCCGTACTCGTCCACGTTCATCTCAGCACCATTTTCTGCCGGCCGTCAATCAACCTTCCAGGTCGCCGCTGTTGATTTCATCTTCTATCTGGGGTCCCAAAACCAGCCAAGTCGACCTCTCAAGTTCCATCGGCAACACTCCTGGATGCACTCAATCACGAGCTTCCGGCCCAGTATCCGCCCCCATCTGGCATTATAGATATACAGCATGGGAGATCCGTGAATCAACACAGAGAACCGATGGATCTCAAACGGAGCAGTGTCGTCTCTTCGGCGGCGAGCCAGGCGACGATGACAGCCTTTGTTACCGCATGCTAGAGTTTTTCGGTGGCCTTGACTACATCGACCCGTGAGTACCCAGCAATTGGCCCGATCGCGAATATCCGAATACCTCTTCTGACTCAACCTCCCAGGGCTCGACACAGCACCCTCGGTGATTGATACCAGAAGGAGTCCCCTCATTTGCTCCGCCGGAATTAGCCCCAAAATAAAAAAAAAATAAAAACTGACAACCCCGGTTTCCGATTACGATGAGTTTATGATTGCTTTCAAACTTCCAAAATTGCCCGCCGATCGGGGCAGTGCACATTTCTTTGTTATCCGTGTTGATACACAACCGCTCTACTGGCGCAGTACGCCATAGCCTCCCCATTGAACACCAGTCTACATGGGCCAACCGGGTCCCCGACTTGAAGCAATGAAGGTACTCAGTACTGGATTGGTCCCTACAAAACCCGGCCATGTGGATCCTGGATCGTGATATGGCGCTCCCGAGTGGGGATGAGTCAGAAGAACCTTGTTAGGCTTCCAGCAGGTTGAGTTCGTGTCCAACTTCGCGTTGTTGACGCTTGAGTTCCCTTTTGGAATCCATAACTAGGGGCGTGACTCAACTCCCCTCGCTACGCCTATCCCCGTTCTATGCTGAGGTTGGCGATGGCAGCATCAAAACTGTGGCGGAAAAAAAAGTTCGATCCGATTGTCTTGTACACGGTAGTTCCCTAGTAGACATTAAGTCTCTAGGTGAGAATCAACTGGATAAAGGATGCCTGTACAGATACATCCGTTGTGTGATTATTAGACTAGAATTGTTCCAAGACCTCTAGACTGCAACATTCGAACACATTCAAGTAACGTGACCCCGTAGTAAGAGTCACTTGCGGCATCGGAAAATCCATGCTGTCCTCAATTACACCGCCTATCGAATCGGACTGACCGCCTTCCGAACTTGGGGACGCGCGGGTTAAGGCCAGATATGGAACCTTGTGTTAATACGTCCAGAAACACTTACGCTCCTTTGTTCGCCAGGGCCGTACGCTGGTCGCTGTTTTAAAAGCCCGTTGTGCCTTTTCCCCCGGTCTAATTTTACTGTTACCTTGCGCCTTAAGAGGTCCAGCTTTGAACAGCATCAACTTCCAATTCTGCGGCGGCCACCGCTCGCCCTGAATCCGCCGCACCATGTCTTCAGACTATACTTATGATGAGCAGGTGAGAAAACCCGAATATGCTCTCTCACTTCCATGGAGGCTGCTAACAACAAACCCCGTCCTTTCAGGGCCAATTCTTTCCCTTCTTCATCTTGACCTTGACTGGCTTGGTCACTTTCCCCCTCACATATACCCTCCTCCGACCAAGTAAAGGTGAGTCGTAGGCACTCGGCTGCTTCGTCGCGAATCTGTTTTAAGCTGACGGGTTACCGGGCAGACTTGGAAAATACCGCTCCCCGTATCCAATCGGATTTCAAACCACAACATGCCGACTTGGTCAACGCGCAAAAGCGCAAGCGTCTCCGTAAGGAGCGCCGCATTAAGCGCATCATTACGGTCGTCGTGGGATATGCGGTGATGGCATGGATGATCTACCTTATCCTGATCACTGCCAGAACTACCACAAAGGCTTATGACCCATACGACATTCTGGGCGTCTCAAGGGTGTGTCCCACTGCACTGATCCGAGGTTCTCCCGGTGATGATATGCCTGGGAAGCATGCTGACTGGTTTACCAATATAGAGCGCCGACGAAAAAGCTATTTCGCGACACTACAAGCGTCTGTCCCTCGTTTACCACCCCGACAAAATTCGTCCCGACCCCGCGAAGAACGAGACCATCGAGGACCTCAACGAGCGCTTTGTTGAGCTAACCAAGGCTTACAAAGCTCTGACTGGTAATTATTGCGACATCCGAGTGGCTGGATTCAACTGGATGAGAGAAAACTAATGTGTGCACAGATGAGGAAATTCGAAATAACTACTTGCAATATGGACACCCGGACGGAAAGCAAAGCTTCAGCATCGGCATTGCGCTACCCAAGCTGATTGTCATGGAGGGCAATGGCAAGTACGTCTTGTTGGTCTACGGAGCTCTGCTGGGCGTTCTTCTGCCGTACATTGTTGGAAAATGGTGGTACGGTTCGCAGCGCTATACCAAGGAGCGCGTGCTGGTTGCCAGTGCTGGAAATATCTTCCAGGAATACAAGGAGGACATCACCGACCAAGGCATCATCAGCGCCCTTTCTTCTGGTGAGGAATTCAAGGATATGCTCAAGGGCTCTCGGAGTGAAGCCGGACTTGCCAAGGTAGAGAAGAAAGTGATGGCAGAGGACATCTCTTTCCTTTCTGACGCCGATCGGGAGACTTTGAAGAAATTAGACAACGCGACCCGTCGCAAGGCCCTCGCACTTCTTTGGGCCTACCTTGGCCGCATCGATCTGGATGATGCATCTCTGAACGCAGAGAAGTATGAAGCCGCTGCTATCGCGTTGGGTCTGAATGAAGCATACACTGCCATCGCCTTGTCTTTCGGCAACCTGCGGCCAATCCTTGGCGCTTTCCTAACCTCCCAGAGCCTAATTCAGGCTGTTCCCACCAAATCCTCCCCTCTCTTGCAACTGCCTAACTTCACTGATGCCATTGTTAAATCGGTTGAAGGACAAGACAGCAAGGACCACTACTCAGTTCAAAAGTTCATGAGCCTCCCTGATGCCGAGCGCCGTCGCCGTGCTGTTGGTCCCGGTCTTTTGACTGACAAGCAATACACACAAGCCATCGGCGTTGCCCAGCAATTGCCAGCCCTGGAACTTTCTAAGGTGTTCTTCAAGGTTATGGGTGAGAAGGTTATTACTCCTAGCAGTCTCGTGCAGCTTGTCGTCAAGGCTCGGTTCATCCCTCCTGGTACCACCAATGTCCCGACGGTGAATGAACTGGACCTCGAAGATATCGACCCTGACGACGACGACCTCGATGCCCTGATGGGTCGCAAGGCTGCTAAGAACCGCGCCGTCAAGGGTGTCGACGGTAAGAGCGTCGAGGCCAAGCTCGAGAAGGTTCAGCCTCCTCTCGCACATGCACCATTCCTCGCCCGTGACCACTCTCCCCGCTGGCACGTCTTCCTCGCCGACGCCAAGCAGGGCAAGATGGCCGTACCTCCCTTCACATTCACCACTTTCGACAAGCCGATCTTTGACGAAGCCGGCAAGCCCACGTTCAATGTGCAAACCCTCAAGATGCAGTTCCAGGCTCCTCCGCAAGTCGGTGACTTCACCTTCGTCATGCATATGCTCTGTGACAGCTACCTGGGTCTAGACTCCAAGCAGGAGATTACTTTGCACATTGAGGACCCGGCCAAGGCGGCCGCATTGGAAGAGGAGGACGACATCAGTGAACCGGACGAGGGTAAGTCTCCACCGACCCCAGTAACCCGCTCTTTAGTATCCAGAAACACTGACCGTTGTTTCCCAGACTCGATCGCTGGCCAGATGCAGGCCCTCAAGACCGGACAATCCCCGAAGAAGAAGGCCCGGAAGCCATCCGATTCCTCCAGCGAAGAGGAGAGTGACACCGATGGCGACGCAGGCGATACCAGCGACACCAACACAGAAACCGATGTTGAGGATTAATCTACCCCAGACAAGCACTGATTGACGGATTGTACTCATGACTGGTGTAACATGGATCTGATCGATTACGCTGGGCCAGCCGCGTCAGGATTTTCCCCTTCTCGAATTCCATATGCATTCCTTTCTCCCCACCTGTCTTATCCTATCGGGTAGCCTCGGGGAGGGCACCCCATGTTAACCTCATATTCCCTTCCTCTTCTCGCCCATTTCCCCCTCGAACATGCTTGTTTGCATCCTAATCGTTAAGCTTGGACCGCTGGGCTCCCTCCCGTCTTAGTCCATCTATGTACTCATCTGTCCAACCGCACCAGAACTCGGGAATACAAACAAAAAAGTGGTCAAAAATGAAAAAAAAAAAAATAAAAATAGAAGAAACTCAGAATAATGAAATTAAGAAATCAAATGTAATCTCCTCCAGACCATAACTATCAGCCCACCAAAACCGAGTAAATCCGGAGTGTTGGCCATTTGATTCCCAACGCATGGCCAGAGCCCGTACAACCCTTCCGCCTCGCCACCATGTAACCCCCAGCCCTAATAGCTCAGAACCCTCGCACCACCACCCTTCAGCTCAAAGCAAGCTCCAGCTCCAGCTCCAGCCACGGTGCCCGTGCGCATTCCATCCCCGCTCCGTTCCCGCAAGCCCCTGGCCCCTGGGGTGAAAAGCTCCCCCGCGCACGCCCGAGCACAGTGGCCGAGGCGATGAGTTTTCTGCGGCCTCTGACTGCGCCCCCAAGTCGCACCAGCTGCGGTAGGGTGCGCTTCTAGAGGCGAGGGCCCCGTGTGCCATCTCGCAATACGATCTAGATCGAGGCCGGGGAGGGTTAGCGTGGTTCTACGGTAATTTTGAAGAGATCTGGGCCGTAGACCCTTTTATCCGGATGGGATCAGGGGGTGTTCGGAGGATTGAAAGAAGTAATTATTCTAGGGCTGGAAGCTCTCCTAGCCACATATGTAATAAAACAGATCTAGCTGCTCGTGGCTGAAACAGGAGGAGGGAAGCACCTCGATTGATAGGTTTCGTATCTGAGCTCGACACAGGGAGAAAAGGAACCCAAGGATGGGTGGAAGAGAGAGAGAGGGGGGGGGGGGGGATGAGGGAAATTGAGTAAATTGCGTACTCGATGAGATACAATGAAAACTCCTAGATGTAAGCCAGCCCGGCGGCGCTATGGGATCAAATGTGCCTGACATTCTTCCCATGCTTCCTGTGAACACCAACAATTTGCAGACTGGGCCCTTGTTCTGATGCAGAATCTGTCGAACAAATACTATGCGAAGAAATTTAGGGGGGGGGGGGAACAAGAAAGGAAAAGGACCGTCCGGCCTGCTATCGCTTCGAAATATATCATAAGAAGACATGAAGAAAAAGATAAATAAAAGAGCAAGGGTAAGAGTGTTGGGAATGCCGAACTAAGAATAACTGAACGAGGATAAAATGAAAGGAAAAAGTATAGATAAGAAGTGAAGGAGATCAAGTGCTGCCCAGCAGCCTTCGTATAAGCCCTAACTCCAGGTAAAAGCTAGAGACGGCCTGGTTCAACCCGGCGGGAAGGACCAACCAGATGTGAAACCAGGGAAGAAGGGAGCTTCCTGGCCCTGAAATGGAAAGTCTCCGATCATCTCAGCTGGCATATTCCCTGTCTGATGTTGATGCTCCGGCATCATGCCATGCATTCTTGTGGCGGGCTTGATGTCTGCTGGGGCATCGGCAGCGGTACAGCCACCCTCAAGATAGTATGTGAAAGACGGGTCGTGGTGCATGGTATGTGGAACAGCGGAAGCCCCGATGTCTACGTGGGGAGGGATATTAGTTGTAGAAAGATCGACAGAGGCCATCGATGAGCGAGGTATAGACATCATGTTCTGCGGGAAAGGCTCCGCATAACTGTATCCATGCGACACGGGCTGCATATCCCACGGCCAGTTTGACTGCGTGCGCGCCATGATGGAACTGGGCATGGGATTGCAGACAGAGCCCCGGGAAGAGATGCGGGCGAGGGCTCTGGGGGTGTGACAGGCTCGGGAGATGGCTCGGCTGTTGCGCTGCATTCGGTCGATGTGGATAGGAGACGGAGGTAGCGGAGGTCTTCAGTATCCTCATCTAGTTCATCCGCGTTTTCTTCGGCTTGCTTGATGAGGCCCAGTCGATCGAGAATGGCGTGTGTTAACGGATGTCCGTCTGGCGCCTCGGCGAGAGGCTCTCCGGGGAAGCCTTCGTTGTTGACGCAGAACTTGTAGAGTTTTTGGAGGGCTTTGACGACGAGGGAGTGGTGGGACTCCAGCATTTCAACGAATCTAGATGTACGAGTCGCGATTTGATTAGCCTGGGTATCTTCTGTATAAACATCCATGATGGAAAGTATCAGAAAGCTTTACCCTCGAGAGTAAACTTTGGTTTGAGTGGCTTTCCTCTCCCGGAACAGACACGGATGGTTGTATACGGAGCACCGATTGCAGGGCTGCTTCCCATCACACTATAAGACGGTTAGCAAGCAGGCTTTGGACAGCGGGATACAGAGATGGGGGCTACTCGCTTTGGTCTTCTTCACCCGGCACCGATCGCAGGCTTTCAGGACATGCTTGCGCTTCACACGGAAGACGCCCTGATCGCGCCTTTCATCGCCTGCTCTTGAGCGATGCTCTAGTTCTGACATCGATGCGACTGCGAAATCATCAATGCTATGGGGAAACCCCTTCGGACGAAGCTTCGGTTGCCACGCCATGAATCGTTTCAAAATAGTGCACCCTTAGTCGTAGAAAGGGAGAAAAGCGTGCAATCGGGCTAGCATGCAACGGGGCGATCACGATGGATAGCAATGGAAACAATTCCGATCAGGAAGGGTGTCAAAAGTTCGGAAAGATGGAATAACAGAGGCTAAAAAAATGGTTAAAAACAGAAAAAGAAAAATAAAAAAGAAAAAAGACCAAAAAGCAGAGAGCGAGCAGGTGGGGGTAATATGAGACCAATTCCGCCGCCAGTACCATCTACATGGTTATCATGGTTTTGTCAGGGTTTGTAGTGCAGAGACAATACCGGGGCTAACCTACGCCCCCGCATGGGGAATCAATGCCCCGCGAGACAAGCAGGGACGGTATAGAAACCACTGGGTGACGTGGAGCGGTCTGTCACAATGTCAACCAGTGCCGTTCGAGGTCTCGCGACATTCTGTGTGGTAGAGCAGGGATCCTTGCGCGTCAAAGCTCAGGAAACAATACAAAGTGCCTTGTAGCCGAGAGGGTTTCGCGACTTTTCCAGGTATTGGTGAACATTGGTTTATTGTGTAGCTATTTGATATCCTCATGCTTAGTACCTAGGTATCTGGGGCTCAGCCTATCCCACACACTCTCTGTTTCCCTGCTATACTAGGAGGCCCGTAGTTTCCCAGATGCGTCCCCCAATTCCACGCTCAATTCCACGCTCAATTCCACGCTCCGTTCCACCCCCCCCACGACGCCAGTATATTACGATGTACATCTGACTGCCCTTACAATACTCGGCATATGTAGGTCGGGCCATCCCCTTCCAGCGCTAGATGAAACGGTCCGAGCCGCCAGTTGATCTCGCTTGCCTCGACTCTCCAACCCCCGGTTCGTTTGGGCACCGAACAGGGTCAACACGCCTGCGCGGCTTATGATTTGCTCCTAGCCATCGTGACGGGGTAACGTCCCGTCACACCTTTTACTCTACACGTGCTTCGGGGCTCCGATACCTGAGATCACCCGTACATTCGGGATTTCTCGTGTGGATCAGCTCCGGCGCTGCTTGCCGGAAAGGGCCCAATCACATTCCCTTCCCACGAGGTTCCCAGCGGTGAATCCCAGAAGGGAAAAAGCAGGTTCATAAGAGCAATCATGTATTATCCAACCAGGCCGAGCAAAAGATGACCCAAAGTGGGCAAAAAGGAAGCCCCCGTGGGAGGATATCAGGTGATACCCTGGTAAGAGTCCATGCACCGAAACGTGGTACGGCGTGATATGCTCTTGGCCATGGGTGATCCCGGAAGGTCGAGAGTGGCGGAGTTGTCATTTGGTCTGCAGGGGAGACGACAATGGTGAAAAAGAGCACAAAGTCGAAGCAGACTCCAAGGATGCACCGCCTACTGTCCTTTCTCAACCCATTTGGGCCGCCGCACTCGCAACACTAATTTTAGTGGGAGGCGAGTCATATCAATCCTGCCTCCAATTGGTTTGCAGGGCCTCTCCTCTAGAGTTCAATAGTGCCTGTTAGCGCTGAGCGGAGATCTTGTGGCTTTCAGCTTAAGAGCTAAGCCCCAGAGCAACAGCTCTTGAGGTGCCACGGAGGGCGAAAGTAAGCTCTCACCCGGGCGCCCCCGCCAAGGACAACGCCTACGCGCCTCCTTCCCGACTTAGGGCTAGTGGATATTATCTCGACACTATTACTGCGTCACGCTCGCCCCCTTCATGATCCTGGTTTATATGACTTCCTTCTACCTCCATTAGATGTCAATTGCCATTCCAACCCAACTGCCATCTCTCTGAACACGGCAACACAAGCGCAACAAGGCAGCCGTGTACAATGCCAGTGCGCAGAGAATCAGATGCCGTAGATATTGGAACCCCCCGACACAGCCCTAATCAGAACCTGCCGAGCGTGGTCTTGTTGAACCGAGGGTTTTTCTTTGTCGGGGTAACTGCTCCCGCGCATGAAGCATGTACTTCTTATCGACTTGGGTATGTTGGCGATTGCAATTGTTGCTTGGCGTACTGGCAACAACTGTGTCACCGCCAGAATCGATTGCTGGAGATGAACAGTGGATACAAATGATTTGAGGGTCCCCAGTAGGGCCAAGTGACACGATAGTGTCCTCTTTCAAGGTTATACATTCGAATCTGTCCGGCAGAATCAGTGCATCATGAGACTAGTCGACGGTCCTCTGTGTTTGGAGTTCTAGACGGACTAGCAAACGAGCTACCGCAGGGAAGCAGCGCGATTGGCAGCCGCAGTAGATTATACTACGCCGAGATTCTCGATGTCTCCCACTTGGCAGGAACTCATCAGTGCATGGCTTGCTTATTGTGAATCTATAGCACCCCTACCCGTGGCAGTGCACCAAAATTTCGTATCTGCAGTTCAATAACTAGTGTGCAGCTGGTTCATCGATAAATTTCAATCTCAAGGCCCACGAGGTCGAATGGAGCAGAAGAATATTAGTGAAATAAAAACAATTACATATACACATCATAATGAGCCTATCTCACGACCAGATCTACCTCCTGTTTGAAATGTTGGGGGACAAAAGTCCGAAGCGAATTAGAGGGGGGAAATGCCCCTTTCAAGGCCCAACCTGTCAGCTTCAGCCGAACGCCTAGGACTTAAATTGCGCAGTGGAGACAGTGCAGTTGGCATGCACGAAAAAGCAAGATGCCCAAGCCAAAGCCAACATCCAAGAGTTACCCAGGGTCAGATCAGCAGAGCACGCGGAATCATGACATTTTTGAGAATTATGTTCCCCCGTCTTGAAAGTCAGGCGTCCAGCCGGCTAGAGGCAAAAGCAACCAGTATAATAACAGAGCGATGGTATTATTTCCTTTTTTTTTTTTGGCTTTCCCCTCATACTCCAAGCATCGTATCGGGAAGTACGATACTGGCTTCACCTTTCGCAAGCAAATCGAAGCTTTCCTCACTAGCAGCCGTTGGGCTAGACGCGGGGTCAGGCAATGCTCGGGAGTTCTCCACGCTGGGACCCCGCCATCGTTCCTCTCCAATCCATTCCATCCCGTCGCCTGCCACGCGCCGATCAAAGATCCGACGCTCCTTCTCGCCTTCTAGCAGAGGGAGCTGGTCGTCGGAGCTTTTCCCATGTCGGAGGAAAGGGAGGTTCCGCCGGTGCCATTCACCAAGGAACATGCCCTCCGGGTCAACCTCTTGCCGCACCTTCATCCACTCGTCCATGTTCTCGCGGTACAACCGATGCAACTCCGTCGAATCGAGCGTCTTGAAGTTCTTAGCCCAGTGCGGACGGGCGCCCATGTCCCGCATGAGCCACTCAAAAGCCTCATAGTAGCGCAAGTAACACGGTGGATCGCGAAGGTAAGGACGATAGAGGGTGGCATTTAGGTAGAGAGTGGGGCCGTCATCACAAGTTGGATCGAGGAAAGGCCGGGGGTTAGAATTCTTGGTGGAGTCCGAGACTCGCACCTCGACGGGGCAATGCACCCACAAGTCCTTGCTGGAGAAGGGGATTCGAGCGGTCGCTAGGTCGCCGTGCAACCAGGCCGAGAGGCGGGTGATAGCCTCAGGCCCTTGCTCAAGAGGGAGAGCCCATTCGTTGACGAATTGAGAATACAGACAGTTCATCAGGAGCCCGGTGCGGCTGGGCTCAACGGCTTCGGTCACGGTTCGTCCCGGGCGAAAGCCGTACTGCAAGCCGAACACAAACCATTCAACCCAGGGCAGGATGCGCGGGAAATACGAGGACAGCGCAAGCAGGTTGTGGTAGATGTGGTAACCGAACCATTCACCGTAGAAGTTCTTGGGAGGCGCTTGCAAGGGGCGGTCGGTCGGGTCCGCGCGCCAGACGATTGCGCCTTTCTCATATGGAAGCCACCAGACGCGAACGAATTCATGGGATGTCCAGAGACCGGCGGACCATTCGTTCAGCACTTGAGTAAGTGAGTATCGTTCTTGGCGCCAAGCGATGTTGAACACCGGTCTGGCTTTGAAGGTGACTTCGACGATAATCCCGAGGGCACCCAGGGAAATTAAAGCCGCGCGGAAAAGACTAGGGTTGTTAGTGGCGCCGCAGCGCACCAGCTGACCGTTCGGCAGCACCAGGCGGAGCGACTCGATGCATTCCGAAAGCAGTCCGTGTCTCAGGGAACTGCCGTGAGTGCCTGTCGCAATCACCCCCGCGATCGACTGACTGTCAATGCTGCCCAGATTCGGAAGTGTCAAGCCGTGCTCCTCCAGTCGGTTTCCGAGTTCGCTTAATCGGATGCCCGCTTCGACGGTCACGGTTCGAGTAGACTCATCGATGCTGAGGACCTTTTGGAAGTCGTCGAGATTGACAAGCCATGATGAGGTGCAGGTCAGGTCGGAGGGGAGTGGCCACTGCCCACGGTGACGAGGCGACGGCGACAGCGGCGAGCGAGGGTCACCAGCTTCTGGACCTCGGGGATGGACTGAGGTCGGACATAAAGCTCGGGGCGCGAGAAGAAGGTTTTGGCCCACGTAGAATGCAAGTGGCCTGAGGATGCGCGGAACGGAACCGCGGGGTCCAGCCTGGACAATTCGCGAGAAATCAAGGGGTCCATCGTTTTAAGGGCAGGCAATTCAGATCACTGCATCCTGCATCACATTGTCTGGTCGCTGAGGGATCAGAGTAAAGAGAAGAGGAAGGTCGCACTAAGAAAAATATGAATGGCGACATTTGCGATGACAAGCGGCCCACATGAAGCTGAAGGAGCCCGAATTCTCCCCACTTCACTTTTTACTTTTTTTTTCTCTACTTCCCCCTTGGCCTTGGTATTCCGTCAGATGCCGATTGTTACCCTTTTTTTTTCGCTTCTAACTCGGAGGATTAACCGCCCAGGTGGCCAACTTAACCCCGGGCCTTTTTCTGACCGCTTAATAATGTTCAGGGTCTTTTCTCCCGGGTATAGGTCGGAATATCTCCATTCCAGAACTGGCTCATGTGGACCTTGATCCACACGGGTCTGTCAGGGTCAGCTTAGAAATCGCCCGGAATATATTTCCTGTCGCAAATCTATACGGAGGAGAGGGGCTAGGGCTTTCTCAAGCGAATTTTCGGGTGTTCATCTCCGGCGAAACTCCAGATCGGGGTCAGATCGGGGTCAGATCGAGGGTAGGTTGCGGTCGAGGGATCTCGACATGGAAGCATCGGTCATGTTGACCTCATCATATTCCTCGGGGTTGTACGATCTATGAACGCGGTATGCGGCGGGTCACTAAGTCATATCACGCATGTGGGATCAGTATCGCCTGTGTATCGGTTTGGAGTGCTTTAGCATGGGTATGCGATGCCCTGGCTCATTGCAGGGGTCGGCCAGCCTTGTAGAGGTCGAAGACGGGGAACCCGATTTTATGGACTTCGTGTAGCTCAGAACTACAAACGAGCCAGATGAGCTAGACTCCATGAGAATGGTAGTGCAGGTTCCAAGTGAGGACTTCAAAATGATCAGACAGTTACTTCATCCGTGACTCTAAAATCGCCGGTATTTGCTGAAAGTCTACTATGCCGCTTCGACTGTTCGCGACAGGATCACCCGAAGTGCAAGTTTTTACCAGTAGGGTCTTATGACTACCGCACACTATTCCGAGAGCCAATAATCAAATTTTGTACATGCTTTACATGAAGATCTCAAAGTAGATGTCATCCCAGATGCCCCACAATGCTCCTCTAGGGTGGTACACAACGTAGACAAGACTCCTCCCTGAATGCTCTCTTAACAAGCCGAAAATATGCACAGAGAAATGCAAGGGAGATGCAAACCAAAAAATATGGAAAAGTAGTAGAAACCAGAAAGAAAAATGAAACCCAAAAAATGCGTTTAAAAAAGATAGAAGAATAGAAGAAAAGAACAAGAAAAGAAAAGAAACCGAATAAAGCAAAACAGAACTCCCTTACCATTTGATTGCCTTACTGTGTTCGAAGTGCTTCGATCGCGACTCCCAAGGGAAAAGACACGGGGCGTGTACGGATGACTGGTCCCATTTGCGGAAAACACTCTGGCACCGGTCTGGAATACCGCCTAATGCGACGAGGCTCTTGGGGATGAATGGGCGGTCTTGTAGTGAAGCGGCGAGGATGCCGTATTCGTGGGCGAAAACCAGTGCGGTGGCAAATTCGGCTGATTTTTGCGATGCGTATTCGCCGACAATACTATAACCCTGTTAGGATATGATGAGGCAGTGAGAGGAATCAAACTTACACGTAAATCTCAAAGAAGGTGTCTAGGATATAGACATCCTTCTCAGTCAAGTCCTTGTAACGAAAGGGCTCAATCTCCTGGAGCGTATCATTCGGGCGAACAGTCGGCGAGCCCGAGCCTGGACGTCGCAGGTGGTTCCAGAAACGAGAAGGTTGACCAAGCTCATGATCAATACGAAAGAGACGAAGGCGGAAATGAGGGTACTTCGGCTTGAGACTCCAGAAGTCGGAGGTCATAAGCGGGTTGGCCTCGTTCGACCCGGCAAAGTCTTCGAAGAAGGTCTCTGGTTCTTGGCCTTCTTCCACTTCTTCAAACTCCCCGGTCAGACCAAGGTCCATGCTGATCAACCGAGCAGCTCCGGTTTCCTCTGGGCCACTTCCCTTGCCCTTCCATAGGTAAAGCTTGCCGAACGGGGCAGAAATCACGAACGGAAAGCCCGAGCATAGATTGCGAAGAGAGTAATCCACTTCGTCAAATGCCATTTGGCCCATATGCTTCCGACCGCACAGCATATACAAAGCAGACGATGAAGAACGTGAACCTCCACCGCGGCGGGTAATGAGGATCCCACCGAGCGCTTGGATAAACCGCACCGGCTCCTTCCCCTGACGGATAACATCCAGCTTACAGCCATTCTCGCGAGCAACCTTGCGAGAGAACAGGTGAGCATCTTCAATGGCACCTTCCGAGACATCATCACCACACCACAGGTAAGCTTCAGTGCTGTTGGTACCTTGTGCTTCAAAAATATGGACACACAGGTACATGCTCCCTTCATAAAGAACATATTCTTGATTGGCAGGCAAGTCTTGTTTCTTTCCATCGCCTGTAATTTCCCAAATCTGATGGTTCACAGTTCGAATCTTCGACTCATCCAGTCTGTTTGTCAACATTAACTGGGGGTCAATATCCATACCATCTCGTTGATTCGGGAAAGTTTTGAAGAATGCCGCAATAACCTCGCGAGCTTCAGCTGCTTGAGCTACCAATGAAGGTGCCGACATCTTGCGGGACAATCTATGCGGATCACCGGGCTTATTGAGGGAGTATTCAGCCCATTTACTAGGGGCTGGTGGAGATTCTTTGGTCTTCGGTGGTGACGAATCCGCCACCCTGACCCCAGGTATTTCTTTTGGTGGCGGCGTTGAAGGCGAATCCCGGCCATTGTCCCTGAAGTTCGAGCGTAAAGGAGACGATAGTGAAGCCATATATCGGGCCCTCTGACCCCACGAGAACGACCTTGTGGTTGGACTCGATACGGGAGATAGAGATGGTGAAATAGAGTTGGATTTCAAAGGCTCGGGGCGTCGATTTCTCGGACTCAGATCTGAAGGAAATTCATTTTCACGGGTGCTGGTGTGGTCCGGTTGGGAGACAGGGCTGCTCGGTTCTTGGGGGGACAAGGGCGAGAAGCTCCTCAATCTCTGTTGCAGTCCACTGTTGAGAGCATTCTGGAAGGTAGCTCTTACTCCCGAGAGTTGTTTGGCGAAAGGGCTCTCTGTTTGAGCGTTTTCAGTATTGACAACAATATCTTTGCTATCCTTAGACTCGCCCGAGTTCGTTCCCGAGGGAACATCAGGCTCGGGGGTAATCTGGGAACTTTGAGCTTCAGGAGAGGAAATGGGACCAACCTCCTTGGAATTCTCGGCAGACGTAACAGTGGGAGCATCGTTGCCCTTCGGTAGCCGTCGCTTAGGACCTCTGGCGCGACCTTTCGTCATATGGGTAAGGGGAGCAGCAGGTGAAGTAGATGCCGGGCTTCTAGCATCTGGGACCGGGACATCCATCTTTGGTCCTTCGGCTGCCGCTTGGGGTCCACGGGATAGGATGCCTGCTAAGGCTGGATTGATTCGGCCTGCGAGCTTCCCCTTTGCGGAGAAAGCAGGAGGATCTGTCGCAGTTGGGGACTGCTCTGTCGTTTTCCAGCGATTGGCGGATGGAAGACCTCGAGCTGAGCTAGCACTCTCTGTTGGTGAAACCTGGCGATCCAGGGCCACCGGGCTTCCAGGCTCTCGTCTCACGTTTCTGATCCTCCATGGAGCGGGCTGACGTTCTACAGGCGAAGCCTTGGGCTCGTCAAGAACAGGTGATAAAACTGCAAGTTCCTCTTTCGTGGGGCTTGTACTCGCGACGGAAGGTGATACCACAGATCGGTCTTCGGATGAGCGTGTTGAGCTGACTTCTGTGGAGATGGTTGGACTAGCAGATTGGGGATTCGTGATCGGCTGACGGATGCTATTTGGTCGTGTCATGGTGTTGCGTCTCGCGATGGCTTCGGGGACTGCATCGACGGGTTTGGGTGGTTCATCTTTCTCCCCAACGGTTGGTCTTCTAATCGAGCCCCCACCTGCCTTCATGGCTTGCTTTGTTTTAACAAGGCTATCTCTAAACTCATCAACTCTTTCAGTCTTCTTCGGGCCCCCGGTCACGTTCAGTGCAGCTTTGCCGCGCAAAATATTGCCCTTGAGTTCGTCAGGAGCAACGTAATTTCGAGTCTCCGTCTTTTTGAGTCGTCCGAAAACATTCTTGAACTCGGGTTCCTCATTTCGGTTGGCGTCCTTGGCAACTTCGCGCTTGCGCAAATTTCCTCTGAAGTCAACAACAGGAGACTCTGGCTTAGGCTTCAGAGAGAAAGGCTCCCCGCGGGACGGCAGGGAGAAGTTCGGTTTCGCATTTAAAGCAGGTGGTGCTTTACGAACAGGCTCTGGCTCTGGTATTGGTTCCGGAGACTTCTTCGGCTCTGCGGGTTTCTCCGCAGTTTCGACTGCAGGCAGAGATGACTGATTCTCTTTCTCGTCATCTGAACCTTCCTCCAATGTCTTGGGCTTTACGTCGCTCTTAGGGGCTTCAGTTTGCTTTTCAGTTTTGGCCGATGCTTCGTTCTCGAGAATTGATAATGGTTTGTCTGGCACAGTCTCTTTCATAGGGTTGATAGTAGGGCTTCCCAAAAGGGATGAGGCGCCAGAAATACTGGGTTTCTTGAAATGAGTACCAGGTGGAGGTGTTCTCATTAAACCCACAGGAGTCACTTCTTTGAAGTTGCTCACTCGACCCATGTCAACACTGCCCCGCGATTGTCGCTCTCGCGCCCAGGAAGGCTGTGATGGAGACTGCCTCGAGTTTCGTGCAGATTCTGGTCGGTTCAGAGCACTTTCCAACCAGGACGCCTTGGTTGGGCTCCAGCGCTTAGGGTCCATAGTCCTCGATGTGAAAGGACTGGATGAAGCATCTCCATTGGCACTGTCCACAGTGGCTGTGCTCAATGATCTAGCGTGAGAGTACAGCGCGGCTCTACTCGGGCTTCCCTCAGAACGGAGTGTGTCGCTCTTTGGGAATGAGGGTGTAGTAGGCCGTTCGCTTTCGTCTGGATTCTGCACAGTAGCTTCGCTGTGGCTCGACCCAGGTCGCTGAGTAGTTGAGAATACTTCCTGGTTGAACTTCAGCCCGGTTGATGGTGTCATATCACTGACACTTCCCGTAAGACTTGGAGCTGCCACACTGTTACGGTTGCTAACAATGGAATTGCTTCGACTCAGACCTTGGTGGACCTGAGCGCTCCACCGTTTTGATACGCTATCCGAGCGCCTCATCATCGCGCTTTGCACGAATCCACCTAGTCCCTTGGTGGGGGACATCGAACGCGCTCTTTCGGGTGACATTCGTCGCTGTGTGGGAGAAGGGGGTAGAGGGTCACTAGTGTCGGTTGGAGGATGATCGAGCTTTGGAGCATCTGCCAATGGCTCTGGCGAGGGTGGTCCAGTACTTTGAGACATTGATGATATGCTCGAATAACGGTTGCCAACACTGCTTTCGCCAATAGTAGAAGTTGTCCTTGGCAGGGATGGAGATTTGTCTATTTCTTCCATTTTGTCTGGTTCTGCAGTTGGCTCACGACTCATACCAGGCAGCCGGTGGCTTGCAGTCCATTCCGCTGGACTGTTCGATCTCTCCTCGGTTTGGCGGTACGCCGGTGAACCTGCTCCTCTATCTGGAGTTTGACGGAACCACGCTGGGTCTTTCGAGCCAAGTGATTGCGCAATCTGAGCCCGCGAGGGCTGGCTATCCGTCGAGATAGTAGATGGATTTCGGAAATGGCCTAAACGCGTCGGCGATGTGGAACCGGGTGATCTGTTGACCAAGTCTCGCGATGGAGGGCGTTGCTGCCACGACAAGGTACCTGTCCGACTTCGAGATAAGGCGGGCAGCGTTCGTGGGGGCGATTCACCATCTACTTCTTGGTTCGACCCGCGTCTCGGGATAGCTGTCTCACGGACCTCACTCTCTCTTGTCCCGGTGGGTGTCTCTGGGTCCGGGGTTGTTAATGTGGGCTCGAGGTGCTCTGGAGGGTCGATTGAAGACTGGCCGATAGATGAGGTACTCATTCGGAGAGGATTCATAGTGGGTGAACCGGCAATCGACCGTGCCCGCTCTACCATCAGATGTCAGTAACTTGTGAGTCAGGTAGGTCAGGAAGGTCACTAGAAGCGCGGGGTCCTTGTAGTCACCCGGCTCTGCTCGACGCATGGGGACCGGGAACAATAGAATGGGGGGCGGGCAAATACCTGCTCGACGGGCCTGTCTTTCCTTGCGGCCTTGCAAAATTTCATCCTCGAGTTTCTTGGTGCGCTGGTCGTCTTCTTTATCTCGGCGTTCACCGAGTTCCCGAATGCGCAGCAAAAAGTCGTTAACATCCTCTGCGCCCTCGGGGCTTTTGGACGTCGCCATATTCCCGCTGCGTGTCTCGCCAGAGCGGGAGAGTGTCTCCTGCAGGGGACTTCCGGGGAAGGGAGAATGTTGCTGAGAAGTGGGAGAAGGGAAGATCGAAGGGCTGAAGTGTTCTCCGCCCTGTTTAAATTAAAATGGGGATGGGACGCGACCCGAGATCATCGGGCCCCTCTATCCCTCTTTTCGCCCTTCCGAGATGAGATGATATTTTTACAAGGGGAATTGGCAACGAAAAACTCCCAAGCCGGATAATTCCTCCTCATGTCATTAGCCCCAGATCAAATCTCCATATTCCCTGGCTGATGTTAACCGGAGTGTTTGTTTACGGTAAGGTTTTTGTGGAGCGGATCGCTTCCAGGTTCGCCCCGCCGGTTGTCGAGTCGATTTTTGGTTAATTAGTGGCCCATTGGCGACAATGACGAAATAGCTAACCCATTCTACCCATTTTTCAGTCTCTGGGGAAATTAAAGTCGTAGCTTGTTCCACTTGGGTTCCCTTTTCGCGACTTGCGGTTCGCGTTGTCACAATTCCAAGGATCTCTCAATCCCTATCGATTCCGAAAAGTTGACTCGTCATGGGCTGTGCCTTGCTGTAGTCCCTGTGGAGATCAGCGCAGGTTGTCATTTAAATCCTCTTACAGAATTTGTGATTTTATACGGCCACATCGTCTCGACGCTCATGAATTGCAGTTGAACTGAATGGATCGTTAAGTTGACACAAATTGTCTTGATTATAATTTCGCCTCCGCCATGCATATACATATTCGGGCATATGCAGGCGACCGTCGAATGGAATTCCGATGATTGTAAGAACTTAAGAGAAAAGAATTTGAGACAAATTGAATTTTACTATGGCTTGCATTAACGGACGCAACACCACATGAAGTTTCTTGCTCGAAACTTGTGGGTTCTGGTCTGAGATGAGATGCCTCAACGGCATGGGGATGTATGCCCAAGATAATGCGGTGAGCAAGGCTGGACGTCTTCTCCAGCCGAAAATAATATCGTCAATCGTAGGGCACTAAATCGGGATATGTCTCTGTCGATTCGAGGATCAGCACCGTGATCTCTATATATCAAGTTCAAACTCAAGTTTCCACTCAACATTTCCACGTGCGCCCCCCTTTCGGGGGCACCCAGGTGGAGAACAGCGCAGGGCAACTCACAGAGTTTAGTAGAGGAACAGTCGATCTTTCGCATCCTGTACCACCCACTCGAGCCCTTCATTCAGATTTTGCCCCGTCATAGCACTGCACGGCAGGATGGTCCACTTGTGCGTTTTGATTGAATCCAAGTCAAGGCGCTAGGACAGCTATTAGCAATGAGTCCCAGATGTATTAGAGCGGAAACGACTTACTTTGCGCACCTCTTCTTCAGTCATACACTGTTCCACGTCTGTTTTGTTTAGGAAGACCAGTAAACTAGCTCCCATAAGCCGCTGACGTTGGGGTGAGGTTATTTTAGCGTCCACCATCCTGATAAGACGTGAGAGCGGCAAACGAACCTCTTCTAGCAGAAGCCCAGCTAGCTCTTCGCGACAGTCGTCCACACGAAGTCGATCGGTCGCATCAACCACCCAGACAAGAGTGTCTGTCTTTTCGAAGTAATTTTTCCAATAGGACCTGAGTGTCTTTTGGCCGCCCACATCCCCTTCGAATTTGCGTTAGCTCTGCCACAGTCTTATCGTGCAACCCACTCACAGATGTTTAATTTGTATCTAATAAGCATGTTAGCACTGATTTTCTGGTAAATTAGTAGTATCAATTTACCCCATAAAGTCAACTGTTTTGATTATAAAGCCCAGAGTCGGGCTCACCGTAGTAACATCCTCGTTCATGATCCTTTTCACGATGGTGGTTTTGCCAGCATTATCCAAACCTCTGTCTGGGTTAGCACACGAGCCATAAGTCGAATGACGGGTCAGACCCTACAGCATCAATATCCGCATCTCTTTATCCTTTAGGCGAGCTTTTCTCAGGATAGACAGCATGTTGAATGTGATTATTGCTCGAGCTGCAAAACCAGTGGGGTGAGGAGGCGCGGGAGGCAGTATTTCTGGCCGCGGGTGGAACCCGCCTTGGAAGAACTACAAGCGCACCACTAAACACCACCACCATATTGAGATTTGCGAGCTATTACCATAAGTTCTCATTTGTTCCGACATTCGATGGCCCGGTAAAGCCCATCTAAGGGAACGTACTACTTTTGGCAGGAATGTCACGCCGGTATTGCGTTGCTGGGGCCTTGTATACGTATAAGTTCACGTCCAAGTTTGGCTGCGGCCGATATCAGTAGAACACCTGGGCATGCAGCTCATTTCGCAGATGTTGGGCGCTCCAGCGCCGTACCCAGTACTTTGCCATAAGCAGCATAAGGCCAAAAAAAGAACGGGGTTTGAGCTCTATACTAAGTACCATCCCACCAAGTTGGAATTTTTTTTGAAAAGCTTGCATTGTTGTATTACCAGAATTTTGTGAGACTTAAAGGTGAGTGACTGGTTTCATTACTTATTATATTTTCCACATGACTCGGAGAAATGGCCTATCCATCCTTGTTTTGCGACAACGTAATTACTGTTTGGCCCCGGAAAATCGATGGATTTATTAAAGATGTTTCTTCATGCCCGTTGTCCTTCAAATGGCCGGCCATTGAGGTGAGATTTAGCTGAAGCAGCGCCGAGTAATGATGGGTTATTGTCGCCAACGTACCAGTCTACAGTAATTTCCAGCAAGCGCACGCTCAGTATAATGGTGGAATCTTGTGATATCATCAAGAAATGTTGTGGAGCCAGTTGGTCCACACCATGAATTAGATTGTATCGTTATCTGTAATCTTCTATATTTGGAGCGCTCACATTATATTGGACGCATGATAGCCCTTCCTGAGCCGATATTGGAGATTCTGCATTTGAATTAATTCCAGGAAGTTGAGCATATTCAAATCCCTGCTTTCTCTCATGATATCAATAGGAGCCAATCATTGGCGGAGCGGAACAACAAAGGCATTTGTACTCGAGATACTAGAACTAGAGAGAGGAGAGGGAAAAGAACTACAGCAACAGCCTAACCCCCCCCCCCCAACAATCCTCCACCCCATTTTCCCATACTTCGGACGACATCCCCCAGTAACAAGGCGGTGACACATGGCAAGAATAATCCCCGAGTGCAGAATGAAGCCGCTGACTATTGGGTCATCCGGGTAAGCGTAGTTTAACTATGGCTCTCCGTTTGTCCTCACTCGTATTTGTACGCACCTTTATCAATAACCTTCCACTTCACCTCTCTGTTTATCTTTACTCGTATTTGTACGCACATTCTCAATAATTCTCCGCACTCCACATACCCATCATATCCACGTGACCTTCCTTTCAGATCTACCCAATACACATACTTTTCCGCCTGGGAAAATGCTTTCCCGAACTATACTCAAGAATCAAATGACCAAGCCAACCAAGCCAGCCAAGCCCGACCACGGTTCTGTGGGGGAGGTTGCGCATCTTGACGGCTCTAGGCGCCGATCGAAAAGTCCGTCTTCCGTATCCTCAAAATGGGAGGATCTGAGTGTGGCCGCTACTGAAATTGTAGGGGATATTACTAGCCCCCAGAACGGAAATACGGCAGCTCGCAATACTCGCAACAAAAAAGCAAGGGACAATGAGAATAAGGGCTTCAGGTCTCGGTCTTCCATGGGCAAACAGACGCCCTCGCTCGTGGCTTCCAGTTCGAGCTATGGTGCGTTTGTTCTAAAAATCTCTGGTTACATTATACATAGACCTATTTGCTAATCTCATCCAACTCCAGCTGACTGTGGCGTTCCTCTCCTTCCCTCCCGAGACAAAACCACGGGTTTCCCCGCCCACGAGTATTCCTTTAAGGAGGAAGTGAGCAGTGACAAGGCACAAGATTCTTCCAGTATGTCTGTGGCCCAACCTAGCAGACCATCTAGTTTCCTCAAGCTAGAGAAGAATTGTCCAGGCAGACATAATGGTGTGAACCTAAATGCCGAGCCCGGGATTTCCTGGCTGGATTACCACATGAATCGGAACGCCATAGCTCAGAATATCCTACAAGATGTTGCGAAAACCCAAACTCATCCTAAGACTGTCCGAAATAGCACTCGACTTCTGGCCAAGCTGCGGCGAGATAAGGCTCAACAACCTGACCCCGACACACATCTTGATCTTCCCTTGCCCTGCACTATCAAGAAAATTCAGTTCTCCAAATCATGGGATACGTGCTTTACGGGTCCTACCGCGTCAGCTCGCTTGAAGCAGCAGCTTGAAACCCGTGAATCAGCTGCTTCTACATCGCCTAGTGAGGAATCGGATGAGTTCCGAGAGATAAAGCTTGCTGCAGTGGTAGAGCATCAGAAGTCGATTGACCGATACGAAACATCACCGCGACATATTTCTTCTGCCTTGAGGCCTCACAGTGATCCGAACGCCGCCTGGAAGACCAACTTAGAGGAATCGAGGTTGACTGCCATGCAAAATCAACGTTGGTATGAGCAAGGCGAATGGAAGCCAAAAAACTTATTCACCGTGCCAAATAAAATCACTGATAAGAAAGAATACTATCAATCTTTCTACTCTTGGCTCTCTTCCATTCCAACAAACTCGGACGTAGTGATGGACACCAACCGCAAGGCCTTCTTCGACGGAACTGCCGTCCCAGATGGTGACCATGGGTTTATGATTCAGAGACTAGAGCACCCAAGCCCACCTTGCGACATGAGTGACCAGAAGACGAGGTCTCACTGGCACGAAACAGCCGCCCAGTATGTTTTGAATTACAAAAACCTTATCTATGAGCCCAAGGTTGATGAAGGAGTGAGCGAAGTGAGCGAAGTAATTACCCGTTCAGCTACTCCATATCTCCGTTTTGCTACATATGATGATGCTGATGGTCTGACGGAAATTTTCAAAACCTACGCTGGAAACTCTCCATTGAGCTCTCACCTAAATACTAGCGCGGGATATGTCAGAAACATCATCAGCTGTTGCACCGAGGCTTGGCTCCCGTTTATCGTCGCCGTTCAGCCAACCTATGATCCCGAGACCAACACATACCCGCAGGAGGAGGTTCTAGGGTACGCATATATCAAGATGTTCAGCGACTACCCTCAGACAGGGGAGTACACTGGAGAATTGGAAGTGTTTGTAGCGAAGAAGCATCAGAAGCAGAATCTTGGCCGGTCACTGGTCGGCATGATTCTGACGCTCTGCAGTTCCGAGCACAAGCATTTGGATGGCACCCCTTACAAATGGCACAGTCCTGACTGCATCGGCAAAGACAGACTGAAAATTCGCCCTTTGATGACTCTTCTTTGTGGCATTGCCTACCCATCCGACTTGAAGGAAGATGTGGAGTGGATCCCAGAATGGCTGAAGAGAGAATTCGACTTTGAAAAACAGGGCACCTTAAAGAAATTCCGCGTTCAACACAATATTCCGTAAGTACCAACCCGAACTGGAAACTTTATTTCGCTCTTCTTCCTAACTTGTATTCAGATTAGATGTTGAGTTCATTCGACGAGGGTTTCCTGTGCACCTGCCTATGGAGCCGGTATCTCAAATGTCCGTACTTTGAGTCCATTCTAGGCGCTACGGTGACGATACGGCGTGAAGGCTATGGAATGACCTATCCACGATACTCGATGACTTGAAGTTCGCTTCCTTGCAGTTATGCGTTGCGGTTCTCCCTAGGCAAGGCTCTGTTTTTGGCTTTTAATTGTCCTGTGGCCCCAGATGAAGTGAGGATTCAGAACAGGAAGAATAAATAGAAAGCTTCCCGAGATCCCATAGTCTGCAATCATCAAGAAAATGCAAAATCCGTTAACTCTACTCTTGCATTTGTAGTTCGGAGGTGTGACTTCGATATCTGCATTGTGATTCGCCGATCTACAATTCGGGGTCCACTGATCTCTTAGTCAGCTAGTCACCGCTTCACCGCCCGACTGGAGAAATCAACATGCAGAAAAAAAAAAAAGTTCGGCGATTACTGGTTTCGCTACAGAGCCTTTCTTCAATTACTCTGTCATTTGGGATATTCTTGAGGGGGAATCAGGGATTCTACAGATCCCATATTTCTCCAGCTACGAAATCTTCCCATTGATTATACCATGGCTCCGAACGGAAAGCGGAGCTCAAAGGACGACGACTTCGTCCTCACGCTGTCCGACGATGATGATGTTCCCCGCTTCGACGAGGACGAGACCGAGGAATTGAGCGGCAAGGCGAAAGATACAGAAAACAAGAAGCGTAAGCGCGAAGCCGAGGCTCCCAAAGAAAAGAGCAAGAAGCAAAAGAAGCAGAGCAAAAAAGGGAAGGCCGAGCCCGTGGCTCTGTCTGAGGACGAGGAAGACGATGAGGCAACCGGTGCAGCTGAGGATGATGGTGTCCTTGATCCCGAGTTTGAATTCGATGTTGGGGGCGCTGCCAATCGCGGAGTCACCGAGGGCTTCGACGGCTGGGGTATGGACGAGCCTAAGCAAAATGGCGGCGACAAGAAGGCGGTGGATATAGACGATATCATCTCCCGGAGGCAAGCGAAGAAGGATGCTGCTCAGAAGAAGCAAAAGAAGGCCGTTGTCGAGGAGGAGTCTGAAGAGGAGGACGCTGAATCTGGCGATGATATGTCGGTGGACTTCGAAGATGACGAACTGATGGCTGAGGACGGATTTGGAATGGGCGCCGATGGCGAGGATGAGAGTGATGCGGAAGGTCCGTCTGGTCCAGAAGATGATGACGAAGAGGGCAGCGACGACGAGGATGACGACGCAGCATCTGATAATGACTCTGTTGCAACCCCAGTTGATCACCCCGATGATATGGAATCTGACCGGGAGTCTGATGCGGAGAGTGAGGTCGACGCCGTAGAGGCCGAGAAGCGCAAAGCTTTCTTCGCTCCCGAGGAAAAGACCGACGAGAAGGCTGCAGGAAAGAGCACGTTCCAAGATTTCAACCTCTCTCGCCCTATTTTGCGAGGTCTCGCCTCGGTTGGATTCACCGACCCAACTCCCATTCAGCGCAAGACAATCCCCATGGCGCTCCTGGGTAAGGATATCGTGGGTAGTGCTGTTACTGGTTCCGGTAAAACCGGTGCTTTCATCGTTCCTATTCTCGAGCGTCTGCTCTTCCGTCCTCGCAAAACTCCTACCAGCCGTGTCGCCATCCTCATGCCTACCCGTGAATTGGCGGTTCAATGTTACAATGTCGCCGTGAAATTGGCGACTTTCACCGATATTACCTTCTGTCAGCTTGTTGGTGGTTTCAGTTTGCGCGAGCAAGAGAACATCCTCAAGAAGCGACCCGATGTTATTATCGCCACCCCTGGTCGTTTCATCGATCATATGCGCAACTCTCCCAGCTTCACAGTGGATACGCTCGAGATTCTGGTTCTTGATGAAGCTGATCGTATGCTGGAAGATGGTTTCGCTGACGAGTTGAACGAAATCCTGACCACTATTCCGAAGTCACGACAGACTATGCTGTTCTCTGCTACCATGACCGACACTGTTGACAAGCTCATTCGTGTTGGACTGAACCGTCCTGTTCGGCTGATGGTGGATGCAAAGAAGCAAACCGCCGTGACCCTGACTCAAGAATTCGTTCGTCTACGACCTGGGCGTGAAGATAAACGCATCGGATACCTTCTTTATTTGTGTAAAGAGATCTATACGGGACGTGTGATTATTTTCTTCCGACAGAAGAAGGAAGCGCATAGGGTTCGCATCATCTTTGGACTATTGGGACTGAAGGCGGCTGAGCTCCACGGTAGCATGAGCCAAGAACAGGTATGTTGGAACTGCAGTGCACTGGATCCTTCTAATATTAACACCCTGTATAGCGTATTAAAAGTGTAGAAAATTTCCGTGATGGAAATGTCGCTTTTCTCCTCGCTACCGATCTTGCCTCTCGTGGTCTAGATATTAAAGGTGTCGAAACTGTCATCAACTACGAAGCCCCACAAAGCCACGAGATTTACCTCCATCGTGTGGGTCGTACCGCCCGTGCCGGCCGCTCAGGTCGTGCGTGCACCATCGCCGCCGAACCGGACCGAAAGGTAGTCAAGGCAGCCGTGAAGGCCGGCAAGGCCCAAGGCGCCAAGATCGCTAGCCGTGTGATTGAGACTTCCATTGCCGACGAGTGGGCTCAAAAAGCCGCCGATCTGGCTGAAGAGATTGACGAGATTCTGCAAGAGGAAAAGATTGAGAAGCAGATGTCTCAGGCTGAGATGCAAGTCAGCAAGAGTGAGAACCTCATGAAGCACGGCGCAGAGATTATGGCCCGACCCAAGCGGACGTGGTTCGAGACTGAGCAACAAAAGAAAGCCTCGCGCAAACTTGGTGCTAGTGAACTGAACGGGCCTGATGCTGGGAAGTCTAAGAAGGATAGGGTCAAGCTCAGCAATAAGGACAGGAAGCGTCTGGACGACGCCAAATTTCGAAAAGAAAGCGGTGCGGGCTGGAAGAAGGGCAAAGCTGAGCGTGACGCGCCGAAAAGCAAGGGTAAGGACAAGGGCAAAAAGAAGGGCAGAAAGTAATGATCAAGTATTTGTATAGATTAAACTTGTTTTACCCAATACCAGCCTCTTTCATTGACGTTCAAGCTTCCTTCTTTACCGTATCACCGCCCGTGTAGAGACGGTTCTAAAGACGCGCGTAGTATCATTGGGCCCCCGATGGCCCGTTCGTGACGATCACCTATCGTATTCATCCATAGTGCTTATGGGAGGTGATCTCGCTTCCAGCGTGTGGCGCCGATCAGCTGTTTACCCCTAGCCAGGCCGTTTGAAACCTCAGCTTCTTTCTAGCCATGGATTCTTAGGCGAAGTCAAAGATAAGGCTCTACCGGAGTACGATGGGCTTCAGAAGGCAATAGCTGTGGCGCTCGATCGGGAGCGTTTACCCTTACGGGGTAGTGGACGGCGCTAAAGGTACCCTTAAATGGCACATGGTTGCGCCACCGGGGCGACCTCATCAGACAGACGAAGAGCTTCTGACTACGGATTCGCCGTTCTAATCATGCTCGATTAGCTATACGCAGTACGCAAATTTAGGTAAAATGGTTCCCCCCGGGCATTCGTCGGAGAATTTGCCCAGATGCCCTGGCCCGCGGTTTATAAACATGCGTGGTGTCTGCCTCGGCCAGAACCGTTTGCCAAGAGGACGTCAGGATCGATTACGGGGTAAAGTTTGGGTCTTGTCGCCGACGTTTCCCCGGACTAATCTTGCCCCAACATCAGAAAAAGTAGACTCTGATATTCAAAGCCCTATCGGTGGGCACAGCGGGTGGTACATGGTGGATCCTTGAGCTACTTATCCACATTCCGGCCTATACCCGGCACAACCATGGGGCGTTAGAGTTCAGGCAAAGCGCGTTGGTCCAGAGGGGGCCTCTCATATTCTCGAACAAGCCTTTGGGGCTTGAAAGGGAAGGTTGCTAAAACAACGATGATTTGAGTTTCGATCGTCCGTTTCATTTCCGATGGCTGGCAGGCTCCCCTTCTGTTTAAAGAAATGGCGCGGATCCAAGACTGCGGCCCAACTACGGAGAGAAAGGCCCGGGGGGTTCCACCAGATGCTGATGGCCATGAGTCGAGTAATGATACGGACGAAATAGGCCAGCAGATATGCAGCTTCCTGTCAGGGTTCTCGGTGGGGCGTCCAGTTCCCCCCAAGCACAGCAAGATTCGGTGATGGGGAAAATGCCACCAGACCTTCAGGGCAAGGCTGCAATGGTCTATTTTGCGAAGATCGATGATGCTAGTGCTTCCAGTAAATTCCAGGGAGAAAAACTAACGCACGCTAGGAAGCCCCCCAGCACATTAGCGGCACCGCCCAATTGGCTAGTCCAGTCATCGTGCAGGTGCGAGTGGGGCGGCAATTATAGCGAATGAGAAACGCAGAAAAAGCACCCCACCGCATGCGGCCAAGTAGACGGTGCTGCTCGCTGATTGGCCGATTGTCCCTGGCGGTCCTTGTCGCTCTCGACTGCCCGTCCGCAGACGCAATGATCTTATTGCTTATTGTTCAAGTTCACGGATTGAACTGGTCCGATTATGATCTTTCCAATCCACCCAACGTTCAAAAATCCCGGACAGAAAGGAGAGCCCCACGCCCAAAGAACTATTTTCCTGCTAATTCTTCCTTCCTCCCCCTCTTCCCCATCTCTGGGCCTTCTTTCGCATATGGGGGTCGCGTGTTGCGAGTCTTCCCTGTGAAGCTATCGCGATGGTGGTTGAAGGTTCATCGGCCACGGCCGATATACCCTCCAAGACGACGCTTCCCCGGAAAAGCGCCTTCTCCTGCGAAGCTTGTCGCAAGCGCAAGGTGGGTTGGGTCTCTTTCTTTCCCGTCGGGCAAATCCCGAGCTTGCCATAGGCTGATCGGATCATCGACAGGTCAAATGTAACGGAGCAAGTCCGTCGTGCTCACGATGTGCTGCCCGTGGGGAAACCTGTGTATATAGCTTGTGAGTCCCTCGGCCTTCTGCCCGGTCGCAAGAGCCTTCAGGCTTGTTGGCTTCGGATGGCTTCTTTTTGGTGGGCTCGATTGCTGACCCCCTCACCCCGCTCCGCCTCCCAGAGCTCCGACGTTATCATATACGAAACAGCTCGAAGCGCGAGTCGCACAATTAGAAGATGCCCTGTCGAAAGTCCGCCATGCCGATGCGGACACGAAGAAAGTGAGCTCGCCGGGGTCGGTGGCTGAGTCCAGCTCCAGTGCAGGCCGCCGGGTCAAAAGTGAACACGGAGAGGCACAGGAACTAGCGAGGGACTTCGACGGATTGAACGTCGAAACCGATGGTCGCATTTCTTTCCATGGCCCGACCAGTCTTTTCCAGCTTCCCAGCGGAGTTGTGAATGAAACAGCATCGAACCTGCATGTGACGCAGGAACTGGAAGCGCGCAAAGAACGACTGATCAACAGCGCATGGAGGGAGCGGGCATTCGAGCAGATGGCAACTATGCCGGTAAGGTTCCTTTCCGAACATTCCCTTGGATTATTAACTAAATACCCCGACTCGTAAAAGGAGCCATACCAATACCTCATCGACTCCCATTGGTGCTGGATTCAACCACTATTCAATTTCGTCTACCGCCCGGCTTTCACTCGTCAGTTCCATCCCCAGCCGTCCCAGGCCTACCAACTAACACTGTTACAGGGGATATGAAATTAGACGGGCCATACTTTTCGAAGGGTCTGCTCAACGCCATTCTTTCTCATTCCGTGAGATGGTGTAAAGAAGAACCACAGATCAGCCCTCTCCTCGACCAATTTGACGGAGGCCGCCTATTCTATCAGCGTGCCCAGGCTGAACTGTTCGAGTCGCTCAAGGGGGGCTATGCTAGGATCCCAACCATCCAGACGTTGCTACTTATGAGTGCGCAAGAATGTGGCCGCGGCAACCGGACCCAGGCTTGGCTGTACAGTGGCATGGCATTCCGGCTGCTTGATGACCTTGGCATTTCAATAGACAGTCGCAAATACTCCGGATCGGCTCAATTAAGTGACGAAGATATCGAGATTCGCAACCGACTGTTTTGGAGTTGCTACTTCTGGGACAAGATTGTATCCCTCTATTTTGGTCGCTCACCAACGATGCAACACTCTCGCGTGAGCCCGCCGCGCATGATCCTGGACGACACGTCGGAGGTCGAAATATGGACTCCACACGGCGTCCGATTCCCGGACGGAGCTCACTATCCCCCTACAGAGGCGCACTCTACTTCGTGCTTCATGAAGATGTGCGGTCTGGCGGAGATTCTGAATCAGATTTTGGTCCATATTTACGACCCCATGAGCCAAACCACCGAGAGCGAATTCCTTGATTGTGTTCAGGAACAAGCGAAGAACTTGAGCGATTGGTGGGACGAACTGCCTGATTATTTGAGATTAGTGCCAACAGACCTCCCCCTATATTCCCCCCCAAGTCATATTATGACTCTGAAGTATGTAATCCTCCGTTTTTGACAACCGACACTACTAACCTTCGGCAGCTGCCTCTACCACACCATCAATATTCTTCTCCACCGCCCCATCCTCTGTTCCCAAGCCTTGTTGAAGACACGGCAAGAACCCTATGATACCAGCCATCTTGTCCAATGTATGGCATCAGCGACCGCAATCCTGTCCCTGTTCGACTTATACCGACGGACATTCGGAGACAGCCACGTCGTCCTCTCCCTCTCCTACAGCATCTACACCGCAGCCTCCATTTTCCTCCTGGAGATCCAAGCGCTGAAATATGCCGCTCCTGGCACCCTCGACAAGCTCCGGTTCTGCATATTTGCCCTGGAGCGAATCAAAGTCACAAACCCCGTAATGGCCACAGCCTTGCAGCTCGTCTACCAGGAAGTCCAAAAACTTCAAATCGATATCAATGTCCCAGGCCCGGCTGGCTCCGCCGATGCACACAAACCAACACCTCGTTCACATCCACAAAACAGCCAGTCTCCGTCTGTCGGTAGCAACCCATCTCGCCACGTTTCCCCAGGAAACCAGCACCAACCGGTCGGCCACCCACAAATGACCCAACAGCAAACGACTGTCTCGACCGCAGCGCCCATGATGCCGGGCTATAATGCCTATCAGCCGCAACAGGTCGGAAGCTACCCAGTCTCACCAATGAACGAGATGCCCCAAATGCCGGCGACGCATTTACTCGGTGGCATGCCGAACGCAGTGATGAACTTCGATGATCCCCGTTCCTACGAGATCACGCCGGAGGTCTTTGAAGCCTTTTCGTACGCGCAGCCCATCTCGGCGAATATGGCGTCGCCATACGCAAACTGGGCTCCAGTCCACCAGTGAAAAGGGCATATGATGTAAATGATAAAAGATAGATGGATGGGTCTGGGTGGTTGGTTCATGATTCCCGATTCTCAGCGTTAAGCTATGTTTTCTTATCAAAAGTTGGATGATTCAACGGCCTTATTTGTGTTGTATATACCGTCTCTCTGTGCTTGAGCCCCTGAAACTCGTAGATATTCACTGAGATTCACGTTCTGATTTATTCTGGATCAACCTAGTAGTGAATGTGTTTTGTGACGTGACTGTGTATGCACAGGACTTTCTATCAAGGTAGTAGGACTCGCGGGGGGGGGGGGGGTGCAGGCGGGATGCCAGCGACACAAGGTATTAGGTACAGGGTATAAAAAGAGGGATATATATATATGTAGCAGACATGGAAAGAAAGGAAGAGAACCCCTTCAACCATTTAGGTTGGACATGGAGGGGATAGAGGGCATGGTAAATATCATCATGTTCCGTTCGTACACAGTGGTATACGCATGTGGGCATTTTAAGTCGAAGACTTGAGCTGAGGCTGGACGTGCGACTCATATTCCTCCGACGACATAGTAGCAGACTCATCGATGTCCTTGAGCTTTGCACGCCAGCGCAGGTACCAAGGACCATCGAAGAGCTCGCCCATACGCTCGATGGGGACGTTCGAAGTCTCCGGCATCCAGACACCAAGGATGATGATGCCGAGGAAACAGATCAAGGCCCAGAACAGGTAGGCGCCCCAGACATCCAGCGCGAACATGTTAGGGGTGACACGCACAACAGCGAACTGGAAGAACCAGTGCACGCCCATACTAATAGCGTAGCACACGCCACGGATACGGGTGGGGAAGATCTCTGAGCCGTAGAGATAAGGAATGGTACAGAGCCCGATGGACCAGCCAACGGCGTAGATGAACACAGACGCAACAGCAGCATTGGAAGCATTCTCGTTGTGGCCCGAGCCAGGCTGCAACCCCATGTACGCAGCCATGTAAATGTGAGCCGCGAGCTGCAAGGAAAGGCCGACAAGAGCGCAGTGACGACGACCGAAAACGTCGATCAAGCCCCAGGTGAAAGCCACGGTAAACACCAGCTTGACAACACCATATGCACCAGACGAAACGAGGGACTGGGATTCACCAGTGATGCCGGCATACTGGAAGATGGTCGAGACGTAGTATGTGATACCGTTACCGCCACTCCATTGTGCGACAGTCTGCATGGCCATCAGCAGCCAGAAGCGCTGGCGGTAGTTGGGGTTGATCTGTGATTCCTTCAGTGCTTGCCAGATGGAGACGGAGTTCGATTCTGCGCGCGACTTTGCCAGGTTGTCGATTTCTTCGAACTCGGCTGTGAGGATGGGGTCGTCGATGGCCTTTCCGCGCAGGCGTGCGAGGACTTGCCTTGCTTCTTCATGGCGCTCTTTCGATATAAGGTACCGGGGCGTCTCGGGGATAAGGAAGGAAAAGAAAAACGCAATACCGACGGGGATCAAGGGGATGGCTTGGACGAGACGGTACTGAGTGCGGGTAGGTGCCATGTGGAGACTGGCGCCATAGTTGATGAAGAAACCTGAACAAAGAAAACATTAGAGACAAAGGAGGAATAGAACACTCGAACATTCGAACAAGGCCGCTTACCCAGAGCAAGGATACCCAGCAGGGTCACCATTGTCAACCCGACAGCCAGCCCGCGGGTCTTCCGGGGCGCGACCTCCGTCAAGTACATGGGGGCAGTGACGGTCAACAGACCTGCCCCCAAGCCAGCGAAAATACGCGAAAAGAGCAGCAAGCCATAGATCCCGGAAGAAAAGATCTGGATCAGGGTTCCAATTGCCCATACAATGACTCCGAGTCGCCACGACGACATGCGACCAAGGCGGTCGTTCAGATCCAGGCCGCTTAGCGCGCCAAAGGCTGCGCCCAGCACCTGGAAGGACGTGATGTTGGCCTTGCGATTAGCCAGGCCCGAGGGATCGTGCTTCCAATGCGACTTGATGAGGTTATAGTCCTCCTCGAACTTGGGGAGCTTAACGCTGGCACTGAACCCTCCCTCATCATAACCTGCATTGGTCAGCGATCGACGCCACGAGTTACCTTCTGCCGTGCAGAATACTCAAACGGGCGAGTGCTTCATACCTTTGGGCATAGTCCCGCACGCAACAACGAATATCACAAAGGCATAAAAGGGGACGGTAGTCCACCGGGACCGGTCCAGCCACTGCATGATGGCGTGAATAGAGAGTAGGCAGCGTCCCCCGACTCTGCAGAAAATCTGGGGAGAGTGAGGTGGAGGCAAAGACAAAGAAAACCCGGGGAACGGCAGATTAAAGGACCTAAAATAGAAAGAGAGGATCTGGAAGCGGAGTCGAAGAGGGCGAGACAAGAAAAAAAAAACCGAGGGAGAGAAAGTCGATGGCTCGGTCGCGCAAGATACGGCCAAGATCTCGGTCAACGTCCGTAAGATTGGCACGAGTTATGGCCACCCCCTCTTTGCCATCCCACGCTACGACCTTACTACAGCTCAACTATTGACTCTCATTGCGTGAGAAAGGTCGCCTTCGTCTTCGTCTCCGTCGATCGCTTCCGTCCAACATGCAGTTCACGTCTTGCAGTCGTTCATGTTCACTGGACTCCATCTGCCCAAAGCGTCTAGGCGGGATTCTGATTCCATAATTCTTCACGAGCCAAAAGGCTAATCCACTTCGGCAGCTCCCGACAGATTGCCCTTTGGGCCATGGCAAAGTGGTCTTGGTGTCGGTTAATTCCCCCAGGGCCGACTATAGTGGATAAGTGCCGCGGGTGAAAAATACACCCAGAACGTTCCCCCACGGACGACTTCCGACTTGTTCTTGGATTTTGATAAACGGCACTACGCTGTCTACCACGCTCTGTCTGCATTATCTGCTCTGGGGACTGCCGTGTGGGTCAAATTGGAGCCCCCCTTAAGCATGCCATTCGGCACACGGCACAATTTATCCAACGAAGACGCATTTCCCTGCTTTCTGAAGATTGACTGCTAAGTGGGAGCGCAACGGACGTTGACCGACACCACTTAAGGCCGGCATGTTACCGGCCGTGCCTGTCATGAGGGCTGCCGCAGGTATCAGATCCTGTCAGGCTGTGCGCTGGCGTCCACAGCCTGACAGATCCTTATATCGTTTGAACTTCCTGGTCCCTGGACACCTCTATCAGCCCTGCTTTTCCGCCAAGATGCTTACGTCCACTCAACCTGCGTCCCATATCGTGGGCACTACGCCGCGCATATCGCTTACTGGGGTGCCCTCGACAGATGTCGGGCGTCGACTGAGCCATGTCCAAGCGGTTATGCCGGTGAAGCACAGAATGCCTCCGAAATCTTGGGATAGCCATATGCATGTCGTGGAGCCACGCCGATTTCCATTGTCCAAGAAGGCCGTGTACGAACCTCCATCTCATACTCTAGAAGAAGCCCTGGCTTTTGAATCTTCGCTAGGGGTGGAAAACCTCGTCTTCGTTCAGCCATCTATCTATGGAACTGATAACTCGTGTCTCCTGGCTGCTTTGGAGAGACTTGGTCCATCTCGAGGCCGTGGTATGGTGGTGATTGACCCCGATACGATTCAGCAAGAAACCCTAGATCAGTGGCATGCTCTCGGTGTTCGAGGTTTGCGAGTCAACCTCCAGTCCGTTGGCAAAGTGATGGAGCAGACCGAGCTGGAACAGACATTACTTCGCCATGCCGAGATTGCTCGACCCCGTAACTGGGTGATCGAGGTGTATCTTCCCCTTGCCATGATGCCCCTGTTGGAGCCAATAGTGCCACGTCTGGGCGTCTCGATCTGCGTTGACCACTTTGGCAGCCCGACGCTGCCATCCCTCCCCCTGAACGATGGAAACATCCCTTTCGACCCCTATACTCTCCATGGTTTCGAGGCATTGATCTCGATGCTTCGTTCCGGGAAGACATACATCAAGATCTCCGCTCCCTACCGCAGCTCGGCCGACCGAAATATGCGTCAACTCAAGGCCATGGCTCGTGAATTTCTCTCCACGGCCCCGGATCGTGTCATTTATGCTACCGACTGGCCTCATACCCGCTTCACTGGGTATGATATCAACCCATTCACGGAGTGGTGCCTGTCCCTCTGTGAAGAGAAAGTTGGGCTGGCAGAGAAAGTGTTCCGAAGGAACACCGAGCGGATGTTAGATGTCAAGTCTGACTAGATCACCTTTCTCGAGCGTCTTTTTGTGTTGCATTTTGGCGTTGGATGGCATTAGTGCGCATGATTTTAGCATGCACCCCCATAGCTCTTATAGAAGCCTAGTTCCCCGAGTTCGAATTGAAATGAAATCATGCCCGGCTTCCGAGTAGGGACCAGACCTCCTAGTCCTACACCTTGAAGAGTGCTCCTAGTAGCGAAGTTGCTGTAGAAAATGGCATTGGTTTTTTATATTCCCAATATCTAGAATAGATTATCGACACCCACAGAAAAACCCCCGGAAAATTCCTCCTGATAGACTCGGCGGAACCCGTAATCAACATGAAACAGCGTTCTGGTCAAACATCAGACGCATCCTGGAAGACGACGTGGGAAGTGCAAATCTTTTTGGGACCCTACAAACCGAAGAAAGCTGAGTTAGTCCTGGTTTTTTAGTCGAATGCAATTTCATCCACTCACAATGTCATAGCAGCATGCAGGCCGCGACTCATCCTCGCACATCTGAGGCTCCTTCAGCAGAACACCTATTAATCCTCGTTAGAACCAACGCGAGAACCCCACCCTGGAAATGGGAATATTTAAATAGAACGCACAGTCTGTAGCCTCGTTGGCTTTTCCATTGTTCTGTGCAGGAACCAGATCGCGGCAGCAATAAGGCTGCTGGATCATGCCCGAGTGGTCGGCAGCGAAGCTGCAGGACATGTTGATCTTCTTGGCCGATCCCAAGGCAAGAGCAGATGCCAGGGTGACGAGAACTGAAACGCGCATTTTGAAGAGGTGGATATGATTGGCTCGTCTATTGTTTGCCGATATAGGTGCTTGATTGCTGAATCGAATCTCGAGGTCGAAACGGTTAGGGAGGCGGACGGAGGTACTGCAATGCTCGTGTTCTTCTAGGGCACGTTTACAAAGGCCGTGTGGCAGGGCTATGAAGGGCGCGCAGGGCTCACAGCCTGTAAATACCTTGCGCCTCTTTGTGCTTGGGCTATTAAATAATATTCCCAAGGTATGGAGGAGATCTTAGTGCATTTCTATTGGCAGGATTTAGTCTCAGGTGGATGTCTCCTTGCATTCCTCGCCCCTCTGAAATGTGAGCACTGCCTTTATACAGGGGTAATTGGCTGGGCTAACGGCTACAGGGAGTCAGAAATATTCTCCTGTCTTTTCGGAAGCGTTTCGAATGCTGAGGCGATTGCATCGCTCTGAAGAATCTGGGACTGGTGTCGCCCGGGCATGCATTGCGGAGTCTCCATATCTGATAGGAGTGGAAAAGACCACTTGCGATATGATATTGTGTGGATTTTACGAGGCTTAAAGCTTCCTACAAAGTATGCCCTAGGGATCTTATTGGCAGGAAGGAAAGCAAAACAGCTCCGATCTGGGGTACGTTTGCAGGTGCGGTGCAGACCGGATAGTTCTGCTTACGGGGCGGAGTTCGCACATGAGATCGCTCGTATGCAACCAATCATTTCGGGGGCCCTTGCAAAGGATCAATCATAGCGGTGAGTTGGCCTCTTCCCCGCCAAAAGAGGCCAAAATGAACCAAAGAAGATCCACGTAAGTCACACGGAGGCGATCGGCGCCAATCAATCGGTTTGTTGAGGCCCGCCGAGCCCAACAGCGCCGGTTAGATAAGCCTTCGTGATTGGCCCGCCCTTTTCCATAACAGCAACCCCTCCCACTTCTCTGGGGGATTCTCCTTTCATACTACGTACTCTTCTTTACCTTCCTCAACCAGTGCCAGTCGAAGTCATGAAACGCAACTCGCAAGTTGACATGGACCGCAGCGTTTATATCCCTCTATGCATCTGCCTCATCTCCTTCGCCGTCATCTCATACTCCCACTAGTCCTCCCGCAACGCTGCCCCAACGAAACAACACACGTGAAGCGCATAGCCGCTTCGAAACATGCCTCGGGATCGCCGAGTACAGAGCAGCATGAGAGCCGGCTTATTCTCAATCTATAGCCGCCTGCCGGGCAACTATTGGCAAATCTCACGATCACCCTCTACAACCGCGCCGCCTGGCATACTCTCTAGGGAGATGCGCTAGGCATACGGTTGCGATAATGGATTAAATGGCATTTGAAGACCCTCCACTGGCCATAGAGCCTTTGCTGGTATATGATGGCTTCAATGCGCTTGCCAGATGCTTCGTTTTACTGCCCCTTGGCCTTGTTGACCAAGGATCGCATGATCCCTGGCAGACTTGATTGAGGGGTAGGATTCAACCCCCTCCCCCCGAACCTTCATTTATCTATATGGCCCGCATCCAGCCTCAGCTAGAAAGCCTTGACCTGCTGCTGGCCATGTAGTAAAGTCATCTCAAACCATACCTACACCTTCGGCTACAGCATGCGCCGGTTCATGTAAATCGATTTGAATGCATGTGGCGGGTTCTTGCTGTACCTTTTCCACTTTGAGGAGGATACTTCTGCACAAAAACGCCCTATCCTCTTGCCTCCTTATGCTTCCTCATTCCTATACCCGACCTCGTTCTGTACGGTTCCTGGGACGGCCTCGCCCCACATGACAAACAATATCCAGAGGCTGGGCCTCCAATGTTTCTATCCTTCTTTTTTTTTTGCACATAACACTTCAGCAAGAACTTTATGTGTCGAACGTTCTTTTGTCGATTAAATTTGCTTTGATTCCAAGTCGGGTCCTACGTCCTACATAGGGTCCCAGGGCGTACCTGGTACCCCTGGGGTTCAGGCGATCAAGCTTTCCGCCCTTACATTCATTGGAGCGATATCCCTTTGCGTCTTATCTTAGCTTACTGTCAATGGAATACAAATTTGAAATCAAGTCCTACTGGTGGCTGAAAAGGCCTTGAAACCCCCCGCTTGCTTTGCAATCATTGTCACGTGCCTTGATTTCTCAGCACCCGCAGTCTGGCCCTCGGGCCGCAGCTAAACTACTGCTTCCGTCATTCGTCATATACTTTTTTAGTTGCGTCTCCCCTCCTGTATATACCCCCTCCACCTCCATGCTCTCCCGTTCCCTCCCCACCTCTTCGTTACGGATCAGCATACGCTCCTGCTCGGTCGGACTTCCCTCCAAATTCATCCATACAGCCAGGCCGATCATCACTCGAACCCTGGCGTCCAATCGAACTCCCGCTCCCCTTCTGCCAAGCTCTCGTCTCTCCTCCATCACCCGTCACTTTTCCTCAACCCCAGCTATTCAGAGCAAGCAGTCCTCAACGATGGCACCCATTGAGGTTCAGCAGTATGACTACATTGTCCTGGGAGGTGGTAGTGGTGGAAGTGGAAGTGGCCGTCGCGCAGCCGGCTGGTATGGCGCAAAGACTCTGATCGTTGAGAGCGGCCGCTCCGGTGGTACTTGCGTGAACGTTGGGTATGTATTCTAACTGATTGAGATTGTAGAATTCTCTACACCTAGCTAACCGGCCTATCTCCAGATGTGTCCCCAAGAAGATGACCTGGAACTTCGGAACCATCAATGAGACTGTGCATGTCGGCAGGCACTACGGCTACGATTTTCCCGAAAAGGTGAACTTCAACTACAAGCACTTCAAAGAGCGCCGTGATGCTGCCATCACCCGCCTGAACGGTATCTACGAGCGCAATTGGGGCCGCGAAGGTATCGACCTGGTCCACGGCCGCGCCCGTTTCGTGGAGCCCAAGGTGATTGAGGTTGCCAACGCGGACGGCACCACCACCCGCTATGCCGGAAAGCACATTTTGATCGCTACCGGTGGACGACCAAACATCCCCGCCATCCCCGGTGCTGAGCACGGTATCACCAGCGACGGTTTCTTCGAGATTGAGGAGCTTCCCCCCTAAGATTGCTGTGGTGGGCGCTGGCTACATCGCTGTCGAGCTGGCTGGTATTATGAATGCTGTCGATGTTGAGACTCACATGTTCATCCGCGGCGAGCACTTCCTCCGCAAATTCGACCCCATGATCCAGAAGACTATGACGGAGCGCTACGAGGCTGCTGGTGTTCACATTCACCGCAACCACTCCAATTTCAAGAAGATCGAGCTCATTCGTGATGGCAAGGGCAAGGACCGCCTGATCAAGATCACTAACAACGATGGCACTGAGTTTGAGGTCAATGAGCTCCTGTGGGCTGTCGGTCGTGCTCCCGAGGTTGAGGATCTGCGCTTGGATATCCCTGGTGTGAAGCTCAACCCCAGTGGCTATGTTGAGGTGGATGAATACCAGAACACCTCTGTTGAGGGCATCTACGCCATTGGCGACGTTACTGGCCAGGCTGAATTAACCCCAGGTATGTTATAAGTGACCCCCCCAAAATAACCTTAATATGCTTGGCTAACGGGAATCCTCAGTTGCTATTGCCGCCGGTCGTCAACTTGGAAATCGCATCTTCGGCCCTCCAGAGCTGAAGCACTCCAAGATCTCTTACGAAAACATCCCCACGGTTGTCTTTTCCCACCCTGAAGTTGGCTCCATCGGCCTTACAGAGCCCGAGGCCCGTCAACAATACGGCGATGATAAGATCAAGATCTACCACACGAAGTTCACTGCTATGTTCTACGACTTCATTCCTGCCGAGGAGAAGCCCCAGAATCCCACCGAGATGAAGCTCATTTGCGCTGGACCCCAGGAAAAGGTCGTTGGTTTGCATATTCTGGGTCTTGGTGTTGGCGAGATGCTCCAGGGTTTCGGTGTCGCCGTGAAGATGGGTGCTACCAAGAAGGACTTTGACAGCTGTATCGCTATTCACCCAACCAGCGCTGAGGAGTTGGTCACCTTGCGGTAAACTTTTTGATATATAGAACATAGGGTATTTGGAATCATCACGAATAATACACCTTACCTTGGAAAGATTCCCAGCAGTCCATATGTAACTCTTGCGAGGTGTCTCAGGTGTCTCTTGTACCTAACTCTTATTCAGAGTAGTCATAGTCCTGGTCTGTTATATAGTATGTGAAGCCCCTCCAACTTTGTATGTCGCTCGCATTCGCCGTTCAGGTCTTTTGCACAGTAACTTGGAGTGAGAATACTACCAGTATTATTCAAGTGGTACAACAGTGCTATATTCGAGCTACAGCTTACTCTCCTGCTATCCCTAATCTCAATCCAAACCCGATCCTGATTTATCTTTTTTTGTTCTTTGCAATAACACAACCTCTGATCATCGTGATGAAGCCCATGTAAATCACAATTATCTCACCACCACCAACCGCAGCATCCATTTGCTATAAATCAGCATACCTCCTCAAACCAGCGTATGTCAACCAATTCGTGGTCCGACATACTAGAGCTAAAGATGAGTCGTGCCTGTACATTCAAGGCAACCCCTGCCTGTAATCACTATGCTCATTCAATCCCCAAGCCTGCGAACGAAAATCATGGACAGTGGGCCATCTCATATCATGTCAATACCGACTCAGCAACTCTCCATCAACAGCCCGGTGCATGAGACAGGGATTGTTCCAAATGACCAGGGCCCCCGGCGAGACCCAGTCTACTTCAACGACATTGCTCTCTCTTGTCGCATGCTGAAACAAACCCCCGCGGTTCTCCCTCTAGGCCTCAATATGGTGCACATGAGCTGCAATATACATATCCATCTGTCCAGACAGCTCATCACGTCATCGAGCGGTTCGAGCCACGCGTAAGACTCGGGCGCAGCGACCTTGTGAAAATGGTAAATGGAAAGACAAGCAAAGTAGTCTATTTGGTCTTTCAGCTGCGATATAAGGGACGACGTCGTCTTGGAACGCGATTTCTGGCGGTGGTGCAGAGAGGCCTATGCTTTGGACCTCTGCAGCAAACGTTGCATGGAGTGGCTTGATGGAGATATGGGAGAACTGCGTGCTTTCTGTAAGAAGGGTCCTATGAACCATATTGATATGTCTTGAAGGGAGGGTTTTGAATACAAGAGCCGTAGGGAGTCGAAATGTATTCTGCATTGTCGGGTAAAGGGTGAAGTGGACCGCGAGACACTCTATAGCCGACTAAGCTGTGTGGGATGACTTCCCGCACCCTACCTGGAAAGTCAATGTCGGGAACACAAGTAGATAGCATGTCAATCTGGATGACAGAGAAACATATGAAAATCATGGGAAGTTGAAGGTCAAGGGGGAAGAGAGTATAGGGACAATAGAAAGATTCAGACAACCGGAAGGAATGTAGAAAGCGTAATTTATCATATGATTGTGTTTTTTCAACGAGATCTCGTAGAGTGGGTGACGGATAGAGGGAGGGAATAAAAGGAGGTCTTGACAAGATTGAACTCGACTATGTTACTGGTGTGTATTATACCAGAGTATCTACTAATACAGGTAGAAGAGAGTACCTGACACATAGGGTCACAGATTGGTCGAGCCAAGTAAGGGCTTTTTGTCAAGTGAATGACAGGGTAACCTTCAGGGATTAAATGCCTGCCTCTGTCAGTGTCACCTGGGAGCCTTGCTGAACAGGATCGCTTGCTGTGGAGGGAAGCAAGGCCAGAAGGACGCCTAATATGCAAGCCTTGGCATGTACGGTATCTTACGTTTACGGCGGTTGGTAGCAGCTGTCGGTATTTTCGTGAGACGTGGGGCTGGGCGGAACCTTAAGTGGATTAAGCTTTTCTGCGGGTAATCCCCACTGTCTTTTCTATACTGCATGCATTAAAATGTGGCAGCAAGAAGTAGATCTGCACAAGTGAGATGGGGTGTTAGAAAAACCTTCAGAGGCAGGGGAGGGACCAAATGTGCAGGGTGGAAGAAAAAGTGGAAGTCCTGACGGGAGTCGACTTCATGGCGACAAGGCTAGCAGTGCGATACAAGACTCGTCTACAGATTCGCAGACAGTAGAGGGGAACATACACCTTTCTTCCTGCCCTTTGTAGCTATTACAGGGCTTCAGGATACTAAGAGAATATTGTTTCCCAAATACTCAGCAAGGTAGTGGATGTCATACAGATCGCCAGACTAGGACAAGGAAACCTGAGAACAAAAAATCAAAAAATTCAGAAGAGATGACGGCGTGACTCAACCCGCTCTCTATAGCCAGCAGTACACTAATAGGCTCAGATATGCCTTGTCACGGATAGCAGAGGAGAGAATCCCCTCGCCTTGATCACTAGGGTACAGGATCTTAGAATTCATGGGATAGATGATTTGTTTGATAAGCAGGGAATATAATAGATTGCGGCAGTCTGTCATGGGTAACAGTGCGCTCATTGGTAGAGACAGATGTGCAGAAAAAAAAGGCAGGCCCTGGCGAGAATCGAACTCACACTCTGGAGTTAAGGTGGTTAAGAACTCTGTATGCTAGTAACTTCCACAAAACCTAGCATAATTGGAACATGTGACCAGAGGAAACTACCCCCCACACCACTAGGTTACAGGACCTGTGAAGTGGTAAGATGAGAGACTTCCATCGATAATAGTGTGTTCACTAGTATGAAAAGACGGGCAAAAAAAGGTGCAGGCCCTGGCGAGAATCGAACTCACACTCTGGGGTTAAGGTGGTTAAGAACTCTGTATGCTAGTAACTTCCAGAAAACCTAGCATAATTGGAGCATGTGACCAGAGGAAACTACCCCCCACACCACTAGGTTACAGGACCTGTGAAGTGATAAAATGAGAGACTATCATCGGTAGTAGTGTGCTCATTAGTATGAAAAGACGTGGAGGGGTTAAAAAAAAAGGGGCAGGTCCTGGCGAGAATCGAACTCGCACTCTGGAGTTAAGGTGGTTAAGAACTCTGTATGCTAGTAACCTCCATAACCTAGCATAAATGCAACATGTGACCAGAGGAAACTACCCTCCACACCACTAGGTTACAGGACCTGCTAGGTGATACGAAGAACCTTTAATTGCAATTTACACTTGATGTATTCACTACCTCACCGCTCTCAAACCTGACCATCATCCTTGGAACTTGATACAAACGATAACTGTGTATAGACACATAGGAGTTTTAGTACCAACAAGTATGCGAGAATGTCTCTTTGCTATTTTCGTTCAATGACAACATCAATAAGGAGAATGAATAGACTCTTCAGAAAGAAGGAATACCTGTGGAGACATAAGGTGCGGGAGATCATCGAGATTTAGTGGGTGGTGTGGAGACCAACATGACAGGAGTGGAGCCCACAATGTTGGCGGCGGGAACATACTATGAACGAAAGTACACAACCTACATAATTAAGAAAAGATATCACTCCTCATCGAAGCAGGCGCCTTGGCCGAGTGGTTCAAGGCCTGGATGGGTATACAGGCTAACGATGCGGGGTCAAAGCGGAGTTCCCATTGGTTCCACCAGTGGTGCTCGTCAGCGATGGCTGTCCAAATCGAACTTCACATCCAGATCGGAGGTTCGAATCCTTCAGGCGCCAGTTCTTTTTTTCCCCCTCTTCCCATTTTCTTTTCCAGTCACACCATATATATGTATGTATACAGCCAGTAGTTGTTAGATGAGATACTTATACAAGGATACTGGCGGATCGGTGTCCAGATGTGCGAAGTGTGTATGCACCATTATAACGATGAAAAAATGCAGTGGAGAGATCATGATGACAAAACGGTTCACTCCCCCAATCTGGTGACTTGAAATGATGCTCATCAAAAAAGATGCGGAGGTGCGGATCTACTGCTGCTATATTGATTGATATAGATCTAGGCGGTGGGTGGCCTCGGGAGCCGCAGAACAAAAACGTAAACACCGCTAATCTCCTTTTGGTAGTGATACCCTGTAATTACCGTACGCAGCTATAGTCTGCCGTATATCATTAGCGCAGACTCCCACACCCAAAACCACTGTCACGCGTCTCGAATAGGTTGCACGCTTCACTATTTGTAAATAAACAAGCCATTTGATTGGGAAGTGAGCTATATCGGAGGTTTGCTTTTTTACTCAAACTGAAGATAGGGACTATTTCGACAGGATCCCTTTCTCAGGCAATTTCATGTTCAATTTTTTCATCAGCGGTCTCACACCACCACCACCAGTAGTCGTAGTAGTGTATGTAATCCATTTTAATACAGAAGAAATATCAATGAACGCGATGCCTGATTCAACTCTGGAAATTGCCCCAGTGGTCCCATCGGCGCTACACCGCGATTTGCTGCTATTATTATTGATTACTAGGGAGGAAAACCGCACAAGGCGATTATGTGGCCTGCTACTTACTAGTAGTAGTGACATACGAACTTGAACGAACTGCTGTGGACGACAGCAAACCCAGAGGGCGCTGGCAAAAGGCATGACATCTGAAGTTCCAGTTGGTACGCAGACTCCGGGTCCAAAGTTGAAACTGGAGATTTACGGAGGTATGCAAATGTTTATTGTATTTGGATACAAGGTTAGAATTCACTGCTCTTTGGAGCTACCATGATAGCAAAGTGTACGGCTAACAAAAATGAACTTCCACACCAAAGCTGATATGCAGCCACCAAAGGCTGCTTCTCCAGCCGTGATGTGCTCAAAATGAAATACCGTATCAGATGGATCAGTTGACAAAATGGTGCATATCCATCTAGCACACGTAGGTGGGTACGCGCGTAGGCTCTGGAGACCGGTCTGAGGAGGGGGTGATATTCATGTCATCAATGAAGACGGCGCCTGCGCCGCTATAGATACCCGGGATCGTTAAGCGTGCCAATCTTTTTCAGCGGGGCTGAAGGAGATATTCGAAAACAGGAGACGGATGCAAATTTCAACCCTCCAGGGCCGGGGTTGAGGTGTCGTCATTGATGGGGCTATTTTTGACCTTGTCCAAAGCTACAGCGTGCAACGCGGGCTTTTCGGAGTCCTTGAGAAGGCCATTGTTGCGGAGCTCGAGTTGCTTGTTGACCCAGTCGGCGACTTCCTTATCTTCGGTCACGGATGGTGAGATGGGCTCTCCAGGAGCAGGAGCCTCTGGAGCTGCTACATCGCCATTGGCTTCTGTTGGCGGCTGCATGAGCGGTGCTAGCCATGGGTGGCGAAGAAGCATATTGTAAGTTGGTCGGTTCTTGGGGTTCTTGTCCAGACAAGCTCGGACGAAGGCGTGCGCTTCTTCGGAGTAGCCAGTTTCTGGCAAAGTAGGCGGATCGCCATGAACGATAGCCTTTTGATGTGATTAGCTTTTGAGCGGCGTTGTTGAATCTTGATATGTTTTGACTCACATGTAACTGGCTGAAGATGTTGGTAAAAGTCTCCGGCGGGTATGGATATCGCCCCATAGAACATTCAATTATTGATAGACCGAGACTCCAGATATCGCTTTGGATACTGTAAGTACCAGCGCTGGGCGCACCTGACTGCTGCATTCCACCGCCAGCAATTCGTTCAGGGGCCATGTAGCTCTGGCACCCAATGTTCGTCTTGGCGATACTCGCGACCAGGTTTCCACTGACTCCAAAGTCACAGATCTTGATCTGACCCTTGCTATTAGCCAGAATATTGGTGGGCTTCACATCACGGTGAATGATGTTGTGCTCGTCCTTGAGTGCTTTCAAGCCCATCACGGTGGACAAAGTCATCTTGCGCAAGATGTTCTCCGGGACTCCGCCCGTGTAGATCTTGTCGATCGATCCTCCATCCATGAACTCCACACACATGTAAACCGCACCTTCTTGGAAGAATGCGCCGTAGAAATCAATGATGAATGGGGACACGCAACGGTGCAAAATGTCCAGTTCCATGATGATCTGGGCAAATTTGCTCTCGTCCAACTCCAGGCGAATTTCCTTCATCGCCATAATAACACCCGACAACTGGTCGGGTGATGAATCAGAGCTCTTGTCATCTTTGCTTCGACTAACAATACCACTTAAACCCATGCCGGGCTTTCGGAGTTGCGGCCTGCTATGTCGCACCTTATACACAGTACCGTAATTGCCCTTACCCAGCTCATCCAGTCGATCCACCTCATCCAACGAAATCTTGAAGCTGTGTCCCGATGAAAACTCAACTCCTCCCCCATGCAAAATCGCTTTATTCTTGAAGTTCAAAGTGCCGGATTTGGTATCGATAAACTCGGAGTATTTGCTGAATGCTGATTCTTCTCCGTTCTGTTCCTGCGGGGTCTGCTGGGCACCATTTGCGGGAGACGGACTCCCTGTCACATCGGAAAGCTTTAATCCCGGCTTCATCCGCTTAGCAGCCAGCCCGCCCGGCCGCTGCGAGACGGGACTGGACGCGGCAGGCACCGACGGTGACGAAGCCCAGTTTTTGGTGTTCGGGCGCGGAGCTGGCGGCAGGCGACCGGCCAGAGCACCACCTGCTCCGGCCTCATTGGCCGTGGGGATTGTCCCCGTGGACGCTACATGAGGAACTCCCTGGCGGGAGAGGGAAAATGCCTTCATCTTAGCCATGATATCCTGGTTGAGGCCTCCAGCCGCTTGCGAACTCATGGATGGCTGCACGCGAGGCGGGGTGCCAGCTTTTTGGCGAATGGCGTTGATTTGGTTGAGGTGGGATGCGGTGGAGGAGCTCCTGGGCGAATCGCGAGAGGGGAGGAGACTCGGCGTTGACGCATGTTGACTAGTCGCGAGAGGAGATATCGGAGACGCCGGGGCGGGAGAACTAGAAGACCTGGCCGGGGGGCTCGAGGTAGAGTTCTCTTCGGTCCCCGGGATGCCCGGGCAAAGTCGCGCTCGTTCATCGTGATCGCGGGGGAGCTTGCGGAGGGCGATGAAGCCGGACCGACGACAAGGGCCGGTGGAATTGGATGAAGAAGGCCGTTTTGGTCGAAAGCACCCGGGGGCGGCGCTAATCCAATGGATAAGGATGAAGAAAGGGAATGAAAAAGCAGGAGAGAGGGGCAGAAACCAGAAATCCGGATTGTGCAAGACCTTGGAATCGCAAGTCGCTCGGATCCGCTGATAGAGAAAAAAAGGCGGGGAGGCTCTCCCCAACTTGAACACAGCTCGCTTTACAAGAGACTCTCGCCACGCGTTTGTGTCTATAAACAAGATCGATCTCTTGACTGTGAAAGATGAAGCAAGCCAAAAAAAAAGTAAATACGTTGCAACCCGCCGCCACCGTGTTCCTCCAGACGAAAGTCGCATCTCCAACCGGGCTGGTGAACCAGCCAATCACAGGCCGCACTCGGCCCAAAAGCAGGTTTTGACACTTGGTGGGAAAGATTAATTTGGCTTCGATATCCGGCGACCTTGCGGTACCATGACTCCATATCGTGGAATCGGGGTCTCTGCCTAGGGAGGCTAATTTTTGCCGAGCGCACTGAGCTTCGCAGCCACTACTATAATTTATTTCAGACCTGACTTCTCCATGATGTCCCCTACTTTTTCTTCACGGGTAATGCCGAACGGCCGTTCAGGTAGAAACAAGGTAGCTGCACTGACGCATTTACTCCAAGTTCGCCACATTTAGAATTCCGGGATGGCGTCGACCTCTGGAGCCCAAAGCTTCGAACCCCCTGCTCTGACTTAAAAAGCTCTTGTGGCGAAGATCTTCGACGCCCAACGCCAGAAAATCCCATGGGGGTTTACGCGGTACGGAAGGTGTATGATGTACGCGAGTCGTCAACCCCCATGCATTGGGGCTCCACCGGTGGCCCCTCGACAGCACCAACGCCCTATCATGGGGAGATTCATAGATTCCCCGGCCCCGCTGGAGCTGTTGCGTATCTTGAAACCATCTGCTTCCCCCATTACCGAAACAAGAACGTGACCTTGGTGGTGATCTAACTTTGGCCACTCGATGCCCTTGGGGACGGCACGGGCCCAACACCCTCTGGATCGTTCATCCCTCCCAACCAGGAACCAGTGTGATGATGGCGGAATCGCCCTTGCAGGATCTTCGTTTCATCGGCGAACGTACGTGGCTGTACGAGCCGAATGATCCCTCTACCGACTCATTCCTGGCCTTGGTCATCCTGGATACGGGATGGGGGCGCTAGCCAAGTCGGATCAGCAAGTACGTGTCTCGGTATCGCGAAGTCCATCCACGGTCGGCAATTCTCGTGATCACAGATACTCTCCTGGATGTACCTGTTGGGCCTTGCCCGGGTTTCGTGTCAGTCTTGATCCCGCGGGCCTTGCCAATTGCTACGCAGCAAGGAGGATCGACGATCCCGGCCACGTGAATGGTGGGGGCGTCCTACTAACATACATTTTCCCACGGCGGTCACTGCAGTACTCGGCGTGCACAATCTTTCCAGGAAGAATAGGATGCCAATACATCCTTTTCCCAGCTCAAGGATATCATTTTGGATTGCTGCCTTATGGACGACGGTTTTGAGAGGGCTGGCGCGGCGAGCTATGGATCTCGAACACGTCTCAGACCCATCTGTTGGGCAAAGGCCGCGTTATCTCCAACCTTATTTGCCGTCAACCAATGAGCTCTTGTCAGATTCTGAGGAAATATCTGTCTACTTCGTCATAGACTGTATATTCAAATTCGGTACACCATCACGTGACCAGACTGTGCTTATACTTCTAAGGGGACCCTCGTTAGAAAAATGTAAGTCACATACAGGAACTCACAACTCTCGGGCAAGATAGAGCAAAGGCCTCGTTTGCCTGAGTGGTATATTGTGGTCTCAATAGCAAGGTCCCGATCCGTACTGACAGTTCTGGGAGATTCTGCAACCAGGCAGACATGGCTGAGGTAGCTTCTGAAGCTTCAGAGTTCCAAATCCGCAGCCGTCTTTTGAGTCAGACATATTCGTGACTCGGGTACTGCCCGCGTAGTGTATATTATGTATTGTGTATGAGCAGGGCAATGACTATAGACTCGTATCAGCCCACTGGAATTGACATCGACGCAATTCTCTGTATAGACGGATCGAATCATTTCTCCTTGCTAGTCTCAGCCTTCGACAGGTAGCGACTAGTTAATCAGTCATCACTCCTTGGTCATAACCTTTGCGGGCCGTGGAAGCATAAACCCTGGGATCCTACGGCCCGCAACTCAATATATCTGGGACCTGGCACTGAACTATAATCCAAGTCCAAATGCGGGATGCTCCAAGGAGTCCGATCTTACAGCAACAGGCCATGGTAAACTCAAGCGTACTTCGGTTGTACCACGCTTTCTGCACTATGGGTACTGATGAGGATTAATGACTTGGATGCTTCAAGAATTGTCCAATAATTGAACAAGATGAAGCTACATGTAACGCCTTGGGAAGTATCTCTAGAGCTCAACAGTAGTAAATGGATTACTCCTATCTATGAGGGTCTTATGGGCATCGCGTTGGTCAAAGGAAAGCATGGAATGTTTGGCCTGCCTCGCCTGTGAGCATGTGCTTGTGAATAGGTTGGCATCAGGGAAGAAGAACTATTGAAGTGGTAGTCACGAGCAGGAGTAAAAGTAAACATTCACTACAAGGTAAGCTAGCACAAACGAGGCTCCTCCGCTCTATAAAATCCCCCCTTCCCACGCTTCCTTCTTCTTTCCTTCTTCTTTCCTCAACCTTTCGAGGCTCACGATCACACGCCAACGCCGCAATACCTCGGTCTGTTGCCCACACCCTGATCATCGACATTTGATAACGCTGCTGACCATCGACACCAGATGCGCCAAGGGATATCTGATCACGACGCGTTGGCGGATGTACGGTCAGTGGTGAGGGACGCCTTTCCAAATCGTACTTCCGGGGCCCCCCAACGCGTCGATGCTGATGAATCCCCACGATCTACTGAGAGTCCGTTTCGACAACCCCGCCACGTCACCGAGTCACCAACGTGAGCGGGCGAAAGTGCTTCCGGCCACACTCCACGCCTGTGTGCGGACTCAAAATCGCGAACAAGTGCTTAGGTGGGCTACGACAAGCCAGACTCACCGGCGACGAGGGCAATCGAACGAGGAGGACCCTGCCAGGCGCGAGCTTGAGGGGGCACTGCGAGATGACAGGCACCGTGACCGTGAACCAGTGACACAAGAAGGTTCCGTCTATCTAAGCCTAGGGCGGTTCCTCGGGAAACATATGCTGCTTCACGCGTCACGATGTCTCGATCGTGGTGGTGGGTATTTGGATTTGAAGCACTTTCCGCGAGACGCCCCGTGATGAACCCGTTTGGATGATTGCATGGCACTTCAGCAGGGGAGCGACAGCTTTCCAGTACCTGCTGGCCTCAGTTGGGGATTCTTAGAATCCAAGGGTTATTTCCAAAGGCCGAGCTTAAGTCCTGATGGGGTGATTCCCAGATGACCCAGTGGCCGCACGGTCTGACTTTGCTAAGGCTCTAGGGGGTTACTCTGGTGGGGAGGCCAGCTCATGCTGATGCTGTTGTGTAATCCATTCGATGAAGGGAGACACCCCTCCTGAAGGCCGGGCAAGCCAGAAGGAGGGCTCTCGAGACATAATTCTGAGGGCGTCTCTACACACCCCGGTTTTCATGTATCCCCCTATCCCATGTATTCTCTGTGTTGCTGTTGGCTTGGATCAATTAACCCTTAGCGTAATCAACAGGTCGTATTTAGTTAACTTCATTGATGTGTAATCACTTGTAGAGCTCTGTTGCCGATGTAGGAGGTGGACGAGCCGCCCCGCTGCAGAAGGATTTAGGTTCCCCCGTAAGCCCACTTGGAAACTCTGGGTCCCAAGCTGCGCTTTTGTTTTTCTATAGAAGGAATTCTCGGTCCCCCTCTCCTCCGACACAGAGGTCCAGAAGCCCGAAGTTGTTTTATACAAGCGAGCTTATCCTCGTTTTTGATAGGCACTGTTACTCATCTACAGTGGTTCTATGCCAACCAACATCTATTCAACTATGGTATTGCCAGTCTTGATCATCGGCGCCGGCCTCGGCGGCGTGTGTCTCGCCCAGGCTCTCCGCAAGAACAACATCCCATTCCAACTATTCGAGCAAGACGGACGACAGAACTTCCGCTCTCAAGGCTACCGACTGCGCGTGAACCAGTATGGCGTCGACGCACTCCATGAAGCATTGTCACCAGAGGTCTTCGATGTCTTCGAACGCACCTGTGCTGCAAGCGCAGGGTTCGGCGTCTCGCTCAAACCCAATGGCTCATTGCCTCCTCCAGGCCGCGGAGGACCACCACCTTTCATGGGACAGTCGTACACAGTAGACCGCAGCACGTTCCGCGCAGCACTGCTGACGGGCCTAGAAGACAGCGTCCACTTTGGCAAAACCCTCGAGCACTACGTTATTGCCGATGATAAAGTCACTGCACATTTCGCGGACGGGACTACAGCCGTCGGTGCTCTTCTTGTCGGTGCAGATGGCGTCCGGTCCCATGTACGAAGACAATACATCCCCAACTTCCCCGCTCTTGACACAGGCATGCGCATCATCTTCGGCAGGACCCCGATAACTCCTGAGTTTCTTGCTGCCACGCCCGAAGAATACCACCAGGGAATGAGTCTGATCTCGGACCCGGAGAGTGCTTCGGAGCCTAAACTCATGTTTGAGGCTATTGAATTCCCCCCACGCGACTGAACTCGAGATAGAGATGCCTGATCCCTACATGTACTGGGTTATTACTGTCCGCCGCGCGGCTATTCCGTTCTCAGATGAAAGATCCTGGAACGTCACCCCCGAGGAAGCTGCAAGCCTTGCAGAGAAACTCACAGAGACCTGGGATCCGGCGATTCGGAAGGTCGTTACCATGCAGGACAGAAGCAAGTCGTCCATTCGCTCGATTCTGTCTGCCATGCCGGACATGCCGTCGTGGGAGCCGTCTGATCGGGTGACCCTGGTTGGAGATGCAATTCACGTCATGCCTCCAACGGGAGCGATGGGAGCCAACACAGCTTTGAGAGATGCTGCTGACCTAGCGCGTCGCATTGCTGATGCCGGGGGTGCTGAGGGCGCAGTAGGCCAAGGGCTGCGGGAATACGAGGCAGAGCTACGGTCTTTTGCTAAGAAGGCCATTGAGCTGAGCTGGCAAGGTGGCTTCAAGAGTTTCGGTTTGCAGCCGCAGGAAAAGTGTGAGCGTATTACTTTATAAGATTATGTAGCTCTATAGGATATTTCTTGGTCGAGCTATGATTTGGCAAATCTCTGGCGAGGCAACGATTTTAAGAAACCAAATATTGAAGCGTATCAAGTGATGATTAACTTACTTCTCTGGAGCTGCACATATTCAACCTTGATCCTGGCTGTACCTTGACTGATCAGAATCCGGGAAAGAACTCGTATTAATATAAGTGCCTTTGGGATAGTATGAGCGGGAGATCTTGGATACTTCAACATTCTGTCGCCAACCGTACCGAAGTTAGAACCAGATAGCGTATTTGGCTCTTTGACTTGTATCCCATGCCCAAGTTGCGGCGCCTCCGGGCAGCAAGACCGTAGGCAAGGCTACACATGGGCCCAGAGACTGGATGTGAAAAAAATTCATAGCCATCATCGAGGTCACGCTACAAGGCTATTTCTGAATGCTCAGCTATCGGACAATAGAGATTGGCTTGAACCCGGCCAGCACAGTTTCCCATACCGCGACCCTTCGTCCTTGGCCCCCAATTTTGACCCGCTTAGGCCCGGACTGGCACCAGACGAACCCGACTGGACGATACGCTAGCCAAATTCTGGAGCCATCTGCACCACTCACAGGCACAAGATCCCTCCAATGATAGATACCTCTAATAAACTTCCAGGTTGGACGCCTTGTCTCTAACTTGCCCCTCCGCCCTTTACATAAACCAGGGGGGAGCTTCCTGAACTCGTTCTCGATCGCTTGTCAGAAAGTCTGTCACATAAGCTATATGGCATTTCTTCAGATTCTCACGACCAGCGTTGCCGTGGCCGGTCTTTGGGTGGTGATCGAGGCGATCCGTCGCCTCTTCTTCCACCCTCTATCCCACGTGCCAGGCCCCCGCCTGGCCGCTCTGACCTGGTGGTACGAGTTCTATTATGATGTCGTCCTTCCGGGAAAGTATATCTTTAAGATACAAGAGCTACACAGTGAATATGGTACATTGAGCGTGTCTGGCATGAAGCTAGTGGGTGCTCGAATACGAAGCTAAGGATCACGTAGGGCCTATTCTCCGCATCACACCAGACGAAATTCACATCAACGACGTTGGCTTCCTGGATACAGTCTACTCTGGTTTGAGAGACAAATATGAGTATCCGTTACGGGCTCTGAGAGTGCCCGGGGGAGTAGGCACCACATCAGATGCAAAGCTCCATAAGTTGCGCCGCGAAGCTCTTGTGCCCTTCTTCAGCAAGCGCAACGTTCTATCCTTACAGCATCTGGTGACAGAGAAAGTCGACCAGCTCGCTGGGATTATAGCGACGCATGCCAAAGAACAGTCGCAGGTCAACCTATCTGATCTTTTCTTTGCGTTCTCCAACGAGTGAGTTGCGCTGTCGGTTCTATCGCCAGAGTTGAGCTAACTGAAACTAGTGTCGTAAATAACTTTTTGTTCGCCCACAAAACGAACGGGCTAGCAGATGAGAAACAGGCAGGTATCTCTCGGAACAACAGCAAGCAGCTCCTATTAGGCATCCATGTGAATAAACATCTGCCCTGGATTCCGGACTTGCTTGAGGCACTTCCGACCTCCATCAGTAGGCCCTTGATGCCACCGGGTCTCATTGATATGTTTAATCTTTTTGACGTAAGAGTCCATATGTCCTCCTCACCCTGTTCCATCACCTTCTGATACACGACAGAGAGTTCGCGGCGAAATTTCTGGAATCATGAAAGCGCAGTCATCTGGGGACAAGAAAAGCGGACGAGATCCCGCTGAAAAAGAAGCTGTCTACGAGTCCGTCCTCGTCAACGAGTCCCTCCCACCCCAAGAAAGAACGTTGACCCGGTTGGAGCAAGAAGGTGCCCTCCTCGCCCTTGCTGGAACAGAGTCGCCCGCCATATCCCTCAGCATAATCTTCTACCACCTGCTCGCCAACCCGCCAATTCTAAAGAAGCTCCGTGCTGAGCTTGAAACAGCCCCAGCCGACGCCTCATGGCCCCAACTCGAGAAGCTTCCTTACCTCATGGCAGTCATTGAAGAAGGCAACCGTCTATCGTTCGGCGTGACATCTCGCATTGGCCGTCGTGCGCCTGAAGAGCTAATTTACACTCCGTCGCCTTACGCCACCACTCCTAGCACCGGAAAATCCTACAAGATCCCCGCGCGGACGCCAATGAGCATATCTACTCTTAGCGCACATACCGCCCATCGGTCTTTCCGGACCCGTTTACCTTCAATCCCGATCGGTGGCTAGGAGAGGCTGGTCGGGAGCGCAAGCGGTTCCAAATGGCGTTTACCAAAGGGAGCCGCAAATGCCTAGGGATCGAGCTTGCCAGTGCCGAGCTCTGCCTGGTGATCGCGGCTCTAGTTCGCACCTTTGACATGACCCTTTATGAGACCGACGCGAGGGATGTTTCCTTTGAGCACGATTATCAAGTTGCGATGCCGAAGATGGGATCTAAAGGCGTGAGGGCAACTGTCAGATTGAGTGGGTCAATAGTGGTTGCGCTCGTGCTCCTTTCCAAGAGTAACGGTTCTTACACTGACGAGCAAGATCATGGTGGTCTCTCCGAAAGCATCACATCTGCGATCTGTTGCTTGAGTATCTAATGGTTGTATTACTTCGGTCTTTGAGTCATGGATCGTGATTTAAATATTAGTACAAAGTAGCTGGCAGGTGTCACAACACATAGCAGCCTTTCTACCCTAACATACATTGGAGTGGGCTTCAGATCATCATGACTTCCTCGCATAGGGCTACTCAGAAGAGGGAAGGGGGGGGGGGGGGAGTTCTGTCTTTGTTATATAAAGGGTGAGGTGTTAGGCCGACCTGGAGAAAGGCTGAAGAACAGCAGGAAAAGCCCTAATCGATATTGAACTAAGTGCTGCTCAGCCCCGGCACAACCAGCTCTGACTGCGACTACGAACCGGAAAACAATTTCTTTTGGTCGCAGCTAGGCTTATCTGAGTATTTTTGCAGATCAGCGATAAGGAGGGCATGGAAATATGAAGTTCACTAGAGGGGAGACACAGGCCTCGATTATGATACACGACCACCTTGATTAGACTTTTCTTTAGCATGAACTTCATGAAAATCGAATTTGAACGCCACTATAGACAAATGCAACAAGAAAAGTACACACAAGGGCTGAAAGGCGAAGATCCTACCGGGCCTTGACCTCGCGGTAAACGGAAAAACAAGAAACCAATCCCTCCCGTTCTATATTATGGCTTTTCCACAACTGCAGATGACCCAACTGACAACGGAAGAAAGAGGAGAATGTGCAGTAGATAAGAGGGCGTCAGTCTCAAGTCATATCACATAAGCTGAGACTAGGCTGTCTTCTCTTTGTTCTTCTTCTCTTTGCCGGCCTTTTCTTCACTCTTGTCGTCGGCTTTGTCTTCCTCGGTCTTCTGTTCGGCGTCGGAGGCATCACCCTCCTGGCCCTTCTCACCCTCTTGCTTATGAGCTGCAGCAGCCTTCTTGGCATGTTCGTGCTCTTCCTTCACGCTCAGGGTCTGGTGCTTGGCCTTCAGGCGCTGCTCTTCCGCAGCAACCATGTCCTTCCACAGATCACCCTCATCCTTGTCCTGAGTGTGCACAGGAGCCGGCTCGGCCGCATCCTCCTGAGCTCCCTTAGATTTGTTAGCGGAATCCAGCAGACCGCGACCACGGCGCTGGTCCGAGATCTCAAACGCCGCCGAAGCACACAGAACACCAAGCGTCAGGCCCTGCGCATGCACACGGGCCTGGACGATCTTCTGCGAGCCAGAGAGGTACGGGTTGCGGCTGACAAGCGCAAAGGAGCCGACCATAGAGGCGATCCAGGTAGCACCGATAATCTTGTACTTTTCGCGGCGAGCGAACGCCATGGCGCGCTCGGTGAGGGAGAGCCCGCGGTTTTCTTCAGAGCGCAGACGCAACTCGCGCTCTTCATACCATTGTTTCTCTGCATTGTGCTCCTCGCCGAATTTGCGCGAGGCGTGGTCGGCCGCGATGATCCCGACGAATGTACCCGATGAGGTCACCAGAAAGGCCTTCATGGGGAGTGTGAGGGCGCGGATCGTATGGAACCGGCGAGTGGCAAGGGCGACACCAGCGGCACCCATCGCCAGACCGGAGATACCGCCGATCGCACCGCCCTTCACGACGGTGCTGTTGAAGAAAAGTTAGGTCAGTATGGCATGTTCGGGCTTGGAAGCTGTCGGAAGCAGATCCCGAGCAATGCGAAGCGAAAAGAACGTACTGGTAGTGAGCCTCTTCTTCTTCCTTGGTAAGGAGCTTCATTGTGGATGTGAATTGGAGTGTATATTACTTGGAGAGCACAGAGGAGGGGGGTGTGGAAATTGGAGCGTTATAAAAGGAAGACAAGAGCAGAGGCCGAGAACCCCGATGACGAAAGTTCTCGGGGTCTGCGGCACAACCGGGCGGGTCAAGTTCGGCCAGAGCTCGGTTTTGGCCCAGAAGAACAACCCCCAGAGACAAGAAGCGAGATGCTCTTTGACATCATGAGTTTACCCCAGGGATTCACTAGCTTACTGAGCTTACTGAGCTTACTGAGCTTACTGCCTGGTTCCATTGATTCATTAATGGAGAATTCGGATGCAATCGATTGTACACACGCCCATGATATCACAGCTGCCAAGCATACCCGAACGCCAACACCGCATAATGACTCAAAATTGAATTACACTTAACGACGCGATCCCTTGCCCCCGGCTTGTCGAGCTTGCATCTTTCGGAAACGATCCTCACCACTGGCACCTAGAGGTCGAGCAAACTGACTTTGCGCCACGGTGGTCTGTCGAGGAACAATGGAATAGCTGACTTGGGTACGGTCGACCTGGGCACGGTTCCGCCGGGCGTTGGGAATCATGTCACGGGCGCGAGCCTCTGCAGCAACCAGCTCGGCGGGGGTCGAGACACGCTTGGTGATTTTGCTTCAAGATCGTCAGTGGGAACAGCAATTTCTAGGAGGGAAAAAGAACTTACGTTGGGTCAAAGTCGGCTTCCTGGAAGACCCGCTTCGAGTAATCGTCGCTTCGCTGCAGAATAGGTCGAGTCCATTCCGCAAGCAGCTTCTCCGCCATGAGTTTGATGGGGTGCTCAACCCGCTTGCTCTTGGTATAGAAAACGATGACTTTGCCGATTCCGCTGGCAATCAAAGCTTCCTTGTTGATGGGAAGCTTACTGATCGCAGTCAGCAAATCCCGCTGGATATTATACGCAGGCATGGTTCCGTCATTCAAGGGCTCAAGGAAGAACTTCACGGCTTCCAGGATGTTGATTTCGGGGTCAACCAAGCTGTTCGTATATTGGTTGCGGTTCAGTAGCATGGTGACTTCGGGGAGGAGCTTAAGCTTGTGTAGAGCGGGCTGGTCGTTCTGGCGGCTGATGGCGTCCATTTGAGCAGCGTGGGTCATACGCTTACGCATATCTTCGATCTCTTGATCGGCCATGGCTTCCAGGTCCTTCAGCTAGTCAGTATTTGATGCTTGGAAATATAGAGTCTGTAGACACCCACGATTCCATCTTGCTTGCGGCCGCGTCTTTTCACGGGCTTCTTCATAGCGTCGTCCATTGCACGGTCAAGGGCACGGCGACGGCCTGGCAAATCGTACTCGGTTAGCATGAAGATAGCATCAATACCAAATCGGAAAGTACATACGAGTCTCGGGATCCAAGGTTTCTTCGTCAGTATCAGGAGACGCAGCCTTCTTCTTGCGCTCGCGACGAGCCGACGAGCCCTCTGCGCCGCCCTCGTCGTCATCATCATCGTGTCCGCGACGCTTCTTGCCACGCCGCCCTTCCTTCTTGCGGGAGCGACCCTCCTCTCCTTCCGTGCGCTTACGCTTGTGACGGCCAATCAGTTTCAGATTTTCCTCGTCGATGGCTAGTGGTGGGCGGTCCTCGACATCAACGTTATCTGGATCAAAGTTGTCGAATTGCGCCTCGTCGACTTCAGACAGGATGGACTCATCGTCTGAGAGGGCAGCATCGTCATTGTCGTCAGAGAGTCCCCCAGCGCCATTTTCTCCTTGGTCTTCTCCTTGGTATTCTCCTTGGTTTTCTCCATGGTCTTGAGCGTTCTCCTGCTCACCATCGTCCTGCGCAACGCCGGGCGTTGCGACCTTCTCGGTATCGTCATGCTCGGGAGAGGCGCCACGGGAGCCAGCCTGGGGCTCTGGAGATGCAGACATCGCGCGAGGTAGCTAACTGGCTGAGGAAGATGTGAGGTCGAATAATTTTGGCGGTGATAAGAGGCTTGGCCTCCTTTACGTTGGCTCGGGGGAACACGAGATCACCCAAGCTGTTATGGAAAAGCGCGTTCACCGTGAGCCAATAGCTCTTCGTGGTGTAAAACCCAGAAAACACTAAGTCCTTGGGCAGACGCAGAGGAAAGAGGAAGTGTTTGGACTCCAGATAGAGGTGATCAGCGTCTTAAAGAATGGAGGGGAGAAAAGAGGCGAAACATCAAGGAAGTCAGAGAAGGAGAAGGTGGTCTGTGCTCCCCGTGATTTCTTCTCGCCGACTCTCCGTTCACGCTCCGCTTCACTCACTCACTTCGACTCTTACATTCACAATTCTCGAACTCGATTCTCCATCACAAAATGTTTGCTCCCGGTAGGTGGCGACGATTCTCCTTCATTTGATTTTGACCCGATCTTCCCCTACAACGTGGCTCCCACTCGTACGCTGGGCGGACCCAAGCAACTCCCGGTTTGAAGACACAAAGCTCATGCGTTAGTTACATATTAGGTCAACAACAGATCTCCAAGGAGGAAATCAAGGTAAGCACTGGCTGGCTTTCCTCCAATAATACGCACCAGAGGCTAACAATCGACTAGGCGGGCGAAATTGAAGCGGCTCAGACCATCAAGCTTGCTGTCGCCGGCGGTATCCTTCTCTACCTTTGTAAGATTCGTCCGGAAAAACGCGCTGCAATAGCGATATACGTTGAACACCGAGCTAACATTTTCTGCCTCGTAGCTCCCTTCGCCATCGACTTCGCCAAGAAGTTCCTCTAAACAGTCCGCCTGCTGTTCCGCCATGTGTTCGCCTCCGTGAATTCACACCTATCATGATTTAGTCTCATTTTGAGATCTTCATTGAATGTATTAGTATTGCACGCATCATTATTTCTCCCATCTAGAGTTTCCGGGAATTACACAATCGAGGCGCGATGACATGAAGCCACTGATAAAGTAGTTTTTAGTAGAAGCGTAATAAAACCACCAAACTAGCCTTCCCCACTGCGAAGCTGAGATCGTTTATGCGCAAAAGTTTTCTTTCTTCCTCTTTCATGAATTAAACTCGGATTCAACTATGCATTACAGTACCCTCCACCAAATGGAAACGCCGTGCTCCTATGACCATGAGATCGTCTCTAGATTCCGAATATGGGAATCCAGAATAGCGAACGGAAAGCAATTAGTTTCCAGCCAGCTTCTGAGCCTCATCGAATTCCTTTTTGATTGAAGCCAGCTCTTTCTGCAGATGCTGGATCTGGGCGTGGTAATCATCAAGAATCTGAAGAATGATCCGTCAGTTGGATGTTTAAGACGTGCAATATGAATGGCAACACACCTTCTTCGCGGTCTTCATGGTCTCTTCATCAATCTCATCCTCTGAATTTGCGGTCACGTTGGTTCCAGCACGCTCCATTTCTGCCTGGAGGCGCTTGCTCTGTTCGTGGATAGCTAGCATGCGAGCCCAAATCTCCTCACCACGGCCACTCAGCGACGGATCGAAAACAGAACGCTCGAGTTGAGTCAGCTTCTTTTTCAGTTCTTCTTCGGCCTCGTCCATGGCATAACCGCGGTTGCGCAGGACCTGTGTCTTCGCCGCTAGGGCAAGGCAGCGCTTGCTCAGAACGAGATGCCTCCGGCGGCAGTCTGCTATTCTGAGAGTGATCTTGAGGTCGTGTCGTGAAAGATAGTTGGTTAAAGAGTTGTTGATCTCGTGCAAGCGGGTCTGCATCGCGCTGAGGAAATCCTTTTGACGCTGGGCTCGTTTGCCTAGCTCGAGGAAACCACGCACCTGAACAGGAACAAAGCCAGGATTGGGTCGCTTGCGCAAGGCCTCTTCCCATTTGGTCGCATCATCGTCTGGGCCAGGTTGATAGAACGGCGCGCTGTCTTCGCCGACATTGTTGTACAGGTAGGCGCGGAATCCGGAGCTAGGGCTGCCAGTGTCCCATTTGTCTTGGACAATGCGCATCTGTTTGTCAACAGTTCGGTGTACTATGTTTTACGGAATATGTCAGATGCTGGGAAGGGCAGATTAATGAGTACGACAACTCACCGCCACTGATTGCTCGCCCAGGAGACCATAAGCTCGAGGAAAGAGATTGCTCTGGCTGATTAGGCTGGGGCTGCACCATTGTGGTCTGTCCAAACTGTGATTGCTGTGGCTGGGAGGTCTGCTGCTGCTGCTGCTGCTGCTGCTGCTGTGGCTGCTGTTGCTGCTGTCCACCTAGGCCACCTCCGAAAAGACTGCCCTGCTGCTGAGGCTGCTGCTGGGTTTGTTGCGTGGAGCCAAAAGCGCCTCCTCCTCCAAATAATCCACCCCCAGTAGAAGGCTGTTGTGTTTGGTTCTGCTGTCCCTGGCCAAAAAGACCTCCCGACTGCTGGGGTTGCTGTGGCTGCTGGGACTGGCCGAGGCCACCTCCGAATAGACCAGTAACAGCTGGCTTAGCGGCGGTTGAGCTACCAAACAGTCCTCCCGATTGTTGCTGTGGCTGTTGTGGGTAGAGCCGAACAAGCCACCACCTGTCGAGCCTTGTTGTTGATTCTGGGTCTGCCCTCCACCAAATAGTCCGCCGCCGGACGCGGGCTGGGCAGGAGTGGTGGTGCTGGCTCCAAATCCTCCAAACGAGCTTGACTTGTTCGCCGCATTTCCGAAGAGGCTACCGCCAGCGGTCTGGGTTTGGGGTTGGCCGAAAAGAGACATGATGCTCAGTCGACGCGGCGCGGAAGGATACCGTCGGCGTAAAAAAAAAAACACGAACGGATAGAGACGGTCAGAGCAATAAGGAATTGGTCGAAGAAATCGTCCAGAAACCAGAGGACCAAGTTCAGATCAGACAACTTGATGACCGCACTGTCCGGGGACTGGCGTGGGTTATTAGGTATGGAGCGCGCTGGGGATTGAGCAGCTCTAATGAAGACCAGGTCCAAGGAATACGGGAGCTGCCCAGCGGCTTTGTTTAGTATCACGTGATCAATCTCAACGGGGCAGAGAAAGACGTGGCTGACCAGCGCAATTGGGATGATAATATCAATTTGAAACATCAACATGAACTTGAAAGCTACGAAGGAGTAACAAGTGTGCGCCAATTACGAGATGTCTTGTGGTTTATCTAGCATTATTACCCATTGAGTTCACTCTATGTGTCGCGCACCTGGGCAGGTCGTTCCGATTACATAACGCCTACGGCGCAGCCAATCAGCGCCAGGTTAAAGAAACCGACTCTTCCAACGCAACCTTCAACCCGCAGCTGTTGACCAGTCCTGCCCCCGCCAATTGCCCTCTCATCCCATCCACCACCGTGACCATGGCTCAGAGAGATGCTCGGTAAGACCTGCACCCCCTGGTGGCTTTCCTTTGAACGCCTCAAAGCGAATTCTCGCTCCGGTCCCCGCAATACAGCACCCTGAACTAACCCCATCCCCGGCAAATAGCTTCAACCAACATGTCCTGGTGGACACCACTCCGATGCCTGACCACATCCCCAAGGTGGAAGAGATCGGAACCTCATCAGCGCCTCTTCTGAGCGCTTCCTACTTCATTGGAGCCCGGTGCAAGGCGTTCAACGACGATTTTATGCAGTGCAAGCAAGAGGCAAATGGCCGCGGTGAAATCGACTGCTTGAAGGAGGGCCGCAAGGTTACCCGCTGTGCTTCCAGCGTGTATGTTCTATCCAGATTCCGACCCCGGTGTAACGGTCGGCGTCGACTCGCCAATCGCTCCCAATGGTCTCCGGACGACCCCATAATTAATCCATGATACAGGATCAAGGATATCAACACCCACTGCCTGGCCCAATTCAAGGCCCACTGGGAATGCCTCGAGAACAACAACCACAACCTGTTTGAGTGCCGCAGCCCTGAATTCAGCCTGAACAAGTGTGTTTTCCAAAACCTGGTATGTCTCAACTCCAGCCCAGCCTCTTCTGGAACTTCCATTCCTTGACAGCGCACGGGCTCTCCTGTGCTGTGTAAAACCTCGGTCGCAACCATACTTACCTTTCATTTTTTTTCTTCTCCTCCACAGGGCCTCCAGAAGACTATCCCCGGTGCCCCCGAAGACCAGGTCCCCGTCCACCTGCGCCCACGACAGAAGTACTCCGTCAATGCCTGGAACCAGTTTGACCTCGAGCAGCGCAAGGAAGCCCGGGAGGCCGGCGCATCGCTGTTCAAGCAGCAGGAGCAAAAATAAACGGCGTGTTCTGTTTTGGTTCTCGTTTTCTTATCCATCCCTATGTACCCGAGCCTCTGGCTTTCTATATCTCCTTTTGAGACGCATGAGGAGCTCTTGTGTTTGTTCTCTGTGTCTTTCTAACTGGTGTATGTTTTGTGTAAATATCTATTGGCATCAGGAACGGTTAGATGATTTGTCTTGCACATTCTGGTAAAGTCCTCGTATGAGTAATTCGAGTAGATTATAAAATTCTCGGCATCAGCTTGATAAGCTAATTACATTAGTCTGATATGAGTATGATTGCCATCTATAGCGTATATAAGCACAGTTTCCCAGCTGGCCACTTCTCTACAACGGCAAAGACTGTATAATGGTATAATCTATTTCTACTCGAGCCAGCATTAGGTGAGAAAAAAGAAAGTCGTAAATGGATATAATGAACGAAGAAACACCAGAAGACCTCAGGTTGGAAACCCATATGTACTTGACAAGGAAAGAATCACATAGTCCGACCAAGGGCCGCAACTGAAAAACTCCAATTAAATATAGACAGGGAATTGAACAATGCGAAAAGCCAATGCATGTCAGTAGCCACCTGAAGTAGGGGTATGTACAACAAAGAGAAACAGCCGGATGCTCGAAGGATGTGGAGGAGTGACAAGATAGGGAGATGGTGTCAGTAGGAGAGTAGAAGGTTTTAAGATCATGGCAGAAGAGGCATATCGTTGACACGGCGCAGAAGCTTGAAACGACTCAGCTTGCCCTTGACTTCGGACCAGCCGGAGCGCAATCGTTCTTCAATACGGCGATCACCACGCAGCCGCATATAGATAAGTAGACCGCCCAATAGAGCCACGTCCCAGATGATCTGGCGGACGACACTCCAGAGAATCCATTTCAGCCAGGCCCAGAGGCCGGAGCGGCGGCGATTCGCCAGTGTGCGAGCCTCCATCTGCTCGCGCAGAGCAGCGATTTCAGCGGTCATGTTGGTCAAGGCTTGTTCGACCCTGCGACGCCAGGGACTATTCTTGGGCAAAGTGGGGTCCCGCGTGTGCGGGTTACTGCTGGAGTCACCGATGCTGAGGGCGGAGCTCTGGCGATTGTGCTTAGAGCGGCTCGCATGGGAACCGACGCCGGTGTGTGTGGTTGTGCTCGCGCTGTCGTTGTCTTGGGGCTCGTAAAGGCTGTCGCGGGCCTCTTCATACTCTTCGTCTTCATCGTCGTCGTCGTCCAAATTTGATTCCTCCGCTGCGTCGGCATCCTCGGTATCTTCCGTTGGTTGCCTTCGATGTCGACGGTAGTATTCTTCTTCTTCAGGTTGGCTCATGGGGCTTAAAACGCGGAGGCGAGAGCTCCGGTCATCGGTTCGCATATCGGGACGGTCATATTCCTCCACGGGTCGCGCTAGTCGGTCTCCGATACTCCCATATGAGCTGCCCTGATTCCGAGATAATGATGGGACGCCCACGGTATTTAAAGGGCTTGATGAGGAGGATGAAGAGGCGTTGAATTTAATCTGGTCCCAGACAAACTCAAGTTCGGAAACGAGTTCGCGGGCTTCCGTGGTTTGCGATGCGTAGGTGTGCATAGTCTCGATGAGGGTACTAATATAACGGCGTTTTGCTTCAGTGCGCGACAGGTCGCGCTGGGCATACCAGGAATCCCTGTAGATCCGGAGAATTATTGGGTTAGAGAGAGCCTTGATACGTTAGATATGAGGGACATCGCATACCATTTCTCGCATTCCGCTTGGACTTCCGGCGTATTGCCTATCGGCCTGTCCATGACGCCCTCGACATCCCCCTCTGCCCGGAGATACTGCGTTAACGCCTTCCAGATTGTTACTGCAAGCTCGGAAAAGCACACTAACCCATGCTCTGCTTGTACAATCCATATAACTTCAGCCGTTCCGCGGCGGGCGGGCGAGCAGTGCCCGTCCGCGGAATCCTCTTGACAGTATTCAAGGCATGGACGAAGACACGATCTATTGAGCAAGGGTCAATGACAACGAATATTCCCGTCCAACCTGCAGGGCAGCGCAGGGATATTTGGCCTGGAAGCGGGGAGGATATCGGGCCCACACGCACCTACGGAATCGGACATTCTGAGAATAGACGCGGTCCGATAGTCAGCCTTGTCTTCATGGGAGCGGAGTCGGGCCTCAGCGAGCATGGAGGCACTTCATGGAGATCGCACCGGCGATGGCGAAGGCGAGCGAACAGGAGGACTAGTAACAGGGCGGATGAGCCTCGGAATTGCGTGAGGCGTAGAATCGAGGACTTTGTTCCGCGTCGCGGGAAACTCCAGGCTGGGCAATCTTTCCCGACACAAAAGAAACTGGAACACGGTCAAGGGTTCCCCAGATTGACGTGGGGGGGAAGATTATACATGGGAAACCCATCAAGGAGTGGATTCAAGCCCTTCGTGCCTCCGGGGAAATGAATGTGGGCATGGACCGCGGCACTCGGAAAGATCGACAGGGCGACCTTGTGATTCTATGCGCGTCAACCTAGGCATTCCTCCTTTCTACCCAACGTTCTCCGGCTGCATATAATTCATATTCACCCGTCTCTGATAGTCAACAGAATATTATTCTAGAGGTACTGAGACATTTATCAAGCCAAGAAAAAAAAGCCAGGGATGACGGTTTACTACTAGTAGCATCATCTCCGAACCTCAATGGCGGGACAGGAGCTGACACGGAGGGGACCGTGTACGTGGGAGCCATGCACACCATCAGTGCCTTTACCACCACTAGGTTATACGGTAACTGTTCTAGCAACTCGAAGGTAATGTGCTGGGAATTGTCAATAAAGTGCAGCATCGTTTGGAGGATGCTGATTATTGGGTATATCTCATGAATATAAATACATTTCCGAAGGGTCATTTACTCCTTACTGGAAGAGACCTCCTTCTTGATATCCACCTCATGAACATGACTCTCCAAATCGACCGGTGAGCCTGCGATCACTCCGGTTCCGGCAACTCGCGCCTCCTCCGAGACAGGCGGGCCGGCGAAATGCTTACGGGCATAGGCAAAGTACCACGCCACACTGATGGAGGCGAAGCCCGCGAACACCGCGCTCGCATAGTTCATGGAGCCCGCGGTAACGGGCAGACTATAGGGCATGCAGAAGAGAACCACAGCAAAGACAATCCACAGAACTGCAATGCCGTTAATGATGTATCCGAACCTTCCTAGGAATACCCAGAGCCTTTGACAGCTTTTCGGCCGCGGACCATGCAGATGAAGATGGGCAGGCCGTACGAGGTGGACAAGCAGATGGTCGCGACGCCGGTGAAGGAGTTGAAAGCGGCCGAGGAGCCGAAATAGATCAGGCCAAGGAGCGCGTCGACGAGCGCAGAGAGGATCACCGCCCAAACGGGGACATTCAGCTTCTTGTTAACACGGCGCCAGATCTTGAATCCTGGAATCGCTCCGTCGCGGGCGAAGGCGTAGGTACAGCGACTGGCGGCGGTCAGAGACCCGATACCGGCGAAGATCATGATGCCCAGGATAAGGAAGAGAGAGACCAAAGCCTCCGCCCGCGGAGCCGGTCACTTCTTTGAATAAGAGGCCAATGGGCTGGCCACTGAGCACATTGCGCAGAGCAGTGACGTTGGGCATAGAGAAGAGGATGGGAATAAGGTAGATGATACCCGTAAAACCGGCCGCGACGACGGACCAGACAATGGCTTTGGGGACCTCGCGATGAGGGTTCTGGACCTCCTCACACATCGACGCGACCATGCCATAACCCGTCAGCGTATATGCTGCCTGCAGCAAACCGACGAAGAAAGCCCAGCCAGCGGGCCAACCCGACTGGGAGGAATCGTAGTGCGCAAAGACGAATTCGCCGGAGTTGAGGTTATGCCTGCCCATCACCAGAAGGACAACCAAGATGATCACGACGCTGCTAGCAGTCCAGTAGATGCACACCTTGTTGATCAGATCCAGGTGGCGCGACATGAAAATGTTGACCAAGGTGCAGACCAGCAGCACGGCCCAGAACATCAGTATTGTCTGCCATGTATTCGCGACAAAGTCCACGTTCCACAGAGAAATAGCGCTGAGGATCAACTGGCCACCGCCGAAGATGATACTCAGCGTCACGGTCCAATTCCCCACCAGTGTAAGCCAGCCGTCGATGAACGACATGACCGGAGCATATTTGGGCGTGGCAAGCATTGCGCTCCAATAATAGACGCCCCCGGCAGTCGGGAAGACGGCGCAGATTTCGGCGAGGGATGCGGCAATCGCGATGGAGATCAGGGTGACGAAAACCCATCCCCAGATGATGGTGACGGACAGCCCGTCGACGAGGGTGATGTAGAGGGTGGTGCTCAGACCGTAGGGCGCGGCCATGATGGCGAAGGACAGACCGAGGACGCTCAACATACTCAAGTTGCGCGGCAGCTCACTCTTATAGCCCATGCGAGCCAACGCCTCGTCGGCCGCACCGTCAACGGATTGACGCATGGTTGGGGAAACTGGTATGGCACGGATTAGATCCTGGAGGAAAGTGAAAAGACGAACAAGGCGCTTCCCAGAGAAAATCGGACTGTTAAAAGCCCATGGAAGACGAACCCTGGAAGAGCAAGCTTGAAATCGCGAACCCCGCAAGATACACGAACGCGGTCCGAGACCGCGGCCGTTTATATGGAGAGTTTATTCGGGCACCCTGGAACACGGGGTGGCCACTTAAGTCCTTCGATAGAGAAACTTCCAAGTGCCATCGCGCTCCGAAACGCCGCCTATCAGAGCCCCCGCTTCCCGCCTGGAGACTCCCCCGCCCCACCAGATAAGACCGTCGGGCCACTGGGTCGCGTGCAGCGGGCGAACCAGCGTCTCCAGTCAGAATACTAGCACGATAACACCCGCCCAACACGAGAGGCTTATCTGGCGGTATCTCCGTATTAGTGTTTCCATAGTGAGATCATTTTACGGTAGATCAGACAGGTTAAATGTAATCATTGGATTTTTTTTTCTTTTCTTTGATTTTTTTTTGGCCATAAGTTCAAATACAGGAAAAGTCACACCAAGGTGACGGCTGCCACACCCCGTTCTTCGCATCGGAGGACATCCATCGGGTTCGGAAGTCTTTCGAGCAGGAGATGAGCGCCAGGAGATAGATAAGGACAACATGATATGGTTAACACAGACAGTGGACGGGGGGCTGGATCGGGTCAATGGTAGGCTTGGAATAAACCAGTCTCTTCCAATTTTCCCGCGGGATGGCAAGGGGGGTATCGAAGGGAGCAGATGCCAGATCTCTTGTTTGGTTGAACGGAATTTTTTTCATGTTTGGAGTATCTAGTCGAACAGGGGAGGGCGGAAGTAGGCCCATGGGGGTTCGTGATGAGGAGGGGGGAATGGGGCGGTAGGAAGAGAAGGGTGACTTTTTTGGCGGAAAGAAGAAAGATCCAAGCTCCAGTCTAGAGATGGCCAGTCCTGGTAACCAAGGAAATCGAGGTCGGGCAGGAATCGCCGTAATAAAGAACACGGGGAGGGGGGCGTGGATGGATGGAGAGAGTAAGATGTTGGTTGGGGAGGGGTCTTGCTGGGAAAATCAGAATCGAAGCGTTGCAGAAAAAAAAAAAGAAGTCAAGAATCGTCGAGGCGTAACCAGCCAGCTAGTATGAACCCCGAATTCGTGGAGAAAGTAGAAAAGCCCGTCATGCGGATCGTGAATCGAGTTTGAGGGAACAGAACGCCCAGTCATGCAGTCATCAGTGCGGTGAAGTCGTTACAAGGAGAGATGCAGTACAGTCGCAAACGAGAAGGCAGAATCGCGGGAGTACAGGGAGAAAGTGCGAGGGAGCAGGAAAGGTTCCAACTCCTTAAGGACTAAGTCCGCCAGCGAGATCGTCTGGTCCGTCAAAACCAAAGCCAGCCATGTCGACGGAGTGCAGTGATCCAGGTCCTCGGCCTAAAGAGATATCAGAGGATGCATAATCGTGCTTAAGTCGTTCATGCGGGCCGAAGAAAGGCCGATGCTCTTCGTTCGGGGTATTTCCATCGCCGGCGACCCATGGCCCATTTTGCCAGAATCGAGTATTGGCTTGCTGATCCCCGAACAGATCATGATGATCGGGATGGGGGTCCGGCCCGTGCATGGGGAATTCATTAGGCGAGGCAAGTCGCAAATGCGACCGGGCAAAGCTGGAACAGGGGGAATCTGCATGAAGAGGCAGGTCTAGTCCAGACAGGGGTGGATCCTCAACCGTCGTGATGTCGATGGTGGGGTTCTCCGTTTGCTGGGCCAGAGCTGATGACAGCCGAAGATTAGACGCTGAGCTTTGTCGGCTGTGGCTAGCCGAGCGCTCAATGGCACGTTGTACAAAGCTTCCGCATGACTTCATGATCTTCTCCTGGTTTTCGGGAGAGAGGCTGGCAAAGTAATCGTTTGCCAGCGACGGTTTTGGCGGCTCATCGGGAGATGGAACTAAGCCGTAGGTAGTCTTGGCATATTCAGAAAGGCCCGATGGCATGTTGTATGGTGATTGGTAGACATTGGGGGCCAGAGCCCGCTGCTGGTCGAGGAACGCATATTTACCCGGGACTTTGGCGGCGGCCACGCTTCCTCGATCAATCGTCTCCATCTTCCCACCTCGGACTCTTTCTTCTGGATCACGTCCAGCCGCTCGCGATGACTAACCAAGGAAAACCGAAGCATTTGCAGGAGCCGCGTCACCTCTTCGGACCGCATGTTAAGGGTCTGCGGCGGCAATAAGGTACCGTCTGCCGCCCGGGGCTGCACCCGCTGCTGGGCCATGGCCAGCTCAAGTTTCTCCAGTCCATTGGCAGGAGGAATCGAGCCCATAGGGCCCAGCAGGGTCTCTACCACCAACTCGGGGCTGACAATCGTATACCCGGCGAACACATTGGCATGATCGGTGATCTGAGCGAGGCGCCGTCGGGAGATAAGCTCACGGACGTTGGCAAAGGTGTTGGTGGCAGGAAGGTGGTGCTGCTGCTGAACGTGCGATTTGGTGACCGAAGGATAGGGGGCATGACGAGTAGATTGATTCGGTAAAGTTCGAAAGGCCGACGGCATCGCAGGACCAGCAGCAGCAACACCAGCAGCAGAAGTAGGCGGAGGGGGAGGGGCACGGTGCTGCAGGGATGCGGGAGAGAAGGGCGGTCGGGAGTGTAGGTGAGGGGTGGTGTTGGCGTTCGAGGTGGTCAGAGATTCGGATTGTTGTTGCAACCGTTGTTGGGGGTAAAGATTTTGCTGGAAGGGAGGGGCAGGGGCGGTGGGAGCACGGAAAGACTGGTGGGGTGGGATCTTCAATGCACGAGCAGCAGCAACACCAGCCACGCCAAGCGATTTGACGCTGTCCAGGAAATTAGCCCGCGGGTTGTGGACGGGCACAGTAGGGTTGTGCGTATACTGTGCCCTACTCTCGGTGGACTGCGCCCCCAAGTAATGCCACAGCCGTCCCTCTTTATCCAAGTGAACGGCAGGAAGTGGGGTGCTTGGGTTCGTAACTGATTCCACTGTCTCGAATTCGGCCCATTGATAGGGAGACCGATGGTCGCCAAAAGCACTTCCTGCGACCGGAAGGGCGGTTTCCAGGTCCCTCTGGTCGGGCTTCCGCGCCAAGTGGGCCGGGAGGGGTTGGATCCCTGGCGCGAGGGGTAGGAAGTTGCTCTTCCGCACCACGAGGTACCAACGGTATGGCATCTCGATCACATCCCTGTTGATACATTGTTAGTATTGTGAGAGCTCCGATTTCGGGTATGTGGGGATGTTGGGCATTTTCGGGTGAGAAAAATCCCGATTGGGAGAAGGAGTGTGAAAGCCAAACCGTGAACGAATTAAAGGCGGGAAGAAAACGGGGAGACAATTGTTTCTATCCTAGATGAACTTACCCTCTGGGGAGAACTTTGACCAATAAGGTCCGTTCTTCGGGTCGATTCTGGATCACAATGGCAGCATTGATTTCCTTGTCGGCTTGAAACTGAATCAACTCTCCTTCGGTGAGGCCTAATGCAGCTTCAATCACTCGACGATCCAAATCCGAGGGCTCCGTATTATTCGCACGCTTCTGGCGATGGAACTTGCACTTGAGGTCCACGCTAGGAAGGGAGTATGCCTTGGTATCGTCAGCAATCACAGCGACGGATCCATGTTCGACCTGTACGCCAGCGAGCATGGCGCATGTGGCATGGTAAGCCCGGGTACACTTTCCAAAGTTGCATTGGAAACAGGCACCACGAGCTTCACGGCAGAAGAGACATTTGAGACCAAGGCGAGCTTTAGGGATCTGGTCAATATCACAGACCACCTCATTGCCCGAAGCGTCCCGAAGGATAGAAGTCTCCTCCACAAACGTAGCACATCGCCTGTGAGCAAAGCCGTTTCCATTCTCCGTCGGTAGCAATTCTTCGTACTCCAGATCATTGGGACATAGAAGGCATGGAGTCTTTCGCGGGCCGTCGGGGTGGAGCTTAGGTCTCTTGGTATTCGGCCCGTCGCCCGCATGTTTCCTCTTTCGGCCACGGGTGGAGGCCTTCTCAGGTACACTGCGTGGAGGCGTGAGAAGATCAGAGGCACCGTCAAAGCCTTCCTCAAGGTCACTTTCATAGGTGACATAGTATTCAGGCGTTGCCTCGCCACGCAATTTTCGTTCGATCTCATCCACATCAATCCAGACGCTGTCTGATTCGCAATTGCACTTCTTGGCCACACGTGCGTAGTTCAGCCACTTCTCAGTCGCAAAATTCACTGATTCGGCACAGTTATATCCAATGTTGTAGCCAGAGTGGTATCCGTAAGGAAATGTGATGACGAACTCTCCCTCGTAGTGTACCAATCGATTCACAGTGATACCATACTGCGACTTGAGCAGGCTGGGTGAGACCAGGTAAGTCTTGTGGCGCAAAAATTGATCGCAGTTCTTCGCATCGCTCGACCAAATGCTACGCATCGCGGCTTCGAACCGAGGTGCGTCCTCCTGTGAAATGCTGTACCACTGCTTCGGTGCACCGAAATGGATGTAATTGATGCTGTAAAGGTCAACATCTTCCAAGTGCCAGGCAAAAGTGGCCTTCCACATTCCCAGGTACAGATAGGCTGTATTGACTCCTGGAACCTTCTGTCCCAGTACATCGAGCAAATTTGGAAGCTTTGCAACATTCCATGACGTCGTCGAATCGTCAAAGAGCGAGCCAGGCATGTCCGCGCCGTACATTGGGTTGTTGAACATGAGAGACCTCCAGTATGCGGTCTCCAGCTCCTCACATCGCTCGGCTGTGTACTCATCGTTATCGTGAATCCGATAATCAAATCCTTCGTACGCGGCGTCGTCGGTCGTATCTACGGTTTCTCCACGGTTGTTCCTTCGTCGCGAAGAGACAGACTTGGCTTGTCTCCCCTTCGGCTTCGCAGCGGGAAGAGATTCGCCTTCACTCAAATCTTCAGATTTGGTCTCGACGGGGTTTGACTCGGGCGACACAGGCGTGGGCGGGCCTTCCAGCTTAGACTTTTCAGTGTCGTCTGTTGGTTCTTGCTTTACCTTGGCACGCTTGGCAGGTCGCCCAGGCCGGCGCTTTTGGCCATCGGGGCGAGGATCAGGCTGAGGCTTGGGGGTAGGGGCAGCTTGGCTCGTACGCTCCACGTTGCGACGTCGTTCTCCACGGCGAGCCGGCGGCTGGTGACTTCCATCCTCGCAAAGAGCCTTCCACTGCGGCAAGTTGTAGGTCCGTTGACGTTCAATATTCGCTTGAGTGTAGGTGCCATGCGAGCCATGGAATTCTTGCATGATAGGATTCTTGACCCGAATCGATTTCACTTGTTCATCCAATGGCTTTTGTGCTTCGAGCCTTGAGGGAGAAGGGCATGAGTACAGGAATCGCACGGGATCATGACGTTGCGACAACAATACTTACCATTCTTTTGGGGGGACAACTTTGACGATTCCTGTCTGCATTCCATACTTGTCAATCTTGCTGATGTACCACTGGAAGTCACGGAATTGATCCATGGTCTGAAGAACAAAATCAGCACTTGACGTTTGGCGTAGATATACCGACCCGGCCAGGACTCACAGGTTTGAAGACGGGAATTTTACCACCTCCATAAAAATGGTCGGGTTCAATTTCTTCCTCAATCTCAGGGGTTGCTTCGGCATTTTCCTGCTTGACTGGGATGTCGTCATGCGCAGCAGCCGACTTAGCATCGAGCTCAAGATCTGATAACTCCGAAGGAACCCCCCTCGGGCGCATCCTTTTTTCCGTTGGCACTGTGAGGAGGCGTGATGGAAACCGAGCCGACTGGCGCCCCATGAGGGGCGAGGTGTGTCTGTTCCGGTGCCGCCATGTTTGGAAGCGGCGAACAGTTTCAAAGCTGGGTGAGGGAGGTTGTTCGATACTCGGGTGCCGTCGTCGATAAAGCGACCGCTGATCGACGGCGAAAAGGGTTATCGTTCCCAGCGGTCAGGGAAGAGAGTTTGAAGTGAGAGCAGTTGGTTGAAAGGCGGACTTGAGAGATCTCAGCGAATCCAAGGGCGGCAGGGATGAGAGCTCTAGCCAGCAGAGGGAGGTATGGGGTTCGGGCGTTGATGGCGCGATAAGCTCTGGTCGGAGGCTCTTTTTTCCTGTAGCGGGAAGAAGGAAAAAGCAACAGTATTAGTCGGGTGGAGATCGCCAATGAGAATGACCATGGGAGGTCCGTGTGCAATGAGGTCAACGGGGTAGTGGATAAGTGAAGCGAAGGGGATTCGTCGAAGAGAACGGAGAAAGATTCAGAGTCGTAGCAGAGGTACAGGATTGTGAACCAGTGCGCCGTACCCCGTAATGGAGACCGAGGTACTTCACGCAGCAGAGGCGGCAAAAAAAAAAAGAAAGAAAGAAAAGGCAAAGTACAGAGTAACGCCACTGGGTTCACCAATCCCCGGGGAAAAGACGAGTAAAAGATGAGTAAAGTGAGCAACACCAGGGTGGGCCAATCATGCAGGTGCTGGCAACGAGGGTGTGCCGCCGCACGATGGTCTGACACGGAGAGGCAGGGGCAGGAAATCAGGGTGATGGGCTGGAATGAATGGACAAATGGGAGAGCCAGAACTCGGGCAGAAGTGGACGGGGGCCTTCGATTACAAGATGGGAAAAGTGGGTTTAGTATGCCTTGCAAGTGGACAGGGCATCTGAAGAAAAGCCGGGAGCCGCGAGTGGATGTGTACGATACAGTAGTAAGGTACTTCGACCCCCGGTGTCGGATCCAGGATTCTCAAGGGATTGACGGGAGTTCAAGGGCAAGGAAAATGGCACAAAGAAAGGGGACAAGGCATGAGAAACGACACTTACTCTGCGATCTAGTCAGGCAAACGCTGTCGAAAGCAATTAACATATCGCAGGTGATTGTGATAATCGCATCGCCGTGGTCCGGGAATTGTCACGTGGGATCATATGATATGGGAGGTGACATTACCATACCAGCTGCGTCCAGTGGACTTTAGCCGCACTCTACCGAAGTTAATTCACTTCGTGAAGTCTGAGAAGTGGGCTTCTAAAGTTCATTCACGTAAAAAATCCGAGGCTTATGGCCATTGGAGAGCATCAGCAGCTGTAGATTCTTGATATTTCTTCCCACTCCAAGGGTTCTAGGGCTTCCGGGCTCTCTCAGTCGATCTGATTTAATTGCCCCAACTGCCCACTATCGACATCCGTTTTGTACTGGCAGTGTATGATAGTCTTGGTAATCCGTACAGGTGTGCAGATTTCGGATACCACCGGCTTATGATCACATCAAGGGATATCCATATGTCATGCAACATTCCTATGCCAGATGATTCGAGTTCTCCGAGGTCAAGACTATCAATCCGAACATTTCTAGAAGCTATAGAGCGCGGCTCTCCGAACACGCTTGATGGCATACAGAGCAAAATATTCCAACGCCATGATCTCATACCTAGTTCTAGTGTTCCAGGGTTGCCGAAATCGCTCGCCGGCGTCGATCCAGCCCGCCTGTAGATCACCCACTGCGATCAACGGATCCCAAACTTAAAAGCACGCACCATAGGATGTGGACAAACACGACGACCGCCACTTCGCTTATTGCCACGGAATAATGGATCAGAGCTAGAGTACAATAAGATGAGAGAAGTTAGACTGACCCGTACTTATGTCTAGATACAGCCACGTGCATGTTCTATAATCGATCAAAAATCCGAAAGAAGACCGTGCCCCCTCTATAACCCGATATCTATTTGCCGTGCACCTCGTGCTCCAACTGAACATCCATATTGATATAAGGCTCCACCACGTGCAAGCCTCGTAATCGTTCCTGTTCAATACGTTCCCAGGTCCACTCTTCGACGTTCCATGAATCTGAGTTGGTCTTCTTCTCTCGCTCAAGAGCCTCACGGTCGGGGAGCTGTTTCTCACTGATCTTGAGCACCTCACGAGCCAACGACCCGTCAAGAGCTCCACTAGCAGCGATTCCTTCCCCACTGGCAGGCGTTCCAACCCCCGAAACGCTTGTAGAGGAGTCAGCCGCAGCGGTCTCCGCAGGGCGCTCTGGGAGGAAGCCACCTGCACGCAAAATACGCTCCGGCGACACAGTCAGGCGGCCCTTCTTCACAACATACTTGCTCAGGCCTATCGCCAGCAGCGTTTTCTCGCCGCCGGTCTTCTTCGCAGGCCGCAGGAACGTTGTCTGGATGTACAACCATTTCTTGTCCCACGAAATGATTTTGGATTGCATTTCGTATAGTTCAAAAGGTTTGATCTCGCGCTTGAAGGTGCAATACACAGAACCCAGCACCACCATGATAGGCTTGGACCTTGGAGCTTTCTTGCCTTCCTTCTTGCTTGCCTCGCGGAATTCTTGGTCGAGCTCTTTGCTGACAATGCCAGCACCAGGGCTGTAAATCCGAGTAACGAGCGCCGTACGTGCAATATCCAAGTCGGAAAAATACGTGCTATTAGACTTGTGTAGATTGTAATCCGTCTCCAACAACGGTGTTCGTGACATGACGCTGCATGGGACGAATATGGGATGTGTTGGCTGGCCATGCGAGTCTATTATGGCCTTGCCCTTTGGGAAGAAAGGATCATTGGGCTTGAAGCGCAAGTTTCGCAAAAAGTGGTACAGCACGCGAAGCTGGGACACGGTTAGTCACGATGCACGACTGTCTCTGCTGGCATCCGCCGCAGATCGAAGCCAAATTGAACGGGTTGCTACTTGGCCGAGAGCTATGAGAACTTACGTGCCACCCGAATGGAAGGTTTTTCAAATTGACAAGGGCCAAGATAATAGCTAGCGTGCGCCATGAGGCGAGCGATGCCACGGCTGAAAGTACGTCGTGCATGCTTTCAAATGGGGAAGCGGAAGTGGGAGTCGACATTCCACTCATCACAGAGAGAAAGGGAAAGACAAATGTGCAAGAGCGCGGATGTGAAATAGCGAATGATGATCGACACGTTCGTCCTCGGAACTATAGGTGATTGCCAGATCTCGGTCCCCGATAAATCGGAATCGAGAATTGCTCGTTCAGGGGGGTGTTGGTCGGACACCCTTGTCTACCTCATAAAATGCCGAAGATAAGATAAAGGTAATTGAAAGATAAGAACAAGCAATTGCTGAAGCACAATGACATGAATTTGCAGGGTGGATCACGAGCAAAATTTGAAGTCACAAGCATTTTTGTCGTTGTAATCGCTGGGGACCGAGGCTTCTAGGTACGCACGTGATGTAACTGCGCTCTTTCGCTCCAAGCGTCCCGAGTTCCACAGTAACAACCCCTCGCCCAATTGAACACTACACCGCATTAAAGGATGGCGTATGCCCCACTCTCTGAGTGAGTCTCCACTATGTTTCTGAATCTCAATTCTGAACATGATCAACTAATATCTCCGTCTAGGGAGTCGCCCTATTACCTTCGACTTCACCGCACAAGCAACAGGAGCTGATTCTACGGAATCCAAAAAGAGGACTGCTCTTGGCCAACGCGTCTTGGATTATCCCCTGTACGTACTCTAAAAAGTCCGGTTTTTTGCTGTCCATTGATCCAAGATATACAATAGGGGGCAAAATTCTGTGTGCATACCGCTTCACCTATCCCATCAGATACTGATGTAGTTTCCAGACTAGTTTAATAAGATTAAGATCAGGCGAGTATATAGGCCAACCTTTAATATATATCCTGTGCTCTTTAAACCAAACCTGTATATCTTTCGCAATACAGATCTTTTTTGCTATCTCGCTAAAACATCATTCCAGGTTGATAGCGGATGCCATGGGGGAGGTGTAGGAGAAGAAATAAAATTGTGGGTGGTTGTTAGGGTGATGGTAATGGGGCCGAGTGCACACATACTTTTGCGCGGGTGGTGTAGGATGAACCATCCAAGTACTAGTACTCCTAGTAGAGACTGTTTGGTCGTATAGGCCCAGGGGTCGCATATTACTGAAAAATTAAACCTTTTACTGGGTTCAGACATTTGGGATTTTATAAAGATATATCTATTCAATTCATTGCGTTAAAAGAATGTAAGTGCAGCTAAACTCCACAGTCAAAAGTTCGTGATTCAACTCGAAGTCGATGCCTTAGAGCCATCCACCTAGTGATACTCGTGTGCCATATAGTAAGTTGGACTTGCAGTCCTTTGTCATGTCATGAATCATGATGAGTCGGAACAGAAGCCTCCCTCTCCTCAGAGGACCATACTAGCCTTGCCCTTATATGCCCTAAAGGCTAGCACTCAGCCTATCAAGAGGGCGAATTAGACGAAACCTGCGAGGGCTGCAACCCCGGTCAATGCTATGACGGGAATAAGCCCAGGCTTCACATCTGCTCCTGCGTTGTGGTTGCTGCCATTGTCATTATCGGCGTCACTGTCGTGGTCGTGGTCGTGGTCGTGGTCGTGGTCATGGTCATGGTCGCCGTCCTTGTCGTTATCGTCGTCCTTGTCCCCATCCTTGTCATCGTCCTTGTCGTCATCGACATCCTTCAAGCTATCACTGCCAACGTTCTTATCGCTGGTAATGCTTTTATCCTTGTCGGTGTCATGGTCGTTATCACGGTCGTTGTCATGATCGTTGTCATGATCGTTGTCATGGTCGTTGTCATGGTCGTTGTCATGATCGTGATCACGGTCTTTGTCATGGTCGTTGCCATGGTCGTTGTCATCGTCGCTGTCATGGTCATGGTCATGATCGTTGTCATGGTCGTTATCATGATCATCGTCATCGTCTCCATCGCAAGTCTGTCCCTTAGGGCAGCAGCCCCAGTCCCCGTCATCTTGCTGGCATTCATCAATCGTTGCGCAGCCTTTGGAAGCATTGTTTGGGCAACAGGCATAGGCTTGAGGATAGCAATTGTCGCCACACTTCTTTTCGCCAAGATCGCAGTTGTCGTCGCTATCTGGGCTTGGAGACCGGATATCCAAAGTACTTGGCCCCGTCAAAAGCTTGACAGTAGGGTCGGACATAGCTGTGCTGACATTTGTGGAGTACGGCAGACTCGGTGCTGCAAAGGCCAAGGGGGCATAGAGCGCAGGAGGGAAGTAGGCGAAGAAGCGCATTGTGTTCTTTTGTCGTTTGGAAAAAGGTTGAAAATGATAACTATAAAACTTTGGCTGATGGTCTGCGAGTTGGCTTGCAGCTGTGTAATGTATGTAATGAGCTTCAAGTTGGGATGTTCAGAAGCGAAAGAGGTCGAGTCCATGCTGCCTTTATGTAGATTTCCAGCTTCACGACGCAACCCAACTGGCACGTTTCTAAATTAAACAGCATCTGGATTTTCGAATCCTGGCCCTATCTCGGTTTAGCAGATATGGGAATCAGCAGGCGCCAGTCAATAGCTGGTTGTCAGTGGAGCAGAAGGATAGCTACCTTACTGACGAGCAGTCAAATCCATGGTCCGATCTTCAAGTCGATGGCTTTCTTCACGCCCAAAAACAGCCGCTAATACTCCAGCGCTTGCACTAACGTCGAATTTAGTCGGGCTCCCGATCTTGGCGCCGGGACGATCGTTTAGGCACGTCCGATTTTGGCTTGGCAGATGGCTATGCTAGTCACTCCCCGTGCCAGATTCCGCTCGTTTAGAATGGACCGGTGCGAGGATCGGCACAAGATTTCCGTCGTTGCAGTGGTTATATTTTTAGTGACAGGGTTATCATGAGATGTCGATTGGCTGGTCCATCATTCCAAGTCGGTGAAAACTGGTCTGAACAGACTTATTCTTCTAGCATAGAGTAGACCCGCACTCATCTTTGCGATACAAGCACTATGCAGGCCCAGCGGTTCCACCACTGGATGGCTGTGCCTTGTCAGTGTGAGTGACTTTAGTTGCATCGCCGTTGATGACTTGGAAGATCGAGGTCGCTAAGGATAGCTACTATTATTGGACCCATGGAGTTTATATGCGAAGCTAAGATTTTTGTTTAGCTTAGGTAGTGGTCGAGCCCGTGAAATGTTACGACTCTGGAATCGATTCAGATCGTGTCTCTAAGGACCAGCAGACGTATCTTGCGGCGTGAGGGAGGATGGAAACCCCGATATATTTTTGTGGTCTTTCCCCTTCTTCCTTTCCTTTATAGTATTTTCCTCTAACAAAGAACACCTCATTTGTAATCTAGCTAATATGGTTAAGCATCGATCAGAATTTCTAAGCCTATTCATGACAGACAAACTTCCTTCTTGACGTTTGCAAGCAGTATTGCTGCAGCCTTGGATCTTCAGGTGTAATGGAAACGCCGGTTGCTCGTTAGATCAAAATTGAAGTTCTCATCAAATGCATATGATTCTCCCATAATAACTTGATCTGCAGAACTATGGGGCTGAGTTGACTAGTTTAGGGGGGCAGTGCTATGCACATCGCCAAGGGTTGCACTGCGGCCTGATTGTCAGGTGACCCCAAGTCTCGAGGACCCCGCCAAAGCGATAAACATTCGTTTCAACGTTCAACTAAAACTCTAATGACTGATCCTCTGAGTGTCGCCGCGGGCGTTACTGGGTTTGTGACATTTGCGCTCCATGGCATCCGAGTGCTCCTGGAAGATCTGGACAAAATCAAAGAAGCACCCAATAATGTTTTGGAGCTCAAAGATGAGCTGAAATCGGTAGAGCGAGTGGTCGCTTCCCTGGAGTCGATCGATGACGAGGATTGGAACAATATGGACACGAATATTGCAGTAGATGCGAAGACTCTTATCGAAAGTTGTACCAAGACGTGCGAGGCTTTCAGAATCAAAGTTCAACATTGGACCCGACACTCGCTAGGGGACAAACTGTCTGTGCTCGACCGACCTTTCATCGGCTTCTTCAAAAGCTCCGAGATAGACTCCATGCAAAGAAAGCTTCAGGCCTATAAAGGCAGTATAGGATGTGTGGCTAGCCTAGCGACATTGTATGTCACGCGAATCAGCTAGCCTTCCATATGAAACTGACCAGCGCTGTACTAGGCATGGCTCTCTTAAACAGTCCCACGGCCAAGAAGCTGTAAAGGCTATCAATGCACAGCGAGAACAAGTGCTGCTTGCTCAACGGCAGGCAGAAGCGCAAGACGTGGATCTCAGCGCTCGACTTCGCGAAGTGACCATCGCGGATGATGCAGATCCAGAGGCCGAGATCGTGAGAACCCAGTTGAAACAAGAAATGAAGGCGCTGGACGCCTCTAAGGACATAATCAACGCTATATTATCAACCCTCAAAGATAATATCGCATTAGCAGAGAAGTATGACAACTCTGTGCATGTACAGTTTGGTGGAAACAACTATGGACTCATGATGGGGGTCAATTATGGACCCATGAGCAACCTCAACTTCGGGGGCAGATGACGGTAGCCTTCTCATCATTTCCTAGCCGTCTTTGTTCATTTTGATGTCATTACGTAGTGTATTCGATCGACAGTACAAAGCCATGTTGGGGGCAGCGTGATCGGACTTATCAAATCCTAGAAGCAGATCATTCATGATCAGGCAGCCCGCCTTCTTTGAACTTGCGAGCTGAATGTTTGAGGACTTCACGAAGCCTCGTATTGTAGTCTAAAATTAGTATTCAGATTGCCTGGCTTGATCGCATAAAGGCCGAACCATGCCGAAAAGAGTTCTTTGGAGCGCCGGTCAGCACCGTGAGATCATCGACGTGTCTCGCTTGGTTTTAGCTAATGAGCGTCGCAGAAGGGTGCGAGTAATCCAGCAACCGGCGTCAGGCAAACAGGGCAGGGACTAAAATCTTCAAGTCACCTTCTGCAAATGGCCATTTCTTTTGTAAGCAGCGCGCAAATTCCGCGAAGGCGTCGACCCTAAGGGTGGATCAGGCCCCCGGCGTTCACTGAATGGCCGATGACTTACGACGTTCATCAGCCTGAGGCTAGGGATCGGCGCCACGCCTTAATGCCCCAGCCGACGCCATAGCTATATCTTGTGGCGGTCGAGTCGGTCATTTAGCGGTCGCAAAGCATATACTCCAGCGTCACTCAAACTCTTTGATCAATGAGGAAAATGGCATTTCAGAAGCGGTCCCGAAAGGGTTGCCGCACATGTCGGTTCGTGAATCTACTAGCATCGAGTATATAACTTTCTCACAAACCAACAGAGCCCGACATGTCAAATGTGACGAGACCCCAGGGCGTGCAAGCGATGTGTCGATGCAAGATGGAAGTGCGAAGGATATGACGATGTCCGTCTATCCAACCTGCGGAAAGAAGATCGGAGGGTGGTGGTGTCCCCACTTACATTCCGCGAGGTCTCTGCCAGGCCCGGAGTCGCACCTGAGGAAAGACGAGGATTCGCTTTCTTCCAGCATATGACTGTACCTAGTTTGACTGGGCTTTTTGATACAAAGATCTGGACTGAGCTTGTCCTCCCTCTGAGTCATCAAGACCAAGCAGTGAGCCACGCTCTATTAGCGGTCAGCGTGCTGCACGAGGATAGCGAGATCCGGGGGGCACCACTCTCGCGGGAGAACCTGAGCCTTCGGCGCCATAAGTTTGCTCTTGCGCAGTATGGGCGCTCAATGGCGATTCTGAACGAGCGGCGGTATTCACAGGATCCACAGCTCCGTGAAATAATCCTTGTTTGCTGTCTTCTGTTCATCACATGCGACTTGATGCGAGGTCAGTATGATCTTGCTCTACTCCATATCAGACACGGTATGGCAGTCATCCAAGAGGCATCACAAGCTGAAAGAGATGACTCCGTTACTACAAAAAGTCCTGTTATGGTAAGGAAGTGCCTCGCTACGGCAATAATGCGGTTCGGTAGCCAGTGCTACTATTTCGGGATGGAACCGATCAACTTCGGCGGTATCGAAGGACATTCTTATGAGGTCCGAGAAAGACCAGCGGGGGCTCAGAGTCATTCGTTTACATTACCTCGCCTATACCATTGTACTTGAGACGGTTTTATGTCATGATGACCGGAATTCTTTCGCGCCCTATACGGACGATTTTCGAGAGATATTAGCTCTCTCGACGTAAATTGCGGACAATTTCAGAAAGAGCGAAACATCACGACCATCAGTGGTACTTGATATGATCATCAATTTGCCTCCCTACTATGTCGCCTGGAAGTGTACTGACCTCGGACTACGTCTATAGGCCTTGAAGCTTCTCGAGCTGTGGTCTCACCGTGAAGGGCTGTGGTCTCACCGTGAAGGGCTGTGGAATTCTCAATTATTGGTGATTTTCTCAAACCAAATTTAGTTTATCGATAACAATATACTTCAGCTTTGCTAGTAATATACACTGCAAGCTTCCCTGGCAGAATCAAGGATGATAATAATACAATAGGATAGATAGCAAAAAGGGCGAATCACGGAAGTTTGCCCACACCTTCATGCTGTAATATTGCGCTTTTCAGGCTTAGTGGAATTTTGTTTCGCTTCGTCAGCTGAGATAGTTAACTAAACCAGGACCGTTATAATCGCCTCATAGACTGTATTTCAGACTTACAGATATCATGTAGAAGCAGAGATCCATTCTTAAACATATTCTACAGTTGGTCGTCCTTCTACAAGATCCCAATTCTTCTGTAGTCCAAAAAGCCTTCAAATCATATAGCCTAGAAGTAATAGCTTGTCCAGTTTCAACAGCAGTTGAATGAAATCCAGCGATTCCGAAATAAACTGTTGTATCTCCTATCTCTCTAATAAGGCCTGATTGGAAGGAATCTTGCAGAGTTTCCTAATAAAAAAAGGGAACGATGATATACCCTGACACAAGTATATGGGCACTAATTGAGCCAGGAAAGTATTCCTGCAGTATTTTGATTTCCTTAAGCTCAAGAAACTTTCGGCAGTTCAGTTGGTAACAGAGGCTCGGTCGGAATGTGATCTGACGCAGGCTATCCTTTTTGGGTATTATAGTCTTTGGGAGGACGTGGATCACCTACCAGCATGAGTATGGCAAATTTTCGGGGCGCTGTGAGCTTCAACCAGCCAGAAACGATTCCCAGTGAGCTCCCGGACTTTGTAAACTGGGCTACAGTTGCGAAGTGAATCGTGGGCACTCCGCATCAAGCCCTCATCCTTATCGGCCATAATATGCTTCAAATTAACTTGGGTACAATCTGATACTGAGATTAGACCCTCCTTTCCTACACCACCCGGCCAAAAGCCTGTGTGCACTCGGCCCCATTACCATCACCCTAACAACCACCCACATTTTTATTCCTTCTCCTACACCCCCGCCATGGCATCGATCACTATCAATCTGAAATGATCATTTAGCAAGATAGCAAAAAATATCTGTATTGCGAAAGATATATAGGTTTAGATTAAAGGGCACGGGACGTATGTTAAAAATTAGCCTGTATACATGTCTTATTTTAACCCTATCAAACCAGTCTAGAATATATTGAAATATTGACTTTTTTGTATATTTAAAGATCTTATATAAATAAGAGGATCTGAAGAAGATTGGGCCTATTTTAAAGAGTATATCAATGCTGTATAGGATACATTAGACCAGACAAAGATTGATTTAATATTGAGTACGGGAAGAAGGATAGATAAATTGTATACAAACCAGGGTTATTATACAAGATATTAAGCAAGAGAAGTCTGTATATGAATCTGATTATTCACTATATCTAAATTTAGTATGATCCAATAAGGAGTAGTGGTGTAGGATATGTAACCGTGAATATACATCAGTATTTGATGGGGTAGGTGAAGAGGTATGTATACGGACTTTTGCCCCCTATCGTATGTTAATTAAAACCTGTCGACAACTAAATAACTATCAAAACTTTAATACCCAAGGCATGTTCAAGCAGATACAGCAACCATTATGCGCCAGTCAAGTATAAATCCCATGCTTTTATAATATCGGGAAGCTCACCAAGAGTCCTGAGAATGGTCCTGACCGGATGCAGTCTCGTAGTCGATGGTAACCTGATCTGTGCGTCGAATGTTTCCCATGGCAATGCCCTTGTCATGAAGCTTGTCCCGATTTCCATCGTTCTCGAGTATGTTCTCCTGACTCTCGACATCCTTGATGGTAATGTCGTTCTTGCCCTTCGCGGACCGCTTGCTTGGACCGAACGAGCCGCTGTTGAACTTGCTGCCACTGTTCTGATATTTGCTCAATAGGAGACCTTGTCCTAGTATCAGAGATGTCCTCAGTAGATCTTTGTCTGTTGCCCGGCCGAACTAGGTCCGCAGTCCCTTCTACCTCCCTGATCGTCTCAGAGCGTTCATGATGACTACTCTCTCTCTCAGAGGTTGTCAGAAGGTGACCAGCCTCTTGCGGCTCTGAGTCGCTTTCCAGGGCATCATTTGTAGACTTTGGGGTGTGCCATCCCAGCTGGGTATCCTGGCTCTCTGTCTCCGACATGGATGGGTCCATCTTTTCTATTTGGTTTTAACACTCAGTAGGGACTTTGTAGATGGATGTAAGAGTAAACGAAGGGACAGGTAAAAGTACGAACTTGTTTCGGTTGACTTACCTGTTGATAGACGGGAAAGGGATAAGTGAAAAGTGAGAGTTCAGAGTTCAGATTCCCCATCTGGGTTCACTTCTCTCAGAAGTAGCTCAGACTTATTTATTATTGTTTGTTTAGATGTTCATATCAGAGTAAGATAAGATATCAAACGGCGGCCCAGCGCGGCGTTGAGAGCTTGATTGAGTGCGAGTTGGCCTAGGGTACATTAGCTCCCGGATGAAAGCAAAGATCTCCACGATAATGATAAATTTAAAATATTTATAAGATAACTGCGCGTATTCCAGATGGAATATAATGTCCGGAGGCTACGTTGATATGATCATCTCGCCCCGGTTCAGAAATATCACAAGCTTGCATTCAGGTTGCTGTCAAAAGGGAACAGACACGGAGAATGAAATCACAACATTACATCTCATCTAACCCAGGTTCCTGGATAGGCTCGGGAGGTGCCTTGAGATTCTTCCCCTTCCCCTTTCCCTTTGGGAGTTGAGGGTTGATACTGTCGTAGATGATGGCGTAATGCTCCTCCTTGGTCAAGTGGTCGAAGGAGCCAGCCTCAGTCTTCTTTTGGAAGAACTCGGACTCCAAGGGGGCCGTATCAAAGTCGTCAGGGAGTGCTGTGGAGATGAAGACTAGAACTGGAGTTAGATGAATGGTAGAAGCAAACCACTGCCCCTTGACTTGCATTCCTCGCTCGCCGTTATCTTGGACTGGGCTGGTGAGTGGACAGCTCGACCAAGCCGGCTCGATGGAGCCGTGATGGACCGCAGGAGATGCGATTTAGACAGAGCCTTGTACATGATGAGCTAGAGACAGAAGTTTGAAGTTCATCCGATCAGTGGAGGCTCTCTGGCTGTCCCGCACGTTAAATCCCTCCAACTGGGGAATGGATGATGTCAGTCAACACAAGGTCATCTGCTCCTTCAAAGTCTGGATTGTGCTATGAGAGGCTGCGGCATGAGCGTGGCGGATTAGGCGCACTCGCCTCCATGGAACCCGCTTCCTCATGAGGGTTCAAGCAGGCTCGGATTCTCTTGTCGCGTGGTTCTGCGCGGCAACTTGGACACAAGAACCCTAAGCGGATCAGCCCAAGCACATACAATTCACGTATTCCATTTCCCTCGCCCTACATAGACCGTCTTTAGAAAATCGCCATACAATTCGGCGGACTCGAAACCCCCCCGCGCGCAATTCAACGGACTACTCGAAATGAAGAAACTCCACCTCCCCAGCCTCTCGCACATCTTCGCCAGCTCATCCAAATCGAACATCTCCCCAATCGGCACGCCCCATCCCGCCAGCAGATAATGGTGCAAATCAAACTCCGGATTCTTCGCCGGAAACACCTCAAAACTCACCGCATCCGACGCCACCGCCGCGAAGTGATTATCCCACAGGAACCTCAGCACCCGCTCGCTCTGCTCAATGCCTGCATGCTGCGGCGTGCTCTGCTGACTATACGCTTTGCGCTGCTCGGCCGACATAGCAGCCCATGTCGCCGGGAGCCCGACGCGGAGGAAGAAGATATCGCCCTGTTGGAAGGTGATGTTTGACTCGCGCGCGATCTTGATGACCTCGTCGAGGGAAATTTCATAGCGGGTGAGCGCGTTGATGGGTTTACCTTTCTTGGCGGCGTAGCGGACGTAGTCGATTAGGACGCCGCGGCCTGCGATGCCTTTCTTGGCCCAGTGACCGATACCGATGCGCGGGGAGTCAGAGTCGATGATTTCGCTTGCGGTAGTGCCGCCGTAGAACAGGCGGCGGTTGGGATCTTCGGGGATGGGGCTGGGGCGTTGTGGTGTCGGAGCCCGTCCCACTGCGAGGATTGTTGCGGGTTGAAGTGGTATTCGTCGTCGAAAGCGATGCCGGGCGCAACCCATTTGATGGTGTGCTCGAAGGGTTTGCGACCGAACCCTATGAGCTCGGAATGAATACATGGAGTCTGATGTTTCTATTTGAGGAGTATCTTACCCGGTGGTGTCAGGTTCTCGATATTCCAGTTGAGACACACGCGGTCGCCGGTCTGGATCTGGGTCTTTGCGGCGTTCGCCACTACATCGGGCGTCAGAAGACGCAGCATGCCCAGGCCTTCATCTTCTGATCCAGGTTTCCCAGGCCAATGTCGACGCTTGTCTGGGAGGTCGTCGAATTTCTCGGGCAGTAGTGGTCCAGACATGGTAACGATTGCGCCGTGGCAATGCGGGGAATTAGATGCGCGGGGATCCCAGATAATTATCTTCAACTTTCAAAGACAGGGGCCTTTTGAAGAGCTTTAGATGGCAAGACAGGACGAAAAGCTGCACAGGCCAAACGCCATTCATATAGGAACCCCCATACACCCCCCACGAAGTCGGAGTAAATGCGGGCCCCGCAGCTTGATCAGGAAATCGAGCGGCGGTTCCCTGTGGAAGAACCAAAGCTCTTGCATCACTGTGGACTAGTTAACCGGTTTATCCTGTTGATCCACTACGACACATCAAGTTCATACATGAATGGATCCTGGAATTAACAATCGACCGACGATTTGTCGATGTGAAAGTAAATCTACACGCAAAGCATAACCATAATATTTACAGGTCATTCAGGTCATCGTCGACCTTCGCATCACGCTTCGACAGGTTTGACATCTCATACTCTTCCTTTTGGCCTGACCCGGCCGACATGGCCATGGCCTGTCGGCCGGTGTCAGACGCCTCGAGGAACTCGCGCAGCCGGCGTTTTCCCTCTACTAAAGCTTGTTGCGAGGCAGCCTCGGTCATCTTCAGAATTGGGCCCCACAAGTTGAGCTGGTAGGTGACGTAGGCACCAACAGCACACACGAACAGTAGGAAGAAGTATGCAGGGTTGCGGAGGACTGGGAGGGAAAAGTCAGTGATAAAGAATTAGAGGCTAGTGGACATGAACAGCAGAAACATACCGGCGATGATTTCATTCCATCCCAGGGCGAGAAGGATACCATAGAAATAAAGAGGCACCTGAGTGATACCACCGATGGCGCTGCGTTTTGCTTCGACGTAAACACCATCGGCAGCCTTCTTAAAGCGAACGGTGAGTTCTTGGCGCTTCGCATCGCCTAGAATCGTGGTTTCCTCTTCGAGGCTCTTGCCCTCGTCATCGTCGACCCCTCCAATAGGGGCCAGATCTTCTTCGTCTGCCGTTGTGGCCGAGCTTGGGGTATGCCCAATCCAGGTCTCAAGCGGAGGCGGCGCAGATGTCTTATCCAGACGGAAGCGAGACAGAAGAGGGATGAGTGTCAGTGTTGACTCGCGGGCACGGGTATATATGCCTTCAATGTCGTCTGTCGGCCGCCAGATGCGCGGGACACCTCCTCATCATACCGGAATTTGTCCTCAAAGTTCTCGCGCAGTTTCAACAGAATGTTACCTTCAGTCATTTCCTCGTCGATTTTAGCACGCAAGACACCCCAAGACTTTCGGCGAAGACGCCAAAGCCCGACATCGACCTCTTCCAGGCTAGCATCGAAGCTGCTAGCCCGTTCCGTGAAACGGCGCTCCGCGTCGAGCACGGTGTCGGCAAATACATCCCACACTCGATCCCAGAAGGCCTTCTCGGTAGGCTTGTCGCCGCTCTCGGGGGCGCCGCTACCGCTGCGGCCCGAGCCAAGATTATTGAACTCGAGGCCAATGGATTCACCCAAGCGAGACTGCACCCATCGCTCCACACGGCTGGCAAGGCGTCGCATCTCGTCGCGGCGCAAACGAGCGCTCACTTCGGACAGTTCTTTCTCGTACAGCTTTAGTTCTTGCTTGTAGTTGCTCCAACTGGCACCCTCGACCAAGGTAGATCGAGCAACCTGCTCAAACTTCTCCAGGGCGGCCTTGGCCTCTTGGCTGACAATTTCGGCAAAGTCGTAGCTTCCGCCCTTCTTCTGGCCGGACTTGACAGCATTGGTGACCGAGTCACTAAACTCACTGATACCCGACTTGTGTGCCGCTGAAAGCTGACCATGGAAGAGGGCCTTCAGGCGAGTATCAACCTTGCCTTCCAGCTCCGCCTTCTTACGCTGGTAGACGCCCTTGTGGTAGCGGCTAGCTTCAGTCTCAAATCCCTTCAAGGTCTTGGAGCGCGCGCCTCGCATAGCGGCACCTAGGCCTCCCAGAACCGCTGGGGTGCCCGATCGGACAGCTTCATTCTGCTTATCTTCAAAGGCAACAATTGCTTCATCAAAGCCAATCATGACCTCGCGCAGAATTTCATCACAACGGAACTGAGCAAGAAGCTCCTGCTGGGTCGGTAGATCGAGATCCTTGTTGTTCACAATTTGGTCCCAGATTCCCTCTGCGTAGTGCGAGAATCCATCGGCTGGGATGCGGCGATGGTACTCAGGCAAGAAAACACCTTCCTCCGAGAATTCGCCCTTGAGTGCATCTCTCCTGGGGTCCCGGCGCCCTTCGCGGAAGCGCAGCGCCAGCTTGTTAGCCTCCGACTTGAATTGCTCGGGCTGGTAGCTCTTGTGAGGAAGGCCGTAGAATGCGAAATCGAAGTAATCGTGGATAGTCGAGTTCTCCAATCCTGGTGGCTTAGAGATCGTTGACCAAAGTCGGCCCAGGTCTTCAAGAAGTGTCGTTTGGAGGTTCTTAAGGGGGGGTTGTACCAATGAAATCACGCAGTACGAAGAACAGGAGGGATCGGTGGGTGGTGCTGCAATTGTGTTAGCATCCAGTTCGCGAGAGGGAAAGGGGCCCAGTGGATGCGTACGTCTTGTCCTTCAAGAATAATTGCAAGTTCACCTCAAAGACGGTCTTCAGGAGACCCATGTTCGCTCCCTGATACAACCCCACTTGGTGCTCCCAGATATTAACAATAAGGACCTCGCTGGTCGCGAGGGCGAACAAAGCACTTTTGCGCTCGAAGTCCTGGTCTTCGCCGCGCTCACGACCATCGGTACCCTCAACGTCCATTACCAAGATATTATCTGCCATACGGTGTCCATCGCCGGAAGCGGCCTCCCCTGCCTCTTGTTCTTAGATAGCCAGATACCCTTGGTAGTCTGCCTCCGCTCCAGCTCCGACATAACAGAAAACTGAGTCCCGAAGAGATGGTTCAGCAAGGTACTCTTGCCAGTTGACTGTGAACCGAACACAGAGATGAGGTGGTAGTTGAATCCGGCGGAGGTGACATCTTCGATGGAGAGGTATTTGGATAGGTTCGCACTGCAGCGCCATTGTCAGTATTAAGCAAGCGCATAGGCTGCAAGCTGCACGGGAGGTTGCAGGGCCAGATGTAGGTGAGGAACGGCGTAGTCGTACTTGAACTCCTTATTCTCGTCAATGACCTGCACGCCATGCTCGTAGGCGGCGGCGTCGCCCTGATCGGCGGTAGCAAAGTGACCGTTTGCCATGACAGGAGGGGCGGTCGGGTTCCTGTTTAGACCTGACGGACGTTCAGCCATCTTTCAATGTTGGAGTCCCAGTGAAGTGGTGGGGACAGATCGCCGTAGAGGTGGCGAGAGAAAGAGCGGGCTAGGAGGTTGGGGGAAAGGCGGATCATGCACGGTGCGCTTGTGCTCCAAAAGGGCGGGTCGATCACACGATGCACGATGACCCGAGGCTCCGTACAGTTAAGGTTGCTCCGTTTCTAGAAAGTCTGGGAAAATCGTGGTATGCGTGAACGTTCAAAGTTGGGGGTTTTCAACCTCAGCTTGTTGCTGGGGACCCCTTGTTACAGTGAAAAAACAATTACATAACCCCCTATTTAAGTACCTAGGTAGGTAACCCAGGGTTCCCCAGGGTCCAGGCCTCAGTCCAAGCATCATCCAGTTCTACTGAGCTTAGTCTGTGCATTACTATGTGGATATCTTGAAAGACCGTGACAAAACAAGAATATTCGTGGAATCCTATCCACACTTGTCCCCGTCCCGCATGCTTTAAATCTGGCAAGACTGTCGAACCGATTCGAATTCTAACCGTGGAAGGTTGGTCATGCCTGCTGCCCGTGACCTTCCAGACATGAACCTAACGGATCAAAATCCACACTGGCAAGAATATCCACTGAGAAATGGTATTTCCCTGTCGGCTGACCCGTGTGACTGCCCGTGACTCCAGTTTCGGCCGTGTTAGCTCCTAGAGTATTGCCTAAAGACTCATTGAAGCCGACAGCAGTAGATGCGCTATCGAGGTCAGATGTAGGAGGCGTGGATATATGGCCTGGGGCTGTTTCGAAAGCATTTTTATTTGGCCCCATCCTCGGGATCTCAGGTTCCTGCTCATGGTTCTGTCCCTGCAGAGCCTTCAAGGACTCGTAGGAACAACCGAGGTTGATCCGAAGTAAGAAATGGTTAACTATTTTCCAAGAGCAGCCTTGGCTCCACTCCTTGGTGCGATTGTCAAAGACCCAAGAAAGTTGGCCGGCTCCAGCAGCGACAGAGCCACCACTTTCGTTAGAAGCCTTTCGGAGGATCGCGAGCACTTCTCGAAGTAGCTCCCAGTCCCTTGCGTCCTGCTTCTTTGCTATATAGGATTTTTTTTCCCAAGTAACCATGCAAATGAACGATTAGAAGCATGCCCATGGTGAAAGCCATCGAATCCTTTATTCGTATCCTCAAGTCATCAAACTATTCCAATGGGTTGAGTCTTCTTTATCATGCTTTTGCTCATTGCTACATCGTCTTCAATGACACATGCTCATTGGAAGATCATTGTCAAGGCTTTGGATTAGAGTCGAATTTTAATACATTTCACGGGATGAGGGGAGAAGATATAAAAAGCTACGTCTCCAATACATAGCAGTAGAGATACATGGTCAAGATATCAAGTGAAAACTCCGGGAAACACCCGGTTCCTTGAGCCGATTCGATAGAGTCCCGCGCTGTTCGATAATAATATGGGTGGCAGACAAACAAGCAAGAAAAGAAAGGGTGTCATACAAGAATTTTGCCAAGATGGCCTGGTGTCCAGAAAGCGATGAAACGCATTCTTACTCCAGAACACGGGTGATCAGACCAGTGGCAACGGTACGACCACCCTCACGGATGTTGAAGCGCTGACCGGCCTCAGCAGCAACGGGGCGGTGAGTGGCAAGGACCATTTCAACGTTGTCTCCAGGCTGGACACGCTTGGACTGGTCCTCGTCGGGGAAGGTGAGGTCACCGGGCTCATCTATTGTGATTGTTAGTCTAAATTGGGTGCTCAAGTTCCTTCAGTATATCCAAACTCACCAGCAGTACGCAGGTAGACCTGGGGACGGTAGTTGGTACCGAAACCAGTGCGGCGGCCACCCTCAGCCTCGGTCAGAACGTACATGGAGACCATGAACTTCTTGGCGGCCTTGGTGGAGTTGGGCACAGCAACGACCATACCACGGCGGACATCCTCGCGGCGGATACCACGGAGGAGCAGACCGGAGTTGTCACCAGCACGGGACTCGTCACAGCTCTTCTTGAAGGTCTCAATGTCGGTGACCTTGGTCTTGATTGGGGTATCAGAGCCTCCAACAATCTCAACCTCGGTATCCTTCTTCAGAAGACCACGCTCGACACGACCAGAGACAACAGTACCACGGCCGGGAATGGAGAAGACTTCCTCGACAGACATGAGGAATGGCTTGTCCAAGTCACGCTCGGGAGTGGGGATCCAAGTGTCAACGGCGTTCATCAGATCGGCGATACGCTCGCTACCAATGTCGGGACGGCGGTCCTCCAGAGCGCAAAGAGCGGAACCGAAGATGATAGGGGTTTCCTCGCCCTCGAATCCGTAGGTGGAGAGCAGTTCGCGCATCTCAAGCTCGACAAGCTCCAACATCTCAGGGTCCTCGACAGCGTCGACCTTGTTGACGAAGACGACAATCTTCTGAACACCGACCTGACGGGCCAGCAGCAAGTGCTCACGGGTCTGGGGCCTAATAAATCAACTCATGTAAGCGCAATTCTGCAACTGTGCTGTGTGGACGTTCTTACATCTGACCATCAGAGGCGGCTACAACGACAATAGCACCGTCCATGTTAGCAGCACCAGTAATCATGTTCTTAATGTAATCGGCGTGACCAGGACAATCGACATGGGCATAGTGACGACTCTCGGTCTGGAACTCAATGTGGGCGGAGGAGATGGTGATACCACGCTTGCGCTCCTCAGGAGCCTTGTCAATGGCACCGTAATCCAGGAAGCTGGCAAGACCCTTGGAGGCTTGATGTTTGGTGATAGCGGCAGTCAGGGTGGTCTGAGGAGAGGACAGTTAGAGCCACGGATTATTCGGGACTTGGAGGCAATTCGATGCAAACCTTGCCGTGGTCGACGTGACCGATAGTTCCAATGTTAACATGGGGCTTGGTACGCTCGAAAGCAGTAGCCAATCCACGCAGAGCAGTTTTGTTGCTGGCGAAAACGTGGTGGACGGGGTTGACGGCGCGCGGGCGCAGGGCAGATGCCCGGCTGGAGCGTGCCAGAATGTTCAGGGAACGGGAGATGCTGGACATCTTGAGAATGGGAAAGGCAAAAAAAACGCGATAGAAAAAGAAAGGACGAAGTAAAGTCGATGGAACTAACAGTCGAAGGAGAACAACATCCAATTTTTCCGGACCGGGGACCAGGAGTGCTTAGTCATGTTCCGACCAATCAAGAGCTCTCAATTGCGGAAAGTCTAGGGAGGAAAGTATATCGTGTCTAACCTACGGATCTCTAGATGGAGAATATGCTACCCTTGCTGGTCTACAGAAAGAGTATCTTTCATCAATTGGCCAAGAGCCACTATAAATTAGAAATTAGCCCTTGGTATTGAGCTATCGTCAGGAGATATATACTCTCGGCATTGAGACTCGACTTCGAATGACACAGCTCGGTACAACAAGCTTAGGAGGCCTCCTTCTGTACAGTGATCTTGACCTGTTTTCCTGGCTCGCCTTCCATAGCCTTAATTTGGGTACCGCCAGCCTCTCTGACAGTATCCAAAACGCCCTGCATCACTTGCTTGATCTCCTCGACTGTCGGTGCACGCTTATGCTTCTTCCGAGTCAGGAGGATCTCCACCCTGCGGCCTTTCTCAACGAAACTCGCCAACTGTCGAAGTCGGTGCTGGAGATCGTGCGCATCTATAGCCCAATTGAACTCCATTTCCTTCAAAAGTTTCTTGGAGGCTTTGGCAGCCTTCTCTTTCGCCTTCTCTCGGGCCTTGTATTCCAGCTTGTTGAGGATTTTGCAGATTGGCGGATTGTCTCCTTCTCCGGGAGAGACTTGGACAAGAAAGTACTTTGAGCGATCGAAGGAGTTCAGTATGACGGAAAGCCTCTCTGGTGCTTCCAGGTCGCCCGCTGCATCTACCAGCTGCACCCATGGAGCTTTAATTGCTTCATCTGCGATGGGCATCTTAGATTGGGGAGTTTGTGAGCCAGCAAGTCTGATTGATTGTTGAGGCAGCCGCGATGATAAGCCATTTTGGTATATATGGGTTCCCAGGAAACCGACTTGGGGTTGGCGAAGAGGCGTGAGGAAGGTCCGGCGCAAGGCCTGCGCGGTGGACATGAGGCCACGGATGTGATGCATTTTGTAAGGTGCAGCGAGGAAAGAGGGACAGATCGAGGAGTAATGCCGTAGCTTTTATCGGCGTATATGACAATGCCGGTATACCTGACAGTGCCGTCACTGGTAGGACACGCTCGTGGCTGTAGGCAGGGTTCGTGATGCTGGTATTGGATAGTTGAGGACGTGCGGAGTTGATGCACGGCGGAACCGACCGCATCGAGTAATTTGACGCCACCTGCGCCACAGTCCGCACCGAAACCCTGAGTCTCCTTAACTCCCCTGATTTTCTTCATTCTTTCGTATCACCTTTCGACATATCCGCCATTTCCTTGTTGGATTAATTCCTGACGTCCAGAGGATCAATGGTTCGTGGGCTTGCACCTCTCTTCTTTTAGTCCTTCCGCCATCCGATTTCGTTTCCTTTCGTGGTGATCCGCGCCAATTTGTTCTTTATCGCGTCGCCGATTGCTCGCATGTCGACTGGAGTCGACAATCAAAAAACGCCCAATCAGTCGCTTGATCAAAGTACAGCAGCTCGTCACCGCTCCTTTTCGCGGAGCACCGGATCGTCTTCCCTGCTGTCAACCAAGCCCAGTCGGATATTCGACAAGCAGTCCTCCACAATGGGGCAAAATCAAAGGTCGCGTTTTATTAAAACTGGTGCGATTATCGCCTTCGTTATTATGGCACTGCTTTGGCTGTCACCTTCCAGCTCAACCGTACCTAGTTTCACGCAAGGTAAGAACAGCTGATTGCGAAGATTCCTTCCCCAGAGACTAAGTCAGACAGAACAAGCGCCTTCTCCCTCCGGAGTTTCTACCAAATGTACCAAACCTCATGATCCCTCCAAGCCTCTTATTCAATATGCTCTCATGATTGATGCCGGAAGTACCGGCTCTCGTATTCATGTCTACCGTTTTAACAACTGCGGTCCCACCCCCGAACTGGAAAATGAAGTCTTTGAGCAGACCAAGAAGATCGAGGGCAAGAGCTCGGGTCTCAGCGCCTACAAGGAAGATGCCGAGGGCGCTGCCCACAGTCTGGATCCTTTGATGGAAGTTGCGCTGGCAAGTGTTCCCGACGAGTACAAGTCTTGCACCCCAATTGATGTCAAGGCCACCGCCGGTCTGCGTCTGTTGGGTCCAGAGATGAGCAACAAGATTTTGGAAGCCGTTCGTCACCGTCTGGAAACTGCTTATCCCTTCCCTGTTGTTTCCAAGGAGAAGGGCGGTGTTCAGATCATGGACGGTAAGGATGAGGGTGTCTATGCCTGGATCACAACCAACTACCTCCTGGGCAAGATCGGTGGCCCCGACGAGAACCCCACTGCTGCTGTCTTCGATCTGGGTGGTGGCTCAACTCAGGTCGTCTTTCAGCCTACCTTCCCCAAGAGTCCATCTGGAGGAATGCCCGACCATCTGTCCGAGGGTGACCATAAGTACGACCTCAAGTTCGGTGGCCGTGAGTTCGAGCTCTACCAGCACTCCCACCTGGGCTACGGTCTAATGTCTGCTCGTGAATCTATGCACCGTGCTGTCTTGGAGGCTATGCTGAAAAACAGCCCAGATGATCTGTCTTGGCTCAAGCGACCTATCCCCAACCCCTGCATTGGCCCCAACATGAAGAAGGAGGGTGTTACTGTTAAGTTTGCGGGGGATCCCTTGGCTCCCGAGGTTACTGTTACTATGGTTGGTCCTGTCGACTCATCTGCTGCTCCGCAGTGCCGCGCCCTTGCGGAGAAAATCTTGAAGAAGGATGCTGAGTGCAAGCTTGCTCCTTGCTCCTTCAACGGCGTCCACCAGCCGTCTCTCGAGAAGACTTTCGCCCGCGAGGACGTTTACATCTTCTCCTACTTCTTTGATCGCACCGAGCCCCTAGGTATGCCGTCCTCTTTCACTTTGGAAGAGTTGCACGACCTCACATCTACTGTCTGTGCTGGTGCGGAGAGCTGGAACGTCTTCCAGAGCGTTCCCAACGCGATCAAGGAGTTGAATGACCGCCCTGAATGGTGCATGGACCTCAACTTCATGCTTGGTCTGCTGCATACTGGATACGAGATGCCCATGTCTCGTGAGGTTAAGATCGCCAAGAAGATCAAGAACAATGAGCTGGGCTGGTGTCTTGGTGCTAGGTAAGTCCCTTATCTTCTCTGCTGTCATTAATCATGTTCTAATATTTCTATAGTTTGCCTCTACTCAGCCAGGAGTCTGGCTGGACGTGCCGCATCAAGGAGGTCTCATAGATCCTGTTTCGGTGCCGTGTTCGACACTAGTCATTTTTTAATCATATGGTTCTACCATACTGTGATGGGTTCATGCATATATATATAGATACGCGATATTTCTCTTTCTTCTCTTCGGTGTCCCAGGTTAGACTTTTGTGGCCTTTTTTCCTGTATGGAAGTGATGGTATGCATAAAATTGTACGAATTTTTATGTCACGGTTATCTTCTGCTGTTATAATAATGATTTTTTATAGTAGTATTTTGAACTGAATCATATCACTGATACCGAACTTGGAGCTGGCCGAACTTGACGTCGCATTTTCATTGACGGTAAGTGAGCTTTTGCGAGGAATGCATGGTTTCTGCTGACCTCAATGGCCGGCAATCAAGAATGTCATCCGGACTACTCATGTTGGTTATCCCAGATGGAATAACCGCTGTCATTCGAACACACCCAAACACTTTGTCTTTGCGGGAATTGGAGGGGAAGCAGTGACGGCTAGATAAATTCCTAGTGTCCTCTTTCATCCTTGTTCTTTTTTTTCCAATCTTCTTTTGCGCTTGTTCTAGGATTGTAGGAAGAGTGCTACCCTGGATGAATTTCTCTTTTCTGTACTTTTTTTTTTTTGGACCATTTTTGCTCACGAATCTCGATAATGAATAATAATTCGCATTCGTCATTTTGGACTCGGAAACCATTTGACTCTCAGAGCCTAGTTAAAGTTAACGTTATCTCCGCTGTGTTTTTACACTTCCTCAATCGACGGTTTGACCATGTCTTCATCATGATCCTTTCCGCCCATGAGATGGCTCAAAATATCAGAGTCTTGCTCACTGGAACGATTCGCCTGGTTCGCCGGTATTTCATTTGAGTCACCATCCAATTGAGCATTCTTGTCTGCACCATCAGAATTCTGCCCATCACCACTCTTTTCTTCGAGCACGCCTAGGCCAAGATTCTGCGTAGCTGTTAGCAAATCTCCTGTCTTGTAGTACGGACGTAAAAAGATGCAACCCTACCATTTCGATGTAATCACTTCCTTCGTCGGCGTTATCTAAAACCAGGTTCTGCCCATGGCCCTCAGCAATCTCCTTCTCCAGCTGTTCGTTTGCGCTCTGGATCTGTGGGAGAAACGCTGACAAGCGAGCCATCAAATCCGAGTTTACATTTGGGGCGGTAATTCGTGGTTTGCGACGACCAGTGATACTTGGTATTGATGGCCTCTGTGTAGAAGATGCGCCTTCAGCTGACCGTTCCTGGTAGGTGTCTTCGTCTTCATCTTCGGAGGATTCTTCGCTTTCGCTATCTGAAGAGCCGGAAGACGAGGTTGGGTCGTCATCGTCCGAAGAGGCATTTGGGGGGATGCGTGGGTTATGTGTGAGGGTGCGATTGGTTGCACTCATATTGATCGCCGTGATTGGGGCTGTCTGAAGTCAAGCGTCTCCTCGGGCTTCTCAGAGGCGGTTCTCGGGACAATGTTATTTGCGGCGTCTGATGTTGGCTGCGGTTGTGTGATGCACAAAACTCCTTCACTCTCCAGCGCAGAGTATATGTGTTGATATAATTCCTGATTGTTTCGACAGATCGTAGGAGAGGACGCTGTCGCAAGATGATTAAAGTTTCATGCTCTGAAGTCCAAGTCGGCCAGGTTCAACTTTTTTGGAGGATACCGATAGCGATAAGATAGCGATAAGATAAAGGGCTACAGATCGACCTCTCCGATATTTGGTATAACTGCACAAGTTATCAGATAAAAACTATGCAAAGGTACCCTGTAATTGTTTCTTGACATATGCATAGCAATGGCATAAGGTATCATTCCCGACTAATCGTACACTATTATTACACATGAAGAATACCTGGATTTTGGTCGCCGTTCATGCTCAACGGCTTCGACTTCTCCTGCGAATCGGGCTACGTCTCCGGCTGCGGCTGCGACTGCGACTGCGTCGACTGTAGCTCCTCCGGCGGCTGCGGCTCCTTCTCCGGCTAGGGCTGCGTCGCCGGCTTCGACTTCTTCGGCGGGTGGGGCTAGGCCGGCGCGTCCGTCGATCATCAGATTCCAGAGGCGAGTCGGCGTGGCCGTCTGTAGTTTCCACTTTGCTTTCCTTCTTATGCTCTCGAGATGATTCTTTCTCCTCGGACCCTGGCATGTATCGATCCAATTCGCCACCACGTAATCTCTCTGGGGATCGCACTCTACGACGAGGCGACTTACTGCGGTTGCTGGTAGCTGGAACATAGCGATCGATGTCTAGCGAAACAGGAGATGGACGCCGGGTGCGCGAAGTGCGGCGAGATCGCGAGCGTCTCCGTAAAATAGGTGATCGAGATTTGGAGCGATTGTCGCGGCCACGGGGACGAGAACGTGAGCGCCGACTTCGGGAGTGCCGACGAATAGGCGAAGGGGAGTAGCGCGAGCGTTGGGGACGGTCATCGTCTCGATCGCGGTCTTTGCTTCTTTCACGACTGCGATCACGACTGCGATCACGACGACGACGGTCGTCGCGGTCACGCGATCTAGAGCGGTCCCGGTCTCTATCTCGAGCGCGGCCGATTGATCGGCTGCGACTGCGGCGAGGTCGGTAGCTGCGATCATCTCGGAAGTCACGGTATCCACGACGATCCTCCATATCACGGTCTCTATGTCTCATAGAAGAATCCCTACGACGGTCTGGATCATAACGAGACCCGCGTCGGCGACGAGAGTAGCTGCGGCTGCGGCTGCGGCTGCGACTACGGCTGCGAGAGCGATAACGAGGGCGCTCCCACCGATCGGACATCGAGCCACGACGCCTGGAGTCGCGGCTGTGATTCCTGGTAGAGGTCTTAGTATCAGAAACACCTCTTCCTTGGTGTGCTGTAGACGGTGGCGGCTTGAGCCCGTTCTCGATAGCCTCGGCTTCTTCGAAGTCGAATTCAGGTTTCATGCGAGCTTTAGCAGCATGTTCTTCGGCGTCTTTGAGGAGCAACTGCAAGGCTGCCTCTTCAAGGGACTTTTCGTCCACAGGCGGGGCTGGGGCAGGAGTCGGGTCTTTGGATACGGCTGGCTTCTCCCTCTTTGAATCACGACCGCGGGGAGAGAGTCCACGCTCAGAGCGATACGCTGGCGAACGGTCACGGTACCTGTCACGATCTCTAGTCCTGCTTCGATCACGGGTCCGACTCCGGTCTCGATCCCAATCGCGATACCGCTCTCGGTCCTCTCTTCTCCGTCGTTCATACCGCTCCTCACGCTCTCGCTCTCGTTGGTCATCAATAGCCCGTTGTTCTTCACGGAGTCTTTCGCGCTCGGCCCGCCGCTCCTCATCGATTTGTTTCCTTCGTGCTCTTTCTTCTTCCTCCTTTTTTCGCTCTGCCTCCCGTTTCTTCCGTTGCTCCTCGGCCTTGACCCGTCTCTCTTCGTCTTCAATTTCTTGTTGTTTGCGTAATTCTTCGCGCCAGACCTTATCACGTTCCTCGCGTTTGGCCTTGACATGCTCTTCGTAGTCTTGGTCTGTTTTGTTACCAGCTTGTTCTTCCCTTGCGGCGGCTTCATCGCCAATTTCCTGGCGACGAATCGCGCGAACAGACTCGAGGATTGAAGCTAGGTGCTTTTGAGTGAGCTCGTCAATGGAGCGTTCGGCAGTCTTGTAGACATCACTTCGGTCGACAGCACCTTCGATTAGCGTTGCGGCCTTCCCTCTCTCGCGTGATAGATGTGCCGGTTCGCGCTCGATCTCCGCTTCTGCTACGGCAAGCAGTTCACTGAGGAATTTGGTTTTTGTGTCCTGAGGTAGACATTAGACATTCAGATCAAAAGATAATTCACATGATAAAGCCACATACCCCGTCATTAAACTCAGCCCATATTGCCCTTCTCATATTGTCGTAACCGCCCTTCTTCTTGAATGCGACAAGGAGGTTGTTGATGTCTGCATGCTGCGCCGCAGACAGGGGCAGGTCATCAGTCTTAAATTTCTTGTTCTTGAGAGACTCAATAGTAAGTGCTGGCCTCTTTGGGCTAGCTGAAATGTCGTCCATGACCTCGTCGGAGGCCATCGTTGGACAGGGCGCGACAAGAAAGAAATCAATGCAAGGTATGGACGCGATAAGCGATAACTGGGGGTGTTGTCGGAGGAAGTTTGTTCCGTGATTTGGAACTGCGGGCGTCTGATTTGCTTTGCTTCCGACCTCCTGCTTTTACCCCAGTGCGACCTCCCACCCCGACACCATCCCCATACCGACCACGGGCGACACGAACTGCGACCGCGCAGAGTCCTGAACTAAAACATTTTGTCAGGACACGTCGGATCTTCTTTCCATTCACCAATCCGCTCACAACCGACCGCAATCATGGTCCACAAGGTGCTCTTCTGGAGCGGCTTTGGTGCGTACCACCTCTGCCCGAATTACCTTAATCTTGATCAATTGGCGGTCTACACAATGCCAATTTCAAGTTGAAAGGAACTTTAGCCGGGCAATGAGCTAACATTCGTCGCGTGCCCACAGGTATCGCCGTCCGCCTTTGGCAACTCGGAATCGAGATGCGTCCTCTTCTCGCCAAGGAATCCCTCTGGGTCTACCCTCTTTTCGCCGGTGTTGGTGGCAGCTTCGGATACTGGATGCAGGGCGTTGAGAGCCGACAGCTGAAGATCCTCGCACAGCGCCGGGAGGCTATCCTCGAGAAGCGTCGACGAAGGGACGAACGCGAAGGCCTCAAGCTTGACGAAGGTGCTGTCCTCGCTGCTACATCATAAATCAAGGTTTCAAAATATGATGAAGGGGGCGAGCTATAAGCATTGCGTTTTGTATTCTCTTTTTTGTACCAAAATTCAACGGTCTGATATCGGCCTCCATTTTGAGGATCGCGCGGGCGATGTATCCGACAGCGATTGTGCTATTGAATATGAAGATTTTTTTTTTCTGAGTTAGATTTCCGGTTAGTGTCTTCCTCCTTTGTCACGAATTGCACCAATTGCTCGCCCCTGTCACGGTCATATTGCGCCTAGGACCCCCAAAGCGACGTCATAGAAAATTGCTGCAGTATGCTTGCCGAGCTTCTGATATCGCATCAAGATCACTAGAGACAATGATTTTGGCGGCAGTAGGATATATGAGGACGATCAGACAATGCATTAAGATCTGATTGGCGTACGACAGTATATAATTGGATGCTAATGTACAAGGGTATCCAATATGATCTCTATCATGTATATCCCTCATATAACTGGCCCAGACATCGAAGTCCGTTCGATCGTAAACTGGAGAGAAACCTCCCATTTCTGGCCTCCGGTGCCATATCCCCCACCAAGTCTGTTCCGAATCAAGCTAGAAATCTTCTCTCGGAGACGAGCAATGTTATCTTCGTTTCCAGAAACGCGAACTTTGAGGTTCGCCATGCACAGGCCATAATGGACCTGCCAGAATCGCGCATCATCAACACCAAATACAGAAGGCTCAGCCTCGATATCCTTGATGACATCTGACACTCCTGGGCCCGAATAAGACATGAGAAGCATTGAACCTAATGTTTTCACAAGACGCACTCCCAGCGCGCACATGGCTACAGCAATAGTTCCAGATAAGAGCTTGTCAAGCCAGTCATAGATCCGAATCGACACCAATGGCAAAAGCAGAAGAAGAGCAGAGCATGAGAGCGTCAGAAAGTGAGTCGGGTTGCTGAGAACCGAGGGGAGAGACTCTATGTATCCGAACCGCATGGCCTTCCCAATTCGAGCATGGTTCTTGAGTCCAATCGCCGACACAAGAGTCGAGGCGATGGCCAAAACAGCAGTCACATCCACACTTCCAAGAGAAACGCGATCATGCTCATGCTCATGGTGGGGTTCATGGCCTGCCTTCTCCAGGAAATGCTGCAGGTTGTGGGAGATCAAATCCAGGCCCATGAACAGCAGCAATACACACATGGCGAAACCAGCGAGTACTTCGGCCCGCTCCAATCCAAACGGATGGCGTATGCTAGATCGCCTCCAGACCTCAAAGTTTCCAAGCACATCTACCACCACGCAGAGAAGAGCACCCAAAGAGTCAAAAAGGATTAGATGCGACAAGGCTGTCATAGCTAACGAGCCATGGGCTGTCCAAAGTGTGTATGCGGCGACGAACATGTGGCATAGAGACCACCAGAAGCGTGTTTTCTGTTCTTTCGACATGCTTGACCGGCACTCTTTGAGTGTTGGAATTGGGAGAGAATTGGGTAGAGCCAATGGCGCGCGTGGCGGAGGCTCCAGAAAGATCTGGTGGGAGATACTACTGTGCTTGTATTTGTGACCACGGCGCTGTCCAATATTCTGATTATGAAAACGTTAGAATCAGTATTGTCTGAAAATTCAGTCAATGGGATAATATGCTTACCGATTTGACCACTGGGCCTTTTGCCATCACCGTGGTATCGAAGTTGAAGGGCCCCGCGGTGGCAGTATCAACCGAGCCATTCTTCGCGTCTGAAAGCCCTGGGCTCAAACTGAATGATGATTTTGTTGGACTAAGGCGGTCCTGGCCTTTGGCATCGAGCGGAATACTCCTGGTGAAAGTTTCTCGCAGTGGCGACAAGGAGTCTCGATCGATAGGCACGCCTGGGCTCCGCGAAACATGATGGGCGCCGTCGTCCGATGGCGGAGTCGGGGTGCGAGGAGGGATAGGAAGCGGTATACTGGAAGCCATCACGGAAGTCCCGTGAAGTCTTTTCCGCCAAGAGAGACGGAGGGAAACAAGGGTTGGCGTTGCGCGCTGAAAAAGGAGATCCATCAACCTTGGTAGATCAGGAGATAGCGGAGATCGCTGCCATATCTCTCAGGTGTCTATCAAGAGACATTAGCGGTTTCAAATGCGATCCCTTGTCGCGTGTCTTAGTATCTTGGGGACCTTTCTCGTTGAATGGTTCCCAATGTGAATGTAACAGTTGTCAGTAAACAAGAAGCAGTTGTGTTCTCCATGGGATGTCGGTGCAACCGTTCATCTTCGTTGGCGCTACTGGCATTAGGAGTACCAGACCTAGATATGTATATAGCGCAGTTGGTGTGTAAACTTGGTGCAATGTAACTCCCGCAAGCTATACATCGGAGTTGAATGATAAAGCCAAAACAATGATATCTCCAAGGGCATCTCTCAGCACATATTTTTTTTTCAGAGATTCCAGGTGTATTCTTCCAGAAGCTTTCTATAGTTAGTTAACTAGTCCTAGTGGCCTGTCATATCAGGTGTCGATCCAACGCGGAAAGGGCGGGGGCCGAGTCCGTGTCGAGTACATCATCAACTCCCGCTTCCCCGTTACTTTTACTACCCTCATCCTCGTCATTCATTGTCGCTACTTGGACTTTCTTTTGATTCAGCCAGATAAAGATTTTAGGCGTGCATACTCCCATCGCTCCTTGGTATCACTTCTTCTCGAGATGCGTACCGATTCGTTTTGAGGGAAGACAACTGATGTCAGTTAATCCGCGGCATCGATGGATAACCGCGGTTCCTTCTTTTTTCTTCTGCTGGTGTTCTACCTCCTGCTCAGCTCGCAGTCTCGACCGCCGTTGATTGACGAAGAACATGAACGGGAACGAGAGCTTGACCGCGAGCGACATGCGCTTTCACGACTGAATGAGTCGAAGTATGGCGACTTTGACCCGCCGGCGGATCACTGGCTACCGTTCTTAGGATTTAGGAAGAATGACAGTTATGCCTGGGAGTTGTTACAAAATGTCCAGGACCGCGCGCGACATCAGCTAAAATCGATCCTTTCGAGCTCTGGCCTCGACCCTCCAATAGGCCTCGATAGTCCTGATAGCCATTCAGCTCTCAACCTGACAAAATTGTTCCTGCCAGTCTACCATAACACAACGGGAAAATTACGTGGAGAGTGGGTTCGACGGGACAAGGGTGTACAGCGAAGGGTTCCTCTTAATACCACCGCTATCGCTCAGGAGCATGAATACTTTACCCATGAGTTCAGTTCAAACATCACGGGCAGTGCAGGCACCTTCTACTTCGACCTGGAAGAGGGCGGAGGTGAAGAGGTCCGGGTGGGACACGGAATTGCTCGAGAAATTAGAGCTAGTGTCACCGTCGAGAGCGATGATTTTTGGGGAAACACCTGGTACTTATCGCTCTATGGAGTACATTACCCCGAGACTGGAGGGATTATCCTAAGCACTTCTAGTGAGAAGTTTGGCGGCATTTTTTCATTACCGCATTTTGCTCTGTCTCCTGACACCTACGAACTTTCGCATCAGCTTTTGGTCAAATCCTTGACTGATAGTATGTCAGATAAGCAAAGCCGTCCACCTACAGTATTCCCGTGGGCTTCACTTGCTGGGTCAGAACAGATGGAATTTCCAGCTCCGAAGTGTGAACATATCATTTTCTTACAACAACACCCAGTGATCATTGACGATGCCGTCGCCGATCGCGTGTTGCTTGAAAGGATAGAACAAGAGCTCAGATACCCTATGGGGGCACCTATTCCTGAACCCCCGCCAATGGTCATGTCTGCAGTTGTTTTTTCCCCTGATTGTGGATACATACTCGAGACCAAAGGCACGCCTGAGTTTCCACCAACCGACCCGCTTTACCTGGTTGGGCCCAAGTATGAAGAGTACAGTAAATATGCATCTCGTCTCATATTTGTCGTTGCGGCCGTGTTTGCAGGTCAGATCAGCCTTCTTCTACGCCAGATCAAAGAAGCATCTACTCCTTCCACCCGGAGCCGAGTCAGCTTCTATACCATTGCATGCATGGCGCTGGGCGATGCATTCGTTCTCACTTTCATCATTTTAGAGCTGTATGCTGCAGTTTCATTTTTGGTACTGGCCACTGCTTCGTTCCTGGCCTTCCTCTCAGTGAGTTACATCGGCATGAAATTCATGATGGAGATATGGGCAGTGCAAGAGCCAGAAAGACGCGAAGAGAGACCAGCCAACCCAACGCCTCCCGCACCTGGATCAGCAGAGCTTCCCTTGCCAGCTACCGCAGTGCGCGACACGGGTGCAACTCCAATCATCCTCCCTCCCGACCAAGATGCGCCGGAAGATGAGGAAGAGGTCAATCCACAACCTGCTAACCGGGCAACACCGCCAACCCCGAGCCAATTACGGAGTGATGTCGGGGCCATGTACACACGTTTCTACCTCTCCCTATTTGGAATGCTCATCATATCAATCTGGGCGTTCCTTCTGCCTCGACGCCTGGGGGCTCTTTACGCCCGCGCTTTGGCGTCCATCTATCTCTCATTCTGGGTCCCCCAAATTTATCGCAACGTCATGCGGAATTGCAGAAAGGCCCTGCGATGGGACTTCGTCATTGGCCAAAGTACCCTCCGCTTGTTCCCGTTCGTGTATTTCCTTACGGCGCGCGGAAATGTGCTGTTCATTCGACCAGATTGGACCACCGCATTTGTCTTGACCGGATGGATGTGGATTCAGGCCTGGGTGCTTGCTAGCCAAGATATCCTAGGTCCGCGCTTCTTTGTTCCCCGTGGCTGGGCTCCGCCTGCCTATGAATACCACCCAACATTGCGAGACCATGCAGGCTCAGATGATGACCTGGAGGCTGGCAGTATTATATCTATCGCATCACTGCGTGCCGATGAACGAGATATGGTCACTGACAAAGATGGCGATAAGCAACGCTCGAAGGATCGCAAGCGAGTCATGTTTGATTGTGCTATTTGCATGCAGGACATCGAAGTTCCTGTTCTATCAGCCCCGACTTCTGCTGGCGGAAGTGTTACCGAGGGGGCTACAAACATTCTGAGCCGCCGAGCTTACATGGTCACTCCTTGCCGGCACATTTTCCATACTGCCTGTCTGGAGAGCTGGATGAGGCTCCGTCTGCAGTGTCCCATCTGTCGCGAATCCATACCTCCTGTTTAGGCGTCTATTATTACAATATAGATACCCTGCTTAGAAGCAATATGAATACTCTTTCCTAATACAGAGATATCGAAAGTCAAGTCAAATTACACTAAGTGTTGATTGATTGGAAGTCAGTGCCGTGGAGGGCCTAACGTAAATCTAAACGCCATTGTTCAAGCACATCTCCCGGCAAGCATGAATAAAATCACAGAACAAAAGAAAACAGAGTTCGTAGCTACTTGTACCCGGTCTATTTAGTGAGGGAAAGCCTACTCATCCAGAGTGGCCTTGTAGGCCGCCTCATCCAGCAGCGCGTCAAGCTCAGCCACGTCGTTCACTTCGATCTCGGCAATCCAGCCCTCGCCCTCGGGGCTAGAGTTGATAGTCTTTGCATTGTCCTCAAGCACGGCGTTTCCCTTTGTGATAACACCGCTCACGGGGAAAGGACATCGGAAGCAGACTTGACGGACTCGACGGCACCGACGGGCTCACCAGAAGAAACGGCAAGGCCCTCCTCAGGAAGCTCGACAAAAACGACGTCACCCAGAGCGTGGGCGGCGTACTCGGTGATACCGACCTTGGCTAGTGGGGTAAGGTTAGCTTAGCTCTATAGGCTGCCACTTCCAATACTAAGGGGACGATGCATCCCAATTGCATGAGAGCCGGAGATAAGACACATATTGGTACTCACCAATCTTGCCGTCGACAAGCTCAACCCATTCGTGGGACTCGGTATACTTCTTGGCCAGAGCTACATCGATGACGTCGTCAGCAATATATCGACACGAGGAAGCTCCATTGAGCTCTGTCAGAGAGCCAGAATAGCCGATTGATGAACAAAAAGCATCCTCCAACCCTCTAGACCCGTCTGGAGGACATTTTCACTCACCAAGAGGGCTCTGGGTGAAGCTCCGGGTTCCCCGCGGGAAGCGGAAAGCAGGTGCAGCGCGGCACATGGGAGCCAGGGGCTTCTGGGCGAGGGCCCGGGAGGCAAAGGGGCGGATAGTACGAGCAACGGCCGACATCTTAGAAGGTTGTGAGTGAAGAGACTGGAAAAGAAAAGAGGAAAGGAGGGGGGAGGGGAGGATTTAAGGAAGATGACTTCCCCGACGGCGGCCCCAAGTTTCCAGGACGCGATAAGGAAAGTGCCAAGCCCGCGTGATAAGCTCCGACCTCGTTCGGGTTTTTTTGCGCCAGGAGATCCACCATCCTTTCCTGAAGTAATCGGCCATTCGCGCCACCCTCCGATGCTATGTTGTACGAGCTGATTGCTATTGTACGTTAACGAGATCCACTGGCGATTTTCTGGATGGAATCGAGATAGATTGCTAACTCGTGGGACAGGTCCGCCCGGGCAGCCTCAACGAGGTTCGAGAGTAAGTGCCACGACGCGGCTGCCAAATGTGTTCAGATTGGCGACTAACAATTGCTGCAGAATTGCCCGCAATGCCGGCGCCCAAGTCATTCGATCCGGCGGCGTCGTCCGGGGCTTCACCAACTGGGGTGTATTCCACCTCCCCAAGGTCACCACCAAGCACCAGGCCCGATACAGCGAAGGCCATCATTTTATCATGCGTTTCGACTCCTCCGGCCCTGTCCAGGCCTCCGTTCGCCGTACTCTCGGCCTCGACCCTCGAATGATTAACTTTTCCGTCGTGAAGCTGGGCAGCAAATTGGAGGAGATCAAGGGTGTCGAGGGCCATATCCAGTGGAAGAAGACCCGCAACATCAGCGATGGCATCTAAACAGCCCTCTATATTATAGATGAAGTGGGTTCTGTTTGATGAAGATAGATACCTCCGCACCTATCAGGAGGTATGGGATCTGATTTCCAGCATCTTTTTCCTTATTTGTGTATCATTACGGCGGAAATGGGCATTATTACTCAGCACTATCAGCACGATTGGCGCATCTTGTACAAAACTTCAATTTTCATATCACATATACCTGGATCTTCTTGTCTTCCCTCCCTGATGACTCAATATCTGCCATTGCTCCTTGGGCCACACGCCCACGTGACTTTTTTGAGAAATGGAGGGACTCTGGGGAACGGGGAACCGCGGCTGGGGCCCCGGAAACTCAACGCGTGTTGAATCATACGTCTGTCACGTCCCAGGCTTGATCCCCGGTCCTGTCGAGTCTCTTTGTCACGGGCTTCTTTGAAACCCGGTGGCGCGGGGTATCCCACCCGGCATTAAGCGACAATCTTCATCAGTTTCTCTTCTAGATGTGAACTATACCCCGGGGCCGCATGCAATAACCTTACAAATTCGATATCGCGGCGAACATACATGAATATCGCCTCCTGCGACAACGACAGCTCCACGTTATGTCTTCTGGGCGGTCAGGAGATCGGGGACCGCGCGAGACGATGACAGCTCAGTCATTTGTGGATCTTATGGCACTGGAACGCTTGGAGAACGTTCAGATATCCTACTCTCGCACCAGCGAACTTGAAAGTTTAGAAGCTTTCCAGTCAAAGGCCGTTCCGTTCAATCCTGGAGAAGGTGCTCGTGCCTTTGGCGGGCATGTTTACGCACAATCAGCGTACGCGGCTTCGAAAACTGTAGGGAAAGGGTTCGTTGTGCATGTGAGCTTCCCATCTATGAATCGGAGATCTATATAAAAGCTAAGTGGCTTCTTAGAGCATGACTGGGTCATTCATTTTAGGTGGTCGACTCGATATCCCGTTTACGTACATGGTACGGCGTCTCCGCGATGGCTTCATGTACTGTACGCGCTCTGTCGAAACGCGGCAGGATGGCCAAGTTTGCTTTACAGGAGTTTGCTCATTCAAGCGAGGTGAGGGGACAAAGAGCTTCAACCATCAGCCACGGACCCCATCAGACCGCTTCGGACGTATCCTCTCCTCAAAATCGCCTGATGACCGCGCTGTCAGTCCTGAGGTGGATGCGGAATGGTGGGCTGAAGTCATTCGAGAGGCTGATATGACTGAGCGAGAATTCCCCGGGGTTGATGTGCGAAAGATTGACATGGAGGAACATAATAAAAGCAAAGACGTCCAAGAACATCCCGAGAAATACCGTCAATTAACCCAGTACCGGCTGAGAGGCTCGCCCGATGAAGACCCAAATGCTAGTTTGTCACAGATTATGGCGAAGGATCGAGTGGGAGAGTATGATAATCTCTACGCTTGCGCTCATATGTATTCTAGCGACAAAAATTCCGTCATGCTGATCCCTCGGGCCTTGGGGCTCCAGCACTGGTCAGACATAACGAGCCTCACATTGATGGTTGTCATTCATCAGCATAGTGATGCACTCAGAATGATCGACTGGGGGAATTCCTCGCCAGCGGACGGTAATAGTTCGGAGATCCCGATGAAGTGGTTTTTCCAGGAAGGATGGACCCCCCCGGTCAGCGGAAAATCGAGGACTTCATGAAAGCTACCTCTGGAATGCAGATGGGACATTGGTTGCTACAACTTTGCAGGACAGTATGCTTCGTATTCACCGACCTAAACGTCCAGCAAATTTATGAGGATAGTCGGGACAGGTAACATGGGAGTTAGTTGCAGACAGAACAATGAACTCAACCCTCTTTGGTGACAGAACAAGGCTTTTACGATAGCACACCTCGTACCAAAGTGAACATACATACGTACCAGGAATAAGAAGAGGTCGCTGGCCTCGGGGTTCTAGGTACCGCGATGAAGCCTCCGAGTTCGTGCCCGAGCGCGGCAGAAATCGTGTGGCCAACTGGAAAGAAACTTATACCGCTGTAGGGGTAAACAAAGGTAGTTAAGCTCCAGTCTCCAATTACAATGGTCCATTTCCTTAATACTAGTTCTTCTTCTCTGGCCCTCTTCGCATCTATTTACTCCGGACAAGTCACGTGGCGGGTCCCGGTGACGTTGCCGTCAGTCAGCCAACTGCGATTCATCCGGCGAAGTCAATCCTTCAAGTTTCGTATTGATAATACACAATCTCAGAAAGTCCGGCGCTGATAGCAATCCAATGATGCTCACTGAGCGCTCTTGATCACATCAGAATGCAGAAGACGTTGCTTCTTGTCTTTATACACGGGTTCAAGGTATGATTACCAATTGGTTCTAAGAATCCCGAGTTATTTCAACCCAACAGGCGCCACTTGAGGGCCTAGAGCCCTCAACGCGACAAATTCTTCTGTATGAGGCGCTAACATGTAAGCTGAAAATAGGGTGGAGATGATACATTTGCCACCTTCCCGGAGCACCTGCGTGTTGTTGTGAGCAAAGCATTACCAAATATCGCCGTTCAAACGGCTGTGTATCCCAAGTATGAAACGAAAGGCGATTTGAAAGAATGCGTGGGCAGGTTCCGAGAATGGTCAGTCTTCCTTGATCCCCTCGTATAGACAACTTGGTACCCAGAGCATATACCTAATCTGGACAATCCAGGCTGCAGAATACCGTGATTGACCTCGAGGTCGCAAATCACACCGCATCACCCACTGTTGATCCCTCAGTGCATGTGTTCCTAGTGGGACATTCTATGGGTGGAATCGTTGCAGCGGAGACTCTGTTGCTGCTCGCAGCCGAGCAGCCTATCCAACAGAGCCCGACTACAGGTGCACCGTCGGCTGCTCCGCCAGATGATCATGCACATGTTGTGGAACCTGGTACGTTTATGTTCCCGCACATCCAAGGAGTGCTCGCCTTCGATACCCCTTACCTGGGGATTGCACCGGGGGTCGTGTCATACGGCGCAGAAGGGCACTTTCGAAACGCCACAACCGCCTACAATTCATTTACAGAAGTGGCTGGGCTCTTTGGCTACGGCGGAAAGAAGGGCGAGGCCGCCACCGGCACAGCCGCAAAGGAACCCGCCAAGGCACTGCCTGCATCGAGTGATGCTGCAGCAACGCCCTCCTGGCAGCGCTGGGGCAAGTACGCCATGTTTGCTGGGGCCGCGGGGGCTGTGGCCGCCGGTGGAGCAGCAGCTTTGTATTCCCAACGACAAAATTTATCAGCTGGGTTCAGCTGGGTCTCGTCACATCTTGAATTCATAGGATGTCTCGCACGGACGTCGGAGCTACGAAACCGTCTCGCCGGCTTGGCCAAGGTGCAGGAGGATCGGGGTATAAATTGCGTCAATTTCTATACCTGCTTGGGCAACGGTGCAGGGTCCCTCGTCGAAAATACTGGTTCAGGGAAGACATCTTTCAGCCAGAAGATCATCCGGTCGAGAAATAGGACCTTTTGCTCCCTTCCGCCTGAAGTCGAGCATGGCGAAGGAACCGGCACCCCGGGTCTTCGTTGGACACGGGCTACAAATGACAAGGCTCCAGACGAGGTCAACGCGCATATCAACATGTTCCTTCCGAAAGAGAACCCCGCATTCTTCGACTTGTTGGGCGACGCTTGCAAATCATTGGTCACCTCGGTAGACCAAGGATGGTACAGTACTTCCATAAGGCCCCCTAAAGCAGAGAACGGCAAGCCCCAGACGCAGTCGGTACCCCCGATGACTTTATGGACGAGGACGACGTTGTGGTTGTTGATTGAAGCACCGAATCCCAATGTATGCAACCCGGGTATATCTGTAGCCCCGACAACTCTCATGTCTTAAATAAGGCACCAATCTCTTGGCGCTTCCAGCCCAAGGCATGATCCACTCAAATCTCAAAGGTTGGCCCCAAAGGATGTACCTTGACGTCCCGCCCCAATCAGACGCCAGACACGAGCGCCCCGGGAAAAAACGCCACTTCTTATTCCACATGAAATAAGGAGAAGCTCATTCAGACAGTTTATGGCTATGAGAGCCATTAATTTCAAGGTAGTGTGGACTCTTAATGTGCGCTAGATCTGGAGAGCCCCCAGACCCGGGTTTGAGAAGCATCGCCTCTCTAGGCACCCTCGAGCTGCCTATTTGGTGCTAGTACGAGCGGGGAAGAGCAGCACTGGCATTTGCAGTGATTAGCTTTAGGGACAAAAGTTAATATTGTGACGCTATGAGCTCGACTTCCCGTACCAAGAAGGATCACTCGATCACTCGGTTGGAAGGTCAAACGGGATGGCGTGTTTCAAGATAAACTTTTGGAAAATCACTCAAGCGGGGATAATGAAAAGGCTATTCCCAGAGAATCACATTTGAAAATTTCAGTCAAATTTGGAATAGACTGCTTCGAGTTGTGTGCTTAGGGGCGTACCAATTTGCGATAGCGCCCCCCCCCCTTCCTTGCTATATATAAACTTCAAGTCATACTTGTAATGTTCTCCAATGTAACCACAACGCTTGCTCATGACGCCCGTGCCATAAAATCTAATTAGAAGGTATTGCTCAAATCATAAAATTTTGTTTCATGTACGGGTCCGAGAGGCACCCTAATATTGGTGGCCGTATGATGAAGCTCGCTGATGCCCATAGCCACCGTACTCGGAGTTGTTGTCGTGGTAGACAGACTGACGGTGGTCCTCCTCAGGGAGCAACTCTTTGATCTCCCAACTATTTGGTTTGACTCCGACGGAAAATTCGAGGTCCTCGGTGGTGATTGAATCCCAGAACTATATCTCAGTTAGTCACATCGTCGGCGCTATTTCGAGGGGGTCTGATTTACCTTGTAGATCATCATGACAGCCAGTAAATTACAGAACGTGGCAAAGAAAAGCCCGTCCAAGTAATGCTGCACATTGTTGCAGATCAAATCGCTGAACGCGTAGAGAAGCACCTGGCCGATAATGAAAACCGCTACTCCGAAGCAAATGTGACCCAAGGGCCAGCGGTCATCCAGGGTATTGAGAACAAGGAGCAGTTGCATGACAACATAAATGGCAATGCTGATGGCGTTGAAGAGGTATAGTACCACAAACAAGCCAACCGTATTCTCCGGTCCCAGGCCACCCCATGACTTGAAAGTCAGCAGGGAAATGACAAACGTCATGGCAAACATCAATGCAGATGGGATCCGAATCAGCCACACAGAGAGAGCCGTCCCATCCTCGTACAGCTGGAAGCCCACGAAGCCATTTACCAGCAAGCAAGTGCATAGCGCCGAGACCAAGCCGCTTTGGATCGCCACGAAGTAGGGGAAGGAGCCGCTTCTTGGTGGGACAACACCTGCGTCGATGATGAGTGAGCAGATGGTAAGGGCTAGATATAGATAGAAGAGGGTGATGATTTCCTTGCGGCCTATCAGATGACGTTAGCAAACAAAGAATGTTCCTTGTGGAGAGGGAGTCAGTCAAGTGGAACGAACCAACGGCAGTAAACTTGGACCGAATATGCAAGATCATTATGACCGTCATGCCAAGGGCGATGATATGCATAAAGGACGCCGCGCCTTGGAAGATCATTGTATTAGCGACTTCGATATTCCGCGCATAGCAGTTAGAGACAATGCCGGTGTCGCCGGAGATAGCCGACGCCGGGCCTACCAGAAGACATAGTGGCATAGGCGTCTTCTCGCATATTGAATCGAATTGGCCGAACCCCATGACGACCCCGGGTGTTTGGATATGAGGCGAAAGCCAAACGAGAGGATCTGCGGCCGCTGGCGGTGGGCGGTCTCTCAGCAAAGACTCGCACGGCTGTCTCCACCGAGACGGAGATGGGGGGAGGGAAAGTGGGTTCGTAGGTCGATGAGGATGAAGTTGCTTGGAACCACCTGATGACTAGTCGGTGCTGTCCCCTTTTCCTCCGTAGGGTTCAGCTCTGGCAAGGATTCGCGATGTCGCTATCTCAGAAGCCAGAAGTTTCCCTTGTCTCACATCGTGGTCTATTCCGAGCGAGGGGCGATCACGGGATCGTCTATTTTCCCCGTTGCTATATCGGGACTAGCGGCGTTACCCCAGTAAAGGCTGAGTAAGCGATGGTCTACTCGCCTGTCCCCCACCAGGGCCGGCGTCGTGTTCCATATAGGCTGGATATCATTGGCTGAGGACTCTGACCAATCAGAGCTTCAAAACAACACCAATAATCCCAATCGCCGGGAGGCGCCAGCATTCGCGGATCCAACATGGAGGCATTTACGCTGTTACTTCCCACAATTCATCTGAAACGGGGACGAAGAGAATTAATTGGACACAAGTGATCGGGGCTGGGCTTCATACTCTCCAATTGTTTATAAGTGGGCTGGACCCTGCAAGCTACATGAGACTATCTCAGCAAGCAGTCCCCACCCACCCCCGATAAACTTGGGACGCAGACCCATGAACGTGCAGCTCCTGGCGCTAACTGGAAGCAGCCGCAGCAAAGGGCGTGAACGGGAATTCTCCACAGGTGCCTCATTGAGACCCGGGGCGGGGCCATGGCAGACATGCCACCAGCCTCGCCCGCCCACACACGAGGGATCTTCTCCGACGGAGCCATGTGTTTCTGGAAAATCACTCGGAGGTGGAGATTATCCCGCACTGCAGATCCAACGTCATAGCATGTCGCACCATTTCGGCATTCCCGCATGCTCGAACTCGCCCGGGCACCTTGTGAGGATGTTGATCTCGTATTAAGCACCACTTTGTTTCCACCGAGAGTGGACCCTCGATGCAGCGGGATTTTCAGGTACCGGCCGTTCTGGCGAAAGTTCGGGCGAACTACACGAGCGGAACCCCCTTGGGTGCCCAATTTTAGGGTTGAGGGCCTTTGCGGATGCCGATGCAAAGGTTCCGTGGCGCACGGGGAGCCTGTTAGCATCTCAAAAAAAAAAAAGGAAAAAAGAAAAATTAGATAAATCGAATCAAAAAGGGCCGAGTGATCAACCTAAATTCCCAAACAGGATAGGCAAATAAAACTCGTCTACTTCGTAGGTCCCGGGAGGGAATGGTGGTTTGTAAGGCTAGCGTGTAGTCGCAGTGGGGGGAAACGGCCGTGGGTAAATTCTAGATCTTTTCAATCTAGAGTATGCCGGATGAAGCTTGTTCTGCGACACCGTACAGCGGGTCACGACGACCCTGCCGTTTGGTTCACTCCGCAATCTTGCATATGTCGCTTGCTTCTCTCATGCGGGTCTCGGAAGTTTCAGGAACTCGGGTCTGCTGCTATTGTGGCTGTGGTCTTGAACGATCTTAGTCGACGGCGTTTAGCCCCAAACGGTCTCTAGCTTGCTCCTGCTAGCACCCGCAGTCACATTGTTCGCTCTCCGTGGCTCATGACTAGCTCATATGGCCCATATAGTTCCCATCGATCCGGAGCGTATCATTGCTTGGAAGCTCCTCGCGTAGTATGTTGTGGTATGGATGTGGGCACCAATCAGCTAACGATAAAGCATAATCGACAGGGATACTTGGATAGAGGCTGAGATGAGATTTGTACCAGGATGTGATTGAAAGTAAAGTTTTGACCTATATTTTATTCTATTTTTGAGTTTTCTGGCTTTTCAATATTCTCTCATCCCGGTAATTGTCGACTTTTGGGTTTCTATGAGCCATTTGTCCCGAGTCGGCCGCGCTGCACGAACGCCTTAGCTTGCTGGACCGTGTTGCCCTACCTCCGACAGCCTCGTCACGACTATCGTCACGACCATCGTCACAAGGTTTTGCAGTGGGAATTATGCTATATCTGATTCAAGCCAATAGACGCTTATCCCTCCATCCTTTGTGACATAAAGGTACTAAGTGACTGTGTGACTGTGGTAGCTGCTGTGGCTATAAAGTACGATCTGCGAGCAGCGAAAGGATAGCTCTCATGATGTATTATGCATAGAAATCCGGACTAGCGCCACGTGTGCCAGAAGCAATAACGGTCAGCTAGGAACCGCGTCGATCTCCCATACGGCACCATGATGCCGAGATACCCCGGGTACGATTCGGGGGGGGAACGAAAAAAAAGGGGGGGAAACCTGATGATCCTTGATTCTCTTGGACAATCTCCGGGGTCTTGCAACCGGGCCCCACGAATTGACGGCCCGTTCATTTTTTTTTTCTTTCTTTCTTGTTTCCTTTTTTAACCCATTTACTTTTTCCCTTTTTTGTCTTTCTCATCTTTTTTTTTTATATCCCTTTCATTCGGAACGATCCTGGACAATCCCGGTCCTGGGTTTGCTCATGACGCTTGAGGCCACTGCAATGCCCGTCTCTTATCGAGATCTCTTCTCGTCCCAATACGTCAGAAGAACTGCCAGGGGCACCATCCAAAGCCCCTTTCGGTCCTTTCTACTCCATTCAGAAATTCATGAAGATTTTCTCATGTCATGGTCATCCACAGATCAAAATCTACTGCGCGGGACCCGCAGTCACTAGCGTCCTACTCTGAGATATTTTTTGGGGTGTTATGTTATTTTATTCTATTTAGGGAATTTTCAATTCAGAGTGGGGTGGGCAAGAACAAGTTAGATTGCGCTACGTCCGGAGGAATATATTTCTGATTATTATTTCCCGACCGGTTTACTATATATGCTCGCTCCGTATCATCATCGTCCAGAGGCATGGATTCATGTGGAGTCGATTCCGTCAATTCCTGGACTCCTTGTAGTCGGCGATTGACGAAAGACGCAACACCAACGCCTCTATGGTTTGATGATTATTCTTATTGGGCTTTCGCGATTGTGCTTTCCCCTTGATCTGGTTTCAAGCACAGTACCTTGGTGTCTTCGGCGCCATTTAAACGCTGCGCCTGGAAGCTACCCCGAGCTTGAATTATTTTTTTTCCTTCTCAACGATCCTTATCCCATTGCACCATTGCTGCCGCAGCTTGGCCTGCCAGTGGACATCGTCGCAATCAATTCGACTTTTAGCGTTGCAGGACTATACCATTCCATAGCTCTCGTGGACCGTCGCCTACCTCTTCCCCGTTCGAGTGCAAGTTCGAGGCCCTTTGCAATCGCATACGGTCACAGAGCCATAATGTGCAACTATTTTAAGAACTACGAGATCTGGAGCAGCTGTCGAAACCCCGCGGCGCATATTATCAAAACCTCCTTTGACGGCAACAAAGACAATCGCTGCTCCAATAGCCCGCACGACCGCTTTATCGTCCGGGTAGGCAAATGCGATCTTTGCCGGTGAAGATACCCTCTGGGACAAATGGAAAGGGGGGGGAAATAAGAAATACAAATAAAAAGCAGCGCAGAGTTTTGTCATCCCTCGGGCGTTCATTCTTAGCGCCCGTAGGCCTTGTCCAACCGTGATCCTTTGCGGTACACCGTTCTTTTGGGCATTGCAAGAGCAACGGGGCTCTGATTCGGTTAAACCCCCCGACCTGCTGCCACAGCCCTGTCACCACCAGGGTCATCGACAGCGTGATTCGTTTCAGAATACCTGATTTGTCAATGTGGCCCTGATCGACATTGATTTTCTTTTTCACTGGAATTCACTCGGCCCCGCCCGGGTTTTAAAGTTCGTGCCCTGGGCCATTGACGATTCTTTGTTCTGTACGGAGAATTTCCTTGGTGTTCTCGTTCTCGGGGAAACGTCGATCCTTATTGCTTTTCGATCCTTCCGCTTTCTCTGTTTCCCTGTTTTCTTTTACCCTCAACTTGTTTCTATCTGGGAGTTTAGGTGATGATTCCTTGTTCTGCGTGGCGGTGCTGAATTAGAGCGGAACCATGAAAATGATGGAACCCACCCTGGGCATGTATTGCCCAGGGTCAATGATAAGAGAAAAAAGTTTATTCATTGCCGTGGAAAGAACCGGCTATAGCTTCCTCGGAATTGGACGAAAGCTAACTTATAAAAATCTTTGGGTTGATTATCAAATATGGGGATTCCAGACCAGTCCGTTCCCCATTATTGGAGGTGGGGGGGGAAGTACGAGGAGCTACTAGCAGCTATGGCTAAGAGCCTAGGCTACCGTTTCTAACATTATCACATGTCTGCCTTCCCCTCGAGCTGCTTCTGATCCTCAAAAGCCCTAAATCCTAATGTGCTCGGACCTAGATTGCGCAACACAACTCAAGAAGCAAAATAAATAAATGAATAAATAAGAAAAAAAAAACATTTTTATACGGAGTACGGAGGTACAACCCGCGGGTTAAGGTCTCAGGCCAAGGAACGGACCCGCACGGGCTGCGGCAACGTGGTTCTATTGTCTTCCCATCACATCCTGGTAAACAAGGATGGGAGGGGGTTGCACCTTGACGGGGTCCCAGCTCAACCTTCATATCGTATGAAGCCGAGATTCCCCTCCCGGCAATTTTCTGCCTTGGATACATGGCCCAGTACGTGCTTGATTCCCGGCCACTTTTATGGGTTGCAGCACAAAGGAATCAGCTAACGTGCAGGGATATCTCCCGAGTCTCACGATCGAAGTCCGTGCTTTTTGCCATGGCGCATTCTGCAGCTGCAGAGGGGGGGATGTGCAGGAAGGGGGCCGCATGTATCTAAGTATACCTACATCGGGACTGCCAATCGACACGCGGAGATAAAGTACTGTTTGTTCCGACCAGAGCTCTGGGAGGGAGGGACGCCGAAATTCGGTAATGTCTCCGAGTTGTTTACGTGGGGCAGGGAGCGAAGCTTTGCCAAATGCAATGACGAGCTATATACCTTACAGAAGGACCGCCAGTGGAAATTGGTTTACAGGTAATCATTGCTAGTCCAGCCCTGAGGAGCCAACTCTAGAGGCCATACACCTCGAAATGGGGCTATTTGCCGTGATCATCATTCCACCCTCATCTACTTTGCCTTTGCCCTATTGGCATTGCAGGGGCTCTACTCTCAAAGGCTATGATCATCGGTGTAGGCAACACGACCTTATGATGTCGATGATGCAATCCAGTTCCCTTGGGAGTGGGCTTTTTTCTTTTTTCCTTTCTTTTTTCTTTCTTTTTTCTTTCTTTTTTCTTTCTTTTTCTTTCTTTTTTCTTTCTTTTTTCTTTCTTTTTTCTTTCTTTTCTTTTTCTTACGGCCTTAGAAGTCTATCCGAGCAAGCGGGGCAGTGATAGGGCGCGGTCAATGAGCCGGCCAGAATCCAGTGAGAATCAATGGAGCATCCGGGTTCTGCATACTTCTAGACCCGAGGCTATTTTCCGGGACTAGTTTCAGTGCCGGCCAGAAGCAGTAGCATTGCCGGATGGGAATATGAAAAGTCTGGGACACTAAATCCTTCCGCGACTTGCCCATACACAAACTAGGAGCCCCGCAAAGTACGAACCGTGGTATCCCGTCTATCTTTGCTTTTCCCCTTGGGATTTTCGTATTTTCAAACAAGGTTCCAATCCCGTGTTAGGTCAGTGCATCATGCAGTTGCCCCATCCTAGACCCTGTACGGAGTTCTCCGTACGTATGCATAGATTGGGCCAACGATGACGCAGAAGAGAAATTTGTTTGTGGGACGAGCCAAAGTGCCGGGAAACTACTGTCCCTAGCTTCTTCGTGGTTGGTCCCGGGGGGGCATGAGATACGGAAGGAGTAGAGCATGGAATGGACAGGCGGCATCGGGCGCTGATTAGGGGCACTGCATAAGGCATTTATACTAGTACAATGGCTTCTTTATGGACTACTGCATAATATGGCATTACTAGGAGTAGGTATGTGAGGCTGCCACTAGACAATGGAGAAAACCTAGACGGTGGACTTAAAGAACCGGCGACCTGCCGCAGTCTGTTCTAGGCAGTGCTCGTGCATAGATCTGTACATTTCCACCCAGTCGACCAATGTACGGAGCACAGCCTTTGCCAATTCGCACGCGCCTCGATCTAGGTAGCGCATCCTTGATACGGTAGGTCTCCACCGGCCTCGTTCTCGGGCCCCACAAATCCGATCTAAGCCTTAGTCTCATGTGCAGCCGGCGATGTTTCTTTAAAGTACTTTAACCCCCCTCCGTTTCTTTCCTTGATTCGCGGGGAGTTAGCATCCACCGTTAACATAGCTTGCTTCCCTGGCGACATGGGGGCTCAGACAAAGGATTTGATTCGGAACTTGCTCTACTAGGAAGGCTGGGAGGGGTTCGATAGAGCCATAGCTTCCGGCCGAACGCTATGATTACGCGAAGCCACTTGCAATGCAGCCTCTTGGAAAGTCAAAGGATGCTCATACGCCACGATAAGCGGCTATGACCCGTTCTCCCCCCCGAGAGGGTTCGGCAGGAGCATAATCCCCATTCCCCCGATTGGGCTTTCCGGGGTTCACCACAACGCTTGGTCAGCAGTTGGTCAGCGCCGGATTCTACGATTCTGCTGATCACCCAACGCCGCTCCAACTTTTACCCCCCCAGCCCCCCAGCTTCCAGCCATCCATTCATCTGGGCATATCATATCAGTACGATGTAAACTTTCGGCTGTGGCTTGAGGTACCCGAGCAGTCGTGCTTTTGACACGCAGTTGGGGAGATGCAGGGAGGGTGGCAACCTTGCTCGACGGGTTTCCTCTTCGAGTAACGGAATGACCTGCACGATTAAAATGCCACTCACGCAACCACCACTCCCAGGTGCTGAACCGAATCTGAACGACAAGCGCTAATTGGCAAGGTCAAAACCACTGACTTCATGTCGACAAACAGCCCGGAAACAATCCGGCCTCTACTAGCTGTGAGGGCGTTTGAGGTCCACTTGGCGCTCCGCTGAGCTTGATCGATTGAGACGGAGGTCCGAAGCTACTGCCATTCCTGCGGACCGTGGGACGCATACGTAACCTCAGCGGGAGGCCTTCCTATTCATCAATGGAATCTTCAATTGAATCTTCAATTGTCCGGAAAGGTCTGCCAAGGTAAGAGCAGCAGAAGTACCTGTCAAACGCATGGCGTCTTGGTTCTGCTCGGAATCGACTTGAGCGGGGGAGCTGCTCTACTTCCTTTAGAAATATGATCTTCGCCATTCGCTTCTCCTTCAATCTGCAGCGTCTCTAGGCGAGCTTGGCCTTGTCTCATCTCATTAGATCTTATAGCCGTCCCTCGCACATTTCTTCCTCCAATCAGCGCATAACATGACTCACAACATCCATATCCCAGCGTCAAGTTCATCCCTGCCCCTCTACAAAAGGTAACAACACCGCCATGGATCTACACGGACGGCGACCGGCCTTCGCTTATAAGACTACATTCCCACCTATCCGAAACGACACTATAATAGCGCCGCAGAGGCCCCTTCGCTCCCCACGGAATCAAACCACGCTATCCACATAACCGCCATAGCAAATCATTACTCGCCAGAGAAGCCAACCCGGAACTAAATGCGTCTAAGAACCACAGTCTCCACTTGGATTTCCCCGCAACCCGGCTCCACCGTATAGCCGTGCCAACTTGCATAACAAAACTCAATCCGATTGTTCGGACAGATAACCCGGGTCCTGCAAGCGTGATATGGCGCACTGCCCTGCATGCCGTTACAGACTATGACAGCAGCCGTAGCAAACAAACAACAGAGCCCAAGGATATCAAGTTCCCAGTTATCGACTCCAACACCCTCGCCACCGCCTTTCTTTCTTTTTTTTCTTTTTTCAAAACCGCACTTCAGGCCGCACGGCAACCGGTTTCCTCACAGAAATTGGCGGACGGGTGGTATACCGCGCGGACGGGCGCTGTAAAACCTTCGACCTCAGCGCCACACCGGGCTGCAAACCCAGTCTCGAAGAGGCTCTTCTGTGCCGTAAGGCGCGGTGACGCCGGCAGGTGGGGTGACGTCGCTTCAGCGGGGGTCGGCGAGGCGGAGATGGTGATGAGGCTGCGGAGATAGCGGAAGTCCTCGTCACTTGCTGGATTGTCCTTGCCACTGGGTCGATCAGGCCGGGCTATGGCCAGCAGGGATGAGCAGGATTGACCGCGTGAGTGGGGCGTAGGAGCTGCTGATCGGTAGGTTGTCAAAGCGAGGCCTGCTGGATGGCCGGGTGTCGACTCCGGATTTGAGTAGTCGGAGCGGCCAGCTGTCTTTCCGGTAGGCCTTTGTCCCCTGTCATCCGTGCGGTTGCTAGCTGCTGTCGTTGACCTGTCTGTGCCATCTGTGCAGCTTGATGGATTGTAGTGGAAACGGTATTTGCTGAAGTATGACCGTAGTGCTGAGATTGGACCGCGAGTCTTTCGGGGGGACTTGGAGGACATGGTGATAGTTTCTATAGGGTAAGGCTCGCAATATTGGAAAATTGGAATAACAGGTGCTACGAAATGCGATTTACGCAGATGACCATGCAATGGAAAAGACAAGGGATTGAACGGATGGACTGCCGGGATATCGATACGTCGAACCCCACGACCACAAAAGCTATTAGTAGTCCAAGATAACCCCATGGATTTCCTATCTCCAAAGATCAGCCTGCCCCCTCAAACCCCATGCAAGTAAGAAGCCGGGGATCTACTGAGGACAAGATTCAAACCGAACCAAGCCCTGAAAACCCCCCCTCGAAGTGAGATCCAAAACCCAGGATTCCAGGTAAGCCTCAACGCCGGACACAGGATTGGTGACTGCATCTCGGTATAATATGCACCCCTCCTAGGCTCCGGGGCGGGAACGGTGCCCTCGCTCCCGACTCTGCCAAAATTGCAAAGACGACTCCAGTCCGGGAGAGCAGTGGAGGCGCTTGTCGCGATAGAGTCCATACCAGACCCTGGACTTCTGTGGGTCTGCGAGGCCCCTGGAGTCGGAGTGTGGCTGAGCGTTGGGACGAATTGGAAATATAACTGGACTCGAGATTGGAATATGTTGATTGCCGGCGGGTTGTAGCTGTGAGATCGGGACAAGAGTAACCCTTGTGATACTTTGGAGGCACCCTAGGGTCCGGAGAAAGGGCTGGACCGGTTCTACTAGTACATGCTTACGAGATTTAGAGAGACGAGATTGTGAAGTCGAGCCAGTATATCATGGTTATTCTAGTTCAATATCTACTAGCTCATGATGTTGTAAATCAAAAAGATTTGGGGACGCGCACCATAACATATAACTAGCGAACTATTAGCCAAATCTTCCCAGAGACACCAGGACAATTAGAAAAATTATTCATTACACGTGCGCTTCTCTCCATCCCGACACTTCATCTTCTTCCCCAAGCTGAACCGCATGCGCCAGTAACTCCACGTTGGGCACATCCTTCGAGCTCTCCCATATAAAAACCTCATTCCCTCCTGATCCGGCTTCTCGGTCACAGACTGGAACAGTCGCCTCCCAATACCCCCTCCCCTGCGCCCCAGATCGCACAGTAACAATATTATACATAGAATATGGTGGCTAACATATCAGAGTTGCGACGACTTACAGAAGATCCTGCGCTCTCCAGATTTGCTCGGCAAACTTCCTCAGCTCTTGCTCTGGTATCACTAAGTCTCTCTCCAGGGGTCCGTGAGGAGGACGGCCAACAACTTTCTCGAAGGGTAGATCCAACTGTGTAGTAGTCGTGGTTCTTCCGTTCGTGTAGGACGCTCCGGTAACAGACGTCGTGTCATCCGTTCGCGATATTTGAACGAATGCAGTAGGACGCGCCAAAAGACGGGATGATCTTGGAAGGACGCCATATCCTCGAGGGGCGACAAGTTCCCATCGGTACAAGATGATATCGGGATATTCGCGTTTAAGGCTGATCGTAACCACAACTTTCACAGATGAGGAGTAAGTCTCAAGCCAACCGCGCGCATGAAGAGCAAGTTTTCGCTCAGACTCTGATAGTCCTATTACCATACAAAAGCTCAGGTCTAAATTGCCTGAAGCCGGAGCAAAGCAGGAGTCGGCCTCCATTGTCCAATTTCCAACGTCAACTGTTACCGATCCAGAAGCAACAACGTCATCATGGACGTTCATCGCATGCAATGCGTAAAAGACCAACATATCGAAAGATCTTATTGCAAGTTCATACACGTTTTCAGGCCTGACTTTTGCGATCAAGGTCCCTGTTTTTGTATTAAAGAAGAGCCGACAATATTTGCTTGTTTCAGATCGTTCATCACTTAGTCGACAGGCTTGCGCCGCGGGGACAGACGTGAAGACGAGATACTGATCCCGAGTTCGGTCTTCATAAAGCGCTTGTCGACGGTATTCCATCGATCTTTGTAAGCTCTTGCCGGTGGTGAATGGGTGCTGCTCCACTTCGTTCGCCAGTTGTACAAGAGGATCTTCGGGTTTGGTATCGAATGGAGAAGACTCAGAAGATAAGGGTCCAGACGGCTGCAATACGTTCGAGGTAGATCGAAGGGGGTCCATGGTAGGTGGAGAAGATAGAGCGGGAAAGTAAGGTAGACTAGGAAATAAGAAGTAACTGAGAAAGCTAGGTATTCTGGGAAAGTGTAGAAAGTAAGAAGGTAAATAGGGAAGCGTGCGAGAGTGAGAAGGTGTAGGAAACAGTGTAGGAAAGGGCGAATGCATGCAGGTGAAGCCGTCACTCGCGACTAACAAAAGCAGAAAGAAGGGCTAATCGTGACGTGAAGCTATACCTAGCGCGAGACCCTGGTGCGGCTCAACCGAGGCTCAAACATTTCAAGTTAAGAAACGCAGATTCTGAAAGGCATCTCGTGAGCTTGAGGCTGTTTGATTCATTAGGTCAGCCACACATCCCATCCTGACACGTACCTGGCGGTGCGAAAGAGTTGGATTGAACCTGGTTATGGACGGGACTTGTATATTCCCGGGTGCGCAGGAGAGGCTTATGGCGTAATCGAATTCCGCCCAGCTAGGAGGTTGAAATAAAGTAATGTTGAACGTAAAGATTGGGGTGAGTGGATTCGAGAATGAACTTAGAGGAAGAGGGAACTAGACCTCAAAAAGCTACGAAGATGCCTAAGGCTTCTACGGACAGCAGTTCCATGCGGAATAGAGGGCGTATCCACACCAAAGCGGAGCTGTATAGATTCCCCGCCTGGAATGGGGAATCCTAAGACTTGTCAAACTCATGTAGATTTCCGAATACGATGCAGATTTATGTAGACATATGGACACTTTTGCCTGATCCTTGAAGAAAACCACTCAGATAAACGCCGCGTGTTACGCCCTCATTATCAACAAGGGGATGAATGCGCCCGTCCGATTTACCCCATGAAAACAGAAGATTCAACCCTGACTTGTCTCTGAAAGCTCTACAGACCACTCCGCTTGTAAGATGTAAAAGAAAGAAAGAAAGATAGACAGATTGAATGAAATCCTAGATTGCCTTCCCATGCGCCATGTTCCCGTATGAACAGTTCTCGTAGCTTCATGATTCAGGGATATCGTGAGATTAGGAAGGGCTGTACAATGCACTCGGAGGGATCACGAAACTGTGAAATCGTCGATACGAACCCACTCTCGAGGCACATCCATGCTGCGATTGACACGGCCGCCAGGAGTGAGCGGGACATCCACGCGTCCAAGGCCGCGTTCCTCATCATCGTGCTCTTCATTGTTATAGTAGGATAGGCGAGAGAAATAGTCCTCTAATATAGCTTCGCGATCTCCATTGCCAACAATCGAGGTATAGTCTGGCGGAGGCGTCACAAGGGGAGGTGGAGGAGGCACATCGTCAAAAGGTGGCGGGGCGAAAGACGGAGCCCGCAGAAGGTGCATTGGCCGCGGTATATTTTGAGCATGAGGACCACTGGGTTCATGGGCGATGTGGGCTTGCAGAGGACGTGCAAGACCACCCGATCCGCTGGTAAAACTTCGCGTGACGGGCTGGCCGATAGATGCTCGGCGTTGGAGATTTGCGGAGGAGTCCTCGCGGTCGGCATTTGACGGAGCGGCATGCTCTCGTGATGCTAATGGCGCATCGGGACAGCCGCACTCCGTCTCTTGGGCAGGTGGATCAGGGTCGCTAGAGGGTCGTGAGTAGGCGGGCAGGTAAATGTTGGCCTGTGTCGCCTTGCAGGAAAGAATATGAAACGGAGAGTCGATGGAGATTTCAAAATGGCGGCGTTTGGTGGGGTCTCTCTCATCAAGCTTGGACAACCGCAGGACGATCTGAATCTCAAGTTAGGGTTCTGGCTTTTCACAATATTTGGGGAAAATTGACTATAGGAATAACTCACCTTGATCCAGTGATTGATTTGGATATTCTCATAAGTGGTGTCGAAGTGTAAACGCTGCGCCTCATCTCGACCCTTCATTTCATGACACTTGGGCAGTTGCACACTAAATTCCATTTCGGTTGGGCCGACCCCCGACTCGCTAGAAAGATTACCCAGCAGGTTGGTTCGGTTGCGATCCACATTTTCCTCGCCTCTTGCAGCTGCAGCACGATGGTCCCAGTCAATTCCCCCGCCTGCAAGGACCCGCATGGAGCTGCCCGGGTAGGTACTTGTGCTGGCCGATTCGGCGCGTTTCTCGAATAGGAGTACTTTCTTTGCCGGTTGCAAGCGGTGAACGCTCTTATCTGAGGTCCAATGCTGAACATTTTCTGTCACATAAACCTTAATGCGGTGGCATTCCACTTTCGCGAGCGGCGTTAGTTTGAATGCGATGGGAATCTGTGAGCCCAGGGGGAAAGATTTCCCAGAGATTACAATATCATAATGAAGCTGGTCTTCCCAGTTTCTGGAAATCGCAATCGGCTCAACTTGCTCCAGAGAGCCTTCTGCCGGTGTACGAATTACCGGGATTTCAAGATTTCCTAGCAGGTTCGGGCGAAACGCGCCGGATCGCTCAACGATAGCCTCTAGGTCGTAGCGAACGTATCCTAGGTCAGTTTTGATAGTCTCGGGCAGAGAGCCATCGATTGGGAATTCGAAGCTATAAAGATAGTCGCCGACGGGGAACATGCGATAGTTGCGTTGTTGCTGGCCCTGGCCACTTGTAGGCGGCTCATTCCTGCTAAAGCTTCGTGAATGGCCTCGGGTAGTCTGGACGGAGAGTCGTCGTGGGTCTCTGCCAGTAATCGGATTAAGAGAGGTCGCTGAGCCACTTTTAGCGAAAAGTTCTCGACTGGTTGCCGTGACTGCATCCTTCCCGGTCACGGCTGCAACGGGATTCGCATGCTGATAATAATGCGCCCCGTAGTCATTTGGCATCAATGCAGTTTCGCCGTGGTTGAAGTAAACGACCCCGTGCGTAAAAAGATCCTTTTTATCATGGAAATGGATCTTCTTCGGCGGGATACCATCTGGCCAATCCGTCTGGGCGTGAGCCCGGAAACAAATCGAGATTTTCTTAATCTTCACACATTTCGTCACCTTGAGGTGGATTTGCCCTCGCAGAATTGCGGACTTCTTGGTGCTTGGGTCGTGCTGGTCGTACCCTTGGAGATAGAGGACCGGCTCGGTGAGCGCAATACCAACAGTGAGGCCGCTGCCCGTCGCGACGATTCGCTCGTTGCGGATGGGAGGGAAAGGCGTGGAAAGTTCAGGGACAGCGTTGGCTTGAGCAGCGACTGTCCGAGGAATGGCCTGCGTCATTACTTCGGCTTCGTGATCCACGTAGTCTTCCTGGAACTCGTCTGGTGGAAGGTCAAGTGCAAGTCTAGGCGAGAGAATAATTTCTGAGATTGGGCGCGGGCGTCTGCGCGGAGGAACAGTTTGCGGGGCAGACGTTTGAATCCCCGACGATCGTAAGCGAAGAAAGCGCTTCGCGTTCTCACGTGGACCCGCCAGCTTTTTCAAGATTGAGCCACGACGGCTTTGTTTCGGAAATTCTTCTTCGACAGTGCAATCCGGGCGCGATGAGCCGGTGCGGGCTAGACTGGAAAGCGAAGGAAGTGGGGAAGCGTCGTCAGAGCCCGAAGACGGAACTATCTGTGGTATGAAATGAGCGGCCATCATCGCGAAGGAGTTTTCATGCTGTGTATGAAGAACACTGGGGGATGAAATAGAAACACGAGAGGAAGGGGGGGGGGGGGTGAGAAGATTCTTTATTTGCCCTGATTTTGGTCTCGCGGCCCAAAGTGATTTTTTTTTCCTTTGGCCTTCTTGAACCGTGTGTTGAGCACGGTCTCGTTATGAAACGACCCTTGGGGAGGCTTGCGGCCGAGGGCGAGCGATCACTAGACCGCAGCAGTCGCAAAAAATCACTAAAGTGAGGGCCAACGAGGTAAAAGGATAAAGAACCTTCTCTTGGGCCCCTCTTTCCCCGGAATGCGAGGACAAGATGCAATCTGGCAAAGGAATGTAGAGGAGGGCGACACGGTACTACTTACTAGCTTTAATGCTTGTGAGACCTGCGTTCTTTGAACGGACAAGAACAATCCCTAGAGAGCCCCTTCGATGGCAAGCAAGGGAGGAGAGATTGACCGATCTTTGGCAGAGACGGAATCCTTGGGGTGCTGACTTCATAACACGGGTCTCCGCCAAGTGATCATCAGCCTCGCAGATCGTTTTGGTGTTGGAGGGGCCCAATTGGGGTTCGCACGGGAGACTCGGTAATTAATAAGTGGGTGATGTGCAAAAACTGTAATGTGGCGGCCTCGGTGCTTAATGCCTAGATTAGGGACTACGAGTAGAATCATCCATTCGTACCCGATCCAAGCTTTTTATTAAAGTAAAAGAAAAAAAAAAACTCGTCTGATCCGGAAATCGGGATCCAGACCGATCAATGATGACATGATATGAGATTTTACCAGTTGAAGCTATCCGGCGATCCGAAACTCACCTAACGGCTCTTGAAAGCCTCCACGAGTCTTGATGACAGCTTACGCGTACTCGTAATTGACGTCGCTAAGCAAGGATCTGGACAAAGTGTCGGAAACTATAACCTGTTAATTACTATAATTATGCTTAATCATGGATTTATTGCCTTTCCAGTACCGCAACCCGAGGCTACTCTGCACTTCTACGGCGGGAGGATTCAGCATCGGCTAAGGCGGAAGTTCTTCGAGCCCTATCGAAAAGATTCAGAACGCCAGTGCGCCTGCGGATATCACGGCAAATCGTGAGGCCCAGGATCCCGAGATTTCGCCGTGAAAAGCATCCAACACAGTCGCTCAGGACGGACAGGGCTCTGCTTTCATACGCAGTATACACTCCAGTGCTATGACCCCAAGATCCCGTGTGGGGGTAGGGCTGTGTTGCGTATGCGGTGTACTTGGGCTTCCCGACGAGGCATGTGAGGTGCTCCTCTTCTCCCTGCGGAGATCAAGCTCATCGGGGCCTCTCGTCTTCGTTGCACATAAGCACTGTAAAGTGTAAATTGGAGCAATGCGTAATGTTGGGGCAGTATTCTCCGAATCGAACATTCTCTGTACTCCGGGTTCGCATGTGCGCAGGATTCGACCTGATCGTCAGATGTCCTGCGCCTCAAAAGCCCGAGGCCCTAAATGGCCCGGTTGCCCCGCGGAGTTGATGGCCCGTCTTTTTGCGAACTTGGCATGCGTCTTCCCCGGAAATTAGGAGATGCACACGGCAAGGCGGCCCCCATCCCTGCCATTTCAGTCCTGTTGCTTCCTTTGAATGACTCTCAGGTAATTTGGACCACGGGCCTCTGATAGACATTTGATTGTCCGTAGACTATGCCCATTCGATCTCGAGTAGCGGGGTCTGTGCCATGTTAGGCTTTACACCTGGCGATGACCTCATTGACGCCACCGTGTAGGCCTGGAACTTTAACAGGTCTCGTGGAATCGTTCGATTCTGCGGGAGTCGTGTCCGTACTTGTTCTCGTGGTGCCTGGCCCTGGGTCCCGATGCCCTATTACCTCGTGGCCCCGCGTTCTATTCTTGTAGCCTAACCCTGTTCAACCTGATCGGCCGCATAATTACTATATTCTACGTCACCCGTTCGGATCGACAACCCTACTGTACAGAGATCAAGAGGATCTACGACTAGTTCCAGGTTTTCGAGAGCCATATGCGCCTATCGTAGTACCATCAGGCCCCGTACCACCGATCGAAATGGTTAGGTTTGGTCGAGGTGCATCATCTGTTCTGGTATGCTTTTGAGATACCTGTATTTTGGCACAACTCTTGTGAAGGTAATATGCAGTCTACTCTTTCGCTCACATGGCTGGGATGTGCACGAACCACTCACTATCTTATCGTCCCAGGAGTAGGACTACGTGGCCCCTCAGCGGTCTAATCCAAGTAGGGAGATGAACCACATGGCCAAAACCTCAGCGTGCGTGATTTACTCCAGTCCACCCGGAGATCTTTGGGATGTGCTTTGGTATTCCTAGTTCCAGGCCCAAAAAAATGATGACCGTCAATGGTACGCACCTAAGTATATAATGACCACTACCTTTGAACATAGGAAGGTTTTCCGGATCCGAACTAGATGGCGCTAATCCTTCCCGTGAAGATCTGGGGGGAATCACCTAATCTTGTCCTGAGCCGAGCCAAGATGCAAAAATCCAAAGCAGAACCAATAATTCGAGTCTGTGGTCGAGTGGTTAATATCACGTGATTCAGACGACAGGTGCTGTGGTCTAGTGGTATGACGTCCGATTGTGGCTAACCACACTCATAATCTCGTACAGCCCCGGTTCGATTCCGGGCAGCGCCAGTGTTTTTAGCTGTGTTTATCTTTCACGAGTCCTCTTTTTTGGCTTAAATATTTTTTCAATAAGTAGATTAGTATATACTACGTTGTCTTCAGGATTATGATGGTAAAGCGGCTTTACCAACTGTGAAGCTTTTCCATTTTCCTCCTCATTGTTCCTAAATCTGGCAGATAAGATGGATTTTGGATCCAAAAACAAATTGGCTTCTAGCCACGGTTGGAAAAAAGCAAAAAGCATTGGCGCTGCCCGGAATCGAACCGGGGCTGTACGAGATTATGAGTGTGGTTAGCCACAATCGGACGTCATACCACTAGACCACAGCACCTAATATATTCATCACGTGATCTATAAAACTACATCACACTGTCGAAGTGTATGGCTGGTATCTCTACAATCTGGCGGGACGGAATGTATGGCGTAGCAACTCAAGTATTCGCAGAATGGCCTGAGATTCATCATGAACGATACATGATACAATCATATTTGATATAACCGGCGTGGTGGTTAGCGTCAAGGATGGCTTTCATTCCCAGTCTAGAACTAGTGCTTGCAGATAGTTGAGGCATCTTCTAGAGTTCACAATGCAAAATTCGCAGCATTTAATAAAACATCGGGCCGGTGGCATGGAAATGAGGTAGACATAGCGATCATTATCTGGGCATCGAGATAAGACCGACCCATCCTCGTGTTCCAGTGTAGGTTTCTCATCTAAACCAATCGTCGTTCAGTTCATCCAGGTTCATTAAGCTATCCCCCTCCATCTGATTGGCATTGCCAGAATCCTCGCCTCCAAGGTTATCTGTCTCTAGAAAGAGATCGTCGAAATTGGATTCACCTGGGCCCATAAGATCGTCCATATTCTGGTCAGGGAATCCGTTGCCATCGCCGTCAGACCGTTGCAGCTCCATATCGAATGCGTCCCCGCCCGCGGGAACAGGGGCAGAAGAATTGTTCTCCGCTGGCTGAGACGAAGCAGCTTGATCGAGGCCACTTGGAGCACTGTTGCCGAGGCCAGACCCGGAAAGGAAAGCTTGGTTTCCCATATCGTCGTCTCCAAAGTCAAGGCTGATGCTAAAGGAGTTTGAGCCACCAGCTTCGTTCAGGACGGAGTCAAAGTTGAGTCCATCATTACCGTCTGTCAATGCTTGGTCAGGGTGGTCTGTTGTTTCAGGCTTTTGCTCTGCTTTCACAGCCACATCCTCTTTAGGCTGAGGTCCAGGCGCATCGGCGGGCGCGGGCGCCCCATCGGGCTTCGCCTCAATCTTGACGGAAACATGCTCAGCTTCCGTCTTTGTCGGCTCTGCAGACGGAGATTCTGCCTTTTCCTGTTGGCCGACTTCGACCATCGCCACATCTTGGGCGCGCGGTGTAGATTCCCGCGCCTTGATGGTATCGTATTCCTTTTCAAGGTATGCCTTGGCAATAAACTGTGAAACGTCAGCCGGGAAGGTTCCCATTTGATTGTCAAAAACTTAAAAATAGAAAAGAAAAGAAAAGAAAAGAAAAGAAAACAATTCCAAAAACCACAGACGAACGACGAAAAAGCAAAGAATAGCATAATCTACATAGATTTTGGGCTCCATTCATGTATTTGATGGTCTGTCGCCGCACTTACGATCTGCTCTGAGAGATTGTCGAGTGACTGCTGGAAGCTCTCATAATAGCCAGGAACGGACCGCTGCGCTTGGGTCTTGGAAGCAACTGAGCCTGATTTGCGAAAGAATCGACCGGTATCGCGGAGCTGGTCGCGTGTTAGCAAGGTGGTGCAGCCAATTTGGGGGGAAAGCGGCGGCTACCGTTCGCTCCACCAGAGTGGACAGTTCCGTCAGGGAATCTGGGTTATCCATAGAAGCCATAGCAGGAGAGGCAGATGCAAAGGAAATGAAACCAGGAAGCACGAAGTGGTACAAGACCTCAGGGTGTACACACGAATGGGGCGCTAATCCCGTTGTGGTCAGGTGGGGAGGGAAAGAAAAAGAGGGAAGACTGAGAGGAGCCCCTAGCCGCTACGTCTACACATTCGAACGGCCCTTATTCTTCCTTTGCTCTTTCTCTCCGTGCATCTCCTTTTTTTTCTTTTTCGCGCGTTCTTCCAACCAGTGCTCTTTGTTTGCCTCTGGCTTTCCTTGCTTCTTTTCGTTGGCCTTTTCCTGATCGGATTTACCTCGATTCCCTTCAGTGTTTCCAGTGACGACTTGGCAACTACCCATCCTGTTCTATCCCCAAAGCGAATTTCACTTGGGAATCCTGGGCCTTTTTGACAGATTTCTTCCAGTGGTTTCGTCAACTTGGACCCTTGTCAGCATCGGACCCTGTTGATCCCTACCTTTTGTTTGGATTGAACAAGCTTGCTTTGTGGTTGGACTCGTCCGTATTCCAAGCGCCCCGCGAAACCAACGCCCCCCTCTTCATCCTGATATATTATATTTGGGATTTGCTGGTCTACCATCAACGTGATTCACGATAGCCCGCTGCGCTATATATCGCCTCGACCGTTTCGACCCTCACAATCCTCGCGCTGAATCCGTGAAGATCATTTGGTCTCCCAAGCACGTTACTCTCCGGCCATCACCCCCCCCCCCCCACACCTGTCTAAAGCCCATACACGATGGCTGAGAACGTTCCGGCATCTACCCCTTCCTCCTTGCCGGCGCCTCAGGCTGCTGCGGGGGCTCAGAACCAGCAGTTCGATGCCGCCCAGGGCAATGGCCAGACGAACCCATCCCACATGCCTCCGCCTCCGCGTCCCCCGGTGATTATCCCCCAGACCAATCCTATCCCGACAGCCATTACCTCGCCGCTGTCGGGCAACATGATGTCGCCTACAAGCGCAGGTGGCTATGTTCGTCGCGCCGCGCCTGAGCCTAACAAGCGAGCTCTCTACGTTGGCGGCCTCGATCCCCGGGTGACAGAGGACATTCTCAAGCAAATCTTTGAGACAACTGGCCACGTGGTTAGCGTCAAGATCATCCCAGACAAGAATGTGAGTCAACGGAAGGATGCTTTTGCGGGGATTATGTGATAAGCAGGATGCCTTGATCCGTCTTATCCCCGTCCCCGCCTTGACTGTGTCCATAATCGATGTTTGCTTGTTTTGTTTAATTTTCCGTGTTGGGTTTGCGCTGACCAAGTAAGCAACAGTTCAACAGTAAGGGATACAACTACGGCTTTGTCGAGTTTGACGACCCTGGAGCCGCTGAGCGAGCCATGCAAACTCTCAACGGCCGTAGAATTCACCAATCGGTTCGTAAATGCAAACCCTCAAATCCATGGTATATACCTACTAACTCGACGTTCAGGAAATCCGCGTCAACTGGGCCTATCAATCGAACAGCACCAACAAGGAGGATACTTCGAACCACTTCCACATCTTTGTCGGTGACTTGAGCAATGAGGTGAACGATGATGTCTTGCTCCAAGCATTCTGTGCTTTTGGCTCGGTTTCCGAGGCTCGCGTAATGTGGGACATGAAGACCGGTCGATCGCGCGGTTACGGATTTGTTGCCTTCCGAGAGCGCCAAGATGCCGACAAGGCGCTGAACGCTATGGACGGAGAATGGCTTGGGTCTCGTGCCATCCGCTGCAACTGGGCGAATCAGAAGGGCCAGCCTTCTATCTCTCAGCAGCAGGCTATGGCTGCCATGGGAATGACCCCTACCACTCCATTCGGCCACCACCACTTCCCTACCCAGGGCATTCAAAGCTATGACATGGTTGTCCAACAGACCCCTCAGTGGCAGACCACCTGCTACGTTGGTAACTTGACACCATACACGACGCAGAATGACTTGGTCCCCTTGTTCCAAAACTTTGGGTACGTCCTTGAGACTCGACTCCAGGCTGACCGCGGATTCTCCTTCGTGAAGATGGATTCACATGAAAATGCTGCTATGGCGATTTGTCAGCTCAATGGCTACAACGTCAATGGACGTCCCTTGAAGTGCAGTGTAAGTTTCTAATTTGGATACATTTGTATAAATTTCTTTCGTTTCTGTCGCTAATAACAAACAGTGGGGCAAGGACCGTCCTCCCACCGGCCAGTTTGATGGCTTTTCGCCCCAGCAAGCAAATGCAGGGTTCAACAGCAGCCCTGCTGGCTTCTTTCCTCAGTACGGAGGCCCTCCTGCCAACCCTATGGCCCAAGGTTAGTCCCTTACATTAGGAGTTCTTCTGCTTTCCGGCTGACGGTTTAGAGTAGGTCCCGCGCCTGCTGGGCGAGGCTGGGATCAACAGGGCGCCAACTTTGGCGGTCCTGGCATGCCTGGCCAGAGTTATCCTCAAGGAAATGCCGCTGGTTATGGCCGTGGTCAGCCCATGTCCCCGTCTGGTAACTGGGACCAGTCCAACAACAACAACTTCAACGGAGCCTACCAGGCGTAGTTTCCTTCCCACATTGCCATTGAGGTTGCACTTGGCTAGAACGCTATACGGCCATTCGACATGCGCAAGAACTCGACCCCGGCCCTCATTGGCTGTAGCCAAATTTCTTCCGGCTTAGAGCCGGCTGGACCTTTCTCTCAAATCACTCCCCACTCACTCGCCCTTTGAACTCCCTTCCTTTCCCTGCCTGACTGGTGTTGACTTATGTCCAAATTTACTCTTTGAAACGGATTTCCGAGCGAGCAAACTGTCTGCTGTTGTGTTCTTTTTTTTTTCCTGAAATGGAACTTTGTGTCTTGTGCACCGAATACCCCAAGTCCACATTGTTGGTTTGATCTTTCTTTCATCCCTTTTCGAGTGTGCGAGCACCAGTTTGTTTCCTTGGGCTCTTGATTGAAATAAAAGCGACCTGTCTTCTATGTGCCTGGATTTCCCTTTGCCCCATCTTCTTGCTAGTTGTGTATTGCATTGCCTCAGTACCCGAATGTGCTGTATCGAAGTTGCTATATTTGTGCCTTATCACTTGTCCTTTTCCTCTTTAGGCTCATTCCTCATCTCGTGGATATTGTTCATTTTTGTGTTCCATCAAAAGATGCCCTTATGGGGTTCCATGGATTTCCTCTCGGTTGACAATTTGGTCTTATGGGCTTTTCATTTCCTTTCTCAAAGTATCCGTATATGCTGTGATGAATTTCTTTCTCTGTGCGTGTGATCTTGCGTGCCTTTGAGCATCCTAGCCATATACCAATTTGCCTTTTGTCCTGCCTGCATGATGATACCCCTAAAGTGTCGATGAATCGTTGTCCTACCCTATGATGCTTTTGTTGATGGAGCCCGCGACGTCGTGTTACCCTGTAGGTAGCCAGGGTCCTAATACATAGGCGATCCAACAGTGTGCTCAAAAATTGCGGTTGCGGTTGGTCAGTGACTACAAATTATAGTTATTCGAAGAATAGAGATCTTTCCAGATGATGTGTCAAGTTAATATTGCTCCCTGCGCTGATTTCCATCTTTGTTGCCTGAAACAGTAGGAGAGGGCAAAGCACCTCCTGAACGTTTCGACCCGTCAGTATTTCCGCAACGCAAAATAATTGAACCGACTATTCCAATACTGACGCTGTCCCCAAGCCCCTGACTCCGAGTTCCCAAAAAGGTCGGGGGAACTGCCCCTGTTCCTGGTCCCTCCACATACCAATGGATGACGGCGAAAGCCGCACTGCGGAATTCGTCCCCGCCGGCAAATCGTCTACTCGTACACGCTCCGGGAGCGCAAGCAGCCACAAGCGAAGCCTTTCAGGCTCGCTCTTCTCTAGATTTCCATTTTTCCGCATGACACAAACGGAACAATCGGGTCTTGGCTCTCGCACAATGGAACAGGACGGGGACAACGAAGGCCCAGTGTCATCTAACACCACGCCAAGGGCAATCGACCCAACCTCCCACGGCAAGGCGATGTCCGCAGCGATGCAGCATCAACGCCGGACAAGACGACGAAGAGGCTCGTTACGAAAGACGGCGCTGCTCGGCACACGCCTTGAATCCCGCGACAAACGCGCCCTGGGTAAAAGCGCGGACTCGAACCGTGCCCAGAGCAATGCCACCGGCACCTCCCTCCCTCCTCCTAGAATCCCAATAGATCAAACATCTCCATCTGAACACGCATTCGAATCCACTAAGGGCGGCAACTTCACTGACGGCCCGTCAGATACTGCCCAGCCGAGCTGGCGCGGTGTGGACGCCCTCCTAAAACCTCGCACCTCTGTCGCACGTCGACGCCAGGAACTCGCGCAGCAGCAACAGCAATATACGCACAACGCCCTGCTCAGCGAAGAAACCGGGACTGACGAGGAAGATCTCGTGTCATTCCCTCACATAAACACTGCAAATAACCCCTCCGATTCGACAGACTCCGTCTTGCGCATACCCACCCCTTCCTCCAGCTCCGAATCCTTCTTTCCTCTCAATGCAGACGCAAACTATCGGCCTGTACATCGGGCCAAGTCCTCGCCTCTGGCAACACATTCCATGGAAATGCAGAGTAGTGCGGGTATAGCCTGGGACTACTCGGAGACAGAGTGGTGGGGCTGGATAATATTGATGGTTACTTGGTTGGTTTTTGTCGTGGGCATGGGCAGCTGTTTCGAGGTCTGGAGCTGGGCCTGGGATGTTGGTGAGACGCCATACGCACCACCAGAGCTGGAAGATGACCCTACGCTTCCTATTGTGGGATACTATCCTGCTTTGATCATTCTCACGGCTGTTATGTCGTGGGTTTGGGTTATTATTGCTTGGGTCGGGATGAAGTATTTCAAGCATGCCAATATATCTGGGGATGACAGTTGATTATAGCGTCCTTTTCTCCAATGATACCCATTTGTTCTTGTACAAAATATCTAGTTTAATAGCAAGGCTTCTATGCAAAAGATTATATTATTTCAATGTGTTGAATCTGTAAACTCCACGCTTATACTCATTTGGATCTTGAGATTTCCTTCACCGATCGCCAATGCAAATTGCTGCAACAAAATAACATAGTGCCATTTTCAAGCCTAGAAACACCCGACGCCCTGAGAAAAGAAGAATTGCTTGGACTGTTCATCAAAGTCAATGAGTTACAGCACACCCAGGTGGATGGGCTAAACGAGACGCCTCGATATCTGCCCCGGAGGCTGATGAAGCACAATCTGTCTTATTCGGCGGCGGGACAGTCGTTCCAGGAGCCGTGCTCACAAGGCCCTTGGACACGGCGTAATAAGATGAGCGATCATGCAGGTTCTCGCTATAGAACTCATCCACAATCGGATGAAGCAGCACAGTCTGCTTGTGGATGGTGACCACCGAGTTTGTTGGGACAGACACCCAGTTGTCTAGCCTGCGTTAGTCTCTGTAACCGTACTTCCAAGATAATGTGACTCACGTCTCTCGAAGGTGATAGGTTCACTCGCGACCAGCACAATATCCGCCCCTTATCATGGCGCTCCATCTTGAAATGCCCCTTCGTCGTGCCCTCCTTCCACTTCGTCCCCGACGAGAAGTACAAGCTAGCCGGCTCATCAGTCTTGCTGCTGATATATCTCGTACACACAACAGTATGACCATCCGTCACCGCAAAATTAAGCAAACTCCTCGTCTCAACTCCGGTCACATTATACCGCTGCGGAATCTCGCGAATAAACTCATTGATCTTCGCAATCGTCTTCATCATTACTCGGCGCAGCAACGCTTGCCCAAACCCCTCAGGGCCCGGATCTGCACTCGGATCCGCGCCCTCTTTCTCCAGTAGATCGAGGAACAGCGCAAACGCCCACTCACTATCTGTCCCGCCCTTGACGCCCAGGAACCACTTATCCGCCAGCGACGAAGCCAGCGTGCGCTTGACATAGTTCCAGCCACCAATGTTGCCATTGTGCATCCACATCAACGACTGGTGTTGGAACGGATGACAGTTATTATCCGCCAGCGAGCCCTCGGTGGTTGCGCGCACATGCGCGAAGATCAGATTCGAGCAAGTCTTCGACGCAAGCCGCTCCAGATTCTCGCAATTCCAGGCTGGCAGCGTGGACGTGAAGATGCAAGGCTCAGGACCTAATTTGGGGTCTGTGTAGAACCCGACTCCGAAGCCGTCGCCGTTGACCGGGCGGCGGTTGTCCTTTTACTTTGGTCAGCGGTCATTGCCAGTTCCGCAGAGAGGACAAAGATTCACCAGTCGTAAGCGCGAGTCATAGGACTGCGTGAGGATGGAGTGGCTGGGCTCGGTCACGAGCTTGCTGAGCCGAATCTCATGGCGTCCTTTATAAATCTGGCCGCTTGTTAGTGTCGATGCGTTTTAAGCCTATCGGGCTCGTGTGCCTCTGTTGACTCACCAAAAAACGGCACATGGTGGGTGTTTGTGCGTTGATGGTGCAAAACGAAACCGATGGTTATTTGCTTATATAGCTCACCGGCAAGATGACAGGGCAGTTCACAAGAAAAACTAAGAAGTTCCTCAAAATCTGCAGTCAGACACAAATCCCTGGGCGCATTAACGATCGAAGAGCTGGACAGCTGGACGGTCACCGACTATCGGGGCCAATCAGGGTTTGTATTCAACCACTCAACGCCAGCATTCAAGGTTTCGACTGGAATCAAGTGTAGAGAATTTCTAAAGATACAAGGGAAACCATCAATAAATAAACAATAAACCCCCTTTAGATGAAAGCTCACTTCCCTTCCACAGCACGTCATTCCATGAATCACGTGATATATACGGCAGCCAAGGCGGCCACTTAGTGCAGGTCACGTTGATGTCAATGATCAACCCGAGGAGCATCAAGAATAACTTCATCCATCTGGCCTTGAATGTGACCACTCGACAGCCATGAGTGGGAGGATCCTCTCCCATCGACTTACCCCGCTTGTGCGGACCGGCCTGGCTCGCCATATCCATAACGCCGGCTCCCGCACGGGGGGGGTTACTACGCGCAGATGGCGGCGCTGCGCTTCGAGGACGCGCCTGGCCCATAGGCGCAAATGCGATTCACAATGTTCCTGCTGTCCGAAACTTCTCTTTCGCCCGGATGCTCCCAAAGCTTGCCATGAAGCTGGTGAGAGTGCCCGCTATGTTTGGTGGAGCTACGATTGCGGGTTTGGCTTATTTTCAATACCAAGCGACTCGTACGTGATGTGCCCTGACGGATTCGAGGAGATGCTGACGATTTCTCTACAGAGGCGGGCACCTATGCGATGGACTTACTAAGGTCCGCTGGGGATACTGCAGGGAGTACGGCGGCCGGTATCTTTCAAGGCATACAGAATGCGGCCGAGCAGACACAGCGGGGATGGAGCAAGACAACCGAGGAGATCGAGTTCCCGGAGTGGCTACAAAAGATCCTCCGTATGGATGAGGAGTCTCAGTCTGAGCATGGCGGAGGTGGTAAAGAGCCAAAGGAGCCTGGAAATGCCGCGGCGGGAGCTGCGGCTGCCACGACAGCGGCTTTTGGATACGACCAGTCCAACGAGGACGATACACGGGCTGGGAAGCAGGCTGCCGATGACGACCAGATGATGCTCCTTACACGAAAGATGATCGAAATCCGAACCATTCTGCAGACAGTCGGCCAGTCTGGGTCATTGACTCTTCCATCCATTGTCGTAATTGGCTCGCAGTCTTCCGGGAAAAGCTCTGTCCTTGAAGCCATCGTTGGTCATGAATTCTTGCCCAAGGGATCGAACATGGTCACCCGCCGACCGATCGAATTGACCTTGATCAACACCCCTAACGCGCAGGCTGAATATGGTGAATTCCCGGCACTCGGTCTTGGAAAGATTACCGATTTCTCTTCAATCCAGCGCACATTGACCGATTTGAACCTCGCGGTTCCGGATAAGGAGTGTGTCTCTGATGACCCTATCCAGCTCAATATCTATTCCCCCAACGTTCCGGATCTTTCAATGATTGATCTTCCCGGATACATCCAAGTGGCTGGCCATGATCAGCCTCCAGAGTTGAAGCAGAAGATCAGCGATCTGTGTGACAAATATATTCAGCCTCCCAATATCATTTTAGCGATCTCAGCTGCGGACGTCGATCTGGCCAACTCAACCGCATTAAGAGCCAGTCGCCGTGTTGATCCTCGTGGTCAACGTACTATTGGTGTGATCACGAAAATGGATCTCGTCGATCCAGAGCGTGGCCACGATATCCTCACGGATAAGAAATACCCACTCCGACTGGGCTACGTCGGTGTCGTTAGCCGGATTCCTTCGACTACTGCTCTCTTCTCCCGAGGATCGGGAATGTCACCTCTGCCATTCTCAAGAACGAGAACGCTTACTTCTCTGCACATCCCACCGAGTTCGGACCGCACTCTGACACCCAAGTTGGCGTGTCCACTCTGCGCAAGAAATTGATGCATGTTCTAGAGCAAACTATGGCATCCAGTCTTTCGGGTACTCGCGACGCGATCAGCCAGGAGCTAGAGGAGGTCACCTACGAGTTTAAGGTGCAATACAACGACCGACCTCTGAGTGCCGAGTCTTACCTTGCAGAGAGTCTGGACGGTTTCAAGCATTCCTTCAAGGCATTTACGGAAGCTTTCGGTCGCCCGCAAGTTCGGGAAATGCTGAAGGCTGAGCTGGACCAACGTGTCATGGATATCCTTGCCCAGCGCTACTGGAACAAGCCCGTGGAAGATCTAGACCCGCCGATGGCAGAGCTTGATCCGCTCAAGGATCTGCCCAAGGCGGACCCAGAGTCATTATATTGGCACCGAAAGCTGGATGCATCTTGCTCAACCTTGACCAAGCTTGGAATCGGCAGGCTCGCTACTACAGTGGTGGCCAATGCTCTTCAGAACCATGTTAATTCCTTGCTCGCCAATTCTACCTTTGCATCCCACCCCGGTGCTCACAAGCAAATCATGGATGCTTGTACCAGCATTCTGAATGAGCGGTTTTTCAGCACTAGCGACCAGGTGGAGAACTGCATCAAGCCATACAAATTTGAAATCGAGGTCGATGATACAGAGTGGTCTAAAGGCAGGGAGAATGTGGCCAAGGTGCTCAAAGAGGAGCTCCGTGCCTGCGAATCCGCCATTAAGCATGTGGAGGACATGGTTGGAAAACGGAAATTGAAGGATGTTATTTCTTTCATTGACAGGGTCCGCAAAGGTGATGTAGTGCTAGAGGGTAATGGATCTGGCGGAGCCGGTGGCTTCAGCGCTGCTCTTCTGGAGCGAGGCCGCGAGGGTCTGTTCCTGCGTGATCGCGCCGAGCTCATCAAAATGAGACTCATGGCCGTTAAATCCAAGCAATGCGCCACGCAGAAGAACAAGTACTACTGCCCCGAGGTTTTCCTCGATGTGGTCGCCGACAAACTTACGTCGACCGCCGTGCTTTTCTTGAATGTCGAGCTTCTGTCCGAATTCTACTACAACTTTCCCCGGAGCTGGATTTGCGACTCGGCCGGCACCTCTCCGATGAAGAGATTGAACGCTTCGCTCGCGAAGACCCACGCATCCGCCGACACCTCGATATCATTCGCAAGAAGGAGCTCCTTGAGCTAGCTCTGCAGAAGATCGAGGGCATCCGGCAATTAGATGGGCGCAACAACCAGCGCGACCAGGAGCGTGCTCCTCCCAGCAAGGACACTGGCAGCCGCTGGGGTCTTTTCTAAACTTAAAACCTCTCTCATGACTTGTGACTTATTTGTGCTCGTTCCTTCACCCAACCCTGATACCTCTTTTTCTTCATGTTATGTATCTTCACCACCGCCCATCTCATGCGAATATTCCCCTTCCATTACTGAGTCGACTTCTCATTCTGATTTAGTGTGCGACCCGGCGTTTTCTGTCTCTAGATAGCGCGACTTTTGTACAAACTCAAATCAAGATTATCTGCCACGTCTAGCATAACTATAACTTGTTCTAGTGCTAGTGTCTCGCTATCGATTTCCTGATTTAAAAAGCCGGAGCAGCAGGCTGACAATGTTGTTCCATCCCCTTCACATTTCGGAGTACCCTTTGAGCAAAATGTCCATGGCCACTTTGAGACCAACTTGAAGCGGTCATACTAGTCCCGAGGTCTTCGTGTATCAAAGCTGTAAATTACCGCCAGTCCATCTAAGAATTCATGAGAAACGAAATTCATTGGCTAAAATCGGCAAGGTCTAAACAAAAATCCCAGCCCCCGGTCTATCTATTCCCTAAGCGTACACATCCAGCAAGAAAAAAAACTGGAGTTCAACAGAAAAAGTCAGCGAATTAATGCTTTTTCCTCCATCCTCATAATGGAAAGGTTTGTCAGGACACTGATCACATCCAATCCAGTAGGCAGATAATGAGATGCAAGGATGAACGGAATAGAAAGCGCGAACAGCAGATGATCAAAACCGAGAAGAAATGAGAATGTCTAGTACAGAACAGCAACACAGAAAAAAAAAAAATATATCGAACAATGACCGAGTTGGTAAGGAGGCATATATAGATGGCATGACGTTTCGAAAAAGGAACGAGGACAGTTCCCCGAATTGGGCGAATGAGGGACAAGAGAGATGCGGTATGTGCTAAATTGCATAGAAGCTTTTTACAGCTCATAAACAACTAGCTTATTCGCGGGACACATCACGGCCAAAGAGTCTTGCCTTGATCCAGTCAACGGCGACCAGAACACGGTTGCGGGCTAAATATCAGCGTTAGAGATGTCAAGAAACGGGCGACCCGAAAAAAAGGCGAGAAACTTACTGCTGAAGCACATGCTCAAGTAAGCACTGCGCCAGAAGAGGTAGGTCAGGGTACCACCGCTGGCAATGTTACCACTCAGCCAGCTGATGTCGGCGACGGCACGCTCCTTTCCGATGTAAGCGAGACTTCCCTGGTGGGAATACTGGAAGGGACCGATCTGCTTGACGCGGCGGAGCTGCTTCTGGCGCTCGCGGATCTCATCTAAGACCTGGTTGCGTTCCTCCTCGGACTTGGCCACAGACTGTTCATCGGACAGGTTCTGGAGCTTGGCCTCGATGGTCTGGGTCTTGGCCATGGTGTTAAAGAGGCGGGCGAGGAAAGCACCCTCCTGACTAGCAACCTGAGCGGTGGGAGCGTAGTTGGTGATAGCACAGTCACCGACGGCCCAGATGTTCTCAGTACCGTTGACCACCAGGTATTCGTTGACGGCGAGACCGCGGCGGGAGTTCTTCTGGGCAGGGATTTGGTTCATCAGGTCGCGGACGACGGGGCGCACAGCGTTACCGGTGGCCCAGACGAGAAGGCCGTAGGGAATGGTCTCAAGAGTCTTAGATCCGTCAGGGTTGGTGACCTCAGCCTCAATGAACTTGTCGGTGACATTCTTGACCATGGTCTTGGTGCGGATGGTGATCTCTTCTTCCTTGAAGGTCGATTCGGTGTAGTCAATCAGCTGCTTGGAGAACATGGGCAGAACGTTGGGCAAAGCCTCCACCAAGGTCACATGGAAGTTGTCCTTGATCTCGGGAATCCACTTCTTGAGATCTTCGTTGAAGAAATCCTGAAGCTCACCCGCGAATTCAACACCAGTAGGGCCACCACCAACGACGACCATGTGCAACAGACGCTTGATCTCGTCCTCGGTCTGGTCCTTGAACATAGCAGTCTCAACACAGTCCATGATGCGCTTGCGAATTTCCTGAGCATCATCAACTTCCTTCAAGAAGCAAGAGTGCTCCCTAACGCCCTTGATACCTGGATCAATCCATAATTGTTAGTCAAGGTACACTCCAGCAAGCGCATGCGCGCGGACAACGAAGACTCACCGAAGGTCGCGTTCTCGGCACCAACACCGATCACAAGCATATCGAAGGGAACCTCGGTGCTGGAAATGTCACCCTTGACCTCGGAGTCATCGTTGATGAGAACCACACGCCTCTCGTAGTCGATCTTGGTGGCTTCGGCTTCGTAGAACTTGACATTGGCCTTCTTCTGGCGGAGGATGTTACGAACGGGCTCCATGATGGAGCGGTGCTCGATCAGACCGGTGGTACATGACGGAAGCAGGGGAGTGAAGAGGAAGTAGTTTCGGGGGGAAACGACAATGACATTGTAGTTCTCAGTATCCAGCTTCTTCAGCAGAGAGACAGAGCCCCAACCAGTTCCTGCGCGGGAACGAAGGTTAGCAACAGACCAAACGAAACCGTCGCATGATGCGTCATACCGAGAACGACCAAGGTCTTCTTCGAGGGGTCGGGTTCGATCTGGTCCACGGGGTGACGGAGATCGTAAATGCTGTAAGCAAGGACACCGGCGAGACCAAGGGAAGTCATCCAAGTCAAGCGCCAGGCCCAGCGCAGCACACGAAAGCGCTTCTTGGGCTTGGGAGCAGGCGACGGTGCGGCATCAGCGTAGCCGCGGCGAGCGACACGCGATTGGACGGAACGCAGCTGCCTTGCACGCAGGATGGGAGCTGTTGTGATGGATCGACGAGACGACAGCTGCATCATGGAGCGCATCGCTAGCGAAGAGCCGGCCATTTTGGATGCACCAGCAGGTGGGAAAGCTGGAGGATGGAAAGAGCGGAATCAAGCAAGTGTGATAAGGGAGCGAGGATGTATGGCTGTTTTGGGCGAATCGGTGTACCGCTCCCTTTTTATTTTTTTTTCCACGCGCGGGTAAGCGGGTACTTCGTTGACTGCGTGATTTGTTCGTATTACCTGTACCTTCTATGATTCTAATACTTCTAAACGTCCCCCTCCTCAGTAGCCAGGCTATCAAAGTCCTGATCTCTACTCCGCTACAATTATTTCGTTCACAGCCTTGCCTACTTTGCCTACTAGCTCAATTGACATGCTACTAGAGCTCAAGCTACGATAGCTTCCTGTAGTCTTCGGCAACGACTGCCGACCTCGCGCCCCGTTTTTCTTTTCTTTTCTTTTTTTTTTTGACTCTTTTATCCCGAAAAGGCAATGAATTGGAGACTCTTTGCTCGTGAGGGGACAGCCCCCCCATCTCGGTGAGGAGAAATTATTCGCTGAGTCAAACCGGGTAATTGCGGGAATGCTGTAAGTGCACTTCGAGCATTCTGTCCAAGGTGCGATCAAGAGCAACAATTATCTCTGGAAATACAGGCATGTTTCCTCTTCTTTCCAATGTCCCAAGCATGCTCCATTCTGACTTATCCGATTCCTCGAAATTGCTCCGGTATTACCCGCACTGCGGAAAGGCAGGCTTTCTTTAGATTGATTTTCGCGGCATCGCGTTTAGCCATTGGCTATGGTCCGTATAATCGAGGGAACGTACTTATGGCCCTCCAGCTGTCACGAAAAGCTCTGATGTCATGAGGGCCCTGAGGACTACAAGGGTTGTCCGAGTCGAAGCTGGCTCGGCGATGATCGGCAGGGCTCTAGACTTTAGATTCATAATCGATCTAGATCATGATGCTTAACTAGCTGGCTCATTGACTCAGAACCAGACGTCGAAATAGCAACGTAGTTCCCGCTTGACCGTCCCGGTTAACCAGGTCCTATTTAAAATTTTGAACTCGATTAACTTAATCAACGCCTATTAATTCAATTGAATAAACCGGATTTTGCATGCATTAATCTTGTGCCCAATCTCCCTACATCCGCTACACCTAGGCGGAGCCTTAAGTGTTGGTATCTGCCTCAGTACGCAATTCATTTTGCGTATGCGATTCTATCATTGGTGTCTCTTTTGGTAAATCTCGCTGTTTAGCTAGATTTACACCCTGTACAGCGGTTAAAAATCTCTTTGTAAGATATCTGTTTATAGGATCGATCATACTCATTGGCAGTTCTCTCGTTGGTTGAGCTTATATTCGTGATTTCTTTGCCAAGGATTGTAGCGATATAGAAGTATATTTGACAACCTGATCTATAGCAGATTTGGTAGGCGACGGAGGGCTTTTAGATCCTTATTTTTATTAGTTTTTCGAGAATTTCAGTTTGTTTTCTAAGCCAAGCTACTGTTTTAGGTGCTTCCGGTGTAACTTCGCTAGATCTGCTGCTCGGTCGGCTGTTTAGTAGTGAAGGTATGGGAAGGGATATATTGAGCTTCGAGAGAACTTTTTCTGCATCAATCGGTACTAAACCAATAGTTACAGAGGTGTTTCGAATAGTGTTGGAATAGAAAGTTTCTTGTCGTGCACGTGGGTAGTCTTCTAAGAAATCAAACTTGTCGATATGGTCATGTCCTCTCTGTACAAGTCACTTATAAAACGACCATATACACGTTTAAACACTGCAAAATATCAACATCAAGAGGTTAGAGTAGATGGGACGAATGTGCAGGCGTGCAAAGAGGAATAATATTGTTTCCGGTACAGATTTGATCGAATTGTGCTGTGACGTGCCTTTTATGACTGTCAAGGATCAATAACCGAAACCGACCTCGTATACGTCAATTCGCATATAGAATAAAATGCTTTTGTAGCCAGCGAAGGCCTATCTCATCGGTAGTCCATCCATTATCTGAGACTTCGAATCGCCAATCTTTTGGTAGGTTCTCGAACCAGCCTATATTTGCAACTTTGCCTTTAAAGATTATGTATGGCGGTAACGAATAACCATCTGCACAATTATTTCGATAGTAGTAACCCATTCGCGATTCCCAGGCTGCAAAATAGGTCGCCGACAGTAGTAGTCTGCTCTTGTAACAACCTTCTGTAACTACCTAACTAACTGGATATGATAAATCAATCATTAGTTAGTCAGACGCTGTCCGATAAAACCGGTATTCTAATTGGCCTTGCACTCGTTCAATTTCTGCCACGCTGCAGGTGAGAAGATATAGAGGAAGCTATCGAGCCATTATAGGCGATATTATCGTAGGAGATTATATAGATACTGTGGTGAACCATAACTTGACCTTGAAGCAGCGTGAAAACATGCCAGAAGTACTTCAAAGAATAAATCATATTGAGCATCTGATATACGGTGACCCAGCTATACACATATTATCCGCTCACGGCAGCTCTCGATGCTACCTAGGTAGCATTCTAGTCGGAGACAATCCCAACCAGCATGCTGCTGATTACCCGCTGCCAAGGGAAACAAGTTGAGGGAATAGACAAGAAGCCATTCCTGGTTGCTCCAAGGAGCGGGTGTGTCGGCAGAAATGCCAACGTCATGCCACAGAAAATTTGTTACAAAGTGTAGATGGGGTACCAAAGGTTGATTCGTTCAGTGGTGGGTTTGTTGGTCAGGGATAGAGCCTCGGTACTCAACTGTATATCGCTGGAAGATGTTTGGTAAACTGAAGCTGTAAGAGAAACGGTGCCAGTGAGATGGGATCATTCAACTAAGGAGCTGCAGACTGAATCGGGGTCGGAGTAAGCTTACTGAGCCAAGTTGAATCGGTATACAGAATGACGATGCTGATGGAAGAAATCCAGTAAGGAAACAATCCAGCAACTCGTTGGAATGTCGCAAAGACTGCGAGTCAATTTTGGGCAGAACTTCAAGTTGGGCTTGAGCTCGATGTCATTTTTTCAATCGGCAAACCTGAAGCACTCGACCAAGTTAAAGTCCTGAAAGCTATGAACAAGAGATTGAAAGAACCGATGATCTCCAAGGGGATGCGCAATACTAATAATAATCAGGAGCATCTCTGCTAGCAGGGCTGGGCATGGAGAAAACCTTCCCACCAGCGAACATCGCACCAGTTAGTATACCACTGCTAGTAGCATAGAAGCGCCCCCGGTAGTATATTGGTAACGGGGAAAATGGTGCAGGCTTACTGCTATCAGTTTCGACCAGAAATAGTGGCACCCTTGCGGACAATCTTGGCAGATTTTATGCCGATACATGTACATCCCAGCCACGGTGTGCGCAAGCGCCAAAGCTAGAGTAGATCTGATACCTAAGGAAGACCTCGAATCTGATATCTCCACTTGAAACCCGGTACTCTTCGAATACCCTGGCTCTTGCAAAGTCTCCACCATTGCAGCCACAGCTAGGAAACTGCAATGCAATGCTCCAATCGCCCTGATAGAGCCTGCAAATATCAATACGCATATAGTCATCAGCATTATCTCCATTAGGAAAACGGTAACCAACCAGACGGCCTCATTTAGATTCCAATAACCCAAGCATTCTGTCCAACAGGCAGTCTCCAGCCAAATCTCAAGACACAAACCGCCAAAAGCAATTTAGACACAATGGGAACAATTAGCCAAACCCCACGCCCAGATTTTGATTGAGAACATCTAGCTAATCCCCCTCAACCCCACAAAGAAATCCGCAAAGCAACCGCATCAAACTGTATCAGAGTAGTCATATGTACTGGCTAAAGCCCAGAGCTGCAGCCCGGCCCGTTCGCAACGCAACGGTCCTATGTCCAGGTCCGTACAGGTGGGAGCGAGGCCATCTCGGCTGGGTCTAGCATCCGGAGGCGTTGTGTCTCGTGCAGAAGGCAGGCAAGTGCTCCTGGTATTTCGGGCGCTCCGTGTAGGACAGATATTCAAGCTGTGCAAGGAGCTTCTGGTTTCTGGGCAGCTTTTGCATCGCTTAAACGAGGTCGTTGTGCGTTTTTTTGTGTAACACGTCGAGGGAAGTGTGGGGTCTAGACGGGCATTATTTGTCATTCTCATAGATTTGACGAGTCTGTTGCGAGTGGGACTACTAGTTTGTTTGAAGAGGAAGCGTAGAGTATATGAGACTGGGACGGGTTTTGATACTAGCTCCCATCGGGACCAGATAGTCCATAGATTGAGGGGAGGGTGTAGTCCATGTACTTGTGTCGAGACTGAAGTTATAGCTGTATAGGGAAGGATGCCTTGACCTAATTAGTAACGACTACAAGACATCCCTTCCGGGATTCTGAGAGACGAGATGTACAGACTCTATCCCACGCAAGATAGTGCCACTTTCTCAGCACATCATATATCCCTGACCAGTGCAGACCAAGAGGCCACCCGCATGTGTCGCGAAAGGGCAGCTTGATACAAAGATGGCAAAAAGAGCCACGGCAGCTCAGGAGCGACACAGCTGCTACTACCTCGGCCATGTTTTACTGACTGCACTACGCAGACTGTACGTGAACATCCAAGAATCCAGACAGGTAAGCGCCAAGCATAGCATAGCGAGCTATATGTTCCAGGTGAGCAATCTAAAGCAGCAAGCAAAGCAGCTGCAGCGAAAAGACGGGCAAAATCCTCAGCCAAGGCGACATTTGGTCACTATAGATCAAATCGCGATATGTCTAGATTGAGTCGCATCCGACTTGCAATAGACGAAGGCGCGCTTGCCGAGAAAGCCATTTGCTGCACGCTCTGCGCAGACGGATTTGAACTCCATGAAATGTCGGATCCTGGTCATATGGAGGAGGGTGTAATGGAGGCTCAGCCAACCCCTCCTCGAGAATCCAAGTCCGACTCTGGGAATCAACAGGCTTTGTTTTCTCGCCCCGGTCGTTCTTCTAGTTGGTTAATCGTGGAATGACAAGACGTGCTTGAGTTGAGATAATCAAAAACCCCCCCGGCGAACTGAACGTAGCTGTCCTTTGGCGGGGGCGCACGAGCTTAGCTTTTTACGAGGGGTCCCCTCTTTGCCTGAAATGAAGGCTTACGTTTCGTGGGCAAAGTACACCGGGGCGCGTGAACCTTGGGACGGTGATCTGCACGATTGAGGGGTCGATGATGTCTTCTTACGAAGTTCATGGGATTCGCCATGACTCAACTGACTCTGACATTCCAAGGCAAAATGATGTGAGGGGTACAGTCCTTTGAGGGCAGAGTCTGCAGTATATGCGAAGTCCGTAGTGAATACCAAATGAGACATGACGGCAGCGCTCAGGTACGACTGGAAGGCCGCTGGGCGATATCCCCAGAAACAGAGTACAAGTCAACAAAGAACCGGTGTGTTGGAAACAAGTCCTGCCTCGGGACTGTACCTGACATTGCAACCACGAGAAACCGGTCAGAGGCGGAACCGATCGGCTGTAGTCCCTTCGGGGAGGCGATGAGAACCGGATGCAAACGGAGATCGGGAATGAGATCCTGCGCTGGTTCTGAAGCCCTTGTTTCTCGGTGGACAAAATTTCAATCACGTTCAAGGAAAAAAAAAAGAAAACAGAATATTACTCGATAACCCCGTATGGGTTCCACAGGTACGGTGCAATAGCATCATCCTAATTTACTTGGGGCAGGGTTCTGCTGCCGGGGACTGGGATGATCATCCAGATTATCCAATGGCCCCTATGCTGCCGTCATTTACTGCTTATTGGAGTACCGGGCCTCTCGAACAGCTCTGGCCTAATCTTAGGTCACTCCAGTCACAACACCTCCTGAGACACGGGCTACGTAATGCCCGCTTCCCTCGACACAGACCTACAGCCTAGAGCTCCCCGGTTTACGCCCAGTCCAAGCCCAGCCCACAATTCCATCCTTGGTGGCCTCGCTTCCGGGGCTATCGGAAACTCGCAAGAATGCCCAAAGTTAAATCTTACAGAACCGCAAATAATTGGTGGTTGTGACCATATCAGACTTGCAGGGGAGGGGGAGGAGGGGGGGTGGTACTGGGGGCGCTTCAGAACGGGTCTATAACCCCAATGAACTAATATCAGACCGCCCATCAAGGCGATACCGCTGTAGGTCTAGGGAGGCGAATTGAAAGGCTTTGGCCCCTGCACCAGGAAGCAGGTCTGGAACCTGGAACCACCCCCCAACCCCACGCCCTTTGACCGATATGCTTGGCCGCTTTTATTGGCCTTTCTGAGTCGATTAGAGACTTGGAGGTAGCTCCATGTTTCCAGAGTACTACTTTTTCCAGCCGCCTCACGTACGCCATATTAGGAAAGACGACGGTAGTAGGACATATAAGCCCAACAGATTGGGCGGATACAGTCCGCCTTGCACGTATTGATGCACGTACATGTGAGGATCGCGAAGGAGTGAGTCCCTTGTCGCATCGTATGTGTATAAATCGCATTGCGCGAAAGCGGGAACTTAGCATAAGCGACCCTCCCCCCTCAACTAAAAAAAAAAGAAAAAGAAAAAGAAAAAAAATTCTTAATAACAAAAGAAGCGAAAAAGAAACTAATGATAAAGCCTCCGAACTCAAAAAGAAAACCAGATGCGTACGAGGTCACTTTCATCATCCCAGACCCGCCGATCAATGTACGCATTGTAGACCTCCGTTCCCGGAGACTCGGTTGGCACGCTCGACTCGGGTGTCAGTTGATGGAGACCCCCCTGCTCATGGGGGGATGCTCAATTTCGGGCGCCTTGGGATCCATCCCGGGCATGCGTATTAGGTACGACAGAAGTCTTGGAAAGGATGACACTAGCAAGAGCCTGCCACCGCATGGATCCAACTCTCCACCTCCAGGTAATGTCCGAGGTCGAGCCGTGTTGTCGGGCAACTTGAATCACTGATTACAGTACGGACTTGTCGAGACCATGTGGCAGAGCTTCAAGAATGTGCTGCACGCTGAAAACACAAAACACCGAGTTCCATGTCGTTGGTCGATTTACTGGGGTTGAAGATGGAATTGTGAAGTGTATTGGAGCCTTGGTCCAGTTAGCGGCCTATAATGAGATGTCCAGAAACCCGCCCCCCCCCGGGCCCCCCCCTTTTTTTTTTGTTCTTTTTTCTTTTTCTCTTCATTTCTTAGTTGAATCCGCTAAAGTCTACACCATATGTGCTTGGCTTTTTACTGGGCTGTTGACTGGTCTCTTTTCTGGGCTGGTAAGGTTCGGAGAGGGTGAGGGGCTGCAAGGAGCCTTGCCGGGAAAGAGGCCAGCAAGGTTGAGCACTGGCAGCTCCGGTTGACATCAAGTCGATGGCTCGTAAAGTGACGCATAAGACAGGTTGTCGACTCCCGGACTGCCCCCCGTGCCCCGCTGTATAATGGGCCCATTTCAGGAGTTGGGCGTGCGGATCGACCTTCAGCTTTGCTCTGTTGGATTCAAATTGTTCGGGTTCAGTTGCGGTGGCCAATACGGCCTGCAGCGGGCTACGGTGCAATCAAAGCTTCAGGGATCACGGACTCTTCGCGAGTAAAATCCAGACCCCTAAACCTCTTGGTTTTTTGGCCTACCAAGGCAGAGCACCAATCAAAGCCAGGTGCAGGTTACTTTGCTGCGGATCCCCAGTAGTGGTCGGCGTTCTTGTCCTCCACTTTCTTTTTACGCTAAACTCCGTAGGCGAGGTCGGGACCAGAACGAAGTGCCGACGAAGTTGTATTCTGACGGTCGCGGTCAGCCTGTATACACCAATAGTCGAGGTTGAAACCCGGCTTTCACCGGACAAAAGCGCGGATCATCGGTGGGATTCAACTATCGCGATCGTGTTTTTTTTTATTATTATTGTTGGGCTTACTGGTTCTTCTCCAAGTATACAGTATCCTAACTTCTGTAGGAGACAAGCTAATGGATGGGACAGGATAGGCCCGATCGGCTACACACTAGTTGTCTGTAAGGATCATGACCAGTCCCTTGTGACTGCATGTCGCACTGGGCGACGGGGAGCAGACACAAAGCAGAAACAGTTGCGAATGTAGATCAGTGTTTGGTTGGGCTGTTTCGGCGCGATGACTCGATGGTCCACGTCTGCCGCAACCGGGATGCAGTGGCAAGGAGGGACGTAAGAGGGGGGGGGGATCCCACTGAAAGGACGTGCCACGTTTAGGCGCTCAATGGGAACAGCTGGGGTGGGGACAAAGAGAGACATGGGGGAATTGGATGAATTGGGAAATTAATATAGATTCGGGGGGATCTCAATCAATGCTGGGAAGGTCACGGTGTAGATCGAAAGGCCAAACGGAAAAGCCCCGGTAAATTTGGCCTGCTGGAGGGCTTGGGCTGGTCCGATGGAAATAGGCCTTTTCGCCCCAAATCTCAAGACTCGACGGGATTGGTAGGAAGTGCCTACCACTTACACCGCGTACGGCAGTAGGTGCTCCATCATATGCATATTACGCTTCTCGAGGATCATGTCGTAGCCGGCCTACCACTACGTAAAAAGTATAGGCGAGATCATCGGATCGATCGTCTACAACAGTTGGAACAGTTGGAACAGTTGGGAGCAATGACACGGCGTAGACAGCCCCACTGAGGGCTCTCCATCTGGGGTTCTGGAAACACCGAAACGAGGGAAAACCGGTGCCCACATCGTGGCGGTGGCTCCCAAGAATCTCAAAATGAGAGATAACCAAAATGAAAAAGCGGGTACTTTTCCTCCTAGTCGTCCAAACTCCATCTCTAACCTCGTGTGCGTATCCACCGCCGCAGCTCCGAAGTCACGGCAAACACGAAGTCCTTGGATCGTCCGCCCTTCGGACCCATTCCACTTTCAGACCCTCGTTCCCGCGAACAGCATTATCAAGAAGTTCATACCGCGTATCCAGGTGGCGTGATACCCAAGCTCGTCTACCCCTTTTTAGGTATGTCCGATATTACTTGAGTAGATCGAATTAGAACTCTCGCATGAATGCTGTCCGGCCGGGACGCATTTCGTAGGCGGACCACAGCGGTTCGTGACATGGTACTGGGATGGCTGGGGATCTCTCAAGGCATCGAAGGCGCGTGCACCAAAACTTGTCGATGCGCGTCGCGACGAAACTAATTTTCCTCCCCAATTAGGGAACGTCTCCAGTATGTACTTGGGTCCCGGGGTGTCCTTTGTACTCCAAAATCGGCACTATTTGATGTACAGAGTAGCCAGAAGGGGTCGGAATCACCCTCCGTGACTTCCCCAGTATGACTACCAAGCAAAAGAAAAAAAAAAAAGAAAAAAGAAAAAAAAAAAGATAAAGAAAGAAAAAGAAAACGAACACGAAGAAAGGACTTACGCGAGGACTGGATGCTCGAAGCAAACGACCAAGATTGGGGCCAACATGCAGCAGGTTTCTTTTTCGGTTTTACCTGGGCGCTTGGAGTAGGAGGCGACTACATCCGCCAACAGACGGTTGCATGATAATCAGGCGAATGAGACGCGTGCGCGTCCGTGTGTCGTGGAGGCTTGAACCTGAACTATCAAATTGGTCCATCCCTGGAAAACCTTAGAAAAAGCAAAGGACCCAAAGGGCAACCGGAAAGAGCGGGAAAGTTTGAGGGTCGGGTCTTGGACCTCTACGAATCCATCATCCTGAGCAGGGAAGAGAGTGACGATCCAGAAGGCCAACTCGTAACTCCGCCTAACCCTCTCGGCAGGAAAAAGAAGGGAAAAGACAAGAGGCGAATCAGAGCAGCCGAGGCCGTTCAGGAGCCTCGCGTCACCGAGCCACAACAGCGAGCGGCTAACAACCGGTCGGGGAGTACGCGATTAGTCACCTGGAGGGTAACGGTGTCATGATTGCTCGCATTACTAGGCTAGGCACAAAGTCCCATGGGATCAGAGCCATCGTGATTCGGCCGTCGCACACTTTCTGGGTTTGGCCCAGTCCTCACCGCGCACGGGAGTTCAGCCACCCAGAGGGCGGGTGCCTCGGATTACAGTAGTGAGACTTTGGGTGGAGACTCCCATCCTGGAATTCCGTTCAAAAGGACAGGATCCGGGCCAGTGAGCAGTTGCCTTAAGAGGGGTGGGGGGAGGAGGGAGGAGGAGGAGGAGGAGGAGGCCGGGAGCCAATGATGGATGGGGCTCGAAGAAGAGCGTCTCTTCCAGCCCCGTGAGTTTTATTAGCTCAGCAGAAATGTACGAGCCTGATCCTTACTTTACATACCACATACACCATTCCGTTACCAATATTACGCCGATCTAGAATCCCCAAGTCCAGAGTCCCCCCCTGCTAAAGCACTCTCTCCCATGCCTCTCCCTTCATTATTACCGTCACGCTGTGGCCCTGGTTGCTGTATACGGAAATTGATCTTCTAGTTTCCCCGTCACTGGCTTCCTTTTTTCCTCTCCTCCCATTTTTCCTCCTCGTCCACCCTCTATTCTCTATTGGCTGGTGCTTTGTTTCCCTCCCCCATTCCTTTTACGCTGCGTCCTCTCCCTCTCCCTGGTGACGACTCTTGACTATTGATCAGCCACCCACTTTGTGCACAACCCCTGGCTCTTCCACCACTTTCCCCGTTTCACCCCACCTCCCCTTTCACCCTTTCTGTGCAGGACTCCGGAGGCGTACATGCTTTGCGCACCCTCACAGTCTCGCATACACGGAGGCTACAGAAAATCACCCCCCGTTGCAATCATACCTGGTAATTTTACTCCTATGAGGCATTGGGCCGACGGTTGCAACCACGCTAAACCAGCCCTGATTGTCGGATCTGATATGGGTCTTACATAGCACTAGGGGCTTTCCCCCCAGCAGTCTTGGATCTGTCCTCCGATATTCTGAACCTGTTCCAATTTCCAATTTCTCGGTTTTTTGGAAATGGATTTTCTTCTTTCCTCCGTAGCCTAGCATTTTGCCTTTGCCCTAACCTGACCCATAATTTTTCCTGTCCCCCCCCATTCTGCGCTACTGTAGACCATCCCTCCGCCCTGCTCCGCCTCTGTACTGCCGGGACCAGTGACCTCCGTAAACATTATTCTGCGACCTACCATTTCTGGTGCATCCACTTGTAACTGGCCATGACATCCGGTAATTTATGCTCTTTGCCCCTCCCTAAGAATAGCAAGAGGGCCTGAAAAGGTGGCTAAAAATGCCTCTGTTGGGAGTGGAAGGCTCCAGTCATAATAATAGCATAGCAAAGAACTTTTGAATGCTCTGAAGCTCGCAGAATCCATCTAGATTGGCCTAAACAAGGGGAGGATCAACTCTGGACCTGCGTCCGGGTCAAACTCTGGTACGCTCACGCTGCGCCGGGCCCAGCAAGACCTTCCTATTGGCCTACCCGCTACGGTAACGGAAAAGAAAATTCCCAAAAAATTCCAGACCTGAAATTAAAAAAAGAAAAAAAAAAGAAACCACCCAAAATAGGTGTCCCCGTAAAGGGTAAGAAATTTCTGAAAAAAGACAGATGATGCCTTGACTTCATAGTTTCTTGGGAAGTCAATTATTTTAATTGTATTTTCCTGTTTCCTATTTTCCCGGGCCGTGACCGTTCCTTTTTTGGGGTTTTACATTTTTTAACGTGAATATGACTGGCTCATTCATTTTGCAGTGGTTCCCTTCTCTCCTGGTTTAGTTCACTGCATCCTTATATGGGCCTGGCTTGGCCGTTTCCATATAGATCATTCTGCCGTTGGGAGCAAGTGAAGACTGTGAACCATTATTTCTTTCATTATCTCGTTTTATTGCCTCCTCGATCAGCCTCCATCGCCCCCCTTGGCTCCACTTGCTTCGTTGACTCTAGTCCTGCAATTGGGTAACTCCATATAGTGAACCGGCTCGAACGAGGTTTCTTTTTCATCCTCGCCTTTCCTTCGAATGCTCTTTTTCCTTTGCCCCAGCTTCTGTTACTACTGGGATTTCTCACAGTGATATTAAAGAGACTATGGACCAGTGAGGTGAACTAGGCTTGCTTGCCTCTCGACATCTATCAGCGATCAAAGCCTGCATATCCCATATGGGTCAACCTCTCTATCCGTTTATACCCCCACAGCTCTCCCCCATGTCTCTGCCACCGTTGGACTTCCAATTTTCCTTCCCGGGTCCTTCGTCTCCAGCCTACCACACGAGTGCCCAGAAGTCCTGTCCGCCAAAACCGGTGATTGGGGGCTCTTGGACTGCTCCTTTCCGTGACGGTCTGCCAACACCTCCCGGCGATATGACCGGAGTCACCTACAACGCGATGCCGCATTTTCCACATGGAGGGAATGTTCATGGAATGTCCTCTCATCTCTATGCTCCTCCACGGAACCACTATGATTCAAGTTCCTCTTCGATGGCTCCTGCCATGAAGCCACAAGTCCACGTCCCCGCCAACGATGCCCCCGCGACGGACCCTGTGCCCAAGAAGACGACCGGATCCAGCAGTGGCTCACAATTACAAATTCCCACGACTATAAACGCTAGTCAAGGCAGCCTCGCGGAATTTGCAGCTCAGGTATGTGGATATTGACAGTACTCAGGCTGAGACGAAAGACGGACCTTGAAAGACTGACGGAGTATTGAATAGATGACTTGTCTTTTCTGGTTCGAAAAGACCTCAAAGCTCCAAGCTATCGAAGACCGACGACACTCAATCCCTACTCTTCTCGCGGAGGCGATACCCACCCCGGGGTTCCAGAAATGGGTCTCCACGATTCTGTCTACCACTCAAGTCAGCCAAAATGTGATTTTACTGGCTCTTCTCTTCATTTACCGGCTGAAAAAGTTCAATTCCAGCGTCAAAGGGAAGAAAGGGAGTGAATTTCGGCTGATGACGGTCGCGCTGATGCTCGGCAATAAATGTGAGTCTCTTATCGCTTCACCGCCCGGGCGCTGATTGGACCCGCCATGCTGACCTCATCAACAGTTTTGGACGATAACACCTACACCAACAAGACTTGGGCCGAGGTCTCGGGGATCGCAGTGCAGGAAATCCATGTCATGGAGGTTGAGTTCCTCAGCAACATCCGTTACGACCTCTTCTCCTCGGAGGCCGAATGGGCTCGCTGGCACACCAAGCTCGGTCTTTTCGGCGACTATTTTAACGCCGCCTCTGTGCTCCCCGTCGAGTCCGAGCCACCAATCCTTCGCATCTCGCCACCACGACTGCAGTCCACTTCGCCATCCTCGAAGTTGCCTTCGCCTCCAGGCGATTTCCGTCCGCCCTCTCAGCCCAACTGGTATGCACCTACTCCTGCATTACCATACCCCATGTCGCAGGTGGGCGAGGTCGCCCCCGGTGGTTCTCGCAAGCGCACCCGCGAGGAGGAAAGCGAGCACCAGCCCATGAAACGGGTTTCGCGACCAGCTCATACTGCTTCGACGCCAGCTTCCATTTCCCTTCCATCACAATACCTCAACCCCGCTGCATCCTTACCTCCGGTCCTCACACCAACCTCTGCCCCTGTCTCTCAACCGGCACCCGCTGGCCTGTCTCGTCTTCCTCCACCCAATTTCCCTGCCACCTCCAACCCCATGCAACAATCCATTCCGACCACTGCATCCTCACAGCTGCCGATCCCGTCGATGATGCCATCCGCGTACAGTCGTGCACCCAACTGGTCTCAGCAAATGCCTTCCGCATCGCTGCCACCTGTGGCATCGACCATCTACAACCACCCCACGCTCCCCGATCTGGGCCGTCTTCCTCAGACTCCCTATGGAGTATCGTCGTCGACCGTCTCCCCCAGCTGTGTCGGCATATTCGGTCCACACGCCTCAGACTCACCTCTCCCCGTCCTTCTTCCTTGCAAACCGCAACTCTCCCTACCGACCAGTCCGCTCGGTTTCGACTCTATTGATCCCACCTCCGTCCGCGTCGATGCAGCAGCAACGCAGTGTCCCCTTCGACCATATGCACTACCAGCCATTGAGCAAGGGCTCGGTCGACCGCAAGACAGGCTTGCTGCCATATATCCCATCGGACCCGTGGTATCAGAGCCACGTCCCCCCAACCTTTCTACACTCCCTCTCAGACATTCTCTGGCTGAATGTCTTATCATCTCCTTGTTGACGATGTGACTGCGCTACGACTCACGACCAAAAAACCCTCCTATTCACTGTACAACCTTTTTCCGATATTCATCTTTACTCGCATTCTCGCCACCACGTTCCTCGAGAATCTCTTTTTTTATTATTACCTGTATAGGAATTCTTTGCATCATAGCATTCATGTGGCGTTTCTTTAGAAGGGCTCCCCGTTGTACGCCTACTGACAGCCTATAATGGGGATTGCTTACTCTGGCGGTTTTTATTGCTCTAGTCGCTGATGGCCTGTCCGGCTTTGGCTGCATTTGCATCTTATGGAGTTGACCTGACAAAAATCTGGCAGAACAACAAGATACTAGATTTCTTCGCCGTACTTTTTTTTTTTCTCTTCTAGCCTTCTATTGTCGTAGTATGTGTATCAGAAGCTGGCTTCATCGGCGTCACTTGCGCCACCATTGAGTGCACTATTATCGTAAGATTCCCTCCCTCTTTTTCTTTTCCCTCGGGCGAGCCTTCAGGTATCGTCGCTCCAACTTGCGACTTGTTCCCATGTCACGTCCCCTGGTAGGCCAGTTGCCATCGCTGGACTTAAATCATCACAATCTTCAAGGCTGCAGTATACAGCAAAATTCCGACAGTTAAGGTGATATTTTCTCCGCTGGTCATATTCGAACCAGGCTGGCAGCGCATGCCGAGTTCGCAACCTAGTACTGGCATACCATTCTAGACACCAGTGGGTGATAATGATCTCGCGGATAGCTGGATGACGTAGTGTCATGCTTGAGACGGAAGGTTGGATAGCAAACTGGCGCCGGGGTTCCTCCTGTAGTCTACAGTCGTGCCTGCGGGTGGCCGATTCTGGATGGTAGAGCTGTATAATGACTCTGCGCTCAGGAGATCTTCAAATCCGAAAGAGTATAACCATGTCTACCTGGTACTCCGGGGTTTCAGAACCACCAATAGGCGGGACAGGGTAGGCGCGTGTAAGGTGTAAGCTCTCGAATGAACCCCATATCGAACGACTGCTCCGTGAGTTCACCCGTTGACCACCTTGAGATCCCTCTGCTAGCCGTCTAGGCTGCAGTACATGGGGTAGTGTGTTTCGAGTTCATTCTGCTTTTAGTCCTTTTGTTTGGAGGAGTATCTTCAACCAGTGGAGTTTGAATTGTTGAAGATTGTTACCATTCCTTTCTTGCTTGTTTCATTGTAGTAGTCCTGGTTTTGAGCCCTTCTCAGGATGGGGCGTGGTCGAACTTCCCTGTCATCTCTCTAGGTTTCTGCTGCGCAACATGACTCGCACTTCCAGAAATTTGTAGGATGTAATCAGTGAAATATCCGATGAAGTCAAGCTTTGGTCTCCCACGCATTTCTTTTGACTCATAAACCTGTTCCATGTTTGTGGATTTAGAGATATTGACCGGCGATATGACAAGAAATCTGCTTTTCCGACTTCTATATCGTAATCCTGAATATGTGTTATATCCCGAAATGGTCCCCTCCTCATCATTGTCATCGTCTCATCGTCGCGCATACATTGATTATCTCCACGATAAGTCCCTCTCTGATTTTGCATCACCATGATCCTGTATGATTTAGCTGTGGATTTGATTTCATGGCCCTATGGTTCAAATCCCATCTCCATAAGATACCATGCTGTTGTGCTTTGGATATATCAAGCCACCAGATAGCAATTTCTGGCAAGTTTGTGTTTAGCGAAGGATTCTGAATGACATTTTTTTGAACTTCAGTCATGTCCCAGATAAGGCAGCCACTATTCCAGGAAACTGGCTTGTTTTTGGTTTCCGGTCTGAGGGCTCTGAATTGAGCTCTTAGATAAGTAGAATATTTGTCAAAATCACGACCTTCCAGTATAATCAAGGAATGATAAGTCATAGATAGCCCGTCGTAGGAGAGTATGATAAGCTTCCCTGGTGCCATTTCAACAAAGGTTGAGAGAGAAGTTGGTAAACGAAGGAGAAGGCTAAGGGAAGAATCTGAGATAGAGGAAGAGCTACACTAGCCTCTTGGGAGTTGGATAGATCAAGAACCTCCAGGCTTTGGACAATGACGGTACGGGATTCTTTGATTTGAATCCAGCTTTGATGTTCAAGCTCTGAGATGATAGCTCGCTCATGACTTGGTCTTCGGCTCAATGCGCTTGGAGGCCCGTGAAGCTCAATAATGAGGCTGGTATGGGATTTAGGTGAATTTGAGACGTGATAGGAGAGGGCTTACTTCGAGTTCTGCGGATTGCGATCCAAGAGTGAGAGCGCCAGTACCGCTCGCCTGAGTCGCCTTCAGTGGTCGTGACTATCTGTGGGGATTATGTCAACTTCAATTGACCATGTTTACAACCTGTCTATGAGAGGAAGGCTGAGGATCCCCAGAAAAGGAAACAGCATTTTTCAAATCTTCGAAACATACCTAGGGTCATGGTATTTCCTGTTCGACTGCCCGTTGACTGCCAGTGGATCCAAATATTCGACGGTCTGATAGTTGGGCGCGGTGATACGGGCCGTTGTTTTTCCGGCCGACATCAAAGATCTCGTCTTCCGCAACAACCACTTCCACGGCGCAAAGATCACAGCCATGACGCCTCGACTCATGGGGCTGCCCCAGCAGCTTCAGCAATATGTGGTGCGACCATTGCAGCACACTTCGCCGCTGGCTTTTTTGAACCCACAACTCCAGCAAACTCGCAATGCCTCGATCCTCTCTTCGCTCAGCAACTCCGACGCCTACAACAAACGTATCCGCCGTGGTCGAGGTCCAGCCTCAGGCAAGGGTAAAACCTCCGGACGCGGTCACAAGGGTCAAAACCAGCACGGAAAAGTCCCTGCCGGGTTCACGGGTGGTCAGACCCCCGATATCATCGTCCATGGTGAACGGGGCTTTAACAACTTGTACGATTATCTCCCCCGTCTTCCCCCGTTCTATTTCTCTCCGTAGTTCAGATCGATGGCGTTGAACAAGATGACTGTAAATACCTGGCGAACCAAACCATTACTAACAACCCCGTCCACAGCCTGGCCCCTGACATGGCACCCGTCAACCTCTCCCGAATCCAAGACTGGATCGACCAAAAACGCCTCGACCCCTCCAAACCCATCACAGTGCGCGAGCTAGCCAAATCAAACTGCATCCACCACTACAAAGACGGTGTCAAGGTGCTCGGCGACGGCGCTTCCGCCCTCAAACAGCCGATTCACCTCGTAGTGTCACGCGCCTCTGCCTCCGCCATCTCCGCCATCGAGGCCGTCGGCGGAACAGTCACAACACGCTTCTACACCCGCGCGGCCCTCCGACACATCGTTGCAAAGGAGACCCACCCCTTCATCTCCATGCAATGGTCTGTGGACAGCGGCCCCAAGGCGCTGTTGGAAGCTGCTGGCATCGAGCCGACGCCGGACGGCGTGCTCGAATCGACTATCATGAAGGAGAAGGGCCTTCGGTATCGTCTGCCGGACCCTACGAGCCGTCGCGATATCGAGTACTACCGTGACCCGGCGCACAGAGGGTATCTGAGCCATCTGCTCAAGCCTTCCGAGGGACCTAGTCTGTTCTTCCGGGCTCCTGAGGAGCGCAAGAGTGCGGCTGGTGTTAAGAAGGAGAAGGTCTTGCCGGAGAACAGACTTTGGTAGACCTTTTTTTTTGAGTGGTGGATCTTTTTTTTTTCCCGTATTAGAGGCTCCCTCTCAGTTTTACCCTGCGCCTATGAGCAAATTCTATATGTATATTAGTCTCCTGGAACTTATTCAGACACATGAAACAAACTCTGTACTAGTAAGATTTGTTGGCGTGTTGAGTCCCGTCCACGCTAGTTAGATGCTACTGATAATGTAAGTGGACTATCACTCATACTAGTACAAGTAGGGCCCAGGATGCCCATGAGGCTGTTACGTACGTTTTGTTGGGGTTGTGTGGATTGGGATGGAAAACCTCGCCTATTCAGACGAGATCACTGCTGTCGATTTCTCCCTCAGCCTTGAGAGGAATTCCACCAGCAGGAACAAAATTCACGGTGGCCGTTTGAGGCTCAATCAGCTCTGGGCGCAGGTCTTTACCTGCAAACTTACTAGCCGTCGGTATTGAGGTTATTGACGAGGCTTCTGCAAAGCAGCATTCGTCCACCGAAATTGCCTGCTCGATGGTCTGTGCTAGCGTGTTTAGAGAGGCGTGAGGGGCGTATGCCCGGACGACAGCTTTGGTCAACTTGGTGATAATAACTCGAATAAGCAAGTTGGAATTGTGTGCTTCGAGCTTTGGCTGTGGGCGTGCTTCACACACTGGAGTGTACGCTTGCTACCTCGGCGTATCAGCTGTGGATCGAAGACGATTCTATTGGGTGAGGGAATGCGCTCCTGAAAAGAACTGTCGAAGATGAAATCCTTTAGATGTTGGTTCGGCCCATCGTTGAAGGTCTACTCAGAAAGCCACGTGAATGGATGCGCTATTTGGCCAAGAGCAACTTCAAGTGAAATAAACTGGACTTATTGGAGGCCCGGGGGCCTCCAATAAGATTATCAAGGACATAAGATAAATAAGGATTGATTTTGTTCCTAATGGACCAGCCATCCAGGGTATCCAGAGTAGAGAAGCAAATATCAGGATGTACGACCCAAATCAGCAATCAAATAGAGTACAAGACATCGAAAGCAAAATGGGAAATAGAACAGCAACTCGATGCCCGTATTGAACGCCATGCTCGTCATAATTACCAAGTTCCGCATGAATATGGCCAGTCCATCAAGGCAGACCTGGACAGATGCATAAATAGGAAGCATCCGCATATCAAGAAAACGAAGGGGTATTGTCATCGAAAAAGCAAAAGAAAGAAAGGTAAGCAAAAACACCAGCACACCGTTGAAAGCGCTAGTAGATAATAGTCATAAAACGCGGCAGTAACAATCGTAAAATCGTTCGAGGTTTGACCGACCATAGGCAAGCATAGAAAGGCGAGACAGACGGTTTAGATTCTCCACATAGATTCTGGTGTGTGATCTTCGGAGGGCTCTGCGACTTCCTTTAACCAGGCAGATTCGAGCACCCTGCGAATCGTCCACCTTCTGTTAACATCCATCTCAAGACAGCCCTTGACTAATTCAAGAGCATCCCGGCGGTCTTGTTGGAGAAGCTCATCTGTCGTATCTCCTAGAAGAGACTCACGATCCCATATACCATTGATAATATTGGCCTGGATGCGAGGTGTAAAGGAGTCTTGGAAAGGCCGTGACCCGACAATCACGGTATATATGATCACACCCAATGCCCAGATATCGACGGAGGGGTGAATGACACCGCCAGTGGACTGCAGAAGCTCAGGCGATGCGTACTCTAGGCTGCCAGCCACACTGGTACTGGAGCCTGCGGGGCCCATTTTGGTCGGAGGAGGACGGTCTGCAACATCATCATAAGGGTCGGGGCTGTCGCCACCATGATCTGTTGACATCCATTCAGCCATTCCAAAATCGCAGAGAACAAGCGTTGAAGAGACTGTGCCATCAGGGTTTTCGATAGGGTCGAGGAGGCAGTTCTCAAGTTTGATATCGCGATGTACGACGTGGATGTCCTCGTGAAGGTACCGGATGGCGCTGGCTAGTTGGTACGTATATTTCTTGGCTAGGGCAGGCTCAAGGCCTTTTCGGTTTTGACGGACCAAATCGAACAGAGTTCCACCAATAGCAAGCTTGGTGAAACAGAACGTGGCGTAGTCTGTCTCGTAGACTGCATCAAGAGCTAAGACATGAGGGTGACTCAGGTAGCGCCAGACCCGGACCTCGTGGTCGAATTCTGCCTGCACATCCTCGTTCTCCTGCTCGGTCCGACCTGCCACTTGCTTTTTCACAATCTTTACCGCCGTCCTCTTCGGACTGCCCTTGTCTTGAACTTTGTAAGCTTCTTTCACCACACTGAAGCCCCCAAAGCCAATTTGTTTTCCAAGGACATAGTCGGTGCCAACCAACTGGCCCTCGTCATCGGGCTGTGCAGCAGCTGGTTCATCTGCCTGACCCGAGCCGGACCACATGGATAAAAACATGCTTGCAGGAGATTTGCCACTTGAATTTGTCGACCGCCGAGAACCTTGTCGGATAGAGTTTCGTAGACTGCTACTGCGATCAAGCGCAGAGCTCCGTGATTTGCTACCAAAAGGAGTCACTGGCGTCACGACACCACCTGACCAGGAACTTCGATCTTCAGGAGATGCGAATGGATTTTGAGTCGGGGAGGTGATGTAAAGGGGTGACAAGAGATCATCTCTGACGCTTCCAGGTGGTGTCCGGACCTCCTCTGCAATAGGCGATGCCGTCGATAGCGACGTGAGAGAGGTCGGGTGTTCTAGCTCAGTGCCAGTGGTGGGCTCGGTCTCTGAGTTCAACGTTTGATGCGAGCGGGAGCTTCCGGTCGGGATTCCCCGCTGCTCTGGGGATTGATCGGCATGCTGTCCCCAGCGATCAGGAGTCGGAGCCATTCGCTCATCATCTTGTGAGAGGGCATTTCGAAGGCTGGAGGTTCGCGATTCAAATTTCAGTGGAGGCCGATCTTTGACATCGCCCTTGGCGAGTGGCTCCTCATGTGGTTGTTCCAAGCCAGAATCAATGGACACTGTTGGGTTGAAAGAAATCGAGCGGCGTCGTCCCTGGAGGTAATCATCCAAAGGCGAGCCCGGGATATCATCTGGCTTGTGAGGGAACTCGTCGTCTCCTTGGCGACGACCATCGGGGCGGGGACGGTGATGGGAGGGGTGCTTGAATGTAAATCTCTTAAAACACTGCGGTCTTCATCAGTATCGCGACGATACGCGCTGTAATTATGAGATAGATTGGTGCAGTCGTTGTCGATACCATCGCCACCTGTCGTCGATATCCTTTTCCTCTGATCATCGCTGGACCATTCTCCACGCTGCTGGTGAAATGATGTCTCAATCTTTAGACCGGCGACTCCATGTCTCTCTGGGTACGCCATGGCCCCGAGGAGAACAATGTACTGAGCGACGTGATGAAAAGAGAGCCTTTGGCAGGCTTGCAGTCGAGTTCTGGGAACTCTCTGCTTTCACGCCTACTCTTGTCGATTGTGATTTTTGATGGGACTCGAGGGCAAAGCGGGGACGGTTGCAGACAAAGCGGGGCTCGAGCCAGATCGTCAAATATTCATGCAGAGTAAAAGCGTTAATATAAGGACGAAACAGGTCCTGGGGGATCTTCAATATTTCAGATGTAGAAAAGGCGTGTGTAAGGGTACAAAGGCGAGGTCACAGAAGAATGTCCAGAGGATTGGCCAGCAGTGAAGAGCCAAGAAAAGCCGGGGAAATTCGGGTCTGCGAGTTTGCCCTGGTTGACCGTGTCCATATCAGGACTAGCTCTGTAGATCACCTGATGGAAGGTGGGCCTTACATTGCTTGCCTTTACGTTCGGTGGATGCTGATTGGGCCGATGGTGCCTACGAATAATGAGGCTATTTTTATTAGATCATAAGATCATACGCGCATCTGGCGCTGCACCCGATGTATTTATAAGGTAGGGGAAAAGAAACCTGAATACACACTATGTGATATGAATGGAAATTCTTGTGAGCCTGCCTTCTGGCCTCCGAGTCTTACTTAGTTTTGCTCGTCAAAACTCAAGCTTCCACATGGATATACCGTAGAATTTCCTTAGAATTTCCTAGTAGCCGCTGGAGATCGAACTATCCGAGTCAGATTTCATGCCACTAGTCCCGCAGGTACTTTTGGCTCATGCAGTATGAACGCGGTGCAACGTTGGAGCATTTTTTCAATCTCACTGGGAAAATGACATTTCACCGACTAGGCACTGAAGCTACTTTCTAGGGCCATTGTACATTGTAGTTCGACTTTCTCATCAAGACCCAGGGTTTAACTATTCTATAAGCTTAACCTTGTCCATGACTGGCTAAGCAATTCTCAGCACGCCACCTTGACCGTCCTAAGTCAGCTTTCACGCGATGCATTGCCGCAAGCCAGCGCTCGGCATAAACTAAAATACCTTGGGGAGGTCTCCAGGGTTGTATTGCAATGTGTAAAACCCGACGCCAATATCTGTTCTGGCGGGAATAAGCGGAAAGCCACGGACGTGCATTTCATCTACAGAGCTGATACAGACCATGCGGTCTATCGTCTTTTGCATAGCAGACCTTCCCTTAGTGATATTTTGCTGATCGAACATCGGGGCAACGGCTTTAGCTCTCACAATCCTGTGAGCAGGATTAGGGGAAGCGATAGTCTCAAATCTATTGGCATCGTAGTTGCGATAAACGGGACTCTTCCTGTAGCCGCCATTCTTCACGCAATGGTGTTTAGAGTGACAATATCAATAGGCGCATTCCGGATGACAGGACCGTACTCCTTGTCAAGAGCATCACTCTTACGGCACCCAATATGCGTTCAGGCTCCCCACTAGAGCCATAGTGGGGTGACGCGGGCGATGAAAGGCCAGTGATGAGCCTCAGTGGATTTGTGTAGAATCCCCAAGGACCAGTCGCAAGATGCCCGAGGCCATTATTATCAGATTGAGGATAAAGAACCCGGCTTCCAGCTCGAGGGAACAGAAGTGATATGAATTCTACGAGAAAAAGACGCTGGAGTCATTTAGGCAATTTCTAAATCGCTCTGCAACTGGGGAGAAAACATCGCACGGGAATGACACGTGGCTGACAACCCTGGATGCCCTCATCACTAACCCTAAGCGACCGCAAGTTTAGCCAGCGGATATTACAGTATACCGCGCCTTCATTGTGGGGTCTCTCATTCCAGAGTGAGAAAAGCCGGGATGAGTTAACAGTCATTCGGAGAGTACCTCGTATTCACCGCGGCTAGTCCCTGATGGCTCGCAGCATGAATCAGTCGGTTTCCGGCGATTCATGCGCACGGCGCTGTAGACTTGTGATTATGCAACCCCCTCGAACTGAAAGACACCCTGGGACCAAGAGTATATAGTTTTATGCCTCAGGCCGTAAGGCAGCAGGCCACTGGGGCCTGCAGTGGAGAAGCCCTATCGCCTGGTTTCAGGGGTGGATGGTAACGGGGTAACTTCCAAGAACACGGAGATTTAGCCGCCCCTTGCGCGCGGCTGTTTAGACAGTCCTCCTGAATCCTTGTTGTACAGGAGGTTCTTCACCTTCGTTCCCTTCCATTCATTTGCTTTCTTTTTGTTTTTTTCCTTTCCCTCCTTGACAGGGTGCTCTTATTGCTCCGTGCGCCTAGCCGTCCCTAACCTTCTCTCCCCCCTCCCCCTTCTCCACCTTTGTTGTGCAAGGTGCAGTCTTTCTTTTAGGGTCAATTCGACTATTGCCCTGGAAAGCCCGCTGGGTTCCAAATTTCCCTGCGACTGAGGCCCTGGATTCGGCACCTCTCGTTCTCGTGCAGAAGTCCGACGAATTCGTTTGTTTCCCTCTAATCGTCTCGTGCGCTCGTCCATGAACCTCGATCCCCGACCGCCCTCCTTTCGCCAACCACCTTTCTTCCACTTTGGTCCGACGCGCGACCGCCACATCCCCAATCTGGCAACATGACGAGACCACAAATCATTCGAGCTGGTATGTGATGGAAATCCCGGGCCGTGGAAGCTACCAGCCACAGGGACCGTACGCTAATACTGTGATCTAGATACCTTGGATCTCCAGGACCATGGTGCGCCTTCTGCGCAGGACCACACTAGGCAACCCGAATCAACTGCTCCACTGGGGGTCGGCCGGCCGGCTCCCCATCAAGAGCAGGCCATTCGCCATGCCGAACGGGACACCAAATTGGAGATCATGGGCGGCCCCGGAGACGACGAGTATCTCGATAGCATAGATGGCTACGTAGATACGGATCACAACGGAGCTTCTTATAATAATGAGGATGGGGACCTCGCAGATGGAGAGCGACGACCTCATGGATGATGATATGATGGACAAAATATCTAGCTCTCCCTCGATTGACGACGGTGCGTACATCTGCCCATCGTGCGCGGTGTTTAACCATGCCGGACGATACTGATCCAAACGCAGAGGACATCGATTTCGAGTTTGTCTACGCACTGCACAACTTTGTCGCAACTGTTGATGGACAGGCCAATGCGGCCAAGGGTGATACAATGGTGCTCTTGGATGACAGTAACAGCTACTGGTGGCTGGTCCGCGTGGTTAAAGATGGCAGTATCGGTAAGTCGATTTACGTTCATGATTGTTTACATCCGACAAGTTTTGTGTTTGCTTACTGTCACACAGGTTATCTACCAGCCGAGCACATTGAAACTCCTACTGAACGACTCGCAAGATTGAATAAGCACAGGAATGTTGATGTATGTTTTGCTTTCTCGCCGCACTTGTTCTCTTTCGTGTCTTAACTGGAACAGCTTTCTGCGACAATGCTCGGCGATAATAACGAAAAGTCCAAAAATCCCCTTAAGAAGGCCATGCGCCGTCGGAATGCCAAGACAGTCAATTTCGCCGCGCCGACTTATATCGAAGCATCCGACCAAGAATACTCGTCCGACGAAGATTCAGAGCATGGCGATTTCTTCAACGACGACGAAACAGAGACTGTCGAGTCAGAAGAGGGGGATTCTCAAGACCAGGCCGAGGAGATCGTCGTGGAGCCTCTTAGGCCCAAGGGCCACAAGGAAAAGCCTGTGGAGCAAGTGGAAATCAATATATCTGCTGAACAGCAAGAAACCACAACACAGCAAACAAGTGCCGAGGCCCGCCGATCTAGCGAAGAGTTCTTTGACTCCGAAGAACCTATCGTTAGTCGGTCCAGGAATGGCACCGTTCGCAATACTGATTCCTTTTTCAAGGACGACACTGCAGAGCCGAAGAAGATCTCCCTTACTCCTAACCTGCTGCGCGACGAGTCTAATGGCGGCAGCGGCAGCGGGGGGCTCAAAGAGTGGCAAGAACCCCGTGCAAGTCTAGAATCCCTCGAGAAAGGCAGCTCACACGATAAAGGCAAAGAGGACAAGAAGCGGAAAGAAAAGAAGTCAGGCATGCTTAGTGGGCTGTTCAAGCGAAAAGACAAGAAGAAGTCTTCCGTCGACGAGGAAGTAGATGAATCTATTACATCTCCGATCGAGTCTACCTTCCGGGCCTCTGAATCCTCGTCTCGGTCCTCCCCCCAGCCGAAAGAGTCTATGGAGTCTCTGTCTCAAGAACAGAAGGCCAAGCCGCAGAAGTTCACCAACGCCAAATTACAGAAGAACCCACCGCCAATTATCACTTCCACTTCAACCATGTCGCCAACTTCTACTACGATGTCTCCTACTTCGCCAGTATTGCACAAAGACAATGAGCATGGACAAACGATCCGACGTGTGGCTTCGCAAGACGCAGCTAGCTTCGAGAGCCGCGGATCGGTGGCATCACCCGTCAGCCAAGCCAGTCCATCAAATGAAGCTTATGTCACTCCTTTCGAATCGCAGGACCCATTCGCCTCTCCAGAAGAGCGGCGGCCATCCAGTGAGGCCCAGTGGAGGGGTCCCCAGGAAGCCCCTGCTCCGGTGCAACAAGCCAATGGCCAGAGATCCGTTACCTCCCCATCACAAAAGTTCACTCCCCAGGCGGCACCTGCACCCGCGCGCCCCGAACCAGAGCCCGAATATTCCGGCAGGATCTCCCCTGGCGATGGACACATTCCTATTCTTGCCCCTGGGATCACTCCAGAATATGCCCAGCGTGCCGGATCTATTTCTCCCCCTTCCCCGCCGTCATCTCCTGAAATCGATGTGAACGAGCTCGCGAAGAGGAGCGAGCCTGCCCCGGCTTCTGTATCTACCCTTTCGGTAGACACTCCAACTTGGAGTGATGCCAGTCTACGATCATACTTGGATGATGAAAATGACATTCGCGACCTCTTCATAATTGTTCACGACAAATCCAACATTCCGCCGGCTGGCGCTGACCACCCCGTTACTGGTCGCCTTTTCAAGGAAGAAAGTAAGCGACTTAAGGAGATGAATAACCAGCTTGACGAGATGCTCGTCAGGTGGATGTCTCAGCGGAAACGGACGTCCAATACTTTACGCTCCGTGCAGAGTCCGGCGTAGACGTGCAAGACACTCTATCTACCGTTCTACTCCTGCCTATCTCTGAATTTATGCAATCTTCGCCGATCCGCTTGGATCTAGTCGAATAGATTCTGGGTGTGCTGGACGCATCAACTTCTGGTCGGAAGTTTTTCATTCTTTTCTCCAATTTCCCAATTATCTCTTTATTTTTTTCTCTTTCTTACCGTCTCGCCATCATGCCCGTCCTCGTGATGCAAGTCAGATCTTGTCGAAGTACTCTGTGCTTGGCACGACCTACGACTTTTGATGTGACGGTGGCTGCGTTCTTGATTGCATCTGTCGTTCTGTTATGCTTTTGGTTTTCACCCCGGATACCCCGCGTCATCGAGAGTACTTCATTTTATTTTTCATAGCCTGTCGTTTTTGGTAGATGCCCTGTCTGAATATCAACTATGACCCATATGCCGTGTTCAAGATTCCATAACACCTCACCCTGAAGGGGCAATGCGCAAGAGCCACAAAATCGGCATAGCCCGTCTGAGCCACTCCGTCAATGTATGATTGGATCATCATTCCCACGTTGACGCCTGAGATCGTACCGCGCCGAGCTAGCCTATGGCGTTCCCGCACAGCCTGGCACGCCTGACGTTTTACGCGCCACCCTTATTTTGCTCTCTTAATGACCAAAAGCGCGGAGAGGTCGCAGCCCCCAGGTCTATTATCCTGGGTGTTAGATAGCTACTTTGGGTGTTTTCGCAAAGCAGGAACTTGCAGACCCCCAGTTATAGAGGCCTTACAGGGGCTGCCAACTGAACTATAGTGGCTTTGAAGAGGGCAGATCAAGAATTCATGTGATATTGTATAGCTTATACAGTCCAGAGTGGTCATTCTGGCCCTGAGCCGAATGAAAGGACTAAAAGCCTTCCCGTTCACCATCGTGGTACGCTCTGCCTACGAGTACAGATGGGCAAAACCACCAAAACACAGAACAGTCGAGCTTCTCACTTCGTAGCCCAATAGGTTGATAGTACATCAAGATGATGGTATGGCACGTCTCTTGTGTCTGCAATAAGAATGCACTCGGCGACAGAACGGCGTATTAATGCACGACACTAATGGCGTTCCAAAGTCTATACTGTACAGTCCACATCAATTCCACCCGTCTAAGACCCCTTTATCTCTTATATTGAGTACCACTCAAATTCTTCCATATCTTCAACTAGTCGAGGGTTCTCTGCAGCGCGCGTGGGATGCTTTGCCCGGCGAGAGATCTCATTGAATTCGCTAGCTGGGGACCACGCATGTCCCCAAACTTCAGGGTCTCGGAAGTTGCTTCGTCTCTTCAGGAATCCAGAACGGAAATCAATTGCGTCTTCTCCGTCGGCGGTGTTCGATGGCAGCCGCATAAAGTGCCGCACCGTGTCGGGAATTTCTTCCTTCACATGACTGATCATGATCAATGCCTGCTCGTCTGACAGGCCGCGGATCCGTTCTGTCGGAACTGTTGTGCTGCGGCGTCTAATCATTGGATACGGAGCATCGCCGTGTTCAAGAAAGTGCAGACATTTTTCACGCTGTGAGGCGGTTAGACCTGAGAAAGGCTCGTCAAGGATGACGATATCAGGTTTATGAATCAAGGCGCGTAAGAATAATACAATGCGCTGTTGCGCGGTGCTGAGTTGGCCGAATGTGATTTTGTCGGCATATTCAACGTAATAGTCCTCTGGCACAAATGGCGGCGGGTTCCTTCGTGGCCGTCTAGTTTGCCGATTCGGCTTGGGGAACATGTCTGTTGAGATCACAGGAGGCCCTTGCTCCTCTGAATTTTGGGCTGTGGGGTCTAGTTCAGGCTTGAAAAATGTGAGGGCAGCGCTGATATCGGTGTCGCGGTCGTGAGTCAATTTTGGCTTGGAGAGAAAAGTCTGCAAATGAAGACTCCAGAGATTCGCGAATCGTCAGCTGGCGGGGGAAGAACGCATGAATCTCGGGCGACGAATGACCGAGTCGAGATTGGAGTTCAAAGATCGAGATGCCAGGCTTCCCTGCTTCCGGAAGCCGGGACCGCCCCAATAACCTGACAGGGAGCGCATATGTTTGTGGATGGTCGGATGTGATCAACGACAAGAGAGTGGTTTTGCCAGAGCCGTTGGCACCAAGAATCGCCCAGCGTTGGCCGCGGCGCACACGCCAGTGGAGACCCTCCTTAGCCTCGCCACGTATGTTCTGTGTCCAGTTCCCCAGGACGACTTTATCCCCATATTGAACGCGAACGCCTTCCATTTCAATAACCGGCTCTCCGCCCTGCTGGACTTCGTGATCCATGGTGCTCCTTTTGGCCCCCGTCGACGTCAAGTCTTCGATTAATTTATTGTCTATGACCCCGGATTCCACAAGGGAATTTACTTCGGCAACTACTTTCGCTTTCGCTTTGCCTTTGAGCTCCTTCGAGTCTTCAATCGTGACCTGCTTCCACAGATTCAACGTGTTCTCAGTGACTTCCTTGGGACCCTGCAGAGCAATTCGATGATTATTTCCGACAACAATCGTATGAGTGATCCAATCCGGGACCGTATCCTGCGGCCGCAATGCTAGGATCAATCTTGGAGCCTGCTTCTCAGCCAGGCGGTGGAGCAGATTCGAGATGCTGCGGACCGTGGCCGGGTCCAGACCCACTGAACATATAGTTAGCGATATCCATTGAGCTTGGATGAGATTTCACTTACTGAAAGGTTCGTCTAGGAGGAGCAATTCAGGCTTCTGCAACAAAGCCTTGGCAATGCGAGCTCGTCTGGTCTGGCCGTTGCTTAAGTTCGCCACGGGCATGTCCAGTAGGTCCGATAGCCGCAGGTCCGTAATGACTTCCTTCAGGAATGCTTCATCCCGAACCGTCCCGTTCTCTTCACCTTCTATGGGATTGAGCGATGTTTGGCCCCGGAGGAATTGCTCTACCGTCCAATCGGTCTCCTCCCGCAAACTCTCATATCGCGCGCTCAGGTATGCTCCACGTATGCCACCAATGGCTCCGGAACCTTCTCCACTGAAACCAATATATTGAATTGCGGCTCCCACATAGCGTAAGCGAGGATCCTTTGCGGCGATCTCGTCGGAGAGGAGATAGGGATAAGATCGTGCGCTTGGCGGGATACAGATGTGCTGACCGCGCAAAACATCCAGTAGATCGGTTCTCCCCGAGGTCCCTACTACAGCCCAGTGCTGTAGTTCCTTTGGGTTCTCGGGCGAACCATGGGAAGGAAGGCTGAAGTTGAGGTTTGGGTATAGAGGTGGATTGGTTGCGGCATCGGTCTCGGTCGGATATTGACGGTAAAAGGTGCCTCTCTTTGATTTGGATGAGAGGGGCAGATGAGAGAGAACGAGCTGCTCGGAGAAATGCTAGCTGCGGCGCTCGGCGAGCTGCACACCGCAGGGTCGTTCGGACGAACATCCTGGCTGATCCAAGGTCTTGCGGAGATTCGGAGACCCGACGAGTATTTGGGAGCATCAACACGTGACCTGTATAGTTCTACGCCCGAGGTCGGAGCTTACCCCAGAGCGCGAACATACTGCGTATAACTAGGTCATGCCATGAAGGCCATGGCCTTTCTCTCAATCAGCTATTTTCATCGTTTGAGTTGGATTCCGAAATAAGACCCAAAAGAAAGCTTGCGGACATCGGGATAAATAAGAAGAAACAAAAAGCAAAAAGAGAAAGATATGAGGTCCATCCCGGGTTCGAACCGGGGTTTTCAGAAGATTTCTTTTCAAAATCTGACGTCCTATTCGCGATCCGTTAGAACTGATTGGGTTTCGAGGATCACGTGCAGTGCTACATACATTACCACTAAACCAATGAACCGCATATTTGCCCCCGAGGCTCTTTTTCCGATTTGCCAGCTCGTGCGCCAGAATGCTTTTGCTCCAGTCACGAGCAGCTACATTCGTAACCGGCGATTGGTGGGAAACCCTGCGGATATGGAGGAAAACAGGAGAGCCGAATCATGAGTATGGTCTTTAGACTCAAACGCGATACAGGTAGATCTTCCCCTATTGTAAATTTTGTAGTAACATCGACCCCAGAAATCCCACCACGGGCCACCCCCCCCCGCGGCGCAGATGCCGAGCCCCAGGGGGTGGACCGGACTCCGATAATCACGTCTTTTCTCCTCTTTGCGCCAATTCCTTCAAACTCAGGGTTCCATACTGGTTCGAGTTCGAGATTACCTTCCTGACTCTATACATACAGCAGCAACGCTCCGATGCCCCTCCCCTCGCTCCCCATCTTCTTGGCAGCGCAACAGCATGCGCAAAGCGACCCAAGCAAGCATGCGGTTGTTGATGCAACCAAACAGCAATCCTTTACATACACACAACTTCTAGAAGATGCAGCAGGCTTGCGCAAACAGATTCTCGAGACATTAGCCCTTTCGGCGCCAGAAGACTTGGACGAGCGTCGCATCGCATTTTTGATACCGAATGGTTACGACTACGTGGTGACTCAGTGGGCTATTTGGGCAGCTGGTGGGATTGCTGTGCCTCTTTGTATGTTGATGCAAGCTATGGCTATCCCCTTTCCCCACGATCTATGCTTCAGTACTAATCTATACCAACACAGGCACCAGTCACCCTGTCAAGGAGCTTCTATATACCGTGGGCGATGCAGACCCATCGCTGATCATTCTACACCCTGCTTTTGAGAAATTAGGGCCTGCCCTCCGCGACGGGTGTACTACTGACATCCAATTCATGGGCTTAAATCCATTCTCCAGCAACCCTGCACCCTCTTTGCCCTCATTTACTCCCGCATTTCCTCTCAGTCGCCGGGCTCTCATGATCTATACCTCGGGAACAACTGGTAATCCGAAGGGCGGCGTGAGCACTCACGAGATAGTCACGTTCCAAGCGAGCTGTCTGGTGAAAGCGTGGGAATACAGCCCTTCAGACCGATTAATACACGTCCTCCCGCTCCATCATATTCATGGAATCATCAACGGGCTTGCCGCGAGCTTCCTGAGTGGGGCAACAGTGGAAATGCACGCTAAATTTGACCCGAAGATTATTTGGGGCCGCTGGCAGGACTGCGGCTCATCGACTCTCTTCATGGCTGTGCCAACCATCTACTCCCGTCTGAATGACTACTTTGAGACCCATATTCGCGGCACTGACCAAGAACAAGCAGCCCGCGAGGGTGCGAAGGCCCTACGCTTGGTAGTGAGTGGATCTGCTGCACTTCCAACTCCTGTTAAGGCAAAATTCGCCGAAATCACGGGCCAGGTCTTGCTGGAGCGCTACGGTATGACTGAGATTGGAATGGCTCTAAGCTGTGGTCTTGAAGTGGAAAAGCGGGTGGATGGTAGTGTGGGTTGGCCGTTACCTGGCGTCCAGGTTCGTTTGACAGAGAAAGAGACGGGCCGGATTATCGAGGAGACCGATCAGGACGGCATGATTGAGATTAAAGGTGGCAATGTCTTTCTTGAATACTGGCGGAAGCCAGAGGCGACGGCTGCAGAGTTTACTGCTGATGGCTGGTTCAAGACTGGCGATGTCGCGAAGCGTGACTCCACTGGTGCATATTTCATCCAGGGTCGTGCATCGGTAGACTTGATCAAATCCGGTGGTTATAAAATCTCTGCGCTAGAAGTGGAGCGCAAGATGCTGGAGCTAAAGGCAATCCAAGAGGTTGCGGTTGTTGGACTGAAGAGTGAAGAATGGGGCCAACAAGTGGCTGCCGTAGTCAAGTACCGCGAAGGCGTGAGTGAAAGACATATTCTCTCCAAGGTCATTTTCTCGCTAACGAATCATAGCATGATCCCCTGGATCTACCGGCTCTTCGTGCTGTGCTGAAGACCGAAATGGCGCCTTACAAAGTCCCAACTGTATTGAAGGTTGTGGACGGCATTGAGCGCAACGCAATGGGCAAAGTCAACAAGAAAGTGATCATTCAGAAGTATTGGCCGGATAGAGTATAAATCAGAATAGGTAGAGGATTCCCCTTGAACTAAGTATAGAGAGAACTTGAAAGATCAAAATCCTCTTACGCCAAAGGGACAGCCACATACAATAGATAGATCCCTGCCGATGAACTTGGGAATGTTATTATGACACCAGGCAGTTTAACAGTCTAACCACGCAGCTTTTTCTTCGCAGAGTATGCTTCTCCCAAGTTTGATTGGCGATCGGTCGAGCTTCTTGCATAGGGTTTGGAATCTTTGACGTCAGCGTTCCAGAACCCCACGGCGCCGAAAAGCTTCCCCAAGTCCGAAATTATTCGGACTCCCGTACCGCGCTCAAGTCGACGATTTAATTATAAATAGTAGCTCCATTCCCTCGTAATCTCCCTAGAATATTATTACATCGCAATATCTTGAACTCATCTAATTCTTATTATCCTTGAACAATGTCAACCCCCGAGAAAGTTACATTCCCCTCTCGAGCCTACAAGCTCGCCGGTCTCTTCTATCCTCCAGTTGCTGGATCACCCGATCGCGCGGGGGCCTCAATCGTGATTGCTCATCCTTGGACATCTATCAAAGAACAATCCCCCGCCAATTATGCTCGAGTCCTCACCCAGGCCGGCTTCACCTGTTTGACCTACGATGCCGCATACCAAGGAGAGTCCGAGGGCGAGCCTCGAGACTTAGAAGATCCTTATCAACGTGTTGAAGACATTAAGTGTGCTGTGACATACCTTGTTGGCCGTAAAGAAGTGGACTCCAACAAGATCGGTGTCCTGGGTATCTGTGCATCAGGTGGCTACGCTCCTTTCGCTGCCCAGACAGATCTTCGCATCAAGGCTGTCGCGACCTCCGCAGCTGTATGTGTGGGCACAATGGCCCGCCGAGGATTTGACAAGGATTCGTCCAACCGGGAGATCTTGAAAACGCAGCTTGAGGCTGCTGGGAAAGACCGCAACAGCGATTTGGGAGGCGAGAAGATCCCTGCCGTGCATATGCTCCCGGAGAAGCCTGAAGATGCGCCGGCTGAAATGCCCGAGTCATTCAGGGACTTGATGAGCTACTATCGTACTCCAAGAGCTTTCCATCCTCGTGCCACCAACACCACTTTGGCGAGGGGCTGGGATATCATGGCCAACTTCGATGCGTTCGCACATAACTACTTGATCAGCCCACGCCCCCTGCTTATGATCACTGGTACCAAGGCCGCTACGAAGTGGCAGAGCGAGGAGGGTGTGCAGAAGGCTCACGACCCCAAGGAGCTATTTGTTATCGATGGACTTACTCACGCTGACTTATACGACAAAGTTGATGAGGCTGGGGCTAAGCTGGTAGACTTCTTCGGAAAGTCTTTGGTATAAGATCTCCGGAAGTGGCAATAAACGAGAATATTTCGGCATAACTGATCCAAGAACAATATGAAACCTATGTTGTGATGAGAAGGAGCCTTTTGTAGATCGTAGACACGGTTTCAAGGGTAGGAACTATTTACATTGTACGCAGTAGTTAGTTAGTGGCATCACGTGGTATTACATAATCAAATTTTTAGCCGCCGAGTTTTCTTTTTTGCGTGGATTGCTTTCTTTTCTCTTCTTCATAACTTCATACATACACGGTCTCCAACATACCCTTGTGGACGGACATCCATTCCATTCGCAAATTTTAGCGCGAGACCCAGAACGATGCATGCTCGTTCTAATCCCGACCCCTGCCCTCCTTACCGAGGTGGTTGGGTTCGCTTTTGAGCACACAAACCACATCCGTCGGAAACACTACTTTCCAATCATCTGGCGAGATGACTTGGATCTGACATTCCTTGGGCTGGCCTGTATCTATTCAACTATATACTAATTCCTCGCCCGCCTCCGCGCTGTTCGACAGATTGTGATGTTATCTCTGCATGATGCCTGAGTGCGGGAGCGAGTCAACAACAGCAAGCATTCGTGGAACTAACCTACAGCATTGGATCGTTCACTCTGTTCTTCCCCGTCCGGCATATTCGAAGTCTCGTCCGTCTCTTGCTCAATGATATTCGAGGTCAAAATTCATGCCAATAATAAGCCTTTACAGTTGGACAAGATCCTTCTGAAGCCTTCCACGTGTTGCGTCCGCTCCTCTACATGGGGCTGTGCGTGTCAAAGTAGGGAGATACATATCCTTGTTGAACCATAATATGTGTCCAGCAAGATCGAACTATTTGAATCAACCTCTGTATTTTGTTACATGAAGAAGAGTGCTCTGTATTATTATCATTCGTACTCGTAACCCTATCATCTGCATGAGTGCTATAACATAGCCTTCTCTACACATTCTGATGCCATGTTTCTGCATCATGCCTTAGTACTGGAACACCCATCGGGGATCCTTATCACCCAAGAATTCCCCTTCATCGTCGCCAATATCCCCAACAAACGGTCTCAACCCCTTCTCATCCCTGACCCGGGCCTTCTTCTGATTCTCTTTCTTCAGAACCCACCAGAGACCCCCCATGGCGAAAATATTAGCTATCAAGTACCCTAATGCAAAGCCATGCCCCAGGTAATACTGCGGCGCACTTTCGGCGCGGTACAACTGAGTGCCCAGCACAGCTCCGCAATTCCCAATACTAATCTGCAAAGCGTTCGCAATGGCGCGCTTCGTCTGACCAGAGACATTAGCCGCCGGCCAGGAAAACACGAGCGAGACTGCGGGATAGATTCCTGCTGCGGCAAAGATCGTTCCAACATAAGAGACTCCTGCTCGGTGATCTGTTAGAAGTATAATGTAGCCGATACAGCCGACGCCTGCGAAAACCATCATGAACGGTGCCCGGAGGCGAGTCTTTTCCGAGCAGATGGATACTGTGATCATGAGGACGAAGGCGACTGCATATGGAGGCACAGAGAGCAGTTGCGCTTCAGCGGCGCTGTAGCCCAGTTCCTTAATGATGGTAGGCTTAGGCGATCGTTAGTATCGCCGTACGATAGACCTGTGAAGATCGGAACCAGTCGGGCTCACCAAAAAGAGAGAAAGCGTATACATCGGGAGCGACATGGTGTGGAAGCCCAGAGCGTATAACCAGACTTTGTGGTCTTTGAACGAATCCAGCACAGCCGACCAAGTGAACTTTTCGTCGCGGATGGCATCGCTGTCATTTTTCAACCGCCAGATAATGAACTCACGCTCCTTCTCAGTCAGAAACTTTGCCGTTGCGGGATAGTCGTATACCCAGAAGTACGAGATCGCAGATACAACCACCGTCAATAAACCTTCCAAGATGAAAATCCAGCGCCATCCTCGATACCCGCCAACCCCTTCCATGTGCGCAATTCCCTGTCGGATATTAGTCTTATGAGGTTAAAATAGTGCACACTAGGGAAATTACCCAAGCAAGGATTCCTCCAAAGGCTCCAGCAAGGCTTGCGGCACTGAAAAAGAGACAGATTCTGTAGTTCTGTTCCTCGCGCTTATACCACATCGAGACATAGTAGACCACACCGGGGAAAAGACCACTCTCTGCGACTCCGAGGAAGAATCTTGATGATAGATAACCAGAATAATTCTGGACGATTCCGAGCAACGTTGCAACAATACCCCAGACCAAGGTAAGGGTGGGAAGCCATTTACTAGGAGTTGTCTTCTTGAGAATAATGTTGCATGGGATCTCGAAGAGGACATATCCAGCAAAGTAAAGGGTCAGGCCATTCAGGTATTGGTCGCCCGCTACGAACACATGGTGAGCAAGATCATCAGACGAAAGGAGAAGCATCTACTTACAGATCTTCAGGTCTGATGTCAATCCTTCTAGCTTTGCATTTCCAACTTTGAACAGCTGTCAGTATTAGAGAATTATATCATCTTTCTATCTTACATACCATTACTCCGATCTAGAAAGGACAAAAGGTACAATAATGTCAGCGGAGGCAGCAGCCGAATATCCAGTTTGCGCAGCAGCGCTCGCTCATTGATGCCCTGGAACTCTGCTATGCTGCCTGAAGACGGTGAAGCAGAGACATCCTTCTCGGCGAGATCCGTAGCACTATTCGCCTCTTTTTCCCCGGCGGCATTCGCCATGGCTATGAAATGGGGGATAACGTCAAATTCTGTCGGCGGCCAGGCTCGGGCCCAGCATAAATAAGCATTGATTTGGACTATGGGCCAGTCGTCATCACATAGTTTTCACGTGGAATTGCGCGATCCTTGTGCTAGGGGATTAGGGTGAAACTCCACGTCTTGCGTCATGTTGGCTACCGGCCGAGAACTTATTGGGAGTATAGGCCAATGATATTAGTAGACTAGCGGCCTTGGAAAGCAACGCCAATACGAGCGATGGGAACAATATGAGCAATACGAGGGCTGCGATGACGAGCTTCGGGTGGGGATGTTGTACTGTACGTGATAAGCGGGATCCTGGCGCCCGTCTTCGAATAGATAAAGATCGACAGTCGCATATAACTCAGCTTTCTGCCTTGGCGTTTGTGCTAAAGTTCTAACTTTACCATAGGAGGGTCAACCTGCCAACGGGGGTTTATAGGGAGTGACAGCTTATGGCCCTATTCCTCCGGTGGAGAAGAGATCGATCACTCCGATGTATATCTGCTACCGCAATGAAGACACCATCTTCAATTTATGGCATCGGCGAATCTGAAACTAGCCACGACTTGAATTCCTCACATGACGAGAGGGAGATTCGCATTTCTGAATATACAGACCGAGAAACACATCCCGGAATACTTAATTCAGATCTACCGGGTCTTAGACTCGCAACCGGCAGTCAGCTTTATCTTGATACGGAGATTGCAAGATCTTGGCTTCTTTTGGAACAATTCAGTATAAGCAAGCTAGTGCAACAAGTCCACTAACCTTCGATTACCTGTTGATTCCTCTGTCAATTGTTTGCATTCTTCTATCTTAATTCATGACAGATTCAGCGGCGAATCTGCCAGGTTTTGATTGAGATCACTGATGGGAAAGCAGAGAATGTGGACATATACCCAATCTAGGTAGGATCTAGGCTCCGCGCCCTACCCCCTAACTTAGGACATTGGTTTCATTGTCGCGAATAATCCACTGTTCGCATCTGACGTCCTATCATGTTGCATCCGCTAAAGAGCTCACCAGCTGACAGCTTGAAAGCCCCACCGACACCGAGCTTGTACAATATCAGAGAAGTTACCTACGTGACGGTTTCATGATCTAGAAGTCTCATCAATGACTGACATTGTATCTCCATGTATTGATCTAGATCATTTCAGATACCTTGAGACATTATTTTCCAAATAGAACTTGGAATTTGGGGATACCGCTGCTTGCCCACTACTAGTGACTCAAGAGTGCACGTGAAAAAATGGTTCGATTAACTAGAACCCTTGGAGTCGGAAATATATACTCTCTCTGTCGGCGTGAAATTGCCACCAAAATACCTTCGAGTCTAACTTCACATGTAATGTTAATAGAGCTCTGAAAAAAACAATGAGACCGGCCCAGCGATCCAGCCAGTGTAACCCAGGAATGAATGGACCCCTATTTGTATGCTTGTTTGTATTTTCAAGTTGATGCCTGCCAGCCCCGAAACTAGTTAACTAGTAAACTAGTAACTAACTAGACGCGCTGAGTCATCCGAGATGGGAATCCATGCGGCGATCGCCCATAGGCCCCAACATTTAGGGGTCAGAAAATTGAAGCACGAAAGATGGGCTGCAACGCCCCGTTCAACTTTATAGAGCTCTAGAATGGGCCGATCGGTCCCTAGATTCAAACTTGCAGCTCGCCATGTCCTCCCGCCTCCTCCATCCCGACGAGTATGAACTCGCATCGCGTTCATCACTCGACTCCGAAGGCACCTTCAACCTCGATGACGACGACTTCGAATCCCAAGTGCCACCACGATCACGATATGGCCACGAACGATGGCCTTGGCTGCGCCGGATCGTTGGGTCAACCTTTGGCAGATACAGACGCCTGAAACCTAACCGGCCCCTGTTCGCAAGTACCGCCCGCCCTACTTGCTTCCGCCGCTTGTTCTTTCGCCGATGCTGCTACTATCTTCATGTTACGTTCGGCATTATTCTTGCCCTGGTCCTCTTGACATCTGTTTTCCTACCGTCCTATACTAGTCCGCCTGCACGTTATTCCACTCTTCGAGGCGCTGCTCGGGCGACGAATGCGGCCGGCCGTGGCAACCCGCGCAACGAGAAGGTCTTTATCGCGGCGAGTATATACGACCGAGGTGGCGAGCTAGCAAGTGGAAAATGGGGCACACAATTGCTGCACTTGATTGATATGCTGGGCGAGAAGAACGTCTTTGTGAGCATTTACGAGAATGACAGTGGAGAAGAAGGCGAACGCGCGCTGCGCGAGCTAGAAAGACTAATCGGAAGCCCGAAAGCCATCGTTTTCGAGGAGCACATGGATCTTGGAACACTGCCGACGGTGACCATACCCGGCGGCGAGAAGCGCATCAAGCGCATCGAGTATCTCGCCAGAGCCCGCAACAACGCTCTCAAGCCCCTCGAGGCTGACCCGAAGACTCGTTATGATAAACTGCTGTATTTGAATGACGTTCTTTTTGACCCCATCGATGCACTGCAACTTCTATTCTCCACGAACGCAAATGAGGACGGCGTTGCTCAATACCGTGCCGCTTGTGCCGTTGACTTTGACAACCCTTTCAAATTCTACGATACATATGCCACGCGGGATCTCCAAGGTTACAGCATGGGTCTCCCCTTTTACCCGTGGTTCACTACCTCTGGGAAAGGCGATAGCAGGAAAGACGTTCAGCAAGGGAAGGATGCTGTGCGAGTTCGCAGCTGCTGGGGCGGCATGGTGGCCTTCGATGCCAAGTACTTCCAGGACCCCGCCCCAGCCAGTACCAGCCCGGCCCGATTCAGATCTGGTCAGGATCTGTTCTGGGAGGCGTCGGAGTGCTGCTTGATCCATGCAGACATTCAAGATCCACAGACGAAGGTTGATGAGATCACTGACACAGGTATCTACATGAACCCGTACGTCCGTACTGCGTATGACTCAAGAACACTATCCTGGCTCGGAGTGACGAGGCGCTTTGAGAAGCTCTACTCATTTATTCATAACCTTGGAAACCATCTCGTTGGACTGCCGTGGTATAACCCCCGACGCGAGGAAGTCCCCGCCAGAGTGTACAGGAGACGGTGTGGGTTCCCAATGAGACCCAAGACGGTGGCGGTTCTTTCCAAAATGTGGACAGGACCGCCGGAAATGACGGGTTCTGTGGCCGTCGTGGGTTACAAGTCATTGTGGAACACCGCAAGCCTGGCCAGAAGGGCTTTGAGAGTATTCCTGTCCCGTCGTTGTGATTGAGGCACAGAGATAGCAACTCAGATGATCTATGCACCCAGCATATAAGCCATGAATGAATGAATGTACATTACTGAACAAACTCAATCCGGCCACTTCTAGATCTTTGAAAAGGAATTTTTTGCAGTCTCGACCGGTCATCTCGTCCTTCGCCCGTAGGAGAGATTGTGTCGGATCATGATCCCGATTATTCCGGGGATGAACAATCATGAGGTGATAACACCGGAGCGTCATTGCACCCTCGCTGGAAATGTCCTCGGATTTTGGCAGCAGAGATATGAGAAACGCACTCAAGTTTATGTCTTTTTTCTAACTCTAATAAACGTAAACAGCCATCCGCAAGACCCCTCAAGCACTCTCTGAAGGAATCAAGTATTGCCATGCTCGTAACCAGAACTATGCTCACAACCAGAGCCGCTTCGCCCTCGGGAACAACTAGAATGCCGAGATGCAACCTCCGAAACGTATCTGTGTACCGGGTCTTCATCTCCAGAACCACATTGGGAGACCTTGCGTCCGGCCTTCTTTCGATCGGAAGCAAGTGTCTGGGCAAAAGGCGATTTCTCTCGAATGACGGGACCTTTCCAATAGAAGATGTAGATTGGAATGGTGAACATGATTGCCAGAAACCCCAAGAGAGTCGACGGCCATTCCAGCCTGTGGGTAGTCCCCATATTGGAGTACACTATACAGAATTAGCGATAGTCATCACAAATCTCCAGAATTCGACTCACTGGGCACGGAATACATGGCCGCTATGCCGGCCAGAAAATCGCGAGCGAAGCCATTGCCTCCCGTGGCGGATGCTGCATACGGCCCGTATGCAGCAATCATGTAATCGATTGTGGCCATATAGATTGCGAACTACCACCGTATTAATGTCATCCGAGGGCTGTCAGAAAAAGGGACTCACATTGGCAATTGCAATCAAGGTAGAAAATATCATGGGCGCGATCCAATGGACATGTGGAGGTCCGAGACTGGTCCATGCGAATCCAAACAGACCGATGGACAAGAGAGGAGCCACTATAGTCGTGTTAGAAAGAGACGTTACGATGGAAGACAAGATAACGTACCGTATAATAGCCAGTAGAGCCGAGTCTCGGGTTGCAAGCCATCAGGATCCCTTTCGCGTACATGTCCATGGTACCTGATCCACGGCAAGAATGAGATATAGGAGAGAAGGTATCCAATGAGAATTCTGACGAAAATAAGTCATGAGATCATTTCATAGAACATGAGATACTCACGGGATAAAGGCCAGACCGGTAGCGATCGTGCTGAAATTCCACTGCTTATATACCAGAGTATACGATTGCAGGAAGGTGAAAATCAGCGCGTCACTAAAGCCACTCAGCAGCGCAAGACACAGCACGATGGGCTCCCGAAGGAACATGATAAATGGACGAGCCCAGATCATCAGGATGTGCCCGCAGGACAAGCGCTTCTCCTTGAGTTCATCGCCACTGTACACCATTTCACCATTCTTCCGTCGACGCCTCGCTTCTCTGGTGATCATAATGCTGCATCGCGTTTCCGGGACAAAGAAATGCAATGCCTGAACGAACCCCCCGAGAATAAGCTGGAGCCAAAAGTTCCAGTGCCAATCGAGGAACGTCGCAACAAAGCCTCCCACAATAGGAGCAATCACAGAGCCCACCACGGAAGACAGGACGATGAAAGCAACCGCCCACTGCTGTTCTTCTGCTTCCCACAGATCGGCAACCATGCCCAGCGTGACTGATCCTCCAGCAGAAGACAGACCACCCAAAAGACGACAGACAACAATTGTCCCAAAATTCGGTGCAAGCGCACAGGGGATTTGCCAGATATTGACCAGGAACAAGCTGAGCTGCAAGACAGGCCACCGGCCGAATTCCTCGCTGAACGGCGCCCAGAACTCGCAGCCAAAGGCGTACGCCACCAGGAAGTCCATTTGGCCCACCCGAGCAGCCTGCTCGGAGATTTTGAAATGTTTGGCATACAGCGTGATGCTACTGGCGTAGAAACTCGCATTCCAGTTCATGGATGTTTGGACGGCAAAGATCACCGAGATGATACCCCATTTCTTCCACCAAGGGAACGAGTAGCCGAGTTTGTCGTAACATTCCCACTCCTTAAGCTCTTTACGATCTGTGTAGCCATCCGTGGCCTTCTCAGCGTCGGCCTCGGAAGAACTCGAGCATCCCCTTCCAATGACAGACATGGCAGTGGGGTTTCTTTTGTTTCTAATGAGAGAGGAGGCTTTCAAGGAATACAAAGATAAGCCACTTCGATGCGCATATCATGATCCTTGCGGGGTATGGAGTTTGGCAACTTCTGGGGAAGGCGACTGGGTCTGCTTAAATACAGATACCCGGATTGTTCCCCCGCAATGGCACTCAACTTTTACGAGGTTGCGCTGCGCATTTAGGAAGTGCATAGTCTCCGATTGGATACTGTATGGATTGACCATTGGGTCTGTTAGGGTCTACCAGAGACTATTGTATGGCTCCTGGCGTGGAGCATTAACCCGGGGACCATGACCCAGTTCGTCATCACCGGGTTCATCTCCGCAATTTGGGGAAGAAGAGTCCACAGGCCGCAATTGTACCCCGGAGAACGGAGCAGACGCCCTTGAAATGGTGTAATCTTGCTCAAGGATTAGGGGGGTGATGTTCGGATCTCGTATTCCGACGTAGATCCAATGCTTGCTTGTTAGGGGAGGGGGGGGGGGGGACCGTAGATTGGCCAATGTCTGCTGGTTTGCTCTCCGTAGATCTGCTTCCTCAATTTGGGTATTGCGCTGTTGCACTTTATGATAGAACTTGGCGAGAATTCGATACAATGAGGATCACGTGCTAGACCCAGAAGGTAGCGGAATGATAATTTTCTATGGATTGATTTACATGGGAGGTATCTTACAGGCCAAACGCGACAAACGCGACATGATAGTTCAAATGCCCTTCTTCACAGCCCAGAAGTAATTGCCCCAATTTTCGGAGCCCGGCACCATCTTCCACCCGAGACCGGGCACATAGACAGCTCCAACACATTTCCACTTCATCCCGTCCAGCAGGGAAGGGCCACCCCCGTGTAGCAGCAGAGTCAGCAGCACGCATTAATCCTTCTTGAGCCCAGGCATGTAGCTCGGGAGGATTTACGAACTTGCGCCATTCGTGCGTTCCCCGCGGGACAACCCCAATGGGCCAGGGGGCCTCTGCAATGACTTGGTTAAGAATGAAAGAAGGGAAGGTACGAGAGATAGTGGAGCCAACGAGCCAGCCACCTGGCTTTAAAGCGCGCAGACAGTTTGCTAGGAAAGCCTGTGGGGTAGTCGTATTCGGATCGATATGTTCGATGACCTCGAACAAGGTGACCACGTCGAACTGTGGGTGCTGCGCTTGCGCCGCCGTGGGTTGCGTACTTTGAGACTCGGGTGCTGTAGGAGAAGCTAATACGTCTTCTAGTGTGGTGTTCAGATAGCGAAAGCGGCCGCTGCGGAGATGCGCATCGACAGTCGGGTCCATGCGTGCATGTTCCTTGGCGATCTGGATCAGGGTTGTGGTGGGGTCAATGGCAGTCATCGACGCAGCGCGGGAAGGCGTTGGGGCGGGCGCTGAAGGGTCGAGAGGGATGGTTCGAGCGAGAGACTCGGCAAAAATACCACCGCCGCAGCCGATATCGAGGTAATGGAGGTTTGCGGAGTTCGGGGATGAGGCTTCTAGCACAGCTGGGGGTGGCCCCTCTGCTAGACAAGATGCGATGAATTCATGACGGAGAGGATTCATGAGATGGAGGATCCGAGATGGACCCATTGGGTCCCACCAGGAGCTGGCGAGAGAGGAGAAATGGGAGACCTCATCGGCCGAGACGGAGGATGTGGAGTGTTGGCGAATGAGGTTTGGCCTTGGGCCTGCAATGGAGGATTGCGGGGGGATCTGGGGAAGATATGAAAGAAGTCCAGGCCTCCCTGAGGCCGCTGGGGATCGGCAAGGCCGGGAGGGGCAATGCAATCGCTCGTATCGAGGGCATGATGATATTCAGACAGACGGCCCGATGGTCTGTCAGGTCACAGAAGAGTTAGTGACCAGGCCCAAGGAGGGCGTTGGTGGGCGAAAGACGAGCCGAGACTCCCAGAGGAACCTAAACGGCAATACGAGATCTTACCACGAACACGAGGCTCCCTGACAATGACAGGCGAAGATCCAAGGGAAAAAGATGAAGCTCGCGATCTACGCGGGAAGCGCGGGTGCGGTTCGAGACAAACACGCCAAGTCTACATTCTGATTGGCCGGACCCGTCGCCAGCTTAATTGCTTTCGCTGCGAAAAGCTTCACGAGAGACTATTACGTTTTGAATGACAGGTAGTTCAAAGCTGGATCTGCCTTTCTTTTCCGGACCAATATGAGAATATCAATTTGATTTCTAGAATGGTCTATTCGGTGAGAATCGGCATGTGGAGTGCGGAGTATGACTGCGTTCGTATACAGCTCCGCGACCACACCGCGCCGTCGATCGTGGCTAGATTTATCACAGCCGGAGATCTAAGTATGATTCTGCCTGAACTCTGGCTGTTGGGATACGGTAACCTTGTTGCCTGGTGGGCATGAAGTGCAGATCGAACTTTCTCGAAGGCGGAGAGAAAACGCCATGGTCGCAAACACGCAGGTACCCTGAGGCCCTAGGAAGCTCTGGGGCCAATAAGCCCAAGCCATAGTATAAAGCAGAAACCAATCGACCAGGATATTACGCCACCAATCAGACGCTCCTCATCGATATCATCTTCTTATCCTGGTATGTGAAAATGCAAACCGTTGGGAAAAGAGAGAGTTTGACATGTGAAAGTGGAGGTGGGGCAGTATGCGATAACAGATAACTGCAAGTAAACCGGCCCTTTTTCGAGGCTCGAGAGGGACAAAGCAGAGGCATTTCTAGTATTTCTGGCCTTCTTGGCAGGTCACGCGGGGTCTTTCCTGTTTGATCGGGAGGATGGACGCGCCTCTAATTGCCGGTGGCTCGTCAGCCGCCACTTAGATTGCAGCGCAGTGCATCGTGGGCAACAGCGATCTCGGGAGCTGCATATGAGAGAATACGGAACCTCATCGGATGGGAGCGCCCCGGTAACAAAGAAAGACAACCATTGGCCACCGCCAAGGTCGGGCCTCTAAACCCTGTCTCATCGAGGAGTCCTTGCTGGCCCATGGGAGCCATGCTGTGCTCCGCTAGACAAGTTCTAGTCTGGCGGCGACCATGGCTGGACCCGCTCGAACTGCTGGAAGCTTGGCCGTGCCTCTCAACAGAAATGGTGGGCAATAAGTATCGTTTGGTCCTCGCCTCACTTGGACGCTCTCCCCGGAAATCGCGCTTGGGACAATCTCAGTGACGCACTCGGCTACGAAAACAACCACGCGCAAAAAAACCCCTCCTTAGTTGCATTTCTCGGGTTTTGCAACTGCATTCGAACTGCGTGGAGTATCATTGGTTCACCCTTCTATGGGTCGTCTGTTCTAAAACTGCCCTCAATCTCTTTGTTTCTCCCCCGCCATTTCAATTTCCCGAAAAATGTCTACAAAGAGCTTCATCGACACTACCAAAGACCTTCCTACGCTGTTTAAGAAGCAGGTGCAAGCGACCCCCGATCTCGTTGCACTAGAGGATGGAGATGTGAAATATACCTATGCCGAGTTAGACCAGGAGGTCGAGGCGCTAGCTAGTCGGTTGCGATTATATGGTGTCGGTCGTGACACCCTAGTGGGCGTGTTGCTTCCTCGCAGCGCAAATTATGTGATCGCGTGCCTGGCTGCACTTCGTGCCGGGGGAGCATTCTTGGTCCTCGAGCTTGCATATCCAGCGGGTTTATTGGCCGATGTTATCCAAGATGCCTCTCCCGCGGTCGTGATTACCCACCGTGTTGACGCAAGCAGAGTCAAGGCGGCGTGCCCGGTGATCACCCTGGATGATCTACCTGCAGATGCCAACGGTTTCGCGAAAGAAGCTTCTCCTCTGCCGGCTTCCGACGATCTTGATCGACTCGCCTTTGTTTCTTATTCGTCAGGAACCACCGGCAAGCCCAAGGGAATTGCCAATCCCCATCGAGCTCCCGTTCTGTCTTACAACCTGCGCTTTGGTGTTCAGGATCTCCAGCCAGGAGACCGGGTTGCCTGCAATGTTTTCTTTATCTGGGAGATCTTGCGACCACTATTGCGGGGTGCAACAGTTGTCACCGTGCCCGATGATGTGAGCTATGACCCCGCGGCGTTGGTTGACCTCCTTGCTTCGAAGCGTATTACCGAAACCCTCATGACCCCGACCCTCCTTGCGACTGTTCTCTCCCGTTATCCTCCTGGAAGTATCGAAGCTCGTCTTCCCGAATTACGGACACTATGGCTCAATGGAGAAGTGGTGACCACCGAGCTTGCTCGGCGAACTATCGCGGGGCTGCCCAAAACTCGCCTTCTCAATTGCTACAGTGCATGCGAGACTCACGAAATTGCGTGCGGGGATATTCGGGAGATGATCGATGACAATTCTCTCTATTGCCCTGTGGGTCCTCCCATTGCTAGCGGCCTCGTTCATGTCTTGGATGAGAACCTACAGGAAGTAGAAACTGGCACAGCCGGAGAACTCTTCATCGGCGGTCAAATGCTTGCCCGAGGATATCTTAATCTTCCAGAGACGACTGCGAAGGCTTTCACTTCACACCCATTTGACAAGACTCCTGGAGCTCGTTTATACCGGACTGGCGATCTCGCGCGCATTCTCCCCTCAGGTCTGTTAGAAATCACAGGCCGAGTAGGTGGCATGATCAAGCTTCGAGGATATTCGGTAGTTCCTGCCAAGGTAGAGAGTGAAATCTGCCAGAATCTGGCTGTCAGCCATTGTATCGTCATCGCACACGGTGAAGGCTTGGAGAGGCAATTGGTCGCATATGTCGTGCCGGATGCAGAAGCCCGTGACCGCTCACCCGTTGAAGTCAACGAAGCTGGCCACAGCCCCGCAGCTCGCCGTGTTCTTGATCAACACCTGGCGCATTATATGATTCCATCTCTCTGGGTCGTGATGGACGAACTTCCTACAAATGAGGTCTCCGGAAAGGTTGATGTGAAAAGCTTGCCTGGCCCTCGCACCGCTAGCCCTCAGCCTAGCGAGCAGTCCGACAAGGACCCGATCGCAATCGACCACGTCGCAGTCATCTGGGCGAACGTTTTGAAGGTTCCGAAAACACTTCTTAAGCCGGAGGATAACTTCTTCGACCAAGGCGGTCACTCATTATCTTTGGCTGACCTCGCATCGCGATTTTCTCGAACCTTCGGATTTCGCGTGCCCGTTCCTCGCCTGGCCGAGAACCCCACTTTGGCGGGACATCTTAACACAGTTCGCGCTGTTCGAGACGGCCATGCAGCAGCAGTGCAGGCAGATCTTCCCGCTGTTCTGCTCGCCGATTCGACTTTGCCCGAAGATATCAAACCCAAGCCCGACGCCGCTTTCACCCCAATTCAAAAAGCAGAGACTGTCCTCTTGACTGGTGCAACTGGTTTCTTGGGCGCTTTCTTATTGCATGATCTTGTTCAGAGCACTACAGCGAAGATCATTTGTCTCGTGCGATACAATGACCCAGAAGATGGTAGCTATGCGAGCGGTGTGGCCCGGATTCGCCGCAACCTTCTTGATCTAGGACTTTGGAGCGACACTATCATGGAACGTGTCGAGATCCTGCCTGGAAACCTGTCACAGACGCAACTTGGCCTGACACCAGAGAAATTCGAAGAGCTGGCTAGCCGTGTCCAGGTTATCGTTCACGCTGGCGCGACTGTCAACTTGGTCTATCCTTATGCCGCTTTGCGTGCAGCGAATGTCTCTGGAACTATCGAGGTGCTTCGTCTGGCTGCCAAGGGAGGAGCCACTCTAGAATACGTGTCCACGAACGGTGTCCTACCCCCTGCCCCTACCAAGAAGGGTTGGTCTGAAAATTCCTTCTTGGGCATTGAGGATGTCCCTACAAAGCTCTTGGACGGCTATGGTCAAACCAAGTGGGTTGCTGAGCAGCTCGTGCTGAAGGCCGGCCAGACTGGATTCCACGTGAAGATCCATCGATGCGGTACCATCAGTGGCCACAGTACTACCGGTGCAGCCAATCCGTATGATTTGCTCACTGCTTTGCTCGTGGAGTCGATCTGTCTTGGGTATGCTCCAGACGTGGATGGCTGGCGTGCAGAGATGACGCCCGTTGATTTTGTCAGCCAGTCGATCATCCACCTTTCCAACCAAGATCACGCAGGCCAGACGATCTACCATCTTGGTGATCCGGACCCCGTTGACACTCGATTCGTTTTTGAACAACTGAGTGAGCTTGGCTATCCTACCAAGTTCCTCCAGTGGGATGAGTGGGTAACCCTGTGGCAAGAAAAGCGAGGAATCACCAAAGGCGGAGATGGTGCCTTCACTGTCGATATTCTGCGAAGCGGTATGCCGCCCGTGGAATTCCTCCGCAGCATTGTGGTTCTCGACAACACCCTGACCAGACCTCTCCGAATTGCTGTTGAGCGGCCCAAGGTCGACATCCTCCTGTTGGAGACGTATGCCCGTCATTGGTTTGCTCGAGGGTGGCTCCCAAAGCCTCCTTCCCGCCAGGAATCTCTTGCATACCGATCCAAGCGCGCCTCACAAGGCCCTCTTGCTGGTCAGGTCGCCGTTGTGACGGGAGCCTCATCTGGCATCGGTGCTGCCGTGGCGACTGCGCTCGCAAAACAGGGCTGCAATGTAGCCCTCGGTGCGCGTCGCCAAGAGGCTTTGGAGTCTGTCAAGCGTGAAGTCGAGTCTTATGGCGTGAAGTGCGTTATTCGGTCCACGGACGTGACGAGCAAGGAACAGACCGAGGCACTCTTCAAAGCAGCTAATGCCGAGCTTGGTCCTGTCGATATCCTGGTCGCTTGCGCTGGCGTTATGTACTTCACCATGATGGCGAACGTTCAGACCGAAGAATGGGATCGCACGGTCGATGTGAACTGTAAGGGTGTCCTTAACGCTCTATCTTCCAGTGTCCCGGACATGCTGTCTCGTGGTCGCGGCCATATTGTCGCGATTACTTCTGATGCTGGTCGGCAAGTCTTCCCTGGCTTGGGTGTCTACTCAGCCAGTAAATTCTTCGTGGAGGCTACGTTGAAAGCCCTTCGTCTCGAGACGGTTGGCTCTGGGCTGCGAGTTACAGCCATTCAGCCTGGAAACACCTCCACGCCTCTGCTAAACATGTCAAGCGACGCCGAGGCAATTAAGAAGTACGGCGAACCCTCCGGCGCAAAGATCTTGGATCCGTCCGATGTGGCCAATTCTATTATCCACGCCCTCACTCAGCCCGAGCATGTTTCCGTTAACGAGATTCTTGTTGAGCCCCGCGATGAACCTATCTGATTTTCTTGAAGCGTTAATGCACTTTCTTTGCGAGCGTTGGCCTCCCTGGCTTCCTTCGGATGATACCAGCTTAGATATGCTAGCTATGCTTAGATATCCCTAGCCTATAGACTTTTGTTACACTACGTCTTTTTTACCTCTGAGGAATTGTTTAGACTAGTCATGGCGTATTCTAGACCTCGAAGTAAACCCAGAACCCAAATGGAGATATTTTCCCTCAGGCCACTCTAGCTCATTTCACTATCAAAGCCTTTCCATTCTCTGATGGGATTAGACAGCACTATACTGGTAAACTCAGATGAGACGAAACACGGGAACTCTCTCCGTCCAACATTTCGTGATAGAACGATTCCCGTACTGCAGCCCTTTCATCCTATCTGGCATCACTAGTCATCACACCCACGTTCTACCACTGAGCCGGATCGGCATCAGCAAAGGTAGTCCCCGTCGCAATCTGATCATACCAGACCTGACGAGTGCCCTGCGTGCCCTTCATCCCCTTATCGTCATGCCACCCATTCGCATACAGACCAACCCGAAACTGGAACTCCCGGTCATCCTCAATGGTCGTATCGATATTATAATGCTCCAGAATCTTCGTCCCATCGAACCACAACTTATAAAACCCCGTCCCATCCGTCTTCCAGCTCGCCTGGATCTCCACCCGATGCCACTCCCCGCAGAGACGGTAGCCGTTTCAGGGAAGGTCACCGTCTTCTGCGCACAGATCGTCCCCTGCTTCACGCGCGTATACAGCTGGTTCCCGCTCAGCCAGACCATGCTGGACGGCATGTAGTCATCGCAGCCTGTATCGGAGAAATCGGCGATGAACTGTGCGATGTTATACGTTTGGGCTGGGGAGAACTGCCAGTCCGTCTGGAGGCGGAACGCGAAGCCGTAGAAGCCTGTGTCGCCGCGCTTGTACACGTTGTTCTTGACGACTTCGGAGTGGTAGCGGCCGGTGTAGCTGGAGTCGTAGATCTGGGTCATTTTGAGGGCTGTGGGGCCTTTGTAGACTACGTTGGTCACTTGTTGGACTGTGCCTTTGTGTTCTTGGTTCGTGGAGTCCCAGCCTGAGGTTGTTCCGGTGTTGCTGAAGGTTTGGGTGCTGTGGACTGGGAGACTCAGGGCTAGGAGCGCTGAGGTGATTGCTGTTTGGAATAGCATGGTTAGGGTTTGGCGGCGTGGATTCAATGGAAGAAATGGTTTTCCCCCTCCTTTAGGGCGAGTGTATTGAGTCCCAAGCTTGATGTCTGCGTAAAGTTGACATGCGAAGAGGCATTTCTTTTATACCCCCGTAGTTCACTTTGTACCTAAGAGACGATCAATTCGTACATATACCAGTAAGTAGCTCCCTATACAACGGGCAGTATCCCTAATGGGATAGAAGCGGGGCCTAGTCTGTCTAGACTCAAACTCCGAGACGAATGTAACATCCCTAAAACCCCTGATATTTTATTGATTACCAACATTTAATTCGCAATTCGCTTGCATTGACTGGAAACTGTCAAAACTCCAAGACATGTGGGTTCGTGTTGCGCATTTTCAGTGACGGTGGCGTCTCTGCATACATCTTCAAGATGCCACTACAAGTACTTGATCTTGAACTGGGCATATCCAGAGACTTTTTGGACGTAAGGAAAAAAGAGATTTTGGCCCGAAATAGCAGCGAGCAACTAAAAACCTGTACAGGAACCGTAGCTATGCTGCTGGCGGCCCTTCCAAGGAGAGTAAGTATGTTGGGGAGATGAAGTTTGAAAATAGCTGCAGCTCATGACACACTAAGGATCAGCACGGACTCCCCCGGGCGCATGGGATCTTCTGAAGCACTCAACTATCCTCAGATGGGCCTTGTGCCGAGCCTAACCTGGCCCTAGACCAATCATGGCACTTGGGCTACTCGCTGTGGTACATAAGTACCGGGGCTTGCGATCCCAAAGCGATCAGCTGCCCCGCATCCTGTTCACGCAGCTGGACCCTGATCCTGCATGGTATGCAAGAGATCAGACTGCGCAGGAAAGTCTAGCCGAGGACAAGCAACCTATCGGTAGTAGCTGGTAGTAGCTGAAGGGTCGCTTCGGCCATAGTAGGGATTCTATGGGCATAATGGTCAACATCAGCTCAATCTACTAGTAACCTTTGGGAAAGCTACTGCCTTGGTATTATGACGCCTTCTCGGCTTCAGAGGACCTCCTTCTGCAAAAAAAATCTTTCTGATTTGTGCGAGTCAGTGCTCGTCTATGGTTTGACACTAGCGATCTTGATGATGCTATCTTTTCGCAGCAAGGAGATTGAGCAAGTAATTGATTGACAACCACAGGAAGCAGCAACGGCATGTGGATTGGCGAGGTATTGGGTATCAGATGATGACAGAAAGTGACGTGAGGAATGCGATGGAGGAAAACCGAGGAATCGTCTTAACATGAAAACTGTTCGTGTGATTCTGACCTATAGTCAGCCCATGGTCGGCCTTGATTCTTCCCCATCTGGAGCAGCTTGCAGAAGAGCTTCCAGGCTTTCATCAATCTTCTCAACATCGGACAAATTGCGCCAGTGGCTTGGCGGGTGGGCTGTTGCGACCCCAAGAGTTGGAAGGAAGTTTCCCATGTTGATCGTGCCATCCAGATTGAGTATCGTTTTGCAGCGTTCGAACAAGTGTGGGAACAAGTAGGAGGAAGAGCCGCGTATTTGTGAGAGGGTGCTTAGGATACCCCATAGCAACTGTCGCGGGTCGATCGTCGAGTTCGCAAGTCTATCAATAGCCTTTGTGCCCAGGGAGCGCGTGACATCTGCTACTGAAGAGCCTAGGTCAAAGAGCTTTTGTTCCTGTTGACATCGTCAGATATTTGGAGGCTCGGGCGACATTAAAGAGGAGGTCATGGAGCCTACCATCCCGATTCCGTGCGCATCCACTGCTCCCTGCGACGCAGCACCTATTACGGTCATGACGGCCTTCCCGACCAGCACCGGAAGGTGGAATGGAAGCAGCTCGTCGTGGCTGGAGCCCGGCTGGGTGGAATGATTGATGGAGAATTTCCACATCATGGCTTGGAGCCATTGCTGGGTAATCAATATATCCACTTGCTGGATTTCAACGACACCTTCCAGGGAAATTGCGTGGGCTAAGCTCGATTGGATCTTGGCCGTCGGCGGTCGCTCCAGAAGGCCATCGCTCCCTCCAGCCGAGAGCCAGTCATATAAACTGGGAGTGAGCATTTCGAAGACACCAATTAAGTTGATAAACCCATAGGCTAGAATTGGGTCCTCCGAACAGAGGACTTGTGGCTTGTAAATTGAACTGCGAAGCATGACTGGTTTAGACTGCTGGAGTGCGTAGCCTCTGTCCCATAATGTTAGAACTTTCTCTTTCCCGAGGATATCACCAGAAGTTGGCGTACTCACCTCTCGGTGATGAAGAGAAGCCAGAAGACTCGGCGCCTATCTTCAGCTTCTTCTGGTGTCAGCTCCGCATAAGTGGCCTCTCGATGCAGTCCCAGAGTAAAGGCCATGGAGAGAGCTTGGCAGAGATAAAACCACGCCCTGTTCTGTTGGTCCAGATTCCCATATGATGCGAAAAGGAAGAAGGATGTTAAGAGACTTTCGATCGTGATGTTGTCCACTGCATCGCACTCGCGCCGAGCCCGCTCGGCTTCTCTCAGAAGGTCCTCCCCCGACAGCGCCGAATGACCACCTCCAAAGCTTTGAAGTTTCGCCGGACCAGGAATGGGATGATCGCCGTCCAATTTTAATTGAATGTGGGTTGCGGCGCATAACGATGCCAGAAACGCATACCGGCTTGGCGTAAGGTGTTCTGGCTGCTCGCTATCTATCCGAATTTGCTCCGCGTGCACGACCGGCATGATGGGGAACAGATATTTCAAGTAGACATTCACGTGGGCTAATAAGATGTATGGAGAGAGTCGGCGAGCTCGAGGGAGCGTTCGCGTTGTCACGGAGTCTGCTGTTAAGTCGGAAGAGTCTGGGGTAGAGAACCCTGGCAGGACCGGGCCGTCAAGAGCGTATCGTGGCGCGTATGGTTTATCTGCAGACCGGAAATCTGACGATCCGGGTGAATCAATATGGTTCAATTCAGAACTTGATCTTCTGTCACCGGCACTCAGCGGGCCATTTGGTACCGCGCCGCCTCCCAGGATATCGGGGCCAAGGGATAGAGATGTCGGAACCTTGGGCCTTTGCGTCTCAGTATATCACTATAGGAGCAGGAGAGAAGCAGCTTTTGGCATTTGTCGCATGGAGATTTGCGGTCGCATTTGACTTTGCGCCGGCGACAATTATCGCATGACTGCAATGGTGCTGAGGATGACTGGCCGCTCATGATGTTCGGCGACGATGGTTCAAGGCAGATAGGAAGGTCGAATGGATGGATTGAGGCATGACCAGAAAGCACCTTGTGTTCTATGCAGGGACTTTAGAGGAGCAAAATGTGATAAGTTGGGGAGGCATGGGGCAACTCCATGCAAGATGGAGAACCTGCGAATGGGGAGCAAATCAGGATCGAGTCAGCCTGGAGGTGCCCACCTGGGCACCTTCGACCCCGCAAAGCGAAAAAGACGCGGATGAGATCGCCTTTTCCTTGGACCTTGAGGGTCGAAGCATAGATTTCACATAAATTATCTTGGCGGTAACGGCCATGCCTGAGCGTCAGCCATCATCCCTCGGGGCCCCGCGTTTAGCTCAACGTTGATGGACGGATCCGATACTCTCAGAACATCATACTGCGTAGAGCCCTCTCCCCGGGAAACCAAAGGATTATTAAGATCACTTGGTCAGGGCCCTCTCTACAAAGTGTTTATCCGGCCAAGATGAGCCCCCACCAGGCTAGAAAGCCCAAGATGCGTCATTTCCCCCTTTGGCTCCACCCGTAAGCCCAAAACCTGCCGGAGGTTTGCACGGTGAGCAAATAGGGATCGTGAAGTTCTCTGATATCCAATAAGACAAGCTACCGTTTTGTCACTATTTTGAGACCTTCCATCACTTTTTCATTCTCCGCTTATAGAACAGCCTTTTAACCTGCCCATCGCTGCTGTGGCAGCGCATTGTTATATGGCCAACCTTTTTCTCGTACTCAGAGGGAGACTGACGTGCATCTGTCACTTTGCTCGGGGGGAAATACCTGAGTGCGTGGACTGCTGGCAGGCCACTCCTTGCAGTGTTTCCAGCCAGTGATCCCCCTCCCAGTGATTCGAATTGTCAACGATGCGTGAATTATAGGTCTTAACTCCATTCTACAGTTCAAGCGCGCTCTGCATGAGTCGTTTCGCCTGGTATTATTGACCACTTAAGGTATATTAGTATTCGGCACACCTTACTGATTCTTACCCCCTTCCACCAAAAAGCACTACTACTTTGATTACGACAAATATAGACCTCGCTATTAACAACATTGGTGCTTTCATGTCTATCTTCATTATCCTCATCTGGCGTACCCATGACTGACCGATTAGGCCTTCCTATTCGCCTCAGGTACCAGAGTAGTACGCTGGGTGGAGTAGGGGACCACAGGATACGATCATCCGTGCCAGTGGATGCCAGTGCCGAAATTGGCTCGTCTTATTAGTAATATGCACGAATGTAACTCTATCTTGAGATGCACTTGCGTTCATGTGTTGTCGAGTCATATTAATTCGGCTCGGAGTTGTTATCTGTTTGGCACCACTATCCGGCCCCACTAAAGCGTTCCGCCGGAACACTTTAGTGGAGTAAATCACATTCTGGTCTATACTGTATTTCCGTATCCCAAATAATATTACATCGCGACGCCACATTCTCACCGTCGTGATCTCTCTACCATCCCCAGTCTCATGGAAAGAAAAGCTTGGTTACAAAAAGAAATTGTAAGAAAGATTCAGATTGCAGTCGCCAAGGTGTTGCGAACGACTAAGTAATGCGGATGCAGCATGTCGTGAAGCCAAGTTTAGAGATACCAAAGCTACCAGTAGAGAAGAAGGCAGAGGAGACGAAGGAGAGAAAATCTTCCTGCAAATACATCGTCCTAGATTCTATCTTCCAAATTCCGTTGACAGCAATGGGCACTAACTCGTATCTTAGCCTGTACCCTCAAGGCTTAGTCCAATGGACTGCCCGAACATGCTGGCCCAGATTGTCTTTCCGGTTGAACGTTTTCGTACACCCGTTATGAGGACATTTGAAGGCACCCGGGGCAAGATGTTGGGTTTGGTAATGGCGTTTGAGAGTTGCCCGGTTGACAAATGGACCTCGAGATTTGCAGTTTTCATCAGGGCATACCAAAGTGGCAGATTCCCTATGGCAAATTGGCATTAGTCTAGTATTCAGCTTCTGATCAACATAGGAGCATTCTTAGATGCGTACTTGGTCTTGGCTCGAGAAGAGGAGCGGGATATATCACCATTTTCTATAGGCTCTTCCCGAGTTTGGTTCTGAAAGTCGGAGCTCTCATAAGTGCTGGGCGAGGGCGTGATAGCGACTCGAAATGCATTGGCCTCGTAATTGTCAAGAGAGGCGGAGTCAAGTTCCAGTGTTTGGTCGAAAGTCCAAGAACTCAAATCATCAAGTAGACCTTGCGGGACGGGGTGCTCTGAAGGATCATTCAGTCTTTGGCTTGCTGCATAGTCTCCGCCATAAAACTGCCCTGGTATATGTTCAAGTCCACGAGTGGTCAAGAAGTTTGCATTGGACGGATACCAAGCCATGGTATGTGTGATAGTATTCTACGGATGTTGTGAGTCTGGAATCCGTCTTAAGGGGACAATGAAATTCTTTTATCAAGGCTGGCAGGAACGAAAAGTCTACATTTAAGGGCACCATTTAAGCAAATCGATCGGCCTACCCGGGCACTGGCAAACTAAGGGTAGCGGGACTGCGCCACATAGTTGCCAGGAGTAGTACTTTTGTACTGTACTCCGTTTGTAACTATCCAATCGTATCGAGAGAGAAAAGCTTAGAAACCGGATAGAACATAGTTTTTTGGGGAGGTCCAATCAGGTGAGATCGCTCCAGGAGCGCACTTACGCACCCAGGTAGAACTCCCGCTGGGTCAGCGTCCAAACCAGCGAGGAAGACGCCACAAGCAAAGGGCTCATGGCATGGCCGATTAAGCTGGCATTGCCGAAAACGAATTCTCCCACGAAGTGCGTCAATGCAATGCCATAAGTCCACAATGCAAATTGTACGCGACCGGGTTATCGATGTTGTAGGCAGCGGTGAAGCGCACGACAGCTGAGAGGAAGGTCCAGGTACTCAAGACGCGACCGGACAGAGCCTCTACGGGACGAGTGCCATTGGTGTAGAGCTTTGAGGTGTAATCGGCGGAGGCATAGGCTTGCAGACCATTGATACCGCTATTGGAGGGTGATCTTCTACCGGCCCCACAAAAAGGTGTTGGCAACACCATTTTTAGTCGCATTCCCACCGACTCCAGCCCTGCCTGCCATAGGCAAATACATCATGATCATGATTTATTCAAGCTCAACCAATGTTCCTCATTGAAGCACCGAAGCATTCTGATCGTTGAATCACCCCGAATCTCAATTCTGAGATTTCCAAGTCATAAACTTTGCCGCTAAAGTCTGGTTTATCATGAATGTTCGTTCCAAGGGTCAATTCCAATGGTAAAAAGGCAAACTTCAAGGAAAACTTGAAGTTCTTCAGGCAATTCGAATGATTGCACTTTCGAGCCATGGGGTCTATGAATTACGTCTCGTTGCTTCACAGAGCTTCACTAGTAACTGATGTTACTAGTAGAGGCATTTGATCATTTATTATACGTGAATTCGCGTCAACACTTAACACTCGGCAATGGCAGATGATCGAATACTATTTCCAATTTCGACGCTTTGGAGCAAAGTCCTGCATTTCTTCTTTATTGATTTTCAATCTTGTTGATCAAAGTGCCCACATGAGGAAGAAGCTCCACTGCGAACTCATCACCGCTCTTGAGATAATTCTTGGGGTTCTGACCTCCACCCACACCAGGGGGAGTACCGGTGAGGATGATTGTTCCTGCTGGTAAGGTAGTGCCCTGCGACAAGAAACTGACCAGCTGCGGAACACCGAAGACAAGATCGGTTAGTGGGCAGTCCTGCATCACTTGGCCACTCTTGATGCCTCGGATGTGGAACTTGCTAGCATCGGGGACCAACGCAGCGGAGACGAGAACCGGGCCTACGATATCGTTGGTTAGAGGCCACAGCCAAGAAAAATAACGAGGTACTCACCAATGGGGCAAGCACCGTCGAAGCCTTTTGAGAAGCTCCACTGGCTCTGATTCATCTGAGAGGTTCGGCTGGACACGTCGTTGGCTGCTGTGTAGCCCAGAACGTAGTCTAATGCGTCCGCTTCGGACACGTCTTTGGCATCACGGCCAATTACAATCACCATCTCTGACTCGTAGTCGCCGGTGTTGTCTTGCTGGGTGATTTTGGGCAAGACGGTTGGCGCGGGCCACGGATCAGCGAGTGATGTTGCGGGCTTGAGAAAGAGAGTTGGTAGCTCGGGCAGGTCCATAGACATTTCCTTGGCATGCGAAGCATACTGTCACCCGGATGCTGTCAGCAAGTCTGTTGACTTGAAGCTACCATATCCTGGAGAGCGTTCTTACATTTAGACCAATGCAGCGAATGGAGCCGACTTCAGTCTGCGCAAGAGGAGAGAGAACACGTTCAATTGTCTCGGTTGCACCGGTCGCCGCACCTGGATTCAGCACGGAAGAGCCCGAGAAAGGGCGTACGGAAACATCCTTTCCCTGATACAGTGCCAGTCCTACATCGAGCTGCGCATCAACGGGCTCTCCAATCAAGACCTTGGCGGGGTTGGATTTGGGCACGAAACGCACCAAGCCTATATATGAATTAGATGCTGCTTTCAACTCAATTGCACGAAAGAGCCTTACGCGAGAATGTAGACGCGATCTTGGACATAATTGGATTATTAGAGGGGAGCGTGGGAGAAGTAAAGATGGGCGGCTGGTTCTTATCGGCGGAGAGTATTTCTAGCCCGGCGCACTAGATTTCACCCACTTGATGTGGAGAAGCTGTAGGTGGCAACCAGGACTACTCCTGCTCCCACATCCGAAAGTGGGGAAAGCCTCCGGTACAAGAACAAAACCCCCACGTTGTCGCATTCTTTTTCACTAATTCATTTATAATGTCTGCTCCGAAAGGCCCTTTCCACCTCGTGACCGTCAATACTGCACCCGAGCGCGCGAAGCGGCTCATCGGCCGTTTGGCCGAGATCCTGAAGGATCGCTATACCATCATCCACGTCGACAATGCCGAGCGTACGTGGGAGTTCCTCTCTACGAAGCTGACGATTCCGTTCTCACATGCTGCAGGAATTGACGAGGTCGAAGCTAAAGTTCGGAAGCACAACCCGGAAGTACTGGTGAGTTCTCGGCTTTTCCTGGACACAATGTCTTCGGGGTTTCCGGCTGCTATTGTTAGCTGACAGTTTTGGGCTACAGTTCAGTGCCTCCATGTGGACGGCCGACGAGGCAAAGCAGATTCATGATATTGCTCGCTCAGTCAACCCGGACATCAAGCTGCATGCAATTCCCACGGGGCTGCAGGTTGAGCGAGGTCCGGACGCGATCGTGGAATATCTGACCGAGAAGGTCCCTGTGCTGCTGGATAGCTGAACGATCCAATGATATCTGACGCAGCATGTCATGAGTTCAATCTGAACTGGCTTTCCTACATGGACATTGGTCTACATCAGAAACGAGCCGCCCTGACTTGTCTCTACTCTGGCCCCACATTCATCCGTGCATTGGCGGAATCTAGACCGTGATTGTTATAGATTAGCATTGAGCTTTATTGCGAGTTTGAAAGTCATTCTCATCTGAATGAGTAGTATAGAGTATAACTCTATTCTTTCACATGCAATAAAGGTAGAGTTTGTTCTGGGTGCGCGTGCTCTTTATCTAGTAATACTCCCCCATTCATGCTGGAGCGCAAAGCCTCAAAGAGGTACAAGGAACATTGACTTTGAGTTTGTCACATTTCTTCGACCCTTGTGGTACAAATATCGGACCATCTCTGCGTTGACCAAACTCCTGACCAAACTTCCTGGAGAAATCCACTTTCTTTATAGCCGCGGCAACTTGCTAGTTTCCCCGAGAGTAAAAAGGCTATTGATCTACACTAGGACCTCGAGTGATTTACAAAAGAACTCCTTCGACACCTCTACTTTTCCGGTCTGACAATCTTCCTCAACTGATACAAATCCAATGGCAGAAGCGACTACGAGACAGGACAATGCACCAGGAACGGCGACTAGTCCATTCATGCCCTCGCAACGCTTTATCCAAATCCGCTCAAATTTCATTTGTGAAGTGATTGAATGCATGCGTTTGGTGGAAAACCCGGATGCCGAAGCATTGAGCCAGCTAATGAGGATTCTCCAGCATCTCGCATCAAATGTACCTCTCCTTTACCTCATGCCCGACGTGCTTCAGAGGCATGAGACCCCACAATGCTTTCCACACCGAGTGAGCCGAATCATGAAAACCCTTCAAGGAGAGCTGATTCCACTTCTTGGGCGCTTGGACTCTATTGACCCCCATCGTGAGTTCCTGACGGACATACTATTCCTCTTTCATGCCTTGGTGTCAAGAGTCAGCATTGGCACCGACGACCCGGAGGGGTCAATTCAAATGCATTGGGTTTTGACGTCCACGAACGACAAAATCAACCAAATGTACCCTGGATATGCCCATGACCCGGCCGCATCTGGGATGGTGCATCGTTTGTGGACCGATATTCTCTATAGGCAGTTTAATTGCGGTTGTTCTCTCTGCCTGGGGCCTACTGTTTAGGCCGGTAAACCAATTTACACATAGACCGCCTGCTCTCTGGTCTACTCTCCCCATGAAGACGACAAAGCTCACTTCTATATCCAGAGAACGTCTTCCTCGAAACTCCGACCCTGAGGGCGCAAAGGTTTATCGTGATCTGTTGGAGCGTCGAAAATGGTGCCATGTAGCTTGCTGGATCAACATTGGGAATTATTTTGAGTTTGAGCTGAATACGAAGGACCGAATCGAAATCTGTAGGGAGTGGTCTTCAGGAAATTGGTTGAATTTGATTATCACAGTAGAAGAGATACTCGTAACAGAAAGTGGAAGAAGGATATGGTGGAAAGTAATATGCGGCTGCAGCCCATCGTAGACCGATTTGAATAGGCGGGGATGCTCTTTGATCTCACATTCCTATTTTTCGGTAATGAATCAAGAAAGGAATAATCCGAGTAACAGTGAACCGCAATCAATCTATCAAATGTCCATTGGCGTGACAGGGGGGTTCCTGAAGATTCCTTGTTTTCGGGCGACCTTTGGTGGAGCCGCGGTTAGCAATCTGGACTCCACAAGCATTCGCGGGGAACCTAAACCTTTTGGACCTCCAGCTTTTGAAATTGTTCTCGATCGTCGATCGATCTCCCGTCACCTTTTCGCCTTTCACCGCAGCCATGCAACTCCCGGGCGGGCTCCTCCTCCTGGCCTTCCTTTTCTTCTCGCCCGCCGTCGCCATTGGTGCATCATGCTTCAAAGTAGTCTCGGCCTTGGTCGGCCGACCAGGCCACTTATTCAACAAGTTCCAGAGTGAAATCTGCGAACAGGGCTGCCAACCTACTGTTTCCCATTGGGATCTTTGGACTCGCAACAATACCTTTGTCCCCGCGGTGCGCAGCATAATGACTCGGATGAACGTGGTTCAGAAAGAAGACGCCTTGTTTAAAATGGGCGACGACGTGGCCGTCATCATCAAAGAACGCTGTGCACCCCTACTGCATGGCCACCATATCTGCTCCGACCCGGCTACGTTGGCTGACTTTGGCAATTGCTTCAAGCGCAACTTCTTCAAGGCGTCCATCAAACATCTTCCGGTCCTGCTCCCTATGGCATCAGAGCAGGGATGCAAGGAACAGTACCAGTTCCTTCAGGGGGAGCAACTGTGGGAGGAGATTATTCCACAGAACATGCGCGACTACGCGAGTGTGTGCAACCAACTTGGGGATTCGGTGGATGAGCAAACCTCAGAGAACCAGGAACAGAAAGCCGACGACGGACATGACGAGCTATAAGACATTCGAAGAAATACAATTAATTCCATCAACTGAAGTAATACCCGGAACGTGCTCAAGTTTATGGGACTCCCAGCGTAAAAAAGTAAGCTCCGACTGTCAAAACGCCGGCGGGTTGCGATTCTCACCGAACCCGAGCGGAGCGTCCGCGGATGACCGCAAATCCGCCTCATCGGTTTATTCTCGACTCTGGACTCTCCCCTCTTGCACCCTCTTATCCTTCTCGCCTCTTGCATTCCTGCAGCATCATTTAGGTTCGGAGCACGCCATGCGCTCACCCCGTCGCTAATCCCTCTCTCATCATGTCGCACGCGACCCTCCTGCGGTCAATGAGACCCGCATGGCAGCCGCAACTCTCGCTCCGCAGTTCTCGACGATACGTGCACCCAGGATCATACCAACCCTTCGTGCCTCCCTCTCCAAGCTCCCTTGGCAAACCCACTCCAGCCAAAACATACACTCGCACCCGAAAATGGCTGCGACGGCTATTCTACGTCTCTCTCGCCACCGGCGTCGTGTACGGACTTGACGCCCGATTCAACGCCTCAGCCGTGACTCGAACAGCGCGGACGTTCTCAGTAGGCCTGGTCGTTGCGCTAGACTACAAAATCAATTTTCGTCCGGACCCGCCCTTCGCCGACTCGATCGCTGCGGTGCATGCTCGCAATGCTCGCCGGGTCTCGGATCTACTACGTCATAATGGTGGTCTCTACCTGAAGATCGGCCAGGCCATTGGTATGCAGACGGCTATTCTGCCGCCGGAGTTCCAGCGTATGTTCGCAAGTATGTTTGATGATGCGCCGCAGAATGATTGGAAGGAAGTCGAGAAGGTTATCCGGGAGGATTTTGGGAAGTCGCCTGAGGAGGTCTTTGGCGTTTCTTTCTCGGGGGAACCAGGTAAGGGCCTCATGGAACGCAAGGCCCGGGCTAGTGCGAGTGTGGCCCAGGTCCACTGGGCGCGGCTTCCAGATGGAAGGGAAGTGGCCGTTAAGGTCCAGAAGCGGGAGATCGCGCAACAGATTGAGTGGGATCTGTGGGCTTTCAAGTAGGATTACCTCCTACCTGACTCTACCTCGCAATACGCTAACAGCTCGTTTTTTCAACTGCTAGTGTCATGACCAACATCTACAGCAAATGGTTCGATATCCCTTTTAACACTCTGGTACCCTACATTAGTGAACGCATGTCTCTTGAAACCGACTTTGAGAACGAAGCAGCCAACTCTGAGACTATGGCTCGACTAGTTGCCGGGGAACCCAGACTGCGAGACAGAGTATACATCCCAAAGGTTTACCGGGAACTGAGCTCGAAGCGTGTCATGACGGCTGAATGGATTGAGGGTGTTCGGCTGTGGGATAAGAAAACTATCACCTCGTCATGGCGCGGTGGCTGGCGTGAAGGAAGTCCAGGATGCCAAGGCACTCCTCTGGATCCATCGGGTCGAAGCACTTCGGCGACTCCTACGCAAGCTGGAAGGCTGAAGCCGGAGCGCAACCATTGGAGAGGCCCAAATAACAAAGGTGGACTGGGCTTATCTTTCAAAGACGTTATGACGACCATGGTCGATTTGTTCTCCGCTCAAATGTTCCTTTGGGGAGTCGTACACTGTGACCCTCACCCCGGAAACATCTTCATCCGCCGCAAGCCCTCCGGAAAGCCCGAGCTTGTTCTTATCGACCACGGGCTGTACATCAACATGGATCCAACATTCAGGCATCAATATGCTAGATTATGGAAGGCTTTATTGACCTTCGACAACAAGACCATCAACGCCGTTACAGCGAGCTGGGGTATCGAAAACCCGGAGATGTTTGCTACTTTCACGCTCATGCGTCCCTACAGGGGAGGAAACATGGCAACCCACAAACACATCATGGGGCTTAGCAAAATTGAACGCAGCAAGCGTCATTACGAAGCGCAGAACGCCGCTCGAAAGCACATCCGACAGATTCTCGCAGATGAAACGAAGCTGCCTCGAGAACTTCTGTTTATCGGTCGCAATCTCCGCATCGTCCAAGGAAATAATCAGCATCTTGGCTCGCCCGTCAATCGAGTGAAGATCACCGGGCTCTGGGCTTCCAAGGCCCTTGCTGAGTCTCCCGACTTGCCTTTGACGGAGAAGATTCGCAACCTTGGCCGTCATCTCATCTTCCGCACGGTGCTGTTCACTACCGATATCTTCTTCTACTTCACCAAGATCCGTCAGTTCCTGCGACTTGGCGGTGGCATGGAGGATGATATCGAGGCCCAAATGCGGGGTATGGCTAAAGACATGGGCGTTGACTTGAACTCAAGTGTCTTTGAGGGATAGCGGCTCAACATTACCTCAATCTCATGATCTACCCCTTCAGCCTCCAGGATACCCCATTGTTAGATTAAAAATCTCCCTTCCAAAATAGAGCCAAATCTCATCTGAGCTTCTTACGCTTGAACTCCGCGAAGAGTTATCGGCGAGAAAAAAGTCATTAATTTCATAGTCATAGATTCAATTCAGTCAATCGACTCTTGGTATCTCCGAGCCTCCTTATACTCGAATAGCATTGAGAAGCCGAGGACTTGAAGTGGGAAACTCGTACATGGCAAATACCAGCCCTAAGACCAATGTTGCCGTAGCACCAAACACCACGAAAAGCCCCAGCTGCGCCAAGAACTCCACTCCGCGTCTTTCAATCTTGATAGATCGCCGTTGCCCAAGTCGGGTAGTTCTTCGTCTCAAAGTTGGAATATACTTGAAGTCAAACTTTGACTCGCCTCCCAGTCCCACCTTTTCGTCCCGGATCATACGACGGAATCTCTTCCGGCGTTGCTGATACGCAAGTTAGCATCTACAGCTACAGTTAGACAAACACCATGAACCCAAGACTCACCGATATGGCAAATCGATCCAGAAAGCCAATCTTAGGAATCACCATCGCCATGCCCCAGATCCAGAAGCAATAGCCCCAGATGAGTAACCGATAATAAAGGCCCGTATGAGGGAGACCGAGTTCGTCCGATAGTTGCTCCCCGTTCAAAAGCCGACCCATAGCCTCCATAAATCCCTTCGACGCATACGCCGGCGCCGTATTCTCAAGACCAAGAATGATATTCTGGGCCAGGACCTGTCCGGTATCAGTAGGATGGAACTCCGAGACAAGAAGAGATTCCATCCACGCCTTCGCTCGAGTCGGATTTTCGAACGGCTCTATCGGCGTCCCCATGTAATACGCCACGAGCCGCCACAGCGCAATGTAATCCGCGATTTCGGCTTCGCGGAGGTAGATTCCCTGCCGGGGCAGCCCCATCCATACGACGGTGCTGCAGAACGTGCTAATGGTGCCGATGCAGTCGAGGTCGCTGACCGGGACGCCGTGCTTTGCTACGTCATAGTATTCTGGTTGTTCATCCGCTAAGCCGAGGATCTTCTGCCGGACGCAGGAGTGGAGGAGTCGGACACGGACGGACGAGACGCTTCCTTCGCCGCCAGGTCTCATTGCATCGATCGATTCGTTGACTTGGAGGATATGTTGGAGGGTCTCAAGTAAGCGGCGGTGCACAACTTTAACGCCAAATCCTCCTGTGCGGGTCAAGGTTTCGACGACTCGTTGCGAGCCCCTAGTCTAACTGTCAGTAAAGGCCAAGGGCTATCAAAGTTCATGGGGTGTGATTTACATGCCACCTAGTAGACTCTCAAAGCTCAGCTATACAGGTTAGCCGGTGGATCCGAAAAGGCCAAAGAGGTGAACATACAGCATTCAGAATCGGCAAGCCATAGCGATAGAACGTATTTTGTGCTCGCTCTATCTGACCCCAATCAACCCATTCAGGAAAGGTGTTGATCTGAGTCCATAGCTCCTTCAACTTTGGATCCTCGTCAGCATGCTCCTTCAGCAGGCCATAGAAGTCCTTCCTGAATGGTTTGTCGGAATCGCCCGATGGGATCTTGTTTAGTATCTGCACGCATTCATCGGCCAGGGCATCATAGGTATGGACCATGTGCCATAGCTCTTCTTTGGAATGATGTTCACTTGTCCAATAGAACGAGTAGCCCCAATAATGGCATTCGGTGCCATTCCCATGGCTCGGGGTCAGTGGCGACATTGTAACGGAGCGGCGCGGACTTTGGTTCAAGAGATCAAATCTGCATTAGCAATAGAAAACCGAGCATAGAATGGAGGTTTTTCTCGCAACTCCATGCTTAGCGATATCTGATGGGGTTCATAATTGACAGGAAGCAGTATTGTTGGCGTGGTCGGGGTGAAGAGCAAGAGGGGCAGTGGGCACCTTCTCGCATGTGAATCTTGGATTTCTTCGGCACTCCACGACCCTTTCATCTGCGCTGTCCTTGATTGGTCGGCCGATAGCTGTTATTCATATCACGAGTTTTTAATAGTCTTCTACTGCGTGGGCTTATACGGCGGAGACTATGTATAAGATACCCATAGCTGAATTTAGAATTCATAGGCTATCTATCCGTCGTGTTGATGCTATGTAGTATGTATGCAGAGTATGGAAGAGTGAATTATGCCTATACAAGTTGAGTGGTAACTATACACGATCACAAAGCTCGGTTTCCTCCGGTTTTCTCAATCTACGACGACATTTCAGAGGTTGCACGGGTCTTGCGTTTTTTGTTCCCGTCACTTGTACCCTGCTTGTTTGACTTGGATCGCTTAGCCTTCGCAGGGGCGGCTGCTTGTGTTTGCTCTGTGGTCTCCAAGGCATCAACCGTTTCATCATGACGTGATGATACATCACGAGCCTGTTGCGCCTCATTCCGAAGGCGACCAAAAGCCTTCTCCATCCGACTAGGGCCACCTGTCCGGGCCCGCGGTGCAAAGGCACCTGCGCCCTGGGGTCCTTGGAAGAATTGGGTAATGTTTGCCTGCGTGCCCTCCTGGCCTCTGCGATTCATATCTCGGATCACGGGGACAAGAATCTCGTCAGTGCGCTCTGGGCTCCATCCGATAGTCGTCATCAAAAATTGCCGCAGACCATTCATGTCGGGTATTCCCCACTTGAAGGGAGATGTATCTGAGTCCACCTCAGGCGCGAGGTAGGCCTCCTCGACTCGCATATCGGGGAAAGAGGGAGGTAAGAATATCTTCGATGCCTTCTTGCGGAATTTCTTCTTGAAGGCTGCGTGGGAATCATCAGGGATATCCACACCCATTTGAACTTGTGTCCACCACTCGCGGAACTCTTGGAGGTCTGGGAACTCAGTCACTATTTCGAGTGCGGTCACAGGCCCGATTCCTTGCACTCCCTCTGTATAATCACTGCCTAGCAAATGAGCGAAGCTGATAAGCTTGCGCCGATGCAGAGCAAACTCCTTTTCAAAGTCAGAAGTCAGATAGCACTCTACGTACTTGCTCTGGTTGAACATGTTTTTGTAGACGCGCGTACCACCGAAAAGGAAGGTGTCGCTATCGTCGGTTACAATGCCATCAACAAGACCCAGGGACACAAGCTCTGCGCATTGAGCTTCAGCCTCCATAGGAGCAGTGATATAGGGTAGCCCAAACAGCCGCAACAGTTGCTGGCACTCGTTGATCATAATTTGGGTCACTTCATCTGCATCACGTCTGTCCTTTGACTGCTGATTTCGTAATTGCTTGAGCTCCGCTTCGTAATCGAAAGCACTTTGGTCCAGAGCGGCAGAATTGAGGGTCTTCGCAAATCGTATGTGCTCTTCCCCTTCGGCTGCAAGCTGTTGCATAAGGTCTTCATCTTCTGGGTCGCTGAATTCGCCAAAATCTTGATCAAATGTCTCCTGCGGAATTTGATGATCTTCGTTTGCCTCCTTGCTTGGATCGAAAATCGCATTGTCCGGGCCAGCGACAAATGTGGGTTTTCCATAGGTGCGTTCGGTAAGACGTCTTCGAATTGTGGTTCTGGGGATGATTCAACTTGTTCTGGCTCTTTTGGACGAGGCGTTTCTATGGTAGGGGGCGGTATCTCGATATGGGATTCATGAGGAGTAACTGCATCCAAAGCCTTGGGCGCAGGAGGTTCAATATCGCTCTTGGTCATGTTCTGCGTCTGAACCACACCTTTATTCGAGGGCGCTGGGGTTTCAGCCTGAACCTCTACATCGTCATCCAGGGCTATGACTTCCTTGGTATCTGATTTTGTGTCCGAAGCATCGTCAAGATCAACAATTTCAGGGAAGCGTGGACCGAATGTGAAGGGCTGGATTTCCTTTACTTCCGGCCCTGTATCTTTATCTTTAGCAAAGTACCCAGGCGCTGGATCTACGGGATCCATCTTCGATTGTTCGCCAGCGAACCAAGGAGGCAGAGGTTCATTCTTCTTCTTCTTCTTCTTCTCCGTCGGCTGGGATTCTGTGAGGAACCCTCCGGCTTGGTCGTCGAGAGTACTTGAGCCTTCATGGGGCTTGTTCACTTTTTTGAGTGAAATGGACTCGAAGGGTAACGGTCCGGAGTATGGATTCAGGGTCTCGGGCTTCTTTGAGACCTTAGTCTGAGCCACAGCAGCGGCAAAATCCATCCCGTCGTCGTCAGTGTCACTCGCCGTCGGATCCAGAATGGACTCGACATGTGACGTGTCGTGTGTTTGCCGGTTTATAGGCACGTCAGGCATCTCCGTATCACGGCCTTGATTTGGCTCTAGTGAAAGAGCAATAGCTTTGGCCAACTCATCATCTTCGTCCTCAAACATGTCATCAAGATCTTTTGTTTGTTCAGGAACGTTGCTGTCTCGAACGAAAAGTGCATCCTCATCCTCATGTTGTTGTGATTCTTGAAGAGCTCTTTGCAAATCCAGGTCCTCGCGGGCCTGCAGTAGAGATCGGTCGAAAACACCGTTTTCGAGAAATTGGAGCTTTGGAAGTCGGTTCACTCCTTCGATAGGCACATCCTCGAACTCATCATCCTCTGACAGACCATCGGAGCCCGACAATTCGTCTTGAAGGCCATACCGATCCACATCGATCGGTTTGTCCTCATAACCTTCATATTTATTTCCCACCACGCCTAAAACCCAACCGCCTTCGTGTTCGCTGTCTCTGACGAGAACGTACTCTTTACCGCGTTCACCGGCGATACGTTTGCCAGAGTTGTAGAATGCTTCTTCGCCATTCATGCCATTTATGTTCATTAATCGTTGTGTCAGGTCATTGCGTTCTTTAACTCGGTCGATCTGGAATTTTGAAAATGCCATGCGGTTCGGAAACATCGTGTCTAGCTGCTCTTTGGAATAACCCATTCTCAGTCGGCTTCGAAGTCTCGCGGCATTCAGAATGTTGTAACGGTCGGTGGCTGGAAGGCTGATGAAGAACGGGCTGTCGAAGTCAATCTTGGAAAAATCATAAAGATTAATGTCCTGGCCCTGGTGGAATTGCCTCGCATATTCTTCGAGCTCCTCCTGTGACATGATTCGAGGATCATTCGGAGCTCCCATCTCTTCCAGCGACACATCCAGGTTCGGGAGGTGATAAGCATCTTTCTTCTTGAATTTCCGATTTTCTCTTTCCTTCTGGGTCATTAGAGCATCATCCACGTAGATCGGAGTGTCGGAAACCTCCTCCTGAGGTCTTTTGCGGTTTTGCCTACGCGCTTCAGCTTCCTCCTCGGCGCTCCGCTGCATCTGCAAGGCCAGCAGCTTGCCTGCTGTCCTCGCCGCATCATCTCGTCGGCCTTCGCGCCTCTGCTTTCGGTTCGCGATTGTTTGCCTTTTGAGGACCGGGGCTCCCCCCATCGAAGACAAAGACCGGCAAGATTCCGTAATATAAAAGCTTGCAAATGCGACGAAAGAAGCCAACGACATGCGAGTTGCGCAGTGCATTTCCTTCTTTATCACGAACAGCCTTGAGGAACTGATAAATCCAGATCGACGCGTCAACAGCCAGTCGCTTCTTGTTGAGGGTCTCGAGTTTGATGGGGCGCGCGCAGGGCTGCAAGACCGTCCATAGGCCGGTAACACCCATCGCGGTTTATCGTTTCGTAAGGTCATTCGTCGGGTAGTAGTAGTATCCAAGGGTGACGGAGCTAAGGGGGCATCATGAGGGTGAATTTTCCGGTCGAGACTGACGTACTCGAAAGGCTCTTCGTTCCAGCCGATGCAAGAGATAAGATGACGCGGGGGCGGCGCGAGATCACGGGAACACCCGATTTGGAAGTGAAATTGACTCGATCTCTCGTGACTTGTACCTGAGACTATTCTACATATCAAGTACATGGGCTCTATATATTGTCCGCACCAAGAACCCCGGACGTACATAATGATTGCATAATTGGAAATGTTTAGACTAATTCGGTATTTCCTAACAATTGGTATCTAAAGCGCGAAATTATTCCACCGATTCTGAACTACTTTCTATCCCATTAAGTCTCTCATTGAGCATAATCAAATGACATCCCTCGACACTTCAACCAGAAAGACCGTACGATCTCCAACGACTGTGCCTTAGCACCCCGAGCAACCACCATGGACTCCACAAAGCGAGACTTATCCTGAGGCAACAGCAACGAAGTCTTGGAATCGGCTGCTTGCACATCTAAGCTATTCAGACTTGCAGTCAAGCTTGGACGAGCGAGGTTCATCTTCTTGAACATTGTACGTCGAAGAACGTCGTTAAGGAACGTCAGATCGGAGCGTGCACAACGGCCTGCGATTTGCTGAACTACGGTTCCACAGAGCGGTGGAATGAATCGTTGAAGGACTTCATCAAGTGCGGCTGTTTCATCATGCGAGCTGCCACGTAGATCCACCATAGCGACCCAGAATGCGGATGCAGATCGAAGAACAAGTGGCTCTGGGCGAGTAAGAGCGTAAAGTGTGAAGTTCAAGAGAAGCACGTAGACCGGAGTATCCCGCGAGGCGGGCCCAGAGGCTGATGGGAATGGATCTGTGAGAGAAAAGAGTATTGGGTAGTATTTGGAAAGAAGACGAGTGAGAAAGTCGATACCAGCATTGGCGGTCTCGGGGTCGTAAAGCTCAGGATTGTCTAGCATTGAGGCAAACAATTGCGAGACGTGGACAATCAACTGAGCAGCTTGTTCTCGAATTTTCATGGCATGAGATGAATGTGAAGCCAGGAAAGACGAGGCTGTAGCCATGATAACGTCTGTCCCCGAAATGCCTAGCGGGAAGCTTCTGATAAAGTCGACTGTCAACGAAGGGGGGAACACGAAAAGCCCCGTGGACTCTGTATAACCAGCCTTGAGAATATCGCATGCCGAGTCGATTATCGCGCTGTCGACCGGGAAATCAACGATAAGCAGGCTCATTACTTGCATGATGAGTTGCTGAATGCCAGACCCAGCTCCTTTGTTCCAGAAGGAATCGGGGTACGGCCCTCTGTCATCTGTTGCTTCAATCACAATTGCCTCGTCTGAATCTGCACGCAGGCCTTTGCCAATGCTGGCGATACAGCTCAGAACTAGGTGCGCATGGGTACGAGCAGTATCATATTCGGAGGCAGTAGCCTCTGCTCGCGCTGTAACAGCATCCTGGACAAGGAACGTCAGAATTCTATCCAAGGTCTGGACTTTGTATTCGTCCGAATCTAACTTCTGGATTATTGTGGCGATCCCCTCCAGAACCTTAGGCATAGTTGAAACTGTTGCAGTGGGCCTGCTGCGGAACTGATCCAGTCGGTCGAGGAAAACAGGGAGGTCTGGCGTAAGAACACTGGCACATGATTTCGACAGAGTCAAAATAGATCTCGAGGCAGACTGAGCACAAGAGTCAAAATTAATGGATTCGAAAAGAACATTCAAAACACCGGCAAGGATGTAACTGTGGCGCTCGAAGTATGACTCGTATTTGCCGAAGGCGTGCACCAATGTCTGGCGTGATTTGAGGGGAATGTCGATCTCACTGCCAAGGCAAAGACGAGAAAATGCCTCACTGCCGAATATCGCGTCCAAACATTGGTCAGCATGACCATTATCGTCCACAGCCTCCGATAACTGAGCGATACAGAATACTGCCGCCTCAAAGCTCCGCCAGTCCGCTTTTTGAAGGTTCGTCGTTGCACTCTCCTGGAAAACGCTGACTAGCTCAACCCCAAGTGTGGGGTATGCGGAAAGTAGATAGTCACAGGCTTCAGACCGAAAAGCGTTGAACTCGCTACGCTCTTCATCAGTCCAATCCGCAAGATCTTCAGCAGTCGGGTAAATGAGCTTGTTGAACATGCCGAGAACTACCTTGGCCAGTTGTTCTTTCACAATGGGATATCTGGGGTCATCAGACTGTAGCTCGTCCGGAAGAGTTTCAGCAATATCTCCCCAGTATTCCAGCACACGAGGTGTTGCCGACTCGTCAATAGCTGCATAGCCCGGCGTTTTGAAAATGTCGTGCAGAATGGCAAGAAGGCGGTCGTTTTGCGGTTCCATGGGGTTGTTGAATAGATTAAACCCTAGGTGTGAAACATAGGCCACCAAGAGATCGACAAACGTCATATTCTCAGAGCCTTCTTCTCCTTGAATCATGGCAATAAGGCGGTCTGTCACAATTGAATTTGAGAGTATTTGGGCGAGATTTGAGATTGAATTGCCATCAAAAGCCCAAGAACGAGTTTCAAAAGCCTGGGTTAGAATGGAAGCTGCGTACTCACTGAAGCTGGGCAATCGAAGTAGTTCAATTATGCCCTGCCCACAAGAGATGACCAGAACTTGAGTTTCTTTTTCGGTTGAATGAGTATGAGCTCCGTAGATATTAAGCCATGCCTACTCGTCATGAATGCTGTCAGTTTCAAGAAAACTTCGCATGTGGCTAAGACAGGCTTACCTTCCATGAGCTAATTGCCTCGTTGCCCAGAATCTGTCCAGGTGTATGTTTTTCGGACCCAGTGGGGTGCTGTGCAATTTGCTGCAAAGTGTACCGCACTAATAGAAAGGCGTCATTGATGTTCTCTTTCACCCGCTGTATGACAGATGCCACTAAGTCCTGAGGTTCGGTCTCCAATCGTGCAGCTTCCTCGGCCAATGCAATAGAGAAAAATGTCAAAGCAGTGGCTTTGTGGGTTGTCAGAGCTGGAAGGACGCCGCCTAAGAAATCGACAGTCTGGGACTGCTGTTCCGTAACGAAACTGCCATGTGCAAGACTGGCAGCAACCTGCCAAAGAGCCCGCTTCCACGAGGAAGACGAATTTCTAAACACAGCAACCAAACTTGAGGCCAACTTCCGAATCACCATCGCCGACTCTCCCTCGGTCACAAGGGAGATGAAATGGTTGAGTAGTCGTTCGAGAATTTGCCCAGCCATGATCTCATCGAGCTCCGCCCTGACGTCCTTAAGTCAGTAGGCAAAATCACAGGAGTGGGGTTCATCAAGCTGGGGAGAATGAATTCTCACCCGGTTACATTGATCTTCACAGTGAAAGTCAAAGCGCCCATGAAACGATGCTGAGCAGAAGGCTCCCTTAGTAGGGAATCTGCAATTTCCCACGCATGGTCACCTTTCTGTAATTGCTGTATTCTTGCTTGTATATCATGGATTCGAGCTGGATTTCGCTGGTTTGCGGGGTCGTAGAGCTGGGTAATAAGCTGCAGAATGTTAGATTGGCTAATTCGAGACATAGACATCATAAAAAACTCACAAGATGTGCTTCTGAAATTGGGTCCATGTGACCGGAACCTATCCCAGAAGTAGGCAACGCCATGGTGCTCCAAATGTCATTAGCAGACGCGTTGGGTTGAAGGGCGAAGATGGGGAAGGGCGACAACATCAATTGATACAGTGTATCACGTGGAGATAGGCCATTCTCTGCCGGCAGTATCTACATATCCGCAATTTTCACCAATGGTGCTCCCGGAAAATTAAGGCGGTACCCTATATGGTAAATAATCAAACGCGGGGCACAAGATAACTTAATTGTCCATGGAGCTTGAAATAGCTGGGAATGGCTTTGTTTCAGGTTTTGATTTCATTCTAGCTAGTGGACTGGCAAAGAGCAATGCAATAATCCATATGCTTCCAAACTTTGCAAATAGAATTTCTCGGCACGTTCACAACTCAATATTTAGATAGCTGAAGGAAGTTCCCAAATCCGCTCAAGAGGATTTTTTCGTCGCAGGCCTTGTAGGGTTCACACCTGTGTCTTTGGAATCAATGTTGATCTCATCCAGCTTATCCAGAGATAAGCGTAAGAAATCATGTTTGTTTTTCCAGACCACTTGGCTCTCCGCAAAGTTTGCACTTTCTGCAGGAGAGGGGGTGGATCAGTAATCTTTGTGACAAGATATGCGGTAGAAGCCTCCGCGACCCCGTACATGAGAACACCAATAAAAGGAGTCTTCAAAGCCACTGTGAATGCAAATGCAAAACCAAAAAGAACACCCTCCCGGTCATGGAACCAGCGCCGCTTTTGCTCTGGGGTAAATTTGATGCGACGGAAGTAAGGGTCCAGCTGGAAAAAGACATTAGCGAATAAGGCTGGCGGACCAAAGTGTGAACCCCCCAAACTTACGAGCTCTCTCATCAGACTTCTTGATGCGTAGTAGGTGTGAAGGAATCTGATGATTAAAGTCTTCGGGAGAACTAGGCCTGCTCCAAAAATTACAGCGGCTGGAGCAGTACCGACATTTCTTTTGAATGTGTAAAAGCTGGCTGCTGGCATCACAAAACGACCAAAAACAGGGAGCGTGGAGAGGAAGTAGACCCCAAGACCCAATGCAAGCTTCTTGCCATAACGATTCACAAACCCTATGATGACTTGGTATTTTGGCTGGGAATTCCGAGTGCCATCTTTGGTCGGAAACAATGCTAGATTGGGATAATACATAGCCCGAAGCGTATCTGGATTGTCAGACTTATGTTTCTGGATGTATGTGGTATCGACCCAATGGATGGATTGCATAAAGCTGGAAGCATGTCAGCCAGGTACATCGGTATGTGGACCTCGATTGCAATACATTTCATCTAGTGTTGGCGTCAAATGGCCCATCAAGGTCATCAGGACGAAGGGTATCTGGAGGACAGATTGGGATATGAAGCCAAGGCCATGGAGTAGCTTGTCATCCCAGTTGGCCTCGTGCAAATTTACTATGAAGGACATAATATAGAGAGCAAATTTGAGAATGATGATCTGATAAGAGACATTAGTCAGAGGAGCAGAGAATCAGTTTTTCCCAGTTCTTACGGGAATTTGGACAATCAAATGAATGACAACGCCCACTGCCACAGCGATGGCTGCTTGACGAAAGTGCTCATGTTTGAAAAGCTCGGGATTTCGAAGAGCTCGGATGGCTATTTCAACTATCAGCGACTGTTGACGTAGACGGTAGGTACTGAAACGGAATAAGGAGCTAAGGGTTTGCTTACTCCCTACAATGGTCAACTGGAACCCACGCACAATTGCGTTAGGTTCGAAGCTCACGTCCGACATGATTGGACTCTGGCGACGAAGCAAATCCGGGGGTGCACAATGGATGGAAGCTGAAGATACAAGGCACCACCATTTGGTCGGCGGGTCACATGTTGGGTGGCCTGGAGTTTGAGGCGACAAACTGTTATCCAACACGCGATCCGGGTCACGGCTACCCCCCTCTTGTCTTTTCCTTCGCAACCCCCTCTGATGTAACTCTATCACCTGGTTCATGGTTGACTTCCATGAAAATGAATGAATCAGGTGACTTGGATCATTTACAGAGTATCAAGCGCTCTGCGACACTCCCTGCGAGATTGATTTCACACTCCGCGCGCGCCTCCGCAGCAGCGCTTCCCGATAATGTAATCTTCCACCATCCATCTTGTCGCATTGTACAGTTCGCTCCTCGATCGTTTGCGCCCATACCGTCTGCATCCTCCCCTTCCGACTTTGATTATCCAGTCGACACAGTCGAAACCCTCCCGTGGCGCAGCGCCTCTGAAAGAACACTTGCGACAGCGGCGCTGCGGATTGAGAAGGTCCACGGCCTGACTGTGTTTTTGAAATGTGGAAGTATCGTGCAACCTATTCTAAAGAACTCGCAATGCTGGTGTGTTGATGGAGTATCGAAATTTGTTTTGCGCATTCGTCCACTTTTTTACTATCGCATCGAGATCCCTTATGAGTCCCCAGAGGATAAGGGGCTAGTGGAGCAGCTCAAAACTGCGCTGCCGACCATTCTTCGCTACGAAGTGACGCCATGTCCCTTCAAAAGAGCTTTTACCGTCGAATTACCTGAGGAGGCGATGGCGCCCAGGCGCAAGAGGGCCTGGCGACCAAAGGACCGAAAGGATAGCTTGACAGCGTCACTAGGGAATCTTCAAGTTCCCCTTGCAGATAACAAGCTTGATACGAGTGATTCTGCCGGCGACGAGACAGAAGGAGACCTTACAGATGATAGCGCAATTACCTCCATGAGAGCCAATAGTGTTACATCCGAAGCATCGCCACCTTCAAGTACAACATTTGCGCTCCCATACCAAGGAACCCTACAAGGAGATCAATTTCCGAGACTACGCAAACATTCAGCAGCATACGAGCAAAATTCGAGGCGACTTCTGTGCCTGAAGAGAGCCCCTCCGAGCTTGAGCTAGCACCTGAATCCACAGCCAAAGAGGAACAGGTGGCCAAAGCTTCTGTGGAGGAAGTTGCAGAAGTACCAGACCGCCGTGCTAGTCTCACCGAAACCATGCCTACTGTTTTGGTCTCTCATGAAGCAAACCTAAAGCCTACAGAGGCCAAAGACATGTTCAAGTCTGTCGATGTTGCTCTTGCGGACATGCATTGCAAGAAAGAAGATGCGGCGTCTATGATGGCTGAAGATGTGAAGAATCCCTTGGAAAGTCTCAACACACAACTATCCAATGAAACTGAACAACCAGACAAGCCCTCGGACGAACCAGATCAATACCAGCGCACTGAGGCTGAGGAAACACACTTGTCTATCGAAGCAGCAAACCAATCTGCACTTACAGCGGTGCTAAATGAAGAAAAAGCTGTGGAGACCGGTGTCGCAGATCAGTCTACGCAAAGTGTAGATAAAAGGGTTGACAGCAATCCAGTCACGGCGAATGAGATTCTCACAACCACGGAGTCCTTCGGTATTACGCGCTGTAATGATCCTCACAACGTGACTCCTAACCCAAGTCCCAAGATGAAGGAAGCCGGTGTAGAGACGGCTCAACGCAAGACTCCTGCACATACTGATTTCAGATCTGCAGGTGAAGCTGGGCTACTGGCTGATCCCGGGACAGACCAGGATGTTTCATTCTCTTCCAGTCCTGAGTCCTTCCACTCAGCCGACTTTCTCTCTCCTTCAGAATCAGCATCAACTCGCTCTTCGCCCATCGGAAAACCGGATGTGGTGTCGGTTAACTCGGTCGCTTTTGGAAATGACTATGGGTTCCCAATCGTGACCGACAAGCTATCCAATGTCCATTCTTCTACGTCAGGCAATATCTCAAACATTTGTCTCAAAACTGTAGCTTCGACGAGCCCTGGCCCTCCTGATGCGTCTGCCATGTCTCCAAGCGCTACCTCAGCGACCGAAACTAAACCATCATTAGCTGTCCCGTCAAGGACGCGTACCGCGTCAAGTTCTTCGTCAAGGACCACGGCTTCAGTAACAGATTTTGACCACATGAGCACTGAATTTCGTCGCCGGGCTCAGGCAACAAGGCAACGAGACATATCTCCTATGCCCCCTCCCTCCGCCATTTATCAACCAAGGCAAGGTGATGAAGCTACATCTCTTTTAACTAAAGCTTTAACGCTTGTTCTTGTGCCGCCTATCTCTCTTTTTATTGTTTTACTCCATATCACAGCTCGTATCGTCATCAGCCCAGGTGTCACGCCTCCTTCCAACGACTCCAAGACAAGTACCAAGGTACCTGGTCGACTGTCTCTTGCAGAAGACGACTTCGATTTCCCGTTGGACCGTGAGGCCTCTGACTATGAGGACGCAGGGCCAACCAACAAAGTAGACCCGTGGGATCTTGACTAACCGCCCCTGAAGCTTTCAAGCTTCACCATTCGTTATATCGCAGCATTTCTCTTACCCTGCATTACTTATTGCATTACTTCCTTTTAATGTGTACATTCCATCCATGTGACATTACGACTCGTGTCAATCTCATGATTCAATTGGCATTGGGCTTCAGCAATTACGGAGCTGGCACGATTGGCATTTTTAACTCAACCTGATGTATTCTAGCGTTGCATGTATCCTACCAGGGTCTCACTGGAAACCTCCTGGCAACACACTCACGTTTCCTTTTTAAGGGGCATTGACCTAATGAAAGCTTTCCTCGTCTGATCCTGACTCATTGCTAGGTGTCCGATGATAGATAACTAAACCAACGGACCCCATAATATTTCTACTGCAGGTACTACCTGCATCGAAGTGAGAAGAAGCCCTAATATCTCCTTCAAATGTGCTGATGGACTCATTAGGCTCTTAACGGGCAAAAGAACTTGAAGCGTAAGGGAATGTAAAGGGAAAATGTTATTTCAAGTTGGCGCATACAAAAAACCCAAGAGAAGTGGAAACAAAATGTCTTACTAGTATGAAAAAAATATCCCAAACGCCGCAAGTGCCACTAGCTTCATCCCCGCCCTTCCGATGCAAAAATACACGAAGGCTAGACTGGTGGAACACATACAAAATATGCCCTACAATCTCGTTCCTTCCGAGGCAAGACCTCTCAGTTAGAGTGGAGCTTTTTGATGCGCAAGCTACCCTCGTAGAGACCCCGGTCAATAGCAGCGGCAACAGTGAGGGTACCTCCAATAATAGCGCAAATTCCAGTGAGGAAATTCGTGAAGGTCTTGGGCCGGGTCTCACGGTTGATGACTTTCATGGGCGAGATATCGTAGTTGAAGAAGACCCCGGGAATACCGCCGGCGGCATGCATGCGTTCCTTGTGGCCCTCAGCAGCATCGTTACCACCGGCCAAAGATCGCTTGTGCGAAGTTACGGAATACTGATGCGCCTCGATACTTCCTTGGGCGCCGTAGGCGAGGCCGTGCGAGCCCAGGGGCGCTTTGTCGTAGGCGCTGTGGATAGCAGATGAGAAGGTAGGGTCCCAGCCAAGAGGAAGATAGGAAGTCGAGACCACCTTGAGGAAGTACATGAAATTGTAAGCAGGCTCGTCGGTCTTCTGCTCAGTACCGTCGAGCGGATTGGTGTGGTGGTGATCAGTCCATTGCCATCTATCAGCCAGCTCAGCAGGCAGCTGAGGACCGAATCGGAGCTCGTGGATTTGATGGGTCATGGTGTGCATGTCTTCTGGCGCAGTGCCGGGTAGGAAGTAGTTTTCCAGGTCGTGGGCGTGCATGTTCATGTTTGTAAAGCTGCGACCAGGCGCAATGTGGAAGTTGCCCACTACCTTGTTCACTCGGAGGACACCTTCAATGCGGCAGCCCTCGCGTCGCTGAGCTTGCAGCTTCTCGCCGTATCCTTCGCGGGTGCACTGCTCGACATTCTCGCCGATACCGAAGGCCCATTGTTTCGAGGCATATGCCTCGCGCACTTCATCGCAAGTACTGCAGCAGCCGGGCTTGATCGCGTTCTCGGGAGCTGGTGCTCCATAACATTCACCACAATAGTTTGGGTCGAGGTGGGCGGCGGCGTCCGCGGGGGAATGCCTATGGGTCGAGCGGATTAGCGGGCTGAGGGGCAGTTGGCCAGGCCAATTGAAAGGTGAAAGCTTGATCTAACTCACAAATCCAAGGATTGGACTTCAATGACTTGTCCACCCTGTGCGGCAGGTGTCAAGCGCACCTTGTTCACGCCATGTGCTACTCCCACTTGTTGCTCACCCGACACATCCATCACATCTAGAGTAAGGAGCTGGCAGGGCAATCTGGGGAAAGTCATGTTCAGATGGATCTCCATTCGCTCGCCTATTATGTTGATCCATCAAGGTTAGCGATCAGGGTCCCCATGGGCCAATTGGATTAGTCGCGAGCGCGATCATTCAATTACCTCTCGACTTGTCAACAATAAGCTCTGGGTGAACCACCACCCTTCGGTAATCGGCCCATTCTCCCCAAACCAGCCATAAGACTACCAAGAGCGAGGCAATTGTGATGATACCACCGGAGTTTGTGCGAATACGCGCATCTTCGACGGTCTTTGCGAAGGCATCGAGCCTCGTGAATCGCGATTTTGCGGGCATGAGGAAGGAAAATCGACGACCATAGGCAGGTCGTAGGGCCCGTTTCAGTATCTAGGATCGAAGATATTGCCTACAGGTCTAAATCGTCCAAATGTTAGCAAGTGTACGCTTAGGAGGATACTCGCAGGCTGCCCGCCATTAAGAGGCGATCAGCGCGTGGACACCAAACTGAGCTGGCAGTCACTGATAGATCGGACCCATTTGAGCTACTCACGCGGAAACGTACACAAACCAGCTGTAGCTTTCCAATTGCCCTGCCTCAAAGGATCCCAACCAAAAGAACAAAGCCGGTGCAACCTGTCCACTTTCTTGAATGTATTGGCATTACTGTATTCTGAAAGGACAGGGGACAGCTGTTGATTGGTGGGGAGCGCTGAGTCAGCCATGGGCTTATCTTGCTATCATGTGATCTCATCGGAGTTATCGAGTCCCCGCCATCTGTGTCCGTGGTTGCCGTTCGTATGGTTGTCGTTGTTATTGTTGGTCGTAACTGTCAAGTTTGGGGCTTTTAACTGCCGATTGCAACACATTCACAGATGCGGCGCCTTACACACTGGGCTTTATCCTGTTTCCTTGTTTCACCTCCCCTTTTATCTGGAGATTGCTATGACAGTAATTTGACCTATTCTAGGAGCATATAGTTATTTCAGTGATAGCTTACTATGCCGCACCGCTCTACTGCAATATTCTCCGCTCCAGGATTTTCGGATGCTTGATGGCATAAGAACGTCCACCGCCTGGCAACGTAAGCTTCCATTTGGAGACTCGAGGTTGGAGGAACTTGAAGTGACCCGTTTGTTTTGCGACACATCAGTAGAAGGCGGATCTACCGTGTACAAAAGAATCTTACCTCCCATGAGCTTTGCGGTCTTTGCGGAATAGACGATTCAATCCGTCAAGATGGCCTGCGAGGATATTACGACCCTGATAACCCGATGTCAGCATTCATGCCCTACACTAGTCCGCTTACGGTTTGAAGATGCTGTGTTCTAATGTTTCCGCGCCCAGCCAGAATACGAGCTTTGGCTGACCCCGCCACGAGACCGGGCTGAGATTATCACACCCATGGTCTGGGAAGACTTGAAAGCCCTCAGTATCTTTTAAAAAGCGGAGTTTGTGAGGGCAAGGGGGATTTCCTTCCGAGGGAAGTGGTCAGAACGCCCATCTAAGAGATATGGAACCAGTCAGCTTCGCTGTGGGCATCATAGGCCTGGCGGGGCTGTTCAGCACTTGCTTGGAGGCGGTCGAGCGATTCGATTCCTATAAGAACTTTGGACCGGAGTCGAGATCAATCGCTGTCCAGTTTAAAGCTCAAAGGTTGCGCTTAGAAAACTGGGGAAAAGCCGCTGGACTGCAAGAGACCGGCCAACTACAAGAAAAGCACAACCGGCTCCTCGACGACCAACGCATCAAGTCTACCGTAGTGGAACTTCTCTCGGCAATCGAGGAGATCTGCCAACATGAAGATGAAACTCATAACGAGCCCAAGTCAGCGACAGAAAGTAAGTCCTTCAGAGATCAAATATGGCCGAAGTCCCACAAAAACACCCAGGAGGGGGTGTCGCGAAGGCAGAAGATTGGGTGGGCGCTGAAGACCAAGACAAAAAGAATGTATCAGGTGGAGCTATTCACGACCCTCGTCGACACTATATATGGCCTCGTGCCTCTGGACGGAGCACAGGCTCTTGGGGATGAAAGTGCCGGCCAGGAAATAGGCGGAGAAGACCCCGATGCTGCTCTTACCCGTAAGCATCAGGCGAATAACGACTGTATGAGTGATCTAACGAATGCATTCCAGCCTATAAGGAGTTTGACAAGGAGGAGTTGATTGCAGAATCCCGAAGGCGATTACACATGATTGACAAAGAATTCGACGGTGAGTCGCCCTGTAACGCACGTGGAATGTGGCGAAGACCGGACTCTCATACTTTCTTATCCATGCAGAGGGAACCAAGCGCAACGTGCACTCTTGGCTACTTGGAAATCGCACTTTAAACGAGCTTTATGAGATCTCTGTCGACAAGCGCGTGAAAGGCACTTGTGACTGGGTCTTTGACCGAGCCTGGTTCAAGAACTGGGCATCTCCTGATTTCTCGTCCGAACTAGCAAAGATACTCTGGATCAATGGCCCTGCTGGGTTTGGAAAGTCGATTCTCTGTGCCAGAGTGATCGAGGAGCTGTCTTTATCGTGGAAGAGCCCAGTGGCTTATTTCTTTTTTTCCTCGGACTTTGAGAGTAGACGGGATCCGTTTGTCGCAATCCGGTCATGGCTTTCACAACTCATGTCGAACGAGACCGCTTTCTCATTGGCCCATGAGAGAGAGGTAGCCAGTCCAGGACAGAGAGCGTCTAGAAGCGACACCGTGAAGCTTCTTCATGATATTGTTACTAAGATTCCCTTGTGCACTTTTGTCATAGATGGCCTTGATGAATGCGGCTGGTCCAGCGAAGATCTGAAGCTGGACGAGAACGATTCGGTCTCTAGCTTTCTTGAGACTATTCGGCGCACGATCGCAGGAACTCAGACTCGATTTCTGATTGTCAGTCGTGATGAGGCAGAAATAAGAAACTGCCTCTCCACGAATAAGTGGAATGATGCTGTCTACCAACACAGAATTCGACCTGAAGATGTCCGCTCAGATACTGAGGTGTACTCCAGAAGTATCGTGAACAAGAAGTTGTCTAATCGTACTGAGGCGACCAAAGAGGACATTGCTCTCAAGCTTGCAGATCGATGTAATGGCCAATTTCTGTGGGTGAAAATGCAAGAGGATTTCCTTCGTAGCGGGAAGAGTCAGAAGAAGATTGAACAAGCGATCAACTCGACTCCCATTGGTCTCGAGCAGACCTACGAGCGCAACTGGATGAAGTTGTCTCGGCTTCCCAGCGAAGATCGGGACAGAGCCATATCGGTACTGCGCTGGACGGCCTTTGCATTACGCCCTCTGACTGTGAATGAGTTAACTGGGGCTTTGTTAGTCAATGATGACTGTGATGAGGTGCGGGTGGATGATATGCCGGACGCTATTGACGAAGACTATATAAACACCGAAATTTTGGATCTTTGTGGATCTCTTCTGGAGATACGAAGCCCCAAAACGGAGTCTCCAGCAGAACTAAGGACTGTTCACCTGGCACATTTCTCCGTCAAGCAGTATTTGCTCGCTAATATCCCGACACAGGGGAGCTTTCTGCAGCTTAATTCCACTTTGACTTCTTCTACCGAAGCAGCGGTGAATACTATGCTCGCGAAAATGTGCCTCTGTTATATAACTTGCGAAGAGGTCTGGCTGGAAAAATCTAACCTGGACAACCACCATATCCTCACAGCCTTCCGAGATTATGCGGCGGGTTCTTGGCAGCGGCATGCGACGGTTGGTGATATTCGAGACGAAGGACTGACAGAGTTGGTCAATGAACTTTTTGACCCGGAAAACGCTACCTGGGCATCGTGGAAGAAGTGGTTTGATGAAAACGATAAAGAAGGTGGAATGGGAGAAGCAAAGCCCGGAAGCCGCCCAGAAAAAAGCGAGGAGAATTCAGAAAGCTCCGATCATGAGGACGATAAGCCTACTCTACCCACCTCGCCTAAAGAATCGGTTATATCGGATGATGATGATGAATCCGAGGCTGACGAGGGAGAGCTTCGAAGTACTCAGCTCTATTATGCATCTTGGCTCGGTTTGACGGATACAGTGAATGTTTTGATCGATCGCCACAGCTACAATATTAATGAGAAGGGGAACCATGGACGGACCGCTTTGGTGGCAGCTTGCTCAAGGGGACATCTGGAAATCGTTCAAATGCTCCTCGAAAATGGGGCAGACATGACCCTCCGAGATTTTGATGGACACGACTCGCTAACCACGGCCTCTCTGAACGGACATCTTGAAATCGTGAGACTGCTTGTCAAACGAGGTGCGGATATTTCAGTTGCTAGCAACCAAGGGGAAACCAGCTTGTACTGCGCTGCGTATAAAGGCCACTTCGAAATCCTCAAGCTTCTAATAGAAAAAGGCGGGGACATCGAAGGTCACAATTTTCGCCATTTGACTCCCCTCAATGCAGCATCTGATGGCGGCCATTTCGATGTCGTTAAGCTCCTCGTGCAAAAAGGCGCTGACATAAATCGCCCGGATGACTGTGGAAGAGCACCTGTCTATTCAGCCTCTTTGAAGGGTCATGTCGCAATTGTTCGCCTGCTGCTTGATAAGGGGGCGGATCCAAGTAGCAATGTTCAACGGGGCGGATGGACGCCTCTGAATGTTGCCGCAGATAATGGGCATACTGAAGTTGTCAAGCTATTACTTGAACGAGGAGCCGATATGGACGCAAAGGAGGGGAGCACCCAACGCGGGCCACTGTATTCGGCTTGCGATAATGGCCACATCGAAATCGTGACGATGCTTCTTGCAAAAGGCGCAGATACGGAAGACAGAATTTTCGGCGGTATAACAGCGATTTACGTCTCTGCTGTAAAGGGTCGCACCGAGATCACCAAGCTTCTTCTTGAGGCTGGAGCCAAGGTGAATATCCAGAATGAGCATGGGTGGTCACCGTTAAACGCTGCAAGCGAGGGCGGGCATCTGGACGTGATCAAGCTTCTTGCCCAGGAGAATGCAGACATTGAGCTTGCTAACAATGATGGAGTGACACCCATACACACGGCATCTAAGTGTGGCCACCTGAAAGTTGTGCAATTCCTCCTCGAGAAAGGTGTGGACTTCTTGAAGCCGAACAAAGGGGGATGGACCCCAATTTGTGTGGCGGCGTCCAACGGGTACCGCGAGATTGTTCGGGTTCTTCTTGATGCCGGGGCCGATTTTGAAATTGCCGTCAAAGACTCCATGATAACCCCGTTGTATGGAGCTTGCTACGGTGGCCATACCGAAATCGCGGCGATGCTCCTTGCAAAGGGGGCCGATCCATCGAAACCCAACAAGAGTGGTTGGACACCAGTCAATGTGGCAGCCTCCAATGGGCACCTTGAAATTGTCAAAATGCTTCTCAAAAAGGTTTCTAAGGAGGAACTCGCTGTACCAGATGAAAAAGGGTGGACGCCTGTTAATGCTGCAACAGGCCGTGGGCATACGGAGGTTGTCCGGGTTTTGCTCGAAGCAGGAGCAGACTATGAGGCAAGCAATTTCCAGAACTCAGCAACGCCGCTTTATAGTGCCTGCTACCGTGGCAATATTGAGATTGTCAAGCTTCTTCTCGGTCAAGGGGCAGACTATTCCAAGCCGAACAAGAATAATTGGAGTCCGATCAATGTTGCCGCGTCCAATGGATACACTGAAATTGTCAAGGTGTTGCTTCACATGGATCCAATTCCAGATCTTGCATTTGCTGGTTCAGGGGGGTTGGACGCCCGTAAATGCAGCATCAGACAGTGGCCACACTGAAATTGTGCGAATGTTGCTCGATGCAGGGGCTGACTACGAGGCTGTCAATGAAAGTAACATGACAAGCCTGTACAGCGCGGCGCGGGGAGGTCATATAGATATCTCCAAGATGATCCTAGAAAAGAAGCCAAGGCTCAATATACAGGACAAAAATGGCTGGACCCCGCTAAGTATCGCAGCTGCCAACGGACATACCGAGATTGTCAAAATGCTCCTCGACAAGGGGGCGGATACTTCCTTGCAGACCACGACTGGGACAACTGCGTTGACAGCAGCATCCGAGAACGGGCATTTCCAGATTGTCAAGTTACTTGTCGCGCACGGCGCTGACATAGAGCAGACAAACAACACTGATATGACCCCATTGTACAGTGCTGCCTACAACGGGCACACGGAGATTGTCAGGCTACTCCTCAAGAAAGGAGCAAATTACATGAAGCCAAACAAGAATGGATGGACGCCAGTTTGCACTGCTTCGTCGAACGGGCATACCCAAGTCATTCGGCTATTGATGGACCAGAACCCTCCGCCCGACCTGGTCACTGCGGATACTCTGAACGGATGGACCCCTCTAAACGCGGCGTCGGATCATCTTCACTATGATTCTGTGAAGCTTTTGCTCAGCAAAGGCGCGGCGAAAACTCTCAACATAACCAATAACAATTCAATGACTCCGCTATGTTCCGCAGCCGGCAGAGGCTCTTACAGAATGGCGAAGATACTCCTCGAAAATGGTGAAGTTGAAGCAGATCTGGAGCTCTCAAACAATGATGGGATGACGCCCTTGTACCTCGCCGCCCTGAAAGGAAAGACAAAGCTCCTCCGGTTGCTGATCGAGAAAGGAGGCAATATCAACACTCAAAAGAAGCACGGCTGGACACCAATCAATGCTGCATCACTGAGGGGACATCTCGAAGCCGTCCGGTTGCTTCTCGCCTGTGGCGCTGATATCACGACACCTGACGAGACTGGGATGTCGCCGCTCTACAATGCCTGTGCGAATGGCCACACAGAGATTGCTCGACTACTTCTCGAAAAGGGTGCTGATCCCAACATGACGACCAACAATGGATGGAAAGCCCTCAACACGGCTACAGACGAAGGACATGTCGAAGTAGTCAAGATTTTACTCGAGCATGATGCTGACGTTTTGAAGCCCGATGGGGCGGGCATGGAGCCATTTTACTGCGCCGCTCTTGAGGGAAACCTCGAACTCATGAAGATTTTCTATGAAAAGGGTGGAGACGTCAATGAAACAGGGCAGACAGATGGGTGGTCAGCCATCAGTGCGGCAGGGTCCAATGGTCACATAGATGCTGTCAAGTTCCTTTTAGACAAGGGTGCGGATCTTTCGACCAGGAACGCCAGGAAGCGGACAGCCCTGCATACTGCGGCTCTCAACGGCCATGTAGGAGTGGTCAACACCCTGATCGAATCTCAGAAGGTCAATCTCGATGATACAGATGATTCGTGCCGATCGGCTCTAGCACTTGCCGCTCTGCGTGGCTATTCGGAAACCGTGAAGGCTTTGACCTCTAAGGGTGCTTCGATAGACCTCAAAGACATATGGGGCTCTACTGCGCTCCACGTGGCTGTTAGGAACGGCCATTTCGATGTCATCGAGCATCTCTTATCACTGACAGCGCCAGAACAATTGAGTCTTGAAGATGGCTGGGGACGTGACTTGGTATGGTGGGCTTTGGGAAGCAACAACGATCAGGTCGTCAAATTGGTACGTGAATATCTTCAAGAGCGGAAAATTACAGTGCCACACAAAAGCGAGGGGAGGAAGTGTTATCCAGTCACCTTTGACAGTAAAGGGAGCTGGTGTGACTCTTGCGGCCGATGTATACCGAAGGCGGACCCGTGGCACAAATGCGATTCCTGTTATGGCTTCGATATCTGCGAGCAGTGTTTTTCCTTTGGTCCGAAGTGCCCTGGCGATTCACACGAGTGGACTAGGTGCGAACCAGAGACAGAGCCAGAAGGAAATGAAGAGGAGAAAGAGGAGAAGAACAAGGAGAAACAGGAAACGAACAGTTGAACTTGGTTGAGGACCATATATACTTGAGAATTATATTCTGTTGCGGATTGACCTTATTCTTGGGGCCATGGGGAGAAACTGGAAAAGCTACAGTATGAACATCAGGTGAGCCTGTTATTGTAGAGAAAGCTTGAAATGTATTACCAGAGCGGTAGACAACAAGTTAAGGGTATAAGGAATCATGAACCTCATCAAATAAGAACCGCTGGTAAAAAGACAGTCATCAAACACACTGATTAAAAAGGATTCTGTCGTTCATTGCGTTCCAGTCCAGCAATCAGTCACCTAATGCCGGAACAAAAAAAAAATCAGGTATCGCATCCGTTATATCTCATCTGTCCAAAAGGGAAATTCTTCCTCGATCGGCTGTTGGCTCTGAATCTTCAGAGGCTGCGAAGATAGTACACTCGATGCAGAGCCTTGCCGAGAATGGGTTCTCTTCGAGGGCGACCTGGTAACTTTGGCAGCACTCGAGAGCAGTTCTTTGGGTAGAGGCGGGACAGGGGAATGTTGGTATCGCGGCTGCGCCGCCGATTAAGACCTGGTCTGGACTTAGACGGAGAGGAGCGAGGGGCACGATCAGGGTCGAGATCACGATGAGATTGAAGATAGAATGACTGGTGCGCGTTACTAGGCTGAGGGGGAGGCGACAATTCAAAGTCAATAGAGAGTTCGGACGCAAGATCGGGACCACTGTCGACATGGGCTAGAGAGTCAGGGCGGAGGTTGGATCGCCGGCGTTGCGTCCGAAGAGCAGACGACGATTGTATAGTCTTGACATCGAGTGAGTCATCGATGCCAGCCGAGGGGGGTTTGAGACTGGTTGTGGGGAGAGCTGCTCTGAATTTTACTTTGTGATTTTGTCGGAGATCCTTGACGGTCGCGTATATGGGACCGTCCCACCGACCCCGGGCTATCACCAGCTTCGAATTTTTGCCATTTCGATTGTCGCGGAGTGGTGAGAAGATCGGTATCAACTATGTGATCACTTTCGGACGTGAGCTTGTCGAGACGGTCCGTCTGATTGGGCTGAACAGGGATCCCACTAGCAATATGTTCAGGCACTGGTGACTTCCTTTTGAGTGAAGAGCTCTCCTTACCCATAGAGGACGGCCGTGGGTCTTTTGACCGCCGTTTGGGAGACTTTGCCGAATCAATTGTCACTTGCCGATATTCATCCTTCGGGACACGCTGGTCCTCCACGGTAGATGGTACCGTCGCTTGGTTGGCGTCAGCTGTGGGTGATGCCGGTAGGATGGTCTGTTGATCAAGCAAGCGCTCCGATGGCAGGGTTGGAAGTGCACCAGGAACAAACTTCCGAGGGTAATTTCCAGGGTCCATCTCAATGGACATACAAGTGGGTTCAGGCACCGGAGCCAGCAATTTCCCTTCATTTCCGCTCAGCTCTCGAAGTTCACGGCGAGCTCGGTCCAGTTTTTCCTCCAGCGTATTGACCTTCCTCACTAACTTGGCCTCCCGAGAGATTTCCCGGCGAGACTTTTGCTTCTTCAGTCCGGGTGCTGCATTTTCAGAATCTTCAGATGGATGGTCTTGACAGAGAGATGAATTGTGGGCGGGCTGTTGCTCATGGTGTTTCATGAATGGCAACCCGATTGAGGCTGTTCTTCGCAAATCTTGGAAGGAAGAGCGTTTATTGCTCTTTGATGGGGAATGCTGTGGCGGGGGAAGTGCCCTGCCTGGCTTCTTGGTGATAGAAGTGGGTTGACAGGGGCAGCACCACATCCCATCTTTTCTTGGATTGCATGCCAGGTCTGGTCAGCATTACTAGGGTTCACGGACTGACCCTGCAAGTAGGCGCCTTTGTTGGTTCCTTTATACCCAGCCCGTTTGAGTTCTGCATAGGCCTCCTCGGCTTGGCTGAGGGCGGTTTTCTGCGATTCAGCCTTGTTGGCTTGCTCCGAGTCGGGCGAGATTCGTCCCCACCCGCCAAATGGATTGAAGGCAGACGCGATGGCTTTGCCAAAACGAAAGATCCCAGATTGCCGATGCTGAGGCCCGGGGGGCTTGCCTTCTTGAAACAAGATGCTTGGTGGCTTTTCACTAACACTATCACTCATGCTGGCTTCGACAAATCGAGACCGGCGCCCTAGACGATGATGCCGAGGACTGTTCGTCAACGCTACTACCTTGTTCCTGCTGCGCAAAGATGTTGCAGAAGTGCGCGGAGAAGACTTCTGACTTGCTCCAAAATTGACATGACCGTTGCGCCCGTTGCGACAGTCGGCATTCCCATAGTCGGCAGCTTCTTCTGGGAGAGGCCAATCGTTCGAACGGCGCCTTTTGACCGACTTGGCCGAGGGAGTCTTGGATTCTTCTGGTTCCGGCTCATCCGCATCGTCGAATCGCCCTGACACATCGGAGCTCCATTCTGCGTCGTCGTATTCGTCGCTGGTGCGCAGATGTTTGCGCGAAGAGCGCGGCTCTTGAGCAGGGCTGGGATCAATGTCCATGTCCGCGTGGTCTGGTCCCTGAAAGGTTTCGCGCAGAATCGAGTTAGACAGGTCTCTGTCTTTAATGCAAGCAGCCATATGCCAATCGAGGGCCAATAATGTGCAAGGGAGCTCACCTTTGCGCTCGTCGCGTTCTTCGTCATCCCTAGGGACCCGAGGGAGGCCCCTGTTGCGATAAGACGATTCCGTAGATCCTAGGCTGTTTTGATTGCCGTCCGTATCGTACAGTAAAAGCAAAAGAAGAGCAGAAACAGATCCAGCTGCAACGACAAGAACGCGCTGGGAGGAGCTACTTGAGCAGAACCCGGCCGGTGTTTGTTTCGTTCTTTGTTTACTTTTTGACTCCACACTTGCCCCAGTTTGTTGTGGTACCGAGTACTTCCGGTTATGACGCCACTTGCGGGAGGATCGAGGTACCTACTACTTCTGTATTCGACCCCTCAACGTTCTATTTACTTGGCCTTAGCTGCATATCGTCCGGTAGGGCCAGGGACAACTCATCATTGCCCTAGCTATGTGCGTGCTTTCTCTTTTTCTTTCTCTAGCCTTCCTCTCGGCATGAAATTCCACCCCTCTCGGATTGACATGTGTTCATAGCCAGGAATGCAAACAAAAAGCCCCTCTAATGGTCGGTGATGGACCCCTCATTTCCTGCGGGAATGTTGAACCTTCAGAGCGCACTGCAGGCTAACGGCGCCCTTGGGGCTTCGATCAGACGGATCCTACTCCTACTGCCGTTGACTCCTAGTTGTCTCCCTTGGCCGGGCAAGCAGCTCCGAATCTCGACGTGCTACATCGTGACTGTATCTAAGTCGTACATCACAATATCCTCCCAACATTAGGAGCATTGCATGAAGAAATCCTCTAGTGAAGCCACTATGATGGTCTCTCCTTTGCCTATCCTTTCAACCAAGGCGGAAAGCACCATTGCGAGCATTACTGAATACTTCTGTGAGATCCGTCCGTAGCCTCAAAACAGCTCCCTTCCAAGGGTCAGGTTCGGGCCCTTTCCAAACGGCATGGATCTCAGATAATATAGTGCCGCATAGCTCCAGATTTAGACTGCTTGCCCCTGGTGTGCCCCAGGTCAGTTCTCCCCCTCTTTGCTAACGGAGATGCCGTCCATGTCTCGAACGATGCGATCCCACATCCGGGCTCCATGCCATAGTCCAGAAGTCGCATCTTTTTTGATGCAACTGACTGTGAGTGGCTAATTGGATGGTGGGTCTACTAGTGACGAACTAAGTCGCTATAGCTCATGTATTGGAATTTCGGCTACAGCCGCCCATCTGTCAGTGTGTTAGGAGGGTTCTGCGCATAGTTCATGGATTGATTTGTGGTTGATATTCCTTCAGGTTTTTTTCGTACTAGTATTGGGATGACTGAGATGTCACCCGGGCATCAGCGTCTCCAAGCTCATCCGGACGATTATCATCCTGATTCCTGGCTATTCATAAAGAGAGACTATCGTAAGGTTCTTCGATATGGGATTCCTTTATCACCCCACCGCCTCATAGTCATATTGCCACGGCACTTATACCAAAGTATGAGAAGTGATCGATCGCATTCCCCTCAGGTTGCAGCGGGCTAATCTGACCAAACATGGATTTTAGTTCGGGGTCATCTCAATTTGTATGAGTGCTTTTCTATCCAGTCACTATTGTCATTTTTCCTTGAGGGGCTTGCTGATCGGTAATAGACAAGACGCACAAAAAGAATTGGTTGGCGCGAGACAAATGCCTCAACCCGCATGCTCACCACTCAAGACGGGAAACCGCGATCACACTTTATCGCTCAGTCATCTCGCTTACATTGCACTTATCCAATCGTTGTGTGTGTTCACTATCAAAATTATAGCTCATAATAGCCACAGGAAATATGTTTGGAAAGATCACTCGATAGAACAAGTGTAATATGCAGTATCAACACTAAAGTACTACTAGTCGTTCACATATATATTACAACTTGAAAGATTCTTCCTCGCAGTCCTAGTGGATATAGAAGCCTAGTCCAAGTTGGGGTTTATCGACGATGTTACTCCACCCCCACCACAGCTTACCTCGTGGCCCACACAGGTTCGATCCGATCTAGTACGCCCAAACGGCCCATGCTCAAAACGTGGAAAGCTAGGAGACAGTCAACCGATTGGCTCGATCAGCCATGTCAAATCACTCGTGGGCTCTAGAGCTGGTTTCCACGTAAAAACAAATGTTAGGACCCCCAATGTAACCGAAGCTGAGAAAAATCTCTGTTTGGGTCGGAGGACTATAAAGGTGCGGTACCTATCTTGGAAATGTACCTTTGCTGATTCGGAGCTTTCACCCTCTCTCAGACTGCGCATTTCCAAGACTACAAAGTTTCGAGAACCTCTTACCTTCTCAAACTTAAAGAATAACCAGAGATTGCTATGATGGCGACTGATGGGACGACTTTGCGCTGGAAAGCCGAGGATGAAGAGGCGACAAGTGGTGTGCCATTAGCAGCTGTTCGAAGGATTTCAAGCCAAAGAACGATTGATCCCAAATCCGCGATCCCAATCCAACACCGAACTCTGTCTGTTCCCCCCAATTTTCTTTCTTTCTTTTCTTTACGAGTGCGACTAACAGTGGTGAGCAGCTCCTTTGACATTGAAGATGGCAGCGACAGAAAAGCCCGCGGCAAACGCCGGTCTGACAAGAACAAAGTCGTTGAAGGTAGGTAATTTCGCGGTCCTCCCATCATGAGCAGACTCTAATAATCTATCCTTTGAAACAGAATGGCGAAATGCGGAATGGCACACCATGTCGTGTACGGAGATCGAGAAGCAGCTAGATGTCGATTCCGGGAAGGGTATCTCCTCGGCCGATGCTAGAGCCAGGACGGGGCAATATGGCCCAAACAAGATATCACCTCTGCCAAACCCATGGGTCTGGAAGGTAATTGGGTATTTCTTCAAAGGATTTGGAAGTATCTTGCTCGTCGGAGGTATCTTGGTTTTCATCTCGTGGAAACCACTAGGACAGCCTCCTGCAGTCGCCAATCTCGCCCTTGGTATTGTATTGATAGCAGTCTTTGTTATCCAAGCTGCGTTCAATGCTTGGCAAGACTACTCTTCGTCCCGAGTCATGGCATCCATCACCGCAATGCTTCCAGAAAGTTCGTCTGTTCTTCGTGACGGCGCGCGAGTGTCGATCTCGGCTACCGAGCTTGTTCCTGGAGACACTTTGATCCTCAAGGCGGGAGATAAGATACCAGCCGACATCAGATTTATTCAAGCATCCCAGGATCTGAACGTCGACAGGTCTGTTGTTACAGGTAGGCAAAGGTGGCTTCGGGTTCGGTAAGGGACAAATGCTAATCAAAGAAATAGGAGAGTCTAACCCAGTCAAAGCAAGTATCGACTCCACATCGGATAACTACCTCGAGACACGATGCATTGGCCTTCAGGGTACGCACTGTGTATCTGGCAATGGAGTTGGAATCGTTGTCGCGACTGGTGACTCGACTGTATTCGGACGTATTGCTAAACTGGCAGGCGAGCCGAAGACCGGCTTGACAACCATCGAAAAAGAAGTGCTGCGTTTTACAGGATTGATCTTCATAATAATGGTGACCTGGATCGTAATCCTAGCTGCAGTCTGGTGCGTTTTCTGATCTACTTCACCCCTCCTGATCCAATCAATAACTTTTTTGCAGGGGTGGTTGGCTTCACAAGGCACATCCCGACTATATTAATGTGCCAACGCTGATTGTCGATTGCGTGAGCGTCGCTATTGCTTACATTCCTGAGGGCCTTCCGATCGCTGTCACGGCTAGTTTGACGATCGCAGCAAACTTGATGCGAAAGAACAAGGTTCTATGTAAATCCCTGAAAACTGTGGAGACTCTAGGGTCTGTAACAGATATTTGCACGGATAAGACAGGAACCTTAACTCGGGTAAGTTCTGCTTTCAGATGTGGATCCAAAACTATTGCTCACATCTTAATATATGCAGAATCGAATGGCTGTGACAGAGTATGCTGTTCACGTCACAATGTCTACCTTGGACTCTACGGGGGTACACACAGCCAGCAGACTAGAGCGCCCCGTTTTGCAACAACTACAGGCCCTCGCGGGTCTTTGCAACGCCGCTGAGTTTGATGAAAACAGTGCTGCTGACACCCCTCTCAGTGAGCGGCGGATTTTTGGCGATGCAACCGATCAAGCTATCCTACGATTCTCGGAGGGTCTTGGCTCTGTGGCCCAACTCCGCAGATCCTGGAAGACCATTTACAATCTTGCATTCGACAGCAAGAATAAATTCATGATCAAGGTCCTGAAGCCAGAAAGTAAAGAAGCGTGCAGCCAGTGCCTTTCTACCCGCGAATTCGCCCAGCTGGAAGCCGGGAGTCCGTAAGTTTTGTCGAATATGGCGTTATCGGGCGATTCTAACTTCTGATTAGTCTGTTGACAATCAAAGGTGCTCCGGATATTCTTATTGAGAGGTGCTCAGAGATCTTGCGTCCCGATGGAGAAGTGAAGTCTCTCACGGGTGTAGATCTTGCAGCCATGAAGCAGCTAAAAGACCAGTGGTCTTCCCAGGGAAAGCGAGTGCTTCTGCTAGCACGCAAGGTTCTCGACGCAAATAACATCATGCCCGATCCTTCCTCGGCCGAATACGAGGCTGCTGTGATGACCGAGGCAAGATCAGGCCTCACGCTGGTCGGCTTGGTTGCTTTGATCGATCCTCCGAAGGTCGAAATTCCGGAAGTCATTAAAACTCTTCGAGGAGCACAGATCCGAATCTCAATGGTATGCTGTGAATTGGTAGGGCTGATAGAGAGATGTTAACCGTTGAACAGGTCACAGGTGATTTCGGACTCACTGCGCTGGCCATCGCGCGCCAGTGTGGAATCGTCAGCACTGATGTAGTCCATGATGCCGCGGCCCTCCCTAGATCTTTATCTGACGAAAAGGGCGGTGATATATCTCAAGCTGCCCTGCTGGTCAGCGGCCCAGAGCTGATTACCTTCAACGAGTACCAGTGGGAACAATTGTGCCAGTATTCAGAAATTGTGTTTGCGCGGACCACTCCTAACCAAAAGCTCCGGATCGTACGCGAATTTCAGTCAAGGCAAAGGATTGTCGCCATGACTGGCGACGGCGTGAATGACGCACCTGCTCTTAAAGCTGCTGACATTGGCATCAGTCTTGCTAGTGGATCTGATATCGCTATCGAAGCAGCGGATATGGTCCTCCTTGATTCCTTCGCGGCGATCGTCGCTGCCGTCCAATATGGACGTGTCGTGTTTGATAACCTCAAAAAGACCGTTGCGTACCTTTTGCCGGCAGGGTCATGGTCTGAATTCTGGCCGGTCTTCTGTAATCTGGTGTTTGGTATGCCCCAGATCTTGTCGTCCTTCCTGATGATCATTATTTGGTAAGCGCTGCCGTCTGAATTATTGATCCATGACCTAATTTGTTGTAGCTGTTTCACCGACTGTGCTGCGGCTGTGGCCCTCGCGTATGAAGCCCCGGAAGCAGATGTGCTCACTCGGCCTCCTCGTCACCCAACCAAGACTCGGCTTGTGAATTGGAAGCTTATGTTCCATGCGTACTTCGTGATCGGTATGATAGAAACAGCTCTATCCTTTACCATGGCTTTCTGGTACCTCCAGAGAAACGGGATCTATTTCTCCGATCTCTGGTTCAAATTCGGTGCTGTGCCTCCCAATGTAACCGAAGCCTTTTATACGGCCAGGGTGAACGAAGCAAGCTCAATTTACTTCATTAATCTGGTCATTATGTACGCTCACCGTCCTCTCTTTGCACCAAACTGTCGCTAATCAACTCTAGGCAATGGTTCAATCTGATGGCAGTTCGGACTCGCCATCTATCGATCTTCCAGCACCCTCCTGCATTCAATAAGACGACCCAGAACTTATGGTTGTTCCCCGCCATAGTGTTCGCTCTCGGTATTTCGGTGATTTGGCTGTATATCCCAAGCTTGCAGAAGACCTTGGGCACTTCGGGAATCCCCGCCGAACATTATTTTCTTCCCGCTGCCCTAGGGCTCGGCCTGTTGTGCCTTGACGAAGGTAGAAAAGCCGCTGTACGCCGTTGGCCACGCGGAGTCCTGGCGAAGATGGCATGGTAGTCATTATTATAGAGACCAGACTCCATACCTGCTTTCTAGCTTTAAGCAGTCTCTTCTTGTATTGCTTTATTTGATGTCACCTTACTTTACTTGGTTTCCCATCTGAAAAACGTCTCAATAAAACCGAGCCTGATAATTACCTCTTCAAGTTGTCTCCTGGTTTCTATAAAATCTCCCTCCGGTCAGAAGGAGCATACTCAACCAAAGACAGTAGCCATTTTCCAAAAACATTAAATACATCTCTCTGAAAGGGCTGCATTAGTTTCTATACAATTGCCAGGGGATTTAGAAAGCAGCAATCTTGGCTCAAACTCTGGGTTGTTACATCACGAATGCAGCCGCGAGGCTAAACTCGCCACCTGTTTATAAAAAATTTCTCTATTGCTTTCTTCCCGCGTAGCATCACCGTTATTTTGAAACCAAAGAATATTCCAAGAGGCCATGCATTCGACGCCGACAAATCGAGCGATCGTGGCCGAAGAAGTCGGCTATATGCTCGGCTACATCCCCACCTCGCTGACGATCCACCTGAGAGCCGCGCGCATATAAAAGGCAGATAGCCCAGAATTAGTTGAAGCAAAAATGTCTCGACTCCAAATAACCAGGTTTTGTCTTGCAAAGACGCCATGTCTGCCAAGATTGCAAGGAGTGCCGAGCCGCCTTGTCGCTCGCGCTGCCTTCTCTACCTCGTCACGCCGGCAATTGATGGAGACAACGGGGTTCACCGATGAACAACTCACCGTCCGCGAGGCGATCTCCAATATCTGTGCCAAGTTTCCGAACACGTACTGGCAAGAGCATGATCAACAGGAGAAAGACCCCAAAGAGTTCCACGCGGCATTGGCCAAAGATGGCTGGCTTGGGATTGCGCTGCCCGAATCCCATGGAGGCGCTGGCCTCGGTATGTATCGGAATACATAGTCCGCACAGTCTCCTTACTCACAAGCCCAAAAAAAAGAGGTATCTCGGAGGCGACTATGATGATGCAGACTATCACCCAATCCGGGGCAGGCATGGCCGGCGCGCAAGCCATTCACGCGAACGTGTACGCGACCCAGCCCCTAGCTAAATTTGGCACCAAAGAACAGCTGGAGACCACCATCCCCAACATCATCAATGGAACCTGGCGGACCTGCTTCGGCGTGACGGAGCCAAACACAGGCCTCGAAACCCTGAAGCTGAAAACCCTCGCCACCAAAACCGCAGATGGGTACTCCATCACGGGCCAGAAGATTTGGATCACCTGCGCGCAGGTGGCATCCAAGATGATCCTGCTAGCTCGCACGACTCCGCTGGAGGAAGTGAAGAAGTCCAGCGAAGGCTTATCGCTTTTCTGCATCGATCTCAACCGCGATCAGCCGGGTCTGGACATGCGGAAGATCAAGAAGATGGGCGGCCGCGCCGTGGACGCCAATGAAGTCTTCTTCGACAACTACCAAATCCCAGCCGATGCCTTGATCGGCGAAGAGAACCAGGGCTTCAAGATCATCCTTCACGGCATGAATGCCGAACGCTGTCTGCTCGCGGGCGAGGCCCTCGGTCTGGGCTATGCTGCTCTCGAGAGAGCATCGCAGTATGCGCGGGAGCGTGTCGTCTTTGGACGGCCAATTGGCCAGAATCAAGGTGTCGCTCATCCTCTGGCTGATGCTTATATGAACTTGGAGGCTGCTAAGCTGGCTACGTACCACGCGGCTCGGCTCTATGATAATAATGATGGCTCCGTGCCCTTCCACTCGATTGGCGTTGCGTGTAACAGTGCAAAGTACTTGGCTGCGGAGGCAGCATTTAAGGCTTGCGAACGGGCGGTTTTGGCTCATGGTGGCATGGGTTATGCGATGGAATTTGATGTTGAGCGCTACCTCCGGGAATGCTTGGTTCCTCGAATTGCTCCGGTCAGTCGGGAAATGATCTTGAATTATATCAGCGAGAAGGTGCTCGAGATGCCTAGGAGCTACTGAAGGATATTTATCTCCGCCGGGGGCATATTATTACCCTGGCGCAAGGAGTTATTGTGTGCTATAGTTGTTTCCATATGAGCAATGGACCCATTATCCCCATAAATAGCACAGAATACTGCAAAAATATTCTATTGCAGGTGATCTCGTCAATCTTTCAGGTACAATCAAATATGGCAGATGCATTATCGCCAAGTCCTCCAAAGATATCCGACCATCGTCTCACGCTGACTGCAGCAAATCCCCCTCACGAACCTGATATACCTCTTCAATTTTCTCCCCAGTCGCGCCCTCTCCACACGCAAAATCAGCATTGATCCTCCCAACAAACGAATCCACAAACTGCTTCGCAACAGCATCTACCGTAGCCCGCACGCCGACACCCTCCAAGCTCGTAGCCTCCTTCCCCTCCAACCCGCACGCCACGATCTGGCGGAAGAACCACATAGGTTCATTGGTAACATTCAACCCGATACCGAAGCTACTAATATTCCGCCGCAAGTGGACCCCGACCGCAGTGATTTTCTTCGGCGCAGCGCTCGCAGCCGCATAGGGGTCCTGGACCCAGACACCTGGATCTTCGGTCGTGAAGCCGTTGACCTTGTAGCTCTTGAGAAGGTCAATGACGCTATTTTCCAACACGCGGATGTGGCATCGCGGGGTCAGCCCCAGGCGGCGGAGATCGAGGATTGTGTAGGCGACCATCTGGCCAGGGCCATGATAGGTGGTTTGGCCGCCGCGGAGGGTGGGGTGGTATTCTGCTTTCGGTGGGGTTGAGCCGGAGGGAGTCAGGATAGAGCGGATTGGTTCCAGGGGAGGAGGGAGGGAGAGCGGAGAAGTAGGGGAGGAGCAGGTGTTGGAGGGTGGCAAGTCGCGGCGGCCGGTTGTGTAGACTGGGTTTGGGGTAAATGTGATGATGGTTGGATCGGGCGGCGGCGGGTTGGCGCTCTGTATTAGATGATTCGAGGGCGAGCGTCCTTGTGAAGAAATTGAGGCGGGCGAAGCGAGCTTCTTGTGAGCGAGGAATCGCGTGGTGAGGGCTTGTTGGAGGTCTGAGACTCTCGCGAAGGGTGTTGTATGCGGGAGATGAAGGTGTGCGAGCCGCATGATGGTGCAGTCAGCTTCAAGGATTTAAAATGGGCGGTTGACAGCTCTTGGTGTCATTCTTTGTTTGGATTTGAAGTTTCCCTCGGAGGCGTTTGCAGGTCGGGAATTTAATCTGCGGAGAAGCTTAAGCAGCGATAAGCTTCGATAAGCTCGGGGATCATTGCCCAGGTGATATACAAGTAGTCGCGCGCCATGAAGGCAAATATTAATATCAACGTCAAGCAAGTGGGACAATAGGACAGACTACGACGATTTTCGGTATGGGATTACGTGCATATGGACGCCAAAGTGATAGAAGCATCCTAATCTGACCTCAAATAATGCCTGCATTCATCTGTGATTTTCTTCTTTACAGTTAGAATTACGAAGATCTGTGAAATATCTGCGTAACAATGGCTGGACTATGTCATCAACACGACCCTCCTGCTCTATGAAGAGATGCCATTGACGAGTCCTGCGTGAGGATCTGCGGGAGGAAGCAGGATCCAGTCACGCACACCACCCTTCCAGTCCGCAATGCGACCCTCGCGCACCTGCACTGTGACTACACGGACATCACTGTCAATGGCCATGCTTGGTCGGCGCTGAGAAGGATCATGGCTCTGCTGCCGACCAAAGAGGTTGATCTCCTCCTCTTCAAAAGTATTATTCTCTAGGTGGCGCTCCTTGCACCAAGCCTCTTCTTCAGAGCCTTGCTCGAGGAAGCGGGCAGTACCTGTGATGGTCGTGGAGATACTGGAGAGAGCACTCGTGTTCAGATTGAGGAGCAGGCTGGCGAGTGATGACCGGCTTGCAGCGGGGGGTGGTGAGCCGTCACGTTCTCCGTGGGGGTTTGGAGCTCGGGTGGGTGGGCGATGGGAGACCCAGTCGTGGACTAGGAGGGAGACACGAGGGTTGCAAAGCAGGTTGTTCGTCTTTCGTGAGGAGGGGTTCGTGGTCATGATGATGGTCGGGTACGGGTCGAATGGAGTGGAGGGGAGATAGGTGTAAGACATCAGGGAGATGTGAGGAGTGAGGTTATCACATGTTGCAAGATGAAGCTAATTGACCGGGAGCAAACTGTTAGGGATGCTGTTATATTGGGACTAGAGGGGTTAGAGTGGTTTCGGTGATCGTACAAAACGGGAGTTCTTCAGGCAAGACACCACTTCGGATGGCAGGGATGTGGCCTCATGGATGTGGGTCGTGGTCGCAGAGGGCTCGTAAGAGAGAGGAGGATTGAGTGATTCAGCCATCCTGACCGTGTCGCAATAGATTGTTGAAGATCTCGAGATCGGCAATGGGAAGTGGGATGATGATCTGCCGGGCGGTGGCTGAAGAGCGACGTCATGCGACTACGTACCGCTGAAGATGGACCATGCAAAGAAAATGGAAACCAATCGGGTGCAAAGTTACTAATTTAGATAGATCCGAAATACTAATATGATGGATTCAGATTCATGGAGATGAGAAGATTAAGTGGGCGCGTCTTTGGCTGAAACAACATTAGATTAATACCTGGCTAAAGCTCAAGGTCTTCCAAGATTATATACATGCTAAGAATGATATTATGTGCTCCCAACGCCAGCAAATGGCAATAAGTCAACCAAAATCTGAAAGAAATTCATCAAGTCATTCATCAAGTGTTGCTCAACTTTTCAATGCATAAAGATAATCTGGCGAGAGTTTTACTCGTCGTAGAGATCCATATCGCCTCCATCATCGTTCATCTCCGCGAGGGCATCATCAGAGTCAACCATGTCTTCGTCGCCGTCGTCATCGGCCACTTCATGATTTGGCAAAACGTCAATCCGACCGTCAATCATGACAACCCGAGCGACCTCTCCATCCTGGATGCTGCCGCGCAGGATGAGAACAGCGAGACGATTGAGTACCTCACGCTCGATGATGCGACCCAAAGGCCGAGCACCGTAGGCAGGGGAGTAGCCTGCATCGCCGAGATAATCTTTGACCTCTTCGGTACACTCGATCACAACGTTGCGACCGTTGTGTGTCAGTCGTTTCTGAACCTCTGCGAGACGAAGGTCGACAATCTTGCGAATCTCCTTCTTGCTGAGGCGGTTGAAGATGACGGTGCTGGAGATACGGTTAAGGAATTCGGGGAGGAAGTAGTCGCGGAGGGCCCCCCATGACCATCTCGCGTGTCTGTGGGTCGATACGACCATCCTTGGTGGTGGCGCGAGCAAGATACTCGGCGCCCAAGTTCGAGGTCATGACGACGATACAGTTTTTGGCATCGACGATACGTCCTTGACCATCTGTAATACGGCCGTCATCCATAAGCTGGAGAAGTACGGTCAAGACTTCCTTTGCCGCCTTTTCGACTTCATCGAACAGAAGGATGGAGAAAGGCCGACGGCGAAGGTTTTCAGTCAGTTGGCCACCAGCATCATGACCAACATAACCGGGGGGTGCACCAATCATTCGACTCAGCGAATGTCTCTCTTGGTATTCAGACATATCGAAGCGAATCATGGCCTTGCTATCGTCGAAGAGGAACTCAGCAAGGGCCTTGGTAAGAAGTGTCTTACCAGTACCGGAAGGACCGCAGAAAAGGAAACTTGGAGGTGAGTTGGGGTTGCTGAGACCTGAACGCTGCAATCTGATAGCATTCGAGACAGATACCACAGCTTCTTTCTGTCCTACAACCACCTTGCCCAAGTGCTTTTCCATATTGAGGAGCTTGTCCTTTTCAGTGGTCTTAAGTCGGGTCACAGGATACCAGTCCAACGAGCAACAATCTCGTTGATCTGATCAGGGCCAACGGCATCTGCAAGCAAGGCCTCACCGTTGTCGCCAGAGGCAGCCCGGCGTTCGGCATCAGCCCTCGCTCGATCAGCTTCGAGACGTTCAATTAAACTCTTGGTCTCAGGGATGGCGTAGTATTCTAGGTCGGCAGCAGTGACAGTGTCGCCCATTCGTTCGGCTTCGTCTCGCTTGACCTTCAAGGTGTCAAGCTTGATCTTAGCGTCCTGTACCTCGCGGCTGCGCTGCTTTTCACTTTCGTATTTCTCGCGCATGGGGCGCAACTCTTCGGCCACATTGGCAGCTTCTTGCTTGGCTGCCTCTGAGACGGGTCTTGGACGCCTCATCCTGTTCACGCTCGAGAGCATGAATCTCGATTTGGAGCTGTCGAGCCTTGCGCTCCAGGGTATCAAGAGCCTCTGGCTCAGATTCACGTGTCACCCGTACAGCAGCAGCAGCCTCGTCAATCAGGTCGACTGCGGAATCAGGAAGGCGACGAGCCGTCAAGTAGCGGGATGCGAGGGTCGCAGCGGAAACGATAGCTCCATCGAGAATGTTGACACCGTGGTGGACTTCATATTTCTCTTTCAGTCCACGAAGAATGGAAATGGTCTCAGATACTGAGGGTTCCTTGACGAGGACTTGCTGGAAACGACGTTCGAAAGCCTGGTCCTTCTCAATGTACTTGCGGTATTCGCCCAGAGTCGTCGCACCGATACAATGCAATTGACCCCGAGCCAGCATGGGCTTTAGAAGGTTTGCGGCATCCATGCCACCTTCACCGCTCGATCCAGCACCCATGAGGAGATGAATTTCGTCGACAAACAAGACAATCATGTCCTTGGAGTCTTCGATTTCCTTCAGAACGCCCTTCATGCGTTCTTCGAACTCGCCACGGTATTTGCTGCCAGCAACCAGGGAGCCAACGTCGAGAGAGAGAAGGCGACATTGTGCAAGGTTGGCGGGGACATCTGCATTTACAATTCGGCGAGCCAGACCTTCGGCGATCGTGGTCTTACCGACACCAGGCTCACCGATGAGGACGGGGTTGTTCTTGGTGCGTCGACTCAAGATACGAATGACACGTCGGATCTCTTCTTCACGTCCAATGACAGGGTCGATTTTACCTTCCCGTGCCAGTGCAGTCATATCAATTGTGAACTTCTTGAGATTTTCATTTTCGCTCTCAGCATCTGCGGTCTTCGAATCCACACGCCGTGTGCCACGAATCTGTTGCACTGCAGTGTCGATGAGCTTTAGGTTTGGGATGTTGGCATCGGCCAATGCACGTTGCACCTGGGAATCCTGGGCCGCGGCTTGGATCAAATGATCGATTGCCACGAAGCTGTCTTTTTGTGTTTTTGATAATTCGGTAGCCGATCGGATAACCTTCGCGAGGGCTGGGGAGACACTAACGGTCTCTGGTGGAGGGTCTTGGCTGGGAAGCCGGACAAGTAATTTCATTAATGAGCGATCCAGCAACTGAGGGTCACCGTGAGCACGCTCCACCACTTGGCGGAAAAGAGGAGCGGAAGCAGCATCGTGTGATGAGTGCCCTGCAGGTGTCTGTTGATCTTCGGATTCATCGGGACTCGGGTTAAGCATGGCAACTGCCAAGTGAATAGGGAGGATTTGTGAGTGGGCATATTGCTCGGCCAAAGCGCTGGAATCCAGCAAGGCTTTGTTAGCCCGATCTGTAAACTGAGCGCCGTTCATTTTGAACGGTATGATATGGATGTGAAATCAGTTAAAGGTTGTAGAGATATGTGAGTAGGCGAGGATATTTGACAAAGTGTGGAAAATTGCAGAAGCGAAGTCGTTTAGTACCTGATGATGAGGAGGTTAATATACCGTTGGGCCGCTGGTCTTGAAATAGCTCCAGCCCGCATGACGACACTAGACACCACTGGAAGCTTCCACCGCTTACCAGAATCAGCTAGCCGCACCACTCGACTTCCCGCGTGATTCGCGGGGTCACCACAAATACATCGATATGATTGGTGGAAAGGAGTTACGTCAATATCTCGTGTTGGGTAAACCTAAAGATACGCATTAAATTAAGTAGTTATGGAGGTCTTAATGCGCGACCTGTCATTGACTTTTGGCAAATATGTTAAAATGACTTCAATGTGGCTTCAAGTGGAGGATACTACGGTCACTAGTTTTCTCTTCTTACTGAAGACAAAGTATAACCTTTTAACACGTCACGAGGGTACTCATGAGCCCCAACTAATTGGCACAGACTAGAGCGATATTCTGGAAACGAATGACACTTACCGCATACCTATATCACGATCCAATGCCATAGTACTGGTACAAAGGATGACTTGCGTTTGAGGGCCATGGGTTGCTGGCGGAAGCACAGCTGGTGGGCTGATAGGAGGAGCACGAGGACGGATTCGTCCACAGATCACCGGGATCTACCATGGTCTGGCCAACATCCTTTCGATGACTGGTTTGAATACTTTAGGGTACTCTCAAATGGCGCGTAGTTGTTCTTTGTGATGGTGTTCCGATAGGTTTAAAGAGACGATAGACTGTCAATCTTCAGCTCAAGACTGGGTGTAATAGGAGCGCTCGTGAGGAAAGCCTACATGCCATTTTTTTGGGTTCCAAAAGAACAGAGTTGTCTGCTAGGCCCGAAAATGGATCGTGTGATGGACGCTTTCCGTTCCCGGGCCATGGTAGCCTCGCTCTCTGCTTATTGTGGCAGCTCTTGTTATACATAATACCAAAGTTGGGGGAACAAGCCCATCAGGTAAGCCAGCAAGTTCTTCTCTGGTACTGCATGGGCAGGTTGGCGTGGAATTGGTACTTCCAAGTTTCTTCGATTTATCAATGCTTTGCACAACCTCCACGCACCTATCGTACTATAATCCATGGTCAGTATCTTTGTCGTGCTCGCAGCTTGAAGCTTAGCGGTCCCACGCGGCGTCCGTCACCTTGCTTTTCTCTCAACCCTGCTGAATGGTCATCACTAGGACTAGTTCGCACGGCTTCTGTGACAGATCCGATAAATAACTTTTGAACGCTCATACTGACTTCCTCGTTGTACGACTTGAACCGATTCTATATGGATGTCTTTCCATATACAGAAAAGCTGCTCTGGTATTAAGGCCCGAAATTCAGCAATTCTTGGCAATAAAGATTTTGGGTTAAGGAACCATAGTGCTTGCCTACTAGTATGGCATGTGCTTTCAGAGTTCATTATGGCTCAATCATAAACATTTTGCTCGTTGAAGTGTCTGTCAGGCTCTATAGAAGCGCCGATATACATCTCTGAAGCCCGGGCATAGAGCTCTTGTGTATCGACCTATTGCAGAGAAGAGATTGGTGTGCTTTAACTGCTGGAGAAATAGTCTCGGCTCGCTGAACTTGGTCTCTAGTACGTTCGACGCGCCTCGAAAAAAAAATTCATTGACTAGGCCTCGGTGCCGCTAGTTGAGAATCTAATGTTGGTTGTCTTCAAGTTGTCGCTCATCAATCCAGACCTGATCGTTTCACAAATTAAGGAATGAACTATCTAACAAAGCGTCGGACGTTTGGCTTCATTTGAGATATTTTCCGGCAGCCCAGCTAGTATGCCGAGCCCAAATTTGTACAATGGCCAGGGTGCTCATCAAAAGTAAGGAGTAACCAAACCATACATTCCCCCTCTTTTAAGTATTGGATTTGCTGCATCATTTAAATATTCGAACACATAATTCTACCATACCAGTCGACATCTTGTCCAGTACATCCAACACGGAAACGCGCTGTGCGTTACCCTCTCGCTCGAGGGTCAGCTTTACTTGCTAGTCGTCTTGGCTCGTCTGCTGCTCAATACAGTGCCTGTTACCGCTCGAGGCCATCCACTAAATTTGGGAAGTTGATTTATTGTCAACTATCAGCTTCAAAAGCTTGGCCGTTATCGCACTTATCCGGTGCGTCAATTATTCTCAGTATAGAAACTCGTAGTATAAATCTTGGGTAAATAGCGAACTCCCTGTTATTTGCGAAATACACAGGGGCCCTACGAGTATGCCTATTGAAGGCAAGGAACAGCTGTTAAACGGCGAAGAGGTAGAATAAGCCTTAGCACAGCAGTAACATCGCTCAGGTTCAAACTGATGCCTTGGCAGAAGAAGCATGCAAGGAGAGTAGAAGAAGTCTGGCCTGATGTTCTACCTGCTTAATCCGAGTAAACCGCTCCAGTTCGTCAACATTCCCAATCGGCAGCACGTCCTTGCCTTTGCCTGGAATGCCCTTGATCCAAAGAGTCCTGCTCTGGCCGTCATTGAGCCATTTTTGGAGGGCAGGCCGGTCTAGGATCCATTCGTGTCATGGGTCCTTCTCTAAGTCACTCTTTGTTTTCCATGCACTCATTGTCATGACGTGAGTTGGTCAAGCGTCGTTCACTTCAGGACTAATGATTTGCCTTCCTATGGTGGAAAATGATGTTAGCTGTATTCACTCCTAATTCAAGCGTCTCCTTCGTGTCCTGTAGAACTCACACCGCTCTGCGGGGTCACTGGCACCTTCGAGCCGTTTCGAGCTGTTTCGAGTTGTGGCCAAGCCTGAGGGACTAGAAAGTGGGGGTGGGGCAGCGGTGTTTGGCAGCCTGAGGGATCGTCTAACCCTACTGAGCCTAGTGTTGCTCGGACGAGGGAGCGAGTCTGCAAGGATGCCTGTCCGGACTTGGGGAATTGAACCTATGGCCAGGCTCACGTGGCCCAATTGCGAGAGCAGCAGCAAATTTTGGAGCAGTCGATCCTGGTAGATAGAAATTTATGTGATAATAGTATATATGATCGCTGAAGCCCTTTGTTGTATCCTACCTGGTGCAGGAACAGAAGCTTAAACACCGTAATAGCTGGGGAAACATCTAACCTCAAACGAAGCCACGGAAGAGTATACTCCGAGACTTAACTAAATTTAACTCTTTAGCTTACGAGAAATCACTCAAAACAACCCCTCATAGTCCTCCGGGACCGGGCCCGGTTAGATGTGGGTCGATCGGCAACTGCCAAAGCCCATGTGGGATACGGCCAGTGTAAGATCATGCCATTCATGGCCAAACAGACGATATCTTTTTAGTCTTCTTAGCTCGTTGCTGACGTTGATGTCGGATCGGCTTCCCGAGTCGATGGGCGTCTCACCAGGCCAGAAGGTGAAAGATCCACATGGAACTTGGAGCTGGGAACATTGACCGGTCATGACATCATACTCCACGTATGTATGAGCCGGTGAGTCCGGTTTACAGCTGCCCGGTTTGACCATCTCAAACTATGATCGCACGTAGTGAGAAAAAAAAGACTGAAGCCGGTTATCTAGACAGATAGGTGGTATCTATTGTGGGTGTGGACAAGGTCACACCAATAGACATACTCCGTGATGAGGTCATGGCCACCAGCATAGAGTAGGGCGAAGCCCATGTATGGAAAGTTTATTCAAGGAAGTTCTACCTTGTTAGGCTCGCGTGGTTCTGCCGCTTTGACTTATTACCCCTCCCTTCCCTCCTCTAATCCTCCATCTTCCTTCTTTACCCCTCCCAAACTCTTTTTTCCGAACAACATCTTTCACAATGATTCCCGTCCCACAAGCCGAAAGCCTCAAGGACCTCTTCAGCCTTAAGGGCAAGGTCGTCGTGGTCACTGGTGCCTCCGGGCCCCGTGGCATGGGCATTGAGGCCGCCCGTGGCTGCGCTGAGATGGGCGCTGACCTCGCCATCACCTACTCGTCCCGCCCTGAGGGTGGCGAGAAGAACGCAAAGGAGCTGCAGGAGCAGTACGGAGTCAAGGTCAAGGCCTACAAGTGCAATGTGGGCGACTGGGACAGCGTGCAACAGCTCGTCAACGACGTCATCAAGGAGTTTGGCAAGATCGACGCCTTCATTGCCAACGCCGGCCGCACCGCCGACAGCGGCATTCTCGAAGGCTCCGTCAAGGATTGGGCCGAAGTCATCCAGACCGATCTGACCGGAACTTTCCACTGCGCCAAGGCCGTCGGTGCTCACTTCAAGCAGCGTGGCACCGGCAGCTTCGTCATTACCTCCTCCATGTCCGGCCACATCGCCAACTTCCCCCAAGAACAGACCTCATACAACGTCGCCAAGGCCGGCTGCATCCACATGGCCCGCTCTCTGGCCAACGAATGGCGCGACTTTGCCCGTGTGAACAGCATCTCTCCTGGATACATCGACACTGGTCTCTCTGACTTCGTCGATCAGAAAACCCAGGATCTGTGGCTCTCCATGATCCCCATGGGCCGCCATGGTCAGGCTAAGGAGCTGAAGGGTGCTTACGTTTACTTGGTTAGCGACGCTAGCACTTACACCACCGGCAGCGATCTGCTCATCGACGGTGGATACTGCGTGCGGTAAATGCATTTTGTACATTAAAAACCACATTTCGAGACAATGCTCTGAGGAGCGTTAGTATCTAATATCATCGATAACGAATGAATGCCATTGGTTCCAATTGAGTTGCACGTATATCCTAAATATGTAGTGATGGTCGGTCAATTCTACAAGTCTCTATTGGGTCTAGGATTACTTTTGGACCCCGCACTAGTGCCCTTATGGTAGCATGCTTAGTTGAGTTCACTCCGACTTTCCGTGGGGCTACCTCCGGAAAGCCTGAAGTCAAGGATATTCTAGGTGCGGGTGTCATGTAATGACATTGCTTTTGGCGATATGATACACTTCCATTACCTGGCCGTAGACGAGTCCGGTTCTGTTTTGAAACCGCTCTAGAGTTTGGTACTAAGAGAGGGAAGGAATAGTCCTATCTCAGCTTCTTTTATCCAGGTCTTGGGTGTTGCCCGTCCTAGGTATACCCCACGGGGTAACGAGTCGCGCACTCGGCTGCGATTTCAAATTACCCCCGGTGGGTAAGTAAGTCAGTTTCAATCTTCATGATAGGCATAGGCCTGGTCCTACTACCCTCATGGATAATGACGGCTTGGCGGACCTACCGACAAAGTTCATCTGGAATTTCCTTTTATAAACCATCAGCGTGCCGTTTTACTCGTCGCTACACCCAGCTCTAAGGAATGCAACAATCCACCCTTTCTTGAGGGCAGAGACGTGAGAATGCATACATGACTCCCTGAGGAATAAGGAAAATGGCTTGTCCCCCTGCATTCAAAGCTTTGTGGACAGCAGACAATCAAAGGAAAGGAAAGAAAGTTGTTCTCCTTTGATTTGAAGGGGCAAAGAAATCCAGTGACGGTATAAATTCTCGGGCATTATCCTACTAGTATAGGCTTCCAATCCTGTTTCCTGAGGAACAAGTCATGCGGAAATTCTGATTGATCCAATATACAAGATGGATCAAAACAGATGCCCGTCGAAAGGAGTCTGGATCTTCTCTGCCAAGGCGAAAAGCCCCAAGGCATCTCCCAACGACACCAAAAACTTAAATACAGAGCCCACGCACGGGTGGATACGATTGGCAACAAAGTCTCTACTTCTTGTAAACGCAAAGAGTCAAAGTTGCAGCTCGCAGGATAAGACCGGGAGCTTGAGCAACACCCTGGTAACACCCATGCGAAGACACAGCAATGCCAATTCCAATGCCGCCCCGTGTAAGAACCACAGAGCGAAAGATAACGACGACCTAAACGAGATTCTCTCACTCGTGAGGCACGAAGTAACCACCCACTTCCGCCAACTGGATGCTTACCCCAATCTCATCGGCCCTCGACAGACGGGCATCCTAGCGTACCTGCGAGCAATGCAGGGGATGTGGACCACCCCGCTAGTCGGTAGCACAGTTGCTCCCGGAGCCTGGCTCTATGAAATTAGTGGCTGCGCGGCATGCATGTTGACTCGTATCTGCGCCGACACAGACGCTCTGTGCTACCTGTATGTGGTTGTCAAGAGCCGGACTCGCACCCGCGACAGGGATCATCCGCGGCGGCTTATGGCGTTTATCGAGGAATGCATGGGCTCTCACGGCCCAAATATGGTGAGCTTGATGAATGATATAATGAGTGCTGATGCTGTCCAGATGAAGATCGTTAGAAAAGCGTGCATGAAGGCGTGGATGCTGGATGTCCGGTTGAAAGGTTCTCTGCCTTCTCAGCGTGAGTCACCTTCCATTGAATCTAGGAAGATAACAGCGGATGGAGCAGCGAGCTAGATCCCCTGTGAGGTTCCAGGTGGAAGCCAGAAGAAGGTTGGGCGCATTTGGAGATAGATCTCATCATTGAGCTAAGACTCCCCAACTCCGCTGTAATATTGGCATCTTTGGGTGGACCTTTTTATCTAGTCCTACAATGCTTAGAAATAAACTACAGTTACCATTGATATTCAATGCTGTTGTATGCGGGAGTGTATATCCGACCGCATCCGAATCGACCGTAGAACCTGAATAAGTGCTTGCTCACTAACCAGGGGTGCCACGCAGGAATGACCACATGTCATAGACTTGTGGACCGTGGCAATGAATTCTATTTTATTTATAAACCGTCAGTTGGAACCGTGGCCAAAATTGACCAGTTCATGGCAATCTTCTTCATCCAAGGTACCCCGCGATAAGATCGGAAGCTGCCCCGCAAAGCACCCGTCGGTCCGGAACTTGCAAGGCCCGGAGTTTCGGAACTGCTTGTCTATAATTGACTTGGATCTCTGGGAACTTGAACTTAGATAGGTTCCTCCCAGCCTTGTCAAAAGAAACCTCCGCATAACTACGCACTGCAAAATGTCGTACCAAATCGCCTACAATACCTCGCTTGCCCCGGCCCGCGCAGCGGCAATCGTTGCTTTCATGGAAGACTTCTATCGCACCAGCGATAACGAATCCTTGCATGAAAAGTACGTCGAGAGCTTCACGGATGATGCGACAGTCATTATAGGATCAAAGCAAGCCAAAGGCGCAAGTGGTGCGTTTCTCCTCATTGTCCTCACTACGGGAGTCCGCTGTGGACCCTTTCTAATGCAAAGCAGAGATCCTGCCCTTCCGACACGGACTATGGACTCAAGTCGTCTCTCGCAAGCATACTCCAACCCGCATCTTCTTTGGCGGCGAAGACGAGATTATGCTGTATGGGGGCGTCACCTACCGGCTCAAGGCTGATCCCGAGACTGACGTCTACGTGCCCTGGGCAGGAAGAGTCGTCTTTGCACCACAGGAGAAAGACACCGGGGTCAAGATGAAGTTCTATCATGTGTACTTGGTTCGTATCCCCGCGCTCATCCTGGTAGACTTCTCTGCGGTGATCGAGCTGAGATGCTAACTGTAATGTGTGCAGGATCCTTCGGCCCAATCTGGTCGAAAGTAAACCTATGGGAAAGCTTAGCCCCTGGGGCGAATAGCCTGATTGGATTTAGAAGAATAAATTCCATTCACTCAAACGAATAGTGAATATAAGCCCTAAGGCAAAAATGAGTTTAAGAGGACCTAGTAGCATAGTCCTATCATTACCAATCTGGAGAGCACAGAGACCGAGTATACAGGGCAGGGTCCACTATATGAGTAAATATTAGCCTGGTATGATAAAGGAGGAAAATTAGCTGTTGCGTACATATATAAATGGCCCAGCTGCGTTGAACAAGGCCGGGCAGGCGAAGCTAGAAGCGCAGCAGCCAGGTATTTGTCCGGGGCACTAGCCTGAACGTCAGTATGCATTGGGCCATAATCTACTTAGTCACAGGGGAAAATGGGGGATCCTACTGGGGGTGCTTCGCAACCCACAGTGAGTCGCGTTGGTATAGAGATCCGCGCAAGACCCAGCTAGAAGTGGAGTCGGTGACGGACTAGCATGGCATGCCTCCGATTTTAGTTTGACTCGAAAAACTGAGATGCATGTCAGCCAAAGTAGAAATCTCGATTGCAAAACAAGCCCTCTAGGGGCGTTGGTGATGGGGAATTGTATCTTCACTCCTTACCTTTATTCCGGGAAGCGAGCCATATGGTGAGTCGATTGGTTCGACTGCCGATTTGATTGCGCTAACAGGGTTCGCACTGGTTTCGATCTCAAATGACGAGACGAATAGCCCTCGAAGTAGAAGTTAGACAGCATATATTCCACGACCTGGGAATCCGAAGAGAAAACTACCGAATATCACAAGCGCTGGTGTCAACACTTCTGGTCCTTCTAATATTGCCATAGTTTTCAACAATTATGTACGACCAAATGATCTCGAAAAAATATGAGGTGACGAATCATATTGTATCAACGCAGATTGAGCTGGAAGTGCCGAATATACAAAGGCTAAAGCAATGGGTCGCAGTTCGAGATACGGTGACACTGACCGGACCTTGAGCAACCGTCATGGTTGAGGTTCCTGTTGCATTTTGTATTGTGTCACCTGTACAATCTTCTCCAAGGGTGGCTTCTTTGCTTGAATTGGAATTTGGCAGTACGCAAAGTATAGCTCTTGGGGAACTCTCATCTCTGGAAAAGAAAAAGGAAAACACCCCGACCTCTTCATATTATAAGAATAGGAATAAAACCTATGTCTATGGAGTTAGGGATCTGGGCTTATCCCAGTACAAGGACTCGGATAACTATTGAGATCTGGCGAAGCTGGGATGGTGAAGTTGATTATGGGTTCCCACAACAAAAAGAAAGAACAGCGATGCAGATGATTTTCAAGCTTCGAGGGATCTTTTGACCCTTCTGATGGCGTAATTGCAACATTCCGCCAAAAGATTGTGGAATAGTAACCGTTTAGCAATCTCTCGGGTTTCACGGTATACTAAAATCCGGAAAATCCGTCTGCCCTTAGTGCGCTCCACTTATTTCCCCCGCTCGTATTGCGAAGCCCCTCATTCGACCAATTCCATCACAGCTATGATGCAATATCCCTTGGCGCGCGTTATATCTCTTGTGCGATGGGTGCGCCGCTGTTGGAGCGTCAGGAGGCAAGGGTTGTAATGTATGGTAATGGAGTGAAATATATGTAACTCTGAACTATCTAAAATGACAGGCACCGAATATTTATACGGTGGGTTCCTTACATAAGAAAAGTAGTGCACACCTGGGCATGTGCCAAGAAACGAACGCTCGGTAATGCGGTGGTAATGGCACCGTATGTTCCGACAGTCGCTCTTCGTGTCGTAGTTCCAATCTCGATCGGCTTCGGCGGTCTTAGCGGAGATAGCCAATTATCGCCATCTTGAAAGCAAAGCCAGCCATGCAGGGGCCCTCTATAAGTAGATGGTGAAGCCATGTTGTTCTATCAAATACTTCAAGTCTATTATTGACCTACATTTCCATACCAGATGGCAATCACAACCAACAATCTCAAAGTAATCTACGGTGGCGCTGCTTTCAACACCTCCTATGGTTCAAACCCAGAAACTGTCACAGAGGTTCTCCAGTTCTTGCGGCGAGAAGGGATTACCAGCATTGACTCCGGTCAAGCATATGGGGACAGCGAGTCACTACTCGGACGAGCAAAGGCAGCTTCTCTTGGTTTCAGTCTCGATACCAAGGTAGCTGGCGGACTATGGCCTCATGTTAACCACACCAAAGACGTTGTTATCAAGGCTGGAGAAGACAGCGTCAAGGCCCTTGGGGTAGACCAAGTATGATATTTACCTTCTTCAAGGAGAGCGTCATCAGAATTACACTGTTACTAACTGAAAAAGGTCGACGTTTACTACATACATGCACCAGACAGGAAAGTTCCAGTCAAGGAGACTCTGGAAGGCATCAACGAGTTATACAGAGCCGGCAAGTTCAAGCGCTTCGGTCTCTCCAACTTCAATCCTGCAGAAACCGCAGAGGTAATCCGCATCGCCGAGGAGAACGCTTTTGTGCTGCCAACCGTCTACCAGGGCAATTACAATGCTGCCGGCCGCCTGGCGGAGAAGGAGCTTCTCCCTCTTCTCCGGAAGCACAACATTGCTTTTTATGCATACTCGCCCATCGCGGGAGGGTATCTCACCAAGACCCCCGAAGACATCAACAGCGGTAAAGGCCGGTTCAGTCGTGACCTCCCTGCCTTCGGTGCTATGTACAACAGCCTATACAACACCCCCAAGAAGCTCAGCTTTCTCACAGAGTTTGGGAAGATAGCAAGCGAGAATAGTATCTCTCAGGCTGAACTCGGATACCGGTGGGTGGCATATCACTCTGCTCTGACGCCTGAGAACGGAGATGGCATTATTATAGGCTCACGCCTTGGGGCTCAACTAACCAATACGCTCAACTGGCTGAAGAAAGGACCGCTGAGCGCGGAAGCTGCCCAGAAGGTGAACGATCTGTCCAAGATCATTGAAGGAGAGGAGATCCTGGATAACTGGAATGATTACATTTCCAAGAAGCGGTGAGAAGATAGCATTAACTAGACCTCGTCGCTCAATTTGCAAGAATCCATGAGTACATATTGCAGCGCAGATCCCGTCGAGGTCATGACACCTAGATGATGCCGTAGCCCATCCACCAAACCCCCCCAGATCAATGGACCCAGAGCACCCAGCAGGGCAGACCCGAATGGCATCTCCAAAATGGACCAGATCCAAATAGTGCCATAAGCCGGCGCCTTTCGCATAACCCCATAGTATGGGTGGTCGTTTGTAATTGTAATAAGATGCAGACCCAGTATTAAGGCAAGAGGAAGAAATATAATCGACCTAATAGACGGTGGAAACAGCATTCGCCATAAGAACGATATTTTGAGCTTGTCCTGCGTCAGAGGGAAAAGATCAACAGGCTCCGGAGCGAGAGATGCCCAACTTGCTGGGAGTCGAAAGGAGACAATGTGTCCATGAGCGAAATGGATGAGGAAAGTAAGCATGGGCAACGTCAGCATTACTGCCTCTTTGATGAGGCGTGGGACGTCCGTCGAATCTGCATATTGGTGCTGGGCAAGGTAGGCAAGTGTCAAGTGTAAGGTGGTGAGGGGTATCGAAAGCAGGGCGGTATCAATGAATGGCGGAAGGGGCTCTTGGGCCGCGGTATCATCTTTTTCGGTGACTTCTGGGGTAAACGGTTTCCCTGTTGGGGCTGCGTGAGGTTTCCGGCCGTCCAAATCGATATCGCCGTCGGTTTCCACCACTGCCCCGGACGCATCGACAGTCACAAATCGCGTACCACTGGAGCTGAGAGGAACTCCTTTCCCTTTTGATTTGGTTGACCTGGCGGCATTCATGCTGTCGGCCTGCTGGATGAGTTCGTTCTGGCGCTCCGCGATCATTTCATAGAATGTTTTGTGCTCGTTCGATTTCGTTGAAGGATCGTCTCGTGGAGGGTGGGCCAGGGGGATTTGGAGATCATCTGAAGGCGATTTCGTCGCTGCAGCACGACGCTGCTTTCTATTTCGTGGTGGGGTATCCATGCTCAATGGCGGTCGTGCAGATTGGTTCGTAGTCTCAGAAAGCTGATCTCGGGGAAGCTTACGGGTAGCTAAAGACAGGTGGGTGCTCTCGGAAGCTAATCGACGATAAGTCGATGCGAATCTCCCGATCGAACAAGAAGAAAGGACGGAAAGAGCACAGTTTAGGGCAGACCTGTTGCTCCTACTGCACTTATACCATTAGTTGTCATGTTTCCGCTGCGCTGGCGCGGCAATCGGCGTTCTAATTTTGGCACATCAGACAATTTTCGTTGCCTTACTGCCTGGCTTTAGTGGCGCCAAGGCCGAATTCATACACAGTACAATGCGCAAGCTAATTGCACCCCAAAAGTCGCATGTTGAATCGTCGAAGTTTTTGTGTTATCTGGCGAGATTGATGATTTTTCTACATCGGCTTTCATTGGGGGTAAGTATAACAGACGCCAGACCACGGTCATGCATCCGGATAGTCAAAATGCAATTGACTCGGTCACGGCGGCTTCGGTAGTCGAGTTCGTCCAACATATAGGATACCAGGTGGAGAAGAGACCGGTGAAATATGCGGAACTAAGCCAGTTTTATGAAATTATTGCTGCTGGTACGGCGGCGGCTCTGCTGCCGGTGCATAGTATCACGATGCGCTCTAAAATAATGTCTTGCAGTACCGCAGCAGTGACCAGAATCAAGGTGGCAATGTCTGTGTCAAGCTCCTACAAAAGCTTTGAGGGATTCAGTCAGGAGGATCGAAGGTACCTTTGGCTGGAATTTCGAGATGCAAGCTCCCCCAGCTGGATGGATGGAGGACGCCAGTCCCGAACAGGTAGAACAAAGTAGCACCAATATGCCATAATGAAAAAAATCGCAGTGTTATTGCATCCAAGATATCAAGCTTTAACCTCTGAAAATCCATACGGATCCTCAAAGTGCAATTCCCACTACAGATTGTGTGAGGGGTACAAGGAGGAAGCTATTTCCGCCCTTCTGGGCGCCGGAAAGGGATAGGCGTGACATCTATGGGAATGCGATCAGTCACATCTCGGCCGCAACCAGATCGCAGACTACTTCTGGCCTTGAACCCCATGGAAAGGGTCCATTCGGATTAATTTTACTGGCTTGGGGGGGCGTGCCTGGTGGGCTCTTCGAGCCCTTCATCGCGTGTATCAATCTCAAAGTGGCCCGGGAGGGTCTCCCTGCCCGCATTCCAGACGATCTCCTTCGTAGACCTAGTCATTGAACCATGGAAACCACTGTACAATGGCAGCTGACGTTGCAATATTCTGGAGAAAATGGGCTTCTTGCGGATTTAGAAAACCCTTTCCGTACCTGCTGTTCTCCATACGGACCACGCTTAGCCTGATGTAGTCCACTTCGTCAGGGCAGTGGAGGTTATGATTCGAGGGATGTACGCCTTGTTACCATGCCAGCAACCCCATTGTTGTTGGAATGTGGTTTTCTATCCCCACGCCCCTCCAACGGGCCTGGACGCTAATGTGACGTTTTCCATCCCTCTCGTGGTGTCTCTTCGATCTCTTTCTTTTGGACTTTGAGCCACATCACCCCAGAAGCTTGTCGACTGGGTGGTGGAACACTATCTTGGACGTAACTGAGCACACCGGACGACTTGTCTTAGATACGGCTCGGGAGCTTCACGATAACTACAGAAGAGTTGCCCCTCATGCGTGCGGTTGGCCACGCATTGAAGCCCTCATGGGCTGGACTTCTAGCCATATTGCTGACCGGGGCGTCAAGTGTCCAAGCGGTGCAAATGAACATCGATGACGAACGTGAGCGGAGATAGTCTCGCATGTTTTTGGGGAGATACTGACCACAATCATCTTTCTAGACTCAATAAAGGCCGCTTCGAAAAAAGTAGCCCTGAACATGATGTCGTACTACACAGGAATGAACCCTGGCGATAACCCGGGAAACTTGCCCGATCCATACTACTGGTGGGAAGCGGGAGCCATGTTCAACGCATTAATCGACTATTGGTTTTACACTGGGGACGATACCTGGAACGACATCACCCAACAGGGCATGCTATGGCAAGCCGGTGACAACATGGCCTTCATGCCAAACAACCAGACCAAAACTGAAGGAAACGACGATCAAGCATTTTGGGGATTTGCTGCCCTATCTGCCGCTGAGCGAAACTTCCCCAACCCGCCAGCCGATAAGCCCCAATGGCTCGAGATGGCCCAAGCCGTTTTCAACACCCAGGCCGCTCGTTGGGATCCCTCTTCCTGTGGCGGAGGATTACGGTGGCAGATCTTCACATGGAACAACGGCTATACATATAAGAACACTATTTCGACCGGCGGGTTTTTCAACATCGCTGCGCGTCTGGCTAAATACACCGGTAACACGACATATTCCCAGTGGGCTGAGAAGGCCTGGGACTGGACATCCGATGTCGGGTTCATGACACCAGATTACCATTTCTGGGACGGTGCCAGTGACTTGGATGGTTGCAAGAAGATGAACAAAATCGAGTGGACATACAACAGCGGTGTATACCTCCTTGGGGCAGCGAACATGTGGAACCTGGTAAGCATGCCCACACCACCGAATCAAACGAAAAGCCAAGCTCACACAGTCCCACCCAGACCGAAGAGCCCAAGTGGAAGAATCGCGTCCAAGGAATTCTAGATGCAGGCGCAGTTTTCTTCGCGGAACACCCGAAAGACGTCCTGTACGAGCGGGCGTGCGAAACCGTCAACACCTGCATGGTCGACCAACGCTCCTTCAAGGGCTACCTTGCGCGCTGGATGGCCGCAACCACACAACTAGCGCCCTTCACCTATGACCAAATCATGCCGAAGCTGAAAGCTACGGGGATAGCAGCCGCCAAATCATGCAGCGGGGGTGACGACGGCACAACTTGCGGCATGAAATGGATCGACGAGAAGTGGGATAAGACCCGTGATTTTGGCCAACAGATGGCTGCGTTGGAGGTCATCCAGTCAAATCTTATTAACCGGGTTGCAGCGCCCGTCACGGATGACAAGGGTGGTACTAGCAAAGGTAACCCTGATGCGGGTAACGTGCCTAAGAAGCCGGATCCTGCTACGCTGATGCGTCCTATTACTACGGCTGATCGGGCTGGTGCCGGAATCCTCACAGTTATGATGATCATCGGTATCGGGGGGTCAGCTGGGTGGCTTTGTTGGGACTGAGAGGTCTTCAATCTTATGTGGGTGTCTAGTCTGATCTTTCAGCGCAGGCTATGGCCTTCTTTATTTCTTATTTTTTTTATTTTTTTCTTGATTTTTTTGGGATGGCGTTGAAGGGAGTTTTGTGAATAATATGGGTCATTATGTATTCACTTCGCAGTATATTCGAATTTAACTCGCTGAATATCTACGAGGACGCGATGTTCATTATTATTCTGTTTCCTTTATATCGCTGGAACTTTCCCATAATCGATTAATTGGTGATTTCAATTCTACCGGTCGACTGCCTCCAGTTCAAAGTGGTAGAATTCGATCGAGTGGAGCTCGGAATCCAGATACCGAAACGCAATTGGAAGAGACTGGATACTATATATACCCCAGTATAATCTAAGATGGGCAGACTCTAGCGTTGTCAGTGCCGGTGAAGCTCAAAGGTTGATGATAACTAGACAATATTTGATTCCAACCTATTACGGCTACTAATATTATATAACTGATTCGCTCAGGAAAAATCTCGATCTTGATCCTAACGACCTCAATATGTGCAACTGAAAAGCACGGCCATTACAGGACCCACCAGCTAATTAACTCCCGCGTTGGTAGAGGAGAACAGCAAGTGGACGTGGCAAAATTTATCACAAACATCACCAAATAAGAGCCTACGCCACTTTCACACCACTTTCACACCGTGAACCTTGTTTGCACGAGGTGGAGATGATCGGCAGCGCCCTCCAGCCGATCACAGCCGGTGAGACCTCGCCAACACAACCAGAAAGCCATTATAAGCTCCCGCCAAAAAGCGCATATGGCTGATAGGCGGTGTGAGAGGACACTGACCAGTAACGAGCTGGACGGAAGCCCGCAAGATGTTTCCAGACTAGGGAGGTTCATGCTAAAGGATGTTCAGACAACGAGAGGACGGCGACACAGATATGACAACCAATGACCTGAAGGGGCCCAGATGACCGGTGTTGCTTACGTCGCGAGTCTGCTTTCTTATACCCCGAAACGAGGAAAGCGGTTGCCCACGACACATCAACTTTATCTAGCGTGTTTGATAACCCGGAGCCAGGATTCGGGCCGTGGGCGATCGTCCTTTGGCCCCGGGAGCTGCAGTTGTGAGTCCATCCGTGCCTGCGTCGCCCCAGACCCGAATTATCCAAGAGGCAAGGCTTTAGTAGAGTAAAGAGAAGGAGGGTGTTGGGGGGTAGTTTGATTTTTTCTTTTTTTTTTTGATCAGGGGGAAGAACTCGAAAGGAGCGAACCGTGGTACTACAGGGTATCTGATTCGTATTGGGGCGTTTAACACAAGCAGGGCGAGCGATGTGATTCGAGAGTCCATGTTGCCCGAGTCCGAGCAAAGAATAAGAATTGGCGAATCAGATTGCCTTCAAGTTATCGTACGCTTCGGCAAAATCGGGCCTGGGAGAGTATTTGGAATATACAAAGGGCCCAAACCTGCGTTTGAGGTCACAAGTGCGAATTGCGAGCTATTCGCCTGCCCTGGAGATAATATCGGTGATGTCATCCACTCCCAGTCTGGTAACTAATCTGTTGGAATGTTTTTAGCCCCAGAGTGGTCCTAAACAGTCATCTTGATAGCCCGTGACGCATTCCCCACCTGGCTCAGCATCCAATGGGGGGTGATGGCGGTTATCCCAGCTTAGAAGTTTTGGATGCTCCCACCATAGAACGGTCAAATTAGGCCCCCTCGAATTATCCTCACAACTAGGAGACCTGTTGGTTAAAATTCGTCACCCTTTCTCTTTCTGCCTCACCATGGCCCCGGGCCACGTATTGACTGTGGGGTTGACTCGAAGTACAAAGCTCGGCTTGAATGGATCTATGTAGACCCGGGGAAGTTCATGGCTGATTCCACTTTGCCCGATCTAGTTGTGTCCCAAGTACCACATAAAGTACGGCCTCAGATCTCGGAATGCATCGACCAACGAGAAAGTAGAGAATAAACAAAGAAGATCTCTGCACCTTCGGAGAATATCCACGTGGATGTTCCTCGTCGAGCCAGGCGAGGGCCCCATTTCCGACTAGGGGAAGCGAGTTGCAACAGAAGATACTGGCTCCGTAAGGTGAGACCTGCAGATCCATACGAAATACGTGTGCCACTAGCTCCGACTCGGAGTCCCGGGGCGTATTTCGTACCGGTCTCGTACCGGTAACCGCCAGGATCCATAAGGTTGCATATCATTCTCCCCAAAGGCTCAGCAGGGCCAGATTTACCGTACATGTCGCGTGGATATCCAGTGATCGCCCAGGTTAGGAATTATGCCAAGCTGATGGGAGGCTCGTGGGAGGGAAGCTGAGGCTTTTGTTTGGTCGAGGACCCAGCGCCCGACCACGTTGTACGTTAGCTGCACCAACGGCATGTTTGAGGTCTGGGTCAACGCATGCAAGCACAGGGCAACGGATGGTAAATTCTGATTTGGGTCGCAGGTCCGCTTCTGCCATACGCAACCTACCACGAGATGCCCGGGTCCAGCTATTCTAGATCAAAGTCTTCCCGGACTTCGCTGGAAAGGACAATCGGGATTCCGGGGGTCCGCCTCGAGGGGTCGAAAGAGACGGGGGCGGATAGAAGAGTCAGGCCGTAGGGCGAATCCGAATCCGAACGCAGACAGTACAGGAACAGTTGCTCCCTTTCTAGGGAACCTGGACTCTGCCGAGTTATAACGATCACCGAGATCGTAGATCATTCGAGGATCTTAGAATCCGAGGATCTCCTCAAACGGCCCTGATAGAATTGCAAAAGATACTAAGGGCCAGGTCCACTTGCCGGGCGTCTTCTACATAATCCTTTGCCCGTTTTGCCCGCAGTGAAAGAGTGCCCGTGGCGCCTCAGGCATTGCAGGCCAGTCCTACAATTCTATAGATGTTTCAACTGAACCATGCTAGAACGATCCTGCCGGCCGCTGTCGTCGAACATTTACCCAACGCGAATCAGAAGAAAGAAAAAGGGTGAAGGATTCGTGCAGGGGTGGCGTAATGGGACCCCGCAGATACCAGAACTGCCACTGAAAATGCTTAGTTTTATTTAGAGCGACCGAGGCGCATCGGTCATAAGTCATCTTGCAAGCATATAACTACCACTTAGGTGCATAGCTTGGAGGATCGATGGGGGTCAGTGGAGCAAGTCGTAAATTTCAGTGTTTCAGAAGTACAAAACTACTCGTACAGACGTTTTGACAGGCGATCCTTTACCCCAGACAGTAAAGAAGGGGGCCGTGTACCGATCGAGCACAGGTTTCTCATTTCTGTTTATTGTTGGGATCTGCGATGCGCTCTTTAATGAGCTCTTGTGATAAGCCGGTTCGGCCCAAGCTTGAAGTCTCGGATCCATGGTTGGGCTCGAGAAGTATACTCTGATGGACCCAGTAGCCCCATGGGCCCCACGAGTCCCATAGAGCCCAGGTAGGTTCCGGAGGACTTGTAGATGTTCGACGCATCAGCCTCAAACAGCCGCGCACGAGGGTCGCGAAACTGTAAGAAACTGGAAGGATGTAAAGCAATCTCGAATTCCGTCTTGCAGCGAGGCTCTGCTCTGGTAGGCCCAGCCTGCCTAAACAGTTCCCCCTGGAGTGCGGTCAATGGGAGGATGGCGCGACGCTCGATTGGGTTTTGGCCCCAACACCCTTGAAGCCCCATGTCGTATTGCGCGTTTGCCAAGTTCCTGCAGCGGCCGCCAAAAAGCCCACTTCGCCCCATTGGCCCAATCGTCGCGTTGCTCCAAGCCCGTCGCTCGTCTGTTCCTTTCGTCTCCTTATTACCGGGTCTGGGCTCCACCGAGTGGGGTTGTGCTTCAAGCTGTTGGCTCACTGCTTATTTCCATCTCTGGGTTTCGGGGACATCTGGACCGTGATATCAGAAAGCATTACTCGCCCCCAAAAGTCTTGCCTCCCTTAACCCCGTCCGATCAAATTGCCGACCCGGGCCAATTTGGTTGCCTTCCCTTTCTCCAGAACCAGCTTCTGCTTCTCTGTTTTTCTCTCAAAAGACCAGTGTGTTGTTGAAAGCCGTCTCCTCAAAAGGCGACTCGATCTCATTCCCTTTAGACTCGAGTAAGTTTCACCAGCCCGTGTTGGCTCCTTTTGTCCTTTATTGGAGGGGCGTTCGTTCTACCCGGCTCCATGGTTCCGATTGCGAGGGAGCTCAACTAATCATACTCGGCGCAGACAAAGCCCCGGTCAGACAATGCTCCAGGGTTAGACCAAGGGAATCCCCGGGCTTGCGAACTGGACCTCCTCGCGAAGATGGTCTCGCCGGCAAACACATTCTCGGATCTTCGAAAGACTAAGGAACCGCATCGCCCACCACCATTGAACCTGAAGTCGGAGAGCAAGCGAAGCGGCCGGGCCAAAGTGAAAGCCGTGCGTGGCAGCGTGTCGGGCCCCTCAATTCAACCTTCACACTCCGTTGCCCACCGACCCACCAGCGCAGCCGGTACGGCTGGGGCCAGCTGTCGCACCCTCAAAGCCTCTGGACCAAAGCCCCATAAATGGGTCGATATGGATCTCTCAAAATCTCGACCTCGCCAACATGCCGATGGCCGTGATGTCTCTCCGCAAGGCTCCCTGCGCACGATCATTGACCTCGACTCCCCCGCAGGCTCTGATGACGAATCCGATATATCCCCACTCTCTGACGACCGCCCTCCTGTAAACTCAAATAAGGTATTAGCTCGATTCTTTCCCGAACTGCAAAACAACTTCGTCCTCCCCGCGGCGGACGCTGCCGACCAGAAGTTGATGCCCCTGAAAGGCCACTCTCGCCTCGAAAGCGAAATACATGCTCGCGTCCACAGCCTTTACCAAGGCGACACATCAGGCCACGGTGATTCCGCCGATAATGGTTACGGGTCGTCAAATCGCAATTACCGAAGTTCAGATAACAGCATTAATGGTGGACATGACGATAACCACTCAGTACGTTCTCGATCGCAAGGACCCAGGATGAACTCGGTCCAACCGCCTCGGAGTATCTCCGGCTCGACAAAAACCTCTATGCAGGATTTGAGAAACAAGCCCTTACCACTGGCCCCAGTCATGGAGCCTGGCCGATCGCATGAACGCCCGCGTACCCAACGCTCCTCATCAAGGTGCCCCGATTGCGCCGACCGGTCCCGATCTAACGGGCGCAGCCAACAATCCTCTTCCAGAAGCCACCAGAAATGCGCAAAGCACAGCGAACATCGATCACATCGTCAAAACCACCACCCCCATCATTGGTCCGAGCAGGGTTCAAACCGGGGTAATCCTCGGATTACTCATGCATCGACCTGGCAGGCTGGACACGAAACCGACTATCCGCGCTCTGGGGAGCACAGACTAGGGAAAAGGACTTTGTTGGTGCTGGATGGTCCTCTGCAAATCAGTCGCAGCAACGGTGGTGATTTGGTAGCTAACAGGCCGGCTCCCCAGCCAGCGGGCAAGCCATACTCCAGCTCCATTCACTCGTCAAATCATTCCGGATCTAATCTTCTGGCTATTGATACATCAAAGAAAGATTCACCACACCGGGCGAGCAGCACCCGATCCCCTCGTGATTTAGCTTCCCTGAAGAAGGGTCACAAGTATGCCAAATCAAAGGACTCCGATGAATCGATTAAGGATGGAAAGGTGCCCAAATCCCGGGACGAATCGAAGGGCTTCTGGGGCAAAGCTGCGAAATCGGAAGATAAGAAAAATTTTCGAACCTCTTTCTCTCTTTCGATGGCTACATTCCATCGCAAGCAGGGTTCCCAGAATGAATCCCACAGCCGCCGCCTTAGCATCTTGAGTTCGCGGTCAGAAACATCCGTTGACCCCACGGCCGACAAGCCCAGCCCTACCGCAGAGCCTCCGACCCGTCTATCGCGTCACCTCTCTATCTCAGAATCTAATTTGGAAAACATGTCCCCGAGCTCCCCGAAGCGCGAAGACCTTTTGCTGCAGCTGCCTCGTCTCCAGACCCACGACCTGGGGCTAGGGAATCTCCTTGATCAGTTTGCCCCCTCCTTGACATCTACATATGAAACCGCGCCTGCTGCATCCACTGAACCATCCGAGGATACATCTTCGCAGCCACCCACCCCAACCGCACGACCGGCACCGCCTGCAAGCGCTGGATCCGAAGCCCGTGAGGTAATCATTGCTGAACTCGATGATGGGAAACGAGGTACTGTGATAAGAGTTGACGAGCCAGGACAGTCCTATGATGGTGTTCCAGTCCCAAAGATGCGCATGGTCTCGTCCGTCGCAGATGAGAAGATTGTGATCGCAAACCACCGATCGCGGGGTTCGCAGGCCTTTGTATCGACCGCCAAGGCTAGCAGCGTGTTCCTACCACCTGAACAGGTATACGAGCTTGCTGCGGCTCCTACGTCGCCACGGGGCTCCATTCATGAGCTAACAGGGGACAGCCGTCCCCGGTTTAGAGTTAATTTCCCAATAGAGGAAACCAAGGATGTGATCGTCGAGCTTCTTATGGAGCGGATCCCATCACTGGATGACCTTTTTAACCTGGCTCTTGTTAACCGCCGCTTTTACCGTGTGTTCAAGCAACGTGAGCTTACGTACATTAAAATGGCCCTTTACAAGATGTCCCGCCCTGCTTGGGAGCTGCGTGAAATGAGTCCTCCGTGGAACCTCGAGTGGCAGCTTACTATCAACCCCGACTCTCAAGTCCCTGAATATGACCCAACCCTATACCTTGATCGATACGCTCGCGACATTTTTACATTGGCCCAGCTCAAGTCAATGATACTGGTTCGATGTGCGCCGTTCTTGCGTCGTGACACTGTTCGTGGACTGGCCGGGCTGGATGACGATCGTGCGGAGGAGGTTGACAATGCTTTCTGGCGAATCTGGACCTTCTGTCGTATCTTCGGCAATGGCAAGGGCCGGGAGAACGACTTGGAAGGCCAGGTGGACTGGCTTAGAGGCGGCCCCAAGGCCCGATTTGCACAGACCTCGGACTCTACCATGCCCGGGCCTTTCCACACGAATGGGGTTCTCTTCGAACCACCGGAAGGTTTTGCCAAGGGCAACCATGGCGGGCTTACTCCGAAGGAATTATATGATATGACTGAAATCTGGACCTGCCTGGGTGTCTTGGTGCAGCCCCTTCATGGCAAGTGCATTGAGGCGCGCAGGGTTGGTATCTTCGATGGCATTGACGTTCCTGAGAATGATCCTGTCCGCGAGGAAACTGTCCTTGGTAAGTGGCTACTTTATCATGCAACTTACCTTCACTTAACTAACCCTTGACCCCAGAGGAATGGACCTCGTATATTCTCACTCTCGGCATGTCAGCCGTTCTAGCTATTAGTCCCTTCACTCCCAACCAAACCCCAGCCACCATCTTAGAACGAGCGAAGGCAGTTGGTCTCACCAAGTGGCACCTCACTGAAGCCGGCACCACTCGTTCGTCATTCCTCAAGGAAGCCGTTTCTCGCGTATACGCGGACCAAGATCGAGGCATCCCCGCTGTCGCGGGCATCGGATCGCCTACCAGTCCATCCGAGCTTCCGTCCCAAGAAACCCCAACCCGCGAGGAAGACCGCGAGCGCCAAGCAGGATTCTCGCACGAAATCCGCGCTCGCCGCCATCTGGGAAACCCCACCGATGTCCACAGCGGCTTCGGAGCCGAGCGCCCTATGTCGGAATTCAGCACCATTCTCTCCAACCTCGAAGGCATCGTGAACAACCACACCAATGCGCACCCTGTGCCTCCCGTCCCACCTCTCGCATATGACCGGTCATCCAACTCGACTGCCAGCCCTGCCGCCCCAGGCACCCCCAATCAAAATGTCACAACCGAGCCCAGCGTCCCCTCGGAATCCATCGTAGCATCTGAACCCGAACCTCCCTCCGTCAATCCGGTCAGCAGCCGCAGCCCACCACCACCCACCCAAACAGTAGCCCCACCCCCCATGCACCCCCAAGTCCTGGACCCAGTCGACCGAGCTATCGCTCGGATGGTCGGCGAGCTAGGCTTCTACGAAGACGACGTCAAATGGGCGCTCAAGATCACCGATACTGGCGAAGGCATCGACGTTGAAGCCGCGGAGCAGCTACTCAAGCAAGAAAAGAAAAAAGCTGATCGAAACCCCTTCATCACGCGCGGCCAGGGGAAGAACTCGCTCCTGCTCTCCGTCATGAAGCAGCAGGGAGCCCAGGATTCTGGATGGCGGTGGGCGTGAGCCTCCTTCTGCCGACTGGTTTTCTATCCCAAACTCTCCTCCTTTATCTGTATGAATGTATGTCTTGTTTGCGCTTTTAGCGAGGTTGGAATTGGCCTACTATCTTTACGAGCCTCTTTTTTCAATCTTCCTGTCGTCGGCCGGTTTGTTTGAAGCATTTCTGGCTACTTTTTCATCTTGCATCGCTTGCATCGGTCGCTTCCGTCTGTATAGTATAGTACAGTACAAACTTGAACTTGATTCCGCACATTTGGATTCGGTCAGTAAGCTTCAGTCGTAAACTTCAAATTTCAACTTGAATACCGTAGATAAGGCTGTCGTGGAGGCTCGGACCCGAATTCGCTTTGGTACCAGGCATATGATCTGTGTGACATGCGTCGGGTCGAAAAGGGCACTCAACCTGAAGGCGGCTTTCGTATGCCAAAAGCTCTAAATACTTACGAGACGGGTAATACCGGCTCCTGGTTAAACATATGAGGTTGAGAGTACCTATGCGAGTTTGGCGGGGTGCGTATGACGCGGCTAATACATGATCTGAGCCTTAGGTGTGGCGGTTTACAGCCCGAGGAGATTTGACGATTGGAGAGTTGCGAAGGAGAAAAAGCAAAACCAAAAAAAAAAAAGTTTTGCTAGGGTCTGGCGAAAAAACTCTGAAAGGTCAAACCTGGTGAATAAAATTCAACCCTGGTGACAGACTCCCTCATTGGCAGTACCTGGAGGCTACGATACGGTCAGGCAAATATGACCTCCCCTCACCACCGATGAGGCCCAGTCTTCCACTACTTGAACGCTAGGTCCGGGGCCAAGGATCCCACAATCGTACTGAGTACTCACTTTCGAGAACTCCATTTAGAAGCTAGCTATATGACTTACGATGGAGAAGGGATTATGGGACTCTCGGTGTGGAGACGGGACGTAGCTATCCGCTTTCGAGCTGTCAACTGCAGATTCAAGGTTCGCCCCGTTTTTGAAACCACGACAAACACACCCAAACCGAGTGCAGAGGGTGGGGTAGCCTGGAATCCCCCCCTGCTCTAGCTCAATTGGCCATCTCCAGGTGATCTCGGCTCCCGTACCCAGAGCTACCTGGGGCTTTCGTTTGCATTTGTCGAGGCGAGGATCTGAGATTTGGCCCAGGATTACTGGGAAACTCAGAGATGCAACCCCAAGTCATAGCAATGGGTGGATAAAGAGCTTTATGCCAGAATAGGTCGACATCCTAGGAGACCAGGTGGTTTAGTTCTATTTCGGATCCGTTCCCTTCCATGTTCACCGTATCTGACCTATAAACTCATATGTCAATCTTGGCAGGGGCATTCCTGCATCTACGGATGATTGGGACTTGGGAATCAGGCGACACTATATTAAGTCGATTTCCCGCAATGCAAACCCTCAAGGGCAACGATAAATTCAGCACCCACCCAAAGTATACCAGAAAGATGCAACAAGTACATTCCGGCTGAGACCTACATAGAAGAGGGATACTCTTCCAAGAAATTCCAGTTCCCATGTTAGTCGCTCTCGCAGCTGTTTGCTATGCATCTTTTGACCCATTTATGATAGGTAAAGCATGCCACTGCCGACTCGTCACATTAGCTTGGAGCGAAAATTCTAATGTGCATCTCTAGGCCAGCCCCTCGAAAACTTCAGCCCTCTGGGTGATACCTTTTCTCTTTGCTTAGCCACCTGGCCACAAGTGCCGTGCCAAGAGCGTTCTTCTCCAATCTTCTGACAATTGCCCATCGGTTGTTACTGACCAGCTAAGATATCGTCGATTTTGCACAAAAATGCCACCAGGGCAGGACCCAAGTGTCGTGATTTCTCCATGTCCAGGCGTGCGTCAAAACTCAATCCGCCATCCCAGGGGCGGTCGTTGGAGGCCCAGGAACGGGGTCTATTCTGCAAGGAATCACATCAACCCACCAACCCCGACAGCCGACTTCCATTTGAATTCCGCGGGCTCTCCAATGACAAATTTTAACCCGCCAAGGGGCCCCAAAAGATCATCCGAGTGTGTTGAGTGTGAGCCTCCCAATCACTGCAACAAGCGCCAGAAACCAGCAAAGAGATCGCCGGAGCAGGTTGACGAGGCGGCGTTCATAGAGTACATGGAGACATATCTACGGCGCGGATTTTCAGTGAAAGGTTCCCACGTTCTGAGTCATTTGAAAGTATATCGCAAGCGTGTCCAAAGTCCAAAAAAGCCCGTCGGTAAAGACTGGGACTCCGGCTTCTTCGAAAGGTATCCCAAGGCCCAACAGTGGCATCTGCCTCGCTCAGGGAAGACTACGCCGAATGACCGAACTATTGACCACGATACTGCAGCACTCTGCAACATCCTGGACGAGCTTGCTGGTTTAGTAAAAAGCAAGAAAATCCCCAGAGACAAGATATACTTTGCCTTGAACGCAGGGTATATGGTCAGCGGCTCACGAGGGATCACTCCAGCAATCAAACGGCCCCAACGCCCTGGGGATGTTCGCCGGGAAGCACCTAGTGTCGTGTATGCGTTTTCCAGTACCGGGCAGGCAATCGATCCTTATTTCATCTTCCAAAGCAATGAGCAGACGGGCCATGCAGAAATCAAGACCTCGCAAGGTCGTCAACTGTGGGCGTACTACAGTGAAACTGAATGGGCCGACGACTCGTCTCTGATGGACTGGTTCTTCAGAGTTTTCCACCCTCAAACGAAGGGATCGGGCAATGATAACGCAAATTTCCTGAATAGGATCATTGTTCTTGAGGAGGAACGATTCCCGGTCACAAAGGAGCTATATGCCTCTTGCTGGGCGAAAAACGTCTATCTGATTTCCATTCCGCGAACAACTCCTGGACGCATCATCTTGAAAGTGTTCGAAGACTTGATGCAGGGCAGCCGGTTCGGGGAGCCTTATGATACATTCGCGAAGAAGAACATGAAGCGCGACGACAAGATGTTCTCTGTTTCAAACGAGAAGCTCATCGACTTTATCTATGGACAGACCCGCCAACCCGATCTCGGTACCTTTGTTCGAGAGGCATGGCGAGAATCTTATCTGATGCCCACCCGATCGAAAGATTTCCTCCAGTTTGTCGAAATGCGCAAGCCGACACCGCGTCATCCTCGTGCAACTCCGCTGCTTCAGAATCCCCGCAATATCAGCGCACAGCATGCGATCTCTCCGACATCCGACATGTCGACTCCAACCATAGTGCCCGCAAGAAATCGAGGTCGAAGTCCTCCCCCTGGGATAAAGTCCCCTCGCATGCTGCGCTCGAGTAACCGGCATGCATATCAGACTCCGCTTAGCCCTGGCCATGATCGCGTGGACGATTACATCTACCACGAGCCGGATTGGACTGATAACGTGAGGCGACCTTCATTCCATGAAGATCAAGAGGATGAAGAGCCCGAGCTCCCTAGGTCTCGAGCAGCCAGTTTTGATGACAGAGAAGGGTCAGAATGGACACCCTCCAGACCCCCCGCGATCAAAATGGACCAGGAGCAGGGCTCGCTCCCGGGGTGGAAGAGCCACCAGCACACCCGACAGGACAAAACTGCGAGAGTTCTATGATCAGCTTGAGCGTATTCGTGCGCTGTCGGACTCTCTACTTTCTGAGCCATGGATGAACTTTGACGGAGAGTAATTTGGAATACAGGCCATGCAACTTTGAGCTTAACTGAGCGAAGCATTTCTAGAAGCATAGGGTTCTATGTGTCTTCATTTTTGTTTTTGGTTGGGAAATATCAAGAGACTTATGAGAAAAAAAAAGTTGTGTTGCATTTCCTGCATTGGGATGCCCGTTCCTTTCTTTATAAATGGTACTAAGTACTAGTTGGATATCTCGTCGTAAATCTTATCTATTTTTGTACTAAGTGTTCTCTAGCGAGGAGAAGGAGGGTATTTTCCTTTTTTTTTTCTGTCAATTTAGTTTTGAGAACATGGTAAGGTGAAAACTGAACTATCATGGAATCGTTATACAAACCCCGAATACCAAAGACCTACTTCGATCTTAAACTCTTATAACTTGCCCCGCAACCTGCTCCAGCTGGGCAACCGATGCCTTGATCTCTTCATCAGTCGGCAGATTGACAACCATAAGATAGAGCACATCTTGCTGGAATATCTTTTTGATGGGCCTTCCGCCACTTCCACCTCTCGAACCCTGTGCTTTTCTAGGTCTACTCGCGCCTCGTGCAAGAATACCTCGCCCGTCACCCCTGTTTCCACACAAGTCGCCCTGTTGACTCTGGACAGCATTTTTCAGCATCTTGCGCGGCGATTGTGAGATGGCACCGCCAGTAATAAGTGAGGTTAACGATCCATTGTTTGCCGGGTGGTTCGGATCGCTGAAGCGTGACTTGAAGGCAGGGCGCTCCGATGTAGGAACGGCCAAAGCCGAGCCTTGGTGTTCAGCCTCGTACAGTGCCTGCCCGCGACGGTCGAAGTAATCTTGAACCCAGGACCCTGCGCTACGGAGCTTCTCGCGGGTATTTGTTGGCTGCTTGCCTTTTCCTTGGTCGTTGCCCTCCAACGCCTGCGCAGCGACTCGATCCAGATCAGGATAGACCAGGGGAGCAGCCTCGGGTAACTGCAGTTGTCCATAGGTATTACCGCTGGTCAAACGCATGTCATTCATTCCCTTCTTCAATTTTGACATCGCTGGATCTGAAGCACTGTACTTCACAATTGTTTGGTTCAAGTCAAGTGTCTCGCTTGAGAACAATGATTTGCCAAGTTTTTGCGATAGCATGCCTAGGAGCCCGCTTTGCTGGCCAGGAATGTCTTCTTTGAAGGCCATGACCAGTGCAAATAGACCACGCGGCATAAGAAGCTCTTGATTCACTCGATCAAGGAAGCTGTTTTGTCGGTGTCGAGACTGTAATTCCCGCGCTGTCCCTGCAGTGACTTGTGCTACAAGGCTCACAACCTGAGCAGCGATAGAGGGTGCACTAGGATAATGTGAGTTATGATGGAAGCACAAGAAAAAATTTTTGGCTCACTTACAATCCTGCGATCCCGGCCGCAATGAAGACAACATCGAGCCACGGGGAGGCCTGTTTTTGGAACATTAGTCACATTGTAGACTTGGCACGCGAAGTAACACAACCAACCTTGCTCGCTTTGTCAAAATCAGAGATGAATTGGATAAAAACATCTTGGCTTATACCGCAATTATCCAGAACAGGTGCATAAGCACGAACGAAGCCGCGATCTTTCTTCCCCGGTCGTCGTTGCGGAATGATGACAGGGCACGGAATGCGCCCAGAGGGTTGGGGAGGTGGTCCCGCCATCTGTACGAGTCTCTGGACCATCTTCTGCTGTTTCTTCACTTTGATTTCCTCAGGCTCTTCTGATGTAGGGGTCATGGCAGTCGCCTGAGACGCCTCGTACGTTGGAGGCTTGACTTCCTCTGCCATGTCGTCGAGTTCCCACGCTGCTTCGTCTTCTGCGAGCCCGCGATCTCTCCAGTCATTCTCTGAGCTAGGGCGGTATAAATCGTATCCAGCTTCGCGGGCTTTGCTCTTCTTTTCGTCGTCTGTGTCGACACGCTCTGCTTTGCCACTGCGAACTAGTTCGTCGGCGGTGTCCTCGTCTACCTCCACATACTCCGGGCAATCTGAAGCATTGCGGGATAACGAGGCCCTGTTTGAAGATGAGCGTTCACGAGAAGCATAGATGGCCTCCGACGCAAGGCCGATACCAGTCCCAAGGACTTTGACTAATCTACTCATGATTCGGATGTAGATGTCTATGCACTGAAGTATGGAATTGAGGGACTGAGAACGACATGAATTGCGAGACTTTATAGCCCACTTCTAGAGGCATCCAAATAATAATCAAGCTTTCGCACAGCCCGCTTGGATGGAGTCTATGGTGACCGAGAATGCTGATACGTTGGGTCGACCAGCTTACTATCGCAAAGCATCCCGAAAGCGGTTTAGAGCGCGAATTTAAAGTTGAAATAAGCACTAAGCTCTCTGCGGCGACCAGAACGCGGGTCTTCGTGGCATCTAGGGTTTTGCTCAGTCCTGCCCAGGCAGTGGTGTCATTCTCTGGTTTCATACTGGCAGTATCCCTATCAGTAAGTTCATGGAACAGGTCAATCGAAGAGATCGTTTTTCTTGCCTCTTGATACTTTGGCGCTTTTGAGCGGAATACTCTGATGGAGCTATAGAACTGATGGTAAAATCCGTACTGAACCCCGGTGCTATCATCTTCGTTTGGATGTTATCTGCTGTGCTTGGGTGTCGATCGATGACTCTGTGTTCTCATATCCACGTAGAATAAGCGAAGTCCATTCTCGATTTGAATTCCATGTACCATACCTTATCGCCCTTTTTGGAAAAAAAAAAATTGAATGCAATAAGCTAATAAGATGACAATAGAAGGTACATTGAAAGGTTTGAGTCTGGCTATATTTCCTAAGGTCAAGTGCCACTATGTTGAACTGGTTGTTGGAATCAGCTGTGCTGCTACAAATAAGGTCAGCTGACCTGCGCTCCGAGTCTATCGCGACGCCCGTAAATTATCTCCAAAGATCGCAATCTACGGCCTCCAAAGAAAACACCACCAAACCTCATCCCAAAAAGTCTACGTCGGCCAAACAAACGAAAAATAAAATAAAACAAAATAAAAGCGCCCACGCCTAGTTGCGCTCGCCATGGCATCAGAACCACCCCAACTCGACCTCCAAGCCAAGCGCGCCCAAGACTACCACGGAGCCACCACTACCCTCGCATGGGTTGTCCTGATCAGCTCGCCCATCCTCGTCGCCCTCCCACCCCGCCGCCTCGACCCTCTGACAGTCTGGAACATCAGCACCTTCGCAATCGCAGCAAACTATCTCACGCGCGAGAAAACCGGCCGCAGCATCGTCGACCGCATCGAGACCCGCATCTCTCGTGCGCAGGGCGTCTACGCCGATCTGCCCTCCGAACGGGCGCGCCAGATCCAGGAGCAAATGCGCGCTGCGCGGGAGGCGCAGATCCGCGATGGGTCCGTGCTGGGCGAAGAGTTGGAGAAATTGAAGGCGAGGCAGGAGCAGGAGAAGGGGGGTGTTGCGCGGCGGGTGTGGATGGGCGGGGAGTCGGAGGGGTGGATGGAACGCAGGTTGAAGGAGGAACAGAAGGCTATTGAGGAGGGCAAGGGGTATGGAGATCTAATTTCGGAGTATGTGTGGGAGGTTTGGAATTGGGGGAAGAAGAAGGATGAAGAGGAGGATGAGTAGGGAGTTTGATTCTGTTTTTGGGAGGATTCGGTCCGATTTGTTAGTGTCTGCCTCCCTCCAGACATCTACGTTTTGTATATTATTACTGGGTTGGAAACAGCATCGGGTCGGGCGTTTGGTTTTGTACACTTGCATATTCTGTTATATACTTTTATTACTACTACAAAGTTTACAAGGAGTCTCCTCTCTTGCAACATCTATCATGTCCATATCTACTTTCGAATATACAAGTTCCCAGGTTACATGGAAAAGTCAAATCATCCACAAATGTGCCGTTCATTCCACATGGGCTCTAGTATACATACAAAGGCATGATGAACAAGATGACAGGCCACAAAATAACCAGAGACAGTGACCAGAACTGAAAAGAATAACTGCTGTTTGATCAACAAATGAAATCACAATGATAGCCTCGAAGACTCGGCAACGAATATTGCTATTGCTAAGCGTCTACCCTAATAGGGTGATGGCATGTAATCAGACCCGGCTTGGCGGGTGAGATACCGTAGACTTCGAGGCCTCGAGAACCGGCCAAGATGCGGTAGCCGCGGTATAGTGCGACGTATGGGATCCTATAGATGTAAAATAGAGGGCTTGGGTCCAGAGGCACTCGCTCGGCCTTGACATTGCCTGTAGCGTTGAATCCCTCGGTCCACCTTCTTGCCCGGCGTCCCTTAGCTGAGAGGATTTTCGTTTCCACGTAGATATGTTCATCCGATAATTTATGGCTGGAGGGCGGCAGTTGGTATTGGCCGTTGATGAATATTTTCTGTGTACTTGGGGAGGGTGTCCCTCTTGGGTTTCTGGGTTTCCTGTCTTGTTGTCTGTTTCCTCGTTCGCCTCCTTGTTATCCAACGTGTCGCGTATTTCCTGGCGATAGGTTTCTTGTAGTGCTAGCTTATCTGCTGTTGGAGGTGCCATTTTTGGAGAGGGTGAAGTTGGGAGTAGGTTGGTACGGATTAGAAGTGAGTGGTAGGTAAGGATGGTAAGTGAGGAGAAGTAAGTGGTAGGTTAGTCAGTAAAGAGAAGTTGAGGCTAGTGTCGATATAGGAAATGAGCTGGAGGTAAGATGAGACTAGCGTCGATATGAGAAGTGAGCTGGAGGTAAGATGAGGCTAGTGTTGAAATGAGAAGTGAGCTGGGGGTAAGATAAGGCCAGCGTCGATAGTAATGTTGTATTGTGTCGGTAGTGAAATGTTCTCTCAGTGTGCTTTCACTATGTAGGTTCTGTGGTATTGGCGGTTGTATGGAATATTTGGGAAGGATATGCGGTATAAGGGTAGTAGGAAGGGTATTAAGCTGGTGGGTCCTACTTGGACCGGCGCCAGGCGAGGTATGGTTCGAGCCTTCAAATTCTGGAATAAGCTCGTCCGCTGCAATATCTTCGGCGGCTACCCATTGGTCTTCCCGTGCAGATTGTCCTCTCTACTTCACTAGGTACTTGGTGGTAGGTGGCCTTGCCGTTCCATCTGAGCGGGGGTGACCGCGGAGCCTGGTGACTCGTAAGTATACGTTCAATCTCGTACCTAGGTTCGTCTAGGAACCTTTCGTCCTCCGTAGGTAGATGGTCGTTGTCTGTCTCGCGATTCCAGGGATCTGAGCCCTGCGGAAACTTCTCGAGATGTTCGACGCTTACTACTGGATGGCGGCGTTAAGTAGGAGGGAATTCAAGCTTGTATGCTAGTCGGCCAACCTGGTGAAGGATCTTGAAACGGCCTATGTAGTGTTGCCGGAATTTTTGGGGACGCTTGTTATTAGCCGGGATTGCATATCCCGGCTTTTGAGGGTCTGTAGCCAGTTTGAGGTATAACTATTTACCTGGTTAGAAGTGGATAGGCTTATATGACTGGTCGAAGTAATATTTTATCTAGATTACTGTGTACGTGAGTGATTACTCGGCGTCTAGTTTCTTGCTCCGTAGATCGTTTGGAGCTCGATAACCGGCAATGCTACCAGTTTGTGGCCTAGCTTGGGGAATGTAAAAGATGCTTCTATTGATATTGCTAAGCGTCTACCCTAATAGGGTGATTTCATGTAATCAGACCCGGCTTGGCGGGTGACAATGATCTAAGAAAAGGCGTTGCTCCATGGCGTTGATATAGTTGGACAGAGAACGGAGATCAGATGCACAGCTCATCATTTTGATTGCCACAATTTGCAGCATGTCGGCATGCTGAATAGAAACGTTAGCCAATTAGGCCCTGTTTTCGAACGTTTGTGTCTGGACGGCGGATCATTGACTCACGTCGTTGAAGCTGGAGGTCTGGGCTTGAGGGGCGTCGGTCATAATGACATCGCCTTGTGCGTCTATTTCGATGCGATCGAAAGTGACCAAGTCTGACGGCTGGATTGGCTGGGCGAGAAGCCTCAGCTCCAAGTCTTTGGAGGTCCAACCAGATGAATGTTGATTTCTTCGGTTTTGATTCCCGTGCCAGTCTCCGTTCCAATTGCGGTTTCGCTTGCCTCTCCAGCGCTTGCGCTGGAAGCTCCCGCCCTGGTGGTCCTGTGATTGCTGCACTGCATGGCTTCGATCATTCCGAGATGGGCTATCGGTGAAATTGCGAGGAAACTCGGCGCGTGGATTGAAAGGCCCATGAAATTTGGGATTGGCAGATGGCCACGAATTGTTGAACGGACGGCCCATCTTGTCAAGTTGCCAATCCCAGGTGCTTCCTGCAAAGGGTGATCGAAGAACAGTGGCTCTATTGTCGAACTTCCAAGAACCGAATTTCCACTTCAGGGGCTCTCACTGCTCTCTGTTTTTGGTCCCAGTGAAAATAAAGCAGCAGTTTTTTAAGACTTTTTGTTTGTGTTTGCAAATGTAATGAACGCAGATTGGTTATCCTCAAGATGCACAGTGACCCCCCTACAAGTTCGATAACTTAAAGACGACCTAGTAGCCCGGGCACACTTCTGTCGAACCCCAAGGCAGATTTGAAGCTGTTTCCTCTAAGGTGGATCTCGAGGAATGAAGGATGGAATGGCTTGTGCAGAGTGTCAAGCAGGAGCCACGAAGGCAAGAAAATAAAGTATTGTAAGACGTTCAACTTAAATGTGATGATCTTGATTTGGTGTGATAGGGGAAAAAGGGAAGGAAAGTTCCCAAGGGTGGTAGACGTTGCATATATACTACAAGTCTCCGACTTTAAAAAGGAATTATTATTGGAAATCCTGACGTAATGGAGAGGAATACGACTGGCTGAGGTCAGAGCCATTTATTCGTTCTAAAATGGAACGGCCTCCTCGTATGCTAAGGTTGCTCAGGCCAATGGAAAGACCTTTATGTCCGTGAAAGTCATTCGCGATTCCTGAAAGAGGTCGGCCACGGGATGTCCAGGAACGTGTTTGGGCGCCGCAGTATGTCATGGTTTCCAAGCGGCGACTTCATTGCTTGTGGGGAAATGCCCCTTTTGTTTAATGACAGAGGTGAACGCATCTGTAGTTTTAGGGTTATATAGTGTAAAGCAGCCTTATTTATTGTGGTTACTCCGCGTTGTAGTAGAACGACCAATCGGCTGCCCTCCCCGCATTCTCCACAATCGCATAAGCGCATAGCCGGACTTCGTCCGCGTCTTACCACCTTCTGCCCTCACTTTTTCTCCCTTCCCACCCCTCTCTCTCTCTCTCTCTCTCTTCGTCATTTTTGTGAAGTACCGCCGTTCTAATTACCTCGCCATGGCTTCTATCCGAGCCAATTGCCGCAAGGTCATGTGTATCGGGCGCAACTACGCGTACGCTTGCTCCTACCCACGGACATTTATCCGCGGCGAAGTCCCGCTCCCCAGTCCCCAATACTAACCTTGTATAGCGATCACATCGCTGAGCTGAACAATACAACCCCCAAGCAGCCCTTCTTCTTCCTAAAGCCCCCATCATCTATCCTGCTCCCCGGCGCTGGTCCAATTCTCCGCCCTAAGGGCGTCAGTCTCCACTATGAAGTCGAGCTCGGTGTCGTGATCGGCAAGACTCTCCGAGACCTCGACCCGCGCGACGAGCAGGGCGCACTGGATGCGATTCAAAGTGCGTGACTCCTGTTTCATCTAGGTTGCTTCAATAGATATCGCTGACCAAAGGTGCAATTCCAGACTACATCCTGGCCATCGACATGACCGCGCGCAATGTTCAAGACGAAGCGAAGAAGAAGGGCCTCCCCTGGTCTATCGCTAAGGGATTTGACACCTTCCTACCAATCTCCGAGGCGATCGCCAAGTCTCGCATCCCTAACCCCCATGACGCCTTCTTGCGCCTCCGTGTCAATGAGGCAGAGCGCCAAGCCGACTCGACTAGTCTCATGTTGCATAACATTCCATCCCAATTGGCTCAGATCTCCCGTGTAATGACTCTTGAGCAAGGCGATATTGTTTTGACTGGTACACCGAAGGGAGTTGGCGAGGTCAAGGCCGGTGATAGGCTGCAGGCTTCCATTGAGGTCGGCGGTAAGGAGATTGAGGAGGGCCGCATTGATGTTGCGGTTGAGGACCGCAAGGGTCGCTATGAGTTCAAGGAGACTTGAGTCGGGACATTCACCTTTATACCATGCTACGGCTGCGCTGGATATATGGCATTAGACATACAAAAGCACTTGCAAATACTCCTGTTCACTCTTCTTCCGGACCAATACTGTGTTCACTATCCAGTTGCGTGTCTATATATAAAATATATACTTCCTCCATTCCCTCTTATTTCTAGGGTTTCCCAGAAACTATCTAGAGCGGTCCTAGCCTGCCAGAATACTCAAACCTCTAGCTTAGGAGGGAGCGATGGTAATATCGCTTCATAACGGGCTAACAATAGAGCGACAGTATCAAACACGTGGAGATCCTCGGGTTTCTAATCCAGCGTGGCATATTATGTGGCCCAAACAAAGGAGATCCCAGAGCAAAATAGAAATCCCCTTTGCCATATACAATACCTTCAAGTCATTATGGGAACCTAGAATGAAATGTAAGGGTCGTCGAACGTGCGGCAGAGAGAACCGCTTGTAAACAAGAAAAAGAAAAGAGAGAGAGAGAGAAGGAGGGAGGGAGGGAGAGAGGGACAGATCTCATTATGGAACATAGCTCAATAACAGCGCTGGTTGAGGAACTACATGCATGTACAGATTGAATTTTGTATCGTAAAGACTAGATATTAATCCTCGACGCACAAGAAGTGATCCTCATACCTCAACATGTAACTATAATAGTACTACTATCATTACGCCTGTTTTGCCCAAATGTCAGAGTCGTGCCAGCGGATGATCATGATAGACTTTAGGAGTAGGGGCTCGATGCAGATTAACGACTCGCACTAGATTCTGTACTGGCCAACTCTAAATGGGATTCGAAATCATCACTGAATTAAGATCATTCGCGCTCTGGCACTTGGCCGGTGCAACTCCGGGACTCATGATGTTTAGCACGAGTCACAATGACATGTCGACTAAGCCCTAAGCTTGAGTCACTTGAGAGCTTGAGTCACTCGAACCTTACCCACAAGTATACTCTATACCTTCTCTGTAGCTGTACTTATTTTACGGTACTTTGTCTTTGTACGAGTGTAGTCCAATACTTACCTTGGATGTACTAGTGCTTGCCTTCTACCTCAGCTACTCTGCAATGACTTCCTTCTACAGCACAGATATGGCAGAAAAGGCGAATCTCATGAACTTGTGCTGGGAATTGGGAATGTGGTGTTGTAGCTGGTAAAAACACATGCATCTCTGGTTCTGGACTATGAAAAGCATACTTTTCCGGTTTTATCTCTTCGAGATATCTATATTGAGAACCATACATTTCCTAATCGAGGAATGCCCGACTGAGCGCCAGAGTTCCTGCTGGCTCCTGCCCCTTTCCCCTCCAAATTCAGGGAAAGCTCTGAAGTTTGAATTCAATTTCTGTCCCTCCCATCGCTCTCTTCGTCGCCAAGGTATCCCATATCATCATATTACTACTCTCGTTCTACCGCCACCTGGCTTCAGTTCGTTGAAGGTGTGCCCTGGAGCACATCTCGTCAGAGCATGATTTCTTTCAGACACACTCATTCGACGGCTGCTCTGGTTTCTCCAACCTCAAAGAGATCTAGAGCCAGCCTCAGCAGCCAAAACGCCTTCGATAATGCATTCCAACTCCCATCTGGGGAAACTTCGTTCACCACCGAGTATGATCGCCCCTCCTTCGAGGTCGCTACTTCCGCGAGCTACAGTCATCTTGCCCTCGGCTGCAAAAATCAATACACTATCCACTCACTTGACGGCTGGATCGAGTACCCGGAGGAACTACCGCGTCTTTCACCAGAACAGTATTTAGAATCGCAGCAGTATGATCTAGCCACCATCTCTCGGTTTTGCCTTCCCTCCATCGAGACCCCGACCACGACAAACCTGATCGCATCGACTGAGCATCCAGAACGCAGGGCTTGTTCACCATACTATTGGGATTTCCCGGAAACTATAAACAGCATGAGAAGGGCTATTCAGGGCGAAGAGCCTTCTTCGTCCGAGCAAATCGAGCATCCTGGTTCAAAAAGAAACTACATGGACTTGACTTTCATCCTTGAAAAACCGTCGGAAAAGCCCAGTCCTCCCGAAAGACAGAAACGTTCCCGACTCGAAATTGATCGACAGAAGAGAAGCATCGCAAAGCTCAAGGAGTTTGGCGGCGCCTGTCTATGGTGCTACCGAAGCAAGAAAAGATGTGGCCCTGAGGATATCTGTTCCCAATGTTCCTCAAGTCGTCGAACGTGCGTTCGAAACCCAGCACAGGTCCGTCTGTACATACCTCCCGAGGAATCCCGCCGCACAGGAGTCCATTTGACAGGTGGACCTCCAACACGCGAGGCATATGAGATCTTGCATGGTTTAATGATCGACGCATTTCACAAGAGTGGGATTGGTGCAGTCAAGGTTCACTTCCGCCCTCAGGGTGCGTCGTTGGGCGACAACATCTGGGCTTTTGAAGGACCCAGGCCTTACCACAACCCGTCTGAACTAAGGATTCGACAGGTTGTCGACCAATTTTCTAGCGCCATCAGACAGTACATCCATTCTCCGGCGCTATCAGAGCTCGAACATAACTATTCTCTGTCGCTTTTCCAAGAAGCCATAAAGATGGCCAAGCTCTTTCAGGTCATCCAGAGCCTCGCAACATGTCGAGTATATGTCGACCCTTGCTCTTTACAGCATACCCAGGCTGTTTTGTTTCTCATCACGGTCTCTTGTTGTCAATACATGGCGGAGATATCTGAGGGATTCTCTACCGAGCTATTTGAAGCTCTTCGCCGGAAAGATGTATATGATACTTACAGCAAAGCGGAACAACATAAACTCAACGGCCTCAAGCTCTTCAATCCCATCTGGATTACAACAGCTCTGTATTATCGCGTGATCAAAGGCCTGTTGGATCTGCAATCTAACCTCGTCATTGCGCAGGTTTTCGATTCACTGGATTCTCATCTTGTCAACATCGGCAATTGTCTATGGTGCATGCTGAAACACGTTCCCTGTCAAAAGGAAGGCGATGAAAAGATGACTACCAGGCAAGCCGTCGACAGTCAGATTCCAGCACTGGAGAGTAACCCCCCTCGATCTTGCGATTTCTTGGATACCAAGTAGCGAGAGCGAAGGCTTGCCAGCCGCGCCCGAGCCTTTCCACCCGGGCGAACGAGTCTGGAGTATGGAGCGGCTGCTCAAGCCCAGATTAAAGGAGAGGATTTTGACTTTTGCAACATCAGACCAGCGCGTACTCGCTGCTGACAATGATATACCAGCGGCCCTGTAAAGGCCAACTGTCTCTACCAAGCCAATTGTATTTTTACAGGCTTTTGTGGTTGCGGGGTTTTTGCTTCACAGGTGTTTGGCTTCCCGGGGAGTAGTGATTTATGGAACGGCCCTTCTTTTTTTTTCTTGGATGGTCAGGAGCTGAACAAGAGTTTGCTGTTTTTGCGCGTTTCCTGCCGTGATTTGTGTATCCTATATATAACAAATGCCAAGGTGAACCACCCGAAATGCGTACAACTTCATACAACCGCGTCAAAAGATCTATATCATCTACATTTAACCCTCTTTGGCCTATTTTTACTCGACTTGAACACTGTTCATTATATAGTGTATGCCGAAAATAATTGGAAGGTATCTAAAGCAGTATTGTGTGTATATATATGGACAAATATATATTTACTGCATTCCTGGGGTAACCGCCATCTGAGCCAAAAGACCACCATATCCGTACTTTGTGTGCGGATATGCCCAGGCACGCCTTATATAGTGCACCGTCTAGCTGGAATCCGTGACGTTCCCAGTGGATACCATGACGGAGTGTCTCAGTGGGGGTCACCGAAGATATATTCAATGACTCGGTGTATGGGACCGGATTCTTGTGGAGTGGACTAAGTGGAAGCTGTCCCAGCATGATGTATTATTACCAGACTTTGAAATACATTTTACAGCCTATCAGTCGAAGGCATATTTGCTTACCAACTGCTCATGGTGTACATTCCTGGCTGAGACAAACCGGTAAATCTATTGCAGAGATAATCGAAGGATGAGCACAACACATGAGAATCTTGCACGGTTGTACCAGATCGGCGGGACTAGTTGAACTAGAGCTGATTAGCGCTTTGTCCCCGCATGTGCCTCATCGGCCTCTGGGCCTCATGCACCACCGGAGATAATGAGAGCAATTTTAATGTGCTTGAAAGACTAAGAGACTAGATTCCTCCGAACCATGACGCGACTGAAGATATCCTCTCAAGTGCCCGTAGCAGCGAATTGAGTTTTTTCTCGGAGCGCCTCTTCCTTGCTTTCCCTGCTTGCGTCCGCGATAAGCAGGCGAGATGGGGATGGCCCAATCAGGAGCAGCGCAGCTGGCAGCAACAGGTAGGCCGAACGGAAGGCTCCACTCGGTGCCGTCATTCAGGTTTATTTTCGGGGTCCTTGGGTTCTTTTCTGCGGGTTCTCTGCGCGTTTTCTGGCTTTGGGCGGAAGCTGTCACCATCGAAAAGGTCGAGACTCTGCGGAGACGTAAAGCTGCCCCTCTCCCTCTCCCCGCTGCCCCAGACGTTCTTCCCCTTCTCTTTTTCTTCACCTGGAACAGCCTTCTTGTTCTGCTTCTTGGTGCTTCGGGTGCCTTCTGTTCTGCAGCCGATCCCCTCCCCCGCCTTCTCCACCATGGTGCTGATCGACAAGCATGAGTACCTGACTGAGGAGGAGAAACGTTTGAAGGAAGATCGTGAGCGCACTCGCTATTGGAAGCGATGGGGTCCCTACGTCGCTGAGAGACAATGGGCAACAGGTGCGTTTCTGTAGCTGCGGCGACCTGGTGGAATCTGGCTAACCGTCTCGATCTGGTCTACAGTGCGTGAGGATTATTCGTGAGTCTCCACCTCCAGCCCCGAAATGGATCTTAAGCTGACCCCTCGATAGTGAAAACGGCGATGCCTGGAGCTGTAAGAATACACTTGGAGCAGAAGACAAAAAAACGAGGCTGTGTGTAGTTCGCTAATATGTTGGACAGACTTCTCGCACGATCATGCACGGTCGCGCGCCTTCCGATGGGGCGAGGATGGTATCGCAGGCGTCTCTGACTCTCATGGAATTCAGAACATTGCCTTTGCGTTCTGGAACGGCAAGGAGTATGTCAGGCGGGGAAGCACAAACCGAAGAAGAGGCTAATTTCTCGTCACAGTGATTTCCTGAAAGAGCGTCTCTTCGGTCTCTCTAACCCTCAAGGTAATCATGGTGAGAGTATCAAAGAAGCGCACTTCCACGTCGACAACACTCCGACGGTAAGTCGACCGACCGCCGATCTCAGTCCGACCCCCCAACGACTCGAAGCTTACTTTGCCTTTCTAGCATTCGTACATGAAGTTTCTGTACAAGTACCCCCAGAGCAAGTTCCCTTACCAGGACCTCATTGACGAAAACGCCCGGCGATCGCGGTTGGAGCGCGAGTACCAGCTTCTCGACACCGGCATTTTCGATGACAGTAAGTACTGGGACATCTTCATTGAGACTGCCAAGGACAGCGACGACGAAGAGGAGCTGAGCTTCCGCGTCATTGCATACAATCGTGGCCCGGAGCCTGCTCATCTTCACATTATTCCTCATGTCTGGTTCCGCAACACCTGGGGCTTCGGCTTGGAGAAACCGGGCGAGAAGCCTTCAATCAAACAAGAGAGCCCGCGGACGGCCAAGTCCACCCACCATAAACTAGGCGAGCGCTATGTCTCTTTTGCGCCTTCGCCGCCCGTGGGTGCTGGAGAGGACGATATCCAACCCCAAATGCTCTTCACCGACAATGACACCAACAACATGAAGCTTTGGGGCACTGAGAACCCCGCTCCATACGTGAAAGATGCTTTCCATCGCCATATTGTTGACAAAGAGAAGGGCGCCATCAACCCGGATAACGAAGGTACCAAGTTTGCGGCCTGGTATGCTTTCAATGAAGGCGAGGGTGTTCCTCCCGGAGAGTGTGCCGTCGTTCGTTTCCGTTTCTCGCGAAAGAAGGAAGACTTTGTCGATGAAGAGGTCCTCGACGATGTTATCGAGAATCGTCGAGCAGAGGCCGATGATTTTTACAACCACATCAGCCCTCTTCCCATGAGCGAGGATTTGCGCAACATTCAACGACAGGCGTTCTCAGGAATGATGTGGTGCAAGCAATACTACAATTTCATCTGGGATCAGTGGAGCAATGGTGACCCCGGCGAAATCCCTCCTCCACCGGGAAGAAAAGGCATCCGGAATGAACAGTGGCGCCATCTATACATTGATGATATCCTTTCCATGCCGGATTCCTGGGAGTACCCGTTCTTTGCCGCGTGGGACACTGCATTCCACTGTATCCCATTGGCGATGATTGATCCGGACTTCGCCAAGAAGCAACTGGATCTGATGACCCGCGAATGGTACATGCATCCCAATGGTCAGCTTCCTGCTTACGAGTGGAACTTCGGTGATGTGAACCCCCCTGTGCATGCATGGGCGGTTTTCCGGACCTTCAAGATCGAGCGCAAGATGTACGGTCGGCAGGATCTGGATTTCCTTGAGCGGGTTTTCCAAAAGCTGCTCCTCAACTTCACGTGGTGGGTCAATCGCAAGGATTCCGATGGAAAGAACGTCTTCGAAGGCGGGTTTCTCGGCCTGGACAACATCGGATTGTTCAATCGATCCGAGCCCCTGCCCACCGGAGGAGTGCTGGAACAGGCGGATAGCACTGGCTGGATGGCCTTCTACTGTCTGTGCATGTTGAACATCTCACTCGAGCTTGCGAAGCACCGAAGAACTTATGAAGACAGTAAGTTCGCATATCTAATTTGCCCTGACTATATATGCTAACTACGATTCCAGTTGCATCCAAGTTCTTCGAACATTTCATCCTCATTAGCGACGCTATGACCTATCGGTCTGGGGAGGATAACATCAAATCTCTATGGAACGAGGATGACCAGTAAGTTTCGTGGACCATCTATCTGCGGGCTGTCACTAACTCAACCTCCAGCTTCTATTACGATGCGATCTCCTACGGTGGTCCGTGGACACAGCAACTGCCAATCCGCTCATTGGTTGGATTGATCCCGCTGTACGCTGTGCTCACTCTTGAGCCCGAAATCATCAACAAATTCCCCTCGTTCAAGCGACGACTTGAATGGTTCGTTGAGAATAAGGCTGATGTAGCTGAGCGGAACATCGCCAGTATCAAAACCCGTGGTGAAGGTGACCGCTTGCTCCTGTCACTTGTGAGCAGGGACCGCTTAGAGAAAATCCTGAAGCGTATGCTCGACGAAACCGAATTCCTCTCCGAGCACGGCATTCGATCCATGTCCAAATACCATGAAGAGAACCCGTATTCCATGGATGTAAATGGCCAGACCTTCAAGGTCAAATATGTCCCTGGAGATTCGGACAGTGCCCTGTTTGGTGGCAACAGCAACTGGAGAGGACCGATCTGGCTTTGTGTCAATTTCCTGCTAGTTGAGTCTGTGCTTCGGTACTACATGTTCTACGGAGATTCATTCAAGGTCGAATGTCCGACGGGCTCGGGAGACTACATGCACCTGGGGCACGTTGCCGAGGAGCTGCAGCATCGCATGCAGCATCTATTTGCACGGACTGATGATGGACGCCGAGCCATCAACGGCGGCTCCGACCTGCTGGACTTTGACGAGCACTGGAAGGACTACCTTTGGTTCAATGAGTTCTTCGATGGTGACACCGGCCGTGGTCTTGGTACTTCCCACCAGTGTGGCTGGACTGGACTGATTGCGAAGATCATCCACGATACAGGGTAAGTCAAACACTCCTCCCCATACTTAGAGCATTTTACTAACAGTGTCCCCTTAGAATCAACTGCCGTCTCCCTCAGACCCCTCGTTCCCCCTTCGCCGCCGCCTCTCACTACTTTGACGAGGTCTTCTCTCGCAGTGGACGATCCCGCCGGGGCTCCAGAGCACCGATCCTCCGCCGCTCTTCTACGACCAGATCTATAGGCAATAGAAGTGACTTCACCTCGGCTTTCACCCCTGGCGAGGTTGCATCTGCGGCCGCATCTACGAACGGGGATGACGATGAATTGACTACTCCAATTAGTCGTCGTGGAAGCTCTGCTGCGCTTGCGAACAATGGTACCGACGAAGAACGCATTAACAACTACGTCGAGAGCCAACTTCAGCGCGTCCGCAGCTCGGCTTCCATTGCTGCATACGAGGATGAGCTCGAGACCCACGCCGATCAAGAGAACGGGCACTAGGCCGACTCTACTGCAACCCGTCTACAAGTACCTGAGACTTCCATATTTCAATGCGCTTCATAATAAGCTTCATGTGAGGTGGAATCACGCGATTTCTTTCCTTTTTACCTTCGGTCGACTTTCCTATGCTACGATGATACGGGATACACTAATGTTCTAGATGTCACATACTAGGTTTTGGTAGCATTTCCACTAAGAATACAAAGATTGCATTGCATATTCAATTTCTTTCCCACCATCACTGGTCTTCCCCTTGTAGCCCCGTGAATTCCTCCAACTTCAGCTGCGTCTATCTTGGGCGTGTCTCTCGCATGTATTCGAACATTCGCACTACGAGACGAGCCGGATACGAGGGGAAGAAATTCGGAAATTTTGGTTCGTATTTCCATTCAATCCTTGGCCATCGTTTCGGCACTTAACTAAAGTACAAAGATAAAAGCAAAAACCCGCCTCCCATTCGCCCGAGTCATGCAAGCTAAACAAAACAGATATTGCGTTTTTGAAATCCCGAAGCCTCATGAGCTAGCAGAGATCTTCCATAAGAATAGCAGATATCGCGCGCTGAAATCCCGAAGCCTCGTGTGCCACCAGACGTGGTTCGTCAAGAAAAGAAAACACAAAAAGTAAGCCGTAGCGGGCTGATCAATTAACTTCTTCCCTTCACTTCTCCCTCACTCTTTTTTTTTGGTTCTGATTTTTGATTTTTTGATTTTTGACGCTTGCTGTTTGGGTATTCGCACGTTCGAGGGGGTGGGCTTTAAGAGTTACACTCAAGGGAGAAAGGCATCGGCAGGAAGAGTGCCCTGAGCCTGCAATTTATATTAGATTTATGTTTCATGTCTGCCAGTGTTGGCTTTTGCTTACCTTGAGTTGTTCAAAGTTGTTCCAGGCGGCCTCAAGGTTCCAAGCGTTGCTAGAGAGGGCCATTTCTGAGAACTGGAGGGTCATTCGAGACTTGTTGCTCATCTGGATTACCATCTGCTCCTGCTGAACTTGGGTCTCTGGTTTACCAGGGGTGGCGACACCATATCCCTCCGGGAGAGTGGTGCTGGCAGCGGGGACTGCTGGAGCGGCGATAGGAGCTGTGACAGGGGCTGCTGCAGGGGCAATAGCTCCGACCGGGGGTTGAAGGGCCTGTGGGATGGACTCATTTTCGGGGCTCCAGGCCTCGTGTCCACCGTAGGCGCGAAGGCAAAGGAGATCGTTAACGACGCGAATACCGCCCGCGCCGCTTCCGGGGCCAAGAACAAAGGTACGGTCAAAGCTGCGGAGCTCAATCTTGCCGTTGACACTCTCTTCGAACTTGCCGTGGACCATGATCTGCAGGCCACTTACCCCGTGGGCGTTCTGGCCGGTTGGGTCAGGCAAATTATGAATTGGGTGGCATTCAATGAGGTACTCGTCTGCCTGTGTGTTGAGATCCGGATGGCGGGTTTGGGGGAGGTCGTTCCAGAGTTGGCGGATCTTTTCGACGCCCTTGAAGGTACGCGACATGCGTGCCGGGAGTTGTGTGATCCTATCGAGGTTGCGGCTGGACTTAAGGTAGGGCTCCCAGCCCACATTTTCACCGTCGGAGAATCGGGGGCACGCGTGTTGACGTTGAGAGAGAAAGTGGAGTTGGAGTCATAAACACCATCAATAAGTTCGTTGCGGTCATTGTCGTAGCTGGGGAAGAAAGCACGAATAAAGTGCTCGCCGATGCTGCCCTGGTCTTCGAAGATCGGCGGCTGGTTGGGAATCGGGGCTTTCTTCTGCGCCGCGACCTCTTCGGGAGTTCGTACTTGCACATTATTCAAATACTGGAGGTTGGGATACCACTTCAGGAGAGTATCTTTGAAATTGGGATCGGAAGACAGGGGGTTGCCGTTCATGTCCAAGAACTGAAGGTTCCGGAACTTCCAGCGCCATCCCGTCACAGACTTGTAGTCCGCTAAGTTATTGTTGGACAGATCCAAATTCTTCAGGTTCGGAATAGTCTGCGCCAAGCTAGTGACGGCTGCGATGTTGGTAAGTTGGTTGGATGCGAGGCTGACACTTTCCACCGCTGCGTGTTTCTCGCTTGCAGTGGTGAACTGCATATCCCATACCTTCATCAAGGCTGGGAAGAACTTGGACTGGGTGGAGGTGGAATTGAAGACTCCCAGAGCCTGCAGGTCGGGATCGGAGCTGAGCTTCGACATATCCAGAAGCTTGGTGTCCGGATAGTAGCGCTTGCTCAGAATGGTAGCCAACTTGGACTTGGTATCCATAGTCTCAGCAGATGTACCATTGTTGGAAAGCTCGGCGTCAAGAGCTGTGTCGGTAGTATTGAGTTCCTCAACCGTAATATAGTTTCCCGCAAAAAGACTCCCATTGAGCTTACGAATGCGCTCAACAAGATCCGGGCGAAGAGACACAATGAAAGCATCCCCTTCGACACGCGACTAGTGAGATGTTATGTTAGCAAGGTGCAACAAAGACCTTGAAAACATCGGCGCCACCAGTCTGGGGTTGGTAAAAATAGACAAAGGCACCCAAATCCCAAGAGATACCAATTTGACTCCCCCCCCAAAAGGAAACGAGGCGGGGATGAGGCTAGGGCAAGGGGCGGTGGCCACATATCGGGTGGCGTCGATGTTTCACAGGCGGTGACGGCCTTCTCGAATGTTGAAAACATACCTTGTGAATTTTGATATTGGGGCCTTTGGTTTGGGAGGAGACGCGTCGTTCGAGAAAGCTGCGCAGATCGTCGACGGTGCGGTCGCGAGCAGCCGATGACTTCGATTTCTGCCATCCGGTGATAGCAACATCCACGAGGTTGGAAGCGGGAGCGCCTTTACCAGAACGGACGCTAGCCTGAGAAGATCCTCGGGCGTCACCGAGAGCGCGCTGGATGACATCCGCTTTTTTATTTCGTCCCTGCTGGCGATTGCTCGTGGGGCGCGAATTTCCTGCGCGATTTGAGCGCGCTGGACCTGGGCCAGATCCTGAACCAGAACCAGAACCCGGACCAGGGCGGGCTCGTTTACCTGCACGGCCATTTCCATCCATGTCCATATCACCGTCACGATCAGTGCGGGCCGCACCACCGCGTTTGCGAATACCGCCGTCATGGCCACCACCGCCAGCAGCAGGACGGGCTCGCGACCTCGAAGTCATGGTGGGACAAACCAAACGTCGGACTGATTGATTTGGGGGTAGAGGTAGGAATGCGAAGAAAAGAGTGAGTGGGCAGAAAACCGAACAGGGCCTTGTTTGGGGACTGCCCGCTGCGCGCCTTTGGTTCAAACGATGGGGGGGAAGGCTCATGCGAGTGGAACGATCGAGGAAATTATGGAAGGAAAGAAGCGCAATGAAGACTGGAGATACAGTAGAAAGGGACCTCTCAGCCTTTAATAGATTCGGCAGCGAGGTGCCAGTCGTAGTGAAATGCCAAGTCGTAGTGAATGAACCGAACAAAAAAAAGTGACGTGCAGGGATCCTTCAAGGCGGTGGCCAAGGCGGCAGTCAATGAGATCAGGTGACTTTATTGGTGAGTCATCGGAGCTCAATTGACCAATGAAAGGATCGGTGCCATTACCACCGTATTACCGCTTATTCATTTGTCGGTTGTGTCGCACCCGGTTGAGCTGCAATCTTCACTGACTTATGAGTTAGGGTCGAGTCCTCTTCACGGGGCTGATCCGAAGGAGCATCAGCGTCCATCGGTAGAACTTGACGGGACTGAACGGTGAAAACCGATTGGTGCATTTGGAATGTTATTCGTTTTCGCTTCTCTGTTCATTGAGCGTGTTGTGGCGCATTTGAGTCTTCTTCAAGCGAGCAGCTGTACCATACAATGGGGGGCAAAAGTCTGTGTGCATACCGCTTTACTTACCCCATCAAATACTGATGTATATTCATGGTTACATATCCTACACCACCAACCCTTATGGGATCATGATAAAATTCAAAATACTGAATAATCAGGTTCATATACAGAGTTATCTTGCTTAATATTTCATATAATAATCTTGGTTTGTATACAATCTATCCATCCTTCTTCCTATACTCAATTAGACCTCGCCACGACCCGCGGGTCTACCCAAACGGGGTACCCATTACCCATTTCTTGGCGGGTAATGGGTAGGGTTTGCCTACCCGCGTGCGGGTAGTGGGAAGCTGGTTAATACCCATGGGTATTTTCTGGGTACCCGCGGGTAGTCAAACAATACAAACAGGTGGGACCCCGTGACTTGTATATTTTATGCATATTCGAGCTGTAATTTTGAGTATTTCATATACAACTACCAGTCAAGATTCAAGAGATTTCTCAGTATTAAAGAGGTTAAAACAAGGTCAATTTGATTCTATAGCTAATACTCAATAAACTGATCATCATCCCGTCTCCGCTTCCGACTTCTACCTGAAATCCGTTGTTGAGTCTCTGGGAGAGGATTTGTAGCTTCATCGTCAGATAAAGCTTCATGAGAAGGGCCCTGGGTAGTATCTGGCTCTTGTATGACCTCTATATCCTCCTCTTCATTATCACTGATAGGATCAATATCCTGTAGTGACTGAGGACTTTTCTCTTCTCTCTCTGTCTCAATCTCCCCACTTGTAAGATACTCCTTCTTAAGAGTAAGGTTGTCATCTTCAAGCTCAAATTTTGTTGCGAACCTATACATCATGAGCTCCTGGATAGTTTCAGATCTTAGAGAGCCTCGACGGTAATGACAGATGTCCCGAGCAGAGTTAAAGAGACGCTCAACCCCTGCACCTGTAGCAGGAATTGTAAGAATATCCCGTGCAAGGCTTGCGAGAGCAGGAAATTCATGTTGATGGTCTTTCCAGAACGCTCGAATGGTTACTCCAGTGATAGTACCTAATATTTATTAATAAAACACACAATAAACCAAGATAATACTGACCAGATTCAAGATATCTTGAAAGCTCATCCCGCTCAGTTAAGCTTGTTTGCTGAGATTCAGACTCTCTAAGCATCCGTTCAAGATCAAACTCCGAGGTCTGTGTTGTGGATATATGAGACTCTAGTAATGTCTGGTTCTGTAACAGACGTTGCTTATAAGACTCAAAGTAATCCACAAAGCTTTGGCGATATCGATCACGCCACTCATCGCCCCAATCTTTTCCTAGAAAAAAACTGGAGCTTATTCTGCGGTGCAAGCATTGTTCCAATAGCAAAGAGGTCTCCAGGAACGCCATCTGTCTTGCTATAATATTGGGAAAGCTTTGTCTTCGCCACATAAAGCGCATTTAGCATCATCTTCTTCCAAGGTACCTTTTTGTATCTAAGCTGGTTGATCGACTTCTCAAGATGATCAAAAAGCTTATTATAGATACCAAAGATCAGATGTATGGTAACATCCTTTGTTTTCGAAAGCGCATTCGTGAATTGGAAGAAAGGTTGAGTGATATAAAGGAGGTAGTCGATCTGACGCCATTGCTCTTGATCAAGCTTCAAATGCGAATGTCCATATTTAGTACAGAACTCGTCAAAGACAGACTGTAATCGCTTGGCACGTCGGAGCATAAGAAAGGTCGAGTTCCAGCGTGTTCGAACATCTTGAATTGGCACAAGAGGTATTGAGGTTGTTTGAAGCTTAGAAAACAGCTCGAGACGTTGAGGGCTAGCATTGATAAAAACAGCTAAGCCTCGTATCTATATATAATTAAATAAGTTGATAGTTTTTATATCTGAAGAGATAAACTTACCTTATTCAGTGTGTCAACAATCTCTCGTTTTTGTTGCCTTGAGCGGATCAATTGATCTTGGGTTTCAGACCACTGCATTTCAGCTATATCGTTCTTTGGATTTGCCTTCATTTGCCCAAGAAGCTGCTTCAGACTAAGTTGAATGACGTGGGCTAGACAGGGAACCTTGATGATCGTAGTATGATCGCTAATCTCAAGAGACTGGATAGAATCCTGGATACTCGACATCATAGTGCTATTATTTGATGCATTATCAGTAGTAATTGCAAGCACTCTGTCTGTGATCTGGTGTTTTTGAAGAAGTTCAAGAAGGACAGCACTTAGATTGACACCCGAGTGTGTTCCATGAAGTGGTTCAAAGCCAAGCAGTATCTCCCGATAGTTCCAATCTTCATCAAGAAAATAACCAGTTACTGCCATAAATGCTTGCTGGAATGGAGATGTCCAGCAATCAAGGGCAATTGATAGCTTACCATCTTTAGGTAGCTTTTGGAGGATAGTATTCTGGTACTCAGTGATCGTGCCTTGAAGTCGACGTCGAACTGTTTTCGCAGATGGGATTTGTGGACGCATTGGGGCACGGGAGGCCATGTAAATCAACTGATGAAAGTCGGGGTGTTCGAGGATTTGGAATGGTAGCCGGGAATCAGTAATGAAACGAAGTAAACTTGCTTCCCAAGCCTCTTGAGTAAAACTGAGACTATCTGAAGCTGGTGTAGCCTATATTAGAAAGATATTAGTAAAAAGATATCATAATATAAGATAAAATTACCTCGTGGAAAAATTGTTTGATATTATGCCCATTTGTGCCACGACACCCAATCCCTTTCAAATGCTTGATCATCGCTGTGGTCCCATTCCCATGTTGTTGTGGATGATCGAGCACCTTCTTGCATCGTTTACACATAACCTTGGGCATTCCGTCGCTCGCTTTTGCTACCTGGTCAAAGTGCTTCCACACATCAGATTGCTGTCGAGCATCCCACCGTATCGGCTTTTTTTGTCCAAAGTCTGTCTGAAGCCACCAATTCACAAAATCGTCTTTTGTCATGTTGGAATAAACAAGGTATGCCGAAGTTCGGTCAGGACAGATACGTTCAAGGGAGGGAGGTATAGGGGCCACACGGGATGGATAAATGAAATCCGAATTGGCGATTGATTGTGATGTTTGTTGGTTAAACGAAGGGTTAGAGGTAAGGTCGTCGGGTTGAATAACCTGAAGGTTATCTGGATTGTCAGTATTATATAAAGATGATGCATACACATCAGAGAACTGGGAGAATTGAGACATTATGGCAAGGGAAACAAGACCAGGCTAGTTACCCCTAATCACATAACGAAGTAAGTACTTACTATAGTAAATTTTGCGACTGATAGACTTAGAGACTTTAGCCCCCTTTTTTTGATAACTTGCGAATAAATGACCCACTATATCTATGATATATATTCTAATTGGTTGAACTCATGGGTTATTCGTGGGTAGATGGGTAGCCCGTGGGTAACCCGCGGGTAACCCACGGGTTACCCACGGGCTACCCATCTCACTTTAACCCCTTTTTTCATATTCAAGTGCCATTGTTTTCAAGATAGATACCACTGTTCAAGGCTGTTGTACACTTAATATATACAATTTTGTTAAAGCAAAGCTCATATTTAAATGGAAATAACGTATATAATTCGATTTGTCGAACAGCTAATCAGTTTCACTGATATAAGAGTATATAAAAGGGGTATGATTGTGTTGTCAGGAAGATACACTTACTCCCTTGTAGTGTAAATATATATTTTCAACAGTTGACAATATATAATCCACAATACTACCTACAACCATCTACCATAAGGTTTAATCTATTAAATATAGATACAAACCACTATTACCAGAGCTACTAATAACGCTTTTCAACTTCAATACTTAATTTACGTAGTCAATGTGGTTGTATCGCTTCATAAACTAGAGGCTAACCAGAACAGCTGTTAAAAACTGTAATTTACTTGGGTGAGTAAGCGATTTTATACAGCTTGGCATGTCCAAAAAGGGGTAATTATGCATTTTTGGGTAATTCGTGGGTAACCCGCGGGTACCCCATGGTCTACACTGGGTAGACGGGGATGGGTAATGGGTAGGGACTTGCCTACCCGTCCCACGGAACTGGAACCAAAATCCCTACCCGTGGAAGTTCCATGGCGAGGTCTATACTCAATATTAACATATCAATCTTCGTCTAGTCTAACATATCCTATATAATATTAATATACTCTTTAAAGTAAGCCCAGTCCTCTCCAGATCTTTCTATCTATATAATATCTTAAAATATATACAAAAATTTAATATTTTAGTCGTTTCCAGACTAGTTTAATAGGATTAAGACCAGGCGAGTATACTAGCCAATCTTCAACATACATCCCGTGCTCTTTAAACCAAACTTGCATATCTTTCGTTATATAGATCTTTGTTGATATCTTGCTAGAATATAATTCCAGATTGATAGCGATCGATGCCATGGGGGAGGTGTAGGAGAAAGAATGAAAATGTGGGTGGTTATTAGGGTGATGGTAATGGGGCCGAGTGCACACAGACTTTTGACCGGGTGGTGTAGCTTGGGAAGGGAAGAGTCTACTGTATCAGGCTCCAGCTAGTAACCTTTAATGATTGTATTATGTGGCCACCTACATGTATAGGATCGTGAATCAAGATGATCATTTTTTGAACCAGTGGTAATTTTTAAACAGATGTTTCATTGTGTTAATTGAAGGCGAGAATGTTCTCAATTAGCAGAGCTCTGAGGCTCATCAATGTCTTCGAACATCTGAAGACAACCAAAACTCCTAAATAACGAAATTCGGGGCTGGATTGTACTAATAAGTCACAGCGTAGCCCATCTCCTTAATAAGTACATTCATAAATTCGTAGTGAAAATAACAAGAAATAGTCTCCTCCTTCATAGTTTAGGCACCTGTGAACATGAAGACAATAGCTCCAATCACGGCCCCAACAAACACCACAGTTAGGATACCGGCGCCGGCCTTATCTCCCGTCGTAATAGGAGCGAGCACCACGTTGCCGGTATCTTGACCCTGGCCAGCATTTGGGTCACTCTTGCTGTCACCTCCGGTCGAGGACGAGACAGGCTTCGCGGTATCCTTATTGACGAAGGGCAGCATGGCCACGCTGAACACGTTCGTGGCACTGATGTCCTCCTCCATACCAATTTTACCGTCCCATTCTCCGCCATACCAGCGCACGCCGCAAGTGTTGTTGCCGAGCCCGGTACAGGTCGAGGCAGCGCCCGAGGCGGAGGACTGCAGCTTGGACAAGATGGTAGAGTAGGTGGAGGGGACCAGAAGCGCAACGTTCGCGAGCCACATCACCATGAGACCCTTGAAAAGCATGCCGTTTCGGTCGCAGTTGTCTTTGATCTCGCAGACGGCGTCGGAGGCGGCGTAGTTGGTTCTGGCCGTGAAGAAAAGTTCCCAGGACTTATTGAGTAAACCGTTCAGTCTGTCGAGCCATATTTGGTCTTTTGTCTATAGGTAGATCGGTAGTTAGCTCCGGCTGCAAGGGAGAGAAACAAACAGCGCGAGTAGGTTGACGTACAAACTCATACATGTAAGCACAGCCATTAATGAAGACACCGTAGTTGTATGTCCAGTCGGTGTAGTCCCGCGTCGTGCAGCCATTAGCTCCATCGGTACTATCATTGACCTTCCAGGTTACGTTGTTGACCAACCCGTGCGATTCAGACCAATTATAAGATTTAATAGCCCAGTCGGTGTAAGACGCATCGCCGGTATAGAGCGCCAGACGTGCAGCAAGCTGGAAGAATCCGCCGTTGGAAATCGCGTTCCGCAAGGTGTACCCGGACTGGAAAGGCTGTTTTTGCCAGCGGATACCACCACCACACGTGCTCGGGTCCCAACCCGACGGGTTGTTCTTTTGGTTGTTGTAAACGCCCTGTGCGAGGGCGAGCCAGGAGAACCCCGACGGGCGATCGGGGAGCTTGTACTCGGCAGCGGTCATCGCCGCAGATGCCCATTGCACTTGATCGTCGTTTCCCTGGGGGGGAAGAAGAATCATGTAAGCGCGATGATTCAGATTCGGGGACTTAGGTTGGTCGATGCAGAGGTTTTATACTCACAGCGTACTGGCTGAAATTCTGGGGCAAGTAGTCTCCGTTTGAGCCTCCTTGCCACTGCAAGGCAATGCTCAGTTCGTCATTGTAGGTGTCATCTCCGGTGAAATGCCAGTAGTTCAGGAGCGCGTTGCATAGTGCAGCGCCCTCCCACCAACTGAAGGTGAACGCGCCCGGCCATCCTCCAGTCTCGTTTCCGTGGTAGTATCTCATCATGGAGTATGCCGTGGTGCTCGCGGCTTCCTTGATCAGGTCTGTTGGCGCGGGAAAAAAGTCAGTCAGCTACTGCATCGAAAAGGATCCTTGACGAGCCTCACTCTGATCTTGTGTGTTGAAGGCAATCGCCGAGACATGCTGGGCCATCAGCATTTGCAGCAAGACCGCAACTATCCGGTCGATCCGCATTTTCGAGGGGGTGGGGATTTCGCCCCGGGAGGCCACAGAAGAACGGTGAGGACAAGGATCGAAGCGAGACGAGATCTAAGCTGGGTGCGTCTGGCGTAGAGATGTAGGGGGAAACGATGGTGCAGACAAAGTTCAAAATCTGGAGGGGGGAGGAGCCAGCTCAGGTGCCCTGGTCAGCGCTAGCCCAGACCCTTCCGAGGTGGAAACTTATGGGACCCTATTGAAAAAGTGGAGTCGCGATCTGACTGGTTCGGCCTATCAAACGCCCGTAGCTCGACTGGATGAGACAAGAAGAGACAAATTTAGCTCCCCTGACAGGCTATTCTTATACGCAGTATTCTTTTGCCGGTCTCTACCTGCAGCTAGATGATTCAAGTTCAGTGCGAGAAGCCATGCCGCCTGAGATCTACCGCTCGAGACGTGGAGCCCCGCTTAATCACACATTTTTCGAATCAAAAAGATCGTCAGCCTACGGATCATTCCTTTCGTCCCCTGCAGACTGTCTTCTTTTCTATCAAAAGCCCCGCCGTTCGTATAGGGGCAGGGGCGGCTTCTTCGGAAGGAGTCAAGGGTACCAGATTTTACACAGCCTCCCTTCGGCGTTTGCCTCCCCTTTTGCCTCCCTCGGGTCTGATCCACGTAGATTGACCCGTTCCATAAATCGTCACATCGGATTGAGATGTCACTTCTGCGAAGGAAACTAGAAACTTGGCAAGGCCAAGCAAGGCCAAGTTTCCTTGGCCAAGGAACCCGAGCCCTGGGTGGTGGATAACCCCACAGAAACAGAAATCGTCCGGGTCAGACTGGATCAGATTGGCAATCAGAAGGCATTCGGGTGCCCGGTGATACTATCGACAGCGGGAGTGAAACATGGGGTTATAAGATACACAAGGCCTTGGGCAAGAATGTGCGCTTAGCCGTGTGATCGGGACTACGAATCCATTGGAGGCTTTTCCGCTCTCAAGCTCTTGATCGTGTTAGGTAGTATCCGCCGCTACGTCATTTCGCAACAATTTTCGTAGGCTAGAAATCATGTGACTTTGATACTACATGGCCTGTCGACGACATCATGCGGAACAGCACATGGGACATTTCCTTTGGCTTTTTCAGCATGTCTTTTCGGACTGCTCAGAGGCTGATGAATGTCATGAATAGAAGCTCCAGATGCAGGACTTTTAAACGGTGAAAGAAGCCCGACAGTGGAGATATAGCCTTTAGGTGGTCTCAGCTGCAGAATCAACGGTCGATTCACAAACATAAGCCCTTTCCACCCTATACGTATGCTCACAATCTTAACAGATCGCGCCCAATCACTATCGGAACAAAATGGACTTGTTCCTGGGAGGAGCCGCCAAAGCATATCTTCGAGGCTGGTTATTTAGTTTGTTTCATTTTATTTTGTTAAATGTTATCGAACATCCATAGGATTTGTGTGCCCAATTGGTCATATTATGGTCTAAAAATCTCTATCATGAAATGCTTTTCGACTGTGATAAGTCTCAAGACTTACTCCAAAAAAAAACCATCCTCGCTCCCAAACAATAAATCAAACCCAAACTCAGGGCGTTTAGCCCTTGATCCACTTAGGCAAGGACTTGAGGACACCGTCGCGGGCAATATCCTCAAGGGCCTCAGTCATGGTGGATACAAAACGCTCGTCGTTTCGTAGATCGTCACCAAACAAGCTCTTGATGCTCAGGAGCTCGCGGGGATCGGTACCACCAGCGATAGCCTTGGCCTGGATCTCCTCGAGCATAGGGTCCTGAACCTCGAACTTGTTGCCCAAGTCATCAACACCCTTGATGTAGTGAAACCAGGTAGCAGCAGTGAAACACAGACGGCGGAAAGGTCCAGTCACCCAGATCTCTTCAGCAATGGTGGGCATGATGAACTGGGGGATCTTGCCGGTACCGCCACCACAGATACGGGGCAGAGTGTCGCGGATAGGGGGGGTTAGAGAAACGCTCGATAAGGGTCTTGCAGTACTGGTCGACATCGTGGCCGGGGATGGTCGGGAGAGTGGGCTTCACCTCCTCTTGCATCATGTTCCAGACAAATTCACGGAAGAGCGGGTTGGCGATGACCTCGTGCACGTACTTGTAGCCAGCTAACCAGCCACCGTAGGCGATAATGGCGTGGCTGCCGTTCAGCAGGCGGAGCTTGTGCTTCTCAAATTCCTCAACGTTCTTAACATCCTTGACAATCTGGACTCCGACCTTCTCAAATTCGGGGCGGGCATTGTCGACGAAGTGGTCTTCGATGACCCACTGGGTAAAGGGTTCGGTGACAATGGGCCATGAGTCTTCGATTCCAAATTCCTTTGCGAGTCCAGCCTTGTCCTCCTCGGAGGTCGACGGAGTGATACGGTCAACCATAGCGTTAGGGAATTGGCCCTTTGCGTCGATCCAGTCAGCGAGGGGAGGGTTCCGGAGGCGGGCGAACGAGACGAGCATGTTGCGGGTGATAGAACCGTTTCCTTGCATGTTGTCGCAAGACATAACAGTGAAGGGGTTCAGACCAGCCTGGTGGCGGCGGGCCATAGCGTGGTAGAGGAAACCGAAGGTGGTCTTAGGGTCCTTGTCACCGGCAAGATCGGCCTGGATGTCGGGGTTCTCGGTCTGGAGTTGGTGGGTGTTTTCGTTATAGTAGTAGCCGCTCTCGGTGATGGTCAGAGACACAATCTTGGTGTCGGGGTGTGCCATCTTGGCGATCACAGCCTCGCGGTTATCGGGGGCGAAGAGGTATGAGTTAATGCCACCGAGAATGTGGGCAATGCTGCCAGTTGGGGAGCGCTCGATGGCAGTGTAGAGCCCGTCCTGCGAGTCCAATGCATCGCGCATGACGTTATCGAAGGGAGTCAGGCCGACACCGCAGATGGCATAGTCCTTCATGTTGTGGTGTCGCATGAGACGGTCAATGTAGAAGGCCAAATGGGCTCGGTGGAAGCCACCGACACCAATGTGGACGATTCCCTCCTTCACAGCATTGCCGCGGGGGTAATTGGGGATGTTGACAGTAACCCCCGCCGCCTTCGCGGCATTGAGGATGGAGTTGAGGTTCTGGGTGTTGAGCTTGAGAGCCATGGCTACAAGCAAAACGAATTGACAGGAATGCGAGGAGCAAAACGGTCTCGAGGGGGAGGAGGGGGTCTAATAAGCAAAAACATCGACAATCGAACCGCCTTCTGAAAAAAAAAAAAAAAAAGTATTATTACTGCGAGCAGCTCCACGCCACCTCTACACGGTGTACCGGATCAGGCAAATCCGCTGGGAACCCGCTGGGAAAAATGGAGCATATGGAGCGAGCCCCATACTCAAGGATTTATTATGGGGCTGAACGGGGTTCATCAGCAGTGGTGAATTCAGCCAAAAAAAAAATCTGTATCGCACCTGACCCATAATCTCGGACGATCATTCAAAATAGCCGATTATCAGTCGAGTTTTCCCAATACGGTAAGCCGGAGATCTTGTTGCCTGCAGAACCTGGCGGCGAGACTGTTTTAGCTGCCCCTTTCTTAGTCTATCTTCGTCGCCTTCGGTCTAGTTCGACTGGGGCTTAATGGCGTTTTTGTTTCGGCTCGCGCGGGTGACATTCACCGCAATTCTTTGCTTCTTCCCAGAAGGCGCGGGGGAAGCCTGGAGGGGGGGTTACGCAACGGATTTGAAGATGAATATGGAGAGTGCCCCGTGTAACTGCGTACGCATACATATGTACAGTCTGGTAAAGAGCTGGTCCAGCCGGTGCAGGCCCCAAATACCCCGGAGTACAACGCCCACCGCGTTTGGCCCGAACGCAACTGCCCTTTGGTGCATTCGGCCCGGCGAATTCGATACGGGCCCGTGCGGGGCATCCCATGACTTCTCGCCATTGAACTTTCCCCCCTTTGCCATCTGCTAGACTCTATCTGGTCCTTCCGACCTGCGCAGTCAGTTGACCTCCATGCAATTGAGGCGAATACCCCTGAAGCGCCCCTATAATTGAGTGATATGTAAAATCTCAAAATAGTTTCAATGGTCACGGGGCTATCGCAAAGATCCCCTTTTAGCGAATCCGAGTAGGCACTTGCCCCTGGGAGAGGCCACATGACTAGAATGCTGTTTTCTCCCAAGGGGTTTCGTGTTCTAGCCCGCCCCTCGATACAACTTTCCAGCCATTCTCAAGCTCATCAATAATCTAGTATGAAACTGCTCGTCTCGCCTTGGTCAAATTTCAGACGCCAATGTCTTGCGCAGACCCTATCCTCTTATTCAATTATTCTAGTCGCCGTGTGTCAAGCCTTTCATAGTGGAACTTGGGTGGTGGTTAGTTCATCCCATCTCAAAAACACCTAGCAATGTGTGCAGATATTCGCCCATTCATGGCTCAAACCCGTATATCCAACATTCTTGCGGGAGGCTTTCCGAGTCGTTCGTTTCCCATCTCCGCGGTGCGCAACCCTCAACACGAAGGTGGAGGGGAAAGATGACTACAGTTGGCCTTTTTCAATAAAAGCCTTTCTAGGTTCTGTACACACACTGGTTCACTACTAGCATACCAGTAACCATCGTAGCTCAAGCTACTACTCAATATCCTAAAGGGTGGCGAAGGCGTTTACCGTGGCAAATGGCAGATACGAAGTCTAGATCCTGAGATTAGCTCTATCATGAGTTTCCCAAATCTTACCCCGGAAGATTGATTTTTCCTAGTGGCCAATGCTACGGTGCTTCTAGACTTGGGGCCTTCCCGTTATCGCCACTTCGGGAGGCCCGCAAAATAGACACGCGTGCGCCTGGACAATCCGCAAGAACCTCCCATGAGTAGTGAAGAGTCATCTGCTACTTCATCCATGCAACCAATTACAGCCACCCACTTGGCTAGCTCAACTCGTTCAGCCACATTCGGATATCTTCTTGCGGTCAACCGAGCACACACAGCTTGAGAGGCCACCAAGACATGCGATCCCGTCTCCAGGTGCATTGGGGGAAACCCCGCGAGTTACAATGTGTGTGTTTCTGATTCGCTCAATGCGACCCCTCCCATCCCGACTAAGGTACCTCGCTTTATGCAGGCGACCTGCAGCACATGTAACTTTTATTGAGCAACAAGCGTAGCTACGGTGGTTGTCAGTCCAGCCACTCCAACACAAGATCGCGGCCGGGGGCATCGTTTCCTTTTTTATTATATATCTCTTGAAAGATGGTCCCACGCAAAAATGGAACGCCATTCTTTAAGCGACTTCCAAGGTTTGTCTAAGCTGTTTCCTCGAGGATTTTGAGCATTACGACATGACCATCATTCAATGGCAGTTGTCCCTGGTTGGAAAACACACAATGTCCGCACATACCCTCATGAACTGCCAGGAAATACCTCAGAGAATACCCCATTACCCTTTGAGTATTCGGGTACTAGTATTTGAGGATCCACGTCAATTCCAGAGTTGCCAAAGGGCTGTATCTCCCCATGAGCTCCAAGGCTGATCTATACTGTAAAGTTGATTGACTAGGTCTCGCACTCGCAACATATATCTAGTTTGCCTCTGAACTCAAAACTAGTAAAACCCGACCGGCGACCATTCGGGTTGTATCGCTAGCAGAGAGTGCCTCAAAATCGCGGCCCTATATCATGGTTTAGAACACACGCATATAACTTCAGTTGATGGATAAAAAGAGGGAGCGCCACAGTGGGGAGGGTGGGGTTGCCCCAAGAGGTGGAGTCCCCACCATTTGAGGGAAACCATTATAGGATCTGCGATCCCTCGGCCACCTAGCTCGTCTATGGACCAGGGTACAAGTAAAAAATTCTGCATGGTATGATGGCTGGGAGCATGCAAATATTTGAACAAGAGGAAGACATCAAGAAACATGGTCAGTAAAGATGGAGAACAGTAACCTACGCCTCTTCTACATCAGATTGATGCACCTTGCACTCCAGCATGAAATTCGAATCCGACATCATTCAGAGCGACGAAACAAACATTCATGAGACTATTATCTATTAGTCCACTTGCGAATTAAGAGCAGTCAGTAGGCCAATACCTTGACTTATTCCTCCGGCGTATGAGTTCCCATAAGCTAAGAGTACATTGGACCTTAGCACTGGTTACAATGTTATGCATTCGATGTCATTTCACAAATCTCGTTCGGATAACGATTTGGTAAGTACTAACAATAGCAAAATCCATGCCCTCGATACTTCGCCGCCATGGTATACCGAACCTCCTGAACGGTCTCTTTGGCCGTGGAAGACATTAATGGGGCGATCGATGGGGTGCATGAAACCATGATTTACAGCACGACGATTGGCACCTGCCCTGAATGGCATCCTCGCCTCTTTAGATCCATGAGCAGGTTTTAGTGTTCTAGCGCTCAAAATACGGCCTATACCCTGTATGGAGCAATTTGTGGCAGGCAAGATCAATCTATCGAACAAGGCCGCACAAAGGACGAGGCGACAGCTGGTACTTCTACAGCTCGGGCTTTCGAATCGAAAAATTCTTAGAAGAGCGCGACAGGACCCCGGCACTGTCACAAACCCCCACAATTTCATCGTGGGAGAGTCTAATGTGATTGCTGGGATACTGTGGTGTCTGACGAAAAACCTAAGCACGTTGGAGAAGTCGACGAAGGAGTATGGCGAGTTTGTTCCTCGCGATGGGAGTAGCTCATCGACGGAGTTTAGAGAGAGCGCACAACCTGTTACCAGGCTGTTGTTAATGGAGCCCTCCAAACGCATACCACGACAGGCCTTCCAGTGGGGAGTGAAGAGCCGGCGGAGGGATGGGATCCAAAGGTCAGATCTTCCCTTCAGGAACCACCATGTGTATTGACGCTGGAGTGCCCATTATAATGAGTCATTATTTCCAGATCCCTGAGGAGGTTTCCCGTCCAGAGAGGTGGCTTGGGGCAGAGAAGGACCTGGAACGGATGAAAAAGATGAGCAACACATATATGCAGCTGGGTCGACACCCAATTACCAAAGATCAACTTTAAGTATCGCAGCAATTGCTAATTCTCCTGTGCAGTCCGGGCTAGAAATGACGAAATGCCTGGGGAAAAACATATTCGTACACAGGAGATCCCCAAGTTAGTACCTCGACTTGTGCGAGATTAGCCTTGTTCCTGTAGGGTAGATGATGCCCACTTGGAATTATTAGTCACAACCCCGAGGTGCGGTGGAGTCACGAGAATACTAGTCTCTGAATGGAGAGTTCCATCTAGGTTTCTTCTTGTTTGTAGTTTCATCTGAACTGTTAGCGGGGTTGACCCCTTGAAACACACCTGGAACAGGTGGAGATGGAGAGCTCCCATTCGCGAGGTCCTCCGTATGATTAACTATGATTAACGGCGTGGCTTGTGAAAAGGTACAATTCCCTTTGATGCTGCAACTAATTTAGCTCTGCGGAGACATTGTAGGTATAGGTAGGAACCCGCGCAGGGAAGACGCAGGGCGAGAAACAGAGCAGAACAAAACGGAGATAAACGATGATCGACAGGCCCGTGCAAACTTGAAGTACAGACCCCCATCTAGGACCCCTGAGTGGCTCTCAACTTGACAGGGGTGTCCTGAGTCGTTTTTTTTTTCTTATGTGTGTGATAGAAATTGAAGCCGGAGCATCGTGTACGAGTATGGCGTCCAAAGATCTCATTCGTAGGGGGGTTTCCCCAATAAACGCCCCCACTTCAGCTTTGCCGGATGACTTTCGAACTTTGGGAAAAAAAGAGAGCCTCATCCTCTCCTCTTTTCCCCTCAGAAAGCTTCCATCTTCCCTTTCCCTCGCCCTCATCGCCAACTCGATCCCACCTCGAGAAGCATCGGGTGTCTCTCTTTCAGACTTGACGATTCACGATTTCTTCTTCTCCACGCGTCCTTTCTCCGATACTCCGATCCTGGTCCCGAATCTCAAACCTTCACCTCGAATCTTCGACGACCGCCTCCCCTCGTCTCTCACCGAAGGCTTCACAACCACACGCGAGTCGCAAGATTCTTTTCGTGGCGCCCTGGCCAAGTGATATTGTTGCCATCCTGAAGCCCGTGCTCCGTCCCCACCCGCCGTGCGGCCGCACTTGCGAACCTTGCTCCCACGATCCGCATTCATCGCCGCATCCCCGCCCGTCGATGGCACCTTTCTGGCGGTCTCGTTTGGATTTTCACAATCGGCGATTGCATTGAAGCTTTAGTATCTCACCCCCTGCAGACGCCCCTCTGCCGGGTCTGAGGTCCGCTTCCTATTCATCCGCGCCTCGGCCGCCAAGTCAGCTCCGACCACCCGCATATCGCTCCCCTCCCTGACAACCCCCGTCCGAATAAGCGCTCCGACGAATGGTGGTTCACGCGACATTATCCCAACCCCTACACATTCAGCTGGCTGTGTCTTGAATAGTTTCCCCACGTCGGGGTTCGACCGAGTCCGGGAGTAGCCATGCCCGCGTGGGAACACGAACAGGCGAACCGACAGGGCTCTGGGAGCTCTGGGAATACGAGCTGGATCTCACAAGAAACTGTACGGAATAGTGATGGGTCTCGACGGCCCAGAAACCAAGCCTCGCCCAACGGTCGCAATACCGAACCCTTTCCAGGGACGCTGATGGAGAAGTAAGCTCTTCCCACCCACGAACTCTGGGTTCTCGACAAGTGTCTGGAGTGGCGCGAAACTCTCTAAGATGTGGCTGCTAACACATGAACCAGGTCTGCGTCTGCTCAAGGAAACAGAATTGACTGGGAACGTTCGGCGTGGTCTTGGAAAAGCAGCTCCCCTGATATTTCACCCACTGAAGAACGAAAAGGCTCAGGCTTCAGTAACCACCGCAAAGCTCTGGCTGTTCTTGGTGCCGACGATGCTGCTCGATCATATGCCCCAAGTCCGCGACCTGCCCCCATCCAACCGTCCCGCTCCATCCCAGACGACGAGACCGAATCGATTGCTCCCTGGGCCACAACCGCTGGTTCGGAAGGCCCCGGCACTTTCTTCCATGATTACTCCGAGCATGAAGCATCGCCTTCATCAGCTACTTTCCGGCCTCTTACGGGAAGAACGTTCGCTAGCGAGCCGGCCGAGTTGGACTACACACCGGAGACTCGGAGACCGTCTACGGCTAGTATGACCAGCGGTGGTAGCCAAGGATCCAAGTCAAGTACTAGCCACAAGCCATGGAAAAAGAAACCGAAGGGCTTGCCTGCCGATGAATATCCGATTCCAGACGACATTGATGACAGCCAGCTGAATCCTTACAGTCTCCGAGGGCCGATCAACCACCTGAAAGCTCGAGAAAGGGCCAACTCTGATGGATCTGATGGATCGCGACCCACGCGACCGAGAGGACTAGAAAATCAATTGCCTTCTAGTGATATCACACCATGGGTTTATCAAAGCTTTAATGACATCCCTCAATATGGTGAAGCTCCGGTCCGCAACCGACCAATCGGGCCTGACGGCAAGCGTCTTGATATCGGCAGTGGCACTAGTACAGCCCGTTCTGGGACAAGAGATAGCCATCGAAGAGCTGCCAATGGTCACAGGCACTCTCGAAGCAAGGAGGAAAAGACCACCATGGCTGGCGATCTTGCTGAATACCAACATCGTCCTTCCACAGGTCGAGACGACTTCTCCGTGGGGTTGAAACCTTTGGGTGACAACTACCTCAGTTCATCGACGGGGACACTCGGTGGTCGATCTACAAGCCCTACCCCGAGTGTTCAAAGTGCCATTTATCGCGAGAGCGGTCAAAGTTCACCCGGTGGTGTACCCAATAAACGTGGTATCCTGCACCGGATTCGACACCTGAAGCCTGGTTCGCACAAACCGTATGAGAGATCAAAGCGTGATGCGTCTCCAAATCGCCGCAGACAGGGAAGCATTGAAGGGACTTCTACTCCTAAATATCCTGAACCAGGAGACCAGGGGCGAAAGGAGTCTGGGAAGGGTCTTGGAATCGGTGCGCGAAAATTTGGCCCTCGACGAGGCTTCAGTAATCTAGCTGGAGACCCCCTATCATCTAAAGATGGCCCAGGAGGAGGTGAAGATGGCAAGCATGTCTTCAAGCTGGACACTGACCTTGGGGATATGCATGATATCCTTCGTTCAGCGTCTCCTGCACGTGTCAAGCAAATTACGGATGGCACAACTACCCCTCGTGAGGATCCAAATAAACTGGATGGGATGCAGCAAGATAGCTGGCATGCGCCCGATAGTTGGCATGTGAAAAGGCCCCAAGATCTAGCTTTGGAAGCTGCGGAGAACCCATCCCTGTCCACCAGTGGCGTTCGTGAGCGTGAGGGGTCTTTCTTCATCCGTGTTTTCCGTATCGATTCGACTTTCGCAACGCTCTCGGCAAATTTGAATGCCACCGTGGCAGAGATCCTCTTCATGCTTGGGCGAAAGTCATTCTTGCAGGATCATCTCAACAATTATGAGATAGTGCTGCGCAAGAACGATTTGTCGCGCCAACTTGACCACAAAGAGCGACCGATTTTGATGCAAAAACAACTCTTAGAGCAGATTGGATACACGGACAAGGATAGGATTGAGGACATTGGGAGAGAAGACCACAGCTATCTATGCCGGTTCATTTTCCTGCCCACAAAGTTGAGCGGCTATACCAGTCTCGAGGCAGACCCTGGGTTCAACAAGATGAACAAATTCAGTCATGTTGATCTCCAGGGGCGAAGCCTGGTCACAATCCCAATCACCCTGTACAAGAAATCGTCTGAGATCATTTCCTTAAACCTGTCAAGGAATCTTTCGCTCGATGTCCCAAAGGATTTCATCCAAAGCTGCATCAATCTTCGAGAAATCAAATTCATCGGCAACGAAGCTTCACAAATTCCGTCAAGTTTCAGCCTGGCGAGTCGATTGACTTTCCTTGATGTGTCGAACAATCTTCTGGATGATCTGGAGCATGCACATCTTGACCAGCTCAAAGGTCTTGTCAGTATCAAGATGGCTAACAACCAGTTGACAAGTCTCCCTACCTATTTTGGGAGCTTTCACTACCTGCGAAGCCTGAACTTGTCATCGAATGGCTTCAAAGTGTTCCCGGAATTCATATGCGAACTACGAAGCTTGGTGGATCTGGACATCAGCTTCAACAGCATTGAAGAATTGCCTAACATTGGCCGTCTTACCACGCTCGAACGCCTATGGATGACAAACAATAATATAAGTGGCACTCTTGATGAATCGTTTCAGAATATGGTCAATCTCAAAGAAATCGATGGACGGTTCAATTCAATCTCCAACATCGATAGTTTGTCAAGTCTTCCTCGCCTTGAGCAGGTTTTGTTTGGACATAATCTGATCTCACGGTTCCGGGGCGCTTTCCCTAAGCTGCGCAGCTTCCATTTGGACCACTGCCCCCTTACGCAATTTGATATTGACTCTTCAATGCCCACCCTCACATCTCTGAACCTTGCATCCGCCAAGCTATCTCAGTTCCGTGATGCCATGTTCGAAAACATACCGAACATCACAAAGCTCATTCTGGACAAGAATCACCTGTCGTCCATTTCGCCTCAGATTGGCAAGCTGCGTCGACTAGAGCGTCTCAGCATCATCAAAAATCCTCTTGCTTCACTGCCTCCTACAATCGGGTGTCTCGTGGAACTGAAAGAGTTCAATCTGCGGGAGTGCAACCTGGCCTCTCTCCCCGAGGAAATTTGGCATTGTTATAAACTTGAGACACTCAACGTCTCGACGAACTTGCTATCAACATTCCCCAAGCACGGCGCCCCACCACCTCAGATACCTGGTGAACCTACTACCACTCCCGCAACAACCCCTGCTATATCTGGTACACCTACCTTCGAGGACTTAGGCCCAATTAATGAGCCTACTCTACGTCGCCCAAGCCAAAACTCTGGCGGAGCTGTCGTAGCCGGTACCCCTCCAAGCACTTCCCTACGGAATCCCTCCATCGCTCCATCTGCAGGGCAGAACCGGAAAGTTTCGACTGCGTCTCGCTCTGCAAACACTGACGCCAGCTCAGCTTCACGAAAGGATTCGAACTTTTCTCAACATGGTGCATCCCAGACGTTTGCCCAATCCCTTCGGAACCTGCTCCTCGCCGACAACCGGCTGGATGATGATATTTTCCGCGAGCTTGCTCGGTTGCCCGAATTACGCGTCGTAAACCTGTCGTATAACGAACTAACAGAGCTGCCTCAAGGTCTACTGAAACGATGGCCGTTGATTTCTGAGCTTTACTTGTCTGGCAATGAATTGACCTCCCTTCCTTCTGATGACCTGGAAGAGGGCAGTAACCTGAAAGTTCTCCACATCAACGCGAACCGATTCCAGGTCCTCCCTGCCGAGCTGTGCAAGGTCAGCAAGCTCTCTATCCTTGATGTTGGAAGCAATGGCTTGAAGTACAACGTGTCGAACTGGCCTTACGATTGGAACTGGAACTGGAACCGAAGCCTGAAGTACTTAAACTTTTCGGGCAACAAGCGCTTGGAGATCAAGCCCAACATAGCCTCGTTAGGACCGACTTCGACGAATGGCACTGATTTGACCGATTTTGCCTCCTTAACGCATCTCCGCGTTCTTGGATTGATGGATGTGACGCTTACCATCCCCACTATTCCCGAAGAGCATGAGGACCGCCGTGTGAGAACGTCTGCCTCTCTTGCAGGATCACTTGCCTATGGAATGGCGGATACGCTTGGCCGGACCGAGCATCTGTCAATTATTGATATGATCGTCCCAAGGCTAAAGCCTGACAATATCGAAACTTTGGTGGGTATGTTCGATGGTCAGATAATGTCAAGCGGCGGTTCTCGGGTCGCGAAATACTTGCATGAACATTTTACCCCGACGTTTTCCCACGAGCTCAAGAAGCTCCAGCGCGATCAGGATGAAACCCCGTTGGATGCCCTCCGGCGGACGTTCTTGGCATTGAATAAGAATATGGCAGGCTCTGCCTACCGGTCAATCGATGATCGTGAGCTTCGCCAGTACCACCGTGGGTCCAGTGCCTCGAAACAGCTCAACCAGGATGACATACTATCTGGTGGTGTCGCTACTGTGTTGTATCTGAACAACATGGATCTGTATGCTGCGAATGTTGGCGACGCACAGGCAATCCTCGTCAAATCGGATGGCTCTCTCCGATACCTGACTCAAGTCCATGACCCTGCTGAAGCAAGCGAACGTGCCCGCATTCGAGCAGCCGGAGGCTTTGTTTCTCGCAATGGAAAGCTGAACGATACTCTTTCTGTTTCACGATGTTTCGGTCACTTCCCAATGATGCCAGCCGTCATTGCAGCACCTTCTACAATGCACACCACCTTGAGCGAGCAAGATGAGATGATCATTATCGCATCAAAGGAGCTCTGGGACTATGTGACGCCTGAACTGGTAGTGGACATCACAAGAGCTGTGCATCCAGATCTTATGTTCGCGGCCCAAAAGCTCCGGGATCTTGCCATCTCGTTTGGTGCGACGAACAAGCTGATGGTCATGATCCTCGGCGTGAGCGAGCTCCAGAAGCGCCAGAAGAAGTGGCCTCGCCCTAGCATGTCCCTTGGCCCGTCCGCATTCCCTGAGGAGCAAATCATGCCGACCAAGGCTCGCAAGAAGACTCGTGATATTCCTGGAGATTCTCGCCTCGCACGGTTCGACTACGTGGAAGCTCCCATCGGCGAATTAGCCATCATTTTCACTGATATCAAGAAATCAACGGGCCTGTGGGAGACTTGCCCTGATGCAATGCGCTCGGCCATTCAGATCCACAATGATATTCTGCGTCGACAGCTTGGAATTATCGGTGGGTATGAAGTCAAGACTGAAGGAGATGCGTTCATGGTTGCATTTGCGACCACCACTGCCGCGTTGCTGTGGTGTTTCAACTGCCAAACCCAGCTCCTTGAGGCGGAATGGCCCACTGAAATCCTCGAGCAGCAGCAGTGCCAAGTCGTTTATGATATGGACAATAACATTATCTTTCGCGGCCTTTCCGTCCGAATGGGAGGCCATTGGGGTGAGCCAGTGTGTGAGAAAGATCCCGTTACCAACCGGATGGACTACTTCGGTCCTATGGTGAACCGGGCGTCTCGTATTTCTGCAGTCGCAGACGGTGGTCAGATCTTTGTCTCCTCTGATTTCATGACGGATATCTCGCGGAATCTCGAGGTATTCGCAGACACGGAGCGCTCGGCGTCGACTGATTCGAATAATAGTCAGCCTCGAGTCGACAGCCTGGGGCACAACATTCGTCGCGAGTTGCAGCAGCTCAATAGCCAAGGTTTCGTGATCAAGGATCAGGGTGAGCGCAAGTTGAAGGGTCTTGAGAACCCTGAACCGCTTTATCTTGTCTATCCTCATGCCTTATCTGGTCGCCTCACGGCGCTAGAAGAGACAACGGAACCAGGCGGCACGGCGAAGGTCAAGCCTGGCTCGGAGCTTGAGCTGAAGACCGACGACATCTGGCGTCTTTGGGAAGTCACTCTGCGCCTGGAGCGTATTTGTGGTGCCCTTGAGACCCCCTCCAAGCCGCGACTCCGGGAACCCAATGTTGCTTTGTTCCACATGGTCAAGAATCATGGAGGCGAGCTGAACGATTCGACGGTCTTAAGCCTGATCGATCAACAGGTCACTCGAATTGAGGTAGGAGTCCCCGTTCTCCATAGATTATATGCATTTGATTGACCTCCATATAGGCAACTGTGAACACACTTGGCGTGCGACACATGCTGCGCCCGTTCCGGTCAGGCGATACTCTTGACGACCACGCCGTTCCGATGGCGGAGGTCATGCAGCAGCTGCAAACGCAACTTGCCGAGTACCGCGCGCTGAAGGAGCAGATGGCCGGGGCTGCAGGCATCCCCGGCGGACCGCCGCCTGCTCCGTACTGTCTCCCCATGGACCATACCCCGAGCGCCGGCAGTAACGCCACCCCCTCCCTGTCGACGTCCTCTTCCTTTCTTCACCTCGATACACAAAAAAGCCCTCCATTATAATGGCTTTCTCCGGCATATAACCCCTAGAGCCCCATACATACAAGCCCTCTTAATTTGCTCCTGGCTTTTGTCAGTTTATATTTGTTTTCCCACTTTCTTATACATGTCTTTTGATTGGTGTTTATGGGCGGGGTCTCTGCAGATTCTTGTATGAAGCATCAGGGCAGGAGCCACGGTTATTTCTTTGAAATCTATATTTCCCGGCTTTGTTTTGAGCTTTTGATATTACCCACATCTCCTGCTAGGTGTATCGCCGAAGACTTGTGAATAACTATCTACATGCAATATAGCCTATCCTCTAAACTTTTCTCCTAACTTGGAAATGCAACTTTCTACATCATAATAGCTGCGCGTATAGGGCCATAGGGCCGGCTCAGGGTTGGTTTATAAATTGGCTAGTCTTACGACCAATGCCGTGACCGCGCAGATCGACCTCTCCCGGAGCTCTTAGCTCCCTCTTTCATATCGATTGATAATCTCCTGATCTTTCTTCGGCCCTTTCACCACATGCCGACTAGTCCAAGTCAACACCTCGCCCGTCGTACTCGAAATACGGAACGAGTACGCCGTACGATACATATCGTTGATGCACAGATGATTCCCCCTCGCAGCCAGAACAGTCGTCTCATTATCGGGCACAGTCGATGACGGAGGGACTGTAGGAGCGATGAATTGTGTCGGAGGCTCCTTATTGTCCGAAGGGGGCGCAACCGCATCCGAGAAATCGAAATTATGGAACAAGTAATCCACCTCCTCAGGCCCCGGCGCAACCTTCACGAACCACACGCTTATCTGCGACGCGTCATTGCTCGAGCGCCAGATATATTTCTTCGTCCAGCGTAGGCCAGCTGGGAGAGCCCCGGCGCCGCCAGATGGGATCTCGCCCTCTTCGCTGTAGAGCCAGTCTGAGTCGGAGTTGGAGAGCGGGGTGAATTGGGCGGTGCCCCGCAGCTCACCATTGAGGTCGTGGGGGTTGTCGCTGCGGAGGGTTCGAGTCAGCTTCCAGCGGCAGCCTCCCAGGGAGGTTATGAGGGATGCGAGGGGGCGAGCCATGGTGGGTTAGGGGTCCAAGAGGTGTTTCATGGTGGAGGAGAAGTTGGCGGCAGAAGCAAGATTCCCCGCCTCTTCTTTACACAAAGCCGGAGCTAAAACATAAACGAAGTCTCATAGAGACATTATCCTTGCTACAAGGAATCTCGAAAGTCAACTTTTTTTACAGATTCAGCATTCATCATATGATAACCCAGTTTCCCATACCTGGGGCTCCTTATCGACTGCATATACGGGGATATTGTATGGACTATTGGAGCGCAGCAACCAGTTCCTCCACACTCTTCATCTCGCGCCCATTGTTTTCGCCCACATCAAGAGCCACCAGAACACGACTCACGCAGTTATACCCCGCAATCCCAGTCGTCAATTCCACAATCTCCCGGTCATTGAACCCCACCGTCTTCAGCTGCGCAAACACCTCGTCCTCAACCTTGATGGTTTTCGTCATCTGATCCGCGTAGCGTAGTACGGCCTTCTGCTGCGCCGTAAGAGCGCTGTTCTGCAACTGACTCAAGTCCCCCTCAGCAGTTGAAGGCAGAGCCCTACAGGCCTGCATCGCCTCCGGCTTGACCCCGCCCTTCAAAGCAAGCGGGGCATGCGCATTCCACTCGTAGACCGCCCCGTTGAGCACCGCAACCCGGCACACGGCCAATTCTAGGATTCCCTGGTCCACGACCGTCTCCGATCGGATCGCGCCCAAGAAGCTGTTCCAGCCATTGGCGACCGGGGGGCTGTGCAAGAGAGACAAGTCAAGCGGGATCAGCGGGCGAGGGTGGCGGCGCTCTGCGATGCGCGCGTAGATCTCGGCCGTGCCGGCGGGCGCATCGGCGGGCGGGGTGTTGGGGGCGTAGGGGGAGCCTCATGGTGGTGGGGAGGGTCGGGAGGATGTTACTGCGAGCAACGTGTGACTTTTATCCAAGAGGGAGCCCGATGCTCTTATGGAGCCCTGGGGCGAAGATCCGAGAGGCATGCCAGTGCCGAATCTCGATTCCGTTTCTTCCGCGGTTGGGTTCCGCGGGTAAGCTCTTAACTCTTTTACCTCTGTACTCGGTCGTGCGTCTATCTTTTGGAGTGGTGGCTCAATTGTCGAAATGCTTATATTTGTCTATAAAATGCCGCTATCCCTATGCCTTTCCGCCTGTTTCTGAGATGTCCATCCATCGCTCAACTTCCTTACCTTGGTAAGGTGGTTAACCTTTATAGGGGACTTGACTAGTGGATCTGTTATACACGAAGATTAGGCCTAACCCTATTTTGCTCTAACCCGTGCGGAGGGATTCTCACTACTAACCCAAAAAAGGAAAAAAAGGAAAAAAAGACGACAAGAGTGAGATTTGAACTCACGCGTGCGAACACATATGATTCCTGATAGCGGGAACGCTAAGCAGATTCGAGTCATACCCCTTAACCGCTCGGGCATCTTGCCGGCAGTATTATTATTCATCCACTTATTGCATTATTACTTTGAGATACCGTTATGGGCCCGTTATACTAGATTTTGAGACTCCAAATGACGGGTAGAAAACACTGGACTCGCTCATACTGATCATTGTGGTTAGCATTATGGCATGACTGCCTTCCATGTTGCATCTGATCAATGGTTGTCTTTTATGCTCTTACGCGCTCCAGACTTGATTCAGAGAGAAGAACCAATCATAGAACTGCAATGATCTCACCTTATCATGCTGACGCCCGGGACAAATCTCACGTTCTGTCAGCCGGCATGAATCGCACACTTGAAGAAACTAGACTGCCTTCCTCGCCGCAAAGCTATCTAGATCGAATACCCAAACGAGGAACCCATGACTATGGCCGACTTCGAATACATTTCTCTCACCACGAAGCCGTCAGCTAAGATATGCTTTCGATTCCACGATCCCATATCCGAAGAGAAGCCCGTCTTGATCGTGTTTCTCAACGGCCTTGGACTACCCCAAGAGGCCTGGTCTCCTACGATCACCAGACTGAAAGAACTCCGTCAGTCATGCAGGATGCCGGCTATACTGACCTATGATCGTTATGGTCAGGGCTTAACGATCGACCGCGACCCGAACGATGCCGGGGCTGTGGACCCCACCAAGGCCCACGATGCGGTCGCCGTGATCCAGGACCTGAGACAGCTGATTGTTCAAGTCGCCAGCGCAAGAATGGGTATTACCGACATTAGCCATCTCAGCCTTGTCTTCGTGGCCAACTCTATTGGGTGTGCGCTGGGTCGCCTTTTCGCACAAGAGTATCCCGGCCTGGTAGCGGCCTTGCTGCTGCTAGACAGCTACATCGCCAATACGGACTTTGTGTCCGCTTATCCAGACCCGGATGCGCCAGGCTTTGACCCAAGCACTCTCCCGCGGGGCGTCACTCCAGAGAATCTTCATACGACTCGTGAAGGCATGAGACGGTTGTTCCACCCCGATGTGGGTAACCAGGAGGGATTCAGCAGACACAATTTCCCCACTCTCCTGCCAAAGAGCGATAGGCCTTTGCTCGAGGGACCAGGGGGGGAAGAGACCGTTCGTCGTTGTTATTGGTCATGATTTTGACGTCTTTGCTGCGGAGACTACGAGAATGGGTGCCACAGAGGCAGTCACAAACGCTTATCTAAACCCTTACTGGCACAAGTATAACGAAGGTCTGGCGCACATCACCGATCCAGACAGAAGTAGGGGACCAATCCAGGCACCCAACGCTGGCCACTTTATACAGCGGGATAACCCTGATTTGGTAGCTCATGAGTTGGATACTCTCCTTCGGAAACTTTCATAATGCACTCTGAATCTTCACGCTTATACATTCATGCGATAGCCACTGAATTCAACATAAGACTACATCACGATCGATTTATAAAATCTCAGTCTGAGTGAGTCATGGCTACTTGACCTAACGTAATGTAATGGCGAGCTACTTTTGACCTTCCACCCCTTTTTAATCACACATTTCGTGGGAAGAAGTCACCAACATGTAGCTCTGTCGATCTATCTTGAAAACGATCACTCAATTGAGACCGGGATGTATCAATCTGGTCTTCCATTTCTGTGATAAGTTACAAAGGTAGTTCTCATTTCACTTCACCACGAACCATAAACTTAGGTTAGTACTATTCATAGCGTGCCATCAATTTGTTTCCCAGAACCTTTGCCGGGAATTCCTCCTCCCCCAGTGTCGTCGTGTGTGCCCAAGGCTTCAAAGAATTCTCTTTTCTGATCGTCTGTGCAAAGCAGTTACTCCAGTCTCAGCCGCGGATAGCTCTTCACAACATCCGCGATCGTAGCCTCGTGGACAAGGTCTTCGTACAGTCCAGTGTTGTCTGTGAGGCATTAGACCTAGTGACCACCGCTAGTCTTACGTCCCACATGGTTCTCACTCACCGAATATTGTCCCGAGCTGAAGAAGCTGCCCGACGGCAGTAATCTTGCCTTTCTCACACAAATCCTGGTGCCGGATGATAGCTTCAGCCACCCCCTCAGCTTGCTCCCTTGGAGCAACAGAGGTGTGAGTGGGGCTCTGGAGGACATCCAGAGCGATCAGACCCCCGTGAAACTCGAAGCTGAGTTTCGTTGCCTGCAGATTCTCGTCTGTCGTACCTATGTCATGTAGGAGACAAGACAGGAAGTAGGTCTCGTCAGAGAAGTGCCATTCGGGGAAGCGGTATCGCTTTATCGCCAGACCATAATGGTAGACACGCAGTGAGTGGTTGTAGACAGGCAACGGGAGGCGAGATTTGACATAGTCATTGATGCGCTGGGCTAGTGCCGTCTTGGGGACCGGCGTTTCAGCAACGGATGTGAACACAGGTCCTGTGGACGGGGCATCAGTGGCCAAAAGCTTGGTCGCCGAGGAGTCGACCGCAGTAAACCCGTATTCTTTGATGGGATCCATTTTGAATGAAGCCTGATCCCAAAACTGTTGGAGATTCTGGAACTGAGAGAAGCACAAGATTGTGCAAGACGGAGATCTGTCGAGTAGCCTTGGCCGCTTTTATGATCTTTTTGCGCTGACTCCTACCAGTGAGACTTATAGATCCAGGAAGATCCAGATGTCGGAATTGGTCAGCTTGGAATTGGTCATCTGCGGGATTGGTAGTTACAACGAGATGTCACAACCCCAATGAAGTGATGATGACGGGATCCACTTGCGTTTTCTACCAACAACTTCCTAATCAGGACTGGATCTTGAAAAGGTGTGCCACGGCATAGCGAATTGAGGCTCATGTATATTCCCGATGCTTCGGATGTCAAGGAATGGCCGGATTACTCTATGTCGCTGCTAGTACTTGGCGAGACATGACGGCGACGCGAACGCGGTTACAGCGCGGCGGTTGATCCAGGATCGGGATTCGACTGTAATTTGGCTCCATAATACAGAGATCAAACATGATATATACAAAAACGCTGAATGTGAAATCCTGCAATAAAGAGACTAAAGAGATCTACCACCCTTCCAAGGCAGTAGCTTTAACAACGACGCCGTCTCTGGGGGCGGCTGTCGCTCCCTCCCGCACCTCTAACTTGGCGTTGGGGTCTTGTAACTCGAATGCAAAACTTCCCACCACAGCTGCCACTAGGCATGCCAGCTCCGACTTAGAGAAACCCTGTCCGATGCAGCTACGAGGTCCGTGGATGAAACTCAAGAAGGCATAGTTGTTGGTCGCTCCACCCGTGTTGGCCTTGCCTGGCCCCATCCACCGATCTGGGTTGAATTCATTTGCGTCTGGGCCCCAGAACTCTGTCATATGGTTGACAAGCTCCGGTGAAATGACAAATCTGGTACCCTTTGGGATATGCTTCCCCACAAGGGTAGTGTCGGTGGCAGCCTCGCGGACCGTCATAGGAACAGAAGGGTGGAAGCGCAACACCTCGTTGCAGACGGCGTGGAGATATGGTAGGTTGTCGATGGTGGTTGCGTCGATGGCCTGTGGGTTGTCGATCAAAATGGATGGTAAATTGGCGCGGACCTCTTCACGCAGCCGAGCCTGGACATCTTGATTCTTCGATAGGGCGTAGATCGACCACTGAAGGGCAGTGGAGGTGGTTTCGTGGCCAGCAGCGAGGAAAGTCATGACTTGTTCGACCAAATTATCTTCGTCAAAGGTGCCACTCTGAATTGCGACTGAGATGATATCGACACCATGATCAGCGTTAGGATCTGCCAACTTAGCTTTGGCTCCTTCGATCATTTGTCGCGCCACGTTGCGGATGTATGCGCCACTTTCATCCACAGCTTTGGCCCGGGATGTGGGTAGATTTCTCAAAAGTATATTGTCGCCAAAAAAGACGGTTGCCATGAATGTTAGCTTGGTCAAAAGACCCCGATCCTGGAAGATTCTCTGGTATGCCGCGTTGAGGGGATTATCGGGATTCTGCAACGAGTCAAAATCGTGGCCCATTCCTGCTACACCGATGATGTCCAGAGTAGCGCGGCTGGCATAGTCCTTTACTGTGAGCACGCCATCTGTGGTTGCCGCTAAATCCTTGCGCATCAGTCGCACCATCTCGATGCTCTTGGACCAAAATATGGGGTAGAGGTCCTTTATATGGCGGTAGGCGAATGCGGGCATCAGGCTTTTACGTTGCCACTAGAGTTTCATCAGTTTGAGGCAGTCTCAAGGATGGGATTTTACCATAGCGTACCCGATGGTCATCGCCCTCTGCGGTCAACATCCCATAGCCCACTGCTCTGCCCAACGCCCGACGTGTGAGTGCTGGTTTGACGAATTCATACGACTTCGTGACCAAGAGCTCGCTGAGAGCTTTGGCACTGGTCACTGTAAGTCGTTCGAAGTTGCCGACTGTGTAGTAACGGATCAGGCCTTCATTAGGGAGTGCCTTGACCCATTCTTTCATTCTAGCATGAGGAGTATCCAAGAACCAGGAATCGGTGTTACCCCTCAGCAATGTTCGGCCCTACACTATGTCAGTCCGACTGGTAAGTCTCGGTAGATGCGATATGAACCCACGGGAGGCGTCTGGATATCTCTGAGAGGGGTGAAGTAGCTGGGATACAGGATGAGTTGGTAGATGGCTCTTGATACGTTGATAATAGTGAAAAATAGCAAGACCGTTATGACTCTAGAATCATATATGGCGTATTCCGGCTTGAGATAAACGGCCGCCAGAATGCCCAGGTAGAGGAGGGGAATATTGTCGCTGATTTGCCCCATTTTATGGCTAGATTTTTATTCTTCTGCTTCCTTGCAGGGCTTCGTGTTTCATCCGAATGATGGGCAGCGATACTCCGCGCCAGGATGAAAAGGTCGTTGGTTGCAGAACCAATGGGTGAGGTTGGCGCGAAGTGGATAATATGGCGAGTCACCCCGTGCTTGAACAAATACTAATAATGGGCCCCAGTCTCCACCTGAGAGGGGCGACACACGAGATAGATCTAATCAAGCACGACTTGCGATGTCGGAGTCATTGGGCAAAACGTCGAATATATATGAAGAATACAGATTGCCCCGGAATGTGATATCGAACAGGCGGGGCGGAATTTTGTGTTGGTCCGAAATGCGATTGACAGAAGTTGTACTCGCAAAGCCTACTCGATCCGGTTACGCGGGATCGTGGGCCCATGCAGAACGCATCCATACGCAGTACACGATGCGTCCAATGACAAGCCCCGCGTTACGGGCCCAAGGCGGCCTTCGGCAGCCGTTTCTCCCGGATGACTCGCAAGCTTTGCCTTAAAATACCTGGTCCTCCTATGAGCACTATGATCCCTGTATAGGCAACTCTTGCGGCGCCTTAGCCCAACCTACGAGGCTGGCATCTATAGATGTCTATAAGACCGCGGTCGGCAACCGGAGTCGGTCACTGTATACGTCTTCGACTTCCAACGACACTTTCCATGCGTCAGGACTAGACCGAAAGAGGATACCAATTCATTCGGTTCGCCAGGTTGCGAACGTTTCTGATCGTAGAATGCCAAAGACCGACCGGCATTCCATAGACAACAACTCGCGATCGCGCCTGCGTGTGTCGTCTCCGCATGGAGCAATACGTTTTCTATGTTAACGTAGAGGCTACCTGATTGAACTGTGAATTGGCGCATAGGCCTTATCAGGAATATGATGTTTCTCGATATCCTACCAGTACTACGTCAACTCCTTCCCCGCCGGATAGGACTGGTAGATTGGAGTGCTTCTAAGTCTGAGTGTCTGAAGCAACTTGTTCTGATTCCTGCTGTTGGACCGCGAGCTTCGCGACTATGAAAATGAGAGGCGGGGCAATTGCGGCCATCTGATATATTAGTAGTATAAACTCGGAGATGTCTTTCACTAACTGGAACGACGGCGAGATACCGAACCGCCGATGACCTTCCAATAGTACATCTGTACGGATAATTAAGGAAGATATAATCCCGAGAGGTACGATGAACTCAAGCTTGAGATGCCGATTGACTTCTGTGCCACTACCATGAAGGATCTGCCAGGTGACAATAAACTAGTAAAGGGTCGCGACATCGCATGTTTATTTCACCTCAAGAGTAAGAGGAATACTTCTAGTTCTCAAGTAGAATTCTAGCCTCCGGCCAAACTCTTACATCTTCCCGGACCTCTTCTTCAAGTAGGGACCTCCACCCCGGCTTGCGAAACCCCAACGAATCTGGTTCGCCATCGAAATTTCCACATCGAGCTCTTCAGCCCACGTCCATACCAAACCTGGATTCTTTTGGAATCCGCGACCTACCAGGACAAAGTCGAGTCCTTGCTTTTCCACCAGGTCATTGGCAAGATGTGCGGATTCAATCATACCAACACTGCCAACCTTGAGCTTGTCCCCAACAGCTTTCTTCACCGCAACCGCGAATGGAGCCTGGAAAGCAGGCTTGGCATGAATGTGTTGACGGTTATGGTTACCACCACTGCTGATATCCAGCACATCCACATTCCCACTATCCGCAAGGGCCTTTGCAAAACGCACGGTATCCTCACTACGCCAACTTGGCTCGTTAGGAAGAACCTCCTCAAGCCAATCCGTGGCCGACACACGAAGGAACACAGGCATATCCTTGGGCACAGCATCGCGAGTCAACTGTGCGATCTCAAGAGACAGTCTGATTCTATTCTCAAAGCTTCCACCATACTCATCCGTGCGGTTGTTCGTGGCCGGGGACAAAAAGCTCGAAAGGAGATACCCATGCGCGTTGTGAATCTCCACAAAATCCGCTCCGGCCTTCACAGCCCGCTTCACGGCGGCCACCCAATCCTTCTTCAGTTGCTCGATATCAGCTTTGCTGACGGCCTTCGGCGTCGGGAACTTGTCCGAGAAAGGAATGTTGCTGGGCCCGATCACCCTGTCCGGCCAGCCGTTCACAGCCTCGGTGGCCGTATCCCCCGCACTGAGCCACGGGGCCACGGTGCTCGCTTTGCGGCCAGCATGGGCAATCTGAACGCCGATAAGCTGGTTCTGGCTGTGCACGAATTCAATGACGCGGCGGAGAGGCTCGATCTGAGAGTCCTTCCAGAGGCCGTGGTCCTCTGGTGTGATCCGGCCTTCCGCTTGCACGGCGGTTGCTTCGACCATGAGCAGTCCTGGGCCGCGCTGCGCGATGCCGCCCAGGTGTGCCATGTGCCAATCTGTCATGTGGCCATCCTGGGCGCTGTATTGGCACAGTGGGGAAAGCTACACATAAGATACTTCAGTAAATGCCACGGTTCTCACGGACGTGAGAAAGTATGCTCTGATCCACTTACCCCGATACGATTATGGAATGTCAGTCCTCGGACTTTCCAAGGCTGGAATAATTTGGGCGGTTGGGTCCCATCGGACTGTGGATTTGCTGCGGAGCCGGCCGGGGGGACTTGTGCCGGGGTGAAATATGAGATGCCCGCGGCAGGTTTGTTGGCGATATCGGGGCGGGCAGTTTGGGCCATTGTGGTGTTCCGTTTCGCAAGTTGAGGAAGTGATGTTGAGCGAGCGAAGAAGAGGGACTGGAAAACAGAGTAAAGGGGAGACTTCGGCTAAAAGGGCAAACCCATAATTATTGCTTTGAAATCAGAGCATTTAAGTTACCTGGTTATATCATTACGCAGTACTCTTCAACGACGTCATACTTAGATGGATCCCGTCCACTTCGATGATTAATTCCTAGTATCGTTGCCACCGGGCATCCAAACAGCGAACCAGAGTCCTTTAATTAGCAGCTCATAGATAATTGTGATTTTCGATAAAGACCCTGGATTAATGACACTTACTAGGACAGCCGGTTTCCAGAACCAGCTTCCGAGCCGGTGGACTAACTCTAAAGCTGTCCTACCGTGCACGGATCGTCGAAAGTGGGGGGAAATGGAGCCCGTCTCCCTCATCAATTGATTACCTTGTCCTTGGACTGAATGAGAAAGAAATGGAATGTCCTAGAGTCACCAAAGAAAACTCGAATCGGGGGACTATCATGAAGTCAGTCTTCAGACCAGATCCCGCTCGGGATATGCCAAGTAGCATTCCAACGCTGGTGACGTCCTTGCGCAGACAAAGTCGTTCAAGACCACATAGAAGTGACGGTAGCCCTGGAGACGAGATCTTTGCTTATCGGAACCATTGATCATTGCTTTAAAGAGGAAGTCTCATATATCTGTAAAGCTTCATCTTAGTCCCCTTCTCTATTGTCTGTCTTCTGGATATTGCTGTGCAAAGGGCAAATATGCCCATAACCCTAGAAAGGGATTTGTTGGGTGTGCCGGATGCCCTATCTGACTTGCGTATCGCCATGACACAGATACCAATTATTCGGCTCCCCCATCTATGTTGATATAATCTAAAAACAAAAAAGGCTCCTTAACAGGAGCTACTGTTGTCTTTGGATTCTTGTGCAGCTACACCAACGCTAACGTTAACGCCAACGCCGACGCAAGCTACGGCGGGGAAAAAGACTACGGCATCGACACACACTCCAGCACCAATGGCCCCATCTCCTCCCATACTGGACCATTTCAGGCGGGATCGCCGGTGGAGCAGCAGGCTTTAGCTCTTTCAGCCGGAGTCTTGTGGTTTTTTTTTTACGTCGCCGAAATAAAGTGCAAGATATTACACCCGGTCCTAAAACTCCCCATATCGAAAAGCCTCCCGAGGGACAAAGAATCTCTAAGCCGTCAGAGCTTCAACCTGAGAATTTGCTATCAGAACTCTATATCGACGAAAGGACGAAGAGTAAGGAGTTTTCGAAATTTCCGGGGGGGAGGGTATATATCCTTTAAGTAAGACCCAAAGGAGTGACAGTCCATTGCGGATAGAAATATTTCAATCCTTGCACATGGTAGGGCTCCACCTCCATCTATGTTCAAGACACAATTACTACCTCGTTGGCTTCTCAATAGTGTTCAATTGGCAGAGTAGAGGGACCGCGGAGAGGGTGCCCTGGGAAATGACATGCATATATATTTAAACGAGGGAATGAGATTCTCACGGTGGAAAACGAGTGAATAGTTCGTGACTAGAATTTTTTCGTAGACCATAGGTCAACTGGGCAGGATAACGTATGCGGACTTCACCGGGACACAGACACAGAGTGCCTAGATGTTCATCAGCCTCCCGAGCTATCGCAGCCAAGAGCAGGATCACAGTCGACGGGTCCGTGACCACTGGATGATAAGCCAATGACAGTTGACGAGCCGCCCGCGACTTGAGGGCCACTTTTAGATCCAGGAATACCCACCGGAGTCCATTTGCGACCGGGGGCGGCCCATGGAGAGCGCATAGAATGACGAGCCCTGTCAACCTGTCAAACGCTAGGAACAGGACGCCGTGAACAGGAATCAGACGTCCCAGCCGCTCAGTGGTTGGATTGGGGAGGCGCGCGGAGTGAATGGACCTATTTGTGCTTCAAGTTGGGTGATGAAGTGGGGCCTGTGGGGCCTGCTGTTGCGTTGGACTGGGGCGCGTTTGCAGGGGTCAGTCTTCAGGAACCGCTGGAACATGCCTACAAAACAATCCCCTGATGGCCAAGTTTTGAAAAGCGCTAGAGCTGATGAGGATGCGCGAGGAATGGTTATCTGCAGACTGTAAAATCCAAACAATCTTGAGATCAAGTGCCGGGGGGTGCTAGCGCAAAGTAGTCGAGCTCCCACTATCAGCCCTAGGACGGCTCTGCTCCACCGGGGGTTCGTTTACAAAAGTGTTTCATCCCCCTTCATCCCCCTCTCTCGATTGTTCACCTCCCCCAGCCTGTCAGCCTCATTCCTTGGACACTCTTTTTCCCGTGATTAGCGCTCTCCAGAGCGACACACTCTTTTATTACGCGCCTGTCATTCCTTCTCCGCAATCCGACTTGCGGCTGCCCGAACCCACTCTTACCCCTTTCTTGGCATCGCTCAGCGCTTCCAGCGTCGATCCATTGGGCTCGTGCCTCGAGCGGCGTGAATGCCATCCTGAAACACCAGTGCCTTATTATCATTTAACGGAACCGCCCACCTTCTTTGCACCTTCCATTCCTCATCCCTGCCATCCGCGGTGATGTGCCACTTGCGCGGTTAAGATAACCCCCCAGTCGCTCCTTGGAACATTGGTGTTCGACGTTCTTTTCAACTCATACTGCGATCTGTGACTTTCCCCGGCTGGCCCGAGGAATTTCATGTACCTTCCCACTCGCTCGCAACAATTTGCTTTAGTCTTCCCGATCACTCCCTGGCAGGCCCGGGTCAACCAACACAATGGGTTGCGGTGGAGATCGTGAAAAGGCGGAGGTGACAATGGAGGAGAAATGGGACTTTCTGGTAAGTGAGCACACAGTCGAGGACATAAAGACCCATGCTGATGACTGTCCGAAAATAGAACCTGGATGACTTCCGAGTAAAAACATGCTGGACGCCGTTTTCATATTTCTTCCTCTGGGTCTTTTTAATTGTCTCTATCGCCGTGTATGGTGTCGACATCTTTACCGCCGTCAATCTTCTGGTCTTCTCACACTGGTCCGGCCGTGTTGAGCCTGCCATCCCATTCACAGTCTCTCGCTGGCTTTTCGCCGCCTGTATCATTGCTTCATTAGTTCTGCTGGTCTACCGGTGGATCTTCGCCATTCGTGCCATTCGTTCGAACAGTGTCACTCGTAACTATTTGGATCCCCTCGCAGTGCGCATTCAATGCTTCCGGGTCTTCACTCGGGAGGGCCGCGGCTGGAAACGTTTCCTCGTGTTTGCGGAGTTGACCAAGAGTAAGAAAGGCACCGAAATCGTGGCCTTGTATACCTACTTTGCCTTCCAATGTAAGTCCCTCGGTGCCCACTCTGCGGAATCACGGCTCACCATCACCCCAGTCTGGATGAATACTATTTTCGCGGATGGCCCTCGCCAGGTTATCAATGCGATCACTTTGTATTCCGTTATGAAGGCTGATCTCCTCCCTGGTGGAAAGAACGCTCATGACAACAGCAGTACTGGAATTGAGCAATTCTTCAACAATCTCAAGTTCCTCGCGGAGGAAAACCATCTTCAGGCCGTAGTGCTAGCGGGTATGCTCTTCACCCTGATCATTTGGGTGCTGTCCGTTTTGAAACTCATCTCGGCCGTTATTCTCTACCTGATCTACCTCTTTCATCACATTCCACGGGAAGATGGCAGCCTCAAAGCCTATTGTCGTCGCAAAATCAGCAAGCGACTGATGCGAATTGTCAGGTACAAGGTCGACAAAGCTCTCGCCAAGGGACTGCAGCTGCAGGACCGCATGCCAACTCAGCCCAGTCTCGCGACTATGAACACGAGCCCAACCTTACCTTCGCTGGAGGATAAGGGTCCCATCGTTACTACTATGTCTCGCACGACAACTCAAACAACCTTGGCACCTTCTTTCAAGAGCTCGGCGACCGTGTTGGATAAAGATCCGACGCTGCCAAATCTAGAATTCGAAAAGCCATCGTTGACTCGAACAACGACCCAGTCCTCTGCTATGACAGATTCCGATGCACTATCAGGCACTACTGCAGTGATGGGATACAGTCCCCTTGATCGTCCGAACGCGTCCATGCCCCCTGTTCCACCTCTCCCTACGAACATGCCTAGCCACATGAATTCGACCGCATCGCGACAAACAAATACCCCGACAATTTACGGAAGTGAAAGAAGTCGTGGCACACCGACATCTGGGCATCGTAACCTAACCGATGCTGGCCCTAAGTCTTACCATTCTTACGGTCCTCCTGTTGACCCTTACGCTCCCTCAAGTTCGCCTGCTTTCGAAGACCCTTATTATGAGGAAGCACAGCCCGCTCGATACAACCCTTATGAACCATCTGCGGCTCCCTACGATGCATATGGAAGGACGGGGAACCCCCGTAGCCAAGGGACCGCTCGTGCACCAGCACACCAGCAAGATCCGTACGATGCACGCTCCTTTACCCCCGCCAGCACTGGTGCGACGCCGGCCCCACAAGGGAGCATCCCTCCTTTACGCACCATGACTCCAGCTAGCTATCGTGGTGCACGCACTCCTGGTCCGCAACTGGGTGATCCGGACAATCGTCCACCCCGAGGCTACACGCCTATGGGCGCCGCTGGTCCTACTGGATCTGAGGGTAGTGCTTACACTGCATTTAACCCTTCAAGTACCTCGCCAACAAACTCTCAAGGTCCGCATCCAACCATGCAACGGCCTCCTCCCCAACAGGTTACCAACCCTATACTCGTGCCAACACTGCGTCTCCTGGCACGATGAACCGCAACGGACCTGCCGGGTATTCGTTCAATCGGGCAAATACCGACCAATTTTGATGCCATGTAAAATACCCCATAGAACCTTGGTGCTGTGCCTTCCTTATGACCCAATGATAGAGAGCTGGCTCCTACATGACTAGCAGGCTTTCTTGTCATCATCACCAACGAACAAAGAGCAAACTCGAGCGTTTCCTACCATACCCATACCCATTTGTTATTCCGCGTCTACGGAAATTTTTTTTTGGAAGTGACTGCTTCAACCAACCATCTAATCAATTTCACACCTGCGACTGAACCTTTAGAAATTTTAGATAGATGTAGGCCATCGCATTTAATCGTGTTCATGTTTGGCTGGTTTGTAACACGTGACCATAGGACGTTGCCTGAGGTTGGTTGGCGGTCTCGGAGCTGCCAAATAATTATCTCCCTTATCTCCCGGCTTTCGTGACACTGGCTGCGTGAACGCCGCTACTCAACCTCATTCAACCTCATTACTTCGTCGCTGAATATGCAGCTCGCCTGTTGTACGTCTACATCAACATCAATAAAGATTCTACCGACTGTTAACAATCGACTGGTTTAAAAGCATTAAAATCATAGGAAGAATGCCGACCATACCTCGTGTACCTTGGATGGGACGAATGAACATAAGACGCGGCATTTAATCGACAACCGGCAGATACGAGAGATGAGTCCTACATTAGAGCATGACAGCTCTGGCCCCGGCCAGTCGTATGCCAACCAGAAGACAAAGGAAACTGAGCCCAGTGGCTCGCGATTCGCGCAAGGGCCGAGAAGCGGTGACAGCGGAGAAGCGAGAAGGAGTTCGAGTTTCAAGGGAGAACATACCAACGAATCATCTACGGAGGCTCAAGAGCAGGGCTTGGGTATACTAGTCGAGCAGTCAGCCGATGACACAAACCAGAACGGCCGGCTGTCGGTCGTGAACGTCTTCGAAGGGCCGAAGATCAAGGCTGCGCTCGCTGAGCTTGCCGAAGATGCAGCTGACAGACCAACCGAAGAGAAGGACAAAATTCTTAAGCTATCCCCCGAAAAAATCCAAGAGCTCACATCGTCCCCTGAGTCGATTCCCTACCGTGCCGTGGGGCCGGATATGAACACCGGGCGGAGGGTGGTGTCGGACAACATAAATTCAACCAAGACCGCTCTTGATACCTCTGAAATGCCAGACTTGAGCTTGCGGACTGTCAGCGAAGCGCCCTCATCTCCTCCAGATGAGCCACTGCACATTCGTCCAATGAGAGACCTCAGTGCAGACGAATTGGCAGCCCTGGCAAAGTCAGTAAATGCTGCACAAACGAGCAATGGGCCCATTCGAAATCGGCCAAACGTCCCCCGCACGGTGTCTACCCCTGGCCCTTCGCGGCGGGCCCCTCCTCTCGCCACCCCTACTAACGAGCGCTTGGCCCAAACATGGAACTCCCGCTCCAAGCAAGATCGTCATACGTCAGATCGCGATCTGAAACCCCATCTTGCCACATCTCCTCACCTTGCTGAGACTCCGTTATCTCCTCCCGTGTCTTCAGCAATACCCCTTCCACCGGTCTCCATACCCACTTATCTGCAACTGGAGCTTGCTTCCGGGCGTCCATCGCCGCTCTATATCCACGGCTCAGACGCAAACGAATTTCCGTATGAGTCTTCCAGCGCAAAGATGGAGCGGTTATTGAATTTCCTCATCCTCCCGCCGGCACTTGAGCAAGTTCTTTGTTTTGGAAGCCTGGCTTGCCTGGACGCATGGCTCTATTCCTTCACCATCCTTCCATTGCGATTCATAAAAGCTTTGTACATCTTGTGTGAGTCTTGGGTGATAAACATGCAATCAGAATGCCGATTCCTATGGAAATTTGTGGTCAATGGCATTGGTCGAGTATGGCGAAGGCGGAACAAGACCCCTATAGAGGCCCCACGTGAACGGCGTGAAAGCGAATCCGATTCGACTCCACGTCTCAATGGCCAGGACTCGTTCCAGTCAGATCGAGAGATTCGACACCGGTATTCTGAGCCCCCGAGGAGAAGACATCGCGCCTCTGAATCACGGCGCCACCATCATCGCAGAAAGAAGTCTATGCCCTCGGCTTTGCTACCCGATGATAAGGCTGATATTCTCAACGGGTTCCTTATGATAGCGACCTGCTGTGCATTGATGTACTTTGATGCAAGCAGAATGTATCATTGGATTCGCGGACAAGCTGCGATCAAACTGTACGTGATTTACAATGTTCTTGAGGTACTCGATCGCCTCTTGGCGGCCATCGGGCAAGACGTGCTGGAATGTCTCTTTTCAAGGGAAGCCCTTGAGCGACGCCCTGACGGCCGGAGCAAGATTTTCAGACCGTTCTGGTTATTCTTATTGGCGTTGGCCTACACGGTTGCACATTCAACGTCTCTCTTTTACCAGGTGATGACGCTGAACGTGGCTGTGAACTCCTACTCTAATGCCTTAATCACCCTTCTTTTGTCCAATCAGTTTGTGGAGATCAAGTCGACTGTCTTCCGCAAATTCGAGAAAGAGAATCTTTTCCAACTCACCTGCTCCGATGTCGTGGAACGATTTCAGCTCTGGTTAATGCTTACGATTATCGCATCTCGTAACATCGTCGAAACTGGTGCTTTCAACTTCATTGGCGACTTTGGTCTTGGATCCAATTCTGCTGGGCAGACAATGACGAGCACGAACAGCACACCACTATCGACACCTCCGCGAACGTCATCTTCTATTATCCCAGAATCATTCACGTTCTTTCCGTCATCCATATTCGCCTCCTTCAGCAGCGTCAACTCCTATATTCCCACTTTGGCCCAAGTCCTTGGTCCATTCCTAATTGTCTTGGGGTCTGAAATGTTCGTGGATTGGCTCAAACATGCCTATATCAACAAGTTCAACAACCAAAGACCCAGCCTCTACGGCCGTTATCTCGATGTGCTTGCCAAGGACTACTACACGAATGCCTTTGGCGACCAGAATCTTACGCGCCGCCTGGGTCTCCCAGTCATCCCGTTGTCCTGCCTCTTCTTTCGAGTGTCAGTTCAAACATATCAGATGTTTCTCGCCTCCTTACTTCCCCAGTATCCTTCATCCACGGCGAGGGGATCGACCTCCCTTTCCTCCATCCATAGTCATTACGCCCCTTCTCCGCTCCCCCTCCGCGCCGCCACTGACCCTACAAAACATCCTGCCTGTTTCTGCCACACACATCAACAACTTCTTCCGCACTCTCCTCGAAAACGCAATCCCATCTCCCGCACAGGCGGTGCAGATCTTTACTATTGTCCTCATTCTCACCGGATTCATCGTACTATTGATCCTCAAGTTGGTCCTAGGAATGGGTTTACTTGCCTACGCCCGGTCACGCTACAAGAAAATGAAGAGCGCAGAAACAGAGTCCCGGAGAGCCGTTCATCAGGAGAACCGGGAGTTGGCCCGGAAGGACGAATTTGGCGTGGAAGGTGCCCGGCGCGCTGGCGGCTGGGGTATGATTGAAGTAGGAGACGAGAAAAGAAAGTGGATTTACGGGGATGATGCAGATGGTCTAAAGCGTGTCAAAGAAAAAGAAGAGAAGGACAAGAATAAGGCGCTGGAGATGAATATTGATAGCGTGCATAGGTATGAGATGGTGGCGAAGAAGATTTGGTGAAGATTGCATGTGTCCTGTGTATTCGGTACTCACCCTTCGGTCCAAGAACGGGCTGTCAAAATGCATCGAACAAGAGTTTTCATCACAAGCTTCTATTCCATTGTCCAATGCAGTTTTCATCCCTTGTATAAAATTCCCTCCTAGCACGGCTTGGTATGTCGCGGTGTATGAAATCATGCCAACTCAGGCTCTGTAGCCTGCGGAGCCGGTACCGCCGCTTGGAGCTCCGCAATCTGCTCATCCGTTGGGCGATTCACAATGATCAAGTACAGCATGTCCTAGGTAAAATGATGAGCAAGGGCAACATCGAAAATGGAAACCCTGCGGTGTCTCACCTGATGGAGTAGTGTCAGTCCACCAGACAATAAGGGAACAAGCGGGTTCTCAGCTCTCCGCAGCTCGGAAGCTTCAGGGTTGCTATTCCCTTCTTGCGGCTGCTCTCCCGTCTGTAGATCCTTCTTCTTCTTTCCAAATCTTGGAATGGTAATAGAAGGCATCTCCACATGCCCTCCAGTGATAAGCGCCAGAGGATCACCACTGCTAGCCGGATGGTTAGGGTCAGAAAACCTGCTTGTGAAAGACTCCTTAGGAGCTCCCTTCGCGATGAGGCTGTCCGGATTCTTCCCCGCCCACCTTGCGCGAGCTCTTCGATCCCAATATTCAGTGACGAAATGAGACGATCGCGCGATCACATTGGGCTTCTTGCCATCCTCCCCACCAATTTGTCCAAGTCGGGGAAGACCAGCGGCGCCGTCTCGGGCCATTCACAAGGCGCAATACCGGCCGACGCGTGGAACCTGTGCTTGAACTTCTTGGAGCCAGTATCCTGCTGTCGACTGTCCATGGCTGAGGTCACAGCGCTCTCGCCATCGAAGCTGCTCATCACAAACTCATTTGTGTCGCTGGGCTTCCACGTCAAGACTGCCGCTACCAGGCCGCGCGGAGCAAAGAAGTCCCTGTTCACCTTGTCGATAAAGGAGTTTGTTTTCGTTCGACTGTGTACTTCGTCTCCGATATTCGTCGCAAGCTGGATGCCAATGCTCAGCGCAATCGCAGCAGGGCTTGCAATAGCAATACCGGCCAAACTAGCCAAATTCAGGGCTTGGATGAGACCGTTCGGCTCGACAGCACTATTGAGGTCATCGACAAAGTCCATGAACGCGTCTTGGGTAATCCCCGCATTCTGGAGAATAGGAGCATAAGCGCGAATAAACCCTCTTGAACGCTTCCCGGGACGTCGCTGGGTGAGAAGCACGGGGAGCTCGATCCTTCCCCGTGTATATCCACTTGCAGTACCCGCGGCTGCGTCTGATCCAGGCCCCCCCTGGGCTATAGGCCCCGGAAGCGGCAACTGGTGATTCTCTACGAATCTATCAGCTAGCTTAGATGGATGCTCTTGAGTGGCATGCTCGGTCGTATTCTGTTGACTACTATCCGCGGCGTCGCTCTGGGTAGTCTCCTGATACGAAGGGGGCCCCTCTGGGCAGCAGATCGCATCCTGGGCTTCATCGAGCTGCCAGTTGGCTTCAAGCTCGTTTTCAGCCACCAGCTGGTCGCGAGTCTCAGCCTCATTTGCCGCGGGAAGGCCGCTGTTCTCGTTCGCGGTCGCCTTCTTCGCTTTTCTATGCTGGATTGCCTCGCTCGCTAGTCCGATACCGCCAGCGATCCCACGGTAGATGAATTGGTGCAGCGGGTTCACGAGCTTAATCTTCGTCCCTTTCTTCTCTTGTTGTGTCTGCTCTGGTGTCACTGCGTTTTCTGTGTGGGTCGACATGTTGGGCAGATGGCTGGAGATACAACAAGCCACGGGAGTTGTGGTGTTTTTACTTCATAAAATTGGATGATAATTCTGTCTAACACCTTGAATAGGTAGGTAAGTATCATGATATGCAACAGGAGACTTGGCCCCAGGGGCCATGCTAAGTTTGGGACCCACTGAGCTGGGACCCGGTCTTGGCTTAAAATCTTCCGTATTAGCAATGCCGTAAGCATCCAAATGGGGGGGGCCCATTTGGATGCTCCACACCCTACCGAAAACCACACCCTACTGAAAAATTTTAAAATTTACAGTTTTCAATTCATGATAACTCACTCAATTTTGAAGCTATTTAAGCCTGGAAAACACTAAATAAACCGTCTGAATCTAAATTAATAGGTGTAGGGGTTTCTGGGTCTCGAACCCTGCGTGGTGGGGCCGATTTTTCCAATTTTTTTCGGTCGCGTATCACCTTCCTCTCCGCTGCCTGTTTTTCTTTTTCCTCCCTTTCCATAATTGAATGTGTTGCATCAAATCGAGATAAACTAGCCGATTTAGATAATATCTTCCGTCGGCTTCCCCGAATAGATGGATTTTTCTCCTTGTTGTGTTGCTTCAAAATTGATTGTAAACTCCCTTCTATAGCAGCTGCCTTATTGATGTAAACATCAATTCCACGACGCTGAAAATCCAATAATGACCGAATTTCATTAAAATTTGGATCAAATCCAAATTTAGCTTCAATCTTATTCAATTTATGAGAGATTTTAGCAAAATTCGAATTAAAATCGGATAATTCAGATGGAAGTTCTGTTTGAACAGGAGAGGATGTCGGAGTAGAATCCCATCGTAATGGCGGTGGTGATGGAGTTATATCTGGCCAATCGAAATATTTGGTCCAACTTTCATCATTATCGGGAAGTTGGTTTAGTATAATCATAGAATTTATAGGATAAATTCCACGATCACGCCAACTTGCACGAATAACACGAGGTTGTAAAGCCTGGTTCCGAATCTCTGCTATCTCACGAAAAAAATCACGTTTAGTGTCAAAATTTGCTTGACAATGCGATAAACGATTCATACAGCCTTTATAATAATGTTTTAGATTTCGAAAAGCATGACCATCAAGAGGCTGCATTAAATGCGTTGTGTGTGGTTCAAATATAACTGGTATAATGTTCGATTTCTCGCACATAACCAGAAATTCAAACGTGAGATGTGTTCCATGACTATCAAAAAGAAGAACTCTCTTCTCTTTTGGAGATTGTAACCGATTTTGAGTATGTTTAATAAAATGTTCAAGCCATTTAACTGCTAAACGGTCAGTATTCCAGCCATTTTTTGATATAGCAAAGCAGTAATCATCAGGAATAGTATCTTGGTCTTTAAACCAATTTTCCATAAAATTCTGTCCTTTTATAATAAAAAAAGGTGGTAAAACATGGCCATCGGCAGAAACACACTCAATAGAGGTCAAATTTTCTCCTTTTTCAGTAGTAGGAAGTCGAGATGTTCGATATGGAGTTGAAGTAACAACTTTTTCTGGTCGACCTTGACCGATCTGGAACCCCGTTTCGTCGAAGTTATAGATATTCCGTGCAGGAATATCTTTAATAATTGAACGCCAACTAGTAAACCAACGTTCAATTTCTCCATAAACTTCAGCATCAATTCGATTTTTATCGAACGGAGTTTGGGTGATATATTTAAGATCGGAAGGTAGCCGGGAAATAAATCGATCTCCCCACATCTTGCTAAGTTGGCGTTGTGCCATCTTGCTCGCTGCTTCCACAATATCATTTTTTGTGGGCGGAGATAGCAGGGAATCAAGCTTCCGGATCCATTCTATCAAGGCACGAGTTTGCTCCGAATTTAATGCAGAGTGTGTTGGTTGACGCTTCCATGAATTTACACCAGCAAGATAGTGTCTCCGAAGGCGTGAATACGACACATCAAATTGGCGCGAAATTGCAGAAAGATTTGGATTTTGAATAGAGGAGGCAAATTCAAAGGCCTCAATAAGACGATCTCCTTCATTTGGAGCCCTCCGAGGGGGGGGAAGGTGGTATTCCATAATGAATAAGTTGGTGGAGTGAAAAATTTTTCACCAGGGTGTGGTTTTCAGTAGGTGTGGCGGACCCAAACGCGGGCGCGTTTGGGTCCGCAACGGGACTGCTAGTACAAGGGTCGTCCAACCGTTCCCCATACTAGGCGACGCTTGGTGCTTGAGCAGTTTCTCTGACGTCTTAGCGTTGTGGAGCAGACAAAGAAAGGAGAGCAAATCGGTTGGGCCATGGCCCCTCAGGGCTGTTTATTGGCGGATGCGCAGGACTTTCGCTGTGTTTCCCTCCATCGCATTCGAAATACGAAGTCGAGCCCGAGCTCGCTCCATGCATCATTTGTAGCTGCCTGGACGCAGATAATCGGGGCGGTGCTTCAACTTGAGCACAGGCGTGTTTCATCTTTTGCCGACAGTTGCAGGCTTGTTTGAGCAGCATCGTGCGATTCTGCAGACTACTGCAATACACGTAGGATGTACTCAAAGGTCTTGTCCAAGTTCGTGTCCAGAGTGGATACTGCCACTCGTAGTAGGCGCTGACAAGTCAGCATCGTTGCTTTCGATCGATGTGCTTTCAAGACTGACCCAAGGGCTACGCCGATTGGGGAAATGGCACTAGGTCAGACTGATGTATTTCATTGATCCATCGGTCTATTTGTCGCTCTTTCGCAAGGTCGAAAATGCTGTCCATTACTCATTGTTGGATCTCTTCAGCCGGATGCCCCCCCCTTTCCCTTTTTGTTACCACTTTAATCTTCCATTTCCTTGATTTGCCGCCTCTGCTAGGTCATCCCCAACGGTCAGCCCAAGCCTTGGGTTGGAAGAACTCGCAGGCTCGGACAGCTATGCCACGTTTTGTACCCCTGCCAAGGAATTTTTAACGCGTAGTTCTTCCACGGACCCGATATCCGAGACGTGGTGGGACCCCTGATGTCCATGCGTATCAAGTAGAAGACCCCGTCTACTAGCGCTTGCCACAAAACACACAGGAAACGCTTCGGAAACCTCTACAAGCTGCAGGCAGGATGAACTAACATTAATAGATTTCTTGACCTTGTCATATTTTGGGAAGCAGCTTTGAAGATAAAAGACACTGCATATGAGTATGAAAGAATAATACATAATCAGGGCCGTCAAAGAAAGAAGGAAACTCCGAAGATAAATGCAACATAGACGCCGTGATATCATAAGCGGTCAACACTCGAAATAGAGATAGACCTTTCATCGCGCTCATCTTTTAGTTCGCATTGCTAGGATAGGCGACAGTGTAAGTGGGAACAAACTCCTCCTTCACGGAGCGCAAGCTCACAAAGCGGGAGAGCAGGTTCGCGCTTCCAGCTTTATCGTTGGTCCCGCTGGCACGAGCACCACCGAACGGCTGCTGGCCAACAACAGCTCCAGTGCTCTTGCAGTTGATGTAGAAGTTGCCGGCGGCATTGCGGAGATGCTCATCAGCGACCTGAACAGCCTCGCGATCCTGTGCAAAGACCGAGCCCGTTAATCCGTAGACGCCCGTACTATCGATCTTCTCGCAGATATTGACGAAGTCCGCCTCCGTCGCGTCGTTGTACACGTGCACGACGACGATGGGACCGAAGAGCTCCCGTGAGAGGAGAGGGTGGTCGGGGTTAGAGGTCCGGTACACAGTGGGCTGGACGTACCAGCCCTTTGAGGAATCGTAGGAACCCCCGGCCAGAAGCTCGAGCTCGGGATCATTCTTCGCCTCATCAATGACACCCGCCAGCTTGTTGAACGAGCCTTCGTGGATGACGGGCCCACAGAAGTTCGAGAAGTCGGTGGGCTCACCGACCTGCAGCTGCTTGACTTCCGCAGTCAGCTGTGCGATGAAGTCGTCCGCAATCGAGGCAGCGACATATGCGCGTGAGGTAGCGCTGCACTTCTGGCCCTGGTACTCGAAAGCGCCCCGCACAGTCTGAACGACCGCGTTACGCACGTCGGCAGACTTGTGTACAAGATGGAAGTTCTTGCCGCCAGTTTCGCCGACAATGCGGGGTAGCTGCGGTATTTGCCGTCCGCCACCCCCTGGGAGATCTGGCCGTAGAGGCTGCGGAAGACGTCTGTGCTACCGGTGAAGTGTAGAGCGGCGAATTCGCGGTGGTTGAGCACGGTGCTGGTGACCTCCTCGGCGTCACCGGGCACGAATTGAATGACGTTCTTGGGCAAGCCGGCCTCGAGGAGAATCTGGTGGACAAGCCAGTTCGAGGCAATAGCGGATGGAGAGGGCTTCCATAGAACAACGTTGCCCATCAGAGCAGGTGCCCCGGCCAGATTCCCACCGATAGCGGTGAAGTTGAACGGGCTAATGGCGTAGACAAACCCCTCGAGAGGGCGATACTCAAGACGGCTATGGGGATGTTAGAATCGAAATCAAGGGAGTTCCGTCACGTCTCGAAATGACTTACTTCCAGACGCCTGGGGAGTGGTGGGCGGGCTGCTGGGCATACAGCTCCTCCGCATACTTCACACCGAAGCGGAAGAAGTCAATTAGCTCCGCCGCGGAATCAATCTCGGCCTGCCATGCGTTCTTGCCCTGGCCGTGCATCGTCAGAGCCATAATATCGTATCGGTACTTGGTAGAGATGAGATCGGCGGCCTTGAGGAAAATGCTCGCACGCTCTGCAAACGGAGCCGCGGCCCATGACTTGCGCGCAGCGAGAGCAGCGTCAATAGCAGCCTCGACATCGGCTTTGGATGCATGGGAATAGGTCGCAAGAGGAGCATGGGAGGCGGGGTTGCTTTGGGTGAACGTTTGAGAACTCTTGATCTACTAACGGTTAGTACGGGATTCCCATTAGGCGTGGCGAGAATAGGCCGTACCTGTTTGCCTGAAACCACTAATGGAATCGACAATGGAGCCTTTTGTTTGAAAGAAGCAAGAGCTTGTTCAAGAGCCTTTCGGTCCGGAGATCCAGGAGCATAGTGTTTTTACGGGATGTTAACGCTGCCCCAATGATCGCATCCGAGTTCAGTAGACTCACGTTAGGCTCGTTGCTGATCTGTGGCACTTTGAAGCTCGCGTAGGTGTTCAGAGCACGCGAAGCGGGAGGAATGCGGCAAGTCAAGTGCTGCCACCGCAAGGGCTGCACTCTGGCGCGTAGGATAGACTGCATTCTGGAAAGCTAGACTAAAAACCGGATACTTCCAGGTTGAGAATATTGAAGACGGAAGTCTCAGTAGAAAAAGAGGTCCAAGTTGGAGACGCGGGGTACACATGAAATGACCCGGCTATCACCGGCGAGGGCTCTTTCTCCAAGCTCCAGGTAGACTGTACTTTCTAGCTGGTCCCCCCCACGAATCAAGCGCAGCCGGCAAGAGTCCCGGTGGGGCCTACCGGGCCGGAATCGAAGTGGCGGCGGTGGTTGGCGGTGGTTGGCGCGGTCGCTTGGGACCCGTGGGCCCCAAGTCTTCCTGGAATGTACCCGCTACTCCATGCGGGTCCCAACACGTTTAGATGTACGTTGACGGCAGGATAAGAGATAGAATCTGGCCTGATTTGTTGATGAGTTGTTGGATGAAATTTGATATCAAGTAACCATATGCACATATCTTAGATAGCTCTTATCCCATAATAACCCATTCTATAAAACACGTATCTCATTGGAGTCTAGGCAATCCACCACCAGACGCGCTCGAGCCAGTTACGCGGCACTCTTTCTTCGTCGAATTCACACAGCCGATCAATCTCTTCTTTCCCGGAGAAGATGTCAATATCGGCCGCCGGGACCATCCACGGCGTTCGATACCAGATTTTGTGGCCAAAGTAAAGGGCAAAGAAGATAGCAAAAACGATGTAAGACACCAAAAAGTCAGATGCGGTGAAAGCTCCGGGGAAGAACACCGTGTATCCGTTGGTGATAGCCAGCACCCCGACGATCAACATAAAATAGTACGTACCCCACGGCTGAAGGGGGGGTTTTGAAAGGCAGGGAGTCGAGAAGGCCGTGGAATTTCAGGGCACTTCGGAACCGCTAGAAAAAGGTTAGCCCTTGAGTCAACGGGTGTTCGAAATACAGAGGCGCTTACCAAATAAGCAACTCCCACGAGGACCCATGAAATGAAACCTCCGACGGTCGTAATATTGGTAAACCAATAGAACACATTGGCACCGGAGCTCGAAAGGTTTAGGAAAGAAAGAAGACCAATTGCCCAGGTGACCAGCACCGCAGCATAGGGCACACCGTTCTTGGTACAGCGCGTGAAGAATTTGGGAGCTTGACCCTCGCGGGCAAGCGAATAGAGGGTACGAGACCCAGCGTATACCCAGGAGTTGCCAGCTGACCAGGCAGAGATCAAGATGGCAGCGTTAATGACATGGTTTAGACCGCTAATCCCGGCATTCTGAATCCCAATGACAAATGGACTCGCTCCGGCACCCGAGCCACCGCTTGCAACCCCCTGAAGAAGATGCTTGTCATTGTACGCCACAGTAACACCGATGACCAAGCTCCCAAGAACGTAGAATGCGAACAGACGGTAGATGAACCGGTTTGTTGCCTTAGGGATGTTGCGGCGCGGGGCGATGGCTTCTCCGGCCGCAGTGGTGATTAGCTCGGGGGAAAAGATGAAGGAAAATCCCGACTTGATCAACGCAGTCCAGAAAGCAAGGAAGCGGCTGGTATTAATGTTCGACACGAGGTATGGCTCTTTGAAGGCACCTGGGTGCTGCCAATAGCGGAAACCGAGGCGATCATGATTAGGCCCTCCGCCAAAGAATAGAACAACGCCGAGAATTATCAGACCAATGATGGCAATAATCTTCAGAGAAGCAAACCAAAACTCTGCTTCCCCATACCACGACACAGCGACAATATTGAGGAATAGAATTACTAATCGTCCTTGGTCAGCCTCATAATATGACGTGGAAAGGAAGACCTTGGCTTACCGACGAGTACAATTGCGATCCATACACCGACGCTGACACTGCTTGGCCAATACTCAACGATCAAGCCTGCTGCCGTGACTTCAGACGCTAGTAGCATGGAAAAGGAATACCTGTCGTTCAGTTGGTCAGCAAGAGAGGCGGTATACGAGTGCTGGCTGAGTTTACCAATAATTATATCCTATGGAGATTCGTTAGTTTTGGTCGAGGACTTGGCTGTCAAGGAACATACCAACAGCAAAGCCCAGACTGGGCTCGGTGAAGCGATTGATCAAATAAGGCACCGAAACACCACGTACTGGAAGGTACGTGGTCATTTCACCCAGAACGTTCATGACAAAGTACACCACAGTTGACATAGCAATGTATCCCATGAGTAAAGGTGCTATCACAGCAAGTTAATCTCATGTCAATGTTGCCGATGAATTTGTTCTCCGATTATGAAAGGCTTACCTGGGCCAACAGTCGACAAAGTCTGACCACTTCCGACAAAAAGACCTGTACCAATGCAACCACCCAGGGCCAGGAATTGAATATGGCGCGACCTCAAACCACGATGCGTCTCCGCGTCAACCCCCTCCATCTCTCCGGGCATGGATTTGGCATCATCGTAGACGGGAAGCGATGTGCCCTCCTCAAGCCCCTTTGAATCAGAGGCCATGGTGGAAATGGCGCGCATCAATCAACCAGAAGCGATGTGTAGACTCACGCGCACGATCAAATACGGAGAATTTACAACGCAGTCTCGCCCATTGACCGACGCAGCGCGTAGATTTCACCAAGGTCTTGTGTTCCAAAGCTGGGTCCGGGTAGGTCAGTCCGCAAAGGGATCTTGAATGTTTGAAAAGTCTTAAAATTCACTGCCCAAATCAGTAGAACTCGCACAGGCAATATGTGGGTTGCGGGGAACGGAAAATCTCCGCAGCCCGAGTTCTATCTAGGCGGTCCCATTATCAGTCCCAGCATATTATTTGTGTGGGAAACTGTAAAAAGAACTCCAGGGAGCGCGCTGTGGAGACCCTCGGTGGGCATTTTGGGGATCGGCGGCATCAAGGGGTCGCGGATTCTTCATGATGAGATTTCGACCTCAGTAATCTTCCTACCGGCTGGCGTTCAACTTGTCTATTCCCCTCACTCAAAGACTAATATCATGCAGATATTGAAACAAGCCCTATGCTTTGGCAGCTATCGAGCGACTCTGTCATGGTAACTGATGACCAGCCAAGGCGCATCAAATTCTGCTCGCCCAGATGGGGACCCACTTGGGATGTTCCCGTTCTATCGCCACTTGCAAACATGTGTACTCCAATACGGGGTCTTATCCGGGGCAATGGGGGGATTCTTTCGATTGTCTGGGGAATTAAGTAACAGAAACTGATGGCAACCCCTGGAGGCAGTTGCGTGCTAGGGGAAATAGCATCAAAGGCATCGCGTGGAGGGAGCAGCGCGTCCGCCAATAACCGCCGCCTGTTGACCGGCCCGGTCACCTGGCCCGTGCCTGCAGTATCAAACCGGTCCGAGTCGCTCCTTCCAAGTCGTCCACGACTGGTCGCTTCTGATTCGCTTCTGATTGGATTTACATCTGGAAGTCGCGAAGAACAAGCCAAGCCAGCTTGCCTCGCAGGAGGCCACATGATGCGTTCATGCAGGATGATGCTGCTACCGACTAATGATCCCAGCCAGTCTACGCCTGAATAGGGTCGGCTTGTGGGTCTATAGACCGGGATATCCTAGATTCTATTAATCTATGAATAATGAGATTTTGACTATAGCTGAGCAAAGAAGGAGGAACTCACGGAAGTTATCTACCCGTGGTAGCTTGGAAGTACGCAGCTAGGCACCCCGTACCGGTTATCGCGCTTGCCACCGGGCCATGGCCCAGTGGCCACAAGTAGTGAAGTATGGTCATGCTTTATTTGTACAGATCATCTTTGGTTCCTTATCTTCCTCTTTCAGTCCGGCTTACGTCTTCTCCCACGGGCGTTTAAACTGACCTTGGACCCTTGGAATCTCGAATCCTCTTTCCCTCTGGGAACCCTGAACATTCTGTCCACCCTACACTTTAACATTCATATCAAATGAAAGCTGCTCGGTCGATTCGGGTACCCCGCGTGCCGGCCAAAGGCCATGTCACCTCTCGACTGGTAAGCGGCACAGGGAATGCCCGCTCTTCTGTCGCTGGCGCAAACCTCTGGCAGCCTGTCGCGCCGTCTCAATATCCTACGTCACGGAAGGCGTTGACAGCCCCGCTTGCCAAACTCCCGCTCTCATCTGTCCTCCGTTCGCTCCTCGTGCTGTCCGTCTCATCGTCTCCTCTTCTCTTGAAGCCCTGCATCTACACTTTATCATTATTAGCTCATCCGCGCTCTGCCTTCTGGGACGTTTCAAAAAATCCTCTCTTGCACTTCCTTGTCAAACACACCATCTACAAGCAATTCAACGCTGGTGAGAATAAGACCGAAGTCCAAAGGTCCATTCAGAACATCAAGGGCTTGGGATGTCGGGGCGTCCTTCTGGGATATGCACGCGAGGTCCTGGTTGGAGAGAACCAAGATGCTACGTATGATGCTAAAGCGGCTCGTGCCGAAATCCAGATGTGGCTGGACGGTACCTTGCGAACTGTCGACATGGCCCAAGAGGGAGACTTTGTGGCACTCAAGTAAGGTTTTTTTTTTTTTTGGTTTTTGGTTCCTACGAGTAGAAGTCATGGTCATTAACAACAAGCAGATTCACTGGAATGGGTACGGATGCACTCAAGCTCCTCCAACAGCAAGCGGCCCCTACCGAGTTCATGGATACGTCAATCCAAAAGGTTTGCGACCTGGCCATCTCTCGTGGCGTCCGCTTGTTGGTAGATGCTGAAGAACAAGCTGTGCAACCGGGTATCGAGGGATGGATCATGAAATACCAGAAATACTGCAACTCGCAAACCCCGGGTCGCGCGGTATTTTACGGAACCTATCAAGCGTATCTTCGCTCGACCCCAGCTACTCTGGCTCGGCATCTAGAGATTGCCCGTGCCGAGGGATACACGCTTGGTGTGAAGCTTGTCCGTGGTGCTTACATGAAGACCGAGCCTCGTCACTTGATTTGGGCTAAGAAGGAGGAGACCGACCGTTGCTATGATGAGATCGTCGAAGCTCTACTGACCAGGAAATACAACTCCATGCTCCCGGCCCCAGCGAAGGACCAGACTGCTGAGCTGCCCCCAGTCAATGTGATTATCGCCACCCACAACCGCGAGTCTGTTCAAAAGGCCCATGCAATCCGCGTCCAGCAAGCGACCCGCGGCGAGGACCTCGGTGTTGATCTGAGTTACGCGCAGCTTCAAGGCATGGCTGACGAAGTCAGCTGTGAGCTCCTGCAGGGCTTTGAGACTGCCAAAGCTAGTGTTGGTGCGGCACCCATGGCTGCACCTAATGTGTTCAAGCTCTTGACCTGGGGCTCAGTGCAGGAGTGTATGGGCTTCCTGCTGCGTCGCGCTATTGAGAACACCGAGGCTGTAGGACGCACCAAGGATTCTCAAGTTGCAATGTTTGCTGAGTTGCGACGTCGTTGCCGTAATCTGTTTCGGGGAATCAATTAGCGATACCTAGCTCCTCCTTTCGAGGAAAGTTACTTTCCTTCTTCACCTCTGCATAATTGCGTCTTTTTCGTTTTCATTTTATTTCTTTTCTCGTTTTTTTTTCTCTTGCTCATCTTGCGTGTTTCCCTTGTGATGTATGGATAGACGGCGTTGACGACTCATGACTCATAATTCTAAGATAAATCAAAAAATAAAATCAAAACATTAAAAACACTATATAAATATCCCTATATGTCCACGAATAACGTAGATATACTCAGCCGGAGTCCTCCGCCTACAGGTTCGGGAAACTAGGCTGGGCTGGGCAGGTCAAGGCTAGAGCTCCCGTCAGTCGTTGCCCCTCGTAAAGCTATCGTTTGGGCCTTCCGAATCCCAGCTCTACTGAACCCTCAACACATCAACTTGTTACTTTGGCCTGGAAATTAGCTTCACTAGGCAGGTTTTCTGTCATTGAGATTCGACCACAAATTCCAGCACATCTCGAAATGCACATTCTCTCGGAGCCCGTGGTATCGGGCATCTTCCGGAGCTTGACACAAAAGCAATGTCACCAATTCCTCGATGTGCTTGGGAAAGGGCTCATCGCCTACTCCGCTGAGTCCAAGCCCGGGGTGCTAGACTCCCAGAAGCTCATCCACCAGCCTCTCCGAACAGTCTTCACCACAAAAGATGATAACTCCTGCATCTTCATGCCCGTCTCCGACACCTCCAGCAGCGCCGTCAAAGTAGTCACCGTCTCGCAAGCCGGCATCCAAGGCACAATCAACATCTTCTCCCCAGACGGCCGCCTGAGAGGCCTTCTCGCCGCAGCAGAGGTAACCGCCTTTCGCACCGCCCTCGCCTCAATGACCCTCTTCGCGCGCTGCGCCTCTCTCCGCAAGGCGAACATCGTAGTCATGGGCTCCGGCCGCCAAGCTGAATGGCACGCCCGGCTTGCCCTCCTGCTATACCCGGACCAAATCCAGCGTCTTACATTCATCAATCGCGGCCGCAAGCGCCTCGATGAGATGGAGGCGGGTGTTTTTGCCGACCTGCGGCAGCGATATCCGCAGCTGAACCTGACGAGCTTCGCGAAAGAGGGCTCGGCGGATTATGAGCAGAGGCTTCGGCAGGACCTGGGAGACAGCGATGTTATTTTCAGTTGTACGCCGTCCGTGGAGCCGAACTTTGGGTTTGAGGTTCTGCAGGCGAGGCCGAAGCAGCGCTTTATCTCGCTGATTGGGTCGTATAAGCCGCATATGCATGAGATTGATACGGAGACGCTGCTTTCGGGTGGAGGGAAGGTGTATGTGGATAGTAAGGCTGCGTGTTTGGAGGAGGCAGGGGAACTAATTACGGCGAAGTTGACAGAGGGTGATTTGATTGAAATGGGTGATTTACTGGGCTCGATGGGTTCGGATGAGCCTATTCAGATTCCCGATGGGCAGAATGTGATTTATAAGTGTGTAGGGATGGGTCTGATGGATCTGGTTGTGGGGAAGACCTTGCTTGATATTGGAGAGGAGCAAAACGTTGGAACGCACGTTGATGGGTTTTAACCTTGGAAGCGTTGAAAGCTATTTTCAGTCTATTTCAAGATCATATAATCTTAGACTTATTGATTTGGGTTCTCTTATATAGTACTAGTACTTTATTGGGTTTGGTAGCGGTGGTGATAGAGAAATCTAGTACTCTGAAAGAGCATATTTGGACACGGTCAGATCGAAGTATTGCAGGACCCAGCCACTTTGTGCTTCCGAAGTATATTCAAATCGCCTGAGATTACACATGATTCGTTTCGAGTCGTGAGTGGCTTAAAGACGTATTGACTCTCTAAGTAGCAAATAATCTTTTCTCCATATCACCAAAGTCAGGTATTCTTTACGAGTAAACCCGTTCCATGGATAACCAAACTCAGGGCGGAGCGGAGCGGATTTGGGGGCAGTTGGAGTGCGGGCCGGAATCTCTGCGCTTTATCGCTCCGATAAGTGCGACTCATTTCCCGTTCACAGTTTCTCCTCCCGACAATTCACTAATCCAGGGCAGTTTGCGGACATTGCGAGTTTGGGTCCTTCAGTTATTGACATATTCTCCAATCTTTACCACCGCTGCCTCAGATCATGTTCAGCCCGCCTCGCCCCCGTTGATACCACCCATGGATGATTCGAATTCATCACCTGCTCCGCAGCACAAACGCCAGCGCGTGGCAGAGGAAAACCGAAAACGAGCCGTTCGAGCGTGTGTTCCACTATTTCCTCTTCGATTCTATACCGCTGCATATTGCTAACACGATTGGTCGCGTGTAGATGTGACGGTTGTCGCAGAGTGAAGGAGAAATGCGAAGGCGGAGTTCCATGTCGCCGATGCCTACGCTACCGCCGACAGTGCAATTTTACCCATATTGAACCGGGTGAGAAACGCAGATCAACTTCGGTCTCGTATGTGCCAATTCACTTCATATTCAGAGTCCTTTGGGCTAACGGAATACATGCCGTAGGTTGCTGGAACGAGCAGCGTCTCTCAATCGACATGAGATCGCAGAGGCAGAGCGGATACATTGCATGGAGCAGATAATCTCTCATTATGTTCCTAATGCTACATTTGACATCCAGTCTCTGCGCCGGATCGCCGAAGATCTGAAGAGCAAGCATCGAGATTCGATGTCGGATGCACAGTCCACCAGGGTCGATAACAACGAACTTGAGGATCTGGCCCTCGATGACGAAGATTTCACAATCAAAGCCTTGCCGGATAACTCCACTCGTGAGTGTCATCGCATATTACTTTTGTTTTGATCCGCACTGACTTGCGTTTCCTCAGAATACTCGGGGGAATTCTCGTACCTGAACTTCTCGATGAAGATACGAAGTAAGATAGATGAGTGGATGAAGACTGCCGCACCCGAGGTAGGTGACTCAATCGATCAACCGCACAGTGCTTAGGTATATTAACTCATCAAAAGGCGTCCACAGAAGTGGAGTTGTTCGAGGACCGATGGCGAGCTACACAGCTTCAATCCGGATCATCCCTAGTATCGTCGTCGATAACCTGTCTTCCACCTCGTTATGTCGCCGAGTTCCTTGTTCAAATATTCTTCAAATATGCCCAGACCAACAATTTCTATATTGAGGAACAGTGGCTATTTGAGAAATTGAATATCTGTTACACTAGCCCTTCCAGCTTGTCCTCCGAAGATTCTGGCGCGGTATGCTCACTTCTGATGGTATTAGCAGTGGGAACGCAATTCGCCCATATGGAGTCTGCCAAACCAGTCAACCGCCTGCCTTCCGATTATTCCGCTAACCAAGACCATCACTTTTCGGAGGATGAGGTTGGTCTGACATTCTATCAATACGCTTCAAAACTGTTGCCAGATCTTATTGCCACGGCATCTATTCGGAGTGTCCAGGCTTGCCTATTGATAGGAACATACCTACTTCCTCTTGATACATCTGGCCTATGCTACACGTATTTTGGCTTGGCCTTGAAAATTGCCATCCAGAACGGAATGCACCGAAGATACCACGGGGAGGGTTTGTCGCCGAAAATGGTTGAGACCCGCAACCGAGTCTTCTGGACAGCATATACGATTGAAAAGTCAGTTCTTAAACGCCATGACTCGAAGTGAAATTCTAACCCCGCATTAGGCGCATCAGTATCTTACATGGAAGACCAGCATCGCTGTCAGATACAGATGTCGATGCCCCGTTCCCTGTTGATTTTCCCGGGCTGGTACCGGCTTCCCAACCATCTTCAAACCATACGAATATGGTTACATTGATCACACTGACTCTAAAACTTGGCCAAGTGTCTACAGAAATGTGAGTACCGCGTGCATCCTGTAACAAGAGCGTAGGCTCAGTTTATGATAGATCCTCTTTACGAAAATGTCGCAAAGCGCAGCAACAAGAATGTCTCGAGCGATTACTCTCCATACGGAAACAGTTGGTGGAATGGTGGTCCACACTGCCTGAAGAAACCAACTGCCGAGACCTTAACCCGGCAGGGCCACTATTCCGATCTAATGTGCACCTGAAGCTCGACTATTGTTTGACCAGGATTTTTATTGGGCGACCGTTTCTATTCAGCAACATCAAGGGTCTCCACCAACCACCCCAGACAGGCAAGGGACCATCTGGAATGTCTAAAAGCCGTACAACACTTATTACTGATTGTGTCGAAGCTGCGCTTGAAATAATCGATCTTTGCCGGCTTCTGAGAGACGAGACGGGCCTTGCTCGTGCTTCATTCACTGAATTCAGCTCATGTCGCGCAGCTCTGCTGGTCATCCTCGCTCAAGGGCTAACCAAACGCACTGAAAGACTAGGTGCTGCTCTCGAGCAAGGCATTTCCTTGATAAAAATCATGTCCATGGGGGTTGGTTCTGCGCGTTCGGCGGTGAGTGTCATAGAAGCCCTCGAGCGCGCCATTCGCCGCTTGGAATTGTGGAGTGAGTCGCACCAATCTCAAAGCAATGGTAGCTCTGCCGAGTCTGCCTATGACCGATTCAAGAGTTGGGAGATGCTCTGGAAGACCGGCCCCGTGTCCCCTGCAACTGCATCCATTAAGCAGCAAGAAGCCTATCTAGGTAATGAAGTTGCTGTCCCACAAGGTCTGAACAGTAATACCCCGGGCTCTGCTGGAATCAATGACATGCTATCACGGATGCCTATAACGCCGTCGACTGCAGTACCTCAGGCTGAAAATGGCATTTCTCCGACTGCCAGTAGGCCTAGTGATGGCTTGATTCAAAATGAAATGTCTCTTCAGGGGTTTTCGGTGCCGGACAACTTTTCTTTGCCACATCTGTCGAATTTCAGCTTCGATCACTTCGTTTCGAATTTCCCACAAGAGCTGGGCGAATTTACTGCTATTCCTTGCTTTGAGCCAGATGCTCAATTGCAGCCTCCTGGCAATACAAGTGGCGAGCTGAAGACCCCCGGGAGCTCTGATTCGCCTTGGATGCAATTTATGAATTAATGATTTGGTAGACCTGTCACCTGTGATGTTTCCGTTCAAGCGACTGATATTGTCGAACCATTGTTCTCGGCTTACCTTCCTCAGATATAATTGCCCTCTACGAATAGGTGTCATTTTGTTGCATTGTCCATGGGTGCTATGGGAGAGCTTTGTCATTTTGAGGTTCACCGGGATTTTGGCTATTGTTTCAGTCTAGTATGCAAGGGATGGGCCAATGGTCTTCTTTCAAGATCAGCAAAAAGGCTTAACAGGAACATTCGAGGTTAATATTAAAAATTTCGTCGATTCGTTATGTATCTTGAACGAACTATGCTAATAGCCGCAACCTTGGGATTATCTCTAATCAAAAGTAACCTTTGTTCCTGAGAAGGTTGCGGTAGCTTGCTCCTTTTGCTTCTTCTTGGCTTCCCATGAAGGGTGCAAAGGCCCGGTATTATCTTTGTGATGGACCTTGGGCTTCTCACGCTGGCCACCTTGACTGTCTGGCCGGTTCTGGGGCCGCCCTGAGTGGCCACCGTACCCGCCCCGTCCACCACGATGTCCTCCTCGAGAGTCTCCTGTAGCCCCCCCGCCGTAGATCCCATCCGCTGTCCCTGTTTTTCCGTTGCTTTTTCTGCTCCTGCTGAATATGATTGGCTTTATCACCGTACTTCTTCTCCCACAGAGCACGGCGAGCTTGCTGCCCCATGCGGTTCTTGCGTTTAGGAGGGCCAGCCGCCTGTTCGTCGTCTGTAGCTTCAGACTCAGAGCCTGACCAGTAGCCGCCCATCATGAGCGATGGAAGGAATGTCGTCTGTTGTGCAGGTTCTTTGCTTCCCTTGGCCTTCTTTGGTGGAGGAGATTGCTCGTCCGAGAAGGTAGGGGACGGGGAACGCGAGACTGAATCTGAGATGTCATTGGCTGTGACTGGCTTTCGTGGATTCGAACTGTCTTCATCATCGTCATCTTCTGAGTTTGAGCCTGAGGCTAGGCGCGCATCGAAATCTCCGAAGTCTTCCGACTCGTCTTCGCCGGATCCCTCCACATCCATCCTGCGCTTAGGAGCTGCAGGGTGCGCATCATTTTCGTCGCCAGTGTCTGAGGCAGAAGTTTCTTTCTGCTTCTTGGCGGATGTTGATTTTGACATCGCATCTTTTCGAGTGGACGTCTTGTCCTGCTTTCCGGTCGGTACGTCTGAAATGCCAAGTAATGTCCGGATTTCAGCCAAGATCTTAGGCAATACGTTCTTGACCGGGGTCGATTTGAACAGGCGTCCGAGGATATTGGATTCGGCAGTGCTCTTAGGTCCCTCGGTGGAGATGTGCCTGGATCCCTCGAATTCCTTAAACACTGGCGCCTCTGCAATGCGCTTAGTCTTAGAAAGTTGCTTGAAGAGGTATCTTTGCGACGTGATCTGGTAGTCAAGGCCCTATAAATCGAAAGTGATGTCAGTTAACGGCTGGGAAATATAATCAGAAAATGCGGGCTTCATACTTTCAACGCTTCCACTTCGGCAGATAGTCGTGTTAAGGTCGCAGAGTCATCTTGCGACTTTGCAGTTTTCTCTCGCCTACTTAGCTTCTGTCGTTCAAATCCACGCGCAGTTTTCAGGGCCTTCGAAATGAGTTGTACGCCTTGGTCGAATTTGTTCGCGAGCCGGACGGCTTTCATCGAGAGCTTGCGGGCTTTGTCGTTGTCTGGCCGCGCAGAGCCGTTGAGCTCAGCGAGCTTACGCTTCGGCATTTTGGCGTATGCGGTTGAAGATAACGGTTTGAAGGAGTTATAAAAAGCAGAAACAGATATCACAAGCTCTAAGTGCAATGTGGAGTTGGTTGCTTTTGATCCCGACTTTTTTTTTCTGCCGCGGAATGATTTGCCAAGCTTCTCCGCCCATGCAGGGACAACAGGTTGAGAGGCCCGGGGGCTTCGATTCTTAACTATGAGGGGCCTGGTTTTTATCCGCTCCGAACAAAGTCGTAGTGGGTGTGGATGGGGGCTAAATAAGGAGTTAATTATACATTAGGTCTTCGCCATAAAAAAAAAAGCTTTACGTTTTGTATACTACTACTACTACCCTCCGAGTGTATTAAAATTCAAACCACTGCATCGTTTGACAGAAGGAAGGTGGAGCCCATCGATTAACGATATGTACATACAAACATGACAAAGAAAAGTTATACGCGTACAGTCCCTTTCTATTTCTTTTCTTCCTCCTTTGGCTCCGGTTTGGGAGATAGGCAATTTGAACTGTAGGAAGAAAAAGGTAAGCGGCCATTTCGACCCATATATGAGCTATGAAAACACATACCGACTCAGGGGTCTTGTCATTTCCACTACCGACTGGCTCCCAGGCAGTCGAACCACTCTCGAAGTTACGGAAGGCCTGCGTGAGCTCAAGGGGCTCAATGACAATGCGCTTCTTCTCTTCATCGTAGCGCAGCTCGGTATAACCCGTCAAGGGGAAGTCCTTGCGCAGGGGGTGACCATCGAAACCGTAGTCGGTCATGATACGGCGGAGATCGGGGTGGCCGGTGAAGAACACACCGAACATGTCGTAGACCTCACGCTCGTACCAAAGAGCACCCTCGAAAAGACCAGTCACACTAGGGACTGGGGTGGCCTCGTCGCGTAGGTCTTCACGCGAATACGGGAGTTATAACGGACACTGAGGAGGTTGTAGACGACCTCAAAACGCTGGTCACGGGTAGGGAAGTCGACTGCGGTGATGTCGGAAATCTGGGTGTATTCGGCGGAGGTGTGGTTCTTGAGGAAGCTCATGAGAGGGATGACTCCAGAGGGAGAGGTGTAAACGCTGAGCTCGTCTTTCCAGACGGTGAACTGCTGGACGTATTTGGGGAGACAAGACATGATATACTGTCCGTACTTGTGCAAGCCCTCGGCTTTGTCTTGGTATTTGTCGACGGGATTGACGACGGGGGCACGGAGAGGCCCCTGGGCTATTGGGATCATGATCAGTTTAGCCCAATACTGTAGTAGTCCAATTGACCCTATAGAAATACATACGAGGCCGTTGCGCCTGGCGCATATCCTGGGGCTCAGGCCCTGGCGCTGTCGAAGCTTTCGCAGCACACTGCAGCGAGGAGGAGGTGAATCCGCGCGCAGCGACCGGGCGGGTGGCCGAAGCCATTGACCGACCAGCGCCCAAACGCATCAAGGAGCGAGCGGAAGCCATTGTGGTGGGAGAGGAAAGGCTGCGAAGAGGGGGACGAGCAATTCGGGAAAGGCACGTAAGGCGGATTGTGAGGATCGAGGTTGGCTGAACCTCATGGTCACGTGCGCTGACATAACTCACGCGCGGCGCTAAACGCGATCGGGTAATACCAGCAAAATGAAGCCGCGCTTCAATTTCCTTCCTCTTTCACCCTCACCGTGCACCCCCTCGATCTTTCCCCGCGCTTTCCCCTCTAATCTCACCTTCTAATATCTCCTTTCCCGCGTGTTATTTTGACCTTCGAACTTGAAGAACCGCCTCCTCATTTCGTCTCTCGTGTGCCCAACTGTTTGATTGGGTTCCGGCGTTGGGTTTCTTGTGTGCCTCTTACCATAATCCCATACCACAGTGCGATCATGTCTAGTCGCCAACAGATCGATTCTGTCATCGACGACGATGACGAGTTCTGGTAAGAGATAGTTTTCCCTAGTGAAACCAGGAGACGGCTACTGACCCTTTCAAGCCCTCTTTGCATCGAAGAGTTCGACCTTTCGGACAAGAACTTTAGGCCATGCCCTTGTGGATATCAGGTACGATGCACCGTCCTTTTGCAGCCCCTTTATTATGAGAATTTGCCAATATATGTTTTGCGCGCCTATGAGAAAGACCATCGATCTAATTATCACTCTTAGATCTGCCAATTTTGTTACAACAATATCAAAACCCACAGCGAAGAAGGCCGATGCCCAAACTGCCGGCGCCCGTACGATGAAAGTACCATCGAATACAAGATTCCGGACGCGGAGGAGTAAGTCACCTGGCTACGTGGGGTGACCTTCACCTGAACCTTGACTGACAATGAGCAAAAAGATTCAAAGCAGACCTGGCATTAAAGCACCGCAAAGCCGCCGCCGCCAAGAAGAAGGAATCCGAGAAACGAGAAATCGAAGCATCCAGCCGAAAGAACCTCGCCGGTGTCCGTGTTGTCCAAAAGAACCTGGTTTATGTGATAGGTCTCAATCCTACCATCCGTGATGAGAGCCAACTGTTGCAAACACTCCGTGGGAAGGAATATTTCGGCCAGTATGGTGACATTGAGAAGATCGTAGTGAGCAAAGCCAAGCCAGGTGGCAATCAACACCAGGGGATCGGGGTCTATGTTACCTTCTCGCGCAAGGCCGATGCTGCTACTTGCATAGCTGCGGTGGACGGGTCTCCGAATGGTGATCGTGTTCTGAGGGCCCAATATGGAACGACTAAATACTGTTCATCTTTCCTTCGCAACGAACAGTGTAATAACCGCAACTGCACATTCCTGCACGAAACCGGAGAGGACAGCGAGAGCTATAGCCGGTCCGATCTTTCATCCATGAACACCCTCTCAAGCCAGCGACAGCAGACTCCGAACACGATCCCTTCCCGCTCAGCACAACCTATCACCCATACTATGCGTCGGCAACCCAGCAAGGATGACTCGGTCAGCGGTCGATCGGCGGTTCCTGATGGCCCAGCTCTTCCTTCTTCCGCGAGCTGGGCAAACAAGGACGTCACAATCAAAGCCCGCCGGCCTAGCTTGACGGGGAGCCAGGCGTCTCAAAGTCCACGCCCAGCAAGTGTCAATGTCTCCACATTAGCCGACGATGCGAAGCGCACAGAGCGTCCTTCACCCATTGCCCAGGAATCACGAGTGTCTCAGCCTGAGGCACCGTCACCTACAAGTCGTGCGGAGCCCCGAGCCACGAAACCTCGCTCTCGGTTGACCAGCCCTCTTGATCTCGTTGTGAAAAACCTTACATCTCCAGACTTCAAGTTTGTGTTCTCAGCTAGTGAACTATCTGATGATGAAGTTAAAGCTATTGGGCATTTCGCGTCTGTGCTTGATCCATATGGTGGCCTCAAAAGACGGGCAATGCGGGAGAGCGCAGAACAAGAGCGTCTGAATCGTGAGCAAGAGCTGTTGCAAAATGCTGCCGCCGAGGAGGATAGTCGTGAGGCTGGTAGTCTGCAGCTTGGTGGAGAGCCTGAAGACGTCAATCCTCCCAGAGGAAGTCAAAGTCGGGAATCACATGGTGCTATTCAACCACCTTCGCAACAGGGTACTGCTGACAATTCGACAGTCGGGTCCCCTGTCTCGGCATCTAGCATTCAATTCCAGGGGTTAAACTTGGCCGCTGGTCGTAGCTTAACTCCCCTTCAGCAACAGCAGTTGATGCTCTTGAAATCAGCAGGTAACCAGCAGGCTGGGTTGTCCGATCCGATGAGCTCTGCCGCTTTAGATCAAGCCGCCCAGGCCCGACAGAGTGCGCTGCAGGGGCAGCTAGCGCAGTACAATGCCCTGCAAGCTCAGAGCCGACAGTCCTCTCGGTTTTCATTTGCTCAAGATGCTAGCACAAAAAATCTCAATAATGCACGCATGCTCGGTCAGATGCAGCCTGGAACCCCGAACCCCCTGACAGCCCCAAGCCCGCAACATGCTCTATCGAGTGGTTTTTATGCCAGCGGCGTTCAGGGCCCACCTCCAGGCCTGAAGACCGCCGGGACCCCACCCATCAGCGGCGGTGGAATGTTCGCCCAGGGTCATGGCTTCACCGCGAACGCTAATGTTGGCATTGGAAAGCAAGATGCGACCCCCGAGTTGATGCGTGAATTGTTCCGTGGCCGTGGTGCCACGAGTGTTGGAAGTGCGCAGGGCCAGGACGCCTCTAAGCGTGAGTTTATGTTCCCTTTTCTTCAACAGCACCAAACCCCACCCCCCCTGAATCCCGTCAACGGCCTTCTCAGCTCTTTCTATGGGCCCCAGGCAGGTTCAACGCCTGACTCTGGTGGCTCACAGAAGCAGAAGAAGAAGGGGAAGAAGCAAAGACACGCTAACACTTCCTCCGGTGGAGGTGGTGTAGTAGATCTTGCGGACCCGAGCATTTTGCAAGCGAGGATGCACCAAGTCGGTGCCAATGCTACGGCTGGACAGGCGTTGTATGGGAGCCAGGGTCAAGGCGGGTACAACCCCTCTATGGTCTACGGCGGCAATTTTAGCCGCTGGTGATCATCTTGGGATGCTCCCCCTTCATCCCGTATTGCATATTTTCTCCCACGATTTTCCTTGCATCTTCTTGTTTGATACGCTTCGTCATGGCCGTGTCCCACACGCTCATGAGAGATCAATTACTCTGAAGTTGTGCCTCCTTCTCTCCTTGATTTTTTTTTCGGGTCTGTTGTTACTGGGAATGCATTTCCCTCTCGCTGTCTCTTATTCAACGCGTTTACGGCTTTTGACCAACACGACGGGAGGACATGAACTTGGCGTATTATGATTTGCTTCGATACTTTTTCCCATTCATTACCCTTCATGCATGTTTTACCTTACCATTTGCTTTCCTGTTTTTCCTTTCCCTTTCATTTGCATCTCATGGACATATTATTTGTCACCGGGGTGGGTGGATTCCCCCCGGATACTCGGCGGCAGGTGTTCTTGCTTCTTTTCTTTATCTGCATCATATGTTCACATTGAGCTGTCTACAGCGTCCTTGAGAACAATGTCTTGAAAACCGTGGATAGACTTCTTCACGGAATAATGTACGTTAAGACGTCCCTGCCCTGCTATCGCCAACCAGAACAGGGTTTTATTCGAAACCAGTCGTCTCACTGCTATTGTTGGCATAGACAAACTTCTCATCTTTGTACCTCATTCCCCTTCATGTAAATAGTCTTTAGCGCCCTCCCGTCTGTCTGGTCCTTGAGTCTTTGCGGTCATGATAGGTCGTCGTCGCGTCCTGGAAAGCGTCCCCCTCGCCTCTACATTCCCCATCCACACCATGTTTTATTTGGGAAGCTTTGCTAACCATGGATTTGAAGTGGATGAAGAATTTCCTCCCTTGGGCAGTCAATCCAAGGAAAACCAGTCAGTGGATACTTTTGGCTTTCTCAGGTCTCAGATCAGCAATGAAGCCAGCGGCCGTGCAGGGACACCGTCTGTTCCGCCCGGCCTTTCACTGCCGCGTGGACACCCTGCGTCTGCGTTTCAACAGCAAAGAGACCCTTCAAAGCCATCCTCCCCGGCGCCTCTTTTCCCTCCTGGCTTGAGTGCGCTTTCTCGGGAAGGCAGCCCGTCCCAGTCTCGCTCAATAAGCCCGGAGACAAACACGCGGACTGGATCCTCCTTGCGATCGAAAGATGCATTTCAAATTTCACTAGGTTCTCCGGTCGCCAAATCTACGCGCAAGCCCAGGTTGAATACCAAGCTTGACTTGACTGCTGCTTCTGCTCCCGGTGAGAAAGATGTGTTCAAGACGGAGAGCCCTATGATCACCAAGGCAAGCCCCGTGGGCCCTCAGATGCCGTCGTCAGCTGTGGATGGCCCGTCTGCTAGGTCGGAGGGGCAATCGCCTGGAACGTTTCCCCCGGGACCAGGGTCCGTCTCGGCGATTAGCTCACGTCCTAATACTCCACTGACAACGGCTTCTCGACTCTCTGATGCTTCCGCTCCTCGCCAGCCCCGTATCCTGCGCGTGGTAGAAACGCCCAAGCCCGATGCTGCTGCCCCAGTGGCTAAAGCGCCATCCATCGCAACATCCACTACCGGGCAAATGAAGTACGGCTCACGCCGACAAAGTTTGTCCTCAGCCAGTCGTCCAGATAGTCCCCCTGGCGATCTGAGCTGGGAGGCTGATACTTTCGCATCTGCGTCTCGTACCAACTCTCCACCCCCTGCTAACCGCATTGGGTCCGCCCCAGTGCGTGCGATGACAAAGAGCCAAGCCAAGAAGGAACGTCGCCAGAAAGCGAAGGAAGCCGAAGCGAAGAAAGCTGAGGTTGCTGCTACCTCTGAGGAGCCCGTTCAGGCACCCATCATCGGTCGAAAGCGCAAAACTAAGAAGGCAACTTCCATTGCTTCGGACCCAGCAGTCTTAGCTCCCTCACCCGTTGACAAGGCGAGTCCTGTGAAGTCTGAGAAGGAGCCTCCTCAGAGCGCAGAACTAAATGCTGAATCTTCTCAAACATCCAAACCGAAGGAAGAGCCTGCTCCTGACCCCAAGGGGAACGACGATGCTCAAGCCAAGGTTGAACGAAGTGAAGAACCAAAGGCCGCGCCCGTAGAGAAACCTACTGATCAGAAGGACTCTATGGAACCCTGGCAATCACACAATACAATGCAGCAGCTGCTCAAGGACGCAGAGGAAACCAATCGAACTATCAAGGATTTGTTTTCGGAGAGGACCAAGCCCTTGCATGAGTTGCTTGCTGATATGCGCTCTTCTATGAATTTTGATATCAATAAAAGCTCCCTGTTTCACCCAGGCAACTTGAGTCAGCGCACGGATATGAAATGCACCGCTCGCGATTATGATTCTTGGAAGCTGCCTACGGAGCTGAACGAGGAACACCGAAAGGCTCTTCGCCGTGGGGAGCCAATTCGCGTCGGGACTGACCACCTCAAGACCCGCTGCTTTATCACCCCCCCGCGGATCTGTGCTACGGCATCTGGACCCAGAGGATGAAGAGCGGTATCTGGCCCTTGAGAAAGCTACAAGCGAGATTCCGGAGCCGTTTGTATTCGGAGATGATTCCAACAATATCAACGGGGGTCTGGATGCCCTTTTTGCCGCTTCCGAAAAGTACAAAATCAGTTGGGTGGATGATGCGGCTCCCCGAACAGGGACAGTTCTCCTTCTGTCCCTCTTGATATGCCCCTTGATACCCAGGACTCCCTCGTCCCGCCTAATGTTCTTTCAGCAATGGAAGCAGACACCACCCGTAATCATGACTGGGCGGTGGCTCAGACTGCTGAGCTTATGCATACCACTACTGCTGCCGTACGCTCCTTTGCTGCGGCAACAGCTAAACAAATGCTTGGTACCTCCGCTGTGCCTGGATTGAACCCTTCCTTCGACGATGTGGCTGCTATGACTGATGAGGAGCTCAAGGAGCTTGCCACCAAATCCCAGAAGGATCTGGAGGGTACTCGCAAAGAGTTGGATTTGATCGATAAGAAGTTCAACGCTCTTCTTCGCCGTAACAAGAAGATTCAACAGCAGGCCCTTGTCACCACTGCTGATCCCAAGGCCTAAGTTCTTTCTCGTGCCTTTGAACGGACAAGTAAGTTGGAGTCCTCGGGTTGGCTCGACTATCCGCAAACCAATACTGTAGGTTAGATCTTGCGAACTTGGGGAGGCAGCGTGATGAATATTGTACGAATACAAGGTGGAAAAAGAGAAGTGGGAAGTATGAGGCGGGAAGCGAACATCCACGGATTGGAGAATACCCTGCCTTTGTACGATTAAACAAGTCTTTGAGCCCAATATTATTCACTGTATTTATTCTTATTTTTAATGGTCGTTCCGCCCTTCAATCATGTAGTCTGTTTCCCCGCAAGATGTCATTGATGCTTTACGCCAAACCCCTGTACGAACCTAGAAACCCCGACTCAAGCCTTAAGAGCTGTGTTCCAGAATCAAGGAGCGTGATCTTACAAACGGACCGTACATCGTATCCCTTCAATCTTCCGGGGTGCCAAACCTGAAACAGTGCGAGATTAAGGGGGTGGGGTAGGGCTATTCGATTCGGCGAATTGTGACATGAGCCCCAGTATCTCTTTGTTCGCACTTAGGCTTGAAGCTCTTCGGATACGTCTGCTACTTGGGCCAACTCTCTGTGCGGTGCCAAGCTGTCGGAGGAGTGTCGCGCCGTCAACATGAACTGACGCTGTTCGAGGGTGGCCGATCTACTTCACATTGTCCGAGAGCGGCCATCTCCTTTCAACCCTTTCAGCTTCGGTGTGAATCAACATTGGCTAGCACCGAATCCTTCATCCTTCCGCATTAGCTGCCTGTCACCAGTCAAGCTTCTAAATTAAATTATGCACGGAGTACACCCGGTCAATCCGTTTCGAACGCCCTACAGCCCTTCCATCTCTACTGCGATTGATGAAACGTGTGGCGCGCATCTCATTCCATTCCACATCCTGGGGCTGAGCAAGATTCCTTTGGCGCCGTCGATCCACTCGCTCCTTAAGGCATGATTTGCTGTTGCATTTCTAGTTCTTGGACGTGTGGAGGTCTCCAGCGGCAGAACATGTAAGAGAAAAAGATGTTGAAGTATAAGGCATCCGGGAAGCCTCCCTGTCGCGTCACCCGCTGGCAGTACGAGGCTTCCCAACATCATTCCTTTTCTATTTCTACATTTCAAAAACTCTGGGGACTTCAATCTATTTTCCCTTTGTCTCCTAGGCCGTATAGTCGTTTCACATTGCCCAAAATGCGTGTTCTTTCTTCCCTGATGGGTGGTGCCCTCGCTATAGCTTCCATGGTTTCGTCCACCAGTATCTTGATCCCACTTTACGTCTGGCCTGAGGACGACTCTACCTGGGGCCCGGTCTACAATGCCGCTGCTGCGCATCCCAACATCCAGTTCCAGGTGATTATCAATCCTTCCAGCGGTCCCGGGAGTTCAGGTAAAAGCCATCCTCCAATCAAGAGCACATGGTTTAAGCATCTGACTTTACGGTATTCAGAGTACCCTGACGAGAGTTATATCTCCGCCGTTGCTAAGCTAAACAACTATTCGAACGTGCAAACCCTGGGTTATGTCGACACTCAATTCACTACCCGCGACGTTTCCGATGTTGAGAACGATGTCTCCATCTACCAAGGCTGGTCCTCATACAAGAACAGCAATATCACCATCTCGGGCATATTCTTCGACGACGCTCCGAACGAGAACAATGAGGCGAAGATCTCCTACATGCAGCAAATCTCCAGCACGGCCAAATCAAGCAACATGCGGTTCGTGGTCTTCAACCCCGGCACTACTCTCCAATCCGGCTCCGCGAAAGGATACTTCGACGCGGCGGATCTGATTGTCGAGTTTGAAAATACGTACTCGACCTGGATCTCGTCTACTCCAGCCGATCATTTCTCCGGGAAAGCTGATTACTCCAAAGATGCTATCATTCTGTACAATGCCCCACTCGCCGCCGACTACGATGCTGTTGTGAAAGAAGCTACCCAGATGGGGTTGGGCGCTGCTTATCTGACCAATGACGATGATTATTCTTCTGTGGCTAGTGTTCAGAAGGTCATCCAGGCCTTTGTCGATGCAGCGTAAACACCACCCCGTAGCACGATGGCTCGGGAGTGCCGCGGTCAACAGAATGGTTGACGGGCCCTTTTATGAATGCTTTTCGTGTTAGTGTAGCCAGAAGCTGGTCTTTGGTATACCCTTGCACCTCGAAATCCTCCGATCTTAGCACGACTTGCGATTCGGTTTGCGTCTAGTTGCCTGAGACACTGTCATCATGCTTGGGTCTATGCAGATCCTTCGTCCCTGGCAAATGAAATAACAGAGATCGTATGATACTGAATAGATCTATATTTCCCAGACTCCCAATTGAAATTGACGTAGACGTTCTCCGACTTTTTATTAGAAATCGCCAATGATGCCATCCGATTCTCGGACTGTGGAAACTTGCTACTAGCGCTGAAAGTGGATGAATGACGTAGTGCCTCTCGCCGAGGGTCGGTTTCCGTCAATCACAGCTGTGGGATGCAGCAATCCACACTATCTAAAGCAGACACCCATGGAGACAAGAAACATGTGCTGCCTTTGCATATGCGATTTCATTTCAAAAATACCTTGCAGCTGCAAAAGAATGGCCATGGCTGATGGATCTTGCTCCGGTTCTCGTGGCCCCACCGTCCTTTCCCATGCGATGACATCGCTACCCGAGCGCCTGATCGACTATTGGCACCGCTGCACGCTGACTCTCCACCACCGCCAGACTTTTCCGTTCAGGGAAGCTAATGGGTACTATGACATAGCGTCCGTCGAGGTCTGGATCCCCAGGGTCCACCTCATGTATGCCCTTGAAAAGGTTTCTTCGAACTCGAACCATCGACATGTTTTTGCACACGACTGTCTCCTACATTTCTGACTTGCAACTTTTTGATCATGATAGACGCAGAGAATGTTCAGGATGTGTTACGGACGGATCTAACGACCGCCATCCCTGATTCAATTCGATCCAAGATCGTTTCATTGCCTCCTTTTATTACAGTTCCAGGCGTGTCGAATTTTCGTGACTTGAGTCACGATACTAAACTACGCCCAGGCTTCGTATATCGCGCTGGGAATCTATCAGATATCAGTGACGAGGGCAAAGAAGTCATTTCAAAAGACTTAGGTGTCACCACAATCTTTGATCTCCGCAATTCCAGCGAAAGAGAGCGAGCGCCCAGCCCAGACATACCTGGGACAGTCACAATATGGGAGCCTTATGGCCATAGACCTGCGTCCATCAATCTTCGCGACTTTGCAAAAGAGGACTACGGGATCACGGGCTTCGAGAAGATGTACACGGGGATCCTCGATGCCTCGCAGCCGATTCTCACCCATATTTTCACCCATATCCGGGATGAGCCCAACGATCCATTCATCTACCATTGTTCGGGTGAGTCGATCGGTCCAACCTGATATACCTTTGCATGCCTTTGAGTGGCACTTTCCGACGACTCTCACGCCCCTTGACATGTGGAGATATCTCTAACACGCTCCTATAGCCGGGAAAGACCGAACAGGTGTTGTGTCAGCTCTCATCTTACTCCTCGTTGGTCATAGCCATGAGGAAATCGTGGACGACTACATGTTCACCCGTGTCGCCCTGGAGGAAGCACGGGAAAACCTAACGGCGGCCCTCGCCATGGGCTCTGGGACTGACCATCTGAGCCCTGAGGCTATGGGGATGATCCAGCTCAGTGGAGTGTCGGCCAAAGCCATGGCTACATTTCTAGACACCTTTCAAGCCAAGTATGGCGGGATTGAGTTCTTCTTGATCACCACGCTTGGATTCACCCCAGATGATGTTGAGCAGATGCGCAAGAATCTGGTAGAGTCGTGATATTTTTCAAAGAGTGTAATTTAGATACGCAACATAGAGACGACAGAAATATACAGTTGTCGAGACCCTGAATCGGGGATGCGTCGAAACTTGAATGGAGCGCCTTCCTTTGGAATTCATGGTTTTCGTCGAAGGGGCTCGGGGTAAAGAAGGGTAAGAAACGATCGGGCTGTCTTCTTGACTGGGAGTTGCGCGTGAAGTTATCTCCATCCTAGTCCGAGGCTTAACTCGCCCTCACTGCCGACGTCACGAACTAGTGGCTCTTTACCCCTCTCGAACTCCACCGACCCTTGCCGATCATCGCTTTCGACCGTCATTATATCCCAAAACAAAAACCCGGAAATCCACTACTACCGTTGCCTCTAAACCCCCGCCCCATGGGGGGTCTCTACGAGTGCCACTCCATAAAGGGCCAATTTATCCGGCCACGGAAAAGTCCGTGGCTAACTCAGCTAGATCCGCTTCCGCTTTCTACGGACAGAGAGGCACGCACCCCATTTTCCTAAATAGAGCATCTGCACGGTCCATGTGGTCCAATATGAGCTAATTGCGATAGCAAAGCCCCCCAGGCTGATCTCCACTTGGAGCCAGGCTTCGTGTCCGGGGGATGAAGCGGTGGGCGTATAAGTTATGCATCTCCCCACATGGATCTCCGCACTCGGGGGATTGTCCAGTCAAGCTCCTATCTCGCTCCCTGCCAATAGTGCCGAAATGTATTGGAAGACGGTTGCCTTGGCTGGTCTTTCAGCATCATCTCCGGTGCTGGGCCACAATGTGGTCGATCTGACCGGAGATGGCTGGACGGTCAGTAACAAGGGGCTGAATATCTCGGTCCCAGGCCATTTGCCTTCTCACGCGCACTTGGATCTCTATGCTGCAGGTGCAATCGGTAAGTTTGCGCGAACTAGTCTTCCATGGTGAATTCTCCCGAGTCCTGACCCTGTCACAGATGATCCGTTAGTATTCCGGCAAATTCTAGGATGCTCTTCATTTAACCGGGCAAATACGCAGATACTTCGGTCTCAATGACTTCAATCTCCGCTGGGTTGCAACCAACAATTGGACGTATACTAGCCACCCCTTGAAAGGAGTGTGAGTTTCCATCGAGATACTGGGCCTTCTTGAAGCTGACCAGGTCTGTGTAGCTCTTCCGATGCCAGATCGTCCTGGCTTGTATTCAACGGACTAGACACATTCACCACAATCGAAATATGCGACCAATTCGTGGGTGCGACTAACAATCAGTTCCGTCAGTATAGATTCGATATTTCACAAGCTATCAAAAAGTGCAAGGGTGACCCAGTTCTATCGTTGAATTTCGGTAGTGCCCCCAACATTGCCAACCAAATTGCCAAAAGCCCCAACGCCGAAAGTAAGCATTTTAGAAGGGAACAAAGCCTACTGTTATTCTAATCCTTCCAAAAGAGTGGCCTTACGGTCCACAGCAGATCTTCGAGTTCCCAAACCGCTGGTATATCCGAAAAGAGCAATCCGACTTTGGCTGGGACTGGGGACCAGCGTTTGCCCTGCCGGCCCATGGAAGGATGCCTATTTGGTGCAGTTCGAGCAGGATGAGGGCGTCTATGTCACAAACACAGACTTGGACATCTTCCGCAAAGGACAGATTAATCACCTTGCTCCGGACCAGAGTCAGCCATGGGTGGTAAACGCGAGTATTGACTTCATCGGGTCGCTCCCAGATGAAGCGTCCCTGAGTATTGATATCAAGGACCTTGAATCAGGAAAGACACTCAAGGCTGCTGCCCTCGAAAATGTATCTGCCTCCGATGGCAGTATCACGGGAAGCATTACTATTCCAGCACGTGCCGCCAAACTGTGGTGGCCCACTGGGATGGGCAAGCAGATCCTCTACAACGCTACCGTCTCCATCAATGACCATAATAAACAGCTGGCTGCTGTAAGCAAGCGTACTGGCTTCCGCACCATATTCCTGAACCGGCTCAACGTCACTGAAGAGCAGCAAGCTCAAGGCATAGCACCTGGAGCCAACTGGCACTTTGAGATCAATGGTCAAGAATTCTACGCCAAGGGATCTAACTTTATCCCCCCTGATGCATTCTGGCCACGCGTGACCCAGGAAAAGATGGATCGTCTTTTTGACGCCGTCGTGGCTGGTAATCAGAACATGCTTCGTGTATGGGCATCTGGCGCCTACCTCCCGGATTTCATCTACGACATTGCAGATGAGCGGGGAGTCCTGCTTTGGAGTGAGTTCCAATTCAGCGATGCCATGTATCCCGTCAACGAGACGTTCCTGGAAGACGTCGCGGCTGAGGTTGCGTACAATGTTCGACGAGTCAATCACCATCCATCTCTAGCATTGTGGGCAGGTGGCAACGAGATTGAAAGCTTGGAGCTTCCCCTTATCAAGGAGGCTGACCCTGAGCACTACTCTTACTGGGTTGGGCAGTATGAGCAACTGTTCATCAGCCTGATCCTGCCGCTGGTATACGAGAACACGCGGTCGATCTCATACATGCCCAGTAGCACAAACAACGGTTTCTTGTCCGTAAATCTATCTGCGCCAGTGCCCATGGCCGAGCGCTATGATAACACCACCGCTGGCGAACACTACTCGGACACCGACCACTACAACTACGATAGCAGCGTCGCCTTCGACCTCGGCAGCTACCCCGTTGGTCGTTTCGCCAACGAGTTCGGCTTCCACAGTATGCCAAGTCTCCAAACCTGGGAGCAAGCCGTCGACAAAAAGGACCTTCACTTCAACAGCAGCACCGTCGTCCTCCGCAACCACCACTATCCTCCTGGTGGCACAGAAACAGACAACTTCCGCAACGCTTCAATGGGCATGGGCGAGATGACCATGGCCGTGGAAAGGTACTACCCGATCCCGCACAAGACAAAGGGTATCGACAACTTCAGCGCCTGGTGTCGCGCCACCCAGATGTTCCAAGCGGACCTGTACAAGAGTCAGATTCAGTTCTACCGGCGCGGCAGCGGCATGCCCGAACGCCAGCTCGGCTCGTTGTACTGGCAGCTGGAGGATATCTGGCAAGCGCCCACCTGGGCGGGCATCGAGTACGACGGGCGATGGAAGTTCCTGCACTATGTCGCGCGCGACATCTACCGGCCTGTCATCGTAGCGCCGTACTGGAACTATACTACCGGTGATCTGTCCGTATACGTGACCTCGGACCTGTGGGACACGGCGCGGGGAATCGTGAACATGACCTGGGTGGATCTGGCCGGGAAGCCGCTGGCGGGCAATGCGGGTCTGCCGCGCAGCCAGAAGTTCAGTGTTGGGGCGCTGAACACGACCAAGATCTTCGATGTGAATGTTTCGGACCTGCACCTTCCGAATAAGACGAATGCCGTGCTAGTGTTGTCGGTCCAGGCGCGCGGCAGACTGCCGAATGGGAATGGGACCGTCTCCACTTTCAAGCATCGCAATTCTTTCACGCCTGTTTTCCCGAATCAGTTGGCGCTGGTGGATCCCAAGCTCGAGGTCGCGCATGATGCCGGCTCCGTTTTCACGGTTGAGGCTAAGGGTGGCGTGTCGCTGTATACCTGGTTGGATTATCCTGCTGGGGTCGTGGGTTACTTTGATGACAATGCGTTCACGCTCCTTCCGGGTGAGAAGCGAAAGATCGCGTTTACGGTGCAGAAGGATGAGACGAATGGGACGTGGGTGCAAGGGGTGACGGTTAGCAGCCTCTGGGATCAGACCACATCTACATAGGAATGGAGTACTCTGGAGTACTCTCAGGACCATGATGAATACATAGGATCGATATCATGATCAAAATGGATCAACGAATATTCAGCCATCAAAAAGATGTATTATCATTATCGGTATTTTCTAAATGTCTAAATGCAAAAATCGAGAAATATAAACCGGTGTGCAGTCATCCCCATGGACTTTTCCCCTCGTCTAGAGAATTAACATGGTACCTCCCTCTCTCTTTAACCACTGTTGAGGTCATATCTCTATTCATGCTTGGGTTTCCTTCTTTCCCGCCACTCCACTGCCTTCCAATTCTAGTAATCAGGTATGGGTGAGCTTAGCCCTCAACTTCGCGCCAAAGAAGTAGAAGGTGTAGGGAATAAACACCATCCCCACACCAATAAAGGCCAGGAGCCACGAGGCCCACTGCAGCCCGAGACGGTGATACATCTGAGTAGTGAAAAGCGGGAAGGCCGCTCCACCCCCCGAGCGAAGGAAGACCTTCGCAGCAAGGGCCGAGGCCGCGTATTTCGAATACGAATCGATAATGTAGTTGTTGACCGCATAGTAGCACAGCACCATGCCAAAGCCAAACGCAATACCGGATGACGCGGGTCCGACCCAGATAATGTGCCGGTAAGATGTCGCGCCAAGCAAGAAGAACGAGATCGGGATCCAGGGAGCGCCCCACAGACAAGCCACCAGGCGATCCTCGGGGGTCGGGTCCCGGGATTGGCAGACCTTTTTGAAGTTCTGCTCCATCACGGGGGTAACGACGAGAGCAAAGCCCGCGCCGATAAGAATGGGAATAAACATGAGGCCGATCTGGCCGTCGTTGTAGTTGTACAGTTCCTGGAAGATGACCGGGTAGGCGAAGAAAAAGGCGTACAGCATGGAGTAGATCAGCACGATGTACATGCACATCAGGTCCAGGACCGGCTCGGTCAGGATCATGGTGATGGGGCGGATCAAGCTCGTTCGGACGATTTCCCGAAGGGTAAGCTTGTATTGTTCCTGCTCGGTGATGATGTTCGGGTTGCCAGTTTCTTTGCGGAGCTTGGCCGCTCGTCGCTTGAGGATGATCGGAGCGTAGGTCTCGGGGACGAGGCCGATGAGGATGGTGATGGCGCCCGCGAAAGCGATATTGGTCCAGTAGAAGAGATTGAGACGGCCGCTCCCGACGGTGATCCAGCCGGTGACGATGGGGCCGATGACAGGGCCACAGTAGGGGGCGGCGGCGAACAATGAGATGGCCATGCCACGGTCTTCCATGTCCCAGATATCGGCGATGGTCCCGCCCGCAAGAGAAAGACCGGAGCTGGAGAAGACACCGCAGAGAAATCGACACGCGAGAACTCCCCCGATATTAGGGGATAGGGCGCAGGGGATGTTGAAGATCACATAGAGGGTCAGGGAAATGATGTATACCGGACGACGTCCAATGATCTCCGAGAGGGGAGACCAGATGAGGGGTCCGACGGCGAACCCGCAGACCATGATCGAACAAGTCAAAATCGCGACTTCGAGAGAGACATGGTATTTATCTTCGATCAGGCCTAATCCACCCGTGACGAAGGCAGAGCCATAGGCAACGCATACAACCACCATAGAAGCGACCAGCGTGATGTACCAGCGGAATGCGCGAGACCAGTTGTGGGGATGCTCCGGGTCGCCTATCGTGAAAGTGACATATTCGACCGGCTCTTTGGGTCCTTTTTCGGGATCGATACGATTATTGGCTCTGGTCCCTCCCGGGGAGCCCGAAGCTCGTGATCGCAGCTGTTCTAATGCTGTTTGCGGAACCAGGCCGGTGCTCGTCTCGACATTGTATTCATCTGGAAACTCAGGCTCGTCTTCTCGTCCAACGTCCGGGTAGTTATAATCGAGGCGTGGGGGGGGTCTCTGGAATGCCTGCATTGCGAAGGGTCTCGGCCGTTTCGACCCTGGTCAACCGTGGCTCCAGGCTTTGGGATTCTGATGGAGCAGACGCCATGTCGGGAACGAATTACAGGCTAGGCTGCCAATGCTTGGTGTCTGGTCTGAATGATTTATGAGCACCAGACAGGGGTTTACCCTGGTCTTTATATTCCCAAGCTGTCAGAAATGCCGCAGAAAGGATTCTATACTTCCTGGCCGACCCATCTCCGAGACCAGACCGAAGCCTGTAGAAGGCCCAGACATCATTTCTAGCCAATCAGACACACGGCTTCTCTGGTCCCGTACTGGCGCACGGCACAGCCAGTGCCGTGGATTATGCGGCTTTCATGAGCCCCTTAGATTAGCTGTCAAATCAGATGCGGTTGGGCATATCAATCTCGGTGATAGCTCGGTGCCGAGTTATCCCCGCGGCGACTTCGGCGAAAATCCGGTTAGGTTGACCTAAAGCTGTTCTGACTAACATGGTCCGCCGGATTATCTTGCGCGATTCGGCAATGATACAATGATATCCTCAAAATTAAGTAAAATGGGAGAATCCTTCTTGATTGCTCGCAGAATCTCCTTCTGCAACCTGTTTCGCGACATCCATGACGGTATCTCCCTACATGGCGTCTCGGGTACTTGCCACATTCCAGCTCACTATCTCAGGTAATTCGAGGTGAACACTACTGCCAGCTCAGCGAGCTCCTCACATTCCATGATTCACGGTTGCATCATCGGAGCGAAATATGATTAACCCCGGGTCCACTCGTCTGGGCATGCCAACAATCACAAGCCCTAATGAAGCAACCTGCTCCGAAGTCAATTTACTACAACCTAACTTAAAAATCTAGGCACCAGAGCCCCCCCGGGCGAAGCTACGAGTATCTCGATAAGTGACCCCTGCCTGGGACAAGGATTGATTACTATTGCGGACTCGCGGATTGATGGTAACAAATACAGTTTTTGGCCATAAAGACGCAAAGGGTTATTCAAAGGCCAATGGTAAAAATCCCTCTGAATGTGAATTATCCAGCGGCCAAGGCCAGTCGGCCAGAAGCTCTTGCGGGATCTGGAACTGGAGCAGCTGGTCACCCATCGCATTGCCAGTGCTCGGAGGCGCTGCCTGTGCATACGGCGGCACTATGGGCTCTGACTTGTTCTCGACGGGTGATATTCCATTCGGGGTGGAGGGACCGCGGAGAGATTCAGGAGGCGAGAGGTTCGCATGTAGCCGTCTATACGGTCAACCTGTGAGCGAAGTCTTTCGCTAGCGCCCGATGCACGGTGGAGGCCGGTCTCTAAACGGTGGAGCAGATCTGCCATTTGAATGCTGACGAGGCGACCATCAGATTCCGCGTCAAAAAACTAAATGGGCACAAAGGAACTCACAGTAACGTGCGAACACGCTGATATGACGCGTCGGAAAGACTACCCTCCATGACAGAACCGAGGATATACCCGACTCCGCCCAGGTGATGAAGCTGGTCGCCATTAGTCCGATTTCAGATCCCAACGCAAGGGACAAAGTTCTTACCAAGGGAGAGCTGATGGCTTTCAAGTACTCTACAGGAACCTTCGAAAACACCGTCAGAAGCTCGCCAGCGACGTCACATTTCCTGTCCAGTCCGGTCTCTTCTGCTGACAAAAGAACCATCCGAAGGAGCTGGAGGGTAGCTTGGATATTGGCAGATTGGAAGCCGAAGAGGTCGCGCGAGATATCTCCAGTGATTGGTGGAGTCTCCCGAAATCGTGGAGGCAGTGCAGCATACATCGAGCGAACCCGCTCCATAACAGCAGGCTCGGACATGGATGCCGGGCTGAAAAGAGACCAAACTTCCTGCGTCCCGTTTGCCGAAGAGAATCTTCGACGCGTGCCATCCACAACATGTTCAAGCACACGATAGAGATCTGTCGTAAAGTTCCAACCATGCATCCAAGTGACCGGCTGCCGTGAGACCATATGCCCTTCGCCTTGGCTCGGTGCAGATGATTCCGGGGACGTAGGCGGTATACCATAGCCATGGGGGGTAATGAACTCATCATCAACCTCACTAGGATATCTCACTAGTGAGTGAGCTTCACGGTGTCTGATCACACCGCCCCAGACAATGGTCGAGTATATATCCAGTGTATAAATAGACCAAAACTGAAAAAACATATGTATATGTTAGGTGAGATAAATGAAGCCGAGTCCTTGGGCACATACCAGTCGGCGTCGTTCTTCGACCTCGATCGGACTGATATCTTTCGGCCACAGCTTCTCGTCATGGAAACCCTCCATAAGAGTGAGTGTGTGGTATAAGCCTGCGTATTTTTGCATGTTCTTTATTTGGCCATTTTGAATGCTGGCAATGGCAAGGACAGCACATGCTCGCATGTAGTTAAACCCTTTTGCATTAGCTAGGTCACGAGGAATAGAGTCTTTCGCTGCAGCGTAAAAAGTCTCGGAGGGCGGATGCAACAGGTCCTCCCGACGCCATCGAGTGCTGTATAGCGCCCCGTCGCGAGCACGGCCCGAGACCAACGAGCAGACCGCCATTGTAGAGGCAAACAAGCCTTGATTCCGAAGATGTTCCCCGCTATGAATCCTTTCTATAAATGTGGGTTTGTGAAACAAAGGGAAGCTAGAAGGGAAAGCAAGTATTAGTCCAGTTCTGCTGAAGGAAGCAGCAGGGGAATGTATCTCACATTGGATATACAATCTCAAAATACACCTGCACGAGGTTTCGAATTTGCTGGTCACACGAGACAGCGAACGCTCGCCATGAATTGCGCAGCGCTCCATCCTCATCCCAGCCATCCGGTGCATCCCAACCGGGACCGACGGAGGTCCAGGGATCCCCCGTAGCAGGAGCCCGAGGGGCTGGGTTAGGCACAGCAGAGCTCGGGGATGCCGAATAACCAGGCGCTCTGTCAGGTGCAGAGACGCGACCTATGGGATCATGGTCCGATTTCATAGGTGGCGTGCTGCGTGCATTCACCTTCATACCAGCCTTGACCCCACGGCGTTTAGCCGGGCGGTCGAAGGTGCAGGGACATCGAAGTCCGAGCAGTTCTGGCAACGACCCAGTGGATCATTGCTGCTGCTGCATTTGATGCTGCGTCTATTACAGAAGTCGCCTACACGCCACAGATACGGTCAGCTCCCAAACTTAACGAAGATGAAGCGGAGCATGCATTCGGAATGGAGCTGGAGTCGAAAGTGAGTAAGACTTACAGGCCTTGGAGACTCGCTGCAGCTTTCGCGGTAGTGGCGACATTCACCTTTGCAACCTCATCCCCCCGGGGGAGAGTGTTTAGGCCTCGGGCTAAATGCTTATTTTGCCGATCTGGGGAGTATCAGCAAGGATCTAGGGCCTAAGATGCGGGGCGCGTCTACCAGAGGAGATGAGAATGAAGAAAGGGAAAAAGGCCGTTAAGATCGACTTTAGCCGATTCCCCGGCTAACAAAGTACCTGGAATGTCCGTAGCTCCCGGCCTCCCGCTGCAGCGCTGACTCAGCCGCGTCATACACGCCCGGGCGGGCCCGCCGCTCCACATGCGATTCCTCAAGCAGGGTTTCTCTTGGGTGATCAAGGTTTATTTACAAGGCAATCAGAAAGCGAATATTTTCACCCCATTCGACCATCCATATCACCATGCATTATTTTCTCGTGTATTGTGTTTTACAGAGGATAGGATAGAGCTAGAAGTACAAAGCATAGCTATGTACGCAAAGTGACATCAAAAGACATGAGATGAAAAATAGAAGAAACATTGTAGGATTCTGTGAAGGAAGACAAGTTGCGGAGGAACCTTACGGCTCGATGATGCCTATTCAGGCACCTCGGAGGTCAGGTCGGTCTTGCCGTCATCATGATGGATCTCACTTTTGGGAATCCCGTGCTCGGCGAGAACATCTCCATGAAGCCTATAAGCCTGCTCCATCTTCCAGTAGAAGGGGCTAGCGGTGGAGAAAAAGAGCGTTAATGGATTCGAGGGAACGGTTGCGGGTCTCTGGGTAGACTGTAGAGAGCATGTTAGCATTTCCATTTCGCGGAGCACGACATGGAAGACTTACAGAGAAAAATAATCGGGACCCAGAGCACGTTGAGGCCAGCAAAGAGAAAGTATGTGCGGCTCTGGGGGATGTGTTAGCTTTGCAACGGCGAATTGGGGGGGGCACTTTGGAAACATACGGCCAAACTCTCGAACATGATAGGGTTGACAAGTGTCGTCATACCCACACCAATCGCCCATCCGGTAATACCGAACCCATTCCCTTGCGCTCGCAGCTCACTTGGGAAGATTTCGGTAGGAACTAAGAAGGCTACAGTGCCCCAGGTAGCCGCATAACCAAGGTTGAACAAGAAAAGCATCAGAATAGCCCCAGGAGCATATTGAGCCGCTTTTTCCGGATGATGAAGGGAGCCTTCGTAGACGGCGCCGGCGATTAAATTGACAGCGAAGAGGAAAGCAGCTCCGCCGATCAGGCATGCCCGTCGACCTAACCGGTCAACGATCTGAGCGCTGATAATGGTACCGATGATCCCGATAGTATTGATACCTCCAGCAAGACCATTCTGCGTGATGGTGCTATACCCAGCTTGTTTCAAGAGTGTGGGCGAATAAGCAGTGACAGCCTATAAGAGAGAATAATTAAGATCGTATCATGTCAACGAATCACTGCGGTTATGCATTCTTACCGTGATACCAGTCCACGAGCCCATGATCTGGAGCCACACGCAGAGCCATGCTCGACGACCCAAGTTCGTGCCCTTCCTCCCACCTCTGCCCAGTAAAATCTTGGCAAATTGAATCGGAGAGCTGGGCTGGCTTTCTTGGGAGGTCGCCACAATCTCCAGGTATTCACGTTCGATTTCTTCGTCCGTCGCTGTGTCCTTGCGCAGATGGACCAAAAGTTCTTTCGTTTCTTCCCTTCTCCCCACTGAGGCTAGGTAACGAGGGCTGTCCGGAAGCGTCTTGATGAAGCCGGCGAGAATCAAGGCAGGCAAGCACTGGAACGCCAGAAGAAATCGCCACCGAACGTCAGAGTAGCCGTTATTGACAAAGGAGAGACCGAAAGAGATCCAATATGCAACAGAAATCCCGAGGTCTTAGGGTGTCTGTTAGCTACCTGTGGCTTGGAGAGTGGCACCAGTTATGCTTCTCTCTGTTTGATGCGGGGATCTTACAGTTGGCGATGAAAACGTAGCCCAGGAAGCCACCTCTGTGGTCGGCCGTCGAGGTCTCAGATACCAGCACTGGCGTGATGCCCGTTAAAGCTGAAGAAAAGAAGAAGTCCTCAATTAGTAAATTTCTTTAAAGAGTAACACATTGGAGCGATGCTCAACGGGGCTCGCTTACCGCCGGTGCCAATCCCCGTGCAGACTCTTGCGCAAAGCATGAAGTTGGAGTTTTGGGCAGCTGCCTGTAGGGCACCGCCCACCAAGGCAAACAGGGATCCGATCAACATGCCGTTGATACGTCCAATCCGGTCTGCAAGCCAACCACCTGCAAAACATCCGAAGATCGCCCCCAAATAGTACACGCTCACAATGCCTCCTTCGTGAGTAGTGTCTGTGATGGTCCCATCGGACATCCCAATTCCTACTTCGGTGACATAGGTGGGCGCCGAATTAACACCTCCCATCACACCTTGATCGTAACCCTCGAAAAATATGGAGATCAAGGAAAATGCATGGATGGCAAAGTTTAGCTGGCGTGGCGACAGTCGTTTCCAGAGCGCAGTGTACCCCATTGTGAAGCTGCAATCCCTTTCTACCGTATTTCCTCCTTACCCCGGATGTTGGTCTTTATATAGTGGGAACCCACTTTTCCCAACATGGGGGGGAAATGGGGAACGGGGGCCCGGGGCTGCAGGGGTTTCGAACAATCAGCAAGTAGAATCTGGAGATCGCGGAGGTGGCTAACGCCACTCATAGGCGCGTAGCCATTTAGCCCCCGTCATACTCCGTGCTTTCGTTCTTCCGGAGCTTCCAATTCACCATTTAGCCATTTAGCCATTCAAGCAGAGCCTTTATGCGTTTAGCAATTCAAGCCGGTCAAGACGATCAGATATAAAGAATAATACCGAAAGGCCGACAATAGGTACTCTTCAGAGTATCTCGGAAGGTAAATCCCCGGTTGGCAGTTGCTTTTTACTTTATAAGCCTAAATTGTTGTTGGATCCTTGCGGGGTTGCTAGCTCAAGTTTTCTTTTCCTTGTATTACTCCGCCGTCTATCCCTTCTTTCAGACAATACCATGGGCTCTGCAAGTGTTGAGAATGGCATTCCGCGCCAGGGCCTAGACATGACTGTCCTAGGTCTGAACAGCGGCACGTCGATGGTGAGTCTAGGGTTCTTCACGATGGCTCAACAGAACAGCCGTGGAACGTCGATGATCGGCTCTTTCGAGGCAAATAAACTAACTTCTGCATGTAGGACGGCATTGACTGCGCGCTCTGCCGCTTCCGCCAGGAGACCCCCGAGTCACCTATGCACTTCGAGCTGTTAAAGGTGGGTTATGCATGAAGACTTACGTCCGCTAGTGCTCCGCTGATCGTCTGTAGTATGGCGAAATTCCCCTAGAGCCTGTGATCAAGAAGCGGGTAATGAACATGATCTTGCACAATAAGACTTCCCCCTCGGAATTATCAGAGGTGAATGTCATTCTGGGCGAGACATTTGCCTCTGCGGTGCACCAGTTCTGCAAGGACTATGGAGTCGACATGAACTCTATTGACGTTCTGGGTTCCCATGGCCAGACCATTTGGCTGCTCTCTATGCCCGAGGAGGGCGAGACTAGAAGCGCCTTGACGATGGCCGAAGGAACCTTTCTTTCTGCTCGAACCGGGATTACCTCGGTCACAGACTTCCGTGTCAGTGATCAAGCCGCTGGCCGCCAAGGTGCTCCCTTGATTGCGTTCTTCGACGCTCTGGTGCTTCACCACCCCACTAAATTGCGTGCCTGCCAGAACATTGGAGGTATTGCCAACGTCTGCTTCATTCCTCCCGATACCCACGGCGGTGTGGATGAGTGTTATGACTTCGATACTGGCCCTGGTAATGTCTTCATTGACGCTGTGGTGCGTCACTACACCAACGGTGCGCGCGAGTATGACAAAGATGGTGAGATGGGCGCTCGCGGCACTGTTGACCAAGAACTTGTGGACGACTTCTTACGTCACCCTTACTTCTCCTTGGACCCGCCCAAGACCACTGGCCGTGAAGTATTCCGTGACACTCTCGCCCACGATTTGATTAAGAAGGCCGAAGCAAAGGGCCTTTCACCCGACGATGTGGTGGCAACCATCACTCGTGTCACCGCTCAGGCCATCGTCGATCACTACCGCCGTTATGCTCCCAAGGATCTTGAGATTTCCGAAATCTTCATGTGCGGCGGGGGTGCTTACAACCCCAACATCACCGCCTTCATTCAGAAGCACTACCCTAACACACGCATCATGATGCTGGACGAGGCTGGTATTCCGGGTGGTGCCAAGGAGGCTATCACATTCGCGTGGCAAGGCATGGAGGCCGTTGTTGGCCGATCAATCCCCGTGCCTACCCGCGTTGAGACTCGCCAGGAGTATGTACTGGGTAAGGTGGCACCTGGTAAGAACTACCGCAAGATTCTCCGACACGGCATGCTCTTCGGTGGGCACCGGGACCACCTTCCACCGGTCAAAGAGCTGGTGAACTACGTCAATGGCAAGGAGTTTAACAACAAGTGGTAGAACACCAGACTGCCCCAAACTTATCATGCATGCCGAATGGCTATGGCAAGGATTATTTAGACGCTTATAATTCAATTCGATTCATTCATTCTCGCTCCATGGGACACGGAGTTCTCCTACCGTCGACGGAGAAGAAAGTTTAGTGAGTGTGGTCTGATACGAGGCGTGGATCACAATTAAGTCATGTAGTGTCGTCGAAGGAGTGATGTTACAAGACGAGCCTTTGAGCCAGCAATACCGGTGTTCCGATCAGCCTAACTTATTGACTGCCCTGGGAGAAACGTCACTAAAAGAATGAGCATTCTAACCATATGGGCAACAATTCCACGAGGTCAAACTGCAGGTTAACAACTAATCAAGTACCATCATAATACCGAAACCTAAAAGTCAACATTAGCAATCTGCCGTTTAGCTTATCGTTTATGAAGTCTCCTCGACCTGCGCCCATCCCCTGTCCAAAATCAAGGACATTCGAATAGCTGACCAGTCAGGAGTCTTCAAAGCAAGCTCCCGAACCCTAAACAGCATGTGCGAAGGGTTCATGCGGGGCTAACCGTCAAGTGGACAGAAAACCACGCGAGAGGCCTCGCGGCAACCAACCCAAATGGGACAAAACTAGCGGGGGAAGGAATGGTGCTCGAAGGCACACATACTGATTCGCCGCCCTAGCTGTGTGCATTGATCCTATGGGTCGCGTAAACTTCGCGTTAGCGTGGCTGGGCGTTTCACGACAAACTTGGAATCTTATCCCCTTGCCCAGATCGGGGAGCCCCAAGCCCCGCCGATCTCCCCCGATCTCTGCCGCGATTGTTTTTGTGAACTCCCGGGGCGATTACCCACCTTACAGATAAACTCTAGCCAAGGGTCCCTCCAGCGTTCCTTGAACCGCGACTGTTTTTGGTTACGATCAAAAGCGGTCATGTTCAAGCTTATTTCTTTAGTCGTCTTGGCACTTGCAGCTGCGCTGGTCGGCTCAGCAGAAGTAGGCTACTCGGTCACAACACCCTCGACCGTGACGAACTCGTCCCTAAGCTTTGGCTCCCACTATGCTGTGTTGAATCTGGACTTAATCAACGCCAGCGTCGGTAGTGTCAATGGCACAGCTCAGGGCCAAGCATGGATTAAAAACACTGCGAAGTGGATTGATGCGTAAGTTGGCTCCAGCCAAGCAAAACAGCTGGCAACCCCGGATAAGGGCTAAGGGATAACGCAGGGTCCACAGTCAGTCGCCTCCTCCGATCAGCATATTCAGCAGGGTGTACTTCAGTACTCACCTTCTTCCGGAGATCTCGGCAAATGCTCCTTTCATGAGCACTGTCGCTGCAGTGGGCAACATAACCGAGTCATCGGTTTCCTCTCAAATATACCCTCGATTCAAGTTATTGCCTCGCTACGATGTTGCTTTGCAAAAGACCAGATTCTTTGCAGGCGCGGACAATGCTCTCGTGCAGATCCTTCGGAGTCAAAAGATTGATACTGTTATCATTGTATGTCAACATCCCACTTATACTAAAACTGCGTGTCGTGAAATTGACCCGCCACAGTCTGGTATTCGCACATCTGGTGTCGTCCTCTCAACTGCAATGCGCCTATTTGACTTGGATTTCAAAGTGTTTGCACCCTTAGATCAGTTGGCAGCCAACCCTCTAGACTAACCCACTGCAGATACGTAATCGCCAATAACACGATTGAAACTGGGGATGATGCGACCGCTATCAATAACGTCATTCTGCGAGGCATCCTTCCGAAAATGCCATTGGACGTGATTACCATTGAACAGGCCATCGACGCCCTATCCAGGTCGGAAGCAACCTACTACTAGGCTCTCTCTTGTCAATAAATTGTGTTGCTGAATGCACACAAATGCGTTACTACGTGGCCCTGAAATTATGTGCATTGATGCATGGTTTTTCAAGGTATTTCGTTCCCTTTTGTCTCTAGACCAGGCAGCACTTGCCTATCACACCATTTTCCGTTCTTCATGGGGTTATCTTCACATTATAGTATAATAATGCAGCTGCAGTATTCACAGCATTCCCTGCTATTAGTGGTAGCATGATCAAGTTGAAGCTGGCAATCGGCTTCCCTAGTACTATTAAGTTAGCGCTAGTATTTATCAGAGATATAGTTAAAACATTAACACTCCCTGATCTTTCAATTCACCCGGTATTTGATGTTAAAGGTACCAAAATAGATGTTTGAAGTTTATGCAATCACATCGAACATGCCCGATTCTGAAACCTCGAGATTTGGTTTGGCCTCCCGGGTCTGGGTGATCGCCAAGGCTGCGGCAGCCTTCTTTCCCATCTTAGGGTTTTCCACCCCAGGAACCGGGTCCGCATCGCCCTTTTCACCTGGATATCCGTCTCGCCATACTTAGCCAACCGTCCTTTATCCATCAGTCTTTTTGGAGCGTGGGACCTCAACCATCCTGATGCCGGCATAGCATAGGATTATGTTCGGCAATCCTCCTTGCATCCCGCTTTGGTCAATTGGAATTAGTTGCTTTTCGGCTGAAGTTGGGTGGTCCCTGTTCATTCGTGGCGTCTAGCAGAGTCGCATATCGCTGAAGTAGATGGATCTTTTGGATAAATGCCATCTGAAATTACTTCTGTATCTTGACTTGGCCGGGTATCGCTCTAATAATCCTCCCTCTCTGAGGTTGTATGTCTTCCTGACTGATTCAGGCATGCCCTGTTCTGCGGCAATACCTCATCCCCAGTGTACCACACGCAATTTGGACAGCCGTCGAATTAATCATTCTGGCCATCGGATCCTCAGAAGACGTTCCTTTGCTGATCATCGTGTTCAGTTCTGCCATAGATATCTTCCTTTTCCTCGGTTCTTACTACCCTGTATTCCAAGGCCATGAGTTTTCATAATCTATTTCTGGTCGATAGTCCCCCCTGACAGGCGACATTTATTTATGACACAATGGCTAATCCAGGGCTTGGGAGCCATGGCCATAACTTACTTCTATTAGGTCTCCTGGCCCGAAGGATTCAAGCTGATTGCAGTGTACGACCATGATGTGGAGGGCCGTCAGGGTCCTGCTGAGACGCAGCACTTCAGGTATAATAAGAAAAAGGCTAATACAATAACATTTTGATAGTTATAAGCTTCATGTTACATAATCTACATACAGCGGCATCTTTAGAACCGAAAGTAGCTGCTGAGAAGTTGGCTCGATAATCCCAATCTGGTTGGGAGCGTTAGGCATAACAGCGGCCCGTCGTGTGCCCTACACCAGCAGACGAAGCTGGACATGCAGTCACTCAATCAGTCATATACTCCTTCCACGTTTGCCCCAGGTCAGATTTTGGTCTTATTAGCCTGAGTGGTAATGGGTACTGTGATGCGCCACGCCAAAAGGGACCCCCCATGTTGGTACCACGGTTTTCCTTCGAACCAATTTGTCGATAGTTTCCTCGAGCCCTTCAATAACTATATGAAAATTTAGTCTATATTTGATCCAAATTATATGTTATTGTTCAACGGATCTGCTCTAGTAGGTACACCATGATGTACACTGTTAGTTCATGAGGCGTGACTACGAAGACGGTATGCAGGTCGGAGTATTATTAGCCGCTTATGGTCCCAGAGAGTACTGATTGGGGAGGTCTTGGAGGCTACGAATATTCTTGGGAAAGGCTAAAGCGACCATGCACCTCGGCCTAATGCTTTCTCAATACCAGCAGTTCGCGGAAATCCTCAACATTTGCCATCTGTCTGTTTCCTGTGATCCTGAAAAGCAATTTTCATCTCAAAATCAACCTTTGATGAACTCATCGAACCATGAAACTGCTTGTGCAAAAGCTTGTTCCTTCGCATGTCTCTGACGAGGTCGTGCAAGATCACATCGCACTGAGAATCCATGCTCTACCCAGAATACAGATTAATCTGGTAAGGAACTGGGTCTAACTTGTCCAAGATGTCCTCGCTCTCATGGCGCTTCTGTGTCGTGAACACAAAATCTCGCCCTGCTGAAAGGTCAGAACAATGACTGGGTGCTACCAAAAAGATTCCAACATACCTGCCGCGGCCACACTCAGCGGGCGCTCAATAGATGCCAATTCCTCACTCGTAAGCATGGTCGGATGGGCGATAAATCCAGCGTCGAACTTGCCATCCTTCAAGTACCGGCAGACGTACTTCCCGCCGAAACAATATCCTACACCACCGATACGCTTACACCCCAGAATCTCCCGCATTTCCTTGAGAACGATATTGATGATAGGATCAACATGAACTGGCTGGTGGTTCTTCGACCATTCCATGATCTGGAAGCCCTCGGGACGGTTAAGAGGCACGGAGTCGCCGTGAAACATGTCTGGCACGACAACAAAATAGCCCATTTCAGCGAATTTGTCCGCAATGAGCTGCACATTGATGAACTTGTGACCCATTACATCGGTGATGATAAGTATAGCGTCTTCAGTTGACTTGTCACGTGGATAGGTGAAATAAGTTGAGACTTTAAGATGCAACGCACTTAGTAGCTTTTCGAGGAACGGCACAAGATATATCAGGATAGGTCCTGGCACTCACTGTCACTGATATTTTTGATTTCGCCTTCCGCTTCACCTTCATGCAGAGTACCAAGAGTGCAGCATCGTGTCAGCGGGTTAGCAGCCATTTCGAGAGTTGAGAATCTGTAACAGCGATTGAGTTTCAGCTTCGGGGTCTGGGAACGATCCTATATAGATATTGAAGGAAAAGGGCATGCACCAAGTTTTTATAGTATATGGTATTTAATGTCACTAGCGGAGATAGGAGAAAAATCCAGCTAACTCCAAGAGCCTGATGAGCGCCGATATGACGGCCTTAGCATCTACGACTTTGTTTTCCATCTTTGCTATTGAGCCTCAACCTTACTCACTGCCTCGGGAACCCAGAGACATGATTGGCTAAAGGATGAATGCGCCATCGCCCAACACGGAAGTTTATGTGGGTCCGGATCATCCGAAAAGCTGTCGCCGCGACACGAACTTGAAGCTGCGAAAGACCGCCATCCCCTCAGACCTCTTAAATCCGAACCTTCCACCATGTCGAGCCGCTCAGCCTGGCGAGCACTGCACTACAGTGCTAAACGTCGTGCCTTCCAGCCGATCACCCCTACCGTTGCTTCTCTTGCACCCGTGCCCAGGAGCAGTCCAAGTCGGACCAAGAGCGCATGACGCACTTTGGCTTCACCGATGTTCCCGAAGCCGAGAAGGAGTCACGAGGTAAGCATTCTGAAGGGCTCTTCAACTAGCATCACCAATTGCACTGCAATGCTAATTCTATCTGCCCAAAGTCGGCGCGGTCTTCAGCTCTGTCGCCTCCTCATACGACCAGATGAATGATCTGATGTCCCTCGGCATCCACCGCCTCTGGAAAGACCACTTCGTGCGATCCCTCAACCCCGGCTCGCCGCTCTCAACCCGCATCAACAACCCCGAGCAAAAGGGATGGAACATCCTGGACATCGCCGGCGGAACAGGCGACATCGCCTTCCGGATGCTGGACCATGCCACGAACATCCACCACGACATCGACACCCGCGTAACAATCAGCGACATCAACGCACAGATGCTGGCCGAGGGCGTAAGCGCTCGATCCAAACTCCCTACTATAACACGCCGCGGTTGGACTTCGTCGAGGCCAACGCCGAGCACATGCCGCACATTCCGAGCGAGACGGTGGATCTGTACACGGTTGTGTTTGGCATCCGCAACTTCACGGATAAGCAGGCTGCGCTCAACGAGGCATTCCGTGTGCTCAAACCTGGTGGTGTGTTTGCTTGTATGGAGTTTAGCAAGGTCGACAACCCGCTCTTTGATGCTATCTACAAGCGCTGGAACTTCAGTGCTATCCCCATGATCGGGCAGCTTGTTGCTGGGGACCGTGCTAGTTACCAGTATCTTGTGGAGAGTATTGAGCGGTTCCCCTCGCAGGAGGAATTCAAGGGGATGATTCAGAAAGCTGGGTTCATGATTCCTGGTCGTGGGTATGAGAATCTGACGTGCGGTATTGCTGCTATCCACAAGGGTATCAAGCCCGTTGTGAAAGCTTGAGCTGGGGCTATTTCTCGGGTTCCTTTCTCGGGTTCAGCTGAACGAGTGTGCCTGATTTGTATTATACATGTTGCATTCATTTTGTATTACCACGAACTCTATATAACTTGAAGATATATGACAACAGTTCAGGGAAATAATTTTACTTGGATATAACCATAAAGGGCCCCTTCGACCGGGTATAATATGTGCAGTGTCAGTGATAAGATATGCTCAACCTTCGGGCAGACATTCGCCAGACAGCTTCGAGTTGTTTTAGGCGACTGTATTGTCTCCACCGGTCATCAAGTCTTCCACTTCCAGGACACCCAAATAGCTCGCCGGGTGAGTTAAGTCTTTGACCACCGCAATAACAGAAACCTTAGTACTTGAGCTCGAAATAAGCCGTCGGACCTCGGTCAAGGTTGCAGATTCTAGGACCAAGAGCCAATTGGACTGTGGTTCCATTAATGCACAGCCGGTGCTTGCCATCACGTCTGCAACACTCATATCGACATTTGTATTTTGAGAAAGAAGCGACCGAATCCTTCTTGGGGAATAAGCACGGTCGACGAAAGAAACACCCATGATTTCGCATTTGGATGTTGAATAGCAGTCATGAGAATGTCAAGTAATGTGACCTGATCCACAGATTGTGCTGAGACGGTTGGTATGCTGTCTAAAGATACCATGGTATCTAAAGGAATTCGTTGGGTGCTGGGTGGCTGCTGAAGTGTGAAGGGTGGGATGGGTGCGCCTCCTGCAATGTCGTCCCATTTAAGTGATACGAAGGAGGAGGGAGAGTCGAATGTATTAAAAATGCTGCTCGGTGGAGTTGTGGAAGGGGTCCTGGTTTGTAATGCGGCAGCTCCGATGGCACCCCCAGGATGATAGCCCCGAAATACTTCTGCTGGTCCTCTTCCAGGCTCCGTATGAAGATTTCGGGCTATCGCAATAGCTAGCGCGTCACCCAGACACAGTGCTACCGCCGTGGAAGAAGTCGGGGCCTTAACCCCTAGAGACGATTCCTCGTCTTCGTGAACTGGCGCCGGAAGAAGAATCCCATTACCCGCGGGTTCATGGGAGGAGAGCAACGGGCAATCGGATGGTTGTAAATGCGAGGTCATAGCAATGACCGGTATAGAGAGGGAATATGTGGAAGGAGGGAGAAGAGTTCTGGCGAGCGTCCTGAAAATGAAATGAGGAGCATGGTATCATTCTAAGAAGTACATCAGCAAAAATACTCCACAGGCCGCTTACAGCTCTCTGCAGGTGGCTTACCTGGCGCACCAACCCTAAGTCGCCATGCAACGCCTCGGTAGGGTGGAGAAAGGCACTGTATATCCCAAGACTAGTCATAGTCGCCTCGATCTTGCGGCCGATCTTTCCACTTTTACCAACCCCACATACTACCAATTTGCCGCCGTCTCGGACGCTGCGTGCAATCTGATCGACTGCACGGCTGAGACCGTATTGCGCCTGCGCGTCGGTCTGATACAGGTGTTCGAGGTGTGAAAGGGCTGCGCGCTCTGTAGAAATGACGTGAACGGCTGCATCAATGGCAGACTCATCTTTCCTAGCCATCGATGGCGGGGCATCAGAGCCGTCCGGGGTAGGTGGCCAGCGCGAGATCATTGGGGTGAGTTTGGAGGTCATTTGGGGAGAGGAGAATGGATCGATGGATGCGCTGGTCATTGTGGAATAGGAACATGCAGTTATGGAAGGTGGAGGGGGAAATCCTCCCAGGAGGTGCCTGGGAGCTAACGGGAAAATGGGGAAAATGTGGAAGTGCTCAGATCGAATCCGTCTCGATAAGGCGCGGGATACATGCGGATCGGCCGATCGTGCCTCTGAGACTGGCACAGAAAGACAGTAGACCTTCTTTTTTTTTATAAGAATTTTTCTAATATGCAAGAAAGCACTGGTTTGTTTCTTGTTGTGGAACTACCTTGCTACTTATTGGGGACTACGACATGAGGATAAGGGCTTCATACAAAATCACTTCATACGGATCGATCGGTAAGATTTAATTCCGAGTCCGAGGCTGTCAATTCATAAACATATTTACAATGCTTGGCTGACCCGCCTACCTGCCTGAATGCTAGATGGAGGAGAAAGCACACTTTCCAATGATCAATGATAGGATTCGCGTGATAGAAAGAAAAAGAAGATAAAGAGTATCCCCAGATTACTTGTATAATGCATCTGAAAGCTGCATATCATTTAATTTATGGTGTCATTGGGCGCGAAGATGATGCAGACGGCCGATCAGTACTGCATCCGGCAACCAGACCCTCCGAGGCCCCATAGCCCCCCCATAGTTCCATGCATGGGACTCGACAAGTACATAAGCATCCGTGGACTCCGCCCGGGCGTACACTAGTTCGCTTAGAAAGATATCGGATCTAGGCCCTGAGACCTCGATAGTAACCTGTATATGCTATGTCCCCGCTATGAAGAGTGGTCTGAAGTGGCCCACTGGAAAGAAAAAGGCTTATGGAAAAATTGAGCAAAAATCCACCCCAATATCAAGGGTCCGGAACGCCGGCATTCATTACATCTCGCCTGTTTTTTGTGGAGAACCAGGGTGCCAGGCCATCAGAATGGAGGACGGGACGTGAAGTTGAGAAAAATAGCCAAGAGCTCGAGTCATTCATGGCTTGCCCACTGGAAGTTCCAACTAGTAAATAAGACAGCAAAAGGGGGGGTATCGTATCGGCATCATTGTCTTAGCTTCATCTCGGGTTTGCGACACAAGAGGCCTGGTCACATCACCCTGCCTTGTCCTTGCCCTTTTCGTTCGTCGTTCCATCATCTTCGTAGAGGTGATGTTGTTCGATGTAGTGAATGACCGGGACCGGGATCAGATAGCGTACGCTCATCTCACGTCGCAAGAACAGGCGGATCTTAGTGCTACTGACATCGTTCTGAATAAGTTGCTGAATGACGTGAATGTTGTCCTTCCAAGGCTGCAAGCTCGCAAGAGCTTCGTCGATATCGGTGCCACTGCGCTCAACGATGAATGACTGCACTCTTTTTAGTAACTCTTCGATCGTGAACAGAAAGCACGAGACTATGACGTACCCCATATTTGCCTAAGATGTGGTCCAGATCCTTCTGACTCCAGACACCCGGGGTAGACATGGTGTGTATAAGATCAGCACCGGCCAACAAGGCAATGCGGACCTTCTTCATTTGGCCATCAGCTGCCTCCACACCACCTCTCACAGTGTTGATTTCATGGTCAAAATGATCTAACACCACAGCGGTCGGTTGATATTCCTTCTGTGTAGGCTCCCAGGTATCTACCATAAGCCAATCTGAGGTCTGTTCCACGGCTAACTGACACATGGCGATACTTCAAACAAGTTAGCAATGTGACTCGCGGGGCAAAGGAGAATTGCCTCATAATTACCGGTGGTTAGCACTGGCGAGCCCCGCCTTGCGATAAGCATCGGATACGGGGGACAAATAACCGCCTAGAAGTTCGAAATCGGTGCTGAACTTGACGAAGTCGGCAGCCATCTCAAACATGCGCAGGTGCAGATAAGTAATGGGAGAGAAAGAACCACACGCCACCAAGAGCAACGGCGTCTTCTCGGGGTCACTCATCTTGCGCTTTAGGCGCTGGTCGGGGAAAACATATTCTTCTAGCTGAGCGGAACGGAGATCAGTCGCAGGTTGGTGAACGTCATCGCTTTGCCCTCCGACCATTTGGGACGCCATCGTGAAGGGCGGGGGTTGGAAGAAAGTGGGATGCGGCAAGGCGGCAATGCGGCGGTTTTATCACTTTTGGGGGCGTCGGCGGAGATTGCCGGGTTCGATCTTGAGGGGAAACGTTTATTTCGGCGAAGCGGGGACGAACTTTTCTTTCCTCTTTTTGCGCGTCTCAGGGTGAGGGGGCGAAAAAAAGGGAAGAAAAGAACGGGGAGGGAATAAGAGCGAAGGCCTGGCAAATATTCTAAGTCTGTAAATCTAACGTGGTCGCTCTGATTATTAAGTCCTCGGTGAGTCAATTGAGGTTTCTGGGGTATCGGCGTGGCTCCGGTCGCAGGTGCTCCGGCTTGTATTGGAGTGGCTCCAAAGTAAGGCGATGTAAACACTTACCTTGTCACTCGTAGGCAACGAGTCTTCAATTTGCACGCTGTGATTATATACTATGCACCGGCAAGTGGTTAGTTAGTCAGTTACCACTGGCTATTACCAAGCGCGCAGCACTGGAATTGGTGAACTTGGGGTTATTCGGACCTGACCCGGCAACTCTTTTCGGATCTAGACCTAATATGCTTCAGGTCCGGATTTAGTATAAGGTCGTAGCTTAAATGTCATAGTAGCTTAATCACTTTACAGCATTATTCTTTCCCCCTGAAATGTAGTTCAGCCTCAGAGTGGGAGTGTATTCGTTTAACCGTTGCTCGTCCCTCTCCTCATAATGCCTCGCCCCGGAGCTCTAAAGTTCCAACCCTCCTAGTCCCGGATGATTTCATTCTTCAAGGAACGATAGATTAAATGTGTCGCAAAAAACATCTTTCGCGAGAATTGAGTGCGCCGAGTCACAACCTGCAGATTCGTGGAAAAGAGTTGAGTACCTCGCTGGGCACTTTGGGCAGTGTCTTATCTCATCACTGAATGTTGCACTCCCGCCGCCTGACGCTCTCCGAATCCAATCGTCACCACACACTTCCCCCCTCATTTCTCCTTGCCATCTCTCAACTCGCCTCCACCGTACCGTCAATTTCCAATACCTCACGTATTGTCTGCTCTGTTTCTCTTCCCATTTGCAAGCGTCTAAACCCACAGCCCTGACGGCCCCAATCAGCCGGCCCGAGAACTTCATCTCGCCATTTCACCCGCTTCTCGTCCCTGCAACTCCAGGTGTGCGAATGGCGGGCTGAAACGGTGCTAACCGCCCTCTATATCGAAATTCCTCCCGGGACCCGGTAACTTATGGCCAGGCAAAGGCCCTCCGTCAACCGCCAGGACCCTCTCGAGGATTATTCCGTTACCCCCGCAGGAGCTTCCGCCTCTTCGGACCTGAGGTACTTTGCAACCCATTTCCTTCGTCGTTTTGATTGCTTGCCATCTCGTGGAACATCCCTTCTGGATCCAAAGTGGTTTCTCTCAGGAAATTTGTCAACATACCCCTCGCTCACTAAGTTGGGCTCTTTCCCTCCAGTGAAGTTGAGGGGATACACGTCCACGCGCAAATCTTCTGCACCACCTATCCATTCCAGAACGCTTCAAATTTCATCTTTCCCCATCTCCTGTATCTCTTCTCCATCTGGTTAGACCAGTGGAGCACACTCGTTATAATCTTCTCTACCGATTTCAAGAAGAGTCAGTCACTCATGTCCTCCAGAATCACCCGCTCAGCTGCTCGATCCGCCCAAGGCCAAGGCCCTCCTCCTTCCTCTTCTGACACACCCGGAACTTCTACCCACCCAGCCGCTGGCCCGGCCTCTCGAAAACGCAAGACCTCAAGTCATCGGGAACAACCGTCCGGTCCACTAGATCCAACATCCCAGTCTACAACTCCGTCGTCTCCACGAAAACAAAAACGAGCACGGACAGCGGCGCCCTCTGCTAGCCCTGCTGCCGCCTCGCGTCGAACCAGGAACCGCCCAACTATGTCACAGCCAGGGTATGTTGATAACCCATTTCGACATGCTGCCAGGGATGAACTAACGCCTCTGGTACTCTGTAATAGACCGTCTTCTCGCCCCTCGGAGGACTCAAAGAATGCATCTCCCCCGCCCTCAGGTAGACGGAGGACTAGCCGTAATGGTATTCTGTGGACCTTCTTTCATCTATCCCAATGTGATATCTAACTTTGTCATACTTCCCTAGATCGAGTTGCCGCACAACAATCCCCTCCACGGCGCCAAAAGAAGCGAGGTGCGAGGACAAATCCTGACGTGATAATGAGGGACACAGAAGAGGATGTGGAGGAGCACGAGGAACATAGAGAAGAAAGGACAGAATCTCCAGCCGGGGAAAGCAATGATGGCACCAACCCATCGGCCTTTGACGACGACGACATGGACCCGTTCCACAGCAGCCTATTTGGCGGCCGGGGTGCCATGGGTCTTCAAAGTACCCTCCGCGCTTTGACGGGTATGATGTCAGGCATGTCTTCGCGCCTGCGAGATATTCTTTGCAACTTGAGGAGTGATGATAAATCATCTCAATTGATTGCGTTGACAGAGCTCTCCGACCTTCTTCTCGTTTCGAACGAAGACAATCTGTCAGGTCAATTCTCTCCAGATCCTTACGTCAAGGAGCTTGTGAATTTAATGCAGCCACCTGGTTTCCCAACCGAACTGGATGCAGAAATTATGCTGCTTGCCTGTCGGTGTCTGGCTAATCTGATGGAGGCCCTTCGTGGGTCAGTGGCCAACGTTGTGTACGGTGGTGCTGTGCCGGTTTTGTGCCAGAAGCTCCTTGATATTCAGTTTATCGATCTTGCTGAGCAAGCACTTAGTGTCAGTACCTCTCTTTTCCCTAGGTCCAAAAGCGCGCGCTTTCTTGCTGGATTCAATACTGACAAGTCTGGGATCTTAGACCCTCGCGAAAATTTCCATCGATTTTCCGGCTTCAATTGTGCGGGAAGGTGGCCTTACGGCCTGTTTAACTTACTTGGATTTCTTCGCTACAAGTACGCAGCGCACTGCCGTGACCACTGCGGCTAATTGCTGCCGCAACCTGCCTCACGATTCATTCCCTGTCGTCAGGGACGTGATGCCAACTCTGCTGAATGTGCTTTCTAGTAATGACCCGAAGGTGGTGGAGCAAGGGTGTCTCTGCGTCTCCCGCATCGTAGAGAGCTTCAAGCATCGCCATACCTATCTTGAAGAGTTGATCGATCCGGGCATGTTGAAGGCCATTCTTCGGCTCCTGCTCCCGGGCACCACAAACCTCATCGGATCGCATATTCACACCCAATTCCTTCGTGTGTTGGCCATCGTGTGCCAAGCCAGTCCTAGGCTGTCTATCGATTTGCTCAAAATGGACGTCGTAGATACTCTCTACCAGATCTTAACTGGTGTGTCTCCGCCTGAAGATGTCGAAAGCACTGCTGTCAAAATGGACAGCGTCCTAGTCATGCAGGCTTTGATACATCGTCCTCGAGAGCAGGTTTTCGAAACACTCAACGTCATCTGTGAATTGCTTCCAGGTGTTGCTGGTCGCGAGTCGTCCCGAACTGATGCTCTGCTCAGCTCTTACTTTGATAGTAGCATGTCCATTGGTATGAAGTCCTCCAAAGCGAAGGAAAGCCCCGAAGAAAGACGTGCCTTGCTAGAGGAATGCAAACCGGAACTGAAGAGATTTGCCGCAATCTTGTTCCCTACTCTCACAGATGCCTACTCTAGTACGGTCAATCTTCATGTCCGACAGAAGGTCCTCATTGCGCACCTCAAAATGCTCCATATTCTTGAACCTAACCTGATAGAGGATGTCCTACGCACTGTTCCTTATGCCTCTTTCTTAGGTTCAATTCTTTCCCAGAAAGATCACCCATCTCTGGTTTCCTTGGCTCTCAGATGCGCTGAACTCTTGTTCGAACGTCTAGAACATGTTTATCAGTATCAGTTCCACCGTGAAGGAGTCATTTCGGAGATCATGAAGATCTCTGAGTCTCCGTTGTCTACGTCCCAAGAAAGTCATGACGAGGATGCCGAGGACAAACTTCCCAGCGAAGGTTCCCATGATGTGAACATGGAAGCTTCTGATGGAAGTATCCAGAGTGTCAAGCAAGGCAATCCAGATTACGACGGTGAAGAAATGGACGAGGATGAAGACGAAGACGAGGACGAGGAAGACCATGATGAAGAAAACGACGATGGTTCAGATTCAGAAGGCTCTTCAGTCTCTGGCCGAAATGCGGGAGATAATATAGAAAAGGCCCTCAACGATCTTGTTGTGCGTGATGCCCATGCGTTCCTTAAAATTTACGAAGCTCGACATGGTGCTTCTGCTCGATCAGAAGCCCAGAAAGTCTTGGACGAACTGCAATCTTTAGCAACCAAGATTCGGACATGCTACTCTTCGCATGGTGATAAAAATGGCTTTCCACTTTTCCAGAGCCTTGCTGTTCATTTTGCAGGAGAGGCTCTGGAGAGCATTACTAGCTCTGAATTGCTCAACTCTGGTATCATACAGGTTTTGTTGGACGTTCTGGGCGACTTCAAAGCGACGTGTATTAGGAGTGCACGATCGGCCTTTCTGAAAGCTTTCATGGGCGTCTCAATATCGGAAAAAGCAAAAAGCCAAAGTACTGCCACAACGCCGTTTAGTGTCATGATCAAGAAGCTCCAGGACTTGCTGAGCCGGACTGAACATTTTGAGGTCATCACTGTCAGTCACAATTCGCTCGAAAATACGCGCAGCAATGCGGCGTATATGCTGGGTAAACAACTACGACTGAAACTAGTGGCTGAAGAAGGAACCGATGCACCTCGGCCATATAGGAATGTTATGGTCTCCATTCACGCAATTGCCACCTTCAAAGCGCTGGACGAATTCCTCCAGCCACGGATTGCAGTGAACGATCGCCCTCGCCAGTCTCGCACCAGAGATACTATCCTCTCCCAGATCGCCCAGGCAGCACGTATGCGTGACCAAATGACAGCTCATCCCCCTCGAACTCCGTCGACGGGGATCCCGCCGCCTCAAGCTGAGGATCCTTCGGATAGCGGTAATGCGATGGACTCTACAGGCGAAGATGCACCAGCCGCGACTAGGCGACACCGTGGTTCGCGTTATGAAGATCAGGATGAAGGACAGAATGGTGACGAACCCCTCGAGTGTGCCGATGAAAGGCAGCTTAGCGACGATGATGGAAACGATGGAGACGATGCGGCCGAGGACGAAGAGCTCAACGCCATCGTTGATGATTTAGATGAGGACCTGGACGATGACCAAATCCATGACCCTACCGCCGTGAATATGGAAGTTGGATCTTCGGGCAAAGTCACCGCACGAAAAGAGGACGGAACTAGGGTCGGCACCCCATCTCAGTCTACTCCAGCATCGAAGCCATCTGCATCAACTGCAAACCCAGCCTCTTCTCATCTCGGAACCAACAGCTCCCTGGCTTCTGCTGGCCGACCCTTCTCATCTTATGCGGCGGCCATGGCCTCAGTTCCCCAAGACTGGCACATTGAGTTTTCCGTAAATGGCAAGCCCATTAGCGGTGACACCACAATATACCGGGCTGTGCATCACAACCGTGAACACCTGGATGAAGTGAAAGCCAAAAATGTCTGGTCCGCCGTTCACACTGTGACATACCGACGTGTCCCTGGCCCACCGCCACCTGAACCGTCTACCCTATCTGGTTCGGGACAGGATGCCTCCAAGGACGCTGATCCCTTTGAGCTCCCATCTTCCTTGTCCAAGGACCACACGACAGCCTCTATTCTCCGTCTTCTTCGTGTTCTCCATGAGATGAATGCTACAATCGACGATATCTTAACTGAAGCCAAGGATCGTACCAACATCACACCAGAGCCACTGGCCCAGTTCATCAATACGAAGCTCACTGCGAAGGTGAACCGTCAGCTGGAAGAGCCATTAATCGTGGCAAGTGACTGTCTCCCCAGTTGGAGTGAGGACTTGGCTCGTTTATATCCTTTCCTATTCCCATTCGAGACTAGACATCTGTTCTTACAGTCCACTGCCTTCGGCTACTCGCGGGCTATGATGAGATGGCATAACTCTCAGATTGCTGAGGAAAGTCGAAGGGATTTGCGACGCGACGATCGGCCCTACATCGGTCGTTTACAACGCCAGAAGGTTCGCATCTCACGAGCGCGCATCCTTGATTCAGCCATGAAGGTCATGGAGCTCTACGGGTCTTCTCCGAGCGTTTTAGAGGTCGAGTACTTTGAGGAAGTCGGGACTGGTCTCGGTCCGACACTCGAGTTCTACTCCACCGTGTCAAAGGAGTTCTCAAAGAAGAAGCTCAAGATTTGGCGTGAAACGGATGATCTCTCTGGGGCTGAGTATGCTTTTGGCAAGCGGGGTCTGTTCCCCGCCCAATGAGTGAGGCGCAAGCATCCCAAGATGCTGGAAAGAAACTGTTGAACACTTTCAAGGTGCTTGGAAAGTTCGTTGCTCGCTCCATGCTCGACTCCAGAATCATCGATATCTCTTTCAATCCTGCATTCTTCCGGATTGCCGACACGATGTCATCGGTGGCCCCGTCCCTCGGCACGGTCAAGGCGGTCGATGAGGATTTAGGCAAGTCTTTGCTCATGCTGAAGGGATTCGTCGAAGCAAAGAACAGTATTCAAGAGGACGGCACCTTAACCTCAGAAGAGAAAGCCCGTGCCATCAAGAACATCGTCATCAATGAAGTTCGTGTCGAAGACCTGAGCCTAGATTTCACTCTGCCCGGTTACCCATCAATTGAACTGGTCCCTGGTGGATCCGACATCTCATTGACCATCCACAACGTGGATCAGTATGTGGACCGTGTCATTGATATGACCCTCGGCAGTGGTGTTCGGCACCAAGTCGAGGCTTTCTGCACGGGCTTCTCTCAGGTATTCCCATTCACCGCTCTTCGCGCTTTCACCCCTAGCGAACTCGTTATGCTGTTCGGACAAGCTGAAGAGGATTGGTCTATTGAGACTCTCATGGATTCTATCAAGGCCGACCATGGCTTCAACATGGATAGCAAGAGTGTGCGCAACTTGCTTCAGACTATGAGTGAGCTTGACAAGCAGCAGCGTCGTGATTTCCTGCAGTTTGTCACTGGTAGCCCCAAGCTCCCTATCGGAGGTAAGCCAGATTAGCCCACGCCTAAACAGCGTCAAACGTTGCTAATAGTTATCTACAGGTTTTAAGAGTCTCACTCCCATCTTTACTGTCGTGTGCCGCCCAAGCGAGCCCCCGTACACCCCCAACGACTATTTGCCCTCTGTCATGACTTGCGTGAACTACCTCAAGCTTCCGGACTATAGCAGTTTGGAGGTTCTTCGAGAGCGGCTGTTCGTTGCTATCAAGGAGGGACAAGGAGCGTTCCACCTTTCTTAGATGGCATACTCATATATCTCCCCCCCCCCAAGTCCTTTTTTTTTTCTACTTTTTGCAAACTTCTGCCCTTCTGCATTCCATGTCCGGCAGTGCCGGGATTCCTGGCGCCATGATTTTGCACCTCCTCTGATGATGAGGAAGGTTTTTAATGATACGATGACTTGCGATGCAACTTGCTAGTTTCGAATTGAACCCCTATCCCCGTGTTTTCGGTCACGCTGATACTTTCTTTTTTATCTTCTGTGTGCCTGGGCTTAGGGCGTTAGGGCGAGATTTCCCTCACCATATTGGTATTTAGATAGCAACGGACAATCCTTTCTATCAGTCCTTCGAGCTAGTCGCTTCAGTTCAACGAAGCGTAGGATACCGTAAAGGACCTTGGAACGTAACAACTCTATTCTATACTAGTATCTCTATTCTATCTATATTCTATCTCTATATCGTGGTTCGTCGTAAGATATTAAACACTAAAAATAGCGCCCATTCGAGCAAAATCCAGCATGCAAGCCTCCGCATCATGACCTATCACGTCCGGTACACCGAAACCATCGACTAAAAAAAGGAAACCCGCGTTAGCAAAGACGTCTCAGCCATCCAAACTAAGAAAGCAGACTCACGCTAGCAAACTTCGGCTCCACAAATAAAGCCTTTCCCTCCGCAACCATCACAGCCCCCGGACTATCCTCTTCCAAAAGCCCTACATCCGACACCTCACGCGCCTCCGAACCCACCGGCAAAGGAAGACAAATCATCTTCCCCGCCACCCACGCCTTCCGTCCCTCGACCTTCGTCGTCTCCGCCCGCAACACGTACAATCTGTCTGGGAGCGCCGGCTTCCGGAAATCGACATTCAGGTTCGCCGTCATACCCAGTCCACTAGGGAACGCCGCAGACACACAGCGCGCGAAGACCTCGTCGAACAGCACCGATAGCAAGCCTCCGTGCACGAAGCCTGGGTGTCCGCAAAGATCGCGGCCGATGTGGAAGACGGAAACAACGCTACTGGCTTTGGGGTGGGACGAGGCATCGGGGGCCCTGGGCTCAGATGCACATGTCGAGCTTGTCCACATGTATGGAGCGAGGGCTAGCTTGCCTAGGCCGGCGAGACTGCCGCCGACGAGGTGATGTTGGCGAATCGCCGGGGGAATGGCCAGGTGGGGGATGGATTCTTTGTAAGCGCTTTGGGGGCTGCGAAGGGATTGGACCAGGGGCATGCGGGAGATTAGGGTCTCCAGGTTTCCTGATTCTCCATGCTTATGAGGACATGATGAGCTGTTGACCGGAGGCACTTGATTCTGGGCTTGTGGGATAGCCTGCTCGTGAACAACGGCGGAGCGCGAGGGTCCATGTTGATGGAGCCAGGCTACTGGACCTGTCGGAGAAAACAAAAGCCGTGGAATTGTTCGTGAGGGGCGTAAGAGCCGGGTCGTTGATGGCAATAGAGCAGCCATATCTCAAGTCTCAAACTCTTCGTGGATAAGAGTACAGAACTTGTAATGATGCCTTGATAAATTTTACATGTGAGAGCCTGCACGGTTTGTTTCGGACGGGGAGCTCACGTAACAAGATCTGCGGCTAAATAGAACGCCGGAAGTTTCGTCCAGGATTAGGGTTTGGGCCTGGGAATGGTCACTTTACCAGCTGCTGGGAGCCACTAGGAAGTTTATAGTTGCCCTCTTTCGCACCAGGCTGACGTGAGGCGGTCTCTTCCAAGTTTTGCCCCCATTTGAATTTTTCCAGTAGCTATCGATCCCAATGGCACTTTTGCCCTTTTCTGTGGGGCCCAAAAGCCGACTTTCGGCGTCGGACTCCTGCCGAACCGGAGATCTCGGTATACCGTCCTCTGCGCCGCCCATTTATCTGATATCGGTCATCTTAATGTAGATATTAGGTAGTAGGACCCTTTCCGAACTCCCAGAAGATCAGCGGGGCTAGTATCTGCAACCCTACGATACTCGGAGGGGCTACTCTTCAAGATACAATAGAGCATTAGGGCCCACAGTTCACCATCGGAGCTCGACAATTCTACTATTAGCCCCACTACCAGTAGATTACTCAGATGACGTTGTATTGGCGTGCCGTGTGTTTTAGCATGCCATAGTGTCTTGGTTCTCGTTCCCATCAACCTATCAGAGTTCCCATTCGTTATCAATCAGAATCTCAGTCTAGAAACACATGGCTTTCAAGACTATCGTGTGGGGGTATACTCGTCAAGTGCAGATCAGAAATGTACAATATATTCCATATTTCTCGCGCCATTAGAATGCATAGCTCCCACGGTTCAGGAGGTAAGAAGTTATGTAGTATTCCAAGACACCGCCAGTCGTCCGCGATCAGTCTGACTACAAACCCGTGCGAGTAATTATCTAGTACATAATATCAAATATGACACTGGTAAAATCATAAGAATATGCTTTATTTTCCCCTTTTTTTCCCAATAAACTCGTCGTAATCTTTCCCAGGCTTAACTGCAAGGGAACTGCCAGGTTAAGGTGGCACCTTTTGACTAGGAGAAGACTGTATTCAGGCACCCTATTTACGGCGGCGTGCCCTCCAGATAGGGATCAAATGCAGGCATTAGCCCGGCCTGTCTTTCACAAGTGGAACACGATTTGCAAAAAAGACAGTGGGTGTAAACCCGGGACGAAGCGAGCCCACTTAAAATTGTTCGACAATTTTCTTGAACAAAAAGTTTGGAAAAAGTTTCCATGCTTTAACCGCATAAAATTTTCACTCCTGAAGCCTGATATAGACAATATCAGGAAGAAATGCTACAAAAATGAAAATTTATGCATCGAGGAGCACCGGAAAGCTTTTGTCGAATGTACTAAAGGGTTCATTCCAACTCTGGTGATGAAATATGGCTCCAAGGGAATGGAGATTTGCGAATGTATCGAAGCCATGATTATCCCTAATTGGGACCCGGCGTACAAAATTATTGTGTTGAGGTGGATGGATTTGTTCTCCCAGAAGTGCTGATAGTCCCGTTATGTATTGAACATGCAAACCCTCGATATTAGGATATATATTGGACTGATATCTGGAAAATTCGCTTCTTGGTTCACGGTGTTCCCATGTAATAGACCCTGAGTTGCTCAAGAATAAAGTCATAATTTGGATCCTATATATCCTAGAGGCCCTCCGTATGTGTCAAGGAAGAATGAGATTCGATGGCGGAACGCCGTCGAATCGGCGTAGAAGGCTCCTTTGAGGATATATCAAAGATCCTTTGAGCTGAAGTCGTGCCATTCAATGTCGACGAAGTGACACCGCTGGATTCTGTTGCATCCTATTGGTTGGATTAGGGCTTAAATCCGAGCTGGGGCCAAACCCCTGGTGAATCCCCTTATAAAAGGGGCTGTTTGTTTAGAAGGAAGAGTAAGCTTTAGTCTTTGTTCAGACCGGAACCCTACAGCGGGATCCCACCGAATATCATTATCTCGCCTGGTCAACTGGTGCCACCCAAATCTGGCAGTTCCCTTACAGTCTGAATGACTCTGGACTAGCATTAGGAAGGGTGGAAATTTCAAGGATTCCATAAGATCCCCCCCGTCTCTTAAAATTACCGAATTTGGAAACTATATACGGCCATGCTCCACCAATCATCCGATACCACCAGCGCGGGGAAATCAGCAATCCGGGGTGTGACTCACGCAGTCAGCCACTGGCAGGGAGACCTATAGGGGATAACAAGCTGGCTTTTAGCTCTACTCGAAGAAGACAGCTGCTCAATCATCGGGATTCGTACTGAGCAATGTCGCTCAACTCCCAGATCTTCAACTACGCAGGACTCATAATCTTGGCTAGTATCGGGTCCTACGCTGTCTATATCGGTTCGCAGGTAAGTGATGTTTCCTTCTAGAGGCCTTCACAGGAACGTCGGAGTTCCACATCGGTGTTAACATATCTCCAGAAATGGATAAGATACCAAGCGAGAGTACGTCGCGCAAGGCAGATGCCGATCGAGCCTTTGCTACATCATGACTGGAGGTCTGAGAAGCCTCGCCAGCTTCGCCCATTCAAGCCAACTTACAATATCACCATGGGTTCGTGAAAGAAGCCCTCTCAGCTACCATACCTAATGCAAGAACAGGAATCCAGCAGGACTCGTTGTCCGCCCTGATCCAAGTTGACAACCAATACTTGGAGCACACCATGGGCCGACGGGCTATCATCGAAAAGTACGGCAAGACAGTTTATGGGTTTCGTCCGGGGGGGAGAAGAGGCGACCTACGAGTTGTACTCATACCTCCTCACCCACCACCTCCCCTCGCGCTTCCCCGGGCTGTTTAAGATTCATAACAATGTCTTCGAAAATCATATCACGGGGGCAAATTTCCCAGCAGAGCCCCCTCATGACCCAGATTATTGCTTGAGAGTGCTGGCGGAGACCGTAGAAGAAGATATTTTCCTGTTGCAGGAGACCGAATCAACTCATGTCTGTCTGGCTTTTGCCTGTTGCCATCCGGCTGGCTTCGACCCTTCGGCCAAGCTTGGAGCAGACCTCAAGGCAATCCATGGCCCCGTTCCTCATTTTGAGAAGATCGGGCCTAGCATGGAGAGATATTTCCGCAAGCTTGAAGTGGGGAAATCAGTCAAAAGAGTGAATGTAAGTTTCAAAAGTCTACAAGAAGGGTTCGGCTTGGCTGAAAAGAGCAGTGGAATATTCAAATCGGGACGGATATCACCAATATCGCCGGAAACCATATCAAAGAAGGCGATACGTTTGTTTCTGACGAAGCAGTAAATTGTGAAGAGGTATTTATGCCCCCTCCCCAGCTGTGCAAATAGCGCTGAGTTTCTAACTAGCTGCCCAGGGGTTCTTACGATGTGAGCTCCAGTCTCTCACTAGACTGCCAGAAACCAAGTTCATCCTCTTCAGCTTCAAGACGTACATGTACCCTTTAGGAGATATCAAGGCTGAAGGCTCTGGTCCCGAACTCGCAGACGCTATCGACGGTCTGCTTACAGGAAACGCGCCAGGGCTGAACAAATACAAAGGGGCCGTGAGATGGGGTAAGGGCGTAAAGGATTACTTACGCTCATAAAGCGCAATACCAGTACGAAAGAGTCGATCGCGCAGAATCCAAGTAACCCGTTAGTAGAAAAGACGTTGCATCGGAGCCTGGGGATTGGATCCCCAGCTGGAATTTCATGAATGGTGTATCTTCATAGTCTAAATGTACAAAGTTCTGAGGAAAATGCGACGCCACAGAAAGGAAGCCAACCGAATATAGTTTAGAATTTGAGGGGGTCAAGATTTCCCAAGAAGGCCTCATTGCCTTCTCCCCGAAGGAGAGCTTCGATGTCGACTCGGCCAGCTGTAAGGTATCGTTCACTCACGCCGATGTTCACGCGCTGGGAGAGCAGTTGTTTCAGCTCCGCTCGTAGACTCGCCAGTTCGCCCTTTGTGATACTGCTAGCTTTCTTCTCCCGCTGGTGACGGCCACCACCACGGCCACGGCCCTTGCCTTGAGACTCATCGAATTCTTCGCTGTCGTAGTCAACGCCCAGATCATCGGCTGCTTCACGTAACCAGTTCTCTTCGGCGGAAACCTTCTCTTTGGCAATATTGGACTCGGTGATTTTCTTGGCAAGATTGATCCGTGGTCGGACGCGTGAGACAACCCGTCGGTCAATATCAATGGACTGCAAAGGCAACTTCTTCGCAGATACGTTCGGGTTTGACGCATGTACCTTGGCAGCAAGGCGAGCAACACTGACGACTTCATCAGGAGCACAGATTATGATGCTTTTACCGACAGCACCAGCACGAGCAGTACGACCAGATCGGTGGACGTATGCGTCTGCCGTGCGCGGAGCGTGGTAATGGACCACGCAGTCGATGCCCTTGATATCGAGACCGCGAGCAGCAACGTCAGTTGCAACAAGAATAGAGCTTGGGTCGGACTTCGGAGAAGAGAATCGCTCTACCGAGCGCAGTCGTGCTTTTTGTGCCATAGAAGAATGAAGGGCGAGGGCGGGCATTTGTAAAGTCTGCAAGAGTTGCGTGAGGCGACGGACAGCAGAGATAGAGTTGGTAAAGACGAGCGTGCGATGCTTGGGGTGGTAAAGCAAAAGAGAGTAGAGATATAAGTCCTTTTTATCTCAAATCAGCAAATCAATTCCACGTTTTGATCAAAAACGAGGATCCTTACCTTTTCCATAGCAGGACATTCCACAATGCCTTCCTTAAGACCTTCTGCCATTTGCTGCACGGGGTTGACATCAATGAATTTGGGTTTTTCTTCCCGAAAGTTAAGCTTCTTTAGCAAATATTCCATAGACTCTTTTTTGTCCATCAAATCGCCCGTGGTCCAACGGCCTTTGCCAGCCAATTTTTGCTGCAAATCACGATGGAACGTTGCAGAGAAAACGAGAGTCTGTCGAGAAGATAGATCATCTTCAGCTGCAGCTTCTTCCTCGACGTCAGGGAAGTCATTGTGCTCTTGTCGATCTAGGGCACCGATGATCTCCTCTACCTCTTTGAAATGGCCTTCGCTCAAAAGCCGATCTGCTTCATCGACCACCAAGAATTGAACCCGCTGCATCTTGCGAATGAGACCTTGGCCGCTGCTCAGGATTTCCCAAACTCGACCAGGTGTGCCGACCACGATATCGGCATTGGCAAGCTGCCGCTGTTGCTTTTGAATAGACAATCCACCTGTCAACAGCGCAATCCGTGCATCTAAACCAGGGGAATTGTCTCTCAGATCTCCAATGTGCTTAGCTAGTTGATGTGCCAACTCGCGAGTAGGAGAGAGAATGAGTGCCATTGGTGATGAAGGCTTCTTCTCTTTGCTGTCTTCCTCCGTCGGTCTTTTCTCCAGATAATATTCGAGAATTGGGATACCAAAGGCGAGTGTTTTTCCGGAGCCAGTCGACGCCTTACCGACAACATCGTGCCCTTCAAGGATGGCAGGAATGCACGATTTCTGGACCGTAGTAGGTGTGGAGAACTTCATCTTGGAAAGACCAGTCAGAACGTTAGGCGAGAGACCCAATTTATCCCAGGCTGATACATCCATCCCATCATCGTCCGCATCATCCTCGAGTGCTGCGAAAGAGAGCCCAGCCTTGAAACTGCTGTCTCGAGCAGGCTCCGGTTCTGCGGACTTGTCCTTAACCACCTTAGACTTATCCTCCTTTTTAGTTGCCTCTTTTTTTCCTTCTTGTTTTTCGACTTCTTATCTTTCTTAGGCCCCTCTTTCTTAGGTTCTTGCTCTTGGGGAACAGAAGTAGTTGGCTGTTCGTTTGATTCGTCATTGCTGAAGCCGTCCCATTCTTCATGAGTTACGGGCTCCTTGGAAGGGTCTTTCAAGATCGAATTCTTCGGCTTGCCTGCTTTCGCCTGATTCATATGTTGGTGTCAGTAAAATAATACAATCGATTGTAAGTCGGATGCCTACACACACCTTGAACTGGACTTCACCCTTCCCATTAGGACGAATGATCTCGACATCATCAATTTCTTCGAGGCCAAAGAATCCTCCAACATCTGCCATGCGATCAGGCAGAGCGACTTCTTTCCAGTTAAGTTGGTCGACATCCACGGAGCCGTCCCAGGCTCCATCGCTCGAAGTCAAGCCAAGCTTGCTGCCCTTCTTGCGTTTCTTCGACTCCACTGCCTGGGGCTTTGAATCATTTCCTCGTTTCTGGCCCATCCTCGCGACTGCTTCGCAATGCGACCTGGCAAACAAGCTTGAAATGGAGTTGAGTTAAAGTCGCAATAGTGAGAGATCGCGCGGAGGAAAAAAAAGTGGCAGTATCTCTCCGCCCGGAAATCTTATCGCCTTTTTGGTCCCCCACGTTAGAACTTCGCCAATCGAGAGGCTTTCTTCTAGAATTACCGAATTCGCCCAATCCCACGCTTGGAAATGGGGAAATCTTCCAAGGACAAGCGCGATGCCTACTACCGTCTTGCGAAAGAGCAAAATTGGCGCGCCCGCTCTGCTTTCAAATTAATTCAAATCGACGAGCAATTCGACCTCTTCGAACACGAGAACCCAGAGAAAGTCACCCGAGTCGTGGATCTTTGCGCTGCGCCCGGGAGCTGGAGCCAAGTGCTTAGTCGGGTTCTGATCAAGGGCGAAAGCTTTGGACGACGGGCTTGGCTGGAAAAGAAACAGAAAGAGCAGGACGCGCTACAACGAGGCGCGAGTCTTGCGCCTCAAGGCGAGACCGAAGAACAATACGAAATTGGCGAAAGTGACCCGAGCGCAGAACTGAAGCCACGAAAAAATGTGAAGATTGTCTCGATTGACCTGCAGCCTATGGCGCCGCTCGAAGGCATCACCACTCTCAAAGCCGATATCACACACCCTTCTACAATCCCTCTTCTCCTGCGCGCTTTGGATCCAGAGGCCTACGACTCCCCTTCAACGACCACCGACTCACCGAATACCCCAGCTACAATCCGTCAACCACACCCCGTTGATCTTGTTATCTCCGACGGTGCTCCCGACGTGACAGGTCTCCATGACCTTGACATCTATATCCAGTCCCAATTACTCTATGCGGCGCTCAACCTCGCCATGGGCGTGCTCCGTCCCGGAGGCAAATTCGTCGCCAAGATCTTCCGAGCTCGCGACGTTGATATCCTTTACGCTCAACTGCGTACCGTATTCGAACGAGTCAGCGTCGCTAAGCCACGAAGTAGTCGAGCCAGTAGTCTGGAAGCGTTCATTGTCTGTGAAGGATTCATTCCACCCGTTGACGGTGAATCATCAGGGATGGCCGCTCTGAAGAACCCCATGTTCGGTGGCGCTGCGAACCCAAAGCCCATATCAGAAGACGGAAATCTCGCACTCCAGGTGCCCGAGGCCGAAGAAGAAGAAGAAGAGAAGAGCCGACCTGTTTTAGCCAAGAATATTACATCAAATACGACCTCCACGCAAAATCACATTACAGAAGTCCGCCAATTGCACCCAGCAGACAAGCCATCACCGAAAAAGCTGCCCACGAAATACTCTGCAGAGAACAGATGGATTCCTCCTTTCCTGGCTTGCGGTGACCTTTCAGCCTGGGACTCAGATGCGTCGTATGCTCTTCCCCCAGATCATGTTAGCCTAGCTCCTGTTCAACCTCCCACAGCACCTCCTTACAGGAAGGCTTTGGAGTTGAGGAAGAAACTAGGCGGGCATTATGGAAAGACTAAAAACGTGCAATGAAACCAATGCCGATTGCATTGAGATCTGAAATGTGATACGAAGCATGGATCAACGGATGAAGAATCACGATCAACGCTGTGTAATGTATGATGCTCTTGAAATAGACCAGACTTGGAAACTGAATGTCTCCGGACTGCATGAAACATAGAAAGAAATCATTATTCATTATTGAACCCCCTTTTCTTCCTATAGTTATGTTTGGTGATCACGTTTCTACAGGAATAGTAAAATATGAGGATAAAAAGTCTCATTACTTGCGTGAGATGCATTTTGAGTCTATATAACTTGCGCTAGGTCAAATCAAGACGGTCTAGAATGGGGATATAGACAAAAGGGAAGGAAGTGCTCATCAATGGCTCGCATCTAGTAAACCTCAAGGACATAACGCTCTTCGTCCTTCAGCTTCTCAATCTCTTTGCGAGTCTCGACCTTCTTGCCGTTGGCCTTGGCCTCGGCACCGATAGCCTCCTCCAAGACAGCAGTCACATCAGGAACAGGCCATGTGGGGCCACACAGGTAGAAAGCACCCTCTTCACGGATATAGGCTTTTTGAATCTCCGAAAGAGACTCGCGCATGCGGTCCTGGATATAAATCTTCTGCGGCTGGTCACGCGAGAAGGCGGCACCAAGGAGAGTAATGACACCGGCTTCCTGGTAGGCCTCCCATTCTTCACCGTAACAGTACTCCTCACGCTGATGGCGGGATCCCATGTACAACAGGACGGAACCAATCTCCTTGCCCTGCGCCTTCTCGAGAGCACGGTGCTGAACGAAAGCACGGAAAGGAGCAAGTCCGGTACCCAGACCAGCCATGATGAGAGGTTGGGTGGACTTGGGTGGCAGCTTCATGACACTGGGCTTGACGCTCACAGTAATAGGCGAGCCAGGCTGCAGATCCTTCAGGTAGCGGGTGGCAAGACCGAAACGGTCACGGCCGTTGGGGTCAACCCAGTTGACAGCGACAATCATGAGAGCGACGGTATTCGGGGTGACCTTCTGGCAAGAGGCGATGGAGTACTCACGACGCTTCAATGGACCGACAATGCGGACGATCTCGTGGAAGTCGGGGTGGGCGGAGGGATACTCGAGGAGGATGTCAGCGAAGGTGACGGTGTCGACCTCGGCACGGCGCTTAAACTCAACAGCACCATCGGGGCCACCGAGGGTTGCAAGGGCAATCTTCTCCTTTTTCGTCGGTGGCAAACTCTGCCAAGGCCTCGTAGAAGCGCTTGGGAGGGCGTCCGAAGATGTCGACGTTCTGGACCAGTGCCTGGTACACAGTGCGGTTCTCGAGCACATTGGGATCCTCACGACTGGGAACTTCCACGATGGAATCAGGGTCCAGGCCGTAGAAGTCGATGAATTCACTAACTTCCTTCGGGTCATTCTCGGCGTGGACGCCAAGGGCCTCACCAATGTCGTAGGTGAGACCGGTATTGCCAAGGTCAAATTCAATATGGAAGATGTTCCGGTCATAAGTGACTGGAGTCAGACGACGGTTCTCCTTGACGTGAACAGTGTAGGTCTTGGTTGCCAGGTCAGGGCGGAGGGCATTCCTGGTGCCGAAGGCTTCCTTGAATGCGAGACCACGAGCAGCGGTCTGCCAGTCCTTAAGGAGTGTAGGAGGCTCAGCCTCTTCCTTATCGAAGGGAACGAAGCTGTTAGCAGAGATGTTCGTGGGGAGCTGAACAGCCTCGCTAGCGCCTTCTGGTTCCTTCCAGGCCTCAGGAACCTCGATCTGGCGGAGGTGTTTCTCGAGATCCTTGGAAACATTTTCCAAAGCTTCCCCGTTGCCCAAGATAGAAGAGAGCTTCTTGGTTGCGACGCCTTCCTGGGTAGGAAGAGCAACACGGAGGAAGGCCGCTTGAAGGATCAGATTCTCGAGAGATGAGTCTTCATTGGCGGAGGTATCGAGGATATACAGGGAAATCCCCCGCTGGGCGATAGTTTGACGGAACACAGGAGGCAGCTTCTTTTCAAGATCCTCGTCCTTGACACCAGTCGCATTCACAATGATCTTTGCATTCTCCTTAAGCGAGGCAAGAACATCGATATCTTTAAGGATGTCAAGGCTTCCAACATAAGAAACATCGGCGGCGGAGACGGCGTAAGGAGCATCGATGGTCTTAGCGCTCTTACGGATGTCGATACGAACAGCACCACCTTGGACCAGGTTATCGTGGACCGTGCTGGTGGTAACATTGCTAGCAGAGTCGGCGGCCAAAGCTTGGCTGAGAGTCTGGGAAGCCTCTGCGGTGGTTGAGTTGTCAACATCCCAGAAAGTGTACTCCTGGACAGTAGAAGGGTCCAGCAACTGCAGGGGTGCGGCACCACCAATAGGCACAATTGGCTTATCGAAGATGCGCTGGAAGGCCGCAGCAGTACTGACCAAATCCCATTCCTGAGAGCGTGGGTACTTGATCTCAACAATACCAGGGGCATGCTCACGGTCAGTGGCAAAGGTCAATGATGCCAACACATCCTCATAGAGAGCAGAGTGGACACCCTCCTCTTGAACGGCCAAGTCATTGGTAACTTGGCCCAGGACTCCAACGGTCTTGGTAGACTTGGGCAACACACGCAAGAACTCTTCCTCGACAAAGGGGCGATAAACACGAGTGTTAACAACACCAATTTGAACGCCACTCTTAGCCAGAGAACGAGCAACCTGAGCTGCCAAAGTAGCTTCAACGGTACCGAAGACAACCAGAACCGAAACAGGCTCCGCGTGACCATGGTACTCGAAGACACCGTAGTCAGTGCCTAGTTCCCCGTTCAGAGTCTTGAGGATATCCAGCACCTTGCCTTGGGTGTCGAGGTGGCGGGTACGTGAATCATCCAAAGTCTTGCGAACAGTCTCATATGTTCGGTTCAAACCGTCCTTGTCCAGAATATCGATGACTCGAGTAGTCTCGTTGCCGACACGCACGCCATCATATATGTGAATTGAAGGCAGAACAGATGCGAGCAGGGTGGTGAACAGAGCCATATGTTGAGATTCGTGCGCAGACCCACTAGAAACAAGACCTAGACCAAGGTCCTCGGCGAGAGCCAATGCCGAAGCATAGTCGGAAACCAATCCCTCCTCTCCGCTGTAGTCAACAGCGGCCACATGAGCAGCCACCGGGCTTGCCACCGAGTAGAGCAGGGAAAGCTGCTCAAGGGCGGAGCGCAGGTAAGGCAGAGTGGCCGAAGATGCAACGATCCCTTGGGGCACATGGCGTTTCTTCAAGTCGAAATCTTGAGAGAAAAGATAACCCAGTGCAATATTTCCGGCACCTTGGCGAGTCTCCATAGCTTGTACAACAGGAGATTCGCCGTTGGCATTGGTTTCCTGCTTCTCGGCCCATTGACGGAGAGCCACATCAAGATTGAAACTCTCCGGGGAATAAGAGAAGATCTTGTCACTTAATAAATAAGCCACTTGCTGGATCACTGTCTGAGCAGTGACATATGTAGGGCCCGAAAGGGCAGACAAGGCTGAACTGGCAGCCATGGCTTTATCTTTCTGTTTTCCTGTATACCGGATGGACCTCAACCGATATAAGAAGAGGCAGAAAATTCCCCCCGGCTCAGAGAATAAAACTGTGGAGTGAGAGAGGGGAGACCATGACTCGGAACCGGCTGGTTATAGAAAATCCCCATGGCCTTGGCCCAAAGCGGCTTAGTGTGAATCACGCAATCACGCAATTTGCAGAACATTTTTCTTATCGGCCGATTTGACGGCGGATAAGAGGCCGATAAATTATCGATAAGCGATAAGATCATCTCGAGAGGGGCAAATGGCAGAACTTTGGAACGCGTTATTCAGCACATTGACCGCCCTGTACAGGGGAACCTATATATTCGATGGTCTGCCTTTCGAGAGTAGCAGCAACGCAAGATTTTGATATCCAGCCCACGAAGTTGGCTTGGACTATTCGCACTCGATCAATCGAGGATTCTGCAGTCATATCCAACACCAAGGGGCGCAATCTAGTCTGTATGGTTATACGCTAAGTTCGAAGGCATCACCAACAGTAACATTGCAAGCGGCCGCAAAATCCTGGACGGAGGCGGACGTGTAACCGGTTAGAGTGCAAACGCTTTTAGTGAAATTAAGAATTTTGACTTCCTTCCAGTCTGGAGGACGTCGCGGATTCCAGGCTCAAGAGCTGCAACATACTCCGTTGAGCAGCAAGGCTGTAAATCGAATCGGTAGTATTCTTGAACCGTGACGGGTTCGAGCTCTGGAGACCGAGGCCTGGAAGGGTAACTAGTTAACTAGCATAGCTGACTCAGCCACGCATATCATGTGATATGAGCATACGGGCGGCAAAAGCGGGACTGAGCCTCGGCCCGGTTTATTTCACATTGCGGAGAAAGCTCCCCCGCTGGAAATGTACATAATATCGCGTCCCTGGTTCTCAGCTCTACTCCATACCAGTAAATCAACGAATTGTCCACGATGGCTGAAAACTCTCTGAACCCAGTACCTTTCTCCGAACCTCCCTACCTTCGTGGTCTCCCATCGCCGTATATCACCCCTGCCCACCTCCGCTTTCAGAAAGCATGTCGCAAATTCTTCTGGGAAAATCTGATTCAACATGCCATGGAATGGGAGAAGTCAGGAACCGTTCCTGAGTATGTTTTTGACAATTTCTGTAAGGCAAACATGCTTCTGCCAAATCTGCCAGCTCCCCTACCGGTGGATTGGTTGAAGCGGCTCGGGATCAACGATATCTTAGGAGTTAAGGTGGAGGATTGGGATTATATCTATACTGGAATTTACTGCGATGAGGTGGGTAGCTTCTTCGTTGCCATCTCTCAAGACTAATACCGAACTCGCATATAGATGGGACGTTCCGGTCTCAGTGGCCCTGGAGGCTCGTTGAATGCCGGCTTTGCTTTCGCCATTGCCCCCCTTTACAAGTTTGGAAGCCAAGCTTTGCAAGAGAAATTCCTTCCTGAGCTGTTGCCCGGCCACAAGCGTGCCTGTATCGCTATCACAGAGCCTGAGGCTGGTAGCGATGTTGCTAATATCGTCACCACCGCAACTAAGAGCGCTGATGGGAAGCACTATATCATCAATGGGGCGAAGAAATGGTATGAAGTCCAGCTCCCCTTGGTTCTGGCCTCGGCTAATTACTCTTAGGATCACCAACGGTATCTGGTCTGACTATGCCACCATGGCCGTGCGAACCGGCGGACCAGGCGCTGCTGGGCTCTCCCTCGTCGTAGTCCCTCTCAAGAACTACCCCGGCGTCTCAATGCGTCGTCTCAAGGTCGCTGGCCAGGTCACTGGGGGAACCACCTATATCGAACTCGAAGACGTCAAGGTCCCCGTTGAGAACCTGGTCGGTCAAGAAGGCGCTGGTATGCGCTACGTGATGACGAACTTCAACCATGAGCGTCTGGTCATCTCGATCGGTGTCACTCGCCAGGCCCGAGTAGCCCTCGCTGCTGCGGTCTCCTACACAATGAAGCGTGAGGCCTTTGGCAAGACCCTCATGGACCAGCCTGTGGTGCGACATCGACTTGCCAAGGCAGGAGCTGAGCTTGAGAGCATGTGGGCGTGGGTTGAGCAGATCCTTTACCAGCTAGCTCATCTCAGCAAGGAGGAAGGTGATCGCCAACTGGGTGGCTTAACCGCTTTAGCGAAGGCCAAGTCTGCCATGGTCCTTAATGAGTGTGCCCAATGTGCTGTCCTGCTCTTTGGTGGAAATGGATTCACCCAAACCGGACAGGGAGAACTCGTCGAAGGTATTCTAAATTATCCTATCAAACTCGAATCTTCAATTACTAATGCCCATTCTCTCTGCAGCAATCCTCCGCGACGTGCCTGGTGCTCGTATTCCCGGTGGCTCTGAGGATGTGTTACTTGACCTGTCCGTGCGCCAGCTAGTCAAAATCTACCAGGCGCAGGAGAAGAAGCTTTCACAGAGCTCCAAGATGTAATCAGCGTGTACCAGCCAGTCACTTATTTCACTGTAAATACCAAAATATCAGATTGACAGTACACGAATTCCAACCCCAACCCTTTATAACCGCTCAAGGACTACTAGTAGAGGGGGAAATAGGAAATAGAATATAGGCCAACGTAGCCTACTCAAAGGTTAGATCGAGACCTGCCCTCCAGCAGCTCATCAACCAAAGTGACCACTTCGTCAGCACAGCCAAAAGATGCTTGATATCCAAAGCCACCGTGCCCATAGTTGTGCACAACCTTGACACCATCTATCTGGTCCTTCTGAACCCGAGGTCCGCCTTTACGCCATGGCCTTAGACCAACACCATGTCGAATGACATCAAGGCCCTCAATCTCCTCTCCAGGTCCGACGAGCTGCGGTGCGATTGCGACTGCTCGCTTCATGATACGCTCTGCAGTTTTTGGGTCCGGGTTTGGATTCCAATCATCCAGTTGGTAAGTGCCTCCTAGGATAGTTCCACCGCCAGCGGCACGGGTCATGGTATACACCGCTTCGTCAGTGCCGTCGTCAGTTCCGGAGGTTGTCCACATTGGTCCAGCATCGTTGCGCACTAGAACTATCTGACCGCGGGCAGGACGCATATTTTCGTCCATAACTCCACCAAGAGCGTTGGACGATAATCCCGTACAGTTAATCACCACTTCAGCCATTTTTCCGGAGTGGTGACCAGTAGCAGCATTTGCAATATGCTTCACGACGGCTCTCTTGAATACCACCCCGGCCTTCACGCAGTGGCCCACAAGCCACGGAAGATACATCGCGGTATTTATACACACGGAGGTGTACTCATGACCGTTATCCATCTCGGGGCTTAGTTCGTGCTGGGAGAACTCTTTATACTGCGCTTATTTGTTAACCTTGTCCTTGAGAGGGTTTGAGTTATCTTATTACATCTGGGACAACAGCCTTATACCACGGGCCAGGTTTCACTAAGTCTGTGAACAAGTCTCCCCCCTGGCTCTAAGTCCTTCTTCCGATTGTACACAACCGCCTCTATTGGAAAAGTTAGGGCTTAGCCTTGGTTGGAGTACTCCTAGGAGGAGATGGGGACGCTTACTTTGAAAATAGACTCCTGATTCTGGGTGGTTTTCAGCCAGGGCTTTCAACGGTGCCCAAGTATTGGTCTCCCATTCCTGATGCCTTGTTCCTTCATTTGCGACACTTGATGTAGGGAGAGTTAGTCTTGGTTCAACAATTGATAATATAGAACCCACGGCATATAATTGGCACCAGCCCATGGTGAAGCATATTCAATGTCGTAATCCCCAGGCATGTGCTTAGCAAGCACTGTGATACTGTATTGAGTCTGCTTCGATAACAAGTAGGCAACGGTGAGGCCCGAGACGCCAGCACTATGATCGAGGTTAGATTAATCAAGTTTTGTATTTATCTTGACCGATAGACACCAGAGAATCTTACCCTAGAATAACGACATTTCTTGTCATTCTGGAAAATTCGAGGTCGGTACCTTGGGCGATCGGAATTGATTTGGGGGGACAACAAAGAATTATGGATCACCAAAGGAATTGAGTCACGAGTGGGACAAGGAGTTGTCCGGTTTGAGGTCCCCACCAGCACATGCCAGGAACCATATGTGGATCAGGGCCATTCCGCCTCAAACGCGGATCTTGGTCCTTACTGGTTCGCTTAGATGGCCCACCATGTACGCTAGCGGACGCTAGTGAGCGATCTGTAGACGAGCCAGCTCCCCCAGCTTATAAGCATCGCCCTCCCCGCAGTTGTTTCTTTTTTCTTTTCTTTTTTCTCCAGCACTCTTTGCCAATTGGCTTAGATCAAGTGTAGTATCTGTTCTTTTCAGTTTAATCGCTGGAAGTGTTCTCTTGAACACACGATTATTCTTATTTTTGGAAACCGCGACTGGCCTCTGTGCTTGCGCATGCTGGTCGCACAGTGTCATTGGGCTTACACTACTCCCTCTCGACGCGAACACCTTTTTTCATCAACTGTGTCGGCTTGTCCGATCGCTTGGAGAAGATCAGGTGTGTTACAAGTAGAAGGCTATGCCTGTTACTCCTGATTTGCCTTTGTGCAAGGAGTATGCTTATTTGCTGCCTGGAAACACGATGGCTTTTCCTATGCAACTCTTACTTCCTGTGGATGGGTGGTTTTTGGTCAAAGACGCGTGAACGCGTTCAAGTGAGAAGTTGTCTTATCATGGCGGTACTGTATTGGTGAATTTGCTCCTGTGCACAAGCCCAGGTTTCAGCCCCTAATGACAGCACCATAACAACTCAATCAACAACTTGACTTATCTAGACCGTCTTAAATCAATATTTTAAAGCCCCTGGCCCTTTTTCATCAATTCCTACACCGGTACGTCCTCAAAAGGCACTATAGTATTGATCACAGACTTGACAGAAATCTTGCCAGGTTTCAGCAAAAAAAGACCATTCTCATATTTCTTAGGTGTGTACCGGTAGTATGCCAAGGGAACGGCCTTTTTTCCACACACCTTTGAAACTGGAAGCGAGACATCAGGGTTCCCAAGCCCGATCTGAACAACAAGAGCTCCTGACCCAGAGGCATAGATTCCCTGTCCAAACGGATGGCTCGACCCCTGTATACTCCAGTGAGACGTCAACACCTGCCTCGAGGCCTGACCCTCACTTCATTAAGAGACTTCTATTTCAGAGTTATACTTGAGATTAGGTGTGAAAATCTAACAGTCAACAAACTTTCTCCTCAAACTTAAATCTGAGTCTGACTGATGTTCGAAACGATATCTCTTTCGCCCCGAATTCCTTCCTTGTCACAGCTACAAGGGGGCCAATACGAACGGTCGAACCAAGTCGTAAAGATTGCCTTGCGACATTGGGTCTCGACCCATCCAGCGTCCAGCCGAAGCCGCCGACTGGCCAAAATCACTCCCCCATCTCCAAGCTTCGATGAACGCTTCTATCAGCACGGCCACCGGCCATACCCAACATATGCTAATGTACGGTATCGAATTACGACAGGCCCAGGGAATGATGCCCCAAGCCTTCGACCACGACCGAAACTTTCGAACCGGCACAGACACGGAGCAATCGCTCGTACATACAGCGGTCTAGGTGAAATACCATTTCGACCGATCGCATAAGCCTATAAATACTTACCCAGGTAAATAAATCTACCTTTTTTCCTACTCTGAAGGATCATCCCTGGGCTAATGTTCCAACAACTGTGCCAAAAGACCGCCATATCCGCACCTCATATACGGATATACCCAGGCACGCCTTATATATAACACCCTCTAGCTGGCATCCGTGACATCTATGGACCCTCAGAAGCCCGGATATACTATCCCAGCCAACGACAAGCGACCTCGCAAACTCCGGAGTCGTTTTAAGATCCTCCATCACGTCGGACCTAAACTTTGATCCTTCAATACATTTTTTGCACTTATACATCCTCTCCTGGAATATCTTATACTACTGCCAGCATCACAGAACTCGCGACTTTGGAGCCTAGAAATGGCAAAAAACGTGCCAATGACAGCTCTAGAAGCTGCTTTTGGGGCAGGAACAAAACTATGGCACGTCCTAGGGGGAATCACTGCAAAAATGATGATCCTAGCAGTCATTTTCTGCTGTGTTTACGGGTGGATGATGTTCCTGCGCAATCGGTAAGCTGTCTACATTAACTCCCAAAATACTTTCTAGTTTTGTAGTAATACCAGTACCCTTTACAGGGGATATACCTTCTACTGCTTTTGACCAAGTTCGTAACACATCCAACGAACATCGGGCGTGTAAGTCCAGAATCCGCCCGCGACGGAACAGGCAAGGAGACGGAGCACGCTGTGACGGCTGAGGCGGGAAGATTCCTTTTGTCACGGGCCAGGGCCCGGTGTTGATCACGTAGGCCACATGACCTTGGCGTACTAATAACGGAGGACCAGTGTATTGAACTCCTTTCCTTAAGTTTATCGAACACAGTTCGTGGCCTAGTATAGATTGAATCAAGTCTTGCTTTAGCCCTTCACACCTTTGCCGGCAAATTTCCCGTCTACGGTACAGCCCTAGTCTGGGAGAGCGGAGAGCTTGTGATCATTTTCTCATTATTACTCTTGGAGTCGTCGGGAACTTAGCTTTAGCAATTAACACACTTCTATCGTCATCAGGCACTAGTACTGTTTTCCCTAGTACTGCGCCAGTTCACTCAGGCTGGCCTGGTATAAGCTCCAACGCCTAGGAAGAAAGAACTAAGAAGCGCCATCACAAGAAAAGGGCCGTGCCGTACAACCACGAAATAAACTATGCGCTGTTAGTTTCCAATAAACAATCATCACTCCACCGAGCTACGGCCACGCCCGACTTATGTAGTAGAGGGACGTGTGACAGCAACCCCGTTGTTCAAAGCAACAAGTAGGTCTATATTGGCAAAGGTGGTACAAAATTCCATCAATTCGTCAGATAGTCTGGTGGATCAGCCGTCCGAATTGGGGTAGTGGCTAACCTCATCGTCTCTCACACGATAGCCGGGGGTTCGATTCCCCCATTCGGAGCATACCTTAATTTTTTTTCCACTCCTTTTTTTACCTTGAAGGTCTCTGACAACACCGACCCACATTACACTGATTCTTCACATTCTCCATTTGAGAAATTGAATCCATTCCGAACCTTGTTGTTTCACGTCGGAGGTTAGAAAGTCCAGGTTATTCAATCTATCTATCAATCGACCGGGCCAGGAAAGTTCGGGTATTTTATGAGGCTGACTGTATATATATACTGTATATATGTCTCTGTAGTACTGGTCCGAGCCCCGAATTTGCACTGTGACCTAAGCACTTGTTCAGCGGCCGAGCTACAGGGTATTATTAACAGACAAATCAAAGAAGGAACTGGACAAGAAACAGAGTCGAAGAATTCGCGCCTGGGAGAACGAACTGCGCCGAAGGGAACAATATGAAGCGCGTGATAAGCCCAAGTGGTACTGGAGTAGCACAGGCTCGCCCGGAAATGGCTAATTGGCCTTTCGATGTTCAAGAGCTCTTGCACGGAGTTTACTCAGGTTCGCCGTGCATACTACCAGCCAGCGGTTCTAATTTTGTCCTTAGTTCAGATCTTATCCAGACAATTCGAGTTTGGCGAACATCGAAAGACAGTCCCCCATTAAGGAGAGTTGATTGCCTGATCGGTGCTAGCCGATCCGGTGACGAAATATATCTTATCGCCGACCTCATCTTCTCCATCAACCCTGCGCAGATCCAAACGAGTCTCGAAATTTCACAATGGCGAACGTCGCGCTTCTTGGTTCCACCGGCATGGTGGTGAGTACCCTGCTTCCCGAGACTGGACCCAAACACCAGCGCTGCAGTCAAAAGCCTCCCAACTAACCTCCTCCAGGGATCGCATATTCTCACCAACCTCCTCTCAAACAACAAAGTCAGCCGTGTCGACACAATCTCCCGCCGTGCCCCAACCGTTGCCGGAGACGCCCCTCAAACAAAGCTTACCACCGTCGTCTCCGACAACAGCTCCAAATGGGCCGAACAGTTCTCCGCCCTCACCCCTACACCCGATATCCTCATCTCCTCACTAGGCACGACCCGGGGAGCGGCGGGAGGCTTCGAGAACCAGTACAAACTCGACCACGGCGTCAACCTTGATATTGCCAAGGCGGCGCGTGAAGCCGGGACAAAAGTCTACGTCCTGATCTCCAGTAGCGGCGCTAGTAAGGACTCTTCGATCCACTATTCTCGCATGAAGGGCGAGATCGAGGAGGGCGTGAAGGAGCTGGGCTTTGAGCGGACGGTGATCCTCCGCCCCGGCTTGATTGCGGGGACCCGCGAGGAGAGTCGTCCCGTGGAGGCTGTGGCCCGGTTTGTGGCGAGCTGGGCTGGAAAGCTGCATTCGAGCTTGAAGGATGGGTGGGCCCAGGAGTCTGATGTTATTGGCCAGGCGGCTGTAAAGGCTGGGTTGAAGGCGCTGGAGGGTGATGTGCCCGAGGGCAGTGAGAAGGTGTGGCTGATTTCAGGTAAATCCATTATTGATTTGGCGACGGCGTAGTCTACTCCTCTTCGTTGAGTATTTATATCGTGCATTATATCACCTAACTCTTGCGTTCAAATGCCACCTACTACGCTTTGAGTCTAGCGCTCAGATCATACCTTTCGCATAGTATGTATTCAAGTTGTTTTCAAATATTACATAGTGTAGGCGCTAGTAGATCCATCCCCATATATCCGACGCACTCGCTTTCTCCGCCCTCATTCCTCATCAGGCAAACCAACCATAGCCAGAGAATCCTTCCAGAGCCTGGCTTCATCTTCCAGGTTGTATGTGACGCTGGAAGTTGTCAGAGCGGCAAATTGCCCATCATCTTCCCCACGGGCTGCAACCCCGCAGTCTACCAGATACACCCCGCCCTTGCCTTCCCAGTCCTTCGAGATTGCAGCGTATAGAGTAGTTGCAGCGCCCTGTTCCGGACTCTTCAAAATAGACATGATCTCCTTGTTCGCCATCATGGCATTGATGTCCTCTTGCGGCATATGGCGTATCAGTCCAGAAGCAATGTTACCAGGATGCAAACTTGTAGCATGCAGCCCACGAGCTCCGTAGCGCCGATCCAGCTCATTGGCCATATAGATATTCGCGAGCTTGGAGTGGCCATATGCTCCCCAGGGGGAGTAGCCGCCCTTTTCGTAATTATAGTTATCCGATGCGTTCAGTGGCTGCACGCGATGGACAGCAGCCGAGACCACGACAACTCGCGAATTGAACTCGGGAGACGACCCAGCGAGCAATGCCGGCTTGAGCAGATGGAAGAAGAGGAAATGAGCCAGGTGGTTGGTAGCGAATTGCTTCTCATAGCCGTCGATCGTGAGTTCGCGTTCCTGGATGGCCATCACGCCGGCATTGTTGACCAGAATAGTGATCTGGTCAGTCTTTGCCAGGATAGTCTTAGCGGCAGCTCGCACACTATCAAGGGACTCAAGATCCATCTGGACTAGTTCCATCGATTGCTCATCGAATATGCCATCAAGGGCTGTTTTGGCCTTTTCTAGGTCTCGAACTGTGAGAAAGAGCTTGGCTCCAGTGGCGGCGAAGGCCCGGACAGTCTCAATGCCAATCCCAGAAGAAACTCCGGTGATGACAACCACTTTCCCAGCTAATCCGCCACGCATGGATTCATCATCGACGATCTGCATCGCTGTAGGACGAGCGTCACCAAGACCCTTGGGGTTGGCATGGACTGCGGCGTAACGAGACATTGTGCTTGAAACAGGAGAAGATTTGCTGGTCGAGTAATGATTGGGAAATGATTGATGAAGATGAAGAACTAACTGACCGGCCAAAAACACCGGCTTTATATATCGTTTCGCTCGCCATATTCAAAGCATCAATCCTATACTTCTTTCTATACACTTTCACCGGCCAATCGCGAAGCCGAACCCCGGCTGACCTTTATTGCCCTTTTGGGCAAACGGCCCCCCATGCCAAGACCCAAATGCTCCACTCAACATCGCATCCTGACAGGATCAGCCTGATGTAGAATAGCGCCGCTCCAGTATGTCTTTGCCCACGCCGTTTGAGCAAGGCCCTCGATCGTCCACATCACTCTCATTACACCACTGGTCCTTATTCAGGTGTCCCTGGCACGAGAATGGCACATCCCAAGCCTAGCCGATCAACGCTCAACGGCGCAGCGCTTAATCTGACCCACCCCAATGCGGGCCGCAGCACGGAGGATGCTCGGCTCCGCAAGAGATGTCAGAATCGGGCAAACCAACGAGCGCGCCGTAGGTAGACCTCCTAACTCCGTCGGCCTTATAGACAACCCCGGAGACTAATCCCACTCTCCAGGGCTCCGCCTGCAAGAGCAGAACGAGCGTGCTTCACGCCGCTCATTCAAAGTGTATCGTTGGCGGGTAAACGACCCGGACGCGGCTGAGCAGAGTGCAAAGAGCCACGCAGAGGAGTCCCCAGGCGGACACGACCCGGTTACAGACGAAAAGTCCGGCGTGTGTCTAGCTGCCAAGACCTTTCTTCCCCCCTAAGGTGCCCCCGTCGTTTGACCAACTACTGAGTCTGATCCACTATAATGTGTTCCGGGGCTGCTACAAGAACAAGCTGGTCCTGGGCCGGTCAGCGGTGTCTCTGTTCACGGACCGAGAGCCGATACAGTTTGACATCTCGTTTCCTTCCTATTCGAGGGTCATTCCGGTCAAACCTGGCATCCCGGCATGGCTGATGCCAAGCCAGTCACAGATGGATCTGATTCATACAACGTGGATCAACCTCCTACCTTTCCCAAAGATGCGCGATAATCTGATCCGCTGGGAATCGTATTTCGATCATAAAGAGTTTGCAGCCGATCTGATGGGCCACGGCCCTGACCCTATGCTGTTTCCCCAGAAGAAATGCCTGAAATTTCAGCCCAAAGTCCAGTCATATCTATTCATGTCTACGGAGGAGGATGACCTAACGACAGGTCGCACCGGGATGATCCTCTGGGGGGGAGCCGTATATCTTAGAGAATTGGGAGGTTACGCCTGGGTTCCTACGGAAATGGGCATGGACAATGGAGGGCTGTGATGAACTGATCGCGTCGACTAATAAATGGCGCAGGGTCAGAGGCGAGGAGCCTATCTACTTTTCAGTGTCGTCGAACAATGATCTAGTTTTGCCAGAAGAAGTGGGGAATTTTAGCTAGTCGGTCTTGGTGGGAGTTCACCCCCCTGGGGACTTGCTCCTTCTGAGTGCGAAACACGCGGGCGAAACACCTTCCAATCAATTGATAAGGCTTATGATGTCAAAATGTAGAATACAGCCATGTTATCCATCGATCGAAATATCACTTAATGCACTGACGAGAACTCCATTCCCAAGACATTTTGCATGCAGCACTTCAATCCCGGTACGAGACATGCGTCCCGTCCTCCTTGACATGTATAGACCGGTTCTTCTTCGGCGCACCCCGACTGCTTGATGCATCTCGGTCGGCATTGCGGCTCTTGCCGTTCTCTGCTTTCCAATCATTGACCTCCTGGTTGGCAGGGCTCATGTTCAAAGGGTTCTTCTGCTTGCCCTGTTGTTGGCTCTCTTTGGCAGTCTGATTTAACTCGCCCTCCGGGCTCGTGTTCTTGGGATCGAATGCGGCAGGATGCTCCGCAACCTCGCTGTCCGTCCCGGACTTGGTCGCTTCCGATCGCTGAGGAGAGAGAGATTCGCGGTCGCTGCGAGTACCGGGTTCGGGTTCCTTTTGGCGGAATGGAATGGTGCTGAAGGCACTGCGAGTTGTTGGTGTTGGTTTCGCTGGGGGAAGTCCAGAGGCCGACACTGGACTGAAGGGAGCTCGTCGCTTTAGTGGCCTGGTGGCCGCTGGAAATGAGGTTCTTCCACATGGTGATGTTGCGGGGAGTACTGGTGGTACTAGACTATTGTGAAGTAGTGGCGGGAGGGCTGCTTTGCGATTGATTGTGTTTGGCGAACCAGTTGAGAGACGGAAATCAATTTCAGAGGGATTGATCTGTAGGTTGTGTGATTCAGGCAAGTCATTTTACAAGCATCTGCCCTGATCCTGCTTGGCCTGGGTTTATCATCTTGACGTCATGACGTACGCTTTGTGCCGCTAACCGGATTTGGTAAGAAGCTTGAGGCGAAATATAGATGTTCACAGGGTTCGCACTATAAAAACAGAAAGATGGGAAAACCAAAACAACGTGAGAAACATGGGATAGATCGAAACGAGAAGGAACCCAAAAATGGGAAAGTTTATTGAGGGCCTTACACGGGGCGCGCATGCTGATGTTTACGTTATTCTATGATTACTGGGCCTACACCATGAGAGGTAAGCCGAGCCTGCCACGTCAGTTCTCCCAGTCCTCGATAGGGTCTGATCTCCAAAGTAGGTTGCACGGGATGGTTTATGATAGCATCTCCGAAGGAACGGTCGATTCGGCGGGCACCGCCAAGAATACGCCTGGAGAAAGTCAATTCGGCGTAGTGACCGGGATCAGCTTAGGGCAGGGAGTCCGGTGTTACTCCGGTATAAGGGATGGCTGCCTGATGAATCCAGGTTTAGTAGGAGATCTGGGGATCAGCGGACACAGAAGTACGGGAGAACGGCAGGATTCATCCGAGAGAAACTCAGCCTGTGCCAAAATGACATGCGGGCATTATCAATACAGCTTTAGCCGAGGAGGGGAAACAATATGGCCGGGGAGTAATGCAGGTGCGAGGACCCGAGTCGAAACGGCCTTGATCGTCCAATAGGCCTCGAGGCTTAATTGCATTCTAGGCCTCGCAAGTCGATGCGAGAAGCCAATGGTGCTCGTGCAGGACACGGAGGTGGGGAGATTGTGCTAGGTGCATATGGCTCGCCCCCTCGCCCGGGGATGTCATTGGACACCAGCCCTACCTGCAGATGACGGTACCTTCACTGGCCGGCCAATGCGAGGCCGCCGACCCGGTATCAAGGGTGGTGGCCCTTTCCCTTCCCGAACCCCAAAGCTCAACGAGCAGGGCACTATTTGTCACCTGGGCAGAAAGCTATGCGCGTATTTAAAGGCGCGGGAGCCTCCGTTTACTTTGTGGTCACGGGATCAGAGAGCCCAGCGCAGTGGGAGCGTGTATGCGGGTCGCAGAATCCAATTTCAACGTTGGAGTATCTGCGTCCGGAGACTACGGCACCCAAATTCAGCCAGCGACGGCACTGACCCGCGCTCGAATGCTCCATAATAGCCTCCGGTAACCTTGCTCGTTGGGCAGAAGCCACTTTTACGGTTTCGTTTGCAAAGTCGCGAGTCTGATCCTTGCCAGACACAGCTCGGGGACCGCGCAAGGCAGAACCGAGAAGTACGCTTTTCGGCGATAAGACGGGGCCAGAGGCAAAAACGAAAAAGGGCAGGGGTGGCCTTGGAGATTGACCTGAGCAGACTTGGGCTCATGCATCCGGTTTCGAAGCGGGAGATAGATCATTCTTTCCCCCCCGGAGAGTCACGCCTTCTCTTTTTTGGACAAGGGGATTTCTGCGTTGTTCAGGGATTGCCAGGTGCCAGCTCAACATCTTGATGAACCACCATCCCAAATATAGGAAGCCAACGTCACAAAAAGCGGCCAACGCCGATGATCATACACCGTATCGATCCGTAACCCCCCCCCCGGGACTCGCCTCCAGTGGATCAGAGCACCAGCTAGCAGAGGCAATGCAGCCACTTCGATCTTGAACTGGAAGCCAGAAAGGAAAAAAAAAATGAAAAGAAAAGAAAAAGAAAAAGAAAACAACTCCGCGGTACCATTTGCCTTCCTCGATAAGGATTGGAGGGGCAAAGTTTAGTTCCTCATGTGGAGCCCTAATCAAATCAATAAAGGCGCCGCTTTTTTCGTCCGCATTCTTCCCTTCCCAGCCTTCTGGACGAGGAGAGAGCGCGTCGAGCCAGAGGTAATGTGCCACGTCAGTTGGCCGAGCTCTAGTGCAGCTGCATGGGGCTTCCAGCGATGCGTGGGAGGTGACACGGTTCGTGTCTGCGACGGATACCGCACGACAATCCTATCCTATCATTTTTGCCCGAAGGAGCAAATAGATGAATATGGACCATACACATGAGCGGGGCCAAATGCAGGATCCCCTCAGTAGTCCTCTCTGCAGAGATCACAGATCAGCTGAACGAAAATGGAGCCACCGCTGTTCGAATCCCGAGACGGTAACGCGTCGAGCAAGAGGAAAACCCAATTCCGTGGCCCGTGTGTTTGGGTGCATGAGGTACCAATAATAGAGCCTCAGTGACGCGAATGTTGCCACCTGGAGAATGAACAATTGGCTCGCAAGCACGGAGCGGAAAGTTGCGGCAGGTGTGGAACGGGGTCGAACTCGCAACACTGAATCTTCCTTATCCTTGCGAGCAGGAGTCACTGGTGCCAAGCACGGGGCAAAGGGACCTTCTGCATCGGGTCGAAACCACATGCCGTAACAAATATCTCACTTCCTATGTGTTTGCTGATCCAGAAATGCAGAAAACGTAATGACGGGACCGACAGGCAGGGGGAGGGTTGCCAGCGGGGAAACATGAGGTGAATGTTCCGGCACTTGGCAATCACACAGACGGCGAGCCCGAGTGAGAAATCCTGCGGACGGAAAGCTTCCTTGAGCGAGGGACCAAGTCAGAGAGGATGATGAATTGAGGTCTAGACCAATCACAAGTGGCGTTATCGGCAAAATAATTGGGAGGCTAAAAGCATCCATATTTCGAGGTGTGGAGTCACCACCGGAGGTACAGGGCCCCCTCCCTCCTCTGATCATGTCCGAGAACGACCAGAAGCTTTGCTTTTCTTGCTAGCAAGGTAATCCTTGACAGACGGCGTCCCGATTAGTGTATTGGAGTGACAGCTGGCAGGCCCTGAGAGCAACTCGATCATGCAGGATCGTCCAAGCGGGACGTAACAGCATCACAGGAGTCTGACTTCATGCAATCCGTATGCAGCAGAAGGCGGGGAAGGGCTGTTTGGCCATGGCATAGCTGCAGCGGTCGAGACCAGAAAGAAGAGAACCACAGCCATGGGTTGCGGGATTTTCGACCCCTCGTGGATCATCATGGGGACAAAAAAATCGCCACGGGAGAGGAGGTGCATGCATCCTTGAAGCAACGGTTCATCCTTGGTGTGGACTCCATCCGAGAGACCTTGGGCATCTTACAGTCCCCACTATTGGGAGAACTGCTGATAGCCAACCGGATACAGTTCAACCAGGTTGCGAAGTAAAAATCCAGTAAATGGGAAACACGGACGATAAGCCGTCCTGCACCAGCGGCGTCGATCAGCGAGGAGGATGACCATGATTTGGAGACCGTAGCTATGACAGGGAGTTGCTGGCCGAAACATAAATAGGCCATTTGGATCCCCTCAATGGACCGTGGAGTTCAAAATTATCCCCTCTCAAGTTTCAAAAGCAAAACCTCAAATCAGAAATTTTGGTCAATAGATATTGTCTGAAGATTCTTTCCACTTTTCCTTGCCAAAGCAAGTTGTTTCAAAGAACCCTTCTTGCTCCCCTGAGACAACCTTAGACCAGAAAAGAAAAGGTCCAGGATAACCTATCAAGCTTGACAGCCGAGCTTGAATTCACAACCGAGAGCCAATCGTACGGCCTGCATCAAACCTGAAACAAGACCTAGACGCAAGTAAGTTCGGTCATCCTGGAGAAGTGACCAGCACTAACGCAGTTGGGAAGAATGTGCTTCTATAACCAGAAACGTTTCGCGTGTGGCGACTTCGCTTGGACAAACTTTGCCCACCGTTGCAATTACGAATATCGCACGGGGGAGACATGCGGGATTCGGCTTGTCAACAGCACGGATGTCGACGCGAACAAATGCCGTATTTGTGAGAAGATCGAGACCAAGTACCGCCGGCGAAGCGCCGAGGTAGAACGCCTGGATCGGTGGAAACGGGAGGGATCGACTTTAGTAGCCTCCATGGACCGATCACGAAAAATGATCTGGGAACTGGACCAAGAGATCGTTCAGTTGCAGCGAGAGCGCGAAGACCGCCGCAACAATATTGGGCGATAATTTGGAGCCGGCATTGGTTCTGATGGGCGGTTTTCATTGGGCGGACAGGGAGTACATTGATTGGGCCTCCCATTCTCGCATTTGATTTTTCTGGATTGCTTCAATTCTTTTCTTTCTCTGCTCCCTTCATGTGTTCTTTTCCTCTCAATCCTCATTTGGTTTACTCGGTCGTTCGGAGGATCATTTTTGGCGTTTCATGTTTCACCACGCAAACAAGCAGCTTCTGTGACATCAAGACTGACCCGAGGGTTTGTGAGGCGACAGCCAATTACGGCTTCATATGCTGTGAAGAAAATAGTGATTCTGATTTTGATTGGCTCGTGAGTCATAAGTTCCGGAAATTCATAGGCTGTAAAGTTTCGATGAGTATATCAATGGAGCCTAGCGATGTTATAAGCGCCGTGTTGTCTAGGTGAGCGGTTGGCTGAGACGGCACCCAGACCCATGGAGGCGAAAAAGGGGGCTTGAGCTGCAGACTTCCGATAAGGCAATCATTGCAGCCCAATATGGTTGAATAATTGGCATTCAATCATGCAAGACCCCCAGTAGCATTCCCAATGGTATCAGGAAGAGGGGAGGGCTCGTGGACAGTTGAACCCCTCATTCTGGTTTAAATCACGTGACAGTAAAGTATATCGCTTATATAACAATTCAAGTCGACGCCCGCGGGTCAGCCTCAAGTGCGAGGAATACAATGAGGTCGTCACCTGAAGTATAGTGCGGAGTTAGTATATTGAATAGGAATTCCTAGAGGTAAAATTGTCAATTGTGAAGATAACACGAGATACCCCTGGGAATAAAGAAGGCACCGCCTCCGCTGAAGTGTAGCCCACGGCCTATGGGATGCTCCATTTGTTTGAACCCCAAAGTAAACTCGAAATTGAAGCAAACCGTGCTTAACCTATATGTTTGCAAGGTTTGCCGAAGTTCAATACCCTTCCTGAGGTTTTCTCACTTAGGTATCACTCATATTTAAGCAAAATGCCTGGGTGGCGTACTAGCTCTAGGACGGACGCCCCCCTGAGGTTATATACCTACTAAAACCGGTGTTGGGCTGCAAGGTCGGAGAATGTACTGGATGTGATCTTGACATATCATCCAGCAGCTTTTCATGTCTAACTTACGTGTCTGGACCAGCCTAGCCAAACAAACATTATTGTCATGGGGCTGTTAGCCGAAGATGCCTGAAGAACCAGTCGTCGAGAACCCGCCACGTCACTGGCGAAGCACTTCTGCAGTCATCAGCAGCAACACCCCATCATGAACAGCAGATGCATAAAGCGAGACCAAATCGAAGAGGGCAATCATTCATTTCCCGAGATATAGGATACCACAGAAAAGCTATTATTCTATTTTATGTCACCAGCCTCGGGTTCGTCATCAACCTTGGCCAGCCCTTGGTCTCGTAGGAGAGCATCAATTTCATCTGCGCTCCAAAGGTGGTGGTAGATTTTTCCATCCTTGGTCTTGCCTACTGTTGCGAACTCGACTAGCAAAAGAAAATTCGGTTAGTATTGTTTCTGGCGGAAACCCAATAGAGAGGGCAATATCAATATGCAATGACATAGGGGCTGTATTCCGTGCATAAGTGTATTGGGAGTCCACTTACTCTTCTCGCTGCTCAGCTTCGTGGAATCCATGGTCTTGCTCAAGACCTTGACGGCCATTGCACAAGCCTCCTGTAGGGTCTGGTCCTCCTTGTAGTCTTGCTTCAGCAGACTTTGTGCGCTAGCATTGTTGGCACCAACACTGGTCGCCTTCCATCCGCCGTAATTCCCACTAGGATTGCTCTGGTACAGCTGGAACTGACGCAGGTGGTCCCAGCCTGCATAGATGAACGACACACCGAAAGGACGCAGACCGCCGTGCTGGGTATATCCTTGTTTCAAGTCGCACAGTCGGCGTACAAGCTGCTCGCAGGGAATGTCTTCGTTGTAGGTGAGGAGGTAGCGTTGGGCGTTTTGACGGGCGTAATTGATCAAAATGTTGGCATCAGCATTCATACCAGCCACAGCGCAGATCATGTTACTGGGAGGGAATCAGTTGATTGCATGACAAAAAGCGCACTCGATTTATTTGAGTTTGCTTTCAAAAGTAGAATCGACATACTCATTGATTGTGTAGAGCTTCTCTGCGGAGGTGTCCTGCTCCAGCAGCTTGCTGGTAACCTTCCGCTCAGCAGCAAGGACGATTCCATCCTTAGCTAAAATACCGAGAGCTGTACCGGCATGAGAAATAGCCTCGAGCGCATATTCTACCTGATACAGACGGCCCTCTGGCGAGAAGATGGTAGTCTGTCCAGCGGCGTCATAGGTTAGCTGAAGCTGTAGCGACAGTATGCCAGAACGAAACTCACCCGTGAATCGTATCTCCGAGACATGACGAGAGGGAAAAAAGAAATCCAAGGTACAGAGGAATATAACGGGGTGGAGGAGAGGAGGGATGGAGAGGATCGGAGATGGATAGAGATGGGGAGCTCTCCGAATGAAGTTCCAGGCAACTCGCCCTGGCGCGTCCTCTGTCATCCGCCCAAGCTCGGACCACCTCACCAACTCCAAAACCTCGTTGCGATTTTTGCTCCAAGTTTGGGCCACGAGGCGCATCGTCCGTTTCGCGAATACATCATGCTCAATTCGACACATAGAACCCTCCCGCCTTTACCTCCAGGATGGTCTGAGCACCGCGCACCCACTGGTATGTGAACAATCAGACTTGATCGTGATTCTCGTTCTGATCGTTCAATATAGGCCATTTATACTACTATAATGCCGCTACAAAGAAATCTACATACACCAGGCCTCACTTAAGTGCACCTGAGGCTACAACACCTGCACCGCCTGTGCCACCTCCTCTCCAGGCTCAGTCCTACAATCCCGAAACCCTTCCAACGTATTCCTCCGCGCCGTACGGACCTGCAGGCTATGGACATGGCGATTGGCAATCAGGATACGAACAGCGTGGAGCCCATACCCAAGGTGCGGGACGTGGACGAGGTGGTTTCCGTGGTGGAAAAGGCTATCAAGATCGTGGCCGACGTGAACCTCAGGACCGGCCAAAATCTAAGCACACCATTCCGGACTGCGCCCCGTGGGTCCTCGTGGAAACAAAGCTTGGTCGGCGCTTCGTCCACAACACTGAAACCAAGGAGAGTTTTTGGAAGTTCCCACAGGATGTCCTGGCAGGTGTTGTAGAATACGATCGCCGTGAACGTGAGAGAAAAGAGAGAATCGAACGTGGCGAGGAACCCGAACCAGAGGGGATCGAGAAGGCGACTGCGCCTGAGAAGCCTTCACAGAATGCCATTGGGGAGCAAGAAAATCAGCAAGACGAGCCCCGTACAGGGTTGGGAGGCGAATATGACAGCGACGAATATGAAGAGGTTGAAGTCACAGACAGTGAGGGTGAGGGCGACGAGCATCCGGCAAAGCGTGCTCGTACCGAAAGCGGAAGCCCTCACGACCAACCGGTCGAGTTCACAGAAGAAGACATGGAATACCAGTTGGCAGCAATGGGCGAGGATTACGGATTAGATCCTGGTGAATACGGCGAGCCAGGAGGCGAAGATTGGGAAGAGGCACAAGGTCTTCCTTTGACTGACGAGGATGCGGAATCACTATTTCGGGATCTTCTGGATGACTACAATATCAATCCCTTTACGACGTGGGAAAAAATCATTGAGGAGGGCCGCATCATTGATGATTCCAGATACACGGCACCTTCAAACATGAAAACTCGGCGAGAAATTTTCTCAAAATGGAGTAAAGATCGGATCAAGACAGTCCAAGAGCGCAAAGCGAAGCAAGAGAAACAGGATCCTCGAATCAAATACCTGGCATTTCTACAAGAATATGCTTCTCCGAAACTCTACTGGCCTGAGTTCAAACGGAAGTACCGCAAGGAGCCTGAAATGAAGGACACCCAGCTCCATGACCGAGATCGCGAGAAGCTTTATCGTGATTATATTGCAAAGCTCAAGACATCGGAGAGTAGCCGAAAATCCGATCTTTCTGCGCTTCTAAAGTCCACTCCCTTGCACGCTCTCAATCGCTCCTCGAACTTGGAAGCTCTTCCACCATCAATAGTCACCGATGTCCGATATATTGCGCTCCCTCCAAAGACTCGCGACCCGCTAATTGAGGCTTACATATCGACACTGGCTCCCCCGCCAGAAGAGCAGCTGACTCCAGAGCAACTGGAGGAGCTAAGCCGGAAACGCAGAGACCGAGAGAAGCGCGAAAGGGCACTTGCCGAACGAGAGAAGCGAGTTGAGGAGGACAGGCGGCGACAACGCGGTGATCTCATACGTGGCAAGAATCTTCTCAAAGAAGGAGAGGCGGAAATTGCAGAAGCCATGAAGGTTAATAAAGATGGGTTGCGCACCCACATGGAGCTTGACTGAAGAAGCCGCTCGTGGAGCGAAAAATTAACTAGAGAAAGCTAGAAAATTCAAATTACTTATCTATGGCCTCACAAATGCGAGAAGATACCATACTAGGTAAAATTTTCGTAAAGGTTGCGAGCGAGCTTCAATATGCATGTCAGGCATGCCTTTCATTGTTCGAGGGTATCATTGAAATAGATTAATAGGAAGACTGCTTCCCGTATTGCCGAAATGGGGTTCCTAGATAGTTTCAAATCATTTGAATCTCCAGTCATCCCAATCATCATCGTCATCATCGTCATCATCACTTTCACTTTCCGCGGGTCGCTGGTCCTCCGACATGGCGGCACGCTTTGGCGTAGACTCATCATTGGCTTGTTTTTGTCGCAGTTCCTCTCGCATATGTTTGAGGCGTCGTACGCGTTCCTCAAGTTGTTCCATCTCATCAAATTCCTCTTCCATGAATCGCGCCGCGTCTTCTCGTTCGCCTTCCAACTCCGCCTCGCGTGCGCGTGCTGTTGAGACCTTATCGCTTTGCCGCTCCGCAGCAATCTCTTCTGTAGTGACAGGCGCGGCAGAAATGGTTGCCTCGGCAGAGAGCGCTGCCGGCGCATGTGGAAGTCGTGATGGCTCGGCCACGTCGCGTTCAAACGCGGCCCACTCGTCTTCGTCCACGTCGGGTTGTTGGGAAGGCACAGGAGGAGCTAGTGGGAGTTCTGAGGCTGGGATTTGTTCAGGAGCCTGGCCATCTTCCGTTGGTCCTTCCTCTGTTTCTGGAAGTGGTACACCCGCTTCGGCAGTTTCCAGCTCCTCGTCTGGCTCGGAGCCCTCGGCGGATGATTGATTCAGCTGAGCGTCGGACGCAGCCTGGACAGCATCCAAGCCAGTTGACCGTAACTTCTTCCGCATAATACCATCACCATTGTCAACCTTGCGCTTCTTACTCACGCGATTCCCAGAATTGTTGGGAGGGGTGCCTTTGCGCGAAGCAAGTTCGCTCCGGAGCATTGATCGCACGTCCGCCATAACGTATGTAGAAATCCGGTCAAGTCTGTCGTAAAGTGCACCAGGAATAAGTCAGGAGAGGGATAGATGTTGCAATATTGATCAGGTTTGAGGTAGGAGTTGCAAAATTAGATTCAATTTTGCTTGAGTGGGGAAACCTGGAGAAGCTGGAGCGAAGCCTTAATTATGAGAGCCCCAAAGTGTACGGAATTCACGCTCCAATGATGATGTGGCTGGTAAATCATGTGACTTTTGATATGTCAGCCGCATTCGGGTCCATCTCTTTCGCGTAGTTTTCGGCCAGACCAACCTTTCCTTGACATTCCATTCGTTCTGAACCCCCCCAAATCATCACAAGGGGGTTTTTGGTGGCACAGTCAGCGTGTACTTGGCTCTTACCTACAGTGACTCATTCTCATCTACGCGACGCGCTACGGTTTCTTTCGCGCACACGATCACCCCCACCTGTCAGGAGTTTGCGACATAGCTCTCAAGACCTGCTATCCCATTCTGGAAAGGACTACCCGGGAACACGATCGTTTCTTGACACCAGTGAATGCTGTGAATACGTTTTTACAGTATTCTTGAGAGAATTCACCAAGGATCCAAGTAATACCAGCCGCGCGTCAGTTGTGATTGTGAAGCTGTGAAGCGCAGTGAAGCAGCAAAGCAGTAGGGCGCATAGCGGGAAATCACGTTGGAGCGAGGATTTCTGTTGTGTTCTACTTAAAATCCCGCATTTGAGCCTTTACGCCGTAGTAGTCCTTTGTTACCATTCCCACGGCTTGTATCTGTTGCGCAAACACAGCCAGGTTCATACCGCCTTCGGATCCTTTTGTAGAGCATCTCCTGGCTTCAACGCCGTTATCGACAATCATGGCTGGTAAGCAATCACTTCGTACCCCGTCAGGCATAGTCTGCGCGTTATCCGCGACGCCCATCTCCCGTCGCAGCCCAGCCAGAAACACCCGCCGTGCACCTACTAACAACCATGCCAGATGAACCGCGACGCTCTGGCCGAGCCACCAAGGGCCAGCACAAGAACCTCGAACTGCCCGATGCACCATCAAAGAAGGGCAAAGGCAAGGCCAAGAGCGACAAGTCCAGCAAAGCTTCCGCCGAACCTACCCCCGGACCAAGTGAGGGAGACGAGGAAGAGATCATCCGGTGTATTTGTGGACAATATGAGGAAGAGGAGGACGTGGAAAGGGACATGATCTGTTGCGACTCATGCTCCGCATGGCAACACAACGACTGTATGGGTCTGACCTTCGCCAAAGGTCATGAGCCAGATAATTACTACTGCGAACAATGTCGCCCAGAGAACCACAAAGCCCTCTTGGATAAAATTGCGAAGGGTGAGAAGCCCTGGGAGGAAGTTGCTGAGCGTCGGCGCCGAGAGGCAGAGGAGAAGAAATCCAAGCGCAAGAAGGGTGGCAAGAAGGGCGGCAAAAAGAGCAGACCTAGTGAAGCGAAGACTGAGGTCGGCACCCCAGTGCGCGGTGGCATGTCTGCAACACCAGGCCCCACTACTTCACCTGCCCCAGCAACTTCTGCCTCAGTTGAACCTGACAAGAATGCCAACTCGACAGACTCTCGACGCTCCAGCACCAACAAGCGCAAGTTAGAAGAGAGCACGGAGGCTGAGACTGTAAGGACCTATATAAGCCACCCCAACACGCTACATGAAACGAAACTAACATCCTGATCTTTTCTAGACGCATCAAGCCAAACAACAGCGCGTTTCTTCCCAATCTCCCGCATCGTCGCGTCTCAAGTCCGAATCTGGTGCGCTTGGCAGCGTAGACGAGCTTCAGATACCCGCACGTAAGAGTGCTGCAACGGCGCTCGTCAAGCTCTTCACTGACCAGGTCAGCGCGGCCGAGAAGGCAGGCTCGGTCTCATTGACTGGGCAATCCACAGAAGATATTGCAACGCGACTTGGTCTAGCCATCGAGAGTGCAATTTATCAGAACCTCTCCGGCGGGAACGGAGAACCTACCGAACCATACAAGTTACAGCTACGGACTATTTTATTCAACGTCAAAAAGAATCCGTCTCTACGTGATCGCTTACTTTCAGGTAGCCTCACGCCTGATGCTCTGTCCACGATGAAGCCAGAGGATATGGCCAGCAAAGAGCTGCAGCAAAAGGATGCCGAGATCAAACGCGAAGCGGAACGACAGCATATCATCGTCCAAGAGCAAGGCCCTCGCATGCGACGCACTCACAAAGGCGACGAACTGATTGAAGACGAAACACACAACGCCACCACAGAGTCTATTTTCTCTGGTGCTCCCCGTCGCCTGACTACGGACCTCGAAGCCAGCCCCGGGAACCAAAGCCCTATTACACCCAAGGTGCAGCAGGGAACTAAGCAAAAGAACGACGCACAACCATCTACTGGTGAGCATCATGATGAGGTCTTCCCTGAAGTTGCAACCAACATCCGTGAACCAGTCCCCCATGGACATGTGCAGGCCGATGCGGATATTGATCAGCTACTTCGAGACGAGTCTGAATCCCCGCCTTACTCTCCGAAAGACTTCACGGAGGACGACCTTATCTGGCGAGGCAAACTTTCGATGTTGCCAGTCGCAGAGTTCTCGTCTTCCGCGAAATTTGTTGGGGGTGCAGATCCCAGTGGGCAACACCTCTGGACACTCTTCATGCCGCAAATCCTGAAGATTGACGGCCGAATCGACCTCAAACTTGCCACAGAATATCTTTGCGGGCTGCGTTTCAGTCAGTCAACAGATGTTACCATAACATCTATCAACTACCCTGACACTCCTGCTCAGCAAGACGGTTTCAACAGGCTGTTTGACTACTTTGCTACGCGCAAGCGTTATGGAGTGATCGGGTCGCATCCTTTCACTCCAATCAAGGATACATACATTGTTCCTATCGAGATTGGCACGACGAAGATGCCGGAATTCCTCGAACTTATGGAAAATAATGCTCTTCGGGGTCCTACTACCCAGCGAACCTTCCTTGTCGTGTTCGTGTCCAAGATCATCCCTGATCAGCACATCCTCAACGCTCCTCCGGCCCCAGCTGGGTTCAACTACATGCGTGACCTCGGATTTCCTTCTAAATATCCCACAATGGAAGCAGGCAGTCGCCGCAAGCCTTCGCCAGAAGCTTTTGAAATCCTGGGCGACTACGTATATCGCCCGACGATACAGCAACTCATCCAGAAAATGCCAACGATTGAGAGAACAGAGTTGGAAGTCGTGCGGGCAGTCTTAGATGGGCAGCCATCCATTGCCGACGATTATTCTTTGCTCTATCCTGCGCTCCAGGAATATTTCAAAGATCGCCCCCAGGACCTGCGCTTCTTCAAGATGATTGCCCCCGTTTGAAAATCCACCCTTTCTAGCTTCTCGCTCTTGTATTGTACAGTGTTTTGTACTCTGTCGCCCTCCAGTTCCCGGAAATGGGCTGGTTCAAGCGGCTTTCTATCCAGGTGTTCGGTTGTCACGTCCCCGGTAAAGGGGCTTTTGTCCATCTATGGTTGTGGGGTTCCTTTTATTCTGGGCTCGTTCTTAAAAAATGGGTTATTGTTCTTCTTCTTATTCCTGTGTTAAGCCTATCGTCAATGGACCCGTGGCTTTTGTTTTTCACAAAAGGTTATCGATGCACGTTGTTGTTATTCTTATTTTTAATGCCCGGATTATCATCGGTAGCCCCTAGGGCAATGTTATTTGTTTATGAAAGGACCGCCATCGACCTTGACTGTGATCTCCTGATTGTGATCGAGGAGCGAAATCGTGGCTTACCGAACATCGATTATGTCTATCTACACGCCTTGATTCTCATGCCGCATTCTATCAAATGAAGTGCTATTATCTACTCTGAGCTTTTCAATTGTTTCCAGATGAATTACATACCACTGGCAAAGCCTAGTGTCGTAGTAAAAGACTCCTCTCATGGTTGGCAGGTAGAACTCAGTTTACTCGGTACTCGCGTAGAGCAACGATGGTGTTGGATAGTGATGCAAGATGGCGAAAGGGATATGAAAGGCGGAAATATCAAGTAGCGTGGACTGATATTAAGGATCAGAAATGAGTAAAGACTTGGAATGCAACTCCAGCCCGAGAGATATCTTCACGACCAGAAGGGAAATAAAGAGCAAATGGGGAATAGCGTCCTCCCACTTGGCGTGGATCCACCCTACGCCTGCGCTATGCAAAAGACACAAAGAAAGAGACAAATCATGACCATCACAGCATGTGAAATCACCATCTTGGACGCCTTCGATGACCTCCTCCCCGTCCACCACCTCCCCCACCGCCGCCATAACGGTTACGCCCACCGGCCCGGCCACCAGCGCTGTAAGGATCATCCTCTACATGGCGGACAGGCCGCTCTCGACCATTCAGCTCTGCCGAAAGTTTGTTGAAGGCATCCCGCATGAATGTGTAACCCATGTGCATCTTTCCATAGAAATGATCCGCCAGTCGTCGGTCGTTGTCCAATCGACTCAGGTAAGCACCACAAACGTCGCAAACCTGCAGCTTCTGGTGGCCGGAGGGACCACCGGTATCCTGCAGGTTCTTCAGGTCGCGCTCGAAAATTTCCTTCTGCAATTTGGCGGCGCGAACCTTGTGCAGCTCAGTTATGGCCATTGCGACGTCTCCTAGCTCGCCCAGAATGCAGACTTCGAGGAGCCCATTGTTGATGGTGTCATTGAGATCGTGGATTTGTTTAATCTGTGGGGATATCGTTACTATGTCGGCTCCTTCGCATTTCGATTTTCCTTGGGGCTCAACTTACCAGGTTCTGGGTCTCTTTAATCTCTTGCGGAGTTTGCTCCAGATTGCGCTGCGACGAGTGGATTCGTTTGTCGACCTCAAGGATGTAACCCTGAATATCCCTCATGTAATCGAATTCAAAGCCCCATTTCGCTTTTTCAGCGGGCGTCGCATTCTCGTATTGGGCTTTCAGGCCCTCATTATGCACCTTGGGACAAGCACCGCTGTCTTGGCGCGTATTGGTGAAGAGATCGTGGGGGGCAAGTGCCAACAAGGTAGGAACGACAGACTTTGTCATCGGTAATGGAAAGTTGCGAGTTGCGGCCCTGGGCACTGGTACCGATCAGGCTCTCCGCTGTCATTGACTGTTAGCTTCAACGCGCACCGGATACAGCAATATCTTGGAGCTTGTATGTAGGGAATTTTCTCATCCCAATACAAATTTACTTACAGCCCATGAGCTGCTCGAGCAGCCTTCTCTGCTCTGCTGCCATGATGAAAGTCCGTTCGACACGAAAAAGTCGTTCGACGCGAAAAAGGACGAGCTCGGTGCAAGGTGATGCAGTGGCGAACTTTCCCCAGAGGGCTTTTTTTTGAAAGCGGTGGGCGGTGGGTCGAAGGCGGTGAGGCGCGTCAATGAACTTAACAGATGGGCTTCCAGCCAAGACAAGCTGTACCTGCAATTCCACACATGTCGGACGTGTAGGCCTTGCTGTCACTTTGAGGCGACACCTAGGTGACGCAGAGTTTGTGCAGTCTACTTGGCTTTTGCCAAGACCTTTTATCCTAGCTCTGCAGCCCAGAACATCGCATGGACTAGGGGCGCAGACCAAGCTCCGGCATGAAGTAATGACGGTCCTCTCCCTATTCTCCCTTTTATGGGCTTGCATAGTCTTCCTATGGAGTGCGCCAGCCTTTGCTTCCTCCGATTATCATGAACAGCTATTTCTCCAGCCTTTCCCGCAATCATCTCTCTTAGCTTCGTTCAACTTCCGGAGCAATACATCTCAGGCGTCTTTCGATAACCAGCATTTTCGATACTTTCCTCGGGCATTGGGCCAGATTTTACAACATGCTAATACGAAAGAGCTTCACCTTCGTTTTACAACAGGGCGATGGGATGCTGACAGCTGGGGCCCAAGGCCATGGAATGGTAGTAAAGAAGGAGGCACGGGAGTAGAGCTGTGGGCTTGGATTGATGCGCCGAATGATGACGAGTATGTTTTCTGCACTTTGGGCAACATATCTTGGTACTTTCTAACTTTGTTATAGGGCATTTGCAAAATGGATTACCCTGACCCAATCATTGTCAGGCCTGTTTTGTGCCTCGTTAAACTTTGTGGATTCTACGAAAACAACGCGCCCCGTCGTTTCGTTCGAGCCAACAGGAGACCACCCAGAGTCCAGTAACCTGCATCTCCTGCATGGGGCCCTCCCAGGTGAAGTTGTCTGTACAGAGAACTTGACGCCTTTCTTGAAACTGCTTCCGTGTAAAGGCAAAACTGGAATTTCAACTCTTTTTGACGGACATAAGCTTTTTGATGCCGCATGGCAGAGCATGTCTGTAGATGTGCGACCAATTTGCACTAGACAGGGGGACTGTACGATCCAAATTGAACAAACAGTCGATATGGTCTTGGATATTGAGCGTTCTAAGCGACCTCGATGTAAGTTGTCTCCCTGCTTGCAAGGACCAAGATGCTAACTGTTTCCAGCAAATCCGATCCCTCGCCCTGTCCCAAATGAGCAGTTGGTCTGCGATACATCAAAACCTTACAATTCTGAAGACACTTGCTATCCCCTTGAGAAGGTTACAGAGAAGGACTGGAGCCTGAGCGAGGTCTTTGGCCGACCCTTGAATGGCATTTGCCCTCTAGCAGATTCTGATGGAAGCGCTGAATACCCTGTCTGTATTCGGGTCCCTCACGAGCGAGGAATCTTCTATACGGAGGGCACGAAAGAGTTCAAGTTGGATGATGGTTTTACTCGTTGCTTTGACCTGGATCCTTCGAAACCCTTTGACCTTGCGATTCCAGAGCAACCAATCAACATCCAAGCTCCCCTCGATGAGCCCATTCTACATGCCGAACGGACCATCGTGGGTCATGGCCAAGAGCGTGGTGGTATGCGGATCATATTCGAGAATCCCTCTCCCACCGCCGCAGTGGACTTTATCTATTTCGAATCACTTCCTTGGTTTCTGCGGCCCTACATCCACACGCTACAGGCAACTATTACTGGACGCGATGGACTCCGGCGTGAGATCCCAGCCTCCGATCTTGTCAGCGAAACCATCTTCCGACCGGCCATCGACCGCGAACGCGGGACCCAGTTGGAGCTAGCCCTGTCAGTTCCTGCTGCGTCCACTGTGACACTGACCTACGACTTTGAGAAGGCGATTCTTCGTTACACGGAATATCCACCCGATGCTAACCGAGGCTTCAATGTCGCACCCGCTGTGATTCGAATCCTCAACGGCGTTGACAGCAGCCCGATCTACATTCGGTCTACCAGTCTTCTTCTTCCGCTCCCAACTCCGGATTTCAGTATGCCCTACAATGTCATCATCCTCACCAGCACTGTTATTGCCCTTGGGTTTGGCACCATATTCAATATTTTGGTCCGACGAGTCGTGTTAGTGGAGGAAGCAGAAGCCCTCGGCTCTCAAACCATCAAGGGCCGTATTCTAGGCAAGGTTCTGGCTCTACGGGGCAAATTCGGCCGCAAAGAAACCAAAGTCGAATGATGAAATCGTATTACATTCCGATCCTAATACCTTCCCCATGTTCCATAGAATAAGAAATATTTCTCAAATCATACCCGATGCTATCGTAAAAGAGTAAAGATTCCCCAGCCGCCAGTCTTGCAATATGAACTATCAATTTAGAAAGAAAAAGTCAAATGCCTAGCCGCTTCCTAACTGGCCTCGCCACTTGTGCTGATGGATCCCATTAGTCGCTGAACTTGTAGACCGCGCGAAAACAAAAGAAAAAGAAAAGAAAAGAAAGGACCTACCCCCCCAAGCACATTCTTCATAGTCTCCCATCCGGGCAATGTCCCTGAGCCACCAGGTTTATGCTCCATGAAAGTGTGATCCTCAGCCGCGCAAGTCGGTTCCCCATGAGCATTCACCGGCTTGGCGTTTCCAGCTGCCTCATCCGCTCGCTCCATATACTTTTGTTCGGCGCTGGTCTTCTGCTGTTGTAGACCAAGGACCTCGCCCATCGTTGATCGGGGGTTGGGAGCCTTGACACCGGAGGTAAGTTCCTCTGTTCAAACCACAAGTGGGGGCTCCTGAGACTTACAGGGACATGGCCAAGGCCTAGGGGAGCTTTGCTATTCTCATTTTGTCCACCCGACTGGTCTTCGCCGTCCCCGCGCTGGCATTCGCGGGGGTACGTTCGGCGCTGGCACCGCCCGAAATGGCTTTGGAATGGCTTTTGGTTGAATCGGACATTTTGCAACTGAAAATACTAAGTGAGATCAAGTTCCTGCACAGATGGGTTGTTCTCGGCTTATATACTGACCCTGACTGCCAATGGAACGGTGTCGCTGAAACATTTCAAGTTGGCACCCACGAATGAAGTCATAATGAGGTCTTGGTGCGGCCCCTCATTGGGTGGCTGAAAAGTAAAGCTACGATTGGGTTGGTACTTTCAAGTTCCTCGCTTTCGATTTGACGTATTACACTTTTAGTCAGTTTGAAGACCGTTGGTAAGAGGGCTTGTGCTGGGGGGCGGGGGGGTTTAATGTTTCTCTACGTTCGTTCAGCGGCAACAGTTACCGAACCAATTCCTGGTTCGTCTATTTTGGAGTAGAAAAGCAACCGCAAAAGAAGATGATCAAATGTGATTTTAACGAGAAAAAAAAAGATATCCCTAGCGATTCTAATTCCACCGAATATCATTGTTATCCTGGTATGGGTTTCATGCCGTAATGAACCCCGCCGTAAATCCGTAGCACCAAATCAGTCAATCTTCCTTTCCTTTTACGTCCTTGTTAGTCGAGATTGTGAGTTAGCACTCTCTTACGCCAATTATCGTGGAGGAAGTGGCTTTGAACAAAACTGAATACTTCGTTAAGATTTACTCCCCTCATGTAGAAGAGATCCATTTCGCTTCATTAACAATCCATGACCGGAATCATCGACTGATCGACCTGCCTCCTTTCTCGCAACTCCCTACTTCCCTTCTGCAGCTCGCGCCTTGGCCTTATCATCCAGCGCCCTCGAAATAGCCGGGCGAGCCTGGATCCGCCTCAACCACGCATCGACATGAGGAAAGTTCTTCTCGACACCGATCTCCGCCGACCAAAGGAACGCAACCACATCGTACCAAGGGACGAAAACAGCATCAGCGTAGCTATACTTCTCACCTACAAGGTATTCCTTTCCTTCCAGAATCTTATCGAGCACGCCTGTAACCCGACGGATCTCGTTGAAGTAACGGTCAACGGCGCTGGGCACCTTCTCCGAATGATAGATCGTGAACCAGGCCGCCTGGCCGAAGTACGGGCCCTGGCCAGACATCTGGTAGTGCAGCCACTGTCTGGACTGGAAGTGCTCCTTCGAGCCAGCAGGGAAGCTGATGGTGTTCTCCTTGTCGTATGTCTCAAGCAGGTACTCGATAATGGCGCCGGATTCCCAGATGGAGATACCCGTGTTGGGGTCCTCGATGGCGGGTACACGGCCGTTGGGGTTGATGGAGGTGTAGGGCTCATTCTTTAGTTCTTTCAGATCGAGGAATGTGTGCTCGTAGGGAAGTTTGAGTTCTTCGAGGATCATGACCACCTTCAAGGGGTTGGGGGTGCCGGCATGGCCCCAGACCTTAATGGGTTGAAGAGACATAATGAGTAATTGGGCAACTGACTGACTCTAACGAACAAAATAGTAGATGTAGACATTACGAGGGCTGGGGCTGGTTTGTTTTAAATGTACCGGTATATTGTCTACGATGTTTGGAGGATACTGAAGTTGAATAGTTCGTAACCTCCCGTCACGATCCACCGGACCAAATTATTCAGCTCGGGGTCCGAGAAGCAGCGCCTACCGACTGCAGTTGGTAATCTGGATAGTTGGTTGCCTGTCTTTTGGAATTGTAATCAAGGATGCTTGCGCTTTAGTGATCAACGACCGCAGACAGTAGGCATCCGACCCAGATGATTGACGCTTATTGGGCCTCTTGCAGTGTGCAAACGGTACAAACTGCAGAATGCAAACAAAAGGCAACATTTGGCGGAGGATGAATAATGCGATGGGAGGATTTCATTGGGCAGATCTATGTTCATTCTGTAAAATGGGGATCTTAGTTTGATTTTCTCGCTGCGATAACAGTTTCAAGCGACTCGTATTCATTTCGCCGTACTGATATGATTGAGGTCGGGAATATGCGGATCGATAACTCATGTATTCAATATGACCATTTCATTTTGAGCACTATAATAGGGCCTGGGAGTTTCCCCTCGAGGGTCGTTCCCCAATTCGTACACTTCAGTATGGCTACCACCTCTCCAGTTATTCTCATCCTTGGCTCCGGCCCCAGAATCGGACAACATGTGGCAAAGGCCTTCTCCGCAAAGGGCTACAAGGTTGCCCTCGCATCCAGAAGCCAAAAGAAAGAAGACAGCCAGACGGACCAACTCCACATTGCAGCTGATCTTTCGGATCCCCACTCGGTGAAGGATGTCTTTTCGAATGTCGAGGAGAGGCTCGGTCTGCCAAGCGTGGTGGTCTACAATGGTGAGTAGTAATCTCCCAGGTACTCGTTGCTTAGGTTTGGCTAACGCCCTTGAAGCTGCCGCTGCAATCTTCAATAGCCCAGATGATCCTCTGGCTGTCTCCTTGGATGACTTTACTCGTAACTTCAGTATCAACACGACCAGTGCGCTTGTCGCGGCACAGCAGGCGGCCTCGAGCTTTGCGAGACTTCCTAGCAATAGCTCGAAGACATTCATCTACACTGGGAATATCCTGAACGATACCCCCATAGCAAACCTTTTTGATGTCGGTGTAGGTAAAACGGCCACAGCCTACATTATCCGCGCCGCTGCTACTGCCTACTCTATCAAGGGCTTCAAGTGAGCTTTTCATTTCTTTTCATCGGCATACTGGCAACTAATCAATGGCAGGTTCTATTATGCTGATGAGAGGAAGGCCGATGGGACCCCTGCCTACTCTGCCGTCGATGGAGACGCCCACGGCGATTTCTATGCCGGACTTGCTGGGCACAAGACCCAAGGCCCGTGGCAACAGACTTTTGTCAAGGGAATAGGATACAAGCAGTTCCCAGATGTTTAGTGCTTGGTGGGCCTTGGCTGATGAAATTGTATGGCAATAACCCAAGTCAAAGTACGCTTTGCTATGCCCTTCAACCAGAAGGAACTGTCACTGATATCTCATCGTTTCTGCAACTGGTACTTTCTACGAATTCCCGCAGGATTCCATTAATGACCTTTTTTTTTTTTTTGGTTCTTCCTTTCGTAGCGTGATCAATCAAAGATATCCACGGTCTAACCACCCCGATCATACCGGAGGATCTTGCAAAGCGGCCAACCCTGCAACACCATAGCCCCAATCATCAAACACCCAGCAAAGACCTGAGCGCGCAAGAACTGCGCCGCGTCAAGATTCACCAACGCACCCGCAATAGGTGTTCCTGCCAACGCCCCCACCGACGAGATCCCCCACATCATACCCAGCCTCGTGCCCATAAAATTTGAATCCGGACAAAACACCGGGTGTGCCACGATAGACGTCGGCGCCGTTACCAGCACTCCGCTCAAAATACCCCAGTAGCACGACCAGGCAATGAACCCCGGGGGATCTCTCGCCGCGATCCAGGTAAACATAGCTACCGCAGAAGCAGCGACACAGAAAAACAAGATCACAACGGGCTTGACATAAGCCACGAGCAGATAAGGAACGACACGGCCAACGACAGATGACCCGTTGACGATGGCGACCATGTAGAACGAGAGATTGGCCGTAGTGTGAACGACAGTCCGGGCGTAAGACGCAACATAGAAGATAGGCACATAGTAGGCGAGCATCACGCACGTCAGCGAGAGAGAGAACAGCATGAAAGCCGGCGAGCGAAACGCGGACCGGTCGACGAGGCTTCTTGCGCGGGAGCGCGAGCCGGGGCGGCGGCAGAGAATCGTGCATGCGATGGCTGCCATGAAGAGGCTTACGAAGCCGATGCAGCGGACGGCCCACGGGAAACCTATCCTCGGCTGCAGCTGGCGGAACATCACGGGGAAGATCACGGCGCCGACGCTGGAGCCGATTGAGGCGCAGCCGATGGCGATTGGGCGCTTGGTGGTGAAGCGAGTTGAGACGACCGCCAGTGCTGGGATGTATGAGATGCCGCCGCCGAGACCGATGCAGAAGCCCTGGGCGAGGAGGATCTAAGGTGCATGGTTGGTTCTCTTTTTTTCTTTTTTTCACTTTGCTGACGAAGATTGAGTTGCGGGCATACCTGATAGTATTCAGTTGCTAGGCTGGTCATCATTAGTCCGAACACAGTGAGGAAGCTGCCTGATACAATCAGTGGGCGAAGATAACCGGAGTCTACTAGCGGCCCTGAAAGGATACCGACCATTGGGATCAAGGTCGCCTGGATGCTTCCTATCCATGAGATGGCCGAAGGGGATTGGTTGGATAGGAGCACTGTCTGATAATATTCTTGAAAAGCCCCATAGGTGGTTAAAATGCCCCTGGGGAATTGTGAGATTGGGGTTGCTTGGCTTTGCACCCTTGGAAGGGGAAACGGACCATGAGTTGACGAAGACGCAGAACAAGGCCGCTACGGTTAGCCAGGCGTCTATACCCCCATTGATCTGAAGCTTGGGGGCTACATATTCTGGACCAGCGCGCGGCGTTATTTGGTTGGGGGTGGGTAATGCATGAGGGCTGAGACTCGGATTCTCATAGGCCGTCTTCTCGTTCATACTGGTATCAGCCCGTCGATCCTACTTATCGGGTCACAGATCTATGTGTCGCCCTACCACATTATATTTATAGACATTACGCTCATGCAGTTCGAGTGCGGAGAAGCGTTGAGTTTGGTTTCCATTAGTCACGGTATGGAGTCGTCAAATGAGGTGCTGGTATTGGCACGCTCGTCGGCAGTGAATAGCCGAGCTCTACCGACCATGGGGGTTGAAAATGAGCACTCGCCCGATTTGTAGCTGAATTTATAGGGCTTCGTGCTAGCATAAGTGATAGTTAGGACCGAATTCGGTTCCCAGGTAGTGAAAGGCGTTAAATCTGGGGGACGTTGTGACCTGGAAGCTGCATGATGTCAATACCGGGTAGCTTAAGTAGGTAATGAGCCGCATTCTAGGGATTGCCGAGTGGACGGAGGTTCATGTCATTTTCTCGGCGATATGTACTCTTTCCATGGACAAGCGGAATAACTCCCCTTCGTTGAATGACGGTACGATGCGTCTTTGCGGTGTTGCTTGGAATCTCCCACAGGTCGACTTTAGTGAAGTCTAGTACCAGGGAACAGGACAAAAGAGGGAGGGAACGCTTGAAGTGATTGAAAGGGATATATGCCAGTGACTCTAGAGGATGCGATTACGGTTATCTCAGGTTCATGTGACTAACATTGGGTTTTTTTTGCTCATCTGCGTACTTGGGTAGGTTGGAAGGTACTAAGAAGATCATGAGCTTCAACGATATATCGAGTTGTGGACGGAGAGAATCGCTGGATATATATATATCTTCCGGAACCTTCCCCACTGTCTTCAGGTTGATCAAGATCCAGCCTGATCCAGCCTACTACTCCATTTGGATAAACTACTAGCATGCCCCAAAAAGCCAAAGTGCCATGGGTCTTGATCAGAATATTGCGCCTCATCCTACCCCGAGTATGGCCTATTTAGGCCCGGGTTCGGCCACAATGGTTCACAGACCATGTCTTCTTTTTTACCCTTTTTTTTCTTTTTGAAAGGACCTGAATTGCGCCAATGATCTTTCATGGTAAAGTACTTAGAATAGGACATGTGCCGTCCTCGCGCACTATTTCCTTGAACACTACTCGATTCCCCATCGCAACTAGCGTTTGACGGACCCTGCAGATCAATATCCGGTCCTGTGCCAGTGAAGCTCCGAGTTCCTGGGGCTCCACGCTCGCTTTCACAATCCAGCGTTCGAGTCCCCTAGACACGCCCTTCAGTCACAAAGGATTGAAGAGCCCCTAAGTGGAATCCAATAAGGCTGAGCGGGGTCATTCCCTTTGCCATCTCTCTCGGATGAGAGAACTTGTTCTTTATCCTATGGACGGGAAAAACCTGTATGCGGTAGTATTCCTCCAGTGATCGTCCGGCTCAAGGTTGTCGATCGCAATAGCTGGTCCTCTGTACGGAGTACCGAGCGTACACGAGAAAGAAAGGAGGTTCCCTGAGCTCAGAGTTACTTGTTAGGGAGAAATTGGAGATAATGTGGAGTATCTGCAGTATCTTGCAGTATTGTGCATATTTCGTGCACAGAGGCCGTAAGGAGACCTACCCCTTCTTCATGCACCAGGGGGGGATATCTACCCCCGTATTTTAAGGCCACAAGGCTCCTAGATAATGACACAGTAAACCCGATCGTGTGTTCTCCTGGTAATAAGGTAATTAAATTGTAACCTAAGAATCAACACCTAAGTCAACAGAGAAGCCCAACCACGTAGGCAGCTCAGAGCTGTACACAGCAGAGGTGTCCATGACGTGGCCAGGGGACTATTTAGGCGACACTGGGTATTGTGCGGTGAGCGGGGAGTTGTTTGCCGACTGCCAAGCGGCATTGAGGCGCAAACCAAAAGAGATTGAGATTAGGTGGCGGTCTTGGGCGTGTCATCCCATCGGAATCCCGGAGGCTCGGGAGTTCTGGAAATTCTGCGAAGAAATGGTAATTGTCCGAGGAATGTGGACCAAGATATGGCACTGGTATGTTGATATAGAAGGGATATCAAGGTCGATCATGGGTCGAGCAGGGTCTAGGGAGTTTAATGAACTGGTATTGAAAATTTCTCTGCTGCATGAATCTCATTTAACAGAGTGCGTCACCATGGGTGATCAGGGCCGGTACCGTGGAAATTACCCCTGATATACCATAAATTACAGTAAGCATACGTGTTCCATGGAAAGGCGCAGGGCTTTCAGGTACCCGCGCCTTGCAGAATTGATACTTGGGACCTCAGATCCCCTGTCCATTTCCGCATGGCCCCAGAACGGAAACCTCTCCTCCTACATCTATCCTGAATATCTCAGGACACGGAATGGAGACTGAGTTCTGAAGCCCTGGGGGGGGCCGAGGGCTGCTCCCCCTGAATACTGTACACTTCCATGCGTATTGGGCGCAATGGGATCCGATAAGTCCGGAGGCAGCGGGTCTCCCCCCATAGCGCCCCCCACATTGACTCCTTTCCATCGCATCTGTTTGGTCAGGATGCTCATTTTACGGCGCGTTTCGTCAACTTCCCTCTAATTAAATCTCTGCCCCGGTGGGGCTCCTGATCTCCTTCGATAGGTGTACCTGGCGTCCCTGCCGCAGGTCCCAGCAGCCTTCCAGTGCTCTCTGACGAACGGGAGCGCGAGAACCCGTTGGGGCTTTCGTCCCCTAACTCCAGCTACTGCCAGGGGCTAACGCCCGTACGGTCATTACCACCAGGAACCAGATGGAGTACATACAATGGGGCCCCAAAATTACCGAAGCATATGTTTGGCCTAGGCTCACGGGCTTTTCCCACTGAACGGCCGCTCATTGGCCTGGGATCAGCGGCTGTCTCGCTTTTCAGCGTTTCAAGCCTCTCACACAGTGCTCGAGGCCCCGGGAGATCCACTGTTCGCCATAAAGGCTGCCAGCCCCCCCTATCTCACCCTTCTTCCTCTCTTGTTTTGCACCCTACCTGCTGTCCATCCTTTGCACACGGTCATTCTGACCCCCCACTCTCCTTAATTGAAGTCGAGGCCGAGCCTCCTTTCAACGTCAGTCGTTACTCTCCGTCTGTAGAACAGGCAGACCATCCGATCCGGACACAGCAGGCTCTTTCACTTGTCGAATCACCCCCGAAAGTACAAATTCGCCATGCAGTTCATCAAGTCTGTCGGCGTTGTCGCCGCTCTGGCCTCCATGGTCGCTGCTCAGCCTCACGGTCACCGTCACCAGCACGCTCACGAGAAGCGCGAGCTCGTCTGGGTCACCGAATGGGTCACCGTCGACCCTGCCACCATGACCGCTGAGGCCCCATCTACCACCTCGATTCCGCCCCCTCCTCCAACTACCACCAGCACCAGCAGCGCTACCACTAGCTCTCCTTCCGTGGCCCTGAAGGAGAACCTGCAGATGCCCGCTGCTCCCTCCAGCAGCTCTAGCTCCACCCTCATTCCCACCACTACCTCTGTGGTCAGCACTACTTCCGTGGCGTCTTCCACTTCCTCCGCCGCCGCCGCCACTGGCACCGGTCTGATCGTTGCCAACCAGCTCGACCAAGACGTCTACGCCTGGGTCACCAACAATGTCCCAGGTGAGATGCAGACCATCCCCGCCGGTGGCTCTCTGCCCCTGCACGAGTGGCTTGTCAACCCCGACGGCGGTGGTGTCTCCGTCAAGTTCTCCACCTCCACCTCCAACGCCGAGTCCGTCCTGCAGTTCGAGTACACCTACCAAGACCCCACTCTCTGGTGGGACATGTCTTCCATCAACATGCTCCTTGACTCCCTGTTCGTCACCCACGGTTTCCTCGTCACCAACAACGCTGGCTGCAAGACTGTCACCTGCGAGGGCGGCAACGCCAACTGCAAGGAGTCCTACCAGCACCCCGACGACGTTGACACTCTCAGTTGTACCGCGGACTCTCTGTTCACCCTTACCCTGGCTCCTACCGTGGAGCAGATCGCCCAGGCTGCTCTGGAGGTCGGTGAGAACATGCTGTAAAAGGCTTGTCAGAGAGTTTTTCTTCTCTGCTCACGGAGGTACTCGTTGCGTCTGTGGGTTTCTTTTTCAAAGGGCGTTTTCGTGATGGATCCTAGTTCAATATCCTTTTTTTTTTTTAAACCTCGCCTCTGCGTTTCTTCGTTTCTTCTTGTCATATATACCTTGATATATACTTTGATGGGAACAATGACGAACCTTCAACATTTACCCTTTTTTTCACTATTCTTTTTTTCTCATGATTGTTATCAAAATGAACATACACTTGGACTGGTACATAGAATTCATTTTTCTATTCGCTCATTAAACTTTCAAGTTTCTATTTTAATTGAGTATTAGTAGTACATAAGATATTGTGCTGCACGCAGCGCGCCGAAAGTGAATAGTCCTTTGCCCCTACTCTTGGAAACTGGTCAATTGATAAGGCACAGCCAGTGGACCCTCGGGAATGATGCACTCGGTTCAGAAAAGGGGGTAAAACAATATTCATACGTAGATCGGTTCTCGCTCTGCGAAAGATAAATTGATAAATCGGAAAGGCACGTAGACCATATATAAAGGATACTCAAGACTGAGGAGTGCAGATCGTCAGCTCCTGATGAGTAAACTCCGAAGGAATTCTAAGACAGTTGAAGATGGGATAAAAGCTGGTGGGAGAGGCTGTAGTAAAGCCGAGTGATGGCGGGTAAAATCTGGCCGGCTTGGTTGGAGTTCTGCAACAAACTGCTCCAGAAATTTATGACTACATCATTCCTAGAACAGATCGCGTAACACTATGCTCATTAGATATGGACCCAGTTTCTAGTACCTCTGCTGTTTGGATATGACTCCGATTAGTGGTGGAAATGGATTTCCTGCTGCGATTGCCGGCCCGAGCCTGCCCTAATGTACTTCAAGCGTTAGCAAAAGCCTCGTTATCGATCGCTCTACAAGTCTGCAAACTTGCCCAGAGCATTCAATTATAATCGATGGGACCAAAATAGGGCTGGCCTAACCACTGCAAAACCTCGGGGTTCTTCAAAGGTTGTCTTGCCACGCGTTGCCCTAACCAGGAACCGCGCCTTGATCTAACCCGCAAGCTTGCGCATGTCCAGTAGTGGGAACTTTGACGGCGAAGTGACCCGGCATTCTACTTTCGAGTTAGCGATGAAGAAAACAAAAGCTGAAGGTGGCGAGTAGTTCATTCGTCCCATATGTATGGAAATCATCATCAGTTGTATTTATGTGGACATTTTTCGTAACAGGATGAAGTGCGATACTGGCAGGGATATCAATTCAAAGTGCAAGAAACAAAGTTCTTTCATCGCGGATAATGCAATAAACAAAAGGGAAACCATGATCCCAAATAAAAGAAAAAGGACAAGTAGCGCAAAGGATGCTTCGCTCGGGGGCCACCCAGATACCACTTACTCATCGCCCACTTGGTCTGCCCAAGTGCCCGATACTGGGGAAAATGTGGATTCCAAGCTCTCCATCGTGGGTGGTACCACTTTAGGCGCAGTGGGTTTTTCGGATTCCTCCAATGGCTTCCCGGGGGGCAGTGAAGGGAACTCGGCATCATTGTTGACTGCAGGCTTTCTATCGGCCTTTTCAGAGGGCCCCTTTGAAGGGGAGCGGTCACCACGGGGCCCTCGTGAAGGCCCTCGACCACGACCACCACGACCGCCCCGTCCTCGTCCTCGCCCGGGGCTCAAATGTGTTGCAGACTCCTCCGGATTTCCCTCATCAAAGTCTCGTCGAGCAAATCCTGAGACGCCACCGTGCATACCTCGCCGGAACTGGCTTCCACCACCGCGCGGATTGTAATCCTCTTCCCGTTTCTCTGAGTCCCACTCGCGACCGGTTTGAGCCTTCAACTTGCGTTGCCGGTTTTTCTCTCGCTCGTTGTCCATGACCTTGCGATTCGCTAATTCCTCTCGTCTCTTCTGCGCGGCAGCCTGCTCACGCTCAAGGAAAGACGCCTGGTCCGCTTCAGCGCGGGCATGTGCAGCAGCCTTCTTGGCCGCATTTTCCTTGGCGGAAGCAATGCGCTTGGATAGTTCCTCCTCGGTAAGTTTAGGCTAGAAAAAAAAAGAACACTGTCAGTAAATCCGTACTTCGCAATTCTGATGCATTGCCCTGGCAAAACTAACCTTCCGGACCCCGCCTGTGGCACTTCGATCGCCTCGGACGGCCGGTACGCGAGCTGCCTCAGCGCCATTCGCACCTGAAACCTCACTCTTGTCCTCCTCCTCTGATGCAGCTGGCTTCCCTTCCTCGCGCTTCTCTGGCATCGCGACTTGTTCCTCGGCTGCTATCTCGGACCCTGTCGCGGGGGTAGAGCCTTTGCTCTGCGGAGCGCCCTCCGATTTCTGAGGATCTGCCCATCTTGACTCCGACAATCCACCTCCAGTTCCACCAGCACCACCGCGCCCACCAGCTTTACCCTTCCCGCGGCCCCGGCCCCGGCCTTTGTCGCCTCGCGCACGCTGTGAAGGCTCCCCCCGTGGTGAGGCCTGTTTCTCCGGCGCCGGGCTTTCCCGCACTGATTGAACAGGCTCAGATTCGGGTTCGGGCTCGGGCTCAGGATCGACGACCTGCGTCTGGACCTGCTCCTCGGCGGTGACAGGGATGATTTCGTCGTCGAAGAGGTCGTCCGCGCCGCGGGTCTGGGCAAATTCGTCCATGCTAGGGTCGTCCATTATTTCCGGAGTTTAAGCGGGAGGGGGGTTCCTGGAGAGGTTGGAGCGCGACTCCGCGGAGCTCGTCGCTAGTCGAGGGGTAGCTTGGAGGGCCAAGAGGATCGATCCGTGCGGAGGAGGGGGCTCGAACTTGGAGACTTGGCCGGTGTGGGTCGTTTGAGGGGCTTTATGGGGGTCTAGGAAGGATTTGAGATGTTCTTTGTAGATATTGGCAGGGTTGTTGGCCAATCGGTGGGAGATGGCTGGGGCGGTGAATTTAAGGGCTTGGGGGGCGCCCGCGGGGGTTCGGACGCTTACCGGAGACTGCTGGCTGCTACATGCGATTGTATGCCTTGCTTCGTATATTGCATGCTGATCCCTAGACGGGCCACTCCGCGACGCTGTCAGAAGCTTCTTACAGGTGGCCTTACATAAAAAAGGTGTTGGACACGAAATTAGTCAAATATTCCTCGCGAACTTCAGCGAACTTCAGCGTGGATCGCTTCAAATTTCTACGCGATGCATCGTGAACTACTGCCACATCAGGGCTCGGACGAATCAATCCACGTTTATTACCGGATCCACATTTACTATCGGATCCACGTTTGTTATTGGAACACAATACCGTATATGCATTGGGAATATGATATATTCAACGGCCCCCATTTGTTAAAGCACTAGTGACAACTCAAATATGCGCCCGCGAATGAACAGCCTACGCAGCGAACTTGTCCTTGTTCGCCTCGACCCACTGCTCCAATGTCACCGGTTCCCGTTGGGTAAACTTTCGAATATTAGGAACTCCCTCCGAAACCCCACCGTAGGGGAACTCGCCGGAGGGATGCTCGGTAGCATTCAGGATGGTAATCCCGGTAATATCCTCGGGGATCCCACTGGCAAGCATCTTCTCAGCGGCTTGGTCGAGCGCCACCTTAGTCGTCTTGACATTGATTCCTAGAGCCTGACCAACAACCTGGAAGGCCTCTTGAATAGGCCTCAAAGCAGCGCCAAAAAGGCGAACGATATGCTGGTCGGAGCCATGGGCTAAAATGGAGCCAGAAACGCGACCGATATCCTCTGGCGCGATGTAATCGAAGACCGCCTCCGGGAGGGGAACGGGGACGTCCCCCTTCAGAATGGCCGTCTTGAACCACAGAAGGTTACTGGTGAAAAAGCCTGGACGTAGGGTAACGAATGAATGGATTCCGAATATTTCCTCCAAGGTGATCTCGATCTTGGCGTGTATGTTGGCAATGAAGTTTGACTCCGGTACGTCGCGGGGGTCACCCTCAACACTGCAGCTGCTCAGAAATACCACCGACTCGATTCCCCCTCCTTTAGGGCTTGGACGGTGCTACGCATGTAGTCCTGGGTCTCGAAAACTGCATACAAGTATGCGACCGTGGCCCCTGTTTGCTGGACAGCAGCCTTGACGGTGCCGGGCTTGCTGAGGTCAGCTTGGACCTTCTGAGCAGAAATACCCTCGAGCGTCGGGATGGGCTTCGCGAGGTTTCGGACTGCTAGAGACACTTTAGCACCTTGTTGATGCGCTGTAAGGGCAGTCATAGCGCCGACTGCGCCAGTTGCGCCGAAGATAATGACATTGCGAGGAGACATTGTAGGAGTAGGAGTATGGTCGATATTCTTTCAAGTGAACGGGTTTGTAGTCGAGAACCATGGCATCAGGGCGTAGCATCATTTTATAGTTGCTGTTCCAGGGATTTGCAGATGGGTCACCACTGAAAAGTGGTCAATAGCCAAAGCCTAATGCTGGGCTCCATATTACTAGTGTGCGTAGGACCTGGTCTCGACCGGCGTCGACCAACATCGAAGAGGGCCTTTCGCTGCCACGGCTTTTCCAAAGGCCGGATCCGGGGCGTTTCGGGGGCCGAAGTGGTGCTTGATAAGCACCTTTGCTGCTTCCAAGATTACAGGGCCCAGGGTCCCAAGTGTCAACCTGAAAGGGCTTCTTCCAAGTTGACGTTGCGTGTTGTAGATAAGCGGTAAAGACACCGAGAGCGGACGCCCTTAACCCCAAAATATTGCTTGCTTGATATACGAGGATTAAGGAAGTTGGAGAATTGACGATTCTCTCAGGCTTAGCGACTACCAATAGGTACTAATGGGTCAGATTCTGAAGAGGCTGATGGCTGAAGTGAAAGTCGAACACGGGTGGCCTTGGATCCACCGGGGATGTGGGGCTCTGCTGATCAATGATTTACACTGATGCAGTATGTCTCATCCTAAGAGCGAGGGACTGGAGAACCCTCTCCACACGAGTGCAGGCTTGTAAAGTCAGATGATATATGTCTTCAAGTGGCTCTCATACAAAATGACTCAGTAGGAGAATGGTAAGCCACCGCACCTAAATGCATTGCCAAGCGCTCTCGTCAGTGTAATTGCCGGGACCTTTGAAGAAATTCCGACGAGGCCAGCGACAGTGCTTGCGCCAGTACTCAGCCTGGCTGCCGGGTCCAGCAGATAGCTTGGCACCGCGGACTGTTTCAGGAGCCACCCCTTCTTCGACCCACTTGACCATCGCCATAAGAACGTTGCTCTCCGGATCACTGCTAGCGTAGGTTTGTGTGCCTTGGCCAATAGCGGAAGCTCCGTCGCCATTAGCACAGTGAGACATGCCGCTGATAGGGAAGAAGCGATAGAAATCGTCGAGCTCCGAAGGCGACTGACCCATGGCCTCTGCTACGTGGGAGTAATATAGCTTGGAGTCCTCCGAGCTAATTAATTCATCTTGCATGCCGTGGTAATGCAAGATCTTACCGCCTGTCTTTTGGAAAGGGCGAATGTCACCCTCCCAAGTCTGGATGTTGTATGGGTTCTGGGCAAGAGCAGCAGCCGCGTCTTTAACGGTGAAGTTCCCGCTCCAGGATGGATCGTCGTAGACCACATAGCGGAACCAGTCCAGGCTGAATGGGAAAGGCTCCCCATTATACATAATCCATGAGGCTAAAATCTCCGAGCCAGGCTGCATGCGAGGATATAGGAGATCGCCATTCGTGCCGTACAACGGGGAAAAGGCTTGCTCGGCTGCATGGACCTGGGCGCTCGATAGACAACTGCTTGTCTGTTTCGCGTCGGCGGCGCAAATCAAAGTCTGCAGGATGGGTCGACACAGATCGGGGTCTTCAATGATGCCATCTTTCGCACCGTCAAGCGTGTCGCACTGCCTCAAGATTTCGTCGTGTACAAGGGACCATTCATCCGGAGTAAGGTAAGTGTCCGAGGTGTTAGACCCAAGGATCGAATAGAACCTGGCACTCCACGAAATAAGATTGCTGAAGTTAATGGCAGGGGCGCCTGCCACGACGCCATCGAAGTCGCTCGGGTATCGCTGGATCGATTTCCACCCTTGTCGGCCACCAGTTGAGCAGCCCAGGTAGTAGCTCTTATTGAAGCCCTCATCATAAAATTGCTTTGTGAGTTCCTTGCCGACCACGACTCCCGTGTGGAGAGAGCGATAAGCAAAGTCTTTGAGCACCTCTGGGTGGTGGTAAAAGGGTTTGCCGGATGTTCCGTTGTGGCCATTGTTGGCACCGACCGTTGCGAAGCCAAACTGAGAGGCATAATCAAGGTCGTAGTATTGAATGCCTGTCGAAGAGTTAGCTCCTGACCAGCAATTGGCGATGTGGTATGGAACACTGACAGCCTGAAAGACCACCATTCCCTGTGCTCAGGAAACGGCCATTATATTCTCGTGGAAACCAGGCCTCCAAAGTTATTTGGCTGCTATTGGACGTTTCGACAGCCATTGTTATACGGCAAAGATCAGCTGTCACATTCTGGTACGCGCCGTTCTGAGCGTTACAGCTGGGAGCATTGTCTGACAAGCTGAGGTTTGTTCCGCCGGGGACGTATTCTGCAAAATTTACACTGACGTGCGGAAGGTTGATCTGATTTCCGAACTGGACACATTTGCTCTGGAAGGCATCTTGGCTCGCGGCAACTGCTGAGCTGAGAGCCAGAATTGGTATCGCAAAGTGAAAGCCCATCTTGAAGTTTCTCTAGACCCGTGAGAGCGATGCTCTGAAATATAGTTGATTGACTCCAGGAAGCCTGAGTCAACCGGGCTCGATTCGGGGGTTGGTTTCAGCATATATATATCGTCGTCATTGCTCTATGGTCCAATAAACATGATTGGGCATGGGAGATGAAAGCCCCGAGGATCGGCAAGTACATGCCAAGGATATCCCGTAGGGAAAAGTGGCCCTCGACTCCGAAGTTCAACCGGAAATATGTCGGGGGATTCCTCACGGCCATATTTCTGGAAAAGGGGGGGAAGGATGACGATCAGGAAATGGCTAGTTTGAGAATCCCCAACGGGACTGGTAAATGCGGAGTCCGGGGTCTCCACACATGCGGGTCCATGGGGCTGGCTAGGAAAATCGGCAGTTCTTCCATCAAGTTGCAGACTCCTGCGAGCCTAGGAACCTGTGACATGCCGAGCCCCTTTACTAGTCATCACCTAGGTTGACGGTTTGCGGCAGAGATGGGTTATGACAGGCTTCTAATGCCGAAATTTCCTCGCGTGAACGAGAGGAAGGTTACTGAAGTGGCGGAGGAGATCATCGTCAGAAAAGGAATTATCAGCTGGATTGTATTGGGTGGTAGCACCTAGGTTAGATAGTGATGTGCTAATTCACTTGCATCAACTGCTCTGAAGGCGATGCATCGCTAGCCTGATGTCACCCTGCCAAGCCGGCAGGTCACGTGGCAAGCCCCCTCTAGATAGCTTCTTAGCACAATACGAATAAACCATCATTCATCGCTCTAGCTACGGCCACAAATTGGTAGCATTGCCCGGTTCGTAAGCTCCAAGGGATCTCTGGAGCCAAAAATTCCTCTGTTTTTCTGTTTTTTCCAAAATTTTCGACAACAAGCTCAACTCCTCGAGTTTTCGGGAGCCACGAGCTGATCTGAGAGACACGTCGCGTCACTCACCCCACCTTCTATCCCCACTCTATACGCCCACATACCCAATCAGCTAGCACAGGCCCCTGTCGATCCGAATCACAGGATACCCTGACTATCAAAAAGAACAAGGCAAATTGATGACCACTACCATCGACGATCGTCAGCTTCGTCGAGTGATCGAGCTTGCACACCAGTTCCAAGCCTACACGGAAGGAGCGCACATCTGGTCACGCAAGTTCGACCTACGTACGCAAGCACGAATTGGCCACCTGGTCACTTCTTACCCCGCCCCACCCGCTACCAACGACCCATTCCCACCAAGCTGGGGTGTTGATCGTTCTAGCCTGTCTAGTACTGTCAAAGAATTCCTTACAATTACCGACAAGCTAGTGGAGACTTCACAGCTCTCGCCAGCTTCTGGGTCTGAGCCAGAAAATCCCCTAGGGAAGCGTGCCAGAACCAAACCCCGGTCACGCATGACATCCCTACCAGACCCAAAGCCAGGCCCAGCAACGAGTGACTCTTTCTCGGGCTACCGTGAGCCTCAGACAAGCCCCAGCCCAGACACCACTCCGCGTCGACCACGGCTAGTGATTGACCGTACTCACCGACCGACCTCCCTGTTCACTACACCCCCCTCAAGCTACAGACACTACAAGCTAGGAGCCTGAGCGCTCCCAGGCATATATTGACTACCATCTTGCCCTACCGCCAAGTACCGGAAACACACCAAGCACAACCCCCGCCCTACAGCGCGAGATACTGGGAATGTCAAATCCAAGCCTCCCAACCGGCTTCCAAGCCACAGCAACAGCGAATGACCACTCCCAGGCTCCAAACACCCCACTAACCGCGGACACGCCACTCACTGTCGGCACTGCGATGCATATCTTCCGGCAAATCCTCCGCGAGGAGTGTACGCACGAGCCACAGCCCCAACAAGGCCGCCAAGGCCCAATAGGACCCCCTGGTGACATAGGCCCGCCCGGCCCCCCGGGTCCACAAGGCTCAGCCGGCATCCAAGGCCCAGAAGGCCAACCTGTGCTCGCCTCGCTAGACACTTCTTGGAAGCCCAGTGACATCGGGCTGTTTAACCCAGAAGCTAGAGACCCTAGTGGCAAAGGGATAATTACAATCTCCAACGTGACTAACTACAAAGATGTCTTTGTCTTCATCGACCGGATAAAGGACCTCATCCCTACCAAGTCCGAAGAGATCGTACGAGCCAACCTAGCAAGCTGTCTACGCGGCTCAGCGCTAGGATGGTACTCATCTCAACTCTCTGAGCTTGAACGTACCGCTCTACACTCCAACCCCGTGGACTCTCCCGTAGGATGGTTCCAAACTCTCGAGGCTAAGTTCCGGCCCCCCACGTTCAGACCTTCTCTACCAGTTTAATACATTGACATACACCAAGCGCGATATCCGCAACAGCACGCCAATCCGGGTATACGTTCAGCGGATGCTACATCCAGCCAGAGGCCTGGGACACAGCTCCCTGTACGACCAAATGATCCATATCCGCCAAGGTATCGAAGGAGATCTCCGCCACAACATACCTCTCCCAACAGAGACAACGTCTATGGCAACCTTTATCCAAGGTCTCGAGATGACTTACCTAGACTGGAAGGACACAGTAGAAGACCGTGCCAAGATCTACCGTCAATATCGACAGCGTATGTCGGACCCCCAACACCAGCAACGACGTTCCAGTCAACCGCCGGCGGCCTCTAATCCCCAGGACTTGCGATACAGGACTGACATAAACCAGCGGCGACCTACCAACCCACAGTGGAATCCTAGACAAAAGACCGACCAGCCCTACCAACGTCCAACATATGGCTACCAGGGCCAGCGTGCCCCCGACAATATAGTTACCAGAACCAAGTCTAGCAGTATAACCAGTCGCGCTATAACCAAGACCCACAGCAAGCCACCGCACAACAACCACGCCAACCATAGAACCAGAACCAGCACCAGCAGCCGGATCGCCCACAAGGTCGGCAAAATGACCAGACCAATTGGCAACAAGATAGGAAGCCATGGGATAGCAACAAACCGCACACCTACATCGCGGACACACAGGACGCCCAAGCCGAGAAGGAAGCCGGAGAAGAATACCATACCGACGATCAAGATATCGACTGCTACGACGAGGCCATCTATGGCGACAAGCCGGAAAACGACCAGGAAGCCTACATGGCTCAACAGGATGATGCTGCCTATAAAGACCAGAGCTTCGAGCCTACAGCGCAGAACTGCACACCTGAATTCTCAGTAACTTGCCGCCACTATTAACAGGGATACACGTCTAACACGGCTTTACATGTCCACCTATCTACATACAAGCCACAGGCAGCAGCCGACCTACCGTTCGAAGCCACAGCATATATGACTACTAACCTCCCGGTTATCAAGTCCAACAAAATAACATACCAGGAACCTGGTTATACCTACCGCTTATGGCATTACGCAACCGCCGCAATAAGACTAAATACCCGGGACAATGTAGTGATATACTACCTAGACTCTGGCTGCGTCATGACCCTCATCGACTCAGCGCTAGCCAAGGATCTCAACGTCCCTATCCACAAGATCAAGCCTATCCCCATCAGCGGCATCAGATCACAGCATATTTCGGATACATATGTTAAGCTAACCCTCCAATTCTACAGGCCTAAAGCCACAGCCGAAGTCCACGCAGAAGCCTACCTTGTCGACGGACTACACACAAAACTCTTGCTTGGAATCAATGTCATGGGCGCCGAAGGCTTCAAATTGGATTTCGAACAGAGACAAGCTACAATCACCTCCTGCCAGGACACAGTTTTCCCTATAGGCCTGCAAGCTAAGCTAAATCATGTCGCAACAAGGCCAGTCTATGCGGCTGTCTAGGTTATCATCCCTCCATACTCCACAGTAAACGTCCCAATCTGCATTAAAACCAAACTCCCCAACAATAGGGACTACATCTTCAACCCATCCGCTACACAGTGCTATGTGCAAGCATCTATCATTGACGCCAACTTCATATACATCCCTTTTACGAATAAAACAGATACTCGACAAGTCATCTCCCGTCGGAGCTGTATCGGAACGCTACAAGAAGCAGACTTTGCAATAACATACCAAATCTCGCCCGAATTCGCTCTAATGGCAACTCGACCCTTACAAGCCGAACAAAGAGTGAATATCTCAACCTATATACATAACCTACAAACTGTGCTCCCAAACAGCATAACCATCTATGGCAAGCCACAAGTAGTCTAAAAGCTCCAAATAGTGATTAAAACATACAATATTTGGGGACATCCTTAGCTGGCAGACATTCCGATGGAGCAATGGATACATATTCCAATAATCCCAGGATGGGAAGACAAGATGCCGAAGCCACAAATTTACAAATGTAGCACAGCAGACCGCACCGAAATCGACAAGCTCTTTGACTCGCTCCAGGCTGACGGTAAGCTTAAATGTGCTAAGTCATATACACCAAGCGGATACCTAGTATTTATCATGTGGAAGTAGAAGACAGACAACAAGAGCAGCCATCAACATATCGGCCGTGTCATGGTAGACCTCTGGGCATAGAACAGGCTCGTTGTCAAAGACATCTATCTCTTACCGACCTAAGCCGATATTATCGCCATCACCCAGGGTAAATAGTATATATCCGTCTTCGACATGGCAAAGTGCTTCTACCAGTGGCCAATTTACCCCGACAATGTGAGACAGATGGCAATAATTACCCACCGAGGCCAAGAGGTATTCTAAGTCGCGATAATGGGCTTTTATAACTCCGTTGCCTATATCCAGCGAGTTATAGATAATATCCTGCGAGAGTTCTATACATGGTGTTATGTTTATATCGACGATATAGTTACGGCATCTAATACTATCCAAGCCCACATAGAGCACCTGCACTTGTTGCTCTATAGGCTACAAGAGTTCAATATCTATTTAGAACCCAAGAAGGCATTTATTAGATTCCCTTTCATTACCTTGCTTGGACAACAAGTGGACTCACTGGGGATAACCACTAAAGCAGACAAGCTCTAGGCCATCACAAGCCTACAATTCCCCCGAATATTGAAGCAACTAGAAACCTACCTCGGCCTCACAGGCACTTACCGACATTATATCGCAAAATACACAAGCAAGGCCGAGCCACTACAAAAGCGCAAAACACTCCTTCTCAAGGACGCACCGTCTAAAGGCACCGCACGCCGTAACCTCTCTATACACACTATACTGGACGAGCCATCAAAAGAGAAGCTGGAAGCTTTTGCAACCCTCCAAGCTGAATTCACCAAGGCACCCTGGCTGGCACACCACAATCCACATCGACGCCTATACGCCGATCTTAATACCTCCAAGGAACAGGGATACAGGGTAGTGCTATTCTACATAAAGGCAGAATATGATCACAAGGACCTTACAAAGCCCCCACCATTCACAGCGGTACAGCTGATTATGTTCCTAAGCCGCCTACTATCCACCACCAAGAAGAATTACTGGCCAACCGAACTAGAAGTCTCATATCTGGTATGGACCCTGCACAAGGCCCGCCATCTATTCGAAGCCGCTCCAGCAGACCTCCCGCCAGTCATCTACACAGACCATAGTGGCACAGTCACTATCACAACAAGCTCCAGCCTAAAGTCAGCAAACTCGGATAATTTGAACCTTCACCTTATCAGGACATCGCAATTTATCCAACAATTTCGTGTCCTAATACACCACCACCCAGGCATAGGGAACAAGATTGTAGACACACTTTCGAGACTACCAAGCTCCAAACCTACAAAGCCACGCACTAACAAGGGCGATCTCAACTCACTATGGTACAATCCTAGACCACCAGATAAACTAGACAACAAGCTCACCTCAATCCCCGACAACAAAATGATAGCATTCACAACGACAGTCTAAGCTATTGTGTATCCTATAGACACAGACAGAGACCTCACGCTCACATCCTCTATCATACTCCTGTCCAAAAAGTTTAAAAAATAGATCGTCCAAGCCTACACCAATGATACCCGTCTCTCGCACATCGTCGAAACCCTACAGGACAACGAGGACAACCCGGTCCCAACAAGATTACTATACAAGATGGATGGCGACCTGTTATACATACGCCAAGCCTCAGGAGAAAAGTCACTCTACCTCCCGCAATCTATAACAGGCGAGATTTTCAATATTATCCATGATCAACAGGGCCATTAAGGTATAGATAGGTGTTAGGCGAAAATACACGGTGTTTACTTCTATAAAAGGCTAAAGCTCCTAAAAGAATATATCGCCAGATATCCTGAATGTCTTACTAATGTGGTACACTATCACTGCCTGTATGGAAGCCTCCAGCCTATTGTTGCCCCCCCAATTCCATTCCATATACTGATAGTGGATATCGTCACTGGATTGCTAACCTTGTATGACGACCGGGATACCATGATATCAGTTACCGACAAGTTCACCAAGTGGGTAGACTACATCCCAGGTAGGGCGGACTGGACTGGCGAGTAGTAGGCCAAGCCCCTGCTAGACATGTTTATGATAGGCGACTGGGGCCTACCAACAGTGATCATCTCAGATAGGGACTCGAAATTTGTGCAAGGCCTCTGGGCAGCCATATTCACCATCCTAGGCATAAACCTCTTATACACCATAGTATACCACTCTCGTGCTGATGGCCAATCCAAGAGATCGAACCAGGTCGCGGAGATTGCCCTACGACACTGGGTCTTAACCTACTTAGCCGAAATCTCCGACTGGCCAAGGGCATTACCCCACCTCTAAACGTCAATGAACGCTTCTACCAACGCAGCTACTAGCCATACCCCCCCACAAGTTGATGTATGGTATCGAACTGCGACAAGCCTGGGACATGATGCCCCAAGCATTTGACCACAACAGAAGCTTCAAAGCTCGTTTAGATGCGGAGCAATCGCTGGTATACACAGCGATCTAAATGAAGTATTACTTCGACCGAACACACAAGCCGATATATTTCTAGCCTGGTGACTGGGTTTATCTTAAGCTGTCTATAGACCCCCAAAAGCCCGGGTACACAATTCCAGCCAACAATAAACAACCAAGGAAGTTCCGACAATGATACGTCGGCCGCTTCAAAATACTCCACCAAGTCAGCCGATTGGCTTATAAGCTCGATTTCCCTCCCACATGACGCCGCTATCTAGTAGTCAGCGTCGAGCACCTGGAAAAATACCCACAGGATGCAGACCCGTGGAACCGCCAAACAAACGACGAGAACCACCTACCTACAGAAGACAAAAGATTCCCAGATGAGACAAGATACAAAGTCGAGCGGATACTCGCAAAAAGGACCACTAAGCCCCGTGGTCGCCCCTGTGCAGATGGAGCTGCGAGACAACCCACCACTAAATATCTAGTAAGATGGAAAGGACAATCCGCGCGAGAGGACCAATAAGTAACAGCAAAAGATATTACAGCGGACGAACTTATCTCGGAGTTCGAAGCTACCCACCAACCTGGCCCTTCTAACACCTCTCACCAACCCGGTCCAGCCAAGACCTAACCAGCTCGACATCCTTCCTACCACTTATCCTTTCGACCGTATAACAATAATACATGACCTTATTTCTTAGCCACTTACCTGACCTTGTTTTACTTTCAACCTTACCTTCAAGCTATTTCCTGGCTACCTACCTACCTTACCTTACCTCACCGGTAACTCACTATACTCTCACTCTGCTTTACCAACTCTCACTCTATTCCACTATATCCTATATAAGATAACAACCCAGCAAGAAGCCTTTAGGCAACAGATACAGAATCTCTTACAGAATGAGAGACAGAGCCAATATAAAATAAACCAGCAAGGAAACAATGAGACAGATGAACCGAACAGCGAAGCACAAGACTCGATAGTGCAAAGCAACAAGACAAACCCTGGCAGCGAAAGGAGCGACAGGACACAGGAGAGAACCCGTAGGCAACGCTACAAGAAGAAAGCAGTGGCGTACAACCGCCAAGTCACAGACACATTCTGTACACAAGCCAACCAACTGTCGGTCGAGGAATTCATTACTAAGGAGATCGCTAGATGGCGTGACAAGCCTAACCGCGGCAACTCTGAGAACGCCCTCCTAAGATGCACAGAAATGGTTTTTGTTGAGGGGAAATACCAGTTACTCCCAGCCATGCACAAGCTCTCAGACAAGCACGTATATATGATGACAAAAACCCTTTCCGCCAAGATACGCTGCGTACGGCGCTGGACAGAGGATTTTAATGCAACTGGCGACATCCAGGCCGAGCGTATCCCGCTCGACCCCAGCCCTTTGTTTTACGTTTTCGGGGTCCTGTGTATAGCCCTCTATCGCGGCTATTATATCCTGGCCGGCTCCCGAGGTCCCGAGCTCTATAGCGTACTAGCAAATGTTAAAAACAACGCAACAATCAAAGCAGCGCAGAGGGATTGGTTATTAGGCCCGATTCTAGCATCAGAAGACTTCACCAGTGCCCAACGAAACCTGACACAGATATATCATGATGAAACAGGTGAAAGGATCACCACTAAGGTACAGGCACACGGCACAATCGTATCGACGGACGCGCTACTCCCAAACGAGCGGACCAGTCAAGCGTGTAAAGCACATTTCGACCGAATCATCACAAGCGTATTCGACCTCAGCCTTATTAGCGGTAGCGACGGCAAGCCCTCTTTCGCACGTATCATTGATCATCCAGCTTTTACCAGGAAGACGCATACGACCCATCCCTTAGTAACCGAAACCCCCAAAGCTGACTACCAATCCCAGGGGCAGGCGCTCGCTATAGAGCTGCTCAGAGAGACAAACCCAGTACTGGAAGACCTAATCAATAAGCTCCAAACCGTCGCAGCCACCACCCCAGCGGCAGACTATAAGGCACAGTTCCCAGCGCTTACGAAAAGTCTCGACCTTATAACAGGCATCCAAAAGGATATACAAGCCGTCGATGAGCGTTACAGGGATGCTTTAGCAACTTAGAGAGAAATAGAGACTGAGCTTATGACAAGACAACCTGGGCCGAGAGCAATAGCTGTCCTGTCTACCATCGCCAAGCCAATACGCGACAACCTCGCCATGCTGGCAAATCTCAAGGCCATATATGGCACACCAGCAGACGTAGAAGCAAGCCTCTACAGGCCAGGGTATTTCAACGAAGAAGCCGAAGCGCCGCCCGGAAACACAGGCACCAACGAAGCGCCGCCCGGAAACACAGGCGCCATAAACTACGTGTGCTATCCTGGCGAAGAAGATGAACTTTTCAGGAACCGACAGACCAATTAACCCCTAAGCGGACCCGAACAACCGACCTTCTAAGGCGAACAATGCCAAGACCACACAGCGTCGTTTCTTTTGCCTTCCCCTTCGTTTTCTTTCCTCGCGCATCGGGACGATGCTGTTTTTTGTTTGGGGCGAACTGTCACCCTGCCAAGCCGGCAGGTCACGTGGCAAGCCCCCTCTAGATAGCTTCTTAGCACAATACGAATAAACCATCATTCATCGCTCTAGCTACGGCCACACCTGACGTTTCAATTCATCCGGGTTCTTCACATCCTCTACAGGATTGATACATAGACAAAGGATTAATCATCGGGCGTCTCATTACATCGGGACACCCCAGGAAATTGTCTTTGCAACTAGTGGATGCTTCTGTGGTGAGTTCAAGCAGTAGTCCCAGGCCCATGGATCTGCTCAAATCAGTCTGCAAAAAGTAGAGCAAGGCTAGTCTTGTTGAAAGATGCAAAGTTAAATCCAATCACTGGTTCAACCAGGATTCTCTTTCGGTCTCTCAGAGCGAGGGCCCTTGACTGGGTAGTATTCCACCCACCACTTTGAGTCGCGATTCAACCGCCGCTTACCACCCCCCACCACCACCCGGAGTCGCGGTCCAGGGAATCATTGATGATTGGCTCTGGAGGGAGTGCCTTTCTGCGCTTCATCTCCTTGATCCTCGCTTCACGTGCTTCTGGTGTTTCTCCTCGGCTCCCAGCTTTTATTGTAGTGCCGCTCATAGGAGGAGGAGGCGGCGGCGGTGGCGGCGGGTTTGGTTTGACTGATATCAAGGCCTCAGGCGGATTGTCCGGGGGAGGACCGGGCTTGATTTGAACAGTCTCAGGTCGTTTGAGGATAGGAAATGGCCGCTGTCCTGGAGACTGGCGAGGTGATCGGGATGGTGATGAAGGAAGAGACTCCTCCGGATCCAGAGATCCTCTTCTGCAACAGCAGTAGAGTAGTAGAGCTATGACAGCCACCCCCAGGATAGATCCGGCGATAGCGCCTTTTGCAGCACCGGATAATCCATGGCTTTTAGGCTGAGCAGGATCTAGGACGAGCGTCGGAGTCGCTGCGATGTTCACCTCTACTACTGTAGTCGACGGGCTGGTTAAAGTCAAAGTGACATAGTCAGACGTAGGCTTCGGGTCATCGACAAGCAGAGTGAAAGTAGTCAAGAAGGTTGTCGAAGGTTCAACGATTGCCTGGGTGAAGTCTGTCACCGCAGGCGCCATTACTAGCAACCCCGCGCAAAAACAGAGCTGACCGATGTCATGTCGGAAACTCTTTAGCGAAATCCGCTCGCCCTGGGGTGCCAGTGGGTCTAAGTCAAATCCACGAGGCTCAAAATAATGGCCCGAGGGGTCCGCTCGTGTTCGTCCGCAAAACAACTATGCTATTGGGGAGGCTTTCAACGAGGAAACTGTGATCGCCCTGGTATTTGAATAGATATGATTCGTCGGGCCCCTCGAGATATCCACATGGCTGGCAGCCTCCATGTATTATTATGCAGCGCCAGTCTCTGTGCTAGCCGAATTGCGCTCTAGCAATACCCAAAGCAGGCGCATTATAGGCCAAGTGCGAAGCGGGAATGACTGCATAGTTAGCGCTTACGAGGATTGGCCAGCATCCCGCAGGCGTCTTCTAATACGAGCAACTCATCGGGTTGGGGCTTGAAGAAGGCAGAGGACCGACCCCTCATTTCGCATTGCTCGGCAATGAAGATATGTGCTCATGCACCAAATATGAGGAGAAATTGTCAGTGAAATGGGCCATTCATCTACCTACGTTCACATCATGATCTGGTCCGCTTTTCTGACAATCCATAAAAAGAGGTGACCCCGCTTTGATTTAATTATTCTGATATTCACAAGGTCATATGACATGAGACGGCTTAGTAGTAGCAATGGCCCCTCGCAGCTGAGCCACAGTGGGTTACCCTCTGGCGGGCCCAGCGCGAAGCTGCCATACGATTACAAATGCGCGAGTTAGAAAGAGTGGGACGAAGGAAAGCTCCAAAAACCCTTAGACGAGTTGACGGTGGAACATAGGCGTGAAACCTATCGTCCAGAAAGGTTGCAATTCACAAATCTGCCAATACCCAAGTAATGCAATAGACGGGAAGGTTCCCCAGCGGAGGCTTTAAAAGCGCTATACAGTATAAATAGATGACCTTGAGGTTTGATACTAACCTGAGGACTCCGCGGCAGGGAAATCGTGAAAGGGATTCTATTTTTCCTGGGTCCATATACGAGTCTTGTGTTTAGAAGATCGGAGACTCGAGGCGGAACAATCAGAGGCGGCCTGATGAGGGGTGAAGATGACTCGTCAAGCACATCTGATTTTCAGCCGCCGCTCATAGACTGCGCCTCGGCCCACCATTGCAACCCCACGTCGTTCTGACTCTCAGCCAACGTCTACCCAAACGTCGCATCCACCCAACCGCCATCTTGATGAGACTCGACAAAGCTTCGGAGCAATAGGGAGTCACATAATAATAGCCTGGACAATTCTTCTCTTCTTCCAATCATCACTGTGTGGCTCAAGTGCAAATCGGGCCACAAGCCAGATCGGCTGTGGTCTGGATTTGGATATCTCAATATCGATGGCGGGCGTTTACAGTGATCTTACACGGAAGGGGGACGAATTATACCGGGAAGGCCTGTACGAGGATGCTCTAGCGAATTTTACTGCCGCCAAATTGGTTTTCCTCGATTGCTGGCCCAGTGCTCTCGAACACCGGGACTTAGTAGAGCTCAAGGCGCGGGCTGCCAAATGCCTTCAAAAGCTCGGGCAATTCGAGCGGAGTGCCTCGCTGAACTCCGAGGTTCTTCAAGTCCGGGAAAAACTCAGCCAGGGTAATCCCAGGTTATTGACTGCCAGAGAAGAACTTGCCCATGACCATACTGGTCTAGGTAATCATAAAACGACGATTTCACTTCTAAGAAAAAACCTACATGCTCTCAGATCCAGTCCGTTATTTGGCAACGACCATGAATGGACGTTGAAGACTGTATGCTTCCTGGCGAAGGCTCTGAGTGAAGATGGAGACGATCAACAAGCCCTAACTCTACTAGAGGTTGCGCTGCCTGTGGCGACGAGGAAGAGTCCTACAGCCTCGTATATCACCATGGCACAGATCACCCTGGACCGCTTGAAATTGAAGCTTTCTGCCGAGAAAGGTTTATCAAAGTCCCTCTCTCCAGAGCAGACTATGTCAAAAAGCCCAACCATACCGCAAGAAACCCCCAGATCACTAGCTCAAAAGCCTGATATGCAGCAAGAAAGCCAAACGACCGGCCCCAAGTCTCCGTCAAGTGCACTGACGATCAATCAAAAGCCTGTGCAGCAGCTCGCCAAGGACATAATGCAGGGGAAGAGGGGAAGTGACCTAGAAAAGAAGGCGGGAAAAAGGGAGACAACAGAGCGAAAGACGCAAGACAGGATGCATAAAGACAACAAGCCGCACGAGCAGCAGGGAAATCAGCAGAAGATAAGAGAAGAGAGAGCATACCAGGAGAAAGCAAGATCAGTACAGGAGGGACAGGAGAAGGAAGCTGGAGTGAGAAATCTCTCGGAAAGACACAAGCGACAGGTTAAAGAACTTATAGAAGCTGGGCGATTTGCAAAAGAGAGGTATAGGAGAAGAAATCTGGCGTGCAAAAATTCTGGAAAGACAGGTGCGACAGGCTACGGAACATATAGAAGCTGGCCGATTAGAAGAAGAGAGATTGCAAAAGGAAAGGGAAGAGAGAGAGTTGCGAGCCAAGAAAGCAGAGGAGAGGCGCGCAAAGGAAAGGGCAGAGAGGGTAGCACGAACGAAGAAACGCCAAGAGGAGCAAAAAGAGGAAGAGCGACAGGAAAGAGAGCGGCTAGAGAAAGAGTCTCTGGAGAGTAAGCAGCAAGAAGCCGAGCGATTGGGAAAGGAGCAAGAAGAGAAACTTCGACACGAGCGAGAGCGAGTGGAAGAACAACGACTCGAGAAGGAACGCCTGGAGAAGGAACGTCTGGAGAAGGACCGCCTGGAGAAGGACCGCCTGGAGAAGGGACGTCTGGAGAAGGACCGCCTGGAAGCAGAGGCCCAAGAACAGAAGGCAGAAGAAGACAGAGAGAAAAAGAGGAAAGAAGCACAAAAGAAGGCCCGGCGTGACAAGGCTCAATTGGAGAGAAAGCGCCTGGACAAAGAGATCCAGGAGAACCGAAGACTGGAGAAGCAGGAACCTGAGAGTGGCAGGCTACAGCAAGAGCTAGAAGAGAAAAGTTTACTCGATGAAAAGGCAAAGGGGAACAGAGCCCGTTGGAAACAAAAAGACGACATTTCCCGTGCTGGAATGCCCAAGGAAGCACCCTCTACCGCTGCTGATCGACTTGCTCATTCCGAAACGCAGGCCAACGCAGGCAGATCATCACATTTAGCAAGCTACGACCCGACGCTTCGCATTACGCAAAGCCTTACTGCCGACACCCAACCAGAGCAAATACCAGGAAGAGGACGATGCGAGCCCAATCCGGTTCAAGAATCAACTTTGCAAGTGACCGGTTCTCCGCAGCCCTCGACGCCGGCTGCATTAGTTCAAGGCCTTGGATGCAATGAGCCAGACTCAGGCCAGACAGGGGGTGTTCGAGCCTCCTCAGAGAGCGATCTCATTCAAGTTCCAACTACCGAGGATGAGGGTTTCCCACCGAAGCCTCCACTCCGACGGAGGTGGCAAGATGCAAATTGCTATAAAGTCGGCATTGTATGTGCTCTATGGGTGGAATATTTAGCAGTACGCGCCTTGTTCGACGAAATCCATCCCATGAGCCCTGTCGCTCCTGCGGACTCGAATACTTACGCCCTCGGGAAGATGAATGGGCACAATGTCGTCGCTGCTTGTCTCCCCCATAGCGAATATGGTACCAATTCTACTGCAGCTGTTGCGACAAACATGAAGAGAAGTTTTCCATCGGTCATGTTCTGTCTGCTAGTTGGCATTGCTGGAGGCGTTCCGTCAGAAAGAAATGATATCCGTCTTGGAGATGTGGTCGTGGGCAGCCAGGTCATTCAGTATGACATGGGAAAAGCCCTTGTTAACGGTGGGTTTCAACGGTCTGGGGCACTTCAATCTTCTCCGATTCAACTGAGAACCGCCCTCAGCAGTCTCAGATCTGACCCTTGGCCTCCACATGAGCTCCTACAGCGCTACATTCGGAGCATTGCAGGTCGGAAGGGCTACAAGTACCCAGGGCTTTCCAAAGACCGCCTATTTTCCAGTGAATACGCACATGATCCCCGAAAGCATACATGCGATTCCTGTGAAAGTGCGCATCTTAAATTACGGAAGCCCCGTTCAAATGACCGCCCTGTTATTCACTACGGGATAATCGCATCAGGGAATAAAGTCATCAAGGATGCGGAGCTGCGCGATAGCCTGAGCGAGAAATTGAATGATCGATGGAATGAAAACCTGACTCTAGGAAATGAGGTTCTCTGCTTCGAGATGGAAGCCGCTGGCATCATGAATATCCTCCCAAGTCTGGTCATCAGAGGCATATGCGATTATTCGGACAGCCATAAGAACAAAGAGTTTCAAGGATATGCAGCCGCAACGGCCGCTTCATATGCGAAGCTCTTACTCAGCTATGTGAATACGAATTCCGGCACAAATGAAGGAATTACGGAAATATGTATTGTATGCTAGGGCAGACGAGCTTACGTGGAAATTTACACAGAAATATGAGCAAATTATTTCACTTAAAATTGAGGGGGGAAGAATCCGGAATTGATGTGTATCCTGATAGCGCTAGAGTGACTGAGGACGTCTGTCATTATATATCACAGAAAACGGGTTCCACGGGTAGACAGGAAACCTTCAAACCAAAGCGAAAGGATTTCAATACCCGCCGTTGTCTGGTGATAGCGATACGAAATGACGAGTCTGCAGCAGCCCACTCGAGGAATTACCGACCTTATCGCTGGGCTGGCCTGTTTCCCAACCCTCTTCGAACCGCGATCGGCGTTTTTAGGCCCCCCCTTCCTCCCCACTCCTCTCCGAGCACGTCAGATGGGAACCTCGAGGGCTGAAGATTCCTTGAGATAACATCGAGTCTTTTCGACATCATGTCAATCGAGGACAACGAAGCTGCACGGGCTGCGACAGAGCAAACGCCCTTGCTCCGCGATGCTGACCCCACCGCGAGGCCGGACGCGCAGGAACCCGAGGAGGCGAGCACGAAGGAACTGATCTTCGTTCTGAGCAGCATCTGGCTGGGTGTATTTCTGGCGGCTTTAGGTATGTGTCATGAGATATTCGACTTTTACGAGTCGTATCCTTGGTCCAGGAGACTGACTCCATTGCCCCAGACACCACGATCGTCGCGACCCTCTCCGCTCCCATATCCTCCTCGTTCAATTCGCTCTCTCTTCTCTCGTGGCTCGCTTCTTCCTACCTGATTTCAAATGCCGCATGCCAGCCTCTTTGCGGCCGGCTGACTGATATTTATTCCCGTCGTTGGGGGCTTGTCTTGTCCAATGTGTTCTTCGCCCTCGGAAACTTGATCTGTGGCCTGGCAAAGACCGAGAGCACCATTATCCTCGGTCGCGTGGTGGCCGGCATTGGTGGTGGAGGCATGTTAGTAATCTCGACATTTGTCACATCCGATTTGGTCCCTCTTCGGAGAAGAGGGGTTTGGCAAGGTGTAGGAAACATCTGCTACGGGGCTGGAATGGGCTTAGGGGGGAGTATTTGGTGGCTGGATCAATGACACCCTCGGATGGCGCTGGGCCTTCTTGATCCAGATCCCGTTTCTTGCGGTGTCCACTTTGCTGGTTCTCTTCAAGGTCAAGATCCCAGTTAAAGAGAGCGACAAGGCTCGTATCAAGCGTGTCGACTTCCTGGGCGCTATCACCCTTGTGTTGACCTTGGTGACATTGTTGGTTGGCCTCAACACTGGCGGCAACCAGCTGCCATGGACCCATCCAATTGTTATCGCCTCTCTTCTCCTTTCCGTGCTCTTTTTAGGAATATTTCTCTACGTGGAAGCCAAAGTGGCATCTGAGCCTGTCATTCCCGCAAAGCTCCTGCTGGATCGAACGGTTGGAGCGGCATGTCTGACAAATTGGTTCACCACAATGACGGTCTTTGGGTTGCTCTTTTACCTGCCTCTATACTTCCAGGTGCAAGGGCTCTCCGCCACCGCAGCTGGCGTTCGATTGATTCCACAGGCTGCAGGAACGTCTATCGGCTCTCTTGGAACGGGCTTGATAATGGGAGCCAATGGGCGCTACAAGCTGCTCAGCTACGCTGTAATGCTCCTCTTGGTGACCTCCGAGGCCCTCATCTGTACCTTGACCCTATCCACGCCTGTCTGGGTCCCGTTTATCTATTTCTTCCTGCTCGGAACCGCATATGGCGGCATGCTCACCATTACACTGGTTGCGCTAATCTCCGCGGTCGATCACCAGTATCATGCAGTGGTGACATCTGCATCTTATGCTTTCCGCAGCACAGGCAGCACTATCGGCGTCAGCATTGCTTCGGCTGTGTTCCAGAACACTTTCAGCAGAGGGCTATGGTCTCGATTTGGCGATCGCAAGAATGCTGCCGAGCTGATTGGCAAGCTCCGGGACAGTTTGGATGAGATATCGAAACTCCCCCGTGACTGGCAGACAGGAGTCCTGGATACTTATATGACCTCTCTCCGCGCTGTATTTCTGACATTGTTGGGGTTAATGGTACTTGGTTCATTGTGCAGCTTAGCGATGCGGGAGCACAAGTTGCATAATACCCTTTCGCGCCGTTGAAAGTGAACGTACTTTGACAGTGAGGACTTTTACAAGTAGATGGACTTGAAGAATGATATAGAGAAAAAAACACATCAACGTTTGGATAAACCTGGATCAAATCATCCACATAACCATGGATAAGGCCTCGACTTTTAGTCATATCTACGTCGGGAAGAGTCTGACCGCCTGCGGAGCCAATCACGCCCACGGGCTGCTGCACGGCTGCCCGTCTTTAAGCGGCTGCTTTTGCTTTCGAGGCAAAATCTGGATTTCTTACTGGTCCAAACTAGCAGCGTTCCCTGCAGGTATCCTTTTAGTCCCAGGGATACTGCAGCATCATCTGCCAGCTTGAGCTCCCGCTTGTCTCAGAGTGGCGAGACGTGGCAACTAGCAGGGATACTGGTTCCGCCACGCAAGCACTACACCGCTCGAAAGGAAGTTCCCAGGAGACACCAGATTAAACTGCTACACGACGAATGGGGTTTGGATGGGGTGATCCGCTAGGGCTGGATTGACCGCTTCGATTGTCTGATCTCTAACCTGCGGCAGATAAGCGTTTTCAGCTGCGCCCAATTATCTTAGGCCGTGACGCTTCACCACGAGACACTTCGGGCTCTATGGTTTTTTGTCCCAAGCCGAGACTCTGATACCAGTCACACCACTCCACTTTGGAATTTCTGTTCTTCGGATTCGATCACTCTCAACCCTCCTCTCAATCCGCTCTGGCATGGCAGTTGGCCTCCACACCGATTCCACGATATCGATTAGACAAAGGGACGCGGCGGAGCTGTATTCTGGCAAGATGGAGGTGGACAGTGAAAGCGACGAGGCCATGAGCGGGACTGGAAAGGCCGACTTCGCGCTCCCTCCTGCGGCTCGAGAAACCGATACTGCTGCAGCGCGTCCACGCCGACGACGGCTGCTTTTATCGACAGATAGTGCCTTCGCCGATTTCATTCTCCCCTCCTTGGTCCAAAATCCCTACATCGAATTGCGCCTGATCACCGACGAACCCTCCGCCCTGCTGGCAGGTACGAACAAAATCCCTCATTATATGGATACCGTCGATAGCCAAACTTTCGATAAGAAGACCGGGGCGCGGAAATGGCTCAAAGCCAAGACAGCGGAGCTCTGTGAATGGGCCGATATGCTCCTGGTTGCACCGATCGACGCGGGAGCGCTGGGATCTATGCTTGCTGGGTTGACCAACACCTTGACCTTGGCCCTTCTCCGCGGCTGGGTCTCAACCAAGCCGGTCGTGCTGCTTCCGGGCATGACTGTATCGGAGTGGGAGCATCCACTAAGTGCGCGGCAGCTTGAGGAAATTGGTCGATTCTGGAAGTGGATTCGGATCGCAAAGCCGGTTCTTTGGGTGTCAAATGGGCCCGAGGATTTGACCCCCCTGCCGTGGGATGGGCTCAAGGATTTGCTCAAGACGCTGGAGTCTTCGTTAGAGTTACCTCCTTGGGAAGTCTCTCTCATCGATGCGTCCGCGGTGAAGGGTAAATCAGATCCAGCGCAGTCATCAGAACCCGCCCTGTCCTCGACAAGACCTCGCAGTGACACAGTCTCCGCTCTGAGACATCTCCAGACCCACTGGCCTAACCCAGAAATGAAAGTCCGGTCTTTACCTCTGGAACTGTGGCTCATCATCTTCGAGGATCATCTGAAAGATTGGGAAATTGCCAAGGCTGTCGGCATCACCACCAACCTCCCTGTGCCCCAAGAGTGGCAAAACCATCTGTTGAAAATGTCGACTCCGGCTTCACTAGAATACACCATTCTTCGAGGGTCCTTTGCATCTATCAAGAAACGCATCGACGCTTTACCGCGGTGGAAACCCGTCTCCGATCTCGCTTGTCATCTCATTGTCAAGTTTTCCCGCACCGACATCCTCTCCTATCTGACCGAAAACCATCTGGAACTTCTGTGGACCACGTCCCGCCTCACACATATCCCCTACCGCGCCTCGGCAATCTACGGCAATCCGACCATTCTCAGCTGGTGGCGCGACGCCCCCAACCTTCCAAACAAAGAATATGGCAGATGCCATGGACGGTGCCTCCCGGGCCGGATTTCCTCACGTCCTGAACTGGTGGCTCCATTCCGGCTTCCCGCTACGCTATACCGAGCGCGCGCTGGAGTCCGCAAGTGCCGAAGGTCGAATTGAGGTCCTCGAGTGGTGGAAGACGGCCTCTTTCAACGCACCGCCTGATAAGCCCATACCATTGAAGGTGGGAAAATCAGTGCTGCTGGCAGCCCAATCGGGGCGGACCGCATCGCTCGCATGGTGGGATGCATCGGGTATTCCCTACAGCCATGCCGAGCACGTGGCTCGCATCGCCAGTACGCATGGCCATGTTCATGTCCTTGATTTCTGGTTCAAGCTCAAAGGGCCAAAGATGATCTTCGACAACCAGGTCCTTGTTGGGCCGACGAAGAATGGACACGACCATGTTCTCCAATGGTGGAAAGACTGTGGACTGCGCGTAGAGTTTAAAACATGTGATATCGAAGAGGCCCTGGAGGATGCAGTCTCGGGCGCTGATGAACGTGTTCGTCAGTGGTGGAAGCGGAACGGCCTCAACCTAGGCCTTGGGACGAGAGAGTGGATGAAGCCTAAGGTTCTTTAATTCTCTGGAGCTCGGACACCGCATTGCAGGCGATATGCACCGTTGAACATCTCGGTTATCTTCTTCGTTCCTTTTCCCTTCTTCTCCCATTTTTACTATTACTTAAATGATGACAGATTATGACCCCTGAATACCCATTGCATGTTTCATGATCCTGTGAATTAACTGACACTGGCTCGCTCTTGAGAGCCTGGAAATGTTATATACTTGTACGTCAAATTCGTATTCAACTGTGAATAGAATTATTCCCACTTCTCCACTCGGCCGTGTTTGATTTCTGACCCTTTCAGCAGGGGCTTGATCTTAGCATACTCCTTGAAAGACTCCGTCTCGGCGAACTTGAAATGGTCTTCGACCGAGTTCCATCCGGTGAAGAGCACGTATTCCTCGTCCTCGCCTTCTTTATCGAGTCGCCACCCACCGGCGTATGTGAGAGGGGCAATGTACGCGCCCAGATGGGTCAATCCAGCCGCGAGCGTCGTCTCGAACTCGGCCTTCTTACTGGGTTCAACGAAGAACCTGGCGATCGCAACCACGGGCGCCTCGAGGGGATGGCGGATGATGCAGGCTACTCGTCGTCAACATCGATTGAGCATCCCAATTATCGACAGCCGATGACAGGCAGGAAGATTATACATACATCAAGGTTGAGATGGAACATCCATTCAACACTGAGGTCCTCCGCGAAAACCCCAAGTAGTCTCTGGTTCGTTGCAGAGGTAATCCAGTCATTGGTGTGGACCTCCACAGATTCCCAGCCACCAAGCAAGTAGACGAACGAAGAGTCCTCCGTCTGGCTGAAGAAAGTGACGGGGTATTTCGAGTATTCGGATTGGCCTTGCTGTGCCGCACGCAGGCGTTCTTTGACAGCCGCCGAGGGTGGCTCTTCGGTGGCCTTGAAGCGGACCAGCGCTAATTCTGTGACTGGCATGGTGATTTGATAGTTGCGCGAGCTTGAACAGATTAAATTATTGAGAACTTCTCCCTCGAGATTCTGCTTTTTATAACTCTGTAGTTTGGCGCTAAGGAAAGGGTCTATCACGTTTCAGGCGCATTGAGATGGGGCTAAGACACCCCGCGGAGGTCCGGAGGCAGCCATTCGTACGCGGCATTGGCCTGCGTTTCCTTAGCCTCGGCCAAGGATTATCGTGAATTGTGGTTAATATTACTCAGAGCTCCCTAACCTTTTACGAATGTCAGCGTTCGGGCTCTCCCTGGCAATTGGTACCAAGCATAAATAACAGTGTGGAAGTGCCGATTCGTATGCTTGGCTATTGTCATCTATCCCAGGACATGAAAGACCTTGCCTTATAGAGACCATTTTTTTGAGTTTCTTTTGGCCCCTGGACGCTTTGCAATCTTTACTTTCGAGACCACGTTGATTTGGCGAACAAGCAAGAAGTATCAAGATATGATGAACCGGAGGTTTGCAAACTTCTCCAGTGATTGCAGAATGGCTTTACAATTGGGCAATTGACATGTAAGTAGACTATTTGCTAGCGCAAGGTCGAAATCTCAAGTCTACAGCTTTAATAATTTAAATATGCGTCAATCGTTTACCTCTTCTATTCAGCTTGAGCTTAAAGGCACCACCAATTACTACACTATGTTAGCGTATTCCACCCCACTATCCACCCATCATTTGGACTAGGATGCCCCTTGAACCAGGAGGAGAGACGTGATAAGCAGTGCGGCAACTTGGAAAAAAGTAACGACAACTTGACCGAGCCTGAGCAAGACAGTGATGATACTGGCCGTAAGAAAAGACTTGCGAGGGGGTTACGAAACACCTGGTCATATTGATACATTCAGAGATATATAAGCCGCATCAACATAAGCTCTCAAGAAGAATCTTGATGAATAGATCGCTGCAATGGAACAGGCCAAGGAATAGCGACAGTAAACACGGCTCGGGTGTAGGACACTCATTAACGCCCACCGATTTTGTATCTAGAGAGGTTATTCTACAGTATGACAGAATGGATTGGGATACGATTCAAAGAGTAGAAGACCTCAGCTTCTTCACCCAGGGTTTCAAGGACCACGATGCGTACAAAGAGATGGCGAACATAGCAGTCATAGCTGCGTCCAGGGCAGGGGAGCCGAGTTTGGCAACCATTTCAGGCTGGGCTCAAGGAAGAAATATGGCCGAGCTAAAGGGACTTGACTGGAAAGAAATCAAAAGCCTGAATCCTCCAGATTTATCGAGGTGGAGCATTGTGGGTCGAGGGTACAAGTCCGGTTCAAATTTGCGTGATGCAAGGCATGAGATGACTAGATGAATACGTGCATATCCATATCGCCATTTAAGTCCTGTTACTAGCAGGACGGTGTTAGAAGATACTACCCAGGTACTTCGTTTGTAAACCTTTCAGGGATGAAACTAGCCCAGATCGTGACTCCGTGGCTTGCATGGGCGGGGCGGCATTCCTGGCGATCCACGCTCATTGGCAGCATTACGACAGGCGTATCGAGCGTATTCGAATCAGCGCCCCCGAGTGACGTTGCCAGGCTTATAAATGACCGCAAGTCTCATCTGGTAGCTATCGGTCGCGTGAATCGGACTATTCTGCGATCGGCTACAAGATACATCACCCACCCCTACTAGTGATGACCTGTTAGGGTTAAAGATATATTCCCCGTGCAACACCCCCTTTGCCGGCCTCCAAGATGGCAGAGGAACCAACTCCCCGCGGCTTTCTCTCCGCTGGACTTGACTACCTGGGCTCACGATTTCTGAATCTCCCTCCAGAGAAATGCGGCTACACAACACAAGCCGTCCGGGTCCCCATGAGAGATGGAGTAGAGCTGGCCGCGGATCTCTATCTGCCCCAACTCCCCGAGGGCCAAGATGCAGCCGGCCTTATCATGGTTCAGTGCTGCTATGGCCGCGATGCGGGGATAGCTTTTGTTAATGCTCGCGTCTTTGCCGCCCGAGGATTCAAGGTCCTCTTTGTGAGTACCAGAGGTACCTATGGATCTGGGGGTGAATTCTGGCCCGGTCGAGCGGAGCAGTCTGATAGCCAAGATATCGTGGTCTGGATGCGCCAACAGCCCTGGTACCCCGGAACGTTTGCTACAGCTGGTGCATCCTATCTTGGCTACAGCCAGTGGGCGTTTCTCCGCGACCCGCCGGAAGACTGTGTCGCGGCTGCTATCATGGTTGCGCCCCACGACCAGGCGTTCCATGTATGGGGAACTGGCTGCTTTGGTCTGGATCGTGTTGGCTGGAGCGACCTGATGTCTGAGACGGGATGAGAAGAAAAGCATTCTCAGCAACGCTTCGCATATCCCTGGTCTCAGGTTTCTCGGGGGGCGCTCACCGCTGACTGAAACGATTGCAAGCTTGCCGCTGTATTCAAGCCTTGAAAAGTACTTCAGTGAAAGGAAAGCGCCCTGGCTGTTCGACTACCTCGATCACCCCAACCTTGATGACGAGTACTGGACTGCCGTTCGACATCATGACTCTCTTGAGCGGGTCAATATTCCCATCTTGCTAATCAGCGGATGGTACGATCCCTTCTTCACACAGTCGATGGCGCAATATAAACGGCTCCACGAGCGCGGCGTCGACGTGAAGCTCATCGTTGGTCCCTGGACGCACACCCAGGCATCCGGCCTGTATAGTATGCGTGAACTCCTGGAGTTCTTCTCCGAGCACCTGGCCAAGTCAGGCAAATACAGCACAGCTCCTGCCCACATCTATGTCACGGGCGCCGAAGAATGGACACCGATGCCAAGTTGGCCTCCCGCTACAACGCCACAGACCTTCTACTTACAGCCCAATGGAACGCTTGGCCCAGACCAGCCGGCAGAGGATGCTCGATCTTTATCATTCGTCTTTGATCCCTTGTCACCCACTCCTGCTTTAGGGGGGCCCAATGATGACTGGCGGGAAAGTGGATGATAGCGCTTATGCAACAAGGGACGACGTGCAGATCTTCACGAGCGAGCTCCTCACAGAGGACGTCAAAGTCTTCGGCATGCCAAGAATCCAGTTCACTCATTCTAGTGACCCGCCATATGCAGATTTGTTCGTCCGACTCAGCGAGGTTGATACTAATGGGGTATCCCATAACATCACGCAGGTCTATAAGGCACTTGATCCCTTGCGCGACCAGTCACAGCCCATCAGCCTTGAGCTACACGACTGTGCGCATACTTTCCGAGCCGGGACCCGGATTCGTCTTATCGTTGCTGGAGGGGCGTTCCCCATGTATGCTCGGTGCCTGGGCACTTCTGAGGACCGCGTGCGCAGTGATAAGGTCGTTCCGCAAAAGCACACCATCACTGTGGCAGGTGGGTTGTCAGAGTTGGTGCTTCCGGTTCAAGTCGACGCTTGAGGGTGTCCAGGAATGTATTGATCTATGTTACAATAGGATATTATCTCATCTTAGATTTTGAATATACTGGCTAGATTGATGAATACTAAACACTCTTAACACTCTGAAAGCTTACGATTAGATAAAGGCAATGAATTGTAAAAATATGTAGACCTCCCCCCAAGAAATCTTGTCCCACCTCTTATGCAAGCACACCCATAGGGTCCCATCGAGGCAGCACCTTCGGGGTCTGTTTAAGAATATCTCGCACCTCTGCGGGAACGAACTTTGGATCAACAACTGCCTGGAAAACATATTCATCGAGCCACCGGTCTGTCATGACGAACCAACCCTTGTCACCGGCTGTCTCACCCCAAGAGTTCTGCACACGCCATCTAACCGGTTTTCCATCCTCGAGGTGTACAGCCGTGATAACCATGGCATGTGTCATGGACGATTCACCGGTCTCAATCCGTTCGGCCTTACTCAGTCCGAGCTTCGTATTGAATCCAAGAGCAAGGTCAATGATCTCGGTATCCATAACACCCGTGCCATTATCGGAGAATTTTCCGACATCGCAGCCGAAGAAAACAGGGTGTCCTGCCTTGAGCATCGCAATGATTGCGTTCTTCAGGGTCTGAATATCTACATTTACATATCGGATTGGGTGTCCCTCAACCACATTGCCCAGTTTATCAATAGTGAGAAGCTGCTTGTACTCATGGCGCGGGTCGTTGACCAGACTGAAAAGTTCCCCAGGCGATACGGACGAGCGAGAACGTGCCGACGAAGATAACTGAATCGCCTGCTGGGCAAATTCGACCGGAGTCTTCCGCACCTCATGAGCCTTACCGTTGCTATCCTTGTATTGCCAGACGAAAGGCTCATCCGGGCTAGGGGGAGGACCCAGAAGAAGAGTGACGATTGAGTGGATTTCTTGCAGGAACTGCTCCTTCTTGGAAGCTAGGGCATTTGTTTCTCCATCAGCTGCCAGGCGACGTAGAACCAAGGCCTGTTCTCGCAGCTTTGCTGTCAACAGCCAGTTCATCTTCGCACTGTTCTGTGCGTGGTATGCATCGGGGTAGAGAGCCTGTGGCACCAATCCGTATTTGTGTACCAGGTTCGCGACCATGTCCCATTGGCCTCCATCGGAGACTGGGTCTGAGTAAAGCTTTTGGACCAGGCGACTAGAGATATCTTCACCAGCGGTTGCAATGACCTGCTCGAAGAAGTAGTTCGACTTCTCGATCTTGTCCCAGTAGAAGAGGTAGGCCTGACTGAGCTCAAAGTCGTGCAGCTGGTATGCTTTGATGATGGGGACGCGGAAGATATTTGTCGAGGCAAATAGCCAACAACGGCCAGAAGAGCGCTGGTTCGTGATCGGTGTGCCTTCTAGTGGCACTGCGAGATTGAATATCTGCTGGTCTGCATTCAGAGCGGCCTGGCTGGTGAGAGTCTTCGTATATGACTCGCTGGCAAAACTTGAGATAGCAAGCCGGTTCTGCATACGTAGCCTCATAGTTAGTATACTGAGCTTACTTGATCCTTTGCGCTTGTACAATACGTTACCTTCGCATCGCTGAGGAGGGTCTTACGCCAGCTGCTCAGCCGAGGTGTCGTCAGAGACGGGATCAACTCTTGGACATTATATGGCGGAGGAGCTTCCCAATTATCACTGTCAGAATCGATACAGTAGGGCCAAAACACATCCTCTCAAGTACTTACGGGATTCATAAGAGTCTTGCTTAATCGTGCTTGCTTCGATAATGCCCATCTTGTTGGGGAGCCGTCTGTCGGCAGGACCGACTGGCTTAGACTGCGAGGACCCCATCTTCAAGCTTACGAGAGAATGAAAAACAGTGTGCAGTGGACGTTTGGGAAGATAAATAGGGACTGGGAGCTCAAAGCTCGGGAGCATGGCCGCTTATCATGCGCCGAAGGTACTCGGCCGTGCGGGTAGGATGGTGTTATCTCGCACGAATGTGACATCTCCGTTCTACGTTGCGTATTCACGGCGATATCTGACCGCGTATCGTTATAATTTGAATTTCTGTGAAGCTTCATGATATGCCGAGCTTGAATGTTGTTCACAATGTAGTGATCCATTCTGTCCAGTGACGAGATCACGAGAACCTTGTGTCCACATGTAGTCCCGTCCTACCCAAAGGGGCCCCATTGCAATGACTCGAAACAACTAGTGCTGCGAGTAGCAAAGCCTCAGCTAAAAGATACAGGTCATTCGCTTCTAGGGATCATTTGAAACTTTATGAACAATAAAGCCACGCAGGCGTTCGCCCATTGCAAGGAGGGTATAAGGTCTGAAAAACGAATGTCACACGCTGCAATAAGTGGGAGGCGTATCAAACTTCCTTCCTAAATGTAATGTTAGCCAGTGCGTAAGCTAGACAGAGTAACGAGCCTACCAGGAATATCCGGTGCGTTCGACGCCAGGGGTCTTGATGGCATTGCGGTCGCCAAACGGGTTATCGTCGTCGTCATCCTCTGGCTCCGATTCGCTTTCACTCTCCAGTATTCGGGTTGCGGAGGCACCTGGCCGAGGGGGCCTAGGCGGGTTCACGGAGAGCCCATTGAAACTCTGGCCCATCTCATCCTCAATTTCAGCCTTGGATCTCCAGTTCCCGCCCAGGACATCATCCTCACTGTCGCTGTCGTAGTCCACACTCTTATCCAACACCTCGAAAGCCATCAAGCCCGTCACCAACTCTTCGTTGGCGTGGATTAGTCCACCCAGGAATTCCTCGCTCTCAATATGCTGAATGTATCGTAAAACTTGGTGGCGAAGCTTCTTGCACTTCTCAAATCGGTTGATACATTCCGCATCTTCGCTAACCCGGGTCGTTTCACGATTAACAAGCTTCAGCGCATTCAACAAATTGGTACTAGCAACCGAGGAGGAAGCAATGCATTGCAGGATTTCAGGGCGCTCCTTCTCCAGGTTGAAACTCCGGCTCACAGACATTGTTGACGCCCGCTTTGCCTTCTTATCCTTCTTGGGTTTCTTGACAGGATTTGTCAGAGGGGTGGGTGGCCCCCCACCGGCAGAGATCGAGACCGAGTGGCCCATAGGCTCGTTGAAGTTGCTGGAGTCCTCACGGAGGACCTTCGCCTTGGCTTGGGTGGCGGGCTGCTTGCGCTTGGGCAGTTGCTTGTATAGGGCCGTGATCTTCGCCATTCCAGGCGTGTCCTTGTACGTCGCGGCCCATTGACCAAAAAGCACTTTACATTTCTGCTTGACCTGGGGATCGGAGATGGGGTCTGTACCGGCAATTCGCAGGCGTTCAAGCAGGGGCTCATCGGCGAATTCGCGCAGGAAACGCTCGCCTGCATTCTGGATGAGAAAATCGAGGATGGTGAGTGCCCGTAATTGGCGATGCACGTTTCCGTATTTCCTAGAATTTATCGGATCAGAAATGCCGTTTCCCCCTGACTCGGTGCGATCCTACGAATCATGCGACCACTCACAACTTCTTGCGCAGAGCCCGGCTGGCTTCTGTTGGGCCAGTAGCCTGAATAAGAATCGCCTCTGTCAAGTCTACGATACCCGCTGAGTCGTCCACTTCATATTGTTCACTGGTCAAGACCTCGATTTGGACGGTCACTGCCGTGTATGGTTTCTGCGAGGCGGGACGGAATCAGCATCGCTCGCAGGAGTCGATCGTGCGCGAGGACCGGCGATGACTTACTTGAGACTGAAACATGATGTACAAGCCGGCGATGCACGATTCTTCATGAGATTTCTATATCAGGATAAAGGCAAAGTCCCGTACCTCTCTCGGGGCTTTGGGATTCGTGACTAACCTGGAATCAGTCACCCACACCACCCACGTGCGCTCCTTGGTAACCCCGCAATGGATAACGGCCGACGGTGTTTTAAGGGTATAACCGTAGGGAATACAACAGCTAGATCGCGTGTTCGTTTCGCCCGCCGCTAGAGCACGACAGCCCGAATCCCAACTGGAAGAAGAGAAGTGGTGACGTTGAAAGGCAGCGCCTTGGCACAGACGGACGATCAGCCGTTTTGTTCCCACCTGAGCCACACTCTCAGTATGGCCCAAACAGCAGTCCGACGGAGCTCCAGTGTTTGATGCCACACATAGACAATCCAGAAAATTAGTGCAACGGTACTTTCTGTCCTAAACACTACCTATGCGTAGCTAGACAACACTATCAAGACTCGTAGTTAGTACTGCCAAGCCTTAGATAAGGATATGTACATTATAGCTCAATTGGGACTAGGGCGGGGAAGACCGGAAATACGCAGTCACGAAGCGGAGGATTCGATACGCACTACTTGGTCCTCGAGTCTCAAAGCACTCTGTAATTGATCGTCGTCGTCCTGATCCTTGATACGATCCCCTCTGGCGTGGGCTCGTATGACTACGACTGTGCCCTCCCCGCGGCCCTATCTACGCGTCCTGTCCCGCTTCCTTGTGGTCTCCACCTTCATTCTGGCACTCAGCGTGGCTCTCAAGACCCGCTCCCGTCTCGCCCTACTACTCCCCCTCCTTCGCTTCTACATCCCCTCAATCTGCCCCTCTCCATACCGCCACCATGTCCTACCAACAAGAGCGCTTCATCGCCGAACTCGCTGTTCAGCGTGCGAGCATTCTCACCCAGAAGGTCTTCTTCGAAAAGGCCAAGGGCACCGTCTCCAAGGACGACAAGTCCCCCGTCACAATTGGCGACTTCGGCGCCCAGGCATTGATCATTCAGGCCATCCGCAAGAACTTCCCCAACGACGAGGTCGTCGGCGAGGAGGAGGCGAGCTCCCTGCGGCAAGACAAAGACCTGAGTGCCGAGATCTGGCGTCTGGTCAAGGACATCAAGCTGGACGATGCCGAAAGCGACAGCCTGCTCGGCGGGCCTCTGGCCAGTGAGGAGAGCATGCTGGATGCCATTGACCAGGGTAACAGCCCTGGTGGGCCGAAGGGCCGTATCTGGGCCCTTGACCCTGTTGACGGCACCAAGGGCTTCCTCCGCGGCGGCCAGTATGCCGTCTGCCTGGGTCTGATTGTCGACGGTGATGTCAAGGTTGGAGCGATTGGCACTCCCAACCTGCCGATCGATGACACCGCTCCCATTGACTCCAACACCGGTGCCCAACAGAGTGCGACCTCCGGCAACGGTGTTCTGTTCTCCGCGGTTCTGGGCGAGGGTGCCACCAGCCGTCCTCTCACCAGCGGCGTTCTGGCTCCCAGTAAGCCTATCTCCATGCGCCCTGTACCTGATATCACTCAGGCCGTCTTCTGTGAGGGCGTCGAGGCTGCGCACTCCTCCCAAGGTGACAACGCTGCTGTCGCCCAGCGTCTTGGAATCACCAACGCTAGTGTCCGTCTCGACTCGCAGGCTAAGTACTGTTCCATTGCCCGTGGCGCTGGTGACATTTACCTCCGTCTGCCTGTGAAGAAGGACTACCAGGAGAAGATCTGGGACCACGCTGCCGGTGACATTCTTGTCCGTGAGGCAGGTGGCCAGGTTACCGATATCTACGGCGCACGATTGGACTTCAGCAAGGGCCGGACCTTGGCTGCCAACAAGGGTGTTGTCGCTGCTCCCAAGGCTATCCAGGACGAGGTCATTGGTGCCGTCAAGGCTGTTTTGAAGCTGTAAAAAAAGTATTGCTCTATGAGGATTCGCTATTATGATGACAAGGTCCGCTCTGGTAGGGGCCAGATTTGAAAACCTTTGAAATATCACGCTTGATGCGTGCGAAGTATTTTGGGATACCCCTCCCTCTTACAAATGAGATGAAAACCAAAAAGTACATATATGCCTACAGAGGATAAAGGAAAATATAGAATACATGGAACCAAGAATGCAAATGTCCCAACGTGGCCAAACACCAGCTCCCATAGTCTATTTGATCTTCTTCGCCTTGAGCTTGATGGTCTCTCCGTTGACGAAGATACCCTTGCCCTTGTAAGGCTCTGGCCGCCTCCACTCGCGGATCTCAGCAGCGAAATGTGTTACTTTGCGCTTGTCGACACTCTCGAGGAGGATGCGGGTTGGCTGGGGAGTACTGGCAGTGACACCCTCGGGAATTCCGAGCTCAATCGGGTGCGAGAATCCCACCTTTAAGGAAACGAACTTTTGACCAGGGTATGTCGGTTCGACGGTAGTAGCGGTGTCCTCGATAGTAGCTCTGTAACCGACACCGACAAGACTCAAGATACAGATATGGCCTTCAGAGACACCGGTAACGTGATTTTGCAGAAGAGCACGGATAGTACCTATAGGAATTGGTTGATTAGCAAGACCTAAATTCCATATGCGAGGAAGCAACGCCAGACATACCCCACATGGCACGCTGATGGGGAACCTCAACATCCTGAACGGAAAGAGTAGCCTTTTGAGTAGCAGTATCATGGTCGATGGTCAGAAATGAGGGGATTTCAAGAGACATTTCGCCTGCCGGAATATTAGTGTCAGGCCATCGCATTCGCGATTCCGCAGCATTGAGTATCGCATACCCTTGGGCCCCTTAATTTGAGCAGCAAGCTTCGGCACATCCTTTCCACGCGTTCGGACCAGGCTCTTGGGGAGGTCAATGAGGTTCAATGTCACCTCCGATGGTACGGAGACGGGAGCACCTCCGACACGGGATTGCGTCGGAGCGGTGGTCGAGAAGCATTGGGTACGTGCGGGGGAAATGCCGGGGTGAGGAAAAGCGGTAGTGAGCCTCGAGGGCCTGATTCCCGGAGAAGCTGCCGGGCGCAGCGCTGGGACAAGAATGACATTGCGATGGGTTGTTGACTGCGTCAGTCTCGATGATTTTGTCGGAGATGCAGCGGCCCCATCGGGTTAGCGGCACGTGATATGGGACAGTTTTGATGCCTGGTTTGTCGGGCGTCTAGGTCTCCATGTACTATATTGAACCAACCAGATTGTATTCATTCTAAATGAATGAGCGCCTGGGACAGAAAGAATCTGGTATGGTTCACTTAAACTCTCAAAGACCAGACTTGTCAATTTGTGCAACTATTTTAAGATTTCCAGCAACTAATTACTCCAGCTTCGTTTGTCTGGAAAGCTGGAGAACTTTGTTCGGAAGATTTGTTGCTTTTGATGCTATTTCCAGCGGGCTCAAAACGGCCGTAATCGATCAATACCGTCCGTGTTAGAGAGAGCAGAGGTGACTGGCGGGTTATCTTCGAGTCTACTTCAATCAGACAAAATGTGATTCCACCAAGATGGAACAACTGATCTCTCTTCCTCACGAGTTCTCTCACTTCCATGTACCACACCCTGAACCGTATTTAAATCAGCCCACAGAGTGCTACTGACATTTCCTTTTTCTTCATATCGATGCTCTCTATTTGGCTAATCGGAACCAGAGACTCAGAGTCCACACTTCTTCCTATCACGACTAGGAAGGTCATGAGTACTGGACACCATGAAGGTGCTCATCAAACATCGCCACCTCACCGTCACTCTAATTTTCCTGTGCACGCTTGCTCATTCGAAGTTATTTGACGTATCTGGGAGCTGTAAGCATATTAGAATATTTATCACGAGAGGTTCATTACTAACCCGCGTTGGGAAAGCCGCCTTGACAGCTCCATCGGACAGGAATGCTTCGCCACAGCTGGTGCTGAATCAACAGCAAAATGAAATCTTTAAGGAGGCAACTGACCTTCTAACTTCAATGGAGTCTGCCCCATCATGCAATCGAATTGCTGCAGTACGGCTGGTGAAACGATGCAAAGCCTTAGGGGAGGAGGCCACAGACCCCGAGGCGAATGAGAGGCTTGATACCATTCGATCTGTATACGCAGCACGACTGGCAATCTGCGAGCTGGAAGGAGCTGGTGCAACGGTTCCTTCTTCATGCCTTCCTCTAACAATGTCCCAGACTCCACCGAAACGTATCCTTGGCTTCGGCGCCAAGACAATTGTGCCTGACACGGGCACCGACATCTTCCCCTAGAGAGGTTCTGGAGCCATGCTTGAAAGCCCTGGAGTCACGGGCACAATGGTGGATATCTTACAGCAACAATAAACAGAACGCGATGGTCATTTGCCAGGCATCCCGAGTGGAAATGGAAAAAGACGAGTTGCTCAATCTTCACCGTTCAATCGTCGACAGTAATTTCAAGCTCAATGAAGGGCTTCGAATGGCGTTGCGAAATGCTGCAATGGAGTCTCAGCAGAATGAGGCTTTCTTAAAAGCTGTCCACCAATTACAGCAACAGTTGACGGCTAGTATAGAAAAGAGCCAGTCTACCTTTCAAGATACATTCAGCAAAATTTTACACGATGTTCAAGTGGGCGTTCGCTCTGCTTTCAGTGGTATTACCTCATCTTTGAGCGTTATGGGAAAGGATATGGCCGCTCTTGAAAAGGTCTATAGCCCTCCACTGGTTATTTATCGCTCTTTGCTAACCATGCGGTAGAATGTCCACAACATCACTTCCCAAGTCCACAGCCTAAAAAGCTCACTCGGAGAAATACATAAAGACGCAATCGGTCTGAGCAAGGAGCTGTTTCAGGTGCAACAAGAAAATTCTCTCGCGCACCAGGATTTAACATTGGGGCTTCGCCGATCCCTCGAGTCTTTGCTAAGCAGAGACCTTGTCATGATATTCCAGGCCATGCACGAATTTAATAACTCTCTGGTGGGTCCTCTATCCGAACCAAATGAGCTGTTGACTGATTCAAACAGGAATGGCTTGGCAGTCGACTAAATGAAGTCTCGGAACGAGAGGCCAAAGTTGCAGAGGTATATACATACCCGCATTCGCCCTTCATGTTGAATAGCCTAACAGTTTCCAAAGCGACTCAAAGCGGTTAATCAAGACATGAAGAAGTCCGAAGAAAAGGCCCAAGATCTACATAAGGCTCAAAAACTACAAGCTGATGCTCTTATCGCCCATGCAAAAACACAGGGAGAGCTTCAAGCGACCGCGAAGATCTCTCAAGAACTGGTCGAGCAGACGTCAATGGCGGCAGCGCATCTCCATTCCATTCTCGAAGATGCCGCTCTAAAGGCTCAGCGATTGCCTGATTTTCGCATCGGGGGGTTCAACACTTGGACACTCTGTTTTATCATAGTTATCACCATCACTGCTAGTCGCAGCCCGATTGTCGCGACTGGGATTCTTTTTACTTTCGTCGGTGGGTATTTAAAATCGCTTGATCACAACTAGAAGCTAAGTTTTGTCAAGGTCACTGGATCGCGAGAGCAATCTTGCCGTACCTGGGTGCTATTATCCCCCATCATTAGTTTTATATCTTCTTGGATATTTCTCATTCTTTGCCGACATTTGCATTTTAGCGTTCTCATCTCCGGCTCGGAGTCAGAAATTATACCCATATGCCTCTGGTGCTTCAATCTGCATTTATATTGGACTTCTTCTTTACAAGTGTACTAGGATTATTCTCTCGTGATATGAACTCGCTGAACGCAACAAAATTCGATTCCTAGGTCCACTATGAATAGTATTTCCGCGTATTGGGTATAGAGAGAAACATTCGATCGGTTGTGCTCAGTCCGCTGGGAAACTTTGCTGGCACTCCCTCTATTGTCAAAAAGGGGCTGGTGGTGGAGGCGATCGCTCCAAAGATATCGATACAGCCCCAAAGCACGTCATATCGGACAGTTGATCCTGTTCGGCGGCATCTATTTCTTTGTCAGTGGGTGGGCAGATAAAACAATTAGGGTTCGGATAGAGCTAGCTTACCAACGGCATTTCCTATGAAGCAGGGGCAGCGGCATCTGATTGGGCAGTAGCAGCCGGTTGAGGGGCCGGAGCTGACTGCGCGGTGGTTACAGGCCCAGCAGTGGTAGTAGGCTCAGCAGTAGCAGCAGGCTCAGTGGCGGCATGCTCAGGAGCAGCGGTAGGCTCAGTAGGGGCAGCAGGCTGTGTAGTGACAGTGGGTTCCGCTGGCGCAGTAGCGGCTGGCTGTTCATCGGCCTTGGCCGGGGCAAGAGCTGTAGAAGCTGCTGCTGTTGGCGCCGCTGCTGCTGGAGCCGCTGTAGTCTGAGAGTTTTCCTGGGGCTCCTGCTGCTTCTTGGCGCCTTTCTTCTTCCGTGAGAAGAGACTCTTCAGGCCTTTCTTCATCTGACTGAGCGCATTGGGGGCTAAGAATTATTAGAGCATGACGACCAGATAGGCTGGTTAACTCACGAACACCAGGCATTTTGAGAAGATTGACGGGGTTGTTTTCCACACGAGGTCGGGTAGAGTATAATGAGGAAATCCAGACGGAAAGAGCTACGACGCAAACATCAAATTTAATCGAACAAGCACGTAGACAAGCTAGGCAGGGGAGTTCTTATTTAAAGTAATTTCGATCCTGGCCAGTGCTCTGGATGTTCAGGGGCTTGTAAATGACGTTGGGGCCCATTGGGCCCACGTTCTCCTGTCAAGTGCCGTCCCCGCCGTTATCTCGGTCTTGGCAGCTTGAGTGGCTATGCTGGCGCTAACTACAAAAGCTGTCATCCGGGATGAAACGCAATTTCTTCTTCTGCGTCTGGACCCCTGTGGAACCCACACTTTTCGTAGTTCGGAAAGGGGAAGATTGTTGCGCCGTTCTCATTCTCGATACGAGTGCTGGACTTCTTGGATTTCATACGCAAGATAGCCATTGTAGATGCAAATCCATCGGGTTCATTCAGGGTATCATTTTTAGACACCCTGTGCTTCTCAGCAGACTCGATTCAATCTTCCCCAGCCGATGAGTTGTCTGCATCCGCAATAGCCACGTCTCCACCACCGGCGGCTGCTTTTTGCTCACGCGCTTTCTGCCGTCTCTTCATCTTGCGTTCACGATTCTTGCGGGTGCGCTTTTCGGCCTCTTCCACTTGAGCTGCTATTGCGGCAGCCTGGCGCTTTCGGAGCTGCACTCGCCGCTTTTTACCGGGCTTTTTGCGAGTTTTTGGCGATTTGGAGGGCAGTGCACCCTCGACTACGTAAACGGGAACGTCCGTAGACTTGGGAGGTAATTTGGTCTGATGGCGTTTCAAATGAATGACCCGCCATGGCAGGTTGCAGCCGGGCTATCGGACAGTCAGAACATGATTGACTGAAATCTGTAACGGCTATCACTTACCCATGGCTGGCTTTTGGGTAGACCCAAGACATGTTCACCAGTGATGGCCATATCTTCAAATTGGCGTCTTCTTTCACTTTCATACTGTTCAGTGCTGACATTCTTTTCTTTCGGGTCATATAGTGATGGGGTAGAGAAGTAATATTGCCATCCGCGGAACGACTTTACAAAGCGTCCCTCAGAGCCTCCTGCGCCGGGAGTGGGGGACCGTAGACGGATGCGAAGCTTCTGTGTCCCAGAGGGCTCTTTCTTCTCATCCCCTGTAGGCTTCTTGCTTGCGGGCTGGTCTGCAGCGTCCTCTCGAGAAGGTATAGAGTCTTTTGGTTTGGCAGGCGCACTGAACAGTCGGAACTCGAACTCTTGCTCTTCGTCTTCCTTCTCATCGGACGTTGGGGGCGGGGCATCTGTCGCACCCTTTGATGATCCATCTTCTTGCAGCAATCCATCGAGGTTCAGGAGCTTTCCCAATCGAGCATGGGCATCTTGAAAGTCGGATTCATCGACCGGCGATGCAGAACGAGACGATTCGGTGGAGCGCACTTCGTCGCGACGGACCCTGACAGTATACATTAGCAATTATAATGTCGCAGAGAGAATCGAACGTACCGCTTCGCACTGGGCAGATCAAACATGTTGCGCGGTGGCACAGGAGAGCAACTTGGGTGCGGAGCAAAAGGAAAAAAAGGCGGCCAAGCCGTACGCAGTAGTTTCCACGGCTGCGGCCACGGCCTTATCGATGACCCGCACGGGCTCCCCTACCTCACTTCCAAAGGATCTCGCAAAGGTCCTCGCAGCCTTTACCCTCGTCTTTCACACCACTTTTGACCTCTCATATTCTTTCGCATACCCTCTGGCCTCTTCTCACACCTTCTGTCTGATTACCGTGCCTTCTGTCCCACCCTGGCAAGGGGACGGGGCTCCACTCCTGCATCGATAATTGTGGCTGGGTTGAGGCCTCGTGCCCATAACAACGTGCTCCTCTAAATCGGCTCCTCGAATCGACGCCATAGATGGGTGTCTGTGCCTCCTGTCTGGGTGGCAACCGCCGTGAGGCCCCAGAGGTGAGTCCCGGTCGTCTTTAGCCTGTGCATCCGGGCATGATCTTCGATGCGCAGCGCAGGAATGTCATGCGGGAAAGGCGGGCTCCTGTACCTCAAAGCTTGTATTCTAACATACTTATTCTCAAGCCCGAGTCTTCTCGTCTCCTAGAAGAGGACCCCTACCAGGCTAGCTATGGCTATGGTGCATTAAACCAAGCCCAACAGGCCAACCAGCCGGATCCGGAATACGTCCGTCGCGAAAGAGAAGCGCTGGATGCCATCTGCCAACGCACGTCGGAGTGAGTGCCTTCGTTCTCAGAATAGCCTCCACGAAATGATGGCCGTGTTTTAATGTTTTATCTTTTCTAGCTCCGTGATCGACATCTGGTCTCTGCAACCACAGCCTCATCTCCAACCTCAAGCCACTCTCCACACCAACGTTTCGGCGTCCAGATCGCCCACACCAGAGGGAGACACCACTCATTTAACCGTGACCTCGGATCGCACGTCGCAGGGCAGCCGCCCGACCTCCAGCGGAACCGTACCAAAGCATTGGAGCGAAGTGGTGGTCAATCCGAACAAAAAGCGCTCACGTCCCAACATGAATGCCGATGCACATGGCGGCCGCGATGTATTCGGAGTTCTCAAGGTCAATTAGATCTTAGCTACAGATACATCGTGGGATAACGCTTTGTCGCACGAAGGTGATGTTTTCTATGAAATAAAAATGCGTCGAAGAAAGAATCATCGTTGGGGGATAAAGCTGCTTTTCAAGTCTCCGCTGCACCGGTCCGTATGTCCTGTTTTGCGGTGCGTTGACTGATTCTCCAGTCCACGGGTCGACTCTGTTGCATATATCTCCTGCCACTCTCTTGTATCTTTTTTTCCTTGACCTGTTAATACCCATGGTGCAGGCCCTCTACTCGAATCTTCTTATCTGTCTTCTGTTTTCTGGTGCTCATGGATTTTCTGTTTCGTTGTCATATGTGCTTCTGCATATCTTTTGTGGCCATTACTGGTCGTCTCCTAGTTTATGACTCGGTTGTTTGAAGTATTACTTAGACCTGTACATCGGATGCGATACTCCAATTTACACAAGCGAAATTTTCCCAACGCTCAATTCGCCCTACGCAAATGTGTAGCCCGTCCTTCCATGGCCAGGGAGAACCAAATGTAATAGAATGCAATTGAAAAACCCGAGCTTGCCGGCCATGACTAACAGTGTGAAACCAAAGCATACCAGGGTACCAAGCGAAGATGCAAAAAAAGAGAATCACAAGATGAAAAAAAAAGAGAACTATCAAGAGAAGAGAAGTTGAGAACACCGCAAATGAAAAAACGCCCGCTGGTCCAGTGTCGGGGAATATGGGGGAAAACTGTAGAATGCAACATGTTCACGCAGGCGGACGGAATACCTCATAAGAGGCGAAAAGGTGAGGAGGCCTCAGACATCGTCCATAGCCCCGGCAGGCTCCTCGCCACCTGATTCATAGCTACCGGCTGAGCTGAGCTCGTCTTCGGACTCGGTGTCTTCGCCCGCCTCGTCAACGGCCTCTTTGCTGGCATACTTGGATACGTATTCTGGATACAATTAGCCAACTTTTTCGGGGGAATCCTTGGATACTGGGTCGTAGAGCACATACCCTTCACTTTCGCTTCGTAAGCTTTTGGCTCACGCATCATCAAGGCCGCAGCCTCGCCATTCAATGGATCGGAGGGGTTAGGGTAGCGGAGAAGCTGTGGGAGAAAGACCTCGAAGATATTGATCATGTCATACATGGGAGACCAGGTTTGGTTGATCACGTCGAGGCAAACGGAGCCGGAGCTGTTGAGCGATACTGTCAGCAGTGCAATGTCGTTGATGGTGTGAAGTTTCGTACAGTTCATCAATGTTGGGATGAAAGATGCGGTTCACAAACCCGATGCTCGGGCTCTTGTATGGATATTGATCGGGTAGTTCGACGTGGATCTTCCAGTGGCCACCAGTGAATGGTGCTAGACGCTGTTAGAATAATGCAATCTGTCCTACAAGCATGCCAAACATACTCTCTTCTGGGCCCTTGAAACGGACGTAGAACTCTTGCCTAGAATCCATCGTGAATTAGCAATTGTGTCCGATCAGTCTGAGAGCATTGTCCCTAGCGACATACACTAGATCGTTGTTAGCGTGTGCTGACTCCAGTGTGTGATTTGGTCGCCTTACTGTTGTCATTGACCAGAGTGACTTCATAGTCGCTCATCAGCCTATCAACCATGGTCAGTCCAAATTCCTGAGCTTTTGGGAAACTGGTGGGAAAGGCGATTGTTGGGCATTGCTGCATGTGCCTGAACGGAGACTAAACAGGAACGGGGACGAGCGTACATCCTGTAGCGTAGTTAGCAAGTCGATTCTTGATTAATGCCTGGAAGATTCTTGGCTGGATTTGGTCGTTCGCTCAGGCACATACTTCATAACCTGCACGGAAGACAAAGCTGGTTAGCACCTGCGGGGTCATTGATAGCTTATCTCGAATGCGAGAGATACGTACATCGGTTTCAATTCTTCGTTTTGGGCTACTCATGATGGCGGCTGATAACTGTAGGTAAAAAGGCCCTGCTTAAGGTCGAATAACCTAGTGCGCGTGGCGAGTTCTCGGAGTTGATCGATGTAGCTCTCCCCAGTTGATGGATGAGGTCACCGGGAAATAGCTGCTTAGGAGAGTGGGGAAGGCAGTCGGCGACAAAATGACCGAGTCGGGGAAAGCGAAGGTCTTTAACGCGTGTCGGTGCAAATGAAGCTAAGCGAATTCGAATTCAAGGATTACCACTGCCAGGAAGTGAACAGGAAAGAAGAACGCCAGAAGAGGGGCGACAGTTGAATGATCGCTGGATGACTCAGCCGTACTAGTTTGGTGATAGGGGGGGGGCAACCCATGGAACTGTCGGATGTCACGTTCGCTTTTCAGCTTCCAAGGTTGTTAAAAGGCAAACCCCAATTTGACACTATTAAACTATATTGGGCTGCTTATTATGAGCTGTATATTATACCTAGATTTCATTCCCCTAATTCAGAACCCGGCAAATCCGAAAATATCTTGCTGAATCTCGACTTCAGAGTACAATGCAAGTCCGGAGCTCGCCCGAGATAACCAGCAGAGCTATGGCCGCCAGATTAGGCCGCGGCATAAACTTGCGCCATAGTTGTCGGCTGTCCACCGATGGTGGGCTTCGTGGAGGGCTTGATAGGCCTATGGATTAATTCAGCTCGTCAAGACTTGGTGACCAAATGGAGCGCAAGGTAGTCGAACCCTGGGGATGCATTTATATCTACTGTTTATGCTTAACTGCACCCTTCAAGCCGCTTGCCAGCAGTTGGAAGTAGGAATAAGGCTCGTTTTGCTGGTGGATGCTTCTATAGAGATTGACGATGTTCAGAATTCGCGCGGGTCTATTTACAGATCGGCAGTCATATAAAATGACATCAATAGTCGACAAGGGCTCGCGAGACCACTCCCACTATAAGATATTATGATTCTGTGTCATTAATACTGGTAGCATCACGAGCCGATAATTTGCCTAGCCTACATACTAAAGCTGCAAAGACTGCCACCCAGTTACAAATTTTGACACCAGAATTAGATTATATTCACCAGGATCAATAATTTTCAGATTTTTTCGCCAGATACTAACAAAGATTTTCTCTTTCTTTTCTCTTTCTTTTCTCTTTCTCTTTCACAACTCCCTAACCGTCCTAGCCTAGCCTCTAGCCCTGTACCACCACCCAATTGTAAAATCTGCCGCTCAGTCACGAAACCTGACGCCTGAATAGGTTAATATCCACCAGGGATCAAGTTCCCCAGGTTTTCCCCTAGATACTATCAAAACTTTCTCTTCTTTTCCTTTCTTCCCTTTCCCAACTCTCTCCGGCCTTTTTGAAATCGTGCACAGGTTGTGGATCCCCTAAGCACTAAATTGAAACCGTTGGCATCCAGGCCCCCAACACGCGCTTGCCACTACTTAGATATGCCCTGCTGGTCTCATGCAAGGTACCGAGACCAATCCAGGCCCCAGCCACCCGTGTACATACATGACGCATCTCATGCTGGACAGCGTGCCCCTCAAGACATGGATAAAACAGGATAGGCCTGGACAATATTGGCAAGTTCAGTCTGAATATTGGTTCTGCAGAATCTTCCGTCAATGCCTTGGAGTTAGAAAATAGACGCAAATGCTTATTTGACTTCTATCTGGCAGAGTTGATCCGCCCTTGTCCTCCCCGAACGGCCCGGGCAACAACCCCCCACCAAAGCGGACCCAAACCTCAACTAACTCATACACTCCACACTCCACCACGACAGCCAGCCCCCAAAATGGCCGATAATCCAATCCCAGACGATGAACATGGCGCCGACCTGCCTATGAACATGACTGCGTCGGTCATGCTGAGTGGGCTGCCCCGTGATGCCCATCAGGCGCTTGCTGACGTTGAAGCTATTGATTCTGGTAAAGGTACGAGGACCCGTCTCCCAGGACCAGCTTTTGACGCATGCACGGTACTGCCAGCCTGGCAGACTGTGTGGGTTCTGTATTTTCTATGGAGGAGCCGTCTTAACTCTGTCCAGTGACCGTACGCTTTCAACCTTTGCCATCGGCGCCAATACTCAAGAATCGGGTATTCAAGATCAGCGCTTCTCAAAAGTTTGAGACCGTAGTCAAGTTCCTCCGCAAGAAACTCGACTGCAAAGACACCGATTCTGTTTTCTGCTACGTCAATAGCGTATTTGCGCCTGGTCTCGATGAGGGGGTTGGGGGTCTCTGGAGAGTAAGGTTTTTCTTTCGATATCAGCACATACGGTTCTAACCCCTAGCAGTGTTTCAAAACTGATGATCAGTTGATCGTCGCTTATTCGATGACGCCGGCATTCGGCTAGGCAGACATAGCCTGAGATATCATGAACTAATGAGACTATGTACAGATGACCCTCGGTCTTAGATCAAAACGTAATACCCAATCGCCTTGATGCAATCGTTATTCCTGAAATTCGCTGAAGGCCTTCTCAATCTTTGCCAGCTCTTCCTGTGACACTGGATATGTGTACTCTGGAGATGGAAAGGCCCGGCTCTTCACTTCTTCCCGATACTGAGTAATTCCACGCGTGGCTTCGCCCCAGACATCGGCATATTGCTTAGCGAATTTTGGGACGAATCGTCCAGGCTGGAAATTCCCCGTCATGTCAATCTGCACCAGAACCTGCCCTGAGCACCCGTTACCCGCGCCAATACCGATCGTTGGCACACTGAGCTTCTTGGTGATGAGGGTGGCGACTTCTGGCGGCAAGGCCTCAAGCACAAACATGGAGACACCGGCTTCCTGCATGACCAGCGCGTCACGGAGAATTTTCGTTGCGCTCTTGACGGTTTTGCCCTGAACGCGAAACCCTCCAGAGCGCGTTTTGGCGTTGCGGCGTTAAGCCTACGTGGCCAACCACCGGAATCCCAACCTGTGTAATCCGCTTGATGGTCGGACCGAGCTCCTCTCCTCCTTCAATTTTCACCCCGTGTACTCGACCTTCCTTCATAAGACGCAGCGCCGATCCGACCGCTTGTTCGGGGCTGATCTCGAACGAGCCCATTGGTAAATCGCCAACCTAACCATATGTCAATACCTCGTTAACAGCCGTTGGAGACGATCCACTTACAATGAAAGCACTTTTAGCACCCCGGGATACGCTCCGGCAGTGCAAAATCATCTCGTCAAGCACCATCTCTGTCGTGTCCTCCAGTCCCATGGCCACCATCCCCAAGCTATCCCCGACCAACACGATTTCGATCCCGGCGATTTCAGCTGCATGCGCGCTTGGGAAGTCGTGGGCTGTCAGCATGGTTATCGGCTCTCCTTTCCGATATAGGTTCCGGATTGTTTGGAGAGTGACCTTTTTGCGCCCATTGTGGGTGGCATCTGGCGGGCTGTGGGAGCTGTGGCGGACTTGGGAGTACGGGAGTAGAAGAGAGGGGGCGGAAACGTGAGGAAGGGCGTCGATTTTAAGATAGCTATTGCATGGACTCCGACGAGCAACGGTCGATATATTTGTAGTAAGGGGACGTCGCGCGATCGAGATCGATCGCGACGGCCGCAGTGTCCCTGCAGGCATGATTGCGGGGGCGGGGAGCGGGCGAAGTTGTAACAATCTGCGGAGGTGGTGCAATCACCCTGTTTGGCTTTGAATCGACCGTAACCAGTCTTTGTCCAGAAATTGCAGGTCCCTTGCTATGTACAGCTTTACTTCTGGAAGAAGGATAGGTGGTCATTCACGGTGGCAATGAAATCACAGTTCCATAGCCCGAGGCAGCTCCGCACGCGCCACCAGCTTTGCGGGGATGTAGAAGCTTTGAAATGGAGAACGAATTGTTTCAAGTCTGCAATGAAGCTGATTTATCTTGAGCAACATCCATTTGTCCGGGGCCAACGTGCTTCGATATGCTGCGTAGATGAGAGTCTCCAGAGGGAAAAAAGAAAGAAGAGCTGAGGCCGTTCAAAGTGGAGGTGGGGCTCGGCTGTTCGCGGCGGCGGCAGCTCTGGGGCATGATTGTACATTCCGCGTAGTTTGTGGCCGCATGCCGAGGCCCGTTGTGGTATGCGCCCGCAGCTTCCAGTACGCTTCTACTACTTGATGTTAGCGCGGTCCGAATGACATTTCCGCCATGCACCTAGTCCTCTAAGATGACTGCGTACACCATATTTGTAACAAAAGGACTTCGATTATTAATATTTGAAATTAATTAGTTAGCTCAACAGCATGATCCACAGGCATCTGTAAAGGCTCAGGATATCACAATGTTTGGGGCCGAGGAGCGCAAGGTTCAACAATACCAGAATCACACCTAAAGAGTAGCAACAACGGTCAAAACTTCGATCCATCAACAATTCCTGGCATGATCTCTAGGAAGAGATCCTTTCTCAGAAGCGAGACTAGAAAGCCAGGAAGCTTGAAGTTCCCCATATGCCCTGTGCCCTTCTTGCGGCCAATCTGGAGCCCCATTGCCGGGCTAGCGACCTTGTGTAGGAGCGGTTTCCTCCTCTGGAGTACGAGCAAGAGGTTCTTCACCAAATGGGCAGATTGTGAGTCCGCGAACATGAACTGGGGGCGCTCGTGGTCCGAAACATCTCCGATAGCCCATACATCGTCGACGCCTTTGACTTTCAAGTAGTCGTTGACAATAACGAACCCCTTGGAGTTCAGATATCTGTCATTAAGGTAGGAAGTGTTGGGGATCAGTCCGAATGTAGGGATATACAGATCAGCAGTGAACTTCTCCCCGTTTGAAAGAGTAAGCTCCTGACCGCCATCCGCTGTTTCGGTCGTGCTCGTAACCTTGCTGTTGTATTTGATGTTCACGTCCAAACTCTTGAGAATTTTTGCAGCAGTCTGGGAAACCTTGGGAATGGTCTGTTCAAGGATGATAGGGCCACTGGAAATCTGTGAAGCAAGGATTAGCGGGAGCTGCAACTCGAACACGACCAAAGCATGGAACTTACGAGAGTGACTTTCTTCTGATTCTTATACTCGAATGCGATTTCACCTGCGACCTCCACCCCAGTTGCACCGGAACCCCCAATAACAACTGTTTTGGCCTTTTGCACACGCCCTTGAAGAATGTGCAGCGCATCTTTGGTCGCTTCCGTGGTGCCCAGGTTTTTGAATGGTAAATTGGCCGTTGCGCTTGCGCCAGTTGCGAGAGAACTAGATGATCATACTTGATAGTTCTTCCGTTGGAAATCCGGACACTGTGTGCATCAAAGTCAACGGCCTCGGCGAGGCCGAGGACAAATTCAAACTGAGAAGCATTGTACTGCTTGAACCCTGTCTCAATTGGCAGGAAACACTTGTCGTCCGTATACTGACCGGCAATGATTCCTCGGGGAGAGGCGATGTTCCAGAAGAAGTGTGTGTTCGGGGTAACAAGCGTAACCTTTACAGAGAGACCAGCTTTGGGGGCGCCCTTGAGGATGCGGTGGGCGGTCGAGATTCCAGTAATCGAGCCGCCAAGTATCACTATGTTTGTCATGATTGATCACAGGGTAGTGTCCAATCTTCAGATCCAGGTAGGAGACTAAGCTGCCAAGCAGATACTAGGAAGGAAATGCTTTTTCTCTGTCGGTAGTTTCACGGATTGAGGTAGGAGTATGATTTTCTGCTCTGCTCCGAATCATTTCATAGGCGGGAATTGCTCATTATATACATGACCGAAGTCGAACAATTTTCGGAGGAATATAAACTGCGGAGGGGATAGCTACAGATCAATAAGCAATTCCTCGTATTTAGTATCTGCTGAGAAATTCATACCATCGCGCCAACTTCACTCCGCTAGACAGCCTGGGACGAAGGAAAGCGCAAGTAGATCGGTAAGATTTAGAATTGGCCAATCAGAAGGGGTAACGCAGCAGGAGCCGCAGCTGCCAGCCAATCGCAAGGCTGTACGCTCCTCGCGGAAAATGGACACAAGACGGGAGCTTAGAGGAAAGCTTTACAAGCCCCCTTTACGCTATAACTTAGACTGCACGAATCTAGCGTATTAGCGCACGGCTAGCCAATCAAGTAGAATTCCGCTACTAGTTCTAGCGTAGTAGGACCTTGGGAAGATGTTGTGATTATGGAATCGTGGAGGGAATGGTTGGTCCTTTATTTCTAAGGAAGAGAGATGCTTGTTGGGCTAGGAGCTATTTTACTGCTACTAGTAGCTTATCGAGATAGTAGGAGAAACCCAAAGCGAATCCTCAGTCAAGACATAATCAAGAGCGTTGAGTACCTGCATTCTCAGTATCTGTGGTTCCCCGAATGATTATTTCCTTAGGAAATCATACGCAGTTAAGGCCTGAATCTTAGCAACTTGCTCCAGCTCTTTCACCAGAACATACTCATCTTCAGCACCCATACCAAATGGCGTGCAGCCAATAACGACACTGGGGATGCCAGCCAATCGGAAGATTCTCGTGTCAGAACCGCCAACTCTCATGTTAACTACCGAGTCAAGCCCCGTTGGTCCAACCACTTCCTTGGACGCCTTCAGTGCCGACTGCACTATTCTCTCAGATGGAGACGTCCAGGTCGGCTCATAGCGTTGCAAAGGCGTCCAGCTAATACCCTCCATAGGGTCGAGCTGTTCTCGTAGGTGCGCTTCTACATCGGCAATCGACACCCCAACAGGCAAGCGCAAGTCACATTTCGCACTTGCCTTGCTTGGTATCAGATTTGGGGACACACCTCCCTGAATAACTCCGACGTTGAACGTGATAGTCTGAAGGGTCCTAGATTCTCCGTCCCCAGATATCGCCTCGGAAACATGTTTCGCGTTCTCGATAGCCTCAGTGACCTCACGGGGCGACTCGAAGGGGATTCTCTCTATGGACTGTGCAGCATCCAATGCACCGCGAAGACGATCAATGGCATTTACACCATTGTGAACATGCGCACTATGACCTGCGACACCTTCAGCGGTGATCTCGACCCAGAATGTGCCCTTCTCGCCGAAACGCACGACACGAGGTGAGCCCACATCAGCATTTACCACAGCATCACCCCGGACGATATCAACGTTATTGAGAAGCCATCCCGACCCGAGGACACCTCCGCTCTCTTCATCCCCCGCGAGGGTAATCACTAGCTCCCCCGACCACAGATCGCAGTTCTCTGCTAAGACGCCCGCTGCGATGATAATTGAAGCGACACCAGCTTTCATGTCTGATACTCCCCCGGCCATATAGCCGGCCGTCCTTCACAATCCCGCTGAGAGGAGGGCACGGTCCAGGGAAGATGCTCACATACTGGGTACGTGTCGAGGTGGCCATTGAAGACGAGGCGTTTGCCAAGCGTTCCGCTTGTAACCCGCGCAACAAGGTTGACTATACCGGGTCCTGTTTCGTACTCCGATATCTCCACATTCTTAATTCCCGATAAAAGTTCCTTGGCCACGCGGGCGACTGCTGCCGTGTCACCAGGCGGATTTGGCGAGGGGGTCTGTACAAGCCTCTGGGTGGCCTCGACGAGCGCGGCTGATTGTAGCGACAGCTGCTGGGTTAAATACGCCTCAGCCATGGATGTCTGCCTTAGCGGGCTGAAAACAAACAGTCCGGAGTAAAATCCCAAAGAGGAGGTGGCGGTGGCAGTGGCGTTTGCCTAGTTCGCGAACGCTAACGAGCGGAGATATGGTATCTAACCCAGGTTAATTAGATACTACCTGCCAAGGCTGTCTGGAGATAGCTTGACTAATAATATCCGGTCGGCAGGTGGACAACGAAGAAATGGACCATCGAGAGCCGCAAGCTCTGCGCTGATTGGCGTGAGTTTCTCCCCTCATGGGGAAGTGCGTCCAAGCCCACGCCAAGCTGTCTTGGCTCTTTCGGTATTGGATTATCTTCGTGTTATCAGCAGAGCAAGTTCGATATGGGCTTGGCGTTTCTTCGCCCGCCTCTTGGCAACGCTACTAAATACGCCTGTTTGTCGCTCATTCCATCCCATCTTTGCGTGCCTTGGGGGCTTTTTCTTCTTCTTTCCCTTTTGTTATCTCCTTCGTATCCATTATCGCGTCAACATGGGAGAATCAGACGCAAAATATTCAGAAGGGCAGGACCCAGTCGACGCCGAAAAGGGCATGGCTGAAGGCGACATCGTCACTGCGCACCAGGATGATGGACTTCATCGCAATCTTCAAGCCCGACACCTTTCCATGATTGCACTGGGCGGAGCTCTGGGAAGTGGACTTCTCATTTCTACCGGCACCGCATTGGCCAAGGGTGGCCCAGCTGCTATCTTAATTGCTTACTGCTTTATCGGCCTGATCGTCGCAACGGTCTTATTTGCAATGGGAGAAGTGGCGACTTGGCGACCGATTTCGAGTGGGTTTCCTGGCTATGGGGCTGCTTATGTAGACCCCGCCCTGGGTTTCGCGCTCGGTTACTGGTCAGTCAATACTTCCGACGGAGCAATATACATGACCTGGAATACTGTACTGACTGTAGTTTAGCTACTGGTTTAAATATCTCATGAACGTCCCATCGCAGTTAGTCGGCTGTGCTCTTGTACTGCAGTACTGGGTTCCAAAAGAGCATGTTAACCCAGGAGTATGGATTGCCATCTTCCTTGTGGTGATTGTCACCATCAACCTTTTCGGCGTGCGGTTTTTTGGTGAACTTGAATTCTGGATGAGCGCTGTCAAGGTATTGATTGTGCTCGGGATCATAATTCTCTGCATCGTTCTCGCCGCCGGAGGAGGCCCCAATCATGATGCGACAGGGTTCCGCTACTGGAACGACCCAGGGGCGTTTAACCATTTGATCACGAGTAAGTTCACTTTCCTAGGGATCACGATATAATGACGCTTACATATCACAGCGGGAACCACCGGGGAATTCTATGCCTCCATCTCGGTCCTTGTGACAGCGACGTATGCCTTCCTTGGCACCGAACTTATTTGCGTGACATTTGGAGAAGCTGCAGACCCACGTCGAACCATTCCCCGGGCCATTCGATTGACTTTCTTCCGTATCGCGGTCTTCTATGTAAGAGAGCCTTCCCAATGGGACCTCGTTGCTTGCTGACAAAATGCGATTGTAGGTACTTGCGGTCTTCCTGCTTGGCATGCTAGTCCCGTACAACTCCCCCGTCCTCAAGGCCGCCAACTCGAAGTCCCAATCGGCAAGCGCCTCTCCATTTGTAGTGGCCATTCAAATTGCCGGCGTCAAGGTTCTTCCGGGAATAGTGAATGCCTGCATCTTGATCTTTGTCTTCTCGGCGGCGAACAGCGATCTCTACGTTGGTTCTCGTACCATATATGGCCTTGCAGTCGAAGGATTAGCTCCAAAATTCCTTGCCAAAACAAGCAAAGCGGGCGTGCCCGTTAACGGCACCCTTCTCTGCGCTTTGATTGCTTGCATCGGTTTCTTGTCCGTTGACGAAAGCTCTTCGGATGTCTTCACTTATCTCACCAACCTCGTCACTATCTTCGGCATGATTGCATGGTGGTCTCTCCTACTTGTGCATGTATTTTTTGTTCGTGCGCGCAGAGCACAAGGCGTCCCGGACTCGGAGTTACGCTTCACGTCTCCCTTCGGTATCTGGGGTTCTTACATTGGACTTTTTGTCGTCACAATTCTTATGTTGATCAAGAACTTTACGGTGTTCGTGCATTCCGATGTTGTCGGCGGGGACTACGGCGACTTCGACTATCCCAATTTCATCACTGGATATCTTGGCATTCCGCTGTTTGCCATATTCTTCACGGGCTTCAAAATCGCGAGAAAGACTTCGTTGAGGAATCCGTATACTGTTGACCTGTTCACAGGCAAGCAGGCGGTTGACGACGAGGAAAGGGAATGGATCGAGCGCAGAGCGGCAGAGGAGGAAGCTCAGGGCAATAAGTGGCACTGGTACAAACTGGTGGGATGGCTCTTCTAGATGTGCGATGAGATACGAACTTGACGAGAGACATATAATGAGACTTTATTCGGGGAAGAAAAAGAATATAGATTTCCTGGAACGTAAAGAGATTTCGAGATGAAGATTGTGAACCCCACACAACGCCAGATCATAACTCGTGAGCCACATCTGTCACATGAAACAGATCATATAAGCAGAAGATCGTGCGTCAAATTAACGATGTTCGTCCATGAAAAACCCGGCGTGCTGCATCTCTGTTTCCAAACTTCTTCCAGGACCGGGCTGATCATCCCGCGGTGACCAAAGGAGGGATCTACCTGCGTTAGACGTGAGAATGCATCCTGAAATACTGCTGGTGCGATTCGCACGAGACACAAGCAATCACAAAAAGTGGACAGACAAGTGCCGGAAGAATCTGCGCCGTCATGTTCGTCTGAAGCAACCGAATAGCTTCATTGAAGGTCGAGTCAACCACATCCAGATCTTCAAACCCGTGTCCCACCAGATGCAAGTAGACAAGCGCCATATAGCCGTAAGCACGAGTCACAACCGACCGAGGGAGCATGGGGTCCAGGGATGTATACGTCTCGGCACTGAAAGTAAGTCCTTCCATCTGATCTTGCGCCATGTGGCCCTCGATATCTCTCCGTATCGTGCAAAGTTCAGGAGAAAAATGCCGCGTGGTCGGAGGTACCTCGTTGCTGGCTCTGAATTTTACGTTCCTGAAGACTGGCTATCAAGCCGAGCTTGACCATGACCCAGTTTTTACAGCCAACTATGCGCCACAGATCGATATTGATCGAGTTTTCGATTAGCGAGTGATGGGCGAGGAGCTTGGGGGCGGTTCCGGCTGTCATTGAGGATACGATGTCTAGCCAGAAGACTGTTCCGCTGAAGAATCGGAATGCGATCACCTCGTCTCGGATTACTGGACCATCCTCGTATCCGGAGAGTCCGTCGTTGATGATGACTTGGGCGGCTTCGGTGAGGCCGAGGTGAGTAAGTCTGTCCTCGAGGATGCGGTGGTACATGTCTGTGGAGGCTTTGAGATGTACCCGCCATGCAGTGCCCTCTCTTGCAAAAAGCTACGGAGATAGATTAGCAGGTCATTTTGGAGATACAGGTGATTCTATTCTTACCTCGAAGAAGACGAGTTGTATTATAGAAGCAAGAATTCCAAGACCTTCGCGGGGACAGGTTGCACTGACGAATTGTCCAACCGATCTCATAGTATTTTGAAGTTCAATAAGAGATACTTCGAGTTGCTTCTCCTGCTCTATTAAGCCAATGTTATTGCATTTGTGATTCCGCCACACTGCTACAACTGCGGACCGGTGGTGATAAGCGCTGAGGGCCATAGCTGCGTGATATAGGGGTTTGGTCCGAAGTAAAAGCGTCAGGAACCAGCCTCGCCCCCGTCCAGAGGCTGAGGTCGCCACATGGGATATTGGACTGGGAGTACAAAATCCAGGAAATGCATCAAAAGGAGACTGTCTTGGCCTGGAAGAAACGGCACGGCCGGACAGCGTGACAAGCCCCTGATTCAGGAGAAGGAACCTGATAGGAATGAGAAAATGATCGAGTAAATGTTTAGCATAGAGACTTACACTCGAGCCCAGATTCTTGGTACTTGGTGTATCGAAGGAGGCACGGTCCGACGAGTTCACGACACCATTCCCACGGCCCGTCGCAGCATCAGGATCCGACACCCCGGACGGAGAGTTACCAGCAGAAGCCTCCACAGCTTTAGGCGCAGGCGCAATAAAAGGCTTCCGATCGCGCTGGACAGGCTTCGCCGCCGATTTATTCCTCCACGTGCGCTTCACGATCTTCTTGAGGCCACTGACGACGTCTTTCTCCTCGCCGCTCCCCATCCAGTCGGGCTTGGGCCCGTAGCCATAGCAGGGAATGGAAAGCGATACGCAGGTATCACATTGGGGACGGGCCTCATCGCACTTTTTCCGGCGCAGTCTACAGGTCCAGCAGCCGTTCTTGCTTCGCAGCTGGCCGCTCATTGGTACGAGTGTTGAAGTGCGCTGTTTGCTGTTCGCTAAGGCGACGCGCAGTGCGGGTAGCACCGAGTGGTGGCTGCTTTAGCAGGATGTAACCATCTAATTTGTCCTAGGCCTTTCGGAAACAAGTTGCAGGATCTGAGGGGTTAGTCTAAGGGAGACTAGCGTCCTTTTCAGCTCCGTTCTACAGGGCCATGAGAGTATTCCAGGGTTTATGGTAGGCGCGAGGCTGTGAATGATCTGCCGGAAGAAATTACAAAGCGGCGGCAATCCCCTTGGTGCCTGGAATATCTGGCAGGGAAGCCCCAGGACTCCTTAGTAAATTTGGTGGATTTCGGACCGTATACAGTCACAGGAAGCTGTCCAAACTTGGAGGTAATAATTTTGCCATTGCTCGGCCTCGAACATTCATTCTACTACTGACATACTTCATCTCTCGGTCGAATTTGGCCTTGCTTAGAGGTAAAGTGAGACGGTGATCCCACATCTTCCACTGCGTCTCTGTTCGTACTCTAGAATGAGGAAGGAGACTGATACGAGAAGTAGTAAAAAAAAAAAAGGGAATAATCATAGTGATAAGTCTTCATAACAATGTACTTCAGTCGTGAACTATTATCGAGATGACTATGTGACCTTCAAGTTATACATCAACTTCCGCAGTTCGTGTGTTGACGGGAGCATCTGATGACTTGTTCTGGCTCGGCTCATCTTCTCTCAACCTTTGGTCTTCTTCAGCTAATGAATCATCGACTGGGACTCGTTTAATAAGCCCTCGATTTGTGTCCCTCTTCTCAAGGTAGGCAATCAACCCAATAAAGGGCAATGTCAGAGCCCCGGTTACCAGGCTTGCAACATAACCCTTGTGAAAATTGGGGGCATCCGTGACAGGAAAGAAGACGAGAGGCCACCATGCGACAAATGCAAAGTCAAACGAGTTCATAAAGCCTGTTGTAATGGCTCGAAGCTGCACATCGTGGCTTGTCACATCAGCCAGCCATGAGTACCATATCGCCTGCACCGCGAACGTAGTGCCTGATAGATAGAATGCTACAAAGTATCCTGCATCAGTGGACGGTTCGGACACGAGGATGGCGGACCCGATGATAAAAGTAAGACCTATTGGCACCGAGACTTCCCAGCGGGATTGGATTTTGTCGGAGATAATAGCATAGACGATGGTGCCGAATATTGCAGCTGCATAAATTGCAGTCGGATAGTTATTCTGCTGTATAGTACTATAGCCTCGTGACGCCATCCAGTAGGCCATCACGTTGTTTTGCAGCATCTGTACACACACAGAATATACTAAGCAGATGTTAGCCTGCGGCTTCCGGATGCTACTAGTAAAGTTCGTGAAAGCGTCAAGACGTACACATGAATAAAAATGGCAAGAGCCAAAACTGCCAGCTCAGAAGAACGCGCCGAAACACCGAGAGATCCCAGGTTTGTTTCAGAGGAGCACCCAGTCTGATGAAGGCGTGCTCTCTCTGCTCGGCAGTGAGATACCAAGCGGATCGATGCTCAGGAAGGTCGGGAATGAACACCCAGCCTGTAAGTTATGGCAATTAACACCGGTGATTGCCCAGCCAGATTACTAGTAGCAGACTCACCGAATAGAGCGACCGGGATAGTCATGACCGACACGATAATAAATATCCACTTCCATGCGGGGAGCCCGCCGCGTCCCTGTAACGTGTGGAGGAGCCCCGCTTGGATCCAGCCCCCCGCCATGGTTCCAATATGGCCGAAGATGCAGAATACTGCAGTGCGCATACCGAGCTCTGACTTTTTATACCATGAACCCAGGATAAACTGCGCTCCGACACTTTGAAGCCAGTCAGCGTTGGACGTGCCGTTGGGGGGTTCTGCTGTCTGCTGATGAAGGGAGCCGAAAGAAAGGGATATGCTCACTATGCGATGGCCGAAAATCCACCCTCGAACGCGTTCAACAAAATCACTTGCCATGAATGACTCATCCTGTACGTGATCAAGGTCAAGACGCTCCAGGTCAGATTGGCGGCGACAAATACATATTTCGGTCGTGCTATTGTCAAGAGGCTGGTCCCGGGCATTTGGAACACTGCATATACGACCAGGTACGCGGTGTTCATGTAGTTGTAGTCCTTCCCTTGAAAATTGAGCGCTTCTTTCATGCCACTGATATAAGCAGAGGAGTAACTAGCCCTGGTAACCCCGAAGAGAAACCAAATTAACGAGAAGTAGGGAAGCAGGGTCACGTCGAGCTTAGCTAGGAGCCTGCGATCGCTAGGATCTGGACCCCAGAGCCAGACGGCCAGCTTTTTCTGCGCTGAGCCCATTTACTGCCAAATGGATGAGTTAGTGAGGAGTCCAGAGGGGTGAAGGATGCTGGTGGACTTGAGGTACTGACACCTCGATGCCCCTTGAGGAAGGTGACAGCTGCTGAGCAACTGATATTGACTAATCATGGCGTGCTAGTTAATGCGAGATAACGGCTTTCGCTTCGACAATCCCACCTCAAATCCGAGGAAAATCAGAAACCAGTTCATAAATTTGGAGAAAAGAAACTTACTACCAGTATATGCTTGTATGCCTCCAAAGGTTCCAAATAAAGTTGATGTGGGCCTGATCTGCCCCGATCGACCTGGGCATCAGACTGCCATGCAACTTGGACTCAGGCCACCAAATGAGTCAGGTCCATATAATTGTCAATATATTTTTTGTCGCTATCGGTATTTTTCTTTTTCATGTTTATCTCCGGCTCGCGTTTCTTGCGGACGACGTACCGTGATAAACTTATAACCGCTTACGGGTTATTCGTTGAATATCGGCCACCGCGACTCAATTCGTAGATACGAACTTCTATTGTGCACCCATCCATTCCTTCCTGTAGTATAGAAGAACTTGTTTATGCTATAAGAAAACACTCGTTTATGTCGAACCCTCCAACCGCCGGAATCCTCCAGTGCGACCTCTCTTGCCCAGTCGAATTCAAATCGATATTCTTCTTATGGGGCCTAGAACATGGCCGACATAACACCATCAAGTGCTCTTGAGGTGGCCTCTGGCACAGGCGTTCAGCCTGGCATGTCATCGGCTGAGGAATTGTCCTATAATCCTGGTCTTCCTTCTCTATTGCTGTGCTATAATTTGCGGAGTCTTCAAAAACAGGTATGTAATCTATATCTACTCCCAAACTGCCTCCCAAGTATACACTGACACATGGAAAATAGATGGATCGTATAAAGTCGCTTCCTGCCAGTATGTCCTCGAATGCACACAAGTTAGCTCGCTAGCCCTTGATGTCGCAACAGTTATGTCCAGAAGCTTCACTCCGCCTATCAAGTGCTTGAGGCTCCTGACGAGAACTATAGTAGACCCAGCGTAGATCGCCTGTTTCTTTCACTGCGTCTTCCAGTGGCAATTCCCAAACGCACGAGGCTTGAATGTGAATGCTCGATAACCACAAGCCCGCAATATACACACCCAGAGCGCCAATAATGTCCTCACTGATCAATCCACAACCAAAAAGTCAACCAGAACAGCCGGTCCCCCTAGAATTTTGCACACCCCGAACGTTAGTTCAGTTGCATATCCCTCGATTTTTTCAGGATGTTTTCCTTGAGAAGAAATTGAGTCCCAAGGCCATCCAATATCCTGGAGGTAGTCTACCCGCCAAGACAAGGGGACAAGGAATCTCCAGCGCGTTGGATCTGCAAGCTATTGCGGATGACCACAAGCTCTATGATATCCCCGTGGGGCTCATTGAGGTGGCTCCAGCGAAAGTGGGGAATTTCAGGCTGGTGACGTTGAGGCCGAGAGCTTACCGCGCGATGATTTCCTTCTTTGGAATAGGCCCCCAAAAGACAGACGCGGGAGCGTGTCTTTCTTCGCCAAGTCACTCGTACTAATTCACTGCCAATTAGCACTCGAAGCAGGCGGCAGCATTAGGGCCACGGGTCCAGCATTGGATTTAAAACAATTGAAAACCGCGCAATCTTTTCCCCTTTGAGATCAACTGGTGCCTACGCACGGTCGGAGCTACGCTACTATGAAGGAGATGCCTTGGATTTCAAATGAGGACAGCAACTCATCCCCTTGACAGACAGCGTATTCCCGATTTTTGCACCAGCCTTTCGTGATAAATGATGGGAGACTCGGATGTTCAATTTCGCCTTGTGACAAAGCTGGAGGACATCAGACCACTGACTTTCATCGCTGCGGAAAGCTGGGCGGACGACTCTATATTTGCGTGGATAGTACCGGGGCGATTCAGGCGGCCTGACCACTATCTGAAGCTCTGGTACTATATTCTCAAGACAGAGTTCTTCACTCCAGGGCGACATATTCTCATAGCAGAGAGGCATGGGGTCGCCGGGCCCACAGTCTTGGGGTTCGCTGTGTGGGAACCCCCTGCGGCATCGCCGTACCGTGAACCGCTAAATCGCAAGAAGAGGCTAGCGAGCCGTAAGTTTTCCTATGACCTGACGGGCCCCCCCCCCATATTGACTATTCTTCTCTAATGCCAGTATCTCCATAAAGGTATTCGTCATCTCAGCATCAAATGCCAGATATCATGTCTGTTGATCTTCACCAACTTCTCCAAAACTTGCTTGCTTCCCAAGGTGCATGAGTTGGAGCAGGAAAGGGAAACCCGAAAGACCCGAGACCCTCCGCCCGACGAAAAATGGTATCTACACTTTTTAGGCGTCTCGCCTCGCTTTCAGCGACAGGGCATAGGGAGGCAGCTTTTACATTGGGGCATCGACAAGGCCGACGAAGAAAAGATGCCCTGTTTTCTAGAAGCAAGTGAGCGTGGGCGTCCTCTCTACGAATCTGCTGGTTTCATCACCTATGACTGGCAGGTCTTGAATGGAGGTGAAATTAAGAATTCTGTTATGAAACGTGAGCCGCAATTGTTAACATGATGTGCAACAAAGGGGGAATGAGCTAAGGAATAGCGAACATGTTTATTTGTTGGTTTTTGTTTTCTAATAAGTTAGAAACCATGATATTTCCTTCTCATGTCAAGAACTAGATATCTAACCTGTACTTGGGATACTTGCTGTTATCAAAAGGATGGACTCAATTGGACGTTATGTGGATAGCTTGGTAGCGGAGATGACACCATCCCATGCGACACATGATGCAAAGCGGTCCAAGCCATTTTCTCGACATGAAATGCAGCGGGCCACACGAAGCCTTTTGTCGTTTGGGCCGAGTTTACGCATGATGGATTCTCCCGAGATGACCGAACGGTCATTTCCTGCTACTTTGCAATCGATGGACGATTTGACCCCAGCTGGGGATCCCAAAGGTGCGCTAAACCAGTTCAGGTAGCATTCGTGCGAAAGTGGGTCACGGCCTTCGATTGGCATAAGCCGACAGCAAGAGTCTCCTGTAACTCGCAGTCTGTCAGCCTAAAGTTCGCATTTGCATAATTATGCCTGCCTGGGTATTTTGAAGTAGTCACTCTAAGTTGTACAATGAGACTGGCGAAAGCCAAAAGAAAAAGACCCTCTCGTCTCAAGCTATTGCCTAAGCGCTGGACAATTCCAGATCCCATTTCTCCCTTTTTGGCACCATCGATTCTGTCATTGGGGGGTTCCAAGTCTTGACTTGGTTTCATTACATTAATTCTCCCAAGCCATTTCATACTTTTAGGTACTAGGTAAAGGCTGGTGTGCTGACAGGGTAGCGCGCATCACGTGGTGCCCACCAGGTGACCAACTTGCCTTCGTGAAACTCGCCGTACTAGATGACCTGAAGTAGAAAATAGACACTTTCATTCAATGGAAGCACCATCGACCAATTTTCGCTTTTGTAATGACTGCCATCAGAACTTAGTATGGGCGTATCCCCCTGATTTCATCTTCTCAAGAGGAAGGAAAAAACCACCTGGGCGAAGAATCCTTAAATTCTCTAAATATCATCGCATATTATGAGCAAGAACTTCACTTCACCAAATTGCGCCTCGTCCCAAGCTGTATCTTGGAAGACTTTGAATCATTGAAGTTGATGCTTGCCACGGCGATAGCCTACAGGCCCAAGCAAGGTCGGCTCACGAAGCATTGTAGGGCCGATCGAGTTCTCCTGATGCGATTCTAGACTAGACAGCGATGATCTCCGAATAAACTGCCGCCTGTGCTCTGCAATCCCACCCCTATTATTCATCCTACCTGGATGCAATCCTACATTCACGACAAAATGGGATGCATGCAGTTTGCCTCGCTCGAACCGGGTCCATTGCTGTGCGTGGAATCATGATCAGCCTATCTAGCGGCCCTGTCGGCTATAGAAGCACCTTTGGACACGCTTTGTCATTGCGGAATTTCTACCGTGGACTTCGTTTTCTTGTTGGTTCTGACAGTCGTAGAGGCATTTTGAAGGGCACTTGGAATGGCGGACGCAGAAGCTTCCTTTGCTCACATACGAGAGCGGATTCTGGAGTTTGACGCGGCACCACAGTGGTAACTCGAGAGCACTTCAAAGGGCGCAGTCTCAAGTGGCGAATCCCGACGAACGTTCGTATTTGATCCTAGTCGTTGGAGAGTTATGATCTGAGCCTTTCCTCCAGGCTGGTATTACGGCTACTCTTCGGATCAAGCAGTCAAGGCCCCGGAGTCTCATTTAGGCCTTTAGAGAATTGTCTTTGCGCTCGAATGAATGCCCAAGGCAAAAGCAGGTCCAAAGCACCCGGGATAGCCGGTCTAGCATGAAGAACAGGTCGATCCCCCGCAGCAGACTGGGATTGTCTCGAACGAACATGCAGAGTTTTTGTGGGTCCCTGATTCAGCGACAGGCGCTCTGGGCACGCTAGTCATTCCTTGATGCAAGCTGGTATGCCCAAGCCACTTTTGGAATATTCGCCACTTTCAACCCACACAAGGAGTGCCCCAGAGCTAATTGCGTCTTCTAATGGCTAGACGTCTCATCGAGACATGGAAGTCGGACATGAACTAATATGATTGAAGATCAGGTGACGAAGGGACAAAGAAAGGTGGGTCTCGATCTCCCACTAGAGCCTTGACAGCAGCACAATGGATACATTTGCCGGAAAGGCACGAATCCATTTCAGGAACCAGGCTTAACTTGATTTAAGTATACCCTAGCACAGCCAAGCCTCGAAAGGTAAAATCTCCACCCAACTATGCTCCAGATGCACACAGGCTTGTCGGGACTGAAGGAATAAGATTTATGGGACGAGGGTCACGCGGCTTGTCCCGGAATCTAAGCCTCCCCGCGTCGACTGGGGGTGATTGGAGCCAAGGCCCGGGGGCTGCCATTGCCCCAGATCCAGCGGTTTAGGCGTCGATCTGCACACTAGCCAAGCAGCTATTGATCCTGATCAGGGGGGGCTAGAAAAGGTTGTCGCCTGTGAAGGAAAGTAAAAAAAAAAAGGATCGGAATCTCCCACGTGGGAGCATCCTGAGATCATGTTTCTAGAGTCTCCAAGGCAGTGCACATTCCTGAGTGACAACCATGACGTTAAAAGTAGGCCAGACAAGCGTTGAATGCCGAGCACAGGGGGGAACCCCCCCGGGCTGTCAGCAAGGAGCAGAAATCAGGGGGAGCCGCCAAATACAGGAATCCATGCGCCCCCTTCATTCAACCGGGCCTCGGCCCCCAGTCAGATTTCCAGCCAGCACATCAATGATAAGGTCATACCTCGTAGTCATGATAAGAGAGAGGTTTAGAAAATGCAGATTGGACCAGCCAAACCTCGCCAAGGATGCGCCAAGCCGCGCGCATCCAAGCATTAGGTTCAATGATCTGCGATGATCGCCTGTCTCATAAACAAGTGTTCCACATTCTGTCATCGCGCGTCTCCGTTCCAGCCAGAGCCCCTGTGGGCAATATAGGCGAGGCCTCGTCCTACGCGGGCCTATTCACAATTTCCCTCCGAGATGGCTGTTTGGGTCTCTGTCAACTTTTAACCACTACCGAATCGCCATGCCTGGGATCCAGTTTGCAGAGCCTAAGAAAACGGAGGAGAGGCCCGGGAGGGAGAGGGAGGTGGAAAAGGGGTCTGCCCAACGATTCCCATCCCCGGGCACCGAAATTGTGTATCCCACAGGATGGAGGCTGATTGTCATGACCATCGGGTGAGAATCCCAGGGACTGAGCCATTACGCAATGGGAACTAATTCAAGGGGTGGAAAGGCTCCTGATTGGGTTCTTTCTGTCCAATTTAGACGTGACGATCGTGAGCTCGTCTCTCACGAGTATCACGGACAGCTTGAATGGATTCGAGAAGAGGAGCTGGATTGTGACGGGATACCTGGCCACCTATACAGGTATGCACCGATGGGTGATTTGGGATGGAAACGGGCTGACCATAGCACCAGGATCAATGGCCATATGGACCAAAGTCAGTGACATCGTGGGACGGAAATTAACCACACTCGTTTCGCTGGTCATTCTTCTCGCCTTTTCCATTGGGTGCGGTTGTGCTCAGACAGTCGATCAACTGTAAGCCATTCCCATCAAAATCCTTTCGGGGTAACCGCTGATCCCAACGTAGTATTGTATTTCGAGCACTCCAAGGCATTGGCGGCGCAGGCGCCTACGCTTTAACAATCCTCTGCGTCTACGAGATCAGCCCTAAAACAAAACTTCCGACATACAGTGCCCTCACCGCATTCTGCCTCGCGCTCGCCAACCTGAGTGGGCCAATTATCGGAGGCGCCTTGGTACAAAACGGACAATGGAGATGGGTTTTCCTTATCAAGTAGGTATACATGTATCTTCACAGTCCAATCGCTATACTGACGTCCGCATGGTGCTCCTCTCTGCGCCGTCGCAATCGTCATGGTGGTCGTCGCGATGCCAACACACTTTGGCCTTGATCAACACACCCCCTCGTTTAGAACCCGCGCCTCCTACCGCTCTTTCGCCAATCTAGATATCACCGGATCCTTCCTTATAATGGCCGGAACTTTCTTAACGATTGCTGTCTTGAATGAGACGAATTTGGCCTTCCACTGGAGTTCCGGCGCCGCCATTGCTCTTCTGGTACTGGCAGGGGCTTCCTGGATTGCCTTCTTTGCTTGGGAGTGGTACATTTCCGGCACTCCTGGAACAGACCCGATATTCCCGAAACGTTGGCTGTTCGATCGTTCCTGGATGGGCATACTCATGTAGGATCACGCTCTGGGGGGAATTTACCCCACCGATTGGACTGCGACTAATGATGAACTCCCAGTACTGCATTCCTTATTGGTGCTCCTTTTAACGTGGTTCTGGTATACGTTCCCAGCAAGCACAGTTCTTGCTAAACCAGTCACCCCTCGATGCCGGTATTTACCTGATGGCATACTCCGGGGTTGCGGCCGTTGCCGCAGCCTTTATCAACTTTGCCAGCTCGAAAGGCCGAGTGCCATTCGTGTATTCGTTGCTCGCCGGCTGTGTCTTGCATACCGTTGGCATGGGTCTCCTGTCGACCCTGACCTCTGAGAAAGGCTTCCACGCTTCAGACATTGGATACGAGGTTGTCGCTGGTGCTGGAATGGGCTTGATTATGGGAGTCCTTGTCCTGTCGCCGCCTTACATAGTCGAAGACAGGGACCTCAGTATGTCTCACCCATGAGCTATCGAAGACTAATCCCGAACTGACGATTTCCTACAGCCATTGCGACCGGCACCGTTGTCCAGCTCAGATTCCTTGGAGGCGCTATCGGCCTCGCTATCGCATCGAATATCCTGAACGGCCATCTCAGAGATCACTTAGATGGCATTCTTAGCTCACACGACTTGCATCTCTTCCTTGAGAATGTCCAGGAACTTAAATTAGTCACTCCCCACCTGCAAGAGACCGTGAAGGGGATTGTCTCCAGTAGCTACACGACTCAACTAAGAGTCATGATTGGTTTTGCTGGCGCTCAATTATTCGCCGCACTCCTTCTCATCAGGCCAGGCCGTCAGCTAGCAGCTGTACGGAAGCCTTAGTCTATCTTTGCATCGCCTTCGTCTCTTTTTGTTTTGTGTCTTTGTTTTCTGCACAGCATTCGAACGGCGTTTCAATTTCCTTTTGAACAGGTAGTTTAGCCAGTCAAATACATCTCATAACATCTCATTCCAAGCATTCGAATACGTCGCTCAAGTAACAGATTTCTCAATGGCGAATGGCTCTGATGAGGCTGAAGATGTATCATTTCAAGAACTAGCGTCGGGACCAATTACTGACGATATCGTATGAACATTGTATCTCATTCAGGTTCTGTACATACGCAAGGAGAGACGAGGAGATTATTACGATGTCTCAAATGTGTACAGCAGGACCTCCTTCTTCAGGCTCTTCGTTGATTTCTCTCAGGAGGAAAACTGTCGGTAAGCCTGGTCAATCGCGCCCCACCCACCGGGGTGGTTTTCCGAATTAGGGTTCGACTCTCCGTCAAGAACCATCACCTCAGTCTTTCGAGTGCTGATAGAGTACCAAACAAGGTTATCAGGACTGCTAGCCACCCGCATCATGTTGGTTTGACAATCGCCATCGCACTGAGGACCGTAATCTCCAGTCCAAGGACCATTGAAAAACGCCCATGCAGCGCTGTTGTAGAGAAGGACATCCTTGCCACCTTCCACGTTGGTGGCCAGCGACGACCGACACTTGCCATCGCCGCCGTCACACCAGGAGAAATCCGGGTCACCGATCGCAGAATCGGCAGACCAGGGGGCGGGAGCAAGCTGCGAGGCACCGTCACCTTGCATGTAGGGAGTCTCGGTCTGCAACATTCCCGCGTAGACGTTCTGTGCAGAGTGGAAGTTGTAATTGTAGAGCCAGTTGTGCTCGGAGCCGGTTCCTGTCAACCACGTGCCCTTGGTTGCCTCGACGAGAACGCCGCGGCCAGTAGAGATCACGGTGTAATCGGATCCACCGTCCAAGTTATGGTCCGCGGTCCAGCCCCAAAAATTCTCAATGTACACAGAAGACGAGTCCGTGAGGTGGACCATGAGGTAAGCAGCCATGCACTGGGAGACATCCTGTTGGTCACAGTCGTCTTTCACGCTCGTCTCCACAGTCCCGCCGACAGTCACCATGGTGTTCCATAGGGCTACGTCGCCGGGGTTCGTGCCCGCCGCATTGATCTCGAGGATTTTGGCTCCGGGCAGAACCTCGCCGACACTGAATCGAATGTCCTGGACTTCGAGGACACCAGTATCACCCGCCTCACCCAGCTGAACAACGGTCTTCGGGTTCTTGGAATCCTTGAATGCATCGCCCATGGCGGTGATGACAGCCCAGGCTTCACCTGCAATGCGCGAGTTGATAGGGACCTTTAGAGTATCCTTCACGACGTACACACCGTAGGGGAAGTAGGTAATTTTGCAGTTGGCAGCATTATCGGCAAGAATGGCATTCAACGACTCCACGTCGTCAGTGGATCCATCACCCTTGACCGGGTGAGCGCTGACACTTTTGACGTTGACGACCTGGTCGGAAGCATATTCCGCATAGGTGGGCTGGGCGCGAGTGAAGTATTTCCCGTTCGACAACAGCACATCTGGGCGGCTGGTGGTGAAGTTCGATCCTGTTTCGTATTGGCCGGGAGTCACGTTTCCCCAGACCCAGGTGTCGACCTTGTCGGTAGCGGCAAGCTTGACGTTGTTATTGCTATCGACAGCAATATCGTTTGTGGTGTCGTGGACCAGATTCTGGATGACGATCTGGCTGTTGCGGTTTCCGCTATCATTGGAAGAGTCATGGAACTTGACGACAGTGCCGGAATTGGTGGAGTTGGAATCAAGCAGCACAACGCTTCCCAACCGATTGCCGCTCATGTCGATGCCCAAGCCGACAGTGTCAAATGTGGCACCCTGGAGAAGAGCAGTCCATCCTCCAGTGGCTTCAAAGGCGGTCGTGCAGTCCTTGAAGTAGATGTTTTTGAAGTTCACTTGCTGGTTAGAGTTCTTGATGCCCACTTTACCACCGGTAATTTGGACATCGGTAACTGCGATAGTCGAACCGCCCTTCAGGTCGATACCAGTGTGTCCAGTAGAAGAATCAGGCATGTTAATCTTGACATTTGTCAATCCAGAGCCCTGGGCAACACCCCATTGCAGAGCAGTAATCTCTGTACCAGCGTCAATGGCAGTAGTATCGATAACCACATTGCGCAAGAGAGTCATGAAAGTGGTCTCGGGTTGATAATCAGCGTCGGAGCCATTGATGAGGAGATTGCCATTAAACCCAGATGACGCTTTCAGCACAGGCGGGTTAAGTGGATCACCGGTGATGACAGTACCGACCCGCAGCTTCAGGGTGCTCCCCAGCTGGTAGGTTCCTCCAGGAAGGAAAACCTCAGCAGGGTATTGGGTGACACCAGAACGTTGGCCATGGGACCCATTGTCGTTAATAGCATTCTGGATGTTGCCGGTTTGGTCACCAGAGCCATCCGCTTTTGCATCGTAGTCCTGCACATTGCGCCAGACAGGATAATTGGGGTTGGAGACACTGGGGGCGTATCCGCGAGCATCTCCAGTGTGATCCTGATCCAACATCCAGTACGTTGACGGGGAAGAGCTGGTAGGCCCAGTGCACGAGGCTCTCTTCTCGATTCCGCTAGAAAGCAAGATCAGCAACCATCCCCGCAAGGATTATTGAGTAGACATAGCGAAAGGATCAACAGACTTTGGAGAAAGCGGGAGTGCAAGTCCAGATGCAGAAGCAACGATGGTCGCCGCAGCGGACCACAATAGAAGATCTCTCATTGTAAAGGAGCGTTGTATCTATATTCAGAATTGAAAAGAACGTATGTACTCAAAGAACGAAGTGGGATTAAGGGAAATGAACGGCCTTGAAACCTCCCAGGGTTTTGCACCTCGTCATCTACTTATATCAGGGTCTAGTTCTACTTGCTCAGGTCCTGCACTCTCGCAGTGCATTTCCCAACATGGCGACCAAGAGCGCAGATCCCTGGGGGGGTTCGAGACGAGCCAATAACGGGGGATTTCTGGGGCGATTGGGGGCAGCGATGGCTGCAGAAATCCTGGGGGCCAGAAACCCGATCAGGAAAATGGTTTTTTGATACTCCACCCTCTCCGCTGGCCAGCCCCAACTAGTGTGGACTGTGATTGGCTTGACTGGAACTATCAGCATCATCTTCCTGGAAATACCCCTGAATGCGACCACGGAGTCCCGCGGAACGAACCTCGTGAGATCAGGTTACAGGGACCTTGGCGATGTCAATGGGAACTATATGCTTTAAATAGAGTGCTCTACAATATTGCAGTCTCCATTTACCGTAAACGTCTTTGGCGCATGGCTTCCAAGTTTTTCTTGAATCGTCATATACAGTCTGGCCCACTCCCGGTCTCCATAGTTCGATCCGTAACTTTGTTCTTCATAGTCTCCAAACAAATTACCGCTTGAAGAACTGGTTCTCTGGCCTCGGAAGGCCAAAGTGCTCCCGTAGAGTCGAGCCAGTATAATCTTGGCGGAACAGTCCTCGTCGCTGCAGCTCTGGAATCAACTTCTCCGTCACCTCATCCAATCCTTGAGGCAAGAAAGGAAAAGTCACCGTAAACCCATCCGAGGCCTCCTCCCTCAACCAAACCTCCATCTCATCTGCAATCTCGCTAGGCGAGCCCAGAAACGCAAGCCCGCCCTGCCCACCCATCCGCTGCGCCAACTGTCGCACCGTCAAACCCTCCGTCTGGGCCAACTTCTCCACCGACTCGCGACTCGTCTTACTTGCATTTGTCTCCGGCAGATCCTCGGGCAGTGGCCCATCAGGGTCCAGCCCACTTGCATCTGTCCCAAGCGCAATACTCAGCGAGGCAATCGCACTATCATAGTGCACCAAACTGTCCAACTTCAGCCTCTTCACCTGCGCATCCTGTTTATTCTCACCCACAATGACCAGCGCCGCAGGCAAGATCTTCAGCCCATCACGCTGCCGCCCCGCCTTCTCCACCCGCCCCTTCAGATCAGCATAGAGCTCCTTCGCCGACTGAATGTCCCGCGGACTACAAAACACCACCTCTGCCGTCTCCGCCGCCAGCTGGCGCCCAGGCTCGCTCTGCCCCGCCTGCACGATCACCGGCCAGCCCTGCGGCGGCCGCGCGATATTCAGCGGTCCGCGCACCTTGAACTCCTCCCCCTCGTGGTTCAGCACGTGCAGCCGCTCAGGTTTAAAGTACTCTCCGCTCTCCACGTCCCGCGTTAGCGCGTCGTCGGCAAAACTATCCCACAGCCCTGTCACGACGTCGTAGAACTCGCGCGCCCGCTTGTACCGGTCCCCGTGCACCATGTGCTCGTCGAAGCCGAAGTTCTTGCTCGACTCCGGGTTGCCTGTGGTGACGATGTTCCAGGCTGCGCGGCCGTTGGAGAGATGGTCGAGGCTGGCGAAGCGGCGGGCGACGTGGTAGGGCAGGTCGTAGGTGGTGCTTGCGGTTGCGGCGAGACCGATCTTGTCGGTCACGGCGGAGAGGGCGGAGAGGAGGGTGAAGGGCTCGAAGGAGGTGACTGTGTGGCTGCGCTTGAGGGCTTCCAGGGGCATGTTGAGCACGGCGAGGTGATCGGCCATGAAGAAGGCGTCGAACTTGGCGGCTTCTAGCTTCTGGGCGAACTGGACAATGTGCTTGAAATTGAAGTTGGCGTCCGAGTAGGAACCTGGGTATCGCCAGGCGCCGGTGTGAAGGGAGACGGGCCTCATGAAGGCTGTGAGGTGTAGCTGTTTCTTCTGGTCTGCCATTTTGGGTGCGTTTATATGAAGTCTACCAGGTATATTGGTTGTTCCTTATTGACTGCTCCGAGAAGCGAAATTGATAGGAATTATATACCCCGCCATGGCTGTACGTGACATTTATAAGCTTTGTTTAATAATCTCCGGTATGGCCGGGCTCCGGGGGGTTGAAGCTATGGCGTGATTCTAGTAGGCATGTTGCGCAACCGGGATGGGAGGTGTAGCACGCCCAACTGCAGTCTCACCCCGCACAGATTCCAAGCTCGCGTTGCTCCCTATTTGTAATCAAAGTCAGCGCTGCCTCAGGATAATGTTTCAAATCTGAAATAAATGCACACTCAGCTGGGGCGACAAATTGGTGGAAGGATTGCATCGTTAGCAGCCAAAGTGCTGCTGATCACCGAACGCTTATAGGAAGATGTCTTACAGTCTCGCAGGAGCTATAAGCACGAGGATCTTTGAAAGACCATACCTGATGCAGCATTGCTCGAGCTCTGCTATTATTCATTCATTTATCAGCTAACTTGCTTACTCAGGACTCCTTGGTATGACAGGCAGGTGGTGTAGAAGATTTGAGTACAAGGGGAATAAAGAAGGGTAAGGAGATGAAGATGTCAAAAGCTGGACGACCTTGAAATTATCCCCTTTTGGCGTGAGTTTGATTTCTACAGTTGGGCACGAGGCACTATGGCTGGTGTAAAGTTCTCTGACTGGGCGTAGACTCGTGGTCGCGTAGCATTGTGAAGCGGCCGGGACGAGGTGCTTTTACTACACCATAATAGCCAGCCTAATAAAACAACTAGGAGGTCCTTCCAGCTTTGGACGATCTCTAGAAGGGCATGCTTCTTCATTTACTGTTCACAAATACTACTAGCAGGACAACTACCAATCAGAAATCACTCCTAATGCAATACGTGTTGGATTGGGTAATTTATGAAGCACAAAAACTCAGAGACGAAGCTCTGCCACCAGCGCCGGGCACAAGGCCCCCACAAAGTTAAGGACTCCGCCAGATGGAGAAAGTCGAGAAATACAGAAAGGTAGATGAGAACAATTAGGCCCGTAGGCTTCGGAGACAGATGAAACCATGTGAAAGGATACACAATAGAGACATGGGTTGCCATCGGCCCACTTCCAAGGCCCAACTGGAGAGAGCCTCAGTCATGAGCAAAATAGACCCAGCTAAACCAGGGGCCGCGGATGGAGCATAGTCGATGACGCAAGAGAGTACAACGCTGAATCTTGATCGTCGTATAAAAAGATGAGAAGGCCATAATCAATGGATTGCCTCCGGGCTGTTGATGCAGTACAGTCGCTTTGGATTTGGATATGATGGATGCCGGGGCAAACATTCAATAGTACAGAGAAAAGAAATGATGAGTCAAACGAGCGGACGACCGCCAAGGAGGCCAAAGCAGACTGCTAAATCATTGCAATTGCAGCAGATTGAGCAGTACTGATGCGATGATGCAAAAAACTCCACGTGATGCGGGCATACCGATGCCGAGGGTATTTGTTATGCGAGCGAGCCAAGGTGGAACCATTGGCAAGGGCCGTACGTAATTATTGGGAAACTGATATAAGGGAAGGGGCGCAGACCGGTAAAGCCAGAAAAAGAAAGCCAACACTAAATCAGGTACGCAGTGAGAATTGTTCGAGATCATGGCCAAGTATGATTGGTGAAACCACATGCAATTGTCAAGATCGCTTTGCCAGGTCGTAAGTTTCTTTAAGTGGTCTTTGGATCTCGAAAAGCAAGGCATCGAGCTCAGCCCAGTTAGCTGAGTTTTGCGCGAAGCGGCGGTGTTTCCTGGTGAGTGTATGCTCCTCAAAGTCGTCAAACTTGTCCCGACAATTCTCACAATATCCAGGTTTGGGATCCCGGCGTCTCTCGGGCTTCTTGGGCAGTTCTTGTGATTCCTCACGACGGCGCTTAGTTCCAGCAGTGAAATTTTCAGACGCATTTGACTTTGCGTCATAGCCTTCGCCATTCTTGTCCGTTGCGGAGGTTTTAGTGCACTGGTTACTTCCGGCTTGTGTTCCTGCAGACGCACCCGGCCGCTGAGGAGCAGCCATGGGTCCCGGAGGAACCATCCCATTGCCCTTATCCAAGACCTTTCTCTTCAACCCGTGAATCTCCTTGCTCAGACCTGCCTTTGCTCCTGGTGCAGCGGCAGTAGAAGAAATCATTTGGGAGCGAATTGCGGATGTAATGTTAGATGGTTGAACTCCAGAGGCAGCGGGTTCGCGTCCGGTGTAAAAGGGTCCAGTGCGAGGGATGTGAGGAGGAATGAAGCTCTCGGAACTCTTTCGCTCACGGCCTTCTTCGGTCAATGGCTTGCTTGAGTTTCCGTATCGGCCTGACAGCGGTTGTTCTTCTTGCTGTTTCGGCTTGCAGAGGTCCAAGACAAGCTTGACATCAGTGTCCTGTTCCGCAGTCGTTGTAGGGGCTGCGTTAGCACTGTCTGCTTTCTCGCGGGATTCAGCAGCTGGTTTGGCTTCCTTCTTAGCTTTTTGCGTGTTACGCGCTTTCGGTCGATCATAGTCCTTTCGAGTGGGAGGCTCATCGATGAATGGACATTTCCCAAGAGGTGCGCTTCTGAACTGTGGCCAAGCTCCATCTACACGCCGAGCAACACGGGGATATTCTCGAATCATCACGGGCTTGGTCTTTTCGTTCATGTCGTGAATGTAGATAAATGGGCCCTTGAACATAAGCATTTCCATTGAGGACAGAGGATCACGATCCGACGGCCCGTTCAGCAGCTCCTGTCGAAGAACACGAGAAAGATCGGCGTCTCCCCGGCCAGTGGTGGCATGGCCAGCATTCTTGCCTCTGGACGCGTGATCATTTTGGCCGCCAATGTCATTATCATTAATGGTGGTGATCATTCGTTGCAGCTTCTCCAAAGCCCAAATCTTCATATTCATCTGGCGAGCTCTCTGCAGAACATCCATGCTTCCTTGATCGCGAGTGTTTGTTCGGAGATAGGTACTGTACGGGTCGTGCTTGTCGAGCAGGGACGGGTTGACTGTTTGCGAAGTACTCTCTCCGGTAGTACCGGATGCTTCCAATTCGGTTGGACTGGTAGTAGCGGTTTCCACGGCAGGGATTGGGCGAGAGGTAACGACGTGAGTAACTAAACGTGAAAAGAATTTTTCCTCACTCTGTGAGTCTCAGTTAGCAACAGCTTCCTTATACGTAAGTCACAAACCACATGGACGCGTAGTGAATGAAGACTCGATGCGGAAATAAGAAAACGGGATAGTTAATACTTACAGCTCCAAGAGCGACAACCTGTCGCGAAAACTTTCGTCGAACATCCTCAGGGATGCTGTCGAAGTAGAACACGAACTGAGGGAAAGCTTTGCGGTAGTGCTTCTGCCACTGACGAATGGTGTCCAGAGTATCTGCGGAATGCTTTTCACCTTTTGCACCCCTCACATGTGAACTACGATCCTTCTCACGAGCAGCAACCAGCTTCTTCTCGAATGCACTTGGGTTCGAATGATTGGAGCGTTTGGTGAAGAGCTTCGAGTCAGTGCCATTTAGGACCGTAGGGCGGCTTCGTGCGGGCGACCGAGTTTCCTGTTCCTCCGGCTCCATCGCCTGCTTCTTTGCTGGGGGCTGGCCATAAGGGACCTCGAGCTGGTTTGATCGAACACGTTTGGCAGGGGAGTTTGATACGTTGGCGAGAGGGCGACGGGACGCCATGTTCATCGAGGGTCGGGGGAGGGCGGAACAAATACAGCAGCCATCAAGGGCACAATCCTTCAGGATCGAACGCGTAGAAGCTGGTATTAGAGATTGGGATATCTAGTCGAGGGAGGGGTATTTCGAGGTCAAGCACGCGACGTTCGACACGTCTTTGCAATGCTCGAATGGTATCAGGGGGAGTTCATGGTAGCATGAAAGGGCATAAAAGAGAGAATACTAGAGGAGGGAGCTAAGAATTGAAGCTCGGAGGTCTTGGGGTGGGAAGAAGTGGAGGAAGAGCTTTGGGGTAAGAAAGGAAGAGACAGGGCAAAGTCGTGTGGTGGAGCCGCCACCGTTTGTTTTGGGCGTGCGCCGGGACAACCACTGGCGTCGCGCGAAGCATGAACATCAACAACTACATTCTTCCTATAGGCGCGACGTGCCATCCGCCGTTATGATTAATACCTTTTAGCTGAATTCAGTCTTTACGGTGGGTGTCTATTTTGCTATAGATTTCTTTAATTTTCCCTGAGATAACCAGCCATTTGGTGCTTATTCGTACCACCTGCCAGCCACTCGAGGGCCCCCCACCCGCCACCGCGAAGTTTACACTAAACAAACTAGCCATCCTCCGAGCTCGTTCTCCACAACAGATTACAGATCCAATATTCTGCTGATCAGCAATAATAATACATGGATTCTTAAGGGTATCTGCAGACTAGTTTACATATCTTCAAGGCCCTAATCACGAAGGGCCTCGATATCGTCAACCTAGGGAAAAAAGTTAGTTTGGAACGACCGATTTTGTGCAAGTCATGACCAACCTCTTTGACGGCTTCGGGAGTTAGTACGATAGGGTGATCATCTCCCACGCAGACACTGTCTTCTATGCGGATTCCAATGCCTCGGAAATGAGCAGGCCATCGCTCGTCATCGGGGACGTAAATACCACTAAGCCTGCATTAGTGATGTCGGATCAACTTGATAGGTGGGGTCAACGCACGGTTCAATAGTAATACACTGTCCAGCTTTCAGAGCGTAGCCCCTAGAGTAGCCAGGGCAGTCGTGGACATCGAGACCGATATAGTGGCCGAGGTGATGGGGAAATAGAGTGTTCATGGCCTGATGTCGGAATTAGCGATGGTTTCAAGGAACGCTGCAGAGACTCCATACGCTTCCAGAAACGTCAAATCCAAGCTGCTTCAGCTGATCTTTGAGTCCATTCTCTGCAATGCTATGCAGTTTGTCGAGGGACAGGCTTGCGCTTTCGCGACAAAGAGCCAGACAACTCCGATGCACATTTAACACGGCATTGTATAAGTCCCGCTGCGGGTCGGTGAATTTTCCATTGACTGGCCAAGTCCGGGAAATATCGGAAATGTATCCTCCGTATTCCTACTGGAAGCGTGAGTTCATCATATCCATCAATCGCGTCGAGGTCGAGATCGAGAAACTTACGCCGCCGCCATCTACAAGCACCAAGTCTCCTTCTCTAACGCACGGTGTTAACGCCTGGTATTCAACCAAAATGGCCACATCAGCTTACCTCAAAAGGTCATCGTTCCTAGTGTAATGAATGTTGAGTGCATTCTGCACTAGTTAGCCCCGATCATACAAGGGGAGTTTTATAGAGGCCGTACCTGGCCACCCGCCACTACAGGGACAAAGGCACTTGTATCACAGCCGTTGAACTTGAACTTGTATTCCAGGTATGAGCAGAGTTCTTTTTCGGTGGAAAAGGCTTGTCGCATCGAGTCCGTGAAAGATCGACCGGACGCCTGGCCGAGCAAGCGCAAATGGACCACTTCATTTTCAGACTTGAATACCCGCATCTCGTTGAGGATTGGCTTCAGAGGCTTCACTTTGCGGTGGTCAACGAACTTCTTCAGTTTTTCTGAAGCAACAGTTGGGCCATAAAGATAGCGGTGCAGTGATGACCTCGATCCATCGAATGCGGGAATGTCTGAATAGACTTCGGTAGCTTTCGCGACAATCTTGGGGAGGATATCTCCAATGTTCTCGATATTTCCGGTCTATTCGATAGAGAGGAGGTTAAAAGTGTCAAATACACTCACAACACAGGTCAAGGGTACATACCTCGTCCGCATTGAAGACGTCCTGCGCTGCCTGGGTGCCAGACCGGGCTCCATCCCAAAGTTCGGCCTTGGGATCCTTCTCCCTCACATAAAGATGAAACACATGATTATCTCCAGAACCGTCATTTACGATAACCGCCAAGGCATTGGGTTCGTTGAAGCCTGCAGAAGCAATCTTGATCAGCCCATGCATAGGTCAGATGCTGCCTGTCTACCTTACCGGTTAAGTAGAAGAAATTGGACTCCTGACGGTATTCATGGAAGATTCCTGGCGCGCGGTATTTCACTTCAGAGGCAGCAAGGATTGCAACAGCTCCCTCAGGAAGTTTGTTAGCAAGCCGAGATCGGCGCTGGGCGTATTCGAGGGCAGTAATTCCAGGCGTGACTATAACTCCGGTTAGCCGATGCGTTGAGGCGGGATTGCATTTAGAAACATACGCTCTCCAGGGCTCAAAATATGAGGATGTGTTTCATGCACGGGCTGTCCGAATTTGAGTTCCGCAGCTTGGACGGAGGTAGAGTATGCCTTGCGAAGAGTGACTTGCTTGCGAGTCAGTGAAGAGCATGGCGAGATGAAACGATATGAGGGACGCAGTTTTAGTGCACATTGGCGCACGAGTGCTCTGCATGTCGCCATGCTTGGAGACTGGAGAAATCGCGCGACTTGGGACGTGATCTTTACTCCGCGGGAACTGCCCATCCTTGGTTTATCGCGAGGTTTATCCGTTTATCCGGGCGGTGTGGACCAATCGCTGCACGGCTGTTCAAATCCATGCGATGAGGCTCGAGAAAGTCTATGATGTACGGATGGTTGTTGTCCCCGTTTGGTATTTATGGCAAGCAAAGGGTCTTGTCATAATACCTCATGCAACGGACTAAAGGCTATACTCCCAGCTTTAGTGGCACAATGTTGGGTCAGCAAAAGTATGTCGAGACTCGAAGTATATTGTATTGTATTCGAGTTTTCGAGCCACCATTGCAAAATTTGAAGGCTATTACCTCTAGAGCCATTTTGAAGTTGCTAATAGCAGTTAATTATTCTCGATCTTCCCCAATATTTTGGCCTACTTGTAACGCATACGGATCCAGAATTATTCATACCTAGCCATCCATCGAGTCTTGGGTTGTAAAGCACAATAAGCATAGGGAGACAACCGTAGCGCAGTAAATGACTTGCCGTCTGTGGCCGCAGAAATATTCGAGCATGCATTAGAGCAACTATTAGAAGAAATATCAGCCTTTCTTCTGATATCTATGTTGCACCTGGCATGGTGAAATTTAGATCCGAGTGTTTCCTTTAGAGCCGCAGATGGAATTTGCCTGAGGATCGACATTCTTGATCTCCGCAGCCCCGCCATTCAACGTTAGCAGCCTCTTCCCTTTACAGATTTCCTCTGACAGAATATCCTGTTGGTTAGACATGGCATCTGCTGCCAGAAATGCCGCTCTATCTAAAATTCCACCGGCGGATTTGCAGTCCTTCTCGGAATATTTGAAGAGCTGCCGGCGTATCATGGCCTTGCTCGGTGCTGGCCTATCCGCATCTTCAGGCCTTCCTACATTTCGTGGGGCAGGTGGCCTCTGGAGGTCCTTTGATGCGACCTCCTTAGCGACCCCTGAAGCTTTCCAACGTGATCCAGGTCTAGTATGGCAATTTTACAGCTATCGTCGGCACATGTCTCTTCACGCCGAACCTAATAAGGCACACTACGCCCTTGCCGAATTATCGCGGAAGAACAATGATTTCCTTACGCTTTCACAGAATGTTGACGGTATGCATAACTTTTTTCCTTCGGATCTAGGGTCTGCGTTTCTCATCCTCAAGGTTTCTTGTACTGATGCGAGCCCCCCTTGATCTAGGCCTATCTCAAAGGGCAGATCACCCTTGGAGAAGCTTCATCTGCTCCACGGCTCTCTCTTTACTGTCAAATGTACATCTTTTTTCTGCAATTATTCTCGAGAGAATGATTTCACAGATCCTATTGTCCCAGCGCTGGAAATTCCGTTGAAAGAATCCGCTCTGCAGAAAGCCTTTGGGCATAATAAACCTTCAAAGGAAGATGAGCTCGATATTTCCGACGAAGCGAATCCGATTCCAGAGCTGACCCCGGCAGAACTTCCCCATTGCCCTAAGTGCGATGGTCTTCTAAGGCCTGGAGTTGTATGGTTCGGAGAAAATCTTCCTTCTGATACCCTTAATGCCGTCGACAGGTGGATCGAGGAGGCTCCAATCGATCTGATTCTGGTCATCGGTACAAGCTCACGAGTCTGGCCTGCGGCAGGTTATGTTGATACGGCTCGCAAACATGGGGCTCGCGTGGCCGTGATCAATATGGATGCTGGGGATATCCCGGGAGTGAACGGACTAGCAGAGGATGACTGGTTTTTTCAAGGTGATGCTAGTGTCATTGTTCCTGAGATTCTAAAAAGTGTTATTGGGGAAATTTAGCTAGTTATCGTCATCACTTGAAATGAGACTCGGCTTCGGTAGGTTCTCTTCTTACTTTTGGGTACTGGCCCGTCACCAACATTGCAAGAGACAAGGGAGTGCATAATAACTTCAAAATAATACTATTCGTCAGATTATAGCTCGATCTATATCCAGGAAGTGATTTGATTTTGTTCGCCAGGGGCTTGATGCCTGAGGTGGGCGGGCCCCGTTGCTGGGGAATCCGGCGCGTCCAAAAACAAAGCGATAATAGATAACGCTGCCATCCCACATCTTTTTCTCAAATCACCCCGCCCTTCACGACACATTCTGGTAAGTGAGTCCTCAGCATATCTATTGGTACGCTTCAAGACCCCTCTCCTCAAACGAGCTCTTCGCTCTATCTTGTTCTATGGGAGAAACAGATACCTAATCAAAATTATCTTCAAAAGCGAAAGCTAAAACCATCTTCTCGACTTCTAGAAATCTCGACATTCCACTCTCCGCGTCGACCGAGCAGGGGCTGTATCCTCCACATTCTTGGCCACTATTTCGTTCATCTTCATCACATCTAGCGGCTCGACTGACTAAACTCTTGCCCCGCTAGACGCCCATCCACCATAAAAGGCACCAACACCTCAACCATGGCCCGAGAAAGTAGTGCCCCGAATGAGACTGTCAGTCAAGAACGATCATCTGCGACCCCTCGCAAAACAGGCACCAATGGACCAGAATTTGGCAAGCCTTCGCCCATCGGTCAGCAGCAATGGCGGCCCAAGCCTGGTTCCAACCACCCTTTCAACATCCCCAAGTCCAACCAGGCTCGTCCGGAGCACCACCGCCCTGCCAACCGACCTCAGCAAACAGCTCAACCATACCATGGACATTTAAGCGGGGCTGTTCAAGCTCCTCGAGCACCAAGTGCACATACCGGTCCATCCCAAACTACCCAAGCGAAGCGCAGTGAACCATTCGATCCCTTCAAGCCCGTCCGCCCTTCCGCATACAACGACACTCGTACTGCTATAGCTCCAGGTGCAACTCCGATAAAGCGCCCTGAAAATGTCACATGGTCGACCCCCCGTGCTCCGAGGGCACTTTTCTCGTCAAAGCCGGCAGCTGCGAAACCATCTGTTCTCCAGAGCTTCGTCGATTTGACTCGGGATGCGAGCGACACAAGCATTCAGAGTGGACGCTCTGTAGGCCAGCGATCAGAATTTGGTACTGGGGACATCTATGGCTACATTGATTCCGAGAAAGCGAATGAGAACATTAAGGCTCTCCTTGAAGGTGCATTTGAAGATGAGGAGGAAGAAAAACCCCGACCAAAGGCCAAAGGGAAGAACAAGAACAAGAAGAAGAAGAGCCAGAAGCAGCAGAAAGCTGAGAAAGCCGAGTCTGCGGTCAAGGCTAAGAAAGATGATGATATCGATGATTTGGCTGCTCAGCTTGGAGGGGTTACCGTCGACGACAAGATCTCTGATTCCGAAGCAAAAGAGCCACAGAAGAAACTTAAGAAGCCAAGTGGTGAGAAGGAGGATGCTCTATCACATGACGAGGCCGAGGCTGAGGAAGAAGAACTAGAGGAAGATGATGAGGAAGGGGAAGAGGAAGATGATGAGGAGGACGATGCGATCGTCGAAGGCTTGAAAGTGACTCTTCTTCCTCATCAAGTTGAAGGTGTCCGCTGGATGTGCGACAAGGAAACTGGCCGACGTACGACTAAAGGAATATTTCCTAAAGGCGGAATTCTAGCTGATGATATGGGTCTGGGTAAAACCGTCCAGGCTATCTCCCTGCTCCTCAGGAACCGCAAATCACATAACGAACACAGCGATAAGTCAGACGATGCGAGCGTACGCTCAAGCAAGAGCACACTTGTTGTCGCACCACTGGCCCTCATCAAGCAGTGGGAAGCAGAAATCAGCGACAAAGTCGAGAAATCTCACAAGTTGAGTGTCTGCGTTTACCATGGCACGAATCGGGCGAAGACATCAAAGTCCCTCGACGACTATGATGTTGTGATCACAACATACGGAACTCTTACGTCCGAATCCGGCACAGCTGCAGCGGACAAGGCGAAGAAGACTGGCATCTTCTCTGTACACTGGTATCGGATCATCCTCGATGAGGCGCACACCATCAAGAACCGCAATGCAAAAGCTACCCAGGCTGCTTACGCCCTGGATGCCCAGTACCGCTGGTGCCTGACTGGTACACCGATGCAAAACAATTTGGATGAACTTCAGAGCCTCATCAAGTTCCTTCGAATTAAGCCATACGATGACTTGGCTGCTTGGCGTGATCAGATTACCAGACCGCTTGCCAACAACCGGGGCAACCTTGCCATCCAGCGACTACAAGTGTACCTTAAAGCTTTCATGAAGCGCCGTACGAAGGACGTCCTCAAATCAAATGAGACGAAATTGGATGGTCCGGACGGAGAAGAGAAGAGCTCTAATGGGTTCCAAATCGTCAAGCGTGAGGTCATTCGGGTAGACGCCGACTTTATGGACGGAGAAAGAAAATTCTACCAGCGTCTCGAACGACGTACCGAAAACCGCCTCGAGGAAATGATGGGCGGTGACAAAGTTGATTATGCCGGGGCTTTGGTTCTGCTGCTGCGTCTTCGTCAAGCTTGCAACCATCCTGATCTAGTAAAGAGTGATCTTGCCGGGGACAAGGCAGACGTTCTTCTTCAAAATGGCAATGGCAGAAACGAAGCCTCTAAAACCGAGCAGAAGGACCTTGATGATGTGGCTGATCTTTTCGGTGCGCTAAGCGTTTTGACGAAGAAGTGCGATGTGTGCCAAAAAGGAGCTCAGCCCGGGCGAAACAAAAGACGGAGCTACTCTTTGCACCGACTGTGAGACCGATCTGAACACCAACTTCATGACTAGAGAGAAAAAGAAGAAGCACAAGTCCAAGAAGCCTCGCAGCAATCGCAAAGAGGCAGAAGTCAAGGCCTCACAAGCCACAGCTCCTCGTCCTCATCGAAACAGGCGAGTGGTCTTGGACAGCGATGATGAAGATGAGGCAGAATGGATTGTCCCCGAAGCCCAGCGCCCAGCTCCCAACTTGGGCAAGGCCGGTGGATCTGACGACGAGGATGCTGAAGGCGGTGGTGATTGGATTGGGTCAGAAGACTCAGATACTGACGATGATCAAATTGATTCGCCATCTCGGAAGAAGAGCAAACCGATCATACTAGATGACTCTGAAGACGAGACAGACTCGGAGACAGAAGAAGACTCAGATGAGGATAACATCTACGAAAACCCCACTGTTGGAGAGAAGGGGGAGCTGCCCTCTACGAAGATTCGTCATCTCATGGAAATACTTCGCAAGGAGGCACCTGACTACAAATTCATTGTGTTCTCTGTTTTTACATCCATGCTTGACAAGATCGAACCCTTCCTACGGCGTGCGAACATCGGATTCGCCCGCTACGACGGTCAAATGAGAAACGATCACCGTGAGGCCAGCCTCAACAAGCTCCGAAACCATACCGGAACCCGAGTCTTGTTGTGCAGTCTTCGTGCAGGCGCTTTGGGACTCAACTTGACAGCTGCTAGTCGTGTGGTAATCCTGGAACCATTCTGGAATCCCGTGAGTGACCCCTTTGAAACACAATTCCCTTGTCACTCCTGACCAATGTTATATAGTTCGTTGAAGAGCAGGCCATAGATCGTGTTCACCGTCTTAACCAGACTGTTGACGTCAAGATCTATCGTATGGTTATCAAGAGCACCGTCGAAGAGCGAATCGTAGCTCTGCAGGACCGCAAGCGAGAGCTGGCAAATGCCACCATCGAGGGCAAGTCAGCCGCAGGCAAGCTGAACATGCGCGACATGATGGCTTTGTTCGGACGCGATGCAGAAAGCCGGTATAATGACGGTGATCAGCAAACCAGTCTGGACTTCAACAAGCCTACTCGTCTTTTGAACGCCGCTGAGGAGCTTATATCTTCTACTTCATCTCTGTATTCTGGATATTCTGATTACCGAGCCAGAGACCGCAAGAACCCATCACACAGATCAACTCCTGATGACTCAGTGTATGGTCGGCGATGGTAAATGAACTTATGTGATCATATTTTCCTTGATATTCGGCGGCCCATCGTGGAAATCGGCGCAGGCGTTTATTGGGAACATGGGGGCCTTAGGGGTGAAATAGTTGAGACTGATAGTGGGTACTTGGGGGCCATGCAGCTAGAGAGGCGTCTTTTTGATCTATACGTTTTGATGACTTCGAATTATTGGTATTAGTGAGACCACAATGGGTTTCCGATCATTTAACCCCGTCTAGTTAATAGTAAGTAGGGCTGTGACAATCACTGTGATACAAGTATCTGCAATGAAAGAAATAAGCACGGGATTTCTCTACTGCCAAAAAGGGCTGCCAGAAAATGCAGTACTTCATCACATGGCTCATGTTTGGTCTGAGTTTGAGACGCGCATGTGATTCTGGTTGATTTTTTGTTGGACTTTTCTAATATATTGTTCATTCAACCCTGGAAAGAAAGAGGGAATCATGTGATGTTGTTTCGCTTATAGATTGCTGTTTGCATTTACCCAACATTCTTCTCTTAACATCCACGACCCGTTCCCTTAAAGTTGCTTACCTCGCCATATTCTACCAAATTAAACTATTCCTCATATTCTCACCCATCAAGAACCAAAAGAAGTCGTGTAATCCCCAGAGGTAATAAAGCTCCTAGTTGCTGTTTCCCCCCCTTTTTCCTTTTCTACAGTCACAGGGACCTTCCATGATGTGAGCTTACTTGAAGAAAGACAGTCCTACTATGGACTTGGACTTGGACCCTTGGGAACGCGTTGGCTCCAGAGACCCTTTGGGAGACGGTGATACCTCATTTTCCGAAATATCTCCTTACTGGCCCCCTATCTTCACAGAAAGTGACAATACCGATACACTGTTGGTGGTAATCCTGGCACAGTTGAACGAGAAAGAAAAAAAGTACTTGGGCCTTTACTGTCAGCACTTCAGTGGTAGAAAGGTGCTTCTTTGGACTCCGTCCAAGAGCATTCTTGAGTGTTTGACAGTGCAAGGAGTCCACCGCGATAGCCAGGCCAATGTTTATGGCCTGGCGCGGCTCGCTCACACTTTGGGCCTCAGATATGATGCTACGGGCTCCTCTATTACTGGGGTAGACGGGCGTACGTTCTTTATGGTTGTTGACGAGAAAGCGAAGGTCGATGGCTTGAGAAAAGCAGGCGATTTTTATGACAGGGAAGGCAATATGCGTGAAATCCCATTGCTTGCGGTCTCTGTCAGAGAAGGACCGCCATTCGCCGAACAGGTTGCCCGGGGAGACATGGAACCCGCCATTCCAGATCCTGAAAATGACTATTTTGGCTCGAGTAGTCTCAGTTTGGAAAAAGGATGGGGAAGTATTCCTGGATTCGAAGCCGATCCGACTCGTCCAACGAACAAGAACAGATGGGGTATCCGGGTAGCCGTGTCTCGACACATCTTTCAATCCAATGGTATGGGAGACCTGAACTTCTCAGATTCGGAGATGCAGAAAACCTGGGACGCACCATTCAGTAGCCTGATAGAGAGGCGTGGAAGCGAAATAGATTGTTTTGACAACCGACTTGAGCATGGAGGAATGATTCTCCACAACCCTGACAGAGGCATCTTCACCGTGGAGAGCCCAGATCTTCCCACCAGGTGGGAAAGCTTGTATGCTGCAATCGGAATTCTCTCTCAACGACTTCCTGCAGAACTGGTTGCAGAGATTTTGAAAGATGTGGACAAAAGGCCAAACAGGAATTTCCCGCGGGGAATCCCTGTGTGGCTGAACCGACAAACTGATAAGCACACCCATATTCTTGTGATGTTTGAAGCAAATGATGATGAGATTCGTTGCATAAAGGACGTTCTCCATCACGCAATCTGCGAGTTTTCAGAGACTCCGGGTCATACATTTGAGTTAATCACCTGGGATCAACACCGCATCAGATCCCGTCGAGACCTGTTCGCTTTCTGGGAAGAATATACTCATTGTGACCCGGATTGGAGACTTGGAAAGCCAACTCTGAACTTGCTTCTAAACTCGCCTAAAGAGAATGACTTGCATGCTCTTCAGTTTGTCATCGGAATGTCCTCGGATTCTTTCCTCGGGAGAGACTCTGGACGTTTTGCACACAGAGATCCATCGGTGTTCCTCCGGGACTTCCATCAATGCTCTGTTGACTGAAGCAAAAATGAGATATGCTGGAAGAACCTTGCTGAAGTACGGTGATAAAAATGATAGATGCCGCACGTTCTGCAGACGTTATGGGGTGTATGGTGCGGAAATTTCCTACAACCCTGATCAACCATTCTGGCATGTTCTACCACCCGCCGAGCCAGATGGCATCGACTACCTGGCCTGTGAAGGGTACCAATTGCGCGGTGAACTATGTGACAAGATATCAGTATACTATGTCTTTCGCCCCACGGACTCTGAGTACTTTGAAGCCCCGACTGAATTCAAAGGGCTGGCATGCTATGCTCCGTGGAGAAAGGAAAGAGATGGGACGCTGGAAGATATCTGGGAGATCGTACTCCGCATCTACATGCGTGAAGATATGGGATTTCATTGTTCGCGCTTCTTTTGCCTGGATCGACAGTCGCTTGTAGACAATACACTTCTCCTTGTCGAGCCTGACTTTTACCTTGGAGGAAAGGCGGTACGGGCTGAATCCAACACCCATCTACAAGGACTTACTGCGCCGAGTCTTTCTGGATTCTCATATGGTCGCATTTCTGCTGATCTGGCGATTTATTACCACCACTCACTTGAAACGATGGAACGAACATTCGATGAGCTTGATCTTATAGGAGAAGGCCAGTTCGTTCGACGAGGCTGGCCCACCCAAGGCGTGTTACCTCCTGATATCCCATGGCGATCTGGCTGGCCTAGGCCAGAGCACCATAGCAGCGGACTGTGGGATATCTTCCAGAGATTTAGACTTTGAGCAAATAAGGCAGAAGTATGTCAACAGATTCCAGCAACGTTCAGGGTGGGCCCTCTACTTCTGAGGTTGGGAGTCAGGGGAAGGACGAAGCCAAGGAAATACTCTGATCTCAGCAATCACGAGGCAGTGCACTCTATAGTCGCCAAAATTCAGAACATGCTCCGCTAGGGGCTTGGGACGGGGTTGTGCAGAAGATAGGTATTCGATGTTCTCATAAATTCTAGACTTTTCCATTGTTCAGCACGTACACTTAATCAAATTAGCGCCGGAATGTAAACCCACGAATAATGATGATTGAGGCAAATAGCTACACGCCAAGGGGCGCCATAATACCTCCGGAATAGAACGCCGGGAGCTCGGCCAGAGAGTTCCAGGGTTCCACCTGCTGCCACCATGAAACCGTGACTTGAACTTGAATTTGGAGAATTGAATGTCTTCTTTTTGCAGCGCTTACGATCTGTAAGTTATGCCCGAAAGTAGTAAAATTCTCATAGGCAGTTGAGGCAAAGAGTATCATCGAAACCCTGTTGCTGGGTATGCTGGTAATGAATGCGGCTTGCATCTACTTGTGATCGGGCTTTCTTGGTACGAAGAATCCGATCTATCCATGAGCCCCTCAAATGCATGATGTAAATGCCACTAAGATTTGGGTTTAGCTTGAGATTAACTTGAAGCTCAACGGCCTTTATTTTCTCAAATTTAGCGGGGGGTATCCCCACATCCACATTTCAATGAGCTGCGGTCCGACACAGGCAAGCTGCGTGATACGCAAATATGTAATGATGGCAGATGATATATAGATCGGTTGAATATGAAAGGCAAAGAGAGTTGTTGAGATTTAAAGACTTATTCATGAGTTGCTCGTCCTGGTACTGCAAAATGGCGTATAATGATAACACTGCCATGCCTGAGCTTGCATTGAATACAGCGGTCTTTCTCCACCTCGTATGATCACTGGGGATTCAAACCCACGGTTCGTCTATTTGCCTCAGATAAGAGCATTTGAAGGGGCTATTCCTTGGCGAACCAGGCGACGTAACCAGCTTGTCAAAAGTATGGGCGCCCGTCGTAGGGACCAAGCAGCCAAGTTTAGTACTCTAGAGGCAACACGTGCTCCTGGCTCACTTTTTTGGCGAATCTCTCATAGAGTCTGCCCCTCATACAACCCACGGAGAGCGGAATATTTAGTTGCTATTCCAACCAACGCTTTCAACAGTGCATGGAATACGTTATTCTCCGTCTCTAGAGCAATTCGTTGACCATCTGCCCCTCCCAATTTCGAGTGGCTCTAGCCTTTGGCTAGGCGGCAGGGATTGCTTTGAGGAATATCTCCCTTCCCCCAAGATGAAAATTTCTGCAAACTAGAGCTCATATAAGAGGCCTAACAGCTGACTCCGTGTGATTAGAATAAACCTATATCGAAGCATCATCCGTGAATCCTCCTAAACCGAGACCTCCACACGCTATGGGCTCGCCGCAAGACTTGGACTATAAACCCGGGTGGGCGATTTACTACAACCATAACGAGCAAGCACCCGATAATGGCAGCCTGGCTCAGGAATCATATCTTCCCAAGTCTATGTGGATCTTATCAGATACCAAGACGGAGCTCTCTACTGTGACGGAGCTCACATCCCCAAGACTGAAGCTGCCTTGCCTTAGTAGTGATGCAGCCGAAAGAGTCTTCCCAATCCGCTCAGTCGTCTCCTTCGACTCTGTGCCGTCTTCTGCCCTTCCCACTCCCTCCTTTGAGAAACAGGACGCAGCATTCCCTGGGCTGGTGGAGGCTTCCCATCAGAACGAGGCTACTAAAGATGAACCTGAGACACAAAATAATACCGCGAATACCCCGGACCAGAGCTAGCTGCGAAGAGACCCAATCACTTGCTACGCCTTCACCGACAGACCAGTTATTCTAGACTGACAGCATCACCAGTCAGGGAGCTTCCTCGACGTATGGGACCGGATGCCACTTTGAAGCGATATGATGAAAGTCCATCTCTTCCCGAATATCTCCAGAGCATTGTTTGCAAGGGTGCGAAGCTCCTAAGGCCTCATCCAAAGCCCACTCCGCAGGATGATAGGACTCCTCTTGTCCACCGATTTGGAGCATTATTGGTTGCGAGTACTTTTGGTGACAATATTCAAGTTGAAAGGGTCAGTGAGAACTCGGCAGATATAATTGGATGTGCCCCCCGATGAACTATTCAAACTACAATCATTTTGCGACATCATGCCGGAGCCAGAAAGGCCAGTGTTCCTTTCTCATGTCAAAACAGTGGTTGGAGAAGAGTTCGATGTTAGCGCAGTGGGATCGGATGTCTTCTCTTTCTCCGTGTTTGATCGTCGCGGCGACGCGAGGAATCTGTGGTGTTCCATGCATGCCAACAAAACTGGGAAGTATATCATATGTGAAATAGAGCCTCCGACTCCAAGTCAGGCTTACCAAGGACATACAAACAACCATGCGAAAGGGAATCAGGGCCCAGCCCTACTTCCTTATTCGACCGGGTCCAGTGAGTCTCAAAAACTATCGTGCCGGTATAGGGCGAGAAGCCAGGTGATCGAGGTACATCGTTGCACCTTCCAACCGATCCAGATATTCACGAATCATATAGCCGAGGGCCGGAGCTTCTTAACGCAGTGCCTCGAATCTCCAAGGATATATCAACCTCACAATCATTGGAAGACCTTGTCCACCATACAACACGTGCATTGCATGAAATGACATCTTTTGATCGTGTGACAGTCTATCATTTTGATGGTGATAGGGACGGTGTTGTGGTTGCGGACTCTGTGGATTCTTGCCTCGGGCAGCAATGTCTAGAAGGACTAGACTTTGAAGAAAGTGTCTTCTCACAAGATCTAAAGAGACCATATCTTCGAAATAAGGTGACGTTGGCATATGAGAGGCGCGATCATGGAGCTCCACTCATTCATCGTGAACCATCCGCCAACTCTGACCTAGATTTCTCACATTGCTACCTTATCATGCCCCCAGAGACGACGGATAGCGGAACTGGGCCTCAGGCCTGCATATCTATTCGTCTAAGCGCTTTTGGAAAATTGTGGGGGTTGATTGTTTGTCACTCCCATAGGCTCGACTTGCGCATCCACCCGCTGGCCCGTAGACTGTGTTGGTTCGTCAGCGAGATTGTCTCTAGCAATATCGAGAGACTTTCATATACGTTGCCTTTTCAATTCAAGGACCAGGCGACAACAGAAGACTTGCATAAGTGCCGGGAGATCCAAACACCATCTGGTGATTTGCTCAGTATCTTTGGGGCCGATTACGCAGTGGCATCTATTCTCGATGAATCAAAGATCATGGGTAAACCGGCAGAATCTCAAGAGATATTGGCTTTGCTTGAGTACTTCAGAGCTAAAGAATTGGGAACGGTCATCTGGTCGACAGATATTCTGTCCGACTTGGAAGACCTAGAGTATCCGCTGGGGTTTCATATCCTATCAAGCCTTCTGTACATTCCATTGTTGCACGACGGGCATGACTTTATTATATTCTTCCGAAGCAATAAAAAGACAGAAAACGAGAACCCTGAGCAAGATTTGAACCATGCACTGGACTGGTCTGCAGCAGAATTCGGGAAGGCCTCAATGTTGTCCCTGCTCTATCGAACATTCACAGATGTCTGGCAAGAGAACGAAGCGACTACGCAGAGTAACCAGCTGATGAGACTTCTTCTTGCGAATTCAGCGCATGAGTTCCGAACGCCCTTAAATGCCATAATCAACTACCTTGAAATCGCACTTGATGGAAATCTCAACCAGGAAACACGCGAGAACCTGTCAAGATCTCACTCCGCTTCTAAGTCTCTGATCTATATCATCAATGATCTCCTCGATTTGACAAATGCAGAGAACGGCCAAAATCTGATCAAGGATGAAGTTTTCAGTCTGTCGGATACCCTGAGCGAGGCGACCGATATTTTCTGGGAAGAAGCAAGACAGAAAGACGTCGATATCCAAGTTGTGCAGCATTCAACACTACCAGCAGTCCTGGGTGACCAGCGCCGCGTTCGCCAGGTAATCACAAACCTCATCAGCAATGCAGTTCAGCACACTTCACACGGAGCTGTCACCATCGAGTCTTGTGTTTTGTCAGAATGCTGGGAGTCGGGCCATATTGCTGTGGAAGTGGCCATCCATGATACCGGATCAGGGATGTCACAAGAAGCGGTGGAGGCTCTGTTCTGCGAATTGGAGCAGGTTTCTAACAAAGAATACATGCAGAAAGCCAGGAATCATGGGTCAAATTCGCCGCCCATGAAACCGAAAATGTGCTTGGACTGGGCCTGGCTTTAGTGGCGAGGATTGTACGGAACATGGATGGCCAACTAAGTCTCAGGTCAGAACAAGGGAAAGGAAGCTGTTTCAAGATCAGGTTGAAGTTTCCTGTTCCTTCAGATGGTGGTGAAGCTCCACCGACTTCAAGAAATGGTTCGAATATGAATATAGCTTCGGCAGACGGGAATGGTCGCGTACGCAATGATCTTGCGAGTGACTTGAGTGCCGGAACCGCGCAAGACGCAAGCACCGACGAAGCGAAACGTGAAACGTACCAGGGGACTGAAAAATCGAGCAAGATTCCTACAGGCGGTTCATATACCTGTGGTGACGAGGTGTTCCCTCGGTCAAAGCAAGTTGATGTAAATGTTGAGTTGGAGAACGGGGAATCTCGAAATCTCGTGATAGGCAGTGGAGGAACCGAAGAAATGATCCAGAAAGGCAAGACGGACGAAAGCCAGGAGATATGCACTGGCCATGCAAATGAAGCATCGCCCAAGGTCCAGGTACAGGGAGCTCTCGACGGCTCTGATGCAACACTCAAGGTGAAGCAAGAGAATGAAACTTCCCATGAACAGCCCGCAGAGCACGGAAAACCTATTGGCGAACCCGTACAACCAAAGCAGCTTCATGTCCTTGTTGCCGAAGACGACCCCATCAACAGCATGATAGTTAAAAAGCGACTCGAAAAATTTGGCTATTCTGTGTACCTGACTGGTAATGGCAAAGAGTGTGCCGCCGCCTATTCCGAGCCTTCAACATCATTCGATCTTATTTTAATGGACCTTCAAGTATGTACATTACTGGTGAAAACTTCCTTTCTAAACTAACAGTTTGAGATGCCGATCGTCGACGGAATCGGCGCCACGAAAATGATACGAGACTACGAACATCAGATGGCGAAGGGAGGACTTGCAGATCAGCAGGAACGATTGCAGAAGCGAATCCCGATATTTGCTGTCTCTGCTACCTTGTTCGAAAAAGACCGACAGGTCTACCTTGATGCAGGCTTTGACGGGTGGATAGTGAAACCGATCGATTTCCAGCGCGTGCATTCAATACTCGACGAGCTAGTGTTTACACCGGCGCGAGACACATGTCTTCGTAAGTCTGGCGTATGGGAAGAAGGGGGCTGGTTCGAGAAATTGGCATAAGCTGAGTTGATAAATTATGATTGAAATGTACTGTGATCCTTTGTACAAACCACTTCAATTCATTTCAAACAAGGGTATGATGATCTAGGAGCGCCAATAGCGATGAGATTAGAAAAACAAAAGTAAAAAGTCGGTATGTGTCATGAGATTAATAGTCATTTGCCAGTCCCATGCTGGAGAAATCGGGAATATCATCACCGCACTTGAACGAGGGCGAGTAGGCCTTACTCGGCATAAAGCCATTCTTCCAAGCTGTGCGGTAGCTCCATTGGGCTAGAGACTCAGTGCGCCAGGTCCAGTAGAACCATCCCATTGCCGTCTCAAAAGTGGACATCTGGGCCTCAGCATACATCTGCAGCCACTTCTTATATGCACTCGAGTATGTAGTAGGGTCGGCGGTGGCTAGATCACAGCTACACGTGCCGTCACTGGCGGTGGGACAATATGCGGTGGTCTCACTGCCGTAAGTGCCTTCCCAGCGAGTACCAACACCAACCTCGTTCAGGTATTCACCGCAGTCAGTATCGGCCTGTGACCATTCTCCGCACATCGTGGGTCCCCAGCCAGTGCTGGTGCTGTTGACGGCCTGAATCATTGGGTACCAGCTGTTGCAGATGAGCTCGATCTTTGCTGTGTGATTAAGGACAATCTCGCCGGTGTTGAAAATGGTGTACTGGTGCGTGTCCAGGTACATGTTGTCAGGATGGTCTTTGAACATATTGTGCCACTTGTTCAAGTTAAGGAATCCATCGTGGAAAACCACTGTCTGGTTGATGCCGTTCTTTCGTACCAGCTCAGTAGCTTCCTGCGTCCAATCCAGAACTTTGTCGACTGGTAAAGAAAGCATCAAGGGTTCGTTGACAAGCCCGTACAAGGTGATGACATTCTTGTACCGATCTTGAGCGAAGAATTTCGACAACTGGTTGTGAACATCAAGAGATCGCTGCCTGTTCAAATCTCCATCTGTGCCGTTAAGCCATCGAATAAGTCCCTGGCGTCCACTGTGGTTCCAGCCATTCTGGCTTCCAGGAATTCCATGTAGATCAAGCTTCACGCGAAGACCATATTTACGGCAATACTCGATGGCACGTAAGAGATACCGCCAGGCAATTTTGGGAACATACGGATCCCCATCGTATGTCGTCACGGCCCAATACGAATACTGAATTCGCACGTGGTCCAAGCCTGCTTCTTGGATCTCTGCAAAATCTTGCTCAGACAGGAACTCCGCATAGTGTTTCTCGATGGTTGTCGATGCACTGGAGCCGAGCGCTGCTGAGAGTGTCCATTCATCAATAACCCCTTGGTTTGACGGCCACCGGTCGAATAGAGACGGGGCAATAAACGGCTCAATAGAAAGCCATCCACCTAGGTTTACACCGCGAATGGGCTGTGAACCGTACGGGAAATTTTTCGTTTAGTGGTGGCACGTTGGGATTTGGTCGCGCTGAATCGTCCCAAGAAGAGTTGAGACCCATGATGTACAGACCACCAACAGTTTCGTTGGTGAAAGTGACGTTAAAACCTTCAGTTTCATACCAAGTCCACGGATCTAGCACCGTTCCCTTGGCATAGCTCTATAATTTAGGTTAGGACGTATAAGATAATCGAATGGGCGCGATTGCGTCTCACCGGAATGCTGTCTTTGCTGATACCATCAAGATTAGAATTTGATGGCTGTGATGAGCTCGAGTCTGATGAGTCGGGATCGTTTGGGCTGTTCTTTTTGGCTTCAATCACAGCCACAGGAATGATAATAGCCAGTAAGGCCAAGATTCCCAATGTCACACCAATGCATATACGCTTCTTCTTTGACCAACCTGCCCAGAACTTCCAGGAAGGCCGCTGCTCGCCATCAAAACTTCCTACCCAGCTTTCTTTGGACCTCTCCCAATCATCTCCCATGGGACTTCCCCCACCTCCTCGACGGCGCACATTCATCTCGGAGCTTCTGCCTTCCTCCAAATATGCCCCTGAGACGACTCTAGCACCAGACCTGTGTCGTGATCCTCGCTCGACAAAGTCTGCGCCTAGAGCCCCTGCGCCAGCACCAGCCAAGGCAGCTTGCTTGCGACGTCGACGCTCTCTGCGATCCACATCGGGATCTCGAGACCTTTCCCGGCGCTCAAATGGTGCAGACTCTTCCTCCAGCTCCTGCTCAGACGCCAATCGAGCCAATGAATCGGCATTGAGCAAACCGGACGCACTGTTCGAAGATTCGCTACTTTTGTGTTTCTTCCTCGCTGCATTAACAGCAGCAACCTCCCTCGCTCCGCTCTCTCTCACGCTCCTTTTCCCTCTGTCGTTCCCTTCTCCGTTGCCTCCTAGCCTCAGCGTCAGGATCGCGATCCGTATCGTCCCTGCGCCGGCGCTGCCCATCCCGATCTCGATCCCGATCTCGTCTCTTGGTCGGCGACGTAGCAGGTGACTCCTTAGCCTTAGACCTCTCCTTTCTTCCTTCCATCACATCCCCAAACATCCTCTCCTCTTCCTCCCTCCTCCTCCGTCTCTCGCGTCTCTCCGCACGCCGCCTCTCCTCGTCGAGATCACTGCCCCTATCTCGTTCACGCGAGTCATACCCGCTCTCCCCCCGGAACCGATATTTACCCCTCGGCCGAGGGGAACCTTCAGAGTCCTCCTCGTAATCTCCACGGATATACTCCCTCTCCCGCCGACGCTCACGGTCCCGTGCGCGGTCCCGCGACGACTCTCCGCGCTCGCGCGGCATCCTATCTCGCGGCCGACAAGACCCGGGGCAATGCTGGCGGTCGCGTGGGCAGACGGTGCTGGAATGTGGCTAGTGCGGTTCAGGAGGCCGATCTTGCCTGGTGTGGAGGGCGGAGTGGAATGTGTCGTGCGAAGGATGGATTGGACGTAAGCCCCGGTTCGGCCGTGTCACATTGGACACGGGGCATCGGTCGGGTTAACAAGTGCTGATTTTGGGCTGCTTGAGAGGGGCTTGATGGGGGGGTTGAGGGGCGCTTAGCGATGGTGTGGTCGATTATATGGAAGTGTTGCACGAGGGGTTTGTTGTTGTTTTCCCTCTTGCGCGTTAGTGCGGGTGTAGCGCGGCCCGGTGGATTTCGGTGGTTTGTCGATGGAAAAATGGAGATATTGACCCGCGAAGGTTGGATCAATGCGATGGGGTTTGATCTGGACGTTGGTGGAGTCTGCGATTGGGGACTTGGGAGGAAATAATGGAGGTTGCCTACAGGTTACTTTGCGCTAATGTCGGACATCCGGGGTTTAGCCGAGAGGGAGTCGCCTGCTCAGCGCAGGGATTCCTCGAGTGATCTACGTTCGGAATAATGACAGGCTGGAGGATTCAGAATAGAAATTAACGTGCCATCGTTCTTTGTTGCTGGTATTTGTTCTGTACATGGAGGGAGATGGACATCGATTACAAAGACGGCCTCTCGCACCTCAAGCATTAAATACATCTTGCTAGCTGCCAACCATGCAGTGAGCTCCAAACCGGTCTAGTTCCAGAGAAAAAACAAGGAAAAACAGAAAATTCGTGTCCGTAAATGAAACAGGGTATGAAAACTCCAAAAATGAGAAACAGACTCGTGTAAAAATAATAATCAAAATGCTTGCCAAGATAGCCGCCTTCATTCAGCAATGCTTCCATCTGTACAACTTGAGAGTAAAAGAAAAAAGAATGATCACAGAATAAGTCAGAGAGCAAGGCAATCCGCAATCGCTGAGTATGGGAATGAACACTGATAATGAATGGACATGATATGCTGCCGCTGCGACTGCCGGGGTTTGCTTGCAACCTAAGGACTGCCAACGAAGTATGAGGATTCATCAACATCGTTCGGGAAAGGTCGCCAAGGGAGCTCAAGACATATGCAAGTAGAATTGCAGACGATAACCACCGTACGTCAATACAAGGTGACGAAGCTGTCGTGAAAAATTTTCGCCACAAGACGATAAAAGCTCGCGGTAAAAGTACCAAGGACCACAAATACACTTGTGATTCTATGCAACGAGGGCATAGGAGACGAATGGATCCACCTCCATGATCTTGGGGGGAAAAGGGTCCCTCAACTGATGATCTGCCTGGCACCCTCCTTGCCTAGAACACCAGGCTCGGTCGGCTTAGGGCTGCGGTCACGGCCCTTCTTACGACTGAGGAAAGACAGCATACCGCTAGAGCCCTTTTTGCTTCCATCGCCTTCGAGGCCTTCAGCCGGAAGTGTCATATTGTGGTTTGCAAGTTCACTCCAGCTTCCAGCTTCCTCCAGCACCATCTGCACACCACCCCCTTTGCTCTGCTTTCGTTGTGCGCCACGGGGCTTCGGGGGTGCGGTAGAGGTCGGTGAAACGAGGGCGGTTGGTTGGGCGGGGAAGATGATGCGCGAGTAGATGGCGAAGGCGGCTGGGGAGCAGAAAAGATGGGTTCGAGATTTTCACTGGCAGGTACCATGTATTCGGTTGGGGGAGGCGTGGAGTTCCGATTGTTCATTTCAGGCTGTGAGAACTGACGGGAGTGAGAACTGGTGCTGGTGGTTGTGGTGGTCGCGATCGGGAGGCAATCTTCGGGGTTTCTGGACGAAAGATCGTCAGTGCCAAGTAGACCAGGATCGACGGGTTGTACGCACGTTTGCGCGGCAATGGCTTCGGCAGCATTGCCCTGATAGTCGGCCGCGGTGTAGTCGAAAGGCTCGAACATCGTCTCAATCAAGCGGTGGAGTTCATCCTCGCGGATCTCCTTCGCAGTGGCATCCTCTCGAAGCTCTGCACGTGGCTTCTGCCGACGAGCACGAGCTTCCAGTGGTGCTTCTTCTAAAAGAAGTTCTTCAAGATCGTAAGTAGCATCGAAGTTGGTCTTATCACTGGAGGGTCGGAACACCGGGGGTATTTCTTTTCGTTCCAAGGCATTGAAATCGAGCTCGGCGAAGAACATGTGGTTTGTGAAACTCTCGAAGCTAATAGCGCCGATTCGGCGGGAACGATCTTTCTCCATTAATGCGCCGAGCGCCCGAAGACACGCTACTGATACCGCAGGATTTGTCACATAGTACTTCGGCTGTGCTTTTTTAATATTTTCACTGAGTGTGTCCTGGCTCCGGCCTTCGAACGGGCGCTAGAAATTTGTGAGTACCATTCCAAGAGGACTCCAATAGGGCTGACAAACCTTGTTATAGATGCACTCATAAAAGGTCACACCTAAAGACCACCAATCGACTTCGAAGTAGTAACCGCTCCCTTCATACACTTCTGGGGCAAGATAGGCCAATGTTCCAGACTTGCTCGTTAGAGGCTTTCCTGGTCGGAAATCTGACGCAACATTCTGGGAATGATGTTAGTTTTAATGGCCATGCCAGAGTGAATATGCCGGACTTACGAAGTCTGCCAAATGTACATGGCCTTCGGAATCCAGAAGCACGTTATCCGGCTTCAGATCTCTGTGAATAATCCCCTGAGAGTGGATATACTTTAATGCACAGCCGAGTTCTGCCATCCAGAATCGGACGGCTTCTTCGGTGAAGCACTTGCGTGAGATGTGGAATCGAAGATCGCCTCCGTTCATCAGGTCAACCACAATGTAGCTGAATAAAAAGATTAGTCATGGAAATCAATAGGGAGAGGTTCATATCCATACATATACTCCATGTCCTGAAAACTGTATCGCAAGTTACAAAGGAATGGGTGGTTCAAGTGTTCAAGCATTCGTCGCTCCCGAATGATGTTCCGAACGCTTTCCGACCGCACGACTGGGAAAAAAATCAGTATGGCCAAGGCATGCGAGTCATTGCAACAAACCTTCTTCTTTCCGAATGTATTTGAGAGCAAATGTCAAGCCGCTATCCTTTCTTTCAACGATGCGAACCTTGCCAAATGCGCCTTTTCCGACCACGCGGAGCAAGCGAAAATGATTAAGGCTAACTATGTGAGCGTTAGCGGGCGTTCCGCTCGTAGTTTGGTGTGTCGCATATTTAAACTCGTGATACATACCGGCATCGTTGGGTGAAATGGGCTTCCCCTGGCTATTTCCCATTTTGAGAGCAATGGGGAGGAGAGAGTTGAATTAGAAGTCCCAGAGTCTTTCTGCCAACATCACTCGTTTCCAGAACGTGAGATTTTGTGTTGAAAAGCCGCAAGCTCTAGACTAATAAGGAAAGCTCCGATAATGGTGAGGGGTCTCACGCCTTGCAGCCGGTGCAAGTTATGCGGCAGAATCACGGAGCGGGGGTGGTCAAGTGGTTCGAGGGTAGAGGCGATAGATGAGCCGACAGAGCGCTATCACGATCAAATGAAGCAAGTTCGACGAAGAAGGGCCCCGCAGGCAGGTATCGAAATAACGACCGGGATTGGCGTGAGGGAGTTCGGGGGATGTATATGGTCCAAAGATGAGGTCAAGTTTCGGGGGCCAACGCAGCCACAAAAGCCCAGAGCGCGCGGGCGCAGGGATTCGACTTCCGGAAGGGCTGATGAATATCCGAGTTCTCAAATATGTCTACTGCTGATTCACGGCCACATGAAACACCGTCTTGCGCTGCAGATGGGGCGAAGAACGAGAAAGGGGAGAGAGAATGGTGAGCGGTCTGCAGAACCTGGCAATAAACGCGGAGCCAATCAGACGCGAATGTCAAAAACGGGGAAAGGGGGTTTCGGCCTGCATATGATCGACGTTCTATACGGACGCGAAATTGGGCCCAAAGCCACGATTCTAGAATGAGCCAAAGCGTACAAAATTAGGCCCTAGTTTTTTTTTTTTTGGTCTTTTTCCCAGTCTTGGTTCTCAGTGGCTCAACGCCACTCCTATGTGACCACGTCAAACTTCGTATCTTCGACGCCAGTGCAAATCCGGGACCCACAGGGCGGAAATGAAGACCAGGTCCTAGGGGCAACCATAACCACATTAGAACCCTACTGCGTACTAAGGCCAGCCGCGGGGCCAAGGCCCAGATGCCCAGATCGGTGTTGCCATGAGTAGTGGCACAAATGGCACTGGATCCAGCAGAGGACAATACACTGCAAGCAAGGAAACAGGAGGGGTGCATACTTTGCAACCGGGCCCACCAATTTCCCTTCCCTGCAGTAGACTTGCATCCTAGTCATTTTCACGCAAGCCTCTGACCTGTCAGATGAGCAATCGCAATCCATTTTCAATACACGGAAGCTATTGGAGAGCAGGTCGCAATTCTGCGACGGGCCATGTTTATGCCGAGCGTACTTATGACCCAGGGTCGGCCCACTCCAGAGTCGGTCCACCTGGGGATCGCGCCAACCAGCGTTCAGCGCCCACCGTGAACAGCTCACACATTTCTTTTTCCGACTTTATCTTCCTCGCCTCTCGTGGCCGCCACGTTGCTTGACCGCCCTTCTAGATGCAGGTCTCGGCTACTTTCGTTGTACAGGAACGGCCGTGGAACACCTGCAGAATCTTCGAAAAGGGCCGAAAATGACCGCTAGCTTCACTTGGCGCATTCAACGGGATTGTCAGATCGCCCGATACGTGAGCCGGGTTCTCTGAAGCGCAGAAATGGAGGTAGTTCGGACGTAGCTCCTACCCATTTGAGTCATTCCACCGGTCTCTTCCCTTCTAACCGTCGGCAATCTGCCCTTCTAGTCGTGTGGGCGTTTCAGCTGCACCACATCAAAGAAGATTTGGTCTAGGCTGAAACTGAAACCGGCTGCTTCTGCCCGTTTCAAGATCTTCTTTGACTTTTGTGGAACCTACCCTAAGTTGAGAGCCGCGGGAGAGTCCTTCCAGCAACGATCTGGCTTGAGCACGCTAGCCCGTATTAGACCATCCCTGGTCGTTTTCGATGGCGCCACAAGAGTCGAAGTGTTCATTGGCCTCCTCCTGCGCATCGTAGTACGCATTACCCTGTAGTATCTGTAGGCGGATATCTATATTTTTTGTCTCTTTTCCATATCCACTGGCGAAATTGTCACCCAAACGGATGTGCCGAAATACGCAACATCAGAGTCCCCGTTGCTCTTTCTCCACATGTTTGCCGGTCAGCATTGGGGTTCCAACGAATCTATCATCCGCCATGATCCTGGCTGGCTTAGCCGTGTGCCCCGTTTAATGTGGGTCGAGGGCATCCTATCCGATGGGGGCTGAAAACGAGACCACGGCCACTGTCAATTGGCTGGATAATTCATGCGATGACAAAAATTGCTGTGTATCCAAGGGCTACTAGTAGATAGCATCAACACAGCCCGGCCCCTAGAACCTGAAAGCGAATTGAAAACGAATTCGTATAAACGGAAAGGCCCCCTCAAGCTTTTTGCAATTTCCGGGGGGCATGTCAAAATAGGAGGCATGCATTCTGAATCCTCCATACGCCTTAAGATTTCTAGATTATGGCTCAATTAGACCCGTGGCCATGGTGACTGGAAACGTATTAGGTGAGGCCAGTTCTCAGGTGGGGATGAGATACCATAGACTCTGCAAGATGCTTCCTGGAAGGGCGACTTATAGAGAACCCATGAGGGAAAGCGCGACGGCATCGACATTGTGACCACTGGCACGGGTCGCGCCTGCCGTCGGATGGAACGGCTCCCCACTCGAGACGTCCATCTACACTGCCTCTTTTCATTCTTTCTCATCCAACCTCAGTTACATGGGAGGGTCCCAGAATGAACAAGGACAACGGACCAACTATGTCGTCCCACTTTGAGCCTTCAATTGCTGCCAGCGATGGCCAGGATAAACCACCGCCCCGCTTTCTGCAGTGGCCACAAAGCTCAATCAACGATACGCCTGGATTTTTGTTCGCAAAGCCCGCTGGCTGTCTGAAAAGCGGGTTGCCAAGAAAGCCTATGATGGCCCTTACTTCCCCGACAATGAGTCTTCCTGAGATCTCGCAGGTGCCTCGCCCGATGGAGGAAACCAGTATATCAGATACGCAAACTTTAGCTGCAAGGTCAGGCGCGGCTGAAGGTCCAGCTCAGGATGTGTATTGTATTCACCTGAATGCCTAGAAACGAGCATTGGGCTGACATTCTTCTCCATAGCTCTTTCTTGTCAACCACGCGTGGCAATTGCAGGTCACCGCACCAAGAAACCTATGCTACAGGGAATCCGCTCCAATGGAAGCCACATAATTTCACGTTAGCCGTTCGGCAATCGCTGGAAAAGACAGAACCAACTGCCCGTGTGGGGTCACAGCCAGATATACAGGGAATCTTTTCCCCGGAGCTTAATGCTGGTGAGAATGAGGTCAGCCCCAAGTTTAATAGGTCATATTTTTTGCTTGCACTGACGGTAAAAGCCTGCCTTACCTTATCCTATCTCCTCTCCATCTGCTAGCCACGAGTTGGGACCCGAAGCAATTGCCCAAGGCTCCGAGTACATCCCGGAGAAGCCTGAGCCTCCGAAGAGGGATCTTCCCTTGAAACGCCCTGCGGGCTCACGAAAGGTCAAGCCAAAGAAACAAAATTTGAACTCCATAAGCCAATCAGACGCGCATCAGCTGACGGAAGACAACTTGTTCGAGCTTCTTGTGAAAAGAATCCGACAACGAGAAGATGATGAAGCCGCTGCTGAAGGCATAAGACGTCAAGTGGAGGAACATAATAGGAGTCTTAGTAAGGAGAACCAAGCTTTACGCTCCGAGTTGAAGGAGCTGGATGCACAGCTACAGAAGAGCATGGTCGAGTCAAGCGATGCCAGGTCTCAGCTGGAAGAATGGAAAACCAAAATCCGCAAATTCAGAACAGTGGTCAATGACCTGGGTCGGGAGTACGATGCACTTCGTGAAGAATCCGATAAGCTGCGCGAGGCCACGATATCCCTGGGGCAAGAGAAAGCTGATCTCAACGTGGAAATTGAGCGCATCAGACTTCACGTTGCCCAGGCCGAAGAGACGGTCGACAAACAGCGGGATCAAATCTTGGATCGCGAGAACAGAATAGCTATGCTCGAGCAGGCACTCTCGGTCTCCAAAGGCCATGAAAACGATTCAGTGTGTCAGATTGAAGATCAAAAGAGGAAAATTGTCACTCTGGAGGCTTACATCCAGAACTACTCGTTGAGTCATGCTAGGCAGCTCAGCACTATGAGAGACGACCAAGCAAAGCTTCACAAAAGAGTTGATGCAGGTTTTGATTTGCTCATCCAGAAAGCAGACGAAACGAAGGATTCCATGATCTCCACAGCCCAGCAAGCCCTCGAGGAATGTCGTTCTTCCATTCAATCATTGACTGAGCAATCCACTTCTCAGCAAATCGATGTCCAGAATTTTACCGACGAGGCTAATCACATCGTTTCTCAGTAAGTTGTGTTGTGCCATGGCAAATCTTGAGTAATTGCTGACATTGGGGGTAGGCTCAATCGGCTATCGGTGCAATTCGCTGAAGGCGTCAATGGGAGCACCACTCTAAACACTAATGCATCTAAGGCTATCGAAGACGGTTTGGGGCTGATTGAGAGACACTTTGGATCCGACTCTCCTCTCTTTACGGAACTTTCTAATTCCGAAAAATTACATGAAAGTTTAACGGGACAGTTTCAGGCTATGGAGCCAAAATTGAACCACCTCGATAATTCAGTAACCAGCTTGATAGGAAATGAAAGGAAACTCCTCGAAAGCCTTGATACATTACGCGAAACACTAGCTGATGAGCAGATTCGGACAGGAAAAGCAGTCTTGGAAGCTGAACTCGCCAAGAGGGCTAATGAGAATGTACAACTTCAGGTCCAGAACTACAAAATCTCTTTCGAATCTGAATTGTTGCAAAAAAGTCTGAAGGAGCAGGAGGCTACCATCAAGAAATATCTTACGGCTATCGATGAGAACAAGGCTAGGGTCCAGGTACTTGAGCAGGAAGTGTATAATCTCACGGCTGAGAAGGTGGCCTTGGGAGGCGAGATTGAGACAACGAAGCTCGAAATGCGGCAGGAGCTGACTCAAGAAAAGCAAGCTTTAAAGGAGCAGATAAAAGCTCAATACGAACCACAGCTTATCAACCTCAGGAAAGACAAACTTGAGCTTGAGGAAGCTTCAGCTGATCTTATTAAAAAGCTTGGCGACATCCAACATGCCTTGATTGACGCCAGAAGGGTTGTTGAGCAACTGCGCAAAGAGCGGGAACTCTTGGTCCAAGAAACCGAGCAGCAAGTTGTGGAACTCACGAAGTCCTGTTCTGAATCCAACGCGCAGCTAGTTGCTCAGACAGGAGAGCTACAGCGATTCCAAGAACTCGATGCCGCTTCTAGAGTTGAGAACAGTAGTCTTCGCGAACAGCTTGAGCAAGCACAAGAAACGATACTTCATCTTGAGCAGAGACCAACCGCTCCAGCTAAGGGTGATGACACACGTGATGCCTCACCAGGTAATGTCATTGTTCCTTTTGCTACAATGGAGGGAAAGCTGTCGCCAACCCCCGCTGAATCTCCTTTTCATGAATCATGCGACTTTGCAATGCTCTTCATGTCAGATGAAGAAGCAGGCGCTTCCGTGCCAGCTGAAAAGGTCAGGGATATTAGCTCACAAGAGCGCAACCTTAAGAGAAGGTCGTCCAATTCTAAGAAAGCGACAAACTCCCCTGATGGCGATAAGCGCACTAATAAAAGCCCTCTTGCTAAGAAAAAGCGCAAAGTCAGCATTTCCGAGGCTCCCAGACAATTGAAAAGTGCTAGGGTTTCGCCGAGTGGCCAGATGACTACCAGTACTGCCGAAGAGAACAAGAATATTGAGAATTCAGCAAGCAAGATATCGAAACATATCCATAAGTGGACCTACAGTCGCATTCACAGTACAGCCACGCAGCTTCAGAGACAACAGTCCGCCACTTCTGTTCGGTCCGCAGCGTCTGGACGTTCTGTGGTTGAGCGACGAACCAGCCCACAAGGCCTCGTATCGGCAAGTAGTGCAGTGGAAGTGCCGAAGCGCAAAAGTTCCCGGGGTCGAGGGAGAGGACGATCTCGCAGTAAGCGGAAACCACTGGCTCCTTATGGCCTGTCATCTGATAGAATCTTTAGATGATCGATACCACGCACGCTTCAACACTGAAGAATAACCACGTTCGATTCGAAGTCCCTTGCTTTCTGTCTCAGGAGAAGGCTTTTGTTTCCAATTACCGATCAGTTTTTCGAAGTATCACTCACCTTTATGGCTCTCCTCACGTGCAATTTTCACGATGTTCGAGTTATGCTCTGCTAATTTGTCCCCGTCACTTTTCATCCTGACCCGATGATTTCACAGGCCACTTGTGTGCAGTTCTAGCCCATATATTTTAGCCGCAACACCCGTGGGCCTCATTATCCCCATTGATGCCGTATCGTTTGGAAGTTGAAGGTATACGATAATCCAAGGGGGATCATGTAGAGTGGATCGATATATATTTCCAATTCAGAACCCAAAACTGTGTTGCTTATAAACGCCGTACACAATGCTCCACCAAAGAAAGAACCGGTACTAGGAGCCAGACGAGGGTAGACCCATCATAACCCACCGCCCGAGAACTTCCTGAAATAATGTACAAATAAGCCCCAAGCAGGCCTTCCAAGCTCCATTTTGTCCCAGTCAGTGGAAAGCAGTTCCGTCCTGGTTCAGCTTCGAGGATCCTCTCGCCCTAGGTGATGACACAAGAATGGCGATTTGATCCGCTTATCAGAAAAAAGTATCGATCAGGCGTTGTCGCGAATTCGAAGCAGCACTCAACGGCAAGAGCGGAGGGGAGTGGAGAATAAGCCATTGAGGTGACAAAGAGAGGCCCACACAATCTATTTCGCCTTTCCACCCTTTGTCGCCTCAAGGAACAGAACCTTCTTCTTAACGACGGGGTCGTACTTCAGCATGCTGAGCGGGCGGTGCGCGCGCGGACGGATCATGGTACGGTAGTAGCCAGTCATCGCCATGGAGATGAGCCGGACAGGGATGGTACGTGACTTCGCTGCGGTGTTGAGATGCGTTAGCGGTCATTGTCATGCTTTGCTCGGAGGAGGATGTTTTTGGGAGCCCAGGTTACGTCGGCTAGTCCGAGTACCGGGGGCCATTGAAAAAGTTTCCGGGGCAAAAGTAAACCTTAACCAGAACAATCGAGTCATTTACCTTTCTTGGCCATTTTGCGCGACGTCCCAAGGGGAAAAGTTGATGTTCGTGAGATCGCGGACTCAATTGCGGACGGCCGTCCGCAAAACCTCCGTACTCACGTGATGAGATTAGTAATATTTTGATATCCAGCCCTTGAGCTTTGTCTCATCCTACGCTCATGATCGCCCAATATACAACTTTTAATACTTTAAACCTAAGTTGGTAAGCTGGTACCATAAATGGGCGGCCTGGATGCGTTTTGCATGTACTTTACTGGACAACTAACTGTAAGTGACAGTTGAGGAAAGATCGGCTCTACCAGGGCAACTTTTATTCTTTCGAAGAACATATGAAGCAGACCTGAACATATGTATATCGGACGGACATAGGCTTGCAAATCATACGCTCTTACAGTTCCCCGCTCTCATTTAGCTCAAAACCATCACTAAAAATCTCTTTGGCTATTGCATTTTCACTAAGGCTAGATTAGGCGCAACGTTCTATCTTGATTCTTGAGATTTGTCCCACCCGTTTGCCTTCTGCTTTTCAATTTACTAAGGGAGAATCTGCCATACTATGGCTAAGATGCTTTTTTTGGGGTGACTATTATTCGCATTGATGATCGTGCACGCTATTGAAATCTCGCGACTCGTGAGCCGTAGTCCAACCCCTAGGGTCTGGGAACTGTAACGAAGTAGTTGCTGCTCTGAGCTCTAGCTACTCTTTATTCTTTTATCACTTCCACTCGCTTGGGAGGTCTTATGTGGATAGGTACTTCTGCCGATGAGGAGCAAAAACTATTAACGCGCTTCCCCAATGGATCCAAGGCAAATACCTGCTCTTCAGAATGAATTAATACCCAATAACCCATGGATGGAGCCACTCCGAGGTTACCAAAGCCTTACACAAAAACAACTGTATATGAGTTTCCACTTTCAACACAAGCATACTATATCTGTGACTGATGCCCGCAATGGTGTGTGGCCTTGCAATTCCGATACATTAAATGATTTGGTCGATCATTGAAACAGCGAAGGCCAGAATCCAGTATACGGAATAAGATGGCCCATTCGAAGAGCAGCTATAGGAACGCCTAATGCGGTCCATCTTCCGCTGTATTCGGGGCGTTTTGGAACGACCTGACATATTTCGGTCTGATACGTTCTATCATCGCTATCGATATCCATATTACCTCTTTCATCATTACTACATATAAGTGGACAGGGAAATACGTCTAGCCTCTAAGGAGAGCTCTAATGTTTGCAGTGCTGCAACACCGTTCCGGTAGATCTGCCAGGGAATTACTTTCAAGAACGTATTGACGTGGGACTGAGCTTAACCTAAGGCAACACGTCTGTAATTGCGGTCTAATGCAAGTTCCAACACAAAAGCGGGACTTGAATACAGCTACATGTTATCAAAATACGGGGCAACCATACCTAACACGATCCAAATCATCGCCACTAAGTTCAAGAACCATTAGTTCTTTGGATTCTGTACGTCTCCTTTTCAACAAGCATATCAATGAAGTAAAAAGGAACAAAGCGACCGATCAGGGAAAAATGTGTACCTGAATAGTTAAAGGTCCCATTCAATACCATTTGCAATGTGCTATATGCAAATTGGCACGTAGTTCTGGCCTTGGTTTTTCCTGCTATAGGCCTCGATCGCTCATACTAGTAAAGGCTCGGATGGGCATGACACACCTCTGTACTGTTATACGACTGTCCCTAAATAGAAGCATTCCTTAGAGATTAGGATCCTTCACAATTCCCTCAAGGAGGCATCACCGATGAACATCTATCGTTCTTGATCCAGCATTACCGTCAACCGCAAAGAATTCGTGATCGTCACGCCATAGGTGGCGAATCTCATACGTATCTTAACATGCATCCCAAGTATCGAAATTCCCGGCCTGTGGCAGCCAACAGCCACCGACAATACATCCCTGCTCACAGGAACAAGTACATGCGTCATCTAGATGTGTATTCAAGTTATAGACAGGAATTTTCCAGCTGCTAACCCCCGGCCACTCTTTTAGGCGTTACCGAACATCTCAATTAGGCCCCCGAGAGCGCCTTGCCCCACGTCGATCACCTTTAGGAACCCCGCAGCTTGAGTCACGAAATGCAGGCTCAAGTAATCGTGGGAACAGTGCACTGCATACATGAAGGGCGTGCGTTAAGCCATTTTTATGACGATAAGCATCGGCGGATCTGAAATCGCGATCCAGGATACGGTTGTCACAGACTCGGGGTGCCCAGGGCTGTCTGAGAAGCCGAAGCTTTTCTAGATGCTGTCAGACAAGGCTACAAGTTTACAAAAAATAGGGGAAAGGGAAAGGAAAGGAAAGCAAAATTGGTCTGTAATAGTCATAACGAATACAAGATTTATTATTCAACACTATTTCCTTGGCTCGTACATCGTAAAAGCTCGGGGTCATCTGCATCCAAACATTCATTCGTAAAGCTTAACGGAGAGACAAGCAGACACGATTAATGCATCGAACTAGCTTCTTCAGAGCATGCAGCATCTCCACCAACAAGTGAGTCACAATTCAATGTCCAATAACAAGATGTAGGAAAATAACACATGCATAATCAAGGCAGCAAACTGCCCCCTATTGGCTACCTGCCGCACTTGCAGCGGCGCGATGGGTCCGAAAGAGCCAATAATGATGCAGCCGAGCCAAGCCAAGCAAAATTACAGAGCCTCGACCAGAAATTGCCCAGTCACGTCAAGGGTCCCCGATCCTTCCTGTCTGGGAACCTAGCAGCTATGACTGGTTCAAAGGGTGTCACGGTGAGTGGGAAGGGGGCGCACCAGGCAAGCCTCCCGTTCCCCCGGAGAGAAAAGTGAGCATTGTGGATTTATCTCACTATAGCAGAGAGATCTTTGGCGGTTATCCCGGCGGCATTCAATGCTCGGCGCGGGTGGTGTAGTGAAGCTTTCAGCAGCAATTGGGGGAGTGGAAATCGTTGTTCGCAATCGTTGTTCGCAATCGTTGTTCGCAATCGTTGTTCAATAGTTCGGTTGAGCGTTTGCATAATTCTGTCAACGGTGGGTGTTGAGGTAGACACGGGTTCGGCGCTCCTCGCGGTCCATGTTGTCGTTGATGTAGAGCGAACCACGGTTGGAAGAGGATCGGCTTGGAGAGACGCGAGGAGACTGGTAGACAATCACCGGACGCTTGCCAGTGGAGGGTGAGCGCTCAATGATAGTGGTGGGAGAAGCACGAGTCTCCGGGGTGCGAGAGCGAGGACGAACTTGCTGGACAATTGGACGGGGGCTGTTGGCAGAGCGAGAGCTGGTGTTGGAACGAGAGCTGGGAGGGCGCACGGGAGGCGCGCGGCCCCGGCGCGGCGACGAAAGACGCATGCCGTGCTCAACAGACTCGAGCAGGTAGCGGGTTGAGCTCGAGTCGCGAGGTAGCTTGACTCGGGTTGGTTTGCCGGCCTCTTTGTCGACCTGAGCAAAGTATCGTCCGCTCTCACTGTACAGGTATTGGGTCACGTCGACTGCAAGCAAATGTCCACGCTCACACTGGGTGTTATCGTCGTTCTCAAGAGCTAGTTCACATTGGGTGCAGTGTCTAACATGACGCTCAAACTCGTCGAGGACGAGCTTCTCGTCGTCGTGCAGGTCACGCACGACGGTGGGGGTGGTGACAATGGCGGCAGGCATGCTGGAGTTGCGACTATGTGTGAGACTATGGGAAGATGCCGGACGAGGAGGCCGCTCTACCGTCGAGAGGGACTCGGGGTCGATGTAATACTTGGTTGAGCGTAGGGGCGACACTGTGACTGTTGGTCTGGGTCACGCGGGAAAACGACGAAGTAAATCGCCGTTGTAGATAAATAAGATAGTAGAGGGTTGTCCTTAGGTCAGACGGATGGAGAAGTGACCTGAGAGAACGGTGGAGTTTATATATCACGGTGGATTGTATGAATTGAACTGGAATGAGGAGGGGGAAGCAGGTGGATGGAGCAGCTGCTTTATAGATTCCCCCCGATGGGCAAGGCTCACTGCAGCCTGGGGGGGAGGGATCTGCAGTAGTGAATTCCCAATCCAGAGTGACATCCTGTTACGAACGGCCCCACACAGTTAGAATAGCGCCTGCTGGTCACAGCCTTGTATCCTCAGGCTTAGGGCTTATTGGAGCCGCTAGCTCGTGGCGCAGCATGAACACTGTTTCCTTTTACTGCGTACATTACCGCCCATCTTTGATTGATTCTAATTGGCTGGACACCCTCGGCCAGGCGGTCCCAGTTCGCCGGCGTCTCTATTCAGAAAGCGGGCATGTACGAAATCATACTTGCGTGCAGTAGCTTGTATCTTTCTCAAAGCTAATACTTTGAATACTTCCAATACTTTCAATACGTGTCCCCGAATCTTCTGCCTTTGCTGCCTATCTTGGTTTTTTGGAATCCACATTTTGTCATCAACTCTCTGCTTACCGTGGCTTGAGACCTCTCGTGTTCCTGCGCCCCGGACCGGGTCTTATGCCCCTCCTCCTGGGGGTCTACCATTCACAAGGTCCGGGCACCTGAGCAATGGATGACGCCAGAATTGTTAGGCTACTGAGATCTAGTGCCCCTGGTCATCTACATTGTTGAACCGTGTTCCTGAGACCAGACCGGCCCTTACTCGCCCAGCTTACCGCTGGCCCCGGACACGAGCGTCTGGCAAAACATGCCAGCGTGGATCTTTCCGCGCACGAGTCAAGGGTTCCGGGGCTCGCATAGTTTCAAGATGGGATCCAAATTTGGAAATGCATGATGACCGATCGCCCTTGGCGTTTCGAGTCTGAAGCCGAAAGATCACTAAGAATAGGGTGAACTGGCTAACGTTGGAGGGACTTGGACCCTCTCACCAGCCGCAAGACTCTAGCCTCAAGCCACACTTCTCTCACTGTGTAAGCACAATATGCCCATGGCAACGACGCTAGCAATCCTGGCCTTACTGGCCTTAGCCTTTTGGCTCAGCCCCAGCCACAAATGCGGCTGATGGCTCTCTGTTCATTCGTCATACGAGCCACTACGTCAATGTTCTCGTATTGATAGTTGATCATTCCTTGGAAGAGCCACAGTTGGCTCCAGCCACACTTCCAAGGCCAAGCTTCCTGCGTGTCGGTCATAAGCAACGAAGAGGCGCCTCAGCCTCAACTCGTGTTCCTGGCCTACGTCGTCGGTACTTGGCATTTCTCGGGTCTGTTATCAGTCTATACACTTCCTGCCTCCTTCCAGGCATCTACCCACATGCGAACCATCTAGGTCCCCGGACGCGCATGACGGGACAGGCCCCAGCATGACAGGTGGTACTCACGGGGGCCTTGTACCTGACAGTCGGGACTTGAGAATCCTCTGCACTTTACCCCGCGCTAAGACTATCGTGGCCATCTAAATCCTGGTACCAACAAAGTGCTTCTAGCCGGAAGGTTACTGCACCGCGTCCTTGTCTGCCGCTCAAAGGTCTGCCCTCCAACGAGCCCTGCCGGGCTAGCTCAATCGGTAGAGCGTGAGACTCTTAATCTCAAGGTTGTGGGTTCGACCCCCACGTTCGGCTATTCCTATCAATAACCTGAGATCTCTTTTTTTTTTCTTGGTTCTTCATTCAAATTTTTTTCAATGCCGCCGCAACGAGTGGCTAAAAAACGTCGGCGCGGATCCACCGGAGTGGGCCGGGCCGACGAAAAACGGGAAACCCAATCAGGGATAAAATCAATGAGAATGTAAGCAGAGCGATCCAGTGAGTGCCACGGGCTACGCAAGTGTTACGTGTAGCAAGAAAGCGGCATCAAGCCAGATGACGAATCTTACATACGCAGTATAGACTTGGTCGAGCCTGGAACTCCGCTGTGGCTAGTGCTGGGCCTGAGCGCAAGGCAGAGCGTTACTCCCGATCGGCGGTATGCTTCATGGCTGTTGGTCGGTCTTGAACATCGTACCAAAACTAGTAATCTCTGGTATTGCGCATGAATTGCATCAGCCATAGCTTCATATGGTTACAACAAGGGCTCAGCAAAAGCCTCTCGGGACAATAGGGGAAGGTGACGCCAAACGCAAAGCCGCTGACAGCTTTTATTAGTCGCTGCGACACGTACCGAGCACTGGCAGGACTGCGTAGTTTGAACGCAATTGGCTCAGCGATTGGACAGTTGGCTTGGAAAACACAGATTGTTGCAAGTTGGTAGAGGAGACGGCTTGTCTGGCTCACTTAATTGCCCAATTGGTTTCTCTCAGACCATCCTGCTGCATCTCTACTAGCAAAGTATATTTTGGCAACCATTGCTGGGAGATCTCTGGGTCAAACCAAACAAGCCTTGCACACCCACACTGGCGGTCTATATCAAGAGAAACTTTCAGCAGTTACCGCTGACTGACTCGCTTGAAACAATTCAGAGGACCTGTTGCAATGATTGCGGAGCGCGGAGATTGGATGTTTGCCCCTGGCGGAGCTTCGGCGCTTACCAGCAGGTGTCAACAGCGAGCCGCGAGCCTACCTACTAAACCCTTAGAACCCTCAACCCTAGAAGATCCAATACCTTCTACCCGCTAGAGGATTATGAAACAATCCTAAGTTCGTACATGCGCTACTAGCCGCTTGCTCGATCAATTAAAGTTTATGAGAGCCTCATCATACTAGCATAGCGCCCCACCTAAATTAGAATTATAGGATCAATTGCTTTCATGCTTTGTCTTCTAGATGGCTTCGAGTAATGCTTGTACTAGTATAATATATTACCCTGAAAGGTTTCAGTTCGCGCTTGGCTACTACTAATTGTAGACAGCAATTGAATCACCACTCTATTCATTACAAGCGCTGTGTACATGACTCGCAAATTATCTATTGCATGTAGCCATGGGGGTTCATTCGTAAATTGCCCCAGGCGCGCGCGAAGAAGAATTCATTGTCAGCTCTATGGCATGACAGGGACCGAAGAGACACCTCAACCGTGTTATTGATGCTGAGAGTCGAATTGTGAATAGTTGAGGGGCTATTTGCCGTCAATCTATCGTTGCAGCAAAGAGCCATGCAAATTTGTCGGGTAGCAGGGTCGAAATTTCCAGCTACTGTCACCGAAGCGTCCGTCTTGGATGCTATTCTCAGCATGTCACGTTGACCAAAGAAATCCATTAAGTAGCCTAAATGCCGTTCGCCGGCGGGATATCGGGATTGAGTAAATGGGTGATAGCCGAATCACTTCTTAAGTCGATAGACTTGAATAGAAACGAAAAAAAAACTCCTATGCGTAGCAACTTTGAATGTTTCATAGAAGAGCCCGAACGCCGAAATTATCGTAGTATTCATCAAGCCTTAGCAACCTGAACCAAGATCTTCCCCCGGGCCCGCCCAGAGCGAAGTTTCTCAAATGCCTGCCTCGCATCTTCAAACTCGTACTTAGTATCGACGTGCGTCTTCAAAGATCCCGTCTTCAGCATATCCCCAAGCGCAACCAGATGCTGCTGGGTATTCGCAAAGAAAAAGATCTTATACCTCCTCTTCCCACCCCCCAAAAGCGACGGCCAAGCAACCCGTCCAGCAAACGTCGTAAACGCCGATGCCCCAACCTGCACAAACACCCCCTCAGCCTTCAAAAATTGATGACTCTGGAAGTACAGCTCCGAAGGAGACCCAATATGATCCAGCACATGATCATAAACCGTGCCGCCGTCACAAAGCACCCCGACCAAATCATCCACAGCCGTATAATCAATAACCTCGTCCGCTCCAAGCCCGCGGCACAGCTCGACATTCCGTGTTGAGCACGTAACCGTCACATGGCACCCAAGTGCCTTTGCAATCTGGATCGCGAAGAGCCCGCATCCGCCCGAGCCCCCGTTCACAAACACTTTATCGCCCTCTTTCACGTACCCCACCAGCGCCTGGTACGCAGACTGCGCCGCGATCCCCAGCCCCGCGGCCTGGTCGAGCTCCACGCCCTCGGGGACCGGCACGACGCACCCCACGTCGATGGTCAGATACTCTGCCAAGGACCCGAACCTCGTCGGCCGGCTGTGGCAGCCGTAGACGAGCTGGCCGGGGCGGAGATGGGTGGCGCCAGGCCCGGTCGTGACTACGCGTCCGGCGAAATCCATCCCCGGTGATGCGGGCAGGCCGATGACAAGGTGGGCTGCCATGCCCATTTCTGGGACTTTGAAGTCGGCTGGATTGAGGGATGCGGTGAGGACTTGGATGAGGACTTGGGAGCCGCGGGGCGCGGGCGGGGCACGGGCGCTGGGCTCTAGGTTTAGGTTCTTTTCAAGGCCACCAGTCGTGCTGTTATAGAGCCAGGCTTTCATGTTGGATGGGTGTGGGGGAGTAGTCATTGCGGTGAAGGGAAGGGGTAGGAGGGGTTGGGGTCGCTATGTCTCTTATATAAGTGGTTGCTAACGGCACACGGCGCGAAAGAGGCCACTTGCGCCGGTGAAGGTGGAATGTTTCAAGCACTGCCTTGACGAGATTTTAGGTGGAATTTCCGACTGCGGGTGGTTCTGAATGAGCCAACTGGTTATTTCTGAAGCTACTAGGGGAGTCGAATGATGATGTCGTTGCTTCAGTAGTGGTCATAGCTCCTGTCAGGTGGGGCTGCTAGGTGGACCAAATTGTCCAGACGTTTAGGGCAGTACGAGCTTTTGAAGCATAGAGTATTGGGAAACCCCTCCTGTAGCATACCCCAAAGTTAATGATGTATTATAAATCTATAGGAGCACACTCTCGGTCTTAAGAAATGAGATTTTACATTTGCTGAGTGGGTACATCAAGTCTAGAAAGATATGGCCCTTCAATGTTCTCTCCTCGGGTTGGTACATGGAAGGTTTTACTTCAAAAAGCCAGCTTACTATAAGCCCTCCGCAAAATACTCCACAGGATAGTTTGGAATTCCAGGATGCGACTCGGATATCAAGAGCGCGTGCGTCATGTTATCAGAGCGCCGAGTACTTTCCGGAGCGATCATCCAATGGGGAAGCGTGGTCCTGGTCACCAATGTCCATCTGCTGGGTACGATGCGAAAGATGTTCCTCTGTATCGGTTTGAACCTGCTTCTCCATGCGAGTTTCTTCCTTGAAACCGTCTTGACTGTTGAGAATCTCGCGCGCAGCAGATGAATCCCGGTCTTGAACACCAGCGTCCTGTTCATTCCGAAGACGTTGTTCTTCCTGGCGTTTATCTTCCAATTCCAAAGCAGCCTCTTCGCGCTGAGCTTCTCCGTTGTCGATGTCCTGCAAGCCAATGGAAGAGATAATCTTTCCTAAGAGGAACTGGTACCGGAGATGGCCGCTGATCATCTCGCTCACGTCCACGTTTTCTACACCGGGAACGCCTTCCACACGCTGCAGTCCTGCAACACCGAGTTGGAGACTGCTAGTGCGGTAAAGGAAGGCGAGAACCGCATCATTCTTAGAGAACACGTTCACGACGCGACCGCTGACGACACTGCGGATATTTCTCCAGTGCTCGGCGTCTGACGGCGCAGGGCTACCCAGCAAGATAACCGATTCTACCAGACCCCAGGCACCCCTCCGTGCCAGGCTTTGGAGGCAAGAGAATATCAAGCGAGAGCCAAGCGAGTATCCGATAAGGGTGACTGATCGCTCTCCCTGGACTTTGTTGATCAGCGCATCTGCCAGAACCTCGCCGGCCTTGTCGGCGCGGGCTTTAGCAACGCTGAACGGGTTATCGACAATCCGAGCGACCTTCATTAGGCCCATGGGGAGCATGACAGCACTCATAATGGTTGCGAAAAAGGTACGTGACAGGACCTGTTTGCCCGCAACCGACCATGCTGCGCTCGTAACAAGGCTGGAGATCGCATTCCCAAGAGTCATCAAAGACTTCGTTTCCCAGCGCAAACCGAAAACCTCCGAGTCCGCGCCAATAACCCGCCAAGGGATGACAAAGTTGGATTCCTCCTTAAGCCAGCCAGTAACCCCAATCGTCACTCGCAGACGATGATCCTCTCGTGCTGCGTCGCTTTCTTTCTGTATCCGTTTCCGCGAGCCTCGGATGGGGATGAATGCGAAGTCTTCAACTTCGCGGGCGTATTTGTCCATCATGCGACCAGTCATCCGACCTCCATACGCCCCGAAAAGTCCCCCAACAACGACACCGCTACCAGCCAACGCTCCTAGATACCCGGCTGCCGCAGTCGCACCAAGACCTAGTCCACCCATAATGGACCCAATGCCCGCAGCTACGAGCGGGGCTGCAAGACCACCGGTGATACCGATAAGAGCCGCACCAGCAACAGATGCGATGCCAACCTTCCACTTCCGCGAGTCATCACGTTTCTTGGGCTTTTGCTGGTCCTCTGGGGCTCCCGACAGTGCAAGGGCGTTATCAAGTAGCCCGCGTGCAACTTTGACCTCGTCTTCGTTCAAGATCTTGACGTCTATGTCCAAGCTGGATGCGACACGGAGCATCAGGATACGCGAGTAAGCATTGTAGTGTTCCAGGCTGAGTAGTAGCAGTAGGAGTGAATGCAGAATTAGAAGCCGTGTTGCTTTAGGGAGGTGAACAAGTGGTGATTCGATTGGGCGGTACACTTGACGCAGTTTCTCCATCCGTTTCTTATCTTCTCTATCTTCTCCCAGGGGCAGATCGTCTTGCTTGGCAGCGTCAGGAATGGCATCTTTATCCTGGGCTTTGTCGTCATCATCATTATCCTTGTTAACGACTTGGCCGATGCGCAGCAAAACGGCATCTCGCCAGTCGTCCAGGTGAGCAAGAGAGTCCTTTTTTGCCTGAGCCTTTATAGCCTCTTTTCGGGGGTCTACTTTGGCAGGCTCAGGGCTTTTCTTTTCTTTGACAAGTTTATCGCTGCTTTCTCGCGGGGTGTCGTTCTGCGGCCGAGGCGGCAAGGATGGTGTTGCATCATCGCGCTCCTTCTGAGAATCTTCCTTTGAGTCTTCTTTTGGATCTTCGTTTGAAGGAGAATTGGCAATAGGAGAGTTGTCAGTGGGAAATTCGTTGGAGTTCTCAAACACATCGATAAGGCCGGTTCGCATTGACTCTGCTATCTCTGCGACCAGCACTGTAAGGTCGGCGCGTTGCGACCGGTCCAGGATTGACGTCAGATCTTGGTCGCGGTCACTGGCGGAGGGGCCTTCCTTGGAGCCCTTGGAGTCGAAAAGGGAGGCCCGTTTATCTTTGAGATTCTTGAGCATTTGGGCGTAAGAAATGCAACGAAATATCTAGGCTGGGCTTTTGCCACTTAAATGAGGGAGTTGGAGTAGGAGTTGGCAGATGCCAGTCGGAGGGTCCGGGCAGGCTACAGCGATCTGCGGACCCTTAGAGCCGCATCTTCCACAGCCTATACCGTTCACCCTCACCAGGCCTACGCTTATTTCACCCGTAGAACGATATTGTCGATGCAATCAAATGATTGATTCATCAAAGTTGTGCCACCTGGGCAGGCTGGAGATGAATACTAATTATCCTCATGGACGGCCCCAGCTCGTTCAAGTTCCAGGGACCTATTTTTGGACGCGCTCGTAACCTTAATAAGCATGTGGTTATTGTTTAATCAATTTAAGGTATAAAGCCATCAGCCTTCCGCAGGGCCCCAAGTTCAACTCCTCGCCGTGACAAGACATGCAAGTTTTCCGGTAATAGGCCTGTATAGAAATGCCCCCAAGGTTGTTTATATTTAGGTTGACATGATACAGTTATTATACGTCACAGGAGCGTCCGAAGTATCTCTTTCTGCTGATCCCGCACTTTGTTTGAATTCGACACTAAAAGGTTCTTCGAGAGGGGAGGCTTATAGCGGTTAGCGCTTTCTGAGCTAGTTGAGCTTAAGGAATTCAGGATGTTCAACAGTCGTAAAGGGAAGCCGTAGAGTAGTAATGGTAGAGAGATTTGAGGAGTGAGGCTTGTCCATTATGTACCTGCGGTCATGATTTGCCCCGGTGGTGATATGTACGAGCCGGGCCCCTAGTCATGTGTTGAAGTCACAGGACCAGCATTCCGATATGATATCCCCATACTCTTGCATTAAAGACCTCATAACCAGTCCGAATGTTTGAGATCCTCCAATGGTAACGTCAAGCGACACTAGCCCCTTCATAAGACAGTCAATTTGTCTACGCCACGAGCCATCTGACGAAAAATCCGGATCTCCATCCGTTTTCCCAAGTCCAGGCGACGAGAAAAACTGAAGATTGATAGTATGCACCACAGCCTTCCCCAGAGCCGTCGTTATAACGCTAGGGGTGAGATGATAGGCGGTGATTGGAGCTTCAGGGGCAAGCCCATGTTGAACATTAAACGTCTCTTCGATGGGCAATGCAAGGACACATTCGATCATTTGGGCAACAGAGGAAACCGCTTCCCGTTCGTGTGTTCGGATGCTTTGGCCGATTTCCTGTGACAGAATGTGGCTCATTGGGTTTACAAAGGGTTCCAGTGCCTCTGCGAGAACAAGTACTCCAGAATTCCAAGGCACAACAAGAGAAACTGGGACCACTCGTCAGCAAGATATCTAAGGATAGCAGAAGAGGGGTCCTACCACAAGATACCCTTGACGCCAAGGAAAGATCCCAGAAAATATCTCTACAGCGCTTGATGAAGGGCCGGAGATTCTCATCTATTTTTCCAACGACGGTGACCACGGAATTGATTGATTTCAGTAATTCGGAATTAATGTGCTGGGAATTATCGTGCAGCAGTCGGAGGTCATTCTTCACATCCGCGATCTTTCTCCAGATATAGAAAGCCTCTGATGCTATCCTTCGACAAATATCTGGGATGGTGCGGTCGCACTCTCTTGTATTATACAAGAAAAATGCCGGTGGCACTGGGTTCTCAGGGGTAAAACCTGGCAAATATTAACTTTGCATTCAAGCCCACTTTCAATGCCTATAATTAGAACCTACTAATTTCGTTACAACGGGGATCTGGAAGTTGACATTGATGATTTGACGTCAAAGCAGCTCCAGTATCACGAATATACCCGCCCCAACGCACAACGGAAAGGCTGGCCTCCGCAAGAGCACCGTAGTGAGATGATGGCCCTAAGGTAGTGCAGTAGTTTTGGACGAGCTCATCTAGTTCGCGCAGCATCTGCAACCCCAGATTGAGAAATCCATGCTCTATGTCAGCCTTGTTTGAATCAATGAGAGCGCTCATTGGGATAGCCGCTCCATCGAAGATTAATATTGCAAACACAGCCTGAAAGGACCGAACCGACTTCGCGTCCTCGATGGCTACACGAGCTTGGTACCAGGCATCAGTATAAAGATGGCATGGAGAACTGCGAGCGGATTGCTTCCCACAAAATCTGGCGATGGGAACTTCATTGGTAGAGGTCCAGCACTCTCCTTCAGAACCACGGCTAGGTAGCCACTGTAAAGCGAATAGTCGGAGCGCTGCATTGAGCGCCGCATCAGACTTTCTTTTTGAAGGAGGTCTTATTCTATTCCCATAGAGATCTCCAAAATGGTCCAAGAATCTTGCGCATCCCACAATTGTCACCCTGTAAGCTTCGTCTTGGGCCTGATCGCGAGAATTCGGTGACCTGCTGCTCTGTAATTGACCTGATGAATTGAGAGAAGCCACAAGAGACTCTGTTTCTCGTCGGGATGAGGTAGATGACTCCATATCTGGTCCCAGTAGCATCGTTAACCGCGCAGGTATCGGTTCGTTAGAGCTTCCAGGCCTGCTGTTTTCTATCTTGTACCGAATTCGCGTTGCATATAAATTAATGTCGTAGTCCAGGAACCTCGTCGCAGAACCCGTCAAAACCGCATCGTATATACTGATCAGCCGCTCATTGAGTATTCTGGTGTCTAATTTCGAGTTCAATAGGTGTATGGGGCTGCGGGGTGAGCTCCCAGGCACAAATCTCATTCCATATGAAACGTGTTTCACTGACTGTGACTGATTTGGTAAAAGAGAAAGTCTTCGGTCATGTTGCGAGTCAGATTGCGCCTCGGAGCCAAGCGGTGTTGGCTCAGCCGTGGCGGGCAGCTGTAAATCGTTCGCAAAGTAATTCTCGATGTCAAAATTGAGCCATGCAGCAAAATCATCATCACTGGTGTTGGGAGTCCTAGACGCGCTTCTTGGGGTTCTCCCAAGGGTCTCTGATGAGTTCTCGGCAAGTAAGTGACCATCATATTCATATGCCGAAACTTGATTCAGTTTCGATTTATTCTGTCGCTGTCGTTTTCTTGGTCGCGAGCTCAATCGAGATGTAGCAAAATTGAAAGTGCATGTATGTCCCAGGCGCGCGCAATGCGCACAAGAGATATTCGAGTCAATGGATACATCAGAAGGGAAAAAGCAGCGGCGTTTAGAGCGTCTGCAGGGATCGCAGCTCGAAAATTGACGGCGCTGCACCTCCGGCGGGGATGCGAACTGCCCGGGACTGGACATGTTGAGCATCGCGAGATGAGCGCAGGACAAAGTCCATCGCGTAGTGCAATATTTCTATGGAATTGCAGATGGGACTGTGGTCAGCTTCCGCATTGAAAGCCGGACACGACCAGATGGCAAGTAGTGATTTTGTTCTGGAAATACCTAATGGTCGGGGCGGATTTGCTCGGCAGACAACTTGAACTTCGCGACAGGCAGCCGGAATTTCCAAAGTAGCTGATAACAGCTCATTTGCCCTTGTTCCTATGCGCAGATTACCGAGCTCGAAGTTCGAGGAGCTGATGTGAAGCCGGCTGTTCTGGTTTTCTAGTTGACCTAACGGTGACTACAGGTCACCGTACGTAACTAAAGGTTCAGCGTAGCGACCCACTCGATTACTAAGGTTACTTGGCGTAGCCTGGAGTTAGTTAACTAGGCGTACGCAGCTCCGCTATTTCCTATTTTATGTTAGCTTATATTTCACTTCGGGTTTGAAATCACTTGGTGACGCATTAACACAGTAGGGCCCCTAGCTGGCAATTGGATGGGCTTAATATATAACTAATCTCGACGGAACATAATTTAGTATATCATGTATCCGGGTATCCACCTATCCTGCTGCGCTCAGACAGCGTCATGTTGGCTAGATTCTCAAGGCGATTGAAGCAGATGGAACCTGGGAATCGAATAACGAAAACTAAAATGAAATTCTGATTCTATCCTCACGACAGACCTTTTTGGTAATCCTGGCCGTTAGAGATGCCCTCTATGGGGTTTCCGGAGGACTCTAATCAGTGGAGGATTCTTGTTCAATTCAGTAAACCTCCCAATGGTCAACGTTGTTAGAGCACCCGAGTCGGGGTTCGACGGATTGAAGACGGCAATGATTTCGACATGTGGATTCTTATTGGCAAATATCAGGATATTCCATGGCATTGAAAAAGAAGACTCCTGTATCTGTCAAATATTGGCTCTCATGTACAGGCCAAAGCCCTATATACTAACTAAACGCTCTCCCCTGCAGCCCTGCGAACGCAACGAACGATATAGTTTGGATTGCTCAAGAAAGGCGAATGGCCTTCGTCACATCGCTCAACATGCAATGCACCATTCCCCTGTGCCACGATTCTTTCTTGTATGCAAGCTGCCAAAGCCTGGTCGTTTCGACACAGAATGTACGTGCTTGGAATCTCAAGATAGGCCGTGTAAGTAACTGGCACAGATAATGGACCCGCCGGAAATGACCCTAAAAGAGAAACTGCCTTGTCTGCATCTTCAGGATCGCAGCCATTGTACAGAACCATGCGACAGGCATCTTTGTCAAGTACCATGGATCCATCCTAAGAAATAATATTAGGGATCAGGGACACTCTCATATCATATGGTCTTTCGAAGCAAACGCGCTGCGAATGAAGGAAAATGATCCTACCGGCTTAAACTGCATCCCGCCGTATTTTTCCTGCATCTCTTTCCGCTGCTTGTCTAGCTCCTCCTCTTCGGGGGTTGCTGGTACCATCTGACTTGCGTAGCTTTGGCCTTTTGGCAAAGCCATTGCACACATATAGATGAGCCGGGAGACTGATCCTTTTAGCCCTTTCGCCTCTCGACTTTCTTTTCCGAGTCCTTTAACTGCTTCGGACATAGCAATACCACCAAATGAGTGAGCAAGGGCAATGACATCTTTGCCAGTATCTAGATACTTCAAGATCACGCGACGGACTTCTTCAGCATCTTTCTCCCAGGTAGCATGAGGTGGACTTGAGTCGACGGAAGGAAGGTCAATTCCTTCTGTTTCGTAGCCCAGGTTTTTGAGACCATCAATGACATATTGATAGTGCTGCGGCCTGTGCCACGCGCCTGGGACAATGACGACAGCTGGTTTGTCCATTGCCAACATATTGCGAAATGGGAGACGAGAATAGAGAAGGATTTTCAAATGTACTCGGCAGTCCCAACGAGATGCAAGAATCTAAATACTGCAACTTTCTTCCTCGCCAGGAGCATCGGTTCCGACAGTTTTACCTTTGCGGCCAAAAGTAGGGAAAAGGACCCATAAAAGTTACGTTTCCACAACCGCCATTGGTTATCAGTCGCGACGGAGCCGATGTATCTCGGCTCCGCTCTAGTAGCTCCACTCCTTAGATGAAGAATCAACAAATGCTAATCATTTGTTCAGAATCCCCTATGGAAACTTCCTTAGCAGTACGAAGGTTGCTTGCATGTTTTGCAAAAATGCCTCGATTCATCCCCGCTCAGATATTACTGTCGTATTTTTTGTCACCAAGATATGTTGATTATTAGCTTCGAGATCCGGTATGCGCAGACTAAAGTCAGTATCGCAAGAGGCGCTTGTGGTCGTACGATGGGTACTCCAAGGGTCGGGTAATCGCTCATTCAAATGAAGCCATGATCCTCGTCTCTCACGGTCATCATTTGCATAAGGCCCAGCCTGCGATCGACTTCGCGAGCTTCGAGATGAAAAAGAGGTCGCAGTTTTGATGTCCTGTATGAACTTGATGAAAAATAGACGAAGAGTTGGGATGGAGCCAAAAATGATAATAAACCACATTTCCGTCAATGTCCAAGTGTTGAGCTTGTAGATCACGTATGTTATGTCCGAGCCATCAGTAATAGAGGCGATCGCAATTGTTTTGTTGATTGCAGCCATGCCAGCGCTGGCGCAATGTTAGAGCGACAAGGACCTCTTTCGGAAAACCAGCTTGGAACATACATGAGACCCCCACCCATGCTTAAACAAATCCCAATCTTGGTAGACGATTTCATCACTTGTATTCTGCCAATAATATACACTGGGTATGCAGCTAGGATAAAATCCGATGCTGCTCCAATGCCTGCTCATTTTCTTCAATGTTAGCACATGCCGTAGACCAGGCAAGCTCGAACAACTCACTACCTTGCACAAACCCGACTTGAGAGCATATCACGATCTGATCGCAGACTCCTGGAATCTTTGTGTCCCACAGTTTTGCACTTGGCGTGCATTGCTTGAAGATCAGGCCGATTACAGCCATGTTTATGATAAACTGGGTAATCCCAACAACATAAAGCAGATAGATACTTCGACTTCCTGTTCGGTGCTGGAGAGAAACTAGAAAGGCAATAACAGCCACTCTCGCAATGACCATGTTCGAGATTGCAATCGCCTGGGATATCCAGCTCCATAGGTTTGTTTGGACTATGTTATAATATTGAAGGAATCTCTGATGCGTGCCTAGCCCGTAATGTACACTGACGGTCATTGTACTCTGAGCTGCAACACCAACAATCTATACAATCTTCAAAGTTAGTTGATCAGGGTCTCCTCGAGGCAAAAGTTGGATTCAGGCACACAAAAGCAACCATCACCCAGATAAAATCCCATCGCAGCCCGAAAAGCCCGGACGAGAATTGGCGAGACGGACATAGCGATGCCGTCTTAGCTCGTAGCAAAATCAAAATAGAAGCCAGTCCCATTTCTGCCCAGGTGATCCCGAGGACCAGGGTTCCTTGATCGCCCGATATCGTGTTTGATGCATCTGCCATTAGGAGTGAGGTATGATCCTAAGCAGGAGCCTGCGAGTCAGCTCATATATGATCAGCCGTGCCCAGGTACTACCTTAGTGCAGGTAGGAGAAATCCCCACTACTATATATCCTACCCGGGTAGGTAGATGCTTCAATTTTGATGGGAACCTCAAGATTTCCCATAATTTGTAATTTGCCCGTAGCAGTAGGCTCCCCCCGGCTCTCGGATAGTAAAAGACCTCTGTCACCTTGCTCGTCTCGCGTGACACAATTTCGGGGATTGTGAGAATATCAAGGGATCGGAAGAGCTGTCTAATGGCTTCTGGGTCTAATCCTTGTCCAACGTGCGCAAAAGGCGGATGGATGACGGTTACACGCACGCGCTGAAGCACATGAGCTGTCCTACGTTCTAAGGTTGATGATACCTGTTGCTTGTCCCATTTTTTGGGATTCAAGATCACTAAAGAGCCCAAATATAACACAACTAGTACTATACATAGAAGAGCTCTTGACGCTTTCCTCCTACAACATCTACTAGGGGCAACATGGCTTCTATATTTAGAATTCAAAGCTGGAAAGTTCGATTTGAAGTGGAATTTGAGCCCTGAACCCCCCCGCAGACGCGTCCTGTCTTGGTCGTTGGCCATGATCTAGATCTCGAGTTATGTGATGTTGACCTGGGCGCAATGGCCAAAATACCTTGGACAAGAAACATCAGGTACTACTAGTACTTCCATCCATGAATGTTCTGGGCAGTCAGACTGCTGACAAAACCAGGTTTTATCTTTAGAACCATTCCTGCCACCAATCTCTGTGTACGACGTCCACAACGAATCACCCCTCATTATCCTGATTCTACTCGATCAGTGCTGTTTAATCATCTTCCACAGCTCACAATGGAGACCTCACAGAGTATACCATTCGAAAAGCAGCCCGAAGTCCAAGGTCCCTCGACCATCGAAGAAGAAACCGAGGCACTCGAGGGATACGTAGTGGATACCAGTCGCTATGCAGACAACGCGGCCAGTCTCAAGACCAGCTCTGACGGTCGCTATGTGCTCATACCTCAACCGTCGGATTCTTCCCACGATCCGCTAAACTGGACAGATTCCAAGAAGCGGAGGATAATCGCCACCGTCGCGTATATATCGATGTTAGCTGATTATACGGGCGGCACTGCAATCATGACCGTTCTTCCTCAAGCTGTGTAAGATACCCACCACCCGTCCCAGGCAGGCGTCTCTGATCTCATCCTAGGGAATGGAAACTGCCACAACAAACTGTCCAAAAGGCCGTGGTCGGGAATCTATTTTCGATTGGTGCGTGTGGCTTCTTCGTCGTGGCATTCGCTAGCTATTTTGGTCGATGGCCCGTGATATTCGCGTTTCAATGCATCATGGTAGGGACCTGTGTCTGGTGTGCCACAGCCACTAGTTTCTCATCTTACCTGGGGTCTCGAATCATTAATGGGCTCTTCTGCAGCGCTGGGCAAGGTGGCGGATTGATGTGGGTGAAAGACATGTTCTTTTTCCATGAACACCCTCAGGTCATCAACTACGTCGAGTTTTCCATCGTCCTCAGCCCCTACCTCGGCCCTTTGATTACTTCATTCATTGTGTATGGGGTGAGCTGGCGATGGGCTTTCTGGGTATGCACCATCCTGTCTGGTGTTGGCCTAATTCTTGTTCTATTCATGGATGAGACGCTTTTCAACCGAAAGGATATAGCAGTGCGTCGCGGATCTTGTTTATCTCGTCTCATTAGAGCCCGCACAACCCGGCGACAACCCAAGAGCTTCACACGGTGTATGATGCGGCCAGTTGTGGCAATTACCAAGGTTCCTGTTCTCGTCATCATGATTTACTACTTCCTCAACTCTGCGTGGGTCGTGGGCGTCAATACCACCATAGGCATTTGGTTGTCCGACATATATGGATTCTCTACAAAAGCAATCGGTGAGTTGCGCCATGGAGTCTATTCCACATAACCAAGCTGATCGAGATCGATCAAGGATACTTTTATTTCTTCGGCATTGTCGGTGTCATGATCGGCTGGTTCAGCGGCCATTTCCTCCACGATGCCGTGGGACGCTACTATATCAAGCGGCACGCTGGACGACTCGACCCTGAAGCTCGGCTCATCATCGCGTACCCAGCAACGATGATCGCATGCATCAGTCTTATTGTGTTGGGATTTGCGTTCGAGAAGCGCTGGCATTATATGGTGATTGCTGTCTTCACCTCAACGCAATGCATTGGGGTCATGATCGTGACAACCGCCATCAACGCGTATCTGCTTGACTGCTATCCGGAAGGATCGGGAGAAGTTGGCGCATGGGTAGCAGCAAGTCGGAACTGGGCCGGCTTTATGGCAACTTACATCCAGCTTGAGTGGGTGCAATCTGTGGGGGCAGCGAGGGCATTGGGCATTCAAGCTGCCATCACTGTTGCATCGTTGTTCCTTATGATGGTTCTGCAGGTCTATGGGAAGCGACTTCGGCAGTGGCAGGGTCGAATGGTATTCAGCAAACCATAGCTCAGTTGTGGCATGGGTATAGAGGGGTGTCTTTGATTGAAATTGAAACAGCCCTTCGTTCGAAACAACGCACATTCTTGAATGTACCAATCTTGTTAAGGAGATAGGAAAAAAATTGCCCGTGGGTATCAAATAAGGTAGCACACAATATCGTACAAGAAAATGTAGTAAGTAAGGTATACAATGCCAGCAAGCTTAAGAGATCAACTGCTGCCATTGGCGACGGCCTCCACGACAAAATATCTGCCTTTGGTCTTGGAAGCTGACCCGAGGGCATTGCCGTCCCATGTTTCACCATCTGGACGAATATTCTTCTCGCCTTGCACTCGGTGAATACGTTTTCTTCTTCCGCTCACGCGCTCCATAGCCAAAGCTTCTCGAAGCTGGTCGAGCCCTATGGTTGTTTCTTTCACTGCGTCTGGGGTCTCATCACGAATGCTGCGCAGTGGCTCTACCCCGTCGGTATCGACCTGTTGGATTTCCTTCACGAAGTGGATTTGCGACTCGAGAGTCTGTAGCATGGACTGTTCTTCCTCCGCATTCGAGGGCTGAGGCAGCGCGGACAGGCGGAGAAGATGTCGGAGTTGCTTGGTTGTGATTGATGGCGTGGAAGAGGCCGATGACTTGGTAGGAAGCAGAGATCGAACAGACCAAGTTGGCTTGGCCAGAATTGAATTGATATCGACGGGCTCTTTGGTGGAGTACCCTCTGAGACAGCCGGGCTGTCGCAACGGCCGCGTTACTTCATAGGCAGCTCGCAATGAAGCCATATCAGCTGCTAGATAGATCAAGTCGCAGAAGATAATGAGATTTGCAGGAGGGTGCCTGAGATGTGGAGCCAGCCACCGAGGCGATCTTGTGCGGAAGCCTGAGCTGTTATGGTCGGAGCAAATGAACGACTGCGGATCAAAGAGGACACCGCCTCCGCCGATCGCCCTCTGATCACGATAACCAAACCCACCTTCAAACCCATTTGCATTTCTTCCATTCCAATCCCCTTCTTTGTTGTATTTTGCAACGAGGAAACCTTATAAATCATCTACAAGATGGCCCAAGATCCCCGAGTTCTGCTTCAAAAGGTGTGCCCATCCTTTCCCTTTCCCCGCCTAGGCCATGACGAAAGGCACGGATAGCTGACCATGCCTTGCGCCCCGCGACTCTATAGGCCGACAAAGCCCTTTCCAGCGCCGGAGGTGGTTTCAGCTTCTTCGGTGGGCGAACCGAGAAGTACGAGAATGCGGCCGATCTGTATACCCAAGCTGCCAATGCTTTCCGGGTACAGAAGTTGAGTGAGGATAGCCCCGCGTCGCCACCTCGGCTCTACTCCCTCTGCACGAGTAGCTGCTGACCATGGAAATATTTGGTGATGTGAACAGACAAGGAGGCCGGTCAAGCTTTCGAGAAAGCAGCTTCAATCCAGACCCAACATCTGAGCGAGCCCGATGACGCCGCCAATACTCTCCAGGAAGCTTTCAAGGTGTACCGCAAGACTGACCCGGAGGACGCTGCCCGTGTCCTCTCCAACGCCATCAACCACTATGTATTGAAGGGAAATCTGCGCCGCGCAGCCACACAGCAGCAGTATCTCGCTGAGCTGTATGAGGTGGAACTTGGCGACCCGAAGAAAGCGTTGGAGGCTTATGAGAAAGCTGCGGAATGGTTCGAGGCTGACAATGCGGAGGCGTATGTCATTTCCCCCGTCCCGTCCCTGAAGCACCACAATATACTAATACATGGGGCATAGTCTCGCGAACAAGCACTTCCTGAAGGTAGCCGACCTTGCTGCCATCGAAGGCGACTACTACAAATCAATCACCCTCTACGAGCGCATTGCCCGTCAGTCCATCAACAACACCTTGATGAAATGGTCTGTCAAGGATTATTTCCTCAAGGCAGGAATCTGCCACCTTGCTACCAAGGTAAAATTGTTTTGGCTAACCCCACTCCTTGACAATTACTCATTTATCATAGGATATTGTCGAAACCAACCGTGCCTACGACTCATACCGTGAAATCGACCCCACTTTCTCCTCAACCCGTGAACACCAGCTCCTTGTCGATCTGCTTCAGGCCATAGAAGCGGGCGACCAAGATCAATTTGCCGATAAACTTTTCCAGTTTGACCAGCTGAGCAAGTTAGACAAGTGGAAGACTACTTTGCTGCTGCGCATCAAGAACACCATCGAGGAAGCGGAAGAGGACTTCTCCTAGATATCTGTTTTTTTCCTTATTATTTTTTCTTTGTCCCTTGATTCCCCACCTTTGCTGTGCAAGGAATATTCAATTTGACGGATTTATTTGGTGCCCCTCCTTTATGAAACCCGATGGCTTGATGTGGAAGATTAGTCCGGGGGTTCACTGAGGTCGACATGCTTTTAGGCCTAGCGCTGCAGGAGACGTACATTCGACATGAGATCTCTAGACAGAATTTGAATATGCCCAAGTAACCAATTGCTTAGATATCTACGAGGACCAAGTTGAAAAGATCAAGAGAGATCGTGAATCATTATGAAATGTCGAGGGCTATTTTTTGTGTATCATCGCACCCGACCCTGAGCTTTTGTTCAACTCGATCGGCTCATAACATGGACTTACGCAACAACTTCCTCCAATGCGCGAGCTCGGCGAGGGAAAACACGCTTGTACAGACTTATACCGACTGAGTCTTGCGGATTGATCTTAGCATCGAACATAGCCTTGAAGTAACCATGGGTACCCAGGCTCTCCTTAATATACCCACTGCGTCCACGACGGGTCCAGAGTTGCAGAGCCTTGAACCAGTTGACATCTTCGGAATTGAAGAACATGTACCGAACAGTGACGACCTTCTTGTGGATCTTGTACGGATGACCGGTAAGAATGGCACGCTTGGCTATGACACGAGCAGGGTCTGGCGCGACGACTGTGCCAGTTCCAATAAGCTCCAGGTTATCCAGAGACAATGGCCTTTCGTTCGAATCTGCGGAGTCGAGCACTTCGGGGTCGGCCTCGGCGGGCTTGTTCTTGAAGACCAGGACGGGGACGGCGCCCCAAGTCATAGGCCCGATCCAGGTGGCTATCGCGCTACGGCCGGGGTGCAGGAAACGGTCGAATTTGTGGACGTTGTTCGGGGTGTTATCACTGGCCGAGAAGACGGGCTTGACCACCATGCGACGAGCACCGCATTGGACGATGACTTCCTCCTTAGACTTGAGGGGCTTCTCGACGTTGGAGTTAAGGGTCATGTTGATGTTCACCACAGTGTGCTTGTGTTCATGGCGCAGGAGCGAGAAAAGAGATGCTGGCTGGGGCTTGTTGTGAAGGACAGCTGGGACAGCGCGAAGATGTACGTCGACACGAACGCCTGGATTAACACCGCCAACCAAGGCTTCGCGAAGGATACGGTTCTTGGTACCCTTGTAGTCGCCGAATTGGAGCAGTCTGCGCCAGTCCTCGGGCTCGAAAGGACGGTCTTCAGAGGTTTCCCAGTTACTGATCTTGAGGTTCTTGAGACCTCTGAATCGAGCAAGGCGCTCTCTTGCCAGGACATTCGGATGAAGCTCGATCTCATCGGGGAACTCGAGATCATCTTGAGCCTCAGTGCGGCGGCTGGCACGGTATTCTGCGAGGTCTGAAGCCTCGTCTTCGGGCGAAGGGTCTAGGAACATCTCTGATTGAGGGTACTCGGATGGACCACCTTCGGTCATGGCATCGTGGTTGTCGGGGAAGACACCGTCCTCTGGAGCTCCAGCGGTGTCCATCTCCATATCCTCATCTTCGTCATCTCCATCGACGATGTCGGATCCCGAATCGGAGACATCTTCCAGATACCAAGCAGATTGGTATTCTGAGGTACCCTTTGGTAAACGCTTCGGCTTAGGGGGAATGTGAGAATCGTCATCAGAGAAGTAGTGATGGTCATCAAGAAGAACACCCTTTCGCTCGGTTTCGGCCATCGAAACCATGTCGTCATCCACCATCTCGATCTCTTCGGGGGCCACAGTGGCCATATCATCACGGTCTGCGGTGGGAGTATCAAGGACCTGTGTCGTCTCATTTGTGTCGACATTCATCGCATCTTGCTTGTTCTTCGTGCTTGGAAGAGGCGCTGCGGTGACTGAGTCAACCTGGAAATCGCCCCAGCCTGGGATGTGTACAATACGATCGGCTTTGAGGCCCTTGCCCCGAACAACACCAGTGACGACAACATCGTCGACAACCTCCGCATCAATACTAGGCCATTGGACATTCTCGATGTACATCCAGCTTCGATCATCACGCCAGCGAATACCCTTAGGAGTCGCAGTGCACAGGGATCGAATGGCGTTTGAGCATTCCTGTCGGGAATCCAGCGACATAACCTTCTCGACCGTAGGGAAGAAGTGATTGATAAAAGACTTGAGAGAAGACGCCACTTGGGGGCGCTTCTTAGCTGGAGTCACCTTGTCGAGGCCCTGTACCATTGTGACGACATTGGATATACCCTGGCTCTCGATCGACCGTAGCAGAAGCTCGCCCTCGTCTTCAACCTCCGTCTCGGCAGAGAGAACCAAGACCACGAAGTCGGCCATGCGGCAGATATCCAATGCATTCATGAGATCATACTTCGATGGTACGTAAAGCAGACTCTGTCGGAACCGGTCAATTCGCACACGGGTAGCGCCATCTTGGGAGATTTCGCTGGAAACATCGATGCTCTCGTTTAGGGCACGAATCGCGGCAGCGGCGTCAATATCGGCGGACAGAGGGACAATGGCAACATGGCGGGGAGCTCCGTTCTGGCCTGTGAAGATGCTGGTAGCCTGTGCTTTCTCTTGGTGCTTTGCTTGCTGCTTTTGACGAGCCGTGTTACGGCGGTCAAGTTTCGATTTCAATTGTTGGTGGGGGGTTTTGCGAGTACCCCGCTCATTCTCGATTTTACCTGAAAGATATTGTAAGCTTTGACAATAATCAAAAATAGCCTTCATTTCATCATCGGTTGCAAACCTTTCGCCTGGTCCTTCAAAGCACTTTTGGACGCATGCTTGCTCTTGAAAGGCTTGTGGGAAACCTTGGTGGTGCTGCGGTGGTGGTGCACCGTCTGGGTGGGCGCCATATTGGCACTGGACCCTTTGAACCGATATGGAAGTGATTCCAGATTGAAGACGAGAACTGATATTTGCTATCAACTTCGATTCAATATTATCACAGGAAAAGAAAAGTCCTATGGACCATGCACACCAAAATCAGAAAAAAAAAACTTCCGATAAGAAAACAAAATTCGATAGTGGAGAGGATAAGCGGAGGCGGTGAGCGGAAGTCGGCGAAATTTAATTTTTTTTTTTGGTAGCCGCGCATTCGAGTCTTCTAAAGTAACAGATCAACATGGCTGAGAGCACCGCAAAGGCCGTCATGGCCCCTCATGACCGGGAGGAGAAGAAGCGGCTTGCTGAAGCTGAGAAAACCTACGGCCGTGGCAAGGGTAACTCGACAAAGAGTGTTCGCGATAAGAAGCTCCGTGCTACCCTCAAAGCGCAAGAATCGAAGCATAAGCAGGCGATCCTGCGGGCCAAGGATGCGGAAATTCTGCTCGAGCATGAAGCAGGTTTTCTCGAACCAGAAGGAGAGCTCGAAAGGACCTACAAAGTACGACAGGATGAGATTCAAGAGAGTGTTGGACTGGAGACAGCGAAGAAAGGATTCGAGCTGCGACTGAACGACTTCGGTCCCTACCGTGCAGACTACACAAGAAACGGTCGTAATCTTCTGCTGGCTGGACGAAAGGGCCATGTGGCGACCATGGACTGGCGTGATGGGAAGTTGGGGTGCGAGTTGCAATTGAACGAGACGGTCCGCGATGCACGTTGGCTCCACAACAACCAATACTTTGCGGTTGCACAGAAGAAATATGTCTACATCTACGATCACAACGGCGTTGAGCTTCATTGTTTAAAGAAACATGTGGAGCCGCTGTTCCTCGAATTCCTCCCCTACCATTTCCTACTTGCTTCTGCTGTAAGTTCGGCACACTCCTACCGATTTCCAGTTAAAGCTAACCGTGCACCTTTTGCTAGGGAATGAGCGGATTCATTAGATATACTGATACCTCCATTGGCCAGACAGTGGCTGAGCTTCCTACTCGTCTCGGTCGACCTACCGCCCTCACCCAGAACCCTCATAACGCCATCCTTCACGCTGGACATCAGAATGGAACGGTGACTTTATGGTCTCCAAATTCTCAAACTGCGCTCGTGAAGGCTCTTGTTCACCGAGGGCCCGTCCGCTCTTTAGCAATTGATCGGCTGGGTCGCTACATGGTTTCCACTGGCCAGGATCAGAGAATGAATGTGTGGGACATTCGGATGTTCCAAGAGGTGCATTCCTATTCCTGCCACCAGCCCGGTGCGGATGTTGCCATCAGTGATCGTGGGCTTACTGCAGTTGGCTGGGGAACCCAAGTCAGTGTTTGGCGTGGTCTCTTCGATGCAGCGGTTGCCGATCAGGGCAAGGTCAAAAGCCCCTACATGGCATGGGGTGGCGATGGACAACGCATCGAGAATCTCCGGTGGTGCCCATACGAAGATGTTCTCGGCGTCACCCACGACCAAGGATTCGCCAGCCTCCTCGTTCCCGGCGCAGGTGAACCCAATTTCGATTCGCTCGAGGCGAACCCGTACGAGAACACCAAGCAGCGCCAGGAGGCCGAGGTGCAGGCTCTGCTGAACAAGCTGCAGCCCGACATGATCTCCCTCGACCCCAACGTCATCGGTAAACTCGATACCATCAACGACAAGAAGATGCGAGAAGAGAAGGACCTTGACCGCCGGCCCGATGAGCATATGGAGAAGATTAAGAACCGTGGGCGTGGTCGCAACAGTGCTTGCGCAAATACCTGCGTAAGAAGGGTCGTGGAAACGTTATTGACGAAAAAAGACTCAAGGCGGAGGCTCTGCGCAAAGAGCATGCGGAACGTCGCAAGAACCAGCTTCAAAACGAGCGCGAGGGTCTTGGGCCGGCCCTGGGTCGGTTTGCGAAGAATTCCTCCTAGGACTTGTGTCCGGTTTCGATTATTTTCTTTTGGCTATCACAAGGGCAGCAGAGCCCAGGGCCATTATCAGATACCCAGCTTTATGAGGTCCATCATAGAGATCCAGCGGTCATGCATTTTAGGCGTTGGGACGGAATGAGCTATGTATCAGTATAAAATTTTGGAACGATCCAACGTGAATAAAAGCAACAATCTTCATAATCCCCGAGCAAGCAGGTCATCTACTAGTGAAAAGGTTTAACTTCCTAGGGATGTCATTTTACTCCTCCACACTTCCCGATCCCCTAGGAGCTCCCTCCTTCCACCTCTGCAAACTCACCTCATAAGCCCCGCTCCCCTTCCAAGCACTCAGAATCAAATCTTTGATGTCCTTCACGCGAACCCCATCTTTCACCACCGCAAAAATAGTAGGCCCCCCTTCTCTCATCTTCGCCGCATCCCGCTCCATAACTTGCAGATCTGCCCCCACAGCCTCCGCAAGATCGATCTTGTTCACCACCAGCAGATCTGAGCCTGTGATGCCTGGTCCACCCTTCCGCGGCACCTTGTCGCCGCCGGCGACGTCAATCACGTAGATGATGAAATCCGCCAGCTCGCGCGAGTAGTTTGCAGCGAGGTTGTCGCCACCCGACTCGATAAGAAGCAAGTCTGTGGAGAACTGCTTCTGAAGGGTCTGGAGGGCGAGCAGGTTGGCACTGATGTCTTCGCGGACGGCGGCGTGGGGGCAGCCGCCTGTTTCGATGGCGCGAATCCGGGAGGGGGCGAGGGCTTTGTGGCGGGTGAGGAATTCGGCGTCTTCCCTGTGGTTGGAAAGGTTAGATTGTACTCGTGTTGCGGTCAGGCATGGTAGGTTGGCATATCCACGTGCTTGTTTGCGTGGGTTTATGTCCAACAGATATGCTACTAGGACCAGTGAAGGGATCGTACTTGGTAAAGATATCGTTTGTGACAGCGGCAATGTTGAACTCGTCACGGAGGGCGAGGCAAAGCTGCTTCATGAGCGCAGTCTTGCCAGATCCAACGGGTCTAGATCGCGTGCTTGTCAGTACCTCTGCTGTACGGAGACATAGTCTTGGATTTGAATGAGCCAATACTTACCCTCCAATGCCAATGGTAAAGGCACGGTCTTTCCAATCACGGCCCTCGATCAATGGCATCTCTCGGTTCACGAAAGAGCCTGGCCCGTCCAGAATCTCGTGGGAGTGGCCGTGGCCGTTAAAGGGATCGTCATGGGAGTGACCAATGCCACCATCGTGAGAGTGAGAATGGGCCATTTTCTTCTAATTTTCTGAATTCCAAGAGAAGATCTTTTTTTTCCCTACTGAGGTGGCCGGAGAGGGGCAATGTAAGGGTGTGGGGGGGGCCCTATTGATAATAACCACCGATTCGTTATCGATCGCGCGGAGCTCGCCGACTCCGGATCGCTTTTTCTTGGCTTCGCTTGGTAGGGATTGCCTAGGAAATGTCTCGAGGGGTCATGATATTCGCTTTGGACTTGTTGGCAGATCTATAGGGCTACTGGTTGCATCGTTCCTATGCCCATATCCTTTTTCAATTATTCGAACTAAATATGGCATACCCCGCTTGATACCATTCATCTCAAGGGAATGGTTCAGCAAACTTGAGAATATTCTGAATAAAAAGAGCCCAAAATATACTACGGTTCTTCCCACTAGTCGCCGAAGTAGGAAAAAAGCCAGCTGAGATTCGTCCACTCCTTTGCCCCATGGGCGTACAGGAAGACTTTCGCGAGCGAGAACCAAATCTACTACATGGATATCAGCCTGACTTCAGACCTAGTGATCTGCTTAAATTGACCCTCGATAATGGCCCAAATCTTCGCTGCTGTCCCATCTTCTTACCTCTCCTAGCAATCCAGGAAGCTTTAGTCAAGACATCGTCGTCCTTCTTATCAACCGAATACACACACTCATTCCACTGTCCTCATCAGTCCCCATAGCGCGGGCATTCTCAACCTGTCCTTAGGATCTCTCTACTATCCTACTACGAAGTGCATGCCCGTATTCGGTAGCAGAGAAAAGATGGCGCTCCCCACTCTCCACCGACGAAGTTTGCTTGGGCGGCACAAAAAGACAGGCTAGAGCACCTAAAGCTGCGATAATTTTAGTCGCATCTTATATGATTCCACTCCGCGCATTGTCAGGAGACGTGTGGACGAAGCTGACTGTCGGTGCTTGGCGGTTTCCTAAAGACTTTGATATGCAGAGGGACAGTTTTCCCCACAGGAAACTGGCCTTGGTCGCGCACAAAACGCGACTATCAAATGTCCTATATTCGTCTCACATCTTTTATTCGACTGCAAATGATGACCCCCGTCAGAAGTCCAACAAACATACTCAATTCGAAACCGTTTCGAATAACTTGACAACAGCTCATCAAGACAGTTGAAACGCCACTAGCGAATCTGGATCTTAACTGAGTACTTTATCCACCTACAAGCCGAATACACAAAGCCTTGTATTTCTACAGATTGGTAACAGAAGGGCTGTTACCAGAACAGTTTCAACAGTACCTATCGGAAACGATTCAGGATCTGTATCGATCAGCCGGTAAAGGTTAAAGGTCGATGCTGCCATAGTTTAAGTTGATTGAAATGTACATGCTACATGAAGATTTTAAAATGATCCGATATAACTTCGCACGATGCTGGGATATATGATATGTCAACGCAACAAGCCAAGGCCTACATATCGAGGAAAGTCATCCAGGAACGGAATAACTCACCCCTTGAATAGACCTCCAAGCGCGTAGACGTAGATCCAGGAAATATCAGTGCACACAATTCACAAATCAAGAAGAAACATGAAACCTGACGCCAGGTGCAATTGCCAACATGGATATCAAGGAGTTGGCCTTCTTATTCCCATAAGGCCACAAGCAGAAGCAAGGGGCGAACGCCCAGACGACGGAAACCACAATCCAAGAAAATAAAAAAGAAAAGAAATTCATCAAACCCCGGGCATGGCAGTGGATTCCCAAGACTGAGACAAGAGTAAAGACATTTAACAGGGAAAAGAAAGTCACAAGTGATGATGATCCCGAGCCAACCGATAAAAGAAACGCTGAAAGGGAGATAGAGTACATTAATGGAGATGGCAGATGCCAAAAGCCCAGTATGAGCCGTTTAGATCCACTTGCAGGAACCTCGTGATATATCTTTGCAATGGGTCAAGGAAGCAATGAAAGCCCCAAGACAGGTTTTATCGTCAGAAGACCGAAAGACAAGGAAAGAAACAACTTCGTTCCTCTTGAAAAAAGGCCGGACGAAGAGAGCAGATATAACAAGCGACCATATTGGAGTGCCTCGTCCTGGTATCCCAAGGTACGCCGATATCCCCCATCTTCTTAAGACGAAAACATTGACACGATAAGCACGGGATGGTATATTGCAACCCCAGTCATCAGGCCGGTGCGCCCTTTTGACGCTTAGGAACCCGGGGGCTAGGCTTAGGCTTTCCGCCAGGGGCAGAAGTCCCATTGACCTCGCCTCCGGCACCATCCTCGCCCTCTTGTTTAACAGTACTTGCTCGGCGACGTTTGTTGCCGCCGACATTTGGACTATTGTTGATGCCAGCTGGGGATGGTTGAACACTGCCAGGCATACCTGGCGCCCCGCTAAGCTGACTCTGCGCGGGACTTGGATGGGCGGAGCCGCTAAGATGGGGAGAGCCCTGGGGAAGGCCAAGATGGGCCATGGCCGGAGAAGCGAACTGGGAGGGAGGGCCCATGTTTGGACCACGGGGACCGACTTGCATAGCCGGATTCATTCCAGGCGGAAACCCAGGTTGCGGATTGGGATTCTGCATGATACTATTGACTAAGCCACGCAGGGCCTCCGGAGGTGATAGTGTCGGGTTTGCCTGGGAGAAGGAGACGAGCTGCTGCATTTGATGCATTGTCTCAGCCACTTCCAGGAATTGGACCACCCCAGTTGGCACACCGTTCGAGGTCACCATTGACTCGGGGATCGGTGACTGTGGTGGTTTTTGGCCACGCTTTGCCGCAGCCTTGCTGACTTTGGGGCTTTGTTTCAGTTCATTTGCTTCTAATGACTGAACAATGCTGCGAGGGAGGAATTCACAATGCCCTTGAACTTCGATCTGCATCGATTCGATCTTGTTGTTCATATCAAAAAGAGCATGCAATTTCCCGCGCGTAAACACCTGAATCAGTAATTAGTATGTTTCCGAATGGACACTATCTTAATTCCAATAAGTACCTGGCTATCGTTCATGAACCAATAAATTAAAGAGATTCGTGATTCCACAAGATGAGCCCCCGGGAGGCAATTGGATTCTCACGGGCACCTTCAATAACCATTTGGATTTGACGAATTCCGGTGGTGAACTGGGTATAATAGAATCGAGCAAGAGCCGGGTTGGAGATTTCGAATTGCTTCGAGTGACCCGTCTGAGAATCGTAAAGGTTTTGGCGAAGTACACCAGTGGGAGCGTAAAATCTATCCACAAAGCTCTGCCAATATTGAATATCCATGGCTTCGTTCCGAGGCTGGTTCAATGTTAGTAAGAACATGACTATAGCCTGTGACTATGTGCACATACCGTGAAAACGCCTACTCCGTCAGCATAGCTGTTCAGGGCCAAAATTGAAGCACCCTGTCTCTGTGGCTGCTGCATCTTCATCATCATGGCATTCTGCTGTGCTTTCATCTGAGCGTCCTGGGCAGCCATGACTTGGAAGTTTTGAGCATTGGGTTGACTCTGTGGGCCTGGGGCAGCTTGTTGAGACTGCTGCTGGCCACCTTGGTTTCCTTGCTGCTGGTGTTGCTGCGGTTGTGATTGTGGTAACTGCTGCGGTTGTGGATTTGGGGTCGCTTGGGCTGGTGCCCCCACGCCTGGCTGTGGAGGCTGGGATGATGGAGGTTGTGACGTTTGGCTTGGCTGGGGAGTGCTGCTCTGCGGTGGGCCATGTTGAGACTGTGGAGTGCCGGTTTGCGCCTCGTGCATGTTGGGTGGTTGCGCCGACGCGCGTTGAGGCGTCTGTTGGCCAGGCTGGCCATTATTCGCCTGATTTTGCTGTGCTTGTGCTTGCTGCGCCTGGGCTTGAGCTTGAGCTTGCTGTAATGCAAATAACTGTTGTTGTTGTTGTATATTCTGCGGCGGGCCATGTGGAAATTGTTGTTGCTGCATCATGGGGTTCATAGGTCTCATTCCATTTCCTTGCATTGCAGCCAGCTGAGCAGCATTCAGTCCTTGTGTTCCATTGGGAAGTGAAACCGGAAGTCCATGTTGCTGTTGGTGTTGCTGCTGCGCTTGCTGCTGCTGGATCATCATCCGTTGTCGCATATATTGCTGTTGCTGCATCAATTGGGGATTCCCTGGAACTGAGAAGTAAAGAGTGTCATTAGCATATGTTTTTGATCCACATGATAGGAAAGTAATATCATAATCCGCGCGATCTCGGATGGCCCGCGGATTACAGGATCCGCGGGGCCTGTGGGTTCAAGCGAATGATATTTCGTGACCACAGAAATGAGATTGAATGAGCGCTGCGATAGGTAAAAATACTTACAATTCTGAGGGAATCCTCCCTGCTGGAAGACATGCGCCTGTGCGGGGTTGAGGTGCGAAAGGGCATGAGAGCTGGGCATCGGGCCACCAGGACCCACGCTTCCAGCAGCACCCGGGGGCATGCCACCCATCATCGGACCAGCTTGGCTAACCTGCGGCCCACCCGGTGCAGATACACCAGGATGCATTCCTTGAACCATGCTGGGTCCTGGGTGTCCGGCATTTGGGTGTTGAGGCATTGGGTGATGACCGGGAGGCATGCCGTGTTGCGGCATGCCTTGGCCGCCGGGGAAGGGTTGCGCCATCATCATCGCTAGAAGGCGGCGACGACCGCGAAGAGACCTTTAGGGAGATGACCGACCACGAGCGCGACAAGAAAGCGACGGGGAAAGGCGGGAGAAAATGGCGCGACCGCGACTAGGTATGGCAGGCAGCCTTAGCGCTTCGAAGCCGCAATCCGAGCGATCGAATCCAATGACGTGGTGACAGACCGACGCATGAAATGAACCAAATCACCAATGGCGTCGATCTCGTATAGTACCCCGTGAGTTGGTGGCGAGACACCTGGAGATCACGGATGGGAGTCTTGGGAGGTGTTTCGGGGGGCGGGAAATGGATGCAGAAGTAATAGGGAGGCGTGGAGGGGCTGGGCCAGGCAAGACCGGTGGAGGGAGCAGATCGGCTCACACAACTCACCGAGCCCAGGACCTCGAGGTTGGCGAGTAATTATAGGGGTCGAAAGGGTCAGTCGCGATCACCCATTAGCAGTGTCGAGGATGATCGCCCAGTTGGGAGCAAGAGGGTACTGGGGACGGAGGAACCGGTCCGAGAGAGAGTGGAGGATGTAACCGAGAAAAGAAAGAACACCCAGCGGGAATGATAGTGAGCCTCTGCGAACCTAAGGTTGTAGTGACGAAGATTAGATGGAAAATCAAGCGATAGAATTGTCCTTGAGGAGATTGCGGCCGTCTCTGTCCTGTCTCCTGACGCTTTTTCGCTCTTTCTCGCACTTTTCGTCGCAATTCTAACCACTCTCGCGCTAACCCTATTAAGGGTGTCACGTGGCAAGGTGTATTTCTGCCCATTTTTTTTCTTTTGCTTCCCTCCTACTTTTGCTTTCATGTTTATCTCGCGTCCCAACTTCCACTATTTGAAGTCTCTTGGGTAATGAATGGACTGGCTGATCTAACTTTGATTTTGGGCTACTGTAATGCTCTCTAGCCCAGGATTTTACAATTAATATCACAATTAATATCAGGATTACCAGGCCTGCGCTGCCCGAACTTCTCGTGGTAAGTACAAGCTTAAAATTTTCTTTTCCTTTTTATCACCCATCTTGGTTCAGGGATGACAACCACTTTTACTTCTTTACCTTCCAAGTCGACCATGACGAGATAATACGGGCCTTCCATTCCCGGTCGGCCTGCTACTTGCCAGTATACTTTGTCTGAGAACCATTTTTGAATCTCACATGTTGCATTGGAAACAACGAGGAGACATGTGCTAATTCGTCTATCAGTATCGGGCCGAAAGATTATTTGGTTGATTGAATTGCAAACTTCGACGGCTTCGGTAGAAGGTGCTTGAGCTCGCCAGTTCATGGATCTTAACACCTGCGCAGGGAACATGTCGTCCCATTCTATTCATACATAATAATATAATGCTCATGAACTACTTGACGTACGCGGTTTACTTGTCGGAGAAGTTTCTAATTATGATTCCTACCATATTGCCTCTTAGTATGCGTAGAGTACCTCGAATATGTCCCACTAACAATGTACTTCCCGCGCAAAACATCTGAGACAATGTTTAGTTCCCATTGGCGTAGCATGATGGAATCGTGGCTTGTTGGAAGTATACCACTAATGGAGTAATCAACTCTGGGAAGCTGCCGGTGCTCGTACATGGTCTCCATGATATGGATAATATACGAGTCCTCTGCACTAGGGGGATTTCTGGTCAGACTTGAAATGGCGCACTTACATAAATATCAACTTGGATGTAAGAATTAGTGTTAGTTGTACCAGGTTTCAATGACTTGGAGCTCAACATGCACGGCTTCAAATTGAAATGTACGCCAGGATCTCCCACGACCCCATCAATGGCCGAATTACCGCTACAAGTAGTGTGTAGGTGGTCTATTACAGTGAGAACATATAGTGTCAGTGCGGTCTATTACGAAAGGGGGCTTCTTCAAGTTTCGAATGTTGGACAGGTCGGAATGGCTTTATAGCAGTAAGCATTCAATTAGGAAAAGGCTAGCACAGAAATTCATGACAAAGATGCATAGTAAAATGGTAAATAGAGGCTCGGAACTGTATTCCAGGGTTAAAGTGTTCTAGTTCTGCGCTGGCACTTAGAAACAGCCCTTACAATCGAAGAGGCTCAACCGAGCCCAGTATTTCACGTGACCTTACATTTCCTCCGACTCGGGGCGGCGACTCGTCAATATGATTCTCGAGTATCCTTGCCTTCAATTCCTGCCCACAGGAGGCTTATTGTGCTCGACTGGATGTATCCGCCAATGCCAGTGGCCCGGTGGTCAACCGTCGCACGCCCATGTCGATTAATCGCCCGTCGCCGGTATCCTATCCCTTCGTCGGCACACTCGCGCCGCTTTCATATTTCGCGACAATGGCAATCAGCATCGTCTCCGCCAACCGAACCTGGTGAAGATCCTCCCACTGGGGACTTGATTGATGATATACAAACTCCGAATCTTAATCATGCATCTGCAAATTCCTCCTTAAACCCCGCTGTGATTGACAAATCGGTGGCAAGGCCATATGGCTCCGCTGTTCGAAGAGCTATGAGGAACAAGCAGCTAGAGAGCCAACAAAAGGTTTCGCCTGCTGCCACGGTGCCCTATTGGTTTTCTGACCAAAACACTGTTGTCCGGAGCTCAAACCCTGATGAACTTCTTGTAGGGCAGCCACAACAGTGGGTTGGGATTAAAAAGACATCCGTGCTGGCTCCAGATGAAGGAAGGAACAATGGACTGCCTTCAGGACCTAGCAGTGAAGATCCACCACCCTCGGGTGAATCCGCACCTGAGAATCGTTACTCGGTGCCGGAAGAACTGTGGATGAGCTACGAGCATCCGTCAAGGCAGGCCTTCGACTTCCACCGGTACAATATTCGAAAGAGCCTGTGGCAAGGAAGTCCCACTTAATCCTTCAGTACCCAGGCAACGATGGCATCCTATTTCTGGATGCTGTTGTTCGGCAGCTCTCTCAACAATTGAATACGGATTTGATCACTCTCAATGCGCAAGATATCGCTCAGTTGTTTAGCGAGCAGGACTTTGCCGAGACTGGCTCAACATCACAAATACGCTCGCTTGGTTATGAGGTTTATCGACCAACGGTCGCGACGTGGCCCGAAGCTGAAGGCGATGGGGAGGGTGAAGAAGAGGTCGCTGATATTGCATCTGTTGCCCAGGGAGCACGGACTGAGGTCAGTACCCCCCGGTTCATCACCATTGAAGCTAGCAGAGACACCGGTGATGTCCCGCTACCGAACTGGCTAGGATTGAAATCCCTTGTTGCCTCGATGAACGGCCAGGGTGAGCAAGATCCCAGTAACATGCGTCATTCTTGGCAACGTGCGGAGGAACGGTGGACGCGCCTTTTGAATGAAATCATCACTTCGCTTGGCAGGCCAGCACTTCCTGCTCCTGAGAAGACTGAGGCTACATTGGAACCTAACACTGCCCCTTCGGTTTTGCCGCGCGACACCATTATACATGTACAAGACTACCGTGATATCCAAAGCTCAAGGGCGGGGTCTAGAGTGATTTCCCTCCTCCAGAAGGTCATTCAAGACCAGAGACGGGCTGGCTCACGGATCATACTTATTGGCACCACCTCTCAAGAACTTCAACAAGCCTTCTCGCAGGATGGGTCTAGCATCTTACAGAACGTGTTTGAAGATAACTTCTCGAAAACCCTGGTGATCACACCAGCAATGGATGCAAAGATTGCCGAGAAAACATTCGCAGAGGACCAAAGGAAACGGACGATGGATATCAACATCCGCCACCTCCAAAGCATGCTACGATACCGACTGAATGAAAATTCTGCTGCGATAAAAGATGATATCTTTGGTAATCGATCTTGGCCGCTTGATTCGCTTACTTTGAAGCTATCTGGAATCAGGGATCGCCTTTGGTCTTACAACCAGGTACACTGGGTGGCGACCCTGGCGCTTGGCAGTACGGAAGCGGGTGAGCCCTTTGGTTTCGAGCACATTCGGCGAGGGATTCAACTCATGGATAAGGGCGATCAAGTGACGAGCGAGTGGCTTAAGGAAAAATCACCCAAGGCCACCGGCTCGGCCAATGGTCAAAGCCGTGAACAGCTTCTGAGCTCTCTTCGAAAGACTTGCAACGCCCATGAGAAGAAACTACTCAATGGGGTTGTCGATGCCAAAAGTATCCGGACGACTTTCGACCATGTCCATGTTCCTCCTGAGACTGTGGACGCTCTGAAGACTCTGACATCCTTGTCTTTGATCCGCCCGGAAGCCTTCACATATGGTGTCTTAGCAACGGATAAGATTCCGGGGCTTCTGTTGTATGGTCCGCCCGGTACCGGTAAAACCTTACTTGCTAAAGCAGTCGCACGTGAGAGTGGGGCGACTGTCCTCGAAGTGAGTGGATCTGAAGTGTACGACATGTATGTCGGTGAAGGCGAGAAGAACGTCAAGGCCATTTTCACCTTGGCTAAGAAATTAAGCCCATGCGTGGTGTTCATCGACGAAGCGGATGCCATTTTCTGTTCCCGCACTGGCTCCAGCAACCGGACGTCGCATCGCGAATTGATCAACCAATTCCTTCGCGAATGGGATGGTTTGAACGACCTGTCAGCATTTATCATGGTCGCTACCAACCGACCATTTGATCTGGACGATGCCGTGCTCAGGCGTCTGCCTCGGAGACTATTAGTGGACCTGCCAACCGAGCAAGATCGTCACGAGATTCTCAAGATTCACTTGAAAGAAGAGCAACTCGACCCTTCAGTTGACTTAGCTGATCTAGCGAAACGAACCCCATTGTATTCGGGCTCCGATTTGAAAAATTTGGCTGTCGCAGCGGCTTTGGCGTGTGTCCGTGAAGAAAACGAGGCCGCGCTTCGACACCAGGGTGACGAACCGTACACGTACCCAACACGCCGCACCCTCACTCTTGCCCATTTCGACCGGGGCATGGAAGAGATCAGTGCTTCCATCAGTGAGGACATGTCATCGCTGTCGTCTATTCGCAAGTTCGATGAGCAGTATGGCGATCGAAAATCTCGTCGACCGAAGACGGCCGGCTTGGGGTTTACTTCTGCTAGTGATGCACCGGTCAAAGAAACTGTGCGAGTTCGGGAGTGATCTTCCATAGCAACCTGTCAATGGGCATCCCGCCCTGTTGTAATTTTAGGTAATGATAGACATGTACCAATACTTTTGCAAAATCTGGACATCTGACCGTGGGAGCTTCTATGATGACAACTTTGGATTTCCTCTGGTCTAATCAGACGGGCAGCAAGCAGAGTGTTCCTTCGATTGGAGCCAAATGTGCCCCGAATAGAAGGGAACATTACTCATATCCAGCCATTAGTGCTGTGTCGGGTCAAAACTCCTAGTTTAAAGTAGATCTGCTGAAATGATGCGTTCATAATCCCTTCACACGCCTGATTGGAGCGCCGACTCCGCACTCCTCAACAGGACCTTTCTAAGCAGCACTGTTTCGACTGCCTCTGCCCGTTCTTGATCCCCTCATCCGTCTGATCCCTCCCACTAAGTTTTGCATCAAGGGCGCTGGACTGGCTAGGGTTCGAAGGCACGTGCTCCGATCACAGCGGGATTGGACTCCACTGCCACCGAACTTGGACAGCTTCTTTTCCTTCGACCCCGCGCACATCGGTGGATGTGTTCCTGTGCTTGGGTTACGTCCGGCACCAGGAGCGTCCTTGAGTCTATTTTCTCTTCCTCTATTCTACTCCTTTGTTGGCCCCGCGTTGTTTTGACGCCTCTCTACCGAGTTTCGTCCCCAGAACTTTCGCCATGTCCGAGAACCGGGAGGCGGCCATCCGCGATGCTAAGGGCTTCGTACGTCGCGTAGTTCGAACGGACTGGGAGTATCCGACTCTAGCGGATGGCTTACATCCAGGATCTGCGTCATCCGGTGAATCGACCCTCGCCCTGGTTGAAGATCGTACGGTCCAAGAATGGCGCCTCCGAGAAGTCGACAGCTCTGGTTCTGAACTTGAGCCCCAATCCTCCGATCACGATCCTGACGCCGATTCACCCCATGCAGAGCCCACCGGCGACCCCGCGCATGACTTGCGTCGCAAGAGACGCCGCCAGATGAAGGAAGAAATGGAATGGAACGAAGGACTCCGCATGTGGATGGCTCGACGTGACGCGTGGTCGGGAGCTCGAACCCGGCGTCAAGTTCTTTCCAAAGAAGGGAAACGCCAGTCCTCCGTCACTCGTGAACCCCCTGTGCGCCCCAGCGCGCACATTGAAGATTCTGCGCTAGAGAGTGCTGGCGACGCATCCGCCCGGGTTGTGGGTACTTCCCCACTCTCCGATCGCCAAGCTCAACCCCAGACTGGCCGTACCGAGTCCAATTTGACGAAGAAGACATCGAGTTCCTTGTCCGTCTCGAACGTGTCCAATGAAGAGCAATCGCGCCGACAGGATCCTGATGATGAGCACTCCACTGCGCCCGAAGAAGACCCCAAGGGTCAGGCGTCGACGGAGACCAGCATCACGGAACCCGACGCACAGGCCTCTCTTTACCACGCATTGAGCGCTGCCGATGTGAACGAAATAGAAGACGACGGCTCGTCAGTGGATATTGATTCCAGTGAGGAAGAAGCGCTGGATGAACGCCTTATCCCCGTCGCGCCCCCTTTCCTGCCATCCTCCAATCCCATTCGTTCCACCATTACGCCGGCTATCTACGCATCCATCTACACTAAGGTGATCGTGCAGGGCATGACCCCCACTATCCCGATCAATTTGGCCGACCTGACGAAGGCCATGGTCCAAGGGTGGAAGGCGGATGGGCAGTGGCCTCCGAAGCCCGCAGTCTCCAACATTGTCCTCGGAGACGACGCGACGGTTCCCAAGCGGAATGATAACCTCGGCGATGGGCAAGCATCTGCTCGACGCAAGAATAGCATCACAAGTGCTATGCGCAAAGTCTTCCACAACCCGTTCCACCGCCGTGGCAGTACCCAGGATTCGAGCGGACTCAACGGCAGTGGCACGGTGACTTCTCCCGGAGGCACCTCCCTCTAAGCATTCTGATGCCCGATTCTCATGATTCATGACTCGAACATACGTCCTGTGCTCTACATGGATGTCTTTTTGCTTTTGTTTTTGTTTTTATTCCAAGTTACCCACGCTCTTCAAATTGCATCTGGCGTCAATTCTGGGGGATACTCGGGCTGTGCTTCTTGTGGCTTACGGTGGGACGGGCATTTGGGAGAGGCGCTGCCTGCAAGAGGGCTTTAACTGCTATGGTAACATTTCCCCTTTTTTCGTCGGACCCAATGACTGTTCACTCCCCAGATACCACGGCTGTGGCTCCCTGCTTTTCGTCGGCGTCCCTGGCTGCTTCTTCGTCGGCTCCATCGTTGGTACATTTTTTGTTTTTTCTTTTGGTCAGAGATACAAACTGTGGATTCTTTCGCACATAGCCATAGGAATGCCCCATTGGATACAAAGCAAAGTAGATGTTTCGAGGGGCCGAACATCGATTTCATTCAAACCCTCTTCTTTAGACACGAGCATTGTACGTTAGATTGGAGCACCTCCTGTAAATCATATCGTGGAGAGTAGCATACTTATCCCACGGCTTATATGTCCTTTGAGGCTACTTAGTCGTATCTTGACTGGTATACTCTGTCCAACTAATAAACGCTGCAGCTGCCTCAGGCAAAAACACCTGGTCTCTGGCCTTAACATTCTAGCCAATTTTCCATTGGAGCCAAATAGTAGTCCTCATCCTTCCTTCCTAACCCGGACTCCGTAGGCAGTATGATTTCAGCATTGGCCCTGATCCTTCCAGGCCTAATTTGCCAAACTCGTTTTGCGAAAACGCTTGGCCTGCTGCTCGGCTTTGGACTCGCCATGGAACTCCGTATCAGCTCGGAATATTGGCAAGTTATTGATCGCTCCGACTTCCATGGGCCATCCCAGCTGGACAGGCTCATTTCTTCGGAAACGGTCGTGGGCGTTCCTCCCCGCAAAGGCGCCAAGCCTTCCGCTTGCTACATTCCGTCCCCTTGCAGGACTCGGATCGTTGATGATACCAGCGAGCCACCAATCAACTACATGCCAGAAAGGACGGCCCGAGGACGTAACTCTGATGAAGAGATCGTCCAGTCTTTGCAGACATTCCCGGGTTTGATCGTCCTCGCCTTTGTGCATGGCGTGCGACCTGATTGACAAGCAGCAGAAGGCTAGCTGTGGGAATTGGTAGGTAAGGTCGCTTGGCCCATTCGGACGAGACTCTTCATTCGGCAGAGAAGCGCCTCGTCGGTAAGGAATCTGTCCGCTTCTTGCATTTGAATGTTCAGCCAGCATGTTTGGCCCATGGGATTGCGTCTCGGGAGCTTCGGGAGAGGAAGTAATGGTACAGGCTCCGTCTTCTTCAGAGAGAACGTGAAGATCTTTGGAAGTCTGTCTCGGCAGAATGCCCAGACTAGGCGTCCCAGATCAGGGAGGAGGGTTCTAATTGTATGCCCTGCTATTGGGAGCTTTGGACGGGGGATCTGGAGCCAGGCCATCGCTGTTGGTTGTCACGAATAGCTGGATAGAAGGCAGGGATCTGCAGCCCAATTAGAAGAGGGCTCCACAACCTTAAATGCGTGCTTATGGCAAGGGGATAAAAGAACGCATAATGGCGATTGCCTTCACACGCCCTCTCCTTTTCTTTCATTCAAGCGTATTGTTCTTAATTTACAACCTGAATGGCGAATGGCCGGGGGAGTTTTGTACAAATGGTTCAAATTCCAAGTTCTTCAAAACATGGGCTGGACGCTTACTCTGGACCTTCTCTACTCCTCCAAACCGGCACTCGGGCAGAACTGTAAACCGCCAGTCGCACGTCTCTCTCCAAAACCCACTGACCAAGTTCGGAGATCAACTGTATCTCACTCGTGTCCATGTGTCGATCCCCGTTCTGCAGCGATGATAATATGGCTAGGTCAGGCTCTGAGTCTCGTCACAGCAATGCTTGCAGTATGTCATGTGGTCCTTGGCTACTGTCTGCACAATACAAAGATTTGGCCGACACTTCCTACTGTCGCCGTCAGCGAAGCCCCTGGGGAGCTTGAGGATTGGGGAATGCTGGAAAACCTCCGGCTGATCTTATGAAACTTTGGATACTGTTGTATGGCTGAGGGTAATGGACATTGAATAAAAAAAAATTCATTCATCAAGAGCTCTAGAATAATTCTAGAAGGTTTTCAAGTCATAACTTCTTGTGAGTTACATAAGGTACATAAGTCTCGGGAAAATATGGCCCATGTGCGACATTTTAAGAATGGAGACCGTTTACCACTGGCAGGGTGGCTTCGCACGCGTCCAGAGTGGGCTTCAGAGTTTGGCTTCTTGGTACATACCAGTTGTTGCCCGCCATGGAGTGGGCGGTGCCCAAGGACACAGGATTCCATCGCCCAGAATTACATCGTAAGCCAGAAGGCTGCTTGCCATGTACCCGGGGCGGTTTCCAACGTTGAACAGGTGTCCCAGGCTTTACTGGGGCAGGCGGTTCTTGCCGGCCTTCTTGCTGGCCTCGAGGGCCCCTTTCAGACCGTATTGGGTGGGAACACCGTTGATGCGGTGAATCGAGTTCAGGTTCTTCACAACAACCATCTGGTAGCAGGTGGCGAAACCGTCACGCGAAGCGATGACAGACCAGGCAAGGAAGAGCTCCCAAATCTGTGCAATGTTAGGCGAATCTCAGGAAACAAGGGGGAATGAAGTTACTTACACGGTACCAGCGAGGTCCGTACTTGGCGTTAATGGCCTCCGCATTGCCCACCCAGTTACGGTACCATCTCCAGAGGGTTCCAGAGTAGTGAACACCGACGGTGTCGACGCTGTCTGAGATCAGTCGATGTCATTGTCAAGGAACCCAGATCATGACTTACCCCTTCACCTCAAAACCAGCTTGTTCCAAACACTTGATGTAGTACCAGAGAGGGGTAGAGGCATCGGCACCGCGGAAAATGTACTTGTTCAGGTAGAGACCCCAGATGAAGTCCTCATATTGCCAAGCCTGTCGCAAGCCCGAAAGCTGGACATACATAGCACCATCATCGTTCAGCATGTCGTAGCACTGGCGGAAGAACTTGGTGAGCTTGCGGATACCGACATGCTCACCCATCTCCAGCTGGGTGATCTTGTCGAACTTCTGCTCGGGAATGTCGCGGTAGTCCATGCACAGAATCTTACTCTGCTCCTCGGGAATATTGGCTTTGCGCAGAGCGTCGTTGGCCCAAGCCGTCTGGTTCTCAGCAATGGTCACACCGGTAACCTTGGCACCATAGTTCAAACTAGCGAAGCGAGCCAGAGTTCCCCAGCCACAGCCAATGTCCAGCATGGTCTCGCCCTCCTTGAGACCGATCTTCTCACAGACGATTGCCATCTTATTATCTTGCATCTCTTCCAGAGTCTCTTCCTTCTCAATGTCAGAAATGATACCGGCAGTGTAGATCATGCGAGGGCCGAGGAACCAGGCGTAGTGGTCGTTTCCGCTATCGTAGTTGGGACGGATCTGCTCCTCATCCTGAGCCTTGGTGTGGAAGAGCACGTCAACGAAGAAGGTGAAGACGATGAACTTGAACAGCTCGAGGGTGAAGGTGAAGTTTGCCCAGTCGTGGCGGTATTCCAAAGCGTCCAGGATATCGCCGTTGAATTCCACGTGTCCATCCAGGTACATCTCAGCAAGAGCGGGCAAGGGAACCTTGTTGCTTCCACGGTATCGGCGTTTGTCTTCCTCCCGCTTGAAGGTCAAGTAGTGTTCCACGGGTCGGCCGGTCAATTTGACCTTTTCATTGGTGCGAGGGCTGAGGGAGGAGGCATAGGTCCAGAAGACCACCAAGAGCGGAAGAACTAGTACAAGGGCGAAGAAAATAAAGGTTTTCTTGCCGCCACCAAGGTAGTAGGTGATGAACGCAGGGACACCAACGAGGACCACTCCGAGCAGAACGTTGGAGAAGCTCTCGTTTCCAGGACCGTCGACAGGGAGTGCAGCATTGTGAATAGCCGGTGACTGGACCGAGGAATTAATTAGCAAAAGTGTCTGCAGGGAAGGCGAGTCGGCAATTCGCAAAGGCTCACGTTGGTCAGGGCAATTCCACAATCCTTGCCAGTGTCGAACTGGTTCGGCTTGGGCGCAGGGGTTTCGATGAACTTGATGTCGCTCGTGAGCTCGACATCTTTGGGGCCTCCCGCCATAATCAATTGAGCCTCTCAGGGGGGGGAATTCCGTTCGTTGTCTAAGGAGGGACAAGGAGGAAAAGACGGTGAAGGAGGGGAGACTCAATACGGGAATCCAGCTCCCGGGAGTGATCGACGTGTCCTGCCCCTGTGGCCCGTACGTGACGAAAAACACCGAAGATCGTGCCACCGCGCCTTCCCGTTTGCGCCATAGCTGCCAGTTCTGCATATATCCTGCCACTAGAGCTCATTCGTCCAATAGGAGCATATAAAACACTGTTTCTGACATAGTTCCTTGATTCTAACACTCCCGCAAGCCACATATTGCTCAATACCAAGTCTATTAGAATAGGGAGGCATAATGGCTTTCTTAGCCAATTTTTTTTGGGTTGTGTAGTGGCGATAATCACATTGAATCCTGCGGCTAGTGCATTATCCCTTCAGACCTTCATTATCTGCATGTGGACCGAAATAATGGTTGTCCAAGTAGTGTAGCGAGTCATTTTGAGGCAAACTTTTAATACATTTTCATGTTTGCCGGGGTTCTCTTTCAATAGAGATGGTGGTATGTTGAGGAAATTCATATCATTATGATGATTCGCTATGAGCCCAGTCACTGAACGCCAATGCTAACATGCAATAAGGAGATAACAGTTGAGGCTAAATGTCGAAAAAAGAAGGGAGATGAGAAGATCGTAGAGGTCTCACTTCCTCGTCCGCCACTGAGCACCGGCCGCGGCTCCTCAGGGCACCAGATTTAATCCGCCGACTTGAGATCTAAACTTGTCAACCGCATCCGTGAATGCTTTCTTTGCTGCGTTCAGATCGCCCGCTAACACCTCAACCTCCGACTCGAGCTGAATTTCTTTAGCATCATGGCCGGCTCGAGAGTAATAGTATTTGCCTTGGTGAAGTGTCCAGTTGCGCAAATATGATTGGTAGTCTTCGAGAGCAATCTGTCGGGCGCTGGCGAGGTATTGAGGAGCCAACCTCGCAACTGCGCGCGGTAATGGGTCCGCAGAAGGACTACACAGGGCAGCATCATGCGCATACGCTGTGTCCAGGTTTGAGCTTCCAAGTTGCAAAGACACAGCATGAACAAACTCCAGAAACCATTGAATGTAGGATATCAATCCCTCGCCTTGTTCATTGATCCGGTCGATATAGTCGATAATGGTGAGAGAAGACGAAAATAACCCGACGAAGACTGTCAGCATCGAGATGACAATGGGGTCTTGAAGTCGCAGTGAGCGGTTGGAGAGAGGGCGCAATGCGCGGTATGACGAGTGGAAAACGGCATGGATCATTATCATCACCGAGGAAAGACAAGCCTGGTTTGAGGCGTTAATATTGAACAGCAGGTTCCCGAAAACAAGAGTTGTCGTCAGCACGACAGGCCTCGCCAGGATCCACGACGCTGGATTGAGGAACGAACACTCCAGGTATGCTGGGAATACGCTTTGCAGCAGCACAGCTCGGAGTGTCGGTTGGTTTGGCACTCCATCTTCGATAGTGTCCTTCACGGCTTTGTACAGTTGCTCGACCAAGACAGACTGTTGGTTGTCAACGGCAGCTCTTTCGGAAATACTCTGAATGAACATAGTCAACGCTAATACTTCTTTGTGAGCAGACAACTTCGGTTCGTATCGTTTCAGCTTCGCGACAATGTAGCGCGGGTCCGAAGAAGGCAGAGGGAACAAGGCTGGATCTGTGAAAAACGGGTCCACGGGTCGGATATCACTGGTGAGCTCTTGGAGGAACCTGATGACCTGATGCACAAATTGCACGTAGGCACCCCGGGCAGCTTCCGGATCCCCGTTTCCAGTTTCTCGGTAATTCTTCTGCATTGCTTTCATGAATTGGTGCAGAATGTCAGAATAGTCTTCTTTCGTGACCGACAACTCCGAGCTTCGGTGGAGCTCCATTTGCTGCACATGATCTCGCATATTGGAAAGAATACTTGAGATGAGTGATACCCGCCGTTGAGAAAGCTCAGTCAATGTGATTTCGTAACTGTCCTCACCCTTGGTCTTGGTGAAGGGGAGATTCTGGACGAGAGGGTCGAAGGGGGCACTGTTCAGCAGAGCCTCAGTAAGGCGATGCTGGTATTTCAGCATCGACGTTCTCTCAACCAAAGACGACATCCACATCCCCATTACGAGAATCCGACAATCGGAGATCACCCTTGCATCTTTCCCAACACACATTGCCAAGAAAAGGGGTGCAAAGTTTCGGGTCTGCACAGTGTCTCGTAGCCTAGTCCAAGATTCATCCCCGAATGGATCAAGATAGTTGTCCCACCGTTGCAATCCATGATGGATGAGGATTTTTGCAACCGACGTCCAGCATTGCAGGACATCGTTCAAAATATTATCTTCTGGGTAGTTATCCTCGCCGAAGCAGTTGGACACGGACTGGAAAACAACCGGACGCAAAACTTTCTGCACGTGTTCAATGGCCTCGCTCGGTAGACTCTGCTGGCCTAAAGCGGCATCTATCTCATTCCAGTCATCAATGTCATCAAATTCCTGGCTGTCTTCATTTATAGGAGGAGCGGCAGCGATTTGGGTATCTGGGGTTCGTGCAATGAAATCCTTGTCGATATAAGCCACGATCACCTTCAAGGTATCGGAGACAACGGCATTGACTCGGGGAGACTTTGTACTGAACATTCCAAGCAATGAGTCGAAAGGGGTCTTCACGATAAGTCTGTAGGCATGGTCTAACGAAGGAGCTTGTTCCACAGCAGTTCTCAGACCAGATATTGCCGTCTTCAGAAGGGATTCAATCTGTCGCTGATTCTTGGAGATGGTGCTTTCAATTTGATGCTTAGAAATCCACTTGTCATCTTTCGCCTGGCTCTCGATTTCCTTGCGAGCATGTGCGTGCTGCGATCGGAGCTCTGTGACGAAAAAGCTGTGCCAATCTGCGAAGACATCCAGTCCAGATACATCCTCCTTGGTTGATAACTTGAAGCGAACAAGCCTCGACCAGGAACGCAGGTTGATATCACAAGTCTCGCGATGAGAGGCAGCCGGGTGGACTAGATCGCGTATTGTTTCGACACGGGGTCGACATCCATCTGGAACAGCCCAGTACAATGTGCACAGCAGATCGTGGTGATTTCTCAGAGCATCCAGGTCTTGGGTATTGAGAGGCTGCTCTTTGGGATAAACACGCCCATGATTAGGGAGAAGACGCCAGGCGAAATTGCGGATCTTCTTGTTTTCATACTTCAGAGAAAGAAAATGGAACCCACTTGCTATGATCTTGAGCACGGTGTGAAAACATGGTTCTCCTGGTCGCACCTCTAAGGAAGGCTTTTGGTCGAGGTGGTCAAGGAACGGCGGAGATCCACGGACGTCTTCGTGTTTCATGTTGTACAGTAGCCTGGCAGCAAAGAAATCGTAGAGGACGTCAAGAATAGGTTTGCAGTCCCTCCAACCCCACGCGTTGATCAAGTGGTGGCAGCGATGAAACAGAGTCTTGCAGTAATTATTATAAGACATCGGAGTGGTCGCGGAATTCGTGTCAAAGCTGTTCAAAGCAGGTGACAATAGCTCCTTGACAAGAGGCCAATTTTCGTGAGCATTTCCGAATTGAGAATCCTGAGCCCGGCGAACAAGGCCATCTTGATCAAACTCATTCAGAGGTAGCACTGTGAACAAGGCCCGCCAGGCCGATTCTAAGCTGACAACGTCTTTCGGGTTCTGGACAAGGCCATTAACACAAGTTTCTAACTCTGCCTCGGTGAAGACTCCCCTGTACAGGTCGGAGCTGTGAAGAAGTTGTTCCACCATGACGAATGCGGCGGCAGAAGGGAACTGCTCGCGAATTCCTCCCATCGCAAGTCCCTCTTTCTTCCTGCTTTCGACTGACAGCTTGTGAAGCTCTAACAGACCGATATCACACATTAGCAATGTGAGCGTATCACGAGCTGACGCCTTTACTAGATCTACCGCATCATCTGCAGCGGCGAGACCAGCCAGTTCGTGTGAACCAACTTGACGAAGTTGATTCGCGAACACCATGTTGTAGCATGAAAGCATCATAACACCAGACCTGTTGTGATCACCCGCAAGGAAAGGGCGAATCGAATCTTGCAATCGCCAAGCCAGCTTCATAGCACGATTAAAGAACGCTTTGCGGTCGACCGGATCAATGAACCATGCAGTCGTAGTGACATAAGAGATGACAGACCGGAAAATAAGCTGCGACGGGCTCAATGTAGCTGCTGAGCTTGCTTCCGGTGCACATATCACATTTTGCTCGATATCTTGGCACATTTCTTGAAACACAGTCCCCAACTGCGAGGAAACAGTCTCATTCCAGCTTCCCCAATGGAAAGTTTGGCTCTTAAAATGGAACGTGAATGTTCCTCCATCGCAATCCATATTTCTTTTCGTGATGTCCAAAGAGCGTTTGAACTCGCCACTGCCTATGAAAGTCGATTCGTGGAAGAAAGTACTGGAGTGCAAGGGTAAGGTGCCAAAGTCAACGGAGTAAGAAGGCTGCCAGTTGAAGAGTCCACCCACTCCAAAAGAAGACCTTGGGGGTCCGCCAGGCGTCTGGGGGGTTGCGAATGACGCAGGAGCATCAGAAGGCGAAAGATCCAAACCATGATTTGAAGATTCCGCAACATCCTTAGCACTTTGGTCGATACGACGGGGCACGGCTTTTCGTTTCTCACGACGAGGAGGCCGCTGCAACGGTGCAGCTGGTAGCTGGTTTCTGTTCGCCGGCAGTGCAGGAGCTGAAGAGCTTGGAACGGTCTGAGAGAATGATCCACGGAGTCTTTGATCAGCAATGAATCGATCTAGGGTGAGACTTGGCTTAGACCCTTGTGATGACTGCTTCATGCGGTAGTCACGATTTAGCCGGTTGAGGCTCTGACTGAACACTGATGCTGGTTTTGACAGATTATCCAAGCCTGCAACGTGCATGGGCGCAGAATGAGGCTCGGTCCGCTTGAGGGATATGATTCCGCGGTTCCTATGTATTATCCACTCGTTCCCTCTGCGCTCTAGTCGTCGAATGTGTCGAGAACGAGCATCAACTGTGTGGGTACTCGGTGCAGTTGCGGGAGGTACATCTCCACCTGCCGGGGCATTTTCCTGCTCAACGTCCTGATCCATGTCGACGTCAATGACATCCTGCTCCGGAGCAAACAGCTGATTCCTTTCTTCGCTGGTCCTTTTGTTATTCGTTACCGCTCGACGGATACCATTCGCAAGATTGGAAGGTGGCTGACGCCTTTTTGGCTGCCGCTTCGGTTTATCGAGTTTCGCTTGCCGTATACTTCCACCCCTCCATTCATGCAAAGATTTGTTTGCATCTGCTGTGTCCTCCCGTGTGCTAAGAGAGATGAACTTTCTGGTTGGACTTGCTCGGCCGCTATCTTGCCGTGACCGCGCTCTTCGAGCTGCAACGCGTAAAAATTGAGGCTGTTCTTGACGCGGGCGATGAGCCACATCAGGGGCATCTAGGATACCCAATCTGGGAGCTGAGTTGGTAGATGACTTGGGTCGGCGAGTTGAGGAGTGCTTTGAGGATGACTTTGAAGATGGATTGGAAGACTTCGAGGACGACTTTATTCGACGTACTCCGGCGGATTCGGTAATCCTGGTCTGTCGTTTGAACCGGGCCCGTTTTGTGTTTTTCTCTTTTTGCATCGCACTATCTTTTGGCGTTGGACGCTTCAAGGCTCTTCGCCTTTCACTGGGTTCAGGTCTGTGGCCCGAGCTTGAAGCCACAGGGAACATGTTATCGATTCGGTTATCCTCCATGTTTTCATCGTCGTCTGAGAATGGGTCCGGCAAGCCAAAGGGCCCACGAGGTTTCCCCCGTGAACCCTCGTCGGACATATTATCGCGAACGGGGTCATTAATTTGTTGGTTTGCGTCGTCACTGTCATCAGAATCGCTAAAGTCGAGTAGAATAGGTCGCTGACCTGAGCCTGGTCCTCCCGGCTGACCAGGTTTCCGAATGATTTTCTTAGCAACTCCCTTGCCATCAGCCCGCTGGGCTGCGGCAACTTTTCTGCGTTGGATCTCTCTTTGCCGATCTGCTGAGCTTTGCTGAGCGTGGACTCGAACCCAGGAGGCGGGAAGGACACCACGCGTGCGACGCTGCAACAGTCGGATCTCGCGTTCCTCAACCGTCTCTTCGTCTGATATATGCGACGGCTCTGAATCAGTTCCATCATCTCCTGTTTCCTCTTCGTTTCTATCTTCCGCTGCTACAGAACCAGTTGCTGAATCCGCAAAGTCGTTCTCGTGAGTGACATCGACTTCGGTGTTCGTTGTTCTCGAATTGCCTTCCGTATTTGTAGTTGGAGGCGGCGTAAATCCAGGTGGAAATCGAAAGACATTTGGGTCAAATGGCGGCTTTTCGGTTGATGGGAGACTTCCAGAAGGCGGTGGACTAGATGGGATATCGAATATAGAGCCACCAAAACGTTGACCTGGAGGCGTCTGATGTGGAACCACTCTTTGCTTGGGACGACGCTCTCCAGAGCTTCTAATCCTTGGGAATCTCCAATGTGTGACTTCTTCCTTCGTTTGGAAGAGTAGGTTCTTCGAATGGGAGTTCTTTGGCGACTACGAAGCTCATTTGCACCATTAGGGTGCTCTTGACATCGGCTTGAGCGAAGAAACTCCTCTGGGGGTGGACTAGATCCTGGACCAGTTGGAGTGAAGGAGTCCTGCTCCTGGCTCTCGCCGGATGCCTCAGCAGCTCGCCGTTTCTTCTCTTCCTCGGTCATTCGAATAGGCTTCACCCCTCGTTCCCTCATCTGCCTTTGGTATTGGGCCATCTCGAGTGCGTAGGGATGCAACTGGATTGCGTTTCGTTCTCTAAAGCTCCGTCGCACCGGCTGTGTCACTTCCCGAAGGATTTCGTCTGGAATGTCCATCTCTATAGTTTCAGGCTGTGCAATGCCATTCAGAGGTTCCCCGGCAGCAGGACGGGGAGCCGAATCCTCTAGATGGAAGTCAAGTGAGTCAGGCGGAGATGATAACGGAGAGTCATCGTATGGGTCCTCAGCAACGTCTGCATGTTCCTCTACATTCTCTTTTCCACCGGGCATAACGGGGCTCTCGGCCAAGTTAGCTGGCCGCGAAGAATCCTCAATGTCAATTTTATTCAGGCCATCAGACAGCTGAGAGGCTCTATTGCGTGTTTCGCCGTCGTTTGAGGCGTGATCCAATGCATCGTCAGCACGGTGGTCATTAGAGGATAAGTTGACATTTGTATCGTCCACAACATTCAACTCGTCCGGGGATGAGTCTCTAGATGCGTTATCTTTTTTCCGATTTTCTCCATCTTGTGCCGTGAATTGTGCAGCATTCAAAGGCAAGGAATGTTTCGAGGGTGTGTAGCTTTTGGACAATTGTCTGCGGAGTTGATTGCTCGCAGAGCCATCCTGTTCTGGTGAAGAACTTGGAATTTCCCATACACCAGCATCTTTCCGGAGGCTCGGCGCGGGGACCTGGACCTCAATATGCGAGTGTCGCTTGACAGCTGAGGATCGCCTTCCGTATGTCTTGCGGTCACGTCGTGGCTTGTCATCGGGGGTATTGCCACGCCCGTCCGTCCGCTCAGAGCGTTCAGTATCTGCTTCTAGCTTGGACTGTCTGGAGTTGGTGGCCGGTGTCGATAGCAACTCTACCGAGCCTCTCCGTGCACCCTCGCTGTCAACTTGTATCGGGGAAGGTTTTCCTTCGGGTTGTTCCTTTGCATTCTTGTTCGGCTCGAGCGTATGGGCTATCGGGATAGGCAGGTACTCCAAGTCGACCTCATCTTCGGCGTCAGGGACCACGCCGTCGGCTATACCTTGCACGTCTAAAGTGTCGAATTCTTCCTCTTCGTCCGAGTCTGGGACAAACCCTCGTTTCCGCCATGGTTCCATTTGCATTCTAGGCAAGGCTGACCCATGTCTCTATGGCATCATTGAGTCGGCAAGGAATGGGCACAAAGCACCAGGTGCGTAACGGGAACCGAGAGCCAATCGCGCAAGAAATTCGAGATTGTAGTCTTGGACTCGAAAGACGCGTGTGGAGCAAATCAATTTAGACGCGTTCGCGGGAGCTAATCAGCTCCTGATAAGAGCGGGTCCCTCCAGGTCTTCCGCAAACCTCCCAGCTACGCTTGACGCTACAGTCCTCCCCATGATGAGTCGCAACTTGATTCCAGCGGTCCTTGCGATCGGCGTTGGGGTCTTTACTGGTACATGTTCCCTACTGTCGTGCCTTCCGATTGGCCTCAAGAGAATACTTGAGCACTAACTCAATCTCACAGGCTACTACACTTTCCAGCCGGCTTTCCAGGAAATCGCAATTGAAAGAGCCCACGGGAACTCGCCGTCAAACCCAAGCAACTCGCCCGCTAAAGATCCTTCATCCTCGCCTGCTCAGCCACCAAAGGCTGCAAGCTCCGACCCGGTCTCTGAGGAGAGCAAACAAGCTCGTCAATAGCGGGTCTGAATGCCAAAAAAGAAAACCTTACCCTCATTTCCTGGAACGCTTGCAATAGAAACATGCTTGGTGTGGTCTATTATACAGTTTGAGTCGTCGCCTACCGGATGTTTGAAAGAACTAAGCGTTAGTCGTCCTATGATCATTTTGACGGATACAAAGTTGATCAAGCTACCGGAGGATTGTATAGATAGAATCATGTAAAAACACAATCTGATATTATTGAACTGCGCTTTTTTTTTTGACCCTGATGAAAAAATAACAGAAGCAATCGCAACGCCATGCTCCCAACGATGAGCCAGACATAGTCGCCCTCAAGGAATTTAAATCAGTCCATGCCCCGCAGTCCCAGAGATGGATCCCCATACGCCTATTCCCTTGTCCACAATGCGCCATCAGAGTTCCTCCACCAATTTGTTACTGCCATTTGCAAGGGCCTCGCCGAAGACCCGGCCGGTTGGCGTCCCGAGCCATTCCTCTGGCACACCAACCTTGCAGCCCTGATTACTGCTAACCCAACGAGCCATAGTGGGGTCTGCCTTTTCAGGTTCGGCGCCCTCTTGCTCTGCCGGGGTGGACTCGGTGGCTTCAACGGCAGCTCCCCGGCCACGGCGTTTGGGAGGCTGCTTTCTGAGGAGACGGTTGATAGTGTCCATCTGCGAGTTGTTAGCCTAAGATTGTCTTGCCTCATGCAAGTGGCGCCTTTTACCTTTTCTTCCTCATTTCGCTTTTCACTCAGGTTCTTTCGTCGTCGAGCCATCTCAGCCCGGCGCATGGCTCGCTCTTCCGCAGTGAGGTGCTTCTTGACCTGGGGTTCTGTATGATGATTAATATAGCCGTTGGCTTATATTCTGGTCGATGGAACCATGGACATACCCATCGGGAGTTGCAAAAAATCATTGCCCAGGTTTCCTCGCTGGCGCTTAGTTTGCTTGCCACCCATGGCATCACTGTCCATGTCGTCATCCAAGTCATCGTCGTCTTCTTCGTCGAGATCGTCAACATTGATATCAGGAACGGCACTCTCATCCTGATCATCAGGCTCTCCTGACGCATCAGAGTCCGAAGCTGAAAGAGGTTCCTCCTCTTCTTCTACTTCCTCCTCGTCTTCCTCCTCCTCGTCCTCTTCTAGCTCCATTTCTTTTTCTTCGACGCTTTTTGCGGATTTACCGCGGGCTGAAACAGCAGCCGCTCGTGCGTTTCGCTTTGCAGGTGGAGGCGGAGCTTCATCCATGTCGACATCGCCGTCCGCATCTGCATCTTCATCTTCTTCTCCAGGAGCATCCTCGTCGTCATCCTCTTCTGGGTCTTCGGCTTCCTCTTCATCAGAAGTTTGGACCTCCACAAGCCTCTTTCTGGTGCGACTCGTACGTGGCCCGGAGACGATTGGGTTTTCCTGGAAGACGTTCACGGAGCGGCGGGATCGGGCTCCTGTACCCTCTCGCAATTTGCTTGCGGACATATTTACCCTCAATCGGAGAGATTGGCGGCGATCTTCAGATGGGTTAGGCCTAGATCGCAGGACAGTAACAGATGATGGGCCAGTTCTGGAACGAGTCTGCCGTGTTGATCTTGGATTGAAGTCAGTATCAGGGTCAGAGAGATTCTCTTGCACAGCACGCAGTCGACGTGGTCGAAGGAGTGGCATGGTCGCAGCAAGGATTTATGTTATAGACAATGAGTGTGATGGAAAGCGGATGCAGTGAGTGAATATCAAGAGCAGCGAATAATTTTCCGGTTGCAAGGATGTCCACAAAGCCTCCGAGAAGATATGCGGGGTGGAGGGTTTACAGCGTAAGGCAAAGGTATGGCAAAACTGATTGCAGCTTGCAGTGAATGGGGGAGGGACGAAGTGAAGCGCCCAATCATCCCGGTTTGGGAACCTGGAGGTGCAAACCGGGAAGGTACAGCTCGATCATGTCTTAGGCGCCACGTTGGAGATTCGCACGAACAAAGCGCACACCAGTAGCAGGGGAGTCTGGGGTCGCGCGTCTGCCGTGTTCCCCAGTGCTTCGGGGACGGAGAGGGGAGAGAAAAACTCGAGAAACACAAGACGAGATCAGGGGATTGGGGCAACTCACAAGGAACTTTTTAATTTTCTCTATATACGGCCCTTTCCAATGGGTCCCAACTTTCGCCAACTGGTGGTATCGCTGACGATAGATGAACGAATCGAAGTCACCGATGCGCTCCATTCTGCCGGGCGGTGGACTATGCTGTATAGTGTGTTGAATCAATTGATAGATTGGATGAACACATCGTGCGTATGATTTCATTTGATTTGATTCTTCAGATGGACAACGGATTGTTTCTGTGAGTTTCTAAGGGTATTTTAGGAGAAAGTGGTGACGGGTTTCCAATCTGAAAGGTTTTAGTCGCCAGTACTTTATCACTGCCACCTTAATATATCGAAGCACGGCTGGTAGTCAGGCCCAGTAGGGTATCTGCATATTGGAATATCGCTGTAAAAAGAGGTAGCAATGAAATATTATGAAAAATTAAAAGGATATATAACTACTGCTTTTCCATTCAATATCCAGATTAGCCAAGACATAACTAGCAATTGAATGTCCGGACTAAGAAATCCAGACCAACACCAGCAACGCGCCCCGGTTGCAACAGCCGAGGTCGGGCTCACATGGCGAGTCCGGGGAAGACCAGCCTTCCCACTCCAATCACTTTTCCACCTCTACCTTCCATCCCGGTCTGGCATTCTGACTCCAGAAAGGCCTGAAAACATTAGCACAATGTCAGACTCTACAAAGCCTCCATCTATTCCCTCATGGCAACGCCAAGCTAGCACTGCTCCAGCCAATGAGTCTTCCCAGTCTCCATCTTCATCGCCGATCTCCGACGATGCGCCAACACCGACATCGCGGTCGGAGCTTGTCGAGCAAGCTGCGCGATTCCTCGAAGACGAAGCAATCCGCTCTTCTCCAACAGACCGCAAGATCTCATTCCTGGAGTCAAAGGGGCTGAACAAAGAAGAGATCGACCAACTCCTCGGTGTTTCCCGAAACGAACAGGGTAACAGCAACCCGAGCGCAATATCTGAACAGAGCCAAGAACACCAAGGAAACTCCTCGTCTGCAAACTCCAACCCAAGCCCCTCCTCGTCAACGCCATCCCCCCAAGCAGCTACCATGTCACAAGCCCGATCCTCTCCCGCCACCCCCTCCGCATCCCGCGATGTGCCCCCCCATCATCACATACCCAGAGTTTCTCCTCCAGTCCGCCAAGCCGCCACCTCTCGTGACAATGCAGCGAGTTCTATACACTCTCTATGGCGCAGCCGGCCTAGGCGCAAGCATCTACGGCGCAAGTGAATACCTCGTCAAGCCAATGCTGGCCCAACTAACCGACGCCCGGCACGATCTGTTTTCCACGGCCAACGCCAACCTCAAGAAACTCAACGAGAAACTCGAATCTAGTGTCAGCGAAGTTCCGCCACATCTCCACGCGCACAAGATCAGCCTCCCGGAAAACGAGGACGAAGACACAGACTCCGTAACCTCGGACCCAACAGAGCTGTTCCACCGCGACATCGGCACACAGACGACCCCCACTGTGCTGAGTGAAGCGCTCGATCCCGCCGCGAAAGAAGGGCCAGAGAGTGAGACGACGGCCGATGCGCCGATGCGCGCGGTGACCGGTCATATGAGCAGGCTGGAGTCGATCCAGGCGCAGTTGAAAGAGATTAATGATGTAGAGCGTGAGTCAAGTAGCTTGGAGGATTCTGTGCGAGCTCGTATGACGGATTTGCATCACTACTTGGATGGGCTGATTTACTCCGCGCCGACGTACACGGCGGCGGGATCGGGGTATGGTCTCTATTCGACTACAGCAAATGGGAGTGGTTCGTCTGCGGGTGTACCGAAGTCGGAGGAAGACGCCATTGCCGGTTTCAAGGCGGAGATCCGTGGTGTGAAGGGTGCTCTGCTGAGTGCTCGTAATTTCCCTGCTAGTCGGGGTGGGAGATTTGGGGGAGCTGCTGCAGCCAGGTGATGAGTGATAGATTGAGTATTGTATAGTGCCCTAGGGAGTGGAGAGAGGAATACTAGTAGTTGATATAACTGAGCTGTTCAAGTTGTATTATATAGAAGAATATGGAAATTTCTTATTGGAAGAGTTCTATTCTCAGAAATCTACTAGTATGCCCTCTGCGGGGGTTTGACGACCAACGACCGATTCCGAGTTTGAAATCTGTGAAAACCACTGGTTTATCGCTAAAGTTTGTCTATATGATGCTCTGGGACTGAACTCCCATCAAGCCCGAAAGCCAAGCTCAATCTTCTCAGAAAAATCATCAGGTTCATGGCGATTTTCTTTGCTCGTAAAACAAGTAATTGATCAGACTAGACCCCAAAGGGTCGCAACAAGAAATGAAATACATGGGCATTAAGGGTAGACGGACAAGAAAGAGTAACAGGCAGATAGCCGCTTTATATCGACACTATCGTCCGTCTATCTTCGGTCAGATACAAGGTCCTCAGCCTCTACTTCCGGGACTTCAGGATTTTGACAATGAACCGTGGACCAGCCTATCACATGTAATCAGTATGGGTTTTCAATAATTTGGGAGTGTCAACATATCACTCACCTCCCAGCTCCTGCTCTCGTCGGGATGGTTGTTCTTGAGATCATCAAGAATCGACTCGGCGACATCATACTGACGGGATTGGATCGCGGTGGCGAAGTTACCCAGCTTGCCCAGTGTCTCAGGCTGCAGAGAGTTGCTGTTGATCTGCTGATATAGGACGTTCAAGCTGTTGGTAGTATTCTCAATCTTAGCATTAGCTCGTCCATCCGGTGTTGGCGGGGCTCGAGCTTTGATGTGGTCCCATTCCCTTGACAAGATCTCATGAATTGCAGGGGGCGCCTGGGGTGAGCTCTGGGGCGGAGTACCGCGGGCTGGTCACAATCAGTTTATGTGAAAGCTACAGTAGTGAGTGGGTTGAACTTACGAGCATTGGCGGGCGGCGGAGGAGCAAACCCGGGTCGAGCTGCTTGTGGGGAGGAGGGCACCCGCGACGCCATGGGAGGAGGCTGCACAGCCGCGGCCGATGCACGAGGGGCGTAAGGGTTTGGCGGAGGGGTCTGCGCTGCGACAGGTGCACCGTAGGGTGTCGCACCAGCCGAAGACTGAACAGGTGGGGTCTGCACCTGGGATGCCGGGCTAGGAGCATAACGGTTGTTTGCTGGTGGCATGCTCGGAGGCGGATTATAAGGAGATGGTCCTCTGGGGATTGAAGCCGGCGGGGCCATGGTCGCGCCTGTCGGCGGAGATTGAGGGAGCGAGGCATATGGGTTGACTGGCGGGGGAGGGGACGCAACACTTGAGGCCAAGGGAGATGTCACCCGCGGGGGAGGAGCTGCACCTCGGGGTGGAGGGGGAACAGATGGAGGACGCTGGCCGGCAACAGGTGGAGACTGATTAGGGAAGGGAGAGCTTATGGTAGCGCTGGCCGCGGCAGGGGTACGTGTGCGCGACGGAGTAGATTTGGCAAAACCCTCTGGGAGGTCATTCCACGCAGGCAAGTTAGTGGCGGTAGTATAAGTGGTCACTGTGTTGGCTGGTGATTGGTTCCGTGGTGGCGGAGGAACACCTGCGGCAGCAGGCTGCCCACCAAACGGAGTAGCGGGACCGTAAGGTGACGGCTTGATACCACCAGTGGGCTGGTAGCCACCAGATTTAAATCCGGTAGTTGAGGGAGCAGCGGCAGCGCCCGCACCACCAAATGTAGCGAATGGATTTGGAGGGGGGACCTGCGCTGAAGCAGGAGTATAAGGGCTAGCGGACGCTGGTGCTGCCGCCTGGGCAGGAGGAACATAAGGGCTGGGCGTAGCGCCATAAGGCTTGCTTGGATGAGCACTGTTCAGACCGTAAGGCTGAGAGGGGAAGGGGCTTAGAGCCGCCCTGGGGTGTTGCAGTCCGCTGAGCAGTCCGAGAAGCAGGTGCCTGTCGAGTGGCCAGTCTGATGCGGTTGCGGGCAACCTCAGCTTCCGGATGCTTTTCAGGCACAAGATCCAAGTACTTCTGAGCAACCTCGAGCCGTCCGTGGCTAGCACAAACATCTGCGTACTCGATGTACTTCTCGTAGAGGGTATGAAGACGCCAGTCGGAATCTTTGCTCTGTTCTAGATCCTGGAACTTCGTGACTTGGCGGAAAATAGTGACCTTCTCGATCAGGCCCTGCAAGGCGCGAACATGAACAGAGAACGTGGAGCTGTCAGTGTCGGTCTCGATTCCCTTCTGCTCGTTTTCACGCAATTCTTCAACCCAGATGGACACAACCTTCTCGAGCTTCGAGCCAGCCAAGAAGCAGAACGAAGCATCTTTACGACCTGCCTTGTCCCCAGACTCCTGGTACTGCTCCTCAAGGCGATCACCAAGGGCATCACAAAGGTCAGGGAACTCTTTCTCATCGGCGAATGTGCAAAGAGCAGCCATGACCTCCTTCCAGTTGGAGAGATCGGCGTTGTGGACGACGTCCCACAGGTTCTTGCCAACAATAGAAGCCAGCAAGCGCATATAGTTTGGTCCACCAACCTGTTTTGAGAAATAGTACTCCTGCGCCTTCTCGATACACTTCTGCCCACCGCAGATAGCAATCATGAAAGCATCAGACAAACGATCTTCCTTCAGAGCGACATCAAGAGCTTTCTCAAACTCTCCCAGAAGCAGGGCGCGAGTGATGCTCTTTTCAGCCTCAGTTTCGGATCCGTTAAAGATCTGGAATGGGTTGTTGGTACGGGCACCCTTAGATGCGGCAAGGTCGGTCAGGAAATTGTCATCGGGGGTGGCGTCGAACATAGATTGAAGACGCTTGTGCTTCTTGACAGGAGCCTTTGGTTTCTCAGCCTCGCCATTGGCTTCATCGCCTTCCTTGTTCTCAATGCCAAGCTTTTCCAAGCTATCAGCAGCCTCGTCGGCCTGGTCTTGGAAGCCAAGGTATTCAACCAAGCCCTTGCGAGGGTTCTCGGAGAGTAGAGCTTCGAACACCTTCCAGTCGATCTTTTCTTCATCGCTCGAAGCTTTTGCAGCTCGAGATTCACAGAGGCTACGAAGATCACCTTCTTTCAGCGCGGCCTCGAAGCTCTCAGTGGCATTGCCAACACTCTCATCAACCTCAAAAGGTGTGATCTGGATCTTCGATGCACGCTTAGCCTTATCTACAAGGCCAACAGACACAACACGGCCACCAAACCCGAAGGAGGCGCCACAAGGACGCTCCATCCACCGAGGGGGCTTAGGAAGAGAAAATTTTGAAACCTGAGGCTGTGTCTGGGCCTTGGCAAAGAAGTCCTCTCCATCGAGAGCCTGGTTCTGGTCTGCAATGGCTTGCGAACTGTCGGTCTTTGTGTTTTGGAGAGTCTGGATCGAGATTCGGCCGTCGAAAGAAGCGGTGGCAAAGAAGTTCGGGTTGTGAGGGTTCCAACGAGTCTGGAAAGTCCAGTTGGTGACAACGGGGAATTCGCCGTAAGCCTGACCGGTTTGTGGGTTCCAGCAAATGTTGCGGTTATCCTTGCCTGATGAAAGCATGAGATCGGGATCTTGATCACACCATGAAAGCGAGAGCACGCCAGACTCGTGACCAGAGAGGGTCTAGAGCTCTCATGTCAGTATACGTTATAATTGATCCGTAGTTTTGGATATGATCCTTACTCTTTCCGGTGCATGTGAGTTTCGCAGATCCCAGACGTAGATCATTGGGTCTGAATCGAGAGGTGTGGATGTGATCAGCTTGGTGGGCTATACAATTGTAGTCAGTATAACACGTTTCGCAACTGAAGATCCGGCACCTACCTTCTCAGGGTCCCAAGCAACGGCGCTAACAGCTTTCCGGCCCATATTGTTCAGCGTCAAGCTCTCCTTCTTGGTCTTGACATCCCAGACTGTCACGAATCCGGCACTGCTACCGGTGACCATGATATGAGCGACCTTTTTGTTCCAATCCAAGCATTCGATATCATCAGTGCGAGCCGCATTATTGCCCAGCCTGAAGGGGTTTTCGATGTTGTTAAGATCGTGAATAAAAAGTTCGCCCTTCGCGCCACCGCTGGCCAGGAGGTTTGAGTGCTTAGGGTTGAATTGAAGGGCCTTGATGGCACCGGAATGGTTGGAGGTTCTCGACATCAAGGAGTCACTTTACTCATTAGCCAATGTTTGCCTATTTTCATTACAACGGTTTCAACTCACCTTGCGCCTGCAATTAATTTATCGGCATTCCAGAGGTTCAATGAACCATTCTCTAAGCCACCAGCAATGACACCACGCTTGCTCTCATCGAAATTTGCCCATGCAATATCATTGAAGCTATCCAAAGGAGGCATACGGTTAGCAAAAAGCTAGTCAAGATAGGTCCCGGACCGATCTACCTACCCCGAGTCAGTATCAATCTTAGCTAGTGGCTGTAGCTCCTCGCTCGCATCCTGGTGATCCAGGCTCAAGTCCCAGAGCTCAAGACATGTCTTGTTTGAGAAGTCGGCATCGACAGCACCTGCCCGGGTACCGGTGGCGATCAATGGTGACGCCGCGCCAGGGGACCAAGCAAAGGTGGCCGTCCGTGGGATCTCCCTCAGACGGACCATGATGACAACAGAGGGTAGTGGGGGTAAAGAGGGGTTCAGATGTCAATACAAGAGATACCAAGGGTCACTCAAGAAAAAGGAAATTCGATCCCACCCCTGTACAAAAAGAACAAATTGAGCCACGGGGGGTGTGATGGTCTCGACTTTCCTCAGTCCAAGTCGTCCAAGTGGCCTCCTGGACTCTTGGAGGGACCGGGAACCCGCGCTAGTCCCGATTTGGTACTCGCCAAAACACCGAGGCCTCTGCACGTGATATCATTTCTCTGCATTGAGAACAGAGACTCGTTGGAGCCACCTTTGGATAGCTACATTTGCAACTCACGGAGAAAGTCGGTTTTTTGCGAAGCAAAAGTGAGGATCTCACTCCCTTCAACGGCTTTCTTCAATATATTTAACTTGCTCTTCCAGCTTTACCACTCGACTTAAGCTCATTCGGAACAACCCCATCCCACCATGAGCGACACCACACGCCTCAGAAGTACCGTGTACGTTGGTGGTCTGGACCAGGCTGCCACTGCCCAAACGCTAGCCGAAGCATTCGTACCATTTGGTGAGATCGTCGACATCTCCCTTCCCAAACCGGATGCTCCCAATTCCGGCGATACCCACCGCGGGTTCGGATATGTGGAATTCAACCTCCCGCAAGACGCCAAAGAAGCTATCGATAATATGGATGGTAGTGAGATTTATGGTCGCACTATCAAGGTCGCCCCTGCGAAGCCTCAAAAGGATGCCAACGAAGGCTTGGGTAGCAAGACAGCAATTTGGGAACAGGTACGTGGGGGTTATATCTTGATATGCTTATCTTGTCGCATTCTGTCTGACAGGTCCATTTTTCTACAGGAGGGCTACCTAGCCCAATACGCTGTCGCTGAAGAAGATCGCCGAGCTGCTGATGAAGCTCGGGAGGCGAGCAATCGTCCACAGGACCCAATGCAGGGATTGGAGCAGCTCGATGTCGCAGGGCCTAAGCCCGAGTGATGCGAACAATAATGATGGCCACGGTAATGATAATGAAACAAAGCGACAGTCTTATTGTTGGAATACACCTCCCATCCACGAAGCCGGACTATTTACACGCTCGCCAACTGAGCACGTCTTGATTTTCCTTCGCTACACTTTTCCCCGGACTTCCGACCGTCTCAAAATGAAAGTACACGCAACAGAATACCAAGGATCAAGACTTGTGTGCATTCTTGTGCTCAAAGAAACGTGATGGTACATCTAGTGCTCGCGGCTCTCAGGGCTGTTGCGGTAAAGGCGCAGGGTCTTGTCAGACATAAGCTTGTGGACACTGGAGTAACCGGCGGCGCCGAGGGCAACACTGCGATCATCAGTCAGTTTCTGGCAACCATGTAAGGTGTATATATGCATAGGCTCAATGGCGGGCGGATGGGAAGGAAGAGGAGAAAATCCGTGCAGAGGTCTGGCGGGATATGACGGATAGTTGAATCAATAGGTAACTTACGCAAGGACAATGCCTGAATATCGCCAGAAAAGTTAGCTTTGGTTATTCCTGGCCGTATCTATTAAATATTTGCTGCGTTGTAGAAACTTACCCAGAGGGATCAACTCGGGAGGGCACTTCTTGATCAGACGGAGGCGCTGGGAGATAGTGTGGGCTAGCGAGGACCGTCAGTACAAAGGCGAATATAGCAAGCCGCAGACCAATTGCATAGCCATATAGGCTTGATTGGACGGTGGCGTATCATACCGCTGTGAGCCTCCTTCTGTAGACAGGAGTTAGTTGACCGAACCCGATCGTATGACGCGAGGCGAGGGTGGGGACAAGAAAACATACCGGCGCAGGGTGGAAGGCAGGACGCGAAGGCTGCATCCGCAGAATGCGAGAGGGATACATGGTGAGAGTTGGGTAAGGCGATGAGAGCTTGCAAAGGTGGTGAAATGGGAGGGGAGAAACGGAGGTTGGACGAGCTTTCCAAGGACGTCAGTCTGAGTGGCTCCTCGGATGATTGCGAAAAAGCGAAACGCTCAGTGGCTCTCGCTTCACCGCCCGGGTCGTACCCGGCACTTCACAGCTTCGATCACCCAACGTCTCTTCTTTGCCCTCTCACCCACCGCGCCCTCGTCTCCCCTCCCAATTCACTTCCTTTCATAACCCTTGTCTTCTTCAAGCGAAGCCACACTCCGACAAAATGGGTGCCATTCCGGAAGCTGACCCCGATGAGCCTGTCGAGACCAAGCCCTTCAAGTTCGTGACTGGTAAGTCTTTACCCCCTCCTCGAAATCGGGGACCAATCGCCTCTAGCTGGAGCCAATTGCTAATATACTTGTAGCTGGTACGTATGATATTGATTATATTGCGCAATGATCCCGTTTCCGACCACTCCCGACTGGGTTCGGCCGATCGACGAGAGCGTCATAAGATTGACAATTTCCCCCCCCAACAATAGGTTACGACGCTCGTTTCCCTCAGCAGAACCAGTATGTCTCTTTCCCGTACAGAGATGTCGATCAGTTAGGACTCTAACTATCCGATTAGGACCAAGCACTGCTGGCAAAACTACGTTGACTACTACAAGTGTGTCAACGCCAAGGGAGAGGACTTCCGCCCATGCCGCCAGGTAAATACGCACAACATATAGCTCAATCTTCTTTTGCGCCATGCCCTAACGATTTTCTGACAGTTCTACCACTCTTTCCGCTCCCTCTGCCCCAAGGCCTGGACTGACCGCTGGGATGGCCAGCGTGGTAAGCACCCAACGTAGCCTTGTACCGCTAATTGTGTACTAATTTCTTTTTATCAGAGGCTGGTAACTTCCCTGCTCACCTCGACAAATAGATGACCAACTTCCGGTTTGTGTTGATCATCAGGCTCTATCAACTCTTGTTTATTGAGAGCTCCCAATGTATTCTACTTGGCCATGCAGGGATTTGTTTCCTTCTTTCTGGACGTGGTCTTCCATTGTTCTAACAAGGAGAAAGAGTAATATAACTCGCCGCTATGCAAAGAAAACTTGTTTAAATGTACTCCGTCAATTCATCTAGTAGATTATAACGGGTGGTTTTTATTAGCACAACTATGCTCAAGCTCGGTTCAGCTATCTCGCGTACTGGTCCTCATTTGAATATACGGACTGAGATGAAGTCCGAGTGTTTTTGCAGCCTCTCGTGCGCCAATTGAGACTCCGCAAAGCTGGACGAATACCACTTACTAAGATAAGTTATCGTAGTGAGGACTCTGAATCTGAGGGTATAGTAATCTATACTATATTTCTTCTAAAAGTCTATATCATCTAGATCCTCGGTAAATAAAGAAAGCATCAGCTCAGGGGAACGCAAGGAGAGGCTGGTTCGTAGACTCAGCCTCTAGATGCAAACGGAGAGCATGCTGCATATGTACAAGCGATGGTGCAGGCCCGCTTGCCCACAAGTCCAATTTGCGCCACCCAGCGGTCATGAAAAGAAACAAAAAACTCGTATATATAGAAGAAAATGTGAGAAAGTTGGGGAAGGCTTGAGAGCATGAGGTACATTTAGCGTGCAAGCCTCCGTCTAGATACCCTTGAGCTTGCGGTAGAGCTTCTTGTGTTCCTCGAGGAACAAGAAAGTGGCGATAGTGTGGGGACCTAGACGGATAAAGCTGGGAACCCAGCCACGGAACGTCCAAGCAAGACCTTCCTTGCGGTAGATATCACGCAAGAGGCCTGCAATGCTATGGCCCCGGGCCTCAGCAGGCGACGCGCTCATGATGCGAGTCTTGATGACATCGACCGGGCTGCATACTGTCGTTGCAACGAATCCAGCCAGGAAGGACGCCGTGAAATGCGTCGTGAGGTTATCTTTCATGCCGGCTTTCTCGATGCACAAGCGCTTGAAGCTGTCGTAAGAGGCTAATTGTGAGGCAGTCATGAGCACTGCACGGGTTGAGTTTGGCCATACTCCTCGGAACAACGAGCCCACTCCTTCTGTCTTTGTCATCTCCACAAGCCCGTGGAAAGCATGCCTGTAGTTGCGGCGTTTCTCGATAGGGAGGGCAGCATCGGACTGCATACGCACATTGAGTACGTCGGCAGGATTTCCGGCCACCCCTCCAATGAATCCAGAGACAGAGGCCATGCCGATAAGGGTCAGCGCCCCCGGAGAGGAGGAAGAAGAGTTGGAGGGCTTGGCAAAGTGTGTTTTCAGTTCTTCGTATATACCGAATCGTGTAGTGGAGTATGTCATTTGACGTAAAATGGCAGCGGAAAGCTATTAGAGAGTCCAATTCTCCTTTGTTAGCTTTCATTTTCGCCTTTTCCGAAACATTGGAGTACAATCTTTCTGCACATACACCGCTGTATAAACCCTTAATTCCATTATGTTTTACGATATGCCCAAACGTGCCTATCATAGTTCGTGGCGCATCGGGTGCGCGAGTTTGTAAGCGGACCTAGGACATCGGAGAAGGCGTATGTTAATCAACGGCCCAAACGCGGCTACGACCGAGTCAATATGGAGGGGTGTCGCTAACCTTGACTGTGAGGCAATGTCAGTAAGCTTTTCGCAAATCATCTTCGCAAACAGGCGTTCCACCTGAACATCCACATACCTAAATCTAAAGGATGGGTCACCCCAGCAGCAAAACATGAAGCAGAACCACCAAACCAGAAAGGATAATGCACCTGTGTAGTCCGCGCAGGCGTCTTTACAGGCGCTGATACAGGCGCTTTTGACAGACCTGTCGGAGCCTGCGCCAGTTTACCGCTGTCTGCCATCTTGTCTCCTGCGAAACAAGATTTCCGAGCGGAGCGGACAAAAAATTGGCTTATAAATGCGAAAAGAGGGGAGAGTGTTGGAGCATTGAAGTTCGCGTCCTTATTTTTTTTTCAGATCCACGAAAAGCCGAGTCCCTGATTTGACGTAATCGCAATACCGCCGGCAGGCAAATCAAGACACCGAGAGGTCGGCTATCTCTACCCGCGGGCGGTAAGTGGTGAAATAGCCCAATGATATTATCGCATTTTGCCGTTGGTCCTATGGATCCAAGCATGCAGCCTTTCCTCTGTAAGGGCTGTATGTATCCTTACAGATGCACGATTTGGAGAAAGCTGGCCCCTCGGGATCAAAAATAGACCCCGAGATAAAAAATACAACCGGGATCTAGTTATTAACACCATAGAGCTATTCCAAGGTTACCGAGGCTTACCCTAATCGTCGATTCGAATAAACCTTGGACCTTATCGTGGTGGGCCTGAAGAGTAGATACGTTGCGGGTGGAAGGGATTCATTCTTACTGTATCCGAGACATCGCCGAGATTCTCCGTCAATGTACCCAGTGGGGGTCAAGCCCTGGATGTTTGAGAGAACGAGTAAAACTCGGGCTTTTGAAGATGTATCTAATTCGATCGGTTGGCTTCAGAAGCGAGATTCTGCTGATTTTAGTCTCTGCAAAATTGAACAGATTCCCCAGTATATGTGCTACCGAACTAATGGTCTATGTCATCCGGCGTTGAGCAGGAATTAGTACGCGGCAACGATCATCAGATCACTACTTGATGACTTGACCATCACGTTTTGTACTAGTACTAGTAGACCCCATACACCAGCGGTTCTTGATGTCTAAAATCGAATATCCGGCAGATGTATGTTTAGCTGCGTGGTGATAATAGGTATCCCTGCTGCGATCGTGCAGTAATACTTCGGCGGCTTATTTCCCCGGCTCCGGACATGTTTAGAAATCCGCGAATGCGATCGCAACGACGGCTTTGTCCAGACACATACTCCATAATGCGGTTGATAGCTGCGGGCCGAGCCCTAGGCTCAAGCAGTAGGTGGTCCGTTGCTACAGCCCGTCTGCGAGCCCCAATTCCGCAAGCCCAGCCCATGCTGTCTGCCACGGCTCTTTCTCGGAGATGGAATTCAACCGCAACTCCCCAAAAGTCCCAGCATCCAAAGTCAAGATACAACCCTAAAGGCCGAGGCATCCAGCCGAATCAGCCTCCAAAAGAAATCAAGATCCAAGACCGATCCTATCCAGCGGACAATTGGACAAACATCACCGACACCATCCAATCGCACGTTGGACGACACCTCTACCTCGACGAAAACCACCCTTTGGCTATCACACGAAAACTTATTGAGAGCCAGTTCGCCGGCCCCGTCTTCGGCAACTACTTCGAGAAAGACCCAGTCGTATCTACCTTCCAAAATTTTGACGTCCTAGGCTTCCCGGCCGACCATCCTGGCCGCAGTCGCACTGACACATACTACGCCAACCACAACACCGTCCTACGCACACATACCAGCGCGCACCAGCAGAAATACTTCCGCCGGATTAATGCCAATGAGAAGGAGCGCCCGGAGGAGGTCGGGTATACCGTGATTGCCGACGTGTACCGCCGCGATGCAATCGACCGAAGCCACTACCCGGTTTTCCACCAGATGGAAGGTGCTAGGCTCTGGAAGCGACCGGAGAACGATGCGCTCTCGCACTCCGCAGAGACGGCAGCCAAGATTAACGCAGATGTAGACCTGATTCCGCGCCACGATGTCGTGGTCGAGGACCCCAACCCGACGATCAACGAGAATAATCCGCTCCAGGCGGAATACCACTCGGCCGAGGAGGTCGAGGCGATCGCGACGCATCTCAAACGGTCCCTCGAACGGATGGTTATTAAGATCTTCACCGAAGGAAGCAAGGCTGCTGCTGCCAGCTCGGGGGTGACGTCGAGCCTGAGCCTCTGAAGGTGCGCTGGGTTGAAGCCTACTTCCCTTTCACCAGCCCATCGTGGGAACTCGAGGTCTTCTGGCAGGGTGAGTGGCTTGAGATTCTCGGATGTGGAGTTATCAAGCAGGAGCTGCTGAACAACTCTGATGTTCCCAATCGCGTGGGCTGGGCGTTTGGGCTGGGTATTGAGCGGATTGCGATGCTGCTGTTCAATATCCCTGATATCCGGCTATTCTGGTCTCGCGACGAGCGTTTCTTGTCTCAATTCCGGGCGGGTGAGATCACTCGTTTTACGCCTTTCTCGAAGCATCCTGCTTGTTACAAGGATGTGTCGTTCTGGCTGCCTAGAGAGGATGTGTACGAAGCGGCTGCTAAATACGGTCGTCCCGTGCCGAACTTCCATGAGAACGATGTGATGGAGGTTGTTCGGGGAGTTGGTGGTGACTTGATCGAGAACGTTTCTCTGATTGATGATTTCGTTCACCCTAAGGAGAAGCGAAGAAGTCTGTGCTATCGCATTCAATACCGTAGTTTGGAACGGACCCTGATCAACGAGGAGATCAACGAGTTGCATGACAATATTGGCTCCAAGTTGATTTCTACCCTGGGAGTGCAGCTGCGACGGTGAAGAGGAGGTGGACCTGTATTATATGAACCTGCCACTATACCATCTCAAATCTGTACAATAAAAATCGCATCCTCGTGCTCCTCAGTGCAAGGCTTTCCATTGCTCGTTTTGAGGTTCGTTGTAGGGCGGAATCTACACGTAGGTGACATGGAGGTAGTCAAAAGCCAGAGGCTTCTCAAATTGTGTTGTATTATACAATAAAGCGGAGAGAGTTTTCAAGAGACAGATTGCGCGAAAGCAGGGGAAAACCACTCCCATGCGAGACAATCCAGACGCCTCCCGTTCATATGCAGTGATGGTATCATACAAATCCAAGAAACAAGCAGAGATCAAGGAAGAGTAGTTTTTAATCCAAGGAGTAGCACCCAAGGTCATTTCCCAGCGAGATCATGACATGTGGTATATGGTACAGAGAGAAAAAGAGAAACATAATAGGAACAGGTGTCATGAAGAATTATAAGGGCGATGAAATTTAGGTGTTCTTGACGACACCGACCTTGGCAGCCTATAGAATCGAGAAATTAGCTGGGACTCTCATAGCGAAGGATGATGAGAGGAAGCTTACGCGAACGACACGGCCGTTAAGACGGAAACCCTTGCTCTGGACGTACATCACGTCACCATCCTCGAGATCGGGGGATGGAGCCTGGAAGGTAGCCTCGTGGAAGTTGGGGTCAAACTTCTGGGCTTGGCCGTCAACCTTCTCGCTGGGGTCAAAGCGCTCCAGACCGTGCTTCTGCAGAGTCTGCATGAGGATGTTCTCGGTCATTTTGAGACCGGCAACGAGGTCAAGAAGGGCCTTGTTCTCTTCAGTAGGAGCAGCCTCGAGCTGCTCCTTGGGAACAGCCAGGAGTGCGCGGTCGAGGTTATCAATGCTCTCCAAGAGGTCCTTCGCGAACCGCTGAATGGCGAAGTTGCGGGCATCGTTCATTTCACGCTTGGTACGCTCCTGAAGGTTACGGAATTCGGCGACGGAGCGAAGGTATTTGTCCTGTTGGAGAGCATTGTCAGCAGGCAGACCAACCGAAATAGGTCATGTAAGCCTGGAAGAGCGGCATCCGGTTCGTACCTTCAATTCAATGATTTCTTTGTTTTTGGCCTCAAGCTCCTTCTGAACAGGGTCCTCGGCCTCTGACTCAGCCGACTCGCCTTCCTTGGAAGCATCCTTGGTAGCATCCTGGGTAGCCTCCTTGGTTTCGGTCGAATAAAGCGGGAGAAGGGCTGGGGAGCAAATGGACGGACCGCTGTGGGCAGCCGGGTCTGCAATCGTGATGTCTGGCGCAAGGGCAGCGGCGCGGCAGCCGTAGAGGTAGAAGCAGCTAAGGCTGAGCGAACAGCCTGTGCTTGTCTGAAAAGAGTCCGCTGGAACATTACGTGATATGATAAGGGGGGGAGGATTGAGGTAAAATGATGGGATGAGGAAAGCTCGAGTTGCGATCCGATTGTCGGGCAAATTTCAGTATCAATCACCTGACCGCCCGCGGGAAAACGAAATTGCGTCGCGTGCCCCAAACATGGAATCCATTGGAACCCGGAAGGTTATCATATTGGAGTCAATTTCGATTTAGAATTTCAGGATCGTATTCTAGTAGTGTTCGGTCTTGGGTCCATCTCCCGCTCTTCCTGTCCTATTCTCTGCGGATATGAACGTGTTCGGATTGGTCCGGTTTGTCGCGATTGAGTTTACGCAGCCATGGCTATGTTGATCTGGGACCTCCAGAAGGGAACGGGTATGCCAATCCCACACACAGATCTTCTGTCGCTGCTTCAAAAGATAAGACTATTTTCTTTCCAGACGGAAGTACTCTGGTGCGGAACCGAGTGCTCAGTCGAGCACTTTGGGATCTTTGAACAGGACTTCTGTCAGTCAGACAGGTTGATGAGCTGCAATTCCCCAGCCCAGATCCCAAACAGCAAAAACTGTGTCAGATTCAACCGGTCTACAAGTCATAAGGATGAGGGCTTGAATGGACATCCGCTTGTATCAATTTGACTCTCGTCTGCTGTTATACATGCAGCTGGGACCCTCGGCATTTATTGTGAAAGACGCAGAAGCTCTCCACCCTTGGTCCATTTGCAGAAACAATGACCGAGTGAGGAGCTAATTTAGCCCTTGCCGTTGGGCGTGAAGTTACTGTAACAGGTTCAACATGGTTCTCTAGCACTCGGGGGCAGCTATAGTCCTAGAATCATTCGAGCCAATAGTGTACAAATTTAACTTCCTTTTTTCTTTTCTTTTCTTTTTTTGGGGGGGGGGTTACGTTGTATCTCCAGCTGCACCCCATACGACACGTGTCTAACAACGTGGGGCAGGCCATGGTCCTTGAGCCGCCCGCAGCAATGGGAGCTTAGTGATCTTTTCTCTCTCGCCCGCGGGCCAGGGCTTTGTCCCTGTAGATAAGGTCGAGTCCCCGGGGCAGTGTGGAGGGTGTTGACTGCGTCTCTGCAGCGAATTGCCGACAACTCTTGGCAGGCGATTCCATTTCATAATAGAGATCAAAGCGGGTTTGCTGGGAGTGCTGCCTACGGTCCTACGCAGCCAAGACAATAAATGCGTTCATGAATGTCCCCGCTCTAGCTTTTGAAAGATGTCGTCCGAACTACAGGAAGATGGGATATATCTGGTTGGAGGATGGAAGGGATTTAGGGTCATTGTCGTAGTTTTTTCTTCCTTTCCTTCTCCCTCCTCCCTAGTCTTGGTATTTGGATTTCAAGCACCGCTGTCGTGGGGCTCCGGCAGTGATTCGACCCCTCACTGACAATGATTGCCGGTGGGGATTTCTTTTTCCACGTGCGATAGGAGTAAGATGTACGCAGTAAGATCAGTAGACGCCTTGGGGAGTTAAACCTCGGTTAGTTCGGTTATCCATAGATCGTAGTTCGATAATCCATAGATCGTAGTTCCGTGTCCGTACGATAGGCCAATCACAGTACCACGACCCTCCTAGTAGAGAGAGCACCATTTATGCCGCCCAAAATAAGGCCACCAGTTCACCAGTCCTTCTTCATTCAACCCGCTCTCAAGAACCACCAGGTAATTTGAACAATGCCTCTCCATTATGATCGTGATTTCGAGCAAGCGGCGGCTCCTTTCTTCGCCGCCAGAGCTGCCAGGCCATTTACTTTAAACACAGCGCTCGACATTCGAGCCGTGATGGGGCCTTCGACGAAAGCATTTATGTCAGCCGTACCAGTCCCTCCTGGTGTGACAGAGGAGAAACACGAGATCAAGTCCTATGATGGTCAGTCCATCACTGTCTACCGGTACTGGAAGAAGGGGGCAAATAAAGCCACACCAGCCGTTGTTCACACTCATGGGGGTGGGATGGTATTCGGCGAGGCAAACACGGCGGCTGGCGTCCTTTCAACCTTCGTCGAGAAGACAGGTGTGCAAATCTTTACTGTGGACTACCGCCTCGCTCCCGAGCATCCCTTTCCAACTCCACCAGAAGACAGCTACGCCGCACTGGCATGGGTCAACCAACATGCTAGCGAGCTTTCCGTCGACCCAGCCCGCATCGCCACGATGGGAGAAAGTGCTGGGGGCAACCTCGCCGCTGCAATCTCCCTCATGGCTCGGGACAGGGGGCTATCACCCCCACTGGCCAAACAGATCTTGATCTACCCTATGCTGGATGATCGCAACGTGCACGAGATTATAACGTTGAAAGATCTCGCACTCTGGACCATCCATGCCAATCGGCTTTGTTGGTCAGCATATCTGGGCTCGGATTTCGGCACTGATCGGGTTTCGCAATATGCAGCCCCAGCACGGGCGATGACCCTGGAGGGCCTCCCAGCCACGTATATCGACGTTGGACAGTTGGATATCTTCCACGGGGAGGCTATGCAATACGCCGCGCGGCTAGCGGAGGCAGGCGTCGAGGTAGAGTTCAGCATGTTCGCTGGTGTTCCTCATATCTGGGATATGTGTGCGCCTCAGTGTGCCATTGCCAAACGGGCGGCTGAAGGACGGGAGCGAGCGCTCTCTGCGCTGTGGAATTGAGAGAAAGAATCATGTTGAGATAGCAGCAATATCAGTACTGGCTGTATAGGCTAAGCTTCCCCAATTAACTATGGTGCCTTGTATTAGGCTCAAGAGCACGCGAAACATATTAACACGGTCACCTTACAATTTTCAATTCAGTGCCTGGATACTGGACAGTATGAACAGTAAAGTCAACAGAGTTGGGCATTAAGCGGCACTGCTCGGAGCCATAGCTAAGTCTTGCTGCGGTTCACATAGGCAGAATGATTCTCGGGAAGGCTGAGCGGAGCGGAGGATTCGCCCCAGAAACAATGAAAAGGACGGGGCGGAGCTTCCAGATCCACTGGGATGTATAAGTGGAGCCGGAGACGGAGGCGGAGGCGGAGTTGAGAGGAAGCGACTGGAAAGAGAGTGGCTCATTAGGCGTGGCGCGCATGTACCTTGGAGCGGTTGAGTATGCAAGCCTGATCGACCCAAGGAGCCGTTTAGAGGGATTACGCTGAATGGCTTAGCGTATAAAGGGCCGTCCTGTACTCCGTGCGTGTCACTGAAAAATCGGGTGTGGATCACAAGTCGGTTGCGTCGAAGGGCTGTGCAGAATCACCGTCTCAGGACAATTACGCGGCAAAAATTGAACCACTGCGCCTCTTTCGGACACGATAAATATTCACCTTCCCCTGAGTGTCGTCTTCCCCATCCAAATTCTCCCCAAGTCGTGTTTGTTCCACGGGTTCAGTCTTTCAAATTCTAGAACTCGCAGATCCGCGGTGGCGAAAACCCCTGGTTCTTTATCAACTCCTTATCCACCGGTTCCCGTCCAGCCATCTCCCACCTCAAACTCCTGCAACGTACAAACCCCAAGATGCAATCCGTTGCTTCAGGGTCTTTCCCCTCGCCGCCCTCTTTTGAGGAGTCGCGATCGAAACACTCCTCTCGGCCCTCTTTGTCAATCGACCTCTCGTCCATTCCGCCGCTCTCCCAACCATCTCCGCCATCAAACACCCTTCTAATCACCGAGCTCCATGACCTGATCCTGTTCCAGCCCTCTTCATTAGAGGCAATCCGCAACCAGATTACGGTTCTAGCCCGTCTGAACTCTTTCTCTCCTCTCCCATCTATGCGCCGAATCATCTGTTCATTCCACAGCGAGGACGACGCCATCACTGTCCGCAAAATGCTCGAGAACACCCGTCTGCTGAACCGAGACGTCCGCCCGCGAATCTACTTCGGCGAGCCTACACCGATCATCCAGCAAGGCGAGCACAAGCAGCTGCTCGAGGCGCCCCAGCTTGACAAGCTGTTCTTCATTTCCCCGCCTCCTTCCCCGCCGCACGGCTGGACGGTGCGCAACGAGGAGCCCCCAAACAAAGAAGTACACGCCACCGACCTTGCTCACGCCCTCGCCAATCTGAAGACCGATCCCGAGCCAACGAGCGTTGACCCGGCCACTCCTGTCTCGATTTCCTCCGACAAGCGTACTGGCAGCTGGCCCATGGCTGGGTCCCAGCAGCGCAGCCGTAGCAGCACGATTATTTTCCACCCCGAAGACCATGGCAATAGCCCTAACCTCCCGGCTGTCACGGTGGAGGATATGACTCTGGTGGTTGATGATGAGGATGTCGATATGGATGCGGACATGAGCCCCATCGAAATGTCGGTCAAGAAGATGCCGCCTAAGACAGCTCGGCCCCCGGTTGAACTGATGGAGTAATCCCGTCGATCTGTGGTGTCTTTCTCTGATGATCCCCTCTTCTCTGCATTTTGAAGCGACGAGTTATGTGATTTGCATAAGGCATCCACTGATGTGTGGCTTGTTATCGTCTGGCGTTGGTACGGGTCTGCATTCGCTGCCTCCGGAAGTTCTCGGGCATTATAATCTGATAGATAAAACGAACCTAATTCTATTGTACAAATCAAAATGTTGACGCTGGTTAAGTTCATCACGTGGAAGCACTACCGATCGTAAAACAACATAAAATGAAGAAGTAGCAGGACTCCACTAAGCCTGTATGGGCCGACCAGTAGGCTGGTACTCCCTACTGGGCTACGAGAACTTGACAGTGTAGCGTTATAAGTCTCAATGGCACATTCTTGCCATGAAAGCGAAGCATTGTACTAGTATCAAGAGTCAGGTACTGAATCTAGAGGTGCGAGCTTGGAGGGAAGAAGAGGACCGGGAAACGACTAAATACACCCTCAAATCTGCCCTCCTGGCATCTCCCGGATGTACGAACTAAGACGATTAATCGAACAACCAAGACCAGCACCCCTCTCCACCTGAGCTCGGCCAATTGGTCTACCTCCGGGTCCGCGGTTACAACGTGCCTGTTAGAAACAGAATCGACGCTCCACGAGCCGGATCGTTTCAGATCGTGGAGGTGGACCCCACCGCGGCTAAGCTGTGCTTTTCTCCCGCATGGAAAATCCAGAACATGATCAGCGTGGAGCATCTTAAGCTTTACCCCTCCAGTCACGGCGATGACCCCTACCGCCGTGCTAGTAAAAATAGCTTCCGGATTGCCGAACAATCATACGAATGGTGACGTATGGAATCAGCACCCGAATAGTCCGTCGATTCGAACTGCGACGGTCGCCGTCGTTAACGGGTAATAGATTATGTCTAGCCATCTCCGACAGTGAACTTTATATCCCCTGTGTAGGTTCGTCTACATATCCAAATATCCTCTGCTGAGTCAAGCTTTCCTTTCACAGCTGCTGCTGCTTTTGATGAAGGGCGCTCAGCGCTGGACTCCCTGACTTTCTCAGGGCCAACGGGTGACATAGCAAAGACGTCTAGTGAGCCCTCACTGAGCACTCAATGAGCATGGCTCCTTCCTGCTCGCTCAGTGACGACTCTGTTATTCTCTGAGGCATTTGCTGGGCACCCCGTCGGTCCTTAGTCCATACCCAAAAGGGCATTTTGGAACAACGGGGCGAACTCGTGTTCGGAACTAGTTAGTTTCATCCTCTAATGCCAAGCAATCTAAGAACGATCCTCGGATGCAAGCTATCTCTATACTTGAAACACCTGAAAAGTTAGGGAGCCATCTCTACCAAAAAACTACCCTTATCACATGAATATTGGCATGGATCTGGATATACTACGACCATCAGATGGGGCTTGTTTCCGTTTCACATTGAGACACATCGAACCGAGTTGCTCTATACTCGTCCGTAGTTCTTTTCGAAAACAATATAAAAAGACCGCTGTATATCCATGAAGTTCCTCTGTAACCACTTCACCCTCGCTCAATCCTAGGCTTGCCTTTCTGTCTTTTTTCTTCCTTCCTTCCTTCCTTCCCTTCTTTCTTTCTTTATCTCAATCTATCTGTTCTCCTCATCGCCAACCATGAAGCTCCTGGCGATCACGTCTCTCCTGTTGTTCGCTACGAACCAAGCAGCTGCACATGGCCTGATAACTCGTATCAATGGTGCGAATGGAGTTCAAATGCCAGGCCTGACAGGTATGGACTATTCTGAATGAACTCACGTCTGTTACTGGAGGCTCTTTACTGATTGCTAGTAGTTATCGACGGCACTCCTCGTGACTGCCCTTCTTCTGCATGTGGCGGCCAGAAGGACACTGCGGTAATCCGGGATCAGGAGATGGGCAGTGTCAAGGCGTCGGCACTAGGCCGCACTTTAAGCTCCGGTCCTGTGGATCCTAAGAGAGTGATCATGAACTTCATGACGCCTCAAACTGCGGCGCGGACACACGCTCGACAATTCCTGAACGGTGCGATCTCTTTATTCCATTCCTTGTAATTTGGACGACAGGACTGACAAACTATAGCCCGTCAAGTACTGAACGATGCCGCGAGCGTCATTACCAATGCTGGAGGAGCTATCCTCAACGGTGCGTACTCGGCCATTTCTCTTATCTTGGACGGCGTTTCTGATGATAATTTCCATAGGCGCGCAGGATATTGCTGATAAAACCCCGTTTGGTGGCGCTATCAAAGGTGAGTCTTACCCACTTTGGTTCATAGAAAGGGCTTCATCGCTTATGGAGTATCATAGGTGCGCAGTCAGCTGTCGATGATGTGGCGGGAGCTATGCCCGGAGATAAACCTGGCGCGACTACGCCCGAGGGTACTGTGGAAACAGGCATCAAGGACTTCGCCGGCAAGGGAGTGGACAAGGGCCTGCCCACTATGTCGGAGGACGGAGTCATCACAATGATTTATCATCAGGTTTGCTTGCCCTCCTCCCAGTGCTCACTTTGATATTGGCTGCTTACACTATTTTGCTACCCAGGTGAATCAGGATGGAGCAGGCCCATTATCGGCAGAAATCGATGCGACGAGTGCGGGTGCCGACCCCAAGGCTTTCAAGTCAGCCAAAGTCATCCAGAATATTCCTGGGGTTGCCGGGTTCTCGACTTCTAGTACCATGGACTACGAGGTCAAAGTCCAAGTTCCTTCGGGGATGAAGTGCACCGGTGTTATTGGCGACATCAAAGATATTTGCATTGTGCGGGTCAGGAACAATGCCATTTCAGGCCCCTTTGGGGGCTCTGCGGCGTTCACAAATTGAGGCGCAATGACTACAGAGCCGTCCTTGCAAGGTGAAACTCTGAGACTGCGATAGACAGTGATGGAGATGTATTATTTAGTGTTTGCTATTTTATAATCGTCGTGATAATATGATAGAGTGAAATTCTTGGGCATTGGCTGTCTCGACCGCAAGAGTTGGCCATCTTATTGACCTGCATGGTGTTGTACACTAAGAAGCTGAATCCATTGTGTTATGAGCTGTCCTACTCCAGCACTCAGCTTAACTATATGTGGCGTCGACAACGCAGGGGAAACCCTGGAGCTTAGAGTAATGAAGAAATGACGGCCTTGCTTCTACCCACGGTGATGTTCAGTATCTCGCCCGTGTCAAGGGTTTGTGTAAACAACAGATACGAAGTGGGTGAGCTTTGACAAGGAAGGAACAGATATGTAGTCGTAAAGTCCAGAGAATATTATCATCCATGACGTTCAGTTAATCTACGGCCAGGAACTAGGGCAAATGCTTGACTCTCATACCTTTCTAGATGCAGGGATTTCTGCGAATCAGTCAATCCGACAGAACAAAGCGGGCTCCAGATCCATGTCCCATTGCCACCGAAGATTTGTTGCTTTGCTCGTCAATTCATCAACCTCGAACGCAAGTAGCACCTGCTGATAGCTCACTGGCCATGAGGACTGCCTTTTCCATGTATCCTCATCCGGGTCAAAATAGCTATATACGTCTTTCTTATAAAACAGTAACGGCAACTTGGAGCCTGGACAGTTGTTGAACACCACCGACAGGTTGGCCTGGGAGTCACCTACTATGCTTATGGCCAGCAAACCGTTAAATCCTCGGTATTGACCTGCATAGCATTTCGGGTCTCTCTTTGGATCGGTAGAACAGCGATTGTCGATCCACGGCTGGGCCATCTTCCGTTGAAAGTATGACCGCGCCAATTCTCTTTCTTTCAGCGCCCAGGGCACAAGATCCAGCCGGGGCTTCAGATCAAATAATGATTGGATCAATAATTGTGCGGTAAAATCCGATGCATCGCCGAAGTCCCGCGCATTCGCGATCGCGACGACTGCACTCTGCGTCTCGGGGAACGTCCATAGAGTAGTGACCATTCCTTTGACGCCGCCTGTGTGCCCGATCATCACCATTGAGTCAGGCTGAGAGTCTTTTCCCATGATATTCTGTAGATGTACCTGATGATCCTTCTCCCGCGAATGAAGATTGCCGCCAAATGCGCCCAGCATAGACGATGGGAGTTTCATTCCTACCCATCCCATGCCATACACGGAAGCCTTGCTGAACTCGGGGTCGTCCGCTGGCCGTGTCCAATACCCTCGACGAACGCGATTAACTTGCTTCAAAGGGTTATGCGATAGCCCTGCGTAGTTGGAATCTCTTTCGCTTCTCTCTGCAGCAAGAACGGCAAGACACCAGGTGAGCAGATCATTCAGCGTGCTCCGCATGCCGGTAGCAGATACCAGAGCTGGGTAGTTCTTTCCAGGCCAGGACGTCTCTAGAGCCTTGACAACGGTGCCGTTGCTCATGACAGCGCAGGCGTCTGCCACATTGTCGTCTCCTTCTGAGATCAGACCAGTCCACTGCGGTTCTGCTCATGCCCAGTGGGATCAAGATCCGATCTCGGACAAAGTCGGCGTAGCGTTGCCCGGTCACTTGCTGGACAACCAAGGCCAGGAGTCCCACCACAGCATTGTTATAATCCCACTCGCGATTGAACCTCTGGCCTTCGGCACCAGAGGTAGACATGAGGTTCAACAATGGCACGTGGTTCTCTTCGTCGATCAGGACGGAGCCCGAAGGGCCCAAGATGAGTCGAATGGCATCTTTTAATCCGGTAGTATGTCGCATGCAATCGATGATATCTGCTTTCTGTCCAATCTGAGGGTCTCCTACCGGATCGAACTCGGGTATGTATTTCTGGATCGGATCTTGCCACCGAATCTTACCCTCATCAACGAGAATGCCTAGCGCGGCAGCTAGGAACATCTTCGAACAGGATCCGATTATGTAGATAGTTTCTGGGTCGACTGGAAGGCTTTTGCTCGCATCTCGATGGCCGATGCTTTGCTTGAGAATCACCTGTCCTTGATGGATGACCCCAAAGCTGAGAGACGGTGCTTCGCATATTTCTCTGATCTTCTCAATTTCCTGTGTACATGCGCCGAGGCGTTCTAAGTTAGGGTCTCGGGGTTGCAAATAGTCGGCCATGTTCAAGTTCGCCGTCAAGTCTTGCTAACTAGTAGGATCTCGGCCTGGGGTTATATTGCGAGGATAGGACGAGGTGATCCGTACAAATTGACGGAGTTGAGGATTCACAGTCCTGCAAACTCGGAGATATAAGCAGAGCGTGGGTAATTGAATACAGAATCCCTGCCCGCCCTATCGAGTGCAAATCGTCACACTTGATTCCGTAGTCCCGCCACTGTCTCAAAAATGGGGTCGCCGGGATCAGACTGATCCCAACTAGGTAGATTACGAAGTAACGTATCGAACTCAGTAGTGGTGTAATACCGAAGGTCAATAGTTGAAACCCGGTGATATTGACAGCCTTGCTTAAGCTTTCTCGATGATTTTATGATTTTTCCATGATGAGCCTGGTAATTGAGATTCTATTCTAGAATCCAAAATTCCGACTCCGACTGTCCCAGGGTATCACCAAATACTGTAGATCCGGTCAAGCCAATGGATCTTATTCCTGGCGTCCGTCTGCCGGGCCCTGGCCCCAAAGAACATAAAGCCCGGCCCTGGTAACCGATTTCTGGAGAGTCGCACCGTCACATGGGACCTACTCTTGTGCTGAGGATCTAGATAAACCGGGGCATTATGCGAGCTGACTTTGGGGAATCACTGGGTCGTTACCAACCATCTCAAGATTGACCGTGACGATACAGCAGCAGCCTGGCCAGCACGGCCCTGAGCCAGATCTCTGTGAGTGAGCTTTTATCGCATATTATGATTGATTTAGCCTGTTAGCGTTTCCGCTCCCCAGCCCTTGGCCCTCGTATACTGATCCGTTACCAATAGTTACTGGCAGGCTGTTACGTCGTGTCTCCTGAAGGCGTTTAGGTAGTGGTTTATGAGGGGCGCCCCTGGGGCCAGGCGGCCAAGGCTCATAAGTGGTCCATCAAATCCTCATATTTATGATGGCTTGTTAGAGTGCTAGTACGGTGTCTGCTGTAAAGGCCCGATATTTATTAGCCAACACAGCACTCGCCAATGAAATAAATCTCCGGTACTTTTTCAACTTGGACTCGTCGTTCACGAGGAGACACAGGCGACTAATAATCGTGAATAGACGAGACGTGCCCTGGACACAGGATGAATCGCCTTATGCGCCCAGTGGGAAATTTCAGCAGCAAGCCGCTTCCCCGAAGGATGACTCGGTAGGACAGAATAATGCGAGGGTGTTACTGTTGAATCCGAGTGATCCAGCTCTGCGAAGACATACCCACACGGCACTGCTCCAGGGGCCACCAACTACGTAGGGATTCTTAAGAGCGAATGACCGTAGAAACTACGTAGCAGTCGGAGAGCATAGAAGTCGACATGATATGTAGTGAGTTGCCTTATAAGCAGGGGGCCGGAAGAATGTGGATCTTGGCCCCAAACAAGAACAAGCACTGGCGAGAATTCTCCGCTGTGGCGGACGCGATTACGAATTTACGAGAGTCGTGTTCGTTCCGGCTCCGCTCCGCTGTGGAGCACTTGACCCTATCATAGTCGATTGGAAAATTGGTAAACAAATAGCGAAAAAGATCCTCCCAAGGGACGATGTCGAGGGCATAGTAGAGGACTCGGGTACCTACACCGCAACTATGGACCCTTTTCTGCTTCAAAACCGACTTTTCTCTGTACTAGTCGAGCGCGATGCGACGCTCTTTGCCAATGGGTAGAGATAGGACACCGCGTCATCCGGTGCGCCAAGAACTTAGACTCCTCAGGAGTTACTCGGAGAGACTCACGATTCGTGCGATAAACACCACGGCACATTCTTCTCTCTCTAGAAGCAACAAAGATGAGTTCGTGCAATCCTGGGTCCTGTTTCTCAACACACGTGCACGCTTTCCTAAGAAGGCGTAGCGAGGAAAGGATGATCACTTATCGTGAACAAATGAAGATCAGACGTGACGCAGCCCTACTACTTTCGAAACCCCCTCTGACCCCCCACATGGCCTCCTGAATCAACCTATCAACCCCTGCTCGTCACAGGGGTGGACATCTCGCAGTCCCGGACGCATTGAGGTTTTCTTTCCTGTTCATTCTTCGTCAATATTTGACGCGCTAGATAACAGTCTTATCTATAGAGATTGATTGCCTCTCATGTTGAGCGGCTATCTAGCGTGGTTTTCCTTGCTTTTTGAGCCTTTCTCCGACTATACTTCCCCTATCCAACCACAAGCACGACTGCGGCCGGAGAATCGTCCTTGGCAAAGCATCATCACTGGCGTCTATGGCCATCCACCAAAAATAAACATCCACGATCGCCAAGGAGACATCAGCTGGAGCTTCGAGCGCAGTGATGTCAAGCAGAGACTTCCCCCGAATATCAAACGGTGCCTGTATCACCGTGCAAACGACGCAACCGACGTCAAATGGCTAAATAATGGCACGAGTATCGCTGCCATCTACTCGGCTTTAGCGGTCGTCGTCAACCACACACCTGACAACCCTTCCATCGATAAACAGATCACCTTTGCGCTATGCCGAGACAACGAATGGCTATGGAATGCACATACCATTGAGCCACTCCCCGGCAACCTTCTCGCCGTGGGCACCACCGGACAAAGACCATGGGACGGAATTCTGGTATATAATGCCAGCGAACTGGTCGACGAGCCACAGGTGTTGCAGAACGTCACGGGCGTACGGGCTATCCACGCATTAATATGGGACGAACAAGCCCAGATGTTGTGGACGTGCGGAACGGACGCAGCAGCAGACGGGTCAGATGGCATCCCCGCCTACGGGGCTATCGTCGGGTATCCATTCGATAATTCAACCGGTCTCCTCGATAAGGAGAACGCGAGATGGTATCGACTCAAGGATGCTACTACGATTCAATGGGAATGGGGCGCTGGGTATCCTTGGTGGGCTGGACCCCACGACCTCGTGCCTGTTCCCAACCAGCGCAAATTCCTCATGTCGAATGACCTCGGCTTGCATGAATTCGATCTCGACAAAGGGGAGTTCATTGCCCACCTGGAAAACGTCACGGACCGATACATGCCGGGCTTTGAAGTGACGACGCCCGATCGCCATGGGCTGGACTACGACTCCGATGGCGAGTATAGGGAATTCCCCCAGTCGGACCTAAAGGGACTCAGCCTTGCGCCGGACGGAAGCTATGTCTACATTCAGTCGCTCTGGCGCAAGTTCCGCTCCTTCCACGTGAGCTTGGTGGTGCACGGTGTGCGGAAGAAGATCCGCAAGGGCGACGAGATTTACCGATCCCGCTGGTACGAAGATATGGAAGGGTGGCCTAAGCCTAAATACTAATGAATAATGGAAGTAATCAATGAAGCACATATTTCTGATCATCTGGAAAGAGCGCCTCTGCATTCGCATTCGTAGTATAGGGAAAACACGTCCGTGAGAAAAAAAACCTATACTAAGGCTCGTAACCCTGGGCTTGTTATCCAGGCTCTCATCTTTGACCTACTTGGGAAGAGCCTCGCCGCCAGAGGGGGGAGTCCCGGCAGTTCCCCAGTACCACCAGCTATCCTTGGGCATCTCCTCACCCCCCTCCTGCTGAGGTGCCAGCAGTCCCCCACCACCACCATTCGTCCTTGGGAATCTCGGTCCCTGTGCCCTCAGAAGCTCCAGCAGTACCCCACCACCATACGAAAACGCCCATTGTGATCTGTCGCTGATCAGCAAAGGCCTTTAGTATGTCAGAGAGGGGGAGCATCAATTACATTGATCGGTGGACCGAAAGTGAAGGACTCAAAAGAAAAGAAATCTATATCTCCAATTAGCTCGTGCTCGTTAGACGTGGATCGGAAAGTTATACTGTAGTTGGTGTGTCTTCAGAAGCTGCTTCCGTTTGTCTGATGTCCAACGGTTTGAAGATTCCTGTTGGTATTTATAGCCATCGCTTTCGTTGCCTCCACGGACGAAGAACATGAAAGTGACTAATTAGTCAAGGAAGACAAAGGAGGCAAACTCAACATGGATTTCCCCTGGCAAAACATTCGAATGTCCGAGTGTTCCTCGAGCGTCCTGTCCCGACTTGCGCGACCTGCACCTCTACATCTAGAACCATTGGACGGGACCGACCATCGAGACCTGGGGCATCCTCACCCTGTGAGAGGCGCAATTCGCTCACTGAGTCAAGGTCAATACAATTCGCCCAAGGTCTACCGGGGCGCCGGAAAAACAGGCCCTGGAATGTGTGGGCAAAGTAGGACATGGTATCACCGGCTCCTAAGCCTGAGAACATACCCAATCGCCATCGAAAGGGCCAAGCGTGTTCTGACGGAGGTCCCGATGGACGTTCCCCTGGGATCTGCAACCTGACACGCGATCGAAGACCCATGGATGATGACCGGATTTATCGGATTCTCCTGATTCGGTGGAGGCCTGGGGATTATCAAGTATGATGTCGCTTGTTCGTCGCATACATCCTTGGCGCTCTTGCTTCTTGTCTTTGCTAGGTTTTATCCCTATCTCCCTGCCACCCCTGACTCTTCCAGTCCCCATCCGGCTTCAAGTTTCCAGTACAGTCATCGTACACACAGAGGGCAGAGATGCCGGACGTAATCCTCGTCACGGGAGCCACAGGAAAGCAAGGCGGAGGGTTAATTGACGTATTGGTCCGTCAAAATGCCGATGTCGAGATCCTCGCTGTCACCCGGGATGTATCCTCCCCCAGAGCCCAGAAGCTGAAAGCAAAGCATCCCCGCGTGGTCCTCATCCAGGGGGATCTAGACCAACCCGACAACATCTTCACCAATGCCAAGAAAGCAACAGCTCTGCCCATCTGGGGTGTCTTCAGCGTCCAGGTAGGACACCTTGAAACATCCCCTGAGGCCAATCATATAACTAGCTAATAACGGTCACCCATTCCTCCCCTGGAAAAGGTTCGAGGCTCAGGTGGTTCAAATCGAGACGACGTCGAAGAGCGACAAGGCATGGGGCTGGTGGACGTTGCTCTCAAGAATAACATCCAGTTCTTCGTGTACAGCTCCGTCGATCGTGGCGGCGACGCTTCCTTCAATAATCCCACTATAGTCCCCCAATTCACCAGCAAACACCGAATCGAGCATCACCTGGTTGAGAAATGCCAAGGATCGGAAATGGCATGGGCGATCCTTCGCTCCGTCTACTTCATGGAAAACATCAACCCCAGCATGACCGGGAAGACGCTTACGACCTCGTGGAAGACGGTGGTCAAGGATAGGCCTCTACAACTACTTTCGGTGACGGATATCGGATTCTTCGCAGCGCAGGCTTTTACAGCGCCAGCCCAATGGCGATACAAATCAATCTCGCTGGCAGGGGACCAGCTCACGTTCAACGAGATGGCAAAAGTCTTCAAGGATAAGAAGAACCGTAATCCTCCGATGACGTTTGACTATGTGAGTTCACTCTATCTGTGGTGGGTCAAAGATCATGCGAGCATGTTCCGCTGGTGCCGTGAATCGGGATTTCGAGCAGATATCCCAGCTGCACGGACGTTGTATCCTAGTTTGAAGAGCTTTGCAGCTTGGCTGGAGAGTGACAGCGGGTCTGTGGGCTGAAGATCTTGAGTCGAATGACGCAGGGCTTGCGATATTGATATCACCTGAATAAAACCTTACCTTGCTAAGTGAGATTGGAGCCAAAGTAAACTCGATCACTTGTGCAAGGAAGTACAGGATTAGATGTGCATGGGATACTGCGGAGAGAATTACACTTTGTACAGCTCAGCTATAATCCAGAGGTATCTCTGCGTAGTACTAGTTCAATTTGTCGATGTACTCCACCCGGCCAGTGATAGACCAGTAAAAAACAAGTGAACCTCGTACTCGAAAACATAGTGCAGAGTACACTATTCATGAAAATGCCTCAGTCCCAAGAGGATGACCAATTTATTCTTAAAAGAATCAAGAAAGTATTCTGCGAAGGTCAAAGGGAAAAGTTCCTTGCCATTCTTCCCCACGCGAAGCAAACCCATGAAATGAACCCAAAGACCTAACCATTCCCGCAATAGGGTCTATTAGACGGACGGAATTGCCTAGTAGCAATGAAAGCACATTCCTGGCATAGTAATCAGTGAACCGTTCCGTAAGTCGGTACTTTCCACATCAAGGGATCTCATTTGTAGAGACGAATTTCAATACTTAGAATCTGAAAACAATGCCAACTCCTGGGACTCTACCTCGCAATCCACCCAGAGACAGTAGTACGTGAGAGCGAGGCCTACCGCAAATGTGCCTGGCGCTTGACCTGTCGCCTAAATAGAAGCGCATCCCGATCCTTCCCCATCAGTTTCAGATAGTCCGCGCGTTTGGATGACCGCTGCTCCTCGTCATGAGAATCGGCGCAGAGGCTCTCGACCGAAGACGCAGGCCCTGGGTTCGTGATCCTGTCGCCCTCAACTAAGGCCTTGAGGAGGCGGGCTTTCTCGCCTGAGTGTGGCAGTCGCCTGAGTATCTCTTTCGGGTTCGGTTTGGCTTGCTCAGCGGACCATGTTTGCGCGGTTTTCTTGGTGGCTTGGTCGCTTTTGACTTCGTTACTCATGGTGAGGGCTTGGGTGAAGTGCAGTGGACCGAGTTGGAGAATGTTGGGTCTGTGAGTGTATGCGTGTGTTCGATATGGACGGTTGGATGTAAGGTGGAAATGAGATATCGACGAGCGAGAAGGGATGCATAACTTCCTTGATGCTCTTTCAAGAGGATGATCCGTCGCCTACGGCTTTCGAACGTGAAGTGATCTGGAGGATCCAATCGCTCTTTAGTAGAAAAGATTGACGGTGACTGGCAGCTGGATGATCAGTTCTTGATAAGACCCGGACTGTCAATCAATTTGCCATGGGAAGGCCTCGTTCGTGACAGGATGTATACGAGTAAGTGATTTGATATATTCAATTTGATCTTTTCTTTTTCTCATTTAGCGTATGGACAACCGGTCTCAGAAGGTGATCAAGTCAGGTAGCAAGCGGCAAATTTCGACACAAATAGAACTCCCAGATGCGCCACCGAACCGCCAAAAAACAAAAAGCGAATGAAGAAACTCCAACCCGCATGCTCGAGCCTATTTTTGTTACCCTGCATCTGCTCTACCTTAGAATCCGTAGCCACTTTGTCCGTACGGTGTGGCTCCGTAAGGAGTCTGGGCACTGGCTCCCCATGCGCCTGCCCCATTCCCGTACGAGGTCAAATTGCCATCAATGCCCTCTGGTGGCTCATAGTTGTCTTCCCCGGCATCCAGCATCCCGGCATCGTCGACGCCTTGTCCATTTTCGTCGCCAGAAAGAGCGGTAATGGTCGTAGCTAGTTTACGCTGCAGGACGATGATACCTTGCTGGATGATCGTGTCTGGATCGAGGTTACCGATGCTCTCGACATCCAGGTAGAAGTTGTCGGGCTCGGCATCGTAGTCGAAGGGTTGGTCAGGATTTGCAGCGGGCTCCCAGGAAGCGTTTTCTGAGATCGGCCTTTTACAGCAAGGTGTATGTTAGCTTATGGGACAATAGACCAAGCCTCAAGCTAGACCAGGGATCCTTTTTCTTTCCCAACCAGAAAAAAAAAAACCTGGCAGAAAAGGCATGAGTACGTACCATTCCTTTGCAGCATCCTTCTCGAACCAATAATCCACGTGGCGCAGGTTATTGTGCGGGTCGTACTCGAAGCCCACAGCAGCAGTTGGCGCCCACTTCGCGTGTTCCTTCGCAGTCCCCTTCTTCGCGAGACACGTCAACTTGATCTCCTGGCCCTTGCGCAATTTACAGATCAGAGGTCCCTTCCCCTCTGGATCCTTGATGACAGGGTCACCAATGACGTCGTTCATACGCTCGCCCACAATAATCAGGTCACGCGCGTAGACAGACATGATACCGGAGCTACAGCGAGCGTGCAGCTGAAGCGTGACACTGCAGCGCACGCAGTGATCATCGCAGTCGCAGTCACGGGTGTAGTCCAGGTCCTGGTCGCAGTTCTTCGCATTGAGAGGAATCATGCCGAGACGGTGCGCGAGCATCTCGTCTGGGAGGATGGAAGTGTTGGCTTCGATCTCAATCAGGTCGAGGGCGAGGGTGGGAACTTCGGCGAGCATCGCGCGGCGGAGCGAGTTGGCGAAGGCCGTGTCGACGGAGCTCAGGCGGAAATCAACACGGTAGGGCTCTACCTGCTGCATGTTAGGAGCTATTCGAAAGGAGATTGCCTCATTTCCAGAAGGCCTTTTCGTGTCGTAGATGGCATACCTCGCGGACCGTCACTTGCGGGCCTGTGGGCTCAAGATCCATCTCGTAATCCATATTGTGCTGTGCGGCAGCGTTGGTCGCTGCCACCCGGTTCCGAAGTGTGATTTTATCTTTTGTGCATTCAGGAAGATCAAATCGAAGGGCTTAGGATCGATCAAGCTGGGGTGGGAAGCTGGGATAGGGCGTTGACAAGTGGGTGAGGGTAGGCCGCTTGCTGAAGCGCGGTTTTGCTGATTTGCTCGGAGCGACTTTGCCGCTTTTCCTAATCGGGACCTCCCCAATTGACTACTTCCCTTCTCTGGTATTTATTGCTCTTACTACAAACAAGAAATGAATTCCAAGTAAACGAACCTTTAGCTGCTTAGTCTATCTGTGTTATAAGAGCTAGGATTCTCGTTTGGAATTGTGCTAGCGATTACTGAGGTACAGGATCTCCAACCACATAAAGATCAACTGAGGCCCATTGGCGTTTCGTCACTTGTGGGATGGGGGGTAAAATAATGCGACGAAACGGAAGTCGGTATTTCCAGAACGGTGACCATGAATAGTCAGGAGCATTCTCCAGGTTCTTGAGAATCCATCCTGAACAAGGTGGAATGTCTATGAAGAGAATCGTTGCAGCAACAGAGCAAAAGCACCTGCAAGAACATGGCGGCACATCAAGCAGTCTCACTCACCAGAGTGGGATTTGACGGATGTGATGCAAGTAAAGGTGTCGATAACAGCGAAAGCAAAAAACCCACCGGTGCCCTCTTTTTTTTGGTTTGAGAAAGTCGTGTCGTGTCATAATCAGGGAGACGGCATGGAACAGCGCCCATCACCCTGTGCGAAATGTATGAAAAATCCATCGATATCGGGAAAACAGCAATATGTACTGGATGAGAAGAGACTAGCGCTTCATAGAGCTGCGGCGGAGAGCTTCAAGCAGCTCGGGCCGGTTGGCCAGCGCAATTTCAGCTTCGGCAAAGCTCACCCATCGTCGAGTGCGCTTATGACTCTCAGGCCACTTGCTCTCCTCGCGGTCCACAGTCACCTCAAAGAAGTGATAAGAGGCCTTGGGAGCTTGGGGGGTCACTGAAGGAGGAGGGCGCGTATCCTTGATCTGGCCCAGATCGGCTTTGATGCTGCAAATGACACCTGCCTCCTCCCAAGCTTCGCGGCAGGCAGCTTGCTGGGGCGTGGCCTCATCGAGTTCCCAACCACCCTTGGGCAGAACCCATCCTCCGGGGCCGGCAGATTGAATCATGAGAACTTTTGTCTTGTCAGCAGAGAGCGGGACGACACCGGCCACAAGGCGCTCGCCCATGGCACCGTAACCTATATGGGCGTGTGCATGTCAGCATTCCAGTTGCAGATCGAATGCATGGAGGCGGGCAAGGCACGAGGGGTAGATCCAATTGGCCCCATGCTCTTCCACCATGACGACACTTACGTTGGTTCGTGCGGCCAACGCGCGACACCATCGATGGGGCCTGCGCCATTGTGAAGCACGGTAATTTCCCAATAGGGTAGTCGGAAGCCGCTTCGGGGTTCGGTCACACCTCCCACGGGTTTCCGGAAGTGTAGAAGAGGGGGGGGGGAAAAACAACCAGAGAAGAAAAAGAAGGGTATTGGAGGAGAGGAGGGGGTGGGAGAGCGGACGGAATAGATAGAAGGGTCGAAAATCGGGAGTCGAAAAGAGAAAGGAGAAGCTTTACAGCTCAAGCCCCCAAGGAGCCTGGAGGGAGAGAGAGGGAGAGAGGCCTTTGAGGAGGGTCCGCGGTTCTGTCGGCGACGGCGGTCGGAGGAAATTTTTTTCCCCAATGCGGGGAGAAGAGGGACGGGGAGGCGGAGATTAGGTCTTCCCATTCATTCCCGTGGTGGACGGGATCCTGGAATGAGGCAAAGTGAAAAGAGGCATGGTCGAAGTGTTAAGATGAGAGGAGGTGAAGTGTAGAAAAAAGATGAAGTGGAGGGGCAGACCGGCGGCGCCGTCCGGCGCGATCGGGAAAGGTACCACTGACTAATTTTGGTAACGCAGTACCGTGCATTTTACATGCAGGGCCGATGGGTCTTCTGCGAGACATTCTATTTGATCCTCTGGCATGCAATTGGAACTCCTTGGAACTACTGTGCATCTGGGGGAGGAAGCATGTTTTCTTTTGGCGGGTAACTAGGCTTAGCGGGTGCTGGATTGGGGGGGTTGCAGAGAAACTAGCTATAGCTAGTCTGTTCTGGAATGCGGAGAGTCTCTTTTCTTTTTCCTACCTCGACTTGGACTGTCCCTGGGTTCTCTCCTTTCTGGGGAGGTTGATGCGGGTTATAGATGGCCTGTACTGGCCTATAGGCTGCATGGGTCATGTGACGGGCCCTGCAGATACAGGAATAGACTATTCCGTTACATCCTTAGAGGTACGGAGTACCCAGGACTACCATGAATACCAGATCATGCAATGGGACCACTCCCACGGACAGTTTCCCCCCCTTGGCCCTGTCCTTCGTACTGGAGACCCTCACCTTCTTGGCCCACCAGCCTCATGGCCATGCCCTAGACCCTCGGGTACCTCAACTTCGGTACCGAGAACAGGGAAATTGGAGCGATTCGATTACAGATCTCCGATCTGGCAGCTGGGCACGTTACAGGAATGCAAAAGCTTGAAACTCGGGGCCTTGGACCTTGTACATGATCCCTGTAAATCTGTTGTAGAGCCTCAGGATTTCCAGATGCATAAAACACAGCAGGTATTACTGCAGTACCTATCAACCTGTAATACCAACCCCGCTTCCATCCCTCTTCCTTTTCCTCCCCGCCTCCTCTCTATTTAGAGTCTCGTCCCACCCCGTCTTAGGCCACCGTGACTTTGGGTACACGCGTTTTCCTTTTCAATTTTGCCACGATCCACTAGATCTTTGTCCTGCATCTTTTTCCAGCTTTTTTTGACTTCCGCCGGTGCCGCCAACCAACCCGGACAGCCAACCCGCGAAGGAGGGGGGAAAAACCAAACGTAACTAAATGGATGTGGTTGACGCCGAACGCGCGCGACAGCTGTCGCTATTCCGTCCGTTAGGTACGTCCCACTTGGTCCTTCCACCACTAAGACAAGCTCTCAGAGCCCCGTGGCGCTTCCACTGGCCCTGCGGCTCGCCAGGGCCGATACCGCGGGGGATTGCCATCCCTCCTGCAGGCGATCCTTCCCTGTTTACTCTAAAGCCCTAGTTCCCCTCCTCCCCTGCTAACCGGCTACTCTACTAGGCTACCAACGCAGTAACGACTGCGGTTACTGCAAATCGGATAATGGTGGAAGTAAGTTGCCCCTCTTTGTTTTCGTTCCGGATTCGACTCGGAATTCTTTCATTGGGCCTCGCCGGCGCCTCCGGAGAGAAAGCCACAGAGCCCATAGATCGAAGCCAAGTTGACACGTCATGGTACAGGTGCGTCATACTACACCAGCTCCGTCGCCGTGAGGCCTGAGCACTATGGTGAGCTCATTGATCGAGGCTGGAGAAGGTATGGCGTCTGATGCGCAAATATTCTCCAATCCCATGATGGCTAATAATCATACAGATCAGGTACTCTGTACTACAAGCAGAACCTAGCACGGTCATGCTGCCCTCATTATACGCTCAGACTGCCTGTTGCTGAATTTCGCCCCCGTCGCGATCAGCGCAGGGCGATCAATCGCTGGAACAAGTTTGTCCTTGGTCCGGAGTATATGCGCAAGGTCTCACAGCTATGTCCGCGTACTCGAGAGTGTGTTCCCTGCTGGTTGGCTGCCGGCATTTCCTATCAACTGACGGTCTGTACAGAGAGAAGCGGTATCGGAAATGTAACTTCGATCTCCAGTCAGCCGTGCATGAGGCCGAGTACTCGAATCTCAAGCGTCCGATTGACCCTGCCACGAACCGTCCGCTGGAGCCCGCGCATCGCTTCGAGGTCAATCTTGAGGGCGATTCGACCTCGCAAATGAAACATGAGGTTTTTGTCAAGTATCAAACCAAAATTCACCGCGACCAGCCTTCCCGGTGGAAGATGAAGGACTTCAAGGGGTTTTTGTGCTCGGGCATCAAGCGATCGCCTGCCCCAGGCTCCAAGGCAGATGAAAACCAAAAGAAGCTCGGTTCATGGCACCAGTGCTATCGGCTAGACGGGAAGCTCATCGCAGTTGCGGTTCTAGATTTGGTACCTAATGGCGTAAGCTCAGTGTATCTTTAGTGAGTCGACCAAACATTGGAAGGTTTCACATACTAACGAGACCGTCAGCTACGATCCAGATTACGAGGAGTGGGAATTCGGCAAGCTAAGCGCTTTGCGAGAAATCGCTTTCTCGCTAGAACATAGCTACCCCTTTTATTACATGGGTTCGTAGAATCTCTAGCTTCATGTGATCATATTAAGCCTTGATCTGATCTGAATGTCGCAGGATTCTATATTCACAACTGCCAAAAGATGCGGTACAAGGGGAACTTCCGCCCACAATACATTCTTGGTGAGTAACACAACGGGCGGCCGATTCAAACCCGCCAGGAAAGCACTGACAAGAGGACTAAATGTTTTGAACAGACCCAGAAACATACACGTGGGATCCATTGGAAGGAGAGCTATCTGAAAAACTAGACAAACGCTCTTACGTCTCTCTTTCGAGAGACCGTGCCGGACCTTCGGACTCGCAACCCATCCCGCTCGACCCTGATGTGAACGAGGAAGACCTGTCACTCTTTGAAATAAACATGCCAGGCACGCTTACACTAGATGAAGTCAAGGCCCTCGACCTAGACCACTGGCTTTTGCTAGTGAGAGGAACGTTTGTGGAAATGATAGTAAGCCCTGCGCCGTGCCCTGACCGCTGCACAGTGGATTGATATTCCGAGCTAACATCCTGTAGGACCTCGTTGGGTGGGAAACTATGCCAATGGACCAGCCACAGTCTCTGAAGGGAATCATTGCTGAGTTAGCCGCCGTGCTGGGTCCCAGCATTGTGAAAAACAGCGCCGTGGTGCTGTTCGACTAAAATGGCTGAGTCGACCCTAGGAAACAGATTTACCTAGCTAACATAGGTAGCCATTTCAGATGGTGCGGATGGATCCAATGCAGATGACTATGGACTATTCTTGTGTCCTTCGTTTGTTTCGTATCATGAATCTGTGGCACTAGTCAGCCTGCTGTGTCTGACACGAGCAGTCTGCATGCAAAGCCACCTCATTCAAGGTACCAACGCATCACACACTATGATTTACATAACGAATTACCCAAGAAAGTGGCTCGTATTAGCTTGCGTGGAGACGAAGGAATCGCACTGGCCAACGCATGCAGCTTGTTTCGCGTTTCAAGGCCTCGCTCAGCCACGCAGCAGGATTACTGCCGCCTGGAAGGATTCAGCCACAGATTTTTCAATGCTCAGGCTAGTGATGCTAGCTGGAGCTATTGGCAGATATGCTCATCTACGTCCTCTTGAGATGTCCGAATAATCGTGATTATCGTACTGCGTACTAGTGTGGAATAGGTTCAAATTGAGTAAAGATTGCATAGAGTAGAGTAGTGGAGGGCCGATGCCCAGGGAATTTGCGATATGGAAATAGCCCCCCAATCTGATATGCACGTTGGATTAACAGACCTCTTGACAGGGACGTCATGAGGCTATGGCCAGGAATGCCCTTCTGGGCAATTGGGATGCCAGAAAAGACCCTGTCCGGCAGCCCCAACAAGCCACCCCCTGGAAAGCTTCTTCAACAGCTTCAAGTTTGGGATCCGGCGCTAACAGCCCACCGTATTTCGGAAGACGACTCAGAATCTGCAAGCAGCATGCCAAGGATTATTATGCTCAGTGCAGTGGAGGGCACAGCCGCACGCAGATGCCTCCATTGGTCGTTGCCCATGATGATGCCGATCTTACGCCCCAAAGAAAAGAGGGGCCATTTCACTCCTGACGTATTAGGGGCACCCTGTGTGGAAACACCTCATGCGCGCAACCAAATAGCGACCGCGATACTCTGGCAGTCAAGTGTCAGACTGTATAATTTTTTAACCTCTCCCAAAGGATCCGCCACGGCCCGTATAGGCGTATCAACATGGGCTGCGTTTTGCCCCCCTAGTATAAAGCCTCTCGTCATTCCCCCCACTACGATCGTCAAACAAAGATTTGGCTTTTGAATCTCCCTCCAACCAGGATCTCATTCGCATATTCGACAAGGAACAATCCCCACCGCCACAACCGCCACTATGATGGTCCTCGTTGCTGCTTGGAAAGCGGTGCGTAGACAGATATCTCATCGGGGGATGGACAGCCACTAACTTACACCGTTTGACAGATCGATAAAGGTTTATTAGACGAGGATAAGGTCCACAAGACTCTTGGATATGAGATCGATCAAGATGCGAATGGCCGTGCATCAGATGGCCTGACGGACGAAGAACGCATGGAGCGAATCCGTAAACTCTCCGCCCCAGGGAGCGGCCACCCGTATAATGCCCAGGAACCGCAAGACGAGGAGGAAGAGGAAGGCAAGCCCGCCAAGAAAGAGAGTTCATTGCGCGCAAAGTTTGGTTTCGCGCCTCGTCGCCCGAGCAATGCTAAGGCGTTGGAGCAGAGCATGACACCTGGTGACCCCGCCACCTATAACGCCATTGGGTATGTTGCTTCGACCACTGTTATGTTCCCTTACTTTGCTGACGTCTGGCTTTAGCGAGAAAATACACGAGATGCCCAAAACCTCGTTCATGGCGCTCCAGTAAAGCTGGGCCTCTCCCGTTGATTCGCCTTTGAGCAATCGTTGCGACCAGCCTTCTTCAACAAGCCTGTTCTCCGACCTGCCTGGTGCAGACATATCTTCTTGATACCATATGGATTTTTTTGATTTATGAGCGACGAGCACACAGTGTTTTCTTTTCCTCTTCTATCTTCGTTTTTTCTTTCGGGCCTTTCGTATCTCGGGGACTATATGGGCGTCGACCAGCCGGGTCACCTGAAATTCAGCCGGTCCGGATACAGGAAAACCCGCTGGCAGTTAACAGCGCCACATGACCCACGCTTGGACAGAGTATGCCTTTTTTTTTTTCGTAAAGTAAAGCATCGCTTTGTTGGTCGGCTATGTCAATCAGGTTGCCCCGGCGGAACCTCTACTTCCTTGGAAGCATTGCTGCATAGCATGCGAAAGAATATCATAGTCTATACACGGATACCTCGAATGATTCCCAATTATCTAATATGAGTCGATCGTAATCCCGAATGTATGTCCTAGCCCCAGTGCGTTCAACGGCATGTGCAATAGGTTACCGTGACTCCTTGGACAATCGTTCTGTCAAGGATGTTACCGCCCACTCAAGTTAGAGCCAACGCCAACGCCCCAAAGCTAAGCGAATGCAAATAAGGATAATCAAGACTAAACCCCAGGTAGATCCCCAAAGCTCCAGAGTGAACCTGATATAAAACATACACGTAGCGAAAGGGACCAGCAGTGATACTTGTAGGAGCAGGGTAGTACTTTATTTCTGTTTTCGAAAGCCTTTTCCAATTTTAGTCCACAAGTTGAAGCCATGAAAGTTGAGTAGTTGTAAGAAGAGAAAGCACAGAGCCAGCAAATCTTTTTGCTAGTATCTGGCGGAAAACCCCTGAAATTTGAACGTGGTGGATTTTGCTAGACCTTGGTGCCACATTCTAGAACTGGGTGTAAACGTGTTTGTAATATCCAAAAGGGGGAATCTGCAAACGAAACCCGGTGGATTTAAATGAAACCTGGTGTCATCTTCTAAACAATAGGTGTTGGAGATGCTTTAGATTCCAGGAAAGGAAATTAGTACATAAAACATGGTTGATTGGCCCCCGTCCAGGGGTTTTGCGGGTGTGGAATAGATCAGGTAAAGGTTTCATTTCTTATACTGTCTTATTATAATGTACATAGCTCAGGGCTTCATGTTACCCTATCATCTGGCTGGCCGACCGGATGATGGATACAGAGCCTACAAGAAACTCCAATGAGGATACAAGTACCTCGCTCTCTAAGAATTCTGCCAATTGTCCTGGGCATTTAACACCTGGTAGCCTACTGGAGAGCTGCGGGTTCTTGAGCGGCGACAGTGTATTTGGCGGCAGCGGTAGCTTCTGCGCGCTTTCGCGTTGGAGGTTGTTGAGGACCACCAGGGTTTCCGTGGACTGGGTGGTTGAGAGGGTGATAGAATTCTTCGTTAGGGCCACGGCGATCATACTTAGAGTGATGACCAAGGGAAACCTCGTGTGGCTGATTGAGTGGTGAAAGAAATTTGACAGTATCTAGCCCTAGGAGAATTAGCAAAAGTCCGCAAAAAGTTGAAATCTTTCAATGAATGCATACTGTCTCCAGGCGCAACTAAGGGGACAGCGCTCGTTAGTTCAGCAACCAATGAGGTTGATAGAAGGAGGCTGAGCTTCATGTGGGGCCTTATGAGGTGTGGAATCAAGGCCGTTCTTTGCTATTTTTATTGCAGTTGAAAAGAGGGTTTGAGACCGGAGGAAACCCTAGGGCAGACTTGAGATGTTTATACCCAATTTTAGGGGGGTACGGGAGAGTTTTGCTGATGAAGTGAGCATTGCATTTGAAATCCAGCGGCAGGAGCTCCCACAGGAAATTGAGATGAGACATCAATGCAGACATCGCCCAACTCAGATTTCCAAAACCATGTAGGCAGCCGACCTGCAGATCGATCAGGGGGACGATAAAAACCTACTCGTCGCTATGCTCTACCTTGATCCACATAGACTTTATGAAGGTCTATAAGAAGCACTGATAGGCATTAGACTGGAAAACGGACAAGATTAGATTGAGCTACTAACCAGAAATTGTATCTAACTCATAGAAAGCTTGGTACAGCAGGGTTGGCCCATATTCCAGCGCAATTTTGAATCGCTCCAATGCAAATCAGTCTGAGCCCAAGGATTGCCCGTCCATTTACCGGATTGAACCTGGAACGGACTAGCTTGCTAGGCCTACTCTTCTATTACCAATTCATTACTAGTCCAGGCAGCGTTCGAAAATTGCGAAGAGTGAATTTCTCTGCGGGAGTATAGATCGGAATCAATAAATATACGGAAATGCATGCAAATCCACAAGCCTCTGACCGAGCCAGGAAAGCTCAAAAGCGTTCGAAAGCAGCCAGCGGCCAAAAGTACTTGCATCAAGGGACGGAAGATCGAGGAGAACAAAGAGAAAAAGAAGAGGAAATCAATGAACTAGTTTGCCGCCGTGTGTCTATCCCTTTTGTCCTGCGCACACTCGCCTTTCGTTCTCCTGATTCGCCGGGTAGATGAATATACGCCGAAGGAGGCAGACCAGATCAGCAGAGTCCAAGAACGGGGAACGCCAGGGTTTGGAAAAGGTACCCATAACCAAAGGCCAAAAAAAATATCAAGAATCAAAAACACAGAAATGAAATGCAATCCAAAATCATAGCCTCAAAACGCCGTGACTCATAGGCGACACCAGGTCCCAATGCAGCAAAAGTAACATAGACAGAGAAGGGGAGGGGGGGGGAGGAGGATAAAGGCAGGTTGATCGAGGGCCAAGAGAGGTGGTTGATAGAGGGGAGACAGGGAGGAAAAAAAGGGCAAATAACCATGCAACCCCAAAAAGACAGGATGAAAGGAAATCCACCCCTGACTCAGTATGTATACTAAACACCGTCCAAAGCCGCCCCCTCGTCCTCACGGTCTGAGCCCGTGAGGACAGAGTACGATGGCCTCCTGCCAGCCCCATAGACCATCTCCATCAGTTTCGCCTTCTGGCGCTCGCGCACTGTCCTCAGGTAGTCATACGTGCCTTCTAGACCACGGATCTGGCCGTCAATCACCGCTTCAACGGGCCCAAGCATGCGCCCTGCAGCCCCGGAGCTGGCAGCAGCCGCGGCACCGCCCTCCACTCCGACGAAACTGACCGAGTCATTCCGTCGGACCAGTGGACTGACAAGCTTCCGTCGCAGCGTCTCCAGGTTCACCTTCAGTGTCAACAGGCGGCCTCGGTGGTCCACAAGAAGATGCTTGTTCGCGACAGTGCGGCTGCGTACGTTTGCGAGGAGACGCTTGTTCTTGTCATACTTGCGCACGGCGACGGCGTCGGGGCCTAGGACTCTGGTCCAGAGGGAGCTGAGCATCTCGCCTTCTTCGCGTTCCTGGGCGTCTGATTCGCGGACTACTGTGCGCTGAAGGTTGAGGAATTGACGGTCGATAGATTCGAAGAGCGCGAACAGCGCTGTTGAATGGGTGAGTTCGCTGTTAATTGATTCTTCTAAAACCGAGAGGAATTCTGTGAACGTTCTCGTTATCGTGGCGCGGGTGCGTTGCGCAGACGTCTGCCCGAAGACAGCCATGACGAGATGGCCGAGCGGCGTCGTGGTCGTGCCAGCGACCCCACCATCCGCGACCTCGGTGGTGCGTTCAAGAGCGCCAACCCTTGACAACATATTGTGTACATTGTCGAAGATCACCGTGGGCACAGTGCTGGGTGGCTGGGCGGAGAGGGTCTCCAGCTCTCGCTTGGCCCAGTCCATTACGATCAAAATAGAGTCGATATCTGAGTCGACATTGGCAAAGAATCGGGTCAGCTCGAGAGACAGCGACTTCAAAGAGTCTGAGAGCTCATCCAGCTGAGCCACGATAATCGGAGCGCTGGTCATGTTGGTACCGCGAACCGACTCGCTCAGGTCCCAGACCGCCACACCGGTCTCTTGGAGAGTGCCGATCTGCTGAACCCCATTCTCTGAATAATAGATCAAAGGCTCAAAGGAACGGGCGAATCCAGAGAGCTTTACCAGATCAGGGATTGCTTGGGGAGGCCGGGCAGAGCAAAGCTCTCATGAAAGCAAAGGAGAGGAGGAGAACCACGATCGACAAGGTCGTATTGGATTTGGAGCTGGTGATTCGATCGAACTTAGTACGTAGATAATTAGTGATAGCGGCGATGGGTTCGCGATGTTGGACTTCCGCTCTCACGGCGAACCGGATATCTTGATATAAGCGTCAGCGATACCATATATACAACTTTGAGAAGGCAAGCCAACTCAACGGGGGAAGATCAGAGAGTGCCTACAGTTACTTAGGTTCTCCGTCCGGAAGCCCATCTCATCGGCTTGAGGGGCTTTGGCCATTTCGCTTCCTTGTTTCCGTTGCGCCACGGGGCTAGGGGAGCGTCCACTTTGTGGAGTGGGGGACTCCAAAGGAAGTGGGACGTTGGCGGCAGCAGTGGCATCAGCCAGGTCAGCGTGTTCGTTTGCTTTGGTCTTTGTGGGGTCCTCCAATGCATCTTCGTATTGCGGGCTTGGTTCACGCGACAATGAAGGGGACATGTTCTGCAGCCCGGCCGTCGGCTTCAACTCTAGCCGCTGCCCCTGGAGATCGGTGGGCCTAGTATATGGCTGGCCTCGGTACCAGCCACTGCCCTGCACGAAATCATGGCCGCGCAACGTGGGCGGGGACCAACGGTCATTTGCAGGGTCCGAGATCTCCTCGTCTGAGTCTTCGGATCGAAAGCCGGAGTGCTGCGAAGGCATCCCAAACAGCGGGAATCGATGCGCATTGCTGTTATTCTCAAAGTCTTCAAGTGACGCATCCAACGACGGATGGTCGTCAAAGACGTCGTCTAGCTCGTCCAACATTGGGGACGGCGATTGCCGGATTTGGCGCTGCAGGCTAGAAAAGGTCGCCGGGACGCAGCGCAAAGCGTCCTGCGATCGAATTTACTGGGGCACAAGGCTGAAAAGGAAAGCGGTTAGTCGAAGCGCCGGAGCTTGTGTCTCATGCGCTGAGCAGGACTTGTGGGATACGGAGAGATGTTGGGGCAATGGCGCCGTCCGACAATGTGACAATCGGACCCCGCGGCAGATGCGACAGATGCGACAGGATGCGATGCGCCGGCCAGGAGGAGAGGTTTTATATAAATAATATTGATGTATTGGAAGCGTAGGGACTGCGGAGAGACAGGGGGATGTTATGGGACAGATTGTAGACAACAGGAACCACCACGGAAATAAAGCCTTGATCTTGCAGAGGGTTGAGGAAGAACGCCTCGAGCAGCAATGCGGGAGAAGAGGGAACTCATGGTGAAGGGGGTGGCTGGACCAATTACCCGAAACCTTGCGGGGGGGTTCAGGATGCACAGGCTGCAGATGTAGTCCACAAGTACCTTGGAAGTTCCTGGGGGCGCATGATAGGCGGGCATCGAGACCTGTCGAGTACTTGCCGGGGAATCGAGTCGGTCAGGCACACCTTGGGCACGCTCTGTACCAATCATTGGACGTACACGCACCCCATCTGATACAGCAGGGATGGGGCGGGATTCCTCGACCTAATTGGCCACCCCCTTCCCTGACCCTGCAGAAGGCTACAGAAATACGGCGCCGATTGTAGATCGGCGAATTCGAGGAATGAAAAGAAAAAGAGAGGAGGGAGAGATCACATCTATTGTGGGTCAACCATGGATAAACTGAGATAAAATTACATGCCCGGTCCCGTGGATGCCCGGAAAATCAGCCCACGGCCCCGGCTAATTTCGGACGTCTATCGGCGCCGCAGGACGGGGTTGTGAATGAAATCGAAAGAGCCGTGAAGAAACATCATGTCGTCTTTTATGCGGTGTTTTCCTTGAGGAAGCTGTGGCGGGGGTACGTCAGTATCTGCTCGGCCGGAGAGATCGCGCGGCGTGGCGTAGACTTACGTGATCAGGTCGTTGCGCTCCTTGCCCTTCTTGAGACCACCGAAGGCCATCTTGGTACCGGGAATGAACTTCTTGGGGTTCTCGAGGTACTTGAACTGTAACGCGGGAAGAGTGATTAGATGGCTGCTGTAGAACTTTGGCGCCGGTAGTACTCACCAGAGTGTCCTCGTTCCAAGTGACACCAGCCTGCTTGTTGGCGTCGGTGTAGGAGTAGCCCTCGACCTCACCGGTCTTACGGCCGAAGAGACCGTGAAGCTTGGGGCCGACCTTGTTGGCACCGTCAGCCTCGACAGTGTGGCACTGAGCGCAACGGGTCTGGGAGAAGGGTCAGCGAAAGTCCAGAATGGGGAAAGGGTACATTGATATAGAGCCAATGTTGCTACTCACCTGGAAGAGCTTGGCACCCTTGGCGGCGTCACCTGCAGAAGTTGTGTTAGAAACAGGCTTCTTGGGTGGTTCCTGTGTGGTTGCAGCGGCATCCTCTGCAGCCAATTCGACCCCGGCCTTCATCTTCCTCTCGTGCGCATCCCTCCCGCAACGCGATCAATGATCCGGTAAAGAGGAAGAATGACGGGGTTCGTCATGGTGCAAGGAGAGCCGAGCTTAGAATGGACGGGTCTCGCTGCTGCGGAGCAACTGATGAAGCAGACGCGCGAGAAGAACGAAGGCAAAGTGGTGGTAAGAGCGCGCGGCCACCTTAGGACTGCTTGGTGAGTTGAAGCCAGTGGTTGTTGGCATTGGCAATCACGAAGCGCTGTTCGCTCTACCCTTTCCCTTCGCTGGTCCTTCCTCGTGCGCATGGCGAATCTCTTGTTTGCCCCCGTGCTATTCTGAAGCGTACTGCTAAAGGGGAAGGGGCTTAAGGAAATGTAGCTTACCGGGAGCGAAAGAAGCGTCCTTGGCCATTGTGTATGAAGTGAATTGAAACGATTAGGGAAATTAGGCAGAGAGACTGTACAGAAGAGATGAAGCCAGGTTGGGAAGAAGCAAGATTTTTGACGCGGCCTTTTCGGGGCCCCGTGATCTGAGCCCCCTGCTCTGTCCGCCAATCAGCGCCCTCCTATTAAACCACCGGGAGTAACCGGGTTTGCTTTCGGCGGGTTCTGGCTCTTTCCCTTCTGCCCTGCTTTATTCTTTGCTCCTGCCGTGTTGCCGGGGCGCTTCGTTGACTTTCCCTTTTCTTTTTAAAACCTTTTTTTTTTCTTTTTTGGGATGCTTTGCCCATGCCGGCTGACCCCGATGATCTCATACATCATCATCGTTAGAGCCGGCCCGGTCCCTTTTTATTCGTTCGCCTCCTCTGCTAGGTGAACCGAACCGCGGCCTTGCTACTGTGCATTGCTTCACTTCAATATTCTGAGTGGCCGTTCTGGAGCTTGGAAGACCCAACATCCTGATCAATGCTCCTGTTGTCTAGGGAGACTGGCCTTGGCCGGACTTCGAAATGCGCTCAATTTCATTCGCCAATGACATATTTCCCGGCCCATTGTGGACCCCAGAGCTAAAGCTGTGGGACCTGCTATGTATGTGTCCGTACCCCTTCAACCCGAAAGCAATTATTCGATCGGGTCCAAGAAATCTTGCTTCGTCAACCACTTTCTACCCCAGCTTGATCAGCTATCTATCGCTAGAGGCTAGAAGTATTCGAGCTCCCAGCTGGCATAGAAATATAGTCTATAAAATCCAGCCAGCAATGCGGACCAGGGACCCGCAGTTCGAAAATGCAAGGACAAGTCGAGCTTGTATCTGCCGCTTATTGACCGCCTTGTGATATCCCTTTTTAGGTTGAACCGCAGACAGGACCACCAACTGTCTGATTTAGCCGGGTTCAATTTGAGACTTGGGTTGGTCTTTAGTCTATTGGTCACAGAACTGCTGAGTGCATACGTACTCGTACTAATAATGGCCAAAAGACTGAGTGGAAACAAATTCATGCAACGAGCATTACTAGGAGTACTGGTTGCTATTAGTATATCAACACATCTTCGATCAAGAATTGTGCGCTGTTGGAGTAGTTTTCCTCGTCTGATGGGTGACTCGTCTCGAATGGGATGCATATTGACCATGCCATCGGCATCCGGGTTCCTCTGGATTGGCGAATCAACTTCGATCGTTCAATCGGTGGACTTGGGTGCCTCTGAGATGTGCTTGATGTCTTCTATATGTTTTCTGATGTTAGTAGGCCGAAAGATTGACTTCGTCCAACGACATGCTGCGAATCGGTTGCTTGATTTGACCGAAGGAGTGGGGTCCCGGTACAGCAATTGATATCTCTGCAAGACGGCGAATGATAAGACGAAGAGCCTCGATCATTAGGAGGTCCAAATACGAGAAACCACTTCGAATGTTTCCAGAGATATATGAGTCAGCAAATATGGAATTGCTTGGAATGAAGTGACAGATCCTGATAAACTATATGTCTGTGTTTCCTGGTCTTCGGGCTGATGAGACCGACACAGAGTACCACGGGAGCATGAGAAGATCTGCCAGCATTGGATTTGATCTTATCTTTCCATCCCATGGCTATCCATACGATCAAATTGATGCAATATTCTATGGCCCTCTAAACAGCCAACTTTCTGTGACTTTCCTCGTGCTTTGGTACCGTAGTCATCTTTCAATAACGCAAAAGTTGAATGATATCACGTGATATGGGAAACCAACATCTCCAAGAAAAGTTCCGTTCCGCCAAAGCTCAAGGAAAACAGAGCCACCATGCCGCCAATTTCAATCCCTCAGTTCCTGCTCCCGCGAGGGTACCCAACTGCCCGCACTGTTCGAGTTCTCCAAGCTCAGGCTCCGGGATCGGCCCACTATGCAGCTCAACGTAGTTTCTCCGCTACCAGCGCAATTGCCCGTGGGAAGAAGAGCAGCGGCACCGAGAAGCCCCGCGTCCTCGAGAAACCAGACAAATTTCGCCCACCCCTCGCACCCCCAACGGATCGTGGACCCAGCCCGTGTGACCAGCTCCAGCCAACCAGTCAATTATGGCCCGCGCCTGACAGCGGAAGAGCGCGAAGCGCAGAACAAGAAGCAGTACCCGAATATGTTCCCGCCGGAGGGGACCGTGATGCATAAGTTTCTTACGAGCAAATGGATCCATGTGTGGATTGCGATGGTAAGGGGAGCCAGAAAAACAAAGCACCTCATGGCGGAGGCCCAACGTCTCGTGCAGCTGCTAACATGGTTATGTTCTTCAGAGCGTTCTCGTTTCCCTCGCGACCTTTACCTTCACCACGGACTTCAAGGCCAAGTCGCCCTTCGCTCATCTTCTTCCGCCCTGGTCGGGTCTGTTGACGGCCCCCTTCGACACTATCTCGCAGGCATTGAACGTCTACCGCATGCATGTGCAGCACAATTCCATGCTGGTGCGCGAGCAGCGTCACCGTCGGGTGGAGGATGCGGAGAAGCGCAGACAATTCCGTGTTGCGCACGGTCTGGAGGAGCCTAATGAGAAGGAGAAGGAGAAGGCTGTCGCGGATCCTCAGTCGCCAATTGCAGCAGATGCAGAGCAAAAGGCCGATGGAGAGTACGTGGATTTCGAAGGGAGGAGGAGGCCGGTCAAGAAGTGGCTCGGGATCTGGTAATCATCTCCCTGATATAGACAGGTCCAGATGCATACCAGGCCATACATATCAGACCTGGGGTATTGGCGATATATTCGGACTTTTGCATCGAGGCCTTGAAGCCGTCTTATCCTCCCCGGTCAGCTAACATGGACAAGGCTTAGAAGAGTCCGGGTTGTACAATTTGTAAAACTACATTCCCTCCCCCGGCCCCAATTCCCGCAGAACCAGAGTCGAACGTACCAATGTACCTTATCGAATGTACCGTAGATCATGAATCATGAATCGCCTCTCATTATTTTTTTTGGCACTTGCAAACATTGGTATCATGCACCATCTCTATCAAACTAGACGGGAAAACCTGCTAGACCTCAACACCCTCCAGGCCCTCAAGGACCTCCTCACCCACTCCGCCCTTCTTCAAGACTGTGCGAGTAAGCTCGGTAATGACACTGCGTTTGATTCCACCTCGCCTAGGTCTCCAGACGCCCGGCACCTCTTCTTGGCCAGCCGACGGATTTGCAGCGGCCGCGTTGTCAGAGTTTCCAGTAGCAGCCATGGTACTTAGATTCTCTGAGTTCGGCACCCCGGGCTGCGTCAGCCGGGAGGGGGGATCGATGGTGCGAATAGACAAAAGCTTCAAGCCTTGTCCCTCGCTATTGCGTGTGATCGAGATCGCTAGGACAGCGTCCGCAACGGAGATTTCTTCCCGGTTGGGGTCGAAGATGACGTTGTCCCCCACAGAGATAACAAGGAGAGTCACCGGCGGCCGGATCTGTGAGGACGTCGCAGAGGCTGAGGGTGAAGGGCGCGGGTAGAGGTGCTCTGCGACGCCCCAATCGTCGTCGAAGAAAGGATCCTCTTCGCCCTGCGATTTGAGCTTGGGGAGCTTGGTCGATAGAAGGGCAAGGTGGGTCGTCAATGACAGGAGAGGAAGAGGATATGAAAGTGGTTGGGAGAGAAGGAGAACCTGCCAGATATTAGTCCGAGCGCCGGAGAGAAAGCCAGATGAGGGGGAAGAAATAAGACTTACGTCGATGTATAGACGCCAATGCCACCTTTTATTGATAACCAGCCTTCCCTTCAGCCCACCGGCCATCTCGGTGTCCCTGCCCTTCCCTGCATCGGTCACCGAACCGACGAGCGACTCGCGCATCATCTCCGACAAGAACACTGGCAGCGCATCGTCGTCTCGGAACCCAGGAATCTCAATGGACATCTGCACCCATGAGCCGTGGCCCCCTGCCGCGGCAGATGGGGTAGACTCCGCTCCGTCGCGCCGGTCGCTTGGGGCTTGGAGGTCATTCTCGACATCCTGCTGCAGAATATCGGATGCAAGAACGGTCTTCTCAACCTCAGCCTTGACGCCGACGATGGCCTGGGTGCCATCTGCGAAACCAATACGCGCGCTACCATTGGTTCCAGGGAGAATGTCGGTTTCTGCGGTCAAAGGACGGAATTGTGTAGGCGAGCGGCCATCGGGGCGGATTGGGCCTTTGGGGAGCGATAACGAGGTGTACAGGTAGGAGAGTTCGGCGGGGGAGAGGTGTGGCGTTTGTGAGGCTGATGAAGCCTGTCGCGGGTTGGACATTGTGAGGGCTACTCTCTCTCGAAGAGCAGAATATGTCTGGCGAGAGAAATGTGAAGTTGATCGCGGTGCTTAATGGAAGCTTTGGAAAAATCTCCACAAGTGGGGCAGCATTAACGCGCCGCTTTTATCAGCTATTCTTCGCTTCAGGTTCCCCACTTGAACTTTGACTGGAAGGCGCCTCTTCTTCCTTGCTCTCTACACTGGCCGGCGTTCCCTGGCTCCTTTTCAGTGCTTATAAGGCTTTGACTGTCATATGCTAATTTCTGTCTCTATTCGCGCTTAGAATCTATTTCTATTACTCAGGAACAGCAGACCCAATCGACTTCCAAAAGTCGCATCTTCTTCCTCGACCTCCCTCCCAGGTGTACCCATTCACCATGCTGAAATCAGGAACCAAGCCTGGGTTCATGTATGTATTGATAATTTGTTGGCATGAACTCATGGGATCCTTACGTCTGGTGGGAGTGCCGCCTGTCTGGTTTAGGTTCATTTGCACTCGGTCAAATGGCGTCCATGATGGCCACGTTTCAAGGGTCTCCGCGATCTTGGCAGGAGCTTTGGGGCTGTACGAGGTAGTGTTCGTAGGCGTTCCGTGCGCAATGAAACTGTCAAAGAATGCTTTTCCGGCCATTAGTTTCGGTCTTAGGTTATCATACTTCAGATTATAGAGACTTACACCTGAAAGAGTCTTGGAATGCTCGACTCATGGTGGCAGGTACACTGCTAGCGGATGTCGGGCCAAAGTATATGCGCAGATCATCTCCATGGCAGGAGTTCACCAGAGAGAATTGATACTTGTAGCTTTTCTGACTTTTCAGCCCGAATGCATCGGCGATCCAGTAAGCGGGGCACACGAAAGTAGTTTCCGCATAGAGGTTCTATTATTCAAGTCAGTAAGCACATCTTAGATGTTCATATATCGATACCAGAAGTCATACATTGGCACGCTGTTGTTGTCCAACACCATAGGGGCTCACGAAATCAGCATCAGCATTGTCATTCAAGCCGTTCGTAGCGAATCCCGCAGTAGGTACACTGACGGGCAGGGCATATTCAGCCAAGATTTGTTGGATATGATGGTCATTAAGCCACGGCATTAAGTATTTCGCAAAGTCAATGAAATCCTCCTCCGTGGTCACATTTTGGGGCGTAAAGAGAACGCCTTCGTTGGCATTGTTCTATATATTGTCAGCACGTCAAATCCATACTCTGGATCCGGCCATTCACCTACTCCAATTAATGCTCTATTCCCGTTGACTAGCCCGGTAGAAAGCTGTGCACTCGGTCGCTCCCGGACAAACTTTCCATCTGTCACAGGCACGAATGGCCACTGTCCGTATTTGCCATTGGTCGTTACAGTGTACGACGCATTCTGAAGCGCGCTGGTATCCGCCGCTACCAGACAGTCGAAAACGCTCTCAGTCTTGCTGTGGGGGCAACCTGCCTCGGCGGCAAATTGTTCGTAGTAAGTAGTTGGAACAGGGTCGTTATAGTGATGTTGCTGAGGCAGGTAAGGACTGGCGGCAAATGTCTATTGTTTTTGTCAGTCTCGTGTCTAGTAACAAGGCAAGCAGAGAAAGTCATACACCATCGAAAAGCTCGTCGCCTACGGTGCCACCGTAAGCCATGGCTTGCAACATGACCGAGCCACCTCCTATCGACATGTCAGCTTTGCATGGACCTGTATCAAGATCAATCATCCTTACCAGCAGATTCGCCTCCAATAGTAACGCGATCTGGGTTACCCCCAAACAATGCGATATACTTTTGCACCCACTGCAGTGCTAGGTACTGGTCGTAGAGACCCGCATTGGTGATTCCATGTTGATGAACATCTTCACTCGCTAAGAAGCCGAATGCGCCAAGCTAGAAAAAAGGTCAACATCAGTAACTCTCATCAAGAGGATAGACTTTGATCCGCATACTCGGTATTGCATCGCCACCGCAACAAACTTGGTCTGGGACGTATCAACCATCCATGACATATCTGAATCAGCATTTCCGACGCCATATCCACCGCCATCTAAGTAGCACGTGTTACTTCAAGTCCGAGAAATTTGCAAATTGGACCACTTACGAATCCAAACGAAAACGGGCAGATCAGTTGCATTTTCTGGCGCCCATACGTTCACAAAGAGACAGTCTTCACTCTCTGACTTGACTGCTGCCCATGCAGGATCCGGAACCCTAAACACAAAATCGGTTAAGCGTGCTTGGTCAAGTGAGGACACGGATGTGGCTTACTGAAAACGAGGTGGCGCCTGGGGACACATCGGTGCATAAGTACTCGCATCCAAAAATGTACCATTGAACTCCGTCCGAGGCGGCACAGAGGCCTGCCATCGCATATCTCCAATCGGTGCTTGTGCATAGCGTATCCTTGCAACGAATTAGTTTACGCCAAGAGAACAACGAGCTCTCTTTTTAGAATGATCGCACATACCCCTGCCAAGTATTCAGGCCGGAAGTGGCGTTTTTGACTCCAACGTAGCCGGCGTAACCCAGGTTGACCTCCAGGGGCTTCGAAGGGTCAGGTAGACTGCCTTCCGGATATGGATTGCTGGGCGGATTGCTGGGCGGATCATGGGCGGACACAACACCCAGGGATAAGAATGAAAGGCATATCGCCAATAACGATCTGGAAGATGCTCGATGCCGCATTATGAAGATCTTGGCTCAATGACGGTCTTGACAGAGTATTTTGTGTCAGGAGCAACTCGATGAAGTGCAAATTTCTCGATTTATACCTGCCGACAGAACAGAATTACAAATCAAGCATCCAGAAGAAGGCGTCATGGCCGTTTTCGCTCGGGATTTTCTGGGGTCCCCATACCGGGGCCTCGATATCGCATGTACTTGGGTTCTCCACCCCACATCGAAGCCTCGGGTATAGCATCAAGTGGCTGATAACGGTGCTACAGTGATTGGTTCGAGGACGCCGTTAGTATGCAAGTGCATTAACATGTGCTCGGAATTTGCATAATTTGGCACTAATATCCTTTAGGACACTATAATTCCGGGAACCGAGGCACATAAGCCGGACTGGGTAATGATTGCGGACTACATTTAAGTTTTTGCCACTCGGGACCTAATCCCATAGGTTCCTGCTTCAATAATAAGTGGACACAGATGCGCTCCAACGAACCTGTGGAGATCGGAATTCCCCGCATCTGCACCCCACATTCCCCAACGGTAACTCGACCCCGGTTGATTTCTCCGGAAACTTACACGGCGCTACACGGCACTTGGCTATGAATTAGGCTTAGGTGCGGCATTCCTTCTGCATTGGGACAAGATTCCTTCTGTCCGCGAGCGGTTATATGGAGCAATGGATTTTCTCATGGATAACCTCGGTCTATAATATAAGTCGGCGACTTACTCCTGACTCTATATTGGACATTTGGATCGAGATATGGATAGCCCTGATGATTTGAGGTATGGGGAATATTTAAGAGTAATATGGAAGAACAGAGCTAGGGCTAAGTGTTGTAATTGTTGGATCGCGAGAACTACCGGTCTATTCAAGGAACGTTCTAAGTGGAAGATCACATTCGGTAATGTAATGTCCGGCGGTCGGCTAAGAGAAGGGGTCGATGGATAGGGGTCGATGGATAAGGGGTACCCGTGGAAAATGCTAGTGGATGTTAGATATCTCCAATCCAGATTTCGTTGAACCACACTAAAGGATAGGTGGAATAGGTACTGTAGATTTCCGGCAGAATAAGGCTGCCTGGAAAACCGATCGAGAAGCAATGTCTTAACGGTGCGTTTGTGATGACATGTCATTTGGAATTCCTACGTGGGATAAGGGATGGCTGGCCGAGTTCCTTGATTGAGCCTGAATTAGAGCCCCGGCCAGAGGAAAAGAAAGAGCAGAATGATGCCAATTCTGGTGTAGAATGTGCAGGAGAGAGATCATCAGATCCCGATTTACAGATGAGTCACGCAAGGAGCCCCAGACAATGGCAGACATATTTCTAATAGTTGAACATCGGTCAAGAAAAAGGAAAGGAAACGTGTCCTCGGGTCGGAGCTGAAGCAATGTATTGAGGATATCTAAAGTTTGAGATAGAGGAAAGGGAGGCAAGGATTCTAGATACGCGAGATGTACTAGGTCTCCCCGATCGACAACTTTTCTTGATCCTCCCATAGTCCACCTGTGATTCTGACAGATGTTGTGGTGTTCGGAGTATAATTCAACTTCAAACGTCGCTGAAAATCAGTCTTGTGTACACCAGAACACGACTGGCTACGACGGGCTACGACTTGCAGCCCTGTGTTGGAACACGCGGTGCCGTTACTGCCGTATTACTGCTCGTTTGTCTCTAGACGAATGCTCCCAACTTTTCTTATATAAGGAATCCACTGTATAAATAGCCGGTGCCTGTCATTTTAGAATGTTCAAAGTTATATATATTTCATCCACATCCCGTACATTACCCCTCCCTCCTGACGCTCCGACATCAGCCACCTTCAGTTCGGTCTATCCGCACCGGGTGTTTGCGCATTTATTTGTCGTGATGTATGGGAATATCCGTGTTTGCATTCTGAAGATGAGTTTTATTACTTGCTAAAATAATTATGCATGCGCCTGAGGAGGAGAGTCCCATGACTTTGGGGAGTCTTTTCTTACTACACCTCCGGCCACTGAAACCGCGAGGATCAGCCTTGGTTGAGCCGCCTCTATAAAGAATGCCCAGTTAATTGATTTCCCATCTCTATTTAGATGTGAAGGGCTAAAGTAAGACTTGATTCAATCTATACTAGGCCACGAACTGTGTTCAATAAACTTAAGGAAAGGAGTTCAATACACCAGTCCTCCGCCATTAGTATGCCAAGGTCACGTGTCCTACGTGATCAACATCGGGCCCTGGCCCGTGACATTAGAGACTCGGACTCTGATTATTTTGTGAGAGATGACCGCGGCAATCCCTGCCTGCCCGATCTATCGTAAACCTGGACCGCCGGATTTTGGACTGTATTCGTTCTCAAAGTTCTCAAATACTCGTGATACTACTGACATCAGTCGATGATGATATTTGATGATTAACCTAGGAGTGCAAGAGCACTGCCTCCGTGATGTGAGGATACCCCATGACTAATGAGGTTGTGCCGATCGGAACAAATTGGCCCCGAGCAGTGAATTCAGCCATGATTGGGACAATTAGGGCTCTAGACTTCCCCAATCGTATATGGGCCCTGGCTAGGAATTGCTTAAATCGCTCAAGGCCGGTTTTTAAACTTAAGATGTATCACGCATTACATCAATCAACCGGGGGTGCGGCGTGTCCATCACGAGCAGGTCTCATTTGCGCGTGCCACGTGGGAATCATCCAGAGGGTGACATCAGGCTGGAGCTCCGAAACAAGTCGAGAGGCTTGAAGCTAAACGGAAAGTAATAATGCACATACCGATAGGCAGTTTCAGGATGATTGGTAAAGCAGGTCAAAGCCCGTCTAGACGATCCAGGTACCGATCTCAGGAATAGCTAAGGTTCTCCGTTGGACTTCCGAGGCTGTGGGTCACAAGTGGCGTCTAGCGGCAGCACGGGATCGACGGGGTAGCATTGAACTAAAGAACTCTAGGTAAATGATAGACATGGCTTCCCACGCCCATCTTTGATGGTCACATTCGAATAGTCCGCGCAGGGATATTTAATGAATTGGCCCCCTCCTGCGTCTCAATATGCCACGGTGTTAATTGGTTTCGACTGTGTAGATCGGCATGTATTCTTCTACTACATTGATGCTGGCCGCCTTGTACGGCCTGGCTGTTTTGACTTCACTGGTCGAAGGAAAGCCTATCAGAGTACCTCTGCAGAGAGGGCGATCGCATTTGGCGGGGAACACTCTCTTCGCATGCGCAGCAGCCCAGCAGCCGGCTCTGTCTTCGAGGCACAGGTAAAGCTAGTGATCGGCTCGGAGCCCAGAAAGAACCATGGCTAATAAAGGCTTGACACATGAAGAACTTCTGGTTCGGACACTTTACTGTCGGCAACTCGCGAAATGCATCGATTTTGATCGACACAGGATCCTCCGATCTGATCTTTAACCCCGGTAGCCGCTACTACAAGCCAGGCCCGCATTCAAAGAACTTGCACCATACGTTCTCTATTCAATATGAAACCACAAAGCCGGACGGTTCCGGCTATGAAAAGGTTCATTTTCCTACCGCAAAATCCAGCGCTACAGAAAATTGCTAATTCACGAGTTGTGACAGCTTTCCGGGAATGTCTTCGAAGACTCGGTCACTCTTGTCGGAACCGACCTGACAACCCCTCAACAGCAGTTGGGCGTTGTCACGCAGTATCAGCCATCCAATGCGCTGCCTTTCCCCGAAGATGGACTGATGGGGCTCGCCGGGCAGGAAAGCAGCCTCGGGGACTCGGTCACCAGTTGGTGGAATAAGCTCTGCGCCTCTTCACTTATCCAAGAGTGCCGCTTCGGCTTGGCGCTTGGGGCGGACGGCACGGGCTCCCAATACTATGGAGGCGTGGAGTACTCTGAGTTTGAGGGTGACTTGACGGTTGCCCCGTTGGATTCTCAGTGGGCCTTGTATGGCGATCTGGCCGTCAATGGAACTGCTATCAAGAACGACGTTCTGATCACGCTCGACAGCGGGACTGCAACGATTATTGCGTATGTTCCCAGCCAATAGTTGGATTAGTACCCAAACAGCCCTTGACTGATTTTACTAGGCCTTTCGACGACGCCCAGCAGTTCTTTGATGCTAGTGGAATGGAAGGAATCGAAGAACCGAATGCGGATGGCGTGACGGTCTTGAAGGGATACTACAGCTGCCAGAACCCGCCACAACTCGGCTTCAAGTTTCCTTCTGCCTCTAACGAAACGGAGAGCCAGCCAGGGAAAGTCTTTGATATTGTCCCCCATGGCCTCGAATTGAATTCCACTGGATCGAGATGCCAAAGTACAATTGTCGGCATGAGAGATATTCCTTTCTGGCTTGTCGGGCAAGGTGAGCCACCCCTACCCCCCCCCCCGTTCCGTAAGCGCTAGCTAAGAAATAAACAGCATTCATGGAAGGGAAGTATGTTGATCACAACACCGACGATTCTACCCTTGGATTTGCAGTGCTGAAGTAGGATTATCTGCTCTGAGATGTTCATCCTGGCGGGGCTCCCAAGCTTGAAACTTTACTACTACCACATAGAACAGTCTCGAGAGTGTATTTCCAGGACCGCTTATTGTATAAAATTGGAATAACAAAAGTCCAGTTGTTCAAAATATCCCTACAATAATCTACCAACGAACCTCTTCATGTCGTTTCTTATTCAGCCCTCTGATACCCAGCAGCTCATTGTCTAGATGCGACGAGAAGTCACAGCTATATTCCGGACTCCAAGACGCAACTATGCAAAACCCGAGCATTGCTAGCTCAATATCGGCTGCAGGCCCTTTGGCAAGCTCTTGGAGACTCTCCTGCCTCAAGATTTCTGTGCTCTTCACCATCGTGGTCCAATTTCCTCCATCGTATTCTTTCGCATATCCTATCAGCTGATTTGGGGTCACTCCAGCCGACTGGATGTAAACTTTTTGGTTCTTAGTCTCATGAAGATGCTCAATAACACCAAGCACGCCTCGAGCAACATCAGCCAGAGTAGTCGTGGTAAAAGGCACATCTCCACCATTATACAACGTTGCTGAGCGGTGCTTCAGATCAAGAATGATACCAGCCTGCAAGCACCAATCCAAGAACAGACCATTCGCAATTCCGGTGAAGGTAAAGTGTGGACTAGCCTCTGAACTAGCAAGAAGGTATTTATACGTTGCTACCTTCGGCTCACAAACCGGCAACGCCATACGGTACGGGTTGGTAGAATTCATTCCAAATTCCGCCAGGATGAATCGAGTCACGCCCGCAGCCACCGCAGCGTTGATGAGCGGATTCTGAGCACCAGTGGCTAGTGTCGCTAAGCAAGGGACAACCACCTCGACCCCATCAAGTGCAAGAGTAAGAGAGCTGGTGAAAAGAAAGTCGGCTTCTTTGATGGTGAGGTTTGGGTGTGGTTTCAATTCGGAGGAGTTTCCTCCGATCCGCGGCAAGACTGTCACTCTGCATCCTGCCTCGAGAATGGCATTGAGGATAGGGAAGCCCAGATTGCCGGTCGCTCCAGCAATCGCGACATGGGAAACCATAGTGCTACCAGGAGTGTGACGCCGAGACACGCTGAGGGCCAAAAAGGTAACGGTCCTGCTCAATGGAAATCAATTGAAAGTTTAGAGGTGTAAAGGAAGTTCAGCCTGATCTAGGCTTTAATGCTAGGAATATCTTAGTAGAAATACTTCATACCAGCGACTAATTGTTTATTATAGCACGTGAAGTAACCATTCGTAAGCAGCGCTGAATTATTGTTAATCAAAAATTGACTGGCCCCCTGGGGGCAGGTTAACGATGAGAAGAGTTATGATTCATTTTTCATGATGGAACCATCACGCACAGCTTTATTGATTCAGATACCGGGTGCCCTTTATCAATTTGACAAAACCTATAGGTTATGTTTGAGGTAGAAGAAGCAAAGGCAGGAAAATCTCGCAGAAACCATAACCAGGTGGTGTACACGAAGGAACCAACTCGAGTTGCTCCGCTAAGCGCGACAAAGCATTGGTCCAAAGCCGAAGTCAATCTATCGCTGACGGGGTAGCTGGAAATTGGACTTTTCCAGACTATTGACTCCGGGGGACGTATCGAAGACCAATTGAAGGCCGGGCAGCACCTTCTCTTCGTTGAAAGAGAACATGATAAAATCTAGAAAGGGTCAATCCCCAATCCCCTGGCACAAAAAATGAATAATTCCTAGTACTTACCATGTGATCCCTGGACCCCGACGGTGCCGAGCTTTCCCTTGTCGTTCACATCAAAATACTTGAACGTGACAACACTAGGGCGTGCTTCTTCGAGAATGACCAGGAAATGGAAGTACAGATTTTCTTCCTGAAAGCGGGTAACATAGTACTCAATGGTGATTTTCCGGTTTGGCTCTGCCCCTTCAATCTCGTAATAGATCCCATGTGGCTTGCCCTTCTTGATCATGAGATCTTCCCAGAGAGGGAAGAGGGTGTATGGTGGGATTCCGTTCAGAGCAGGGAGCTGCGTGCCTAATCTCCGATTTTGTACATCATCAGGACCATGGTCCAAACAGATCATGCCATTATCATTGATGGATAGGACCGAGCTCTCATGTCCATAGATCTTCACCGGGAACGGCAATGAAAGCTCGAATGCCACATCGTCGATAGTCTCTGCAGCGCCCGAAAGGCTACCGGCCAGCGCGATAGGGTTCGTCAAAGTCTACAGAGCACAGAAAGAGACCAGCAATGAGCATGTCGAATAATCTTCAATGAAACATTAATGTACTTACCAAGCTGTTTGGCAAGACTGGCTGTGGGGGCTCCGTGGGCTCAGGCTGGGGAACGGGTGGTTCCATCTGAGACGCCAATGGAGCTGGAGCAGCTGCAGGAGCCGGGGAGTCAGCGAAGATCCCTTCTGAATATTTTCGAAACTCCCGAAGCATCTGCTTGTGGACCTCAACTGTGTTTTCGAAGGTGAACTTCGCATCAAGCAATCGAACCTTCGATAATACAGCAGAAAGCTTGGTCTCGAGGTGGCGAATGGCCTCCAAATCCTCATTGGCCTGGTGCAGCATAGCTTCTGCCTCCGCTTTTTCTCCGTGCTTGGCTAGAAGCTTGGCTTTTTCCACTCGCCACTTGGTCTTCTCATGTGCTCTACCTCCCTCCTTGATTAGTTCGACCATGTCCAAGTTCGGACCTGCTAGCACGGAGGCGATCTCATTGATATGTTTGAGATTGCCGTGGAAGGTCGCGATGCTGGGAAGCGGAAGGTTCAGAATGTGATCGAAGTATTCTTCTTGGTCGTCAGTGATCGCCTTGATAATAGGCAGGATGGATTTGGTGGTCTCAGTCACAATGGCCGCATGGTCGGAAGCGGTTTTGTATGCCAGCTTTGCTTCGTAATACACTTCATCTCCAGTGGCAGTCGTTGCTCTGATCATCTGGTAATAATTGACAAGAACGTATTGCCACGCTATCATCAGGCCGACGAGGATGGTAGTAAATGGAAGAGGCGAGATCGCCATGACAAATAATGCTGAGGTGGCCGTGGTCCCGCCCAGGGCTCCTTCAAATGCGGTGGTCAAAGATCTCCATTGCAGCTGCGCGAAGCGCACTTGCCATGAGAAATACTTGCACTGATGGACAGTGATGATCCCTAAAACGATGACGAGAGCCAAATCGAAAGAGACGCCCATCGTGGCGGGCTTTGCTGTCAGAGGGGTTCCGGCTCTGCCCGAGAAGATGTACAAACCAACCAAGAGCAAGAAACTGGCTACTATAGAATGTCAGCAGTCTCTTCCTTCTAACGTGACAGGAATAGAGGCTTGAGCTCTTACCCTTGTGGTTCTCCAAGTATCCTATTGTTTGCTGCACGATCACAAGCGGTTCCGCGGAAGATCTATCCAGCAGCGGAGGGACGGTAGGATCTATTGCCATTGTGGACAGTCAAGTTTGTCGCTTGTAAAACGGGGAATGAGTATCTCGGTGATTTCCCTTGACCAATGCGAGATGATCCAAGCCCTTCAGAGGCATTCACTCAATTTTATAGGCGATGGTTGGGCGGAGTACATTACGCTGGCCTGCATAACGACCGATCTACACTTCATATAGTAGCTGTAAGCCCAATGTGGCTGGATAGGACATATGCAATGGATAATCGGCAATGCAACACTCGAGCGACGACCAGCGAGGATCTGACTCAGAGCAACACGTAGCCTTCTACCATTCGCCTTTGAAGAACAACCACCAACGGGGTCGAGACGGAGGCTCATCGGTGCTGCCACTCTTGCATTCAGCCCGAGGCTGGCACCATTTGCCAGACCCCGCACCCTGCCTACATTACAATTGCTTAATCTGACGGCTGGCTGAGCTTCCATAGACAATCCAGTGAGAAACACCATGCTTGCTCAACCATGTGCTTACTTGCATCGCAATAGCCCCAGGGTTGGATGTTTGCAAATTGGAATGTCTTTAAACGTTGATTCCTTGGGCATTGGCTAATCTGTAGAGCCTTTTCTAAGACATTTGGCATATACCACGGTGACCATGGATCTGGATTCTCCAAGGTCCGATATAGTGGTAGGGTGATTTTGGCCCCGCTGGGGGCCGACGGGAGGGGGCGAACAGTCATTGCCGGGTCGGCAGCTTCGACGAGGAAGATTGGGCATCAGTATAGAACCTTGACTCGAGTTTTGATCTAGTACGGACAGCAAAATGACTCGTAGTTTCTAGGGTGAGGAAGTTCGATTGATGCACTTGATGGACAACGCTATTATGCAGGACAGGTAGGTGTCTGTATGTAGAGGCCAGAGGCCAGGATGCTATATTACACAATTCAAAGACCGGAGCCCAGCCGGTCTGATGGACAACAAATAATACATGAAAGAGTGAGGTAGACCGGCTTGGATCAAGAGGTATCCCATTGGGAGGCGGAGTGAGGTGAGATAGGAGGAAATGAAAAGAAAGCGAAGGCAGTAAGGACAAGAGAAGGAGGCCAGAGTCGGGAAAATGTACAAGGCGGTTGTATATGGACAAATGAAAAGAGCAAAAAGAAATGACAGCCGTTTCATCGGAAATGGTCAAGGGTGAGATATGCAAGATAGGAAATGGTGAAAAAAGCGGCTCGCGCGGGTGGTATCAATGAAGTAGAATGATGGGCAAGGAAATCTGTGCAAACGCCTCTGCAAAGAAACCAAATGACAAAGTGAAAGGACTCCCAAGTGTAACCGAGATTGCGAGGCCAGTTCCGTCTATATATAAAGCCTGTAGGGTATGTATGAATGATGGAAAGAAGGAAAAAAAAAATGGACAGCGAAAATGAAAAGAACTATGAGACCCCGAAAATGTCCACATCCTGGGAGCCAGAAAAGAAACCGAAATCCAGACGCCTTGGTTTTATCCCGTTATCCGAGCAGTTTTAGATAATTATTTTGGTGCGTAAAGAGAGGGAGCTGGTGAAAAAGAGGGGTCGAAGATGGTCAGATAATAGTGGTCAACTAGATGAAATTCTTGTTGTTCCACTCAGACTCCTCGTAAGGAGGAGTAGGCCACTGGCGGTTGGAATTGGGGTCCGCTTTGGTCTGCTTGACAGGAGTCGTTGTTGGAATATTGTCGAAGTAGCCATCGCATTTGGCAGTGGGAGAAGGGGTAGGATATGGGCTCGGCAGGGCGCGCGAGTTGTCAGTCAGGCGCTGAGTCACGTTGGGCGATGGCGCGGCCATCGACTGGGTTAGCGCAAGACGTCGGGCGGCCCTGCTAGCAGAGTGCAGGACCTCGTCCAGAAGCTCATCCTCTTCCTCGGGAGTCTCGTAGCGATGCACGGGATGACCGGTCATCTGCATTGCGCGACGAGTCCTGCTCGAGATAGGACCAGGGTTGCTAGTGGTCCCGGGCATCGACTGGCGCTTGGTGATGATGTTGTCCGATCCAGCGGGCAGCTGCACTGGGACATTGCCCTTGGTGGAAGAATCTAAAGTGTACTTGACACTGTTGAGAGCTTTGTCCAGGTCACTCAAGTCCGAGTGGGCCTGTTTGCCATCAGCAGCCATACCGGAGCCATCCAAAGCCATCGATGAGCGGTTCGACCAAGGGATGCAACCGGCATTGGCCTCAATGTCATCTGGAGGAGCAGCTGCCTGGTTTCGGCCAGACAGTCGGCGGGCACGTTTGCGCAGGTGGGAGAAAAAGCTCTCCTTGGTAGTCGGGTAGTGTTGCCAGAGCCATTGAGCAATCTCTCCGCTTCCAGGCGGTGGGCATCCGAGTAGTGGTTTCCATTCGAGTTGACAGAGAGCTGACGACCAATCTTCTTGCTGGCCTTGGCATCGGCCTCGGCCTTTGTCTCACCATGGGCCACTGTCGCGTTTGCTTGCGCGGTAACCGAGTTGGACAGGGAGAGACAGGTCGGATGGAGGGAAGAATGGGCATCGGAGCCCCGCTGGTCGTACCGTTTGTCCATGTAGCTCGCTTGGTGTTTGCTGGGCGAGCCTTGGCAGGCTGGATTTCGGGAACGGTGCTGGATGTGACGGCCGGGGGGTCTAGCAGGACTGGTCTCATTTGGAACAGGGCTTTCGGAACGACCGATCATGGATCGGCGGAACCACGAAGGCTTGCTGGACAGTGTGGGGGAGTCGGAAGGAGTGAGGGTAGGAGACTTGAAGCTCTTCTCGGACTGCTTACGACCGAGCAGCCTGGAAGACGTAGAGGATTTGGGTCGGAGAGGGTCCACAGCATCGACGAAGTACTCGTGGTTCAGGGCCTGGGGACATGTGGGACGGTTCTTGGGATCCCACATCAAACACCAGGTCACAAAATCGGCGAGAGCGGCCGGCCAGTGCTGGGGGTTGAGGACACTGTCCATCGAATGAGGGGCCATCTTCGGGAATGTGAAGCCCAGCTTGTGCGCCAGGCGGGAACCCTCCCGCCATTCACCACCACCGATCCTGGCACCCGACTTGCTGTACCAGTTTCCAGGGCTACCCATGATTTCGCAGACGCGCCAGACCTGGTCAACCTCGTTGCCTCCCGGGAACAGTGGCTTCAGAGTAGCAATCTCTACAGCCATCGCCCCGACCGCCCACATGTCAACCGGGGCAGAATACTCTCCCGCGCGCAGAAGAACCTCAGGCGCTCGGTACCAGCGGGTGGAAACGTAGGTGGTGTAGGGCTGCTTGGACTGAGTCTCGCGCGCAAGCCCGAAATCGGCGATCTTCACGGTGTAGGTGGGAGGAGTGGATGGGGGAGTGACGAGATTAGAGTAGCGGCTGAAAGTAGAGTCGTTCGGGGCGGAGGTAGACACGAGGATGTTTTCGGGCTTAATATCACGGTGGAAGAAGTGGTGGGCGTGGATGTGATCCAGACCAGCAAGAATCTGGTACAAGATGCTCTTCACATGCTTGCCTTCGAAGTACTTGTGATCGCGAGACTTCATGAGCTGATACAAGTTGCCGTCCATGTACTCCATTGCAATATGGAGCTTTCGGGACATGGGGTCAAGGAAGATGTCAAGGGCGGGAACCAAGTGCGGGTGCACTGGAAGAGTCCGCAAGAAGATTACCTCGCGCAGCTCGAGACATGGTGCTAGTGAGTCGAAGCTCTTCTTCATTGTTTTGATTGCGACCTGTGGATCGAGTCAGCGGCGGTTCCATGGTTACTACGTCATATGACCCGTACCATCGTCCTCGTCGCGCGATATGAGCACCGGCTGTCCGCACACGTGCAACAGCGACACTACCAAAACTACCGTCGCCAACTTCCTTCATCACCTGGAACCGATCTTCTAATGTTGCCATTGAAGCCGGAGCCCCACGGGCAGGGGTTTCGTATGTGATGGTCATTGTAGATGTCTCTTCGCGTCTGCCCGCAGATGAAGAGGAAGGTAGGATCTGTCAAGCCGTCAGCCGGTCTGCCTGGAAGGTCAGTTGAACAAGTCTCCGCGCGGAAATCTCACATAATGTATAGGGTGCCGGAGGAGCGAGGGGTGACTTTGAGCACTTCCGAATCAGATGTCGAGATAGGGAAGTCAATTGCAGGTTGTGTTCATTATCCGGAGTAGATCAAGTGCGTGTAGAACCTGTCCCATTGGTCTTTTGTTCAAGGAGTGACAAGAGTAGTTGGGAGATTGAAGCCGAGGGGGGAAGGTGAGGGGGGGAATAGAGAGGATCAGGGTAGTCTGGAAGGGCCAGAAGAACGGGCGCGAAGCAATAAAAAGGAATCCGCTCCAGAATAGGAGAGACTCCACCAAACGATCGAAGGGCACCCCTGAAGTCAACGCCGCTGACAGCAGCTCCAAGCTAAAAGTCCCGCGGAGACGGTAAATTAAAAACCACTTTAAGACGGCGACCGCAGATCAGATCCACCTTTGGGGAATACTGGCTCCAGGTCCCAGGGAATACAAATAGACGGGGGAAGTTGTAGATGGTCAAGATGGCGAAGCACCCGATGGAAAAGAAAAGCAGAACGCTGGATAGCGCGGTTGGGGTTTTGCAGCGCGCACACTATTGGCAATGAAAATCCGCCCAAAATGGTAATTCTATAATGAGAAGAACTTGTAACGGTCACGGGAAGGAATACGCCCTGATGGATCCAAAAAGTTACCAGTAAATTACCAGTAAATGGGGAAATTCCACCCAATAGGATGTGCCGCACAGGCAAAAATGGAGCCACAGTGGATCTGTGCCTGGCTTTAGTGTGTGTTCTGTAATCCGTAAATCACAACGCGTAAAACGCGTATTTAAGGTAACCAGGGTATTCATCCCCCCCAAAAGGCCGTCTAGAACTAGTTTAGCATTGCCTGTCCATTTCGGTGTTTGGGGGCGTTTGGCGGATTTAGTTGTTTTGGAGTTTGGGGGATTGGGCCTGGGAATCACGGTCTCCAGGGACGATGTGCATATCCATATCATCCCACTCGGTTGTCAAGGATCATGGCCCTACAGTGCTATGACGAGGATGACGGTGATGGTGATGACGAAGAGTGGCATCCTTCATAGTTCGTGGGTTCATGACAGATCGCTGCGAACCATGGGATAAGCAAAGAGTTACCGTACGATCTAGCCTTCCGGTCCACACACACTAAAATGAGGTATTTGTTGTTCTTTTGAGTTGTTTCTGCTTTGTTTTCTTATGATTGGCGTTTGGAGATAGAGAGGGGAAATTTGCCTTGGTCCTCTCATGCCCCTTCAACCCCTCGAATTTCTGCGCGGCGCCTAAACGTTGCATGTTAGGCAGACATGCCCACGGCCAAACAAGAATTGTCCAGGTGCGCAGTCTCCCAGTGGCCCCCTTCCCAGCCCCGAAACCCAACCCCGCCTCCTTCACCGTAGAAGCAACAGACTCGGCAAAATGGGGGAGTCTTTTCCCGCCCGCACAAGTTGATCACCGTTGACACGCCCATCACTCCGGTTTGGGCCGCGACGCCCCCGTAATTTTCCACCAATTTTTCCCACTTGGAGACGCGAAGCCCACATGACGTGGGCGGATGAATCTGAATCCTCCTACCCGGCACTCTGGGAATGCTTCCATCGAACAGGTCATCATCTTGGGAGCACCCCGCAAGGAGGGTCTGGCCTGCATGTCTGCTCTGTCATGTTCAACCTCGGACTCATGCTCCCAGCCTTCGTATGGCCTCTACGTATCCTGCATCCTGTATGTACCATCTGGGTAGTCGGACCCGCTGTCTCACTGAATAATGAGAAAGGCTAGGAAGGGCTGGAATCGGGGTACCCAGGGCTTGCCACCTGATCACTGGATCGCTGGATCCCCTTCTGGAGACATCTCCCAAATCCCAATTTTCAGTGGAAGCATCGATCCCCGACTGGTCCGGATGGCAGCGGACAGTCTGATTGGTGTGGTATAAGGTTCGGGTGGGCGGGTACAGTTCGCATTTGGGTCGGCACACCGTAGCTACTTTAGCATCTAAGCTTATACCCTTAAACCTGCCCCGAGAAACAAGGGAGAGGGGCATCGTGCATATGATCGCGCTTTGCGTCTGTTGTTCGATCGGTCTTTAGGGCTTTCTTATGCTCCCCCCCCCCTCCTTGCCAGGGGCGATTTTCTCCTTTCATCTCCTGAGTTTTATGGCTGAGCCATGATCCATTTAGAGCAGGGAAGGGGGGGAGGGGTTGTTTCTTTGTTGCTTTTGGTCTTATCACCAGTGCTTCCGCCTTTAGTCTAGTCCATGCCCACGGGAAATGAGGTGACAGCGGCCGCTCCCTATCCCTGTCGCCAGGGTGCTTTCGTTGGGTCAGAGAGCTTGAATATCAAACCTTCTCCAGCCAATAAGTAGGGGGCTCCACATGTAACTCTCCAGGAACCCGAGAACACAGTCATGGGAAGAAGAGCCCACAGGAGCATGCCCTCCTCGGCAATGATAAACACTCCAACAAGATGGTCTTAGACCTGTGGGATTCATCGACGTCGCGGGACATCACGCATAATATCGATCGTACCGACGTAACGCGCCTCGCATAATACGCCGTATTGGCGGTATTCGCTGTATCTAAAACATCAATCGTCGCTGGGAGCACATCCAACGCGATCGATGTTCTGCATAAAGTCGAACCACCCGCCCAAATCACGAACCTCTGGGGCATAACGGTCATGGCCCGCCAGGATCAAGGGTTTCCTCTTCGCAGAAGTGAGAGAAGTTGCAATTTTTATTTGCCATCCCACCTGCATCAGGTCTTCAGCAGCATCGTTCGATATGTATTGTCCCTCCAGCCCTTGAACGGTCGCTCAAGGGGTTGACATGATTTATTGCCGATGAGGGGAAGAAATACGATTAGTGCTTGGAGTCCCTTGGTGAAGAAGTTCGTTTCTCAAGGGCCGTACCGTGACGGAGAACCACCGAGAGAAGTGGGCGAAAAGCTTGGGCATAAACAATGGAGTAAATTACCGGTGGATCGATTTTCCACGCTTGGGATGATTTGAACCTCTCCAGCCTTCTGGAGGAAACAGAGTCGGCACGCGCCGGGCAAGCTATTGGTGGAGCGGTTCCCTCGTGTTGGAGAAGCAGGTGGATGCTTGAGTTCAGTACCTTTCGAGTCTCAAGGCTCTCTGGTCGGGGGAGTCGGATTCTCCACCTGGTGGACCTTGCCTAGGCCCGTCCCTTACCCGAGTTGCTACAGCAGGAGAGGAAGGTGGATTGCCGTGCCTTCGCCACTTGCGATCGACGAAGAGGGAAAAAAGTCCTATTCCGTAAACTATGCCCCATTGCCAACGGCTCGGGCTCGCTTCGAGCCTTCCTTGGGCCTTCGAGAAGGCTGCTTAACATCTCCGAGGATCGCTCATTAGCCTCCCTTGGATCCATTTGTTGACAAATTGGATATTTGCTTGCCCAGGTGGCCACAAGGGGGAGGGGGAAGAAAGGAGGGATCCTCAAGGACCCCTCCATGCCACATTCCTCTTCCCCAGGCCAAGGCCACAAAGCAACCAGAACCCACAATCCTTCCCGCGAAAGAGACATGGATATCAGAGAGCCAACGACTGGCAGGAGCTCCAGACTAAGAGACCCGAAAGGGGGCATTCACCAGCCATCGACCCACCGCAGACGCCGAACATTTTTAGACAGACCCCTTGAATCTGAACACCGGAGTCCGTCAGATGCGTATCAGATGTGCGCCCCTCCGACAAGATTGGAGCACTGGAGTAAACTTTGAGGTCTCTCTAGAATCGAGTCACATGTATGCCATAATCATAGCGGGAACCCGCACGAGGGTTCCCCGTCAATAGTCCCGCCATCACTGGAGTAACAAAGGGCCCCCCTCCCCACTTCACCTACACGTTTCTAGAAAGGCAAAACGGATCTTTCTGTTAGCCGGCTCTGCGGCGAGTGGGGAGCTCTTCATTCATCCCACGCGTGGCGGCTCGCTTGCTCGTCCATCCTCCTTATATTGTACTTTGTGCATGGACTATCTTAGACTACTGTAGATGATCGTCTCAGGCCCCAGTTGCCCGGGACACAGCCCTTATTCCTGGGATCTTCTGGAAGATTTGGAAGGTCCTACCATTCCGTCTAATTCACCAAAGACAAATTAGCTTGCGGAGAGGATAGGTTAAGAGATTCCCCTTGAGGCATTTTGGGGCTGCCTTTCGGGATCCTACATCACTGGCTAAAGTTAGATCAACGGAGGATTATCCGTGCTCCGTACCGTATCCAAGAAAGTTTGGCCAGGAACTACTGATCCGAGAAGCTGGGTGGGCTTGAATGAAGAGTACTTTCATACATTGGTGTTCCCAATAATTCGGGATTCTCCATTAGCAAAGGATCCCATGACAACGTTGTCGATCAGCCATGAATTGTGTGCGCACATACTGCCAGCGGCAGGCTTCCTGCACCTTAGCTACATGAATTCTAGTTACATTGGGTTGAATATATGTTGCTTTCAATTGGTGCCAATTTGAGCCGATATGGCTTTATAGTAATATTGTATATCCACGGATGCCCACTGACAGCTTAGAATGGAATTACATCCAGTTCCACGTTTCCCACTACCCTCAATATTCCCGCACCAGCTACTGGTAGTCGCGCAGGCTTGGAAGTGAGGGCCACTCTAAGTTGTCACTGGCATGGTGCCTGCTAATCATATACTAGCAGTAGCAATATGCCAGATTAGGATCTCTTTCTTCAATCTTGGCAAGTCTGAGAATTCCGACTTGAACATGTGAGCACCTGGAAGCAAAATATACTACTATAGTGAATAGCGCCCGTACGAGCTGTGATACGGAGGCAACTATATTTTCAAATGATTCATGCCCATGAAGACTAGGAGATATTAGTATAGATAGCCATATAGCACCCATATTTGAATTGCATCTGCAAAGTCCTACTAATGCATACCAGCCATTGAAATTGACATTTTTCAAGTTGGCCGCCCACCAGTAGAGGCCAGGTTCAACAGCCGGACTAGACATTGTGAGGACAATATTGATACCAAACATGACAATCGCGACCACTAATCATGACGATAATCACGACTAATCGATGTCATTGATGCGAACTCCAAAGCACATCTAGAACTTTCCTTCTCCTCTTACCTTCGCTCTTCAACGACAGTCGCAAGCAATCTTGATGCAATGTCTCTCAGGAATCGGCACGCTGCTTATTCGCGGCTGGGGTACTCTCGCGAGCTGCATGAGAAGTAAGCCTAGCTGTCACTTGATTCCCGGTACTTGATACTGACAGATGGCAACAGAGTTCAGGCAGTCGAGCTCCCTCCAACGTAAGTGCCTTGACCTCTATATTCGATCAACTTCAGTGAACAGTCGAGCCCAGCTGACAGAGTCTAAAAGCATCCAATGCACCAGGTGCTTCTCTGATCTGCCCGCCTCAGCGTTCTCCCGCCGCCAGATCAACGAACTCAAGGAAAACATCTACATGGAAGGGGAGGAGTTTTTGCTCGGCGACGAAATCAAAATCGCCTGCATTCCCTGCACCTTCAATGAGAAATGCGAGTCCCGTTGCCGCAACTGCAATCAGATTATGAGCGTTGAATACTTTTCCCGGGCTCAGCGCAACTTGGACAAGCCGGTACGTTGCCCCGTTGTGAGGGACTGACCACACGCAAGGCTGATTGGATACTGGTTGAGATAGATCTGCCGTCGGTGTCGCTGGCATATGGACAACCCAGAGCCCATGCGACCTCTTGAAGAAAGGAGCGAAGACCCCAAACCAGACGAACCTGCTAAGCCGAAGCTCGAGGTAACCCGAACTGGCTGGGTGAAAGTCCGGCGAGGCGATGACGAAAAGGCTGCTGTGAGTTCCTCCTGGTTGCTTGAATGATACGAAGGGGCTAATTGTTTAAGCCCGACATGGTGAAAGAGTCCCGCGTGCACAAGTACGCGGTTTATGGCCCCCCTCGCTTCATTCCCCGGGAAGCTTTTGGACTTATTGTGGGTTACCATGATTGCCTTTATGTGGAACGGGCTTGCAAGGATGTTTACTGACCATATGACTAGCCTAACGTCCCCCTGCCGGCAACACTGGCTTCCCCGCTGACGAGGATGAGTATGCCCCAGATTTTGGTGAGGAAAAGAGCTTCCTGTCTGGCCGTGATTCTGAGTGGGAGGGATCGGGGGTGAGGGGGAGTTTGTTTTTTCGGAAGGTGAGGAATTCTAGTTGGTACCATCGGAGAGGATGATCTCACTTTGGTGATATTGCTTTTGCCCACAAGTACATGCTGCATCGTCGATTGGCGAAGAAATCAATATGACCGGAGAAATTCCCACATCGATCATGTCATTACGGTGGATCTATGACTGCACGTGCTTGACCTTTTGGCAGAAGATTCGAGATTCCGGTCTTCATGATCCTTGGGACGTTCATTGGGTTTGTTCATCAGTCTCGGCGCATGAGTCTCCGCAAATCTATCATAGTTTCACATTCCTCCAGTCTCTAGTACATTATCAAAAAAGGCGAGAGGAGAGTAAAAGCCCGGAGGAAAAGCTGATAAGTCTGGTGTTAGTTTGCAATCGACACGACGGAGTGCGGTCCTCACATTGGTTGGGGAACGTGCCAAATCCATTCCAAGGCATGGAGTCAAAATCGGTCAGAAAGTCGTAAGAAGCGGACCCGCTAACATCCTCGGTAGACACTCCTGTATTCCCAAGGACGATACTCAGAGCTTTCGCTACCTTCCCAGCTTCCGCAGATGCTGTGCTCATTTGAGACCAAATCTTGTGCGAGATAGTCAGTTGTTGTCGAATCGCTTCGGCCCTGGGGGACCAGGCTGCCTGCCCCCCTAGCATCGAACGATTCAAATTTATCGACATCCTGGAGGTAAAGACAGAGCACGCTCGTCGCAAGCAGAACATCCTGGTTGAAGATACGGGCTACCTTCCATCTAAGCTGAGACAAACGACCAAATGCCTGAGACTCTTCGTGCAACATCTGTTGAAACGATAGAATCTTGAGTGCGGAATCTAAGCAAACCCGTACCGACTCTCTGTCCCGTTCCTGAGGCCGTAAATCTGGATAAGTGATCAAAGATCTCCGGTATAGAAGGATGCGTGACTTGTGGTAGGTTGTTTCCAGGCTTATGCGCTGTACCACAATGCTTGGGCTATCCGTGATGGGGTGTGGCATAGCACCCCAGCGCAATACAGGTGGAATGGCATGATTATGCACGTCTTCAAGAATTGCGTCGATCTTAGTGAGCTCCTCGGGAGGAGTGGAATTCACGTCGGTGTTGACGTCGCAAATCATCCCCAGAGCTGATATTAGTCGTCCTCGTGCTATGAGTGGGAGAACCGACGTCCACTCTGTTTCTGGCCTCGGTGACGGCAGCTCGGTCATGTTCTCCTCAAAATCGCAGTCGTGGAAATTACGGGCTTCTTTGGTATCGAAGTGAGTGTCTTTTGCATTTCGAGGAAGACCCAATTCCAAGGAGATGACGAGATCTAACTGAAGGACTGTAGTCCAGATGCGTCTACGTATCTCTCCCTCGAATGGAGATATTCCCGGAAAGTGATCTGGGTCCCGGTGATACCCCATGCGAATTGCAAGGTGAAGAATCATACCGACCAAAAGCCATCCATCGGTAGCGCTCTCTTTCATAAGGACGAATTCTCCAGTAAGGATCGTCACGAGGGTCTCCAGGATATATGGTCCGCCAGTTGTATACCTGGCCAAAACAAGACACTGAACGGCTTTCTCCCGAAAAGCATTCTTCATGGTAAGACATTCCGCCTTGAGTGATTCACCCCGTTCGTCGGTAGAGTCTATGGCGAAGTACTGCAACTGCGCAGCAATATATAACATGGAGAACATGAGACCGATCCAAGCGATAGAAGTTGCAGCCGGATCTTTCCAGAAATTTTCGTACTGATCAAATGTCAGCTGCTTGTGATCGGTCAGGTTAGAGGAGACTCACCTCTCGGAGAAACTTATTGCGATGAATGAGATCTACAGCAACACAATCAGTTCCTCTGAAAGGAAAAAACAAGTTTTGATGTACTGACACGGAGTGATAATGTAGGAATCAAAGTGAAGGGTCATAAGGCGGTCGACAACTGGACGAGCAGGAACAGCAGCCAATATTTCATCGAGAGTTGCATGGCGGTTAGGGCCATAGAACAAGTGTGATCCGGGTGGATTCTTGCTATCGGTGACCAGATCTTCCTTCAGTCCTCTGATTTTGGTAAGAATGGCTTCCCAGTGGGTACTCTGGACATAGCTAGTTCCAGATTCGCGCAACTTTAGAGTCCCCGGGTCCACCGCGGATGGAGGTTCATCCTGAGGCCCATTTGGTTGCTGGAGTTCAGGGAGCCTATTCGCGGCTGATGGCGGACTAGGTCTCGGCGATTTCGGTACGGGTGGAGTTGGGAGAGGTGGGATAGACTGGCCTCCCATGAGCGTCACGACAAGGTTCTCCAGCTCGGAGATTCTGCCCTGGAGGCTGGCAGACTGTCGCAGAGAAACGCCCCGCTGAGCATCGGGCACGGAGGAAGACGTCGCATAATTGCAGGAGCTGGCGAGGCCTCGCCTTGAGCAACCTCCGCATGGGTGCTGCCGGTCGCACCTCAGCCTGGCAAAGTTAAGCATGTACGACTCGGAGATTTCGATGGATCACATACTTCCGCAATCTGCATGCATCGCAGGAGAGCTGGACTTTGTCTCTACGTCTATTTGGCGGCGGGCGCGGACGTTGAGCATTGTCGGGCATGGCGCGAGTTGGACTAGGTCGAGGTGAGCACGGAGCCGAACAGCATAGCTAGCAATCCGGTATACCCCCAAGCGAAATTCTCACCTAGTTCCAAGTTTGAATATCCACTTCCAGAAGAAAGGATAGGCAGAAAGAGGCAATAGAAAGAACAATGACCGTCCGACCGTCCGACCGTCCGCTTGACCCTCGTTCTAGGGCGTGTTAGGGCTGTAGTCGATGGCCGGGGTTTACGCTTAATGCCGAGAGCTGCTTTCTTCCCCTCCGACCCTCCGCATATATGTTCATTCCCAGTGCCTTCTTCTATGAAGCAAATTGCCAGCTTCGCCTCGTAATTACGGGAGTTTCTGCAGATCTATCCCCTAGTGCATTTATCCCTTGCCCAAAGGATTCTTACTATGACTCCTATGTGCTCTACCATTCGGGTATCGTCCGGCCACCTGTCTTCCAATATATAGCAAGTAAAGGCTGCTAGGGCTGTTAGTAAATTTGAAACACTGGCAAATGTCACTGGCAATTTGAACCTGATCTTCTCAGCTACAACTCCGTCGACAGCATACCATGGCGGCTGACTTAGAAACTGCCCACGAGAATCCCATACCGGAAGTAGGCTTCATTGAGCAACAATCTAGCGGGCCTGACCAAATCGAACCGGTGGCCATTGAGCAGGAGATGAAGGACACGGTCGTCGACTGGGATGGACCAGATGACCCCCAAGATCCGCGGAACTGGCCAACCTGGAAACGCATAACCCAAGTCGTCCTCGTCACCAGTTTCTTGTTCACTGCGTAAGGCAATTCCTGCGTTCCTTTGGCGAAGCAAATGCCGTACTGACTGGTCTTTACATAGCAACCTAGCGGCGACCATGTTTGCACCTGGAGCCGCTGCACTTGCGAAGGAGTTCCACATCACAAATCCTTCGATAACCAGTCTCACCGTGTCGATCTACCTTGCTGGCTTCGCCATTGGGCCAATGTTCATTGCACCGCTATCCGAGATATACGGGCGCCTTGTGATTTATCATATCTGCAATGTCTTTTATATTGGCCTCATCCTCGGATGCGCCCTGGGCAAAAACACCGGCATGTTTCTCGCTCTTCGATTTCTTGCCGGATGTGCTGCTTCAGGCCCATTGGCTGTTGGCGGAGGAACCGTCGCCGACGTGATCCCGCCAGCTCAGCGAGGGAAAGCAATGTCTTTATTCTTCGTAGGACCGCTTTTGGGACCAGTAGGTGCCATTGACTCACACAAATAGTTCATGGCACTGACAATCTTCCAAGGTCTTCGGCCCAATTATTGGTGGCTTTGTGTCCGAAACAATTGGCTGGCGATGGACCTTTTGGATAATTCTCATCTTAGTGAGTATGGCTCATCTTCTATGATTCGTGAGTTGCTGACGGTTCCATATAGATAGGAGTCGCCTTTACCATATCTATCTTCTTTCTCCGCGAGACTAATGGCGCCGTGCTGCTTGAATGGAAAGCCGCTCGCCTCCGGAAAGAAACTGGGAATGCTGCCCTAGTTTCGAAGATGGACCGAGGCCTGAACCCTCGCCAGCTATTCCTTCGCGCCATCGTTCGACCGACAAAACTTCTCATCCTGTCGCCAATCGTGCTCCTCCTTGCCTTCCTGTGCGCATTTCTTTTCGGTCTCCTCTTTTTGCTGTTTACCACATTCCCCTCGGTCTTTGAGACACAATACCACTTCAGCGCCGGCATTTCTGGCCTGGCCTACCTCGGTGTGGGACTAGGCATGGCCAGTTCTCTTGCTACATTCGCCACGGTGAGCGATAAGCTACACAGGGCCCTTGGAGATGCGCCTAAACCCGAAGGGCGCCTGAAGCCCATGATGTGGGTGCTGCCCGCCGTGCCAGTTGGCGTCTTCTGGTATGGCTGGTCAGCCGAAAAACAGACACATTGGATCGTGCCCATCATCGGTACCTTCTTCTTTGGATTTGGCATCCTCTGGGTCCTGATGCCGACCCAGCTTTACATGGTGGATGCGTTTGGCGCGGAAGCAGCGGCCTCCGCGTTGGCTGCGAACGCGGTTCTTCGACTTCTGTTCGCAGCGTTTATTCCATTAGCAGGGCCATCCTTGTATGCACACCTAGGCCTTGGGTGGGGGAATAGCGTCCTCGCTTTTATCGGCGTGGCTTTTCTTCCAGTGCCGCTCTTGTTCTATCGGTATGGAGGGTGGCTTAGGGAGCGTTTCCCTGTGAAGCTGTGACATTTCATTGGGTGATGCATTATCTGCTTTATGCGCGTTCAGTCTAGGCCTTAGCAGGTGATGCATTTCATCTTTTCAGGAAGTACAATGTGGACGATGTGCACTTCGCAATGCATGATGGTTCCACTACTGTCGGGACGCGTCCATGGGTATGACATCGGTGGTTCCGTCGACCCCACAGTTTCTATGTTTTGGTTCGGGTGGCGATTTCTGCCCAGGTGTAAACAAGTGATTTCTATACTAGTAGCCACAACACACACTATCATTGGTTATGCTGAGCTTTGCCACTATCTGCATCTAGTCTTAATTGATGCAGGTTATAACGTTCTGCTCTTAACGGGGAACATGCCTTATGCGTGCGGGAATAACACGCAGGTTCCCCCGAGTTCTGCCTCATCTATACGAGGGCATTCCTCATGGGTAAGCCCCCCTGAGGAGGAAAGGGGAGATCTCGGTACGGGGCAAACGGGCGATCTACAAGTATGATTGGCCACGTGCATGAGATGTGTCTTCGACCTTTTGAAACATGAAGGCCGAGCAGGTCTGACAGGCCCACCGATGCAAGTCGATATTATTAGACCATACGGAGTCGTACCGCAAAAGGTGCGAGCAGAAAATAAGGTTGATCATAGCCCTGAACGAGATATTCCAACGTCTACTCGGACTGGGCAAGCTTGTCTCCAGTACGGTGGTACGATTCTATTAGAAGTGACGTCGGGCGTGAACCCCCGGCAACCCCCCAATCGACCAGGCCTGAATCAGAACTCAGTGACGCCGCTGATCGCCACTTCTCCACCACCCCTCTGTCAGCGTAGGGAATATTTCTGCCATCGTATTTTCCAGGACCTTCTGTCCCTTCATCCACCTGGAGATCACCCCTCGTCTTCTGGCATGGCATACAATGGCTATCCTGCCCCCTCCAGCCCGGGCTACCCGCCGGGAAACGTCAACCTGAATGGCAACAACGTCAAGATGGACTCGAACGATCCCCAGGGCTACTCGACTGCTACTCCCTATCCCTCCTACTATGAAGCCGAGCATCTCTCTATGCCACAGCCGCAGATGCCGACCGACACATCGAGTCCAATGCTCGACCCTTATGCAGAGCAGCTGCCCCGCCCGCAGAATATGGCGACAGGAAACATTAACGACGCCGTTAGCTCCGCTGTGCATAATGCCAACTCATCGGCTTACCTCTCCCCCGAGGTCCTATCACAGATTACTGCAACCGTCATCCAGCAGCTTAAAGTATCCGGCCTGAACGATCGCCAGACCCCCGACGAAGGCCCCGCCCATTCCTCTGCACCTGGCCCCGCGCCTGCCTATCAATACCCTCCTCCCCCTCCACGTCCACAGTCCCAGCAACCGCCTTGGGGATACCCTGCGCCAGATCTGGCCCCTCGCCCACACTCGGAATCTCCGCCAGTGGCTCAGAGAAGCGATCCTTCTCCTCCGTCCACTTTCTCGTCCAATCCTGCCAACAATTACGAACCCCCTCAGCAGTACCCCACCTACACCGGCTATGCGAACACGACTACGAACACGACTGCGAACACCACTGCGAACACCACTGCGAACACGGCCGCGAACAATCTTCGCGACGCACGCCCCAATACCGGGGTAGCACCTGATCTGATTCCGCCCCCAGAGAATGTATCCCCAAGCCAATCGGTCTCGAGTCAAGGCAGCCAGAATGGGGGGCGCTCGGCCTAGAGGGCCAGCCCGAGATACGACGGTCGTGGAGATGACTACCCTAGAGAAGATATGGGGTAAGCTCTTCGAGGATGGGAAACCAACGAAGAGGCTGGGCCAATTTCTGCGGGGGATCGCGCTTCACTTGGTACGTCTGTAGTCTCGGCACCTACTGCGTTACGCAGCTAACTTTTGCGTCCAGATTGAGGACTACCCACCAGGAAACACCCTTGTCGTTACGCCGGAAAAAATGCAGAGGTTCTATCGGGAGACTGCAGTCCCAGGGGATAACTACCCTTGGCATGGTAGGTTTCATCGGATCATTCGTAATACGTGCCAGTCTACTCACTACTGTTGCAGACATATTTGATGATCGCACTTCATCCATTTCACGATTGTTCCGCGGGGTACAGGCGGAGCATCATCTCGTTCAACTAGATAATCTGAAGGAGCGACCGGATGTCCCCGGCCTCACCCCGAAGGGCTTTGAACGATGGGCCACGATTATGATACAATGCCACCCAGACCGAGAATATGAGCGGTTACAAAAGGCCGTGCTGCACATGCCGATCAGCAATCCGGATGACCGAAAAGAAAGGTTTCCCAAAGAAATCCCCCGGCGACTCTTTCCCGACGTGGCGGATCTCCAACTTCGTCAAGAAACTGGGGACTATATCATTGAGCACTGTGGTGTTAATCTGCCTCGTATTACCGATGAGGAGCGTGCGCAAGCACAGCATGCCAAAAAGCCAGACACCTCTAGTTCTGCATCAAATGGCACCGCGAATATCCCTGCGAGCAATGGCACAAGTCCGCTAGAGCGAACCCACTCCTACGAGCGAGGAAGGCCCCGAGCAACAGTCTCCACGTCTGCTATAATCGACGATGAGGAGGACGTGGTCTCGTCTACGCCCATTGAGCGGGAAAGAAAGCCGTACTCTGCGAATCCAGGCCTTGGAAAGGTTTACGACGAGGGCAACGGCCCACGGAGTAGTACAACCTCTTTCTCAACATCTCGCCCAGAGCCCTCTGGATCGGGTCACAGGGCCCAAGAAAAATACGATCGAGGTCGGGAGTCGCTCTATGGACGCTCTGGATCTGGCGCTACATCCAGCCGCAGATTCTCGAGGGGCTCCCGGAGCTCTTCGCGCAGTGTGAAGAACCGTGCGGGTGACTATCGGCACTCAGCGAGCGAGCTGCTGGAAAGGGACCACGCGCCTCGCTACAGCAGTGATTTCTACTCAGAGTCTCCAGTCTCACTAACGACTGATGCGGATGATTCAAGGAGACACCGGGGTAGTGCCGTGTACCGCAACAGCCGAGATGGTGAAGAATATTATCGGGGTATGGCTGGTGGACAGGGTGGAGGACCAGTTGATTACAAGTACTATCATTGAGAATGGCCTACCGCTTGTTTAATTTTGTATTGACTCGGTCTTTGGGGAGTTTTGATATCTGGTTTGATTCGCAGGAGTTCTGATTTGATCTGACTTGGTTTGATTTGGCTCGCCGTGCCTTTTTTTTTCTTTCCTTTTCTTTCCTTTTTCTTAAGCGTCCTTTGCGGCATGGAGATACCTTTTTTATCTGTAACGCTGACGACTGATGACCTGCCCACAATCGGATTGATATATGGTATTCCGCTCTTGAATGTAAATTCATTGATGATAGCTCAATTATAGCCCCACGAGTCAGCGTATCACCAAGCCCACCAAAAGTTAAGAAGGTTAGCATGGCACATTAGCATGTCACATCGTTCGCTCATATAGTTCCAGAAGCGAGCACTTGTATCTTCCAACCTTTGCCCCCGGTGGGAAAACATGCCTTTTATGTAAGTTGCTTCCTTCGACGAATATTATCCATAAGCTGCGCCCCATTCTCTCGACAAACAGCCACCTCCCCTTTCACGCGCCCGCTCGTCACTCTCATACCGGCGCATGATCCGCCGCATATCCTTCTCCTCCCTCTCCGCCCTCCTCTTCATTCTCTCCATCGCGCGCCTCCGCTCATCCCCAGCCCTTGAGACCTCCCTCTCCGCCTCCCTCTCCAACAGCTCAATCTCCTCCTCTGACAGCACCCACGGCTCACACAGCACCCCGACCAGAAAACGCAGCCTCTCGTCCAGAAATCGCATCTCGTCATTCGTCTCTTTGATCAGCGAGAACTTCTCCACGACGACCTGCATGGTATCTCGAAACTGCGATAGCGTGCCCTTGATCTTGGCGACCGTCCCGGGCACCAGCGCCGAGATGTCCAGCGCTTTCTTGTCTGTTGCCGTGATGTGCATTGTGCGGCTGGAGTCGAGCGCTTCGGCTATCGGATGGTCTGCTGGCTCCAGGTTCTGCGCGGTTAGGGGCTGAGTTCGTTCTGGGGAGTAGAGGGCTACTATTTCGAGGGTTGCGCCGCTGCTGTCGTCTAGGAGAAGGATTGTGCGGCGGGCCTTCTCCTCGCGTTGGAGGATGACCCCTACTACGGTGACGAATCTGATAGGGTAGTTTTTGTAAAAGTAGACTTTCTGGCCTGCACAGTTTAGAATTGGGATATCTTGAGATGGCATTCAGGTATCGCGAGAGTGGTTTCACAGTGTGGGGGTTTGAAGCTCGTAGGATGGGGCTTTTAGTGACGGGGCTTGTGTCTGTTGTATACACGCGATACGACTCGCGTTGTATATACCGCCTGTATGCAGCACGCAAAGAAAGCAAAGTGGGAAGGGAAAAGGAAGGCAATTGGACCTACCCTTGAAGCCTATAGGTTGATGGAGCCGATGCACATCCGCTGCGGACATCTTCACCCAGGAGAAGTGCGTTGGGGATGCCTTGAAGCAGAATGCGGGGTAATACTCAAGGTGCGCATTACCGACTGTCGCCATTGGATCATTTTTTCGTTGTTTCCAAGTTCGGGAGCTGTGGAAGAAGTGAGGGAACGTGGGAACGAGGATCGCGAGACCCGTAGATTAAAAAGTCACGTGAAGCAGCAACTTGTCCCACCAGACGAAAATCAAACAGGTCCACGACTCTGAGCCCTAGAGTAGGGGTTCATATATGTAGATTGAATCTACCACGAATACTCCTCCTTAAGCCCGATTCGGAGGTTGGTATGGCGTTCTCCAAATATTGCACTCAGCATCCCCCGTTATCAATGTGATGGTCCACGATAAGCTTCTGCGGCGATTGGGTGCTTTTGACCGCCTTCTGTTTTTGCGGCCGATGACGATACGGTCCCTACATTATGTTACTTGAATAGCAATGGGGCCGAGGCTCTTCAATATCAGATGTATAGAGAGGATCAATGGCCCTTTGCCGATCTCAGACTCTTGCAGTCTCGGAGCCTAAAGGCGACCAGGTAACCCCTAGGCAGGTAGAACCAAGGCGGGTTGATGCAGATCCTTTCCAAGCCAACAACTCGACCTGCTCCTGTAAACAAAATCCTTCGCTTGGTATCTGATACGAGTAGTATATCGTATAGTAGTTTGCCAAAATCACGGCTATTGGTTCGTAAAGCCTTTGGAAATGAAAGGAGAAAGCCCGCACATCACTTCGATTGATTTATTTTTGGTCACGGTCAACATGCAATACACCGGATCTATACAACACCGTTCTCAGAGCGCCCCCCGCCCCCCAACTTCTACTCCAGGAGACTCCAGCGTCATAACTCATTAACAATTGCCCTCGGCATTCACGCCATTAATATAGCAGTGTCTCCCCCTCCATCATTCTCTTTTTCGGATTCCTCGGCGCCTCTTCTCTTTTTTCTCCTCAGCCTTCTCCCTCTCAACCCTAATTCCCTCCAGCGCCTCCTCAACCTCCCTCGCCGGATTCTCATGTCCTGCGAATGCAACCTCTAGAATCTCCTTCTCGAACCCAGAAACGTACTCCCACTCAATCCCCGCCTCAGAAAGCATCGCACATCCCACCGACTCCCCCACAAAAGTCCCCGGCTCCTTCACCCCGAAATACACCTTCTGGATTCCCCGTCCTGCGTTCCGCGTCGCAGCCAGCCGCGCCGCGCACGGCGTATTGCCACTTAATCGCTTCCCGCAGGGCTCCATCGTGACGTACATCACGAGGCTGTGGCGAGGGGTAGCGGGAAGAGCAGAGCCGACGTCTTCATCCGCGACGCCATGGACGCTGGCGAAGTTCGCGAGGCAGCATTGTTCGGCGTGGGTGTTGCCGGCGAGTTCCATTGTGTAGCCTGTAGAGAGGATGGTGTCCTCTGCGAATGTAGGGTCAGAGTCGCTGCGGGAGAGAAGGATCGCGCCGACGCGGAAATTTGTTGGGCGGGGGGAGATTGGGTAGCTAGAGCGATGCATTTTTGGATGTAATCTTGGTGGGAGGGCATTGTGTACTTGGAAAAAGAGCGAGATGAGGTTTATTATGGTAGATTAGAGGGTCGTGGTGTCGATCTTGTGGTGGCAGGTGAATTAACTAGTCCGGGCTCCTGCCGACGTCACAGATGCTCTGGCGATCTTATCAACGGTTGGCGATAGGGTACATCTTTGCTTTCTTTTTTCCATGTGGCGATTGCCCGAGCTAAACAAGGTACGCTAGCGGTATCAAAGTAAGCTGTTCAATTTCTCGCAGCAGTAGTCAGGATTAGATCTTTGAGTGGTAAGAGAGGCCAGATTGTCCTAAGCTTGGAGCGTAAATGATTGTCGGATACAGGCAGTCGCGGTTGAGTCCCTCTGTAGCTTCTTGGAATTGTTTTCACCCCGGCAGCCAATCAACTCCGTTGCGGCTATTACCACCTTGAACCATCGAGTTCCAAGCTCGAGTTCTCCTTCACAACAGAACAATGGCGAAAGGCAAAAAGTCTCAAGACCCGCCCGCGCCCGAGGAGAATCTCTATAAGCTCCTCGGTGTCGAGTCGGACGCGACCCCCGACGCGATCAAGTCCGCATACAAGAAAAAAGCACTGAAGCACCACCCAGGTACGCGACAATCGCTTCCCAGATTCTGGACATAGCTGACCCACGACCGGCCAACAGACAAGGTTAGCGAAGAGAATCGCGACGAAGCACACCGCCTCTTCCAACAGATCGCGCTCGCATACGGCGTGTTATCCGACGAGCGACGCCGCAAAGTCTACGATCGCACTGGCCGCACAGATGACGCGTTCAGTGAGGATGGCGACTTCGACTGGATGGATTTCTACCGCGAGCAGCTCTCGGCGATGCTAGATACGCGCGCCATCTCCGATTTCAAGAAGAAATACCAGAACTCGGACGAGGAGAAGCGCGATCTGCTCGCCGCGTTCGAAGCGGCCGAAGGCGATATGGACGGCGTCTACGAATCGGTGATGCTTTCCAACGTGTTAGACGATGATGAGCGGTTCCGGGCGATCATTGACGAGGCGATCGCAAAGGGAGAGGCTGAGAACTACAAACTGTACGCCGAGGAGCCAGAGGCGAAGCGCACCGCAAGGAGGAGGAAGGCCCAGAAAGAGGCGAAGGAGGCAGAGAGGCTGGCGAAGAAACTCGAAGCCGATAAGAAGAAGAAGGCAGCCGGGGCTTCGAAGTCACAAGCTCCAGCCGGTGAGGATGATCTTCTGGCTTTGATCACGAAACGCCAGCAGGACCGTGGCCAGGGGTTCCTGGCCCAGCTGGAGGAGAAAATATGGAAATCCTAAGGGCAAGAAACGCGGTCCTCCAGATGAGCCCCCAGAGGAGGCATTTGCTGCGGTGGGGGCCCGCAAGTCCAAGGACTCCAAGGGGAAATCTAAGAAGCAGAAGGCTTGAAAATTGGGCCATCCCTGATTTCTCTGCATCCTCCTTTTGGGGTTGATAACTGACATGATTATTATGAGCGCTGTACTAGTACACATTTACTTTTGGAGAGTGGCTAGCCTGGGAACTATCTGGCTTATTTCCACCGTCTACAATTTCAAGTTCTCCCTAGGGTTTTCTTAAAGCCAAGCATTTTCTTCTGGACCCCAATTTATTTTGGATTTAGAGTCTGGTTGATCTTTGTATAGCCAATGTATTCTGTAACGTAGGAGAGCTTAGTGTGGAGTTGATCATCCATGGATAGTCATAAGGGCTGGTTGATGTACATGGAAGCAATCGTTGCGCCGTTAAATGGAATATCTACCCCACCTTGACAGCCAAAGCAGGTATCCAATATAAAGTTGCAAATTCGTAAGGCAGCCTGGATGGAGCTGCCATAGCCACAAGACCTATGATCATATGATCAGTGTTGAATCTTGACAGCTGTTGGAATGCAGCTCACCAAAGAGCAAGCCGTTGCAATGAAGTCAAAGCCCGGGCTTGACACGCGTCATGTTTGGTATACATGCCTTAATTGCTGTGAGGTCCCAATGATCTACAGGCCCGGAAAGGAATGTAGCATAGACTGACCTAATGGCCCAAGCAACAAAGACATATGTAGCCGCCGAGCCCAGTTGCGCCGTCAATGGAGAAGGGACGACTCATCTGGGGGTTGTGCCTGCTCCTGTGACAACGCCGAGACTTTTGAACGCCTCATCACTGCTGTGTTCACTCAAATCCAACTCTTCCTGCACCTTCTGACCTGTGGTTTCGGTACATTGTCGGCACAACCGGAGGAAAGAGGCCCTGTGCTGGTGAGTCTTGAGAGCGCTACTGGATCGATCTCGAAGAACTTGACGCTGACGATCGGAGGCGGGTTTGCAGAGAGTCTTAGTAGACCCGTGTGCAGGTCCACAGCAGAGGGGCGATCGCTCCACATTCCTGGGTGAGCCTGTTGGTTGAGCCGGACCCAACGTTCTCCACCTGGAGGATTGAAAGGCGGCGGAGGGCGGAACCGCGATGGAGTCCCAGACAGGGCAAACTCCTGTCGAGCAGGAGAACACCCATCAGACCACCCACCCAACCAAAGTCCCTGACATCCAATCCTCCCCCATCCTACCGGCCGGACCGTCCAGAGTACGCAAGAAGTCTCTCAGTCGAGCCCTTCAGGGCCTGTTGAATACCCCGCATCCGCCGGAACCCGCAGTCAGCGGCCGCAGCGGGGTCTCGTCTCGAGCAAGTGGCTCACGCAATCCTGTCGCACCTCTGTTTTCGTCACCGCTGCGCATTAGCTCGTCCGCCATGGCCTCTGCGCCGAGTTCACCAGAGAGACATCATGGAGACGCCAACCAGCCGCGGCGATCACTGGACCTGGCCGACGACCGCCGAACATCCACGGGGATATTGAACGGCCATGGCACAAAGAGCGACGCCCCGTCCAGCTTATCGGGGCAAAATCTCCCGAAGAAACACAAGCCGCAGGCCCGCAAATCGGTGGCTTCGATGATGTCAGGCCTCGAGTCACGCTTATTCCCAAAGAGCTTCACGCGGGGCAGGGACGCCAGTCGCGGGTCATCTCGGCGGGGCTCCTCGGTTGACTCTAGATCCCCCTCTGCTTCGAAGCTGGAAAGCGAATCTTCATCCTCACTCAATACCACCTCCAACACCGATATGAATAAACGAAGCTCGTTTGTCATCAGCGAAGAGGCTCACAATCAATCTGACGAAGCTCTGAACAAGCCGGCTGGTGGCCTTCCCGAATATGTGAAACCTAGTGAAGAAAATGAGCTTGGCGAACGCCTGGCTAAGGATGTCTTCGACCGTGACAAGAATATCATTGAGAGCAGTGAAGAAGAGGAGTCCTCTAGCGACGAGGAGCATGATGGCCATCGCGGGCGCAAGAAGAAAGTCGACGTCACATTTATTACACCTAATGATTTCAAACCCCACGATGATACATCTGATGGTGGTATGTTATTGGTCCCTGGGGAATCAAACATATGCATCTTTGCTAATTTCCATTTTAGGAAGGTCTATTAAGTCAGTCGATACGGCTCCGGAGAAAAAGCCTCGCAAGTCTGCTCTCAAGTCAGTGATTCGGCCGCAGACAAGCTTTGACATCCCAACGCCAATGACTCAATCGGCCGCTGGGACGCCCTATGGATCGGATGATGAGGCAGAGCGGGATGACATACACCGTGCGCAGCGACTCACTATGTCGATGTCCGCTATCGACAATCAGGTACCTCACCGATCGATCCGCACTATTATTCGGGGCGACTTCGCCGCTATCCAAGCAGAAGGTGACGAAGGTCGTCGCCGTCAGCGCAAGTATGTGCTTGCCACCGATCTAAGTGAGGAGTCGGTTTATGCTTTGGAGTGGGCCATTGGAACCGTCCTTCGCGACGGGGACACCTTGTACTGTATTCACGCCATGCACGAAGATCACAATGCATCTTCCTCCGTCCAAGTTGGCGAGGGAGCCAAGGCCATGCGGGACGCCGCGAATGTCGTGGGTACTCAAACCAAGGAAGCTGCTGCAAATCCGGGCCGCAATCTCTTCGGCCTACTAGGACCAGGTACTGCTAGCAAAGCAAGCTCAGTTGATGCTCGAGGCTCACCCGCCGCGGAAGCCGAGCGAGTTAAGGCTGTTGAAAAAGTGTCGGAGACATGCGTGAAGCTGCTGCGCAAGACAGTTTTGCAGGTGCGCGTTGCTGTTGAAGTGATTCAGTGCAGGTCACCCAAGCTGCTTGTGGTAGAGGCGGTAAGTTCTGCTTTGATCTTTGACTCTCAAAGTCCTTGTGCAAACGCTGACTGCTGAATAGATTGACGAACTGGAGCCTCTCTTAGTTATTGTTGGAGCTCGAGGCCAAAATGCCCTCAAAGGGTAAGAATAGCAATTTCTCGCTCCTGGCACTTCAGAGCTAACATGACATATAGTGTTCTCCTGGGCTCATTCTCAAACTATCTGCTTCAAAATTCATCGACCCCCGTGATGGTGGCCCGTCGCAAGCTCAAGCGCAACCCCTCGAAGGGTCGACAGAACGCATCTACCATCCGCATGACCAACAACCTCAAGACCCCAAAGAGTCTGACGCAAGCCAAGGTAGACTGAAAGCTATCTGAGTTCCTTCTTATTTCTCTGTCTATCTTTACTGCATATCAACGGGGCACTGGCGATCACTCTGGTTCAATTTCTTTTATTGTCTCCTAGAGAGGTAAACTTTCTTTCTATCTTTTATTTTCTTCTTCTTCTTCTTCTTCTTCTTCTTTTTTTTTCATTACACGACAGGGTCATGAAAACTCGGTTCTACTTTTACCAGGTGGTTTATGCTCCTCTCGATTTTATTTGCTGATACCCCATTGTTACTCATGGCTCGACGACTGCCCTGGCCGCTTTCAGCACTTTTTACAAATGTATCTCTCACGAGCAGGTATCCAACTTTGACAGTTCAAATTACCAAAATTCTCCAGAGTCCAAAGCTTGACTTTTCATATGGTTTACCGTACCCCGTAGCTATCCGTTCTTATGCCTGTGCTCTCTACCGTGTCCTGCAGGTATTTTTCCAGCTTGGTTGTACTCCCGTTGCCTACGAGCCCATTATGAGTCGAGAGCCGGGGCAAAGTCCCCACGGTGAGAGCTATTAATGCCCATTACTGCACTTGATTTTGTCCTCAAGCTAAGTGAAAGAAAGCTCCTCCTACAGTAATTAGCCTACAGAACAGAGTTGCGGCGTTATTTAAAAGGCGGAGATTTCGGTGGCTGAGCTTCACGCCCTTGACTGAGTTTCAAAGATATGAAGCTACCAGTACTAGTGTCTACAGGCACAGCATATTATAAGGCTTCTGCTATAGGGGCCCAGAGGAAGGTCATGAAACGTAATGATGCTTTTATTTGCAGTGTGCTTCTCTAATGCATAGAGCACAATGAAGGAAAATATGTGAAGGGAAGAACCCTGAAGGAGACCCTGAACCCCACGAAAACCCGCTTTTTAGAAACACAACCCATGAAAGATATATGGACTCGTCTCATGAGCCGACGAGGAAAAGACAAAATGAGAAATCCAGATATAAAGATATGAACGCGCAAACAAGGAAGAGAACGCAATGTGTGAGAGACCTAGAAACGCAAGTCCCAGCCAATCTTAGGGCCAAGACGTGGAAGCTCGTCAGCCACGCTCTGCACATCCTTGTCGCCACGACCACTCAGATTCAGAACGACATTCTTGCCCTTGCCCAGGGTCTTGGCAAGTTGCATCACCCCGTAGACAGCGTGCGAGGACTCCAGGGCGGGAATGATACCCTCAGTTTGGGCAAGAGTGCGGAATCCCAGCAGAGCCTGAGCATCGTCGGCGGCAATGAAGGTAGCACGACTAGAGTCCTTCCACGAGCTCAGCTCAGGACCCACACCGGGGTAGTCGAGACCAGCGGAGATCGAGTGAGTCTCGGAGATCTGGCCGTGCTCGTTTTGAAGAACATAGGTGCGTACTCCATGCAACACACCCTTAGAACCGCCGGAGAGGGTGGCAGAGTGGCGGGCAGTCTCGACACCGTCACCGCCAGCCTCCACACCCACCAGCTGGACCTCAGCGTCGTTTTGGAAGGGATAGAACATGCCCACGGCATTGCTACCACCACCAACACACGCGACGACCGCATCGGGAAGTCTACCGGTCTGCTGGATCATTCCTTCCTTGGTCTCCTGGCCAATGACGGACTGGAAGGTACGCACAATAGTGGGGAAGGGATGAGGACCGATGGCAGATCCGATGATGTAGTGGGTTGTGTCAAGATCAACGACCCAGGCGCGAAGGGCCTCGTTGACGGCATCGCGCAGGGTTCGGCTGCCGGCATCCACAGCGACGACCTCGGCGCCGAGAAGCTTCATGCGGAAGACGTTGAGAGCCTGGCGGCGTACATCCTCAGCGCCCATGTAGATGGTACACTTCATGTTGAATTTGGCACAGACAGTTGCAGTGGCCACACCATGCTGACCAGCTCCAGTCTCGGCGATAATGCGGGTCTTTCCAATGCGTCTCGCGAGCAAGATTTGACCTAGGGCGTTGTTGATCTTGTGGCTTCCCGTGTGGTTGAGATCTTCACGTTTCAGGTAAATGTTGGCACCACCCACATGCTCAGTCAAGCGTTCGGCCAGGTGGAGGCTACTGGGACGGCCCATATAAGGATAGTAAGAGCGGAACTCCTCCCAGAACTTGGGGTCGTAGCGGGCATCGTCGAAGCCCTTCTCCAGCTGGGCAAGACAGTCCATCAAAGACTCAGGAACGTATTGACCACCGAACTCGCCGAAACGGGGTGGCAGAGCCTCGCGCTTCTGGCCATTTTGAGAATCGGCTGAGTTGAGCGCTTCGAGCTGGTCACCCAAGCCAGGTCCCTTGGGCACATCGGCCTCAGTGATGACCTTGCTAGGCTGGGTCTCGGCATTTGGTAAAGCCTTCTGGACGGCCTCAATGATGTTCACCTCACGGGTAAGGAAGCCCTGTGCATCACGCTCGAACTTACGGCCAGTGATGCTTGAGAGATATTCCTCAGCTTTCTGGGCTGCTTGGCCGGCAGGGGCTTGGCCAACGACGGTAATAATCTGGCTTCCAATAACCACACCCTCGGCGGCATCCTGGACGGAAAGGAAGTGCTCGCGGGTACTGACACCGAATCCAAGTGCAGCAGGGACATTCCCAGAGTATTCGTGGACACGGGACAGAAGCTCGGGGATGTTAGCACTCAGTTGACCGGTGGCACCGGTGACACCCATGCGAGAAACGACGTAAATGAAAGAGTCTGCAATCTTGCAGAGGAGCTTCATGCGCTCGTCGGAAGTAGCGGGAGCAATGAGTGGAACGTATGACAGACTAAATTGGTCGTATTAGCGATGATGGCAAAGGGAATTAGGGGGGAGAGAGCGCGCGCAATGGTCCCCATACACTACTCACCCATTGCTAGTGCACAAGTCCCGGAAGCGGACAGCCTCCTCTGGGGGTAAATCGACCATGATAAAGCCATTGACGCCCGCCTCTTTGCAATCCTTCAGCATACGCTCTTCACCGTATCGAAGGACAGGGTTGTAGTAGCCCATCAGCATGATAGGTGTTTTCAACCCACGGCTGCGGGCCTCTCGTACTAGACCGAGAACTGTAGTAACAGTGACACCATTCTCAAGAGCCTTGGTGTTGGCCTTCTGAATTGTGGGACCATCGGCAATGGGGTCAGTGAAGGGAATGCCCAGTTCGATTATGTCTGGATTGCGAAATGGGCCGTTAATCAAATTTGTTCCACCCCGCCACGTTCCGTGGATTTACGTACCAGCACCACCATTCTCAAGGCCAAGTAAGATATCAACGGCTTCTTCGACAGTTGGGTAGCCAGCAGTGATGTAGGCCACCAGGGCTGCCCGGCGCTGCTCCTTGCACTTAGCGAAAGTCTGCTTGATCGCTTCCATGGCGGGGTTCGCTGAAATAGAGAAGGGAAACGATGCAAACTAAGGGATGTGAATTGTAGGGTCGACTAAGGAGAAAGGGGAGTAGGCGGCAGAAGAAGAAAAGTGAGTAAGAGTTTTTGCCCTCTCAGAATTAAGAGAGATTGTCAATTCCCTTGCGAAGTTTAGGGAAAGAGGGTGAACCTTGGGAAGCCTCCGCGGCTTGGGAACTGACTCACCGGCACGTGGTGATAAGAAGATCGGGTCCCGCATCACGTGACGATAAGATAACGATCCACCTTCAAGGCACAAAGACAAACCCTAGGCAGGCTCGAGACTTGGCTCCTCCCCCTTCTCCTATTATTGCACAAATAGAGTCATAAGGTATAGTCGTAAGGCGAAGGTACTACAATGAGTTGAATCTACGAACGTACTATGCGAAGAGGAATATTGGAACCAAAAGTAACATGGTTTGAGAATCAAGTACCTAAATACTGAGGCGGATAGAGCCCATCAACCCCAAACGCCAGAACAATGCAACAAAACAAAAAAACAGCCCTCAGCTCAGAAACTTGAAAAGGATAACACCCAAAAGAGCAGTACTCTCCAAAGGGAGTACAGCCCTTGAAACCACAGAAAAAGAACAAGGTAGGCCATAAAGAACCACCGAGTCCTAAGCTCCCGAGCTAGCAAAGCCCCGACGACCAGTGCGCCAGGATGTATAATGCGGGAGACAACGTATCGAACCGATTTCCCACCAAAAGGTAAAATCCAACCCCATTCCCAAAAATCCCAAATCTATCCCAAATCCATCCTGCGAATGCATAAAGGAATGACTGCAGCGCCCATGCTATGCCCAAATACTCGTACAGTAGCCCAGATGCAAAGGAGTGCTGAAAAATCAAAAGGAGAGGAAGCCCGTATGCCTGGCAAAAGTGCAACCCAAATAATTAACCAAAAAAAGGAGTGGAACAAGACACCGTCTCCATGCAATGAAGGGTCTCAAGACGCTTTCAAAATCAAAGAATCAAATGCAAAGGTTGGGTCGCGTCAGGCATCAGAAGTTTTGTGTAAGGAGAGACGTGATATCGTGAACAGTAATAACTGGGCATGTCGTAAAGGAGTGACAAGAAGGAAAATCGTATCTTCAACAGAGCAGAGGGGAAATATAAAAATAGAAATAGAAGATCGCAAGCAGAACGCACAAAAACAGCACAAGAAAATCAAAATGGACCCGCGCAGGAACCCGTTTTCAAAATCATTGGCCTTGATGGGTATCGTGAAGAGGGTAGCTGGGGTCCACGTAACTATAGCAAGCACTGGATGTGACCTGTGTCCCGGGAGCAGGGACCCCCATGCCATGCATGTCCCAAGCTGACCGTGGAGTTGGGGCGACGAGCCCGTGTGGATGGCCAGGATAGGAGTATGCACCGACAGTGCTATATGATTGACTCACGGAAGGCATCATCGAGCGAAGGGGATCTGTCTGGGACGGGTAGACCGAGGACGGGATGCCAGTGGCGTAGTTGTTTCCAGGGCCAGAATCTGAAACAGACCGCGGGGAGGCGGCAGTGTGAGGCTCCGTTCCGGAATCGGAGCCGGTTCCGTGGCTGGCATAGGTGGTCATCGGGGTAGACAGAGCGCCAGCGGTAGATGAGTAGCTTGCAGACTGTAAGATGTTAGTATTGGGCCAACTATACGACACCCTTCGGACTGCGACTCACGTATTTGCCAATGATCTTCTTTAGCGCGTGACTAAGAATCTTCCAGGGGAAGACCTTAACATCCTTCTCAATGTTGCGAGGCTTGGGAGCTGGGAAGCCCATGATGACCTTGAAGAACTCTTCACTCTCAGCCTTGGCCTTGGACACAGTCAGAGGACGGAATCCCTCAAGATTGCGACGGATACGGTTCTTCTCCTCAACAGTGAAGCGAACAGCCACCAACGACTCAAGCAGATAGATAGTATCAACACTAGTGACAAAGCACTCATCCTTGCCTTCCCAAGAGATGCAGCTGATGCAGATACTATTAGGGGTGCGCTCCTCAAGGGTGACAGGCTTGAAGTCGGCATGGATAGTGCTACCAGTCTGCGAGCGGGTGAATTGGACAAGACGTCGCTGGGTGATGCGCTCCTCTTTACTCCACCCCTCTGCCATGCTGTCCAGATCGCCGTTGAGCTTCAGGATCGCCTTGCTGGGGTACATGGCGTACGGGTTGAAGCCCTGAGTCTGCGCCATACCGCTCGACTGCTGCAGAGTAGAGGTACGGATCAGAGTGGGGTTTGACGCGCGGACAGGCGAAGGCCCTCGGTGCTGAGCCATACCCTGTGCCATTACACGGCCATCGGTGGCGACGGACATAAAGGACGGGCTCCAAGAGGGGGGTCAAGGGAGACGGAGCGCGGATCGCAGGCTGGGAAGTCCCAGATACGGTGGCGTACTGTGCGGAGCCAGTTCGGGGAGACGAAGCGGCCTGGAAGGGCGCTACGAAACCAGCCATGGCGGGGAGAGGCTGCAGGTAAGGCGAGAAGGAGCGGTTATCCCGATACGAATAGTTATCCTGAGCGTCCATCTTGGGCACCACAGAACCGGTGGGCCGCTTCGCCAAGCTGCTGATCGCATTGTCCGAGTAGGAGGAGAGCTTGCGCTTGCGAGAATCGCCAGAAGGAGAGGGCTGCGGCACATGCTCATAGGTGTAAACACCTACTTGTAAAGTGCTGGTCGGAAAATCACCTTGGCTCTCCATGATCACCTGCACGGGAACAGCAAAGGAAGGCGACCCCGTAGACATGAACGCCGGGGCCTCAGCGGAAAGACCGTATTGGAACGCTGAGCCCTCGAAGCCTAGGAAGGTCGGGGTGCATGGGCATCGCTTGGAGCCGAACACCAAATAAAGGGCACCATAGGCGGAGTTGTGCAGGTCATACGGGGACTGGATTTGCACTGACACCCGAGTTCCCTCTCGCCCCCGCGGAGGGGCATAAGTCACAATCTCGGGCAACTGCCGAGAGCGAACATTGAGCATGGGGGACTGGGCTTCCTCATACGAACTGCCATACTCGTTCGCTATGTAGGGAACACAGTCGGAGATCTGGCTAGCCTGGTCGGCCATAGGAGAGGGCACAAGAGAGGAGTTCACGTAGGGGGGATTGGGCGTAGTTCGAGTAAGAGCCAGCATCCTGCAGCGAGCGAGTGGAGGCGTAATCTGGTTCAATGGTTAGTTACCTTTCTCCTCTTCGTATGTTTCATGCCATCGCAAAACTCACCAAGTACGGCACCGTTAGGCTTCTGGAAACCGGCCATAGACAGTATGGGCTCAGACTTGGCCCACAGGGCGTCTGAAAACGCACCGACAAACTGAGACTCTTCAGAATCCGAGAAATCCAAAGACTCGCCCAATATGAGAGGTGTTTGGAAATCTGGGTCGAACTGCAATGGGAACTAGAGTCAGCCGACGAGTTTCTCCAAAGAAAAAAAAAATACAATCCCCCCCTCGGATCTAAGGGGAGGGTTCAAACAAGACCCTGGCTTAGGATTGGAAGAGACGGGCAAAACATGCGGGCATCCAGCAGAGACAGATATAGGAAGGGACGGTCTTACCAAAACGCCGTGTGTCTTCGAGTAAGCCAGCTTGAAGGTGTTGCAGAACCTGCAACAAGACCGAACACTTGGAAGCGAATGACTGGGAATTTATTATCCCCTAAGACTGCACGTCGAAAGGCGTGCACGAGCAGAAGAAAAGGGGGGGCTCCGAGACAGAACGAGCGACAAGAGGGAATTGAGCGGTTAGTCTCACAGAAATGGCGGCGACGAGAAGCCTCGAATCACCATTCAGGATTTGCACGACTAAGGCTGAAACTAGCAGAGGTTGGTTGCAGCAAAGCGACTCAGATCACGAAGGGCACTGGGCTCATAAAGACACCGCGGAACCTGTCGTATAGAAGGGCTGAGGCGAGAGCAAAAAAGCCACCGCTATTTATCACGGAAGACCCGAGATTGGATGGAACCCACGAGGTTGAAGCTTGGGCAAGTATGCGGGGAAACGCTGACAGCGGACTGGCAAAGTTTCGTTCTTTCTTTTCCTTCAAGCCGTGAGGTTTCGGGAGCAGATTCAAAGTGGATTGGGCAGCAAGAGGGCTGACGAACTACTCACGCAGTGAGTAAGAACTTCTTTGAAGAGTCTATCAGGGCCAGGAGCAGGCGGATCGATGCATAGACCGAGCTCTGGGGACTCACCGAGTGAAACAAAAAAGTTGTTGGAAGAGTCACTGATCAGCCGTCGATGTCGCCTGATATGCAAGATCTGGCGCAGCCGCAAAAGGGTCTAGAAAGAAAGGTTCAATGTCAACAAACAGTCCAGACCAGATGCAATATCGAATTTCCCTAAAGAACCGGGGCAGCCCGCCCGTCATCCTTCTATCCAGGCCGATCTATCGACGCTCGTCATCTACCGGAGAGGTCCGGGAGATTGAAGCACGATTTCCCGGCTGCAAGGAGATGCGACATTGGACCCCAAAAGGGGAAAATGCAAGGCACGAGGGGGGGAGAGAGATTATGAACTGAGACCGTGGGCACAGGGAGGAGGGAGTGGGGAAACTTACGCTGATTCCACGCAGACGATAATCTTGAGACCTTGTCAAACAGAAGAGCCGCGGCTAGTTGAGATGGTGTTTTGAGCCGAGACACCTGGGTCCGATAGATCGCAATGGGCAAAAGTGGCTTTATAGCTAGATGGATCAACGAGCGTAGATCTAACTATAGTTCCAAACGTCGTCTCGCGCGGGACGGATCCCAAGAACAAACGAAGGTTCTACTTGAAGTGATCGAAGATGGGCGCAAACAGACAGCCGCTCACAATCTCCGCAGACCTCGTTTCCTTTCTCTTTTCTGCGATGCAATTTCCTCCGATCGATGGTCGCAGCGACAAGTGGCCGACAGGATGTCCACTCCCCGCGGGTGCGCGCAAGGCGTGGAGGCAAAGATTAAATATTAATAAAACGATTATTCCAGATATAATCGATGGTCGTGTAAGATCTCTTTTGCTCTTTTTTTTTTAAAAATTCCGATATAGTGTTTTTTGGTCCTAATAAAGGCGTTTCTTTTTGTTTCCCAGATCCAACGTAGCGAACGTGATTTGTCGTGGTAGCAGAAAGCGAGCGTAAGAGCGAACGTGGTGAGCGAATGTGGTAACCTTTCACGGGGTCATAATAACCTTGGAAGGGTTGACGGATGAGGAGAAGGGGGGATGGAGAAAACGAGGATGCAAGGATGGAGAATGGGGTTAGTTAAAAGCGCGACGAGGGTCATATAACGAAAGTTGAGTGATTATTATTAGCACTCCGGGCAGGTCAGCGTGCAATCGCTCCGGCCTAAACTGTATAGGGCACGAGCTGTGGAGTCGTTTCCACGCTTGAGCGTTCTGGGAAAATTGGAAATCCGGCATAAATGGCTTTTCCCAAATGGGATAAAACGGGGATTGCTGATTATTGATTACTTCGGATTTATTATGAACAAGAAATTGGCGGATTATGGAATTCTGGCAATTCTGGGTATTTTCCCACTTTTTTTTTGTGTCCCTTTTTTTCTCCCTCCCGCCTTAAGCCCCAAGCGGGCTGTAGGGGATTAGCGGGAAATCGTGGCGGGGGATGTACAGAGGTCGAACTGGGGACACGAAGAGGTAATTGCATTACCAGATCCGTCTCACGTCGGGAATAGATATCGCCATTTGCCCATTATCCTCCTTACAAGGATCCTCGATTGTACCAGCTACTGCTCTTGTCGGCCTACATATGTACAGACTCAGGGATGGCGGCCATGGTACTTGTGCATAATCTGTCAACGCACATCGGTGCCACGATGTCCTGCTCCCGGACCCAGTTATGTCAGACCCATTCGATCCGGGCAGTCCGATCAGGTATCCTCGGGCCTTGCGGTTGCTTCAGGACGTCCATCTACCCTTGACAACTCACTTGCAGAGAAAGGCAAGTCAAACTGATGAATACGTAAAATACGAATTTTCAACGGAACAGACACCAACCTGGCGGCCTGCGCCGCAGAATGGGGGGGGGGAGAAAAGTGGACCGCCGAGGTTGAGCAGTCGATGTGGAAGGAAACACCAAACACCAATCAATACAAACAAATTTTCATACTGTGTGGAGTCTTCCGCGAGTGACTTCATGATCGAGGAAACCCTCTAGGGCTGCACAGCCTCTTGAGCTGGGGAGGATGGGGGTTTCCAAGCCAAGCCGCCTCCTTTGGGCCCTTTGAGCCCTGAAGGCCCCGTTCGGGAGAGGTTGGTCATGCACCTTCCATGTCAATCCGACCTTGCGAGCCAATCACTGGCTCGCGTACAATCTTATTTTTAAAACCAGTTGACCATGATACAAATGGCCAATCATGGTACTCCTCTCGGTTCCAACTATTCGCCTGTTTTTTCGGGTTGGGTATATTTAGCTCCCGCCCTAACTTAGTCTGAAAAAGGGAGTGAGGCCGTCCTCCCCCACCCTCAGGCTCTTAGGACCCTCCCACCGCTCCTTGCTGGGTTTTGCTACAATCCCAAGGGTCAGTCGCTGTGCAGTTCTTGGCAATCATAGACTTCTACTCCAACGTGCGGTTGAGGACCCCTGCACAACTTGAATCCAACCCCCGAGCTACAGCCCCACCCAGATCTCCTTTGGTATTGAGGCTTGGTTACCCACTACCAGCTTCGGCCGAGTTTGTCGATTCTTCAGGTATCGTTCGTGCCATCTATGGTCACCGGGGACCTGGAGGTATTCTCGAAGGTCCCGCGAGATGACTGCTGCGTATCAGGTCATTCATGGGGCCACATTGCTACACATCATTCCATGGTGCACTTCCGACGTGAGCGGAAAAAACGACGCCCCCGGGAATTACCCTTTTAGGGTCGAGGCATAAACCTTGATCGGTGTAGGGCGTCTGACCCACGTATCTATCACCTTCGTAGACGTATCTCTATACATCGATGACGCAGGGTACGGGACAGCAAAGCCACAAGATCCGCAGAAAACTAAAGGAGGGGGAAATAAACCACAGCAGTACGAAGGTAATGGGCCAGGGCTAAACTTAGTACACCTTGCATCTCAGGTGACTTTGGTGCGCCTGACTATGCAAGGAAACCCATCCGTGATTGGGTGGCTGGTCATCAAGCTAACCCAGATAGAGTATCGCCTCCCCAGCCGAGCTCCGTGTGTACTTCGTGCTGGCTTTAGGAGTTTTTGATCCCCGGCGAACGGAACGGTATCATTTTCCATCGTCACTCTGCACTGTTACCTTCGGTGTCGGACGTTTCTATTTGCAGCAGACCTATAGGGGTGGCTATCTGGCTTTACGATCACCCTGTCTTTGTGGCCAACAGAAAAACAAACATCCAATCTAGTCGTATCTGACCCAGCCAGTTAGGTGCCCAGCTGTCTGGTAAAAGTCGTTTCCAGCGAGGCGATTCGCCGTTGAGTATCTTTTACTGTCTTTGGTTTGTTTTCTCTCGATTTTCAAGCTGCGGCCCTGCCGATCGTGTCCCCAGACATTCATGCATCAGCCCGGCGATCATCGTGGCGGGAAAATCCGACGTTCATTATTCCTCGAAGCACGGACTGAAATCTCATTCTAGCAGCTGTAGCCCAAATTTCACGCTTTCGTACCCCGAACAGCACAAAGAAAGTCTCAGTTGCTGTGTATATGTGCGAGGGTGACCGGGAGCTACCCAGTCAAGGATGAGGTCATCCACAGGCAAGGACTGTGGATCCCGGAAACACGGGGGGTTGTAGCTTTCTAACTTTCTGAGTGTCCACCAGATAAGCCGACGATCAATAGATTAATTCAATAGATTAATTAACGGAAATTTTGGGCACGATCCCCTCCGACACGAACCAGCCCTAACGGCTTCATTGCATTATCCCTTCCAGACTCGGAATTCCCACTAGCTGCATATCCAGCCACCACGATCTCGCGAACACTACGTGCATGAAAAATAAAGTGGCAGGGAACGAGTTCGATCTAATTCTAATTCTACTGCGCACAGAATATTGAATTGCTCACATCCGCCCCCCCTTTGAGGGGTTCAAGTCGCAGCACGGAGTACTTATAACTCCTAGTGGATGGGACAGCGATCAGCAATCGGTCGCGGAGGTTTCGTACGGAATTGCCAATCGCATCCACACGGATCCTCTCAGCGCAGCGTCCTCCTTGATGATGAAATTCATTACTTTCTCATCCCCGTATACAATCAGCCTGGCAAGGAGGAAATTACCGAAGTACCCAATTTGAGACCTTTAATTATCCCTTTCAACCTTTGTAAACCGCGCTCGTTTGTCCTTGGAAATAGTGGGTCTCCCAATCTTCGGCTCAGCATCTCCCAGCGACACTACGAAAAAAAAGGAGCCGACAGCGAGGGGGGGAGAACAAAATCCCCTAGCTCCATATTTCCTGACTGACATGATGGTTCGAACAAAGGAAAAAAAAATTCCAGGAAAAGCGGATTTCTATCTGTCGGTGCGTGGTTTGAAGTTCCACCAACTTCCATAGAAAAGCGGAACCGCGAAAACTCAGGGCTTCGGAACCCCAATCCCTGGTAGGAGATGTTCCCGGGGAAATGCCTGAGGGAATTCGCTTTGCTGCGCACCGTTACTCCGTCCTTGTGGCAATGATATCCATGATGGCATGTTCTCCACGTTAGATATTAGCCGGTGCGTGATTAATTCTAAGGCAGACTTAATCAGGTAACCCTCGTTAACTCTAAACAGCCACAGGATATATGCAATTGAATTATGGAAGATGATTATTGACCATCCTAGCGCATTCCAAACTCAAATGTAGGTACGATTGCCAGTGCAGCTTCCAGGAAATTATCTAATGAAAATGGCTGGAGATCGCCACAAAGTTCGATTGGCAAAAAGGCAGGCTCATCCGGTGAACCTTGCATTGCCATGAAACTCCATCCTCCAACAGATGTTTCGCCAATCTTTTCCAAGTCCTCCTTTGGGCTATGGTGAGACCGGATCCTGTCCCGTTTAGACATCCTTGCAGTTCTTATTTACCCGAGCCAGCGATCGCTGGAACCTGCACGAATCCAATTTTGAAGCCGTGGATCCAGCTAAGTCTACTCCGTGCAGAGATCTTCCCGTCCCATGGGTTGGAATAGCCTCCCGAATGTCCACAATTCGCTGTTCGAGATGCGGGATTTTGGTTAGACTTTAGAACTGAAATCACTCAGCCACGTTGCAGTCCCTGTCCCGTCGGTATCTACTGAGCCTCAGGGACTTGTGGCGTGCAAATCATTGCGATATTATGGCAACTATCGATTCATAGCTCACTTTGCGGGATCTGAGTCGCTCGTCGCCGAGTGGCGAACTGGTTTCAGTTGGGCTGTGGACTAATGTTCTCAAGGGGCTGACTGTTGACTTGGCCATTGAGGCAGCATGGTGACATTATCAGGTCATGCGTCACTCTCACCAATTCGCTGGGCCCTTGCTCCATCGCCCTCCGTCCTTCCGCGAATGTTTGGCTTGCATTATCACGCCGGCTATCCATGGGCCTCTGCATCGACATGGCTTCTCATCGGGGACGTCTTCCCGGTGTATGTGGTTTAGGACAGACCAATTGCCGTGGGCAAATCTTTGGGCCTGCTTGCGGAGAAACCAAGATCCTGCCGTGGATCCCAGCTCAACAGACAGGTTCCGTCGTTCGCTTGGTTGCCGTTCCCACGGCTGCATGGCCTGTGCAGACCCTAATTTAAGGAAAGGGCCTGTCCGCAGCGCTAACTGATAGCTTCCCACCTCTGGTCCGAACACGATTGTTCTACCATGGATGCTGAAAGCACTTTGAAAGCAGAATGTTCGGCCAAAACTGGCACAGATTGCCACAGGGAGTCCAGCAGATCCGGGTTGCCCCTTAGAGACACCGGGAGAAAGCCACGCTTCCATGCAAAGTCAAAACATCCTCCTCAGACAAGAGACAAAAGAATAAGAAAAAGCAAGAAGCTAACCCATGAAACCTTCCATCCAGTACCTTGTTCCCTACGGCGACGGCATAAAGCCAGTATCGGGTGAGAAATGCCGCCTCGCTGTCTCCCCACCGCTCCAAAATAGCAAGCAACGCCCCAGCCCCGTCTGTGTTTCAGTGGAGCGGGGATTCTGAGATGTCATAGGGAAGGTTTCACACCGCACTATGCCCAATCATGGCATTCTTCCGGGAGAAGGCCCAGCAGAAAACTTCTTGCGCGAAGATCCTATCCGCGGCAGGCAAAGGCCGACGCTTGTAGCGACTTCTACGAGACGCCTGCAAAGCTTCTTAGTGCGACAACGGAAGAATAGTGCCAGAAGGTGCCATTCCATATTGGGTGTTTGCTGGGATCTTCGTTGTCCTGGGTGGGGGTCTGGAACGTGCGGACGTCTCACTTCCATATCTCTGTGGAGGTTTCTCTAGACGCTATTTAGTTCTCGCTTCCTTCTCTAGAACTGTCTATGTATACGAATGAATAACACTTTTTCTGCTCAGATAATCGCAGCGGCCTCCCGAACTGGTCAGCTTACTTTTCCTGTCCGTTTTAGTGTGCGCCCGTGGCTCAGGGGTTCTGAGACAGATAATCGGACCTTTTTTTTAGAGCCCTGTACTAATGCTAGTTGATCGGAAGTACAGGTACTAGTTGATGGTGTAGGACTTGCTGCGGATATACACCGCGCATTATTTCGCAGTTTCAGGGCTCTCCACGCTCTACATGATATAGATCAAGTGTGTATAGTATGTCTGTCTGGTTATCAGAAGATGAGGTTCTAGCAGCTCGAGCCACGAGATCATCTTTTAGCACGCGGAGGGAAGCGATCGGCATGGATCCAGCATCCCGCGCAATATATATCCAAGCATGCGGAGGAATCCTAGCGGGCTGCCCCCATGAACGTTCTCTGCTCCAAGCTGCATATGAGTGTCCCCAATCTATCTGGATGCAGGGTATTGTCTACCCACACTCGGGATTCAATTCCAAGTTTTGCTAGGTTCCAAGTTGGCAGGCCGATCTCGATCAAAACTTGACCTCCCGCGCGATAGACCAGTCAGAAAAAACACAACCCACAAAATCTGCGTCACGCCCCGATCCCCTTCTGCTTGCCCACGCTTGAAACCTCCGCCCAAACTCGCCCGTTTCAAGCTGGATCAAAGGTCCTCTCCACCCCTTGGAGTCCCGCCATTTCGGCATAAGTCCTGTTTGAAGCGAACAGTGGAGTCGCTGGCACCAGCTTCTTCCTGTGCCGCAATCCCAACCGGATCCCAATCTACGCGATCTCGACATCGGGCATGCGAGACGGCTCATCGCAGGTAGATAGATTCGATGACGGAGAAATGACAAATCACGTTATGCACGATGCACGGTCAACGTGGAGCACATCCTGCGATGCGCTGACCGTTCCTCTGGGGTGGGGAGGGAGACGAGTCGGTGGATTTACTCCAATCAGCTTCCACCGTTCGCAAGGTTCTTAATAGGGGAAAGTGCCATCAAGCTCTATGATTGATCCATCAATGTTTTTCCGTGGGCTAAGGCATTCCTTTTCCACCCGAAGGCGCTCTTTGTCCGTTGATCCGGAAAAAAAAAAGAAGCTGCAATTGGAGGCAACTCTGCATCGGGTGCACCCGATTCTCCGATACTCAACGAGAACAGAGATCCACCCTTTCTGCCGGAAGCTATCATGCGGATGCGGGCCATGTGCAAGTTCCACTGAGTGGACAGCACTATACTATATTAATTGGAGGAGTTTCATTGGCTAATTGGGCTATCCTGTTTTAACCGAGTCCCCGAATGGCAGATCCGGCAACGGGGCCAGGAGCCACTCCATCCGTGGTGCAGATTATCCTAACTTGACGCCGACAGTATGGCTGAGCAGAATCAATTGCCAAGATCAGGGTCCAAGCTGGATCCAAACCAGTGGCTGCAACAACTGGAACAGGCAGCTCGGATCCTGCTGACGGTAAACTTGATAGGTTGATCCACTTCTCCAGGGGGAAAGAAAGGCAAATCAGAAGAGGGAAGGAGAAAAAAAAACCAGCCAAGAGCAAACCCGCAGCAGAGGATGGAAGACCAACGGCTCCCAAGAAAAACGTTCACGCCGGACTTAATTTGGACCAAACCTTCTTTCCCTCAAGCTTTCTCTCGTCTAAACGACCTCATTCCACATATTCCGCAATCCACATGTTCCTCAAATAGCTTCCTTTCGCTTAGCTACCAACCCAAAGTGCCCGCGGGCGCTCAGGGCGCAACCCTCGACATCAGTTCGGAACTTAGCCGAGACTGGGCGAATCAGCAAGCTCGTCAAGGCCCACCGCTTCAATCCCTTTTCTGTCTCGTTATTGGGTGAATGGGCTTCTGCCCCGACAGCTCTTGGCATCTCTCCTTAACCGGGCACTTTGCACTGCCCTACAAGTTTGTCTCACCTAGTGGACATCCACCAGGAGGAAAAGAAAAGAAAAGAAGGAAAAAGAAAGAAAAGAAGGAAAAGTGAATATCTATTCTTAGGAGAGCCACTCTGGCGGAAAAAAGCGGAATTCGAAACACGAGTTGCCAACCTCGAAATAGTAAGCTGATGGAACGATGGAATAGAAGAATCGTACCTAGTGCGTGTTGGGCTGTGATCGCCTACGATCGCCTGTAACGGTAGTAGTCGACGCTGCCGCTAGTCAGGCATAGCGGCAATTAGGACTTGCTTGACCGGGCCCTCTAAGGTTTAATTTAGACATTTTGGGTTTCCTGCGGAGTACGGAGTACATAGAAGAGACATTCACGTCACAGGTTGGGCTTATTTGGCCCCCTTTTGCAATTGACAGGGGGGGAAGGTTCAGCTCGCCCTGATCCCGGCTCCATGAGCTAGTGCGGTGATCTGCAGGACTCTACTCAAATGGAGGGAATGGAGAGCTTCGCAGGGCTGTAGGTTCGTCAACTGTCGTTTAGTGGTAGTGGCTGTGCAAGGAATGGTTCATTTCTTTTTGCGGAGTTTGCGGTCTTTGCTTCGCTGGTCCTCTCTTTGGGACAGTGATTCATCTTCTCGCGATGCTACTGTCACGTGTTGCTGGAGCTGCGTAGGAGGGGGTTTGGTTGTGTCTTCTTTCTGTCTCGAATTTCGTGGTCCGAATTTCGAATAATATGTCAGCGCTGTGTCATTCCTTGTAGGCTATCTGCAGGAGTGGCGCCACGGCGGCCCGTATACAATGGCACCACCTGGGCAGACGATGTCATGTACGGTCATCTTTCGTCAGTGATTGATGCCCTGGTGAATTGCAACCTTTAGTCGCTTTGGATCTACCCGGTTGAGGACTCTAAACACCCAGGCAGAAGTCTGGTAGGTACGAGAGCCGTTGCTACTTAGGAGGCCGAAAAGGAAGGCGTACAAGTACTGGGCGCAAATACTTCCGAAATGCCACTATGAACTGCAGATCGGGAATTCCAAATTCCATCGCATTGTCATCAATTTGCATCCAGGACCTTGCAGGCCTGAAACCTCCGCCGGAGGCTAAGTACATCTCAAGACCGTAAAATGACAAGAATGTAACTGACCGTTTCATGCAGACCCAACATGGGAGTCAACCTCACCCCAGCGCCGGCCCGGATACGGCGTTGTCAAGATCAGCGCTGCTTTCTGCCGAACGGCCATAGAAGACCGAGAAGAGCTTCGAAACGAGAAATTCCCTGGCTTCGTAATGCGGTGCTGAATTAGCCACATGGCAAAGGAAATCTCTGTCTGGTCGGGATTGGGGCTTCGAGCTGCCACGACCTGAGGTTAGTATGTTGGTCGGCCTCGGAGCTAGCCAGCTCCTTCAGAATCCCAGGCGATCATCGGGCATACCCGGGACTACGGCTGCAAAGCTTCATAGTGGACGTACGAGAGGGCAAGCCCAACGATCGTGACGAGGTTCACACGCTTTGAAGCAAGGTAGTATGCTCGGGACAGACTGTCGCGCTCGATAGTTTTCCCAATGCGCATGGCCACGCCGCGCGGAAGGTTCTTTTTGTCGGGTATGGGTGACCAGTCGGGTCAGGATGTTTGCTTCCCAGACTTCGCAAGCAGAGCGGTTAAGGGCTCTTGATGCGACGGTTAAGCTGCGGCAAGTCGTGCTCAAGGCCACCAACATCAGCCACAAGCTTGTCCATGTAAGTATCGATCATTTTGGTCGAGGCTTTGAGGAATGAGACCTGGTTGTCATCCTGTCAATGCACGTTCCCGATGTTTTTGGTCATTTGCGAAGGCCAGAAGTCACTTGCTGCGGCTTCTCCTGCTGCTTGTTTGGGGAAGCCATGCTCGCGAAAGGAATCGGCTTTTCGCAACGCGATCTAGTCCAACCAGTTCAGCCATCAAGGAACCAATCAAGAGGCTTACTTATATAATGCATGCTATATAGTAAGATATAAAAGACTGCAGGGCGTCTGGATAACATAGAGAGATCAGAAGGGGGTGTTTCGTCAACGTGAAGACAGGAGAGAGTACAAAATGATCTGAGAGAATGCAGTGACCGTGTTGCAATGCACGACTACGGAGGAAGGTGATCCGGTCAAACTAAATGAGTCAGTCCAGGTGAATATTCGGTATAGGAGATTTGAGGCTGCAATAAAGCTCATATACATCCGACTATCATTCTTGATTACAGCTTCGAGTTCGAGGCCTTTCCAAATTCAATGACCAGCTTTCCGAACTGCGTTGCGTTCTTCATATCCTCGAACAAGCCATCAATAGTTGCCAAGTCATCAATACTGGTCTGCACGCTTCTTGACACGACTGGGTGGATCTTCTTTGCCTTGATATAGTCTACCATCTCCTTGAACTCCAGGCGAGAGCCCATAGTGGAGCCACGCACATCAATGTTCTTCAGCACAGCCTGCATCAAGAAGGGCATTTTAGGCGAGACGGTCATTCCATAGACTGACAAGACACCTCCAGCCTATTTAAAAGTTAGCCAATTTCTGCATTTTGCACATCGCGAGGTGACCTACCTTGAGCAACTTCGCAGCTTTCTCCACGGAGTCACCACCAGCACCGTCGATAATAGCATCGAATGTCTTTTTTCCAGCAGGCAGCATGCCAAGCAACTTCTTTTCCCAACCCTGTTCCTTATAATTGGCACCGCCGATCGCGCCCAACTTGACGGCCTTTTGAATCTTCTCCTGGCTCGAGCTAGTCACAAAGACATGTGCGCCCCTGGCAACCGCAAACCTGAGCGCCATCAGGGCCACGCCACCTCCAATGCCAGTGACTAGCACAGCAGCACCATCTTTTGAGTTTCGCTCGCCAGCTTTCGTCACCAAGGCACGCCAAGCGGTCAATCCAGTCAAGGGCAAAGCCGCAGCCTCCGCATCCGAGAGGTGCTCCGGCGCCTCCTCTACCTCAGACTCCTCGATCGCGATATACTCTTGCAGAGTACCTTTGTCATAGACCTTCGTACCTCCCATAATACGGTATCCGGCCTCCTCCTCAGGCCCGTCAGGCGAGTCCTTCCAACCAACGCCTGGATTCAAAATAACACGCTTGCCCTGCCATTTCCCCGAGTCGGAAACCTCGGGTCCTGCGCCGACTACCACACCCACACCATCGGCGAGGAGTGGCACATCAAATGTCACGCCCGGGTAGAGGTGCTGGCGAAGGAACAGGTCGCGGTGGTTCAGCGAAGCCGCTGTGAGCTTCACGAGAAGCTCGCGACCTCTAGGGGTTGGCTGCGGGACAGTGCGTACAGTGAGGGGGTAGTAGACCTGGCCGGGCTTGCCGGGCTTGCCGTCAATAGGCTCAATATACACAGCTTTGGACATTATGGAGGGATGTGGTGGGACAATTGGAGGCTGGGCTCGTGGGATATGCGGGGGAAGCATGCGCTTATCGATAACCGACACTCAGAGGTGGCAAGTTTCAGCCGTGAGTCGCAGGTATTGAACACTTCTTACGTGTTTGTTATTTCCAAGAACTCTAACTATCAGGACGAATTGAGTATTTTTTTTTTCGAGGTCAAGATTGTGAGATCATTGCGGGGAAGTTAGGTTTGTAATTCTACTTCACAGTCTTGGGGTAGAAACCTCGGCCCACGGACAAAGGGGGACACTTACTAATGATGCGAGCTGCACTTTGTGCCAAGATCTCCGATTTGGAGGGAAGAACGCTCACATTGGGCCTGAAAGCTCCAGGGCTATCTTGTACTTGCTTATACACTACGGATATCAGTGGTGTGTTAATACCTGTGATCTTCGGAATTCTGGAAGTACCTCTGCCTCCTGGCAGGTCACACTAGTAGCGGGCCCCCGACGGAAATATACATCTGAACGACGGCTACTGTGGAAGCTGTACCAACCGTCCGATACACGGTTTGCTATTAAGGATTTCCCTTATCTAACATCTAGCTAGTCACTTGATGTATATAGTGCTAGCTGTCAGTGTTGACAGAATCTGTCGCTAGTTACCACCCTGGGTGGTTAGCACTGTCCGAACTTGGACGAGATGGGGTGGAGGGGTGGTCGGAGTTGGGTATTCTCCCTCTTCTCTCTCCTTCTATCTCTAGCTTTAGTATACTAAACCGAAACACCGTTGTTGCCGTATCCCAACAATGATTAGGTCTGCTATTAAAAATACTAAAGCTTATTCTTTTTTCTTTTCCGCTACGACGTACAGTCTCGGATTATTATTTCCCCGAATGATGAGTATCATGCATGCGCGTTAGAAAAGGGTCAAATGGAATTTCAGCTCCAAGGATCCTCTCTCTTTCAGATGACCTTTCGCGTTTAAACGCAAAAATTTACAGCTTTCTTGTCTGCCATTCTGTGTTGTGTGGTACCCCTCCTTGTCTTGGTTGGGAGAATATCGCAGTTTGTGAAGCGTGAGAATAGATGCACCATGGGAAGCCTCTTGACTACACGCCAGGCTGAGGAGTTGTAAGAATATACCATACTCTACGAGGAACTTGGTTGAAAACACACGTTGAATCGTTCTACAGGCACAAGTCTATTATAGCCTACCTGACCGCACAAGGCTTTCTTGAAACAGCTCTGTCGTTGCGGAAGGAAGGGGCACTTTCCGAGAAGGATTTCGATGTGACTGCCGTGAAGAAATACGAATCACTCCTAGAGAAAAAATGGACCAGCAATGTCCGGCTGCAGAAGAAGGCATGTGAAAGTCACTTGTTGAAAAGCAAGTGCCAAAATTGACTCCCTAATTCCATTCTCAGATACTGGAGCTTGAAACTCAAAATGCTAGGCTTATCTCTGAGTTCGATAATCTCACACCTACCTCCCTCTGTGTCCGCAACTCAGATCCCCACTCTTGGCTCCCGCAACACCCTCGCTATACACTGCGCTCCCACCGTGATACTATCAATTGCATTGCCTTCCACCCCCGATACTCCTCTCTTGCATCTGGATCGGATGACTGCACAGTCAAGGTATGGGATTGGGAACATGGAGAACTGGAGAAGACCCTCAAGGGTCATACAAGAGCGGTCCGTGGCCTTGATTACGGCTGTCCTACTGGTGCCCCCTTTCTGGCCTCCTGTAGTTCGGACTTGACAATCAAGCTGTGGGACCCCGCCGATGGGTACAGAAATATCAGAACTCTCCAAGGACATGATCATATTGTCAGCGTCGTTCGCTTTATACCAAATGGAAGTCTGCTTGCTAGTGCTAGCAAAGACACGGAGATAAGATTGTGGAATGTGACAAACGGCTTCTGCATAAAGACCGTGCGAGGCCACACCAGCTGGGTGCGGGATCTTTGTCCGTCTTTGGACGGTAAATACTTACTTTCCACGGGCGACGATATGACCGTGCGGCTGTGGGAGATATCGGCGAATGAGGAATGCAAATTCATTCTGACGGGCCATGACAATTTCAATGAGTGTTGCGCGATAGCCCCATTTTCTACTCATCAATACCTTGTGCCGCGCGCAGAGCTCAAGGAAACCCAAGCTATACCTCGCTTCGTAGCAAGTGGTTCTCGCGACAAAACTATCAAGATTTGGGACTCTCGTGGTGGGAGGTGTCTGATGGCTCTCGTTGGACATGATAATTGGGTTCGCGCTATCGCGTTCCATCCTGGGGGCAAATATCTTCTCTCTGTATCTGACGACAAGACACTACGTTGCTGGGACTTGAGTCAAGGCGGCAAATGTGTAAAAACGCTGCATGATGTCCATGAGAGTTTCATTACTTGTTTGAAATGGGCCCCTGAAATGTCCAACGCGAACCCGACCGATATGGCCCATGTTGTGAAGGGGGCACACGAAGCCAAATCGTCTAGAGCTAAGGAAGACGCACCCACTTCATCCATGAAAATCCAGTGCATCATCGCAACAGGCGGTGTTGATCAGACAATTCGGATATTTGCAGGCTAGGAAACATCATGTAGGGAGTTAATTACTTGGCTAAGTCAAAAGTTATAGCTGGTAAAAGCTCTCTTTGATAATGCTTAAGACATGCTCTACTCTGGTAGATGATAATAGAACAATGGGATGGATACCTTAGAACCTGTCCTTGATACCTAATAGTATAGTGCTGTCATATTATTTGTAGGATCGATTGATAGTAAATTTGGTGAATAAAACTGCAACCTGAGCCCGTTATACTTGCTTTCAACGGGTCAGCTCTGGCTCCTTCTGGTGAAAAGTCAGCATTTGAAGGCAAACTGTCAAATCCATTCGGACCAACTTTCTCGCTCGCATCTAGGAAATGAAGAGACACAAAGTATCATTTACGGATAATCAATGGAGTCTTGCGGAAGGAATCTTCACAGGAATAGCCAGGAGATAGTCGTCGAATTGATGACCGTCGTCTCCACACAAGACCTCAGCCATTTCAACATTAGGCTCATAAGCTGCCCCTGCATCCTCCTTACCGTCTAAGCAGTCCGGACAGCAGTCGCTATAGGAAGGAGGGCTGCGACTGTGAGTTTCAGTCTCGCGAAGGTTGTCAGGTCTGGTTGTGACTTTCGTCCGCGGAGTTTTGGACCGTGCAGTTTCGTTTGCTTTCCGGGTAGCTGGAGTCGGGATATGAAAGTCATAGCTTTTCTCGCGATAGCCCTCAGCGGAAGCTCTGGCACTAGGACTTGGAGCAGGCCTTGCCGTGTCCGGGTCAGCACGCACAGGCGCTTCCGGATGCCTATGGGCCGGGTGAAGCTCAAATTGAGCCCAAGGCTGGCATTTCAAGCACCCACACTCGTCGGCCTGATATTTTTGTGCGGTCTCTGGCTCGTGTCCTATGCAGTAGATGCAGCAGCATCTGCGGGGCGCAGCTGTAGCGCGGTCTCTGCTGCTAGGAGTCCAGGGCTGAGCCCGCTCTCTCTCGCCCTGAGGCCAAATGAGGGGCTCGGTTGGGATGGATTCTCGTGCCTCCGGTGCTGGTGCAGGCGCTGGCGTTGACATTCGGTCAGGTTTTTGAGCCGGTACTGTTGGGTACTCGTCATAGTACACTGGGATAGATTGGATTGGGCGGTTTCGATCGCTGCGAAGCAGAGATTTGGGCATGCGGTAGCCTAGCCAGTACCAACCATGGGGCATTTCGAGCTTCGGTACCATGTATGGAGCTTTGCAAGGCTGGATGGTTTCAGTTGCTGAGAAAGACTGCTATTCCAGAATAAGCTTAGTCGTCTCAAAATGACGAAGCTTCTTTTCACGATTCTGGCAATGAACAGGAAGTCTATTCTCAGTAGTAGAATAAGAATTGGAGAAAAGATACTTATACTACTATTGGTATTTCATTAGCGAAGTACTAGCAAACAAGGAGTTGGAAGACATCAAAGACCCAAGCGACTGCAATGTTGGCCATGTGCATCCTTTGTCAGTAAAGGCAAGCATATGCTCTCTATCCGGTATTGACTTGCTGGTGGAGTAACCCCGCGTTGAACTTGCTACGTCACTAGCAAGGCTGGTCAAACATAGCCATTCTGGACCGATGCAATCAACACAATGAGGTATTATTCCGAATCTGAATGGGAGAAACTGGGGGGATTCCAACGGCTTGGCAGCCAGGGTGGACTGGGATTTGGAGAAAACTTCAAAGAAGGGATGGCCCAGGATTTCCTGGGTATGCATGTAACATCTTCCTGAGTCTGTAGACTAGCAGTAATCGATGAGAGTCGTCGCATTGGCACGCAGCTGCGCAAGGGCCCAAGCGACATAAAAGCAGCACGACACGTCCAGAACTGGGCCAATATAACAACCTTAACCGTTTGGAGGCTCAGCGCCCAATTAAAACTGGCCGTGGTGACAGCAGCGTACACGTATTTACCTTTTATTCCACGCTCCAACGAGGCGTGGCCGCATTTAGACTTGAGCTCCAGGAATTCGGTCAAGACCAGATGATTTGCAGTATATAGCTTATAGAGGGAGAGTATTAAGGACCATTACCATTTCTACTCTTCTCCTATAGCCTCTCTCCATTATGCCATCATAACACAGATCAGCTGGGCACCCCGATCACGTGACTATGGTATTTTGCCAGTGTAAGTGACCGTACGCGAACAGCCGTGGCTGGGCAGAAACGTAATCAACAGGCTCAACCCGCCTACTCGCTACACAAGGGCGGACAGGATCAAAAGATATTGCCACGCGCCGCACCCACACGTTCATTTCCACAGAATCAATCTCTCGCGAGAACTTTCGTTGTACCTCAACGCCAGGCGCTCGCATCTTGCATACCTTCTTTCCACCTCTGTCGATTGACGAGCTTTTACTTCTCTCGCCACTTTGCGTTCCCCCCCTGTTCGCATCACCCTTCCCTACACAAAGTCCCGCGACTTCACCTAGTTTCGTTGCAAGATCCTTCAATCCATAACAGCTCAAAATGCCGACACCACTTCCTTCCAGTTTTGCCTCAGCTGCGGCTGGCCAGACTCAAGACCCAGCCCGAAGAGGAGATGGCGAATGGTATGTGTCCTGTTCTGCCCTTTTCCTGCTACATGGCCAAGGCCCGCGGTGAATTTGCATGGGATCTTCCGGACCCCTCGTGCTTTGTAAACTGCAACTCAATCTTGTCCAAAGTTTGCTCGACAACAGATGTTTCGAAGGAATTCGATCCATTATTTGTCGCATTTGACTTTTTCACTCCAAGATTGCAACCGTTAACCGTTGGGCTCTCATGTCCTCTATAGGTCTCGATCTCGAACGAACGGAGCCACCCAAACCTTCCGCCGTCCATCTGTTGCAACAAACTCCTCTCATATCCGAGACAGTAGTCAGCCGGCATCTGCTGCTACTCCGACCTCGAGTACTTACATGCCTTCTCAAATGAGTTCAAATATCCTCGCAAATGTGCTGCGGAACGGAGACGCCAGGTATTCTAAGGACCAGCTTCTAGAATTTTACAAGCTACAGCGAGAATCCGGTATCGTGGGCAAGAATGTAGAGGATTATTTTGTGGGTGATTGGGATCCCAATCTGGCATCAAACCCGGTCAACGGCGCGTGGGGAAAGCGGGATGACCACAAGACCTCTGCAGGACCTGAAGTGTGCTGGGATCATGGTGGTAACACTGAGCCACTTGGCTTGACGGATATGACAGAGGCTGAGAAGGAGGTGGGTCTTGCTACGGTGACGACACTCCAAATTTGGGAATGCTAATTTTTTTTTTTTTGTTTTTATCTTCAGCTCTTCGCTGCATCTGTCAACTCTCCGCTCAAACCGCCCCCCACGAACAACGCTAAGGAAAATACCGTGCCTACTCAAGGCGGCCGCAAAGGTTCTGTTTCATACACCCAAGGCCATATAAATAATTTCAACACCTCTTCTCCCACCGCAACTCGCCCAGGTGGCCGACGCCGAGAAACGGGCGACTCAAACGCCAACCCTATGTCTCCTACAGCAGCTAACTCCCGATTCTTCCGCGACGAGGCGAACACTTCGACTCCTCCACCTGCTCTCCTACGCCGGAAGACTGATTTTCGCGACTCGGGCGCAAAAACAGACGAAAGGACCAAGGAAGGTACAGATACGGCCTCTCCTTTCGGTTCTTTGAAACGAAGCTCGACCAATCCTTTGAATACCTCCGTCGGTGCCGTGGGGGGCCCAAGCTCACCATGGGGAGTAGCATCGGCTAGTGCTAGCATGTCTCCCATGGGTGCATTTGGCGCCTTCTCTCTTGGATCTGGGGGCGGCTCTACCCCGACTACAGAGAAGAAACCCGGTTATGGCAGTCTTCGTGGTGAAAGCCGTTTCAAGGGCCTTCTGTCGAAAGACAGTTCGGAGGATATCGCGGGATCTGCGAAGGACAAAAACTTGAGTAACCTCGAACGCCTTGTTGAAGATGGCCCGGACAACCGCGCTCAGTCTCCCTGGGCTGATACTCTGAAGACGCGCATGGGCCGGAGTGAGACCAATCCGTTTGACGAGCCTCGCAGCGGGAGCGCTGCTCTCGGTGGGTCACAAGATGTCGAGGCTCCCTCTCAAGCCGATGCTGGATTCGCTGCGTTTGGCATGACCTCGAGCATTCCTGGATTCCGGGAATTGATGCAGAGTCAGGAGAGTTCGCGGAACGCTACCCCGAGTCTGCTCCAGGGGCATGAGCCTACCAGTCCGACAAATACGAACCCATACCAAAGCCCACATGCCGACCGTGACCAGACCGCGGAGGCTGAAGACGAGGATACTGATGGTTCGGATATCCAGCCCCCCTCAACACCCTGGCCTGAGCGGATTACGTGACCCCTCGAATCCTTTTGGCTCTATGAGACGGGTTGGATCTGGAGTCGACCTGACGGGCGTTGACCGCAGCCAGAACTCCAGTGTGAACGCTAATCGTACTTTCTCTGGGCTTGGCAACCTAAGTGGTCTTTCCTCCCTTGGTGGACCTTCGGGATGGCCCGGCAGTGGTACCATTGGGACTCCAACCCGTGAACGTCCTGCCTTTGCCGGTGGGTTCGGTGATTCTATCTTTGGTTCTATGGGCGGGGAACTGCAATCCCCTAGCTTGTCAACCCTTGGAGGCGCTGGGGGTCTTTTCAGCCCACATGCTGGTATCAGCGGCACCGCCAGTATTGGCCGATCGAGCAAGCTGGGCGCGCTATTTTCCCCAGCTCTACATGATGACCAAGGCCGACCCGACTCGGTTGGCTTGGAGGATCCGGCCCGCCAATTTGACTTGCAAGACAAAGTTGCGCAAGCTGGCAAGTCTGGTTCTCACTCTGCATCGGAAACCCCTCTTTCGGCCATGGGTTCTATTCCAGTTGGTTTGTCTCATGACATTGCACCGGGAGCTCAAACACCCGGCGGCGGCGTTCCCTCTGCGCAACAGCGGACTATGGTTATGCCTGATCGTATGCGATGGATCTACCGTGACCCGCAGGGTAATATTCAAGGTCCATGGACTGGCCTTGAAATGCATGACTGGTTTAAGGCCGGGTTCTTCAGCCCTGACCTTCAAATCAAGAAACTCGAAGATGATGAATTTGAGCCTCTAGCTCAGCTAGTTCGCCGCATTGGAAACTCACGTGAACCCTTCCTTGTTCCTCAGATCGGAATCCCCCACGGCCCAGAGCCTACGACTGCCCAATGGACTGGCAATACTGCGGGTTCTGCCCAGCCCCCATTTCCTGGCAGCTTCCCCAGCTTCGGTACTACGTTGACAGCGGAACAGCAGAATGCCCTTGAACGGCGCAAGCAGGAAGAGCAATATCTCATGGCGCGCCAAAAGGAACACCTGGCCCAGCAGCAGGCTATCATGAAATCAATCCACCCGGGTGCTCCCTCCTCTATGCAACCTCAGCTTCAACATCAATCGAGTGCCCATAGCCTCCATAGTCAGCCTAGCTTTGGAAGCATCGCGTCTCCCGGTGCCTACCAGCCCTCCCCGATCCAAGCTCCCATGCAGCAGCAGTCGCAGCCTGGGTTCTTTGACTCTGCCACGCAATTGCGACAGGGTGGATTGTCTAATGTTGGGCCTGGCATCCTTAGTTCCGAGCTTGGCGGCAGCCAAGACCAGCTCCCGGCCTTGCTGGATCGTTTGAATGTGGGTGTCGGTCGCCAGGATCCATTCGCTTTTGGCACGGGCTCTTCATTTGCAGCCCGCCAGCCAGATGCCATGGCTCATTCCCAGCAGGTTGCGAGCATGCTGTCAGACCGACAGGCTTTGCGGGAAGAGCAGGAGCAGTTTGACAAGGCGAATGCCAATGATCCATTTGATCAGGAAGCGCGCGAAGAGCGATTGCGCCAATTTCATGCCCTGCGAGCGCAAGAAGGAGAGTTAGGCCTGCGTACTGTTGATGGCCTTCCCAGCCACCCGGCTTCTGGGTCCGCTCAGCAGTACGACGAGGAGACTGAGAAGAAGGAAACCGCGAACGAGCAAGAGCCGGCTGAGTTAACTTTGTCACAGCAGGTGCAAAAAGCCGCAAGTGCCCAGCGTCAGCAGCAAGAGCAAAAACAGCACAGTCAGGCCGCTCCTGAATCTGTCTGGGGAACCAAACCCGACCACGGCATGCCTCAGCCCTTCCCCCCTCCCCCGTCTGCGTCGCCATTGCCTGCTCCGGCTGCCCAGCGAAACCGCCAAAACGTGGCGGAGTCTTTGGCTGCTGGCTCCCGATCTCAGACTCAAACTCCTGTCGATGCCGCCCCACCTCCGTGGCCCCATGGGCCAAGGATACCAACGAGGTGCCCAAGGGCCCTTCGCTGAAGGAAATCCAGGAGGCTGAAGCTCGCAATGCCGCCCAGCGCGAGGAAGTCGCCGCAGCCGCTCGCCGAGCTCAGCTTCTTGCGGAGCAGGAGCGCCTTAGCCAAGCCCAGGCTCAGGCTGTTCCTGGCTTACCCTCCTCGTCGACCTGGGCTAGCAGCGGATCTCCCGCTACTCCCACATCTACTGCTGGCTCGGTCTGGTCCAACAAGGCTCAACCTACCCCTGCAGCAAGCACTGCCAAGAAGACTCTCGCCCAAATCCAGAAGGAGGAGGAAGCTCGCAAGCAGCGTCTAGCTGTTGCAGCTGCTTCTGCCGCTCAAACTGCCACTCCCAGCCCTCCCGCATCCGTTGGCAAGCGATACGCAGACCTTGCAAGCAAGGCCCCTGCTTCTGCATCCACAACGCCTGTTGCTCCTGCTGCAACTGGTGCTTGGACGACGGTGGGTGCCGGTGGCAAGGCTAAGGCTCCCCCAGCTGCCCCTCTCGGCCCTCGGTCTGCCAGTGGGTCTATTCCTTCTCCCGCTCTTTCCAAGTCTCGTCCTGCTACCGGTCCCCGCACAGTGACTCTTGGGAACACACCCACCGCTAATCCCAATCGTGCTGTTGAGGAATTCACTAAGTGGGCTAAGCTGGCTCTCGGCAAGGGTCTGAACAGTAACATCAATGTTGACGATTTTGTCCAGCAGCTACTTCTTCTCCCTGCCGAAGCAGAGATCATCTCGGACTCTGTCTACGCCAACTCTCAAACCCTCGACGGACGTCGCTTCGCGGACGAATTCATCCGACGCCGCAAGTTGTCTGACAAGGGCATTGTCGAGCCTGTCTCGCCGAGCGCTTTTGGTTCTGAGCAGGGTAGCGGTGGCGGCTGGAGCGAGGTCGCGAAGAAGGGCTCCGCTGCTAGCGCTAGTGCTGCTGCTGCTACTGCTACCCAGCGTGAAGAGGAGGCCAGCAATGCCGCTTTCAAAGTTGTCGCTCCCCGTAAGAAGGGCAAGCGGTAATCGTATGCATGTACCATCTTCCTCAAGCTACTGTCCTTGTTGATGTTATGTTACGCTTTGATTTTGTTTTGCGTATTTTCTGAGTGGCAGAGACATTCGTGCGGCATATTTCGTGGAATAGTCGTCATTCAAGCCAGCGTGTCATGCGGTTATCTTTGTTAATTTCGCCGCTCATCTGCTTTACCTGTATAATTAGGGGTTTAGCCGCATCGAAATGTATCAGCGTCCGAGATGAAAGATTGTGTCTTGTAGAATTGTCCATCTTGGCTTCAAAGTTGCCATGAAGGTAATCCGGGTCCAAGCCATTGTAGATGTAGGGATACCCTTCCTATTAGTACTAGCACAGTATTTATTCATACTAGAATGGGTAGCCCTGGAGTTAGAACTCGAACTTGACAGACATGAGTTGCCCATGGCTTGCATACTACGATGCGGAGTTCAACCGACTCTTTTGTACTGGTCAACTGTTGCTACTAGTCTTCCTCTCGGACGGCCACATCTTAAAAATCTATACCTGATACATCAGAAATGTTCTGTCAAAAATATTCAGAAGGCGTGAATTGTAACAATTCTGTGATGGACCTATAAGCTACCTATATCAGTCCGTCTAGCGGCCTCGATCCTTCAACAGCAAAATCAGAGCACCCACGGCCTGAGAACGGCCGTTTGAAAGACCACCCTAAGAATGGCGGAGATAGAATGTAACTAGATCAATTTTTGAAAAAAAAATAAATAAAAAAGATAAAGATAAAGATAAAAAGATAGGTGGGAAGCTCATAGACACCACTTTACCACTTAAGGTGCCCAGTCAAAGGTCTACCCCGTCGAGGCTGCGGCCATTTGCAACCTGGCTACCAGTTGCGAGGATATTATGCACAGAGACCGAGAGCGGTGAATTCTCATTTGACAATATTCTAGGAGGCGGCGCCCTGCCCCAGAAGAAGACAGCTCTGTCGAGCCGAGCCTATTTAGTTCGACCCTTTCCCAAGGGGTCGCGTGACTCGAACGGGCTTGAACCACTGAGCCACGGGCCTGAGCTGTTAGAAAGGGTGCTGTTACTTATTATTTTATACTCTGCTTTTTTTGCTGGTTCGAGTCCCCTTTGGCGGTTTTGTGATAGTCTGTGTTTTTTCGGACTTCACGTAAGTCGGAACGAGCTCAACCCGAGCTTGATAGTCCCTGAATTTGAGATCTTTCCCCCCTATTCTCATTATTTAACAGGCAAGTTATGATGAGCGCCAAGGTTGACACACGTAATCATGATGTGGCCAGAATGTTGAGGGAGCTGCAGAATAATATAGTTTTCGTTCTGCTGGTCAAGAGATCGCAGGGTCAATTCTGGGTGTGCAGTATTAAATCGAATTCAATGGCTGCGAATTAAAACATGCGCCTGCCTGCATCTAATCTTCGATCCACTTGATTAGCCATTCCTTCATGATGGCGGACGAAGTGCCTCGCTCTTTCCCGGCATAGATCTTGTGCCCATCACATTAGGCAGTACAAGCTTGGATCAATCTGTAGATTTCTGTGCTTGCACCTGACTTGCAAGTCTGTCATAGGAAATCCAACAGCTTAATTGCCGGGTTAGCCTTCAGCATGCCCTCCAAGCCCACGCTCTCAACTGAATCGTTTCTGCTCACCTTTCCCATATCCCCTCGGACACGATCGACACATTCAGACGAAGAGATGGCGAAGATGGCGACCAGCTTATTATCCGAGCTGGCTTCGATGGCCTCGATTCAAGTCGGTAGCAGCAAATGCCAGGGTCGAGTACGAGGGCTGTAGGGACGGAAAACCTCAACTGATACTCTCGCAGACTCAAATGACGAGCACAAAGCTAGTTCGAGGGGTATTCAGAAACGAGAACCACAGGGACCAGATCGACTTGGTTCAGTCGCTGGCCGATAGAATCGGGTATTGCGCCGAGGTGCATGGAACTATTACATGAGGGAAGGAAATCATTCGGCTGGGGTCCAGAGACGAGTCTTCTTGATCGCGCCAGAAAACGGGCTTGCTAGGAGATAATGAAGAAGATATCCCCAGGACATCGGTACTTCCACTGAAGATGATACGGTATTTAGTAGGGTTATGCTGTGTTCTCTGAGGCCTGCCTATCTGGTCCACCTTGCCTTTGAGAAGCTTGAGGTCAACTATGAGAAGAGAACGCCATTTCATGGAATCATCATGCGGAGGGATGACATGGCTCTTCTGTGGGGTTTGCGCGCTTACCTAGTCAGCGCTCTTCTCACACTGCTGTATGTCGGATGTGCAGCTGTTGATTTCATCAACCACAGAATTTCGCCTTGGATGTTGGACTGAGTGCAATTCAACCTGGGAACTCGCACTAGAAATTCGAGCTTTCTGTTTCAATGGAGGGGCTATCGAAAATTAGGTACTGATATCGTCAAAGGTAGTAGTACTCTCACTTACATTGCCAGCGCTTTATTACCACAAAGGCTTTGAACTTTGCCTCAAGGTCCGCACCATCTCTTAAGGGATTGTCTCTTCGAAGGTGACGACCTAGTCATTCATTGTTGAAACCCGATCTTCTGCACAATTGGCTTTCCATGGCAGACGCTCATGGAGAAGCATCTCCCTAGTCCTCTGTTCAATGGTTCGAAGCGACATCTAGCTCCTTACGCTAGCTAGTTTCGAGGCGTCTATCCCTCTACCGTTAGCATTTTCACGGCTCTGCATCTACCCACTCATCAATGTTGTACATCATTATGTACCTACTACATATTAATAATTTCATGCTACCACTGTATCAGTACCATTCACCTACCACTGATGAATATATTCATATCATAATACTCCTATCTTTGACGAGCTCGATGTTGTGAATTATTGTAACATACTAGCGATTGGCTGAACCAAGGGCTCCAACAATGTACCCTGAGATCATCAGCTGCTTCGTGCATAGAAACTTGTTCCAAGCTTAATTTGCGTATAAAGAAAACCTTTGCATGAGCCAATGATGACGTGTTCCTGAAGTCTGGGCTTTCCTGCTATGCGGTTACCGTCGGCTATTGCCAAGCGGTGGGAAAAGCGATTAGAACTGCCCGAAATGTGACTCGAAATATTCGTACATGCATGAACAATCCTGATTGGATACCTAGGTAGGCCCCGGCTGGCTTACATGCAACACATCCACGTATTCTGACAGGATTCTGCATTCCCTTCGAGTCTTAGCGGCGCGCCCTTCAGGGAGGTGGATCGCGGGTCGTGTGCGATTCATTCTTATAATTGGCCAGAACACGGGGAGGCGTGGGAAGTCTCCGAATTGATAACACACCGAGGACATTACCCCCCCTCACTAACCTCGACCTTCATCAACTCTGACTCACCCTGAGAACTATAAGTAACGGCTACATGAAATTGGGCAATTCCTGGTTTATTTGTCCCTTCATACAGTTTCATTCGATTAGTCTTGCAAGATGACCATCGCTAGTGAGCCTACTCCCTTTGGGAAACCGATGCTGAAGTACTGGGCATTCGACCCATCATACAAAAACCTCAACAATGGTAACCTCCGCAGCAGAATGTAGTCAGAGCTTGCCTTCTGACCGTATCTTCTAGGTTCATTTGGTGCACACCCTTTGCCAGTTCGCGATGTCCATAGAGCTTTCTTGGACCTTGCAGACAAACGCCCCGATACATACATCAGGAAGCTTCACGCCGATTACCTAGAGCAAGCACGCATTGAAGTTGCCGAAGTGATCAACGCTCCCAAAGACGAGTGCGTGTTTGTCAAGAACGCCACCACTGGGGTATATACTGTTCTATACAACCTGAAGTTCCAGGCTGATGAAACCGCCATTTTATTCGACGGTGTGTATGGCGCCGTAGAGAAGGGTGCAGTTTCACTCCAAGAGCACGGCACCCTCAAATACCGAAAAGTGAAATTCACCTACCCCATTGGAGAGGACGAACTCGAAAAACGCTTTCGCGAAGTAGTGCGCAAGGCCCGCGAAGAAGGCCTCAAAGTGAAAGCGGCGGTATTTGACATTATTGTGAGCAACCCAGGACTCCGGTTCCCGTTTGAGCGATTCATTCGAGTCTGTCGTGAGGAGGGGATCTTGAGTGTAATTGATGGAGCCCACGGCATCGGGCATATCAAGTTGGACATGAGCATATTGCAACCCGACTTTTTCGTCTCCAATTGCCATAAGTATGCCCGAACTCTCTCAACTCCCCTCCCCCCCCCATTTCCAGCAAAGCTAATGAGATCCAGATGGCTTTACACACCTCGGAGCTGTGCCGTTCTCTATGTGCCAAAGCGTAATCAGCATCATTTGCGGTCAACGGTCCCAACTTCTTGGGGGTTTATTGCCGGTGATGCCTCGCCAGCAACTGGTGCCTCGGTCCTGAAAGACCCGTCAAGTCCGCAAAAGACACCGTTCGAAGAACTCTTTGAGTTCGTCGCGACCACCGATGACTCTCCCTATGTCTGCGTTCCTGCAGCCCTGAAGTTCCGGCGTGAGGTGTGTGGCGGCGAAGACGCGATTATAGCATATAACGAGAAACTCGCCAACGAGGCCGGTGATGCCGTCGCCAAGATCTTAGCGACAGAAGTTCTTCAAGAGCCTGACTTGAAGCCTGGAGAGGTCAGCAATATGCGTCGATGTGCCATGTCTACCGTGCGCCTGCCTATCGCTGTGGCCGACGGAACGGATCCCGTTCCAGGAGCCATGGCTACGATCTCGGTGGACGAAGCGTCTCGTGCTTTTGCGTTCATACAGCGTACGCTCATGCAAGAGTACGATACTTTTGTTCCGACGTTCCAGCATGGTCCGTGGCTATGGACGCGCTTGAGTGCGCAGACTTGGCTGGAGAAAAGTGACTTTGAGTGGCTGGGAGGCGTTCTGCATGAGCTGTGTGGGCGGATTGCTCGTAAAGAGTACTAATTCATCTGCGGGCTGTCACAAATTCAGTCTGTATACGGAGTAGAGTTTTATCTAATATTTTGATATGATGCTTGCAATCGGATTCATCCAGTCACCCGCATACTCCAAGAGAAAACACATTCTTAACCACGGTCGCCCTCATTAGGTATTAACATGCCTTCTTCATGAGGTAGGGCTAGAACGATGTCATTCTGAAAAATAAGAAAGCAAAGACAAACTTGCATTCTAAGAGTCAACTTTATTGGGGCTTCTCCCGTATCACGCAATCAGTGGCGCGGGCAACTTTAAAATCACATCATATTAGCACGAACCCCCCATAGTTCTGGATGCGGGGATCTCGGTGCCCTTATATACAGGCGCTGTCCCCAAGGTACCTTGACGAACTCCACTTTTATTCTAATCCATCCAATTCAGACATGTCTGTCGCCAAAGAGGTCGAAGCCGCCAACTCCAGATATGCCGCCTCCTTCACCAAAGGAGACCTACCACTCCCCCCGGCACGGTACATACCCTTCCTCTACATATGCATAGATGTTTCTCATTCTAGTGGGATATTCTAATACTCTTTATTGTCTTTAGGAAAGTCGCTATAATAGCTTGTATGGATGCGCGTCTAGGTATGTGCCTCGCAGAACCCCCAGCTTGGCAATAGACGACTGACCTTTACCTAGATACGGCTCGTGCTCTTGGCCTTGAGGAGGGTGACGCCCATGTTATTCGAAATGCCGGAGGGCGTGCCACTGATGCGCTCAGAAGCATTGTCATCTCTCAGCAGCTCCTTGGGACTCGAGAGATCATTATCGTACACCATGTGAGACAGCGTCCGAATCAGAAGGACCGGTTGAGAGGCCCCTGGCTAATTGTGGCACATTTAGACGGACTGTGGCATGCTTACCTTCACGGACGATGCTATTCGTACGAAGGTGCGGACAGATCTACATCAAAATGTCGACCACATCGCATTCTTGCCCTTTGGGGATGTGAAACAGAGTGTCCTGGATGATGTCAAGTTTCTGGCAGATAGCCCTCTCGTCTTAGACGTTCCGATCACCGGGTATATCTATGAGGTTGAAACGGGCAAAATCGTGAAAGTGGAGTAGAACGGGTCATCTGCTATCCGGATAATTTGAGGCTTGAGAATGACACGGTAGCGCCAAGGACTCAATAGTTATCTGAACTGGGTTTTCCTTTGTAAGATCGCGTATCCCCGCGATCTGTCCGTGAGGCATATGCCACGTTCTACCTGATGGGCGCATTCCGGGGATTTATGGACTTTCGGGAGTAACTCAGACCGATTACGCCTTCCAGTGGATTCATGGATCATGTAGAAGGCAAATAATCCATCTGGAGACATGGTCTGTGATGTGACCAAGATAACGAACAATATCAGACAGGATCAAGCCTAGACAGCCTTTTTGGCTACGGATATCGAATATACTTCATCTCAATCACCATTGTGGAATCTAGTGTGGCTATTTACGAGGACAGGTATCACGTTCACTTGTAGAAGCTAAGCTAGAAGCTCTCTCACTCCCATCCTCTCCAGCCTGCTCAATAATCAAAGATATTCGAATGAGCGTATCTTTCGTAAAGTCTGAAATTCCCGGAGCTCCAAGGTTGGGCGGGGCTGGATTATGACTTTCATATCAGAAAGGATCGAGGCAAACGACCCAATGGCGGGGGCGGCTGCGACGCCGGAGCCGCTGCACCTGCGCTTACATCCTTCCCAGACATCCGCTTGAACCTCTAACCATTAGTCATGCCCACTCCATATCGGAGAGCGTGTGGTCATTGTATCAAATCGAAAAGGCGATGTGACCTAGCCGTGCCGCGATGCCACCGCTGCCAAGTCCGATCTCTAGATTGTCAGTACCAACATGCCAACACGTCACACGCGTCCCGTGAAGGATACGTAAACCCCAGCTCGCTCTCCGTGGGTAATGTGTCCAGCCAGCCAGCACACGGCTCCTTGGTGAATCCAGAATCTTCGGGTGAGACTCTTCACATGGCTGTTGATCTTTCGACCGACTTCCCTGTGCCCTTACCCGAACCTACTCTTGAGTGGTGGAATACCACCCCAAGTATCGAATTACCAGCCCCGAATGAGCAACAAGTGGAACTTGAATCCCATAGCACCTATTACGAGAGAAAACTATTGGGTCGAAAGTACCAACAAAGAATCTATTACGCGACACAGCGACTGAAACTCTTTCCTTCCACATTCGCTACATCTGGCCGGACTATCTTCATTCACCCAAGTCTGTATGATGCTCATCTCCCTGAGGTCCTTGGGGACACGATGGCACTGTGTGCTCTTTATGCCACCAAGTCCGACGCGAATCAAGAAATGGTCTACCGCATTATTGGCCAGCGCGCTCATCGCCTAGTCGATGAGTTTGACTGGTTGGCCACCCCACTTGAATATCTAGCCTCGATCCAGGCTCTTGGTTTGATCCAAATCATTCGTCTGTTTGACGGCGACATTAGGCAGCGGGCGGACGGCGAGCGGGCACAGCCTACTTTTATGAATGGCATTCGGGGTTTGCAACATAAGATGCAGGGGATCGAGGATGGCTGGCGGACTGAGCTGATATCTCAACCCGAAGACGCTGATGCATGGGGAAGCTGGTTATACGCTGAAAGTGTCAGACGCACTGTTATATTCGGGCATATACTCGACACGCTCTATTACTTTCTGAGGGATGGATGGCATAACTCGCATGAGGAGTTCTTTCTCTTATCATTCTTTGGACAAAGGTCGTTATGGGCGGCTTCTTCGAAGTTCCACTGGGGGACGACTTTGGAAGAGACAAATGCCTGCCCGCTGCGATTCTATTCTTGGGATAGGAGCATAGCGGCTGTGAGGCCTGAAGACCTGGACGAGTTGGGCATTCTTATGACGGCGTTAATGAAGGGGGTTGACCATTGTCGGGATTGGATAGGGCCGGACATGCTGGAGCAGTTTGGCCTGCAACCTTGATCTTTCACCTCTACTTGGGCTGGCCCTCTAAACTCCACGCTTCAAACCAAAGCCTCCGCCCACCCTTCCATTTCCGGTAAGGCTTCCACTTGGCCTTGGGCGGAAGCTCGTATGTCAACATCAAGACTCCCCCGGGGATTACCAACATGCTTACCAATTAATGGCAGACAAGGAATCATGGATGAGCTAAGAGCTAGTAAAAACATAAAGACGGCGACGAGTGCGAGACCACTCTACCAGGCCCTCACTCTCAGCAAGTCAAGGACTTCATCATGCGCGATATTACTCCAAATGAGACCCCTCAAAACGGTCAAACGATGATTGCCGTTTACGCAACGGGCGGAAATGCAGAGGATCCGTTATCTGTGCTTAAAATCGGCCCTCTCCCTCAGCCTGCTGTACCCGACGGCTGGGCTCGAGTGAAAATGTCAGCGGTAGCACTCAATTTCTTCAATATTTTCGCCTTATCTGGTTACTTCAGCGAGGCCGCCGAATATCCTCGCATTCTTGGATGTGAAGGCACCGGCTACCTCGATGATGGAACGCCGGTGGTCATGTACCCTGTCTTGGGCGACGAGCAGTACTTTGGCGACGAGACGCTCGACCCCAATAAGCATGTCATTTCACAGAAGATAAATGGAGCTTTGGCAGAGTACTTTGTTGTACCCCGACGAAATATCCTGCCCCGCCCGGCCGAGTTGGATGAAGTTGCTGCCGCAGTGCTTGGGGGTTCGTGGTTGACGGCGTACCGCGTCATCTTTACCAAGTCCGGGGTGAAACCCGGCCAGATTATGCTTGTCCAAGGATCATCAGGTGGGCTAGCGACCGCTCTGATTCAGCTTGGTACAGCTGCTGGCATACGGATCTGGGTTACTGGACGAACTGAGGAAAAGCGGAAACTAGGCCTTGAGTTAGGGGCAGAGCGGGCTTTCGTCCCAGGCGAGGCTCTGCCTTCCGAGGTTGCCTCTGTAGTTGATATCTCCGGCGGAGCTACATGGGATCACTCGATCGAATCTGTGAGACCGGGAGGATCGATCATTGCTTGTGGTGCCCATGGTGGTCTCAAAGTCACGATGGACCTTGGTCAGATCCTGGGTAAGCAGATCAGTGTTCACAGTGTCTATTTGGGGACTCTGCAGGAGTTCAAAGACTTGATGCAATTTGTGATCGCCAAGAAGATCGTGCCTAAAGTCGGTCAGATTGTACCCGTCTCGAATGCTTGCGAGGCTTTTCAGGCTATGTGGGAAGGCCGTACAAATGGCAAGTCAGTTGTCACATTTGGATAGCCTACTATTTTTAGTGCGTATTGTCATTTGAGATCCATGAGTTGAGGATAAACACACCCTATGATCGGTTTCTTACGAGTTGTGAGGCTCCTGTATGATGTGCCACAGTATTCAAAATAACGCTGCCATGACCTGTTCACGGGTATCGACTCTTATACCATCAATTGAACAAGGGGCTCGTTAGGACCAATATTTTTCCAGAACAGCTATTTGGGCCATACGCTTGAAGCAAATGATATTTTGGTTGATTCAGACTGGTGATAGTCTAATGCTAAGCGTTCGAGATGCTGATTATGTCCTACGGACTACCCCGGTGTCTACCTAAAGATCCAGGATATTGACGCCGAGTTCGAGCTCAAAATATGAACAACAGAATATATACTAATAACCGAAGGACATACGATCTGGCTCAGAGGTGCTCTTGGGGTACTGCACAACTAAATATTCCAATTCTCGAAATGCTGTTCTACCTTACCAGTCCCGTTCTTGCAGTCCTGTCATCCTTCACTAGTTTCACGCGTGCATAGAACCTTGCCTTGAGTAACACTTCATTCCCTAGTGGATACATCCTGTCTCAAGCCGAATCCCAAGTGCGGTTCACTTCCGTCACTTCTGTCACCAAGCGTTTCCCTTCCGAGACATCCACAGTGGAAATAATCACGGCAGTTTCTTTCTTCTCTTCCCCCGTCTTCCAGTCTTTCATCATGAATCTCAACAGATGGGCAACGGAGCCACCTCCAGCAGGCTGATGCTCGGCGGATGTCACCAGCAACTCCTCCATATTCTCAAGTACTCCCTGGCAGCTTCCACGCACCCTCACTGCAGCTTGCTGATAAGTAGCACGGTCCATCAGAGATCCATTGATGCTATTGTGGGGCCATATACGGTCAGGATACTTCAACACACTTGAAGGCCCGAGGTCCGGAGCCTTTGATTCGGATGAACATACCGAACTTTGAGGTTCTCACTGAAGCCTTGATCCATCGCCTGATTGGCCATCTGATCATCTGATTGGAAAAAGGCAGTCTTGAATAACTGTTCCACCCACTTGCCCAGCGGCTCGGTCGTTTCAGAAGTCATTTTGCGTGAATGTATGTAGGAGTCGAGGCAGTATTGCTAGTGAGCGACAATGTGTGCAATGGCTGGGATATCTCATTCATAGCGTAGAAGGAATCCAGGTTTGGAAATCCGTCTCAATATTGGAATCCAACATGCTCTGTGTTTTATGCCTGTTTGGGTCGCAGGTCCGGGCGTATTGCATTGGCACTCTTGCGGAAGTTCTGCGGAAGCTCTGCTTACTCGTATAAGCTTCCGCTGCGGAGAATAGCGCAACCCACACAAGCTACTAATAGTCGACCTGAATAGATTGACAATTCGGCAACTGGGCTAGGAATTTTCATCTTGTCTTGGTTCGGTGGGGAAAAATAATACAGGGCGTCTTGTATAGAAATTGGTGAACATGAAGAGTAATTACATCCATCGATATCTAAGATAAAATTCTTGGAGCACCTGTTTACTACTCGTAAATGGTATACTTGCTATACAGGCACGATATCAAATGAATAGCTGACATACAACTTCCAAGCTTCTGATGGTGACTGACCTCCAACCGGACACCGGCCATCCTTCAACTATCGCCTAAGTATAGTAGGGGTATACATGGGTCAAGGGACCTACAACACTCTCAGTCCTTTCTCGTCTTTGCTGTCTTCCTATTCTTCCTGGTCCTTCGGATCTTTCCATTATTCTAACCCATTCGTTTCCTTCTATTCTGTACGGTCCCCAGGGCCATTCATCTCCGTCGGACCTGTTAATCCTTTCAACTCCTTCAGGCTCTACTCTTGCACGCCCGAGTCCCTGCAGCAACGTAGGGATCTCATGGCTTTCAAGCTCAGCACTGGTACTGCTCGTAGTACTAGTCGTAGCCTCCAGTGGCCTAATACTGGGCACGAATCGACTGATATCGAAGACTTGAGGATACGATAGAACGACAAGCATATAGAGGAAGGAAGTCGCTAAACAGGTCCAGAAAAGGTTCATTACGAAATGCCACCATCTGAGCCGTGCATGAACATGAAGGAAAAATATTGGACCGTACGGATTGAACAGACTGTACAACAGAGAGCCTACTAAGGACATCCCACTGGTAAAGGCGATCATGATAATGACGACCCAGGGTGCCGAGACTGACTCGTTCATGAACACGGTTCGATAGGCGGCACATGCCCGCCGTACGACTGAGTAGGACAGGTGGAATGCCGCCTTGGTATGACCGCACAGCCATTTGCAGGGGGCAATGAGTAGAAGTTCGATGATGAATATCGGGGAGAAGATGACGATCAATGGGAAGAGTGCAATTCTTAGGCAACATTTTAAGGGATTGCACGGGTCCTTAAATGTCAATATTAGTAGCATTGCCACCAGTGCGAAAGGAGGGAAGAGGCCTATCAAAATCCCTAAAATTGGAGATAACAGGGCGAGCAGGAACCAGCACGGAATCATGTTAACGAATAGAACATCGGATGGTACCTGAGAGAGACCTTCTTCGAGAGGTAATGGGAAAAGACCGATTGAGGGGTGGGACAATTTCATAAAGGGAAGTCCAGTCAAATCTATAGTCCGGACCCCACTGATCAATGAATGAAGAGTCTTCGGGCTCGTTAACTGACACCTTGATCAGGAATCTAGATGGACAGAGTGCCACGGTTTATTTATACCTCTCCGGGAATGGGTCCCACGGTCATCAACCGAGCACAAAGACATCATGACAAATCCATTGTGCGAGCTGTGCAACTTGAGAAAAGACTCACTTCATGGAGCAGTTGCTCTCCGGCCAGCCTTTGAGGGAAAAGCAAGGGAGTGGCATAAATCAAGTGGGCAACGGCAACCAGGGAGTAGGAAGAAGGGACCTTTGTCATTTGGCTCGCAGCATATTCAATATGAATGGAACGCTGAAAGACCTAAAACAGTGTCATTATTTACTTCGCCCTCTGAGGACAGATGTCTCCTATGCCACGGTAATTGTACATTCGACAGTCTCAAAATTCTATTTGAAAGGACTAGCACGCTTCAATACATATTCGGGTCATAGTTGAGGAGCCCACAAATCTCAATTTATGTACAAGGCAGAAGATAAAACATGGAAAGCCAGCCATGACATTCGCGCCACTCTTGAAAATTTCCAAATGGCGAGAAAACAGAAGAGAAGGGGTATGGGTCACATAATATCATCCTTTATCATCAGTTATGGGAAAGAACCAGGCAGAAAAGAGAAAAAAAAAAATTGCCCCGCTAATCGCATTATCGTAACAACTTGTCGAAACTGAGCCCTAGGTGGTGCTGCCCCCGAAGCGACTCCACACCCAGCCCGTGATACCTCCTCGGCCGCCGTCCCGGCTACTTCGACTGGATCGACTGGATCGACTGGAGCGTCTGGTATCAGGGTTGTGCTGATCCGCTGTGGTAGGGACTGGGCTGGTCTGCGAGCCTGAAGAACGACGACTTTGTGACGTAAGCTGGGAGCTGCGACGCCTTCCGGCTCCTTGTTGTACTCCGGGACGATCAGTAGTCATGGTCGGGCCATCGTTGGTTCCGTCGCCTGAACTAGAAGACAATCATAATGTTAGTTGATAGAGTTGCTACATAGTAAGTCGCGGAGGTATTCAGAAGGCAGGTGCGAAGCTTGGCGAGTATGGACAGGCATGGAGAGCATGTTCTTATGTATAAACATTGGACTTACGCTGGCACAGAGTCAATGCTTCGGCGACAGTGCGGGCATGTATTGTGTTGGCTCAACCACGCTTCGATGCAGCTGTAATGGAACCAGTGTGTACAGGGCAACACGGTCACTTCAGTGCCCAGCTCGACTGCGTCCATGCATATAGAGCATTCCACAGTCCCATCAGGACCGAGCATTTCGTTATCGACCTTTTTCTTGGGAAGGTTCTGAATATCACTCGCAGATGCTGGGGGTGGCGCCGTGCTGTTTCCATTATGGTCAACGAGTTGAGAAATGACCCGGTCAAGCTGTTCTTGAGAATAGACAGCATCCCCATGAGGTTCCATGGCCAACAAAGCGGAAAGCATCGCGAAGGGGTTCGGGCCTGCAACACCGCGTGCACCGTGCCGGCCCCGGCGCGGTGGTGGGTATTGGCTTGCTCCGGAATAGCGGAACATTTCCATCAAGCTTTGTATATGTGTTAGCTACTCTACGCAAAGCACAGTACCTCTGGCACCGAGAAACCTTCAACGACTCACTCAGCAAGGCTTTGTGGCGGGGAGTTTCGAGCGAACGGTCCACCAAACGCCCGTTGATGAGGGCTAGTGTTGTGCATATCGTCATACATATCCAAGTGGTCATGTTCCGGCCATGCTGGCGAATGCGAATTGAAGGGATCCATTTCAGCAGCGCCTCGTTGACCAGGTTGCTCATTGGGATCAGCTAGATGGCGGAACATTGCATCTATGCCTTGGAGCATCATGGGAACCATGGGGTTCGCCTGGCCGCCTCCGTCTCGACCTGAGAGCCCCCCACTGACATGGGTGCTGCTGAATGTGAACCGGCCATTCGGGGACCGATATGTACGGTGGGAGTAGTACGGGGAACTGTGAAGGCATGAAGTGTTACTACTGAAGAACATGGGGGGGGAGAATGGCCAGGCTCTGTCAGGCGTGGCTCGAACAAAACATATCCTGAGCGGGCAGAGGCATGGAAATATTGAGAAGAACTGGTGATGGGAAGGTACCTTGGAGAGCTGGAAGATCCTGGAGTGCGGGGAGCACCAGGTTGCGTGGAATCGGATCCGAATGGATGTGCGCGGTCATCACCTTGTGAATGGCGTTGAAAAGAGTCCTGAGAGGTTTGAGCTCGTTCCTGGGCCTCTTGTTGGCTCCATGGATTGTGATCTGCCCACACCTGGGGGGAGGTGATTCGGGGCTCGGAGGATTGGCTGTCGGGAGGGATCTCGACCTGCAATGAGAGCAATAGGTATTAGTTTCAGATTGCTCTGAGAAGTCATGGTACGCGTACGATCTCCGTGAAGTCCGACGAGCAATGCGGACAGCTGAGGTCGTCATTATTTTCTTTCAACCAAACTCCGCCACAGGCGTGACAGAAGACGCGATCGCCGCCCAGGTCCGCCATGGCTGGAGTCAAGATATCGAAGCGCAAAGGAGCGACGCGATGGAAGAGAAGGGGGGTGGGATCAGTTGATCTTTTTACGGTGGAATATCAAATCGCCGAGCTGGAGCCTCGCGCGGAGCAGTCACGAGTCATCTTATCAGCGCGCGGGGCAGATAGCAAGGTTGGGGAGGCAGAAAGAAAGCTAGAACCCAGAAGACTAAAAGAAGGCGACAAAGAGTGGATGACGTGGGGCCGACTAGCAGCCTTAAAGTCCCTAAGGTGCCACTACGTCGCTACATTCTGAACCGGCGTGGTTCAATCACTGCCACCCCCGTTGACGGGCAACCCTATCATAGTTGTAAAAATAGCAACCTGTGCATCAGGCAGCCCTATTTACTGTGTCGGAGGTTTGTGATGCAAGTGGCAAGGAGACCGAAGAATCTAGAAAAATACCAGTTCAGAATCCATGTGTCATGTATCGCCATTGTGAATCATATACAGGAAGAGGGCTTGAAGCTTCGTAGCGCAGAACAAATCGGCGGAAATAGACGAGAGATAGTGAGAGAATCGCCAGGGCCGAAGTCACGTCGGGTCAAAAGAGGAAATAGAAGTCAAAACGCCATGGAAATGCTCGCGAGAAATCAAACTCCCTGATCGTCGCATATACAAAGTTGACGCAAGGAGAAGTCCGTCTCCGGGTGTGCTACAGAGCCCTTGCAGCATCATCATAACGCTCACCGTCTTCTAGCTCCCTTGAGAATCAGGCTGCCCACTACTCCTGCGGCTACAGCCAAGCCTCCGAACGATCGCAATGCCCATCAATCCTTCCTTAGCCACCTTGTCATCAATTAGCGATCCTAGACTAGCCGCCTGCAGATTGGCAGGCTCCTTCTCGAGAAGCAAATCGTTGTAGCGACGGGCTTCACCATAGTTCCCCAGCTTGTAATTTCCTAATGCAAGATAATAAAGGCATTCACGGCGGCGTTCGGGCGCGCTACGAAAGATCTCGGATAGAAGACGGACACCCTCTTGCTGGTCGGTTCGAATGTTCGATTTAATCAAGCCCTATAGGAGACAGAAGACCCCACGCACAGGCGAGGATATCTGGTCAGCACAAGTGCCGAGGCCGGTGTCATTGTCAGAGCACATACCCAAGCGTAGTTGAACTTGGTCTGGATGCCCACGTAGTCGCCTTCTTTCTCGTATTGGGAACGCAGGACCTGCAGCTCGGCTGGCTTCAGCGGACTATACTCGAAACAAAGGCAAGTCAGTTCGCATCTCTCAGGAGATAAGCTTCCCTCGGTTAAAGCTGGTAGGCAACGAACCTTTCCGCATCTGCGGCATCTGTAACGGCGCTCAAATGTCAGCGAGGTGCGATCCATAGGCAGCAGGCATGACTTACATGGTAGATTAGACATGTCTGAAAAATGCTCAAGTGGGTTTAGCAGGTGGTGCAGGAGAAGGGAAACTCGCGGAGACAAAACGAGAATCAATCACAGGCAAACGTCACTTGCGGAACCAACATGTGGCGGTGCGCCCGGAAGTGGCGTCTGCTGCCGCGACAACCAAAACCCCCTAAACATCCAAGGTCCTGCATCATTCAGCAACCACTCACCATGTTACTCGATGAGGATCCCGGGACTGTAAGTCTGCTATGTCTAATACTCTGCGATTTATTGCCTCGGTCGGTTCTTTCTAACCCTCAGCACAGTTGATCCACCATACCATTGGCAACTTCAACATCCAGCCCGATAAACAAGCCGTCACGCGCATCAATGACTCGCTCTCCACTCTCCAACAATCGCGTGATCTACGCATCCGAGAAGCAGAATCTTCTCTCCGAAAGCTCTCCCGTCACTTGCACTTTGTGAGCACGCAGTATGAAGAGGCTGTTGCAGTCCACGACTCTGGCAAGCATGCGGCAGAGATGGTTGAGCTCGACACCAAGAAGTTTCGTATCGCGAAGGCGGCTTCCGAGCTCGAAATCGAGAACGAGAGACTCGAAAACGAACTCGAAATGCTCAAGGAGCGCTTAGCCGACCTTGAAGCGCAAGGCCTCGAGGGCGACGAGGCCACCCGCCGTGAGCGCGAAATGGACGACGCCACTATGTGAGTCACTAACGAGTATTTGTCTTGTCCACGTGCGTTATCAACTAACAAACTCTTCTAGTTTGCGCTTGAAAATCTTCCGCTCGTTGGGCATTGACATTGAGCCAGACGATGCAGGCAACTTTAACCGTGCTGTCATCCGAAACAGTCGCAAGGGCGACGTACATGTCGTCAATATCGATCCGAAGTTCTCACGCTTCTTTTATGCTAACTACTTCTGGTCGACTATACAAGGCTAGCGATGGACGAATGGCATGCGGGGCGTTCTCAGTGGTTGGTCTTTACTCTGGAGTTGTTATTATACGCTTGGAGCCTTTCTATTCAATAACGATTTAATGTACACCGGTGACTACTAAATCACTTTCCTGGAGTAGAAGCCCCACCTTTATAATACACCAAGGTCATAGCGAGGACCTCTCTTGTAGCACCTGCCGGACTCTCGATCGGTCTTCCTCAGAAACTATCCCATCAACCTCAAGCCCAGGGATCCCGTCAGGGAATACCTTCTCAACGGCATCGAGAAGCACATCATTCTCAATACCCCGGAACTCCTGCCCCAAAGCATCAACCCATCGCTCCTCAGCGCCTCTCAGTTCCTGCTCAACCTCATCCATCCCAGGAACATCACTTCCGTCCCAAGTAAACACCACTTCTTTCAGCACACCATCCCCGCGATCGCATATCTCGTCTCAACTGCTAGCGGCCCAAGCCCCAGCTCCTCAGCCCGCGCGTTCCAGAGCGCCTGCCTTAAAGCCCCATCCCGCTCAACCATCATCCAGAACAGTGGAAACGAGCTCCGAGCCAGCGCATCACGCACGCCCTTCGTTGCTTCGCGCGGGCTCACCAGTACACCAACCGTCTGCCCCGTGCGCCAGCCCACCGGCGGCTGCCGGAGAGCGCCTTCCAGCTCACGGACTAGATTCGGGCCCAGTTTGGTCCTCAGGGCCTTGCACTGCACAAGGACGCGTAGCGCTCTTCTCCCCGTTCGCTCGGGCAGGTGCCAGGTTCCGAGGAGATCTATGCCCGCGTCGTCGCGGCCGCCGATGCGGTCGAGCGCAAGGCCTGCTCGACGAAGTCTTTCTTGCACGGTGTATTCGTAGTGCGTGCCTATGTAGACGGTGCTGGATTTTGGGAGCCCGATACGCGAGGCGTACGAGAGGAAGGTGGAGAGGCTTGTGTAGTCTTGGGATGGAGCAGAGGGGGGGTTGGGAGTTGAAAGAGTCGCCTTGTGAAGGGTGAGATTTTGCTATGTTCCCTTCTGGTATCGGAGAATGGGCGATGAGGGACTAGAGATGGCGCATGCTGCGGAGATGAAATGCGGCTTTTGGCAATGCCAATAGATGGTGAGGGCACCATCCATGATAAGGTCGTTATTGGGTTCGACGATAGGGAAACATTTCTGCTGGATATATGTCGGGGCCAAGAATGGAGGAGCCGCCGAGGGTGCATTTGTTTCTGCGTCCAAAGTGAGAAGAACCCAAAGTTGGAGTAACGCGGAGCGGGTCTCACCGCAGGAGAGCTTGTCTCTCCGCATTTTCCACCTTCACTGTCTTCACCGGCAGATCCTCTTGTGACGGAGCCTCTCGTCCACTTCGATTAGTTTCCTCTCTACTTTCGAGGACAGGCTAGTCGCCATCATGGCGGATATCTTAACGCAACTGCAAACATGCCTTGACCAGGTCCGTTCCCCGGCTAAACCGCATCCTCGACTAGTTCATATACCGTCGAACACATAACCGCAAGAACAAAGAGCTAACATAATCATCCAGTTCGCAACCCAATTCTACGCTACACTAGGCTACCTCACAACCTACCATGACAATTCCCCCGCCATTCCCCCCTCACATGTCCCTGATGCCGCACCCGCCCTAGCTAGAATATCCAAGAACACCACCACCCCACCAATCCCCGCGTCGCTTGCCGGAACTGCCGAGGGGAGCGCTGCGGCAGGCCAAGCATCTCCTCCGCCACCGGCCCAACAGACTGTTGCCGACGGGGAGGAGGAAGCGGACCCCAGCCTCCCACCGCGTCCCGACTCGCCGCGCACATTCTCGCGACGGCAGCGTGAGTTGGCGCGCGATCTCATTATCAAGGAGAAGCAGATCGAGCACCTGATCTCTGTCTTACCCGGAATTGGGGCCTCAGAGGCAGAGCAGGAGGCGAGGATTCGGGAGCTGGAGGTGCAATTGCGGCAGGTTGAAACGGAGAGGGAGGGAAAGGTGAAAGAGCTGGCGGCTCTTCGGGGCCGATTGGAGAAGGTGCTTGGTGCTGTTTCGGTTGGGATTCATGGGGATCGTCATTGAAGTGGTTCTGTCTGGGTTACCGGCGTACATTGGGAAGCGTATGGCTTGGTGATGTTATTTCCGAGGGTAGATACCTACCTCTGCTTTTTCTGCTTGTGATTATATTGCCGGAGGGTGTTCCATTTTGCTACTTTGCTATTTCGATACCAATGCATAGAATATAGAGAAATTACGGATCCACGAGGGCTTTTGTTCCCTCTGATCATCTTCCTGGTGACTCGAGAATGCTTTAGGCTCAACCTCACCTACTGCCAATGCCTCTTATCATACAGTCATCTACTAGAAGCTCACCTATCTGGAGATAAACCATCTAGGCCAATTGTATCGTATAGTACGAGACTAATCCATCTCGAAGCTAGGATTGAAAAAGGAAGCAGTGAGACTGTCATTTCTAATGTCCCAGACGCATCTATCAACACCCATCGGGCATTGCCACGAAATATGGAAAGAACAAAGCGAAATCATGCGGTGTATAGAGTAGAAGAAGAGATGTAAACAGAGCGCCAGGAAACCGTCCACCATACCGGGTATCAAACGGAATGAAAAAATGAATATGAATGTCAAAAGCACAGTAAAGTCAAGCCCCCCAGGGCCATATTTTAAAACGAATTTTTTGCAAGACCGTGCAAAGTCGAAAGACACACAGTCAGCCCAGGAGTGGGTGTTCATTTGAAGAGGCTGCGGTATTCCTGCATCCTCTGCTCCTGAACCTCCTGTTTGTCCATTTTCCCTCGGTTCATGCTCATGTCAGCAAGTTGCTGTTTCCTCTTGGCAAGCTCGAGAATTTTTTCTTCAATGCTGCGCTTCATCACAAATTGAATGGTGCGGACTGGGCGTTTCTGTCCAAGACGGTGCACCCGATCAACAGCTTGAGCTACCGCAGCTGGATTGTATTGTGGCTCCATAATAAAAACTTGCGATGCAGAGGTCAAATTCAAACCAACGCCCCCAGCGCCGATGGTTGCAAGTAATATGGTCACAGAGTCATCTTGGGCGAACTTTTCCAGCGCCTTGGCACGTGATGCAAGTGACATAGTGCCGTCCAGGCGGGTAAACGATCGCAGATTGTTGTTGCGAAGGGCAATTTCAATTAAATCTAAGTGTGACGTCCAGGCGGAGAAGATGACGCTTTTGATAGGCGGTTCACCCGCCTCGACCAGTGGCTGGCTTTCTTCTGCAGTGGCCAGCAAGTAGTTGATCAAGGCCGTGGTTTTGGTGTGGGGGCCTTCATAGTCACCGAATTTTTTGATGTGCTTGCGGTTCTGCTGCTGGTCGGAAATGAAGGTATCAAGTCCACTAGGTGTGATGATGGAAAAAGTCATTGTGATCCACCCTTCGCATGCAGGGCACTGAACTTCGGACGTGTTGTTGATGGAGTTAGCGGGGGTATTCCAGCCTGAGAAACACTCTGGGCACAGAATGTCATAGCATGGCAAAAAAATTGCCATGGGAGCATTGCCATCCACCTCCCCAGATGCAGTCATCGGCTCCTGCAAAACCTTAGAGCATTTGGAACAGATGTCACCTGAGGAGTCCTGCATGAGCAGAAACATGGAATATGCCTTTCTATCAATCGCAGCTGTGGTCTCCTCAGTTCCATTCTCATCCAAGTCAATTGCATCTTGAGCAGAAAGTCCTTTGATTCTCTCACGCTCCTCAATATCGAGAAGCTCTTTCCCATGGGCACTGACCTGGCGCAGTATCATCATAGCCTTCAAAACATGATGGTACATACGCCCGCCCATCTTCTTCCCATTCTCGCCTGCAATGACCTGCATCAAGGAGTTGGATTCACCACGGAAGAACTCGTGTAGCTGGTACTCCTTAGGAGTGAACTCGAGGGTCACGATCTGGTCATCACGAGGTGGAAGATCGATCTTATCTTTAACCCGGCGAAGGGTGAAGGAGTCCACAAGAACTCGAAGACTTGCAAGGACCGAAGCATCGCCAGATTTGAAACGACTCAAGATGTACTGGGCAAAATGGCTTCGTTCGTTGTAAGGAAAAAGCCTCAAGAATTTGGTTACCGATATGAGATCTTCCAGGCGATTTTGAACGGGTGTTCCAGTGACCGACCACCGACGCTGCGCATGGAGACTAAGAACCGCCTTGGTTTGCTGGGCATTTTGCTCGCGAATGGCATGTGCTTCATCCAGAACAATGCGAAACAGATTCATCTTAGTCAAGGGACTCGGGCCACGTTTAGTGCCACGACCAGATACTTCACTGAGAATCGTGCTGTATGTTGTGATAACAATGTCATAACTGGCCAGAACATCCCTGTCTTGGGTACGTGAAGCACCGTGGAAGACATAGAAGCTGGTAACTCCAGGATCAAGATGCTCCTTGATTTGCCCAACCCAGTTACTAACTGTGCTGAGCGGCACAATGAGTAAAGTTGTTTTAGCGTTCTTGATGCCGGGAACCCTGCGGATCAACCCACTGGGGGGCGGGGATTTGACCCACTCAGCGGCCTGGTCTAGAGAAGATACGATGAGAGACAAGATACTCAGTGTTTTCCCAAGGCCCATCATATCGGCGAGTAAGCCCCCATATACTTGTGGAGGCTCCTGGTCCATGACCATTCCAGTGATGATCTCCTTGTATTGCTTTCGTCCACTTTTGTCGTGTGCAATGCGCCACAGAGAGTTGTTCTCAGCCTCTGTGGGGCCGAACTTACGAGGCTTCTCTTTCTCGGTCATAAACCAGAGGGCCTGCTTTTGATGGGGAAGCAGAGGCGTCTTCACAGACACCGGAGGCTCCATAGCTGGAAACTCAGCACTGACGAGCTGATTGAGCATTTTGGTGACAGAGTCAGTAATCTCTTCTGCAGTCCGAGCCTCATATCTCGGAGCCGGTCTCTCTCTTCCATTGTTACGAGCTGCTACCTCTGCTGCGATGATAGCTTTGCGTTTCTCTGCATGTGGGTTGAAAACAGGAACGCCTGATTCTACCAGCGGAGGTGTACCCAGCCACACGTTGAATTGGCCTAAGAACTTTCCAAGAGACTCTGCATGTTTTCGAAGTCCGTAAACCGTGAGGGAGACCCGATAGAGAGCCGAAATTGGCCGCCCTGGAATCTCGTCTGCGGTCTTTCGCCGCATGTCCAAGCGTGCCACGACATCAAATGGAATGCAGGGCTCATCAAGCCATGGACAAAGCGCTCGAGCAGTTTTTGTATCCACGGCACCGAAGACTGTATTGTGAGGGTCGAGCACGTCAATGCGAATGTCATTTTTCTTGGGCTGGCGGTACAGCGACACCTTCATTGGAGACCATTGATCTGGAAAGATTTCGGTGGCATGAAGGCTTGGACGAGGCACTAGGAAAGCATTGACCGTGGCATTCTCAATTTTCCCAAAGCAGACACGCTGGTTGCTGAGGTCATTGGATCCCGTAACTTGTATGTCGTCGTCTTCGTCTTCTGGTACAGTTGTCCTTTCAGCGGTCAGGTCCACTACAGAAGAGCCTACCGAAGGAGCTGTTTGACCATCTTTCATGAACTTCCCGATTTCACTGGCACCCGAAATGACCACCGGTTGATCTGCAGGCACGGGCTTCGACTTTTCCTCTTCTTGGACCTTGATTTTCTTGGCCGGGTTCTGGGAACGTTGCTCGACGCCATACATGTCCTCGATCAGGTTTCGGGGTCGGCCATTATCTTCACCATCGCTCAGTTCATGGTGGCTGCGCTTGGCGTCGCTTTCGCTGTCGTCTTCTCGTAACGGAACAAAACGGACGGCCAAGTTGTGTTCGGGTTTCGGTATGCTGTTGAGCGCGGGACTCGATGTTTTTGACGAACTTGAGTTGGAGCTTGGTGCATTGGGCACATTTTTGCGGGGTACAACGATCGAGGTTGTTCCTTGGGGTGCGATGGGAGGGGCGGGAGAACTATTGTGGCTCGGCTGTCCTGTTCGAGGTGTAAGCGAACTGGACGTGTCTTTGTTTTCCGGGTCCATAGGTTCCCCAGTCTTGGAAAGTGAGAGATCTTGATCGATATCCATGGCCAAGTTGATCTGGGTTCCTTGGGAGTCTTGCATGATTGGAGGTGAGGGACTGAGAGAAAGGGTGTCAATACCGGACTTCTGTCGCTTCTTGAAGGATTTTGGGTCCAGCAACATGGCCGGGTTGGAGGCCATGGTGGCCTCGTTTTGTCTGAGCAAGTCTTCAGGTCTGGAATCGCTCTGGTCGGGGATGTGGAGAACAGGTTTGAGTGGAAGGTGTGGGGAGGGGAATGCATCAGAAGGATGCGCGCGCAGGTGACCAGAAACACCCTCGGACGACCGATAAGAAAACCCGGGGTGCAAGCCACCCAGGCACGCCCCTCAACTTGGGAAGTAAAGTGCGCGTTCCACCGTGTCCTGGAGATAATGAATAAGACAAGAACGGGAAGATGAGAGTTTGCAAGTCAAACATGACCTCACTTGAAGAGTCCGGAGGATCCCGCCCGATAAGATATGATTATCCTTATCGCTATCTCGATCAGAGCCGCAGGCTGCATGCGCCTCGAGGCTTTGCTGTTCGCCTCGGTCGTCCTATAATTGGCGGTCTGCCTGGCATTTCTTTCCTCTCGGTTATAAGGGGACTCAGAACAAATATTTTCACACATTGAATTGATATCTATATCATTTTTGTTGTAGTTCCTGTTCTCGAGAGAACGATCTACGTCGCAATGCATCCGCAGCGTATATGTCCGCCCAGTATACACGCCAAGAATTTCCTAAGCGCTTGGCATTCAGTATGGTGCTTGTACAAGTACTAGAATCATGAAAAGAAAATATGGACGATGGTATCATGGAATTAGGTCTCGTCAAATATACTACATCAGGCGCTCAATCAATACGCCACAACCCAGCCCAAAAAACAACCAGAGACGGTCTATGTACAGCACGAGTTCCCCGATCATGAGTAGCGTATAAGATAGATTGCTTCAGGGGGACGGCAAATGCAACATTTCCGCAAAGAAAAAAGAAGAGCCATGAGCGAAATGATCTGTTTAGAAACAGAGAAGAAAGACCCCAGCCAGAAATGCTGAACCGTGCACAGCTCTTGGGAGGGATCGCTAAAGGGGGGGCAAGTGCGGAATAAAACATGTGAGAATGCAACGGCGTGATAGAGATGAGTATGGGGGAAAAATCAAGAAATGATAAAGGGAATCAAAAAGGGCAAGCGAAGAGGACCCATATAGGTGATCAGCACCAGGTGAAGACTGGGTTCTTGCTCTTAACAGCTTCCAAACGCTCAACAATGACTTTGCGCTGGTTGCCTTCCATACCTTCGGCGGCAGCATAGCCGAGATCTCCTTCAAGATCATCGCTGCCGAATGTGTTGACATGGGAGGACGGAAAGAGACCGAGCCACCTTGCTTGCGGTGTTTATTTGGTCGTGAGGAAAGCTCGGGCCATCCATCCAGAGAGCGAGCATAGGTTCCATCCATGTTTCGACGCTGGTAGTCACCATTGTTGGTAGTTTCCGGACTACCGAAAGAGTCAGTAGCTCGTCCATTGGCACGTCCACGCGATAGCTCGAACCGGTTCGGATTAGGAAGGTCGTTTGAACTGCCAAGACCAAGAAGATCGTGCTCGAGTGCAGTGCTCGAGTTTGCGGCACTGATGTCCATTTCGTCTTCTTCATTGTTGTCATAATTCGTGCTTTGCTGCCGTTTTTGCATTTCGGTGGGTACCTGCATTGGAATCGCAATAGGTACATCGACCAGGTCATCCCAGACACAGACACGGGTTCTGCGGGTAAGTTCAAGAGGCCCATGATCTGGGTGCTTCAAGGTCTCGACCACATTCCAAGCCTGACCTTTCATGACTGCAATCTGACGAGCAAACATGCTCTCCTTGAAGTCATCATCTTGTGAGAAGATCTTTCGCAGCGCCATCTGGGTCCCGCTCCACCAGGCAGTTGACGTGAGTAGGGGAAGAAAGTGATCGCGGGTCTTTTGGGAGAACGGCTGTCCGATCAGAGACACTGGAAGGAAAAGCCAGCCGAATGGAAAGCTCCGCCACTGCTTCGAGTCAGATTATAGATTAGGGGTGATAATAGAGGATTAGGAAACCTACGGCATCCGGATGCTTCCAGGGCCAGGACAAGCTGTTGTCGATGGCGCCTACTTGGACTGTGGCCTGTTGTTCGGAGGAAGCCAGGGGAGTACCTGTACGGCTAATAGCCACCATGGGATCGTGGCGCTTGTAGGGAGCCGAAGCATTTGTGCCGTTAGAGTTGACAGATACGGGGCGCGGAGGAGGCATGAGTTCGTCTTCATTATGTTGAAGTTGCGGTTCGTTGGACTTCGGAGGGTCTGCCACAATTGATACCTGCTCATTCCCCCAGTCAATTTTGACCATCCAGTTGTCCAATCCACGATCCGTGTTGCGCATGATATAGTCCAAGATGACCAGTTTCTCCAGCTCTTCGCGGAATGATTGTTTCAAATTCTCTGTCCAGTTGAATCGGCGTTCATTACTTTGTTCTCGCGAATTGGGTGAGGGCATTTGAATATTGTCCTCTTCATCCTCATCGTCGGACTGCATCCCCAATGGGCGGCATGCCTCATTCCATGGCCGCTTCTTGCGTTTCGGGGCGTCTGTCGCACGAAATCCAGTGTTCGTATGGTCAGGCCATGGGTGCTCGCGGAGGAAAATGTTGGCGTCTTTGTATCCTTTCAAGAAGACCTGAAAACTTCCAGGTTTCGCGGGTAGCGATTTTTTGCCCTTCCATGCGCCGCGCCGTTGCCAGAAGTCGTAGAAAAATGATTTTGAAGAAAGATAAACAACGTCGGTGTAAGGGACCAGGTTGGTACGGAGGCGGGCGTCAAGAACATATGCGGCAGCTTCGGAGACGTAGGAGAGGTTAGGAATCAGGCACGCGCGTCCGAAACAGCAGGGGAACAGATTCCGGTGAATCCATTTAGTCCATTTGGGATTCCGAGAGGCATAAGGTTCTTCATCTTTAGGCTTGAAGACACCCACGACTTTGCCAGCGGGATTCCGAGCAAAATAACTTCCAGAACTACCTTGAGAGATCATCTTCGGGTGCACATCCATCTCAATAGCCACACGAACGCTTTCGACGATCTCTTCAAACTCAGCCCGGGCTCTGCGCTGATCTCCCTCAAACTCGTCAGACTCTAAAGCCTCTGCAGAGATCGGGCGCACCCCGTCGGGCGCCTGGAAGACCGAGTGGTAAATCTCAAGCTTCTCTTCCTCATAAGTCTTGCCTTTAACCCTATTGATCTTGAACTTTGCGGCGATCTCATCGGCCCACCGTTCCAAGCGCGCGTTGATAGCTTTAATATCCACGCCGGAGTTTCGACGACCTCGTCGTTGGTATCCACTGTTTCGACGTCGATGACCTGGGGGCGAGGTGAGACCGGACGCCTGCGTCTGGGTTCGAGAAATGGGAGCATAGCGAGGTGCTGAAGTAGACACGGTCGAGGCAGGTGCGCCCAATTCATCATCATCGGAGTCGTCGTGGAGGTAGCCACGGTCTTCCTCTTCTTGAGCAAGCCGTGCGTACCCTGACGTGGCAGGGCGATTTTTAGGCATTCTGGAGGAAGCAGGCTATCAAAGTGAAGAAACAAAATGGTGGCAACAAAAAAAAAAGAAAGACGCGAAAAGAAGGATCAATCCATTAGGGAAAGTGAATAATCTGTAGGAGGGTCGGCAGTTTGAAGGCGTAGGAAACCGTCAATTGATTATTTGGCTAGATTGTTACGGCTTTAAGCAGGGGGCGACAGTGACGGTCATCTTACACGCCGGGAACGGCTGGAACGCCCAGACGAACCATCCATTGCCACAAATGGCAGTGCACAACTTTGGACTACCGGTAATACCGTTACCGGCCCACAAGCCCCCTGACGCCCTTAAAAGGGGCTTCCTCACAAGGTTTGGATAAGAGCCCATCGCGGTAGCTGCTGTGCGGAAATGAATGGCCTGCCAAGACCCACATGGTTCAATTGGCCACTTGTACTATACGAGTGATACTTTTTGCGCTGCCTCTGGCCTGTCCATGCAACATGTGCCGTTCTGGAACTTGAACGTATCACCCATACCAACTAAGCCACGTCTTCATCACATGATGAAATAAATTACTTGCCAATTTACCTATAGTGGCTCTATTGGCTTCAAGCTCTCAGCATAAGAGCTCCATGGCTATTCGCACTAATTATTACCTCCAGTTGGGTCTGTCAGTTTATAATTTTATCTTGTTGCAAACTTAGAGTGGGCATGAGCACTAAGTGTGGGGAATATCCCTTAACATAATACTTGTACTGAAAAGGTTAAGCCTGTGAACCATACACAGAAATGTCAGGTAGGTAGTAGGGCATTTCAAGAACTGACGAGATGTTCATGCAGTGGTATTGCAGTACTAGCAATGCTTTCATACACTCATAATAACCCAAGTACTTCCCAGCTATTATCATGAAACCAAGCTTAACGGTAGAGATCAGAAATGGGGACTCCAAGATGTCCACTGCGCAGGCAATATCGAGAATTATTTTGATAGGGACGGGCTATCAGACTAAGCTGACAATGATCAATCAAAGCCCCCTCTTGCATGTACCTTAAAGGTTGCTTTCCCTCTTTAACTTATGTTACGGTGTACCTCGAGTTTCCCCTATTTCACATGAATAGATGAGTTTCTATAGACCATCAACTTTTTTCAAGTTGTCCCCAAAATGGAAATGGAAATGTCTTCGAATCCGAGTCTTGAATAGTCTAATTTATGTCTATTTGATACACAGGCTGTGTCGCAGCTGGGTTATCTAGTCTCAGTACCTGCAGGCTATCTCTCTTTGCCTGTGCTCGCGTAACCCTCGCTTTGGTTCAATCCAAGTCAATTTAAAGCCCACTAACAATCGTCGATCATAACTTACTACTTAGAAGGTCTTTCTGAGGGCGAAAAGTAGAGGGGGATAAGTAGAAAACCGGTTATTACGCACATACCAAGCGCGAGTGGATACGGCACGCGATAGTAGATTACGGATAAGATTCATCTTTGCCCTTCTCACTTCCTTGTATCTCCCAACCACAGAGGTTTGATGGCTACTGTCTGTCGCAGCCATTGAGTCTCAGTCTGTCAACCCTGACTGCCGAACCTTTCGCATCGTTTGTCGTGGTAATTCGGTGACCGTTGGCTTGCGCCGCTGATTCTGCAGTATCAAAGCATCACGCTCACCCGATAACTCTACGCTTAGTCGTCGGCGCTACGATTAGCGGACAGTATCAAGATCTTCAATAGCGCGCTGAGCCTCGCGCGTCTTTTGAATCCTCATCCTGTTCATTGAATTCTTGTTACGCGCACTCGTCTGCTCCCCGGCAATTCGCTTCGTGTCCCCTGTCGAATTCGGTCCTGGCCGGATTTCCATTCATTCCTGTCCTCGTCCTCCATTGTGGCTTCCCTCCTTGCTCGGGCTGCGCCCATCGACCCGGCTCTCAAACCTGCCTCGTCTGCGCGTTCCCCGTCCGAATTCAACGCCTACGACTCCGCGTCCGACCCTGATACCAACCGGCCTCCTCCCGACGTTAAGTCATTTGCGCCCGCTCTACCAGACCTGAGAAACATTGGCAAGTTCGATAACTCTGACTTTCGTGACGCGTTCCCTGGATCGACTTCCGTCAGCACTTCACTTCCTGGGTTGGCAGCGCTTGCTTCGGTCGCCTCTGCTCCTACGTCTAATCTACGGTACGTCTATAAGGACAAGGGAAATGGCGCAGACGCAGCCTAGCGGTCTAGCTGCTCGATGGTGTGAACAGGATACAGATGAGGGATTTGATCTCGAAGCCTTCACCCCCCTCATGCCGTGTGCCACTTTCCCTGCAGGATCGGGGATCCAATGGGCAAAGCGGAAATAGATACGATGGCTAACCGGGGCTCTACCCCTCATAGGGAATCGAGTAATGCGAATCTGAGCATGGCCAACATGAGCTACGTTACAGCATCCCCAGCAGCCACAACGGGAGGCCAGGGAAATAACCCAGTGAGTATATCTGGTTGCTCGATAACCCCCGGGCTCTCCCTATCATGATTTTCACGTCCTTATCGCTTATCTGCACAATGCCCGATAACCAGCGATTTGCTGAGTGGGCTTGGCACCACCCGATCCGTGCACCTCTCCCTTATCGAACCCGTCAAATCTCTCCCCAATCTTATCATCGCTCTTATTCCCATCTCACTATCCCTCTCTAAGATACCAAAAGATGGCGACCACATTAACTGACGACAAACATCCTCAATTACAGCCCGTTTGCCAGAACTGCGGCACTTCTACCACCCCTCTCTGGCGTCGTGACGAGGTCGGCTCTGTCCTCTGCAACGCTTGCGGCTTGTTCCTCAAGCTGCACGGGCGGCCTCGACCGATAAGCCTGAAGACCGATGTAATCAAGAGTCGCAACCGCGTGAAGACCGGCCAGGGACCCAAGCGGAAGGTGAGCTTATTCCAAACTACCTCTCTCAATTGCTGGCTCGTCGCGAAAAGAAATAAAAACTCTGCATCCCTGCGACTTCCCACTCTGATAAGAGATTTCCTTGCTGACAACCCGTTGCGATACGATCAGTCTGGCGGCCCCATCGATGCCAACGGTCTCCCCAATCCGACGCCAGTACACCTCCTCTCGGTGGCCATGGCTATCGTCGCGCATCGCGCAAGATGTCCCCGGGTCACTCGGATCGCTCGAACTCCCCCTTGTCGCGCACCGATACCCCGGGCTTGGGCATGACACACAACTCCAACATTGCGCCTCAGCATATGTTTGATAGCGTCACACGTGGCGATGGTGCTCTGGCCTCTTCTGGAAACCTTCCCTCCTTTCCTCTACGCCAGCCCTCTCCAGACCGCCAGCTCGACTCTCCCCAGACATTCGAGAGCCTTCTCGCTCTCAATACCTCTCTCAAGACCCGTGTGAGCGAACTTGACCTCATCAACGAGTTGTTCCGGGGTCGCGTCACCGAGCTGGAGCAGAGTGATGCTAGCGCGCGTCGTTCCGAGATGATCGCGCGCGATTCCGAGGCCCGTCTGCGCCGGTCTCTGGAGGAGTCCCAGCGCCGTGAGGAAGAACTAAAGCGCCGCGTCAGTGAACTAGAACGCCAGATCGGTAATAGCGAGGGAGATATCTCCGAGCCTTCGGCCAAGCGCATTCGCCTTTCGGACGTTGTAGAAACCGGCGAGGACTCGCAATCGCAAGCCAAGTCACCTAAGAGCACTTAGACTCTTCGCTTTCCTCTTTCAGTCTTTCGCGCCTCTTGCAATTGCCTACTCTGTGTTGCGAGGCCTTGCGTCACCGACTTCGTTCTGGGCTGTTCCTGGCTTGTCCGCTTTTTTCGATGGTCTTTTTGATACCCTTCCCGAGACTCCCTCGTGGTGACTGGAAAACCAATTAAATGTTTTTTCAACAACAAAAACGGCCGGATTGTTGATTCTTAATTCCCTTTGATTTTATGAATTTATTTATTTTTGGTTTGTTTCTCTGCTTCTCGCCGGATGTTTTGCAAGAGGTCTCTAATTTGCTTCTTTACTCATGGGTTGATTGTAACGGGACTGCCAAGTATGCTGCTAATACACTGTTATTTCAATTTCTTCTTCTCTTTTCATCTTTTTTCTGGTACGGTTCTCCGTTCTATCATTGTTCTTGTCTTTTCTCCAGAGTTCCTCTTGAGATTCAGTGGCACGGCGATACTGGGGTTGGCTTGCGAAATGAAGCAGCCTGCATTGGCGTTGTACAGCCGCCGCGGTGAAACCTGCCCCAAAGAGGACTGAGGCCATGCTGTCTCTGCTTGTGATTTTCCAGGTGGCTCTGAGGGTTACGACTTCCTATCGCGAAAGATGGGCGAATCCTCTGGTCATTTTGCTTGAACTGCTAGTTGCCTCGATAGAGAATCAGGCTCGATCGATCGGCGCGTTGACAGGTCATCCAGTCAGAGCATCGAGTCTAAAAATGAAAATGTTCAACAATTTACTAATAATAGTCCGACTGACTTTCAACGCCTTCTACTCGCTGTAATCTAATGTGCAATGGCATGAGATTGTGGCGCTCCATCCTAAGTTCATACTACTGCGGGTGGCACCTGTAGGATGACGGACTGATATGCATAGTCTATATTTTGTATTAGAGATCACGTACAGTTTCAAGCTGAAACATTGCTGGCCAGTGTGACAGGTCACACATAAATGAAACTTGCAGGGGCCACAGAACAAGTAAAGAGAGTAATTAAAGCGAATGCCTGGAGTTTCGAGTCTAGAAAGGAAACAGAAAATCGCAGTTGACGTCGGTACCAACGATGCACCAAATGAGCAAAAATTTCCGCCAGCAGTTGATCATAAAGTGCCACATAACAAAAACTTGAACAAATCGAAATAGGAGCGCCCTGATGTGCAAATCCACAAGCAAGAGCACGCTTTTAGATTAAAAAGCAAAAAGGAAAAGGAAAGGAAAGGAAATGAAAGCTCCAAACCTATCTATGCGATTTGATGATCCGACTTCTTGCGTTGGGAGCCATGAATCTTTCGTTCGCGATAAATACTCCACAGACAGACCAGGATACCAGCCACGCCGGAGAAGAAAGTGAAATAGTATGCAGACTGGTAGCAGCGGAGACCATCCGGACACGAAGCTTCGCCATCAGCTCCAATGACCGAGTGGTGATCGTATACTGTTCCATAAAGGAGATTAAAGATGTTTCCGCTGAAGACAGGCGCGAGGGTCATGGCACCCCAGTTCTGGGAGAGTCCCTCGATTCCGAATGTATGCGCAGTAAGCGAGGGGAAAACACCAAACAAAAACCCGTATCCAATACCTGTGAAGACTGAGACGACGACGAGAGTGTTTGGGTTTGAGATCGAGGCACCGGCGAGTTGAGTAAGGGTGAAGACGGAAGCAGAAACGAACAGACACCAAAATCGAGACATGCCGAGCTTCTTCACAAGGATGTCTGAGCCGATTCCACTGGAAAGTCGGCCCAGGAAGTTTCCGAACGAAAGAATTGACACCTGCATGACCTGGTGCTGCTGGATGAACTTGGGCTTGGCGCTGTCATCGTAGTATACCCATAGAGCCTTAGCACTGTTTCCAATGTTGTTGATCGTCATGAGACCAATGCCGGAAAGAAGGGCCATAGTCAGGAATAGTTGCCAGAATTCAACGTGGCGGAGCATGGCGAGACCGCGGATATCGGGGTGGTGGACCTCGATAGCTATATCATGCAGGTAGTCGTCATCCAAAGTATCGAAGGATGGCCGGCCATTGTGCTTCGATACTAAGGATTCCCTCTCGTCGGATACTCTCTTTATTCCCACCGATTGAATGGGAGCGGACATGCGCTGAGCTCTCATTAGCGCGAGCTGTCGAGCTATAGGAGCCATCTGGGTGCTCAATTATAATACTTCGGCGACGCATTAGTCTAGAGTCGGATGGTTCTGTAGGTCCTTCAGGAACCGAAGAATAAGTTTCGGATTGTAGAATCCGGAGAAATGGGGTGGAAACAAGAGTAAGAACGCTGGTACCACAGGCCATCAGAAAGAGGAATGCTCCGGTATCGTCTTTGAAGATCAGGTTTGAAACATTCGACCAGAACAATGCACTGAGACCAAATGCCGCAAGAGGGACTGCTGTCGCCGTCCCGCGGCTGTCAGCAAAGTTCGAAGCAGCTATACAGCAAGTCAGCTCATTGCAGTAATTTCCACAATTGAATGCTTATCACCTACCAACTTTGATGGCCGCGCCAAAGGCCGCAGAGCCACCGGCACCTGTCAAAAACGCAAACAGGCACAGAAATACCAGATGTACTGACCCTTGTCCATGTTCATAGGCTGGCCACAGGTTAGCTTGTATGTCACTGTCACAAAATAAAAAGAAAAGAAAGGAAAAAGGAAAGAGCAACGGAGTCATACCAAGATAAATTGGGTAGTAACCCAACGCCAATAGTATAGATCCGATAAGTGTCACCAGTCGTGGGCCCCGCCCATCAATCAACAGTCCCATGGGCACTCCCATGCCGTACATTCCCAGATTTCCTGCTACGCCCTGCAAACTGTCAATATGGTGCTTGTATGACCATCCAGGTAGCACAGAACTCACAATGAGGTTGCTCTCCGTCGATGAGAGCTTCATGCGATCCGCAAATTGTGGCGCCCATGCCGAATACGCATACTATCCAAGAATTAGCCAGGTTGTCCGGAAGGCGGGCCCAGACTTCATGAAGCACACACATTTGTTCCGCAGGACAGAGCAACTAAAGTGCCCGCGACCACGGAGGTGACTCGCGCGGTGGTGCTGAGGGAGCCGGTCATTACGTGGTTATATTTCCTTATCAATTTATCCAAGGTTCTTTAATTGGGGGAGAATAATCGGACGAGATACGAGCGGGACGAAAGCCGAGTGCAATCGGTGGGTATAATAGAGGGACGGGCGAAAGAAGCGAGTGCAAAAGGAAAGAAACATAAATATCGAAGAATGAGTGACTAGAAAGAGGAGACTCGAAAGAAAGCCACCAGTCGGGGGGGGGGCCCAAGAGAGAAGTTTCAGGAGTGTCGTAATCGCGATCAACAGTCGGAGACGGTCGGGCGACCCCCCCGGAGACGCGCCAAGCATTCTGGTCAAATCCCCCGTCGAGTTTCTGGAAATCAAGAGGGGCGCTTTTATGATGCATTGTCTACTGGACAATTCGGTTCGTTTATCTACCATACCAGATCTGGACTCGGCGCCCTGGGGCGTGAACTGTCAAGTACAGTTCTTCACCATCGCGGAGACAGATGACGGCATTATGCGAGTATTGTTAGATTGTCCCATTTGCACGCCTTGCATGAGTGGACCAAAGCCTACAAGCAGTATCTGCTTCTGTCTACAGGAAGATAACGAATTTCTATGATAAACCAAATACGAGAGCACGAGCATGCAGTTCGTACCTTAATTCTCGCGGCCTCAGGTGTCCATCATGACTAGCTTATGTAAATACCACGTGACATGATGGGGCCCATGACGAAGGCAGCATTGATGCCGCCGACTCCGCCTACCCTCCAAGCGCTATCAGCTCGTTATAGGTTCAACTTCTCTCCGGTGAAGCAAACCAACCCTACCTTCCCACCATGGGTGCTCTTCTGTCCCTACCGCTATTAGCGGTGCCGAGTGTTGGCACGGTAAGACCTGTTGGTCCTCGATCGCGAAGCACGTTGAGCTGATGATTATGCCTGAAACAGCTCGTTACCATGGGCGCATCATGTTGTGGTGCTGCCACTTGCTCTGCAGTCTGTAGCGCATGCGGCAAATTCCAGAACAGGTATGTTTGAGCCATATATTAGCTAGTGACAAATGCTGAAGCCTCCTTAGCATGGCAACGCGAATCGCCTATGCCTTCATCCTCTTGCTCAATTCGATCGTCTCGTGGATCATGCTCACGCCGTGGGCATTGAAAAAATTACAGCATTTAACACTCGACTATATGGAAATTCGCTGCGACGGCAAGGAATGTCATGGTTGGGTCGCTGTCCATCGCATCAACTTCGGCCTCGGGCTCTTCCACTTGATTCTTGCTGTCTTGCTCCTCGGGGTCAAGAACTCGAGAGATAGTCGTGCTGCCCTTCAGAATGGCTTCTGGGGTCCAAAGATCATTTTGTGGCTGGCATTCGTCGTGGTATCCTTCTTCATCCCCGAATCGTTCTTCTTCATTTATGGCAACTACATTGCCTTCTTCTGCGCCATGCTCTTTTTGCTCTTGGGCTTGATCCTTCTGGTGGATCTTGCGCACTCCTGGGCTGAGTTGTGCTTAGAGAAAATTGAAGATAATGACTCTGGCCTGTGGCGTGGATTGCTTATCGGCTCGACCTTGGGCATGTACTTGGCTTCCATCACCATGACGGTTTTGATGTATATCTTCTTTGCTCACAGCGGTTGCTCGATGAACCAGGCTGCTATCACTGTATGTATCCCTGGACCCAGAAAGATACTTGTGGATGTGCTAACGTTCCTAGGTCAACCTCATCGTCTTCTTGGTCATTTCGTTCATATCTGTACAGCCTGCTGTACAGGAATCTAACCCACGTGCGGGGCTGGCGCAAGCTGCCATGGTCACTGTCTACTGCACATATCTCACTCTTTCTGCTGTCTCGATGGAACCCGATGACAACCACTGCAATCCATTGATCCGTTCTAGCGGAACCAGAACTGTCACTGTCATCCTGGGGGCCATCGTCACCATGGCCACGATCGCATACACTACCACCCGTGCGGCGACCCAGGGCATCGCGCTCGGTTCCAAGGGTGGTCATGCCTACAGCCAACTGGGCACTGAAGACAATGAGCACGGGCTTGTCACCCAGCAACCCCCCAACACTCGCCGTGAGATGCGCGCTGAAGCCCTGCGCCAAGCCGTGGAGAGCGGTAGTCTCCCGGCTAGTGCCCTGGATGATGACAGTGATGACGAAGACGACTTTGAGAACAAGCAGCAAGGATGATGAGCGTGGCTCGACTCAGTACAATTACTCGCTGTTCCACATCATCTTCTTTCTTGCTACAACCTGGGTCGCTACCTTACTGGCTCAAGGGCTGCAAGTTGACACCAATGTTGACTTTGCACCGGTCGGCCGCAGCTACTGGGCTAGCTGGGTGAAGATCGTCAGTGCATGGGTGTGCTATGCCATCTACTTGTGGACCCTGCTTGCCCCTGTTATCTTGCCCGATCGCTTTGGTGTTTGAAGGCTTACGGCTGAGAAGGGAATGGCTATATGGATTTTCGGCGTTTTGAGCGATCGCACTCTTTATATTGAAAGAACATCTAATTTGAACATAAATTTTGACTATCATGCGTACTAGTAGCAAGGCCCTTGAAGAACTAGGCCTAGCCTTTTCCTAGGAAGTTAACATGACATTCAATTTGGATACCAGGTGGTCCAGTCCATTTTTGCCCAAGCTCCTCAGCAACATCGACATCATAAACATCAGCAGTCGTCACTGTTTATTGATCCCGGAACCCTCTTGCGATAAGCTCGACTATCAATTCTTATCGGCCCCGGGGTGGGAGGTGGAGCTTACTCCGCTGATCTCGGCACCCACGCGTAAAGTGCGACGCGTTTTCTCGACACGATGGCAATATGGCGACCATTAAGGCCATAGAGGCCCGCTCGGTATGGCTGCATCGCTGAATGCAGGAGCCCTGCTAATCAACCTTGATTAGGTCCATCAAATCCAGTCTGGACAGGTCATCACCGATCTCTGCTCCGTCGCGAAGGAACTCGTTGAGAACAGTCTCGATGCAGGCGCAACCACTCTTGGTATTCATGCTAAACAGCCCTTAAGCCCAAACCTGGTCACTGACATTCTCCGCAGAGATACGCTTCAAAAACAACGGGCTGGACCTGATCGAAGTGCAAGATAATGGTGGCGGGATATCCCCTGAAAACTACGAGAACGTCGGTGAGTTCCAACCCACCCGCCCTCACCTATATAGTCTGCGTTACTAATGTACATTCCCTCACTAGCCCTGAAACACTATACGTCCAAACTTTCCTCCTATGATGACCTGGCGAGCCTCCACACTTTCGGTTTCCGCGGGGAGGCCCTCTCGTCCCTTTGCGCCCTCGCAGACTTTCAAATTGTGACCGCCCAGGCTAATCAAGCGCCACGCGCGAACCGACTCGAATTTGAGGTGTCCGGCAAACTCCGCAAAACACAGATAGTGGCAGGGCAGAGAGGTACAACCGCATCGGTCGCGGGTATCTTCAAAAGACTACCCGTCCGTCGACGCGAATTGGAAAAGAACATAAAGCGAGAGTATGGGAAAGTCCTGAGCCTACTGCATGCATATGCCTGTATCAGTACCGGTGTACGTTTCAGCGTCCGGAACACTGTGGGCAGACGAAAAACGTTGTCGTATTTTCGACGAACGGAAACCAGACAACGAAAGAGAACATTACGAATATCTACGGTGCAAAGACGCTGGCTGCGTTGATCCCTCTGGATCTAGATCTGGAATTCAAGCCGTCAATGCCCACACAACGCGTCAGCGGCGAGGAGCAGACAAACAGGATCCACGTTCGCGGCCATATATCGCGCCCTGTTTTTGGCGAAGGGCGCCAAACTCCAGATCGGCAGATGTTCTTCGTGAACTCGCGGCCTTGCGCCCTGCCGCAGATAGCGAAAGCTTTCAACGACGTCTATAAGTCATTTAACGTGTCTCAGTCACCATTTATATTTGCGGATTTACAAATGGATACGAGTGCCTACGATGTGAATGTGTCACCGGACAAGCGGACGATTATGCTGCACGATGCTGGTGCCATGATCGAGTCTTTGAAAATCTCCCTTGCGCAGATGTTTGAAGCCGCCGACCAGACGGTGCCGCAGTCTCAAATCCTAGGCTCTAAAGCCTCAGGGACCAAGCAGCAGGCTTTGGGAGCCCTGCCTGGCTTTGTAACAGCAAAACAAGCCAGTCAGGATATGAACGAACCCCCTGCTACACCTAGGCGGGAGCAGAGCAGGAGTGACGTTGAAATACCTGAAACTCAGCAGACTGGCCAGAACTTCATCCAGAGGGTTTCGAGCCCGCAAGCGGGTGCCAGTGACACGAATTTCCCTTCCACCCCTACGAAACCTGCATGGGAGACAGGACGACAGCCCAAGCCACCTAGTAGGGTTATTTCTCCGATTCTGGAAGAAGAGCGGCCTTCCTCTCCTAGAGCTGAACCTGAAGCTCGAGATACACCTGATAATCCCGATCCACCTCAGCCCAATGCTGGGCCGGAAGATGAAATGCTGGAGCATTCATCTCAGGCACTAGATATAAGCACGAACCCTATGGCGGAGACAGAGGAGGAAACTCCAAATGTGGTTCAGAATGCATTTGACCGTATGCGACCTCGGCGACTCCCTGCCGAGATGGCCACAATTACCATTGGGGATCGTGTGGTGACGTCCATGGTTGGCAGTGGTCATCCGCGGAAAAGACGCTCAGACTTTGGTTCAGCTGCTAAAGAGCCTCGGCAAAGTAAACGGAAGATCCACAAGCCTTCTCGTCCTGGCATTTTTGGAGATCATATGAAGGCCTTTGCCGCCCCTGGGACGCAAGCAGACGGGGGCGACACAGAGGTTGATGAAGAAGATGAACTAGTGGATGATGTTGCCGAAGAGTATTCCGAGGAAGACGCTTCAGTTGAAGCAGAAATTGAAGAATCAGCAGATGATATCGGAGAAGCTGAAGATCTTGCACCCGAGGACGGGGAATATGTTCCCCTGGAAACTGCGTCGCCTCGGCCATTGGAAAATGAAGTGAACTCTGTTGATGAGTCTCACACGGAAAACAATGGGGAAACGGAGGAAGAAAAGAAAGCTCGAGAGGACAAGATGGTTCAGCGCCTCATCCATCAAGCAGAAGAGACAGCAGTGGTTTCAGACGAGAACAGTACCGCTCGTGCAAATAAGATGAACAAGGGTGCCATACATCGTGACACGACAGTCAATCTCATTGGCACCATCGATGCCTCGGTTTCTCGGCTCCAGTCTCAAATCACCCAGCTGCGAAAATCGCTCACTTCGCAACCCACTTCATCTCAGCCGCAGGAGCTTGCTCCGGGTGACGAGAAGACGGTTGAAGATCGCCTGTCACTGACTGTCAGCAAAGCAGACTTCGCGCGCATGCGAATTGTCGGACAGTTCAATCTTGGCTTCATCCTCGCCGTTCGACCGGGTGGGGACCACGACGAGCTTTTTATTATCGACCAGCATGCATCCGACGAAAAGTTCAACTTTGAGCGCCTTCAAGCGGAGACGGCCGTCCAGCATCAGCGACTTGTCCGCCCACAGCGTCTTGACTTGACTGCCGTCGAAGAAGAAATCGTCATCGAGAATCGAGCGGCGCTGGAGAAGAACGGCTTCATAGTAACAGTGGACGAGAGCGGCGATGAGCCTATCGGACGACGATGTCAACTTGTTTCACTCCCTCTTAGCAAAGAGGTAGTCTTTGGTTCTCGTGACCTCGAAGAACTCATCGTCCTCCTTTCCGAAGCCCCTGTTACAAACGGTGCCTCTGTGCCTAGGCCGAGTAAGGTGCGAAAGATGTTTGCCATGCGGGCCTGTCGGTCGAGTATCATGATTGGGAAGACCTTGACAACCCGTCAGATGCAGCGTGTCGTGCACAACATGGGAACTATTGATAAACCATGGAACTGTCCGCATGGCCGGCCAACCATGCGACACCTGATTAGTCTTGGACAGTCGGAAGCCTGGGATGAGTACGAGGAGCTTCATCCGGATGTGGAGATTGATACAGATGAAGCCCAGCCAGTGGGCTTGGATGTATGGAAGCGCTTTCTCGAGGGTGAAAAGGACGAAGAATCTGATTCATGATACGGAAGACTGTCAGAAGACTACTCTTATCTTGCACTGTATATATCACTCTCATTACCTCGTCAGATGCAATGAAGGACCCACAAAAGAAGAAAGCTACTACAACTCAAAAGATAGAAAAGAAACTTTCCACAGAAACAGGTATACTATCACGTCCATCACCTGCAAAGTCATAAATCATTCAAGGCACGAAACTATCCCAGTATTATTATCCCAATATATCACCACCAGCGCAGCCAACTCTTCCCACTCGTCTTCTTCCCATCCACATCCTGATTCATCCCATCCCCGTTTGCACGCTCATGTCCATCCACCTCCATCGCATTCGCCCTCTCCTCCCTCTCCTGTCTCTCCCGCCGGTCTTCCTCCTCCTGATCCGCCTCCACCCCATCCATCATCTCCTCCAGAACCTGCAAGTCCCGCTCGATCATCTCCGCCCAGTTCTGAACATCACCAATCTCCTTTAACCCTGCGCGCGTGTCATCCGTAATCTTCTCCCACTGCGCATTCTGCTTCGCGAGTTTCTGCCCGCTCTCCGCGAGCTCGGCCTCCTGTTTTGCGAGCGCGCGGGCATTCTCGTTAATCACGGCCGCGCGGTCGCGGAGCGGCGCTTCGAGATTTGTGCCCACGGAGTGGAGGGTTGCGGTGAAGGCTGCGAGGGCTTCTTTCTTCTGCTGCTCTGAGGATGTGGGGGGTTGGGGCTCGGTGCTTGGACCGGGTGGGGATCGTGGTGAGGGGTCTGTCATGGTGCGGGGAGGAGGCTTATTATGGAGAGTATGTTTTTCTCTTCTGTTATTCCTTCCTTTGCTATTCTCTGGCTTATTGGGAGGTCGTTGTTTGTGCTGGTGGCACGGTGTTCATCTGCATGAGATATCGCTGCGGAGTCGATCTGCAGTTGCCCCCCCCACTTGGCGTTGATGCGCTGTCAGTAGCTGCCTGCATCCTGCTGAATATTTCCTAGGCCTAGTTGAGAATGTCCCCTTAGTGTAGGACTTTGAAGGACCACCTGAGATCCGTTTCTATACCTTTAAATTGTGGTTGGTTGTTATTTATATATTTAGGCCGGAGGGCTGCTCAAGATGGGGTGAATTTGGAGTCTTCTGCCCACGGAAATATTTACCTGCTTACCGTGACCCCAAATACTGTCTGATCGACTCCTGGATCAAATGAATTGCTTTAGTATCCGCCAAAAAGTATTCCAAGGTTAAAAATAGAATTCTGCTGTGGTCTCAAAACTCATGATCCAGTAGTACGGATATATCGTCGTCATTACCCTGGCTTAAGGCCACTGATGCATCAAAAGGAGCCAAGCTAGGGCTCTTAAGCTTACGTGTATATTCTTTCCTTTGCAAGTATCACCACAGCGGTGTAAAATTGGAAGGTAAGGACGCTCTTGGAATCCTCCGAGCCCCCAGCTGAAGCCTGACTTAACTGACGCATCCTAATAGCAGTACGCAACCCCTGCTATCGCAATTTTTTTTTCTCATCTCTTAATAACTCCTTGTCTCAGGCTTTCAATCAAGTCCTTCGTGTTGATTTCGCTCTCATAATGGCTTGAAGCTGAGCGGCCAGTGATCAGCTCAGTGTCGATTTAGAGTGTTAGAACTGTTCGAATACACGGATTTGCTGGCATTGGATCTTTTTCAGAAGGGAATGTGACTCAATAATTTGTGCTACATGGGTGAGTTCAAGATCTCGTGGAGACTGCTCTCAAGTCTAACTTGCTTGAAGGTGTGATCCATCATCTCAGGGAACCTCATTAATGGACAAGGCCGATAGAAGGGTTTAATGAACGATGGATTGAGCATGCCTATATTGCTTCTTGGCTCCTGGGAATCGGGGAAGACTCTCGAGTGAGCCACCACGTAAATGTGGATATACCGGTCTCCTCTCACCATCAATATTCTTCAGCGATCACAGTTTATCGATCCCCAGATCCGCACGTTGGAATAAAGTATTGTCAAAGCTGTCTTTTCGCCTGCAGAATCAATCCGGTCATCAAGAATCGTGATCAGTAATGATCTACTACCGACCGTTCCCACAATAGGGAACGGGTGGGACTGGAAAATTGCATATTTTCAGCTGTGTAAGGTGGCTAGGCTGAGATTTGACGTTTCGTATAGGGTTGGGGTTGAATCTTTCCTTACGCAATTCTCACCACACTCGCCCGGCCTCGACCTGACGCATACGTCCTCAAATGACGCCCCTCTGCTTTTGCTGCGACAGACAACTATACAACAGTTTTTGCCGTTTCAGTACACCTTATGTGAAGGTTTCGCAGTCCAACTGCATACGATGGAGAAGCTTGAATTGGATAGTGTCCAAGAAACTGGCCTATAAACACGTATCCCTTGATCATTGTCTTCAGGATACCCAGGCCGTATTTTTTCTTCCCATTGGCTAGCTAGCTTAGCGGGCTTTTCAAGTCGAGGTTTACCCATTTTGCGGATTACTACATAAAGCTGTTACTTCAGAAAGGGACAGGATCTTATTATCCGACCCATAGCTGGGAATACATATTTCCCCGCAAGAAAATATCAGCGACAACAATCTGACATTCACAGGCCGATGGACAAAGGGGCAGCGTATGAATCAGAAGTCACGCTACGTCTTGCTGCTGAGGACAGTATGCTGCCAACCTTCTGGTGCAATAACCTATACCATGGGCTGCTGCCTACAAGGGCTATTATGTTCAATGGACGGTGATGGAAACCCCTTTGACCAGGCCGAAGCCATCTAAAAGATATCTATGACGTGGGAGCAATACAATTTCCGAGCGCTCCCTGGCATTGCTCTCATCTACGGATCGAATTGCGTCAGCATAAAAGTGAATCACGGAAGGAGTCCAACAGGCGACAGAGACAGCAGGTGGCCCCAGCAATGACAATAGAAGGCAATTCTATCCTCCTGTTCCAGAGCCGGCCAACAGAAATGACCAAATAGACAAGCCGGCGACAAAAAAGACCCGCAAAAAGTCTAGGAAGAGGATGTTCTTCATGGTGGAGTTAGATAGGAGTATTGGTGAAAACACATCCTCCGAAAACCCTATGCTGTTATAAAGACCAGGTCATTGACAAACTACACGAGGAAGGAAAGATGGTCTGGGCAACCAATCATACACCGTCCGCTCACCCAGTTTTTGTGGTCTACAAACTTGGGGAGCGTGGCAAACTTGTCATTGACAGGTCCGGCCTGGAATCTCAAAAAGGACTCCCTGTGTTTGACATCATGCGCGCATTCAACACAGCGCTCGTGCCTACTCAGTACCTCCTCCTACACAAGACGACATACTCGTATTGACAGCAGGTAAAAGTCTTATTACGATAGTCCACGCTGCAAAGTTTTTCTACAAATGGCGTGTCCATCCAGACGACGTCCGCTACCAAGCAGTGTTTGCTCACCGTGGGCAGTAGATTAGCGCTGAATGTGCCATACAAGCGGACGACCTATTCAGGAGACGCTACCTCAGAATCTGGGGGACATGGCAGAGCCAACAAGAGCAACTTACGAGCCTGCAAAGGGGAGATTATCCAGATAATCCGTTGTCAAGTGAAAATCTGGAAGCAGTTTCAGATGGCATTGTAAAAGGAAGGTCATCTGCGTCGCAATACAAAAGTGTTGTGCACTACAAGGGCAAGTGGTGGCGAGCGTGAATATCTCCTCATAGAGGTACCACTTCCATGGGGATGTAAGTGTTCATGGTGATTGACAAAAAACAAGACAAGGTAAACGACTCGCTCTTCGCTCTTCAATGGCTTTGGTCCCTCTCTAAATACTGACCTTGAAAAGACAAGCTGGGATACCCAAGCCCGATTATTGCCATCCGGGATGCCTATGGGAGGTCAACAATACAACTCTATATGACCCTGACTTGTACACTCTATGGGTCGATGAGTTGAGGCTGGCCTTAGCGGCTAGCCTGATGTGAAGGAAACATCCCTGGGCTAATATTCAATCAACTAAACCAAAAGACTACCATATCCGCGCTTCATGCGCGGATACACCCAGGTACGCCTTATATAGTACACCCTCTAGCTGGAATCCGTGGCACCTGAGTACTTTTCCCTTGATATAAACGTCGGCTCGTCTGCCAATCTGTCTTTATCCTCCATACAGCAAACTTTGAAGCAATAGGCTTCTTTTTCCGTCTCAACCTCCATCAGAGCTCCCAGCTAACAACGCCTTTGAAGTTAGCTAGTCCGGGCCATGGAACAGACTTACTACAAACTGAGAACTCCTTCTCAGAGAAAGTGACCCCGGTCGTTCAGGCTGTGATTCTCTGATCAATCAAAATATATCAAGACAGTCTAGCCCTGTAACGGGTACCGTGGAGATCTGGAGACTGGGTCACTACGAGCAACCTCTTCGTGTTCAATCAGAGGCATGTTAAAGACTCGATACAAAATTTCCTGGTATTATGGCTCTACCACCATTTGACCACTCTTCCTTACTCCCGATTTACCATACACCAAGCGGGGAAAGATTGATACAGCGAAATATTCCCATCGGCGCCTTAGCCCGGCGGTAATGCTAGCGATGGGGAGGGTAAGGCGGATATCGCCAAGGTTGTTTGTCCCATGCGTCGCACTTTACCGTGGCTACTACATCTTAGCCGGTTCTCGAGGCCTCGAATCGTATGGCACACTGGCAAACGTAAAGAATAACGCCACGATCGAAGACCCGCAGGGCGAGACTGGTTGTTGGGACCAATCCTTCGCGCCAGCATGATTCGTTGCCACACACCAGACTATCACGCGTATTTATCACGACGAAACGGCCAAGAAAGTCACCACAGAGTTGCAATTACAGACGCAGCCACCTCAACTGAGGCCCTACTCCCGAGTGAACGGGATAGCCAAGCTGTAAAGCACGTTTTGACCGGGTTACCATGAGGATATTCGATCTTAGCTTAACTTGTGAGAACAGTAAACGTTCCTTCGCGTGTATCATCGACCATCCAGCTTTTACCAGAAAAGCCCCTACAGTTAGCCACCCTCCCCAAGAGCTTGCTATAGAGCTTCTTCAGGAGATAAATCCAGTACTGAAGGGCCTAGTCGACGAGCTTCGGGGGGTATCCGCCGCTATCCCTGCGGCGGGCAAGACACAATTCCCAGCTCTCGCAAAAGACCTCAACCTCGCAGCAAGCATTCGAAGAGACATACAGGCCGTCGCAGAGCGCTGCGAGAATGCGTTAGCGACATAGAAGAGGATAGAGGACAGACTTACAGCGGCGCAACTCGGTCCAAGGATAGCAACCGCCCTATCTGCCGTCACTAAGCCAATTCACAACGACCTCGTTATATTAGCAAGCCTCAAGGCCTTACATAACAGCCCAGCAAGCGTCGAGATAAATTTCTATAAGCTGGGTTATTTCGACAAGAAGAACGACAAAGGAAACACAACCTCGACCGCTGGCACTATAGGCTATCTATGTTACCCCGGTGAGGAAGCCGACCATGTCATAACGACAAGCGCAAATAGGGTCACAAAGGCCCACAAGAGACGTTAAATCTTACGCCAAAGCAAGCTGACCTTCTCGAGGCAACGAGCTTCTTTTAGCGCATCGGGACGATGCCTTGTCTTCGTGGGCATGTTGAAGTTAGTGCGATGATGTGCCAAATTCAGCACTCGTGCTTTCAAGCATGGCCAAGGAAATTAATAGAGGTAAAAGGCGCTGTTAGCATCCCTGTGAATGAAGCCTTCTACTATGCTAGGGTGTTTTCACTGAAAGTGTTAGGTTCTAAGCTCTCGGAAAGAAATGTAAACATCATGTTTCTCTAATGATGTGGTGTTTGAACCAGAGTGCCTAACAATGGTAGAAGTCGTTCGAAAATTGAACTTGTACAGGACTGACTTTACCTGATAATAATGTGAACCGTGATGTCTTCAACTTTACACGATATAATTCGAATAGGATCATCCCATTATGGATACTCGGCAGCCCTTGGATACTACCAGCGGTTCCCACTCCGACCTGCATACTGAACTTTGTTACGAGCCCTGCAGATACATCTACTAGTATAGGACAGTGATAACAATATACTAATCCCAAGCAAAACAAAACGAATGTTGGATCAATAACCCATAGTCATTAAGAGAGAGCCGAAGCCCAGTTAGATCGATTCGCTGAATGCTTTGGTCGAAATGCAAACAGAACCATGGGGAAGAAACCATAATGAGTCAAGAAACCCCTTTACTATCCATAAACGCCAGACATGCCGAAAGAGAAGTCCCAGATAAAGTGCGCTGTGGAGATGCATATTACAAGAAATTAAGAATGCGCAAGAATGTATCAGATAGCTTTTAAAGCCCATCACATGTTCGCGAGTTCATGGTCGATCTGGCGGTCCAAGAACTGTCGTTTCTCACCCATCAGTGAGGTCTGCAGGCGTTGTTCGACAAGGACACGGACTGAAGATAGAATGTTAGTTTGGACATCAAATATTAGGCGTTGCTAGCATGGGACTTACCCTGCTTCTTGGTGACAGTGTCAAGGTCCACCTCTGCAAGGCAGCTGCGAATAGCGTCGGCGATCGCATGCTCGTCCGGACCAGGGCTATTGGCACTGAAGTCAAAGGCGGTGCTAGATGGTCTAGGGGGATACTGAGCGAGAGGACTGCGAGAGCGACTTCCAAGGAGATTCTCAGTACTTGGCATGAGGCCAATGCTGTGACGGCTCGAATGGAAGGGTTGATCCGGATATGCTGCACTCAAATTACCGACAGACATGCGCGAAGCATTGGCAGCGGGATGCCCGCCGAACTGCGGGTAGTCAGTGTAGCGAGACAAGCTAGACATGTGCGAGTTGCGATTGCCTGGAACGTTGGCGCCAGCAAACGGAGCAGGGGACTGCGGCGGCATGTATGGTCCCCGGCCGGGGAAACCGGTAAGGATAGTCGAGGCAGGCCTGACAGACGAGTACTGAGATTGCATCTCGTCCATCTCCATGGCCTGGTCATCCGTGTAATGGCCCGTAGCGTACGCCTTCTCCGAATGAATGTCACCGCGACGACCGGGAAGATTGTTGGCCAAGGCGTAGTCGTCCCAACGTTGCAAGGGAATGCTACGGGGATCGAAACCTTGGTCTGCGACCGCGATAACTTGCTTGCCGTTCTTCTCCTCGAGGACAATGCGAGTGTTACCCCAACTGAAATCATCCTGCTTCCAGAACGAGTACAAGGGGAGAATGAAAGAATAGATGGGGAATGCCATGAGGTAGATGATCATCCATCCAATGTGTTGCCACTGGCGCTTGAGAAGGAAAATGATGATCTGGAAACCGTAGATGGCAGCCAACATGACAAGTGAAATAAGAGGGAAAGGCCCAGTGTGGCTCGCCACGCGGTAGATAAGGTAGCCGAGGTAAACGCATGTAGCAGGAAGGATAACTGTTCCCAGGAGATCGACAATCACGACAAAACGCATACTGAAACAGCAGAATCCACAGAGGTCCTTGAGAGCTGCGAGTTCAACCAAATTGTGGATTGTAGAGTTAATCCAACGACGTCGCTGCGAGACTGGCACGCCCCAGGTTTCTGGTGCGGCAGTGCTTGCGTACGCATCGGGGAGGAATTTGTATCGCATAGATGGGAAGTGCTTGGTCATGAGCGTTGTCAAGAATCGATCCTCACCCAGTGACAACAGGTTCTTCTTGTGCAGAGTGTCAGTGTTGATATCAGCATACTCCTTAACCACTGCATCGGAAATGATGAGAGGTCGGCCCCTGTCAGCGGTTCTCAGACGATACATGCAGAAACTGGATGTTATTATTAGCAAACCCGATTGGGGACGAGTGACAGCGGAAGTAACTTACCAACCAGGAAGACATGTCACACTGCCAAACAGCGACTCGAAAGCCTTGGACAAGTGATGCGAAATGTAGTATTCATAGACCTGGATCATAGTCCACCAACTCCTTTCTTCATTCTGGAGACTGGTCTCACCACATATACCAGCAATTTTAGCATCCGCCGCACAAGCAGCCACCAAGCGGTTCAGCGAGTCTTCCTTGACACTAGTATCGGCGTCGACCATGAGACAGTACTCGTAGAGTTCCGGGTCCACTCCAATAATGTTGTTTATCTGGTGGAAAATCTCAAGCTCCATAGGAGACATGGGTGCTCGGTGATGGACACGGTTCAAGAAATGCATCAATAAGACCTGGGAGTCTCGCTTGCCACGATTACCGGGCTTCGACTTGCCTTGCTCGGACTCCTTGCCGACCTTGACAACAACAATGTATGGGACAACGTTGCCTTCGTATTCGTACAGACCGGAGTACACCTTAGCATAGTTAAGCTGTTCGCTGCCTTGGCCAATAGACTTGAATGGGAGTGCAGGAGGGTCCATCTTGGGGTCCACGCCGAGAATGTCAAGAACGATTTTGGGGGTTGGTCGGTCATTGCCACCGCCAACAATCATACCGTCACAGATGACAAAGATGAGTTTACGCTTGTTGTCATACTGAAGAGCAGTGAGCGAGTCCAAACCCTTTCGCAAGGAATCCTCGCCTTCGGTGTAAGCAGGGACCAAGCAGATGACGAACTTGTCCTGAGGAGCGGGGCGGCGTTTGGATCCAAGTTGCAAGGCAGCCAAGAACTTGACAAGGACCACAACACTGATCAAAATAGCGAAGGAAAGCATGAGCCAGTTGTTCACGACACAACGAGGGCTGTTGCGGAAATCAACCTTGCCCTTGTAAAAAGCAATGTCGAGGCATTTCTCAGCATTATTGAAATCTGGCGAGTCTTGCCACTGGCTGGTGATATCTGTGCCCGGGTTGTCTTGGAAAAGTGCGGTGACTGCGGATGGAAAGAAATCATAGTCTTTATAGCCGTCCATAAGCTTGGCGGTGTAAAAGTAATCCGTCAGATCCCAGACTTTCTGGTCCTTGATGACCCAGTAACGCGAGTAGTCGTTTGCTTGCTCGGAGATGGTGCCTTTGCTCCAGACCAGTTCACCTTTGTAGTAATTCTTCATCTTTGGCATGAAGGTATCGCTGTACCAATAATCTTGCTTGAGTTTAGCACTGGTCCCGCTGTAGTCGGGTCCACTTTGGTGATTGGCTAACTTGTAAGCATAGGCACTAGTGTCATTGTTTTGCATTTGGACAATGTTGCTTTTCACCAACTCGGGGCAGTAAATATGCAGGGGAGGCCAGAAGTAACCGTCAAGGTTAGAACCAGCGAGCGGTGCCATGTTTGAAGCACTTGTCTCGATATCCGAGTCACTATGCTGCAGTTTCCAAAACTTGTCAAGATCGTAGACTCGGCCGTGGACACTGACCCAATAGTCGTTGCCGGTATCGGTGTTTGCATGCCAGCCGACTTCCTTGTTGTTCCATACTTTGTCTTTATTAGGACAGAGCACATCACCAAATGCCATAATGTAAAAACAAACGATGGCGTTGAACAGCAATATAAGGAAGACCAGGACAATCTTTTCTCGCCAGGCAAGCCGGATATCTGGACGCTTCATCCGCCCCACATACTTAAGGAGAGGAGACGGCATCCAGAACGTCAAGGCCCAGACAAAGGCAATCCACGCTCGACGACCCGGAGTGACTTGCTTCTGCTCAATGTGACGGGGATCCGCATATTCGGCATCGCCGATGTACTGACCATACTCGTCATAGTAGGCAATGTCTGCCTTGTTATCATCCCCCTTGTGTCCGAGTCCATAGTCCCCGTTAGTACCAGCCATTAGCATACTAGGAGCAACTGACTTGGGACCTCCCATAGTACTTGGAGCAACCATCGCTGGATGAATGAGGTCATGCTGACTTCCGAGCAGATTGCTGGCCTCTGTGATTGGGTTTCCATCAGGGGTGAAGCCAGGCTCATACACGGAGGCACCGTATCCAAAAGGATTAGCCGGATTCGCCTCTGGTTTGCGATCCAGCATACTTTCGGCTTCCCACCATGGAGCCTCTCTCATCCAGATGCGCTGGTGGCCAACGACGGCCTCGCCGTTGCTCCAACCTCTTTCCAAGATCCAGCTCTCAACGCCATCTTGGCCTTCCGCACAACCGAGCGGTGCATAGCGCTGGTAAAACTCGTCGATCTCGAAATCAGCGGTGAAGTCGAGCTGCTTTATGCGTCGGTTGGCCCACTCTGGCAGGCGCCAGTCTCGCAATTGACGTGAAACGGCACCTGCAGACCAAGTTGTACTCGAGTTCGCAAGTTGTGCTGGTAGATCATCGGTAGGATGAATGGAGATGTGGTACCAGACACGACTACTGCCTAACACGGTAGAAAGGTCAAAGCGAGCATGATTTCCGAGAACGATGTCCTCGCCCTCGACAGGATAAAGCAGCTGTCTAACCAAGGAGTCTGCTTCGAATTCGGTTGCAACCTTCTCCAAGACACTCCTCCGTCGATCCAACTCATGCTCACGCTCCTTGAAGGCGGCGCTGGTGGTAATGCCAAGCTCGGCTTCTACTTGAGATACGGCAGATGTCATCTCGCTGATGACAGACTGGCCGATGGGAGGGATCTGAATGCCGTCATCTTTCATCTCAGCATTGATACCCATCTCATCATCAAAGACCCCTCGCATTGCAACGGCCTTTCCGAGGACTGGGCGAGGCACATCAACCACGACCAAGCTGACGTTGTCCTCGTTTGCCCAGTCCCCGGTACCGTTGTAGGCAGAGTCATGTTCCAGCGCATTTTGAACTTCCGCTGCGATCGCCTCATTGGCCTTGGCAAGAATCCAGTCCACAAGAGCTTCGTAGACGCCCGCGATCAGAACTTCGCGTTCATCGGTGGAGCACCTGTGAAGAAGAACTTCGGGGTCGATTCCCAGCAGACCACCGACGTCCTCACAAACCTCCTCGAGCTCCTCCTGGTCCACCATTAATCCAGCAGCATTACCAAGTTTGAGCAAGCCAGCGAGGACGCAAAGCAGGTTTCGTTGAGTGGCACCTTTGATGCCAATCGCCTTGAGATTGGCGCGGAGATCTTCGGCGGCGGCGGCATCGTCGGCGGTCGGGAGGTAGGAAGGAGGATCGTAGGTTCCGGATCGGTTCAAAAGTGTGTAGGCGGAAAGCTCTTTTAGATCCAAGAATTCCCGCTCAGCGGGGGTGGAGGCGGAGGTGAGGAGGTAGTAGAAAACATCAAATGCGCGGTAACCGGGTTCGTTAGCAATATGCAGGAGACCTTTGCTGACATTGATGCCAGAAGTCGACAAAGCCAAAGAGAAGCTCAGAACCGTGCCGTGTAAAGTTAACGAGTAAGTCGCTGCTAAAGCTGAGTGGAGTGAGTAGGATGGGTTGAACGAGGTTACCGCCGAAAGGAATGGTCGGATGGCAGCTAGTGCCGTGAACGCGGTTTCCGGCGTTGCGACGGGAACCGCTGTCAGGAACGGCTCCAGAAGAGACGGGGTGGAATGGTGAAGTGAGCTGAAACTTGTTAGCCCATTTGTATCTTATGCCGGACAATGTAACAGGGGCCTACCAAAGCAAGATGCAGCCATCCTCAGCCCGCCGGCGAGCATGTTCCCAAGCTCGAATGGCCAAGTCACGGTCGATGGTGGCGCCATTGCGACCATCGGGCAAGGTTGTTGCGGCCGTGACCCATGTATTGACCACTAAGCTCGTACTCGAATCTAGTTGGTAGGGCTGGCCGGCCGAGTAAAACGAGTGGAGTGCATTAAGCAAGGTGGTGGTCGAGACCTGCGTGGTATGCTGAGAGGACGGTCTCGGCCCTGGCATGAGACCAGACTGGTTGGAGAAGACCGAATAACGGTTCGACATGGTGAGCCCTGGCAAAGCGACCTGTGACCGGGCTCAGAAATCTCACAGCGGCATGAGGTGTTTCCACGGCGAGTTTGGATAATCTCGGCGGATCGAGGATGCGGAGTAGCGGAGTAGCGGAGTTGTCACGTCAACAAAAGCTGAATGTCGAGGGAATATACTCCGGATGAATGAGCGAGTGACTGGAGACGGGGTGGTTGAGAGATGGAAGGGAGGATGGGAGAGGGAAGAAAGGGAAGAGAGCAAAGCGAAGCAGGGGAAGATCGAGAAGGTCGAGAAAGCGAGAAGATGGAACGATAAGAGGGCGTGGTGAGCACAATTGTCTCTACAGCGTACATACACTTTTTTCTTTACAGGACCATACATTTTTGGCGGGCCCACTCTTGATACAGTTTATTTTAGGTGAGACCGGTACCGTACTAGTTCGTGGACGCGTACGATACCGCCGATCGCCTACGATCGACCCCCCTAAGCTTGGTCAGGAAAAGCCGTGGGCAAGGGTATGCTGCGCAGAGGGCGATCAGGCCTAGACGCTCTGTTTTTATGTTTGTATATATCCGACTGGATGCTTTTCCTCTTAGACTAGTGCTGGGGTTCGGAGAAAAATTAGACACCTTCGGGCTCAAATCCTCGATTCCAGGGGCATGGTCGGATAACTAGCATGGCATTATCGAATTGGAGGAGAGTAGGAATGGATACTTTGATCATATGGTCGGGTGGAAGCAGAATAGTGTGGTATTGTTCATTTTTGCTCTAGGGAAACGAAGCCACCCCCTAAAACAATACCGGTATTTGTACACAGACTTCCGTGTTGGGCCCTCAGCTGCCAAAAGTTCCGATTCAGCCAATCACGATGCGGTTGATTTCCAAGGCTGGTCCTGGAATCAACTAGAACGTCGGCTACGCGGGACTTCTACAGATGTGAAATGAATACCAGAATACACTGGAAGCAAGAAGTCCCTGTTTTTGTACAAGGCCATTTAGGGCTAGCCAGAAATCCGAAGCCCGGTGGGCTATATTTGGGATGTCTCACAAAAGGTGCCACCCAGGGATGCGGGTTGCAGGGAACCTTAGCTGCGACGAGCTATGTTCCGCCACGAACCCTCCCTAGTTTCACCTGATCCGAATCGATCGCTGCGATTCATCCCATCTGAACGTCTATCTGTCATATTCATCTCTATCCCACATTTATCTGGCCGAGGTGCAGGAATATCGATTGAGGGCAGCAAGGAGGGGGGAAAGCGGAGAATTGGATCCCGGTTAGGACATCCGAAAGGCCCAAAGGCGAAAAAAAAACAAGCAAGAAACCAGCGGAGAATACGATCGATGAGTCGTCCTCAGAGGCCCGGACAGGAAATTTCTCCACTAGAACCAGAAAGTGGCCAGTGGCAGGGCCCGAGGTCTCTCGATAAGTGGAGCCGCTCTGTTTACTTGAGGCCCCTGTTCCGTTAGCGCAGAAAATCTCGACGGTCAACAGTCCATCTGAAGGTCATCAGGGGGGAAAGCTAAAGAGTCAGCGATTCGCCACAGCTCTAGAATGTAGAATGTACGCAGTAGAATGTCAAGCCACTTCTTGTTTTTTTCAGGTATACAGTAGAGGATCATATTCCTCCCACCTGTCTCACACCAAGTGGATTTACCCGCCTCCATATGAAAGTGGGCTATTCTTAGGGTGTGACAATACCGTTCGTTCCCAATACCGTCTCCCCAGACCTCTTATCTCTTGACGATCCCCGTGGCGCGGGTTTTTCACGGTCTGGTTTTCTTGGAGCTTCTCTTTCCTCGAATGATATCCTCGACTCGCTAGGGGCTCTTCATTCTCACATTCTTCCATACTACACGGGGGGTTGTATCTTGGGCTCTGATCGTGCAGCCTTACGCTCGTTTTCCCTCCAAAGCCTCATCCTGGAGGCGTAACTCGACGACATGGCGGGTGCTCCGGCTCACGCCCAATCCTCGTTACCTTCACTCCCCGCTCACCTTCAGTCTGATACACACTTGACTGCTCACCTGGCCAGTCGGTAAGTTCAGCTGATTGCACGGTGCTTTTGCTTCGACTAACAACTGTCAGTTTCCATGTCGGATTACCAACAGCTCGTCTCTCGTCCCATGCACTGATTGCGTTGAACACATACACCTCGGCAACCAAGGGTCCAGATGGCACCAAAGAAGGCAGTGCCGCGGGTGAAGCAGAGGATTTGGCTCGACGTGCTTTTACCAGACTTGGGTCTCGTGCGGAGAACCAAGCAGTAGTATTCCTGTAAGTATAGTTGTCCCCCAGGAGTCTGGTCGACTGGGCGTCTGACCTATGGCACAGAGGCGAGAGTGGTTCTGGAAAGACTACACTCCGTTCGCACCTGCTCTCATCGTTCTTATCCTTCTCATCAACCCCCCTCTCCTCCAAACTCTCGTACGCTGCTTTCGTTTTCGATACCCTCACTACAACAAAATCCGTCACCACTCCCACAGCCTCCAAGGCCGGTCTATTCCTCGAGCTTCAATACGATGGCTCATCTTCAGTGAATCCAACCTTGATTGGTGGTAAGATTATCGATTACCGATTAGAGCGGAGCCGTATCTCCTCGGTCCCCACGGGTGAGCGTAGTTTCCACGCCCTCTACTACCTTCTAGCCGGAACAAGCCCTGCAGAGAAGTCTCACCTCGGATTCGACAACCCCATTCATATCCAAACGGCTGGCGGAGGCTCCGTTAGCCACAAGCGATGGAGATATCTGGGACATCCAACACAACTCAAAGTTGGAATCAATGATGCCGAGGGGTTCCAGCACTTCAAGACCGCTCTTCGTAAACTCGAGTTCTCCCGCGGCGAAATTGCAGAAATTTGTCAAATCCTGGCAAGTATTCTTCATATCGGACAGCTCGATTTCACTTCCGGACAGGCAACTACTACCGGTGTCGAAGAAAGCGGAGGCTACTCCCATGAGGGAGGTGAAATCGTGACGATTGTCAAGAATAAGGATGTCCTTGCCAACGTAGCGGCTTTCCTTGGGCTGAGTGTAGAGTCTCTGGAGAACAGTCTCGGTTACAAGACCAAAACCATCGGCCGGGAACGGGTGACGGTTATGTTGGATCCATCAGGCGCGCGACAGAATGCTGATGCATTCGCCCGCACCATCTACTCTCTTCTGGTCACATATGTGATTGAGACAGTGAACCAGAAGATCTGCGCGGCCGAGGACAGTGTGGCTAATACGGTGTCCATTGTTGATTTCCCCGGCTTCTCTCAGTCTGCTGCGACAGGGTCTACTCTTGACCAGCTTCTCAGCAACGCTGCCACGGAATCCCTTTACAACTACTGTCTACAATCGTTCTTCGACCGAAAGGCCGATGTGCTCGATCGTGAGGAGATCACGGTCTCTGCCACAAGCTATTTCGATAATACCGATACTGTCCGTGGGCTTCTGAAGCAAGGGAATGGCTTGTTGAGCATTTTGGACGACCAGACCCGCCGGGGCCGCTCTGATGCACAGTTCCTTGAGAGCGTGCGGAAGCGCTTTGAGGGTAAAAATCCATCCATCTCAGTCGGTGGTGGCAATACCGGTGGAAGTTACCTAGCCCAGTCCGCCCGTACTGCTTTCACCGTGAAACACTTTGCAGGAGAGGTTGATTACTCGGTCAACGGTCTCATAGAAGAAAACGGTGAAGTCATTTCTGGAGATCTGATGAACTTGATGAAGTCGACTCGCAGCGACTTTGTCCGCGAGCTATTCGGCCAGGAGGCTTTGCAAACCATCCCTCACCCCCGTGAGAAGACTGCCATCATGCAGGCGCAGGTCTCCTCCAAGCCGCTTCGGCAGCCAAGCATGGCCCGCCGTAAGCACATGCAACAGGCCCGCCAGGCCTCTGATGTTTTCCGCGGAGAGCATGAGCTCGCTGAAGAGAACGAAAGTAGCTACGCAGGAAGCTCGAGGCGCAGTGCGGCTACCCGTAAGAGTGGCCTCATGACTGGTCCTGCTCAAGGTGCAGCTGGACAGTTCCTATCGGGAATTGAGATAATCAATAAGTGCTTAAGCTCTTCCAACGTTAACCCGTACTTCGTCATCTGCCTGAAGCCAAATGACCGTCGCATTGCAAACCAATTCGATAGCAAATGTGTGCGCATGCAGGTGCAAACCTTTGGCATCGCGGAAATCAGCCAGCGTATTCGCAACGCCGATTTCAGCGTGTTCCTTCCCTTCGCTGAGTTCCTAGGCTTGGCCGAGATCGGCAATGTTGTCGTAGGTAGCGACAAGGAGAAGTCCGAGGTTGTGTTGGATGAGCGACGATGGCCAGGCAATGAAGCCCGCGTCGGCAGTACCGGCGTTTTCTTGAGTGAACGTTGCTGGGCCGATCTTTCTAAGATCGGGGAGCGGGTGGTCCCTTCGTACAATGCTTCACGCATGGATGATGGCGAGCCATTGGAGTCCCCTGGAACCCAGATGCCAAAGTTCGCCTTCTCAACCCCACAGCTCAATCGCCCGGTGCTTTCATTTACGGTGATGAGAACAAGACGGGTGGTTACTTTGGGAGCCGTGAGATGGATGGACGCTCCGACGCTGGAGGATCAGCACACCCCGGCGACATGTTCCATAACCTCGAAACCCGACAGCAGATGTTGGAGAAAGGCAATGAGAAAAATTTGGAAGAAGTTGACGATCTACCTGTCTCTGGCTCTCGCAAGCGGTGGATGGCGTTGGTCTGGATGCTCACCTTTTTCATCCCTGATTTCCTGATCAAGTTTATTGGTCGCATGAAGCGCCCAGAAATCCGGACGGCTTGGCGTGAGAAGCTTGCGATCAATATGATCATCTGGTTCGCCTGTGGAGTTGCAATCTTCATGATTGTTGGTTTTCCTGGTCTAATTTGTCCTACTCAGCATGTCTACTCAGTTGGAGAACTTAGCTCCCACAACGGCAAGAATGGAGCTAGTTCCTATATCGCGATATCAGGTGTTGTGTTCGATCTAGGAGACTTCATGCCGTCCCATCAGCCAGATATCGTTCCACAGAAAGCTCTTAAAAATTATGCTGGCACCGACGCCTCAGCTCTCTTCCCGATGCAAGTCTCGGCTCTTTGTCAAGGTACTACTGGGCACGTCGACCCTAGTGTCCCATTGGACTACCGTTCAAACCTGAATGCGACTTCCACTTCGTCATCCTCGACCAATGGAATGGACCCCAACTCCAAGTACCATGACTTCCGTTACTGGATGGGCACGGGTGATGATTATCAACCTGACTGGTATTATGAGCAGATGACCTATCTCAGGGCCAACTACAAGAAGGGCTATGTCGGCTACACTTCCCAGTATATCAAAACTCTGGCAGATGAGAAGCAGAAAATGATCGTGAGTATCAATGGCAAAGTGTATGACATGACCTATTACATCGCGGGGCCCCGTCTTCCACGATTCCCTCCAGGTCATAATAGATCAACTAGCGGCATCGACACCGATTATATGAGCCCGGAGCTTGTCACACTCTTCCAACAGGGGACAGGCAAAGATGTCAGCAATGACTGGAATCGTCTTGATATTGACGACGGACTGCGGTCCCGAATGCAACTGTGTCTTGACAATCTCTTCTTTGTCGGGCATGTTGATACTCGAAACTCGGCCCAGTGTCAATTCGCACGATATTTTATTCTCGCGATTTCCATCTTAATTTGTTGTATCATTCTGTTCAAGTTCCTTGCCGCTTTGCAGTTTGGAAAGAAGAACCTGCCTGAGAACCTGGACAAGTTCATCATCTGCCAAGTGCCTGCTTATACCGAAGATGAGGAATCGCTTCGTCGTGCTATCGACTCCATGGCGCGCATGCGCTACGATGACAAGCGCAAGCTTCTTATGATCATTTGTGACGGTATGATTATTGGTCAAGGAAACGATCGACCCACTCCACGGATTGTCCTAGACATCCTGGGTGTCCCTGACACGGTTGATCCGGAGCCTCTCAGCTTCGAGAGTCTCGGCGAGGGTATGAAGCAGCACAATATGGGCAAGGTCTACTCTGGTCTTTACGAGGTGCAGGGCCATATTGTGCCATTCATGGTTGTCAGCAAGGTTGGCAAGCCCTCCGAAGTCTCTCGCCCGGGTAACCGAGGCAAACGTGACTCACAAATGCTGCTCATGCGCTTCCTCAACCGTATCCACTATAACGATCCCATGAGCCCCTTGGAACTGGAAATGTACCACCAGATTCGGAACATCATCGGTGTCAATCCTGGGTTCTATGAATTCATTCTCCAAGTTGATGCCGATACGGTCGTAGCGCATGATGCCGCTACTCGTTTTGTTTCCTCGTTCCTATCCGACACTCGTCTCATTGGTGTCTGTGGAGAGACAGCTTTGTCCAACGCGAAGACATCTATGGTCACCATGATTCAGGTCTATGAATACTACATCTCTCACAATCTGATCAAGGCGTTCGAGAGTCTCTTCGGATCCGTCACTTGTTTGCCTGGTTGTTTCACTATGTACCGAATCCGCTCTCCTGAAACTGGCAAGCCATTGTTCGTGAGTAGGGAGGTCGTTGAGGCGTACTCTGAGATCCGCGTGGATACATTGCATATGAAGAACCTGCTACATCTGGGTGAAGATCGATACTTGACCACTCTTTTGCTTAAGAATCATCCTAAGTACAAGACGAAGTACATCTTCCGTGCCCATGCCTGGACTGTCGCCCCTGAGAGTTTCGCCGTTTTCCTGTCCCAGCGTCGTCGGTGGATCAACTCTACTGTTCACAACTTGATCGAGCTCATTCCCTTGCAACAGCTTTGCGGTTTCTGCTGCTTCAGTATGCGATTCATTGTCTTCGTTGATCTGCTCAGTACCATCATCCAGCCTGTCACAGTTGCATACATTATCTACCTGATTGTTTGGATTGTCCGGTCGCCCGATATCATCCCATGGACATCTTTCATTCTCTTGGGTGTTATTTACGGTCTACAAGCATTCATTTTCATTGTCCGACGCAAGTGGGAAATGATTGGGTGGATGGTCATCTACATTCTCGCCATCCCAGTGTTCTCTCTCGCCCTGCCGCTGTACTCCTTCTGGCACATGGACGACTTTAGTTGGGGTAATACGCGTATTATTACCGGGGAAAAGGGCCGCAAGGTTGTCATCTCCGACGAAGGCAAATTCGACCCCAATTCGATTCCCAAGAAACGCTGGGAGGATTACCAAGTCGAACTATGGGAAGCCCAGACCTCGCGCGACGATCGTTCCGAGATTTCTGGTGTCTCTTACGGCACTCGTGCCATGGCGGCGCATTCTGACTACGGCTTCCCGGGTGCAGTATACGCTGGCTCGCGCTCTGCATCGCAGCTCGATATCCCGTACCAAACTGCGGGGTCTCGTATGTCTGTCGCTCCTTCGGAGATGATGAGCCGCCATATGGATATGGAATATGAGGATATTAGCCATCTTCCCACCGACGATGCTCTTTTGGCTGAAATTCGGGAGATTCTGCGAACCGCAGATCTGATGACTGTCACCAAGAAGAGTATCAAGCAAGACCTTGAGAGTCGCTTTGGTGTTAACCTTGACGCCAAGCGACCCTACATCAATTCTGGTATGTTTCCCCTGTGGTCGCTCCTCATTATTTGAAGAAACTCAATTAACTCATTTCCCACTCTAGCTACCGAAGCTGTTCTCTCAGGTCTTCTTTGATTTGACTTCTAGAGCCGAATTTCTGACAATGTGTTACTAATGCCTGGTTCTGTTTTTTTTTTTTGAAGTTGTGTTTTCTCATCCTATTATGATATTGGAACTATTCCGGCGTTATTCTGCCAAGCGGATTCTTTGCGTGTTTCTTCTTTTCCCATTTGGAATCTTGCATGGATGGATGAGATATTCCAAGCGAGCGGCTGTATTTGTTTTGTGCTCTGGTCCTTGAATATTTTGGTTTGCATGAATCATAAAACTGCCTGCCCTTTCTCTTCCGGGCATATCATCCAAATATTGAATATGATTAATGCCCAGGGCTCTATCCCTGGTGTTTAATATCTCATTCCTCAAGACCGTAGCCTCGCTCGATGCATATGAGCAAAATGTATCAATTGAAATGCGCTGGCTCTGATGAATCGTGATTTATGCTATTGCATACCTCTGCGAGAATGGAGGCCACCACGAGCAATCAAATCTCAATCTGTATCCAATTCCAGCTCTGAATCCGAAGGCGTCAGGTCGGTGTCTTGAGGCCAGGCCAGACAATAGGAACAATCTTTCCTGTATCAGCTTCACAACAATGAGATTTCTACACTGCAGGACAGTAGGCTGATTTGCCATCCGTGATCTACTCTAATGGCAATTAGGTCAAACCAGCAGAATCGCGGACAAGTACTCGTAATAGCGTCTACGACCTGTGCAAGGCTAGACGGCCATGTTCCAAGAGCTTCTTGAAGCCCTTGCTTCCGTGTTGCTGCACGCCCACATGCTCATAGTAGTAGCCCCGAGCCTTGTCCATAATCGCCTTGATACCAGCCACCGGGACCTTCTCAGAACGGTCGTAGGCATACAGTCCATTAACCTCTTGTTCAATATCAACCCTGGTAGACATTAAAGATCTGTTCATGCCCAAACGTTGAAGTAAAATAGGACCACTTACAACTGGGTGTAGACAAGTCCACATGTATGTCCTCCTTTCACAATACCCATAACCAGCTTTTCATACCGCACAAGGAAGTCATTCACGTCTGTGGCTGTGGTATATCCCCAGTCGCGCTCACCAGACTTGACATCTTTAGCAGGGGCGATATTAACACCGCCAAACTCGGAGCAGATTACTGGAGCTCCAGCTTTGTGCTGCGCACCAGGATCGATGAGGGTATGGCCAGAGAATCCCTTGTAGATGGGCCGAGTGAACATGGCGTGGCCAGCTTTATCGGCGAGAATCCCACCCTCCATCTTGGAGCAGGTTTCTGTCAACTCAGGCGAGTCGGCGTAGTCATGGTATGTTGTGAGATCAGTGAGGACATGCTCCCATCCGCAGTTGTCGTTGATGGGTCTGCTTGGGTCAAGAGATCTAGTCAAAGAAAAGTCAGTATCACGCTCAGACGAAAGAGCCATCCACACATACTTGGTCAAGTAGTACAGCGAGCGCATGTGGTTTCGCTGTTCAATATTGTCTTTGAGCGAAGTATACGCCCAGCTCTCGTTGTTAGGCGTCCACGTCACGATGCAGGGATGGTTGATATCTCTCTTAACCGCCTCGGTCCATTCAGCGTCCATACGCTCGATATAATCCGGTCCAAACTCGTAGGCATTCGCCATCTCTCCCCATACGAGCCAGCCTAGCCGGTCAGCCCAATATTGGAACCGCGGATCTTCAACTTTCTGGTGCTTCCGAACCCCGTTGAACCCCAGAGCTTTGCCTAACTCAATATCAGTCTTCAACGCCTCAGAGGACGGCGGCGTCAATCCAGTCTCTGGCCAATAACCCTGGTCAAGGAATAGCATCTGGAAGTACGGCTTCCCGTTCAATCTAAACGTCCCGTCGCCCTTCTGCCAATCCAGGCTCCGCATTCCAGTCGTAGTCTCAACCTCATCCATAAGCTTATGCTCGCCGTCATACAGCCGCAGCACAAGATCATACAGAATCGGGTGTTCAGGCGCCCACAACGCAACCCGCTCTTCGTGCCAGGCGGCGTCGTCTATCAACCGGGCATCCTTCTTCTTCACAGCATCCAGCTTTCCCTCTTCAACAACCATGCTCGGCTCCAGCGCGATCCAGTCCCGGTCCGCACGGAGCTCTGCCTCGCTCTTGCTCACCTGCACACCCGCCAAACTCACCTCAATTTCAATCGAATATTTCGCCCGCGGGCTGCGTCCCGTAACGGCCACCTGCGCATGGAGCACGCCCGCCTCCACATCATCAGACCGCAGCACGGTGCCCCCACTCCCATCAACCAGCCGCGTGCGCGGGACACTCTCCGCCCACACACTCAACCAGATCCCACTCGTGGGCGTATAGAAGATACTCTCCGGCACAGGACCCCAGAACTGCTTCCCCCGCGGCTGCGCCAGATCTGTCGCAGAATCGTACACCCGTAGCGTAAGCCGCTTCGCGCCGCCCGCAGCAAAGGCGTCCGTCACGTCCACGTCAAAGGGGACATGGCCCCCGCGATGGCCGCCGAAGTACTGCCCGTCGACCCAGACAGAGCACTCGTAGTCGACAGCGCCGAAGCGGAGGAGGACTCTGTTGCCGGCGTGCTGCTCGGCGGCGGAGCGGAGATCGGTGATGTCGCGCTCGTACCAGAGAACTTCGTGGACTTCGTAGAGGCCGATGCCGGAGGCGGGGGTTTGGAAGGCGAAGGGGACTTGGATGGTGCGTTGCTCAATGGGAGCGGCTGAGAGTCCGGTCTTGTGCCATTGTGAGGAGAGGCCGGTGTCTTTGTCGTCAAAGGCGAAGCTCCAGGGGCCGTCGAGCGTGCTCCAGTTTAGGGATTTGCGGGGGAAGTCTGGGCGGGGGTAGTCTGCCATTGTCCCTTTTGTGATGCTATTCGAGGGGGGAATTTGAGACGTTTACGGCGTTTTTGCAATTGGGATTTGGGATGATTGGAGGGGTATTGGGGGATCAGAAAGTGTCCAGAGTTATTGTTCCTGTGGAAGAATAGTGGCGTGTCCTCGTTAACCCCACGTTCCCACGGTCAGTGATCGTCGAGTTCCACCAAGAATAGTATGATTCGCAGTTAAGGGTGGAGGTTGCATTCCCCTCTCTATACAACGTAGATGTCCGTGCCCTATAGAGCTAGAGGCTTATTCTGGGCGGTTTTAGCTTCAAATGTGGGGGGGTACTAGAGACAATTTAGACAGCCGCGCATCCCAAGCGCGCTACTTGAGCAATTGTTGGTAAGAGACAGCGAGGCTTTCATGACTGTCTTTCGTCTACTTGATCCCCTAATCCCAGGCTGGCATCGTGTCTAAATCAAATTTCATTGATGGGGATATCAAACGCATAGCAGTAACATCAACTGAATCAACCCAAGTCAAACTCCCGGGCCAGTCACGGAGGACGAGACGCCGGCGAGGGTATCATATAGAGCTTGGCACCGACATAACCCATTCCTCCCATGCACACTCCAGATGATCAACAATTGCAGAATAAAAAAAAAACAGCATCAAAACAGGAATGGCGAGGAGAAGCCTCCGCTCTATCTCACACATATCTTGGATATCTCATTTTCTTTTGACGCCTTCATTGCTTGCGTTCCGTGGTATCAATCAAATCAGTCAGGAAAATTCAAGAAAGCATCAAATAACCGAAACAAGAGTAACGAAGCGATACGCGCTTGAAACATGGAAGCATAAGAAAGAAAGAGAAACAGAAAAAAAACAAACAGGAAAGCGGAGTATAAAATCAAATCACAACCATGAGGGTATACTGCTGTAAATGGATATTTTGAGTTTAACGGGGTGGCCCAATAGGGGCCGGGTATCCAGAAGTAGAATTCGAAGTGCTAGGGCGACCGCTGTCAAAAGAGGCGCGCGGGTCATGCTTGGGGGTCATGTCGCCCGGTGCCGTGCCGAAGGGAAATTTCGTATCGAAACGCGAAGGCCAGCCAATGCTATTGCTGCTCTTGTGGGAATGAGAGCTTCCCAAGACAGGAATGTCGTCCTCGGGGAGATTCACACCGGAATCATTCCAAGGGTTGCGATATCCGCTGTCGCGGGATTCCATAGACACAAGAGAAGCCTTGGAGGCATTGCTGGACGCGTGTTTGAAGAACGAGGCTGGGGAAGCAGAGTGGTTCTTACGGCCGATGAACGACGAAAAGGACGAAATGCTGCCGGGCTTGCGAAGGCGCTCGAAGATCGAGCCGCGCTCGCTGGTGTCGTCGATGAAGCTAGGACGAGTAGGCGAATCTGTCACCAGAGGGGCTGGGGCGTGCTGCAGCAGCTTAGAGTCAAAGAAAGGAAGCGACTCCTCAAACGAATCTGACTTGGGCCGAGGAATGGCGCCCTTAACGGTTGTGGCATCAAGCCCGTGAGCAACAAGGCGGGAAATCAGGAAATCAATAGCATCCTTGAGACCACCGGCATTGTTCCGAGTGTAGCCGAGGACAACACGATCTTCGGGCCCAGGCTCAGGCGAGGAGGAAGAGCTTTCTTCGGTGTCAGGCAGGTCGGCAGTGGTGTCAACATTGATGTCGACTTCGTACTGCTCCTTGAGCTTAGTACGGACGTCCTCAAGGAAATCAGAGGACTTGAAGTGCTCTCGCAGCTCAACGGAACTCTGGAAGTGAAGCTCGTGGCTTTCTGGTACCATACCCTGGGGAATATTAGTCAAAAGGACAGTACGTTGGCATCATGTTCACGAACCAGTAGAGCATCAACGGCCTGCGGGACCTGGTACTCAGGGCCAGAGATGGTCACGACATCACTGGCAAGCTCAGTGCTTGGAAATTCGATCTTGCAGTTCCATTTCTTCTCCAACTCGTCAATCTCAGTCATACGAGCCAACAGCTCGCGGTGGTACAGTCGGTTGATGACGACTCTCTCCGAGACATACTCGGCGTCCTGTGTATCGAGGTTAGCTTGGCAACGTCATCTCTTCGCAAAGCCACCACTTACGACTTTCTCGACCATATCCATGATCTCCTGCTTCACGAGATCCAGGCTCTGGGCATTGCGAGCGGGAGTTCGACAAATCACATTGTCGACCTTGATATCATCATCTTCCTTGCCCATGCCACCGCGGTCCATGGCGTTGGAAAACTTGACGAAAACAGAGTACTTCTTCATGATGCGTTGGATATGCTGTCCACCGATACCGATGATCCGCTTGTGATACTGATCGGGCACATGGAAGGAGATCGAGGCCGGCATTTCTTGCTCGACCAGATCCAAACCATTCTTCGTTGAGTCGTACTGGTTGCCACACACATCAATATAGAAATTGTACTCGTTGAATCCATCAAAAATAATTTGCACATTGCCTGAGGGCGATTAGCGTCTGCTTTCAGCTTCTTGTGTAGAAGAACTTACTTTGGCCCATGATCTTGTTGATCTTGCCGTTCTTCTTGCCACTGACAAATTCCTTGTGCTCGTTGGCAAGCTCAATCTTCACACGCATCTGATACTGGCTTCGAGTGACGAAAGGAATCTGGTTCACCACGGTCATGGCAGCCTTCACCGCGTCGTCAGACCCGTTGATGGTGAAGGTGAGGTTGTCGAAGCTAACTTCAGCCTCGGAGTTGATACAGATGTCCGAAAGCATTGCTCGCACGTCAGGGGTGGAAGGGGGTCGAACACCGCCTTGCGCGGGGTCGGGCATGATGATCCACCAAGATGCGCTATAGAATTGACCCGCCTAGAGATACAGTTAGTACCACATCAGATCATCATCATCACTATCACATACCAAGGCCATGATCTCCCGAACAGTTCGCTCCACGTGCAAGACCTCAGTACCTTGGATCCGAACCATACCACGCTGGCTGCCTAGCTGTGGGAAGAGAACGTACGAGCCGTTCATCTCCATCACTTTGCGGACCTTATCCAAACGATCGAGCAAGATATTGTCAATCTTGCTTGAATTGACGACTACGTCCTTCACATAGATCTTGACGCCCAGCACTAGCTCACGCAGCTTTTGCTTCGCACGACTGATTTGTTCCGGTGTCTCACCCGTGATATAGACTTCGTCTTCGCTTCGACGGCTGGCGCCCGGTGGGGTATATCCGAAAATTCGAGGAAAAGGTGGAGGGAAGTAGATAGCTGTGCCGGTGGCAGCCTCGATGAGCTTGATGTTCTTGCGAGTACGGCCACACACCAACGTGTGCATCGTTAACTCAAGCTTGATGGCATCAACGTGGCGTTTAAGCTAGAGCCGAAGTCTGTTAGCTGGGCTGAGACTCCCCCTCCGAAGAAGAAGTAAAAAAAAAAAGAAGAAGAAGAAGCGGTGAAGCGAGAAACGCACAATTTGATCAATCATGATCAAGACTCGCGTCTTGGCATGCTCTGAGCTCTCCATGTCACCGTAAATAGCAACTCGGAAGCGCTGCTCGAGACCATTGTCAGATGCGTATCCGTATGATGAGACAACCGCACTGTCAGCATCGTGAAGTTTAGGTGTCAGTAAGAAAATGTCGGTCCCAGTGTAAGCAGCCAGTGTATCCATGTGCTCCAGCACGCTTGCTCGAATGCCGTTTGGTGATCCATCCATGATCAGATGCATATCTACGTCGACGGTTGCGCATCGCTAGATTCCAGACACAAACTGATTAGCAAAGATGGCTTTCTTGAATCAAAGTGCCCAATCTCGTAACGGCGGCAGATGAAGGGGGGAAAATCCGTCGACTCACCAGCATAATCGGGGTCTCGTTCAAAATCTTCGCCCGCATTTTCCGCACAGTCTCTCCATCACCGGTAACACAGACATTAGTCACCAAGCCGTTTGGCCGTCGTTGTAGGGACGGGACAGCCTTGGGCTCTGATGATACAAGTGTCGCTTCAATACGTCCCCCACTGCTCTCTGTGATCTGTCGACATAGTCTCCCCAGTCCTTCGACGTTACTTGTGTGTACGGGCAGCTGGTGCACGGGGGTACCTTCTGGAGTGCCTTCGGGGAAAGTCCAGCGTTGTAGGGCGGCGGGACTGGCGTGTAGCACATCTTCGACGTCGGGGCCGGCTAAGGTGGAAGAGAAGGGGACGTTGAACGACAAGTTAACGGTAGGATCGATGCTGGTCGGAGGCGTCATTGGAGGAGCACCATGGGGTCGACGAAAGGCCATGTCGGTGTGCGGTCTAGACATCCCAAAGGTGGGCGTCATCCGTTCCCAACCATGCCGGGCCTGGCCCGTAAAGTTGGAGATCTTGTGCATGACCGGATTGGATCTCTCCTACTCACACCCCAGCCGAATTTGAGGGGTACGAGAGAAGAGGGAAGTGGTGGATGGTGGAGGTGGAGAGGGTGGGAGGGAAGAGATCAAGCCCGTTCTCGACAGGGATAGGAATGGCGCTGTGTGGGCGTGGGCGTTTCGGGAATGGTGGGAACGAAGATCGATCGATTCTTGGAACAACGAAAATTCGATATCTTCGGGCATCCGATATGCAAGTGGTCATGCAAGCTTGGAAAAGTCTAGGGGAGAATCTTTTGTCTGCAGAGATTTCTAACTGGTTCTTTTATCGCAACGCCCTTTCGCTTCCAGGTCAGAAGCCTTCCTTCACCGGATTGGAGTTGTGCGGGTCATGGGCAGTTACGGTAATCGTTCGTATACCACCAGCAGTCCACATAACCTCCGTTGGTTCTATGTTCTACTTGGATTATCCTCTAGTCATTGATAGACGCTACGGAGTATTTCTCAGGACCCCATAAGGTTGACGATTTTCAGGGGGAGGTAAGTCCAGTACTTTTGAATCCGCAATTCAGCACTGCCTCGCTGGTAAAGAATGCGGCCCCGAGTCCGCAAGGGTCCTGCAGAGAAAGACTAGATCGGCGGTTCTAGAGAGGGCGCCTACATAAAGACAGATGATCGTCCGCTACCTTGGTCTCATCCTCCACCGTTAACAAGCCATCAAATACTGTCCTGTGCATACAGGTTCTTGTTCTTGTCTTTGTAGAACCTCAAAATGACGGGGTGTCAGGTCACGTGGCCAGAGTCGAACGATCAGAGTTTCCAAGCTCCAGTATGGGGGACCCTAAAAAGAGCTGACTGGATATCACGTCGTATGGTCAACTTGGTCAAGATGGCCAACGGGACAATGGCGTGCCATAACGATCTTCAGTACGGAGTACTTTGAGGATCTTTCCTTAACGGCTGGCCTTTTCTGGGATTACCGCAGCCTCGGGCACTGCAAAGCTTTAGGTTGATTCTATTTGTATTGACAGACAGATCCAGACTCCATCCAACCCGACCGGGGATCCGACTCCTTCCGCGTACCCTCGCTGCCCATAGCACCCCCCGATCGACTCTCTTATAGGTCGCGGGCCCCGGCTCTGTCTCGATCCACTCGGCTGGTCCGGGACCCAGGCTCAACTTGGTACTGCGTACTTCAGGGAAAGTGGAGGGTCTCAGCCAAGGGTGGAGCGGTGCGGCCACGCGGGAAAGCTCGCAGCCTGTGCTGAGAAACGCAACCCCCCCGCGCTGTCGTGGCCTCCCCCACTGGCCCCAGCAGAGCACCCAGTTACTCAATGCATATGTGGGACTTTGTCTGCGATGCCAAAAGATGGTGGCAAATGATGACCATGAGTTCTCCTTTGGGCATCGCGGGATCAAACCTACAATGACAAGCACAGCATATCGCAGACATCCAGATGCAAATGGTCGACGTCATCTCCTCGTAAACACGCGCTGATGCTTAAGACTCGATGCCTCGAAACCAATTCCGACTGGATGGACCATAGCAGCCACCATTCAAAGCTGACTGCAGGAGCCGGGGCCTCTATCCCCCAGCTTTTTGGCCCCAGTCACCGAGACCAGCGTTCCTGGTGGCCTTGGGCAAACCTGCTTCTCTTCATGGACCTGAAACCACCGGCGCTAAAGCTTCTACAGCCCTGTGACTAGTTACCCGTACCCTTGACAAATCACACCTATCACATCCACGGATCGAGAAACGAACTCATGCTTTTGTTTAGTTAGTGTCGAGTCACCTCCGGTCATGTGACGTCATAACACAGCCACACTCCTTACGTCAATCAAAACAAAGAGCAGAAACCACCTGTATGCGGTTGAATTTACAATAAGGTATGTCAAAATTAAAGATCGCTCCCTGACCTGGTGTGTACAATTCTTGAAGGCTATCCTGGCCGTTGATGGGCGGGGGTGCGCTTGTGGAAAATACTATAACTAGTATAGATCTTAGTTGCACACTAGACTTGCACTGCAAGGCGACTATTACTAGTAATATATCAGAAAGCAGGCCCTTCGAAGATGCAAATCAACAGAGCTCCGAGCCTGCATCGGAACAAACAGTATCCACACAAGAATGTACTGCGTATGCAAGTTAATCAAGCTATACTTGTGGCTCTCGGGACCGTGGCTCGGACCTGGGACTAGATAATTTCATGCATATCACTAGACGATCTAAATAGATCTAGACCTTGTCTGCTCAAAGTATTCACCCCACAGCTTCAACGCATGGTCAAACTTCTCAGGCGCACAGACAAACCCTACCCTAAGGTACCCTTTGAAATCGATCTCAGCCTCTGTTCCGAATGTCTTGCCCCCAGGGACGATAAACAAGCCGGTCTTCTGAAGGAGAGCAATACAGAACTCAACATCGTCAACAGGAGCCCCGGAGACCTCGTCGAGCACGCAAACAAACGCCGAAGCAGCACCCGTTGGCTTAACCCAGCTCAAAACCTTCGGATGTGTATCGACGAAGTGTTCCAGCGCCGCGAGGTTTCGTCCACAAATATCCAGCGATCGCTGGATGATTTTCGCTCGGACCAGACCATTGAGCGCAAAAGCTGCTAGCTCTTGATCGATCTGAGAGACCGAGATAGTGGTATAGTCTTTGGCCATGCTGGCTTGGTGGATGAGGTCGGGGTTCGGAGATATTATCCAGCCTAGACGAATACCGGGCAATGAGAATCCCTTGGAGACGCTGGAAGTAGCGATGATGTTTTTGTAACGTCCCGCAAACGATATAATTGAAGGAGGATTTGTTTCGGAGGGACTGTGGAACAGAGGGCGAAATACCTCGTCGGCGAGAATGATGATGTCTCGCTCTGCAGCGAAGGCAACTAAGTCCTCGAGAACTCCTGTGGGGATCGAAGCGCCCGTTGGATTGTTCGGATTACTTGGGGCTAATTAGTATATCATAGAGCTACCTAATTGCAGGTGGCTTACTTGATGATGATGATTTTGGTGTTATCTTTGACCAGAGAAGCTAGTTGCTTTACGTCAGGAATCCAGTTGTTCTCTGGTGAAGTGCGCCACAGAGTAACTTCAGCACCTGCCCGACGAGGGACGTCATAGAGCTGTTGATATGTAGGATATTGACAGACAACATGATCCCTAGGCCCAACAAGAGTGTCTAGCACTAAGAAATTAGCTGCGATGGTCCCCTGGGTCACGGTCAGAGATAATTCTGTTGGATCGGCCACATCATTGGAGTAGAGCTCTAGAATCCTTTCGCGGATTTCAGTATTTCCTGCCGATGGGCCATAAATGATGGGCGCATCTGCCTTGATTGGAGTTGACGTGTCTCCAAGCTGGGCGAGACCCTGGAACGACAAGGGATCCACGCAGGTATCTACGGAGTGTGAGGCCAGCAGGTAATTTGAAGGAGGTTAAGGAGACGAACCATGTAAAGATGCTTTGGCATTGAGCTGAGGTCCTCTGTGTTAGCATGAAGTTTCGCCGTGACTGGATAGCATGTACCTTGTATTGACGAACTAATTGGCTGATGAGCTTGGTCTTGCTACAGAGGGCACACTGGAGGACATACCGAAATTGTCAAGAACAAATGGCGTAACGTGTACCATATTGATAGTCAGGAGAATTGTCAACTGTTCTTCAGGACTGGGATAATCTCAGAGCGACTCGATTATTCTCTGGTCCTTTATATAGTTAAATAGGAATGTCTGGTGTGAGTCACCAAGCGGCACGCCTAACGTTGAATTCTATTTTCCCTTGATGATTGGCTCGATATAGAACAATGCACCTTATCTGCGCACCCTACGACCAAGAAGTTAATCTAACCTTGTTAAGTAAAGAAGGATTGTTATGACAGAAGTCTCAGTCAGCATTCCCATAACAATAACCGGCTCATCTAAGTACCGCTTAGATTGTACAATTCCTCTTGAAATTTTCTAGTCTCTTCAATAAGTTTGCAAACGGCTTCTGCGGCCCCTCGAGCAGACTCTTCTCCGACGAAGAAGAAATGATTACCAGACACAGGTAAGCACAGCCTATTTGGCGCAGATTCTATCAAGTCCTTCAGCTTTTGCCAAGCTGGAGGTCCATCCACCGAGGACAGGATCTGTCTCACCCTGGACTCAAGTTTGAGGGTCATAAGGAAGCCCCAAGTTGTTTTGTCTGTGAGCGCGTGTACCGGATCCAGTATACTGGTGGGATATAGGGCTGCTATGAGGGCGTGGTTTGAAATATCGAAGACCTTTGTTTCATGTTCATGAACAACATCATCTTTCGAGAAAGAGCCCTTGCCGGCATACTTTAATCCATACGCCTGAAGGCTGACAGGCATCCCCCCTGTATACTCCCGCAAATATATACCTCGAGGGATTATATCTTTGCAGCCGTTCAAAGCCTCCATTTCTTCCAATTGTTTATAAAAATCTTCCAGGCGAGGTGGCATGGAGAAGTAACCAGCTTCGCTGCACGGAAGGCGTGGAGTAGCTGCTCGAATGCCCGATATGCCAGGCGTAGCAGAGAGACTGATAAATTGCTGGACATCTAACCCCAGTTCTTTTGCCGTGATATTGAATGGTACTGGCATGCGACCAGCCATGCTCCAACCCATCAACACAATTGAGCGTGTCGTAAGACCTTTTTCATCTATAACCTTCTTTGTAGTGACTGCAGCCTGTCGACCCCAGTCGGGGATACGAAAATATGCGGCTGTTGTGGGCATAAGATCACCGATTTCAAGCGGATATGAAAGGGAGAGGACATTGAATCCAAGTTGACTGAGTTGGTATGCTAGGAAGTTTCTTGAGTTGGATCCTTCATGCCCACCATAGAATATCCTTCCCAGATGACAAGCCCCGGGGATGCAAACTATTAGTGGCTTATGCCCCTCAGACTGTGCTAACTTTGCACTGGGTTGAAAGTGATATATGGTTGGAAAACCAGCAATTGTAGCAGACACTTCTCCGTCATATAAAAGAAGCTCGTCCGCCATGGCCGATAATAGAAATGCGGGACTTGATTTGGCAGCGCATGCGACGAGGAAGACAGTACCGAGGGAGAGGAAGGTGGTCGGGGTCGATCCGTAATCAGTAGGGGGGGGCGGTATCGTGCATTGATTGGCCAGAATTAAATGGGACCTGAGATTCACCGGTCCTGCTGGCCTCGAGTCGAGTCTATTAATATTCGTTGATATGACTGCCTCTTTGATGATAAGACATGACCCTGGGTAAGGACTGATTGGCTCCATGGGATAGATCAGCTTAGGCTTCAACTTGAATCTCATTAGAATCTAGAGGAGCATGTGTAAATACGACGTTGAAAATAGACTTGATTCTCCAGTGAAAACCCGTTCATAACCAAGGACCAATATGAGACATTTACCTGAGAATTTCTGAGAATTTGGTCTGCTCTTGTCTAATCATCCGCCTCCTCTTCCAAAAAGTTTTCATCTCATGGCACCCCACTCTATGTCCATTAGCTTCCAAGCACGGTCGCAGAGTTCAATACTTCTACTGAAGGAAGATATTGCTTGAATCAAGCGGGCATTGACATGGTAAGGAAGAAGCAATGATAGGCTTTTTCTGGATGGCAATACAGTCAATCTGCTCACAAAACTAGAGCATCGCATATGAACATTTGTCGAAATATTGACCTCGTCAACGATGAGAACCAGCAAAATCGTCCATATATTTTGTCCTGTCATGTCCTGACAGCATGGCTGAATACGGTGAGCTGGCTGCTTATGGTATTGGAGGAGTCGCTGGAGACTTCAATGGGTATGTTCCAAGGTTGAGTAGTACGGGCTTACGACGAACCGGCTCATTTGGGGATATTAGCTTAGATCAGCCCTATAGGGCCAGATTTCGAGTGCGGACCTTGGAAGGTACGCTTGGTGAGCTTTGGACCCCCTAGTCAACATCGTCTTCCAACGAGAGATGACTTGGATTATGTTCCTGTATCGATGGAATGCCTGGAGTAGATGTATCCGTTTGTACTACAGTGAGACCAAGGCCAAGCCCACATTCTCAATAGATGAGAATTCTGTCAAGGCGTCGTCTCCCATCATCAGTTTAATCATTTTGACTGAAAAACGAAGAAAAGCTGATATCAAACCTCTGGAGTTCATTAGAGTTGACAAAAGTGCCGTTGCCATTCCCATTGATCAAGTTGTTGTACTTGACGGCCATAGCACCGACGGTCTACACACTTGTCAGTATTGGTAATGGTCCAGACCGTAGTTGATTCAATTACGCACATGCAGTGAGTCGGCCACATCGCGATGAAGATTCAGTCTCCAGACCCACTTCAGACCAGTGCCTCAGTCACATCCGGTCCATAATACCAAAGAGCGAGGTATTTCACATGAATTGGGGCCTTGGTCTAAATGGGATGACATTCGACTGAAGCTAACTTCAGACAAGTCAATCGAAAGGTAGCCGGATCGATACCGGCAGGCCCCATTTTTTACTTCTTTTTTTTTGCCCCTCTGGCAGGCACCATTGAAAACCCCCATGACTAGACCAGTCAGTGGACGTGGGATTGAAATTTTGCGCTAAGCCGTAATTCCGTGGCTAACCGCATACAGACTAGCGTAACAATTAACCAATAATACGAAGGGACCGCGAATCCAAACAGACCATCTGCCCAATTCAAAGCCTCTTCCATCGTTTTAACTATTGAAATTCCAAGGTTCCAAGGTTGAACCCCGGATGCCTACGTACTTTTGAAAGATACGACCTCGGGAGATTCCAGAAGAAACAATTGACAAAAGCATAAATTCAGTACGAGGGTATCTTTGCTAAAAATCACCAATGGCTTAAAATATCACGATTCTTACGAGGCATGAAACCCAAAGCGAAGATGATTTTCGTGGGGCGCGCCGGAAAGGCAGAGAAACCGTGGTAAATGTGAAATGTAATGTATCAGTAGTTCTGAGCGGTCTCCTAAATAGGTTCCGTTTCTTCCTTAACTAAAAGGCTTGCATCTCCAGGCTTAGTATGGTCGTTCCCGAGGGTACTTGGCGTCATATTTGTAAGGCAGCTCAGCGTAGTTTCCCGAAGTATTTTCTTCCATGTAGGCGCCAACGTCGCGACTGGGCCCGCTGGGATGTACATTCCCCACATGCTGAACAGGTTCACGTGGTTCTTCGTATCGTACTGACGCGGGCCGAACACTGGCTGTGCGGATCATTCGTTCTTGAGGTTGGCCATACTCATCAACATACGCCGGCCGATGATGAAGATACTCTGGGACTTGCATACTGCCACCGCGGGAGTAGGATTCGGGAACTTCCATGGGCACATAGGCTCGTCTTTCGCTAGCTACTGGTCGAGCATAGTCCGAGACCACACGTCGACGGTAGGCCGGATCAGGTGGTGGCATCTCTTGAATGTATCGGCGATCTCCGTACGGATCTTGAATAACTGATGAAGCGCGAATACTGGGTGCACGGTGAGAAGCCCGATCATCATAGCTTTCACCTTTAGGCTGTGGGGCTCGGGAGATTGGACGCGGAGGTGGGGCCATAGGCTGCGATCGTCGAGACGGGATCATTTCATATTCATTGCCATGTTCGTCAATAACAAATCGACGCTGAGGAGCAGATGCAACCTGTGCTTGTGGTGGAGCTTCTTCGTAGTAAGGATCACGGTACACAGGACGTTGATAATCATCGTAGGCGACGTAATGAGAGCCAGGTGCGTGTACGGGTTGAACGTGCTCATAGTATCTAGGCTGTTCTGGGGCTCTTCTCTCCACGTATGCATAGGAAGCAGGTTGAATGTCCCGGGGGTCAGCATCCACATATTGCGGATAATCTGCCTGTCGAGCATATTGCAAGCTAGCAACTCGTCGGAGGTCTGGGTCGGAACGAAGTGGACGCCTGCTGCTTACCCGAGAGATGGTTCGTGGCGGCCCGTGGACGGCAACGGCCTCATGATATGGCTCTACCTCGTACACCGGGGCGCGACCTGAGATTTCGGGCCTTTCGAGAACGGGGGTGTACCGTGGAGATTCAACGTCAATGTAGACCGGCCGGGCTGGGTGTTGGCCGTGAACAGGAACAGGGGGGTCATCAGTGAACGGTGGAGGGGAAACTGGCTCCGGTTTGATGTAGGCCGTCGAGGATTCATCAAGTTGCTTTTGGTATGAACTTGTCTGAGAATCCTGACCTCTCTCTTGTACCCTTCTCCGCTTTCGAGGCATTAGCTCACCTGCCGGCGCGCTAGGGTTGGGTCGAATAGATTCCGGATCTGGTTGAGATCTTTCGGATCCAAATACTGTCTGCTCTGCTGGATGAACCACGGGGACTTGAGGCATTGCCAAAGGAGAAACGCGAGAGGGCCGGGGTGCAACGGGAGAGGTGATATGATTTCGGACAACTCTGACGTTCCTCGGGGAAGCTGGCTCGTAGGCGTCTTGGGCGCGGGTACTATGGCGGATTTTACTTGAAGCGTTTGTTGCACTCCGTTGTTCTCGGATGTCGATCGGGGGTGCTAACGACATGGGTGGAGAGTACTCCGGTTCTTCCGGGGCTTCGATCTGCTGCTGCACATCTTGATGGTGAGAGTCCTCGCCTTGGCTAGGATTTGAGCGCTTCTGAGCTTCAGGCAAGCCACAGTCAGCAACGTGATCAGTGTGCTTGCTCTGTTCTGATTCTGGTTGGTCCACAGCTTCCGGTCGCATACCCAACTCCATCATTCGACGGTACATTGCCGCAAATATTTCTTTTTCCGACAAACTTGATTTCTTCATCTGCTCCACTTCATTGTAAATCTCCATCAAAGCCGCGTTCGGGGCTGACGCCGGGGCTGGCGCAGCAGCGGGGCTGACAGGGGACGGTGAGGGCTGATCAACATTAGGCGGCGAGTCTGGGGCTTTACTGGAGTAGTAGGAATTGTCATCAAATGAGTCGTTCTGCTCTGTTATCTCGGTGGGATCGGACAACGAAACAGGTTTCACGATCTCCAGGCCCTTATGCAAGACCTCCGAGACATCAAAATCAGGCTTAGTGTCTTGAGCCAACGGTTTTTGCTTTAGTTCTCGTTTCTGCAGTTCGAGTTGCTCTCGAATCGATCTCTCCATCCTCTGTCGCTGTAATCCAAGTTCAGCCCGGACTAGATCATCAGACTTTGTCAAGAGAATAGGATTTATTTCCGAGGCAGGTTTGGCTGCGGTACGGATAGTAGGGGGGGGCATATGAAGAAGGGAAGGATGGATTGCCAGTAGTCCGAGAGTTATGGGGGACTGAAGGGGTCTCGAGGGGGGGTGTCCGCTACAGCTTTCTGTTTGAATCTTGCAGAGGAGGGACTTGATGTACCGTTTTGGCCAAGTCGCGTCCCCGGCTTCCGCAAAACGTGCTCAGGCACCTTGAGGCGCGGATGTATTCCAGATAATATCTCATCACGAATTTTGAGAATCCTTTCATACTCCTGCACCTCGTTGGGTGATCTGGGTGCTGAGTGTGCCATCAGTCCTGCTGAAATATGAGTTGTGCTCCCATGGGCTGTGGCCATGATCCCACACGAAGGGATAAGCAGAGCTTTGCACTGGGAAAGGGAATTTAAGTTGGCAATGACAAGATCCTCATGTCACCCCAGTCACAGTACCTAAGGTATATGAGACCTAAGCTTGGAGTGCGAGGCAGTTAGACTTTTTCACGCTCCCGATCTCAGAGATGTTTAAAGGGTTAACTCGAGAAAAAAGCGACGATGTTTCGCCAACCGGAGGTCCATGCGCGCTAACCCTGTTAGGCAACGCGTGAAAGGGGCGAGGCCCAATCACCTCCGCCACCCGCAGGTCGTGTATTGCGAATTGAAGCTCTTCCCTCCCATGCATCGCGCTTTCTTCTCGTGTGCTGCTCGAACCCTCTTTCATTCAACCGCTCGTATTCCTCGGAGCTATTTCATCTGTACACCTCGTACCTTCAGATACTCTGCAATGGCGTCTACCAGCCCCAATGGTACTAACGGTGTCAATGGTGCCAACAGTACCAATGACTCACGCCCAGTGTTCTTCTTCGACATTGACAACTGTGTACGTACAGGCATACAGAAGGCCGGAGACCGGCTCCTGTATCCAGGAACAAGAACAAAAGGCTAACAGAGAGTGCACAGCTATATTCGAAAGGTGCGACTGAGTTGTATCCGCAACAAACGATTCCCAGCAGGGCTTCTTCGATGACAAACAAGCGAAGGACTGACACTGACATGCAGCATGTAACGTCCATGATGAGATGGGAATACTGATCAGTATGTGGACTTTCTTTTTCCTTTGTAATATGCTGGGGCTAATCAGATTGCCGTTTTCTAGACAAATTCTTTGTTAAACACCTCAATCTTACATCCGAAGACGCACATATGCTCCACCAGAAGTACTACAAGGAATACGGTCTTGCCATTGAAGGCCTGACCCGACACCATAAGATTGATCCCCTCGAGTTCAACCGAGAAGTGGATGATGCCCTACCCCTCGACAACATCTTGAAACCAGACCCAAAACTACGAAAGCTACTTGAACGCCTGGATACTTCAAAGGTGAAGCCATGGCTGCTCACAAACGCCTACATCACCCATGGAAATAGGGTCATCAGACTCCTGGGTCTTGAAGGTATCTTTGAAGGTATCACTTACTGCGACTACGGTCAGTTGCCGCTGGTTTGCAAACCAAGCCAGGCCATGTATGCCAAGGCCGAGAAGGAGGCCGGTGCACCGAGTACTGACCAGTGCTACTTTGTCGGTACGTTCCGTCTCCATACGCCACGTTCCCCCTTTCTGGACTTCCTCTGATATCTTGTATCTCACAGATGATTCACATCTCAATTGTACACATGCTCAGGCCCGAGGTTGGTGCACCGTGCACTTGGTAGAGAAAGGACAACCTATTCCAAGAGTCCCAGCCTCTCGATATTTGATCTCAAGTCTAGAGGAGCTTCCTGTGCACTTCCCTCATCTTTTCAAAGAACCGAGCTCTATCTGAGACGCGAGATATAAGATCTCTTCAACGGTTTATTTTTTCTTAATAGACTTTGGGGACTAATCCCATTGTAATTTAGAATCCTGTATATATGAAACGAAGAATACGATACGCATTCGCCATTTGTTTGAGGGCTTTTTAAGTCAGTGGAATGCTTGGTCTATTAGTGAAACAAAATTAGAACCTCATATATGAGCATATGACGGATCACACTCCGTAGACTGTTAGAAATCCTTGATGCTCATCTGTCTCTTTTTTCCTTCCAATTGGCCCACTTGGATTACTCAACTGAGTGTGCTGGTGCGAACTCTTATATGCGACCTTAATGCCTCTGCATAAGAAATCAATTGAAACCCCCAAATACCCAGAGATTTTCAGAGGACTGATTCCATTAATTGGTAGATTTCTTGTTCGTCACAGTCAAGCTAATCTCTCAATCGTCCGGGTATAAGCTGCGATATACTTTCTTTTGATATGTCTATCGTTCGTCAGGCTGCTAATATCAGCAGGGCTCCTCCCCGTTGACCTTCCTACAATCAAGTGGTTGTTGCGAATGGTCTGGTTCTCTGCTCGGGGTAATTCCCCAAGGACATAGGCGGCGACCTTCTCAGTGGAACCATTCAGGATTGCGCTGGGAGTACTAGCACCATCCAAACATTTTATTTGGTGGTTTTTATTACTAGCGTGCTCACCATTCCTGGCAATATTCTTCCAGCATCGATGCATTAAAACTTCGAAAGCTATACCTTAGTCTCCTGGATCTGAACTGGAAAAGTCGTCGAGGTCGATGTTTTCCTTGCTAATATAGAAGACTCTGACCGTATGACGGAGGCTTGTTGGAATGGTTTGGAGAAGTCCAGCCTGCCAGAACGTAAGCTTGCTTCTTCCGCATGGATTTCTGAGCGCAAGACGGACAACGGTGTAATCAGCTGCGTTGCCGTCAAGACGCTTCTAGAAAATGCTGATTTCGAAATGCATTGCCCCGTATAAGAATTGTAGTCTGAGAGCTTGGTCTCATTCTTGGACCCGCGGAAGGGGGATTACCCCCTTTCTATGTGAGGATTTACTTAGCTTGAAATTTGTCGGCGGTGGATCTGAATGATATGTTCTTTCCTAAGATCAACCTTTACTCTGATCGGATTGAGTGTCTTAGGAACTCTTCGGTGCGTCCGAGAGTTGTTGCCTTTGGCGCCTCAGGCCATAAATGATCGGCGCCCACGCGTTGGACTCCTTAGTGCTTCCATCTCCGAGGCGTCTGTTGTCTTCTACCCCCAATCACGTCGCCAACTCCATCACATCGTGGGGTTTGATGCTCGACACCTACGATGGCCGGCCTAGAGATATCGCCTGGATCAGTGATCACACTAACTGATGGGCGACAAGGGACAATTCGTTTCATTGGCACCACTCATTTCGCCGTTGGTGACTGGATCGGTGTTGAATTGAAAGATGCTACAGGCAAGAATGACGGCGCTGTTCAAGGCGAGCGCTACTTCACCTGTGAGGCAGGCCATGGTATGTTTGTTCGACCAACAGCCGTGGCCTCTGTTCTGCAACAGCCTGCGCGGGAGAGTAAACAAACCGCCAGACCCGGTTCTAACCCAGTCCCTGGGAGACAGTCGATCTCCGCTGGCTCAAGGAAACCTGGGACTGTGGCTCCGAGTGTAGCCAAACGACAAAGCATTAATTCAGCGACTCCAACACCAGCTCCAAGGACGGCGCCCAGATCTTCTCTCAGGGTATGGCCTCGCAATCTCAGATACGCTTCTTCAAGTTATACTGATTTTTTTCGTCAATCATTAGTCCCCGACAAAATCCCCCACGAAACAACTATCGTCAACGGCGGCTCCTGCGCGCCCCTCGGTTGGTGGCCCTCGCACCTCTACGGTTGGTTCGACGCGCCCACGGCCTGCTCCCTCGACCCGATCTTCAGTAGGTGGATCTGGCACTTCGACAGCTGCATCTCGGACTTCACGCCCTTCTGTATCTGGACCGGCTGCAAAAATATCTCGACCTGGATCCCAAGCAGCTGGTGCACCGGTGGCTGCCCCGAAACGGCTCTCTGTGCGGCAAAACGACACCGCGAGAGCATTAGATAGCGGAGACACAGGAGCAAGCGGTCCATCAGAGGGGCACACAGATGCAGATTCAGGAGACGCAGAGGAAGATAGCCCAGAGGACGAAGAGGCTACTTCTGCACCTCCAGCCAAACCTGCTAGAACGTCAATGGCCGCTACTCGTACGGCAGCTTCACGGACAGGGGTCAGCACAGCAGCACAGCGCCAAGCCCAGAATAATGCCAACAATCGGGAACTGGAGGAGCTTCAGGCGAAACTACGCATTATCGAGAAGAAGCGTGCAGAAGATCGTGATAAACTCAAGGTCCTTGAACAACTGCAAACAGAGCGTGATAAATTCGAGTCCATAATCCAAAAGCTGCAGGCAAAATACCAGCCACAGCAGTTGGAGATCACTGAATTACGCAGGAAACTCAAGGATACAGAAGCCCATCTCGAGCAACTGGAGCGTGTGCAGGCCGAACATGAGTCCCTCATGGAAATGGCAACTCTCGACCGAGAAATGGCAGAGGAGACAGCCGAGGCTTTGAAGCATGATTGCGAAGCACTTCGATCTAAGATGGAAGAGCTCGAGCTCGAAGTGGATGTGCTCCGTGAGGAGAATGCGGCATTTGATCAAGATACAACTCCTGAAGATCGATCAAGTTACGGGTGGCTGCAAATGGAAAAAACTAACGAGCGTCTTCGTGAAGCCTTGATCCGCCTTCGTGATATGACACAGCAGCAGGAGGCTGAGCTAAAAGATCAGATCAAAGAGCTAGAAGACGATCTCGAAGAATACTCTGCGGTGAAATCTGAATTTGAAGCCACAAAGGAAAAACTTCTCGTGGCGGAGACCAACGTGGACGACCTCAAGCAACAACTAGAAACTGCACTGGGTGCGGAGGAAATGATTGAAGAACTTGCGGACAAGAACATGCGCTACCAGGAGGAAATCAACGAACTCAAAGCGGCCATTGAGGACCTGGAGGCACTGAAAGAAATCAGTGATGAGCTAGAATATACGCACATTGAAACTGAAAAGCAACTCCAGGAAGAGATTGACTATCGAGATGGTGTTTTCAGTGAACAGACACGCAAGATCGCACAGCAAGATGAAGTGATTGAGGACCTGGAGTACACGTTGTCTCGTTTTCGGGAGCTCGTTACCAACCTGCAGTCTGATTTGGAAGACATGCGTGCATCTCAGCAAATTTCGGAGGCTGAAGCCACCGACCTCACGACTCGGTCTCGAGCTATGATTGATCTAAACATGAAACTCCAAGCATCTGTATCCAAGGCTCAGACAAAATCTATCGATGTCGAGCTCAACCGCATGGAGTCCGAAGAAGCTACTCAACATCTTGCTATTGTCAAGCTTTACCTCCCCGAATACTACGATAGCGAGCGGAACTCCGTGCTGGCCCTTCTTCGCTTTAAACGTGTAACCTTCAAGGCCACTGTGGTGAACAACATTATCCGCGAACGAATCTCTGAGCAGTCCTCCATTACAAGCCATGAAGAGATCTTCAGCTCCTTGGAGGCTCTTGAACATCTTCTATGGATTTCTGCTGTTTGTGATCGCTTCGTCAACTTCATTAACGCTTGCTCGGTCGACCAATTCAGCAATGTGAAGATTGCCCTCGTCGAGATGGAGCCAGTAGAGCGTATGCTCAATTTCTGGATCGAAAACTTCAAAAAAAATGAAGTCAATATGAAGAAGTTCGATGTGGAGCTGCAGAGGTCCATTGCTCTGTTAGCCCACCTTGCGGAGACATTACTCCCCGAAACTCCAGAGACATTCGCCGATGCGCTTTGCATGAAAGCTGCCTTGTCTCAGTCGTATCTTGATCATGCGGCAACAGCGGTTGCACGTTTGAAGTCGCTCGTCGACGCTAAGTTATCCGCCCCTGGAGAGGATAGTGAAGAAAATGCTCTCTCTTTTGAGAAATTGGATGCTTTCGTTTCTCAGGCGCGGGGCTTCAAGGTAGCCATGGGTAAGATTTATCGGGCAGTTGAGGATCTACGTTCTCGATCTCTTGCGCTTTCCGACAGAGCTGCTGAGCCCTTCAAGAACGCTGAGTCTTTTACTCGGGACTTGTCGGATCTTACTCGGAAGCTCGGCGAAGCTGTTCTTAGCCTGACCAGTGAGGAGGGGCGTGAGGAGCCTGCTATTCTGGAGGATGTATTTGACAGTATGTCGCGAGCTGCTGCTGCTTTCGCGCAAGACTCTGAATCGGCAACTGAGGCAAATGACCCAGTCTCACTGCTCTCCAATAAGTTGCGAGACCTTGGTACTCTGCTGGAGGAATTAGACGCTATATCCAATGATCTTTCTCAGACGACGGAGTTTGAAAGAGGAGCTCATCCCTGGATTGCGCGGTCAAGTGAGCTCAAGTCTAACAAGACAATCTCACCCGACGCAGATGAGGAAATACGACGTCTTAAGAATGAGATCCACGAGGTTTCTACTGCTCTCGGCGTCAAAGATAACACCCTTGAAGAACAAGGTATCAAGATTGAACTTCTGGAGTCTCGGATGAAAGAAGCCAGCAAGAAGGCTTCTATGGTCAAGGATCTGGAGGTTAGGATTGAGGAGCTCCGAACTGCAAGTGCCGAGCTTCAGAAAACGGTTGATGAACAGAAGAAGGAGCTCCAGACTGCGGAAAACGAGCGCGATGACTACAAGACTCGTCTGGAAAGGCTGAAACGAGCATCTGGCACCGCAGGCGCTGGCGAGGGAGTTGTCATCGACAACGAAGCCTCGCTAGCCGCAGTGCAAGAGAATGAGTCCCTCCGTGCAGAAGTCGCCAGCCTTCAGTCTGCCGTCCGCTTCCTCCGCGAAGAGAACCGTCGCTCCAATCTTCTCAACCCATATTCTGTCCAACGATCCACCAATATGCATGCTTGGCTGGATGCACCTCTCACCCAAACCAACCCAACCACAGAGCAAGAGAAGATGCGACGCACTGCCTTGGAAAGCCGTGATGTCTTCACTCATCTATTGAAACTTACGAAGGAATCTCGAATTACAGACTTGAGATCCACCTTTGCGGCCTCGGACGAATCTGAGGATGCCACTGTCAACCGCACAGCCTGGCGCCCCGCCAAGTCTCGCCTCCGCTACCAGGTCCTCCAACAACGCGAGAATCTCGAGCACTGGAAAGAATGGCGTGATGACATTGTAGAATACGAGCGTGAGCAGGACCGCTTGGCTGCTGCAAAACGCGAGCGCGCTCTACGTGACCGTATGCCAAAGCATGCTCATAAGGGTTCCGTTGAATTTCCTCAAGGACTGGGCCATGGCATGATGGGACGGGCATGGCAGATTCTGGGCATGCAGAACCATCGCAAGACTGGGTCGATGGGTGGCGCTGGTCCAGATACCTTGGAGATTTTATCCTCCGACTGATAGTCCTATGGGGCCCGCTTTTGTACAGTATCGGTTGCTTTCTCGCATTTCGTGTGCATCTTTTCACCCTTTTAACTAGATACCCTGACTGCACATATCACCTGCCTACATACGAGTCTTGCTATCTCACTATCTCAGGTTCTGCCTGTCGCATCAAGTTACTGGTATTCTGTCATGATCATGGGAGCCCCGGCTACTTAGAATATGATGCATTTGCCAGTTGCCAATGTGATTCGTACTTATACTACTCACCTAGCGTCAGTGTATCCAAATTCTGGTGTGGCTAATGGTACTCAATTTGTATTCTGCCATGACTGCTAGTGTAGGCTTAGGACTCGAAGGTGAAGTTTCAAATTCATTCTGTCAAATAGAAACATTGAGCCCGATACCATGTAGATATATCATGCACCCACCACGATGTATAAACCGGAGAAATAGAAACGAAGATCTTCGCATACAATGAGATAGGCTTTCAGCTCTCGGGTCTCAGAAAGAAGCAAATTTGAAATTATTCCAGTGCCAGCGGTATCTCCAAGAATGTTCAGTGGCAATGGCCGGGGGTTAGAGATGATTTGGACAAGCAAGCGGGTTGATGCTCCAGCGGACATGGATTTTGGGGTATGATTACAAAGTTGGTACAGTATTCCATCAATCCATCGGATAGTCTGGTGGATAAGTCGTCCGAATTGGGGTAGTGGCTAACCTCATCGTCTCTCACACGATAGCCGGGGGGTTCGATTCCCCCATTCGGAGCAAGATTTGACTTTGTTTTTTTCTCCCCATGTCTTTGTCAAAATAATACTGGAAATTTTCATAATTCCTCACATATCCATCCCATCAAAATTATTATCTGCATTGATTGCATCTCAAAACAAACGCATAAGTGCGTAAGAAGGCGTCACGCGGAGCGAGTAGTTCGGTCATATTGAAGGCCATATACAAAGATTGGGTTCTCTGTTGACTCGATCTGCCTTTAATCTTTTCCGTATGCTTTCATATATACAAACTCTTTCTCCTCCACCAAAGTGAACTTCAAAGTTTCCTACTACTACTACTACTACTATTATAAAGGGGCGTTCCGGTAGGACTGAATGCAGTTCCAGTCTGCCGTGTGGCTAGCGGCTCGTGGCACAAGTGCTTTGAGAATGATATAGCATAACCCTAGTCGAGGGTATTGAAGGGTCTTCTCGTACAACCTATTTTGGACTCAGTCTCCCCCGATACAGGCTTCATCGAGATTAAAAACAGCACCTGATGGGCTCTGCTGCGCAGGAAGAGGTGATTTTTGCGTGCCAGGGAATGCTCACGTATTGCATGGTTGATGAGCAGGAAGCCAACTGCCCAAATAGTAATTCGTCTAATCATCTTGAATTGGATGTTCCTCAGTCTTTCGAGGCCGTGTAGCTAAGTGGTGTCACCCCCGCGGCCGATTTGTCACCATGTCAGGAACCATTGAGGTTATACCTGATGGAAGGGAGATCTACGCATCCTTGAAGCCATTTATAGAGCGTCTACGAGCCGGGAATGGCCCAGTGCTGGAAACTAAAACCCTTTGGATATATTTGAGAAACTGGATCAGAATAAGGGGAAATACAGCGTGCGTTGGAGGCTTTCCATACTAGTATTCGAATAGGCGACACAGACCAGAAGCGTAGAAAGGAGCATGTCTGACAGAATGGCGTATATGCGAGGAGCTCAAATATGATACCATCTATGACTCTTCTACACATGCTGTAGAACGATCTTGATTCTTTGCGATAGCAGAATATTTCGAAGGTTTCAATTAAGTAGCTGACGTAATTACAGGTAATTCAACCATTGCGAGATATATATCCAACCATTACCTCTTCATGTAGCACATGAAATACCAAATGCAAACCAGAAGCCCAGGGGGTATTGCGATAGAAACCAAAGATGCGCGACAAACGGGAAGAATAACAGCACTCCGCCCGAAGGAACTTCTTCGACAAGCGAAGAAACAGATAAGATCCTGGTGCCCGAAGGGCCGTGTGACCTAGAAAGCCAAGCCGATGGTCGATTCATTGAGTCGAGATTGGTCAACTGGGTGTGACGAGAGAGCATGACTCTTAGGTCGATTTTCATAGACTGCCGGGCGGTAAGCACCGGATTCGATACTTTTGTCGATGCTGATTGATGGACTGTGCATCGACACCCCAGGCGCAAAAGGATTGGTGAAGGTACTGGAGACTGAAGCATTGGTATGTCGGTGTTCAGCACCACCGGTGATCGTGGTAACAGTAGATCCGACCGTAGTACCGCTGAGAGTGCGAGTTCGTTCCCATTCAAACCCATTTTCACCCGCGAGGGAGACTGGTGGAGGAGGATAGCCCTTCTCTTGGAAGAACCATTTGGATACACGGTCCGGAAGAGGGACCGAGGCTATCGTTTTACGGTTTTCCGCTGGGTTGGAAGGGCGGCGCAATGATGAGATTCGAGATGGGAAAGTACGTGAGCTAGCTGTTGATGGAGAATCCTTAGAAAGGGGGAGAATATTCGGAACGTGATTCCAAGGGAACATCTTCCGATGCTCTCTGTTTGACAGGGGTTTCAGGCACTTTCACTTCCTTGGGTAGGATCTCTAGGTCCATGATAGCACTCGTTCGAACTGCCTCGACCGCACTAAGTGTGAGTTCGCTTTCATTTGAATCGGTTCGCTGGTGTGAGAAGGATGGCACTGGAGGCACTGGCGGTATGGGCTCGTACGCGTCTGTCCCGGACAGATCGATCTCAATTGGATGGAGAAGAGAGAAATGTGGAATAAGACCGCTGGCTACGCGGGCAGGTTGTGGCGGTTGGATCACCGACTCAAGATGTGCAATCGATGTCCGGTTGCCAGAACCCACTGGTTTGCGAGAGATAGTAAAAGCTCGACGCAGTCGAGTAGCACCTTCGGGAACGGAGGTCGATTGCTGATAGAGCTCTTGGAGGGACCGCCAGGGTCTGGCGTTGAGGAGAGCCTTCATCCACCTGGAATGAATCAAACTCAGGCAGATCCGATAACCTCTTCCCGTCACGATGAATGCTGAGCTCTAAAGGCTCGAAAGAAAGTTGGGTAGGTATTGGAGGCATAGCCTGGTATGATTGCACCCTTTGGAAATCCGTAGGAGCTCCTATCTTGACCGGCGTCATGGTGTTTCTCCTTCGGGAGATACTCATGCTTGCTCGATGGGATGCCCGCGAGGCCAGACTGCGACCTTCTTCGAGCCAATTTGAGAGGGAATTTGAACGTTCATGATGAAAACCGGGACTTGGAAGATCATCATAAACTGTGAGTTTCATGGGAGGGACAAGATGCGGCTGAGTTTGGCATACTTGCATTTCCCGTTCAACACCTGTCGCCGCATTCAGATCGATTAGCTGCTGGTCAAGATCATGAAAAGAATACACAGCGTCTCACGCATACCTTTTTTCTCCTGCTGCTCGTCCACCCGGTGGACGTCTTTTTCTTCAGGGAATAGACATGACCAGCACGGCCGGACCCAACCGTTCAATAGCGACTCCGCTTGCTCGAAAGCCGTCATAGCGACCAGCGCAGCAATATTAATCCATCGCCTTTCCTGAAGGGAGGATATGAGGAATGGGAGCACAAAGAAAAAGAAGGATACGGTCAAGACAAAGAAGAGTTAACACCAAAAAGTCGTACGAGAGCCCCCTCTCCTAGTGGACTTAAGGCTGCTTTCCTATGCGCCCGTGCGCTGCATGGGCAGTGAGTTGTTCCAGGCACGATGGGTAAGACCGGGTGCCGCTCGTGCTTGAGACTATTCCCGATGTGGTGAATTATCCTGCTGGCGGCAGCTCAGCACGTCCGCTGTTTGGTGGGGATCGGCCCTGCGGAGTCGACTACGAGTCCTGATTTGCCGACTCGAGGGGAGATGTCACATCTTTGCTTATCATGAGTTTTGGCTCTCCCTCGCGGTGGGGTGTCACACCTTTCGGCGCGTAGGGCAAAATCCGGCAAAATCGAAGTAAATCGCGACCGGATGTGCCCAAAAGGGCCCACAGAGAGCTCAGTTCAATGTCGTCGGGGAGTTGAGTCTTTCAAAGCCATGAAATGGAATTTCCTTGCCTGAAGATCCAGCAAACCCCATTTGATCATCCATCTTCGTAGTTGGATCGACCGCTGCTACGCCGAACCCGTGACAGGGAGGGTTTTGAAGCAAGCTCATTAAAACGAAAGGATCCAATGGCTCGTTTCATCGTCCGTTTCATTTCTAGATTTTTATAGCCCGACTGCGCAGAGAGATCAATTTCCTAGCAGGAGCCAATGACTTGCAGGGTCTGGAATGGACTCCTGAGGTTCGAATCCCAAAAAAGAAACGGGTTGGTAGAAGAAAGATTAGGCGCTAATGTAAGAACTTGTTACCGGCCCCACACATTTTCATCCTCCTCCAGGGCACCGTAGGTCCATCGAGTGGCAGGTCCATCTTCACGGGGCGCCTCGGCTGGGTCTTCCCTGGTCGGAGGCTCGGGCTCCTCCTCTTCGATTGGTTGTCCGCTTGGTCTCCTAAGATGAAGAAGAAACATGGTTAGGCCAATATTGCGTGTCAGCCAATCATCAATGACAAACTTACGAAAAGCGCCGGAGGTCAGCCTCAGTTGCATCGGAGCCCACTTCTCGCTGCGTTTGGAGGCGTGCTTGTTCCTCCCTGCCTTGGTCCTCCACAACAAGATCGACCAGCTGGCTTCGGTGGGACTTGTGGGAACTCGTGGAGCTTGCGTGGCGCTGCAAGGTACCAGGCTCATCGGCCAATGTAGACGATTTGTTGGTGCTGGCCTTCTGATTCCGCCCGCTGTCGCTGCCCGATGCTCTCCCTTTTCGGTGCGTGCGGGACTTTTTCACCTTCCCACCAGGAGGGGCCGCGTTGGAAGCTTGGTAGCTCCTGGTAACGGGAAGCCGCTGATCTCGCGGGATTTCGTTGGCTGTGATGACCGGGTACTACTCCGCTGTCAGTATCAAAGTAGACCTACACCGGAATTGTTTCATCTAGACTTACGTTCCAGTCCCCAAACTCCAGGGCCCGCGCATTCGTGAAGAGTCTCTCATCCTCGTCGTCTAGCGTTGTTTCAATTTCTCCATTAGTCTGATATCGGTCCGTGGGAGTGCGACTGCCGCGATCGCTGCCTCTGCGGCCACTAGAGTCGCGGCCAGCAAGCAGTGGGGTACGGCTATCTGCTTCACCCGGCTTCGCGTTTTCGCCAGGCTTTGGAATCCAATACTTGGCTTTTCCTCCACGCTCGTAACGCATGCCCTCCATGACTCTTTTAACGCGGGAACCAGATTCTGCATGAGCGATGATGTTGTCGCCCGAGTCGAACAGCCGGTAGTCGTAATTGTCTCCCCGGAGGGTCATCTTAGCATCCTCTATCAGGTCTCGAGCTCCAAATGCATCGCGCAGTGCATGTTTCACAGGGAGACGCGCCGCAGAAACGGTAGGGTCCGCATAGTCATGCCACGAGAACGCATACCAATGTGCAACAGCAAAGAAAGGCATTTCGAAACAGAGCAATGTGTCTTGAATTGCTGCAGCAAGGTTGTTAGGGGTATATCCGCCAACACCGTTCCCAAAAGCACCCAGCCATTGAAGGATTGACAGGAAGAATCCTTGCCAATACGACGCAAAGATAATCAGTTTTACACAGAGAAATTTGGGAACGGGGCGGAATGGGAGAAGATCGTCATGCAGGCACACCCAGAACATCGCCAGCGAATAGAGGCTGAGAGTGACGCTAGCATTGTATACAATGCTAGACCACAGGTAGCCTGACCCGAGATCGAGATAACCTTCGTGATATGTGTCTGTGGCTTTCATCACAATGGATGTAATTGCCAGGATAGGTTTCAGCACAACATATTGCAGAATACCCCGTTTGACAGCAAGAAAAGTGTGTGGGTCGGAGATATCAATCTTCGGTAGGCAATGGCTAAGTGGCCAGGCATGAGACACAGGTGGGCGTCCATGAGCCATGATGATCACCGCTCTTTCGCCACCAAGGAAGTTGATAAGAAGCTGGAAGAAGGTGTAGATAGTAAATGCCTGAATGCCACCAGTCAGCAAGGGTTCTTGCGGCATATAATGGACATGACAAACCTCATATATATCACGGATAGGGTCGAGAAATTGCGCTGCCGTGAGAGAGATTGTACTCGTCCATGACGCTGCGGCGAAGATAGGCACCCTAGTCTCTTATCAGCCCAGTCCGCTGCGGCTGTTGCTTTTTCAACTGAAGTCTCCAGCTTCTACTCACATCAGAAGTATGCGCACGACATATCTTTGCAGTAATGGCTTTCGATAGTTCTTTCTGTATGTATCCGGATTAGCTGCTGGGGGGTGACATCTGGTCGTATGGGACACTCGTACGATTGGAACCATATGGAGCTGCATTCGAATAAGAGGCATTAGCTTAAGCCAGGAAAGACCACTAGCCATGCGAGGCTGTCTGAGGACCACCAACTCACATGAAAGATAATAGCGATGCCACCAGAGCTGATACACCGGCGACGATAATGATCGCTCGAGCTAAGCTGGAGCCTGTGCCCCCGCCGGGGGAGGTCTTCGGTGCAGCAGACTGCATGATGGGCATAGGTCGCGGAGACTTTCCGCAAAGCTTCAGAGGTAGTGAGTCATGCCGAGTCACCCCTTATGGTCGCATTATTTTCCTGGGATGTAAGGAGTGTGGTGGAGGAAGCCAAGCTGAAAGAGGTCCAGGAGGCGGAATCCAGATGACGATCGCTTTCGCGTGACACCGCCCTCCCGCATTTCGCGACTTCCACCTCACACGTTCTGAACAGCACTTGGATATGAGCCTTCGCTTGAAGTTGGCTTGTGGATCACCAGTCCGATCATTGCACGGGCAATGATTATGCCGGCTGAAGGCTTCGCGGAGACATGGCCAGCACAAGCTTGACGGCGTCATACCTGACGCCGGACCCAAGCTTTAATTGGTTTGTCGAGCTTCAAATGCTTCTTAAGGGGCCCATTGCTAAAGATTATAGGTTTTTCCTCCTGGAGCTTATCGTTTGTATCATCCTGTAAGGAAGTCTGGTTTCTTAAAAAATAAACCTAGTGCTGATAAAGATTAGGGTCCTATTCTTCCTCCTTTACTTCAACCGGTTGTTCGCGACACTCTTATCCTACGGAATTCGCGCATACACCTGGCACTACTATCGCGTTTATGTCGACATAAATGCACTCCAGATATCATTGCTTGGTGGCCGAATATTTTTCAAGGGCATCCGATATCATGGCGCGAACGAGACAATCTTTATTCATGGCGGGTTCATAACTTGGAGATACTGGAAGCGCAAGGTGCAGCGCACCGACCTTTCTCGTAATTGGAGCAAAACCAAGGAACGTTCTGGAGAGGAGTCCCGGACCAAGAGCGACAGTTTTGGAGAACGAGAACAAGGCGGAGTGAGCAAGACGATTGAACTTCCGTGTCGGATTTCCGTCAAAGTCTATGGCCTTGAATGGTTTATCTACAATCGAACGCCTGCCTATGACAGCATCCTCGCTGGATTCGGCTATAAAAAAGATTCTGGGGGAGAAGACGGATCTATTTTTGGGCAAGATGATCCGTCCAAGTCTAAAGAGCAGGCTGGGAATATGTACGAGGCGGCCTCTGCGTCTGGTGCTAAAACGAGTCTCGACAATAGATCAGACAGGAGTTCTAAAAATCCTGATTTCAATTACCGGGATACCGAAGTTCGCGAATCCGAACTTGCCCCAGCAGCTTCGAGTATCCTGGAGCTGTTACCGCTCAAAATCGAATGCTCGAAAGGCGCCATTGTGATGGGAAATGAAAACACTCATTCTGTGATGACGACAACTTTTAGCGCTGCAAGTGGGACAATCGCAGCAGCAAGTGCAGGCCCGTTCGACATCTATCGACAGCTCTTCTCCTTTAAGATCAACCACCCGGTCGTTCAATTGCGCCCTAATCCCGACTTTAAGCAGAACCAGTTGGCAATTGCAAATTTATTGAGCACTGCAAAGGAGGAGTTGTCGGAGTCTGACCAAAAAAGAGAGAGTTCCTTCAATCCCCGGGTCCGACGACGTAAAATGTGGCATAGCCTACGTGATCTGATTCCTTACTTCCAGACCTCGGTCGAGTCGTTCTACATCAGCAGTAAGCAGAGTGAAAGCATGCCTCGAAGCCAGGCAGAGTTTCCGGAAAGTGTCCATTGGACCGGTCTTTCGCGCTACTTGGACGAAGATCAAGGCAACGACCACGAGATGTGGAGCTCAGTCGAATATGCAAGGTTTTCAACCATTCTTGACAGCGAATCCCTAGAAGTGACCTATTTTTGGGATTCCCCAGGCCGTGTCGAACCGGAACATCTTATTTCTCAGGAAGCTGATGGTGATATAAACCATACCCCACCCCCAGCATACGGAGTTGATCTCAAAGTTGACGGCGGAATGTTGAATTACGGACCTTGGGCCGATAGAGAGCGAGTAGGTCTGCAAAATATTTTCTTCCCAAACTTTTATCGCAGCTCAGAACCTGCGGAGCCCCTATCACCTGGCGGACTTCGCCAAAGTACAAAGTTCAAGCTGCGAGTTGAAATCGGTAAGGAGCTGTTCCTCCGTATACCGACCCGAGAACCCTCCAAAGACTGGCAATGGAAAGGTCGTGCAGATGCCATTCGCGGGAAGCCAAAAACAAAACAAGCTCCCAATGGAAAATCTCGTCCTAAAGAAGGCGATAAGGGGCATCTTGGCTCTGATATTCGTCCCTTTGGGTGGCTAACGCTTCGCGTGGCTGCTGATTCCACTATCAACTATACCATGGACATGACAGCGTCAAATAACGGGTTCCGGAATGAGTTGACTCTTGACTTGCGAGATTCGAAAATGACATCGAGCGTTAACCATGGAGTCCTGTGGAATTGCCCACGCCAACTGGTGACATGCGACCTGTCCAATCCATTAACCTGGAATCATCTACGTTCATGGAAGTTCCACGTTGAATGTCATGATATGGAACTCTTTCTTCTGCGAGACCATATTTTCTTGATCACAGACCTCGTGAGTGACTGGGGTTCTGGTCCTCCATCTGACTATTACACTTTCGTACCTTTTATCTACACCCTTGACCTCACTTTCTCTAACATCCAGCTCTTTGTGAATGTCAACGACCGGAACATCATCAGCAACCCATCGGATCTAGAGGATAACCGATTTATTGTCATTAAAAGCAAGCAACTCGCGTCAAACGTGACGATCTGTTTGGACAAGTATCAACCAGACCAAAATACCGTCAAGTTCAAAGTTAACCTTCAGGATGGTGGGGTGGACTTCCTCACGCCTGTTTGGGATACCTTTCATACATTTTTACCAGACAAGTCGCTTGCTACTTTAGATGGACTTGTGATTGATGGATCATACGATTATTTCCTCTCAACATCCCCGGATCTCACGGACACTCTACTTCTCAAGATAGACGGCGCATCTCCTCGACTTTTTCTCTATGGGTTTTTAATCAAGAGCTTCATGACCGTTAGGGAGAATTATTTTGGTGAGGAGATGCATTTCAAGACATTGGAAGAATATCAGGGACTGGTGCACGCGGAGGAGTCGCCAAAAAATCCTTCAGGGATCAATCCAAATCGCAAGTCCAATGACATGGATGTGTTGGTTCATGTCGCCGTTGACAGTGCGTGTGCGCTTCTTCCTGAAACAATCTATGATCACTTGACATGTTCTAGGCTCTCTGCCGCATCGCTGGATATTGATCTCCGATTCACAAACTATTACATGGATATGCAGTTGTCTCTCGGCCCCATTAAACTGGATTTGCAGTCAACTCAGTCAGATGGCTCCTCGTCTGTTTCCGAAACTCAGTTATTCATCGATGGCGTTTCCGTTTACGGCCACCGCGTCTTTGGATTGCCTCCTGACGAGCCAACCTATATCTGCAACTGGGATTTTGATGTTGGAAGAGTTTTGGGCGAATGCTCTACAGAGTTCCTTGCATGTTTAGCCGCCGGTGCCAAAAGCTTTGATTTTTCTTTCGACAATGAAGAAAACACACTGCACCCACTCTCTCCACCAGTCCTCCACGATGTGACCTTCGTGAGGGCTAGGGTTAATTCGATTCATCTCGCAGTCCTACTCGAAGATGTTGCGCTTATATTGAGTTCACAGCCTTTGAATGCCAATTTCAATGACTGGGAAAGCTTCCAATTTTCAAAGCGCGTGAGCTTGCTACTCCCAGATTTGACCATTGCGGCTGTGGATCGACAAATGGCGGCGAAGGCGCTTTGTTCACCTGAGAAGATAGTTAGCCCTCTCGGCATTATCAAGATGACAGTTGGTTTCAAGATGGCTTTGCGTAGGCATGATATCGCAGAAAGTCGACGCTTGCAGCAGGAGCATATCAGAAAACACGACCGAAGAACCCATCGAGCGCAATGGCTGCTATTTGATTGGGAAGAAGAATTTGATCCAATTGCGTCTATTCCCCACGATGCTGATTTGGTGCCTCCGACTATGGCTATTCCCTCAATGCCTGAACCCATAAATCTGAAGACCAGGTCTGTGCGTTCGCCATCATACAGAGGCTTTCCAGATACCCAGCCTGCTGGAAGGCCAAGTGGCTTTCGTATACCCTCCGAAACTTCCAGCATGAAGAGCGCCGGGTCTCGTGCTTTCCGCGTTCCTCCTATCTCCCGATCAATTTCCGAGCCTCAAGAACGCCCACCACCACCTGACCGCGATGCTAGCTGGACTACTTTCCAACCAGGGCGCGGTAGAGATAGCGAGAGCTTGGGCTATTTCAATTTCAAATCGGCCCCTTACTCCGCTGCGGCAATTAGAGATGCAAACCCTTGGAGTCCGCCGCAATTCTCTTATTATAAGTTGTGTCTTGATACCTCTGAGATCCAGTCTTCGGAGAGCAGCCACAATCCTCGTCAAGAGGATGAGCCCAACAGAAATCGAAGGTCTATGTTCCTGAGCTTTGAAGATGACCAGACAGCACATACAAATTTTGCTCTAGACGTCCCACAGGGCATTAAAGGCTTTTGTACACCGAGGTTCTTGCTCTGTTTGGCATCCTTGCTTGATGGGTTGGAACCGAAACATCCGGTTCAAATCATTGACTCCCTGCAAAAAGATGTCATATCTGACATTGTTGGCTACGAAAAATCCATGAGTCAACAAGCGAAGATTGCGACTGCCGTCGCCCTTCGAATTCCAACCATCCAACTAAGGCTTGTTGATATTTCTGATTCCCCCAATAGCAAGCATGTTGAGTTTCAGGATGAATATAGAATCGAGGTCCACCGTCTTCGAACTGAGTTTCAAAGGAGACTCCAGAGACAAAAAGGTGATCTTCTGGAGGGTATCAAGCAAGGGATTACAGTCCATGCTGCGGCAGACCACCTTTCGGTATCTGTTCAGGGCAGTCGGACGGATGCGTTCCAGGAGAAGGCCACATTCACCTGGGACCTGGGTGATGTGAATTTTTGGCTGGCTACTGTACCCAATGTTCGCTCCCATCTGCAGATGCGGACATTTGATACCGTTACATCCGCCAAGTCGGTTGAACGATTAGCGTTCCTTGTGCGACGCGCGACAACGATGTTTGACTCTGTTGCATCTTCTTTCCAGCAAGTATCTGCTGTGAGCAAGCGGAGGCTACGGTTTCTTGTCTACTTTACGACAAAGTACGCCGCCCAGATTCCAGATCCAATTTTCCTAACACGCATCTCATATGTCTTGCGATTGATTTCGAAACACCTGCGCCAGCATGACTCATGGAAGATCATTTCACGTATCCGAAATATTTACAAATGCCTCCCAGTGCATCACAGACACGAACTGGAAAGTACATGTGCGGGCGACTGTCTTTCTCTTCCTTCTAATGCTCAGTCAATAGTCCTTACTGGATTTGATCAATGGCGTGCATGGGACTTGGCTCATGTTGAAAAGAGCTATGTAATGCGCAGAATTTGGCCAAGCCCTCCCCAACGGAAGACATCCCAGTCTTCAGTGGCATTCTCTTGCAACATCAAAACGCTCCGATTCTCACTTGACCCTGGCCCAAGGGAGAGCGATTTCATTGTTGAAGACGTCTACACGGCCTTCGCAGTCAGGCCAAACAACACGGTCCTGGAGAACGATAAGATGAAGCTTAAGAGGCTCATCATGCTTCAGGCATTCTGTTCCTCTGCTGATTTACGTCTCCGGTGGGAAATTGCCGATTTGGTCGAGGGCATAATGAAGGTGATGTCAAATGTCACGCTCAAATCCACCAATGCCCAACCAGCACCTCCACCGGAGGGTCGCGAGCCAAGTGAAATACACATAACTTTCGGCTCGGATTTCGGCTCTATCACCCTTGATTGCATCAATCTCCAGATAGCTTTGAGCTCTAGGGGTCTGCGTGGCTCCATTGTCAATCAGTCTGCTGGTGGCAAAAATGCAAAAATGCAAGAGCTGGCCCTGCTTTTTAGTGCTGAGGCAGGATCATTGGCACTTTCTGGCCAATCAAGGGTCCTGATGTTCACGAAGATTGCCAATCCATACTTGTACCTCTCGCTGGTTTCCCAAGAAGATGAAATTCAATCGCAACAAGACTGGAGAATGGCAGGGTCCTGCAGAAAACTTCGTTATGACATGAAAGAGGACCCTGTGAGCCTGGCTCATACCATGGATCGTGTTATAGATGATGAAGTTAGGTTTATTCAACAGCTCATTAACAACGTCAAACGTTCCGAGACAGAGGTTGCGGCACAGGAGACAGAGAAGCTGCCGGCTTCAATCAAGTCTTCTCACAATAGCGTGAATGTGGCAATGTTTCTGGATGATTATCGCCTGTCCTTTGGTCTATTGCCATCTTTGACGTATGTGGTCTCGGGTGATGTTGCGCGAATGTCAGTTATGCCTGCTGCGAACTCACAAATCGAGGTTGATTTTGACGTGAAGAAAAATTTGCACAAATTCATTTCCGGCGAAGGAAACAAATCTCGCGCTCTCTCAATTATGGAATTGCCTCCTACGAATGGTCGCATTCTTGCTAGTCTCTCAGGGATCCACAAACAGCTGGAGGTTGACATGACTGTCGAGACAATTCGTCTCGAAGCTAGTGCGGTGCGCAGTCTACTAAGTGTTTTGACTGGGCCTGATGTCTCGCATCTTCTGTCGGACCTCAAACAAAATCTGGATGTCCTCAAATCCCACCTAAGCGACGTGGTTTCATTACCTAAGGTACAGCCAAAGGAGAAACCTGTTTCGGAAGATTCAGTGATTCTGTACAAGTCTCGGCTGACCATGGTCGGCTTCGAGATTCATGCCATCGCGCCCAGTGCTAGCAAAAAGCACCATGCCGCAGAGATGTTGTTCAGCTTGGGAATGATGCAGATGCGTCTTGAAAATAAAGGAGATGGTGGATACCCCATGGATTATCCGGAATTCAGCATCGATGCTTCGCAGATAAAATGTGAATTGATGCGGCAGGAGGATGGCCGAAGGAAGTCTTACGGCGGCTTCTCCCTTGGTGTCAAGCTTCAAGGAACGTCTTCAGCCCGCGAGAATGGTGAGGTGATACGCGCTTATCATCTGACAAGTGATAAATTTGACATTGAGCTGTTTGCTGAGACGGCTGCGTTAGTCGTGGACATTGCGATCTATACGCAAGAGCGTATCAAGAACTTGGACCTGTCCCACGAGGTAAAACGGCTGCGCAGGCTGCGGCATCGCAACCACATTGAGCACCCCGGCCCAGAAATGCCTAAGATCCAGATCGAGAGCGAAGACAACGCCACAGCAGAGACATTCCTGAACGCGATGTACTCGCTTGAGTTCCGGGCCATTCAAGTCGCTTGGAACATGGCATCTCCATTGTCAAGTGGTTCTAACCGTCAGCCGGAAGATTTGGTATTCTCGATTCAGCAAGTTGAACTGTCCAACAAGAAGAAAAATTCAGCTAGACTTCGGATTGCCGATATGCAGCTCCAAATGGTGCCATTTCACGCAGACAGGAAGAAGCGCTCGTTGAACTCAGCTCTCATGCCTGAAGTAGTCTTCAACGTTGCCTACTATTCCAGTGGCACGGAGCTGCGGCTTGCGTTCCAAGCGGCGGGTAAAGCGTTGGACATTCGTGCGACTTCTGAGTTCATCATTCCCGGAAATATGGTTCGAAACTCTATTGCGTCTGCAATCGAGGATTTACGAGAGGGCAAGATCGCATGGGCCACGAAGTCTTCTCCAGACCCTGAAAGCAGCACGAAGGACCCCAGTCTCTTTGGTAACAGGAAAATTTGTTCTGTCTACGTGGACGTTGACTTTGCCGGTGCTACTGTTTCTCTGCAGGGAAAGCAAGGTCATGACCCCCAGACTTTGATGACTGCCACTCTGCAAGGTAGTAGCATTTCAGAAGCGAAATATGGCCAGTATGTTCAAAGGAGACTCAGCAACCACAGCCACCCTTCGTGCGCCCGGCGTTGCTTTTAAGATCCATTATGATGACAAGGGGTCCGATGATCCAGCTCTGCATGCGGAGTTGCGGGTTGAGCCATCCACCAATGTCCTCTACCCCACATTAGTTCCTTTGGTTAAGCAGATGACTGCCACTGTCAAAGAAATCATGGGTGAGCAGCAGTATAACCGCTCCCGTCGGCCTTCTGCTGCAGCACGATTGCAACCACAGCTCTTGATGCAAGAGACGCCGTTCGGAGAGCCAGACCCGACTTCCATTCTTGGACGTTGCAAAGTGAATATCGGTCTACTGTTCTCCAAGCAAGAATTTACTTTGAGCTGTCAGCCAATTGCTCGGGTAGCGGCTACAACTAGATTTGAAAGCGTGTACGTGACAGTCAATACTGTCCAGTCAAATGAAGGCCGCTTCCTTGCTCTGTCTCTGGCATTTAACAGCCTGGAGGCCTCTGTCAAACATGTCTACTCCAACGAGTCCACGGCTAGTTTTGAGGTCCGGTCGATGGTTTTGTCTCTAATGAACAGTAAGCATCTGGGTCGCACGAGTGGTATCTCGGCTATCCTCAGAGTAAGCCCCATGAAGGTATTGCTCAATGCCAAGCAGCTACAAGATTCGTTACTTTTCCGGGAAATTTGGCTGCCGTCCGATGACGAACCACCCGCATCCAGTCCACCTTTGAAACCAGGGCCACCGGAACCACAACAGCCAGAGGCTCAGTCATACATTGTTCAGCGTTACCAGCAAGTTTCTTCCGCCTCTGCGTTCCCTGGAATACAACCATCGCGATTGAAAAGCTTGAAATCCAACTTGATTTGGGATCAACCTTGGGCAGAGCACAGTTTGCTATCGATAATCTGTGGGTGTCGACCAACAAGACATCGCACAATGAGCAAAGCATGTGTATCAATTTTGATTCCATTGGGATTGAAAGTAAAGGACGCTTAAGCGGAGTTGTCGAGCTACGACCCCTCAAAGTTCGCACATCGATCAAATGGCCTGAAGCACGCGAGTCCGGCAATACGCCGCTCATCCAGGCCTCTATCTCTTTTCATCATCTCCAAGCCAAGGTTTCGTTCGACTACCAGCCATTCTTAGTGACACATATCGCCATGTTCGACTTTTTGATGTACAACGTGCGTGAGCCATCTGGCGAGCAAAGCCAGCGGCTATTCAGTATCCTTGAAGGCGACGAAGTCCACGTATTTTGCACATCACTCACTGCATCACAAGCTTTGGCATTGTACCAGGCTTGGCAGCGCCTTGTTCAAGATAAGCAATCCGCCTACGAAGCTTCAGTGCGCGAAATAGAGCGCTACCTTCGGCGCAAGTCCACCGTTCCTTCTGACCGAAAGGAGTCTCAGCCGAAAGAAAGTGCCGAGAAGGAAGAGGACTTCGAAAAAGCCCCAGGGACACTCCAGACAAGTGTGGTGGTGAAGATTCAACACGTCAACCTCGGGGCCTTCCCCAGTTCTTTCTTCGACAATCAGATCCTCAAGCTAGACGCGCACGATGCGGAGGCCCGGTTTGGTGTCTCTCTCGAATCCAACAAAATCCATAGTGCGTTAGGCCTGACTCTCGGTCAGCTACGGGTGGCGCTCTCAGGCGTCAATCGCCCTAGCTCCGGGCAGCTCGAAGAGCTTTCCATAGACGACCTTGTGCAGCGTGCGTCTGGCTCGCGAGGCGGGACAATTCTCAAAGTCCCGCGCCTTGTCGCCGGAATGGAAACCTGGCAAATGCCGGGCACCCGGCAGATCGACTACATTTTCCACAGCACGTTCGAAGGCAAAGTGGACGTCGGTTGGAACTACTCTCGCATCAGTTTCATCCGGGACATGTGGGAGACGCATTCGCGTGCACTGGCGACACGGCTTGGTAAGCCGTTGCCGCCTTCTGCGGTGCGCATTACGGGTGGCCCTGGGATCAGTAATGGCTGTGGCGCTGGGTCTCAAGGCGGTGGCGCTGGATCCGATCAGCAGGAAAAGATCACCGCAGTGGTCAACGTGCCCCAGTCCAAGTATAGCTACACAGCACTGGAGCCGCCGGTAATCGAGACGCCACAGCTGCGGGATATGGGAGAAGCGACGCCGCCACTGGAGTGGATCGGTTTGCAGCGCGATAAGTTGCCTAATGTCACGCACCAGATCATCATTGTTACGCTACTGGAGATTGCTAAGGAGGTTGAGGATGCGTATGGAAAGATTCTGGGAACCTAAGATACCGCCCTGGAGTTGGACGTGTTCCCTTTTTCCCTTTTTTTTTTCCCTTTTTCTTTTTTCTTTTTCTTTCCGACTTGTATATGCATTTTTGCGTGGACAAGTACATAGTGTAGCCTCCTTTGTACAGGCTTGAGAGCTTGGGACTGCACAGGACGGCGTTGTGTTGGCCCCTTTGCATTTTGTGTATTTTTACTAGAGTTTTATCCCGAGCTTAGCAATATGGTCACTAACTAATATCCGCGTTAACTCCACGGAGCTCCGCGCTTCGCCGGAAACATTGTCATTGAAGCTCCATTGGTCCTAGTAGTTGAAGCTGCACTCTGTGTAGAAATAATAGAAGACATAATCGTACTAGTGTCGATGACTGGCCGACGAACTTGAGGCGGCACCGTGAAGCTAGGGTGGTGCTTTTATATAGTTATAGTATGACTATTGGTATTGATCGGCTCGTCTCCCGCGCTCGGTATCAGGCAATGGCTTACGCAGCGCAGAAGCCACCGCTAAGCTACTAGTGAGAAGCTTTGTATTATTGGCAACCTGAACCTGCCTAGGACCCATGTAGGTAACTTTTACGTCCTATATTGGTACGTCTGATAGTAGCTTTATATTATGTTTATAGGTATTCTTAATGCGTACCCTGTCCACCGTACCTGTCCTATGTAATAAAACTCCGGATAGAGCCTCGAAACCTTCTGCTTGTCGAGGGCAGATCTGAACAACTGGCGTTCTATGGCGTACTAGTAGGGGATATGACCGAGACCGTATCAAAAGTCATAAAACCTAACAGCCGGACTGTATTGCCAAATTAGTTCTGCCGCAGAAAGGCATTATTAATCCACATCCCACCACCCCGCGCAGGCGGTGAATAGCGGGGCGGGGACTGTACAGAATTGGCAGACAAAGATAGGCCAGGGCTCGTCAGGCAATTTTCTTTTACTTTGCTGGAAATCCACTAAACCCGATCCTCCTGCTATCATAAGCTGTGAGTGATTTTCGAGAGGTTGGGCTCTGACAGCTTCCACGTAGAGTCACCCGGAGAACCACGGATGAGGGCATGATCTGAGTCATTTCTGAGTCCTTAAGCTCAGAAAGCTCTGTGAGAAAAAGAGTCAGATCTCAGATGACTCGTAAGAGGGAGAGAAACCTGAACAGTAGGATAGGATTGTCGTAGCAACACGGACTAATCGGAGGATGCGAGACGCACACAAACCCGGAGCGGGGCAAAACTGGGAAAATGGTCCCCACTTTCGCTCGCAGTAAATTTTTTCTCCCACTTTTCCTCTCCCCCTCCTCTTCTCCTTCTCTCTTCCATCTCCCTCGGAGCAGTTGCACATAGGCTTGCTTGATCTGGTCCCTTGGTCCTGATCATCTGTGTGTTTCCCTGCCTCTGTTTTCTTTTCCGCCCAAAAATAATACCCCTCGACCGAGGAAAAAACCGTCAAGATGGTTAAGTACGTTACCCCTCGCTATCCCCCCAAATGGGAAGACGTGCTAACATGCATCTCTCAACAGCTTCACAATTGAGGAGGTGTGTTTATACTTTCCCAAGGGTCGTCTGGACGAATTACCAGAGATTCTCCTGTCGAAAACCTCACGATATTTGATTCGAAACTAACTAAGATGTGTTTGATTAGATCCGGTCTCTGATGGACCGCCGGGCTAACATCCGGAACATGTCCGTCATTGCTCACGGTATGTATATGGTTTTCTCCGCTGGAGATAACAGCATCAAATATGCAAAGATGATCGACGGACTAACGTCCAATCTTTTCTCCTTACAGTCGACCACGGAAAGTCCACCCTCTCCGACTCTCTGGTCCAGCGTGCCGGTATTATCTCGGCTGCTAAGGCTGGTGAGGCCCGTTTCATGGACACCCGTCCCGATGAGCAGGACCGTTGTATCACCATCAAGTCCACTGCTATCTCCCTCTACGCCAAGTTCCCCGACCCCGAGGATCTGAAGGAGATTCCCCAGCAGGTTGATGGTCACGAGTTCTTGATCAACTTGATCGACTCCCCCGGTCACGTTGATTTCTCCTCCGAGGTCACTGCTGCTCTGCGTGTCACTGACGGTGCCCTGGTCGTCGTCGACTGTGTCTCCGGTGTCTGTGTCCAGACCGAGACTGTCCTGCGCCAGGCCCTGACTGAGCGTATCAAGCCCGTTCTGGTCATCAACAAGGTCGACCGTGCTCTTCTCGAGCTTCAGGTCTCCAAGGAGGACCTCTACCAGTCCTTCTCTCGTACCATCGAGTCCGTCAACGTTATCATCGCCACTTACTTCGACAAGTCTCTCGGTGATGTCCAGGTTTACCCCGACAGAGGTACCATTGCTTTCGGTTCCGGTCTTCACGGCTGGGCTTTCACCGTCCGCCAGTTCGCCGTCAAGTACGCCAAGAAGTTCGGTGTTGACCGCAAGAAGATGCTGGAGCGTCTGTGGGGCGACAACTACTTCAACCCCAAGACCAAGAAGTGGACCAAGAGCGACACTGATGCCGATGGAAAGCCCCTCGAGCGTGCTTTCAACAGCTTCATTCTCGACCCCATCTTCAAGATCTTCGCTGCTGTCAACCACAACAAGCGCGATGAGATCACCAAGCTCCTCGAGAAGCTCGAGATCTCCCTGGCCAGCGACGAGAAGGACCTCGAGGGCAAGGCTCTCCTCAAGGTTGTCATGCGCAAGTTCATCCCTGCTGCCGACGCTCTGCTTGAGATGATCTGTATCCACCTGCCTTCTCCCGTCACTGCCCAGAAGTACCGTGCTGAGACTCTGTACGAGGGTCCCGCTGACGATGCTGCCTGCATTGGTATCCGTGACTGTGACCCCAAGGCTGCTCTCATGCTGTACGTCTCCAAGATGGTCCCCACCTCCGATAAGGGTCGTTTCTACGCCTTCGGTCGTGTCTACGCCGGTACCGTCAAGTCCGGTGTCAAGGTCCGCATCCAGGGTCCTAACTACGTCCCTGGCAAGAAGGAGGACCTGTTCATCAAGGCCATCCAGCGTACTATTCTCATGATGGGTCGTTTCGTCGAGCCCATCGAGGATGTCCCCGCTGGTAACATTGTCGGTCTGGTCGGTGTTGACCAGTTCTTGCTCAAGTCTGGTACTCTGACCACCGACGAGACCGCCCACAACCTGAAGGTCATGAAGTTCTCTGTCTCTCCCGTCGTGCAGCGTTCCGTTGAGGTCAAGAACGCCCAAGATCTGCCCAAGCTGGTCGAGGGTCTCAAGCGTCTGTCCAAGTCCGACCCTTGTGTCCTGACCATGATCAACGAGTCTGGTGAGCACGTCGTTGCTGGTGCTGGTGAGCTCCACCTTGAGATCTGCCTGAAGGATCTTGAGGAGGATCACGCCGGTGTTCCCCTCCGTATCTCCGACCCCGTTGTGTCTTACCGTGAGACCGTCACTGCTGAGTCCAGCATGACCGCTCTGTCCAAGTCCCCCAACAAGCACAACCGTCTGTACCTGACTGCCCAGCCCATGGAGGAGGAGGTCTCCCTCGCCATTGAGTCCGGCAAGATCAGCCCCCGTGACGACTTCAAGCTGCGTGCCCGTCTGATGGCTGACGAGTACGGCTGGGATGTTACCGATGCCCGTAAGATCTGGTGTTTCGGCCCCGACACCACCGGTGCCAACTTGCTGGTTGACCAGACCAAGGCCGTTCAGTACCTCAACGAAATCAAGGATTCCGTTGTCTCCGGTTTCCAGTGGGCCACCCGTGAGGGTCCCGTTGCTGAGGAGCCCCTGCGTTCCGTCCGCTTCAACATCCTTGATGTTACTCTGCACGCTGATGCTATCCACCGTGGTGGTGGTCAGATCATCCCCACTGCTCGTCGTGTCCTGTACGCCGCTACCATGCTTGCCGACCCCGGTCTCCTCGAGCCCATCTTCAACGTCGAGATCCAGGTCCCCGAGCAAGCCATGGGTGGTATCTACGGTGTCCTTACCCGCCGCCGTGGTCACGTCTACTCCGAGGAGCAGCGTCCCGGTACTCCTCTGTTCAACGTCAAGGCCTACCTGCCCGTCAACGAGTCCTTCGGTTTCCCTGCCGACCTGCGTTCCGCCACCGGTGGTCAAGCTTTCCCCCAGTCCGTCTTCGACCACTGGGCTATCCTGCCCGGTGGTTCCCCTCTGGACCCCACCACCAAGCCTGGCCAGGTCATCACCGAGATGCGCAAGCGCAAGGGTCTCAAGGAGGTTGTTCCTGGATACGAGAACGTAAGTCTTGAACTAGATCCCTTCGTCCCCAATCCACCAGTTACTAACTTCTGCTCCAATAGTACTACGACAAGCTGTAAAAATGGTCACCGCCAACCAGATTGCGCCACTGCCAGTCATCGCGTGGAATATCTTTTTATGAAATTGATGAATGCAATACAATTTCCTAGTTCAAACAAAATTCAACACCCGCCGATGGGTTTGCTTCAATTATCGCCGTCCTTTTAGAAAACTTTTCAGGGTTGTTCAGGGCTCTCTTGAAAAGCTTGGTTGCTTTGTCTCCATACTCGTTTTATGATCGCCATGCTTTTTCCGTTTTGCTTCATGTCTTTTTCTTGCTTCTGTCAAGCTACCAGCTTGGATATGAAATCAAATTGGTATGCTTGGCGAGCTGTCTGGCAACATCGTAGATTCGTAGTTCTTTCATTCTGAGTCCATCCATAAGAATCATGGATTATACTGCGTAGTTGTAGACATAAGACTAAGAATCAGAATATACAAAGCCCATTCATTGTGTGCTTCGGCCAAGCATTGGCGGAAGTTGAGAATGGACACCAACCGATAGTGATAGAGTCACGTGATGATATGAACTGCGTCGCGTTTTCAAATCTGCGGTCTCAAACTCCTTTGTTCCTTACCATGGCCCGAGGTGGTTTCTTCTGATTTAACTTACTTGACAGTCTCAGAAGGTCCCCCATTTGATTGTCTACACGCCCAGGCAAATCGCAAGCCTTCCTCCAATTGCGTAGCCTCCTACTGCTTCCCACTCCCAGTCTCTGAGACAAGAGTGGGCACGAATCCGTTTTTACAAACACCTTGATTGGCCTCGACTGGTCGCCAAATCCACCTTCACGATGCATTTCACAGAGCAAGAAACCGCGAACGTGAAGTCATGGGTGGTTAAGAAATTGGAGGACATGTGAGTGCATCTCGGTGGCTGCCCAATCTAATATCGCAAGAGCATGTAATGGCTGACTGTTATGCGCAACGACATACAGCTCTGACGCAGACTCTGATGTCCTTGCGGACTACGTCCTCGCGCTCATCAGCTCTGATGCGCCGGACGAAGAAATCCGCCAGATCTCCATCGACAACCTGGAGGATTTTTTGCGCGAACGTACGTCACCCACTACTACCCCTTCCTCAATCTCGACTATCGCTAACATCCAATTGAAATAGATACAAAGCCCTTTGTGGATGAGCTCTTCGCCTCTTTCGGCCCCAAGGACTCCCAGCCTGCTCCCACTTCTCAAATCCCCGCACAGCAACCCGCGCAGAACTTTCCCCAGCCTGGAAGCCAGCACCCATTCAACGCGCCCACAGGCCCCCGCAATGATTTCAATCGAAAGCGCACGTACCAAGAAGGATTCCAAGGCGAGCAAGACCTTGGAAATAACATGCAGCAGAACCGCGCCATCAAGACTCCGCGCCGCGGCCGCGGCGGCCGCGGTGACTGGAATGGTGGCGGTCATGGCCAGTCCTCCCAGCAGTTTCCTGGCCAGGCGCCTGGCTTCAACATGATGTCTGGGTTCCCTCCCTTCGACCCAAGTGACCCTATGGCAGCTATGATGATGCAGAGCATGCAGGGAATGGGGTTTCCTGGTATGCCTGGCATGCCGCCTATTGCTGGTCAGCCGGGCTCCGAGCAGATGGCGGGGCAGCCGTGTCCATTCTATGAACAGCAGGGCATATGCTACCTTGGTGGTGCTTGCCCTTACGCGCATGGCGAGGGTGCTGGCAAAGGTGACGGTAAGATACGCCTTGGATAATGTGATCACCCCCCCCAGAAGAAATCATTACTAACAACCTTGGACACAGAGTATGACCCCAAGACCGCATCTTTAGCCACCGACTCAAATCGGGACGGTGGTTCATTCCGCGGGGATAGAGGACGGGGCCGTGGCCGCGGGGGTAACAGTGGACGAGGACGCGGCCGGTCCGATTTCTCGTCTGCAGGACCAAATGAAGACCGCTCTATTACTACTATCGTGGTCGAGCAAATTCCTGATGACAAGTTTACGGAGGAGGCTGTGCGCGAATTTTTCTCACAGTTTGGCAACATCACAGAAGTTACATTGCAGGCCTACAAGAAGCTCGCGCTGGTCAAGTACGAGACTTATGCGGAGGCCAAGCAAGCGTGGTCTAGCCCGAAGGTTATCTTTGATAACCGCTTCGTCAAGGTCTACTGGTACAAGCCAAAGGACACGCACAAGAACGGCGAGCCCCAATCCGAGCCCCCCCGCATTTAACAAGGAAGAATTCCAAAAGCAGCAAGAAGAGAAGCAAAAGGCGCACGAGGAACGCTTGAAGAAGCGCCAAGAGACGGAAGAAGCTAAACAGGCCCTGGAACGTCAGCGTGAAGAACTCATCAAAAAACAGCAGGAAGAGAAGGCCCGTCTTCTCCAACGTCTCGGGAGCTCAGCGAGCAATGATGCTGGTGACGCCACTACAGGAACCGGCGAAGCCCCCGCGGATGAAAATGTGAGTGAAGAAACCAAGAAACTCCGCGCACAACTCGCTGCCCTCGAAGCCGAAGCCCAGACCCTTGGACTCGATCCGGCGAACTCTCCTCGCGGTGGCTTCCGTGGCCGTGGTGGCTTCCGTGCTCGAGGCGGCTTCCGTGGACGTGGCGGATTTGATCCTTCCTTCCGGGGAGGATATCGCGGACGAGGAGGATTTGCGCCTCGTGGCCGTGGCGGTGTCTTACGACTGGATAACCGGCCACGACGCATCAATGTACCTGGCGTCGAGCTCAACTCGGATAAAGATGAGGCACTGCGCCAGCATCTCATTGTACGTTTTATCCTACGGTCCCAGGCCGATCGCGTTGTTCATCTGTTGACTCGCTAACTATCTTTATTAGGGCCTCGGTGGCTATGAGTCTATCGAACCAAACCCTGACCAGCCCGGCTCTGTGATCGTGGCTTTCAAAGAGCGGTACCAGGCTGAGAAGTTTATGGTCAGTTCCTGGAAGAACCCAAATGCCGGGGATGCTCAGCTGTCCTGGATGCCTAACTTGCCTGCTGCGTCACCGACACCTACCTCGACGGAAGCGAAAACTGCGAATGGGAATGGACCGACTGTCGACCAAGATACAGTTATGGAGAGCGCACCTTCCTCTGCAACAGCATCTGCACCCGCACCTCCCAGTGCTGCTGCTAATGGGGCCGCGCCATCGGGCCCCAGCGAGCCGATGGATTATGATGTTGCTGAGGATGACGCCTGGTAGTGATTTCTTTTCCCCTTGTGTCCCGTTCATCTCTTTAGCTTGTACAGGCCAACTTCCGTCTACTAGGAATTTCAAAACGGATTCCTGTTGAATCCCCTCTATGTTCACCAATGACTTTTTTCCCCTAATGCTTTTCGTAGCGTGAGTGCGCGGTCCCGGGTTTATTCGCTTTCTCAGACACTCTGAGTTAGTTCTATCATATACCCATCCTGCAGAAACGTCAGCGACCCCCATTCGCCACAGACAAAGTTCAGCATGCTCACCGGATCAGCCACCATAGCAAACTTCTCAAAGAACCACGCATACTTCTCGTGAATTTCCCCAACTCCAACACCCCTCCCGGCCTCCCACTCACTCAAAGGGACGGTCTCCCTCGAACAAACACCGACATCCTTCAAGATCTCCACCCCGGCATCTCTCAATCGCTCCACAGCCGCCTGCACATCCGGCACTGAGAACCCCAAATGCGCAAAGCCCAGATTCGGCGGAACATTGCCCGTCGACGTCCCACCTTCCCTTGAAGCCCCCTCCTTCTCCGTCCCATGGATATGGAAGAGCTCTAACAGCCCGTTCGTCCGCATCAACACAGGAATCTGACCAGTCGTATATGGGCGAGGCTGCTGCCACAGCGTGGACAGACTGTGCTTCTGTCAAGGCGAGCATAAGAGCTAACGAGCCTCCGACTTGTGAGCCAAAGATCCCGAGCTTTGATGGCTTTAGGTGAGTTTGGACCCAATCGAATCCGGCGAGAGTATCATACACTAGTGTAGGAAATTGATAGAGCTTGGGTTCTCTTGTATGTATAGACAAGGGCTGCGTAAGATCCTAGGGTCTTTTTAAAACAGGTGAAGATTTATCTAATCTTTCTAGGTGATAGTTAATAGTTATCATGGTTGTAGATACTCGAATAGCTAAATATTATATAAAACTTAGATAGCTAACTAGTTTTTTATCTATCCAATCTAGATATTTATTATCACGGGCCAGGGCCCGGTGTTGATCACGTAGGACACGTGACCTTGGCGTACTAATAGCGGAGGACCGGCGCATTGAACTCCTTAAGTTTATCGAACACAGTTCGTGGCCTAGTATAGATTGAATCAAGTCTTACTTTAGCCCTTCACAATCACCGCCAGACTTGCTAGGTAAGATGAAGATACATTGTACTAAACCTACGAAGCTACTAGCTATCGAAGAGGGAAACTCGTAACGTTGCTGGGCCACGGCTATCGCATCAAACAATAGAGCTAATCACATTAAACAATAGAGCTAATCACATTAAACAATAGAGCTAATCGCATTAAACAATAGAGCTAATCGCATTAAACAATAGAGCTAATCGCATTAAACAATAGAGCTAATCGCATTAAACAATAGAGCTAATCGCATTAAACAATAGAGCTAATCTTCTCAATAAGAATAAAGAGGGACTAATGTCCAATCTTCTTGAGTGCCTCCAAGAAAGCACGTAGATTCCTCCTTACCCCCTCATCATTAGCGATTTGATGCCCCTTCCATGCCTTGTAGATATTTTGGTACCACCCCTTTTTCATGTCGGCCATAGCCTTCACCTGCCCCTCGATTTCCTCCCAGGACTTATATGTGTCCACCAGAGCAAGTGTAAGGTACTGTAGAGGCTTGGAATACGGTCGGCGAATCCCAATGGGAGTTGTATTGATGTCGCGCGAGATAAGCAATGACCATGTTTTCAGCGCCAACTGATTTTCGAGTGGGGTTTTAATTATATGCTCTCGGTCCTCTGGGTCCATATCGAAGATCGACTGAAATTTGAGCCCCATTTGTTCTCGCAAGTAATCGGCCTCGTACATAGCTCCGAGTCTATACGCGGTGATTTCCGTCAATTCATGCACCTTTTCTTTTGGGTAGCTGGCTCCATTAAGAACTTGTTTCAGACAGTTATGCAAGCCGATATTCGGAGCGGCATTGTCAGCACCAGGGTTGGAGGCAAAGTACTCTTGGGCGAGATACTGAAGACGTTTGAGCCGCCGTCCGCCAGCTCTAGCCACCTCGCTACTTGCCGCGCATGTCGATGGGGGAACCTGACGCAGGGACTGCCATTTTTCGTTGTATGACATAAGGGGCAAACCGAGGCGAGGCTGATAGCTTGTCTCCCATTCATCGTTTTCCGCAGAGAAGTGGATTTGCTGCCTGTCGCCGAGTAATCCCATCCCTTTCACACAGTCATATATAGACTTCGCGAGTTGTATGTATGTCGGGTGCTCGAACCTCTCCTGAATGTCATCTTCAGCATCTACCAGGCAGCGTAGTATTGCTGATGCGGCCAAGCTACCGCTGGCTTGTCCAATACTTCCGCTGAGGGGCCACGATGAGGATTTGCTGCGTGGACCAGCTGCTGCGATTGCTGTGACATTAAGCTGTTGCTGTCTGATGTCGGGGATCACTAGCCAACCGCCGGAGTAACATGAGGTGGTAAACAAGGTCACTTGAGGCCTGTTTCGAATCACTCGGCGCAAGTCTCCTATACGAAGTATTGACCCTCCAACCTCAACATCATACTTCGGGGTTCCGTGGCCGAATATGAACAGGACAAGATGCTCTTGAAGACGGGATGCTTCAGCAACTTGCTCTTGTAGAGTGCTCAGGTATCGCTCGAGGAGGATGTTTCTCGGCACAACCCGCAAATTTCCAGCCTGATAAATACCCGCGAGTCTCTGACTGTCAAGCACCGCCCGACGGTCTCCTTGTGAATCGCCATGAAGATATTCCTTGTACTTGGAGACGAGTCTTTCGGGGTCTTCACATGTCAACCAGATCTGGTTAGGCGCTGGCGGCACTCATACGGTTAGCAGAGAACGAATGACAGCAGGACCAGGGCAGACTCACGTTGAGGGAATGCAGGGGCCAAGAGATAATGGAAAAGGTAGAAGTCGGACACAAACCATCCATCTTCCTTTGGGCTAGCTTGATCGTTTATGTCGGTTGTGCCAAGTAGAGCTAGGATGCGATGGCGGGGGGGGAGGTCCGGAGGACTATGCGTGAGAAACTCGCGCCCATCGAGCTCCCCCTTAGTCCCGTTCTGGCGGCCTATGACGTTGAAATCGGGAAATTCAGCCGGGCGGATAGTGGCCATTGCGACACGTAGTCCTGGTTGGATGGAAATAGAAGTGGTGGGGGCTGCAATGTGATGACTTGTGGGTCAGGTGAAGTTGCAATGATTCGATGTCATTCCACCGGCAGGGGAATGGCTACAGACACGGCACGTGTTGGAGCATGCAGGAAGAAAGGGGTCTGTAAAATACGGTATGGATTGGAAAAATATGAAACTCTGGAAGTTCTAAAATTACAGGCACCGCATATTTAGTTAACGTGGTCCACCACCGAGCTACGCACACCGCCGAGCTACGCACCCCCACCCGAACCTCCGACGCGTTGCGTTTTTTCTACCTTCAACCATCCATCATGCCTCCAAAACACGCTCAAATTCAACCAAATTTAGAGGGTAAACTCGCTCTCGCCGTTGAAGCTATTCGGAACAAAAATATTGCCTCTATACGCGAAGCTGCTCGTGTTTATGAGGTCTCGGAGGCTACGATCACAAGATGATCGCGTCCACAACTTACTATCGAGTAATAGGAAATCCACCTCACCCAAGCCTGACGCCAGCGTCTCCCGCAAGTCTCCCACCCGCAGCTCAATAACCCCAGAGATCTCCTCTCCTGCCTGGGCCCAGTTCGACCGTGCCGCTGCGGCTTTGGTCTCTTCTTTCTCCGTCGCGACAACCAGGCCTTTGGTCGAGCCGGTAGCATTCTGGGCCGCGGCGAGGGCAAGATATATCGTGCTGACGCCGAAACTGGTCCCAGCTTCTACGATACGAGTTGCACCGGTGCCGCGCAGCAAGTGGTAAATCAGTTCGCATTTGTCCTGGTCTAGGGCGATATACTTGTCGCGCATTATGGCATCGAAGGTTTTGTCGGATTCGCCGCGGATCTGATTCCAATCCAGCTTTGACTCTTGGTCTAGGGACGCTGAATGGAGGTGACTCAATAGACCGAGGAGCTCCGGGGATGCCGTGAGTGGGGTGGGAGGAGCCATAGAGGGGATTTCCGATGTTTAGAGTGTACGTGAGAATCCAATGAAATTGGGAAGGAATGATATGTAGCTCGAGGAAAATATGGCGATCAGTCCCATGGGGGGGACGACTCGGAATACGAGGAGAGTCTAACTGGAATGGACGTAGTACAGAGTGGCCTGACAACTGTACCCCGCTCGGATAGACGCAGGGTTCTTGCCGCGTCCGATCAGGATCTTATCAGATCTAGATTATCGTAGCTAGTCCTATCCAGATCCGCACTCCCGGGACAAATCTAGACGGATCCTTCAAGCATCTTGCTCCATGAGATCTGCATAGCTACTCAGAGACCTCCCAATAAGATTCACCATCTCCCAGATATAATCCGCCGTGAACAGACGGGCCCAAAGCCGTGCAACGGCCGCACTTAGCCGGGTATTAGTCGCCAGCAGCCACTCTCTTGAGTCGCCATGCTGAACCTCCATCACCATCTCCAGGACAAAGTCACGGAGACGAATCTCTTGTTCTGTCAGGGGCGGGTCTGGATTGGGTCCAGTGACAGCCTCGAGCCATTTGGCCAGCACCACAGCGCATTCGAGTGAGCACAACGCGTGTTGGATGGACCAAAGCGCCACCTGTGAGTGCGCGACATACCCAATGCCCAGTTTGACAGGGGTACTCAGCGCGTGTGCGCAATGGAGGGCAGCGCGGGTCAGACGGTCTCCGCGTTCTACGGAAAGGTTATCCTTCAGGCTCGTAGCAATCTGCACGGGGTCCCAGGTCTGGAGTTTGCGTGTTGAGCCGCAATCGGCGTTCAGCCGGATATAAGCCAACCGCAGCAAAGCGGCAGAAGTAAACGATAATGGGCCGTGAGGGCTCAGCGGATCGACCGAGGATTCCTGATTACGCTCCCAGCACTGACACCATCGTTCGAGGGCCTGTTCGAAGAGGGCCAGCTCGGGCGCAGAGGCGATTGATGAGCCAGGCCGGTTATAGCGAGCGAGCGTGAGCCGGCTCGCTTTGGTCATGACCCAGATATCTTGCAGAAGTGCATGGATCAAGATGTACCCTCCCAGAGATGAGACGCGCATCATGTCGCTGTGAGGGTCGAAAAGTGCGGACAAAGCGTCTTGGAACTTCGGCTCCGGGGGGTGCTTCGCTACGGGCCGCTTGCCACAGGTCAGGTCGGGGAGCTTCCCATTCCTGCTCGGGGCAGGGAAGCTCCATAGTGATCTCCTCGGTCAGGACGACGGGTGGAAGGTCGAAAACAATGGTGTGAATATTGAAAAATCCGAAGACGACCAGCTTAGTCCGCTTGACTGATTCATAGTGGACCCAACTAGCCCAGGTCCCATCGTATTCGGGTAATCGATTGATCCCGCCTTTGCGGAGAAATGCACCCATTGTGCTTCGCATAGAGAGCGCTTCGTAGTATGGTGGATTGTCTAAGAACCAGGAGGAAACTGCTATGAGAAACAAAAGAGACTGAAGGCTCTCTAGCATGCTTTTATCATTCGATGCATCCCCTGCAAGGAGTGAGCCCGTCAAGAACTGCCGACGAACATGCTCGAGAGTGACGGGCTTGGCGATTTGATATAGTCGCATACTGGTATCTGGTTCGCGGCAGTAGCGCGCGCCTAGAGCGGCCATTGAAAGGAAAAGAGGGGGTTTCATGGCCTCGATGTTGAAAGTGGGTTTATGCAGGATCGGATAGTGGTCGTGAAACCCCGTGAAATAGCCGGTGATGCATCTGGATAATGCATGACGGGAGGGCAGAGATGGGTTTGGAACAACATTGGAATACCCTTTCAACTGGTATAGGAGGTTTTCCCGACACTGGGCGGTGACAGGAATGAAGCCAGTTGGTTGACGCCACTTGCTCGCAGTCTGATACCCCTCCGGTTGGAGAGAAGGCAGGTGGGCGCCATGCCGGGGGAGGATGGAGCTGGAGGGATTAGAAGATGTCTCCGTGGGTGGTCCTTTGTCGGACGTCAACTCATATTCTGGAACGGGGTCAAATTGTAGTGGAAACAGCGGTAGTGGTTGGAACGTTGGTGAGAATGGGTGGCTCGGCAGCGGGATGGAATCAAGAAAGGAGGTGAAGTCGTTGCGATCCAAATGCCCCGTCGGTGCGTCAGTAGACACAGTATCCGAAGGGATCCCGCTCAAGGAATAAGGGAAGCCAGTGCCGGGGGTAGGAGTGGTTGGACCAGCTGATGGAGTTTCTGGATGATGCTGCACCGATAATCCATCGTTCAGTACATGACCTGCTGTAGGGCGGCGATTGGATTGCCCACGGTCAGTAACGACTGACGCTAAGGTTTCCAAGCCGTCCACGCCCGTCCTCGTGGACGCGGGCGATCGGACGAGATGGCCCGTAGGGCTAGGTTCGGGCTGATGAGCTATTCGCTGATGGCGTCCAAGCAGATCCCTGAATTGGAGATTTAGTGGAGACAACAAGAAGATCTTCCCATTGTAACTTACTTGCGTGTAAAGGCTTTGGGGCATTGGACACAGATATACGGCTTCTCTTTGGTGTCTGTTTAGGCGGGTTAGTCGAAAATTGTAGCGGCGTGGCTACACGAGACGAAACAGAATCCATACGCGAGCGGTCATGTCGTTGGAGGTGTTCTAGACGCGCGAAAGCCCTGGGGCATCGCTGACATTGAAAGGTCTTGGTGGTCATGGCTCACACTGTGTACCGATTGCAGTGGTCAGACGCGTTGATTTGGGGAAAGGCGCTTGGCCCTTCATACGCGGCTCTGCAACTAGAAAGTCACACAGATCTCCTGTGTAAAGATCGCTAGATCAGTGCATAGAACTGAGGAGCCGCTAGATTACATCATGTAAAAGCCCTTGAGCGCCATCCGCTCAGAGGCGTGAATTGTAGCAGCAGATTCTTCTCCAAATCGGAGACGGTGAAAGGTGGGGAACGGCCCTTGTGGATTCGGTGGAGCTGTTGACTAATGGCGCAAATAGAATGGAGAAAAGCGCAGATGCCGGGTACATTGCCGGATGCAAGGCAAGTTTACTTGTTTCGGTCGCGCTGCTCGCTTAACCGAGGGAAAGTGAATTGGAGATGGCAAATGATGCAGGAGTCATTGTGAAGCCGGACCCCAGGAGCGTCTGATTCATTAGCTGCCAGAGTTTGATAGTTCTGTCTGAAGAGGTTCGGGACAAGCTTATCAAGGCCCATCTTCCCGCCTAATCCACTTTATGACTCCCTTTTTGACGGATTCGGAGGGGATTTCCACTTCTCCAATTTCTCTTCACGGGTTTTCACGAATGAGTCGAAGGCCCACACGCTTATAAGGCTAAGGGCCTGGCCTATGAATGTCAATCCCCGTGCTCAAAACTGAGGAGATTCGGCCAAAGGACCGATAGACATAGGGCCTATTCCCTATTAACAAGCACCTAACACTTCTACGGCGACTCAGGGCTTCCTTAAACCTGGGCTGGAAGTCATGGAAAAACGAGAACAAAGCCCGTCCCTGGTTGAGCCCCAGGAGATTGAATATCGCTATCTCGAACTGGAAACATTGCTCCCCACGCCCAGCATCACGCTGCCTCCCTCGGCGGGACAATCGGCGCCACCAGAGGCTCCAGACCTAAGGAAATACACTTCGCCCTTTTTGTGGCCGAAATGGCGCAAAACCATGATGACCAGCATTGCGTGTACCGTCACTGCACTCGCCGGTTACTCGGCGGGCGAAGGAAGCCCGGCGTCTAAGGTGCTGTGCGCCAAATGGGGTATCAGTAATGTCGTCTATAATCTGAACATCACGATCTTCTGTATTGGATTTGCCCTCGCACCCATGTTCCTGGCGCCCTTCTCCGAAATCAACGGCCGTCGGCCAATCTTCGTCGCTAGTGGCGTCTTGTTTGTCGGTAAGGACGCAGTCGATTCGACCTAGAGAAACTTCCTCGTAAAAAAACTAATCGCTGAACAGCCTGCTTGATTGCATGTGGAGGGACTCATGTATTTGCTGGGTACCTTATCGCCCGCTTCTTCCAAGGTGTTGGCGCCTGTAAGTCTTGATCTCCTGGCAGCTTTCCCGGTTCTCCATCGCTGAGGGTCATTGTCTAGCTACCTTCTCGACCATGGTTGGCGGTGTCATCAGTGACATATACCACGCGGAAGATCGCAATACTCCCATGTCGCTCTTCTCTGGCGCCGCTCTCTTCGGAACTGGCCTGGCGCCCATGATCGCCGGTGCGATCGTGTCGCACACGACGTGGCGCTGGATCTACTACTCGCACGCAATTGCCTCCGCCATCTTCGTTGTGATTATCTATTTCTTCTTTGACGAGACTCGTGGTAGCGTCCTGCTAAGTCGCAAAGCTAAGGCTCTCAATACCTATTATGAAAAACTCGAAGAAGCTGGTCACTTCGGGGTCATCATCGCCGCGGAAGATTCCGATAAGAAGTCTGTCCGACGGATTCGCTGGAAGGTGAAGAGTGATGAGCAGAGAGATTCCTTGTTGCACATGGTGCAAATCTCGCTGTATCGGCCCGTCCGTAAGTCCATCGGCAGCTCGACCCATCCCGTGAGAGACTGTGCTAATAAAACCTGCAGATATGCTTTTTACCGAGCCCGTGGTTTTCTTCTTCTCCCTTTGGGTATCCTTCAGTTGGGCGACCTTGTACCTCCAGTTTGGCTCTGTTCCGCTCGTCTTCGAAACGAGTTACAACTTCGACTTGGAACAAGTGGGCGCTGTGTTTACTTGTAAGCCGAATCATTCTCAATAGCGGTAGATAGCCTACGCAAGCACCGCTAACAACGTGAAACAGCCATGGTCGTCGGTGTGATCATCATCACTCTGCTCAGTATCTGGCAAGACAAACTTGCCCGAAAATACAAGCTGTTCAGCGACGCTCCGGAGAGCCGCCTGTACTTTGCCTGTGGAGCCTCCGTCCTGCTTCCTATCGGTCTATTCTGGTTTGGTTGGACATCCTATCCCTCCATCCACTGGATTTCTCCAGCTCTGGCGGTGGGCTGTGCTACCATGGGCATTTTCTCTGTCTACCTTGCGACCTTCAACTACCTGGCGGATACGTACCACCGGTTCGCTAGCTCGGCGATTGCGGCTCAATCTTGCTGTACGGCGATCTCTCTTTCCAGTTCAATGTGTCCTTACTAATGTTTCATAGGCCGGAACCTGCTTGGTGGTGTATTTCCTCTGGTCACGGCCGCTATGTTCACGAATCTAGGCTATCCCGCGGCATCAAGCATCTTGGGCGGAATAGTAAGTCTTGCATCTTACCCTGCGTATGGGCACGCGCTAATATGGTCTCACAGGGTACGGCTCTGACTCTAGTTCCCTGGGTTTTAGCGTTCTTTGGCTCGAGGATCCGGGCAAGAAGTAAGATGGCTAGTGTAAGTCTGCCTGGCATGGTGTCCAGCCCTGTATTCAATAGCTCGTACTGACCCTAATTAGGAACTTGCTCGATGAACGGGACCGACCACAAAAAGTCGGACTCACAACCAAAACGCATAATAGTATAATATGGATAGACTAATGTTCATACGCTCTGCATGGAAGATGGACGCATGGCCGTTACAGGTCCGAAACGAGGCTTGCATTGAAAATGAAACGAATTCTAAAAATGATTCCTGTCCCAGTCTTGAGTCATAAAGACAAGTATATTATAGACCGCACTCTATGATCGGTGCACTTGCACTGGATATACATTAGTAACGCAGCTATATGCGTTATGCCAAAGGGCATGGGGGATCGCTGATCGCTCGTATCGTTCGCGGCATGGCGCTATCTAAGGGGATAAATAAAATGCGAAATGATCCAAAAATGCATCCATAAAATGAAATAAGACAATTATCTCGGTGGTGCATGATTCCTCGAGGATGGCGGCATATAAGCTCTATGACGATGCGAGGCATACCGCGTATCATCTTCGCTATCGCTGTCCATTTGGTCCAAGATACGATCAATTGCATCTCCTGCGTCCGCCTCGAGACCCAACCCAGCGGGTCTCAGCTCGAAGCTGCGACCGTTGAGGGATCTGTCACTTTGCGAACTTTGGCTCTGGTCGGCCGGTCCTCCATGTCCGTTCGAGAAGAGGGATTCATTCAAGCTGGCTTGGGTCGCTGCAGGCTGCAGGTCCCGAGGGCTTGAGCGGTAGCCTGAATTCTCTGGACTGGACATGAAAATGAGAGTCTCTATGGCGTCTTGTTCCATGGAGGTGTTTTGGGTGTGTGATTTGAAGAATTCATGCTGTGCTGACAATGTCATGCGAGAAGATGGCGGAATACGTGGAGTCCCCGTTCCGAGGACCGGTGATGATAATCTGGCTAATGAAGGCTCTTGATGCGAATGGTGTCGGCGGTGGCGAGCATATGGGCTATAATCATGATGTTTGGCAACAGTATTGGGGTTGGGCCGTCGTCGGTTAGTATCGCCATTTGATGGAACGATGTCAACCGGGGGCGCTAATTTAGGAATATTCGTGAGTCTGCTGGATGACATGGTGGACTGAGATCTTTGATGAGAAAGGTGAGGGCGAGCATGAGTCGTTGGTTGTGGTGATTGCAAATAAGGCGATGGCTTCAGACCTGGCGTTGATGCGGCGCTGGGAGTCTCTGATACTAACTTTTCTAATTCACGAATAGCATCCTGGGTTTTGGTATCACGCGTTTGCCGAGACTTCTCAATCTTGGCTGCTGCATATGATAGTCGCGTGCGGATATGGACCGATAACTTTGGATGTGTCAACATCACCAACAATTGATTGTTAGGAAGGCGCTCATTACCTGCGCGATTCTACTTCCATGGGCAGACGCCCCAATGGTTTTTGAGCGACGCCTTTGAGCTCCGTTTTCAAGGGCATCAGGCGCAGCCAGGCCCGAAGACATTGGCTTGATATCGCCGGTTGCTGTTCTTTTATGTCCTGGTTTGAAGTGCGACTCATTACTGGATGGCAGATCTGAAGCCTCCGTGGATTGTAAGGGCGATAAAGACCAATTGCCTTCCTTCTTTATCCCTGCTGAAGCATTTATTGATCCATTTTCATCGATATGCGGAGGTACTTCGGAACGGGAATACGCCTTGGGTGTTTGGTCCTCTTCATTCGAGGTTTGGGAGTTTTCGATCTCCATAGAGCGGCTATCGTCATGCAAAGAGGACAAGGGAAGGCTTGAGAAGGAGTCTGTGACGGTGCTAGCGGACTGTAGTTCAGGACGACGGGGGTCAGCAGAGGTGTCGCTGCCGCGCTCAGACGACTCGACGCGACTGAGCGCATCGTCGCCCCTGTCAAAGATTCGCGCATTCAGCCCGTCAATTTGCAAGGACAGTGGCTGAGGTGACCGCGGAACCTGGACTGTCTCCGTTCGGCATGTCTCTCCTGAAAGTTGTGACATTGAAGGCCCCGAGCTCGCACCAACCTCCGCATAGGGCCCCCCACGGCTGGATGTCAGATGTTGGACGTCGTTCATTTTCAAGCAATGGGGCTATGGTGAATTCCAGGAGATACACAGAGAACACTGAGCGAATATCGGCCACGAGGACGCGACTGCGCTCTTAATGCGCGAGTACAAGAGCGCCCGAGAGTACCTAAACACGGGATGTAGGCTGCCTGGACCGGATTACTGCATGTGGAATCGGGACACCAGAGGATGTCTGAGGCGAGGAAACCCGGGAAAAGGCCGGCTCAATTATCGAGATCTCGTACGAGGATGAGGGGGTGTAGCACTCTCGGAGACGCTGCTTGGTAGCCCAACCTAGTGACGATCGACAAGCACGCGCAGGATTGAGCACGAGCGGGAAAAACGGGCAACTGGTAGGCGTCTATGGGGGCGGAGATGCAGGGCGTTGCACGTATTCTCGCAATCGGGACAAGATTATCTCCACTGTATGTCCGTACTTCATGAAGTAATGGAGATCTGCTCCGGAAAGCTGAGCGGAAGTCGAAAAAGCCGGCCTTTCCATCTGCGGCGACGCGTACGAGACACGGTCACGTGGAATAGTGCCACCCCCGGACGAGAAGACAGTCCTGTCGAAGTATGAAGGAATTTTGTCTTTGTTAATAGGGCATACCTGTCACAGACCTGGGGCTGTAAAGGAATGAAATTTGCTTCTTAATTCCTTGACATGGCTGGGAAATACTGTCTACAAGGGCCAATTTTCTGAGCGGAAAATATACCCGTCGATGATAAGGTTTGCAAAGTTTACGAGAAATGGGCGGAAATAGTCCAGGTATATCGACTTCCCTAAAATTTCTTATGCGTCCCTCTCTAGATTGTGTCTGTCGCTCGAAAGCCCTAACCAGCCTGCGCTCACAGGCAACCACTGAAGGGATAATTGCAGCAGCTGCTTTTGCCGCCTCCAGTGATGGAAACCCCGGTGAAAGTGAAATCAGAGCAGCTACCACTACCACACAGAATATAATAATCAGTGGCATCATCGGTAACGGTTCCAGTGACTTCGGTGAAAGTAATTCCGGCGATGCTGACCCCGTTGGTTGGGTCCCCAGAAGGACCGCCACTCTCATAGTCTTGTTGAATGTCGCGATAATCGGTAATACCGGACATGGTGAAGTTCTGATAGAAATGTTGCTAACGCTACCAGTAGTACCAGCATTACTCTTAATATAACAACCATTCTCGCTGTCGACCACTCGAGAGCTTTTGAATGTCACTCCATCGACAGTGTTGTTACTCTTGTCTCCAATTGAGCCGGTGCTTAGATCATGACCACCAGAGCAGTACAGGTTGTAACAGCCACCTCGACAGCGACGCTAGCCCCCGCAGAGATGATGACTTGTACCACGTGGTCTGCATTTCAAACTTCAAGGAATACGCTTGAAACGAAATTGTAGTCCGTATCAAGCGATACCTATAGGATGTACATTTCAGGCTGAGTGATGGAGCGAGATGATCACACGGAGGACTTCAAGTTTAACAAGGATCGAATTATGCTTGGACAGTCTGATGAGTAGCCCATTGGGACTTTATTAAACAGCCACTGTTCATCCCCGGACGTGAAAACTACCACAATCATGAGGATTGATCCGACAGTCCTTCGCATTAACCTCAGCACACCGTAAAGCTCACCCCATACCCATCAAGCTTGACCTTAGCGTACAGCCATAAATCGAACGCCGCCCCAATTCCATACTCAGAAACGATTAACATTAAGCTCGTTCAACACCATATTGCAGAACTCCTGATAGTAAGCAACTCCCTTGAAAGTACTGTGTGGTGAACGCAATCCAACAGTGTTCCATCCTCGGCACGAAGTCTGGCAATTCGCTGCTCCTTGGTTTCTTTGCGAATGATCTCGCCCAATGCGCCTAGTGTGTACTCCGGCTCTGGGCTTCGCTCTTCCGCGTCAGCACCCTTAAAAAAGCCATTGAAATTCCAGAACGAGGTGCCGCGTTGAATAGGTCGTGGGCGGTGCTGCCGCTGCCGCTGTAACTGTTTGACACCTTCGACATATAATTGGATATCGGCTACACACTGAAAGACTGTTTCGCGGAGAAATGCGATGCCTTGGTTTGAGCGAACGATTCTCGCTGCGTCGGCTGGTGAGATTTGAGAGGTGACGTTTTGCACTGCCGGCTTTTTCACCGAGCCTCGAGAAGAAAGGCGTCCTTTGATAGACAATGGAGACAGGGCTGCAGATAATTCGATAGCAGTGGAAAGGGCCGAATCGGACATGAGACTGTTTTGGTCGCTGCTCAGACCCCGGTTTGCTTCTGAGGCTGACATGACCCGCAGTGGCAGACGAGGAGGGCGGAAGCGAGAAGAATTCCGGGGTGTCATGAGAGTGTTTTCGTCATGAGATACCTCCATTGGTGGCGTGCTCTCATCGATAGCGATTTTGCCTGCCTTTTTCCGAATTCGTAAGGGAGACGGAACCAAGCGGTCGTTCATATCTGTGTCTTTCACTGTCTTTTTTGGAGCCTCGGGTGTTATGGTCAGTGGGGGCGAGAGCAGCTGCAGAGGCTCATAATATGGGCCTAGGTCGGGGTTTCTTTCCTTCGACCTGGTTCCAAGATTTGACCCATTGCTGACGAAATGATTGCTGATGGGAGTCATATGGTCATTGGTTTCATCCTTCATGGAGTCACCCCGGAAAACATTGAGCTCGTGCCGGGATCTCTTCTCCTTGCAGTACTTAGCCTGATCTTTGAGAATGTCTAGAGCTAAATCTCTTTGAGGCGTGAGTGGTGGAGTCTCAAGTCCAAAATCGATGGACAGACCCTCCGCCATATCCAGAATCGACGTGTTGATCAGACTGATCATCTTTGAAGGTAGATTATCCCGCGCAAGAATTGGTGAAGGTGATTCCCACATATTTGAGCCCCCTGCGTCATCCAAAGGCGAACTAGGACGCGACAGAGTTTCTTCAACAATAGGCAATCGTGGGAGAGGGACAGGCGAAGGGAGAGTGGCGCCACAATCGACATAGTTTTCCATAGCGGATTCGAGAAGGGTGACCTTATTGCTCGCGTAAAGGTGTGCTGAACGCCCCAGGAATTCGTAACAGGTAGCTATGTAAAGGGTGAGGTAGGTGAGGGCGACTTTGTTAATCTGAAGAGAGTGGGCATTTAGCAAGCTTTCATTCTTGATTCAGTGGAATATTGAAGCAGACATACTGGATGGAGAGCCCTTTTACGGAGATCAACACAGTAAGCTGCACATTGCTTGTATTTTCCCTGCAAGTATAATCCTTTGACTTTGTCAAGCGATGTCTTCCAGTCTTCCATTGTACGCGGCGGCGGGGGCGCGGAGGGAAAGGCGAAAGACGCCTGCCCATTTTTGCTTGAGAAGCCTCCCAGCATGGCCGCCAGACTGATGATCAAAAGGAGTGAGTTAGACTAGGGGAAATCTGACGCGTGGGGAAGCAGAATGCATTTGTGAGGAGAGTTGGGAATGGAATGGACCTGATGTTCACTCGAGTGGCAGAACCCGGCTTAAGGTACAAGCTCCAAAGCTCAAATGTATCAAACCAAAGGCGGAATTCACACTGTAAGCAAACAGAAAGGTGTTAAGAAAGTCGCTGGCCGCCCTCTACTAGTGGCCCCTGGTAGCTATCAATACTAAAGAAGCAGAACCGCCAGACAGACTGTCTTTGTTAAGGATGCGAGTAATGCATATTCTAGAGCTACTAAAGCTACTCCCAGTAGTACGAGACATCTTCACGATTAGAAACAGGATGTATTACTCAAGATCCACGGTATGATATCAATTCATTGAGCGTCTTCGAAACCCTATTGGAACGGTGGATGTCGTAAATCATGGGCAAACTAAGTCTGTGGGAGTCATTGCCTGTTAAAGAAGATCACTCGCAGGCTGTACAGGCTCACTGGGTGGATCTCCAACGCGTGAAAGTGCCTCGCCTGTGGCCCCAAGAGCCTCCATCAGATTTCCTAATAATCGATCCAGTTCCGCAGTGACAACGGCCTCATCGGCCCCTTCCATCAAGCTTTCTGCGCTGGGTGGAATAAGAGCAGGGAATGGGATGGGCCTAGGCTCCGGGCCTTTAACAGAACTGGACCGAGAAAGCATGTCATGCCGGGCGGTGGGAAGGTCTTCATAAATGGGCGACCCAGGCTCCGAGACAGGAGTAACAGTATCTGCATCGTCATGAATTGGAACCGCTGTGCGGAGCGGAGGTAACTCGCTGGAATCGATTTGGTTGTCATTTTGGTTCCACGGGAGCTGGAGACCCTCTTCCTCTTCCTCTTCATCTGGTCCTGGACCATCCAGGGTAACAGAAGGCTCGAGAATTTCCACGTCATCGCTCGGGCCATCGCTTGCAACAGGTGTTGTCTGGTAGGGTGTGTCGAACGACGGAGAAGCCTCCAGGGTAGGGCCATGCGGGGTTCCTGGGCGGTCAAAACGAAATGGGTCGTAATCAGAGTCAGACGCATTCGATGCAGAAGTTGAAGGACGAGAGTCGTGCATGTCTACCGCTGGCTGTTCCTGAAGTGGTAACGGCGCTCGCAGCGTCTCGAATCGGTCGGACCCCAAGTCCTCAGGTGCCGAGTCAGACATTACAGGGAATGTCCATTGCATTGTAGCGCGTTTCTCGGCCTGGAACACGTCATCCTGGCCTGGCTTCGACACATTGGTGTCTGTTTCTTTTTCTGTCGGCTCTTTCTTGTCTTCTTCCACTGCGCTGCCAAACATAGGAAACTTCCAGTCCATAGTAGGAGGTCTCGGGCCAGTTGATGGCTGGAAGTCTTCAGCATGGGAATCGTTCTCTGACTCGCTAGCAGAGCCCTGCAAGGAATTTTCGTTGGAGTTGCGAGATGACCGGAGACTGGATCTATTTGCACGGATGGTGTCGGCATCTGCTAACTGGAATGGCTGTGCCGCTGGTGCGCCTGCTGCGTAATGAGAGGAGTCGAATGAACCAATGTCAATGTCAATCAAAGTCGACATAACTGAGGACCGATCCGTCTCTGACCGGAGGGGGAGATCAGTTGTCGGCGGATTAGGCTGAACCGGCACGAAGTCATTCTTAGTTTCGTATTTGTAGCTAGGCATCTCTTCATTGAAGAGGCCTTCCATTGCGGCCGCACCTCGACGCACACGCTCGTCAAAGTTTGCTTTGTCTTCGGGGTCCAGCTCGTTATCGGAGCTGTTGTCGCTAAATTCGATTTCAGCAGTTGGTGTGGTTGGGTTGATGGCTTCTTCCATTTCAGCCAACGACGCAGCAATTTGATCCAAGTCGATGACGGAAAACCTTCGCTCAAAACCATCAGTCGTACTGAAATTCCAATCATCATCGGAGTCTTCTACATCGGGCTGCTCAGCTGCCGCGGCACCGCCAGGATGGAACAACGAGATGCGTTGACCTCCACGTTGTGACCACTGGTAGTAGTTCCTGACAAGCTCGCTCACGGATGAGATTGGATACTCTTCTTCCGTACCGGCAATGAAGGGATGTTGCAAGATATCTGCCATTGTTGGGCGAGTGGCGGGGTTAGAATCAAGAGCAAATGCGATAAGGTCCTTGAGACCTTGAGAGTAGTTTTCGCTGTCGAGCTTTGGGGTGTTGCGGTTTAACTGACGACCAATTTGCATTCGCTCACGTAGACCTGAGTTGGGCGGATTTCCAGTCGCAAACTCGAATAGGGTGCAGCCGAAAGCCCATACGTCAATCTCGCTACCATACTGATGGGCAGCCCCACGCGTCGAAAACATTTCCGGTGGCATCCAGTGGGGGGTCCCAATCCAGGTCGAGCGCTTGTCTCGTTGTGATTGTAGAACTCCTGCCACGCCGAAGTCACAAATTTCTAGACGGCCTTCCTCGTGAATCAGGATGTTCGCAGCTTTGACATCACGGTGGATAACGCCAGCTTGGTGGATGGCATGTAACCCTACTGCCAGCTCACGGGCAATGGGAATGATAAATCTTTCTTCTAACCTGTCGTTTGTGGCGCGCATCAATGTCCTCACACTCCCTCCCGGGCAATATTCGCAAACCAACCACAGTTGAGAATGGATTGAGATTGCCTCTATCAACTCATTGATGTTTTTGGCGCCGGCGTCTTTCACTTGTTTCATCACCTTGGTTTCATGAATAAAATCCTTGATAGACTCATCTCTGAAATCGCGGAGCGACTTGTAGTCCAAGGAATCTATGTCCAGAACCTTGAGAGCAACAAGCCGACCTGAGGTCACCTCACGACCTTTGTACACACGACCGTAGGCACCCTTACCAATCAGCTCTTCGAATTCATAGGAGGAACGTCCGATTTTGCACGACGGCACATTTCCTTCACAGCAGTTTGTTGTTCCCTCGCTAGTTTGATGGCTTCCGCTTTGTGCCGAGTAATCGCTGCCATCGCAGACGATGGGTCAAGGAACCGGGACCCGCGTGGCTCCATCTTGGCCACGCTATCGTTTGGAGGTTTGTGTGGGTTTTCCAAATGACAAGACTCCAAACACTCGGCCGCGGTGAGGCACTTAAGTTTCTGTCGGAGGGTTCTCCCTGAAGATCCTCGCGAGACGGCTTTTCAGTTTATGAGGAACGGGTTTCTGGGGGCCCGGTTGGGTTTCCAAAGCTGACTGAGAAGCGGAGGTTTTCAAGTGGTGGGCTGGAGGAGAATGGAGATCAGAAAGGCCTCTCTTCCTGACCAAACCTGCCGGCTTCGGGATTGAACTGTCAGAAATGTCTTGCCCGACGTGAGGCTTGCTTTGTCGATTTATTTCCAGCAGATGATCTTCCAACAACTGCTCATAGGAGCGCGCGGGGTTAATAGCGGAAGGTGAAGCAAGATTATCGTGCAGACGTCTGGAGGAGAAACAGTCTGAGCCTTCACTGGTGAAGCCACGCGTATTATGCGGTTTGGAATGACGAGGTGAGGGCACCGGCGTCAGATGCGAAGAAGGAGAGCCGTAGGACTTGCGGTTGTCAAGAATCTCATACAGCTCGGAAATCAGCGAGGCCGAATCCGTGTTCAAAGTATTCAGATCAGAATAGTCTGAATCGAGAGTTTCGGATTCAAATGACTGTTGGGAAGATCTCTTGTGACAAACAGGAGTGATTGGTTCCGGATCCAGTAGCTCAATTTGAGGCAGATGGAATCGGGGACTATGGAGGTTATTAGGAGTGGTACGAGGACAAAACATGGAACCATACCGAGTCGGGAGTCACAGGAGCCTCGTAAGCAAGCCCTTTGAGGCTCTGACCTGGGCTAGAAGGGTCACGCAATGGAGTAATAGGGGTAATGGGATAGACAGCTGCAGTGAGCCGCTGAGGAGTTTGAGGCAGACTAGGATCAGTTTCATGAGCAGAAGTCTGGTGCCTATCTTGGACCAGTTTCGATTCCTTGGCAGGGACACCTCCAGTCGCCTTTTTCTTCGTCAGTGAAGCTGGGGGAACAGATTCGCTAGTGCTAGTGAAGAAAGGCGCGGGATGGAACATGATGGTGGTCTTGACGCGATAGGTGGTGGATGCGCGGGGGGTTGGATGCGCGGGAGGGGGAATAGTGATGAAGCAGAAGGAGTAAGGGAAGCGGGGTTGAAAGAGCAAACGAAGGAGAGAGATGGAGAAGAGATAAACGGCGTACCAAAGTGAGACGAACCTGGAGAACTATCTACGATGACCCCGGAAAATGCCAGTGTTCACCCACTGTATTCACGCTAGAGAGGGCTTTCGGACGGAAAAGTATCCCATAAGCATATCTATTTGCTTCCAGGGAGCTCACAAATGACTAAGAGTCTAAAATGAGATAAGCTTTAACATTCAATGAGGAATTTCCTGTGTCGCCAGGTATAACATTGTGGATGCTGGCGTTTCTGTGACCATTGAGACTGTCTACGGTGATCGTTTCGACCACTTGCGCATTTATGCATAAAGGGGATTTTGCACAGATGACTTACCTTCTGCATAACAATCCGTTCATACATAGTCACGTGCGATCTTGAGCCAACAAGGGGATTATTTGCACCCGTGAAAGTACAATCTAGAAGCTAGTCACAGCTGGCCTATTTTGTGCTTGTTCTTGACGTCCCTGATCGATTAGCTCGGCCAGCTCCTCGACAGGATTTTCAGCTGCGACCCGTTCTCTGTCTCTCCACTCCTCTCAACTACATTCCCGCCTGAGGCACTCAAACAGGGGTTGTCAGCTAGTATTGTGGGTGCCTGTTTCTTAAACGACATAATGAGATCATTTCAGGAACTAGTAATTAGAGTATTGCAATAAATTGTTTCTTAATTTCCTGCTAAGGTGCGGGACCCATCCTATCCATTACGTATGAGTAGCCCGCACGACCCTATGAGTAAAAATGGGGTAAGATGTGGGAAACGGCATGGACCACTGGGGCGATTCCGTTGGTGGGACCAAGGATGGAATCCTCCATCATGTTTACCGCTGTAGCGTTTCCACGAAAGCTTAGTATAATTATGGAGCTAATGTGCGCCATTCACACGCCCCCAATGGGGCGCTGTGACGCCAGCCCTATAGCCCTAGACGTCATCATGCACCTCCCAGGCATCAACATAAATTGAGCGAATCGCTACTACTAGTAGTCACTAGTTTCAGGAAAATAGGATTGAAGATACTCATATTTTGTGCTCCAGGCCACTTACCCGCAGGATGCTCACCCCAGAGGTGTACGGTCTGAGTAGACACTCCCAGTCTGTGACTTCTGAACTTGCCAAAGACCCGTCCCAGGATCCAGAGCATGTCTTTAAGAGATTATATGAGCACCATGATCTCCACCATTTAACGGAAGGAAGCTCTGAAAGTATCTTGCCCGAAGATATAGCTTTGGAGTTTGAAAAGAAAGATCGACTACCAAGGGCATATGCTAGTGGAACATGGGGTTCTTCAACCCCCCAGCGATCTATTTCTCGAAGTACGAGCACCTGCTTATTTCATACCCCGAAGTCACTCAAAGACAGCTAACAGCAAACAAGGTCTATCACGATGCACTGGGATCCTTGGAAAACGACCCGCTAACTGGAGTTGTGTCACCTCCACTGATGGGAAGCACCGGCATCGTTCCTCTGACCATCATCGCACCCCTACCCGATCTGTGTCGCCACTTGGGAAACTGTATCGCAAGAGCTGAGCATGAAGTTTTCTTGGGTACTAATTTTTGGATCCACTCGAATGCATCGACGCTAGTAACAAATGGGATCCGTGAGCTATCAAGGCGAGCAGGGGAACGGGGGCAGAAGATAGTGATGAAGATGGTCTATGACCGTGGGAACCCGCGCCAGGTTAGTCCCTCCATGAGAAATTAGGTGTGCACTTGCTAAAATTATATCGCAAAGGTAATGGAGAATCGGTTATATGTTGGCGATGAAGAAAGAGCTGGAGGAAAAGTTCGGCTTCCTTCAGCTGCCGAAATCCCCAACGTGGATCTGCAGGTCATCAATTTTCACCGGCCAATTTTCGGAACTTTCCATGCCAAATTTACAGTGATTGATCGGCGTATCGCGCTTCTTCAGAGCAGCAATATCCAAGATAACGACAACTTGGAGATGCTGAGCCACATAGAAGGGCCCATTGTGGACGCCTTCTATGATGCCGCATTGCTGTCGTGGGGCAAGCCTCTTAATCCCCCGCTACCTCTTCTAGATTCACCAGCGCGCAGCGCACCCATTCCGTCTCTTGAAAAGCCTCCCAAGATTCCCCCCCGAGTCCGAATTTCCCGAGCATACGACATCCTCGGAGCATTATGACGAGGATTTCGCAGCAGAGGCAGCCCGGGTGAACAGCAGCCTCTTTCCAAGGAATGGAGAAACCCTCACCCAAGCAGTAACACGCCATCTGAGTAAGTGGGATTGAAAGACTTAACCTGTTCTGAGGATATGTTGGACGTTGTTAACAGCGCAAAAGACACTACGATTCAGCCAGATACTGTTGGAAATGCACCGGATACCGACCAAGACCCTAAAATGCTGCCATACATCTTATTGCCTCGTCATGAGCCTGTTCCCATGGCATTGGTAAACCGGCCACCATATGGAGGTGAGCAGCGCCTCTTACCAGCCTTGATCATAAAATCAGCCAGTTAACCCGTCGGTTTCTTAGCCCCTAACCGCAGTAGCGTGCATAATCCCCAGGATGCTGCTTTTCTTTCGGCAATTAGCCATGCAAAGCATTCGATCTTCATCCAAACTCCAAATATGAATGCAGAACCTCTGCTTGAACCGCTTCTTGATGCTGTTCGTCGCGGCGTCACGGTTACTCCATACTTATGCCTCGGCTACAACGACTCAGGAGAGCTATTGCCATTCCAGAACGGCACAAATGAGATGATTGCGAACAGACTGTACAATGCTCTTGAAACAGACGAAGAAAAGGCTAGGCTTCGAGTCCATTACTACGTCGGCAAGGACCAGGTCGAACCAATCCATAATTCATTCAAAAAGAGAAGCTGTCACATCAAATTGATGATTGTCGACGAACAAATTGCTATCCAAGGTCTGTCGCAAAGACGATCTTGCCACTTAGAGATCTACTGACCATTATCGCAGGTAACGGAAATCTCGACACGCAGTCATTCTATCACAGCCAAGAGATCAATGTTCTGCTCGACTCCCCTCTCATATGCAAGGCATGGCTTGAAGCGATCAACTTGAATCAAAACACGGCGAAGTATGGTGCAGCAAGCACAAAAGATGGCTGCTGGCATCGTGAAGGTTCTGGCGAAATCCCCGAAGGGTCTATCGGGATTGACCCAGGTCGTTTCAGCTGGGCCAAAGGCATGATTGGAGCTGTGAATAGAGTACGAGGCGTAGGTGGCTTTTAGAAGGCAGGTCGCTGGTGTAAATAATGCTCCATATGAATCAATGTATTTTTAGGTTTTAATGATCAGTCCAAAAATGATCTAAGCATTGAAAAATGGAATGCAAAATGGGATATTGAGCTAGCAGTTTCCATTTCTCGCAGCAGTCATCCGGTCTATTCAGGTTTTAGAAGCCTTATGTTCTAGCTCAAAAATCCGTTAGTTTTAATATCAACCCATTTGCCTATAGTCACAGTACCGACTGCTAATAGCCTGATCTGAGAAATTTCAGTATTCACAATATGACAACTGGGGAAACCACAGTTCTCATACAGGAAGTCAGCAAAGACTTACGTCGGTATGGTTAGTACTTTGTCAATAGAACTTTTTAAGGTGAGATTCGGCGGTGAGACAATTCTCTGACTACTTAGCTGCGTACAGCATTACGTCGCATCTTTCTCCAATGATCTGGCACATTTGCTACTGCTAGTAGCGCCTGCAAGACCTACTACTACAGATACCAGCACGTATCTCCCCCTGCGCATCTAGGGATCGGCATTGCCAAGGTATGTTTTGTATGTAGATCCATGTACTTCACGTATCCTACAGCTCGCCCATTGAAGCTTCGAATTATGTGGCTCAGATGCATCTCAGCATTGAATGTGGCCCTGCCTGGATTGCCACTAGCAATGTTTCGTGTGAGTCAAAGAGCCGGCATCATAGCGTCGGGGATAGTGTCGGCCATAACATTGGTCGGAGATGGGCCGAGGATGCAAGGACCCGGAGAAAAGATACCTTATAAGCTTGAATATTTAGTTTCTCTTTCAGATAGAGCTAGCCTCGTAAGAGAATATAGGTCTGAATTCACATCAACGTTGAGATCGGATTGAACTAGGGTAGCCTTGATCGCGATGTAAAGCACGATATTCACCGAGCCTCTGCGGGTCAACCCCGCTAATTTTCTCCGCACTGTCCCCGGAACTTCGACTCTCATCTGTCATCGCCGGCTCTGGCAGCAGTTCCTACGATATTGTGACAGACGCCCTAGTGGTTCCACTTTTATGCAAGAGAATGCTGCGCTCATGAAGCCAGGTATGACGGACGACGAGCAACAGCCGTCCAAGCGACGTCGTCGCAGCCGGCGCGCTCCATCCGATCGTAAATTCGACTGCACCCACGAAGGCTGCGGGAAAAGCTATTCACGCGCTGAGCACCTTTACCGACACCAGCTGAATCGTAAAGGCCCTTGTTCTTTGCCAGTCTATAGGAGGTCTCCAGCTAATTCAGCCAGACTCTCCGAAACAAATTTTCCGTTGCGATTACCCTAACTGCCATCGCGCCTTCGTCCGCCAGGACCTTTGCATTCGGCATCGCGAGCGTCACACCACCCGCGGCTCACAATTGCAGAAGCGCGATTCGTTTGCTAGCGCGAAACACAATGATCCTTTCAAATCAATGGCTCCAGCCTCGTCGCCTTCGTCTCCATCTATGACCGCAGCAGACTACTCGCTGATGACCGATCCTGCGCCAAAATCCAAATCTCCCCCTAGTGCAACCTACCAAATGTCCACTGGTATCGATGTGGGCGGGCTCCCGGTCTCTGGTTACACTGACATTACGAGTTCTTTCGATCAGCCGGATACTATGCTCGACTTCGATTCCATGTCCAACGCATATCCTATCTTTGGTGGAGAGACCTATAATCGATCGCCATTCGCGATGGCGGATGACTTCGCAGCATGGCTATTCAGTGAGCCACTTGCGCCGCTAGGATTTGGGACTGGCTATGGTATGATGCCAATGGTCCAGAACCAGTTTTACATGAACGAAGCATCATATAATAATATCTGCTCGGTCATCCCACAGCACCCAATGAGTGTAACCAGTATATTGGACTCGGGGAATCTGCCCGCTCTTATATCCAGAGAAAAGCGCCAGGAGCTTCTTCAGTTGATAAGCAGCCGGTTTAACGAAGCAGCTTATTCTGCAGATGTCAAGCGCAAGGACGCTCTGATGGATGGGGATATCGACGATGAGCGACATGTACTAAGCCTGCGAATGATACAGACTTACATTGGCTCGTATTGGTACCATTTTCACTCGCAGTTGCCAATCCTGCACCAGCCGACATTCTCAGCCGATCGGACGCCGAATCTACTCCTCCTGGCCATCATAACCATTGGGGCCGCAACCCTGGATAAGGCACATGGACATCCCACAATACAAGCAGCTTCTGATTTAGCTAGCTTCATCGCTTGGCATCTTCGCTGGGAGATCTTCATGGATGCGGATTTTCGACCACCGGCGAAGTTGTGGGTATTCCAAGCATTGCTGCTGCTTGAGGTTTACGAAAAGGCGCTTTCCACGCGAGCTTTGCATGAGCGCGCCCACATCCACCATGATACGACACTTACGCTAATGCGACGCGGGAGCTCTCTTATCGGACGAACTTCCTTTGATACGCCGGAATCGCGCGAAGAGGACGAATCTTGGACACATTGGATCAAGGCTGAAGCGACACGGCGCGTAGCCTTCGCTGCGTTTGTGCTAGATTCAACACATGCCACAATGTTTGGACACTCGGCAAAAATGGTTGCCCACGAGTTGCGGCTCCCATTACCGTGCGATGAGGCACTTTGGGCAGCGACAAGCGCAGCAGAAGTGGCGCGGGTGCAATCGAGTCTGCAGTCACACGGTGTGCGACCGGTAATGTTCTTGGATGGATTGAAACGTACCCTTAATGGGCAGCCCGTACGAACCAATGCCTTTGGCCGTACTATTCTGCTTTCTGGGTTATTGAGCGTAAATTGGCATTTAAACCAGAGGGACCTGCAGGTCAGCTCGTTGGGAGTGGGACAGACGTTGGGTGGACGAGATAAGTGGCGGACTTCGTTACTGCGGGCGTTTGACAATTGGCGGCGGGACTACGACGAGGCTCTTGGGCCGACGCCTTCAGCCGAGACAGAATCACGAGATGTGATGCATGGACTTGCCCATATGGCCTCGCATGTGGATATAGCCGAAATACAGATCTTCGCTGGTGCTGGCCGCCTCATGGGGAGGTCTATCACGTCTCGCGATTATACTGCGGCGCGGGAGAAGACAGAGCGCTGGGCGACGAAAGCTTCTGCACGAGATGCCACCTTTTACGCGCTCAAGTTCTTGTCTGCATGGTTCTTAGACCCGACTGTCCAAGCGTCCGGGTATGTTGCCCGAGACGATAACCTGCTTCACCGACCGTGGGTAATGTATTTCGCTGCTTTGGTTGTGTGGACATATGGGTTCGCGCTGGATGGGCCATTGCAGATGAGGCCGGTTCTCAGTACCCCCGCCGACCGACAACGCGACATGGAGATCTATCTGCAGCGGGTTGGAGGCGTTAATGAGCCAAATGATTTGGAGAACATGAAGGGTCGTAATCAGTGCCTAGGGCTGCTAATGGTTCTACGAGACGCCTTTGCGAACCCTAGATGGGAGTTGCTGGGTGAAGCAGCGCAGCTACTGGATAGCTGCATCACAAAGCTTCAATTTTGATGTACTATGTAATCGTGATACCTACTAACTATCGAAATAGCTAAAAAAGTACAATGATTCTAAGCATCTGGAGACTGTGTTAGTGGAGCCCCGATCTGTGTATACACCGCTTGTTAGCGCTGTGGAGTGCCTGGTTGCCGCAACAACCAGACTCGATCCACCCTGCTTGGGAATCTGGGATTCCCAAACTCCCCTTGTCATCCATTCCATTCCTCACTTCACCTGAATCGTTTCGTTGCGTGTTCAAAGAAATCAAAATGGTATGTCGTCCATGTTTACAAGCGGACAGATTCAGCCATCCCTTTTTCGGTTCCGCCCCAATCACGTTTCCCTTCGCTATTCCCCGAATCCCATCCTTCTCTCATCACCATCGCCATGGCTAATAAATCCGACCAGGCCTCTACCAACTATAAGGAAGCATTCTCGCTTTTCGACCGCCGCGGCACCGGTCGCGTCTCCGGCGAGCTGCTGGGCGACCTGCTGCGTGCTTGTGGCCAGAACCCCACCCTCAGCGAGGTCGGCGATCTGGAGAAGTCGGTGGGCAGCGACTGTACGAAACCCAACATACAGATGGCAACTGTATATTCTATTTTTATTTGACCACATACAGCTGACATATGGTTGTTCCCTCTCTAGTCGACTTCGAGTCTTTCCTCAAGATTCTCAACCGTCCTGGTGGCTTCCGCGAGCCCGGCGAGCCCGAGGAGTATTGCCACGGGTTCCAAGTGTTCGATAAAGATATGACTGGTTTTATTGGAGTCGGCCAGCTCCGCTATAGTATGTGTTCCACACCGCAGACGGGAGCAAGTCGAGGCCTCAGGCAGTCCGCCTGCAGCCTGGCTCAGCTGTGCATGAATTACAGCAGATGACTAACCAATGTTTACAGTCCTCACGAACCTGGGCGAGAAGATGTCCGACGACGAAGTCGACGAGCTCCTCAAGGCTGTGGACACCAGCTCGGGCGAGATCAACTACACCGACCTCGTGCGAACGATCCTGGCTAACTAAGCACCTAATCGAATACCCCATACCCTTTTCTTCGCCTTTGCCTCTTGCCTTTGCCCGACTACTTGATTCGCTCGAATTGGTCTTGTCGATTTTTTTTTATGAATGCGCACGCTTTTTATGGTTACGGAACATGTCTTGCGAGGAACTCGGCCCTCTTTTTTTTTCTACGCACCTACCGTTGTTTTAACTACCGCTTCACCCTTCCGAGTTGGCGTGAGGATTTGTAGTGGACCTGGCTCGAATAAATAAGCAGGCCGCTGTTGTATTGAAGCATCTCATTACATACTTTTAAACTCTCCTCATATTTCTCGCATAAAAATTTGTAGACGCCCCGTTGATCGCTCTCCCTCCAAGCTGAAGTGTACATTTTAACCCCAACGATAAACTCCAATTGGACATATAATGCGTCTCTTCTAGATTATGCGCTCCAACCCCTCCATTCCATCTCCCCACAGCCGTCGCCCCCTCCACGCCCAGCTTCTCCGTTTCCAGCAAAGACCCCGGCAAAAGGTACACAGCAGGCGGCCTCACATCCTCCCGCTCCCCCTCCACGGCATCTGTCGAAGCCCTCCCAGTACCAGTAGTACTCCAATGTACGCGATCCAAATAATACCCCACCACAACGCGACAGCGACCACACCTCAGCAGAATGCGCTTTTCAATGCCATCTTCACGACGGATAAGTGTTGCACGGCGGTCGGGAATGGTAGTCGCGAGGAGGAGGGTAGCGTGCTTAGCTTTTGAGGCCGAGTTGGCTTCTGATGTGCTCTCGGTGTTCTCTGGATCTTCGTCGAGGTCTGTGTGTAGTTCTAGTGGGAGGATGATAGCTTGGTCTTTGGCTTCGCCGCCGCGACGAGGAGGGTGGAGATGTCGCGTGTTGTTGCTAGTAGGAGGTGGTTGCAGAATGCGCAGTGCTGGGTGCGGATTTGCAGGCGGGTTTGATCTGAAGCCATTGCGGTCCGTTCTGAGCTCGGATCTTAGGTGTGATAGCTTGAGGACTGATGCGGGTGCGACTGCGCTTTTGAGATTCTGAGGCGGATTCAAAGCGAAGACAGATTGACTAATTTTTTTGAATCCTCTATTAGAGCCATACGTCTGTCGGCGCCGAGAGAGTACTCACCGCAGGGAAAAAGCAATTGCGAGCATCCAAAGCTTGTGCTCGGCGAAGAGAATCTACGCCTAATACGTTTTGTTGGAGGCGGTGGGCTTATCAGTCTATCGTGACGTCCGATAGTACCAGACACGAATGATCATGCTTAATACTTCTATTTGAAGTTGATAAGTATTGTTCCTCACATCTCTAATATACAACTACCCTGCAGGTCGACTGTAGCTTCTCGTTTCGAGCATAGTGCCCTTTGAAGCTATTTCTTGCGTGATCACCGTTACAAGTCGTATCGATCGTTTTGTTGGAATGCCCAGGTGAGTATATTGATGATGACTGTCTTTAATCGGTTGCAAAAATTTCTACCCACTTCATTGTTGGCCCGTGGCCTCTTCTGTCACCTGGTGCTGATTATACCCTGGTCGTGCTCCAATCCAGGTCGTTCAAATCAGCACCATGATCGACAGATGATATCTTCTTCATATTGACCCGCGGTTCTCCTTTCCATATCAAAGTAAGTTGATAATTCCAGGGAATTGGTGGTTCATTGCCGTACCCAAATTTGACTATGACTTTCAGTTTTTCACTTATGTGACGCTGAGCATACGTCAAATGATTGCGGTGCTTCATGGTCCAGATGCCATGCCACCACCCTCCGCAACTTCTTTGCCCCGGGATTAAGTGCTGAACTCGGAAATTCAGGTGCAGATATTTCATCAACTCAACTTCTGATAATCAAGAAAATGAGCTGCCCTCATGCCCAAAGGCCTAAGTCGGTACCTTGGTGCAATTCGAACGACGTGGGGGTTTTCGAGGGCGAATCAGACGGAGTGAATCGCCCGGGCGCCCCATTCTCGGTGTGTGGTTCGTTCTTAACGTGGCGATCAAAGCCTTGACACCGACTGCTGGTCTCCTTGCCCTGGTGTCATTTTCTCTTTTCTTCAAACACTGAATCTGCATAGTTTCGTGTGTGTGCGACTCCCGTTGATCCTCCTTTCCCCGCCGCCCCCGCGTCCCGCTTTTCCCGATAAGAGTCATACTTTTTCCCTCTGGTTCAACATTGATCTCTATTTCAGCATTTCTGAGCCCTGAGAATGCCTCCCATCATTCATTGCGTTCGTCACGCCCAGGTATGTCTACTCTCGAGAGCCAGAAATATGCCACCTGAGCACATATTGATCAGCAGTAGGGCGTCCACAACCTCAGCCATGCCAACCATGTTATCCTCGACCCCCTCTTGACAGACCTCGGCCACGAGCAGTGCGCCAAGCTTCGCGACACTTTCCCTTTCCACGATAACATCGGCCTGGTGACAGCTTCGCCTCTCCGCCGCACCATCTACACAGCCCTTGAGAGTTTCGAGCCTGTCTTCAAGGCTCATCCAGAGATGAAGCTTATCGCCCTACCGGATGCCCAGGAAACCTCTGACGTGCCCTGCGACACAGGCAGCGCGCCCCAAGTACTGCGCGAGGAGTTTGCGGACAAGCCGGTGGATCTAGACTTGGTCCGGGAGGGCTGGAACAACAACGTACGTTCGCTCTCCAAAGCCTGAACCGATTCGAGCCCGATTCGACATAAAAGAGGAATCTCGATGACTGACTTGGCACTTTGGACATATAGGCTGGCCGCTACGCACCGGTCAACCAGGCTATCCGAGAGCGGGCCCGCGCCGCCCGCCGCTGGCTGAAGAACCGACCGGAGAAGGAGATTGTGCTCGTTACGCATGGCGGATTCTTGCACTACTTTACCGAAGACTGGGAGGACAGCAGTATGTACCAGGGTACTGGTTGGTTGAACACCGAGTACCGGACATATACATTCACAGAGGAATCTCCGGAGCTTGACCTAGTGGGGGCTCCGCTGGATGGCGACAATGCCTCGCTTGTTGAGACGATTCAGTCCCGCGAGCGCCGGGGTAAGAGCGGACCTACACTCGACCGCAAGCAACAAGCGGAGCTATACAAGAAGGGGACTCAGAGCTGGGATGATATGGGACTGCACTTGAGCACGGCGGAGCGCGAGGCCGCAAAGGTTCCTGAGGGCAGTGAGGTTGATGGAAGCCGAGTGTAAAAAAGGGGTGTTGGGATTTTGAACATAGCCATTGCTTTTGTTTTTGGAAGATAGAGTAGAGATAGAGTAGATAGTTCAAGTTCACAATGAATGCGTCAAAAAGCAGCGCTTAATGCGGGTCATTGATTACACTGTGTCTTTTTATGTATCCATCGTTTAGCTCTATAGCTCAGATATGCCCTCTGAGGATCTCAGGTGTCATTTTTCTGATAATCGCTGTTTTCTCTTTTTCTCATACTTAAAAGATGAGAAACAAAGCGCAGTCGAATATAAGCTTTCATCGGAATTGATCGCATGTATATAATGTTAATTATTCTTCTTTAGGACTATAAAACAATCCATTGAGCGAAGCGTGGTCTTCAAAACAATTCGAAATTATCATAATGAAGAAGGATTTAAAGTGACTTTGAACAGAGGTTGGGACTTGAGGTTGAATTTCTTTTTTTCCTTTTATTGGATCATGACCTGGAGTTGATATATTTAGCTGCTGTTGTAATATAAGTGCCCTATATCTCATCTATGCAGAATGCTAGTAGCATCTTCAGCTTGGAGCTTTGAGGCATGTTCAGTACTCAGCATATTTATAGGAAAATCTACTACTCCTACCCATATCCGAGTCAGCACGTCAATTTCAATCTGGCACTGATTCGATCTTAAAGCTCATTTATTAAGTATTTCAGTTTCTCCTTCACAAGCTAAGCTAATTAGAGGTATAGTCTATCGATAGCGAGCGCCATAGCATTAGCAGTCTTCATGCAAGTTAAACGCTACTAAGTAGATGGGACCACTAGCAGCTACCCCTCTGCCACGCCTGTTGACCGCTTAGCCGCCCTGCAGACGAAGCTTGCTGAGAGAGTGGAAGACGGCCGGGTTATCGACTACGGTTGTAATGTTTTCCAGGGCGACATCAGGATCCGCGGGCGCATCGTCTGGACGTACTAGAGGGTCTCCAACACCACTCCTATCTGTACGGAGTAAGCGTTGAGCTCTCGGTCGCCATCGACCCCAAGGTCGTGTGACTTGGCAAGGGACGCTCGCTTTCTAACTGTGCTGTTTCGTTATACAGTCACATGCAAATTGGGCCGTTATTTCCGCTCATAAGGCATCAGACCCCGCTACCCCTGATAATTTGGCATTCGGCTTCAGCACTTTGTCCTCCAACAAATCCCGGAGAGACTCAGACAAAGTTACGATTTAGTAAAGTACATCATCCATCTTGACCTTCATTGTCTCTCGACTGAAAATGCCACAGATCTTCAGAGTCGAGCATGTCGATTGCCAGCCTCCGAACCGATATAGATGATCTTCGAAAGGAGATTAAGTCTATGTTATCTGATGCCGTCGAGATGATAGATACCAAGACTGAGTTGGAGCCAGAACAAAGCACTCGTACATTCATCCCCACATCTTACAAAAGGCATTCCGAGGAAAATAAGGAATATTTAGGGACGGAACTTAGTCGAAAAGTCTCTGCTTTGATCAATAGACTGCCGATTGGATCTGTGAGTTTCGGGTACTGAATTCTCTGTTAGATCTCACATGAATTAGGGATGGCAGTGGGCCATTTTCTATCTTTGCAAATCACGACGCATATCGAATGAACTGAAAGACATGTACCTGGTTCCTCTCTCGGCAAAGGCATCGATTTCTCCAGGAGGACAACTTGACGAAGGAAAATATGCGCATATCAAGGATGAGCCTGTGCTTAGTCCAGATACAGTTGTACTATTCTTAGTCCGTCCTTGAAACTTGATGTATTATACTTGTAGCTTATTAGACGAATTTGCTCAGCCTATATCATATGGAATCAGAAGGTACATATCATTTGCTTACTTGTCAGATAGAGGAGCGTTGCTATCTTTTATTTCATAGAACTTAATCGGAGACAAAAAAAACCTTCGTCAGGAATTGTGTCTAAGGGATCCGGCTGGGGTTCGATGAAGGGCTGGTTTGACTGCTGGTCAAAAACTGGCTATCCATGACCGCGGGGATCGAAGAAAATTGGCTGCGCAGCATAGCCATAAGACGATGTATCTGCAAAGGATTGGTTCGACTGCTGGTCAAGAATTGGCTGTCCATGACCACAGGGATCGAAGAAATTTGGCTGCGTGTCAGAATCTCCAGGTGAAGGTACATTATATGGATGGTTTGAAGGGGCCTCGAACACTGGCTGCGAGTAGACAGTATTGGAAGGACTGGAACTTTAGTGCGGCAGGTTGAAGTATCATGTTCCAATGGTAGTGCTGTCGGTCGGTCGACATCTAGTTGACCCGTCTCGTCTTCCAAGGTTTGTGGGTTACCTTGGCTGGTTTGACTGTGCTCCTCAACCAATACATTGGAACAAGGTTGGCTCGAGGGTGATAGAGTGGTAAGATCCTCAGGCTGATAGTCGAGGTATGAATCCTTGTTAACGATATTGACAGGGAAATAATCTTCAATCGTTAGTATACTGGTCCTTGCAGATACGTAGCGTTTGAATACCAGAGGTTTGGGTGGAAAAGCGGGATAGTCGACAATTAGTGTGCCACTCTAAAGGATCCGCAAAATTTGACATTTGAGACTTAACAAAAATAAAGTCGTATCCAAGAGACCTGCAGATCATCTCGATCCTACAAATTTCAGATATCTTGGCGCGTACAATCAAAAGCATTAACTTACTTGATTCTTCTTTTCGGCTTTTGTTCAAGAACCTATCGATGATTAATAGAATCAGCAGTGATGTTGACCTTGGGCTCATTGGAGGCACAAGCGGCATTGGTATCTGATATTTCCGTTGCTAAGGTTCACCAAAGGCTAATTCTTTTCTTACCCTTATCGGAATATTGTATTTGAGATGTATTAATCTATGAGAAAGCAATATATCAACCACTCACACGAGCTAAACACTTAAATGATACTGTCGTACAGTCCTCTATCCCTAGGAAGGCGGGATATGCTACATACTACGACCCGCAGTACGGATTTAGGCAACTCTGATGTACTCCGACGCTAACAATAAGCAAAGAATAAATAGATACGGAGTAATTGGATCACCTTTACTGAGCCCATATGATCCCATAGACCAACGTGAGTCTTCGCAGCAGATGATAAAGACAAGAGTTATGCTGTTACACCTTCCCCTATTACCCTCCTACATACTGATTGAAGATAGAATAGTATTTGTGGACAACACCCAAGGGTCAAGCCCTATTCAAGATATGTAACCCCCTCAAAGCAGCTGACACGTACAGAAGTACAAGACAAGGGCCCGCCAAATCTATCTCAGACGCAGTCGACCAGGGCGCCATCAAGCAGGAGGTGGCTTGTGGCCCCCAGTATCAGAAAAGCACAAATTTATTTTGCATGGCTGACCCGAACCAGGGAAAAACACGAGCTGGTCAGCCCCGATAGGTTGATCAAGGGAGCTGTTCCCTGCTTCTCCTGCAAATCATCCCCGCTAAGCAGCTGCGGTCGCCCGGGGAATTACTCGCGTCAGCGCGCCATTGGGGTAGGCAGCCAGATTCCCGGGTACCTGCACGCTTGAACCGTCTCATAAGCCCCATGGCAACTGATAATCTGTTAGCATAGCCGGGTGGAGCTGCAGACCCCAGAATCTTGGTGCCTCCGAAACAATACGGCGAATCACGACCCTCCAACTTATTTTTAGGCGCCGATCGGCCGTGGCGCAATCAAGTCGCGAACCACACCGTCCTAGAGTCCTTGCAAGACGCTATAATATCGGAACAGGACCCTCCTTACTCGCCCAGACCATTCCAGTCGCGATGCTCGATGAAAACTTACCAAGTAAGTCTGACCTATTCGGGTCCAGCATGCTTCCCTGTCCTGCATACGTCATCCGGGGACACCCAGGACATTCTCCAGGCCATTTTCAACTCGACCGAGTCCGCGAACTAACGGATCGCAGCTTTCTTCTTGAAGAACAATTCCCAGTCTCCACAGCAGAGCACTATCTACCATCGTCAATATGGTAATGATCCCGAACCAACCTACACCCTCCGCCGTCTCGATCCCGCAGACCCTTCGTCCGAAAACCATTACGGCGTCGCCCTCTCCGACCCTTGGGTACCTGGAATCGTCTACGGAGAGGTATCTGTGAAGCCGGAATGGACTCAACCGAGTCTTTCTGCAGATGCCATCCGTGCCAATGGCGGTGTTGTACCGCCACCAGAGCCCATCATTCCCCCAGAGTTCACCGTTCAGCTCTACAATCCTGACCAACAGGTCGTTGTGTACTACAAAGCGAAGACATGGAACCGACCAGCTCACTGGGTATTTGAGATGCCACAGCGGACATTTCGTTTACCCTCCGCTTCAACTCTCGACCGTACCCAGAGCGACCCCGCAACCGCGGACGTGACGCCCAAGCTGCGGTTCAGTTGGCGCAAGGATGGGAAGCTGTCCAAAGATCTCTCCTGTCTGCTCCACGGCAAAACGTCCACTATGCCCGACACGAAGCACAAGAGCCGCGAGCCCGATATTACTGTCGCGATTTTCCAGGGCCTAAAAGAGCTCACACTCTACGAGCCCAACTTATACCGTGTGGAGATGGAAGACTTCAAGGGTCTCGAAGTGGTCCTGCTGCTGGCGGCAGTGGCTATCCGCGATATATTTTTTGGATCTGTCAAGGAAGTGTTCAACATCAAAGCAGGGGGAGCAAGCACCGTCCCCGGCCGCAAGAGCCCGAAAGCGCAAACACAGGGAGCACCGCCAGCCACGGCATTACCAGACGGCAAGCCGGCTCCTCGGATCTCGATTCCAAATTCTCCAACCCCAGCACCTCAACCTCGGCCCCGACCGCGCCAGGACAATGCCGCAGAAGAGGAAGCCCGCCGTACCCAAACCCTTCTGGAAAAAGAGAAGCGCGAGCGCGAGCAGGCCAAACGCCGCCGAGACCAAGAAATCGAGCTCGAGACGAAGCGGCTGCAAGAGATCTACGGCAAAGAAGAGCAGCAAGCCCGACTGCAGGCACCAGCCGCGTCGTCCCCTTCACGGCCGAACCTGCCTCCTCGACACAGCGGGCCTGCTCGTCCACAACCGCACCGCTACTCCCAGTCATACTCCCTACATGCCTCAGAGCCAGTCCACTCCCCCTGGCTACCAATCACGTCCGCAGTACCAGCAGGCAGGTCCTGGCCCGTACCAACGAGTAAACAGTGGCGTAGATCCTCGGGCCCAGTCTACTGCGAACCTGCACCCTCCTCGGCCCATGCCGCCTAGGCCTCAGTCGACGGTTGGTTTCTATCAGATCCCGACTAGCAGTGGGGCCCTTCTTCCTGGGCCGAGCCAAACGAGTCCTCCGCAATTGAGTGCTCAGCAGAAGCTTCAGCCGAAGAAGAGCAGTTTCTTTGGATTCCGGCGCAATAAGGAGGAAGCTTCACCGGGTAATAAGCTTGATAAAAAGCGGAGTTCCATGTTTTGAAACGTCTCTCATCGATTTTGCTTTTCTCCTTTTTCTCATTGCGATACCCTGACGCTTCGTTTCCGTCACTTGCTCTTTTTTTTCCCCTTTTCTCTTTTCTTTGCCCCTAGCGTTTTAGGGCATTCGTCTCATACAATAATATGCACGTGCATTGCATTGTTACTTGCGACGTTCTGAAAAGCAAAAGTGTATGGCATTATGCATCCAACGATCCTCCAGCTGACGCTTCTCTGCATCTGGTCGATTTCGGAGTAGATGCGCAGCTCATGGTGCGAATTTACTTTACAGAAATAAAGCTAGTTCTGATCAAATTTTGACCAGTGTTTATTCAAGTTTGCAACCTCAACTTCAGGCTGTATTGAGGTGTTATAGTCTCGGTCAAACTCCCATAGTCGATCTCATCGGTAAGAATGAGTGGAGGGGTAAAAATAACGAAAGGAACCACCGACTCTCGGAAGGGAAAAGATAGAAAAGGGAAAGACATATTAAAGGGTGATTGCCGAAGCGCTCAGAACACCGCCCTCCTTGACCAGAGCAGCTGTAGCCTGCTCCGGAACAGCCTGATCAATACCCAGAATCATGAGAGCTTCCGTGGAATCAAGCTTCTCTTTCTCCGTGAGTTGAGCATCACCCTCGTCATAGTTGTCCCTCAACTTAGGCGAGACAGGCGCCACGATCATGAAATTGATATTGACTCCCTCTCGACCGAGGATGCTTCCCACGACGCCAATCTTGCCCGGAGAGTCGTAGTTAACACAAATCAGAAGGTTGCCTTGCGGTTCAAACGACGCCTCAAATCTATCAAGCCGAGTGATGAGGGGCCTATTCCCGGAGCACGTGCCGCAGATGATTCGCTGTTGTTGTTGAGGCGCAGAGCTAGAAGACTCCGTAACGCCAGGGGCTCGGGATGGAGCACGAGATGGCGGGCGTGCAACGAGCGTAACCAGCGACGAATAGGATGAGCTGTCTGACGGATCGCGCGAATGTTGTTCGGAAACAAAGATGCCACGCTCGTGGGCAATTAATTCTGCATTGACAATGTTGATATTAAAGCCCTCGGAAGCGCTGATAGGAGCGAGGAGTCCTTTGATAAGAGCAGCATACAAGGGCCTAGTATTATGAATGCCGGCAACTTCGCCTTGGTATATCAGGTCAAAGGTGTTCCGAGTCATGGAGCCTCCGGGAGGATGGCGTACTGTTGCGTATAAAGACTGCCAATCTTCTCGACTAGGCGCACGAATGGCTGAAGCTTCTGGTACTCTTCTGGTAGGATGAGCGGTGCGTTCACTGCACTCCGCGGAAGAGACCCATTCAGGATTTCTAGAACCTGCTCACAGACATCCACGGAGACATTTTCCTGAGCTTCCACTGTGGACGCTCCTAGATGCGGAGTAGCAATGACTTTCGGGTGCGCAATCAGCTTCCCTGGTGTGGTATCAGAAGTTGGCGGCTCGGTTGTAAACACGTCTACGGCTGCGCCGGCTAAATGACCAGATTCCAACGCGGCGAGTAAGGCATCTTCATCAATTGTGCCACCTCGGGCGACATTCAGTATACGGGCGCCGGTCTTCATTTGTGCTAGTTCAGCTGCCCCTATCATCCCACGAGTAGATGCGATCAAAGGAGTGTGAATAGTCACAAAATCAGAGCATGAAAGAAGCTCTGGCAGAGAAGGTACAAGGTTCACAGATGCAGATGCTGCCACTGATAGAGAGGCATATGGATCAAGAGCGTTGATGGTCATGCCGAGGCCTTTTGCAAGACGGGCCACAATCAAACCCACTGCAAAGGCTTGTTAGCTGACTTGCGTCCAAGCCCCCACAAAGTACACACCTTTTCCCAACCCAATTATCCCCAAGACTTTGCCTTTCATCTCGACACCGATAAACTTGCTTCGCTCCCATTTTCCACTCTTCAGACTGGCACATGCCTCAGGGATATTTCGTGCCAATGCCATCATTAGTGCGATGGTGTGCTCGGCGGCGGCTCCAATGTTGCCAGAGGGGGAATTGACAACGACAATTCCCAGTCTGGTAGCTTCACTGACATCTATGAAGAAGTTTGATTAGTCAATTAAAAGGTTGTATGCCCCCATTGTGGTGTAGCTCACCAACATTGTCAACGCCAACCCCAGCACGAGCGACTACTTTCAAGTTTCGCGCAGCCTGGAGCACCAAGTCTGTAACTTGAGTTTCAGAGCGTATAATAAGAGCGTTATATTCTGGAATCTTGCTTAGGAGTTCCTTTGGGCTGAGATTCTTGTGCTCGTCCACATCCAAAGAAGTGCGCAACAGAGCCATCCCATCATTGGAGAGCTTCTCTGTCACCAGAACCTTAGCACGGGGCTTTTGAATGAGAGGCATCGTTGTCTTCGATTGAAGTGGCCGTCAAGTAGAATGAGGGTGTTTTCAAGCTTAGGATTGAAGTTGAAGCCAGAAATTCAACGACTGAGAGGTAGATGAACCTTGGGAGCCGTCGAAGCATTGGCACCGCGGCAGGCGCGCCCATGCAAGCTCAAAATGGCAGCCACGACCCGGGGGAAATCCGTCTGCGTTTTCAAATAATCTGTGATCCAATCATAGTGAGCTGCAGCGCAGTAAAATCTGCTCAGGCGACACAGAACGCGGGGTAGCGGGCTGGCCGGCGTTGATTGGAGACCGTGTATGTCGGTTTCTTAAGTTCACACTGAAATCCCATGTGGTCGACAGAAGAGTACGAAGATCCCCACAGGATCTTCATATTATACTTAAGATTTCTGGGGTTCACCAATGGGAGCCGCGACAGGGAGATACTCAAGAATGAGAGAGGCTTTAGACTTTATGAGCGGTAGCCCTAAGTGGTCCAGATGTGCTCACCTTCGATGTCGGAGATTCAGGCGACCATCCCCACGTCTAATATAAATCCAGACCCGGCGTCTTCAGGAAATACCGTACATCAATCTTATGTATCTTTATGTCACAAGCTATCCATCAAATTTCATTTCCAAATAAAATCACCCGGCCGCGCACCTGTCATATATAATGGGTGACTCGAACATCAGCTGACTGGTGGCGCTAGAGAGCGCCGCGTCGAGTCTGGAGGAGCCATGTATTCAATGCAACAAAAAAGGGGCTGGGGGATGGCGGTCGCAGATCATGACAGGTCCTCAGCGCTAACCCCGTGCCATTCGACATTATTTCAGGATATCCATGTCTTTACCAGAATGTGAAAATAGAGAGGTCGTCCTCTCTTGATGGATTTGTACGCGTTTTCAGAGTAATAACAACGGTATCTAAGCAAATAATAATAGTGACACCCTGATTCTGTGTCCTCACCCCGGAGCCCTCCTCTCTAAGAAGCAGAGCTCATATACTGGGGACGCTCGACGCCTCTCCGGCGAGTGCTCGCTGTGCTTGTGTCTTGCTCGATGGTGATTGAATAGATGCCTAGGAGATGATTTGGAGGATGAGAACGATCTGCTCATCCTGGCGGTCTTCCTGACCCGAGTGGAAGGTTTTTAGGACCACTTTCGAATGTCGGTCTAATGGAACGACGGTTCACGTGAAGGCAATTTCATTTTGCCTTGCTGTTTTGACTGATCTTGTAGATGTTAAACTGTCTTACAACCCCCCCACAAGCCCATGATAAGCATATGATGGATTTGCCCGGCGCCATGGAGAAAGTAGATTTTTGTTAGATCGAAAGCACCCAGAAACACGGGTACGGCGGACGCTTAGGCCCTCCGCAGGATTTGGTATACCTGCGCCTCACTGTCGGTGACAATTCCGTATACTGTAGTACTTTTTTCCCCTTTATACTCCTGTCATCCAGAGTGCACCATACCTAGAAGCCGGTCAGCAATGCCTTCGGTATGGTGCAAGAGACTTACCCATATAAGCAAGGGCTTGTTTCTGCCCTTTGCCAAATTCGTCTGAAATTTTGGGCTCTAGAGCCTCATACTCTCAATCTCATTACCATAGGGTATAGTCAGCGCGGCCATTTAGTTGGTGCTTAATCTTCTTTCGGCCAAGGGCGGGTGATATGGGAGAATGTCGTTTCATACCCCCATCTCACCGGTTATCCTGTCACAATACCGGCTTCTATGGCGAAGCCAACAACAGCGCTGAACAAAAGGGGATATACCCGTAACATTTGGCCCGAGTTGCGCTGTACGCAGCTTGGCCTGTATTTCCCTCCATGCCGCGAGGGCGTCGTCGTAACGCCTGTCGACGGCCAGGATGCCCATGCGAATATTGGCCGCGAGGTCAAGATTTCTGGACAGGGCAGGGAACTGTTCATGATAGCCCCTAGTATCAAATTTTTAGCGTAGGATTTAGTTCCTTGAGGAGCTTGGTATCAGGCGTCTGGGTTTGGCCGTTGGTTGGGGGCGCTTTTGTATGAAAGGTCGTGTGATCGATCATACGCTTCAATGTGGGTTTGTCGTTCCCGGTTGATAATTTCAGCTGAACCCGTACCCATGCCTCGTTCTCTCGAGACCTAGCTTGGCAACTGTGCTGGTAGCGCATTGCTCGAGCTATGAGAACAAATCAGTACTGAGCTAATGTTAGGAGGGCAGGGTACTCACAATTTCAGGACATCCATGTCTTTATTAGAACGTGAAAAGAGCAAGTTCGCCCTCTCTTGAGCCACGATCTGTTGAAGAACCTAGATTTAGGAAGCCCGACAGAATAGTATCCAAAATGGGAAACGAAAGGAACTGAGAGTAAAAGGAAAGAGATTAGACAATCGATGCTGTTGGGGGCGGCTGTCCCCACTCTTCCCGCACTCCCTGGACCGCGGAGATCCACAACGTCCCTCCTAGCCGAGAGATCAAGTGGGGGACAGGGGCTAAATATTCACAAGATTCGAGCCTTGTACCCAATTCAGTCGACCATGCATATAGCTTTGTGTTAGGGTTTGCTCTGGCCCCATGGAAAGACTTCAATGCCACAGAATTGACGCCAATTGACCTCCGGCCCAAATCTATTTCAGTTTAGCCTCATATCGGGATTTGCTCCGGGGGTCAACAGTTCGAATATTCAGGTGCCTTCCTTGGCTAATTTGGATCTTCGTTTCATCTATCACAAATACTCCACTGCTCTCCCCGGTTTCTGCTCTTACAGCTCCCTTTGCAGTTTCAGGAACTTGCGATTCGTCCACCTCTCGCGACCACCATGCTTTTTAACTGAACCCTGACGTCGCGATGGTGGGGGTACCACATAGCACTGGCTGTTCACTGTGTCGCGAGAGACACATCAAGGTGAGCAACCCTTCCTCACCCAAAATACCGGCGGGGTTTTCTCCGCCACGAAAACTCGTCCCTTCCAGCTAACCGGTCCCTTCACCCGGGGGTTTGCTTAGTGCGATGAAGCGGTCCCCGAATGCACCCAGTGCCAGCGATACGGTCGAACGTGCCCTGGATACCGCCGCACCTTCAGATTCCAAGACGAAGGCCCCAGTCTCGTGCGGCGACACCGTCCCACGACACGGCGGCGGGGGCGAGGGCGTCCGCGGGCCCAACAACCTCTATCACATCAGGACCGGCGGGCACAGCGCAGATCACGCCGCCGAAGCGGGTAGAGCACACCAATGATGGCAATGGCACGGCCGCCGAAGTACGCAACAATGCGATCGCCTTGATGCGCCGCCATTCGGCGTCTGTGTCGCTGGACGAGAGTGTTTCGCCGTCGCTAGTGCGCCAGTCCATGAGGTCCGCGCAGCCACAGCTGTTCTTGGATTTCATCAGCGCCTCGTTTCCCACGCTATATTTTCATAATCGGTTTCGTGCTGGCAACGAGCCTGGGTTTGCGGAGTTCATCATTATGAATTTTGGTCAGGACGCGTATCTGGATTCGGCAATTTGTTGTTTGAGTTCTGTTTATTTGGCCCATTTAACGCAGGACCCGGCACTTTTCCGGACGAGTCGTCGCATGTACGGCATCGCGTTGAGTGAGATGATTCGGGCGCTGCCGAAAGGCGAACATGCGAGCTCGGACAATATGCTTTGCACGTCCATGATGCTGAGCGTCTATGAGATGTATGCCCAGACTAGCCCCGATGCATGGGTAGTGCACTCCGAGGCTGTAAAACGGCTCATGAGCAACCGGGGCACCAAGGGCCATAAGACCGGCTTTGGACGGTCTTGCTGGATTGCGTTTCGAGGTTTTCATGTTGCAACTGCAATCTATCAGTCCGAGCCTTGCTTCCTTGACTCGCCAGACTGGCAATCCTATGCGTCAGAAACCATGACTGAAGATGCGAAAAAGCCCGGCGAATGGGCTGCATACACTATCATCTCCGACAAGACGTTCATGGAGATAACCAAGTGTCCGCGGTATATAAGCGAGACGCGAGATATCCTCTCCGGCAAGACGCCGCTGGTTCCATCCAAAGTCGAACAACTCATCCAGCGTATGGAGGAAACAGCTCAGCGCTTGCACTTCCTCGCGGCCGAGCTGCGCTTCTGTATAACTGCTCATACTCAACGCGAACAAGGCATCACCCGACGCCCTGGTACCTTCGTGGGCCCCGTTCCTGAGGTCTTTCCTGAAACAGGCCCATCATTACTTCTCCGGGGAGCAGAAAACATTCAAGCAGTCCTCGAGCAGCTCCACAATCATCTAGATAGGAAACTACGCTTCCGAGCCGTTAAAGAGCATTCTCCAGCATCCACAGTAGATACACTGAGCGATGAAAGTGCAGAAACTCCACCACCAGCAGCACCACCAACACTTACCACATTTACTTTGCCCTTTCGAATCCACTCCGAAATTGGAGATGGCCCTTCCAAAACTTCAGACAGCGACGATCCTCGCGCGGTGATTTGGTTGGACCGCGTGGCTTCGTCAATGGGGGTCCTGGGCACGAAAGTCCTGATCGACGAGCCCCCAATGGGATTCATCGAAGAAGAGGCTTCTAGGTCGAGTCCTTCCCATTGGTCCTGATAACCTCTACGTGAAACGATAAATACCTTTGCTAGCTGGCTCTAGATGCCATTCGTGTACTTCAAGCGACAGACCTCCAAGATATCCAGTTTCTAAAAGATCATCATGCATTCACTCCTGATATAAATTTTTCATAAAACCACACTCCATTTACAACCAGTCTGCAACCCCAGCTTAAGCCATCAGAAAGCTTTGAACATCCCCTTCCCCCCCCCCTCCCGCCCCCCCCCGAGCCAAGTCCTCTAGTACGCCAACGATTCCTCCAAAAGTTTCCTCAGCTCACCCTTCTCAGCCTGGAGCTCCTCGCTCAAATTAGGCGCAAGCATCAACACCCGTTTCTGCGGGATAGTCCCTTCAACCAGCCCATCAATATCGCCCGCCTCAAAGCCCAGATCCTTCAATCCGCGCGGCTGATCCCCCAACTTCACCAAGAACTCCGCAATCGCGGCCCCAAGCACCTCGCCCGCGCTTTCCCGCTTCACATTCGAGATATCCACCCCGAAGGCCTCCGCAGCCGCCAGATGGCGGTCCGGATTCGACGCCGCAGTAAACTTGAACACAGCCGGGGCCGTCACGGCGACGGACACGCCGTGGGGGATGATAGGGTGATCGACCTCATAGCCGGAGTGCTTGTAGCCCTTGTTCTGACTGGAGATGGGGTAGCTCATGCCGTGGCAGAGATGCACGCCTGCATTTCCGAAGCCCACACCGGCGAGCGTGGCTGCGAGGAGCATCTGCGACTGGGCTTCGTGGTCGTCCGGGTCGCGGACGGCGCGCGGCAGGTACTTGACGGTGCTGCGCAGGGCTTGCAGGGAGAAGATGTCGGAGATGGGGTTTGCGCCTTGGTAGGCGGGTCGGTTGATTGGGTTGGTGGGACGGGGCGTGCGCTCGTTGTAGGGGATTGCGGTCCATGATTCGAGGGAGTGGCAGAGCACGTCGAGCCCGGAGGCGGCGTGGACGGCCGAGGGCATGGTGCGGGTGTTGAGAGGGTCGCAGATGCCGAGGGTAGGCTTGAGGTTGCGGTGAGCAATTCCTGTCTTCGCTTTCTTGGATACTAGGTCGAAGATTGCGGTGCCGGTCGTCTCGGACCCTGTGCCCGCTGTCGTGGGGACGGCGACGAGCGGCAGGAGAGGCTTGTCGACGGGGAGACCTTTGCCCAGGGGAGCATTGACGAAGTCCAGGAAGTCTGCTTCCGGGTAGGCATTGTACAAGTTCATCAATTTGGCTGTGTCAATGACGGAGCCACCACCTGTCCTCAATGGATTAGCGAGTCTTCTTCTACTTTTGCTCAATTGATGACTTGGTGCGTACCGACTGCGAGGAACGCATCTGGTTTATAGGGCTTCGCAAAGGCAATTGCGTCTTTGATCCTATGAGAGCCAGATTGCTTAGTCGTGATTTTGCATGTGGGCATTTGCCGTGGGGAGGAATATACATACGAACTGTCTTTCGGCTCTGTGCGGACCTTGTCATAGATGGTGAACTGGATCCCCTCCTTGCTCAGGCCTTCCACCGCCTGCTTCAAGGCATTCAACTTGGCGACATTGGAGTCGGTCACAATGCACACACGCTTGGCACCCATGTTCTTGAAGTCCATGCCGACTTCCTTGGTTGCACCCGGGCCAAAGCGGATGCTCGACGCGGCCATCTCAAATGCGTACTCCTTCTCCCGCGAGGGGTCCACCGGTGTAGCCAGATGGCGGCGGGCATTTTGCATCATAGAGGGGGTCTTATGGTGGTGGTGATGGTTGGGGTTGGAGTGGCAGGGGCAGTTTGGAGGGTGTGTGTACTGCACTGTCTTCAACAGATTTAGGGCGCGGTTCGCGGCCGAAGGGGCCACTCGAATTGCTGGAGCGACCATTCTTTCTGATTTTGTTTTATACAGGATACCGTCTTCCAATGGGTTCAAAAGGGTGGATTGCAGGGATCAGAGGAAGTGCGAGCTATTAAATGTGCCATTGACAGCTAGGAGGAAGCGGGTGGAATTGGAGACAACATGCGGGGGTGCGTGAACCCCAACCTCGGCTTTCTCGCCGACTTCACGAATCCTTGGCGAAATTTTTCTCCAACTCTACTTTCATGGAGATCTACTTGATGAGCACATTATTATCCTTGATTTTCATCCGGACAATGGTTATATTGAGTCGTTGATCATAGTATATTACTCCTGTGAACTGCTCTAGTGGACCCAACAGCCGAGGTCCATGAAGGGGGGCACAATTGCCCATTCGGGGAGATCGGAGGAAATCCACTCGGAAGATACGCAACAGACGAACAAGCCGGTTGCCGGCCCTTCCAGAGACCCACTAACACAGCGTCAACGTGATGCTGGTTGAGCTATCCAGTACACGGACCTGACTCTCTGCCGGCGGTTGACCGTTTGCCCAAGAGATACGCGGTGTTGAAGGGCTGATTTCAACACGATGGCCCTGAAGCGGATCGCCGCTCACATCCGCCAGGTTATACCATACTTTCCCTCCGCTGACGTTGTATGCGAAGATCATCAACGGAGCATGGCCCATGAGTGCGTTTTTGTCCACGCCGATCTTGAGGGCAATCCCACCTTCTCCAATTCGGTATGCTTCAGAGTACTCATGTGAGGCGGAGATGGTCACTTCGGTATGGATTGTTTCCCCAACCGGCCAGACATAGACGGGGAATTGGCAATTGTTCTGTATGGTCGCTCTGCCCAGGAGCGCTTCATCCGAAGGGTCCACCCCTCCGTCTGAGCCAGATGTGTCAGGGCCGAGCGGTGGTACGGCCGTGGGATCAGCGGCTATTCCAGCATCGTATGTCGTGGTCGGCGTCAGAGAAGCCGACGGCACCGCAACGGTGGAGGAAGCAGTCGGAAATGCTCCAAATGGGATTCCGTAAGAGGCTGACGGTGTTGTGTCCTGGGGAACTTGAAACGGTTTGCTGGTGGCCAAGTGGGCCAAGAATAGAAATGGGGGAGGCGAAAGCCGTTCATGCTGGGAAATTTATTGAGTCCGGCGTGGTGAAATCGGGGGTTGGCGCAGTAGGCACTGTGAAGAATGGCTTCCTTGGTCGACAGCCGTGGCGTACTGCTGTCTTATAGCAACAGAGCCGACGCGATGCTCTGCGGCCAATGCCTCTCCATGCGAACGCCAAATTTCTCGGGTGTGACATTCTTTGTGGCTGCAATGGCCTTTCTAGGAGTTTTCTCGGCGAGCACCGCGGGGGAGATCGTGCACGGTTGGCAGGAATGCTAGTCTCACAGCCTGTTACTCGGGCCAGAGGACTCATTCACACCGTGGCAGGGAAACGAGAATACGTTGCATCTGAGCCGTCCGTACCCGCTGTGCGCAGATGCAGAACTTTGATCAGCTCCCCAAGTTGGACGCCGGGGTTGGCCATGGTCTTCCTTCGGTCCCCCGAGGCGGCAAGTCGCAGCAATCTCCCTCGATAGTGAATGATACAACTGCTGTACAGGGATAGGTGTGGAGCAATTCCAAGTTGGGTAAAAGCTCTAGTACCTTGTACAGGTGCTGTGGGGTCTGGACTCCGTCGCTCCGTATACCCCCCCTAGGCTCAAAGGCCTGCTTTGAATCCAGGGGCTCGATGTGAAATGCTACCGCCTAGAACGTCCGACCAGCGACCTGCAGCTAGCGCCCCTGGAATGAGAGCTCCAGAGTTATTGGCATTAAATACGGTAGCGCCGCTTTCAATCTCTTGGATTAGGTGGGCCTCCATAGCGGAGGCCGGTACAAGCGTCCCCAGTTGGAGATCGAATGACCAGATTATCCAAACACGGTCCTTGTTGTATGAAAATAATTGGGGCACGAGCTCAAGAGCACCAATGACTGACATCGGTAGCCTGAAGGTGAAAATATATTGATTGATATGTTCAAAAGCGACGGCAAAGTATGTACAGGGAAAACTCAACGTTGGGAGACCCAGTCTCTTTCGACGAGAAATGGTCGCAGCCTCCACGGTCTTCAAAGACCTAGGACAGATGACTAGAAGGGGACAACTTCAGAAGAGCCGAGGATATTCCCGTCCTGGAGAGCGGAGACCTGAATGTAGTTGGTTGGCAGGTCGGTGAGATCGACGCGAGTCTCAAAACCCGTGCGGGTGGCATTACCAATCTGCGGGCCGGCCGTCGAATTCACCGACGAGGGGGCATAGATGTTCCAGCTGTCATAATCGGTGGCGCCGTTCCAGCTCATGTAGACCGACGCGCCGTCGCTAGTGCGATTCACATAGAGAGAAGGCTTCCAGAAAGGAACAGCACTCCACTGGCAGCGATATCCACGGTAAGAGGCAACGGCATTGTCATCGCCGAACTGCGCAGTGAAGACAATGTTGCCATTGCCGTCGTATTCCTTAACCTTGGAAATGGATCCGTAGTCCATGAAGACGTTGGCGTCTTCGTCTGCGCCCAGAAGCTGGTAGCTACCCTGGCTGACGGATTTGATGGGATCGTTAGGGTCCGACAGAGACTTGAGGCCGGTCACTGTCTTGTCCTGGAGGTTGATGGACAGGCTGAGACCGGTGGTATCACCCTCCGAGTCAGAGCCAGTGTTGGCGTTGTTGAAAAGATTCAAGATAAGGCCGTCGTCAGTCTCGTTGTGCACTCGCATATCGTGCTGCCACGAGAAGTTGGTGTTGCCGGAAGGAGCGAAGTCACCGCCGGTGTCTCCGCTAATGTGCCAGATGATAGTTCCATTGTGATCTAGGTAGAAGCCTGACCACATATGACGGAGGGAGACAAGGTATCCATGGTTGGTGGCAGTAATCGCATTGATATGATAAGCGTCCCAGGGGTTCTCCGACGTACCAGAGACCCCAATCTTCTGGTGGGAGGTCGTCAGAGGAATCTGATCCTCATGGTCCAGAGCAGACCATGAGTTGAGAATCTCGTTGGTGGAAATATCGATTTCGTAGAAGTGGCTGTCCAGCATGTAGTCCGTCGAGTTGCCGCCAACGGAAGTCAGATCGTGCTGGGTGACGTTGTATGCGGTGACCAGCAGCGTGTTCTGAGGAGTGATATGGCTCTCGTGCAGATCAATGTAGGACTCTCGGGTCTGGCCGTCGGCCGTGACAAAGTCACCGGTCAGAGTGACGGTGTGAATCTCCTGGTAGGTGTTGTCGAGGATGTGGACTGTTCCGTAACCGAAGCCAAGATCCAGCATGTCTCCAGCCCAGAAAGTTATCACGTCGGAGCCATTCAGCTGCTGGACCATGAAGTTGGCAGTAACCTCCTCTGGGCCCTCGTAGACCAGATTGCCCGCATTGTCATAAATCAATGCCGCTTGGCCCGCGGGCTGGACGCCTCCGCGAGGACCAAGGAAGAGCAATCCGTCAGCGGTCGTACCGGTCTGGTTGACCTCGAGCTGGGGAGGCTGGAACCCCATCGAGCTATAGGTCGAGTAGGGCCATGCTGCAGCGCCGAGCGACAGCGACAGCACGACACTGGCCGAGGACCACAACGGAGCCATGGATTTCGGTCGCCGAGGGAGAGGAGAAAGTAAGGAGGGAATTAAACGAAGGACAGAAATTATGTATAGATCGAGTATACAGATAACGAGCGACAATGTCGATTCGACGGGAATCGCGAGAATGAGCGTGGAGAAGGCGTGATTCTACTTTATTTCAACCACAGCAAAGGCCCTCCGTTTTATGGCCGGTCCCTCCGGTGCATTCCCCTGCAGATTTGACCTTTTCCCTGGACACTGGCCCGTCGGAGCCCTGAAGATCATTGCCGCTAGACGGCACAGATGGGTGGGCATTGATGGAGTTGCCATCCAACCAGCACAAACAATGCTGCTAATCGGCAGTGGTACAATTCGAAGGCTCCACCGCGCTCCACACAAAATCGTTGGCGGCCCATCGACAGGGGGGGCACGACTTTCGTCATTGGGGGCATCCTAAGAAAAGGAACGGCTCTGCAGCAGTAGATTGCGTTGCAACTTGCCCGCCTTGACCCGTGCGATGTTTCATCCTCCATATTCGTCGAAGCGTCGTGATGGATGGCTATCGCACCAGACTATCCCCCAGCAGGGCCTTGGTCTGCCCAAACCCGCTGAACGGCCCCCGAGTGATCGTCAATAGTTGACCGGCGGCCGCGTGGCCAGTCGATTCGCACTTGCTTTTTGGTTCTTTCTGAGACGAAACTTGTTCCGTCTGGACGTGGAGAAAAGCAACCATGGAACACCCACGGAGGTGCCACTGGAAACAAGCGCGACCGCTCGTACTAATTTAGGGCAAAGTAGATCTCCATGTTGCAAAAGCGACTCGGACTGGTGGGAGGGCAGTGCGGGAATGGAGGATCAGAGAGAATATACTAACGTCAGATTTTGGACTCGGTGGGATGTGCGTCTCAACTATGGCGTGTTACAGAACCCACGAGGCTGTTTCATACCCGCGGCTTCCATTCATCAAAGACTCGAATTCCAGATCATCGAGAATCCCTCTGCAGCAGGCGGCAAACTGAAGGCATTTCATCGCGGAGATTGTCCGATCTTTGATCCGCCGGAAGGGCTGTTGTTGCGGTCGCCCCCTACAATTCATCCATTTGTCGTGGAGACTTCAGAAGCTCCCGTCTCTGGTTGATGGGGCTGTATCCATCTCGAAGCCATTAAAGCCATTACTTTAGATAAGATCTGGGACATTGATGAGAACTCTGATCTGCAATTGTGTCCTACCCAGCTAAAATGAAGTATGCCGATCTTTCCCCGACACACATGATTCGCCCACAAACTATTTGACCACCGCCAGCACAATGCCATCGTAGCTCTTCGCTGCCACCGTCTGGATCACGGTAGCCTCGACTCGTGTATCCGCCCCGATCTGGGCGACCACATCCAGCCCGTCCTCCTTCAAATGATCCCCCACAACACCCTCCACAAACATGTTCTTCACCGCATTATCAATGTAGATCGCGCTTCCAGGGCCGTTGGATAGCTTGACGCCCCAGTCAAAATAATTCCACTGATTGGGCCAATCGGCATCAATGAAGACGAAGTCGAACCTTTCCCTCTTCCCTTCTTCGATCTCGGCCGCCAACTTCGGAAGCACCTCGAGGCCCGCCCCCAGCAGGATTTCGACTTCGTCCGGCACCTTCACGCCGGCATGCTGGAGGTTGGCGATGGCTACGTCGCGGTGATGGCGGTCCACCTCGATGCTGGTGACTTTGCCTTTGCCCTTGAGTCCGCGGGCAAGTTGGATCGCCGAGTACCCGCCCAAGGCGCCCAGCTCTAGGACGTTGCGGGCTCCACTGAGATTCACCAGAATGGAGGTGAATTTGCCATGCAAGGGCGAGACCGAGATAGGCGGCAGTCCCTCTTTGGTGCTATTGTGAAGGGCGTGGTTTAAGGCCTCCTGGTCATGGAGAAGGTGGGTTTCTGCGTGGGCTTCGACGTCGCCCTTGAATTGGATATTCTCGATAGGCATGATATAAAATATTGGTGCTTGCGTTTATTCACTGGAGTTTTCGAATAAACTTGAGTTTGGATGTGATGTGAGCATCGGGGTGGCCTCAGGATCTATTTATGCTGTACTTCAAGCCTTCCCCTCTGCCTTGCTAACATGTATTGTGTTTGAAGGCTCGGGGTCGGTCCGGAGTTGAGCTCGGTCTTAGAGCAGCCCACCCGTGTACCGTGTCAGGTCATCGCGAGCTCCACTCACAGGCGTTCGAGCACTCACAGAGGTTTCACGCCCGTGGAACTGAGTCCTGAGTTGAATACTGTGTGCTGAGCTTCACCAAAGAATAGAAAGCGTGGAGCCAGGGCCTTTCCAAACACCTTCGGTTGGGGGCGCGGAGAGGATGGGTTTCCACTTTGGTGGACCAGCGGGACTTTGTGTTGGCATGTCTGCTGTCGGGCACTCCTAATCCAGGGTCTGTTTGATCGTATCTACTCCATCTGATAAGCACAGACTCGGGCCAGAGGATCAGCTGCTCGGTTTTGGTCGGATTTGGTCCAGCACCCCGGGCCCGCTTTGCATCAGATAACGCAACCAGACCAGGCCCGGACGGTGCACTAGAACAGCCCGAGGTAGCGCCACACAGTGCGGGGGGTAATAAGATGCACCAATAAGATGCAGCACTTCTCCAAGTCTACCTTCCAATTCAGAATCTCTTGCTACATAATTCCGATTCGGATTGCTCTCTGGCCTAGAGATAAGGGCTAGTTGGAGATCTCCAAGATGAACCTTTTTGGAAGTAAACACCTAAATCTATGGGACCCGGATGCCTTTGTTCAAGCGCAAGGTCAACTGGTGAAGTCTCCCAAATGAAGCCCACGGGCTTTCCATTGCTCTAATCTATGTTATAGCTTGTGTCGGTCCCCACCAGGACTCGACAGAGAAAACAAAACCAGCTCGGCCACGCCTTCTCTCCCAAGGATGCGAGATGAGGCAATGCGATGCAATCTGCCAATCTTGCTCATGCTTTCTTTTCAGATTTGGATGCAGTCATCGACTCAATGACGCTCGCCACGTGAGGAATAGGCCAAGCCATCTTTGCTGTGGGGTCTTCATGCACTTCACCCGAAGTAATCTTGTCCACAGTCACGACAGCGATGTAGCCACCAATTGCGGTAAAGAAATGCCACCTGTGTCACATTTCACCCGTCAGAGTCAACGCACCGGTCAGATCGGAGATCAAGGGGCGGAGTAAACATACCATCCATGCAGCTCGAAGACAAATGCCAGCGGCAGGCCCACGGAATTTCGAATCTGTGTCAAATGGGCACAGGCAAACTCGTCAATCAACCACACGAAATACCCAAAAAGGAAGGAGACTGTAAACTAATCAGACAGAGTCGTGTCGTGAGCTGAAGACACACTCACAGCAACCAAAGAAGGAGAGGTTTCGGAGTTTCTTCCTCAGCACGAGGTCCGGGATTTGCTCGGGGATCATTCTCGTGGTGCGTCTTGCGATAAGCCAGACTGCAAGGCCAAAGGACACCGCATGCACAACGAACTCGTCCATAACCATGTGCACGACCATGACGATGGTGAACAGCGTTAGGAGAACGGCCCCGATCAGTTTCGTGTTCCGCGGGCTTACTTGGAAAGTAAGAATACGGAACAGGAGCGGAGTGGTCAGAAGATGCATAGACAGCTCATCCGCTGGTTCCGCGTAGTTAGCTCTTGTGCTGCAATGGACATGACACCTGAGGACACGAACACATTTGAGTGTGGTATTTCAAAGTCATGTGGTAGCCTGCCGAGCAGACACCGACTCCGATTAATCCACAGTAGGACATCCGGCGGAGAAAGGCATCTTGCTTCTTGCGGAGCTGGATAAGGCCATAAACTCCATAGAACACTAGAGGTGATCAGCAATTGACTATCAACAGAACGGGGCTCCTCGCGCGTACTATACACAAAGCTGCTGAATGTATTGATGAATTCTGCAACGTAACGAGTAATCACATAGTCCTGGAATCGCATTAGCCAGCGTCCGGGTAAGTCGGCTGGAAAGTGATATGTGTACCTCTTCGCAAAAGCTGACAACATGTTAGTCGGATTCGGCGCTTCTTCCACGTAGGGCTCCTTACTTGAGGTACGAGGTCTGCTCTCCCCAGAATGGGGCGGATACCTTGGACACGTCCATTGGCCAACGAGTGACTTGGAGGCCTTCGCTCTGCCCAGGAACCCCAAAGGCACCCGGGCCCGACCGCCCAGACCACACGCGGCAATACCATAACAAACCTGATGTTTCAGGCATGCATCTTTGGCATCGGGCTACGCGTATATACTGTGTACTGCTGCCATCTCTGGTGATCCATGAGCTGTTCCAGCTGTATGGTAGATCAATGGACGTTCTTGCTCCTTCAAGCTCTTCGTGGAACGCTCTCCACCGTCGCCTCCGCTCCATAATGTGATCTGGCCACCGCGACCCCGGCCGGTCCATCTCACATGTCAAGAAACGCTTGGCCGATGGGGTTCACTGGTGGAAATTACCCATCGTTGCCAACTGCTCGGCCAGTGTCAGACCTTTCCACGGAATGTCATTGAGAATCCCCAGAGTTAAGGATCGGGTTGAAACACGCTCAGAGCTCGGCCCCGGCTTCGAGCCATCCTTGAATCACTAGTCCTTTGCAAAATTGGTAGGTTAGGGAGATCAAAAGAGCTGCTGAACGTAACGGACAGGAACCATTCAAAAGGCGGGGGAGCATGAAACCGTTGTGTCCGGCTCCACATTTTAGCGCGATGTCACCGGGGGAATAGCGGAGAAGCAGTCTTGGCTTCTGGCAACCCCGCGATCCTCCTATTTATTTTCCCTCCACAGTGGCCGGGATCCCCTGGGCTCCTGTCGCTGGATTCAGACTACTGAGCGCCACTTGTTGCGTCTCAGGATGGGTTGGAGTCGCGTAGATTTCAATGCCCTCGCCAAGAGCTTCCCTTCGAAGTGGACAACCTTCGCGGACGAGACTCTTGGGCCCTCCGCTTGCAGGGGTTAGAATCCTGCTAGTCCAGGCACCTCGAAATTACGCTCAGAGATGCCACCCATCACAGACCGATCGCGGATAATTCGCCTGATGTACAAATCTGGAGACGGGTGTTTTCTGGGGTAAAGTACCCGGGCTCAAGAGACAAGACACGGGGTCGTTCAGGCTCTTTTTGTAGCCTTTCTGGGCTGCCAGAGAATCTTTTTCGTCCATAGAGTGGGTGTCCTCCTCGTAGACCACAGTATATCCATGTAGGGAAGGTAACAAAGGTTCGTAATTAAGAAGGGCCTAAAATGACCCCATCCTGAAGTGGCGCATCGAATGGGAATCCACCCTACAGGAGAAAGTCCGCCCCCGATTTAGATCAGGGACCGTTCAATGGGACCCGCTCAAGCGCCAGCCCTCGTGGGAAGAACGCTTTTGCTTCTTCCAGGTCCCAAAGAAAAAAAAATTAACTGGTCTTTCCCTGGCCCAGAGAGGTCGATGAGAGAGTTGGGTTCAGTGAGGACCAGGCCGGGTTATTCCTGCGGACTGTTTAACCGCCCTGAACTCTCAGTGTCGCGTGTGGAACGACCTTCTAGGGAAACGGACACGGCGCATTTAACCGAGCTCTAATTGGGCTGTCTCGCCGCTACATCCTCCAAGCTCACGTCTTCTTCTCCTTCCCTAGTCTGATACCCCTTCAATCGCTACTATTGCAGCTCCTGATTATGCCATAGGTCATTATGAGACAGGATGTAGAGAAACCGTCAGATCCAGATGGGCTCATCCTTGAAGCCTGGGGCCAGGGTCTTATGGTGGGAAGCCTACTTATTATGGCCGCAATCACAATCGCAAACATGAAGAAGCATGTCCTTCTACATAAGCTGATCTTCGCCGAGGTAAGAGCTTCGCCAGCTTTATGGATCTCGGGCCTCCCGGGCTTGAGCTGTACAGCCCTTGGCTGGTTTGGTGTCACCATCGGTTTCTAACGCACCTGTACAGCTGCTTCTTGGCATGCCTCATGGTACCTTCATATTTCCCAAACCACCCGCCTATGGATGGTACCTGTCTGTGACAGCAATAACGCTGAATGTCTCCTGGGAACTACACAACGTCATCGCGTGGATGAAGAATCGACCCTTTCTCCCGTCCCGCATCTCCAAGCTCTATATCATCACCGTCATCCTGTGTTGGCCATATTGGATCCTAGAGATCTACGCCAACTTTACTTATTACAACAACATTAACGGGATCTTCCTACGGACAAGGCCTCTCGAGCCTATTTTCAGGTAGCCATGCCCTCTACCAAGCTAAACATACCGCTAAAACCGGATCAGGGACCCATGGTGGGTGTTCACCACGATCTCACTTTTCTGGACGATCAAGCGCGAGTATGGGTTTGGCATTTGGGAGCTTGTCATCGTCAGTCCCCGCTTCGGAATCATGCTCCTCGCCATGTGCCTGTCACTCGTTTTCATTATCATCGACACACTCAGTGTTCTGAAAGTGTTTCAAGACACGCTCCCTGTCGGCATACAGCCATTCTGGAAAGTATGTTCCAAGTCTTCTTCCTCACCTATCCCTTTTTCTTGGCTTCGGCGATAATGTGGTCCACGGGCAAAGTCTAACTCAGCTAGCTATCGTTCATCTTCAAATGCCTTTGTGATACCGTTATTCTCGATGATTTCAAAACGGCGCTGGACCGCTTAAGAAACCATTGGTTGCGCAAACAGAACAACATCGAGATACTCCTGACAAACACACACAGCGGACGAACGCCTGCACAGTATTCAATTCAAATAGAAGATATTCAACCCGCAATGCCCGGGTCTATTATGCATGAGCTGGTACGGTCCGATAAGTCTTTTTCGGTGCCCCGAGTGTTGCTCAGAGGTGGGACTTAGCCCAGAAGGCGGGAGCTACGCTGCTTATCGATGACATGACTGCGAATAAAATGACTCTTTCGTAGCGCAATGCCTTTGTCCCCGATCCCGGTATCCTTATCGGTTAGGGTAAATATCTGTCAACTCACTCGTAACCGCTTGGCTTTCAAGACCGTTCTTTTTGAATAGTGATACAACATCCTCACAGGTAAACCCGGGTCATTGCCCTCCTATCCACCGCCATGTGGCCCATCCATGATAGGGGCGAGTTGCAATTGAGCCATCGGGGCAGCGCACAGAGCCGTGATGAGACATGCCACATTCTCAGCGTCATGGCTTGTATTCTCCAAGTCCACATCTTCGAGCCTTTCCAGAGAGGCCTCCGCGTTGACCACTGGCCACACACTGTACGAATACTGCTGGAAGAGACGCACGATAGGCACCAGAACAGTCCTGGACAATCGACGCGGCACGGATTCCTCAGGAGCAGAAGCGCAGAGGAGCTTCTCGGCCCCCAGTACCGAAGGAGAAGGCTCTACATGATGCAATACCTGCTCAGGCACTTCAGGCACTTCTAACTCATTGAGCTGCTCAGTCAACTTATGCCTCTGCCGAGCTCGACGAATCTTTGGACCTCTCTTGCGCACAGGCTTCAGATACGTACAAGACACTTTCTTCACGGCATCCCGGCATGTATCGCAGGCCCAAGAGCCGTTGCATTTGACCTTCCGCAAGATATAGGCGTCGCAGGCTCGTTTGGGGGGGCATGGGGGCATGGGGGGCAAGGTGGAGGTAACTTGCTAGATTGCGGAGTTGGGCGGGGCTTTTCCGTGGGTCGTTGTCGACTGGACCTTCCCTTCGCCTGTCAAACTTCTATGAGAAGATTTTCGAATGTTTCGAGGCACATGCTGAGTAGTATTTCTGGGCTCATGAAGCTCTGTGGGGTTCTTCTTCTATCTCAGGCTCCGCATGGTGTCTTCAGCCCATCTGTCTACAAGTTATCAAAACTGATATTGGATAGCTCGGTCCTTTGGCCGAGTGTCTACAGCCTAAAACCAGTATATCCTCTACCAATAATATGCGCGCGGTTACTAGCATTTAGTAGGATCACCAAGTCCGTTGCAATCCATAACCTCACACTACGAACCAAACTTGGAGAAACAAAGTGGTGGAGATGGCCAAACCAACCTCATACAGAAACAATGCCCCACAGGCACGACTCGAACTGAATCCCGTCTAAACTGACGCCACCACTGCTTGGAAAGCCATTCTACATAAGAAAACCCTTCCCCATCATCTGGAAACCCCCTAGATTTTCCCCAATTCACCCCCCTAGTGAAATCCAGCATGGCCTCACAAGCACTTTCCGCGCCTAGCAGGGATGTGAGTTCCAACCCCCCCCCTTACCTACACACCACCACGGCACTAACCCTCTCCAGCCCCAAACCCTAATCGCCCTCGAAGCAAGCCCCGAGCAAACCTTCCAATCCTTCACAGCCGACACCGCCTGGACCCTCGGCACTGCTCTCCGCGAGCGCATCCTCTCCCTCCCAAGCACCCAGCGCAAGCCCGCGCTGATCTCCATCGCCTCCGCCACAGCGACAGGCGGCGGCCCTCCACACATCCTCTTCCAGTGCGCGACAGAGAGCGGTACCGTGCCCGACAACGAAAACTGGGTGCGGCGCAAGCGCAACACCGTGCTGCGCTGGGGCATCTCGAGCTGGGCGATGCGGCAGAAGACGATTGCGGGGCTTGGCGCGGGGGCTCCGGCGGCGGAGGTCGAGAGCGCGTTCGTGAAGAAGTTCGCGCTCGCGAGCGGTAATGGGGGCGCGGTGGCGGATGAGTATGCTATTCATGGAGGTGGGTATCCGATTCGAGTGCGTGGGGTTGAGGGGGTGGTTGCGGTGGCGGTTGTTAGTGGATTGAAGCAGGAGGATGACCATCAGGTTGTGGCGGAGACTATCAAGGAGGTGCTTGCACGGGGCAATTGAGATCAGAAAATGTATATACGCTTTTACGTTTGGAAAAATTGGTTGCATCGTGTAGTAGGTATCATGGTATTTGTATTGAGTCAATGGTATGACCAACTCTAGCAGCGAGGGACACCACCTCGTGCAGGTGCAGCACAAGAAACACGGAAGAAAAACATGAAAACTCCAGGGGTAATGCCTCAAAATCAGAATAATTTTACAGTTCGTCGTGGACATCGGGCTCGTCATCCTCGGAAGGAGGAGCAGAGCCGTACAGCTTGCTGGTGATGGGGTAAGCGACGCTGGAGAGCTGCTCCTTCTGCTCCTCGAAGTCCTCGGTGGTAGCAGTAGCAGCGTTGTCCTCGAGCCAGTCAAGGGTCTCCTTGACAGCGTCCAGGATAGTCTGCTTGTCATCCTCATCGATCTGGCCACCGAGACCCTCCTCATCGTTGGCCTGGTTCTTCAGGCTGAAGGCGTAGTTTTCCAGGCCGTGACGGGCTTCGATCTTGTTCTTCATGGCCTTGTCTTCCTCGGCGTATTCCTCGGCCTCGGCAACCATGCGGTCAATCTCCTCCTGGGAGAGGCGACCCTTGTCATTGGTAATGGTAATGGACTCAGCCTTGCCAGTGCCCTTGTCACTAGCGCTGACCTTGAGGATACCGTTGGCATCCAGGTCGAAAGCGACCTCAATTTGAGGGACACCACGAGGAGCGGGAGGGATGTTGGTCAACTCGAACTTGCCGAGCATGTTGTTGTCCTTGGTCATCGAACGCTCACCCTCGTAAACCTGGATAAGAACAGTAGGCTGGTTGTCAGCCGCAGTAGAGAAGATCTGCGACTTGCGGGTGGGGATGACAGTGTTACGGGGGATAAGCTTGGTCATCACACCACCAGTGGTCTCAATACCAAGGGTAAGGGGGTTGACATCCATGAGAACAATCTCCTTAGCGGCCTCTTCACCGGAAAGAACACCACCTTGGACAGCGGCACCGAAAGCAACAGCCTCGTCGGGGTTGATACCCTTGCTAGCCTTCTTGCCACCAAAGTACTCCTCCAGAAGAGCCTGGACCTTGGGGATACGAGTAGAACCACCGACGAGAACAATGTCGTCAACCTCGGACTTCTTGACCTTGGCATCCTTAAGAACCTGCTCAACAGGCTTAAGGGTCTTCTTGAAAAGATCAATGTTCAACTCCTCAAACTTGGCGCGAGTCAAGGTCTCAGAGAAGTCGTTGCCCTCGTGGAAGGCCTCAATTTCAATGCGGGTAGACATCTGGGAAGACAGAGTTCGCTTGGCCTTCTCAACCTCACGCTTCAGCTTACCCATGGTCTTGAGATCCTTGCGGATATCCACGTTGTTCTTCTTGTTGTAGAGCTGAACGAAGTAGTCCATGACACGGTGGTCAAAGTCCTCACCACCAAGGTGGGTGTCACCAGCGGTAGCCAGAACCTCGAAAACGCCGTTGTCGATAGAGAGGAGGGAGACATCGAAGGTACCACCACCCAGATCGTACACAATAACCTGGCGCTCGTCACCGGTCTTGTCAAGACCGTAGGCGATAGCGGCGGCGGTGGGCTCGTTGACAACACGGAGAACATTCAGACCGGCGATGGTACCGGCATCCTTGGTAGCCTGACGCTGGGCGTCATTGAAATAAGCGGGAACGGTAACGACAGCGTGGGTAACACTCTTGCCCAGATAGCTCTCAGCGATTTCCTTCATCTTGCCCAGAATCATGGCGGAAATCTCCTCGGGGGTGAAGGTCTTGGGAGTCTTGTTGACCTCGACCTTGACTTGGGGCTTGCCATCCTTGTTAACAACCTTGAAGGGGAAGTTCTTGGCGTCTCTCTGAGTGTCACGGTCGTCGAACTTGCGTCCAATCAAACGCCTATTGCCATGTTAGCTGGGAGATCTTTTTTTTTTTTCGGGCCCAAACTTGCCACGCTGGCCACTTACTTGACGTCGAAGATGGTACGGGTAGGGTTGGCGGCGTATTGGTTCTTAGCGGCGTCGCCGACAAGGCGCTCCTCATCAGTGAAAGCGACGTAAGAGGGGGTGATTCGGTTTCCTTGGTCGTTGACGAGAATCTCAACCTTGCCATTCTGCATAACACCAACACAACTATCATCAGGTTAGCTAGCTGTTTCTCTTCCATACAAGAATCAACGATATAGCTTAGCACATACGAGTAGGTGGTTCCCAAATCAATACCAACGACGGTTCCATACTCATCTGAGGAAACGGATTCTTCAGCGTGAGCAGTGGTACCGAAGAGCGCCAGAGGCGCGATCAGAACCAAAAGAAGGTAGAAGACGGTGGTCCAAGTGAATGACTTGGACGCACCCGCAGGGCTCGCAAACCGAGCCATTGTGAATGCGACGGAGGAAGGGAGTGTTCCAGGCCTTCAATGAAACCCAATGGGGAAAAAAACACAAGCTGGCCAAAGCCCGGAGCCTGGAAATGGGCGCCGTCTAGTGTAGCAGCGCAGAGTTCAACACGCTTTGTGCCGTACTCACGACCCTAGGATGTGGGTGAGGATGAGAGGGGAGGTTGCCGAAGTGAATTGAATGGAGAAGAGGAAAGAATCGAGCGGACGAGAAGGTGCTCTTGTATGAAGGGTTGAAGCGCAGCGGCCAGCATGGCCTTTTCCCAGCTAAAGGTCACTCCTTGTGCTCTGATTGGCTGAGAGAGGCCCAGATGTGGATGAGTCAGGTATTTGAGTCTAAATACTCACCGCTTTCTAGTTATGACTAGAACTTAGCTTGATTAGGCCTAGCTCTATGGAGCAATCCAAGAACATTGCTTCTAATTCCACCAATCATAACCCGCCACCATGTCGAATTTACTAGAAGAAACGAGTGAGCCAAGTGTTTTTGCCCCTGATACCCTGTTTGTCCAAGTTCCTCATACAATGGGTCAAACGAACACGTATCCACAATGAAGATACAAAAATAGCCAAAGCCAAGTAGCATGTACGACAGGGCTGATCTTTACGAAACACTATAGCTTTTATCGTGCGCGGGATCGGCAGGTATTACGTGTTGGAAGCTCGGGATTTAGCCACAAGGATCAACAGAGCCGCAGTTCTGTAACAAGTGCCTGTGGACTTCGAGGCCCGGAGACATCTCTATTTGTAGATCGAGTAGATTGAGCTCTAAAAATGAGGAAATAATGTACCAACAGCACACATTGACACAGGCTGAGCGTATCACACATGCTTTAAATTTGTAGTATAGATCTATATTCTTTCGGCTATTTTGAGACCTTTGGGTCTTTTGTGTCTATTCTAACAATCCCGCTGCCACAGTTGAGCCACCACTTCGCAGAACAATGCGGGTCGGTGCCTCCAGTGGCACAGCTTGATCCATCTCCACAACGATTCTTGCAACTGTCCCGGGGCCAACGATCTTGGGTCGCTTCTTGATAGGAGCACCAGAGGCTTTATCCAGGGAGGCAACAAGCTTGCTTATCCGCCCGGGCACATGAAGTCGGCCCCGATGAATGTCGATAAGCATAGGCATCAGATGCTCGAAGGCTAGCACCTTCGCAGTGAAGGTAGTGATCGTTGCAATGGGCGATGAAGCCCGACAGATGACATCGCCAGATCGGAGGTGTATCGGGTCAATATTAGCCAGGTTCAAGACAACATTCTGCCCAGCTACAGCCCAATCACTGGTATCGCCATCGACCTCAATGCTGCGAATGGCAGCTGATTCGCCACTGGGCATGGTCAAGATCTGATCACCGACCTGTAGGCTGCCCGCATCCAGACGACCAGAAATTGAGATCGGGTTTTGTACGCCACCCCGAAACACGTCACCAATTGTCATGCGCAGCGGCTTATCAAGCGCATGAGTATATGGCTCCGAGGTCTCAAGCTCTTCGATCAAGGTGGGGCCTGTGTACCATGAGGACTGCGGGTCTTCGCTGCGCCTAGAGATATTATCTCCAAGTACACCTGAACAGGGAACGAAGGAGATGTTTCTTGCGAGGAAGCCGGCGGTGGTCAGGAACGAAGAGATTTGCTGCTGGATCTCGTCAAAGCGCTCTTTAGCCCATTGGACCGTGTCCATTTTGTTGACAGCTACCACAATCTTCTGTACACCCATGCTGCGAACAAGCAAAGCATGCTCCTTGGTCTGTCCTCTCAGCCCTGATTCGAACTTTCCGGTATTGGAGTCGATGACCAGAACGGCAAAATCCGCCTGGCTAGCACCCGCAATCATGTTGGGGACGAAGTCACGGTGGCCCGGTGCATCGACAATCGTAAAGGCAGTCGTATTGGTCTCGAATTTGTTTGTCGCAATGTCAATAGTGACGCCTCGGGCACGCTCCTCCGATCCTTGATCCAGCACCCACGCCAAAGCAAAGGAGCCTTTCCCGATCTTTTCTGCTTCCTTGCGGTACTTTTCTAAGGTGCGCTGATCTATGGCTCCCTGATCTGCCAACAAGCGACCCATGAGCGTACTCTTTCCCGCGTCAACGTGTCCTGCTTTCCTGTCAACATTGTCGAGAGATGCTTCAAGATAACCTCAAGCAGCTTACCTATCACTACAAAATTGGCGGACTTTTTACGCTTTGACTTGTTGTATTCTGCGAGGACATCCAAATTTTTGCTTTTCACAGTGACTTTCTCTTCAACAGAGAGGTTATTCATGCCGTTGGTGACATCAGACTGCGCCTTTTTGGCCCCTGCCCTTGGGCCAGCACCCTGCGACTTGAATCCTACATAATATTAGGTGAATGGATTTTCAGACCTTTCTGCGAATCGCCAAACCTTTTGCTGTGTTTTGAGCATTTAGAACCACATCATCAGGGCTAGGGTCTGTAAAGTCATAAGGTTCAGCAGGTTTCTGCCCATAGATTTGGAGCAAGTCCACGCTATTCGAGTGTAAATGGCTCGGCTCGGCTGCTGTTTGTCCTGGAAAATCCCCCAAAATAGCACTGGCAAACATAGAGGGCGGTGCCCGCATATCAGATGCCGCCTGCTCTGACGGTGCCCTGTCCTTGGAATCTTCAGCTCCGACGACTGGCGGCGCCTCAGCCTTATCTGGGTCAGGCTCTGGTGACATTGGTGTCTTTATGATAGAGGACTCTGGTGTGGCAGGCTTTCCCTCGGTGCGTCGCAATCCCGCAAGCCCTTCAGAGGGCTTTGATGGCTTGCTAGTCGCAGCCAGCCTCTCCCGAAGGGAAGAGAGCTTACTTGGCTCTGGGGGGGCATCTGACACCTCAGACTGGGGAGTTGAAGGAGTTTCTCCACCAGCTGAAGCTTTATCTCCCTCTTTTTGTTTATTACGTTTGGCGGCTAGTGCAGCCAACTTCGAGACCTTGCCAGCCGCTTCGGGTGCACCTCCTAGCAGTCCCAAGCGAGGATACAAGGGCTCCACCAGGATCTCAGATTTGCGGTGTAGAGGAACATTCAGCCAAGGGCAATCACGGAAAAAGTCTGCGGCTGAAAAATGTGCCATGGGACGGGTGTCGATCGCAGGATAAGCCGGGACTATGAGCCTGTTAGAGCATTGTTCAAGCTTACAGATCGTCAGTTGCGAAAATTCAAATAAAGGAAGAAGAGCAGGTCAAAAGCGACAGGACAGGATAGGATAAAATGTTCAGATTACACACCTTGATGGAGATATCTTCCAACCAATTTTCAGATTCACACAGCCAACAGAACAATGTTTTGCACCGAGCCGACGCCACATCACAACGCAAGAGGATGTATGGATTGGTATATTGCTTACCTTGGCCCTTGGGCTTCTGCGTAGTGGCAGTTGTCTGTTGCTTCTTCATTTCCTTTTCCCTTTTCCCTAAAGGTCTATTAGCGAGTGTTCAACCACAAGAACATTTATAGATGGTAAATCATATTCCTAGAATAAGGATCCGAGGAGAAGAATAGCATACCTCTCAGATAATTCACCGATTTTTCCACATCATTGTAGTAGTGCCACAGCGCATCTTGAATCTCTTCCTTCGAAGCAGTCACCGAGGGCTGCCCCGCGCGGAGCTGCTCCACAACCGCTGTGGTACACTGCTGCAGGAACTCCTGCTCTTCGGGGTCAGGCGAGTCATATCCGTCGTCATCGTAGTCTTCGTCATCGTAGCCGACGTTCTTCACTCGGTGTTTCGACATTTAGGCTCGTGCGGGAAGGTGGTTGTGGGGGAGGGGAAGAGGAGAAGGGGGGGAAGTTCGGTAGAGAGGGGAGCAAGCTTCGGCGCTCTCGGTCTTGGAACAGAAAAATGATAAACAAGGGAATGACAGTGAGGAAGACTCCAGGGACCTTCCAAGGTTGGGAAGCAGGTGGTTGAGTAAACTGTGTTGGAGGGGAAGGGATCCTCCACGTCATTCCCCACTTCTGCGGACCGGCAGCCTCACCTGGGCAGTAAAGTAGAATCTTACAAATCGATCAAATTGACCTAAAAACTTCCTACGAAAAATAAAAATAAAAATTTGAAACCGAGCACCTGGAATCGATCCGCACACCTCCGTGCGACAGCCTCCAGGTTTCTTCATTCTCGCACAACTGGCTAGCTGGCATAGCTGCAGCCGGCTGCGAATGCCTGCAAATGAACGCGGGACTCAACAGAGTATTTCCCCATTCTTCTCACCCCAGCATGGCATTGATCGTGTATTATGTACCCTTTTATTCCTGACCAGGAGAGGTTTGACAGCTTCTATATCTTCAGCAACTTATAAATAGAGACAAACTTATGTATATTTTGCTTGATACAAAGAACTTAAAGCTCAATTTTGCTTCTTATATCTACATATCTGTTGTAGCCCTTCTTGCGTCATGTTCAAACTAATTCATCCTCTGCATTTAACCCATCTGAACTCACACCATTACCATGAACAAAGTCCAGAAAAAAAACTCAAGTTTACCAATCCAATAAATCTTCAGGTTTGGCACATCCTTATTGAGGTCTACTTTGGAACTGCCAGTGGAAAGTAGGGTTCCCTAGTGTACTAGTGTGAATAGCCTCAAAGCATCGTGATACAGAATACATTATGCAACACATGTAACTACTGAGCCAATATACAGGAATTCCACAAATCTAGTTGATGAAGGGGTTGGGGGGGGGGGGGGCAAAAAAAAACAAGGGAAAAGGAAAAAGGGAAAAAGGAGGTACTACTGCTGTTGTAGTAAAGGTTGGTTCCAAAGATTATGCCACACTGGGCGTACTACCGAAGTAGTATGTAGAGTCCCGACTCGAGGCAAGCTTTGAGGCGAGCTTCGAGAAGAATTCACCACCCACCCACCATTTCTATGCGTCCGCGCATTCCCAGGCTGGCAACCACCTGAGGATACGGGTTGACATGGCGTCCCAAACGGGACATCCATATCCGACCAGAGAAAGGGCGCTACCCAGCAGCCAAAGCCGCTAACCAGCAGGCTGTCTGGACGCACTTGCTGAATTTACCCTCTTGGCTTCTTGATATGGTGCTCTCATCCACCCTAGCCTCCCACAATACCCAGTCAACTAGCATCCGTGGATCCTCCAAATTTTCCGTCACTGTATAATATAGCTATAATATCGCTGCTACCTACGTCGAGCCTTTACCAGTGAATATATCCCCTCTAAAGGCTATACTCTGTCCACTTTACGTATCGAGGTCATATTCATGAAGTTTGACGGTGTACTGTATTCAATCCTAATCGCTACCTGATCAACCCCTAGATAGGTCTCAGGGCGTTCTCAGCAGATCATATCACGTATCATGGAACGCATCAAGCCTAACCTGGCAAGAAGGGTCAGAACGCGTTCAAATCAGAAGACAAAGCAAATATGCGGAAGATCAACCCTGCTATCGCAGAGGGCTTCCACCAAAGATGTCACCAGGGCTGGGCCCAGAAAAGCTACCATTGCTGGGGGTGAGGGCGATCGAGCGACGGAAGGCCTGGCGCGGGGTTGTGGGGGCACTGGTCGGAGCGGCGTTGGAAGCTGCCCCGGCGGCTACGGTAGCTGCACCCGCCTCTGGGGTGCTGGGAGTGTTGCGGCCGCTAGGGTTTTGCATCGTCACAGCCGTTCCGGGCCGAGAGAGGACGGTTGCTGTGCCGTTCTTGGGCGGAGGTCGGAAGTTCAACTTGGCGCCTTCACGGAAAATTTCTTCGAGCATCTGGTTTACGATACCCGCGTCTTCGTACTCTTGGTATTTCTTCCACAGACGCAAGGCCATGCGAGCATCTTCGATAGAGTCATGGCCGTGGATGGTCTCAGATGTGGGCTCTTCCTGGATGTACTCTTTGAACACTGCCCATGCAAGATACCGGAGGCTTAGACATCGCTGGTTGCCTGGGTGGAAGAACAGCCACTGTGTGTCGACAGTCTGCGATTTAGGCACCTGAATGTTAATTTTCCGAAAATCAGAGGCCAATCCATGGCCAACGAAGACACATCCCAGATTCAAAAGCAACCACAGCTTCTTGTAGGCTACCTTGAGAGGAACCAAATTATGTTCACTAGTACGTGGGTCCAAGTCTCCAGGCTTGATCCCTGAGTACTGCGTAACGTAGTCGACAATTGGTTCACGAATAGTAATGTAGTCGTCGATAAAAGGTACACCCTCCTTTTCACCATTGCCGCGCAGAACAGACACTCGGGCAAGGCCACTTTTGTTGGGTCGTACGATTTCTTGGGATCCATCGGCCTTGACATCAATTTCAGCCTTTTCCAGATCAACAAACTCCGTATCCAATGCGACCGGGACGCCTGGCCGTGGCCTCTCCTCGTTCATAAGGGTTTGACATGAGTCGACTTGGCGGCCGCCACTAGAAAAGTAAGATATTAGCACTTTCTTCAATAAGGGCTTGCTTGTGACATACTTCAAAGACCACTCGCGGAATAGTAAGGCGGTATCCAATGAATCCTTCCACGAGTTATCCACCGCATGGCGTGCATCTCGTACCTGGAAAGCTAAGACACAAGGGTTTTTCCAGTTTGTCGTGAATCGCAACGCCTCATCCCGATCGACTTCGGTAACCAGGAAATCGTTGAACAAATGCCACTGGTTCTGTTCCTGAGGCTCGGGTTCGGAGATGGACACGTTGATGAAAGACACCAGATGCGGCTTCTGGTGCTCAGCAATCTCAATCTCGGCCACCAGTCCGACAAGATCGTAAACAACAAGACCGGGGGTATTATTTTGCATATGCAAGCGGAGTTCATCGCCCTCGAAGCACATGACCTGTCCATCTGTGATGATGATGCCGACTGCGTCAGGCAACCATCCAGGAATAGCCCACAGGCGGCGGCAAATAGGGTTGGTCAAGGCGGCATTGAGCACCAGAATAAGAGGCATTCGGTGAACAGTCTTTCGAATCGTGACTTGTTGGTAGCGACGGCAGTAGTTGCACCAGCCTCGGTTTTGCGTCTCGCGCTCGATACTGGCACGCAAGATGTTGGAGAAACGGAAGGCTGGGTTGCGACGGGCATGCTTCATATCCATGTTAGGATAGAGCAGCTCGTTCGCAAGAGAGTTGCCTGGTCGTACGGTCTCGCTGTGACAAAACATACAGCGGATTGATTCAGAAGCAATGGTTGCCAGGCGGTGATCGAGTTCTTCCGTACTGGGCTGGATCATACGGAAGTCATTCGCAATTTGGGTAAGGAAGAAGCGATTCACGGCCTGTATGGCGGTCGAAAGAGACTTGTTCGTTAAGTTCTCCTCCAGAAGACCTAGGTTCGAGGCCTCTCGAAAGCTACTGAATGTTTTCAGTAGGTTTGTCGCCTGGCAATTTTGACCATTAGCCTTCTCCAGCATATCGAATAGGTAGCCCAGCTCGCAAAGAAGACAATGTTCAAAAATACATGACCCAGCGGCGTGATTCAAGGCCAAATTGCGGAAAAGGGGAATGAACTTGAAAAGCTGCAGGAGGGAATTGGTAAAGGAGTTGGCAATGTGAGTTTCAAGTCCAGAAAATCGAGTTTTGTTGTAAAATCTCCAGAAGATGTTAGCAGAGTCACTAGGGTTGACCAAGCTGGGGAAAAGCGTAACTCACTTGAAATCAAAATCATCAACGCCGAATCGGCTGTACTTGATTTCCACATTGCTATATTTCAGAAGCGGGTCGTCATGACTTTCGCCATTGATTTTAGCTCCTGCGAGAGCCTCAGCCGCATCGATGACTGGACTCTCGGATTTCGACTTGCTCTGGTCCCTGGCCTTCTCACTTAGGAATTTGGGTGCAATCAAAGCCGGCTCCGCATTCGTCAGCGCACGTGTGTTCTCGACTTGGTACCGACGTGTCTTATGAGGATTGGGGTAAGCATGGCCAACCTCGGCAGGGCGGGCGTAAGGAAGCATGGACTGATCCAACGGGGCAGGAGGGCTGCCAACTTCAAAGACAAGATGACTGGGCCAAGCTGAGAACAGACGATCGTGGTAGTATGGCATTCCGATAATGTTGAGGGGAGTCTCGGACGTCCACTCTATTGGTGGCGGTCTTGTAGGAACATCAGCAAACTCCGTCTCCTTACTCATCTCATTGAAGTGAATCTTGCTAGGTGAACCCCAGATGTGAATAGAACACTCGGCGTCGTTGATCGCCAACGCCTCACCGGAGGGAGAGAGTTCCAGTCCCAACATCAAACTCACGTTTGCTTGGCGCAAATTGACGGAATTGGGATTCATCAAGTCGACCACCTGAAGCTGACCGGTCTGGGATGCCACAAAACTTGTTGTGTGCAATTTGGGGTGCATGCGAACATACGCAGCTCCGGCGTGGAATGGAATTGGGGGAAGCGGGGTAAGTGTTTTAAGATCATATACGTTGGCAAGGGGGTCAACGATCGGAGCACCTGCTGCCTGACGCAGTGAAAAACCACAGGTCACTAGGAGATCATTCCGCGCATCCATATCATTGATTGCAGTTCCATGTGCTTTCCAGGACTTGACCACGCTGAAATCGGTGAGGCTAAGGGCGTTGACAGCCCCAGTGTCCGTCGCTGCGCAGAGATACCGACTCTTTTTCATGAGAGTGTAGTTGTGATCAGTAGGAAGCTTGTCAACTATTGATCCCTTATCAATATCGACTGTGAACATCTGTCGCTGACAACCCGCTACCAGAATTCGATTAGTCTGGGCCGTGAAGCTCATACAGCGCAGATCCTCCATCTCCTCATGCGCAAGATGCCACTGAGTTAAACCTCGCCGATTGATCATATGCACACTCTTCGAAGAGAGTGAGATGACTCCACGCTCATGAAAGATTATCTGTCTGATCATGCCTTCGGCGACAGGGTGGGCTCGGACAGACGTGTACCGCTGGAGATCCGGACCATAGAACGAGGCGAGGCGGCCCTAACATTGCAAACCGTGTTAATTTTGGAATCCGAAGAAAATCAAGGCAGTTGCGAGTCGCAGTACGAACATATTCGTTCCCCGTCCAGAGCAATTCCATCACGTCGTCGAAGGCCACCGCCGTCGCATTCGTAGGCATGCCATGCGGAGTGGGCGGTGGCATCTGGATGCGCGACAGCTCATCCCAGTCGGCCTCCATTTTGGCAGCCTAGCTAGGCAGGAGCCCAGCTGAAACCAAAAGGAAAGCCGGCAATTTTCGAGGGTTCTCGCTTTCACCGGCGCGAGGAGACACCAGAATCGGGCATCCTCTGCGCCGAGGCGCGATTGCGGGGAAGCTATCGGAAGCGTCAAGATCTGCCAATCACGCGTTTGGTCAGGTACGGCCAGGATATGTGGCTCAGTAAAAGGAATTCTCGAGTCCTTCTGTCTGATTTGAAGACGAGACTCGAGTTAAAGACGCATGGGGTTGGCTGATAAGTGCAGCTGAGCTTGGGGATGGCGGGACTTTGGATCCCTGGTCGAAATGCCGCTCATCACGTGAAGATTGTGCTGATAATGTTTATAGGCGACCATTCTATACGGTATCGCCCTTCCAAAAAGAAGAAACTGAGCTGGAAAAGATATTTATTGGCTCAATTCAATTTTATTAATAAGGCCTCATTAAGCCTTGAGAGACTCTTAATGCTGCCTTACACCGCAAATATAGCGTACGGAGCTCCTCTCAGGACTATGACCAGCGGCTTTGAGATTCGTTAACTAGCACCTTTCAATTAAGGCTTTGTATTCCCTTATCGAAAATTATCTGAAACTGCTTTCTTTTCTCTTCAAAAAAGCCACCTCTCATTTTTCTTCGTATGTTATGTCTCGTTACATTCTAGACCACGATCAGTACACCTGCCTGAGCGCACCCCAAGTATCTGAATATAGTAGTCATCTGAGCGTCTCAAACGTAGGTAAGTTTAGTATTCAGCTCTTAGCTTTTAGTCAAAAAACCCGCCAGAATTAGCATCTCATGCAGCTGTTTCTTCGCCCCAGCCTGCACTATACTTTGCATTCCCGTCTTCTTCTCCATCTTCTTTTCCTTGACGGACTTCCACTCGATAAAACTCGCGGCGACGGTGGTCAAGCATGTCAAAGCTAGCGCCGAGTAGTACATGGCAATGATTGCATCATTGTAAGCACTCTTAACGCCTATCATATACCCCTCCAAAACAATATTCTTGATCTACCGATTTTCAAAACAATACGTGGGTCCAGCCCCGGTGCTTCTTGATGAGCTTACACGTGAGTTTTTCGTGAACATGTTCTGAATTATCGATAGAGCCACAATGCTGCGAGAGTGAGTAGGGGTCCAGAAAACTCCGTACATTCCCTGGAGGTAATTATTAACTAATAGCGTTAGCCAGAGGATTACTGATGCTCGACTCTCAGGCTTAAAAAAGAGCTAACAAATAGCACACTTTAGGGGCTTTCTTGCAAGCTGCGTATTGGTCAAACTACTAATATAATTTCGCGGACCTTACCGGAATTTGGGTTCAAGCCTGAGCCCTCGCGGCCATCTCAGGTCGAGAGCAGTCGACTAGAAAAACTTGGAACCTTGAGCCGAGGCCCTATCCGTGGATCAAAGCGGTATGTTTAGCTCCATTGACAGCTCTGGTTGCTGGGCCTGGAGTGAGGCCCATTCCTACGCCGACTGTCAGATTACGGCGACCAGGTTCCCCACTGATCATAGACTCATGTGATAGCCGCATATCAGCACCCATCACACTACAAAAGAGTTTGGAAGGTAATTGAGCTGATTCTCGGATATAGGGAGATTAACAAATATTCAGAATTCAAGGTATAGCAGTAACGAAGAGGTCTTATGTACGGTGAAGGTATGAAGCAGCTGCGACGATCCGCTAAATACATTAGAAAAGCCACAGGAAAACCAAGAGGAAGCTAGGGCCATGAACACGTTCAAGCTCGACGAGAGATGTAATGGAATAAAACTAGTGCAAGCTCATCTGTAGTAAGAGGCTGGGTTCGCCCCTCCAGCAGGAGGTTGGTAGGCCTGGTATTCCGTGGGAGCTGACGGAGCTGAAGCACCCGGATTGAAGGCTGTGTACTGGGCAGGGGGCTGCGCAGATCCAGGAACAGATGGTGGTTGGTGGGAAGGAGGAGCTTGGTGTGCGTTTTGAGTGCTTGGATATGGGATCTGCTGTTGGGAGGCATTCTCGTGCGAGTAGACAGAGGGGGAATAGTCTTGTCCCGAAGGCTGCTGCTGGAACTGCTGATTACCACTTGGGGGTGCTTGGCCATTAGATCCAAAGCCAGGACGCGGGTTCGCGCCTTGTTCAACTACTGGAGAGTCATAGACAGATGTCCCAAGTTCCTGCGGGTGGTCGTATGTAGATTGAGGGCGGTGGTGAACAGGGGTTCCTTGGGGTGGGGCTGACTGTTGCGGGGGAACTGATGCACCGGGGAACTGATTGCGAGGATCAGGAGACTGAGAAGCTGGACGGAAGGGGACCGTCTGCTCCGCTCCATAAAGAGGAACTTGGGTATCTAAACGATTTCAGAAGTCAGCGGCCAGTGACTTGCTCTGCTTTTCGGGAAGACACTAACCTTGATGAGGACGAGGGCTAAAATACCGCTGATCTGGCTGAGAAGGATAACCAGTAGCAGGTGCAGCACCGGGAAAGCCAGGGATTTGGCCCTGAGGAAGTCGTCCGTAAGACTGAGCTGGATGAGCCATCGAGGCCTCCAGAAGCGACTCATAGTCACGGCGCGCTTTGATAAACTTTTCATTGAGCTGAGTGAATTCGTCTATACGCTGGTTAGCATTAATCAGTCCGCATTTAATATGATCAGGTACATACCCTTCTTCTGAGAGTATTTTCCAATGAGTTCGATCAGCTTTGGGCGGATGGCAAGAGTAGAGTGGTAGAGCTGGGTAATCTCCTCATTCTCTTGGACATTAAGATCAGAACTGCGAGTGCTCAGCAATGTCAAAAGCTTCTCAACATTCTTGATTTGCCCAAAGACCTCGCCCTCCATCTGTGCCTCGCGCTGCAGCTCCTCGATCGTAGGATCCGCGAGTTTTTCAACGTAGTTCAGAGGGAAAATTCCCGTCTGCCCCCGCAAAGATCCCTTCCACCAATCCTTGTAAACTGATTCTAAAACGGCAATTATATCACCCTTGCGAAATTGAAGTTCGCCAGGTTCTGAGGGTTGAAAGTCGAAGAGGGCTCGCACCCGTGACACTGTTGCGGCAGAAGTACCCGATGGGACCGGCTGGGAGACGACAGGCTGAGGACTTGCCGCGGGCTGGGTAGCAGGGTTGACAACAGCTGCTGCGTTGGCAGCTGCCGAGGATCCAGCTTGTGGAGCAGGGGGCTGCGGGTTCTTATCCTTGACAGAGAGGGCGAGTGCCATCTGCAGCTCCTCCTCTTCTCTTTCTGTCGATCAATATCGGTGATTGCGCTCTTCACGGGCTTAGACGGGGGTTGAATGTTCGGGTCTAGGCAATGGTCAGAGGACATCGGCTAGAATGTCATCGCAAAGTTCAGTCAACTTACTTTGAGCTTTGAGCTTCATATACGCTTGTTCCATGATGCCGAAGTCTGGGTTAGAAGCGAACATTTCGGTCCATTCTTGCATGCGCTCCAGGATCTTCGATTTGACTTGTTGATGTGTATTCTAAATCAATAGGAGTAGTTAGTACTGCATCTTCCTTGTTCAAAAGACAAGAGTATAGAGGGATAGGCGTTCATACACGGTCAGCAGCCAAACGCAGCAAAGCATCTGTAAAGCTTCTTGAGGCCAGCTCGCGATGAATTTTGGGACCGCAATTTTGCGACAGAGAATTTGCGAGCTTTGAGATAATCCAGTCAGCATGTCTGATTGAATGAGTTTATCATCCCTAAAAAGAGCAAAAAAGAATTGCGAACCTCAAGTGTGTAGAGTTGCACATTGGCATTTCTGTGGGCCAGTCTCTTGATCATAGCGGCGACTGCTTCCTTCGCGCTGGATACCCCGTCCTGTCAGCGTCTTCAAAATTTCAGCATAGCTGGAACCCTTCTTGAATAGAAGAGGGCCCGCGTTTCAAGTGACATACCCCGACTCCTCGGCAGAAACCTTGTCGCAAACATCCTATACGGCAAGACGGTATCCAATCAGTCTTCCTGCCCCAATTCATGCTTTCAATATGTTCCGTCATCACGCACCAGAATATACTCCCAGTTCTCCGATGTCAGGTTCTCGTCGGTGGCCTTGGCTATAATGAGAATCCAACGTGTTAGCCCCAGTTCTTGTTCCCGATCTGAGCGAAATCCAGTCTTGCGGCTTCTAAGTAGTATTCCTCCTCCCTCTATAGAAGAAGGGAAATAAACAGGTAGATATGAGACATACCGACGGCATCGTCAAAGGCATTTTGCTGTGCGCGAAACATGACGAATGTATCTGTGGCGAGTCGTGGACGTTGGGCACTGCTCCTCGACCGTGAGCTAGCAGGTCACTGTCGCTAGTTAAAGCTCAAGGGCTTGACCCTGTGGAGCTTTCAATCTCTGTCTGGGATAGTCGCGATCGTTCCAAGTCTGTCGTTGTGCGGTTCGTAGCGATTGGGGGGGTGGAATGCGGGGAGTTGGACTGAAGGTCCAAGTGCGGGCAAGGGAGGTTTATAGCACACCGCCAGGCTGAGGAGAAAGGGAAAGGGAGACGTCGCAAGTTAAACCGAATCGAGATAATCAGGATTCCAGGCGCCGCAGCTCAAACGAGAAATTTTTTCTCGACGATCACAGAGGAGAAAAACAACTATCATCAGCAGTGTCAAGCCCCGGCGGAAGTGGTACTGAGTCAGCAATGACGACGCGAAAAGCTCCAGCTTGCGGTTTATTCTTAGTGGTTAGGCAGAAATCATGGCTGGCTGCCTCGGAACGGCTCAGCCACACTTTACTTCCATCGATCAGGCTATCAATCTAAGCTATGATAGTACGATCTTACACATATTGATAGATCTGATATTGTTGCTTATTTTATGCATTGTGCCCCTTCCATGCTTCGTGAAATTCGATGATCAATACTTCGAGCAGAAGAACCAAAAGCCCAATCATGATTGCGCTTATTACAAGGACCATGATGAGGCCAATACTAAGAGAGAAGAGCTTATCCTTTACCCAAATCTTGTATAATTCCATAGAACCCTTATAAGCTAAACACCAGATAAAGATACCGCGGTTAAAAACTTCCCGGGGCAGACGCCTTCAACTTGAAGAAATATAATAGGTTAGGGAATAGACGGTCGCTCAGAATACCAACGAGGGTTGGTTCCCAAGAAAAGCCAGGACAACTCGGGATAAAGCTATGGATTGACAGTACGCAACCCAGCAGAAGATAGATAGATGGGTGAAAATAGATATGGAGAGGATGGGAATCAAGGAGTTGCGAAATCAGATGGGCTTTTAAGTCGTCACGGAAACATGTGCACCAGAAGAATAATATGGTCGGCAAAAGATTGCAATAGTAATGGTTGTTGGCGTGACGGGAGCGCCAATAGTCTGAAGAGAGTATGGAATGGATGTCATGGGGGGTATCTGTACGAGACGAAGAATTCTGGAAAATGAGTCGGACCTGAGAAAGGTCTTCGGAGGAAGGACTTATATGCCCGTTCAAGTGGCATTGGGCGTAGCTGCTTGCTTTGCCTTCTCTTGCAGGCGCTGGACACGAGCTGCCTTGACCAGAGGGGCGAGATGAGAGAGGGGCGCCGAGATGGTCATGAAGGAGTGCTAGAGCAATTGTCAATAATCAGGTCGCTCGAATAGAGGAGAGGTGCACAAACATCTAAGAGATCTTCGGCCGAGGCACGCTTCTCGGCATCGACGGTGAGAGCTCGTTTTAAGAAATCGCGGAAAGTTGAGGACAAGTTCTGCTCATCCTTGATCTTCGGGGTACCGTTTGTTGCAATCAGATATAGCGCACGGAGAGGTGACTCTGTCAGATATGGGGGCTCTCCATCGATCATCTCAATGGCCATGATACCCAGACTCCAGATGTCAACCTTTCGGCCATACTCCTTACGGGTGACAACCTCAGGGGCCATCCAGTATGGTGTACCAACCATAGTATTACGACCGGCGGAGGATTCGTTAATCTGGGCACAGAAACCAAAGTCGGCTGCTCAATGTTAGGTTTGATCTGTCATCGGGTGCCGAATTATTGAAAACTTACTCAACTTGATGTTGCCATCGAGCGCAAGCAGGATATTATCAGACTTAATATCGCGATGGATGACACCCTTCGAATGCAAGTGCTGGAGACCTTTCAAGACCTGCAGGAATTTATCAGCGGCCTATTCAATATTGGGACATAAATAATAAGCATACCTCTTTGCACACAGCGGAAATCTGACCCTCGCTCATCATGTTAAATGTGACCACATCTGTAAGACTGCCACCCTCCATGTACTCCATGACAACCCATAGTTCAATTCCACGAAGATAACCTGCTTTGAAATTGACGATGTTCTTGTGCCTGCTGTCCTTCATGACGAGAATCTCGTTGATAATCAGGTCTTTCTTTGGTTGGAGATCCAAGTTCATTTGCTTAATGGCCACGCATTGGTTGGTAGCATGCTCATAGGCGGTGAAAACACCACCAGAAGCACCTTGGCCGATTTTGGTAAATTGGTGGTAGATCTTGGTCGGATCGCCGGGCTGGCAGATTGCCATCAAGCGCTGTTTCACCTCCTCAGTATTCGGTTGAGGCTTGGGCTGTCGGGGTCGAACTGCCGGTGCAGTGGGATCCGAGGAGTTGGCGCCTGTGGTCGCAGCGCTCGTGTCGATCGCCGGCAGCGGCTTTCCGTTGCGTTGGCTGTTGCTACGGTCCAATTGTTTTGATGCAAGCGCCTTCTGCGCTGCTGCCATGATCTGCTCCTGTTGTCGCTGGTAGCCAGTGGAGGTCTTGGCCGGATTTGAAGCAAAATCCTTTGTTGTCGAAGTCGCCGCGAAATCCTTCGTTGCCGATGTATTCGCCAAATCTTTCGTGGATGATGTCGCCGCGGAGCCATCTGTCGTTGATGGGGAAGCGAAGCCTTTCGTGGCAGCCGATGGAGGAGCTGCGAAGTCCTTCGTTGTTGAGGGCGCGGCGAAATCCTGAACAGCTGAGGTTGCAAAGTCCTTGGCTTTGGACCTTTCGGCGCCGGGCGAGTCGAGTTGTGCAAACAGAGATCCCGTATCTACGAGAGGCAAAGCAGAGCTGCTCAGGAACTCCCGAATATCTTTGTCGGCTTCGTCTGGCGAAGGGACGCGGGGTGGGGGTGAGGACACTTCGTCGGATACCGGAGGTTTCGGAGGCGAGCGATGCGGGAGGATTGAACCGGGGGCGGGCGAAACCGGTGTTGAGCTCAAAGAAGGAGATTCTGATTTTGGGATGGGGGGGCGCTGCGCGGGGCCTTTCAAAGGTATTAGGTTCATCATTCTGCGGGTTGAGCAAGGTAGGCGAAGAAGCGCTATGGGATTCTCCTCCGATATTGATGGTGACGCTTGATTTAGCACCTTGGAATTTGTGCCAGACCTCTTCGTTATCTTCCCGGGTGTTCTTTTCGTAAAAAGTCATGATATCCATCATGGTCTGGGGATGTTGCTCCTGCTCTTGCTTGGTAATACCGTTCTCCTGTAGCAGTCGCTGCCATTCCTTGGGGAGCCCGGTGAATTGGCCGGTTTGGTTATCGTAGCCAACGTGAGTGACATGCACGGGGTTCTCAGGAGATGAAATCTTGACATGGCGGGGGGAACCGAGCATGCTACTGACGAAACTGGAGAAGCTCGCTTTCTTGTCTTTCCTCCCACGTGGAGCTGGCAGTTGGCTGTTCCTCGCGGAGCGGTGGGTGGGGGGAGGGACATTTTCGCCCTCATCGGAATACCTCTTGATTTGCGACGGATCGCGGCTGCCTAGCGAAGCCATGCGTGCGGTCGGCAGATCGGTGAAGCTAGCAGACTGGCGGAGCTTTCGGGCCTGGTCAGGGTTGGTGACGGTGCGGCGGGTGCGCAAAGGCGGGGGGATGAACTTGGGATCTGGTTCCTCGTCCTCGTCCAAGGCACTAAGCTTACCCCGCGGATCAGGCGGAGCAGTTAATTCATGCGAACCTTTGGCTTTGTGGTCGTAAGAAAACCGACCGAAGCGAGAGCGTAGACGGGAGGAAGAAGAGTCGTCGACCGGGGACGGGCCGTCGGAGGCAGGCGAACTCGAGTCGGTGTTGGAGCGCGAGCGGGTATGTTCACGGCTGCCAATCACACTGATAATAGGCCCAGTATTATTCCGAGATAACGAATGGGTGCTCTGGTGACTCCGAAGCATGCGAGAGAAGCTGGGAGAATCCTTGGGCTTACTTGATAGACGGCGAGATTTCAACGAAAACCCCTCCTGGCTCATGGCGGGCAGGGGGATCAAGAGACAGATTGCAATTGGGCCGAGGGGCGGGTGGAGAGGCCCGGGGGGCAGCGCACGCCTTGGTGATTTAGATGATCGCAAAGGACCAACTAGAAGTCATTCAGGATTCCCAGGACGATCCCACTGCCCGCTGCCGTAACGTATTCGGCTCGGGCGTTTATACTCAGCTTAAACCGAGGGGGCTATTTAGGTGAGAGGCTCGAGACAGGAAAAGGATGGAGAACTGGAGAGGGGCGGCTGAATCTTGTCTCATCCAATAAGGCCCAGGTGTGAAAAGGGGAATTCCTTCAAGGATAAAAATCGTAAAGGACGGAGTGGATAAAGGCGTTGGGACCTTGAGGTCATCGGGCTTTTTAGTAGGGAAAGGCTCGGGTCAATCCCTCAGGGGTGTGTAGCTTTCGAGGAGTCGAGGACTATGGGCGGGTTAACAGGGTAGAAGTTGGGAAAAGAAGAAAAAATCCATTGGCAATTCCCCATCGCTATATAGGATTATAGATTTTAAGATTTTTTAAAAAAATAAAAATAAAAATAACCAGGCCGGAAAAGGAGTTCACGGGGGTTGATAGTACTTTTATTAGGGAGTCCATCAGGGCCAACGAGAGCCACTCGATGCGCCGAAGTGGGCTGCCCTGCACTTCACCCCGGCAGGAAGTCACTGCTTGAATACGTTGAGCTAGTCAAAGGACAAGCAAACGGATTAAGCTTAGTTAGGGCGTGGTCGCTGAGAGAGTTCATCTACATCGAACAAGGAGCTTTAACGCTGTGCGCTGTGTCCACCGTATAATTTATCGCCCCACGCAGTCGTATCTCGTAGAGATCGGGCAAACTAGCCCTCTTTGCCGCACCTCACGTACCCGCTTCTTTTCTTCCCTCTGAGCCACACACTCTCCTTCTGAGACTGGCTCAACCAATCGCCATCCTCCTCTGCGAAAAACTTGTTTCCATATGAAACCGGAATTCGTGACTTGTTCGTTCGAGTCGCGTTTCGTGTCTGCTGCATGTTGCCCCGGCTCCGCTTTGTCCAAGCGTCCCGAACTTTATATATACGGAGTACGGAGTTGCCCTCGTGGCCCAGGGACCCCACGAGACTCTTAAAGGCCAAAAAGCTTGGACCTATCCTACTAGGCCTCCTTCTAATGCCTTCTGCTCTGTTCCGTCTTCAATTCTGGCCGATAAATGTATGTCATCCTTCGTCCCACCGCAAACTCGAGAACTCGGTCCACGTTGATGGGTCCGACAGGGGCGGGCCCCAAGGTTATGTACGAGGTACGGCTGTCGATCACTTTAAGTGGTAAAGCCCCATTCGACTTCGTGGGGGGAAATTTGACGTCGGCATTGCTATGGAGCATAGATCCATCCCGCTCGGCACCTGACAGGTTCCTCGAATAGACTTACAATATCCCGTCTAACCAACTCTATAACTTCCCTCTTCTATTTTAATCCCTTAGCCGCATCCTGTCTCTTTTGGCGCTGCTCCAGAGCCTCCACCCGCTCGTCGATTTTCTTAAATGACCAGCTCTCGAACCCGGGCGGATACAAGAACGGCCGCAGGTCAAACCTGTGATCGTCTGGACTGTAGCTCTCCGCGTGATAAGCAGGCGTGGCAACTGTCTGCTTATGACGATTGATTTGGTAGAAGTGGAAGAACAGTTTCACTTTGTGGGCGATCTCTCGGGGGCTGAGTTTGCCGACGCCACCCCATTCTTCCAGCAAGCGAAGGAACATGCCGTACGGCCCCAGATGGTCCACTTTGCGTAGCGTGCCGAACCGGGACAGTTCTTGGTAACTCATTTGCATGTCAACTTCGTCGCTTTGGACCTGCAGGTTTACCCAGAGTCAGCTCACGCCCGAACGAAGGAGGGAGGGAACCCAGATCAGGGTTTCAGGGCTGGTATGCCCGGAGGGCTGAAATTGATCTTACATAGTCAGCCGTGATTGGCTCCAGCTCCGCCGTGGGGGTCGCATCCAGGAACTCCCCCAAAATAGGCATTTCAAATTCGGTCGATGCCCAGCCAATGAAGCGCTTGAGGTCGACTTTGCTTATCGATCCAATGGGGTTGATATCGGCTGAAGAACCTATTCAAGACGTCAGCTCGTATTGCCAGCGATGCGGTGCAGCGAATGATCGCTTTAGAACAGGTACTCATGCTGGTAACGTACAGTCGTACTTCGTCAAGTCTGCTCGAGACATTAGTTTGATGGGCCGACATAGGTGGGAACATACTTACATCCTCGTAGGCATTCATCGACGTTGGAACTTCCCAGGACTAACAGGGACCCGCCCCCAGGGCGCTTTCTAACCTCGCACAGCTCCTGGGCAAAGTAATACGCAATGACCATTCGTGACCTCGCCTGAATGTTTTGTAGAGCAAGGTTTGACGTTTGCGAACCTCCGTGCACTAGTTTTCCCCAAGGGCTGTTAGGCTCCAATAGTAATTCCCGGATGTGGGTGAGAGAAGAGTAGAACATTACCTTTGAACTTTGGCTGGAATCCCGTAGCCTGCGTCAAAATATTTGTCGTCGAGTTGAAAACATCGTCAATGTTCACATCCGTGTGGTAGGATCCAATACGGTCGGATAAATTTTTGGCACGGTCGCGGGTCTCCTTGCTGCTCTGCTTCTCCATTCCCATATAGCAAGTGTAGAATATCTGGTTGCACAGTTCCTCCGGCGTTTCAGGAATCTCCGACGTGTACGCAGCAATGCGCTTGACATCTTTGATCACCTGTTCGTTTCCCTCTTTAATGGCACTGATGACAAGTCGACACATAGAGTAGACAATCGTTGCAGTGGCGCAGCTATCGATACCACCAGAGAGAGGTACGAAAAATCCGGCCGCTTTGGAGCGGCGCAAATAGTCCCAGAGCCAGCACGCTGGGCCCAAAGCAATTTCTTCTTCTGGAAGATGGTATCGCGCTGGGCGTGGAGCCGTAGGCGATTGAGGTGTATCCAAGTCGAGGTTATCCTGAGAAAGAGAATAGTCTACCTCGATGCGCTGATACTCCGGGACTGCGACTGCCTGGAGACCACGGGACGGCGCGAACCTGTGGGCCCTGACTTTTTCGAGGTCGACAGTCGCAACCACCACCTCGACTTCATTCAATGAGAATTGGCTGGACTGCCCAACAATGTCTCCATTGACAAAGATCATAGCACATCCATCGTAGTAGCTAAAGAGACTTTAGTATAATGCGTTCCATTTGGAGTCCTGGCCTGTACATACAGCCTATCACCATCGCATCCAAGTTGGTTGGAATAAAGGTAGACACCCCCATTCTTGCGAGTCGCTTCTTGGATAAGAGCGATACGCTCATCCAGCTTCCGTAAAGAATGATGGCTTCCACTGCTGTTGGTGAAAATCTCCACGCCGTTGAGGCCCCTAGAAGTGGCCAAATCAGTTGATATGATCATAGAGAGGACATGGGGCCCACAAACATGTTGATGTGAGGACTATTGGGAGTGAATAACTCCTCACAAGTCTCGGCAGCGAGGCAAGTATCGATTGTAGACAAAACCACATCGCCAATTGGAACCTGGCGACAACCCTGATGCCGCTGGATCCGGGGTGGCAGATAGTACTGCTCGACATGTCTGGGTCTGTTCCATGGCGTAAAGAATCGCATTTCGCGGAAGTTCCCGTCGTTGGCCAGATACAGCTTGGGCCGGAGACAAAGGATCTTGCCATTGAGGATGATCGCACGTGCATTGTACCGGCAGTTTCGGTGCAAAAGTGGCAGGCCAACATCGATCATGATGCCATGCAGGGATGCATCAGTCAAAATAGAGTAGAGTGAGTCCCAGGAATTCTCATACACTTCATTCTCGAGGAAGTGATCCAGACAGCCTGATGTCATAGGTCAATATGAAATCGTGTTCAACATGGAAATTGACCAATTCCCTTACCATAGCCTGGGATTTCCAGCTCAGGACCGACTCGAAGCGTTGCGCCTGCCGCCTTGGCTTTGACGATACTCTCCTTGATGCGTCTGAGGTTGCCCTCAAAGTCCAGACTCCACTGGTTGAGGGCACAGGTAGCCAAAGTAACCAGGGCCATGATGTGGATCCAGGAGATGGGAGCCACTCAAAACTTTAGAATCAAGCAAGGTACAGTGCTGCAGGAGATGCAAGTCACGTCCCACAGGTTCGTTTCCGATAATCCTCCAATGGGTGGGGTGGTCGCCGTAACAGGGCGGTGTGTGAGGGGAAGAGCCGCTTGATCCATGGAAGGCTCCAGTTAACAGGTACCTTCCAGAAAATGATAAGCTCGGCATTGAGGCACCAAACTCTATGGTATCGCTATTCAGGCCAAGTTTTTAGACTGGCTTTCGAACTGAGGTTGATTCACTACGTACTTTGTCGTCGAGCAGTTGCCTGACGAAGTATAGCGCGCGGGGTATCTGCCAGTGCCGGTGCTCCCGGAGGGTCTGCTTCAACCTGTCAAATATGACTACCTCGAGCCTCAAGATGCAAGTTCCCATCAAGTGGGCAACAATCGCGTCCAAAGTCATTCAACGGCGAAGCCTCGAGAATATCTGATCTGAACGAAGTTGCGTTGCACTAGCAAATGCCAAGCTTCTCGATTCTACTTTTAGCTCAAATTGGTGGTGCGTAGCCTTTTCTGGGGCCGTGGTCGCCCAGTTCGCAATGTAGACCAATAGTGTTCGCCCTGCTTGGCCCCCATCGGTTTTGCACGGTAAATCAATGACTGTGTCAATGTTCGTACGAAAGAAGAGCATATTGGAACAAGTATAATGGCCTTGATCGTTTCATGTTTTCTGAATATAGAAACACCTGGACTCTAAGGTAGCTCGTTTCATCAGATTAATGCACCCATGCTATCGATAGCCTGGATAAGATAGTTGGCGTCGGATGTAGATCCAGATCGTTTTCAAGGAACACCGTAGAACGTTCAATGGAGATATGCATAACATCCATCTGAGGCGAATACCATCTACTCAGCAAGAATCGTCGTACAGCAGCTTAAAGAGCTGCGGCGCGGATGGTCCATGTGAAGTTTGTATGTGCTTGTTCTCCCCAGCCCTCCAGGGCTAATCTCGAGACTAAGATGAGGCGAATAAATGTACTTCCACAAGCGTTATACTTCACAAGTGCAGACTAAGGGCCGATCTCGACCCCAAAGCCCTCCGCACGCTTTTTTTAGCTCTCTGTAGCAGTTGGATGCGCCCCCGGTGGATTTGAGATCGGTCGCACGTGAGCTTTCGCCCCCATGATTTCCCATTGGGATCATCAAGTGGTTTATTTATAATCCTTGGACCTCTCATGAGGGGTCCCAGAAGGTCTTCATCGCCATGGCTCCACAGGAGAATTCCGTGGTGTCGAAACATTCACGCGCCAGTAAACCGAAAGTCCGCACTGGCTGCTTCACATGCAAGTGAGTCAAGGCCTCCCGCCCTTGCGCAACCTAATCTCCTTCAAATTCTAAATCAAGCTCAAACAGAGCACGCCGGGTAAAATGCGACGAAGCGAAACCAGCCTGTGTTCGGTACAGTCCCCCTTTTGCTCGGCCGCGGAGCAGTCCGAGACCCCGGGGAGCCCTATTTGGCTAATTCACCTTCCAGGTGTACAAGTACTGGCCGCCAATGCGAGGGCTACTCGCAGCCAAAGGCGTCGAAGGTGGTGCCACGAACCCTTGCTCCAGCTCCGATGGTTGATTCGGCCATTCAACGACGCGCCCTCGAATTCTTCTTCCACAAAACCGCGCCCCACCTGGCCGGCTACTTCGAAAGCCAATTCTTCCAGAACACCGTCCTACAACTCACTCTTACTGAACCTGCCATTCGGCAAGCTAGTGCGGCCATTGGGGTTCTCCATGAACAAACCGCGCTGGGTGCCCTGGAATCCTTCAAGCTCGGCCTTCTCCCTATCACCCCTATTCAGATGTACAATCGATCTATCCGAACCATCCTAGAAAAAGGCAAAACTGACAACTCCTACCCGCTCATTGCGACAACCAACCTTTTATTTATTGCCTTCGAGTATTTCCAGGGCAACGTGGACGCTGCCGCCAATCACATCCAAAGCGGCATCAAAATTCTACAAGCATGGCGCACAAGTAACGGCGGTCCACCGAAAGAACCCTGGGGCAAGAATTATCAAACATCCCAAGAGCAATTCATGGAGGTCAAAATTGCTCTTCTTCTCAGCACATTTAATACGAATGCAGTAGGCTATCGCCAGGGGCATCACACTGATGTCTTTCTAAATCCGATCAGCGAAACCGGCGAACTCATGTTTGCCGACTCGTTCGACAATGTGATGGAAGCCCGAGTCGCCTTAATTGACATGATCTCCTGCGCCAATTCACATTTCTACCGATTTAACAACTTCCGCTCTCAGGGGCCGCTGGATGACCCTCACTCGGCGGCGGTTTTCGAGAACCTTATAAAGAACCTTGACCGATGGCAGATGCAATTAGACGATTTGATCGTCCGGCGCAAGGCCTCGTGGATGAAGCGGGACCGAGAGTCCGCCGACGCCATCCGTATTATCAGGATCAGTATGAGCTTCGGTGTGAGGTCTTTCTTGGCAGAGAACGAATGCGCCTGGGATGCATTGAAGCCAGAATATGAAGAAGCGATTATCCTGGCCGAGCGCCTTCTTGCCGATCGCGACCGCTACACGCCGGAGGAAAACCGGCGAACGCTGAGTTTAGACTGCGGCATCATCTTCTCCTTCCATGCGCTGGCGTGGAAGTGTCGCTGGCCCTATCTTCGCCGCCGGGCGCTGGACGCTTTCCGACGGATTCCGAAGCGAGAGTGGCTGTTGGATATGGGACACTACCACCGAATCTTTTCACGTATAATGGAGCTGGAAGAAGACCATTTAAACCTTCCGCCTGGGGCGGTTCCCAGAGAGGATTGGTTGCCCCCAGAGCACGTTCGCATTCACGACTTCAAGGTTGTCTCGGTCCCGGGGCCTCCTGGGTGGCCTCCTGGATATGAGGTGACTTTCTGGAGTAAACCCCAGGGCCTGCATAAGCCGTGGCTCTCCCTGACGGAGAACATGCAACTCGGCTTTCCTTCCGGGTCAGGGACTGTCCCTTATAACATGATAAGTCGCAAGCCTTGGACGATGCCGGAACTGGTGACGTACTCCGTGCGACAATAATCTTTGATCCTGATATATAAACATCTTGACTTTACTCATTTAGCGATTACCATATATCTGAACCTCTCTGAATATATTACCATTGGCCTTGAATTATCATGGCGGACAATCTAGAGACCGTAGTTCTTATAATTGTATCTGAAGTCTGATGTCGGGCTTAAGAATGACCTCAAGGACCGCGGCATTGACCCGAGGTAGGACGGGACCTTCAACTTCCGGACGCCGTTTCACCAGTCAAGTTCGAAGCTTCGGTCCCAAGAATGTCGCATCGATGTAAAATCAGTTCTTTGCTCTACTATGTGCTTTCTTTGCGGATACCGGCCAGATAACAGTGGCCCACCTAATTGCATGTTTCACTTCCCGACTAGCGAGGCTACTTCCCCCTTTTCAGCTCACAATTGCCGTCCAGAATCATAAGCACGGTAATTTCAGGTCACATACGTATTAAAATAGAGGTAGTCGCCTGAGTCTCACGCAGGAAATCCGCGTGTGTAAAGCCTAAATATTCTGGCAAAATCTCGGGAATATCTCCCGGGTGGATCTTGGATCTGCGCTGATCGAGCCAATTTCGGCCCGCTACCAGAGCTACCTATCCAAAACGAGCCTTTCATCTTAGGGTTTGGCTTGCTAGGTCCCGAGGGAGTGGGTTCATAACATGGCTGTTGAGCCTTCAAGATCAGAATTTAAACTTTCGCTTATGTTGAGTAGTATTGGATCCCCTGAGCAGTGCTTTCCTCGTAGATTGCAATCGCAACACTATGTCTTCAGTCATATCGTCCATGGCTCTCCCAGCCCATACCCCTATCCCGTCAGGGTTCAGCGTATACGACAAAGCGTTCTACAACATCCTCGGCTCCGCCCCGACGCTGGAAGTGATTGCCCAGAACAGCAGCTTCCCGTTCGCCCACGAGGCAAGCGTCTACATCCCTGAGAAAGACGAGCTGTTCCTGTCTAGCAACATTTTCACGGACCCCGTGACCAATGAATCCACCATCAAGATCTCCAAGGTCAACGTCGGTGCCAACCCCGTTACCTCCGAGATTATCGACACCAATGTGAGCATGGCGAACGGAGGAACCAACTACAAGGGCGGCGTCCTATGGACCGCCCAAGGGACCCTCAACGAGACCGGCGGCGTGGTTCTGATGTCTTCAAGCCCTCCGTACGGAACACATTTATTTGTCGGAGACTACCTCGGCCGCCCCTTCAACTCGTTGAACGATATTGTCGTCGCTAAGGATGGCGCGTTCTGGTTCACCGACCCCATTTACGGCTGGCGCCAGGGTATCCGTCCCAAGCCCCAGCTGCGGCAGCAAGTCTATCGGTATGACCCGAGTACTCAGGGCATTCGAGTTGTGGCGGATGGATTCAGTCGGCCTAATGGGATCTCGTTCTCCCCTGACGAGAAGACTGTTTATATTACCGATACCGGGGAGACGAACGGCGACGGATCAAAGGATGCGCTCGAACCCGCCACGATGTAAGCTCAACCTGCGCCATTGGGAGATGCGAAGATCTGTCTAACGGTTGCAGTTACGCTTTTGATGTTTCCATTATTCATGGCCAGCCTTTCCTGACCAACCGCCGACTTTTCGCTGTGCCAGGCAATGGTATTCCTGATGGCATCAAGGTCGACCAGTATGGGAATGTCTACGCTGGCTGCAAAGACGGTGTGAACGTCTGGTCTGCCGGGGGTGTTCTGCTCGGTAAGGTTCTTGTCAAGGGTGGAACTTCCAACTTCTCGTTTGGCAAGAACGGATCTATGTTCATTCTCAACGAGAACAGGCTCTACCGGGCGCAGCTGAACCCGCAGTACCACGGGACTCTGGTTTAATCGCCGGACGAGGGATGACTCCGAATCGAGGGCAGTCCATGGTGAGAACGCTGGTAATGAGACCTCTTGGGTTCTGTGTATACATTCTGAGATACGTCATTTCACGAATTAAAATATGATCAGACGCTAAACCCGTGCGGAGAAATACATATCACGCGCTGAGAGACGATGTGAATAACCGCACGGCTCATTTCCTGACGCCGGTCACATCACCCCTCCTGCGCCGAATGACAACGAGCTGCATTGTGGCGGCGCCAAGCTTTGATATGATGCCTCCACACGCCTCTTCCGCCGTAGAACAGCCGCCTCGAGGGGTTCGGCCAGAAGAAACGTGTGGGAAGCCTTACAACATGGCGCCGTGCGATTACAGAAGGAGCCCTGTCAGCACCGCACGAGGTACAAACATTCGGGCCCGGCGATCAGTCCATTTTCCACTCTGGCTTCAAGGCTGTCCCGGCTGGTAGTGAGCCTCGCCGGCGATTCCGTTGGGCATCTGTGGTATCGCGCAACCTCTTATTTCTGTCCCGATTCGAAACGAGCCGACTATAAGCGGTCGGTTTCTTTTCGCGTCATACTCAAGATCACTTGAGTCTCTTGAGCCAGTAATGCGATCCCTGAGGGAGTCCAAGCACATTGCTACGATTGGCTATTACCCCAAGGGTTTTGACAAATCTTAACAACTTTATTACCATCAAAGATGGGGTTCAAGAGTAGCGCGTACCATGTGGCCATGTTTGATGTCATAGCGTGTGTGAAAGACGGGCTGTGATGATCTTGACCCGGCTCTGGCTGGCTGCCGAACCGGCCATCGAGTCACGAGGGACCGTCAATCTGTGCCAAATGAGTACAGCCGATGCTCGATGACGCCCAGGAGCAGAGCCAAGATGGCGGGGCTGATGCCCGGGGAGACCATCATTCACATCTAGCGGGTGATCGAGCGGGTTTAGTCCGAGCTATGGGTTGGGAGTCGGTGTGTTTGAGCTTTTGGCTGCAGCCAAAGGGTGCGACTTGGACTTCCTGCCCAATCAGGACCGTGCAAACCCGAAATGTGTTCTTTTGCTTTTGTGATTCTCGGCAGCTCTGACCTCCGTTCCTCGCCGTTTGGGACTTATTTTCCTTGGGACCAAGCCTGAGAAAAAGGGGAAAGGTCTCACATCCTTGTTGTACAGGCCTTGATCCTATGGTCCCTACCCGAACCCTTTCCCCTGTCCAAAGCATGGAGCCGTTTCGGACACTCCCTCGTTTTGTTTTTGTTTCTCCTTAGGGTTGAGTAATTCCTACCCTGCTGTCTGACCGTATACTCTGTAGTCTATAGACGCATGGTTTCCCTTCTATCCTCCCCTCTTTAGGACTAGTCCGCAGATGATCTGGGGGAGGACCCCGTCCTTGGCAGATCCGGGCTTTGTTCAGCTGCAAAACCCATGAGCCTCCAAGACAGGCCCTATTGGCGAGAGCCAACGCGGGGTTCCACATGGAGGGGGCCGAGGCCCGATCGACTCCCGAGACTAAACTAGTGAGCGCCATCGGTCGGCAACATTGACATACAAGAAAATGGCCTGATGGTTGGTCCCGGGGACTTTGCAATGCACCTTCCCCATTTCCAGGGCGAAGAATCGCGAGTGCGATGCTAACTATTTCTTGGAAAAAGGAAAAAAGGAAACAAAAATAGTGGAGACCAATAGTTCATAGAAGGGCCCGACGATCCCCTTGCCTGGCCAAAGAAGACCTAATTTCGCAGGGGGACTGTGGGTCAATGCGCCTGCATCCAAGATCGCGAAGTATGCACGCTTCATCCCTGTCGTGCACCTAATCACCATTACCCGAAGCTGAGATTTGAAAAAAGAAGAAAAAAAGTCAAAGATGCAAGCTACGGTGGAGACTGCCCTGTGGGGATGATAAGCCAGGATGTTGAGTCCAGGCTTACCGAGAGATACGAGACATCACAAAAGGGATACACGGCGCATCCTTGGTGCCTGTTATGGCTTCCTGGTTGCTCCCAAGCGGGTCTGTTTTCGAATTACCTAGACGGTCCAAGGTCCACCCGACTCCAATTATATTCTCTTGTCGGCCTGGATGATCCGTTTCCTCCTTATCCCTATTGTGGCGCCGAGCCACGTCGGGGCCGTCGACTACTGCCATGTGCCTTACATTCATAGGACGACTATGCATGGAAAGTGATGCTGTGATTGGCTTGCTCTTGGTCCTAAGACTGCCCTCCCATGAATACGGAATGCGCTTTAGAAAGTAAATGTCTTTCTGCATGGCCTTTAGTCCGTCCGCGGAGCTTAGATCTGATTTTACATAAATTGAGCCCCCTCTCGCTGCTCTGCTTTATTCGGAACTACACTCGCGGATTTCAGGCCTTCGATACTTCGCCTCTTAGTACAGTACAGTCGCCATAATGTTTGCTCTTCTATTCTTATTTATCGCAGTGGTTGCTGCGTACCCTGCCCGTGGCCCTTGTACTGGTGACTGCTGGACTAAGGATCCCGCTGTGATCCAGCGCAGTTCGGATGGTACTTATTTCCGCTTTGGTACCGGTACTGGCGTGGTTACTATGACCTCGCCTAGCCTCAAGGGCCCATGGAAGGATGTTGGCGCTGCTTTGCCCAGCGGTTCCAAGATTAACGTTGAAGGTGTCGATAGTCATGATATCTGGGTAGGTATACGAATTAGGCCAAACAAGGACTGGTCCAAAACTAACGAGCTCGAACCAGGCCCCTGATGTGCACAAGGAGGGTGACACGTACTACATGTACTATGTTCTCTCTAAGCTTGGCACGCAGACTTCCCAGATTGGCGTGGCTACCTCGACCACGCTTGAGCCCGGTTCCTGGACTGACCATGGCGAGATTGGCCTGCCCGCCAACAGCGCCTACAACCGTATCGACCCTAACTGGATCGAGATCGGCGGCAAGCAGTACCTCCAGTTTGGCTCTTACTGGCAGGACATCTACCAGGTTGAGCTTGCGAATGCTCTCCAGGTCGGCTCCGCTGCCCCATACCAGCTCTCTTGGAACGCCTCCCTCAACCACCGCCAGGAAGGTTCTTTCATGTACAAGAACGGCGACTACTACTATCTGTTCTTCAGCGCTGGTCTGGCTGGCTCCTACACTGCCAACTCCCCGCCCGCCGGTGAGGAGTACAGCGTCCGTGTATGCCGATCTGCCACTGGAACCGGACACTTCGTAAGTGCTACCTGTCCATGTCGTTCATTCATCATCAATACTCATCTTCTCGCAGGTAGATAAGGCGGGAAATGATTGCAAGCAGTCCGGTGGGACCATGGTCTTGGCTAGCCACGACCAGGTCTATGGCCCTGGTGGAGAGTAAGTCTGATAAAGCGTCGATCTATTCAAGCACCAATTCTGACCAATCGAATAGAGGCGTGATCAATGACAAGGACCTGGGCCCTGTTCTCGTCTACCACTACTATCCTCTGTCTCTCAAGCAGAGCGGCGGCTCCAAAGGCAACGACGGGTACCAGTTCGGCTGGAACGAACTCGACTTCGCGAGTGGCTGGCCCGTCGTCAAAGCCACCTGATCGGCACAAAGGCGGACCATCTCTGCTGTTGTTCTATAAATAATCTCGGTGACTTATTTTTGACCAGCTACCGGCACCTCTTTTCTCTTCTTTCTGTCAATGGTTGGGTTACCATACTTCTTTGAGTAATGCGCTCGTTTATTCGATACCCATGTCGAGGGCCGACGGCCACTTGGCAAACCGCGTGCTTGTGTCAGAGAGATAACGCTGATAATAATGGTTCGGGAATATTTTTTCCCCGGACTTATGCACATTCTATCTTTAATAGCTACATGTGAAATAGAGGACGTCAATAGAACAGTCGTTACCATCATTTTTAATTCGCCCATTCTGTATATATCGTGCATATGCTCCTTGTAGAGCGTAGGTGGCTAGCGACCCACGTATCGTAATTCCAGTGTCCGCAGCGGGAGATACGAGATGGAGGTGAAGACCAAGGCCAGCTCGTTGGCAATATCTCCTCCGTCGGCTCCAATCATCTTGGCAAGGGGTCCGACATAGTATGTTTCTGCCATGCCAACAATCCACCCCGCTGCCCCACACAGGAATGCCATGAGCCCAGCATATCCTACTGGCATTCTAGAAGGGGTATTCCAAGCATCGAGGTCGTAGTTGGCCAGATTTCCTTTGCGGAAATAATAATGCTCAATGAAGAGAATCACAAAGAACGAGGTGTTCCAGTATCCCAGCAAGGAGAGGAAATTCTGCAGCACGTCCAGCAGATGATCCCGGCCAGCGATACCAATGGCCAGAATGCCAGCAAAGACCAAAAAGGACCAAAAGACCCGAGGGACCTTGGCAAAGGGGGGAGCGAACATTTGTGCCGAGAGCCCGCCAGAATACATTGCGATACAGTTCATGCCGACTAATTCATTGGTTAGTCCGACTTCCCGAGTATGCCTTGGCCTCGATGTTACTTACTCCCAGACAGCACCAGAAGTACTAGCAGAAACTTGGCGAAACCGCTAGGGTGCACAATGACCCGCAAAACCTCTCCAATGCTAACATTGTAGGCATCATTCCACTCCGGCTTGTCGTGGAGAGCGGACGCGACACAAGCACCAAGCAACATGCCGATGCAAGTCGGAATCGAGATACCGAGCGATGTATACAAGAATATCTTGACCTTCGAGGTATTGACCGGGTACTGCACATAGAAGTCCGATACGATGGAGCTCCAGGAGACACTTGATCCGTAGATCACGGAGATCAAGCTCAGAACGTTTCCTGACTTGGTCAGGCCTGTTACGGCGTTTGGCGGGGGGCCGAGATCAGCGAAGTGGGCAGCTTCGCCGTACATGATCATGGAGATGATGAAAAACAGCATCCATGCGTACTTCTCATACAGGAGAACCGCGCGCAAGCCGATAAAGCTAAACACCAGGCTGACGCAGGCGATAACGATAACACCCACGGCAATTGACAAATGACCCCCCGAGACTGCGTTGAGCGACAGCCCACCCGTGATACAGCTGACAGACGCCCAGCCCAGTTGCTCGATGACGTTCAGAAGCGCAATTATCGAGGAAGGATAGTAGCCGAACGAGTATCTTGAAATGGCGACCTGGCGCAAGCCAGTTCCGGGACCCATCGTGGCGCACCAACCCTGATCGGAGCCAATCACATCAGTATAGTCCCTGCAGCATCTATATTCCTCAGATGAGAACTCATACGTACCGTTGCCGCAGACCCTAGCAGGGTAGCAAAGATCGTGATCGCAATCGTTTCTCCGAGCGTCAATCCAAACTCAGTGCCAAGGAACCCAGTACTGAAGCAACTGATGTTCATTGTCGCGGACGCCCACATGAAGGCCATGACCACAGGGCTCGGTGACTTGCGATTTTCGGGGTGCACGCGCTCGAGACTATTAGACTCTATGCCCAATTTCCGATCCAGCAGCCCCTCATAGTAGCGGATGGTCCCGAAAGAAGCCGCTGGGCTTCTCTGGGTCCGAGCTGACTGGAGTGATATCCAGCTCGGATTGAATTTTAGCCTCTGGGTCTTTTTCGAAGTCCGCCATTTTGGAGCGCGGTATTTGGGGGTGGGAGTCTCGCAGGGGAGAGAAAGGCCGCAACAGTCACCTCCCGCACGCGACCTCGAAAACCCATTGGGGCTACTCGCGGGTTTAAGTGGCGTCTCAGCAGTCGGGCAAATTCCTGAGGTGGGTTTGCCCCTTATCTAGCGTATGGGTGGGTCTTATCGTGGGAATTGCCTGAGGGTTTTCCTACAGTTTTATGGGTCGCGAAGCTTGTATTTGGCTTCCATGTTATGCATTGAGGTCGAGACCCCCGCGCAATCCCCGTCCAGAAATGTTATTATGGCACGAATCCAGCCGTCTTCGATATCTTCAACATCTTCGACGGTTATTGCAACATCCCTTCCCTGCCCCGGTTCCCCAGACCAAGTAGGTTTCCACCGCCGAAATTTCTTCCTTATCAAGTGGGGGTCGGCTACGTCCGAGCACGCCTGGTTCGATCCCGCTCTTTGCTCTGTGATTGGAGCCACCCCAGTGTAACCCTCCTTAACCCTGCTCAGGCAAAATGGGAGTCTGCCTTGTTTAGCTGAGTTGCTCTGGCCCGACTGCCAATTGGCGTCGGGCACTTTCTGCCAAGACTTGATAGTGAATCCAGTGCCGACGGACTTCGACCATACGCCGGACGATGGGGCTCAAGGTATTTTGTCTGCGAACCGTCCCGGTCGCACGGCCGAAGAAGCACCGCATCTTCTATGTTTTGCCACGGTACGTATCTTCGGATTGGGGGTCCCGATAATAGATCAAGATCGATCTCGTGTTGCTCTTGAACTACCAATTGGAGGCCTTGATATATCATGATCGAGTGCGCGGGTCAGGTTCATGTTTTCTTCCGCAGACCCTCCCACCGGCGTTGCCAGCGATGTATTGAATCCTGTGGCCTTCTAACTTGTTGATGTTGTAGTTGTTGCCAGTGTCTAATGGGTAGAGTTGTCTAGGATGTATCACGGTCATTCCATTTTTACAATCAAAGCAGACCCTTAAGTGCGCCCATCTCGCGAACCCATTGCGGTTGCCTGTAGAAAATATATCACTGCCAGAAGTACCTAAAACATGACACTATCCCACATAACTGAACTTCACTAGCCGAGCCTATACCTGACTTGTACTAATGCTCCGTAGAGAAATTCGACGCTCATTGTGTACTAGTATGATGAAGAGTCATTTCGAGGTCGCTTTCAAGTTGAACACCGGCTGAGACCCACGTCTCCCACAGTGGGAGTACGCAGCACTAGGCTAGTAAGAGCGACTGGCTGTTGATAAGTAGCAAAATGGCAAATTTAGACATGCTTGCAAGGGTGGCCGAGTTGGTCTAAGGCGCCGGATTCAAGATATTGTCTTCCCCGAAATGGGTCTCCCGGTCTCGAAAGAGGCGCGAGTTCGAATCTCGTCCCTTGCAAACTTTTTTAACTTTTCCAACAGATCTTGAATTTTTTTCTCCACTTTATCTTACAACTAAAACTCTGATCGTATCACTCACGTCTCCACTATTGCATCTGCAAGGGTGGCCGAGTTGGTCTAAGGCGCCGGATTCAAGATATCATCTTCCCCGAAATGGGTCTCCCGGTCTCGCAAGAGGCGCGAGTTCGAATCTCGTCCCTTGCACGCATTTTTTCCCTTCTTTGAATTGTGATTACTTTTTTCTTTCCAATCTTGTGAGAAAGGCTCTTTTTTGGTTGTGCTCTTTTTTGGTTATGCTCTTTATTACCGGTTGGTACTATGCGAATGCCAGGGACTAGGTTGCCAACTTCCAAGTCATGCTTTCCGATAAGAATGCACCTTACCGAGTCCTATATCGCTTGCCAATTGGGTTTGAGGAACATCAGAGCTCTTCTCGGAACCACGGATGGTACTGCGTACACGACTTGCTGGATCTGCACTGGAGCACCGGGAAGATGAGCGATTCTGTTTCGAACTATAAGCGAAGTAAGGGCCGCCTCTATCTCCAGAATGATCGGACCATCTTGATGCCGCGAAAATGATCGGGAGGAGCCGATCAGTTAGCCCCAAGCTTTAGCGTTGATTGGTTATCGCGACAGCGATAATGATTCTACTCACGGGAACAGGGCCTATCTATCCCCCCGCAAGATCGGGCTTTTGCATTTGGCCTCTGACCTCGCCCTGCAAGACAAGAGTAGAGGGAATTTCCAGAATGTCGCAGTTGTCCAATTCGCCGTACAGTCGAGTTCTGGCAAGAAGAGGCCGGGTTTCTCATGCCTGCGTGCCCTGTCAGCAACGCAAGCAGAAGGTTGGTAAACATCTCGGCTCAGCAGTATCGCATCTCACGCCGTCCCTAGTGCGACGGAGCTACTCCTACATGTAGGAATTGCTTCAGAAACAAAAGAAGTCAGTTCTTTCTATGCGCCGACATTATGTGCACAAAGTAACAGAAGGGACGAAGTAGCATGTATAATTCAAGATCCGTCAACAAAGCGGAGTTATCCTCGTGGCTACATAGAGTCGTTAGAAAGCCATGTTGCTCTTCTCGAAGGCACAATTCGAAGGCTGCGTCCTGAGATGAATATTGACGACATTGCAGCTCCAGAGCCGTTGGCTACAGTTTCGGGCCACATCAACACAACACCTCAAGGCCCACAAGGCACCGTCCGTGGGGTAAACAGTACTGAACCCGAGATCATCAGACACACCGAGCCAGCGACTTCTGCGAATTCAACCGACCAAGGTGCAGATGTCCTAGCCGACAGCCCCGGAAGCCTGCACTTGCTCTGGTCGCGTGCTGCGGGAGGTGAGCCTCATTACTTTGGTGCCTCTTCGGCCCTTTCGTTTACCAAGGTCTTTTCGGCGACCTTGCGCGCCGTAGGGGTCCATGGCCCCGGATTAACGATGTCTGGGACTTCCCTCGTCTCACCAGATCTGAGATCTCGGGTCGAACCTTACTCATTACCGGACCAGGAATCGATGAGCCTATTGACAGCTGCATACTTCGAACAAGTCCATCCTCAATTCCCTTTTTTACATCACCCAACTTATATGCAATGGGAAGCAGAGGTAATGGATGCTCGCCGGAGAGGGATAGCGCCGGACCCCGCGCACCTATTCTTTGTCTTCGCCGTGAGTTGTCTCAATTTGCCACAGACGAACGTTCAATCGGAACTGATATGTGCAGATTGGAGCCGTTGGTGCCTTGACAGTTCCTCGAGCTGATACGAAGCTTCCAGAGGTGACAAAATACTCGGAGGATTCGAAGATGCGCTCACTGACTGTCATTAGGGGCTGTATTCCTCTGCAGAGCGGCTCTTTGAGCATGTCATCAACTTGAACTCATTAAAATCAATCCAAGCTATACTATGTTGTGCCATGTACTCAATCAGATCTCCCGTCGGGGTATCGACATGGTGAGCCAAAATGGTATATTGCGCTTTAGCCGAGGGTTCGTAACAGTCGCTCTCTAGGATTCTTTCTGGTCTGGCACTCCGGCAATGCGTTGAGATGGGACTCCATAGGCGGAATTTATGGTCCAGAACCGATTCAAACCCTCTCAAGACACAAATGAGACGGAGGATTTTCTGGTGTTGCTATAACTTGGACCGAGCAATGGCCATAACGCTTGGGCGCCCGGTTGGAATCAATGATGTTGATGTCGATGTGGAGGTAAAGTCCCATTGCAAAGCAATGTTCATCTAAGTTTGCTAAAAATAATACTAGTATCCATTAGATATCGACGATGATTGTCTGACCGAGCACGGGATCAATGGCACCCCTCGCACTTCCGTAGATGTCCCCGCGACGACCGTTTCAAGTGCAATCCACACAATCCGGATCCGCCAAATTTGGGGCCGCATGCAAGCCTTGCTGTACCCCCAAATTGGGGTGGGGGCCACTCCAATGATGAGTGTGATGCTGGAGGAAAGCTTCCGAAGTGAACTCAAGAAATGGCTAGAAGAGGCCCCAAACCAGCTGAACACCAATGAAAGGCACAACAATACGTTTGGGTCCGAGGAATGGTTTGAATTGATGTACCAGCACTCTATTTTGATTCTCCACCGACACAAGCTGGTGGCTATCCGATCATCGGTAGGCGAGACAGAAGAAGCCGCTGCAGTTTACATTGAATGTGGACTAGCCGCGGAGAGAATCTGTCAACTGTATAAAAAGCTCTATACTGACCATAGACTAAACGACACCTGGGGGGCTTTACATGTTCTCTTTCTAGGAGGCATTACTTTTCTGTACTGTCTTTGGATGAGCCCCAAAGCCCGCGCCACATTCAGGCTGGACAGAATTTCTTCCACATGTTCCTCCTGCATGATGTTATTTGCCGTTATGGCTGAGCGCTGGAAGGCCGCTGAGCCCTATCGCGAGTGCTTTGACGTACTGTCAAGCTCTACGCAAGCCATGATGGTCGATTCTCTTACTACCATGGGCCCGCCGTCTCCTAGCATGCCTCTACTGCTTACTTCGCCTCAAGGTCAGCTCCCAGACTTTCTATCTTCCATCGCGGAGATTGGCATGTGCTCTTCGGTTGAAGCTCTACTTTCCGGTATGATTGAATAGACATTCGTTGAAGAACTCCTGTGGAATGCAATTCCTATAAGCCTATTCGATATCCAAATACAGCCGACACACTCAATGTCAATGCCTGTTCCTCTATACAACTTTGTTGCAGCCGTTGTACAAGAGGAGCACATCTTTGACGTCTGTCACGTAGTCCCTGGCTGCAGCACTACTTTCAAATTGTTGAGAGCTTGGGTCTGTATACTGGATCTGTCAGGTCCTACCCGCGTATCATTGTTTTTGATGAGCATTCTGTGTGTGCAGCGATAGCCTACTTAGCGAGAGTGTTTGGCCTAGTGTTTATTCCCAGGGAGTCTGAGGGGAAGTCGAGCCTATTGTAGACGGTAGCTGGAGAAAGAGAGGGATGGGGTCCCGGTGTCATGGAGAACTGAACAATCTGGCGAGTCACGGTCGGGGGACGAATCGCGGAGTCGAATTAGATTATCTGGCTTGATCTGCGCCTTTGAGATATGTTTCATGTACTTGTCCACTAGTGTATAGAAACGATGGCTGGCACGGCTTTTCCCAACGAACGGCTCGAACCGATTCGATCGGAACTCATCCGATCAGGCTAATTCTGGGGTTCGACGCGGTCAACATTGGTACCTTCACCACATCGCGGTCCACATCCAATATTATTGTGACCCCCCCACCTTCTATCATCGAGAGTTATATATAGAAAGAGCCAAAATAGTTCTGTGCTTCTCTAGGCCTATTACGCGATGGAATCTGCACTCGAAGCCTCGGCGGCCGAATTCGCCCTGCGCCACCCTGAATCCCAGCGACTGCATCGTGAGTCGCTGAACAGCATGCCAGGCGGGAATACCCGAACCTTGCTGCATACTTCGCCTTTCCCTATATTTATGAAAAAGGGCCAGGGCTGTGAGCTGTGGGACGAAGATGGCAACAAGTACATCGTTTCACAGTGCCCGTGAGAAAGCAAGCGATCTGACCCCGCTCTAGGTACTTCGACTTCGTCGGCGAAATGTCCGCTGGGCTCTTCGGGCACTCAAATCCTACAATCCAAGCTGCATTAGAATCGACTATTCGGAATATTGGATTGAGCCTTGGGGCAACCAATGTCCACGAACACCGCTATGCGTCGTTGCTGTGTGAGCGATTTGGTCTTGAGCGCATCCGCTTCACGAATTCCGGAACAGAAGCCAATCTGCACTGCCTTGCCGTTGCCCGGCGATTTACCGGCCGTCGAAAGGTTATGGTCTTCCGTGGAGGCTATCATGGGAGTGTCCTCTCATTTGGGGACGGGGTGGCACCCAACAATGTCGACCAGGCGGAGTGGGTGCTGGTTCAATATAATGATCCAGCAGCTGTGAAAGCTGCCTTTGCGGAGCATAACGACCTCGCCGCTGTTATTTTTGAGGGAGTTCAGGGATCAGCTGGCTACATTCCTGCTTCGGACGAGTTTCTTCAGACAATTCGGTCAGAGAGTGCGAGTGCAGGCACGCTCATGATCATGGACGAGGTGATGACTTCTCGCTTGGCACTAGGAGGAGCGAAAAGCGTTTTAGGAATCAACCCAGACCTCATGACGATGGGTAAGTACCTCGGAGGAGGCATGCCATTTGGAGCCTTTGGAGGCCGTGAAGAGATCATGAATGTCTATAGCCCATTGACACCAGGGGCACTGAACCATTCTGGGACCTTCCAAAATAATACACTGATGCTGACTGCGGGCTACACTGCTTTGCATGATGTCTACACCGCTGAAGCTGTGTCAAACCTCAACAAGTTAGGTGATGATTTACGAACAAGCTTGCAAGAACTATTTCAGGGCACCAAACACTGTGTCACCGGTCGAGGCTCTTTGATGTGCATTCATGCTACCACGAAGGCCTTCATTCCCGAGGAAATTACTTGCAAGGACGAAGTTACTGCGTTCGAATGCAATGATCTCAAAAGCTTATTCTGGATGGAGATGACCAATGCTGGGTTCTGGGTACAGAGCAGGGGATCGATTACATTGAATGTTGATCTGACCCCCGAAATAGTCACTGCTTTTGTCGAGGCTGTTGGAAAATATTGCCAGAAGCATAAGGACCTGATCAGCGTATGATACAGGCTCTCTCAAAGTGATTACTTCCGCGTGATTTTCTTGCGTTAGCATAGAGCTTTATCATTGGTTTCCATACATTATCGGCAATCAGTAAAGATGACCAGAGATATAATCACGAGTTGAACGAACCCCAATATGCACTCCGCGAGAGACACAACTGTGATTGATGCGGGATTTCCTTCCGTTCTGAAGGGATAATGCAAGAATCTCTAGTTAAAGCTTATTAACCGACATCTACTCGAAGTCCCATGTTCATATCTCCTATACTCAAGTCTCACCCCCGCTGGGTCTATTCTAGAGTGTTAACGGGGGATATGGGCTTTCCACGGGCAAAGAAGGCCAAGATGTTATCCATGCATTCATGGTACGCGTTCTTCCACGCCGCGTCTGTCCATGAGCCCATATGGGGCAGAACAACGCAGTTTTCAGCGGAACGGAACCAAGGACTATAAAGGTCTCATCAGTGGACAATAATTTTGTCATCGGACAGACCAGTGGCTCACTTGATATTGGGCTCATTATCAAAGACGTCAAGCCCAGCCCTAGTGATCTTGCCAGACCGAAGACCCTCAATCAAAGCCTTCTCATTGACAATGGGACCACGGCCGGTATTCACCAGGAAAACTCCATCTTTCATTTTTGCGATCTCTTCAACACCAATCAAGTCCCTTGTCGCATCGCTGAGAGGACAGTTCACGGAGATTACGTCGGAAGTAGCCAGCAGATCATCCAGCTTGGAACAGTAAGTTGCATCAAGGGCTGTTTCTTCCACGGCGGGGACTGGGGAGCGGTTGAAGTATTGGATTTTCAAACCAAAGGCTTTCGCTTTCCGTGCCACGTGCTTTTCGCTATTATGCTTTTTGTACTTCGCACGTTGGGTTTCAGCAATTCTCACCTTGCCTATTCTCCCCATACCAATGATACCGAGCGTCAGCCCGTTGGGGTCTCTCGGTGGAGCCGAGGCGTTCTTCCAACCTCCTTTGCGCACATTCATCTCCTCCCTAGTCGTATCCCTCAGGACCGCTAATATGAGGAAGATCGCAATGTCGGCCGTGGGCTCTGCTACCGCATGGAGTGTGTTAGTGACATACATCTTGTTGGCAGTGAACCAGTCGAGATCGAATTCACTGAATCCTGCATTGACACATGCCACAATTCTGCAATTCATTGCTAGAGGACCGAAGACCGGAGCATCGAAAGGAGAATATGCGCTGTTCCCCATCAGAAGAATAGCTGCATCAAAAGGTCCTGCCGTCTTGGCAGCTTCCGCAACGGCCCTGATTGCCCCATCACGATTGGAAGGTGGCTCAATCGCCTATAAATTGCATGACGATTAGTGTGAAACAATATTCAATCGGGATTTTCGTACATGAACATCAAATTTTGACTCGAAGTCGGCTAGGAATCCGGCATCCGCCCATTCGAGTTTACCAAATGTAAGGACCTTGGGCTTCGTCATGGTAGCAATTATCGCGATACCTGCAGGGCGTCTTTCCGAGATAATAAGGCCCAAATTCCTCCTCGCATGGATATATTCTGCCGATGGCCATTCATGTACTAAGCGAGGCCCGGGGAATGCTTATCAGCGGGGAAGATTGTACGGGGGAAATCCTCGAGCCCTGAGACCTCCAGGGCTGGCCGTTTGAGGCTTATCAAACCGATCGGCTTCTTCCGTACATCTGCATGTACAACTTGCTTGCATCTCGACCCCGCTCATAAAGACCCAGTAAGGTCAGCTCAAATTCATTCTGGGCCGTAGAAACGGAAATTCCCATCATCACCCAACCTGTCTCGCAATGTCACAAACAACCTCGCAGGTAGAAACAGTTCCAGCCACGCAGGAGACATCGCCAATCTTCACCAAAAACCATGCTATTCCAGTGTTTACAGACAAATATACCGAGCGAAAATGGGCAAAAGCGCACATGGCTGGAGCATTTCGCATGCTTGCGAAATTCGGTTGGAATGACGGCGCTGGTGGACATATTAGTCTCCGTGATCCAGTGCAGCCCGACTGCTTTTGGATAAGTAAGTAGATTGGATCCCCTGGGATCTTTCAGTACTAAGCCAGATTTAGATCCTTACTCCAAGCACTTTGGCAGCATAACCGTGAGCGACTTGATCCTTGTGACCGAGGAAGGGGTTGCTCTCACCCCCACAAAGTATAGGGTCAACAAAGCCGGGTTCATGATCCACTCTGCCTTGCACAAAGCGCGCCCAGATATTAATGCAGCTATTCATACCCACTCTCCGTATGGGAGGGCGTGGTCGGCATTCGGAAGACCTATCGAAATGCTGAACCAGGATTCTTGCTACTTTTACAACGACCTGGCAGTTTATGAACAGTTCGGGGCATTGTGCATGCTGCAGAGGAGGGCGAGAATATTGCAGCTTGTTTGGGTCCAACGAAGAAGAATATTATTCTCCAAAATCATGGGTAAGGAAAGCCAATTATCTTACAGTGACCAGCATCACTAATTGTTGGCAGGATCATGTCAACTGGCGCAACCATTGGGGAAGCCGTGGGGGTTTTCACTGCGTTGGAGCAGGCCTGTGAAGCACAGTTGCTTGTAGAGGCAGCGGCTGCTAATGGGATCCCCAAAAAGCTGATAGATGATGAGACTGCTCAATATACGAAGACGAACGGTGGAGGACCGGAGGTCCTGTATATGCAGTTTGTGCCAGAGTATGACATGATTCTGGAAGAGACGAACGGGAGCTTCCTGAAGTAAGGACAGCTGTGTGTAAAAGGAAATTGAGGACGGACTTCAAGTTGCAGCCACTGCAGAATCTAAATGAGCTGAAATAAGCTGAAAATGTTCTTTTTTCTGTTTTTCTTCTTCTATTTTTCTATTCTTTTATTTTTCGCTTCCTGGGCTCTTGAGGGGGCTTGCGACAAATGAAGTCTCGTCTCCTCTCAGCAGACTCCCTTCGTTATCTTTGATATCATATGGTGTTGATCTACTTGCAATAGTTTAGGGGGGCCTCAGTCAGAGAACAGAATAATTTTTTTTATAGACGTTGCTTTCACTTTGCATAGATTGGACGAATCGATGAACCCAGTCCGGTTCCCTCTTCAAACACTCAGAGCTTTGACAAAAGTCCATTAGCTCCGATAACAGAGAGATGGCTTCTTGATATCTCTTTCACAGAGGAACACCTAGACCTGTGTCAGCATATAGTTCTGTCTTACGGGGCAGCCGTTCGATATAGCTCAAGGAAACTCTACCCTGCAAGTGCCATTGTGCTCCTCAGCTCTTCTTCAAGTATCTGCACTGCACGCTCAACGCCTTTATGCCCATTATACTAGAAGATGGCCGGTAAGTTGATGTTATGCGTTTCGAGTGATCTTACTTACAGCCAATCCCCAGAGAGGAACGCGTCCCATGAAGCAAAAATCCGCGCCCAAGGCCAGAGCACGAAATATGTCAGTTCCGCGGCGGATTCCTCCATCTATCGCGATCTTGAGGCGGCCGCTTGCGATTGGTGCACATTCACCCAGAGCATCGATCGTTGCGGGGACTCCATCTAGTTGTCTTCCTCCATGGTTCGAAATGATTACCCCATTGAGCCCATATTGGATGGCTCGAAGGACATCTTCGGGTGAATATACTATGGCCGTGAGCAAAAAGTTCTCCATATCATCACGTTTAGTTCAGCTTACTTCCTTTCAGCCAGATCTCTAACTTCGTGTTTTCTTTTACCCAAGGAATACAACTTGCCCATGAGTTGCTCGCATCCCGGCCAGGGTGATGGTGTGAGCTGTTGGCCCCCGCGGGTAAATTGGCGAGCGATAGATGGTCGGGAAGCTTAAAATGATTCCTCTTCTCGCCCACGCGGTTTCCTAATACCGGTGCATCGACTGTGATAAAAAGTGCTTTATAGCCAGCTTCTGTATGTTCACAGGTTAGAATGTGCCACTGCGCACTCCCTACGAAAAAAAAGTCCTTACTCTCTGCTCGTTTTATCCAATTCAATGTCATGCTGCGATCCTTGAAAATACTCAGCTGAAATGCATACGGGTTGTTTGAATTCCCTCGCTCCGAGATAACATCTTCCAGCGACACAGTGGAATAAGTGGATAATCCCATTGGGATATTGAAAGCAGCAGCTGCCCGCGACGTTGCTTTTTCCCCGTCTGGGTGAGCTAAACAGTGCATTGCAGCAGGCGAGAATCCGAATGGCAATGACACCTTGGTGCCGCAAAAGACTGTCGAAGTATCGACGTTGGCGACATCTGTCAGAATGCGTGGTCGGATCTTGAACTTGTCAAAGGCAAGCGAATTATCGCGGACCCTGAAGCCACCCCTGATCAGCTTGATTTCTCGTCAGTCGATGCATTGTCTGGTCCTTACGTGATTAGATCGCCGGCGCCCTCATTGAAATACTCTGACTGTTGTCAGCTTCCATGGTGTGACTTCGACACTGCACCTCTCGAATGGTGTACCTCTGACTTGCTTGGGAAGCTTGGCTGACCCTGCCTCTTCAAGCTCCGCTATCGTGAACACATCTGGTAGATTGTCTTGAGCCATTGTGAGATTCAGCACGAGTTACACCACAGGCCCGAAGCTACAGGAGGCAAATAGGTTATCGATATGCTGAAGATGAAAAGGAGGGAACATAATAAATGCCAGGGTGTAATCAGCGAGCAACAACCTATAGCCCGTTATCGCGATATCTGCCAGACACGGAAAATGTGCTGCGAGGCATAGCGGGCTCGGGCCACGCCGCACGGCCGATCGGCTCTTCCCACTGCGATCGGGGAATTCGACGCAAAGCCAAACTATATCAGGATTTTCTTGGCCTTTCCGGATCATGTATCTTGTTTGAGCATTTGCTGCTTATATATGCCATCGAATCTCCTGGCTTCATGTTCTCATGGCTACTAGTATCTGTCTCACCTTGAAAATGCTACGCTACAGCTCGTCCACTGGCACTGATATGATGCTTTCCTCTGAGGCTGTTGCTCATCAATCCTCCATACCAATGAACCTTTGCTTGGCCTCAAGCTATGTTTTGCAAACGAAATTTGTCGTTTCCCGCAGATTGAACAAGCAGGAGTGGAAATTTCCGTACGACAATCCAGTGTGATACAATGGTTCACGGCTGGGAATGGATGGAGGCGCTGGTGCGAGCTCAGCCGCAAACCCGGCCGTATCTGTCTACTAGTAGTAGAATGTCCCTTTTAGTTGAGTTGGTAGCACGACTTGGGAGCTTAGTTGAGAATGTACAGAGAACTGGCTCTAATTCTAGCATCTGTCTTACCTATTTTCCTTAGATGGGAGATATATCTGTAGCGTTATATCCTATTTAGGGGATGTTTTTTGAGTAGATATAGGTGTTTGATTGTAGACCATGGTATGCATTTGAGTGTCCGGATGGCAGGGGGATCATACTGTTGTTCTCGAGGCCCGGAGATATTTCTAAACACACTGCTCCCACCGGCATCACGTGCCTATAGTGGGGCATGTCAATAAATTTAGTATCAGAGCAGGGAGTCGTACACAAAATGGGCCGCATAACAGGTGGCATTTGCTGCATGGCGAATACCAATTGAACCCTATTTACATTTTGTCAATAGTTCTTGAGGGCCTACCCGAGCTTGTTTCTTCGGATGAGCTGGTTCTTAGAGGTGGCAAAGAAAAGGTTCTAATTAATACAGTCCCGCTAGCAGTACGTGGCAAGAGCTTAAAATAGCACGATGAAGGAAGATAAGAGACATAAACGAAGCCCCAATAAGAGCCAATTGTATTTACTCACATAATATTACCAGTATGCGTTGATTGCTAGTGATTGATTGAACTCGGCGAACATGATTGTATCATTCAAGTGAAGTTACGTAGTATGCCAAGCCTAGTAATCCCAAACACTCGGACCCTGCCAAACGCACTGTGACAAATGTAATATAACCCGGAGCCCTAAAGATGAGCTTGTTCATACCAGAATTAAAAGGGGGCTAAGCAGTACGAACGCTGTGTGGAGACGCAGGTCTCGGGGCCGGGAGAAAACTCCCCCGGAGTCTCGAAGTGGCCTTTTGCCTTTTGTGTACTTCTCTGGGGTTCCGCTCCTCACCTCACCTCTCTATCCTCATTCCCCTTCATCTCCCCCTCTTTCTATTTCTTTCGGGGTCTTGCCTTCGGGCTTGTACATTTTTTTTTTCTGGGTGTGCGGATTGTCCAGTTCATATCGTTCCGCTCTCTTCTGCGGAATAGTCTCCGGGCATCTCAACACCCCATTTATCGTTATCCAGTGGCTATTGGTAAGTGAAGGTTTACCTCTGTTCTATCTCTTCGATATGCTCAATTCCTATCGGTCATTTGTTTTGCTTTTCTTCTTTTAGCTAATTTTCCCTGCCACTGAAAGATTGGCTTTCCGTGGGTTTCTCGTTAGTTTTCGTCTTGCTTCCACTTCGTAAACCCATCGCGCATATTCGTCATGTCTGCTGAAACATCGACTGCCAATGGCGGCGCGTCAAGCTCCCTTGCCGCCAAGCTTGCGGCTCAACACGATGCCCACAATCCCACTGTGGAGGAGGTAGTGGATGAAGAAGACCTCAAGCATCCGCCCCCATCTGCCAACTCTCCGTCTGTCTCTGCCCTCGAGTCCGCCACGCCCGAAGAGTCCGGCAGCTCTGCCTCCGTGCCTAAGCCCGCCACCAAGAGATCGCCAGCTTTCGATGTGCAATCGGAGGAGCTGTTCCCAGCGCTGGGTAGCGGACCTAAGCCCGCTGCCCCCGCTGCAGCCACATGGGGAGCGAAGAAGCCTTCAGCGGCCGCAGGTGTCGCCAATGGCCAGCCCGCCAAGTCATTGGGTATGTGGATCAAGAATATTATAGGAGGGGATAAGGTTTCGCTGACTTGGACACAGAAATCCCCCCGCGTCATGTCGCTCCCAGGAAAGCACATGGAGCAACTCCGACTCGTCCCCTCCCAGATGCAGCCTCGTGGCCAACTGAAGAAGCCGCTCAAAGATATTCTCCGCGATATTTCTCGCAAGTCCAAGGCCAACGTGGAAATGCGCGGTGGCCCCGGTGGATCTGTGATTTTCGAAGGAAAGGGCTCTGTCGAGTCTGTCCGCCAGGCTCTCAGAGAGGTTGCCCAGCAGGTTGGATCCAAGGTGAGTTGACAAACCATAATAGAATTGCATCGATTGGGCTTTCTCACTTACCCCTCACGTACCAGCAATCTGTCCGTGTTCCTATTCCTGCCTCCGCTCGTCCCCACATTATTGGTCGTCAAGGTGCGGTTGTCCAAGACCTCCAAAACCGCACCGGCGCTCGCGTCCAAGTTCCCCGGGTTGACGATAACGCGGCTGGCGACGACGACGAGAATGACACCATCGACGTTCTGATTGAAGGTGACGCGGTGGCGGCCGAGATGGCACGCCGAGAGATCGAAGCTATCGTGAAGGAGCGCAGCTCAGGAATGAACTTCAGACTCAAGACAATTCCTCCAGAGTTCTTCCCCTTCCTTGCTGGTCCTCACGATTCGGCTCTGCGGGAGATTGAGGAGCGTACCAAGGCCCAGGTTCATGTGCCAAGATACGATACTTGGACTACCCAGCCCCCTCCCCAGGAAGCTCACCCCGGCCAGGTGCAATTTGTTGCAGTTCCCGACAAGCACATTGTTATCTCTGGAGAGCGGGCCGCAGCTCAGGAAGCTCGCGCGGAGATTGAGAGGCTGGCAGCCGAGCTGCAACAGAAGTTGACTCTTCGCCAGTTGGCAATCAACCGCGGTCAGCACCAGTTTATTCTTGGAAGCGAAGCCGATGCTTTGCACGAGTTCCTAGCCCGGACTGGCTGTGCAATTGTCCTTCCTCCCCATCGGATGACAGCGAGTTCTTGACCATCACTGGTCCTGTGGACCAGATCGAGGCCGGTGTTAACCATGCGATGGAACTTGCTACTAGCATGCAGATGGCAAGCATTGACTTGTCCCGCCAACACGCCGCTGGTCCTGCTGGCCCACACGCCCACGCGCGTGCTTTGACTCAGTATCTCCAGCGCCGCCAGATCATCCAGCAGCTGGAGGCGGCCTACGATGCTCGCATTGCTCTTCCCCGAGCCTCGATGGACCTGTCACTTGGGAGGTGTACTCGCGCGATGGAAAGAACACTATCCGCGCCCGCTCAGACATTATGAACCTTATCCAAGCCCATCCCCCATCTCGTCTCCGTCATATTCCCGTGGACCCGTACTTCCACCCTTACCTGCGTTCTCGCAGTGCCAGTAAGCTCCAGGGTGATTACGGCGTACACCTTCTGGTCCCAGATGACATCGACAGCCCTGAAGTTGTGCTTGTGTACGAGGGTCCCTCCGCTTCTGCTGCCAACTTTGAGGTCCCCAGACAGCGCCCCTCCCCGGCGGATGTTGCTGCCTTCGAAAAGTCCTTGCAGGCGGCTCAGGAGTACTTGCTGAGTGCCCTTGGAGACCAGCTCGACATTGTCGCCAAGACTGTCTCGATTCCTGCGAAATACCAGGAGAAGGCACGAAAGTTCATCATCCGGGAGCAGGATGTCAAGGGCGCTGACAGCATTCCTGTGCGTGCGATCATCGGAGAACCTAAGGGCACTCAGGTTGACGTTGCTCTTCGCGGTCCTTCTGGCCTGGTGGCCGAGCTTGCTGCTAAGCTTGAAGCCTTCGTTGTCGAGCAGGAGAAGGATGACCTGGAGCGTGGATACACCGTCAGCTTCGACTTCCCTCAGAAGTATGCCAACTTCCTCATTGGCAAGCGCGGTGAAAACATCAACAAGCTGCGTGAAGAGTTCGATGTCGACATCAAGGTTGAAAATGGCAAGGTGGAGGTCAAGGGCCCCAAGGCCAAGGCCGATGCCACTCGCATGCGCATCATCAACCTGGGCAAGAAGCTCGAGGATGAGACTACTCACATTCTCAAGATCCCCGCCCAGTACCACCGTGAGCTGATCGGCCAGCGAGGCAACCAGGTCAACCGTCTGCAGGACCGTTACAATGTCCGAGTGCAGTTCCCTCGTGCCACTGTCATTGCGGATGACCAATCTGTCACTGAGAATGGCAGTGACGCTGGCGGCTCGCGTGCCCGCCCTCAGCAGGCCGTTGACGAGGTTCTCGTCAAGGGCCCTAGCAAGGGGGCTGACTCTGCCCGCGATGAGATTCTCAGTCTCCTCCAATGGGTCACTGACCATTCCCACACCGCTACGGTTTCTGTGGCCCAGAGCCAGGTTGCTTCCCTAATTGGTCAACGTGGCCGTGAGATGGACAAGCTTCGTGCCGATACTGGGGCTCAGATTGATGTTCCCAGTGCAAACGATGCACCGGACGCATCTGGCCGTGTCCAGATTCGCGTCAAGGGTACTAAGCAGCAGGTGGCGGAGGCCAAGAAGATCCTGCAGCAACGGGCCTCCGAGTTCGATGCTACTGTCACTAAATCTATCGAAGTTGACAAGAAGTATCACAAGGCCCTTATTGGTGGCGGCGGTATGATTTTTCATCAATCCGACTAACTGTCTTTTCCTTTTGCTGATTCAATTCTAGGTGCAAACATTCGCAAGATTGTCGTTGACGCTGGTGGTCCTAACGATGGCAGTGCTGCTCGCATCGTCCGCTTCCCACGCCCCGAGAGCACTGAATCTACGATTCGCCTGGAGGGCAACGGGCAGATCGTGGATAACATCATTGCGGCTATTCAAGAATTTGTCAAGGAACGGGAAGACCAAGTTACCGAGGCTCTGGATGTCCCTACTGCCCAACACCGGCTTCTCATCGGTCGCGGCGGTGAGACCCGTCGTGGGATCGAGTCCAAGTTCAACGTGACGTTGGATATTCCCAAGCAGGGCTCCGGCCGCACCGATGTGAAGCTCAAGGGCCCTAGCGGAGCCGTGGCCGAGGCGAAGGAGCACATCCAGGGTTTATTGAAGCAGCAGCATGCAGAGACCGTTTTTGTGCCTACTCACCTGCACCACGCTGTTGCTGACAACGGCGCTTTCTTCCGTCGCCTCCGCAGTGACCACCAGGTCACCGTTGACCACGCTGGCAAGGCCGTTCCCAGCAATGCCGTTGCCGAGGAGACTCGCAGCGGCTCCAACGGAACCGCTCTTCCCTTGATCACCGACGACCCTAGCGAGTCAGCGGATGCTCATTCTTGGAACGTGATCGACAATAGCAATGCCGCTAACGCTGACACTACGCCTTTCCCCTGGGTGCTCACTGGCTCGCCAGAGAACGTTGCCAAGGCTCGTGCTGCGATCGAGAAGGCCATCGCAGCTGCCTCACAGCAGTCTGCCACGGGCTACTTGATCCTGCCCGACCCCAAGACCTACCGTTTCGTGGTCGGCCAGGGCGGTAGCCAGATCAACGCGATTCGCAAAAAGACTGGATGCCGCATCAATGTGCCCAAGGATCAGGCGCGTGGCGAGGCCATTGAGATCCGAGGCAGCTCTGCCGGTCTGGAAGAAGCCAAGAACATGATTCTGGAGGCGGTGCAGAACGGGTTGAACGGCTCTTCCCGGTGATAGGCTTTTGCCCCTGGCTTTTCCTTCGGTTCTTTGGCTCGTTTTGCTTTTCCTTTTCTAATTTTTCCTTTTCCTTTTATTTTGTTTTGAATATCTGGTCTGTTTAGGCGAAGGCGGACAACAGCACATATTACACCTGGGCATATACACCGTCTCTCCCGCTAGCGAGGAGCAGGGGCATTCTTGTGTTTACTTGTGATTTTGAGCCATATGAGCATGGTTTGTATAGCTTTTCCCGTTTCTAAAAGAATGATTCTCTTCTCTGTAGCTTCTCTGTAGCTCATCTCCGAGATCCGTATTCGAGAATCGACCACCAACACACCGAATTTATATTAGGTGGGGGCACATTTAGCTCTTGATTAGATTAAGCATAAGCCACGTGGTGGTGGCGTTGGCTCCTCCGGCCAGTGACATCCGAGTCTCGACATGCCAATAATTTCCCTGAAACAGCCACCACATCGCACGTACACCGTGATGTCATCCGTGGCAGCATGTACTGCTGGGTATATGAATGGCGATTGTGCTAGGTAGTGACCTCACTTTCCACCTTTCCACAACAGACCTACCTCTTTCAAGGCCTTCGAACATACTATCCAGTTCCACCAAACCCCAATATATCCCAATATATCCCAGTACCCTCAGCCAACGCACCCGATGCCCGTCAACGGCTCTCAAGACTCCGGTGTCACTGGTGCTGCCAAATTCGTCACATCAACGCTTGGCAACACCGTGGGCGGCGTCGGCCGAACTGTCGGCGGCGTGACCGGCGCAGCTACCCGCGGCGTGGGCGACACGATCAGCGGCGCCACAGGAAGCGCTGGCAGGCCCGTCGGGGATGCGCTGAACAGCGCGGGAACCGGGCTGGAAGATGGGACGAAACGGGTGGCCCATGGAGTTGAGAATGCTGGACAGTGGAAGTAGGTGGATGGGATAGGATCTTGTGTTGGCGTGAAGGAGGGTGTTATGATTTATTGGAAGATCATTCAAGAAGAACAGAGGACAACATCATGCAGATGCTATGCCAAGCGTTAGGCATGTTCAGTGGGGATATAGTTCTCGAGCGAGAAGCGTGCTACTAGTTCGGCACCTCCGATGGATCAAATTCAAGCTTCTAGTGACCGAGCAGAATTCGGAATTGCTTGTACTCTCTCTTTCATCTATGTCTCTGTCTCTGTCTATCTCTCTATCTCTATACTATCTATACATCACCAACCAAGAGAGCTAGCCACGTAGCAGGTTCGCAAATCAACTTGCTGTTGCATGCCTCCGGTCCATCTGCAACCCCATAGCCATGAATGCAACGAAGCTTCCCGTGGTCATCAACACAGGACCCCAGAACGCGGGTACAAACTGCCCCATAAGAAGATATCGTCGCATGGACCAGTACCGGAAGAACCCATAGCCAAGAGACCACACGCCGAGCAACTGGCACACGTGCGCCATAGAAATCTGGTTCTGGAGGCCACTGGGTGCCTGGCTCTCAGCAGCTGAGGGCGCAGCCGCAGACGTCTTGCCCTGGGCTGGACCATGTCTGATAGGGCCGGGTTGAACATGTTGATTAGGCAGCAGAGGGCCCGGGGACCCCAGTCCCAATTTTTGATTCAAGACACGGTCAATGGCATCAAGGCGGTCCAGAGCGACCGCCATAGCGGCGAACCCGAGGCCTGCGCGGGTCCATGAGAGAAAAGTGCGCTCGTTGGCATGGTGGTCGCGCTGCTGGGAGCCGTTGTTGGTGATCCGCGCTGGAATGAGACGACGGATTAGGGAGGCCATTTTCCGCGCAGGTCGGCGCAGGTCGAAGATGACCAGGTACAGGAACTCAGCCGCGTCTCTAAAGGTGGGGGGGTTGGGGGGAAATCGGGGAGTGTTATTTTCTAACAAATTTGTGAAGTCCAGGTCGCCGATGCTTCCCGAGGGAGCATTTCTGGATTCTGCACGGCTTTTCCCACGTGGCCGCGCGTCTGGTTTGTTGATGCTGGATTTTCCACCCTTCTACATCTACCGGGACTATGCTATATCAGAATGGCGGCCCTGGCTACCGATTTATTACGTATCAAAGGGGTCTCCTCAGTCAAATATGGCACGCTAATCTTAGTGTGGCGGTCCAGATATCCATTATGACGTCGCACTCTGCTGTTGTTGCGCGAACGCGGAAATAACGAGATGTGATTGGCTGGTTTGACCCACGGGCACTCTATGTCTCCCCCGACTCTCTTTGGAGTAGGTTAATCTGAACCACTTGGTTTGTATCTTTCAGGCGTCGCCGAACACTTCCCTGGACATTTACATCAGACAGATGGTTGCTATTGACCTCTATCGGCGACCGATTTTGGCCCCCGGTCTCTACTCGGACGAGAAATCAGTACTCGGGCGAGAAAGCCTTTCTCTCGGGCGAAAGACAGTGGCATGATCTGGACCGTAAGGGTATTACCATCTCAATATTACGCCATAGGCACGGGGGAATTCATACACTGGACACTACCGGAGGCTGCATATGAGCTTTTCTTCGTAGGGATCGGTGAAGCCCGTATTGCTACGGCCTCGGAATGGGGAATAGGGGTACGACTGAAAGAGGTCAATACTACTATGGATGCACTATACAGCATCTTCAATGGTAGCGGTTGTCGCCGAACTAATCACCGAAGAGCCCCGGGGCTCCGCGTGTTGATGTCCATGTGGGCGTGCTAACTACGAAGATAGTAATGTAGTCGCCGACCGTTGCAGGCCCCCCCCGCGGGCCCTCCGCGCCGCCGGAGACCGACTCGCAGCCTACATGAAACGGGTTGTGACAAGATCGCAGCATTCATAGGCTCATAATGCTACAGGTATTCCGAGCAACGATCTCGATAAGAATCGAGCGGGGTGGCAAATGCATTGCAGCAGTGCAAAGCAGTAAAATAGGATATACTAGTTGCTGGTTACAAAGATCAGGATGCCTTTACCACTCCAACCCATTCAGCTTCAAAGGAAGATGAAGCATCCTATGTCCGGACTCCCCAGCCTGTGGCAGATGCCCGCCGCGTATATTAACCTGCAGCGACTGATGAAGCAATCGCGGCGCAGCTAGCTTCGCATCACGCTCTTCACGCATCGCAATAAACTCTTCCTCAGAAATAGCCTCACCGAGATGCTTGTTCTGCTTCTTATGATCTCCGACTGTCATCCAGGGCACGGGCGAGCCTCGAGGTTCAGGTGGGTAATCGTGGCCCGGCCAGATCTTCACTTGCTCGTCAAGGGCTAGGAGCTTCTGACCAGATCGAAAGAGGTCTCTGGCATTGCCGCCAGGGAAATCGCAGCGGGCGGTGCCGATGTCTGCATGGAACAGGGAATCTCCACAGAACACGTTATCTGTATGCCGGTAAGTATGTGTATGTTCTGGGAATGAGGTGTTTTGTCATACTTCCGATATGATAGCCAAGATGATCGGGCGTGTGGCCGGGAAGGTGGATGGCTTTAGCGGTGAGTTCGCCAATGGAAAACTCTTCGTCATCTTCAAATAGCTTGTCGAACACGACGTCGTATTCTTGCTTGTCGATGCCATACCTGCGGCTGAACAGATTCTGTACTTGTCCGATGCGCTTGCCAATTCCAATGGGTGGTTTGAATCCCTGAGCCTCAGACAGCTTCTTTTGAAGATAGGATGCTGCAGTCAAATGATCTGCGTGAGCATGTGTCTCCAGTATACGCTGGACCGTGTATCCCTTCTCTTTGATAAGTGAAAGGAGACCATCTGCTGCCTGCGTAGTGATTTCCTGGGTGGCCGGGTCATAATCCAGGACCGGATCGATAATGACAGCGGAGTGTGTAGACGGGTCTGCTACTATGTACTGCCATGTTCCAGTTTTGGCTTCAAAGACATGGTGTATTACCGGTTCGCGCGTGGCCGATGCCGTATGCAGCGCTCGGCTGCCTGGCCATCTAGGTGGAACAAGAGATTTGACAATTGGCCTTTTCGAGCATGACGGAAATTGTGAGACTTGCAGAGGCGCACTCGATGGTCGACTGGCGTAACTATGTTGTCTCTGGCTCGCAAGATTACCATGCGCTCGCCTGCTGACGATGCAAGGGATGGCCTCGATTGCTACCAGCACAGGCCCCGTCGCCACTGGTAGCCGGCTGCCGCTGATGCAAGGTCGAAGAGACAGCATTTGATAAAACTGAGAGGAGAAACAGGTTCGGTTCAAGTGTAGAGACAATCTGAAGCATGGGAGGGTTTAAGCTTAAGAATGGACCCACAGGATTTCCGAGTCATGGTCGCCGAATCGCCATCGCCGAATCGCCCACCAAGTCGGCGATTGCTGGAGCTCTTTTCGGCTTGACTGAATCAGGTTAAACTACGAGGTAAGTCTTTTTGATTGTGGCCTGTAAACTGAGTGCTGGTTGTTCATTAGGGTGGTGGTAACCCAAAAAAGCAAAAAAAAAAAAAAGTGTACTCCGTACGAAGCCGGTATTTGTAAAGGGCGACGTTACCGGCGACCACATCATCCGACACTAGAGAGAAACTGGGGATATATGGGGCTCCCATTCCGTCCTTCAACCACCTCTCTTCTCTCCTGCATCTTCTATAGTTTGTAGGACTGTAACACAGCAACCCCTAGCAGCGATGTTCTGCCGAAGAGCTACAGCCGCGCACATGCAGGCTGCCGTGCCAAGCATCAGAAATTTTGCCATGGCCTCGCCAGTCAACGCGGCTCGCAACCACAAGATCGTGGTGGTGGGCGGCGGTTCTGCAGGCCTCGCTATCAGCCACCAGCTTCTCAAATCCGGCAAATTCGCAGCACACGACATTGCCATTGTCGACCCTGCGGAATGGCACCACTATCAGCCCGGGTGGACCTTGGTGGGCGGAGGCCTCAAGGACAAGGAAGAGCTTCGCCGCCCCTTGAACCAATTGCTGGACTCCAAGCTCAAGCTCTACAGCCAAAGCGTCGACACGTTCTCTCCGGAGCAGAATTTCGTCACTCTCGCCAACGGCGATAGGCTCGGCTATGACCAGCTGATCGTTGCACCGGGTCTCACCGTGAGCCCCGGTAGCATCAAGGGCTTGCCGGAGGCTCTTGCCAACCCGGATGCGCCCGTCTCCTCGATCTTCACCTACGACAGCGTGAGCAAGGTCTTCCCCTCCATCGAGAAGCTCAAGAAGGGCTCCGCCATCTTCACCCAACCTGCCGGCGTCATCAAGTGCGCCGGCGCCCCGCAGAAGATCATGTGGCTCGCCCTGGACTACTGGAAGCGCGCGGGGCTGTATAACCCCGCCAACCCGTCCTCGTCTGCGATCAATATCAGCTTCGCGACCGGGCTCCCCGTGATGTTCGGCGTGCCCAAGTACAATGCCGCGCTGACGGCGCTGCAGAAGGAGCGCGGCGTCAACGCGTTGTTCCAGCACGACCTGGTCGCTGTCGAGGGCAACAAGGCGACGTTCGCCCTGCCGAACGGCCAGTCACCCGTGACCAAGGAATTCGACTTCCTGCACGTGGTGCCCAAGATGGGCTCCCCCCGCGTTCGTCAAGAACAGCGCTCTGGCGAACGAAGCCGGCTTCGTCGACGTTGACGAGGCGACGACCCGCCATAAGAAGTTCGCTAATGTCTGGTCGGCAGGCGATGCCTCCAGCTTGCCGACCTCCAAGACCGCCGCTGCTGTTACCTCCCAGGCGCCTGTGCTCACTCGGAACCTCCTGCAGGTTCTGGAGGGCAAGCAGCCGGACGCCGTGTATGACGGGTACACTTCTTGCCCGTTGGTGACGGAGTATGGCAAGGTTCTCCTCGCGGAGTTCAAGTATGGACCGGAGCCTAAGGAGACCTTCGGCAACTGGTTCGGCTGGGACCAGGCTACTCCCCGCCGCGCCTTCTATCATCTTAAGAAGGACTTCTTCCCCTGGGTGTACTTTAACTCCATGGTGAAGGGCAACTGGGCTGGTCCTAAGGGATGGCTCAAGTAGACCTGAAGTCTGCTTGATGATCTCCTGTGTATTTTATAGAGTTGCGGATAGAGTGATAGAAGCTCAAAATAATGTAAAGCGTGCTCGGATAACATTCAAGTTCTTCTACTGGCCGGACCCAGTCGTAATTGCAGTGGATAGTTTTCGCACTTAGGCTACTGATGCCGTAGCTTGAAAGCCAGTTCCTACGGGCCCCGCATTCCTCAAATCCGGCATAGAGAAAGGGTCTTTTAGATGCAAATTGACCGCAATCTTATCAGATCTCAAACCACTTGGATCGGCAATTTACCCCGGTAAATAGAGATCAGGCCGGGTGAGCCCAACGGGATATCAATCTTGTTCTTTTGTTCGAAGATCAGTTGATAACCGACATCGTATGTGCCCCCCCACAGCAACGGGAAAAGTTGCCCAAAGAAGCATTTCATTCCCCACCTCCGAAACAGGCATTTTTTTTTCGTTCTCATGGAACCTTCGCAGGGGCAGACGCATGTGATCCACTCACCGCTGGCGCAGATAGGAAAGCTTCCTTGTCGGGCAAACCATGGATGCTCTTTCTGCCAGAGATCGACTCACTATGAAGCACAATCACAAACTACAGCCTGACGCAGTGAGGAAAAACAAAAGAAGTAAGAAATGTTGAAAGCGATCTTGAAAGTTCTGGCAAAAATAACAACAGAGACCGTAGATAACCCAAGAAATAATAGTATGATTATGCCCCGCTTGGGCAACCCTTGCTCTTTTAGTCCATTTCCTCTTCATCCGCTTCTCCAACCCAGTCCCTTTGATTATGCATGGCCACGTCAGTCCACGACCCCTTCTAATTTGCAGACTGCTGGGCCTGCATGTAGTTGTAGGCGCCATAGGCGATAGCACCACCAATCAGGATGACAGCGTACAGACCGACGCCAAAGCCGCCGGAGGATGAGGAGCCGGAGGCAGAGGAAGCGGGGGCAGCGTGGGACTTGGGCGCGGGATCGCCGGGCTATCGCACAGTTAGCACTTGGTATTCGGGGGCCACGAACGAATTTGCGACATGATTCGGATCCCATAGTACTCCATGCGGTATCCCGTGCGGGCATAGAGAGTTGCCATGGGATACGATATATCATGCATCAGTAGGAGACGTACCATGCGCTTCACGGTGCCGACAAGCAGACCGTCGAGGATCTCGCGGGCCTCGTCAGAGTGGCCGACATCCTCGAAAGCCTCGGTGCCGTCCTGGCCGGCGACATCGAGGAGGACCTCCTCACCACCACTGCGGACAATGTGTTAGCAGCTAGATTCTGAGGCTCGCTGATTTCTGAGTGGATCCGATCGCGGGTCCGGGCGACTGGTACGCTTTCGCGACAGGAGGACGTTCCCCACGCGAACGTGACAGCCGGGGCGAGAGGCCGGGAACCGGGAGGAGCAAAGTATGCTGGAGAAGACAGATCCTGGGGCTTCTAGGAAATCACATACGGATGTTCGTCGACGAAGCTAGTACAGTCGTAGACCTTGTCGTGGATGACCATGTACAGGTCCTTCTTGGTGGCGTGTTCGCTAACCTCCTTGAGGGTGAATTCCTTAGAGTCGGACATAATGGGCGGCTGTAGAGGTCTGAGGGAGGCCTTGCTAGATCAGCGGAGGGTCTTGGGGGCGCGGAGTCCGAGAGGGGAACGAGCAGGGGGAATTAGGTAGTTCCGAGAGCAAACGGGAAATCAACAATAGGGGGAGGGGGAGATTGAGGCGGGACGAACAGGGGTACTCACAGAGAACAAGGGACGAGAGAAAGAGAACTTATGTGCAAAGGGACCCAGAGATGAGAAAGGAAGCAATCAACAGGTGGTCGATTCGGGTGCAGGGCGGTCTATCTGGTGGGCCCTGAAGATTATTATCCTGCGATTGTGATTTACCAGATCCGATGCCGCTCCCAAACATTGGGGCTACCGCTGCTACTGCTACTGCTACTGCTACTGCTACTGCCAGTGGCGATGCGGGTACTGTCCCTCCTTTGCTAGCCTTCATCTAAATGCCATTGTATAGAACGTCCTCGGCCACCAGGGTCGGACATGGTTGGGGATCCGCGAATCAGCGGCTGCTTATTGAGGGGGGGGGGGTGGTACAAAGCGAGCCTTGGCGGGTTCGGCGGATTGGCACAATTCCTCGCACGATAGAACGCGGTAGAAACTGCGTAAATAACCATAGGCAAAGTGAGTCATGGGTGAATTCGGGCTTCTACGAGTCGTGTTGACGGGCTATTGCTATCCCCAATGGCCTGCATAACCGGTGCCCTCGGTTGTAAGCTTGTGCGGGTGCCAACCCCGGCTTCCGCTGCGGAATAAGTGGGACGTGTCCCTCGAGCACGTATTCCGCGGTTGCTACGTAAAGGCCATTGGCCTAGGTTCTGGGATCTTGTGTCTATTCAACGTGCCGGCGTTCATACAGCTTCACATGCACACCGTTTCTCTATCGTGGCTATCGTGACATGCAGAAAGGGGATATCCAAAAAAAAAGAAAAGAAAAGAAAAAGACAAAGAGAAAGAAAAAAAAAGTAAAACATCCAAGAACAGGAGAGGGGAAATAAAAGCCAATAAAACGCATGAAAAGCCAAATCGCTCATTTCGCTGGAACCCGCTCATAAAACACAATGTACGCCTGGTCATTTTGCAGCCGGTCACGCCCACGCAGAGACCGGGGGTCGAAGTCCGTCACTCGATCATCGTCAAATTTACGCCAGCATTGGCGCTGGGCATCTCGGATCAGGGAAATGTAATGGCCGCTCCCCATAGAAGATCCGATATGCCGGAGGACCGCAAAGGAGTCGTAGGTGAAGGGTGGTTCCGTGGCACCGATCGAGGGTGCCGGTGCCGCAGCATCGGGGGCCGACGGAGGATTGGGGTAAGATATCACGAACTCATCCAAGAGTAGACCATGGAGAGGGAACTCGATAGGCGTATGGATCTTCCGAGCGCTTTGGGTTTTGGAGGCGGAGAAGCGCTTGAAATGGACCACCAAGATCTGAGGCGCACGGGTGATCATGATCCGCTTGGTGGCCATGCGCTTGCACTTGCAATACGGGCACTTCCAGACTTCATCGCCGCTCAACATTTCCTCTTGACAGTAGCTTCGGAGACAGCTATAGATGTCGGCCGTTCCACTCGGGGGGAATTTCAACACTAATACTGTAGAACGCTTCGTAGGTTGTCGAGGTCTGCTGGCAGGTCGTGCAGCGAAGCTGGCTGGCATGCTGGCCGGCAAAAAGAGGAAATGAACGACTCCTCGCGATGAGAGTATCGATCCCACTCAATCTTGGAAACCTGAGGAATCGGGGTCCGCTCTCGCTGGACTTCCTGGGCGAACGTCAACGGTTTCAGCGGGGTGCGCTTCCAATTGATATTTAAATCTTCGTGAAGGCAATCCACGACAAAATCGAAAAACTCCTTAGCGTCTTGCTGCCGGTCAATGGACCATTCGCGGTTTAGTCGACCGCAGAAGTTGCGGAACGAGGTAGGCATGATCACTTCCACATCGTTTTTCCACATCGACCGGATCAGATTGGCATACAGCCCAGGCATGACCCCCTGGGAGCCTTTCCAATTCTTCTGAACGTAGTAGCGGAATCGATCATCGATGAAGAATTTGCTCATGGTGACCGTCGCACTGAGACATTGAATGGTAGAATTCATGTAACAGGTGACACCGAAGTTATGGAGACCGGTCCGTGGCAGCTTGAGTCGACTAAGGGACGAGCTGGGTGTGTACAGCGGAGCGCGATTCGCCGAATTCTGTCGCTGCACATGTGGCTGAACGAACCGTCCGTCCGATACCCCACTGTAGCTGGGCCGAGGAGCTGCCGGTGGCGGCCGCGAGGGGACTACAGGAACAGATGCTGCATAATTAGGGGGAAGTGGAGGAACTGGGGGAGGCTTTTGAGGCTGTGGGGGTTGTGGGGGCTGTGGTTGCACCATAGATTGCTGAACGTGATGCTGGTCAGGAACGTGTCTTAAAAAGTCATCATAGCGGCGAACAATCTGAGCCATGGAGGGATCGTGCTGAGAATCAGTTGAATCTTCCTGTGGTTCTTCCGTGAGCGGTTCCTCCTCAAGATATGTGCTCGTATCAATCTCCTCTTCCTTTGATCTTTCAAGCCATGCAGCGAGTTCTTCGGAGTTTAAGGGGGTGTACTCGCGGAGTCTTCGCTTGCGGACCTCCAAGCTGGAGTTGGCACTGGCGATAGTAGGGACACGGCCAAGGGGACGCCCTGGACGAGCAACGGGCCTTCTGCTCTGGATGGATCCTATCACGGCTGCCGTCGCAGAGGTGGCAAGCGATTGCGCTCCTAGAATGTCGACCCAGGCATCCAACCCACCAATCAGGAGGGCGGGGGGATGCCCAGCTTTGAGCGGCTTGTATTCATTGAACTCATAAAGGGTGTCATGAAGGGCTCTCAAATGCGGCGCCGACGTGCTCACGGGCGACCCTGCGAGATAGCTGTTGGAAGCAGTGTTTTGGTCGTAGTAGACAACAAGATCAAACTCGTTCCGCCGCTCGAACAGCCCTTGCTCGTATTCGGGAGACATGAAGAGCCTCTCCTCCAGTTCTTCGGCTGACACATTCTCCTTCAAAACTACTGGCTCGATACAAATGATAGATTTGGCGTATATGTGACCGCTGTCAAACTCGTTCCGGGGCCGCACATCAACCACGAGGACATTGAATTTGCGCAAATAGTCGACAAGGTCATGCGCAGTGACGGTCGAGGTAAATGGCAGATCGGGAGAATTGCTCCTGGATTCTCGAGCAGAGTTTGTACCGTTGGGTGTTGTTGATTGATAGGGGTTGTGGATACCACGACTTGGGCTGCCCCTCGGCGAGTTTGTAAAATGAGAATACCGTGGGTTGACTGGTCGCGTGCTCTCCGTCGATGTTCGAGGGGGGTTTAGCGGGGGTTGTGAGGTCATGCTGTAGATTGGACTGTAAGTGGGATCGGGAGCCCGGGGGAGAGAGGATACGAGGGGAAGCTTTGGGGGTGGCTTCGGGACCGATGGAGATCCCATACTTCGTGGCCCAACTGGCCGACGAGGAGGAGATGCTAAGGGGGAGCTGTAACTATGCATAGGAGTATTGGAGGTGTAGGTTGTCGAGGCCTGCAGAGCAGGTGCGGATGGAATATATGTTCTTGAGCCTCCACCATTCTCGAGCGGTGGTGATGCTTTTAATTTGGCAAAGCGTTGGGCTAGAACATCTTCAGTCGAGTTTTGAATACGATTCGAAGTCGGCTGAGGATTCGAGATGCACTGAAACTGCGTGGGACTCGGCATCCTCATAGAGTTCTTTCCGGGTTCCCGGTTTTCCCTCCCACTTCGAGGAGGACTAGAAACTTGTGAAGTGGGAGAAGTAGACGCGGAAGATGATGTGGGCTGTATGTTGCTTTTGCGGTTGTCTTCCATGATATCGAGCTTAACCATGTTCATTGTACCTTGTTTTGAGCTAACCGCTCGCATAAGCATTTTGAAATCATTGTACCAGACCGGCTGGTTTGCATATGTTTCGTAGTCCGGATGGTGGGGGATGGTATTGACTGTGATCTCCGAAGCACACAGGTATTGCACATAAGCTTTATCGGACATGTCGCTATCCACAAGGAGCTTCGATTGTTCGAGAGCGTCCGATGCTGTTCGTAATAGTTCGTCGAGCTGCGCATTCTGTTTAGTATAGGCCCTACCACAAGTTCCCCATGGATGATTATAACGACTTACCGAGGCAGAGTTCTGAACACTCAACAAGGTAGCCTGATCTTGCAGGTCTTTGATGTGTGGATATCTGGGCCGCTGGGGGAACGAACCATTCTGGAGTGAGCTGAGTGCGAAGGCTGCACTGGTGGATTCCATGTTGCCCCCCACCGAGTAAGGACGGCTGTCCTTCCACGGTGGTTTGTTCGGAGGAGAGGGTAGGGTCGCTGCATTGGGGGGCATGATCGAGGCAGCGGGGCTTGTGGAGGACCTCAGTGCATTGTCTAGAAAAGCAGAAAGGAAAACACTCGAGGGAGGGATTAGGTAGACAACAAAACGTTCTATGAAACCGCGCGGGTCTGGGGTGACAATATCCCGCTCTCACCGCCCAGCTGCGGGCTATGACGCCAGTGGCCTTAAGTCTAACCGCGTTGCCTGGAGCTCCATCTCATCCTTGAACCAGAGCCCGTCAAGCTTCCTTCTCCCCCTCGATTCGGCAGACAGCAGGCACTGCATTGTGCTATAGCCGTCGTTCAAAATGGCAGGCTGGTTCTCTTCAACTTCCCCGCTCGATGAGCAGATCGAGCGGGCGACTTCATCATCGCTGTGAGTGGCCCGCGCCCGCGCCTCATGCCCAACTCTTGCCGGGCTATCCACGGCAGAGTCCCTTGCGCAGGCAGAAATACTGAGTTTCAATTAGGGAAGATATCTCACTTAATCTGGAAATTTCCGATATGGTCCGTTCAAAAAGTGTTCAGCCTAAAGATGCTATGAAGTCCTTGAAGCGTCGGCTGGAAAATCGCAATCCGAACATTCAGCTAGCAACATTGAAGGTTCGTCGCCAGAATCAGATATCTCCCGTTGACCCAGGATATTGTTGACCGGTTACTCCGTCCATAGTTAACCGATACATGCGTCAAGAATGGCGGAACCCACTTTCTAGCGGAGATCGCCTCTCGGGAGTTCATGGATAATCTGGTGTCCTTACTCAAAGCAGAAGCGGCTCCACTCAATCCAGATGTGCAGCGCAAAGTCTTAGAACTCATCCAGAATTGGGCGATGGCAGCACAAGGGCGCATGGATTTGACTTATTTAGGAGAGACCTATCGCAAGTTACAAAATGAGGGATACCAGTTCCCTCCGAAGACGGAAATGAGTGGGTCTATGCTTGAAAGCAATGCTGTGAGTTCATTTCAAAAGACCCCTTGACCTCTATGGGGACCATGGACGACTGACTTTTTGCAAGCCACCCGAGTGGATAGACTCCGACGTATGTATGCGATGTCGGACGGCCTTCAGCTTCATGAACCGGAAACACCACTGCCGCAACTGTGGAAACGTCTTTGACCAGCAGTGTTCAAGCAAATCGATCCCATTACCCCATCTCGGGATCCTACAGCCCGTGCGCGTCGATGATGGATGTTATACCAAGTTGACATCAAAAGCATCGAATCATCCCATCTCCTCCGACCGATCTGCATTCAAGAATCACTCCATCACGAAATCGAGCTCCTTAGAACCCCGCGGGGCGAAGGCAGATACCAGTTTTGACGACGACCTTCGCCGAGCGTTGCAGATGAGTCTGGAAGAGGCGGAAGGGCGAGGGCCGTCGGGGTATGTGCCGCAACAAGCAAATGTTCCCGAGCCTGCAAAACCAGCCCCAGGACCTGCAAACGTGGAAGAGGAGGACGCAGATCTCAAGGCTGCCATTGAGGCCTCACTTCGAGATATGGAGGAGCATAAGCAGAAACATGCTGCTGCTTTAAAGAGCAACCCCTCGCCAAGCTACACCCAGCCAGAATCATCAAGCACGCATGCTCCGTTAAGCAAAAATCCATATGAGCTGAGCCCTGTTGAAGCCGAGAACATTCACTTGTTTTCCACCCTTGTGGATCGGCTACAGCACCAGCCCCCTGGCACTATCCTGCGGGAGCCACAGATTCAAGAACTTTATGACAGCATAGGGAGCCTCCGACCCAAACTCGCTCGTAGCTACGGGGAGACCATGAGCAAACACGGTGAGTTCGATCTTCCAAGGAGCTTCTTCGTTCCCAGCTGACCAGTTTAAAGACACTCTCCTAGATCTGCATGCAAAGTTATCGACCGTCGTACGTTACTATGATCGAATGCTCGAGGAGCGGCTATCGAGCGCATACTCGCAGCAGAATCTCGGATATGGGATTGCCCCTGGGATGCCTCAATATCCCAATATGCATGGCCTGCCAGCCCAAGCCGCCGAGGCAAGGGCCGGGGCCGAGAACTTCTACTACGGAAACCAACCTGATACATCTCAGCCCCCGAATTCTGCGTATCCACCTCCACAGATGCACCGTGGGGCTTATGAACCTCAGGCTGCAGGTGTTTCAAGCCCGGCATACCCTTCTCAAGCTCCATACCCCTCCCCACCAACAACCGATTCACACAGTACTTGGAACCAGACCTCATACCCTGCTCTATCTTCACCTCCACCTAATGGGGCTATCGCGTCACCTCATGCCGCGCCAGAACCAGTTGGAGCCGCCAAACCATATGCCCCTCAACTGGACCAAAATGCAACACCGATCTCCGCAGAGACGCCTTCTTGGCAGCCCTCTCCCCTTGCACGGAGAGATTCACAATATCTCCCCAGTGCTCCTCCAGGGCCTAGTGCACCCGACACACACTCACCTGAGCAAGCGCAGTCAGCTCCTTATTCAACGGGCCCTCCCGCTGGAGTGCCAGCGTCTCAGCAGCCAACCGGGTACCCGCCTCAGTCCTACTACTACCAGCCCCAAGCCCAGCCGTCTTACCCGATGGCTACTGGCCAACCGGGGGCTTACCCGAATGTCAGCCAAGTGCAGCCCCCTGCATCGCATCAACCTGCTCCTGTAGAGGAGAGTCTGATTGAACTGTAGCATATCTAGCATTTGTTGCTGCTTCGTGCTTGGCGTTCCGCTTACGACTTCCCCCCCTTAGCTTTCTCCATTTTTTGTTATTTTTCATACCGTCCTCCATGATACCTCAGAAACTCCCGTGGTTTAATCACAAGCTCTTTTCCATGAAGGTAGATTCGTAGAAGTAGAGGTCGGCCTGGGGCCAACAGGTAGATGACGATAATCCTGGAGAGTCTCCACACCCTTTTTTCCCGGCCCGTAATATTACCCGCGCCTTCCCCCCCCAATCGCCGGAGATAGCGAAATACTGGGACTTCTCAACTTCTCCTCTCAACCTCCCTCCGCCTTTGTTCCACATTCTGAAATATGGGCTGTGCGGCGGTGTAGAGACAGTTGCTCGTTGCCTTTCCCCCCCTTCCCGTCTGCTCGCCTGCAGCTGCGGTGATACATTCCAGCCCCGACCAATCCCCATTGATTTACGATTACCCGCGCAACCTGCCTTGTTGGCGCTATGCCTAACACCAACTCGTCCCTGTCAAGCGCCCCGGCCTCGGCCGACGCGCCGTCTCCTCGCATGCGGTTGTCACGCGGTCCAACTCAGGCGAGCTGTCAGAATCCCACTCCTCCAGGTCAACGCTACATCATAAGCCACACCGACCCCATGTCGTGGGTGGCGGTCGCAACCACCACCGTAATCCTTCCTCTGGCAAGAACGTAAATAAGCTCCCGCGTTTTCAGCTACCCGAGACGACTGGCCGTCATCACCAGCGCAAAAAGTCCGCCCCCGCTACCCCGATCGCAAGCCCCAAGGGACAGTCGCATATCCGCTGGGAGGAGGGTGCGCATGAACAACGCCCGGGCTCGATGAAAAGGAACTACTCCACGCCCGCCCTTCGACGAAACACCTCGGGTATTCAGAAAAAGATAAACCCCGCAGATCGTCCACATACGAGTTCCGAAAGGAAGAAGTCGGTCGGGTTCGAGCTTGGCGAATATGAACCTGACGACGCCGAATGGGAAGACACGACACAGTCTCCCGAAAGCACACGACGCAACTCTGTTGCTCCTTCCAACCCCAGTCTCGAGAATCAGCAAGTGCTAGTCGACCCCTTGACCTTTGTGAAGCGCCCATATCCGCAAATGCCTCGTGCCACTAGCTTGCCTGATTCGATTACTAGCCGCCTCGCACGCGAACAGGCCGACGCAGAGGAGGAAGCAGAAGAGGAAGCAGCCGCAGCCGCCGAAGCCGCCTCTAGCCACGTTGAGACGAGTGATATTGCAAGCCGGCTACTGAGCCCTTCTCTTTCAGCAAAGGCGCCGCCTGCCATGTCTTCCATCTCAGCCATGGCTAAATCATCAGATGCTGCCCACCGTACCAATTCCTCCCTTTCTCTCGCCGGCAAGGATGGTGGTTCTCGCCGTAACTATTCTACCACAAATCTCGGCACAGCAAGCGTGCCGAGCAGTCATACCCAAGCTACTTCTTCCTCCATGGAAGGCGGTGTTTCTCGATTTATACCCAGTAACCGAGCTGGCCAGAATGCGTCTTCACGAACGGATTCCGACCCTAACACTCCATCGTCTTTTCTCCCTCACTATCATCCCCAAACACCCCCATCTCCGAACCGCGGTGCTGGAAAGGCTACCACGAGTTCTCCAGCGCATCCTAGCCGTGCTGAGAATTCCCGAACCAACCAGAAGATGTGGCTGCAGCGGACAGCTACATTGAATAACTCACCACCCGACAGCCATGGCGTGTCTAACGCTGTACCTCCCTCGGCTATCGACTCTACGTATATGGCAAACAACAATGCACGCGCCGGAGGCGGCTTTGATACTGGTAGGGCCACTAATGGCAGCGCGCGGGCTGGTGTCCCCGGACAAGACAGCGAAACGCGGCAGATTCGCAAGGCATACGAAAAGGCCGCGCTGGAACTGTCAGTGGTGCGACGATTCCAGTCACCCGCTGGCGATAGCTTCAACCGGCTTCGTGCTGTAGCGGGGGCTTCCAAAGCGCTGGGCTTAAGTCTTGAACAACGATCTGCATTGGGAAAGCCAACCAAGTCTGCCCCGTCGCTCCCTCTCCTTCAGCAAGGAAGACATCCGAACCGGCTAGGGTTGAGCTCCGAGTCCAAATCTCAGTTGCCTGATCCCCACTCCTCTGCACCTGAGGACCCAGCCTCTCAAAGCGAATCCACCGATACTGCGACTACCAAGGTTTCGCACCCCTCACATCGTATTCTATCCACCTCGGATGAAGGAGTCCAGGGCCCCCCAGGGGAGAACGACTCGGAAGACTATCCTCCCGTGAGCGAAGCCGACATGATGATCCGCCGTATGTGGGATAGTCGTGAAGTAGCGACGTCTGGTTAATTGACCATTCTTCTACGTTAATGACTTCCTTCCTTTCTTCTTTTCTCTTTCTCTTTCTTCCTTTTTGGTCTTTGCTTCAATGGGAGCCATTGCAATTTCCGGCGCTGGGGGTATATTGTATTTCAGCATGGGCGAGCCGTTTCCAATTTTCGATTTTTTTTTTTTTTTTTTTTCCAGATGCACTACGATGCACTTGCACATATAATAGTGAGGGCAGTGCCTATTGTCCAAATTCAAATACGACACATTCAGTTGGTCTCGGGTGTTCTGCCTTCCGGGACGGCCATCCGTGGCGTGATCCCCCTTCGAGCCCTAACTAGAGCCAATCTACGCTCGATGATTAATGTGGAAATGCGTCCCTATGATTGACCCCTGTCCATGTATATCCTGCTCTTGAACATTTCTGAAGTTTTATTTCAATAAGACATTTCAACAATCATGGAGCTCTCTCAGCTGGTCGTCACTCAGATCTGGCATATTACTTGCTATGTGTCTGCTATCGTTTTCGTTTCAGTCGCCGCAAATCTCATCTATCAGACCTTCTTCTATAGTCGAAATGAACCCCCAGTGGTGTTTCATTGGTTTCCGTTCATTGGGAGCACTGTGAGATATGGGATTGATCCATACAAGTTCTTTTTCGAGTGTCGTGAGAAGGTATGTTGGGATCTGTACCATGCAACTTTCGCCCTCTCCAAGCTGTTGCCCCTGATTCACAGCTGACCAGGACAATAGCATGGCGATATCTTCACCTTTATTCTCCTAGGAAAGAAGATTACCGTCTATCTAGGCACGGACGGTAATGAGTTCATCCTCAATGGGAAACTCAAGGATGTCAATGCAGAAGAAGTATACGGAAAATTCACGACGCCTGTCTTTGGATCCGACGTTGTGTATGACTGTCCAAACTCTAAGCTGATGGAACAAAAGAAGGTATGAGAGACGGGGTGAAACCACATATCAAGCAATGTTCATCTAATCCCACACACTCAACAGTTCGTCAAGTTTGGCCTTAGCCAAGAAGCCCTCGAAGTCTTACGTACCCCTGATTGAAGAAGAGGTTCTTCAATATATCAAGTCCTCCGGACGGTTTAAGGGATCCTCAGGGACTGTCGACCTCGCCGCCGCCATGGCCGAGATAACAATATTCACCGCTGGACGCACCCTCCAAGGTGATGAAGTCCGCGGAAAGCTCACCTCCGAATTTGCCGACCTCTACCATGACTTAGACCTGGGGTTCCAGCCAATAAACTTCATGTTGCCCTGGGCGCCCCTCCCACACAACCGCAAACGTGACAAAGCCCATGCTCGCATGCGCGAGATCTATCTGGACATCATCCGGCAGAGACGGAACGCAGCAACAGCACCAGCCACCAAAGACATGATCTCGAATCTGATGCAGTGCGTCTATAAAGACGGGAAGCCTATTCCTGACAAAGAAATAGCCCACATGATGATCACACTGTTGATGGCCGGTCAGCACTCGTCATCTGCGATCAGTTGCTGGATTATGCTACGGCTAGCATCGCAGCCTGAAGTTACCGAGGCCTTGTACAAAGAGCAGGTCGACGCGCTTGGGGCTGACCTCCCACCTCTGCAGTACAAGGATATAAGCAAGCTAACGCTACACGCAACGGTCGTGAAAGAGACCCTGAGGATCCACTCCTCGATCCACACGCTCATGCGGAAGGTCAAGAACCCGCTGCCTATCCCTGGAACGCAATTTGTTATCCCTACGTCTCATACCCTTCTTGCCTCGCCGGGTGTCACTGCGCGTGATGAGACGTACTTCCCCAATGCGATGGTTTGGGATCCATATCGCTGGGTTGACCGGGTCGAAGTCGAGGATAGTAGCGACACGGTGGACTACGGGTATGGCGCCGTCTCGAAGGGGACTAAGAGTCCTTATCTGCCGTTCGGAGCAGGGAGACATCGCTGCATTGGGGAGAAATTTGCGTATTTAAATCTCCAGGTTATCGTTGCTACGCTTGTGCGTGAGTTTCGCTTCTATAACCCCGAAGACCGCAAGGGTGTGCCGGAGACGGATTATGCGGTATGTGTCTGCTGATTTGGTAGATCCAGGTATTGGAACCCCCATTGCTGACTGCTTCATGATTTCTAGTCCCTATTTTCAAGGCCCATGCAGCCTGCTACAGTGCGATGGGAGCGCCGGAATGCTTAGATGCCGTCCGGCTACGAATCCGACTGTCGAATCGATATCACTTCAGTTGCTCAGTGCTACACCATGTTGTCCTTTTTGGTTGTGTTCGAAAATGAAGTTGTTACTGAATGACGTGGCTGGTCACTTGGCATCTCGCAACGTCCAACCCCGATGAGCCAAGCAAGTTTAGGTAATAGTATGAACAGTGGGCATAAAAATGGTATTGTGTATCTCAAAATGGGCGTCAGATAGTCTACAATATCGTGAAAATTTCCAGGAGTATCTATCGACACGAATAATTCTATAGGTATTCTAAGTCATCCTGAAGAAATGAGTTTCAGAACCGAAGCAAACGTAGCAAATTTCAACCGATGCAGAGACATGATAGTGATACTGACGTGATCAACATGCAGTTGAACCAGAAACAATGGGGGAAGGTCGTTACTAGTATGCAGGCACAGCCCAGCTGGAAAGAAAAACCTCCAGTATAAGGGCCTAGGGTTTCCCCCTGCCTCTCCCACCTCCCCGACGAGCATTTCTACCAGACCCACTGGCAGGATTGCCTTTTCCAGTAGGCTGATTGCCTTGGTGTGGCCTCGGGCCATTCGTATTCTTCTGAGACGTGGCGGGATCAGAAAGTTGAGGAGCACTATCGTTGTTGGAGCTCTTGTTTCCACGGCGCTTGCGAGAACTGCCAGATGCATTTATGGCTTTGCCTCCCCTACCTTCTTTACTTCCACGTTGAGGTTCTGGATCCAAGAGGCCCTGTATGCGCTTACTTTCTTGGTCCCACCATTGTTGAAACTCTTGTTCACGCTGAATTTCTTCCAGATTATGCTTTGCTGTGGCTGCTTCGCGGATTTCATTCTTTTCGGTTTGCTGCTGCTCTAGGATGGCTGCCAAGGAGAGAGAAGAGCCAAAGGATGGAGACCGTGGGCTCGAATGATGAAGATCAGGGCGAGGGATGTGACGGATCGATTGAATAGAGGGTTGCGGAGATGTTTTCGGCAGCGATTGTGGAGATGAAGCCGCGGGGCCCGAAGAAGATGCTTTGGCGAAAGAGCTTTGCGATTGCGCATTTGCCGATACACTGCGAGCTTGGGATTGAACAGGGGTGGTAGAAGGTTTTTCTCGAGACGGTGATGATCTAGCGACGGTTTGCCTGAGTGTCATCGGCTTTTGAGTTCCCTTAGAATCCATCGACGGGTCATTGTCGCTGCTCTGGCCTGGCAGAGGACCCAATTTCCCAGGTGTGGTTGAACCGGCCGGCAAGGAAGATAACTCCCAGGGGTTTCGAGAAGCATTTTTAGCCTTTTGTTGTGCTGCAAGTTGGTCCTGTAATTGCTGCTGTTGCTGCATCTTCTTCCTCTCTTTCTGTGAAATCTTTTGTGTGAAGGTACCGCTCGTTTCCCGACGTCCGGCCATGCCCAGCGTGAGATTCGATACACGCTTTTGTGAGCTCTCCCCCATAATGTCCTTGAGATCTTTCTTGTCTTTGGAGATAGGAGAGCCCCACGGAGCTGGTGGTGCCTTCGGCTTTTCTTGAGCACCAACTGACCGTGACTGAGAAGGAGGATCGGTAAGTGATCTCTCTGCTGGAGAAGACATTTTCTCATCTAGGAAAAGACGGTCCCCAATAGACTCCGGCTCGGGGATACTTGTTCCTATGGCAGGCGAGTCTGGATACGAGCTACTGTCAAGGATATTTTCGCCAAGGCTCAAACCACGCTGTCCAGATTTGGCCCGGCTGGGAGCGGGGGCGGAAGGTGCTTCCTCGTCCATCTGGAACATGAGATCTCCAGTTGATTGCTTCGGCCGTAAGGTTGGACTTGTAAAGGGGCTTGTAGCCTCCCTGACAGCCTTCGACTTCCCCTTCTGCATAGACGGGGACACAACAGATTTATCACTCGCAGCGGTTTTAGGCCGCAACTCGTAAGATTCAATTTGGCCAAGTCGCGACTTCAAGGCCATAGAGTCGATGCGTTTTCTTTTGTCGCTCTCAACGGAGCTGATGATCTCCGGGTACTTCTCGAACACATATGCTTCTGTATTGCGCCCACGTGAGATCGGAAAGTAAGAAAGTTGATTGTCACGACAAACAGCGTCGAGTTCTTTGAGAAGATCGTCAGCAAGACCCTCTAGGTACCTGTTTGCAAGCATAGCCTCGAGGTCAAGACAGATATATTCAAGGGCCGCATCCTTGAACTCCCTGATGTAGATTGGAGCGACCGAATTGAGAAGATAGGCTATGTTGCGGTTGTCGACAAACCGCCCAATTGTCTTTTGACAAATTTGTGAGAGCCTGTCAATCATCAACTCGTTCGCTACATACATCACATCCAGCACCAAGTCAATAAAATCATCTAAAGTGTTTGTGCGGACTTCGTCGAACATTTGCTCTTCGGTGTCGGTATATATGTACTTCAACACAAAGTCAAAGATTGATCGATCGATATGTTTGAGATCAACATGGACAAAATCGGAGCGCTCAGCGCGGCGTGTCGCTAGCCATTGACCGGCGGAGAGGCCATGAAACAAAGCCTCGAAAAAGGGACATCTTTGACACACGATATGGCTGTGGACTTTGACAGAATCCCCGTTCAACTCAACCACCACGTCGGCATCTTCAAAGAACGAATCATGGTTGATAGCAAAGGCCATATCATTCTTCAAGCTTGGTACAGGCTCAATCATCAATCTCGCTGCACGTTCCAGAGTTGGTAACCCAAGTTGTTGAGCAAGGCGCATGACTTCAGATCGCACCTGCCGGTGAAGAGCCGTGTTTTCTGCGAATGTTCTTGCTTTGTGCCAAACGTCTAAAATATTGTCTGTGTAGAGGAAGAATGCAAGATTCATCACCGTCAAGAAATCGAGTCCTCGAAACTTGATCTGAATATGGCCTTCTTTGTCGTACTCGATCTCCAAAACATCAGACACAGAGGAATAATATGTCTTCCGGAACTCTTCCAGAGCTTTCCGAAGAACAGGGCTGCGTCCATTTAAAAGAAAACGATGGACTGGAATCCGCAAATCACATGTAGAGCTCACTAGCCATATAGTGCCCTCGGTATATACTGACAAAAAGTGATTCTCGACATGGGAAGACATCATGATTGATCTTTTCATCGCCATCGCAGACGATAAAGCCAATAACGACTCATCAAGAATCAGATCCACCTCGTCTGGCCCTGGAATTATGAAAGGCGAAAGAGGCAAAATATCGTCCAAAAGTGTGCTTTCGTTGACATGGATTTGTTCTTTTGTCACGTCATACTCACGCTGGGCGACAGCATAGGCTCCAAACGCATTGCTGCGTACAGCAACTGCTCTTGAGAGACCTGGAATACGAGCGAACTTGAATTCCTTCGAGCCGTCTTCTTTTTTCTTGGCGCGTTTTTCCTTTTTCCAAGCCGAGCCCGAGGTAGTGCAAATGATGATAGATCCATCCTGCCCCACGTCCACGTCAGAAGCAGCCATGTTAGATCTCTTGACAGACCAAGCCCTCACTGGAGTTGCCAGTGAATTGCGAATCTTCGCTGGATTTGTCGTCGATGTGAATGCCGCTGAGTTTTCAGGCTTGTTGACTTCAACGGTGAAAACATCACCAGAACTTGTTAGAGCGCAAATGGTGCTGCCTCCGCAAGAAAGTTTGGTGATGCGGTTGACAGAAGCATCGTATCTGGTAGCCATGAAACTGTCTCGAATGAACCTTGAACTGGCCTCGAGAGGAAATGAGAGTTTGGTATATCCATACTGAGAGAATACCCACACCTCATTATTCTGCAAGAGCACAGCGGTCGCCCGATCAATAGCAGATACCATCTGGATAGGAGAGCTGAATTGAGATGCTCCGACGCGGCGAGGCGTAGTCTGAAATTCAAGCGAGCGCGCATCGGAATCAACCAACCCGAGTTGCCCTTCGTTCTTACCGAACGTGTAAAGACCGGAATTGCTAAAAACCACGGAATGGATCGAAGAGGCAGCTGCCCCGATGATTATTTCTTTCTTGAAGGGGTTGAAGATCTGACGCGGAGTCGTCTGGATGGGAACATCATTCTTGTTATTAGTCCTCGGCAGACCATAGCCAAGTTGTCCGAACTTGTTGCTTCCCCAGCTGAAGATCTCACCATATTTAGTGATAGCCAGACTGTGATCTTGACCAAGGGCTACCGATGAGATCTTCTTGCCTGACAATGGTCCAGTCTCAATACAGACAAAGGCGAATCGCGTGGTCTCATCACCTGTTCCTAAACGGCCGCCAGGGCCAAAGCCGCTCATGAAAAGATTGGCTTCGGGATCATCCGTGATGACTGCGGTATGGAGTTTGGACATCACGACATTTTGAATCTTCATCGGTTTGTTTTTGATGAGCGTCGGGAGCTCTTGCGACTGCGCAGTATCGAAACTCTCTTCCACGGTAAGACCTCGCGTGCGTCTTTCGTGGTATTCGCGATAAAATTGATGAAGAAGATGATCTGGTCGTTCAAGATTGATCCTTTCCGGAAACTGACGGTCATCCTGGTCACCGAGGCCGAGATTCAAATTTTTATTGCTGCCGAAAGTAAAGACTTCATCAGCCGAAAAGTCCGTTTGGCCCTTTATAGCAACTGAAGCCGTATAATTCCCATCTTCATGAGCATCCACGATGCCTGGACCATCGATTGAATCTGCGTCACTGCCGGCAGCATCTAAAACCATGGAGCTAGGCCATCCTGCGATCTGAACAGTCTCCTTGATATCACGTGCGCTAATAGTGGCTCCATAGAGATCAAATGGACTGTATCCCTCGCGGTCTTTGATTTTGATCAAACTTCCACTCGGATGGCCGGCATTTCCAAGCTTGTTGAAACTAGTAGCGTCGAATGCGTCCTTCGCCATCAATGCCTGCGCAACGGTTGCATTACCAGCGTAAAGCGCACGATGAAGTGCAGTCCATCCACTTTCCCAGTCCTGGGCATATATGTCAATGAACGGGATGTCCAACAGGGCATGCGCGAACGCGGCAGCACTCGGCTTTGTGGATGACGCGACATGGTGAAGCAGCGTCCGTCCCAGGTGGTCGCGGGCATTGATGTCAGATCGAGATAGAGCCGCAGAACCCCTTTGTCCGATTGATCGCTCCAGAAAGGATGTCCCGGGTGATGATCCGGCAGCTTTCTTGGCTTTGGATAGGTTGGGAGACGTGGCGATAGAGCCCGGGCTCCCAGCTTTTGCCGACAGACTGGTTGCGCCTATCACGGATGGGCCGGGAACTGTAGCTCGCGGTCTGGCAACCGTAGTGTTTGCGAGAACCCGCCGGAAGCTATCCACATCATCTTGAATGAAGAATTCCCAAAGCTTGCTACTCATGTGCCCGGATGTAGTTGTTCCGCAGAATCTCCTATCAGTCCCGAGCCAAAGCGTCGCGGTCACCACCTCGGGGCTAACTGCGACGAAGGCGCTGGGCGACAAGAGAATTCTGCCTCAGAAAGAGGGAAAGGGGGGGTCGTTTCACGAAGAACCGACGCGTCCTTGATCGCCGAGGCTGGAACTCTTGTGTGCGCAATGCGGCCGGGTATGGAATGTGTGGGTTCTGGATACGGCAGAAGGAAGTTCGGGGGGGGGCGACGGCGAAAGCGGCGAGCACAACGGATGTCAGCTCTTGAGGACGTGTCAATAAATGCAGATGGGCTCAAGAAGTAAATATACTCTTAGTAGGTTTTAGAACAGTGAAGAGGGAGTGAGAGGGAGTGGAGTGAACAGGTTTATCAAGAGCCCTCCCCGATTCCCCGATTAGTATCGCGGATCGTGGAACCATGCGACTGACCAATGAACGATCGCAGGTCCCTCCATGCCCCCAGACGACAGGTGCGGGTCAACTGGCTGGGAAGCCCGTGGGGGAGCGATAGGGCATGACAAGCTCCATCTTACGTGAACGTCGAGTTTCTAGGAGCCTCGTGAAGTGATCCACGTGGGGTTGGACCTTCGGGTTCGTGGTCCACACATCTCTTCTGCAATATTGTTGCAACGATAAGCTCGTGGGACTTAGTGTACGCCTACCAGTCTGTCGAGTAGTGAATAAAAAATTATAACCCCCTTCCCCAAAAGCACATGCTTTCAGACGCTCTCGGGCCAGGGTGCTAGCTACGTCTTGTGGCGAAGCTGCACCTCAACTGCAGCACGGAACTCTACGTAATTTGAAGATATCTACCGTTAGTTGTTAAGATCTATATGTCAGTACGAGGAAGATTCCCATAATCTGATTATCTGTGTACCAAGGCAGCACATCATATTTTCTTGCTGGGTTTGGCATCCGACTGCTGGCCCACCACAACTTGCTCAACTTCCTCGTTGCTATCTGAATCCGAGGCTGCAACCGTTCTCGTCTTTCTTTTCTCTCTGTGAAAATACATTAGCGTTCGAGAATGCGCCCGTGGATTGTTTGGTTTTCTTCTCACCTTCGATGAAGGACAATGGCAGTGATAAATCCTGCCCAGAGGAGGAAATAGAAAACAAATGTCACTGGCCACCCTTTCTTCCATTCCGGCGCGCCATAGGGACCAGCAGTTGGGAATATCAAAAGTGGTACCCAGATGTTGAAGGAGTAGCCGAATGTCATCATAGAGCCCTGAGGGGTTCGAGTCAGTACTGGCGGTTGGATTGAGCACCGGTAACACCTACCAAAATAAGAGCCCTCTCCTCAGAATCATCTTTGACAATGGTATTGACTTCCGAGTATAGGATAGGACTCAGACAGCCCTGCACCCCGAAGAGGTACCATGCAACAAATCTGTAATTTTTGCCGCGTAAGTATACCTGATTGTACGGTAGGATAGATGTCATGAACTAACTTTAGTCCCTTTGGAATCTTCCAAATGATCATGCAGAGGGTAGAGAACAGCACTGCTCACCTTTACAACTATCTACGACTTAGGGGTACCTTTGAGAAAAGGCGCCTTTAAGCTCTAGTTCGACTGAATTTTCATTGCTGAAACTATTCCGTACATATCTCCAACTCCCTACCGCCTTCCGGGCGCCCCTTGCCTAATGGCGGTTGCGTTTTCCACCCCGCTGCGTGCGATTCCGAACCCTGGTTCTGACTTCACGCGGCCCCCTGACCTCGAGTCACCCACCAACTTTTCCCCTATCAACCAGCGTCCTGCTAAAAGAGCGAGCCATCAGGCACCCCCGCTTCAAATGGGTGGCAGCACGCAAGAAAACAGGCCTGGGAAGGCCTCTAACACCCTCAAATCCCTACTCGAGGACGCCGAGAAACACGCCAAACTAAGACAAGATATCCTTATATCCTTTGCCGCGACCGTCGATAGATTTGTGGCCAGCCAAAAAAGCCCGGAAAGCCGGGCCTTCGCACACAGCTTCAGCAAGTCCTTTATCCAGTATATATCCACCAAGCATTTTGCCACAACCAGCGACCACGTCCCCATCCAAGCCAGTAACAACCCTATCCGGAACGACTCAGCCACAACCAACTCTGCCAAGTCGGTCTTGTGGGCGGGAATTGTGAAAACCCCAAAAACTCAGGGGCTCTGAGGAGTAGGTCCCAACAAGCCACAAACACTAGCTTAGCTCGAAGCAGGTCTACAGCCTTCTCAGGACAGCAAGAAAACTGCCAGATTCTTATCACTCTAAGACCAGAGTATATACAGACACAAATGATCTCCTACCAAGTACAAGACATAATCTACAAGAAAGTGGAGGGTCTTAATACCGCCTCTACAATCCTGGATGCGCGGGAAACAGCTACAGGTTGGGCTATATATCCTGCGGATATAGCTACCCAGGACCTGATCGTATCTTAGGAAATGGTGGTGTGCCAGACAGTCAGAGGCATCTCTGCCAAGGTGCCCTAACTCTAGATTAACTATACTGTCTAGAAAGTTCCTAGCACAATTACAGCCTATGATGGCTTAAAGTTCCAAGTAGAAGAGACTAACATCGCTGAGAAGGCCTTAGCCCAAACTAAAGCCCGGCCTATTAACTGCCGTCCTTCGAGACATAACGCCGACTTCTACGCTAGACTTACTACCTAGATTATCTCCTTTATACACAAAGTAAATCCCTTCCGACTTTTCAGTATTAGTGCTATCTCGTAAAAGATCACTAAGAAATTGTCTATTAAACATCATAATCTAGGATATCAGGGCTACTACTTTCTTTCCCACTATTACCAGAGCCTCCTATATAGCAGGTACAGCAAGCCACTCCAGGGACATACAAGACCCTCAGAAGAAAACTATATTAAGGAGGCACACTATGCCAACTGCTATAGCCCCTATCCCTCGGATTATAAGAAATACCTAGCTATCCCTAGGCATATCAACAGAAGGCTTATCTATCTCATAAAAAGCGAGCTTACAGCAGCTCAGCACTTTAGAGACAGGATATACCAGGATACCTATAAATTCCACAGAGAGAATCCAAACCTAGATTCTTAGCTTAACTTAGAGATACAACAAGCCATCTCCCAGCTAGACACCCCGGCCACTTTAAACCTAAGGAAACATAATATAGAAGGGATAGCCCAAAAAGAATAGCAAACTGCCTTTGCTAGACCACACCGCACCACGGTATCCAGAAATAATATAAACAAGCTAGAGCTTCAGAACCAGCAATACTCTATACTCGCCGTTAAAGATAAGATAGAGACTAACAATACCCTTAACACTAATACCTAATATTAGAGCAACCAGCACTAACAAAGGACAGACAGTGTCATTACTATATAACAGGCTGCTAGGACCTCAAAATCCTATAGGCTAATATAGAGAAAATATCCCCTTACCACATTACTACACTTCAGCTTATCTGTAAAGAGAAGACAGATATCATCTATATCTAAGAGCCTTTTATCTTTAACAAGACTCGAATTTTGAACCATCCTAACTATGAGTACTTTTTACTTATAGATTCCTGGGATACACTAGAACAACAACCCCAGATCATGACCTATATCCAGAAGGGAAGAGGCCTACAAGCCCAACAATACTGTTTTGTCTATAGCCGGGACCTACTCTGGGTCATAATAGACAGTATTACAATACTAAACATCTATAGGCAACCGACCACCCCAGAAGTTATAGACTATCTTATCACCCTAGAACCCCCAACCCAGTATCTTCTCAGAGATGACTTTAACTATAAGCATAATATATTCGAACCAGAGACCTCTAGCATATATAAAGACAGGGAGATAGCTTACTAAGCTATGGATAGTGGAATAGATTATATAAGGGAGGCAGATATACCTACCTACCAGACTAGATATATCCTAGACCTCTCCTTCTCTAACATCCTATACACTTCTATAGAGGTCCAGACAGATCTTTACTTAGACTTTGACTATAAGACCCTTATTACCACACTAATAGACGGCAAGGATATCCTGAAGACACCCCCGATTATACTAGTGAACAAACAGGATCTGCCATACTTAGATAAACTAGTCTAAGCCGGAATAACAGCCCTAGAGTCCCCATAAGATCTCATAATCTCAGCTAAAGTAGAGGATTTCGCAGAGTATATTACTAAGACAATCACTAACAGCCTCCTAGCCCTAACAAAGCCAGCTAGATAGATATACTCGGCACCATAATAGACCGATGACTACCGCCAGCACTATTAGGAATAGCTATAAAGCCACCAAGATAATAATCTAGAAAAGATCCAAGAAGTATAATATGCCTTTAAAGCTGTAGTACACCAGGCTAAAAAAGACTACTAGAGACAGATTATCAATAAGATAACAAGTGACCAGGACCTCTATAAAATGATCAGCTGGTATAAACTGGAAGCCAGACTTTGGTCGCCGCCGCTAATCATAAGGAATCGTACCATCGAGGACACTACCAGGAAGACTAAGGTACTATATACTGCAGTACTAGAACGCTTCAACTCGATAGATAATCTACTAAAAGATCCTATCCAAAGCTGGGCAGCGCTAGGATAACTACTATAGAACGCCAAAGTCTCTTTAGAGAAGATAGAAGCAAATATAATAGACATTAGTAGTATATCGCCAGACATTAATAAGATTACAGTTCGGTATCTAAAAGCCTGTTAGGCCTCTATTACAGACCTATTATATATCCTTTATATATAATACTTAATACTAATATACTTCTTTTAGGTATGGCAGAAAGCGGAGATAACCATGATCCCTAAAATTAGAAAAAAGGACAAATCTTTAGTACAATCTTAACACCTAATCACCCTCCTATCCTGCCTAGGTAAAAGCCTCGAAAGGATTATTATACACCAGCTAGCCTAGACTGTTCTAATATATGATATCCTTAGCTTATAACACATAAACACCCTCCTAAAACAATCTCTAATAGATTTAGTAGCCTTACTTACCCATGATATCAAGATAACACTTTCTAAAGATAAATCAATCTCTATCTTGACTATAAATGTCCTTGGGGCCTTCAACACCCTACTAAAAAAACAGCTACTATTATACCTATTACAGCAAGAATAGCCTAAAACCTTAATAAGGCTAATAGATAGCTTTCTTATAGAATACTGGGCAAGGGTACACCTAGAAGACACTATAATACCACTCCAACAGATATAATACAATACTCTATAGGATTCCCCGTTATCGCTAATCCTCTATCTGCTCTACCTAACAGAACTACATGTTACGCACTACCTAGCGAGTCTCGGTGAGTGGGTCCTCAAAGGGTGATACTTCTCTTGGTCACTCTGCACGCCAAGGGTGTCTCGTCACTCTATTGCAATGCCTACCGATCACACACGGCAACAGGCCTTAGATGCTCAAGTCCTTAGAGGTCTTGCTTAGTAAACGTGGAGCTGCTGAGGGCGCCGACGAGGTCAGGTTCTTATGGATCTCCCCTTCGTCGTTAGGTTTGGATTCGAGACAAGTATGAACAATGAACCGTTGTCGTATTCCAATCTTGTGGTTCCTAAGTAACAATGATGTAGAATCAAGAAGAGATTGATCGCGAAGAACTAAATACATGGTGCCAAGTGAGTGTCCTTATATATCCAGTCCTTCCTGTCACTGATGTGTTCGGGACACATCGCTGATGCGCTCCGCGCATCGCTGATGTGCAGTGCACATCGCTGATGAGCCACTGTTGCCTTGCTGCCTTAGACAGCTGTTCCTGGCTCCTTCATGCCAATTGGTCGGCTGCCATACCTGGCTCCCTTGTCACGTGTGTGTCAATCTTGACAGATCGGTTGGTCGTGGTTGACTTATTTTCTTCAACCGAAGTGGGTCCGTAACATCATCCCCTCCTTCAGGGTCTTTGTCCCCAAAGACTTAAATAGCGTCTTCCCCTTTGGTGAGTTCCTGTTCCTCATGTTTCTTCACCTATTTCGATCATCATGGTGTGTCGTTCCTCTGTTCGCAAAAATAATCTGACGACGAGAATCGAGGAGGAAGGTTTCAGGGCTGTAATCCCTTGTGAACGCTGCGTCCGTCTCAAACGAGTGTGTTTCCGTGCGGAGTGTTCCGACAAGTGTCTTGGTTGTATCGCTGGTGGTGGTCGGGCGAAGTGCGTGATGTCGAAGCCGACATATTCTGACGCCGAATGGCGTAAACTGGTCAAAATGCAGCAAGAGATTGCTGCTCAACGAAAGAAAGCGTTAGCTCAAGTTATGCGCCTTGAGCAACAAGAAGCTTTGTTAAGAGAGCGTGCTGGTGACTTTATCGCTCGTGAATTTAAGGAGATTTCCGAGTTGGAGGATCTCGAACGTCGTGAAGCTGAAGAGCTTGCTCGTATCGAAAAAGAGCGTGTCGATACGGAAAAACAAGATTGTGGTGCAGAGAGCGTTCGTGCCGCTGGCGAGGTTTCTCAATCTGCTTCTTCCGATCCTGGTAGGATCCTTGCGGCTACGTCAGAGGGTCCTACTCTGACGCAGATTCTTGCGTCTGTCGATCCGTCCAGTCCCGTAAATTGGGACGACATTGATTTCGACGCTTTCGCTGCTTCCGTTGGCGAGGTAGTCTCTTCGCCGCGCGATAATATTGTTGAACCAGCTGGTGGCAGCCCCTCAGGTTCGAAATAGGTTCCCATGTGTTTTCCGAGGTAGGGTACCCTTTCCATTTAACCAAGAGCTTCTGCTGATTATCCATCCATCTATCCCCTAGGATAGCTTCGACTTCGTATTCGTCCTCTGTTTCGTCTTCCGCGAGTTCAACGTTGGTTTCAAGGGTTGCATTTTCTGGTGCGGGTTCGAGTAACGAGATATGGAATGTCGGGAATATTCTTTTCATGCTTTCTGGTAGTTTCAAGCGATAATTGACTGGTCCGATTTTCTTTTCAATTTTAAACGGTCCGAGTTTCAGGTGGTCGAGTTTCGAGCTAGGTCGCTTGGTTTTGATGTTTCGTCGTAAGAGGTACACTTTCATCCCCTCTTTTAGGTCTGGCCCTTCCGCGTGGGTGCGGTCGTAGTACATTTTCATGCGGTAGTTCATGAATTCAATGTCTTTGGCGAGTTGTGCATGTAGTTGTCTGATGCCTCGAGCCATGAGTCGTGCGTTTTCGGCGACTGGTTTCTTGCCG